CGACCTCGATCTCTGAAACGTCCTATGCTCTGCACCTGCAGATAGGTACCTGTACCTTGTAGGTACTGGTATGTCACTCCAAGCTGAAACAAGTACTGTCAGCGTGGCACAGATTACAACTTATGCCACTATACTGAAGAATAAGCCTATACGCCCCAAACAAACATTTTCATTTAAATCTATACTTACGGGTACACATACAATCACGCTGCGCACTATAGCTACCCACAGTAAAAATCCCATCTAGTCTAAATCGAGATATCACACTTTGCCTTATCAGTCAAAAAAATGAAAAGCCAACCAATAAAATATATCCATCCAAGCTCCGATATCATTTGTCAATCTTCGAGAAGCGTTAAGTTCAGTGGCTTGGTGGCTTCAACTCTGAGCTCCCACAAGCTTCAGTGCTGAATCTGAAAACTTGGCTCTGCCCTATGGATGGAGATTCGCCACCACCGACTGATCTGTGCGGTTACATATGGAGTGTAAATTTGCATGGTTCCCCAGAAAAATGTCACAAGGATAAGTCAGGTCAAGTTCGCCCTGCTGATACGGGAACTAATTTGAAAAGTGCGCCCGATGGCTTACGGATATTTTTCATTAGGAATGAGGGGTGCTGCAGTCACCAAAAACAAAATGTATTGATGCAATCAATTTCAAATCCATGATGTCGCTCTGCCGCTTTCTTTGCCACGATTCTGTGTCTACATTTCACACTAAGCCGACGTCATTACCGGTTTGCTGCTATCCACAGGACATGTTTTAGAACCCGATACAGAAAAAAGAAACGAGCAAGTAAGCACCGCGACGATCAATTATCCATTATTGGGCTTTACGGATGGCACCACGGTTTTCGGGATTGCTTATCCAGTCCAGGGAAATCGCGGGACTTGACAAAAGCCCAGTAACTTGAAAGTCGCCGAAGTTCTAGCGAAGAGTGGAGCAGAACGTTGACCGGAGAATAATCCCTCCTTACACCTGGGCAATGAGGCTGGAAAAGAGTACCTTTGTGATGATAAGTGGGGGGAAAGAATGGGAATTTTGCGGCGGGATGGGATGAGATGGCTGGACCGGACCGGACTGAAAAGAGTGGGGGAAGGGCAAGGGTAACTTGAGATTAACCAATTGCGTTTCCCAGGATCTAGTGGGACCTTAGTGTTGCTGCTAAACTCATTTGGGATGATGTAGAGCCTGAAAATAAATTGGCCTGATAACGGGTGATTTAGTGTGCTTCTTGGGAATGGAGTGACTGGACCTGAACGTGAGAGCAACTCGGATTTTATTCGAACTGTCTCTGAGGAAGTAATTATCATGGTGATGACATTAGAGTTCAAAGAGAAGGATAAATGGTTGGTCCTGTTTTCTCAGGAATTTTGGCGCATACGGCGTTAGGGGTGTGACGTCTTAATCCTGATTCGCTGATATGAGCTCATGCTCGGGGTTACGGGATTTTAATAGCTCCACCCAAGCGTTGGAACGGCGTGCACGACCGGACCGTGGCTCCGGATGATAGCCGGGTACAACGTGCAAATGGGATTCAAAGTGGAGGAGAAGGCAGAATGGATTTCGGAAAATAATAGATCTTCCTGAAATAGCGGACTTTGAACATCGAACTTCTAGCACGGGAAGTGGGAACTTGAAGTTTCTTTTTTTGGGTTTTTCTTTTGGGTCAAGCAAGGGCCATGGCCCGTTCAAATGTTAGGATCGCGGGGCTGATCCACTGTGCAAGGACCAAGAGGAGATTTGCCGTGTCGTAGAACAAAACATTGAAATGTTGATATGGATCATGCCACTTAGACTAACGGGAAGGATCCATGGATCCATCTGAAGTAGGATATGTGGATCAAGCCCTCTCCTCAATTCATTTTATAAGTATGTAACCGACTCATGTTTCTATATTTACTTGTTTTCATCTGTTACACCGATCGGCCGGAGAGAATTTGTCCTCAAGAGCCTCGTAGTGGACCCGGATGGTTTCAGTAATTGGAAGGCGGAACAGCTCCGAGCTTTCATATGTTGTTTACCCCGATGCTCCTCGGTTAGATTCCGCTCAACATTATTCTACTCTCGAACCTAGAAAGCCGAATTAGTTAGAGAACAATAATTGATATAAAAGTCACAGCCCAATTCAAATTTCCAAGTAATAGGGCTGGGGAGGAGTTGGAAAAGCCGACCGGGAGAAACAACATGCTCCCAACTACGGAGTACAGTAGATGACAAAAATAAACAGACTCCTCAACTTCTCATGAAAGTCTCCAGGGAAATCTGGAATGGGGTTAGCAGCCCTGCACCAAACGCCATAGCGTCTTCCCGTAGCATCCCAGCCGTGTCCAAGATAGCCCCGAAGATCGCCCTCGGCTAAAAAAAGAACCAACACTGAAAGCTCGACGCTGACTCGTGAAAAACCAACGCTAAATGTCTAACTAACATTAGTCCATAATTTCTGCAGAGCCGTCATGATGATGCTGATCCTCTTACCGCTCCATTCTTCACTAACTTAGCTCCTGAGACATGGGGAATACCCTTGGCAAGGCCCTGAGTTTTGACCTTTTTATTTACGGTCATTGCTCCACTCCAAAAGCAAGCGGGCTTGGCTTAGGCTTATGGCCTCGGCTGTAAAGGTTTGATACAGTCGCTTGCGATTGTGGATCTCGGGAAGATTTACTTACTTCAGTTCTTCTGGGATTTGAACGGAGTAAAGGAGTATGCAGATCTGAGGTAGAGATAGAGATAGAAATTTGGGGTCCATGTTTCCCCTGTACCAAGCCCTGCACGGGATATCGTCATCATCCGAAGGATCCATCCTCAGCCACGTGAGGAGGATGACATGAGAAATTGGTGTTGATGATTGTACCAAAAATTCCCAAACCGCTATGATGTCGATAATTTTCCCAGATAGGCATAGACTGCGATTTAACTCTTGTGGAGTTGTTTACGAGGAGAGAACGGGTTACACGGGAACTGAGACGATCAATCTTGAATCTTAAAATCTATACTTGGAAATTGCAAATACTCTTACTTAGGGTTTTTTTTGTACGGAGTATTCAGGATTTTGGCTTTGGGTCATAGCTGATATCATAACACAATCTCATGAAGCTAATTTGTCCATCACAGTCAGATTCATGCAGTCCCAGCAAAATAGCAACCCCGTAAAAAAATAGACATGAAACCGAATTGGCCCCTGCATGGAGGGGCCTATCTGTGATCCTCCTCGCGTGGCAGGTCCTGTGCAGGGAGGGAAGGATTCATTCCAGAATGTCTGCAGAGATCTCACATGTTTCAAGAATGTTCCTAAATTAAATCACCTGCATGGTCGCCACGGTTTCACCCCTTGTATCGTGCCACGAGGTCAGAAACTCTGCTAGGGGGAGCTATTCCCCGTTGTGCCACGCGGTATGACTAAAGGGGGTGGTATGCAGGCCAGATGCAATGCAACTGGGCGCCGTATAAGTCCATAATAGTAGAATGGTATTGACTATAGGAATGTGGCATATGGATTATGGACTAAACAGCAGGGCGCAGACGTAAGGCTGAACTTGGACTGGCCCTCGTATTGACGGCATAATTGATTGTCCGTTTGGTTTTGGAGTTTGGTGCGCCGTTAGAAATGGAAATGAATCCAAATATAGATACCAATTTTAAGATGCGGGTACACTTGGACCGTGTTCGAGGTTCTTGTTGAACCCCAGTGACGTTTTAATCGAAGGGCCGATCGTGGATAATTTGGCCGGGGGGGGGGGGTCGGGGCCGAAGATGGGGGGGGGGGGACTTGCAAGCTTGCCTGAGTGGTGTTCATTGACCTTATGGAGTAAAGGATCATCGGTTTGAAACAAGCTACCGCAAGTGAACTGCACCAAGGCTAAGCCTAGGGTGGCAGGGCTCACCTTCAGGCGGACCATTGCGGACCCACTAGGCTGACCGGCAAGGGCATGGTCATGATCACGGGCCATCCATGCAAAGTCCGAGTAGGATGAATATTATTGTTTTATGTGAATGCAAAGAATTGAAAGATGTTTATTTTTTTTAAAGTTTGTTGAAAGAGTTAGAAGATAAGTGAAGGAACAGTTGAGGCTCTCTCTCGACTGGACAAGGATAAGGCATCCTGTACGGAGTACATTGTTACACAAATGAGTTGGTCCGTGCAGCCAATCACAGAAAAGAGAAACTAAACCTAAACAGGCAACAGGTGCGATCCTTTGCGATTCCCAAAGTAGAAAGAACGATGCTCCCCACTCCTGTGGGGATCAACCCGTTACGGTTATGAGCTTGGACATAGGAATGTCAAATTGAAATTCCAGTACACCGAATAACTTGAAGGAAATGAGAGGAACAGAAAAAGAACATTCCCACTTAGTCTTACTGCAGAAGTGTCAAGTGCTATTAAAAATAAACAAATTGGCCCTATTATCAATTAACTTAATATCGGTAACGAGGGCTGTTTTCCTCCACTCATAACGCTATCTCGAACCAACAGTTGGAGGCCCAGAGCGTTTTGGCGCCAACCGTAGCCATCCTTCCACTAAACCTATTTCGGTGGGAGAGATCAGCGCTTGTAACTGCAGTAAAATGTAAACTCGCTCAGCCGCACCCCTGACAACGTGGTGTAATTTTAGGATTGCTTGATCCTCCCGAGATCCACGCCCGTGCTTGGTTCCCTTTGATCTAAGGTTGGCCCCAGAATAGTAATTATGGGCATTTTATTATTTTATTATTATAATTTAATGGATTAATCATTTTTTCGAATTAAATCATTTTCATTTCATTTATTCATTTTCCTTTTTAATTATTTTTATTTTTTTAATTTAGGAAAGCCTAATAATCAGGTAGATCGCTGTACACAGGAACAGCCTCTCTTGTCTATATCAGGCCTCGCTCCTCCTCTCTTCTCAGTTTCAGATCCTCATTCCACAATTACAACACTCTCGATACACTCCACCTTCTACCTTCTACCTACGACCTCCCATCTATATAGCTTCCCTCCTTCCCTCTGCTACCACGACATGCCCGCCGGAGCCTCCTCCACTGAACGCAAAACTTCCACCACTACATTGTCGTCCATTGTCTCTGTTCTCAACTCCCCCGCTACTTCCGCTTCCGCTTCCGCTTCACCATCCCCAGAACCTTCCAACATGGTTGGCCGCAAGAGCACTATGCGTCGCAGCCCGCAAACCGAAATCTCCATGCCCGTTACCTACACTCCCACCACCCACCGCATCAGCAAAGCCAAGAAGGGTAAGCGGGTGCACGCCTGCGAATTTCCTGGTTGCAATAAGGTATGCGCTTCGACTTCAACCTTCCATGCGCACAAGCTGACTCGGCTTTTCTCAGGTCTTTACTCGCGCCGAGCACCGCAGACGTCACGAATTGAACCACAACCCCGAAGCTTCCTACCGATGCACACACCTGGGTTGCAAAAAGGCCTTCCACAGGTCTGATCTACTTGCGCGCCATATTGAGCGACAGTGAGTTTGCGATCCGCGCAAATATCGGAATCTGAGCTTGAAGCTAACAAAAAACAGTGAGCTTGAGTCGCAACCCGAACAAAATCAATGGGCTCCTCAGAGCCAGACTCCTCTCCCCAGTGACTCGACCGCGATCCCGCGATGCATTTCTATGGACAGCAGCTCTCTGATGGCGGGTACTTCCCAGCCCAACTCTATGTCTATTGGTGCTCTGGTGGCTCCAGGAGTGCATCCAGATCTCGCAAATGACTGCTCTATGGTGTGGACTGGGATGGATTTGCCTCTACAACACCCTCGCCCATCCAACAACCTATTCCACAACCAGCTCCCCGAATCCGCCGATGACAGCCCTTTCTACTCCTCCCCCGCCGAGACCTGCCCTTCTCCTCTGTCAGACAACTTCTCCCTCCCTACCCACAGCAGCTCAATGTCCTCCGTCTCTCTGATTGATGCATACCCTAAGAACATCATGAAGACCGACCTGACTGCTTCTCCCATGCAAATTCACTCCGAACTGTACGCAATGCCCATCTCTCTCGAGGACAGCCTGATCCAGCCACCGGTTCAGTGCCACTACCCTTCTCCCTCCTACCCTTCACCATCTTACCCATCTTCATACCCCTCTCCTTCATGGTCCAGCCCAGACTGTCTACCCTACGACGACCAGGTACAGTCACTGGCACACTTCCAGCCCCTCGGCTGGAAGCAGTGGGCCATGTAAAGCCCCTCAACGGGCAATTGAAGCATTCCGTTTTTACCTGAATGCTTTTCTTTTACGATTTTATGACGACACTTAGCTTCAGCTACCTTGAGGGCTGACTCTCACCCCCCTGTGGGGGAAAACACCCTACCCGATCACCTACCCAGAGATTGGACGCGCAAAGAAAAAAAAAGCGCGCATCAAGTCCCCTCTCCCTCTCTCCACCTTGACTGGGTCTCGGGAGCGCCATGGCGTTCCCCGAATGCCTCAACTCCATTCGTGGGGCGGACAATCCCGCTCTTTGGTCTCGAGCGCAAAAGACGCAACCACGGAGCGATTTTAGTGGAGCTACTCCACTTTATGTCCCAAGCTCCTAAGCGCAAAGCTTTCATATTTTTTTTTCTTTGTTTTCTTTGTTGGAATTTTTAGAAGGGACCGTTATTTGGGCTATAGATCTCTGGTTTTGTGATTATGTTTCTTTCTTTTGTTGGATGATCTTGATGATTGACTCGCCTCCTTCATGCTGGCTGTATACCCCGAACTGGATCTGGACCGAGCTACGACTCTCGCTTGTACATATTTGACAAACGCATAAATGTTGAATGATTTTTTTTTTACATTTAATCCAACTCCCCCACTTGATAGGTCTCAACCATGGTTCGCTTGATCGACTCGACCCGTGGTCGGCTAAAGAGATATTCCAAATCGCGGAGATCCTCGCTTCCATCTTGACCCAACGTTTAGTCCCACCCGTCGCCTAGACTCGGGAAATGGAAATGGAAAAAGCAAGGAAAAATAAATTGATGGCGTGTAAATTCCCGCAAAAACACGGAAGTCCATACATAACCAACTTAATCCCATCCTAACAAAGAAAGAAAGGCAAAATAGAAGTCAACCAAAAACATTGTCATTCGCCTTGGACGAAATCCAAAGAGTTCGTCCGAACCAATCTAGAACTGGAACTACAACTACACTAGTCTGGTCCTCCCATGCCCGGCCAGTCCGGTACAAATGCGAATTAATAATCCCCTCCTCTTCCCCCCTCCTTTCCGTCTACAAACGGAATCCCGTAGCTGCTACAGCTGATAGGGTAAGGCGTCCACCCGCATTGGCTTTTCCGCTCCCGCCAATCACCGAACCCCACCTGGAGGTCGAACCGATGTACTCGACGAATGAGCATATCCACGGATCCATGGGGAGCTGTCGATCACGTTCTTTGTTCATTGTTTGCTGTAACTGTGACCCAGGCTAAGTCTAGGCCTAAGACCAAGGCAGCAGGGAGCACGTCGTGTTAATTAAATTAAATGTGGCAAACCAAGGTACATTGGGGACTTTTCGTAGATCCAATGCGTTCTGGATACCGTGTTTGGTAATCTCTTCGATTAATCCCTGCTAGTGGAGAAATTATCGTTGTTATCATTGTGATTAAGGAGTGTTCGTTAACGGTCGGAACCAGAGTATTCCGTACCTGTCTGGTACAATTTCCTTAACTAAAGTCGACCAAGTCTGGAATTAATTTCATCCATATGGGACAATACCAAACACTCGATAACTCGATATTATGCCCATGCAGTCTCGAGTATAGAAAATTGTGATTGGTCTGGAAGGGTCGGACCGACTCGATCAGGCTCATTTAACCTGTCGATCAGGGGGTGAAACTGTCACGAGGCTCTTCGGCCAGCATACTCGATCGGGTAATGCGAGACGGTAAAAATCTTTTATTATGCATCCGATTTAGTTAGTCTACTTGGTGGTAGCTTTGTTCATTAAAAAGAAATTATTTACTCTGCTTTGTAATGAACGTGGGAAACTAAGTTAGTTAAATTAACTAACTAGTGATAGGACGTATACGTATAGCTAAATGAGATCTGCATTTCGAGATTTGTCCGTCTTGGCTAAGTCATGCCTTGTCAAATAGCCTGCTTTTTGCATTCTTGGTTTGATGGCTCATGAGCACGGATTCTCATTCGGGTTTAATTTACAGCAAGGACTGGTTGCCTCTACATTGTCTCACCTTACACAGCTGGTCCACATGGACCAACGGTTTGGATCTGTGTAATTGTTTCATGCAACTCGATGTCTGATTGTCAAGGTATTAATTACTACAACATTTACTGTTTTTACTATACCTCTTTCTAAAATGATACAACCGGGGGAACGTCCTAGGCTAGGGATTTCGAACGTGTCCAAATTTACTGCGATGTACCCAGGTAATAGAGGGGAAGATCTAAGCAAATGTCGTGTCCTTTCACATTTGTGAAGGGTTCAAACGCATATCCAGTCGATATTATCTGTTAAAGATATCGACTTGTAAAAGATGACTTCTATGTGTGTTAGTCATTGCCTGCGCTCTATAGGATCTCACAAATAAACAGCTGATCTCAATACTAGAAGCAATTAGGCATATTGCCAACATTCGAAAGGGCCCAGCGACTCAGAGCTTGGAAATGTGAGGAATTGACTTGCTGTAGAGGAGTTTCTACTTGCTGGTCGAGTCTATGGCACTAATCTGGTCCACTTCGACTTACCCGGGCCGTTTACTAAATCAAATCATGGAGTCACTAAACAGACCTGAAAGATCTTATTTACAGAAAGTAATTGATTTTATCCATATTATCAGAGAAATATTTGCGTTGTGTGGATTAGATTACGGGTGCGCTTATCGAGGAACGACCAGGTAGAATGAGGGGAAACGTCATCGTCGGAATAACTTCGACTTCGACCTTACCATCTCAAACTTTACCATTTAGTCACCTCTTGAATCTCTTCAGTCATCACCCCGAATACGGAGCATCAAATAACCTAGTTCCACAGTCATCCCACTCGGAACAGCACAGCCGCCGACCCATCGGAACCACTGGCTGAATCCCCATAAAAGCCCCCAAACCCACCTCCGATCTCATCTTATCTGATGTGCTGATTCATCCTCCCTCTGATGGCCTCAGCAGCATGGTGGTGTTCGTCGACCTGGACCAAGATGCCTTCACCCAGCATCCCGGATCCATACCCTTGGGGAACTCATTCCCATCCAAGCTGACCGCGCTCGCTTCCGCGACCGCGACCGCAACCGCAACCGCTTCAGCCGATTTCCCTCCCCCCACATCCTCGGACGATATCCACACCGATCGCGCCGATATCCCAGGCTTGAATATCACAGAGGAACCGATAAATCCCAACAGGAATGCCTTCTCCGCCGCCTTGAGCTGTTACCCGTACGTCCCTTCTCCGCAAACTCTCCCAGCCAGATCAATGTGCAATCGCTAATTGTGTAGTATTGTCAAGGAAATCGCTCGCGCAATCGACCTAAATACCCTCTACGACTTGTCGCGCACATGTCGCCAGTTCCATGTCAACCTGGCCCCCTTCCGGCACCAGCTGGTGCGGGAGACTCTTCGCTGTGAAAACGAGTATATCGAGACAGTCGCCGAGATGTTGGACGCCGGCACTGCGATTCCGAATAGCGTCAAGTCTGTTTTACAGCTGCTGAGCCAGGAGAGCTCGGAGTCAGGTCGGATGACGCGCGGGAAGGTGGGCAAGTGCGCGCGTGACCTGGTTGGTGACTGCGACAAATGTCGTAAGGTTGTGTGTAGGGTATGTTCCATGCTCCGGGAAAAAACGATACAACGTGGCTAATGTGTACCTTGTAGAACTGCACAATCAAGCCGCCTTCTCAACAAGCTATGAAAGCGCGTATACGTCGGCTCTGTCGAACGTGTAAATCGGCGCCCCTCTCTCATCATCTGTCAGCGAGGACGGGTGAGTTCTCTTCACATCTCGAAACGGATATCAGTGAGAACAAAGTGGCGACACTATCGCAAAATATCTGCCACTGCCATGACGCACTCTGGCTCTGTATCCATTGTGGCCAATCCCTCCGCAGCAACGATACTACCTACCGCCGCGTATGGGCCTGGCGAACCCGGTACAGCACATATCTCGGCGGAGGACTAGGTACCGGAATCGGCGAGGGCAGCCAAGGTGTGAAATGCGGACGTGGCGAAGCTTGTCTTGCGGGTCAAGAGATCGAGCTCGAAGTTGACTGTGAAGCGGATGAAGGGTCAGATACAAGCAGCACGGGCTATCATAGCCCGGTGAGTCATCCGTCTGCATCGGCATCATCGAATTATCACCATGAGCTGGTCTCGTCGGATAGCCATGATGACGAGGAGCCGGGCTATTTCCGGCAGGAGGTTATTGGGTTAGGGGGTGTTGTGAAGCACAAAGCTAAGAAGAGGGTTATGGTCGGGGCTTGTGTGCCTGAATATGAGGATGAGAGGGAGACGGGAAAGTATCTTGTTAGGGAGGAGAGTGGTTTGCATCGAGCTTGGTGTGGGTGGTGTTCGAGGGTGATTCCGGCGCAGAATGAACTTGAATAATTGGGATCCCATTATGTTGGTTGGACTAGCATTGTATCGATTCGCAGGCTCTATGCATATAATGATGTTAAACCTTATTCCTACTACTAAAGGAAAACTTATAAAAGTTGGGTTATAACGACCTTTAGGGGAACAGAAATAACAATTGACAACCGTGTGGTCGAGTGGCAAAAACTCCCACCAGCTGGCACTACAAGTGACCAACCAAGTTGCTCGGGACTTGGATGGTGTTGTCAATTAGCACCGGGAAACATCCACCCCAGAGCAGACCCTCCAAAATGACCAATAAAGTCACAGGACGAGTCACTCTGGGTTGGATGTTTTGGTTTTTTGATAATGTTTTTGAAACAGTATCAACTCGCTGGATCTTAATATCGAGTCAGATTCAAATTCAAATCGAATATGGGGTGCGGAGGAGTGTTGGTGATTTTGTGGGTTATTTTGTGCCTGATGCAAATGAGGCTATTCACAGTGTACGACAATGTACTCGGTGAGAACAGGCACAACTAATACATCTCATGTTCGATTCCTGATCTCGTCAGAATAAATCTGTATTTACAGCACTTCATAGTTTGATCAATGGATGGAACATCAGAAGAGAATGAAGCCGGCGGATTTACTGGCTACAACGTTCTTGTCTACTTGAATTTGATGAATCAAGCAAATGTATATCAAGTCATCAACATTCCTTCAGGCATCAGATGCAGATCAGTCTGGTAAAACAGAAAAAAGTACTCCTATAATGCATCGCTCCTCCATGCCAGACAGCAACCAGAATCATACACAGGGTAAACACCCTACCATCATCGTCATCATCATCATCACACAAATATCAAAAGACAAGGTTGAAATACAAAATTCGCCGAGCTAATGCGCAGTAATAGTCCTGAGAAGTCCCTTCAGCCTTGACTCTTTCGGTGGCGAAGCTTCGCGGCGGTGTCGACGACGTCGACCATCTTCACCTTCGCGCTCACGCTCACGATAGCGGCGTTCCCTTTCGGGCTTCTCTCTTTCTCTCTCTTTCTCTTTCTCTCGCTCCCGCTCTCTTTCGCGGGGCTTGCTGGGTTCAGGTTCTTCGCGAGAGCGCCGACGGGGCTTTTTCTCCTTCTCCCTCTCCCTTTCTTTCTCTTTTTCTTGCTCTTTTTCTTTCTCTGGACGAGGAGCTTCCTCTTCACGACGAGAAGTCGAGGCACTGGATCGACCGCGGGAAGTTCTCTCTTCATTGAGTGCCCGCTCGTAACTGCCATGACTTCCTTGACTTCGGGTTCTCGAAGCCCGGCGTGGCCTGTCAATAACCGGAGTCGACGTCTTAGACGTGTTGACGCGCACTAGAGGTTTGGTGGTGTCCGACTGGCCTTTGCTCATGTACTGAAGGAAGTGACGAGGTTTAGGTGGAGAAGCCGAGGTCTGCTTTGAAGAAGGAGGCGCCTTGGAGGATGGAGGTGCCTTGGAAGATGGAGGTGCCTTGGAGGATAGACTGCGCTTCAGTTTAGCCTCAACGACCGGTGGATCTGGCTCTCTCTGCTCCTTAGAGGATGCAGGTGCCTTGGAGGATAGACTGCGCTTCAATTTAGCCTCAACAATCGGTGCATCTGGCCCTCTCTGTTCCTTTGAGGAAGAGCGCTCAGAGCGTCTGGCTTTCTCTGAAGTTGAGATGCCACTTCGTTCCTTGTCTGCTTCCACGGCTGCCTTGGCTCGCAAGATTTGTACTTGACCGCGCTTCTTCTCCTCGTGCTGCCGCTTGGCTTCTTCCAAAGCTTTAGCCCATCGATTGGTGAATACCCCGCGCTCACTCTTCTGGCGTTGGGGAAGCTGACCCTTGTTTCCATCGGAGGATGTTCTGGAGTAGCGTCGTTCACGGTCTCCTGGTGAGCGCTTCTTTCGGCGGCGGGTGCCATCTTTGCTTCCCGGTGCCTCCACAGCTTCTTCCACAGTCTCTTCCAAATCACGGGATGCTTCGACAGGCTCCTCTGGTGCACGCTCTACTGGTGGTGCTCTCACAGGTACCAATGGTTCTGCAGAAGCTGGAGTTTCTTCGGGCACGGGCTCCTCGGCGGGCGCTGCTTTGGCAGGTGGTTCTTCGGCAGGTGCCGGATCAGCAGCTGGAGGTTCTGGCTCTTCAGGGGCTACCTCAATTGGTGGCTCCTCCACGGGAGGGGCTGGGGCTGGGGCTGGCTCAGGAGCAGGCTCCTCAACTGGGGGCGTAGCCTCAACTGGGGGTTCTTCCACAGGAAGCTCTTTAGCCGATTCCGGCTCAGCAGCTGGTTCTTCAGGAGCTGATTCCGTCACAGGCTCCTCAATAGGTTCCGCTTCTGGAGCGGCTGGCTCTTCAGCAGGTGCCGGCTCAACAGGTGCATCTTCTACGAGAGGAACTTCCTTGTGGGCTGCTTCTTCAGTGGGGGGTTTGGGTTCCACAACAGGCCATTCCACTGGAAGATCTTCGGCTGGAGGTGCTGGCTCTTCAGGGGCAACTTCAACAGGTACCTCCTCAACGGGCGCCGCCTCAGCCGGAGGGGCTTCAGCTGGAAGGGATTCCTCGACTGGTTCTTCAGCGGGTGGCTCCTCAACCGGTGGTTCCTCGACCGGTGGTTCCTCGACCGGTGGTTCCTCGACCGGTGGTTCCTCGACCGGTGGTTCCTCGACCGGTGGTTCCTCGACCGGTGGCTCTGCAGCAGGTGGTTCTTCGGTGGGTGCTGGCTCTGGTGCAGGGACCTCCTCGGTAGCAGGCTCCTCAGCAACTGGCTCTTCGGCAACTGGTGCTGGTTCCTCGGCAGCAGGGGCTTCAATAGCCTCAGGGGCCGGCTCATCAGCGGCCGGTTCTGGAACTGCATCTGCTGGCTCTTCCGCAGTGGGCTCCTCCACAGCAGGTTCCTCTATGGCTTCAGCCTCTGGAGTGGCAGGTTCTGTAGATACAGGTTCTTCGGGTGCTGGAGACTCTTCCACAGCAAGCTCCTCTACAACAGGTTCCTCGACTGGGGGTTCATCTTTTGGAGATTCTTCAGCAACCTCAGTCGGCACTTCCACCTCAGCAGACTCTTCAACAGGAGGATCCACGGCAGCAGGCTCTTCAATAGGAGCCTCGACGACAATATCATCTACGACGGGCTCCTCTGAAACAGGTTCCTCCACAGCTTCTGGAGGACTTTCCTCTGCTGGGGCTTCCGCAGCAGGCTCGGATTCTAGAGCGGGGGATGCATCGGCTGGAGGCTCCTCGGGTGTCTGTTCAACAATAGGCTCCTCAACTAATTCCTCTGCAGGAACTGACTCCGCCGCCGGTTCTTCGACAGTGTCTGTGGGAGAGTCCAAAGATTCCTCAGGTGCATCAGCGGGAGTAGCATCGTCAGCGGGTGCCTTCTCTTCCTCGCTAGCTACCCCAGTATTGGATTCCGGTTCTACTTCAGCCACAGCAGGCTCATCGACCGGTTGACCTTCTGGCTCAGCAGATTCCGGTGCGGGTTCTTCCTCGGTTGCAGGAGGGCTTTCAGGCTCCGCTGGTGTCATGGTCTCCGGTTCAGGGGTGGGCTCTGCTGGTTGCTCCTGCTCTGCTGATTGAACATCACCGACTTCTTCTGTTGGGAGTGCTGGTTCCTCGGGAGCATCTTCAGATTTGCCTTCCGGCTCGCCTGGTGCTTCTGGCTCGGGGGCTGCCTCGGCAGGTTTTTCCGCTGGTTGATCTGGAGTGCCATCCGCAGCCGGGGCCTCCTCTGTCGAAGTAGGTTCAGGCTCTGGTTCCGCAGCAGGTTCAGGTACAAGCTCAGGTTCAGAGTTACTAGCGCCGCCCTTCTTGTTCTTTTTCTTGTTCTTTTTCTTTCCCTTTGCTGGCGTCGCAACAACCGGTTCAGGCTCTGGCGCCGCAGGTTCACTCGTCGCGGGTGGTTCCTCCGGCTGGGCCTCGGCTTCGACCTCTGCGGGAGAATCTGCGGGAGGATCATCTGCCGGGGCTATCTCCACTGGGACCTCCTCAGCTGGAGCTTCCTCTGCTGGAGCTTCCTCTACTGGAACTTCCTCTGCTGGAGCTTCCTCTGCTGGAACTTCCTCTGGAGCTTCTTCTGCTGGAGCTTCGTCTGCTGGAGCTTCCGCTGCTGGAGGCTCTTCTGCTAGAGGCTCTTCTGCTGGAGGCTTTTCTGCTGGAGGCTCTGCTGCTGGAGCTTCTTCTGCTGGAGCTTCGTCTGCTGGAGTCTCTTCTGTCGGAGTAGGAGCCGGTTGTTCGGGTTCTGTAGCAGGTTCCGCAGCGGGCTCCGGCTCAGGCTCCGGCTCAGGCTCAGATTTGGAACCCTTCTTCTTCTTTTTCTTGGCTTTCCTCTTATCTTTTGATGACATCCCAGCAGTCGATTCGGACTCTGGCTCCGTAGGTTCTGGTGGTGGAGGCTCGCTCGCCACAGGCAGTTCTTCCGGTTGAGCTTCGGCTTCGACGACTGCGGGAGGATCCTCAGCCGGAGCTTCCTCCACTGAAGATTCCGCTACTGGAGCTTCCTCCGCTGGAACCTCCTCTGCTGGAGCCTCCTCTGCTGGAGCCTCCTCTGCTGGAACCTCCTCCGCTGGGGCCTCCTCTGCTGGAGCCTCCTCTACTGGAACCTTCTCTACTGGGGTTTCCTCTGCTGGAGCCTCCTCTGCTGGAGCCTCCTCTGCTGGAGCCTCCTCTGCTGGAGCCTCCTCTGCTGGAGCCTCCTCTGCTGGAACCTCCTCCGCTGGGGCCTCCTCTGCTGGAGCTTCCTCTGTCGGGGTGGGAGCCGGTTGTTCGGGTTCTGCAGCAGGTTCCGCAGCGGACTCAGGCTCCGGCTCAGGCTCGGACTTGGCACCCTTCTTTTTCTTCTTCTTGGCGTTTTTCCTTTGCTTTGCGCTCATGGTAGCCTCTGGTTTTTCTGATTGAGCTTCGTCTGCTGCTTCAGCCGCAGGCGCTTCCTCTGGCGGAGCTACATCTTCAGGCGTGTCCGCAGGCTCCTCGGTAATCGGGGGAGCTTCTTCTAATGAATTTGTTGGAGTATCGGCGTTGGCCCCATCAGCGTCACCTTTGGCTGCTTCAGCCGCAGCCTCTTCTTCAGCTGCAATTCTTGCGGCCTCAGCCGCGGCCTCCTTCTCAGCCTCTACCTTGTCGGCTCCCTCTTCAGGGTCACAATCTGGAAAAGCATCGTCTGTCAAGTAGGTTAGTAATGAGGTATCCAAGCTAATCAACTTTAATCAACATTTACCATTGTTTCCACCGTCATCGGGCTTGGCGCTATCGTCTGCAGCTGGCGCCTCTTCCTTCGGCTCTGGCTCTGAACCTTCCGCAGCAGGCTCTTGAGGGGCTTCCTCTGGGACAGCGTCCCCTTCTGCGTTCGGCGAAGGCTCATCTCCAGCAGGCGCATCTGCACTTTCTGCTTTGACGTCTGTGTCGGCGCCATCAAGGGCGTCAGTTGGCTCGGCGGGTGTTACCTCTGTTGATTATGTCCCTCAAGTGAGTAGCTCTTCAGATTAAGATTATATGATCTTAACTCAGTGTAAGATTATACTTACCAGCAGATTCTGGAGATTCTGGAGATTCCGAGTTCTCGGCTGGTGCGGATTCTTCTACTGCGGGTTCGGCCGGGGCGTCTTCCTTTGTTTCGGTGCTGGGGTCTTTGTTGTCCTGGTCATTTCCCCCCGTCAGACGATCGGTCGATCCATTGATGTGATAACTTGCGAATTGGGATTTTTCATAATCATAAGTTTGATATTGAAGCTGCACCGTCTGGTACTGGAATTGGGAAATGTTTGCATACTTGAAACCCGAGGGCATCTTCCGGTGTTAAAGCCGGGGGCTCGCCAGTAGCCTCGATGAGATCTTTGTTATCGTTGGTGTCGGGTTTTGGTGTGGTAGTGCTAGCGGGAGGGGCGTTCTTGTTCTTATTCTTCTTCTTGTTCTTGGCCATAGCCTCGGGGTTAATGACGTATCATAAAGCAAGGCGCGGAATGCTAAATGGACTGGTATCAGATGATAATCGAACGAGTATAGAGTGACAAGACACAATCGGGCCGGAAGCAAAGGTACTTTGGAGGAGTAAGAAAATGAGTAAGAAGATGAAGTTTAAAAAAAGTCGAAACACTTGGGCTAGGTACTCCTGTATTAGAAGACCGAACAGGCAAGAAGCATATGCTTGTTCCTCTGGCGACAAAAAGAATTGCAATTGGACGACTATGGTGAGGCAGCGTATAAGGGTTCGCCTGGCCCCCGTGGTGGATGGTAACCAAGACTAGCTGCAGTTGCAGTCATTGGGCCCTTGAACGTCATCAACGAACTGCCCGATGATCGTGAATCCCATTGGGCCACGTCGCATTCGGTCTCCATAATGTGGTACTAAAATGGGGGGATTAGTGAAGGGCCTTGATTACAGAGGGCCGGGTGAGAGCAGCACAGTCTCCACTTGCAGCTGCAGCAAGCGGTGGACTCGGATTAAGAGGGAAACACAATTGGCCCAGTTAGGTAAAGCAAAGCTGCATGGAGAACCCAGTTTTGGTGAAGTGGGGTGGTAAGTGGCACCAGCTAATTTTTCCATTGCTATTCTCTTAACTCTGTTGGCAATTGTCGCCATTCTGTACAGGTACAAACGGCACGGTGGTTGGGAAAACAAAAATGGACCCGAATTGATGTGGGGTCACAAACAAATCGAGTGGTCAGTAACAAAGCCACACCGGAAAAAGAAGCTGCAGCGTACCCAGGGGGAATCCCCAAGGCCCAAGTAGAAAAATAAAAGAAAACAAAAGTGATGCAAGTCGAAAGACCCCATTTCTGCCCAACGTCCCCGGTAATGGCGGCAAATGAAATGCAGGCCTGGCGCCGGTGGGGAGACAAAAGACGAAGCAGATTGAGGTTCAGAACGGAGAGGGCCCGGCGCTGGGAGAGACTGACACTCCTTGGGTAATTGTTTGACCCATTTTTGACTTCCCAAAAGGCGGGAATGAAGGCGAATGGAGTCAATTCGTAGTCATCAAGTCTCCACTCTGCGACACCGACACTTCACCAGGTCGATCATCTCTCACCCGATGGAACAATTCCTAGAATTGAGTCATGTGAGTTGCTCCAGGTTACTGCTTGGTACAGTAAGGGTGCACATGGTTGGAATGGAGATTGGGTAATCTCGACCATAATGCTTCAATCGTGCAGGAGAAGCAAGAAGGAAGTTGTGGAACAAGGATTTGGTCGGGATCAGGTGACGCAGACCGTGATTGCTTTACGTTTCACATTTTTACATTTTACGTTTTTGGGGATTTTCGTTCATTGAATTATCTGATCAATAACTTCTGGACTCGGGCCCTTAAGGGCACCAATAATTGTCTTGTCTGTTGCTCAACCCCAATGAAGCGGGTTGCATCGCCACCTAAACATTCTGGGTCACTAGTTACTACGGAGCGGCCCGATGTTCCCAAGTTCCAACACCCGATCGATTGTACAACGATATTCTGGAACGAAAATTAAGTCAACTGACTATTTAATGTTCTGCAGGCCGAATATCCATGTCATTTCTGACTAACTACGGCGCTTCACTTTCAAATTTAATAGGCGATGATTTTAGAGCCATCGAAATCCATGCGTGTTCAAAATCAGATGGATCTCACATCCTCATATCTCAAACTGCTAGTGCCTGACCACGTCAAAAATAACAAGTCAGTGGTGGGTTGCTAATGGTAGATCACAACCTGGCACTGAGCTAAATTGACTAGGCACTTAGTCCGTCCCCTTGATTATCGAAGACCTCGACTCTTGGGCAGAACCATTCGGGATTTGATTCAAGCCTCTACTTCTAAAGAGTTCAGATTGAATAGACTTCAATAGTCATCTCATAGGAATTATTGAGAATGTTCCACCATGGTTTCTGTACTCCGATTCAGCAATTTCATTGTAGATCTAACCTTCTTCCAATCTATTTCAACACCACCCGACTTCTCCATCTCACAAAGATCCAGTGTAGTGACCAATAGTCAGCTAGTGCAGGAGACTACTGCAGATGACGAATCATTCGTCTTTGAATTATGCATGTCCCCGAATCCCCGCTGCAACCATCAAATTTCCCCGCTCGACTCCTGATCTGCAGGCCATTCGGGGGATGTTTGCCTATATCGATGTGATTTCGGCCCTATTGGCTACCTTGATTATGACCATAGTGCGCGAATATGGGTGTCAACAATTCCTCCATAGATCGAGAAAAGACGTAGCCTTATTTGAAATAGGTGATACCAGATGATCAGTCGGGTATCAAGGGTAATCAGTCTAGCATGACATCTGATGTGTAGTGGTCAACGCCCTATGTCCTTATTGGATCCTTTGATACTCCGTACTTTAGTGGTTAAACTTGTATCCCCTCGAAGACCGACGACTTCAGTACTGTAGGACTGATGTTCCCAGCCTCTCAAACGTGTATGTAAACATCCAAAAATGGTTTCAAGTAGCAAAGCGATATAATATAAAACAGCCTGGTCATCTTCCGTAGCAATATCTTACAATCTTGGAATCTATCACACTAGGTACATCCATTTCCATCACTCGTAGTCCTTCAACTCCTTAAAAACATGTGAAATCCCAGCCAACTCATTGCCAGACTCACACCGATCCAACCCATGAAGTGCATTAGACGAGATATTTCCCACACGCAACAACCTCTCTCTCTTCTCAGCATCGTCAATTTGAGATACTAATCCGTTCCACGCCTCAGCATCGAACCCTCCCTCTTCTTTGATAACGCCCATCTTGTACCCCAAACACCCAGCATAGCAGTGCGTTTCAGGTGTTACCTTCTGTGTCTCCTCAAATTTCTTGGCATCATCTTCTCCGATGTTTCCATCGTTTATGCAATCTGCGCGGGCTTCGGAGTATTGCTTCATTATGGCGTTCTTTACCTCGACACTGTCCTCGACATTGTTACTTGGGGATTGGCCCTCCGTTTGCAGGAGTTTCACGGATTGAGGAGCTGGTCTGCTTATCTTTGATCATGTCAGAAACTTTGTAAATTTTTGATTGCTTTCAGCTGGAGGGTTGGTATATACAGTAGGTCCAAAAAGTGTAAAGACCAGTGGAGTTATAAATGTGCGGGTCCACATGATGCTCTTGGTTGATCGATGTGTTGGAAGGGATGGAAGAGCTCGGATATAGTTGTTTCAAATGTTGCGGTTGATTCTTTATGAAATAATGAGATCAGTGGAATACGTTGATCCGATATACGTGAAAACTCTCCCGTTAAATAGACAAGGACCTACTACAGAGTACAGGGCTGACTGTGATGTCACTTTTCCCCAGATATTTGCAGATCATTGTTGATTAAACCTATTGCAACATTGCAACTGAATTGCTGGATCATAATAGGCCGTTTCCCCCCCCCCCTTGCGTGGTGCATTTTTAACCATATCCCCACACATTCTTGGGATTCTTAATGCCCAACTCTGAAACACTTATATGAATGATCAATCATTGAATCAAGGAGAACATGAAGGTGTTGCATCATCAAAAGGGGCGAAAGAGCCTTGATGGGGCTTGGATCCGGATCTAGTAACAAATACACCTCACTCGCTATGATTTGGGTCTAAGTGACTCAGAGCGTCCAATGGCGGAACATTTGGTAAACTGAAAGTAGCACGGGATTTATTTAAGCCCGGTGAATATGTCGATTTTGCAAAGTCTTCGGTATTTCAGCGCAGCTAGACTGTCTTATCTTACTTATTTCAGAAAACAAGGTGTAGTAGTCTATCTTCCTGTGGCCAGGGTGTATCAGGCTATTTGTTCACGTTCTGGTGTACAGCCAAGAGGCGCATTGAATCAGTAGCTAGGCATGTCATAGGAAAACCAAGCTAAAATTGTACCATGTGAAAGTTGACTGGAATTAGAACTAATGATCACTGGCTGGAATTGTTTCTTCGCAGTCTTAGAAACTGAAATGAGCATCATTCACGGATCAAGGAATCCCGCCAAGAGAGCGGACAATGACTAGTGGTAACAATAGAAAGGACCTTGAAATGCAACCCGCTCAGAACCAAGAAGCAACGCTGGAAATTATAGAATCATCACCATTTCTCAGATGAACAGCTTCCAAACCCTTGGAAGAGAGTGACCAAACATATACCTTGAGCGCCGTTAGAAAGTCGCTACTGGCTGTCGCGCGCGAGATCACTTCATGTGCTCGTTCATCTTCTGTCTCCATCGAGGGCCACATGCCTTCATGAAAAGAATGGTGGAAGCGCTGGCAAAGCCGAGGACTCCTAGTATTGTGAAGAGCCAACCGTTCCCAACAAGACTGATGAGTGGAGCTGTGATAAGGGATCCCACGCAGGAAAATATATTTCGGACAAAGTTGTTCAAGGCAACACCATTGGATGATTTTCTCGGCATGAACTCGGTCAGCATAGTGGTTACCATACTGAATATAAGCATAGAGCCAATTCCGAAGAAAAAGTTGGCAATAATCTATTACCGATATTAATATCGTCAAACATGGGAAAGGAAATGATTTAACAGACCGGTACCAACCAGAAAACACCTTTATCTACGGTCCAGCCATACCAAATCAGAGCGGCTGGATACAGGAAAGCACCGAGCCAAGCATTCTCTTTCATGCGATCCTCTGGGTGAAATACTAACCTCCCCTTTTCGTCGTATCGGTTTGCCCTTTTCGCTTCTCGGTACATGATAGCATCCATCCATCGTCCACCAAAAGAACTGGCGACGAAGTAACCCAAGGAATTGGGGATATAGAGGCAGCCAATGATGATGGTGCTGAAGTTGTATGGTGGTTTGCCAAATGTGTCTTCAATACTGACGTTCAACACATAAAGAGATCCGAAGGCAATACTGCCATAGTACACACTCAGAAGCACCGGGATGTACCGCAAGTAGAATACAATTTTCAAAGGATCGATGAAGTTTATCTTCAGGAGCTTCAGCCATCTAGCTGTGGACTTGACCACTTGCTGAGTCGATACGCGACTGAGTGGGCGGCCCATGGGATCTTCGTCTTGGTCGACAGGGGGCAGCATAGGCTTTTGTACCCTCAAAGTTTCCGGCAGGGCAAAGAGGATAAATATGAGTATGAGACCACCGAGAACGGCCGAAAACCATAAAGTACTTCGCCAACCCCAGCGTTGGGCCAGAAGGCCACCAACGATGGGTGCCAGCAAGGGTCCACACAAAGGCCCCAGGTAGAAGATACTCATTGCATGGCCTCGTTCGTGAACCTCCCATATGTCTGCAATGGATCCCGCACCCACGGCCTGGACTGAGGCGGCGGCGCCTCCCATAAGCATTCGCATGACAATCAACATGGCGATTGTATCGGAAATGGTGGAAAGGATATTAAAAACAACGAAAAGAAGTAACGAAGTCAGATAAATGGTTCGTCGACCAAGTCGTTCACTAAATGATGACCACCATAGAGGACAAATTGACATGGCCAGCATGTACAAGGAGATAGAGAGGTTGGTTAAGGTGGGTGTTGTGTTCAAGTCCTTGGATACTTGAGATAGCGAAGCTGGGCAAAGAATGGTCAGTATGAAGGGACAGGGTCAATCCACAAGACTTACGAAAGAAGATTGAGCTTCCTAGCGGTGCTAGCATCCCGGCCGTTGCAACAATAAACGTGATAAACCATTTCGTGTTTCGGGGATACGTCCTCGGGTCTTCGACCTCCGCGATTAGAGTGAGTTGGCCAAATAAGCCTCTTCGCTTCAGTCGTGGTACCACGATTGATTGACCAAGCTCTGTAGATTGACGCGCCAAAGGTCGTGGTACTTCTGGATCGTGATTCTTTTCATGATCATAGTCGGTGATATCAGAACCGCCAGATCGCCCGTGGGACAGGAAGACCGAGTCGTGAATTTCTGACCCAATTTCATGAATTCCGGTGCTGCTAGCTGGCAAACCGGATTTAGGCAATGACATTTTCATTTTTTCGCCAATTTTCGCGATGGAACTGGGCATTCAGTGGTCACAAATTGAACGAGTTTCGACAAGTCCGGGGATCTATCCCGTGAGTGAGATCGACAAGACAGACAACAGCCCCGTTGTGGATATAAAAGAATTGTAATAAACTCCTGAAGATCGATAAGACAGGACCCTATGAAACGCCGTAGCCCATGATCGTCAATGCTGCAGTGCTTTATCGGGCCAAGGCTGACGAATGAACTGAGTCCAATTTGGCTGCAGGATCACTGAAAGAGCTAGTGATAAGGAGTATTAATTATATGCCAAGGAAGAAGAATATGATAGGATAGTCAAGAAGCCGGAAAACCGAGAAACTCAGAAGCCGACGTAGCGACCAGATACCAAAACAGGCAGGCGTGGATGAGTAGAAAGCAGGAACAGGCAGTATTCGGTCTAATGATTCTTGATAAGTAACTTATTGATATTTTAACTCTTTTTGTCTGTGAATTTTGGATATGAAAGGAAATCTCAAGGGAGAAAAGCGTCAAAGGTGATATCTTGAGCTGAAGGAATCAAGATCATGAGGGTCCATCATATCAACTGCGGATCACCGGCAATACCGTGCCGAGGGTGACCAGGACACTACGTGATCCTCTTACAGAAGAAAAAAAGCGGATAAATCTCCGGTCTTTCTCATGAATAGCAATGTTTCATCCTTCATGAACTCGGAGATAGGAATCCAATCAGCTGGGCCAGTGATGGGAGGAGCCAGTTATCGTCAAGTATGGTAGGGCCGATCTCCGCAAAAACGAAAAGTGGAGCAATGCCATGGTGAGGGGTATGGAAAGTTTCTTATAAAATTAGCAGACGACAGCAAATGAAGCATGAACGTCTCGATAGACTCATCTTGGCTCTTATAGTCCAAATTGCGTGATGGGGAAACGGACCCGACATATCGCATGGCATTTATATCCTTCACAGCGATCAATGGCAATGATTTAAGTTTGAAGACCGAGTCCCTCACGACAGATTAGCAAATGCCCAAAAACTCACGTTCAAAGCCTACCAGTTGACAAGAGACGCAGGCTGGCACGGTCGCTCATCTGCAAGGAGGTGATTAATAAGCCCGCTGGGAATCGAGCTATTTATGAAATCGCGTTGAACTGACGGTGAGTTCGACTTTCATTCAATCTATCTCTTCAAATCTTGAATTAAAATCAGCAAGGAGAGTATCAACTCGAATACAATCAACACAACAAATTCTATCGCGTTGGTATATATTAGAGCCCCTTTCCCCGCCAAACCCTCCATACCCCGCATCCACTTCAAAACATCTCCAACAATGACTGCCCCTATCCCCATTAAGATTGAGGAGGTCCAAGCCCACCTGGCCCAGTACAAAGACGAGAAATATGTCGATGGATGGGCTTCGCTCTGGGATAAGGGCGGCAAGCTGCCCTGGGATAGGGGATTCCCGAACCCAGCCCTGGAGGATACACTGATCCAGCAGCGAGCCACCATTGGCGGCGGGCCCATGGCCCAGGATGCACAAGGCCAGTCATACAGGCGCAAGGCTTTAGTACCTGGCTGTGGCAGAGGCGTTGATGTGCTTCTCCTGGCCAGTTTTGGATTTGATGCCTATGGCCTTGAATACAGCGCAGCTGCCGTTGAAGAATGCAAGAAGGAGAAGACAGAGAATGACAGTTGGTACCGGGTTCGAGATCAGACGATTGGACGAGGCAAGGTCACATTTGTGCAGGGTGACTTTTTTGACGATGCGTGGTTACAATCTATTGGTGTGTCGCTGAATGGATTTGATGTGATCTATGACTACACAGTGAGTAACCATCCTGTTGCATTTTTTTTCACTACTTTTGTTGACTGTTCCCATTCTGACGGTGTCCAGTTCTTCTGTGCCTTGAGCCCAGAGCTTCGACCCAAGTGGGCGCTCCGCCACACTCAGCTTCTGGCTCCCTCTCCGAAGGGTAATTTGATCTGTCTCGAGTTCCCCCGCCACAAGGACCCTCTGGCTGCTGGACCCCCATTCGCCGTGTCCTCGGAGGCGTACGTGGAACACTTGAGCCACCCAGGCGAGGAAATCCCATATGATGCCAAGGGCTTGATCAAGCAAGATCCCCTGCGGGCGCCTAGCAAATCTGGCCTTGAGCGAGTGGCCTACTGGCGGCCTGAGCGGACCCACGAAAATGGACAAGGCGAGAACGGGGTGATTCATGATAGAGTTTCTATCTGGCGCAGATGTAACTAAAATCCCCGTTGGTATGTTTGATGGGCTTAAAAAAAGAAAAGAACCAAATATAAATCTCCGTGATCGATCTATCGTCCTCGGAGCATTGAGATATGTTTATTTCTGGTTGTTGCACACAAATGGTGTGACCTCAACCGCTTTTATGACTGCTTTGTAAGAGCGTTATAGTGCTCACCCAGCCCGTAGGAGTGGCGATAGTACGCCAGCCAAATAACACGCTTAAGCCTTTCCTCTTCGTCAAACTTATCCATATCACCCGATTCAATCTTCTCCATTCGTCCATCACTTTGGACGATATTAATCTCCAGCCCATATGCCCGAGCAATTGCCTGCAGCTCCAACTGCCCACCCCACTCTGCGGTGAGCTTAATTTTCCGCGTGTACACATCCAATGGTTCCTCCATGAATGCCTCGAAGTCGTCTTTATTTTGCGTGATGAAGTCCGCTGTCACAGCCCGAACTGCGCGGTAGCCGTCATGTTGTGGCGATGCAACGGTATCGATGCGGGATTGTGTCGTCGTCTCGAGTACAATTCGGCTTGGGTCCGGCCGCAAGCCAAGTCCGGCATCGTCCAGCTGCTTGGCAATGGATGAATAAAGGCAATGTCCGTCGGGTGTAACTTCGATTTCTTTCAATCCCAGCTTCTTGAACACAGCATCCATCACCTCCTTCTCATTGCCTCTGTAGTCTGTTTGGTTGGCAGCCTCTTCGGCCGCAGCCTCGGCTGCCGCAGCTTGCTCAGCTGCTCGACGGGCCAGGCGGGCCTTTTGGCGGTTGGGCTTTCTGATGTGGGGGGTAGATTCGGAGGTGGGGGTTGGTTCTTCTGGCTTTGTATCGTTGACAGTGTCGTTGGATTCGGGATTGGTGGGTGTTTCGTCCTCCAGGTTGAGATCCTCCAAGCCTTCCACCGGCTCGGATGAAGTGCCGTTTAGTTGAGCGATTTCGTCTTGGTGCTTCTCAGTGAGATCTCGCTGCATGCGCTCACAATCATCATTGATTCCTTTGCGGGTCTTCTTGGTCGCGGACTTTTTCTTCTGGGTAATGCGCCCTTGTAAGTCTTTTTGCTCTTTGCGGTGCTTTGCTAAAAGGTCGTCCATAATGGGCAAGCAGAAAGACACAATCTACTCAACACAAAAATCAAGAAAATGACGCAATCAACAATCAACGCCGGAGCAAATGCACTAGACAACAAAGTAAGACGCAAACTCGCCCCGCGAAACCCTGACTTTGCTGCCCTAAGTTGCGTCCCGATTTGGGAAAAGTATGAATAAGCACCGGACTATCGGAGGAAGTATTTGACCGGTGTACCTCGGCCTGCCCGCATTCTCGGTCCGGGGTAGTAGCGGAGGAGCTGGGGAGGTCATAAAGCGATGAGACTACGCTGACTGAACCCTGACGAACTATTCAGATCTTCAGCCATGGATTCCGAAAGTCTTTTCAATGTCAAGGTTAGTGAAAAGGACAGATATGTTGCCGGATACCCTATACTGCCTCCTCAAAACGCAGCTATAACCCTGGTACCTACTAACTCGTCCTAGGGCAAAGTAGTGCTGGTCACTGGCGGTGCTAAGGGAATTGGGCGAATGATTTCTCAAGGATTCGTAACCAACGGCGCGACTGGTTGTTCACCTCCTCAAGCTGTCTAGCATCTTATTGTCCCAAACACTCTTCTGACTGTGACCTTCAGTGTACATCTCCTCGCGCGATGCAAAGGCCTGCGATCAGGCTGTGAATGAGCTTAATGCGCTAGGGAAGGGCAAGGCGCATGCTATTCCCGCCGACTTCTACAAGTATGAAGATGTGAAGAAGCTGGCCGAGGAACTGGGCAAACGTGAAAGCAGTTAGTCACTCATTTTGTGTTTGAACTTTGCAGTGAGAAACAATTTCTAACCTAAAACATCGCAGAGCTGCATATCCTAGTTAACAACTCCGGTTCGAACTGGGGCGCCCCCTACGACGAGTATCCCACCGAGGCTTTCACCCGCGTCCTCACACTCAACCTACACCGTGTCTTCGATCTCACGCAGCTTGTGACTCCATTGTTGGAGAAGGCGGCTGCGGAGAATGACCCGGCACGTATTATCAACATTGGAAGTGTGGATGGTCTCCGTGTCCCTTCGCTGGAAACATTTGCCTATAGTTCCAGTAAAGCAGGCCTCCATCACCTTTCCCGGGTACTCGCAAATCACCTGGGCAAGCGAAACATCACGTATGGACTACCAACCTTGCTTTCCTTCTATGGGCCTATGCTGACTACCATCTCCATATAGATCGAACACCTTGGCCTGCGGCCCCTTTGAGAGTAAAATGATGGCAGCGACACTGAAGACTTTCGGTGAAGCCATCAAGTCTGGGATCCCGCTAGGCCGAATTGGTACACCCCAAGATGTGGCAGGTGCTTGCTTGTTCTTGAGTAGCCGGGCAGGTGCGTATGTGAACGGTGCAACCATCCCGGTGGACGGGGGTAGTGTTATCGCTGCCAAGATTTAAGGTGCTCGCTAAACGCGCCAGGTGATCAAATACATTTGTGGGCTGTGTATGTAGATTATCCAATAGCAAGCTTCCATTATTCACTGTATATCTATTTTTTTCATAATCAACATTCCGGGGCCCCGATGCGGGGGGTCTTGGGCCGAATCGTAGGCTTTTCTATCTGACATTCCGGTGGGAGGTTGGGCAAAAGCATATTCGCAAGTAGGGATCATTGCTTTTTTCTTATAATCTTTTATAATGCTTTTTTATGACTGTTTAAAAAGTAAAACTTCAATTGATCTAAAAGTTCCCATCGCCTTTGACCCAATACGGTTATCCGGTTTGGGCTTATCATTAGCTTATCGGAAGCAACTCGAAGGTGGAGCGGCGACATCATCGTTTCTTATGCCGTCATTCTAGCAGATCATCCGGCCATCCCACCTTCGCACAACATATATTTGATTCTAAACGGCTCTTTTGACTCCATACATCTGGTTTGTACACCGTATTCAATTGAAACTAGGACTGTCTCATTCCGTGATCCAGGTTCCCCCTGTCTCAATTGTTGACCTTCCAAAACCCGCGGCTTCCAATCACCTTCTCTACATAAATTGGAAAAGCTGTGTCCAGATCAAAAGCACAATCTGTTGTGTTTTTTCATTATCTTGTCTTTCCAAAATTCCTACCCCGGAAAAGTAGGGAAAGTGAAAGTCGGTGTGGAAACACACACAACCCGCCTTGCGTTACCATTCTCGGAATCTAGATTGCCTTCTCCGCTTCCCCTCCCCCTCTGCGCGACCATACCATGAGCTCGTCAAACGGCCGCTCCGAACGCCCCGAACGGGCCGGCTCCATCGATCCCCTATCTCATCCGGATATATACTATGGAAATGAAGATTCTCGTGCAAGGATTCGCCGCGGGCGCGCCTTCTCGGCGGTAAGCAGCCACATTGTTTGTGTGTACGCCCGGACATCTGACTGACTCTTATTTCTACGCACAGAGTTTGAAGGATTACAGTCGTGAGGATATCCATGAGTTCCTTGGGACTTTGCCTTCACGGCGAGGAAGTCACGGTAAGCTCCTCAGCAACAAATCCCTCGGACTGCAATTAACGCCACTCAGATGAGTCTAGCCACAAACCCCGCAAGTTCTTTATCAACGTCGATGAAACACTCGATGCCCTGTTGAAACAGGAAGACACCGATCAGAACATGCAGATCACGATCGAGGACCTTGGACCAAAGGTATGTCTAGCAATCACACCCAGGGCTGTCGGCTGCTAACTCTAGTAGACGCTTTCCATTGGAACAGCGGCTTCGTCGGGATACAACCGTGTTGACGTTCGCGGTACTTATATGCTGTCCAACCTTCTCCAGGAACTTACAATCGCGAAAGACTACGGTCGCAAGCATATTGAGCTTGATGAGGTTCGCCTTAGCGAGAACCCAGTGTCTCGGCTCTCGCGGTTGATCAAGAACTCCTTCTGGAAAGCACTGACCAGACGAATTGATGGCTCAAATATCGAGGTAGCGGGCAGAGACCCTAAGGATTGGACATCCGACCCACGACCTCGCATTTACATCCCACCGGGTGCCCCGGCGCAGTTTGAATACTATTCCAAAATCGCCGAGAAGCACCCGGAATTACGTTTAGACGTGGTGATGCTGGATGCTGATATCACTCCGGATTATGTCATGAAACTCAGCGAGAAGCCGGGGTTGCTGGCACTTGCAATGCAAAAAAAAGTTGATGAAGCTGGAAACGAGGATCTAGAAGGCGTTCCGTTCGTGGTGCCCGGAGGTCGATTCAACGAACTGTACGGATGGGATAGCTACATGGAGTCTCTGGGACTCCTGGTAAGCGATCGAGTTGATCTTGCCAAGGGCATGGTCGTCAATTTCTGCTTCGAAATCAAGCACTACGGAAAGATCCTCAATGCCAACCGATCCTACTACCTGACTCGCTCGCAGCCTCCCTTCCTGACTGACATGGCACTCCGTGTCTACGAGCGGATTAAGCAAGAGCCAGATGCAAGGGAGTTCCTTCGAAATGCAGTCCTCGCTGCAATCAAGGAATACCATAGTGTGTGGGCCTGTGAACCACGTCTGGACCCGATTACTGGGCTCTCGAGATATAGACCCGAGGGATGGGGTGTGCCGCCGGAGACAGAGCCTACTCATTTCACCCACATCCTGATGCCATACGCGAAGAAGCACGGCATGACCTTTGAGGAATTCGTTAAAGCGTACAACTCCCGCGAGGTGAGCGAGCCTGAACTCGATGAGTATTTCCTGCATGACCGAGCGGTGCGTGAGTCTGGTCATGATACCAGTTACCGTTTGGAGCGTGTGTGCGCGAACCTGGCTACTGTCGATCTCAACTCTCTGCTTTACAAATACGAAGTGGATATCGCCTGGATTATTCGAACCCACTTCAAAGATAAGCTGGAGATCCCGGTGGAATTCACCACTCCGCAGACACAAGGCATCGAGTTTGAAAGCTCAGCTTCCTGGGACCGGCGTGCCCGCAAGCGCAAGCAGCGCATGGATCAATTATGCTGGAATGCTGAGAAAGGCATGTTCTTCGACTACGATACTGTCAAGAAGGAACAAACCGACTATGAAACCGCAACAACCTTCTGGGCCATGTGGGCCGGTCTCGCAACTCCATCTCAGGCAGCTGCGATGGTAGAGAAGGCTTTGCCTCGGCTTGAAGCTTACGGTGGTCTAGTATCTGGAACAGAGGAATCCAGAGGTCCCGTGGGCTTGGAGCGACCCAACCGACAGTGGGATTATCCATATGGCTGGGCGCCGCAGCAGATGCTCGCTTGGACTGCATTCCTGCGCTACGGATACCAGGATGATGCGGAGAGACTGGCTTACAAATGGCTTTATATGATCACCAAGGCCTTCGTCGATTTCAACGGTGTGGTAGTGGAGAAGTATGATGTGACACGGCCTATTGATCCACACCGCGTCGATGCCGAGTACGGCAACCAAGGCACCGACTTCAAGGGCGCACCACGTGAAGGGTAAGTTTCAACCCGATATGCTGGTTATCAGATAATTTTACTAACACCAATCGTGCAGTTTCGGCTGGGTCAATGCCAGTTATGTGTATGGATTAGAGATCCTCAATGCGCACCAACGCCGTTCTCTGGGAACTATCACCCCATACGAAACGTATAAGAAGGCGATTGATGCCCAGAATATGTACTGATCGAATTCTGGATTGAAACTGGGCTCTTGATTGCGAAGATTTCCGGACATGTTATCGGAAGCTTGGAAATACAACCGAAAAAAGAAACGGCGTTAGAACTTGGAGACTGTTTTGGTCACTCGGTTCAAAATTGGTTTGTCTCTATTGAAACGACAAATAAGAACAAGTGCTACCAAAACTGGCATTTGCATTTAAACGACATTGAGAAAGAATGAGACTTGTACAGGCGGGTTGGTGTATTGTTCGGTTCTGCGTTGATTAATTGGCTTCCTGCCCAGGTGGAGGGGGCTCAGCAAGTGCTTCATAACAGCGTGATTTTTCGAAAAGCATAAAAACATCATTTACAACCGTACCGAATTTACCCCCAAAGAGCTAGGTACTTGATACAAATAGGAACCCTGTAGATATCTACGTAGCAGCCCCCGCAATCTGCATGATATCCCCGCAGACACGCCATTCGCGAAAATAACCCGGGCCCATTCGGGACTGCGGCCACCCTCCGAAACAGCAGAAATCCCGATCCATATCGAAGACGCTATCAAGAGCCCGACGTACTGCAGCTAGGGATTCAGCGCCTTACAGGGGCAATTAGCCGGTGGGGTCTAGGCGTTCCCCTGGTTTTCCCGAGGTTATTTTCGATTCTTACTGGGACCGTTTGAATATACGTTCTATGCGTATTTCCACTTTATGAGGATCTCCTTTGAAGAATGATTCTAAGTAGTATGCCTGGCTGACCTGATACAATTGATTCATATGTAGATTTCGAGCACTGGTAGAAAGGACGATAGCGCGAGGCACAGCGCTGACAGAGTGTGCATATGATGCATTTCCATATCTAGCTCTATCCGGTACGGGACCCTGTTTCTCGATCCTGGTACTCAGTAGATAACCTGCTGACACTAGACAGGGGTGTTTAATTATGAGATAGGTACAGTACAGTCAGCGTAGATGAGCCGAGGTTCAACGAAGGCGGTTAGACTGAGTCATTTGGTGATCGCCAAGCGGATCCAGTTGATTGGAGGGAGGGTTAAGTAAAAATGACCATCAGTGTCAACTGCTCCGGTCTGAATTCGTGGTGTTTTCAAGTTTGTTTCAGTTATTTCAAGGTAGATCTTTGGAACATCTTGAAGGGTTTGCGTGTCTACATTAGATACTCCATGTTCGCCCAAGGTGGATATTCGTTTTCCCCGGGAAGAACGTATATGCATGAACTTAGGGATAAATGATAATGCATCTACTGTAGATGTTGGATGGGGCTCCGTCATGTAATGTTAATTTTGTAAGGTTTTTGAGCTGCCATTCAATTATCGTATGTAATCGGAAATGACGACTTGAAGATTCGGGTTCTTCGTGGGTTGTCTGAGCCAAGATGGCCGAGTGGAGATACACTGAATACCGGGGCATAACAGGACTGTATTGATGACTCATACACTTAAACTTTGAATTCTTTTTGAACAGCTTCACATTTGAATAACTTTGGGTGGAAATTAGGGGAGAAAAAGGATGTGGTTCGGTTACGGAAATACATTCATGTCTATCTTAAGATCACAGTCTTATAGGAAGGTCAGATGAAGTCGATTTTGGACATTCTGATATGGCTGGATTGCACGTGAAAATACCGTGTATTGTAAAGTATCCCGACGCACATGTCCGACGACGTCACTGCTTCATTGTCGTTCCGATCTATTCGCGTCCTTCAACGGAGCCACAGACCTCGTTTTAGAATATCCAAAAATGTATCATTGAAATCTCTAGGCTTTATTGATGAGATACCGATAATAATTTAGTAGCTATAGAATGAGAAAAAGTGAGTGGACAATATGACTCAGGTGAGCACCTTTAAAAAACGCCGAGCCAAGTCGTCCTTTAGACCGAGGATCACCAGCGTCTGGATCCTCTCTCCCGAACCGCACCCGTAAACTCCGCCTTTCGGCGCATCGCCCGTGAACAATAAGAGAGTGGATCTTGATGTATGGTACTGAGCCTAGGCATCCTGGGGTTGAGCTGGTCCCGGTCAGCCGAGCGTTTACCGACACGACTGTGACGCATTCCAAATAAATAAGTACCCCGGTTTCCCTGCTGGGTTGTGATTGAGAATATTTTATTATTATCCCGCTTCCTCTTCTCTGTTACTCTCCTCTCTACAATTTGCATTTGTCTATTTTCTTGTCCTACAATCCAAGGACTACCTATTACCTCCCCACATACCTCGGTTGCATATTAACTTGTTTCATTGAAAACAAAAGTCATCATGGGTCTACACGAAGATGAAGATAGGCAGTTCGCTGCGGAGGTTCAGGCTGTTCAGAACTGGTGGAAGGATGATCGGTGGCGCTTCACCAAGCGTCCCTTTACTGCGGAACAGATTGTGGCAAAACGCGGAAATCTGAAAATTGAATATCCGTCTAATGTTCAAGCTAAGAAGCTTTGGAGCATACTCGAAAAGAACTGGAGGGTATGGTTGGCATCATCTATGAACTTTGATATCTTGGCTAACATGAATTGTGGAATAGAACAAGCAGGCTAGCTACACCTACGGCTGCCTGGAGCCGACTATGATCACCCAGATGTGCAAGTTCCTTGATACTATCTATGTTTCTGGCTGGCAAAGTTCGTCAACTGCCTCTTCGACCGATGAGCCTTCTCCCGATCTGGCAGATTACCCTATGGTATGTGATACTTATTGATACTTGAAGAGAAATATGTACTTACATGTATGTGTTTCACAGGACACTGTCCCCCGCAAAGTCAACCAATTGTTCATGGCACAGCTATTCCACGACCGGAAACAGCGCGAGGAGCGCCTCACCACTCCAGCGGACCAGCGGTCCAAGGTGGCAAACGTGGATTACCTCCGCCCTATCATTGCTGATGCCGATACTGGTCACGGTGGTCTGACTGCCGTCATGAAGTTGACCAAGCTATTCGTTGAGCGTGGTGCAGCTGGTATTCACATCGAGGATCAGGCACCTGGCACCAAGAAGTGCGGCCACATGGCCGGTAAGGTGCTGGTCCCTATTAGCGAGCACATCAACCGTCTCGTCGCCATCCGTGCCCAGGCCGACATCATGGGCTCCGATCTTTTGGCCATTGCCCGTACTGACTCCGAGGCCGCCACCCTCATCACCTCCACCATTGACCGCCGTGACCACGCCTTCATCGTCGGCGCCACCAACCCCAACCTCCAACCCTTGAACGAACTGATGTTTGCCGCAGAGCAATCTGGCAAGTACGGAGCTGCTCTCCAGGCCATCGAGGACCAATGGGTCGCACAGGCCGGCCTCAAGCTCTTCGACGACGCCGTCATCGATGCCATCAACGCCGGCCCCAGTGCCAACAAGCAGGGCCTTATCGAGCAGTACCTCAAGGCTGCCAAGGGCAAGAACAACAACGAAGCCCGCGCCATCGCCAAGGGCATCACCGGCGTCGATATTTACTTCGACTGGGACGCACCCCGTACCCGTGAGGGTTACTACCGTTACCAGGGCGGTACCCAGTGTGCCATCAACCGCGCTATTGCCTACGCACCTTTCGCCGACCTGATTTGGATGGAGAGCAAGCTGCCCGATTACAACCAGGCCAAGGAGTTCGCCGACGGTGTCCACGCTGTCTGGCCCGAGCAGAAGCTCGCCTATAACCTCTCCCCCTCGTTCAACTGGAAGAAGGCCATGCCCCGTGACGAGCAGGAGACCTACATCAAGCGTCTGGGTGAGCTGGGCTACTCCTGGCAGTTCATTACCCTAGCTGGTCTGCACACGACTGCGCTCATCTCGCATCAGTTTGCCAAGGCGTACGCGCAGAATGGTATGCGTGCCTATGGCGAGCTTGTTCAAGAGCCTGAGATGGACGAGGGCGTTGACGTTGTGACCCACCAGAAGTGGAGTGGTGCCAACTATGTCGATAACATGCTTAAGATGGTCTCTGGCGGTGTCAGTAGCACTGCGGCCATGGGTAAAGGTGTGACCGAGGATCAGTTCAAGAACTAGAGACTTTGACTTCGACTTGTGCTTATTTGTAGGACCTTTTGAGCCCTGGGGAAATTTGGCGTTTCATGTTTGATTGACTTTCTGTATATCCTTGATTCCCGTCGGCACTCCCTGAGTCCGAGTGTCTTTGCATTTTAAAACTAGTGCATGAGTAATTATGATGCTGCAATGAGACTACATTATGTTGAATCCTAAACAGAGTTTCGATTGTATTACCAAGCTTTGAAAAAGTGTTGAGCAAGGGGCATCAGAGTTTACTCCTTAAGCGGGGCAATTGTCCACATGTGGTGTGAAGCCGCGGCTAGTCACCACTAACATTTGAACTATGGCTTGGTGGAGCTAAAACCTTAGTAGTGACAGCTTCATTTCAAACCATTTATTCATTCCAACATATATGACAATAGAGGGCATTTTGGCCATCTGACTGTTCATGTTGAAAATACTTAATTTTGCCTTGATAACTAAATGATATATGAGATCAAAATCAGAAAAATTCAAGCACAAATTCGAAGACTGCAAGGGCCGGTGATCGTCGCTCGGAAGTCGGTTTAAGTAAAAACGCCGAAATATGGTGCATGTGGAATTGTGGATGTGGAGAAGACGTTACCGCCCTTAAATGCTGGGATCTCCCCTATCACTTCTCTCTTTTTCTGACGTAACCTTGGAAAGAAACTTATTTTTCTGTCCATTCTACAATATGGGTGTAGCACTCCCCGAACTGCAGTTCACCCCTCTGGAGGAAATCCCCTCAACCGTCTCAACTGCCCGCAAGGCGTTCCTTGAGCACAGAACCCGCGATGTCGAGTTCCGTCTCGTGCAGCTGCGCAAGCTCTACTGGGCGTGAGTTATTTCTGATTCACCGGCCAGGAATAATCATATTTAATTAACGATTCTTATTAGTATCAAGGACAACGAAGAAGAGATCGCCGAAGCTTGCACCCTGGACTTGCACAAGCCTCGCTTTGAGACCGAGCTTGCGGAGACAGGATGGATGCTGAATGATATTGTTTTCACCTGTCGCAACCTGCACAAGTGGGTTCAGGATGAGAAGGCCGCGGATATCGACCTGAATTTCAAGTTAATGAACCCTAAGATCCGAAAGGACCCCTTGGGTTGTGTGTTGGTGATTGGGTCAGTATCGCCACCCAACGTGGACTTGACCAAGGCAAGCTAATGACTCCGGCTTTCTGCAGACCCTTCAACTTCCCCTTCCAATTGACTCTTGGTCCGGTTATCGGCGCTATAGCTGCTGGTAACACCGTCGTTCTCAAGCCCAGTGAGAGCGCGCCCCGCTGCGCCGCCGTGATCCAGAAGCTTGTCGAGTCTAGCCTCGACCCCTCATGCTACCGCGTTGTCCAAGGTGGCATCGCCGAAACACAGGCCCTGTTGGCCGAGAAGTGGGATAAGATCTTCTTCACTGGTAGCACCAATGTCGGTCGTATCATCGCCAAGGCAGCCGCGCCAAATTTGACCCCCGTTGTGCTCGAGCTGGGCGGTATCAATCCTGCTTTCGTCACCAAATCCGCCGACCCGAGATTGGTCGCGCGCCGTATGCTTTGGGGCAAGCTCGTGAATGCTGGTCAGATCTGTACCTCCCAGAACTATCTGCTCGTGGACAAGACGATGGTGGACCGGGTCGTAGAGGAATTCAAGAAGGCGTACAAGGAGTTCTACCCCAACGGTGCTAAGGGGTCTCCTGATTTCTCTCACATTATCAATGAGGCCTCCTTCCGCCGCCTGAAGTCTATGCTTGATAACAGCAAGGGCAAGATTCTAATGGGTGGTACTATGGACGAGAAGGAGCTCTTCATTGACTTGACTGTTGTCCAGGTGGACTCAGTTGAGGATTCTATGTGCACCCAGGAGAGCTTCGGCCCCTTCCTTACTATTCTGCCTGTTGACAACCTGGATGAAGCCATCAGCTTGGCCAACGGTGTTTCGAGCACTCCTCTGGGTATCTACCCCTTCGGTTCCAAGGCTGAAGTCGAGAAAAGTGAGCATAGTCCCTACCCCTCTCCATTTCCTTATTCTGACAGCATACAGTTATCTCCTCTACCCGTTCAGGTGGTGTTGCCGTCAATGACGCTGCCTTGCACGTCCCCACCCTTCAATTCGGAGGTGTCGGCGACAGTGGCACTGGCGCATACCGTGGTCGTGCCAGCTTCGACGTCTGGGTTCACCGCCGCACCATCACCACCAGCCCCGGCTGGATCGAATCCATCCTTGCTATCCGCTACCCGCCATACGCGGGCAAAATTAAGATCTTCCAGGCCGCTAGTGCATTGGTGCCCGACTTTGATCGCAACGGTCAAAAGCTGACCTTCGGCTGGTTACGCTACTTCCTGACTCTGGGTGGTGGTAGTGCCACAGCTGGTGCAGGTCGTGCTGCTGCTGTTGCTGCCAGTGAGTAAATATTCTTTTCTCTATTGTTTTCTTGTGATGATCTACTCGTTATATTCCCCATTTGTGTCAAGATTTCGTTGGATTTGTGGACTTTCTGCCCACTATTTCATCTCCTTCAGACGGAGACCACAATTAAGTCCGCAATCATTTCTTTCCGGCAAATGCCCACCCGATTTCTTTTTTTAAACTGGAACGGTTGATACCCTGCTTGCTTTTCACCCTGTACATTCCTTTGACAGAAGCATCTGCTTGTGCTATTCTCAGTGGACTTGAGGTCCGCTCGTCACTCACTATACATTTTCCTTGTCATCTCAATACACTTTAAAATCCTTAATATTAATGGGGGATTCTCATTTTGGTTACTCGTCATACCTTGTGAACTTGTTCTAACTCGTTCTGTAGTTGCCTATCTAGTTCTGCAGATCATCGAGCGCCGATCAAAACTTTGAATTGGAAAGTGAATTGATTTACGAGAATGATTTCGGCAGGTTCGATTATTAGTGTACATACGAAAATAACTCTAGCGAATTAAATTTGTAGTTTAGGAATTGATCGTCCTTCATGACTCGAATTGGAAACTCAGATCCATCCTCTAACTCCGTATATGGGTTGATCTACATCAAAGTATACAATCTCGGACGAGGGAATCGCACGGTCCATCTTTTAATAATTATGAAAGGGATGCTACTTACTGTAGCCTAATGAGGGAGAGGTTACTACGAGTTGTTTGCTGTCTTGATCTGAGCACGGCTTTTGAGAAAACTTCAGTGTTCTTGGTGTTATTCGTATGTAGCTTGTATTGCTAGGTTGATATCATGTTCCAAAATGCTATAGAGAAAACCAGAGAAACCAATACCACACGCTTCATGCAGTGGCTCATGAATCATATTCAATATTCCGAAAAACGCATTATTTAGCAACGCCGCTCCACGCCGCGTCGACTCACACACAGATACTTCACACCCTTATACGGCTTGACACCCTCGCCTACACCACGGCTGCGGCGCTGATCGATATTCAGACTTTCCACCTTAATACCAGAGGGGAGCCAGCCGCGCACTGAGAAAGAGATGGATGCCGAGTTCGGCATGAGGTTGGCGTTGATTTGGGCTTTGGTTCTGCGGGGTGCGGGACGGGGAGCAGAGGAAGGGGCGAAGAATGCTGGAAGTTGCGAGGAGTTTTGAGACTGGGATTGGGATTGAGGTTGTGGAGGAGGTGTTGGGGTAGGAGGTCTGGAGAGGTTGGGAGAAGGCGAGGTAGAGGTTTTGACCGGTTCTTCTGAAACGGCCAGAGCATCACCTGCGTCTTCGGTGAGAACAGCAGCCGAACGGGATGACTTCTTGCTCGACTTTTCCGACTTGTCCGATTTTTCCTTCTTCTTCTTTTTCTTCTTCTTTGCGGGGTCGGATGACCGTTTCTTCCGGGTAGTGGTGGTAGAAGGGTTATCATAGGATGCAGGGTCTTCATAGTAGCCCTGCAGAAGGTTTGCGTTGGCATCTTCGTCGACCTCCTCGAAACTATCAAAGTCGTCTTCGGCCGATGGATAGCCTGCAACTGTGCAACGGAGAGTTGCTGTACCAGAAACAGTCCCAGCGTCACGGCCTGTGGGAACTCGCCATTCAAGCAACCCAGTATTCGGGGAGTACTGGGCATCACCACGGCTGGTCTGCATATCTGTGATATGACGCACAGCTTTAGAGATGGGAACACTGACAACAACCTCCTCTAATACTGGTCCACTGGAATTACTGCCTCCACCAAGGAAGGATGGCGTGGATGTTCCTGATCCACCTCGAGAGGGGATCGGCCGAGAGGGCTGACCAGGGAAAGTGGTATTGAGTGTTAGTCGAACCTCGAAATCTGCCCCGGTAGGACCCAGTGATTTGCGAATATCAACAAGCGCGGGAAGGAACAATTTCTCCATATGGCTGGGTGCGTGATCAAGATCTGGGTCTATCGGAAGAAGATCGACTTCATACCCAGCCAGGATGAACCGGCCATCGGGAGGTACAAAGCTGAGCTCTCCCGGCTTCTCACGCCAACGAGCCAGGCGGACACATGGATGGAAGACAGGCAAATCGATTTTGCGAGCAAGTGACTGTTGGCCTCCAGGAGCTGATAATGATAAGAGCAAGTCGGGAACTCCTGATATCCTAGCAGTGAATGCAATAGTTCCAGATACCAATGCAGAAAGTATCCTCCCAGAAGGCGCCATAGTTACAGAAAGAGATTCAATGATATCAACATATAGCTCGTTGGATGTATGCCGTACTCCGGGGCGTCGCCAGGGGATTGCGGAGCCTTGAGATGCACTAGCCGTAGCCAGTGACTGCTTCAGAGGATTGCTCGTAGTAGGTGTGGAAGTACTAAAGAAACCAGGAACATCAGAATCGAGCCAAGTACACTCAATCACTAGGAGAACTTACCCTGGTACACTTATTCCACTAAGAAGCTTCCCCATCCACCCCGGAACCTCGACAACCTCCTGCAATGAGTTGGGCTCGGTACTGCACACTACTCCCCCATCGCACATTTCATGCAGCAATTGAGCCACGACATCGTAATTAGCCTGGATCTTGGTCGATAGAAGTGGTGCGCCAACAAAGTCCTCGAGTACATCCACCACGCGATGCAGGAATTCGAGCACCAAAAGCGGCTCCGTGTCGACTTCAGTCACCGCAAGGAACAACAAATTTGACTGTATTATCGAGAATACTGTCACCGGTGGACTTGTACTAGGGAAATATAGCAAGGAAGGGCGCGGGGCAGCATGAGCTAGGTAGAGGGGCAGGATGGCCGCGGCCGAAGGCGGGCGGGCTCGGTAGACATGTTCGACGAGAGGGGCGCTGGAAAAGGGTGTCAGTGAGATTCCACATTTTTGGGGGTCACTCGCATACTTTTGCTCGTCAAATATGTAGACAGCATCGATCTCGCCGCTCATGATGGCTGTTGTTTGAAACAGGAACTCTCGGAGATGTATAGCTCACTGTCAAGCTGCGGGTTCTGCCGTGGAATCCCGCCCCGGATTACTTTTTGGCTGCACGCGATTGCCTCCGCTACTTGTACTCGCATCGGTGCTTCAAAACTAATATTGCCATTGCTTGACTTCCTTGAGATATTCTGAGAGTTTACTTCAACATTCGTCATGTCTTCCCAGCCGGATAATCGCACCTGGGAAATCCAGCAGAAGGATGCCAAACAGGCTTTGGCAGACGACAAATACGATGACTGCTTGTCCTGCAGAGTAACTGGTTCGTTATCTATGACCCGGAGCTTGATATGACTTTTTAGCCGGCTATTAAAAACCCAGTAAGCAGCTTACTAACTTCCTGGAACAGGTTCGGCAGCATTCGTTGGTCTCGGCATCTACAGTTACTATACTGGTATGAGCAACCTGCGCAAACAAGAGAAGATGATCATGCAAGGTCCTTCCAAATACAAAATGGGCTCACGACAGCTCGGTATTGCCACCATATCTGCGACTTTGATTGGTATGGGCATCTGGCGCGCAGTGAACTAGACATTTGGATGCGATGGAAGTCATATTGGATTGTTCACAATGGCATTGTACGATAAGATCTACTGGATATAGTTCCACGGCTTTGGAGTATTAAGTTTGTAATATATTGATTTGTTATACTATCACGATTGAATGATAGCTGCCACACTGGGTATCACCACACACAAATCCTTTCTATATGCTGTATGACAAGGTATAGAAAAGTAAGGGGATTGATTAGAAGAAGAAAAGCCTGGAGTAGGCGGAAATGCAGCACAACCCTATGCAAGAATGCTCGTCCTCAGTATGCACCCGAAAAGAAAAGCCACCCCCAAATCCACCCAAGTGCTGCCTGACAATCGGAAAGGAAATTCGTCATCTCGTCAACGTCGTTTGACCAAAGAGTATTTCTTAGGTGAAACGACCTCGTTTGCCTCCTCCAAACAAGTCCCGGCCATTTCCCAGCCCCGAGAGGTCAAAGAAATCCGGAACTGTGAATTTCCGCTTTGATCCCAGACTCGACCCAAGGCTGGATCCAAGGCTGTTTGGTGACTCGCGAGGAGCAAAGCGGGGGTTTGCGCGGTTGTGGTTGTTGTGGCGATGTTGCTGGCGGCCATTTCGAGACATCACTGAAACGCTGACTGGCGCGCCGTCTTGCGAGGGTGAGGTAGAGTTGTCCGGGGATTGTAAATCCATATCATCTTGATATTGAGGGAAAGTTGGACCGGCAGTGAAGGTGAATACTGTCGGAGCCCCCATCGGAGACTCTTGGGGCTGTGTAGTAGGGTTGGTGGTCTCAGGACGAGGTGTAGGGTTTGGCGTGGAGGTTGGTGCGGAGGTAGGGGCCTGGCGGGGTATGGTTTCAGACTCTTTGCGAGTGGTAGCCGGAGTAGCACTTCGGTCACGCTTCTCCGACTCGACGCGTTCCTCCTCGTCACTGCTTTGCGATCCAGTTCCGTCATGCTTCTCCGTTGCCCATTGTCGGACTTTCCACCCCTCGCCATCGCCAAGGCCTAGATTCTCCCGGTCAAGAAAATGAAGCAAATCCTCCAGGGCATCTTGGTAACCAGCTTGCCTGGCATTGGCCTGGTCACAGACTGCATTCTTGTAGAGGTTGGTCACTGATAAGGCAGCGGCCTTGAATGACTGTAGGAGTTGCTCGGATGGCTGCGGCCGCGGGGTTGAGCTCGGCAGAGAGGTATTCAACGATCTCATGGAATCCATGGCGAGATAGATAGTTCGTGATCACGTAGGGCACGTATAAGGTGTGGTTCCAAAAGGGGGAGAAAGCTGGGGTGGTCACGGATTGGTGTGATGTATCGTCGCTGGGCCAAGGATTGGTATGGTTGTCCGGGCCCTAGTAATAGTCCAACAAAAGAACAGATAAAATAATGTAGGACCTCCCAAATATGAAAATAATGAGAGAAAGGTGGAAATTTCTAGAAGCCCCCGGAGTGGTGCCCTAGCTCTATAGTAAAGTCCAAGTATACAGAGAGGGGGACTATTGAGTTCCTCACTGCAGATGATGATCTTTTGCACTGGCCCGGTAACGTGACCCCACTGCGGGGGAACTCTTATTCCGAAGTGCGCTGCTGACTCATATCCACTTATGTAATTATATGGGCCAATCAGCGCGTGCAGTGTGCCGCGCTTTCCCATTTGCTCTTCTTCAGCGCGACTGGAGGCGTTTCTTCTTTCTCGGGTTGCGATTCATTATCCCAGTATCGTGCACTGCTTTCGATCTCAGTCAACCTATGCCATCTGATTCCTTCAGAGCTGACTGAACCTTCAATCTCTTATCTGTTTTTATGTTGTGAAGCCACTTTCGTGACTTTTATCTCTTAAGCTACACGGTCAACGTGACGGAGACGTGCCTACCTTAGTTTCTTGTGCTTTGCACACTGAGGATCAAACATGGCACCAACCGCCACTGACTCTCCCCCTCAGGTGGACACACCGATGACAGATGCTAATGATGATGTTATCCCATCGATTCCCGTGGACGCGCTGGTAAGTGCTTTTGATTCTTGATTCTGCTTCAACTCATCATTATCGCATCGTTATGCGACTGTGATCTGGAGTATGTTTGCGCAAAATCATGATACTGATTACTCCCACATCTAGAGTTACCAAGCAACCCCTGACTACACGGTACATTATATAGCTTGTTCGATCCCGCTACCTCGATCAGTAACTGACGGATTTCCCCGCTAGGACTCGGAGACCAATCCGAACACCACAGCGAGCAGCATCGCAGGCGATGTTACTCTAGCAGACGGGCGACGACGCAGGTCAGAAGCCACACAACTGAGAAAAAGTATTTTGGGCAAGAAGCAAAGCCGTCTGGATGAGACTAAGGTATGATTGGGCAGTGTCTGAGAACCTTCAACGTGCACAACTGATCATCAATTCCTCAACCAGGAAGATGACTCCATTCGTCGATTCCGATACCTGCTCGGCCTCACCGATCTGTTTCGCCACTTCATCGAGACCAATCCAAACCCACGGATCAAGGAGATTATGGCTGAAATCGATCGTCAAAACGCAGAATCCGAGGAGAAGGCACGCAAAGGATCTTCGCGTTCTGGCGGTGCCAGCGGAGAACGACGTCGTCGAACCGAGCAGGAGGAAGATGCGGAGCTGCTGCAGGACGAAAAGAGTGGCGGCGAGACCACCACGGTATTCCGAGAGTCGCCAGCTTTCATCCATGGAGAGCTTCGTGACTACCAGATTGCTGGTCTGAACTGGCTTGTTTCGCTCCATGAAAATGGTATCTCTGGTATCCTGGCCGATGAGATGGGTTTGGGAAAGACCTTGCAGACCATTTCCTTCCTGGGCTATCTGCGCTATGTCGCCGGAATCACAGGCCCGCATCTTGTCGCCGTGCCAAAGTCAACGCTGGATAATTGGAAACGAGAGTTTGCCAAATGGACACCCGAAATGGACATCCTAGTCCTCCAGGGTGACAAGGAGGAGCGACAACGCCTTATCAACGACCGTCTGTCAAATGAGAACTTCGACGTGTGTATCACTAGCTACGAAATGATTCTTCGCGAAAAATCGCATCTGAAGAAGTTTGCATGGGAATACATCATTATCGACGAGGCCCACCGCATCAAGAACGAAGAATCTTCGCTGTCACAAATCATTCGTCTATTTAACTCCCGCAACCGACTGTTGATCACCGGTACTCCGTTGCAAAACAATCTTCACGAATTGTGGGCGCTGTTGAACTTTCTACTGCCGGATGTTTTTGGTGATTCCGACGCTTTCGACCAGTGGTTCTCTAACCAAGAATCTGATCAGGATACTGTTGTACAACAACTCCACCGTGTCCTTCGTCCTTTCTTGCTTCGACGTGTCAAGAGCGATGTTGAGAAGAGCCTGCTGCCCAAGCAAGAAATGAACCTTTATGTGCCCATGTCCGACATGCAGGTCAAGTGGTACCAAAAGATTCTGGAAAAAGACATTGATGCCGTCAACGGTGCGGCCGGGAAGCGCGAGTCTAAGACTCGCCTTTTGAACATTGTCATGCAATTGCGGAAGTGTTGCAACCACCCTTACCTCTTCGAGGGTGCGGAGCCTGGTCCTCCCTACACCACCGATGAGCACCTTATCTACAACTCCGGAAAAATGGCTATCTTGGATAAGCTCTTGAAGCGTATGCAGGCCGATGGCAGCCGCGTGCTCATCTTTTCCCAGATGAGCCGTGTTCTGGATATCCTCGAAGATTACTGTGTATTCCGAGAGTTCAACTACTGTCGAATTGATGGTACCACGGCCCACGAGGATCGCATTGCGGCTATCGACGACTACAACAAACCAGGGTCAGACAAGTTCATTTTCTTGCTAACTACACGTGCCGGTGGTTTGGGTATTAACCTCACCACTGCCGACATTGTGGTGCTTTTTGATAGCGATTGGAACCCCCAGGCCGATCTACAGGCCATGGACCGTGCGCATCGAATTGGTCAGACCAAGCAGGTCAAGGTTTTCAGATTTGTTACGGAGAATGCAATCGAGGAAAAGGTCCTTGAACGTGCAGCGCAGAAGTTGCGCCTGGATCAACTTGTCATCCAGCAAGGCCGCGCTCAACAACAATCCAAAAATGCTGCCTCGAAGGACGACCTTCTCGGAATGATTCAGCACGGCGCCGCCAATATTTTCGGTCCAAGAACTGGCGATGGAGGCGCTAACGACATCACCCAGGACGACTTCGATGCCATCCTTCGAAAGGGCGAAGAGCGAACAGCCAAATTGAACAAGAAATACGAGAAACTTGGTATCGATGATCTTCAGAAGTTCAGTTCCGAAAGCGCGTATGAATGGAATGGTCAGGATTTCACCGAGCGCAAGAAAGATATCGGCATGACCTGGATCAACCCGGCCAAGCGTGAACGAAAGGAACAGTTCTACTCTATCGACAAGTACTACCGTCAAGCTCTTGCCACCGGCGGGCGGACTGCCGACACTAAGCCCAGGGCTCCACGGGCTCCCAAGCAAACGACAGTTCACGACTGGCAGTTCTTCCCGCCCGGTCTTCAGGAATTGCAGGAGAAGGAAACCGCTTACTTCCACAAGGAAATTGGTTACAAGGCTGTTTTGCCTGAAGGGCCAGAAGAAGAGCTAAGTGATCGAGAAGCCGAGCGGGATCTTGAGCAACAGGAGATCGACAATTCCCAACCGCTTACTGAGGAGGAACGGGCTGAAAAGGAGCGCTTGTCGGAGGAAGGTTTTTCTACCTGGAATCGCCGTGATTTCCAACAGTTTGTTAACGGCTCAGCCAAATTCGGCCGTACCGACTACAAGGGCATTGCTACTGAGGTGGACAGCAAGGAGCCCGATGAGGTTGAGGAATATGCCGAAGTTTTCTGGCGGCGGTACACCGAGATTCAAGACTATTCTAAGTACCTCAAGGTGATCGAGCAGGGTGAGGAGAAGCTACGCAAGATGAACCACCAACGCAAGATGCTGCGCAAAAAGATGGAAATGTACCGTGTGCCCTTGCAGCAGCTCAAGATCAACTACACAGTCTCCACAACCAACAAGAAAGTGTACACCGAGGAGGAAGATCGCTTTTTGCTGGTGATGCTGGATAAGTATGGTGTTGAAGGCGATGGTCTGTACGATAAGATCCGCGATGAAGTTCGGGATTCGCCTCTTTTCCGTTTCGACTGGTTCTTCCTCAGCCGCACTCCAGTGGAGATTGGTCGTCGCTGTACCACGCTACTCAACACAGTTGCTAAGGAGTTTGAACCCGAAGGCAAGGCCAATGGGGAGGTTAAAGGAGAGGGGAAGGGCCGCGGCCGAGACCGTGACGAAGATGAAGAGAACGATGACGCGGCAGCCCCTGCAAAGAAGAAGGCTAAGAATGGCGCCACAGTAAGTTCCACTGGCTGGGTGATCTTTCCCGATGCTTGCTAACCTGTTTCAGACCAAGGCTAAACCTGCTACTAAGGTCGCTAGCAAGGGTGCCTCCGCCTCCACTTCGCGGGCGGCAAGTGTTTCGAATGCTCCCAAGTCAAAGACTCGGAAGAGATAGGCTGTTTATTGTTTCGTTTTCAAGTCAATGATTTATCTGAATTGCTGTTGTTTTTTGGGAGGCTAAGGGTGGGGTTTGGAATCGGCGTTGGCATGATTTCCCGGCATTTGTCCAATAAGATAGACAGTAATTCAAGGCTTATCTTGTGCCCAGCTACGCCTGCTTTCTGCAGAGACGGCGTCCCCCCGCTCGCATGATAGAATCATTTATGCCGATCCCTGATACGACGTGGATCGCCACTGGACACAAGAGCTTCCGGCACTAATTGTTGTCACCTGCGATGACGAAATGGCAAACATTTAAAGCAAGCTGAAGACCAACTGACCCTGATCACATTCACATTCACATTCAATTTTCTTTTTCATTTCCATTTACCAAAAATATACAAATAAAGAAGGTATGAACCCCCCTCTGGGATCATCGACTTCCCATAATCAATGCCCATTTTTAGCTCATAGTTGACCATGTGTATCGTCAAGTTTCTAAAGTCAAAGCTCCCCCGCAAAGCTCGCACCATGTCGGCAACAAAGATCAAAATCATTGCCAACCCTCAGTACCAGAGATCGGGTACAAAGTCGTACGTGCATATGATGCGCAAGTACAACTTTAACCCGACCCAACCTGGTCCCTACTTCTTCAGCAAAACCATGCACCAGACAGGCCGGCAGTACACCGATAAGGCCGTCGGTGGGCGTGCGCATATGCGCAACGTGCTGCAGAAGAGGAATGTCGACACCGACCAGGTGGGTGAGGTTGGTGCCGATGATGTGCAAAATGATTCAATGTACCTCGCTCAAGTGGGCATTGGTAGCCCGGCCCAGAACCTGAATTTGGACTTTGATACGGGGTCTGCCGATCTATGGGTAAGTCGATTACATTATTGTTACATTTGCTTTTCCCCTCCCTGATTGCTTAGCTTCGTCGTGGAACATAAATGGTTAACTAGATCGGGTTAGGTCTGGTCGACTAAATTGCCCTCGGCAACTCTGTCCCAGTACACCAATCATACGGTCTTTGACTCGAGCAAATCGAGCACTTTTGAAAACTCGGAAGGTTCGACTTGGAAGATCTCTTATGGAGATGGATCCTCTGCTTCTGGTACGGTCGGCACCGATAATGTGAATATTGGTGGTTTGGTGGTGAAGAACCAGGCTGTCGAGTTGGCAGACACTCTGTCGGCCCAATTCGCAAGCGGGGCTGGCGACGGTCTGCTGGGTCTTGCATTCGGCAGCATCAATACCGTGCAGCCCACTGCCGTAGCCACCCCGGTGGAGAACATGATCTCCCAGTCCGACATCCCGTCGACTGCCGAACTGTTCACTGCTAAGTTGGGATCATGGCGTGATGCCGATGAGCCTGACAAGGGCGAATCATTCTACACATTTGGCTTCATTGACCAGGCTACTGTGACGGCAGCTGGGGCCGATATCACCTACACCCCTGTGGACAAGAGCCAAGGATTCTGGTTGTTCAATTCTACTTCCGCGACCGTCAATGGAAAGACGATCACGCGGTCTGGAAACACTGCCATTGCTGACACTGGTACTACTTTGGCTCTTGTGGATGATGCAACCTGCAAGGCTATCTATGATACTATTGAGGGAGCCTACTATGATAGTGACAGCCAGGGATACATCTATCCTTCCGATACTACTGTCGATAAGCTGCCTGTAGTGTCCTTCGCAGTCGGCGACAAGCAATTTGCTGTGCAGAAGGAGGATTTGGGCTTCAGCGAGGCAAAGACCGGATATGTTTATGGTGGAATCCAGAGCCGTGGCGACATGACCATGGATATTCTGGGTGATACCTTCTTGAAGGGAATTTACGCAGTGAGTTATTCTATTATTGGCTTGAACGAGATGGGATTTGCTAATCCGGAGTTTAATAGGTGTTTGACGTTGGCAACACTCAATTTGGTGCTGTCCAGCGCAAGGAACTTAACCAGAACCTTGCTACTCCTCCTTCCGAGTAAATTATTAGATAAATGTCATCCTCAGATAATCTGTCCTTTACGTTGTGAGGGCCACCTTTTCCGGTATTAGGTCTTTGAATATTATGAAATTTACCTTCCCTGGCTTAGTTGATGCTTTGGTAATTTGAGATTACTACGAATCTCTAGTTTGGTGACTTGTTTCCAATGACAACGATAGTTGCAGAAAAAAGCCACGGCAATCGGAAGTGCTATTACTCCATTTCGGAACACTTGACCTGCGATCCAATCACTTTCCCTGCAGCTTTCTTGGCAGGTGCTAGGAGTGTCCGTGGTACTCAGAGGTCCACAAATTCAAATGAAGATATGTGTTCAATTCAATGTAAACTTCCAAGGTTATCAATGCTAAAGCTATCATGACATGCCAATAACAACTTTTCCCGTCTTACCATATCCCTTTTCAACAGCATCATCCAACGTGACCATCTCAAACTCCTTCTCATCCTGTGCCCTCAATAGTCCTTGGTCAATCCAGTCATTGATAGACCGTAGTTGCTCCGCCATCTCTTCCACGGAGGGTATGAGAGAATTGCATCCAAGAAGCGATAATCCCTTGCGGTATGTTTGGAATACATTCAGTGAAATACTTTTGTCAACATCTCCTTTAGGAGCTGAAATCCATGCATAGCGCCCATTAATTGCCAATTGTGCCATTGCCGCCGACATCAACGCTAGATCTCCCACAGTGTCGACAATCACATCCACCCCCTTTCCATTGGTAAGACTCGCGATTCTGTTTTTGAGCACAAAAGCAATGTCCTCGGTAGCCAAGACAATATCAGTGTTCGAGTGATCTCGTCTCGCTGCCGTGAATACCCGCTTGGCTCCCATTACTCGAGCCATTTGCACGGCTGCAGACCCGACGGCTCCATTTGAGCCCAGTACGAGCACGGTGTCATTTGCATTTACCTGTGCACGGCTAAGACACATAAATGCAGTTGTAAAGGGAACACCAACGGTGGCGGCTTGGAGGTGTGATAGAGAGGTGGGTTTTTCGACAAGTGCAGCTTGCGGTATCAAGCAGTATTGTGCGTGCGTTCCATCGACGCTGAATCCTAGAGTTGATCCACTAGTTCCGTAGACGCTTTTGCCTATCCAGGATTCGGCGTTGGCGTCTGCGACATCGACTACCACGCCTGAGTAGTCGCGACCTGGAACCCGAGGGAATGTGGTATATGGGAAACCACCTTGGGAGTTCAGTCGATCAGAGGGTTGGATTGAGGCATAGTGTATTTGAACCAATGCGTAACCTGGTTTCAGGCTCGGGATGGGTAGAAGTGCCTTTGCGACTGTCGGAGGTGCATTCACGGTGGCACGAGTTAATTGAAGTGCTTTCATTGTGGGTTGATTCATTGCATGCACTCAATTGTAACCTTTTCCTCAATTGTCGACCGCTGCTTTGTGCTGAGGAAGTTCAAAGGCCTTGAAAATGTAATCGAATTAAGCTATTTGAAATGTCGGCAGTTAGAGTGACACAGGAAGCGCTTTATATACCCACTTGCCTTTCAAATACCCTTTCGGGATGATGACCGGCATTGAAAATTCCCGGCGCTGGTGCTAGGCCGTGCGGGCCGCGCGGGCCATGCGGTAGATTCGGGATCCCAGCACTATCAAGCCTTATCAATCAGTGAAGCCGATCCCGAGCCGACGGAAATTTTAGGGTTTTCGCCGAGAGATCGAAATCTTTGTTGAGTCCCAAGTTACTTAAGTGAGCGTGAGAAAATGCTTCTCTTTTTTCAACGACTGACCAGACCGAGTCAGCCGTAATAACTGACACGACTTTGTCCTCGAATGCGCACAATATGAACGACTCAGGTAAGAATCGACAGAGTTTAAAAACCCCGACAAATTCCCCGGAGCTAATTTTGCGCCTCAGAAAACACGTTTGCGCCGGACAGCAATATGGATCCCGAACAGCGTTCAATCGCCCCCGATCCTTCTCATACATCCTTAGACGAAAAACGAGATGCATCCTATCCAACACCAAAAACTTTTCCTCACGAAGTGGCTTTCGTGATTGTCGTCTGCGCCGCCCAGCTTATGACACAAGCAGGCCTGGCATTATCAATTGCACCCCTGAAACAAATTAGCGAAAGTTTCAACAGCACTCCACAGAAACTGACTTGGGCTTCGTCAGCATATAGTCTGACGGTTGGAACGTTCATCCTGGTATCTGGAAGACTGGGTGACGTGTATGGCCATCGATTGATATTCATCATTGGTTTCATATGGTTCGCTCTCTGGTCTCTTCTGGCCGGTTTCTCTGTGTGGTCAAATCCCAGATTCTTTGATTGTTGTCGTGCCTTCCAGGGAATCGGCCCTGCGCTTCTTCTTCCAAATGCTGTCGCCATCTTAGGAAGAACATACCCACCAGGTCAGCGAAAGGGCATGGTATTTTGTCTGTTCGGGGCTGTAGCACCGGGAGGATTCGTTATCGGCGCAACTTTTTCGTCACTGATTGCTGAGAAGTTGTGGTGGCCCTGGGCATATTGGATATGTGCGATTGCCTGTGTGATATTTGCTCTGCTTGGATTCCTAGTGATTCCTTATATGCCACAAGAAAAGCCGCGACCTGACCTCTCCACACTTGCTCGACTGGATGGACTTGGAGCTACGCTCGGGGTCTCAGGTATGATTCTGTTCAACTTTGCCTGGAACCAGGCCGCGACTGTTGGCTGGCAAGTTCCCTACAACTACGCTCTACTGATTGTGGGTATTTTGATCATCGGGGCTTTCCTTTATGTTGAAAGCAAGGCTGCATACCCCCTCCTTCCCCGTTCAGTCTTCAAAGGCGAGACGGGCTGGGTTCTTGGCTGTATTTGCGCTGGCTGGTCTTCATTCGGGGTCGTGGTGTTCTACTACTATGCCATCATGACCAACATTGAGTCAAATACTGGGCTTCTTGTGACGGCCAAGTTCTCCGGTGCTGCTGTGTCAGGCGCCATTGCAGCTGTGACTACTGCTGTGCTTCTCGGGCACCTTCCAGCCTGCGTGATAATGTTCATCGCCATGGTGGCCTTCGCCGCAGGTCAGGCGTTGTTAGTTTCGTTGCCCATCGGCCAGATTTACTGGGCCAACGCGTTCTTGATCACCATTATCACACCCTGGGGAATGTAAGAAGCCCTGAAGTCCTTGGAAACACAATGAAATATGCTAACTCAATAACAGGGACATGTCCTTCCCGTCTGGTATCTTGATTTTGAGCAATGCTATGCCAACTGAGGATCAAGGTGTTGCCGGGTCGCTCGTGACCACGGCTGTGAATTACTCGATTTCATTGGGATTGGGCTTTGCTGGAGTTGTGGAGAGCTATGTCAACGACGATGGCCAAGCCATTCTGAAAGGATACCGCGGAGCCTCGTACATGGGGCTTGGGTTGGCTGGATTGGGTGTCATTGTTGCGACCAGTTTTATGATCGTGACGTGGGCGAGATCATCCAAGAAGAATCTGTAATACACACATTGTAGCCCACTAGGGCAGTAATCAATTAATAGAGCCGGTTTCCCACTGATCTAGAGGGGAAGTTGAAAATCCATGGCCCATAAATAATCCAAATCAAGAGGAAGCTGAGCTGCCAGTGATGGGCTAAGTGACGTAGTGTCCTGTAAAAGATGTTCCTCCGTTCCAGGGTCAGGTGCAGATGGTCCGACGATTCGTTCAAGCGCTTCTATACCCTTCCGCTTCTTGTTCAATGAAGCCTTAACGAGCTGCCGAGCAGTGGAGAGCGCCTCCTTAGCCAGATGTGTGTTAAAATGATCGACAATAAGTTCCAAGACGTCCATCGTCTCCGAGAGCTTTTCAAAACTTGCGTCTGTATCTATAACAAGCAAAGAACAGGCGAATTGAAACACCGTACCAACAACATTCCACCACGGATGACCTTGACTGGCCAGCCTTCGCGCTGCTGATAGAGCGGCTGTTCCGACTGCGATAATCCGGTCATCCTGTCCCTGTCGGAGGCCTGGATCCATGACGCGGAGTCGACGGTAGATACCCAATGCAAGATCTGCCCGCAGTAATACAAGAAAATCATGGTCGACCTTTGTATCAGATAGTTTGTCCAAGGCCGAAAGTAGTTCCTGTATGAGAACCTCCGGATCATCAGTGATTTGGTTTGTGGGTATGGTGGCAACGAGACTGCATAATTGTGATGTGAAATCCCCAGCTCCTCCTCGCGATGTCGAATTGTAGTTTTCAAGGATTTGACGATTTAATGACATGATAGATCTTCCATATTCGAATGCGATGAGAACATGAACGCAGTTGGCCACTTGGGCTGTTCGATGGATGATATCGGAAGTCTCCGGATTTGGGGCATCGTTGCCAATCGCCTGCATTATAAATTCAGGGGCATGGTGTAGACCGGCCGCTTCAACGAGGTGCATAATACTGCAGCTGCAAAGCCAAGCCACATGAGGTCGCCCGGTGCATCGAATATAAATTGTTCGAAGTATCCACGCTGCGATGATTTCCAGGGTAGGAAAGCGACTGATAACATCATCTTCGAGAATATCCTTCGCATGTAAGATTATCCATGATTCTGTATCCTCGTGCAGTGGAGATTTGAACAAAGATGCCAGCCCGAGAATTCCACAAATCAAAGCTTCGAACGCCAGGCCTTGAGGCTGTCCGTGCCAATGCTTCTCGCAAAGCATATAGATACGACCCATATCTAGAAACCCAAAGACAGGATGTATAACAGCAGTGTAGATGTCAATGAGGCTCCTTACTGTATTCCATGGAATTTCTCCTGCGATCTTGTGGGAAACTGTACAGGGTGGCTCTTTACGAACACCAGTATGATATGCGAACGAGTGCAGACGGGGAAGTTTCATCGCCTGGACTTCCAAGCCAACATAAAGTGGAAATGCAATACATGAATATCTTCCTACATACCGAGGTCTTGACGGCTCGATAACTCCGGGTAGGATGGATGAATCGGTGCTTTGATTTGACGTCGCTGATAGGGGTGTCAATCGGGTCATTTTTGCGGATGACTGGGATGATGATCCATCCAGAGGCGCCGAGCGCTTGAAAGCTGTTGATGGAGCCCTAGCATCATATTCACATTCGTAATCATACCCTTTGCAGACATTGCAAGGGTTTTTGCCATCGCATTTCCTTTTGCGTCGGCGACAAGGGAGACAGGCTTGTCTGGAGCGTTGTCGCATCGGCCCCGGGGTTTTTGAGGGCTCCGGTGGGCCTAGAACATGCTGCTGCTGGGCCGACATAGCGAACCCCTAGTCTTTGCCAGTTTCAGGTGAGGTTTCAATTGGCTGAGATGTCAACGGTGGACGTGCTTGACATTGATAGGCCCCTTTTGCAACGCCAATATTATAGAGAGTTTCTATGCACAACCTTGGAATATTGCTTGAATATCTTGTGATTTTACAATATTGAAAATTTTAATTCATCAGTATTGCAATGGCGAAAAGAGGATTTATCTCACGGTTGTGATCGATAAATTGGGATGAAGTACTCCGTAGAAAACCGAGGTAACTGAGCTGTGCCAAGGCCACAACTATTGATGCCTATAAAGTCAGGCGCCAAGGAGACTTAATCGCAGGTTAAGACATGCATGTATGCAGAAAAGACAAAGCACAATGAGTCTAGGTAACATGTGAATCTACTTCAAAAATTATCCACATGTATTAGGAAGATTCTACCTGTAATGAGCACTACTTACTATATCAAGAGTAGTGAAGGTTAGAATATTTCCAATTATCCATACATACCCTTACATTAATATCTGCCCAGGTGCATATGTACATGTGATTTCTGCGCATACTCAAATATTAACAGTTACATGGACAGTCAAGTGCAGCCTATATTTTGTACTTAATCGCTCTTCCTCTATATCAATTTTCATACCGACTTCCTCCAGGCTCCCGCCAATGCAAAAAGTTTTTCTTGGACCATTCGGGTAATTCAAATTCATCAAAAGCAACATAAGGTCACGGTTAAAATGAAAAGACCTATTTAGTCTGACACTGAAGCAATAAGATCGTCAAATTTTCAAAGTTACAAGTTACAACTGAGTAAGTCTAGTCCTAAAAGGAAACAGCCCAGAACAAGAGTTTAAGAGAATTAAGTTGGTGGGGCAAAAGCGATAAGATAACTATGGACCCGGGATATAGTTAATCCGGCCCCGCAATCGCGAAAAGGACGCGCCAAGCCTTTGATCTTTGTAAGTCGTGATATTATGACTGCTTCTACATCTTCTGCTTTTCCTTGACAGCGAATCTGACACTCGGTTAATTTCAATTGTCGATCAAATTCCAGATCATCTCATTTCACAACCTTGATTCAACCAAAATACATTGAGAGTATCGCCAAGCCTTCGCGTCTCGGTTTCTTATTTGATTGGTCAATTTTAATACGTCCAGCTCCCAGGTCGAATATCGAGTGATCATTCATTCGAGGGAGCATGTATCAGGCTATGGGTCTCGAGCCGCCTGAGTCGCCCGAGTCGGAACGCCCTGAAGCGATGGCTGCCCAGCTTTTGAATCATTCCAACAGCTCTCCCACGCGCAAGACTACCTCGAACAAACCCCAGGACCAACAGGATACGCATGAAACTTGCCAGTCAAAACGGCCTGGAGCCATGGATTCCAGTTTTGAAATCGTTGTGCCGACAGTGGACAATGAAAGCGAGTATGAGTACCTACCAGGCCATTTCACCGTCCGCCGGATATTGAAGTTGGATTCCGAAAACACCCAAAAGCCCTCATACACTGTCAGACTTCTTAGTGGGGAGAGACAAACGGTAAGAAATCACAGAAAATGCTTATAGTACCTTCTGATATCCATCCTCTAACCTCGCGACTGTCTACTAGATGAGCTTTGACCGACTCATGCAGCTTAAAAACAGTTCGCAAGCTTTAGATCAGTTTAACCCTGATTCAGACTCCAGTGACGATCTCGCAATGATCTTCAGGAATTGTCAACGTCGCAAGTTGCCCGCATTTGGTGATGATGGTGCAAGATCCGAAGAAGAAATCGACCCCGACTTTCACGGATCTACAAGCCGTCGCGGCCGTCGCCTTGCTTCTAAACGTGCTGAATATGCTCATTATTTTCGCATCGAGAGTGGTAATGAATCCAAAGAATCTGATACTCCAGAAAGCTCGGATGATGAGCTCAGCGCTCCTCTTGCCCCTATCAAAGGCAGGCTACGCCGGGGGAGAAAAGGCAGGCGCCTATTATCTATGGATGAAGATTCCGACAACAATAAAGTCACACGTAAGTCAACCCGGAAAAGAAGAAACGTTCAAAAAGACATGCGAGAACGACTCGAAGAAGATGTTTTGCAAGCTGAAAGCGTGAGCCCACGTCGACCGAAATACACCGGCGCCAAAGAAGTCTTCCGAGAACTTGAGCGTGATGACGAGTTCCGTAACAGCCATTTCGCATGCTGCTCTACCTGCAATTGGTATGAGGATGACAAAGAGAAGGGAGTTCTTGTGTTTTGCCAAGGCTGCAGCTCATCATACCATCAATTCTGCCTTGGACCCCGTGGAAGCCGAGAGCATCTTGTCACCAAAATTGAGGAAGGGAACTTCATCCTTCAGTGCCGGCGTTGCCTTGGTAGCTCTTACGAGAAGCATGATATCCGCCCTCATCTTGGCCGCTGTGCGGAGTGTAGGGAGGAAGGTCAAATGTCCCGACCACTTCGACCGCGCTTCACCTCGAAGGAAGAGCAACAATTGCGCATCGATAACGGCGGCAAAGACCCGGTCACTCAAATTGACATGGCTCTGGTCAACAATCCAGACAACGTTCTATTCAGATGTGCCAGTTGTCATCGAGCATATCACGCTGAGCATCTCCCTCAAATGAATGAAACGGGCGAAACGGATGAAATGGACCCTCCCAGCGAACCCAAACGCTGGCAATGCCACGATTGCTCTTTTGCGCCGGGCGAAATAGAGATGCTAGTGGCCTGGCGCCCCAATCAATCCAATGTTGACAAGGTGGAATTTGAAATCTTGCCTGAACTTATTCCAGAGATTGACAAAGAATACCTGGTCAAATGGAAAGGAAAATCCTATTTCCGCGTAACTTGGATGCGTGGTGATTGGGTATGGGGTGTCAGCAGTCCCGCCATGTTGCGGGCATTCTATAATAACCCCAGAAAAGCGATAGTCACAGAGGAGGAGGCGATCCCTGAAGAGAACCTCCGGGTAGACATTGTTTTCAATGTATCTCGGGCAAAGAAATTGACCGAATATGAGGCCCACAATCCTGAGATGGTTCGAGAGGCATACGTCAAATACAAGGGCCTGAATTACGAAGAGTCTGTCTGGGAGATTCCCCCTAGGCCAGATGAGACCGAGCGATGGGAGGACTTCAAGAACGCGTTCCAAGATTGGTTGCGCCGAGACAAAATCGCCCCTCCGGACCGAAAAACACTCAAAAACCATCTCGAAGACATTCGCGAACTGGATTTTGGTTCTGATTTGGCTTTACCAGAACAGCCAGAAATGATCACCGGTGGCCAGCTCATGGACTATCAGGTTGAGGGCGTGAATTGGCTTTACTACAAGCATGTAACGCAAGTGAATGCCATTCTGGCAGATGACATGGGTCTTGGAAAGACAGTCCAAGTCATCGGCCTATTTGCGACGCTTATTCAGAGGCATAAGTGCTGGCCATTCTTGGTAGTTGCCCCGAATTCAACGGTCCCTAATTGGCGGCGTGAGATCAAGTCATGGGCACCCGAAATTCAAGTCGTCACGTACTTCGGCTCTGCGTATGCGCGTCAGATGGCTTGTGAACATGAAATGTTCCCGAAAGGTGGCAGCCGTCTCTCCTGTCATGTGGTCATTGCTTCATATGAGAGCATGATTGACGACGAAGCGAAGAGGGTTTTGTCCAGGGTTCGTTGGGCTGGTTTGGTGGTCGATGAGGGTCAACGCCTGAAAAATGATAGATCCCAGCTTTACGAGCGCCTTGCTAGCATGAAGTTTGACTTTAAAGTTCTTCTCACCGGCACGCCGCTTCAGAACAACATCCGGGAATTATTCAATCTCCTTCAATTCCTCGACCCAATAGCGCACAAGGCTGAGGCGCTGGAAGAGAAGTTCGGAGAACTCACTTCGGAGAATATTAGGACTCTTCACAAATTGATTAATCCGTACTTTCTCCGTCGTACCAAAGCCGAGGTCTTGCCCTTCCTACCGCCAATGGTGCAAATCATTGTGCCTGTTTCGATGTCCTTTGTGCAAAAGAAGCTGTACAAATCAATTTTGGGCAAAAATCCTATGCTGATCAAGGCGATTTGCACGACAAACGCCAGTCAGCTCAAGAAACAAGAAAAGCACAACCTGAACAACATCCTTATGCAGCTCAGAAAGTGTCTTTGTCATCCATTTGTTTACAGTGGAGAAATTGAGGAAGTCACGAACGATTCCACTCTGGATCACCAGCGCTTGGTGCAGGCTTCTGGCAAATTCGAGCTTCTGAACTTGATGCTGCCGAAGCTGCACGCGCGTGGTCACCGTGTATTGATTTTCAGCCAATTCCTTGAAAACTTGGATCTTGTTGAAGATTTTCTCACCGGGCTTAATTTGCGCTATTGCCGTTTGGATGGGAGATTGGTGGCTCGGCTGAAGCAGCAGCAAATCGATAAGTTCAATGCACCAGAGTCTCCTTACTTTGCCTTTCTGCTGTCAACTCGATCCGGCGGTGTTGGGATCAATCTTGCGACCGCTGATACCGTCATAATCATGGATCCAGATTTCAACCCCAAACAGGATATGCAAGCCTTATCCCGGGCTCATCGAATCGGCCAGAAAAACACTGTCCTTGTTTACCACCTAACAACCCGAGCATCCGTGGAGGAAAAAATTATGGAAAAAGGAAAGAAAAAATTGGCCCTTGACCATGTGCTCATTGAGCGTATGGAAGACGAGGAAGATGAAGAGGACTTGGAATCCATTTTACGCCATGGCGCTCAGGCTTTGTTTGAGAATGATGATTCAGCTGATATCCATTACGACTCGGAGTCCATCGACAAACTCTTGGACCGAAGCCAGGCCGAAAAGACCGCGGAGAGGAATAAGGCCCAAGATTCCGAAAATGGCGCTGCTCAAGCAAACAACCCTCAATTCAATTTCGCTCGTGTCTGGCAGAAGGACGCTGACACTTTGGAAGAAGTGACCGTGAGTGAGGACACGCCTGTGGATGAAACCGTCTGGGCCAAAATATTGAATGAGCGCGAGGACTATGCTCGTGAGGAGGCTTTTCGCAAGGCCGAAGACTTTGGCCGTGGGAAGCGAAAGCGAGCTCAGGTCAATTACCAGAGTGTACATGATGAGGCCAACGACCCTGAAGGTACCAATTCGACAATTTTGTCCCCAGTCAAACGTCGTAGGGCCAAGGCAACCGGCGAGAGCGATGACGAATTCGAGGAGAAAGGCGAGGTTGAAGGATCTGACTCTGAAAACGACACAGCAGGGGCTGATGATGATTTGGACCTGGACCGTGGGCTCCAGCGCCAGAGAAAGACTCGTCCCTTCAAGCGTGTCCATGTTCCCGAGTTCCTCCCAACCACAAATTTGATGGGCCTTGATGGCACTTCGGATCCTATTGCGCCTTGCATTGCATGCGAAAGGCCCCATGGGCTGGGTAAGTGTCCTCTGAAAGTGGCTGGCGTTGAGCATTGTCCGCTCTGTGGGCTTGCACACCTTGGAGGACGGCGCGCTTGCCCCCATTTCCATTCCAAGCTCCAGATCCAGCGTATGCTGGAAGCATTGTCTCGAAGCAACGAGTCTCCCAGTCTTATCGCCGCGGCCAAGAGATATCTGAGGGGTGTCATTGGCTCTTTGACACAAGTCGAGCGCAGAGAATCTGCGAAACAGACCTCCCTGTCCGGCAACTCCACTCCGTCGAACCAAAGCCCTGCCCCACCGGCGTCTACTACCGCAAACCATCCTCAGCCCACTCGTACTATCTCAGAGCAGTACAGAAAGTATCCGCAGCAGGCTGATCTATCCAAACCTGTAACCAATCTCGCTACGCCAGAGACCAGCATGACCCGGCCTTCCCTCGGCACTTTCGTGCATCAGCCAGACAGAATGCCTTTGCAACAAAACGTTGTATCCACAACGACACGGCATCCCACGAGCTTGGAAACCCGCCCGGCTCATCACGTCTCACACTTCCCCCGCCCGCAATGGTCAAGCTCAGCGCTTCGGCTCAGCCCACTCGGAACCTCGCAGGCTATGCCCTTGGAGCGCCCGGCAGTCCCACAGGCCCATCAACCTCTCGCGTCCGACGCAGGAATTGTTGACTTGACTGGATCCGATGAGCTGGATAACTCTTCCACGGGGCCGTCCAATTACCTCTTTCTCAATCAACACAATTATTGACACCCCTCGGCGTACTAGGCTTTGCATTCTTGCTTCCTAGCATCTTGTTGCTTTTTTCGGTTTTCCTTTCGGTGCACTCAGTTTCAGTTCGTTTTTCACAAGCGGGGCATGGCATGGTGGGCAAGTAATTTCTCTATTTTTTTTGCCGCTACTCCGGGATTTACACGGAATTTTTCGATTTGATGGATGCTCAGCGAACGATACCCCCTTTTATGTTATGTTAAGACAGCAACATGGTGCAGTAATACAACTCGCCTTTTCCATTTTGAGATATGTATATTTGATTTGTAGACCAGGCTCTTCGAAACTAGCTTATGTGAGCATGTATTCTACGCATTTACCAATCCTCAAAAGCAAGCCGATATCAGATTGACCTTGGGGCTCATTCCAGGCACGACTGGCTGTTGTAGCCTGCAACTAAATGTGTACAGACGTGCTTGCTGTATGTGTAGCGCTCTTTGTCCATGAAAATGGCAATCTGTTGGCCCAGCCAATGACGTTAGGCCACCTCTCTGACTCAATCATAATAAAATGAGACGGAGCACCATATTCTCGATCTCTAGCTTAACATAAAGTGTTTCCTATCCCATTGTGGCGACATGACCGTTGCCGTGGCTCAACAAAGAAATTAGGGCCCCGGCAAGTCACGAGACCTGTTGCCCAACTTCAGGTCTTCGAGACAATCCACCAACAATCCTCAGGTATGTGATTTGCGACGAGAATGAAAAGACATTGACGCATTCGTTCATCAAGTACTGGGTATCCTTCCTCAGTATGGTCTCCACATGGCCAGATGGTCTCCCCACCATCCACAGGGCTTAAGTCGACGCAATGGCAGTTCTTGTTGAGTATATAGCTCGAGGCTCGATGAGGGGGCAGGTATTCCGGTAACTATTTAATTTAACACATATCAACATGTAGTCTCGGAAAGATAACTGTTCAATTGCAGAAGTTCTGTCAGGTACTAACGCTCCAGATCGCTAGAACAGCCAGCCAAATGTTGAAAGCTTGGTTGGGCTTGAGGAGAGTATTCGCAGCAAACCATACCTTGCCAAGTGGGTAAGGAGGCAATGGGTTGTTCAAATGCATGGTTGTACCAGGCTAGAGTCTCGATGTCGATGAAGCCCCTGGCTTCTGCAATGGAAGGTGTTTTAAAAGGCAACATTGAGATCTGGACTAGCCAGAGGCTGCAACTGGCCGTTTCAGCTATGAAAAAATATAGGCAGTATCTTCACATCAATGGAGCATTGTATTTCTTTTGTAGGATGTCCTTCCTCTAGTTGAAATGATTGCTGGTGGGTAGTCTGTTCTTCAATCGATACACAATCAGCGGGTCACTTTTTTGATATAGGGGAAGGGAAGGGTTGCGATTTACAATCTCGATGTTATCATATACTCGCATTTTAAGCACACAGGGGTTTTTCTTGTAAGGTACTAGGTACAACTCAATAATAAAACCTGGGGTACGAGCAATGGTCTGCTGGAAATGGCGGGGTCAAATTTGTGACGCGCTGGGGGGAGTGTCATAACCTCTCATTCACGACAACTTCAGTGAGATAAAGATTTCTGCGCTTAAGTACCACCCTCTTCAAAATCTCCTTCTTCTCTCCCCATTCCTCTTTCCTCATCACCCTCTTCCATCTTTCTTTCCTTTCCCCTCATCGTTTCTTTCTTCCAACCCCGTTCGCACACCTGCTTTCCCATATTCTTTTTTTAGTTTATCTGTATCAAGCTTGAAAGCTTTGTGTTTCCTGTGATCTACGCGCTTCTTCTGTATTTGAGACTTTGGAAACTTGTTTCGCACTCAGTATACCATAGTATACCAGAGACGCGTTCAAGATGTCATCGGCTCATTTTTTTTGTGCCCGCCCAGATGGGGGCTTGACTCCCATGATCCCGCTCGATGAGCTCCCTGTCGATCTTTCTGTCCGTGGAATACCTCGTACTATCACTGCTGCTGAGACTCAAGGTATGACTTCTTGTGGCGTTGCCACTGCTCGTTCTGAGCCATGGGTTGTTGATGGTGCTACGCCCACCGCTCTCAATGAAGATTTGAGCCAGCTCAAGTCTGCCCTCATCAAGTTCATTAGTGATGGAAACATCCCGGCCGGTGCTCGTTCTATTGTTCAGAATTTTTTGACTCGTCATCTCGATGCTGTTCCCATGGGCCAGGTTGTCTCTTCCACATCCACTCAGGACGCCCCTGCGTATGCCAATGCCCATGATTCTATGGCAACTCTCCCTGCTGCGAACTCTGCCATTGTTCAGCAGAATGCAGCCTCTGCTGGTGATGAGCGTGTACGTGCAATTCCTTCCCCCAAAGTGAACGATATACTAACCCTCATGAACAGCGCTCAATCCACCGCAAGAAGTATTGCTCTTACTGGATTCGCCATGGCGAGTGTGACTATCAGCAACAGGGTCAGCACTCCTCCCCCCATCTTTCAAAAAGACACACACTTACATTTTCAATCATAGGTTGCCTTTACAAACATGAAATGCCCGTCGAGCCTCGTTTGATTGAGGAACTTGGGCTGCGTGATATCCCTCGATGGTATCGTGAGAAGCACAATGTGCCGAGTATGCTTCACCCAACTTATCGGGCTCCCATTGCTGCCGATATGGCTCAGCTTGCCATTGGGGGTACACCCAATCGTCGTGCCATTGAGTACACCGAGGCTATGACTCCTAGCGAGCGGCCCGCTTCTTCTGACAATGCCCATCATCGTGTTGGCAACAACCGTAACAAGGCTCGCGCTGCCCAGAATGCCAAGTCGCGTGTCAATGGCCGCAATGGCAACGGAAACCGTAATGCTCCCAACGGCGTGAGCGTTATGAACAACGCCACTCATAATATCACTCCAGAGAACAGTAACAGCTCTGGAAGTCCTGTGGATAATGTTTCTTCTAAGTCCAATGGCTCCCGGGCTCCCCTTGCTGTGCAGGCGGATGTTATTAACCCTGTCTCTACTGCGTCGCAGGCACTTCAGCCTCTCATCGCCAATGAGCCGTCTACTCCGTTTGGGTCCGCTCCACTTGGGATGCATTCTTATCCCGTTACTCATCTCCTTGACAATGATGCCGTGACCCAGTCGAGCATCTTCCCGGCTCATTTCCCAGTCCGGTCCCCCCAGAACCACGTGGAGGACGGCCTGAACTTTGCCAACAGCTCGGCCCCTCCTTTCCGTCCCTCCGGAATGATTCCCCGCCGACCCTCTCGACGTTTGTTCGATTTTGGTAATGATGGTGACAGCAAGCGTCACCTTAGCCCCAAGTCTGGGTCCCCCATCGAAAACGCGAAGATTCAAGAGCGCAAGCCCGTTCCTATTCTGTCTACCATGGGAATCTTGCTGCGACGTCTCCGTGATGAGTCTGACCCAATCCACCCTCACCAGGTACTTTTCAATTTCGGCGCCATCGGTGAAGACCTCATTATGCCTCCGATGATCCAATGTCCCAAGACTGGTATTCTCATTGATCCCGAGGTTGATGAGATTGTTCCCTCGCAGGCTTCCCCTGCCATGTATATGCCTCTGTTCCGGGGCATGTATGAGGGAGCCAAATAATTCATATCAAAGATTTTAACATGTTCATACGGCATCCTGCCCTCTGAACATACAGTTGTGTCGCGACGAATAATCCTCTAATCTTTCACGACTCATGTACGCTTGCCATCTTTGGTCCCTCTTTCTTGTTCGTTTCCTCAGCCCTCCACTTACCGTTCAATCTTTTCAATATTGTTCTCTGGTTCATTTTGGTATTCCCGCTATGCTTTCCGCTATGATCTACCATCATGACATCTGACCGAACAAGTCAACAACACCCTTCCTTGGGATAATTGGGTTTCTCCAGTACTGCGAGGGACCAGAGGAGCAATAATTCAATTATCGAATATTTTCCAATTCTGGTTCCATGTCCGTGATTTCTATGATTTCTATCGCGATCTATGACTGTGCTATGTGACAATGGTGAACGACTTTCTTTATTTCCTTTGTTTTCTCTGGCTATGATTCCAGACACCTTGTTGGCTGCATGTATATGATCATGCAGCTAGAGACCCAACAGCTGGGACCTAAAGCTTTGTGTCCGGTTTATTTCGTTGCCTTTTTTTTAAATGCGTTTGTGTTTCTAAGGGCCAGCCACACCATGCTCCTTGAAGAGCTGTTGATTCGCTCAGTGGATCTTCTAGAGCTTCGGGGTCTGCTTGCCCGAGTTTGATCGAATTTTGCGTTTCTCTAGTCTTGCGTTTTTCTGTGTCGGCAGCACTAACACACCATCCAATTGTTGCTCTGCGGTGTTGTTTCCTTGCCTTGTTTTTTGACTGCGTCTTTTTGTCAACTGTGCTCGCATACCTTGCTCAATGAGCCATGGACGCGTTCCGTGGATCCTTGAGGTTATGCCTTGTTAGGAATATCTCCTTTGGGACTTGGTATTAGGAGCCTTTATGGAGATGTTCAGAACCGTGGGATTGTTTTCTGTCGCGACTAATTTCCTCCTTCTGTCTGCAGTTGATTTCTTTTTTCTTATAAAGAAAAAGAAAACAAAAGACCAAATAAAAAAAGTCTGTAATAAAATCCCGGCCCCTGGTGTATTGTGCACTTGACAAAAAGGTAGATTGTAGAGACTTGATGTTCGGGCCAGGTTGACTGGTTCTTAGGGCTACCTACCCGTTAGGTTACCCATTCCGTGACTGTCAGATATTCGAGATCAACAACTTGGTCTACAGAATCAAGTGGCAGCGAGACACCAATAAATTTGAATACAATGGCTATAGTACATCTAGAAAACATGAAGCCCGGTAAGACCTCGAGGAATATGCGCCCGCGCCTCGCCAATGGTTTTATCCAACCAACACACCAGAGAAAGAGACCACGCAAAGAAATGTACAGTGTCTGTGGACACCTCACCGACGAGCCGGCTTCTTCGCACGACCACCAACGTGAACAGCAACACGCTCCCGTTCTGCATCGGCCTTGGCCTTCAGCGCGGGGTTGAATTCGGGGAGGGAAAGAACAGCATGTCCAACGATCTGGTTACCATCCACAATAGCCTCACGCTGCTTCTCAGCATTGTAGCGCTCTGCCCGGCGAGCGGCGAGCTGTCTCCGACGCTCCTCAGTCATCTTCCAGGAGTCAGGGAATTGAGGGCGGCCCTTGGGCTTGTGGTGGCGAAGGTCTAGAGGGATATCGGCAAAGGAGTCGCCGGTCTTGGCCTCCTTGATGAGGGAGTTGACAAGATCAGCCAGGTAGCGCTTGTTCTGGGCGCGCGAGCTGAACTGTTCGCATGACATGCGCACAATGTCGGTTTGGGGGTTGTAGCGGGTGCCAGCCAGTTTGAGGAAGGTTTGACGCTGGGCTTCGGTCAAGTGCTTAGGTGTCAAGTCCTGAGTGGCAAGCTCTACGACTACCTTTGGTTCAGCGGGGTGCTGTTCACCCATGTAGGTAGTGTAACGGAAGCGCAGAATGTGGTTTTGCGGGGGCAGGGTGAAGGGGCTTGCGAGCTCTGTCGGGACATCCAATTAGCAAACTTCGGACGGACAGGAAGTATCAAAGGATCAATCATACTGCTGAGCATCGGCATATCCCACGCCGCAATGCGAGCGTACTCTCTCATTTCACGATGCACCTCCATCTCGGCATGGGCCATTGAAGTAATTTCATCGTCGTTAATTTCCTCGTCACCGTCTTCAACCAGGGCGAATTCGTCGTCTTCATCCTCGGCCCAGAAACCGCGCGCCTTGGATCGGATATCCTCGAATCTGATATCCTCCTCCTTGTCGATCTGGTTGACCCTCTTCTCCAGCTCTGCAAACGCGGCGGTGCGCTTAGCAATGTTGTTGAAGTCGGCAACAATGCGGCGGTTCTCGGAGTCGAAAGCTGCTCGTTCCTCCGGGGACATCATATCATACATAGAGCGGTCTTCCTTAGTGAGGAGGTCGGGGGAGTATTCGGGCATTGGCGGGAAGTCCTCTGGCTTCAAGTCTCTCGGCGGAGGAGGGATCACCGGGTCTTCGGAGACAAATCTGTATGGAGAAACTGAGAATTGGCGTGTCTGAATCCATCCTGAGCCCCTTTGGCACAGGATTCGAGTGGACCGTGCCAATGACCGAGTAGCAGAAGCCATTGTGGGAAGCGTGGACAGGAGACTAGAGAGCTGTATCCTTGTCGATGTTTTCCAATCTTGAAGTCCGCTATACGCTAAACCTATCTCGGACTGTATATCACGTGTTTTGGAATCGAGAATTGCCCAAAAACACGTGATGTTCATCGTTATCGATAAGCCGATAAGCCCTGATTATACATGGACCCGGTCGAGCTTGCTTCGACTGTTAGACAGCTCCATCCATCCCAGCTCTTCCGACAATTGCCAACTTAATCGCACATTGCTCATTCTACCTTCTTAATTACCATACTTCGCTCTTCCAGTCATGAAGAAGGTCTGCTTTGTGACTGTAGGGGCTACAGCACCTTTCCCGGATCTCATCCGTGCAGTGACACAGGTGCAATTCTTGGAGAAGCTTGGGAAAAATAACTTTACGCAACTTATCATCCAGCATGGAACTTATGGACGTGTTGAATTAGAAACCTTCTTGGCCACTCATGGAGATAGTGATGGACGCATCCATGGTGTTCGCATGTCTGGGTTTGCTTTCACATCCGACGTGGATTATTATATGCACTTGGCCACAGAAAGGCGGAAGGATGGTCAGGAGCTTGGTCTAGTGATCAGTCATGCCGGTAAGATATTTTATCCTCTGTAACTTCTTGATGGACACTGACCCTGCGCAGGCACTGGAACTATCTTGGAGGCTATGCGATGTGGAGCGCCGCTGGTTATTGTTCCAAACCCGGCACTTGCAAACAATCACCAGCAAGAACTTGCCATGCAAATGGAAAACCTTGGGTATGGGGTCATGTCATGGGCGGAGTAAGTACCCTATAAAGATGTACACAGAAGATAAAATTTGGTTAACAGGGCACCAGGGATATCATTTCGGCTGTTGACAAAGCCACTGAACAACTTGTCAAGAGATGCTCTGCGATCGAGGACACTGGCGAGGTTGATGTGAAGAATGCCATGCGTGATCAGCTCTCATATGTTGATTAGGTATACTTCACATCAGTGAACATAAGGAGCATTGCATATTTGAAGATTGCATGAAAGCATGGGCGTGGAGTTCGAGGTTTTTATGAAATAGTTAGTATACCTGGAGGTTTTTTGAGAGTTTTCATTAGCACGGCGTTCATGGCGAGCACAGTAGGGCCTCAAACTTATTTTCTTTCGATCATATACTTACTACAGACTCACTTTTTTTTTACAAAGATAGTTTTAATCTAATTGATCTTACGGTAAACATGGCATGTAGCAATAAGACGATTCCCGGGGTACTTGGGTATACATTCCGAGTCAACCATGTCCAAATAGCGATAAATCAAGAACTATATGGTATTTCCAATCCAACTTTATTTTATACATCTAACTATCATGTTCACTCTTTTGTTCAGTGCTAGAAAATGCATTAATTCATGGAAGTCAATCTGACCTGGATTAATCATGGTTCAGATCCGAGTGGATGTGTCTTTGGGCGACCGACCATCATTGGCCCAAGCTTCTTGTTGACAACTCCCCGACGCGAAAACATCCTACAGTAACCCCGTGAACACCAACCTATTACAATCACCTGCATTCATGTCCTATTGCCTTGGACATTGCCCTCGATCTCTCTGAGCTGCCGATCATAGGCCGTGGGGCCGTCTCATAATTATCGCGCCTCAACTCCCGAACCTCCCTTAACACCCAACCCCCCGCAATGGCTGAGGCAACCCTACACAATGTGCCAATTGTCATTGACAATGGCAGTGGTACCATTCGAGCCGGTTTTGCAGGAGAGGAAATTCCATCATGTTACTTCCCTTCGTTCGTCGGTCGTCCCAAGCACCCGCGAGTCATGGCTGGTGGTCTAGAAGGCGACTCGTTTATCGGCCAGCGCGCTCAAGAACTTCGCGGCCTGCTGAAGATCCGGTATCCTCTCGAACATGGAATCGTCACAAACTGGGAGGATATGGAATCCATCTGGCACTATGTCTATGAAAACGAGCTCAAGACCCTGCCAGAGGAACACCCTGTGCTGCTCACCGAACCTCCGCTAAACCCGCGCGCCAACCGCGATACCGCCGCACAGCTGATGTTTGAAGCGTTCAATGTGCCTGCTTTGTACATGTCTATCCAGGCCGTGCTGTCTCTTTACGCGTCTGGGCGCACAACCGGTGTGGTTTTGGACTCCGGAGATGGTGTATCCCATGCGGTGCCCGTGTTTGAAGGTTTCGCCATCCCCAATAGTATCCGGAGAATCGATGTTGCTGGTCGCGATGTCACAGAGCAGTTGCAATTGCTCCTTCGGAAAGCTGGTCATGTTTTGCACACCAGTGCTGAAAAGGAGGTTGTGCGGATGATCAAGGAGAAGGTCTGCTACGTGTCGCTGGACCCGAAGCGCGAAGAGAAGGAGTGGATGAACAGCTACCACAAATCGGATGCTAAGGCAGTTGACTATGTTTTGCCAGATGGACACAAGATCAAGGTGAGTAGACATGCGTACTTTATTTTTGGGCTCATACTGATCTGTTACCTTTTCTATAGATCGGCCAAGAACGCTACCGCGCCCCTGAAATCCTCTTCGACCCTGAATTAATCGGCCTCGAATACCCCGGTGTGCACCAAATCGTTCAGGATGCCATCAGCCGCACGGACCTGGACTTGCGCAAATCACTATACCTCAACATTGTGCTTTCCGGTGGCTCAACATTGTGCAAGAACTTCCCAGACCGTCTTATGCGCGAAATCAAGCGTCTCGCAGTTGAGGACATGAAGATCCGAATCTCCGCGCCCGCAGAGCGCAAGTATACCACATGGATTGGTGGCAGCATTCTGGCTGGCCTTAGCACATTTAGAAAGGTACGCCGGGTCACGGATCAGACATGTGAGATGAAGCTAACATACTTTTACAGATGTGGGTGAGTGCGGATGAATGGCATGAGGACCCTGAAATTATCTTCAAGCGATTCGCATAGACGAGTCGTACCCAGACGCCTTTGGCTCTTGCAAAGTTGGCAAGACAATATCCATTTCCCGATACCCTTAGGGGATCCATTTCCAGATCGATGACTGCTGTGCAGCGATCTTGGGTTCAAAGAGGGTCATAGCAGGTGATCCGCGATTACTTGGAGGCTTTTTTAGTCATGCATATCTGCGACTTTTGATACCCATTCCCCATATCCCTAGATCTCTGGTTCATGTCTTATGTGCCACACTTGATCAATTTGTGCAAATAAACTTCTTGTCTTGGAGGCTAGAGGTCCAAGCTGGATGATCACAACAAGTGGCTGTACCAATTCTGTTGTAAATTAATTGCCTTCAAATGTTTGAAATTTAACAAATTATTTTGATACCATTCTCTAAACAGGGCTATTTGACAGCTGCAAGTAACGCGACTGCTGACTCCGCGATTTTTTCTTCTGCTGCCTGTACACTGAAGTACCCGCGAAGCCTTGTCTCTCCACCGTCCCCCATCGGAAGTGGCCTGTGCATATCCATCAGGCTGTTTTCATCTTTCATAGCCCGCGAACTCTACTAACGATCCCATTCCAGAGTTCAAAGACAATTTAGGCATCCCCCATGGGAGTCTATCTACGAAACAGATCAGAATCAATGAAGCACAGGGAGATTGAGAACTTACTGGGTGACAGGCGTGACTTCTAGCCCGACATACTTTACACGATGATGAACCCACTTATCCCACCCATAGTCTAACTTGATTGCATTGGGGATAAGGCCACTTGAGACCCAATTCGAAATAGCTATGAAAATGCAACCGACGCGTGACGAAACCCTTGCAGGAATTGGGTGATCACGAGGACGAGTATTCATAGGGCTCTCCATGATGATTTAATATTCGAAGGTTTACACCGGGAAGTGGCAGTTTGAAGCTCATTTTGGGTCTTTACGGATGTTCAAACAAATCAAATAGCCGTTCGTTATTGACTTTACTATTTCTTCATTTCAATGAATCGTTTTCAACCCGATCATAAACTTTGCACCTTGTCCTGATATTCAATGAACAGCGATCTATATAGACCATACTGGAAAATGGGAAATGGGGACTCTCCTCTTCAAAAATGGCTTCGTGTTGTCTACCTGGTCTCATAGTAGGCCACCCGAAGGACTCGGATATCTATTCCTTCCATTTCGACGCATCATATCCATCCATACACCGGATATAATCCTCACCGGCTGCCACCCATCCCTTGATGCCCCCTTCCAGCACAACGCTATCCATTTCCCTATTATTCTGCCCCTCCAGATATTCCGCAAACCAAGCAGCCGCACGTGTTCCGCGGCCTCGGGAAGAACCTGCATGGGTTTCTTAGCTGACACTCTTTTAAGAAAATCCATTCGCACTAACCGCAATACCACACCACTTTAGGAACCCTGGCTTGCAACAGAATTGAATAAAGAGCAGGAATGCTAGGATACAGGCTCTGTGCTGGAAGATTTAAAGATCCCTGGATTGTGCCTCCCTATACCACTTGATTTTAGATAGGTGAATGTCGAAGAAGAAAGTATATGTACCTCAAAGTCCGTGCGACGTAGGTCGACGAGAACAAAGTCTTTGCCAACCTTCTTGCCCGCCTTGAACCATTGAAGGAGCTCAAGGCGGGAAATTGAGCCAGCCATGGTCCTTGGGGTAGGGTAAGCGGCGTGCCATGGAAGGCATGTGGGTTGTATTACGTTGTTGGAATTATTTCCGTACGGACGTGGTTGAGCTGACATGGGAGATTGTGTAAATTCGTATTAATGGAAAAGAGTGTTGGTACTAAAAGATTCAGTGTTTGATTGGAAACAACATTTGTATGGACTTTTGGATTTAGTCGATCTGGGTGGAGCGAAGCATGTCACTGCTCATCGGTGATTGGTCCGTTGTGCAAAATCTCCCCAAACTATATTGTCTTCGACTCCATTATCCTACAAGCCATTAATCTGTTTTATAATTTGTTTCAATTGATTATTGACGAGGAGGCTGGGGAATTCTCCTTGACAGATTCGATGATGTTGTCAGATATGAAAGTCACCACTCACCAAGCAGGTCTCTCGAGCTCTCAGGGACTGCAATTCCACCCATCGGATACGCCGTCGAGTCCTAGAGACGATGTCGAAAAACAAATAAACAACAAGCCCCAGGATACCCCCGACAAAAAATCTTCATTCCAAAGTCTTGGCTGGTTAGATCGGTTTCTGGCCTTGTGGATCTTTCTCGCAATGGCCATCGGGATCATACTGGGCAATTTTGTGGAAAACACGGGCCCTGCGCTGCAAAAGGGCAAATTCGTCGGGGTGTCTATTCCAATCGGTACTTGCTCATGAACTCCGTTCAATCCTCCAATGCCAGCTAACAGCTCCAGCAATCGGTCTTCTGGTCATGATGTACCCCATCCTGTGCAAAGTACGATACGAATCTTTGCACCATATTTTCCGACAGCGTGGGATCTGGATCCAGATTGCATTTAGCATTGTGGTTAATTGGATTATCGCACCTTTCTTGATGGTGGGATTCATTTTTCTCCCGGGTTCGCCATGGTGGAAGTCGCTGACATCTTATCTAGTTGGCGCTGGCGTGGGCTTTCTTGCCGGATGAACCAGAACTTCGAGAGGGTTTAATTCTAGTCGGACTGGCCAGGTGTATTGCCATGGTAAATCAAACTTCTATAATGTACCGAAATGATACTAATGGTTCATCTTTGATAGGTTCTCATATGGACCGGCCTCGCTGGCGGTGACAGTGAATACTGCGCCATCCTTGTTGCCATAAATTCACTCCTGCAGATGGTGCTTTTCGCCCCTTTAGCCATTTTCTTCATCAAGGTCATTGGCCACTCAGGCAGCCATATCACATTATCATATGCCACAGCCGCGAAAAGCGTGGCTGTGTTCCTCGGCATCCCATTAGGTGCTGCGATAATCACCCGCATTACCCTTCGAAGGATCACCAGCCCGCGCTGGTACGACCAGGTTTTCCTGAAGTGGGCAGGTCCGTGGTCTTTGATTGGGCTTCTATTCACGATCCTCGTGCTATTCGCCTCTCAGGGCCGCCAGGTGGTTCATCAGATTGTATCCGTGGTCCGAGTTGCCGCGCCCCTCGTTGTATATTTCATCGTTGTCTTTTTCGCTACTCTTCTTGTGACTTACAAGCTTGGGTTTGGCTATAAGTTAGCTGCTACTCAGAGTTTTACTGCTGCCAGCAATAATTTCGAGCTTGCTATTGCTGTCGCTGTTGCAACTTTTGGTGCTGACAGCAATCAAGCACTTGCTTCTACTGTTGGGCCGTTAATTGAAGTTCCAGTGCTGCTTGGACTTGTCTATGTTGTCAAATTCATAGCTAAACGAGTTGGTTGGACGGATTGAAATGAAAAGGGAGAAGAATAACCTTGCTTTGCAGCACTATCAACTTTCTGGATTCTGTTTGCCGAACACGATTTTGGCTTTGACGGGAAAAACTAGAGTATGGTTGGTTATATACGGCCTTGTGCCCATTTACTAATTAAAGTTGGTAAATTTTTGCGAGAAAATAATGAAATGTCTAGTCTCGGAAGTCCTGCACATGTGTATATGCCATTCCGATTCAGTAAATCAATGACAACCAGGATTAACGGTGACATTCCGTCGTCCAATCAGTGTAAACGACATAGAACCATCCCCCAATTCAAGACTTTTAGTAGCACACATTTATCTCGCTATCTAACGAGTGGAAAGAGCGAGCTATTGAGACCTTCCAAGGTTGCGGTCGCAATTGGCGGGGGAGCATACATTAGTATGCGCTGTTCCTTTCTGACCAATCAGCATTCGCCAGTGACATACTTCCTCCATGTACTCTATGTCTACTATAAATTTCACTTTTGGCATTCCTGTACTTATTCTTGTTTACATTCATTATCGAATTCATGTTCTATCATTATTTTCAGAGCTTGCCTTCGACATTGAGACCGAGAGTCTTGGGGAGACCACATCTTCTTTCAACACACTCAAAAAGCATGTCTTCTGCTATCCCGGCCACTTCCACACGCCAAACCGATGTCATCTATAGATCTTTGGCATTGTCTCCAAATGAAGATAACCCAGATATTCGCCAGAAATACCGACCATTCATCCTCAATGATGCACCCGAGGATTGGGTCAACAATCTTGACTTAGCTACAGCCCTTGACATGGCCGAGCACAACCTACAAAGCACAAAGGAGAGATTGAAAATCCTAGTCCTCTATGGCAGTTTACGAAGAAGATCGTATTCACGACTGGTAGCATACGAAGCCTCCCGCATCCTTTTCCGACTCGGTTGTGACGTACGAGTCTTCGATCCCGAAACCCTACCCGTGAAGAACGAAGTCGATACAGACCACCCGAAAGTACAAGAACTCCGGGAGCTCAGTGCGTGGAGCAATGGACATGTATGGGTCTCTCCAGAGCAGCATGGTAATCTGGTAAGCACTTCTCTCGATCCCGATTCCCAACGTTACTGTACTAACTCGAGGCTTTCACCACGCTAGACTGCCGTTTTCAAAAACCAAATTGATTGGATTCCTTTGAGCACAGGGAGTGTGCGTCCTACACAGGGCCGAACATTGGCTATTGCACAGGTGTGTGGTGGATCTCAATCATTCAATGCTGTCAACTCGTTGCGTATCCTTGGTCGGTGGATGCGCATGTTTACGATCCCGAATCAATCGTCGATTCCAAAAGCGTATACACAGTTTCCGGATGAAGGACAGCTAGAGGATCAGAGACTTTTGCCTAGTGGCAACCGGGATCGGTTGGTGGATTGCATGGAGGAATTTGTCAAGTATACTATTCTGATGCGGCCTCATATGGAGCTTTTTGGTGATCGTTTCAGCGAACGGGAAGAGAAAAGATCGAAGGCAAAGAGAGTTGCCGCATAGAGCTAGATTGAATAGACATCAATTGACTTTCTGTTGGCATAGAAAAGACCTCGCGGTAAAACACCATTATTGGTAATAAAAAAGTGGATAACGTTCAACCCCTGGAAAATGGTCCAGTGACTCAAAATAGGTACATGAAAATAGAATGATCATGCCGTAAGTTAGATTCTTCTGGCCAGATGAGACATAAAAAATTTCAAAAGAGCCACGCGGTTGCCTTCGCCTAAGAGCGGCTACCACGTTACGGCCCACGTTACCCACGCCACGATGTCGCCATTCGATGTCGGCAAGTATCCACCGAACCGGAAAGAAGCATGTTTTTTCAGCGACAAATTTTTACAGAAAAGAAAAATAGAAAATAGAAAATTACGAAAATAAAAATAAGAATAAAAATTTGAAGTCTCTGAATACCGCCGATGGCGTGCATTTCCATTGTTAGGCCCAGGGCTAGAAAGTAGTAGCTAAGGGTCGCGATAGGGGGAATATGAATCTGAATAATAAGAAATAAAGGAGACAATGAAATCGCCAGTAAAAATAAATACATGAGACTCCAGGCGGATGCGACGAGACATTCGATGAAAGTTGAAATTCGAAATAAGTCTTATGGAGACGCCATCCTAAGGAAACAGGAACAGGTTGAAAGGAAGACCGATCTTTAAAGATGCGGCACGATGTAGTAGTATTGAGGACCAGTGGTCAGACTCAACAAACGCCATCCCATGATAATTGAGTGAGGATTTCTGGAAAACGCAAAACGAAGTCGCTGGAAGTGGGTATCGGCGACGCAGTAGAATCAAGAATCAAAATCGACGGAAGTGATCGCAAATTGATCGAACCACCCATAGGTTTCTTTTCATGGTCAAGGTCGGAACCCAGTATTAGATGCGAGATAGGAGTCGAAAGGAGAAGAACTTTTGGTTTTGTTTGTCGTAAGAGGGTCGTGATATCATTTGAAACGGGGTGCATAGGTCGATGAAGTGAAGTCGATCGAATTGGATCATCTATGCAGTTCCCTTGAGCTTGCCCCAGCTCTTCTCCAGACCCCGGCGGGCCATGTCGCGAGCGCGGTCAGCCACGGATCCGGTGCTGCTGTTGGTAGCAGTGCTGGAACTGGAGTATTTGCGGCTGAGGCTGTAGTTGCTGCTGGAGTCGTCGCCGCGAGCCATCATGTTTCCGGCACCACCACGGCCGACGTGGTAGACAGGGGCGGCACGGCGAAGGTCTCGCTCAAGTTCCTCGTCGAAGCTGAAGATGGCGCGCTCAGAACTGCTGTGGACGTTGCCGGCGCCACCACGGCCAGAGGTGAAGGTCGTGGGAATGCGAGAGTCGAGGCGAGTCAAAGATGCTGGACCAGTTGCGGAGCGCGATTCAGTAGTCTTGGTGTTCTTGAGGCTGACCACATTTCCGGATCCTCCACGACCAGTGAAAACTGCAGGACGACTGGTGTGAGGCACCGAAGGGTGAGGCTCAACGACGCGGTAATTTGACGCCATTATAAAGATGTGTGTATTAAAAGCTTCAAGAGCTATGAAGAGGTCAAGGCCATGTGTTAATGTTGTGTGTGAAAGGTCGATTGAAATGATAGACCCAAACGTAGCGGGGGTGCAGATTCTTATGTAGTAAAATTAGTTTGGGGGCATAGAGTCATGTCCACGATGTCTCTGGGTCACACGGTGAGTACAAGTGGGTCTTCTTTTAAGCTGTGGAGTAATAATATTTTGGTATTTTTGATTTCCAATTTTGGTGGAGTAAAGTTGGTAAAAAATAGGAATTTCTTGTTTCAGTAGCGTCATCGTTCTCGGCAAGCGGCATTCCATAATTACTAGACTTGGACATGACTCATCCACTGAATACCACAGCAACCACCCCTGTGGCTCTTTAATTCGCTTTTATTGGTTTAAAATTTTTCTCCCCCCACTATTCTTTTCCTTGCCGCTTTAATGCTACTTCGCTGGCCTGGATCATCTGACTGGGTCTTTCACACCAATAATGGTCAGTCACACGTAACAGAAATAACTACAGCCGCCAATCAACATACACCGCGGCTAAAAACAGGGATGAGCGGTGATTTTCTGGGGGTAATGAAAACTCCCAAAATGGATTCAACCAAAGAAAAAAACCCTCATTCACTCCACATCTTTCAGCGTAGCCCGCACCTCGTGGTCTGGTTCGGATCTCTCGCTGTTTGAAGCATGTCGCCATTGCCCCGTGTCACTGTTCTAATACCCTAACTGGTTCATTGCATCATCCCGACCCGAATATTTGTAACTTTCACTCCCTATAATAGGACATCTATACTTCCGGAATATGTAAGTATATCTTAAGGAAATGTCGTGCTACCAAATAAGCAACGAAGAATTTGCAAATGGCATGAATGGAAGCTTGTTATTTCGTCTTCTTTGTCATATTTGCGCAAAACTTCGTAGCACTAGCACGCAAATAGTCTCTACTATACAAAAAAAATACGTGTACTCTTTACACCGTAAACTCTATACTCGATTTCAGGGGCCCGCTGATTTTCAGTACGATGACTCCGTGCGGGATATTTTTTTTTCTCTCTAGTTCTGTAGATCTGGTCTAGGGCCATACACTAGCCCACATGGTACCTGAGATCCTCACCAACAATTCACGCATGTCCACTTCTAAGAGTTACACTCTCTAACTAATTGACTATGTAACTAACTATAGGTTTTGCCGAGAAAGGCCAAAGCATGTTCAACGCCACAGAGGCACCCTTTTCTCGCCCCTTGCTGTACCTCGTGGCTCATCTGGGTTTTTATTTTACCAGGAACCGTCCGAAAAAGGAAAGGCGTTTCCCCAGATAAACAAGAAAAAAGGAAAAAAACAAGAGAAAAAAATCAGAAAAATAAAATGACGAAACAAAGTGGATCTACCTCAGCCAAAGAAAACTTTTCCCATCCATGTGCCCTCACTGGCCGAGGGATCCGAGTCCGGTGGATGTGGCAAATCAAAATCCAGAATGCCGTCTGTCCGTCTTGGCCGCCTTTCCCCAGATTTTCACCTTCTCTTCCCCGGACTCCGGATATGAGGCACTTGCTGTTCTTAATCAAGGCCACGGGACCATACTTGCAGCATGCAGGCAGATCCCGTGCTTTAATCTTCCTCCATTTTGGAGATTGGAGGTGAACGCTCCCCTTAGCCAGCTGCGGGCACTACTCTAATTTGTTGACCTGTACTTTCTCGTCTGTGCCTGGGCCTCGGGAACCCCGCGTTACTTTGGCTCGTACTGCCGAGGAAATGACTTTGGCCGCAAACGATGGTTGGGCTCATCGCGTGAAGGTGCCTATTGTATTAGCCCTGTCCATGGTCCGACCGTTTGCCGAATATTGGGGTAAGTCTAGTGCATTCGACCGTTCTATTTCCCTTCTAAGAAAGTGAATGGATTGGACACATACACATGACCGGCCTTGCTCTAGCGTGATGATATATGGAATCACGTAGAAGCGCTAAATTGACGCCCCTATAGATCGGAAACACCTGTTCCCCCCGCTCTTCTCTACACCCACTAATCATGCATGATGACACATAGAATATCATGCCCAACGATGTAAAAAGGCATATATTCCGCCATTTCTTGGAGTCGTACAGTCATCTACCCCCATTATTAAGTAATAGGGTCCCGCAATAAACACATGACTATCGAAGCGCAAGGGCCTCGACCACCGGGACGGTCACCGACTCTTGGGTATGCACGACCGGCAAGATGCCACGATGACGCAAGACTTTTCAATATGAGATGTTAATTGCGTTTTCAATGGTACATGTCATGTAAATTGCACCATAATCGGATGCGCTGGTTTCGATGGCGTAATTGCACGAGGCCAGACCGCAAATGGGGTGCAACATGTCCAAGGCAGCTGTTTTCGTTTTCCGAGTACCCAGGTGTCGCCTACTGCGATGGGGAACTTATGGAAATGAATCGACAAAGCGCGTGGTTATATGTATGAGTCTTTGCTCACGGACACACTCTCCTGTTGGTGTCCGTGGTGCATTGATGCAACGCTGGATTATCCGATAAATATACTGTCCATTCGATCAATTGATGTTGAAATGAAAATGCGACTCATCACCAAGCTGATTCCTACCCTAGTCATAGGTTACGGCAATTAGGCTGTGGCAAGACCATTATTCAATTGAGATGGGCCAGAGTAGAAACGATGACTCGATAACTTGGCTTCGGTCAGAATGGTGGTTAAGTTTTATTTTGAAAGGCAACTTATTCAGGTCAGTACGATCGTAGTGCTTGCCTACGATAACAACATTTCAAAGGCTTATTTTATCGCTACGCTTTCATTTGGATACTCCCAGTATACAGTATTGTACTTTTATAGTATCCTGGCTGGTAGGTACTGGAGTCGATACTGGAGTATGAAGTGTCGAGATCAGCCACCGGAGGGAGGTCGCCAAAGCTACAGAATTTTAACGCTTAGTCTAATTACCTTGTTAATATATATAGATCTTACTTATCGTACATGTTCATTAGCACAAATTAATAGGAGCTTGTCTCCTTCAATATGCTCATTTGGTCCTTCAGCTGCAACATTCGAACAACCCTTTTGTTTCTGGAGTCGAAACAGGCTCTATGGGCATTGGATGTTCGGTATACTGAATGAAAGACATGAAGCATCCACAGACTTGCCACGGTACCCTCTCCACATTACTGAGGGTATGTATTCCGGAATTGTGATAGTCCAATCTTTTATCAAAATTACCCAGACAGAGTATTCCAGGTACTTATAATTTATCATACTATCACGAGGTCTCAATTTCTGATACTTGCTCAATTCGATCCCTCAATCGATAAACCTCTTTAAAACTGTATCGATAAGGATGTGGATTTTGCCACCTTCACCGCCCTCACCTTCAACCATCCGAATTGGGAGACGACCTCCAACATGATCAACTCGGTTTCTCTTGATTGCTTATCGGGGACCTTTTGCAAGGGTAGTGTCTACAAAGCATTCACCTTTTAAACATCTCCCGATCCCCCATCTTCTAACAACCCTCCAACTGAGCTCCTCCGCACCCTGAACTGGAATTTTCCTCTCGCGCAACAGCCGAGCACGCGCAAAGAAAGCTATCAAGATGCCGAAATATAAGTTCCCTTTTGCCCTGTGTGATTGTGCTATAAATACTGACCTCATATCTACTCTTCTGTAGGTTCAAACCCCGACCTTTCCTTCAATAAACTATCTCTCATTATCCCGTCCCGCGTGCGGAGACAACGATCCAATCTTTTATACCAACCACTGCTACGATCACGCGATTCAAATGGTCTGATCACTGACTGTGATCTGATTCTAGGCGATTACTGCGATGTTTACCTCACACATGACTCCATGAGTGTGCGGAAAGCGCATAACTCTGGTCGTAACCATTTGAGGAACGTTGTGGAGTACTATCAGCGTATGTCACTGGAGATGCCTCTTGAGTGTAAGCATGGATCATATTGACAATCATCTCTAGAGATTGGCCAAGAGAAGGCTCAATCGGTCATTGACTCCATCACCTCCTCCTACGCTGCAGAAGGCCAGCCCCTCCCCAATCCCGCTATGGTGCCCGGTGCATTCCCCCCGCCATTCGGCTTCCCAGGTACGAAGACTCTTCTATCCAGCAAAATGCACATGCAACTGACACATCTCCTCTGTTGCAGGTCGACCTGGTCAAGGTCCTCCTCTTCCCTTTGGAATCCCTCCTCCCGGAGCTCCTGGCGCCCCAGGAATGCTGCCTCGTATGTCCAACCATCCAGGAGGAACCCTCCATTTACCAGAGCCTCTCTTTGGTGTCCCAGCTAATCAATTCTTTTCTCCTTGGTCAGCCCCCGGCGCTCATGGTCTTCCTTTCCCACCTCCATTCCCCGGCGCTTCAGGAACCCCGCCAACAGGAGGCTTCCCTCCCCCTGGCGCACTCCCTAACATGCCTCCTGGCGCAGGAAACCTCCCTCCCCCTCCAGGTGGCTTCCCCGCAAACTTCCCCATGCCCATCCCCGGAGGCGGTTTCCCCCCGATGCCTATGCCCGGTATGTCGAATTCGCCAATTCCTTCTGGCCCCCGCGGGTCAGAGGGCTACCCCATGCCTCCCAGAGGCGGGCCTCCTCCGGGAATGGATGAAAAATGGTAAATCAGTTGTCTTTTGATTGAATGGGTTGTTTTGAGGTGTTCTTTGGTTTTCCTCCCTCTTATTTTGATATCTCATAGTCATGATCACTACGTCCGCACGAGTAGGACGTTCTTTTTCTTGTCCTGTGACATAAACTTTTCCATTGTCGCTGGAAAGTAAAATTCTCCCTGAGGGTGTCTCTTCCTGGCGTTGTATTATAGCGTTTGGTTTGGGTTTTCTGCTCGATCTCAATACTCAATATCATGAAATGTCTCCCTTATGAGTAAACATTTGAAGGATAATAACAGATAATATGTAGAAGATTTGAGTATTATTCCCTAAATGTATGCACTAACATCGGGATCCACATGTAATCCGTGACATTGGAAGCCAAATGATCAGTATTTTGGGTGGATTGCTGCACAATTCAACGTTACTGTAATATTGAAGACATACATAGCATAGTATGTCATAAAAGAAGCTGAACATCCACCTGAACCGTATTTATTTGTCTCTCAAGTTGTGCTAGCACTAGCTCCAGAGGATAATACGCAAGCAGGATTACACTAATAGTTGAAGGAAGAAATAGAAGGTATATTTCAAAGAGCAGAAGAAATCCCCAGCCCCAACATTTGCACCGGAACACCGTAATTAACAAACGTAATCAAGAGATAGAAAAAAATACAGGTCGATCGGCAGCAAGAGTCCCTACAGAGGGAAGGAAAGAGGGTATTCTATCGAGATCGACAAAAAGAGAAAAATGAGAGAAAGAAAGTCTGAATAGAGGCAGTGTCACACCACTTGAATTATTTTGGTGGTGAAACGAAGGGAAGTGTACTGGAAGCAAATTGGCGGCGAGCCTGAGCAAAGAAACAGATCAAAAGAAATACCGGACCTAAGGGATGTTCCGTTACAGCCCCACGCTAAAAAAAAACATCACATATCTTCATGGTAGGAAATTGTGGAAAATTTCAGACAAACGCCCGCCTAGTGCTCATAGCCGGCTCCTCGTTGCCATGGACTAGAGCTATTTTGGTTTCTATAATTGGGGGCCAATGCGGATTGTCCGACGGGCATGTTGTTGTAATTCCGCCCTGCGGATGCTGCGGATGCTGGTGATGCCCGACCAAGCTGGTCGTAGCCTGGAGGAGAGTTCCGAGAACCAGAGGAATTGCTGGGGATAAGCGGAACTGATGGATCAACAGGTGATGGCTGGACCTGACGCTGAGCAGTGTGAGGTACTTGTTTGTACCCATTGCCGCCTTCGTTGCTACTGCCGTTACCGCTGCCATTAACGCGGCCACTAGAAATGGAGAGGGTATCTTCATCAAACGGACCCTGCTGGTACGCCTGGCTCTTGACGTCACCTCGAGCAGTAGCACCCAAGGCATCCAACTCGGTCGTCAGTTGGGTCTGTGACTTGATGAATGATCCCCGGTCATCACGCATTGGCTGGTATCGAGTATCCGGATTCTTGGACATGACGGCATAAACAGAGGCAATCAAAACAAGAATAAGGAGAACCAAAGCAAAGACGGCGTTGTACACGAAGAAAACGACACCCATGACACCAATCATCAGACCTGGTGGGTTGAAGACGTTCGAAAAGACCAGCAAGAAGATCACGTTAATGAAGTTGACGACCGCGATTGCAATGTTGTAGACGTTGGTCTTCTTGTCCATCCACGGTCGAATGACACAGACGGCGACTAACATACCAGCTTCGATGACCACCAAAGCTACGGTCTGGACAACGGGAGCGGACTGGCTCAGTCCGATGAACATGCCCTTGATCAGAACATAGAAGAGGTAGGGAACGACGAAGTAATACGCCGTTGCCCGATATTGCACATAGAGGAAGCCCCATTTATTAAGACATGCAGGATCCGAATACAGGATGTATGCCGGGTTTTTGTGCATCGCGACCGAGCGTTTCGCCAAACGAATGACCTTCTGGGCTGCCCAGCCTAGCGCAATCAGGAGAGATAAGAGCATCACCACAGCCAAGACGACCTCGGCTGGCGAGTCACGTTGAGTGAACTCCCAAAGGCAAAGGATGCACATTTGGGGGAAACCAATCAAGGTCAGGCGAAACAGGATACCTCGAGTGACAACCTTCCACCCATTACGGAAGTCTTGGAACGTGTCGCCCTTCATTCTGCCGTGCTTTACCAGTAACTCACAAATACCCTTAAAGGCGGCAATGATTATGACAACGATGAAAACAAAGACGACGAAGAAAATGAGACCGGTCAAGAAGATGTTGGTTTCTTCGATGCCAGCACGGAATCCAACACGATCGATGCCCCGCACGACTTGAACCTTCTGGCTGGAGTCTCGTTTCCCGAGAATGTTGAGCCCTCTCTTCATCAGATTGCGTACCGGATCTATGTAAAAGTCACGCTTCTTGAGAACCTCTACCGAGGTGTCGCTCAGTGAAGAGAGAACCGTTGAGGGTGTACCGCCTGTGGAGCGCTGATACCAGGTGCAGATTTTCTGCAGGAAACCGACATGAATGATGCCCATACTCCACTGGAAGTCCTGAGTCCACGATTCCACAATCGGTGGCATGTGAACAGCTGTCATGCCAATGATTGCCTGAGACTGCATGAAACCAAACAAAGAAAGCGCATTCGCCGCAACGTGAGCAGCAGTGTTGGAGTGACCCAATCCGGAAGTGATAGCAGATGCCGTGAGACCTAAGCCAGAGATGACTGCAGTCACCCAAGAAACTCCGACCTGGTAGACAGTTTTACCATTGGATAGCGCCGCTTCCACACAAGCAATCTTTTCGCCGGTATCCTTCGTTTTGATCACAATCTGCACGGTGGCATCAAGATCTGGAACAGTGTAGGCGATACCCGGGATCCTCGAGGCGGTATCATTTGGAAGAGTGAGCGAAACAGATTCCAAGTCAATGGGACCAGGAGCCATAGGACACATTCCCATCCCTGCAATGGAGCAGGGATCGAGGGTGCTTGAATAGGCCTTGTAGCCATAGGCCGTCAGAGTTAAGTCTGCCACGACCTTTCCGGAGATGTATGACACTCCATCGAAGCCAATCTCAAGGGAATTGTTGTTTGGGTAGAATATGACATGGAAATAGGTGGCTGTGAAGTTGCTACTCTCCATGCACAAGTTGAGTGAATTTGATTCGAGGTAGTTGACTGCAAACGCTGGCGCCACAAATGCGACTAAGCAGATAAGCCATGTTATTAACCTCATTCTGGCGAATCTTGAGATTAAGCTTGAGAAGAGAGTTCTAAGCTATGTCGAGAAGAAGAAAGGCGAGGTATGTGAGCGACAGTCAGAGCGGTACTCCAGAGTACCACGTTGTCAGCCGGATGCGGAAGCCCCCAAACGGCCGGGCTCTTGGCGATTGGTTTGATGGGGAGACTGATGCGATAGTGAATGTCGCCGATGCGACCACACAGCCCTTTCTTGTAAAGAACAGCTCAATGTGGTGGTCCTGGGTGTTTTTTACCGTATCATTGGTTGTCGCTTGTTGCCGAACGAATCAAAGGGCCACGGGTTGAAGCGATTGTGAAAGGTAAGGGAAAACAAGGGAAGGTCAGTGAACTAGAGTTCCAAGTCGAATGCGATGGTGTAATTGGTAATAAAGAGCTAGAGCACTTTGTCGAGAGAAGTGACGTCGGAGGGGGGTGAACAGGTGGGAGTTGCAGAAATAGGTAAACGGAGAATATGGAGAAAGTAAACCGAGGATCAAGAGCGAGCGGAACTGGCAGCATACACAGTATGGCCAAAGGGTTGGGAATCCAGCGATGGTGTAAACAAGTGAACAAGATTCGCAGTCCGAGAGATTCACTAAGGGAGGAAGAGCAAGGTCATGTTTCCCTTTCTGCCCAGAGACAAAGCGGGTCACCTGGAATGGAGGAATGTGGTTTCTGTATTGTTATGAGAGCTCTGGCGCTTGTGGATAGACCAATTAAATATGGTATTTTATAGGTAATTATGGTATTATAGTGTAATGGCTGTCAGTGGTCCAGTCCCTTTTTCGACGGGAACTAGGCCTCCCTGTGTCGATCACTGATTGTAAGCTCTTTTGAACCATCCCTACTACTTCACTACCTACTTAACCCCTCAATCATAGATGACTCAATTGAGATCCTTCCCTACTTAGTACTACAGAATCTTCCCCTCAAACCCCTACACACGCGTCCTTTAGGGGTAGTCTTGGCCGCAAGCGGTTGATGGATCTCGGCGGAACCAAGTGGGTCCTCCAATGCCTAAATACTGAAGAGAGATTATTTCATCCCACGTACCAAGGGAACTGTTCCCCAGTTGTGGGGTTGCCCAAAGGCACGAAAATAGTTAAGCGGACGTATATCCCGGTACCTTTCCGACCTGCATAAGATTCTGTAAATGCTCGTATTATTATATACGACAAGGCTGGGCACACCTGGGCACATTGGCGCGCCTAAATTGGACTATTGTTCTTTTATTCCTTAGTGAATGGAGTAAGGGGGTTAACAAAGCGGGCCTATGAGATACCTGGAATTTAAACCCGCCCTTCTCATTTGGAGTATACGAAGTACAAACCTTGGTGTGCGAAAAGCCTAAATCTTGAATCCTGTATCTGTGGTGTGTATAGCCTTGTAGACATCATGTGGGATAAAGGTCGGGTCATCTGGTTTCTCAGGCCCAGGGGCTGATCAATGCCAGAAATACCAATGCTCCATATAGTTAATTTCTCTAGCCTATGGGCACAGACCATCAGGCAAATGATGGCCAAGTTACCTGTGGCGTTGGCATTTGCACAGCCTCAGTGAAACCCCATCAGACAATCCTACAGTGTCCGAGATCCAGTTCCACGTGCCATGCTTTTCAACTTTGACCCGATTCCTTCTACACACATTACCGAGTTTTCCGGGTCGCCATCGAAATCGACATTCAATGATCGTCGCATGACGTCGACTATTCGACTCTTTGATATAGAATTAAGATGAGAAGATACTTATTGTGCGACCGTAAGGAACAGTTTTCAAGTTGGCTGTCAAAAATCGGACACGGCGCCAACGCTATTTTTGGGTCAGGGTTTAAGCTGATGCAGGGCCCACCCGCTGTGACCCTTTGATTCGCCCATTCTCTATACAATATTTGCATGTCTGTCTCTATTGTATTACTCAAATTTAATAAATCACCCACTCTGCTTGGTCAATCTATATACCGCTCCAAATACGTACATGTGCTTTCAGCAGTTGGACCTACTTACGTGGGGTTGACAGAAAGAAACTAAATTTATCCCTAGTGCTCAATGTAATGCGGGGTATATTGGCTAGAGCGAGAGGTGAAATAACACTCGCTGCCTGACCCTATAACTGCATAAAGAATGGGCAACATCTGTCACTTAGAATACAAGTATAGGGATACTTGCTATGCCAAGGTTGCCCAGTCCATAGTACGTACTCCGGACGAGCCCAGCCCTTGGCAATACATTTCGCGGCCACTTAATTTCCGCCAAGTTCATTATGCCAATGTTCACTTGCACGAAAATTACAATACTGAAGTTCAAGGCCAAGATGTGTCTGTCTTGGGCTGAGGCACTATTTTCTTTGAGCGAGTTTTGGAGTGTTGCCTAAATCATTTAATCCCAATCCCAGCCGGTGATTTTGACAAAGAGGCCAGTACGTACTCACGCACTTCAAAGTCCAAATTTTTCAGGCCGAATGGTCCGATCGGGGTGGAAACAATCGAAGTATACTTGGACCGAGAGCAGGAATTGGTTGGTCTGTGATACTCAACTCTGCGAAATTGAATTGGTGCCTGGATTGGTGCCTTAACTCATGTCTTAATTTATGCCTCATATTTCAGGCACGAATATCTCCTATCAGCACGTGACGGGTGGAGATTCTGCCGACTTTCACCGATTGGAAGAAAAAAAAGTAGCCGAATGGTTTTCCGCAGCGATTAGGTCGCATCTCCGGAGATCAAAACACCCAATCGACGGATAATACCTCCTTCGATCCAAGAGATTCTTTTTAATATCGTATCATTGAATCGCAAACCTCGCGGTCCGCTCAAACGACAAGATGCCTGGCCCAGTGGACACCACAAAGTCCATTGACGCCAAGAAGCGCAAGAGAAAGCACGCCGCTAAGCCTACCGCCGACAGTGAAGATGCCCCCAAGCCTGTTGTGGCAAAGTCAACGAAGAAGGCCATTGCCTCTCCCAAGCCTGCGACCGATAAGACAATCAAGAAGCGCAAAGTGAGCCACTCCAGCGACGACGAGAGCGGCGACGAGGCCGAGCAAGTCGAGCAAGTCGAGGAAGTCGAGGAGCAGGAGGATAACGAGGCCGATGAGGCTGAGGAGAAGGATAATGTTGCGGATCTCCCCAGCATGGGCGAAGTCAGCCTCCCCCAGACTGAGGGTGAGCTGAAGAAGTTTACCGAGCTTAACCTCTCGGAGAAGACCATGCAGGGTATTCAGGACATGGGTTTCGAAACTATGACTGAGATCCAGCAGCGCACAATCCCACCGCTGCTTGCCGGTCGTGATGTTCTAGGTGCTGCGAAGACTGGGTCGGGAAAGACTCTTTCTTTCCTGATTCCTGCGGTTGAGATGCTCAGCGCCCTGCGTTTCAAGCCCAGAAACGGTACTGGTGTTCTTGTTATCTCTCCCACCCGTGAATTGGCTCTTCAGATCTTCGGTGTTGCCCGTGAGCTTATGGCCCACCACTCTCAGACCTACGGTATCGTGATTGGCGGTGCCAACCGTCGTGCTGAGGCCGATAAGCTCGCCAAGGGTGTTAACCTGCTCATCGCCACCCCCGGTCGTCTCCTTGATCACCTCCAGAACACCCAAGGCTTCATTTTCAAGAACTTGAAGACTCTCGTCATTGACGAGGCGGACCGTATCCTTGAAGTCGGTTTCGAGGACGAGATGCGCCAGATCATCAAGATTCTTCCGGCCGAAGAGCGTCAGACTATGCTTTTCTCCGCCACTCAAACCACCAAGGTCGAGGATTTGGCCCGTATATCTCTGCGCCCTGGCCCATTGTACATCAACGTTGATCACCGCAAGGAGCACAGTACTGTGGAGGGTCTGGAACAAGGATACGTGATCTGTGAAGCCGATCGGCGCTTCCTGCTCTTGTTCTCGTTCCTCAAGCGCAACCTGAAGAAGAAAATTATTGTCTTCTTCTCCAGCTGTAACTGTGTGAAGTACCACGCCGAGCTTCTGAACTACATTGATCTACCCGTGCTTGAGCTGCACGGAAAGCAGAAGCAGCAAAAACGAACCAACACCTTTTTCGAGTTCTGTAACGCCACTCAGGGTACCCTGATTTGTACTGACGTTGCTGCTCGTGGCCTTGATGTTTGTCTCCAATGCCTTTAATTTTGATCCCGTTTCCTGACCTTATTTTTTTTTTTAGATCCCCGCTGTCGACTGGATCATTCAGTTCGACCCCCCAGATGACCCCCGTGACTACATTCACCGTGTCGGACGAACTGCTCGTGGTGCCAACGGTAAGGGTCGCAGTTTGATGTTCCTGCAACCCTCCGAGGTTGGCTTCCTCAAGCACCTGAAGGAGGCTCGCGTGCCGGTGGTCGAGTTCGAGTTCCCCTCCAACAAGATTGTCAATGTCCAGTCTCAATTGGAGAAGCTCATTGGTCAGAATTACTATCTCAACAAGGTAAGCCTCCCACACGCCTAATTTATTTCTCCATATACTCATCTCTATTTAGTCTGCCAAGGAAGGATACCGATCGTACCTCCAGGCGTACGCCTCTCACTCCCTTCGTTCCGTGTTCGATGTGCACAAGCTGGACCTGGTCAAGGTCAGCAAGGGCTTTGGCTTCCCCACTCCGCCACGGATCGATATCCAGCTGGGTGCCAGCATGAGCCGCGATAAGCGACAGGAGCAGCAAGGTCGCCGCACATACGGGAGCCAGCCCAAGGGATCGAAGTTCAAGCGCAAGCACGAGGATTAAGCGTGCTATGAGTGGAATGCTGAAATTACAAAAAGTCCATGGTCGCCTGCATTTATCATTTTGGGAACTGTGGAGTTAAAACTGTGTAGATATACTATTTCAATCTTTATTTTTGACCTGATTTGTGAACTCCTCTCCCGTCTACTACCTTGTAACACAATTGCTAAAATATCTAGAGGCTGGCCATGTGGGAGCCCTGGAAAAAGATAACCTTTGTGTTTTGTGATTCCACGTGGGCGTTCACCTTTATCTACCATGAAACCATGTATGGATCCAGATCTATTTCCTAGAAGTTGTCAATTTTTCTTTTCAATTTCCAATAAACGCAATTGGTAGACCTGTGAAGATTTTGCCAACAAGCTTGATTACCCTTATGTACGAGGCTGCAGGTATTGCCAACTACTGTGGGTGTAGTCCCGATAGCAATTTTGGTGATTTGCAGCCCCTTGCAATAACGACGCATTATTTCTGTAACACCCAAGTCTCGCCCTTTATTTATTATGTTTTTGTTTAATGAAAAAACAGAACATGTGTACCGAGGAGAAACTCGTATGCTGACCCAAATCATCCAACTGCTCGGGAAAATCGCCCGATCATAGAATGTGATGTGGTAGATGTGTTGGCAGTGAAGAGAACCAATCACTGAGTCTCCAACACACCCAGGATCGGTGTCGTCTGGGCGACCATCTCTTTTCCTTTCCGCTGAACCGGTTCTTATGTACTTTTTCAACGGATAGTCCGTGTGCTTGTGTGACCGCGTAATTTTAACTGAGTTGTTGGTCTTACTGTTTAACAGTTGACGCATATAGGTAGACAAAATTTGACGTATGTGTGTATAGTCAACGTGGAAGAATGTTGTGGCGTCAACCTACGACGATGACATGGAATATTAGAGTGATTTTTAAATAACTTATAGAATCTTAATCAACCAAGGAACTGATCCCGGGATCCGCAGTCCAATCCAAGGTTCTTGTTTGTAGGTACATATGGGTTTTTACCGCTTATCGGGAACCTGGGGGATGTACCCAAAGACCAGCCATCTTCTTTTTCATGTAGAAGAGGCTGGGCTGATCGATCAACTTTGATTTTTTATTCTCGGGGATCACAGTTCTTTATCCCTGTGAAACTTCTCCTTCTCATTCTTTTCCTTCAGAATCCAATCGGATTTTCCATCCCCTTTTCATGTGAGGGATCAGCGGAGAACAGCTTGTTCAACCTTCAGCTCGCATAGCAACCACTCACCGATTGCTTTTCTTCCCTCCTTTCCTCCCCGTCCAACTTTGAATTTCCTTGTCATCGTCTTGCAAGGTGACTTTGCGCTGGTACGCTCTTAATTCCTTACTTCAAAAACATTCTCCGGCCCTTGAATCCCCTTCCTGTACCCGATCTCCCGATCTCCATCTCCATCTCCCTTACCCCCACTATTGTGTTGTCACGGATCATCAACAAGTGACCATCCTTTTCCCCCATTCCCATCAGTCTCGCTGGGATCCATTCTCTTGTAGTATGCGATTGTCGGACTGAGCAAAGAGTTTCAAGCAAAAGAGAAAGAGAGAGGGAGAGGGGCCCGTTTCCAGCCATGGGGGTCAACACCCGCAGACCCGTCCTTCCCGCCCCTACAGAATCTCTCGTCGACACCAACGGTGGCAGCGTCACGGGCACAGATTTGGCAACTGACATTTCTCGCCGCACAGACAAGACGTCTTACTCGATCCCGGACGACGGAAGCCCTGTCACGCTTTCCACCCGGCGCCATCGGGACCGGGACGACAAGCTGTCTCATTCACACCGCGACTCGCAGACTTCCCTCCTCATCGAATACTTTGAGGGTGGGAAGGGTGCCAGCGGAATTACATCTCGACCTAGTGTACGAGTACGAGTCACCCCCTCGGGTAGCCGAAAGTTGAAGGACAAGGATCACATCCAAATCACCGAATCTGGTTCTGGTCGCAAGCCCTCATATACTCGTCGCATCTCGCTCACGTCGCCATCTTCCAAACCACGTCAGCTCACCGAATCGAATTTGGAATTGGAGGATCAGAGTGGCAGCGACAGTAATTCTGCCGAAGAAGGTCAACGCCCGTCATCACGACACCTACCGGTCGAAATCGAATTCATGAATCGCGACCAGGGAAGCGAAGTATCGGCATTTTCGCGTGATGCCCGATACATGCCCACCTCGGATGTCTCATCCATGCCGGCGGACAGCATGTTGGAAGGTGCCTCGTCGGCAGGGCCTCGACGAAAGCGCAGCCAAAGCCTCGAACGTGGTGCCAAACGGGAAACCAAAAATTTACTCAAGACTCCGTCCCGACAACGCAGTCGCAGCTTGAGTCATGAGCGGATCGTTAGTCGGGTTGCTGAGAAGCTCAACGAGTCGCCCCATGAGGTTTCGAGCAAAAAGAGCAAAAGCAAAAGCAGAAGCAAGAATGCTGGTAAAGATTACCTCGACGCTGAACCGACGAAGCCATCATCACGCCGGAGGCGACATGTGACAGAAGATGAATATATTCCGAGCCCGGAATCCAGCCTACTAAGCACGTCCGCTGTCTCTTCAAATCGCAAGTCCGACGCATACTCTGTTCGATCCGGCGCCTCAAAATCTTCCATCAACAATCCAAAGCTCTTGGAGACGGTTGAAGATGCGATCAGACGATTAATTCTTCCGGAGCTGAAAGAGCTCAAGAAGGATCAAAAGGTGATGTCCAACACATCCAAGTTCGACCGAGACATGACGACTTCATATTCATCCACCAGTTCTCGCGATGAACTGGGTCGGCGCCTGTCAAAGCATGCGAGTGCGCCAGATGTCATGAAGCCCAAGGTCGTTCTGAACAAGAATAGCAAAGACGAGGGCATTGTTCTTGCTGGCGAGCCCGTTCCCCAAAAGAAAGAGCGCAAATTAAGCAAGAGCAGTGACGCCTCTGATGCTGGATGGGTGAAGTATAACCGACCAGACCTTACGGAACAAGAAAAACTTCGCAGGCAAAAAAGTAAAGGTCTCCGTGATGCACATGCGGCAGCACGGGTGGGCACAGCTTTGACATCGGCATCTCTCAGACATCACGATTCCCAGTCCAGTATCGGGAAGAAAGAACGGAGAGCCAGCGGCTCCCAGAGAAGCGTGGATCCCGAGGGATACAATGAAACCGAGCTCGTTTTCCAAAAACACAACGTGCCCGCCATGCCTATGCACAGTGAAATGGACTCGGAGTTGACCCGCGCATCGTTGCTATCGGAGCGAACAGAGAGCCCTATCCCTCGCAAGAGGCTTTCCCAGGCGGAAATCTCTCGTGGCTCGCCGCGACAAGTCGCCTCTCCAACTGCTCGTACCCCTACCCGGACTCCCTTGGACTCGCGGTACGAACTTGGCATGCGCCATGGCAACCAGTCACAACGTGATATCTCCCTCCACAGTACATCCGATCGTGACCTCCATGCCAAGAGCCAGTCGCCCGCAAGCGATGAGGGTCATTGGGCTATTGCCGAAGCTGCAGCCGCCAATTTGCTGGATGCTTCTCATCCAGGAACTCATGGCTTCGAACCTTATGAGACTGGCCGTCAACTCAGCCCTATTCAGAGCGTAGCTAGCGATCGCACTCAGACCCATGGCGATCAATATTCCAACAAGTACCATGACGGACCCCAAAAGGAGATGGAGCCTCGTCTCTCAATTGAGTCGTTGTCCTCTGCACCTAGCACCAACCTTGCGCGATCCACTCGCCAAGGGGTGAGCCCCGGAAGTCAGAGTGCCTTCTCCAAATATGGCGAAGAGGGCCCTGAACTTGGGTATGAACAATCACGCCACGTGTATCCCGAGGATGATATCTTCGGTCATGAGGAGGAGTCCAAGCTTTCCTATGGCCAAGAAGATAGTGAGGTTGATTTCATGGATCGGGTCAAGCAGGGACAGCATGTGACACCTGCCATCGCTGCCAACCCGCAGTTCGTCCAAGCCATTGGTATCGAATCAAACGTTGCTTCTTTGATGGACCCCTCAATTTTAGAGACTCAGTCCTATCAGTCTGGCAGTCGTTCACAGACGGATTTAGCCCCGCGATCTCAAAGCAGAAGCCGAAGCCAAAGCCCCGAGAAGCCTGCCAGCGAAGCATACCGTGGAAGTCCTCTTAAACAGCGTCAAGATGCGTCCAGCCCCGATGAGACGTCTTTCACGCGCCGAATGGGTGTCACGTCGCCTCCACAGAGCGTGACACAGTCAATCGAAGACCTGGAAGAGGCAGGTATGATGGCTGCAGCCGCTCGTGGTATTGACCGTGGTCTTGATAGCCCCCTCCTCGAGGCAGACCATCGTAGCCAGGAATCCGAGTCTGAAATCAATACAAACCCCTCTATCATCCAAGGCCCGATTGGTGGTATGGCTCAAGGAAATGGCGATCACTGGGCATATGACTCGCGATCCCCGCCTGCTGGACAGGTTCCGTACTATGACCCCAATCCGGCTGGAGCAGCCAAGAACCCGGGTGCTCAACCGCGTGGCCTCGATGCCGAGTATTACGAGACCGCCCGGAACATTTTCGGCGGCGATGACTATTACCCTGATCAGCGAGCCCAACAGCTGTTTGACACGCCACCTGGGGTTAAAGACGAAGGCTACGTCTCGGCTGCTAATCCTGTGTCTCCGAGCGTTGGTACCCCCAAACAAGCAAGCCGAGGCATCGGAGCTGCTGATGCCTTTGATACCCCCGCGGACGTGGAGGACTTTTCTGGTAATCCGCGTCACTTCAGCGGTTATTCTCATGGAGTTGGCTCGCCGCTCTATGATAGTGCTACTGGTCATGGCATTGAGAGGATAAAGTCCAAGGACATTGTTGCTCTCATGGATCATCTCACCGTCCGTGATGCCCAGCGCAATGCTCGGGATACCGAGATGTTGGTCACCCTCGTCCGCAGTGCTGCTGAGATGCGCACCTCCTTTGACGAGATGAAGAAATTTATTGCCCAGCAAGATGAGTTGCTCCTTGATTCCACCGAGAAGCAGCATGAACGCCTCAATCAAGTCCTTGGTGGTCCTCGGCCGCTGCCTCCTAGTGGATCTCGTAACCGCCAACTGAACCTTGAGGACGAAGAGGATCTGCAGTCCAAGCGGAAGAATATTTTCAAGCGAGCTCTCAAAGGATTGAGTCTCAAGTCGGGCAATGATTTGTCCAAAATTGAAGGCATGCTGGAACAGCTGCTTGACGAAGTCGAAGCTCTGCGAGAAGGTCAGGGCGTGGCCAGCCCGCGTGCAGCCGCTCGCATGAGTGTCGATGTGATTGACAATGGTATCACTCAGGGCAATCGTTCTCTTTACACGTCGAGCCCAGCTCGGCAAGCTAATGCAGATCCGCGGGTCAGCACCGTTCCTGAGGAGGATGAAGAGGACGATGAGCTTGATGAGGGTGATCCGTACATGACTTCCCACCTACCTGTGCAAGACTTTGCCCGCCACGAAAGAGCTGGATCTCTTCCCCTTGCTACACCTCCCCGCAAGCCACTAGCCTCGGGGACCCGAAGCAACGAGACAACACCCAAGGCTCCTGTTGACAAGGCCGAAAAGGCGCGCAAGCACAAGTCAAGCAGTTCATCGATCTTCCCCAAGTTCTCGCGCTGGTCCAAGACCACCGCTTCATCCATGGGGGATAACCTCCGCAACAGCATGCAGCCTGGACGGAAGGAGCGTCCATATTCGGAAAATCTGTCTCGATCCGGGTCTGATCTTGCACAGGATGCGTACCAAAAGACTGCTGATTACTACGACCCCGAGGGTGATGATCGCCTCCGCTCCTCGTACAGCGCGGACGACCAGCAAGAGAACCGGCCCCCATCCCCACTGGTCCCTTCTCAAGTTTCCGAGGCCCCCAAGTACCGAGCTCACCGTGGAAGTCTCGATCTCCAGCACCCCCAGCCCCGACAGGGACCAACTGGACGCTTTCAGTCCGCCCTGGAGACCCAAGCACAAGCCTTCGCCACTCCTGGATCACCCAACTCAGAGCGCTGGGGCTCCAACCCCACCCTGCCAGTCATGCAGCCCAACCAGAACCGTTTCAGCGCTGGCAGCCGACTCTCCCCGATCTCCGACGCAGGCTATTCAGAGAACAGCTCCCGCGTAACAGGACCTCCGCGCCCTCCGAAGGTCAAAGACGAGGGGCCACTCATCCCCGAGCGACCACCCAAGGTCCTCGAAGATGAAGACCAAGCCTCGACTTCCTATGGCGATCGTGTTACTTCAAGGGTACGTTCTAGTAGAACTCTTCCAACTCCAGATCACAAACTAACTCACTCCCAGGGCTCCGCCATCCGCTCCCCTCCCACCCGCAAACCAACAGGCCCTCGCCCCTTGACCTCTGGCGGCACTTACAGCCCCAGTAACATCAAGCGCACCCGCTACCGAGGCAGTCCGATGCAGATCGACTATGAGGATGAATATTGAGACCGCATTGAGATACCCTAGGTTGTATTTGTGTCTAGCGAGTTTTCGTTTTGCGTTTTTGCGTTTTTGCGTTTCGTTTTGTTATGTGACGAGTTCGGCCTCCGCGCCTATTACGACAGTGATGATCTCTTCCTATTGAGCCTTGAGCCTGACTATGACCTTGAAACAATCATCCTCTCCCATCTATGAGCCATTTGCGTGCAAAATCTATTTCTTCGGGTGTTTTTTCTCGTTTTCATTGTCCATAGCTTCGTGATGATGGGTGGGGCAGCTATGTATTGCTTTTTCTTCCCTTGTGCTACGCCCCCTCTCCTCATGCACATGTGCATTTCTTGAGGATTCTTTCTCTGTCACCTTATCGTTGGGGGTGTGTAGATACTGGTGCCTGGTGTGGTTGTGTCAATTTATGATCCGGTGCAACATATCGATGGACTTATTCTTCCCAAGTAGATAGTAAAAGAATCAATTTCATGCAATTCATTTTTTACGAGCTTCATAACACGGTAAATTGTCTAGAAGGTAGAAGTTGATTATAGGATAGTAGAGTGGTAATCACTGGCTAAGTATAATTCCTCATCTCAATCTTGGAACCGGAGCCAACATCCAAACTCACAAACACCAAACCTGACGAAAACAATAATAGAGACAGTCTGAAATCAAAATCAACCCCAAGAACCACATCCCGTCATTCCCTCATCCTGTCATCCTCTCAGCCTGTTCAGCCCTAGTAATCAGAAAAAGGTCTCACAGTCGTAGTCCCCCTCTCACGAAACGCATACTCCGCCGTCGCAAGCCCACTAAACTCAATCCCCTCACTCACAGGAAACTTCCCAGGATAACTCTCCGTAGAATGACACTTCGTCTTCCGATCCATCCTTACTCCCTCCCCCTCAGTACTGATATCCGACAAAGATTGCAAAGCCAACGCAAGATCAATCGGCCCATCAAGCGATGTCAACGACCGCAGCGACGCAATAGGCGACTTCTGTCCCGCGTGCAAGCCCGAGAGATGAGACTTAGACCCCGATGGCATAGCATGCAAGGTCTCCGAGATATTACGCACCTGGTGCAGAGGCAGGGAAGTCTCATTCTCGTCTTCACTGCGCTCTTCAATGCTGGCGCGGAATTTCCGTTCGTGAGCCGATTGGCGCGCGAGGAGAGCGGGGGTTGAGTGTGCTGCAGGAGTTTGAGTGCATCTTTCTCCCTCTTTCCCCTTAAGGTCTATAATTGCTGAGACCTTTGTGCGGGTTGAGGGTGGCATTCGTTCAATGGCTGTGTCGTACATAGAGACGTTGTTCTTCGAGAATTCGTCTACCACTGCGGCAGGTTTGCGGATTGGGGTGCCGATCTTGGGATCTTGAGAGTGGGAGGATAGGCGCTCGAGTGTTCTTTCGGGGTGGCATTGTGGCATTGTTGGAGGGGTTGTGAAGGCTGTTGAGGGTGGTCGGGGCATGGGGTCATCAATCGTGAGGTGGGATGCTGATGTGTAGGCGGCTAACTGGGTGCGGTTGTTCGTTGCATGGTGAAGGTTTGTTGATGGGTTTGGAGAGCGGTAGTTCGAGAAGGGGACGATGCTGATGATGAGATCTATTACTCGCTTCTCGGTTCGCTCAATGTGGTATTTGAAGGGTGGTAATTCTTGGGCGGAGGACGCGAGGGGGCGGGCGATATAGGATATCAAGTAGAGGAATTGGAGGTATATGAGGCTTGTGACGAGGGAGTTCGTTGTTGTTAGGGTGACAGGGAAGACGGCGTGGGTTCGATTTGATCGTTTATAGATGACGAGAGGCATTTCGATCAGGTTGTGGAAATTGCCCAGGGGATTAAGGCTGTTCAGAGTTAAGATTTCATTCAAATGCTGATTCGGTTGCATTTTGGTTGATGCGATGTTTGGGAAGGTACGAGTCTCCGACCATTACGACAATCACGTCAAGCCTCAAGCCTTGGATTTCTTATTGAGCCAAATGAACTTTGACAAATTTGAAATTATCAGTGTATTAATCAATGACAGTAACAGGGCCATCGAATGGTCTAGACATTAAAGTGAGTTGATAAATTCATAATCAAAGCTGTACAGCAACAGTAATCATTGAGGAACTCCTGTGCAGACTTTGGAAAGCCAATCTTTTCACAAGTAACAGCAAAGTGCTCTGTAGCTACATCATTGTTCCCGGGGCAATCGATCATGCTCACTGGATTATGATTGTTGGGTCAATGGTGTACTAGTGTACGACTTATCCAGGTGGCATGGAAAGGGGAATATGATGGAATCAATTTCAGTCTTGGATAAAATCTTAACGTAATGTTGAAGAAAGCAAAACACGATCAGCATCTATGTATCTATGTGTTCAGAATAGACCACCAATCCCGATACCATAAGCAGATTCCTGGACCAGCCAACACATCCACTTTTCTATAACATCCAATGGTACTAGAACTGTCCATCGAGCATCGAGATACTCTCATATTTAGTTGCTGTTGTCCTGGTCGTCCTCATATTCCTCGTAGTCGTCAAATAGTCCAGCGACATTCTTCGCATCCTTGAGCAAATTTCCTATTGATTTATTAACTCATGTTCAAATTCAATATTTCTCCACTGGTAAGGGCATAGGAAACCCACCAATGTTCAAGGGTTCCGCAACGGGAGCCGGGGCGGGAGCAGCTTCGGGAGCTGGAATGGCAGCAGCGGTGGCCATAGCAATGAAAGCAGAGATGGTAAGGATACTGAAGAACTGCATTGTAAAGGATTGGAGTTGGTTTGAAGCTTGGAGCTTTGGAAATTGGTAGAGTTGATAGATGGAAAGATGAATTGGATTGTGTTGGAGTGTGAATGGAGAATTGATTTGGGAACGAAGAACCTTTTTATATTATTTGTGTGAGGGATTTGGCCCGCGAAGCTCTAGCTCATGGGTATAGATCGTATTACGAATTTAGGTAGCTGTCTATTAACGGAGTAATGTGATTATCGATCTAGGAAATGATCGGTATAGTTCCAATGGGGGCGGTGGCGGAGTTTGTAACCTCAACCAATCAGATTAATTTCCCATTGTTGGCATACACAATTCAAGCATAGTGTAAGACGACTAAATGGACATGACATGAAATCTGGATCGTTCCTTCGCTTCTATAGTTAGAATTGCTAGATTCAGTAGAGTTCACAATAGATATACAATTGTGTGTATACGTTTGTCAATCATTCTACGCCTCTCAAGGTACGAGTACTAGATGACGATAGATCGCGCAGATCCACTTAAATCTAATCTCGGCCCAATTCCCGAGTTCCGACGACACCTCCACATTCCTTGACTCATGACGACTCGTCTAGCATCTCTCCGTTCCAACTTATTTACCATGGCTGGCCGTGCAGTAGATTGTCAGCATGTGCGCCCACGGAGGTTCGCACCACTCGATTCCACCAAAGCATCGGATGCTCCGCGGCTAAAGGGAATCGTGTTCGATGTCGATGGAACCTTATGGTAAGGCACTCTGAGCTTTCCTTTTCTTCCTGGGGCATGGCCTCTATATCATAGAAATTCCACCGCACTTTGGCCTCCATGATCTATGCTACCACTGTCAGCTTGGATTAGGTTCAATTGCTCCACCCTGGGCAATGAGCTCTCAGTCACAGATACAAGAGGATCTTATTTGTCTCACAATACGTACTAACATAAGACCAGTCTTCCACAGCACCACATGTTCACTGAAATGAGGTAAGCCTATGCCGACCTATCCGCAATTTCTACATAAAGAATGCGGCTCCAACACCAGATCGAAAAAACATCCATAAATCTAATTTTCATTCTTAAAGAGATGCGCTCGGAATAGACAAATCAATCGATATTCTCCACCATATCCAAGCTCTCCCCACTGCAGAAGATCGCGCCGCAGCCGTCACGAAGATCCAAGACGTCGAGCGGCGTGCCATGATCGACCAGATCCCGCAGCCAGGTCTGGTAGGATTAATGGAATACCTGCAATCCCGCGGCTTGAGACGGGCACTTTGTACACGGAACTTCGAGTATGTGTCCTCGTATCTCTAATCCCACTTCAATAATATAAAATCCACGAAAGACGAAACATGCGTTTGCTAATCAATTCCTTACAGATCCCCTGTCCGGTACCTTCTCAACAATCACCTACCAGAGCATATTTTCCTGCCCATCATCACGCGCGACACGCCGAATGTAATCCCGAAACCAGACCCAGCTGGTATCCTGCATATTGCACAGGAATGGGGCTTGACTAATCGGGCGGAGAATTTGATTATGGTGAGTAGACCTGGTCGCCATGGTATTGTGGATGCTGATTTGTTATAGGTTGGTGACAGTATCGACGATATGACGGCCGGGCATAAGGCTGGTGCGGCAACGGTGCTGCTTTTGAATGAGAAGAATGTTCATTTGCGGGAACATGCTCATACTGATATGTGTATTGATCGGTTAGATGAGTTGATTGAGATTCTTGAGCAGGGGTTTGTTGGGCAGCGGTAAGGTCCCGAGCACGAGTAGGCTTCATGGGGTTTTCCAAGTATACTTGAGGTTTATCTGGTTTTTTGTAGTTGATAAAATCGCCTCTCTTTGGATATGAAGAGTCTTGGAGCCTTGGAATATTAGATCGAGCATGGATAACGTGGTATCTTTCCTTGATATTTGATCAAAAAAATATGTAAATTGTACATGCAAGGTTAAGTACAGGGGAATCATGGCATATCATTACATGGGACGTATCGGTTTATTTGCCCCTGCGACCCCTGCTTCCACCCCCACCACGCGGCGGCGGTCCTCCGCGACCGCGACCTCGACCACGACCTCTCGCTGGACCACTAGGGAAACCAGAGCGTGGAAGTGGAGAAAGCGTACGCTGGCGCGTGTTATTCCCAGGGTATTGTGCCCGACCACGAGTCGGTGCCCTTCCCCGTGAGTTGTCGGTCCCAGAACCATTGCGGGGCGCTGTGAATGTAGTATCAAAACGCATGTGCATTCCGCGGCCTCGGGCTCTAACTGGTTGAGGCTTTGAAGTGCCCTTGCGAGGCATGTTATCATCGCTTGATGACGATGGAGAACGGACGTTCATCCCTCGGCGAGGAGGGCCCTGCCCCCGCCGATTATTGAAGCTTGGCGGTGGGGGTGCCCGCTGGGGATTCTGCTTTTGCATTTTGTTGAGGTCGATGATATTATCGGGGTCAATGCCCTGAAGTGAGAAGGCTGTGGAGTGGTATGGTCGATGAAGATGTGGACAATCGCCAATAAGATGGCTCACGCTGACGCAATTAGCGCATGAGATTGATACCCTGACCACTGTTGAAGTGCTTGGACGTTGTGGAAACTTCCATTGGTAGTCGCATGAGGATTCGGTATGCTCCGATGACCCACATAGATCACAGGGAACTTCAGAAGCCGATGCTTTCAACGGTGATGGACACTGTTTATCGGTGTGTCCTCTTTCCCGGCATCGTTGACATCTTTGCCATGACGGGCATTGTGAACTGATATGTTGATTCCAAGCTTGGCAATGCGAACACTGTGAACATGGGTTAATACGTAATAAATTGCTCACGGTTGCTAAAAGACATACCTCTTTTGTGGGGCACACTTCAGACAGGTGACCATTTTGCAGACATTCAGTACAACCCACCGGGAGTTGAAGATCAATATCATTGATATTTCGATCCCAATAGATGAATTTGGCTTGTATTTCCATATCCTCTTGGTTCAGGTCCACCAAGGTAGCCGGCGTTGTGGGATATTTCTTCGCGTAGCGTTGAAACGCCTCTTCCTTGGACTCCGAAGAATTAGGCGCCGGAGCACCTCCATTCGTCACGTTTCCATTTACTTGGCCATTGGCAACCGCCACCTCCTCCGAGTTGTATTCATCAGCGACATCATCGACTTTCTCGCCAATGTTCAGCAAGATTGAATCATCAGCCTCGGAATCCAGAGATACTGCATCGGAATCACTCCTAGAATCCACCTCGCCTTCTTCCAGATCACTTGAACCCTCAAGCCCGTCTTCAGACTGTTGCTCGCTAGCCGCACCAGTCTGTTCCCCACTAGGCTTAGGTGAAGACGACCCATCGCGAACGTCCCAGAAGGCATTCACCGCCGTAAACTGCTTCGACTCCGGCCCTGTAGCCTGAGGCTTCGACTGAACCTCGCCTGACGCCTTGCGCTTCCCAAGCGTTGTCCGCACAGGTGCCTTTCGCCCTTGATTCCAACTGATAGCAGGCGCAGTGCTGCCTGCATGAGGGTTGACAGGAGCAGGCTTCTCAGGCGAGTCTGAGTCGGAATCGCTCTCAGAGCTTGCGCTCGAGCCAGAACTGGTTGTCTCGTCGGGGTCGACCTCGAGTGGGTTTGAACTGAAAGAAGCGCCGCGGGGAAGAATGTCGCTCACATCGCTTGCGCGAGATTGGTTCCGTCGCCGCCTCTTCTTCGGTCGGGAGTCGTTGCCGGATCCGCGGTTGGAGGAATTGTTCGATCGAGGACGCTGGATACCGACAGAAGCTGTGCGGGAATCCTCTTCATCCCCAGAGTCGGCCATGACGATGGATGGACGCAAGTGATGTTCTTAAGATCCTGAGTTCTTAATAACAAGGATTGCAATCAAAAATTACGGCGAGTATTATATACCAAAAGCGCAACTATTCAGGTGGGGCTGCTCGGCTACTCTATCTTGGGAAACCGTTTTTATTGGGCATCAGATTCACGACATATCGTTTGGCAATGAAGACACTCTAGGGGTCAGTGAGTTCAAAGGATGTATTGCTCTCTCTCTATTGTTGAAGATGAATGAGATGCATATAATAGCTCGAATGCCTTCTTTCAGTGTGAAAGAGGTATCAAATGCCCTAGAGATTCATAGACCATCATCTATGCAACCATTTATGTATCTCGGTATACTGGGTGCAGTAATTCGCACCGTAATGTTTCATGCTACTTGACTTTCCAATCCCACTTTTATTCTATAGGCTCACAGATATAGTATCTCTACTTAACCCCAGATCTTCTTACTAGGCTTCCTACCTACGCCAGAATAATTGCTTGAGACTAGAACGATATTGCTATATTTTATGGGATTCCAAGGAAAGCCTCGGGGAATAGTGTCAGAAATGATTGATATGAATCAAGGGCTTTTGATATCTATGTCGGCTATCAGTCCGATCCGACTCCGACGTGCTATAGTCTGGATTATGGACCTCGGAGTGCATGAGATAGACCAATTAGTTGATTGACGGTGGTATTGTTCGAGTTATTTGATAATTTTATTCAAATGTTGGCTTGATATACATGTAGGCAATGACTCTTATTGTTCAGGCAGACAAGTCATAATATCCGCCTTGAATTTGAGGCAGTAAACTAATCTAGAGTTTGCCACAAGCTTTGTGGGGTTGAGATTCATAACTAGCCAAACCCTGCCAGCGCTATCGATGCTGTTGGATGATGATCAATATCTAGGCATGATATCTCGAGCAACAATCAACTAATTTGCAAGGCTATAGCTTATCTAAATTAATAAAAAGTAGGATCGCAGGAGGGCCTTACCATTGTAAATATCCCCGTGCACGATCTAACAACATTTCCCGATCATCACATACGACTCGCTTATGAAGAAGTTGGAATTTATGCAAAGTTGAAGTTCTACTTTGGAGATAGGTTTGTGCCAAGTATGACAACGGACTATGTTTGTGCCGGGGAAAGAAAACATTAGGGAATTGCCACAATAAATTGTTCTAGAATCAAAGGGCTTAAAAAAGATAGGGGCTCTTCAGCTTTTTAATTTATAAATAGGAGAGTGGCTTTTTAACTATTTCATTTAGCAACGCATTTGGTCCACATTTAGGTGACCTTAAGATAATTGCACGTGCCCTGAACCCCATTCCTCACCATTTTCCTATCTTAAATTTTTCTTGTCTCACATAAAATCCTGGGGAGAGTTAAAACACACTGAAGTCCTCCCAAAACACCCCAGAAGCCCCCCCAAAACCCCCAAGTTGCCCGCGGTTCCATCGGTCCCAATCCAAAAAAGAAACTGCCCCGTGACCCAAGGTCGATCCGCCTTTCTCCAGTTCTGGGCCGTGTGCCACTTCCATCCCCACGCTCCTTTTCTCATCAACAACCTTCTTCTCCGTCACGCTGGCTTCCGACTCTTCCAAATCCTCCCTGTTGGTCCCTCGTGCCATCTCATTTGCCCCCGAGATGGACGGACCACAGCGGTTATCCCCCCACACCCAGAAGCAGGGCCGCCGCAGGCGGTCCAGCAGTCTGATTTACCAGGAACCCGCCGAATCGATCGAGCACACAAGCGACCAGGCTGCGCTACCTAATCTCAATGCTAACTGGGTCAATGCAAAGGGTGAGTTGCGGTGCCACCTGCTCGGTTTCCCCGACCCTATCCGCCGATCGGGACACGGTGGACAGGTCATGAATTCCCAAAATTATGATCATAAAGCTAACGAGATCGGGTCGTGTCATTAGGTGCCTGGACCATCCACTTCGTCCTCATTGCCGCGCTCAAGATTCTTTGCGACATCATCCCCGGCGTCTCGCAAGAAACCTCATGGACCCTTACCAACATCAGCTACATGTTTGGCTCCTTCCTCATGTTCCACTGGGTGCGGGGCATCCCGTTCGAGTTCAACGCTGGTGCCTACGATAACCTCAACATGTGGGAGCAAATCGACAATGGCGACCAGTACACACCTACCAAGAAGTTCCTGCTCTGCGTGCCTATTGTGCTCTTCCTCGTCAGCACCCACTATACCCACTACGACCTTACCTACTTCACCATTAACTTCCTGGCCACACTAGCGGTGGTCATCCCGAAACTCCCTTTCGTAAGTATCTTCTATACCCCGTGCTGCGTCACTCTGCAAACTTACTAGGATCCCCCGCTAACACCCCTCTAGTCGCATCGGTTGCGAATAGGCCTCTTCTCCGATTTAGAAGATGATTCATAGTCTATTCTTTCCTTTATTTCTTCTCTTTGCTACATTGGCGTCCGGCTCCCGAAGCTCACTCCCTGTCTTCGACTCCTCTCCGTTCCCCTATTCTGTCTTCTCCTTCCAAAGAGTTCCTTGCATTGCGTTGATTCACGGAGTATGATCCGTTGTTGGCTTGTCGCAAATCTTTCTCCTTTCTTTCTTGGAAAATATGAGACGCAGTCGTGGGCCCTGCCACGCCCCCTTTTCTTTCAGCTCCAGCCTGTCCTTTGTCTAGATATCCAGCTTTAGAGCCCTCCATATCTTATATTCTGCACAACATTGAACGTCCCTTATATGCGAGACTTGAAAGTTAAAAAATATTGTAATCTTGGGCCTGAAATCTCAGATGGGGCCATGCAGATTTACTTTGTAATGCAGGTCATTTTCTTGGCTGGGCCCATGCGGGGACATTGCATCATCGCTCAGCCTGGCTTGTTTACTATTCGCTGATCTCGTACTTAGTAGATAGTGAGTTGTATAAGTCGATAACATAACAATTGGCAATATGTCATTCTCTCAACTTAGATTTTCGCTTGGCCCTGAGAAAATGTTTGGTCATATTCCGTCCCCCTCTATACAACATAGCCTTGTGTGACGATCCATGATGGGGCCATTCAGTTCCGCTAATAATGCAAGCCAAAGTAGCCAACAAGTCCACGATTCGAAAGCTCACATATGTATTCTAACAACATTGAATTAACTCATTCTTGCTCATAGCTAAATTCAGCAGTCAGCTATTCTCAGATGTTTTGCCGAAGGGGTGCTATGTTAACTGTGCTTGTCCCAGGCAATAGGCCTGCAGATAATCTTGCTAGTTGCTGTGGTGTCATCGCCCAGAATATCAATTCTTCCTGTATGAACTGTATGAGAGCAAGATACTATTTGATCCAATATATTGTCAAGCTTTGGGTTTCGACAAAAGGTATTTCTTGCTGACGCTCGAGGGCGATATTTTGTATTGTTGTAGTCTCACCGTGATACAGGAAAAAGTTCTCCAAGCCCCGGAGCTTGAATAGTTCACACTAGGTTAGTACGGTTTGCCAGTCAGACACTCGTGCAACAACTAGTCATATTTCAATCCATAACCCTGGTATTCAGGCGAGATGCGAGAAATCTAGGTGAGCCATAAGGGGGTCACTTCTCTCATTTCAGTTCGTTGGGAATAAACTTGTTTCACAAAGAACCAAGAAATTACTCCCATAATGTCACATTTTCGACATGCAATCCATCTAGCTGATAGCATGCCCCAACACAATCGTATCAATCATTGATTTGCAGTCTTCTTATTTACTGACATCTGTGGATGTGTCTATAGGTATGTGCCACTTGGAGGACTCATCGGACTTGTCACTGCTTCGAAAATTCCGGACCATTATTCCAATGAATACTATTCCAAAACTAAGTTTCAAGGCTCCAGGTTTCAAATATGCAATGCCGCGCCAGATGAATGTATTGAAATCCTCGCAAACATAAGAATGATGACCATGGGTCACTTCTATGGAGAGGACCTACCGAAGGAGTTTCTTCGATATGGTTGACTTTGTGGAGGCAAGAAGAGAGTAATAGATGGGTTGAGGTGACTGTAGAGGGGGAATGGTGCGTTTAGCATTCCAAGTCCAGAAGGTTGATGCTATCTCTTGAGTTTAACTGTCAAATAATAGTAATTTAATCATGGTCCTTTGGAAGAAAGATCAAAAATGAGATGTTGCATAAATTACTGTACAAGAGCTGGATGAACCCTGAACTCCGAATTGTTCCCGTCGTTCCTTGCAGCGATCGACGGGTCTACCGGACCTAAACTCCACTATCATAGCCGACCATGTGCGGGGTCATCATTGAGCTTCAATATTTGGCGTATAATGGGCTGGATTGCCGAGCGTCGTGACCAAGATCAGCAGCTTTATGACCTATAACCACCGTCGGTTTTCTTCGTGGAATTTCAAAGGCCGAACTTTTCGAACTTTTCGTTGAGATCTGCCAGAATATGGATATCCCACAATCAGACAACATCGTGCGGGTCAAACTGCTGGACACTACAGCTTACTTCACCGGTAAAGCGTCTGTCTTCATTGATCCCGTTCTTCCTGGGCATGAGACCTTGAGCTTCTACGATCTTGCATTTCTCATTGAGAACGATGCCCAAGGGAAGAGAGTGATGTTCGATCTTGGATCGCGCAAGGACTATTGGAATTTTCCACCAGCTGTGCAGCGTGCTATTGGCACCAAGTCATTAATTGGCGGAATGAGAATTGACAAAGATGTGAGCGAGATCTTGGAGGAAGGAGGTGTGAGCTTGAAGAGTATCAGTGAGTTTCAATTTCCCGAGCTCTCCAGAAAATGGACCTAAGAAAGACGTCTGACAAGAGACAGACTCCTGTATCTGGTCCCACTATCACTGGGACCACACTGGTAACATGTCACTGTTTCCTTCATCTACCTCCATCACAGTTGGAAATGGCGTCAAGGCATCTGGGGTACTGCCAGGGTATCCCATTGACCCAAAGTCTTCAGTTCTGGCCTCGGATTTTGCTAATCGGGACTTGATCGAGATCTACTTCAAAAGTAGCCTTTCAATCGGGGGATTTCCAGCACACGACTATTTCGGAGACGGTTCCTTCTACCTCCTTGACTCCCCTGGTCATTGTCCAGGACATATCTGTGGATTGGCCCGTACTACTCCATCCTCTGCGGAAGGGGGTGCCACATTCGTATTCATGGGCGGAGACATCTGCCACTTTACAGGTGTTTTTCGTCCTACTCCCGAAAACCCTATACCGGAGCCTGTTCCTGAGTCCATTGTGAAATGGCGAGGTGGAGTTAGAAGTTCTCCTGTCTGTCCGTGTTCCTTCACGGCTCAGCATCCCAATACTTCTGACGAAGCGGTCGCTCGTATAACACCATGGTATAACATGCGCGCCGAGTTCCCCTCGGCATATCCGGATTTCGAAGTTGCTCGAGCTTCGGTTCTCAAATTGCAGTCCATGGATAAAAATGAGAATATCCTGGTCTGCATTGCACACGATGCGGTATTGCTCGACTATTTGCCTGTGTTTAACAAGAGCCCTGGCCAGGACATCAACGGCTGGAAGAGTGATGGAGTCAAAGAGAAGTGTCACTGGGGCTGGATGAAAGACATCCCGGTTGATGGACAACCGATACATGCTCCCCTAGTCGAGGACTTTTGGAGGGATGGAAAGCCTTGGGATTATGATGCATTCAAAATGACTATGGAGACGGCCATTTGAATGGACAGGATTTCCCTCTGGGATAGCTACATGCGACAAAGTTACCTAAAAACATACAATTATCTGGAGTTCTATGCATTGATCATGATAGAGTAAATCTTGCAATGGATTGATTGCAGCGTCACCGGGGCAACACGCTCCAATTTTGCTTTTGAATTTCAAGCCTGAGGCCGAGTGTCCGTAGGTTGAAATTTGGGACCCTCCATTAGATTGTACAAGGTAGCTTCGGCTGGTTTGAGGCGGTTTGCCGTAAGTATCAGACAGAATTAGTAAGGAGGCCAGATGAATTACATGAAATGATAGAGAATCAGAAATACTGATCCCCTTATATTAAGAAGTACAATTTATTCATGGTTACGGCAGTCAGGTCACGTATACAGTCAACATGATAAGCTGGTCCTGTTCTTTGACTTGGCGAAATTCTGCGCTAACAAACGCCGAACAAACAAAGAAAAAACACTTGAGCACCCAAAAGCTTCACAGATACTTAGAGAATACTTAGCCTCGATGCTCACTTGCACTCATCCTGAGTCCCTGACCCCTTCAACGAGATCATCAAGTTGGTTCTTGAACTTTGCAAGATTAAGTTAACTTTCATCTCCACAGATCTGAGTCCTGACTAAGCCCTTATCGATAAGACGCGTTCTTGACGCGAAATCCGCGACGATGGCCGATTCTCATCATCGAAAGGCCATGGCTCCTCCAGCTGATATGGCGTATCGCACTCCTGCGGTACTGCCATTCGAACTGATCCAACATATTGGTATCTTCTTCGAGGAAAATCTTTGTCCGAACCCCCGCACCTTACCTTAACATGCAACCCCGCTAACAAGCATCAGATACTCAAGGATTAAATCTTTTATATAGCACCCTCAGCTCGGGAACCTACGCCTCTCAGAAAGCGTTTGTCCCTTTACCACAGCATATTGCGCTCGCGGTTACACTCCTCGTCCACCCATCAACTACAACCCGCGCCAAATCCCCCGAGGCGAAGGAGGCGGCCTCCGTGGCTCTGCGACTCCTCCGACTTCTCTCTACCCTCGTCAACCCTCATGATTGCAGGCTCAATCATGCATTTGTCTTCACGCAACAGACATTACGATCCGGTCGTTCGCACCATACAGAAGATGACGATAGAGGTCTCCAATCCTCCGGGCGCAAGCCATTGAACTTAGAAATGGGCCAAGGCGATTCTTTATGGGCGCGGGCTGAAGACTTCTGGCATGCTGTGGGCTGGGCTTTCAATTGCTCCGTACTTCATCCCGAACGCTGGGAGCGGTGGCAGGTCTGGCTGCATTACATGTGCGAAATCATGGAAGATGATTGGGAGCAAAGATTGGAAACATACCACGAGTTTGGAGCGCAGAAACGGGAGGACGCACGAACACTTGAAGAGGCCAAAAAAGGGAATGGCGCTGCTGGAGGGCCTCGGAAGAAGACAAACGCTGGACCCGCCGAGAAAACGAAAGTGAAAGCTAAAGGAACTCGGAAGAGTGCGCACGACACTGAAGCTGAGGAACCAAAAGGGAGAGCCAGAAGAGCTTGGCAGAATGGCGAACTGAATCAAAACCCCGCTAAAGCCGCTCGGAAGGTGGACGAAGGCTTAAGCATTCTTCGGGAAAGCTTGATTTTCCAGTTCATTGCCGCTAGTAACGACAATGGACGAAACCGGAGGATCCTGAGAGCCATCTTCGCAGACGGGAGTACCACTTCAATCAATGAGTTTCGACAGGTGTTTAGAAAAGAACTCAAAGCTCGCCGAGCGCCCGACAAGCCCAAGAAAAGAGAGCGCGAGGTCCATGTTGACAAGGAGCAGTACGGCGACTACATGTCCCAAGAAGAGACGGATGATGAAGTGAATGGAGCAGATGATTCCAAGCCGAAGCCGATCCGACGAAGTAAGCGAACAAGACGAGGGACAAGGACTGTACCCAATGGATCTTCCGCGCAAGCCGACACAGGATCGACCTCTTTACCACGTCAGGACGTTGGACTTTCGTCGATGGGTGGCCTCGACTCACTTCGATTGCGCAAACGACTCCTCGGAATCCTCTCAGCTGTCTCCTTCCGCCTCCCTCAAGACTTCATTTCCGTTCTGGACCTCTACAATCTTTTCTCGGACAATATTGGCCCCCAGCCCCTGCCCATTTTCCAGGCTTTTGTTAGCCCATCTATTCTACCTGAGTTCGCAGATGAGGAACAGACTACCCTCTGCGAGATATTGCTGTACAGCTTGCGGGAAGCCTCTGCTCCGTCCACGGACGAGGCTTATCTCGACCAGTCGAAGCTGGAAAAATGCTTCCTTCCATATGCGGCCGCTGCTAGCAGCGTTGTGAGCAACATCAAGGTATCTATTCTTCTGGAGGCGGCTATTGTCCTTCTAGGGGAAAGTAACCGGTTAACCGTCACGGACTCTTTTATGTATGCTGTCGAAGCTGGAATCGACAGGCGGGTCAACAAAGCAAGCGCTGAGCTCCAACGCAGCCAAACCAGCGAGGACCAGTCACCGGAATGGTCTTGGTTGGTGGAAAGCTGCAACAGGCTGACGTTTCTCACTGAACTTTTGTCACCCACGGCTTAGTCCATCGCCTTGAGCTTGTAGGGCACGACGATTTACGACGGTAATGATCATAATGATGTATATATTAGCTTTCCCTATATTTCCAAATCACTTCAGTAGCACTTAATCAAGTACTTGATACAGTATGTAGGTGTCCGTGAGCATCTTTGCTATATCACTAATTGCCTCTCAACTGCCACCCCAATGTCTAGCTGCGTGGCTTCATGACGAATATACCCAATGGCCATTTTGAGATATTCTTACATTTTGAAACGTACGATGAGGTTAGGACGCCTTAATTTAAAATCTAGACTTATTCATGGCTATCTACAATGTAGACTAGTATGCAGCTTCACGTTGGCCCATAAAGCAAAAGACAAGAAATAGCATAAAACAGCTATCGGGAATCATCATGAGCAAAATCCAATTCTCCGAATCGCCAACGCATATTGAACAGAAAGACGAGAAAATGAGTAGAAAGTACTGCAGCCTGTCGGATATATTAAAAAACGGCAAGAAACAAGAAATTCAAAAAGGCAAAACGATGCAAAACAATGCAAAATAACTTCCTAGTTTGAACGGGGCTTGGGATGAAAATCACGGAGGCGGCCGAGGTCCAATGATCTGACGCCTGGCGCCTCCGATGCCGAGTCCCTGGCCACCACGGTTCTGGTTGTCTCCGCCGAGATAGCCATATTGGTGAACATCCCAAGACTGGCCTGGGCCCGAGCCGAGGGAGGTATCGCGTGCAGCAGCTTGTGTTTGCTTCTGGTTCTCTTCCCATTCGCGTTGGCGCTCGCGTTCACGTTCCATTTCACGCTCTAGTAAGGACTTTGAGGCCCAACCACCGGCCTTGGTCTTTTGTTGAGATGCCTCGCGGCGACTGTTCTCTGCGTCGACTTCGGCTGTTGTGGTGTAGTCTCGGGGCCGGTGCGAAGCGGGTGTAGGTGCCGTGGGGGCTGGGTTTGAACTCAGGAAGCGGTCGGTACGGTTTGCACCTTGATTGGCAGAGTATGCTACCGGGTCTGGAAGGGGACGGGGCGCAGGAGGGAGAGCTCTGGCGGGGAGGGCTGGCACAGGCTGTGGGAGGGGCCGAGGAGGAGGAGGTGGAGCTTCATCTTCGAAACCATCACCATGATCCTCTGTTATCGGGATATTCTGAGTGTTTTGCCATTCGCCGCGAAGGAGTCGGCGTTCTTGCTCCAGAGAAGAAAGACTGTAGCTCGGTTTGGGGGGCACAGGCACAGGGCGTGCACTGTTACGGCTGCGAGGTTGAGATTCCGAGGTGTCATTTTCCTCGGCTGGGGTCTGTCTCTCGCTCGAATATTGGCGCTCACGCTCCTTGGCCAATTCCAACTCGCGCTCAAGCTCCTTGATACGGCGGCTTTCGGGGGTCTCATCAGTAGATGTAGCCCCGCTCGGAGAAGCACTGGCCTGGCCCGCCTGGTACTGGCTCAAAAATTGACCATTGAGACGAGAATCGGCAGACTTGCGCCGACGTTGACGCTCCTCTTCGTGCTCCACCTCAAGGCGCTCCTCGGCAGCTTTTTCTTCTGCAAGTCGACGCTTTTCCTCTGCCTCCCACAACCGCTTTTCTTCGTCCCATCGGCGTTTCTCACTTTCTATCTTGCGACGTTCCTCTTCTCTTTGACGTGTCGTCTCTTCATTCCATCTTCGCTCCTCTTCAGCCTTAGCACGAGCCTCCTGCTCTTCAACTTCTCGATGAGCCCGCTCGGCTTCCTCCCTCTCCGCGGTCTGTTGGCGAGTAATTTCCTCTTCTTCCTTTCTGCGTTTCTCCTTCTCTGCCAGACTAGGAACAGCTGGACCAGGGCTTGTAATCTGTCGTCGAGCACCAAATGCAATGCCTTGATTGCCCTGGCTGGCACCACCCATGTAGCCGTACTGGTGGATATTCCATGCCGGTGCTGTCTTCGACTCGTCATCCCTCTTACTCCAAGAACTAAAAGAGCCGGATGGTTTGGCAGGGCTCCCCGATCGACCCGCATCGCTGACATTGCTCAAGGCACGATTGCGACTATAGGATCCCGAATTCGAAGACCCAGTCGCATTGGGACTGATAACCCCCCGTTTACTTTGTGGACCAACAACAGACCGGAATGTATTTGGCTGCAGGATATTTGCCCTCCGACTAAACGCAGCCAAGCATTGGAGAACCTGCGCAGGATCCTTCGCTTCGTAGAGGTCAACGGTCAGAAAGACGTCGTGTGGCGGGAGGCTGATTGGAGCCGCTTGGCAGGCACGGAGGAAATGCGAGATATTCTCCATCTGAACGAATGGCATCGCTGACTGCTTGAACTTGACACCAGGTGACACGGCCAGATTGACCAGTCTAGTAGACAGGGGTTAGTCTTGGTCCAGGTTCCAACCACGTGCATGCCTACCTGCGTAGCTACATGCTTAGGGAGGCAAGAAGACGCAATTGACACTTACTTGCATAGAGCGACACCGTCCTTCAGTCCTTCCAATAGATCAAAAGATGGGAGTTTCTCGCGCAACACATCTTCGATCCAGTCGCGCACCTCCGCGGCTGCCTGCGGGGTATAGCGGGATAGTCGCAAGTTGCGTAAGTCTTTATCCAACGACGTTACCGACGCCATGATGGATTTCCGATTGTGCGTTTGGAATCCGGACCAGCTGGAGAGGGTTGTCGGTGTTGTAGTGTCACAGGAGTACGTATCCCCTTGCGGGCGTGTGCCTGATCGGCCCTAGAGTGGAGACTTGGGTACAAGAGTAGAAGAGGAATGCAGAGAGCAAATCCAAATAAAATCAGGCGCGTAAAGAGCACCAGTGTAGTTTTGTCTGGCGGCTTGGGTATCCTTAAACTCTTCGAAGTGAGTGTAAGAAGTTAGGTGGAATGGAATGCCCGGGGCTGTGTTTATTGGCCGATGACGTTCCAAACGTTCTAGTTCTTTTGACCCGCAACTTTTTTCCTCCATTCAACCACCACTCTACACAATGGTTAACAGTCTCTGGTTCAAGTGGAAAGGCCTTCGACTGCCCTGGAGGAAGTCCTTCATGGTCGGTTAGTTGCTGTCCTCTCGTCAGCACTCTATTCTGCCTGCTAACACCCGCCACCTCACAGGCCAGGATCTTGCCGGAAACACATTCTGGGAATTCAAAGATCAACTAAACGCCGGCCGGTATAGACGGATCGTCAAATTCGATCCGAAGACACACTACGGAGATGTGCAGGTTACCCGTGAGTCGATCGCATCTTGGGGACAGGCCTTGCGCGTGTAGCCTACAGTGGCAAGATGCTTCGTGGGAATATAAGACCAGCTTGACTAACTTGGTACGTGATCTAGCGCAATGGCATCAATGGCTTCGATATGTCCGACCGACTCCGCCGACCCTCGAAGAACAGCGACAAGACCTAGTCCGTCAGGCGCAAATGAAAGAACTCGCTCGACTGGCCGATGAGCGCTGGGCCAGCAAACCCTCTTTCCTCGATAAACCGAAGACTCAGCAGAAGGTTCCTGGAATTGAAACAGGGAATGCGACTACCAACACGAACACTGTCTCCGCGGACGCGCCTTCATCTTCTGCCCCGGCACCAGTACCCGAGCCTACAAGTACACCGCCGAAGACCCGCAAGGAAGAGAACCCGTGGGCAAAGGCGGATAGACAAAACCCTGGGGCTAATTGGCAGCCTGAGGCGTGGTCCCCTTCTTCGCATCGGTGAATTGGGCCTCCAAAATAACATTTGTTCCTGTTGTAATGGGATGGGTGCAGATCAAACATACCTTGACGAAGCTGGTCTGTGTTTTACACCATGCATATGAAGCACAGGAATTTTCCCCTCCGCGGAAAATCCAGCCCAATACTCCCAATACTCTTAGGGTTGAAGGCTTGCTGCAAATGCGCAGCCTTTTACAATCTCAGGCCTCGATGGCTGCTCATTTAATTCGTCCAATCTGGAAGAGGTCTTGGTACGACCTTTTCATTTTATATCAACAACCTCACACCCCCTTTTAACTACTGTACATTAGCTTTCCATCAATATCCAGGTTAGGATTTACTTTTCAATAGATCCATGATCCTGAAGCTTGTTCTGACCAAGCGTGTTATACTATTTTCCACGTCCAAGCTTAAGCTTGCTTACGATATGTGAATGCACGGCTTTTTATTGGCCCCAACAGGGTAAATTGTTGTTTTCAAACGCTTGAACGCAATTCAGTCATCATATCAAACCCATAACTCCGTAACCCCGTAAAATGAAACGAAAATGTCCGTCTCCTCCTTTTTTCTCATGTTTCCGTGGTATTTTGTCCTTTTTTCCATTTTCGTCTTGTCACAACTCCCGTCACTGTTGCATCGCACGCATCGTACACCAATATAATATGGACAGGGTATCACAAAAAGCAGTCTGAAAGGCGGATGCAAAGTCCAATCCAAATGGAAACTCAAACGCTCAAGCAGCAAATCATCCAAACAATCAAGTAAGAAAATGTGCAAGTCTGTGGTGGAAACATATCAAATCCATCGTGATAGAAACGAAAGAGAAAAGAAAACACCAAAAAAGTAGCTAGGTTCTGTTCCAAGTTTAGATGTAAACCATGGCTTCAGAGGTACGATGATGAAGATTGACCTGGGCTTGGGTTGGGGCAGCGGTGTGAGGGTTCCTTTGTCCCAACCTGTCCCAATCTTCGTTGTAGTATGCGAGGACATACTTCCGTGCGCGATCACAGAGTCGATCAGCCAAGAAAGCCGGAGTGCAGTAGGAAACCGAACGAGTGCAGCGGCCCATCATGTAACAGATGGCATTTGTCAGCTCTTGGAGTTCATTTGAGGGGTTTGCATAATTCAAAGTTCCAGAGGTGAAGATCTCATCATGCACTGCAATGTAGTGGGCAGGACGCGCAGATCCCATTATGGCGGCTTGGGCTTGAAGGTAGAAGTCCCACATGCCTGGACGAGTGATTCCGCGGTCAACACAGAGTCCAGGATTAGGGTTGCTATTCCTGTCGTGATCGGACGATTTTGTAGGGAAGAAACGAGTGTGGTGACGCTTCGTAACAACCACAATCGAGATCCGATGTGGCTTGTTGCCGTAGATGCGCTTACAATTGGTTTGGATTGCGAGCAGCTCTTGATTAATCACTTTCTCGAATTGACCCTCGCTGACACCGTCACGGTAGATCAGGATGTTTCGTGGAAGTTCTCCCTTGTTTTCCTTAGTCCAGCGTTTGATACGGCTCTCCAACATGAGGCCCACATCGTGAATCACCTCCTCGCGCCTGCCTTGAAGGCGGATTTCTCCTGGCCATTGGCCCATTCGTCCGTCAGTGCTGGCAACGATGGCTGATATGCTGGGGTAGGTCTCGGGGTCCGTTACGGAAGGGTGAGTAACATCGAGACCGACAATCATGGTCTTTGCATCCTTGACCACTTTTGGACACTTGGATGCTGAATCGAGTGATTGGCAGATTCCGCTCATCTTCAAGTTGACCTTCATTGCGTTGTTGGCCAGGTACTGCATGTCTCCTCCGAAAAACTTCTCGGCCTTGCAGCAATGGGTCAGGATTCCATTCTTGCAATCGCCGGCCCACTTGATGTAATTGAAAGCTTTATCTTCACTTTCGTGCATGGGAATGACGACCAATGGACACTGAACGTCTTTGAACTCCTCCATCGCTTTATCGATGACTTTGCGATAGTCTAAACCTTCTGGTTCATAAAAAACGACCTTGCGGTGAAAGAATATGGGCTCCTGCCACCTGAGCCCCAGCACATTCAATGACTTTTTAAAATTCTGAGCCGCTTTGACAGGCTGATTGTCCGCCCTCCACTGATCCTCCTGGTGCGAACGAAGCTTCTTCCTGTTGAGGATGCACAAAAAGCCCCACCTCTGCGGAGGAGGAGCAGGCGCGGCGAATGTCAATCCCCTTAAGTTCCAGCTGCCGCCCCGGGGAACTTGAGTTCCTGACCCGTACCTAAGAGTGGGAGGTGTAATAAAACGGGCAGGAACGGCCATCATGGTTTCGTGGACCTTGATACCGGACTCCTTGGTTTTCTTGTCTGTGATGCCGAGAATCTTTAGTCCATCTTGCATAATAGAGACATAATTGTCCGGAGGGCGGCGGCAGCAGAACGTGATCATAGCCTGGCGCTGAGCGGTGCCAAGCTCACCGTTGAAAGTCTGCCCTGGGAGAATTCGGCACACGTCCTGAGGGAGGTAGACAGGTCGGTCTTGAGTGCCAACATTGAGAACCGGCATATTGGCTAGTTTATCCATGCCATACACTATTCAAATGTTAGCATGAAAAGTTGAAGTGAACACAGTTTTGAATAAAGACGAGGGATAGGAAATACTGACCCTTCTTGAAATAGTCCTTGACGCTGGTGTATTTACCGCTCTTGCCATCTTTTGACTTCTCCCAAAATTCAACATGTGCAGGCGACGAGCCGATATCGTGGGTTGTAGGCTTGTGTTCGTCCTTTGCTCCATCCTTGTGCGTCACAGTTCCCCAGACAGACTTCCGTCGATATTGCAAGTTGCCATCCGCATCCTTCTCTTTAGGAAGATGCCTAACCTCGACGCGCAAGCCTCGAATGTAGCGATGGAACATCTGACGGTCCGTGCCAAAAGCAGCCACGAACTCCGTTGTAAAGTCATTCATAGGCAGTGGCCTGTAGAAAGTGCCGTGGTTCACGTTCATGTTCAAAAGCAGCCTGTCGGCCCCGAGTCGTACACTCGTGAAAAAGCCGCGAAGAACCTCAAGGCCACCTGTCAGGTTGCAAGACTGTTTCCGTTCATCAATCCAGAAGAACTTCTGTCGTCCCCTGCCTGTAATGACAACACCGGGATCTCGGTGGGGAATCCGAGTCATCATAATATTGAGAGCTCGAACTCCAACCTCCTCGTTCACCAATGGGTAGCTCTGCTTCGTCTGACTGAGAAGTTTGATCAAATCAGGGTAGTTCACGGCGTCTCCGTTGGAGAATTTGAAAGTGTATTTTTTCGGTTCCTTGCCTCCGGAGAGCTCGAAAATCATGGGAGAAGTTGATTCCATCCGTCCAGCGGTAATGAGTTCCTGCGACATGTCTGAGGCGCCATATACCGACCTGACCCGCGAAGATTTGAGAAGCAAGCAGAAGAGTTCTTTCTTGAGTCGAGCTGGTTGTAGTTCTGGCGAAACCTGGATGCTGTAACGATAGAAGTGCTGGTTGGGGTTCAATTGAATCTCAAAGAAGTTGGCCCACACCGTGGCAGCCTGGCCAGTAGTTCCATAAGAAGGGCGTCGCGTCATCTTAAACTTGCCCGCAGCAGAATCCATCTTTGCGCTATCCTTCAGGCTTTTGTCTTCGAAATCACTGAGCTTCCTATCAAGGGAGGGTGGATTTCGAGTAAGCACCCTATAACATGTTAGCCGTTTTGTAATGTAAGGAATTGGGCCTTTTCGACTTACTCGCTGCTCTGAGTGTGGCCGCCCCTACCTCCACGACTTCCACCTCGGGAATCGCCACCTCGGGAGCTTCCACGGTAAGACATGTTATCTTACAAAGAAAATGAGTAGGGTTGAGAAATGAAGATATTGGTGACAGTCGAACAGAAGAAGATCTGAAACAAACAGAGTCGAGGGACTGCGGAGAGTCCGATTGGACAGAAGAAAAATGCCCGTACAATTGGCCCTTAGACCCAATGCACGAGGAAAGTCAGAGGCTGGAAAGGACGGTCAAATCGGAAACGAAAAATTGGGCAAGTCTCAGAAGTGTACGTTGCAGTCGATCTAGAATCAGGACCAAATGTTAGCATACATTCAAAGATTCTCCATGAGCATGAAGAGAGGAGACGTGAGATCAATGCATGGAAACAATACCACCGTAGAATAAAGTCTAGAAGGAAGCAGATCAGGATAAAGGATGGGGGGTGGTAGAGTAGGAAAAGTTGAGGCAAAATGGAATTCAGGTGGAGGTAGAGGGGATGGACTCGGGATGGGGAAGCGGACTTCGTGATATTTATAGCAATTGGGAAATTGGGAGAACAGTAAATACAAGGAAACTGTGAATCAATAGCATACTTCAATGTGTTAAATGAGAGAATTGTGAGGATTCGATGAAGCATAAAGAATAGGAATATTGGACAGGAATGAAGTAATCAGAAATGAAAACAAAAGTAAAGTAAAGGTCAAAGTGAAGCTAATTGATAAGCATACCTGAAAAAGTATCAAGTAGTCACTAGTGTGACTAGTCAAAAGGTACAAGTGAAGTTGTCCGAGAAGAAGGAAAAAGGTAGAAATAGAAATAGTAATTACCTTTATATAGTAAAAAAAATCCATTTTTTTCCTAGTCAGTTCAAGGAATCACGAGGAGATGGACATAGCTTGGGAATCAGTAGACTGCGAGGATCCTAAAAAGGTGTAAATTACTCGATATGAGTGACTTGAACCTACGAAGTTTTGTGTCTAAGAGATATACCACATGAACATGAGTCGAAATCAGACAACCTTGTTTATGTCTAAACATTAATAATATATCTAACATTTTGGAGTATAACCCAAGGCCCAGTAGCCAAAAAAAAATCAAACACCTGAACGACCAAGGCAATAGACCCAATGATATCAAATCAAAAACACCGGCTTCAACGCAGTTAAAAGACCAATTAAGAAACAAATATAATGATTTAGCAGAAAGCTGCTTCAAGAGCTTCGACATCACCACCGGCATTGCGGACAGCCATAAGAGCAGCCTCGCTCAGCTTGCGGCGCTTGTCACGGGCCTCTTGCTCCCGACGGGCCTTTGTCTTGGAGCTACCAGAGGGCGCGACGCCACCAAGGATGCGCTGACTGTCGTGGGCGGTAAAGTTGACAAATGATACACTTGCAGTTTTGGTGGCCCCGCGGGGACTTGTGCTTTTGGCCGACTTGGGGCCGTTCATGCTCTGACCTGAGAGCTTGCGGCTGTGTGTGCGGCGGTGGTTGGCCCTCTTTGGAGATGTGCCAGCCTTGGGAGATAATGAAGGAGAGCGGGAGTTGGTGACTTGGGCAGTGGCAGGCGCCATGAATCTTTGAGAGTCGGGGATCATGTTGTTGGAGTAAGAAGAGTCGGTCGGCATGTTGAATGTGTCCATCTGGATCATCAGGCCGCCTTGCATCATATCATTTTGAGATCCAACGCTCTGCATGGTGCGTTGGGGAATAGGAGAGGAGACCATTTTTTGGTAAGAGTTCTGCTGTTGTGCGACTTGGGGGGGCATGGGAGACCACCAAGCTTGATCATGGGCTGGCAGGTCGGGAGTGAAAGAGATGGAGGTCGCAAGGCTGTCAGATTGCCATGAGGAGATAGACTGAGGATCTGAGGAGTGGGATGAAGAGAAGATGTCATCTGCAGAAGGAGGGCTTGAATTTGTCAAAGCTGAAGAGCCTGGGTGGCTCATATATTGTTGCTGGTGTCGTGCAAGCGCACCAACGGAAGGTGAGGGCATTGAAACTGCGGGGGACCGTTGATAGAAATAAGGGGGCATATCAACCGAGTCCCTGTGGTGGAGCATGTCGGTAGAGAGGTGTTCATGCTTAATCTGAACATCCGAGGGTGGGGGAGACAAAGGTAGTCGATCATCAGAGCCGGCCAGAGTGAAATTCTGGATCCGTTGGGCCCATTGCTCGGGGTATGCCATTCTTCCTTTGTTCAGGTTGGAAGAACGCATCAAACTGGGTGAGAAACTTTGCTTGCGCAAAAGTGCCCGACGCTCATTCGGGTCGCGATGGCGGATAGACTTGGGGGTAATGAGAGCACTCTTGGTAGCTTTGCGGTGCGGAGTAGCCGGTGGGGTAGATGGAGAAGTGTTAGAGACGCCGTTTGTTCGTGGCGGGAGGGAAGAAGTTTCAAAGTGTTTGAAATCAAGGTCAGAGATGGCAGAGGGGTGGATGGTGTCTTGAAAAGCGAACTCAGCCCCGTCGTCCTGCAGGGACCATTCCTGGCTCCAGGGTTGCGGTGATTGATGGCGTTTAGAAGTGGAGCCAGTGGGGGAATGATCGCCACCGTCACTCGACAGCGAGTATAGCGGGAAGAGCTGGTCAAAGTCACCAGAGAACGAATCTTTGTTGCCATCACCTGAAGACTCCTCATTGACGAATTGGTCGAAGATGTCATTGAACGAATGATCGAATGGCTGAGCGAACATTTTGGCGGCTTTGTTTCCGTTTGCGGCGAAATAAAGTAATAAGCTCGACGAACGACCGGGGGGAACAAAGGATGTGATTGGTAACCAAAAATCAGCTACTTAGGGCTAGCGGATCACGGGAGGATCTTGGTGAAGGAGATCGAATCAATGCAAATGATGCAAATTGAAACAAAAAAAACTGCAGAAGAGAGAATGTTTGATGGGTTGTCAATCAAGCAAAACACTGCTGAGTATGCAAAGAAAGCAAAGTAAACAAACAGATCGAGGCTACTATTTGAATTGTCGCGAGAGATCCCAGCCTCGAGCTTTTTGCATACATTCTTCAGATCCTCCGATAGCTGAGGAATGTACTTTAAGAGATCCGGTTGGTCAATTCTTAGATCCACTCATGACCCGAGGAATGTATCGAGGCTCCATTCAGGAGCTTAAAGCCAATTATAGAGCATCTATGAGGACTGGGTAATAGAGCCGGTCAACCCTGATCCACTCCCGTCAGAAACTTGGGTCTGGATAGCCACCAGAGAAAATGTAACCCTCCCTCACTAGACCCAAAACAGCGTCTGTCATAAGTCAGTGTGGCGGGTGTGGGGGAAGCTCCAAAAGGTATGCCAAATGAACACGATTACTGGTCTCCATCAAAATCCTAGCGAGTGTAGAGGCGCATTGGGTATAGATCGGATCGTCCGGGCCAAATTTAAGGAACCAGGAGAAAAAGTCCGCTCTGATTCAAGACTGAGTCTCGAGTAGGTCTTATCTTATTCAGACAATATGTATGCGTCATGATAGCGACTATCTAATCATGCACCCCAAACAAGGTTCATTCGGGAGACGGTAGGATCCGTTCTGGTACTCCATTTGTGCAATTCCTGTACTATCATTTGCCAATGCTATTCAAACCATCGCGGGGGCCAATGCAATGACGCGGATAGGCTGGAATGTGGAGTGGAATGTCAACGGCTGGGTGGAATGTCACGCCCCCAGAAATTATGTACCGAAAATTCCGTTGGTGTTCGAACATTCCAATCAATACCTAAGACGTTAGTTCGGAGAATAATGTGGCCTCAGGAAGGGCATTTGGCCAATAAGTATTGTCAAAATATCTATAACGGCCCCATATTCTATATTTATCTGGTTTGACAGGAATCACTATGTGGTCCTCGTCGGATGCAGTAAAAGAAAATCTTCAAGGCTATATCTGAGATATTTAGGACAGAACATACATTGCAAATCGTAGACTGTGGGTCATCCATTCAGACCTCGAGCCAGTCGGGGTACTGTTCACATCCTGATTATTGTTCTTTGTTCTTTCTGCGCGATAAGCCAAAAAAGGCACTGTTGTCCTGATCCGGAAAGGGGCTGTTTCTTAATTTTGTGTGATACTTGTCATTCATAGATAAATCTGTTCTTTTGGTACCTGGTGTCGATCGGCTATTCATAGCACTCAGGTTCATAATCTTAGCAACTAACCTGGAGAAAGAAAATGACCCCGATTGGCCATTTACACGTAACATTAGGAGCATAGGGCCTACACCCTGTACAATGTACACATCACGTGGCTTTGAGTTCAAATCTTAGGTACAACCATTTAGCAGAATTTGCTCCATGAGGCTTTTACTGTTCAATATACAATTATACCTTCTTTACAACAGTTGAAGGTTCAAATGTGAACATCTCAAACTACCACATTCTGCTGTCAAATTGCGCTGGTGAAATCCGTTTTGGTGAGCCGCCAAGTGACGATGAGGCTCAGTCAGAAAAGGCAGATGCCTAGTGGGTACTTCATGCTAGGTATAAAGGCAGGGCACATAGCCCTCATAATTCAATCGGCCATGTGTCGGACCCTGGTCGGGCCAGATAGGTTTAAGCCTGGCAAGTGTTAATGTAAGGGCGTAGAAGAACTGATTATGGAAGTCGATCTGATGAGAATAACAATGACAGCAAATTCCGAGAATCGCATTATCAGAACACTAGAGGCTTTTAACCGCGCATTTCGCGCCCCAAAACTACCAATGTTTCTACTACCAGATTTCCTACCAAAAAGAAAGTCCGGGGGAGGGTTTCGAGCATCCACAGTATACCCAAGTAACAGAGGGGTTTGTTTTTTTTCTTCCAAGTATTTTTGCTTTTCTTCCCTTACTTCCAGTTCAGCCCAACCATGTAGGAAGTACTGAACGGGGCTATTGTAAACCGGGCGAAGGAGGCCTTACACCTTGCCTCGCCCAAGCCATCAGGTAGAGAGTAAATATCGGACACAGAGTACGGAGTACATGAAAGACACGAATGAATTCAAGTAGACTCTCCGTAGATGCAACAGAAGTCCAAGTCCCGTTGGTCCGTACAAGGCGCCCTATCGAGTTTGGAACCTTCCCAGTTTAGAAGCGGATACCCGGCTGAGTCAGAATGACGATCACGAGAGGCGAAAAAGGAAGAAAATGAATCTCTCAGAAGAAAACAGGGCTGAACCAGTTGCTTCAACCTTGGCTTCAATCAAGTCTTCAAGTTCTGAAGTGATATCATTTCATTCACTACTCACCTTCACCCGTTGTTGTGGTTGACTTCACTTCACTTTCTCTCCGATCGGAGTGACTCAACCCGGACGCCCCGCGGAACGTGGGTTTCTTCACCTCGGATCTTTCTTCTCTCTTCTTCCCCTCAACCCTCTCTCAGCTTACCCGACTTTCCGTGTTCTTTCCGACAGAACGCAAAGGTCTCAACACAAAGCCTCCCCCCCTCCCTCTCCCACATTCCTGTGCCGTTTTCAGCATCGCCTGAACTTCGCCCGCAACACCGCGCTCGCGCGTCATCTCACCAATCCGACGTCACCCACTCACCCTCCTTGAACATCGAATCCACGATACCCTCAACCCCGCCCAATCTCAGAGAAAGGGTGTTAAAAAATACAGACCTTCAACATTCAATCTTACCAAAAAATGTACACATCTTTGATTCTTGCTGGGGTCTCCCCCATCAAGTGTACTTGAATGATCACACGATTCACGTGTGCCTCACCATGGACTTCTCTATGTGCCTCGGAGGCCTTCGACGCCCATTTTCTATTATCTTGATCTTCAACTGAAACCCACAATATCTCCACCACAAATCTCGACTTGGACACTTCCCTGCTAGGATCAGTGTCGACAGATTCGTGGTACCACCAACACAATATTATTGCTACTGAGAGCGCACTTCGCTCCACAAGTGCCATGGAGACAACCTCGAGCATGGCTCCTACCAACAACCACCGAGAGTCATGGGATTCTCTCTCCTCAACCTTCGGCAATCTCGAAGTTTCCTTCTCGCAGGACAGTTGCTATGGCTCGGACGAATTGTCGGTTTCGTCAAAAGCCACAGCGCCGCTGCAATCCAGTGCTTCTACCTTCATCGCTAACCGCGAGGAGCCGGCTCTCCATCCATTCCTCAAATCTATTCTGAAGAATTCTACCGCGAATCTACGAGATGAGGAATCCGACAATGAATCCGGGTCCGAGTCCGAGTCTGGCTATGGATCGGATGATATCGAATTTGACTACGATGCTCTGTCCGAAGATGAGGACGATGAAGATGAAATGTCGGACTTCTCTGTCTGGGACGACGAAACTTCACACGACGTCCCCGAAACCCACCGAGACCACACTGATTCATTTGACGACTCATTCATCGGCTTTGAGACCTCGGTCCGGTTTGATCCCAGTATTCAATACATCGACACTCCTGACACCGAGATGTCGGAAAATGAAATGGGATCACATTCCGAGATGACCGTGCATGAGATGATGCTCCTTGCCCAGAAGTCAGGATTCTCTCAGAGCTCCTTCCATGGATCTGACGCTGGTGGCCATTATGACGACAGTGACTGTGATCACAAAGAGTCCTATCGGATGAATGCCATGCAACTTGATGATTTCACACGTGATGCGGTCGATGTGGACCAGCGTCTCTTTATCGCCTACATGCACGGGATTCGAGGCATCACCGATGCCAATTACAAAACCTATCTACATACTCAGGCGGATAATATCAGACTGGGTCAAGAGACTGAGTCCATGCATCCTGACGATCCACCTTGCATGTACCTGGACCGGATCCTCAGTCATGTTATCGGAGTCTTCCGAAACCTCCTCACCGAGGAAGAACTGAATGGACTCATCGAACTTCGCAAAGAAGACTTGGCCCTTGCGCCTGCCTCGGATCTGAACCCCCACCAGATTCTGCTTGACAGGATCGAACAGATCCTTCTCAATCGACTGACCAACGGTCATGTGGACGTTCTCCCAGATGAGCTGAGCTTCTTTGCGGGCGGAATCGCACATGCACTCGGCACCGAGGAGATGCCGGCATTCTAAACATGTTCCATTGTTTGGGACTTACCAAAAATACGACGTTACGATTATGAGAAAAAATGGATTCTCTCGGATTCGCCTGGATCTTGCCAGCGAAGGGAATTTACTGAATGTTCAACAATCAGAAAAGCACACATCATTCGGGATTTATCAGCTGTGGGAATCGGCCATTTCTTGGTTATCACTGTGTTTGCCTAGCTAGCTCTTCAACCAAAAATTTTTCCAATTTGAAATTTCAAAGCCTGTCCCTGTAAACCCATCAGCCCCGTGTGCGCCCATGTGCAAAATGAGCAACACCTCCTGAGCATTCTGCAGACTTAATCCCTGCTGTCACTGGCACATCACAGTCAAGCCATAATCCCCTCAGTCCCTCAGCCCCGCTGCCCTCGGACACCTGCCACCAATAGTAGCTTCAAGACCTAGCCAGGAAGATAATCAACAACACCGATCACAAGAAATCCCCACCAAGTCCAGCCCGCCACACAAAATCGTGCGTTTCAGAAAAACTCCCCTCTTCCCATTCGGCTTTCCCGTTTGAATTCATAGCCCTGACTCTAAACCCCACCTGTCATCCCCTGATAATGTACGAGCCCCGCATAACGTCCAGAACACGAGGCAAGACGGAATGAAACTAAATTAAGTTTAACGTCTGGATGTGTCGGTGCTTCGAGATGTTCGGTGATCTCCTTTATATTCTCTACTAGGTAAGTACCTCCGCTCAAAACGACGCGGATGGGATGGGAAATTCTCCGGGTGATGAGATCTACCTGAGGTGGTCTGTGAAGAGAAGGAATGGGTTGCTTAGCTGTCAATTGATTTAGTGGACATAGATTGTTCTCGGAGGATTTCCTGTTTTCTTCATTGGGTGGAGTGGGACATGCCTGTAGCATTGCCGTGGTCCAGATGTCACGAATCATTGAACTTCAAGCTCTCCTTTTCTGGGGTCTTCTCTTGGCTTTTTTCGGGTGTTTTTTACGCTTCGGTGGCTTCTTGCCGGTCTCCACTGTGGCTGTATATGTCTCCTGCCCAGGTGTCTGTTCGGAGTACATAATGAGAGTGATTATGAGCTGCAGAGAGCGGGTCCGGTAGTCGATCTGTAATCCACTTGTCTGTGGCTCTATTCGCTGAGGAAATGATTCAGGATTCTGAGTTGTCTCTACTCCGTATCACATTCAACGTTCCTATTGACGAGGCATTGACGCAGTGCATAGACACTGGTGGCTTTCCAAGCCCCTGTAAATCACTAGTTTACTAAGCTCTCAAGTGCTGCACAGGCACATAGAAAAGTAGAACCTTGAAAGGAAGTCGTCACACCTGCCTAAAAGGTAACGGATCAGCTCAGATGTTTGAGGTAAGGAGAAGCCTGCAGTCGATAGTTCTATGAACATTATCCTGGTCCGGCTGGGTACGTGTACATGGATGTACATTTCTCACATTTATATCAGCATACCATGCAGGCTATCATGTAAGGCCCATATACTCCCGTATCCGTGATCAACTATGCAGCTACAGGTCGCGTAGGACAGTCGTGAGTAACGGTTCGAGCGCCGTTATCCCGTGTCGATCGCAACGGCGTCGTGAGCACAGACTGGTGCCCACGGGCCTCCGTTGAGACTTTCCTTTATTCTGTTGTTCCTGGCTTGCGATGCGGTGAGTGGGATCTACTTCGTTATTTGCTGTTTGTGGATGAGACGTATCGTTTATGTTCACAGGTGGTTATCTCGCTGGGCATGAATGTGCGTCATGGGAATCGATGTTGTACTGTAGACAGTAGATCCATCAATCGTGTGTACCATTCTATGTAGGATATTCTCGTCGATATATATTCGCTATTTATGAATAAAGTATAGAAGCCACAAGCCAGACCAGAACCTTGGGAGGTTAAACTCAAAAATCCTAAATTCAATGGCAAGAATCCCTTTACTCCATGTGGGCCCGAAGAAATGGCAAGAGTCTGACAGCGAATGGGGAATGTGGATCAGGAGCATCCACCTCGACATGGGTTTATTTCCGGGCTTGGTGCTGGACTAGTGGGAACTTCAACAGAACCAGTTTTTCCATTGGCGATCTCTTCCGCTCCCGGGAGCATTAGCGGGCTGCACCGACGGAGTGTTTATTCTCTGCTCTGTCAAGTACGGAGTGCAGGACCAGATCGTAGCTGAGCTACAAATTTATACGTGTACACAGATCGGTGTGATATCTCAGGCAAGGCGTCCATTAGGCTAGCATCGATCTTCGCCGGATATCCTGTAGATACGCGCTATTCGCTATTGATAGCATTTGAAGACTACTCTAGAGACTGGGGTGCAGGGATGGGGGTTCTGTGTTGACCAATGAGCGACGTGGTAGATCAATAAAGAGATGTATGTACAACGCATTGTGATGTGATCTGATATGTCATCTGGGGATATGTATCTTTAGATTTAACTATCTAGAGACTACTGTAACCCAAGGAAATCGCGCATAACAGTGTAGATTTCTCTACAACTTTAAGTTTATCATCAAGGACATCAAATTTTAGGACCTCGAATCCGGGTGAAGTTCCAACCTTTGAAGGTTTCCACTAAGTCGTCATCCGACCCCCCTTCTCACCCTAAGGCGCACTATTGACTCATGTTCCAAGCTTCCCCCGAACAATGGTTGCGGAGTACAGTATACGGCAGGACTATTGCTGACAGACCCGCTGAGTAGGGCGCCGATCGTGGGTCCGACTTGCGATCAAGCATGGCATGAATCATGATCGGCTCTGATTAAAGGAGTCGACATATTGCAGAGATTGACCGCTTCTCTGAACATTTCTACAAGTGAACGGAACTAAATTCAAACATATTTAATTATAATCTATTTCATTCGGTTTAATCGTAAGCATCAGAATAAAATGGGCAGTGTAACAAGTCCGATGCGATGCCTTTGATTCGGATCCAATGATTTGGTACCAGCAAAGCCACACGTGTGGGATCATCGGATGGGGCCTTCCTCCCCGAATGGCACGAGCGATTAGAAAGTGGCGGTTTTGTTGTGGGCGGAGATCGTCGGTGAACTCAGTACGAAGTACAATTTGTCAAATTGGGTCATAGCGAGCAGATAATTTCCAATTAATTCGGGGAACTGTAAGTTTCGAGTAGAAGAATGATGCCGTGTTTATAATTGCATTGGGGGCCAGCCCTGAGTAGACGGAGTACATACGACATACGACATACGGTGTACTCCGTAGTAGGGCAATTCCATGGATACAAAGGTGTGCTCCGTACCGGTAAGGTATATTTCCATGGATCCCATATATTAGTACTTTATGTACTCCGTACTGTACCCCGGTACCAATAGAATCGATCGAAGTCCCGAAAGAATAAATCAAAAACCAACTAAAAAGGTGAAACTGAAATTCAAATTGTTTCGGAGGCGGGAAAGGAAAATTCAATAGAACGATTCAAAGTGGTTTAGTTGGGGAAGACTAAAAAGTCCCGTGGGCCCACGATCCTATTCATTGGCTTATAACATCCTTTGATTGGTTTGGGCTTGAGTCTCCATGTGGAGTCACTTCGTGCTTTGGGGCCGATCGCTTTCTCTACCCCTGGTTTCTTCCATTGCGATAGGGTGAATGGATCTGGGACCATGGTTAAGAGGTGTTGGGAGGACAGGTACGTGTGATAAGAAGATTGGAGACCTTTGTGAAATTCCTAGAATGCCAATTATCATGAAATACCATTTTATCCAGTTAATTAGATTATAAAAAAAAGGAGCTCGTGGGAGTGGGTTATATCTCCCCGCTGCAGGGGCTTAAAAAAAAGCCCAGTCTAAGATTAAACAGTGGCGCCTTTTGTATTCAATTCCCAAGTTCATTCGGTAGTGAATCCCCGAAATCCATTGTCTCCACCATATGAAGAATTATTACCCTCTCCTGAATTTCAACCCTTTCCTACAACTTTGAATCTCCTTCACATTGAGAAACATATTTTTGACCTTCCTCTATGGCGCACAAAGAATGAGCTTACGGGTATGTTGACAATATTCTTACTACGGGGGCCGACAGTGACGTTGTGTTCATGCATGACTGTCGTACAATTCGACATGCCAACATAAGAATGGCCCCCCGAATAATCGCCCCAAACATCAGCTGCAAGTGGTCAGACTGACGGTGTACAGGATGATTTAGAGATTTGATTTCCAACCCAATCCCCCCGAGAGATTTCGAGGGTGTACCCCGGTGGTCCAGGGCAATCAGAAATTATTCCCCAGCCGCGGCTTACCGTGTCCGACCATTGATATACCTCTCGCCCGTCGCCTTTCACCATGCAACACTACTCCAGATCCGACTTTCTGGACGCCGGGAGCTTGACTCGCTCACGCAGTACCAGTCTATCTAGTGACTCTCGAGTCAATCTCATGTCGCCGCCATCCGTCAGCCCCCCGCCTGCTTTTATTTCTTCCTCTGCGGCTTCGGAGATCATTACATCCGACCAAGAATTCAATGCCGCTGATTTTGTCGCCGAGGATGAGGACACCGGTAGCACCGCCAGTGCCTTGGTCACCCCCGCGGCACTGTCTCTTTTGAATGGCTTCCTTGATAATTTGTTGTTTAATATTCTCGCGGCTTCCAAATCTACACAACTCGCCTGTATTCGACCGGTTTTGGCAGACGTCCTAAAACCTCGCCTCGCACAAGAAGTGGTGGCCACAGCAGATGAAGAGCTGGGTGAATACATGGGCGGCGAGGAGGACGAGGAATCGGAATTCCGGGGAGGTCAAGAACCCGGCGGAGACTTTGATCTTGCTCGGTCTTGGAAGTTGACCCGTCTACGATGCATGGTTTACACCAGACTCGGCGACATGGAAGAGGAGGATGAGGACGAATACATCGCGCAGGAGGGTCTTGGGGAGTCCGACGGTGCTCCCCGCAGGTTCTCGAGCCATGTCGACAACATCACTCCCGCAGCAGCGATCTTTTTAACTTCCATTATTGAGCACATCGGCGAGCGAGCGCTTGTCATTGCGGGCGAGACCTCGCGATCAAGGTTATCCACGAAACTAAATGATACCGAAAGTCAATTTTCAGACGATATGGAGGACCACCGCAAGCGAATTGAGCGGTTGGTCGTGGAGGATCTCGATATGGAGAAACTTGCGCTGAACGCGACGCTGGGTCGCTTATGGCGCACCTGGCGCAAGCGTAGACGTGGAACTACCCTTTCGCGAACATTGTCTCGCGAGTCTTTCCGACGCCGCACCTTTTCTCACAGCCTGATCAACAGCCGCAAGAGCAGTATTGCGACCATCGAGGAGCCGGTAACCCCCGCAGAGGCTGATCAGGATGCTCCCGCGCCAATTGATCCAATCGCAGTGCCTCTACCCATGGGCGACCACGATATTGATGAAATTGAGGTTCCTGGGTACAACCCGGATATGGAGGACGAGGTAGCTCATACAATGCAGGCGGTTGTCGCTCACAAAGTGCGACCGCGGAGTTTGATGGTGGTCCCCTCACCATCGCTGGTGACACGGTCGGGCAACTCTCCTCTGAGCGCGTCCGCAGTCGAAAGTCCTATGTTTCTTCATGCTCGCTCTAGATCGATGCCAAACCACAAGTCGGATCTACCTCAGGTGTCCCAGGAGCAGGCCGAGGAGGAGGAAGAAGCCTCTCCAGGTCAATCATCGCCCAAGTCCTCCAGATCTGCCCGCTCACCTTCCAAGGAGAAGCAGCTGGAAACCATGTACGAGGATGATGAATCGACTGAATTTGTAGATGCAGCCGAGTCTATCATGGGAATCGCAGTTACCACGGAAAATGAGGACTTCAAAGAAGTTGCGGAGTTGTCCGACAAGGAGCGCATGTCTGTCGTACAAGAGGAGGAGACTGCGCCGTCAGTTGGTGAAACGGTCGCATCATTGCGATCACGTCTGCACGAGGACGAAGGGACAGACAGCAACCGTGTTTCGGCTTCGTCGATAAGTGATGGACCCACCAAGGACCCGGAAGTTATCGAAGGACAGGGGATGCGCGAGAAGCCGACACTGACGTCGACCATTCAGCGGCCGAAGAAAATGCAAAGTAAGGATGTTTCTCAGTCTGATGCAAAGCCGATCATTGCAGAAACTAGTGGCCCCGACCTTCCCTCCACCCAATCTATGCAAGGGGTGGAGCCCGCACTGGCACTACCCGCCGACGCCACCATCGAAGCTATCAAGACTCCTAGTGATAGCGATACTATCGAGGCCGATCCTAATAAATCAGACATGAAATCCGTGCCTGAAGAGGCCCCTTTGAATGAAGCGGATTTTTCTGAGAAACCCTCCGACATTTCTTCAGAGACCGCTGCTATCAGCAACTCCCTCATTCCCAGCTCTGGCCAAAGTGCTGCTGAATCCGCTGTTGAAGACTTGTCTGGTTCTGAAGCTGTAACTCCAGAAATCTCTCGACAACATTCGACTTCGGGCGACAGTGAACGATCTCAACAATCACGCACCCGCCGCAGGCCCACCCCGTTGGTGGTGACTAGCAACCGCAGCTCTCCAACACTTGAACAGCGAGCTGCTGTGCAGCGTATGTCTGGTCGCTCAGCTACATCAATCTCCTCAACAATCCAAAGTCAAAGCAAGCCTCGTCGCTCAGAGAGCTTTGGCAGTGCTCGCGAAAAGCGCCCAATCACTGCTGGTTCTACGACATCTTCTCAAGTTTCAAACAAACTAAAAGGCCTGATGACTCGTCCCCCAGGCGAGTCCCCGTCCCTCCGGCTCCGCAGCTCTTCTGATACGAGCCGGGCGTCTGGTAGTGCAGACTCATTGGAGAACGACACCACCGATTTGGACAAGTTAATCAACAGTGATGAGACCATCCATTTCACGTTGACTCCGCGAAGTGTGCGAGAGATGACCTTCCCGGATGTGTCTCGACCAATTCCTCGCTCAGACACCACGACCACGACTGATCTCGCAGAGTTCCTGAAGAACACCGGCCCACCGGGAGCGGACCCTCGAGCATCTGTCTCTTCCAAGGCCACTGGAGAACAAACCATTGGAACTGCCAAATCGCTTGATTCCCCCAAGCACATCCCACTCTCTTCTCGGATGAGCCTCTCTCCAACGGCTGCTGCTGTACCAGCTCGTGAGACTCGTACCAGTAGCAAACCATCTGGTCCCACCAGCTCTCCGACTCCCGTCGACTCCCCCAGATCTGTTCGAACTCAGCCTAGTATTTCGTCCACTGGGTCAAATCCGAACCGGCCCAAGCTGCAGGCTCGTGCAGCGGAGACGCGTGGATCGGAGACTTCTGAATTGATCGATTTCATTCGCCAAGGGCCGCCGCAGTCTGGTGCCCACCGTATCCCTCGTACAGTGGCACCATTCCGAAACACAATCGACTCGGATGATCTTCAAATTAACCCCCAGAACGGTTCTGTTGGTGAAAGTTCTAGTATCAGCAAGTCGTTTACATCTCGTACTGGGCTGCTGGATTCAAACAACCGCCCCAATGGTCAAGCCAAGTCGATCAACATGGCGGAGCCTGCTCAACCCGTGCGCAAGCAACGACGTGTTCCGGACCCCTACGCCATTGATGACGACGATGATGATGACGATCTATTTGAGGAGTTCATCCAAGCCAAGCCGCCTGCTCGCCAGGAGGAGAGTCTAATTGATTTACTACGCAGCGAACCCCCACCCAACTTCAACAACGCCCCGCCCCAGCCATTCAACGTGAGACCATCTGCCTCATCAAGCTCGAATGGCTCTGTTGGTATGAAGTCAGGAATGGGTCCCTCGTCAAAGATGTCGGTCAGCTCTATGCGGTCCGCCTCACAATCAAACTACACCTCAAAGGTCGGTATGGAGCGCAATCCTGGCATCATACCATCCACCTCAAACCGTCAAACCGAGACCAGCGCATTGGCGGACTTCCTCCGAAACACTGGCCCGCCAGAAGTCCCTCCCCAGAGACCCACGAGCCCCAAGATTAATAAAGAAGGCGGATTTTCCCGCTTCTTCACACGCCGCAAGAAGGTCGGAGTCTAATGCAGTTCCTGCCATCACAACTTCATGTTATGCTTTCAGCGTTTCATTGCCATGTAACGATCACATATCTCATGTCCATCGTTTTGTCATTCTATGCCCCTGTATTTTCTTTCCTCCCTCTTAACCTATCTCTTGCATAGAGCTGCATTGCAGCGTGTTCCATCTTTTTCTGTTTTGCGGCTACGGCCTGGTGGTTTTCTTGTGTCCCACTATCTTTTGGACTTTTTCACTATTTTTATCCTCCATGGATGCCATACTGACGACTAATACGGAGCTTTTCTTTTTGTTCGATTTGACTCGACTCGGTCCGATTCCTAGGGGTTTGACTGATGTCCTTTTTTCCATTTTGGGAACTTCTGCGAGATACCATGTTTGAAGTGTTTATTACTGTATCTAAAAGCCTCGACGCTCGAAATCCAATCTCTTTTCATGAATTGTGGACTTCAAGTTCTCGAACTGTTGTAGATCATATGACTGGATCCTCTACTTTGAGCATGACACCATAATTAGTATTTGCAGCACTGCTGAGATTGAGCTTTATAATATATACCAGCAGCTAGAATCTCGTTAATTCACATTTTACATTTCATTAGGCGAATATTCATAACCTGTTAATGTGGACATTGTTGGTAACTTGGTAATGACTGAGGTCAGGTGCTCCGTGCTTAGGTGATCCTCCAGTCCCCTTAAGTGGCATCAACAACCGCCAGCTCCCCTGTTTACCAACGCCAAAATCCCCCACCATGGGCTCCTCTCCATTCACAATGAGGTCAATTCTGACTCTCTTCCTCCTCGTGGTCCAACTCGCCTCTGCTCTGAAATTCGACCTCCCCGCCACCTCAGGTAGCGGCAAGAACGAGCGATGTATCCGCAACTTTATCTCCAAGGACCAGCTGGTCGTCGTGACCGCCATCGTGAGCGGTTCCAAGGGTGATGGCCAGCGCGTCAACATGCACGTACGTAAAGCAACCTTGGCGATCATATCCTAATTCCAGACTTTGGTCTCTACAGACAACACCGCAACCACAAACCCACCTCGACCCAGTTGCTAACAACTCACAGATCAAGGATTCAATGGGCAATGACCACGGTCGCCCGAAGGATATTGTCGGTGAAGTGCGCCAGGCATTCACCTCAACCGCCGACACCACCTTCGACGTGTGCATGGAGAACCTACTCGTTGGTCGCCGTAAGTCAACCTCCCCCAACACCATACTCAAGACTCCCTCCCATCTTAACAACTGTATACATCTCAGACTCCTCGCCCAACCCCGTCCGCGAAGTCGAACTCGACGTCGAAATCGGCGCCGACGCCCGCGACTGGTCCAGCATCCAAGCCCAAGAGAAACTAAAGCCCGTCGAGACTGACCTCCGCCGCATCGAAGAGATGGTCAGCGAGATCGTTACTGAGATGGACTACCTACGTGCCCGGGAGCAGCGTCTCCGCGATACAAATGAGAGCACCAATGAGCGTGTGAAGTGGTTCGCGTTCGGTACTATGGGTATGCTGGTTGGTCTTGGTGCGTGGCAGGTTGTTTACCTGCGGGCGTACTTCCGATCTAAGCATCTGATTTAAGCATGGTTTAAGATTTAAGGGTTAAGACTAGAGACATCGGTCTTTTTCAGAGTATTTCAAATGCGTTTGGGAATGCATTTCCAGGGTTGGATTTCTTTTCTTGTAAGATGAGATGAGATCGGTGCAGGGCTGTCAGTCTTGGAGTTGCTGTGATCTTCTTTTTGTACTCGTGTCTTAGGGCATTTGTTTCTGGTCATGAATTCGATGATATAAAATGTATGTCCTGCTTTCGCGGGGGTTAATTCAGTGTTTTATTGGAGGTTTTCGATTGTAGAGTGCTGACTAGATTTATGGGTATGGAGACTGCCCAGGTGTTTCTGCATATGCGGATCGACCATATCATGATGGTTAGTAATGATGATGCTAATACGTACACCTTTCCAAGGCTGTAGAAATAGGATAGAACTTTTTTACTCTGTGTTTCAATGTTTGTGAGAAATAGCTCAAGTGCTATTTATTCCTTAACTTCTGTACAGGTTCATGTCATCTTATAGATGACTATATTATCGCCGTGACCAGGTTTCTGGCCATGCATTCCAAGCCGTGAATGCTAGACGTGTATGCAATTCAAAAGTTAAATTTTCCGAATGTTGCTCCGAGGTCTTCAACCAAGATGGTTTTATCGTGAATCTCGTCGTAGCCCATATATTCTCAAATCTGCCCCCAGAGAGCCCACTTCCTTTACTCACAGCATTTGAACCTATTTATCTTACTCCAAGTCAACATCGCAAACCTTCTCTAACAAATTGGAAGCCCTCTTCCCATCAAAAAGATCATCTTCAATAAAATTGCGTAAATTATACTCTGTATTGGCAGTAACAAAAGCTGTGTAATCGCCATCAATTCAGTGGTAGATGGATATGCAAACCATGCAAACATCGGGTGTTGCAGGTAGCTTTTTCGGCCCGGACAAATGACCTTCAAATGATGTCAAGCCGAGCATTACATATCAACGCCTCTTCTCCCATTCACTTCCAACAAATCTGAAGGGATAAAACAACACAAGATGTCTGCACCCAGACTGATCCACCGCGCTCTGCGGCCTATGTCATCATCCTGCAATCCTGCAATCAACCGCTCATTCGGTACGACTGCTCTACGCTTCATCGACGCCAAAGACCGTGCCCATCCCAATGTCCAGGGCCACCGTGACAACCAGGCTAACAAGTCGCCGAACCAATTCGTGCCTAACACCACCTCCACCATGACCAAGGACTTCCCCAATGTCGGAAACAAGCCCGCACCGCCTGAGATGCTGAACTCTGTCAACCCGAACTACCGCCCCAATGACCCATACCCTGGAAGAATTGAACATTTCACCGGTGGTCGCCAGGAGAGTGGTGCTCAGAAGCCCGAACTTGGAGTTGGTGAGATGGAGGGTATTACCTTCAAGGTTGAGCCTCTGAAGCGATCTGGAGAAGATACTACGACCATGCGGGCTCGGTTATTATGTTAGTTTTCTCGCTTCATGTCAACGCACCTCTAAGTAGAGTTGCAAGTATACAAACCTTGAATCACAGACTAATAACAACCGAATAGACCAAAGCCGCAAGCGCGGTATCCTTGAATCCGACCTCCTCCTTTCCACCTTCGCCGACGTTTACCTCCGCAACATGACTGCCGAGCAGCTCCAAGAATATGACCGCTTCCTCGATGAGAATGACTGGGACATTTACTACTGGGCCACCCAGGACCCGCCCGAGGCTACCGGTGAGAATCCTCCTGCCGAGGACCAGCTGACGGAGACCTGGAAGGAGACTGGCGCGAAGAGCGGCGAGTGGGCGCAGACCATTGGTGCTTTCAGGGCTGCGTACCGACCTGTTCCACAGCGGTGGGATGGATCTGAAGTGCTGGAATTGCTGAGACAGCACGTGAGGGACAAGAGTGCCACTGGGTTTGAGTCGGCGAAGAATAAGAAGACTGGTGGTGGTGGTGGATTGGGACGGATGCCCAATGTGCAGGTTTTCAACTCCTAGGGTTGCGGCTCTTGTATAACTATTCCCATGTGGTTTACCGGTGAGCCGGTATATTGATCGATCTACTGGTAGTGTTGGAAGTAGTGTATGATAGTTGCCGAAAGGCATTGTATACTTAGATGATTTAAGCTGGGTGGATGCATATATGTAGTGTCATAATCTATGTTGAATCTGAGACTAATTCCAAGACCAATCACAATAGACATCCATGGATCTGTTGATTGGTACCTTTCTATCTAGACTTGGCTTATTTATGGGTCTAAACTCTTTCAATGATACGGATAAATGGAGATAAGTAAGGAAATACACCTCAATTGAAGGGGCAATTGTACAATCAAGTTTCAATTCAAGCTACAATAATACGATGGTATGCTCATAAATTGTTTCAGCCTATATGATCTCGTCAATAAAGATATAGAATGCATACAATGTTCATACTTCAATGCAATTGTCGATAAGATAAGCCACGTGACCTTCGCTTATTGTTAGGGCACGGCGGAACCACACAAGGTGCCAGCCAACCGGGTTAGGGCTTTGGCGGGCACGCAGCACCTCCTCCTTCTGATTTTATCTCCCCAGCGTCAACGACCTACTCCGCCCATCCTCACCCTTCAACGACTCACTCCATCATGGCTGAGCAGCTGGTTCTTCGCGGCACCCTCGAGGGCCACAATGGCTGGGTTACTTCCCTTGCGACCTCCCTGGAGAAGTAGGTCTGACCTCGTCAAATTTTCGCATTGAATCGTGTTCTGACTTCGCCCTTAGCCCCAACATGCTGCTGTCTGGCTCTCGCGACAAGACCCTGATCATCTGGAACCTTACCCGCGATGACACCAGCTACGGCTACCCCAAGCGCAGCCTGGAGGGTCACTCCCACATCGTCTCTGACTGTGTATGCATCCCCCCTCTTCTCGAAACCGAATCATGGCGTGCGGATCCATTGGGAAACGACAAAATGGAATCGGAGTTCTGTGGTTCTGGGAAATATTTGGGAACGGTTTTCGCTGACCGGTGGTCTTTCTGTATATATAGGTGATCTCCTCCGACGGTGCCTACGCTCTGTCCTCCTCCTGGGACAAGTCCCTCCGCCTGTGGGAGCTGTCCACCGGTAACACCACCCGCACCTTTGTCGGCCACACCAACGACGTTCTGTCCGTCTCTTTCTCCGCCGACAACCGTCAGATCGTCTCCGGATCCCGTGACCGCTCCATCAAGCTGTGGAACACCCTCGGTGACTGCAAGTACACCATCACCGACAAGGGCCACACCGAGTGGGTTTCCTGCGTTCGCTTCAGCCCCAACCCCCAGAACCCCGTCATTGTCTCCGCTGGTTGGGACAAGCTCGTCAAGGTACGCTTCCATTCGAATCTTCAACTTTGCCCACACTCTTCAAAGGATGTTTGCATCTTTTACGTATTTGCTACTTCAGAGCCCTTCGCGGGCCATGAGACAATTATCACCAATGCCTGATTGAGACCAACCCAACCAATTCATATTGAGTTGGATAGGAAACTTCTCTCGTGAATCACTAGAAGCGATTGATGAATTATTGGGACGCTGACAATTTATCCAACTCTAGGTTTGGGAGCTCGCTTCTTGCCGCCTGCAGACCGACCACATCGGTCACACCGGTTACATCAACACCGTTACCATCTCCCCCGATGGATCCCTCTGCGCCTCCGGTGGCAAGGACGGTACCACCATGCTCTGGGACCTGAACGAGTCCAAGCACCTCTACTCCCTCCACGCCGGTGACGAGATCCACGCTCTTGTCTTCTCCCCCAACCGCTACTGGCTGTGCGCTGCCACCAGCAGCTCCATCACCATCTTCGACCTCGAGAAGAAGAGCAAGGTTGATGAGCTCAAGCCCGAGTACGTTGAGAAGGGCAAGAAGAGCCGTGACCCCGAGTGTATCTCCCTCGCCTGGTCCGCCGATGGCCAGACCCTGTTCGCCGGTTACACCGACAACAAGATCCGTGCCTGGGGTGTTATGTCGCGCGCTTAGATGAGTTGACGAGTGAAGGTGGAGGCCTCTTTTTGATCTATTGCCAAGGGAATCAAAAAAAAAGTTCAAAATCCAGAACAAGAAGGGCTTTGGTTTTGGGATGTATGAGCCACGAGCAATGAAGCACTCTGGGTCGGGACACGGTGTTACCCGTCCCCGAGGTTTTCTGACATGCCTAGCTTACTGGATTCGCCATTAAAATCGTCTGGGATCTTGTGAAGGCATGTGATGTTCTAATACCACATAAGGCATCAAAACTGTTTTCCTATTTTTTCTTCACCCTTTTCCGGCTTGTAGTGGGTGCGGCCAGACCTAGACGTAGCATTTAAGAATTGTAAACGACCACCTACCTGTAGGGGCATCTGGACATCTGGAGGCATTTTGGGTACTACTTCGGTTGAACCTATCAATATACCTACATATGAAGATATGCACACGAGTGGAGTACATCATCTGGCTCTCCGATGTCGAGCTTGACGCGTGCTTGTTCAACAGGGCTATAAATGTTGAAACTCTTGATTCTAGTTCGATGGAATACACATTATCACACTGCACCTGTTGACATGTACGCCTGGGGCATGTACGTAATTTCCAAGGTTGACTATAATATAGGCCCCGGGACTTGTACATGAACCAGCTGCTCGAGGACATGTACTGTATTTCTGGCTCATGATTAGCTTGTCATTTAGCTGGAAGTTCAAATGCTCTAAAACGTTCTTTATCAGAATAGCTTGCAAATTGTAAAATTCACGGACATATATCCAGCAGTATTCCCATCGATATGTATAACATGCGGGGTACACTTTTCTACCCCGCGTTGCTAGATAAACTCGAAATGTAGAAATTAGGTAGAAATACGATGTGTTTCAGACGCTTCAATGTTGAGTTGTATATAGGAATTCAAAAGAAAACCCAAAAGTGTCTTATGTACAGGGTTCCTGTTACATGCGGTGAAATAGTCATTCCCCCTTGCTATCACATCATGCCGAGGTCAACATAGACCCCGCGGAACTAGCTTATCAGCAATTCCTCATCCATTAGGAACTCGTCGTGATTATCTATCTAGGTAAATACTGGCTTAAATCCTTTGTCCTCAAGTGCTTATTATCTGACATTTATCAGGAAACTTTAACCCTGGAATGTCTGACAACTTCCGCCCTTGTTAGAACTGTGCCCGCATGGAAGCTGCAGATTTATGGAATCAACTTTTAAGAACTAAGGAATCTACAGAGTTTATCGGCCTCAAATTTTCATTTGCTCTGCGCTACTCCAAGAAGCATGACGGTCTTGAAAAAGCTTGCCATCTGGCTCTGGGGTCCAGATGCCAAGGATCGAGCCTTACTGTCCAAACTCGATGTGACACTGCTCCCTTATTTCTCGTTGATCTGGTTTTTGTTCGGTATTACTCGGGCTAGTTATTCATCTGCTTATATTAGTGGTATGAAGGAGGCCTTGGGCTTTGAAGGGAAGCAGTACAACTACATGAACACCGCCTACCTGGTTGTTTATGCCGTGTGTCAAATGCCGGGTACCAGCCTTCTAACCATCTTGCGACCGAAATATGTCTTTGTTACTGCTAATGTGACTTGGAGTGTGTTGACATTGATTACTTACAAGATGACACATGCCTGGCAAGTCATTGTACTGAATGCCATCGAGGGCGGGTTTTCTGCTATTGCATAGTATGTCTTCGAATTATTATTTCTCTCTATTCAGACGGGTTGAATCTAACTATGTTCGCAGTGTTGGAGCACAATTCATTCTCGGCTCATGGTATCGAAAGTCCGAGCTGGGGGTGCGAGCAGCTGTGTTTTGTGTGTTTGGCCAACTGGGGACAATGTCCGGTGGCTGGATGCAGGCTGGTCTGCTTGAGACTCTGGCAGGCAAAGGTGGTTTACCGGCGTGGAAATGGATCTTCATTATTGTGTCGGTCATGACAATTCCAGTTGCGATATTCGGTGAGTCTTGCGCAGCCTTATTGATGGCAAGATGCTGATCAGCGAATAGGCTGGGTCTTTATTCCGGATCTCCCTGCTCACCGTGCCGCCTGGTATCTCAATGATGAGCAAAAGGAACATGCAGCCACTCGCCTCGGTCCGCTTCGCCAGCAATCCTGGGATATGACCGTTTTCAAACGTGTTTTGCTGAGCTGGCAGTTCTACCTGTTGCCATCCCTCTTTATGTGTATGTGGATTCTAACTATGCACTGGATCTACTTCTAATCGGGATCTCTAGTGTACTCGCTCTGCGTACAGATGCTACAGAACAACGTCATGGCTTACTGGATGGCTTCAAGAGGCTATACCACTATTCAGCAGAACAACTATCCTACAGGTATCTACGCGACAGCTATTTTTGGAACAGTGTTCTACGCCGTGATCTCTGATAAGCTCCAATCCCGCTGGGAAGTGTCTATCGCGATCGGGTTGACCTTCATCATCGGCTCAGCTGTCTTAGTCTCCAGCCCGTCTACAGATGCTGGATACTTTGTTGCCTTTTACCTACTTGGCACCACCTTTGCCCCACAGGCTGTGTGGTATTCGTGGATGGCTGATGTGACAAGTCACGACTTCCAATTACGAGCTATCACGACAGGGTTCATGAACTCATTTGACTTTGCCTTTGTCTCTTGGTGGCCCTTGATTTTCTACCCAGCGACTGATGCGCCTGACTTTAGAAAGGGGTATATTGCCAGTTTAGTCACAGGGACACTGACCCTGCCGTTTATCGCAATCATTGCCTATCTTGAAAAGAGGGATACAGCACGCGGCATTATCGGGAGGATTCCAGCTGAAGGATCTGATGCCGGGGAATCGGGCTTTCCACATGAGACAGTCGATGAGAATACGCCGATTAATGTACAACCGAAGGCTCGTGTGTAGCCAAGTGTGGACCTCTTTGCATCACGCGGAATATTGTTATAGAATACATCGTATACATACTCCCAGGCCCTAAGTGAGGGCTGGGTCTTGTCTTCAAATATTCGGAGTCTTTCCTGCCACCTGAGACATTGAATATGTTCATCGGAGTTGAATTCTAGGATCATAATATAAGTACATATGCAGATGCCCACCTATCTGGTAGTGCAGTTTACGCCTCCAAGATCATTTCTTTGCAAGCCTCCCCAAGGCTTCATCCGCCATGGCAATGCCCTCTTCAAATCCAAGTCCCTTTGCTAGGGACTTGGCCTCCAAGTAGCGCTGCTGAGCCACATCTGGCTTATTTTGCAGCTCTGCAAGCTCACCCAGATTGTAGGTCGCTGCAACACAGCTTATATCACACTCCTCATCACGAACAGGCGGTTGGATTCTTGCAGCCACATCAAGAGACTTCTGAGCCCACTGTCGGGCCGCGTCAATACTCTGCTCCGGAGTAACTGATTTCTGGTTCCGAGCTGGTTGCTGCACTTGGCCAACCAAAGCACTGGCGACGTTGTTCAGCAGACCGACCTGCTTGCAGGATGGCGAATCACCCTCTGCTCCGCGAATCAAATCCAATGCGCGCAGATACAGAGGCAAGGCCAGGTCATGACGTTCTTTAGCGCTGTAAGTAGACGCAAGCTCGCCCAACGCCGTAGCAATCTCAGTCATATTCAACCAAGACTCCTCTCCTCCTTCAGTAGCACCCCCGCCACCAACAGGGAGGCCGAGCTTCTCGCGGCGGTGCATCTCCTTCAAACACAGCTCTACAGCAGCGACCTGCGCAGCCTCGGCCTTCTTCTCATCTTGGATGTGATCACTGCCATAGAGCTCACCCAACTTCATCTGCATACCAACAACCTTCTTCAGCGTTCGATCCCGTTGGCGCGCCTCGAATTCCTGCATCTCCCGCAATTCCTTCTCAGCATCCTGCATCGCCTCGGTCTCTTTCTGCACCTTGTCCGCAGTAGTCTGCACCGACGCAGGCACACCATTCTTCGCAAGACCAACTGTAGCAGCCCCAGCATTGTGTCCCTGATCCACCCATTTCAGCGCCTCATCCTTCGTCCGTTCCAATACTTCAATCGCCGGCTTCACCAGCCCAGCCTTCTCCAACATCATAGCCACCTGTAGCTTAATACCAAGCACCTCATCTGAGAAAGGGTGCATTCCCAATTCCGCAGCAATCCGAAGCGCCTCCTTGTACGCCTGTAGTGCCTTGGGCGGATTCAGATCGATCTCAGTGTAGTACACAGCAGTGCGGAGCGCATCGGCTACCGGCGGCGGGAATTTGTGATACTGGGGTCCGACACGAGTGACCTCCACATAAGAAATGTAGACAAATGTTCCAATAGCGCTAACGACTCCAACGATGGCGAGCGGAAGGAGAATGGGGTTCTTGCGGAAGATCCCCTTGGACGCTTCGCGGTAGTGGAGACGTACGCGCTGGGCGAAGGTTATTTGCCGCGGGCGGGAGATTTGTGAAAGGGTGAGCTGGGTGCCCTTGGGCTTTAATTGGGGTGTTGGTCTGGCATTGTTGGTGTATATTGCCCGTGTCAGGGAAGGGCGTTGTGCTTGGACGAGCTTTGAGGTGCAGGCGCTGGTGCGCCGCGAAACTGCGCGGAACATTGACGGTGTGGGGTTTTGCTAATTGATTCTTCCTAGTAGGACACGTCGTTGAATTGGATCTGTAGGTTGAAATGAGAGGTTGAGGTGTTGAAGGAATTAAAGATGCGGCGGATCGAACCCGCTTGATTTTCTTCTTGGCTGGAGCTTCTCTCCGCCATATGACGTCGCCCACCTACTTCAACCAGCGACTATTCTCATATGATACGATATTTGATACGATAACTCTAGTACGGTCAGACATGTGTGGACGTTATGCTTTAGGTGTGGTAGGTTCTTCTTCGTACTGATTCCAGGCCCATGCTGACTCCATAGCGCATGGCGTACATGCGCCAGCAGCTCGAGGACAGAGGAATGCCAGTAGACGAAGCACCAGAAGATGACGAAGTTAGAGAAACCTTCAACTTTGCACCCGGGAACTTTGGTGCGATTTACCGAGCTGATGTCCCCGAAAAAGAACATGAAGCTAGTGAGAAGGGAGAGCATGAGGCACAGGAAGCAGCTAAAGGCCAGACAAAATACAAGCTCCAAAGCATGAAATGGGGTCTCATCCCCTTCTGGACTAAGCGACAACCGGATTATGGATCTCTCATGCGGACAATTAATTGTCGTGATGACTCGCTCATTGAAGATCGTGGCATGTGGACAACCATGAAGCGTCGCAAGAGATGCGTTATACTTTGCCAAGGATTCTACGAGTGGTTGAAGAAGGGACCAGGAGGCAAAGACAGAATTCCACACTTTGTGAAGCGCAAAGATGGAGACTTGATGTGCTTTGCAGGATTATGGGACTGCGTGTCGTATGAAGGTACGTTACACTCCTTGGCTAGTGTTGTGATGTAGATTGACCGGTAGCAGGGTCCGACGAGAAGCTCTACACCTTTACCGTTATAACAACATCATCAAACTCCTACTTGAAGTTTTTGCATGATCGTATGCCTGTAATTCTGGATGCTGGATCCGCAGCTATGAAGACATGGCTTGACCCAAGTCGGAAAACGTGGTCAAAAGAGCTACAATCGCTCCTGAAGCCGTACGAGGGCGAGCTGGAGTGTTACCAGGTCCCAAAAGAAGTCGGGAAGGTTGGGAATAACTCTCCTGACTTTATTATTCCGGTAGACAGCAAGGATAACAAGAGCAACATTGCCAACTTCTTTAATGCCCAGAAGAAAGAGGAAAAGACTCTGTCTACTGAACTTGCCTCGAAGGAATCAGCGTCACCGAGAAAGGATATCAAAACTGAACAAGATCAAGAAAAGAAACCTACAGCACTGGGCATTAAGCGAGAGCATACACCCGAGTCGACCTACAGTGACATCAAGAAAGCCAAGCTTCAGGGCACAGTAACGCCGCAGAAAATGAAGACACGAAGTGCTACCTCCAACATCTCCAACAAGAAACCCGCAACGAAAGCGACTGATGGATCTCAACGAATCACCAACTTTTTCAAATAATCATGTAATGAATCGCTATGAAGGAATGAAAGTCTGTTATACACTATTATAAAGTTTGCCTTAACGCCGATAATGGAGTCAATATGTCCCTGTAAGTCACGTTTGACCAATTTCGTATCAGACCTACTGCTGGTCGAGTTCTTTCAGCCGCTGAACTAGCTTCGCTCTGAGGAAAGGACTCAGGCCAAGACTGACTATGTTAGTATATTGAATGAGTGTTGGTAAATGTGACTTACATTCCATCCCGAGTCACAGTTCTGTAGGTGCCTATTAATGGTTAGATCGTTATTCACCATATGATCATCATCCTTTGGTAAGGTGGCAAGGGAAACCAGCTCATTCCACGTCCCCATTATTTTGTGGAACGTGCACAAGGGGGCCATAAATCAAAATATAGACATATTTGCTTACCACTAGATTGATAGTTTCCATCATTCCCGGCGAAGTGACCCTCACCATCCACTTCAAGGCTTCCGAAGATATCCTCTGGCCTGTACACCAGTCAGTAGTCGATTCAACCCATACAGTGATATGTTCACCTACCAGGCAATCCGCCCATAATCAGGAGGGCGTCGGCTGTCTGAAACATGAATCCAACCACCTCGGCCAGCAGAGCCAGCGCCACCCTGACCACTGGCTCCGCTAGAATCGCCTATTTCGGCGCGACGTTTGTTCTTTCGTTGACTACCCATCAGCACACCACCAGAGTACAGGTTTGCTCCCGATGAAGACACCATAACCTGTGCCTGGGACTGTACCTCTGGATCTTCGTGTGCGTGCTTGGAGAAGACCTCCTGGAGGATACTCAAGAATTTGGGGTTCTCGCGGAGAGAATCGGGTGTTGGTGGCAGCTTTGATGTAACACCAATTGCCAAACTTGAGTTGACGGGCTCATTTGGCAGAAGTGACAGAATATAAGATCCAGTTGCGCTCTGATTGGGGAATACATACTATATCAAGTCAATATCAGAATGCTGGATAACTGGACAGAAACATACAATATGAGAGTTTCCCTCCAATGTAGAGACACAGCGGATCTGGGCCCATCGACTGGGACTCCAGGCATGTCTGCCAACTGTTCTAAGAGCGAACATTATCATAAAATGTTGGAATATGTTGGATTGTAGAGAAATGAATAGGATCTGACCTCATGCAGTTATCGTGCAGATCAAGGAAGGCGGTCAACAAGGCGGTAAATGATAGCTTGCACTGGCGGTTGACGATGGCTTGTTATCGACTTGGAAACGACAAAGTAGGCCGAAGTTGCGCCGTTCAATTGCAGTGTCGGTGTTGATCTCAAGAGTGGAAGCTGTAGGTTACTGATCCTACATTTATCCATCCCGAAATCCGGCATTATACCTACCTCCGGAATCCGCTCTTGAGCGCCAGGATCACTGAGTTGAACTGCCCATCCCGCGCCGAAATTGTTGCTTTCAGCATCTTTGGGACTCACAAGGCATTTCCTCTCTTTTCTGAGTTAAGAGAGATTTTGCGCCCATTATGGCGACCCCGTCAGCCAAACCTGGCGCTACGCCAACTCATCTCACTCCTTCGCCGCACCCAACCTCTGCACCTCTCTCTCGATCCATCGCCCATAAATCCCCTTCTACAAGGACTCCGACAGCTTCGGGACCTGGACATACACACCAAATCAGTGTTTCCTCATCCCATCAGTACGCCACACCCCTCGTTGTATCGAACGCAGTAGAGGATCCCGTCAATTTCAGCTCTCCCTCCGCATTGCTTGCGCTTGGCGGTTACACTGGAATCAGCCCTTCGCCCGCAGTCCACGACGCTCTTGTTGGCCACGGCATACACGATAACGACATTCAAAATTTAGGCATGCAAGGACTCAAGCTTGGAGTGGGTCGTGACAATGATGAAGAACAGAGACACCGGATTGAAGAAGTGGTGATGTGTCTCCATGCGCGAGTCGCAGGACGGGGTGTGTCTCGGGAGGGAGTTGAACGACTGAGCCGGTTGGAAGGATTCGAATCGATTTGGCAAGACAATGACATCAATATTGCCGGTAACTTTGTCGATCTCGAGATCGAATTTCATGCTGGCCATGACGTTGTTAAGGACGTTAGCTTGCGATATGCTACACCGGAGTACACTGAGGGTGAGCGACGAGAAGAGGCGACTGCTGTCTTGAAACGCAACCTTGCGCAGTCGCCTCGAGACAGCGAGACAGGGAACTGGAAATCCCTCCAGGGTTTCTATGAGAATTTGCAGTGGCTTGCAAAACTGGATAAGCTTAGCCAAGAAGTGAATTGTTTTGAGGCACTGGAGGGTCTTGAGGAGAACCTCAAGCGAATCTGGGTGGAAGAGGGGAAGAACGGCAAATATGGTGGGGACTACGAGCATCTCTGTTCTGGGATCATTGGCCGTCCAAGCATGCACAAAGGATCCCGAATCGGACTTGGCTTAGAGTTCTGGGTCGATCAGGCCAAGGTCTTGGATGCCAAGGCAAATAGATCGTCCGATGAAATGGTGATTGACGGAGAGGCCAATGAGATGGAAGACCAAGAACGGATATGGACTGTGATGATTGAGTGTGAAGAAGGATACCCGTCCCTTCGCATCTCCAAAGAGTGGATAGGGACCGAGGTCTTCACATCTGGAGAAAAATCCGAGTCGTCACCATCAGCTGAGACAGCGCGGTCTGTTGAATGGCTTGATCCTCCCCAGACCACGCAACTCTCGCATGGAAACCACCCTGATCCAATGGCTCTTGACTCTAGTATGCTGGAATCATCACCGCCAAATCGTCGCTTTGTTGCCAAGTTAGAGCCTGCTCTTGACATTCCCATCCTCGCGGCGTCTGAAATCTATCGACACCTTGGAATGCAACTACCACATGAGTTCAAAATGATTACATATGATGGTTTGTTGGTTTCAGATTCCACAACGGCTGAGGCATCACCCCAACCTGGCCGTCGAAAGCGCAGAATGTCTGTGCATTCTATTGATTCGACTGGCGCATCTTACGTTAAACAACACAACTACACCTTTCAGGCATTCGAATCCGTCGCAGGCCGCAAGATTCGTGAGCTCCCATTTTCTCATCCTCGACAACTCGCCGATATTCTCCCAGTATGTGAACCCAGCTTCTTGGCTGCTTAAACAGTTCTAATAGAATCTAGGTATTTCGTCAATACGCTTTGCTTGCAAGTCTGATTCGCAAAGTCTTCAAGTCTCCTGACCAGGAAAAAAGTGACTTGACAGTATCTGCGAGAACGACACCGACAAAAATGACTCCAACAAAATCAAACCCCGGTCCAACCTCGGGCCGGGATTCCAATCTCTTTGGCGGCCCAGACAATATCATTATCCTCAGCAATGATGACCCTAATGAAGAGAAGCTCAACATGCTGCTCAGCAATGGGCTCTCAACTGGTGATGGTTCTAGCGATGTTTTCTCGTGGTTCAACAACAGTCAAGATAACCGACTATTCGTAAACGATGTCAAGGTGGACGTGACATTACGTACCCAACTTGGACAAGCTCCGGCCCTTATGCTGCTTATCACAAACCCCGGCATAAATACCGGCAGTGGCGAGAAGTTTGTGCGTCAATCAGTACAAGTTTCGCTCTGCTTTGAAGTTGGCCTCAATGGCCGTATTTCAGTGGTTGACAGTTCGGGCCTTGATGCAACCAACGGTGATCCGGGAGATACCGAGATGCAAGCAGCGGATGATAAGCCGAGCCTGCAGGATATCCACAAAAAGATCGCCAGGGTCTTGGAGACTTCGCAGGACCTGGGCATCCTGGTAGAATGGGTCCTGCGGGAACGGCTCCGCCGGTGATTCCGAATCAGTGTCTAGACCCAGATGGCGAGTGCCTTTGACCATCGTTCAGATACTGTTGCGCAAGACTTGCTTGCGATCCAATGACCTGTCGGCGAGTATTGCATGACAATTGGCCCTGGTCCAAGTTAGTACACAACCATGGTCTGGATATCCTTGCTGGTGGTTAGTCAGGAAGGTATGGCCTATGGAAGCTTACGTGCTTACTATCCTCTGAGACAGTTCATAGATCTACTTAGCAACATGCTACAGCGCCTTGAGCTGTGTCGCAATACCGCGGAGCATACTCCCATTGATGTGCATTTCCAACATACATTATGATACCTACTAGCTAGTCACTGATTAGCTATGATTACACAATGAAATTCAGCACCTGATCTAGAACACTTCAATTTTTCGGCCTTCGGAATCCCTAGACTAGCTTGAAATCCATTCTAGACCAGATTAAGAAATCCACCCCGCCACGGTCTCGAGGGCTAGATCGTATCACATGATACCAAATCCTGATAAAGCTTGGAAGTGATGCTCATCGCATGGCTATGTCATCGCAGCCGATCACATAGACCGTTTGAGTTTTGCGGGGAGCGCAGTCTGCGCGGTTGCGTCGCTCTTGCAGATCCAACGACTTCAGTACGGAACATATGCCTCATACGGTTTACTAATTCGTGATGATGAAATCAATAAAAATGACTCGCCAGACGCGGAATAAAAAGAAACCTTGAAAATTGACCCCTCTCTTGCCAGGAACTAATACACCTTGTAACGAACGTGAAACCGACTACGAGGCACTACCGTCAGCCACTCGCCGAAACATCCCCACCGGTTGAGGCTTTTGTGATAGCTTGTCGCATGACATAGTTCGTTATCGCAAGTGGGTAAAGCCCCTCATTACGGATACTCCGTGTAGCGAACATTCCCATTCCGGTGAGGCATTTATTACTGTAGTAAGTACAAGTACTCCGTACTCAAGTCAAAATACAAAATACAAATTAAAAAATACTTCGTACGCTGTATGTTTGCATTTGTCTTTTACCCCCTGTACTCGGACCTTCCTTGAGTATTTGCTTAGACGCAGAATTGACATGAATTTTCCATTAAATTGTTGAGTTTGAACCTGTGATCCATCCAACTCCATCCACCTCCCAAACTGGGCGATATTACGTCTTAGGTATTGGAGCGATGACTATCACTAGTCAGCATCGTGTGTCAAGCGGGTCCTGAGCCAATGAACGCTATCCGATAAGCAAATTCGGGCGTCGATCCTTGATGGAACTTGCAATTTTTGTTCCTGTTCTGGGTTTTGGCATCATTTTGGGCGATTCATGCATTGGTTGAAGTTAGCGTATTATGAATATTAAAAAAAGTTTCCAGATGTGTGGTTTGCCGAAATATCTTCCACGTTGCACGTTATTCAGGAGTAAGGTCGAGACCCTCGGCGATCATGCCGGGTGACTAACGGCATGTAGCGGGTTACTATTCTTATCTTGTAGGACGTACGCACACAAGAAAATAGAAATAGCGATAGAAATAGAAAATAGAAAATAGAAGAGGCTGTGCATGTGCGACAGATGGAATGAATATTGAATTGAAATGGAGAACGGATCGGATACTCGGTATATAACTAGCCAAGAGATTATTCTTAGACTGAACCCCAGGGCTGACAGAAGTCGGGGAAACAAGGGTTCCTTAGCCACTAATTCCCCTGAACTTCCCGACCTTAACTTGTCGACGAAAATACGGGGGAGATCTCGTCGCCACTTTTCTATGCATACATACCTATCCAATCACTAGCTATTTTTTATCCTAATTTTCCCTTTTTGCTAGTACATTTCATGAAATCTGATTCTGAGAAAATCTCGCTTGATATTTGCTACGCACACAAACCCAAAGCGGATATCTTACATCAATTAGCCGAGCGAACGAAAAAAAAGAAAAAAAATTAAATAATCAAATGGCAGATTATTATCAAAAAGAATCCCCAACGAGACGCGTGACTGAAAAAACCCAGTACTGCAGGAACCCATGGCCGGTGTCGGGGTCGTTTAGTGTCCTGATTGGTGAGTGACCGGAGGTTTCGAGAACGTTTTGCCACGCTCCACCAGAGCCAGGCTGGGTTCTCCCTGGAGCTCGATGGGGTTGCGGATCTGTATTTCTCTGGTAATGTAACGAATACCGGTCAACTGTGTATGGTCGGAGTACGAAGTACATAATCTTGAGATTGACATCGCTTTCTATATCCGACAGATTTCGATGTTCTGCCGCTGCAGGTACGCTTCTGGGGGACTACTGCAAAGAGATACTTAGCGTGTCCACGCGGTGATATGCTGATAAGGAATGGCGCAATTGCGGTACTAACGAATGGAGTATGAGTACTTCGCACAGGTTGATTCGTATACAGTCCACCGCTAGCCAGTTTGATAGTGGAAAAAGCAAGACGAGAAAAAATTGATTGAAGATTTGCTTTTGCTTGTGCCTTCGCTTTCTGCGGTTGCTCATACTAAGTAGGCAATCTAGAACTGTCGTGGATCACTGCATGTTAATAGCTGATATGCACCTTGACCAGGATTATTGCTAACCCCCATTAGCAACAATTTACAATTTCTATCTATCAAACACGATACGCAAGAATCTCAAAGAACTTTTGGACTTTCGATTTGATTGACTGCCGGTCAGATGAGGTCAGAAGGGGAGAACACTCCCCCGGACCCTTCCCGCGCGGGATAAAGACATCCAGTGGGGGGGATGAGCAACGCCTCGGGAACCCAGACCGCGGGGCCGACCAGATCTGGGAAGCAGATGCGGTGCACATGGCATCTGTTCCTCCTTTTGTCCTCCAATTGATAGCGGTTGATTTAAAAGATCCGGGCGTTCCTGTCGTTATCGGTCCAACGAGAAGGGGAGGATAGGATGCTGATTACTGGGGTTAATTACAAGGCTTGACCGCTGATTGGGTACAAATCGAGGTTATCACAAGTGTATCAGAAGGAAAGCTGCACCAGAGAAGGCGCTCGGGTGGCGGTATGTATTGATACAGACAGGTTTCTTATGTACATGCAGACAAAGAAAAAGATTTTGAAATTGACGGGGAAATGGTCGTTGTTGAAACTTAGGGTTTCCATGGGGAAACCAATCCACGGGATTAGAATGGAATTGCGGAAGATCTTTTCGTGATTCCCCTACGATCTCGGCGACGACCGGCACCAAAACTTGTATGATGCCACGATGATGACACGGGGGGTGGCGTTGAATCCGGTAAATAGACGGGGAGTTGCGCTTGTCTCGCTTGAAAGCAGATATTATAGATACTAGTTTCAGATCTTGTAAAGGTTTTTGAGAACCAGAAAAAAGCAAAAAAAAGGCATAGAATGTGTGAGTGATTTTCTTGAGTTTCCCTAACGACGGACAAGGAATGGTTCCAGTATGAGGCACTTTGATCGGTAAAATGGAAAATACCATACCAAAATCACTCCATACCGCTAAACCCAAATAAGATTGATCCACGCCTTTTCCAGTAAATTTGGTATTTAAAAATTGATTTTTTATTATTTTTTATTTTTTTTTTTCAATTTCTGCGCTTGCTTTCCCCCACTTCAATGGAAAAAAGCACTCAGAAGCGTGACTGGTCGTGACTAAATTTAAATCTTTATCTTTCCTCCTTTTCTCTCTTCTCCCCCCCACCATCTACAAAACTCCCCTCTTTCCTTGGATTTATTCCATCCATCAGTTCTGTTTTTTTAATCCTTCGGGATCCCCTTTTAAGAAAAACTTCAAAACCCTCTCTGCTTGCTTGCAAGCCCAACTGTTTCTTTAACTCACACATATCCATAATCACTCATTATGGTACGTGCCTGTCGCGATGACTCACTGAGACGGATCACTAACAATTCTTTTCTAGGCTGATTCAACTGTCATCTCCAACACGGAGAATGTGCGTTTGACTCTCGTTGCTTTGAATTTCCACAATGGCGATTAAGCCAGAGAGGAAATGTACATACTGACTTGCCTTTTGGGTATTTAGCTCATGAAGTACATGAACCTTGACCAGCGTGGCTCGGTCATGGCAGAGTACATCTGGATCGATTCCACTGGTGGCACTCGTTCCAAGACCAAGGTATGCATTCTTCTGTGCTTCCATCGCGGGGTCGGATTGGTTGCTTTGGCATCGTTATCGCTCGATCGGACTCGATAAGCCCTGTGCACGGGGTACCCGATCGCGCACGCGACGCCTGCAACTATCCGTATCACGTGAAATGGAGGGGCCTTCTTCCGATCGTCTCACTAACATCACTTCTTCCTTAGACCCTGTCCAAGGCCGTCACCAGCGTCGACGAGCTCCCCGAATGGAACTTCGACGGTTCCTCCACCGGCCAGGCCCCCGGCGGTAACTCCGATGTCTACCTGCGCCCCGTTGCCATCTTCCCCGACCCCTTCCGCCAGGGTGACAACATCCTTGTCCTCTGCGAGACCTGGGACTCCGATGGATCCCCCAACAAGTTCAACTACCGTCACGAGGCCGCCCGCCTGTTCGAGACCCACGCCAAGGAGGAGTTCTGGTTCGGTCTGGAGCAGGAGTACACTCTTCTCGGTACCGATGGCTGGCCCTACGGCTGGCCCTCCGGTGGTTTCCCCGGTGCCCAGGGTCCTTACTACTGTGGTGTCGGTACTGGCAAGGTCTACTGCCGTGACATTGTCGAGGCTCACTACCGTGCCTGCTTGTACGCCAAGGTCAACATCTCCGGTATCAACGCTGAGGTCATGCCCTCTCAGTGGGAGTACCAGGTTGGCCCCGTCCCCGGCATTGAGAGTAAGATTTTCTCCTTGCAAATTTTTCTTATAGCGAAGGCTGACCATATCAATAGTGGGTGACCACCTCTGGATGTCCCGTTTCATCCTCCACCGTGTTGCCGAGGAGTTCGGTGTCCGCATTTCCTTCGAGCCCAAGCCCATCAAGGGTGAGTGGAACGGTGCCGGTCTCCACACCAACGTCTCGACCAATGCCACCCGTGCCGAAGGTGGTCTCAAGGTCATCGAGTCTATGATGAAGAAGCTCGAGGCCCGTCACGTTGAGCACATTGCCGTCTACGGTGAGGGCAATGAGGAGCGTCTCACTGGTCGCCACGAGACCGGCAGCATCGAGAAGTTCTCATATGGTGTTGCCGACCGTGGTGGCTCCATCCGTATCCCCCGCCAGGTCGCCAAGGATGGCAAGGGTTACTTCGAGGATCGTCGCCCCGCTTCTAACGCTGACCCGTACCAGATCACCGGTATTATTGCCGAGACTCTGTGTGGTGGTCTTTAAAGATTGAAATCATTTTAGCGCTCCGATACCCTCCGGCATCAACTGGGAGTTCGGACCATGAGAGCGGCCTGATTGCATGAGGGAGCCATAGAATACTGTCCTGTCTCTTTTTTCTTCTTATTATTTACCCGTGTTCCTCTACCTGAACCGAACTATTCTGCTCTCGACGCCAGAGTCCGCCTCCTGCGTTCACATCTCTCCCTCGTTGCACTTGCCGAGTCTCTTGTTTTTTGTCTTGAATCACCCTTTCCGGGGTTTATGTGTGACGTACAATAGCATAGAACCATGACATGGATGGAAAATCAACCATCGTTTTGAGAAAGACCATGCTCCTCTTCATCGTATTCATCGTATTTACCCGTATGCCAGTAGGGACTCGGTACCTGATCAGCTTATGTATGCATTATGATCTACAGATCACAAATCGCGTGTTTCGTCAACATACAGCTCCACATTCTTAATTCAACCTCCATCTTCATCTTATGTCCGGGTAACTCCTAGCTCCGTTGATCCTGTGGCTTGCAACCCCACACTACAGTATGGGGTTCCCTTCCCGCCTCCGCAATCTTGGTAGCTTTTATGTCATGTCCCATCTCAATCCTTATAAACGTGACTATATGGTGCATTCTTGTAAGTCAAACTGTCAGTTCTAAGGTAGATCATTGAATTGTAATGCTAATACAAAATGTTATACATAGAGCTACTATGTCTAGATTCTTGACACATGACTCTTGGCTGCGATGAAGCATGACTTGCGTGATCATACAAACAATTAAGGGCCAGCCGAAATCTCGTCCTAGCATTTAATTCTCATCGATGCACTGTCATCTAATCCCATATCTCTAAGGCCTCTTTTGGTTGCGGAATGAATGGCCTGTGACACTCGACCCAAAAATGGGCTACTTCAATGTTTATTGCCCGGTACTTTTTTCTGTTCATCAAAGGACGTCGTCAGTTATGATGATGGAAAGGAAAGGTTGTATGACACACTAGCTGCGTTAGACGCGGCACTGGCCTTAGCTGTTCCCCTCAGAACACGTTTAAACAGCTGACTGGGGTCCAAATCTGAGGCTGGCAGGTCGGGAGGACAGAGATCTGAAGAAAGCCGAATAAAATCATTGGTGGCTTTATGGACGGAACGGCGATGATTCATCTGATTCAGATGAAACAACATAGTAATTGTAGCACATGGTGTTACGTGGGAAGCGGCTCAAAGCCAGAAATCAAGGCTGTTTCCAGGTGAATTTGGACTGGGGTGTGTATTATAGTAGCTCTTTCTAGTTGACTATGTATTTCTACTGATTTCTTGACCAATACAACCTGATCATATCGTTTGTTGTTGTCAGTTTTATACTTTGTCCACGCAGTTCTCTTGTTCCTGCCTACTGCTAGTATGTAAAGATTCCAATATATTACTCCTAATTTCTTTTCTATGTACCTTAGAAGAGAGCGTCTCTTCGATCTTGGGCTGTCCCGTGCAGATTGTCGCAGATAGCTCGGGCATCATCGGAATTCAAAAGCCCAAGAAATACACTAAGCTATATTAAGGTCATGCAGGGACTCAACATGTGCCAATTCATGAAGAATAGACTTTCTCTCGTATTCGGGCGTGGTTGAGCCCCTGATATACCCGATGCCAGATCTCCCAGCCCTAAGTCCAAGTCCCATGGTTACGTCCACGACGAGTGAACAATATTGAATACTGGTGGAAACATAATTGAAACTGTTCACGATCGCTAGCCTTGAATATCTGAGCAATGATTTCATTGTATGCGAAAAAGCGGCTTGAGACCGTGCCAAGCTTCCACGGTTATTGCCTCGTATTTGACAACACCATCCCACCGTGAAAGCTGGGCGGCTCTGGGCGAAGGTTCAATATCTAGATATTCCCCTCATTTAGACCAAAGTCAAGGCGCAACTTGTATAAACGGCTTTTCACCGTTCCTCTTACTAGATTAGACCTCTACTTCCCAACATTTGAACATATCTGTGACCTCGGGACCTTTTGAGAACATACATCAAAGTTGACCTCAAAATGACCCTACTCAAGAGCTGCGCTCTAACTCTCCTCCTCCTCCAACAATCTACCCTCGCAAGCCCCCAAAACCAGCCCCAACTCCACTCAAATGCCACCCTCAACCTTGCCCAATCCAACCTCAACCCCCGCGACATATTCCTGACAAACCGCGACTACTACGACTGTCCAACCGGCTACGCAGAATGCAGCACCGATACATCCAAATGCTGCCCTAGCGGCAACGGGTGCTGTAGTAACGGGTACTGTTCCGATCCAGGCGACACATGCTGCATCGTCGGAACATGTCCTAGTGGCTGGAACTGCTGTGGGAATAATGGCTATTGCTCCCCTGTTGGCGGCGAATGTTGCCAAAGAGGCTATTATTGTGATGCGGGGTATCAGTGTAAGATTTGGAATGGGGAGAAGGTTTGTTGTCCTGATAGTGGGTGTGTGGGGTCTGATGGGGAGGGGAGTTTGGGGAATACGGTTGGTGGGTCCGGTGAGACTTCTGCGACGGCTACGGTGACTGGGTTTGTTTCCGGGTCTTCTGCTGCGTCGAAGACTGAGACTGAGACCGAGACTTCTTATACTTCTTATGCCTATGCGTATGAGTATTATTATACTACGTACTACTGGTGAGTAGAACTGGAATTGGAACTGGAAATGAATGAGGTACTGATGTTGATAGGTCTTACTGGGTTTACTTCTGGACGTCTTATTCGCCTTATACGGTGCAGCTGGTTACTTCGACGGAGACTACTACCACAACTATCTGGTCGGTTTATGCGACTGGCACTGCTGAGGCGAATGAATGGTTCGCGTATAGTGCTAGCTACTACTCGCTTTCCGCCCCTTACTCTGCTACATACCTCGAGAGCTCTACGAGCCCGGTTCCCATTGCAACAGGTGATACAGGTACTGCTACGGCAACGGGTGGAAATGTTCTTCATGTGGGCATTGGTGCGGCAAGTGGGGTCACTGTTCGTGCATGGGTCCCTTGGACATGTGCGACGTTTGGGGTCTTAATGGGAGCTTTAGCTTTTGGTCTTTGACCTATTGTGTGGTATATTGGGTCAGTAGCTTTCTGTGGTTTGACATGATATAAGCTTGAACTTGCACGTATCTACTAGTACTACAAGAATTACACATGGTATTTTGACGAACATCCCAGTTCTATTAAGTCTCTACCATCTTCATACAGGTCGTGTATAAATGATCCAAGTAGCTTAGCGAAGACCCAGTCCTCGAGCGTAGCTACACAGATCATCTGTGCGAAGGGGGTGTCATGCGCGTGGGTATAAAACAAAAGAAAGTGAGAAAAACAAAGAAATAGCCAGATTAAAGATCGGCAACTATATCCTTCCCAAAGGAATCACCCGAATGGAGCAGCCCCAGATCATCGCGGTTCCGTGCCAGCAGAATTAGAAACCCGCGTCCAGAAAAAATGAAGAAAATAATATGTTGAACAGATCAGTCATTCAGGTCATCGTTTACTTTCCACAGCACTTCAGTTTAACTGCTGGTGGAGATGCTGTCTTGGTGATTCTCGATATGAGCACCCTTGCCGCTTTCCAGACCACTCGAAGCAAAGGTCTTGCCGTGCTTCTCAGACACGTGGCTAGCGCGACGGAGGTGCTCCTCAGTATCTTGGTAGTTGATGAGGAGCTCGCCATTCTTCCCGTAGCGGTGGGGCTGGTTGCGGGCGACGGAGACGAGGCTGAAGACGCTGTTTGTCTTTTGGAAGATGGTGTCCATTTCCTCGAGGGATCGGTAGGCAGTTTCGGGGTAGAAAAAGTAGACAACGGGAAAGATGAAGGCGTTAATGACAGCGAAGACAATGTAGGTTTTGTACTTGATGTTTTCGAAAGCTATAGGGGTGATCATGACAACCAAGAAGTTGAAGATCCTAATTCGTCGTCAGTACAAGAGCTGTCAGTGGCAGGATTTCTACTTACCAGTTTGCGGAGGTCGAGAGGGCATTCGCAGGAGCACGAATGCGCAGGGGAACGATCTCGGCTGGGTAGAGCCAGGTCATACCTAACCAACCCCAGGCAAAGAAGGTGTTGAAAACAAACAAGAACACGGCAGCGGCAATACCTGGCTTGGTCTTTCCTTCGAAACTAGTGCAGATAGCCAGGACAGCCATAGAAACAGACATACCAGCAGCGCCAACCAGCATCAGACTGCGACGGCCAACCTTTTCGATGATGAAAATAGGGATTAGGGATGCGAGGAAATACTCGGTACCATTGCAAGCAGCCATAATACGCGACGTGAGACCATCCATACCAATGGAGTTCTCGTAGATAGTGGCTGCATAGTAGGTAATCAGGTTAATACCCGAAATCTGCTGGAACATCTGGTTGACGTAGGCGAGAACAACACGGTGCAGATGACGGTTCTCATCCATGGTGCACAGATCCCGGAAGCTAACGGTATTAGCATCCATGACAGCATCTTTGATAGCAGCAAACTCGGAGTGAACGTATTCGTCGCTCTCGGGAAGATCCAAGATGGCCGATAACACTTCCATTGCCTCTTCCTCGCGGCCTTTCATGATCAGCCAGCGGGGAGACTCGGGCAGAGGTAACACGCCGGCAAGAATGACGAGTGTGAAGACATTTTGGAAAGCGATTGGGAATCGCCACGCCACTGAGCTGGGGTCAAGGAAGGAAAATCCTAGATCAATCCAATAACTGATGGTGATTCCAGCTGCAATGAGAGAACCTTCCAGCATGACCAGTGGGCCGCGGTGATGCGCCTTGGAGCACTCGGCCTGCCAAGTAGCTAATAGAAAGTCAGCAGCCATGTATTTGTGGTGATCAGTACAGTGTACTTACGAACGGTTGAAGTGTTCATGCCATTGCCAATACCAGTGATGACCCGACCAGCAATCAAATGTGGAAGGCTGTATGCACATGATTGGAGGGTTGCACCAATGACCATAATAACGGAGCCAGTGAAGATAGTCTTGCGACGGCCGAGGTAGTTGCCAATCCAAATACAGAAGACGGCACCGAAGAAACAACCCAAGTTGTATGAGGCGATAGTAATACCCTGTGCTGTGGAACGACTGCTCCTTTGTGGCTGAGTGAGACCCACCTCACCCGCGTTGGTTGTATCAATTCCAGGGAACATGGTGACAAACGAGCTCAAAGTCAACAGACCTCCCATCACACCCCTGTTCTGTTAGAACGTGCGTGAATTTTAACATTAAAAGTAGGAACATACTGGTCATATCCAAAAAGCCTAGAAGCATATTAGCCAAAGAGCAGCATAAGAAATTCATATAGTAAGCATACAAGAAATCCAGACCAGCAATAATACTGATCATGATATTCAGGGATGTACCCCGGAGTCCAAAATACGGCTTCATGATGGCGGAATACCGACAATGGAACAAATGAAAAGAAAAAGAGGTCGGCAAAGATCCAGACATCCTGGGGGAAATCTTAGACTTATGAATCGAAGTTCACTAGGGAGCCACCACCACGAGTGTGCAAGGTCACATCCATCGTACATATTCGCCGGATTGGGTACACTTCCACCCCAATTGGGGGATAAGACTCGAATATCAAATCATACATTTGTATAGATTTTAGTTTTTCCCCATGACTCAGGTTCCACCGGGCCGTGAACAAGTCAGGTTCAAAGTTCAATCAACCTTGGTAGTCCGGTAAGTGTCCGGTATCTTTTTACCCTTGCGCTACCTAAGACTACCCATGATGTCTGTCATTTTCCCCGATTCGCGTGGTTCCTATTACTTGTTAAGGGAAGTGGAACAGAGTCCCTCTTTATTATGGGGCACAGTGCATCCCCAGATTCCATCTCTCCACCTCTATGGAGAGGACGTTGGAGAGATACGATACTACCTAAGATGGATCATGGGACTACACAGAAGCAGCCCCTTGATAATTATTTATTACTTTCGTCGGCTTCTCACGGGTTCCCGTATATTGAATATGGATCAGCGTATCCGGGATTCCTCGATAAACCGAGTCAGCTTTGCCCGTGAGTAACCCGAAACTCTACCCTCGGGCCTGCTCCCTACATACGAGTCCTGAATTCAGACAGCATTCACCTATCTTGGTATGCCTATCTTTGTCTGAATCTACACAAAAGATTGTGAAAACCTGAAACTTCCACGATCGCCGACTCGCCGTTACAGAAGAGAATCTGATGACGTCATCACTAGCATCGAAGTGCTGTTTTCTCCAAGGGTTATCACATATCTATGTCTAAAAAAGATAGAAACAAATGAATCTGTTGTGCTGTTTGTGATCTAGACAGTCTCATCCCCTGGGTGATACCCCAAGGTTCGGCGCCGGGTCAATAATCTGGGCACCTTGCCGCGCCAATGACTGCCCGATTGGGGATGCCGTCAGCTCCCGGTTCAATTGTGTCGGTGTGATGGTCTGGTCTGGTATTGCTTCCCCTGTACACGAAGGTTATACCCCCTGGCGTCGAGAGAAGCCGGTGAACTTAATGTGGTCGGACCGGGAAAGCTTAAATACACAATCAGGATAATCCATTGTAAGAGTGATAGAATCATTGGCCTACACATCACAGGCTATATAGGGTCTAGAGCTTACTGTTTTTGAACATGTAGCCTATGACTCGGATAGCAAACCAGAACCATCTACAAGTCTACCCCGGTGCAATGACGATTTTCACGATTTCACGATTTCACGATTTTTTAACTCCGCATTCGGCCATGAATACTGTCAAAACAGCGTATTACCCAAGGCCTGAGCCATGCATTTTATACATCGACCTACATTACTGTACAGTAGTTTATAAAGACCACCTAACCAATTACTCCCTAGTGCTCTAGAACCCTCCTCAATCAAAGGGGATCGACGTTCTCGCGTGGGATGAGCTTATCCTTGCTTAGATACGGCTTAGGACAGTCGGAAACACTGACATCCCGCGTGTGATCGGCATTTCCGACAGGGATACGTCCTGTCGACCGATGACCTAGGTAATCTAGGAGGCGAATGTGAAGTTCGGTGTTTTTTGCTGTCTTGATCCCGTCATAGACTTCCTCAAATGTAACCTCATCGAGGATACAGAGTCGAGCGGTTCTAGAGCTGTCGGAGGGGCGATTTTTAGACAAGAAATCATGGGTTTTGCAGTCTACATGTAAATTCGAGCATGAATATCTTTTCTTTTGGATTTCTCACACTCCGGCCTGCCGCGCATGTGGGTGCGTGGTGAATCTGCTGTTGCACAGATTATATAATCGAGATTCTAGACCTGGCTATAGTTAAGTCCAGTGATCGGGTCATGTGATCATCGCTGGCCATCCAACCCTAAATTGATTGAGCATCATGTATTACTTCTCACTATGAATCTGTATTTGGCCGGAACACCCCGAGTAGAAGGGAACTTCTTTGAAAGATAGCAGTAAAGGTACAAAGCAAAATCCCCTTCAGTTCATCAGTTCAATCCTTCACAAAACATGGTAGAGGATTCAAAAATCCGAATCAAACAAGTCCTCCGCTTTATCAGCATGACTTGTTTTCCACCTCAAAATACAAGCAGACAGTTCAAAGCGATCCCAGGGGAATAGATGCGATCTTTCAGCCAGCGATGCCACCTTGTGTCGAAACATCCGGAGAGCTTACCATCCGCCACCGTCATCATCGTTGGCAACCGCATCGAAGTCGGCTCCGGCTCCTTGAGCACCTGGACTACCAGTCTCGTTGAAACCACCGCCGCCTGACTCTTCGGGTGGGGGCCCCTGAGGGCAACGACGGAAAGTGTGACCAACTGGTATTTGTTAGCAAAATGTACTTGGAGAATGGATTTCCCCGACGACTTACATCCTTGGCACTGGTTGCACTGGACCTTGGACCAGTCTTTGGGTTTGGTACACTCACGAGAGACGTGGCCCACTATTCATACTCGTTAGCGCTGTAAATGGAAATGAAACATGCGATGTCAAAGTCCATGCCGCAAGTTATTCACGCAAATAACCATCGCGAATTGGTATCGCATGTGTGTCTCGTAGCGAAGGCTCTCTTCGATCATTCGGAAAGTAACTCTTTGCTCGCATGGACCCATAGAGTACAAAAAGTGGACATAGAAAGAGCTGGGGGTACTTACCCTCATCACAGTTTCGGCAGGTCATGGTCGAAGGGTCGCGGGGCTTGTCGCACTCACGAGCGATATGGTCCTCAGAGCTGCTTCTGTTAGCTGATAAATGACTCGTTTGAAAAGAAGGCGTGAAACTTACCCGCAGTTGCGGCAAGTACGCGGGCCTCGATCACCTCCTCCCTCGGGGCAGTCGGAGGCAAAATGGCCAACTGAAGAATGTCAGTATGTTACTCACTTTTGAGTTGTAGGTATTGTCATACGCCCATTGCAGCGACGGCACTCAGTATTTGGAGGAGCAACACGGGGCTCTGGGCACTCCTTGGACATATGTTCCTCAGAGCTGCGAGTGAGTTAGCATTGTGGTGATTGCTTTAGGAACAAGTCATACCCGCAGTTACGGCATCCATGCTTGCTGCGACGTGCCTCGGGGCAGTCACGCACACGATGGCCGACGGTGTCACAATTGGTGCACTTGATCTGGGCACGCTCTGGCTCCTCACGCTCCGCCTTGCAGCCCCGCTTAGTATGACCTAGTTCTGTTCTTTGGTCAGCAGCCACTTGACTCAGTTTGGTCAAGGGTTATGATACCACCACAGTTGTGGCACTTGAGAACCTGGCGGTCAAAAGCCTGTCCTGCATTTTCAAGTCGTGCAAGGTTCTCCTCGGGGCTACCAGGCCATCGGGCATCCAGTGATGTTCGGGGCGAGTTAGGTCCACGGAAAAACATGACTGCAAACTCCTGGTCGAGGTTGCCTTGAAGGTCAATCAGAGTGTAAACATCGGCCTCGACCTTCTCTCTTTCCTAAAGTCGCGGCTGTCAGATATTTCATCGCTCAAATAATTCTCATTGCGAAAATAAATTTACCACCGCAATCACGTAAATGGGAAACTTCTCGTCTCTCATCCTTCTTTCGATATCGACCCAGGTTGCCTTGGGGACAGCCTTGGAGTAAACTTGGAGCGCCTTGGTTGACTTGTCAGCAATTGATTCACCCTAAACATCCGAAAATATATCAGGAATGTCCTCACTGTACGGAACTCTGAGATGTCTCTTCCGGCAGCCTTCATCATCGCCCAAGCTTCCTCAGGCAATCTATCTGCGACGTTGTTCAAATCAAACTTGCGGGGAGACACGCAGGTCAAAGCTGTATGGCCTATCATGGAAAGTGCATTAGTTTGGTATTCACGAAGCCAGGATATTCTTGACCACCTTCGACGCCGCAGTTTTTGCAAATATCCGGGGGGCGTTCAGGGCAATCAGCAGCGGTGTGTCCTATCTGATCGCAAATGTGGCAGCTGCCGGCGAACACCCGAGGGTTGGTGCACTCGGTCTTGGAGTGCCTATTCTTAGGTAGTAATTGGCGCAACAGTCAGAGTAGAATGTAACATACCCTTCCTCGCCACAGTTGAAGCATGCGCCTGTGAACTTTCGAGGCTCGGAACAGTCGGTCTTGGAGTGACTATCACGAACATGATTAAATCTTTTCTTGAAGGTGTTTTTCAATGCAGAAATTACCCTTCCTTGCCACAGTTAAAGCAAGCACCGAACGACTTCGCAGGCTCAGTACATTCAGCCTTCGAGTGACTACCACAATAACAATGTGAGTACCGACAACAACCTCAAGAACACGACTTACCCCTCTTGGCCACAGTTGAAACATTCGCCACCACCGCCGCCAAACGACGGCTGCTCCTGGTCACAATTCCTGCTGAAGTGTTCGGAAGATCCACAGCTTTTTGTGAGTCAGTCAACCATCATATCTTTGCATTGATGAAAACCTACTTGTGGCATTTAGTAGTATCATCCGTCGAAGCTACCCCGAAACCACTTGGGGCTCGGCCAGCTTGGTCATCATCGTCGATTTTGACTGGTTGACAGTTAGTTACTTGCCATAATGTGCTTCAAAGTTGATCCATTGCTCTTCACTGACGTCCGGCTTCATCATCTTCTTTGCCCCAGCGGGTCCCATCTTCTTTGATACCGGAATCGTCCTTATGGGGCCAAATGTCATCGTCATTCCAGCCAGACATGTTGCAGATATGCTGTTTGAAATGTCAGTGTTTTGCTTGTTGATTAATCCAGAGCCATAACATGAATCAAAAAGCGCGTCAGCGGCAAGATAATAAGCATCTCGGTAGGAAAATGACAAAATTCAAGGTATCTATATCAATCTGGTGCAACGACGCGTCGCGGAGACGGTGAACGACATTCGTGTGAATACAGCCACAAAATGATACAGTCGACATCAAGCAGTCCAATGAGATGATGTCTGAGACACAAAAAGCGCGTTGAGAGACATAGGGCTTGGGATATGGAACGAATACTCACATCTTCGACAGGTTAGGGTTTGCTGTTGATATTTGATCGCTGGAGACTGGAAAATGTTCGAAGCACTTTGAAAAGGAAAATAGGTACTAACCAGAGCTCGATATCGATTTTGCAGATAAAGGGTGATGATGGAATGGAAATGAGGAGAGTGGAAGAAGTAAACAACAAAGATTTGGCAGGAACAAAAAGGAAACAAAGGTTGTCGGCAGAATTGCGTCCAGTCCATAGACTTTAAGCAATGACATTGTACATGCATGCTCATCTATAGCCTCAACTTCAAGGCCTTCCATGTTTGATGTTGCTAATGGCCATGGCATGGAAATATGAATTGATTGATAGCTGTATCAAAACACTTGAATCACACACAGAGTAGAAGTCTCAATAGCAGGGTCATTACTACTATTTTCTAGCAGCTGAATACTATGCAAATCCTATATTTGTATCAAATCACCGAAAGAACCTGCCCAGCAGGCCACCAGCTAGATTGTTCACAATGCCACCTCCAAGAGCGCTGTTGGCGAAAGTGGAAGCCTGGCTGAACTTATCACATCGAGAGAAAGCCACGGTATTTGTGATAGTCAGAATAAGGGCAATGCCTGGTTCCAAAAAGTTAGCTTGGAGTGATCGGACCTCATCCTCGCGGATCAGGGTATGCCGCAGCCTTCTTACCAACTAAACTGAGCCAAATCACACCGACTAGTCTCACAATCGCCAAGATAGCCAATCCCACCCACAGAGCCGGTGTCACATATAGACTTAGCCAGAAGAAACGTTTGTCGGTAGCTGTGATTGTGCGCACATTCGGGTCGGACGACTCGAAGACCCAGTGCGAGTCACCGGAGGCTGTGTTGACTTCGTTCCACCATCGTAGGCCAACCAGTCGACGCCCAGCAATATTCTTTAGATAGTAAAAGTCGGCCGAGAGGAGGAGTAATGTCAAGATGAAGACGAGGACGCTGTGATCGATGAGTTAGTTCCGGATCACTTTAGCTCCGCGGATTCTAATCACGTACAAATTCTCGATGAAAAGAAGGCCGAAGAGGTACATCATCAAAGCACCTATGCATATGGTCAGTCGCTTATTCTCAGTGATTAACGATGCCAGTAATTAGTGCTAACCAATGCGGATGCCTAAGAAGACAAGTAGCGTGATCGGATGGGAGCTTAAACGCCAGTTAAGCTCTCCTTGGTTTCCTTGATCCATGATGAGTGACCAAGACCCGTAGGTTCTGCTACCTCAAGAATCGAGTAGTTCCGGAAATTGCTGCTGTCGCAGTTGCAGTTGCAGTGCAAGCTAATGGTTCGGATCCTTGATGTGTTCATAACGCGATAGGAGGAAGGCGGTATGCAATGGCATAATAGCTCCATATCCAACTCTGATTGGCCAATGTCTAGTTGGGAGATATTCTCATACTGTACTCAGCATTAGCACTGAACGGTACAATATAACGCAAACAACAAGTATTGTAACTAATTTTACCATTTTTAAACAGGAAAGAGAGATTTGATGCCTGACTGCAAACTAGGGGCGGGCATGTGTCAAACGCGTCCGTTAAGTACACGCACTCCCGCGAGTCCCGCCCCTCGCGATTCCCACTTCTTTTCAACCCTGAGAACTGCCACCATTCGACCATGTCCCTAATAAGATCACACAGCCGGTGGCCAGGAGGCATCCCCTCCTATATTCGCCGCCACGAGGAACCCGTGGACCCAGAAAATTTTGATGCCGCCTCTCGTGCATGGAGACATTTTGTTCGTGATCAATGGGTCAAAGGCGACGCCGCGGATCAACAGAAACGAGCTTTAATCGAACGCTGGGCAATAGCAGACCAACAACTTCGTGATGTATATACCTTTAATGATTTAGAAGAATTCTTAATTCTACTAACGCTAAGATAGAGCTATCAATCTCGAGCACCAGAAGACGAGCCTAGGTTTTTTGAAGGTCCTGAACTTACAGTATGAAATATCTTACAGCTCTAATCTAGGGTATAGGACCCAGACTTTACAGGAAATGATATTCAAAATTTCTGCATGGTCTATATATGCACCACTGAATTGACCCCCGAGAAAGAAGCCCTGCTAGCCAAGTGTATCTTGGGTTTGTTCCCATGGGAAGCAGGCTGGGAATTTCTCGCAGACGAAATGATAATGTTTCTCCCCTTAGAAGATAACCAAGGGGATATTCTTGACACGTTCAAGTTCCATCAAAGTGTCGCCCGACCCGACTACCTTGATATGCATATGGCGCTTGATGGAACCGTACTTTTTAGGGACCGCTATCCTAAGCTTATTATCGATGACCGGACCCTTGAGACCGGACTAGGACTTTGGGTTGACTTTACAACGAACGGTATCTACGAGAAGGCCCGCCGGGCTCAAATTATGATGGAGGAATTCGGCCACTTTTATCGTGATATCGGTCCAGGAAATCAGATCCCAATCGAGCAGGCGCTGATTTATATCGAGTCACGGTTAATATACCAAGGCCGCGATCGAGATACAGATCTAAGAAAGATCTTGGAGGATGAGCCGTAAGTCTATCCATTCTTGGTTACGAGATAGTATATATTAATATATAATTGATATATGCTTAGAGTCGATATGCGACGGCCGCTCGTGGAAATCTACAAAGGGAGTGAAGTCGATCTAGTGGATGATTATGCGCCAGGCTTTCGCGAGGCGGAGGAGCAGGGTAACGGCTTAGCGATCGGATATGGTTTGGAACAGATACTTGCGAATGATGGAAATCCCCTGACTATCACAGATCATGGAAGCAGCTAGACTTTACTTATTGCTCCCAACTATTAGGTCTCTTCAATGAACAAAATACCCTTAATGATCAGGTATAGTATCCAGAATTCCAGATGCGCATCCTCCTGTGGCGGTCAAAAAAGTTCTGCCGGACCCTGTTCAACTGAAGCTGTCGGATAAATTGTCCACGGGTTCTGCCAATTATACCGAGCTTACAGCTCAATTTACGCTACTCTCAGACCATACTACATGCCGCATGCATGCATGATAAAGGACGAGTAAACTGTACATTTAACTAAATAAATTTGGTGATGGTGTTTTGTGCTATAGATTACCTAGTAGTCTCATGTCAGTAGTTTTCCCGAGGTCTTCGGGTCTATCTTCAGACGATTCTGCAGTGCTACAATACGACACCCAACATGGCGTGAAGCCCCAATTTCCCCCAATCCTGACTGTTAGAGCATGATAACTCACTGGGCAAAGAATGTCTTTCTCGAAAGGTATTCGTTGCTAGAGCTATAAGCAAGGTACTGGTATAACTGTATTCACCCTTGAATGCAGACATAAATTAGAGTTCTTTGCCATTAATTTCAAGTGACTGGTCAAGGAATTTCTTTTTTTCGGCTCCACATAGGTTGTGTGAAAGTAATCGGCCAACATAACATTAAATACCATTTATTTACATCGTCTGGAGGTTCTCGGAGCGTTTCAACCTTGAACAACAATCAAGAGCACCAGGGCCTGTGCAAGCCTCGCCAACTGCAAACAAGGTGTAGCCTTGTGTCCAGGACATGAAGATTCACGAATAAATACGTACGGCCATCACATTTGGCGCGGGCAGAAGCAGCCAGGGCAACAAGGATACCACTGAGGAAATTCATCGTGGGTTGTGGTTGAGGAAGAGGGAAGATATAGAATAAAAAATAGATTAGGGGATAGTTCAAAGCTTGATTAAGAAAAACACATGCCTAGATGCATTTTTATAACCTTCATGAGAGTGCTGACCGGTTTTGGATGCTGTGAGTACTATTTGGGTAGAATGTAGTCTTGTGGGAGCATGGTTGCGCGGATCTCCACATGTAACCATACTTATCAAATCAGATAAGATCGACTTTGATCTACTAGAATACCCTCTAGATTTTACCAAAGATCAATCAATAAGCAACTTGTCATTTCATCGAAATATGACTGTATCTAAAAGACAATTTGGCGATGTATGACAATCTCCTCCTCTCCTTCTCTTCTCTCCTCCCTCTCCTCTCCTCTCCTCTCCTCCCATCTGCTCCCCTCTCATCTCATCTCAGCTTGGGAAGTTGTTGAAACATCCTTGTGAAACATCATCTAGACATAGGTGATGGTAACACTGCTCGAAGTAGTAGAAACGGAAGTAAGAATCTCGCCATTTTGCTCGATGTCCAAGATAGTGGCACCAGAAGGTCCAACAGTGGTGCCACTGTCAGTAGCCTGGGCATCACTAAAGGTGACGGTGCCGAAGTTGGCAAAGGCAACAAGAGAATCGTTCTCCTCAAAGTCCTCAACAATCCACTCCGCATTAACCTCACCGAGATCGCCCTCAACACCACTCGAAAAGGTGTGAGTCACAGTCTTGCCAGTTGTAACGTTCTCAATAGTCGCAGTGCCAGAAGCCTTGGATTTTGCATCCACGGTGACCTTGATGACGTCTCCTGCGGAGATAGTAATGCCGCTGAAGTCGTAGGCATAGTCGGGGTACCACTCATACCAGGCGTCATAGCTGACTTCACCATTTTCAACGGTAAAGTCGACACCGGTCTGCAGAATCGCTTCACTCCAGGTGTCGCCGTCGATGCCCACCCAGGCAGAGGCGGCGTAGTCACCGCTGCTGCTGCTACTAGGCGCCTTTGGAGTCGGAACGGTAAACTGACCCGTGACTGCGGTATAGCCCGAGCCAACAAGCACGGCACCAGCCCAATTAGAGCTGTATTCCACATTGGTGGTCTCATTGAAGTGGATAACGTCGTGGGTTCCTGGCTTGTAGGGAGGGTTGCTGTGGCGCTGGACCGAGCGGCCCTCAGCACGAGCAAGACGACGAGCCTCGTTGCGGGCTTGACGTTGAGTAGTCAGAGGCGCGGCAAGGGCAGTAGCAAGAAGTGTACTGCTAATAACGGCGGTGGAGAACTTCATGGTTAAGGTTGGGTTTGGAAACTGAGCCAAAGCCTTGGTTGGAATATAGAATTGATGTGAAATGGACTGAGATATCAAATGTTCTCGAGTGCTGTGATTGAATGTACTTCCAGGCGAGGACAACGAGCTTTATAGATCTCATTCTAGGTCTTTTGATAGAGTATGCTGGAACTTCAAGGACGGCATCCTGACCAGCTCAGCACCTTGAAATTGAGTCTCGATGCAACATCAATATCGACATGACGATGCCATAGGCTATTCATGATCGAAGAAGCACGCCAGAATGGGCGATGCATACTTCCATCGGTCTCCGGCGGAGACATGAAAATTGATCGCGCAATTCCGTGCTCTGAAGAATCTTAACGAAGATAGCGGCCTAGCGTCCGTGTGGCGGCCGTCCGAATATCACGATCTTGGAATGACCGATACTTCAACAATAAATCAGGTATCAGGTAGATCTATAGCAGAATTAAGTAAATGGTGAGCTGAGAACTGTTTTGGAAACGGTCTAGTTGACTAGAGGAGTCTCAGAGAGGGAAATGGTTAGCTAGAGACATTCGCGAAATGACGCCATATCATGCCCGTCCTTTCAGTCTCCAGACACAGTGAGGAGTATAACAAGTAGCGCCCAAAAAAGAGGGGTAGGTACTCTGCAGCTCGTAATTTTGATATTTCCATGATGCATTTTCAAAGCACAGAGGCGAATATCCCGAGCATTGTAACCTTAGAACACGCAATCGATGTAGTAGAAACGACGACGCTGACGATTTCGAGACCACATATTCGTTTATCAGGCACTAAGTCAGCCACTAGTACCTCTCAAGTGCCCCTGAGCACTTCTTGCTTCATACCCAGGGGCCAGACATAAGCATCGGGTTACGTTACGCTTATCCGTTCAACTCCGCCCTGAAGAATCCGCCAAAAGTACCCTCGCTTTTCTCGATCGACGTACAGATATGTGCCGAATTTCCGAGTCTTCTTCTAAGGATTCAAGAACGTGGTTGTTCCATGGCACGAACGGCATCTAATGTATTACAATCCGAATATTGCAATTGAGAAAAAGGACCCTCCATCCTGTATGGTCATCTGTAAGTATGTTTCTAATGGATATTTTACCAATCTGACTGAGTAAGAACTGCGTCAACTTGCTGTCATCAATTTCTTCCCGCTGCTTGCCTTAATTGATATGTACGCTGTCAACACCCCAACAACAAAAAAATACCGCAATACGTCAGTTCTCTCTTGGTTTAGTGGTATACCTTTTGCGTTGTAAGTAAAATTTCCGTTATGCACCGGCAAGCATGATATAATTCCTTGACCTACAGTACTAACAGTGAGCGTTGTGTAGCTTTGCCTCGTGGTTGACACGGACATGCATACGGATCCAAAGTCTACTTTGGGCCACTCTGTTCGTGAGTGGTAAACGTTCTGCCTCAAATAGGGCCTATTCTTTCACGTGTTTTCTAGTTGCCTGCAAAGGAATGAAAATGCGGAAATTGACAACCAAAATTAGTCACCGTCGACCATGATCCCATCCTCGGACCCCAATCCTCACTCTGAGCAGTCAAACGCGCAATGGTAATTGCCTGCGAGGTCATTGACCGTTACTACCATATGTTGTCTATCGTCTTCATTATGGCTGAATACTGACAAGATAAAATGTAAAGATAACATGTCAGAAGACCAGAAATTGTCGCCTCCTGCTTCGCTCCCTGCCTACCCCAAGGCGGAGGGCATAAGTAAATTCATTAGGATTATGACGACTAGCTCGACGGTTGGAGGTGTGTTCGCGGCCATTGTCGGCATGCTAGTCATGTTACGTGGTATCTATATCGGGTTGAAGGGCCTGCTGCGTCGTTGTATTTACATCGGGGTGGGAGCTTCATTTACTAAACGAAGGATGTGAGTCGATCGTCAATCACCGGTGCTACTCTGTATATCAAATAAAGTGATGACTATTGTTTGAAAACACACTATACTTGGCCGATCTATATTCATAACTAAACCCAAATTGAAATCCGGGTTCCATAGTTCAGTTGATTCAAGTGGGTCCATAGCATATAGGCTATTCCGAGTTCTACCCGAGCTCTTGGCTTGCAAGGAACGTCTCCGACGCGACACACCTATATCAATATCACCCTAGTTGGAAACAATTGCAATCCAAACGCCAAAGACTTTTGGAATCATGTCATCGCCCGCAATGGCTGCCCGCAATACTCTTCGCCGCTCCCTCCTCTATGGTATGAACACCATGCAACGCGTCTTCCCCGCATTTCAATGACGAAGCTTCGATCACCACATTCACCATAGAGCTGACCTACTATACTAGTTCCGGGCTCGTCCCAGCGCTTCCTCGACAAGTCCCGCTCTTTAGCAGCAGACTGTCTCACCTATGATCTCGAAGACAGCGTCACTCCGCACATGAAAGCGGAGGCCCGCTCCCTCGTGCGGAGAGCGATAGACCAACCCACCCCGACCAACATCCGGGAAAGGGCAGTGCGAATCAACTCCGTCGACAGCGGATTAGCACTGGGTGACTTGACAGAAGTGGTGAGCCACAGCAACGCCAGTCCTAGAGACCAAACCAAGCCAAACTGACCACAACACCAGCTACAATCACCCAACCTGACCACAATCGTTATTCCAAAGGTCAACTCTGCCTCAGACCTTACCTTCGTCACAGACGTAATCAACCACACCCTCGCTCAACAAAAGCACCACCCAGAAAGACCCCCAATCTCCCTCCTCGCCCTAATTGAATCCGCCAAATCTCTCACAAACCTATCCCAAATCTGCTCCTCCACCCCCCTCCTCCAAGGCCTAATCTTCGCCGCCGAGGACTTCGCCCTAGATCTAAGCATAACACGTACCCCATCCCTAACCGAGTTCCTGTTCGCCCGCTCCGCAATCGCAACAGCCGCCCGAGCCGCCGAGCTCCCCTCCACAATCGACCTAGTCTGCACGGCCTACAAATCCGATAAAGCGGATGGATCCCCGCCCGCGACGTTGGAAGAGGAATGCCGTGATGGAAGACGGTTAGGATTCAATGGGAAGCAGTGTATCCACCCGACGCAGGTGGGAGTTGCAAATTCTATTTTCGGACCTGATGAGGAGGAGACGAAGTGGGCTATCAGGGTGGTTATTGCGGATGAGAAGGCTGCTGCTGCTGGACGGGGTGCTTGGACGCTCGATGGGAAGATGATTGATGTGCCGGTTGCGGAGAAGGCGAAGGCTATTGTTAGGAAGGCGGGAGCTTGTGGGGTTGATGTTGAGAAATTGAGGGAGGAGTGGAAGCATCAGGAACCTGAGTAGATTTGGGACTTTTCGAGTATATACGTAAGAATAAGTTGTGCATTGATAAAAAGTATAGGGAAAGTCAAACACTCGATCGTACTCGGTTATATTCGGTCTTGATACAAGTAAATCTTTGATATTTTGCATGCAGCTGAGAAAGTACACCCTGTCTGTAGGCATTCAAACTGGGTACTTGGGTTACCTGGCGAATGTACATATTCCTAGGGATTGATTCATCACCGGAAATACTTGCATATTGATGCGTTCTATTATGCTGTAGTATCCAAGGAGCTTGATTGTTCAGGCCTTGGACCACAGGCTGGATCTGTCTCATTGTGGCCCCCGCGATATCGTGGGGACGTCGTCTCAGCTCAGCTTCTCAACCACTAAAGTATTTTGTATAAAGAGAGATGGTGAATCATCAGTCGTCAACTCTTACCTCATGCGATCGCGATTTGCACATGATAACTATCTCTCCACCCAAGGTTCCTTAATCTGAGCAGCCTACTCATAAAGAAAATTGAGGCATCTTTGACCTTGACATTGAAACCCACAATAGTCTTATACTTCACTGGCCTTGGTTTCTTGATGCAAAGGGTATCACACAAAGTTTAAACTGCAACGCTTTGATTCATTCATTCGTTTCTATATCCTCTCGCTTAAGAAGTTGGATCTTGCCCATCACAAGATTAGGCTGTGCAGTCTCGTCTCCCGCATCATTTTCGGTAAAATTCTTAGCAATTGACTTGTCATAGCTCGTCGGGTCAATGCCAAGAATGCCACCAACGTAGCCTCCCCGCTCGCCAGGCACGCTGAATTCTCGGAATAAGTACCGCCATTCGTTGAGCCAGGCCTTGACGGCCTTGCCAATCTTATCTTTTCCGTTTTTCGAGTGATGGCCGGTGCCGGTAATCGCGTAGACAACCGGGAGGCCCTCACGAGAATGTTTTAGGAGGATCTTTTCCAGGTATTCGATTGCCTCTTCTGGGTGGAGACCATGTAAATCAACGTAGAGCTCCTCGGAGGCTTCGTCCAGGCCCGCCTGGAGTAAGTGTTGATTGCGCGATTCGTACAGCTGGCGTGCGGCTTCTCTGTGACAGCGACGCATGGCGTCGTTTTCCGCTTGGCCGCGTAGAGATAGAGCTTTGGCAGCTCGTGCATCGTTTCTGTTCCACGCTTGAGCGGCACTGATCGAGTGTAAGTCAACTTAAATTCCAAGAGTAGGGTCAGAAGGCATACCTTTGTAGAAACTTGTTTCGTACGGTCCCGTGGCGAATTGCTTCTGTACGATACTTGATGTACTGTTGGTTTGCCCGCGCACCAGTTTCAAGCCAAGGAATATTCTGTGGCGGTTTAATCGACTGAGCTGCGGCGCTGTTTTCGCGGCTCTTGATATCCTTATTATTCTTAGAGGATTTACCCTTACCAGGGGTAGGAGATGGAGACATGCGGACCACGTCTGCCAATGAGGATGGTATATTTTCTTTGCCCACATTGTCACGCTGGCCCCGTTTTCCATGGTGTTTCTTTCCGGCGTTCTTCGCATTGACCGCCGCCAGGGTTGGGAATGCATCAGGGTCATCTACAGACGGAGCAGTAGGATTTAGCTCTCGATTCTGGTGCCGGCTGCTTGGGCGGGAATTCGGACGTCCCAAGGGAGTCAGGCTGCCATTTCTTCTTCCCATGCCTGGGTGCAGACCGGGAGGAAGCTTACTTCCCTGGAGACCAGAAAGATGCGTAGGATACCGGCCATACTGATAGGCCCATTGGTCTTCTGTGCCTGATGACTGCAAGGGAGGGAACGCATCTGATCCACTGTCTACTTGGAAAGGTGATCCACCGGGCGGCGAGGTTGGCCGACTGCTTCCTGAGACACTCAGGGTTGAAACCAGTGCCGAGGGGTCATGCGAAAACGGACATCCATCGCCTGCCAGACAGTTGCCCATAACCCAGTATCTATAGCTCGGTTAGCATTTGAATGTTGAATTGTCATGAACAGAAAGACCTACTTGCATAGGTGGCTGGTCAAGTCGTGGCTGAAACGACAGTCTGCGCGAAGACATTGCCCCGTAGACAACCAGTACTTGCAAACTACGGGGCTTCGCTCAAGCCCCGATGGAGTGATGGGGCGACTCTTGTCCATGACCATTGACTTGCCAACCAGCACGCGACCATCGTCATGGTGCTTTGCAAATACCTCCGCCTCTGTGTCTTGCGAAAGTGCTGCGATGGTCGCCCCGAGATCATAACTATTTGCTTCCAGCGCCGCCTCGATTTCGTCGTTGGATCGTTTATCGCCCAGAACAGTGCGCAGAATGTCATGCGGACTCATATCCGGCACAAATTCCGCAGCTGTTGCGCTCAGCGATCCTTGGATACTAAAGCCCGTAGACGAGGTGACGCTATTTGCATCGTCTCCCACTAGCCAGTCGACATTGCTATCACTGCCAAAATCACCATAGAAGTCGGATAGCTGACTTTGGTCTGAAAATTCATATGCATTTAAATTCGGGGAGTGTGGGATAGGCTGTGCTAGGGCCAGTCGAGGCGAGGGTCGTGGGGAGGTAAACGGAGACACGGTTGAGGAGAGTGGAGGGCGGGAGAATGCCCCGCGCGAGCTCTGCACCCACGAGGTGCTCCCGGGACTGGTTCCAAGATTCGAAGGGGATAGAGGAGTCGATGATCGCGCCATCTGCCATGGCGCTGGAGATGATCGTCGAATCACAGTATGGCGAGGGGGAGGGGGAGACGAATCTGGGAGGGTACGATTGCGATGCCGCCATAGAATGTCCAGCACCGCATTCTCTAGCGGTGATCCGACCAGGGATGTGTTGGCGCGCAAGTAGTCTTCCACTTTTTCCACTTGCTCTTCTTCATCTAGCGCTTGATCCTGTAGGATCTCCAAGCATTTCTCCAACAACTCCTCGGAAACCATGTTGGTGTACCCGGGATGAAAGGGGGAGTAAGCTTGCCGAGGCGGGGAAGGATAATCAAGGGAGGACCAAGTTTCGGTTGGTGGGAGATGTGATACTGATTAGAACTCCTCCGATCAGGGTTTGATATTCAAATTAGGTATTGGGATTTCGTCAAAGAGATCAATCCATGATTCCCTTCGATTAAGGATAATTGGCAGATTTGAAAGGACAAAGGGGGGTTTGATTTGGAAGGACAAACAAAGGATCAAGGGGGGAGGTAAGATGTGATTTACATCGCATCGGTCCTGATACCAGTGAAACTGAACCCTCAAAGAATTTATAGGGAAGAGGAAAGGAGATCAGCAAGTTGCCTTGTAGATTTGATTAAAATGGGTAAGAATGGGGGGGATTCAGCCCGTTCTCCACTGACTTGGTTTCTCAATTCCAGTTTCAGCCAGTAGGATGTTTACTCACATTTTCCTGTACTTCGGACGGTTTTTTATACTTCGTTTATACTTCGTTATAGATCAACCAGACTTGCACGATTGATTAGATCCATATCTTGTATAAATTAATTCTTCATTATAATGCCACGTATCATATAGCACTGCATGATCAACAAAATCAGTTTTTGTAAAATGAAAGGAATCACAGATAGTATCTTTATACCCTTTGAACGGTGCGATATTCTAACTATTTTATATCATTACAACACGATGTTGGCAGTAAAGAATGAAGTTGTAATTTCATAGAGTAAATCCTTGATCGACTCGAACAATTCCCACTTTAGCTATGTAAGCCAAAACAGCCCAGAACACAAAACAGCCGGTTGGATCCGCCACAATGTGAGACATAACCTTTCTCACCCTCCTATTGAACATGTTCGGCCCCTGACAAATCTTCAGGCATTGAAATGCCTATCTAATGCTGTTGTCGTTAATTCTTTAGATTTTCGTCAGCCCGTCCCAAACCCCCTTCCCGCCTCCACAACCGCCGATCGTTAGAAGCTTAGGAAGCCCCAGATTCAATCCCTACCTATCTCCACAAACATCACCATGCCCGCGGACTATGAGTCCACTGCTCGGGCATTGGCTGTCTCTCCATCATCAGAACTCCATGCTTCCGCTAGCGACGATGAACAACCGCTCTGGAGTCGGGCGGGCAGACGGAACTCTGCGCGGCCCGAGTCAGGCAATCTCCGCGATAGGCTGATGGATAAAGGCAAAGCGCTGTATCACCAGGCAAAGGAAAGATGGGCACGTATGACTTTCTGGCAGAAGGTTGGCTTCTATGTGGCCTCTGTAGTAGTTGGAGCATCAGGCATCGGATTCCTGGTGTTGACGGGCAAGGTCTTCATCTGGATTGCCCCGGTCGCGGATAGATGGGAGAAATCCCCGCTCGTCGCCTTTGTGCTCTGGCTTTGCGTCTTTTTCGTCTCGTTCCCACCATTATTGGGCTGGTCCACCTTCGGTACCGTGGCGGGATTCGTCTTTGGTGTCTGGAAAGGGTAAGTTGTGGAAACTTGTCGTTAAGATATCGAGTATGGTGAGTCCGCGAACAACGCTGACTGTGGATCATTGTAGATGGTTGATTTACGCCACGGCCACAATTCTCGGATCAACCGCATCATTCTATGTATCGCGCACGGTGCTATCGAAGTTCGTGGCTCGCTTGATGGAACATGACAAGCGGTTTGCAGCGCTGGCGTTGACTCTGAAATATGACGGCCTAAAACTGCTCTGTATGATTCGGCTCTGTCCTTTGCCTTATTCGATCTGCAACGGTGCCATTTCCACTTTTCCGACCGTCCAACCCTTGATGTATGGATTAGCGACCACTATCATCTCGCCCAAGCTGTTGATCCCGGCTTTTGTTGGCAGTCGGGTGCGCCTTCTGACTGAGAAGGGTGGAGAGATGAGCGCCGGAGCCAAGGCAGTCAATATAATCAGTATCATCGCTACTATTGCCATTGGAGGTGGTACTGCTTATTACATTTATCAGAGGTTGGTTGCGAAGAAGGTTGTGCATTGCTCCCATCTTTGACTGACAGATTTCTCATCATAGAACCTTGGCTCGTGCGAAAGAACTAGAAGAGAAAGAACGTGCCGATATTCGTCAATCGTTACAGGCAGATCATGCTGCCAACCGCCCTCATGGCCGATTCGCTGATGATGATAATGCTAACGCTGCAGCGAACGAGCTCGCCCGGGACGAAGAGGAACGGATCGGCTTTGCCGATTTCGATGATGATAACGTTGACCTCGATCTTGCTCTGGGCAATGACAGTGATAGCGAAGGAGAAAACCGCCGATGGAAGAAGTCGAATCGAAGATCGTATCATGATGAGTTTACGGACAATGATTCAGATGATTATGCTGACGAAGGAGCCGGCGCTTTCGGTTTGCATAGCCATGTTCAACGTGATGTCTAGGGTCTCGACTGCAAACACCAATGTAAATGATGCTGTTATTGTGATATTAGGTCTATTATACTGTTTCCTGAACTCTTCCTATGAATGATACTCGAGCTACTCGATACAAACATACCCATATGTAGATACCCCGTCACACATGCGTCGATGTTGCTATAAAGTATAAGCTATGTGTACTATACGTGAATATTCCAAGTATTGATAGATCCAATATGATTTATTCCATCAGGATCCCCCTTCAGTGTAGAAGTGTAAGAATGCCGGAAGCGGACTGAAAAATACGCGGTGATCCGGATCAACCTCCTCGGTCGGCTTCTCTTCCCCCTCTCATGTCTTGTATAGAGCTTTCACTTTTTGAAACCCTTAGATGCTGGCCCGGATTTTAATCGGCCAGGTTATGCTTCGCGGAGAATCCGGGCTTCCCAATGTAAGTCTTTCTTCTATGACTTTCGCTCCCTGCTTCAATCCCTCATCCACTCTTATCTATGCAAAGATTTTACATCCAGCTCCATTTCATCCAACCCTAACTTGTCACTCCCAAATCTTACTGATATCTTCTCAGCTTCTATCTATGATTCCGATTCGAATCAACATGATTGAAAATGGGGGGTCTTGACGTTTGAGAACTCCACATCATTCCACCTGATACCCCACTTCCTTTAAGAAACATATCAGACCGAGTCTTCTTGATTTCAAAAGAGCCGTGATGGATTTCAATCCATTGTGTCCCGCAGGCCCAAGTCCTGACTTCGATGGATCACAGCCTGGCTACAATTACACATCGTTGAATATGGAGAGATCTATGACAATGCAGACGGGCCAAACTGCCTTCATCAACCAGGCTATTCCCAATGAACGGTCCATCGAACTAGCATCAGAGCACACAATATTTCAAATGGAAGAACCTGAACCGCCTAGGAAAAGAATGCGCAGTTCAGTTAACGATACATCCAAAATGCAACACACCCTCAAGAGCCAAATACAGCCTGCGGGGTATCCATTTGCCAATGGTGGCGGCAACACTCCCATTGACACGACATCTACCGCTCATTCATCATCATTCGATTCAACAAAATCAACTTCCCCCCTCACAACTCCCGAGTATCTATCTAGCCCGCCTTGTGTGGCAGGTGTGAGTGTTCTAGAAAGTGGAAAGGTAGACTTGACCAAGTGCCGCCCACGTTCATCCATCCCAGCTCATCTGAAACCCGAGGTATATGCCAAGCAATGTGTAGATTCTGCCGTTGCATCTCGCCTGGATCCTTATGAACTTCATCCCAAAGAACAGGAAGCTCTACAGGATCATCTTTGCCACATACAAGTCACGCTCTATCTTAACATTCGAAATGGCATTCTACGACTCTGGATTCAGAACCCCATGGTTAGTGTCACCAGAGAAGAGGCCCTGGGTGTTGCAAAAGACTACCGCTGGATGAATCTTGCTTCATTCGCATTTGATTGGCTCGCACGGTACGGTTACATCAACTTCGGCTGCGTCGAGATCCCCATGCCTATTGTGCCTCCTAGAAGAGGAAGACGGAAAGAAGGGCCAGTCATTGTGATTGTGGGAGCCGGTGTTGGTGGGCTGGGCTGTGCCCGTCAGCTGGAAGGTCTCTTTCGTCATTACCGGGATTCAGAAACTTCCCCTCGGGTTGTTGTTTTGGAAGGCCGTCGCAGAATCGGTGGAAGAATCTACTCGCACCCGCTTCACAGTATGGAATCGGAAACATTGCCCTCGGGGCTCGTCCCCAAGGCGGAGATGGGTGCCCAGATCATCATCGGCTTTGACCACGGTAATCCTCTCGACCAGATTGTTCGGGGTCAATTAGCTCTGCATTACCACCTTCTCCGTGACTTCTCTACTATATACGATACCGATGGAACTCCTGTGGATGACGTTCATGATTCAATGACACAAAAACTTCACGATAATTTGCTAGAGCGAACTGGGGCGTTCCGCCGCGACGTTCGCGTCCCTACCACGGCTGAAGGTGATGCCGATATGATAAACACTGCTCGTGAGTCTATCAGTGATGATGGCCTTACTATTCGACAGTATGAAGAAGCTCGTCGCGCCGGGACTACTCACCTTCTCATTCCCACCAAACGAGTTCGACGTCATCGAGGCGCAGGACACAAAACTGTAGATATCGAACCCGTGGACGATGTGGAGGAAGACACCGCGGGAAATGAGGACACCGCAGCGTCGTTCTGTTTGGCTACAGGATGGAGGTTGAACCCTGGGTATTCTGCAAGCGATACACTCGAGCTGGATGAGACTGCAAATGCGACTCCGACACAATCTTTGGGCGCCTTGATGGACGAAGGTACCAGACAATACCAGAAGATGCTTCCTTTGACACCCAAAGATATGCGACTTCTGAATTGGCACCTTGCCAATGTCGAATATTCCAATGCGGCAAGAGTTAACGAGATCAGCCTCTCCTCATGGGATCAAGATTCAGGGAATGAATTCAATGGGGCACATTCGCATGTGATCGGTGGTTATCAACAATTGCCATTTGGCCTATACTCTTTGCCTACGAAGCTTGATGTCCGCACGAACAAAATCGTCCAGAGTATTTCCTACGACCCGACTGGTTCCGGCAGGCAAAAATCGGTGATCCAGTGCGAAGATGGCGAGAAGTTCACCGCAGACCATATTGTTTTTACGGGCTCCCTGGGTGTTCTTAAACATGAAACAATTCGTTTTAATCCTCCTCTCCCTGACTGGAAGTTGGGCGCTATTAAGAAACTAGGATTTGGGCTCATGAACAAGGTGATCCTAGTATTTGATGAACTCTTCTGGGACGATACCAGAGACTTATTTGGTCTCCTTCACGAACCAACAGTTCACGACAGCATGAATCCAGAGGACTATGCCAAGAATCGCGGGCGATGCTATATGTTCTGGAATTGCTTGAAAACCACTGGACTTCCTGTTCTCATTGGTCTCATGGCTGGAAATGCTGCTTATGACACCGAGACCACATCAGACGATACAATCATCTCAGAGGTGGTTTCCCAGCTGCGAAATGTATTCAAGCATACCAGTGTACCAGATCCGATCGAAACCATCATTACTCGGTGGGCTTCTGATAAATTCACGCGTGGCAGCTATTCCTTCGTGGCAACTGAAGCTGGTGCAGAAGACTACGATCTCATGGCACGACCAATCGGCTCTCTGCACTTTGCAGGTGAGGCTACTTGCGGCACTCACCCAGCAACTGTCCACGGGGCATACATTTCAGGCCTCCGAGCAGCTGCGGAAGTAATCGAGTCCGTCGTAGGCCCGATCGAGATGCCCACTCCTCTCGTCCCTGCCAAGGCAGCCAATGGCGCCCAACACCAGGAAATTATCGAGCCCGTCCCAGCTCCACAAAAACCTCCCCTTCCATTCAGCAACGCGGCTAGCGAACAAAAGCGTCGCGAGACTTACGACCAAGCCATGTGGACTGCCATCTACGCCGAAATTGGTCCCGCCCCAGCTCGCCCTCCCAAAGTGGCCTTGAACCCTTTCCTCCTGTACCAGAAAGACTACTGGTCCAAATGCCGTGACCAGTGCCTGGAGGCTCGTCGCGCCGGCCCCAGCAAACCTAATGCGAAGGCCAGCCGCGACGAGATACGCCATGCACTCGGTCAGATGTGGCGCAATGCCTCGGCTGAGGAAAAGAAGCCCTACCTCGACCAGATCGAAGTGTGCCGTGTCGAGAAAGATCGGGCTTGGAATGAATGGAAAGTTGCTGCGAACGATTGGGACCGACGATCGCTACAGGTGAAGAGCGAGTGGTGTGCCGAGAACCCGTACGCGGGGTGGATTACACCTGAGCTGGCAGAATAGGTGTGGTGAGCTGGCTCCCTCGAGCTTGGGAAGTCCGAGGGACAATGTACTATTATTAGTCGTTTCTAGGAAGAAACGAAGAGATTTCCAGATCTTCCCTTCTTTCACTTCGAGGGTTCATATATTTGTATTCTATTCTTATCTTTTTGCTCTTGTAGGACTCTGCTTGTAGAGATCTCGGTCTCAGAATCGTATTACTCCTGCTCCACCATGAACGCCACCTGCAGAAACTAAGTTTTATTCACTACATCGCTTGGCTTTCAAATGATATCCTCTCATTCATGCTTCAGCTTCAAATCACTTCCGAACTGCATGTAAAGAGAACGACAACACCAAGATGTGCTTCATGAACGATATGCACCATCTAGATTTAATGGGATATTAAGTTGTGTTAAATAGGTACTTGAATATTTGAAAGATTGTCTATTCTATTCTATCGGCCACCGATCACACCAAGTAAGAGTCAGATCGCCGACATATGACGGCTTGATCCTGACATGCAGACCCGCAATCAAACCAAAGCAATCAACAGACATAAAAAAGGAAATCCGTGATTCATGAGACAAAGAACTATGCACGGGGAATTCGAGGGAAATTCAAATCACATGACAGATGCAGACAAGAGGCTGGTCTACTCTAAAATGTGGACACGCAGTCTAAAAACAATATACCGCAAAGGAGTCGGAATGAGGTATTTGGGGGTAAAGAGGTTAAAGGAGAGGTTGGGGGATTTAGATCTTCTCCTTAGGCTGGGGAACATCGCCGAGTTCGGAGAGGTACTTCTCGGCATCCAGGGCAGCCATACAGCCAGAGCCTGATGTTCATGTTAGTAAGTGGTCCCGTACATATAAAGAGTAAGATAAAGTAAAAGCTTACCGGCACTGGTGATAGCCTGGCGGTAGCGCTTGTCCTGCACATCACCACAGGCAAAGACACCCTCCATGCTGGTGTAGCTGGAACCAGGCTTGGTGACAATGTATTGCTCATCATCCAAGTCGATCTGACCCTTGACCAGGGCACTAGCGGGGTCGTGGCCAACGGCGTAGAACAGACCGTTAGCATCAACGACCTCCTCGTTACCGTTGACGGTGTCCTTGACACGGAGGCCAGACATCAAGCCATCCTGGCCGAGAACCTCAGTGGCAACGGTGTTGAAGCGAACAGTACACTTAGGGTGAGCGAGCAGGCGCTCAGCCATAATGTTACTGGCACGCAGCTTGTCACGACGGACAAGAACAGTAACGTGGGAACCGTACTTAGTGAGGAACATAGCCTCCTCAGCAGCGGAGTCACCACCACCAATGACATAGAGGGGCTTGTTGCGGAAGATAGGAACAGCACCGTCGCACACAGCGCAGGCACTGATACCGTTCTGCCAGTAGGTCTCCTCGCCGGGCAGGTTCAGACGACGAGCGTTAGCACCAGTGGCAATGATAACAGCATCAGCGGTGCGAGCAGGCGCATCGTTAGGGCCATCGGACCACTCGGTCCACATCTTGAAGGGCCTTTGCGAGAGATCCAGGCGCGAGATGGTCTCAGTGATGATCTCGGTACCGAAGCGCTCGGACTGCGCGCGCATCTTGTCCATCAGCTCGGCGCCACCGATACCGCTGGGGAAACCGGGGAAGTTCTCGATATCAGTGGTGGTGGTGAGCTGACCACCGGCGGCGGTGCCGTTGGCGAGCATACCCTCGTAGAGAACGGGCTTGAGCTCAGCACGAGCGAGATAGACGGCGGCGGTGTGTGCGCCAGGGCCGGAGCCGATAACTGTTACAAAGAATGCTGGTTAACGGTGTATAATGTCAATTGGGTTCGGCTACACTTACTAACAACTTTAGAGTGCACCATTCTGGCGGTTGTGGAATTGACGTGCGCGGACGTCGAGAAAGGTGAGAGGGCCGACGGCGGAGGAGGGGACTGGTTGTGGAGCGTTGAAGCGGCGGCGGCCGTGAATCCGATGGATCGGAGAGCGGAAGGAAAACGACGGAGTGTGGAGGAAAACAGCTTGAAGGTGTTTCTGGGGGAAGAGGGAGAGAATATATTTTCGGGAGGAAGAGGAAGGAGTGGGCCGATGAGATCAGAGAGCAATTCTGTGTCTTTCCGCCGATCAAATTAATCATTTGCCCGCGTCGAGGCCCCTCGCTTTCTAAGCACGTGAGCACGTGAGTCGGTCGAGACCGGCTTACGTATACATTTATGCATAAGAGGCTCAATGATCATAAAGTAATAAGAATGATTGTATGAAAATAACTGCATAAATACGCAAATATGATATGAAATGCTTCACGGGTTTAAAACTATTCAAAATTTACTCCTGGATGTCTGGCTTCCGAAGCAGTGAGGCATATTTCGGGGATCGGAAGTGAGTCTACAGACAGCTTCCAAGGTGCTATCCAAGGTTCACTACATACACGTAACACATAGGGACATGGACCAGGGAAAGCTTGGAAATCAATCATTTCCAGATCTACTATGCGTATCTGATTACCGATAATGCCCAGATGCATTCGACTTCCAAGCGATATCAATCTTATCAGTCGATCCAGCCCTAGACCGCCGGATGGCGTGATATGGATCTGCCGAGCCCGAGCCAAGCCGAAGTGTGCAGTTTATTTGGGTTATACTTCAATCATGACATGACAGGAAACATCTTCAAAATCTTGGAATTATTCGGTCGAGTAGATTATCAACAAATGGATATTATCGAGGTCAAAATCAAATCATCGCGAATCATTCACATCATAAGGGGCAAAGAAAGAGATCCTCCAAAAACGCCAGCATAAATCGTCATAGTATACATCTCAGCCAAATTACTTCCTTCCAAACCACTTCTTCCTCCTCGAAACGGGCTCATCTTCATACTCCTCCTCTGGGTATTCCTCTTCGGGGGAAGAATCTGTGAGGGTCACTGCTGGCAAGCGTTGAGGCACTTCGCTCTCAGAGTCGTCGCTGCCAGAGTATCTTTCGTAGTAATGCTGCTGTGCGATTGCTGCATTCGCGCGAGTATTGTTCACGGTATCGTGGTCCTCGTAGTCATCTACTTCTTCTTCCTCGTCCTCTTCTCCATCATCGTCACCAGCTGTGGCGGGGTTCTTCTTGCGACGAGGCATGTTCAGCCATTTCCGCCAACCCTTGGCGACTGGTTTGGGTAGGGGATCATCACCATCACCCTCGTACCGCAAAGCAGGCACAAGAAGTTTGTATGGTATGGTGATGCCTGCGGGATCTTGCGGGCTGACCTCCATGTTCAAGGTGATTGCTAGACCTCCCTCAAGGTCTACAAAGGCACCTACGCCGTCATCGCCATGTTTTGCTTTCCTGGCGCCCTTGTCGCTGAGGTTGGTTGGACGTCTAAGGAAACGTCCAGGCTGGGGCTCCTGCGGTGCCCCTGGGAAGTAACTATCTCCGCTTTCGGTTGGGCGAGAGATGGCGGTAGAATCGACACTGGCTCGGCGAATAGGCATTCCACCTTCGCGACCGAAGCTCATGGCCCTGGTAGGTGGTGGTCCACGTCCAGATAGTCGCCTGAACAGTCCACCGGCTTTACTGGGACCAGTTTCCTGGGCTCTGTCACCTCGCCCGAGAGACAGGGTTCGCTGGAGTTTGTTCGGGCGAGGTTCCGGGGTAGGTGTCATAGAAGAGTCAGGCGTTCCAGCGGGTGTTAACCCTGGGCGGTACTCCCTGATCGAACACCAATTTCGCCGAGGCAACAGCCGTTTGTTGTTTCGGGACTTTCCATCGACATCCTGCGTGAAAATGGGAATAATATCCTCGTCTGTGTTCGAGTCGATATGATGCACTGTGTTGCGCTTGTTGAGCATATCCGAGATCAGCTCCGTCTCCGGGATGTCGGCGATAGCAGAAGAAATGACATTAGGCATGTATCGATAGTCCTCGTTTTTTGGAATGTTCAATTTTGGATTCGAATAGAACTGTCCGATGGCGGCAAGGTGGACATCACCACTGTAACCCCATGATTAGTATAATGTGAGACAGAAGACAGGGAGAAAGGCAGAAAAATCTTACCTCAAAATTGTCACACGGATGGACTTCTCTGCAGCAAAATCTTGCAGATCCTCCACTAGCCATGTTCGCTCAGCCTTCAGTTGCTTGCCAGCCCAGTGGTCATCAAACACCTCCACATTTCCGCCAGAGCGACTAACAAGTCCACCGAGCTTTCCGGACTTTCCTAGTGATTTTCGACTGTTCATAAAATTCTTGAGCATAGCCTATCGACTTGTTAGTGAAATTCCAGACATCAAACACTGGGTACATACTACGCGAGGATAGGCCACAGGTACACTGCAGAGCACAATCATATGTTTAGTTTCTCCACGAGCCACCTCTTGGTGGCATCGATCCCAAATCAGCTCATTGGTTTCTTCACTAAGGACCCCAGTGCTTGTTCTTTCAGTTCGACAATCCAGACCTAAAAGAACCACATCACCACCGAGAGACATGAAAAGATTGCGACTTTTTTGCTCAATATAAGGACCATTGTGAGCACCAAGAATCCAACTAGGCTCGTCTGCCTCGGTCTCATCAGGCACACTGTGATGTTGGAATAACAAGTAGTACTTGTACGCAATTCTTCCCAGGCCTGAGATAACCATACTCTGCATAAACTCTTCGTTATAGGAGCCATAGCCTTCGAGAATTTCATGATCGTTCCAAATATTGACCATGGGGATTTGGGAGTTTGCAAGAGAGAAGAGGCCCTGTGAGAACCACGCAGCATAGCGCTGCAAGTAGAATTGCTCCAGCTCAGCACGGAATTCTGGCGTGAAGGGCATGCTATATCTCTCGGCAGGATTCTTGATCTTGGTCCATTCCTGGAAAAAGTGGGAATCAGTGGTGACACCATCATTAAAGATTTGATCGCCACCGCCAATCATGACATGGAAGGGCTGAGTCTGGTGCTCGTTGAGGATATCGCGCCACAGAGGATCGGGCCCGCAGAAGGAACTTGAGTCGACGGATGGACTGAATCCATTGCCGCTGTGGAACACGATGTTCATGGGCTTCCCAGCAGCTGGCACCCAGAAGCCTATAGCAGGGCCCTGGTTGATGCGGTACGCAATCCGCTGTTGCGTCGTACCGAGCTCAACTTCGAGATTGAATCGCCAGAATGTCACGTCTCTGGCAGGATCGGCGTAGAGGCGGGCACCAGGAATGTCTCGGTGCAAGCCAGCAGTTTCACCATCGACGGGATGCATTCGGTTTGCGGGGATGGGCTGGCCAGATTCCTCGAACTTGTAATCAATATTGCTCGGGCTCATTTCATAAATCCCGTCGTCGTTCTCCACCGCGGAGAGGTCAACCTCTTCCTCGAGGTGATCGACTGGCTTGACATAAAGCGGTCGGCCATCTCGGCCGATTTTCATAAGCCCAGCAGTGGGGTCAATATATTCAGGCGCGAGTTGTACACCATCCTCGCGGCTGATCTCTGCAGGTGGAGGGGGCAGGAGGTTCATTGGCTGAGAAAACAGACGCAGTGTAGGCGGGCTCTGATAGGAAGAACGAGAATCTCTTGTCACGATCAGAATGGAGCCTCTCCAAATCTCCTTGCCAATGGTGCCTTGCGGCCCAGTGACGTTGACTTTCTTGATCCCTGTGTACCGCAACAATGGACCACATTGAAGGAACAACCTCGGTTCGAAATTCTTATGTTGGGTAACTCCTAGATAAGGTTAGCTCACGTATTTGAAATCTTCATTGAAGACAATCCCACCTGTCAGCATCTGAGCTGGTGTCTGATAGTTCTTAGGGAGAGCCCTGCTCTTTCTTCGATCTTCCGTGCCGCCGCCTTCCCACCATGCCTTGCTTTTGTTCATGTCAAGGTGCTGGAAGTCAAAGTCTGTCACTTGAAGACGTCCGGTGACAGCAGTTTTCCAATCAAAAATCGGAGGGGGGGTAGGCGGTGGTACATTAAATGATACAGTTTGCTTTCTGGGTTTGGGGAGTGAATGGACACTTTTTTGAGCCGCTTGTGCTGCTAGCGGCTTTTCTACTGTATCCTCACTGAACATAGCAGGAGCGGTAGCAATAGCAACTGGAGCAGCGCCTGGTACAACAAAAATCCGCTGTTTGGGGGCTCCTTGTCCCGAGACTGATCGGGTATGTCTCATGTTTTCACCAGGTGGCGCAGGCTTTGCGGCCGGACCACTCACTGTTACCGATCTTCGGGGAACTTGACCCATCTTTGCATTTTGTGGGATCGCAGCCTCTGCATGCACATACTGAGCATCGTCAGGTCTGACAGGGTATTGAGGAATTGTCGGAATATTTCTGTTGTGACGTACTGGGGCTCCTCTCGGCTGCTGTTGATTTAGAAGTGCGTCTCGTGTAGGATCTTCAAGAATGACACCTTTGCGCTCCCTTTCTCGGGTTGCACTGGAAGACGGCCTATTCTCTGATTGTGAGCTCTGCTTCGAGGTAGGTCTGGGAGCTGCAGTTGCAGCCGCCTTAGCAGTCGCTAACATCTTAGCTGCGGCTTCAGCTTGCTCTCGTTCCACCTTTTGACGGGCCAGACGCTCGCGGAGTCGCATTTCTGCTTCCTGGACCCGCGCACGTTTCTCTTCTTTGCTGATTCCATTCAGAGTCACCTCGAGCTTTTGGAGAGGCGAGCGATCTGGTGCCCAATCTCGGCGAGGCGAAGATGTAGATCGCATGGTATTTGAGCGACTCGGAGGTGATTGTGGATTTGGATCGGTAGGTCCCTTTGACGTTGCCGGTTCTTGATTTTTTTGACTGGTTACCTCGGTTTCTGAAAGGTTGGAGGTAGGATGCAAGCCTCGAGGCGTATTTGATTCGTCTGAAAAGCTCGTGGTTGTGTCGGGCACAGGTTTGCGTGTGGTATAGCCCAGATCGGAATCATGAGCTCTGGCTGAAAAGGATCCTCCAGTTGGGCCTTGCGCTTTTGATTTGGACCTTGGGGGCTTGGACCCGCCCTGCTCCCCAGGCTTATAACCCTGATCTTCGGCGTAGTCCCCAATGTCCGGGTCACCTGTGCTATCCAATTGACCATCCAGGGTATTCCTTGCGCCATTGGAATTTGGATGGGAGCCACCGTTGGCCATGTCAGGCGAATTGCGCATTATCGCTGCCTCCATTTGATGTTTTTGAAAATATCCAGGTCAAACAGAACCTCCGGTGAGCTGGTAGAAATGAAGCGGATTCTCTGATGCACGAATAGTCCCAACTGAAATAGCTTTCGTCAACCCTAATCACAAAGACATTGTTGAAGACTCAGGTGGGCAAGAACTGGGGGAAATAGAGTGAACTCAACGTACATGTGGTTGTTTTTTATCTCAGCGAAAACGTGGTGTCAATCCCACAGTGCCCAATGTCAGATGCAAGCTCACCGCATGCTTGTCCGAGAATGTCTTCAGGTTGCGCCAAACTGGGTTTCGCAGGTACTTGGGCGGGGAATTCGACTATGACGATGTGTCGCAAGAGAATCTCCCGAGTCGAGGCAATGGAGCAAAAGCCGAAGAATGGGGTTAATAACAAAGTTTTGAGGAAGGAATGGAAGGGAGAAAAGGTTATCAAAACGGCGAAGGGGAAAAAATCAAGGAGTTGTGCTCTATTCGTATACTGCATTATCCTGGTGGCTGGCAACCCAGCCTTCGCGCGGGGCCCAAGGCATCGGTCGCGATTGGCTCTCGTGGATCGCAAGAGGAATACGCGGCCCTGAGCTTACTACCTAACGAATGAAATATTCAATTGGAAGATTAGAAATGTCTTCACCGATTTTTGACGTGGCCCCTACTCCGTATCATACTTCGTCAAAACACGCTGAGCCATGGGTCAATTCTTCTCCGCCCGCAAGGCACCTAATATTGCCCGGCACTTGCATTGCCATTGAATCTAAAACATTTCAGTCTTAATATTGATTCTTGTACGGCAATTCATGCGGTATCTAGGTAGGTAATATGTGCGTATGAAAGTGCCAATTGACATTTAAAGTCTGGCCATAAATTAGTGCCTCGGGCCTCTATTTTTGACATACTCAAATATATCGAGAATATCAGATATGTTAATTCATTGAATGTTGTTGAATTCATAGATATTCTCCAAGTGGGTCTTTGACGAAATTTGACATTGGGAGGTTCCTTCAGTGTTTGCTCAAGTACAATGTGTCGATGGTCGATTTCAGGACCTACGAAATCCACCCCTATATTCCTTGGATATATCGCAGACTTTTTGGACGTACGTTCGAAACCTCCACGAGGACTTTTCCCCTTCCCCTTCCCATTCTCCTTCTACTCCATTATTTTTCTCTCGTCTTTCCTCTCTTTCCTTTCTGTTCCGCGATTTATGAATTTGGAGAGCCCTTTGACCATTTGACTAATACACTACGAAAAAAGGTAGCATACTGGATAGGATACCGAGTAGGGACCGAGTAGGAGAATGAGTAGGATATATAGTAGGAGGTGTGGTCTAACAACTAAGTAGGTGCCGCGCTTTTTGCGCGGCGGAAAGCCTCTAGTATATCATATACATGTGCAGTTATGACACTTTTATTTCCTCTAGTACTGGTGACCACAAGAAGATTTCGACCGAGGCATAGATTACTCAGCTCTATTCAAGAAGCCCACCTAATTGTTCAGCCCCAAAGGGCTACGTCAAAGAAAAAAAAACACCGGTGATGGCGTATAGGATGCCGCTGTGTTGGGAGGTACTGCACTGAAAATGAAGAGACAAAAAAGAAACTGCTCACGTCCAGATTTGAACTGAAGACCTCGGCATTACTAGTGCCGCGCTCTACCAACTGAGCTACGCGAGCTGTTATTTTAGAAAGCCTGATACTTTGGCTACATAATCCAAAATTTAGAAATTATTTTCCATCTTCCAGAACAATGGCCGCCTCCCATGTGGAGGTGCATCCAAGCAGGAAATCCGAGCTAGAACGGTGATACGAGTAGAAACACCAGTCAAGGGTAATCCCAAGAGGGAAGATGGTATTCCGGGTATGAAATCGCAAGTAACAATAAGATAACTAGCTACCAAAGTTGTGGTCATGAACTACTATATCAAACCCATAGCCAAGCTTCATTCGTAGACAATGGTTAAAAACAGGCTCTGTGCGGGGATAAGCATGCTCCCAGAGCAGCGGATTAAGAATCATGGCCTAGTTCAGAGTCTCCTTCCATCTCTGCAATGAAGCGCTCCCAAGTTGAAAGAACCCCCTGATAGAAGTCGATGTGAGACTCAGCGAAGGCGCCCAGGGAATCCCGAAATTCAACAGCCTTGATGCGCTCAAAATCAGCAACTTCACGGACTACCTCTTCGTCAAACATTTCAGAAGTAGTCTTCGCTGATTCGACTTCCCGCGTTAACTCGTCGATGCGAAGCTCGAGTTTGCGGACACGCTCGCGGCGAGATGTTTCGTGATCCACACCGCGCATATCCTCCATCTTGGAACGGATAAAGGAGGCAGGGGAAGAGGTGAGCGGGTTGGAGGCATAGTATGCAGCTGGGTTGGCGGCTAAAGAGTCTCGCTCGGCCACAGCCTTGTTGCGGTAATCGACCAACGCCTCGAAGTCCAGCTGCTTCTGTTCACGGGTCTTCAGGAGGGACTTGACCGACAAAATATATGCCTCCATGTCCCGCAGAGATCCCAAGTAGTTCTGGTCGGTATGATCCTTCAATCCCCGTACTCCGCGCGCAGTCTCCTCGACCGATGCAGCGAACACCTGCAGTGGCATCTCGACTGCCGGCTCCAGAGGGACCAACTTGCGGAACTGAGACGCAAGTTCGGTATAGTCCGTCTCGAGATCGGATTCGCGCCGTGCGACCCGCGCGACGGTCTTTTCCACATGCGATAGGTCCTCGTCCAACTTATCTGCCTTCTCCTTCACCTCAATAAACCGGCGATCGGGCTTATGGACTTTAGTGAAAGCGTTGACGAACGTATCGGTAAAGTTATCAAAAATCTTGGTTGGAGCGTTCTCCGATGAGGCTGTTGTTGACCCGCGGGTTGTGTGTAGTCGCATATGCGCATTCCAGTCTGAGGACTCCAGGAAGATAGTAAACAACGGTGCACGGCGGAGTACAGGGTGCAATGTCAGCCGTTTCAAAAACCGATGCAAAGACCATGCTCGCCGTGTTGTAAACTCCGAGCCGAAGCGGTCGCCTCGTACATACTCCATCTTGTGCTTTTCCGGCAACGGCGGAACAGCGCATGCCGGGTATTCTCGATATAGGGTTTTGTACAAGAAATAGAAGTCTGTAAATCGTCGCCGAACATGAAACTCGGGCTTTTGGAATGCCTTGAAGTCGGTCTAGAGGGTCATGATGTCAGTGGTAGTTCTGGGGTAGTTCACAAGATGCTGAGCCTGTGTAGGCAGCAATAGAACCCTCATTCTCTCGTACAGATCAAAGGACAAGAACGAACATTTGTTGTAACCAGGTACGATATGTACGCGTCCTTTGTGCCGTCATTCTCTTTCAAAGGTGAGTCGACCCGGCACTCGAGTACACCGTCGCCTATGCCTGCTAGGTCGACGGCGTCGGCTAGTGGGCCGGCCTGAGGTTCCTCGTGAGCTGAGCTCATTCTCCGCTTGCCATTGGTGTCGTGATGATATGCATGTGACTCTTCCACATCCGTACCCGAAGTCGTTGGTCGGGAGACATCGCTATCGGCGTCGTGTTTCCAGGAAACGTTATCAAAGTCATCGTGTTGATCCATCGCGGGGGAGGTTTGACGGAGGTGATCACCCAGCGAGTGGAGCTATGATGACCTCAAGTTATTTAACAGGGATGCCAGAAGGTTCAAGGTCTTTGGATATGCGAAATCGTGAATGAAATAGTGGGGGCAGAAGCGGGAGAAGCTGAGGGAGCTGGGAATCTGGATGATCGGCGATTCCCCAAAGGCGGAGAGACCCCGAAACGGGAAACGTCGTCATAGTCCTTCAGCCGGAAACTTCAACATTTTACTTCCTAATCAACATTTTGAAATATTAGGATGACTCTGATTTTATGTTAAGCATAAATGATTTTATTCTACAGGCAAGAAATAACTTAATTTCCATATTCCTTATCATGAAGTAGTTCAGAGATTTACACAACTCCTAGACAGTCGATTTCTTGGGACACTCAAAGCTGCCTCTATGTAGATCCATCCATATAGTCCAGATGTAGTCTTGACAAACAAGCCCCGACCCAATGCAAAGGCGAGTAAAATAGGTGAAAGAAAATGATACAAATGAGAATACCGCAAGACATCACCTACGGCTTTTCAGAGAGAAGGTGGCTGCCTGGAGATGATTCTTCATCATCCCTCTCCGGGATGTTGGCCAGCCGATCCCGATATGGCTTTTCCTCCTCATCACTGAAAATTTCCTCATCACTTTCCCCGGCGAAAGCATTATAAAGTTCACCCCCACGGCGCTGGGTACGTCCACCTGGCCCAGTCATGGGGTGCATCTCATCCTCATCTTCAATCATCTCGAATTCATAATCATCTTGAGGGTTGGTCCGGCGGCGCTTCAGGCGCTGGAGTTGGAAAAAGACACCTAGACCGATAAAGAATACAATGATCATGCCCAAAGATGCGTATATCCAGACCTGGGTGCGCTTTGAGGCTCCAAATGTTGGCAGGTAAGAGGACAAATAATTGTTCGACGTAGCAGTGTTGGTCGAAGAGGGAGCACTGCCGGCAGTGGTACCGTTGTTCACCACCTCGAGCTCCTCATCGGCAGGCTGGGTGACTGTAGGAGCCTCAGGTTGACCTGTGGGCTTCTGGTTCACAGGTCGGTCGTGATGCTCGTCGGGGTTGCTGATGACAGGATTGGTCTTCGATGGCGCAGGCTCCAAGGTTGTCGTAGCAACATGAGCCTCCTCATACGGATGGTCATCATCATGTTCATCCGGCAATGGGAGAAGACCCTGCGTAGATCCATCAACAGCCTCTCCCCAGAGGTTAAATCTCCAGTCAATAAACTCGCCAGTGTAATCATTGACTTCGGAATCTTTAACGATCACAGTCCATTCACCAACAGCAGACTCGCCCCTGTAATGGAATTAGTAGTTGCCTTAGTACAAGCTGGGGTGAAAATACGTACCAGTGAGCGACAGACATGAATGTCCAATCTATATAACCAACAGGCTCCTTGTCATGCCGACGGGCAACGCTAAGATGGCTAACAACACCAGCTGGGCTGCGCAGCTCTACGCTGAGATCACCACGGCGAGAGTGGTTGATATTCATGGTAACGGTGACATGCTCCAGTCGACCAAAGTTAGCACCCTTGAGCTGGTCAGCAGTTACCGTGAACCGACTGAGCAAGCCTTGTGAGCCTTGTGGAATATTGTGGTGTACTCGCAGCCAGGGCGAGATAAACCAGGCCTGTGGCTTCACTAATTCCCATGTTTGAGCTTTGTGGACCAGCGAGTATGCGTCCACCTTACCGAAGCCCCAGTCGTGACTGAATTTTCGGCCGGATGGAAGAGTCTGCCAACTCCCATCTGTCTCACTAACCGGGACTGCAGTCTCTACCATCAAGTACTGAATATCGCGCCATGTCAGTTCGGGCCGAGCACTCAGTGCGAGCGCTACAGTGCCTGCGGCGAGAGGACCGGCTGCAGAAGTGCCACCGTGGTTTGAGTAGCAGCTGTCGGCGCCCACATCGGTGGTGTGGATCGCATCGCCAGATCCACTGCTGTATGCAACTACCAGCTGGGCGGAGCAGGACTCCGAGTAGGATGGATGGTTACCTTGCCGATCAATAGCTCCAACCGTTATGCTGTAAATGCTGTTGGTGTATCCATCGAAATTGCAGTTGTCACCGAACTGCGCACCGTTACCGGCAGCGAACACGAAGATTGAACCCTTCCCATCGCGACCTTTTTGCACACCATTGACCATCGCTCGCTTGATCAGAGTACCAGGGGCATCCATTGTGGCACCATCGTCGATGGGTCCCCAAGAGCAAGAGTAGATGTCATTCTTCTGGAACTCATAGTTGATGGCCGCGGCCTCGTCTACGTCGTCAATCGGCGCGGATAGAATTCGGATGCCTGCCACCTTGCTGTCATATGCAACACCCACACCACAGTAGTCGTTCTTTGCGGCACCAATTTCTCCTGAGCAACGGGTACCGTGTTTATCATCTGACAATAAAGGACGGGGCTCTGGACCGCCTTCATTGAAATCATAGGAGCCTTCGGCGAAGTAGTTAGGCTTCAGGTCGTTGCTATCGAAATCGAGTCCGTCATCCACAATTGCTGTAACGACACCATGGCCTGTCACACCTTCCAGCCAAATTCCCGAGACGTTGAGATCATGACCGGGTTGTAACGGGTTGAACAAGTGCCACTGTTCTTTGAACATGGGATCGTTGATTTGCAAAGCCGAGGCGATATCGCTCTGAAGTTCAATCGCACTTTTTTCGGGCACCTTATCAAGTCGGGGGACAGAAGCCTCGGAAGGGGGTGGTGCACGCTTCTGAAGTCGTTGTCTGGGCGGCGCAATCTTCTGTGACCACAAGATGGAGTCCAGGGGATCTGCACTCCGAGCGACATATTCACCCGATCGCCGGCGGGTTGTCCTCTTTGTCTTTAAATCGTCCAACAACCCAGCGAAATCCGAGCTTTGATCGCGCGGTAACGAGAAGGTGTGGTGATCCGTCAGCTGTCCGATTTGGCCCTCGTGTCGGGCGCCCAGGATGCGGGCAACATGATCGGGGGAAGTAGAGGAGTCAAGGTGAAGGGCAAAGAAGTCGCGAGAGTCTTGTGAGCGAGGGTGAATGGTGGCGGAGGCCGTGCCTGCCAGGCCGATGGCCAAGGCGATACCGCTGACGAAACGCATTGATGCGGGCGGGTTGGAGTAGATGGATGCTTGATCTCACGATCAAGCTGAGATAGGATAAGAGACAGCTGCCATGAACGGGGGTACCAGACCCTTCGGCAGCAAAAAAAAAAAAAAAGGATAAGAGAAGAAGACGAATTTTCTCTCCCGTAGATATAGGCAGGGAGGAAGATGGAGAGATGGGAGGTGGCAAGTCGCGGCGAATAGGAGGATCGTCAGGTAACCAAGCACAACACGGGAACCGATTGACGCAGTCCACTATGGTCATTTAGCGTCCTTAAAGTAGAAATAGAGTTGTTACTTTCGACGACTACTGGTTTTTCCTAATTGAATCTTTCCTTTCTAATTTGGAGAGCGGTGGGCATGGTCTTTGTCTTTTCAAAGACCACGGTTTCTATTTGCGGAGGTGCTCACCTTAAATTGCTTACGTGGGGTCTGACCTTTCATGGAGATTAGGCCCCATGAATACTTGATCATTACTGACTAATTTTACCCGAGTCTCGTTGAGTCTGTTACTGCTAAGTTTAGGGTAATTACAAGGCGTTTATCGAATAAATCTTACGCAAGAATCCGCTAGATCATGGATTCCTTGCGTGAAGTAAACATTGACCATCAATATCATCAATCTATCATTCCCAAGTTGATTCTTCAGCTGGAAACATACAAGCAGGTTACCATTGAATCATATAAGCGAGGTTGTAATTGACTGAAACCCCCAGAGACTTGCGTAGGCTGAAATGTCAATGATTCGTTGACCAAATACCTCGAACTAGCCTGACGATTATATAGCCAGACTGTCTACCAACATTCCAATAACGGCTCGCGTAGCTCAGTTGGTAGAGCGCGGCACTAGTAATGCCGAGGTCTTCAGTTCAAATCTGGACGTGAGCAGTTTCTTTTTTGTCATTTTGCCCACCTCGCCGCGGACGATCATTTCCACTTGAATTTGTTTTTTACCTCTTGTAATATGGTGCGATTTCACTAGCATCTATACATACATCTTCATAAAGAGGGACAAGAAATCCATGACCTAAATTTAGGTGTTGTACATCCCGATCTAACAATAGGACCTTGTCATATATATTTCCACAAGACTCTGCTGCTCATGGTGCTGGAGATCTCGATAGGTCCTCTGCGAAAGGGCAGGGTGAAAACCACCAGACTGAAAGTCTCACAATGTATTTCAAGTACATAATTGTAAGGCCACACAGGCTTATCAAGGTGTGTAAGGGACCAAGGAGTTGTTCCCGCCAGGAGCTTGGGTATAGCTTGTTAGAATTGACAAATTGGAAATCCCGCCAAATATCTTTGAGTGAAAATCCCGTGGATCTGAATTCGTAAGATCGGTAGAAGACTTGGACTACATATGTATATGGATTTGAGGCGGCCACCGTAGCCATCTTCATCGTGTCCCGCCGACAAAGACCATTCTGGATCGATCGCCCAGATATGTCCATAAAATTGATATAGGCCATATGTACCGTAAGATGAACGAGCCTCATCTGTTAATGAGAAGAAGATCGTGCGCTCAACACTGGGTTTCAGGTCGCCTCTCTCGCAGCGATTCAAATGTCCCTAGTCCACGTTTTGATAATATCCTTGCCATCCCATCAGCTGGTGTTTTCCTCCGGTGATATATCCGTTGGGGATTGGATTGCTCTTTCCCAGAGAGTCTCTGATTGAGGGAGTTCCTCCAATTGTTTTATCATTGCCTAAGTCCACACACTTATATGTGCGGATGTGACGTACTTATTCATAGCACCTCATAGTAGGACATGGTTCGTTCAGTGGTACGAAGTATCAAGGGAGCACAGAGGGAAGGTGAACCGGCGCTGTATCATGGATGGATTTGTGGGCTGGAAAATGTTCATGTGGATGAAAAGTAACTTGTTTGAGGATCGAGTACCCACCTAGGCTTGATTTTTCTTTATTTGTCGCTACACACTCTGTGCTCTTTGGTTGCGGGATGCGTGTCCGTGAAGATCGAGGATATCGACAAAAGGGAACAGATAGTAGCGAGGAAGTTAACCTACTTTGCTTTTTTTGCTAGAATTGTTGATAATTCTGCAGCTAGATGAAGGTAGCAGGGAATAGAAAGGGTGGGTAATCACTGTTCGATGCTCGCTGCATGAGCACCGTCACCCTGTCATGGATGCAACGCCTCTCCCACACCACCGAGGCAGCATAATTGAAAGAATACACTGCCAAGTCGATGGACACACTCTGTTGAAAAATGATGATTGGAAGGCAAATACTGCTGTTTGTTTGATATTGAACAATAGAGAAACATGATATACATTGTGTCCACATGGGAAAACATAAAAGTCAAGCCAGCGAGCCACTAGCCTGCTCAGTACCCCTCTGCATTCTTCATCAAGAAGGACTTAACAAATGGCAACCGATCAATAACCTCTAGGCCTAGACTGCGGGCCCAAGTAATAGGTCCTTGTCCGGGAACGGAGTACAATTTATGCAGCAAATCGCAGGCACCGCCAATCTTGGCATTTGGCAAATACCGCTCAGACGAGTATCGCTCTAGCGTAAGGATATCGCCAATGTCCATGCCATGACTCACGGCATACTCGATAGTGCGCGACAAAGCGGCAACATCTGCCAACCCGAGATTCAGGCCTTGGCCAGCAAGCGGGTGAATGACGTGAGCTGCGTCACCGACGAGGGCAACACGAGGAGATATGTACTGGGCTGCGTGGCGGAAGCGAAGTGGGAACGAGGCAACAGTTCCTTCTTGCACTCCAATGGCTTTGGGTGGGATGTGAGATGGTTGCGGAGTATGCTGGAGGCGCCAGTTGAGCTCGTCTTCGTGCGATGTCGATTCAGACGAGTTTGAAATGCCCATCATATAGGAGAGGTCTGTCATAGAGAGAGTGAAGGCCGCGTTGACCATGGCAATGAAAGCCGGCGTGGGAAGAGATTTCAGGTATGCGGCGTGCTCAGGGCGTGTAGACCATACTAGGGTTGCATGGTTGTTAGGAAGCGGGAGTAAAGCGATGGGTCCACCGAGTGCGGGTAAGAAGCGCTGGTAGGCTGTATGAGTGTTTGCGCTGAATTTTGAAAAATCAAGGTCTTCGAGTGCGAGTGTTGCCACAATGCCATGGCGGTTGTAGTCCCAACCCTGGGTAGGGATGTCGGCGAACGAGCGCACAGGACTGTTGATCCCATCTGCGCCAACAAGAAGCCGGGCAGCAATCCGGGACGGTGCGATTGTCTCGGCGCCGGGCCCTGTCGGCTTCACAGAAAGAATAGGCCAAGCTGACAGATCAGGTCCTTCCTGGAGATCGGATCCATTTTCGATTGATGCAACAGTATGATTAGAAAATAGGGTCAGGTTCTCATCCCCTGACGCTTCAATGCGGCTCAGCAGACCCCGCACAAGGTTAGCGTTCTCGGTCATGGTAGCAACGGTCTGCAAATCCTCAAACGCAGGTGTCTCCGAAGACCTATCAAAGGATATTCGCGAACCAGTCTCTCCATCCCACACCTGCATCTCCTGATAATTCTGCACTCTATCCGTGTCTAGGTGCTCCCATGCACCAATATTCTGCAGAAAGGCAACAGACGATGGGGTCAAGCTGCTGACTCGGTTGGAGAACTTGCTGGAGTCGAGGTTCCACCCACGTGCTTTGCTGAGGTCCTGGCTTTCGACGAGGGCGACCTTCAGCTTTGATGTGACAGGCGAGGCCCCTGCAAGGTGTCAGAAAGGTATTCTTCTGCAAATTCCACGAGTTTTATTGTTGTGTATGACGTACTTAGTGCAGCAAGCAGCCCCAGACCGGCCGGTCCACCTCCGACACAGACTACATCGTAGATATCGGGAGATTGAGCTTGTTGTGTGCCGAATTTTCGTCGACTAGCACCAATGCCATTTCGGCAAGATGGGCAAACGTATGGGCGAAATGCCAACCTTGGGATTGGGCGCATGGTGTTTGTAGATCGGCACTAACGGAGATCAAACATCATCCAGGGCGCCGGCGAACCGATAATTGATCTATCTTCACCGCCCGACTGAAGTAATTCTGAGGTCATAATGTTTTATTAGACAGATTACATCATAAGCCGCTCGCGTAGCTCAGTTGGTAGAGCGCGGCACTAGTAATGCCGAGGTCTTCAGTTCAAATCTGGACGTGAGCAGTTCTTTTTTGCACGATATGTTTTTCTTACATATTTTTATTGAATAAACACAGTAGATTTTGTACAGAAACAAATTCAATGCATAACAAACCGTGGAAGCAATATACCCGAAGTACGGAGTACACTAACTAGTATTGTAATTGCTCCACATGTAAAGTAAGACAAAGGATGTTGATTGATACTGGATGTAACTATAAGAACTTGGCAAGCAATTGATGCTGCTACCAGTGGGTCTTGTACCAATTACGTTCTTTGCTTGGAACATGTAAATACCTAGATAGGCTACCCAATGCTATAGTATATTTCATGGCTAATGCAGTCTGGTTTGGTATTCGGGTTGTTTGTCTCCGGCAATTCTTGACGTATCCGAAAGATCATCGGCAATCAAGTTTGATTGACAACGGATGATGTTGGTGCACAGAAAGAACCCGGCCGCAATCGTCAGTCTTGGGGTGTGTGAGCCATATAAATGGCACGGAATCTACAGGGACTCCTGAGGCTTATGCTGAACTAGGTCATAGCCCGAGGAGAAAAACACTCATGTCTACCTACCACTGCTACTCCATAGTTGGTGTAGGTCCTTGGGTTCGTGAGATGGGCAAGAAAATCAACAGCAAATTAAGAAGTGGCTCATTTCATGCTTCAATCCCTTTATTGTTCATGTGATGGATCTTAGTTGTGATCGCTTATTAGCGCCCGTGCTCGATCCCATACAGGACGCATAATGCAGTCAAATCGGGTGAGTCGGGAATCACAAACAATTGGCAAATCATTCCTTCTAGGTACTGCGGGCATAGATCTAACAGCTATACTAAAGCTATGCGCTGCCATCATCTGAAGATGTTGAATCGTTCTTGGTCATCAAGTTCCTGGCAAACACTTTAATGGACTTTTCCAATAGCAATGGCAACAGCGTGGAAAGCAATACTATGAATGTTCTAGAACAGTAGGAACAGACTCTTATAGGACAGAAGTAACCCCAACGTCCCCTCTTTCTCGAGATAAATGCCGGTGGATGACTGGCGCTAAAGGCGCAATTTTTGCTACATTCCCGGACGTGCAGCACGCTAACAGGCCGCTGTCTACGCCACAAGGCTACGCAAGGAAGCATTGGTTCATCACATTGACCCAAAGCAGATATCGGGTAAAGTGGCACATATCAACAGTCCACTCATCTTTCCTCCACATCTCCGGCTTATTCTTCTTTTGCTTCAAGTTTCGTCACGATGAAAGACTAGACCGTCCAAGTTTCGATTTCAGCCTCATTGCCCCACCATCATTTCACTCCAGACTGTCGGCTTTCTACCGATGAGAACTTAAGTTTTTGTTTTCAAACCTACCCGCTGTGACTCCCCCGCATATCTCATCCTAAGCGAATCGCCTCAAACCCTTGACATCATATCTAATGATCAAGGCTACGTCTCATGCATTGAGCGCGTATGGGGCATCACGGATACTATTGAGATCAGAAATATTAGCGCAAAACCACCACCAACAGGGATCTTCACAGACACGTGGGTACCGACAGATAAGCACCTCCAGTTGTGTATAGGTCATTATTCTCCCTTTCCCCACTTGATCGATCGATCGATGCAACAGGCGCATCAGATATAAAATGACCAGTCTTACCCATGTAGAGACAAAGACCTTCGTCTTTCCATAAATCTTAGATATCTTAGCCCAAGCCAAATGATGAGTTCTTTGTTCTTGACGCCCAGGGCGGGGCTTCTCCAAACATCCATCAAGCTTTATGATCATGCTTTGACAACCATCGATCCGAGAATCTACTTGTTCTTCGTAGAAACCGGCAAACCGTGAGCTTTAATTTCATTTACATTTTTATTATAGCAAGCTTCGTGACTGACTTCTGTAGCGTCCTCGAGAAATGCCTTACAATTCCCGAGGCAACTTCACTGCTATCACTCCAGGGTCTGGCCTACCTCAGTCCTGCCTGTATTTTGCTTCTATCTAACACAACAAGGTATAATTTCCACATTAGAGTACATGTTTGTTGACTTACTTATTGAACCAGTACCGGGTTAAAAAAATTGTAAGATGCGCAACACCTGCTTGACTCAGTTCTTTTCTCACGCCTACAGAATCGTCGTGAAAGGCCCGAATAGGGTCCGTCTTTCTGCACCATGGAGCTCCGTATTAACCTTTTGCCGAGGGCCGTTGGCGAAGATGCTAGCTCATAGCTCGGGGGCTGTGGCTTTTTCTTCGGATCTGGAAATGCGAATAAGCTTTTGGAATTTAATTAGGGGGCGCATTGAGGCTGGTGATAGGAGGGATCTGGAATGGCTTTCTTCTTACTGTCGAAGGAAATTTTTCAGTTATGCCCAGGCGAGTTCACTGCTTTCTATGGAGGATTTACTTGAACACCTTTCAACGGACATGGTGTTTGCTATGTGAGTAGGTGATTGGCCATGTTAAAGATATGGCCTTCGGAGAATGGAGGGGTGGTGCTTGATACCAAGCCGAACTTTGTTTGTGATATAGGTTAGTATACTCCGAGAAAACAATCATAATAATGCAATGAATTGGGTATTGGTGAGTTTTTTGTCACTTGGTGTCTCTGATACATGACATGGTTCTTTTGTAACCGTCCAAATGTTAATTTGAACATATGCAAAGGGGAGAGGTAGATATAATCTCTATTTTTGGAGAAAAAAGGACAATGCTAGCCGTGACCAGGAAAGGGGAAATAAAACGCCTATGATTTCGTCTTTGGGGTTCTTCAGACCTGAGTAGCCTGCAGTTGCTCAGCCAACTTGTCGACAGCGCCGCTTTGCTTTTTAGCTAGGCGCGCTTTAAGCTCCTCAACCAACGAGGCCAGCTCAACTTCGACACCCTCCTTCTCCGGGTGATCAGCCGAGAGACCCATCTCCTTGATGCGAACCTTCCCAGCAGCCAGCTCTTCTTCACCGAGAATGACGGCGAAGGGAACGTCACCCTGTTCGGCAGCCTTGAATTGCTGTGGAAGCTTGGGCTTCAACTTGTAGGAGAACTCAGCCTAAGATACACTGTTAGTAAAATGTTCTTGTAAAAGGACCAGAAGTGAAACATACCTTGATGTTAGCGTTCCACAGCTTCTGGCAGACCTCCATACGCTCCTTGAGCATGCCGGTGAATCCCTTACCACCGAAGGCCATGACGTAGGCATCAACCTCGCTTTTACGGAGACCCTCAGTGCTCTGCTCACGTTCGAGACGGGCCTTGGTAATGGAGAAGATACGGTCCACTCCGAAGGAGACACCAACACAGGGAATCTGAGCCTTGGGCAGGAACATGCCCACTAGGTTATCGTAACGACCACCAGCGGCGACACTACCCACACCGAGAGTGGGATCGTTGGACCGGTCGTCATCATCAGAGGTCTTTGACTTCTTGTTGGACTTCCGCACCTTCTCCGCCTCCGGGGCGTCGGACTGAATGGCGGGGGCAGAGCCCTCGGTGACAACCTCGTAGATGACTCCGGTGTAGTAATCTAATCCACGAGCCAGAGACATATCGAAGGAGATCTTATCCAACGCTCCAAATGCCTCCAGGTAGTCCATCATCAGAGCCATATCATCGAGACCAGCCTTGGCGGAGGCGTTGGCAGTAAGAGTCTCGTCCTGCAGCAACTTGTTCAGGAGCTCACGGCCACCCTTGTTCATGACATAGGTCTCAATGCGGTCCGCAATAGCACCGTCCAGACCCTTCTGGTCGACCATTTCCTTGCGTACGTCCGCCCATGGCATCTTATCCAGCTTATCGACCGCGCTCGAGATCGGCCGGATCTTGTCCTCTGGCACACCACACACGGCAAAGACACCATCCAGAATCTTACGGTGGTTGATCTTGATCGTGTATCGGCCGTTCCAGCCAAGCTCCTCAAACACTTCGCTGACAATGCGCAGCACCTCGGCATCGGGCACCATGGGGTCGAATGCACCGGCAATATCGAAGTCGCATTGGTAGAACTCGCGCATACGGCCCTTGCTGACGGCAGGCTGATCCCGGCGGTACACCTTAGCAATGTGGTAGCGCTTGATGCTGCGAACGTCCGGGTTCATCGCGAGCCAGCGCGCAAAGGGGACTGTCAGGTCGTAACGCAGGGAGCAGATCTCGCCACCCTGGTCCTGCAGGTCGTAGATGAGCTTGGAGTCCTCGCCATACTTGCCGGCCAAGATCTCACGCAGCTCAAAAACGGGGGTATCGAGGGCGGTTCCGCCGTGGCGCTTGAAGACGTCGGCGATGGTGGTGAAGATGCGGTCTCGGAGGAGGGCGTCTGAGCCGGACCAGTCCTTAGTCCCCTTGGGGGTTTTGAGGGTAAATGAGACCTTGTCTTTAGGCATTTTATCGATCGAATCGGAATAAGGGATTGAGGAAAGGAAACGAGTGCGGCGGGGGAAGTTTCGATGGTGGGGGGTGGTGGGGGCACGGAGACAAATTTGATTCGAGACCGAATGCCGGCCTTGGGTAGGCAAATGAGTCAAACAACAAAGATATCTCGGGCCAATGGACTTTGCAAATGATGGTCGTGCAGGACGCAGACGCAGAGAACTCGAGAGGGACGTCATAAAAGCGACGCGCACATTTGGCGAAAACTGCCCGTGACTCAAATTGGTTGAACCGGGCCATCTTGCTACTTCGGGGAGTTTTTCCGGGATTAATCCGACTCCACATGAAGTATGAAGATGCGAATTTAGTATTGTATTTTAGGTTGATGGTTAGAAACATATTATAGTGGATTTGAGAGGAGAAGAAACTTCATGATTTAAAATTTAATGCCGAAGACCTTGGAAGTGCCTCGTACTATAGGATCAACCACCAACATACCTCAGTCCAGCTAACACGGCCCGTTGACACAGGCTAAATTCATATCAGATTGAATCATTGTGAGTCCATCAGAAAAATACTGTGAGTTGACACTATCTAAAGAATAAGGATTCACAAGAATACCTCCCACAAGAGGACAGCTCTATGAAATCGGGAAATTGTCAGTATAGGCACCACCGTATAATCGTTGAATGGAATGAGACCTCAATTAAACTGCAATGTCTTCTTTTGTGCTGGAATCTGCTCCTAAGCCATGTCCAAGTTATGGATCACACTTATATCAATACCAGAAAGCATTTCTTCCCTACTGAACCATATATACCCGTCCATAATATTCGCCTCAGGAAACTCCGCCTCTATATCTCCATCACACCACATATCCCCAGCTCTACCGATATCAGAGATGGCTGCAGGCGGGTATTCGGTATTTACGAGCTGAGGAATAACCTCACTTCTGGAGAAATCGCGACATTTTGGGTAAACGCGAGGAGGACGCATACTTCCCGGATTCATTCATTCTCTTGATTTTGTCACGGACTATGGCTTAGAAGCGGCTGCATAATTGCGCCGACTCCAGATGCTTTCATAGAGACATTTTCACATAGGACAAGCCTCAAAGAGTCCTTTGATTGGACCTCATAAGTAACCATTTCCACAAGATGACCACCATAGTCTGCAACGAGGACATCATCTCCAATCTTAAAGCAAAAGGGGCCATAGTAGTCGGCATGAAGTAGAGCCGCCTCAATACCGGTAGCAAAGGTGAAATTATTCTTTGAGTGCATCCGAAAGTCAGCTTCTTTAGCCGCTATGCGAAGCTTGAATGGGTGTTCTCATCTCAGGAGGCAGATATGTTCATCACGCAATGGTGAGTATAATGTGCCACATCCGATACTGAGTTCGAGTTGGCCACAACTTGTGAAGATATGCCTCGTCTCACAGCGCTCAGAAACTCAATCATGAATGTATCGATTGTTCATCTAGGTGGAAGTGGTAAACTCTCGACATTGGCGCCTCCAAGAGGAGCAAAATTATATCTGAAGTCTTAAATCCTGTGTATTCCAAGTCTCAGATCTTGCATAGCCAAGAGTGGACACGGCTTCAACTTTTTACTTCCACCAGCCCACAATTTCCTGATCTTGGCTGTAGTATACAAGTGCCTCGATCTTTGGTTGATTTGTTAAACCCTTGATAGACAGCGCAATTTTCGCTGGCCATTGGTCCAAAATCTTAACCACCGGCTTGTCACTGCTTGCAACGGCGTAGGGCACAGCAGTAAATGTTGCACCAAAATTAATTCCGACGATGATCAGACTTATATTGCTCCGCAATGCCCTCATTTTCTTCGGGCATATTGAGGGTGATATCACAAAGAAAAGCCTTATAACAATGATGAACGACCTATAAGTTATTTCATCTCTCCAGTTTCTGGGGTAGCACTTGTTGTGGGCGGGGTAAGTTATGTGGCAACGAAAGGTCATGAGGTTATAGGGGAGTGTGAAGAGGAAGGATTGCCTAGTAGAATTTTCTTGTTTGATACACGCACCATATCACATGATCAACACTATATTATGCCGCTGCGTGTACACCAAAGACCCAAAAACGTGAATGAAAGGAGTTGTGTTCTGCTGCTCAGGTCTTCAAGTCCGAAGTGATTTTTGAGCGTTCGCATAAAGGTCGTAGGTACAAAAAGATATATCCAAGTATAAAGAGGAGTTGAAAATGATGGAGATATGTAGCGACACGAAGCAGCAAGTGTTTACTAACATGAACTCATGGGGTGGTGCTACGACCTTACTGCCCTTGTAATATTTTGAATGAAATAAACGAGTGCTCTGCCACATGGACATTAACAACGGTAATATCATACCATTGATATCCTGGTACTGATTGGCTTAGCGGTACATATCACCCAATGCGGTTAGCATGACCCTAGGACGATCATTGGGAGCATTAGCTTGGATCTCAACATCTTACGTTTTGATTGGAACAATGTTCGATCTTGCCCACAGCTGGTCTCCACTTTTTGACAGAAGAATTGGGCTCTTTTGCAGGAAGGGTTCTCAGCCCCAACTATGTTTTCTTGGCAGACGAGATGACGCTGGGATTATCCGGCTTTTGAAGCGCCCCGTGAGACCATTTCCGGTAAGACTCTTGGCTCACGGTAAGTTTAACTTTGTGGCAATGACAACAGCAATGGATGCACCTTGAGGTACATAACACAGCTCAGTCCTCTACTTTAGCTCACTCAATCTACAAGCTACAATCAATCGAAATCTTCATTTTTCACGTTCTCATCAAACCTTTATCATTCACTGAACATAAGTTCATCCCCCGAAAGCATTTCGACAAGCATGGCTTCTGGCAAATCCTGTGTCTTAGCGGTCGCCTTCAAATGGAGCAAGTTCCACGCACTCATCACGGAGTTTGAAACCGCAAACCCCGAACCAAAGCCACTATACGATGTTTCCTATGGTATGCTAGCGCCCCATCTCAAAATCAAGTCGATACAAGAAGATAGACAAATTGGGACCGGCACCGTCCACACTATCAGCATCAGTCCCGACTACTCGCTCCACGGATCCAAGGGTACCATCCAAGCCAAGAGCCGTCTGCGGACAATCTACACCCACATGTCCCATACATTCTCCGACACAGATAAGCCAGCTAAGATGACATGGTCAAGCCAAAGTGGCTTCACGACGTGGGACTTTATCTGCTGCGATGAGAACCAGATACCTGTGGCGAAATACAGTGCCAATGTATGGGCACTCAAGAAGATGGCTAAAATCGAGGTCTTGGGGCCGAAGGCGTTTGATACTGCTGCTCTCGATGAGATTGTGACAGTTGGAATGACGTTGTATTTCTGCATGTGCATTCGTATCAACAATCCCCTAAATCTTGTTGGCTCTGCTTTTATGCGGACAGGAAAAGAGGCGCAAATCGAGGCACCACGACCGCAGCGCATTCAAGGAAATGTCGTTGACTAATAATAATGAATATGTGATATAAGAGGAATTGATGAGGACCTCATTTGAATTTTCTTGATTTTTGATGTTGCCTTTTTCTTTTCTTCATGGCGTGCAAGTTGTATAGATCGTCATCGTTTTTGTTGATTTCCGCGTTTCTTTGGGGTGCATTATCATATGAAATCCTCTATAGATATGAATTGCATTTGATGTGATTTTCAAGACAATGCGATATTAATTCTCACCAAGTATCATCAATGAGGCCCGATGCTCGGCTTCGCGCCATATGCAAGAAACCTAGCATAGAATTTGGCAGATCCATGGTCCAGCCTGCTTGAGATAAATCTTACGAAGTTGATCCAGTCTTCTCAAGAGCACTGGAGAAAGCATAAGCTTTCCGGCTTAGATGATCTTCAAATTCAAGGGTACATACCAAACAAAGTTGATCTAACCTGTGATATCTATCGCAGTCCACTTCTTATACCAGCTCTTCGAGCATTGATTGCCCACGCAACAGCCGGGGCCGCAACAGATCACTATATCCGTTCTCATTTCAACTACTTTCCCATTGAGATTGATCTCCTGGTCTCAGTATTGGTCTGCCCAATCAACTATACTTTGGATGACGTTAGAAACTTGTAGTATGCCTATCGCATTTCACTAGAAGTTGCCAGACTGTCTTTGGCGAAAGTTAATGAAAAATCTAATCTTCGAGTTGGATATTATGAGGAGGTCTGGCTCTCCAGTAGGCTGGCAAAGACTGAGCCTTGGTTGGATGTGCCTTCTTTCAGGTTGGATATGGTATGCCAATGGGGGTGTAGCAAATCGCCGACGTATAGTCGGAATGTTGTTGTTATCAGGAGCTTTGGAAATAGCTAAATGAAAATTATTTCATGTACCTTACTTTTATGTGAATCTAACTTGATTCAATGCAATGCTTGGTCACTGGAATGACATCAAGCGTTGCTAAGTAAATACCTGGTATTGCTACCGAATACAAGGATTTCTGTGTTGAGTGTAGACAGACACCAAATTTTCAGCCGACGACTATCTGCCACTGTAATGTTATCATTTCCTAGCCGAATTGCTGATGCACACATGTGCAACTGCTCAGACCGGCCCGTTAGGGCTTTCAAGGTTAGAATATGGTTTATTGCACATAACAACCGAGGTTCACACTGCACTGTGTGCGAGTATGTCTATGCCACAAGCGATTGATTATATATGTAGCTTTAATTTATTCCAATGTTATCATCAACCCTCCCACGGTCTCCCTCATAGATTTGATCAAGATCAATCTCTCGACTATGAGTTTACTAATTAGTTAGCAGTCCCGTGGTAGGTCTTTCTCCTAGAGGTTTTGATCGCTCAACTTCAACATACTGTGTCCTCCTTCCTGTTCGGGTTGAGGTGAGGAAAGACGTCATAAAAATAGCGGAGACGCGAGCTCCGAGACCCACAGAACAGGACGGAGAATGTCACTACATAAACGGCAATGATTCACGTTGATCGGATGAGGATCAATTGATAATCGATGCCCGATCTCCTTTCTAAGTTATGTTCGCCCCCGCCGCTACAAGGGGTCAGAAAGCTGTACATGTCGATCCATGTATTCCTTGTTCAACTTGACCAAGCTACGACGGCTTCTCCCAATGAGACGAAATGAAGGAGAAGATAAAGTTTGGTTAATTTAACCAGTCGCCTTCCAAGCCCGAGCTTCAGCCATCAATCTTGGCCCGCCAAGCAACAATTACGAAAGGCAAGCACTACAGTCGATGGTCGTCGAATCAACCGGTGAGAGGCAACCCCACCAGGATGTACTGTACGTACCGTGTTGCACGGATGGATATAATATCTGCAAGTCGCCCGCCTGGGCGCAGTCTTGATAATAGTCTGCATTGAAGCACCCAATGAACATGAAAATTGCATTTCTAAGCACAGGGGTGTGGGCGAGCCGAATCATCTCACAGGGGTGATCGAGGGGGACTGCGGTGTACACACACCCGAGCTTGCTTAGCGCGCAAGGCCCCGCAAGAAATCTAACTGTCTATATCGACGACCGGTAGATGCGCTACTGCACGCTATGTAGCGACCCGGGGGAAAGTGCACATCGCATAAGTTGCCGCACGCCAGGGCCATGGGGAGGGGAAAACCAGGGCCACGCGGCCAATAAGCAAGTCAAACTCCAATAAGCCAAAAATATATGCCCCTTGACGCTGGGGGGAGGGATCTGTGTGATCTTGCACCTGATCGCATCTTGTTCTCTCTCTTTCCCCCCCGCATGATGCTCGGCGTGAATGGCCCAGACAAGGACGCAAGTCGGAAAGGGCATTGGCTCCACCGCCACCATAGGTCTGTTCCGGCTCTTCGACCCCACGTTGAAAACGATGATTGGTGGAACAGGCACACCATGCGAGGGGCGGACACATGGCCCGTTCAGTATGCAGCCAATAACTGGACAGCGGCTAATGGGGAAGGACCTCAATGAACTCCAGGCCCCCATCCGTCGTAATAGAAAAGAGGAGCCTTGTTCCATGGGATACCGTGGGGGCTTCCGGGGTGAGGAGGAGGTTGAACCAATGGCTCATGACATAATGGGTCTTGTCTTTCCCCTCTTTGGTTTTTCTTTCTCTATCTTTCCGATATACCCGGTTTGTTCGCACAGATTCCAGTATTTTTATTCTTGATATCGAGACATATTCTTTTGCAGATGAGAAAATCGGCGATTGGACAAGTACCTGGCTTTTTACCCCACGTGGCTTTGAGGGGTTGACATACAATACGATTCTGACTTTTTGGATGGTTTTTTGGCTGCAATGCGCGAATTAAATTATAAAGTATAAATCATATAATATAAGACAAGGTAACGGTGTACTTCGTACAAGGGAAGAAAGTAATAGAATTGAAGATTGTAACTTGATTGATTACTGTACCATACATATTGTACTCAGTAGAAAGTGAACTCGAAAACGCCACATTTGTTCTTCTCTTTTCCCCCCCTTCCCTTAGGAAATCATTAACGAGAAAACAAATCTTCAAGTTAACTCTGAGCCATTTCTTGATCTTTCCCTTGAGTGGATTGATTCTATTACTCTCTTATCTTTTAGGTAACGGAGGGCCCCGTATGCGGTTCCTGCGTTTCGGGCCTGCTTTGGTGGCTTCCCCGGACACTCTCCGCGACTCAACGTCCTCGGCCTAAAGTCTTTCCCCGAGTTACCCCAATCATTCCACTCTATCCCTTCAACCACTGGGTATCTCAACGCCCGCGATCAACTTTCGTGTTCCTCCATGCCGCCGAGTGCGATCGGCCAGACTGCAAACCCGTCGTGATGGGGATCTTCAACAGAGGCAACCGCAATAACGGGGTGAGGCTTGAAAACCGCCTCCGGGCATCATCCCTTCCTACTGGTGTCACGGCATTCTACCGTGTGCTCGTGGGAGGATTCAGATTGAGACGGTACACTGACAACTCGACTCCCGCATAGGCTCCGAACACCCCTTCGCCCGCTCCGCCAAATCCCAAGAAGGATCCTCAAACGCCACAGATAAGCCCACTGGAGAAACGGCTACAGGATATGGGCTCCATCCGAGTCGATGGAAGCGATAAGTTCTTTGGCATGGAAAATGTGAGTATTTTAAGCGGTGGGGTCCATCCCACTTGGTCGCCGTACTGACCGGAAGAGGCTCAGTACGGAAACACATGCTACTGCAATTCGATCCTCCAATGTCTCTACTACTCTGTTCCTTTCCGCGAGGCCGTGATCAATTATCCACAGCGAACGCCCGTGGAGAACATCGAGGCCGCGCTCACCAAGAACCTACGATACCCGAGCCCGAATGCGCACCTGGAAGCTGAGGCGCAAGCAGCAAAGCAAAAGGCCGCTGCACCCTCAGCCCGTCAGGCGGGCGTACCCCCCAATCAACCACAGAAACCCGAAGACAAGGAATCGCCGGAATACAAGAAGAAAATCGCCTTGCAGACCCTCCCAATCCTCGAGACGAAGAATAACGCCGCCAGTTACGGCATGTCGGAATCATTATTTACTTCGCTCAAGGACATATTCGAATCATTGGTGGGTAGTCAATCCAGGATAGGAATCATCCGACCGCAGCAGTTTTTGGATGTGCTACGCCGCGAGCACGAGATGTTCCGAACCGCCATGCACCAGGATGCGCATGAGTTTTTGAATCTCCTTCTCAATGAGGTCGTATCGAATGTCGAAGCCGAGGCGACCAAGCAGAGTTTCGCAGAGAAAGCGTTGCCAAGCGCCAGCGCAGATTCGCTGGGCCTGACCGAAAGTGCTGGTTCGAAATCACCAAACACTACCAGATGGGTTCATGAATTGTTTGAGGGTATCTTAACGTCGGAAACCAAATGTTTGACCTGTGAGAAAGTTTCCCAGCGAGATGAGGTGTTTTTGGATCTTTCGGTGGATCTGGAACAGCACTCGTCCGTGACATCTTGCCTGCGGAAGTTTTCCGCCGAGGAAATGCTTTGTGAGAGGAACAAGTTCCATTGTGATAACTGCGGCGGTCTCCAGGAAGCAGAGAAGCGAATGAAGATCAAGCGCCTGCCCCGTGTCTTGGCCTTGCATCTCAAACGTTTCAAATATACCGAGGATTTGCAGCGACTGCAAAAGCTGTTCCATCGAGTCGTCTACCCTTATCATCTACGTCTGTTCAACACAACCGATGATGCTGAAGATCCAGATCGACTATATGAATTGTACGCTGTTGTGGTTCATATCGGTGGAGGGCCGTACCATGGCCACTACGTTGCGATCATCAAGACTGAAGATCGTGGTTGGTTGCTGTTTGATGATGAATTGGTCGAGCCCGTGGATAAGAACTACGTCCGCAACTTTTTCGGCGATCGCCCAGGTCTTGCCTGTGCCTATGTCCTATTTTACCAGGAGACAACCTTGGAAGCTGTTCTTCGAGAACAGGCCAAGGAGGATCAGGCATCCACTGCGGCAGCAGCTGAGGCGGGCGCACAAGCTAATGGGTCTCTGACTCATGTGCAAAGCGTGCCTGTGGATGATTCAAACCGACAAGTCCCGCTTAATAGAATAACAACGGCGCCTGGCCAAATGCCCGTGCATATCGAAGTTCCAGAGGCTGAGCCAACATCCCCTCTACAACCCGTTCAGCCACCTGACATTCCGCCTCCACCGCCGATCCCTACTGAGCAAGCCCCCAGTCTGAGTCCAAAGAAGAGCGATGCCCAAATCCGAAAGGATAAGGTTCGCGAGGAAAAGGAGCTGCGCGCAGCGCAGAAAGCAGCTGAAAAGGCAGCCGAGAAAGCCGCCAAAGATGAACGGGAAAATAAAGAGAAGGCGGAGAGAATCCAGCGCAAGGAACTCGAACAGCAACGGCAAGCCCAGATAAAACAGGAGGCTGCCGATCTTGAAAGGGCCCTCAAAGCGAGCAAGGAAGCCAGCAAGGTTGACACCCCTAATGTTGGGCCTGAAAATGGATCACCTCGAGATGGTTCCAAATTTAGCATTTTCAGACGTAGCAGTCGCAGTCTGAGCAGCAGCCTGAGCAACCGTCTGAGCAAGGACAAAGAGCCTCGAGTGTCGACCTCGACTGCGGAGACAGCTCCACCGCCAGTTCTTGAAGTACCAACTCAAGAAGAGGAAACGACTCGACCGCCCGTGCCTACAAAGGATACGCCAGATCTTTCCAGCTCGTACACATCTACGCAACCATTCCCATCAATTCCGGAAAAGCACGATCCTTACTACTACCAGAACCAGACCCACCTTCCTCCCCTCTCTGTCTCTCCCACCACCAATCATTACCACAATACCAACCATCTCAATAGCCCCAATGGCAATGGCAACGGTAATAGCAACGGCAGCACGCACGGCACCGAGAAATCCGGTGTTAGCCACACTCGATGGAGATCGTTCAGCTTCAAAAAATCAGCAGCGTCATGAACCATGACCATGTATTTCCACGAGCGTTTCATTTCTTGCATCTGCCAGCTTCAGGTCAACTTTACACGGAGATACCCCCATTATTCTGCACATATAAGCGATTAACTTTGCTTTTGCACATACCTTACGTGGATGTATCATCATTTGATCTCATGATACGCGATACACAATTTCGATTCCATCTCATTCTCCTTGGGATCGTACTGGCCTGGGGTTCTTTCCACAGGCATGTCTTTTTAGATCCTTTTGGATCCTGATCATGGCTTTTGATTCTTTCTTTTTGTTTTGGCGGCTTCTTTTCATCGTTGCTGGTTTATGTACGATGTACGGCGGCATGATGACGCTGATGGGGGGTATATCCCGTCTGGCGCTAAAAGAGGCGTTTGGTTTATTTGTAATGCTGGCAAGCATGGGCTATCGGATCTATTCGGCGTTATTGCTTTCGAGCCTAGCAAGTTGTTTTTGATGCATATCTTGCTTCGGTCTCTTTTCTAGTTTTTGTCATACATGTTGATTACGGACGAGTTCCTATGATAGTCCCGATATCATTACCAAGTAATCAATCGTATAGCTTCCTCAAAGTTGTTTAGTATACATGTCTGCCAATTCCCAATGGGTATTTTTTACAGGTACGAGGACAGCTTGCTTTGCAATTCGGTTGAGATGATTCTTTTGACTTGTCCTGGGTATATACATCGGGAACGAGATCTGCAGCCGACCAAACAAAACACAAGATACTACTAGTCTTTAACGCCCAGTCTCTAACCCACAACTGTAAACCCTCACTTGAAGCCTGGTAAAGCCGCCAGCCCAAGATCATCCAAGTCCTGTGGATCCCACCATCCACCCCGCGCTAGTGCTAGTAGCTCGTGTATATCATGCGGCGTTTCTTGTGGTGATTTTTTGAAAAACAGCTAGGCCGTAAGCCTTAATTCGCTCAAATACAATAGAAAAATATGAGAATGGCTGGAGAACGAGGGAGCAATGCCAGCAGGAACCAGCACCTCTCCTAGTACAGCCGAATTGGTTTTGTAGGAAATAAGATTCGTTGATATCAGCCGAGGATAAGTTCGTATACAATGATGACAGTGTTAATGACGATGAGTGGTACTGTTGCAATTTTGTTAGCTTTGTTTGGTTGGGCTGCTCAGCTGCCGCCTGTCCAGCTTGTTCGCGCAAGTGATTACAATGCCTAGACCTGCAGAAACCAAGAAAGACGAGGCTGATGAAGCGGGGTGGGAGTTGGAATATAGGGGTATGGGTGTACGTACTCCGCATCACTGTCCGCACACTGGCAATCAGGTTGATGGATTTCGCCTTTACGCTGGTACCGTCATAGGTCGCGCCAAAGCCTGGCTCAGCTTGTGTTCGGCCCCATCCGACTAGAAGGGTTCGCAGTGTTAGTCCTTGTGTTTGATTGGAGGTTCATGTAGCAGGAAAGATGTGTTCGTGTGAGGGAAAGGAAGGGAGGCGTACTGCGAGCGAGGAAGCGGTCTTCGGACAGGACAGCGATGGCATTAATGAGAAGAACGATAGCTGCAGTTTAATGTATTAGTAATAATAACAGAGCTTTGTTGAATTCATACATACTGTACACAAGTTTCCCAAGGCCGAAGAGCAACATCGTGGTGGGGAGTGTTGAACGGGGGATGCGGAGGGAGTTGGGAAAGTGATGGTGAGTTCGGGAAGCGCCAGATCTCCGGATCAACAACTGTTCGCCGCAATCATGAGAAATGGTAAATGCGCCGCACACACAGGAGATTCGCAGCTAATATTTACAGGATTCTTGTTTCTTGGACTCGTGATTTTACTTGCACTGTTGATTGTTCTTCATATCCGCGTTGCGCCCTATACTAAGGTCGAGGAGTCCTTCCATATCCAAGCTGTCCATGATATCTTGGCCCATGGCTTCCCACTTACCAAACTTGGCACCGAGCGCGTCAATTATGACCACTTTGAATTCCCTGGAGCTGTGCCTCGGACGGCTGTTGGTGCTGCGGTACTCGCCAAAGTATCGCAGCTAGTCATCGCAGTGGACGAGCAAATCGACCGTCAGATTCTAGGTAGGTTATTGATATGCACATAGCGGTACCACTTCGTTAACATTCTTGATAGCTCGAACAATCCTGGGTCTCTACAATACATTCGGATTAGCTACCTTTGCATACGGTCTCCGCCGTAGCTTCGGCCAGACCGTAGCTACATGGTATCTTCTCTTCCAGAGCAGCCAGTTTCATTTGATCTACTATGCGTCACGACCGCTGTCGAACATGTTCGCCTTTGGCCTGACGACACTATCACTCCGCTACATGCTCCCGGATAAAGTCGATAGCTCCAACAAAGTACAAGGCGCATATCGTCTATCACTATGCCTCCTCACCATTGCTGGCGTCATCTTCCGCTCTGAACTGGCAGTCCTAGTCGCAACGCAGACACTATTCCTGCTAGTTTCCGGCCGAATTAGCTTATTCAAAACCGCCATCCCAGCAGGCCTGGTCGGCCTCACTACTGGCCTTCTTATTACAGTATCAGTCGACTCGCTATTCTGGCAACGCGCCCCGCTTTGGCCCGAGCTCGAAGCATTCATCTTCAACGTCGTTCATGGACAGTCTTCAGCCTGGGGCACAGAGCCATGGTATTTCTACTTCTGCAATGCTCTTCCCCGTCTTCTACTAAATCCTCTAACCTACCTCCTCGCCATCCCTGTTGCACTCCGCCAGCCCGCAACCCGGCACTCAGCGCTCTCACTCCTCATTCCATCACTGTCCTTCATGGCACTTTATAGTTTCCAACCGCACAAGGAATGGCGTTTTATCGTTTACATCATTCCCTCTCTTACAGCTGCTGCTGCCCTCGGTGCCGCGTACCTGTGGACACACCGCTCGCGTTCGTTCTTTGCACGCCAAGGCTCCCGTCTTCTGATCTTGTCTACAATGGCCTCATTCCTGCTCTCAAATCTTGTTCTTTTGCCCGCTTCTGCGGCAAATTATCCCGGTGCGAAGGCTTTGAATGCTTTACACCACTATCATTATGTGAAACATATATCTGGAGAGGATACTCATGTTTACCTTGGCAACCTTGTTTGTCAAACGGGTGTTACCCGGTTCCTGCAACATCCCAATACCGAAAATCACCAGTGGGTATACGATAAGACCGAAGACGAAATAACTAAGTCTAAGGCTCTATTTTGGGATAAATTTGAGTATGTGCTTGTTGAGGCTTCTGCAGAGCCCGAGTACGTGGATAAAGATGAAATGCGCCTTCGTGTTGCACTTCCTGGTTCTCAGTGGGAGACCATTGAGGTTATTGAGGGCTTTGCGGGATTTTCGATTATTAGGCCCGGGGAGCCGGCTGTGGGAAGTGCTGAGCGGTGGGTTGTGTCTTTGATTGGTGGAAAGTCTGCTGTTGAATTATTTGAGTATGTTCGAGAGACGGCGAGGAAGTTTTTGCTCAAGGGTTGGTGGGTTGAACTGAAGATGAAGCCGAGAGTTAAGGTTCTGAAGCGGTTGAGACGTTCCACTATAGACTCTTGAAGGTAGATCTCAGCAAGTCCCAAATAATGAAAATTTGATTGCACTTCAGTTAATTCGTTGATACATATACCCAGGTAGTAAAGGGTAGGCAGGGAACTTAATATCAAATGCACGAAGCATAGATTGTACATTACGTATAGGAATATCTCCCATGCAGTGATGGAAATCTTTCCAAGATCTTACGAGACGTATCAATAGGTCATGGCCACAGCCATACATCAAAGAAGGTACACGCGAAACAGGGTATTATGTATCATGATAGATCTCCGCTTGGCCTCTCAAAGCCCAGAGGAAAATAAACATGGTGATTTCGAATCACCTACAAACCACCAGGAGGACCCTCCAGCCTCGACATGCGAGACTCCAGCTCACGCACCCAAGGCTCAACAGTCTCAACATTCGAGCGCAGCACCGACTCGCTTTGACTCATCTTCTCCTCGACAGCCGTAAGACCCTCACGCCATTGCTCAATCTCAGAAGACATTTCCGCATGTCTCTTCTCCAACTCGTTCAACGAGTCTGCCGCATGGGCAGCACCCGAATGACAGGCGCGCAAAGAGCGCAGACGCTCTAAAACACTGGGAAGAAGAGGGTGCAGAGACTGGATGGTCGGGAGGGTGGCGTACAGAGCGTGTATCTTAGCGGTATGCTCATCGTCAGCGGGAGAAGAGCCGTCAGCACCTGGCGTAACGGGATCTTCTGGGCCTGTAGAGGCGACACGGGCTGTTTGTGAGGATTTGGTATCTGCTGCGCGCCTGCGGGCTGAAGCCAGGGCCTCAGCATCTGTTGTTAACTTACGCACGCGAGATGAAAGTGCTTCGAGGTGTGGGGTTGTCATTCCAGGTGCGACACCCGGAGTTCCAGATGCTGGGTTAGTTCCCACAAGGAGAGCAGTTAGAGCACCGAGATGCGAGGTCAGTTGGCCGAGAGCGGGAAGAACAGGCTGTAAAGCGGGCTCACGGAGCCCGTCTCCAACGAACGGGTTGGAGGCGCTCGAGATTCCCATAGATGCTTCAAGAAGCGCTAATCGGCTTTCGAATGCTGCCGCGTGAGAAAGGATCCCGGCTGAGGGCAAGGCTGCTTGTGTCTGTGCAGTAACAGCCGTGGGACCGTCAGGCTGGGACTGTGATTGTTTCTGAGCGTCGGGTTGCTTGGCCAATGAATTTGATCCAAGTTTTTGTGTAAGCAAAGCAGCAGCCGAGTAAGAAGCGTTTGGAACACCCCGCGATGAAGCGTGCAGATTATCCAATGCCCGACTCAGCTCCGCTACACCGTCACCCAAGGCCCCTCCCTCTTGAGATGTCTCTGCAGCCATACTATCCACAACAGTGTTTTCAGACGTCGACTTATTCGCCATCTCCATTTTCAGGTCCTCCACTTCTCGTCGCAGACGAGCCAGTCGCCGCTCCATCGACTCGTCCTCGCTGTCACTTAGATCTCCGACCTCTTCCGTGCCGTCATCGCGTCTCCGTCGTCGGCGCTGGCTTTTTTCCTTGCTGCGATATGCTTGGCGTTTCATTGCGATATTATCCGAGAAGTTGGCGTCGCGGGCGTCGACTGCGGCTCCCATGAAGTGTGCGCGCGCCTGGTCTGCGTTGACTGCTTCACGGTCGATATCGGAGTTGTAACCCGCATCGTCATGGTCGAAATCTGTGCGGATGGTCGCTGTCTGAGCTCGGGATATTAATGAATAGCTTGAAGGTATGTTATTACATCGGTTTATGCGGACTCACGGGGACTGTTGATGCTTCGTCAGTCAGGTCAGGGGTCTCATAGATATCCGGAGCAGGGTCCTATACGTTATTAGTTTTCTGTCCTAAGATAATTGTAGAGTATTTGACGTACTAAGTCTGGAAGACCGGCGTATTTCTTGTTGAAAGCCATGATTGTGAATTGGGCGTGTAGGTCAACAACGCGATCTACTATAGCTGCCCGCGATGGATAAAGTCCGCCTTTGATGCCTTAAAGCCTTAAATCTTTGTATCCTGAAACATCAGGCATATATGACATAATCTTACTCAGCATGCACGTGTCAGCCTCGGGAATAGCACATGCTCAAGAAAAGAGCGAGTTGTATAGAGAGGAAAAGATCAACATATATTGTTGCTACTCTATATATTCTCTGATTTACCTTCTAAATTCCCAACCTTTATCTGTTGTTCTGGTACCTGCTTCTAAAACCATCAACTCAAGCTACAATCTTACCCCCCACCACCCCGCATCCCTAGCTCTGCTCTACTAGCTCTACTACAAAATGGCCGCCCCCGCCGATATCACAATCAAGAACCTCAATGGGCAGTGGGTGATGGTAGGTTCAAGGCATTGAAAGGCCACATAACCATACGAAACCCGGAAAGAAAGAATACATTAGATGGCTGACATTTGTGCAACAGGACGCCACTCTGTCCGACCCCACTGATCCCATCCTATCTCTGGTACGTGCCATTCCCCTTATTCTTACACAATGTTGCACGGATTCCAAATAAGGGCATCATACCAATGAACGGGCATATCTCATACGCTTGGGAAGACGGTTGAACTAACAAGCCAATAGCAAGGCATGAGCTGGTTCCTCCGTAAAGCCCTCCCATACGCTACCGTGACCCTGCACGTGCACGAGTATACTGACTCCGCCGACCCGCTGGTCTATCACATCGATATCGATCAGGTCATTACTGGCGGTATCTCAGGTAGCAAAGAGTCACGCACTTTGGATTGGAATGGGCGCGATCACGTTGATAACATCTTTGGCACAATTCATGGTCGCTCGCGCATGTTCCGTGGCGCTAAGGGGGACGATGGCAAGGTCCGCCCGGCTCTTGATGTGCAGACTAAGGTCGGAGAGACCGAAGCCGATGCTAAGGTGCAGAAGTTCCTGCGTGGTGAGATCCTAATTGATGGATCAGCGAGTGACGGATTCGTCGTGGACGACGAGGGCGCGGAGTTTGGAGAAGGCGAGGGCCTTTGGGTGCAGAGTTATGTTATGAACCAGGATTCTGGGTGGACTGCTGAGCAGGTATGTGGTTGTTGGTCTATTCTCTGATGAGTTCACTGCTGACTTTCTAGGTCTGGGGATTCGAGCTTGTTGATGGAGAGCGACGTTACACTCGTCGTGTTGCTGTTGCCAAGGGTAGTCAGTACGTGTTGGGACGCTTGGTATACACTTTCCAGGAGCGACGAGCTGAGTAGAGGAATGTTTTGAACTTTTTGCATGGGCTTCTGCAAGATATCCTCATTTCTAATATCATAGTGGTTCGTAAGAAGAAATTCAAATCTCCTTCCAGGTAATCTTCCACGATCTACCGTGTTTTGACTTTTATGTAAAAGGAGGTTGAAGAATGAGGCTGAATTTTTTCAGACATAAGTACATTTTGAAAATGAAAGGGCAAAGATCATAGTCATGAAACGATGAAGCATCGTCACATTTTATAAAAAAGACGTCAATGAAATTAAGAGTGAGTGGGCATGACAACGGTAGCCTTGGTGCTAACGGCATCCTCGCTCCTCCACAAGCTGGTGACAGTCTTCTGCTGAGTGTAGAACTGCAAGCCCGGCTTGCCGTAGAAGGTGTTAGCACCGCCACCAGCGATACTCTTCTTGTTACCGGTGAAAGAGAACATGGGCAATGGCACAGGGATGGGGACGTTAATGCCCAACTGACCAGCCTCGATGTCCTTCTGAAAGCGAGAGGCGGTGGAGCCAGATTTAGTGAAAATGGCGGCACCGTTACCGTACTCGTTGGCATTGATGGTGTTGATAGCATCGTCAAGGGTCTCGACGTTCAGACAGACAAGGACAGGGCCGAAGATCTCTTCTTTGTAGCACTTCATGTCGGGTGTGACATTGGTGATGATGGTAGGGCCGATGAAATTACCGTTGGGGTACTTCTCGGGCTTGCAGCCTCGGCCATCCAATAGAATAGTGGCACCCTCTGCCTCAGCGCTAGCAATCAGATCCTCAATACGCTTCTTGCTCTCGGGGCTAATAACAGGACCAAGGTCGGCACCCTCCTCGAAGCCACCGTTCACGTTAAGAGCCTTAGCGCGTTCGGCGATTTCTGGCAACCACTCCTTGGTCTCGCCAACCATTACGACAGTGCTGAGGGCCATGCAGCGCTGGCCAGCAGCACCGAAGGCAGCACCAGTAATGGCGTTCAGAGCCTGGTTCTTGTTGCAGTCAGGTAAGACGGCAGCGTGGTTCTTAGCGCCGAGGTTGGCCTGGACACGCTTGCCATTGGCAGAACCACGAGTGTAGATGTACTCTCCAGCACGATTGCTACCGACGAAGCTGATGGCCTTGATTGCAGGCTCATCGAGGATGAAGTCCACAGTGGGGGCAGTTCCATGCACAATGTTAATGACACCAGGAGGGAAGCCGGCCTCCCTGGCTAACTCAGCAAGGATCATCGCAGCACCGGGGTCACGCTCGGAAGGCTTCATGACCAAGCAGTTGCCAGTAACAGTGGCAACGGGAATACACCACAGTGGAATCATAGCAGGGAAGTCTTATCAAACAGTCAGTGATTAGTTGAATTGACCGCCCTTGAATATTCCAAACTCACTAAAAGGGCAGATAGCGGCGACAACACCGAGGGGCTCGCGGTAGCTACGGGTCTCCATGTCTTTGGCGACCTCCAGAACCTCGCCGGTCATCTGGGTAGTGATACCGCAGGCCGTCTCGGCAACCTGCAAACCACGGAGAACATCACCCTTGGCATCAGCAAAGGTCTTGCCCTGCTCCAGGGTGATAGAAGCAGCCAGGCGGTCCCAGTTATCACGGATCAAGCTGGTGAACTTAAACATAATCTGCTGCCTGGCCATTATACTGGTCGCCCGCCAAGCGGGGAAGGCCTTCTCGGCGGACGCAACGGCGGCTTTCAGCTCCTCATTGGTGCTCTGCGGCACGCGAGTGATAAGGTTGTTAGTAGCAGGGTCATGGAGATCAATCCATGTAGTCGCCTTGGAAGTGGTGAACTCGTTATCAAGGAAGTTTGTGGTGTCGATAGGGGCAGCAATGGGGGTGTGGTCTGTCGGGTATGACGTTGCAGTTGTAGCAGCTGAGGTAGTAGAAGGAGCGAGCTGCTGGGCAGTAGCATGCAGCCTGCGTACGGTAGACAAGCTTGAGAGGTATGAAGCAGCTCCACGAGATGCCAGTCTGGCGGCGGGTGTAGCAGCGGTCAAGGCTCGGCTACTCGAGGCAGCGCGAGCAACCGCAGGCGTGCGGGGAACAGACCGAAGAGCGGGGATGGAACGAGCCAGTGACCGGCGGGCGGCCATGATGAATTGAAGCGATGAAAGGCAATTCAAGAGATTGATATCTCAAGGGAAAAAAAACCTTTGGAATGTAATGAAAGGAGAATGCTGAGTATGTGGCAAAAGAAGTCTATAAAGGTGGGATAGCTATGTTATGAATTACCCCGAGGTCAACCGGCCGCCATCGGATTTCCCCACAAACGACCGCTCATTGCCTTAGTCAACGATAAGCTCCAATCTCGGCCATTTCTACCAATCACAGCTACCAGATGTATAGTACAAATCGCCGAAAGGTACCACAATCAATGCGCAGCTTAAGTACTTGCCATAAATGGGTCTAGCTTACACTTATTGGGTCACTCAAAATGTTATGTAAAATGAATCAAAACTTGGCATTTGAACGACGAAATTGGGGAATCTGGGACTAAAATAGTCATACCAGGGATAAGAGATGGACACTTTGAAAAGTATACCGGTGAGAATCTCCAACTGGCTAAGGTACACAGGTACACATGTCACAAAAGATAATAAAGAACAAGGGAATAAAATGAACCAACTCGATAGTTATACGGCCTCGATGATTTGAATTTGGGGATTGGATTCTTTTGTCCACACAGCCTCCCTTTTACTCAGCCGAGGAGCGGGTGGTGCGCTTGGTAGCACCGCTCTTGCCGGTGTCGGCAGAGGAGCTGGTGGCCTCACTGTTCTTCTCCTTACCAGCGTTGACAGCCTGCTTGCCCTTCTTCTCGGAAGCAGGGGCAGGGCTGCTGGAGCCAATGGCACCCACAATGATGAGAATGGAAGTCAGCAGAAGGGCGACTAGACCACCGGCAACCTCAGGAGCGGTCTTGACAGCGTGGATAGGATCCTCCTTGGCCAGGTGAACAAACTGGTTGACCTTCTGGCGGACAAAATTGACGGGGTCCTCCTGGAAAGTAGTGGTAAGACCGGGGGCGGGGGCCTCAGGCTCGGGCTGGGAGGCCTTCTCCTCAGCCTCCTCAATAGCGACCTTGACGTCGAAGGTCTCCTGGCGGAGCTTCTCAGCGTCCTCAACTGAGTGACCAATGTAGATGTTGTCAAACAGGATATCATTTTGCATGGTCCAAATCTCGAAACCAATGGCACCCATGGGCTCTAGGTTCGAGGGAGTCTTGTCCTCGAAGTAGGCGGGGTTGGCAATCTTGCGGGGGGCCCAAGGACCCTTGTACTTAGGGTTGTCAATCAGAGGAGCGGACCACTTGCCCTTGTAGTCGGGGTTCTTCTTCATGGGGCGAGTCCACTCGCCGCAGCCAGAGACATCAGCACACTTGGGGTTGGGAACAGTGGGAGGAACCCAGTCACCATCCTCCTCGTCATCCCAGTCCTCGGGCTTCTCGGCCTCCGGGTCTCCAATGCTGGTGGGCTCATCCTCGAGCCAGTCCTCGGGCTTCTCAGCCTCCTCATCAAGAATCTCGAAAGGTGCCTCCTCATCCCAGTCCGCAGGCTTGGAAGCCTCGGGGTCAGCGATCTGAACCTCGTCGACCCAGTCAGCGGGCTTCTTGTCCTTGGGGTCATCGATCTCCTTCTCGGGGTTGACGGCAGGAGCAAAGTCTTCCAGAAGGCTGCCCTCCTTGACGGACTCGCCATTGACTAGAATCTCGAAGGTCTGATCAGGCTTAACGATCAGAGTGTAAAGGGAGGTGACCTTGGAGGTACGGGCGACGGGGGGAGTCTTCAGGTGCTTCTCCTCGTACTCGCCGGTCTTGGGGTTCTTGTGGCGGAAGATGAAGTGAACCTAAGGGAGATAGATTAGCACGTGATGAAATTGAACAGTTTGGAGTCCTTCCAATCGTACCTTGTTCGTGGCACCGCACTTGTCGGGACCGAACATGATCACGTAGGGAGTTCCATTGGAGAACTCCTCCTGGTGGAGCTTCTTGTTCTCCTGGAGGAGCTTCAGGTAGGCACCACCACAGACCAGAGAGTTCTGGGGCTTGACCTCATACTGGACCACGAGGGTCTTGCCCTTGTTATCGATTTTCTTGGGGAACTTAGCGGAAATGGCGTGGTGTGCCGCCGGGTTCTTGACAACAAGACCCTTGTCGCCTTCGATGCCCTTGAAGACGGTAGGCTCCTCGACAGCCCACTCACCGACGTAGGCCCAGTCCTCCTCAGACTTGGGGTCATCTTTCTTGGCGCTGGAGGGCTTCCACCGGGTCTCCCAGTCGTCAGTGAACTGCTCCAGGAAAGGAGCCTTGAGGCTGGTGGGCTTTTATAAAATTAGAGTCTGAAAGTCAATTGAGTGGGGAGATGAGGTGAGGTGGGCATACAGTGAAAGTGGGCTTCTCAATGCTAACGGCAGCGTTGGGGACAGCTTCAGCCTCCTCAGCATGGGCCACACCCATAAGGGTGGCCGAGGAGACCAGAGCCGTGAATGCGGTGTCGAAACGCATGTTGAAAGAACCAACACGGGACAAAGAAACACAGGTAAAGTGGGTGGAAGAAAAAGGTACAAGAAAGAAAAAGCGGAGGTTATATAGAAGAATGGAGAAGGGTCGAAGGTCCAGGTGGCCTCTTCCATGCTCCCCAATCGGGACTAGCCACGGCTAAGGTCCAGGAACAATACATATGAACAATGCATATGATTATATCTTTTAATTACTTTTTACTTGGAGAAAATCTTCTTCAAGACTTTGGAATTTCAATTAATCACATATTTGATCTTTTATATAATGTAACAATCATTCCTACAGTATTCTGAGCTTTACCTATCAACACTCACCGACGCAGAAATGATGTGCTTGGTGCAAAACCCGCGGAGCTGCAGAATCAACCCCACCTAATTGGATGTGTCCGTTACACACTTCTTCTCCCACTTCAGCTGACCACGTCTCCCTTTCCACTGTAAGTAACTTGTCTACTGCACCTCAATTGAAGATTCTAGTCCAGTTTCGATTCCCCCTTATCCCTTTCACGGCCTCCCTACCAAACCCTGTGTGCTGACTCCCCTCAGCTTCACCATGTGCGGCGATGACCACAAGGCCGTCGAGGCCGTCAACAATGACCATTTGGTACAATCCGATGATCCCGAACACCCGGCGAATCTGATTCCGGAGCTTTGCCGTCGATTCTACACCTGGGGATGGGTGACTGGCACTGGTGGTGGCGTAGGTTTTTTTTCTTTCCATTTCCCCGCACTTATTGTGCCAATGTCCCCACTGAAGGCTAAATCGCAAATAGACCTCCATTCGCCATGGCGATCACATCTTCATTGCCCCTTCAGGTGTCCAGAAGGAGATGATGAAGTCTGAGAACATTTTCGTGGTTCAATGGCCCACCAAGAAGTACCCCGCTGAAGAGCGCAACTATATCCGAAAGCCTCTCAACTTGAACCCTTCCGCCTGCACTCCGCTGTTCTTGACAGCTTTTGAGCATGGAGCAGGCTGTTGCATCCACACTCACTCGCAATGGGCTGTTTTGGTGACCTTGTTGGTGGAGCGCGAGAAGGGGCCTGATGCGTGCTTCGAGATCAACAACATCGAGCAAATCAAGGGTATTCCCCGTGGCAAGGGCAAGGGTATGCTCGGGTTCTTCGATACTCTCAGCATCCCCATCATTGAGAACACTGCCTTTGAGGAGGATCTCACCGGCGGCCTGGAAGCTGCGATGAACAAGTACCCCGACACCTATGCAGTGCTCGTGCGCAGGCATGGAATGTAAGCATTGGCCTCAAGACTTTGTCACAAGTAAAGGTATTCGGGAACTGATCCGCTAATATGGCTATAGCTATGTCTGGGGCGACAACGTCGCCAAGGCCAAGACCCAGTGTGAGTCTCTCGACTACCTGTTCCAGCTGGCTGTCGAAATGCACAAGTTGGGATTGCCATGGGTCAAATAGACACTCGTGCCATTAATGACACACGAAGCACTGGTACAGAAGCGATAATGCAGGTAGCATATATATATATATATTGGCCAGTCCAGAGGAGCCCTAAATGAGATGGTAAGACGTGTCTGTCGCGACCTGTGTAGTCAGATGTGTAGTAAAGATATTCCTAAGTCAATGGATCTCAGGTCAAAGGCCCAAACTTCATTGTAAACGTAAACGATGTAGGTTGAGAAACAAAGAACAAAAAAGGCGAAGATCAATTGCAAAGTTGAAGGAAGTTTCAGGAAACAAACGTAGAGCGTGGGACAACAACACCTTGTGGGCTGAAGCGGGATCCCGTGAGTGACTAAGAAGTGCGGATCACCTCCACTCTCTCCAACTGCCAGCTTCCCACTTACCACAAACCATCTGAGCTTTGAAACACTCCTTGACCCAACATTGATGCCGAATTTCTGAGTCGCTTCCCTAGCACCTTTCTTCTATTTTGGTTCTTCAATCTCATCGACAAATAATGGACCTCGATAATAGCGACTCCCCGTGGGGCGGTAGGCAGTCATGGATCCCGCTGTTTGGATTACGATCTAATCTAGATTACAGACGAGCCTTCGTCGTTCGCGGCTAGCCATGCCACCTCGAAGTCGGATACCAAAGAAGATAGTACGTCCAATTCCTCCAACCTCTCCGTCAGTCACTCGCTAATACCCTGCCTACTCCTTACAGCTCCAGCTCCCGCTCCCGTTGCCGCTCATCCCGCACTCTCCGAAAGCAGGGCCGAGGTTCGTACACCTGGAAGACGAGGCCCACGGGGCACTCGCAAAATAAGCGCACAAGCGACACGATTGGAGGCTGTTGATGATACCGTCGACCCGCTTGGTCCTCTGGCCGAAGCACCACTTGAGACCAGTGCGACACCTACCGATGAAGCTCCGGCGCCGCCCCAGAAAGAATCACTTGCGCGCAGCCCTCAGCCGCCTTCAACATTTTCGCAAATCTCAGGTGCTGGCAATTTGGCCGATCCAATTAGCTTAGAGGAGGATGGTAGCGGATTCCGAGGACCTCCGCCTGTGCAACCTGCGGCCGATGCACCGGGACCAAAGAGACAGACACAGCCTAGCATGAGCGTGGAACAGGCCGCGAAGCCGACATTTGAGATTTCTGTCGGTGACCCACACAAAGTGGGCGACCTGACTAGCAGTCACATTGTTTACCAGATTCGGACAAAGGTACGCGCTTCCTATTGAAGCAGGATAATATAGTGAAAAACTCACCATGACTTAGACAACATCTAAAGCATACCGCCAACCTGAGTTTGCTGTCAGCCGCCGATACCGCGATTTTCTTTGGCTCTATAACTCCATGCACAACAACAACCCCGGAGTGGTTGTTGCTCCTCCGCCAGAGAAGCAGGCTGTTGGTCGGTTTGATACCAACTTTGTCGAGTCCCGAAGGGCTGCTTTGGAGCGCATGTTGAATAAAATTGCTAGCCATCCGACTCTCCAGCAAGATGGTGATTTGAAGATCTTCCTTGAAAGTGAGGCTTTCAATGTCGATGTCAAGAATAAAGAGAACCGAGAACCCGACCTGGGCCAAAACAAGGGCATGTTCGGCTCCTTTGGCCTCTCTGTAGGTGGAGGGAGCAAGTTTGTGGAACATGACGACGTAAGTTCAACCATCGGGTCTTTGGGCCAGTTTACTAAATTGTAAGCAGTGGTTCCACGACCGAAAGGTCTACTTGGACGCATTAGAGAATCAACTGAAGGCGCTCCTGAAATCCATGGATACTGTTGTTGCGCAACGAAAGGGCCTTGCCGAAGCCGCAGGCGACTTTTCGGCCTCACTCCATGCACTCTCCGCGGTCGAGCTCTCACCCGCGTTGTCCTCGCCTTTGGATGGCCTGTCAGAGCTTCAGTATCGAATTCGCGAGCTTTACGAACGCCAAGCCCAACAGGATGTTTTAACACTGGGAATCACTATTGATGAGTACATCCGCCTGATCGGCAGTGTTAAGACAGCCTTTGGACAACGACAAAAAGCCTTCCACAGCTGGCATTCCGCCGAGTCTGACCTTCAAAAACGCAAGAACACCCAGGAAAAGATCCTTCGCCAAGGCAAAACCCAGCAAGATCGGTTGAACCAAGTCAACGCCGACGTTGCCGATGCTGAGCGCAAGGTACACCAGACGCGATTGCTATTCGATGATATGGGTCGCCTGATGCGGAGTGAGTTGCAACGGTTTGAGAAAGAGAAGGTAGAGGATTTCAAGTCTGGTGTCGAGACATTCTTGGAAAGCGCCGTAGAAGCTCAGAAGGAGGTAGGTTTCCTTTGACATTCCTGCACTCTTCCGTTACTAACCAGGATCTCATAGTTGATCGAGTTGTGGGAAACATTCCTCTTACGTCTTGACGCTGGAGAAGATGGTCTGCCTTACTACGTACCACCTTCGTCTGGCGACGCCGGCGAGGAAGTCCCGGATTCTTCATCAAACGTTGCAAACTCCACAGCGGCCGATGATGAAGAGTAATGCGATCCGCGTGTATATCCCTAGGCCTTTGATGCCCCAACCGGAGCTGGTTCACGCATAGTCCAGCTCCATCTTATACTCCCAATGGAATTTCTTTGTTCGCCATTTGTCTCTTCGCGTGGCGCACTCAGCCAGCTGTTCTTTTTGTCTCGCATTCTGAATACCACCCGCGCATTGTAGTAGATACTAAATCAAATGATTTATTCATTCACAGAACTGTATGCCACAACACGCTGGCTCTAACAGTTTATGAAGACTTGTAGGGATCTTTCAGTTGGAGTAAATAGTCTGCTCCATGTTACCATTCACGAACTATGACTCCATCTATGGGCATTATTGATCATCGCGACTACTCAGAGGAAGGAAATCCTGGGTTGGGGTCTAAGCTATGTAAGATCCTGCACATGTGCTCAAAGTACATATGGTAACCACATGCAGAGAGTTTCAGCGGAGAGCGAGCCCACATGCATATATCTCATGTTCAGGCATTTCCAGGGCTAAATATTTCTAGTTCACTACGTATTGACATTCTGGCTTGACATATTTTACATCTGGTCCCAACAACCGGTATAGAACTGTTACTTTTTTGCACCCTCGGTGACTTTCTAAGGATCTTCTCGTCTGTTTTTGAATTTAAGTGGTTGTCTTTGAACATAATCCTATTGATTACATTCGTTCCATCATAGTCCATGTAATATAATGTTGTAGCTGCAGACTACACCGCTAAGCCTATCTTATGTAGCCAGGGGTACACATCCAAGGCGGTTCTGTCCAGAAGGCTACGAAAGTTGCAAGTTTATTATAACCTTGGAAGAGAGCACATGAGCTGCACATATGTCATTAATACCACTTTCCGAGTTTAAATTTCACCACGTGCAGGGGCCCTGTCGGAGGATTGCTTCAAATATTGATATCCGACCTTACATATGGTCCCAATATTTACTTCAGGACATTACGGCGTGTGAGGGCACCGAGTTCTACATGGGGAAGGTATGTTCAAAAACTGTGGAATTGATAGTTTAAGATCTACAAAATAGAGTATGAGCTCGCGCAAGTGGTCATCCGACGAAATTTGACAACTGCAGCAGCCTAAAGGATTTCTAACCGGCAAGTAATTCCGGCTCCCTTTGACGCGTTTACTAACAACGTATCCATTTCAGGCACTATGGATCAAGTTCAATGTTGTAGGACATACTTTTAGAGTAATTATACAGTTCCTCTGGGAGCTGTAGTTCTTGAGGGTCATCGGCGCTGGGGTTCCATCTCACGACGGGTAACACGACGTATGGCTTTCCAAATTAGCGTCTAGTGTTGAAAATGCCGCTGCTTTCCTTCCTGTCTGAGTGGTATTTAGTGTGAACAAGACTAATCGTAGCTGCACCGTAGAATATGAGCACAATGGCGTCATGTTATTCAAGGTTCTTTCCTAGGCTGTCGAAAAGCAGAGAGATGGAAGTGCAGCTGCCCACTTCCAACAACTTGGTCTCTTTTGTACTTGTTAATGTCATTGTGAAACATTACCTCTCATTGTTCCCATCTAGTTGAGCAATCTTGTTTGCAAAATGAAGAAGAGTACTGACCTTCTTCAGGTTGGACGTTCCATCGTCCTATTCTCGGGGAGTCGGAGTCGCAGCAAGAAGCATGGGAAAAGTAAGTACTACCATTTATTACGACCAAAGTTCCCAGTCAAAAGAGGGATATAGGAAGTATCATGCATGGCCTTGACTGACTTTGCATGCATAGATGAGAACACAGTGTCTCTCAGTGCGTATTGCAGATCATCATCGAGGCAAGTGATTATCAAACGGCTTTCAGAGGGCACGCCCCAGTGACGACTTTACACAATATGATGCTCAGCTCCGGCTGACATTGCATGCATCGCTTAAAATAGTGGCTCTCAGTGCACGAAGCAGGTCATCATTGAGGCAATAGTTACAACTTTCCAAAGGACATCACACAATGACAATAACAGTGATGAGGCTCAGCACCTGCGTCTGGCTTTCTGTATGCATCAAGTAGGGTCACATTGTCTTCTGGCTTATGTTGTCCTGGTGGAATGTCAGCATATTGGGTTCCATATATCTAGGAGAGACAGAAAACAGCTTGCAGAATATTTGCTGTAGATTAACTCCTCGCTCGTGCTAGTCTCATAAGCCACTGGCAATGATGAACAGCTAACCAACATGTATTCTGACACGATCCCAAAGATGATTTTATTCTCACTGTATTCTGTATTAGCAGGGCGTAGAGGAGGGATGGAGAGAAGAGAGGAGATGATACAAAATCCAAATCAAAAGAGAAAAGAAAAGATTTCAACAATTGAACTACATCGCCGAGACTGATTTGGAAGCCGATCACTAAAGTGGAAATATTAATGTCGTCATTCGGTGGCATAAACTACAGTCATCCAGGTGCTATTACTTTAATCTTACAGGGCTGGACTGGTGGAGGCATGATCGGTTTGTTAATTTTGACATGCTCAACCCAAAACAAGAAGATACCTCTGACTAGCTCATGAGGAAACCTCAAAGGTTCAGTATAGCTAATCTCGGTCATCATTCCCGGTCACCGAAGAGCAGTTGCTCTACAAACTCCTAGATCTCGATATCGCCCATTTTGATAATGTATCAGAGGTCTCTGTTCAGGTCCCAGATGACCCTCTTCTAGAGATTCAGATTAGCTCAAATCTGTTACTTTCTGAAGGCCTGGGCCTCTTCTTTGTTTTCTCTAGCTCCGATACTATTAAATTCGATGCGCCATATGTTGGTGAGTGGAGTGACACGGCCAACAATACAGTCCGGGTGAACTCTACACCTGATACGGCCTCGTTCGAGCACAATCTTGATCAGAATTTGAACCCATTGGAGTTAAGTAGAGTACAGAGGCTTTTGCTTCTGGTACATTTACCCGGCTATTATTGGACTTGTGGCTTGACTACCATGCGGTATACTGCTGAGCTTATTAAGGAGCATTGGGACTTTAGTTTGCAGGCTATGAATAGTCTGTGTCTTGGAGATGTGGATCAGGCCGTCTCATACCTCTTGGACTCTTTGTAAAAGTTGAAGGTTTCAGTCTCAGTCTACGAGGCTAGAGCTTTGTCCCACAAAGTGGTTGCCCGTTTCGAAACGAAGGCTATATGGATACCAGGAAAATAAAATAAATGGATTTGATGCACAGGAAAACAGATATGTATAATGTACAAGATAGGTGACACACAATAAGATCCCAAAACTCCTGACCAATGGTCTTACACTCGTCCTTCCAACTGTCTCAGGAGGGCAAGATTCTCTCCTCACCACTTCTTCTTCTTCTCTGGAGGGGGCGCCTCCTCTTGTCCAAAGGAACTAATCAAGTCCAACAGATTATCCTCTTCCTCCTGGTCCGCCTTCTCTTGTGCCTTAGCAGCGTCCTCCGCAGCCTTAGCAGCAGCAGGATCGGCCTCAGCAGCAGGGGCGCTAGCATCGAAGCTCCGACCGAAACGCGCACGGAAAGCTGCAAGTCGACCAGCCTCGTCATCCTCCACATTCATCAGCTTGCTGCTAGACGGGTTCCACAGGAGCGAGTTACGGGTATCGCGCGTGGAGCGGTACACAGGTGCGGGCGAGGTCGTGCGGTGGGTAAAAGCACTACCGTCGGAGAGCGTGATGAGCTGGGTGAAAGTGTAGGGACGCTTAGGGCGGCGGAGCAGGGTAGCGTGTCGGCATTGCGAGCAGATGAAGGATGTAGTCTTGGATTGGGTGGAGTTGATTTGGCTGGAGGGGAGGATGGTGCTTGTTGAGCTGGATATTGTGGCCGCGGTGCGGCGGAGGGTGGTGTGCATTGACATTGTCTTAGAGGTGCTGCGCTGCAGCTGGTGACCTGGGTCGGTTCGAAATCAATAACAGAATTCGCCTCCTGAGTGGTGTATGCGGTGGGCTTGGAAGCAATTGGAAGAGGAGAGGGAGGATGAAGTTGATGCTATACAACTTGCTGGGGAAGAGAAATTATCGCGGGTTATGTAAGCGGCCCGGGATTTTTGCGACTTCCACAGTTTGGAGGAAACTTGCTTGTAGTGAGACTTGCAGCTTGGTCTTTGGCATGAATCGACTATTGTTATAGCCTTTCTCGTATTTTTGATCTTTCTGTGTGATCCTCCTGCGTGCCGAGAGGCATTAATATCCCGTTCCATCGGCGACATGAAGCTATCGGTTCCGCGACTTGCGGCCCGGGGAGCCCGCGGAGGTAAGTCTGGCTACTTGTTTTTCATGGATATTCCCTAATTCTATTTAGGCTCTTCACACACTGGAAACTCAATATACACACCATCGCGCAGTCTGTCATCTTTGCAAACTTTATCCGCGCGGCCAACCCTCAAGCACAATGCAACCTGCTCCCGACGAGATATCACCAATGCTGCAACTCAATCAACACCTACAAATGAACCAGCACAACCCTCAACGACTAATACATCCAATAAAAACGCCCTCACATCCTCAATATCCGAACATGTCCGCCTTCTCATGCGCCGAGTTCCCTACCCCGTCGCCATAATCACAGCAACAGATCCCACCGGACCTCAAGGCGCATCCTCATTCCGTGGCATGACAGTCTCCTCATTTAATACTGTCACCCTCACACCACACCCGATCATCTCATTCAACGTGCGCAGACCATCAGAGACATTAAACGCTCTACTCGCCTCCCGAAGATTCCTAGTTCATCTACTCGCCCCAGGACCAGCAACCGCTACACTTGCAAGAGATTTCTCGAAGGGCAACAGCACGCTTTCGAGTATCTTGAGCGGACATGGTGATTTTGAGTTTGGGCCGTTGGATGTGTCTACTGGCGCCCCGGGCTCAGAATCTGAGAACCCTCTTCCTATTTTGAGGAGACGGGGTGGTTCGAATGAATTAAAGAGCAATGACAGGATTGATTTTCCGTTCGTGCTTGAATGTACTCTTCACCCGCAGAGGATCGATGTGCAGGACCACTCGATTGTTCTGGGGACTGTCGTTCGCGCGGTTGAGGGTGTAGGTGCTGCGCAAGATATTGTCGATGAGCATTCGGCGGAGCGGTTATGCTTGTCGTATGCCAATACTAAGTTTTGGAAGATGGGGAATGAGATTTAAGTTGGAGTGGTATTGAATATAGAACATGTTGGTTTCAGTTATGCTGCGTTTGGTGGAACGTGGCCCTGTACATTATTAAATCAAATACCACTGTTATCAGCTGGTTTAGCTGGAGCAGCAATTGATGATATAGTAGAATTCCCATCTAGTAGACAACAGAAGCTGTCAATACTAGTGCATAGTACGTGAGAAAATAGGAGTTTTAGTGTAGAGCACCTACCTGGGTATGTACTTGGGCATCTGGGCAGGATGATTTCTTTCATAGCAAGCGAACGCTAAACCTTTTGGTGAGCTTTGACACTAACTACAAACGCAACATTCAAGATGACGATTTACAAGATGGCATGGACTGGTATCAATATTCGTTGATCAAGCTTTTAGTCTTAGGAACAGAACTGCGATTCATTTTACTTCAACCTGGTCTATCAAACCTGTATAATATCGCCGCGAGAAACATGTCCGACAATAGCCAAGAACCTGAGACTGTCGAGAGGTCCATGGATCAGGAGATGAAAAGAAGCCGCAAGACAATGACCACAACCAGGTGTAACACAGGCACAAGAACCAAACATGTTAGACGAGGCATTCAAAAGAGACGCGAAATCGAAGGCCCAATAAGGTAACCGCGCATGAGACTTTGCAGTCATCATATCAGTTAGGATTACCGCTTGACCCTTTTCAATCGCGTGCTGACTTCGGACTGCCACTTCCACTGCCGCTCCCGCTGCCACCGCTACCACTTCCACTTCCGGCTCCGCTACCGCGACTTGCCGCTCGTTGAAAGGGGCTCAACGAAGGGCGGCCAGCCTGGTAAAGAAAACCATTGGTGTCTGAGCCGGCAGGCTGCTTTTCAGACAGTATCTCGGACAGGTCGAACTGAAGAGACGGGAAGTGATTGGGCTCGAACATCTCCGATCCAAACAAGCTGCTGTGGTTGGAGCGGTTTGAGAATGAGCGGTCTCGGTGATTGACTTCCGATCCAAAGTAGGAGTTTCCATTTCCAAGTGGAGAAGTCGGGAATTGAGACATGAACGCGTCGTGGACAGGACTGGTTGGATTCGAGGATGTCGCATGGACTGGAGAAGAGGAAGTCTGCATAGGACTAGACTTGGCTGGAGGAAAGCTGAGCGCCAACAGCGAGCGGCCGTTGGGACCATTGGCAGCCAGGCTGCTTATCTCAGACAGAGGATTGGTTCCAGGCAGATTGCCCTCGGGAGTGAGAGGACCAGAGTCCATGAGCATCTGCTGCTGTTGCTGTTGGATTGACTGCTCGATCGCAGATGCCTGCTGCCAAAGGAGACCAGTGCGCAGTTGGAAATCCTGCACGGATTGGCTGATACTCGCGAATTGCTCGTGGAAGCTGATCTCCATCTTGGCTTGGTCTTGTTCCCGGGCAAACTGCTCAGCCGCACGACGTTCTCGTTCGTTCAGTCCTTGAGCATTAGCGGAGATTATGCGCTCATACTGCTCGTTGACGCGAGTCCGGCGGCCCTGAAGTCGCTCCTTCTTCTGGATACTCAGATTCAATTCTTGCTCCAGCGACGAAATCTGCTGGGCTACAGCAAGGCGAGCCTCCTGCAGCTTCTCCTTGGCGAGATTAAATCGCTCCAATTCCCGATCAAAATCGGCCTTCTGTGCATTCCACTGCTCTACTTCTTCCTCTGGAATGTTCTCCATGCTGTCTAGTTGCAGTTCAAGCGCTGTAGTGGCTTCCTCCGTCTGTCGAATATTACGCTCCAGCTGAAGTGAACGCTGCTTTTGTTTGTTCTCATCGGTACCGCTTTGCAGACGATGATTATAGTTGTCTAGCTCCTTCCGGATTCTCGAAATGAGAAGCTTGTGGTCATTCTTCGTCTTCTTTAGCCGAGAGCGCTTCTCGTTCAGTTTGGCTTCGGCATTGTTGATGGAATTCTTCAGGGTCGTCGAAGGAGAGGAAGGTCTATAGAGTGGCTGTGGAGGCGTCGGTACTGCAGAAACAGCTAATCGATTGGTAAGATTCATGCATGTCCGCAATATTCTACTGCTTGGAGACTCACCTTGTTCTGCGTCAGCTGTCGCGGGAGTCTTGACACTCATGACGCATATTTCCTCATCGGTATCGCTGCGCACAAAAGAACAAGTATAGGCACAGTTTGGGGCAAGACCGGAAATCTCGCCTCGCCATTGTACCATGCTCGGGCCCTTCGAGGGGTCTGACACCCGGAGAATTGTCGCAGTAGCCCAAAGTGCCCCGTTCACGCAAACATAGAACGGTTCCACATCACCTTCTAAGCGGCCGACTTCGCTGGAACTTGCTCCCGTAGAATCCTCACTGAGATCGCCGGCGGCAAACTTGATCGAAGAACTATCCACATCTGTAATCCATACCAATCCGTCATCAAGAGAAACACCCTGAAGATCCTCCTCAGTCATTGTAAGAGCACATGTCGTTTTCGAAGATGCTCTGGAATGTTCGTATTCTCGCATGACAGTGACCTTTGTACTGGCGAGAGCTGCCCAAAACGGTTGGCGACTTCGAACTTGATTGGCTTGTCTCCTGCGTTTCTTGGCCGATGTTAAACGATCCTTGCCGTCCTTGACAAACTGACCATCCGGTCCCATGAGAGAAGAAGAAAGGCTAGCAGCTGACTCGAGCGCAGAATCAGGTTGCCCCTGCGAACCCGCAGAAGCCTCCGTATCCCCACGTTTCCCACCTCGAGGCGGTGCGGGGGCCCTGTTTTTTGCCATCGCGCGTCTTGCCATGGCCGTTCCTGCTTGTGCTAATATATGTACGGCGAGGAGACTCCTCAGCCAACTCGGCGATGTTGATGCCTCGGTACGTCGGAACTCGGCGGGTAGGAGACTCGAATATTGAGAAAGCAGATCCGGGCTGATGAATTTGGCAGAAACGAGATGTCCCACCACAAATTCTTGAATGCCCTTGCTGCGGACGATATGAAGAAGCAGAACAATTCCAACACAGAGACCATTGACCCCGCCGTTCTTTCCGGATCCTCCACCTCCTAACGTGATTGCGACCTGGACGTGAGCGAGATCGATTGCGAAATTCTGTGCCCAGGTCCACATGAAGAGACCCCAGAAGAGTAGACAGAACGTATCCATGGCCATCATCGTCCCTAGAGATGGTGTACCGGCGGGACCCTGAAATATGTCGAAGTTGGCAGACAGAGATCCGGCGGCGGCGCCACTGGGAGGCATAAAAGTCAAGGAGGCGAACAAGAACTGAACGAGCGTGAGGACCATCGGCGGAAGTTGTAGCAGAAAAATCAGAATGGCGATTGTGTCGTACATGGGGCAGGACTTGAGGATAGTGGACGCGAATTGAAGCGGGTTAATAGAGGCGTTTGACCCCGATCTTTTTCCAGGGCCATTGCGAGAACCCGTTCCTGCCATGCTACCATTCTGCGGCGCAGTATTGTTAGCCTGGCCCAATGCCACATCCACACCCTTGCTTTGTCCATTTGCCATCACACGGCCATTGCCATCCGACTTCGACCCATCCGAACCTTTGACGCCGGTTACTGGGGAGGTTACCGCGGTATCGCTAGACGAACGATGGGCGGACAGGTCGAGAGGCGCGGAGGCAGCCGCGGAAGCAGCGCCGTTGGCGTGCGTGCCGTTGAGATGGCTACTGGATTTCTGCTTAGTTAATTTCTTGCCGGGGCCGACGAGACCATTCTCGTGTCGATTGCTCTGGTTCTTTCTGCCCGCAGCAGATGAGCGCGGCATGGGCGAGCGGGCCCGAAACCCAGGTCCGAGTCAGCTTGGCGGGACAAGGCCAAGGACTGGGACCAGGCTGGAGAGGGAATGGGCGAAATAGAAGGAAAGGACACTTTTCCCAAGGCGTCCCGGAACAAATGATGAACAAAATGAAGAAAGTGAGAATGTGGGGGGAGGGGAAAAGGAAAAGAGAAAAAAGAAGGAAAGTTGGTAGGAAGGAAGGAAAAGTGTATGAGGTTTGGAAGGCAGAGAAAGAAACCGTGTGGTAACGTATGGTAAGGAAAAAAGGGTGTCGATCATTGAGTATCGGGAAGGCGGTGCATGCCGCTTTTATTTGGATTTAGACTTAATGAAGAGTCAACTTGATCACTTCCTCCTAACTGATGTTTATCTGGTCCCTTTTTCCCTGAAGTGTTACTAACTGCTAAATTTTAAATTATTTCAATCTCTTTTGATGGGGTTCGTTCGACCGACTTTGGGTCTTGAATGTATGAGTATATTCACCCCTTTTCGTTGTGCACCGTGCAGCTTAGTAGTTATGCATTCCGGATAACTGCGAATCGGCCTTTCTTGAACAGGATAGGTCTGTATTTTCGTTATCCCATTCGCTTAGCATATAGCCATTGATGGCGGTTTCAATTTGAACTAGAGACGTTTTAGAGGGGTTTCAGTTTCTGCCAGATATTCTTTTACAAGGTCTGTACGAGTTTGATCTGGCCCCCCGTACGATACTAGTACATACAGTCATGATAGGTCATTCATTGTACGGCAGACTCATAAAGTGGTTAACCACTTGTATTGAACCCTACCTGACAAGGATCGCCATTAGCTATCAGTCTGCCGACAAGCCGTTCTCTCAGTCTTGTGTGCTGCGGGGTCATCCTTACCGCAAACCTGGGGACATGCATGGCGACACGAGTCCTCCATAGCCGGATGATCATTGGGGGGGATTAGTCTCTCAGAAGCCTCCACAAACAAGGCTAGACCGAGGGGTGGCCTGATGAATAGAAGTTTCTTCAGGGTCTTCACATGCTCGGCTCTGTGTCTTTTTGGAGGCTCCGCTCATTTTCCGCAATGACCAACCTGGGATCCCTGAGGTGCAAGAAATTTCACAGAATAGCTTGGTAGCAGAGACACCAGGGTATTTCCTTTCCCCAATGTTCAAAACCCCCAAACCTAAGGTCAATTCGACCCCTCCCGAGGATGGATTTACATGGCATCAAGGTTTCCCTCGTAGATCAGCCACCGATGCGGTATGGATCGGCGCCCCGGTCGGTCTTGGATAGGCTTGTCCGTCCACCTTTTCGTTTTGGATGCGGTGGCATTTTTTAGATGCCTTGGAGATCACCCCCTTCCGTGATCAATTTTCGTCACGTTAGAGAGAAGGCCCCATATAATACGGCTCAATCGTTGATCAACCATGATCAACCATGATTCCATCGCGCCACTTACCCGATTTGACTTTATCTTCCCCTTGGACCCGATAAGTTAAAAAACGGTTCGACAAAAGTTGTGCCGATCTGCTATCTCACTGGATCTTCTGGCCCTTCTCCACTCACTCTGTTTGGTATCGGCCCCGTGACAAGTTTTTTTTTAGTTCTTCCGTACTCCGTCCAATTTCCGCGTATACTGTACTGTATTCCGCACTTTCAAGCCTCATTATTTTGGACAGATCAACAAAACAATATACTTCTGCAATGGTCTCTCAGCCACATTCCAACGTACGGTTATTATTATTATTTGATGATTTGTTTGGTGGGATCTCGGCGGCGTTGCCGACTAGCGTTCCGCGATCTCTGCCAGCAGGCAATCATTTTCAAAAATGGTATTGCTGTTAATTGATTCAAGGAAGTTCCTTCGTCAATAAAATACTCTGTAAAGAATCTGGTACCATATTTACAGACTTGGAATAGAAAGCCTTGCTTGTCCAGCTTGGACCAACTAATGTCCCATGCATTCATTCTAGTCGCATTAGTACCAATAGTCGCCGCCTTCGAGCTCCATAGAACAGACCAAGGATTCTACTATGTGGAGCATTTCACATCTATTATTGAAAATGGATGAGAGGCGCTTCAAATCGTTCCAATGTTAAGCGAAATAAGCTTGGGAGCAAATACTGTTACCGTAAGGCTCGTGTAGAATTGGAGGGCAGAAGCGGTCCATCATATTACCTAACGATTGAAAAATGGCCATTTTGATGTTACAAACATAAATAGTATCTTCTCGGTGCACACTTGTAAATCTATATATCGAATGTACTAACTATCTCAAAAACGCATACAACCTAAACAATACGTGCACATGAACGTTAATCGGAAATCCCCTATTCCATTCAACACGAGAGAAAATTGAAGCCAGGCGCGGAATAACAGCAAAGGATAAGGAAGCCACGGCTTCAGCCTAGGTGACAAATAATTAGCTCAAAAAAATGACTGAGCCTATCTATGTGCAACATTGATTGAGGCTCCTAGTCATCGTCGCATTTACATCATCCTCATCGGTGTCATTGTCCTCGTAACAAACACGAACGATACAACATATCCAACAACCTAAATGCAGACCTTGATTTGTTCCAAGAGATGCCTGCAACAAAAGACGTCTCTCCATTTTATGAAGAGTTGGAAACCCCGCAGGGCTTCGGACATCAGAAGTCCTCTCAATGCGCCATGATAGATTAATATAAATTTTATACTCCGAATAATGTCTCCGAATCTACTAGTTATATCCCTCGTGACAATAAGAGGGTAGATACTAGGTATTGCACTTGCAATCACACCCACCGGAGCATGTGGTGCTTAAGGCTGATTTGGCATATTCGGGCAGATATGCAGGTAGCCTGCTGATATGCATTCTGAAGAATACTTTTAAGTTTCGCCATTCACAACAGAATACTATGATTGGATTAATCGTTTCTTATCTCCTTGGGCTCCTACTCTTATGCTGGACTGACGAATCTTGGAACTAGCTCTTGACCCTGGGAAGTCCTAAGAAATTGGATTTATGAATTATCAAAAGACAAACCCATTAAGACTAGTCTCTCGCTCCAAATTCCACGCCCTGTCAATCAGTTGGTTGACGCGTGCGACATCCGTAATCCCGCCATAAGTAGCAAGAGCCTTCGTCTTTCTCTCGATTTCCTCCCTAAATAAATCGTTAGCCTCTCCACGAGTCGAAATATCATCAGGGATCGTACTTTGTTAAAGGAAGCTCTGGATCCCCCTTTGCAAACTCAGCCGATTCAGTGAATGTCTTCCCAGATTTGCATGTAACGATGACAGTCCCCTGCCACTGCTTAGGAAACCTGCTCTCAATTTCCTCATCAAGCTCCATAGAAACACGTTTCTGAAACTGCCGCAACGAAGCATCCACCAAATCCTCTTCAGTGAAATCGGTAATCATAGCCTGTCCCTTCTTAGCCGCAACAGCAAGAACAAATCCCATCGAGAATTTGCTCTGATGAACCGTCTCTCCACTTCCACTAAGACCAAGCACATTAAGAGCAGCTTGGTAAGTCCGTGCGACCACGGACTCAATATCATCAAACACAAGCTGATTCTTCTCCATAAGATTGAGCAGTGCATCGACACTGGGATGTGTATGTCTGCACGACGCATGCCATTTGAAACTGGAGCTGAGAATCGCCCAATCGGAACTTAGATTTTGATCGATCGCTTCGGGGTAGGTTTCTCCTGGGACTAAGGCAATACCCATTGCTCGTGGCCCCTCGAGGATATCTCGAGGCCCGAGGAGGCCGTCGCGGGCGGAATATGCAGCGAATATTCCATCAAAGCAGGCCTTGCCTGTATGCACTTGCTTTGAGTGGGTTGCATCGAGCAGGAATTGCCAAAGACCTGCAGCTTGTGTGCCGGCCGTTCCAATTGCTGATAAAGTTGTTGCTGCGTCGAGCCTTAATAGGTGGGCAGCTGCGGCTGCAACTCCAATGACGCCGCCTGTCGCTGTGCTATGAAATCTCTGGATGAAGTAAGTACTGCGACGAATAGCACAATGGTTGTTTTCTAACTCGTACCTCGTAGTGACTTTTGCCCAGGTATTCTCCAACGCGACAACCAACTTCATAGCCGACGACACAAGCCGCAATAAACTCTTCGCCTGTGGAGCCCACTTCTTGGGCTACAGCTAAAGCAGCCGGGTAAATGACAGTAGCCTAGTTTTGAGTTTAGCATAATTCCTCCCATACATGTCCCAGATGAGTAGAACTTACAGGATGCATAATACTCCGATTATGCAGATCGTCTTGCTCAACTACATGAGACGAAGCACCATTAACCAGACTAGCAAATGCCGGGCTAGTCGTGAATTCTAATGACCCATCAACCAGCTCACTTTTTCCATTCGAGGGACCCATTTGCGCTGCGAATCGTGCCATGGCAGAAACTGCGGGGTGATGACGGCCGGCAATTGTACAGCCTAGCCAATCTAGGAAGAAATCTTTGGTTTTTTGGACGACATTCTCCGGGATATCTTTGTATTGTAGATTAGATGCCCAGGTTGCTAGATGTTCTGTTCGTGTTTCACCCGAAGATGATGTTGGATGAATGGGTTGAGACATGTGTATATCGATTTCTGAAGATCAGCTTTGAGATATGATTGCACTGATATGCGAAAGAGGGGCGGAGCAGAGGTAGATGGTTTATACCCCGTCGACTCGACTCTCCCGAGGTAAATATCGCTCCAAGTAGGCTACTTAGTTGGTGGGGCAGTGGTGGATCTGTAGAGCCTATTCGGTTGGGTTTCGCGGGAGTAATGGCGGGGTGTAGCCGATGAATCCAATTATTTCACAGGATTCTATTGAGTCTATTGCTTTGGGTTTATGCCGACATGAACTTCACCTCAGTGGAATCTAAGTTCTTCTCTTCTCTTCTAATTCGATCGCATCATCGGTACCTTTAACTGTTCTTCGCCAGAGGCCCTTAAGAAATCGCATACACATGGGCCTCTCGCGGCGGATGACGGGTATCTATTGCTTTGCAGAGCCGGTATCCTCAACTGCATCAGCCCGGTCCCAACTCTCAATCTCAAGTGTTCGGATTCGACTTTCAATATCCAAGATTCGCTGCTGCCATTCCAACTTGGCCTTTTCTTGCAATTCCCAGATCGTCTTAAATTGTTTGAACATAAACGGCGGAAGCTGAGTCTTCTTGTTCTTTTGATAGTCATAGATCACGTTCTCCTCATAACAACGAGCTGCCGGCCGCTGGCGAGCTTCAGATAAGATCATCACCTGTAGCTGGAAGGCGGATTGCGGCGAGGGTGAAGCAGTGTCAAGGATAAGCTTTTGGTATACTGTGATCTTATCGGGCGACTTCATAGGCTATAGTTTGAAGGCGTTAATCTATGGCTTATCAGGGTATATTGGTGCAGTGTTCGACATACAAACTTATAGTCGATTTTGATACTTCGTAGTATTATCCCAATTCCCGTTGAGTTGACCAAGTTGAGCCATTCTTTCTTGTGCTCGGGATCGATGTGGATGCCGATGTTGCGCGCCCAATTTACTCGAGCAGACTCGGCGTATCGGACATATGTGACGTTGTTAACATGTCCTGATCAGAGACTTGTTAGTTTTACTCGTTCGAAAGTCAATTGTCGAGTTGAAGTTCAAAATTGAAGTTCGTACCCTAGAATGTATGTTAGTATGATTCAAGCCGACGCCAGCCGAGGCTGGACAGAGCTCAAGCTTACCATGATATCCTTTTCAAGCAATAATACCAATATGTCAGTCCAAAGTCTACTTAAACCAAAACAAAGCACATTAAGGGCCAGGTCATACCTGTTCTCCCCACACCACATTGTGCCGAAACAAGCTTCGACGCTTCTCATCTGTCAAGAACCCCTCACTCCCTGCCAGCAAATCCCGCCAATCCCTCGCCAACTGCTGGAGAATTTGGCCACCTTCATCTATCTGAGCTGGTCGGAGCCCAAACATCATACATCTCCCAATCCGTCTCTTCATCATCGTGAGCCATCGGGGGTCGATTCCATGCGGACGTGCGGGCGGGTTCTCGGGGGCCAGGGCTTGAACATTTTGTACCGTACTAGTAGTTGAAAGAAAGCGACGGGCTGAAATGGAATATGTCGATCGAGCCAGCTGCCTCGATAGGGCAGATCTGGGTATCATTATGAATTGATGCGGAGTAAGACAAGCAATCGGGGAGTTGTACCGCATAACCGCGGCCAAATTGCGCGATCTTACCGATAAACAGCTCTCCGCATTGCCCGACGTCACCGATAACCGCCGAACCGCCCAATCTCACCTCTTTTCAAACTTCCCCCCAATCACCAAAAAAGACCCGTGCCAATCGATAAGGCAGGATATTATCGGATGAACTGGTCATGGTCGCCCCGGAATTACGTCGGCAGGTCATCAATGTGTATAAAGGTGCGGTCGCATGCATGGGCCATACCCAAGAGCACAAGCTCACTAATGTTGAAGAACTCCTTTGGTTAGGACGCGAGTATCCCCTGGGGTACAAATATTTCCGAGATCGGCTCCATCGTGCGTTTGCAGGTCAGGCTCATCTTCAGGATGAAGAGCAAATTCGAAAGGGGATTGCTAGGGCGGAATTTGTAAAGAAAGGTTAGTCCGTATCTGACTCTAGCCCAATCGTCGTATAGTGGCTAATCTGTATGTCCGTGTCTCTACAGAAGTCGAAGCATTGTGAGAAACCTCCCTCCCTATATCATCCATATCTTTGATCGATAATGATTCGACGATGTCATGCTGTCATTTCTATATTCTGCGTCGCCTATGTACACAACATCGATTAGATGCGGTGGTCTTGATTCGCATTATTTTGTCATACATCATTTCATAATGCGAGCGCAGCTTGCTCTCCCCTCGACTCAAATTTCATCAGATGCTGACAAGATCAACAATCCCCAGGTACTATTTGAAGCGGTACCGAACACTGAAACAGCGATATGAGGCCGCCTGAAGCGTTTAGGCCAGGACGAAACGATCTCAAGCTATATGCATAGAATGTGAAAGACAAAGAGAAAAAAACATTTTAAAGACAAGAAAAGAAAGAAGGAAAAAAAATATTCACAAATTTGAGGGGTATCACCAATAACAAGCGCACTCAATGATTTACTTGTGCGCCCAGAAACACCGGAATTTGACTCGTGGCTGAGATGATTCATATCTTTCGACCCCACCAGGCACTCACTTCGAGACATTCGCCACTGGCGAGCCCGCCCTTCTGAAAGAAGTCGGTAGTCATCGCAGCCCACCACCGATCCCACTCATCACGACTTTTCCCGCTGGCTTCGATGAGCATGGGCTCCAGCCCTTCGATCATTTGAACCACCGTGAGAAGAGCCGTTCGACGAATGGAATTCTGATCCGGTGTTAATGCCTTGCGTGGACGACCCTTGGAATCTTTCCCTTGACCTTCCCGCTCCCACCGGATATCGCCAAGTGGGATTGCAATTCGGCGACTGTCCACATTCTCTAATAAGTCGACCTCGGAATTAAAAGACAAGCCGATAGTGGCGCACGGCAGGGCGGTGATTTTGCGCCGATCAAATGATTTCTCGACCCAGGAGTTGTAGTCAACCAGGTATTTGTTTTGGGCCCTTGTAAAGGGCGTGGCGGATGAAAATGTGTAGGTAGCGGTCGAATCAGCAATCTCTTGATCCTTCGATGAGGTTTTTCGGGCCGGCGCCGGGTTGGGCAGCAGTGAGCGAAACACCCAGTCCGAGTCCCACACTTCCAAGATTCCTCCTGATTTCAAAACCCGCAGTGGTTCACTTAGGCCCGAAGCTTGTTGCGCCGGGCTAGACGGGCACATGCCCGCATCTTTTATGAAGACGAAATCAAAATAGTCGTCTGGGAAAGGGAGGCGGGGTTTGCGGAGATCATGTCGTTTAAACTGCCAGTTCACGCCTTGCTTGCGCAGATCTGGGGCTAGGGAGATAAAGTCGATCCCGACGAAGTTCACGCCTGGCTGGCCGCGGCTGACGAACCACTCGTGGCATAAACCGGACCAAAGGCCTGACCCACAGGCGATCTCCAGGATGCGCTTCGGCGGGCGGTTAGCCAGGTAGGGATTGCAAAACGGGCCGCCAAAGACGCGCAACAGCATCATTGTGCGCAGGGATTGGCGGTGGATCTCGGGCTGATCGCATGGCAGAGGATATAAGTTTTCTGGATCGCGGAGGTATGTGCGGTCGCCCTGTCGTGCTAGAGGGTAGTTGGAGTAGTCTGTCAAAGAGCCCAAGGATGAGGACGAGGTTGCGGCAAAGGTCGAGCTCAGGTTTGAGTGAACATCGGAGCCGGATGGCGTCGGGGCCGTGAATGAAACTATCCCTGTCGTCATAATGTCCATATCCAATTCACACTAGTCATCGATTATCCCCGTTGACTCTTAATGTGGTTCCGCAGTCGGTCGCATTCTCAGCGTGGCAATTGGCGGTTTATGAGCTGTGAGACATTGTCTATTTTTCTTCTCTTCGTCACAGTCAGGAAGTCGATATGATATATAAAAAGACAAAGAAAAAGCAAGAAAAAGCAAGAAAAAGTTAGGGTCCCAAGTTCCCCGATAGTCGATAGAGCAAGGATGATGTAGCAATTTTGGAGGGATCAAAGCGGACCAGAAAATATTGTTGTAGTCCTTTCAAGGTTGGAATGAGAAAAAAGCCAACTCTTTTTCAAGTACAAGATCGAGACAGTACCTCACTCGAATACTTTCAAAGATTAAAGATATATTAAGAAAGAAAAATCCAAGGAGGGGGAGCTTGGAAGGAAATGAACCAAGGACAAAAGACAAGGCCACGACCTGGTCCCGACCCCTGGATCGAACAGTCCCACTTGACTAGAAGAGCTAGTCCGTCTTTTCACGTAATGAATAACTTGTAGTAAAATATATGCACTCCGTAGATTATAGCATTTGGTTTATTTTATTTTCTAAAATATAGGAGAAGTATTTCCATCCACCAATGACAAGCATTGATGATGTTTCGGCTAACCTCGAAGGAGCAAAACGAAAGAAAAATTTTCTTCAAGTTTTAGGCACGCGAGGGTTGAAATGAGCTAAAGGAATAGCGAGGCTTGTCTAACCCGCATCGGCAGGTGAATTAAAGGATCGTTGACATCATGACTGGTTACAGTGTCCACTACAGTGCCACCCACAACTTTGGGTTCTTACAAAAGGCTTTATACTTCCACCCCATTAGCCGAGCTATCCATGGTTGAGTTCTTGAGTAAGCTCTATGAATACGGAAAATGCACCGCCATTTTCGATTTGAATGTTGATATTCAATTTTTACCCCTCTTAAGAGGGGCATATAATGACACTACTCACAGTACTACTGAAACACCTTACCAGCAAGGATCTTGAGTCGGTACGTGCGTTGACACGTGCAGGGGCAACGTAGTTCGTACTCGAAATAACTATTTTTGTTTCAATATTCGCCTCATTGACTCTTGCCACTACGGAGTACGCCCTATATATCCAATTTAGGCGAGATTTCCTGATCAATCTCCACTCGGTTTATCCGGAAGTGCGCCGGAAGTGCGCATTTAAACGATCAAAAGTACGCGAAGGAGGTTTACCGTTTCCAACGAGATACCTGAATACACGGGCGTCGGAGATCCCTGTCAATGTCCACCTATAGACCAGCCTGCCGATAGTGCTTCATTTATATCCTTGCATCCACGATTCGTCTAGATCCATCCGAACCAACCTTTAAACTTTATATCTACTTGCCATGAACGTGTATCGATTCCGTACTTACGGTACAGATCTGCAGTCACTCTCCATGGACCAAAAGTGAGGCTTTCGTACTTTTATTTTTATTTTTTATTTAAATGCAGTCCTGGACTGATCTTTTTTCTTTCTGTTCCTGGGCCCTCAGATCCTTGCGATACGAGGGCTTTCCAGTAAACCTGTAACTTTCTGATCAGATGACCATTGGTTAGGCCTCTAGAGGGCTGTTGGCTTGACAGGGGTTTATCTATGTGGGGCTTTTAGGTCGCGTATGACCCTTATGCTCACGCGCGCCCATTTCCAACCCTAATTTTGGGTTGAAATTGGGGTCATCAATAGTGCGAATAACCTTTCCCGTTGGCTTATGTTGCATAAGCTGGAATTGGGCTAGTACGCGATCCACTTCAGATGATTCCCCTGATTATGCTTGGAAACGGAGGCTTATTCTTAGATCTGGAACTGCAAACAAATAATTGATTAACATGTAATCCGTACCCGACATACTGAACGTCAGATATTTTCTACATTAATCTATATTATAGTTAGTGGCAATGTACTCGAAGGCGAATGTCGCGTCACACAATTCTCAGCTGTTGAGACAGAGAATGTCCAGAGACACAACGTAGTTTCGAGGACATCTTTCAGTCTAAAACCTTCCACAGTCTACGATGATCACCATGCTTCACCTGAACCTCCTAACTATGTTGCTCTTCACCGAGGCCAACTCTGTTCAGTATTTGAAAAACACGCCAATTGCCTTCACCAAAGCCCCCTGGTACAGAAGCAACATTCACATTCATTCTGGGATTAGAGATGTGATCAGAAGTGAGACTTCAACAAAGAATTACATATTTCCCAGGTCATTATCACTCCTTCTCTGCACAATTCAAGGAAAATTTTGAAAGTGCAAAGGCGGCAATAGTAACCATTTGTATTCCGTAGATTGAAGTTCAATTTGTTTGCGCGGCACCAAGATCGGAAGGCGGTGATATGGATCCGGTGATATCACGTGACCCAACTCTCGCCTTCGATGCAAACCGCCCAAGACTGTCATCTCGACCCAAGATCGCTCAGCCTACAACCCCGCAAAGTGTGAAACAATTGTACGAATGGCCCTGAAATTCAGCACCTGATAATGCTGAGCTTCCCACTGACTTCTTGCCCTCCCTTGACCTTCACAGCTCACGATCTCAAGTGACCTGTGACTCCGCCCACCCTCCGCCCTTAGGGTATCTGCACCTCAACTCGGACCACAAACTTGCGATCCATCCGGTTGTTGCCAGGTTTGTGTCTCTCAGTCCTGATTGTTCCCTTCAAAACAGTGTCACTTCACTGCGGGGCTCTATGTTGAAGAAGAGAAGAGACCGTGCTCCATCCTCTACTCCTCTCGTCAACTCCTCCCACCCGACTTTCCCACCCCGCCCCCCGGTTTCTCGCCAGGGAAATCAGCCACGGTTTTTGCCGCGTTAAATGGCCGATGGTACCTACAGGTTCCAGCAGCCTGGGGCCGGGCCGTTTCCTTTTCAATCACAACACTCACATCAACGACACAATTTACCAAACGGGACCAATTCTCCGGTTCGATTAAAGCTAAACCACGACACACCCTCCCCCTCCCGATCCCCCCCTGTCAATCAATCAACCGCCACTCCTTTCAACATGTACCAAGGACAACACATGGTGATGAATGGGGCTCAGGCTCATCATCAGCACCAGCACCAGCACCAGCAACAACAGCAGCGCTATGCGGGCATTGGTGGGATGCCAATCTCTAAATTCCAATCGCACCACACTCAACAACAGATTCACGCCTCCCACTCTCAAGCAACACACACCTTCACCCAACAGAACTATTCCGCTGGCGTTTTGCCCACATCGAGTGCTCAATTCAATCAGAACCACCTTCAAAATGGCGGCCAAACAGTCGCCGATGACGATATGGAGGGACCAATGAGCGAACATTGGCAACAGCAGCTCCAGCTGTACCAGGAGTCGAGACAGTCCAATTCTCCTCATTACTATGCCCGGGTCATGGCACAGCAAGCCAAGGGGATTTCGCTCATCGCCAGCCAGACAGATTCGAGTGAGGCCACGGGCGATAAGCCGGGATCAACACAAGGATGGAATGCGCTTGATTTTGGTGGACAGGGCTTGCGTGCAATGGCCCCGTCATTGTTTGGGTATGGCTTTCTCGAAAAGTTATACCTTAACCACAACAAGCTTAAGGCAATCCCTGCGGCAATTGGTGAATTGCGCAAACTGACCCATCTCGATGTTTCCGGCAATGAGTTAACAGAGCTCCCCGAAGAGATTGGCATGTTGACCAATCTCAAGAAGCTATTTCTCTTTGACAATCACATTCGCACCCTCCCTTACGAGATGGGTTACCTCTACCGTTTGGAGACGTTGGGCATTGAAGGCAACCCTTTGAACGATGTCTTGAAGTCTCAAATTATGAAAGATGGGACTAAAGCTCTTATCAAATATCTTAGGGAACAGATGCCTGGTATGTGAACCCGATTCTTTGCCCCTACGCCCCTTCTAACATTATTATCTCTGTTCTAGTACACTTGCCTCCCCCAGATCGTGACTGGGTTATTCTCGACGAAACTGCGAGTTCCAACAACAGCCCCGCTGAGAAAATCACTGTTCTATCCTATAACACCCTCTGCGACTCCTCCGCCACCGCTTCTCACTACGGCTACGTTCCTTCACGCATTCTTTCCTGGGAGTTCCGTCGCGAACTCATCCTTGAAGAACTCAAGTCTCACAGTTCGGACATTGTCTGTCTTCAGGAGGTGGATCAAGGCAGCTACAACAACTTCTTCCGGGAGCAACTTGCTTACAGTGGATACAAAGGCGTTTTCTGGCCCCGAGGGCGTGCTATGGGGATGCAAGAAGAAGACGCGAAAGCCATCGATGGTTGCGCCACTTTCTTCAAGGGAAGCAAGTACATTCTCTTGGATAAACATTTAATCAACTTCGGTCAAACCGCCGTTCGTCGGCCCGACGCCAAGGGCCAAGACGATATCTACAATCGACTTTGGCAGAAGGACCACATTGCAGTTGTTGTTTTCCTCGAGAACCGACAGACTGGAGCCCGATTTATGGTGGTGAATTCTCACCTCTACTGGGATCCGGCTTTCAAGGACGTTAAGCTCATTCAGACTGCCATTCTCATGGAGGAACTCACCAAGCTATCTGACAAATACGCCAAGATGCCTGCCTGTGCAGACAAGACCGCATTCCGCTTTTCTGAGGCGGAAAGCGGAACTGAGAACGCGCCAATTGTGGAGCCTGCTCCGTCAAAGGAATACTCCAGCGGGGATCAAATCCCGCTTCTGATGTGTGGTGATTTCAACTCATCCCCTGGGTCTGCGGCATACACCGTGATTGCGACCGGACGACTTGATGAAGATCACCCGGAGCTCAAGAACCGTCTTTATGGAAACTTGAGCACAGTCGGAATGTCACATCCATTCCAACTTAAGTCCGCCTACGAATCTATCGGGGAACTGAGTTTCACAAACTACACGCCGGATTTCAAGGACATCCTCGATTATGTGTGGTTCTCATCCAACACGCTTCGCGTGTCCGCCTTACTTGGCGAGGTTGACAAGGAGTACCTCCGTCGGGTTCCAGGATTCCCCAACTTCCATTTCCCTAGTGATCACGTTGCATTGTTCGCGGAGTTTACCCTTAAAGGGAAGAAAGGAAAGGTTGTAGAAGCGGACTTTGGGCCGCAACGACACTGATGGGATGACCGGAGCATATGAATCTTTGGAGATGGGTGTTTGTTGTTTTTTGTGTTTTCTTCGTTTTATCTCGGAATCTTTCGCGGCCGTGGGGGATTTAAACCTACTGTCTTTGTTTTGTCACATCGTTTCTTTTCTTCAACTATCTTTCTGTGTGTGTCTTTTTTTCTTCCACCGTGATTATGAATGTCTTCTATTTTCGTTTCTCTTTTCTCTTTTCTCTTTCTATTTGCCTTGTTGCCTTTGCTTTCACTCTCCTCCTCCATCCTCGACTCGCCAAAAGGCCTCCTATCCGAAGTAGTCTACGGCGCCAGTCTCGCTTTCCCACATCCTCCGTGCCTATGTTTCTCATTCTACTCGTCTCGTTAGCTTTTCCTGGTATCTCTCGGTTTCACATCTCGCCTAATCTGTAACGTCATATGACAGTTTCATGAAATAGGTTGGGGGGTTGGTGTTCAGGTGGAACAGGTGGCCGAAGGGCTTGAGGTTGCTCTTTGTTTTTCTCTGGCGATGGGCGTTCATGATCCATGTACTTTTTGTTCAGCCAATGGCTTCATCAATCCTGAATAGAGCGTGGCTACGTCTAATTCTTCTTCCATACCTAGCATACAAACAATACCGAGTCCGCCCAGACCCTCACTACTTGGGTACCCGGGAAAGTCGAAGAGTAAGTGATTAGATGTAAAGTAAGCTGGTATGCAGCGGTGACCTACTCAGATCTTCAGTTCCTATCTTTCAATTTCTATTCCAACTCTTCTGTTTCTTGACCTAGTTGATTGGCCATAAACACAACCCCGCTACAGTGGAGATAACACGCGGTCATCTTTTCATCTTTACCACCAATCAAGTTGCATGGACTAATACCAATCGGCCCTTGGATTGGCCCCTAATCGTGATGCATATCCCAAGCCAACTACATGCGGAAAAGTACGGGGTTCATGCCCTTAGGTGGTTTCACAAATATAAGTATTTGTCGCGCTCAGGCCTTGGTCACTAGTTGAGACCTTTCATGTATGCAAATTCCCTTGTTGAATGTTTCGCTCAGACCGTGACAGGAGCCATGGCACTGTTAGATATCATCCCACTTTTCATCAACCATACTGATTCTATTCTCGGAGTCATTTTGATATCCGTAGCGATTCTTCTATTTCAGTATGGGATTAAAAGTCGCCGACCAAAGAATTTCCCACCTGGTCCTAAAGGGCTTCCCATCATAGGCAATCTTCATCAACTGCCTATCCGAAAAGGGTTTCTGCGGTATGCTCTTATTGAATAAATATACATGGCCATCTTTCATGACTAATCATTTTTAGACAAGCCGAATGGGCCAAAGATTATGGATCCATCGTTGGATTCAAAATTGGACCTCAAAATGCCGTGGTTCTGAATAGCTACCGCCATGTAAAAGAGTAGGTCACTTGCTCGCAATGAAAACCACAAATTCTCACTTCCACGAACAACAGGTTGTTCGACAAGCGTGGAGCAATATATTCCAGCCGCCCACATCTTTACGCTCCTAACAAGCTCATATGCCCAGACAATTTGCACATCCTACTAGCCCAGTACGGACCAACATGGAAAGCAATGAGAAAGGCCTTTATGGGCATACTGAATGTAAATGCTACCGACGCGTTACTTCCAATACAGCTCGCCGAGTCCACACAAACAATGTGTGATCTGCTTGATGATCCAGAGGGCTACTACGACCACATCCGACGGTATTCTACTTCTGTAATTTTAACGACAGTATATGGCCAGCGAGGGGAGAGCTTCAAGTCCCACAAAGTGCAGGCCCTGTATCATGCACAGGATCGCTTCACTCGGATCTTGGAGCCTGGGGCCATACCTCCCATTGATGCGTTTCCATTCTTGAGGACACTGCCTGAGTTTCTAAGCCCTTGGAAGAAGGAGTCTAAAGAGATCCGACAGGAACAGTCTTCTCTCTACCTCGGCCTCATGGAAGAGACAAAACAACGACGCGGTAAGCATGATTCAGAGCCTTGCTTGATCGAGAAACTCCTCGATGATCAAGAGAACAACGGTCTTAGTGATGGACAGATTGCTTATGTAGGAGGTACCTCGGTATGTATATCTTAGTGGATCTGGAGTTACACCCACCTTACTGATATGGACTAGATGGAAGCTGCGTCTGACACTACTTCGTCAGTCTTACTTACCTTTATCCTTACCATGACTAAATACCCAGAGATCTTTGTAAAGATGCAAGCAGAATTAGACCGTGTTTGTGGTAGTGATAGATCGCCAAACTTTGATGACCTGGACCAATTGGAATACGTGCGGGCATGCATGACCGAGGTACCTGACCCACTTGAGCTTCTGTTTAGATAGCCTGAACTAACTGGATACTTAAAAGCTATTTCGATGGCGTCCAGTTATTCCTGGGGGTATTCCTCATATGTTAACCCAGGATGACAGCTACGAAGGCTACGTGTTACCCAAAGGCACGATCTTCTTCTTGAATGCATGGGCCATCCACATGGACGAAAACGAATATGAAGAGCCAGAACAATTTATCCCCGAGCGCTTCATAGGCAATAAATTTGGCTGCAAGAGTCAGGATGACTCAGATGATAAACGCAGGGTGACCTATGGTTTTGGAGCGGGTCGGCGTGTCTGTGCTGGCCAGCGCTTAGCTGAAAACTCCGTGGTATGATTCCCAAAGGAACGGGTCAATCTTTTTTTGGATGCTGATGTTTTCTCTAGATGCTCAACATGGCTAAGATGGCTTGGCTTTTCGATATCTTGCCCGGATCTGAGCCCGTTGATGTGGATATAAGCTCGGCATTTAACGATGGGATCGTTATCGCACCGATGAAGTTTCCTGTTCATTTTGTGCCTCGCTCTGAGGAGCGGGTCAATATCATTAGGGCTGATTTGGAAAGTTCGAAAGACCTTTTTGCACGATATAAGTAGCTGTTTCCTTGGCTTTCCGCTTTGAGATTTGTTCCAAGTTCGACTTGGATGGATTTCGATTGGGTTTATTTCTCCCTTCAAATTTGAATGATAATTTTGAGGCATCTTGAGCTCCTGGGGGTAAAAGAGATACGTATGTTTAATGGGTAAATGGAAATGTAAAATTCTCTACAGACATCGCTCCTCGTTAAAGTGGTCCGCCACCTCCCTTACTGCTTTCACAATTTCAACACAACCAGGCGAATCAGAGTGACAGCAAATAGTAATAGGACTATCCCCCACATCAAGAGTAACTCTCTCCCCACTGATCGCTATGACTTGACTCTTACGCAACTGCCCATCGACATGAGCCTTGACATCTTCAATCTTCCATGGCTGCTTCTCCCTATCAATCTTCAATATCCCATCTGCATGATACTTGACATCTCCAAAGTATTCAGCCCAGAACTCAAGACCGGCTTCTTTTGCAGCCTTCTCCCATATTGGTTTCTGGTAGACCGAAGACGCATCTCCCTTTGGGTACTCCGGCCCACACAGCCCTCGCTACCACCTCAATATCGCGAATCATCATTCCGTACAGAATGCCATGTGGCTTGACATGATGCATCTCGACTCCTTCGCGATCAAGAAAGGCTTGTAGGGCTCCGACCTGGTATACTATATTGGCTGTGTGCTCTTCTGGACTCATCTTGATCTCCCGACGGCCAAACCCCTGCACATCAGGTAAACCAAACATCTATTGCTATCTATCCTGTTGATTGTCCTGGTGGGTATATGCCGCTTGGAATGACTATCCCCACGCTGGATGTTTCCGGATCAAGACCTGGATTTAGTGCAGAATGACCGTGGATATTGGAGGATATGGATACGATCAGTTTCTACGAAGTCAGCGAGGAGGAGTTTGATCGCAAGCTCGCGCAGTTTAGGGCTGGGAATTACCGGGTTGAGATGGAGCAGGGAGTGTTTGATATGGCTCTACATAATGAGCTTCTGAGAAAAACTTTGGGTGAGGCCGAAGGTATTCAGAAGAATCGGGCGGTATCGCAGAAAAAAATGGCTGAGCTGGAGGATCGGTTGGTTGAGGAGTGGTTGGCTGAGTAGCAGGCGGGTGGGACTAGTTTGGATGAGATACGATCTTCACTTGAAGGTACGATTCTGAGTATCCTTTATGGTGGAAATAGTACTAATTGTATTACAGATCCTATGGTTGAAGCTATTGAGGCGGCTGTTAATGCTAATGTATGGAAGGTTTTGGTTCAGGAGGGTGATGTACTGCAGGCAGACACATTTACGTGCATTCTTGAGGCTTTGAAGATGGAGATCAATGTGCACACAGAGCCTCATTTGGCTGGAATGATTGTCATCAGGGTGTTGGTCAAGCCTGGGGATACTATAGAGAGCGGAAACCCGGTAGTTCTGGCCAGGAAAGCCAAGGTTTAAATTCTTGGGACTAACGACACTTTGAAATAATAGTATAACATATTGATATTTCCATATGTGGCCTATCGAATGAATATTAAATTGATACGTGCGGTAGGAGAAAAGGTAGGACAAGGGTGGGAAATATTGTGTAGAGAACCGAGTAGGTAAAAGGTACGGAAGGTGAGTAGTTAAGGAAGTCAAGTAAAGAGCTGAAATCTAGTTTTCATTGGCCTAAAGGAACCTTTCCATTTAGTTGTGAAAAAACGCTTGATATGCTTTTCTATGTAATTATAGGCTATGTAATGTACAAGTGATCTATATAGTTACAGGGCGAAGTAGATGCCTAAGGGCGATCTTCAATACGACGCCAGACTCCGACAAACCCACCACCCATTGTGCGTAACCCAACTTTAGGCCGACAGACCATGACAGCATTCGCCTCGTCAAAGGCGCTTGGGGCCGAAGGTTCCACGCTGACAGGCTCAGAGTCAGGAGCCTCGTCAGCAGTAGCTTCCCCTCCTTCAGTAGTCGAATCCCACGTTGAGGGATCGGAAGCAGACTTCTTAACAGCCAGACGAACATCCCAGTTTCGGCCACTGGTCAGTCCCGAACCAAGCTCAACAACTCGGTCCAAGACAAAGGGCCGGTTCATCTTCTGGACCATCCGCACACAGTCACCAATCTGCGTGATGCTAGGCGCAAAGACAATCAATTTGCCATCCCGGTGGATGATATCCTTTACCAATGGAATACGTTCATGTGCAGACGGCATGTCCAAAATGGCATACGACAAGAAGGGCTTGACCGGCTCGCCCGGCTTGGTACGCAGGGCGACTTGTGAATTAATCCATTCTTCCACGGCGCCGACGTAAAAATCGACAGTGCCGGAGTAGATTCCTCGACGGAAACCTTTCACGTTTTTCTCGGCGAGCTTAGCGAATTTGGATGAAACGTCCACCGTATGGATGATGGCGCCGCGCTCTGTCCGCCACGCATCCCATTCCTGTTGTACCGGGTCGTTCTCACTCGAAGGTTGCTGGTCTGTATCTGGGGTACCACTCTCCGCTGGGCTTCGATTTCGGCCGGCTACATACTGGATCTGTGAACCGGCTGGTCGTTGCGGTGGAGTCGTGTTGGCGGCGTGGAGGGCACGCGCTAGATGTAATGTCAAGGATCCATGACCAGTGCCGGATTCGAGGATTTCGATCGGAGGTTGAGTATCGTTCGAGGCGGTCGGGTTTGTATGAATATCAAGGAGGGAGACGATCAAGTTGGCATCATGAGCATAAATCTGCGACATTTAGCCACTGGCTCTCCGAGTTGAACTTGCTGCGCATACCGGTGTTACCAAGCGAGGGGTCAGAGTGACATATTCCTCAAGGGTTGGAAGGCTCAGTCGAACCTCTGGGCCTATTTCGGCGTCAGTCGCGTTGCGTGACATAATTTGCGCGAGCGCTTTACCCTTGTGTGCTTGGACTGCGTCCCATACCCGACTCCCAATGGCGCGATCGTGCTCCAAATGTCCACGCCGAAGATTTGTCTTGCCTCCCTTCTGCAGTGGTTTTGTCAATGATGGCTGTTTGGTGTGTAATAAAACCTGGTCTCCCTCTGCGCGTCGTTAGTTGGAAATCCGGTTCTCTAAAGGGGGATGTTGACGTACCTTTAATAACGGAAAAATCTGTATCAATAGATCGAACTCGAGTCACACTAGGACCTGGCGGAGTTGTAGAGATTGCCGGACTAGGATTTCCCAGCAATCGCTGTAAGGACCTCAGTAAACGAGCCATTGTTGGAGCTAAAAATGGCTGAATCTGAATCTCCAAAAATCCACTTTTTCCATTTGGCTTGATTTGCCCCACATGGTCTCTTCCCCATTGATCAAACCCCTCGTTCACCGGGGAAACTTGGAATCTTTTTCCTTCAACTCTCCAATTGCTCTACATTTAAAGATCACAGCGATCTTGAATTTTACCCCGATTCTTTCTGTTTTTCCACTCTATCACAATGGGATCTGTCGCGCTTCCTTACATGGAGACCAAGCCCAAGGTCATCTTCTTCACCGATTTCGATGGCACAATTACCGTTGATGACAGTGAGTTACTGATAATATCTCACATTTCAAGGCTCATACTAATAGAACCACAGGCAATGACTTTATGGTTCGTCGAACGCACACCTTTCCGATCCCCCCGGACTAAAATACCATAGATTGACAACCTTGGATTTGGCGCCGATCGCCGCCGCGTGTTGAACAAGCAGGTCCTCGAGGAGACTCTGGGCTTCCGGTGAGGCCTATTCGAATTGACCGAGACAATACATTCTGACTGAACTGGTTCAGTGACGCTTTCCGTGAGATGCTTGGGAGCATCAAGACCCCATACGACGTTTGTATCGAGACACTGCTGAAGAACATGAAGCTGGACCCATACTTCGAAGAGTTCTACTACTGGGCCGAGGAGAACAATGTCCCCATTGTCATTCTGTCCTCTGGCATGTACCCGATCATTAGCGCCTTGCTTGAGAAGTTCTTGGGCCACAAGCCCCGCAGCCATCTTACCATCATCGCCAACCAGGTGACTGGTCGTGATGGCAAGGATATTAACAGCGAGGGTGGCTGGGAGATCGTGTACCACGATGAGAGGTAAGGCCTTCAAGTCTGAGATTCATCCGTGAACTTATATTTACGGTTTTGTTTTATAGCTCCTTCGGCCACGACAAGTCTCTCGAGATCCGCCCATACGCCGCCTTGCCAGATGGGCAGCGCCCGGTTCTTCTATATGCTGGTGATGGCGTCTCTGATCTATCAGCTGCTGCAGAGACCGACCTCCTGTTTGCGAAGGAGGGCAAAGGTAAGCCAATATGTCCCTGCCTTATCTCGAGTAGTCTCTAACATAATTCCAGATTTGGTTACCTTTTGTGATCGCCGAGGAATGCCATACACCACCTTCCAGAACTGGTCCACAATCCTAGCGACCACCAAAGATATCCTTGCTGGAAAGGTGTCGCCCAGCGATGTGGCCAAGAAGAACACTGTTTAATGACTTAATATAGGTCGGCTAGAATTTTTTGGTTGTTTTAGAGAATTGTTAGACATACATCCTAAAGTGATCTTGTACACTTTGTTCAATGCGTCCAGAAGTAAGAGAATGATTAATAGTCAAGTACATCACATTTGAAAATTCCCCTTCATATTACCTGTCGCCGAATTATCATATTTAAGTAGCACCTACAGTAACAATACAAGACAATACAAGAAGTATCAAAGCGGAGAATACATGAATTAGTGGAATCGCCAGGAGTAAGTGACCGCCTTGCGGGTCCAAGCGTCAAGTCGCTTTCCCCCGAAAACAATTGGCAACTGACCTTGTTTCCCACCCATCACTTTTATGTTCTGGCTTGAGTTGACCTGAATCCGTCGGTCTTCTCTCGGCCTGTACTTCTTTCATTTTGACAATCCTGGGGGACATCATGCGACACTGCGCATCCCGGCTCTATTCCAAGTCCTTGCCAGGGTGAGATCAGCATCATGGCTCGCCGGATCGTACGAACATCTGTCTGAATACCCCTGAGATCCATAAAAGCTGACTTGATTTATTATACAGGTGCGAGCGGGCTTACAGCTCAGTGTGCTCACTGCTTTCATTCTCCTTGTGGTTCTGTTTCTCGACAATCGGTTCAGCGTCCTTCCTACCTCCATCCATGGCCACCTTCCGATGCACTACTCTGGCTTCGTAATTACTGATGTGACAATTACCAAATGCTCAGCGCTCAATCCCTTCGCGAATTGCAACCTTGACCCGGATGCTTGGCACCGCATTGATAAAGACCTCTACTTACGCTCAGGCTGGACGTCGTCGGCCTATGTCCAATTCCAACGGAAGAAGGAGGAGGATTTGGGCCCAGATGACAAGGTTGTCATTGATCTGAAGATTGGCCGTGTCACGCCCCCGGCCGAAGATACAGGTAAAGGGGATACGGAAGCGTGGGAGCCCCGTCCTGGAGGGATCTGGCTGAAGCGGACCGCCTCCCGTCATGCTAGCGACTCGGGCAAGGCAGTGACCTATGTCGACGTTCTTTTCGGCGCGGATGCCGTGGACCCTCGTCCGAATTGGGAAATCAAGGATATGCCTTTGTTGTTGGATGGTTGGACCGAGAAGCTGGAGACTCGGTTGAGCATCCGCCGTGGAAACCCGACTAAGAAGTCGAAGCCGGTTCCCAGAATCAACGAGAATGGAAAATTCAAGGTCATGCAACTAGCAGATATTCATCTGAGTACGGGAACTGGTCACTGTCGAGACCCGATCCCTGCCGAGTCGGTGCCTGGACAGAAGTGTGAAGCCGACCCACGGACCTTGGAGTTCATTGAGCGACTTCTCGATGAGGAGAAGCCGGATATGGTCATCCTCTCGGGGGATCAGGTTAACGGCGAGACCGCTCCTGATGCCCAAAGTGCAGTTTTCAAGTCGGTGAAACTCCTCGTTGACCGCAAAATTCCCTACGCAGCCATTTTTGGCAACCATGACGACGAAGGCGATCTTAACCGCGAACAGCTCATGGCTCTCTACGAAAATCTCCCCTACTCTCTTTCAACCGCCGGCCCCGAAGACATTGATGGGGTTGGCAATTATATTGTCGAAGTCCTCGACCGCGGCACTGGCACACACTCTGCCCTTACCTTCTATCTTCTCGACACTCATTCCTACTCCCCCGATGAACGCCAGTTCCGGGGCTACGACTGGATCAAGCCGAGTCAAACTCGCTGGTTCAAAAATACCGCTCAAAGCCTGAGAGCAAAGCATCAGGAATATACCCATATACATATGAACATGGCATTCATTCACATCCCATTGCCCGAGTACCGGAGTTCGGGAAAATACTTCCACGGCGCGTGGGACGAAGCTCCAACGGCGCCAGGATTCAATTCCGGCTTCAAGGCTGCCCTTGAAGAGGAGGGTGTTCTCTTTGTCAGCTGCGGACAGTAAGTACTCAGAACAGATCCCCTTTGGCAGTGACTAATGTGTATTCAGCGACCATGTCAACGACTATTGTATGCTTGAGCAAGACGAGAGCGAGCAACCATCTCTTTGGATGTGCTATGGCGGCGGTGCTGGTCTGGGAGGCTACGGAGGCTACAACGACTATGTCCGTCGTGTCCGCTTCTACGACTTTGACATGGGACCGGGCCGTGTAACGACCTACAAACGCCTCGAATGGGGCCAAACCGAAGCCAGGATCGATGAGATGATGATTGTCGACGGTGGTGCCGTTAAGGGCCCTTAACGACCTCTCTACTCTTCTGATTACTTTAAACTTTTTTTATGCTCTTCTTGAAATGCAAGAGTGGATACCCTACTCTGCTCTTGTCACCTGTTTGGACCGTCCATCTTGTTTCTTCTACCATTGTACATATACCGTTCACCCTTGCCTGCAAAAAGCTGGCGTCCATAGGGTGTCTATCTCTTATTAAATATCCCATCATTTCTTCTTTTCTTTCGCTTCAAACTTCATCATAGGAATTTGTAATTAACAGAAGTTTTTGGCCACTGGAACTAGGTTAATCTGCGGTTTTGTACAACCTGGCCAGCTTGGCAACTTATTAATGCGAGCGAAGGACTAAATCCTTCACTCAATTGAATGAAACGATAATCGAATGATCAGACACATAATGTCCACGCTCAACGTAAGAAATAGGAAAGCATCCAGCCCTTGCACATATGCGCGGTTCGGATTGTACATAGTCTAATGAATGTGTCTAATGCTCGCCGTCAATCATTCCGGCATAGATGGCTTCCATATCCCAAGCGGAAAGTGCATTCGTTCTTTTCAATTAAACCGTTCTTTGCTCTCAGGTTTGGGATGCTGATTGTTTTGCCAAATACCAGCTAGGATACCTCTGAAATCCAGTTCCCCAAAAGACCGACAACATATCAAATGAAGAGTAAATATCTTTCAAGCGGCCCTAAACCGGATCTGGACATGAACACAATCGATCTGGTCTTTTGCAGTGCGCAATCTTTGAATAACCCGGCGGTTTGCGGTACGTTCAGCTTCGGAGTCAACTTCTATAAATGTGAGCAAAAATATAAAGTCTACACAGGGAGTGTACTTACTAACGGCAATGGGATCCATTTCAGCAAGATGATTGATATGTACTCTATAAGAGTTCTTCCAAGGCTCCTTTAAGCTCGGAGGCAGTCTTAGTGAGCCTTCGCCGCTCCACAGTAGCGATAGGTTGATCAAGTTCATCCAGTCTCCCAGTCATGAACACGAACCACCGAGTACGCCTAGTACACAATGTTTATGAATGGGATTGTAATGAAGTTACAATTGCTGACTGCAATTAGGTTAATCTGTGTTTTAGTATAAAGTCTAAAACTTGCATCAATCGACTTCCAAGGCTAGTAGCTTAGCTTGCTAGCTAGCGATTTTACATAAGAGGTTTGACATTTGACTGTTTGGGTGTCTATCTCTTGAACATTCCCCAGGTGCCCCATTTGTAGTATTTAGAAAGGCAACATTGGAGTGAAAATAAAGTTGTCGATCACTATGTATAATTAGGTAAATTGTTGTTTCCGAAGAACAGATCTTATATAATCTAGAGACCTAGGAAAGAGGAATGTCTCTCAAGTAGTAAATAGCTGGCTACTTATCAAACTCCCGGCATAATAATAGGTTAGACCCTGGGCCGCATCCCCGCCCCGGTACATAGACGATGTCACACCATTGGCTAGCGCGTGCCAAACGATCCACCCTGCAAAAGGTTATACACGATTGGGTAAGGACTCAGTAGTATAGGAGTAGTTAATTCTTAATTTATGTCCGTGTCGTCCATATGATGGAATTCGGAGGTAAATTTCACGAAATCTCCGATTCATTTAATCCAAAGAACCCCTTCAGTGGAACTGAACGCTAAGGTTGATGATGATATTTTCGCATACGCTACGGAGTAGCTAAACGCCAGTCTTCCTATAGTTAGTTAGCGTGAGAACGCGCATCAGATTCCCCACTCTGCAGTCAATTGAATGTTGCCATTAATTTCGAAACTGATTTGGCCCCTAATAAAGAGGAAAGATAACCCGCGGATCCCCCGAGGCTGTAAAATGTTTAGGTCGTTCCTTTCCTCTCCCTTCCGATGACTTCCACGATAACCAGTGGTCCAAGCCCACTCACCACTACATTCACACCGCCCGCGGATTGCTTCACAGATTCATACCATATCGAATGGTGGTCTGGCTCCAACTATTATACACCGGTATCCACAGCCACTGAAATTTGGTGGTGGGTTAGCCTCGGAGCCAGAGACTGGAGCACATGTTTCCCATCGGGCTTTTCCACCGCAACAACAAGCTATTTCTCGCCGGGCATATGTCCATCAGGCTATACAGCTGCCGGTCTATCAGAAGTATCGCTTGATAATAATGTCGAGACAAGAGCTACCTGTTGTCCTAGGTATATTCGCCTATAATCTGCCCCTATGCTTATTTATGAGGGCATTTATTAACTTGATGATTCTATGCTTAGTGGTTACAATGCCCAGACTGGAGATGCCTGGCCATGGTACTCCAGCAACCCATGCACCTCCTCCAATACCAATTCGGATTCCGTCTACGTTTATACATTCGACGGCGCGGTGACGAGTCAAACAGGAACATTTGGAATCCAGGGGAAGGGTGTTTCAATTCGTTGGCAATCTACCGATTTCGTATCAGCGACCTCAACCTCTGACGCGTCAACTTCTTCGACCTTGACCTCAGCACCAACTAGCGCAGCAAGCGTGACAGCATCTGCAACCAGCACAACTGAGTCGGTACACAATACAACCAATACATCTACCAGCAATGGGCTTTCGACGGGAGCAAAAATAGGAATTGGCATTGGATGTGGAGTCGGAGCTATTATACTCTTAATTATGGCTATGGTTTTCTATCGAAAGCGGAAGAGCAAGGACGCGTCAAATCTCGATCAGCCTATGATACAAACACAACGGTCCCTCAAGCCCGTGGAACTATATACAAACAGACATTTCGCGGAACTGGAATCAAATTCCGCTCCAACGGAGTTGGACGCTACAGATCATTCCGAGAGGAGCATGTAAATGTTTCCAATGAAATCCCATTTTGTAAGCTACTGTGTAGTTGAGGATAACATTGAATAAAGTGTAATATACTTTCTTAAATTTAAACACCGATCCTTTTGAGATTATTGACTAGATCTTAGACGGAATCTTTCTCTTTGCAAAATAGATTGTATTAAGATCTTAATCCCATTACCACCATTTCTCGAAAAATACTCTCTGTGGCTCATCCCCCAGGATGCCTTGGAGTTTCTCAACCAGGTCATCAGTCATGGCTGGCGGTCCACAGACATAAGCCACAGTGTGTTGTGGATCCAGCTTGTTTCTCCCGCCCACAAGTGCTGAGCGTAGATCTTGTTCGCTTACTCGTCTCAGATGGATGTTCAAATCGGCAGGGGACTCCGAGGGAAATTGACTCGTGGACGCAGAAGTGAGAAACACGTCCAGACTAATTTTTAGTTGAGAGGATGGACCCTGGGAACGAATGATGTGTCGTATTCGTGGAAGAAACAGAATTTGCTCCAGGACAGACTCATATGTTTCAGTTTCCTGGCCTTCAGGAAGTCGACTGGAGTATAAGATCTGAACATTGAGTGGATGCTTGGTCTTGGTCTGGTTGATATGAGAGATTATAGAGATCAGGGGGCTGTGTTTCCCATGTCAGCATCCATGTCAGATCGCTTTGCCACAATGTTCCGGATACTTACTTGATCCCTACGCCGCCGGCAATTAAGACCACATTCTTGATCTCGTGGACATCGATCCCAGTCGGTGGCCAGACGAAGCTTCCCCCTACTCGGATGTTCACTTTCTTTCCGATGATCTCGTACTGGGGCCTCCACAGCCACGCAGCTGCTGGGTTGGATGGTGAGTCCTGGACTGCTAGTTCCACGTATGGGGCTCGACCCTGCGAGACAAGTGATGCAGCTACGTTCTCTGTCGCGATTGAAGCCTCTAGATCATCCAATGACGGTAAGGCCTGGGCGTCTGCCGGAGTAGAAGTGATGGTGAACCCGCCGGCGTTGGGTATAGATGGAATATGCACGTCTAGCCACTGACCCGGGAGAAACGAGAAGGGCTGTCGTTGATCACCCTATAGAGAATGTAAGTTATATGGTTCATAGGATTGAATTACTTGATGGAAGGAATAGCTGCGCATATTGGAGGACATCAGAGAAATGTGGAGCTATCCATTCATCGATCCAGATTGTCATCGGGGTTCGGGTAGTACAATATCAAGTCGGAGCTTACGTTCTCTGGGCCTGGAATAGTAAAGTGCAGGAGCCGAATCGATCGGTTCACTTGCTCCACATGAGTCAGATGCACCGGGTACAATTTGTTCTGCCGGGGCTCGGCTGCCGTGCGCAGCTCATGTGGAATGGAGTCCTCTCGCTTTGAACTCATTGGTGTTTTCGGGATGTAAGCTAGTCGTGGCGGCTGGGGCCGGAGGTAAAGCGCGGGGAGGTGGATTGGTTGCGGTCGGATACCCCTCATTGGATTCTGATAAGATGCACAATTTGCGATTGATAAGCAATTTGGCTCATGTACAGATATATGGAAATTAATATGTGTATCTTTCGACAAGAATAACTGTCGAGTCTTGGATTTGTTGGGTTTGGCAGGTTCAGAGTGGAGATGTGATGACTTAGATAATGAAATGATTCATGCTTGAACTTCACCCACAACTCCTATCTGCCTCATCCGTTCATGAAAAGTTTACATGGAAACAAATACATGAGATTGACTATTCTATGGCATTTCATACTGTGAATTATATTTCGCCTGAAGTTTTCCAAATGAATGACTCCAGCGGCCATAAGTCTGACTACCAACATATACTCCGTACCGTGTACATCTTCTCCGATAGGATCCAAGTCCGGAAGAATAAATAGGAACAAAAGCCTGGTAATCACAAAAAAAGACCCGAAAAACAGGATGCTAACCTCCGAGCACTTGAGTGAGATTGTCCAACTAAGTTGATCTTCGGGCTCATCAGTGCCATCACCTGTGGATGAGTTGCGATATGCATGGACCATCACGGAGAGAGAATGAACAAACTGAATTTACAACAATCAGCCCCACCACAGCGTTTCGCTATTCATTCAGCAAGAGCAAGTGGCCGTGTTGCTGTGATGCGGAGGGACTCGTGCAGATCCACTAAGCCATCACACCGACTAGTGTGTGACGACCGGCAGCCTATCCCCGGTCTCTGGCATCTCATTGGTGCGACAGTTCTCACGACCTGCTTCTGCTGGCGCTTTGCCGCCGTCAAGCATTGGCCAGATGCAAGTCCTGGAAACACTCCCAGGATCCTCTGCACCTAGCCCCTGCTCTGATTCGTCCCCCTCTCTGCATGCGAGCGATGGGCGACTCAATGTGTCGACCACCCGGGGGGTCTCGAGCTCATATCTAACGCCCATCATCCGGATCGCTCAGAACTCTGTGTGTTTCTGATTTTCTGACATTCCTGTAAAGCTCTGTCCTTTTTATATCTCTTGGCCTTGGCCTTTGACGTGCGAAAGACTGGATCTCACTGCCAGCCGGCCTGGCCGAGTCGCATTGTACTCCATTAGTCTTCCCGTCTCGCTGTCGCTGCTGGACTGTTTCGTCTTACTCCAAGGCGCTTACAATATTCTGGTCAGCTTCAAGTGATTCATCCACACACCGCCGCCATGCACAAGCAACAGTTACAGTTCAAGATCGAGTCGATCAAGGACTTCGAGTTCTTTCGAGGATGGTACTTCCCCAAGCAATGGCGGGATCGCAAGCTCCTCTTCTATCTCATGGGACTTGAGGTCCCCTTCACTATCGTCATCCTTACCCTCACCGGTATTGCTTCCCACAACACATACCGAACGCTGTTATGGACGGATGGTTATGAGAATGGCTTCAACAGTTCGCCTGATCAGGCTCTCTACTCCGCTGCCAACTATGAGCCCTATACTCCTCCCCTCGTGTGGTCTAGTTTGTACGTCTCCTAGCTGCAAATCTCTTATATAATTCCTACTGACTGAACTTCAGCTTGACCAACTTCAATTTGGTTATCGGTGTCCTGAGTACCTTCCTGTTGATTGTGAAAATTCCAGTTCACTTCATGCACTTGCTCTTCCCTCCTTTCGCCGTGTTCATCCACGGAGGCTGCATCGTCGTATATGCCTTTGCAGCCCGCTACCAGGCCGGTCCCGACATGTCAGACCCATCTCATCCCCAACCCGGGGCCCCATGGTACATCACCAAGAGCTGCAGCGTCGCCTACTCGACATCGGATATCGGATACTGCAGGCAGGCGAAATGTCTTTTCGCTCTATGCATTATTGTCATGTAAGAACTATCTCCCCCAAAGTATACTGAGAACCTGACCGCTAACCTAAATCCAGTCTGATCTATTTCACCGAATTTTGCATCTCAGTCCGCTCCTGTTTCATCACCCGGGCCGAGCGCGACGAGGTCGATGAAGCCCGCGAGGACAAGCGCGTTGAAAAGGAGTTTGAGGAGGAGATCATGAAGTCCCCTTACTACCCTACAACTCCCGGCCTGGTTCCTCGCACTCCTGGCTTCCCACCTCTGGTCGCGCAACCAGCCGGCTTGAGCGGGCAAGGCGTGTACCCCTTCACTCCTCGTCACTTGGCGTTCAACCGACTCGACAGTCAGGCTTCGGACCTTCCGCTGCGTGAGAATGGCTCTTCCAGTGCTCCTTCGCCGCAGACAACGCATCAACCATCTCCAGATGCGTCGCAATCGCAGATGTACTTCCCGCCTCCACCGAAGAAAGCTACAAATTAAGGTCTGATGTGTAGGAGTTGATATGTTTGTGTTTTTTTCTTCTTGCTTGGAGATCGTTTAAGATACCAGATACCATGCTTTTTTGCTTTTGCCTGTTTATACATCCCACTCTCCTTTATTTACTAGGTTCCTTGTGGACTTGGGAGAAGCACCAAAATACACCCCAAGTACATACCATTTACGGCGTTCCGAACATTGGTTCTCTCCAGCATTGATGTCTGGCAATCGTTATTTAATTATTCATGAACAATATGATAGGCAGAATTGAGAACGTACAAAAATGAACTCAAATTTCCAATCCATATACGCTGGTGAAGTGGAACCCAGAACCAAAAACAAATTAAAATATGTACATGTCCAAGATGATAACATCAGAACGGATTTGCTCATTACTTCGTCAACCATTTTGCGCCGATCATGGTACAAGGCAATAAATAGATACCATGTCAAGAAACCTCAGATCGCACCATCAAGCCTGAATAAGGAATGGCAGGGTATATCTTAACGCAAAAGAAACCAAAGAATGGAGAAAGAGTAGGTGCAAGAGGCCAGCTCGGGATCTGATGTGATGAACGGCTAGGCAGACCCCTGGCGCTTTTTCTCTTTCTTGGACCAGCGCACTAAACAGGGGGCAATTAGCGTCAACAGCGAAAAAAAACCTAGGAGGGGGAAACCTACAGCCACAGGCATTGCATAAAGTCTTAGGCCCTTCGGGTCCTTTCCGCCATTCGGGCGAGTCGGCGGTTCCACAATCACTGCAAACATGCTGACTCTTGAGTCGTTTACGTCTGTCTCCCTCTTGCACATTCCGTGCTTGATCTGCAGCGGTGGTAATATCGATATCACATTGGACTAGTCGACCCTGGCGCGAACCAGTACTGAGACCCTGCGACCGCTCGCCATCGCCATAGAAGAGGCCTGTGATGACCTCGATGCCATCGATATGCGATAGGCCCTCTGGTCGAGGTTCCCGATCGTAAAAATCTGCCCCTTCGCTGGTAGCGGATTCATCTGACTGCGCTGCAGCAGTCTCGCTGGATTCCTGGTCGCTCAAGATCCCTGGAATAATAGAAAGATCCATCGGCTCTTGGTCGTCCTCCATCTTGCTGTTTGAAGCTCGGTTCATGCTTGCTTCTTCCTCCTCCTCCTGTTGCAGCTTGGCAATTTGTTGCACAAGTCGCGCATTCTCAATTTTGTGTTCGAGAAAAGAATCGAGGAGCAGTGAGGCTTTCGAGGGGTTGGGCCGACACATGAGGAAGAAGCCCGTACATAGATCCTGGGGAGTTGTATTCCGGCCCTGTGCCGCATTTGCATTGGCAATATGCGGGTGTCCGTAGATCTCGATGAGGCAATGACCGCTATTGGTCTTCTGGAATCGAACATGGGTACGGAACGGACGATTCTTAGCGACCGCATCATCCATGTCGCGATGGAAGATGGCATGGTCACCTTCGTGAATATATTCTGTAATCGGAGTCCCTTCGAGTTGTTTCGGTGAGCGCCCTGTGATGTTCTTCGCAGAGGGCGACGCATAGGTGATGCGACCCTGGGCGTTGAGAAGTAGAAGCATGTCTTTCATTTCCTCTAAAACCCGCTCTATCCAGCCGGGGTCCTGCTGCGACGCCTGCAACCCAAAATTTGCGTAGGATCCATCGCGCGTATATCCTTGGCTCCCTTCGTTGGAGACGGATGGCCGCTGCACCGCGGGTGGCTGCAGGCTGTCTTGCTGCTGTTGCTGGCTTAGGGCCATATCGAGGAGACCGAAGCCAAATCGAGGGAGGAAGTGGGGATGAAGAGGGACGGGAGATTCGAAATCGCGGTAAGAGGATTGGCAAGAGTAATTGGGTATCCGAGCTTAACGGGAGGTCCAGACGGTCGATTCCCCGCAAAATAAGTTTCCAGAAACCCAAATTATAGATTCAGGATGGGTGAGATCATATTCAATCTTTGCAAGCCAAAGCACGACAATGTTTGATTCAGTCGACTGGGGTAAATTCGAACTTCTTATTAATAGAAAGTCTGGAACTCCAGAGAAGAAAAGGAAATAACATCCGTCCGCTCACAGTGATAGATACACGCTGATCTCCTTGTGGGGCGATTATCTAACTCACCATTGGAGTCATGTGACTTCGTGTCGCGCCGCTCATGCGCGAGAAGTGGAGAAAGTTGATGCATCATAAGCCAACACCACAACATTCTGGAGGGATCAAATGCTGGATGACATTATCATTCATCACTCATTCTTAACGAGAGTTTGCTGAAGCACCTCTAGTCGCTTCGGTGCTTCGAAATGTAAGATAACCCACTCCCCCGCTTTTTCGTACCCATGCTAACAGTCCAAACAGGTGTAAGTGAAACTTACCAAAGACATCAACAATACGTATAAAGATATCTGACGACTCCTTTTACTCACGACAGCGAAGATTGATAAACTCTCAATTTTGGGGTATGTTCTTTTACTAACTCTATAGCCTACGATCCTCATTTCCGCATCTCATGCTAAGTGCTTCTCTTGATTCTAGAGTTCGCTCCTTCGATAATACGCGCAGTGAGACCATTCAGTTTCACGCACCTCTTACATTGATCGTTGGATACAATGGATCAGGCAAAACGGTACAGTTATCGGCAGGTAAACCGTCAGACCGTGAGCGCAAACTGACAGTCTTAGACTATCATCGAGTGCCTCAAATATGCCACCACCGGCGATCTCCCCCCGAACAGCAAAGGCGGTGCTTTCATCCATGATCCGAAATTATGTGGCGAGAAGGAGGTGCTTGCGCAGGTGAAGCTTTCCTTTAGGGGAACCTCTGGGGCTAAGATGGTGGCTACCCGCAGTCTCCAGCTCACGGTCAAGAAGACGACAAGACAACAGAAGACACTGGAAGGGCATCTTATGATGATGAAAAATGGTGAGCGAACGGCAATCTCATCACGAGTGGCCGAGCTGGACCAGATCATGCCGCAGTACCTGGGTGTTTCCAAGGCTGTCTTGGACTCAGTCATTTTTTGCCACCAGGACGAGAGTCTTTGGCCGATGAGTGAACCCTCCGTACTTAAAAAGCGTTTCGACGAGATTTTCGAAGCCATGAAATACACCAAGGCCATTGATAACATCAAGGCCCTTCGTAAAAAGCAGAACGAAGAGCTGGCGAAATATAAAATCATGGAGCAACATTCAAAAGAAGACAAGGACAAGGCGGATCGTGCGGAGAAGCGCTCGGTGAAGCTTCAAGATGAAATCGAAGAGTTGCGCGATGAGACTCAAAAGATGTCAAAAGAGATGCGCCGTGTCGCCGAGCTTGCTGACAAGGCATGGAAAGAGTCTGAAGGATATGCGCAGGTGCTCGGTGCTCTGGAGGGAAAGCGAATCGAAGCCAAAAGCATTCAGACTACCATAGACAATCTCAAGCGACACCTGGTCGAGCTTGAGGAGTCGGATGAGTGGCTTGAGTCGAATCTCGAGCAATTTGAGACGAAGCAAATCGAATACCAACAGCAGGAAGAAGCACAGAAGGAGAATTATATGGAGCTGAAGGCTCGTATCGAGGAAACTCGGCAGCGGCTGGGCCTGAAACAGGCCGAAAATGGCAAACACGAGAACGACAAGGCCAATTTCGAGCGCCAGATTCAAAGACGTCAAGCCATGATCACTGAGGTCGCTCGAGGGAACAGCATTTATGGTGTTGACGAACACATGAACCAGGAGGGCATTGACGCTTTTATGCACAAGGTCAAGCGATTCTTGAAAGAACGAAACCAGGCACTTGATCGGGTGAAACGCGAAGCCCAGAAAGAGCTGCGCGAGGTTCAGGACACTCTAAATGAAATTGGACAGCGCAAGTCCGCTCTTCAAGAAACCAAGAACTCCGCCAAAAGGCAGATTTCGAACAATGAAAGAGAATCAGCAAATTATCAAGGGAAACTAAATGAGATTGAAGTTGATGAAGGTGTTCAAGCAGCCCTGGAGGCCAAGATTGAAGACATCAACTTTGGCCTTGAACGCGCGAAAGAACGCTCTACGGTTGCTTCATGGGACCAAGGGATCCAGGATGTCAATACGCAGATCCAAAATCTTGAGGATGAAAATTCAAAATTGAATGAAGAATTGATTGAGTCCACGAAGAAGGCTGGTGATTTAGCTCGGTTGGATCACCTCAAGAAAGAAGCAAAAGACAAAGAGCGGAGTCTTCAGACAATGAAAACGGCCCACGGAGAAAGACTTGTGAAGGTTGTCGGTGCAGACTGGCAGCCTCATACTTTGGAGCGGGAGTTTCAGAACGCGGTCGACACTGAGTCTAGGCAGGTATCCGAGGCAGAGAGGGATCGTGAAGGTGTTAGCCGAGAGCTTGAGCAAGTCGAGTTCAAGCTGAAAAATGCAACCAAATCCTTAAAACAGCGCCGAAAGGAGCTCGACGAGTGCGTCAAGGAGCTTCGTGAGGCGATTGACGCCGAGCCCTCTGAATACCCTACAACGCTCAAAGATCGTCAGGCCCAGTACGAGATGGCGCGCAAGGACGCTGATCAATATGCTGGTATGGGCGAGTACCTCAACAAGTGTGTTGACGCAGCGAAACGAACCAAGATGTGTCGCACATGCCAAAGATCCTTCAGAACCGAGACTGAGCTTCAAACATTCACCAAGAAGCTGGAGGCATTGGTGAATAAGGCGGCCAAGGATGCTGAAGATGAAATTTTGAAAGAGTTGGAAGTAGATCTTGAGACTGCCCGCGAAGCCAGTGCAGCCTACGATACTTGGGCCCGTCTCTCCGAAACCGACATTCCAGAATTGCAGAAAGAAGAAGACGAATGCGTTTTACAGCGCGATCAACTGCTGGACAAGCTTGAGATCCACGACCGAGCTGTGAGCGATAAGCAGGAAAGCAAGAGAGATGTTGAATCTCTGAGCAAGACAGTCAATACCATTGCTAGATACGACGCTGATATCAAAACCATCGCTTCGCAAATCCAAGAACTCTCCGCGAAGCAAGACAATGTGTCAGTATGCCGAACCCTGCAAGATATCCAAGATGAGATTTCGGCGAACAATGAAAAGGCACGCGAATTGAAAAAGACGCTGGCCAAGCTCACGAACGAACGGGATCAGACCCGGAGTGAGATTAACAAGCTTGAGTTGCAGCTGCGAGATGTCCAAAGTACACTGGACAGCACCAAATTCCAGCTGGAGAAGAAGGCCGACTTGCTCGCCCGCCTGGAGGAGTACAAAAAATTGAATTCCCAGCAGCGCGAGGCAATCGAGAAAGCGGACAGCGATATCGAAGGGCTAACGCCCGAATTACTCCAGGCTCAAGCTCGCTACGATGAGATCAGCCAACGAGCCGATGGGCGAGAGCGAGATCTACAGCATGACATCACCCGCCTCTCAGACAGTATTCACCAGCTTGATTTGGCGAACGAGGAGATCAACTCGTACATTGAACGGGGAGGTCCGAGCCAACTCGAGCGGATTAAGCAAGAGCTCTCTGAAATCGAGGCAGAGATTAGCCAACTGGAGGTCGAGCAAGGCGAAATTACCCGAGCAATCAACAAGATTTCGACGCAGCTCAAGGACAGTGAAAATACCAAACGACAGTACTCGGATAATTTGACATATCGCCAAGCTACACGATCTCTGGACGACGTGTTGGAAAATATCGAGCAACTGGAATCCCAAAATGCCGACGTTGATCGCAGCCGCTTCAAGCAGGAGTCAGAACGCTGGACGCGTGAGCACAATGCTTTGGCAGCCAAACAAGCCAGCAAGATGGGAGAGATGAAGTCCAAAGACGACCAATTGATGCAACTCCTGAAAGACTGGGACACCGACTACAAAGATGCTGCATCCAAGTACAAGGAGGCCCATATCAAGGTCGAAACCACCAAAGCCGCGGTTGAGGATCTTGCACGCTACGGCGGTGCCCTTGACAAAGCCATCATGCAATACCACGGTCTGAAGATGGAGGAAATCAACGCTATCGTCGGCGAGCTCTGGCAAAAGACCTACCGTGGAACGGACGTTGACACGATTCTCATCCGATCCGACAATGAAAATGCGAAGGGTAACCGGTCATACAACTACCGTGTTTGCATGGTCAAACAAGGAGCAGAGATGGATATGCGAGGCCGTTGCAGTGCTGGACAAAAAGTACTGGCTAGTATCATCATCCGTCTTGCTCTGGCAGAGTGCTTCGGTGTCAACTGTGGATTGATTGCTCTCGATGAGCCCACCACCAACCTGGATCGCGATAATATTCGTTCTTTGGCTGAATCACTACATGATATTATCAAAGCTCGACAGCAGCAGTCAAATTTCCAGTTGATTGTCATCACCCACGACGAAGAGTTCTTGCGGCATATGCAGTGCGGAGACTTTAGCGATTATTACTATCGGGTCTCACGGAATGAGAGACAGAAGTCGATCATTGAAAGGCAGTCCATCGCTGAGGTATGCTAATCTTGAATACATCGGTGTCACGATTTTAGGCTAATCATATCTAGGTCCTGTGATTCACGTCTCGTTGCGTCTCATATTTTTCTTCTCTTTTCCATTCGATGTCAATTTCTTTGTCGACTTTGCTAAGAGCAAGCATATTTCTAGGTTTCCCCACAGCATTTACATGAGAGCATAACCATATCTAGGCGTCTAGGGGTCGATATCAATAGAATTCAGTTACAGTGACATGAATATTAAAGGACGTAGTATTTAATGAGATAGTCCCTATCCATCTTCTGGGACATCCAGCTCCGCCTCTTCCTCGTCCAATAATGGCACGAACCGAAAATCTACAAAGCAAACCGGCCCAGTGGTCTTGATACCAGCCCCAATAGAGCGCCCAGCAGGGGCTTGACCATCATCTAACTCAATCATAAACTGTAGACTCAACACACCCTGTTGATCCCCCCGAATACTAACCTTACTAGCAACAGACATCGCTCTCGCAGCCTTACGAATTAGCCCAAATCGGTAACTCTGCTTGATCTGGTCACCCATAGACGAAGGCGGCGAAACCATGAATGTCTCGGTGACAGTAGGACCGAGCTTTGATTTCGCTGCACCTGCCCGGGAGGATCCATCATCTGCTAGCAGCCTGTGTGATGCCTGTGATGCTTGCGTTGTCTGTCTCGGTGCCGTCCCGAAAATCTCCTTGTGTTGATCCATGGAGAACTCGACGGTAGATTCACTAAATGACCCGCCCGCCCCCGAGAGCGCAAAATAAGGTGCCTTCTTGGCGGACGCAGAAATTTTGAGGATGGTGGGTGTTGAGGAGTTGAGTTCTGCAATGGAGTTATGCAGCCAGGCGGAGCGCATGATGATTTTCATGATAATTGCATCACGTTGGAGGGGGATGTCGGATTCATCGTCTTCTGGTTCGTATGTCACCAATTCGCAAGTCGTCTGGACGCCTGATTCGGTGATAGCGATGCTAAATGGTGCGCCGTGGGATGCATATTGAAGGGTGCATGAGCGGTTCATCAATAGCGAGGGGGCGGAGAAAGCGCTCGAGGCGGGATTGGTTTGTGGGAGACTGGTGTCACGGTCATTTTTATCTTGATTTTCGTTTATACCGAAGATTTTCAGTGTTTCGAGGAGGGCGGAGAGGGAGATAACGAATTGTGGGTAGATCACCTCGTCCGAATCTTGAGTGTCGGGTGCTTCTGCTTGGCTGGCATCTGGAGTCGCAATGAAAGAGTAGCTGGTGAAGAGGGACTTGTCGAGAAAAGCAAGGCCTTGGATGACGCGACCTTCTTCAACAGAGAAGCGGAGACCCTCGGGGGTGATCTGGACTGTGGCTCTCGAGGTGAAGCCGATGCAAGAGAGGAGAGTGTAGAGGTGATGGGCGTTGTTGGAGACGCCGGTGAAGAGAGGCTCCATCTTTGCTAGTCCAGGTGGCACTTTTGGGGAGGTAGAAGCAGGGACTAATGGTTTCGCAAATGTGATAGTTTGGGAGCTTCTAGCAGTACAGGTCCCGTGCAATAATTCCCCGCTTAGTGTACATGGGGTAGACAATGGGTATCGCGTTAAACATAAACTCCAACGGCACAGATCATAAACACAGCCCCGAATCTATCAATCAAAATATTGTCAGTATGCGTTAGTAGAAAGCTAGTTTGAAGCAGATCGAGGTACTCACCCGGTTGCCAGTGCGGCTGGAACGCCCAGGGTGAAGAGGCTGACGAAAGAACGGTCTAAAGGTTGTGAGCATAATTGATACCATGAGGTTCTGGAAGAGACTTACTCAGTCCAAAAAGACCACTGGCAATCACAGCTAAAGTAGAGCAAGTTAGTAGAGGCATAGAAACTGTCGCGGAATCTATGCATACCACAGAGGAGCAGGTTGAAGCCAATGGAGAATTGGCTATCCTTGGAGACAATGGGTTGGAAAGGAGTTGCAGAGGCTGCCTCCCAGACTTCGTTCAGCGACATGAGGGTGATGGAATTGATATGAAGAGGCAAGAGGTTTATGTCAAGCAACGGATGAAACAACGCGTGTATAGATGTGATCTGGCCGATCCGGAGGAACAGTTATTCCAGTTCCGACCCCAGTCACATTCAACTGCTTAATCACCGAAGACGCGATAGTTAACTCCAACTGAATCCAAAGCTATTCCCAGCTTGTATTATGGCTGTCGTTTCACCAAAAAGTATGTTTTTTGCTCATGAAGGGGGTTGCAGTGCCTGTCACTCCAGGCAGATACTAACTGGTACCAGGTTCAAAGAGGAAAGCCTCAGAGGAGCCCGCTTCCCCGGACTCTCAGCCGCAGGCAAGCAAGAAAGCGCGCACTGATTCCCCAGAAAAAGAAGTTCGTCAATTACTAGTATATCCCTTGATCCGTCAACGATCTCTAACATCATGTCTCAGGAAGATGGCCCAGCACTGAAGCCACCCCTGCGCATTGTGCCGTTCCCCGAAAAGGTAAGCTATCACCGCTGTCACACCCAGCTTTTCAGTTGCTAACTTATCCTCTAGCCTGCTGTGCTGGAAGAGCGCCGAGGTGATATCGAGTTTCGCGTCGTCAACAACGATGGTTCGCATGACAGCTTCATCGTCCTAACGGGTCTTAAGTGCATCTTCCAGAAGCAACTCCCGAAGATGCCCAAGGATTATATCGCTCGCCTCGTATATGACCGGTCGCACCTATCAATTGCGATTATAAAGCACCCTCTTGAAGTTGTTGGGTATGTGCATTGTCATGGTTATAAATCGTTGATTTCATTGTACTATGGACTAATTTTACCCAAGAGGAATCACATATCGACCTTTTAACAGTCGCAAATTTGCGGAAATTGTTTTTTGCGCCATTTCCTCGGACCAGCAGGTCAAGGGATATGGAGCACATTTGATGTCTCATTTGAAGGTATGATTACGACCATCCGAAATCCTCGAAGCTTATTTTGTTCTTAATGCTAACCCACAAATAGGATTATGTCAAGGCAACCTCTCCCATCATGCACTTCCTTACCTATGCGGATAACTACGCCATCGGATATTTCAAAAAACAAGGATTTACCAAGGAAATCACGCTTGACCGATCTATCTGGATGGGTTACATTAAGGATTATGAGGGTGGTACAATCATGCAGTGCACGATGCTGCCCAAGATTCGATACCTGGAGATGGGTAGGATGCTACTAAAACAGAAGGAAGCTGTGCAGGCGAAGATTCGAGCCTTCAGCCGTTCACATATTATACATCCCCCGCCCAAGGAGTGGAAGAATGGAGTGAATAAAATTGATCCTCTCTCTATCCCGGCCATCAAGGACTCTGGATGGTCGCCTGACATGGATGAAATGGCGCGCCAGCCTCGTCATGGACCAAATCACAACCAGCTTTTGCACTTATTGAACGACATGCAGAATCACAGTGCTGCCTGGCCATTCACACAACCAGTCAACCGAGATGAAGTACCTGACTACTATGAGGTGATTCTCGAGCCGATGGATCTATCTACCATGGAGGAAAAGCATGAGAAAGACATGTACCCGACCCCACAAGATTTCATCAAAGATGCGACGTTAATTTTTACGAACTGTCGCCGGTATAACAACGAGACGACACCATATGCCAAGAGTGCGACTAAACTTGAGCGGTTCATGTATCAGCAGATCCGGGCTATCCCGGAATGGTCGGTAAGTGGAGTCACGCTCTATAACGTAAGGAATTTAGCTAACCAAACCGTAGCACTTGGCTGACAACAATTGAGTTGTGTGATTAATGGAAAGAAAGGCGTTTGTGGCTTGTCTATTTACCAATACCCGGATATTTTAGCGGTGGGTACCTTATGAAGAATATGAATGAACATTAAGAGCGTCTATAATTATTCGAGGACATGAAATGTAGATCGTACTCCGTAGATATGATGCAATGGGCGTCGCGGGTGACAGGTGGGTCCCGGATAAACAGTTGATGCGATGTTGTTTCAGGCACGAAAGAATGAGAGATTGACTACGATCGAATCTATCGTCAACCCTTGCCTGGAGTGCCTGGCCTCATTCGTTTCAATACCACGTCGTGGGCTTATTTTGATTTCTCCTGAAATTCCAGCTTGCTATCTTATCCAGGTAGCTGCTTGCTTTTCTAATTTTGTTTGTTGTTATTCTTCCCAGGGGTCCTTAATACCACACGATACACGGCGTATCCTACTTACATTCACCACGTCCCCTCTTTAACACTCGACACTGTTTTCCATCTTTTACAAATCTTAATTGGATTGTTCTGTCTTTCGATTGTCGCCAAGGCGCTCTTGAAGCTACATTGCTCGGGACCCGCGCGCGACGAACTAACACGCTCTTTACCCCTTTTGGGTCAACCTTCAACCCCTCGGTGCTGGAATTTTCACCGTCAATTCCCCTCAACAACTCAACATGACTTCCTCTTGGGATATGCACTCCGACTCGGAGTCGCGCAATCGCCTACCGACCCTGTTTGAAGTTCTCAGTCGTCGCACTCTGGCCCCTGTCGATCTCTTTTCATTCTACATTTACATGCGCGACCAGCAACGTTCTGTGGACTACCTTGACTTCTGGTAGGTATTAAACTTAGGATTCAGGTCCTGGAAAGGAGTGTATTAACAAATCTGTCTCAGGCTTGATGTTTCTCAACACATGTCTCTCTGTCGCCATTATGTCCGTGAACTTCGCCGCTCAGTACTCGTCGCAACACCCGACATGGAGAGAGCGGACAGCAAACGATCCTCTGCGCTGCTTGAGAATTTGGAGAACCTGGGTGATATTCCGCTGGTGGAGGCTGGGCCTTCACGCATCCCAGGCAACGAAAAAGAACGGGATGCCGATCATCGCCTGTCTGCTTTCCTGCGATCTGAAACCCACACCTCGACTCACTCGCCTCAGAACAGTATCGGATCCGAGTCTGTGTACCCGACTCGCACTGAGTCACCCGATCAGCCACGCCGCAGCTCCGCCACTCACAATGGCGGCGACTCCAACTCCCCCGGTCACACTGTTGCCCGCAACGATATCCGTGCCAGTGCCGAGAAGATTCTGTACACCTACCTGCTACCCGGTTCCGAACGTGAAATTGTCTTGCCTGAAGCAATGGTTTCGACTATTATCAACCTGATCGAGGATGACGGCCGTGATGACCCACAGGTGTTCGACCCCGCCAAGGACTACGTTTTTCAAGCCATGGAGCGCGATGCTTTCCCAGGGTTCTTGCAGGCCAAGGCCCTGGGTAACCTAGTTCCATTGAGCATCATTTTGCGTTTGGCCTTTGCTCTGATCAGCTTCGGTGGTGGATTCTGGGGAGCCTTCTACGTTGTTCTGCGCAACAAGCCTCGACACATTCGTTGCTGGGTATGTAAATTCCACCTTTTGATTGGATCCAATACTAACTTCAATCTAGGTTATTCTTCCCTTTGCTGTTGCGGCCTATTTCATCGTCTCTTACCAGTACAAGATCGATCCCGTAATGGCCTTCATAGCCTACAGCGAATACACCTTCATGAACTGGGCGCCGATTCGTGAGCCCTACGTCCGCAAGCTGCTGAACAAGCGTGCCATTGTCACTGCGGCCGTTGCCTTCCTCACAGCTGCCGCATTGAGTATCTTGTTCATCTTCGTCCCCGGAACCATGATGTGAGCCTGTCATTTGCTCTGCAATTCGTGAGATTGCATCCACTACCTTGTACAGCTCGGTACCCTGTTTTGTGCCTCTGCGTCCCCATCGCTTGCAATGATTTGATCTGTCGAAGGAGTTCCTAGCCTGGCGTCTGGATTCTATGTTGCGGTCTGCTTCTGTGAAGCATCATTGATTGAAAATACTTCGGTTTCAGTCCCAAATAGCCTCTAATTTTCTAGGCTTCTGGTCTGATCACCTGTTCCCCCACCCGCTTTTTCAGCGAATCTTATTTCTCATTGTCCTGTCCATATTTGCTACTTCTTTGATCTCGCTGCCATATTTTTCCTTCTACCAATACCCCTTCTGACCCCAGACATTTGTATTTATGTTATCAATGAGTCGTTGCCCTTGGGGGGGCTTTACGAATGCAATCAATCTATTTGACACATGTACCATTACCATCAAACTGAACTCGTAATCATATGTATGCGGTCAGACTTTAGATTCTTTTTCGTGAGATCCAGTCATCACCAAAGAACCTGTTGTGAAAGTCCATGGGAATAGGGAAGCCATAGCAATCGTACTCATCCCTGGCGTCCCAGTATCCTCTTCGTCCGACTGCCAAGCCCCCGTCCAGAGCCAGCTCCAGCCCCAGCACCCTCGTCGATATCCATCCCGTCTCCAGCATCAAAGAACCCATCATCATTATCAATATCCTCAGCCTCCCGCTTATTACCCATCCCCCAAAATCCCCTTCGCCCACGCCGTCTAGACCCTCCAGCTCCGCCCGCATTCCCCGATCCACCTCCTCCGCTTGCAGCCGCAGCCGCAGCCGCCTTGCGCTTCTGAATCGCCTCCTCAAACAATCGATTCTGCGTTGCTTCGGACACGGCTCGCTTGGTCGCATTATCCCTCACAGCTTGAATCTCTGCCTCCAAACTACTAACCACATCCGCGCACCGCTGCTGCCACTCGGTAAGATGACTAACAATTTGCGGTAGGGACTCCGGCTGTACATCCCGCAGCGGCGCGACGGATGTCACATTGATAGTGGCCGGTGAAGTGGCGGGTGACAAGCGCGCAGTAATCAGGGAGCTGTAGATGGCTGTTGTAACTAGGGATTCGAGGTCACCGGGTGTGGAGAGGGAAAGTTCGGACATGAGAGTTGAGTAGGTGAGGGGTTTGATTGTTGTTGCGAGAGTGATGAGCGAGAGAATGCGGAGTTTTTGTGCTTGTTCAAAGCTTAGTTTTGGGAGGTTGGGGGTTGCTGTTGTAGACACTTGGGTTAATTTGGTACACTAGATGCGGGGTTTTTGTCTTCGTACATTCGTAGTCTTTCCATGTTCCCCAGGCGAAGATCTCAAGGAGCTTGAGGTAGCTCTTGTACTCTGCTGGTGTGTTGGGTGAGCTTAGGGATTGGATGGTGGGTGTCTCCAGCAGCTCGCCGAAGACGTAAGTGTGTGGGCTGGAGGTGGCATTTGTGATTATGTTGGCGACAAAGCGCGGGGAGGTGGCGCTGTTGGAGTTGGCAAGGTGAATAAACGGTTGTAGAGCCTCGATGGCTCGGGTGTGCGGTGTATCCATGGTGATGGTTGAGAGAAGGAAGGGTGATGGGAATATGTTTAGAGTTGGAGAGGGGAGCTTGTAGAGATCCACTGTACTGCCCAACTAGGCGGTGATAGGTGGACCATAGACATCACTTATCTTCTGTATAGTTAACCAACCTTTTCATATTTTTACATGCTAAAAGGGCTCAACCCGCCAAGTTTGACCCCCGTTGTATGTACTTGCACCTTATATACATATAAATTATTTGTGCTACAGCTTATACATATATAAAAGAAAAAATTCGACTTACTTATTCATTAGACATTAATAGCATCAAGAGCTGAAACTTTCACCGTATAAATACTAGTAGACTAAAATTATACATTCTTTAACTGCATCCCTCATATTCTATATAGACATACCTAGTAGGTACTGATAACAAGCTTTGAGTAATGTGGATATGGTTACTCCTATATAGTAGGGTAACACGAATGGGGCAAACAAAGATACTATGGGACTCGGTTCTAAAGAGAACATTTTTTAAGTAGCTACTGCTGCCCTTAGGTGTCCATTCATGCAGCGCAGCACACTACTTGTTTGCACTTATCTTGCCATCTACTCTTTGTCATGTATTTTCCCAGCCCTACCTTTGTTATCGCAGTCTACTCCATTGATCAACTACATGGATACCTTTGTGTCCGAGCAGCACCGTAAGTTGCCTGGCTCAGAAATTTGAGGCTGCATCTAACGTGCTCTCCTTTAGCCTGGAGCTTACTGAAACTGCCGAGCAATGCCCCATTTCAACTGAAAACCGATAATGAGGTCGGGCACTACAAAGAGAATTTTACCCTTCGGATCCCATACATCATGACGGAACGCCGTCGTCGTACTCTGGAACTGGCTATGGCTCAGGAGACTTCTATCCAGGCATCGTAAGTGGGATTCAGACTGTTTGATCGATCTTGAAAGAATCATATTTTGTGAATGCCTTTTTGTGGGGATGCGTCGTGGAACGATTCGAAGAATCATATCCAAGTTAAATGCCCCCACTGCTATTTATAAAATGTATCATCCACCGCCACCAATTAGTAAGTTTCGGATCAAATAATTAAGTAGTATTAAGGGTCTAGCCGTCAAATGACCCGCTTTTCTTTTAGGGAAGTACGTAGAGTCGTAGCTATAAGATATAATAAAACATAAGCAAAAAGCCAGGAAGTGCGTAATGTTCTAGAATGTAACGACAATCATGGATCATGCTAGGTAGATACTCGTATACCGCCCACATATGCATTATCGCGATAATCAAGTTACACCACACCTGATCTTAAGTCTTCCTGAAACATCATCAGCCCTGACTTGTTTCACCATTCTCGGTTTGATTTTTACTTCATTACGTACAAGGGAATATTATGTGAATTAATCGGTAGAGTGAATCCATCAGGCCTTGAGTCCTTGTGTGGCCTAAGTAATGCATTCCACAAGGTGGATCCCACCAATCTGTATCTTACCCCCCTCATGCGTAATCATTCCCGCTTTTCCCGATTTAACTGCCCAGTCTGCGCCCTTGATTCCATGCATCTACCAAGTCGACGTGGCCTTTACATACGTGGGGGGTTGCCAGTTCTTGAGGCAGTCATCTTCATTCGGGAATGATCTGATCGGTCCACTGTCGATCCGATAGCTTCCGTGTTATTGAAAAACCCACCTTATCACCCGTCGCGAACCGCCCTTCCTACGAAACACCTTGAACGCCCTCATGCGATAAAATATCGTTCTTCCCGGCCTCCCTGTACAACATTCTGCTTGTCGCCATGTCTGCCGATCCTGTTGGCGCAGGTGTGGCCTCCGCTAGCCCGCCGTCCACTATGGCTACCACCACTGTCAAAGTCGACGGCATGACCTGCGGAGCCTGCACTTCTGCTGTCGAGGGCGCTTTCAAGGGTGTGGAAGGGGTTGAAGAGATCTCCGTGAGCTTGATGATGGGTCGCGCTGCAGTACAACACGATCCGTCAATACTTTCGCCGTCAAAAGTTGCGGAGATGATCGAGGACTGCGGGTTCGATGCGGCGGTCTTATCGACCGAAGACCATCTCAAGAGTGGTGTAACTGATACACAAGAATCTTCCAGAACATATACATCCATAACCACCCTCGCGATCGAAGGCATGACCTGCGGCGCATGCACCTCTGCGGTTGAAAGCGGACTGACTGACGTTGCTGGTATCGACTCGGTCAATGTGTCGCTGCTCTCAGAGCGAGCGATGGTGGAACATAATGCGGGCGTTATTACCCCGGAACAAATTGCGGAGATCGTTGAAGATCGAGGATTTGGAGCGCGAGTGTTGGAAACCAAGGTGTCTGCGGGCCCAGACGATGAATCCACTCTCGCCGACATGATTGAAGACAAGAGAGGACATATGGTGACTACAGTTGCGATTGAAGGGATGACTTGCGGCGCTTGTACTTCAAGTGTGGAGAATGCCTTTGCTGATGTTGACGGCCTGGTCCAGTTCAACATCAGTCTTCTCGCCGAGCGCGCAGTGATCGTACATGATCGATCAATACTCACTGCTAAGGCTATATTGGCACTCATTGACGATGCTGGGTTTGATGCGTCGATCGTATCATCTGAAGCGCAGGAACCGCTCTCAAGGAAAATCCAGCAGCTCAATCTCAGTCTCCACGGCCTACGAGATGCCTCATCCGCCTCTGCGCTAGAAAACGATCTTTCTTCCCGGTCCGGAATCAAGTCCGCGTCTATCACGTTATCAAATTCCCAACTAGCTGTTGCCTTCGATACGTCTGTGATTGGCATTCGGTCTGTGTTTGATGTGATTGAGGCTGCTGGGTATAATGCGCTGATCACGGATTCGGATGATAACAATGCGCAGTTGGAATCGTTGTCTAAAACGAAGGAAATCCAGGAATGGCGACGAGCTTTCATTGTTTCCGTTTCCTTTGCGGTTCCCGTATTCTTCATCAATATGCTGATCCCCATGTATATGCGCCCGATCGATTTGGGCCGCTTCCAGCTCTTCCCAGGTCTTTATCTGGGAGACTTGGTCTGTCTTGCCCTCACCATCCCAGTACAATTCGGCATCGGTCGACGGTTCTATATCACTAGTTTCAAATCTTTAAGGCATCGATCCCCGACTATGGATGTTCTTGTCATGCTAGGGACATCGGCTGCCTTCTTTTACAGTTGTTTCACCATGGCGATGGCTATTTTTAGCGATTACCACAAACGTCCGAGTACTGTGTTTGATACTAGCACTATGCTCATCACATTTATCACATTGGGAAGATGGTTGGAGAATCGCGCCAAAGGACAGACGTCTGCAGCGCTCTCCCGCCTCATGTCATTAGCCCCATCCATGACTACGATTTATGAAGATCCTATTGCAGCAGAAAAAGTGGCTGATGGTTGGGCGTCTCACGATGCCCAGCCCGCACTGGCCGAGGATTCAACAATGAAGCAGAAACTTATCCCTACGGAATTGATTCAAGTCGGGGACATTGTCATTCTCCACCCAGGTGACAAGGTGTCTGCTGACGGAATTGTGATTCGAGGTGAGAGTTATGTCGATGAGAGTATGATCACGGGAGAGGCCTTGCCAATCCACAAGACTAAAGGCAGCCATGTCATTGCTGGCACTGTCAACGGCACCAGCGCGGTCGATTTTAAAGTCACCCGGGCTGGCAAGGATACCCAGCTAAGTCAGATCGTCAAATTGGTTCAGGATGCACAGACAAGCCGGGCTCCTATTCAACGCATGGCAGATATTGTGGCTGGCTACTTTGTACCCACTATTATCTGTCTTGGCCTCATTACCTTTTTCGGTTGGATGTTCCTCAGCCATATCCTACCTAATCCACCCAAGATCTTCAATTCTGAAGAGGCGGGTGGTAAGGTGATGGTTTGCCTGAAGCTATGTATTTCGGTGATCGTCTTCGCATGTCCCTGTGCTTTGGGTCTTAGCACCCCCACCGCTGTGATGGTTGGGACTGGTGTTGGTGCCGAAAATGGAATATTAGTCAAGGGTGGCGCTGTACTCGAGGCTGCCACCAAGGTGAATCACGTTGTCTTTGACAAGACAGGTACATTGACTACGGGTCGGATGAGTGTCGCTCATACCCGGATTGAACCCCAGTGGACTGCAAATGAGTGGCGTCGTCAATTATGGTGGCTCCTCGTTGGTCTGGGCGAGATGGGAAGTGAGCACCCAATCGGACGAGCCATTTTGTCTGAAGCCAAGACAGAATCCGGTCATCCTGGAGAAGAAGGGCTTCCGGGAAGTGTCGGGGACTTTGATGCCTGCGTTGGCCAGGGAATCTCAGCAACTGTTGAGCCATCAACCTCCGCCGAGCGTATCCGCTACCAAGTCCTTTTGGGTAATGCAGAATTCCTTCGTTCAAAGGATATCCCCGTGCCCGCATCGGCAGATCCCGAATTAACGGGAGCTGACGACTCCGAGCCTCTGGAGCCTAAGCCTAATGGCCCTGGAGCCGGTATCACCCGAATCCATGTCGCTATTGACAATCGATACGCAGGAACCATCTCCCTTCGAGATAGCCTCAAAGATAGCGCGGTCGCCGCAGTTGCTGCCTTGCACCGCATGGGTATTGCAATCTCCATGGTCACGGGTGACACCCTGTCAACAGCGATCTCGATCGCAACAGCGGTTGGCATTCCCACATCCTCGGTACACGCCTCTGCTTCTCCCTCTGATAAACGCACAATCATCGATCGCCTGCAGATGAGCGGAGAGCGCGTCGCGATGGTCGGGGATGGCATCAATGACTCTCCCGCTCTAGCCACTGCCTCTGTTGGCATTGCCCTGGCCTCGGGCACTGACGTCGCGATGGAAGCGGCGGATATCGTCTTAATGCGCCCAGATGACCTCCTTACCGTACCAGCCAGTCTCTCCTTGTCACGAACCGTCTTCACTCGCATCAAGATGAATCTCGTCTGGGCATGTCTTTACAACGTCATTGGTCTCCCCTTCGCTATGGGCATCTTCCTACCCTTCACAGGCTTTATGCTTCCCCCCATGGCAGCAGGTGCAGCCATGGCCATGTCCAGCGTATCGGTCGTCGTCAGTAGTCTACTCTTGAAGCTCTGGCGTCGCCCCTCTTGGATGAACATTGATCGTCTTGAGAAGGAGGTTGCCTCCGGCGCCATCTCTACTGCAGCTCACCGACGCCATGCTCGTAGGGCTAGCTGGTGGTCCCCTGCTACTATTCTTTCCCCCAACGATTCACGTTCAGTGCGTCGTTATGTTGTACATGCTGCTGCTGCGCTGTGGTCTTTGGTGACCGGCAAGCAGTCCGCTCGAGAAGACGACGGCTATGTTCCCCTGCAAACGGTTGAACCTGTATGAGCGGGCTTTGCTTTTTTTGGTTATTTCAATTATCCATGTTGATATATCATTGGCGTTGGCGATGTTTTTACGTGTTTGATACCTCTCATGCCTGCATTTTTAAATAGATTTTCATCAAGGGTCTATTATTTACTCCCCTTTGCTCATGTAAGGAGTATTGAAAATTCATTTCCTTATTCCAGTCTGCTCATGAAAGGAGTATTTAACGCAACATACATGCACCCTTAAGAATTGGCCGAATATATAATTAGGTAGATGTGGTAAGTGCCCAATAGAGTTCATTTATTTCGTCAAGCTGAAAACAAGCCCCCGTCGGCAAGAATGACCAGTTTCTTCACCGTTTACTTCAATTCTGACAAAGAGTGGCTGAATTTTGGACCCTAGCCATAATTTAACCGGAGAAAACTTCTACTTGACTCACTTATCTTGCAAGGTCCATGTTTAATGTGTTACCTGAAGACCGTCCATGGCATATTCGACCCACATTGTTCACTAGTCTAATTGCCATGGGATCCACAATTTATATCAATTCGGCGTCGTTTCAGCTGATCACAAGTCCTACCATTGGTGTCTATGTCGTATAGCTCATATAGTCCCACCATGACAGGAAGGAGCATCGGTCATGGCTTTTGAGGCTGACTTTTCCTGTTCTAGATAAATAGCATCATTCTGCCCTTGCCAAAGACATCAACAAGCATCATATTCCTTTAGCACATCATGATCCAAAACTCCTTTACTTCGTCACTATCTCGAGCCAAAGTTCTAATGCTTCACGGTCAGTGAACTAAGATCTCTAGAGGAAGCTAGCTGACAAGATGCAGGCCATGGACAATCAGGACAATTTTTCGAAAGCAAAACGCGCTTCTTGCAGCAGCGCTTGAAGGACAGCATCATTAAAGCCTCCCATATGCAATCCGACAATACATATTCCTCCGACCATGCCGATCTGGTCGACTTTTACTATCCCTCCGGAATACTACCTGCGAATCCGGATCAACGCGAGGATGATGCGTATAACAGCTGGGCATGGGCATACGGAGATCGCAAATTAGATCGAGTCGCCGGTCTGGAACAATCTCTACGCTATCTATTCCAGATCCTAGCGGAGAATGGACCATTTATTGGAGTGGTTGGGTTTTCCATGGGAGCTACTATGGCTGCCATTCTTGCATCTTTTCTTGAGAGACGAGAATCACTGTGTGGGTTCAAATTTGAAGTGAGTGGACCCTCGATTACGGATCTTCAATGATGATACTAACGAAGTATATTTCAGACAACTCATCCGCCTTTTAAGTTTGCTGTCTGTTGCAGTGGATTCAAGCTTGGTAACCCCCTTTTTAAAGAGTTTTATAATTCAAAGATTGAGACGCCAATTCTTCATTCTATTGCCATTATGGATGGTATGATTGCACCCTTGGAATCGATGCAGCTGGCGAAATCTTGCAGTCGTGCTTCTTTATATACTTTCTTCGGAACACATTATGTGCCGCGGTCGTCTGAATTTGTGGAGACTTTAGTGGATTTTGTAATGAATGCTTTGACTATGAGAGATAGCGATGGGGATTGGGAGGATTATGAGGATGATTATACATCATCCAGTTACAGAGTCTAATCTAGTTGTAAGAGCCAATACAAATCCTCAAGTGCTGAGTCATAACCTTAATCGAGCTTATCGTGCTATCGGTCACTGACCCCATTCTTTGTGTACTTCTTCACCCATCTTCACTCCAAGTGAGACACACACTGAAACGCTAAAATGAGCGGATACCTTCATTCAGATCCATTCGATAAAGGCACATTGGCCGTCGGTACTATTCACCACATCTACTATGAACAATATGGCAATCCAGATGGCAAGCCTGGTAACCAAGCACGCCCAAAGACCAGAGCCTAGTCCTATCTCTAACTATTCCCAGTACTATTCCTCCACGGTGGACCAGGAGGCCAAACCTCCAAAGCAAACACAGCCTACTTCAACCCAAAAAACTACCGAGTCATTCTCCTCGACCAGCGCGGCACAGGGAAATCAACCCCGCAAACCGAACTCCGTGAGAACACAACCCCAGAGCTAGTAACCGACATCGAATCCCTCCGCATCCACCTTAAGATCCCAAATTGGTATCTTCTCTTTGGAGGGTCTTGGGGCTCAACACTAGCCCTCCTTTACTCCCAAGAATACCCAGACAAAGTCGGCTCTCTTATTCTCCGCGGTGTCTTCACGACACGCGACGCGGAGGTAAGCTGGAGTCGCGGTACCCTGGGCGCTGCAAATATCTTCCCCGAGGCATGGGAGGCGTTTGTGGGATTCCTTCCGGTGGAAGAGCAGAGCGATCCGGTCGCCGCTTATTATAAACGGCTTACCGGGGCCGATGAGGGGGTAAGGATTGCTGCGGCGAGGGAGTGGAACCGGTGGGATTTGAGTATTGGGTCTCTGAGAATTGATCCAGATGGGTTTTTGGGGCTGGAGGATGTTGCATGGAGCTTGAAGCATGCGCTTATGGAGGCGCATTATGCGGTGCATCATTTTTGGTTAGAGGAGGGGCAGATTTTGAGGAGGGAGAACTTGGAGAAGATTGCCCATATTCCTAGTATGTCTAGTTTTTCGGGTGGCATCGCGTTAGGATCTGACTTTGCTTTATAGCAACTATTATTCAGGGCCGTTATGATATGGTTTGTCCGCCACAGACAGCTTGGGAGTTGCATCGAGGTTTACCTAAATCCAAGATGATTTGGATTGCAGATGCGGGACATACTCCCAAGGTATGGGAATCGGGATCAGATCTGGTGATTCAGTTGCTAACATGATTCATAGGAACCTGGAACGAAGATGGCGCTATTAAAAGCGTGTGATGAGTATTCTTTGGGTGTCAATTGATATGCATAAGTCTTGGAACCTCAACCCCACTATGGACCTTTATAATCCCCAAATTCCCCGCACCTACTGCACCTCTACTCATCCCAGTCACCACTTCTATAAATCTTATCTAGCCCATCATGGAAGCCCTAGAACAATCATATCTCTACGGCACCTCCCCACTACCCCAAGATGCCTCCTTAATCCATTTCAAAACCTACCTCTTTGGCAAACCAATCTCCCATTCCCTTTCCCCCCTCATCCAAAACACCATCTACCAACAAATCCCCTCACAATGGACCTTCCACCTAGCGGAAACAACGGACCCTAAAGTCTTCCAACAAACTCTATCCGATCAGTTCTGTATCGGTACTTCAATTACAATGCCAAACAAACTATCCTTCCAACCCGTCCTCGACGACATAACCGAAGAAGCCCGTCTAATGGGCTCAGTAAACACAACATTCGTCCGCATCGATAAATCCGGTCACCGACGAATAATCGGCACAAACACAGACTGCATCGGGATCAGAGACGCCATCCTGCAGAAATGCCCTGACGCCGTGGGGATGGCACAACAAAAGGCCGCGTTGGTGACCGGAGCCGGTGGCGCAGCCCGAAGTGCTATATACGCATTATGGAAATGGTTCAAGCCTTCCATGATTTATGTGGCCAACAGATCGAAATCAGAAACGGACGAAATGATAGACTGGTTTCGGCAATCTATTCCAGAGTTGTTAATTGAGGATGTGATGCAGGGAGCTGCGACAATTCAGCCGTTTTTTGTGATTGGGACTATTCCCGATTTTGAACCCCAAAGCCAGGAAGAGGTGCTTGTTCGGACTACTATTGATCGTGCCCTTCGCCAATCTCAGAAAGGTGTTACGGTGGATATGTGTTATTCGCCGTCAGTGCAGACGTATCTTTATGCGTTGGCGGAAGATGAAGGGTGGACGGTTGTCTCAGGAGTGGATGTTGTAGTTCGGGTTTGTATTGCGCAGCAGATATTGTGGTTGGAAAAGGCTTTGGATGAACGTGGGGTTCATGATGTATTGGCTGCTGTTCGAAAGACCCAGACCGCGGGACATGGCTGAAATCGAAACTTGTAGTGAGAGGCAGCGTTCTTAAATGTTTCTTCTGATACATAAAGGCAGATTATCAACATCTATGGATATGGCAGATATTCAGTAAAGAAAGACTATATATCATTGTGCCTTACTCTGCTTGCTTGAACAGCGTCGAGGCAACATACCGATAGCCCAGTAGAGTGACAGAATTCAAGATTTAGGTCATTATTCATAAGGCCAAATGGCGGAAATAAACTGAATGAATGCACAATAAGAGCATTCACTCCTTAGCCTCAGAGGACTGTGCGGCATCGCCTGCTGGCTCGGGCTTCTCTGCCTGTGTCTCTTCTGTCTTGGATTCCTCCTTGATGTTGGTGTCGCCAAGAACAATATCACCGTCGTTGTCAGCTGAGCCAGATCCAAGGTCCGCTCTGGCTTCCTCAGCACCACCAGTCACCGCATGTTCAGGTTCCAGGTTCATTTCAACGCCCTTTCCATCCTGGAGACCCATATCCTCTACGCCGACGACTGATGGGCCACGAGCATGAGGAACTTCATCTGATTCCGCAGGTGCGGAGCCAGATATAACTGCATCTTCGCCCTCAGTTGTAGGTGCTAGGTCAGCTTCCTGGGTCTGGCCACCCTCTGGGAGCAAAATTCAGCAAGATGCCTATTGAAATGATAAAGTGAGGGCCACAATAGCTAAAAACATACCTGTTCCCAAGGCGGTAAGATCCCCACCTTCAAATGTCGCGTTATTCAACCACGGAATGGGGGTCAAGAGAGCTCCACCCAGTGACTCGTCACTACCTAAGCCAAGGGTATAATCGGCAGTGAGATATGTCCCAGCGCTGTTTGAAGGATGCAGGAGACCATTTGACTGGTCGCTATTGGCAGGGGTGTTAAATGGGAAGATATCGGCGCCGCTAGTCACAGAAACAACCCGGTCGACCGCGCGAAGATAAGCGGGTAGTGTTTTGTAATGAGCGGTCGGCCGAAGAATGAGTTCCGCGAGTCTCTGGATCGTATGTGGTGGTTTTTCCACAAAGAAAGATTGAATCGAAGAGCGGATGGAAGTCAGAAGAAATGCGAGTGGAGGTGGTAACGAGTTGTCTTCCTGCTGCGCAGATGACTGGGGTTGCGAGTCCGATACGCGCTCAGTCGAGGGTGAGGAGGGTGCCTCGACGCGAGGCGGGGTCTGCGAGTCTCCCGGAACTGCGTTCTCCTTATTACTGCTCTCTGGTGGAACAAAATTAACATCGGTTATTTGGGTCGATGGTCGCGAAAAAGGCTGTGAGTTGAGGGAGCCCGACGGCACCCTGGGCATGGGGAATACATTGTATACGATCTAAGAATCATGTTAGAGCCGTCACCATGATTCAACTTATCGCACGGTTAAGACACACGTATTCGAGCCTTTCCAGAAGCGGCGCCACTATGCCAGCCCATTTCTCTCTAGATCAGAGCATTAGTATCGCGTGCTCCAACGCAATCTCGCGAGTCACAGCTTCAAACATACAAGTCAATCGAGCGACCATTGGCAACTGCCTCGAGGGCTTCTTCGTCTGTTAATTGCTAATTAGCCTAATATGCGCGACGCAGAACTGCACAGAGACTTACCAAGAGACATGGTCGACATGTGTAAGTAAGGAAGTAATGGGCGATCAAGTTACAGGTTGGGGGGCGGTGATAGCTGGTGCTTCTGATTGGCGATTAGTTGATCTTATCGATAGGGTCATGTGACTCCTCCGCGAATTTTCGGTGGAGGGGCAATTGACTCAATTACTTACTCATAGTTGAAATAAGACTTCCTCAATTCATATATCACCACGAAAAATGTGGAACTCCCCCAAGGTCGGAATTCTCGGTGGCGGCCAGCTCGGCCGCATGCTCGTCGAGGCCGCCAACCGATTGAACATCCAGGCCAACATCCTGGACGCCGACAACTCCCCGGCCAAGCAGATCAGCTTCCACGACGGCCATGTCACCGGATCTTTCAAGGAGCGCGAGGCTGTCCGTCAATTGGCAAAGTCTTGCGATGTCATTACCGCAGAGATCGAGCACGTCGATACCTATGCCCTCGAGGAGGTCGCCTCGGACGTCCGTGTGGAGCCCAGCTGGCAGGCTATTCGCACCATCCAGAACAAATTCAACCAGAAGGAGCACTTACGCAACTATGGAATTCCCATGGCTGATCACCGGGAGCTGGTTCAAAACACCCCGGAGGAATTGGCAAAGATTGGAGAGGAGCTCGGTTACCCGTTGATGTTGAAGTCGAAGACCATGGCATATGATGGGCGGGGTAAGAATTACCCCGTGGGCAATTGGAGATGCATACTGATTATTCCTAGGTAACTTCCGTGTGAACTCCAAGGCCGACATCCCCGAGGCTCTCGAGGCACTCAAGGAGCGACCGCTGTACGCGGAGAAGTGGGCGTACTTCAAGATGGTTAGTCATACCCTACAGCCGCAATAAAACCCCGAGGAAATCCTAACTCTTTCTCTATAGGAATTGGCTGTTATGGTCATCAAGACCAAGAACGATGTCCTGTCATACCCCACCGTCGAGACCGTGCAAGAAGACTCAATATGCAAGCTGGTCTACGCGCCAGCCCGGAACGTATCCGACAAGATCAACGAGGAAGCCCAGGCCATGGCCCGGAAGGCCGTTGCCGCATTTGAAGGCAAGGGAGCCTTCGGCGTGGAGATGTTCCTTCTGGAAGACAACAGCCTGATGTTGTGCGAGATCGCCAGCCGAATCCACAACTCTGGCCACTACACCATTGAAGGATGCGGTATGTCCCAGTTCGAGGCCCACATCCGCGCCATCATGGATCTCCCCATCCCCGCCAAGAGCCTCGAGATCCGTCAGCCCTCCATCATGCTTAACATCATCGGCGGCTCTGCACCCGACACCCACCTCAAGGCCGCTGAGGCCGCCCTCTCCATCCCCAATGCAAGCATCCACCTGTACAGCAAGGGTGCTGCTAAGCCCGGTCGGAAGATGGGCCACGTTACCGTCACCGCTGCATCGATGCACGAAGCCGAGACTATCATCGAGCCTCTCGTCAAAGTCGTCGACGATATCCGTGCTCAGCGCACCGATATCAAGACCAAGGCTGTGTCCTCTACCCCTGGCAAGCCCGCTCCCCAGGTTGCGGTAGTCATGGGCTCCGACAGTGATCTTAAGACTCTAGTACCAGGCCTAAAGCTGCTGGAGAGCTACTTTGGCCTCGTACCCGCCGTCGAGATCACTTCTGCCCACCGTACCCCGAACTACATGGCCGAGTACTCTGCTGAAGCTGCCGCGCGTGGTATCAAGGTTATCATCGCTGCCGCTGGTGGTGCTGCCCACCTCCCCGGTATGGCAGCCGCTCACACTGCTCTCCCTGTCATCGGTGTGCCGGTGAAGGGCAGCGTCCTGGATGGCGTCGACAGCCTGTACAGCATTGTGCAGATGCCCCGTGGTAAGTTTCACCACATTCTCAGATCTGAACTCCGCTAATCTATCATAGGTGTCCCCGTCGCAACCGTCGGTATTAACAACAGCATCAATGCCGCTCTCCTCGCTGCCCGTATCATCGGTGCCTTCGACCCCGCCATCCAGCGTAAGGTGGAGGCCTACGCTGAAGAGGCCCGCGCCGAGAACATGGAGAAGAAGGGTACTAAGCTGCAGGAGCTGGGCTGGGAGAAGTACTTTGCGCAGATGTAAATCTGCTCCTTGCAAACTTCGCCCTAGTTTCACAGCCACGCAGATAAAGTGGTACCCAAAGGTAAAGCAAAAAGATTTGGTTTGAATTTGTTTTGCAGAAGATAGACGTTGTCTTCTGCCTGTACAGCGGAAGGCGTTATTATATCAGATTAGACGACAATGAATGACTATCAACAACATTTGAAAGTATACAAAATTATAAAGGACTATTTTGCTTGTAAAATCTAGGGTCAACTGAATTCAGACGGATGGAGATGCCCCTATGGAGAAATTCTCGCGTGCACAATCGATGATCCGGCATATACTTACTAGGTACAAGAAAAGACTCAGCCAGGAGAGTAGACGTCGCCCTTACCGAATAATGCGCATATGTGGATGGACATCTGGATCCTCTACCAAACCCAGTCCCATAGAATGTGGCTCCATTGATGGATCTGTGGCTGAAGCAAGTGGATTACCGACCCACAAGTTACCGCGGCGTCGGGACTAAGAGTCCAGCATAGGGCTGTAACAAGGCTATAGAACTACCTCTGACGAGACTACAAATTTCAAAAACTACAATTCAGATACCATAAGATGACATCGGAACTTGAGTAAAACTATCAATATTGAATGTAGAACAGCGGCGCGGGATATGTATTAGGCAGCCAGCTGGACAACCCATACTCATACAAAAAACAGAACAGGAATGCATAGGGGGAAATCATAACAAGAAACAAAAAAGCCAGACATAAACATCAGCGGGTGGGTTCAGGTCCTTACAGACACGGAGCTAACGCGGAGCTACTATGGACGTCATTCCTTTTGATGACAACTAGTAGTTGAGAGCTGTGCCATTCGTCACCTGGGTGGGGCCGATCTTCATCTCACTGACGTTCTTGCCATTGACGAATGCGTCGTCGACTTCATCGGAGAAGCCACGGGAAGGGTATCCGTCGAGCTTGCTGACATTAGCAGTTGCAGTAGAGCCCGAGGCACCAGCTGCGGCAGCGTTACCGGCAGCACCGCCGGCAACGGCACCGGCGGTTCCGGTGGTGCTTCCTGTGATGGCGCCCTCCGCGGTGGTGTGGGGCTTTCGGGTGACGGAGCCGGCGGGGGGGATGTTGGTGGACTCCGAGGCACTGCCGATGCTGAAGATGGGGGATTCCCAGCGCTCACCCTTGGCTGCCAGGTCGACGTACTCAGTGGCCTTGGTGGAGACACCGCCGGGCAGCTGAATTTCAGGGAACATGGAGTCGTGCATAGTCATAACGGTCTGGACCTTGGTATGCTTGACGACGGCCTCGGCTTCCTTGGCCTTAGCTTGGCTGCGGGCGCGGATAGCATCTGCGTAGCGGGAGAACATGCTGGGGGCGTTCTCGGGATCTTCGCGGGCAGCCTCGGCGGCCTTCTTGGCTTCGATGGAGATCTCGTTGGCCCATGCATCGCCCTTGTTGAAGGCTTCGCGGATCTGGGCTTCGACAACCTTCTCCAGGGCAGGGCGAACGACGCGGAAGAGCATAGGCTTGAAGGTGGAGAAGAGGACCTTGTGCTTGGACTTCTTCAGCTTGATGTTGAGGTTGTTGATGTTGACGGAGACCTTGTCGAGCTTGACGATGTGCTGCTTGTCGCCCTTGTTAACAGTGGAGGCGGCAATCTTGAAGCCAAAGCCTTCACCGCTAAGGATGATGTCCATGACACCGATGTCGGTGATGGAGGGGAAACCCTGCTTCTTCTTAATGTAGTAGCTGACATCACGCAGGTCAGCCTGGATACCAGAGGCGGCGATCATGATCTTATTGTCACGCTTGTTGGAGATCTTCTTCCGGCCCCAACGGAAGTAGTTGTCGCTGCCAAACTCGACCACATTAGGCATGAGGTTGTCACTCTCGATCACGAGGTTTTCGACCACAACATCAACCGTAGGGTCAGAGACCTCGATACGGGGAATAGGCACGTAGCGCACGTTCTCGAAAATGCCGGGCAGGATGATGTCACGGAGATCCGTGAGCAAGTGCTTCTTGAAGACAACCTTGCCCCCAGCATCGCGACCCAGGTCCTTGAACAGAGTCTGAACTGAATCAGCCAGAGCCTTGTTGCGGGGATCCTTGTCGAACTGCTCTGCCAGGAACTTCATCTCGTCGAGGATGCGGTCACTGTGGGAGCGGTAGCGCTCACGGATCAGGTAACGGCCCTTCTCGTACAGCTCGTTCCACTGCCTGGTAGCCTCATCCTCCATGATGAAACCCTGTTCACGCAGGCATCTGCGGATGTATGTGTCGATGTTCTTGAACCAACCGCGCAGCTCAGGATCCCTGTCAGCATCACGGTAGATATTGTTCAGGGACTCGAAGAAGTCAGCCAAGGAGGTGTTGTTAGCGAAGCGCTCGATGAGGGTCTAATGAGTTTAGCATCTGGATTTCTGTGTAGTTGCGTTAACACTCACGCGCAAGTTGGTCTCAACAGCCTGGACACTGCCATAGGAGCGCACATCCTTGACGGCACTACCGCTCTGGGTACCAACTTCTTTGGTATGTCCAGCATACTTCTCAGCGAGCTCGAGAAGGGTTTCAATGGCTTGTTGGTCTGTATTTGGTCAGCGTTGACTTCCCAAAGATTGATGCAATACATACAGTCGGCATGGCCTTGGACCTCGATGATCATTTTCTTCAAGCGCCAGATGGTCTGCTCGCGGCGCTCCTTGGGGATCTTCTCCGCTAGGTATTCCTTGGTCTTGTTGGCATATTTCCGAGTACGACTCTTCTCCGACGGCGTAACAGAAGCGTCATCGGCGCCTTCGGCGTTTTCAGCAATGGAAGCAGAAGCAAGACTTGCCTTGTCCTAGAATGGCATTAGTGCAAATCTCACAGAATGAAACGATATGAGAACTGACCGCCTTGTTTTTCTTCAAGCGGCTTTTCATATCCTCCTTGGAAACATTGGGCTTCTCGTGCCAAACGTTCTCCTCGGCGGGCGTGTCGATCTGAGCGAGCTGATCCTCCGATGGGCGCACTTGGTTGGCAGCCTTCTGGGAAGCATCGGCGGCTATATCGCGGAGCAGAACAGTTGCATCGCTCACTAACCGACGTTAGCACGACCTCGACATCCCCTGGTGATACTCACGAATCTTTCGGAACTCTCCGTTGGTAATCAAGAGTGTTCCCAGAGTCTTGAGACCCTGCAGGGTCTTCTCGCCATCCTGCTTGCCAGACTCCTTGGTGATAGGCACATTGGGAGTCTTGATATCGCCGGCGGTGATCTGCTGGGCTTGCCAGATGAATTCCTGCAGAAGTTCACCCTCATTCTTGGTAAGCAGCATTAGCTTAGCCTGCTCAATGACGTTGCGCAGATCTTCGAGGAGAACTTTGCCATCGTTGGAAAGATCGGCCGGTGGCGATGAGAGGGCCTTGGAGGCAAGGGCACTGTTCAAGGCAACATCACACTGCTTGTTCTGTAGGGAGTAGAGTTCAGTATAGGCGCACAATTATCGCGTTGGGGCGATTGGAACTAACAGAGGGAAGCTTGCTGTTTTTGAAGGCTGTAGAAGTATGTATTAGCGACTTTTGGTCCTCTTCGACAGTGGAATAACTCACCATGGTAGATTCCAAACAGCTGGAGCTTGGCGTTGATGTCCTAGTGCAATACAATTAGCGACCGTGTCGGTCTTCTTGAAGACTTATTCTCACCTGCTCCTTCTGTTTGGTATTGGTTGGACGATTCACGGCGGTAGTCATAATGAGGACCCGTGATATCTGGGGAACACGATGGGTTATGCGAGAAAACAAATTCTAATGAGCATTAGTGGAAGTCTGAAGGTTTGCAATATGAACAAACAGAACATACAAGGAAAGGGTGAGATTAGCAATTATACTAAAACAAGGGGGTATCACTGGAATGTTGGTATAGGGAGTATAGGGAGGAAAGAATTGGGTCAGGGATGGACGACCATATAAAATAAAAATCAAATCCAATAACCAAGGAATAGAGGGAAAGAGTAGAAAAGGGAAAGAATAAAAGTAGATCAGGCTTTACAGCTTCACTACGTAGCAAGAGTGAAAATCGATCAATACGCAACCAAATACTGACGTCACTGTGTTGTGCCACGACCGGACTAACATTCCTTCCAATGATTCTCGACCTTAAACGATTACCATCTTTCTGTTTGTCCTATTTCTTATATCTCGTATCAGTAAATTGATATAGACCTTTGTTCCAGTGTACGAAGAGACTTGTAGCCTTCAAAACAAATATGTAGCTTTGAAGGGAGAGCTGTACTAGATTCTCCCCATTTTGCCCCTCTTGAGTGGGAACAACGCACTAGCGTACCTTAGCGTCTCCACGTTAAACCCCATCGAGCTTAACGATCCGCACACTCTTACAAGGCTGGATCGCCCTTGCTCTTCGTCTCCAACGCTCTTGGCCTGTGGCTCAATTTAGGTCAAGGGTGGGGTATTCGGGCTTGAATTCAAATTGCCCAGACCTTTTTTTTTTTGCTCTTCCATCAGCTTGACGTCAATACGACGAGACCTCCTGATAACTGATCGGAAACGGCGACGTGTACTGCATACTGCAACATGCAATTATGTATTAAGTAGCGGTACTAGCTGCTTTTTGCGCCCCCATTTGCATAAGATTAATGTTTCCCACATTTGGATCAGCACACGATCTCACATAGCGGTGTTCAAACTTGCGTAACTTGGGTAAGAACCTTGGAATGGTTCGAACTGCGGAGAGATCGACCTATCTCTGTGGCTTGAAGTGGCTGGAAGAGGCGGTGCAGCCCCATCCGAGCTTGACAAATCTTACTTTTAGTGATGTAACCCTCTCCATCTATCCCTTGATACCCCCTTTCTAAAACTTCACGGCAAATTTAAACGATGAGATTTATACTCCATACTCAAACTCGGATTTTCTGCCAAAATGAAAATTGATTATCTCCCAATTCACTTAAATCTCCGTATCTCTTGATTGGAGTCGCAAGTCTCTATTCACAGCTTCTGTACATCCTTATCCGTGAAACTCAAACCTTCTATTTATCCCAATACCGCCGACTATCCTGTACAACCCTCTCTTCCCATTCCCCCTCAACAACAGGCCCGATAACCTCAACCACAAATTGCCCCTTCCCTAGGACCTCTCGGCAAGGCATATCCATCGTAAGATTCTCCTCATTGCCATCCCCAATCACGCCCTGCAACGCTTTCTCCGAAGCAAGGTAGACCAGCCGCCCGATATGTGCCCAGTAGATAGTCCCACTGCACATTGCGCAGGGTTCCCAGGTTGAAACCATCGTGCAGCGTGCCAGGTAGTCCCAATCGTAATTGTCTGCTGCGTTGCGCGCGAGTTCGCATTCCGCGTGTCGGACGTGAGAGAGGGAGAGGGAGGTCATTAGCGTTGTTGTGTTATCGGGGGCGAGGAGGAGGGCGGCGAAGGGGCGTTTGGAGTGGAGGTCTTGAGCGGAGCTTTGAAGGGCTAGGCATTTTGATGCACTAGCTTGGAGTTGGGATGGGGTGAGAGGGATCAAGGACATTGTTTGCGTTCTTTCAAAGTTGTGAGATGACAATTGGTATGCTCTTGTAGGTGAGTTGCGGTATGTTCCTGGTGGCCTTGGATGCCCGGCGATGTCCGACGATACGGAAATTGCAGGCCTGTTTCCCCTCATTTGTCTTTACGGGTTGTTACGGGACTAGTTCTGTGCCAAGAGTGATTTCGTGTAAACATGTGATGGTTTATTGGGATTGATATATACAAGGTCCCGAAGATTATTCTATATTATATACTGAAAGGTCATTCATTCATCAGGCCAAAATTTCGTCTCTTTCGGCCCTGGCCCTGGACGTAGATGTAGGGGTGCCCGAAGAGCTTCGATCATGAGAAGATTGTTTCGACGACGCACGAATCCGCTCAGTTGCAACACTCTGTGCCGAATCCTCGATGATACGTGCCTGGCTGTCGCTATCCGCGGGCGGCTGATGAGGACGGAAAGAAAGATCCACAAAATCCGATAGGTCGGTAGGAGCCGAGTTGCCGCTGCTCATCTTCTCCGCGAAGACGACGAGTCTGTTCAGGATGGCGTATTCCAGCTTGAGCTTCATGCTGTACACCATTGCCTTCAGGGAGAACTGAATATCTGACATGCCAGTGTATTGAACGGCGATAACGGCTGCGTCCATGAGGACCATGGAGAGATTGACGACGAGGAGTTGGATGAGGATGCCACGGTAGTGGCCACGGGGGCGGAGGTTCAGGAGTCGGACGGCTTCGAGGGAGTAGATACCCGAGAGGATGACTTCTTGGAGCGAGAAGCCTATGAGCTGGATGCGCTCGAAGACGTTGAAGCCACGGAGGAAGATGGCAGATTCGTTGGTATGGCTGCCGAGTTCGAGGACGGAGCCGGGGATGTGGAAGATGATCGCGTCGACGATGATCATGATGAGGGTTGCGCGGAGGATCTTGGGGTTTTGGACGACTAGGTGGAGTCGTGACCAGAGGACCAGCGACTGGCCGGTGACCATGCCGACCCAGGCGACGAGCTCCATGGCCACTGGGAAGCAGTTATCGTAGATATCGTATATGATGAGAAGGTATCCGAGGCCAAAGGGAATAATGCTGATTGATGCAACAAGCAGACACCAAAAGTAAAGACCGCCATATCGCTTGAAGGTTGCGAAGCAGAGGACAATAAGTTCTAAAGCGTTGTACCAGGCGACTCCAATCAGGACGGCGACCGCGATATGCTCAGCAGAACCGTTCGTCGCCGAGCGTCCGGCAAGGCCGAAATTTCTGCCGGGAATGATATCGCTCGACATGAGGGCATATTCAATCTGTGGTCGTGTGCGTGAAGGTCGCGTGGCCGGGGGAGCGGAATTACAAAAGAGACATGGCTGGAGCCAGAGTGATAGAGGAAGGACAGGTGAAATCTATTGAAGGATTAAAAGGCGATCATATAGACAATGTATATGAGGGGTTAGGTGTGCCCCAAAATTTAGAAACAAGGTCGAGCAAAAGGAGCAAAAAACGAGATAAGAGGCGAAGAAAAGGTACGAAGTGGAGAGAACCAGCCCCATGGCAGATATGACTTCAACATCATTGGTTCCTGGATTAAAAATATTGTGGGGGCTTTTTGATGGTGTAAACTTCTGCCACGAGCTGACAGGCAACGGGTCGGCTGAACGCTAATAATTTCCCCGAGAACGGCCGATTCGATGGATTAGTCGCCTTCGAGAAACCCAGAATGACTTCCTTCGATCATAAATCTTGGAATGTGAGACCATAGTAGACATTTCCATGGGTACGTCGAATCCTAGGATATGCTCAGGTTCCTTGGACCAATTTACATGGAGATTCGGTGTTCACGGAGATAAGAGTTTACGGAGTGGCCAATTGTTGTCCTTAGTCAAGTTGGCAAATAGTACTACCTGGGTAAGTAGACCGGGCGCATGAAAAGTTAAATGCGTCATGTTAAACTATATCTGACACTTCGTCATCCCGAATCTTGAATTATAGACCGCCTGCTTTTATCATGTTACTGATCCCTGATTTCCTGAGTTTTAACACAACGTTGCAAAATTTGCGAAGTTATGTTTATGCAAAAGGCGCGCCGAGGCCTAATAGGGGTGTACGATATGGACTGTGCATGGTAAGGCGAGTGCATGGAACTATTAGACTAATTTCTAACTGAGCCCACGTACAAGTTGCCCAATCATCAGGAGTCAGCCTCACCATTGAGTGACTACTTGGCACCAAATTTGGCTTCTGGACGAAACAATATGAATGTGGGCTCTTTGGCCTGAAACATGGGTCAGGGATTTTTACAATAATATGAAATCTCTGTGGCTTATTGACGGTTCAGCATGTCACAGTCTGAGGTTCAACACCCTTCTAGTGCCTGAAACATAGAAACATAGTAGTGTTATCGTCCTATATACAGGGTTGTCCGCTTAGTTGTCGAATCTCCGACAGATCGATGGTTGACAGGCGCTTGGCTGCGAAAGCTGATTGGCTCTCTTTTAGACAATCACAACACCGACCTCGATGAAGATAACCTCCATGTATCTGTACCAGTCCTCTTTGTCAGTTTGAAGGCGAGAAGGAATAAACTTATATTGATGACAGAACTATTTCTAACTTGAATCCATAATGCTATTTCACTCGAAACAAGAGAGCCGAATGAAAGATCATGATGAAGATGATAAAAGTAGTTTCCCACTTTCTGTTAGGCGCCTTGAATTTGCATGGTTTCCAGGCATCATAACAGTCGAAAGTCTACCTAGTCGTTAGCGAGGTAGATTTCCAATTATCGCTTCCGTCTGCAATATCGTATAGCCACTCTAATGATGCGAATGTAGGGTGATGCTAGCAAGCTCACTGGACGCAAGGGCGAGGAGAATAAGAGATCTTCCACCATGGAGTAGCCCTCCATGATTGATTCCGGTGAACCAAGCCATAATTTGAACAGGTCACCGAACGGATCAAGGTTCGTTTTTGGCGCTGAAAAACTAATGGAGAAGTCATCGCGCGATATTTGACTGATGTCCATATGAATCTCTTTGAGTGAGCTTTCGATGTAAGCTACGTCGTCAACGGACGAAATTCGCTTCAGGGTCAAGGTGATTTCATGGCTAAAAGTGGAACGGCCCTTTCCATGATTTATAATAGGAAAGTCGTATGTAGTAGCTTGAAGGAAATGGCATAAAGGATGGAAGATAATATCGAGCTCACCTCGGTGGCGTGAGTGCGTAATTTAACTCTTTCCCAAACCTTTCTCGTCTGGGCTCCAGCCAAATTGACCACGGATTTGTTGCCTGTTGATGTTATGCAGGTTGATCTTGTTGGGGATAAGCGCAAAAGTGCGCAGTTGTCCAACATGTCCCGGCATGGATCGGTGATCAATGAATGTGAAAATAGGCCGCTAGATAACGCCATCATCAAGACCGAAAGTCACACGTCGACGAGCTGGGCGTTAATTGACTCTTGTCTATCAGCGAGAAAACGCTTTGCTGCCTAGAATATATCTTGCTATCGAATCGGAGTAACAAAAATGCATCAGTTGTCATTTGAATTATTTTCCCTCCCTAGAAGCCTCTTACATATTTTGTCGAGGGTATTATCCAATCCTGACGGGTCCTGATATGGCGCGGGTGCATAACAGGTTCAAATATCCTTCTGGCGTGGTATTCTCGTCGAGTATGCAAGGTTCCCCGCTCAGATGGTCGAGCTTATATATATCCAACGAGTTGACGGCGCCTCTGGATCACAGACTACTGTATTGGTTAAACAAGCCACTTGATTCTCGGGGTGAAAATTACAACGATAGTCTGTCACATGTCCACATTCACCCCTTGGGTAGGTGCACCGCGGACTTTTTGGACACACATTAAAACCCCACTTGTAAAAAGAAGGGACACTATTTATTATCTTATCTTGGCTGGAAATATCATATATTCACTATAATACTTTGACATACTCTGTTTTCTACTCTGTTTTCCTTAACGCTGTGCTCTTCTCACATCCTTATCTAAATTTCGAATAATATAGTCCGACAAGAAAGCCTCCCACAACCCACAGCACAGCCCTCTTCCAACACCCGAGCAGTACAAAGTCTTCATATCAGAGCTCAACACAGTGGCCTACGATCCTCTAAAACCCTCCAAGCGATCCCACACAGGTATGTTCGTTGAACTCAGACCGGAGAATATCGAAGGAGACCTCTTCCACGTCAATGAAGAGGGGCATACGGTTCGAAGTGAAAGTTAAGTATGCTCCTAGAGCGTGCATGCATTTTCACAGAACCGAGATTGGATGGATTCACAAAGTCAGTCATTTATGAATAAAGGTTATCTTGCAAGCTTTGCCCACACCAACCAAACAGCAGGGAATTGAAAGTTGGAACAATGATCCAGCTAAGCGAAATAAGCTTGCTTGGACAAATGAGAATAGGGAGCTTTACGGGCCAGAAGAGCAATGACGGCCAATCATGAAATGCAATGAATGGACCCATCAGCTTACAATTCCGAAGTTGCGACGAAGAAATTTTGCAGTGCTAATTTGAAGGATCGGTTTGTCAACGCGATGGACTCACCTGCTTGCCATATGATCCCCAGCCTGTGTTAAGCTCAAATAGTGCCTGCATTTCACAGGTCCTCAGACTCAAATTGTATTCAACTCAAATTCTTCATTTCACTATAACCCACGCTGGCACTAATTAGCCTTTAGGTTTCTTCTGTTGAACTCATTCTGGACAGCATAATCCGCAGGGACTGGGTGGTTGGCATTCAATCCGATAGCGTGAGCCAAGACCAGCACCAATCCATGGAACTGGTCTACGACCACGGGCCAGGATCGCGGAAGCACGGGTTTGTCCCTGACCCAAACATCAGCCATTGGTCTGCTCAACCACGGAATTTACGGGATATGTGGATCGATAGCGATCCGATCACATCGTGAGTCTTTCTGGCGCTTTTGTTGGGAGAGAAGCAGAGTGGGGGCTACTAGCCAAATTTAATCGTCATCCCAATCTAGCTTTGGGTGCTGATCGTGGCAAGCTAATTACCTGCTTTGTATCGGAAAATGCCAGAGCAAAAAATTAGGGTTCACAGATATTAGGGATTGTCGCTCTAGATCAGGGTGTTGGTTTAATGCTGACGGAGAATCTCCGGAGTTGCAGTGGAGATGATGACATTTCAACTAACTTGGGCTCCGACGATGGAACATTCGATTTCATGCGGGCCATTACGCTGGGATTGACTATTGAAAAGGTTGTACATGCAGTTTCTGGACCATGAAATGGACTATTGGGAGACTACTCCATATGCGAAAATTCTTCCTTCTGCCCCTGATACAGTACATACGATGATGCAGGTGGCATAAATACTAGATCGATCTTGAAAATCAATTGCCGACAGTGGCTTAATTAGCTTGCCAACCTGGGAGTAACAGTGGCGATCAACTTGTCGGAATTGTTCGGTTTTTCGGGGGTTTCTACCAACCCACCCGGAACTGCCAATGACATCTTGTTATAAAACGCCACATCAAGGGGGTCACGTTCAAGGAAGGCAGAATCCGGAGCGATCCAAACTGTAATGCAGATCTGCAGCTTTCTAAACCAACGTGGATCTTCTGGAAGCCCCACTATGGGGCTCTATTGGCCAATTGAGACGCTTTGATTGGTTACTGGTTCTTTCTACAGCTTTTTGCCTTTCTCGAGAAACCTTAGCAGGAGGAGCTCGGCAGTTTGTTTACGAGTGCAGAGGCCTCCTGATCTCTTATGTTTGTTTACTTTCTAGTAAAAAATATAAAAAGGATGGAGGAGGGCGGAGAAAATTTATTCATACGGGTGGATGTTGCTGATGACGTTCTCCACTATGTAAACCTGTCAGCAGCATAACAGTCACTCTTCCAGTTGAAAGGCGTGACAAGGTTCTGTGCAGTCCAGAGAGATCTGCACTATCGATTAGTAGTGAAGGAAATGAGGGGCCGCATGGCCCATATAAGCTTACCACTAGCGATGCTAGGTAAGCCTTTTGGGAACCCTTATCCACTTCTCGAAGGGTACCTGCAGATCACAATTTGGAGAAGCGGCTTCACTGCCCTGCGGAGCTCCGGTGGTATCCGGGTTGTTGATATTCAATAATTTTTTACGCATCAATTTCCTCTTTCGGGTGCGAAGCACTTATGGTAGAATTGCCCCTTTGGTGACTTTTGCAGTGTTTATGTGTAGTTGATAGGGCTGCTAGATCGTATCCGGTATGCACTGAACTCATTATCATGCAATGGACTTCAAGAACATTTGGCTGAACATCGGCTCCGCCTGGTTTTAAGGAAATCAACCCTGTCATCGAGGATAAAACTTGGCTGATTTAGGGGTTTACAGTGAATCCACAAGACCCTGTTCTGATCCGTATTAAGTTTGACGTCAAGTGTACTATCTGTCTAGGTCCACTTCTAGTAATTTCAAATTTCCCGACTCTACAGCTAGCTCGATGTTGGCCCGCCTGAATAATTGGGGCTTGAGAAGTTTTCATTTTGATCGTATAGATCGCCGATCGACGATATTTTGTATAAATACAGGAACCTGCTCTTGATTCTTCTTTCTTTCTTCACACTCTTCCACAAGTCACTCCTTAGTCAATCCGACTCTAGTCATTCTTTAAATTCCAACACAATGAAGACCTCTTTCGCCACCATTCTCGCCGCTCTGGCCGTCAGCGCTCTCGCTGTCCCTACCCCTACCACCGGTCTGGGATCCCTCGCCGGTCTCACCAGCCTCACTGGTGACCTGACCAAGCTCGAGGGTCTCGACGGCCTTGCCGATGTCCTCAAGCTCGGTAACGTCGCCAAGGAGCTCAACTTGAAGGACCTCCCCGTTGTCACCAGCCTGGGTGACCTGACCAAGCTGCTCAACCTCCCCTCTTCCGCCTCTGCCTCTAGCACCCCCGCTGTCCAGGATGGTCACCTCGTCCAGGACCTCGGCCCCCAGCTGAACAACGTCCTGACCATCACCGGCACTGACCTCAAGCCCCTGCTCATCGAGTTGAGCCCCGAGGTTACCGCTCTGGTCTCCTCCCTGGGTCTCGGTGCCCTCGGTGTCCCTCTCGGCTCCGTTGTTGCTTCCGCCAGCTCCCTCGGTGACCTTGTCACTGGTCTTGGCCCCACCGTCGACGGCCTTGTCACCGTTGTCGGTGCTGACGTTGGTGCTCTCCTCATCTCCCTCTCCCCCGAGGTCGCTGCCCTCGTCTCCGGTCTTGGTCTCCCCACTGTCGGTGTTCCCGTCGGCACCGTCCTCGCTACCGTCGGTAGCTCCCTGAAGAAGCGCACCCAGATCGTCGGTGACCTCGCCCCCGAGGTCAAGGAGATCCTGACCGTCACTGGCCCCAACGCCAAGGAGCTGCTCATCAAGCTCTCCCCCGAGGTTGCTTCCCTCGTCTCTGGTCTCGGTCTCCCCTCCGTCGGTGTCCCCGTTGGCGAGGTTGTCAAGACCGCCGCTAATGTCGGTGACCTCCTCGTTGACGTCTCCACCCCCCTTGAGAACCTCCTGAAGGTCGTCAACAAGGACGGCTCTGCCCTCCTCATCCAGCTCTCTCCCGAGGTTGCCTCCCTGGTCGCTGGCCTCGGCCTCTCCGCCACTGGTGCCTCCATTGGCTCCGTTATTGCCACCGTCGGTGCCAACCTTTAGATTAGATAAGTCATTACTTATCTAGTTGTGGGCTTTGTTTTTACGCAGCCATGCACAGCGTTTTTGGGAGCTTTCTGGATACCCCACAACATTTTCTTGTGTATACTTTGGGACACCGTAAATGGTGCTTTCTTTTATGAGTTTTAGAAGACCTGTCTTCACGTTCCAGTCTTCATTATATTTTTTTATTCTTAATGTTATCATACAACCATTGCTCTCGAGCGGAATTTTCATCAAATATTACCCTCAGCTGCTGAAAAATAATTTAAAAACATCCATTGTATCTGTAATCCATGAATATTCTTCGTGAATAGATATTCACTTAATTAATTTCAGAGAACTATTTAGCATTTTCATTATTCCCCGCGTTTAATCTGAAAACTTACACCATAGCCAATGAATAATGGTTTTCTTAGCAACTAAATTCTAGGGGTAAAATGCTCCGAGATATCCGAATATAGAAAGTGTCACTCTTATTCATAAGGCAAAGTCTTGGATTACAAATCGGTTGGTTTTCTGAAGAGCAAAAGAAAAGGTAATGGGCCAAAAGAAACGAAACATACTGCCAAACTCGGACACTCCCGTCATAGCTGCCAGTGGCAAACAAGTTATTCACTGGACTGACAGAAACTGATCCAATAGCTGAGTAAAGGAATTTAGCAGATGTTGATTCTAGGCTTGGAGATTTTTTGCATACCTGTTCCCACCAGTACATAGAGGCTCGTCTGGCAGTTTCCGGCAATCGGGTCCCAGAACCCTACGCTGTGGTCGTCACAGCCACCCACTAGCCATCGAGATTCATTCGTCATGTAGGCGCTCAACACAGGCTTATAATCTTCAAATCAGCACGCATACATGGGATTTATTCAGAAGGAACTGACATTTGAGATCTTGATTCCGCAAATGCAATCGATGAAATCCTTGTACTGACACTTCCACAGTGTGATTCCATGATAATGTCGAAAAATTACCATCACATCGCAGCTGTTGGAGATAGAGATGAATAACACAACGATGGTTGTCCGTTCCGATCTCCTGGGAATCTGCAGGGCATATATCGGGATTCCATTAGTCATGTCCCATGACTTTATCTGGCCATCCGACGAAGTGTTTACTAAGTAGTGGTTATCATATGAGAAAGCCAGGTCGTAAACATCAGAGTTTATGTCAAAGTCGTTATAGTTGTGATCTGGGGCAAGGAGATGAACAAGGGTTTCAGGGTAATATCCCGTACCAGCACAGTCCCCTCGGTGCTGCCAGAGGCAAGGGAACGACTATTTTCGGAGAATTTAAGAATTGGATCGAGCCTGTGTGTGTATCAAAGGCCTGCAGGTTATTGTGACTGACTGTGTCTGAGGCCGCATCTCGAATCTATAAGCCATATTATCAGCCCTAAGTACGTAGGAAATCCCAGAACTAATTGGATACTTACCGTAACTTGGTTAATTCCAGCCGCTGTTGCGATTAAATTTGCCATCTGGACGGAACAAAAGTTTTTGTTACTAATTGCTGACTCGTGACTCATGGGTTCAAATTCGAGGATTGCCACACTTTGGCCAGTTGTGACATCGAATGCCTGTGCAGCCTCTTTGTGAGCAGTGGCCAGGTATCTGGCAGCTTGGCGGAATTGGACATAGTAAGGAACACTCTCATGGGAAATTCTATGCAATAGCTTGACCTTAAGCAAACGCTGAGCTTTTGAATCAAACACCGCATGCCAGTCTAAACCCTTCGGCTTTAGCCACGCAGGAAGGTGATTAACAACTTCCGAAGTATAGCGATATGAGATCCAAATACCGCTTTGGAGAGAGCCTTGCCAAAGGGTCCTTAGTATTGATATCGGCTTTACGATCGAGAAGAATCTGAACGAGATTTCCATGTCCTTGAAATGCGGCTGCACTGATTACATTTCCGTGCCGTGGGTTTCGGAAATTGACATTGGCTCCATGGTCGAGGAGAATTAGCACGGTCTTTACAGGCCCTCCGAATGCCGCTGTGCTGAGTGCATTTCTGATGCCAATTTTTCATGGATCCAATCTCCACTGCTCTAAGAGCCCCGTAGATAAGTGGTCATAATGTCATTCAAATCTAATGAAGTCCCATCTGAGATGCACAGTCTAAAGGCGATTGGATTAAATACATTTTGTGCACATGTTCAGTGTAAGCCTCAAGTTCGTAACGATAGTCACGAAGCACTATCAAGCCTTGAAATGCCTGTTCTCGGCATTGAACAGTCTTCTGACTAGGATTTCAACCTTTGTACTCCTATCTGTATCCCGAGAAATTGCATAGTGATAGGACTTGTACTGGCAGGAAATAGAGCAGATGGAAACCCACCTAAGTTGATGTAGACACCGTTATGAATATAATATGATTTATCGTCGAAAGTTTTATAGGCCTGTTTGTGGGTGTCACTTTGCAGAGGCAGCGTTGTGATTGAGGGTTGCATCGGGGACCTGTAGTCAGTCGCGAATTCTCAAAGAGATATGGATTACATTTAAGCGTTCGAAGAGTGGTTTGAGATCCAGAGCCTTATCCCCGGTCGCTTTCTGGTCATGAAATTGCAAAATATCTAGGGCAAAGGACAGGTTTGCGCGAATAGATGTTCCCATCAAGGTTCTGTGGGATGCCTATTCGGAATTTATATGCCACACGACGCTTCGCAGTCTTAATCCTACCGACTACTCCACCTGCTGACTCTTTCTTGATTTTGTGACATTCTGCTTGAAGTTCTTCCATAATTTCATCGCAGTCCTGGACTGCCTTTTCGATTCTTTGGACTAGGTCTTGTTCATCGGCCCGAAAAGTGCGTTTTTGAAGCGTAACGTGGAAAGCACTGCAAGACCTTGAAGCTTTTCTGAAGCTCTTGATACGTCTGTGTCTTGGTTCTTGTAGGCGTAGTAGAAATCTATAAGAGTCTGGAAGACCTGGAGGCCGAGTTGGAGCAGGCCTACAACACTGGCCGCAACGGAAACACCATTCATTGCAAGAGATTTCCTTGAATTTTGCATTTAGCAGTTGGAGATCAAACAGAAACAAGATAAAGAGGTGGGAGAAACTGGCAAACTCCTCGACTTTCAGGTAAATAGTACTTCGTAAGCTCCGGGAAGGTGCGGCTGAAAAAGCGGGGTCGATTACGTCGATGCCCAACGGCAACAACGGAAGGCGCATTTATATGGAGAGAATGTAGTGGGGAACTTTGTATTCTTTAAACTATATACAATTTGACTGGTATACCCAAGTGCTCAGAGGGAGCGATCATTGTTCTTATCAATGTTGGCAGGTTAGAACAGTCAACTGGTGCGAGGGAGAATGATAAGCTTACACATCACATGATAAGTAACCTACAATTAACGAACTAAAGCCTGTCTATGGAGTCCTTAAATATCAGGTGTCTACCCTGTTCGTCGACTCGGGTTGCCCTGTTTCTCCAAGTCTCAGATTGATTAATTAATGAGGGGGCGCGAGCGAGATTCAAGACTCTATTTTAACCTCTTCTGTGGATTAATATATGCTAAAATGTGTCACTGATATCATTTACTATAAATTATATTTGGAAAGCTAAGATTATAGTAAGACTCGACTCTTTTCGAGTCAGTACTTAACATTACCGGTATTTAAAGGATTGGAGAATTTTAAGATCGGGTCGAAAGTACAAGGATGATCGGGTACTTTGACTCAAATTAAGCATCGATTCATGCATACGATTACGAAGAAAAAAAACACAATGAAATCATAGTCAAAAATACTCAAATGATCGTCAGACCGACATTTAGCGTGTCGGGGAGCCGCGGTTGGACCCAAGCCCAAATCCACTCAAATAAATGAAATATGCTTGTGATTCGGTCTTTATCGCATTCGAGCATTCGAGTATTCGAATATCGTCTGGAGGCCAAGATGTAAAGATGTGGGGGATGTGGTCCACTTTTGACCCAAACCAACATTTGAACGGAGTTAAAAGATCCAAGGCTTTCAGCTGAGCCTCGTCTCTTCAAGTGGATATAGTGGACATTTGCTGGTTCTCTTTTTGTTTCATATTGAGGATTTTGAGAAATTCCGATACGTTTCATTTGAAGCCCAAAATCTCATTCCCTAATCTCTCCCCACTTTCCCACTCCCACGATATTATACAGCCTCGTCTCGTCTCTTTTTTTCCCCCCTCTCCGTCGCTTCCAATCTCCTATTCCCTTCGATCCAGATCTGGACCGAGGCCCACGACCCATTCCAACCCTATTGTTACCCAGTTTATCCGGTTTTTTTTTGCCCATCAAAAGTGGCTTTTCTTTCCATGTCGGTGTTTTGAATGGGGCCCGTCCCCCTTGCTAACCCGGATTTAAACGTTCCCAATACCGGACCATGTCGACCTCGTCACGGGTATCTGCATTGGTGAAACGGATTTGAATTGCTCTCTAGACTTAATTTTACTTGATTCATCTCGTCCAACCTTCTCGCATGTGACCTTCTCTCTCTCTTTCGATCCTCACTCCCCCGGGTCGTGGAGGTCAACCTACCCCCAAGCCATGACCCATCCCTCTCAGCCGTCCCCCGGCCAGCTTTCGCCGGAGTCGCCCTTTGATCCACCAGACGGTCGCATCGCTCACACCCTCACCGCGTGCACCAGGTGTCGCCAGGTATGATGCAATGGATACCCCTCTTCCCCAAACTCAATCCTCCCCGCGATCCAACTTGACATTGAACATTGGGGATATGAGGACCCCAAATATCACTTGAAACAGATCACCCAGTGCTGACTCATTGGCCCACAGCGGAAATCTAGATGTGACCCTGGGATCCCCCGATGTGCGCCTTGCGAACGAAGCAATGCTAAGTGTGTTTATTACGACTCCACCCGCAACACCACCATACCACGGACCTATATCGTAAACCTCCGCGAAAAGGCACGCCAACTCGAGAAAGAGCTCGCCGCTGCCGAGAAAGATATACAGCATGCTGCCGACGCGGAGCTCATGGTGCGGGGCGCAGGTCGCATCCGCTTTCAGGAGAATGACGAGCCTCGGTACCTGGGACCCTCCAGTGGTATTGCTATGACCCGACTGGTCATGGAGATGGCCAAACAGAATACAGACTCGAAAAGCATCAAAGATGTTGTCCCCGAATTCACCGCCCAAGAAATCAAGGCCGCTTTCGCCAAGGAAGACTCCAAGCCGACCTCGAAAGTGTACCCCATGATTAGCTCGATTCCGCAGCCCGACCTGCCCGATCGCGTCCTCACATACAAGTTGATTGATTTCTTTATCATTAAAGGTACATGGGTTTCAAGACCTCCGTGTTTGTTTGGATGACTAACTCTTTCATCTCGGTCCTTTCTAGCCCAGGCACTACTGCCAGTCTTACATGAACCAACTTTTAGACAAGAAGCCGACGGGGTCTTGAATGGCTCGACTGATCCCTGCCATAACTTCCAGTTGCGCATGGTCATTGCGATTAGCATGCAAAAATTTAGCCCAAAATTTGCCGGTCTCGCGGATAGCTTTTATCTAGCCGCGTTGCCATATCTGGAACCCATTCTCAAGAAAATGGACTTGAGGACTTTGCAATGCTTGGTCCTAATTGCTCAGTATTCCATGATAACACCGACACGAACGGCGGCATATTGGGTGGTAGGGACGGCCATGAAGCTATGCCAGGACCTCGGATTGACCGAAGAAGCCACCATCACAATCTCACCTGATGGCCGATCCCTAAACCCGTTGGAGATTGATATGCGTCGAAGGCTTTTTTGGGTCGTCGCATCAATGGAATTTGGACTTTCTCATTCTTTGGGACGCGCCAACTGCCACAGCGTCACTCATGACAATGTTGCTGTGAACTTTTTCGAATTGGTGGACGATCGATACATTACAGCCGACGGAATCGCCCCGGAAGCAAGGCCGATGCTCGGCAAATGCCTTGCTGTCCATTTCTTCAAGATGCGATTACTCCAGATGGAAGTTCGACGAGCTCTTTACCTCACCCGACGCGAGACTCCAGTTGATGATCAGGATCCTTGGTTCTCCCACATGTCAAACAAAATTGATCAATGGATGGAATCTTGTCCAAGAAATGACGATGGCAGCGGGCTGAGTGTGAAATGGTATAATTTTCTCTAACTTCATATTTCAAGGCTACGGCTGACATTCTTGCTCTTCCAGGTTCCAAGGAAGGAGAAACACTATTGTCATTCTCATGTATCGACCATCGCCTCAGATCCCGGAACCATCAGTCAAAGCAGCAAGGATATGCTACGAATCATCAACGTTCAACATTGCCATGCATAAAGAGCAGATGTTGACAGGATCGGTGGATTTGACATGGATATTCACTCAGTCCCTCTTCATGGCGCTCAACACTGTCCTTTGGACCCTTTCGTATCCTGAAATTCGGAAAGACCACCCGATCGAAGAGGTCCAAAGCTATTTAGATATGGCGCTGGAAGTGGTTGTCTACTCCGCGGAACGATGGCCGGGCGTTCAGTCTGCTCTACTGCTCTACAAGCGCCTTATCGCAGCTTGCTTAAAGGCGTACACCACGGAGGAATCATTCGTCGTGCACTCGCCTTCCAATCATCCCACCCCCACCTCTTCACAGGGGCTCACGACCCCTCCGGCCATGTCAAGTCCCTCCAGCAGCACAACTGCTTCCTATTACTCTCATGGTTACCAGTCGACCAACCATGTGCTGAGCGACGATGCCTCTGCTGGTACGTTGTCAAGAGGCCATTCTGCCGACCCTACTCTGCCTTTCTCTGAAGACTCTACACCCCCAGCATATTCAGATCCGCTGAAAATGACTGGAATGCCCCCAATAACAGCATTTGACATGCCATCATCGTCTACAGCTCCCACCCCCCCATCTCAATACTCATTAGAAGGCTTTTGTGCACCGACTTCACTCTACTCCGACGTTTCCATTGACCCAAATACCCCTTACAACTCGATGCCTTCGGTGGTCCCTGGTCTTCAAGGCTGGGATCCCAATTTCTCCCTGGCTTCCACCACCGCCAGTCATCTGGCTTATGTCGATGCCACCGTTGATCCCATGCAGTGGACGTCCTCAATTGGGGACCAGTACTCTCAATACTTTAATGAGCCTTTCCCAATACCGAATTGGCGTGAACGCACCCTCAGCCAGCAGGAGCAAATTGAGCTGATGGCATCGCTGGAAGAAAATATTCCCGATGTCTCAGCGCAATTGGTCCACGAATCCCATGCTTTTTACCAATCATAAGTATGGCAGGAGTTTCCTGGGAGTAATTGTTTTATCCTTTCTGCTTAATCGAATGCCATTCAGATGAGTTGGTGAGGGGCTATTTGAGAATGACTATTGAGAGAACGTCTACTTTGCATCGAGTTTCTTACCTTTCGATTCGAAAGGTCTCTTTGATATATACCATAGCTGCTTAAATACTCATGTCTTACTAGGTTAATCTAGCCACTATATTTCAATTTAGTTACCATGGCTCTTGGAAATACACGCACCGAGGGGACTTTGGCCCAAAAAAGTATTCTGAATGGTTTGATTCTTAGTTGAAAGGGCAGGTACCCTCATACTGGGTGCCTGGAATAGGTGTGAGGTGAAGACGTATATTAACTAGCAATTCTTAATTTGCCGAGATCTCTAATAATCCATGATTCTATTAGTAACACTTTTCCATTCTCTTTGATCACATTCAACTCCAACATTGAAACAAAGATCTTGAATTGAAGCAAACCTCTATTAATTACCATTGGATTCTTCCCCATTCATTCATCTATTCACTGCCCAACTTCAAGCCCTCAAGCCCGAGTCTATGGGAATACGTCCCGATCGGTTTTAGACCCGAGTCCCTCGTCACGTGACTGGCCCGTTTTGCCTCCATTCTCAGCGCCGTCTTCGAGAGCATCTGGAATCATCCGCCCTCCCCTCCGCCATCCCCATCAACCCCAACCCCGGATCGCCTGTGAGGTCACGAGGTTTCTACTTAGTGTGGAATGCATATGATCTAGGCCGCCCGTGGAACGACCTGCTCGCCCGCCTTGAGCGACCGTCGATCGACTGGGATACCCCCCTCTCTTAACGGCCCAGCGCTTCTGTCGAACGCGATTCGGACTTCCGCCCGTGGAAACCTGAGTCCTCGAACCTTTGTTCCAGCGTCAGGCATTCACTTGCCAGCAGGACTCTCATGTCGGATCGCACCCATTCGTCTTTTCCAACCGGTCCTCCTTCACCCTCTTCACCCGCCGCCGGGTCTCTCAAAGAGAATCGCCAGCTCCCCATCTCCTCGGAACACATTCCTCAGACCCCGACTTCGCCTCCGTTGATGTCTGTCAGCGATCAAAGTCATGTCTCAAATTTTGCATCCACCCAGGCATCACCCAACCAGGCGATTATCCACCCAAACACCTCCTCCCCTCCCTCGTCTACCCCGATGTCTACCCAGGTCTCTCAGCAGCCGACAATGAGTACGACAAACTCATTCCCTACCCCCGCAAGCAGTGTGAGTGGTCATCTCGCGAATGCGACGTCAGCGGAAGACGCAGATCACAAATCTTTCAGCCCCGGAATGCAGGACTCAAGGAACATGGAGGGACAGCAGGTTACAGAGCGCACACGAACCGATCACGATCGGCAGTCCATGACAACCGGTCCTGAAGCTGGCGTGCGCGATTTCGCCACCGGTCCCGGTCAGCAAGCGACAGATACAGATGCCATGGATGTGGATAAAGAATCCGCACCCCGGTTCGACGCCCGTAACCTCGGGTTAGACTCACTTCAGAATGACTTCACTTCGGCTTTCCATCTCTGCAAAAGCTGTAAGAACCCCCCAAGACTGATCACAGTGCCGTGACAGTCGTGTGATTACATTATCTTTTAGCGCATTCTTGAAGCAGACTTGTTAACGCAGTATTTCTTCGTGGCTTTACAGCACCCAGTGTGACTGGACCGGATCCTTCGTTGGATCTTATTTCCCTTTATGGGCTCAGCTCGGTTGCGCACTCGGTGGCAAGAATGGACCATGTGACAGGAGAGAAGATCAATCGGCTAAGAAAGTCCTACGAGGGCAAATTGAAAGGATTGGGATTGGCAGGCCGGAACAAGCCCGTGAAACAGGAGCCTGGCGCGCCTGGTAGTTTACGGCATCTCACATTGTGGCCACAGGAAGAATGGGACAACCAGAAGGTGTTTGGCAAGCAGATCAAGGTGGCAGAACTGGACTCGGCGCTTCACAGTCTTCAGACTAAGGCCATGCAACTGGAACCGGGCCCGGTGCCTAACAATGACTTTTGGGAGGATGTGCTAGGCCACGAAAAGCCCGTCAAGAACCAGGGCTCCGGTGATACGGGCAAGAAGGCTGCACCTACTCCTGGGGGACGTCACACCCCTCATGGGAACATGTCCGCTACGACGCCGCACGAAACTGAACGAGCCCGGCCTAGCCGCGGCCGTAAGAGACACTACGATGACAATAGCTTTGTCGGATATGGCGAAGGCTTTGCAGATGACGATGATGACCCTGGATTCTACTCCAACGGCGAGGGAACCGGGAAAAAGAAACGGAAGAAGGTACGGAGCTCAAAGTATGGCTGACGGTCAAGATTGAAACCTAATAACAGCCATAGGATCACGTTTCCAAAGTTTCCACCCCCATGTCCGAACGCGGCGGAAGCTACGGGGTTGGCATGTTTGGGATCGGCGCCAGATGAGATTGCGATGCCGAATCTCTCAAAAGCATGCTCTCCGCGTTTTCCCCCATATTCTTTTCAAAAACGCTACGAGGCGGTGGCACTAGTTAGCTCTTGTCTGCCATACACCTCGGTGCCCTGTTTTGTTCTTTGATTTCTTTATTCTTCTCAGTACATGTTGCATCACGGTGCTGGATATACCCGGCTTCATCTAACGGAATGGCGTTCTGGCGGGGCGGGAAACAATGTATTCCAACGCGAATACGACTCGATATGCTTTCTTGCCCAGGTCTGCTTTTAATTGCTTTTTTGTTGCTTGCTTTTTTTCGTGCGTACGCTTGATTTCCACTGCTGTAATGGCTGGTTTTATTTCTTGTTCCTTTTTACCCCTGCAAATGGTCCACTGCTGAACCACGTCTCTTTTTTTTCATTCCAGATGCTTTGTGGCGACCCATCCGTGGAGGGTGAGCTCATCTTTTTTTTCATGGGAGGACCTGGTTATGGTTCTTAATGTGTTTGATATTCCTTGATCACGACAGTGTCAGATAGTGAGCTGGTGCAAGGAGCCAGTGAATTGATTGAATAGATGAAATGACTTCAACCTGTAGTGACCGTAAGCTGTGTAGTTCTGGCAGGCCTCTGGATCCACTATTCAAAGAGGTGCATGATCAAGAGCCTAAACCTTCTTCGTTAGTACTGGTCAGTACCTACTAGGTATAATTCATGGCTGGTGTTGGGATGGGGATGGGGATGGGGGGAGGCTCAGTTAAAAGGAGTAGTACACCCATCTTGGTATATGCCAGAATTATGTATTATACTTCGCATAACATAACCACCTCAGAGCCTCAGAGCCCTACATTGATTAATTGCCGACCTGCTAAGCCTAACCACGCGACGGAATATCCACACCGCATCGAAAACGGCGCAATGCAAGCGAAACGCTATGTTCAGCCAAGCCCAGTCCCTACGGCATCACCGATATTTGGGTATCCAAGCGACCGGGGTGCGCGAAGGCGTTAAGAGGCGCTTTTTATGGCTGGATGTGTTGTCGAGATGTTTTTGGTGATGTCGGCAAGATAAGACTAAGACTTTTGGTGGCTGTTTCCACTTGATCCATTCACCTTCCACTTGGACAAATGAAGCGATCCAATCCCGTCGCTTTCTAACGCTTCTTTTTTTAACCGGACTTTGCTCCGATTTGCTCGCTCCAACACGCCTGCTTTGGCTGCCTTTTACCGGTGGAAAGGAAGTCTGTGCAAGTAGGGCTGTGAGTTGGGAGTATGGAACGCTCAAGCCCAACCACGTCATTTCTATCTTTGTTGGTGTTTTGGAATTATTGACGCGGATAATGACTGGATCACATTGTTTCTCGCTTAGAGCGGACTGCAGGCTAACAGTGAATAGAGCTCATTCTTTAAGGCAACGGCGGTTGTGAATGAAATCTTGGAGACAAGTTTTGTCATTACCCTGAGTCTGGATTGAGGCTCGAGCTTTTTTAGGAAGAACCCATTTGGTGCTTTTACTGATCTCGCTGACGCTACTGCATGGCGTTTATACTAGCGTCAAAGAAACGATCGTAGCTCCAGATACGTTCTATGTTTTCTCTCGGACCCACCGAGTCCTTGCGCAAGCCAGAGATTCCAGGCTGGCATTCAGCTGGCGTTGTATCATGCTGATTCGGATGTTTTGATTTTTTCTTGTGGATCAGTCCAATCATGTGTTTCCCTGGATGGGAATACATTGGCGATGTCCGACATCTAGAAGATCCATATGTTTTCACTGCCCCATTGGGCAGGATAAATAATTGATCAGAATCCCCTTGATCCTGGATGTAAACTGCTGTTGTCTTTTATCTATAGCAGGTGAACACTCAGTGGCAACATGTCGTCAATACACTCCTCGCAAATCACTCTAAAGGAGCGCGATCCAAATTCCGAAGAAGAAGAGCAAGAATGGAAGCCGGACTGGCGGTTAAAGTCAATCTTTGGCATTATTGGACTATTGAACTTCGTGACTGCCGTCGATGCTACATGTGTCTCTGTTTCGTTACCGGTAACTACAATACTAGTCCAGAATTCCCGTCTATAAACTATACTAACTTCTCAGACTATTTCCCAAGACCTCGGGGGGACAGCAACTGAAGCCTTTTGGGCAGGAACCTCATTCCTCCTCGCATCTTGCGTATTCCAGCCCATATTCTCACAAGCATCAGACATCTTCGGCAGGAAATACATTCTTCTACTCGCCGTATCAGCCTTCACTGTCGGGTCTATCCTCGCTGCAGTCTCCCATGGATTCACTCTGCTCCTCGTCGCCCGATGCATCCAAGGTACCGGAGGAGGAGGTATCCTAGCTCTAACGGAAATCCTCATCGCCGACCTCGTTCCACTCCGCCAACGCGGAAAATGGTTCAGTATCAAGTTCGGTGCCTCAGCCGTTGGCACCGTCACCGGCCCCCTAATCGGCGGAGCATTCACAGGATCCTCTGCCTCATGGCGCTGGATCTTCTGGTTCAACCTCCCCTTCTGTGGCTTGGGTCTACTCCTGATCCCCATCCTACTACAACTCCAACGAACCCCCGTCCCTATTCGCCAATCTCTCGCTAAAGTCGACTACTTCGGCTCATTCCTTTTCGTCGCCTCCCTAACGTCCTTCCTTATCCCAATTACATGGGGCGGTATCATGTACTCCTGGTCCTCATGGCACACTCTCGTTCCTCTCATCCTCGGCCTAGCCGGCCTACTCTCATTCGGCATCTACGAAGCCTTCATCCCAGCTCAACCCCTCATCCCAGTAGCCATCTTCACGAACGCCACGATATGCCTCTGCTACTTCGGTATCTTCCTCCACGGCCTAATCCTATGGGCAATCGTCTACTACATCCCACTATACTATGAAGGTGCTTTAGGCTACCGGCCTATCATAGCGGGCGTTGCCGTTTTCCCCGAATGTCTCACCGTCGCACCCATCTCCGTCATGACTAGTATTATGGTCTCGAAGCTGGGTGGTTATCGCTGGGCGCTGTGGAGTGGGTGGCCCATCACAGCACTGGGTCTTGGTCTTCTTTGTCTACTCGACTCATCGACCAGTGTTCCCAAATGGATCTTCCTTAATATCACTGCAGGCGTCGGGTGCGGGATGCTCTTCCCTGCTGTCCAATTAGCCGTGCAAGCAGCCGCAAACACGCAGTTCCTCTCCATGGCCGTGACGATGACAGCTTTCTTCCGGGTCCTCGGCCAATCCCTTGGTGTTGCGGTTGGAGGTGTGGTTTTCCAAAATAGGATTCTCATGAAGTTTGGGGATCATCCGGAGCTGGGTGTAGAGGTGGAGAAGTATGCACAGGATGCGTCGAGTCTTGTGGAGTATATCAAGGCATTACCTGCTGGTAGTGCCTCGAAGCTACTGATTCAGGCATTATATGCAGAGTCACTAACTACAGTTTGGGCGGTTATGTGTGGGATTGCGGGCGTGGGGATTGTGTCTACTTTGTTTGTGAAAAGGTATACGCTCAATCAGTCCTTCAAGTCAACGCAAGGGTTGAAAGACGTTGAGCATGGAAAGGAAGATGAAAAAATAATGATGGGTTGATATGATTCTCTATTTTTTTATACTGGGTTGGCGTTTACATGCATGCACATATCTGGGAGGTACCTGGGAGGCTTCAAGTTTGGCAAATTTAATTGGCAAATCTAGCGTGATTTTCGCTGTGAATCAATTTCATTTAAAACTTTTCAGGTTTTGAGCCAAAGCAAATCCCGAGATGGCCAATACACTGAGACGTGAATCTACTAAAAGATCGGGCCGATCGGCAGAAGTTGAATTGATAACGGATGCCGACCGGCACCCGACGTTCAATAAAGCAATCACCTCATCCAAATAGAGATACTCGTGGATATCTGTAGCTTCTATCGCAGGCCATGTATATAAGGCCGTGTGCCTACTCAGGAACTTGCAATTGCATCTGCATCAAGTCAACCCAGGCGCTCATCAGATGCAAGATCACCCAAGATGCATCTAAGTCTCGCTTTTTTTGCTCCAATTGCTCTTCATGCCGTCCTCACTCAGGCTACAAGTAAGGGTAACCTTACAGTTGCCATGGTCCGGGCACCACCTCCAGACTGGCCTTTGCCAGTGTATAGCTACAACTGGACTGGCATCATGCCGAACCTGAACTCTTCAATCGACAGAGCAATTGAGTATATGCACGAAGCTAAAGAAAGTGGTGCCAATTTTATATTGTTTCCCGAGCTTTGGTTCCCTGGGTATGTACTCCTAAAACACTACATCTGGTAAACGCTAAGGTGTCTTCATTCTCAGATTCCCGAAGGGCTCAAGCAACAACAACTAGACGAACACGCATCTACCAACCTACATCGAGAATTCAATGGGTGTCGGCAGTCCAGAATGGACGCGTCTCATTTCCGCCATCAAGGAAGTAAAGCTCTACGCCGGCATCACGTTTTCGCAAAAGGCCGGCGACAACCTCTTCATGGCTCAAGATTTGATCTCTACCCTCGGAGACGAGCTGATTTTCCGACATAAACTCCATCCTTCAGGAGTTGAGCGAGGTATCTTCAGTGACGGCACAATGGACCAACTGAAGGTCATCTCATCCGCTTACGGTCGAGTTGGAATGCTAGAGTGTGGCGAGCACTGGTATCCCAGCATGACCTTCCCCATGCAAGCCCAGGTCGAAAATTTCAATCTTGGTCCCTTCCCCTATATGGGGAACCCGGGTGATGATGATTATCTGTGGTGGGAGGGTGGAGAAGCGAATACTGGGTCGGTTGGCCACTACTCCAACCTTGCGGGTGCGTACAGCTTTGTAGCGGCTGTTGGGTATAGCTTCGTTAGCAGCCCGTTATCGCAGGTTATTGCTTCTATCAGTGCCGAGGCGAGTTTTGAAGATCATCCGATGCTTTACTATAGTATTGATACTACTGGTTTCAACACGTCGAAGTCTTATGATCCTGATTCCCAGGCTTCTTGGGCTGTGCTTCAGCAGATCTACAATGGGTTCCCTGGTTATACTCCTCCTGTTGAGGGAACGTTGGTGCCGTGGAAGAATGTCTCCATTTCTTATCTCCTGTCGGGGGCTTTGAATAGTTCCGAGACTGACTATAATTAGAAATAGGGTGAAGATATCCGGAAGGAGAGAGGGAATGATAGATGTACCTCATGTGCTAGAGAAGACATAACTTTTCGGTATAAAAGAGATCAAAGTTGAGAAAGAAAATTGTGTTTTTATACCTAGTACTAGTAGATAGCGGAATGTCAGCCAAAATGATTGACTACCGCTCAAATATCCGATCAAGAGATGATAGAATCTTCAGATACTCCCCAGCATCCAGAATTCCTCTTTTTCACCACTTCAATCCCTGGATAAGACTCCTCGCTGCATCATCAAACTCTCCAGGAACCTTCAGATTTGGATTCCCAGATTTCCTAAATGCCACAACCTCGAGAGCACACATAACAGTAATCCTAGGCCCAAACCAAGACCCATGATTCCTATGTGTATTTAGTCCAACTTGCATAACAGTAACACAAGCCACCAGCCCTCGGTTCGCCATCCCGAACAGCCTTTCCGCAAGTGCCGGAAACGCACTGGCAAGACTCGACCCCACGATATCAGATTCAAAGTACAGTACCATAGTCAGCGCAATGCGTAACAAATCATGCTTGATCCAAAAGAATTTAATGCGCAAGTACTCTGCCAGTTCGTCAGAACATCCAATGGTGACATGATCCAGGTTGATATCCATAGCGAGGCTTAATCGCTCCCAGCAACTCTGGAGCTGTTTTTCTCAGAAATCCCGTTTATTATGCATTGCAGAAAGTCTTGGAGGTGGGTCCTTTCTAGTGAGGACATTGTTTCGATTGGAAGGGGCCAATTTTCGTCCTGGAGGCGTTCGAACGAGGCGTGGATTTGGATTTCGAGTTTTCGGAGGGTAATTTCGGTTAAGTAGTAGTACCAGCTTTTTTCTTGGTTATTAGTGGGTGCTGTACATGTATACGAAGGGGTAACATATCCCGATGTGAAGATGTTATCAGCTGTGAGTGGATTTGGTGGTGTTGGTAACGACGGTGGATTCGAAAGATGGGTTAAAATCGATTGCTCTAGACCGTATTCATGCGCTAGTTCTCTCTTAATTCCATGTCAGTATTATTGCTGGAAGAAAGAATGAATATATGGGTGCCGTACGTTTCTGACTTGACACAACTCCAATAAAGTCTTTGCACAGGTGGCTCGAATTCTGACACAAGGTCTGTGAGAACACCAGACTTTTCAAATTGGGCTTTTCTCGTGATTCTTAGGGTCCTCATGTGTGAATAACATGAGTTGCTAGCCATTCTAAATTTTTCCAGGGCCTGCCATGGCTTTAGGTCATACATCAGATAGACACCCGCGAGGAAAAGACCTTGATCATGCCTTAAACGCGAGCTCTTCCATATAGATCCGAAAAGCGCTTGAGCTGCAGCAAATAATGAGAGTGAATTGCATATCGTAGAGCAGTGGTGCAGTCTCCGATAAATTTATGCAATGCTGATGATGAGAAAGCACATTAAATCGAGCCCAGTGCACAGTACAGGAGCTGAATCAAACATCAGAGTTTGAAGCAAAAAGTGAGCCTCTCTTGGACTTACAACAAAACAAGTTTCTTCATCATGTCCAATTCCTTGGTCTAAGACATGCTTACTATCTTTATGAATCTGCGCAATATTGAGGATAGGATTCTTCGTGTGTACGTCTTCGATAAACAACTTGACAAGATGATAATAACTTTTGGGTCTTTCGATTCATCTCTCAAGGGCTCAGTTGCACGGTTCATTGGACTGTGGGTCATTGTATTTTTTATTGCATCGCTTCTTGCTCCCGTAAACCCGAGGATAGGCCACTCTAGGGTGTCTCCTAAGGTTGTCTTCCACCATTTGCTGTAGGACATTCTCCCTGGTCTGTTGCATGTTGGTATAGGCATCGCAAAGGGAGACCAGGCATGAAGAATATCAGGCACGTCGGCTATATTTTCTTCTGGAGTTTGTTGTATCTCCGAGGAGATTTTTGATTGCAAGAGATTCCCATCAGAGAGTTTAGACACTCGATCATCCAAGTGATCCAAGCGATCCAAGATTAGCTGTAGAAGTCGATCATGAGTTCCACTCTTATTGCTAGCCCTTCTCCTCTATTCTCAGCATTTCGATTTGACGTTTTTTGATTAGGCACATACCTTGTTGACTGAGGACGCCTAATAGGTGCTTCATAATCACATCGCAATTTGTTCTTCGCACAATGCGAACAGCGCGGCAACCGGGTATCACAGCGAGACTTTCGCGCTCGACAGGCGGCGCAAGCTTTCACTGCGCGTTTGGTGACACCGCGAATCTCAAATCCGGTCTGACACTCGCTGTCCGTGTCCATCGTGAATTCGCTGGGATTGAAGCTTTTCAGATAGCCACGATGCGACTCGTGGGTGAGGTTGCAAATCCCGTAGATAACGGGATTTGAAGTCTAGTAATTGGGTCGCAGAGATAAGTGCTTCAAGATTCTCTTAACTTTCAGCTACACATGTGCATGAAACTGGCAATTTCTCTGATAATACTAGGTGAAGGTGCTATAATCAACATTTGTAGACTCTTCTCTTCACGTTCAATCAATTGATGCGAACTATATACTTCCATTCAACATTTGAACCAATCAGAGAACACAGATTACGTAGATAATCCCCACTCGGTTAAAACGAACCTTATCACCATATAAACATCCTTACTCATTCAACTAATACAACTATCAGCATTTTGAACTCTACAATGTCCAAATATGACCGCGCCCTTGAGGCAATCGACCTCGCTCACAAAGACGATCCTAACAAAACATCAACCGATACCCCCTACGAACTCCACTACGCCCAAAAAATGACTACATACCTCAACCGCCTAGACCCCTCCGCCTCCGACCTCCTTCGCCTCGCTATCCGCGCTCAGCACCTCCGCCGCTGGGAGACCCCGCGCACATCCTACCCCGCCACCAAGATTGGGTACCACTCCTGGCGCGGCGCGCTGCAGCGCACACAAGCTGCGCTGGTGGAGAAGATCTGTGTTGAGGCGGGATATAGCGCCGAGGAGGCGGGGCGAGTGGGTGCTATGGTGCGCAAGGCGGATTTGAAGAAGGGGGATCCGGATACACAGACCTTGGAGGATGTGGCTTGTTTGGTGTTTTTGGATGATCAGTTTGATCAGTTTGAGAGGGATATTGCGGATGAGGAGAAGATTGTGGATATTTTACGGAAGACCTGGGGGAAGATGTCGGAGGCTGGACGGGCGGAAGCGTTGAAGATTGAATTGTCGGAGAGGGGGGCGGCGTTGGTGCAGAAGGCTTTGGCAGGGTGATATGATGTATGCTACGGGAGATAGGTATAACTATAAAGGTATGAAAATTATATCTCTTTTGATTTAATATGATCAATGATTATATCTTATGCAACGCCCGCTGATGAGATCCAGAAAGAGGAGATGGACATGAGTCGTAAAGCCGTGAAAGAGAGCGCTCCGATGCTTTTATGCTTCCAACTGTACTGGCACTTATTGAGCACCACCAGTATCGATCAATCGTACCAATCCAATGGCCGCACCGGCAGCCACACCTCCAACAAATACCATCTGGATACCACCCCAGATCGCAGCAATGATGTTCTCACGACCAGACCAGCCACGCACAACGCAGGTCTTGATATACCCAAATGCAGCCAGTGTCACCGCCATCACTGCGATACTCCAGTACAACGCCTCGTTGACCTGTGTCGCAATGAAGTATGGGACGAGGGGAATGAATCCACCAACAAAGTATCCAAGGGCCAAGGTGATAGCCGATGTCCAAGCCTGGTTACAGTCAGGAGCGGACTCGCGGTGGTGAAATGTGAGCAGGAACTCCAACAATCGGTCTTCTGAGGCGTGGAGGTCGTTTGTAATATCCTCGACGACAGTGCTGGAGAGACCGTATGGCGCGAAGCAGTCGCGGACCATGGCATGTGTTTCTTGGGGTTCGTTCTCGATGAGGTTTTGTGTTTCGCGCACGGTGGCTTGGTAGGATTCACTGGACAGTTTGTTAGCTGGGAGTCGTTTCAGAAGTGGCGGTTGTACTCACGCTTCACTCTTCGCACCAACATATCCACCCAGACCCATGGAGATGGCACCAGCTGCTAGCTCGGCTAATCCACCAAGAACAACGACTTTGGTATTACCTAGTGCGGAAAGACCTGCACTCAACGCGAATGGAACGGTCAATCCATCGGAAAGACCTAGGATGGCATCTGACACGATACGAGGGTTGATGCGGGACCGCTGGCTACCGGTGCTGGTTGTTGAATCATCGTAGCTGACGGTACGACCGAAGGTATTATAAGAACGACCGCTTTGGGATTCGATGTCCCGGTCTGAGTCGCCGCGAACTGTTTCTTCATCATCGATGCGAGCTAGGAGAGGCTTGCCTGAGAAAATTGATGTTAGCTATGCACGTCGATCATGCCTGCCATTCTACTTACTTGGAAGTGGGTTGGATTCCCTAGTAGGAAAGATCTTCTTTTTGAGAAAAAGCAAAGCCATATTGTGTCACTTCTCAACGGTCGGTTGTGTTTTCAATATCCTCCAGGAACTGTGGGGAACAACGTTGGGTATCGGTATCGGTATCCGGTTCTTGAGCAGCCCGTGGCAATGTAATTGACGTCAGGTAGACTGATTATCTACACAAGATCGAAAAGTCCAAGCTGAAACAAAAAGCGGACCAGAGAGGATAAAGGGAGGGGAAGAAGGGAAATATATCAATAGCTCTCCGTGAAACAATCTTCGAAAGTATCAAAGGGATTGACTGGATTGAATTTGAATGGAAATGAAAAGTAAAGAATATCTGGATTCAAGCTTGGTCCTCCTCATCCTTTTAATTCCTGTAGCCCACTAAATTTTCTCACCGTCTCAGCAACTTCGAACCAATATTCTCCAGTAAAACATCCGGAAAAAAAGAGCCAAAAACTGGAGATGCAGCTGGGTCAGGGGAATCTCACCAATCAGCAACTATCTAAAGGTCAGCCATAACGACTTTACATGAATGAAAAGACTAAAAGATCCGCTCAGCCCAATCTTTCCTGCAGGAGAAAGCACTTGCTGCTTCAAATGCGCAACTTGCGATTGGTGGTGTTAGTTGTGATTACCATTGTCATGATTTTGATTGGTTTAAAGTGGTCGATCACGGAACTCCACAGCTCCGCAGTAACCTTTCCATTGTGTCATCATTGGCTCCTCGGACTTAACTTACGGAACTGTCTAGATCGGTCCTGTTACTCAGACAGTCGGACTTAGTTACTCGGAGTAGGGAAATTCCCAAAGCAACTCGATTAATCTTATATCCGAAATTCAGATGGACTACACACAGTTGAGATCGAGATCAACTATACCTATCACTGTACACATAGGAAAATAGGCTCAACAACTACATATTACTATTTATGAACGTGAGCATAACTACACCTTTCGGTGAAGATGGAATTTTCTAGTAACGTTAGCGTAATGAAACTGCCGTCTTTTGAGATTTCATATCCACTTCTCTCCACATTTTCCAAGATTTCCAAGGTTTAGAGAATAAGGAAAAGAATTGGCTCTAGCGAATCGCTGAAATACCATTGAAAGTGGGGAATTGGCCATGTTTCTACCGTTCTATTATGGAAGACGGGCTGTAGTATACTTGGCATTTCATAGCGTAGTTTAAAAAGTACGCTATTGTCAAAGTTTCAATTATCCGAGCATTGAGGAAGCTAGCATTTTAGCGCCATTGTTTGTTTCGGTGTCAGATAGTCCAAATTCCCAAGTTCAATTGCCAAGTTAAATTGTTGCTGAACTTGAAGGTTTACCGTAACATTGGAATATGAGCTGATAAATATCAATATGGATGCATGGGGATATCTTATGTAGCGCTTAAGACAAGAAATAGAAAATATTGAAGAACGTTAGATCCGTTGAAATTTACCTTCCCTCGGCAAGCTCAACTAGCCGATCCTCCAGCAGCATGGGCTCCCAGAGCTCCTTGGCTTTTTTGTTCTGCACCCGTAGCACATCTCCTTGGATATATGCCACGAGTCCACCCTTGCCAGTTGCACTGGCTGTAATGCGGAACAAAGGCAGTCCATTCTGGGGGTTGGCCTCACGCAGTGGAAGGAGAATGAGGCCTTGCTCCACACACCAGTTCTCCACAATCTCCTTGAACGATGGCTCCTCTGTAGCATGTTGCTTGGGTCGGGATGCTGTAGATGCTGCGGCTGCTGCGGCTGCCCTGGCCTCGGCTTCCTCCTGGGAGGGAAGTTTTGGCTGGGCACCAGCTGTTGGACGGGGAAGCTCGGCGGCCGCACGATCGCCAAGTTCCAGGGCCTGGTGCATGGTCTGCAGACCCTTGTTCCATTGTTCTTCCACGATGGTGAGCTCGTTGACTTCTGGCGGAATCTGCTCACGCCACCAACTGAACCAAGTACCGACTTCCTCGTAGTTTGGATCATTGGTAAGCCATATGTAGAGAATTTCATGCCATTTCGGGAAGAAGTCAGACACCAGAAGGAGACCCATCACGTTAGGCTGGAAGAACTCCTTCCACCGAAGGACATCCTCAAGCACAGTCAAATCTTGGTCTTGCGGGTTCACCGTGAAATTCTCACGCAGATGACGCGCAAGACGTGGGAGCAAGTGATTGCGGAGACATATATCGAACTCGGAGCGCAGGGCGCCTCGCCAGAGATCGAGACCCTTGATAAGTCCACGGTGTAAGCTCCACGAGTCCAACACCACGCGGAATTTCCTTTTCGCGTCGGACATAAGACCGGTGGGCTGTGAGGGGTTCGTGTGTCGTTCATCCAGATACTGTAGCCATTGGAAAAGCCACCAGGGAAACTGACCTTCCTGCTGACTTGAGGGATGACGTCGGCTGCTCCTTGGTTTCCATGCCTTCAGAGCGCCACTAAGTTTGGGTACGATCAGTTGGTCAAGAATGTTGGAAAGTACAAATGGCGGGATGATCTTCTTCCACGCCTCAACTAATGATGTCGCAGCTGCGGGATCGTAAACATCCCATTCATTCATAAGAGCCGACCGCACTCGTGGAAGCCAAATGGTGTATATCATGGTCTCATAAGGGGAAGTCGATGAACGCGGCCGGAATTCTTCATTCTCGTTCCGGCGAGAAAGAAGAGGTTGAAGGCGTGTGAGTTGAGGCACGAGGAAGTTCGGATCCTGCAGAGGATCCCACTCCTCCATGGCCTGGCGGAACAGTGGGTGTATAGCGGCAACGGCAGTCTCAGCGAGCTTGTACTCGTCTGCAATATCTTGGTATTTGGGTTCCATTTCTTCAAGTTTGCCAGTCATCTCCTCGAACTTGGAGGCGGTGCTTTCGTCGTGTTCGAAGATATCCAGCTCTTCCACGGCGGCGATCAGTCCGGTAAGATGATTGACTCGTTTTTGGTACGCATCCAGCTCTTCCACAACCTGGACCTCTTCGATTTCGATGAACTTCTTTCGTTCGGTGAGGCCCTTCCATTCGTCTGCGAAGGCTTCCAAGTCATTTCGAGCGCGTTGAGCAATCTTCAAGGCCTCGCCCTCTTCTTGGGTAACAAACTGCTGGGATGTCATCAACCCAGCTGTTGAGGTCAATACACGTTGCTCCTTGCCCGTAGCATCGACCAGGGATTGGAGGACATTCGGCACTTCCAGCCCCTCCATGTCGGCCACGATCTCTCGCGCAGTCCGGAATTTGGTCTTGGCTCTCGGGCCCGGGGTACCCGTGCCGCTGCGACTCTCTCTCCCTGCCTTTCGTGCCTCTTTCTGCTTTCGGCGTTGTTGTTTCTCTTCGTCGGAGGTGTCTTCGAGCGTTTCCCCTCGGGCTCGAGCCGCTCGTTTTTCTTCGTCGCGTGCCTGTTTTGTCTTTTCCTGGACCGCGCCTAAACCCGCGCCTTGGGGACGAGCCTGTGCTTCGATCGGATTAACAATACCCTGACCAGTCGATCCAAGACCTTGGCCTTCCACGTAGCCCATCTTAGCCATCATTCGCGCGGCAAAAGAGTTGCCTGCGGGACCTTTCCCTCCTCGAGCACCGCCACCTCCAGCTTTAGCTGATTTCGTCGGATTGGTCATATTGTTCCACGGATTGCGGGCTGCGCTGCCCAAACCCCCCATTCTAGGAGGTGACTCGGACCGAGAGGCGGCTCTTCTCGCGCCACGATAGCCGCCAGTCGGGCGCTCATCTTCGTCGGAACTCATGTCATTGACCTTGCGCTTTTGACCAGCGTAGGAGGGCGACGCCATTACTTCACGCTGATACCGTAAAGCACGATCAAAGTAAGGGACACCTGCAAGTAAAAGAAAGATGATGCGAATCGTCAAAGCTTAAGCTCGAAATTCACGTGGAGATTGGAGATTATCCGGGTTGGAAGAACTTACATCCGTCAGACGAAAACAAGATGACGTTTAGCTCGGTTACTTCATTAGCTGTAAGGTGTGATCCCTCTCTTCTTTTTCTCTTTCTCTCATAATATAATTGGCTCCCCCCTTTCCTCCAATTTATTTTTTTAAACATCACTTACTCACTATGGCTGCTATCCTTGCTAACTCGGCCCGCGTTGCCCTCCGTTCGGGAGCTTCGGCTTCCACCAAGGCCGGTGCTGCGGGCTTGACCTTTGTCCGCGGCAAGGCTACTCTGCCCGACCTGTCCTGTAAGCTGAACTTCTCGGCGCATTTGCGCTAGGACATAGTAAATTATACTCCAGATAAGCTTGACTGACCGAAAACTCAGACGACTATGGCGCCCTTGAGCCCGCCATCAATGGCAAGATCATGGAGCTGCACCACAAGAACCACCATAACACCTATGTCACTAGCTACAACACCGCTATGGAGCAGCTCCAGGAGGCTCAGCACAAGGGTGACATCGCGGCCCAGATTTCCTTGAAGCCCGCTATCAACTTCCACGGTGGTGGTCATCTGAACCACAGCCTCTTCTGGGAGAACTTGGCTCCCAAGAGCGCTGGTGGTGGTGAGGCCCCATCCGGTGCTTTGTCCCAGGCTATCAACTCCACCTACGGTAGCCTCGAGGAATTCCAGAAGAAGATGAACACCGCTCTTGCTGGTATCCAGGGTAGTGGCTGGGCTTGGCTTGTCAAGGACAAGCAGACCGGCCAGATCGGCATCCGCACATACGCTGTAAGTGGAAAGATAATGGCTGGGTCGCTGGCATATGGCTGAATTCTCTACAGAACCAGGACCCCGTTGTTGGCCAGTTCGAGCCCCTCCTCGGCATTGACGCCTGGGAGCACGCCTACTAGTAAGTTCACTCATCGCACCCTAATAGACAGATACTAATACTTGAGCAGCTTGCAATACCAGAACCGTAAGGCCGAGTACTTCAACGCCATCTGGGATGTGATCAACTGGAAGACTGTTGAGAAGCGCTTCTCTTGAATCATCTACAGTGATCTAGCGAAGTAATTCTTAATATCTCTGTATTGTAGCATATGTCTGTCAATTTAATCAGACTTATATTATGTATTACCTGTGGTTCACAGTAATGACTGGTCCTATGCCTTGATAGTTCTATACTGGGTTGCATAATACAGCGCGTGGTATACAACATGCCTGGCACCACTTAGAAAAGACAATAAACAAGACAAAATCAGATAGGTAGTCGTACATCTGGATTAGAGATTGAGTTTAAAGCCGGGGTGTTATTATTCTGTATGCGCAAAAAAACCAAGTGGTCTGGGCTCTCAGCGGAACGCCTCGGCCCGTATGCAGTCCGCGCGCGTCATCAAGGGTCTCGATTTCAAGCTTGCTTAATCTGCTTAACTCACACCAGCTCAATGAAATCCTCCGACAAAAATTATTCCATCGAAATAACACCCACGATGTCTGCCGAAAGCCCTGGCCCAAAGAAGTCCGGCTTCAAGTCGTTCTTCTCAAATGCCCTCCGTCCCAAAAAATCCCGCCAAACCCTCCGCAAAAACAGCTCTCGCTCTATGACAGACCTCCGCCTATCCACATCCTCACGACCTAGCACCGACGATGTACCCCCAATGCCTGACCTCGCTCCACTCCAAGCCCACCGTGAGAAATACAGACAAGCCCACGCAGCACTAGATTCGCAACTAGGCGAGCGCCAAGACTACACCACCATCATCCACTCGATAGGCGTGATAGAAGGAGACGATGCATACGTATCACCCGAGATCTTCAAGGAGTACCGCAAACCTGGCGAAGGCGACATCGCGAAACTCTCCTCGACAGTCTGGGCGCGGATCGCAGAATTCCTGAATCCGGCCGAAGCGGCCTCGTTAGCGATCTCTACCGTCACTCTCTACCGCCGACTGGGACCGAAGTATTTCGCTACACTGGAAGCGCCGGATAATCATGACTACAGAATGCAGTTCCTTGTCTGGCTGGACCAGTCTCTTCCGCACTATCTACTCTGTTTCCCATGCGGGAAGTATCATCGACGAACGGCAGAGGGCTCGGAACGTGTAAAACCCGCTCACGTTGTGAATCCACTCTTCAATTGCCCTGAGGCTACTAACTCGACCAACCCACCGCCCCGACACCGAATTACGCCTGGCCGAATGCTCCCCTTCGCATTCGTGCAGCTGACCATGCGCGCGCACCGCTTCGGACCCAGCTACGGGATCGCCGCCGACACGATGAATAAACGCTGGACACGAGATGGATGGTCGTATGCCTCGCGGTTCCTTATCCACGAAGGCAGACTTTTAATGCGCATAAAGAGCCAGACATTTGCAGCACCAGATCTGCCTCCATCTCAAGTCAAGTTGCTCCTACATTCCCGCGAAGACTACTGGCCATATTTCAGTGCGTGTGCGCACTGGCGCGATGGCGTGTTAATGCCCAATTGTCGCTGTGCATTGGAGCATATACCCAAACCGAGAAGTACGGGTGGGTTACAGGGGATGGAGCATAAAGTGCGAGATACGTGGACGGGTTACAAGTTTGATCCGAATGCGTTGACGACGCTATGTGGACATTGTAGACCTATTCGGAGGTGCCCGGAGTGTCCGACGGAGTATTTGATTGAAATGAAGCTTACGGAGGATCGGAGTGATCCGCGTAAGATGGTGTTTCGGCAGGCGATTGTTATTACCTGTTGGACTGATCTTGGGGATGGGACTAGTCCTGGTGGAATTCAGTGGGCGTCTATTAATGGCGCGAGGGATGATTATGATTCGTTCAGTCATCCTCATTATGCGAAAAGAGGTATTGCGAGTATATTCGAGGCGGCTTTTACGGCGGATACGCTGCCAGGTCAGAGGATTCTTTCGTTGAATCCGAAACAAAAGAAGTTGGGGGAGAAGGGGCATGACTGGTATTAGCTGTATTTCTATTATTGAGTTTCTTTCATTATGTCAACAGATCTATGGGTTTGGGTTGGTGTTTCGGATCAAAATGGTTTGGGGTTTGGGATATCATAAGATTGGCCTAGCTTGATAAGTGGTTTACCTGGATTTATGTTACGAGGTACTACATCAAATTGACTAGATAATAAAAGAACTTTTAATAAATCTATTGCATTGATAAGAAAGGCAATCGATGGTATGAATAATTAAAGCGCCTGAAAATCAAAGGACCCCCGGCACATGTCTCATTCAAATATGATGAATCTTCCTGACCAGCAGGGAAACAAATAAAATAGTAGATCGACAAGAGCGCTTTTCATATAATGCATCAAAGGAAGCACAACCATCCTCATATAAGATGAGTAAAAAATGCTTGGAAGATAGAGCCCGTGGCTCATTGGTGGGGTATCGTCATATATAAGTACAGTCGGAACAGGAATCATACCATCTTAGACGGTGCTAATTCACCCTGCGAGCACGACGACCCACATATCTGGGACGTCGAGAGGTATCTTCAGAGCGCATCGTCATCTCAGAGCGTGGGCGCACAACAGGAGCCTCCATGGAATCCGGAGTATCAGGACGCTCGGAGACAAGTCCGTTATCTTGAGCGAGGCGCGAAGAAGCACGGGTGGGTTGTTCCTTGGATTCGGATTCGGAAAATTTCTCAGCGACAACGGGGGTTGATGGCTCAGACCGTTTCCCGCTTACACCCTTCATCCAGCCGAAGATTCCGAGGGAGCTGCGACGCTTGTGCTCTACGCTGTGAGATGTTGTTGGGCGCGCTGACACGGTGGCAGAGCCGGGGGGATGGATTGATTCTTTTGTTTCCATGAGAGATCGGTGCAGGGCTCGAGAACCACTGAAGCTAGCACCGAAGGCTTCAGTGGTAACGGGAAGACTGGATGAGTAGAAGTCGTTGGAATTTGTGATTATTTGGGACAGGGGACGACGTTTTGAGGTGGCCACATTCCTTGTTTTCGGAATGATAGGGGATGGCGCACCATCTTCATCATCATCATGCTCATCTCTGAAATTTGGGACTGATGGAGAGTGTTGGAGATGACGAGTACCATTGCTGGAACGACCGAAGAAGGGAGGTCGGAAACTGAGACGGCGTCGTTGTGCCAGATCGGGGGATTCGACCCTTGGGGCAGAGAACTCGGCGATGGGCTGTTCCAGTACATCCAAGGTATCCAGGTCAAGGGTCGGTACATCAGCGGCTTCAGGTTCAAGTACGTAGGAGTCGGCACTCGCGTCGTCGTGGAAAGCGTTCTGGCTGATCACTAGGTGATGAGGGTTCACATGTTTGGGCTTGATGCGAAGGCCACTAGCTCTCTCTTTGCGGGACCGCGGGCCTTGCTTTGCGGCCGCGACCCAGTCTTGGGGTGTCAGCGGCGGTGAATCACTGAGCGAGTCAACTGTCTGCGTATCCGAGATAACGGTCTTTGACGGGCTTTGTGATGGAGTTACCATTGGCGCTGCCTGTACCCTGCTGTTTTGAACGAAAGGATCGTTGAAAGAATCAAGGACAGGGTTGTTGGGGCTACCAGGTCCAAGAAGCGCACTGGCTTTGGAGGCGACGGTGTTGAAAGGGAAGAAAGAGGGCGAGTCCACATAAGTCGCGGAAACACGAGGGGTATCACTGCAATTCGGCTGCATGCTATCTGTGATATCACTGCCGTTGAAGCTCGGTCGAGAGGTGAGTTCATCTGCTGAGCGACGACGGACAAGCGGTGGACCAGCAAACCATTCCTCGCCTGAAGGCTTGGGACTCTTTCGAGCTGTAATGCTTCCGTTCGAGCCATTGTTAGCTGTGGCATAAGCTGTGCTCATCGTATCTGGAGTTGGAGGAAGCTGGGCACCTCCAAAGAGTGATGCGTCAAGTTTCCCACGTCTACGGGGCTTGTTTGCGTATAAATCGCCCGTAAATGTTAAAATGCTTGCCTTCGAAGCATCGGAAGCTGCCCGTGTTTGCCGTCTCCTAATTATAGTCTGAGAGTCCGTACGTGTCTGCATCCACCGGTCGATTTGATCCTCTTTGCTCTCCTCTCGTTCGGTTGGAGCCGCGTAGCTGTTCACACTTTCACTTGATGTCTTCCGGACGGGGATGTCAAGCTTATCAAAATCGTTCCACTTTTTGGGAGTGTCGAATGGATGCAGCTCGCTACACTCGCTGAGGACACTAAGTCGCGGGGACCCAGGCTCCAAAGTGTCAGTCATTGTGTGTATGCTTTCGGACTTGGTGAGCTGACTCAAGGCCGAGTGAGACACGTTGGTATCGGGAACATAGAGACTGCGAAGCGTGGCGGTGCTTTGGTTATCATCGCGTAGAAAAGAGGGTGCTTTACTGAGCTCTCGCAATTCAGGTGACATGAACACACCTCGTGCTCTCTTGGATGAAGTTCGTTCCGGGATATCGATCATGAATTGCTTAGGTGTTGTAGCATTCGGTCCGTCAAGGACAAGTCTGTTCATTGAAATTTGTGACGTGCGTCCGTTGTTCTTGAGTACCTCATTCTCGGCCTCCAGCTTGCAAATCCATTGAACCGCCTCCTCTACAGCTTTGTCTTTCGTGTCAAGGTCCAGGCGGAGCTGTGTATTGGCTTCTCGAAGGCCTTGAGTACGTTTGTTAATCGCACGCAGTTCGACCACTTCCTCTTCCAACATGCGCAGTCGGCCAAGCTCCTCCTCCATCGCATGCATTCGCTCCAGCTTCTTCTCCATGGCGGTCATCTGCTGTGTGCGGTGAAAGATCTCCAATTTCAAGTCAAAATTGAGTTTGGTTATTTTCGAAACGTACTGTTGGGGTCAGCATTGATAAGGACAATCTTCGAGGTCGATGCCTACCTGATCCATCTCGCGCACGCCCATATCCTTCATATGTAACCCCGCAGAGATCTGGCTGGCTTTGCGTGCCTTCTCTGACGCTGTGTCTTCTTGTACCCGCGACCTGTCTGGGGTTCTCGGACTTTCCGCTCCGTCGTCTGAAACTCCTCCACGTGAACCACGATGCGCGCGCTCTTCCCTCAATAGGCCCTGCAGCAAACTGGATGTCGGGTTGATTAATGTTGGAGTACCACTTTCTGGTGTTTCTAGGCCATCGTTAGATTCCTTCTTTTGTCATCAAACAGCAGGAAGACATACTGTAATGTTGCGGTGGTGTCCTAACATCACCTCGCGCGGGTGATTGATCATTGAGCCAAGATCGCTCGGCGCCGTTGCGGGGCGGAGTATACATATTGCTTCGGCCCTTGACACGAGAAAGCGACGGATGCTGAGGTCGATCAGACTGACCTGAAGAAATGGAGGTGTTAGTCTCAATTGGGAATATTTGGAATCAGTCTGAGCTTAGACTGATCTCAAAGGACAAGGATTGACGTACTACTGCTCGAGAGACGCTTGGAGGACGCACCACGGGCAGTGGGAGCAGTTTCAGTCTGATATACCGGACCCTTTGAGTGCGAAGGGGCCTCCTGCGTGGAAGCGCTTCGCTTTTGAGTTCGGCGTTCTCTTTCCATGGCTGCATGTAATTAAATTTTTTTTTTTTACTTTTTTTTCAATTCATGCGCATAGTTGACGCACTGCGGGTCTGCCGTTTTGGGGGACGCCTGCGCCCTGGATCAATCAGCGTGGAGATTAAATGCGCGATGCAGGTCGAGACGCCACTTGCATCGGGTAATTTATTCAAGTATTGGCCGAATTGTAGGTGCGATTGGGTGAGATTTAGAAAATGTATCGGACGATCCAAAGTAGACGTGGGAGAAGCGACTGCAGGAAGCGAGGGATGGAAGACAGGAACAGGAACGCAAATCACGAAAGATCTTGGGTGAACGGGTGGAGACTGAACCAGAAACCCTGTTCCACTGGTGCTAGGGTCGAGTCCCAGAGGTATCGTGAAGTGAGGGGACAGAGAGAATTATGATGAGTCGCGCCTCACATGGAGCCAAGGATCGAAAAATAAAAGATAAAGGAGAGATCGGAAAATGAGACGATCTTCGATCTTAGATGTTTATTGTTTGGCCCAGGCCTAGGGAACGGGAATGAAGACAAAGAATGGAAGAATGATAGAAAAGCATAATTTTCTCGGATTCCCAAGGTTGTCACAGAGAAAAAAGAGTCCAGCCCTCTAGTAAAGTCGATCAACTGTTCCTGACATCAAGTCCAATCGGGTGATGGTGGGGCTTCGTCTCAGCTTCCCTTACATTCGTTAAGGGGCTGAAACTAACAAGTTTTAGTCTCATTTACATCACAGTATTAAATTGTTTCTGTATATTCAACTTTGTACTTTGTACTCCGTACATACTTCCGACAATAGTAACTCCCTACATTCCTACTCCAGACGTTTATTTTATCTTTATAGATCCACTTTTCTATGCTCTTATCTACATGCTGCTTTCCGTTCGCTAGGTAATCGGTAGTTGGTTGTTTGTCGCGTGGCTGAACTACCCCCTTTTCCAGCTTATGTGTCTACGTGATTCATAATTTGTGACTGGATACATCGGATATGCTGATCCTTTACCTGTCCACTTGCCCCGCGCTCCACGTCACATTAGAATTTCCGGAACCCCCCTAATACATGTTTTTATAGTTTCTTCCGTTCCTCCGGCCCAACTCAAGTATATTAGTCAAGTACAAAGTAGATCAATAGCATTTTGTTAAAATCAAATGAAGAACTAAATAGAATATTGAATTTAATGGCATGATGGATCTCATGACAGGCAGTTAATGACTCCAAGGACGAGCGCAGCTCAGCCCAAGTCACCCCGCCACCTTCGCACAGTCTCACTTTCGCTTTGCCTCTCCAGCCCATATCCGCATCGCTTTTGCCCGGTCGTGCGCAGCCCGAAACACTACCATGGATTAGCATAATCCATCCAATAGTTCCCTGTTCCGAAGTCAAACATACATTGTCGCTCTGTCTCATCCAGTCCACGTAGGAATTCGACACCGTCACCTACTGCACCCCGCGGGTTGTGGGCATGGTCGGCAATCTCTGCTGCTCGGCGCTTGAAAGTCTAGACAATTGTGAGTTGTGATTGGATGTACCGCTGGGATGGACAAACATCGCTCAACACATCCACCAATTCTTCCTCTTCAAATAATTCAAGAATCCGCTCGCTGAGATTATAGAAATGTGGTGCTAGCGCTCGCAAATCCACGGTGCGGGGGTCAGCTTTCAGTGCGTTCATCACTCGCTCGGAGAGCGCCTCGGGCATATCGAGTGTGACGAGACGTGATGTCCCGATTCGAGCTCTGGATAAGACCCAAACGTTATCAGAACTGATGTTCTCAGGCAAGTCTAGATTTAGGATCTTTATCTCACGCGATAGAAAGCATTTCACCAAGCCATAGTGGAAGGTCGATGCGGGTTCCCGCTTTTATCTAGACAGTATTAATGACCAGGTTGACGGTGATATATCAAAATAAGCGTACGTCTTCGCCGGGGTTGCCCTCCAGGACGCCTAGTCCAGGGACCTCAAGCTCGAAGGTACATGGCAGTTTCTGGACGCCGTGTTAGCTGTGGTGCGGGACTTTGAGCCTTTAGCTGAGACCTCTCATCTGGGGGTATAATTTCACCTGAGCATCAGTCAAGATTGAGTCGATGTCATAGTAGGACATGTTGACCCATTGGACGAATGGTTCCCTAGGATCGATCGAGCTGAGTGCTGTTATCAAGGCGCGTCCGCGTTCCGCTTTGGATGGCGCGCGTAGTCACGTGGTTTTGTAGGTTCTTCCAAATTGGGACTTGATAGTCTTGGCAGTGTCATGATAATTTATTGACTGCTATCACACTGTCAGCTCCTAAGTAGCACTTTTGAGCCTGTGATCTAGTCTGATCTATAGCATATGATATATCCCTTTACGACAGGATCCTATACTTGGATATCAAGCTATTGATCAAAAATTTGAGCGGGTAATCCAATAATCCGGACATGGTGTAGTTGGCTATCGCATCTGACTGTAATAGAATTTCAGTTTATCAGAAAGTCCGCGGTTCGATTCCGCGTGTCCGGATAATTTTTTTGCCGCTTACAAACAATAAACACTTGGTAGTTACATTCGCCAAACAATCAGCACCATCTTTAACCATATTGTCAGAATAGGGATTTCATTCTCCAGTAGCTACGTCGCCGAGTCGAAGTGATGGCACGGTCGTACAGGGATGTCGAATCCCTCCACCTAGTTATCTGGGACGTGGCACGGAACGATCCTTGTGGAGAACTCGGCACCTAGCTTCCATATTTAATCCCGATCAGTGCTGCATACCCTTATCGCCTTTCTCTTGTACTAAGTACAGTGTGCATTACCCACCATGTGGGCAGTGGCAATACCCCTGTGTCGATCGAATAATCGACACGATCAACCTGTCTTGGTAGTCTAGTCAACTAAGCGAGCGAACGGACAGCTCACATTGATCAACTCCGAGCCTGGTGTTCTTACATTGACACTTTTCCTCTATTTGACGCATACTCTTCTCAGTACTCCAGCTCACCCATTTTAAGTTTTAATCCGACCACAGAACTGGACAATGATCGATGAGGATACGCCACTGGCTGAGCCCCAGCCACTCTTGGATTACGATACGGAATCCGGAGATGTAGAACCAGGGCAAAAATCATCACATATTGACCCCATGTTCCTTTCTATTTCTCTACTAAGTATGCAAGTCAAGCCATACAAATGGTACTTTATAAGCTCCGCAGTGGAGATTCTGACGTATAATCGATAGGCGTATTTCTCGCAATGGCGGATGAAACATTTATCTTGTCTACACACGATGAAATTGCGTCAGCCTTTAAACGGGTCTCTTGGGGACCCTGGCATATATCAGCGTACAATCTGGGGTTGATACATGATCACCCTTCCTTTGGTATGTTTCAGGTTGCTTCCTTTACAGGATAGTAATCTGGTGGCAGCTCTGGAGTAGTATGGGAGGCTTAGTGATATATATGGTTCGAAGGATGTACTGTTGACGGCATACCTGATGTTTGCGGTTGGATGTGTGACCACGTACGTGAAACCTTGAAATTTGGAAAATATTGGAGAGATTCCACAATTTTGTGTTTTGGCTTACCGTCTCTGAAGTGGCGCAGCGCCTTCGATCTGGTTTGCTATTGTCGGAAGATTCATGGCAGGCGTTGGAGGCTCTGGCATGAACGACATGGTGAGCGTGATTCTCAACGGTGGGATATTTGACTCTCGTTCTACTGTTGAGGAGACAGCTAATGAATGAGAATCAGATTTGGCCTCCCCGAGAGAGGTTGCGGTATTGCGAACTTATGTTGTGGGAATGGCATTGCCATTAGGTATGACCACTGGAGGTGCTCTTGGCGGAATTCTTATAGACCTGGTGGACTGGAGATGGTAATTTAATAACTATCCCAATATGTGATGAAGGTCTACTAATGCGCATGCGTACAAGGTCATTTCTACTACAAGTGCCACTGGCTTTGCTCTGCTTCTTTACTACTCTTTGGAAACTGCAATCGCCTCCAGGAAATAGTTCAGAGGGAATGCCAGGATCACAAGAGGAGCCTACCAACACTGTGAAGCCCGAAATGAATATATCTGGCGTGTTCCTCCTGGGGGGTCTTATCGCTAGCTTCATGGCACTCTGTCACGCTGTTGGCAAAAAGGGACCTCAGGGAATCATGGTGGCTATTAGTGTAGGGGCACATTTCGTTAGGCATTGCATACGGATATAATGAGCGATTCTTGACAAAATCTCCGCTGATATCACTTGACATGATCCAAACAAATCAAGTCTGGGTAATCTACCTGGCGGAGTTTCTCGTATAATTCGCACTTTTTGGAGTAAGCCATAGGCAGATTCATCAGACGTCCCCTCTAACTGACCATCATGAAGATTTTTCCAAGTATCGGCGACTTTTTAACCAGAGTCAAAACCGCCACAAACCTATTCTCTGGATTCAGCTTCATGGTTTTGACACTTGGTGGTGTTTTTGGATCGGCTATTGCTGGATATCTAATACAACGGTAACTCATCGCCCCAGAACAATATTAGTCATGAATTTCATCGAGCTGACTGGCTCCACGCAGCACTGGTAAGTATAGGGCACTGTCATTCGTTGCCTGGATCATGATATCGATTAGCACCATTCTCATCATGCTTCGATGGCCTTGAGGATTTCATAATTGGGAACTGGTATATCTCGCGATCGAAGGGTTTGGCACTTGGATGTTGAGTTCCACTTTATTTGTGGCCGTATCAATCTCAGTGTCCAAAGACAAAGCAGCAAGCGCTATCACGATTTACTACGTATTTCAGCATCTGGGAATAATGGTGGGCACAACAACCACGGCAGCAGTTACACGAAGTGTGTTCCAGGGTCAGCTATTGATGAAGCTTGCCATGGAGCCCAATCTAAAGGAGGTGAGGATATCTTCTGGAAATGATATCACTGGATCAATTGACCAATGTCCCACAGATTGTCATGAATATATTACAGGACAACCGGTTTGCGTTTGCGCGCCTTTCTGGCAAGCTTCAAGTGGCTGTGGCGAATTGTCATGTGCAGGCATTTTTTGCAACTCCAAGTAAGTCTTAGAAAGTATCAAAAGATTTTACGCCGAACCTGACAGGTCGACAGTGATGTGTGCCATAAGTTTGGCGTTGGCTTTTCCTGCTCTTTATTACCTGCCGCAACGATCTCTTGACTAGTCGGACGCTCATGGTGAGTTCAAATGTCAATGTTAGAGGGTAAAAATACTATAAGAAAAATGAATGTGAGGGTGGAAGGTTACTATCAGTCTTCGAAGGACAGCTGAGGCACCGTCAATATAACCTCCAAGATCTTAGCATCTCGAGTAATTTACATTCTGCTGGAATAATGCAGAGGACGGGGGACTCTCATGGAGTTTAAATTACTGCGACAGGACTATGGTTGCCGACCTTTGACCTGATCGATAGTTACATTAAGATGGATTGCTCGAAAATTGGAAGTACCCTAGTTTCAAACAAAGGTCATATTGCCAAATCTGTCCCAGCTTTCCATGAAATCCGGACATGGTGTAGTTGGCTATCGCATCTGACTGTAATAGAATTTCAGTTTATCAGAAAGTCCGCGGTTCGATTCCGCGTGTCCGGATAACTTTTTGTCTTTTTCTCTCTCCAATCCGACTCCACCTTTGGAAGATGGTGGAGACTCTTGAGTGACTAGGTTTTCTATGATCTAACTTTCTTAAATATTGTAGCTTATCTTTTTATAGTTCTCTGAACATAAAAAATCCAATCTAAGATTCAGCAAAAATTTATGTTGTGAGAATCAGTAAGTAGTAATGATATCAGAATGGATGAAATGCAAAAAAGAAAAGACAAAAAAGTTATCCGGACACGCGGAATCGAACCGCGGACTTTCTGATAAACTGAAATTCTATTACAGTCAGATGCGATAGCCAACTACACCATGTCCGGATTTCATGGAGTAATAGCTGAAATCTGTCTATATGAGCTCTGAACAGAGAATTTCCAAAACTCCACATTCACCGATCGATGCTAGTCCATATCATGTTTCAAGGATGATTCAACATTCACTTACCTAAGTTGCTATTTTTTAAATCAACGAACACCTCCTCTATTCCAGGCTTTTAGTTTCTCCTCTTGCATCTAGATTCGTTGTATGGAAATCACTGGTGAGAGTACTTTTTGCGTTTGTATACTCACTGTATGCATCTTTATCATACCTACTCCTAATGCCTACTTAATACAACCTTAGTGGGTGGGAGCTTAGTAGTAAATGCGTACTTAGGTATATTCATGCGAACCTGTTCCAGTAATAACGCTCTTATGTTCTTTACACATTATCATAGGATCCAAGTTTGTTTTATGGTATTACGACATGCACGGACAGCAAGTGGTGATTCCAGTGTTACATTTTCTGATCAGATGTGTTGCCATAGATCTGAAATTGGAAGCCTGGCCCACAATGTCAATATTACTTGATGGAATACCGAAAGGATGTCAGTCCCTATGATCTAGAATCCCAAATGTTTTGGATACTCCTTACATATTTGTGATGTGTGCCCACGTGGGTGGATCGGACTACACCTGCAGTATGTTGTGTTGAGTTTATGTATCCGTACAGGCACAAAGTTCAAATATTGTAAACCAATATATAATCTTCGCGGTTCCGGTTGGTTAGTATCTATGAAACATCAATTGATTAAACGATGCCTGTGAACCTCACGCGGACTTTGGTGGGAAAAAACGAAGATTTTGAACATCCCCAAATTCTTGAATTAGATAGAATACCTCCAGAGAGCCAATACTATTAAGAGCTGGGTCTGTTTGATTAGGTGGCAAAAATCAAAGAGCAAAAAGTTATCCGGACACGCGGAATCGAACCGCGGACTTTCTGATAAACTATAAGTCAATTACAGTCAGATGCGATAGCCAACTACACCATGTCCGGATTTGGACATTATTTGCAGTCTGTTTAAGCTCTATATATAAGTGTAAATTTACAAGACGAAGCTTCGTCAACACTTTCTACCATAGTTATTCAATAACTTACTGGATATCACAGAAGACGATACATTGGGAGACACGCATTATCTTAGCTTGTAGATCTACCAATCCTCCACGGGCGGCCTTGATTGATTGCCAGCGGGGTGACTAGTTATCCACTAGCTGCCATGCTCCGTGCAAGAGGATCCCTTTATGATCTTGCAAAAGCGCTGCAGCCATATTTAATTACTTAATTAAACCCTGGGCCGTCCCATGACCGGGACTCGCTGACTACTATGGTATGAAAATCTCAAACAAGCAAATGATCAGCATTTTTCCACCACTTCGAAGAGAAATAACGGCCGGTCAGAATTTTGACAGCTGTCGAAAAGGGGTAATCCCCCGTGGATACTTGGCACGTTCCCAATTCTTCAGGAATAGATTGGCCCCTAGCGCCAGGCTAATGCAATGACCGGTAGGAAGACCTGCGCCCCCGGGAAATCTAGTCGACTATATGAAGCTAAGATTCGGCTAGATTTCCACCAACCAATCGGCGTCCAAATCAACACCAGTATGTGTACTGCACAGTGACGTGATGTGCTGAGACGAACTCCGCTTCGCTTATAGACAGTCAATCACTGCCTCACAGAGCAAAACGTGCCTGGCGCCAGAAACTAATTTCCTTCGGAATCCGAGCTTAGTGCAAGGCAACGATGTGATCGATTCTCAACTCTGCAAAATCAAGCTTTCACTTTGAAATAACTTTAAAGTGTATGGAGTACATTGCCGGATTATACAGCCGCCATAAACATATAAAACGGAGTTCGGGCCAATCTATGAAGCATCAAAGCTAATTGCTCCTCTGACTTGAACACTGATCTTCACAATGATTCTCTCCCAGTGGTTTGCTTTTGCAAACCTCTTTGGTGCTGCATTTGCTGTACCAGGCAAATCACTTGCTAAGAGAACTACTGTCAGCGAAATCTTTACTGATATTGAGGACGCTGTTGACTGTACCGGGTGTGAGGTAGGTCATTTGCTGCAGATTGCATCTATATCATTAGCAGTCCTTCGATGCTAACCTATATAAATCAATTGATGTAGGCTTTGCTGGTTATCCTGCAGGCCCTTGCAGATCTTGGTAACGATGATTTCGTGGATGTCATCACGGATGTCTGCATCTTGGCCGGTGTCGGTTGTCCCCAGTACCGATTGAAGAACATCTCTAACGCCAATTATAGGTTGATGATGACGATGTATGCGAGGGCGCGATTTCTCGCGAGGGACCGATCCTGGCCCATGATCTTCGCAACATGGATGTTCCATCTCACACCGCTACCCTCTTCTGTACCACCATCTTTGGTCTTTGTGATTACCCAGCAGTTACTGAATATACGGTCGACTTCCCCTCCTCCAAACCAGCCAACGCAACTCGACCGGAATCAAGTGGTGAAACTCCGATCCAAGTAATTCATATCAGTGACATCCACGTTGATCTCTCCTATGAAGAGGGCGCAAAGTTTGTCCATCCCGCCAAATTAGCTTCTCGTGATACTGACAACGAATGATAGCTACAACTGCACAAAGAGCATCTGCTGCCGTCCGTACACCGCATCTGATGCCCCTGGAAATACTAGTTACCCGGCCGGTGAATATGGAAACCACAACTGCGATTCTCCCTTGGATTTGGAGGAGAGCATGTATGAAGCTATCCAGACCCTCATCCCCGATGCGGCATTCACCATTTTCACTGGTGACGTTGTCGAGGGAGCAGTTTGGCTTGTCAATGAAACTGAGGTGACCAACGACCTCAATGACGCCTATGTGACCCGAATGCCCGATTATCTCAATTTGGTCTACGGTGTCATTGGAAACCACGACGCTGCTCCAGTCAACTCTTTCCCTCCTTCTGACATTGATACTACCATCTCCAGCCAATGGGCGTACGATACCCTGTCGTCCGACTGGACCCAGTGGATTGGCTCCACGGCTGCCACCACCGCAGACGACTATGGCGCCTACTCCGTGAAGTACCCCAGTGGAAATCTGAGAATCATCTCTTTCAACAGCAATTTCTACTACAAGGAGAACTTCTGGCTGTACGAGAAGACAATGCAGACCGACCCCAATGGCCAGCTGGCTTGGATCGTGGATGAACTCGACGCTGCTGAAACCGCCGGCGAGCGAGTTTGGCTCATGGGCCACATGCCAATGGGCTCTGGTGATGCTTTCCACGACGGATCCAACTACTTCAACCAAATCATCCAGCGATATGACGCTACAATCGCTGCCGTGTTTTACGGTCACACCCACAAGGACGAGTTCGAGATTGCTTACTCGAACTACTCCAACCCTACCGCTGACACGGCCACCATGATGTCCTACATTGCTCCTGCTCTGACTCCGACATCTGGAAACCCGACTTTCCGCGTGTACTCTGTCGACCCGGTTACGTTCGGTATCCTCGATTACCAGGTCTACTTTGCCAACATGTCGAGTTCCACATATCAGACCAAGCCCACGTGGGAGAAGTATTATTCGGCCAAGGAAGCATACGGCTCCCTTCTCAGCCCACCCGTCACCGACAGTGCGGCCGAGCTAACCCCGGCGTTCTGGCACAATGTCACTGCTCTCTTCGAGAATGATGATTCCGTTTTCCAGGACTACTATGCTCGCAAGTCCCGTGGGTGGGACGTTTCATCCTGTACAGGCGACTGCAAGACCGATGAGGTCTGTCAACTCCGTTCCGCCGAATCGCAGTATAACTGTGTCGAGATCACCCCGGGTATCAGCTTCAAGAAAGCGAAGCGATCAACTTCTAGCAGCTCCTCTACTAACGAGGAGAGCGCGTGCGGAGAGTCAATTATTGGAAAGATGTTTTCGGATTTTGAGAGCACCGTGTCAACCCTGAAGACCGCCGCCACCGCGAAGCTGGGATCAAGCTTCTTGGCTACCACCGTGAACACCACCGTCGTCTAGAGTAGATGCTTCTAAATATAGAATCCCAATTGGCCGTCAAGCCGTCGGCATACCGTCGGGAATACACAAATATTTTCATCACAATTTTTTCCCTGTCCGTATACTTCAGGACTTCCATGCACGTTCCATAGGTTATCCAGTCATTGGTAGATCCCTGCCCGATCAGATTAAGCCAAGAGCCATTTAGCCAAATCTCGGAAGAAAGAACAAAACAGGCAATGCTAGAGAATGCAATTTAATCAACTTCATCTCGGTTAAATATCGGCTTGACACGTGGGCTGACAATAGGCCTGCATACCAGTGTCCTAGTGGCCCCGTTGACGCTAACAGCGGCTAAGCCGGCGACTAAAGCAGGTCCCAACCTTGAAATTGTACATATAAGTGTGTCGCAGTTCCAATGTACTAACAAGTAGTTCATCTCACGAACAATTGGATTCAAAATGGTTCACTACTCTTTTAAGGGTGTAGTGTCTTCGCTGCTGTTGGCTACCGGCCACGCTGCGGTGCTCGCCCCGACCAACGATATTGTATTCCCGTCGGGTGATACGGTTCAGAATCCGCTTCAGTACTCTGGCGGAAATACTCCATATTTTGCTGGTTAGTTTTGATTGGGTGGTTGTAATGCATTATGCTGACTTGGCAGGTCCTGATGTCAACGGTGTTGATAACAGTGTGCCTGACAAGTGTACCGTTCAGCAGGCTGCCTATATTGTGAGACATGGAAGCAGGTGAGTCTTCTGTTTCCAGGATCCTTTTGATAATTCTACTGATTTGATTAGATTCCCCGATACTGGTTCCTATAACTCCTGGGTCGGTATTCAAGAGAAGGTCGGTATTCGATGTCGAACTGTTTTTATTTCGGTCTAACCTTTTTGAAGATTCAAACTGCCGTCAAAGGAGATGGCTTTGATGCTCGTGGATCGCTGTCTTTCATCTCTGATTGGAGCCCGGTGTTGACCAACCCGACATTGCAAATTGCGTCGGAATCTATGACTGGCTGGAAGGAGGTATGTTTTCCCGTTTGTGTTTTATTACCAGACGGCATTCTTACGGATCATAGGCCACTGATCTTGGTTATCAACTCAGGGCTCGCTGTAAGTCATTTAGGCCTTACTTTACCCTTCTTTGAAACTGACCATATGCATAGATCCTGATTTCTACCAGGATGGTAACCCCTTCTACGTATGGGCCAATCAGTACAAATCTCCCATCAATGAGTCTCGAGTCGTTCAGACAGCTCGTGCCTTTGTTAATGGTTATCTGTACGAATTTGCCGATACCTACGGCTCGGTGGTCAGTGTGAATTCCACTGGCTCTGTCAGTGCCATCGGTAACTCCCTTGGGCCATCTGACTCCTGCCCACTTTTTGCGTCCACTTCCAGCGGGGGAAGTAATGTTACAGACTGTGAGTGAGAGAATCTGTATTGTCATACTGTCTCAAGACTAAACATTTCCCAGGGGATGCAACTTGGGCACCACAAGCCCTGAAGCGGCTCAACTCATTGGTTAGCGGCAACCTGACATTCGACGAGACCGACATCCTCTTCTTCCCATATATGTGTGGATATGAAAGTCAGATCACTGGTAATCTCAGTCCCTGGTGCAACGTGTTCACCGAGGACGAGCTACGCAACTACGCATACTCGCAAGATCTGAGCTACTATTACGATGTTGGTCCTGGCTCCGATGGGCCCGCCAGTATTCTTTTCTTGCCTTTCCTTAACAGCCTGGTGGACTTGCTCGCTGAGGGTCCTGGTCAGACTGGTACCGGTGCCGATGGTGAGAGCTTCACGGTTCCCAACCTGATCATGGCATTCTTGAACGACAATCAGATTGCCGAGATGACTGCTGCTATGGGCATTTTCGATCATGAGGCTGCTCTTCCTGATACCCATATCCCTGCCAACCATCTGTATAATGTGGCCCACTTTATCACCATGCGCGGTACTGTTGCCTTTGAGGCCCTGAACTGTGAGGTTGAGTCCGGACACAAGTCTTCAAACGAGACTTATCTCCGGGTGTTGTTCAACGATGCTGTCTACCCGATTGCCAGTTGCCAAAATGGACCGGGTAAGAGCTGTCTCTTATCCGAGTATGCCACTTTAATCGAGAAGAAGAACAAGGCTGCTGGTAATTTCATTGATTACTGCAATGTGACCGAGACGGGCCACCCTGCCACGGTTGCGGGAGCCAGTTTCTTTACTGATCTCTCATTGGACTTTTTGACCTTTGTCAAGCCTTGAGTGACCTGCCCTCGCTTCATTTTCCTTTTTACCGCCTGCATGCATACCTTGCGTTATCCTCGCCACTATCTCATTTTAATTTAGTCTTTCGGTTCTTGTACTCTGCAGATAGCCCACAATAAATTGCCTTTTGCCAAGCAATCCTTATCTTCATCGTGCCATTGGATATATACAGGGCTCTCCAGAGTACATCTAAAGTACCTCCAATGTACATCAAGTCTGTATATCTGCAAATCCCGAGATTGTGTTCTAATGAATCCTGACATGACAACAGCACACGCGTCCTTTTGTTCATTAATAACGAAGGATCTAAATCACATCATAGCCATATATAAACTACGTAATGTTATTTTTATTACCTGAAAAAACCCAGAAAAAAAAGTGGGTATTCGGCCCAGACCGTGTACTTTTCCCCCCACTTCTTGGGCTGCAGATGTCTCGAACCAAGTTCTTTTTTCTATGGAGAAGGTCCGAGACATGAAATCAGATTTGTTACTGGTCCTTGGCTCGAGTTGCCTTCTTTTTGTTTGGTTCCTTGATTTTGGTTGGTCTTAGGGTATATAGAATGATCAATTCCACGGAAAAGGGGGAGGGGGGGGGGGGTCCAACCTGGGGTTCAGAGTGTGTGACACATTTCCAAAATTAGATCCAAAAGCCCGCAAAAGAAAGAAACAAGATAAGTTCTGTTTCAAGAAGCTTCTGAACTTTTCTTTACAGAGAGAAAAAGTGAGGAATCAAAGTGGTCACACAGATGAAACACTCCTTCGGTCCTTGTCCAGATTCATATGATTCCATTTCTTATCATTTCAACTCATGGTCCCCGGATCTCTTTGTTCTGAATCGGACCGGACCTGGATGTGTGACAATTTTGTGATTGATCATGGCCTATAATGCCGTCGCCCAGGTCGAGGTGGCCTCTGACTCTGACTCTGACTCTGACTCTCATCATTCACTCAGTCCTTCACTTTCCCGAGTTCAACGCAATGCCGACATTCATTTAGACTCTGCCGACAAACTCGAATCCCACTTAGGCGCTATCTACCGCTCCATGACTTCGTCCAACTACGACGTGGTCGAAGCCGATGACTACGACGCCGATCCTTCCCCCAAACATCACTCCATTCCTCCACTCAATACTAGTACGGTCGCGCGACATTCCTCTCCTTCCTTGCGAAGTGCCTCCAGCGACGCCCCTATTCCTCTGAATCACCCAACCCCGGATCTGCAATCACTGCAAGGCGCCTATGTGGGTAATGTAGAGCGATTGGAGCAGAGTGCAGAGCGTCTTAGCTCCAGTACCGCCGATATCGCTAGTGAAATTCGCAAACTGGACCAGGAACAAAAGCGTCGATCCTACAGTTCGGCTTCCAATTCCATCATGCGGAATGGTGCATTCTCCCCGGGCGCAGGCCTTACCAGATCTCCTCATGGTTCGACCCGATCTCGATCTACACGCCGGCGCTCCGTCTCCAGTGGATCTTACCTGGCGCAGGTACCGGAGCCCGCCCACGACGACGGTCATTTCGTAGATCAATTCCCCCCGACCCTACCCATCGCCCCACAACTCCCCCTTCATGCTCCCAGCACCGGACGCTTCTATGGTCAATATGACGGCCCAGCGGCTCCTGTGGCTGAAGAGATCGAGCGACCCGGTACAGCCGCATCGGGAGATACCTACCAACAAGCCCGGACGTTGTTTACCGACTTCGATGGCGTTCATTTTGCGCCCTTGGAGCTGGCCGGTCCCGGACGCCAGATGTCTCTGAGCCAACCGCCCCTTGCAAGCAATCCGGAATCATACAAGGAGCTGCAAGCGGGCCAGAACATGGTCTACTATCCCGCACCAGTCCCACGTATGTTGAACCTCCCTCCTAAACTCTCTCGCAAACCACCGGCTGCCGAGCGTGAGAAGCGTCGTACGCAGCTCTTGACTACCATCGTAGCTGAGGATAGAGAGGCGGCATTTGAGGGAGGAACGACCGACGGTCATAAAGAGAAGCGGCAATCAACACTGCCCCCGCAGCTTCGGGCGAGCGTCTTCTTTGATCGGCCCAGTACCACGCTCGAGCTTGAAGTTAAGCAGGACTCGGCAGTTGCGACCCTTGATAGCATTCTCGACGCCTCGGCACATGCACCTGTCTCGGCCTTCACGGATCATCCGTATGCGGGTCACGTCGGGTCGTACGTCTATGGAAAGGAGCGCAAGACTCTTCGAAAACAAAAATCGGGTCAGAACTCCCAGCTTCCAATGGGGCAACAACAGAGCACGGTCAGAGATGTTGCGTCTGAGGGTTCGGTTCATTCGGACAATGGACTGCAGGAGGAGTCGGAGCGCCTGCATGAGAACGAATCAGAGGGTTCAGATGAGTCGGGGAATGATGGTGATGAGTACTCGCAAGAGAGTGACGATGACGATGAGTCGGACTATGTGGGACCGCCAAACACCTTATTAGCGGAACTGGAGCTGCGAAAGCACGAACTTGCACAACGGAGACGTACGGTAGTCCCCCAGTTCACGCCAGGCATGAAGAATACACTGCTGGAGTTGGATGCAATGGCTCAGAAACAAAGTGATAAGAGAAGACGCCGGCCAGTAACCTTGGCTTGGGATAGCCGCCGTACGGCTGACGATGACGACGTTCCTCTTGCAATGCTATACCCTGATCAGATAAATGCGGATGATGATCAACCACGCGGTCTGATGGAGAAGCATCACGTCGAGGAACATGAACCCTTAAGTACACGTCGTGCTCGGCTGAGGGGGGAGCCAATTCCCGAAAAACGACCTGTCACCTTCTATGCCGAGAAACCGCGCCCTGCACCAGAGCCCGCCACAGACGAGACGGGAGAGGATGGTGAGACTTTAGCCGAACGCTTGAGACGGCTGAAAGGACTGAATCCATCGGAGACCGAATTCTCCAATATTCTGCTGGCCGAATTTGACAATCGCCTCGGATCTACCCCCACCGCGGAGACTGCACCAGTCCCTCAACAGCCCGAAGAGGAGACTCTCGCACAACGACGTTTACGTCTAAAAAAGGAAAGTGGCGCCCAGCCTGGTCTCGCCAAAAACCCCCGGATGCGAAGAAGCATGGCTGCCCTTCCTCAAGTTCGGGCGTCAAATGTAGTCCGCAAGTCCTCTCACGACGCATTCCAACAACCCGGCTTGATGCAGCAGTACGGAAACCGCATGTCCATGCAACAGTTCCCGACCAACATGGCATACCCGCCGAACCAACCACCTCCCCCACCCTACAGCCATGGACCGGCCTACCCACCTCCCTATGGCTATACCCAAACCATGATGGCCATGCATAACATGGGTTATCCTATGCCTAATGCTTATGCGTCAACCATGACTCGACAGCCCGTTGATCCCAACCAGCGTGAGGTCATTGACCGCTGGCGGCAGAGCATTCGTTAACTACATAATTTCTCCTATTTTGTCTCTGTTTTTGACTCCATCATCATAGCGTTGTCGTTCTAAGCGCATTCCTTTTTCATCATCATCTTTTCTTTATGCTTTGGGGGGGGGGGGTATCTATGTAGAGTAGCGCATTGTGTATGATCTATAAAGGCAAATCGTGTCACCCACAGTCATGTGAAGCATTTTAGAACTTGGCTTTGATTCTTTTATGGACATTCCTTTCAACCGCTGTCAATGTCTATGTTGTAGATATCGGATCTGTATTCTTTCTAATACTCTTTCCAAGGTTGCTATCAATTGATGGCATGGTCACATCACATCGGATGCAGTGAGGTTGGATCTGTTGCAGGTACCTTACTTAGTATATATCCTTCTTATACGGTAGAGCTCAGATAATTCTGGTCGGATTCACTGTACAATTCTTATCAGATCCCCAGATCAACATTGAAAATTATGCAAGGGTGAATGCAAAGTCAAAGTAAATATAGATCTGACCTGCTGAAGCTTCGATTGGTGTAACCCTACTTTACTACTGTGAACCTTGGAATTGAACTTACGTCTTCTTGATTGATCTTTTTATCTTTCGCTTTCTCACTTCAATTGTTTACGTAAAATCCTGTTTGCATTCTCATTGCTGTGGTTCATTTACTTCACTCTTCCTTGAAACTCAACGCCGAGTGGGCCGTTGTAAGCCCCACTAGTGCCTGGTATGTGAGACCAAAAGTCCAGCCCTCCTTTCCACTAACACCAGCCCTCCACAGGTAAACTTGACCACGATGGAGCCTTGCGTCCCCTGAATCATACCACCTTGGCTTTTAAAGACGCTACAGGCTCTGGTCCTGCGACCAGAATGCCCTCGTCCACAGTTTTTTCATATTGGCGCCGCGACCATCGCCGCTCAACCGCGCCGTCAGCGTCCTTGCCAGGTCCATCGCCAGCTCCTCCAGGTGCAGGAGAAAGCCCACTTAGTCCTCCACGGCTCCCCGAGATCCCAGGTTACCCCACTTTCACAAGCGCGTTCGGCAGAAACTCTTCATACGATGCTTCAACCTGGAGCAGCTCCCCGTTGGAGAACGATGCCGCAAAGCTGAACATTACCTCCTCTACCGCGCCGCTATCTTCCTCCGTTAGCCTTGCTGTCCGGTCGCCGTCGGCTGAGAAAGAGAATCGCCCCCACTCGAGTCCGGAAGAGCTTGTCCCAGAACCAGCTTTTACGTCGCTGGCCAACAATTCACAGCTTGAGGTGACGACATCGCGGCCGGACCAGGGTGACGTGGAGTCTAATTTCAAGCCCACGTCGCCATTTCGTCTATCAATTGGGAAAGGGTTGCGTAATCTGCAGACGCCGACCTCCGAGAATCAGAAGCGGTCGCCAACGGCGGGATTGGGGGCCAGTCAGTTCCGATTGAAAACCTCGCCGGAGGAAGTCGTGGTGGAAAATACAAATACAGTGCAGAGGGAGGCTAGGCAGGATGGTGGCGTGTCGAGACGAATTGCAGACCGAGAAGTTGTGGCGGAGCATGTCCATCACAAATCAGGCAAAGCAATGCTCCATCTTTTGAATCCCATGTCGCTTCTTGCGCGTCGACGGTCTTCGCAGATTGGTAGCTCTCGCGTTGAGGAAACCAAGCTGAGTGCGCCTAACTTGATACCCATTCCGGATGACTACGACCCCAGAATTCGTGGAAAGATTATTCATGACTTTTCCGCTCCTCGGGCTCGACGAAATGTGTCTGGGAATTCCACGACGGTTGATGGAAAAGGCCAAAATACATATGATTCATCGCTGCAAAGTCCATCCAGTCCTTGGAGTGACAGGTCGAAACGAAACAGTGATCACTCGCCCGTATTTAAGGAGCATTTTGAGGATGACCAGAAAGTTCTTCACGTTGAGAATAAGGGTTATCTCCAGTCATCCTTACTGACCAACCCAGCTCAACCAGGTTACGAGAAGTCAATCCCAGTGTTTGCGAGGAGATTTCCTTCTACAGCCCCGGACGACAGCTTAGAGACCGACAAAAATGAGAACTTCCACGCAGAACTTCCCGGAGATGGTCCAGTAGAGCTTCCTGCAGATGTTCCGCTGGAATATACAACATATTCACCAAAGGAAGACTCGTCGGCAAGTCAAAAGGATCAAGATATTATTCCTAAGGTACATCCTGCAGGTTTGCCTAAGCATCTCAAGAGCAATGCTTCTTCAAGGTTCAGCTTTGATATGGGTGGTGTTGAATCTTCCGTGCAAGAGAAGCTCCTCGAAGAAAAACACAAGGCGAAGGAAGCTGCAAGAAGACAGGACGATGGATACTTCGATGACTTTGATGATGAATTCGATCATGATATGATCGATGACATGGATGACCTCGAAGAGGAGATACCAGAAATCGGTGCTGACTATGACGAAGACTATACTCCTGCAGTTTCTCGGGATATAAATGGTGAACTAAAATCCTGGGCCGCCCCTGGGCTTTCACCTGTAGTTGCAAGTCCGATTACGCCTGCGCCACCCTCTGAACCTCCGATCGACACCGCGGGTGCCGATCCTTCTCTTGTGGCGGGCATCAACCCAAATTTCAATCAAGATCAAGTGATACCAGTAGGAAGCCAAGTGCCTCAAGGCCACCATATGACAGAGAATATTCAAGAGCACCCCGATGATCAGATGCAGACAATCGTTGATAATGATGACATGTATTTTGACGATGGTGAATTTGACGAGCTTACCGCTGAGGATCAGGATGGCGGTTTTGATGAATCTATCTTTGATGACGAAACGAGTCATTTATACGAAAGAAGAAAGGTCTACAAAGATGCTACCCAGAAATCCGAGACCATCCCCGAAGAAGACGAACTCGTGGAAAAAGACATTCTGCTCGAGGAGAATGCCCGCCAAGGCCTTAAGCATATGCCAAGTGTGGCAAGTGAATACCATGTCGGGTCCATCAAGCGTGGACCGCTTGGTGAGCCCATACCCAACATGGGGCCTGCTCGGGCTCATGGTGGTGTGCTCACGGAGCAAAACCTGGAGGTATTACACAATGCCCTGGAATTTGCAGCAAATGAAGCGGCCACCCAGGCCCAATTCGAACGCACTTACAGCACAAGTGAACGGTCTATGGGACAAGACAGTATACCACAGACATCCCATACCGGCGATTCGCAGCCGGGATTGGTGCCGGATGATAGCCGTCTCAGCCAAGGAGCAGATATAATGGGTTTCGACGATGTCTTTGATGATGATATATATAATGATGATGCGTACTACGATGATGCTATCGTTGCTGCAGCCAATGCTGAAGCGCTGGAGAATGACGACGAGGGTTTCTACGGCCAAGAATTCGGCTTTTACGCGCAGGCCCATGGTGCCTCTGAGCTCACGAACGGCGGCTACTTTGGCCCGCGAGGAGTCGAAGGGATTAGCCGTAGCTTTAGCAGTCGTGGGAAGTTCCAAGAACCCAGCCTGACTCCTATCACCGAACGCAGTGAATGGAGTACCCGCAACTCCGTCATTTCATTGAAGGCACACGGTGGTACCCATTCAAACCCCTCGCTTGCAAGCCCAGGCTTGGCCCAGCTGGTCGACATGGGCAACTTGGACGACGAGATGACACTGAGTGCCCTCCTGAAGCTGAGACGGGGTGCCTGGGGTGGAAGCAACGGCAGTCTTCGCAGCAGCGCTGGTAGTCCGCCGCCTCATACCCTGGCATCCTCAAACCGCGCTAGCTTTACTGGACCCCCGGAAGCTGCTAGTCCTTCCGAGGCTCGGCATTTTGCCGACGAGGGTGTAGTAGGTATGATCGAACACCATGAGGACTCCCCCTTTTCGACTTCACCGCTCAAAGTTACTGAGCTGGGGAAAAGAGCCGATCTCCCGCATAGCGGAACAGGCGGCCCGATCTACGCAGATATCGAGGAGGAAATGCCGATGTTCGGCAACCACCTCAACGTCTTGTAAAATTGCTTTCTCCTTTCTCATCATTCGTTCTCCTTCCCATTGGATATATTTGCCAGATGTGGTCTCCGTGGCGCACATGGATGGTTATTTTCTTTTATTTTTCCTTCACGATTTCATGACTTAACCGAGGATGTTTTGCGGTTGGCGTTGCCTTTTCTATACACCGATTGTTCTTGTATCCTGCCAAGTGATCTACTAAATCATGTTAATATACGAAGTTTGGAAGCATCAACTAGAGATCTCCGGTACATAGCTAGGCTAGTTATATATCCTACTCACGTCATTGTGTCCGTAAACCATATCCGATTGGGGCCGAAATTTCCCGCAAACACTCCCGCAAACACCGAATGCTTAGCCGGGCAGTGGATCGCTGTGGCTCACAAGCCGGAGTGGCCGCGTTTCTCAGTAAGAAAACCGGCACTGGCTGACTCAGCGCACCAGCCTCATTCCAAGTTGCAGGTTCCTCCTTGGGCTCCCCTTCTTCTATCTAAACCCTTTACCCCAGTTCTTTTTATTCAGCAGAGTTTCTGCTCTCTAATGAGTTCAGATTCCATATAGGTGATACGGCAATAATAGTCGACACCTTATTCGCGCATTTTAATCACCTGTATGTCCCTCCGTCTGCTTCCTTTGCTCCGTCGGCACTTTCGGCAGAGAACAACAACCTGTCAACTTTGGCGACTAACTTGCGCGTGACCTATAGATCAGGTTCAAATTGTCATTACATCAGCACAGTCTGAGACTTTAGCTGTTTCGATTCCTCCCTCCACCCCTTTATTTCTCTGAACAGTCCCGGCTTCGTCGGAAACAAATCCCGCAATGTTCAGAAATACTGCCTTGAAGGCCTCCCGGAGGTCCTTCAACCTCTCCTCGAGCGCTCGCTTCGCCTCGAAGAACCCTGGCTTCAGCCTCGCTGCTCGTCGCCCTCTCGCCGTTGTTAACGGTACTCGGCAATATGCTTCCGAGGCGTCAAAACCTGGAGTGGTAAGCTACAACCAGCCTTGAAAAAAATTGCATCGAGAAAAAAGATGATTGCCAAAATGCGCGATTGAAGCGCAATAACGAACACTCAACTAACGCGATAGCGCGTGCTTCTTCATAGGACCCCAACGATTCTTTCCTCACTGGCAGCACTGCCAACTACATTGATGAGATGTACCTGGCATGGAAGCGTGACCCGTCCAGCGTCCACATCTCATGGCAGACCTACTTCAAGAACATGGAGTCCGGCTCTATGCCCATGTCCCAGGCCTTCACTCCCCCCCCTACTCTCGTCCCTAGTCCTACCGGCGGTGTCCCTCAGGATATGCCCGGCACTGGCCTCACTAGTGGCACCGACGTCACCAACCACTTGAAGGTTCAGTTGCTTGTGCGCGCCTACCAGGCCCGTGGTCACCACAAGGCCAAGATCGACCCTCTCGGTATCCGCGGAGAGGCCGAGGCCTTCGGCTACGACAAGCCCAAGGAGCTTGAGCTCGACCACTACGGTTTCACCGAGCGCGACTTGGACCAGGAGTTCGCCCTCGGGCCCGGTATCTTGCCTCGTTTCGTCACTTCTGACCGCACCAAGATGACTCTGCGTGAGATCATTGAATCTTGCGAGAAGATCTACTGCGGCTCCTACGGTGTCGAGTACATCCACATCCCCGACCGTAAGCCTTGCGAGTGGATCCGTGATCGTTTCGAGGTCCCCGAGCCCTTCCGCTACTCCGTTGATGACAAGCGCCGCATCTTGGACCGTCTCATCTGGAGTTCCAGCTTCGAGTCCTTCCTGGCTACCAAGTACCCCAACGACAAGCGTTTCGGTCTGGAGGGTTGCGAGACCCTTGTGCCCGGTATGAAGGCTCTGATCGATCGCAGTGTTGACTACGGTATCAAGGACATTGTTATCGGTATGCCTCACCGTGGTCGTCTTAACGTTCTGTCCAACGTTGTTCGCAAGCCCAACGAGTCCATCTTCAGTGAGTTTGCTGGTTCTGCCGAGCCCTCCGATGAGGGTTCCGGTGATGTCAAGTACCACTTGGGTATGAACTTCGAGCGCCCTACTCCCTCCGGAAAGCGCGTGCAGCTGTCTCTGGTTGCCAACCCCTCTCACTTGGAGGCTGAGGACCCCGTTGTCCTGGGTAAGGCCCGTGCCATCCAGCACTACAACAACGACGAGACCGAGTTCAACACCGCTATGGGTGTCCTGCTTCACGGTGACGCTGCCTTCGCCGCTCAGGGTGTCGTCTACGAGACCATGGGATTCCAGTCTCTTCCCGCCTACTCCACCGGTGGTACCATCCACATCGTCGTGAACAACCAGATTGGTTTCACTACTGACCCCCGCTTTGCCCGTTCCACCCCCTACTGCTCGGACATTGCCAAGGCCATCGATGCCCCCGTGTTCCACGTGAACGCTGACGATGTTGAGGCCGTTAACTACGTTTGCCAGGTTGCCGCCGATTGGCGTGCTGAGTTCAAGCGTGACGTTGTCATTGACATGGTCTGCTACCGTAAGCAGGGTCACAACGAGACTGACCAGCCCTCCTTCACCCAGCCTCGCATGTACAAGCGCATTGCCGAGCAGAAGGCTCAGCTCGACAAGTACGTTGAGAAGCTGATTGCCGAGGGTACCTTCACCAAAGAGGACATCGACGAGCACAAGAAGTGGGTCTGGGGCATGCTCAATGACAGCTTCGACCGCAGCAAGGACTACCAGCCCACCGGTAAGGAGTGGCTGACCTCCGCCTGGAACAACTTCAAGACCCCCAAGGAGTTGGCCACTGAGGTTCTTCCCCACCTCCCCACCGCTGTTGGTGTCAACTCCCTGAAGCACATTGCCGATAAGGTCAGCGGTAGCAGCGCTCCTGAGGGCTTCACTCTCCACAAGAACCTCAAGCGTATCTTGGCCAACCGCAAGAAGGCTGTTGACGAGGGTAAGGGCATTGACTGGGCTACTGCCGAGGCTCTGGCATTCGGTTCCCTCGTTGACGAGGGTTACCACGTCCGTGTCTCCGGACAGGATGTCGAGCGTGGTACCTTCTCTCAGCGTCACGCCGTCCTGCACGACCAGGAGAACGAGGCTGTCCACACTCCCCTGCAGCACATCAGCGACAAGCAGGGTAGCTTCGTTATCTCCAACTCTTCCCTCAGCGAGTTCGGCTGGTAAGTACACAGGATCTTTACTCGGTTTAAATGTCATGCTAATCTCTTTCTAGTCTCGGTTTCGAGTACGGTTACTCCCTGACCTCCCCCGAGGCTTTGGTCATGTGGGAAGCTCAGTTCGGTGACTTCGCCAACAACGCTCAGTGTATCATTGATCAGTTCATCGCCTCCGGTGAATCCAAGTGGTTGCAGCGCTCCGGTCTGGTTGTCTCCCTGCCCCACGGTTACGATGGCCAGGGTCCCGAGCACTCTTCCGGTCGTATGGAGCGTTGGTTGCAGCTTTGCAACGAGGAGCCTCGTGTCTTCCCCAAGGCTGACAAGCTTGACCGCCAGCACCAGGACTGCAACATGCAGATTGTTTACATGACCGAGCCCTCTAACCTGTTCCACGTTCTTCGTCGCCAGATGCAGCGTCAGTTCCGCAAGCCTTTGATCATCTTCTTCTCCAAGGCTCTCCTGCGTCACCCTATTGCTCGCTCTGACATTGAGGCCTTCACCGATGACTCTCACTTCCAGTGGATCATCCGTGACCCCGCTCACGCCACCGAGGCCATTGATGCCCCCGAGAAGATTGAGCGTGTCATCATGTGCTCTGGACAGGTCTACGCCGCCCTGGTCAAGCACCGTGAGGCCAATGGTCTCCGCAACACTGCCATCACCCGTGTTGAGCAGCTGCACCCCTTCCCCTGGGCTCAGCTCAAGGAGAACCTTGACAGCTACCCCAACGCCAAGAACATCGTTTGGTGCCAGGAGGAGCCTCTTAACGCCGGTCCCTGGTCTTACGCCCAGCCCCGTCTCGAGACCCTGCTGAACTCCACCGAGCACCACAACCGCCGCCATGTCCTGTACGCTGGTCGTGCCCCCAGCGCCTCCGTGGCCTCCGGTCTCAAGGCCGTCCACTTGAAGGAGGAGCAGGAGCTCCTCGAGGAAGCTTTCTCTGTCCACCAGGAGCGCCTGAAGGGCGAGTAAATGCCTTTCATGACTGATGACTCCGGTTGACTCTGGAGCATATTGTCGAAAGACCTACTTTTCCTATGTTCATTGGTTGGCCAAAGCTAGCGTCCGATTTCCTTTGTAACACTTTTTCTTATTTGCATGAGTTGTCCTTGTTCTCGACCACGGTGTATACGACCTGTCCAGCTATTGCTAGACATTTGGCCTCGTCTATACCTAGAATCATGTCTGTAAAATACAAATTCTATTCTGTTGTGGCCCTTGAATTGATCTTAGTTGATTGTTATTGTATGCGATCAGAGAATTGTTAGGCTTAATGGGAAAAATCTACGAGCAACAACTATGAGCAAGAATTAACAAACGACATCCCTTTAGTTAAGTGGTAAACACTCCCACCAGCTAGCACCGTACGTGACCAGCCAGGTTACCCCTCCCCCTCAAAAGCAGCACTTGGGCCATCCATGGCTAAGAGGAGTTCCTCCAGGTTACTTCTTTTTCTAACATTTTGAATACCTTAGGAACTTGCCGAATCTGAATATTAGGTCAGTTTTATCTTAAATCATGTGGTGCGGTATGGTGGTGGATCATTTGAAAGGTCATTCCCTGGTTGATGCAAATGAGGCTGTTTATAATATTTTCAATCGGTGGGAACAGGCAGATTGTGATCCCACGTCCTAAATATTTATGTTTCTCGAGTTTTCTTCGGACGATTAATCAACACGAGATACTAGCATGACATCATAGTTGACATAACATCACCTGTCAAATCGATGACTAAGTCGTATTTGTGCCTGAGTCCGCTGGCAAAAGTTCACCTGATCTAAAGCGTCTTCTCCGCACGCAAACTTCCGACTACTGACCCTCCCTCGTCGTCTCCCGTCCTGTTACATGATTTATCGCAGGCCTTACGGTGATAGACCTTTCATTTCAATCATTGATCTTTCATATCCTCTTCTGGTTTCACCGGATTGGACCAGGAGCAACAAAGCTCCTGCAAAAGTGCAAACTCCAGCTTAACCATAGCCTTTTCCACCATGTCCACCGTCTCATCATCAACCCTCAATCCCCAGGGCCAGGGAGTCCGCCAATCGGCCCGCCAAACACGCACAAACCCATCCCGAACCTCCAAAACCGTTGGACGTTCCTCCTTTGGCTTTGGCCGTGGTTCACCTGCTGAGATCCCTTCTACTCCCCCTGTTCCTCATGGCTTTTATCCTGCCCTCACGCACTTTACCGACGCGATCACCGCTCTCCCGCGTGAGTTCCGTCGACACAATTCCCTGTTGAAAGAGGTGGACGCTAAGGCGTGGGCACTGGAGGAAAATTTGTTGCAGCTGCTTGAGCTTTCGTCAGTGTCGCAACCGGTTCCTCATCCCCCCACCCTGCGCCTATTGTTGCCGGTGTGGTGCGAGAGGATGTATTACCACAGGTATTTTGATTCCACTGGATCCATGAAATGTGATCCCGAACTGTACTGATGGCGCTTTTGTCCAGGAGCTTTCCCAGTCCGAGTCATCCAACAGCAGAGATCGTCGCCTCCTCTTCGATCGTGTGCGCCAGAGCCTTTCCGACCTCATGATGACTGCCGATGAAAAGAATCACGTCATTTCGAATGCGAACGAGGAATTGGACCGTCAGGTCGTTCGCCTGGATACCGTTTTTCCGTACATTGCGGGTGAGATTAGCGAGGAGGCTCGCCTGGGTAGCTTGACGCACTGGGCATACTCTAACAAGAATGCTGTTAAGACGGCGGCCAACGAGCGCCCGCGCCGGGAAGCAGTATCACACAGGCAGGACCTGTCGCATGCGCTTCACGAGGCTGAAGCTGCTAGTCGCAGCGAAGCAAGACGCGAGGCGGTTATGGCACGGAAGCAGCGCCGGGGAAATGTCGATGCCGACTATGAAGATTCTCGCGGGACTCGAAAGACTGCAAATACAAAGTCTCGTGGGGATAACGCGGTGGCTGAGCAGAATGCCACGGCTAAGCGTCGGAGGGTCGACAAAGAACGACCTCCTGCTATCGATATGGGTGCACCGATGGAACGTACTGCCAGTGGCGCAGGTAGCCAAAGAGCCCTGAACAAGGATGGAGTGGAGAAGAAGAGGTCTCGCGCTCCCAATGCTGGTACCACTGCAGCTCGCAAGAAGTATGTTGCTCCGGTTTCGTTTGTGTTTGTATCATTTCTGATCGTTTCGCAGGACCATTGTCACTTCCAACGCCGGATCGCCTGTCATGGCCCCTTCCCCTCTTATCGGCACGTTCAATGCTCCACGTGGAGCTGGAAGCCCTGGACCAAACCCAGCACGGCCCCAGTCCTCACGAGCTCAGCAGAATGCGGGGCAAACCAACAATTCCCGACAAAGACCATCATCATCTGCGTCCAATCGCATTGCTCAATCAACCAGTATGTCAATCCGCCTAGTCTCTGCTTTCACCCTGTCTAACCACATTTCTTATCAAGCCAAACCCGCCGATTCCAGATCAACACCTCGCGACGGCCCTCTCAAAATCGAAGCAGCCAACACCGACCCAAGCCGCGACTATGACGGCGAGACTGGCATGCGAACATCTGCGCCCGCAGGAGCCAAACAAGACGACCTGGATGGACGACCTACTGATCCCCTCGAGTCCGAACCGTCCAAAGGCCGAACCTCCAAGACCTCCACACCACTGCTATCTACCTTGGGAGAGCCTGCTCAGTCTCGCTCTAGACCAACGCGGAGTACAGATCCGGCGCCCAAGCGCAACGCCAAGAAGTCCGTGGCGCCGGTACCTGCTATACCATCCGATGAGGAATCCATTCACGAAGGCGACGATGAAGATGAGGAAGGCGAGCCTCGATACTGCTACTGCAATGAGATCAGTTTTGGCGAGATGGTTGCCTGCGATAATGACGCATGTCCGCGCGAATGGTTCCATCTATCTTGTGTGGGGTTGACGAAACCCCCTGGGAAGAATGGTGAGTTACATTTGCTGCCAACTTGGTGTATCAAGCTAATATCCGTCTAGTAAAATGGTACTGCAACGAGTGCAAGGAGAATATGCGAAGGGGTCGCAATGGACGATAGATGAGAATGACACATGGCCTCGATCTGATGGTCATTTCCGGGGTTACTGCATCTTCATTCGTAGGAGGTTGATGCTAAACATGACTAAGGACTGCAACGATCTCCTTTTAATAATGAATGAAAACTATCTTTTTGCATGCATATCCATGTAGTCCCTAATCTCCGGCTTGACCCTAAGGCATAGGCTGCATTGATTGTGACTAGCGGTGTAGACGTGGGATATACAGACTGCTCAGGTGGACCAGGTTGAGTCATCGTCATTCAGTGCCTAATTATACGTCTAACGAAGCCACGATACAAATCCCAGTATTCGGGCTTCAATTGGGCCCAAACGTTCTAAAAACAGTACAGAAAGCGAAGTATAGAGAAATACATTCCGATCTATATAGAAAACATTGAACGCAACATGACAACTCATACCCTACTTTCTGGCTACCGCAGTCTGACGTGCTCTCTTCCGACTCTGACTTCCCTCAGACTCAGAATCAGACCCAGAGTCATCGCTGGAACGTTTCTTGCTAGAGGTCTTTTTGTCCCCCTCACTATCAGAATCAAGATCACTATCAAACAAGTGCTCAAGATCAATAATATTCCCCATCGAGACCCCACAATCTACTTCAGTTAGTAGAGCACTCAAATTAAGTACGACTGGGATCAGACAAACCTGTAACTCCATCTCGAATGATAATGGTAAACAAAGGAGACTTTTCAATATCCACATTGAAAGGCCCATCATGAGGACCCTTGAGAATCTTCCATTTCCCCTCAAAACCCTTCCACACGGCTCTTCCAAAGTCCCAGTCACATCCCAGTCGGGCCTGACCCGTGGTGGATTCCAGATCCACTTCGTCAAAGGTGTCCCAGCTCCACCAGACATTGCTATGGGGGGAATCGAGCCAGTCAATCCTGTTGAGGGCTTTGCAGAGGCATGAGAATCGGAGATATCGCATATCGATCCAATTTAGGTCAGGGCTTTGCTGGAAGTGGAAAGGGTGATCCTCGAGGAATGCAGAAAGTTTGGTTTGCCAGCGGGATTTGGGCTCGTTGGCTTTGACGATTGTTACGAGACAGTTGTAGAGAACGAATTCGGATTGGAAGTTGAATGGGAAGTTGAATGATTCTTTGTCTTCTTCTTGTTCATCATCTTCCTCGGAAATCTCAATGTCCGCCTCCTCTTCCTCCGATGCAGATTCCTCAGAATCCTGCTCGGATGCGACTTCTGAATTCGAAATCGGAACCTTCAATTCTTCCTGTTCATCCTCAGAGGAAGAATCGTCTTCATCAATCAGTTCCTCCCGTTTCGTAACTGGCCATCCAGCCCGCTGATCCCTAAAGATCTCATACAAGTTCTTCACAGCAGTAGGCCGGTGTAGGCGTGGAATTCCGGCAGGCATATTCTCTATCTCTTCATAAATAGAATTGTGGACATCCTCTCGTCCATCTTTCGTTCGCAGGTATAGGCCATCGATGCTGAGGTCGTCGTTGATACCCATGAGGATTGGATGACGACGTCTCGTTCCTTTTGGTGCTTAATTGCTCCGATCTTGAGACGGTCCCAATGGGCATCGTTCTTCAACTTGGGGGCGGGTGCTCTGGGCATTTTTAAGGATAATGATTTCACTTTGATGTTTTGTCGTGTGTACTAGTTGACTGAGACTTGATGGGAAATGTAGTTCGGGATTTGGGGATGCTTTCGTCCTTGTAGGGTCCTTTAAGATGTGAAAATTCTTTGTTGGCCTATTTCAAATGTTTGAAGGATGTGAAGTTCGTTTTTTGAGTGTCTATTCTTAGTCCCAGGATTGATCTTTGGTGTAGTTCTTTCATGTCCTTGGATAGTCAGGAGAGGAAATTCTTTGATAAATTCTTTTATATTGAATACTCAACCTTGGATAGCATTCAAAGATGAAAGATTCCAATGCCTTGGAGTGTATTTGATATTTGATAATTTTAGATTTTATATTTCATATTATTATGTATGGATATACTGTACAGTCTCATCGGGTGTTCGGCAGATCGATCAGCAGCCCTAAGTTGACTAGTCAGGTACAGTACAGGATTACATAACCCAGTGATCTCCCGAGCCAAGCATCGCTGATCGGGCATCCATGGATCATTTGATTTAGAAGCTTGAAACCTTGGAACTGATGTGTGAATAATTACATGAAATATCAGCCCACAATAGTCTAAGATTGAACTCATCTAGGAAGAAAAAAAAAAAAAGTCTTAACTCCCTGAGCCGGAGAAGACGGAGCCCCCCTCTCGCCCCCCTGAAACAGCACCGGCGCCACGGGGGCTACATCTGCCGAAACCGATCAGGTAAGCGATACGGAAAGTTTAAGTCGCCAAGATCGGAGTAGAAGAATGTTCATGGTGGATCTTAAATGTTAATTAGGCATCCAAAGAACATTTAACGGCAACGTGGTTTGGTAGAAACGTGGTGTATTTTATTTCATTTTTTGTCCTGTTACTGTTATTGTTTTTCCTGTTTTTCGCTGTTTGTTTACTCAAATGTCGTAACTAATTATCACTAAAAGGTACAAGGTAAAAGGTAAAAAAAAATGTATATAAATACCTGAAACAGATATTCTTAGTGCTGCCCATGAACTACTCCTACTCTATTTTATAAACGTCAAGGGGTACGATTGCATTGTACAAGTCGTTTCAGCAAAAGATCCCACAAACCGGTGGATCTCTTTCTACAGACCGGCATTGAAACCAATCGTGGCTTGTCCATAGATCCACCTCCAGGACAACACGTCAACCCGCGGGCTAGATCCTTGTATACTAGCCCTAGGGCGTACGTACTAGCCCCGGGGGCAAAAATCTAGCCTTATGCAGCCCCAAAAGAATAAAATCGACTTCTTCCCCCCACCCCTTCTTCTTTATACAAGTAACACTCTCTCTTCCGTTCTGGGGAAGTTTTCATACTTCTGTCCTTCCTTTTTGTAACAACACTATTCATTCCTTTATAGTGCTGTTGACAATTGCCTTTCCAGAATTGCCTTCCTTTTGATTTGAGTGTCTTTTGTATCTCCAAAATGCTCTTCTCTAAGTCTGTGCTGCTGGCAGCTCTCTCCAGCAGCGCCGTTGCTCACCGTGTCCACGGTCATGCTCGTCGCCAGGCCATTCCCACTACGACCGTGACTGAGCTCGTCACCGTTGCTGCCTGTGCTGCTATCGAATCTTCAACCCCAGCATGGAGTTCTTCGGCCGTGGTGACTCCCACCCCGACTCCCGAGTACACTTCTACTCCCGCTCCTGAGGAATCTACCAGCACTCCCACCCCGACCCCGGAGTCAACCTCCACTCCTGAGCCGACTACTTCGGCTGTGCCGACTACGTCCTCCGTGGAGATCAAGGAGGCCGTGGAGATCACGACTTCCTCCACCTCGACCTCGACCTCTTCTGTCGTGGTCTCTACGTCGACCTCCTCTGTCGTGGTCTCGACCTCGACTTCCGTCGCTACTTCGACCGACTCCGGCTCCAGCGCCAGCTGGACCGAGATCCCCTCCGACGGTGTCTACTCCACCTCTGGATTCGGCACTGCCACTAACTCCTCCGGCTCCGGCGACACTTACTCCGGTAACGTCGGCAGCCCATACGGCAGCAACATCATCTCCGTCTCCGCCGACGTTGCTTACACCTACAAGTATGTCGTTGAGTTCACTGGCTCCAACACCGACGACTGGCTGGTCGTCATCTGGAACAAGTACAGCTCCGATGGCACCATGGACGGCTGGTACGGTAAAGCTTGTCACAAGTTCACTCTCGCCGCCGGTGAGACCAAGTACTACGCTTTCGACTACGATTCCCAGGGTGGTTGGGCCGCCGCCAAGGGCTCTTCCATCCCCACTGACGACTACGGCGGTTACGCCTCCACCTGGGGAGAGTTCGACTTTGGCTCCACCGCTAACTCGGGCTGGTCTGGCTTCGACGTCTCGGCCATTATGGCTCAAGATGCCGATCTCACCGTGCAGGGTATGAAGATCTGTGATGCCTACAACACTGATGGTACTTGCTCGTACATCACTACTGACGCTGGTACTGTTCACAATGCCTACACCAGTGCTGAGACCGACGTCGGTGGTATTGGCGGTAACCTTAGCGCTGGTCCTGTTCGTCTGTCTGTGGTTATCGACTACGACAACTAGGTATTGACAGACGCGCCGTGTGGGTTTCGTGTTGGTTTTGTTTTTCTTATACACATTGTTTCAGTTTTCAATTTTTAACTTGACGCCTGCAACTACGACTTTGGTTTGATGCATATGTGGGGTCGGTTTGGTGTATACCTTTTTGCCTGATTGGTTCGGTATAAATATTCGATTCTTTTTATCTTCTTGAAGATTTTTTTTTTTTCCAAATACCACACAGGTTTTCAAAATTTGACCCTTTTCCCCGTGCAATGATTTGGCCCCTTATTGAATTGCCAATTTTGGTGCGGACGAGGCGCTCATTAGTGTGATGGGGCGCTGATGGCCGCATCAGCGCATACGTACGCTGCCGTCTCGGCCCGGACTCGATTTTCATTTGTCCGTATATATTCCCCACTTTGGTAGAAAGCCTTTCGATGCATACGAAGTATATTAAAATGAGCAATTGATGGGGCTTTTGATGTTTATTTGGTTCTTCATGCGGCTGTTGAGTGGAATCCGCGGTACATTATATGAAACGATCCACTCGGAACATCCGTTTGCTGGTTCATCTCCACAATCTTACTGGATTCCGTGGTTGGAAGCGTGCATACTCTGTATGCTTGATAGATTCAATGTATGATGTACTCCGTATATACTGTATACTCTAAACACAATAGGCCTATTTCCAGTCTATGTATAATTGACCCTTGAACCCTAATGAGATATCCAAGTCATACCTTTATCCTATAGACCATGGATTGAAGGATTGAATATTTGCAGGCCCCAAAAGATGAATTCACCGACATTAACCCGCACAAGCACCAGCCGGCCGAAAGTGACGGTCAAGCTCAACTAGATTGCAGATCCCTAAAAAATTGAATTCATCATGCAAGGCAGTGAGCTTAGCCAAGATCAAGTCCTTTATGTCGACATCGCAACGCGCGTTCTAGCCCCCTTTCCAGCGTCTCCGTACCTGTTTTGTAGACTAGTCTGTACTTCGTATTAGTATGTATTTCTTCGGATCCATTAGAATACGCCAAGACGCTAAGTAGCAGCTCAGCTTCCTAGAGCTAGGAATTTGGACCTCCTATCCTACATAGCCAAGGAATTGAGGGGCGTGCGTCTTGGAAGAAGCTCTGTCGGACATTGGATATTGTGATAGAAGTGAAATTTGGTGTAACTGCGCTCAATTACGTAGGCTGGGCTGTATCCAGAAGAGGTCCGATATTAAAGAGGACGTAAATGTGAGGCAAGTCGAGTTCATACAGTATGTATATAATTGTACAGGAACACTCCGTGGAGTTAAATCGATTCGCTCGAGAAAAACACATTTAAGTAGCGGTCCAAGTTGAATGATTCAATGAATGCCAGTATTGCGTTCAGTTGATTTATGTTCAAGCCATTGTCGTTCAAATTCTGGGCTTACTCTTTCTAGGTTGAGGTCTTCCCCCCCCGCGGATCCGAGGCTTTTCCCAACTACTGTCCATAAATCAAATTTAAAACAGTCTTTAAAGTACCCTCAACTGAAACACTGATGAATGACATAGCTAAATCTTGTCGAAAAAGTGTATCTGGCAGAGATGCTTGTTTTGGAGTCTCATTGGGTAATTCAACAGCACCTGAGTGCTGCCAAGTTGAATAGAGTTAATATGGGAATATGGGGCCAAACTCGGATAAATATATCTTCGGTCTCTCAGTAGCTTCTGATTTCAATCACTGAGGATACATCGGAGCCAGTCGCCACAAGAATATTCTATAGATCTACAGTACTCTCACTCAAATCATTGGATGATAGTGGCAATATATGCATGTAGAATACATAGATCGATTGCCCATGTCCAAGCCTTTGAGAGTTGTTCGTTCATACATGTCTGCCTAGCTACTGGGTGAGTCCTCAACCTTGGAGGTGCCGGGCATATCTCCTACTACATGAACACTCCAGTCCTCCAGGCTGTGATACATACCAACTTCCAAGGTTTCCACATAGACAGAATATGGACTTTAAACACAATTACAGTCGTAAAAATACAAACTATGATTCAAAGTTCCATAAAACCTGGAATATAATTCAAATCAGAAACATTTTGTTAAAACACTTCACCAAGCCCCCCTCAACCTCTCCATGAATCCCCCATTCTCCTGCCGACCCTCACCCTCCCCACCTCCATTAACATTCCTCCTCCTCCCAGAACCACTCTCCAATCCGGAGCTAGAAGCAGCCGCCTCACCCTCCAACCTTCTTCTCAAATCCTCATATCGCTCCCGCTCCGCCGCACTTCCATTTGCAACCCCGCTCCTCCGCTCCCGTTCTCCGACCATCCATGCTGGAACACGGAAGCCCGTTGCAGATGGGGATAGACCTGGTAGGAGCTCGGCACGCCAGGCTATTCCGACGATCCAGCCAACGGCAGACGGGAGGAGCATAGCGGGGAACTGGGAGAGGGCGAGCTGTGCGGCGACAAGGTAGGTGGTTGATTTGTCCGAGAGCAGGAGGGTTAGGCCCTTTGGTGTTGGTTTTGCTGTTGGGGTTGTGGTATCAGGAGCTCTGGTGTTAGAGGAAGCTGTTGTCCCGACGCGGTATCGGTAGACATGTGGAATTGTGGCGTAGTACTGAGCCAGAAGAGCAAATACCATTGCTGTTGGTCCAGAGGGGAGGTAATTGAGTGTGTTGAGGGAGAGTGGGCGAGCAACAAGAGTTAGAAGGAGGGGTGGGAGGAGAGTTGTGTATGGGAGCGTTGTTAGGAGGAAGGTCTGTACATCAAAATCAGCATTCATGTCCTTTGACTTTGAGTTTATCGTCATTGGTGATCCCTTACGGCCATCTTTCGCTTGCCCCATGCCCGCTCTATGACGCGTACGTGGTACACCAGCATTGCGGCGAACAAGGCTTCGGTGGAGTTGGAAAAGCCAACAATTTGCCAGAGGAGAGCGCGCCAGAATTGCGCATATGGCCAGAAATGGGGCGATACATGGATTGCGCCAAGATGTTTGATGTCGAGGATGGAGAGGGCGATGGAGGAGGCGATCGTGTATATGAGGAGGGACTTTGTAAGCGGGGTGTTGGTAAAACCGGAGGTGAGCATTTTGATTGAGGGGCGCTGTGGCCAGTCGCAAGATCTCAGGTTCTACTATGGATCGAGGCTCATTCGGAGCGATTCCGTATAGCCGGTGTCTTGTGCGGCCCAAATACGATGGGGGTTGAAGGGAAAAGAAGTGGGAGCGGAGAAGACCCAAGCAGAAGGCCACATAACATCCGAGTCCGGGGAACCTCGGCTTGCCGATCTACATATTGAACTCCGTACACCCTGAATACTTTTAAGTGGCGTTGAAAATTGATTTCGATACCTACTTGGTATAGTATTATATATTATTCAGTTCCAAGCCTGTCAAACGTCATCTTTTAAATGGATTTAAACCGCCAAAGCCGCAGCTTCTCTCGTTTCCTCCGCTAAGGCCGTTTGATACCGGATCGAGGCTAACTCCAAGGCCTGCAACGTGGGACCAAGTAGCTGATTGACCGCTTTTGCCCCCCCCTCAATGCTGTCTAGATTCGGTCGCAATTTGCGTCCAGTACGTTCAAACACGTCACGCGCATGCTGTTTAGCTCGGTCAACTTCAAGCTGGCGTTCAGCCTCTGCAGCTTCCGCGACGGCTTCGATTCGTTGCTTTGCACGTTGGAGTGATTCCGATAAGGACGAGACCTCACCTGCACGATCGGAGTCCCCGGAAAGGAAGGCCTGCCAGAATTGGTGAAGGAATTCAGTCGAGGTCGCATGCGTCAATGTTAGTCGGTCATAAAGGGAAGGAGAAAGTCCGTAGGTGTCGGATAATGAAGCCTCGCTCATTTGGTGGCGTTGATCACGTACTGCCTCGAGAATTTGGGCAAAAGCAGCATGTAATGCAGCGGATGAGCCAACGGGACGTTTATTGGCAGGGGCATCGTCCATCTCCTCGTCTTCGTCGTCGCCAGGATCGACTAACTTTTGGAGAGGTGTAGCACCGCCGGGTGGAAGATTGAGCGCAACCTCTGAGCGGAGAAGCTGCAAAACCTGATTAGGATCCTGCTTCGAGAGCGCCCGATTTTGGTCATCATCCCGTGCCGCCGCAAAGAAACGGTCCTGATCACGGATATTGAGAGTAATACGGGCTTGTTCCTCATCCCCTCGGAGATCCTGTAATTGCAATTTTGCCCATGCTTCCTCATTCATCCCAATGGGGGCACTGATGTCGCCGTCTGCTGGGGCCACATTGGCCATGATTTTCTCACTGAGACTGTTCAAAGTCCGAATGATAGGTACTTTATCCACGGCAGAGGGGCGCATGTCCAGGTCCGGTCGGTTTCCACGGCGTTGACTGTTATTCCCTTCATTACCCGCGAGATCCAGAAAGTGGGGGACATTAGCATCCCGTTCTGCGACAGCGGGTTCTTCACGAAGATATTTGTCCAGCACAGCGTCTGTAGCGTCTGCTTCTGAAATACGCTCTCCACGCAACTTCTTAAATAGTCGACTCTGGAAAAAGCGCGACCAGAATTGCTGCTCACTCAGCTTAGGAACGTTCTCATCATAGACATTTTTGACCAGTGGGTGCTGCGAGAAAATAAGCTGGATTTGTTCCTTGCTAATATTCAAACGAGTCACATTTTCCTCAACGCGCGGCTTTAAGGATGAGAGCACGTTGTAGGATCCGCGCGTCTGGGCGCGTTCGATCGCATGAGCTCGTAGAAGGTGCAGTCGTGTAGACCAGAATTGTGACATGAACTGGCCAGAGGATAAGGTGTCCGGTTTTGTATGTAGAGATTCCATGAACATCCGCTGCAACGTCGAATCAGCCTTCAATAGAGATTGCTGCAGTTCCACATCGGCCTTCAGTCGGTTATCATCGTCCCATGGATTCTTGGCTGACCCGGCTGACGAAACGGCATTAGCTATCGCAAGAGCCGCTGATACTCCTGCCCCGCTACTGGGAGCCGGCGTGGATGTCTGTGAAGGCGTCCCTGCTTTCGCCGCGTTGACCCGAGCGCCGAGAGCATCCTTGAAGGCATCGGCCTGTGCGCGTGCGTTCGTTTGGGCAGTAAATTGAAAGGTGTAGGCAGTTGACTCGCTATTTGGAGGGGCGTTTGGAGCGGTTGCAAAGACTTTCAGCATAACTTTGGGGTTTGAAACTGGGGTTTGCTGTAAATCTAGTCTCGAGTGTTAGCAAAGGTGACGGGTCTGGGCAGCAGGGTTGAGCGGCTGCATACTGGTGATCGTGGACACGGCGATCTTATGTCCCGAGACACTCGCTTCAACCGGGGTCCAGACCAGCGTCGCCTCATCTGGGGTGAGACTCAAATTGCCATCTTTCTTCTTGAAAGAGGCTGCGGCGCTCGGAGGTGCCATCGTCACGTGTCTCGACAGCTTCCACTGTTCTGAGCAGCGACAACGAAACCACCCATCAGGATAGGCAGATCCTCAGCGGTTGAGGCTAAGCGGAGAAGGTCGAGGCCTTCGAGATGTGTTGAGGCAGCGGGTGAGGTCAAAGCGAAAGCAAAGAGCCGCAGAAGAGCTGCGCGTGATCACGTGATTTATCACCTGGACGCCAATACCCTAATAAAAGAATCGCAAGCCTCATGAAGTGCTTAGAGAAGACCCCAGTCTCTTGTCAGACAAAGAATTTACAAGTGAAGAACTTTAGTGAATTGTGTACTTTACAGAAAACGTGGTATAAAAATGAGCTGAGTGATGCAATAACGCCAATGTACATAAACGCCAAGCAAGCAATGAGCCAGAATAACTAAAAGCAAACTTGAAAACACCGCTGAAGAGATCCAGAATGCTATGCAAAATAAGATAGACGCGACCGAGAGCACGAACCCGAAGCCAGGAGCCAGAATGCCGAAATTCGTAAACCATGTTGCGCGCCGCCATGCATAGACCGGATATCATCATTCGTAATCGTCAAAAAAGACCTCCCAGGACCAAATAAGCAACAGGTAAATGAAATGAAAAACCAGATTGTCAAGGGTATCCACCAGCAATGACCAAAAAAAAATAAGAGGATAAAGTATGCTTTTCCAGCAATGCCAAAGCAAGGGCTGCATGAAAAATCACTTCTTGAACATGTAGTGGCCGTAGATACCACCGACATCACCGACGGCCATAGGAATCTTGCGCATACCCCACCAGCGGGCGCCAAGCTTCCAAGAGCGGTATCCATCGTCAATTGGGCAATTGGGCATAGAAGCAGGGTCCCGAACGTACCAGCCGCGGCGACCAAGCTCTCGCACAGTCCAGCCCACGGAGACACGTTGGGTCTTGCTCCGCTCACGCAGTGGAGTAATGATTTTGTCGCTAAATTCAACTACCTGTAGCGGGTAGCTCTGCTCTGACAGAAGGAGGCACGAGCTCATGTTGAAGATGGAGCCAATGGTCATCTGTGTCACCTTGGCAAGATCGAGGTAACACAGAGTGCTGGGGAGCACATCCTCCTTCGTGCGGGTGAAGAATGTGTTCACATCCTGTACCGAAAGATCCGCAGAGCTCAAGCCCAGTTCCTCGAGGTGCTTGGTCAGAGGAAGCAAAAGCGGTACATGGGCCGAAGTGATCCGGGCCCCACCCAGGTTCAAGGAGCGAAGAGTGTTAGGCAGCTTGGGCAGCAGTGCCGTGACATCATCTTCTTCCAGAAGACGGAATCGAGTGGCGTCTGTCAGCAGGTTCAGGTACACCAGAGAATCACAGACCGCCGGGTGAGTAGTCAAGAACTCGATCAGAGCTGGCGGGTGCAGGCGAGTGCATCGAGACAGACTCAAGTGGGTGATACGAGCGGTGTCGGGAATGGCGAAGAGAGCAGAATCGTTGATTTGCGTGTGGGTCAGATCAAGGTGGGTCAGATTGATCAGTCGCGGCAGCAGGAAATCAAACATCGGCGCCGTAATGGTGCTGCATTCGTGGAGGGAGAGTCGCTTCAAGTTGGGCATGCTCATGGGTAAAGCCGGGCCACCGGTGAGAGCCTCTTGGAAGACCGAGGAAAAGGATTGGGTGGAGCAGCCGCAGAGATCCACTGCTTGAAGGATCGGCAGACCCATAAACATCTTACGAATCACGTCCATGCTCAAATCACTCTCAAGATGCTCTTGCAACAGACACTCCCTCAGGTTAGGCAACAGTTCTAGACACTGCAACAGGGTCCGCGCGGTCAGGTTCTGAATCTCGGCGTTCATCTGCTTAGTCCGACCCAAGCCCACTGACGTGAAGTGAGAAAAATCCAAACGGCGCACCAGCGTGCCAAGAGCCGGGTAGGAGGAGATATGTGTGAGGGCCTTGGAGAAGATGATCGAGTGGGGGAAGGTCATGTTCCTGTAGAGCACACTCAACGTCGCCGCGTGCAAGGTGCGCGAGCTCAGAAGACACGAAACCAGATCAACATTGCGCGGAGTATATCCATTCGGCGGGATATCCAAAGCCAGGTGGGAGATAACTTGATCTGCGGACTAATTAGGCTCAAATATGATGTGCATAAACGGGGGATTCCTTACCCAGAACTTCAGATGGGAGCTTCTCCAGGGCCGATGTGCCGGGAGGAATTCCAGCAGGGGGCTGTGGCTGTTCCACTACCTCTGGGGCCTTGGGAGGAACCAACTCTCGTCCTGACCCGGTCGTCTCCCATGCCCAGCCTTTAGCTTGCTGGCTTGCCAACCCTCGAAGGTCCCCAAAACTGCGACTCAGACTTTTACCACTGAGACGAATCTGCTTCCATCCCAGAAAACCACCGCATGGGCAACAAAAGTCTGGGGCCTGTTGCATTTGGGGTTCCGGGCTGGGAGGCTCTTTGGGTTCCGTTGGAGAGGGCACGTGGTGAGTGTCTACAAATGATTGCGCAATGCCTGTACCTCGATCACGTTAGTTTCCCCCTCATGTCCTTATGTGGATAAGTAGTTGCGTACCGTCGACGTCCTCTTTGATGGAGCCGAATGATGGGCGTCGGCTGCTGCTGGATATAGATCCGTCTGGAGTAACGCAAGGTGAAGGTGAGGCCTCGCGTGAGTGAACGTGATCACCACATGGAATAGTAAATCGCGGGAGGGTCGGCTTTGGGTGTGAAGGGGCAGTAGTGAGGGAGGCCATGTTGAGAGCGAGCGGGCCCTCTATATAGGGCCCCAGTACAGACGATAGACTAGTTTCGGGAAGTACCCTTTAGAGGTGGAACACGAAAAAAAAAAAATTTGCAAAATTATTAGACGAGCTTCCCCGGATTGTTTGAAGGGGAAAAAGGATGATTTGGTCAATCAAAAGGAAAAGGTTAGGGCTTTGAAGAAGGAAGATGTAGAGGGGCGGCGGGGAAAGGAAAAAAAGTTCAAGCTGTTAGTCACGGAAATCGGCGAACCGGCGTTGCGCTGAAGTAGAAAGTGGAAACCTGAAGGAGAAAAAAAAAATTTAAGTGGAAACGGCTGGGACCGGTTGGATTCGGGTCCGTGAGGATAAGAAAAAAATTGAAGAAAATAAAAGAAAATAGGTTCCTTACACCAGAAAGATCATTTAGTTTGAAATGTTAAAAAATGAAAGGCAATTATCACGGGGGCAAATAAGCCCATTCAACGGTGGCGGATGTCGAGTGCTTTGAGTTTAGTAGTCATCGGCCATACATGGTTAGGGCGATAAAGAAAGCTTGCCCCTGCAGACTTTGTTTGCTTTTTACTTAGTTCTTTTACATTTCGAGAAATCTAATGTATGCAAGCGGAAACCATGGCGTCATAATATGCATGAGGATAGATAAGAATGATTCCATCTGGAATGTAGTGTACTTCCATGAAAAATAATTTTAAATTCAATTCAATAATTCCACAGCTAGTTACGCTTCATGGAAACCTATAGCTTATAAAGGTACCTTTGTAAGCAATTTATGACATCTATATTCAGCCGCCGATAGGACCATGCGTAGGTCAGCCGGATGCTTTTCTGTACCCCAGACCACGTTTGGGTTCTCGTTAGGTAACCACATGGATCTCAATAACATTTAATTAGTCGATTCAGCCGATCATGCGGGGTCTGGCGCGCCATTACCTAATAGAATATCACCTGACTGACTTTCTCCAATTTTTGGTTATGGCTTGATCGAGTTTAACCTCTTAAACCATTCGATGAAGGTGGAAATGGCCAACTCACCATTTCTTGATTCGAAAATACTCGTCACCAGCCTGCTTTCTCGACAACCAACTCGACCTAATCCTGCGTTCCTGTTGTCCTTGCTGGGACAGCGGATAACACCTCCTATTCCAAACTAGTAAACCGCCCAGTTGTACAATTATATCACCGGCTCAACAGGGTTGCTAAGGCTCGATTCTAGAATCGCGCGGCTTGAGCAACATATGCAGTTGGGTTCCAGATGCCAAATGACGTTAGCGTGGTACATCATTTCCATCCTCAATCCATCCGAAGGTCGGAGTAATCAAAAACAGGCCAACTCATCGCCGAGAGTAGGAGCTAAGAAGCTAGTCAGTTAACTAGAGACAGACCCGCCAATAGCTGCTAAGCTCCACCTCATCCACTAACGGGTGATCCCTTCAATGGGGCGGTGTGCGCTATGCTGATCAGTCGATCTAGTTCTGCCAAGTGTTGGTTTGATCGATAACTAGTAGAGCAGACAAGGCAATAGTTTGTGATTGTTAGGTATTTGCCGAGCCTTGGCTGTGACCATGTGTGACATAAGTGATCTTCGCTGCGTAATTTGCATTCTCGTTTACAAGGATTTGAGGCTCGGGTTTCACAGAGCTTCAAACTTACGGCTATTGAGTGGATTGGGGAGTCCTTTTCCAGGAAATGGCTCCTGGCGACGCCGCCCGAAGATTCTCGGGAATCTCTCGGGTCCACTTCGGTTTATCAATCTTATCGCTTTTGGTGAATATCCTTGGCTGATCTGCTAAAGTCGCCTCGACGATCGCAACAAAGGTCCCAAATCCGCTTGATACATAGCTTGCTCCATATGATGCATTCCAAGGTTCAATGTTGGTACGTCAAAGGTAGATCTTTGGTGGTATCGAGGTATGCTTGAGAGTCGGTAGCCATCAAACATGACGTCAAATGAAATAGATGGAGTGTAGTATGCAGTTAATAAACAAACCAACCCTAGAGCTCTAAATAGTACTCACTATCATTACTACTAGTACCACCAAACCACGTGCATCTGGGATCTCTTAACGCCCACATATGTCTATTTTCAAATTACAAAGCTTCGAGCCCGATACAAATAAGTAAGGGTAATCGAAACAAATGAGGAGACTCCCTTCGTACGTCTGCATGACCCCAGAAACTGCATTCAAACACGATAGCGGGTCCAAACTCCCCGTATCCCACCCTGTCCCTGAAAACCTACACCAATCTTATCCTGTGACCCGTCTTCTATTATGACAGGTCAATAGCTCATACAACAACGGGAATCATGCAAGGTCCCGGTACCATCTCCTCGGACTTGGAAATATTTCAAAGTTGGTTCAGGAAGAAATATTCAAACTTCGCGTGACCTAGAGCATCTGATGTATTTTTTTCCCCGTCCAAGTCTAGATCAAACCTAAAGTTTTAATCAATTATACCCTAGCGTATCTACATTGAACCAAGAGCTTTATTTGTAGTCATTTGACTTATGAACCGTGGAACCTGTTATCAAGTTAGATCCATGATAAGATGTAAGTGGGTTTGACGTCACTGAATTTCTACGTTCCACGCGGTTGGAAACTCTATTTTTGCTATCTGGTAAGGTCTACCGCCAACGAATATCGTAGTTGACTATTAATCTGTGAAAGTTTGCCTGGGGTATTTTTGCATTGGTATATTCAACAGATTCGAGTTCGAAGACAAAAATCTACGTAGACAATCTTGAACGATGAAGGACTTCAAAATGTAATATGAAACAAAATAAGTGGATATCAGTCCAAGCCCAAAATCAAACTGGGTAGATGGACAGTATAAGTCAAGTCTAGCAATGACATGGTTGAAAGAAAAGAAAACGCCACAGGGAAATCCCAAGTCTGTCAATTCCACATCCAACATTCCACATCCAACATTCCACATCCAACATTCCACATCCAACAATTGAGCTTGCTGGACACGGTCAAGCTGAAGCTCTAGCATAAGTCGTAATATTCATCTCTGCTGTTAATTGCACAATCTAATCAAAATCAACAGCACTGGACTCATCGTTAAGAACGGGATTGATCTTAGGATTCCACTTGAGCTGGAAGTCCTGTCCAAGCTCTTTGCGAATAGCAGCCTTTACAGCCTCCAGGACATTGTCAAAGACACCAAAGCTGGCCGGATTGTTGGCGTCGTTCTCGCCCTTCTTGCCTTGAAAGACACCAGTGCGAACCAGGCAGGTGTTCCAGCCATACATATTACCGCCAATGATATCGGACTGCGGGTTATCACCGACCATGTAGACGTTCTTGGGCAGGCGGTTCTCGGTGTGAATCTCTTCCATCCAGTGCTTGAGGACCTCGTCAGCGTATGTGTAGGTGGCGCGCTCGGGCTTGCCGTAGACAACACGCTCGAGCTCGCAGCCGGTTAGAGCCTTGTACTGGGCTTCAATGGCGATACGGAAGGCTCCCTGTGTCAGACGAGGTGGACCCTTGTGGTTGGTTGGGAAGACCAAGTCGCCTTGGGAGAAGTAGATGGGGATGCGGCTGGTGACTGGATCTTTGGCACGGGTGAGGAGCTTGCCGTCCTCCGACAGCAATAGATCCATGATAATCTGGAAATCCGTGGCATAGTCGTAGGAGTCGGCGAAGACAAGAATAGCGTCGAACTTCATCTTGGAGAAATCACGAGGCTTAGCATTTACCCGATCAGCCTCTGTGAAAGTGCGCCATGGCGACACAGTTGGGTCCCAAGCGAGAATGTCCTTAGGGTGGACGACATTCTTGAAGCCGTAGGTCTCGGCGACCTCGCGAACCTTGTAACCCTCACCGCCGCATACGAGCACAGTCTCGTAGTACTCGGCCAGAGCCTGCATGGGAGTGTGAGACTGGATGAATTGTTCGGTAGAGATGGTGGTATCGAGCATCTGCGAGAGCTGCTCACACCGAGCCACCTCGGTTTTACCACCCCCGTTGGTCAACAGGATGTAGGGAATCTTAATGCCCAGCTCATTTTCCCCGTTGAGGATCTTCAATGCCTCTTTGGCCTCTTCAATAGGCTCAGGTCCGTGTGCCAGCACACCGTCGATATCGAAAGCAAATGCCATGTTCTTAGCAGTCTCCACTTTCTCCTTGAACATATCTTGGACCTGCGAGGTCAAGATATCATGGGAAGCTATACGACGTTCTGTCTTCCAAGAGTGCAGACGCGAGAGACGCGGCGAGCGTGGAATGGGCAGAGAGGTACCAAAAGAGTTACGCGAGCTCCTTCGCTCCTTCATGGAGGGCGACAGGCTGAGGTTATGCATAAGCGCCGCAGCATCACTGATAGCGCTGCGTGTTGAGGGGATCTCAATGGTGTTACTACCATCACTAGGGATAGGTAGGCCATTGCGAGGAGTACTGGTGATGTCGTTGGGACGACTCTCGACCAAAAAGTCCGAATCATCAAATCGAGGCATGGTGGATGATCGGTGGAGTAAAAGTGGATAAGGGGTCTAAAGAGAAAAGGAGAAAAGAGGAGTCGGTCTAATCAACAAGAGATGTGACTGGTTTAAGTATACCAGCACGCGATAAGACAATATCTATATGAGAACCGAGCGCGGGACGAGAGGAAAAATAAACAGGAAGCGAGGGTAATGCGCGTATATATATACAGTCACGGTTCTTCTCATTTACCGGAACAGGGCATGAGCACGGGTTGGCCCAAAAACACGGTATCAGACGGCCATTGCAACCACTTTGCGGGATACAATGAGGGGGGTGTGGGGATCCACCCGTCTGATTATCATATAAATAAGCGTCATCACTTGGCCATAACAGGATGGTTTGTGGTCGCAGCTGGTGCAGGCTTGGGATGCGCGTACAGTAGTCTCGAATATATGCGGCACAAAGGAGGGGGGGGTACAAGTTACTTACAACGTGGTAGCGGCACTAACGTTTCTCCGGGTACCGTATACCTATACCCCCTGCCTTCGTATACCAGGAAGCTCAGGAGAGCACTCCTCCGACTGATGAACAAGGAAAGTATTGGTTGAGATGGACGTATAAGACGATGAGTGGGTAAGAAAACGACTCTACTTGGAGCGGTTGCGATATCTGATTGGACAGGAGCACGGTTCACCCATGGAACGGCATAGGATGACGATGGAAGTGGGTCAAACGCTTCAGCACCGTTTTGGATTACAATGATGTCATGGGGAAGTTTTTGAAAAATACTTAGATTACACGTATTTCTGTATTTCAAGGGCATTCCGGGTTACACAGGGATATGCTTAGTGCTTTAGGTACAGAACGATCGTCAGGGAATATTGATATCGTACTGATATCTTATTGATAAGTTGTTTTTAGAGTATTTCAATGTTTGCTTGTAGAATGCAAAGTAAAAATTTGGAGTGTTCAAGTTATTTCGGGTTGAAAGCGGAAAGTGACCCCTCTATACCCACACGTCTGCAGTGAACATCGTCATCGCTCGCCCGCTTAAGTCCCCCACCTTCATAATAATTATTCGTCCCCCTCTTCATCTTCTTCCTTTCTATACACTATAATATATCAATTTGATTCAACATGTCCAACGGAAAGACTTACAAACTGAGCAACGGAGTCACTATCCCCGCGGTGGGCTTCGGTACCTTTGCTAGCGAGGGTTCCAAGGGTGAGACCTACGCCGCTGTCACCGTTGCCCTCAACACCGGATACCGTCATCTGGACTGCGCCTGGTACTATCTTAACGAGGATGAGGTCGGTGATGCTATTCACGATTTCCTCAAGGCCAACCCGTCAGTCAAGCGATCCGACATCTTCGTCTGCACCAAGGTGTGGAACCACCTGCACCGCGCCGAAGATGTCCGCTGGTCTATCAATGACTCCCTGAAGCGCCTGAAGCTGGACTACGTTGACCTCTATCTGGTCCACTGGCCTATTGCCGCCGAGAAGGACGGCCAAGAAAAGCCCAAGATCGGCCCCGATGGCAAGGTAAAATTATACGGCTCAATCCTTTCTTGACGATAAAGCTAACAAGCTGTAGTACGTTATCCTGAAGGACCTCACCGAGAACCACGAGGAGACATGGCGCGCCATGGAGAAGCTGTACGAGGACGGCCTCTCCAAGGCCATTGGTGTGTCCAACTGGACCATCCCCCAGCTTGAGGCCATGGCCAAGTTCGCCAAGGTGCAGCCACACGTCAACCAGATCGAGATCCACCCCTTCCTGCCCAACACCGAGTTGGTGGAGTACTGCTTCTCCAAGAACATCTTGCCCGAGGCCTACTCACCCCTGGGTTCACAGAACCAGGTGCCCACCACCGGCGAGCGTGTTGCCGAGAACAAGACCTTGAACGAAATTGCCGAGAAGGGCGGCTACACCCTGGCTCAGGTCCTGATTGCCTGGGGTCTGCGCCGTGGCTACGTCGTGCTCCCCAAGAGCTCCAACCCCAAGCGTATTGAGTCCAACTTTAAGAGCATCGAGCTTTCGGATGCGGAGTTTGAGGCTGTGAACAAGGTTGCCGAGGGCCGCCACTTCCGCTTTGTGAACATGAAGGATACCTTCGGTTACGATGTGTGGCCCCAAGAGACCGCCGCTAACCTGTCCGCTTAATTTACCAAAAAATACCGCCCTACAGATGAAGTGATACCCGGTGGGGCGGAGGGGTTGGGGAAAAGTGTAATGAACAGACACGATAGATGAAATGAACACAATTTATCCAGTTTCTTGGTAAATTTCACCAATTTTGAGCAATTGATATGTAATAAGATTCCGGTTTGGGTGACCGAATCAACTTAAACCCAGTATAACCCCCCTCTCTTCTGCCGGCATCCACGGCTAACTTTCCAAGAGTATTTCAGCCTAAAGAACTTTCTTTACTTACAATTCAAACGATCATCTAACAACCCATACCCTGAAAATCTCCAAATCGGTTCAAACATCCCAAGCCACCGTATTGTACCGAGTTGCAGATTTGTAATCCCATCCCACCTAGGTACAGTAGTATGCAGGAGTACAGTCCCCCACCAATAAACAATAACAACTCCACAGGTCCAGGCCCACAATAAAATACAAACACGAATACAAGATCAGCCCGAAGCTACGAGTATACATCAATCTACAACATTATCAGCATGTGCCATTGCCCAATCCAAGAGCACAAATAGAGAGACCCTGGAGCAGAGTACTCCGATATGCATGAAGATGTCATCACGCGTGTGGCTGTAAGCCTTTGGCGCCACTAACTGAGCGGCCCTGGAGCTAAAATAATGCAATTAACTAACTTGGTCTGGCGTAGTGCGTATTGAAGCATGGTCGGGTGATTTCGGAATTTGTGAGACTTGGGTGGACGGATTAGGGTGGTTTGTACAACACCGGATGCCGGATGGGGATGGGTGGGGGGTTGCGTTTACTCCGTACTCCGCACATGGCTCGGTCATATATCCGTAGCGGGTCGGGGGTTGTTTTGTCGAAGTTTTGATTGAATAACATCCATTGAGGGAAATTCTATTACATATTGGATACTTCGTGGGAACTTGGGGTTGTATGAGACTGATGGACTACAAGCCTCCAGGGCTAGACTTGGTGGTGATGTTCCCTTACTCTTTCCGCTTCTGGGAAGAGGCGTGTAGTATAGACTTTGATCCGGAGCCTTGATGCGACGGGAATTGATGCCTCTTCTGAATTTGAATACTTACGATCATGGATATTTACATGTGCTCTTTGTGGTCGGGTCTGTGGGTTAGCCAGAGCTTGGTCTTTAACTTTCTGGCTCGCACCAACAAGGCAGGGCACATAGTAGTAGCTAGACATTTTGATTGGATTAGGATACAAATCAGACAGTATCTAGCATATGCTGTATAATGTATGGCTCATGGCTTTTACAGTTGCTTGCTATAGTAGTATGTACTAGTACGGAACACCTCGGTAGAGTACCTGAACAGTATCATTGGGGCTATAACTCTGCCAAAACTTTCATAGCCAAGTTCGAAACTCAAAATATTTTCACAATCTTTAGTCGACATAACCTCCATAAGGGGAAAGTCTAGCGTGGGGATCAGATCTCCAGAAATTGAGACTAGTACTAGTGTCTTAGTGTCTAGGCCCCGGCGCCGCTCACGCCATGCAGGAGCCATTCACGGACGCCAGGGTGATCTCAGAATAAAAGTCCATGTTTAAACCGGGGTACATTGACCAACACAACGTCATCCCGCTAGCGTTCTTAGACTATGTACTTTACATACTAGTACTGCGTACTGCTGATGAAGAAGTAGGTGGTAGAGCAACTTGAACTTGATTGGAAAGACGATCAAAGGAGCATATAGAAGCACAAAACAAAGCAGCATTGGTATCTCAAAAGCAAACAAAACTCCGTATGAAACAGGAAAACCTACAGGTTGAGCAAACCCTGTTTATAGGCACTCAGCACCATCACATCATCAGTTTCTCACTCGAACCCGGCGAGGTGTACACCCCGCAGTAGACTGGAATACACTCCGCTTGAGCTCAGAGTTTCCTTCGCTAGCGCTAGTACTGCGAGTGGGAATAGCACTGACAAAAGACTGGTCAGGAGGCCCCGCAATTTTAGAAACTGGGGCCGTAAGCATTGAAGAACTTGGTGACTTGGGAGTCAGCTTTCGGCGAGCCTTAGTGGGAGTTGAGGGGCCTGCAGCTGCCGCCGGGGGGGCCATAGGAGCGGGTGGCTTGCTGAGACGACCACTGCCTGTTTTCACAGGTGTGCCGGAGACCATTGAGGAGTCACCCAGACGGCGCACGCGTCGCGATCGCGGGGGTGCAGTAGTAGGTGCATTAGTCGTGGTCGGGGCACTCTCGGGCTCCTCGCTTGATGATTCTTGCATCTGGCTGCGACTGCTGCGCTGGCTAGACGCCTTTTTTTCGGGTTGTGTTGCTGCAGATCGTGATAGAGTGCTTTCTGTAACGTCATCGCCGCTGCTGTTGCCCTTCTCCTCAGGGGCCTCTGAGTCTTGTCTATCAACCTCATATTCCACAAGCTGTTCTTCGTTCCACGTCACGCTCTTTCGCGTGGAAGAACGGTGACGGGCTTTACGATCATTTTCTACTGGAAAAGTGCTGTCGCTCTGCTCCTTGGCCATGGCCTCAAGAACAACCTGGGGAGGCACGGCGTTGCCCATGTTTTGCCGAGTGTTCTTCTTCGTAGTCAATGCCAGCTCTTGGGCCTCAGTGCGCTGCAGGAAAATAAATTCGTTGCCCTTGGCCCTGCGCAGGGAGATGGTGTTGCGCACATGGGGAGGTTTTGCTGTGTGAACCTTTGCCCGTGTGCTTCGTCTGAAAGACGGGCTTGCAGGGGCTGACTCTTCCAGAATGACCTTGGGAACTTCATTCTCGTGCGCTTCATCCACAAGGGGAATATTGTCTTTGTTTGCTGAGACATCAAGCTTGACTGGCGATGGCGAGTTTGTATCCAAAACATCCAGAGCACGACGAGACCGGGGTGTCGTAGTCTCCGCATCTGGTGATTCTTCGGCGCTGGATGTCTCTCTAGTGACATCGCCTTCTTGGTCCATCAAGGCGGCCTTGGCCGCGCGCTTGGCCTGGGCCTTCGACAAGAAATCGTTAAGTAGCTCCGCATCCGATCCATCAAGCGAGCTTCGTAGAGCTGAACGCACCAACGTGCCTTTCTTTTGCTGAGTTAAATCACGTACGACTTTTGTGGGGGTCGGCGCCATATTCCTATCTCCATCAGTGGCTGCGCTGGTGGTCATTGCGCCTTGCTCCCGGGCCACGGATCCAGATACTGGGTCTCCGATTTCAATTGCGTCAGAGGCACCATCCAGAATTTGAAGCTTGTGGTCATTGAAAACAGTCGTCTTCGATGGACTGCAGAGAGAATTAAGGGGTCGAGGCGACCCAGTCATAGCAAGATCGCTGTCGTTGTTTTGTAAGGTCTCGTCGAAGATATTGATAGGGGCATCCGGCAATTTACCTGCGACTGGCATTTAGCAAAAATTCCAAGACAAACATGTAATCAGACCGAGACTCACGGCGCTTCTGGCTTGCCTCTGACTCCCACTTGGTCTCGAAGAACGAGCGAGAGGGCTCCTGCATCTGAAAGTTCGGGCGCTTTTCGGGTTCGCCAGCCCCGACGCAAAGACGCTTCACGCCTCGCGCATAGCCAGCATCTCTGGATGTATTGATTGCAGTTTGAAACGCGTCATGTTCCAGCATGGTTGATGTCTCGAGCGACTTCATACTTGTGAGCGACGAGCGAACCCGCTTCCACAATTTTCGCGACTTGGCTCCTGTCTGGAAGGGAGTAGATGGTTTGCGTTCCCACAAATGGGGAATTGCCCGTAGGGCTTTGATGGGTGTGAAGCTAAATAGGCCGTCGGCAGCAGGCTCGGAGGGGCCACTATAACAACATGCGCAAGAGCGCTTCGAATTAGTTATGCGCTTTAGTATTGCCAGGCTTGTGAGACCATCCAAGTATGTATCGGTGCACAACAAAACATAACAGAGCTAAGGTGGAGTAACCCCTGGACCGAAAAGGGGTTTGCGACGCAGATGATATCGTAAAAACGACAGGGTGATTGACGCAACAAACAGGATCAGAAAAGAGAAATCTACCCACTTTGCTTGAGCCTGCGACGAGGCAGGACCGGTGCCCATTGTTGTTGACGCGCGGAATGTGTCAAAAGTGTTACTGGAATCCGAAGTTCAGGAATCTGCGACAAATCGCATAGACGGATAGAAGTAATATGAAATGAATCAGAAAAGAATGCTGTGTTAAGAAACTGGCATACCCGATACAGTGACCGTAAGGATGTTGGAGGGGGAGATAATCCCGTTTTTTGCTTTGACGTAAACGAGTCTGGTTGTTCCCGTTGCCCTGCCAACTCACCGCATGGTTCTCCCCCGCGGCCAAAATTGGGTAGTGGTCCCACTGATATGGACTAGTTCTCTACCCAAGTGGATTAGAAGACGTTTTATTGATCTTCGGATGATTTATAGACAACCCATAACGATCTCAACTGGATTAGGCTTTGTTGATTAGGTACCTACTAGTCCAAGTATGTTAAGAGGTGCCTGATTTGTTAGTACGTTGCTAAATCTATTTGGGCACGAGAACCAGAGAGAGACCGTATACACTCTTCGAGGGCTATGATACTAACTTGAATGTAAGGCCGCGTCCCGAGCACAACCCCGAAAAGACTTCGCATCTCGGTTCTACTTTAGTAGTATATATTCCAAGCTTGAGACATGATGATTTTTATTGGTCCGGGCTGAGAGTATTAGTCTATTCGAGCCAACTGATTAAGCCATCTTTTTAATAGTGTAACATCCGGAATATTGGAATTAGTGAAATATTCGATGTCTATGTACAGTCACCTGGGTGATTATAACGGGGCTTGTCCTAGGATATCAATGAAATTCTCGACTATCGCGCTCCATAAAGCATCCTCGACCAGTAGATTTTTAGGTACTACATCATCTCTCCAGGGAGCTGATTAGTCATATTGAGCTAGTGCAAGTACAAGCAAGTTATCAGGGAATTACTTCATAAACCCCTAGAAGGGAAGCTTACTTATAGGTAAGTAGCGCCATCTTTCTCTATCCAGCCCCAAAAAGCACATGCCCTAGAGAGCACAAGCCATAGTATATAAGTGTATGTCATATATCATCAATCATATCGTGTACGGGCGCCGCAAAGTCCACAAGATGCAAAAAAGTAGCTATCCATATCCACCCAGGCCTTCTACTCCATCACAGCAGCGGCTCTTTCATATCACGCTCATCAAACGGATCACCGAATTCATCTGCAAAATATGGCGGTCAGCGCTTTCATATATCAAAAATTAGTCAAGATCACCGCGTACTCAGGTTAAAGTCTTTGTCGATCACATGATCCATTGCCCTCTGATACTCTTCCTGCGCACGTTTGCCCTTCCACGCAGGGAATTGTTCTGTCGCCTTAGAAGGTCCACTCCCGGTTGGAATTTCGGCGCTCCTTAGGTTGTTCATTGTCGCGATACTGGAGACATGTGGTTGCGAGCCGGGCGGGGAGAGCTCCGACGCGGCTGCGGCTGCGGACGAAGCTTGCTGGTTGTGAGTAGGGGTACGCGCGCCATTGCCAGCGATATCAGAGACTGAGCCAACGGACGAGGCCATCTCGGAGTCACCATCTGGGTCTCTAGAGTCTTTCCATAAAGATTGTTAGCAAGCATGCCATTTCGATATGCAACATTCACAGGGCTGGATAGCTATGGTAGGGCTGAAAATTGGTGGAAAATGATACCCAGCATGATAGCCAGGAAACAATATATTCAGTAGGAGAGAAGCTGATTCAACCTTACCGAGCGCCATGATTATGGAGTAAGCGACAAAGCTGGTGCACTGGTTATGACTGTTCGGGGATGCAGAAGTGACGATCGACTGTGATCGAATGGGGCAGAGCGGAGATACCAGTAGTACGGGGCGGGCGGTGGCCGCTCTTCTTTGCAGCCCGAAATTTCTTTTTCTTCCTGCAATCCTTATAGTTCATGCACATAGTGCCGGGTGCTTATTTGTTTTTGATTACCGTTTTTCAATCTTCTTGCTCCCGACATATCTTTACTGCCAGCTCAAACCAACCATTCGTTCGCAATGACCGCTGTACCACAAGTTCCCGATGCATGGGATGATGATTGGGAACCTCGAGCAGATGTAAGTTGAACCCCAATGTCCTCAGTAATATTGGAATACAAGGTGCAGAACGAATAAATACTATTGGATTGATGCTATTAATATAAGAATGACGTACTGATACGCTGTGGTCTCCTACAGGCACTAGCAACCGAGTCTACCCCGCCGACCGAGAAGAAAGTCTCGTCCAAAGTCACCAAAGCACAGCGGAGGGCACAGCAAGCTGAATTCAATCGGCAACTATGGGAGCAAGCGTATGTGATAGAAGTTTAAGAAGACGAAACAAGGGATCTCTCAACTCTGACTGTGCTCCAGTGAAACCCCGCAAACGTTTCACTTTGTCGAAGCTCGTTCCGACGTACCTCTCAAACAAGACATCAAGCCCGCTGTCACACTTCTTAGCCGAAGACCACAGATTGTGACCAGACAATCGGCAATTTCTGGCGTCGATGGAGCAGCCGCTGGGCTAGGACAACTGGGCTTAGATGGTGATGATGGCGAGTCAGACGACGAGGGAAATAAACCCCCCGAGCCGACCTTCGAAGAGCGGCAGGCTATAGCACTGAAGAACCGAGAGGAGAAGCAACGCAAGTACGAAGAAGCCCGGGAGCGGCTCTTTGGAAGCCCGTCTGCGAACAATTCGGGGAATTCGTCACCGGGGAGTACTACCCCGCCCCGACAGCAGTCCGGCGAGGGCAGAGGGAAAGGCAAAGGTCGAGGGGGTAGGGATTATCAGAAACGAGACTCGTCTGCGGCCTCGAGCAAATCAAAACACCTCTACGATCCAACCACTGCAGTCAGGTCGAATGGACCACATCTACAAAGGCGAGATCACCCGGGCGATCGGAGTGACTCCGAAAAGCCAAGTTCTCCCACTTCGCCTGCATCACCTGCTCCGCAGCAGCCTACTCGTCATCCCCGAGGCCCTGATGCAAGTGAAAGAGGTGGCTTTAGATTCAACAGAGGTGCGAGAGGGAGCTAAGCTACACTGTTGAAATATCGTGTTCAGTTCGTCCTTCCCTGTCGTCCCTGGTATTGTGACACTGTGATTTCAATGGAAAGGCACGGAGATTCAAGGAAGGGAACGCCCTGAGTTGATCGCATTTGCAAGGAGAGAGGTGTTCGGGCGATTCTCTTAGTTGGAGAGTTTGGGGTCAGCACCTTACCAAGGCAATGGACTATATAGAAAAACTCACCGGCATATCGTGCATAGCTGTCGAGGTAGAGCTCATCTGTGCTGGTTGTTGCCCGAACCTGATCATTGGTCTCTATGGCATTGACCCAAGCAGCCCATCGACTTCCCTCATCGGCATCCGGCCAGCCTCGATATGGCTTCAGGACCCGATTAAGCCGGATAACCCACGGCGCAACTTGGATGTCCACAAAGGAAATTTGCCCTCCCATGAAAAATGGCCCCTGAGGGTGCGCAGCATTAATCAAGGTATCGAAAGCAACCCGAAGATCTTCGGAATTCTCGATCTGCTTTTGCTGGTCCTGCTCTTGCAATACCCGATAGAATGCCGGGATAATATTCCGGTTGATCTGGAACTTGTCAGCAACTGCTACTGGGGGTGAAGGAAGCAGACTTGGCTTTCTGACATGATCTGTCCATAGACGACAGTGGGCTCGCAACTTCGGTTCGGCTGGAAGAAGGGGCAATCCGATTTTCAAATCCTCAAGCTACGGTGATTTCGTCAGTGCGGGATATGAAGGGTGAATTTGGGGTTCATACATATTCCATGAGCACCGTACTCTCATGACATGCCCAGTTATCATGCCGTAAGGCTGGCACAAGCCCGCGTGGGTTCACTTCCAGCAGGGATTGAGGCTTTTCATAGGGATCTACTTCGACATACTGGTATGGTACGCCTTTCAGTTCCAATGCTATCCAAACCCTCTGCACAAACGGACTTGAGATCCATCTAGTCAGCATCGAAGGAGAGTACTGGCTGAACGAGGATTCACTTACCAGAAGCAACTTCCAAAGAATTGGATATTTGTCTCGGCTGCATGATTCGCAACTGTTACGGCGGCTAGACCTGTCGCTCTTGTGTGATACGTCTTCTTTTCAGACATGCCTCGGCCCTGTGCTTGGTATCAGAAATTGTTCGGGCAAATTTAATCTCCAGGAAGCCGGAGAAGAAATCACAATAGCATTGAGTGAATGAAAAGGAACTTGCAAAGTGGGCCATGGATCTGAGTCAACTGTGACGTAGCCAGACTTTCCGGGAGATGGCAAGTAACTACTACTTGCAAATGAAATGAAGATACGTACCACGGATTTTTTCCTATTCTTATCTTCCTTCAAAAAGTGTCGCTGTACACTATTCTTTTTAATCCGATCGCTTTCTTCGAGTGTATGCCGATGCCCACCACTCACTCCATCATTCCTCCCATTGGCACCATTCCCATTCACCCGCTGGATGGTAAAGTACCTTTGTCCATTCGCGCCCGGATGTCCCTCCGGAAGGGCCGCATTCGGCGTGAGCACACCGAAATGCTGGCTTTGCTGGACAGGAAACAATGTGTGAACTCCGGGTAATAGCTCAGCTGGCAACGATTCAAACCCTCCAGTAGTATCGTTCGATCCACTGCCGGGCAGATACTCTGTAATTTTAATCTTCACATCGCAGAGGTCGCGTTCTCTGGCAGTACGTTTGCGTTTCTTCTTGTTCGGATCATCAGACTTGGGTGTCCCTGAAGGTCGGCCCTTCAGTCGACAGTCCCAGTAATGCGAGACTATTGAGCGGCGCTTATATCGCTGAGTCGAGCGATGAGAGTAGACGTTGTCGACATGAGGAAAATAAATTTGGAATCTACACACCAAGCTTGTTAGACCTCGAGCTGCTTTCCATGTAGATAAAGCGATATATCTCGACCAGTGGTTATATTAAATCATCTGAATCGCGGAGACCACATACTGTTCTTCTGTTAAAGTAATAACTTCATCCGCATGGAATAATCGATGTCTCCAATACTCGAGATCAGGTGGATCAGGAATCAGTTTCATCCCCGTCAGCTGTCCCGCGAAGTTCGCCGACTCCGTTCCCTCAGCCTCTAGTGCACCGTAGTTGCCCTCAAAAGACTGTCCGTTAGACTGGAGGACCATTCCATGAGGATGGGAATGGACATGTCCATCAGGCAGAGCTATGTCACTCTGGAGCTGTTGTGGGACATTATCGGTAGGTCTAAAGGCAAAGGGCTGTGAATCAGGGAACGGGCCGAGTTGTGGGGCCAAACCCGAAGATTCGACTACCGGGATCGATCCCAGATGAGGTGATGCATTCATGGAAGTGGCGTGCTGCTTTTGGGCAGTGCGGAGACGAAAGGGCGTGTGGTTGAGGCGGCGTGTGCGGAGGCGAGATGATAAGGCGCTTATCGGTACCCCTCGTAACATGATCTCTTCTGACCCCGTCAACGATCTACTTCTTTCTGTAGTATTATGTTGAAGAAATCACCGAATGGTTTGATAAATATGTTAAGTATCATTAGTTTAGCGGGCTTCTTTCGGTGACAATAGTTTAAATTGCACTCTATACGATCTCCATTCGTAAATTCTCCTGAAACGCTTTAGAGTCATCAGCTGGACAGACTAAATGAGTTTCTTCCCAGCGCGCTTCTTATCAGCTTCCTTGTTAGAGAAAGGAAACCCAGCTGTCCTCTTATCGGCACCAGTTCGGCGACTGATCTTTCCATCGCTGCTCGCAAACATCACACACCACAGCCCAACAAAAGCAAGGAATGAGTTCCCAGCCACCGCGACTGCAAACACCCCCTTCCCCCCAGTGGCGTACCAAGTGTATGTGTAGAAGGCGGAGAGAGCATGGAATAGAGACGTCACCATGAGGGTTGGCAGGGCATAAGGTGCCTTTGGATCTGAGTCTTCGGTAGTAACAGGCTCTGCAATGGTGGCAGTCAGAGGAATCGAGCCTGTCAGCATCACGGTCAATACTGCCACCGTGATAAGGCTGAAGCCGAGACTTCGGGCAAAGTAGACTTCAATCACTAAGAAAAAGAAAAAGTCAACACCTTCCTCCGTTTGATACGAAAGTAGAGCTTCGCGAAGTTCACATACAGCTGGCTGGCCGAGTCTCATCCAAGAGCATGGCTACAATCATGCTTGGTCCGGCAATCAAAGGCAAGCTTTGCAGGGAGAGCCATCCTGCTGTTGCGTAGGTGTAAGTGTGAAAGACCTTGAGCCAATAAATGTTAGTATTGGAGCGAATGTCATTATGCTGATTGATGTAGGTAGACTGAGAGTAAGTGAGGTACTTACATCCATTGTGATGTGACTTGGTTCAGTTTGGATATAACGAACTTAAGAAGCAAGAGTTTGCCAGATGTTGTTCACTGTCAAATAAAGAGACCTGGAGGAAATAAGATTGGTGCTCAACCATGAGGTCAACACCAAGTGACGTCACTTTATTTGTCTCGTTTGCACTAATAGCTGTTATGGCTTACAGGTCAGCCCTATGCCCATAGAAATGTCTCACACAGCACCTAAGAGTGAACTGTCATATTCTGCGCAGCTAGCATGTCCCGGTGTTTTTCAACATTTCATCTTGCCTTCCAATACTTATCGGTCATATCAAAACCGGCAGTCCCTAAATACATCCTCACAATCCAAAGAACATCCTCATGATCCATAGAAAGTGCTACGGTTTTATTGAATGCTGAAAAAGAGGTTGGAGCGGAGCTTGTTGAAATTTCACCCCAGGCTGTTAACTTGGGAGTATAGTATGTTGAGGTCAGGGTTTAGGCTAGTGAGGTTGGAGTGTAAACTGTTAAGTTTGAGTTCATCACCAGACACAGGCCGACAACTCTTCAAATGACACGGCAAATTCTAAAAAAGCATTTTCACGTTCTGCATGGGAGCCATCAAACACGGATGGGATCATTCTGAACTGTTGAATCCGTTCCTGAATATATTTTTTTGGCGAGGGTTTCTAGTTCCCTAAGACTATCGCTTCTAACGACGAAGCAAATGCTTTTGAAATCTCGACTGTCCACGAGTAATGATCTGTGCACTGCGCGACATGATAACCTGAGCTCTCGCAATTCAGAGAAATGCAGGTAGCCGAAGACCTCAGATATGACTTCCACTAGCAGGGACGTGTTTAAAGTTTTGGATTGAATTTTCTCTTGGGGCACAATAATGGAAGAGAGTGAAGTAATGAATCAAAGTTGATGGCTGTATAGAGGAGAGGGGGGTTTGGCCAGATAGATTTGGTGCTGTAAAAACGCTCCACTTATTACCACTTGTAACATAGCAGCTATTCAAGAAATGGAACATGAGACCGATTGATATGAAGTTTTTGTCATGTACTTACCATACTAGGACTGATATATCATCTATGACGAAATCTTCGCTCTATCTGTGAGACTAAGCTAAGACATCAGTTGAAGTCGACCCATCTCATCCAAGAGTCTGGAGGCTGTTCTACACTGCCGTCCAGCCAATCCAAAAAAAGCCCACGATCGTCCATATCCACGTCAAGGAGGAGATCCTTAACAGTAGAAATTTCATTTTGTCCGCTAGGGACTTCTTTTGACAAGAAAGGCATATCGTGGAAGGAAAGAACCTGGTCCAGGATGTGACGAATGACTCTTTGACCTTGCTGTGCGACTTGGTAATTTCCCTCGTGTCGTTGAATGATTGTATCCAAATGTGACGCAAAAATGCTCAGATTTTGGATGACTTCAGACCGGGGGAAGTGTATGTATGTATCGGTAACCGCCGAGTGGGATCGACGAAGAAGTTCTGTAGAGAGGAGACCAGCCGCGGGTAGGCCATAATAGCAGAGCTTGAATACAATTGAAATTAGTTTCCAGTCCAGCTGTTCGGTTTTATTGAGAACGTACATTCCATCCGTGTTCAAAAACTGGATGGCCCGATCGTGCGGTTTTGGCGAGCATCAAAAGTAAGGCGTTGAGTATATCTCGAGATATTGTCAGAAGGGATTCCGGCTGTGCATGGGTATGTTTGTGTATGATGCGACCCAGGAGAAAATCATTATAGAGAAAGTCCAAATGTAGAGAAAAAAGTAGTCGATCTTCAACTAAAGACATGATCAAAGAACCATTTTCAGGGACCCAGTGGAGAAAATCAGGAAGCTCCAGGCGAGTTCGTTGGTTCTCCCTTGAGAGTTCTCTGCAGAATAAGAGTCAATATTTAAACACATTATATGCGTATAAACAAATTGATAATATTGTAAGAGAAAGACTCACTCGACTTTCTGCTGGAGGTTCTCTGTTCTATAGCTCAGAGATAGCTCGAGAACCTTTTCTCGTAGAATACTTTTTAAGAGAGTAACTCGCGCCCATGCCCCTTGCGTGAGTATTCCCTTCGGGTTCCATCCATGATTTCTTTTTAGTTCAGCTATTGCGGCCTGGTGTACCTCAGGCGCGGTAAAAAGATCATCAGAGGTCAAGTCGAGCGGTAATTGGATATCACAATAACGCCAACTAATAAGAGGTGGCCGGCCGAGAAAAGTTGCCAAAACTTTATCCATTGTGAACGTGGCTACCATTGTGCGCTTGCGAAGCTCAGAAAGAAAAAACGGTACCCGGGAGCTTGAGTCTTGATGGAGTCCCAGGGCAAAAACTGCTGTAGAGAGCTCGCCAAGCTTTCTCCACGGTCGATAATCTAGTCGCATAATCAGTAATTTTAGACGATAACGAGCTGGGCTTCTTAGATAACCAACCACCCTCTCCATATACCACCGCCAGTAGTATGGTATGATGCAGGAGCAGCCAGGTAACGATGTCATTTATAATACCAACACTATCGCAGAGCTGAAGGCAGATATCACACACGGTACTTGCAGTAGTTGCTAGACTCTCTGGGTCTAGCGATCCAGGCTGCTTGAACAGAGGATCCTCCTTTGACAACCATTCTGTCGCCAGGCCGGTCAAACAAAACACAAGACCCACGGTCTCCCATCTTCCGGAAGTTGAAGAGGAAAATTCTGACCATGAGAGTGTTTTATTAACATCGAATGGGCGAGTGTAGCTTTGGAAGATTCGTCTGGATAATGTCAAGGCGCGTAACTTGGGATCTTCCGTCTCTACCTCCGCCGAATACCACATCTTCTCAACGGTGTCGAAAAGCATTTCTGTCACAGGCCATCCAAGACACCATCCTTCCCATATTTTCAATCGTGCTGTGACTACTTTTCGATAGAACGGAAGATCTTCCAAAAGGACGAGAACCTGGGCACCCAATTGAACTCTTTTGGAATCAACAAATGCAACGCCCTCAAAGTCGAGAGTACTTCTATCAGAGATTGATTCGATTTCGCGCCGCTCCCGTTGCGTGTTTAATGGAGTTCCGCTTCTAGTGGTATCCGTAAATGCATCTGAGTAGCTCGTATGTCCAAGAAATCCGGGAGTTGATACGGATGCCTTCTTTTGTGTCCAATTTTCGTTCTCAGCATTGAAAGAAGTATTTAATGGTTCATCTTTATTGGCCTTTTCTTGTCGCTTCCTGCTTGGCTGTCGCAGATCAGGTCGAGTCAATGGCGCTGGGTGATAGATACATTGATCTTGCAAGCCTCTTCGATAGCACCGTCCACAAAAAGGTGACATATGATCGCAACGCAACTTGGACTTTCGACAAGGCTCACAAGATGAGAGCTGACCATTTCGGCGGGTAGATGCCATATTCAGGTGCACATGTGTGGGAATATCCAATTATGGAGAATAAGTGGCCATAGATGAAGTACTATCGGCGTTCGGAGCTCGAAAGGAGAAATGTTGCACCGAGCGGGCTCCGAACACCGAGTGCCGATATAATCTGTATAGGGCGATTGAAACCCTTGAGCTAGATAGCATGTAGTATATGTACCTAGGGGTTTCTCTGTCCTTTGATGGTACATTTAGGCCAGTCTCAACCCTCTTAGAGATCTCTGTAGTGTGTCGGGATATGTATACCTATGATAACAATTGTATGTACAGCTAATCGGCGATGTGTTGGATGTCGGAGTTGATCCCTCGCTAGTGCACAGGAATACATAGAAAAAAATGGAGCACTTGAGTGCGTCAGAATACCAGTGCTGAGAACGGGTACTTCTACGAGGAATTATAGTGGATATAGTCTCGAATGAATATTTGTGTTTCTCGTTGAATCGTTCAAACTAGCGCCTTGGGTACCACCAACTCCAGAATCACAATCAACTCCAATTGGAGAATGTATCCTTACTGATTGATTTGACTCGCCCGCAAATATCTTGTAAAGCTGTTGTCTTGATCCGAAGGGGCAGATTGAGAGCCCGAAAGAGCTTCCTGGTAACGATGGGAGAGGCCCTCATCGTTGCCGGCACTGGGCCCCTCGTACTCCTCCTCGCTGTCATCCTCTCCATCTGCCAATCCACGCTTGATGATATCATCCTCTTCGTCTTCTGCCTCACTAACAGTCTCTGGTTCCTGATTGGGCCGGCGACTAGACCCAGAGACATTCATGTCTTGCATGAGCTTGCCAAGCTCCAACTCTCGCCGAGATTCTTTGCTCTCTTCCCTCTCCTTCCTCTTGCGCTCAAGCTCGGGCTTGTAATCACGCTCAAATTCTTGTCGTTTAATCTCGACGGCATCGAAAAAATCGTCGACTCCATCACCCGTCATAGAGCTCACGCCCACCACGCTTAGGTGTCGGTAGAACTCCTCCAACATTAAGCTCATGCTGTTCAACAGTGACCCCATGTATCCGCTTCCAGCACCGAATCCACCAATACCACCTTCACCCCCAAAGGCACCGGCTTCCTCTTCTGCCCGCAAAGCCTCTTGGAATTTGTCAAAGTCAGTCATCCATTCCTTTGCAAAGTCGGCATCCTTCACATCGGTCTTGTTGAAAACCAAAATCATGGGTAGCTTGGTCTTGTAGAGAATACTGCAGGCGTAGAGCATGTTGCTCATGAACGTGCTAGTCGAGCTGGCGCGCGGGGTATCAATGACATATGCGATGACGGTCGGGAAAGACGAAGCGAGTGTCTCCAGAAGAATGCTACCAGAGGCACTCCACACGAACACCTCAATTTGACCTGGAGTATCCACTAGGATGTGTTCAATCTTCTTTGCAGTGGGGTTTTCCGGGTTGGGGGCGGTGCGCTTCTCCAGCAGTGAAATGATTTGATCGACCTTGGTGGCGAACAGGTTCAGCGATGTCAGGATTCCACCATTTGGCCCAAGGTTATATTGCTTCATGACTTCTTTGTAGTTGATCGAATCCCGGATATCGATGTTGCTCTCGAAGGGTACCGAGTGCACCGCGGGGTCGAGGTTGAGCACATAGGGTACTTTCTGTTTCGAGTGGAGATGAGAGTTAATTCTTTGCATGAAAGTAGTCTTTCCCGAGCCTAAGAAAACCAAGTCAGTCCTCAATATCCTATTTGCTGTATTCGGAGGAGAGCTGGTCGCCTTACCAGCCATGCCCACGCAGACGACGGAAACCGGAGACGCCATAATGAGGGGTGGGATCTGGCAGTTCAACTATGATCGTGCGATAGTGGGAGTAATTCGATGAAGCCGCGTGTTTGATTTGAAACCCGAGTTGTGCAGAAGTGGTGAAAGCGCAAGAAGTGCAAGCTCTTTTTTTTCTGAAATTCTTTTTAGTCGCGGGGAAGATCTGCCCACGCCTGGACCGCCCGGCATTAACGTCATTCCGCCGCAACTTTCTTACTTCTCCCCTTTCACAACTCCCAGCAACATCATGACGCTGGAAGATTTTGAGAAATCATTGGCGCAGGATCAGGAGAAGAGGAGAGAAACTACTGACCGGGATCGGCATCATCGAGACCGGGATCGCGACCGCAGCAGAGACCGATCATCGCGACACCATCGTCATCACCGGTCCAGCCACCACCACCAACGCCATTTGTCCCGATCTCGCGAACGAGGAAACGAGAAAGATCATGAGCCCCGACACCGAGATGAGCATGGCCACAGACAAAAGCGCTCGCGCCGTTCAGCGGACGATGAAGACCACGCGCAGAAGCGTCGACACCGCTCTAGTCGCGATGAAGAGTCGTCTGCGCCTAGAACGGTTACCCAGGAGGAGCCCACGAATCTGAAACGAGACTCCTGGATGGAGGCGCCCTCTGCACTCGATGTCGAATACGTTCAACGACGGAATACTGGACTGGAAGAGGTACCGAAACCTACAATGCTCCAAGCTGATTTCGAGCTCAAGATCCACGATAAAGAGCTCAATAGCCACCTTCGTGACCTCAAGGAAGGAAAACAGTTAGAAGATATTCAGGAGGAATCCCAGCATGAGGTGGACTACACATTTGGCGACGCAGGGTCTCAGTGGAGAATGGCCAAGCTCCAAGGTATCTACAGAGAAGCCGAAGAAACCGGCAAACATGTTGACGACGTTGCCCTCGAACGCCTTGGTGATCTACGTTCATTTGATGATGCACGTGAGGAAGAGACTGAAATGGATCGGCGCAAGATGTACGGCAACTCCTATGTGGGCAAGGACAAACCGAGTGGAGAGCTATTCCAAGAGAGAAAGCTCAAAAATCAAATTCGCAGGGACCAAGAAAATGTTCGTGACCCAGCGGAAGACCTTACAGCTAAGGGTCAGGGACAAAAAATGGATGTTGAGCCCACCACGAACGCTACTCAGCCGTTGAATCTCACGGCATTGAACCGTCTTAAGGCGCAGATGATGAAGGCAAAACTGAAGAAGGCCCCAAATGCAGCTGAGCTCGAAGAGCAGTATATTGCGGCAGCTGCGGCCATGTCTAACCGGAAGGAGCCTGATGTTGTTGTGCTAGGTGTTCAGCAGAACAGAATGCTCGCTGGCGCGCGGAATGAAGTGATTCCCGTTGACAACAAGCGAGGTCGCGAGCGGGGTCTAGTGCAGGCAAATGAAGACATGTCCATCGAGGATATGGTTCGAGAGGAACGCAAGACTCGGGGCCAAGCTGGAGGAGAAGGAAAGCGCTTGGCAGAACGCATTGCGGGTGATGGGAAATTCGAGGTAAGTTTGATCCATACAACTACTCAAGACTTAATTTTCTGACTTGCTTCTAGAACGAGCTTGAATATATGGATGACAATGCTTCCAAGCTAGCAAAGAGAGTCCACCGTTCTGAAATTGACATCAAGAATGCGACAGTCAATGACTTCCGCAAGATGAACAAGATCTTGGACAACTGCCCGCTCTGCCATCACGAAGATACCAACACGCCCCCTATTGCACCAGTAGTTTCCCTTGCAACCCGAGTTTTCCTTACCCTTCCTACAGAGCCTGAGATCAGCTCAGGGGGTGCCACAATCGTACCCATTCAGCATCGAAACAACCTAATAGAATGTGATGACGATGAATGGGAGGAAATCCGGAACTTCATGAAGAGCCTCACACGGATGTATCACGATCAAGGCCGGGATGTGATTTTCTACGAAAATGCAGCCCAACCACAACGCAAGCGGCATGCTTCTATGGAGGTGGTTCCCCTTCCTTACAGTCTTGGAGAAACATCTCCTGCATTCTTCAAAGAAGCGATTCTCAGCGCTGAATCCGAATGGTCCCAACATCGCAAGCTTATTGACACCCTTGCAAAGGCCAAGCAGGGACTGGGACGATCTGCATTCCGAAAAACTCTGGTGAAGGAAATGCCCTACTTCCACGTCTGGTTCGAACTGGATGGTGGTCTAGGGCATATTGTCGAGGATGAGAACCGCTGGCCCCGTGGCGATCTATTTGCCCGCGAGGTCATCGGAGGTATGCTCGATGTAGCTCCTGATGTTATCAAACGCCAGGGCCGCTGGCAACGGGGAACTGACCGAAGGGTAGACCCGTTCAGAAAGCGCTGGAGAAAGTTCGACTGGACTCGCATCTTGGTTGAAGGATAGGAGACAGGAGTACGGGGCCATGCTTCATGTAAGTAATATATTCAAAGAGGCTATACAATCACATTGAAGCAGCGCTCCGAATCTTCATGGGCTGGCTCAGACATGGTTTATGTGACTAGAATACCTAAGAACAATGGTAGAACTTCCTATGGATCTTGAATGATTGTACCGCTTTGGTGTAATCGGAGTCAGGCTCATAACTGCCGGATTGAGTCCTTCAACTGTATTATATAAGAACACCGAAATGATATCATTTCTCTCCAAAAGTTTCACGTGTACAATTCACAAGTGATCTCGTCGTCATGAACTTAGTTGGTTTCCATGAGGAGTGAGTCTTCCTCGCAACATTTGAACGAAGCTTGGCAACGGCCTGGCAGTAGATACCTATTATCAACACAGAGGATTCACTTCTGCTACGATAGATCATGGCATTGTTAGGATGGATTTCAGTCATGTTTTAGAAAACGAATTAGGCATCCGACTACCCGTGGAACTGATATTAGCACATCAGATGGTTTTGCCAGACACATCTGCACGCTCGATATGTCTCTAGTTAACTCGACAAAATCTTTCTCTTTATCTCCAACAATGAAGAATAATTTCTTATATTTCAGTATGTGGGGGTTATAGAGAAGCTCTATCTTTCATTTCAAATGTTTTCTTTTGAAGTAGTTAGCCAATAGATCGGAAAGTTTATTATCAATTGGAGATTCTCTCATGCGGGGAATTGTCCGAGATAACAAATTCTCGTGGGGCACGTTTTCCATCTTCTCGGCCGATCCTTCGTCTTTTATGACCCTTCCTGAATCAATTCCTCGTGACATTTCTGTGCAATTGGCACATTAAACCTCTGGACCTCCTCTTGCTTCATAACGCACCTGCGATTCTGCAACTATTATTCTCTTTGTGCGACCTCATCTCATCTTCTTATCAGTAGGTTGCGCTAGACCAGGATCAACTTGCGCGAACAAAAGTCCGACACAGACTCGTACATAGTCTCAAAAAGGACATCCATCAAAATGGGCTCTAACGAAGTCGGTAACAAGATCCTACTTCTTGGTGACATCGACCAGTATGTTCTCCAGAGCAATACTTGAACACTGCATCCCTTACACACAAGTCTATAATAGTGCACAAAAGGCCTGGAATGGATTGAGCGAGCTCGGCGAGCTGCTGAAATCGACCGCAAGTAACCGTGCTGAATTTCTCGAGGAATGCCGCAATGGGAAATACGATGGCGTTGTCGCCATTTACCGCACCTTCCAATCCGCGGGCTTCACTGGCCTCATTGATGAAGAGCTGATCAATGCTTTACCAAGCTCATTGAAATACATGGCACACTGCGGTTAGCTGCTCTTGATATTTCGCACATTATTGTATTCAATATGTGCTAACAGTCTTCTTTATAGGAGCCGGATATGACATGATAGATGTTCACGCTTGCAGCGCTCGCAATCCTCCTATTCGAGTTTCCAACGTTCCCACCGCAGTGGACGATTCTACTGCAGATGTGACCATGTTTCTTATTCTAGGTGCTCTACGCAACTTCAACGGTGGCATGCACGCCCTCCGTGAAGGCAGATTCCGTGGCCCGACTGGCCTTGGCCATGACCCGGAGGGCAAAGTTCTAGGGATCTTGGGAATGGGTGGTATTGGACGAAATCTGAAGAAGAAAGCAGAGGCATTTGGTATGAAGGTTATTTACCACAACCGACGCCAATTGAGTGAGGAGCTTTCGGGTGGAGCTCAGTATGTGACCTTCGATGAATTGCTCTCGACTAGCGATGTGCTCAGCTTGAACCTGCCTTTGAACGTGAGTTCTCTTTGCGTTTTTATGACCTCGATGGAACTGACTTTCTCGGTAGAAAAATACTCGTCACATTATCGGCAAGGCGGAATTTGCTAAGATGAAGGACGGCGTAGTTGTTGTTAACACCGCCCGTGGAGCGGTCATGGATGAGGCCGCCCTTGTTGATGCTCTTGACAGTGGCAAAGTATTCTCTGCCGGCCTTGACGTCTTTGAAGAGGAACCGAAGATTCACCCTGGCCTGTTGAGTAATCAGAATGTGATACTGGTGCCTCACATGGGCACTTGGACTGTTGAGGTGAGTTGGCATGTCTTCGAATTTGAGATCTGGGCTAACGGAATACAGACTTTGACCGCAATGGAAGGATGGGCCATTAGTAACATTCGCCAGGCTCTTGAGACTGGAAAGCTCAAAAGTCCTGTCCCTGAGCAGTCTGATCTGTAATGATTTGTTCTATCACAACTGATTCTCTCTAAATGGTGCTAGATTCGGCGCATTGAGAAAGATATTGTAAGGAAAATCAACTCAAATGAACATTAAAAGAATGAAAGATTTCCTTCAATTCCTTGTTGAAAGTAAAAACATTGAGTATAGGATGTAGTGATGCAGCTTCTGCATTGGGACTAGGCCGATCGCGGGAGCTTGCATCCTCACGTTCGGCTTTCACTCCACCCCAACTTCGTCTAGATCAGTAACCAACCACCATGGCCGAATATTGGAAATCAGCAGTAAGTATATGCTACAACCTATGTAGCCACTGCTCACTAACAATATTCCTGCTCAAACTAGCCCCGCCACTGGTGCAAACAATGCAAGATCTTCATTCGTGACACACCCTTCGAAAAGACCCAACATGAAGCGAGCCCGAAACACCAAGGCAGCCTAAAACGTTTCTTGCGCGACATTCACAAGAATAATGAGATTCAACAGAGAGAGACACAACAAGCCAAGAGCGAAGTAGAACGTTTGCGACAAGCCATCTCAGGAGCACCCTCCGCATCCAAAGCCTCCGCCACTGCGCCAGCTAAACGCACCCCTGCTCCGGCCGATCGGCCCGTTAGCGTGGATGAAAGGAAGAAACAGATGGCGCAGTTGGCTGAGATGGGCGTCGCTATTCCTGAGGAGTACCGCGGGGACATGGCCTTGACTGGAGAATGGCAGACTGTCTCCGAGACACGGCTTGACGCGGGTGCTGAAGGTGCGAAGTCGATTGGTATTCGTAAGCGCAAGATTGAGGGCGATGAAGATGAGGAGGGTGGGCAAATTCCGGAGTATGTGAGCAAAGGGTGGGGATCGAGGATGAAGATATACCCTGGGGCAGAAGATGATGATGATGAGGGCCTTGATGCTCTACTTGCGTCTACTAAAGATTTGAAAAAGCCTAAAATTGAGACAGAGGTGGTTGCCTCGAAGGAGCAGGAATCATCATTTACTCTGCTCCCCAAGAAGGAAGATGACGCTGCCGACTGCGAGGCTCCAGCTGCGACAGTCCCCAAGGAGGAGGACTCAACGTTGGTTAAAAAAGAGGAGGCAGACGATTCTACTACACCCCTTGCTACTGCAGTCCCCGAAAGCGAGGAGGCACACGGGGTTATTTTCAAAAAGCGTAAAGCTAAGGTCATGAGGAAATGAAATTCGACGCAACTTATTCTCTACAACGAGTTATGATTATGATCGCCTGCGCCTTTTCAACACTATCGATCAGCTGCAAGCCCTGGTCATTAAAGATGGTATTGAGTGAGTGGACAGCCTAGGAAAGCTCACCTCGCTTTCTACAAACTGTGATGATGTCCAGAATACCATTATCCGGTTATCTGTTCACTAGAGGCTTCTCACTGCGCATTTCGCGCGGCACAAAAAACAACTAACGTTCCTACTTTACCTACTACTTACCTCATAGACCATTTACGTATCCTACCATATCTCCTACTTTCTGTCCTCCCATATTAGTCAAATATGGCAAAAGGTTTTCTAAAACGGGTCTTCTCAAGTAGCTAACTCTAAAGAAAAGAAAGAGAAGTGGAATGATAGGGTTTTGATCGTGTGTATACAAAGTCCGTGGTGAACGATATGTACCCAACATTGAAGTAATAGAGGGGTTGATTTCGTGAGATATATTCGAAGCTTTGCCCGCAGCCAATAAGTACTCCTAATATGTAAATGAATGCCGAAGAATTGTGTTCAAGCAATTGTTGATGAATACAGTTCGAAGCCTTTGGAGCTGGGCTATTGAGTCAACTATGCATGTGAGATGCTCCAACTCTATTGGATCACCCTTGAACGCAGCGAGAGTGCCTAAAAGCCTTTAATTTTTATGTATTGAAAATGCCATGTAAAGGGCATTTGAGGTCCATTCAATACACCACCAGTTGACACTCACAGATTCCGGTCTCAAGAAGTATAGATAGGGGCCCAAAATCACTTTATTTTGCAGGTTATAAGACCAATATAACCAAACATCGAGTGACGAATGTTAATGAACAATTCTTGAATCCAAATTCAAAATTATCTGTAATTATACAGCCAAGGTAGCGAGGTTGTTTAGTATAGCGTTGCCACCCCAATGATTTTTTTTCTTGAGCGGAGACTTGGATCGCCGGAAAAGAAAGCTCCTTTGGTTCTCTCCAACTTCGCGCATCTCTTCCACGGCCACCGCAACCCTCTAGGCTCGCACGGTCTCCCAGCCACTTGTGCATTTCCTTACATGTACTATTTTGAGCGTTCTTACCCGGTAAGTTCATCCCATTTACCGCAATCCCGCTTTCTCTCCAGCCCCAATCGGCCTTTGTTCTCTCGAGTCGCATCGTTCTCCCACCCGCGCAGGAGCCCGCAGAATCTCCTCTCCAGTACCCTCACAACCAGATCTACCTATTTGAGAGGGCCGCTACTCCTTTTTACATTTGGTCCGCGATCACGAAATCGGACTGCGGTCATGGTTGTGAGCGGGGAAGATTGGGGCTGGGCTCCAGCGAGAAGAATGCGACAACCCAACCCCGATCGGCGGGCAAAACCCTCGGTGGAAAAGATCTTAAATGTACTTGCTCTTGTGCAATCAACTATTCCGCCGAACGTTGACTATCCCTGGGAGTCTTCTGTTGGCTCCGTCGATTGGATTTGGGTATTGCATTCTACCTGTTGAAGTGGACCGACAACCACTGATTTGTGCACGGTTGCAACTTGTTCTTCTGTTCCATGAAACCTTGATTGGATTGTGCTTTACGCCCACACTGTATTCAATGTGAAGAATACTTGGGGTTCCGTAACCAAATGAGGAAAAAACGACTTTTGCTAATGCTGGACGACCTTTAGACCCCAGGTAATAAATGATTTACCACTCTCAGCCCGATCGATCTGGTGTGTTGCCTCTGTTCGACAAGCTGCACGACCTTTGACCGCAGAACTCGACCTCTCCTGCCCCAGTACCATTTTCGAATATATTGCAGAGATTGGACATACGCCACGGTGATTGAACGTATAGAATCGCTCGGAAGGCCATAGCAGATATGGCAGAGCCGACAGAACCCAAACCCGGCGAAAACGCCAATATGGCGGCTGAATCAAATGCGCCAGCTCCCCAGCCTTCACCGAAGACGGAGCAACCGTCAGAACAAACCAACCTGCCAGTACCAGAGTCGGATCAAATCTCAGTTCCGGCCAGCGAGCCTCATCCTGAACCCCAACCGCAGCCGCAACCGCAACCGCCACCGCAACCTGAACCCTCGTATGAGCTTCAAGACCTACCAGCTCAACCGGAAATAGAGACAAATGAACAAGCAAGCGTCCCCAATCCACCAGCGGACACCAATGAGACTACGCCCGCGCCAAATACCGCCGCGCTCTCTATCGAGTCCACGCTCCCACCAATAGACCATTCTCTCCCCGCAATGGATACATCTCATTCAATGATGTCGTTCGATTCAGCATTTCAATCAGTGAACTCTACCAACGAGCACGATTTGACGCTCCCGGCAATTGACACGACCTTGCCCACATTTGACTCCGCCCTGCCAGCGATCGGGACCGATATTCCTACAATGGACGATGATCATACATTCGGAGAAAACCATTTCGACACACACGACTCTCACTCTGGGTCCGTAGAACCGGGGCATAGCGGGCCTGGATCTATGAATGGATCGACACCCTACGACCCGTCTCCCAATGGCTACCAGTATGGGCACAATCCAGATCCTCCTCAGCAGTCAGATGGACATCACCCACCTCCCCAGGCGCACTCCCAGCATCAATTTCAAGCACAACCCCAGCCACAGCAGAGCTATCAGCACCAGGGCTCTGATATGTACTCCGGCTTCTCATCGGTGAATTCAAACTCTGGAAATAACGGTCAGGGGCAGCCGGGACAGATGCCACAAGCACCAATTGGGTCGCCTATGCCTCCCATGTCATCTATGGGCCAGTACATGACTGGATATCCATCCAATGTCTCGCAGCAGGGTATGAACTCGAACATGCAGATGCGGTATCCGCTTCCAGGAGATCCTAATGATGTGCTTTCAGGGGGACGACACCACAAAAAAGAAGTCAAGCGACGAACAAAAACTGGTTGTTTGACTTGTCGTAAGCGAAGAATTAAGGTACGTTGTTGTTGAGGTTTGATGCTTTCGCGGGGCGCGGGCCTCGCTTGTGCCCGCAGACCCCGCCATCGTTTATTTTGCGCTTCTCCCGCTTCACCCACGACCTCACTCTTTTTAGCACTCTTCTTGGATGAGAATCTGATTTTTGTTACAGTGCGACGAAGGCCATCCAGTTTGCAGAAATTGCGTGAAAAGTAAGCGCGAGTGTTTAGGTTACGACCCGGTGTTTCGGCCTACAGCATCAGCCCCCTCGGCCATTCAACCTGCTCCAAATCCTCCTCCATCCTTGGTTGTGAACCCCCAAGGCCCTCCTGCTGTAGCTGCGCCTTTGTATCCTTCCGCCCCTCCTGGATACATGCCCGCTTCTTCACAACCATTTGCGCCATCCCTCCAATCCGAATCACCCAGCACCTCAACAGATCATCAACCAGATCACAGAGCTTCCGTCGATACGCCCATCGGACAAACACACACACAAGCTCCTATCACAATGCAAGCATCACATGAGCAACGGCCTCAGAGCTCGGAGCCATTCCACAAAGGTAAGCAAGCGCACGATACTTGTTGCCGGGGTTTTATTATCATTCAAGCGTACGATCTCTGCATGTTTAACAAATGCTAACAAACAATATGAACAGCGAAAAACCTTCATGTTAGTGACTTAATCGCTTTGAGAGGAATTGCTCCTCCCGGTCCTCATCCCGTCGGAAATCTCCCCCCAGGCCGGCTCGAAGAAATCCAGGCTGTATTCCTGGCCACATACGCACCTGCTATCGATAAGCTCCTGGAAGTTCGGTGGTATTCCGAGAAGGCACTTCAGGTCCTTATGGCAGACAACCAGCTTATGGCCGACTACTCTGCATTGATCAATGCTTTCAACGACTGGAATCTCAGTGATGGCAACACGCTTGCTCGCCTAGAGAGCTTCGAGGCTTCAATCATTTGGAGAAGTATGGTGCTCTGTCGTCAAGTACCGTCGGCAGAAAACGGGCAATACGGGCAAGACTGGAACTTGCGTGCTACATGTGCACGTTTGGATGCGATGGAAGCCCTCCTGACCTGGAACTACCTGGATTCAAATCATTTATCTCGGACTCTTGGCATGGAAGCTGCCAACCCACCCAACCCGCCTGATCAGTTCATGCAGCGACAATTGGACTTTTGGGGCGAGCTTGGGGAGTTCCTCACCCTCCACGATAATGAAGCTAGCTCGGCGAAGGAGATTGACGATACCCTTGGCCGTTGTCGTCATTTATTAGATACATACGAAAACCGCGATATCATTTACTCCATCGCCATTGCCCGACACTTGGGTCAGCGCTGGGCTGACTTCCCCAACAGTTTGCCCAAGCTTGGGTACACCAATGAGAAGGAATCCGGCACCAAGCTCTTCGTTGCGCAGAAGTTCATTGAAGAAGAAGCGGAGGGCAAGGGCACCACCCAGATCTACAAGCGCATCTGTTGCATGGCGGTTCGCTCATGGTGGGCTGCTCGGGAGTGATTGGCCCTGACTGGTGAATTCAATACCAAGACTCGTCGGTATTTCAATCGACTCTTCTTTCCTCCGATGATTATTGTACATCCATACCTCGGAGGATTTGTACACCTGCGTGGATCCACGGATCACTACAACTTGCTTTAAAATTCCGAAAAAGCATCATGGTTCCGGCGTTACAATGATTTGAAATTTGTCTACTTGTTTCCACTGGGGTTCGGGGGACCGGGTAGTGAGCGAGTGAAGCAACATGGCGTTTATGACCTTTCTTTCCCCCGGACGAAGTTTTTATTTTGTTTCCTGTGCATATGCCGCTTATTTTTAGTGCGGGCGTTTCCATACCCTGTAACGCCCAACTGTATCCAGTTGGATGATTTACGTTTACCAGTCGATACTAGTCAAAATACTACAAATAGACCCGATTTTTCTTGCCACTGCTTTGCAGGTTTGGTCCAAACTTTGGAGCCATGGGATTATATCACGATGTTCTTTGGCTTAAAGTACCTCCACCCTAATCTTCACCTCGCCCGTCTCAGAATGAAACAGGAACCCGATATCCCTTGTTGAATCGACGAGCTCAACTTCTCTCCGCACAAACCGACTGGAATCCTCCGATGATTCAACATGAGGCTGTTGCGGCATTTCATCTTCGCTATCTTCCGCCCAGACCTCTTCATCGACTGTTGCCTTTGCGATAGGATCCCACTCATCTGTTTCCCAGACTAATTTGAACCCATATGGAGGGAGATCAAAGAGTCGGGATACGAGAGCTTTCAATTGATATGTATTGAACGAATGAGGGATCTCTTTGACGGGGATTTGTGCAGTACCGGGCTTCACTGTTGGATATGATGGAGGTAGATGGAATGCCATCTTGACGAGTCGAGCAGCAACGGAGCGCGGATGAATGATTCTTTTTCCCGATCCGTCTGACTGGACTGCTCGTGTGACTCTTGGTTCACCGTACAGCTGACAGAGCTCGGCGTAACGGGGATGCGCGGCGAGGATACGCGCTTCTTCTGTTTCGGAGGTGGCAGAGAGCTCTTTGCCGATTAGTGAAAGGTAGTACATCTCTGCATTCGAACGGTCTTGGGGTGAGATGGTGCTGTAATTAAGTATTCGGAGAGTGGAAGGGAAGCGGGAAAGCGTTAGCATGAACGCCTCGTCGACTGTCATTGGTTTCGAGGAGTCTAGGGTTGATGTAGCTGCAGCGATGGATGCGGCGAGCGGGGGTTCATCGTAGACTGGGTTTGATGAGATGCGGAGGGTAGTGAGGCCCGGGAAGAGAGTTGGGAGGTGGTTGAGGAAGGCCCAGGATGTGATGTTGTTGCGTGACAGGTCAAGAGAAAATACAGTTTCTGGGAAGTGGAAATCTGGGGCGGTATCGTTGGAGCCTTCCAGGATAGTGCTGATATTATTCCCGCGCACGGAGAGATGGCCAAGGGTTGGAAGGGTTGCTAGATGTCGAAGGGCTGACATTGATTCCATATCGTTGTTTTCAAGAGTTAGACTCGTGATTGAATTTGCGAGCGGACATGATATAGTTGTGAGTTGGTTGTCTGATGCCGTGAGCTTGGTGAGTGCCGGAAATCTTGACACCACCGCGGAAATCTATGTTTTCTATTAGCTTTTTACAATTAGATCCAATCAAGAGGCTAAGTACCTCATCCCAGGTAAGTAGAGTCTGTTCGACACGCAATTCAGTGATTCCATCAAACGTTAGACCATCTTCTAAAGGATGGAATCGATTTCCACTATGACATAAATTAGTCTCCTCTGATCTGGTTTCAAGCAGCCAAGCATAGTCCAGACAACATGATGTTGGGACTCACTTCACTCTCAATCGCTTCAGCTGTTTCAGCTGGTTGCAAATCTCCCAAACGTCTCGCCATTTGGTCAACAGACTACGACTGATATCCAGCTCAGTAATCTTCGAGCAGGTCGCTGCAATTTTGGGAGCGGCCTCGGCAACGGAGCTTTCAGGCTGCTCGAAGGAAGGTAGAACACCGGAGATCCGTAGGCCATCTACTAGGACGATTTGCAATTCCTGTAAATCTGCCAGCTGCTTTCGAATCTTGTCGAAGCCGACTTCTTCAACCACTTTGCCACTAATCTCAATGGTCTTTGAGGCTGATACAGCATTCGTGGCATTTTGATCCTGCTGCTGTTCAAATTCTGAGGCATATTTCTCATGCACTGCCTCGAGGAAACTCCTTGGTGGCTCTGATGGCCTGGAGGGGCGGACAAAAGACCCCGCCGTGGGGTGATTGCTTTTACCTGTTTAAGCGTCAGTAACAGCACAGCGTTTGGATAATACTGAATCTAAGCCCATACATTTGAAATACCGCACCCCTTTATGCTCGCCCGCATGCTTGCCACGAGTTGGATCATCCCATTCGACACCCAGCCAGTCGCCCGTGGTACCCTGAACACCACCGACATAGCGGATCGTGCATAGCTGGCCGTCAAATGACCGCCGCTGGCCAACCGCAACAATACTCATCACAGGGATTAACACAGCTTTTGTCTTGTAAAAGGTAACATAAACAATGACCAAATTGGATTGAAAGTGACTTTTTGTCCCTTGACCAGCACTCGCTTACATAACTCAGCCCGTTCTTGATGACCAGGTGTCGTGTATAGAAACAGCCACAGATTGTCTAGAAGTGAAACAAGATTTCTATCGGGATTCAAGTAATCCTGGTTGATAGTTTATCAGAGGAAATAGCAAAATACTAATGTTAGTCTTGGGTTCACTCAGAAGATTTACCTCACCTCCAAAGTGGTCACATGACAATTTGAAAATAGAGTTCCTTGATACTGCCCATCTCTCCCGTTATCTCAAAGTTATCTCAAAGCGCGCAGGTTTACCGTTTCTGACCACAGACAACGTCCAAATGGATTACCAGGTACATTTAAATCTCCCACAATTGACTTCGAAACTTATCTGTGTCATAATGGATGATGCTGACTATAAATCCAGAACCGAGCAGGCTCCAAATTCGGTGGCGGTGGTGTCGCCGACCGCTCAGCTACCAACGCTGACCGTCGCGAACGTCTGCGCAAGCTCGCCCTAGAACACATCGACCTGGAAAAGGATCCTTACTTCTTCAAGAACCACGTTGGAAGTTTTGAGTGCCGTCTCTGTCTCACAGTTCACCAAAATGACGGCTCCTACCTTGCCCACACTCAGGGCAAAAAGCATCAGACCAACCTCGCCCGTCGCGCTGCACGCGAGCAACGCGAAGGCAAGAACCAAGATCCCTCGTCCCTACCTGGTGTAATGGGTGTGCAAGTGAAGAAACAGACAATCAAGATCGGACGGCCGGGCTACAAGATTACCAAGGTCCGGGACCCCTTGACCCGTCAAACAGGCCTGCTGTTCCAGCTGCAATACCAAGAAATCACACCCGGTGTTCTCCCACGAGTACGCTTCATGTCTGCATTTGAGCAGAAAGTCGACGACCCGGATAAGAATTACCAGTACCTGGTCGTTGCGGCGGAGCCTTATCAGACATGTGGTTTCAAGCTTCAGTCGAAGGAGGTCGATCGCCGGGAAGGCCGGTATTGGACTTGGTTTGATGAGGATAGTAAGGAGTTCTGGATACAGATCATGTTTAAGACAGAGCGTGAGGAGAGATTCACTGGTGTGCCCGGATTGGCGCCTATGCAGAACTGATTGCCTTCCTGCCTACGGCGATGTCTTGCCACAAAGAGGGAAACAGGTTTTATCGCAAGGGTTGGAGCTGGGCGTTTTGGGGGTCTTATTTCTGTGTACATTTTAGCTCAAGCGGTGGCATATTCAAGTTGATATCCTGGTGACCTTCAAATCGGGAGATGGACAGATGGATCTGTCCAATTAATGAATGTTCTAGGTGATATCTACAGAAACGCAAAATATTTTTATCACTTGCTTTTCAGGATTTGTTCCACACACTATTGTATACCCTCTTTAGCCCTATTAGGAATTTATATAACCATAGCTTGCAGCTTGACTTAACCTTGTATCCGCCCAAATCATGTTATAGCCCGTGGACCCAGGCAGCCTCCAGTATGCCTACCCATTGAAAGTACTTTTTAGCGTCAAGTGTATCTACTCCAAGACCTACACCTATTAATAGTACTATGCCTACCTCATTAGCTACAGTAGACTATAAAATTATATCGAATGTATCCATGAATGGTAAAATGCGTAGCTAAAAACGAGCATGTGAAAGGTTGATGTTACAGGGTGCCACGGATTTCGAAGCCATGGGTATATTCCTGCTTACATTTATAGTGTACAAAAGTAAACAGGGGGTTACGCGGCGAAATTGCCTGCATTTTTCACTAGGCTCCTAGATCTTTTGGCTGTTTGCACTTTCAACTAGGGTCGTGATCCGTGCACCACGGATTTTACCTACCACACCACGTTACATAAGCTACCCTCTTACATAATTAAGAGATATCGGGAATCCTCGGAAGAAAATCACGTGCTATCCAACGTCCGATATCAAATTTTCATCACTATAGTAACCAGATTTGGGTAGATAAACGATAATTTACTCTATTCTACCCTTTTTTTTACCATCTACCTTGGCCTGATCACTCTATCTACCATAATCTGCCCTAATTTGCCCTAAAATACCACAAAAATGGCTACCAATTCTACCTTATCTGCTCACGGAAGTAGGGTATATCCTTTTCCCTGATCTTTTATAACTGATAATAACCCAATTTAGACCTTCTTCCACCCCCTGAAGCTTCATATGCTACTCGAGATGAATTAATCGAATCCGTCCGGAAGCATGCCCTCTCTCAGGGCTATTGTACTGCTATAAAAAGCAGTAATTCTGGCAAGGGTCAATATGCTTACGCGAACCTTTCAATCCAATGTGTCAAATCAGGCATACCTTTTCGGCCGATTGATAGGCCAATTACAGGCCTAAATCCTCGGGAAACAAGCTCAAAACGTCAAAATTGCCCCTTTAGGCTATATGCAAGTAATAAAACAGGCAAATGGGAGCTCCAGGTACGTAATTCATCCCATAATCACCCTGCTGACGATCCAATAGTGTTCCACCAAGCTCGGAAGCTTAATTCTACTCAAATTGATAAGATTAAAGACCTGAATCAGATCAATTCTGCCCCTAGAGATATGATCAAATTGCTCCGTTTATCTACAGATCAACCGATAATCTCACGTGATATATATAACCAAAAAGCAAAATTACTCCGAGATAGGTATGGATATCAGGGAGAAATGGAGTATTTTCTCCAAAATTTGCAAATTAAAGGATATAAGTATAGATTATCTTTATCATCTGATGATAAAATCGAGTTTTTAGCGCTTGCTAACCCTAAATCTATTGATCTTGCTAATAAATACTATAGGGTTTTCGTCCTTGATTGCACTTATAAGACTAATAAGTACGGTATGCCTCTTTTAGAGGTTATTGGCATAACTCCGACTAACCAGACCTTCTTATTTGCTACTTGTTTTATGCGAAATGAGAGTGAAGAAGGCTATAAGTGGGCCCTACAAACCTTATTCTCGGATTTTATCCATTTATCTAATAATTCAGTATTGATTACTGACAGAGCTTTAGCACTTATTGGGGCAATTGAAGAGCTTTTTCCTAATATTAGCCATTTACTGTGTATTTGGCATATTGAAAAAGCTGTTTTTACTAAAGCACGTGAATTTATTTGCCAAAAAACAGCAAATCAGCCCCAAGACGACCCAAAAAACACAGAATTCACAGAGTTTATGAAGATATGGAGAGACCTTTATTCATCTAATATATCAGAGGAATATAAATTAAGGTTATATAACCTTAAAACTAAGTTTAACTACCCTAATCTGATCCTTTATCTCGAAAGAATATGGCTAATCTATAAACAGAAATTCGTCCGCTGTTATACTCCGAATATTACCCATTTTGGTAATTCTGCAAGCTCACGGTCTGAGGGTATTCATGCAAGGCTTAAGTCCCATCTTCATGGCTCAAATAACGATTTTATTACTGTTTTTAGTGCTATTGATGCTGTTATTAATGGCCAATTAGATGAAATCCGCAAAGAAACAGCCGAAATCCAGACTAAAATACCGAAATTCACCATGATTCCGCTTTTTAGCCACCTTCGGTCCCATCTCTCCCCACATGCTTTGCAGAAAATCAATAATCAACGGCAATTAGCCCTAGAAAAGGGGCCAATAGGCATTTGCACCCATTATTTTACTAATTCAATGGGTCTACCCTGTAAGCATATGATCCGTGAGTTATTGAAGGTTAATCAGCCAATAGGACTCGACAAAATTGATCCTTTTTGGGTTACTCGACCACCCACAGCTGAATATCTCTCAATTCTACCACCTCGGGTCTATCTACAGCCAAAAAAGGAGGAAAAAAAGAGAAAAAGATCAGAGGAAATCACGGAAATATCGGAGATAAAGAGGCCTAAGGCCCCTAGTAAGTGCTCAGGGTGTGGAGAAATAGGGCATACTATCAGAAGTTGCCCTTTGCGGAGAATTTGATTTACTCCTGTACTTATAATTTGATATCGGACGTTGACTATCACATGACTTTAGTCCGAGGATTCCCGATATCTCTTAATTATGTAAGAGGGTAGCTTATGTAACGTGGTGTGGTAGGTAAAATCCGTGGTGCACGGATCACGACCCTTTCAACTATAGTACATTATGTCAGTAGTTATGAGTCAGCTCGATCAGTTGAATAAAGGCAGAGCGCAAACGACACAAACATCGGGGAAAAAGCCGAATGAATCCTCGGAATAACCTTTCTTCCTGTATCACCATTCACCGCCTTGCCACTACTATACCCAATATATGACAACACCGCTGCCCTACGTAATGCCTCCTGTCACTTCATCTTTCAATGTGACAACAGTCATTCGCGACATGATTTTTCTTCTAACTCTTCTTCTGGATCCATTTCCATCGCTCTAATCGTGTCTTGCTTCTTGCCTTTAAAGTCATCCCAACATACAGCTCCGGCTGATCCTGCAATCATCGATGGACTCAGGATCATCCCAGGACCCAGAATCAGAATGGGAATTTTACCAGGCTATGGAGGTGCTGGGGTCGCCCATTAGTGAGCCAGAACGCCTCCAACACACGCAAACCCCGGTTTCTTTACCAGATCTCGTTAGAAGCTCGGCCACGACTGAGCTTCACCCGAGTTACGACAGCGACGAGGATGGATCACTGTTCAAATTGCTCCATTCTGATCTTCGTGACTGGGCCTCGATTTCTGAAAAGAATAAAGGGAACGGTGATTGCTCTCCAACTTTCGAGACCGGCTTGCCCGTACCATCTCAGCGTCGATTAGTGGTCCCTATCCACCAGCAATTCTCTAAAGATGGCTTCTCCACTGGACCTCCTCAGACAGGTCGATCGACACTACAAGTCACCAAATCCACCGTTACGGGTATCTCCACCCTTTCACCTTCGCCTGCAGTCACCATCCTTAAACGGCCTCCGCAGAATACTGATAACAAGATTCCTACCGACTCACACCCCAAAACCCCCGTGAACGCAAACACATGCACCAATCATTCGAAATCCATGCCCATTGCCAACACTAAGCTGAAAAAGAAACCTAAACAAGCCCGCAAGAACGAAATTTCTGAAAGTGGTGCCGAATTTGAGTCAGATCCAAGTGTTTTATTCGACTGCCCCCTCTTTAAAAAATCGAAGGCACTGGCATTTGTTCCGTTGCAAGTCGGCTCGCATGACGTACGCAGTGGAGTTGAAGATACGCCACCCTCTTCATATGAGGACGTCGTCGGTCCGTCTTTGGCTTCGGGCAAAGTCAAGGATAACGATGGCATCTCACTTTCGGGTCCCAGACACATCTATTCGAGACAGAGGGATGGGTTTGCGCAGCGTGTGTCTCTTATCACCATGCTTCTTAACAAATACGATGATTACGCCCAACTTGTCTCCCAAATGGGACGCCCTCAAGTCTTCAGTAACACTGTGGAGTCACGCCCTGTTCATGTCTTCGTTGATATGTCTAATATCTTAGTGGGGTTCCACAATACAGTAAAATACGTGCGAAAAATCCCCCAGCACGTTTCAATCCGTCGCCTTGACATCTCCTTCGCCAACTTGTCTTTAATCATGGAACGTGGCCGGGTTGCCGCCAAGAGAGTCTTGGTTGGTTCAGACCGTGTGCCTTCCATCGACGAAGCCGAGAAACTGGGTTATGAAGCAAATATATTGGACCGCGTCCACAAGATAAAGAACACACCCTCTCGTCCCAGCAAATTTCGCAATCCACCCTCTTTCAAGCGACCTCCTCTTGGTAAGCCTGAAATGGCTGATACCTCTGCAGAACGCTGGGTTGAGCAAGGTGTGGACGAAATTCTGCACCTAAAGATGCTCGAAAGTCTACTTGATACGGATGAGCCGGCCACTATTGTGTTGGCGACTGGAGACGCAGCGAAAGCTGAGTATTCTGCTGGATTCATGCGTATGGTGGAGCGGGCGCTGCAGCGCGGCTGGAACGTCGAGCTGGTCAGCTTCTCGCGTCTTACGAGTTATTCATACAAGAAGAAGGAGTTCCGTAACCAATGGGGCAGTCATTTCCGCATGGTGGAATTGGATCCTTACGTAGACGAACTTCTTGACTTTGAATTGCTTTGAGTTACGTCAGTGAGGATATCACTTATATTCCCTGAAGTTATGAAGTTATCGAGCGCTTGATATTAGCTTAGCATAGATCATTTATCTAGAAATAGGTTATCTGCTGTGAACACTAATATATGACTTCTATCTCCACTATACCAACCTCTTTTCTCGCGGAAAGCATTACCTGTTGTCGACCTATTGTATCTCATTTGCATCTATGTGTCCTGTTTATCTAAGCACTTGTACTTTCAACTCGGCTGGTCGGCAACATCACTGGCTTTTCAGGCCTTCCAACGCCACCTTGAGGGTTGATTGGTCACATAACACCTGATCACTGACATAGTAACAAACAAGAATCTGCTAAGCCAAATGAGGAAATAAGATCGGCAAACATGACAAAACCTACTTGTCATACAACGCCACATCATCTGTCAGACGTGAGTGTGTACTACTCTGATTCGTGGTATGAGCCATGCATCCAAGGTGTAATCCTGCTTAATCCGGAGTCGAAACCTGATAATACAATTGCCAACAGCAAACAATAGACGACGTCATTTGATTGTTTGCTAGGTGTCATGAAAGTTTCCCATAGTTCAGGAGTGTTATAAAAGCATCGTTAACCTCTCCTTTTTTTTTTTCCACACATCAACTACTTCTTCTCAATATCGAAAGTCTATCAAACACTCAAACTTCCATCAATCATCATGTCTGACACCGGTCGCAAAGACTTTACCACTAGTAAGTGAATCTACAAATATCCTGCGAAGTAACTGTAGATCCTAATTAACGTCACTACGCAGAGGCCAAGGAGGAGATCACTCCCGACTCCACCAAGTCCACCCAGGACAAACTCAAGGAGACTGTCACTGATGCCGGTGACCGCGTCAGTCGTGGGCTCCAGTCTGATGACAGCAAGGGCGGTACCCAGGAGGCCTTTGACAAGACCCAGCGTGCTCACGATAACAACAATGGCGGTGCCACCAGCTCCGTGTAAGATTTGCCTCCATCATACGTTCTACATGACCCTTATATACTAATTTCATCTTCCCTCGCAGTGCCGACAAGGTCAAGAACGCTCTTGGCATGGAGAAATAGGTTCTCTAATGGACACCTTTATGAACTTCCCCAGTGACGTCTTGTCAGGGATCTACGCTATTGCTCTTTGATGAGTCTACGATACCATTTGCGTTTTTAGTTTTAGTTTACGCAGACAATCAATGCAGTGGATCTGCCAAACTACATGAAACTTGTGTATTCCCTTTTATATCGTAGCTTGAAGATTACTCGTAAGAACTCATCGTCTTACCAGGCTGCCAAACATTGTATCGCGCTGCCGATTAAGCTGATCTAGTTCCCGCTCAAGTTCCTTGTACCTGGCCCGCGCCCCTGGAATGTCCGTAGGGAGATTATGAAATGCCCTTACTCGCCCTTCCAGTGATTTGACTGTTTCTTGAACCCGAATGACACTCTCTTCTTCCGCCATCAGTTGTTCAATCGTAGGGCCTTGTGGCTGATACCTTTCCAACGAAGCAATGCGATCCTGATACTCCCCAACTTTCGTAGATAGCGTTTTGGTGCCACGGATCCACTCCGAGGTCTGGGCCTGGATGCCCTTGGGCATGCTATAAGTCTGGTCTGACTTGAGCTCTTCCAGGTCAGCTTGAAGGCGAGAAAGCTCCTTCTGCAGGTACAGACGCAGTGTTTCAACCTTGGCTATTTGATCTTGTGCGTCAAAATCCTCTGCCGTCAGCTCCACGATCGACTGACCCAGGTCCTCTGGCTCGGGATTCAGTGTATTGCCCATTACAACCGCTGACTCGGCTAAGTCATCAAGATCGCGCTTCCCTTTGTCGTCTAGACACATTTCCACTTCAGCTAGAATCTCGTTCTTCTGTCGCTCGTGGGGGTCTTTGCGCTCTGCATCCTCCCGGGCCTTGAAGGCCTGGATCGCTTCCTCCCGTGCACGATGCTGGATATTTGCTTCTTCATCTGCCGCGTCATTGGCCGCGGCCAGTGTCAGGAGAACGCGAAGAGTGTCTTCATTTCGTTCGAATTGGGGTGTAGGTTTGGGCGCGTATTTCCGCGCGAGCCATGAATTAACGTACGCCCAGTCCTTAGCTTGCATAGCAGCCTGGCGTGCCTTCGTGGGCGAGGCGAGCGGACTGTCAAAAGAGTCCATTGTGTATTTGAGGGGCTGTCAGTGAGCGAATTGGGGAAATGTTATCTGTTGTTGATGCACGATAAGAGATGGGGCAAAGGCGGTCTACAGTCCAGTGGGCGAGACTGTCCTTTTCCCCACTCAACCTCGACATCGCCAGGAAGTGAGCTACATGCACTTCTCTAAACAATGACAAGTTATTTCGCTGGGCCTGGGTCTGGTCCCAGCAATGGCCACTCCACTTCGTCACCCCTGTCACCTCCAACCCAGCGTTCGAGTGCCTTGTCCACTCGCCTAACTTCCGTCCTGTCTGCTTCCTACGCCGACTCCGATATTCGCGACGCGTTGGAAACTTTGAGTCTTCGGGGAATCCACAACACTGCCGAAACACGGCGTCAGCTTCGACTCGATGTACAGAAGGAAGTGGTGGATAGCAATGCGGAGATCGTCCGTGATTTCGGCATGGTTGCGGCGGTGAGTATACCGAGCGATGTTGAATTAGGCATGGGAACCTAATATTCTATCTGCAATAGCAATTGAAACGAATTGGAAGCGTCATAATTACCCTCAATCAAACATGTGACGAAATGCGCAAACATATCAGTCTGGCCAAGCAAGAAACTACTCCCGTCCTGGAGGAAGCTACGGCGTTGATGGCTCAGAAGAAGGATACCGAAACGAAGCAACGACTACTCGTTGCTTTCGAGAAGCATTTCTTGGTTCCCGAGGAAGATCTCATGGTTCTGAACTCGGCCGAAGAGCCAGTAGATGAACGGTTCTTTGATATTCTCGGGCGCGTCAAGCAAGTTCATCATGATTGTGAGCACCTACTCGGCGGGGAAAACCAGCGATTGGGCCTGGAAGTAATGGAGTTGAGCACCCGCCATCTCAATTCCGCTTACCAGAAGCTATACAAGTGGATCCAAAAGGAGTTCCAATCTTTGAACCTGGAGGACCCTCGGATCAGTAGCTCGATCCGCCGTGCTCTGCGGGTCCTGGCGGAGCGGCCTAGTCTATTCCACAGTTGCCTCGATTTCTTCGCCGAGGCGCGGGACTATGTGCTTGCCGATGCGTTCCATTACGCGCTAACAGACGCCATGTCTGGTGCTAATGGAGCTAGTTCGGGTGATCGCAGTGTCAAACCCATCGAGTTTTCGGCTCATGATCCACTTCGGTATATTGGTGATATGCTCGCGTGGGTTCACTCTACAACCGTCTCTGAAAGGGAAGCTTTGGAAGCGCTGTTTATTGCCGATGGGGAGGAACTCGCTCGGGGCATTCAGGCTGGTTTGAATAGTGAGCCCTGGTCTCGCATTGACGAGGACCAGGAGGTCACTTTCGATGGCCAAAAGGCACTCAGCGATCTAGTCAACCGAGATCTCACTGGCGTTTCTCGTTCCCTACGGCAGAGAGTTGAGCTGGTAATTCAAGGCCATGACGACCCTGTTACCTGCTACAAGGTTGTCAACCTGCTATCTTTCTATCGAACCACCTTCATAAAGTTGGTTGGCCCTAAATCTCAGCTGGTGGACTTGATGCAAAGTCTGGAGAAATTTACACTTGGACACTTTGAGAATTTGATGCGAGAGGAAGTTAGCACTCTGTCAAATGACTCACTGGCCTTGGCTCCACCTCAAGATCTGTCGCCCCCCGAGTTCTTTTTAGATGCATTGGAAGCTTTGGTTTCGCTCATGAAAACGCATGAGGCATCGATCCGCCCTGATGAGCCATCCGACTCGGATGGCGAAAACAAGTTTACCCCTGTCCTTCGAGCTGCTTTCGATCCATATTTGACTCTGGCTCGATCCTCATCTGAGGAGATCGACGATTCTACAGCGCAGACTATCTACCGTACCAACATCCTTCTCGCAGCCCGCGCAACTGTCTCCCCATTCAGCTTTGCCAGTAGCACCCACATGACCCCACTGTCCTCGGCTATATCCACTCTTCGTACCAACCTGCTCGATATTCAGCACCAATTCCTTCTTGACAATTCTGGTTTGCAGGACCTGCTGGATGCCCTAGAGCCTTTCTCCAAATCGGGCAAAGACTCGGAGGCGGACAGTGAGAACGACGATAAACCAGACCAGAAGCCTCACCTTGCAGACCTGACCACCCTCTCTGCTTTCCAACCTGAGGCCCTTGTTACGTCCAGCCAGCAGCTGGATGACTTCCTTCCATCAGCACTCATGGATGCAGCCGACCATCTAAAACGTGTACAGAGTGCCTCCCTCATTCAAAGTGTCACTGAGGATGCCGTTGAGGCTTTTTGCCGTGATTTCGAGTTTGTCGAGGGTATGATTATCGCCGCTGATGAGGCAAGAGGCATGACTCAGGTTAGCTTGGGAACGGGCGAGAGTGTGATTAGCGGACGTAGCGGGAGATCCACTCAAAAGACCAGAGAGGACGAAGAGGAGGATCAGTGGAGTCTGCGATCACTATTCCCTCGCACAACTGGGGAGATCCGTGTTCTGCTGAGTTAAGTACAAGTACTGTACATACAAATTACCCACCCAAACCTCGACAAACTAAGTATGTACAAGTAGTCATTTGGAAACTAATCATATGCATTATTTTTTGCAGTTTCATACATCATTAATTTTACCCCTTGAACTATGCATAGAATAGCTCGCAAAGAGTTCATTCAGACTCAGGCAAATCATCGTCATTAATATCCTCATAAAGCATTTCATTCTGGACCCGCGGCTTGGGACAGTGAATTCTTTCGCCTCCCATCGTACCGGATCGCTTCATCGTCGCATAATCATTACGAGCTGGGCATTATCAACATGTTATCCAATGGATTTGCTATTTAAAGGGAGTGGTTTTATTGGGGTTGCCTCACAATGCCTGTAGCCTCACCATGTCTGTAGCCTCACGTGATATCTACACCGACATTTCCGAGGGCCTCTTCCTCCTACAACTGCCTCACGAGAGTCATTTGATGGCCTCTGCGGGTAGCTCGTAGCTCGTCATCTCTCAGGCAGTCAAGTGTCAATTTTGTCCCTCCCACCTTCCCTCTGTATATAGAATCCACTACAATACAGACACATTGCCTCCCTTCAAGGGAGCGCGGACGGGGCCTATCTGACGCCACGGTCTACGACCGCAGCGACAGGTAACCCGTTGCGGCCAAACTAAACTCTTCTTGCTCCTCTTGACTGTGTGAGGTCACCAATAAATAGATACGTACCAACTTCCCCATTGGAGTTCAGATCGTCTTGGTCAACGAAGGTGTCATAATTTTCTTCGCCATCATCGACGATGATAGGATCCTGGACAACTTGCTTATAGGAGGACATTATAAGTGTAAATCGGGTTTCAATGTGGGTATGTATAAAACAAGAGTTACCCTGTCTGCTGAGGCGCTATTTATACTTGACATTATATAGGTCATGTCTTTTGTCGTCATCGTTACGATGAGGCGAGTGTCAGAGTAGATTCTGGATATCAAATGCTCCCATACCTAGATTCCCATTGGTTCACCACTTTAGCTAACTAGTACTAGTTAGCTTCTAACAGGGCCTAGTCACTTGATCACTGCATCGTGAATGTTAGACCTTCGGCCCGACCCATGCCTTATGCACTGCTAATGTAGTAAATAGTTCAATAGCAGAGGTGAGCATGTTGCCTGACCGAATGTGGACTTGTATATACGGAAAATAGTATTGATCATGAAACTCCGTTCAGCGCCTGGAATTTTCCAAATCCTAAAGCTTTAAAGAGTGACTTCAATCCGGATGTACGTGCATCTATGCTGCAACCCCATTCAGGCCAAAACAACTAGACCGGTTCGGTAGCAGGAACGTATGGCCAGGATCCGCCGGTGCGTCTGAGTGTCGAGTATGCGGGTCTGTGGATATAATCACGATAATTTTATTTCATTTCATATCGCAAATTACTTAAGACAATGTCAAAGCTAACCACCTCTTTCGCCAAACTCCTTGGCCCAGTCTTCATACTTTTTAAGCCCGTCTGGAGAGACACTGGGTCGAATCGAAAAAAGACTTGATTCGAAGTCTTGGAATCTAATCGCCCGAATCTGATCCATGGGTGTATGGAGGAGAGCTTCCCCGAGGTTGCGGAGGGGGCCCATGGCGGCATCTTTGGCTAGGGCCGTTATATCTGAGCCGGAGAAGCCTATGGACGTTTGTTAGATGCCATAATTTATAGATTTGGGGGGTAAGGGGGTTCAAAAGAGGACCGAAGGGTTCTTACCGTCTGTTACATGAACCAAGACCTCGATATCCGCATCATTCAGCTCGTGGTGTTGATGGCTTAGGAGGGTGCGTAATTGCTGCTCACGAACATGGTGTTCCGGTAGGGGAATATACTGCCGACGAACAAATCGGCGGCGTGCAGCTTCATCAATATCCCATGGCATATTGGTTGCAGCCAATACGAGGACACGGCTAGCGTCGCCCTCTTTCTTGTCGCGGGCCGACTGTTCTCGGCCAGCGGCAGCACGTTGAAGGTCTGACCACTGGATCAAAAACTCGGTCTTGGATCGACGAGATGCTTCATTCTCGGAGCCAGAAGACCGCGCAGATAGCAGAGAGTCGATTTCATCGACAAAAATGATTGAGGGGGCAAGAACTTTGGCCAATCCGAATAAAGCGCGCACAAGCTTTTCGCTTTCTCCGTGCCATTTCGACGTGAGGCTGGATGATGATACAGAAAAGAAGGTTGACTTTGACTCAGTGGCGACAGATCGGGCAAGCATTGTTTTACCCGTGCCTGGCGGTCCAAAGAGTAACATGCCTCTTGCGGGCTCTCGCAAACCAGAAAATAGATCAGGACGAAGGAATGGATATACCACTGCTTCTTTAAGCGCTTTCTTCGCAGGTTCCAGCCCAGCAATGTCCTCCCAGTGCACCTCGTCGCCACGTACAACGATATCATTGAGGATCTGTCTTGCCGATTGCAGATCCACGCCTTTTGGTAGTTTATTCAGAATCTTTAGGTAATCATCGTTGTCACCTTCGTCCTCATCCTCTGCGTCGTCTGTGGAACGGTGGCCCGAAGAGTCCTGGTCACTCGACGGCGGAGTCTCTCGTCGCTTGACTGGAGGGAGTTTCCGACGTGTTGCACTGTTACCATTCGCTGGACCGGGCATCGAATTGGCCCCACGCTGAACATTCTCGCTACTTGATGATGGTTGTATAGAAGTAGGTTGCTCAACTTTGGTGACCCGTGGCGCAGATTTCGTCCGCGGAATGCTTCTCGTGGTATTTGTATCTCGATCCTGGCGGGGCGTTGACGGTCTAGAGCTACCCTCCGATCTAGAAGCGGCCGGGGTCGCGCGAGGTGGCGGCTGAAGAGAGGATCTCAAACCCGCGGGCTTAGGTTTGACAGATGGTTTATGAACGGGAGAAGGCGGTGATGTAAAGTCTCTAGGCTCTGGCATTGCCACCGAGACCGATGGAATCGGCCTACGGCTTTCCGAAGCCACGGGCTGGCGGACAGGAAGGTGTGCAGCAGGCCTGGGTGATGACCGGCTCGGTGATGCTGGTTGGGGCTCGCGCCAATGTGCAGCAGGAATTCGATCCGTAGCGGAATCTCTCCGGACGACTTTGTTTCTCGCCATTAAGGGTTCATCCCCAGAGCTAGTCCTTGGCTCCGCATTGGCAGCGCTTCGTGAAGACGCTATGGCGGCCGCATCGCTGACAGCCTTCTCCCCCGACCCAGACCGGAGGGTGCTGCCCCATGCCAGGCCCGCTGCTGTGGAGGCGGCCGGCCGCGACTCCTTCTTCTTAGAATTCACTTTAGATTTTTTGGTCATCTTCTTCCCCTCGGCGGAGCGCAAGGTCGTCAGCATCGGCTTCCGTCGCTCGGGACTGGAACCACGCGACTTTTCCTTCTCCGATGCATTCGAGTTCATCCGCATGGCAGGTGAGCCGGCCGGCGAGAGGCCCGATTGCACAGAGTCGTCGAAATAGGAAACTGACTCGAAGTGATGCTTTGGCGGTGGCGGATGTCGGCCAGGTATGGCGGCCGGTTTGGAGAGATCTGTATAGCCCACAGCTGGGATTGTGCCGCCTGCGATGTACCCGGGGGTGTTGTTGCTGGAGGATGGTTGGGAGAAGCTCAAGGCATGCCTGGCCTTCGTCAAAGTCGCGGCCTTGTCACCGCCGTTTGCCTCGGACGACTCTTTCCGGCTTTCGCGCAAGGCAGACAGTAGGTCGACTCGTTCACGGCACTGAGCCTCCAAGGCTCGGATAGAATCCTGCAATGCCTTTTCGGTTTCGGATTTCGGGGTGTAGGTGGATGATACTCGGCGAGCATTGTGGTGGTAGATAGTCTCGAGGGCGGATCTCCAGGACCTCAATGCTTCCTCTTCGTTGTTCTGATGTCATGAGCAAATGAGCACCCGACCGGGGTCTGGAAAGCTTACCTGTCCCTCGAAATAGACGGCAGTCGAGCATAGAAGATAGCACTCATCGTATGTCTTCTGCATGGAAGACGCGGGCCGTGGGCGCATCATTGGAAAAACACAGGCCCGCACCCATTTCACGCTGGTTTGTGGTGGGGAGAAGTGGAAGCGATGATCTCCCGTTTGTGAGGGGAGGATTTTTCGCGTGACGTCGTCGGGTCCGGCAGTTACTAAATGCGGATGAATATACGAATTGATCTAGTGTTTTATGAACTTGAAGGACATGTAAATCGGATATCCCATCTAGATTCCCGGTGGCACGTTCTATCGGTACATGCAATAAAAATAGAATAAAACAGCTATAGATGCAAGAGATCCCCAAATCAAAATCACCAACGCCAGATTTGAGGTCAAGAAGAGAAAAAAGGTCCGATCTTCAGACCTGCCGACTTCAAATAAACCCCCTTCAACCCTATCTGTACATTGCCTTCGCTTTTGGTATGTGAATAGAAGCTTGCAAAATTCATCCCCATCTTTTTTGTCGGTTTTTTCTTTTTTCTTTTGGTGGGCCTAAGATACACCATTATAAGGTCGGGCGCTGCCCGTAACCTCCAAAGACCCAGAACGGAAATAAATCGTAGACGCATTGTGTCGGGGTCACACACATGCATGATATGGAACAAAAGGAAGGAGGATAAATCATTCGAGTCAAGTCAGGGACTTAATTACTCGAGGTTCTTGAAATAGGCCTTGGCCATCTCATAAGATGTCCAGCAGATCGCTGTGCTGGGCATAGTGGAAATGATCCGGGGTCGCATACCACGAAGGAAGCCGGCCCAACCAAACTGCCGCTTGATGATGGAAGCGGCATTGAAGAGACCCTTGGCAGAACGGATCTCCTCGTTCTCAGCGAGACCACGGGTCTGGAGGAGTGTCTTCACGACATCGAGGGGAGTGGTGAGACCCGCAGCGAAGGCACCGGCAAGACCACCGGCCATGCAGTGGGTGAGCGGGTCATATTCCTGCTTGGGGTTCATGATCTTGGAGAGGGACTCGTAGGCGACGAATTGTGTTGCGGTGAAGGGAACAGTCATGCAAAGGGTGGTAGGGTAGGAGACATAGAAGGCCTGCAGACCCTCGGTGCGGTAAAGAGTTTTGGCGCATTCCATGAGGCTCCTGTGAACGGATCCGTGGACTTGCATCCGTTGCTTGATCACTGTTCTGGTGTTAGTCTTGGGTATAGAGCAGATATTGTTCTCAAGCACTTACCATCGAATGGGTTCATCAGGGCATCACTAGCAATGGTGGCAGACGCACCACTCAGAGCTATTCAAACCAGTCAGTTACTATCCAGCGCCCCTATTTCATTTCCAACGTACCAGCAGCGAGAGGGTGGTGTCCATCATCCACATTACCACCAGCCATCTCCTTCACAATCTCATATGTGCCAAAGTACACCGCGTGTGCCGGACCTGAGCATCCCATAATCAGCCACCACTTTCCAATTTCGCCATCACTAAAAACATACCCGCGCCCACAATCACACTAGAAACACCCTTCCAAAGTGTCCGCCAGCCCTCAATTCGATAGATGGTTGAAACAGCGTTGGTCAATCCAGTGTACAGCCCACCGCTCGAAGGGTGCAGGACTTGCATGCGGGTCTAAGGGAGAAAGCTCGTTAGGAACCAACACCAAAACCTGAAACTGAAAATGAACCATTCAGAATGTACACACCTTGAGCAAGTCGACCGGATACATCACAGAGTGTTCCTAGATCAATCGATCAGTCAAAATTATCCTTCCCCTGTCGCGGCCCGCAGCCCGCCAGTTGAACCTACCGCAATTCCTGCAAAAGCACCCGCGAGCATATTCCGGCCGAGGCCATAGTTTGAAGGGAGCGCCTCATAGCTGCAAATCCAGTCAGCTTACTCCATCATCAGGTTTCGGGCTTGGGGGCTGGGGTGTGAATTTGAATCTCCAGCACATAAATTGTCACCGGCTCAGCCGGGCGGGAAGCGGTAGAAAAAGACACGCAGAGCACAAATCAAGGCCTGCCGATGCATCAATCGTCTCTGGCTAGAGATACCAATGCTATCTCTGTGCTGCGCGTACCCTGCTGTTCCCGTGCGCCCAGTTGAAGAATCAAATCCAAACCCCGAGCCCGAGCCCGAGCCCGCGGAGAAAATCACGGAGTTGCCTACTCGAATTCCAGCTCCTCAACCTTATCGGTGGCCGCCATGGAGCTCCGCTAGCCCAAGGCGCAGCTGGCGCAATAGAAAAGAAAAGAAAAGATTGAAGAGGAGAGAGGACACGCGGTGGCGGTGATGGTGGTGACCGAGGTGTTGGAGAAAAAAGGTTGAGAGGATCCAGATAAAGCGGACTGGGTTCTCCGTGGAAACAGGAACCAGGGGGTCGCGCCTTGTTAAGGATAGAAGTTATCGCCCGTTCTATGAATATGGGGAAAAGTAAAAGAGAAGAAAAGTTTGGGATGAATAATTTCTTTAGACAATCAATGGCGCTAATGAAATTATGTATTTAATGAACTGGGGGAACCGACCCTCGCCGGATTCCACACCGACCTATGAATGTGAAGATTTCAATATCCCTGTAAATGAGAATATACATTATTTTTTAATTCCAATATCCAGCTACTTATATCTGACTTCTTTCAATGCTTTCTTTCAATGCTTTCTTTAAATGCTCTCTTTAAATGTTATGTTTTATAATGTTTTTCATCTTGACTTGCAGCTTATTCAGAAAACAAGGCTAGATCCATCCGATGACGGAGCTTGTATTGTATGTAACAAACAGAGTAAAATACATGGGGTACTTCAATATCCCAGCAAAAAGGTAAGGAAATGCAAGTATCCCCCTGTCTCAACTTGCGTAATATTTATCAATCTGATAAGCCAGTTGAGTTTAATTGCCTTAAATCGGGAACTAGTCCTGGGCAAGCAGCAGAGCCTAAGTGGACCGAATACGGGAACTGTTCGACATTCGAGAAGAGTCGGTATTCCGTTTTTATGGGGAATTGACGATCCTCTGATTTATGCATATCAATGAGTACAGAGTAAGGAAGTCTGTATATGGCCTTACGTCCACATGATTGTCTGCAGATATTAGATTGCTAGATAGTCCCATAATACTTGAATCAATTTGAAAAACTTTTTGGAAATGAATGATTTGTAAATGTCCCCGGTCAGCTAAGTGAGGCCTTAAGGGGGGTGAAACCACGCGACTTGTCTATCCGGCCCTGCCGAGGTCCGGGTGGGCTTCAACCCATACTAAACCAGTCTACGTAAAAAGTGACAATTATTTCTGCGCTACGAAGGCCCCGCATATCCCCTGCAGGGTGCAGAAAAAATGAAGTGTAGGGAGAGGAATGTTGGTACTTTGGTGCCTTGGTACCTCACACTGCAGCCTCGGGGATTTCCAAGCAGAAGAAATATCGGCTTTCCATTATAGCCGAGTGTCGGCTATTTCTGTCTAATGTTCTGCAGAGGGTAAATTGTACCCGGGCTTCCGGTTAAGTTAGTGGATCTTCATTTGGGTCCACTATGGCTTGGCTTGGAGATTGATAAACTATAAGAAATATTGTATACTATAATAGATTGTTTAATTGTCTACTTTACATCCTCCACCTAGGAACTAAGCCATTCACAAAATAAAGCTAATTCATGATTCATTCAATTGTGGCGCCAGGGGTAGGAAAATATAAGAGCTTTCCTTCAGCCTTGATTGGCATCCCCCACCCCTTTGTCTCCTAATAGTACTCCATATTCAATAAGCTGGAGCCATCCATCTCTCGTCCAGCTATTCAAGGTTTCTTGCAGAAACATGGGACTTTAGACATGGAAAACCTTTACATTACGCCACATACTACCTGATACTAGTATCACGCTGACCGCGAAGAGAAAAAGAAATCATGGGCAAAAGAACAAGGACATCTTGATAAAGCTATTGAATACAGGTGCCATGTCTATAGACGGTCAAGATGTGTTTGCTGAGTCATTTCGACGAATCCGGCGAAAGAGAAACCATATTCTCATCTACTCTCGGGACACGCGGAACAGGCCTTCCATCTACACATATTTCTTGTTCCTTAGAACCAGTCAGAAACATAAGTTACAAAATGCATAGAACAAGCGGTTCAAAAGGTATGGACACAAGAAAATTGCACAGAAGCTTTGTGATATCAATTCATAACACTTTGCAGTTTGGACTACTCTCATAACAAATACCGCATATTTATCTGGTCTTTTGACGCTCGATTATTCTCTTAAGAAAGTTGGCTCAAAATATCCACTTGTTGTTCTTTACACAGACTCGTTTCCTGCAGATGGACATGAAGCTCTTGACTCAAGGGTAATCGCGAAACGACATGTGCCATATCTTCTTCCAGCCACACAGAAAGATTTCACCAACGATGTTCGGTTCTACGACTGCTGGAGTAAGCTCACGCCATTCTCGCTCATCGAATATGACCGTGTTGTGCAACTTGATAGTGACATGCTGGTCCTTAAGAATATGGATGAGCTTATGGACATCACTTTGGATGCAGCAGAAATGAAGGGAACGGGAGATCGAGTGTTCGCTGCTAGCCACGCATGTGTCTGCAACCCGCTTAATAAACCTCACTACCCCAAAGACTGGTAAGCAAAAAACCTCTTTTTATCCACGAGTCGTTGGCCTAATTGCTAATTTAGTGCTTTGGAAAAGGGTTCCGGCCAACTGTGCCTACACTATTCAACATGACAGCCCAGACATCGCGCAAACAGCCGGGCCTTCAGCCACAGCAGGCTTAGGGATACCAAATGGTGGCCTTCAGGTTGTGAACCCATCTCAAGGGACCTACGACAAAATTGTTGAACAGCTTTCCTCTTCCTCGACATCTGAATATGATTTCGCTGACCAGTCCCTCCTCGGCGATGTTTTCCGTGGTCGATGGGTCGCGCTACCGTATGTATACAATGCGCTTAAAACCCTACGATGGAAAGGAATCCATGACGCAATATGGCGCGACGAGAGTGTGAAAAATGTACATTATATCCTAAGCCCGAAGCCGTGGGATGAAGGGACAGACGTGCAGAGCCATGATCCATCCCATGTCTGGTGGACATCATTGACAGCGCAAAGGTTAGCAGAGGAACAACAGAGAGGCCTCGCAGACGGTTTTTAAGCCTTACCAACTCCAAATCCTCCACTCAATCGTGTCACATGCATGAATAACATGTGAATTTTCCTAAATGCAAAAAAAAAAAAAAATTGAATCGCTTCTAGCCATGATTATGTACCTCCTTGTGGCAAGGCAGTTTGTAGGTAGATGGTCTATACAGTATATGTACAGTGTCTGAGAATGAAACGCCAATCAAGTTAAATATATGCTGGACCATCAGCCACAGGACTTTTGTCTCCTTGTGGAAAACCGGCAGAAATCAATCCAACATCATCTGTATTCCAGAGGTAGAGACCAAGACCCGAGTTTAATACCACGGAGAGCGTGGACGTAGGGCTTTGTGATATCCAGTGTAACTATCACAGGGGCAATCAAACTTGAATTTGAGTCTGAGAGTAGTCCTGTCTCTGACTGTAATCCCATGGAGAACCGCCTGTGGAACCTCCCAGTCCAATATCCTGGAGTCCAATGACCAAGTCCCCTCCTGCGAACGTCCCAATGGGTGTGAAGGGTTGGGCTAAGATCCGTCCCCGTGATTCGATTCTTATCGTAGCCTCCCAGCCGTAATCCTGGAATACCGAGATCTGTTGATCCGATATGTATTCCATAAGAATAGGAAGGAGTTTTCGGGTCGCAGTCGCGTACAGAAAGCTGCCAATGAACATCATGGTATATTCCCAAATATGGGTTAATGAAGTCCCATGGATAAAATACCAGCCTGGTTGGGATAGTTGAGACCATTTGGATATGTTTGGTAGCCGTCAGTAAAGCCAGTCAGGCTAACATTTGAGACATCTGAGTCAAGCCCGAGATAGTACTGTCGTAGAAGACGCTTCGGACACACCATCCCGTCAGTAAATTAGCATCCCATTCTTTCCATGCTGCCGAGTCTGGCGCTTCAAAACCATCGAAAGATGAGCCATTACGATTGTATAAACCAGCATCATCAGCGTAACATGTTGTCAATGAAGAAGATCACGATGTCTAGTTATCACAGATGGTCGACCAAAGAATGGTGCTGGACCAAAGTCCACCCGATAGTTTCAATTTGAAAATATGAAGCGTACGTGTAACGTGATCGGGGTCTTTGCTGACCGGGGATAGGCATCAGGGCTCAAACATTCGCGCTGGCGCTAACGTGGCCAAACACAAACCACGCATTTCCATTGGTAGTTTAAAGAAGCCCCGGTCTGACTCCCAGCGCTTAGCATGTCGTGTTTCCACTACCATCGAGGGTGAGTCCAGCTGTGCAGTCGCCACCCCTCACCCTCATGTGATTGCCTTGATGATTTGGGGCTCTTCCGGCAGGCTCGTTTACAGCCAAATCTGACATCTATGCTCGCCTCTATGCTGTCTATCTAGCTTCAGCGAAGATGTTGGCGCTAGCTCCAAATAGCGGCCGTCAACTACAGCGCCCAGTGCTGCTTGCATCGTTTGTACTGGTCACAATCCTCTTGTCCATGTATCATTCTTTGCTTCGAATGTCAAGTTGTGGATTTCAGCCGACGGGCACACTTGTCGCTGCTAGTGAGGAGAAGAAGGCTCTGAGTCTTCCTGGTGAATACTCTGTCATTCCTAATGAACCGGCATTTTGTGCAAATCGGTTTGGAACGACATTCCTCAATAATCTTCGTGATTCGGCGACGCAGTACTGCAATCAGTCATCCACTCTAACCTGCTTTCATACTCGGACTGTGAGCGACCGATGGGATTCGTTCTGCTTTGGGAAGGGGGCCAGATATGACCCCAATGAAGATAAATTTCACCTGAAGTGCGACCTGGTCCAAAAAGCAGAGCCCGACTTGAAACAAATAGTGTTCGAACACGCCCCAAGTTTCCCAAACTTCGATGAACTTAAGAAGTACTGGTATGACACCGGTCCACCCGTAGTCTTCAATGGCTGGGTTCAAATGGACAGTGAAGCCGATTCACCCCTGGAAAAGACCGATAGTTATACAATATTGGTCAAGCGGGAAGGTGCCACCAACCATTGGCATTCATTAATGGAGATATATTCAATGACCCTCAGTATGGATGTTCTACAAATCACACCTCAATCGACAGATTCCACTCCATTCTACGACGCCAAACGCGATGCGCCGAACACACGAGTAGTCATTGTCGACAACCACCCGGATGGGCCATATTATGACATGTGGTCACTCCTCACAAAGAAGCCAGCTCTCCGTTCCAAAGATCTTCCTGACAACACAACCTTTGACAACATCATTATACCACTTGCTGGTGCTGGAAACACACTCTGGCAGGGTGACTGGGAAGTCAACTCTTGTGAAAAGTCGGCCCTTTTAAATACGTTTGCCAATCGGGTACTATCTATGTACGGGTTGAATGACACCGAGCCGCGACACAATGAGAAAATCACGTTTACATTCATCAACCGAGCTTCTGGGCGAAAACTCGTCAATCAAACGCAATATTTGAAGCGGCTCCAGGAGGAATACCCTCTGGTCAAGGTTCAATCAATTGATTTTGCCGCAATATCCTACAAAGATCAATTACAGATCATTCAAGAATCAGATATACTGGCCGGTGTCCACGGGGCAGGTCTCACACACGGCATCTTCCTGCCTCCTGGGTCAGCTATGGTGGAAATCCTACCACCTGGGTTAAATCACAAGGGCTTCCGCAATGTTGCTTCCCTGCGGGGTCATAACTACTTCAGCACGCATGCGTCGGAACCACCTTCAGTCCACGAGGGAGACTGGCACTCTGAGGATGTTTACCTGGATGTTGAGCGATTTACCTCTGTGATGAATGTAGCTATCAAGGCAATGTACAACAAAGGCATGCGAAGCTATGATGTTTGAACTTAGTCTTGGAGGCCTGGAGTTTTCTGTTCTCGCTTTATTCTGTCATGTAGCTTGCGCTCTCTAGATGAAGTTCGTATTTGATACAATGTGAAACATTTCAGAGGTTTTTAAGGGTTGACTCGATGAAATCATGCACGTGGGGCGAAGAAACTTGTTTGATGACTAGGAAGTATTGCCATAAATATCTCACCACCTGAGAATCTTGGCATCTGTACAATATTCTAGATCGACCCGATCTATATCTCCCACCAATGACACCAGGTGATTTAGCGCTTTTATTTCATGTAACTAAAGGACACTTAAATATTAAGCTGGACCTATTCTGTATTGCCCTTCGATCTAGCCAAGGTATTTATTAGTATACAGCATCTGAGTTTTCTTTGAAAAATAATATCTGCGGGATTTGAACCCATATGATGATTCAAAGTCATATGCTCAATCAAATTTCCAGTCACGACTACGTAATACTAGAAAAGTCATTACTTTTCCTACTACTCCCCTCTTTAATTATGTATCTATTTGTTAAGGCCTAATACATCAATCACGTCTATTATATATTGACTTAGCCGCCTATTTAAAACATTATATCAAGGAGTTATACTCCATAAAACAAATTAAACCAATATTTTGCCCTATCTACCCGGTTTTTGGTGGAACCAGAAAATCTAATAATAAATCATATTAGCTGACGTAATTAGTATGTGGGGTCAACTTAAGCGCCTAGTGGGGCGCCAGGGTACTGTAGATCAAATCAGTACGGAGAATCCGATATCCTCCTCGACGATGAAGCAAAACAAGAGAGGTCTCATCATTTAGATCACATTCTTCCAATGTTCAAGTTCCCAGTGTTGGTGTGCAAGACACCAAGATAGTCGTTTATTCCTCATCCTCTGTGTCAAGCCAGGCTTCCGAGTCGGTTTTGTCTTCCGTAGACCGGCTTTCCGGAAGATTCTCCAGATTGTCATTGCAGAGATATCGTTGCCCTCGGAGCTAAGCCCACTAGGAATACCAGCACATATTTTTTCCCGTCCATAACGGTAAAAATGGTCAAAACGTACTTTTGAAAGAACCTTTTGCTCTGTCTCAGGTGTCTGTTTCGTCGGGCGTCCAGAGCGAGGGGCATCGGCAACGTAAGCATCACAGATTGCAGCAGGCCGCAGATTCGGATCGAAACCACGCTCACATGCGCGCGCGTAGATATAATTTATCGTACGTATGGAGATGTTTGTCGGCTCAGAAACCTCCGCTGTCGTCTTGCCGTTAGCTTTGAGGGCTACAACATATGCCCTAGTAGCAATATCGGTCGGCATGGTGGAAAGGAATGACAGGTAAGAAGGATTTTACGAGGGGTTTCAGGGGTTGAGGGTTGACTGGGTATGTGGGAAAACGACACTAGTAGATGATCATTTACGCTAAGACCTTTGCAGGAAAGAACTTTTGAGATGGACCTCCGTATATGATAACTGTATTGTTTCAACTTATCATCCGAACAACTTGATGTGGCTTTGTTGTTTGTATGCAACAGATCTACTTCTGGCCTTGTAAACAAGCGGGGTGGGTGACTGTAGCAACTCTAGCACCTCATACAAACCTGAAGCTAACGGAAGTTGTACGCTACAAGACCTTAGTACTATGCTATATGGATATCAAAAGTAAGGATGATAAAGAAAAAAAAGAAAAGAACTGGAAGCTCACACAAGGATCAACCCTCGTTTTCTTTAGACCCGTACTTTCTCCATTAGCGGACGCCACCCTACGATGACAGCACACACACTGAGTAGGTACTGGATAAAGACAATAGACGTGGTTGCCACTACACTATGTCGGGAGCGCAGATAATAACTATCACTTATTTTTCGATATCGCGGACCTCTTATTCTGGACCACTTTCTTCCCACATGTCAGAACTCGACGTCTTATGTCTTTGCTTGGGACTAGGGTGTGATCTCAAGTCTCTAGTTCTAGTTCAAAAGTTCAAGGTCTATTGTACGAGTGAGTAGAATTTTGAACTGTAGCAGACTTTATTGAACAACTATGACTGAATGCAGAAGAAAAACTCGCTATTTGCACATGTGGCTATGAAAGTATAAGGACTGCTGTCTTGCCATGGGAAACCTAGCACAAAAAAATCGTCACAACACCGCAGCGCCGCAGCCTCAGAAAATAGGGGATTCGAAAGAGCAGATGATCTTCAGGTCAAGATGGAGAGGTTGAAACCCCGGTGCCTGGTAGACCGAAGAGGCAGGAAGTCATTCACGTCGTCAAGGTTGATTGGGGTGGATTACCACTCGAGATTGAACGACCATTCACCTTTGTCATGTTAGTATGCATATTGATATGAAAGAAATGCATCAACTGGGACTCACCATTTCTAAGGTTCTCGGCAGTGTCACTTAACAAGATAACTCGACGCTTGTTGCAGTATGCCGTTTTATCCAAAATATCAACCTTCAGCTCCGCCAGCTCCGACACGGGCTTCTCGAACATCTCACTCAGACTCTCGACCGCCATTTCCAGGTCCTTCTGGTTGTCTTCAAAGATCTCGGTAAGATTGTTCCGGGCAAGGTAAAAGGCAAAGGCGTACGTCCACTTCAAGGTCTGCCGACATTGTTGCAGAGCTTGTGAGGCGGTGTCGAGGAACTGGACTTCGATCCAGGATAGGCCCGACTGCGACTGCAGGCTGGTCATCTTCTTTTCTGTCTTGAGATACAAGTCCTTGTCCAGCTTGGCGGACTGCTCGTGATTGGCGTATCGATTGTAGTAATGCAAGTACCTCTCCAAAGATTGGCGTGATTTGGCTTGAGCACCCCGCGCTTCCGCACCGGACTTTTCCTCGTATCGGCTGCAGTTGTACCAGCTAGTGCCATGTTCAGACCAGAGACCCATACACATCCAGCAGAACTCATGCTTGCATTTGCGGCACGTCATGTGGTTGCAGCCGCCGTTCTTTTCGATCGTGGACTGACACTTGGGACACTCTTTGGTGTTGGCGGAAATCCAGTTGGCCGTTTCAGAGTCATCCTCGCACTTTTGCAACCACATCTTGACCAGTGCGCAGGGAGTGGGTTGATGGTCGGTGATAGTGCAGCCGAAACAGAACTCATGTTTGCAGTAACAGCGAACTGTCGGCACGATGCGACGAAGCTCTCGAGCCTTGACAGGACAGTCGATCGCATACTCGCAGTTGGGAGCTGGACACCATCGCAGGTTATCCTTATTATCCACGTAGGTCCGTGTAAGAAGCGTACGGTATCTAGCAGATTGTTAGCGAACTTGTTATCCATCAGCAACGAGAATAGTGACTCACCGGTCCTTAAGGTCGTCTGTCACCAGCAAGTCTAGCGACTTCGAGTCCACAATCCGGTGACAGTTATCCCCCGGACACTCGATCCGAGCTGCCTCACCTTCTTCCTTGATCTTGCCAGCCAGGTATTGTCGGTAGCAGTCGACACAAAACCGGTGCCCGCAGCGCATCGCATATGTCTCAAGATCCGGCCCATCTTCACAACAAATATCACACACGAAACCAGGGACCACCTCCGTCTTCGCAGTGCCTTCGAAGTTCGTTCCCAGTCCAGCTTCTTCTAATGTTTCCTCTGGGTGTTCCATATACCCCTCGATTAACTTCTCCTGCTTCCATCGTCCGAACCGCAACAGGATAGCTGCCGACTCTGGGGGCAGGCCAAGGATAGCGGAAACCTCGTTAATCTGCACCATCTGCTCGCGCTCGATATCCGCTGGATCTAAAACTTTAAACTCGACTTCATATGGTTTCCGTTTCTGCTTGATCAGATCTTTGTCGTCCGAAAAGCCGGTGTCGAGATCGCCGAAGTCAACTGCATTCGTCGCGAGAACAAAGGGTTAGTCACCAAACAAGGGCAGGGAAAGGGAACAGAGGGCATGGGAAGCATCACATACCTTCTCCTAGACTTTCATCATCACTGCCTTGTGTGTCGAGAAAATCATCGCCACTTGACACATCGCTCATGAAATCATCGTCAGAATCCATGCTGCCCGTTGTCGTCGCGGGCGTCGCGATTTCCCTCTTCTTGTGACAAACCAGACTCTTCCCCGAATTACCAGACTCAGGAGACTGTGAGGTAACAGGGAGGGTGGAGCGGTTGTTGTCGGTGTTGGTGGTCCTGGTGCTCCGATCGGAAGCAGTGGCGTTCCGTCCGTGGGCAGCCTTGGTGGCGGATTTGGGGAGAGGCTGGTTGTCGTCCGCAATCGCCGCCTCGGCCGCCTTTCTCTTCCGCGTAGAGGGAGGCGTGATGAAAAGGGGGGCGGCAGATTGCCGGCGGGGTTGGAGGGGGGGGAGAAAGCGGGTTTTAATAGAGACTCTTTTGGTTGGAGCCACAACGTCACTGGGAAAAATCGCTTGATTGCTCGGAGGGGGACGGAGTGGGGAAAGGGAACGATCGAGCGGAACCGCCGATTACTGTATCCAGTGTAGTCATCCAGTGTTTAGCTTTTTCCCTTGAACTGAAACTGGAAATGGAACTGGAACTGGAGGAACTTTTGTTGTGTTTGTTTCTTCTTACTTATCTGACCTTTTAGGCTGCAATTACTGCCTTGACGCTGCAAGGAAATACAGATCACGTTGTCTCAGAAACTGGATCCTTCGGGTTTAAGGAGTGGATTGGATTTTACTACTTAATCATGGTCTGATTTGTCTGCTTATGTCAAAGAAACTTTGAAAGATCGAATCATCACCAGATCGGTGTTGCTTTCATTATAATCAATCAGTCATACTTTTCCAAGACACAAGTCTATGCCCGTTCTCAAATTGAGACAATGTTTTGCTTATTACGTTTTCAAAGCTGTCAAGCTTTGGGAAGACCTGATGACCGGTCAGGATGAAGTAGAACAAAACCATACTCATGTTAGTACAGAGACTCTAACGACCCACCGATCTACAGATGGGGAACAGTGGATCTCCTTGTTTATATTCGGTCAAATAATTCAGCTGATTAGTTGAAGAACGGAAGGTATGGAAATCTGACGTTGACCTAACTCTCAAATCGGGTCTATCCTGATCTTCAAGGTTGCTTTCCCTATTCTACCACCTCATGATAGATGACTTGAACACAACTCCAAACCCCTGACATGAAAGGATCAGCCCGGAATTTCCAAAAAAAAAGGTTCAGGGGAAGCTTTCGACCCCGAAATCAACAAATCCCATAGAGTCAGTTTTGTCATCTGTATTATTGCTTGTGTTACTACCCATAGTTAGGAACACCTTTAATGTTCTAATCGAACAAAGTTCATCAAGGTTTAAGATGTGCACATGTAGAGTGATCAGGTAGAGAATCAAGCTTGTACTTGGTTAATGCGCATGCCATCTACCAAGTTGTTCCCGTCTGTCAACCCCTCTATTACTTGAGTACAACGTGGGCTTTTTGAACACACACCCGCCTCCACCTGGCCTTTGTCTCTCTTCTTTCTAGTTCGTTATTCATAATTATGAAGTGTGCTTTGAGTATTTAATTAATGCGGTAAGAAAAGAAGGTAGGAGATATAATAAGAGACATGGTAGGAGACTGGGTGGGTAACTGGTGTAGGAAATATAGTAGACACGTTGTTGTTCTAGGCGCTGCACGAAATGCGCGGCGGAGAGCCTATAGTAGCAAATTACATTATGTAGGAACTTGACATTCTCATCAATCCATAATTCAATCATTGCATAGAATTTATGTGGTATATGACCTCTACTCATCATCACTCTCCTCCTCCGATTCTTCCTCCTCACTACTTTCCTCTTCAGCTTCCGCCAACCAGTTCACAAACTGTTGTGCCTGGCTACGGACGTTCCGCATCTCTTCACTCTCGCTAGAACGCTCATCATTCCACCACTGATCATAAGCCTCCTCATCCACAAGCTCAAGATCATAGAGCACCTTGGCAGAGAATAGCAGAATATTCGCACCCTTATTCCGGTGCACCAGATCCTGCTGTAATTGGAGTAGCAGATCAACTTGATCTTTCTTTTCGTTTTTGTTCCGGTCAAACAGCGTCCGGTCCACAACTTCCCGGTATGTGGAGAAGAGGTCGTGCACCACATCGCTGGCATTCTTGCCAGTTTCCATGAGTTGTTGAACGTGTTTCATGAATGAGGAGACGATGGCGCGGCGGACTTGATTATCGGAGGCGTTGGCTGTCATGCGAAGACTGACGAGTTCCAGTTGGACGACGTCGGCGCTGACACCTTCGCGGATACTTTCGAAGATACTGGCCGATGCATCATGGTGGAAGTTGTCTTGTTCTTCGCCGTCAGAGAAGCTGCTTCGTCCGGAACGGGGCCAGGAGCCGTCGGACAGTTCGGAGGATAAGGTGGAGATGGAAGCGGAGGAGAGAGAGAGACCTGGCATGCGGTATACAAGGCCAGAGGAGGCGACACTGACGACATCGTCGTCGTCGTCTTCGTCATCGTCTTCGCCGTGAATGAACTCGCGGCCTTCGCCGTCGGCTCCAACCACCTTTGCATCGGTGGTCGCTGCGCTGCCGTCTCGCCGGAATGCGGTGATTCGCTTGCCGCTCTCAACTGATATGCCGTCGGCGATCTTAACGCCATACGACAAGAGAGCACCGGCCGCGACCTTGCAGTTCTTGCCAATTACAACATCATCCGCGATGATGGCGCCCCGAATATCCGCGTTATCACCAATTGAAACATTCTCCCAGATGTAAGCGCCCTCCAGCTTGACGTTGCGGCCGATCTTGCAGTTCCGGCCTAGCACAGTGTTCTGAACTGTTGTCTTGTCACCAATACTAGTGCCCTTGCCGATGACTGTGCGGCGACCGATCACGCAGGATCGCGCCAATGTGACACCCTGCTCTTGGTACAAGCTGCCCTTGCGAAGATCGTAGGTGTGACCGGGGAGCAAGTTGGTATCAGGACACAGCGGGTATGTCCAGCGGGAGATGATATCTTTGCTAACAGCGTCGTACGCCTTCAAATTCCTTACCCGCGCGGCATAGTGATCTTTAATGATATGTGTGTGGATGGTCTTTCCGTTCAGCTCGTAGTCCTTGAGAACACCGAACAGATAGTGCTTGCGAGGGGATTGGTAGTCGAAGCTGTCAGACCACAAGCCCAGTACATCGGGTGTGCAAATATCAATGCTGCAGTCGATCAGGTCTTGACGAATATCCAGCTCAGGGTGAGTCATGAGGAGCTCGGTGTCAATGGTGAGTCGGGCGGGGTTCTCGTCCGAGTGGTGGTCGATTTCCTCGTAGTGGAGACAACGATCTTTGGTAGGATCGATAACGAAGACCGGGGAGACAGACGATGCTTTAGTGCGGTGAGTCCGTCCAGCTTCCCGGAGGACCATGGTCATGATGGCGTTCTTGTCGGTGGCACGGCGGGCTCGGTGCTTAGATAATGCGCCTTCGATGGGCAAGTTGCTGATCACGTCGCCGCTGACGACAATAAAGTCACCGGTGATAAGGTGCTTTCCATCCAGATCACGCATGACATCACCAACGGAGGCAGAGGTTGATTTGAGGAATGTGAATTGCTTGAATGGAGATGAAGCCGCTCTCCATTTAGAGGCACTAATGGTAGCTCCATTAGCAACGTACTTGAGCTCTTACATGCAGGCTGTACGTACTTGATATATTTCTCTAGAATATCCGAGTGTGCGCCTCCGTAGAGAAAAACTTCCTCCACACCTGCATTTGCCAAAAACTCGAGGGTGTATTCGATGATGGGGGTGTTGGCCAACGGCAGAAGGCACTATGCGATCCGGTCAGCTCATTCCAACTTTTGTTTTTCACAAAGTATCCTTGTCGGCAGATCGGGCGAATAACATACACGAGGCTTATTGAGGGTGAAGGGCTCAAATCGTGGCTCAAAGGTATCCGCGAGGACCTACTCGTAGATAAAAAGTTAGCCGAAAGAAAGCATAAAGTGAAGCTTATCTCGGACGTTTCTGTTTACATACCACGGCCTGTAGTGTATCTTCTACCTCATCGGCAGTATTTCCCTTGGGCTTTGAGCCTCCGCCCTTTTGCTTAGCACCCATTGCAAGCAGATCCTGAGAAGTGTTAATCGGATGTATCGAGAAAATCAGATTCCGCGGAGGTGGTATATTGTTGATCGGAAGTAGTGAAGAGAGGCCGTACCTGGTACAAGAACAAACTACAGAGACGAGAATTATACCGGGAAGAATGCGCAATGTTAGTTCAATGCTGCCGTAGGTCGTATGCAGGGTCGTCGCGGTGCCTTTCAAAGACACAAAAAACCCCGCCAAGCCTCGGTGACTCCCACTTTGTGTTTGTGATGTTTGCATTGGTTCGTGGGTTAGATAACGTGACTTACCTGTGGCTCATGATATGTGGCACAGTTGTCTCACCAGCCACCTTACGATTTCAGCCACAAATTGTTCACATTCAAGATATGCTGGTCGATTCCGGTGGAAATGTGCCAAATCCTTGAATTTGTCATTCCGAAAGCTATGTAATACTGATCCCACCCAATTACCGATGGATTACCATCTACCCCTTGTCACACTCCGTACAGATGTACTATACTTGCAAAGTGACTAAAAAAAGAACAATGAAGCAATACCAACATCAGCCAAGACAATTCTAAATCTTAATTCCACCTCCCAATCACCCCTGCATTGCCAAAAATAATGGAAAAAGGAAACAAGGAAATATCAGTGGACAGCCCTGTAATAAGACAAAACTGCCCTGTCCGGCCATGGGACCCACTTGCGAGCCAAGGCGTGTAATCCTTGGAAATCCCCGCGGGTCCAGGCCCTCTTGGACCTGCAACAAACGTGTGCTTTATTATAGACGCCGGTCTAGACTCTCGGCCCTTACGATCGTGGGTTCGTCCAGCGGGAGGCGCGTTTGTGGGTACCTTATCCTGTTACCAAGGGAGTTCTATGTTGAAATAAAGATACTGTTTGTGGAATTGCTCCAGTTCGTTGGTGGATTGGATATGTTACCTCCCTAATTGAGTAGTAAATCCCCGTAGCCATGGGTCAATTGTTAAACCTGAGATAGTTGATGATGTGTACACATGAGAAGTTCCCCTACATGCTCATTCTTATCCCAGGGAACAATGGTGGATCCCCATTCTCCTCCCCTATTCTAGGAGCTCGTAACATGGGTGAATTCGGAGCTAAAGAAGGAAATAGGGCCGGGAAAGATAAAAAGTATGTCGTGTAAATATGTACGGTGTACCTGTCAAAACAAGGGTGGGTAAGAAAGCCCTTATATTTCCCTTCCCAATACAGGCACCAGATTGGTAATGTATATCAAAACCACAGATCCAAAGCAGATAGCGTGAAAAAGCACATGTTCGCCTCCCAGATAAATCAAGCCTGCAAATAAAACGCCATGACCTGTAGAGAAAGGGTAGGAAGACCGCGATCGACGCATACCTCCGGAGAAGCGCAAGCAATGTACGATTTGAAGACCTCATCATTATAAACAGTGGGAATCGTAAAGTGGATAGACAGGCGGAGAGGTGGAGGGTGGATGATAGAGCAAAGAGGAGAGGATGTGTGATTTAAACAGGCCGTCCGGCTTGTACTGCCATCATTGGCTGGGGCTGGGCATACATGCGTTGTCGCTTAGCCATGTTCTGCTGATTCTCTGCCGCATTTGACATATCAGACATCTGCCGACGGTGCGGTGGTCGACTTGGGGGCCCGGACGAAGGAACGGTAACTGGTGGAGCAGGGAACTGAACGCCATTCGGATCGACAGCATATGCCGCCGGGGGCGCAGAAGGTGCGGCGACGTACTGTCCTTGAATGGCAGGCATAGTTGGTTGGACCGCTTGCATGCCTTGGAACTGGCCGGGTGATTGCCAGTTGGTCATGGATGCTGCGGGTGACTGGCCGGGTGAGCTATCTTCCTTGATAGACTGCGTAGCTGATGTTTGGGAAGCCATTGTGACGGCTACCGGGGCTGGTGGGCCCTCGATGCCTTGGGGAATTGTCTTGAGATGAGTCAAATGAGTCTCCAGCATGTCGAGAAGACTTTTACGAGTGAATGGCTTGGGTAACACGTCATTCATTCCTATAGCACATTAGTCAAGTTCCCCGGCACAAACCCGCAAATCTTGACTCACCATGTTGATAGTATAATTGAATGTCGTCACTTCGAATGTTTGAGGTCATAGCAATGATAGGAGTTTGGTCAAACTGGCGGATCAAATGACAGGCCGATACACCGTCCAGATTGGGCATGATAATATCCATCAGAATCAAGTCGTACTTCGAGCCACCCTGCATTTTGTTCACTGCTTCTAAACCATCGAACTGAGAATCATTAGCCGCTGTACAATATGCGAAACCGGAAAGCAACGTACTGCAGTGTCAATGACACAAGAGAAAGAATATAAGAACTTGCCACCAATCTGTCGGCAAGTCGCATCGTCTTCAACCAACAGGATCCGCGGGCTGCGCATCCAGCCGGGGTCCACGTTGGTACTCTTCTTACGATTGTCTGGTTGTTGTCGGCGAGCCTCGGCGGTGTCGACTTCGGTCTTAGTGGGCATCGGGTACGGAACATTATTGATATGCTCGCCATACATAGGGTCGATACCGTTGGTCGCACCCACGGGGTATACCACTTGTTCCAAGTCATTACCCATTTTTGGGTAGGCCATCGCTGGGTTGGGTGGTACAGTAGTTGCCGGTCGAACCATCCCATTCCGAGGTGCATCCATTGCGGGTGTAGCGACGGGTGCCGCACCAGTCACCTTCTGGCCATCGTTTGCCGAATCCATGTTCGGCAAGTTGAACTGGATCTCAGCGTTCATATCATTTAGTAACTTTGAGGCTTGTTGCAGTGGAGAGGATGGCTCGTCGTCCACCGCTCCCACCTGCATGGGGCTCATGGTCGAGCCCTGCCCTTGGAATCCAACGGCCTTGCTATCTCTTCGCTGGCGCGCGTCCACTGAGAGCAAATAAGTCATGACTTGGTGAATGACATTTTCATGGTTCAGCACGGTCTTTTGTACTCGCATAACTTCCTGCAACATGAGCTGGTGATCCACAGTCAGCTGGGCATACCGGTCGGAAAGATGCTGGATTTGTTGTTGCTGTGCGAGGATCTGCTGGTTGAGCAGATCAATCTGTTGCGTGGGGACGGACTCCTCATTGCTCTGGGTCTGCTTGCGGGGGGCGGGGGCTTTGCGGCGGATATTGTCGAGAGATTCTTTGCTGTTGGCGCGGAACTCGGGGTGTTTGAATTCCCAGGCCTGGTGGGCACATCAGTATCGCGAGAGGAGATAGATTCCCTGGGCCGGCAAAGGACCTACATTCTGCCCATACGGTGACTGGCCACTCTCCTCGTTATTCTGGCGGACCTTGTGAAAGTCGTATTTATTGAGTTGGCGCACAAAACTGGCGAAGTTGCTGTGCTTGAAGTGTTTCGGCAGAATGGTCTTAGTAAATTTCTCGCACTTGGTAGTACCGGTTAGCTACACGGTGCGACCACACTCCACCACGGGCGCATTTACCTCTAGAACGACGAAGCTATCTCCTTCATCACCCCAGCGCACAATGGACGCGTAGGAGGGGTCCTCCAGCATTCTAGATGCATGGTTAGATACGTTCGATCGCGAGATTGTGTTCTGCGTAGCGTCGGGGTAAAAGACGAAGGGTTTGGCTGGCACGAGGATAGAGGGGTTCCAAGGAGGACTCACTTGTACAGCTTGCGCACCTAAACATTTTTAATTAGCATTAGAAAGCGTGAAGATGACCTGTGTATCGCGAGACTCACAAAATCGCTGGAGTTGCCCGCGGGGGCGGCATTCGAGGTCTGGCCTGGGCCATCCATGGCTAACCGGGTCGCGACCGGTCGAACGAACGGGCTTGACCTGACAGATTGGTATATAACCGATATGCTAAGGAAAGAATATTTTGAAGATGGATGTAAATGAAATAAACCCTACTCTGTCGAAGAATAAGAAAAAGAGCAAAACCTCAAGAGTCTCGGATCTAACAAGCAGAAAATCCAGAAAAAAAAAGAACTGGGGGATTTGAAGAACGCAGAATATGGGTACCGCCCAGTTACCATTTGGCGGTAGAGCCATGTACCAAAGTTACTGCGCAGGTACGGACATGGTACATGGCCCGTATTTTGTGTATTTAAAGTTATTTCAAGTTCCATCCTATCTACTTACTATCTTCTATACATTCAAATGTTATAATTATGATATATGCAAGGAGTTCTATATATATCCAGGTTCTTACTGCCCACCTTTATTTCTTATCCAGGAAATAGGAACATCTAACTGTCCTGGATCTTAAGTCCATATTCAGAAGTTAAACCCCATTTGCTCCAAATATAATACAGTAGTCAGTGCGCATAAGATGGAGGGGCATGCACCGACCGGGGTATAACCATCCTTGGGTACTAATACTGCATTGTTTCGGTGCATCGAGACCCAGGAAAGAATACAAAGAAAAGGTAAAAAAAATAAAAATTGGAAATGTATGGATTTTTGCCAAGAAAACTGCTCGTTGAGACACTTGAGAGGGGAACGAGTCTTAGCTCCACCAAACAATCTTTGGGACCCTACGGAGTAGGGAACCTATGGCCCACTCAGCATTGGTGGTTCCCACACGCGTACAACACACCATTGTTCCCACATATGCGTTGGCTTATGAGGTAAAATAAATATGAATTAAAATAAGGCAAAGAGTGAAATAAGAACAAGGAAAGCAGATCAAGATGAGCGCCTCAAATCAAGGGAGATTCTTATAATTCAACAACTAGTGAGGTGATATGAACTCTCGAACCGGTTCGTTCCTACTCTCGGGAGGGACTCGGAGCTACTGTATTGATATTATGTATATATATATATATATATATGCATACGAATGTCGATGATATTAAATCGTAGCGATTTAATTAATTAAAGTTATTCCGATACGTACATGATGTTTCTATGCGAAATAGTGGAAATGTGGACTGAGCTCCAACGCTCATGCAGCTCGGCGCCGACGTAGACGCCTCCAGCTAGCTTTGTCCCACCAGTACTCATGCAACGATTGGTTGCCATTTCTTATAGGGTTAATCTTTGCTTTTCTCACCTATGAAACGCCCGTGGTTATCTTTTCATCTTATGATCTAATCAGTTGAAATTCTATAACACCTCGTGTTATTGCTTCCCTTAAGCTTCGGACCAAATCCAGCACATCTACGGAACATTTCAATGTCAAATGGCAACTTCCGAAATTCTAACCTAGGAATGATATCCCACCTGGGGAAGAGGGAGCCATGGCCCCCTCTACGAACCCGTTAGATCATCTACCCGTGACTCATGGACCCGTGTTGCATCGAGTGGCTGAATCTGGCCCCAGGACAATTCTAGTATATCGTAGGTAGCAGGGACATCCATCTCACTGTCAACGGGTGAAATCTATGTAGGTGATGGTATATAATTACCACATTGAAGTCCTCAAACAATCTACCCGCTGCAGTGACTAGCCATGCCTGATTACTTACGGACCTCCAGATCAAACAATACCCTGTTGTTCAGCATATGGGATGTAATCCCGACCACAAGAATATTTTCCGATGTCATCTGGGAACCGATGGAGTATAGAAATGACTAAGACGTGCAATGCAGGACGCTCGAAGCTTCGCGTAAAACACGACCCAACACAGTCGTGGATTCCATGAAGATCTTAATGAATCAATCAGTCAGGCTTATGGGTCAGAAAAGCTCGGTTCCCCGGAAATTTCTTCATATATGAAATCAATATTTGTGTCATAGCGCCAATGAAGATCGGCACGACCGTTGCCGCGGCCGGCCATGACGAAATCCCCGAAGCTCCCCATCACCTCCTTTTTTCCACCTCCACGAACCTCGCAACTTTCCTTTCTGTCTTTACCTAAGTACCTGACTCTCAACTCCATCCAAGATGTTCGCCGCTCGCCGCTTCGCTACCAACGTCCCCCGCGTCCGGGCTCAAGCCGCGTTCTTCCACAAGACCGCCCCCGCCCTCGTCCAGAAGGGTGATGCTATTCCCAACCTGGACGTCCTGGTCGAGAACTCCCCCGGAAACCAAGTCAACCTCGCCAAGGAGCTCAAGGGCAAGGGTGTCATCATCGGTGTCCCGGCTGCTTTCAGTAAGTTGCTAGAATCATAAAAAACCCTCTCCCCCAGACCAAACAGAGCTTTGACATTGACTCTTCCTAGGCCCCGCTTGCTCCAGCACCCACGTCCCCGGTTTCATCAATCACCCCAAGCTCAAGGAGGCCGGCCAGGTCTTTGTCGTCGCCGTCAACGATCCTTTCGTGTAAGCCGCAGCAACAATTGCACTCACCGAGAAAACGCTAACGCGTCAAATACAACAGGACCAAGGCTTGGGCTGAGTCGCTCGACCCCAGCGGCAAGAGTGGCGTACGTGATACTGATACACATGGTGGAATGATTCACTAACTGTTTACCTAGATTCGCTTCTTGGGTGACCCGACCGCTCGGTTTAACGAGGCTCTTGACCTGACCTTCGACAGCCGGGCCATCTTTGGCAACATCCGCAGCAAGCGCTACGCTCTGTTGGTGGAGGATGGCAAGGTTAAGGAAGCCTTTGTGGAACCCGACAACGCCGGTCTCAATGGTAAGTTGTCACATCTGGAAACTCGTTTGGTTACTGACTCGATCAATTAGTTTCCGCTGCCGAGAAGGTCCTGGGCTAGAAACTTTGATTTCAACATGTTTCTCGTCGCCTTGCATATATAGCAGGATACCAAAGAACTTGAAATTTCATCACATAACGGATCCATCGATACTAGCGCCAGTAACCCGTCGTACATAAAGAGCACAGACTCTCAAGGTCAAGTCTCGCTTAGATTTGTTCTCGTAGTCTTATCATATGTGATCAGACGATTATATTACTCCTGTATGGTGCGAAAATAGTGATTCATAGGTTTTGATGACTTCAACAGAAGATTGATACACATGACCGGGGAAATCTCATGAAGTAAATGGCTGCCTAAGGATAGACTGACGCGGCCCCTTTGCCACAGATGTGGCGTTTCTGACCGACTGAATCGCCAAGGTGAAACAGGTGCAAAGAAAGCGAACCCTGCAGATCTCGGATTGGACCAATGTACTGAGAATACACTTGGCTTGTTCTCTGTAATTTCTAGAATGGTTTGGTGGCTGTGGGTGGATCAGTGGCATTTTTATAAATTTCCACAGCTGTTGAACCTCACCAGATAAAAGGAAACCGAAAAAACCCCAACAGAATATAGAACCGAACTTGAAGTAAATCATAGAATTGAGATTGATATGCAAGTCAGTATGTCAAGAGGGTCCAGGTTGATCCACCAAGACTAACAATAACTTACGCTTCGTCATTGCCAAGACTTGTCTCTTCCCCCCCAAATCTAGCCACGGTCCCCTCTCCCGCAACCATCTCTCCTCCTTCATTCCAATCTGCCTTAAATCCTTGCTCTCTTTCAATTCTTTGTACTTCCCCCGTGGCTGGTCCGCTCCCGTCCCATCCATTTGAAAGCGCCAGACCTCGTACCCTTGAGCATTGCCTGACTCCCGCCTTGGGCCGCTATTCGGAGCCCTGAGACCGAGTTGGTTGTGAGAGCTTGGCAAGACACTTTGCTCCGGAATCCCACCCATCTGATCGCGTTTCATACCGCGACTTCCTACACCCCTATTTCTCGCTTATCTGCGGCCCTCACAGCTACACCGGCATCATGTCAAAGGTCGTGCGCAGTGTCAAGAACGTCACAAAGGGATACTCCTCTGTGCAGGTCAAGGTCCGAAATGGTAAGTCTGGCTTCTCTGGGACTGTCAGAGGCTTTCGCAGGCTTCAGATAGGCACCGTGATCCCGTTGCAGTGAAAATGCATTGATTTGTCACTTTCTCCTATTCTCCAGCGTCTGCAACGGTGACCTGACAAGCACCGCGTCGCGCGCTCCCGGCTTGATGGACATTATGCTAAGTGGCCTTTTTCCTTCTAGCCACAAGTAACGACCCATGGGGCCCGACGGGTACCGACATGTCCGAGATTGCGGCCATGACTTTCGGGAGGTAGGTTTGCCGATGGCCTGACGCATACACAAGAGGCTGACATCAGCGCATAGCCCAAACGAGTTTTACGAGATCATGGACATGATTGACAAACGTCTCAACGACAAAGGAAAGAACTGGCGCCATGTGCTCAAGTCGTTGAAGGTCCTGGACTACTGTCTGCACGAGGGCTCGGAATTGGTGGTTACGTGGGCCCGGAAGAACGTCTACATTATAAAGACTCTGCGCGAGTTCCAGTACGTCGATGAAGAAAGTCGCGACGTGGGTCAGAATGGTGGGTTACTTTTCCTTTTTCCTTTTTCCTGGCAGATATTGACAATGGCACAGTTCGTGTGGCCGCAAAGGAACTCACCGCACTCATTCTGGACGAGGATCGACTACGCAGTGAGCGATCGGATCGCAAGCTTTGGAAGACTCGGGTTAGCGGACTTGACGAGGGACAGGGAGGCTTTGGAAATGAGCCTCGCCGGGAGCGACGAAGACGCCAGGGTTCCGACGAAGATGATACCGAGTACCGACTAGCTATCGAAGCCAGCAGAGCCGAAGCCGAAGAGGAGCGCCGACGCCGGGCCAAGGACGCGTCGAATCAGGGAGAGGACGAAGACCTGGCAAAGGCCATTAAGCTCAGCCGGGAAGAAGAGGAGCTGCGGAAGCGGGAGTTGGAGGAAAGCAATGCGCACGCGCTCTTTGACGACACCCCGGCTCAGGTTCAACCCACCGGCTATAATCAGGGCTACCAGCAACAGGGTGCGGTGGACTGGTTCGGCAACCCGATCAATGCTCAGCAGCCCATGACGACCGGTTACCTGAACAACCAATATGCGCAAACTACTGGATTCCAGGCCCAGCCTACTGGCATGAACCCTTACAACACTAATGGCTACCAGCAAGCCTCTGCCTTCGATCAGAACCCTTACGGACAGCAGGCTCTTCAACCTCAACACACTGCATTCCCCGCCAACAACCCGTACGGAGCCAACCCAGATCCAATGGCGCAGCAGATGCAACAACAGATGAACTTCCAGCAGCAGCAACAGCAACAGCAACAGCAGCAATCACAGGAGAACTACCTGTCCGCTGGAAGCAACAACCCATGGTCCTCGAACCAACCTGAGGCACTCAAGCCTACTCCAACGGGCTCGAACAACCCGTTCGCTCCGCGTACTCAACAGTTTAACAGCCAACCACAGCCCGCGGGACCGCCATCTCTCAACACCCTTGCGGAAGATCGCGCCACGAATCAGTTCAATAACCCAATCACCCAATTCTCTCGGACCAACCAGCCTAGCCAGCCGAACCCGATTATCAACTTCCAAGCTCCTCAGCCACCCAAGAGTACTCCTCCGTCCTCAGATCCTCACCACGCTCGCTTGAATGCACTTCTTGCAACTGGCGAAGGCCAGGATACTTTTGGTAACGTTGGAGATCTCCGTATCCCTGCGCAGCACACTGCCCCTGGTACGTTCGTCAACTCTGCTGGTCAAGGCTTGGACCGCCTGCATGCTACGCATACGGGCAACAACCCATTCTTTGGTCAGCAGTACACCGGTATGCCTCAACAGACCGGCTTTGTGCAGCAGCAGCAGCAACAACAGTCCAACGGAAACCCTTGGGCTGCCCAGCAGCAACAGCACGGTAACAGCAGCCTGATTGACCTGTAACCACATTTTCCTGTCCTCAGTGAAGTTCCTTGATTCAGTCTTGTCTATTTCGCTGAGAGCCCTTATGAACTAGGATTGTCGATACCACCTTTTTGTTTCCTTGCTTTCCATTCCTCGAAATTCACCATCCTTTCCCGTCCCTGCTCTATTTCCTTTGACTTCCTACGTCGTATCCTCCTTCTCTCTTCGTGGATAATGAGCAATTGCATCGTGAAGCCAAACGCTCAGAAACTGAGAATTCTCATCACTTTACTCACCCCCTCTTTTCCTCGGACCTTTTTTTTCTCTCTCTTTCTCCTCATACACACCGTTTCTCATTTGTCAACGTTTTTGTCGCTTAGGATATCCTTCTCACCTCCACAGTTTTGAATTTCTTTTTCTCCCTCCGATACACCTGTAAATGTCAAAATTGCAGCCCGACTCATTTGTTGGAATTGATCTGGCCGTCCTTATCAGCCGTAGCCACGTAGCTCCAGTACTGCCAGCATGTCTCGAGGAGTAGCAGTGAGTCAGACTTTGACTGTCGGTAGAGGACTGTCGGTAGAGAAAGATGCCCGGCTACTAAAATGTTTTTTTCACTGCCAAACATTCTCCCATAGTTGTATGTACATGACAGGCTGCATTATCTGATGCAAACCCATAGCATCATTAGCCTGCATGTATGCATCTAAAAATATAGACCTTTCAGGTCACACCTATACACTGATATGTACATACTCATCGGCACCAATGCTTAACCGGAACAAACCATAGACCGAATGCAAAGTGGCTACACAGTACCCCGCATAGTAATGGCCTGCAAGGATGAGCCACCTCATCATATCAACTGCCTTACAAATATCGGGATTTGACCTCCAGGACCAGTGGATACACACTGCGGGGTTCGGCCTTTGGTCAGGACTAGGTATCTCATGCTGAGACAGTGTCAATTCCTCTCATCTACCTCTCCCAAGTATTTGAGACTTCTCAGTGATCGAATCATCCAAGGTTGTTGTTTGGCTGCATAAAATGGCCGCGTCTTCTAATCCCGCTGCCATGCTCGCCTCCGCGGCTATCCCCGCGTTTAACTGCCCATCTGGCACGAAGATGTATATCTTGAATTTGGGAACGTTGGAAGCCGATGAGTCTTGGTTTGTAGCATTGCTATCACCATTCAAATGTTGCATAGTGATCTGATACATGTCACTTGAACAGGCTTCTTCGAGGTGCGAACTCGAGTTCATTAAGCAATCCAACCCCGGTAAATAAACGTCGCCAACTCGCTCTTCTTTCGGCACTTATTGAATACCCTGGTGTGGGCTTAATCTTGTATGAAACAGGCTGTGCGGAGGATATTGATGTGGTAAGACTGGGTTTTCAATTTGGGAAATTGTACCAATGTTAATCAAGATGGTAGAAATGGCCCGCTCCAGTAACCGACGTTTTCCCTAGAGTCAAATATACCGATGATCATAAATTGCCCGCGGCGATTAAGGCTACTGGGCACGATATCAATGATGTCAAAGCCGTTATCATTGGTCATCTCCATTTAGATCATGCAGGTGGACTGGAGCATTTCATGGATACTGATGTCCCGATCTGGGTCCATGAAGAAGAGTTCAAACATGCCTGCTGGGCTATTGGTACTGGAGCCGATCTGGGTGTTTATCTTGGACATTATATGTCGTTGGAGAGACTTAAGTGGCAGACGTTTACGGAGTCAACGCTTGATTTGTATCAGGGCATTGTTCTGCACCATTCGCCAGGTCATACGCCTGGATTGTGTATTATGCAGGTGAATCTTGAGAAGGATGGGACTTTTATTTGGACGACGGATCAATTTCATGTTGTAGAGAATTATGAGCTTGGACATCCTCACGGCGGATTGGCGAGGGATCATAATGCGTGGTATCGGAGTTTGAATATGATCCGCAGGCTTCAGCGATTATTTAATGCGAGGTTGATCTTTGGTCATGATCAAGATGTTGCTGATCAGTTGATCAGCGAGAAGAGCTTCTTTGAGTGAGGTTGCATAACAACAGCGCTTTTGAATGGGCTATTTTGCAGTACATTGGCTCCATTCAATTCAGTTTTCTTCAAATGCATGTTTATGTTTATAGTTTTCTTTTCCATCAAAATTTGACTGCTGCTGACTGGTTAACCGCGCCAGAGCATGATTCCGTACGGATCACGATCAGCCTCGCTAACAGAAACTTCAACGCTAGAATCTTGATATATCTCTTGGAAGCCAGTGGCAGCTCCGCCCTGCTTGGAACTATCTTCAATGGCCTGTAGGGCTGCCTTTCTCTCGCTCTGCCATGTCTGAGAAACTTCACGAAGAAGCTGGTTGCGCATGACAGCACATAGGTACCCGCGCTCGGAGTTGGAGTGAGCCAATGAAACAACGACTGAGCCCTTCTCTGTAGCCGCAAGAGCCTCGTGGTGACTCATTTCTCCAGTGAATAGAAGATCAGGGATCTCGTTTCCGCGAAGAAGAACTCCAGAGCCGGACCCAGGGCACATACCAACGGTACGAATCCGAATCTCGTTGATCGACCGGCCCTGGGGAGTGGCAATGGGAATTCCGCCCGGGAGGCCGACACCGCGGCCAATGTGGTCAATAAGCGTGGTGAGAGGCTGAGCTTCATCGAAGGTAACCAGGCGACCCGCACCAGCAGACTCGAATCCCTCCGGGATAGAAGCCGGAGGTGAGGGGTGGATAGTAGACCGAGTGTGAGGTATTTGCTGGGAGGGGGTTGCTGATGCCGCAGCCGGGACAGACTCAGGCTGGGGGTAAGTAGGTGCTGAGTACAAAGCGGACGCACAGTCCTTGATTGGGGACTGCGGCGTGGAGTCGGCCTTGAATGTGCCGGTCACTACGTCACAGAGCCAGTCGGCCATACCACCAGGGACGGTGTCGACGGCAGTGTGCGGGGAGTAGACGCTGATACCATTCTGGGCAAGGCGCAATAGAGACCTTTGTTGAGTGTCTTCGAGAGTAAGGGACTTCAGACCACGGAAAATGATTGGGTCTGAGACAGCATTAGCAAGGTTTGTTAATTTATTTATGATAGGTCACACCCTTCATGAGATCAGCCCGTTGAAGGGATGACAATTCAGGGTAATTGAATAGAGCACATACGGTAGGCCACAACAGCGGAGTCCTGGCGCCGAATTGCCTCATCTGCAACCGCCGTTGTCAAATCAATGGTCAGCAGCACGGAGTTCTTCTGGCGTCGTGACGGCTCAAACGGAGCTTCCAGGAGTACTATGGAATGAAAGTTAGCCCAGTCCAATAAAAACCGAGCCAAAGCTTGGTATTAACATACATCCGGTGTTGTCGAAGCTCTTATCGGCCAATGCCTCGGGGTACCTGCGTATAGCGGGTCAACGAAGCTCAAATTGCGGGGAGCTACAAACGAACAGCTTTCTCATAGAGCTGACCACAGCCCGAGTAAAGGGTGAGCAGGGAGGGGTTGACATAGTGGAATATACTCGTAGAGCTAATCGTAAAGAATTCATGGACTTTAAACAATTAGAAAGAAATTCCAAGTCAATGTGAAAAAGAAAAGGAAACAGTGACGCTATCGAAACGTATCAGCACGTGAACTGCAAGCATATCGGATAATCTATCCACCCGCTCTATAGTCAGGACACCAGCCACAGCGGCTGAATTTGTAATACAGATGAACCTCACTACCTTCCATCCGTGAGGCTCAACTAACTTCCTCATTGCTCGCTCTGATCGTGCTTAATGTTCTCCCGCACCTCCTATTTCTCTGTCTTGAGAGGCTGTCGCTATCTCCTCGCCCCGGTCCCCCAGCGCGCCGCCTTCTCCCTCTCCGCGCGTTCCTTCTCCGCCGTCAACGCCGCCATGGCCGACACCTCGGGTATCACCGCCGAGTCGCTGAAGCTCAAGCTGCTTGATGTGTTGCAGGCGCAACACGTGGAAATTGAAGATCTGTCTGGTAGGAATTGAAATTTGAAATACTGGTCCGTTAAGCTTGGATGCTAATTGATACTTGCTTTTTGTATAGGCGGCTGTGGTCAGGCTTTCCAGGCAGTCATCGTCTCCCCTCAGTTCGAGAGCAAGAACATGCTTGCTCGCCACCGTCTCGTTAACTCTGTTCTGAAGGCTGAGATCGCCGCCATCCACGCTTGGACTCCTAAGTGCTACACCCCCGAGCAGTGGCAGGCACTCCAGCAGTAAAATAAAACCTTCTAGCCATGATATTGGGGGACGGTACAGCCTGGGAATTTGATATGTGATATGATTCGCATTGTCATGTTCAACCTTGGAAGCCCCGTTTTTGCGAAACTTGTTAAAATTTTGATGATACCTTGGGATAGTAGGCACACGCCGACTGTCGGGATTAGTGTATGATAGAGCCTAATTTCCATTAATGTCTTGATAAAAGTATAAAGAACATTTATTAGGTTGGGATATTGTATGAGTAAATGAATGAATATCTATCAAACTTGCAACAAACAAATAAAAAGTACAGAATGATAGTACGAAAACAATTAGCAAATGGTCATGACAAGCTCGCTAAGTATCGTATACTGACCTGTTGTGATATTCATTTCGTCTTTATACATTGTAAACGATAACGCATGGACTCGGATGCCTCAGCAGACATTCGTGATATCCTTACAGCTTTCACGTAAATTTTCTTCAACTTTATACTGCTCTTCCATAGTAGAGCCAATGATCCCTTCAATCTCCCCAGCAATAGTACCAGCAAGAACACCAACACCTATAATACCACCATCACTAGCCTCTCGAAGAAAAATGCTCTTCCCTTCACTCTGTGGCCCAGCACTAATGATAAGTCGATCAATGTATCGTTGAATGGTTTGTTTATAGTGAGGGTAGTGTTGTATCACACCACCTGACACCGCTACAACCAACTCTTCAGGCCCGTTCTGCCAACCTGGTATTGACGACCCGAATTCGGGAACTTTATTTTCCTGGTTCGCTGTCTGTTGTACTTGGTCTGTACTTGTTATCGGAGAATCTGTGGATTCCGTATCCTGTAACTGAATCTCGCGTGTGCAGGCAAGAAGTCCGACTGTGGCGGCCGCAATCAATGCCGCAGATCGTTCTTGTACTGCGGCGGCAACGGAACGAATATGTCCTGCATACTCGGGTGTCCATTCCCAGTCACTGTACTCTGGGGCGGGAAGCTTTTGTGACAAGTCCTTCGCAAGTTGTTCATCGGAATAACTCGGTGCCACCACCAGGGACAAGAAGTCCGTAGTCAGAGTATATTCCTCGACCAATTTCACAGGTAATGAAGACCTAGGCACTGCCTTCGTTCTATGGAACCAATCGTAACATATGATGCGCACTAATTCGCCGATGTACCGACCTCCAACCATATACTCCAATGGCTGGAACCCAGGGCGGTTGGAGTTTGCTTCAAGCTCGGAATCCCATTCATTTACGATCTTCAACTCTTCCAGCGGCCCACTGGCACCCCGAAGCGTCCATTCGGTTGAAACGATCGTCTCTTGGGCGTCGGGGTCTTTTTCGCGAATATGTTGAATTTTCGCTTCTTGGAGATCGGTCAATTTCATCGGCACGGCTGAATTGCAGCCCGCCCCTACAATGAGGCCCATAACGACCCGGGTGTTGGGAAGAGTGCGGATCGAATACGCCAGTGATGCAAAAGTGGCGATCGTATCGTTAGTCATGACCGTAATTTTGAGTTTGGGCAGACAGTATTTCTTCCGTCGCTTTGCGGGCATCTCGGCAGGATCTTCATCAGAGCGTCTAGTGTGGCACTCGTAGCCATCAAGCAATGCTTGTCGGAGATTAAGGGAGGATTTGAGTGTAAACCCTTTCCCTGTAGGCATGAGGATGGCCTCATTGAGTAACTTTTGCCTACAACTAGTGTTAGCTCCCTCGAACTCATAGTGGTAGCAAGGGAAATTACTTGATTGGAAAACAAAATGAGATCCCCATGGTGATCTCGGAAGGTGCGTCATCTTTAGAACTGGCCAAGTCATCGTGGATAACCTCTGCAATACAATCTCCGATCCAGGAAAACAAGGAGTCGGCCTGGTCTTGGCGCAGGCGATTTTCGATGGGCCATGCTTTCTCTAGCGTACGCCGAACATGGGAGTGCTTCTCTACTTGCTCTTCACCCAGGAGATCGATAAATGCCACACGAAGATAGAACAAACCGAGATAGACTGCTAGGTAGCGTCCCTTCTCGTGTCCAGTTGGTAAACGAGTGGTGGCAGTGGGGAAGAACTGCTCTGAGGAACCTGCCGCTAGTGCACGATATGTGACTGACAGACGGTATGACAAGCGATAGAGCTTGTCTATCTCGATCTTTAGTGGCTGGAGAAATTTTTGCAATATAGGGTCTGCCCTGGCCATGATGCTGTGCAATTGAGGACAATCCTGGTGCCTTCGGTATGTTGGTTGCATGTCTCATTCTAGTTTATCCGTGGATTTCCCCGGATGACCAATCATGCGATCTAATTTGAGTTAACTAAACATTGAGCAGCCATCATTTTTACAGAAGTTCACAGGAATTGGTACTTCTGGATTCTTTATCTTGTAGGGAACATGCTGTTATTGAATAGATCAATAGGTCTCATGTGGACAAATAAAGAGCCAAAAATCCTCCAATGGTTATAACTGATACATAAGCGTAGATACGGATTCCCTAACAGATAGGGTTAGGTAACAGAAGTTAGATCTAAATTTGGTCCTAAAGAAGCCTATCTGTACCTATCTGTAGACACTACATACCTATGTATCTGTCTAAGATAGCCCAAATATGATCTGATACGATCTGACTACTGTGGCTTAGCTTCTATTATAATCCTAACGGCCCTTTACTTCAATAATGCCACCGTTATAATCAGCCTCCAAATCTATTTTCCCCGTTTCTGATGTCCTTGTTATTCTCTAGTTATATTATTCTCGTGAAGACATATTCTATCGTAGGACTGACCAGCTTCATCAAATTTAGAGACCTAGTCGACATAGGTAATATTCGAAACAGGCTTTCATGTTTCACCAAAGAAATAATTGACGCTCAACCGAAAAAAATATACTGTAACTTCTTGATTGACAAAACAATCTCAAGCTCGACACATCGCATTGCAAAAAAAATTTAGAACGCAGATCGGTGGAATTCCCTTTCCCCAGTCGATAAAATTCAACAACTTGTGATGCATCATCTTATCTGGCAAGTTATCAGGCCGCTCAGATCGAACACTAGCCCTGCAAGGTCACCATCGACAGAAAGCTAAGTCTTTCAGCATCAGATACTGCACCAGCATACATCTCTTGCCTGATAGACAGGAGGTAGCTGGCTATCTGCTCATCTGTATGATATGTTTGGTTGTAGCAGGCCCTGATAGACAATCTACCACCAAAAGTTTGGATTCCCAGATAAATTCGTTCGTCGGTTGGCACTGCAACCATCCAGAGGTCCCGAATTTTGAACGAGCCGTAGGTCTTTGGGAAGGCTTTGGAGAGATTCCCGATAAAGCTGGGTAGTATTCCCTTGAAGTAGTCTTGAGATAGTGCTGACGCGCATTTCTGTAAATATGGCACCATCGTGATGAGGGCAGCAGACTTTCGATGAGCGAGGGCCTTGTATGCATGTTTCACCCGCAAGGCTGTACGTTGAAAATCATCCGACATCGGCACCTGTATGGGCCAAAAGCCAATCCGCAAAGCAGCAGCTCTTGAATTGGCATTGGGAGGCGAGTCGGTACATCTTTCTCGAAAACTGAAGATAAGGACGGTTGAATGGATCGTACTGTCAGAGCTGGGACTAACTCTCTTTCCGGCGTGGAGAAGTGCAGTATGCAAGAAAGCAGTAATCCCCAACTTCATTTTTTTGGCTTGATCCAGAAGTTCAGATGTTTGACTTTCAGAAAATCCGAGAGATTGTGTTTTACCCTCTCCAGGTGGGTGTGTGTTATTAACGGAAGGTATTTCGAATGCCTCTCCCTCCGTTCGTGGCTCGGGCAGAGACGAAGCAAGATTCGAGGACCAGGATTTCTCCAAAGCAGTTACTCCCGCAGCGTCAAATGCGCCAATAGCAAGGTTTTTCATTTCCGCACCCCAAGGTTCGCTCACAGTTTCTCCACCTAAGTTCAAGCGCTGGATCTCATTGAAGAGGTCCTGTAACAGACCCACAACTGCCTGTCCATCCCCATGCATGTGATTCATGCGGAGAACCAATTTTTGCTTGCTAGGGAAGTAGTATAGCACAGGCGAGTTGGCAGCAGGTGCAATGACGAGGTCTTGACAGCCCCAAACTTCAGTATGTGGATCCCAGTCTTTGACGATGAAAGTCTTCTCAAGCCAATTATCAATATCCGCTTGATCTTCGAGAGGCTTGTACCGGAATTCGTCTTGACCGACTTCAGTGGCAAGAGTAGGATGGAGATAACGTAGTCTGGTCCATGCTTTTTTGATCGTCTCCAGAAACGTACTTGCGTCCTTATGTAGAGTTTCCATTCCAACGCTGGCCACGATGTCAAGGCTCCGAAACTCCGGTCTGGCCGGGTCATGGCAAAAGCTTGAGAACGTCTTTTCAAATGGATCAAATGGCCTGATATACTGGCCGTTACAGTCTTTTTTCCATTTCACTGATTTTGAAGAAGATTTTAGAAAGCTTTCACTCTGGCTCGTTGTATCGGGTATCTTCCCAGTAGTGTTTGAAAAGGTCGAAAAACGAGTGGTCATCGCTTTGACAGCAAGGAAATTCTTGGAAATCGTAGAACGCGGTGATTTGAACAGGATAGACATGGTGTAATTTGATTCATAGGAAAGTTATAAGAGATAGATGTAAACATTTATATCTGGAACCTTGCTATAAAACTCAGTATTGTTGTCTTCGAGCAAATAGTATCGCAAGCACATTTCCTTGCAGAGCTTGCACCACATCTGACCGAGACCCTTGACACCCATTCAAAGACATGAAGCTATCAGGTTCTTGCTATACTACATTCGATTGGGGCAATTTGGCCTATCGGCATGCCAGCTTGCATGATATTTGGTAGGCCTGACGTAGTAGCTTGGGAAGTGTCAACGAATCAGCTAGACGCCTCAGAAGAAAATCATATTGCTTACGAGGCGTTGGGTTACTTCAGGCTTGCTTTGCGATATTAATATTGTGTAACAACAAATTCTGTCATGCATGTTGAACTTAATTGAGTAAAGCCGGATAGTACCCGCCCGACGGGTATGCGAACCAACCGAAAGGGCGGCCAATCGGCACGATCAGACCCGGAGACTTTGTTTTTTTTGGCTTTCGTACATACCCGAGGAAGGGTCACTAACGCTCTCGATACGTCAACCAGTGATCCTCTAAACACTGGACCATATCTCCACTATGAGAATATCATGTGGTAAAACAAGATCCGCCTGATCTTCAATCCAGAAAGAAGTTCTGGACACGCATTTACGTGGCAAATACTGTCACTACTGGTTTTGTAAGGATATACAACTCAGTAGATCAATCTCTCTACATGATAGTCCATCTTACAGAACCTCTACTTTGTCAGATGGAGTAACTACGGGTGTCTATATTTGTAGACGCTGCTCCGTGACTTTACTCTCCCGGGTTTCATAGTCCTCATAACATATGAGCATTCTGAGCATACAAACATACAACCTTGGAAATCATCTCCTTGTATGCATGAGAAGTAACACTGCTAGTGAAAAATCCCTCATTGAATATATTATCTCTAGCGTTAACCCCCAAGACGGGAAGGTGCTTTCCTACACTGGAATAGTGCATAATCTTATGCTGAGTGGAGGATATTAGTTGTCACCACTGGTGCCACTTATACCTTCACTTGGTATCACGACATGGATGATTTGAAATCAATGAATTAAAGCAGGTAACAGGAAGATTGGCGCAGAATCTAGTAATGGTCAGATTAGCTGACGCTGAATCCCCCAGGAGGCGATAAATAGCGGGAGCATGCCAACAAACAATAGACTTAGTTTCTCATCAGGGGTTTCAACAAAGTTTCTCAAAACATCTCTGAAGATTCGTTCTTCTTGACCTACTCATAAGCTTTCCAGAGAGCCATTGTTTGGCTTTAGATACCGTTCATATCCTCCCGCTGGGGTTTTACGGCTTTCAAAGTGCAAGATGACAGCAGTCAAGTCTAAGAAAATGAACGGGACTCATAGGGTACAAGAAATTCCGACGACACAGTGGGCACAGGTATTTGAGAAGAAAGCCTCAGGTAAAGACCCGCGATGTACCCTCAATCTTATCTTGGTGCTAGAATTGTGCTGATCATTACAAGCTTTGATGTACACTCAAATTCCAGTGCCATCAATCTCCCCTGACGATATATTGGTCCAAATTCACTATTCAGGAGTGTGTCATACCGATTTGCACGCATGGAAAGGTTTGACTCTAGAAAATGCGTGGAAGATATTCCTGGCTAACTTGGAACAGGCGATTGGCCTATTGAGACCAAGAAAAATTTGGTTGGTAAGTTGGCCATTCTAGACGTGAATTAATTGATACAGTCTCTCACTACGAGCAGGTGGCCATGAGGGAGCAGGAGTGGTAGTTGCGCGAGGGGATAACGTCAGTCGAGTATCGGTGGGGGATCGAGTTGGTGTGCAGGTAATCCTCTTTTCTGAAGTTTTCAATCACGAGATTTTGTCGATACTAACAAAAATCATTAATAAACAGTGGATTAATGACACCTGTGGAAGCTGCGAGTTTTGCACCCATGGTGATCAGCAACTCTGTCCCGGAACCAAAAATTCTGGGTACACTGTTAATGGCACATTTCAGCAGTATTGTGTTTGTAAAGCAATGAATGCTGTTCGTATACCAGACGATATTTCTTTGGACGAAGCCGCCCCTGTCAGTCAGAATATACTCTATATGACCGGATTAATCCCTGTGTTGCTAACATCTATGACAAATAGATTCTTTGTGCTGGAGTGACTGTATACAAGGCACTTAAAGAAAGTCACCTCAAGCCAGGACAGATTGTTGGTAATGCTGCCAGTCTCATAAAATATTGATGTCTGTGTCTAATCCAGAATCGCAGCTGTTGTCGGAGCCGGCGGAGGCCTCGGTACACTCGCGTGTCAGTATGCCAAAGCACTTGGATATCGTGTGCTCGCCCTTTCGACAGGGTCCAACAAGAAAGCTATGCTGGTGAAAGAGATTGGAGTTGACTACTTTGTGGACTACGTCGCCTCTGAAGATAGTCTTATTCCTGAAATCCAGGAGCTTACTGGGGGTGGACCTCATGCTGCCATTGTGGTTTCATCAGTAGAGAAGCCAATTAATCAAGCGATTCAGGTAAGCTTCATGATATGAATATGCTGTCTTGCCCATAATTCATAGCGCATCTAGTACATCCGGCCGAAAGGAACCGTTATCGTTGTTGGTCTGCCTAAGGGTGCTGTCATCAAGGCCGACTTGTTTTCTACGGTCTTAAAGGAAAAAACAGTGAAGGGTTCCTATGTTGGCAGCCATATTGAGACTGAGGAAGCACTGGCAATCTATGCCAAGAATCGATTTCTCATTCAGTATCAAAAACTCTCCCTTGAAGAACTCCCCACGGTCTTTGAGAAAATGGAGCAGGGCAAGATGCAGGGACGAACTGTACTGAAAATTCCTTGTCCTAAGACCATAGCGAATGGTTCAATATGGAAAAGCCCAAAATTTATTCCCAACGAATATAACATTGGAACATTTTTGGCATCACGGTTGGAAGAGATTGGGATTCGGGATTATTTCGTCGTTCCTGGTAAGATTCGGCAGAGACTCTGACTACGAGAATAATGCTGACTGGGTTTCTAAGGGGACTTTAACCTGACTCTCATCGACCAGATTTTGAAAAACCCTAACCTGCGGATGGTGGGCTGCTGCAACGAATTGAACGCTGGCTATGCTGCCGATGGGTACGCGCGATCATCTCCAGCTCGGACTGCAGTTGTATTTGTCACCTTTATGGTAGGAGGGCTGTCGCTGCTCAACGCAATTGCTGGCGCATATTCTGAACGACTTCGGGTCATCGTTGTCTCTGGGGCTCCTCCATCCGACACGTTTGGACAAGACTGTTTGATTCATCATACAACCGGGCTGAAAGAACGAGACCAGGCAATCAGGATGTTTGAGACTGTGACTACGGCCTCCGTACGTCTGGATCTCAAAGGAGATCCAACATTTGTCCTGGATCAGGCACTTCTTCGTTGTCTTGAAGACTCGCTTCCGATTTATATCGAGCTCCCAGTCAATCTTGCCGAATACTCGTGTGACGTCCCCAGGCCGCTCATCCTCCGGCAACCACAAGTCACTCCACCTAATGTTCTTCAAGACGCATTGGATATCTTCACCAGCTACTGGCAGGAAGCACAGAGCCCGATGATATTTGTTGGTCCATTTGCACGACACGGCCTAACCCGGGATGCTCTGCTTTCTTTCATCGAGAAGTTGGGATGCCCTGTGTTCTGTCAACCTGACGCCAAATCCCTAGTCCCTGAAGAACATCCCCAATTTCAAGGTACTTTCTGGGGGTCAATTTCAGACCCAGCATGCCTGGATATAATGATGGATGCTGACTTGTGGGTGGGAATTGGGACGCGTTTGTCCGATTATAATCTGGTAAAAGAGCCCACGCCCTCGATGTTAGATATAGGCCTACATCATCTTCGTTCACCGACTGGTACTTTGATCGGTCCCGCCACAATGGCTGATATATCTGAGCATATTGTCTTTTCCAGTCTTACCGGCTACTGCATGGTGACCCACTGTTCCGCCACCCATGTGGAAAAACCGCTGAACGAGATAAACATGCAAAGTTCTGTCAGTCAGCCCCTGACGAGGGCAGGAATCTTGAAGGCAATCCAGTTCCTGCTACAACCTAATGACACCCTGATAGCGGAGACTGGTGACAGCTGGTTCAATGCGCAGATGATTAAACTCCCACCTGGGGTAGATTATCAAATGCAGATGTTGTATGGTTCTATCGGATGGAGTTTACCAGCAACACTGGGTTCGCAGCTTGCTCGGCCAGGAGGGCGCTCAGTCTTAATGATTGGGGACGGAAGCTTCCAAATGACGGCTCAGGAATTGAGCACGATGATTCGATTGAAGACAAACTCCGTGATTTTTATCTTTAATAACATGGGATACAAAATCGAGGTAAGACTCTCAAGGCCAACTTTGGATCAAGAACTAATTTTCCGTAACTATCAGAGTGTAATCCACGAAGGTCCCTATAACTACATCAGCAATTGGAATTATGCCCTGTTTGCAGAGACATTGTGCAATATATCCCACAGCCCTGGAAGTGGGAACAGCTATCTAACGGAGGCGGAAAGAATAGATCAAGCCAATCCGGCTCTATTTGCCATGCGTATCAAGACTCATGACGATTTAATGTTGGCAGTTGATCGTGTCGTGAGAGAACCAAATAAGCTGGCACTTCTAGAGTGCTGCATCCATCCTTGGGATATTAGCGAAACCTTAACTCGATTTGGTCAAGCTGTCAGTCTCAAGTAATGAGCGATTTTTACCATAATTCAGTGGCATGACATCTGTCAAACCCCCGGCTATGGTACTTGAATTTAAGCGACGCTTACGTACATACTTTACTTCATTTTGATTTTTCTTTCCAGAATGATCACAGAAAATGCAACCTATCAGGCTTTCATATAGATCACTCGTGGTTGACTTACTTGTAATGATTATATTACACTTAGTCGAAGCTCCAGATCCTCTTTTCACAGATAGTGAGGGGAGATTCATAAATTGACCAAGACGAGGAAGAATCACTCGAGAAATGGACATTGGATATAGACGCCTGTTAACAAAGACGTTTAGCTTATGCTTCTCTCTGAAAAGGCATCAATTTTTGTCAGAACCAAATTCATTGAGGACAAGCTTTTCTTTTGTTTTTGTTTCATGTGGTGTGGGGGGACAACCCACTGAGCGCATTTGCGGTCAAAAAGCACCTGTTGCGGTAAGGAGGACACAGCCTGAGCGATTGTTCTATCAAAGGCATGCGGTGAAGAAGCACCTGCCATCTTTTGTCATTCTCTTTCGAGGGAATGTTGTCTGCCTGGCTGTTCATGATGATGTGTATCTGGTGACATTACATTCTCGTGTTGATACATACTGCCGGATCCAATGCTGTTTTCCAAAAACAGTCCGTGTGTAAGTCTACAGAAACAAGATTTTTGTCTATCTTCCTCATCTTTCGGTTCATTATAAAATTGTAACATGAACATTGTAGTAAATAAAGTGATACCCGGAGATCCACGTCATGATCAAACGAAGCAAACACAATCCTGTAGCTCTCATTGGCTAGAAGAACGTGTTTGTTCTAACTGCAAACCCCTCAAACTCTAGGTTGGCCAATCACACATGCAGGGACGGAATTAATGGCTCTATAGTTTATGGCTTATACAGATCGAGTCCCCATAAAACTATTTTGCACATTCTCCGACCAATTTTTCAAGTTCACCATGGAAAATAAATTCTTCACATCCTCAAGACTTGAAAAAGTACTCCGTTACCTTCTAAAATCACAGCCCTCAGAACAATCCTCGTGTGAATGCGGCGCACATCACAAAGGACCAGAGTGGATCTTCGAAACAGACACATGGTCGCAGTTACAAGCTCTTCGAAGAATACTCTGCCAACGACCTGCAATTCCCAAGATCCCAACAGACACACTCGCAGACATTGAAGCAGTAGTCAATTACTACAATCAGCACAAGTTACTCACCTCCACAACCTCTATTCACCCGGACGTGACCATCCCATCCCAAAGAAACCACAAACCTCTTCGCATCTCATGCTGGAAAGGTGATATCACAACCCTGTCAGATATTACAGCAATTGTCAACGCCGCCAATTCCCAGCTTGAAGGCTGCTTCCGACCTGATCACCGATGCATCGATAATGTCATTCATTCGGCTGCCGGTCCACGTCTCCGAGATGCGTGCCATACTCTCATCGAGGCACAAGGATATCCAGAACCAGCCGGCTCTGCAAAAATCACACCGGGATTTCTCCTCCCTGCCGAGTGGGTGTTGCATACCGTCGGTCCACAATTGAATCCAAGAGAGACCCCACAGCCACATCACAAAGCGCAACTTGCATCGTGCTATCGAGCCTGTTTAGACATAGTCGACTCCCTACCTCCTCTCAAAGATGGCCGGAAAGTTGTCGCATTCTGCTGTATTTCCACCGGTCTGTTTGCGTTCCCCTCTGCCCTCGCTGCGACTATTGCAGTTGAGACTGTCATGTCCTGGTATCAGGAACACAGTTCTAAATCCACCATCACGGACATTGTTTTCGATACATTCCTCGAAGCCGACTTCCTTCTCTACCGCGATTTACTTTCCAGTTTGAAGAATCAGAACTGTTCCGATATCATCTTCTCGCCCTCCATTTTGCCTTCTCCACCTTACACTCCTATTCCGAACCCATCCATCCTGAAAGCCCGTGCCTGGCTCGAAGATGCATCGACACTTATCATTACCGCCGGCGCGGGCCTCTCTGCCGCAGCGGGTCTCGACTATGCCTCGACCACGCTTTTCGAATCCCATTTCCCTGCCTTCAAAGCAAAGGGTCTGAACAGGTTATACGATTCAATCGGGTACAGTGACTGGGACAGCTCAGCACAGAAATGGGGGTACTATTTTCTGCATCTGGACCTGGTGCGCAAGTGGCCCGTTTCTCCTGTCTATGGACTTCTGCGTGGGTTAGCAAACCGGTTCGATGAAGGGAGGTATCATATTCGGACGACGAATGTTGATGGGTTCTTTGCTAAGAATGGGTTTCCGGATGAGAGGATCTCGACGCCGCAGGGTCAATATAAGTATTTGCAGTGCTATATGAAGTGCAGGGCCGATGCGGTTTTTCTTTCGGGGCCTTTTATTGATGCTGCATTACCGTTAATTGATCCTGTTTCTCAGATTCTGACTGAAGAGGCGTTGATTCCAAAGTGTAGGTTTTGTGGTGGGGAGGTTATTTATTGTGTGCGGGGTGGGAATTACTTCAATCAGAGGCCTTTTGGAGGACAGGAGAGGGTTTGGAAGGGGTTCTTGGAGAGGTTAGATCATGAAAAACAGTCGGGAGGAACTGTGATTTTGGAGTTGGGAGTTGGTTTGAATACTCCTGGTGTACTGCGGTGGCCGAATGAGGATTTGGTATCTGAATCGTCAAGTGGACAGTTCCGGTTGATTCGGGTTGGGATTGAAGCTTCGGGGTGTGTGCCTTGGGAACTGGAAGAAGAAGATCTGGCGGTTGGAATCACAGGAGATATCGGAGTGGCCATGCAGTTGCTGTCATAGATATATCTTACTACTGAAGATGAACAAGAGATATCATGGATAACATTGATCTAAAGTAAACCCCCGAGAAAGAAAGGTGTAGAATCATGCGTAAATCATTGAATTTATCTTGACCCCCCGAAACCGCTGGAATTACAAAATCTTCATGACATGCTCTACTTCTTCTCCATGCGGAGATACTTTTCTTCCGCTCCACGGATACACGCGATGTTCGCACCAAGCTTGTTAATCGTCTCGATGTACTCGTCGTACGGGTCGGAATCAAAGACGATACCACCACCAGCCTGCAGGTACGCAACACCATCCTTGACCATCATGGTACGAAGCGCAATGCAAGTATCCATGGCACCAGGCTCCTCTTTCGAGCCGTCGTTGTTGGCGATGTTGTAGCCAAAGTAACCAACGGCACCGGCGTAGACGCCGCGCTTCTCGCCTTCGAGCTCGGCGATCAGCTGCATAGCACGAATCTTGGGAGCACCGGAGACGGTTCCAGCGGGGAAGATGGATCGGAAAGCATCGAAGCGGGTCTTTCCGGGACGTAGGACACCGGAGACCTGTGAGACGAGGTGCTGAACGTGCGAGAACTTCTCGACGACCATCATGCGGTCTACTTGGGTGGTCATCGGATCGCACACGCGGTTCACGTCGTTGCGCGCCAAATCCACCAGCATGACGTGCTCAGCTCGGTCTTTCAAACTACTGCGCAGCTCGTCCGCAAGCGCAGTGTCCTCCTCTACAGTCTTACCGCGTTTCACGGTGCCCGCAATCGGGTGAGTGATGATTCGGCCACGCTCTTCCTTCACGAGAAGCTCGGGGCTCGCTCCCACGAGCTGGAAGTCTTGGCAATCGATATAGAACAAGTAAGGAGAGGGGTTGACTGTGCGGAGGTGGCGAAATAGGTTGTAAGGGTGGAGAGATGTCGGCCGCGACAGCCGTTGTGAGGGCACGGTCTGGAAGATATCTCCCTTGCCAATGTGCTCCTTCAGGGTCTTGACGTGGTTCTCGTATCCCTCCTGACCGATGTTGGAGGTGTACTCCTGATTCTGGATGATAGGGCCCTGCGGAGGCAATGGTGTGCGTTCTTGCAGCAAAGTCTCAATGGTTTTCTGGATGATCTCCTCACCCTTTCGGTATTCGGCCTCGATATCGGCATCCGATTCGGGGATCGGGACGTAGGTGATGACCTTGACGACCTGGAAGAAATGATCGAAAGCCACAATAGTGTCATACAGCATGAAGAATGATTCCGGCACACCCAGCACATCCTTCATGGGCCGAGCAGTCTTTGGCTCGAAGTATCGAACACAGTCGTAGCCTACATATCCGATGGCTCCGGCGGTCAGAGGAGGGAGGACTAAGCCTGGCACAGTGGCAACGCGGAACTGGGACAGCTCCTCCTCCAGGTATGGGAGAGGATCGGCCTCGGGGCCATGGCCTGGACCGGTCTTGATAACCTTTCTTGGGTCTACGGATATTGAGTCAGGAAAATGTAAACGTGGACTTTCGTCAACACATCACCCACCTGCGCCGACAAAACTGTATCTTCCAATCGTCTCCGTAGTCGCCGCACTCTCATATAAAAATGACAACCGAGAGCTATAGACGCAAAGTTAGCCTGGCTGGCCTAAACTTCCCCGCCCCTCGGGGCACGGCCGTCGCATAGCAAGGTTGGCACTTACTTCTCTGCAATCTTGAGGTATGCCAATGTAGGGGTCAAGAGATCCGCAGAGATTGTGGCAGTCACCGGCAGCAAGTTCGGGGCGAATTTGGAATTTCTCGACTGAGAGATCACCTCGCGCGCTGTCTCAAGCGACGGGACTAGGGTAGTCTGAGTCATCGTATACATTGTTAGCAGTCTGTCACTGACCAGGATGTCATTTCAAAAGTCGCACGAAGATGCAGCACATACCGAGGATGCCATTGTCTGTTGAAAATGCTGTTCAATTGCTGGACAAAGGCCGGACTCCCGATGACACAGAGAGATTTGGCGGTGGGAAAATGAGTCGATGTGGGGCTTTTGGTTCGGGGGTCTTCATGGAAACATGGAAGCCACAATCCATTCATTCACTATATTCTGCGCAATGCAGGTCGTAACTCAAAGTTTTCCTTGTCATTAATCGAACAAAAAAAATTATAACATCTCATACGCCCCAGCTCCATCACCTTCACAGTCCTGTGCATCATTCTCTAAAAAAGTTTGAGCGTGGGGTTGATTATCGGTTATCGATAAGCGACGGGATTTCGATGTGATGGCGCTGAAAGCTGCAGATCCCCAGCCACATAACATTCAACTGGTGGAATTGACCATGATATCTTTCATCCACCATGAACCATTCAAATTCAGACGCTCACATGGAATTATCGGAACATAATGGTTTCAAGGATACAAAAGCTGTGATAGAACAGATTAAAGCGATTGAATCTCCAATCAATCAAACGACAATATCAGAGGCCAGTTCAGCCACACGAACTCCATGGCAAGACCGCCTTGCAGAGCTGGCTCATCTCGCGTCTGCATTCCTCAGTCCAGATAACAGGGACATCAACGCAGATCTTCTGATTCATGAGCACCTCGATGCCATTGAAGCTATCCTTCGTGGTCCGCAAGCGGAGCTGTCGCAGGAGGTCGCGTGTGAAGGTCGGCGGAGAAGCTTTCGCACACGGTCTTTGCTAGGAGATCGTGATGCCTCGGAGTTGAAGGAGCCGGATTGGCTAGCGAAGAGCCGATTTGACGAACAGAAGCGAAAGGAAACATCGGCTCAGCTTACGACGCTTTTGGAAGAGATCACTGCCTTGAATCAGGAACTGCATCAGCGACATGCGGAGTCTGTTGAGATCCGGGAGGTGTATGAGGACCGGTGTCGTGGATTGGCAAGGACGGTGGCTGAATTGGAGGATGAAGTATCGGAGCTGTAAGTGCACGTTTCGTTGTATAGTGTGAGCGTTCACTAATTATGGTTTGAATTTAGCCGCTCGGATCTGGTGGAAGACGCAGTTGAACTGGAAGGAATTCAGGGAACAGTTCGTGGCCTGCAAAATTGGATTCAAGGGATGCAAGAAGAACAAAACAAGATACGGGCCATAAGAGATCTTCGCCGAAAAGCCAAGCGAGGATGGGGTCGTAAACGCAATGATGAAGGTGAAGCAGAAGGAGAGATTGTACTGGATGGCCTGAACGCGTGGATGCGTGGATGGAAAGATGTTGAAGATGGATTTCAGGTCCGAGCGCGAGGGCGGAGAGCAAGGAGAGAAGAGAGACAGCGCCAGCTGTTAAGACTCGATAATGTTCAGTATAAATCTGTATAGATAGTTTCACGATTACGATGACTATGAAGATAACGACAACGATTCCCACTGAGCATGGGTTATAGGACAATTGCAAGGTCAATGCATTTTTGCTTCGAAATACAAATCAGCGAGATTCAAACCACCAACCTCCCAATAAGAACAGAAAAATCAAACCCAACTCTCGCCATCCGTTCGTTCGCCGTGTCCAATTCCTATCCCAAGCAATGCATGCCGTAATGCATCTTCTAAATCAATGTATGTCCGGAAAAAAAAGTAATATGTGTAACAAAGTGGGTGACGACTCGAAGACTTGCGCCATTATGCCGCGGCGTGGAGGGTTGGTCAACTGAATTGACATCGGATTTTGCTTGAAGGGAGGTGTTGGAAGATAGTCTTCATAGGTCGAGCACCCTTTCGGCCATGGGCCTAAGGGAAACGGGAGAGACAGAGGTCAGGGTGCCAGAATCTGCCCCTAAAACAGTTTCGTGGTCCCGTACCCCAATATAAGAAGCGATGCAAGGCCGCCCCGTAAACCATGAGGAGAAGAAACAAGGATGTGCTATTTCAACAAATCACGCTTATTGCCTCGTCACTTGTCTCTTGTGAAACATGAATCAAGCGGTCACCGCTGGAGATTAACTATAGCCATCTGAGAGGATTCGTTAGTCAACCATCTTGGGCGTGGCAGAGGTGAAAAAAGACTAACCTTATTTCCAAACCCATACGCAAGCTTTTTCCCATCAGCATCCCATGAGAGAGCACATTCAGTGGGTGTAAGATGACCATTCTGTCCGTTTGTAGTATCGGTTTCCTCCTTCACTTCCTTTGAGCCTGGAGCAGTCCAAACAGCTATGGGGTCCCCGTCACGCTCGGCATTCCAGATGAAAAGTTGATCTTTACCAACAGCCGCAAGGGCGTATCCATCAGGTGAGAAGCCACCAGCGAGAACGGGTATTTCAGACCCCAGGCGGAATTGGTGAATTCGTTGAAACTCCTTCTGCTCCAAATCTATGTTCCACACACTGATGGTGCCGTCTAGTGAATGTGAAGCCACAGTGATGGGGAATTTTCCGGTGATCGAAGAGGTTCGTCGCTGTGCGGGTGACTGAGGTCGAATGTCAATAGCCGTGATCGCATCAGTATGTGCATTTTCGATGACAATATCGTGGGTTGGAATCCAGATCGTGGCAATTTCGGAGTCAATACTTTCGGGGTCGGTCGTCCTTTCAGAACCTGCCACAACTACAACGGGGCCATGGCTAGTTTCGGTAGAATGAATTAGGCTCCAGGCAGTCTCTCTGTCGAACTTATACTCCTTGTTTAGGTGAATGTTCTGGTCCACACTACATTGATAGACCGTTCCTTCACCACAAGCAAAGATTTCGTCCCGGCCCGCCCAAGTGAGGTCATAAATTTGATTTTTGATGACCATGGTTTGGTACTGATCGGGTCGTTGGCTGCCGTCCCAAAGCGCCAGTTCACAGTCTTTTTCATTAGATGCAACAATCACCAATTGGGGGCTATGTTCTGCCCAGTGCAAGCCATTGATCATGCGAGGGAGATCCGGGAGCATATCTACCACGTTGCCCTCGGCATTATACATGGTGATCGCACCCTTCATGTCCCGAACCGAGGCCACAGCCAACTTGGCTCCGATGCCATCCCAGGCGACAGCGGACACATATGACTCGCTGGACCTGAGGTCAACAAACTTTTTTTGAACTGGAGGGGATGACGAGGAAAATTTCCACAGGGAGCAAAACGACTCTCCTTTGGCCACGAGCATTGTTGGATCTCCTGGTCGCCAAAAGGCACCAATCACGTGATCTTCAAGATCTAAGCAGGCGGTGTCAGGCGACAAATCGGCGGCCTTGGCGGGGGGAATGATCTGGACGCCAATGCTGTCGCCCGTGCTGAGTGTGGGTTCCTGAGGCACCTCATCGGGCCCCATGCTCACATCCCCGTCCCCATCCACTGGATCCGGGACAGGCGAGCCTGACTTGCTTTCGGTCTCGGCATCCACCTCCATCGAGTCTCCATTGGTTTCCTTTCGTTTTCCGGGAGCCTCCGGTGGATGGCCATTAATTACGCGATCGCGCGTGGGTTCTGGCGCGGGGTGGTCTGTGCCAGACTTATCCCGGCTTTTTAAAGCGGACACCTCAAAGGGCTCCGGGCCGAAAAAAAAGTCCGTAGGTTTTAATGTGATGCGATTTCCTTCCTGTAGATGGCGGTTAGAATACTCATAAGCCAGTATCATTGGGGGCGCAGTGCCCAAGATGTTGCGCCTACCTTGTCAATGGATGACTCCAATTCATGATATTGCAGGCCTTTTTGGACCAACGATACCAGCGCGTGAGTCTGAATGTGGCGCGCAAATGGTAGATTCTGTGGTTCCGGGTACCACGCACGCTGTAGTGATACAGCAGCTTCGCCATGGCCTGTAGCACGAGGTTAGGATTTTCCAGCCGCTAGAGAGGGTTGGCGCATGGGTCTTGTAATGATTGAGGTGACATCAAATAAGTGAAGCAAACAGTCGCATACGAACCTGACTCCTGAAGGTACCTGTAGAAATCATGTTAGTGTCTGCAGATGCAAACAGATCGCGGGGGAGGGGGTCATCATACCTCCATATTAGGTAGTTGACGTGATGCGATGTAAGATCAGGTTGTTCCATGATTACATGTGCGACCACCTAGGGGCGGAACATGCCAGATGGGGGAGGGGATGACGCTTCCGCAAGAGAAGTCGGGAAAATCAAAAGTGGAGGTTTCTCGAGGTGAATCCCGAAAAAGCCGGAAAGAAGTGAAAAAAGGGGCGATCTGGAATCAATCAAGAGTGGTTGTCGTATATGGCTGAAAATGGGAAAAGGTTGTGATGGGTCAAGGGTTTTTGGATTTGATGCGGAGTTGAAGGTTGGGAAGGGAAAAGAGAGTTTGGGGGGAAGGAAGAAAGGTGTGGAAAGGGAGAAGACAGAGCCGCGGGAAGACCCAGACCAGTGGTGGACCAAAGAAAAGCTTTCTAGCGGTACATAAGGTTAGACCAGTGAAAGGGAGAGGAAAAGAGGAACAATGGAATGAAGATTGGAGACATTCAAAGTGACGGTTGGAGCTTAAGCGCACTAGCCACTGGGGAGTGGGTGCTCCAATCTTGAATGTAATAGCCAATCCTGTGTGGCGTTGGCGTTCCTCCACTCCTGTTCTCGTGCGACTCGCTTACTAGGGACTTTCTCCACTACCCTATATTTTTTGTATGGGATGTTCTAATATATTGGAGAGAAATTGACTAAGGATTATAATTGTCATTTCTCCTGCATTTTGTCCGGATCTCACAGGATTATTTGTTATTCTTTTAGCGTGCAACAGCTGCAACCACCCGAACCCGGCAACACTGCAGGGCGGCAAAAGGTGGATCGTAGCGTGGATCCAGATCCCATGTACCTTACCTGTGCTCAGATATCAGATGTGCTGGGATCCTCGGTATGACTATATATAGCTCATTTTATAATGATTGATTACCTTTTCAAATCAATGGAATATTATTCTTATGAGCAAACATTAAAATCTTTAGATACATGTATCTAGGGATAGAAATTATGTGGTTGGACATGCTTCTTACTAACATTGCACATTCTGACACCGATCAGTGATCCACCTACTCGATATGTACCTATAGAAGGAATATGCATATCATTCTGTTCCACGCAGATAATAAAGGATCATAATCACTTGTCCATAACTTGAGCATATGTCTATGTGAGCCTGATATATCATGCTAGAAACTCAAGTCAATATAGGAATAATATTCAAATAGATATAGCACCTTGGAATTGACCTCTGAACACTGTACCACTGTACCAGGCCAACTGGGACATCTAGTAATTAAATATCTACAGGTATATACTAATAGGGGGATTTAACCATTTTTAAGCTTCTATTTTAATTTCATGTAACTCACATAAGAGCATCAATACTTCAAAGTTCATTTTTGACGCGATTGACTGCATAATATAACCTTGAAATGGGTACTTTATGCTTAAGGGCTAACACAAGGAATGCCAATATCATTCAAAAAGCACTAGCTTTGGAAAACTCAGGCCTATAACGTTTTAAAACTTGACATTTTCATGTATAATGTGACAGCACTATTTTTCCGCTGTTCGGACTAGTGGGCCCGCGCAAGTCAACTTCCGCTGATGTGTGGCTTCCTCCGTCTACAAACTTCGGGTTCAGCTCAACAACACGCCTGCGGTCTCGCACGCTGCGAGAGCCTTCCCTGCTAAAAATGCCACTCCGAGTCAACATTCCTCCTGCTACTCGCTTCTTCCTTGTCAGCCTCCTCGCCCTTTCCTTACTCTACAACATTGCCAGATGGCGTGAACTGGACTACACCGCGGGCGGCGTCCAAACCACCCCGATCATTCCCTACCTGACTCTCGTTCCTTCTCGTTTCTTCTTCTACCCATGGACACTCGTCACGGCCACCTTGGTCGAGCAGAACATCTTTACCGTGCTCCTTAACGCTGCCACCATCTTCTATGGGGGGAAGTACCTCGAGCGCGCGTGGGGGTCCCGAGAGTTCAGCAAGTTCATTGTGGCCGCCACAGTGATTCCGAATATCGCGATCATTCCAATCTACCTCGTTTGGGGTATACTACCGGGACAAAACAACCGAGGGTGCGTCTTTCCCTCTTTGATTCATGTTTTCATCTGATCTGACCTTTCCAATGCATAGCCTTACCCAGATCTGTGGTGGCGTCTCCATCCAGGCCTCCTTCCTCGTCGCTTTCAAACAACTAGTCCCTGAACATACCGTTGCGATTTTCAAAGGCCTAGTCAAAATGCGTGTCAAGCATTTCCCTGCTCTGTTCTTACTACTCAACACCCTCAGTGGCATTCTGATCGGAACGGACACGGCTGCCATCTTGGCGTGGCTTGGCCTCCTGACGAGCTGGACATACCTCAGATTTTATAAGCAGCAGCCCGATCTGACTGGAACATCAACCAGCGGTCTGGGTATCAAGGGTGATGCTAGTGAGACCTTTGCCTTTGCTTGCCTATTCCCCGATGTGATGCAGCCCCCAATCGCCTTTGTCGCGGACCAGATATATGCATTACTGGTCACAGTCCATGTCTTGAAACCGTTCTCGGAGGATGATATTGCCTCTGGTAACCAGCAAGTGCTGGCCAGAGGGGAGGCGGGCTTACCAACTCTCCTCAACAGCCAACGTGGAGGAGGGTCTAGGGGTAAGCGCGAGGAGGCGGAGCGCCGCCGTGCTTTGGCACTCAAGGCGCTAGATCAACGACTACAGAATGCTTCTGCGGGTCGCGTACACGCCGGTCCGTCGTCACTAGAACGAAGCACAGGTGCGACATCGCCAGCCGCCTCCACTCGGCAGGCCATGCTCGGGGGAACCACCTACAATCCGGATAATGCATAAAGCTGGGGACAGGAGTTTGTGGATATTTCAGATTTCTTTGGTTGACTGTTTAGACATCTACCATTCAAGGCAGGAGACTTGGCTTTTGCCGAGTATTATACCTGTGACTGTCACGCCTCTATCTTCCTTCTCACGATGTACATTGCTCTTTCATACCTTGGATTGGTTATTGGCCTTTGATTGGCTTCATTTCTCCGATGTGTGACATGTTGGGCTTTTCTCTTTCTATTCTTTGCTTCCTCGTGTTCATGACTAGGCCAGCGTGTATTGTTTACTTTGAGTTATAAACCTCTATACCGCTCGCAAGTGACTAGAACTTGCAATCAAAATTCGAAACGATTCAATGCACCTTTCTGATGCTTTGGAATAAATGTTCTTCAAAAATACATAGTTATATAAGGGGATAGACGAACAGAAAGATGCTATGCTACAAGTGGTTTTCCCTTCACAACCTTCCAAGAGAGAGAAGAGAGCCCAGACGGAATCAGAAATCAAACAGGGATATGTTACGTCTGCTTCAGCTTCTCAACCTCACCTCTCGCCTCAGCAAGCATACGCTCCTGGTCCTTCTTGGCCTGTCGCATCGCCTGAATACGTTTCCGATCCCCAACAGCCTTCTCAGTAATAGCCGCCAACCTCTTCGCCTCAGCCACATCCGCCTCAGAAGCAGGAACATCCTCCGCTCCCGTCGAAGCCTGTACCCGAGTCCAAATCTCCTTCGGGTCCAGGTTCTTCAAATCCACAACAATAGACTTCTCGCCCGCCTCCGGCTTCGGCGCGTGCTTATCAGTAATCTGCTTGCCCGCAATTCCAGTCGCGGTGCTGCTCAATCGCTCGTTGAAGTAAATTGTCAATGCAGCCGGTCCTTCTTGCTCGTCGGTTTGTTGGACAGTCATTGGAACGCCCGGGTTGTGGTACTTCAGCCGCGGAAGACATTGGCGCCAGAAGAGTCGCGCGCCATGGTGACCGCCGTAGATCTTACGGGCGTATGTGAGGTGGAGGCGGGTGACCGCTGGGAATTCTTTTGTGGCGTTTGCTAGGCTGGGGAAGAGGGCAGCGCCGGTGCCGACTCGAACCTCGAGCATCTGTGGAGCAGTGTGGTTAGCATTGTTGTTGGTGCTGTGTATGAAATAGCTCTGTCCAGGTGTGCTCGGGGGCATTTTCAGGATTCGAGTCTTATGGGGTATCGAGGGTTGAGGTTGGAGGCATGGGGAATGATTCGGAGACGTAGGGGTATCATACTCTCTGTGCGAAGAAAGTAATTAGATTAGCCAATCTCCTTTTCAAATTGGGAAAGTCTTGAGCTCCAGGATGACTTACTGTCTTCAGCTTCCGCATCCGCTTGAGGAAGTTAACCATGATGGCAGATTGAGCCGCGCAGCGGCTGGTTTTGATGTGATGGAGGTGTTTCTGAAATAAACTTGGGATACGTAATAGACCAATTGGCGAAAAACCTGCTCAGTGGCCTCACAGAAGGTTCAGGGCGTGTTGTCGTAGATCCGGGGAATTTTGCGGAAACTGTTGCGCTTCAAAAGTTGCTCCGACATGAATGTCACGTGATTTATATTTACCATGATACGCAGCCTGCTTGTATTGCTTATTTGGGATTGACTCATGCGCTTAAATAAATATGCGATCATAATTGACACCAAACCAGACTTCTTATCTAGTTCCTGTGACTCATAACTTCATATATGAGCATTGGTTTCTGTTCCTAATAGCATGCAACGGCTTTCGCTGTAAATTACAACAATACTGTACGCAGATAAAGGCACTGATACGGCCGTATTACCAAACTGAGTCACCCACTCATTATCGATTATCGATTATCGATTTTATATTCCCCCCCGCGATCTTCATTCTCTGCCCCTCGGAGTGTCTTGAACAGGACAATATCCTGCTGAGAGAAACCATGGCACCCCCCGCCGTCTCCGCCGAGCTCGACCCGAGCAATGGCTCTAAAAATACCCTTAAGCTTGAAAATGTTCACTTTCCCCTCCCCCTCTATGGACTGCGATATTTTTTTTGGCCAGTACTGATTGAACCCGCACCAGACCGAGAAGCGTGACACCCTGATCGCAATTGAGAAGAAATACCAAGCACAATGGAAGGAGAACAAGGTTTTCGAGGTCGATGCCCCATCCTTCGAGGAGATCCCCGAGGGCTCCATGACCGGCGACCAGATGCGTGAGAAATACCCCAAGTTCTTCGGTACCATGGCCTACCCTTACATGAACGGTACCCTGCACGCCGGTCACAGTTTCACTGCCTCCAAGGTCGAGTTCATGGCTGGTTTCGCCCGCATGGAGGGCAAGCGTGCTCTTTTCCCGCTTGGTTTCCACTGCACTGGTATGCCTATCAAGGCCTGCGCCGATAAGCTTCGCGATGAGGTGAAGATGTTCGGCCAAAATTTCGAAGGCTACCAGGAGGATGAGGAAGCTTCTGCCCCTGCTGCTCCCACCCAGGAGTCAAAGCCTGAGGTGAAGGAGCAGGCCGAGAAGTTCTCTGGAAAGAAGAGCAAGGCTGCGGCCAAGACCGTGAAGATGAAGTACCAGTTCCAGATCATGCTCGCCATTGGTGTTCCTCTGGAGGATATTCACAAGTTCGCCGATGCCAACTACTGGCTCGACCACTTCCCCCCGCTCGCTATCCGTGACCTGAACAGCATGGGTGCTCGCATTGACTGGCGCAGAGAGTTCGTCACCACCGACGCCAACCCCTACTATGATGCTTTCATCCGCTGGCAGATGAACCGCCTCCACGAGCTGGGCAAGATCATGTACGGCAGCCGATACACTGTTTACTCGCCCAAGGATGGCCAGCCTTGCATGGACCACGATCGCACTGAGGGTGAGGGAGTTGGTCCCCAGGAATACACTGCTATCAAGCTCCAGGTTAAGGAGTGGTCTCCTAAACTTGCTGAGCTTGTTAAGGGCAAGGTTGAGGAGGATGCCAAGGTATACTTCGTTCCCGCGACTCTCCGTCCCGAGACTATGTACGGTCAGACCAACTGCTTCGTTGGTCCCAAGATCAACTATGGACTTTTCAAGCTGAAGGAGAAGGAGTATATTGTTGTCACCAAGCGTGCTGCTTGGAACATGGCTTTCCAGGGCCACTTCTTCCAGAATGACAGCTTCCCTAAGACTCAGGACCAGCTGCCGCTTGTCCTCGAGGCTCCTGGTTCTGACTTTGTCGGTACTCTTGTCAACGCCCCTCTCTCCTTCCACTCCGAAGGTGTCTACATTCTGCCCATGGATGGCGTCTCAGCTTCCAAGGGTACCGGTGTTGTCACCTCCGTTCCCTCGGACAGCCCCGATGATTACGCCACCCTCATGGACCTGATCAAGAAGGCCGAGTTCTATGGCATCAAGAAGGAGTGGGCCGAGAAGGAGATTTACCCTGTCATTGAGACCCCTACCTACGGTAACCTGACCGCTCCCGCCCTCGTCAAGCAGCTGAAGATCAACTCCCCCAAGGATGTTACCCAGCTCGCCCAGGCCAAGGAGCTGGCTTACATGGAGGGATTCTACAAGGGCACCATGATTGTTGGTGAATACAAGGGTGAGGCTGTCAGCTCTGTCAAGGACAAGATTCGCAAGTCTCTCATCGACAGCGGCGACGCCTTCCCCTTCGCCGACCCCATGGGTAAGGTTGTCAGCCGTAGTGGCGATGAATGTGTTGTTGCCTACCTTGGTCAGTGGTTCCTGAACTATGGTGAGAACGATGCTCAGTGGCAGAAGACCACCCTGGACCACGTTGTCAACACCCTCAACACCTACGCTCCCGAGACCAAGAACGGCTTCGAGAAGAACCTGTCCTGGCTCAACCGCTGGGCATGTGCCCGAACCTACGGTCTTGGATCTAAGCTTCCCTGGGACCCGCAATTCCTGGTTGAGTCTCTGAGTGACAGCACCATCTACATGGCGTACTACACGATCGCTCACCTTCTGCACGGTGATCGGTACGGTAAGACCGTTGGTCTGCTGAACGTGCAGCCTGAGCAGATGATCGATGAGGTCTGGGACTACATCTTCACCCGCCGGGAAATCGGCGATGACCTGATTTCCAAGAGCGGAATCAGCAAGGAGGCCCTGCAGAAGATGCGCCGTGAGTTTGAGTACTGGTACCCTCTCGATGTCCGTGTCTCCGGTAAGGATCTTATCCAGAACCACCTGACCTTCTTCCTGTACATTCACGTTGCTCTCTTCCCCGAGGAGTACTGGCCGCGTGGTGTTCGTGCCAACGGCCACCTGATGCTTAACGGTGAGAAGATGAGCAAAAGTACCGGTAACTTCCTCACCCTGAAGGATGCGGTGGATAAGTTCGGTGCCGATGCTACTCGTATTGCTTTCGCCGATGCTGGTGACAGCATCGAAGATGCCAACTTCGAAGAGGCTGTTGCCAACAGCAACATCCTACGACTCCACACTCTGAAGGACTGGATCGAGGAGGTTGTCAAGGACGAGACCCTGCGCACTGGCCCTGCCGATTCATTCCCAGACCAGCTGTTTGAGAATGAGATCAATGCTCTTGTTCGTGAGACCCAGAAGCACTACCAGGAGTAAGTTTCCAATCCGAGTCGATTCCATGTAATGCCTCACTAACTTCATACTAGCACCAACTTCAAGCTTGCTCTGAAGGCCGGTCTCTTCGACTTCACCAGCGCTCGTGATACCTACCGTGAGGCCTCTGCTGCCTCCGGCGTTGGCATGAACCGCGATGTTCTGATGCGCTACATCGAGCTCCAGGCTCTCATGCTTGCCCCTGTCGCTCCTCACTGGGCTGAGCACGTCTGGCTTGAGGTCCTGAAGAAGGTCAGTTTGCATTGCTTACTTTTGCAGTATTTCCGCTGTCTAACCTACCTGAAAACAGTCCGAATCTATCCACTACGCCAAGTTCCCTACCGTGCCCGAGCCCTCCCCCGCTCTCTCCGCCGCCCAGGCTTACGTGCGCAATACCTCCTCGGCTATTCTCTCCGCTGAGGCCAACTACGCCAAGCGTCTGTCCAAGGGCAAGAACATCGCCTTTGACCCTCGCAAGCCTAAGAAGGTTACCATCTACGCCGCTAAGAAGTACCCCGTTTGGCAAGAGAAGTACATCGATCTCGTCCGCGAGGCCTTCGATTCTCTCACTGTCTCCATCAACGACAAGGAGCTTAACGGCAAGATCGGCAAGCTTGGTGAGATGAAGAAGGCTATGCCTTTTGTCCAGGGTCTGAAGCGTCGTCTGATCCAGAGCCGCGAGGCCCCTGAGACCGTCTTTGAGCGCAAGCTTGCCTTCGACGAGTTTGCTGTTCTGGCTCAGCTTGTTGGTGGCCTGAAGCGCTCTGCTGGCTTCAAGGAGGTCGAGATCATTGCCGTCGATGAGGGTGGCAAGACTGGCGAGGTCGTTGGTACTGGTGAGAAGAGAGAGGGTCTTACTGCTGAAAACTCTATTCCTGGACAGCCTACCTTCTCTTTCTCTAACATCGAGTAGAGGAAGCCAGTACATGGATATACAAGAATCTTATTCTCTGGGTCAATTAAAGAGTTATGGTTGATGAGCTTATGCTTTAGAAAAAGAAGTGCATTTCCTTATATTTATATTCTTATCTTTATTGTTCTATGACGCTCTGAATCATAACTGTAATTATTTCGTAGAGTGCCTGTAAACCGGTGGTATCTCTTGATGTATACACTCCTTTCGAGAAGGCTATAAATTAATCAGTAGCAGGTATGGAAGCAAAGAAAAGCCTAGCTTGGGGCTAAAACCTTCGGTGGATGCGATCAGGGATTTTGTTGATCTTGGCATGACCTAGAGTGGACGTACGCCCCCACTTACGGAGGCGAGTAGCGGCCAATTTATCAATACCCCTAAAAACCAGGCAGAAACAGCAAAAATGGCAGAAAACATAAAAATACTGGATTTCGAGAAAACAGTAATTTACATATTCAAGGTAAATAAGTCCAATATTAGTCAAATTTTACTAAGTCCCAACTGTATGCCACTTTTCCGACGACATGTTTCAGAGTACATCAAATATCATAATTCGTTTCCCATCCGCCCTCAAAAAAATAGGCTTTGGTGTGTTACCGGTATTCCAATCGTCAACTACAGCTTCCCTCCACCTGGGAAGCAATACAGGTGCGAATTGAGCGAGGAAACCTATCAAATCCTAAACGAAAATGCATGCATGAGAAAATAGCGTACAAAACCCTTCAGAACCCATCTATCCCTATCAAAAGCGCCTGCGTCTACTGGTACGCTGGCTTACAAGCTCAGGGGTATCTCTCCTTCTTCTTCTTGACCGTGTTGGACGCCCTGCTGGCGCTGCTGTAGGGGCCTCAGGGGCAAGATCGGGGATCTCGAGGTTCTCGGTATCGCTGTAGGCAGGCGGAGATGACCAGAGACGGTCTTCGTAGAGCTCAGTAACCACTGGGGCTACGGGGGCTGCTGGGGCTATGGGGGCTACTGGGGCTGTAAGGGCTGCGGGGGCTACCGGGGCGGTAAGAGTAGTATCTGAATGCTGTGATATTATCACATGAAGGGTCCAACGGTCCTTAAATCCTTTAACAAGGCCCAAATCATGGTCACAAAACTCCTGGAGGGGCGTATTTGGGCGACATTCAACCATAAATGCTGTAGGATCTCGGTTATTGGCCGTTTTGACGTCCCTCGCAAGTAAATACCCGTCGAATTCATCCAAAGTCGGGTTATACCCCTTCCTCTCCAGCAGCGCGACATTGGTGGGGGTCAATATGTCGAATTCGACAAATTGACGTGTATTTTGGACGATGAATTCGGGAGGAAAGTCGGGGTTCAAAACGACTAAAAGAGCCAAAAAGTTAGCAAATATATCGAATGTGTATAGAAAAAGCAGAGAATCAGGAACGCAAACCCTCTCTAATTTGCGTAATTGGTCCACCACGCTCCCAAAGATAGACATATGTTACCAACTTGATTTGTGGTGGGGTAGGCGCTGGCGCCGGAGCTCGACCAATTTGCTGGTTTCTCGCCTGGGACCCAGCCCCGTAAGACCTTGTAGCAGCTTCATACCCTGTCAGCTGAAGGGCCTGAGTATTGACCTGCGCAGGCGTACGAATAGGCGTAGGGGCAGGGGTAGAGGTAAGGGTAGGGGTAGGTGAAGCTTGAGAACTTTGCCACTCTAGAAATCTTGCGATAATTGCGTTGGAATCGGACATATTTGGAGGAATTAAGCAATAAATTGATGAATAAAAGTGGATTATGTGGAAGATACTGATGGGAAAAAGTGCTATTTAGTATACGAAATCAACCACATATTCATCATCATGTTTTGCAAACGCAAAATTCGTTACCCGAGACCAAAATTCGTTGCGCAACCTAAGACATTAGATTATCAACCACTTTCCGCTGTTACACCCTCTGCTGCACCTGAATTCCGCCAATTATATCCATCTAAGGGCTTGTCACAAACGCTGAATTTCGGCTGCATACCAGAATCTTCATGGTCTAATGCTCGAATCCGCAGCTGCTCGTACACAGATCGATATGGCTGTAAGGGGTTATCACCCGGTCGGTAGAGAGGTGGATTTTCGGGGTCAAATCCCCCTGGAATGATATCATTCAGCTGTGTAGAGCACCACGCCAGAGTAGCAGGTGGAAGATATTCTATAGGATCCCATGGTGCGACATTTTCGTACAGGATTTGATAGGTTTCCTCGCTCACTTCGCACTTGTATTGCTTCCCAGGTGGAGGGAAGTCGTAGTTGACGAGTGGAATACCGGTAACACACCCAAGCCTATTTTTTTGAGGGCGGATGGGAAACGAATTATGATCTTTGATGTACTCTGAAACATGTCGTCGGATAAGTGGCATATAGATGGCGAGAAGGGCGACCTGGTCTGTAATATTTGCTGCTGAAAAGAGGTGTGATTCTCGTAAAATCATGAAGTAATGACGATAGATAAATAAACACGTTTTCTGTAGTTTCGACCAAAACGATTCAATACGCTGGTTTTCTGTGCTTTTACTTAGTAGAAAACAATCACGAAGACGTGTAATCGTAGGATCTTCCACCCTCCGGAGTGCAAGATGAAAATCAGCCATCATATGCCCTTCAACACCTAAATCACAGCGGATAAAACGCGGAATACACCCAGCATGCTGAATACAGTCAAGATATTGACGTCCAACACTCACAGCTGTGCGTGCGCTTATACCGGTATAAATCCACATGATTTTGCGAGAGTATCCATCAATAGCAGCATAAATCTCGAATCCATAAGGTTCAAGCTTCATATGCCCATCAACATGCCAGACGAAATTAGCCCCAGGGCAGCTATAGCTACCACGGCCACGCTGGAGGTCGTTTGTGCGGCGTAAAACTGCGTCAGGGCGGATTTCTCGGTAAACGTCGTAGATTAGATCACTAAAGAAGAAATCAGCACGTTTCTCTCCCAAATATCTCCCACATATCTCCCAAATATCTCCCAAATATCTCCCACTTACGCTGGATAATATTGCTCATAACGACGGAGGTGGACCTGCATTGCGCGTCGTCCGTACCCCTCAATTTCTCCAGTACGGTCATAATAGGTCAAAACCGCCTGTAACTCCTCTCTTTGCTGGTCACGCTCAACAGGGTCGTCTGTGCGTAATTTGACACCCATTTCCGCCCGAATTCTCCGAAAAGTGCGCTCGGTAAGCGTAGGTAGCACTTTTTGGACATCTCGAGGGCGCATAAGGGGTAGTAGGGTTTTAACATTCTCACGCATATCGGGTCCGGTGCTGTATCTCCGAAAACCCCAGGAATCAAGTCGTCTTCTGAGCGTAATAAGGGTCACGTGCACCTCACGGGCGGCCAGGGCATGCTGAATAGCTTCATGAGTAGCACCGCTCTCAAAAAGGGTCTGTATCTCGTCTCGGTGGGCAGCAAGGTCAATTTGCGGGCGCGGCATGTTGGGTGAAAGGGGGGAAAAGGGTGGAGATAGGTGGATATTAAATGGGTGGATATTAGATGGTAGGATTTAGGGGTTTTCTCGTACAATACGTTACCAAATTGATAAAAGCGGTGAACAAAAGTCATGTGATAAGGTGTTTTGATAAATTGGCCGCTACTCGCCCCCGTACCCCACTGCTTACTGAGACATGCCCTTCATGGAAACTATAAGAAATTGTTCATTCGAATGATATCCATTAATGGCAATGACGATCATTTATTCATTACTTGCTCGCCACAGCCAAGATATTATTGATCCAAAGAGGCATTGCTGCATGTTTATGAAGATGTACGTACTCTAGGGGCAACCATAGAATCAGATGAATCCCAGAAATAGACATCGAAAATAGCTTGGCTCATGGTTAAATAGCAAGGGTTTCCTCGAGAATTGAACATCATCACAAACAATTCAATCAACAAACAATTCAATCCACTCCCATCTACTCCAATCAACCAATCCATTAAAATGCAGTTCATCACCGTCATCATCGCTACCCTGGCCGCTGTTGCCATTGCCACTCCGTCCCCCGATGCCTTCGAGAAGCGCACCTGTGTTGGCAGTGAGTACATTCCCATGGAGAATATTAGAATATTTATCTGACTTTTGTATAGACTACAAGGTTGCCTGCGAGAACGGTGGAGTCCCTTGCTGCGATGGCTGGCAGTGTGTTGGCGCTACCGAGTGGAACGCTGGTGTTTGCATTCCCAACTACTAAGGACAACCTGGGAAATGGATTTGATGTTTGTGCGGGCATAAATAGAAATTCATGACATATTCCTCTCTGTCTTTATTAATGCTCCTTCCAGATGTCAGTGTCTCGTCCCAACATTAGTATAGAGAGATATATATATACAGTAGGTGGTCTATACTGATAATATATACTGTACTGTATTCCAATCTGGGAACCTTAAATATCATCTATTAGTCCGTTGTAGCGCACCCAGCAGTCTGTTATCGCATGACATTAGCTTTTTTGTAGCAAGGGACGTAGAAATTCAAGATATGTAGATGCTCACCTCCTAAGCCCTTCCCTTAAAGTGAGTTCATCATGCGAATATACCAAACGAAACCACCCCACATCCTTCCCATGTTCCTCACCAGGATGAAGGAAGACACCTTCATCGAGAAATTTCTGCGCTAACTTAAACTCCTGTGTCTGAGTGGGGGAGTCATCTTTCAGGAGAAAAGAAGAGAAATTAACATATACAAAGAAGCCGGCATTTCTAGAAAAGCCAAGTTAGTAAGAACATCAGGTATCAAGTGATTACGAAGCGAAAAGACAGAGCTCACCCTCCCTTCGCATATTCAATACCCTCCTGGTCCAAAAATGACGTGACAAGCCGGTACCCTGCTGCTAGACTGTTTCGTGATTTGGCTGTAAAGCTTGAGACAAAGTCTTGATCTTCCAGAATAGTGGTCCCAATAGTAATAGCAGCCTGAGAGGGGCTATGGAGTCGCCTATAGGTTGGACAGAGTCAACTCCCAATCCAACAATAGCCATATAAAGACCCGGATCGAATGTGTTGAACCTACAGTATCATTTTGCATGCATGACGAAGTTGCTTATTTTGCGTTACCAAGAAGCCAAGGTGCAGACCACCAGATGCAAAGTCCTAAAATAGATTAAGTCTGCAATTTCTATTTAATGAGAATGAACCTACCTTGCTAAACCCATATAAGACATGGACAAGGTTAGGATCGATTATTTTTCCCAGATTCAATGCCAGAATAGATGTGAACGGCACGGCCTCCGGATCACCCGAGGCAAACACACATGAAGCATAGATTTCATCACTGATGAGGTGAATGCTATGTTTAGCACAGAATTGAGCAGTTGCCTTTAATATATCGGCTGGGTAGCATCGTCCTATCCATGCATTTAATATTAGTATGTATGGCTTGCACTTCTAGAAGAACCTTACCAACAGGGTTGTGTGGATTGACAACTAGCACTGCACGAATCCTCACACCTCGCTCCTCAGCCTCCGCTAAAGCTATTTCGTACTTCTCCACCACATTTGGCGTGAAGCCTTCATCAATCGTCGTGTCAGCATAGACGATCTCAACATCCGCTTCGACACCATAGTCCAGCTCGAATCGACCATACATTGGTCGGCTAACCAGAATAGCGTCTCCAGTCTCGGCCAGATTGCGTCCAAGCATGTTACCCAATGAAGTAGCGGAGTCAGCAACGAGGACATGATCGGGCTGAATAGGCGTATGAGCCCCCAGGATCCTGTTCAGATGGGCAGCGGTGGCTATCGGTAGCCTTGCATTTATACTTGCACTGGAACGGTAACTGACGGAGTCTGTGGTGAAGATGACCTTTTCATTGATGTAATTGGCGATATCTGCTCTCATTGGTGCCTATTTGCGTTAAATTTGTGGATTGCTCCAAGAGGGCTTGCTCTCACATTTTCAGCCAAACCGAACGAAATGAGCCCTGAAGGGTTTGTATCTGGATTGTAGGTTTGTGTAGGGGCGAATCGCCATGGACGTTCTAGCCCAGCAACATTTTTGCGGCCTCGACAAGACAACATTTTCCGTTGAAGAGAAATTTAAGCAGCAATGAAATCTTGAAATGCTTTAAGTCTATATACATAAGATAAAGCCAAGATGCAAGCCTAATGGGACTGGACTGGCCTCTTGGAATATCCGGAGTATTGGTGGTGCAAGCAAGGGTTACCTGTTTGAGTTCCCCACGTAGTGAGGGGAGTTCTCCACCTTATGTAAGTGGGGGTCGGGATAGCAGAGTCAGAACTTGGAGATGAGGATGTATTTGAGCAAGAGATTTCTCTCATAGAAACGCCAACCGCTATGCTTGATGCTTTATAGTACATGTATACAATTCGGCCAAAGTCAAGCACCAACTCAACTATACTGATGCCTTGTCCGAGGTCTCTTGCGCTTGTCGGCTTTGAGCTTCTCCGCCATGAAGTTCCAACATTCGATCGGTCTCCGACCTCCAATATATTTACCTTCAGGTGAGAATATCTCGACTTGAGGATAGCTGGGAGGCTCATCTTCAGGACCGCGCTTGTTGCGGACTTGGATGCTCACTTCAATCCAACCACATCCCTCGATAAGGATGTCAGCAGCCATCACACGGTACGGTAGATAAGGTATAGGAACGCCCTTGTCTTTCACAGTCTTAGCAACCGACGTAGGAAGATTTGAAGCGGTAATGTCCCACTGCAAGTCTAATTTGCCCGCAGAAGAGATGGTACTGCCCGTTCCTTCAACCATTAGCACCTTGCCTCGGTAGGGTTGTTGCTCCGCTTGTATCTCGATTGCCTTTGCTGTGTTCGTAACGTGTGATTCGATGGGTAAGAAAACGGCAGCCATTACGGTATCCTCAGGATTCACAGCAGAGATCCGTATCAAGCCACCGCCGAGAAGAAGAGATTGGCCCGGCTTGATGGTACATCGCTCTGGTTTTACCCGCTTTGTCATGATCAAATCGCGTTTGTGCTCGTCACGCACGTGGTCCTCCAGCTCGCTGCGTTCCATACCAGGTAGATCGATCATTTCACCCCGCCCGCGCCCGAACGGAATGCGAATGGGCGAGACTGTGGTCCCGGGCAAGGAAGACACAACTGGAAGCACTGGGTACAGATCTTCACGAGGTGCAGGCGGAAGGACACTGTCAGGATTCAAAGGAACGACCCGTCGCTGGGTTGCCATTTCCTTCTCGCGCTGTTCCATCCACTCGGTAATACTCTCTAGCCTTCGAGAGTCCTTGGGGAAGCATGCCTCAATGAAGCTGCTCTTGCCCACATTTGCCTTGCCAACGACCCAAATACCCCCACCGTGCTCCCGAATCTCTTCCTTGACTTGCTTAGTCCACCAACCTCGGTGTGCGCTGATCATGTGCACGTTTCCTAGTCGAACGTCCTGTCCTGATCGTCCCAACGCTTTGCGAAGGACGGAACGGATATATTCCATTTTAGAATCCACTTGCTCTTTTGTAGCAGCTAACAGATCCGATCGTGTAATGATGAAGCTAATTGTGGGCATTTTCTGCCCGTGATGGTACTTCTCAGTGGAGGATCGTCGGTTCCGCGAGCGCTGTTCCTGAGCATATAGCGCCCAATGGATGCGGGGAACAAGAGACATAGGAAAGTCGGCTGCGTCCAGAATATGATATACACGATTGTTCTTATATGGCGACTCATCTATGTATTCTCGGATCGAAAGGATGGACGGTTTAGGAGAGGAGACAGCCTTATTATGGTGAATCAGATCATGGCAACGATCGCAGACCTGAGCATTTCGACTCGTCGAGTCTAGAGTCTCGATTGAAGGAGGGACCTCATTCTCTAACAAAGTAATATCTTGTTTCCAGTTAGTCAAGTTTTGGACACGCGATTCATATGGCATACCCTGAGTTGGCTGAGGCGCTGTTGATTCTTCAGCACCAGTCTGCTCCTTCAACGAGCTACTGACAGCCTCTCCATCTGCAACAATTCCTTCTGTGGCCTCTGTGGCCGCTGGCGAATCTGTCGATTCTGTAATCTTGGTCACCGTATTCTCTTTTTCGGTCGTCCCTTTGCGAGAGGCTAACAGCTTCCGGGTCTGCTTGCGATTCCCGCCATAGTACCCTGGCTCTTCCGGCTCGACCGTCTGCGTGAAAGCACCACATCCAGGGCAGCATATGGGAAGAACCTCGGCTAATTCCTCAGCAGTCGTCTCTATGCGTTGAAACCGGGTGGTCGAGAAGGATCGGGGAGAAATTCGGACTTGCGTCGCGACACTGCCGCAACTGATTTGCCACGGCACAGTTCGTAAGAGAGAGGAAACCGTCGGTTTTGGCAAAGAGATGCATGGCCTTGGGTGCCATTTCAACGATCCAAGTCGCAGGGCTCGCGATATTGCCCCTCTGGAGCAAGGTGACATGGTGGATGTGCAGGTTTGCGGAGTTCGCGCGGAGCTTTTTTTTATCGGGTCCGTTATCATATCAACGGTCCGCCGAATTACATGCACGCTTAGTAAATCAACAATGTACCCCCTAATTAGTTGCTGGGTTTTATCAAAAGTTGATAGTTTGCTATTAATGAAATGGTCTTGAATTAAAGCCTCAAAGTGCCATTTGTAAGACTATATTATCGACATAGAAAGACCTGCGCTGAACTCCACTGAAAACCCTGAAAACGCCATCATGAACCATAAGAAACCAATTTTAGGTGTTTAGGCACGGGCTTTGCCTTTGCCCTTAGGCTCTTCCTCCTCTTCCTCCTCAGAATCGCTCATAAACTCATCATCATCGTCAAATCCAATAAAACGACGAGGAGCAGCTTTGTGGGTGGATGCAGAGGGTCCAGCAGCACTTGAGGAAACAACATTTTCATCGTCTTCGTCCTCAGAGCTAGACGAATCCATTTGATCGCTCCCCTCGCTGGCACTGGTACTCGATCCACCCAAGATTGCATCACGAAGGTTGTCAGTCCATGAACCGTCCTTCATAGCCAATAAAACAGCTTCGCGTGCCTTCTCGTTCATTTCCTCCTTATCGTCCATCCATTGACCATCAATCTTCTCCCTTCCGCCACCACTCTTGAGCTCATCCTGGCGCTTCTCTGCCAGCTCCACCACGGCCTGCCATCGTTGGCGACGCTCCTCCTTCTCTTTCTTGTCCATCTCGGGCTTCACAGCAAGGTATTCGGCGAGTGACTTGGCCTCAGCCACGGTACGGAGGCGGCGTCCATCTAGGTTGCGGCTGGAGCTGTTGTTATCGCCTTGGTTACGCTTGCGCTTGCTGGACATGCGGCCACCAGCAGCACGAAGTTGAGATCCGAAACCACCCTTACCACCGCACATGGGGACTGACAGGCGGACAGGGAGGAGGGTGGAGGCCACGGATGCGCCATCGCGAACGATCAGAGACTGCAAAGGATCCGCAGAGGGTGTGATTTGTTTATTGTTGGTGGTTGTGAGGATCAGGGACTGGAGGGAAAGCGAGGACGGGAGATATGAGGCGACTTTCTCCGTTAGGTCCGAGATGCTAGAGGTTGAGGGCAAAGAGAACGAGACGGTAGATGGCAGCGACAGTCCAGGGAAGGACGACAGCAAAATGTTCACATTTGGTGATGCCATTTTGAATGAAGTGTTGCGGGTGTAACTTCACAGATGGAGATATATGACGGTTACCGGGAGGATAATGGAGTCGCAGCGATAAGATGGATTAAGGCTGGAACGACATTAAAGGTCAGGTGACAGTGCATAGATGACTTATCATTCATAGCCACGAATGGTGGCTGGAGTCATGTGACTAGGGCGGTAGCCCTAGCGAGGGCCCCGAAGGAGCAATATCGCACTTTTCCTCGTAGCGGAGCTCCACTCTCTAACCTTTAAAACATCCATCTGTTCTTTGTCAAAGCGATTCCACGAATTGCGCCAGGAACTCGCGACAATGTAAGATTGCGCCCCAATGCCTCTGATTTAATACAGTGACTAACAATTCATCAGGCTTATCCCTAAGGTCGACCGCAAGAAGATCCACGAGTACCTCTTCCGCGGTATGTGATTACCTTCTCATCGGCAATATGACCTTTCGCCTCGCCTGAACCGACGGCTTTGCGGAAGAATGAAAATCAATCTGGGGCATTTACTGACTTCAATTCATAGAGGGTGTGCTCGTGGCCAAGAAGGACTACAACCTTCCCAAGCACGGTGACATTGACACCAAGAACCTTTACGTATGACTATCCATCCTCGCACTCAGCCATCGATATCCTTACTAATAATCATCGCTCTACAGGTCATTAAGGCTCTTCAGTCTCTGGACTCCCGCGGTTTCGTCAAGACCCGCTTCTCGTGGCAGTACTACTACTACACCCTCACCCCCGAGGGTCTCGACTACCTGCGCGAGTGGCTCCACCTCCCCGCTGAGGTTGTCCCTGCTACCCACATCAAGCAGCAGCGTTCCCACGCTCCCCCCCGCGGTATGATGGGTGGTGAGGAGCGCGAGCGCCGTCCCCGCGCTCCCCGTGAGGGTGGTTACCGCCGCCGCGAGGAGGGTGGTAAGGAGGGTGGTGCCCCCGGCGAGTTCGCTCCTTCCTTCCGTGGTGGCTTCGGCCGTGGCCGCGGTGGTGCTGCTGCTCCCCAGTAAGGGATAAGCCCTGGTGTCCTGTCATCCACTGCTCGGTCATCCTTGGGATAGATGTGGCCGGTACTCGGTTCGAAGTAGGATCTCCAGAAATGGAGTTTCAGAACTGAACTGATGCTAGGACATCTTTATACGACCTCTAGTTTCTGAGACTTGAGGATACAGGAAATTAAAAAAAGTTGAAACGATGTCACTGGCTTGATGATGTACTAGATTATTCAAATGGCAAAATCATGATTCGGTGCCAAATATGTCCTTGTAAACTGGTATTATCTTTTGTAGATTGTTGATATAAGCTAGTATGTTGCTCTGCGTCACTAGTCTAGGTGAATCTCCTTCGATCATATCGTACCACAGCCTGCAGGATAACAGATGCTCCTGTTGCACAATCGTCTGCAGAACAAAACTCCTCTGGGTGATGGCTCAGACCATCCTTACATGGAACGAAGATCATGCTCGTTGGCACCCGCTTTGAGGTGAAGACACTGTCATGACCAGCACCACTCATCATAGGCCGCACTAAGGACTTGGTGTCTGCCACTGGCGCATCCGCCACCACGGCATGGGCAGACTCTTGCACGCAATCAATGCAGTCCTTGTGGAAATTCACCGCAGGCGAGTCAAATTCAAGCGACCAATCGACACGACAGGGCTTGCCAATGCCAGCACCTTCTGCGGCAGCAATGGCGTCAAAATCACTACGAAGCTGGTTCTCGACCTCGACCACTAAAGCAGATTCAGGCCCACGAATATCCAAGCTGAAGCTAACTGCCCCGGGAACAGTATTCACACTTCCGGGTTTCGCCTCGACAATACCAACACTAGCGAGACAGCCCTTGGAAGCAGCGACCTCTCGTGCACGCACCATCATTTGAGCAAATGCATACAATGCGTCGGCACGGTGTTCGAATGCCGTCGTTCCTGTATGCGTGTCTCGTCCGATGACATTCAGTCGGAACCAGCGGAAAGCCTGGACTGCAGTAACCACTCCAACGCGTTGGCCAGCGAGAATCAAATGCGGGCCTTGTTCAATATGCAATTCGAAGTGAGCTGCCATTGGAGTAGATTTATACGAGCATGGTACGCTGCCGAGATAGCCGATCTTCTCTAGTGCGCTCTTCATCGTTTCTGGGGCTGAGCTAGCTGTGGGCAGCGAAGCTACTGTGGGTACTTCCTTGAGCTCGTGAGCCCGCGATAGTGGAATGGACTCTGCCCATACACCAGATGCGATCATGCTGACTGGGAAGCGGGCTCCTTCTTCGCTGTTATGGAGTTAGCAAAGGCCTGTCATAAATTGACGAATCCACATACTTGGTCCAGTTAACGACACCTACACCTCCTTCGGTTTCCAGGCCCAATTCGTCCATCCTCTTGATCGCTTCTACGCCGGACAGCACCCCAAGGATTCCATCATATCGTCCTCCCGTGGGCTGTGTATCCAAGTGACTGCCAATGAAAGTAGGGGGAACATCTGTCCTTCGACCGGGACGAACTGCGAATATGTTGCCCATCTCGTCAATGGTAATCTGACATTTGAGGTCTTTCATAGTTTTGATAAACCAATCCCGGACGCTCTTGTCTTCTTCAGATAAGGCGAGACGCTGCATTCCGGTATCGGTCGATCCCCTATGGAACCACAAAATCTATTGTTAGCAAGGTATTGACTTGCATTACTGGGTACCGGGCGTGGAAGTTTCGATGCAGAATGAGCTATAGTAAGACTTACTCGCCCCAGCGAATCCCGAATCCCCATTGACATGACTCATGGAGATCATTCGCAAGTCTTTCCTTGTTGGCTCTCAGTGCTGACACCTCAGCTTCAGATAATTGTGTCGTCAACATGGTGCGATATACTGTTGTTGAAAATGGCTTGTAGAGATGCGGGGGAAACGGTTTCTTAGTTGATCCGAGTCGAAATGTTCTCCAGGTCGTACGTAATTGCACAGCAACCATAGCGAAACATCTGATATTTATAATAGCAAATCGAACCTTGGAAACCTTGATGCTGAGTTGGTCATCGAGATAAGGAAGCGGGGAAATTGGAATATAGCGGACTAAGTCCCGCCCTTGATTTGATAACATTTGCCGATGTGCCGATATGTGCCCCACATTGGCGCACTCAAGTGGAGTCTTCTCCAATTGTTTAAATCTGAAAGTAAGTTTCGCGACCCTCGCCTGTCGTTCCTTCATTCGGAGCCATGAGGACACAGGAAAACACAATCAATATTGCAAGTGGGGTACAGGAAGGGTATTCACCCTAATGGGATAGCACAGACACCAGACTATCTCTGTACTTACTATGTATACCGGTTACCTATCCTTTCTCTTATTCATTCTCCTCAGTCCCTACTTAGTATTTTGATTAGTTACACAATCGAAAGGCTTATGACATTAACCTCAAGCCACTACAAGTACCCAAATCATAATACTCTAACATACTAATGCAGCCCTTTTCTTGTCAATTTCTTATATCGCCCAATCTTGCGACAAAGGTGGAGACGGACAAATGCGGACGAACGGACGAACGGACGACAAAGGAGACTACGTAACTCGAGTCGAAACCTCATCTTCGAAAAAATCAAGCAAAACAAAATGGTGACCCTTGAAGCCATACAGAAGAATAACTCCAGCTTGAAGGACTACGGTCCGAATCTCGTGGCAGTGTTTGGTACTTCCATTCCACTCATGGAAACGAATAAGTTGATAGAATGCTGACATGTATGTCTCCAGTCGGCGGAACCAGTGGAATTGGTGAAGCAACAGCTCGTGCATTTGTACGAGACACTGTATCATCAAGGGTCTATCTCGTCGGCCGCAATGAGACCCAGGCTTCTAAAATCATCGAGGAGCTCCGCCAGATCAACCCAGACGGCCAAATCAGCTTCGTAAAATGTGAAGCCGCACGCTTGCGCAGTGTCGATGAAGCTTGCAAATCCATCCAGGAAAGGGAAGAGAAAGTGAACTTGCTGTTCATGACTGCTGGCATAATGACGACCAAGGGGCGCGATGGTATTTGCACTGCATTCTACATCCAATACGGCATTCACTAATGAGCGATCTAGAAACCGACGAGGGGTTAGATAAGAAGCTCAGTCTTCATTATTACTCTCGGATGCGTTTCGCAATGAATTTACTCCCGCAATTGACCAAGGCTGCGACAGCCAATGACTCAGGCAAAAAAGGCCTAGGCGATAACCTGTCGCGTGTTGTATCTGTCCTGTCAGCCGGAAGTGAAGAGTCTCTTCATTTAGATGATCTCGATCTCAAGTCCCATTACTCACTCAGCAACTGCGCTGGACATGCCATCACCATGAACTCCCTGTTCCTGCAGGAGCTCGCGGCGGTGTATCCTGCCACCAGTTTTATCCACGCCTACCCTGGCGGCGTAAAGACTGGTCTTATGCGGGAATTCAACCCAATTGCTCGAGTAGCATTCAATGTGTTGACAACGCTTGCCAACCCGTGGATGGTGCCTTTGAAGGAGAGCGGTGAGCGACACCTGTACGCCTCGACTAGTCCACAATACCCGCCCCAAGCCTCGGGCGACGGCGATGTGGCCACTGGGGCTGATGGCAAGAGTGGCAGCGGTGCGTATCTTCTAAACTGGGATGGGTCAATCACAGGCAATAAGAAAGTTCTTGAGGCGGCACGCCAGAATGAAACGGGCAAATTGGTGTGGAAGCACACTCTGGGGATCTACACGTCGATCTGTGGCAAGTGATGCACGTCGCCGTTGTCCTCTATGTAACTCCACTCATATTTTGACTATTTCAGTTTCCGGAAGTTATTTTCTTTCTATTCCAAGGTTGAGGCATAGCACAGATGTATGCTTACAACAAATTTAAATAAAAATAATCACAGTCACCAGTTGAAGGCATTCTTTCAAATACCCAGATCACGTGCATTTGCCCCTGGAACGGTAATCCGGCAAGAGAACCATGGATGAAATCTGTGTATTTCGTGTTTGTATTACAGTATCGGAAAATCTGTCCATCCGGCTCAGCAACTCTCAGCGTTTAATGGATCAAAGTAAATTTTCCAAGAGGCAAATCGGATTTTTCCACTCCGCCCGGATATAATATCGCTTTATGCGCCCTGCCGTGATCTGTACAGCCAGACCGAAGAGTCTTGCTGCGGATTCGAGCGCAGGACAACTCGATTGAAAGTCATCGAAAACCAACCCCCTTGACTCATACATTCGCCACCATGTTCGAGGACTTCTCCTTTTCCTCGCCTTCATCACGGCCAGCCCGCTTGGCGCTTAACACAGAAGACCGGTTCATGATCGATGGAGACAGCAACTTGATCTCGCCGCTATCATCTCGCTGCCCATCGCCGACATCGCACCGATTCCGCACGCTTTCACGCTCGCGATCCTCATACTTTCGCTCCCAGCAACAACCTCCAACCTCAGTGCCCTTTCCTTACGAATCAAAGCGTCTCTCCATCGCAACTCTCACACAGAAACTTCACGAACATACCCTCCAAACCCCCAACGGCGAATCCTTGCCTGACCGCACCCGCTTTGCCCATGGGAGACGCTCCGGTCAGTACGCAGGTTATGTCCTCACGCCACCAGACACAGATCATGACGACGACGGCCTCACTTCCTCGCCATCTCTTTGCTCAAATCCAAGTCCAACCTCTATTCCGCCAGACTTCCCCTCGCTAGACTGGCCCGGTCCTGGTCCCGGTTCCGACCTCCCGCAACCAGACCTGCTCAGCATCCGCAGCCAAAGACAGCAGATCTCCCAATTACAATGTAACCAGGGAGAAGTCGATGCTATCCGCCGCGCAGCTGATGATTCATACCGCTCTATTCCCTGTGAGGACGATTGCCACCCTAGCTCTTTACCGCCACGGCCCTCGCCACGACGGCGGGCTCTCACGCAGCACCGCAGTAGGTTCGGGCCTGCGGAGCCCCTGGAAGCGCGTGGGAGGCGGAAGAGTAGCTCGGGCGCTATTCAGTCTCATCGGATTGAAAAGAGTCATCATCCTTTGTTTGCGGGGCGTGATGCGTCGAAACGGAATGAGCAGGGGCTGAGGCGGAAGAGTATGGTTACTGCGGCGCTGGCGTCTGTAGTGGAGAGGCCTTGATTTGGTGGTCTGGTCGGCATTTGACTTGTTGTATATATTCCAAAATTGATACCCGTTTATAGACTGATGAGTTCTTTTTCGAGTTGACTAGTACATAAGGTTTGTTTTATACTAAACGCGTCGATCTGAATCTTCGACCATCTGCACCTTTGAAAAACAAGATATTGGCTTCAATAATCGCATACACCTCCCTAGTGACGATAATGGTTGGGACAACTTCGTTTTAATCGGCGACTTTCCAAATGCAAAGAGCCTGGATGTATTCCAGGGTTTATATTGGTAAAGAATTAGGCAAATGTGAGAACCAGGAGGCTGTCCGAGACATATCTCTTCAGCCCAAATCTAGAAATATTCTTCAGAACTGTAAACGAAATGCTGCATGATCCCGCAGCCGATCCCAAGTCCTAAGCATCAAGTAAACAAGATATACAGTAAATATCTCGAGTAATCTCAAATCGGTCTACGTGATGCGCATTTCGAGATGTACTATACCGGTGCAGATAGTGGATCGGATAGATTTAACATTTGTGACTGGGAATTCATTTCCAGTGGATTATTATGGGTTTTGATATGGGTTTTGATATAGGCTGACCCTGTTATCTTGGCCCTGGAGTTCTGCTGACTTTCGAATTTACATGACATTAGGAGTATGAGATCAGTAGCAGTCGTTCAGGAAAGTATATCAGAATATGATTTGATTATCCTCGTATCAAATCCAGTGATAATGGAACAAGTCTCAGACTCAATCAAAGCGAAATAAAAGAAATAGATCGAAAAGTAAAAATACAGGAAAGAAAGAAAGGAAGAAAGAAAGAATGTCGCCATTCATCATGATATCATATCCATAGGCATTTAATTCCCAGAGCGCCAGCTGAAAAACTTGCGCAGTCGCTTTCGCTGCTTATCGCCTTTTTTGTCTCCAAGGGAAACAGAGCTCTGGAACCTCCGCTGCAAGTCGTCTAGCCCGCGAGCAGGATGCCCGCGAAGGCCCATGGTCTCGGCGTTGGCCGCGGCCAGCACGGATTGTACATGGGGGTCGAAGTAAATTGGGTCATAGGGGTCGTGATCGTAATGTGGGGAATAGGCGGGAGACATGGTGTTGGCGAGATAGGTGTTGTATGGAGAGGTGGGGATGCTTTCGTTCGGGTTTTCGTTTTCATGTTCGTTTTCATAAGGAGATGGTGGGAGCTCGAGGAAGATGCCTCGGTCTCGGCCGTCGACCTGCGACCATTCACCATTGGCGTAGACTGGGGAGCCTGGCTCGCCGATTTCACTTTCGCCGGAATAGTAGGTTGGCGGGGACGATGATGGTGAGTTGGGTTCAGAGGGTACTTCCTCTCTTTCTTCGAGGCGCTCTGAAATGGATGCCATACGTGGTCGTGGAGATTCCCCTATTATATCATTGGGTGATTGTCTTGGCTCGTATCGATCTGAGGACCAGGGGTCGTGTTCGTATGTAGAGTAGTCGGATAATGATCGGATCCTGTCGTGCACTCCGGGTGACGAAGAAGGGATATCGGCAGTTTGCCTCTTGGGCGTAGAATAGCCAGATGAAAGGGATGTAGTATATAACGACTGTGAAGAATAATGGGATGGTAATGATGCATCCGTAAACTGGGAGAGGGAGGCCCGATCCAGTCCCTGATCTATAGAAAAGGTGGAAAGTTTGGAATCCCGAATTTGGTCCGAGAAGATCGAACAACTATCGACGTCTTCAATGAAGGAGACGATCCGGGCAAAGTCGAGGGACCTTCGCGGGTTCAGGATCTCAAAGGAGGTCCCGCCATGCGAGATGGTGGCGGCCTGGGTGGTGGCCAACATCGGATCAGAGTTCTGGGGGCGAGACAACGGCGAATGTTGAGCCTGTCCCCGCGCCTCGAGCTTCTCGCGGAAAGTATTCTAGAAAGCAGGTCAGACTAGGTGGGCATTGAGTATTTATCAAGGTTTCAGTTACTCACCAATCGTTTCCTGTTTGGTCTAGGACGGGTCAGATGCTCCGAGACAAGATTCACTCGTGGCCCCTGGGCAGGAAGCGCACCTGCAGGTAATTAGACTTTTGTTTAATTTGATGCTTTATCTCTGCATATTCACTTACCGACCTGCAGCTGACCAGATTCTGAGACCTCGTCTTGCTCGCTTCGCAGAGAAAGAATACTTTGCGAACACGACGGCGACAATGGTGGAGGGGTTGAGGTTACTGACGACGAAGTAGATACTGCGTATGGAACGGTAGCAATTTCAGGTAAACTGTTCAAATTGCTTGTTCCTGTTTTGCGCCGTATGGTTCTTTCGGAACGATCTACAGGATCGTCGAAGCACTCTGCAGCCTGTGCAAGCTGCTTGCGATAATCATGGAGAGAAAGAGTACCGGTGAGGCCAATTGAACGAGTAGGGAGTGCGTCTGTAGAAAGGGGTTCATGGTAGGTTGCATTGGCAAGGTCCATGGAAGATAATGAGCCATCCAGCAGCTCATTATCGTACCAAACCCCGAAGGAGTCGGTGGACAGAAGCTCGTGGTCCTTATTCATAATTCTAATCTGCAATTGGTTCGAAAAGATCGGCTTTTTTGAGGGGTTCGTCTCCAACTGCCTTAGCGTTGTGACATATCTTCTATAGTTGATGATCCTAACGCCCGAATTCTATACATCCAATTAGTTCGGAGGGGAAGAAACTTAAAGCAAGGGAGTATCTCACGGTTCACCAGTTCGCCTCACCGTCAATGCAAGGTACATCGAAATTTGAAGGAAGAAGCCAGTGGTAGTAAGTTGATTATAAGAATTTTTTTTTCCATTCAATGGCCGGTAATCAGGCTCATAAGTGCCTGTTTCTTGTTCGGGTTTTTTTGCGCGGAAAGATCCACTCAATTCTCCACTTGAGTCTCGAATCCTCTCGGTCCCCGCCTGGACTCAGGAACGATGGGTCGAACCAGTGGTTCGGCACTCATAATGGCCTTATGTATGGCACTGGCTGCAAATGAAAGACGTCACCTCCCCGCGAGATCCGAACTGGAAGAACAAAGGGGAAAAGTCGGTGTCTCGTGCATAAAGTCTGTGCCCTTTGAGGCCTGATGTTGCCCGAATATCTTTGATCGTTAAATTCGTAAATCCATTGGCTTTCATTGGAGCAGGAGAGTTAGAAATGACATGCATTAGAAAAGAGATTACTAGTATCTGAACATTGTTCGCTCATCGTCTGATCTTAGCGGCATCTTAGTTTCACTAAACCCGTTCCACCCCTGGCCAATCACCCGCATGATCGGTCACTTTTAACACAGACCTGGCCCACACGCTACTTTCAGTCAACCACTAGGCGGGCAGAATGACCATCTTGCCCTCGGGGCTGAAAGAAGGCGATGACTTGGGCAGAAAACCCTTACAATCACTTGGTTGGCTGTTATTGATTCGGGTGGACATGTGGCGGACCAGAGAAAACCCTGCACGTCGTCAAATGGTGATGCAGTGTGGATCCACCACACCCTCAGGGACTGGGGCTTCTCCTGCAGAGTGTTTACCAGGCAGATTCTGATTTTGGATCCATGGATCAATCAGTCGGCGGAAACTCACGAGCTCGTACCTGAAAGTGCATGATTCATGATACATCAAACGGGTAAAAATGGGCGACAGATCGACAGGCGTACAGGTACAGGTATCACTGCGCCTGCAGCGGCTTAGATTTAAAACGTCACAATGATATAAATATGCGTGTTTATATGTACCTTAACACTAGTCTAATATATTCAAATGATCTACTGATCTGTTCCTCAGTATGTAACTTCTACCTCGGGTATTCAGGAACGAGAACGTGGATTGCCACCGTAAAAAGCGTAAAAAGTCGGGACCGAAGAACATTGATTTAACCAAATTATTTTGGTTCCTTGGGTTTAAACGTTTGTGCCTTGTTACTTTCCAAGACTTCCAGGATTTGAAAGGGATGTACATAATCCAAGGCTGTCAGTGCCGTGGATATGTCTTCACCCAGTGTCGTCCAGATATAGAAAGTCAAGGGTTGATCTATTTGAAACTTCACATGAATAAAACGATCGAATTTATACAAATTTTCATGATGCAAAGCATTTGAATATTGAATACTACAGTACCCTCTTGTTACATACCCGGGCGGTTTTTAGGCGTCCAGTTTACTACATAAGTCAGCGCTCACAGGGCACTCACATTAAGACACAACATCAATCAATTCGAAAGTTGATCAGACCGACGCAATATTTTGAATAATTTGAACATGTTTTGAAGGATACCTAGATAAAAAACTCAAGAACAGTTTAATCAGGTAGCAATCAACATTCAAGTATTCAAACTGGATTCATAATTTCAAAACTCCCCTATCATGCATTTATAGCAGCAATTTAAGGTTACATGCATTGTCATATCAGTCCAACGGTGGTATCGTCGCAGCAAAGAATGGAGTATATCTACGTGTCGCAAAATAATAACAAAGAAGCAGAAAAGACCTTGGAAACCTTGGAATGAATCAGCTTGCACATGTGGCCGCGTCAAAGGGTAACATCTCAGTGACGTTTATATTTCTGCAATGCATTAGCTTTGTTTCCCAGATTGATTCGATAGCACAACTTACATCTTCCATTCTGCGTCTGTTGCTTGGGTCCAATGTATTGCCTGCACCAAGAAGTGTCTGTCCCACTGCTTTGGAGACACCGATCGCAGGTCGAAGAATGACCGTCGGTGCACGCCTCCAGACGGCCTTGGCGGCTGCCTTGGCACTGCCGCTCTCGACTACCTCTCCGGGCACGGCGACGATGGCATCACGGGCCAGGAGAAGATCACGTTCTAGACCACGGAAAGCACCTCGTAGACCCTGGACTACGCCGATCGGTTGGTCGGCGTAGAGAGAAATCTTCTTGGCCTCTTCTTCGTCTTCTCCCTCTTCGTCAGTCGGGGCGGGGGTAGTGGGAGATGTCAGCAGGTCTTCCGCACCCTGTAGGACGGTCTGGGTGCCGATGGCAAGTTTGGCACCTAGCTTCACCAACTCGTTAGAGGTGGTTTTGGCGAATGCTAGTGCTCCCTTCTGGATACTGCGCACGATGCGTCCGTCCTTTCGATATTCGCGCATCGGAACGACAACAAGATCCTTTACACCGCCGCCCACGTTGACCAAAGAGCGAATGGGCGCGAGGCCGGCGAGCACACCGGGTAGCTGGTTCCGTTTGACATCTGGCATCCAAATGTCATTGAGCGTAATACCAAGACGGTCGAAACCGGACACGCCGTAAATGATGACATGTCGTAGAACCATGTCGGCACCATCGAGTACGAAAAAGTTCATGAACTCAGTCGTGCGACCCGATCGGAGTCCAGCGTAGTCTACCCTCTTGGGCTTGAAATCCAGCTTGACTTGAATAGCATTGATTTCCACCCGTTGCAAAAATGGTATGTCCCCTGGAGTGCTGGAAGGTTCGACAGACTCATCTCTAAATTCGAAGAATCGGCTCATAAACTCCAAAGCATCTTGGTCGACAATCAAACGGATCGGCAGAACAGTAGCCTGTGAAGAGTCAGAATTGATAAAACAAGAATCAGGTAATCACATATTACCTTGAGAACGATCTCAGACGCTGCAAGTTCTGGAACGGGCTTCACGGTCAGTATTTCTAGATGAACCATGCTAGTCCCACTTTCTCTCTCTCCCGCCTCGTGCATGTAGGTCGCGAACTTCTTCCACGTCGAGGTCGGTACATGGTCAAATATTTCCAGATCCCGTACCCGCACATCCAAAGAGCTTTGTGTCTCCCCAGAGCCGGGTGGGAACACTACCAAATCAGCACAAACACCCTTTAGCTCGAACGTCATCTTGTGTTGTTTGCTCCGGTTTAGACGTAGCTTCTTCTCTCTCTCTGATGTGGGCCGACCCTGGCGGCTGGTAGCTGCAGTCACCGTAGTGGTTGTTGCGTAACTTCCGGTTTCACTGGCAAGATCATTGATATCCCGATTAATCTCACGATGAAGCTCTCGCGGGTCCTTGTTCGCGGGAATTCCAATATAGATCGAGTTGAAGAGGAAGTCGCCAATGACTGATTCTTCTTCATCGTCGGCATCTGGGGACATTCGGGAAGCTCGTGCTCTTCGCTCGGTTGCCTTGGTCTCTACGTCCTTCACTGCCTTGGAAATGGTGTCTCGGGTTCGTTGCCAGTCATAGCCATCAAAAAGATTCCAGATGACATGCATATCTCGAACTCTCACACGGAGAGGACTGCGCTGTAATTTCTGGTCATTAGAAAGACCGTATGTGTTGTGAGTTGAGTCCCATCGATGAGCGGTCCCGCCAACGGCAGATTGCTTGGCAAAATGGTCCTCCTTGAAGTCCAATTCCGTTATGCTGGACGAAATTTGATACTGAGAATGGAAGCTGTCTAGAAGTTCATTTGCATCGAACGCTCCAGGACTCCCAGTCCCCTTCTGCCTGCCAGGATAGAAATCACTGACATATTCAAGTTCATCACTTAGTTGGCTCTCTAAGTCACCTTCATGAAGATTAGCTTCTGTCTCGCCATGGTCGGCTGGCAAGCTATCGTCAGCCGAAAACGCGTCTCCTGTAAACGAGGCCAGCATATCTTGGAGTGGCATGACCTCCGTTCTGTACTTTGCGGTAACGCTCGGTGGCGTGGGAGGCTGAAGCCCGTTGAGAATAGCGATGAGAGTTTGCGTGGAATCTGCACATGTTTCAAGTATCAACAGATCATCTCTCAGCTCAACATCTAGCGACTTTGCTCCATCTGCTGCAAGTTGCATTACTTTCACGACAGCCGTCGCTGAGGATATGGTCGTCACTGGAACGTAGCCTTGGTCGATATAGGCCTGGACCTGATTGCTCTGGATGGCGGCCGATCGACGTTGGTGGAGATTATCCGTCTGGCCGGCATTGGACACATCATCGATTATCATAACGGACGCTTTCCTTATATCAAACAAGGCGTCCGTCGACTCTTGGCTATGCATCGTGCCACTAAATTTCGAGTTTGAGAGAATGACAAGTCCCTTGGATGGAGAATTGCGCGGATTCAGCCCAAGAACGCAGTCTCTAAAAACCACGGCAAGATTCGTTGTTTTGGCGGACGTTTGAGGTGTACTTGACTGTGGTGGTGAAAGACTTGGAATCATTGTTGATCGTGTAGACTGCTCAGCAAGATTGGCGATTGACTTCGCCATCTCACTGGCGAAGTCTCCACCAGTAATCTCGCGACCGAGTCCAAGGAATGCCATGATCGAGGGAATTGTATACTCCACGCGAAGATGATGCAACTTGATTTTGATGGTGGGATCCATTTCGTCTGGGATGAATCGTGCCATGAGAACAGGGTGTCGTGGCTGGATTGGACTTTGATTTTTGCTAGGTAGGAGTGCGTCGCCCACGAGTTCTTCGTTGTCATTCCGGATAAGCTTTATTGCACCAACCTGAGTAGCAATCAGAGACGGCATGCTTATCCAGGCGGCCTCAAGGTTGGCAAGATGAGCATTGACGTATCCGACATCTCCGCCTACATGGACTTTGAAGTCAAATTCGCGGACCAGAGACAGGGTCAAAATTCCCGGCCGATCGTCCTCTGGTAGATACTTCGTGACTGTGGATAGTCGACCAAGCTCTGACACAAGGGATGACAGAGGGGCCAAGCCATCGATGCTAGAAACGCTCGTCTTCATTCCACCTATTGTTGTGCGAAGGACAGAGCCTTGTCGCCTTTGCCGCAGGAGCGTATCCACCATGATATCATCTTCATCGTCATACTTATCTTGAGATGGAGTGATAATGGTCAAAAGACGATCGAGATCAACTTCCTTGGGTTCAAAGAGGAACTCGACCCGAATGTTGCTCAGAGTCACCTTGGCCGGGGAATCAGAGAAGTCATCAAGAGGAAGTGGCCCAGTCAGTTGCGCCTTGTCAATTTGTGCACCAATTCCCTCAAATCTACTAACAATCTTTACCGCAGTTGTGCTGAGATTTAGATAATGCGTTTCACCGGTTACATCTAGTACAACCCCGCCAAGTCGCGCATTAATCTTCATCAGGGCGGATGACAGCTTTTCTTTATCGGGAAATTGGCTTGGCGTCTCGAAATGAACACCACGCGCGCGTTTTTTCTGGGGTTTGTGACCCCCTTTCATCGTGGAGGTTGACGATATAGAGCTTCCCAGTTCAATAATGGTGCTCAATCCACCCATCCAGCTCAGCACTTCTTCTAAGCGTTGGACGTTCAGATTGAGATAAATGGGGAGGGTAGATATGTCAACTTTCACAGAGTCTGCCATCTTCACCATCGAGAAAGAGATATCGCCTTGAGATGGCGTTGTGAGATCTCTGGTAGATTCGCGCATCTTCAGAGACTCATTAAATGATACCAGATCATCAGAAGCAAATCCAAAGCTGAATTTAGAGATGCCAAGATGGAACTTTGTTCGTTTATCATCCGCCGACAGGTTTGCTTTCAACCCAGATGCGGTCATTTGGAGAACTATCTCTTCCATATTAGTGTATGGTTGTGGAAGAGAAGAAATGTCATCGTTAGTTGAGTAATGGTGTCCTGGTACATGCTCAACAAACTTGATGGAAATGTTGTGGACTGTCAAACTCAAGGGCAACTGCGAAGAGGATTGGTCGGCTGCAGGTGGTTCTTGGCGTTGATCTTTCTCTGCTACATCAACCATATGCGATATCCTCTGGCCCGCCTTGATCAAAAGCCAGCCAGTAGCCATGTCAAAGTGAGTGGTGATTGAAAAGACTTCAACTTCAAGTTGGCCAACGGTGTCCGTCTGTGCAGCTTCTGGGCGATCTGCCTCAGCAGATGTGCGAGACTCGAGCGAACCTCTTTGAAACCTAGTCGACGCGTATGTCTTAGAAGCAAACATGCTCTCTTCCACACCATATGCAAGATCCGCTGAATCGCCTTCTGTGCTATCAAAAGATGTCCGCGTTGGTGTATGATCGCCTGCTTCTTCTTCGCTCGCAGCGGATGGTAACCAAAGATGAATTATGTCAATGCAGAGAATGGGCTTCTTCATCTCACTTGGCCTGTGTAATAAAGGTGAAGAGGCCGTGGAATATCTGTCAGGCAGTCTAGATTGTGATCGTGTCTGGTCTTCAGCGGACCGCTGTTCACCGAAGTAAGAATCCGATGGAACAGTCAATTTCGGTGTTGATGCCATCGTCTCATCCTGAGTATCTTGGCTAGACTCAATGTCATCGTTTATTTTGGACTCCGAGTGATGCATAGAGCTATTTTTCAGCTGTCCGCCATCAAACGAGTCCCAGGCGCCTGGCAAATCTGGCATGAAACTCTGTGCTGTACCTTGGCTCATAGCACTCATATATAAACTTTGTGCTTCGTCATGAGAGAAATATTGAGATTCGAGAAGTTCTGCACCAGGGGTTGCTGGTTTTGGGTTCGCATCTTCAGAGTTGGAGAATGAAGCAGACATTTGAGACAGTTGTTCAGAAGTGTCCACTTGCCCTATGGTCCTTTCTTCAATATGGGAAGACCAGTGTGTTGACCGGGTCATGTCGTCAGCTGCGGATTCTTGTTGGTTTCCCGGTAGCGATTCGAAAGCTTGATACCCACGAAGACTTTCTGGGTGCGTATAAAATTGTTCAGGCTCGAAATGCCCATGATCTTCTGGCTCCTCATTGCCGTTAAATGAATGGCTATGAAAAAGAGCACTATTGGGTAACTCATCTACTTGCTGATCTGAATGTCTCATTTCAGGTGACTCCACATCAAAGTCATCAGACTGAGCGTCAATTACCGAATCCAAATATCCAGGGTTATCGTGAAATGGATCATGGTTTCCAAAAACCTGAGAGTCATCAGGATAGTGACCGATTTGGTGATCTGCCTCAGAATCTGCATCTGAGAAACGTCCATCGTGAGAGAATACAGCTGAGACGTCCATTTCATTGCCGTCAAGACTAGCACGACTAAATGCGGGCGGTGGGTCAAATATAGTGGACCGTGTCATGGCAAGCGCTGACTCCGAGCCAGGAGAATCCAATAGAGGGGGTGAGGGTGCTCTACTTGATGCCTGGCTCTCTTTCGACTGCATTGTGGTGGTCGGAGATGCAGGTGCGGTGAATCGTGAGTAGTTGGCGAAGACGACTGGATCTGATACAAGGCCAACGCTGATATTGGTCAGCGATATCAGCCGCTTCCCCTCTCGAAGTGGCAAGGGCTCATCCGGGCTAGCGGTGAGTCCAGAAACCCCATGCACTTCTATCTCTCTCACACTCAATAGCCCTGCGACAAGATCTGGCTTGTCTTCAGGCTGTCTCTTAGAGGGGGCGTCTTGCTTCAACTCCATATCCATACGCACAGAAACATCTTTGATTTTCAGCTGCAACCGATCTGCCACGCCTTTCAAGAACCCAGCGACAAAGCTCGGCAAGGAAAGTGTATCACTTCCGAGTCCAAGTTCCTCTTCATCGTCCTCAGTAAATGACGGGCTTCGTTGGAAGGCATGGGATTTTGATGAAAGAGCGGCTTGAAGTTCTTCTTTTTCTTCCTTGGGTTCCGTTTCCAGGAACGACTCAGCGAGGTTGGATGGTGTCGGTAGACTCTGTTCCTCCGCAGATCCATGTAACCCCAGGGCAGATGAGAGCTGGGACCTTGTTTTTCCATGCCTTCCCGTTGATGGTTCATCCGACAAGCAGCGTAGATGCACATTGATCCCGTTGACGTCGCAGATTATCCCACTACTGTAAATGTCCGCTGGAACGGTGATCCTGAGATACTGTATCCGAGCACTGAGCAGTTCGCATGTCGGCGGAAGGTTTAAAAGAGTCGCTAATTTCTATTGATAGATCCGGTATGTGAGTAATCGATGTTCTGGTAGTGTAACAGGGGTGATCGACGGGACCGACCCCCCCGCATCCCCAAGGTAGTGATTTGTGGTTCTAACTCACCTCTAGCTTCAAGCCAATATCTCGCAACTCCACGGTACTTCGCTGCCCCCAACGAATCCCCAGGTTGTCAGGGTCCAAGGCCTCGGTATCAACGAGCCCAAGGCGGGACAAGGCATATTTGAGCAGTCGCTTTTGAAAAAATGATGGTAAGAAGTACGCCATTTTTGAGAGCGCAAGGTCGCTCAGTTATGCATGGGGGGGTATCATGGAGCAAGAAACATTATAAGCGAAAGATGAAGTCCCCTTGAGGGAGTTGCAAAGTAGAGAGGTTAATGACGTGCGGAGTGGGAGTGGGCAGCTGATAAAGGCGATAAGTGATCGACCCAGTCAGGCGGCTCCACAACTTCAATAGTACGTGTAAACAAGATAATGGTTCCAACTGTCGGATTCTTGGGCCTTTTTGCCCCGCTCACTGATTAACTTTTTAAAATCTTCCAATCCCGGTCAACTTGGGAATCTTCTTTCAATGCACCTTCGAGGGGCGACTATGCGTGCTTGTGTGCTTGTGTGCCTTGGTGCCTGACCAGTAATCTTCTGACTAAGTCATGCCTTAGGCATCTAGGCCAGGTACCCCGGATTCTCTACGCTGATATGGCAATTCCCATCACGTGATTTGTAATACAGTCACGTGATACATTATCAGGCTGCACCGTAACAGGGCAATGCCCCCTTTTTGAATCAGAGAGGCGTCCTCTCGAGCAGGTCAAATCAGAAAAAGGGAGGACAAGGGTAGAAGCGTTTGTGGGAAAGTAAAGACGTTAAAGGGAAAATTAAAATTTCAAACAAGCCCCTCCATTAAAGAAAAAAAAATAGACCCCCAACTTCCAAGCGCCACGTCGTTATCATACTGCGACGCTAAGCTCCACTTTCCGCCAGCTTGGTTTGCTGTGTTCACTGCCAGAAAATTTGACGAGTCTGCAATAACCTTCGGGCCTGTTTTCTTTTGCATGAAAGTGATCTGCAAACTGCAGACTAAGTATTGAATGATAGCGGCACCACGAGCTATTAGGGGAGTATTAGATCGTCGCCTTGCCAAATGACAGTCAGTGCATGCGTCGGAAAACTTCTTTAACACATCCTGGTATCTGCTGCCATAGCCGAGCGACTGCTGACCATTTCAATGAACTGGTATCAAAGAAGGTAGATTACTGGATAAAATAGTAAGTAGGAGACTAGGTAGGAGACTAAGTAGAAGAATAAGTAGGAGTCCAAGTAGGAGATATAGTAGGGGATATAACATTCGAATATAATACCTAAGTACCAGGCGCTACGCTAAAAGTTTCTGTCCTTATGGCCGCTACTCGCCCCTGTATGCCTGGTGAATAAGCTTCTTTTCACTCGCTTTTAAACCTTCTCTTCTTTTCACCCTCATCTATATTACTTTTTTTCACCTTTCGATTCTTTTTTATTTAAATGGAAAGCACACCACTGACAAACGCCGAAATGGGGCGCCTGTCGCTAAGCGACGACGCACTGGTGACTGGACTGGCGAATTTAGCAAGCCCATTGATGCAACTTTCTGGCCTGTACCAAGGCTCGCAACGGGCTATATGAGCTGTCTGCGATACCTCGCACCCCAACATCTACTATAGATGATACGGAAAACACGATGCAAACCCCCAGTGTCAAATGCCTCGACTACAAAATACTTGCTTGAATTTATGCCGAATGTGGGTTGAGACAAACGATCATCACAACGCACAACCATCCATAGATATCATTTTTATGTCATCGTCGCAATACGCATTACCCTCCGACATTTTGAGCAGATTGAAGACATTCATTCGAGAGAATGGAATGAAATATATCCTCTTCATGAGTGAATGTGACGGCTTCTTGACCATTCCAAATCACATCTGAGAGGTGTTAGACTGTGTTGCAGGTCTCGAATGGACGTTCGTCGTGTGCCAAGGAGATTTGATGGTGGATATCAACGCGGAGGCTCTCCGAATATCATGGCGATCAGCGAGAGACCCTCTCACGAGCCTTTCGGGGGCAGAGAAATGGTATCACAATTCAATTTTGAAAATCAATAAGGAGAAGGCCAAATGCTCTGCTGCAGGAATTTCTATGAGGACATTCACACAACGCCGTAATGTCTTTCCACGTAGCGCTGGCTCGGCTCAAGAATTAAAATACTCGCTGCTTGAGACGCGCTTTCAGGACCTTGAGGCAAAGTACAGGCAACTTTGTGATGAAAAGGAACGTGTTGGCATGCTCTGTGCAACTCAACGTGAAACGATTGAAGGACTCAGTGCCGAAGCTGCAACACAGCATGAAACGATTGCAAGACTCAATGCTGAAATTACAGAACAACGTGAGGTTATTGAAGGGCTTCTACAATCTCATTCTTCCTATACGCGTTGCGTTCAGAAACACCGCAGTGGGGAGTTGTGAGAGAGCTTCTGCCCCCGAGCCACTTGATCTGGTAAGTCATTACTATTCCTATATTTTGTTACATAGGTACTAATTGATCTATAGGAATATGTAACTGCGGAGCTCCTCAGCGTTTCATTGCCCTGTCTTGACTACTATGTATAACCTTATCCACACGATATAATAACTATCAGTATGAACTTAATATACTTGATACTATATGATAAATCGCACGATTATTTTGATTTTTCCAACAGAATATATGTGGCGTGATATATGAAGTTGCTTCAAAGATAATATTTTGTAGTTTCTGCTTGTCACATATGGCCATGCACGCTTCTTGTCATCCAGGTGGAAGTGACACACTCAAGATCACTGAAATAATCTAAGAAACGCAAGCGTTGCTGATACTCGCACTGGTATTAGAAAAGCGGTCGTGCGATGGGAACGGCGATTATTCCGATCGTAATCTGAATTGCTCGGTAATTGCCAGGGGTCCCGATGTCCATTTCCGCGTTCACGATGCAAATGTCGCTCCTCGCGTCATGACGGCCCTGAGGATTTCTAAGGAAGAATGTACAATAATTGATTTCAATTAAGATTATATAAAGCTAGTTATACATGCGTAACATAAGTCTTGAATTGCGGCATGATTAGCAACTGATATTGCAGGTTTCAAGTTTCTTGAAAACGTAGATCTCTTTCCAGATCCGCTGCCGAGTAAAACCATATTTGATGTGGTATACAAGACGCAATGTCTTCAAAACTGCTCGGCGGGGTCCAGAAACTCGGATCAGGTTTATCCGTTGGGAGGGCCTCGCTCGATTCGCCAGCCCGGTCATTAGTGCGTCGAGCGATGGGGATACACTTCACGCCGGCTCGCTCACATGCGCGGCATGGTCTCTGTCTATCGCATCGCCTTTTCCTCAAGTGACAGTAATTGCAGGCATGAATACGTGGTAGCTTCTTACACTTGGTGTTCAGAGGCTCATTTGATTCGTTGTGTAGATGATTCGTGTCTTGCAAATTGAATAGACGCGTTGCGTTACAAAGGCATCACGACATGGTACCTCTGGTGTCTGAGGCACAAGGTCTTCAAAACTGCTCGGCAAGGTCCAGAAGCTTGGATCAATTGCATCCGTCGGTAGGGCCTCACTAGGCTCGCGAGTCAAGTCAACAGCGCGTCGTTGCTTAGCGATAGACGCCCCATTTCGGTATTTATCAATTTTAGTGGTGATACACTCCACGCCATCTCGTTCACATTCGTGGCATGGCCGTCTTGCATCACACCGTATACACTTCGAACGACAGTTATTGCAGGCAATACCTAGCCGCTTACGCTTAAGTTTTGGACACACAGTTGGTTCGTCCATGGTCCAATTGTTCGAAAGTTCGTTATACAGAGGGGCAATGTGTTGCAAAGGAAAAGGCAGCGTTGTTTCGAACAGATCTGGCTTTGCAAATAGAAAAGACTGCGTGGTGTCGAACAGATTTGGCTTTGCAAGTAGGAAAGGCAGCGTTGTGTCGAAAGAGAAGAACGATCTTGAGAATGGATCCGGCTTTGCAAATAAGAAAGGCCGCATTGCGTCGAAAGAAAAAACGATCCTGAGATCAGATCCGGCCTTGCAAAGGGAAAGGCAGCGTTTTATCACAAGGAAAGAATGAGTCGAAGATCAGATCTGGATTCTTCGAAACCAGTAGTAAGAACATGTAGAAAGAAACGCGAATGGTGGACCGGAATCTGAGTATACTAGACACAAAAATGCTTTGCGTCGAAAGGACGAGAAAAGGAAAGGTTGAGAGAAAAGAAAGTAATAGAGGGGAGGGTGAAAAGAAGAGAGGGTTTGACAGCGAGTGAGGTGAAGCTTGAATAGTTTTGCCAGGCAGTAGCAACACGTCGCAATGGTATGATATGTGACAATTGATAACACATACATCATAAATAATGTATCTGATATGATACTGAGTTTTTGCTTTCTATGCATCGATCAAATCTGGATGATTGTCACTGACTTCCTTGCAGTACTCTATTTATACTACGCTGGACCTATGCCTTTACGCCGTAGTAAACGTAGTGTGTGAAGAGATATTATAAGTACTCAATGATTTAATCACAGATAGTAGCACTATTAGTATACCATAGATATCACTTTTCTCGAGTATCCCAAAATCGATATAATGGTCACATGGATGTATACTATGGTGATTACCTCGATGATCTCCTTTAAAACGGTTACGCGCTAGTCAAAGGTGTCGTAGCCCGCAAAAGAGCCCTAAAATATGCTAGCGATATCTATTGGTGGCTTGAAGATTTGTCTGTTCCCATTACAACCATTACTTCCAAATATGCGTAATTTGATTTGTAACGGTGAATATGATATTTACCTCGGCTTTGACCGGAACGACCTTCGGCTGGGCAGGAGCGAACCGAGAATGTCTTAAGTGGGGCGATTTACTGTCTCGGGACCACATAAGGAGTATAGTATCTGAACCTTGAAAGTTGTATTATTTATATCATTGTCCCCAAAGGTAGTAACCCTCTTATTGGATATCATCGGTCTTTTTCGCAAACATGTCAGTCAAATTCAATGTCGAGGTTCCGTTGGAGGAGTTGAAGGAGCCCGACACCAATCACGGAGGATACCAACCATTGAATCCACGCAGTGAAGTCCTTTCTAAAGGTACTTCTACTGCCCCAGGGAGACGCATATTGTCTTGTGATATCCTCGTTGAACATGATGTTTCAATCACTGTGCGCGATGGTTGCAAATTATATGCCGACATCTATCGACCCTCCAATGCTCCACCACGGTCAACTCCGGCTATCCTCTGTTGGAGTCCTTTCGGGAAAAAGTTCAATGGCATTGATTCTCTTAAACTGATGACACCCTGGAATCTCGGTATTCCAGATGGGACACTCAGTGGATTGGAGAAGTTCGAAGCTCCCGACCCGGCGCAATTTGTCGATCGCGGATACGCCATCATCAACGTGGATTCTCGGGGTGCATTCGATTCAGAAGGTCAAATGGCCATTATGGGAACTCAAGAAGCGCAAGATGGATACGACGTGATTGAGTGGCTTGCTCAACAACCATGGTGCAATGGCAATGTTGGGATGGCTGGTAACTCACACCTTGCCATCGTGCAGTGGTTCATTGCTGCCCTGCAACCCCCATCTTTGAAAGCCATTGCGCCATGGGAAGGATGTGGAGATCTTTATCGGGAGCAGTTTGCCCGAGGAGGTATCTACGGAGGAGATCTGTTTGACCACCTTATCGTCAAATATATTCTGCGCGGTCGCAATGGAATCGAGAGCTTCCGAAAGATGTTTCAGCAACACCCTCTCGCAAACGACTGGTGGAACGACAAGCGACCTGACATGACGAAGATCAACATCCCTACCTACATTACCGGAACATGGACCAACACTATGCACGGTATGGGAGCGATCCGAGGCTGGATGGATGTTGATACACCTCACAAATGGCTTCGGTGGCACCCATACCAAGAGTGGTATGATATTTATGCGAACCAGGAAGGCCAAGAGGAGCTACTCTCTTTCTTCGACCACTATCTGAAGGACATTGACAATGACTGGGAGTCGACTCCGAAAGTGCGAATGGCCATTTTGAAATATGGAGAGAATCAGCCTTTGGAAAATGTGATCGAAGAGGATTTCCCCATTCCTCGCACAGTTTACCGAAAGGCATATCTCAATGTGGATGGGGGGTTGACTTTGGACACAGCTCCATCAAAGACAGGTCAAATCTCATACAATTCCGAAGACCCGACAGACATGGCGAAATTCACGTACACATTCCTCGAGCGGACACAGCTTGTCGGTCTTCCAAAAGCAGTGCTTTACATGCGCTGTGAAGATCTGGATGATATGGACGTATTTATCGTCTTGAGTAAATTGTCTGCATCTGGAGAGCAACTCCTCAACCTTAACATTCCCTGGACCAATCTTCCTGTCTCCAAAATATCCCATATTCCGGAAAAGGAGCGCACGGAGGTCATTCTCTACCAGGGGCCGACTGGGATTCTCCGGGCCTCTAACCGAGAAATCGATCCATCACGCTCCATGCATCCAAATTGGCCATTCTACACGCATGAAAAAGAACAGAAGGTCCAACCGGGATCGGTGGTGCAATTGGAGATTGGAATATGGGGAATGGGAGTAGAATACGAGGCGGGTGAGAGTCTGCAGCTGTGCATCAGCGGTCATTATCAAGGAATATCCAACTTCGGCACTAACGAGCATGTTCATAATCGGGGAAAACACTGGGTGCATGTGGGTGGAGAGTATGACAGTCACCTAATTCTTCCCTGGATTTAATCACACTCTCGCATCCTACATAGGAAAGGCCTTATTTTTTTTCTTCTTGGTGATCGTAAGCCTTCTCTGTTTTATTCAACCCGAATAGTAAAAAAGTGGTCCGTAGATTGTCCAGACCTCTACTAATCGGATACTGTACTCGTGCTTTTTTGTGGCTGACGGACCAGTTCTTGGAAAGTGGGTCATCCTTTCAGTTGCGTACCTACTACTTAGAGTATCCATAATTGCACCTACTAGAGTATCCACCGAGATAGATTCCGCGAAGCTAGAGCATTCTAGCAAGACACAGTTCTAGCTAGTAATTTAGTAGCGATAGATTCTATACCTGAGCAACTGACATCTTCGGCGGAATCACGATATTTCGCTGGAGAACTCGAAGTTGCTTGTTTGATATGGAGAGGAAGGAAGCTGCGTCATTTGCATTTGGTTGATAAGGCTCCTGAAGTCGTAATCTATACGGATCACGCGTCTACAACTGGCATAGCATCACATGCGCATCTAGGTTCTTCGGCTACCGATAGGTCGAATCATCGACTTGTAAGGTGCTGCCTATTTCTGGAGTCCTCATTCACTGCATTGCATAAAGTATTCAAGCTTTTCTCTCTCGCTATTCAATCTTCTCTTTTTATCCCCCTTCTCTTCACTATGGCTCAACCACTCAAGGAGAAGGAGCAAGGTGGTCTGAGAATTCTTCCGGACAGTCAGAGTGAAAGACTCCATGTCTTCGAAGCCATCAAACAGCTGCTGTGGCACTGCAAGAAGCTAGAAGATGACGATGCTATCGATGATATGAAGAATGCTACACGTTTGAAGCAAATGAAATACGATGAAATGGTCAAGGACTTCATGGTGAAACTGCCCCCTGACGGACAACTCGACGACCTCGCGCTTTTTGTCACTCGCAAACTCATGAGTGCCCGGAAATGGAGAGAGATGTATCCCATCGTCATCGATCCTAACCACAACATCAAAAGAAAAGCGTATACCTTGTGGCAAAACAGTCGTTATATTGGCATTCGGAATCAACTGGATTGCCTGTATCGGAGATTACATGTTGTTAGGTCACCAGTTTCGAGGACAGTTTCCCTACCTTTTTGATTCTGAGCGGCATACAGGCGATCGCGGGCGAACATCAACTTTGGCAGACTAACCCTACCTGTTGACGCGAAGATCGACATGGGTAAAACCATGATAACAGAGGATGTCATTTTGCTTGACGGCAGAGTTCAAAAGCGTCCAGAGCTGGACGTCCGTCATTATGAAAGAGTACGCCACCCGGAGCATCTTTGAGTTTTCTCATTGGATTGTTGTGCTGCAGGCTGTGGGATCTCGCGATTGTTTCATCCACAATATCGATGAATTGCTAGCACTTCGTGTCACAATGTAAGGTCCAGCTAAACATCAGTTTTCAACCCGCGTCACTCCACCATTGATGTATGACTGTCTGCTAATGGGAATTATGAGGAAGGAAGCGTGGGATGACTTACGTTGTACCCCTTGGCAGGAGAAGGTGATGGACTAACTTCCCACGTTACCTCGATGTCTTCCTGCAAGAGCCCCTCTTATCGACATGCCGGTAGGCATGAGCTACATTGGGATTCAGTTGAATATGCAGAAGTGCATAGACGACAACGCCGCCCAAGATTCCCTCTCCAACCTCAGCTTTCCACTCAGTGGTCGACTGATCCTCGCAACAGTAAGACATCATCCGTAACACCCACTGCAATTTTATATACGCGGCACAGTCTCACATCAATGCACGGGATTTCATCTCAGTACTGTTCTCTGAGCTAATGGTTCCGGCAAATAGGAAGGATATTCTATCAAGAATAGATTAATCTCTTGATTAAAGTAGACAAATGGCGCTGCTGCATGGGCATTCACTATGTAGTTAATACATAAGATGACACCAGTGCCGAATACTCCCAAGGCATCTACTTTGCTATATATCGTTGAAATGCCGATTGCCCTGTCAGTCATGAATAATCCATCGATAAGCCAACATCCGTATCTTTGGTCCAATGAAAAACACCGGGATGGCGATGAGTGCCAAAACAGCACAAATAACCGACTCCACAATCATTGTACCATCATACCCAAGAGTTGTGATAGCCGGCAAAGTAGCATAACTCAGTCCAAAGGAGATGAATCCACGGCCTGCACAGACGACAACCAAGTATTGCGCTGCGCGCTCCGGGAAACTATCCACGGCATATGTTATACCCACAATGTTAGCTCCCAAAAAAGCGAAGAAGCTGGCATTGTAGCCAACAATTACGGCGCCGACGTTCCATTGAGTTGGGTGAGACCCCGCCTGTCCGTAAATAATACCGCAGATCACACCAACAATAGCCGGAATCGCCATCATGAAGAGTCGATACTCTGGTTTGTAGTTGCCATTGTTCCGCCGGCTGAGAGAGCGGATGATCAAATCACCTCCGTAGCCAAGGAGGGGGAGAAAGATGAGACAGCAAACAATCTGCCCCGCTTGGACATATCCGAGAGATGTGAAGGCGAAGCTGTAAGGTGGAGCCATCAAAATACTTGAGAATGTCGATGATTGGAAAACATAAACTCCAAGATTTGCGCCGTTGAGAAGTAAGAGCCAGAAGATTGTTGGAATACAGAATCCCTGGAGAATTTGCTTGTAAAAAACAGCAACATCCTGCAGGCGTGGCTTCAGAACGAAAGGCTTCAGGTCATCTTTCCAGCGACGAGGCCCATATTGCCCAATATCAAGGACAGTCCCGTGCGCACTGACTATGGCATTCTCCATGGCATCAATCACCTTTGGATCAAGGACAGAATGTCCTCGGACTGCTTCTTCTGGACGCTCAAAGCGGGACTCTGATACAAAGATGACGGAGAAAACAAAAACAACGGCGTTCATAATGGTGAAGAATCCATACCACCATCTCCAGCCCCAGGCTGAAACCATATATGTGGAGACCACAAAGAACATGCCGGCGGCGATGTTTTGAATGAAGATAAACCATGCAAGCTTGTGACCACGTTCATGAAGGAAATAGATTTCCTGGATAATCGTGGGAGACAGAGCCTCACTTTGCCCAGCCGCAAGAGACATGATGTTGCGACCTGCGATGTGACTTCCTAAGCTCTGCGAGCACTGGCACCAGATTCCAGCTCCGATAAGGAGAAGTATGGACCCGAGGAAGACGGGCCTACGACCCGCTGAGTATGCCCATGGCATGGCAATCAAGTTGCCAAGACCCATGAAGAGAGTTGGATAGGTCATCAGGTCATTGGCCTTGGCTTCTTGTCCTGGGTAGCTTTGTTGGACCACAGAGAAAATGGGACCCATTCCAGAAGCCAAACAAACAGCTGTGCAACTGTATGCTGAGACGAGAATTAGTAGAGCCCATTTTCGCCATGGGGGAAGGTTCAAAGGATCTAGTAACATAATTCGTGTTAGAAGGTGGAAAATAATGTGGCAATGAGAACATACCCTTGGGGTCAGCAGATGGGGTCGGTATGAGCACCACCGCATTATCTCTCAGCAGCTTGACTTGTCTAGCATCATTGCCATCATCAAGGTCTTGCGCTATCTCGAGGTGACTCACGTCCGTCTTGTCCATGTCTAAGTCGTATTGTTGAAAAGGAAGTAGACTGGAGGGAACCGATCCATAGGATGAAAGTTCCCACCTTACAGGCAATCTCAACTTTTATATCTCAAAGCTCATTCGCTTGGTTGGGATTTTCAATGCCTCCCAAGGTTAGCCTGACTCTACCCCATGTTCTCTCCACTTACCGAGCTGCGGGAGCGAATAAGAGTTCGGGTTAACAACGCGGTTAACAACGCTAATAACGCCACCAAAACTAGAAAAGAAGACTAGCCAGCCGAATAAAATAAGCCGAACCGAATAGAATAAGCCGAGCTGAATAGAAAAGTCTCTCCAATGTAAAGAGATGTTATAAAAACCAATGGTCTGATCAGAGTAGATGATAGCACCATTGGTATACCACAGATATCACTTCTCTCGAGTATCCCAAAATCGATACAATGGCCTCTACAACTACTAGTACAACTAGTGCTACTACCCGCCTGACAGCTCCATCTGGAAGACTGTTCTCGCAGGGAACTGATGTGCGTTATGGTGATTTTCGCGATGACCTCCTTCAAAACGGTTACGCGGTAGTCAAAGGTGCCGTAGCCCGCGAACGAGCCCTGAAATATGCCAGTGATATATATCAGTGGCTGGAAGATTTGTATGTCCCTATTGAAACCCTTATTCCAAATATGCGCAACTTGATCTCTAAAGCTGAATACGATAGCAACCTCGGCTTTGACCGGAACGACCGCTCAACCATTCACAAAGACCACCTCCCAGACATCACAGAAAAAGGCATGGTTCTTGGCTATGCCATCTCGCATGAATCATTCGCCTGGGGCGTACGCCAAGAGCCCGCCGTGATCGAAGCATTCGAGAAGGTGTACGACACTGAAGATCTGATTGTTTCCTTTGACTCGGTCAATATCGGCTTCCCCAATCGGAAGGATATCGAGCCCAACACGCCATGGCCGCACCAGGACCAGGATCCCGAGAAACCTGGATTCCGCTGTCTGCAGGGTCTTGTCAATTTACTTCCAAATGGACCAAAGGATGGGGGCTTGATGGTTTGCAAGGGTGCTCACTTGCTGAGTGAAGAGTTTCACGCCAATTTCAAAGAAGAGGAGAGAATTTGGTCTTGGTAAGCGGAATTCATACTTGCAACTTAGTTATCAGCGAAGGGTGACTAATTTCCATCAACACAGGACTAAGGAGTGGTATGGATTTACTGCAGCTGGACAGGCCTGGTTGAAGGAGAAGGGTTGCGAGTGGATTAAGGTCGAAGCCGAACCTGGCGACCTGCTTCTTTGTAAGACTCTGTTCAACGAAGCTCCCTGTGGGTAAGAACTAACCGGCTTAGGGGACTCGCGGACACCCCACTACAATGTGTCCTCGGAGACGGATCAGGATCGATTCTGTATTTACACATGCTTCATGCCTGTCGTAGATGCAACAAAGGAGCAACTCGAGACCAAGAAGAAGGCATTTGAAGGTATTTTTTTTTGACGCGAAACAATCGAGGAATCTTTACTAACTCTTCTTAGAAACCAAAATGACCACCCACTGGCCAAACGCGATGCACGTAGTCGAACTGCCTGTGTATAGAAATGGCGAGCCGGACCCTTACCAACGCTCGAAGCCCCGCAGTCCAGTCCAGCTGTCTGAGCGAGGCTTCAAGCTGACAGGTATTCCTTATCTTGAGCAGATGGCTTGAGATTCCCTGGTGTCTGTATTTTGAAGTGTAAAAGTCTTTCGACTTTTTGATTTAGTCAATATTATAGTAACAAATATCAACAACGTCACTCGCTATGATCAAATAAATGACTCAAATCGTTCCAGTCCCAGCCAGCCCAGTCAAGGGATGTTGGGCCCCAGGAAAAACCCATCGGTGGGATTGAAGGATCCCGACTAGTCGAATATGATTCGCCCATGAATGCAGCCGTAGAACTTGCACTTGCTTCTTCGCGTAATTCTGGTGCTCTTCCTTCCAGACATGCCAAGATGTGTTGGTCCAAGCCGTTTAGAATCTCATCAATATTGCACGCAGTACCATGTCTGTAGTACGCTTGTTTGGTAAGCTGCATAGCAGCTTTCATCATCTACGCACGATGCAATCACGTTAGCACTGACATTCAGTGTAGAGGATGATACTCACCTCGTAGTCAGAGCGAATTAGTAACGATTTCCGTTCGCAGATGATATGAACAGCAATCGTGTATACTGCAGCCAGTGGCGATGCAAAGGTTGTCAGGTAATTCGGTACGCCCGAGTCAACAAGTGTGACCCAAAGCTTCACCATATCCCGAGCAGCTTCGATGGCCATAGTTGGACCATTAAGAAGCTGCTGCTTCCATGGCTTACCTGCTGCAAATCTGTTGACTACTTCGTGTAGTTCCTCTCTCGTGATGATCAGTGTACTTCGGCTCAAAAGAATCATGCTGTTCGGAGTTATGTCAGTGATGTGTATCGCAGATGACGCCAAACATAAATTTAGAAGTGGGAATTGCTCCACATTACAACCCCTAAAACTTGAAATCGTACTCTAGGCAGGAGACTGGGTGGGAGACTGGGTGGGAGACTGGGTGGGAGACTGGGTGGGAGACTGGGTGGGAGACTGGGTGGGAGACTAGGTAGGAGACTGGGTGGGACACTGGGTGGAAAATTGGGTGGGAAATTGCGTAGGGCACTGGGTGGGATACTGGTTGAATGTTGATTAAAGACATGACTTACGCGGTGTAGTAGTAAAAGGAAAGAAATGCGACCTGTGAGTCACTTTGAAACTCCGACATCGGTGTTCCTCCAGGTCTAGGAGAGCCTCTATTTAGTGGAAAGTCGTAGGAGGTTAAAAGAGCAAATGGTGGCCGATCTTACCTGTATTTATTTGGAAGATTATTTTGCCAGTCCTCAAGAAGCAAGATCAATTCTCCCCCGGTTTGCAGTTTCTCCTCAATTGCCTCGTCCACTGACTGTGGCAGCCATTCTTCGCGCCGCCAAGCTCTAGCAGAACGTTCCTGGATTTCATGGAGAATGTTTGCCAGCCCAATAGACGCTCTTCGAAATTCTGAATCCCCGCTCTTTTCTGGGTTCATGAGCCTCGTCTGTGCTCCAGATAACCCGCGGTCCCAAATCATGGACGGTCGACCACTCTCAAACGCAAGAAACTTTTCGAAAACATACATGCACCACCATGTTTGGTCTGTGGTCTTCTGGTTTTCGGCGATTGGATTTTCTGCATCGAACCCCATATGGCATGTGTGATTAATTTCAATAGACTGGGCCATGGACACACCCATTGCAAGGACATCCCACGCCCAGACAAGCCTATCGCAACTGCGAAGGATGATCGCAAAAAGAAGGATCGCTTGAACAGACTCTGGGGAGCGAGTTGCGACAAGATGTCCAAGTAGTGAATTGCAGTATCCAATGTAGGATGATATACTCGCTCTGGACCCTTCTGATGCGGGCATAACCATCACCCCGGCCGTGATAATTAGATAAAGCAGTGCCTGATGAGAGGGCGTCGAATCCTCAAGTATGGGCGCGGACTCCTGCCATTGTGCCAAATTGCGGTTGTAAATTCCTTCCACTGTAGCCCTGTGAACAAAGGGAAACAAGCGATGAAGAGTTTCGAAATAGGAGTTAATCAAGTCACGCGTTTTCTCCGACGAAGGGAGATCGGGGGCGCAACGAGGAAGAAGAGTTGTGAATTGATTATTGATAATGGGAGAGACGGAAGTGATCTTCGTTGCTCCCAACCGATAAAATGCAAGGTCCAACCATTCTGTCGATAACTCAAGCATGCTATTGCCATCCAATCGGGGTATCATGGGCAATCTGCCTGTTATCCAACGCTCCCGACTCCAACATTGGGACCATAGCCGCGGGCGATCCTCTGCAGAAGTAACAGATAAAGAGTTGCAATCGGGGGAAATGGGCGTTATTTGCGTAGTCGTTGAAACGGGAGCACCAGTGCGTCGTCGCTGGGCGACAGGTGCCCCATCGCGGCGTTTATCGGTGGTGATGCACTCTATCCCAGCTAATTCACATGCGTGGCAAGGTTGCTTTTCATCACAGCGTGTTTTTTTCGAGCGACAGTAATTGCAGGCATACGACAGCCGCTTGCGCTTAGTGTTTTGAGGCTCAATTAATTCGTTCATCTGAGATATTTAGATTGGAAATGATTGAAAGAAAGAAAAAAACGAAGAGAAGAAGTTAAAAGTAGATAGTGGCTGCTGGATTGAGCCAGCGCCTCCAACAAGACTGGATTGCGAAGATATAGAACGATTCGCCTCGAGCTGAGCTGGTGCCTGTGTCCTTAAGACTGGGTAGGAAATTGGGTGAGTGTGAGATATGTTTATAGCCACTGGTAGAGAGAGAAGGAGCGTAGGCGGGCACACTAATGGCCGAATAGCCTGGGCAAGTTAGCCCGAGGCTATTGGTGGGCTGGGGTGGGGTGCATCACCACCGATAAACGCCAAGATGGGGCCTGTCGCCCAGCGACGACGCACTAGTGCTCCTATTTCCACACAAACTCAAATCACACCCAATACACCCGATTGCAAATCTCCATCTATTACTCCTGCACGGGATCATTCTCTGTGACAAAGTTACCTGTGGTTGACATATAACTCAACGGACCCTCCTGATTTAGATTGATTGACAATTTCGAGTCTCCCTTAAGCTACTTTCCTTCTACAAAGATTCGACTTAAGCGCATTAGATCACTCCGCGAAACCGCCTATTACCTTTATAATAAAGGGACCTAAGAGGGGTAAGACAGGTGATCTATTTCGTGTCTCTTCAATTCAGCCGCTTATCTAAAATGATGGCGTTACCATTGACTGATTTGACGGGAATCTCATTGATCGAAGCCTAACATCAGATTCATATTTTGCGTAGATAAAATCTCATGACCAGGAAAACAAAACAAACAGTCTATTTTTTTTTTAATCATCCTCATCAAACTCCGCAAACTCCATTACCACCCATTCACAGAATTTCTCAAATTCAGAGTGCCATTCTCGCAAGCGAGCAGCCTTAATTCCCTCGCCCAAAATTCCCTCTTCAACCTCAGCCTTCCACTCAGTGGTCGACTGATCCTCGTAGCAACTCCACCGGATCGAGTTCTGTACCATCATCGCAAGTCCCGCAAGATCAACGTTTTGAAGACCTTGCATGACCTGCCAGAAATCATGCGTCAGTCCGTTCTTTCCATGGCCAAGAATAGCTGGATCGTCATTGCAGAGTGACACAGGGACACCCCTGGATAGCATGGCTGGCAAAGGATGAGACTTGATGGAGCTCGTAAGTCGGAGGATCTCATTGGATATGGGGCAACATTCGACCAAGATTTTCTTCTCCTTGATCAAGTCGATGAGCAGCGGGTGTTTATACAGGGAGAATCCATGGCCGATTCTCCTGGTTCCCAAAAGGACTGCATCGAATAGGTTATGGTCTGTTTCAGTGCCGTCTCCCAGAGTCTCGCCGGCATGGAAAAAGAACGGGATGTCTTCTCCCTCTTCAGCACAGCGCTTCTTAAACCAGAACAGCACCGGTACAAAGTCCACAAGGGACCTACCGGTGTCTTCTTGTCCGACCAAATCATATCCACAAATCAAATCCGGGAAGGCCTGTTTCATGGCGATGCATTGCTTCATGTCTTCGACGATGTTGGCGTTGGGGAGCATCCGCAGACCGCACCAGATGATTCGCGCTTCGTAAAAATTCTTTCCTTCCTCGGATTCCTTGAACCGACCCAGCTCCTCCTCGAACACCCGAAGGAACTCTCCATTATCTGACTCGGGGTCATTGCTGCCTTCTTTCCGGTACAGGTTGCGGAACACGATGCGGAACTCGACATATCGAATTCCATCAATCGCAAGTTGCCCTAACATACGACGCAGGCAGGTCCGGAAAATCGGTTCATACATCAGGATAGAGTTGATTACCAAAAACGTTCGCTTGAAGATGTCCCAAATCGCATCGACACCATGGTGGTGCTGGTATGAGTGTTCTGGCATGATCATACATCGACTTTTTACCCAAGCTCGGAATCCCTCCTCTCCACCGTTAGGGAATGAAGACGCTGCGGTCTGGAGGGGAACGAGGGTTGAAGCTTCGTACTGCTCAGACCAAATGGCAGCCTGATCTGTTGCAGTTTGCGATGTAGATGAGAATTGGAATCCGAAAAGAGCCGTTTCGTAGTCTTTTGTGGTAATCAGCGGTGCTGGCGCGGAGATATGCATTCCTGGTGTTGAGAACGCCTGATCAACCAAGAAGTCGATGTCGAACATCGCATCCATGTGGGCGTGCAGAAGTGAACCCTTGGGCATCTTCTCCACGATTTTCCACAAGTTTGTCTTCTCCATGCGACCTTTGGCATGATGGAACATGACACCCGGGTAGAGAATCTCGTCCGACTGGTGGGCAGTGGCCTCGTCTAAACCTTGTGTCCATACCTCGTTCTGTTCCCGAGCTCGGATCTGAGAGACAATTTTGCACGCTCGTGCAGCAATAGGAGACAAGGTTTTCCGGAATGTGGCGTCTGGATGGGTTATTTAGCATGTCTTATCCCAGTGGTATCAATCTCATCATACCGTGACGCCGTTTCTGCTCCTCTAGGATAAGGGCATCGCGTCCCTTCAGGTACTTTTGAATGAATGGATCCTCAACCTGAGGGATTCCTTCCTCCAACTCCCACTTATCACTTTCCATGGTTTTAAAGTATAGGCAGGGGTTTAGTGGTGGTGTTTAGTACTGATGAAGATCTGGGTTGAAGAGGGGTAATCGACCCCACATCCGCTTTCGGGTGATTATAACCAATCCGCTGGGCATAATATAGGATAATTTGTATAATTAGGAACACTCCAATAAATCCGATAGATGTTAATCTCTTAAACTAAGTCAATTTTCCGATATCGGTAGATCACCCAATGAAGCTTTAAAGTCCTTGAGAGTCGTAACCCACGAGTGTACATATGCAGTGAATTTAACACATAATTTTAGGTAGCGGAACTGAATTATTCATTGACAGGTGCAATAAATACTGAAGACCTTAATCTTCCAATGTTTTCATTGCGCATGATTATGTATCTGACTAAACGTTGGAAAATGGTCGATCGGGCTAAATAGTGGGCCGTGTAGAACCATCGGAGATCTCAGCAAGCTCTTCTTTGTCTTCGAGATGGCCATATTAGTATATTAGATTCATAACACTCTAATTTCTACAAGTAAATCATCAAGAAGAGGTTCAATTCAGAAAAAGAAAGTTATGAAACTCTGTCACAAGAGTCACAGAAGATTTTTCTCCCATCGCTACTACCAGTGGAGTCCTGCAAGGTCTAGGCCAAATGGAATCTAAGGTAAGCTCAAAGCAAGTCCGCTTACAAGAGCCAATATTTGTATCCAAACTACAATATCATCATTCAAGCTATTGTGAACACCAAAAGGAAAAGTCAATGAAAATGAAACCAACATTTGAGCTCGAAGAAGCACTCAGTCAGTTAAGGTTGAAACTTCAGCCTCAGGCAACATGGTTGACATATAGTACTGCCCATTCTCACCGTTCTTGATCCAGTCCCAGGTCAATATGCAATCGAATCTACATGTGCCCATATCACTGTAGTTGTCATTTACTTAGATCTTGAGTGTTCTTGCATGCATTGAAACCTTGATACTCCGCACTTAACTCTACACTCCAAGCGTTGAGGAAAAATTGAAGCAGAACCTGTTGAGCACACGACCACAAAACCAAATTTTGGTGACCCACATGCCGTTAGGGTATCAGGGTCGCCAATCACTGGACCCTCCAAGTCTAAAGTGGCGAAGAAATGGGTCTATGGACCGAAAAAGTTAGGCTCGAAGCAATCTCATTTGTCAACGACTCCAATATGGTTACATGGCCCCTCTGAAGTGTGGCGCCGAGCCCGCAAAGTATGGCAAGATTAGGGGTACATCCCGATACTAACAAAAGACCAAGAAAGAATTTAAAATCCTATTAACTAAGTCCTATCGGTTCTTTTTATCAGTTCCCCGCACAGAAAGTCGGTTGGAGAAAAAAAAAAAGGGAAAAAACTAACTACTCCAATGGGAATTAAGCTTGTTTTCTGAAGATTGATCTTGATATCCGCCCAGATTCACCCAAGAAAAAGCTCTATCCTGCCATTCTGGTAACGCTGATCTTGCTATTACGGATTCCAAGCTCAATTGTGCTGGCAATTATTGCTTGCTCGATCAGCAAAGACGGAGTGGAATCTACGCCTAATATACAACAGAATCCCGGTCAAGCACCAATCTGACGAGGAGAAAAAAATTTCCGAGCATCCAATCCACCACTCTGCACCATGCCCAGCCGGTCTGAGGCCACGATTTCGGATATGACTACCCAGGTTTCTCACAGTGTTGACCCTGTGCTACAGACGGAGCACCAACACCACCACGCGCATCATCACCACACGGCCTTTGCCGAGCAAGGACACGAGGATGAGGTGGTTTACTCCAACGACGTATTCATGGAGAAAGGCATCGTGCCCGAGCCGAGCCCTTTGGATCACACTAGCAAAACCCAGCATTCAAGTGATGAGGAGGCGGGAGACTCGCAACCAGCGACGCGACCATGGCATCGGCGCATCACTAAACACTGGCGCCCGATTGCGCATGCCATTGTTTGGTTGTTGTTCACCGGGTGAGTAGACACTTATACCGTTTAGTACGATTGCCCTCCAGATACTTATGCTCGTGCTATAGCTGGTGGATCGCTAGCTTGGTTCTACATCGGCATGATAAGAACTGGATCATTCCTTTCCTGCTCTACCTCGCCATTACGCTGCGCATCATCTTCTTCTATGTTCCCATTTCCTTTTTGACGAAGCCTATGTACTTCATCTGGTCTCATACTGCGCGACGGGTTGTTAGTATCATCCCCGAGAAGCTAAGATTACCAGCAGGTGGCCTTGTAACCATCGCTACCATCTTAATCGGCTCTTTCGCATCCCCCACTACCGCGACAAACAACCGCGCAGATCGTGCCGTCAGCCTGTTTGGCTTGGCCGTCTTCCTGTTCATCCTATACCTCACCTCGAGGGACCGCAAGAAGATCGTTTGGCACACCGTGATCGTCGGTATGCTCGTTCAATTCTTAGTTGCACTCTTCGTCCTCCGCAGCGGAGCAGGCTATGACATCTTCAACTTCGTCGCTACTCTCGCACGTGAGCTTCTAAGCTTCGCCGCCGACGGAGTCGAGTTCCTGACTGCCGACGCTTTCTATGAAATGACCAGCCCTATCGAGCCCAGCACCTGGTTCCTCGTCAGCACCCTCCCGGCAATCATCTTCTTCGTGTCCGTCGTCCAGCTCTTCTACTACATCGGCGTCCTCCAATGGTTCGTCGTCAAGTTCGCCAAGTTCTTCTTCTGGAGCATGCGAGTCTCTGGTGCTGAGGCGGTCGTCGCCGCTGCATCCCCCTTCATCGGCCAGGGCGAGTCAGCTATGCTCATCCGTCCTTTCGTCCCCCATCTCACAATGGCCGAATTACACCAGGTCATGACCTCCGGCTTCGCTACCATCGCGGGTAGTGTCCTCATTGCCTACATCGCAATGGGCGTCAGCTCCCAAGCTCTCGTCTCCTCCTGTGTGATGAGTATCCCTGCCTCGCTGGCTTGCTCGAAGCTCCGCTGGCCCGAAGAGGAAGAGAGTCTGACTAGGGGTCAGGTCGTTGTGCCAGATAACGAGGAACACAAGGCTTCGAACGCGCTGCACGCGTTCGCAAACGGTGCCTGGCTGGGTCTTAAGATTGCCGCCATGATGGGCGCCACTCTTCTCTGTATCATCTCGCTCATCGGTCTCGCTAATGGCCTGCTTACCTGGTGGGGCCGCTACTTGAATATCGATAACCCACCTTTGACCCTCCAGCTGGTCCTCGGCTATATCTGCTACCCGGTTGCGTTCTTGCTCGGTGTCACCCGTGATAACGATGACCTGCTCAAGGTCGGTCAACTGATTGGCCTGAAAATTATCTCCGTATGTTTTGCCCCTCCATTTCCATACCAAACAGATATCCTAACTCTTGTTCTAGAACGAGTTCGTCGCTTACAAAGACCTCCAAAGTGAGGCTTACAGCAGCCTCTCTGAGCGCTCTCGTCTCATTGTTACCTATGCTCTTTGTGGATTCGCCAACATCGGCTCGCTGGGTAACCAAATTGGTGTCCTTTCGCAAATCTCGTCTGGGCGCAGTGGAGATATCTCACGTGTAGCTTTTAGTGCCATGGTCACCGGTGCTCTGAGTACCTTCACCAGTGCAGCTATCGCGGGTATGCTCATTACCAATGAGCAAGCGTACATTAGCTAGCCTTTGATTTGGTGATTATTATGTTTTACTTAGTCTAAATATTGTCTGAAAACGGTTCTAGGCTTATGATATGCCTTATGCATTTGATTGAATATGCTATTTGATATTATTTTTGATGGTTGCTCCAGGCTATTTTCTCAGGGACTGGTGGTCTCGGCTCTGAAGACCGGTCCATCGAAGATGTAGTGTTCACCTGGATTCAATTGCTCGTCCCATCCACGGACCCAAAATGGGTAGGAATTTAGACATGCCTTGTTATGACCTCAATGAATTCAACTCAAAGAATTCAGATTTGCATACTGTTGTCTTCGTTACAGGGTTATTGAAAGCTCACGGTCAGTTTAAAGCGTTATTACGCGGTCACTCATGGGAGGCAATGGACTAATCAGGTGACGATTAAACAAAAGCTTGCGACAAAGCCAGGGTCGCCTATACTTGAATGTGTAGAATAAGAATAAAAAGCTAGAATATGACCGAAACTCCGTTCCCAATGAACCAGGCCAATATGCATTCAGCCCATCTCCAGAGCCCATCCTCTTAGAGGGCAAGGGATGTCCGGTGGGTCGACCGCCAACGCGCAATCAAAATGTATGCTAGGCGGAAATCTACTCGTCGTCGAGGTCTCGGTGTCGCGCCAGGACATGACGCTTGAACTCTTCCTGGTCGGTGTCCCAGAGCTCGGCGGCTTGGGCATTCAGTGGACTCGCGCTGTTCGGATTGTTAGTACCACAAGTTGGAGTGTTTCGCTGAGCCGAGCTTACTTGTTAGGTTCGCCCAGGAGACTCTGCAGACTCAAGAGTACACTCTGTACATTGTAGACAGCACTCCACTTGTCCTTCAGAATATCCAAACAAATGCGGCCCGAGAAGTCGAAATTAGGGTGATAGATGGGGGTTTTGAAGAGAACGGTCGGAGGCGAGTAGGGGTAGTTATTAGGGAAAGCGAAGGAGAGCTTCAAGGTCAGGCCTTCGTAGGGAGTCTCGGTCGGGCCGGTGATGGTGGCGGTCCATGAGAGGAGGTTACCATCGGCATCGGGGAAGGCGGAGATACCGGGTGAGGGCGACAGCATGAGCTGCATCAACTCGGCCTGCAGGCTATAAAGAGAGAGCAGGTCAGCCGCGATACATGATTGGCTAGAAGGGGTCACTCTGCAGGGGAACGAACCGTTTGGTCACGCTCTGCGTGTCACCTCTCTGGGCGGAAGAATTCAGCTTGGAAGCTTCCAGCGCATCAGGCGCCGAATTCTGAGTATCTTCCATGGTGTAGTCCATGTTGAAATCTGGGAGATCTTTAAAAAACCGAGTGGTCGTGAAGAAAAAGTCCGCAGATTCCCGGGCCGTTTGGAATGTGAGTAACAGTAGCACGAGGGTTACTATCTGGAATGGCCGAAAACAGACTGACCCACCAACGTAGGAACGAAAAGGGATGAAAAGAGGAAGTGATAAGTTAATAAGTTGGTAAATGGTAACGTGGTGTCAACAAGAAAAGTGACAAAGAGAAGTTCCGACTCGTAACCCGGACGCCATTTTGTTTACGCTTGGCCCTGGCAACCGAGTTCCCCGCTTAAGGGGCTTACGAAAGACAAGTTCATACATTGAAGTTGAGTTCTATGTCATATTCACCATTTTGTATATAGTAATCTAGTCTGGATTTTAATATGATTTCGGATGAAAATGTTTGTATTGTATTCGAGGAGAATCATAATTCGAATGGAAAAGCGATTAAACCGATCGGAGAACAAGACTAGTGCGATCGAGAGGGGTTTCAGTGCGGGTCACGTAGATGCAATAGATCAATCAAATATAGTTAATGGAGAATTAGTTTCAAACTCAATAACTATGCATTTCTGGCAATCTGTATACTAGGATCTTAATGAAAGATCCCTATCGTCATCATCTGTTCAATCCAACCTATTTCTACCTTTCTGATCCAACGGTCCATGTCTAGGCAGATCAACAAACTTCCCGAACAGGTTTAAGTGGTGTGGCTCCGCGTCCGCGTCCCACTTTTGCGCGTTTCACGGCCCTTGCTTGCCACTCCCAACCTCGTCTCAGCGCAATGAAATAGTCCCTTTGGTCTGAATTACAATCATTTGGTTCTGTATTCAGGGCCCAGGATGCAGCATTCACAGTTGGCCCCATTGCCAAACGACGTGCCCTTCCGCATTGTCTCCAAGACAATCGGACAGGGTGCCTATGCCTGGTGAGTCAAGTTTATCATCCAAAGTCTACGTATGACCAAATTTGACCTGAATCCTTATGTAGCATCAAAAAAGCCTGCCCCCTGGACTCGGACAACCCGGTCTTCGCGGTCAAATACATCCACAAAGAATACGCGGCGAGACACGGCAAGATCAGCGCGCGACAGCTGGCCCTGGAAGTGTCTGTGCACAAGCATGTGACGGGGCACCCCAGTATCATAAGCTTTTACCAGACTGGAGAGGATTCCGTTTGGCGATGGATCGCCATGGAATTGGCGGAAGGGGGTGATCTTTTCGACAAGATTGAGGCCGATGAAGGTGTGGGAGAGGATATCGCACATGTCTACTTCTCCCAACTTGTGAGTGCGGTTAGCTTCATGCATTCAAAGGGAGTTGGCCATCGCGATATCAAACCTGAGAATATGCTACTCACTTCAGACGGAAACTTGAAAATCGCGGATTTTGGCCTGGCGGCGCTGTTCGAATACAAGGGATCCCGCAAGTTGTCTTCCACCTTTTGCGGTAGTCCACCATACATCGCACCGGAGGTAATCACTTGCAGCACGCGAGGACAGATCAAGGGATCAGGATACCACCCTGACATAGTGGATATTTGGTCTTGCGGTATTGTCCTCTTTGTCCTCCTAGCGGGGAATACTCCGTGGGACAGCCCAACCGACGATAGTTACGAATTTCACGAATATCTGGCTACAAATGCACGCACAACGGATGAGCTATGGCAGAAACTACCTCCTGCGACTTTATCTTTGCTGAGAGGCATGTTGACTGTGGATCCCAAAAATCGATTCTCGCTGGAGGATGTACGAAGACATCCGTGGTATACCCGGGCCAACAAATTCCTGTCGCCTGATGGCAAGCTTAGAGATCCAATCAACTTGGCAACCTCAATGTTTGAGTCTCTGCACATCGACTTCAGCCAGGATCCACTTTCTCGGAAACGCAAGGGTGCCAGTCGAAGCCTTGATGTCATGGACATGGACATGGATATTGGTGGTGGTGGTGATGCTGGATTCTCTTCAACGCAGCCTGAAATGCCAGGCGGTGGCATGGTGGTGGACTGGGATGCTCCTCATTTGGCTTCCGGAGTTTTCTCATCTACCCAGCCGGCTGGAAAGCCATTTAACACCCAAGAGGCAGCCATGGCCAATCATCTTGAAGATGAGCCGTCAATGTCTCAGTTCTCCCAGCAACCTTCTGTGCCACTAAGCCGCACTCAGAACGCTCAGAAATTTCAAGACATCATCCCGTCCCGCTCAATGAACCGCTTCTATTCAGCCTGGGAGCTCAAGCTTCTGGTCCCCTTGATTTGTGAGGCTCTTCATAGACTCGGGGTCCCGGTTCCTACTGTTCCTGCCGTGAGTAGTGGAGACACCTCTGCGATGATTCGTGTCATTACAAAGGATGGCCGATTATGTCAACTCCAGGGTAAGGTTCTCTTCGAGTGTGTGTCCGAGGGCATCTTCGAAGTCGAATTTGTGAAGGTCAAGGGTGATCCACTTGAGTGGCGCCGATTCTTCAAGAAAGTGACCATTCTTTGCAAGGATGCGGTGTTCAAGCCTGATGAATGATTCCACTTATGTGACATCACTTCAACTTATGTTACCTGCTTTTTTTAATCGCTTACGATCACTCACGACTTAGTGGGGAAGGGTATCTAGGGTTTGGTAGGCGTCCGTGGGATATCTAACCCCTCCTCACAACCAAGGGTTTACTATTTAGGTACCTGAGGATGCCTCATCAATGTTTTATGTATTGTTTAATGTATATAATTTCTATTCTCTGCATTGGTTTGCTGTAGAGAAAACGCCCAATCAATTTGCTTATTTACTCCCCGGGAATACCTACTAGGTACTACCGGGGAACCGCTTTCTACAGAGCTGAATGATTGAATCCCCTTTCAATCTCACATCAATATTCATCCACTTTTGTGACTTTGTCCTACATCAGGAAATCGTATACTATAAATTCGACCAACCATTTTCTGCTTTCACTTTATTCTCTCTACTTTCTTTTGTCTTTGTCCTGCCATGCTCATCGCCACGTGACAGCTTCTGCAGATCGCGGGGAAGAGCGATTGGAACTTTGCAGAAACATAATAGGCCCCGCTCAATATTCCTCCTTCTTCTCCTTTGCCCCCGATGCTGCAACTTCCCAGGCCTCCCTCATGGACAAGCTGCCGGTAGAGATCCTAACCAAAGTCATCGACCGTAAGCGCCGCCGAAACTCCCCCGAATTCTTCCCCGCACCCACTATGCAGAAAAAAGAAAAGAGAAAAAAACGCCCGCTGATAACTTCCACCATAATCAGTCCTCACCCCGAAAGAGAAGGTGCAGCTGCAATCTGTCTCCAAAAAGTTCTTCGACCTTGCCCGCGATAATAACTTGTGGAAGCTGCACTGCTATGAGCAATCATGGGCTGCCTTGCAATCTTCCCGTCCGGCGGGCCGAACCTCGGAGAGCCTCCTCACACATTCGACGGCCTCTTTGAGTACTTTGGGACAAACCTCGCTGCGCGAACTAATTCAACCACCTCCACCGCAGTTAGACGAGGCTGTCCCGAACGACCCTCGAGGGTTGTCGTTGAGTGAGAGAGCAAGGGCGGCATCTGAATGGGAGTCTTCGATTGAAGGTGAACATGTCGATTGGTACTCGGAGTATATTGCCCGCCATGGGCCCATGTCTTTGTCCTGGGTACAACAGCCAATGATTCAAAATGGAGCAGGCCGAAAGCGTACACCACATGAAGTCAAGGGTATGGGTTTGCTCAAGGATTGGAGTTCTGCCAGGCAAAATAAGATCGTTGCACCGCTAGAAGACGGAAGTGTCTGCATCTGGGATCTTAACCATTCTCATTGCGGTGATTCACAATCAAGCAAAGGCAAGATCCTGGGCATGAGTGAACCTGGCCTCCTCATGAAGAACCTTTCCCGACGGAGAGATCATTCCCCTTCCAAATCCTCGCTTGAGTTTATTAACTTGGGCGAAGGAGTCAGTGTAGACTCCTTCCGGCACCGAGCATACCTGGCGGTTGGAAATGTTCTCAATGAGGTCGATCTGGAGACCTTGAAATTGATCTCACAGCAGCGCTATCCCTGGTCGATTTTTGCACTCTCTCAGGAGACCGATTATTCTGTTCCACTAACATTAGCCACGACGCTCAGCCTTCAAATACACGACGCCAGATTACCTGCCACTGAAGAAGAGGAAGCAATCAGTCTGCGGTGTGAGGAGAATTCCGCTCCCTTGGTGCCTGAGTTAGACATATTCTCTCATTCAGACTCCCCACGGCTGCAGCTTCAACCGAATGGGCTACCTCCCCATCGGATTCGAAGTCCAGGCCCATCAGACGATACTAATTATGCGCCACTCTTCCAGCCTGGGCCTCTGTCCATTCTCCATCCACCCGCCCCGCATGTGAATAGCATTCTTGTTGCAGGCAGATTTCCCAGCATCCTCTGCTACGATCGTCGCTTTTTCCCTCGTCTGCAGAGCACCGTCCACTCTGGTGGTAGTCTTTGTGGTCTTACATCCGCACCTGAGCCCCGATTCCCCGTTTTCAAAGACTCGGACTACCCTGCATCTCACAACGTTGTCGCGTGTGGCGAGTACAACGGAAGAGGCTCACTGGAGCTATACAACCTCAGCTCTTCCTCTCAGGATCCCCAAAGCCGCCCATCAGACAGATCGTCCGCCCTGGTACTGCAACATAAAAATCGACAAAGCGCGGCTAGCTCCAAGCTTCTATCGGTAGCTTCTCACGGAAATCGTATTGTCTATTCAGATTCTGAAGGGAATATCAAATGGGTCGAGCGAAATGGCCGCGCCGAAGTCCGCCGATGGAACATCAATACCTCCCAGCCCCAACTTCCATTCTTCCGAAGCAGCCAGCCACCTTCCGAACAATCTGGAGCTGACGACTCACAACCCCGAGGGCTTTGGCCAAGTTCACAGCCTGAAAATAACAGCAGTGAAGTCGCGCGCAAGATTCTCCCAACTGGAGGAAACCTCACTGGTGATGAGCTACTGGTGTGGACCGGAGAACGTATTGGACGTATCAAGTTTTCCATTCCCGCAGATACGAATCGGGAAGATGATGAAGAAGACGAGTGGTTCATGCATGCCGAGGTTGACGAAGAGACAAGGGAAGCCATGCGGCATAAACTACGCGACGAATGGGAGAAAGAGCGAAAATACGAAGATACCATGCGGCGGGCTTTGGAGAGACAAGCGGACGAGGTACGATGGATGGGGACGGACGGCATGAGTTGATTTAGATCATCTGTTTTCACTTATTGTTTGCAGCGTTTCTTCATGGTGGAAATTTCCGATACATTGCACCAGATTCTCCATGCCTGCCATCATCAAACTTGGAAGCATATAGATCTGACTATTTTGTTCTAGCGAGCTATATATAATGCACTCATTTTCCAGTTGCGGGCGTCTTTGAATGCCTTCTCTATGAGACTAGAAACCCTGAAAGCTTATTATGACGAACATGAATGAACCAGATTCGGGACTGGTGATCTTCTAAGTCTGTCTAGCTTGATGTACCAGATAAACTTCAGACTATATATCGGATGTCGGATGTCGGCTTCGGCATCGGGGTGAATACAGTCAGCAACCGCGGTTACGTTACACCGGGCAAACTCACCGCCGGTGCCGGCTCCCCGCACCCGAATTCGATCACGAGCATTTCTAATACAGTTGTAAGCCATTACTGAGGCAAAGTTCTCGAACAATTCTGGTTCTAATCTTTAAGAAATTTTTACACGCACTTCCTTTTGCCTCTCCCAGGTTTTTAAACTAACTTCAGTCCTTATTTTTTCATTTCAATTACCAAATTGCGAAGTGAGGGGCAAATTATTGCACCGATAAACCATACCCACCATCCAAGATGCCATCCATGACAGAAATCGCACACCAATTCGACTCCATTGAGGATACAATTGCAGCTTTCAGTGAGTGCATACCTTTGCCAGCCTACCTATTCCTCTCTTCCGGCCCATCCCCTCGACACGACGCGTTCAATTGCGCCCGGTTGACTAATGGTGACTCACTCAGAGAATGGCGAATTCATCATTGTCCTCGACGACCTCGATCGCGAAAATGAAGGAGATCTCATAATTGCAGCGGAATCCATCACGCCGGCCCAGATGGCCTTCCTGGTGCGCCATACAAGGTAAGCACATGCCCCGCTACCCAGCTCGGCTCGGTGAACTCTGGCAAGGCAGGATACAATACCTCTTTTTCCGAATGACATTTTTCGTTCCGGACGGGCCATGATGTCCCTTGATTGATTACAAGCTAACTGTTCCAGCGGTTTAATATGCGCTCCCATTACCCCCGACATAGCCACCCGTCTCGCCCTCCCGCAGATGGTAGCCGAAAACGCCGACCCTAAGGGAACTGCCTACACCGTCACAATCGACTCAAGCGATGACTCCGTGACAACTGGTATCTCTGCCCAAGATCGCGCACTCGCTTGTCGCACTCTCGCCTCTCCAGATGCTACTATTGACTCTTTCCGTCGGCCTGGCCATATTATTCCTCTCCAGGCGCGTCCTGGTGGCGTGCGCGAGCGTAAGGGACACACCGAGGCTGCGGTGGAGTTCTGTCGCCTCTCTGGAAAGGCACCGGTTGGTGTTATTGCGGAGCTTGTGGAGAGTGGAGAGGTTGTTGAGGGTGTGCCCGAGATTTCCGGAGATAATGGTATGATGCGCAGAGATGCTTGTCTTGCATTTGGTAAGAAGTGGGGCATTAAGGTTTGCACGATTGAAGGTCTTCTGGCTTATTTGGAGAAGACCGAGGGCGTGAAGAATGGGAATCATTGATATTTTATTGTTCTGAATTTTTTGTAGCTCCATGTCCTGTATATTTGGGTTGGTTGGTCTCGGTTGTACCTAAATCTTGGCAGTTCTTCTGGATACCTCTGTAGATGAATTACAAAAGCCTTAGACTTCGTCTTATTTCAAAGTTTGAACTGGTGTCCAGGTGTACCGGTATAGAGGTATAAATGAAGTTGATAATTAATTTGATAGTTTATCTGGGTATCTTTTGGGTTTGGTCCCAATATAAAGATTGATGCGAGTTAGAGACAATTTCAGAACGCCGATGCAATGCAAATCGAAAGACTTTTTAAGCCTGACGCGAGGATATGAGGATTTTGAGTCAACAGACCCATTACCGCTTCAGGTGGGAATAGTCTCTCAGAATACCCATCATGTGGGTGTTGGTAGTCTTTCCGCTGCGGCGAGGCTTCTTCACCTTCTTCGTCTCAGCCTTGGGTCGAGGTTTTGTCACCTTGTTCTTGTTCGTAGGCGTAATTCCAGCCTTCTCCAGCTCCTCCTTGACAGCCTGCGCGTCGGGAATCTTGATCTTGTCCCAAATTTGCTTGAACTCATCATCGAAATGCTCGATGAGCGACGGGTCGTTCGCCCAAATCATCTTAGCATGATCGTCCTTTTTGTTTCGAGTCACAAGCAATTTTCCCTCCTTCTCCAGCTGGTTGATAGCTTCCTCAACGTTGGGCCAACCTTCCCGAAGCTCTCGCACATTCATTCCGGCGGCGGTGGTCTGCGCCTGGAGTTGCTGAAGAAGCTGCTCCGAGTTGCGAATGTTGTGTGGAGGGCGGAAACTATAGGTTCCTTCGCCGTTGGCGCCGCTGGGGTCATATTCCACCTTCTCGTGTGACTTCAGAATTCTTGCTAGAGCGAGAACATAGGCTTGTTCATTCGGGCGGTTTTGAAGGGAGAGATATGAAATGATATCGGAAAGTCTGAGCGGTACGCTTTTGCTCTTCATGTGCTCGATCGCAAAAAGGACTTGAGTCATGATATCCTTTCCCGTGCCCGTGTTTGCCGGCTGAGAGTAAACGATGTCGACATCGTGCCTCTTTTTCTTCACATCAACAGACGATGACGGAGTCGGCACGGATGATGGCACCTGTGAGCTGCTGGCGGAGGCGGGTTGAGCAGGCTGGTTGTTCGCCACGCGCCTCTGCTGAGGCATGCGGTTCGCTGACTCCATCACCTGAGTGTTGAAGTTTTTGAGCTGGTTTTGAAGGTATGACATGATTGCGGCTAAAATTTGAGATCTTTCGAACACAGACGTGGGATGAGAAGGCTAAATGTGGGACGAGAAAGGTCGTAAAGGATGAAGTTAGGAGCCGGAATGTTTCGAGCTGGACTGAGCTCCGATTAAACGATCGATATCATAAGAAAATGCGATGCAGCAAGGCGCAGTATGAATGGATTTCGTGAAGTAGAAAGAGATGATGGGAATGAAGGCGATCACCTTGGTTGGATATGAGGTGATCAAAGAAAAATTTGAAGGAAAGTAAAGTGAAGAAAGAAGGTAACGTAGTTGAGGCTCCAGTAAATTTGGGGACTAGTCACGTGAAATGGGGCCGCCTTTGAAAGCAATGCTGTCGCGGCTGGAACTCGCCCTTGACCTTCAATTCACTTCATCTCCATCGACGCCATTTTTCTTCCTCCCCATAGATCCACTGGCGCTTCCAGTCCAATTACGACACGACACTCTTTTTGTGCGCGTCATGATCTAGGCCTTCCCTGGCTGCGCTTCGTGTTCATCTCAGAGCTGTGCGCAGCAGCGCGTTTCGGAACCCTCGAGGCCGATATTGCTTTGCAAGACGGCCTTGCGTTTCCCTTGGCCTCGCAGCCCTAGCTGCTAGCACCCTCGCTCATCATGGCGGATACCGCTATTGACATTCCTTATCTCGCCTCCCATTTCTCTTTGTCTTCCACCACCCTTACATCGCTTACCGAAGCCCCGACGGTTGACCTCGTCAACGAACTTCTTCAATCCATTACCAACAAGGCACACGGATACGATGAACTCAAGTCGGACAAACTACGCTTGGAGGTTGAGCTCGAAAATGCTGTGCGCAGCAACGAGTCTAAGATCAAGGTGCTGAAGAGCACGGTAGAAAAGGGACACACTGAAGTTGAAGAGCTAAGAAAAAAGCTTCACGAATCTGGTAATTGTTTGATCTTTCAATCCTGAGATATGGACTTTACTCTGATATCTAGCAGAATCTACGCGCAGCACATTAGAGGCTGAGATTTCGAAACTCAAATCTTCCTCCACTTCTAATGTAAGCGAAGTCAGCTCCCTGAAGTCGCGCATCACATCCCTCGAGGAATCGAACCGAGATACCCTTCGATTGCTGGAATCTAAATCCGCTGCCCACGACAAACTTGCAGAGGAATTGTCCGTTCAACACAAGAAAACCATTGAATTACGCCGTGAGATTTCGACGCTTGAGCAAAACCTCCAGAATGCCAATTCTGCTTCCGCGAGCGCACGATTCCGCGAGCAAAGCATTCAGCAAGAGTTAGATCTCACTAAGAAAAACAACGAATGGTTCGAGACCGAATTGAAAACCAAGAATGCCGAGCATATCAAGTTCCGCAAGGAAAAAAATGCTCGCATCGCGGAGCTCCAGCGCGAAAATGAAGAGGCAAACTCTTCCATTGATGCCTTGAGGCGCACTGAAAACTCCCTGAAGAGCCGCCTGGACGAGACCGAGCAACGGTATGAAGAGTCTCTTTCTAACATTCAACAGCTCAAGGAGGAAGCAATCCAAGCCGCGGAGTCCTTCCGTAACGAGCTAGATAGTGCCAACCGACTTGCCGAGCTCCAAGGGTCTGCTGCACAGAATGCCAAGCAAAGAGCCCAAGAGTGCCAACTCTCGCTGGAGAAGGCCACTGCTGATGCCGCAGAGGAGATCTCTCGTCTGCGTGTGGAAATCGAGGCCGAACATAATGACAAGGAGGCTGCCGAGCGCCGCGTCGCTGAACTTGAAATTTCCATATCCAACCTTGAGTCGGAAGGAGCACGAAACCGCTCCATGAGCCCTGCAAGATCCATCAACGGCATGGCACCTACAACACCTGTCCGACCAGCAACGCCTGGAAGCTCATTCACCCCAAGAACCGGTCGAACCAAAAATGGCCTTTCGCTTACTCAGATGTACTCCGAATATGACAAGATGCGATCACTCCTCGCAACAGAGAAACAGATCAACCAGGAGTTGCGCTCAACTCTCGACGAAATGGTGCAAGAACTTGAGTCGAGCAAGCCAGAGATTGACGAGCTTCGTGCAGATCACACCCGCCTCGAGAATGCTGTGATGGAGATGTCCGACCTCCTGGAATCGTCAGGCAAGGAACGTGACGAGGCAACCAAGGAAGCGCGGAAATGGCAGGGTCAAGTAGAAGGCCTGCTCCGTGAAGGTGACATTCTCCGGCAACAGCTTCGTGATCTGAGCGTACAGGTCAAGAGTCTTGCCCTGGAAGTGGCCATGGCCAAGCAGGGCGAAGACTATGATCGCGAGGAGCTCGAAAAAATTGCCCGCCAGGAGATTGAAGAGTCTTCGACTGAATTGAACTCAACCGGCCGCTTCATCAGCCAGCATCTGACCAGCTTCAAGGATCTCCACGACCTGCAAGAGCAGAATGTGACGCTGCGCCGTATGCTCCGAGAGCTTGGTGACAAAATGGAGGGAGAGGAAGCTCAAGTCAAGAATGCAACGAGGCAAGAAGAAGCTGAGGAGCTTAAGGAATTGCGAGTTCGCGTTCAAACCTACCGGGATGAGGTTGCCAACCTCCTCGCCCAGTCTAAGAGTTACGTCAAGGAGCGTGACACATTCCGCAGCATGCTAATGCACCGGAAACAAGCAATTGGTGATACATCTCTGTTCTCTCAATCAATGCCGCTCGGTGCCGTTCCCCCTGGTGCAAATGATAGCCAGTTGAAAGATTCGACTGACTACGCCGACCTGCTTCGCAAGGTGCAAGCACACTTTGACACTTTCCGCGAGGAGAGTGCAACTGATCACAAAGCTTTACGACAACAGGTCAATGAACTCTCTCGGAAGAACAGCGAGCTTTTGAGTGAAATCAGTCGCTCTAGCAGCCAACTTGCAGCAGCTTCTCAACGAGCCGAGCTCCTTCAAAGCAATTTCAATATGCTCAAGAGCGAGAACAGTGACCTACAGAAGCGATACTCGGTTCTATTTGAGAATGCCAACCGTCAGGACCTTCGGACACAACAAGCTGCCGAGGACCTGGTCGAGGCCAAAGGACTGGTGGAGAGCCTCCAGAGAGAAAACGCCAATCTCAAGGCGGAAAAAGATCTTTGGAAGAACATTGAAAAGCGATTGATCGAAGATGGCGAGAATATGCGGAACGAACGCAGTCGACTTGACAACATGAATGCCAGCTTGCAAACTATGATGAACGAACGTGAGCATGCAGACAGTGAGACTCGCCGGAGGCTCCAGTCCAGTGTGGAGAGCCTGGAATCGGAACTGCAAATAACTAAGCGGAAGTTGAATGACGAGACGGAAGAGTCCAAGAAAGCGGCCATGCGCCGTGAGTATGAGCACGAACAAAGTCAGAAACGGATTGATGATCTTGTGGCTAGCCTGAGCTCAATTCGAGAGGAGCAGGTTGCCATCAAGACTACCCGCGACCACTTGCAGTCCCGTGTTGACGAGCTCACTGTTGAGCTCAAGAGCGCCGAGGAACGTATTCTGGTCATGCAATCACGCCCGAGCGTCTCTGCTGCGCCTGCTGATGCCCTCCATATCGCCCAGGAAGCGGAAGTGGATGCTAACGGACTGACTCGGGAACAAGAACTCGCCATCGAGGTTTCCGAACTCAAGCGTGACCTCGATCTTGCCAAGGCAGAGCTGGCCCATTCTAAGGAACAAGTTGAAGAATACAAGAATATCAGTCAATCAACCGAGGAACGCATGGAGGCCGAGGCTGAGACCAATGCGATGTACCGCGAAGAGACGGATCGTCTTATCGAAGAGAAGGACAAGAAAATTCAAGATCTGGAGACTCGGATCGAAGAGATTTCTTCGGAGCTTTCTTCCACCAATACAGAACTTTCAAAGCTACGTGATGAGCAAGGCGATGCTACACGTCATCTTGAGGAACAGAAAGCTACCCTTGAATCGGAAATTGCTCGCCTCAAGGATGAGAACGAACGACAGGTCGCTGCTGCTCAGTTCCATCAAGAAGACCTGAAAGCCCAGGCTGAAATTGCTCAGCATGCCCAGCAAAACTACGAGACTGAGCTTGTGAAGCACGCCGAAGCTGCAAAAAATGTTCAGAATATTCGCGCCGAGGCCAATCAGCTCAAGCTTGATCTGGTGGAAATGCGAACCCAGTCTGAAACCTACAAGAAGGACTTGATTCAGAAAGAGGAAAGTTGGTCTGAGCAGAGAGCTCGTTACGAGAACGAGCTGACTGAGTTGCACAAACGCCGCGAGGAAGTTCTCCACCAGAACTCCGTTTTACATACCCAGTTGGAGAACATCAGTACCCAGATCAGCGCTCTCCAGCGTGACCGTGCAAATGTCCCTGATGACGATGAAAACGATGATGGAAACTCCGCTCCTAACCTGGAGGGCCTTCAGGAAGTCATCAAATTCCTGCGCCGGGAGAAAGAGATCGTGGAGGTCCAGTACCACCTGTCGACACAAGAAGGAAAGAGACTGCGTCAACAACTCGAATACACCCAGTCTCAGCTTGATGAGACTCGACTGAAGCTGGAACAGCAGCGACGTGCTGCTGCTGACTCCGAGCACAATACCCTCAACCACAACAAGCTAATGGACACCCTTAACGAGCTCAATCTTTTCCGCGAAAGCAGTGTCACTCTTCGCAACCAAGTCAAACAGACTGAAGCAGCTCTTGCAGAGAAAACTTATCAGCTTGATGAGCTCCGCCAAAAGATCGAGCCCCTGGAGACCAAGATCCACGAGCTGGAAGGAAACCTGGAAGCAAAGGACGGCGAGATGCAGCTGCTGCAGAAAGACCGCGATCATTACCAGCAGCGCATCCAGAATATTCTTCAGAAGTACGATCGAGTTGATCCCGCTGAAATGGAGGCCCTCAAGGAAAAACTCAGCACCCTGGAGAAAGAACGGGATGAGGCAGTATCGGCTCGAGATGAGTTGCAGACGCAGAAGGCAGCTCTCGATGAGCAGCTTCAGAACGCGGAGGCAGATGCGACCAACCGTTTAACCGAGCAGCGTAACAGGATTGGTGAACAGTTCAAGGCTCGTTCAAAGGAGCTGACTGGACGTCTGAACGCCAGGCAAACAGAACTTAATGCCGCTTTGCAAGAGAAGGAGGTCCTTGAGGAGGAGCTGACCAAGACCAAAGCTGAATTAGAGAGCTTGAAGGCCACCATGGCCAATGCTTCTGCTGCGGCCGCTCCTGCGCCAGCTGGCACAACTGAAGCTGCGCCCGAAGCCACAAAGGTTAACGCGACCCCTGCCTCCCAATTCCCAACGGCCACAACAGCCGTTGCTGTGCCCGTGGATGAGCAAAAGGTCAAGGAGCTGGAGGCAAAGATCCAACGCTTGGAAGCTGCCTTAGCTGAAAAGGACAGCCTCCTTGCAGCCAAAGAAGCCGAGCAAGATAGCAAAGTCAAGGAACGTGTCGATAAGATCAAAGAGATTTACAATGGCAAGGTCGCGGAACTTCGTGCGGCCCATGCTCAAGAGCTCCAAAAAGCATCTTCGACTGAAGGGCAATCGACTCCTGCCGCGCCCGCGACACCTTCCAAGGGTGTTTCTTCAGATATCCCGGAGCTCACAGACGCCCAGGCCCGGGAGCTTGTTTCCAAAAATCAAACCATTCGGGCTATTGTTAGAAATAACATCCTGAACGGGGTAGCTAAGGAAAAGGAAAAAGAAAGGGCCCAAGCCCAAGCCTCAGGAGCGACTGCTGTGGATGCGGAAGCGTTGGCGTCAGCGGAGGCTAGGTTCAACGAGGAAAGAGATGCGTTGAAGAAGAGTCATGAGGCGGAACTTGGGGACAAGGTGAAATCTGCTGTGGAACTCAATGAGAAGAAGTATGCCGCTCGCTTGAGTGTGAACGAAGGTCGATTCAGGTCGGCCCAAGCCAAGATCGATGTGGTTCAAAAAGCGGCCGCGGAGACCCCTCAAAGGCCCGTTGGTGAGGTTTGGGAGGAAGCTAAAACGGCGAAGGCTGCGCCAGTCACAAAGGTTGGGGGGATCTCATCTCCTGCTGTCTCATCTCCTGCCGTCTCATCTCCTGCTCCGCTTCCTGCTATTTCTTCTTCTGCCCCGCCTTCTTCGCCTGCGCCGGCTGCTGCAGCGCCAGTGACAGCCCCTGTACTGAGCGCAGCACAACCCGTGGTGGCCAATAACCAAAGAATTACTACTGAACAGCCAGCTAGCCAACAAAAGCCCCAAGTGGGCACGCAGGAGAGTGTGAACCAAAACACAACACCCGCGAATCCTTTCGATCAATCGCAGAATGATCAACAACCCCAGCAACCGGCTTCTCTGCCTACCAAGCCGCCGGGCAATACTCCACCTGGCATGCTCAGGGCCCTTCAATCGGGCTTGCCAGTTGTACGAGGTGGTCGCGGTGGTCGCGGTGGCGGCCAGCAGCACCCCTTCGGCCATGGTCAGCAGCAAGGTGACCAACAACAATCACAGGGACAGGGCCAAAACCAGGCCCAGCGCGGCACTGGCCTCCCACGAGGTCGCGGTGGTGGCCGCGGTGGACAAGGTCGAGGTGGACAGAACTCCTCGCAATCTCCAAACCAGGGACAAGCAGGTCCAGCAACCCGTGGTGCTCTGAATGTTCAGGCCCGTCAATTCATCCCTCAGGGAAATAAACGGAACCGGGACGATGCCGCCGATGCTCCTAACGAGGGGGCCAGTGGTGGTAAACGCATGCGAGGTGGTGGACAGTCTCGTGGAGGCTCATCTTAGCTGTATTGTCGATTCTTTATTTGTATCTATTTCATGTATGGCGTCTTCGAGATTCAAATGCTATGTACTGCCACCCCTAGCTATCATGAACAATCTCTTTTTCCTTCTATCTACTTGTCCAGCTCTTTAATACTACCTAGTAGGGTATTTACTTGAGTCCCTGAGTGCCTAATTAGGTTACCAGCTTATACCTACTAGGTACCTCTTTCGAGGATTCAAGTATCAGCTATCGTGTTGCTTGTCAAGTTAGGGATGAAACATCGGAGAATCAATATGATGTTGACGAGTGAGGGGACAGTTTTCATTGCATTATCCCATTATCCCATTATCCTTTCCTTATATCATTCCACTCTTTTCAGCCAAAGATGTCTTCTACGCCAGTTATCGTGATCTCGCAAATTGTCTTCGGACATCTCAGGCAACTCTTGAAATTTAAGTTCACAATACCATTCACAAGAGTACTAGTTAAGACTTCAAGTTCTCATACGACCTGATGCTGCATCAACCCCTATCATCAAACCAAACGGTTTTGTCTCATCACTCGCTCACTATCAACCAGCCAGTTGAAGGTCACACCAGTCTTCTATTACAGAGTTCCTTAGTAGGCATGTTGGCTATTAACCAAATATCCCAGAATATGACCTATAATCTCTAATATGTACTGTATGTATCTCAAGAATCTCATCTCTTCTTTCCTGCTCCAGCAGGCACAATCATCCTCGCCAAAACCTCCCTCTCCTTCTGCAACACCATCAACCTAGCATCCTCAATAACCTTCCCCTCAGGCGCCAGTCCCGGAACAGGAGTCTGCGTAACCTGCGCCGCAACAACAACAGCCGGTCCAGGCTCTTTCGCTCCCCGTGCTCGCCTCCTCCGCTGCCCAAGCCCAGATCCCCACACAACCGTCCAATCCGGCACGACGTTATTCTCTGGAACTTCAATCCCAGAACAGATCTTCACGTGTGAACCTATGTCCGCGTAACGGTGTATTGTGGCGAGTGCTTCGATGGAAGCGGAAGAGTGGATGTGGGCGCCTGGCCGGATTGTTGATTGAGGACCTATTGTTACAAAATATGAGAGGCGGGTTGTGAGGTCTCTTTCAGGTTTTGGGCTTTGCGGTGGTTCTTGTGCTTGTGATTCTGGGTCTGTTGAGGTTGGTCGTGAGGGGGATGGTGAAGGTGATCGTGACGATCCTCGTGAAGATGTACTTGGTGGCGCACCAATGATGGCCTTTTCGCTGATTATGCAGCCATCACCGATTATGATAGGGCCTTCGTAGGTGTAGAATCGCGCGCGCGGGTGGATGACTGTGTTCGCGCCGATGGTTACGGGGTATTTGCCTTGGAAAACAGCTGTGTCGGCGATTGTGGAGGTGGGATCGGCTTTGACGGGGGCTTTTGGTGGACCCGTTGGTGTATGTGAGCGATGTTGCGCTGGGGGTGGCTTGAGGGTGGCCATTGTTGTTATGTGAGGTGGAGATGTTAAGATGTTTAGAGGTCAAGTTCGACGTTGGATTCGGGGATTGCGGAGTTTGGATGCAACTCAACCAGATCCAATCGATCTACTCTACCATGGCCCATGAGTATACTTTGTTCTTTCTATAGCTTTCGCATTCATATGTAAATAGGTTCATAGCTATTCGGGTATCTAGTCTAATCTAATAAAAGCAAAAGGTAAACAATCATCAAGTTCAGCAGTGTACCTCACTGCTCTTCCTCTATCTTCTGCTTGATCCCATTTCTCTTCCTCCATGCCCAAACACCCCGATCAACTTCCTCGCGTGTCATACCATCCCGAACCAAACAGAATGTAACCCCCAACTCCGTCTCGACATTCCGGTTCCGCGCCTCATCGTCAAAGAAAAGCATCTCCTCATACTCAAACCCACTAGCCTGCTGAATCTTCGAGAAATGCTGTGTCTTATTGGCTGGGAAAATCTGAATAAATTCGAAGTAATCCAATGCGCGAGTAGTACGGGTGTTGGCACCAGGGTTATCCGAGAAGGTCGGGATGACGTGCAGCGCTTTGAGCAGATCGCGCGCTAAATCGGGGGTATGGGTACGCGAGGCCAGGGCCATAGGGATTGAACGGCTCTTGCAGGCGTAGAGAATGGAGGAGACGGCTGGGTAGAAAGCGAAGGATTCACCCCATCTGGGTGGGTTAATTTGGTACTGCTCGTGGATAGAGGGGTTTGTCATACCGGTCAACGATACGGGAATTGTTGTCGCGCGCCTTGACGGGAGCACTGACGTGCGTGTCGACCCAGAATGGCCATAGGGTGTAGTCCAGGTCGAATACGATCAGTTTGGGGAGGGGGAGGCCATCGGTGAAAGTTGCGGGGGCTACAGAGGTCTCCTCCAGAGGTTGAGTGTTTTGGCGCTTGCCCGCTCGTACCATTGTGATATTTACAAGAGAAAAATGAGTTCAAGTTTGAACGGGAAATGGAGTCAACGAGTATATTGCATGAATTCAAATCCCAAATGTTAAAAATCGCGGGGGAAACGGGCCTGGCACGTGCCGTCTTGATAATCAACAATAATGGGAAATCAGGGAAATCAAGTATGGATATTGTCTCAGTAAGCATTGTAAACGGGGATCAAACAAAGAATATAAATCCCTAAAATAAAGCGCTGGTGTCATGGTCAGTCAGTCATAAAGTAAAGTGAACCTGATCCTAGTAGCACTATATTATAAATTGAGAATTAATAGAAGTTGACAATATCTTTGAACTCCTCCAGCAACAATCGGTCCACGTCCTCCCATCCGGGAGAACCCTCAGATTCGGTTAGTTGGTCGTCATCATGCTTCGTCGCAGGGACATTCATTGGGCGCCACTCAATTTTCTTCCTGCTTTGCTCAGTTTTTGTTTCGTTGATGCTGTCCGCCTTTCGTTTCAGGTGAGGAGTATTCCCGGACAGCGCAGTCAATGGTGCAGATGCAGTTGGTGCCGAGCTTTTGATGCTATCTGCACTGGTGAAGATTTCCTTTTGAGGAGATGAAGTAGGGTATGTCCATAGCTCAGTGCTGTGACTTTTGTGGGTGTTCTCTGGAGATGCCGGCATTCCTTCCGTTGAAATATCGGTTGGTTCTGTAGTTTCTGTAGTTTCTGTAGTTTCTGTAGTCTCTGGGGTTGGATCACCGCTTGGTGTTGTGAGGTCGACGAAGAACTTGGATTTTGCTCCATTTTCCGGAACTTCGATCGAAAGGGGCTGTTTGAACCCTGCATCTTTGAAAAGCTCCGACGGGGATGGGAAGTCGCTGAATTCGTCATCACCATAGTCACTGGAAGTTATTTTCGAAGAGCTTTGGACGGCTTGGTACTTGCTTGAAGACGGGGCCGCATTTTTGCTTCCTCCAGTTCCTGTGCTGGGCTTCTTCGATTTCTTTGATTTCTCCTGTCCCTTCAACGGGCTCAAATACTCACTTTCAGTGGCCTTTTTCCTAGCTGCAGACTTGCGATTCTCTTTCTGGACATCCTTTTCGGAGCGCTTCTTGGTTGTTGTAGCCGCCAATGTCAACTGGTTCAACCCATCGGCTTTCTGGGATGCGGTAGCACGTTTCTTGCCGGGCTTAGGAGGCTTCTCAAGGCCTGTTCTGCAGCATAGATGTTTGCAACTGGCCTCATTAGCGCAAGGTTGATCTTAATTTGGCCAATCACGTACCTTGTCTTGTCCTTGCATTTATGGTTACAGGCCCAATTACCGTTGGCAAGCCGGGCAGGTTCGTCTTCTTCCTGCTCCTGTGGTCCCATATCAGCGATCCACTTGTCACCTTTTGCTTTTTGGGCCTCCGTTGTTTTTCGTGAGCTCGGACTGCTATCAATAGACATCCAGTCCTCTTCCTCGATTTGTGTATTTTTCATGGAAGCAATTTTCTTTGACCTGTCTGGACGCGGACTGTCGAACAGAAAGTCATCCAGGCCCAGGTCGTCACCGTCAAAACAGTCTGCCTCAACAAATGCCTTGGGCTGTTCTTTCAATAAACTCTGAGGCTGTTGGCTTGTAATTATACCAGGCTTCTCAATGCTTCTTTGGTCGTTTGTTCTAGCTTGCTTTGCTGGGAGATGGGAGGAGAGATTGAACTTCAGTTCGGCTTGTCTTGCAGTTCCGGCTATCTCCTGGTTAGCAGTCCAAACTGCACTCAATTTTCAGACGGAAAATACCAATATCGTCACACATAGCATGACATACGACGTATTGACTCGCGCTCCTCAGATTCGCAGCGAGGGTAATCTCTAGACCGTGATGGAGTTTGCTTGCACTGGATGAATGTAAGCAATCAAATATTTTGCTCTTAACTTTTCCTTGACTACCTTATCCGGCGGAAATCAATCAATTGACCGTCGGATGTCTCGGTCAAGCAGCAGATGTAGACTGGTCGACCCAGAAAGTACGCTGGAATCTTTTCATTCATGAACGCCACTTCAAGCTTGAAACCAATAGTGACTGAACCATTCTTCACATCCTAAATAACCATGGTCAGTAATATGGATGAATTCATGCAGTTATCGAGAACAAACTTTTCCAGTCATCTTCACATCAATGCGCAGCCTAGGAAACTCCTTCAGTCGACAGAGCAACTTTGTGCCAAAAGGGGGATTTCTGCTGAGAGTCATCTCGATCTCATGAGCTTCTAAGCATTCGAGTTCCTCGATGCCTGTAACCCCAGCAGCAGCAAGTTTTCGAACGGCCACTACTCCGATCTGCTCGATCTGCTTCATCTGGAGGGGTGACTGATCCCAAACCTTCGCACCAAAGCTTCTAGCTAACTCCAGTGCATTCAAGATGGACACGGAGTCCTCACGTTCGATCATGCAATCAATTACACATCGGATCAATCGGTTCACATGGGCGAATACGAGGTTCTTGTCTTGTTGGAGGGAGAACTTGAGTTTCTGAAATTGGTCTCCACATGGGAACTCGATTGCACCCAGTTCAGACTGAAGAAGAAGGGAGATTTTGTGAATTGGGAGAGCGATGTCGACTTTGATCGGATATCGAAGTCCTTGGTCCCGGTTGATCTCCTTGTAAAGAGACTTTTCACCTACCTTGAAACGGATTTCTCGGAACTCTTCGGCTTGGACAATGACATCGAGCTATATTCGTTAGAACAAGGTGTTTCTTTGGAATGACAATACTTGCAATCTGCGACAATTCTGCTTTTTGCTTCAGCCCAAGCAGGATCTTCATCGTTTCGAACCGAACGTAGTACCGAGCCATAGCATCGCCGTATTTAGTCGAGCGCAGAGTCTCAGTTTCGACTAGATCACAGTCCTGAAGAAGACTGATGTCTTTCTCACAGATCTGTCGGAGCAACTCGTCTTCGTCTTCCTGACTGGCCCCTTCTTTGAGCTTGTAATGGGTCGGATTCCGACGGAGTCTCACGAAAAGAAAAGTCCCAGCAAGCCACTTGGTAGCCGTTTCGAGGTTTGTGACATTTCCCAATCCTATCTCGGCATTGAGATGCTCTATCAGGTTTAGATGCAAGCAACTTTCAATACTCTCGGTTCCGGAGACCAGTCTCTCATAGTGGGGTACGCGTTCCTTGCGGGTGAGTATGACTGCAACGGCGCTGTCATCGAATTGGGGTCGGCCTGCACGCCCGAGCATCTGCATCATTTCGAGATCTGAATATTCCTTGCAGCCGCCTTCCTGCCAGCCGACCGTATTTTTGATTATCACTAGGTGGCAAGGTAGATTTATACCGACAGCAAGGGTTGAAGTGCAGCATATCACGTTGATGTGCCCGTTGAGAAACCCCTGCTCAATGGCGTGTCGGTCGGACGGACCAAGACCTGCATGATGGAACGCGACTCCCGCGGAGATTGTGGCTATGTCACATTAGAAGTGTTTCAAAGACAATATTATCAAAACGCATACTATTCAAATCTTCATTGTTAACTCGAATTTGTCTGGTCGGGCCTTTCCAGAGCCTAGCAGGTGGGTTCGTCATGTTCCACAGACGACTAAGCTCCTTTGCAGTTGCAGCAGATGAGTTGCGAGTACAGCAAAAAATTATGATCGGCTTTTGACATGAATGCACTCCGATAATATCAGGCAATCTGCAAGAAAGTAAGCATCGCAAATCCATTATACTGACAGGAAAAACGTACTTGGAGGCGCAAATCTTGTCAAAGGCAAAATCATTCACTGTTGACTGGTATCCATAAACAACCTTCTGTAACTTGACCGGCCGGAAATCTTCGCCAAAGTGCTCTCGGTGAGCTGGCAAATGCTGGTTAGTGGCATCTTTCCCCAGCCAAGTCGCAATGTCCTCTGAATTCGGGATCGTGGCACTAAGAGCAACAAAGCGAACATTCGAACCGATATTCTTCATGCGTGACACCACAGCTTCAAGTGTAGCACCTCTGGACTCTTTGAGAAAGTGAACCTCATCGATGAGAAAGAGTTTCACCAGCTGCAGCAGCTTCATGTGATCCTGCCACTTCCGGGTCATAGAATCCCACTTCTCCGGGGTAGTGATAATGATCTGGCTATTCTGCACACCCCGTAGCTGCGTATACTCGGTATCTCCAGTCAATTCCGCACATTTAAGACCCAGAGCCGCGAACTTGATATTCCAATCGCGAAATCGCTCGGTGCACAGCGATTTGGTCGGGGCTTGGTAAACGACTTTGAACCGCTCATCCTTCAACACATTGAGAAGTCTGCAGATAGCCAGCTCCGTGATAACCGTCTTTCCACTTCCTGTGGGCGAAGAAAGGACCAGATTGGAATCAGAATTGTATGCCGAGTCGAAACATCTGCTCTGCACGGCATTGAACAGTGGGAATGGGAACAAATCCCGATATCTGTCCGGCAGTGCATCCTTTGAAACCAGCACCATGCCTCGCACGGAAATAGGGATATTTTCGAAGTGTGGGATCTCTCTTCGAATTGGTGGGGGCGGGGGTGGTGCTTCAATTCCGCTGGATTGGGCCAGCAACTCGAGGTCTAGATAATTTTGAGCATGGCAATATCTGAGCAGTGTGAATTATACTCACCAAATGCATCTAAATGATCTTCAACATCACGCCTATATGAACCAGGCTCCTGCGTCGATGACGTTTCTTGTGAGAAAGAATTGGTCTCTCGTGATCGCTGAGAGCCATCAATGAGTTTTTGGTCTATGATGCCAGGCATACTCTGCGATGAGCCAGAGAACCTGTAACCAATGCGTCGCCGCTTGGGAGAAATTTGAAATGAACTTGATGGGGATAATGCATTTCGTCGCATGATGAACAGATGTATGAATTCAATATGGTCAAAGACGTTGACTGATGAATTTGAAAATGAGACAATTTCAGTGCGAAATGGCACGTGGGAGTCCCGTGCCTCGACCAAATCCATCAATACTAGATGCTCATAGTTGAATGGAACAGTCAGTACGTATCCCCATACGACAGATACCCCGAAGCTGAACATATCTGTATACTCCGTCCCATGATGTCTTGTAGAGTCGAATGTATTCATGCAGGGAAAATTTGGCTTGGGTATAGCAAAGTTTCTCATTTCTTCGTATATATGCAAAATCGACCGAAACATTCTCGAACAGCGTCGCTCGTACGTAGACCGCCTCAACCATGAGAGCGGGATGCTACAAAAGGCCTGACAGTGCAAGCTACAGGCCGAACCATATCTATCAGGTATCCAATATCATCATTCCATAAACAGGCATCAGAGCAAAGATTGAGGCTTAGCATGTTGCTTCTCAGTTACTCCTTCTCATAGTAGTCACTTGCGCTCACATTCCTACTGGAGCTCATCCGAGCGTGGCCCGGATTCGGGGAGGTGGGTCGTGAAGAGGACATACCGTCGGACAAGAAGGGTGTGGAAGGTAGCTTGATAGAGAAGTCGTTGGGGGAATTTGAAACAGGGGAACTATCGTCAAGAGTACCCTTTTCATAGTTATCCACACGGATTGGTGGGGGGCGAATAACACCCATCTTAGCCACAGCGGTGTTGGAGCTAGTATCACCATAGTAATAAGTGGCCACCAGAACCAGAACATAGCCCACAAGGAACTAGAGAGGGTTAGTACTGTGGATAATATGGGATGGAATGGAAACATACGCTCGCAGTGAGTTCAAATTCGAAGAGCCAGACGCTTCCAATGAGAACAGTAGTCGTAGTGGTTGCCACATAATTGGGATCTTTCTGTGCATGACGGAGCGAAAAGGTAGATAGAATACCACCCAAGGCTTGAATAGCGATAGTCGACCAAACCACCCAATTATAGCCCTGGAAGAAGCCATCGTTGGAAACGCTCTCACCATCTCGGAAACCGACGCCAATGAAGATGGCGGGGAAGACGGAGTAGATTGCCAACTGCACATTGCGTACCCACATCGAAGTGTGGTTCGAACTATCCCGAAGGACTTTTTCGAAAAATACGCCGCCGAAACCCGACGCCAAAGCAGCACCAATGATCGCGAGCAAACCAAGCATTGCGTTGAATTTCGGGTCAGCCGTCTGAATGTCCTCTTCAATACCCTCGTACGTAGCGGAGCGCTTGTGCAACTTTCCACCTCCCTTTACAGACTTCCATTCCTCCAAGGACCGAGGGAAGTGAAAAGAGGCACTCTCGTCATGGATGGACATGTGCTCTGAATTGGCATCAGGCATTTGGACCAAAGCCACGCCCATCACCAATAAAAGCAGCAGAGCCCACTTGCGAGCGGGTATACTCCGTCGAAGAACCACTAGTCCAAAGATCGCAGTCGTCAAAAACTGCAACTGAATTGAGACCTCGAACGTTGCTGCCCGCATGTTGGAAAGCGCAATGTATTGAAGGGAGTTGGAGAGAACACCCAGGGCGGCGGGGATAGCTAGTTTCCAGCTGTCGCCGGAGAACACGGTGCTGGTAAGGGAGAAGAAAAGAGAGGTGGCAGGCATGGACGGAGGCGCGGTTTTGGAGACGTCATAGAGGGCCATTGTGAGAGAGATCGCCAACTTGACGACTTCGTTCAAGAAGACCGCAGTGGAGGTAAGGTATCGCTTCCCACCAGCCGGTGTCATGACCCGAGAATAATGGGATAGCTATGGGTAGCAAGAGGTTGTCTGTTAGCCGCGTGTGTTTGGTCGGATTGTACGAGCGCGCGCCGGGGAGACTCACCAACACGAAAGCAGTTGATTGTGCCGCCAACTGAGAAACGTAGAACAAGTCAGTAATTGGACTTGGGACAATCGAGCCTATGCGATCCACCAGAGGAAATTTCCTACCAAAAGCCACGGCACATTATGTGTGGTTGTCCGCAGCCACGATGGCTGGCGTTGTGTGCGGTCACCCATGTTAAAGATGGATGGAAATCGCTCGCCCCTGAGGAAGTATTCTCCGCAAATAAACACGGAATTAAAACAACCGTTTCGGGAGCGAGGAAGAGTGAGGCGACAACGGGATGGTAGATGAAGGGAGTGACAAAAAGTTTGGAGTTCCGTCTCAGATTTTCCCACAGACTCGCTCGGGGGGAAGGGCTAAGGCAGGGGGAGACCTGGCGATCGTCGTCACTGGACCAGCGGCAGGGCTTCGGCTGACGATCACGGCGGAGCTCCGTGCGAGGGGTGGCTGGAGGCTAGGGAAAGGTAGGCTCGATATTCTGTACAAAGTACTAGACCCAAAGGTATAGAAAGTACAGAATATAGGGAGCTTTTTAGTTTTCTTGAGCGACGGAAATCCGGGGAAGTTGTTGTGTTTAAAGCAAACCAGACAAATCGGCGGTGTCAAGTGGATCACGGGGGACAAAAGAGGTCATGGGCCCAGACTCAATTGGGCATCGAGAAGAGATCCCCCAGTTCCAAGGTTTTCAATGACTTCCTTCGTTTTCTCCGCAAATCAGATATTCACAGCTTTAAAGGCTCACGGGTAAAAAGTAATAAACTATATGGTCTGTATCATCTGACGTCAAAAAATCCACTTTCAAAACCGGGATCCCCCCATTCGGCCATGCCACTCGCCCCAGTCCCCTACTTCTCCATGGAATTCTGTGTGATGAGGCAATATCAAATCCACTTCAGGCCGATCCTCGATCGATTGCGTCTTGGATCCAGTCGGCTATAACCCACCCAGCCACTGAAATTGGACTTGGCTTTGACGCACGTCAGCCACGCTGATTAAACTACGTAAACAGTGGGAACTGATCTGCATCGTGCGAAATATCAGGATAAATTTGGTCAACTCAATTTAATACAATTGACAAGCGGAGAGAAACATGAAATCTATTAGAGTTGGTAAAAGGCAAGATAGCTTCCAGAATGCAAATAAACCTAAACATAGGAAGGGGTATATGGGGCCCACGGAAGGGGAATCGACAATCAAAGAGATGGAATCAAATGAAGGTTTCGTAACATAGATAACTCAGAGGAGGTCAAAGCAGAATCAACTCCAATATGCAAAAGATGCCAGGTAAATGAATGGTCAAGATCCAGGTTGGACCGATGAAAGAATTAATGGTGGTGATACACGGAATGGAGGGTGAAGGGGCAACGGTGGGCCAAAACAAATAGATCGAATTGAAAGGTCGCGCAACTTAATGCACCGCAGTCACATTGTGACGGTCGTGATTCCAATCGAAATCGAATGACCAGAGCGGGAGATCCTGCTTTTCTCCGGGCTCGCCGCCGTTCAGCATGATAGCTTCGCTGCTATCGGTACGACGCCGGGTATGCTGCTTCTGGTCGGGGATGGCTGGTAGGGGCCCACGGGGTTGAGGCTTGGGAGATGGAAGTGGCGAGAAGCGGTGGATAGGGAGCGTCGGTGTGAGCGGTGAAGCAGCACTGGTGGCGGGAGAGGGCAGAGACTCCGAGTAGCCCATGCTGGCGATGGAATTACCAGTCTTCTGTTCATTATCAGAACTCGAACTCTGGGAGGAAGAACCCTCCTTGTCCGTGTGAGAGGCACCTTGATCTGACCGTGTGGGAAACGGAGGGAAGGCAGCGCTGAGGCGCAGGAAAGAGGTGTCGGATCCACAGAATGAATCCCGCGAAGGGACTGACAGCACTGAATTCCGATCGGGTTCAGTACCATAGTTGAACATGCTGGGTGTGACCTTGCCCTTGCGTAGGCGCATCGCCTCCAACAAGTCCTGCTCTTGTCGAGTCACCGCAATCACTCGGCTTCGGCGATTCATCTCCTTCAATTCCCGAGGCGTACGTGTTGGCGGTTGCGGCAGTTGGTCCAAGATACTTGGTTCGGCGATGGCGGGGATCCCACTCGACCGCCGGGATTGGTTGGTCCGTCGAGTATTGGTGGACGACTTGCCAGTTGATGACTTCCCGGTGGAGGATATAGAAGGTCGCTGCGCATGCTGACGCGTTGACTGGCGAGGGTTCGGGTGAGAGCCACGACTGTTGGTGGATGGTACGCGATCAACCTTCCTCAGCCTTTGGCCGGTAGCCGCTTGAGCCGCCTGGGCAGTATAGATTTCCGCCTCATACTCCCCATCTCCGTCAGTGGTCACACTATCACAGAATGATTTGTGGCGAGGCTTCGTAATCGGAGTCTCTAGTTCCTCCTCGGTCTCTTCGTCTGATGAAGAAAGGCATAGAACACTGGTGTTCTGCAAGTCTTTGTTCTTCAGGGTACTCTTGCTGCTCTTCTTAGTGAGAGCGCTCTTCACACCCTGCGAGTCACTCCGGTCCTTCTGGCGCCAAGGCTGGGCAGAGGGATTCTTGGATTGAGAATGAGGCTCCGGCTTGGATTTGGCAGTTAGGTACTCTTCTCTATTCCTGGACTGGTTCCTAGCTGGGCTTTTGCCCCGGTTCGTGTTGGTACTGGTTTCCGACGGCCGGCGCTGATCCGACTGCAACTGTTCCCGGCTTGCAGTATACATACTGGAGCGACTAAACAGTGACCGTCGGCCTGCATATCGATCTAGGGCCAGATCAATCTCACTCGTGCCCACAGTGCGCTCCAGTGGTTGATCGAACCACTCGTCTTTCGATGATTCAGGAATTGATAGCAAGTCTGAGCGGTCCACGTGCTGCTTGGGTACCTCGTGGTGAGCCACAGAAGCACGAGGGGGCAGCGGATCACCAAACCGTCGCGAGGCGGGGTTACTGCTATTGTTGCTCTCCCGGTCAAGTCGGATGGGATAATCGGAGACCACCGTCGAGACCGGGGATGGAGAGTTGGTCATACGTTGAGGGGACAGCAGGGGCTGAGCTGGGTTCCTTGGTTTCGGAAATAGGATGGACAGATCAATCCGCGGGGGCCGTATCTTCCGCTTCGATTCCTTCGGGGAAATTCGAGCTTGCTTAAAGGTAATATGGGGATCCAGACCTAGCTCGTTCTGAATTCTGGGCTGCAAGCCCTTGGGGCTCTCGGGTCTCGATTTCGACTCTTGTGATCTGAAGTAGGAGAACAATGTAGACGAAGAGTTCGACTGGTGAACCTTCTTTGACAGCTTGGGAAGGGGCGGGGTCGGGTCCTTGGAGAGATATTCGTGGCCTAGCAGAGGAGAAGAAGCCCGCACCCGAAGATTTTGGGGCGGAACCATTCTGTCTCCTGATTTGGATGTTGGGAAAGGGACAAATCCGGTATTCTGCTGTTGTTGTTGTTGTTGTTGTCTTGAGGTGCTGTCAGGCGTTCGCAGACTCGACCGGCGGCTCTTTTGTTGCTTCTGTGGATTTTCCCACTGGCCCTGATTATGGATAGGAAGGTCGGTACCCAGAATTCGTTGTGCCTTGGAGGTTCTTCGTTCCGACATTTTGCTACTTTGTTCCTCCATTGTTTCGGGTCGTAAGAGGTTGCGGCTGGAGGTTCGAAGCGGTACATGTACTGGTGATAGTTCTCGAGGGTTCATTGTGGGAGGAATTCAATTCCTCGTAAAATTTGTGCGAGCCAATGCGACAAAGCGATTGGAATTTGGTCTAAGAATCTACAGGAGTTTGTAGAGTTGAAATGCTTTTTTTTCTTTGAAATGCAGCTACTCCACCTTTGGGTCAGCAAATGTCGGGAATTGACCGGAAAGACTCAGGTACACAGTACCATCCAGTTGAAACCAAGTGGTTCTTGGGAAGGGACTCCACCTACCGTACGTAGGCAACCAAAATTAGTTGCCTTGAAATGTTGGTATATATCAAAGGAGTGACTGGGGTTTTGGAGCGGAAAAGAAAAAAGAAAAAAGTAAAGAATGTGGGGGAATTGGGTAAGTTTAAAGGAATCGGGAGAAACAGAAGTAATAGTTTAGAAATTGAATTGATTGTTACGGAGTTTCCCTACTCCAGATCAATTTTCAACTATCGGCAGACCTAAAAGGGGGTAGAGGATCCACCCGTCTTTCTGGTTTCCTTTTTAATTATACTAAATCCACCTCTCCAAAAGGGGGAATTTCGTCTGTCGTCACTGGTTGTGGAGTAGGAACAATCGAGGCAGTGCCAATTGAAACTCGAATATTCCGGTGATTTGTTATAAATGATTTCTATTTCTTGAATATGATTCTGTCTAGGGTGCCTAGGATTCTGATTTGATTTAGGGGCAATTAGAAAAAGGCTTGGGATCGACGGCTCAGACTCGATCTCCCCGGAATAGTAAGTATCGACAGGCACTAGCGAGACATTCATCCTCGGTTCCATTCACACTGCAAATGTGGTTCATCAATTCCCGTGGAACGGGATGCGATAGACCTAGGAGTGCCCAGGTTGGTTAGTTCATACGTATGTTGCATTGTTCTCCGGAGATTGCTGTGATTCATCCTGCGTCTGCCACCTGGGCAAGTTGTCACTTGTTGATAATGAAATCTGATTGAATCAACAAGATCGAGTCTAATTAAACAACTCCATGATCTATATGCACTTAGATCCCTCGTGCGCGGCCCCTTACATGGGTTAATCCGGCTGGAACAACCTTAAACCCTTAGACACGTGCACTACAGGAAGACTACTACTAGTAGGCACCTAGATTCTACACGTCTACGGAGTATTTTCTAACACCATTAGTGATAATCCCCCGTAGCAGGCTATGGCAGATGTAGCATACCACTATCCAGCGCCTCTTACGATCTATTCTGGCGTTGACGGGGAGCATGCTCCACTCAAGCGCCCCGTGCTCTGCGACTGAGCGTATTTAGAAACCGGACTTTCATGGGTGGGTTCCTTAAGTCTGGAACCGATGGAGAAAATCGCCCGCTTTGGCCTTGTGCCTGTCGATTCGCGTCACACTCGATCGTGATGGACCCAGTTTCCACCCCGTCGGGGCCGGTCTTCGATCGCGCAAGGCATCGTAGCTGCCCGAGACTAGAGCGGCACCGTGACAAATAATAGTCGTGGTCCGAGAATCTTAATATTTGGCAATGATCACCCCCCCTTTAATATACTATGACGCCGCATTTCTATGGTCAATTATGGAACTCAAAATCAACGGCATAGAGCCCACTTCCAGAGTTGAGCCATGATAAGATGAAACGTGGAATATGTTGCCGCATGGATGGACAGCTAGTCGTAAAGCTAAGTCTCCGGTAGACCCAGAATTGCTACACGGTGCAATGAAATGAAATTCGGCTTCATACACAATCTTGCCCGTGATTGAGTCGACAAGGACCCTTTCCCCATCATGCTCTAGCTCATACTCCCGATTCGATCTGCGCAAATCACATTGCCCGATCTCGATGAAGATCAATAGTCTTGCCCGGACAGCTCCGATCATACTCCAAGAACGCGTGCCGTGTGTGTGGACCCACCGACCAAGGCTGTGGTGACAGTCCCGGCCGGGATGAATTGGTTTGTTTTTCTTTTTTGGCTACGGTAACTCGGCCCATCCTAGTCGCTCGTCCTGTCATTGGCCCGTCATAGGCATTTGCATACATAAAAGTAAATTACATCTGCGCGGCCATTCCAAATTTGCCGCGTCCGAATTCTACCAGTGAAGAATCGAAGAAGATAGGGGTAAAATCGAGTCGGAATCGTTCAGTAATATGATATCAATCAACTTGACTAAAATTTCAATGATCTTAATATTGTACCCCACAGTACTGCTTTTTGTGGTCTTTTGCCACGTTCAACACTATTGAACCCAAATGAATGGTTTGACAGTTGTGGGAACACCTGGTCTTTCCACGTCCATGGTCGGGACAACTAGCGCCAAAATGGTCTGTCAATAGTGAATCCACCAGTCTATGAACAATGCACGCAATAGTCGGTTTCTTCTTCCATGGTTCTCACTTTAATTCCCCAGTCTGCTAACGATTTCTGGTGGGTTTCGTAGATCATGCAAATCATCCGTTCATAGAGGAGTGTTAAATTTCTGACCTCGTTCGCACGTTCATGTCCATTCGGATTGAGTGCGGGTTTCCGGTACCGTTGGTTTCCGCCACAGGCGATTCCCGATCTCGGCTTGAAGGTTTCGTTAGATATTTCCTAAAACAGAAATTTCAACGGTTTATTGATACGTTGATGTGCTTAATATTGGGTAGGCGATGTGTTTCAAAGTCCTAAAAAAAACTCAAGTGGATTTCCATCCACAGTCGCAGATCATCCACTTTTATATATTTAGTCTCAAGAATCAGGTATCTCGGAGTATTCCGAGCTCCAATGACCACGTCGTCCGACTTTGGAAAAGAAGCTAGTAAGAACAAAGATCCGGGAAGCAAGTAATACACAAGTACCAGGCGACCTGATAAGCCACGCCACGCACAATTCTAATTTTTATGCACTCAATGTCAACAGCTTAGTCAAATCGGATGGTTCGGAACCGTTAGTTTCAAAACAATAGAGGCTTTCCGCCGCGCGAAATCGTCCAGAACAACCAATGCTTCGTCTATGCTCGGTACATCCTATATCATTTACACACCCTATCTCATACCAAATTTTTTCTATGACTCCTCCCTCATTTTCTACCGCTATTAGTCAGATGTTTGAAAGGTTCTCCAATATTTTAAGTGGTGAGCTGGAAAAAAAAATTCTCGGGGGATAGGAGTTTCGAACGTGCGTCCAAAAAGTCCGGGGTGTAACGAAGTAGTAGAGGTGCGTTCAGGTTCTACGAGACGGCACAGGTCTACTGGACTCCCCTGTACCTAAAAAAATGTGTGCAAGATCGGTAGGTAGTAAACGGAAAAGGTGATGATGAACACTGAAAGATACCTGGGTATGCCTACATCCTAGTGTTGGTAATTGACTGGATGTTCCGGGCATAGTTGAGCATAGTTGAGCTACATGTAGGTATGTCAATATCGACAACCATTTGAGACCGACATTATATTGGCAGAAAGTCGGGAGATATTTATAGGGCTCAATTGTTCAAGAATCCCCGGCTCTTAGTTGGTTGCCTCGAGACTGGTGCTTTAGCCCCGAGGACTTTAAAAAAGGTAGTGAAACCTGCATTGTTCCGGAAGCACCCGTACATAAGATGTGAGTGTACATGGATACATATACATATGTGACACCTGATTCAGGACGTATGTTTGGGGATTGTGTATAGATAGGGAGGCACTGCATTACTACCTTGTAAGATGGCGGTCCCATGGATGCTTGAGAACAGGAAATTCCCTCGAATCGTGCCATGATTGATGTGAGCGGTACGACCGGTTGACGTCAGGAATTTCCACTGGCGCTCTTCCGAGTGAGTACCTGTTTTGTTCGCGAATGCCCATGTGCTGCAAGGCCTCGAAATTTCCAATTGACCTGTGGGCCTTTTCAAAGGTTCAAATATTCTCAAGTGTCAGGTTAAACATGCCCTAATGTAATTGGTTCATGTTATATGTCCGTTACATCTTGGAGGCTCTAGAAATTAAAAACTTCAAATCCATAACTGTAAATTCCCATGATGGTAGTCTTTGGATTTTGCGGTCTGGTGCACCCTTGTTAGTAATTCTTACACATGTTCATAATGTACTACACGTAGTATAAACTTGGAGCATTAAAACCCTAGCTTCCCTCCTGTATGGTCAATTTTGACGCTAAACTATACAATAAACCTTATCTTATAACATTGAATAAATATGTAATCAACCACCACTTAACCCAATTACTTTGATTGTAATGAGGATGCGTCTTGTTCTCGTCTACTGCAGAGTACATAGATGGTGAACAGAATCTACCCAACTTTCTTCAAGCTTTCAACATTGAACACTATTTTTTTTTTTCGAATAAATTGTATATGTAAATCTAATTATCAAGTACATACACACAATTTGGGAATGTAGAAACTGGGGCCACTGAGCACGACCAGAGGTATTGGCGGAAATTGGGGAGCCAAATCTGCTAGTAGAAGGGAATTCACCTGTATAGTATATGTTCCCGTCCAGTTGTGGGGGGGGGCTGGGGCCTCAGCACTTGAGGGTACCTGCAGGTAACACACCTGGCTGGATTCATTGACGCAGTATTCATGTACTCCGTACTGCACGATGCTAGGAAGGGGTACGGTGGATATTTACCCCCTTTACTTCCGTTTTGGGTTGCTTTATTGCCTTGATCTGGCCATCCCTGTTTTCTGGGTGGATACCATAACCTTGGAAGAGATCTTGATACTAGATTCCGGGGCCCCACCCAGGGGTCTTCCAGGGACGGCCTTATAGACAAGAATGTTTGCAGGATCATAACCTGGCAGAAGTTTAGTATGACTGAATGTTGTGTTCATCAGTGGCTAAGGCTAAAACCACGCGCCCCCCTCTCCACGTGACCCAGTGGCGATAGGATGGCTGGAACAAGAAAATATCTTGATCCACGATATGCTTATATAATCCTGAAGTCCCCGGCCTCTCCACATCCCTAAAATGGTTCACAATACCAACATTAATCTACTGGCTTTGGGATCCAGGATGTGATTTTGGCTGTATGGAAATATTCCAGCCCAAAACAATCTCCTTTAGCCGACTTTTCTGGTTAAAAATCAGAAATCGAGGTAGTGCATGAAAGCCGACCGCGCCACTTAGAATAATTCCCGAGCCACAGAAAGTGGGAAATGGCAGGTTTCAAGGTTTTCACGCTGCAGTAGAAAAACCGGGTAACCATCAGTGCCCAGGATATTGCAGACATCAACATTGGAGGATGTTAAGAACAAGGTGTATGGAGAGAGAGTGTCCCATATATACATATATATCATAATAGGATAAATTCGTATCTTGATAGAAAAGACGGAAAGGTTCAAGCACGGCAAGTTAGCACGTTGTGGTCCATGACATCGTCCAATCCGGGACTCGGATTAATTGTTGTTCTCCGCCCCAAACTCCCTTGTCAGCCGCCACTGTTTCTTTTCTCCCCTTCCTTTGACTACCTTGCGTCCCCTTTCACCCATCTTCATATCGACTCCCCGCATAACATGACCTGCCGTGAGACCCTTTTCTTGTAAATGGTTTTGCTGGCATACCGTGCTGGGGCATTTTGCTAGCAACTCTGACCCGCTCGAGTTGCTCCATCGCCTTCATTCGCCTCTTCCCCCGCCTTCGCCTATGACTATGTCTTCCGATTTTCCTACCTCACATCATACTCCCCACGGAAACTCAACATCTGGTTCTAACGCGTCATTTCCCGTACCAAACTCTTATGTCAATTCTCACCCCGAGTCTCGCCTAGTGCCCGCTCGACGACGCGACATGGACGACCAAGAAGGTGACGATTTTGGGCATAGTCCCTCTAACGCCCTTGGACAGTTCTCTTTCGCTCCAACGACTCGTACCACTGTCGTGACGACAACAACTACTACAACCACTTCATTCCCGCCCCTAGCGATTAAACCACCGAAAGCAGTGAGAGACTTGGATGTTCGACAGTATCCGTTGGCCGCGACGCCGACCCCAGCCGCATTGAAGAACCTCAAATTCAAGATCGGTGATAAGTCGATTGTGTTCAATGAACCAGAGGACTCTGTAGCGGTGGCTACTGAGGTTGGTGTCTCTATACTTGCTGTGCCGTTATCTGGAAATACTGACTCCGTTCCAGGTGAAGGAAAAGAACGATGCTTTAAAAGCTGCCAACGGACTGATCCGCTCTGTTAATTCGTTCACGTCCGAAGATGATGCTGCTTCTCGCCGACTGGGCCCGCCACGGTCCATGACGCGGATGAACCACCCTAACCGTCCTGTTTCCCCCGTCTCATTTTCCGACTCCCGCCCTTCTATTCTTCCCCGGACGCGTGGACACCGAGTGCCTTCCGAGCCCGTAGCACGACGTACCCGCCATAGCTCCTCAAATATCCATCTTTCTCCCGCTGGTCTGGCCACCCCAGAGACAGAACTGAACGTTGGTAGTATTGGGGATGCCGCAGCAGCTTCGAGACCGCGGATACACAGTGCAAATTTCCCACGTCGGGAAACCCTGTTGCGTACACCCCTGTCGGCCGAAACTGGAGCGCTGAGTACTTTACAAAGCTCAGGTTTGATTGACAATCGGGAGCTGCAAGGTCCCCCCCCCGACGATCCAGAACCTGCTCCCGAATCGGCACCCCTCGGCCAAAATGTCCCGTTTGCTGTAGAAATTGCTTCGCAGCAACGACCGGATTTGTCAGCCCAGCTCTCAGCCATCGACAACGCAATGGCCCAAGATATGTGTTTGCCTAGCCCCAGCCTTTCACCAGTTACTGCCATGAACGCACTGCATGCCGAGTCGTCTTTTGAATCTGAAGGACCCGACGTCGACACAGACTCAAGTCTAGATCATAATGTTCCACGGCAGTCGAAGGCAATTCGTCTTCATGATGCAGATTCGAGGAGAGTGAGTCTATCTACGGCACCTTCGGCTCGATCTCCGTCATCTTTGATGGACATGCCCAAGGTTCTGGATTTCTTCGACTCGGTTCCTGAAGAGCTTAAGAGCTATCTCATGTACCAATTCTTGCGACGTTGCCCGAAACCAACATTGCATTTCGTGGCCGATGTGGTCAACCCAACTTTGAAGTGTAATTTCTTGGAGTTGCTTCCCCTGGAGCTCAGCTTGAACATTGTCAAATATTTTGATATCCAAACTATGTGTCGCGCCGCACAAGTCTCCAAGAAGTGGCGTCACATCGTCAATTCAGATGAGAAGACCTGGAAAGAGCTTCTTGATCAGGATGGGTATATCCTCTCCGAGAAGGAGCTAGAGCGAGCAATCAGAGAGGGCTGGGGCTGGCAATGCAGTAGCCCTGATAACTGGGAGAGAGACCTTAGTATCAAGGTGGCGAAAAAAGACCTCGAACTCTCTCCTGTTCCCTCATCATCCTCAACACCCATGGATATGGCCCCGCTTACTGCCCCGCCGCCCAATCGACGTCCCAAGCGGAAAGCAAATACACGTACTTCAAGTCGGAAGCTCGCGAAACGTAAGGTCTCATCCAACGGAACAGATTACTTCGAGCCGGACTGGAAGAAAGACATCGCGGCGTCAGAGGCCCCATATGCTGCAGCCAATAATGCTGCAGCTGCTGTGCCCTATCCTGAAGTCGGCCTTCCTGCCCTGCGTGGACTGTACCTTTACAAGGCTCTTTACCGTAGGTTGCATGCCATTCGCCGAGGGTGGATGAAGCCGGATGTCAAACCGCAGCATATTGCTTTCCGAGCTCACGACCGTCACGTTGTGACTTGCCTGCAGTTTGATGCGGACAAAATATTGACTGGCAGCGACGATACCAATATAAACGTATATGATACGAAGACTGGCGCTCTCAAGGCCACTCTAGAGGGCCACGATGGTGGCGTCTGGGCTCTTGAGTACCATGGCAATACCCTTGTGTCCGGGTCCACTGATCGCACCGTCCGTGTCTGGGATATCGAGCGAGCCCGGTGCACCCAAGTGTTCCATGGTCACACGTCCACTGTCCGTTGCCTTCAGATCGTCCTACCGACGGAGATCGGCCGCGACGCGAATGGTCGTGCCATGATGATGCCGAAGGTGCCCTTGATCATCACCGGGTCTCGCGATTCCAACCTGCGAGTTTGGAAGCTTCCGAAGCCCAGTGACGCGCCATATCTTCCTAATGGTCCCACCACGGACGACTATGATTGTCCATTCTTTGTTCGTGTCCTGTCTGGTCATACTCATTCAGTTCGTGCGATTGCAGCCCATGGTGATACCCTTGTCAGCGGTAGCTATGACTGCACCGTGCGCGTGTGGAAGATTTCCACCGGACACGTCCAATTCACACTGACGGGTCACACACAGAAGGTGTACAGTGTTGTAATGGACCACAAGCGCAATCGCTGCATCAGTGGTGCCATGGACCACATGGTTAAAATTTGGTCGCTCGACGACGGAGCTTTGCTCTATAATCTCGACGGCCACACTTCTCTTGTTGGTCTCTTAGCCCTGCAGGGTGATCACCTTGTCTCAGCTGCTGCGGATTCCACGCTGCGAATCTGGGACCCACAGCACGGTCACTGTAGAAACACACTTAGCGCTCATACCGGGGCTATTACTTGCTTCCAGCATGACGGCCAAAAGATCATTTCCGGGTCGGACCGGACTTTGAAGATGTGGGACGTTAGCGACGGCTCCTGCATTCGAGACCTCCTAACCGATCTCAGCGGTGTCTGGCAGGTAAAATTCAATGATCGTCGGTGTGTTGCTGCAGTGCAGCGGGACAGTTTGACTTATATTGAGGTGGGTGTCTTTTTCACATCCTTTGTTTGTGGATGAAAATCATGATTAACTCTCTCCCTAGGTCCTTGACTTCGGCGCCACACGCGATGGTGTTCCTGAGAGCAAACTTGGGCAGCGTGTCGTAGTGAACCGCCATGGCCGCGAGATCACGGCAACCGGCATTGGATCCGACTCCGATTCTGATTAAGACTCCCAGTCTTATAAACCTTTTCGAAAAACCCCATCCACCTTTACCATCACATTTACCACCCACCCTGTTTTGCCTTGTTTCCATCCTTCCATCTCCTTTACTCCATTAACGATACCCCATCTTTATGGCACTCATCATCTCATCTTCCCATGAAAAACTTTTTGCATAGCGTGGTCGGCATTCATTGATCATCCAGCATTACGACGGGGACAGGCGTTATGTGACGTTTCCTGATTTCTGCGGGAGACCTATAACTTTATCTCTTCATGTCTTCATCATTCTCGATCTGGTTCTCTTCCGCCTCATCATGTTAATTTCACATCCTACTTTTCTTTCTCATTGTATTGTCGTCTAAGTATGACTTTGAACATTCCCTTGTATCTGTTTACCTAGGTAGTCAATGCTGGATTCGATGTTGAGACTGCTGTCATGTCTCTTCGATATTCAAATGTTTATTCCTTTCCGCTTCCTCCTGGTCCGGTGTCCGTATGTTCATCTCATGTGCATGCTTGGTCTTTAAAACTGGGCGCTGTAGTTCTAGTTAGCATTGAATGTAACAGTAAGATCGTTCAGTCATATATCAGCATCTTCCTTCGCCTGCGTACTGCACGTGTATGTATGGAGGCTTCAAGTGCTGAGTATATACGGGATATCACTACAAATCCCAGGCTCTAAGCTCTTGTCAATGGCCTCGGCATACTATCTAAACACCTGATATAATGTCTCAAGAACAGTCTGGCCTAATAAAGAGCCTCGCGTGTCACACCGTGTCACAATATTACCGCAGGGCTCCGAACACGAATCGAATGTTGAGTCGGATTCAAAACCAATTTCCCGCAGGACTGGTTTCAAGATCGAAGGACCCTAGAAATAAATCTCATATTCAAGGACGATTACCCCAAGAAATCAGTATCTATCTCACCCCTGGATCTAACGTGCTCTTTCTTGAAAGCCTTTAATATCATTTACTATGGAAACCTTCAAAGTTACAAATATCATTTTTGTATACTGGGCTCTACTAGCAACTCCGACTTTATCCCAAATCTGCAATCAACCCACGGCATGTCCGCTCGGATGGGTTTGTGATATGAAACCATCCTCTCGTTATTATCTGACGTGTCGACATTGATGGAATTTAATTAGAGGTAAGGCAGATTTTCATTCCTTGTATGTCTTCAGGAGCAGAACTATTGATTAATTTATCATTAGAAGAAACTTGCGACGTCAGGCAAAATAAGGATACTTGACATAAAGCTTCAGAGTTATTGGTTGCTGGAAGATTTCGTGTTGCTTTTGAAATGTATGTACTGATTGTATGAAAGAAGCTCTGATCGGCGCCAGTGGCTAGTTTGATTCATTTGTGTATGACATATGTTTCTATATTACAGATGTTTTGGACCCCATCTTTAATTCCCAAGCTCCCCAAGAATGAGATATGGGCCTTGCGAGCATGCCGAAGCTCAACGTATAAGGTTGCGCGTGCATTGTATGACAACCCTGCGAGATGGTATGGTGAAAAAGAGGAATTTGACATCCTGAGGTATCAGATGATCCTGGAAGCTATTCCCCTGAAGCAGAAGTGCTTATAGTATCGAATTGTTTATTGTTGCCGGGCTAGGAACCACAGGTTGCAGTACCATAGCTATGGTCCCCTGGAGTGCATTGCTCGCAGAAAGTTTAGCCACGTCCGATGAAGTATAGGAGTTGTCCTGTTTGCTGAGGGACTGACTTTAAGGCGTCTCAGTAGATAGCGCCACGGGGGATTGTTTAAGAGCCGGCTGTCCGCCTTGTAAGCTCCCATCAATACCCGCTGCGGACAGAATGGCCCAGCGCACGGCATTGACACCTAGAAACTGGCCACCCCCAATAGAAATATCCGCACTGCAGGTGACGAGCTCACCTAAAGCGCCTGGCCCTTCTGCGATGCGCACGTCGGGTTGGACTTTTTCTCGCAGATCCTGCAGCATCTTCTGAAGTCGCTGTACGCTCACAGTTGAGGCGCCTGATTTGACTTGTTTCTTCGTTTTGGCGAGAACTTTATCGACTTTAGAAAGGATTATTTGGTGGGGGATAGCATAGTGCCGGAAAAGCTGGAGGATCTCTGCATCATTCTTTTTGATTCCGTGTTCACTGTCGATGAGGATGAAAGCGCGGCGAAGTCTGGGTATATTGTTAGCAACATCAAACCCCTAAAAACTTGAGAAAAAGGGAAGTTGCTCACTGTTTACGTCCTTGGAGATATTTCATAATCTCCATTCCCCATTCTGCTCGACTAGCCTTTCCGTATCCTGGCATATCCAAAAGTACCACTTTATGTTCGCCACCCTTGGTCCCTCCAATCCCAAATGCATTCATTTCTCTTGTCCGGCCTGGTTTAGAGGATGTCCAACAAATCTCTTGGCCCATTATGGCATTCAGCAGCGAGCTCTTGCCGACGTTGGAACGACCGAGAAATGCAACTTCAGGCTCGATGGACGATATGGGAGTTGTGCGGAACTTGCTCGCAGACCATAGTTTCAATGGGGAATGGCGCGAAGGTATAAATAGTTTGTCTGCGAAAGCAAGCTGCTCTGAGGTAGGTGGTTTGGTGTCCCAGTAATAACAGAGATCTGAAATCGTCAGGTCTTGTAGGCCGCGCTTGTTTGGGTTGGGCGGATGAACCGGAGAAGTGGGGGGTGTCGGAGATTGTAATGTAGAGTATAAACGCCTTGAAGGCACAGAGGCCCTGCTTATAGACCTCAACATGTTCAAAAAAGAAGTTTGCTGATCCTGAATCCTGATAAAAGAAGCGCGTCAAGTTCTCCAGAAAATCGAAACGCACGGACCCACTTGTTATCGATAAGAAGGCCGCGGGATCTTGAATGACTCTCGGCTCAACCTCAGTCATTGCCACGTCCACTTCGAGCTTAATATCTTGCTTCTAGTGTCTTGCCGCCGGACCTTCGTTATGATCAACGCAGTGCTTGTCTTCAATAACAATGGCCAGCCACGGCTGACCAAATTCTACACCCAGCTGGTCAGTGCCTTCAATCGAAGCAGCCTAAGAGGGTCATTCAACCAAGCAGAAGACTAACTCTCTCCAGGACACTCAAACACAGCAATCTCTCATCGCGCAAATCTACAAGCTTGTTGCGCAGCGACCAGCAAGCGCATGCAACTTCCTCCCCCTGCCTCCGCTCCTCTCCCAGGGTGCTAGCTCCGGGGCCACCGGACCCTCTGATGCGCCCACGCAGATCACATACCGCACCTATGCTACCTTATCATTCATTATGATATCTACATCCATGGAATCACCGCTCGCCCTCATCGACTTGATCCAGGTCTTTGTGGAGTCATTGGATCGCATGTTTGAGAATGTCTGCGAACTCGATCTAATCTTCGGTTACGAGACCATGCATGCTGTCCTGAGTGAGATGATTGTTGGAGGTGTCGTGGTCGAGACAAGTACCGAGAGGATCGTTACAGCTGTGCGCAATCAAGAAGGTAACGCAGGAAAGAGGAAGGCTGTTCAAGCGGCGAGTACTAGTCTCGGGCGCGGTGCGCTTCCGAGTCTAGGGGGTTGGCGGTGAAATGATATGATAATTTGGTTTAATTTCCTTCATTGCTTTAGCGGCATTGTTTCTGCGTGATCTGATTTGGATTAATAAGCGTGATGTTGTTCATGTACATAGATGATACCTTGCCAGTCATTGTATGTTATCTGCTGACTGCTCGGTCGTATAAGTTGAATTTATTTAAGTGGGGCCATGTTCAACTAAGCATTATAATACACACCTACATTGCATTTAAGATGGACAAGAGTCAAATGTTCATCTAATAAGTGGATTTGATAAGGTTCGTAGTCATCAGAAGTATATTAGTATCACGTGATAGATATACCCTAATCCCCAGGGCAGCCCTAACCCTGTCACATGATCACACTAGCGCGACCCGGCCCACGAAGACAGGAATAAGATCGCGCGATCACTGACTTTCTCCTTTCTCACTTCGACAATCGCCCAACTAGCGCACCGATCCCAAGTCGACAAAATGGTCGTAAGTATTTGATTATACCTTGCTCACGTTTCGCATGCTGCAGCGATGCCGTGAAGACATTCTGTCTCGCTTTCGATCCTTGTGATCAAAGCAAATTCCGTCACATGTTCCAACAGCCTCGAAAGAGATGTTGGACATTGGCGATGAACTGGCTTGAGGCACGAGTCTAGTATCTGTAAAATGATGCTAGTCTCGTGTTCTCTCTAGAGTTTAAAGAAGACGCAGCCCGTTATGGGACTAGATCGCTGATCTTCTTTTCTCAATGATAGCCTCCTAAGTCCGGAAAGAAGACCGCCGCCCTGCCCTACCCCCAGGGCAAGGCTGGTTCCTCCAAGAAGCAGGCCAAGGTTCGTTTCTTCTTTCCATCGGGAGTCTGAGAAAATGAAGTCGAAATACTAATCGAAGAAAAATTTTCACAGAACCCTCTCATTGAGAAGCGTTCCCGCAACTTCGGTATCGGCCAGGACATCCAGCCCAAGCGCAACCTGTCCCGCTTCGTCAAGTGGCCCGAATATGTCCGCCTCCAGCGCCAGAAGAAGATTCTGAACATGCGCCTGAAGGTTCCTCCTTCCATTGCCCAGTTCCAGAGCACCCTGGACCGCAACACTGCTGCCCAGACCTTCAAGCTCCTCTCCAAGTACCGCCCTGAGACCAAGGCCGAGAAGAAGGAGCGTCTTGTCCAGGAGGCCACCGCTGTCGCCGAGGGCAAGAAGAAGGAGGATGTCTCCAAGAAGCCCTACCACGTCAAGTACGGTCTCAACCACGTCGTTGGCCTCGTTGAGAACAAGAAGGCTTCCCTCGTCCTGATCGCTCACGACGTTGACCCCATTGAGTTGGTTGTCTTCCTCCCCGCCCTCTGCCGCAAGATGGGTGTCCCCTACGCCATTGTGAAGGGCAAGTCCCGTCTCGGTACGGTCGTCCACAAGAAGACCTCCGCCGTCCTGGCCCTCACTGAGGTCCGCTCCGAGGACAAGGCTGAGTTCTCCAAGCTCCTCTCCGCTATCAAGGAGGGTTACACCGACAAGTACGAGGAGTCCCGCCGCCACTGGGGTGGTGGTATCATGGGCGCCAAGGCCAACGCCCGCCAGGAGAAGAAGCGCAAGGCTGCTGAGAACGCCATCAAGGTCTAAGTTTACTTTCCGTGACTTGGACTTTGTTTGACGGGATCGCCTCCACAAAAGCGCTAAAAAAGTTTTAATGGGAAATGAAAGGTGTTCAGGGCTCTGGATTACTTGTTAACGGCCAATTCTTCTAGCTTTAGATGGGTTTGAAAGAGCTTTTTGGCCCTTTGCCCGTTCTAACCAAAAAGACAATATTTCTTCTTCACGAACTTCTCAACGGCTCTTATGTACCACTTTCTGCAGATACCCATGAATGCATTTCTCTACCTGTTCAATATGCCAAATGGCTTCAATGTTTAGAGATCAGCATTCATGCACTCTGTACCTGTAGACTTGTAATTCGTAGAAATTTCTGTCCTAGTCATTTACCAATCTTGGCATGACCCACAGTCTAGTCATTTCAAGTGTCAAAAGATCTTTTGCCTGCAGAACCCACTTTTATTTGATAGCCACCAACCTTGAAAGGCAACACTAAAGTTAACACTCGGAATAGCATACCTTTCCACGGCGTCTCGCAGCTCCTGGAAAATATATTCTGTGCATACGAAGTCCTGCTGATATGCACACAGTTCTCTTTATACGTATGTTCAACATAGACAGTATCAAGGAGATAAAGATGCGGTAAGAATATCACAGTAGTTATAGAGGCCGTGGAAATTCTGCTTCTCGCCGTCAACCATCACAATTTATGACTCGGATATTGTCTCCGCTAGAATGTTGAGTGGCCAGGTATGAGTCGTCCCATACTGCCATCATCGGAATCGTTTGAATCCATGATTTTGTCCATCACAGCGAAAGGACGGTGTTGATTATATATCTAGCCGCAGCCTCATTGGCTGCAGATCGGTGCATCTACAGTGCTGTATTTTCTAACAACCATAATCATGTCTCCTGTAAACCATCAATTAGTTTTGTCTAAGATTATCTATCAAGACATAGCAGAAAAATACTGGCTGTCTCTGGTAGATCAAAAACGACGTGGATTGTGTGGCGGTCAGGGTTGGTATTCTAGTGACTGGATAGACTTGTTACGAAGGCCAAATGCATTTTCGACATCCCGCATGTCGATGTTCTTGTTTGCTGCGCACCATTCGAAGCTTTTCAGCACCGATGAGCTCTTAACGGCAATTACCTGCAAACGCGCGGCATGGAAAAGGGCGCAACCGGCTACGGCCATCTCCGGTTCGCCGTCGAGCTGCCCGACAGCTGTTCCGCAGTCGGCCCAGATTTTGGCAATCCGTCCTACCACTGTTGGGAAATAAGTCAAAGGATCACGAGGAGCTCTCATTGGGATCGCTAAAACTGCTGAACTAAATGATATAGGGCGCGTAATGTGAGTCACATGGAATGTGTAGGCTTGAAAGCCGTAACAGTGCTCCCTGCTTTTGAAAAATGCGGCGCCCTCGTCGCACGTGAAAGATAAAAAGTAGCCATATCAGTAATGATCGCGTCGTTCTTCTGGCGAGATGGGAATTGGAAGCACGATAGAAGGAATTGCATGATTGCCACACTACGTGGATCAGACCAGTCTTCGCCCAGAACAGTGTTGCAATAATTTCACGTAGATTGAAAATGAAAATACATGGGTTGGAAAGGTTCCGTAGCCATTCGCAGTGCCACTTGGTCTGGTGAGTATGCATTGTGTCGGATCATCCTATTACAAATATTTAATAGGACTTCATGAGATCGACGAAAGCTCTATGAATGGGCCGTGACCGATCCGCCGTGACCGATCCGCCTCGAGGAAGACTCTTTCTTGGCGCCCTTCTACCCATCGGTAGACGTTTGTCCATGGACTTTGTCCTGCCGTGGGGCTTAACGTAGGTCGTCCTATAGCTCCGAGTCAATACTGCCAATCGGCAGACAGTCACACCATAAGGGCGGCGTGACGAGATCGGAGAACTGATATTTCGAAGGATCTTGCATCGTTACTCGCAATGCTTGCAACTCCCCGATTTAATTCACCGAACAATCACGAGATGTTCCGCCGTTGGGCACCACGATCCAATGCGAAAACTCGAAGATACTCCGAGTTTGATACTTTTTCATGATCTCGTCGAATTCTGGTCTCAACTGGTCCCTTCCGCCAAGCAGCATAACGTCTTCCACGATTATCACGTCGTCGAGCTTAACATTGACTGGCGACGTCATTCTGCCAAAAATGATCTGCGCTCGGTCACCAGAGGCTCTCTCTGAGTGGAACAGGTATGGCATCTGCCCGCGAAATTTGTCCCCCAGCAGCATGTAATCGCCAATGCAGGCGACCTAGTGAATCCCGAACGCGGACACAACCACGGTCTTTCCGCAAGCCAGACGAGTTTTCTTGACGATGTGGTTCGGGTCAATGACTGTTGGGTAATTATCTCTCCACTTTCGAGCGCTCATTAAACACTTTGAGCCAAGAGAACTCCTTCATCAGTCAGACGACAGAGAGTGAATTTGGTTCCTGTCGAAGTTGGTTGTAAGGACATGTCCTTTGAGGGTATCTCGTAGGGCGTTATTCTGATAAGAATGGAGAAGAGCAGACAGCAGACCCCTGAAGATACAATGATCTGTAGTTTATCTCCAGAGACGACAGAAATAGGTCCAGTAATTGGTAAAGTCAAAGAATAAAAACAGAAGTTGGTTTGGAGAGCATGCAGATGGGCCACTTGGCCCCCTTTGAGCCAAGGCGTGTCTGGCATGGGTTGCACTCCTAGGAACATGGAAAGGGATTGTGGTTTTCTGATTTTCAAATCCATGCAGTTCATTCAAGTACTGAACCTGGTGATGCGTATTTAAGCAGTTAGAACGAGAGAATAATACACGATTCCTGAGCTTGTGTGTGAAGTCAAGTAGCTCAAAGTAGACTTACTATGGTCGACCTCACTGCAGTCTTCACTTGCATCAACATATGTGATATGTGTGTAATAGGCAGGAAGGTGGTTTGAGAAATTGAACATGTAAAAATGTAGGAGAGAGAGAATCAAGAATGATGCTCCTCCAAGATTGATTGTTAACCTCTCTATATTAACCACTCTATTACTTGAGCGCACCGCAGATGGTTTTTTCTGGCCTATTTTCTCTCTCTTTCCCATTCTCTTTACGTTTACTTTTTCCTTAGTGGGCATTTTGCTATACCTGCTGAGGCGCCGGGGTATGGGCTCTGCGTGGCATGAGTGGAAGTCAGCAAATCAAGTACGAAATAATCGACCGGACATGATAGAGGTATGGGTTGCGAACAACCAGGCTACAGTTGATACTTTTTTTCTTGACCTTTGATTGTAGTATCATCATATGCTTCGCAGATTCCACATCATTCACTTACTTCGCGTCCGTTACACCCCACTTTTCTTCTTCCTTTTATTCTTCGCCTCTTTTCCCTTCTTCACCTCTCTTCCCTTTTTTTATTGCCCATCTTTATTTCTCATTTCTCTTCATCTCCCTCTCTCCTGTTCATCTTTCTTTTTCCTCTCTTTAACTCCACAGAACCTTTCCACGGGTTTTTATTTACCCGTGACGCGTCGTTCCATTTCCTTGCACTTTCGTCCTACGTGTTGACTATCTACTTTGTCAAAAATTCAAGATGGCTCCACCTGTGGCAAAGCAAAAGAAGGTTACTGGAATGTTCATTCGGCTCAATGAAAATACGGCTCAAGTGGATGTGATTGATGACTCCAATGAAATGTTGTGGTACTGCAAGAAGAAGACCAAGGACATGGACTTGAGAGACAACCTCATGAAGGTTGATCACACCCAGCATAAGACCTACAGCGATCTCATGAAGGAGATGCTAGATGACCCACCCAATGATGGGCATTTGGATGACCCGCAATTGATGGGTACTCGCAAAGTTTTTGGTGGACGTGAATGGGTTGCTACTTATTAGTTTGGGAATTCCTTTAATAGAACCTTTCGAAAAACTGACGGTGACTGTAGGATACTGGGTAGGAGACTGGATAGATGGTAAATGAGGTAAGTAGTAGGTATAGTAGAAATATTAGTTGTTCTGTGAGGCGGCAAGCCTTCAGTACGAAATTTACCTTGACCATATTGATCTTTTACATTTGCATGAACTAACAATAATACCTTAGCTAAGAGCAGCGCATGATTTAATCATAGCAAGCAATGTGGAATTGATCATGCTTGAACCTTTTAAGTATCCAGATGACTGGGTACGGCCATATGCTAACATGCACAATACCATGTAATGTAAAGTGTAAACCAGCACCGGGGACCTCAGGAAATCTAACGCAATAATCTATATTTGCGACTTTACAGGTTACTATACAAGAAATGTATTAAACACTCGAGGACTGGTAAACACACTGTACAAGCCGCCGCGAGGCAGGTAATAGAATCATCCAGGGTAGAAGGTTAATTAATAAGACAAGACATCCCAAAGAAAAGAACCGGAGAAAGCCCAGAGAACAAAATTTGGGGCGAAACAGACGGGGTAAACGTTGGTATGGCGAATTACAGTGGAACAAAAGACCAATCGCAAAGGAACAGCCAGGGGGATAAAGTACAGAGGCCACAAAGCCCAGCCCAACGCACCCAGAAGACTGGAGATGCCCATCACAAGATCAGGTCGTGACAGCATAAAGAAAGCCCAGTCTAAACACACGTTGAAGGAGAAAGGGGAATATAAGCATAATGGCGGTCATTGTGTCATTAACGTTGAGGGGGAGGTCGTGTGAGTCCTTGCCGGGCCTATCATTGTGTCAGCAGCTTATTCATAGGTAGAAAATAGAGAAATGTCTTGCCTTCATTTGTTCAATTCGTGCCTTGAGCTGACTAGTCACCTCGGCAGCCCGCTTCCAATTTTCTGCAGGCTCCGATGACCGCGGCATTTGGTCCTCATCATTGTGGTTGGTGGAGTTTCGAGTTGATGAGCGGGTTGGGCTTCCAACGGCCGAGTAGCCGTAGCTCGGACTCAACTTGCGTCGGCCAAGGCCACCATCTCGGCTGCTGAGACCTGGAGATTCGTAGCCATTGTTTTCTTTCTCTTCACTCGGACTGGCTGAGGTATAGCTCCTAGGCCGGGAGCTCTCAAACCGAGATCCCAAATGGAGGTTAGATCGTGCCGCTGAGGGAGTTCCACCAGAGGCTTCATGATAGATTGATGTGTGTTCCGAGAAGCCCATGCTACCACTTTCTGATGATCCATGGGGCGGGCTCATTGCAGTTGCTCGAAGGGCTCGTGCCAACTCACGCTTCAACCGTTCAATCTCCCGCTGTTGCTTTTGAACATTGGCCTCAGCAGCTTCTGCATCACTTCGTGCACGAACCAGCTGAGTCTCCTTTGCTTTGATGCTCAAGACATCTCTAGTGTGATCTTCAATCAGCTGAGCATTTTGGTTCTGAAGCTCGGTAATTTGATTGTTAAATTTGGAACGCTCAGACTTCATTTCCTCAATGGTTCGAGCAAACCTCTCCTTCTCATCGCGGAGCTCTTCAAGCTCAGCACGTTCTGCCGCTGAGATACCACTCATGGCCGGAGCGGGGGCAGGAGCCGACTCAGCTGCTGCCGAGGGCTTTGCGATGGGGCGACCAGCCAGACCGCGACCGAGGCCAAATTTTGGTGCAGCTGGAGGGGGGACATCTTCCTCCATTGGGGGAGGAGCAGCTCGTCTCACTGGTGAGGCTATGCCTCCTGGACCACCGAGTTTGCTTCGGAGCTTCGAGCCAGGGGGAGCGAGACCACCAGACTTTGGTATGCCACCGAGCTTCGAGGGTATACCTCTAGGAGCCGCCTTAGGTGGGGGATCCTCTACCGGAGGCGCGGCAGCAGGAGCCGGTTTCTTCAGGCCCATTGGCTTCTTTCCAGGCATGGCCTTTCTCGCTGCCGGAGCGGGCTTGGGAGGTGCCACAATTGGCTTGGGCCGATCCTTGGCCTTAACTTCGGCAGTCTCAAAGAATTCCTTGATCTTAGTTTTTCGAATTTCGTCCAGTCCATCAAGGTAGGGATTCATAGCCCTTTCGCCCATGATCTTCATAAGAGTACCAAGGATTTCTGCACCACCGGCGCGAATACCTTCCGTGGACTCGGTCAGGAGCTTGGTGCCTGCATCGGCGATGGACTTGACCTCCGGTTTGGCTGGAACAATTCTAGTGTTACGAAGACAGCGGATCAAAAACTTAACTGTCTCCTGCTTCACTTGAGGGTTTTTGTGCTTGAGATATTCCAGAATGTCCTCTAGGCAGTCCGAAAGATCTGTTGACAAGAACACGGCGTCCAGTGCTCCACCCAAAGCATCGGCAACGGTCTGTTTCTTCTCCTTAAGACGCTCCAGCATAGGCACCATGATAGTGGCTCGGTATTTCATGAAAGAGCTGCGCAAGCCCCTTGCCAGGAGATCGACACAGTTAGCAGCCACCGTCACCACTGCAACATTGGCATCTTTCATGCATTTGGCCAAAACCCTCACGATCTCATCATATGGCCCATCCTGAATCCGAGGAACATTGATCACATTGTGGAATGCATCTAACGCTTCTTTGCGGTCCTTCCATTTTGATGATGCTAGTTGGTCATGGAAGTCTTTAGCCACCTTCGGCAGAACATCGACAGGTTCTGCAAGGTCGAGAACTTCGGGCTCTTCATCTTCAGCAAATTCCTCTTCCTCTTCTTCACCACCACCACCGCCCGACGGAGCTGCGCTAGCCTCAGCCATCGCATCTTGCTGGGCACGAGTGAATCGTTCTTGCTTTGGTGTTGGCTCTTGCTTCACAGCCTCGAACAATTTCTCGAGATCCTGCTGTTGGACCGGCTTCAAGTCACCCCAGAAGAGTGGTTTCATAGCCTCACGAAGCCATCGATACATCTCCACAGTGAGAGCTTGCGCCTCGGCGCGCACATTTTTGTCCGCATGGCCGAACACCTTAGTTAAAGCCTTCAGTGTCGGCTTCGGATCCACAATCTTACATCCAAAGTTATGATAAATGAGCGCTAAAGCATTCAAAGTAGCAGCAGCCACCTTGGGTACTTTGTGTGATAATGTAGGCAAAAGGTCTTCGAGGACAGGATCGGCTTTATCTAATTCGACGCATAATAGAAGAGCTTCTTGGGCGCTGGCTTTACCAGCTGGTCTGGCACACGGTAGACCTTTTTCCGAAATAGGGCCGATAGTGAGATTGCGAGTTCTGGAAGAGTCAATCATTGAGCCCACAGAGCAAAGGCTAGGCACCTTGAAAGATGGAGTCATACCTTGTACATGCTTGTACGCCTCCGAATTTCAAGAACGCACAGTATGCGCCCAAACCCTCCACCTGCGCGGCGACGTTGGAGTCCGCGACGGCCCCTTTCCACAAACCGGGGTCTTGTAAGAATGGTGTAAATACGGCAGCTGATTCATCGGGTGTCTTTTCAAATTGTGCTTTGGCATCTTCATATCCTTCCTTGCGGACTTTCCAGTTCTATCGAATGGAGGTATCATGGTCAGTTAGGTTCGTCGTTTTGGCAAATTGCTTCGGATCGGAGGGCAGAGAGAACACACCTTATGGGCGAACCGGTCAGGTAACGGCAAGGAGGAGAAATCTGGTTCACCATCCGCCATGGTGACAGGCTAGATGATCAAAGATGGTGTAACTGGTTCGGCACCTAGCAACGCAGCGTTGGTCAGCGTTGTTTGCAAGAAGTTACACAGACAGACCGTCAATGCGTAGAATAAACAAAGAAATTGCAAGAAGGACTCCTGCCCCTCTGGCAAGGCCGCGATATCCTTACCGGGAGGTTTTGGTGCCCAAAGAAATGGACGGGAGGAAATTCGGGATGGGCCTCAGTCGCAATCAGGGATGCCGATCGCCGGGCACTTGACAGTAAAGGTAAAAGTAAATTAAGAAGAGGATAGAAAAGAGAAAGTAAGTCCTCGTTCAAATCATAAAACCTCAAAATTCGAGGGATGGGGAAGTTGATTAAAGCGGAGGGGAAGGGAAATAAACACAGATCGGGAAGTAAACAAGTGGGCTTGGCGGTGTCGTTGTTTTGTTGCTTCAAACCCCGCGGTGGATCTTCAACCTTTACTTGAACTTCCTACAGACAAGGAAAATTACACTCGTCGAGAAAGTGGGATTTCAATTCTTTTTTGCTGGTGTCAATTTGTCTCTGAAGATCTTCAGCCCTTTGTTTGGACCGTTCCCTTCGTGGTTTCGTGCAAGCGACGGCCTCCGGTGTATGCGGAGGTGGATTGAGGACTGTCTGGGAAACACACAAAGCCGCCGGCACCATGAGCCAGCTACTCACGGCGCGACAGGCGGAGGAGCTGTATGCGCCCTTATATGGAGTCGAATGTGACAATGATCACAGACTAACAGACGTGTTTCTTACTGCAGACACAAGTCAATCATTGCCTACTTGGCTTCGGCGAACCTATCCCAAAGCTCCACAGCGTTGCGAGAGGAACTAGGTGACTCGGTCACGGTCGATGACTCTACACTCAAGAAATATGAGGGACTCTTAGAGAAGAAGTGGACTAGTGTAGTCCGATTACAGAAGAAGGTGGGAGCATTATTCACATGTCGGTGAGGAGGGATAGAGAACTGGCAGACTGATTCATTGGATGTCTTAGATTATGGATTTAGAATCGCGATGCGCCTCACTCCAGGCTGAGCTGGACACCGCGACTCCCACGTCGTTGTCACGAAGAAATCAGGACCCCGCCTCCTGGCTGCCCCGAGCGCCGGGTCGTCACGACCTAGAGTCCCATCGACAACCGATTACCAGTGTCGCTTTTCACCCGATTTTCTCGTCTCTCGCGTCCGGCTCAGAAGATACGACCATTAAGATCTGGGACTGGGAGCTGGGCGAGCTCGAACGCACGATCAAGGGTCACACGAGGGCTGTCTTGGATGTGGACTATGGAGGCCCGCGAGGGGGGACTCTCCTTGCATCCTGCTCCTCGGATCTCACTATCAAGCTGTGGGACCCTGCCGATGAATATAAAAATATCAGAACCCTACCAGGCCATGATCATAGTGTTTCTGCGGTTCGCTTCATCCCGTCAGGGGCCGCAGGATCTCCAATGTCAGGGAATCTCTTGGTTTCCGCGTCTCGGGATATGACCTTGCGGATATGGGATGTAACGACAGGATATTGTGTCAAGACATTGCAGGGGCATGCCGCCTGGGTACGTGATGTTGTACCCTCTCCAGATGGCCGATTCCTCTTTTCTGCGGGTGACGATCAAGTCCCTCGGCTATGGGATCTCTCTTCGGGAGAGACAAAAGCTACCTTCTTGGGCCATGAACATTACATTGAGTGCGTTGCTTTCGCTCCAGCCACCAGCTATCAGTATCTTGCACCTCTTGCTGGCCAGAAGAAGCCACCGCCAACCTCCTCATCTGCAGAGTTTGTTGCATCCGCAGGTCGTGATAAAACCATTCGTCTGTGGGATGCACGGGGTAACCTGATTAAGACCCTGGTAGGCCATGACAATTGGGTACGGGGCTTGGTCTTCCACCCTGGTGGGAAATATTTGCTGTCGGTAGCAGACGACAAGACACTGCGATGCTGGGATCTTACCCAGGAATGCAAGTGTGTGCGTACGATTGAGGCTCATGACCACTTTGTCAGCTCAATTCGGTGGGCACCTCCTTTGATCAAGGATACTGGTGCGAATAGCGAGGCTGGAGCCAACGGTACGGCATCTGGTGTAAATGGCACAAAGGAAGACCCCAATGCCGCGAATAAGATGTCGATCAGATGTGTGGTTGCAACTGGCAGTGTCGACCTCAAGGTCAAGGTCTTCGCATCATGAATGCCGCTACAATTTGAGGCAAAGCTTCCCATAAAATTCGGACATGACCGATTTGGCAACCAGGGAACCCTTGACAGATCAAGTCTTTTACGAAATAACGGTACAATCACCACACCGGCGCATTGCAGATTTTCAGCGTTAGAAGGACTGTTCGTCGTTTCAGGACAAAGGAGTTGGTCTCTCTTCTGTGATACCAGTAACTTTTTCCATTTACAAGTGATTTAGGAATCGGTGGACCACATCCACAGGAGGAAAATGGTCGTGCTTTTCCTTGTATACAGTTTTCTGGATGGGCTCTTTCTCGCACATACTTCATTAATGCCGCAACGTTTATTATTGACATTCTGGATTATCTGTCTATATAGAACTCGTAAAAAGCAATCTTAGATGAGTGGAGGTTGGATATGTATCCTAAGAAAATACGGGATAAGATCTTAGATGCAAAATTTAAATGTGTATCAATGAAACGAGGCTGTATAATATAGTACATAGTATGATCCAACATGCAACGCGGTCATGGATCCAAAACATTGTCCACAAGACCAAAGAGAATAATGACAAGCTCTCGAATTACTCCTCCTTCACGGCCTCGGCCGGAGGTTGAGCCGTCCGCTCAAGAACCAATTTCTTCAACTTGCCCACACGCTCCTGACCCGCATGGATCTTATGAATCAATTCAGCCGTCGAAAGATTCTGTGCCTCATCACCAATAATAGCCGCTGCCCGAGCAACCAAATCGACCTCCTCGCCCTGTCGACGCGATTCCCGACGCACATACTTCTCCGCCCAGCGGCGCTCCCGCTCCTGCTCCCGCTGTTCCCGCGACATAACAGCCGGTCGGTCCTCAATTGGCACAGCGAATGGATTAATGATGCGCTCAACAACATGGTGGACGTGACGGCTCTTGGGCGCGCCGGACGAGAACTCGATCACGTCACCCTCGCGCAGCGAGTTGAGAGGATCAGAGACCAAGTAGCGTGTTTCCTTGGGGTAGAATTTGCCAATGTGCTTGTCCCAGACTTTGTGGCGGTGGGTGACGCGGACGGTGCGCTCCATGCGGCCGACTGACTCGACGGTGCCGGTCTTCAGGGCATAGGCGTAGTTGCGGAGCAGGGCGGGTCGCTGGAGATCCTGTGCGGGGGGAGCTGGTGAGGGATTGGTGGGTTCTTGTGTAGTAGAAGATGTAGAAGCTGATCGGAGGCTCTGGGAGATTGAGAGGGTGGAGGGGCGGATTGCTGTTCGAGTGGCCATTGGCGATGCGATTGACCGGATGGGCATTATAGCCCGGATGATGTGGTTGGGGGGCATTTTGGGTGAAATTTCTCTGTGATCCCTTTCTTACGAACAATAGAATCAGAGGCAGAGATCTAGGGAGGAGACCCTGGAGAGGAGTCGGTAGAGAAAAGGTTGATGAGGTCAATGTTGCGGGTTTGCGGAGTTGAAGTTGAGAAATTCTCGGAGTTTTGTTTGCACTGTTTGCACATCACCTGTCTACAGTATCTGTTCTTTCTAGTCTTGAGTCTTGAGTCTGAATTTCTCATTGCGTTCAATTGTTATTTGGCTATTACAATATGGTCACTACTTAAATAGGCCGTGTTAATTAATATGGAGTATTTAAACTAAAATATTCCATGATCATTGCAATGTTTGTTGGGAACATATCATGTTGATCAACCAGGCACCAGCGCGCTGATACCTACACAAGCCTCATCCACGACATCTTGGTCTTCCTAAAGCTTGACACCACAACCTTGGCAGCAACTGGCCTTGACTTTGTATTTCTCACATTCATCACTGGAAATAAATCTCATGCTACATTTTCGTGAACCATCCTGTGAACCGAAAGCAAAAACTGAAAGCCAAGGTTTTTCATCCAACTCAATCTCACTTCCTCTAATATCCAGGAATATGTCGGCCACACCAGAGCCTCCGAAGAGAGCACAGCGCAAGGACATGGCGGAAGAGACCCAGTCACTCATTCCAGATATCATCAGCACTACTAAGGCTCACCCAAGATCAGTTCTCTACAATGAACTTCTACCGCGAGCCCATCCAGACCCGAATGCATCAAAACCAAAAGTCACAGTTTGTGACCAAGACAGCTTCACAGCCGCTAAGGAAATCCTCGAGCGCATCCCATCTGCCAGGGTCGGTGTTCTCAACATGGCCAGCGAAAAGGATCCAGGAGGCGGGTGGTTGAAGGGCTCTCTAGCGCAAGAGGAGGCTCTGTGCCTTCGAAGCACTCTGATCACAACCCTCTACAAGCACTATTATCCACTTTCGGAGTTTGGAGCCATTTGGTCACCGGAAGTGGCTGTCTTCAGAGATGAAGTGAACTCGTGGTGCCGGGTCTACGAAGACAGCAAGATATTTATCGTGGGCGTGGTCAGTGTGGCAGCTTTGCGGTGTCCTCGGTTGACGGAAGACAAGAGATACTTTGGTATATTTTTGCCGAGAGTCGAATTGTGCTATTGTTTGCTGATATGATGTAAATAGCACACCCGGGAGATATTCGGGTAGTCAAGGACAAGATGCGCCAGGCTCTACGTGTTCTTGTGAAGAATGATATCACTCATGGTGTGCTCGGTGCCTTGGGCTGCGGCGCTTTCAAGAATCCCACCAGAGAGACCGCCCGGATATACAAGGAAGTACTGAATGAGCCGGAGTGGAAAGGTGCCTTCGAAGAACTTGTTTTTGCTGTTCTCGACACCGACACCAACCCCAGGAAGGGTGAGTGCAATCACTCTATTTTTAAGAATGTTTTCAGTGATGCATAATGCCTCCGAGTCTGACTGGAACGTTTCTTTTCTAAGATTCATTTCTTGCATTATACCCATATTTTATCTCGAGCTCATCTCCGTGGACCAAATGACTTAGGAATACAAAATGCAACCTTATGTTTAATCTCACTTTAATTCATCACTGAGTCATAAAGCCGAGTTCAAAGTAGTTATCAGACAAATGTGGCTCGAGAATTTCCTATCTGTCAAGACTACAGGAAAGTGCACGATAAACGCGACCTACGAGATGTTATACCCTGAGTAGCTCGCTCAGTAAATAAGCAGGGGGAAGGCGTCAAAGTCGTAGATTCAAATATCATAAGAGGGATTGTCGAGAACCCAGTGCATGTTAGTGCCATTTGTCATTCAAAGAGGGCGCAGAGATCAAGCACACAGCTACTGTTGCTCACCTCTGCACTCTCCAGTTAGGATAGTGGAGTTGAGAGTGATGGGCTTCTCGCTCTTCTTCACCCAGTCAATCAGCGACCCAAGACTAACTAGTCTGTGGATAGGGAGCGCTGGGCTGGAGGTTTTTGGTGTTGCAGTGAGATGCCTCAGGTACCAGGAACAAGAGGTGCCAGTCATTGATACTGCTGGTGCCCTCATGGAAAGACTCGATTCCATAATAGCCCATTTACCGGCAAAGGTGCCATATTCGGTCTCAGCATCGGTTATCAAATCCACACTGATACCAGAAATTGGCCTGGCGGTCATTGATATTTAAAGAACTATTGTAGATAATGCTTCCACCAGAAAATTTTTCCTCACGGCCCTGATGAGAGATTGCAAAATGTGTCCTACAACAGCCAGTGAGGTGTTAATATTGTCATGATAGTATGCTAAGTATCTCCAATCTAGAATATGTAACATTGTTATTGCCATTAAGCTTTTATTCTTAGAATTACCACGGGATTGCAAGAGATAGTACGATTTGTGGAAGTGGAATATCTGTGGCTTGAAGTCAATGCTAAGAAAATATAAAAATGTAAATCGGACACAACGTCCGCCAATTGATGGATTGTCATAAAGCCACTACATAACAACTCACCAAAACAAAGTCGGAACTAGGGAGCCACAAGGGATAGCCGCTACTTTAACTTCAAATATGCAAATTCTCGGGTAAAGAGGGTCTGGCATGCTGGCATGTCGTCCCCCACATTCACTTCAAATATGTATTGAGGCAGCCCTAACCGATACCAGGAATGTTGTTCCTGGACTATAAAGTCCAAGTCAACCTCAGCCTCAATGCTTGTCCATCAACATCAACAGTTGACAATCCTCCAGTCACTTCCGTTCATTCCTTGATCATCATCAATCATTTCATATTCTGCAAAACCCAAGTCAAGTATGTCATACACCCTTTCAAAGCTGGTTGATAGGAGCTGATTGTCTATAGACGACACCATGCAGTTCTCCTACCAAATGATCACTACCTTCATGGCCTTTGTGCTATTCAACTCGGCCACTGCTGCCCCTGCCGTCGATGCTGTCGATGCCGTTGATGAGGTCAATGCCGCTGCTAACGGCAGGGCGACGTGGGCTGACCCCCAAGACTGCCACCGCTTCTTCGAATGCCCCGCCGGCGAAAAGCCCGTTCTGAAGACCTGTGGTCCTGGAACTGCCTTCCAGGCGAGCACCGGTGTTTGTGATTACGAGTACAACGTTGCCAGCTGCTGGCACCACTAGAGTGGCGGTGTCACCCGTTTTATTTGATGAATGAACGGAAAGGGAGCGCCTGGGAAAAGCTCAACCGACTGTCACATAATTACACTATTTGGATTAGCTTCATTGCTGGATGATTCCCGATTACCCCCCTAGTTGTCCCAGAAAAAGTGAAATATTGGTAGTCCTTTTCGACCCGTCATTTGAATTATTCTCAACCTCGTAGACACTCAAATGTATAATAATCTTTGGAATGTTTAGTTACGTGACCGCGTCCCTGGTATTACCATTCAACCTTGAACCCCTCCATGTCGCTCTAGAAAATGCTCCATTACCAGATCAAGCTAATGTTCATCACTTCAATAGGTTTCCATGAAGGCTCCGATCTCTCTGTTCCCCACTCATCCATCCCTCCTCAATTCTGCTGGCAGTGCTGGCCGCTTTAACGTAGCGGGTCCAGACTAACACTAGATGCATACATGTAATTTTAGTCATTGCAATGTCTTAGATTTTCTCTTTCTCTTTTGGGAATAGCTTATAGGGACCTGCAGGTTCAAGGGAAATGCTTGGCATTATTGGGGGCCGATTGATCCGCTACCAGAGCGGAAATATAGTACATCAAGTTCGAATAACAGAAGACTAATATTGGCTTTCTAGCTTGATAAGTTAGAAACTGGAAGTCTGAAATGAAAACCTGAACATTCTGAGGGGATTTGGGCTGGGGCTAGGGCCGGAGTAGTAGACTGAACAGTACATTCGTCCCCGCACAGAAATTTCCAAATAAACACCATGCTTGCTGAACCCACAGCGGCTGTGGAGCGAATTTGGTCTTTCTATAGGTTGGGTCCTGGAGTGGTAAGTGGCGGTGGGGGATCTACCAAGGTAGCAGGATTAATCCTTGGATGGACGTTACATTCAGGGTCCAAATTATATCTCAAAACAGTATAGTTGGTTTCGCACGTAGAGCCGGCCCCAACCCGGTGAAGTCGTCCTTGGAACTAAGAATTGACAGACCAATAAACCAACGACAAAGAACCAACGCGAGCCTCGTCTTTGTAGATCAGGGCCAGGTTTCCAAATTTGTCAACGATTCGAGATATTGATTCCGTAGTTTCTCTGTGTAAAAGATGGGAAGGAATTATCAATCGATTCAATTTCATATTGACCTGGACGTATAAATACCCCCTCCCCATCCCCTCTAACATTCTCTTCAACAACCACTTCCAATCTCAACCATTTCCAATCACGACTCTCTTCTATCAACAACACCTTCTTCTACCGTCAATATGGTCAAGATCAGCATCCTCTCCATTGCCTCCGTGGCTGCCTTTGTATCTCTTGGTGCGGCTAAGAACTGCCAAACCCAGTTCGATTACTGTGCCTCGGCTCTCCTGACCAGAGGTTAGTGAAGCAAATTATACAGTTTGAGTTACAATAAGGCAAATTACTAAATCAATATTAAGGCGACTACGACATCCAAATCCGCAATGCCCTTGCAGATGCTCAGGGCTCATTCCCTGGCGTAAACCAAGACAACGCCTTGTTCGCCTGCCTAGGAGGCTCCAACGGTGAAATCAAGGTTATCGAGAAGTGTGGATACGAGTGCAAGAACGGAGGTAACGGCCACACCGACTCTTGCTAAAGGTCAAGTTTCAGTCAACACAGCTTGATTGAAGCTTCTTGGGCTCTAAGTCGTGCCTTCGCAAACACGAGCGGATTGTTACTATTGCTTTGATGTACATTGTTGGCATGACTCGGTATAAAGCCAAACCGCTCTATACTAGATACTTTCATTTTGTTAGAGACCTTAATGGGATCAGATTGTGTAAATATAAAGATTGAATTATCCAATGCAGCTATACTACCAGAAATTGTGCTCAGTCGTCCGTCACTTATCGAAGCATGATTTATAAGACTCTATAAGTTCTTATGGATCATATCAATCCACTCAGCAGGTTGGGTAGTAGAGGCTCCTCGTCATTTAGTAGCTGATCAGTCTTGACCCTCTCTATATATTGTTTTTCAAGAAAATAGCAACCAGGAAATTCATACCGAGGAACACCGTCAGAGGCCTGCACGATGTACGTCGCCGAAGTCTTATATTCATATTGTAGAGCATGATGGAATTCCCTAATTCTTCTTGTGGCACACCTATTTTCTCCTTCTGGCAGTAACATTGACGTGTAATGCGTATACTTATTAAGGTTCATCGGGGTGCCCGCACGGTGCATCGGTTCGGCCCTACATGATCGTCGAAAACATCGTCAAATATCCAACTGCGGGAAAATAAGACATCAGACAACTGAAGTCGCTCCACCTAGCAGATTTGTGAGGCCTGTGATCATGGCTCAGTTCAGTGAGTAAGTGGAAATAAATTTTCTTGCAGAGCTGGGGACGTGGAGAGTAATAGGAAAATGCACAGACCATGGTCTCAGTCTGAATCCCTATTTAATATTTTTTTTCAGGGTCCAAAAATGGGGCTTGATCTCGCCTTTCACTGGCTGCGGAGTTTGGAGCTTAGGCCTAGGGTCACAGAGTCAGTCCCAATCCTGATCCATTCCTCCTTATTTACGTCCAGTTCTATCCACTAAAATTAAGTGGTGACCGCGGTAAGGATCTACCCGCAGAAAGGCTTGAAATTGAGGGATTTCCCAAGGTTAGCATCCGGGTGGCGGCTTATGCCGCAGCCAAGAAGTCGCGCAACATTCAGTTCATGGTGGATGCGGGCAGTATGAGAGAGCCTTGTTGCCTAGGACTTGCAGGGCTTCTCAATTGACCATACTCCAAACCTTCCATGGTGATAATAATTGCTCTATTCTCGGTCTGGAGCCACCAACAAAAAGAATGCTGATTCAAGTGGACTCGTCAAGCTGGAAAGAGAGCGCAGCCCCAGGCTACACACCCTCATCGGTTTTTTTCGACGCATGGACTCTCTTAATCCCATCTGCCAAGTTAATCAACATTGCTCCGTGGAGGATCTTGCTAGACACAATGTGACGGCGATTGCTTTCCCGTACGCAGAGCAACACTTGTCAGATGAAGGCTATTTCGTCCACACGCTACCTTATGTTGGGAAATAAGTGAAAGGATCACGAGGAGCTCAATTAGGATCGCTAAAACTTATGAACTAAATTGACATGAGGCACGTGAAGTCTGTAGGCTAAAACCGTAGCAGAAACCCCTGCGTCTGAAAAGGCGACGTCTCCGTCGCACGTAAGAAATAACAATCTGAGCTCCTTGATGAGGTGAGAAAAGAAAATTAACGAGTACCAAGACACTGAGTGACCCAGGCCTTCTTGGCACGTCGAGACGACTCGGACGCATATGGCATCTTTCGATAGATGAAAGCGAGAAGATTCTTATCACCGGTTCACGAGAATTCAGACGTACGGCCGGTCGTAACCATGGACCACGGCACCCAAGTGGCTTGTGACGCTTTGCGTCGAACTGACCATCCTGAGAGAAATCCTGTACCCTTGGATTCTCCTCGTGCTGTATGGTGTGAGTGGTTCGACCTGCGGACAGAGTGTTCTGAATTCACCCGTCCCATCTTCAGGCCCTATATCTGCCAGTATGACAAGTCGAACAGCTGGGTCATTGATATGGACATTCTGTGCATATCGTAGGGGAGATGGTCTTGGGAATAGAATCGGTTTAAGGAAAAGTGACTTCCCCGGGACATACCCGCTTTTTTCTGGGACAAAATCCCCTCTTAAAAGATGACTGACAGCAGGAATTGAGATACCGTAAACGGAATATAAGGTAATAAATACGCCCCCACTAGTCCTATAAAGTCTGACCGGCACGCTTGCATTGGACAATCAGGAATTTGGTCGCATTGTTGGCACTAGCGGCATAATGGAAAACGTGCAAATCGGAGCTTTTTCAAAGGACTTCTTCTGGAGTTCGAAGCTCCATTAGCGACCCTCCTGGCTTAAAGTTGTACTTGGGTGGCCAAATGACGCTGAATCTTCAAAGTAAAGACAAATCACCAGACCCACAACGAACCCCAGGTCCCCTGGCCTTTGCCTCCACCACAATAAGATTGATAGCCTTTTCAGGCTCATCCCCATTGCCATACCAAAGATTATAGTCGCTTGTCCCATGGAATCGTTGATCTATTCTTTTGACTGTAACCATATTCGACTGGAGGCTGGTTTCCATCTGGATATGGAGGGGCCAAGTGCCCGACGCATCGCAATGACCGGAATCATTGGACAGCTGGCGAAAGAGATTGCTTCTCTGGGCTGCGTCTCGAAATCTCCGGTATTCCAGGACCCAAATTTCTTGCATCTTTGGATCAGAATGATTTCGAAGACTTTAATAAGCATCTCGAACATCCATAGCCCATTCTCGGATATAGATATCCTGACTGTGTAGCGCAGCTGTAAAATCCTTCTTAGATAATCCCATCTCGTGTAATGTCAGTATGCTTCAATAGCGGCTTCGGGTTTTAATTCCGTACCACTGAAGCATTAGGAGGCCATGCATTATGGGGCATCACTGGCATTGATCATATTCGTGGCGTTTCTTGTCCAAACGCCACCTCACGAAACACGCATCTGTGAGAATGAAATATTTTCTCGGATCAGGCCGAGACTTTGGAAATACATCATTGAAGGCAAAACATAAAGGTGAACCTTCGATTCGTGTTGTACCTGTATCTCGAGTAGCGCTCATTTTGTCTGTCGGCACAGGTGGCCCATTTGGGTTCTCCATCTCTCGATGACCAGCTCCATTTCATCACGCAAACAGTCAATGAGACGTTAACTCCGTTCCTCGTCCCAAAGGCCATGTCCTCAATGAGTTGCACTCGCTTTTCGCTGAACCCACTTCCAGGGCGATTGTGGGCCTATTAAGGGGTCCTTAGGCCCCCAGCCTCTACCAGCGCTTTTGGTACCCTCACCGTGGTGCAGTTCGGCAGTACCCCATATCAAGAGTCGTTTTCTTGCAATGGTTGTTGCCCAATATCGAACAAAGTGCCGATTTTCCACGCAGCCGCTTGGTGTGGCTTTGAGACCGGCATAATGAGAAGATGTTTGAGGAGTCTTCATATGGTTTCCACGATCTTAACATAATATCGTGATCTGTATTTCACAAAATCCTTTTGGAAGGTGCACTCGTTCATTTTGAAAATTAGGTATGGGACGAGGAGACGACCGGGGGTCATCGAGAAACTTTTTCGTAGGCATCGGCGCGTCAATCTGTTGTTGGTATGAACCGAAGGTAGTGATATTGGTTGCGTCCATAATATCACGATTTTCCTCATCCTCTGCTTGTCACAGTAGACCTTCAGTTCATTGCAGCTCCTGGCTACCTCTTTACGCGAGACATCCTTAGCCAAGCTGATAGATATCAAGTCGCCTGGCATGGTGATTGATATGACGACCAAGTGAGATCAGGTGACGCATTAAAAGAGCAGAAATGAGAGACGAAGAGAGAGTTGAGGGAAGAAGGTGAGAGAAGTGAAGAGGTGAATGACGAAGTATGCAGTTCCCGGAGTGACCAGAAAATTCATTGAAATAAAAAACGACTGGACATCCAATGTTAGTTGTATCTGAGCCCTCAAGTGCTGCCCGACTCACGTGTCATGAAATAATATGATATTCTATCATATAGGACTCACATAGAAGCTCATTAATGACGGATATAAGCTCTTTGAAGCGAGCTGAATTCATTGAGGTCTTGATGTACTGAAAGTAGTAAATAAAGTATTAGACGCGATAGCAGATTGAGACCAACCTTGGAAGCTTGAGGAGAAGACCGAATAGGAGACCGAGCAAAAATTCGAGTCGTCAACTGACTAGGAGAAAAGGTATCCGACCTCACCGTTCTGCACCATTCTCCAAGTTCCAACTACCTCGAGTTATCTTTTCAACATGGTAAGACTCATTCCCTACGCGTCTACAAGCATTGGGATGGTTCACTGACACTTCTTTCTTTCAGGATTACTCAGACTCCAAGCTCTGCTAACTGAGCCAATTATCATCATTATTAATCAGATGCCGGATCGGAGGGCACTGAAATCCTCGGTGCTCACATGGAAGATATTCTATAGCATCTACATTAATTTACACCGTTACTAGGATGTCGCCGACGAGCAGGTTGCGAAGAGCATCACCGAATAGATGGAGGAAAACGCGGCATGGATTAAGGACAACACGGGATCTAGATATCTGGACTCGTGGATGCTTCATACCCCTGATCATTGGAAGTTCCTCCTAATGGACTCTTCAACTACTTCGCCAAAGGGGAGAACGGCGAATTACTTGAGGCCTTCTTCGCGGTGACCAAAGCATACTGCGACATCAAGGCGCTCCTGGTTGCCGATAAAGTACTGTCAGCACGCGACGCAGCACTGCGTATGACCAATGACGAAAAGTATTTGCGACTAAAATTGCTATGCCACGTCTTAAAAAGCCAATACGGAGTCCTCGGTCTGGAAATTGGAGATGCCATCACTGTGTTGCGGTCTCATGGTGTCTCCTTTGATCAAAACAAACGTCAAGCTCATGCCCTATTTGACGTTTGGCGCGAGAATGAACACGCTCGAAAGCCAGACCCGCGCTTCACCAGATTTCAAAAATATCTTCTCTGCACAGAAAGCTGGCTTTCCTGATTCAGAGATATGCACTAGCTTCTACCTCCGTATGCACCCCAGTATGTACCTCGGTACCTACTCCTTCTGACAACGATCTACTAGAAAAGATAAAGGTATGCAAAGGGTACATTGATACCCCAGTTTATACTAGCAACTCCCAAGCATTGTATCTACCGCCAGTTTATACGCCATGTCTCTAGCATCTCCAAACACCGTCCCTTCTACGGCAAACTTATCCCACCCATGAGGACATCCCTCTGCCCTCTTGACAACAACATGCCGATTCGGTAAATCTCCTATCCGCCTCGCCAGTACCTCCCCCTCATCTGCAAAGGCATCTTGAGCCGCAGTAATGACAAGAACCCGACCGGGAAATACTTCCGGATCAGCAAAGAGCGGAGAAATCATTGGATCCCTAGGATCCACACCCGATGGGATATAACACTTATGAAAGTACCGCGAGAGAGCCGCCGGTATCTTCTTAGACGATGACTCCGGAGCCCTTTTCTCTCCAGGATCCTCTGCCAGATTGGTGGGTGCGTAGAAAACAATGGTAGACGAGATGGCCTCTCGGGCGACAAAGGTCGATGAGGAACAGATTGATAGAGCGAGATTCCCGCCTGCGCTAAAGCCTGAGATGGCGATTCTTTTCGAGTCAAATGTATTTGAGCATGAAAGGACGTAGTGGATGCTATCTTCGATGTCGTGGAAAGCTGCTGGGAATGGATCTTCTGGTGCGAGGCGATATTGGATGTCGAGGACTGTGTAGTTGGCATTATTTGCGATGAAAGAGCAGAAATCGTCGTCGGAACCGTGGGCCGGGATCATAATCCACTTCCATGGAGGTTGAGGAGTACTGGCGTAGGTTCCTGTATAGTGGAAGGTCGATAGATGTTTGCGCGGATTGTTCTTCCGGTGTCTCTGGAAGGAAGGTTCAGGGTCTCATTGCAATGTTTGGGGTTTCTGGTGCCCATTCGGGCCAGACTCTTCATGGCATTCGCACCAAATTCGGTCAACCAGTCAGTCATTGTAGGAAGATGTGGAAGAGAAGTTCGTGGCCCTAGAGTGGATGACTATACAATGGCCACAATCATATGACAGGCCGGTGAAAAGAAACATCCGTCATAGCTGCTCCTAGTTGAACTCCATCTGGGCCATTAGCTATGGAGAGCAATCAAGAAAAAATCTCATTTGTATCTAGATGAGTAGGTGATTTTCTTGGAACCGATCCCTATGAAAGAAAAGAAAGACAAAGCCCATGCAGCCAAACAAGCACAAAATCACAATAAAATTTCGCCACATCCATGTCGTGAGAGCATCTAAGTTTCATTCAAGACGTTTATTCCACGCTCAAAGTTGATACAGTCTATAGACTATTCAACTTCTACAGGCTCAGGGACATCGCTATCGCTGCCGTTGTTATCAGCAAGGGCGATTTTCTTCGCTTGGAACTTATCAGCAGAATGAGCTGATATGCGAGTGAGTTCAGTGACGAAAGACTGGCCCCAGAATGCACTAGAAGGTTGTTAGCTCCGGTCAAATGATAGAAGAGAGTTAACTTACCTGGTGTATTTAGAAACGTATTTGTCCAGTTTAGTGAAATTGAGGGCGCGCTGTTCATCACTCATGGTGACGGCTTCTTGGTAGGCACCGGCCAACTCCTCCGTGTTCCATGGATTGACAATGATACTACCGTTCAGACTCTGGGCGGCACCGGCAAACTCGGAGAGTACCAATACACCGTGACGCTTCTGCTGAGTGGCAATATACTCGTAGGCGACAAGGTTCATGCCATCACGTGTAGAAGACACAATGCAAGCATCCGAAACAGCATAGAGAGCGATGAGCTCATCGAAGTTGACGGACTTGTGGAGGAAATGGATTGGCTGGAACTCAACCGTGCCTTCAGGACAAATGCCGATTAGCATCGGTCAGAATTGAATCGTAGAACAGTACATACCAAATTTGCCGTTGATTCGGCCCACCAGTTCGTTCACCACGGCTCGCAGGTTCTGGTATTCCTCAACATCCTGACGACTTGGAACGGCAACCTGTACCAGGACTACCTTTCCAACCCATTCCGGGTGATCACTGAGGAATACCTCTAACGCATGCAACTTTTGCGGGACACCCTTGATGTAGTCCAGACGATCGACGCCGACCATCAGCTTGACCCCTTGGAACTTCTGCTCGAGCATGGCAATACGCTTCTGGACCTTCTCTTTCTTCAGTCCCTCCTTGAACTTTTCAGGGTCGATTCCAATGGGGAAGGCTCCGCAGGTGATTATCTTGCCTTGGAACTCAATACCATTCGGTGTCGTCGCAAGGCCCCTGTGCTCGTCAGTTGACGTTATTTTTCAACCCAAGAACAGTGTACATACAACAAGCGCGAGCAACTGCTCAGGAAATGCCGGGTGTAGTCATAGGTATGGAAACCAATCAAGTCGCAATGCAAAACACCCAAGAGCAGTTCGTTTCGGACAGGCAAAATTCGGTAGATCTCGCTACTGGGGAACGGGGTGTGTAGGAAGAACCCAATCTTGACGTTCTTCTTGCTATCGCCAATCTCCTCGCGCAGCATCTCCGGCAGCAGCATAAGGTGGTAGTCGTGCACCCAGATCAAGTCGCCATCCTGGACTTCTTTGACGATCGCCTTCGCGAAAAGGCGATTCGCCTCCTTGTAAGCCTCCCAGGCGGACTCATCAAAGGTGATTTCACCGGGGTGGTAGTGGAACAGTGGCCATAGGATGGAGTCTGCAACGAGATGCTCATGATGTTAGTGTCAACTCCACAATATTTGACCAGGGTGAAACTGACTAGAGAAGCCATTGTAGTGTCGGTCAGCCAGTTCATCGTCGATAAATACTGGCACTGCGCCATACTCCTTCTTAAGGCGCGCCTTCATTTCCGGAATTTCTGCCTCGGGCACCTCTAGCCCAGGCCATCCGTACCACTGGAATGTCGTAGATTTAGACAGACCGCTTAGCCCACTGACCAGACCTCCTGACGACATGGAGAAATCATATTTTCCATCTTCTGATCGTTTAATGGTGATCGGCAAGCGGTTCGAGACTAGCAGCAGTCGGGCTTCGTTCTTGGGTTCTTCAAGGGACGGCATGGTGGCGGGGAGTTCGGCAGCTCAGTGCAGTAGGCCCTGGGTTGTGGGAGTTGATTCTGATAGATCGAAGTTTAATGATGGATGGCGAAGGGAATGAGAGGGATAGCAGCTACAGTTCCAGTAACAATGGAGGTCAGACCCTTGCAATACTGTAGCGCGGGGAAGAGACAACCAACCGATGATCAACGGATCAAGATAGAGGAGCGAAGCATAAACGTGAGAGTCTCCACAATTCCCTGTTTCTGTTCCTTCAGACACGCATCCCACGAGTATGCAGATCCAATGTGGTGGGGGTGTCGAAAAAAAAAAAAGGGTAAGAAGCAAGTGGCAGGTGGCAGGTGGGGGGGGGGAAGAAGGTGAGGTCAGCGCCTCGAAACTTGGAACTTTAGCTACGGTGGAGCTCTTCAATAGCACTCACATCAGGTCATTATATAAAAGGAAAGATCAAAAAGGAGGGGGATGAGGGACTATGAGGAGAACAGGCTTTATAATAATTTACGCTATTATTGTATTGACTTTCTGATGATCCGTTCAATGAAGTTTGACAAAAATACAGGATTTGTCGTGTTCTGGCCCGATTCACACTCCTTGATTGGACTCATTAATACCAGCCACAACATATCATTACAGGGAATCTATTGGACGGGGAAACACATAATTCATACCTTGGATAGCTGCCCGATATTCATGACAATGTGCTGACGTCGATCATGCCCATAATATACGTAGATCATCTAGATCTGCTATGTTCAATATCACATCCACTACCCACATGCAGGTCTATACCTAGTACCTGACACCCATAGAGCCTGGTATTCTAGGTATGCCCGAATATGTACAGATTTTAATGTAAATTATCCGAAATCCCAGCGTGGGGGTAAATCCAGAGAGAAGATTCCAGCTCAGTAGATGCAAGACGCTTCTTCCGGAACCATATAACCCGCTCTGATCCGACGAGCAAGCTAGCATATTAATAGGGATCCAATACCATCAATATTTATATAAAATGTCTGTCTGACCCAAGACTACAACCTTGGAGCCCCTGGACCCCCGGCTATAATGCCGACTTCTCCCCGCTTAACCTCCACTTCCCCGACTCCGAATCATGTACCGTCTGCCCCTCATCTTCCAATTTCATCAACACTTTCAGCACCCCATGTGATGCGGGTAAATGGAGGCTTTCGGGTACATCCCGGTAAATCAGTTTCACCAGCTCCAACGGCGTCCACGCCTTGCGCTCGGGCGACGCATCCCCCGCCGAAGCCTCGAGCTGCCCATACCGTAACACTCGGAGCACCTCGTCTTCCCGTTGCTGGCGGTGCTGGATATACTCGCTGATGCGGACACTAAGTTTCTCAAGCACGGCCCCGTGGCCCGGGTATCCGCGGCCTGAAACCCGATCTCGCATCCGGTGAAGGCTATTCAGGTAGACTTTCAAATCTTCGAATACAGCGGTGCCGTGCCCCAAGATATCTTCTCATGATTAATATGGAATGGTTGGCTATGGGAAGCTGTGCTTTATCACTTACTATCCCCGGTAAACATCGCATCTTCTTCTTCCAATACAAATGCCATATGGTCCACTGTGTGACCGGGTGTATGGGCCGCCGTCAGCGTCGCCCCATCCACGCGAAATACCTGTCCATCCTGGATATCAGCCTGCCCGTCGTCAGGTTGATTCTTAAAAATTTGGACTTGTGGACAAATCCTCAGTAGGTCCGGTAAGCCTTTCACATGGTCGTGGTGCCAATGCGTAATCAGAGCCTGCTGCACAGTGGCTTTCTCTTCGGACAGCACGGATTCAAGACGTGCAGCCCACGTGGGCTTGCCCTCGCCTGTATCAATGAGGATCCGGTGGTATCCCCGGCCGATCAGGTATGTGTTGGTTCCTGATACCGGTGAGTGAGGGGTTCGCTCGAGCCAAGTCCAGTCCGGGGTGAGACTAGAAAGGGAGGGGGAGAGGGGCGCCGAGTTACCCTGTCTGGACACTTACCTTGCAGTGTAAACTAGAGGCGTGGATGTCAGCCACCATTGTTGCCCAACTGCATTTCATTTTGTTTGATTTTCTTCCCACTTACCTTTCCTGGGTTCCCGCCTAGGATCCTGATCACGGATGAACTAAGGCGTTCGACCTCCGGAAGAGGAATAACTTGTGCCATGATGTATGTATGGTGATTGTGAGATTTCGTTTGGGTCAAGAGTTGATATCGTATTAACCGCCGAAAATCGGGAATATGGAGCATACGTTGGTATAGGATGTCCGGGGTAAATGTAGTCCTAAGGGTCCACTGCCCCTCTCTGCTCTATGTGATCGCGGAATCCCCAAAGCCGATGACGCGCAAGGGGGATAGCCGTTTCGTTTGCGGGGCAGAAGCAACGGGCCTCGGCAGCTTATCTCAGCTTTTGAGGTTTTTACTTGGTTGAAATTTATGGTGCACATAAGTACGGGAATCCTACAATGGCACAGATTTAAATTGTTTGAACATAAAGGAAACAGTGTATGGATGCTATCTTAGCACATACTGATATAGGAAAATCAAGCAACTATATCCATTGAACCGACCCAAACTATCGGGAATCCAACGCGAGGCCAATAGGCCTAAAACAAAAGATCATAAATTTTTCCCAGAGCACAACTCCTCATATCCGGCTCAAAAAAGGGACACATACGCGAAGGAGTGACAACCCCCGTTCATTCCCCCTCGAAGGTCTGTAGATGTCACTCCGTTCTCTTTCTGGGGCGCTGAAACACGAGAGAACGTAGTTTACACGGGCATCTCAGATCAGCCGATCGACTGGGAGATCCCTGGAACAAAAAACGAGATTTTGGAGTTCAAATATTCAACCCCATTTAGTTGGCAGCCTTGCGGGCCATGGTGTTCAGGGCAGAACCGTCGACGAACCACTCAATCTGGGACTCGTTGAAGGTGTGGCTGAGAGAGATGTCGAAGGCATCACCACCGGCGGCGGGGTGAACACGGAGGGTCATGGGCTTGCCAACCTCGAGCTGAGTGCACAGAAGGTCAACCTTGTCGGCAGGCTTGATCTTCTCGTAATCGGCGGGGTCGGTGAAGGTCAAGGGCAGCATACCCTGCTTCTTCAGGTTGGTCTCGTGGATACGAGCGAAGGAGCGGGTGATGATGGCCAGACCACCGAGGTGACGGGGCTCCAGAGCGGCGTGCTCACGGGAAGAACCCTCACCGTAGTTCCAGTCACCAATGACAACCCACTTGACACCGCGGGCCTTGTAGTCACGGGCAGTGGCGGGAACAGCGTCGTACTTGCCAGTGAAGGCGTTCTTAACCTTGTTGGCCTCACCGTTCTCCTCGTTAGTGGCACCGATCAGCATGTTGTTGGAGATGTTGTCCAAGTGGCCACGGTACTTCAACCAGGGACCAGCCATGGAGATGTGGTCAGTGGTGGTCTTGCCCTGGCACTTGATCAAAATGGGGATGTCAAGGGCATCCTTCTTGTCCCAGGCAGAGAAGCCAGCAAGGAGCTGCAGACGGTCACTGGTGGGGGAGACAACGACCTCAATGGAGGCACGGTCGGCAGGGGGAGCCTGGTAGGTGTCCATACCGGGGTCGTATCCACGCTCGGGAAGACCATCGCCGGTGGGGGGCTTGAGCTTGAACTCGTTACCGTCCTTGTCCTTTAGGGAGTCGGTGAGGGGGTTGAAGTTGAGGGTACCGGCAACGGTCATGGCGACGACCAGGTCGGGGGAGGCAACGAAGGCGTGGGTAGCGGGGTTGGCGTCGTTACGGCCAGTGAAGTTACGGTTGTAGGAGGAGATGATGGAGTTGGCATCACCCTTCTTCACATCCTTACGGTCCCACTGACCAATGCAAGGACCGCAAGCGTTGGCCAGGATAACACCACCGTACTCCTCGAGGGTGGCGAGCTGACCGTCACGCTCGATGGTAGCGCGAATCTGCTCGGAACCGGGGGTGATGGTGAACAGAGACTTGGACTTGAGACCGTGGTCAAGAGCGTCACGGGCGATGGAAGCGGCACGGGACATGTCCTCGTAGGAGGAGTTGGTGCAAGAGCCGATCAGACCGACCTTGAGCTCCTCGGGCCACTTGTTGGTCTTGACAGCCTCCTTGAACTGGGAAATAGGGGTGGCAAGATCGGGAGTGAAGGGACCGTTGATGTGAGGCTCAAGCTCATCAAGGTTGATCTCAATGAGCTGGTCGTACTGGGCACCCTCGTCCTCACGGAGCTGGGCGGCGTACTCACGGGAGAAGTCACCAATGTTCTGACGCTTGGTGGCCTTCAGGTAGTCGTACATACGGTCGTTGAAGGGGAAGAGGGAGGTGGTGGCACCAATCTCGGCACCCATGTTACAGATGGTAGCCATACCAGTGCAGGACAGGGACTCAACACCGGGTCCGTGGTACTCAATGATGGCACCAGTACCACCCTTGACAGTCAGGAGACCGGCAACCTTAAGGATGATATCCTTGGGGGTGGTCCAGCCAGACATCTTACCAGTGAGGCGGACACCAATGACCTTAGGGGCCTTCAGCTCCCAGGGGAGACCAGCCATAACGTCGACAGCATCGGCACCACCGACACCGATTGCAGCCATAGCAAGACCACCGGCGTTGGGGGTGTGGGAGTCAGTACCGATCATCAGACCACCGGGGAAAGCGTAGTTCTCAAGGATGATCTGGTGAATGATACCGGAACCGGGCTTCCAGAAACCGATGTTGTACTTGGCGGTGGAAGAGGCAAGGAAGTCGTAAACCTCCTTGTTGATCTCGTTGGCACGGGCCAAATCCTTCTCACCACCAACCTGGGCCTCAATCAAGTGGTCACAGTGGACGGTGGTGGGGGTCTGGACGGAAGCCATGCCAGCGGACATGAACTGCAGAATAGCCATCTGGGCAGTGGCGTCCTGGCAAGCAACACGGTCGGGACGGAGCTTCAGGTAGGAGGTACCACGCTCGATGTCCTGGCCATGGGGATCGTCAAGGTGAGAGTACAGGATCTTCTCGGCGTAGGTGAGAGGGGTCTGCAGACGAGCACGGACGATGTCAAGGTTCTCGTTCATCTTCCTATAAGTGAAATCATGTTAGTCAAATCCAGCCCACTCTGCAATTTGCATTTGCATTTGCATTCCGTCGTGTCAGGCGGGGAAATCGTACTTGTAGTTGATGTAGTTGCCCTATCAAATTCATCATAATTAGCCGGGTGTTCGTTTTTTCGGTGTCAAAATGCTTTTAGCCACTCACCTTCTCGTGGATGGTCATCTCGACCTTCTTGTCAAGAGGGGAGGCGGTAGCGTAGGCCCGGGTCCCGAAAAGCTGAAAGAGCCATTGGTTAGTTTGTTGCCATTTGCATATACCCCATATCCGGAGTGCCGCAAGGCCACATATTGGCGTGGCACCTGCATTAGGTGTGTGTTGCTTACAAGACGGGACTTGGGGGCCTGCCACAGACAAGACATGTTAGCAAGACCGTAGTTCATCTGGGGTCCAAGATCCACATTGAAGAATCTGGAAGGATGCAATGAGCGCATCGCCCATCTCCTCCGACGAGGCAGAGTAAAGGGTATTGACTTACCAGCGCACCGGCGCGCGCAAGGCGGGTGGAGATCATGATGTCCAAAAGCTAATTACCACCTTCACCTGTGGTAAGCTTAAAGCAGAGTGGAGAGTGGGAAGGAAAAAGAAAGAGAAGAGAAAACGGGAGGCTTGGAGGTTTTGAGGGAAGAGAGAAATGTTCTCAGCCGAACAGCCGTAACTCGCTGTTACCCCAGCGATACAGTACGTGTATTGTGGTTTTGGGTTCCCGCATGCGCTCGTCCACAACTTTGAGTATTCCGATCCATGAGGGGTTTTTCCCACATGTCCCTGCAGGTAGAGTGGTGACAAAAATCGGGATCTCTAATTCATGGGCTACTGGAGCTTCTGGCTATCTTTTCGTATGCAATATCACATCCATTGTTTCTCTAATTGCAGGTTGAAAGTCATCAACTCATGCCGATATTGGTGTAATGGCAATACGCTGCATGTGACGGGGCCCAAAGCGGGCCACCAATCACGGAGCTTGCAATTACAAACAATCAATAATCTCAACTTAACAAGCAGGTTAAACATTACTTTTCGGAATCGGGCCAAGGGACTTGACTCGGGTACAATATTTACTCCAGGGCTCGGCATCTTCCCCATTTTCATCCACAAGGTAATCATTACATGTGGGCTGAAGATCACGATCACCCTTCCGCATCAAGGGGAGTGGCTTGGATTAAACATCAAATCCATATATTAGCAACTAGTCTGTATTAGATTTCCATATATAGATATTATAACTTCTATGGTTCGTTTTAATACATTCCCATTATTCATATCTGGCCTTTTTAGGTAGTGATGTTGTCTCAGAACAGTAACACCCTCCGCAATAGGGCCGGAGCAGCATGCCGCGAATGCAAACGTCATAGGGATAAAAACATATTAAAATACATCTTGTAAAATACGGAATAAATTACACATCCGCACTAGAGCCGAGGCGTGCCGACCGCTCCCGCCCCTTCCCAGCCAAGCAATGGAAGCCAATCAAGGTCGTCGTGTTACAATCGCTCGCTTGCTCCACTCAGTCAGCGGAATTTTTTCCCTACCCAACTTTTGCCCTTCGTTCTTTCCTGGCGCTTGTCCCGTTCCCCACCTACGCCCCATTATCACTCCGGAAATCGGTGATAACTTTTTTTGTCTCGAAACACTCGATCTTCAATTTTTCAAGTCGGCCAGCAAGCCGAAGTCCAGCAAAAATGGGTGCTTTGCGCAAAATCAAGAATAAGCGTCGCACAAGGTACAATTTACAATGCCTGATTAAAAATACAGGGTCCTCCCAAGTGAAGTGCGCAAATGCTAATTTACATTGACAGAGACTACGACCAGGTCATCGCCGATATCAAATCGCCCCGTCACCTCGAGATTTACAAGGAGACCAAGGATGTAGAAGACCTCCCTGGTCTGGGACAGCATTTCTGCATGGAATGCTCCAAGTGGTTTGAAAGTGAATACAACTTGAAGGCGCACACCAAGGGCAAGAACCACAAGCGGAGGTGAGTTTGGATGTGTTTCAACCTACACGAATGGTCGCTAACGATCGAATTTGACAGAGTCCGCATCTTGAAAGAAGAGCCTCACTCCCAAAAGATCGCCGAGGCTGTCATCGGCCTGGGCGTCGATAACGGCAAGCGGCCTCAAAAAGACACAGAGATGGAGATCTGAACACGGCCTTGCATGGCCACACCAAAAGGCAAAAGCCACCCAAGAGGCAGGAAACCTCATCGCCCTCGAGCTTCGGTCTGGTCAAGGCCATCAAAACATGAACATTCGAGCATGATCCCCATGCCAACTTGACTACTGCACCTTCCAAGGTGGAGTCACTCACGTGAGGTGAATTTTTTATATGCCGAAAACCGCCGGGTCTGTGTTCTGCCGGTTTGCGGGACCGCGAAACAGCCGGTTCTCGGATGAAACAACGGCGTCAACGAAATTTACCCCCTTTCCTGGCAAATACCCCGGAGTAATAATTCCAATAGAAATCCCTCAATACCAAATAAAAAGGTCTAACCTGAATGGGTTTTCGGTATATGTTCATTGTTTGGGACCCCCCACGGTTTCCATGGTTATGTAAAAGTAGGTGTAGACATCTAGATACTTTGGACCTCGAGGCTCAAAGGCTGATTAAAACTTTTCATCAGCCACTCATATGCCGCCCACTAGTTGCAGCATTAGAATCAGCCAATCAGATAACTATAAGAAAGATAGTCAACTCACTTGAACGGCATTCACAATGAAGGCTCGTATACTACAGACACCCAATCCTCTGTAAAAGGGTCTCAAGCCTTCAGCTCGATAGGTCTCTTTCGCAATTTGAAATGTGGTCAGTGTCTGACGCGGGCGTAAAAGAGGTTGGCGCTCTGCAGACCCCGGAAGAGTATGCACGTCGTGCATGTCATGCATCGTCTGCGCTTGGAGTCTAGTCTTAATCATGTCCAGAGGGAAGACAGAACCCCAAGTCACAATACCGGCAATACCACCACAAAGGAGAACATTCATAGCTGCCTGGTTGGAAGTTTCATTTTCATATGTCATAAAGCGCTTACATAGCTCATAAGACCAGAAACTATGGAAATATTCGTTAGTTACCAGCGAACATTATTGAACGCAAGGTCTGAAAAGAGTAAGGGACGATCAGTTGATCGGAGTTTTGTCTTACTAGAATCCATAGCCAATTGCATCTCTAGCGCTTGTGACGCCTCCTCCATAGTAGAGTCCTCGCCAACCACGGTGGCGATATATATCCTTAGCGACCGACCATGATGAAACCTCCGGACGAGAGTCCATTTGTGCTCGACATTTGATGAACTCAGTTGGAGCAGAGATCATCCAGCTGGTCAGTCCGCCTGCGGCACCAGCAATCCATATTTTATACAAAGACGTCCCCGCAGGGTTGGTGGGGTCCACAACCGAGTGATCCATAGCCATCAGCAACCGATTGTATGTCATAAAGAGAACTGCATTGAGCGCACCATATCCCAGGATCGGGGCTGCTGCACCTAATTATAAAATTAGCATAACTTAACACAGATTTGGGAAATTTATCGTGAATGCAAACCAACCTCGAACAAGCGAGCTAGCCCTCTCAATTCCGGATAGGTGGGATGGCTGGATATGAGCCGCATTGCCTGCCTGTAACCGAACTTTGACCACATCGAACGGGTTTCCAATGATAATCCCAAGGGCACCACTAAGGTATCCTGCCCAAAAATCTGATCCCATCCAGCTTGTTATCGTAGATATGTGTAAGAATCCCATTCTCCACAGTTCCTATTTCGGGTTCGGTTTAAGGTTGGGCCTCGGCGGGGTGATATATGGATCACGTGAGTCCGTGGCACTTTGGTGTTGTAAGCAGGCGCGAGTCTTGGCTGAGTGAACGCGTCGATCACCTTCCATTTGCCACCAGGAACACCTGGGAGTTTTTTTGTGTACAAATGATTTGGTGTACATTGTGATATTGACTAATTGTGATCATGTATGTCTCTGTCCACCCTCTCTTGACCCGTGTTAACAAATTCAAGGTATCGTGCCCGGCCAGCCGCGCCCGCGACCGAAGGTGGAGCCAAAACACCACTGCAGCCCAAGTCAATAAACTCGTTAGACCGACTTTCGAAACCATTCAAGTGCCCAGGATCTGCGACCTACACGCGTGTGTCAGAAAAACCAACAAGAAAGCGACGAAAGGTCAACTACGCAGATGCCGACGGCAGCACAGAGGATGGAGCGGAGAAGCCATACACAAACGAGGATCGATTGGCGCTGGCAACGCGAGAGGTAAACAAGTTCCCCGTGTTTAAGCCCAAGGATAAGGACGCAGCCTTCAGACAGAAGTTCTCCATTCCTCTTATCAACAAATCCACTGGCGAGTACAGCAGTGGTCGCGCTGCGCCGACTCTGGGAATGCGGCAGGGCGCGACATTTGTTGTTAAACCACTGCATGATCCCAGTGGTGAGCTTGCAATTGTACTCTATGATCCGACTATCGATGATATCGAAGAGCCCATCCCCAAAGATGTGGAAGTACCAAAGGAAGACGACGCCCCGAAATTGGAGGAACCGCTGGTACATAAGAGCTTGGCAGATATTCTTGGTCTGAAGAAAAAAGTGGAAAAGCGGCCGAAGGTGCCGGTGGTCATAGATCCGAGACTGGCGAAGGTCCTGCGACCACATCAAGTGGAGGGTGTGAAGGTACTACATTACCCCAAAGCTCCCATTGCGGACTGCAAATTAACATCCTGTGTTTTCTAGTTCATGTACCGATGTACAACTGGAATGGTTGACAAGAATGCCAATGGTTGTATCATGGCAGATGGTATGGGGTTGGGTAAAACGGTATGCTGAAGATGTAATTTCCAAATTCTGTTCTCCAACTGACGTTTCTAGCTTCAATGTATCGCCTTGATGTGGACTTTGATCAAGCAGGACCCAGAGGCTGGCAAAACTACTATCCAAAAATGTGTGATCGCCTGTCCGTCTAGTTTAGTTGGAAACTGGGCAAATGAACTAGGTCGGTGGTTAACAAATAGGCACTTGAAAGCCTAGCTGACATTTTTTGGTAGGAAAATGGCTTGGAAAAGATGCGACAACCCCCTTTGCAATCGATGGCAAAGCCTCCAAGGCTGAGCTAACTCTTCAAATAAAACAATGGGCAGTTGCATCGGGTCGCGGAATCGTTCGGCCTATTCTCATCGTCTCTTATGAAACCCTCCGCATGTATGTGGATGCGTTGAAGGACACGCCGATTGGGCTTTTGCTATGTGATGAGGGCCATCGACTGAAGAATAAGGATAGTTTGACGTGGACAGCGTTGAACAGCCTCAATGTAAACCGTCGAGTCATTCTTTCCGGCACACCCATCCAGAACGACCTATCGGAGTATTTTTCTCTGCTTCACTTTGCCAACCCCAATCTGCTGGGATCACAAGCCGAATTTCGCAAGAGATTCGAGTTGCCCATTCTGCGCGGCCGAGATGCCGCAGGTACAGAAGAAGCCCGAAAACTCGGTGATGAACGTCTCACAGAGCTATCCGGCATTGTGAACAAATTCATCATTCGCCGAAGCAACGAGCTCTTATCAAAATACCTACCTCTCAAATACGAGCACGTTGTGTTCTGCAATATGGCTCCGTTCCAACTGGACCTGTACAATCACTTTATCCAGAGTCCGGAGATTCGAAGTCTGCTACGAGGCAAAGGCAGCCAGCCATTGAAAGCCATTGGTATCTTGAAGAAACTCTGTAATCATCCGGATCTTTTGGATCTTCAAAAGGATCTTCCAGGGTGTGAACACGCATACCCTGAGGATTTCACTCCACCAGAGGCTCGAGGACGCGACAGAGAAGTAAAAAGCTGGTATTCTGGAAAAATGATGGTACTTGACCGTATGCTTGCTCGGATCCGTCAAGATACCAACGACAAGATTGTCCTTATCAGTAACTACACCCAGACTTTGGATTTGTTTGAGCGACTTTGCCGATCCCGGGGTTATGGGAATTTGCGGCTGGATGGCACTATGCCCATCAAGAAGCGAACAAAGCTGGTCGACAAATTCAATGATCCCGATGGCCCTGAGTTCGTATTCCTCCTCAGTAGTAAGGCTGGTGGATGTGGTCTGAACTTGATTGGTGCGAATCGACTTGTCTTGTTCGACCCTGACTGGAATCCTGCTGCCGACCAGCAGGCCTTGGCCCGTGTGTGGCGAGACGGCCAAAAGAAGGATTGTTTTGTTTATCGCTTCATTGCAACTGGATCGATCGAAGAGAAGATCTTCCAGCGCCAGTCACACAAGCAATCTCTTTCGTCTTGTGTCGTGGACTCAGCAGAGGACGTTGAGCGGCATTTCTCCTTGGAGTCATTACGAGAGCTTTTCCAGTTTAAACCAGAGACTCGTAGTGATACACACGACACCTTCAAGTGCAAACGTTGCCGACCGGATGGAACGCAGTTTATCAAGGCCCCTGCTATGCTTTATGGCGATACAAGCACATGGAATCACTTGGTCAACTCCGGAGAGCAGGGGCCACTGGGCCAGACTCAAGACTTACTTATGCGACAGGAAGCTGGCGAACGAGATGTCTCGGCTATATTCCAGTATATCAGCCATTGATAGGCTGAAATTGGTCTCGATATGATTATAGCACGAAGGGGGAGTTGATTTGCATACTTGAAAATTTCTAAGCCGGTGTTTGTATGGTTACTGGATAGACGGATATCTCATTTGATTACAATACTAGATGAAAGACAATCAATTCCCGCTTTTGTGGAATTTCGAACATGCAGTAATGAAGACATTGAGAAGAGCTATATGCAGGTAATCTCCTATAGGAGGTTCTCATCTCAACTTCTTTCAGTCCGTTTTGGCAGTGGCTGGCTAGATTCGTCTGACTTGCCAGCATCATTACTGTCTTCTGCGTGCTCCGGACCACCTTGACCATTTTTGCCTTTCTTGATACTCTTCCACTCCATACCACACGCGCTGATCAAAGATACGAATATAAGCCCTAGAGCCGTGAAGAAAATTCTCCTACAGGCATCGTTATACGCCCGTTGAACTACCACAATATCACGCGAAGGCACCACGGATCCTAAGTTGGTCGCTCCTTGATTGACAACCAATGCCGTGTCAAGGCCTGGAATCCCACTCAGATGCGAACCGAGTATATTACTTAGAATTGTTTGTCCGACCGTGGCGAAAATACTCCCACCAATTTGCTGGACGAAGAACATCAGCGCAGTGCCAATCGAGATATCCTGTGGTGGCAGAATCCGTTGAACCACCAGTCCAGTAATCTGCATTGTGAGGCCGAGCCCAGATCCGAATAGAAATTGATAACCGATCCAGTGTGATGAGCCAGTATTGAGGTCGAAGGTGGTCATGAGACCTAGTCCTATCGCCATGAGGCTTGGGCCGATGTACATGACTGGAACATAGTATCCGATTTTTTGCGTGGCTAGGCCGCCAATAAAACTTGCAACGACGAGACTGAGGACGAGTGGTAGTGTATAGATGCCAGACTTGACAGGATTGACCAGCTTGACGGTTTGAACTGGCTTGAAGTTAATGCCCCATTCTCATGTATTTGATAGATCATCACTTACACCAAATTGGAACATAGTAAATCATCATAATCATGGAGCTGGAGGTGAAAAAGAGGAATACCGCGGCACGGAAGATACTGCGTTGAGTGATAACCCTTGCAGGGATCGTGGCTGTCTCAGGCTTCCAAACTTGAATGGCCGCGAAGATGAGAATCAAGATGCCGAACATGGTAAATAACGCAATGATGCGACCACTACTCCACGCGTATGTTGAACCTCCCCATTGGAAAGCTAGAAGGAGACAGACCATTGCCGGTATAAAGAAAATCATCCCCAGGGGGTCCAGGCGTTTGATTTGCATTAGAATTGGACCAGATTCATGCTGGACTTTTGGCGGGTGCCAGATCCAGGTCATAGCTACCAGACCAGCTCCTCCGATGGGAAGATTGATATAGAAACACCACCTGTAACCGTGTTTAGTGAGCGATCTGTTTCCAAGTTTCTTTCTTTCTTTCTATTTCTTTTTTTTCCCCGAAAACTTACCTCCAAGTTACACTCGTGGTGAAAGCTCCACCAACAAGTGGACCCATAACCGAAGCAATTCCAAAAACAGCCCCAAACAAACCTTGATACATCGGCCGCTTGTGAAGAGGTACCATGAGGATGATGATCAACATACACCCAGAGAAGATCCCGGCGGAAGCAAATCCCGCAATAGCACGTCCTGCAATAAAGGCGTTGGAGGTAGGAGCAGCGCCGCAGATTGCTGACCCAATTTCGAAAAGAAGAACTGAAGAAAGGAACACCCATTTCATATTGTAGAATTTGTAAATTCGTCCAAAAAGTAGCTGTGCGGACGCACTGGCTAGCATATAGGCGGATCCATACCAGCCAATATCGCCCAGGCTGTGGAATTCGTCGGTGATGCGAGGGATGGCCGTTGCGATGATTGTTCGGTCTAATGCGACAAGTAATAGCGATAAGAAGTTGCATAGGATTATTAGCCAGAATTGAAGTGTCTTGGGCTGGTATTGGCTCTCTGCAGGGCCTCCAGGTAGTCCTCGTGGTGGTGAGAAGGGGCGTGGTTGCTCTGGCTCATCTTGATTTTCTATCTCGGAATCAGCTTTCTCTAACCGTGTAGGTCCAGTCATGATATCTGACAGTAGAAAACTTGAAAGTGCAGATGGGAGTAGGTTGAGAATTATACAGTAGTTAGCGGGGATTGAATTCACATTCCTGTGGCTTCCAAGCAAGGGAATCTGGCCTGTTCCAGGTTTAGAAGAGACATAACATTCCGATATCTAATAACAAGTTTTATCCGGGATTTAAGAAGCCCAGTGAGCGCAGTTCATTTAAGATTCATATTTATACTATGTACTCATACTACCATGTTCGGTTTAGCGGACAAAAAGACTGTCGGTCCCGACGTCATATTTCGGGACCGAGTTCACCCATTCTCCCCGATCATCAATTCACGCTCATTGAGCTACAATCTTTACAATAAAGTCGGATTTTACCCCATGAGCTTGACACGAGGTCATTCTTGTATTCTGTGCCAGCAACGCAAGGTTCGATGTGATCAACAGAAACCCTGCACAGCTTGTGTTCGAGCACAGGTTGAGTGCAAGATTGCGCCCTCACAACCAGCCCGATGAAAGAAGCGAAAGATCCAGGGAGATGATTTGATCGATCGCTTGAAGAAGTACGAGGCACTTATGATTCGGCATGGTGTAGATTTCAATTCGATCCTGGATGATCAGGAGCGAAACGTGTCGGAGAGTGCCTCACCGGGTGTTTATCCACCCAAGGCTGCTGATTCTCGCGAAGTAAATAGGAAAAGGTTTGCATATTTCCTTGTTTTTCGGTTCCGAGTGTTGACTTAATGCAGAAGTTTCAAATAGTTTGCATACTATGACGAGGTTAATCCATTCATCCCTGATCTACATCTATATTGAGATGCTCATATTAAAATTAGTACCGAACTCACCATGATATGCTTCGTGGCTCTGATGATGATGAACAAGATCAGTCCACAATTTACCACGCTTTGATACAATCTATCATAATAATGATGGGTTTCCCTTCATGGCAGGAGGCTCAACATGTCGACTTACTCATCTTCATCCGCCGGCAATCCAAATATTCCAACTGTGGCTGGTCTACCTCAACAATGTCAATCCTCTTCTGAAGATCAGCCATGTGCCTTCCCTGCAAAACCAGATCGTCGAAGCCAGCACCGGCCTTGCCAAAACTTCCAAGCCACTTGAGGCCTTGATGTTTTCCAGATAACTTATATCGGTGACCTCTATGACGAATGACGAAGTCCAGGTAGCTTTCGGGGACTCGAAGCGTGCTTTATTGGGTCGTTATCATGCCGCTTCACAGCAAGCTCTCATCAATGCCACGTTTATGCGATCAACTGATCTGGTGACGTTGCAAGCTTTTCTCTTACACCTTGTAAGCCTTGCTATCATATCTGCCTTGTTCTAGATTCCTCTATTGCTCGTTCGGGATTAGTCCTTAAGTGGCCAGATATATTTGCCTCGATGCTAATTCCTATAATATATAGCTCAGCATATGTCACTTCGTTGACCCGCGCTCTCTTTTTTGCTTGATCGGTATTGCGGTACGTGTAGCTACTCGTCTTGGTCTACATCGAGATGGCGCTCAATTTGGACTTCCACCATTTGAGGCAGAGCAGCGAAGACGACTTTGGTGGCAACTGGCTATCCTTGACAAGCGCATAGCTGAATTGATAGGGTCTACTATCACAGCTTTATCATCCTCCCGAATTGACTGTCGACTTCCACTCAATGTCAATGATACAGATTTACACAAGTACACTAAAGCGCCCCCTGACCCGTACACAACCTCAACCGAAATGCTGTTCTGTCTCACTTGCGTGGAACTTTAAGTTGCAGCTAGCCCAAACGGCATGCGACCCGGCCCATATATAGCGAAGAATCGACAGAATAAACAGCCCCTTGTACCACCATCCAGTTTTGATGTCCCTGAAAGGAAAACATCCCTCTCTCGCAGTCTAGATGACTATTGTGTCTTTATTGAATCAACATACCTGAAATACTGTGACCCCGGAAGTCCTATACAGCATTTAACCCTACTTACGGCACGAATTTCGCTCTACAAGCTTCGTGTGGTAGAATTCATGAGCAGGAATATCCCGACAACAGAACTGCCCAAACAAGAGCGAGAAGATATCTTCATGGCTGCTGTGAAGATGATAGAATGCGACGATAAGATCTACACCACAGATGAACATCGTGATTTCCTCTGGTATACCCAATTTCAAGCACCCATCCCAGGACTGTTCTTCCTTATGACCGAACTACGTCAGCGTACGACAGGGCCGCTTTGTGAGCGCGCATGGAAAGCTATTTGCAGTAACCACGAGCATCGAGGCTTGGTCAGCAAGTTGAAAAGCCCTATGCATACCGCCTTTGGGCAGACTATACTCAAAGCCTGGGATGCCCGTGAGCAGACTGAGATTCAACAGGGCGGAGTTATTGATCCCCCAGAGCTGATCGTCGTATTGCGTCGAGTGTATGCGTCGAAAAGAGAGAATCCTCAAAAGAGAACACTACCACTGCTCCTGTGTCTCAGAGCAATCAAGTCGATTCTGTAGCCAGTATCAGTCTCGAGCCAGAAATGGAGCACCAACTACCAGGGACGGATTTTGACACCAGCATGATGTTTCCCACCTTGAATAGTGAACGTCAAATGCTTGGATTGGGGGTGAGTTACGAAGAGACAGACTGGTCATGTTTGATAGAGTCAGGGTCCTTTGCAGACTTTTAGGTGTCTACTGATGAGATAGATTGGCCGTGGATTCTACCAGATGAAAGAAGACATCTCATTGCAGCCCAATGTGGTTCTATCGACAGATATGAAAATCTCAAATACTATTTCCATCATCACGATCATCAGAGCTTGCTGTTGAGAGTTGCAACCGCAGGTATCCCCCATTTCGAGATATCCTCATTAGTTCGGCCATCGACCGCCAACTCTGCCAGAACGCGGCCAAATGCAGGCGCAAATTTGAAAGCATGAGCCGCACCCAAGCCAACAATGATGTCCGAGTATCTTTCGAGCGGACTGATGATAAACTGCCGATCAGGGGTGATCGTATACTGGCAAGTCACCGTGCGAAGTGGAGTGCGTTCCTTGTCCGGCATGAAGCTATTCATGAAAGACGTGAGCTGGTCCAGCAGCTGTGGCGAGTGAACGAATGTTCGCTCTTCGGGGGTCATGAAGTTGTTCGAGGTATCGCGACCCGCTTTGATAGTTGGCTCGCCGTAGCTCGGGAATCCATAAAAACAATGGGCCCCCATCCAGATCCATACAGGGAGCTTATCAGTCTCGAAGGCAGAGGGGTCGGTAGGTTTATAATACGTGATCTGCTCCTGCATGACCGAAACTGGGATATGCACCGAGAGAGGCGCAAGGAGTTTGTTGATCCATGCATCTGTGGTGAGAATCACTTTCTTGGCCCAGAATCGTCCCTTTGGCGTCTCAATCACAACACCACCAGAGGCCTGGGGAGTAACGCGGTGCACAGGCGTATTATCTTTCAGAATGGCACCCTGGGACCGTGCCAACGTTTGCAAAGTGCTGACAGTCTTCGCGGCGTGAGCGATCCCCGAGTCGGCCGTGAATACAGTAGTGACGTTATCAGCAATGTCGAACTGGGGCCATCGTTTCTTTACCTCTTGCGCATCAAGTGTTTCATAGGGGACGTTTTGAATGTCGAGGCTTCTCGTGAAATCACTTGCCGGGGTAGGTGAATCTGGTGCAAAGAATACCACACCCCCAGTCGTCGTTAACATCTTGTATCCGGTCACATTTTCAAGCTCGGCCCAGTCCTTATAGGCTGATTTGGCGAGGGCGACGTATTCGGGTGCAAAATTTGAAGTTCGGACAATGCGTGAAGTGTCATGAGAAGCTCCTCGGACATGACCGAGCTCGAACTGCTCAAATCCAATCACTTTTGCACCTTTCTGGGCAGCATAGTAGGCCGCACCACTTCCAAGGACGCCAAGTCCAACGACAGCGACGTCAAATTGTTCCATTTCTTGTTGCATTGTGTTTGTAAAGTGATATCTATGCGTAAATGCAATCAATTGACTTCAACTTTATGGTTTGTCTTGGTTTCATTGAGCACGGTGTCCACGATCATTGACCGTCCACGTGATGCTTGATATACTCCACATGTTTCTATCCATATCCGGTGCTGTAATCCGAACTGAACTGAGGGGTATGCATTGATCATTGACACGTTCAATGGTCATAGATAGTACGTTCAGACTCGGTAGATTGCCGGTCAGGTGACCGGCGATCTGGCTATAGAATTTCCTTTACCGTTCCCCACCGCCTCATGGTATTCTGCCAAATGATCTAACTACAGTATGCAACCACCTCTAGTAGCCTCATTCTACACGCGCTCAGACTGACGTCAAAGGCGACTTAATAAGCATACTAAGACGCGCCAATTATACTTTTATTTCCATTTTTCTCAAAACGGTTCAGACTCCAACAACTTCATAAAATCAGTGCCACTAGTGGACCTCGACCTCCATGAATACGAGATTTTTGGTCTCTATAAGTGTCGAGAAACAGCCTAGGCCATCCAGACAAAACTGCAGGACCGTATAAAAATCAGCGTCGTTATCATCATTTTTATCGTTTTTCTTTAGGGATAGGATTTATGCGAAATACCGAGCTCGCCCTCATGAGTCCCTTGGACTACCTCAAAAAGATTGAGCTATGCTTTAAATGTTGAAGCTCTTTTAAATAACTATGACTCAATCTCGGGAGCTGCTGCCATGTGAGCGACATATGTGTTCCCTTACGATCATTCTTTCGGTGCTCAAGTGAGCTCGGAAATAATTATCTTTCCTTGTTGCAAAAGCGTTCAGTATTACGGTGAAATGGAATACCCCTTGTCTTATATCCATTCTTGGTATTAAAATCAAAATACATCAACTTTGGAACGCAATTGTCCTCACTGGGTTCTAGCATGGGAAATCACGCAGCAGTGACTCCATTCCTTGCAGAACGTCGGCCTTTAAATCTTCAAATTCTTCGATACCACAGCTGACCCGCAGCAACCGCTTATCGCATCCAGCATCACTCATCGTACGCCACTCCATCAAACTTTCCACGCCTCCAAGACTCGTTGCATGCTGGAACACAAACATCCGGCTGGGCAGGTGACGTGCATGCTCTGGATTATGAGTCCAGATAGAGAAGACGGGCCCAAAGCCTCCGGGCATCTGCTTTTGAAGCCATCCATCATCCAAGTCCTCTTTCTGAAGCGAAGCGTGTTGAACCTTGCTCACAACTTTCGAGACTGGAGACTTTGAATCTTCTGCCTGTCCCTGCAACCATGCAGCAAGCTTCGTGGCCGTTTCCGCCTGTCTCATCACCCGGAGCTGCATGGTGCGCGCAGACCGAATACCCAACCAACCCTCAAAGCTCCCCATGACGCTACCGATGTACTGGCGATCTGTGTGTAATGTCTTCAACCATCCCTCCTTCACTCGTGCAGGAGCAACGATCAATATACCACACAACATATCGGAGTGGCCACCAACATACTTGGTCCCACTATGCATCACGATATCAGCACCAAGGTCCAGTGGGTTTTGGAGCGGAGGGGGGGCAAACGTCGCATCGACAGTCAAATAGGCTCCTTTTAAGGTCGCTTTCTCTCGATAATAAGCCAGATTGCGAGCTTCGCCGGTCGGATTAAGTGGTGTCTCGACGTGAATAATATCCCCGGGCCCAGCTTGGTCGACGTCTGCCAAGTCTAGCTTTTGGATCCCCGATAATCTCTGGATAATATCCAGCACTCCATGGCATCCATGGTACCCGTCGCCGATGAATATCTTCTTGGGATTCAGGAGGATCACCATGGCATGGAAAGCAGAAAGGCCAGTTGAATAAGTGATCACTTCGCCGCCCATGAGGCTACGCAACAGAACCTCCAGCCGTTTGGAGTTGGGTGCCGTGTAGCGGGAATATACATGAGAATCATTAGGGTTGTTGGGCTTGCATGTATATGATCAGTACCGTCACACGGGAAAAAAGTATTACTCGACAGCAATGACATGGCTTACATCGTTATTTTCTTCTGGAACTAGGTCCTCGGCGTCCCGTGCGTAACGGAAATTCACTGCTGTGTGCATACCAGGAGCGATAGCTCGGTGTGGAGTAAAGAAGTCGTCGGCGTGAACTCCTCTTGTCGAAGGGTGCATATCAGGCAGGGCCTTGTCGAGGGCCGCTGCCGTCAAAACAAACTTAGTATCAATCGATCCCATTATGTATACCAAATATGGAGAAGGCAGTTCGTTGAGAGTTGACCCGGTTATGAGATGAATCTATTTTAACTAATTGACGAAAAAAAGCTACAGGTATGAATTACACCCATCGGAGACGGGCCGATATCGATTCAAGAACGAAGTATACACGAGCGGGGAAGCTGCATTTCACGTGATCGGCTTTCAGCGCCGCAAATTCCGTGACCAGAACATTGAATTCAATATGGAAACCTTGGAAGTTACAATACGGTGGTCGTGCCGTCGGCCCCACGCCGGGATCTCTCGTTCGGGGCCTGTTACGGTAAATGATCGCATGATCGAAAATATGCAATCAATCGGGGCATATATACCTATCACAACCGAGGACATCCCGATTGTCGCAAATCAAACTTATCTGCATACTTCATCATGGCTACGGCAGTTGCTTCTTTGTTTGGATACAGACCCTCTTCGGCAATCAAGAAATCTCAAAATGTTTCAGATGAGTCTCTTAAAGCACTTCCAGCATCTTGGTACCGCTCACCGGAGATGTACGAACTGGAAAGAAGGGCTATTTTCTCCAAGAAATGGATCCTGATCACTCACAAGCTACGCTTCTCCAACGCCGGCGACTTCCTAAAGGTCGAGGAAGCTGGTTTCTCTTTTGTCTTATGTCTTGACCGGGAAGGCAATCTGAATGGCTTTCACAACATCTGCCGCCACCGAGCATTCCCTCTCATATCAGAGACGGATGGCAATGCTAAAATCCTCTCTTGCAAGTATCACGGCTGGTCCTACGGCCTCAACGGAAAGCTGGCCAAGGCACCCAAGTTTGATGAAGTCCCAGGTTTCGAGAAGCAAAGTCAGAGTTTATTCCCAGTACATGTGCATATCGACAAGCTAGGCTTTATCTGGGTGAATCTGAACGCATCTCCAAATCCAATTTCCTGGGAAGAAGACTTCAAGGGCGTGGATGAGCAAGAACGATTCCAGAAATTCGACTTCAGCGAATACAAATTCGACCACACTTGGCAGATGACTGGCAACTACAACTGGAAAACCCTGGCGGATAATTACAATGAATGCTACCATTGTACTGTTGCTCATCCCGACGTGGCTAATCTGGCCGATCTTTCATACTACTATACCGTCTCAACACCTGGACACATCCAGCATTTCTCCCGACCGCAGGAAGGGAAAGTGGCGGAGGATATTCAGAATGCCAGTACTTATTATTTCCCAAACGCGTGCATGACTGTCTCGTGAGTATTCTTCCTAATGAAGAAGCTTAATTAATTAACAATAATTTAGGCCTCACTTCTTTTACATGATGCGATGCGTCCCAACATCTGTTGGAACGTGCTCTATGGAATATGAAGTATATCGACACAAGGAAGCCTCAGATGAGGACTTTGAGTATATCGATTCCTTCTTTAAGCGAGTTCTGGACGAGGATAAGCATCTTTGCAATGCAGCGCAAAAGAACTTGAATGCTGGGGTATTTGTCAATGGTCAATTGCATCCTCGTCTTGAAAGTGCCCCGATATACTTCCAGAATACAGTTCGGGCTCTTCTTGCTTCTCATAGGAACGAGGAGAGAAGTGAGAAACGGGAGATCTGGCCAGCGCAACAGCATTCGGCAGGACAGGCTACTGCAGAGGACATTGAGTTTTGTGCCGGTTTATCATGCTCTGGAGGGAATGGAGAATTGGAATGGTAAGCTCAAGGCTTATTTTTTAGCTTGGATATCCCCAGATGAATACGAATATAAATAATGAATGATATAGCCAAATTAGCATGGGAGAAAAGTTCAAATGTTCGTATTACAGTAATCAATATACGGTACCTTTCTACTACTACACCCCCGCGTGTTATCGCGGTCCACGGGTCAGGACCCGATAACCCCGCCGCTCTTAAAGAACACTTGACACCAAACCAAAGTTTGTTGTTTTAAATTGTTTTTCTATAATGAATCGGGTTCACAAAAGATCACATCAGGCCTGCGAAAACTGTAGGTTAGTTTGTTCCACACCAGTCTCAAAATCCTCTTGCTGACTATCCCACAGGCGCAAAAAGACGCGATGTCCAGGGGAGCGGCCCGCTTGCTCCACATGTACACGCTTACAGCAGACATGCCAATACAGCAGACATTATGAACTACTGGAGAGGTCTGGAGATCGGGTTTTGGTGAGTCAGACTTTCTCATCGAAATTAAGAGTACACTGTTAATTCCAAGCAGGAAGAGAGGCTTTTACAGCTTGAGGAGAAAATGGAAATGATGCTGGAAGGACCAACGTGCGAGCTGATATTTCCAAGAGACAAGTTGGAGAGCTAATTGCGATAGATCAACCCGCCAAGTTGAAATTTCCAGGTCGAACTCAAACGAGGTGCACATTCGCGAAAACACTTCAGAGTCAAATGAGATACAAGAGGCGCTTACGCAGCGACGGATCTCTAGGAACGAGATGACTCCTCAGATTGATGACCCGTTACCCTTTTCGATGCCTCCCAAGGGTATTGTTGCAGAGGGAGTTGCTCTTTACTTTAAATACTGTCATAAACAACCTCTTTGGTTGTTCGACGCTGATGAGCTTTCAATTCCGGAAACGTGTCGCAACGAGGTGATATTTGGAACTCTCAGTCTTGCCCTGCGTTATTCAAACAATCCATTCCTGGAAGGCCGAACTGACAAAATGTGTCGACATTATGCCGAAGCTGCGCGAAGCTATATCATGTTTCGAATTGCTCAAGGCACTGTGGATCTGTCAACAATCAAGAGTCTGTGCCTTATTACGTTGGCTGAATATATCGGTAAGAATCTCTCCTGGTTAGCCAATGCCATATCTCACCTATTCTAGCAAATGATGCCCATCTGGTCTGGCTCCATATCGGTCTTGCGGCAAATCTGGCTCAGTGCGCAGGTATTGACATTGAAATGCACGAAGGAGAACTAGACCCGGCCTTAGAAGCGCAACGAAGAGTATTCTGGAGCATCCATCTTCTTAAGCAGCATTATGCTCCACACAGTATGCAACTAAATATGCTACGGGACATACAAAATCCCAAATATATGGCTGTCAACATCGACTCGCCACGGGAGATGGGCATGAAACCACCGCAAACACCGCAGGAAAACGGCGCATTCACTTCCCGAGGAGGAATATGGGTGTACATGGTACAGCTGGCTACACTTTGGAGTGAAGTTCAACAATATGTTTCGCATTGCGCAAGTGGATACTCCACGCCTCCTTGGTCTGTCGAGTCTGGCTATTCCATCATTGGGGCTCACCTAATGGACATTGAAACCAAGTTCCCCACTTGCCATCGGTACGACTCAGTGAGATTTCAGGATCAATCGCGAGAGGATTTACATCGTGACCGAGGATTCTGGAGTCCTTGGCTGTACCTCCAGTTCACCTATCATGCTGTGCACAGTGTACTCAATCATCCATTTCTGTACTCATGGCGCCCGCAGCAGTCTTCGCAACTTGCTGTGCCTAACACTTTTTGGAAAACGTCGTCTGAGCTGGCTCTTATTCATACAACATGGACTGTTCGACTGATTGACATGATCACCGAAAAGGACTATGAAGTTTCCGATCCCTTTCTTTGTCATGCGGTGGCTATTGCAGCTACCATTCATCTTTATTATTGCTGCGCTGCAGACCAGGGAATGAGGGAATCTGCGCAACGAAGGCTTGAGACTTGCACACAGTTTCTAAGTGGCTTGGCTACAAAATGGCCGCGGTGTCAGGCATTAGTATGTACACTGTCAGTGAAGTGGGAACTTTGCTCAATTACTAATACTTTAATTCAGCATCAAAAAGTCCAAGGCCTCATACATTCAGCATTCGCTGTCAGTCCTCATGCAAGTCATCACCGTCTAGCTCGACGAACACTATCTATAGATACAGCCCTAATGTGGGACATTCTTCGACACGGCTCCAGCAAGGCTTCATTCGCCCCCAGGGATGGTCTTTTCGACGCTTCATTTACACCACCCCCATCCAAAAATTCAGACAAAGTGACCGTTGAAACTGAGATTTTCCACCACTCTGCCACGGCGGTAGATACATCCGACGGAGGCCAAGCGCTACCACCATACTCGAGCACTTTGCAAGATCGAGCGGCTTCGGAAAACTCAGATAATGAACCTTGGACTCGAAGCCACTTGCGCTCTGTTGATAACGGTACAAACCATCCACTTCCGCGGGAGCCAGTGGGGTGGCCAGGACCTGCCGTTTCGGCCGATATGTCCTTTATGGATATTTCACATGATCCATTCTTTCAATTTCAAGATAGTGAGAATCCTTATCAAGGTTTGTGGGAGGTCGGAAACCTGTAGTGATACTTGTTCGGTCTTTCGGGATATTTTGATTGGTACATCTGAATGGAAGTTGAGATTGTGCCTGTGTAGTCATGTCGTATCACGCGAGTTATTTCCCCTCTCGCACACGGACACGGAGACCGACGGTGCTATCCGAGATTATCGGAGCGGACCGACTCCGATGATCAGTAGAGGTACCAAGCGAGGCCTATGTGTTTGTATCTGTGTCCACCGAACAACAACTGTAATCATCATTTCCTTATCACGACTTCTACATACATTCGACGAAGGTACAGAACTCTTGATCGGATCTTCCTCAGAGGTTAACAAATCACGTGGTATGAATCGTGGAAGGGACAAGAACTGGATAGTAAGAAGTTAATTAAAGTAGATTACTTCCACTCTAAACCATCAGTCGCAGCCCCAGGGCTACAGCACCAGCCACAAGGTGAGCATTTCCAAGCCCAGCTGTTTCGGCAGCTCCACCAGTCTTCGTCTCGCTCGCTGCAGAACCAGTCTTTGTAGCACTCTCAGTAGTCGTAGCAGCTCCAGTGGAAGACAAGGTACCTGCGGTAGCAGCAGCAGTAGCAGTACCAGTTGTGACACTTGCCGTGTTTCCAGCGCTAGCTTCGGTGTTTGTAGCGCCGGCCGTATCCGTACCACCAACCGTGTTGAAGCCCAAAGCGACCGCATAGGCAGGTAAAGTCATCGAATCTGAGAAAGTGGCTACATAGGTTCCACTCTGAGCAGACTGATATTCAGTACAGACCGCCGAGGACCCGGAGTCGATGTAATTGCAACCAACGGATGAGTATCTAGCAAGGAATTGGCTTTATGAATATATCCACATTCAGATCTATCAAGGTTGACTCACAATGGCTCAGAGGGATCAGTGTATGAACATGCTACAGAAGAAAGTCCAGTGACGATAGTCGCGCCCGCCGCAGGGAGTGTGCAAATATCGGCGACACCGTTTTCGCACTTGACAATGTACGTGGTATGAGTGGCATCCTAAAAAGGGTTAAATTATCAGTATAGATGTTCATCCAAATTTTGGGGTTTTACTTACACTTCCAGCTGTGGAGATGGACACGTAACCGGAATCCACAAACCATTGGTTCAGGAAAGGTGAGTCGCCAACATGGTTCTGGGCTGTCTGGGCAACAATAGTAGTGGCACCACAGAGAGCCAGCCAAGCACGAGAAAACATTATGAATTGTACTCGGTATAATATAGCCTTCAAGTGCAAAGAAGTAGAGTAGAATTGAGATTTTATTATTGCCAAGCTGCCAACAGGAATTATAAAGCCAAGTTCGTATTGGCAGCCGCGCTAAAATCCGGTGCCTGGACCCTTTACAGGGATTTTGGTTCAAATGGAACCCTTGGGACGCTCGGTTCACAAGTGGCGCTCACTAGTCTTGCCCGCTAGCCGGAAATTAATTTTGCAACATACACAGACTTCTCTGCAATTCGGTAAGGTAGCATAAGCTAGGCCTGAACTAGGGAAAAGCACTGAGACACAGAGAAATCTTCGAATTTATAACTTGGAAGCGTTAGCGTGCTCGTATTTGCTGAATTGGAGCCACCAGGTTAAATTCCCATTAAACTCTGGCTAATTTCCAGTGACTCAAGGCTATTTCATTCAAATACTCTTCTTTCCACGTGTCTCGAGGGGGAACAAGACGGCAAGAATACCGCCCATTCCCAACAACGCAGCGCATACGTAGATTGGGACCGAACTGGCCGTTGAAGTGAAAGCACCAATGAGCGCAGATACCATGCCCATCAAACGATTGAGAGAAACTGCAATACCGTTTCCAGTGCCACGGTGCGCTGAGGGCATGACTTCTACCGTATAGGCGTATAGGGTTCCGTAGTATATATTAAGGGAGACGGATATGGCACATGCGAAGCCCAAGTTCTGGGCATCTGTTTTGACAGCAGTGTATCCGAAGAAAAATATCACTAGACAGGGTCAATTGAAATAATGTCTACAGTTAAGCTTGGTATCTTACTGGTGAGAAAGGCGCCGATCGCCATCGTTCTTTTTCGCCCGAATACAGACATCTCACACATAAAGCCTGCAATTATCGGACCCGGTATTGCGCATAGACTGGTGATTGCATAGTTCCGCCATGTAAGGTAGGTTGAGGTGGCTCCAGAGGATGAGTCTCGTGATGCGAGATATTCCGGTAGGTAGACATAGTACAATGCATAGCCCAGTCCGATGAGAGCCCAGGAGAGCCACACCAGACATGTGGAAATGGCTAAGGTCTTCGTGACAAAGAGCCCTCGGACATGAACACCCAGCTCAGAAAATGAAGCCTTATTCTGAGCGTGTGAGCTGTGGATTTGGCCATAGGCCTGAAGCTGATCTAACGTAAGCGAACAGGCTCTGTTGTGTTTGTGAGCGAGATCTTGAAGTGTTCGAACAACGTCTTCATCTCGACCTTGACAAAGGAGAAACTTCGGCGTCTCATGGAAATGAATAACGAGGACTCGGGCGATACTCAGGACAAAAACAAGAGCTCCACAAGTGTAGTAAAGGTATCTCCATCCCATGTTATTGGCATTTGTGCAGGGGGTAGTGCCATCTGTTGGACAACTGTAATTTGCTACTGTTGTGTCAGCAATATATGACATCAAGAGTGGAATAAATTACCCATATAGCCCCAAGCAATGAGACCAGCCACTGTCTGTCCAATTCCCCACCAGCCAGCTAGAAGAGTAAGAAGCCATTGCTTGTTCGAAGGGAGGTATTCCAGAAAGACAGTCGTGTCCAGCACTAAATTTCCGCCTGAGCCAAAAGCTGATAATGCGACCATGGTTGCCCATCCTGCGTAGTTGGGAGCAGCGCCGGCTGTGATGGCAAAGATGGCACTGATCAGTAGAGAAAAATTGAATGCCCACTTTCGACCGATGATGTCTGCAGAGCTACCCCAGAATAGAGCTCCCGCTAACAAAGCAATATAGAAGCCTAACTGGGCACCTCGGGAGAATTTAGGAGGGTATTGTGCTACGACTTGATCGGCGGATATGCTCATGAGGAAGAGTAATAGGGAGTCAACTGCATAACTGTAGAGGGTTAGCTCTGGAGTCTTGATGGTTATTTGATCTTCACGCACCCAAATCCATTGAGGAAAAACAATTTCGTATGATAAGCAGTGAATCCGATTGTGTCGATTGCCTGCGCTGGTAAGCATCAATTGTTTAAAAGTTGGGGCTGGGATCTATGGAACATACATCATTCACAAGGTTCATCTTTGCAGCCAAGGCGTGGTCAACCCCGTCAAGTGCTATGAGATCACCAAGGCCAACTTGGGTAGAGCCCGAGTCCTTGATTGATTTATCCTGACTTGCGTCATATTTCTGGGATTCCCCAACTTCATCGGTTGTATTGGCCATATTGCTTCAATGGAAGTGATGAGATGTCAATTGAAGGCATGAAGAGCAGGCTTTTATATTCCCTGGGCTATGACCAAGCTCCTCCCCCCAATTAGCGGTTCCCATACTATGTCTGTTTTGGAATTGCTATCTAATGGTGATTTCATCCCCGATAGGCAAGATACCGAGCAATCTCCCCACATAGCCATCACAATTGGCTAATGAGCAAGGTTTTCTGAGACGGGCTCTAGATGAGGAGAAATCCAGTATGCGGGCACGAATCAAATGAACATTTGAATGTGGATCTTATCAGGTTGACGGAGTAGGTACCAAGTAGTATAGAAGTCGCTATCTATGGTAATTCGCCGCTCATGTGAGCGGAGATCTCGGTCCGGGAAACCCCAGATTCCCCAGATTTGAACCAATCATTGGAAATCCATATCTGTCAAATCCATAGGTTAGGGATAATTATCCTTTCATGCAAAATGCAAGATACTAGCCTCTTTTTCTTTTGGGATTGGTTTATCAACTGAATTCTTGGCCGATTTCATCAAGGTAGTCCTTCATGTGATACATCCATTAGGATCAACAATGACACCTGAACACCTGGGTATTCCTACTATTCACACAAGAAGTTTAATTCAAAGCGACTAGAATATTAAGTATTTTGGTAATGCATAACAATGCTTAATCCTAACTAAATACATATACTGGGTCTTTGATCTCCCCAATGTCTAGAAAACAGAAAGATTTTGGTCAAAGAAAGTCCCGTTTCTAGAAACTGACAGTAAATTACATTCATTTCATTTCTTTCAGCTCCAGTGACTTTGAAATACTTCGGCTTCACGAGTTCCTCCTAAAACTTGAATAACGTTGATAGTTGCCAGTACATATATCGGCCCGAGTCTAGGTCCGATCTGCTGACATACGTCACACCACGCTTGGGCTTCCATCCACGTTGACAACGCATCCTTTCGCCATATTCACAACCCCACCTCTCCCAGAAGCGAGTGATCCACAAAGTTAGACCAAGTGAATACGATTTACCAACTTTTGGTCACTTGAGCAAATACTCGAACCGACCGCGACCCGACCGTGAACCTTAACCCGACCCCCTCCAACATGAACATTGCTTAATCGGAGCTCGTGACAGCACTCTCCGTTTGAGCAATGGACTACTCAATCCAGAGGTTGCTCAACGACAAACTCTATGATAAACGGAAGCAAGGCGCGCTAGAGTATGTCCCAGAAATCACGAAAGGCTGATTGCAGGTGCTGACGCGATATCTCCCGCAGACTCGAGAAAATCGTTCGCGATGCCGTTTTCAAATCAGAACACGAAACAATCCAGAAGATCGTGGAACAGCTTTGCCATGACTATGCCTATGCGGTACATCAGCCTCATGCCCGGAACGGTGGTTTGATTGGCCTGGCAGCTGCTTCAATTGCCTTGGGATCCGTGAGTCAAAATAGCGAGATATCAAGATATGGTGCTGATAACAGTTTTAGGAAGGGGTAGCGCCCTATTTGAAAGAGATTGTGCCGCCCGTCCTGGCGTGCTTTTCTGATCCGGATGCGCGAGTCAGATACTATGCCTGCGAGAGCATGTACAATATCGCCAAAGTCGCCAAAGGAGAGATTTTACTTTTTTTCAATGATATTTTCGATGCGTTGGCCAAGGTGAGAAAGACGACACACTTTCTATATATTGCAACTAACGCTGGTTATGTAGCTTGCCTCGGATGCGGAACTTTCGGTGAAAAATGGTGCGGAGCTTCTCGATCGGTTGGTCAAGGATATTGTGGCAGAGTCTGCTGCTTCATATGTCTCTGTACTGCAGCTGTCGGAAAAAGATTCAGACCCTGACCCATTCGAGGAGACTGATCTGCCCACCGCTTTCTCTCTTGCAAGGTTTATTCCTTTGCTGAAAGATCGAATCCATGTTATTGGCCCGTTTACTCGAAACTTCCTAGTTTCTTGGTTGACTCTGCTGGATACTATCCCTGATCTAGAGCTGGTTTCTTATTTGCCCGAGTTCCTAGAAGGCCTGATCAAATTCCTAGGTGGTCCCAACAAAGACGTCAATGTGGCAACCCAAGGCCTTTTGGAGCGATTTCTTTCAGAGATCAAACGGATCACTCGACTGAAAAAGGGAATTGAAGCAAACCGCAAGGTTCGAAGCCGCAGACGCTCCACCGTAAGTGATGCTGTCAGCTTGAGCGCCAGAACAGAGCAAACGGTGGATACCGCGGGAGAAGGAAATCAAAATGAAATTGCGGTGGACGATTCGGCTTCAGAATCCTATATTTACGATGATGTCACCCAAACCGAGGGAGATTGGATTCCGGGGCAGGATGTGCAAATTGATTACCCAAAAATTTTGGACATTCTTGTCGGCTTTGTCGACACCTCTTATGGTAAGCTCTATCTTTCTATTTGTCACGCCCAATACTCACGTTTCTATAGATGAAGAAATGCAGCTCACGGCGCTCCGTTGGATCGATTCCTTCTTTGAGATCAGCCCAGAAGACATTCTCCCGTTTGTCCCCCGGCTTCTCACACAGGTGCTTCCGGCGATGTCCAGTGGCGTCGATCAAGTCCGGCAAGCAGCCAACCGGGTCAACAAGTCTCTTCTCGAATATATCTATTCTCTTTCCGATGATAACATCGAGGACACAAAGCAATCCCAATCCAAGGCTCCCTCTGTCGCGCCCAGCAAGGAGAGCACAGAAAGAAAATCCCCGGAAACGAACAATGAGGTTAGAAAGTCAGTGCAAGGGTCTGCTGCGGTGACACCACGTAGCAGTATCGTTTCAACTCCATTTCAGCCAGCCGATCTTGACTATGCCGCGGCGGTCAATTCTCTTACTCTGCAATTCCTAAATGAGAATGAAGCTACTCGGGTAGCTGCACTCTCTTGGCTGATTATGTTACACCGCAAGGCACCTAGCAAAGTTGTTGCGTTCAACGACGGTACCTTCCCAGCTCTATTGAAAACCCTGTCCGACCCGGCAGAGGCAGTTGTGACAAAGGATCTTCAACTACTATCACAGATCTCAAGAAACAGCGAAGACAGCTACTTTGCCTCTTTCATGGTGAACTTATTACAGCTCTTCTCCACAGATAGACATCTGCTCGAGGTGCGCGGGAATCTCATTATCCGACAGCTGTGTCTCAACTTGAGCCCAGAGCGAATCTATCGGACACTGGCAGACTGTCTGGAGAAGGAAGAGGTACGTTTCTAACGTGCATCGGCAGCTTTCGTTGCTAACATTTACAAGGACATTGAATTCGCCAGCATCATGGTGCAAAACCTTAACAATAATCTGATCACTGCACCTGAGTTGTCTGATATGAGAAAGCGATTGAGGAACCAGGACTCAAGAGTTCGTTCAATTTTAACCGGCTTTACTGGAGGGGACTAACTTTTTACCTAGGAGGGCCAAACATTCTTCGTTGCTCTTTTCCGTTCATGGTGCCATAACGCCGTCTCCACATTCTCTCTGTGTCTACTTGCTCAAGCCTATGAGCAAGCCTACAATCTCCTCCAAATTTTGTATGAACCTGGTGTCTGGGCTTAGATCCATGTGCTAACCTTGGTTGACAGCGCCGAACTTGAGATGACAGTCAACATGCTCATCCAGATCGACAAGCTTGTACAGCTTTTGGAGTCACCTGTATTCACCTGTGGGTACAGTTCCTCTCTACAGGTGTTCAATCCTAATGTGTCTAGATCTCCGTCTCCAACTCCTCGAACCCGAAAAATATCCCTATCTGTATAAATGCCTCTATGGTGTCCTCATGCTCCTCCCTCAGAGCTCCGCCTTTGCTGCCCTCAAGAATCGCTTGAACAGCGTAAGCAACATTGGATTTCTTCACGGGGGACCCCGCAGGTATGCAGACAAACCCCACACCAAACCCCACATTCAGGGCAGGACGATACTAAGAGACCCTTTCAGCGCCGCCCCAACCGCTCCCTCCTACGAACGTCCCACTGGAGCCCGACTCAAAGGCCGAGACGAAAACAACATCCGCTGGGTCGAGCTGCTCGACAAATTTAAGGCAGTCCAGGAACGGGCCCGTCGCTCACAAGCCCAGCAACGTCACTCCCTCGATCCTACTGACTCTCTACAGCCTTCCCTCACGGCTGCCCTCTCTGCTGCGGCTGGTGGCCGCGATCGGTCTGGTCTCCCTGATACTCCACGGGGTGGCCCAATGATGAGCTCCGGTCCCGGTGGTCTTGGAATTGGTGGTGCAGGACCTAATGGTATGGGTTCTAATCGTAACGTGCAAGATCCTGGTCCCAAGGCTGGCTCGTCCTCATCCATTCTGGGGACTGCGCACAAACACAAATCAAGTCTTCCCAACCTGGGCCGGTTAGGGATCGGAGGACGCAAATCGAAGAAATGAGTACATGTTACACTGACTTAAGTCTTACAATATGAAACACTCACTCATTCCTACCTTCCATGTAGAATGTATTAGTTACGTATCAGGCCTACTAAATACTTGCACGATTCAAATTGTTCGAAATCTTCAAACCAAGTTCAATGCTATGTCGGCAAATCAACATGCGAGGGTGAAATATGGACACCAGATGATCAACATGATCAATATGGAACAAGAGAAAAGAAAAGAAAAGAAAAAAGTGTTCACAGGCATCAAATACCTCACCCAAAAGAAACACAAACCCAGCTTTTAGTGTCAATCGCTGATTCATGAGCAAAACCAAAACCAGAACAAAAGCAATACAACATACAAAATACAAAATACAACATTCCAACGGAACAGACATGGCGACTATGCACACAAGGTCGTCAAGATCTTCGCAGGGACATAACGCGAAGAGCAGAGCATATCAAAATGCCAAGAAGCCAAACCAAACCCAGAAAAAGCGCCAAAAGAAAGAAAGGCCATCACACGCTAACGCTAGGATATAGCATCATCGCCAGCGTGATTCTGAAGACCCATTCCTGCCTGGCCCAGACGGACGCCAGCTTCCAGTTGAGTGCTTGGAGATTGTGCTAGTAGGCGAGTTGGCGCCGGTGTTGTAGACATACTCTCCGTCGACGTATTGTGCGCCCGTGGAGAAAGTGCTGCGATGCTTGCGGCGGGCGTAGCGCTGCTCTAGACGGTAGAGCTCGAGTTCTGGGAGGTGTTAGTTTGTTCTTGGCTGGTTCTTGGTTCTTGGTTCTTGGTGTGGTGTGGAGCGGTGCACGTACTGGCTTGTAGCTTGTCGAAGAGACTGAGACCCATTTTGAATGTGGAATGAGGTAAAGGGGGAAATTGGTAATTGGTGTAGTGGGTTGGATGATAAGCCGAGTGGGGTTGAGAAGCTCAGGGCGATGTAGGTGGAATTGAGTTCAAATTCGAGTTTGAATGAGGTCGAGCTCGAGTGAGTTGGAATTCGAGTTCGAGGCAAGTTCAGTAGAGACGAGAGAATGGTGGATCCACGGGCTCATGGAAAAGAAGTTGGTTTGTTTCTACCTCAGGGGAGGGGAAAGGCGGCACGAGGAATACAAGCGCCAGGAACTAGCGGGTGCCACAAACTGGGCTGAAAGGCTGGATGCAAGGGATGGACACGTGGGATTTTGACGGGAATTCTCCGGATAAATGGAATTGGAAATGGAAAGAAAGGAGACGAATGAATGGATGGAGTAATTCAAACCCCGTAAATGAATGTAATTTATCACTGAAATGAGGGGATAAACAAAGGGAAAAAGAAAAGAAGGAGAAGGGGAGAGAGAGAGCGCGCTAAGGATGAGCTAGACCTGGACTAGAACATGGTTTATAGTGGGGAAAAGATATGGAATTTTGGTGGATTTTTGACCGAAACTTATGATTGGTTCATTTAAATCCCGATACTATGGTTTCGTTTCATCTGAATTACTTTACTTTACTCTAGTACGTAAAGTTACTTGAACCAGTTTAATATGTCCATTGTCTATACTTCTACTGAGTTATTTCTTCGGGTTCGTCCTGGCTTCGTTCTTGCACTGCAAATCGTTAGCTTCTTTCAATCTAAGGGACAAGGGATTTTCAATACTCACCATTCCACAATTCTGCATAAACTCCATCCAAGTCGAGGAGCTCCCGATGTGATCCCATCTCCGCAACCTCTCCATCCTTAAGCACCAAAATCTGGTCGCTATCACAGATCGTACGAAGGCGGTGAGCCACAAATACACTCGTCCGCTTCTTATCTTTCAAGATGCTGTTGATATTTTGAAGTAAGGCTTGCTCCGTGTAAGTGTCAAGGGCAGATGTCTATAAAAAGATTAGTGACCGTTGACAGATGACGCAACCCATGTATATGTGGGGCAACGACTGAAACAAAACAAAAACAGGATTAAATCCACTTACAGCTTCGTCAAAGAATAAAAGTTGTGGGTCTTTGAGGATGAGACGAGAAATCGCTAATCGCTGTTTCTCGCCGCCCGAGATCATCATTCCACGCTCTCCGACCGCAGTCTGATAGCCTTCGGGTAATCCCTCGATCAGTTGGTGAATGCGAGCACGCTCAGCGGCCCGCTTCACCTCTTCATCTGTGGCGTCGATCCGGCCGTATCGAATGTTATGCGCGATCGTATCGTTAAAGAGTGGTGTATCCTGCGGTACCACGCCGATCGCCTTCCGGAGGCTCTCGAGTGTCACATCCCGCACATCCTGTCCGTCGATGAGGATCCGGCCCGACTGGGTGTCGTAGAAGCGGAAGAGGAGGCGGAGGATCGTTGACTTGCCGCAGCCACTGGGGCCTACGATGGCAAACTTCGATCCCGCGGGAATGGTGAAGGTGGCATTCTTCAGGATCGGCCGGTCCGGGTGATAGCCAAATGTGACATTCTCAAAACGAATCTCTCCACCACGCTTCAGCTCCAAGGGCTGAGCGTTCGGTCGTTCTTGGATTGTCACGTTGACCTTTTGAAGGTTGAACAGTGTCTCCATATCCAGCAGAGACTGGCGCAGTTCACGATAGACGGATCCTAGGAAGTTGAGAGGCACGGAGAGCTGGAAGACCAGTTGATTCACCATGACCAGGTCACCCACCGACAATTGCCCCGTGGCAACTCCATCAGCGGCCAGGTACATCATGGCCGCCAGTGCCGTTGAGAAGATCATGTTCTGGCCAGAGTTCAAGAGGGCCAGAGAGGTGGTCACCTTGATCGACGAATCCTCGTAGTGCTTTAGAGCCTTGTCGTATCGGGCCACCTCAAACTTCTCATTGTTGAAGTACTTCACGGCCTCGTAGTTGATGAGTGAGTCGACAGCGACCGTAGCCCCGCGATTGTCAGCCGCATTGGCCTGACGCCGGAACTTGGTTCGCCATGCGGTAGTGGTGATAGTGAATGCCGTGTAAGCAATCATGGTGGTGGTAGTGATCGCCGCGAATTGGAAGCCATATTGGTAAGTCTAGAATTGATCAGCCATTGATCTATATTACAGATTTCAGATAACTTACCAGGATTCCGCACACCATGGAGATCTCGAGCGCAGTGGGCACCACGTGAAAGACCATAGAAGTCAACAAGAAGCTGATACCTTTTGTACCACGGTCGATGGCCCGGGTCAAACCGCCGGTCTGCCGTGAGAGGTGAAAGTTGAGATCGAGCCGCAGAAGGTGATCAAAGACGTTTCGTGCCACTTTTCGAATGGCTTTTTGTGCGACGCTCGCAAACACTGCATTTCGAAGCTCTTGGAATAGTGTCGCTCCAATTCGAGTTGCTCCATCTAAGATTCAAGATTAGACAGGCTTTCAATTGCGCAGATCAGATTTCTTACAGGCTATGATCATCGACCCTGCGACGGTATATGCAGTTCCTCCAAGAGATGCAAAGTCCACGTTCATGGAATCAACAATACTCTTGAAGTAAAAAGGAACCTCAACATTAAGGATCTAATTAAAGTTATCAGTACTTCCCATGTCATGGACATCTCCTATTTAGCGACTCACCTTGGCACCCACCAACAATGATAAAGCTGTTCCAACACGAAGCTTTGTGCCCCAATCATCCTACCAGTATAGTCAGTACTTCCGCCTCATATACATCTACCGGTGGAGTAATACCTTAGGCCAGAGATATTTGGCCATTTCCCGCATTATAGCCCAATCCGCCTTGCGTTGTTCCTTGCCTGCAATCGCCGCTTCATTGAGCAATTCCTTCTTCGGGACTGTAAGCTCCACCTTCTGAGCCACAGCATTTGCTAGTTCCGGTTGCGAAGGCGCAGGCGGGGTAGTTGCAGCGGCATTGTTCTTAGATTTTGAATCATTATCGTTTATAGGTTGGTTTCGGAGGGAACGGCTGGAGCTGAATATGCGTAGTTGAGTCGGAGTTGGTCTCGTGCTTGGAGATCGACCGGCGTTGCGCGGGTGTGCGTATAGCGCTGGGCGCCAGCACTGCGATCGAACTGCTCTATGCAGCATGGCTGCGGACTGCGGATAGAAGACCAGGCCAGAAGGTATAATGCACCAATTTGGAGGTGTTCAGGGGAGCATAATGAAGATTGGCGGGGGTATGGCGTGCGCAGTAGCTCCGCGTTGCGACTGGGGAAACCTTGGGAGTCGCCGGCTTCGGAGAAAAGGTTTCGGAATTAGGAAGATTGAACGAATCTCTAGAGAGGAAGTAGGGAAATAAACTCCATAGAGAATATAGGATAAAATTAGATGAAATAAGATCAGAAACTATATAAAGCACATTTGAGTATGAACTATCCCATTCAATCTTTAGTCAAATTGTGTTCGTTTCATTCTCGGGACCAAGATTTCCCGTGTTTCGCTCACCTTGAAGCTCCGACAACTGACGTAAAGTCATTGTGATAACTTCCACCCTTTTGGTACAATGAGTCGTGCCCTCCAACGAGGTGTCCGGACTCTGTCCTGGACTCGAGTTGTTCCTCGGGTTCAGCGACAGACAAGATTTGTCCAGATCCGTGCCACGCCCTCGGCGGAGCCCACGGTGAACGGGGATCACCTACCCCTCGCCAGCACTCCCAATTCTGCGGAATCACGCGGTATGTTGGTAGATCTAAGGGCGCGAGAACAAATACTGATGTTTGTTTCCCACAGATGCGCGATTTGACGTCGTCGGCGCCCCATACTCGCTTCTTTCGGTATCGCTCTCGGCCTCACAGAACCTATACACGCGTCGAGGAACTTTGGTGGGATTGAGCGGGAAGGCAGACAATGTATGAAATGGGACTTCGATATAACCAGTGTGAGAACTGGCTGTTGACCTTGTTTCAATCGCAGGTGGTTTCAACTTTGAGCGTTCTAGAGCCCTTCCGTAGGGCGGCTGTGGGAGTGCCCTTCCTCTATCAAAAGGTGCGGCGCGTAACCTGTGATCTGAGATCCTTCGTGCAAGGCATTTAACTAAGCATTTCGCAGGTATCTTCAGCGAGCCCCGTTACTGCGCTCATCTCAACCCGCTCTCCGACAACTTCATTCACTGTTGTGAATCTCAATGGCTCTGTGGATTGGATGGTGGCTCAGCGGAACGCGCTGCTGGCATGGACGGGCCGGTCTCTATCCATCAAGCCGACTATCAATACCAACCTGGTTCGTTGGCCCAGGCCTGTGAAGAAGCCGAGCTAACTTTTATAGGGCTTGGCTCACTGGGGTAGCTCCGAGGTGACTGGAAGAGGATTGATTGCCTTGGTTGGCAACGGCCAGGTATACTCTGTCGAATTGAAAGATGGCGAGCAGTACATCGCCCACCCTAGGTATGCTCTCCGCTGGCTCATCTATGGTCGTTACTCATTTGTTCTCTTACAGTAACGTGGTGGCATATACCATGTCCTCAAACCCCCCTCGGCCATACCGCTTCAAATCTACCACACTCAGCTTCCAGGTGCCGGGCCTGAAGACATTGCCTAGACTTTTGCAAAACAACGAGTTTATCCAAAAAGTCTCCAATGCCAACGCATGGAAGAGCACTATGCGCTTCTTTCACAAACTACGAACCTGGTCTCGTATGACGATCTGGGGAGATAGGGTGAGATCATTCATTACTCGATATTTTACAACATTGCTAACACACCTTATTCAGCTATTTTTGCAATTCGATGGCCCTGCCACTGTCCTCGTGCAATCACGTGGCCCTCGCCTGAACGACGTCTTGTCCGGACAAGAAGTGAACGAGATTGCAAGCACTCCTCGTGGACTCACATCTTCTCCCCGTCAATTGGAAAATGAGCAGAAAGATACCGGGGCAGTCGGTGTGCCGCACCTTACCCGCTCTGTTGAGACCGTTGATCAGGAGATCAAGGAAATCCGCCAAAGCGTCGCACAGATTCGCTCCGATGGCAAGATCTAAGTAGAGGAAGTTGGCCGCACGAAGAACGTGTAAAGGCTATGAAATTGGGTTGGTCTGCATTTGTTTATGGGCTTTAGAGTGGTTTTTGGAATGGCATATTGTACAGTATCGCAGGTATCAAATCTTGGCTATTTGCCAGTCCAATCAGTCCAATCTTTCTTTAGACCAGTATAAGGGCTTGGACCTGACTGGGCTGTCACATATTCTATTGGTGGGAGCTTGGGAATTTCTGTATTACTCCAATACACTATTTAAGCAATCGTGTTAAGGGGGTTGGGAGCGAGTGGGTATACTACATGTACAGGATGTCAGAGCAACATAATAGAATCAGCGTCTCATCCGGTTAAAGAGTAATGAGAAAGAGGTAGTCGTAGTTCTTGACTGTCTGGAGTCGGGGAGCATCTATTGTAAGAAACTCTTAAGCCAAAAGTGTCTATCTATTCAATGTAACACGTGCTTTCGGAAAGTTACTCTGGATTCCATGATTCGGGCTCTTTTAGTGATAGTTGGGGGCCTAGTAGGTGAAGAGAAGTAGACCCCAAGGAATTGAACCAATCAGTCTCGACTCACCTCCGCTGTAGTCTGGAGTACGATTAATAGACCAGTTAACTGAAGCCAATACACAGGAGAAGTATGATTGATAATCATCAACAAAAACACGTCCTTCTGATCCCATATTCAGAGTACAACCAGCGTCGGCGCATCCTGTCTGAAAAGGCGGAGTATGTGGGTTAAAGATCCACAGGGAAGGTGGAGCCGAAATGGTCCCTAGCTTCTATCCATGTCGACTTGCCAAGCCCACGGTGTTAGCGGTGATTATCACTCTAGACCGACATCGCGGCCTTTCATAGACGCGATGTCCGAGGTCATACCCGATCGTCTTTTTCTTTATCTTCCTGCGTCATAATCTTTCCCACTCTTTGAAGGACAAGAAAAGTCTCTCCCTCTCCATTTCTATTACTCTTTATCGCCGCATGAGCAGCTGAGCTCTCTGGAGCATTAACATATTGACTTTGTAATTTTAGAGTTTAATCTCCGGGCAAAGCAAGGTGAGTCGCAACGTGATCCCCCTGATGTAATCAGACTTGAGTTTCTATACTTCAGCGTATCTGTTGAAAATGTTTCCTAATATGCTTGGATTTTATAGACTTCGAGACACTCAGTTGATAGCCGGTAGACCTCCCGTTCACGACGAAAATGGCGGTAGATCGAGATCGCGATGTCTCTTCAGTCCACAGTACCATGAACAATGTGCCGTCCAATGTTTCTACCCCGGCGATCAGCGACCACGTTCACGATATCGAAAAAGGCAAGCCGATAGAGGATAAAGATATGGAGGTGCACAATGTGAGCGCTGGGGGTACCCTGGAGAAATCCGATGTGCCTGCTGCGGGACCTCCTGGTCCTGGTCCACCACCAGATGGAGGACTGCAAGCTTGGTTGACAGTGTTGGGAGGTTTCTGCGGCCTGTTTGTTAGTTTCGGATGGATTAACTGTGAGGTTCGCTCTCATGTCTTCAAACTATATCTATGATTGACATTGTATAGGTATCGGTGTGTTCCAAACATACTATGAGACCCACCAGCTCAGCGGCATGTCCCCGAGTACAGTGGCCTGGATCACCTCCCTCGAGACCTTTGTGATGTTCTTTGCTGTTTGTATCCCTACTCACTAAGCCCAGAAGATAGACTAATCTTTACCCCTAGGGCCCGGTCTTTGGATCTCTGTTCGATAACTTTGGACCACGCTGGATTCTGCTCGGTGGCACCTTTCTCCACGTCTTCGGTCTCATGATGACATCTCTTTCCACCGAATATTATCAGTTCATCCTCGCACAAGGAATCTGCAGTCCACTCGGCGCAAGTGCCATCTTCAATGCCTGTGTGAACTCCGTCAGCACCTGGTTTGGAAAACGTCGCGCTTTCGCGCTGGGTATCATGGCGTCGGGCTCAAGTCTGGGAGGAGTAATTTTCCCCATTATGGTATCTCATCTGATCCCCCAGGTCGATTTCCCATGGGCCATGAGAATCTGCGCATTCTTGATTCTTTTCATGCTTGGAATTGCCAACCTGACGCTGAAATCACGATTGTCGCACAAGAGGAAGCCGGTCAATCTGTTGGACTTTGTGCGTCCCCTCAAGGAGCTGAAATTCGTGGTGACAGTTGCTGGATGCTTTTGCTTCTTCTGGGGCATGTTTTTGCCTTTCACTTTTGTGATCACCCAGGCTGAACGCTATGGGATGTCATCGAATTTGTCGCAGTACCTCATCCCAATCTTGAATGCGGCGAGGTAAGTCTGATTCCAATGACGGAATACACTCGCTAATAGAATTTTAGTATCTTCGGTCGTACTCTTCCGGGTTACTTAGCGGATCGACTGGGGCGATACAACGTGATGATCGTCTTCAGTTACCTTTCTGGTATTCTGGTCTTGGCCTTGTGGCTTCCGTCCCGGAGTAATGCCCCCGCGATAGTGTTCAGTGCGCTGTATGGATTCGGCTCCGGTGCCTTTGTGTCGCTCGCGCCAGCACTTATCGCCCAGATCTCGGATTTGCGAGAGGTAGGGATCCGCAACGGCACTTGCTTCTCGATCATTTCGTTTGCGGCTCTCACGGGTACACCTATCGGCGGTGCGTTGGTTCCAAACGTACTAAAGGATTCTTACACGAGGTTGCAAATTTTCGCAGGTGTGGTCATGGTAGCTGGAGCAACACTGTTTCTCGCTGCCAGGATCATCGTTGGAGGAACGAAATTGAATAAGGTATGATGGCTGGAGTCGGCATCGTGCTAAGAAAACAGTATATCGGCCATAATAGATGACGGACAATGACTTTAATTACACACAAGATTGGAATGGTGGATTATGCATATAGATACCAAATGACACCTGCATTGGCTCATCATAGTATCTCGAAGTGGATTGTATTGAAATAGGCCCAACTGAGCCAAAAGGTAAACACAACTGCAAATCTGCCGTAGCCTTGAAGACTAGCGGCCAAAACGCCCCAGCACCGTCGCTGAAGGAAGATGCATAGAAAGAAGAAAAAAAGTATAAAGCTCCGAGGTACGCCCAAGCCGCAAAAATGCAATCATTAGACCAAAACTCCGTTGCGCATGTTCTCGACGGTTCGAACACCAACACCCTTCAGAGTGCTCAGCTGGGCCAAGCTGCCCACCTGGAACATACTAGGTTGGTCCGATACCGTCTCATCATTTGAGGACTGATCCATCTCACAGAGACAGTTTACAAGAGCCTCGGCCTTCTTCGCACCCACGCCTTTCAGAAGCTTGATCTGACTTACATCACGCGAGTTGATAATCGACAAAAGATGGATAGTTCGAGGAGACAGAGAACCGTTCTCGTATTCGTCGAGGCCATCCGCCTCGTTTTCATGGCGAAGACTTTTGTATGTAGCGCGCTTCTTGTTTTGCCGAGGGATGTTGTCTTCATCGCTTGAGAGCCCTTCCTGGCCCGCGCAGTTCATGTAGTCGTTATCCACTGTTTCAGCTGGACGCTTTCCTAGGAGAGTAAGGGTCGGCTCTCTCTTGAGAGAAAGCATACTTCCAAGCTTGCCCTTGGGGGGAGAAGCAGGTATGGAGGACTGGCGTGACGACTTTTGCTGTATGCGCTCTTTCAAAGCGGCAATTTTGGCGGCCAGCTTATCGTTATGGGGAAAATGTGGGAGCGCAAGCTGGTACATTCTTAGCGCAGAGCTGTTTTCACCCCGCGCTTGGTGCTGCTTGGCCATGAGCAAGTATGAAAGGCCCTCGGCTCGATCATCTTCAGTGCCTTCAATCTTCTGTTCAAGAAGCTCCAGGCGACGTTGAAGCTGGTCATTCAATTCCCGAGCCTGAGTCTGCCTCGACTGTTCGCTCACGGCTCGAACAGCCAGAAGCTCCTCAACCTTCTTTTCAACCATCTCCTCGATTCTAGCAGCGGAAAGATCCGCATAACTTGCAGTTTCATTCGTCATAGTCTGGCGAGGCGGTTTGAGAGAGCGTGTGGCGGGTGCACCGGAGAGGGAAGTTCTTTTGGGCAGTTCAGATTTCCGAATCTGGGTCACAGGCTTAGGACGATCAGAGAAGACATTGAATGCCTTGATGGGTTTGCCCTCATCCTTCGCAGCTGGGTCCTTTGTGGCAGGAGCGGGCATGTTCACATTGACGGAAGCAGTGAGCGGTCGCAATGGCTGGCGAGAGCTTGCCATTGATGGCCGCGGGGCTGGTCTGGCAGGTCCCTTAAAGATCGGGTCATTCTCGATTTCTCGCACCTCAATCTTCCGTGTGCGATTAGCAACATTCAAAGAGCTAATGGTGTCTAAGTGATACGACCGGACTGGTGCCAGATTGAGAATCATCACAGTCAGTCCGTTGTTTTGACCCAGAGACAGAATTCGCGTCATTTTGGATTCGCGGTAGGGAATGCGATGCTGCTTCTTGGTAATGGCCTCAACACATTGCGCGAGAACGAACAGACTCTTGTTGATGCTGGCCGACTCCACCATACGCTCCTTGTCATTCTCCGTTCGTCGATTATCTTCCGAACCTGCAAGATCGATGGCAGAGACTGTGCTTACTCGAGTCTGGTCGGCAAAACAAATGGTCACCTTGACACCGAGGATCGCGTGGGAACGGGACGAATGAGCGTTCAACTGGACCCTTGGTCAGTCTCAATCCTCCTTTTTGTCGATAATCATACACACCTTTGTTGCCGAGGTCGAGCGATTGTTATTCGCCTGATCATATAGTCCTTCAAACTCCTTCAAACTGGTGCAGGCTTTCTCTGTAAGACCGCAAACCACGGTCTTACCCCCGTTGTCGCGAAGAGGAAGCCCTGCCAAGGTACGCTTCTCGGGTGGCTCGAACAGATCATAGACCTTGTCATTGTAAATTTCGTAGTAACTCAGTGCCACTTGAACTGTCGTCTCGCCATTGCTGTCCTTCTCGAGTTTTCGGCTTTTTCGGTAGATGCCGCTCAGGAGTCGGGGAATGACACCACGGTCTGCGAGGCTTTTACCACCACGCATTGTGTGTGTTTTTCCAGTCCCTGTCACACCATATGCAAATAACGTCACGTCGAATCCATTGAAAAGGTGCTTGATGGTGGGTGCGACTATCATTTCCGATCAGTTTGGACTGTTTTCCCAAATGGCGGTGACCTCGAGTCCTCCTTTCAACCACTCACCCTCGGCATCGAATAGTTCCTGCTGTGCCACATCGGCATCATACACCGCATTGAACTGGAAGGTATACTCCTCGCCCTCATTCTTGGGGTTTGGGATCCGTACCACGTTGTCCCTATCCCTCAATGCCGCCAATTTGCGGTCGCCGTTGACCGACTGCTTGGGATCCGCAGCGACTGATGATGCTCCGGTGCGAAGAATAATATCCAGTTCCCGCTCAGCCTTGAGAAGGGGTCGGACTCGGGCGACGACTCGAACGCTCATGTTGGTGACTCAACGCATGCACGTTGCTGGAAGTGCAGATGTCGGGAGGAATTGCTGCAGGCTGGCTTCCGTGTAAACCGGAAAAATAGAAAAAGAATATGAATCCAATCCTCCACAATAAAAGAAAGAAAAGAAAGAAAAACAAAACTATCTAAATACTTACCTACCGTTGAAGGGACGCAAAGACTGAGAAGGTCAATCAGTGGAGTTCGTGGGTTGAAGAGACATCGCGTTGTTTAGTGTTGGCCGGGCAACGCGACAATCATTGGGTCGCACATTCTTGTCTTGCAGACCATAAAGTTGAAGGATTGGCTTGGTATATGAATCTTCATTAGAAATAATAAAATATATTCTACTACAAATGTAAGCATCGATATCATCATGAAAGCCCGTGCACAAACCGCTAAGTAAGCTCAAGTGCTGTAAGATCTCTTCATCGCACGGACAATACCACTCTCAATGTACATGATATGTACCTATTTCATATATATATCAGCCATCCCAAGTCGGCGATACCACCCTGGTTTGTATATTGACATTTAAACAATAAGATCTAGGGCTTCAATGTAAGAATTCCACCCCATAATACTGCAAATATTGTTAAAGATTCATATGGCTCAAATAGAAATACATATGTACTTAGAATCTTCGTTGCAAGTATATTTCTCCTACTGTAAGCTCCGCTGTCTTGTGATTGGCCGAACTGCCGCAACCTAAAGGCCACCGTACACCACCAACGCCATCACCGCTTCTCTGTGTTCGATTCCTCTCGTGTCTTCGTCTTGGTACGTCTCTCCCTTTTGGTGATTCACCGAAGCTGTGTTGGTTCGCCGATAATCCCTCTGCTCTGATTCATGTTCAAAGTCTAATTGTGGGGTTCTAGGTAGCGAAGCTCAAGGTCACCCGCATCCCCTCGCCCCGTATCAACTGAATCACCACCCGGACCTCATTCCGTATTTCCTCTCTCCTGCTCACCACTCGCACCAAGGAATTTAATTCCGATACAAACGATCCCCGCCTACCTTCATGGCAGCTCCACAAGGGGGTTACCCTCCCCAGGAAGGGTATGCCCAGCCGGGCTATGGCTCCCCGGACCCTACGCAGCAGGAGTCGCCTGTCCCTCAACAAGGTGCACCCGCGGCCGGCAAGAAGAAGCGAGCATATGCTGGTCAGGCATTTGAGTTTGGAGCAGGTGCCAATGCTGCGCTTGGAGGACAGCCCGTCGCAGGAGGTGCCTACGATGCCTACCCTCAGCAACCCCAAGCCATGGGATACCAGCAACCGGGATACGGTGTCGACCAAACCCAGATGCAACAGCCTATAGCACCTACTCCGGATGTTGCGCAAATGACCAACCAATTCGGTGGTATGGGTATGGCTGAACCGCACCACATGCCCCCGCCCCAACAGCCGGCAGTTCAGCCTCAGCGCAACGTCCAACTGAACCAGCTCTACCCAACCGACCTCATTTCGCAACCTTTCAATGTCGCAGAATTGGACTACCCCCCACCTCCTATTATCCTGCCTCCCGGGGTACGTCCTAACCTCCTCCCACTTGACCTCGGCTGGAGATGCTAATAGCCCACAGACTAGTGTTTACCCATCCCCCACTGCCAATTGCCCCACAAAATACATGCGGTCGACCTTGAATGCTGTTCCGACAAATAACTCCCTCCTTAAGAAGTCCAAGTTGCCCTTCGCTTTGGTTATTCAGCCTTATGGCGCACTCCACGATGCCGAGGACCCCATTCCTGTGATCCCCGACCAGGTCATTTCACGATGCAGACGCTGCCGCTCTTATATTAACCCCTTCGTCACTTTCCTCGACCACGGTCACCGCTGGCGTTGTAACATGTGCAACCTGACAAACGATGTCCCCCAGGCATTTGATTGGGATTCGACCTTGCAGAAGCCCGCAGACCGATCCTTGCGTGCCGACCTGAACCACAGCATGGTCGAGTTTGTTGCTCCCCAGGAATACATGGTCCGCCCTCCTCAGCCGCTCGTTTACCTGTTCTTGCTTGACGTCAGCTATTCCTCCGTGGCCAGTGGTCTTTTGGCTACCAGCGCCCGGTGCATTAAGGAGAGTCTTGATCGGATCCCCAACGCAGACCGACGAACCCGCCTTGGTTTCATCGCCGTCGATTCAAGCCTGCACTACTTCAGCATTCCTCGAGATGGCTCCGAAAGCTCCGAATCACGCATGTTGGTGGTCAGCGACCTTGATGAGCCCTTCCTGCCCATCCCCACAGACCTGCTGGTGACGCTGAGCGAATGCCGGGAGAATGTGGACTCTTTCCTTGACAAGCTGCAGGAGATGTTCCAGAACACCCAGAATAACAGCTGCGCCATGGGATCCGCTCTGCGGGCTGGATACCAACTCATCTCTCCCGTGGGTGGTAAGGTCATTGTTCTGAGCGCATCGCTGCCCAACATCGGTCACGGCGCTCTCACAATGCGCGAGGATAAGAAGGTGCTCGGCACCAGCAAGGAATCGGCTCTTCTACAGACGGGCAACTCTTTCTACAAGAGCTTTGCTGTCGAATGTTCCAAGGCTCAAGTGTCAGTGGACATGTTCCTTTTCTCGTCCCAATACCAGGATGTGGCCTCCTTGAGCAACTTGCCTCGTTACACTGGTGGCCAGACTTACTTCTACCCCGGATGGAACGCTGCTCGAACGGAGGATGCTATGAAGTTCGCGCGCGAGTTCTCCGACCACTTGTCATCCGAAATTGGGTTGGAGGCCGTTCTCCGCGTTCGTGCCACTACCGGCCTGCGCATGAACACCTTCTACGGAAACTTCTTCAACCGCAGTTCCGATCTCTGTGCTTTCCCGGCCTTCCCTCGCGACCAAGCGTACGTTGTTGAGGTGGCTATCGACGAGACAGTAACCAAGCCAGTGGTGTGCTTGCAAGCCGCCGTTCTACACACCACCTGCAACGGTGAGCGTCGTATTCGCGTCCTCACCCTGGCACTCCCGACCACTCAAAACCTGGCCGATATCTACGCTTCCGCTGACCAGCAAGCCGTGGCCACCTTCTTCAGCCACAAAGCTGTGGAGCGTACTTTGAGCAGTGGCCTTGATGCGGCCCGTGAGGCTTTGCAGGCCAAGGTGATTGAGCTGTTGACGACCTACCGCAAAGAACTTGCTGGTGGTAGCGTGAGCGGCGGTGGTCTCCAGTTCCCTGCTAACCTCCGCGGTCTGCCTGTTTTGTTCCTCTCCATGATGAAGAATGTAAGTACTGATATCCACCTCCTTAAGTACCAGGTGCTAATTGAACCCCGTCTCTAGCTTGGTCTTCGCAAGTCTGCTCAGATCCCAACGGATATGCGATCTGCCGCATTGTGCCTGTTGTCGACTCTGCCTTTGCCTCTTCTTATCCAATACATCTACCCTAAGATGTACTCGCTCCATGACATGCCCGACTCCGCGGGTGTGCCGGACCCTCAGACCGGGGAGATCATTCTTCCTCCCCCGGTCAACCTGTCCTCGCAGCGTCTCGCCCCGTACGGTCTGTACCTGATCGACGATGGACAAACCCAGTTCTTGTGGGTCGGCCGTGAGGCGGTGCCCCAACTCATCGAGGACGTGTTTGGCGTACCCGACCGCACCCAGCTGCGGGTGGGCAAGCAGATCCTGCCTGAAATAGACAACGAGTTCAGCCAGCGGCTACGGGCTGTGGTGGAGAAGAGCCGGGACCACCGGTCCAAGGGGGCGGGCAGCATTATTGTGCCTCACTTGTATGTGGTGCGCGAGGATGGAGAGCCTGGTCTGCGTCTTTGGGCGCAGACGATGTTGGTGGAGGATCGGGCGGATCAGAGTGTGAGCTTGGATCAATGGATGACCACTCTCCGGGAGAAGGTATGAGGTTCTCTTGAGTTGATTTGCAATTCTCCTTGACTTCATATACTGATTCTATACGTCTCGTATAGGTTGTGCAATAAATGCCAGTCGCATGTAGAGTTTCACTTCATTTGTCATGAATCCCACGTTTCATTCCCCTTTTTCTTGTTTCTTTTTCCTTTTTTTTTTCTCTTTTTTTTACTACGATTTGTGATGCTCGGTCTTTTCGCCTGTACCATTATGGGACTCGGGAATCTCTGTTCAATGGCGGGCACATTTACGTTTGAAATCCCAGTAGATGGGAGCGTGAAAGTATAAGGCAACTGGTGTCTTTTCAGTGAGGAATTCGTTTCAGAAAATCCCAACATTTGAAGGTTTTAGATTCCTGTATCCGTACTTAGTGAAATTAGTCGCTCGCCTGATCTACAAGCCAATGAGATAGTGTGTTTGGGAGTGAGACCTGGGCGGAATACGTGGCAGTCCAATCATAAAGGTGGAGTGGAGTTGTGATTGTGATCAGGTTCCGACAGCTTAGCAAGTGATTGAGGAGGATTTGGCGCTGGTGGCGGATTAGTCTAGAATTTGGTATTGAAATTAGATGTACTTCTTCAAGTTTCAAGTTTACTTTAAAGCGTTTCCGGAGTAGTTAGGGTATGTAGTTATAGGCATAAAGTCTGGCTCTTGGTGGAGAGAAAATAAGAGGGAAATGAGCCAAGGTTCCAAAGGTGTTCTAGGTCTATATGGAGTCAATTTGTTGATAGCTCATATGGATCAAGTTCAACTATACTCTATACAAAGCTATTGGATCAAACACATATTTATAGTTTCTTATTTGGCCCCTTTAAAACTCTCTACATATATAAATAGCGTGTTCGATAGTCGAACTTGAGCTCAAGTGCTGCCCCACCACATGACGGCCCGTGAGTCCCGCTGATTCCTCTTCTCCCCACCTTCCATGAATCTCCCTTTTCTTTCCTTTCATCATATTTTGTAAGTTCAAGGTGCTGAGCTGAAGTTCTGCTCTTCCTGACGTGGTCGGGGAACTCCAATAACCCCGCTTCGGCACGGCTGCACGATGTCGCAAGCCTAACTAACACCTGCTCAGAAACCTCCCGAAACATTCAACTTGGTGATTCACCTGCTCCCGATACCTTCCCCCTTATCCGAAATTATCTGTCGACCTATCTGTCTATCTAGCGAAGTTGCTAGCTACGGATCCAGTTCAACCCAGGAGAGATTGTGCGGAACTCCATCAAACACTCATAAAAACACCCCATCTGAACTGGCTAGAAGCTAGGACTCGCAGCTACTCCAGCGCCAACGGAAAGAGTAAGCTTTCTCCTGCTTGTCTTTTCTTGGTTTTGTCCGCCTTTGCGATACGGTGTTTTATCTCACGGCTGTTTGTCAACAAACGGACTGCGGTTCCGAGGCGGGTGATGCTCAACGCGGGGCTGGTCCTCAAATCTTGTGAATTGGCGCTTGACTAGCTTTCGCCTCTTCTAGCGTGGATCATAGCGTAGACGAGCAGATCCGCGTTTTATTTCACTTTCCCCGCATCAGCATAAGCTAACGAATGGTAGCACCAGCAACATGGGTCAACCGAACCCCCCCTCGGGCGGGTCACGAAAGATCTCTTTCAACGTGTCCGACCAATACGAAATCCAGGATGTCATCGGAGAAGGTGCTTACGGTGTGGTTTGGTGAGTGATGCTGGGTCCCTTGATCAGGTCAATTGAAGCTTATACTGTGTAGCTCTGCCATCCACAAGCCCTCCAGCCAGAAGGTTGCTATCAAAAAGATTACTCCGTTCGACCATTCCATGTTCTGTCTGCGCACATTGCGTGAGATGAAGCTGTTGCGGTACTTTAACCACGAGAATATCATTTCCATCTTGGATATCCAAAGACCTCGTAATTACGAGTCTTTCAGCGAAGTCTACCTGATTCAGGTATGCAGAATGATAGATCCAGGAAAATAATGCAGTACCTGACCAGCTAAACCCCGTAGGAGCTGATGGAAACCGACATGCACCGAGTTATTCGCACACAAGAGCTATCGGACGACCATTGCCAATACTTCATCTACCAGACTCTGCGTGCGCTCAAGGCCATGCACTCCGCCAATGTTCTTCACCGTGACTTGAAGCCCTCCAACCTTTTGCTGAATGCCAATTGCGATTTGAAAGTGTGTGACTTTGGTCTGGCGCGATCGGCCGCGTCCACCGACGACAACTCAGGTTTCATGACCGAATATGTGGCCACTCGTTGGTACCGTGCACCGGAGATCATGTTGACATTCAAGGAATACACCAAGGCTATTGACGTCTGGAGCGTGGGCTGTATCTTGGCGGAGATGCTGAGCGGGAAGCCTCTCTTCCCCGGAAAGGATTGTACGTTTGGATACCCTGATTTTGAAGCCACGCTAACCATGATCCAGATCACCATCAGTTGACCCTTATCTTGGATGTTCTTGGTACGCCTACCATGGAAGACTACTACGGCATCAAGTCACGACGAGCCCGCGAGTACATTCGCTCCCTCCCATTTAAGAAGAAGATCCCCTTCCGCGCTCTCTTCCCCAAGAGCAATGACATGGCCTTGGATCTACTTGAGAAACTATTGGCCTTTAACCCGGCCAAGCGTATTTCGGTTGAGGATGCCCTACGCCACCCATACCTGGAGCCCTACCACGATCCCGATGATGAGCCAACCGCACCGCCAATCCCCGATGGTTTCTTTGATTTCGACAAGAACAAGGATACTCTGAGCAAAGAACAGCTGAAGAGTGCGTGTCCCCCATTCCTCACCCTTGGCTACATTGACTGACTTGCGGTAGTTCTGATCTATGAGGAGATCATGCGGTAAAGAAGCGTAAATATCTGTTATCGAGCATGCAATTTCATTCCAACCCAAGCCGGGAATTATTGTGATTAGAGAGCACAGCACTTGAAAATACACAAAATCTATGTGATTTGTCCACATGCACTTCTAGCTTCATTCCAACCCGTACAGTACTATATACACATCCAAGACTCAGACCCAGCCAGATCCAGATCCAATCTATAAACTCTTACGCAAATCTACAAATCTCCGAATCCCCTCCACCACTCCCTCAGGACTAGGCTTCTCCGCACAAACATCCGCCTCAAACCCAAACATATTCTTCAAATAATCTCTCGTTGTAGGCCCAATAGTAGCCACAAAAAGCCTCCTCTCACCACCCCCATCCTCATCCCCAGCAAACGGCCCCAATTTCAAAACCCTCAACATAGCCTCACACCCCGAAGGCGAAAAAACAACAACCCAGCAGTCTCCACAAGCACTTACACTCCTCTCAAAATCCCTCTCAAACCCCTCCATCTCCCCAGTTTCATACACCACTCTCTCATCAACAGCGATCCGCTCTTCAACCGGTAACGACTCCGACATGAGCGTTTTGGGAATGATATCGCGTCGTTGTTCACCGACTAGGAACAAGAGGCCTGGTTTAGGGCTTTGGTCTTGGCTGGTGCGCGGGTGGAGGCTGTTGTAGTGTTGGAGCATTAGGTGGGCGAGATTCTCGCCCGTTCCGGATTCTGCGCCGTGGATTGTTGCCGTGGGCAGGTATTTGTCTCGGAGGGTTGTTAGGGTGCGGGCTGTTGCGGGACCGACTGTGTAGAGGGGGATTGGGTTTGATGGTTGGGGGACTAGATTGATATTGGTTAATATGTTGTTTGTCCTTGAAGCCTCCTGTGAAGCTCTGGTTGGAATGATGCGGAACTCACGACCATCTTGCTCGATCATTTTTGCGAATCCTTCTACAGCTCGCTGGCTGGTGAATATCATTCCGCCGTATTTCTTCTCGGTTTCATCTTTATTGGTGGCATTGGGCTCGAATGCGCCGGAGGCGAAGAGGTCCCGCACTTGAGCGAGGTTCTTGGTGTTGAAGCGGTGTTCTAGGACGGGGATGAAGGAGGGATTGTAGCCTTGTGCGGAGAGGAAATCATCGTAGCCATCGTGGGGAGATGATCTTGTTTTTAGGAGGAGGATGGGGGTTGAGGGCATTGTGAGTTGATTGAGTAGAAAGTCGTCGGAACTTGATTTTCGATGCTATCGCGATTGCGGGGCGGATCTTATCCACTACGTAGATCCAAGACAACACAAGGAAATTGAAATTTGAGTCTAGGACGGCTTATATACACATTAAAAACACAAACTACTGGTCGTCCAGCACGTGCACGTATTTCTTCTCCTCGGCCTTCTCACGCTCGGTGGCGGGAGGAAGGTCGTAGTAGGAGGCGCTACGGTACATTTGCTACAATATGTTAGCACGGCAAGGGATTACATGGGGTACGAAACATACCAGGTAGTGGAAGGTCAGATCGGCCAGATCAGCCAGGTCGGACTGCGGAATACCAAGATCCTTGAAGGTCTTGGCTGTCGGGTCAATCACCTGGTCGTGGAACTCACGCTCGACCTCGTCGGCAGACATGGTGGGCCACCAGATGAATTTGTTGAGGTTGTAGGCCAATGGCTTGAGCAGGGCCTTGGGAACGTTGATGTGGCGGCGCTTCTTGACGATTTCGCGGTCGACCAGCTCGGCGATCTCGGCGGTGGAGTAGTTCTTGGGGCCGTAAAGCTCGTAAGTCTGTCCAACAGTGCTGTCGTCATGCAGCATGGCCTCGAGGGCCTTGCCAACATCGATGGCCTACATGATAGGTTAATTAAAGCAATACCGGATGGGAGGGAATCATGCGACGTACATGAACAGGCCAGTAGCGCTCCTGCATGTGGTTGGCAGTGAACAAGTTGGTCACGCCAGCAAGTTTGTGAAGAAGGTTGTCTTCGAAACCGAACATCGGGGCAGGTCGCACGATGGTGGTCTCGGGGTAAATGGAGCGAGCGACTTCCTCACCCCAACCCTAGTAATCTGACTTAGTATATCTGCAATTGTACCCATCGGTCACAGTAAGACCCACCTTGGTAGCAAAGAACTCAGACGACGAGTTCCGGTCGGCGTTGTAGGAGGAAACGTGAATGAAGCGGTCGACATCGTACTTGGCAACGGCCTCGGCAATGCGCTCGGTGCCGTCCACGTGGACATCGGTGTAAGAGAAGTTCCTGGCACTGGGTCAATTGACTGTCCCTCGACGCCGGAAGACTATTATATCACTTACTTGGTGGGGTATTGGCGACCAACAAGGTTGTAAACGACATCGGAGTGGCGGACGCTCTCCTCGATGGACTGAGTGTTGCGCAAGTCGTATTCCTGGAAATGATTAGATCGACCCAGAATGCCTGTAAAAAGAGCGTCATACAATGAAGCTGACACGACCCAGATCACCAGTGACCTTCAAGTGACGCTTGGCCATCTCCTCGCGGTAGGGGATCACGACGTTGCATCCCTGCTTAGCTACAAGATGTCAGCTGCCAATCGCTCAGTCGGACTGTAAGCCAGTTCTTGAACCTACCGAGACGGTTGACAATGTAGCGACCCAAGAAACCAGTGGCGCCAAAGACGGTCGCGGTGTAACCTGTGGGAGGAGGTGAGTATATTCGATGGAGACCGGGATTGAAGCGCGAGTAAGGTACCTCCGAGGGAAGAGCTGGAAGCAATACAGATTAGCAAGAATGCGCCGTGAGAGGTGCAATTGAGTACTTACCGGCCACCTTGGACCTTCAGGATGGGCTTTCCAGTGCGGGTGATAGCGACATCTTGGAGGTTGCGGCGCTGGAAGTGGACGGAGACCCGCGGGGCCGGGGCGAATGCCCGGGAACCCAGGGCAGAGTTGAAAGCCCGGGATTTCTGCATGGTCTCTGATAGAGCAGATCAGAGGAGACCAGCGGGGAGGAGAATGGAGTGGAGTGGGGGATGGGAGGGATTGGAGGTCCTTAGAGTTGATGGACTTGCATTTCGCAGGTTCGGCACGGGACTAGAGCGCTAGTCCTGATTTGGAAGACTCAAGCATCACTTCTTCATGATCATACTTGACTTGAGGCTGTTTCTGTGATATCAACTATCAGATTAAGCAAAATGGTCTATAATTGTTCTCAAATTGTCTTCTTTTTACATTATTACAGGGTTGAACCCCTTTCTCTGCATTTACACCTTTTGGCCTTCCAACGGGTCTGACAATTCGGCCGCTGTGATTGGATATGCGCCCGCATTCTCTCCGTCACTCACTGAGCCTCCCTCAAAATAGCCAGTCAAGCTTTTAGATTCGGTATTGCGGCTTACGTTGGTGAATATTTAATTTTAGACTTGAGCTGGAACTATCATTTGAAAAATGAAGAACGACCCAGATATATCGGAGTGACCATGGTGTTGGTATTTCAGGCTTCAAGGAGAGTATGGTATTAAGGTGACGAAGCTCGATGTGGTTTTGACCCAAAATGCGGGTTAAACAGGTCTGTGGTACAGCATGTAGTGGTAATTTTGGTATTGACCCGTATGAGGAGTGTGTTAAGCACACACCCAGCCAGCTCTAATTAGAACTTGTACCCCCCCTCATTGAAAGTCAAGAAGGAAAAAGAAAAAGCGAATGTAATTAACATATTAGTAGAGAGCCATACCAGCAAAAAATAAAACAATAAAACGACAGCTGTGTCGCGGTGTGTATCCAAAGATTGTATAGAGGAGTTTTGTGGGCAAACCACGGCCATCTCTGGTAAAAGGCAAGAAATGGGTTCTGCACTAGCCTGTCCCACTCCTCAAAATTCCCTTCAATTTGTCAAATATAAGGGAGCTTTGATCTGAGAGATCCCTCGTTCGAATCCACCAACGACCACTTTTTATTTTATTTTTCAAGCTCCACCCCGCATTCGATGACTTCAGCTCTGACCATCTGAACCAGATTTGGAGAAGTTCACCTTTCATTGTACTCGAAATATCAGAACGAAACAACAATCAACTAGTCACCAGATCAATCAATATGTCCTCCTCCGCCGCCTGTATCTTCTGCAAGATCATCAAGGGTCAGTTAATTCAAGTTATCTATGAGTCCATAGCTCGCCAATTTCCCCTCCGACCGGCTCCGTGTCAACAGCTCTAATGCGCCCACAGGTGATATCCCTTCTTTCAAGCTCTTCGAGAGCGATAAGGTCTTTGCCTTCTTGGATATCCAGCCTCTGAGCCGCGGCCATGCGGTAAGTGTTTGCTTTGTGTACCCCCGCACCAGACGCGTCCGCTGCCATGATCTCCATACCAATAGCCATTGCGATAATTATCGACTCGGTCAATTATGCGCAGATAGCAAACTTGACCATTCTCATGAGAAATCATTTGCTGACGTAAAATGACAACAGCTCGTGATTCCCAAGTACCACGGCGCGAAGCTCACTGATATCCCCGACGAAGACCTGCTAGAGATTTTGGTAAGTGAAACTCTTTCAAAGACGCCTGTGAGATTTGGGGAGTATGGGAAGATATCGAGAAGGAGCCCATGGAGAGGAAGTTTGAACCGGAGAATTGAATTGGAAGGCCACGGGGTCTTCTCGGTTCAACCCCCAAGGTCCTTGGATGACCTGGCTAATCCAAGTCCCTTTGTATAGCCCGTTGCAAAGAAGATCGCCAAGGCTAGTGGCGCGACCGACTTCAATATCCTGCAGAACAACGGTCGCATTGCGCACCAGGTCGTTGACCACGTGAGTTGATACCATCCTCGTTCTGTAAGATGGCAGTTACTAACAATCAGGTAATAGGTTCACTTCCACATGGTAGGATTTCTATGAACTGGTCCTTGATTCCTTTCACATACTAACTAATGGCTTGCGCAGATCCCCAAGCCCAATGAGCAGGAGGGTATGAGCATCGGCTGGCCCACCCAGGCAACGGAGATGGACAAGCTCAAGGCTCTGCACGAGGAGATCAAAGCTAAGATGTAAGTGCGATATGCACTCTTCATTTCCAGCGGATACTGTAGATAGTAGCTCTACATAAATGTTATTGATGGATCTACAAAGTCATCTCTAAGCTTCAGCTACTTCTAGAAACATGGACAGAAAGGCGATGTCACTGGTATAGACATTCATTCACTCCTAACAAATTATTGGCTTTCCTGTATCTTCTCTAGCTGGGCCAAATCAAATTCAAGTTTGTATACAGATCCATGCAGACGCCTCCCTATTTTTATTAAATCAACAGTCTAGGTCCGATCGTCAATAACAGTATGCAACACAATACGAGCCAGATCATGCAGTGTATATAGCCTCTGCACCAATGTATTCGGCAGAGCTAGAGGAATCCTTCTACGCCTTCGTGGCATCCGGATAGAACTCAATCTTTCCATGGCCCTGGACAATGTTGAGGCGGTCATAGAGGGAGCGACTTCGGATGTACGGGTCAAGTTCCCAGTACTGCTTCCGTAGTCTGTCGATCAGACTCGCGCGTTTCTCCTTGGCAGCGGATAGAGCTCCAGCCTCCTTCTTGGAAGCGGCACTGATCCATTCGATCGTAATACCCTGAATCTCCTTGGCGAGCTCCTGGCGCTCAGCGAGCAATTTGTCGCGAGTTTCAGTGTCCTCCATCAGGCTGTTCTCTCCCTCCTGGACCTCGGGGTACTTGTATTCCCAATTCTCGTCACCTTCCAGCTCTTTCATGATTTGACCGGGAGGAATAACCGCTTCCAAATCGTGACGATTCTTTGTGAACTGAATCTTGGCCGCGACAACGGGGTCCAACCAACCCTTGATAATGTTCCAGATACCTACTCCTAGTCAGCGGGATGTATATTTCAGATGAACGCAGGGCACAAACTGGAGAAGAGCCACGGCGCCTTATGAATGAGAACGGAACCCAAGGACTCGGGGTAGTTGGCTTCAAAGCACTTGATCATGAACTTCACAGGTGCATAGTCCTGGTGGGAAAGGGATTAGTATGTCATCTTTGGATCAGCCAAGTTGGAAACTCACCATGTTGGCTATGGAGAAGTCCGTCATATCAAAAATGATAGTCTATTCTTCGTCAGATCTCAATCCTTGAAAATAGAACAAAAGGGACACTTACCGCAGTCTCAACCGGAGGAGCCAACAGTAACCGAGCCGTCTCAATGGTGTAGACAGTAAAGCGTTCTAGACTTTCGGCATCCTGGTCGCCTGCTTTATGCAATCGTACACGAACGACGCAAATTGGACGGCCGAATCGGTCTACACCATGGAGGAAGCTCTTACCCTTGCGCAATTGAAACAGGAAATCCTCACCCTTTTTCTTCTCTGCAGGGTCAGAGCTCTTCGACTGCTTCAGAGCCAGCGCCTCACCGTTGGCCATGATATCGTCGTCAACATGCACATCCAGCAAACGCCAGCGCATGGTGGAAATCAACATCACCAGGGCCTTCTGCACATCCCACTTGCGAGCGCGCAGGAACCGTAGAAGTAGCGCATCTGGATGATCATGTTTCACCATGCTCCAGAAAGCCGTGCGGATCTCCTCGGGTTTGATATCCTTCAGCGCTTGTTGGAACTCCTTGGTCTGGCCGTATTTGTCATCGCCGTCGGTGATGTTAATAGCCGCTACGCTGGAGTTGACGCCACTAGAAGATGACACGCTCTTAGAGTCGTCACCATCATCCTCGTTGCTCCGGCCAAACAGTCCCCACCCACGCCGCTTGGAGGACTTCTTGTCTGAGCTAGACGGAGTGGTTTCACCAGGGGTGTTGACCTCGGCTTCCAAGGCGTCGAGCGGAACCCCAAAGACCTTGAGGGCTAGAACCCAGAATTCTCGTAGCTTGACCTCCTGTTCTGGAGTGAGGGTCCCGACAGTGCCCGGGGCTGGTTCGACAGGCATGGCTTGGAGGGTATCAATGACACTGAGAAAAGGGTCTTGGCCGTTCGGAGGTAGCCGGGGTTGCTGCGGGCACGGGAGATCGGAGGGATATAAGTATTGATAAATCCAAGCGCCTCCTCCAATAGTAAGGAGAGTAGATGCGATCCAAAAGGAAGAGGTTTCCTTTGGTTGGTGTGGTCGAGATGTGGAGAAGGGTCTCGCGAGTTGATGGGAGAGTCGCGAACTGGGGACACTCTGTGCGGGAATGAAAGCCGAGGAATGAATGCGCCGGCGTATAATTGAACAGGCGCGCATATGGCGGAAAGGGAGATATATGCGATTGAGTTGGTTTAGAAGATAAGATGCCTGCGTGGTTAGACACGAGACCAATTGGGGCGGAGTTCAAGTGGATTTTCGAGAAAATCAGGAATTCGATCGCATGCGGGGAATCTTGACAGCGACCAAAGTAGAAGATGTCAATATTAGGAGAACGGTCAGGGAATTCATCATTCATTGACATGAAGATATCTACATATAGCTATATAAGATTTGAATGTTCAAATGTTGCAATGTTCAAGCTCTACTATAGTTGTCGATGAAGTCATCCTGCCCACTTAGTACTTCCTACCGCTTTACTTGCCTGGTAAGTCGTCAATTTATTGATGATGATTATCCCAAACCTACAATCTCATTCAAGGTCTGAATCCACTCAATCAGTCGACTTTGGAATTTCATTACAATTATTGTTTCCGTGATTCTATGACTCTGTTGACCTTGTTCTCGTGCCCCACCGCCTTCGTGGTCCGAAATCAAAACAAAATACTTCACTTCCTCTCTATCTCCAATTCAACAGATAATGGACGGCTTTGCCCCTCGATCCTCCTCACGGCCTAGGCCATCTTCCCGTCCGACTACCCCTCTACGACCAAGCTCCCGCTCTTCACTACGAGAAGCCCACGGTTACGGGAATAGCATCAGCAATGCCGGATACAACCAGCCCGCCATCAATGCCCTAGAGCCGCAGTTTGCGGAGCTCGCTGACTCTATGGCAGACCTGGAGGCCAACTTCATGCACCTCCAGCTGATGCACGAGAGCTTGACGCGCTTCAGTGAGAGCTTCGCCAGTTTTCTGTACGGTCTGAACATGAACGCTTTCTGTGTGGATTTTCCCGAGGTATGAATCAACGACAGAACTGTGGCCGATATGTTCCAACTTATCTAATTGGATTCAACAGGCGCCAATCGCAGATTCGTTCCGGAGAGCAAAGCAGGCCGAGGCACAAAAAGGTATGAAGGCATTCACATCTCGTTACCATGGCCTTGAGATTTACTTTGACACTGAAACAGAAGCCGAGAATGAACCTGCCCGACCGGCTGACGATGGTGAAATGACTTTCTTGTAAGTATCATCCACTCCGTTGCCATACGGGGACCTCGTTAACCGCATGTCAGGACCACGGACACATCCTTTGTCGAACACCCGCCTAGTACGGTCTCCTCTAAACCCACACCTAAGTATTCCACACGGGGTACCACACGCGGTACCACTCGAGGTACGACGCGTGGCGCGGCAACCAGCCGATATACGACACGAGGGGCCAACCGTGCGCGACCGAGCGCTCTTCCTCGAGGTCGGGGAATTCGGTAAAATGGCTTGGCGTGTGAATCTGTTGTCTTTCGTACGCAGCTACATAGAGCACAGCTGCCAAAATTTGGAGATGGAGCTTGAGCGATGATCTGGCTATATTCCACCCCAATGACGTCTTTAGACGCCTCAGTGGAGTGGGATAGCGGGGACTGGAATCGAGTTCCCTATGATATCCATGTAATTATTATGAGTAATGATAAAACTGAACCCTCATCAGAATATGAATATATATAAATTACAAATAGACAAGTAATGCGAAGAAGTAGAAGCAGTAAGTAGAAGCCTTAACGGGGTGTTTGGTCCGATCCGGGGTTCTCAGGCCTTCAGGCGCCGAAAAAACTCATAACCGTTTCCGATGACAAAGGATCCCTCTTCCCTTCCTATCTTGTCTCCGCCTTTACTCCTATGTTCAGGGTGTTTCGGTTTCAATTCGAGCTAGAAAAAAAGAAATAGTGCCACTTGGGCTGATTGGTCTTGGACATTGAATTGCGGGGCATGATTGCGGACGTTTAGTGAAGCGAGCTGGCACGGCAACCCTTGAGTGCGCGTAACGGAGAGCCGCCCTATCACTATAACCCCATTCACCACAATCTTCCACTTCATATCCTCCTTTTTGTTTCTTTGTGAGTCATGGAATACTCTATCTACTGTCTTTATTCACCATAAATAACCTAACCTGCTCTATAGTGAAATGCTGGCTTATTTCAGGGGAAGTCCTCGAGACTGAATTAGATCCCTTGCCATCCCACTATTCACCACCTGGTGATATTGGTCTGATTGACAATCTTCATTGCCCTGCTATTTTTCTTCCTTCTTCGCTATTCTCTCCTCTTTTCTTTCATAGAGGGCCGGAACCTTCTACCTGTTTCATCTTTGCATCTTACATTGCACCAATCCTTTCCATTCTCCCTTTTAATTGTGCCTTGACCTCTTCAAAGACCCAAAATGGCGAACCTTGACTCCATTCACCTTCTTTCGGAGGCCGCATATGGATGTGGTATGTATTGCCATTCCCAGTGGCTACCTTATTCAGATCGGACTTCGAACTGACCCCATTATCAGAACATTTGGCTACCCTCTTGAAGAATGGCCAGACAGCAGGCCAGTTCAAAATTAGCTTTCGCAAGATGTATGAGGCGCTGGCTCCCTACACCAAGCCTGAGCCAGTGGCGGTACAGACTACCGGCTTGCGCACTGTATCTTCGCTGAAGCCCAAGTATCATTGTGTCTCTTGTCCCGAAGTCTGCCTGAACACTGAAAGAAAGGCACATACTAAGAAGACCGGTCATGTTTTTTGTAAGTGGAAATTCAGGCTTTCAATCAATAACTGGCTCATGCCTAATTCTCCTTAGACATGGAGTCACGAAACCGTTTCCTCTTTTGCGAGAATTGTGCGGACCTTGTCTATGATCATGGCCTGGAAAGACTCTGTGGACCTCAGGCTAAGTTTGAATGTCAGAAACAACCTACTTAGATGCTCATGCTCGGGAATCGGCCTTACTGATCTTGACATAGACGGCAAAGGTGCTGCATGGGTCACTGACGCAGCCTCTGAGGCTTATGTTAAGAACAACGCTTACAAAAACCCTTGCTCCCGTCGTGGTGCCCGTGGAGTTTGGAATATGGGACAAACATGCTATCAATCCGTAATTCTTCAAGCCTTGCTGCATGACCCAACCCTCAATGCCTACTTCCTTGCTGGCGGACACGATATCCACACTTGCGAACGGAGCTTTTGCATGGCCTGTGCCGCCACTGAAGTGTTTATGGAATTCAACAGCGGCGAAAAGACCGACGCCGTATCGGCAGCTACTTTGCTCTACCACGGCTGGGATGCGTCTCGGGTATGTAGGATGAAAGGCCCTTCGGTCCCTGGAATCCGAAGTTGCTAATCATTTCCTCGTAGGATATGGCCGGATACCGTCAGCAGGATGCCCACGAATACTTTCAATTCCTAGTGAATTCCCTCCATGCGGCTACACCAGGACACTCCGAAAGTCATGGTAAAAAATGTCGCTGTTTCTTCCACCGTACCTTCTATGGTGAGCTCCAAAGCAGTGTCATGTGCCACAAGTGCGGCAAGACCACTCAGACCTTAGATCCAATGGCCGACCTGAGCCTTGATGTGCAGCTGCAAACCAAGAAACGCAAGCTGGCTTCCCGAGCTAGCTCCACCCCAGCCACATTGACTGGTTGTTTGGACAATTTCACCGCCATCGAGGACCTGTCTGCCGATGCCTCCTATCACTGTGAAAAGTGTGGTAACACCCCTCAGCGCGCATCGAAGCGGCTGCAGATCCGCAAGCTGCCTTCCATTCTTTGCATGCATCTCAAGGTATGTTCCTCAATGCTCTGTTGTACCGTCATTTCTAACATCATATTTTAGCGTTACGAGCATAAATCAGCTTCCTCTGAGAAGATGCACGGCCACATTGACTTCCCCCTCACTCTGAACATGCTCCCTTACACTGTAAAGAAGGACAAGGAACGTGTCGATACATCCCGGTACATCTATGACCTGTCGACGGTCGTAGTCCACCAAGGTAGCATGGAATCCGGACACTACTACGCGTACACCCGCGTGGCAGGTGATAAGGTATGTGCAAGCTTTATCTGATAGAAAGGCAGACTCACTAATCACTTTGATCTAGTGGGTGTTGATGGATGACAACAAAGTCACCGTTGCCAGTGTGGCGGAGGTCCTGCGACAGGACGCCTACCTACTGTTCTACGGGATCCGGACTATCGGGTCCGAGAAGACCTAGGCCATCAAAGGCAGTGTGATGTGAACTCTGGCGCTCTGGATGGGAAGCCTGCGGGCCTGATTTGAATAATAATGTACATAGCATGGGCAAAAGATAAAAACAACAATATCGTTATCCAAGGGACTACGTAGCCAATTTCTACATTGAGGTTTTGTCCTGTCTTGCTAAGAACAAATTGAACAAAGCAAAGCGCACCTTCGAAAAGGAAATAGGCGCACCAGAGGGAATACCCTTGCGCGGATGATACCCATTCGTTTGTTCCCTTCACAAATCAAGTACGCAGGATTCCAGATATGGAGTCATGAACAAATCATTGAAGAAAACCCGTCATTGATATTGGATAAAGAAAAAAGGATGAAGGATCAACAATCCTCGTTTTCAGAAACTCCTTCACACAACAACCCCAGTCCCTAACTCGTCCATCCGTGCCATAAGCAAGACACGAATAATGCCTCCTCCATAAGGAATCAACAACCACTTTTTTTGGGAGCCGTCATGCGAAAGAACGGAACGTGGGCGCATTACATTTCCCGACGCTTCGAAACATTCCCCTTCCCGGGCCACTATAGTGACCGAGCGCCAGGGCACGTAAACGGATCATGGACGCGAATGGAATCGAGAAAGGTGTTTAAAGGCGGACATGGTTTAGTTGTTTAGCGGTACTGTATTGAGGACGCGGTTAGTTTCAAGCCCTAAAATTCCTGGTCCTCCGGCAATATCCAAATATTATGGTTCGGTGTCGAGTCGAAGTGGTAGAAGCGAAATGAGAGGTTTAACGAACCTTGACGAAACCGATGTCGGTGGACTTCTCACGGAAGCACTGACGGCAGATGTTCATCTGTAAAAATGAGCCCGTATTAGCTTCAATTGGTTCCAATCTTATGCTCCGGGCACATTTATGTGTGCGCTGGAGTATCGTGTATTAAGAGGGATCCGACATACGCCGTACTTGCGGATCAGACCAGCGCGGTGGGTGCAGACACGGCTGTATCGATCGAACATAAATTAGCCATTATTCCTCCGGATTTCTTCTTCGTTATTCGTGGTTTTCGAGGCTCTTTCTAGCGCTCTATCGCTCTCTTCTTTGTGCAGTCGTTTCTTATCGGTGGGAGGAGTCTGAGGGGCGAACACACCATTCACGGGAACCCTTGCCGTACCTGAAGAGGTCTGTTAGTTGCTGTCGTTTTGAAGGCCAGAGGTTCGTTCTAGTCGACTTACTTGCGGGGGCGGCTGAACCAAACGGACTCGTGAGTCATCTTGAGTTGTCGTGGGGGAAGTTGACGGGGGGGTTGTTGACGAGGGTCGTTGGCGCTGTTGAAGGAAAGTCGAGAAGTTCGGGGTCGAAAATCGTTGTGTGCCGCCCCGATGGGGAAGTGCACGGACCAGCTCGCTTGATTCACACGCTAGTCTGTTTCAGGGCATAGTCATGTGATTCAGCTGCGCTCCCTGATTATGTCATCCTATCTGTATCTAACTTTACTTAGATCCCAGGCAATCATACTAAGTATACTTCTTGAAAAGTTCATGCTTTTTGGGTATAGCAGCATTGTGGCTGTTGTGAAATATTTTCTGTATTATATGTTCCCAAGAATATTCTGGTTTTTCTCTCAAGTGCTCCTCAATCAATGGTCTACCCGTTCACGGATGTTGGAAACAAGTCCCCATTACCTCGCAAAACTACGAGGATGTTGTCTGCTTTGTCACAACCACAGACTTTGAATTCTCTCCACTACCCGTGCTAGGTCGTATGAAACGCTCAATCTACCTCTCTGCATACTCACGCTTCCCGTATCTCTTTAAAACAAGCATTCATCGGATTAATATGTCAAACGATATGCCATTGACATGAAATGGCTAAGTCAGTCGACCGGAGATTTAAAGCGATCAAATAAAGCAAATGGAATACACTTCTACCCCAACGAACAATGGATCATGACTGGACCTTTCCAAGGCTACGCCTTAACGCTACCTCCGTTGTTTTGCCCACCTCACTGATCAACGCGCGAAATGGCTGGCTAAAATTGTACATGGCATCGATTTCACCACACCTACAATGTATGATTTAAAGTGCAACTCTGGATGATGTGAGGTCTATCAATTGACCAAATGTCCCGTCGTCATCCAGAGGCGTACAAGACATCGATATGGTGAAGCTGGGAGCCTTTTTTGATCCAATCAGGCTGAACACTGCCTGCAACGGATGCAAGTGGTTTAACCAATTTTTATCTGAACGGTAAATATGTAATCATCCAGATTCAATATGCTTAAAGTCAATTGTGACCGTTGTACGGAGTACCCCGTTGTCTTTTAGGAATAATGACCGTCAAGCTACATGTAGTCAATTTGACTGCAACTTTTAGCGAAGATAGTTCGTTAAATATCTTTGACTATTGTTATCATTCTATCAACTGAAGTACACGTATGATCGGCGCCAGTTTCTACTAACTTAAATTCGTGTCCTGAGTACACCAGAATGGCATCAAGATCGGTGGGAGAAACATCATTCCGCACTTGTCCGTATGTACCGAGTATAATTTGGTGGCTGGAAGTAAATTTTATTATAAACTGAGACGGGAATTAGCGTGTCTGGGGTATACAGATTCGAGCAGGATCAGCAGGTCGCTTAAATAGTGTTTGATGGATATTTTATGCACATTATTATATGAATGGATGAAGTCTGTGCTCAAGCCCGGTTACCGACATGGTCATGTACTCCGTATTGATAAAGCTTTACTCAATTAAGAGTGTATTCATCCAAAAAGGCAGGGGAACCAAAAGGTGTTGACGATCATTGGGCGCCAGCGGTACCTGGGACACGCCCGGAGCCAAGACGGCCTGCGGAAGGCCTGGTGCCGGATATCCGATCAGTTCTTCAAAGGGCTTTATTGCTTAAATCAGTAACTCCGCTCGAGGGATGGATGCATTGTACGATGCCGATCTGTTGATCTTGATGGGTTGTCTGTGCTCTGGTGAGTGGATATAGCTTTTCCGGAGCAAAGTGTAGGTGGGGACGGGCGACGTTTATCTCAATATGTTCTTGAAATCAAGGTACTCTATACTTTGTACGGAGTACATCATTGTAAATTGATTGCTAAATGACCTGTGACCGTATGATCGTAGACCGAGATTCCGGGGTACACGGCAAGCTTGTGAGACCAGCCCTGTCAGCTTCATGCAGGCGGGAGGGGGTTCTTCAGCCCTCCAACCCAATCAGCAACGAGCCAAGATGCGTCATCTGATAGCTTCAACGTACTATTGAAGAGAAAACTTGTCTTCGGATATACTATGAGCAAAAACGAGAAGAAAAGCATTACTCAGCCGAATGTCCGGGTGCGTGTCGTCAAAGTGCGTGTCGTCAAAGTGCGTGTGCGTTGTGGAACCCATCAGAAGCCGGAAGGCGGCGGATGGGCGATCCAATTCTAGCCAATGAATGTTCAACTCATGATCGCCGGGGTCGTCAGATGAGAGAGCAGATTCTTCTGGGCGTTCTTTTGTTCCTGCTTTGGATCGTCCAGCCAAAAGAAAATCTACCCATATTGGCACAGCTTCCAAGGTTTCTCCCTTGGATCCACAGAGTCATCCACACTTCGTAGTGAAGCTATAGGAACACAAGCCCCGCCACAGGAAATGATTCGATGGTCTGAGATCCGTATATCCTGATTCTCGGGAAATGTCTGTAGTTCATTCGAATATGAATTCAAAGATGGGACTGGAACTCGTATTTTGGTGGCTGGGAGGCGGGATAGCTCTAGGGGGAGATTATAATATTTGCCTGGCCAGTCCAAGAGAAGCCAACGTCAGCCAACACCAAATTCAACCCTATGAAACGTGAGATGAGGCTCCAAGCTACAGGGATCTTGCCCCCCTGTTCAGCTGATGTGTCAAGAACGAATCAATGGGTACTTGAGTAGTTATACTGTACGAAGTACATTTTTCACTGTCTTTACACCCTGCTAGTCGGCAAGCTATCCAAAGCTTTATTTTTTGCTTTTCTCAAGGGTACCATCATCTTCATGTGATTCGATCCAACGCTTAATTCAAAGTTTGCACGCAAGTGAGCATGCCTAAAGGCGGTAAATCACAAATCGTGTCTGTATATGATTCCTCGTGCCCTTGGCTTTGACCTCATGCCATTCAGTGCCTGTGCATTCACGGTATTTTTTCGGATGTAAAGGCCAAACCTCCTTACGGCTCGGAAACCGGACAAGTGAATGACCGAGACAGGGATGTAAAAGGCAGCTCCCACAAGCTGTTGGGCCAAGATCTACTCTATAAGGCGGCCTATGTGTGATTAGTGGATCACTGATTGGGTGGAGACACTTCAGGGATCATCCGATGGGGACCGAAAACCCATGCAGAAAGGGTTCATCTAAGCTGATTGAGATGAAAATCGAGATGAAAGAGGATGGTGAGGGTCAACTGAGCATACGATCTCTATCGTCATATAAATTTGAAGAGATTGGAATCTTGGAACTGTTGCCTAAAATTTGGGAAAATGATTTCATACCTCAATAACGTGTCTAGTCCTAGCGGTGTAAGGCGGGATGAAGGAGTCCCAACTGGGCAGCGATCGACTACGTCATTAGGGCGCTTACAGTGCAAAAGTTACATCTGCCTACAAGTGAGAAAATTTGATCAAACATGCATGTAGCTCCACTTAGTTCTTGACGCTCTAGATTCTCGTCCTGGTAGGGAAACCTTGGAATGAGGTCATTTTTGGTCCCAAGGGAGCTTTCCGACTCATCCGAAAGATTTTTTTTTTTTGATTGGTAATTGAGTGTATAGCTCAGGAATGCCAAGATTTGGGTTTTTCCCTCTTAAATCCGCGCCCCCTAAGAGTACAGAATACATAAGTCCATTACAGAATTCAACGCATGTGCAGATCCCTGCTGGTCCAGTAGAGATGCATAGGTTCAAATATTCAAAGGGAGGGGCACGGGGCATACTGTGAGACCAATATATAGAAGATAGCTTCAATATTCCAAGGTTCCAAGGTTGAAGATCGGATGCTTGTTTTGAGCAATAAATTTGAATGACACATAATATACCAGGGACGGGATCTCGGAGAGTGAATCATGGGAAAATTCGGCACACGGAAGTATGGATTTAGTGAGTGTTGTTGCCACGCACCTCTCGGCGCCGGTTCTTTATCCCCGAAAAGCGTTGGAAACTCGCGCCGGCGAGGGAAAATAAAAAAAATAATAGAAAATTTCCTAATCCTGTAGTCATAATCGGCGCAGGTTCCGGGAGGTTCGCTCTTTTGATCTTATTAATTCCCTGCAGCCTGCCCCGCTGAAAGCGAGGCTCTCTTTATATACTCTATACAGCCCACCCACATATACTCGGTATACTTCGCTTTCAGCCCTACCGCAGATTTTAAATCGCCCTGATCTCCTATCCCACAACCAAGCTTAACTTGTTGCGGAATAGGTCTTCTCCCGACCTTCTCAAGCTGGTCATACTGTGAAAGGGAAAAAGGCTCCAAAATCCAGACGGAAGCGTTCATTCTCCTCCGGGTTGGCCGTATCGTTACGTCACGATTTGCGAGAGCTTCACCTTGCGCCGGTTGGAGCTCTAGCACAACTCCCCTCCTTCGTAACTATAGCGCATTTTCACAGTAGCTGGAACAAACTGTGAGAGTCTATTTGATCTCAATGCGCAACACTGCTACTCGAGTCGCATTCGCGGCGGTGTTTCTCGCATCGCTTGCGACTGCGCTTGCACATGGAGACGATGAGTCGATGAATATGGACATGGATATGAATATGGACATGGGCATGAATATGAACACGCAAGCGAGTACCACTACAACGGCCACAGCGACTCCATCAGCTACAGGGCAGGGTAATGCCGTTATGAGCTACTTTGCCTATGGGAAACACTCCAGTTCCATCATTGCGCATGTTGCTCTTATGGTTCTGGGCTGGTGCTTCGTCCTCCCGGCAGGTAAGCACCATATCCTAGACTACAATTGACCACCAACTCACAATTGCTCTTCTACGACAGCTGTCATGCTCAGCATTGCGCGCTCACGCCTGGCCCTTCCTTCACAATTCCTATTCCTGGTTTTCAATGCCGCCGGACTGCTTCTCGGCATCGTCTATAACAGCCAGACCCCCGATCTGTACAAGAACAATGCGCACCACAAAATTGGCTGGATTGCCACTTGGGTGTTCAGTGCCCAGGTCATCCTCGCCCTCATTTTCGCATACGCTGGACGTGGTGAATCCAAGTCATCCTCGGCTTCATACGAGCGCGAGTCTTTCCTGCCCCTTCCAACGGAGCAGATCCACTCATATCCGTCTGCTCCGATGCATGAATACCGCTGGTCTGCAGATAGTGGCCAAGGGACGGAGCCCAGTTCTTCTTGCCACTCTCCATGCGAATCTCCGACGGATGATGGTTTCGAAAAGCCAGAGGATCCCCTGCCTGCGGAACTTCCCACGCGGAGCTGGTTCCACAGTAGCTTCGTGGACCGTTTCTTGTCCAACCGCCTGCCGGGATTGGTCTCCAGTCGAGTACTCCGGATCTTCAGTGCGGTATACAACGTGGTCGATCGGATCATCCTACCGTTCGGGTTTGTAGCCATTGCGACGGGTGCGGTCACCTACGGTGGTATCATGAGACGCAAGGAAATTTTCAATGGCCTGGCCCACTTCATCAAGGGTGGTATCTTCTTCTGGTACGGAATTCTCACCTTGGGACGCTATATGGGTTGCTGGGCCGATTTGGGCTGGGCTTGGAATAAGAAACCGGGAGCGCCCATTGTGAGTAGATGGAAGGCCAAGGTCCCATCAGCAGAGTTTGTCGAGTCTCTTGTTATCTTCGTCTACGGTGTCTCCAATGTTTTCTTGGAGCATCTATCCAGTTGGGGTAAGGCCTGGGGCCCGGCGGATCTAGAGCACGTTTCGATCTCGATCATGTTCTTTGGAGGTGGCCTGGTAAGATTGAACCTCTTGACTTGGATTGAGTTTTTTCTTTGGCTGACGATAATCGACTAATTTAGCTTGGCATGCTCTTCGAATCCAAGCGCATTCGCGAAGCGCTTAACATTACCATCATTCGGTCCCCTGCTCATGGTACTCGCGACGAAGCGTGGCAGCTTCCTCGCTCGCAAGGGGTGTCTCTCAACCCGATGCCGGCCCTCATTATTCTGCTGCTAGGGATGATGATGGGATCGCATCACCAGACTAGCATGACCTCAACCATGGTTCATAAGCAATGGGGTAACATGCTCGTCGGTTTCGCTTTGGCTCGTGGTATGACTTATGTGCTCCTATTCATGCGCCCACCTACTTCCTATCTACCTGCACGTCCACCTACGGAGATCGTTGCTTCATTCTGTTTGATGGCTGGAGGTCTTATTTTCATGCTCAGTGTAAGTTTTATATATACTCCTGCATTAACTTATCTAAACAAACGTCAACAGACACGGAACGTGATCGAAAGTATGGAATTCTACGAAATGGATGCGATGTTCACCTTCACAGTGGGCATGGGATTCACCGCCTTTATCATGGCTCTTGAGGTTTTGTTCATCGCGCTCAAGGCGTGGGCTACGAAGCGGGAGCAGCGCTCTCAGGTCACGTATCGCTTCCCGTGAAGGAATCTCTTACGCATTTTTCTTTCCTGCTCATGATACCCCGTCACATTTCTGCGGATATAAAGGGTTCTCTGGACATGATGCCCAACCTGGAGATAAACATGGGTGCGAAAATTTCGGACCCTTGATGCTTTTTTTATGTTGTTTTTTCTGGTTTGATGATTAAGATTATGGATTAATGTGGTAATAACGGTGCATGATCGACCTACTCAGGTACTTTCGGATGGAATGATAGTATCTCATAATGAATATTACAATACGCTTCTCACTCGACTTGGATCGAACTGAATTGAACTTGCAAAGATTTATAAGCTTGTAGACGGAGATAGTCAAACTTTAACGCCGAACCCGTGCCGAGAACCGAACGGCAGAGCTATGACTTCACGAAGAAAAAAGGGGGAAAAAGAAAGAAGGTACCGTACAGCATAGATAATTGCCTGTTTCTACAAAATCAGTATTTAAGAGCAGGGATCGGTGTATCTATAGATTATATGCGTAATTGGACGACACCGCTGTACTATGGGTTAATTCAAGCTTTGTAATGACATTGAGGGGCAAGCCTCGAGACTGGGTCGAGTGGGTCTTGCCTTGGACAGAGGGGTTGAGTAATGTATTTTAACTTGGCTTTTTCTTCTTACTCTGTGATACCCTCCCACTTCAAAATCCTTCCAAATACCAACCAACAAAATGGCCTCCAACCCTCCCTCTCAATGCTGCGCCACTGGCTTCAAGCACGAAGGCACCCCTGTCGGCGAGCTCAAGACCATTGACGGTGGTAGGTTTGAATTAGACCCTCCCCCCTCCTTCCCCCCAATCAATGCGTCTGAGATTAGCTAGCTGACCTCAATTCCATCTACAGTCAACACCTACATTGGTACTCCCAAGAACAACCGCAAGCCTGATACGGCCATCCTCTACCTGTCCGACATCTTCGGCATCTTCCCCAACAACCAGCTTCTTGTTGATGAGTTCGCCAACAATGGCTACCTGACTGTCCTCCCTGACCTATTCGCCGGTGGTCAGATCAGTGCCGATGACATGGATAAGGGCCGTATCAACATTATGGAGTGGCTCAAGGACTACCAGCCCGAGAAGGTCGACCCCATTGTGGCCGCCACCATTAAGTACATGCGCGAGACCCTTGGCGTGAAGAGAATCGCTGCTGTCGGCTACTGCTTCGGTGCCCGTGTATGTCCCACCTCCCATTGTTCTTCCAGAGTATCCCTGAATACGTAATAATTCATCAATACTGACAATTCCGGGCTTTGGTTTAGTACGTCACTCGCTTCCTGAAGGTTGGCAAGATCGACGTTGGTTACCACGCCCACCCCACCGGTACCACCCACGAGGATCTCGCCGGTATCGAGGGACCTCTGTCCATCTCCGCTGCTGGTATGTTTGACCACACGACTTCAAGATCGAAGAGAGAATGGCGCCCCGGCTAATCAAAAATCATTTAATAGAGATCGACTCGGCCTTCCCTGCCAAGCTCCGTCACGAGTCCGAGGAGATCCTGGCTAAGACTGGCCAGGAGTGGCAAATCAACTTGTTCAGTGGTGTTGTTCACGGCTTCGCCGTCCGCGCTGATCTGAGCGACTCTAAGCAGAAGTGGGCTAAGGAGCAGGCTTTCTGCCAGGCTGTTACCTGGTTCAACCGCCATCTATAGAATCATGCATGAATATGTTTGATCGAAGGTTATAGAGGCATCAGTGGCTGAGATACTCACATCTTTTCATATATTCTGGTGCCAAGCAGCCCAATCTACACTTACATCAGAGTTGAAGGGCTACTCGATATGTTTGGTATTGAGATATAAAAATCATAATTAACCCAATCTCGGAACATTATCGATCATTCAAGGTGGACCTTGAATAGTTCAAATTTGCTATTTAAACATAATCTGCAGTAAATTTCACATTAGTATTGTGAACTTCTGCATATATTGTCAAAGGTAAAGCAGACATACATGCTCATTCAACCTTATGTTTTTCCAAGGTTTATATCATACTGATAGTTTGGAATATCTGAACTTTACATCTTGATATAGTTCAATTATAGTTCGTTAGTCTGATGCTGTGACTAAGATAAAATCCTTCCTAACGAGGATTAGCGGGGATCGACATTTCGATTTTCTTTACGTTTACCATCGAGTCTTCGTATTCTTATCCCGAACTTGTTGGCTGTTTTTATCTTCTATATTCTTGGAGGTTTCTTTTACCTCGCAGTAGTCTACGTTGAACCGCCTTTCGTGGTCGGTTTGATATTAGGCCCTTCCTTTCCAGAAAGTCGCGTTCTCGCACATAGCCGGGATCGCGTGCGCCTCGTGAGTTATCCGTTATCCCTGGCTATGCCTAATGCATCATGTGAAATTAACCACTTCCCCAGATTTTCGACCTCTCGTGTCTTTATATCGTGGACTTGTCCAACTATACATTCCTGTTGATACGTGGTCGCAAATCCCGCTACAAAAGCCAGCTTGTTCCGCCTCGATCCTCCGCTCCGCCCCGTCGATTCCAGCAAATACCCAACGCCTTTTGGACCCAACTGGAAAACCGACCAACTCCCCGTGGCCGAAGATAATCATACTTGCTTTATTCTCTGCGATCCCTCTGTGGGAATTGATTCATTATGGCGACCCCGACCGCGTTGCCGCCGCTTCCCTTCAACCCGTCGCGCGTGCGATCATATCTCCTGCGGTTGCCACTATTCACGCGACTGGTGCTGTTGGTGATTCTTGTCTTCTGGCTATTGGAGTTCCAAACTGTTTGGAGCGTAGTGCAATGGGGATCTCTGATTCCCGACGAGATTAATTTCGGTACTAGTAAGTCCTCGTCCGAACACTACGGAAATGGCTCGATTCGGCTATCCAGGGCATTGAGCTGATGTTTCTCTTTCAATTATAGTGTACCGATTGAATACCTACCCTCTGATCCACACCGGATTTTTCCACGCAGCGCTGAACACCGTGGCTCTGACGCCGCTCTTGGAGCGATTCGAAGCCGAACATGGTACTCTTACTTCGATCGCCCTTTTCCTTGGACGTGGGTAGCCCTCGAGCGATACTGCGATGATGTTTAAATTTATTGATGACTTTCGGATTGATTAGCGTTGTCAACTCTTCCCGCGGGTTTCTACCTCTTGATTGAGAGGGCGATCTTGCATTGGAACACCCCGGTGGTGGGCGCAAGGTAAGAAAGCCACTGCAAAACTAGCTAGGATACACAGCAGATCTAACCGCATCTAGTGTCTGGGTGTTCTTGCTTTTGGGCTCCGAGGCCATTCGGACATTCAAGTCTCACCCGTACTTCAGGTTGGTGGAACTCCTTCTCAACCCCATTAACGATCATCACTAACATACTTTCTTTTGATAGTCTTGGTCCTTACAAGATTCCCACCTGGACATCACCTCTATTTGCCTGTGTTGTGTTGTCCATTCTTGTGTCCAACGCAAGCTTTTTGGGCCATCTTGGTGCAATTCTCGTTGGCTATCTCTGTAAGTTTTTCCTAACCGATATCTTTGAAGCATTTACTAACATAAACAGTCGGTCTTGGATACCTTAAGGTCTTTGTACCCCCAGAGAAGGTTCTGCGATGGATTGAGGGCAAGCTTAACCTCTTGGGTCGCCTGCCTCACTACGTGTCGGTGGATCAGAAAACATATGGCCGATATGGAGTACTCCCATCTTCCAACGCCGCTGGTAATGGAAGCCCAACACCCCTGACCTACTTGGGAGGTACGCAGCGCCTGGGCTCATAAGACAGTCCTATGACTATTTAATTTTATCCCCCGTATGTATATCTCTGCCATAATTCTTTGTTTTCTTGTACGTCAATTCTGGGGGTGCACCTTGATTGGGGATTCATGAGGAAAGGAAACGAAACGCATCTGTGGATCATCTCAGCATCGCCAATAAAGCATAGCGAATTTCATGTTGGAATATCTTCATAGAGACTATAATGTAGAGATTCTTGTGCTGTACTTCAGATTGTTGCGTGATTGGTCACTATCGTCGGGCGTAAATTCCCCGTAAACACCAGCTGGAGCTTCAATCATAGACTCCACCTTCTCTTACCCCAAACACGAATTCCCTTTGTTACGGAATGGGAAGGACATTGAGATTCCCTCGATGATCTAGAATCAATGGCGCTGAAATGTAAGTGAGCAAATCTAGCTACTCTTTGAATTGCTCCTGTCCCTTTCCCCAATATTGAACCCCATGCCAGAGACCGATCATGAAACTAATGCTTCATGCTAGCTGCGATCCGCAATTTGCGCAATAACCCTCAACTTCTCTTCGTTCGCCTGCCGCCGGTGCTATCGCTCCTTTGCATCGTCGTCGGCGTGGCCTGGCTCCTCCTCCTTCCCTTGAATGAATACTCCCGCAATACCTACATCTCCGAGAATGCGCTCTTACCAGGCCAAGTCCATGCATACTTCACCGGAAGCGAGCAGAATATCTTCCGCGGTTACAGACGAGAGCTGGAAGGATTACTGAACGAGGGTCAAAAGGGTGGGGACAGTCAAGATGAGGCGGAATTGACTCCAGCGTACGTCGGATGGACATGAGCGCATTGGAATCTGAACATGAAACTGATATCTACTCAAGGATCTCTACCAAAATCCAATCGATTCTTCAGGTTGCGGGCTTGAAGGTTGCGACGCAGAAGTATGAGTACACTTCGGCGGGGATCACCCACCAGGGCGAGAACACCTATGGCATTATCCACGCGCCCCGAGGCGATGCGACAGAAGCGATCGTGCTAGTAGCTGCATGGAAAACGGCTGATGATGAGTTGAACCTGAATGGTGTCACATTGGCTCTGACCTTGGCAAGATATTTCAAACGTGAGTATCATATGGTGTTCGAACGCTATACACATTACGGACCATTAACATGGAGTTCATCTGATAGGCTGGTCGCTATGGTCGAAGGATATTATATTCCTCTTCACCCCTGATAGCAAATCCGGAACCCAGGCATGGATTGATGCCTACCACGATCTCCACCCGGTATCGGTTCAACCACTTCCGTTGAAGAGCGGCGCCTTACAAGGTGCGCTTGTCATCGAGTATCCATTTGACCACCGTTTCAAGAACCTGCATATCGTGTATGATGGTGTCAATGGCCAGTTGCCGAATCTGGATCTGTTCAACACGGCAGTGGCTATTGCAGGAGGCCAAATGGGTATTGGTGCCAATCTGCAAGAAATGTGGGAGCACGATGACAGCTACGAGGCGCGCCTGCAGACTATGCTGCGTGGCATGACCAAACAGGGTCTTGGATACGCCACAGGAGCTCACAGCAGTTTCATGCCTTACCACATTGATGCCATCACTTTGCAAACCAAAGGTGAAGGCTGGGAAGATGAGATGGCATTGGGACGGACCATCGAGAGTCTATGTCGCAGCTTGAACAATCTTTTGGAGCACTTGCACCAGAGCTTTTTCTTTTATTTGCTAATGCAGTCCAATCGTTTTGTCAGCATTGGAACTTATCTCCCTAGCGCCATGCTTATTGCTGGGAACTTTACTATCATGGCGATTGCATTGTGGATGCGAACGGGCTATCATCCGGACACCAAATCCAAAAAGCTCACCAACCCCAAGCCTACAGAGAAGACCACCGATGCTTCGATGCTTAAAAATGCATCAGCACCGGAACCCAGTGGACATCCGGTTGCAGAGCGTCTGCTAGCTTTACCACTCACCCTGGTCACTGGTCTTCATCTGCTCGGTCTGGTCCCGCTCTGGACTTTTAACACACTTCCCCATCAGGTTAGTTGATGAAATTGTGAGGGTTGCCACGAGAAAATTTGTTTTGCTAACATGTCTCTAGCTTTTCACAACCGTCACCTACGCCTTCGTCGCCGTGGACATTGTTTTCCCTTTGCTTCTGGCCGCCCTCCTCCGTAACGGCTTGGGTCTATTCACACCCCTCGTTCCACAACAGTATCTTTTGATCAAATCATTTGCCCTGCTACTCTTGGGATTGTCCCTTTCCACCCTGGCAACCCTCAATTTCTCCCTCTCTTTCATGATCGGTCTTCTCTGTGCACCGCTCAGCTTCATCAACCGTCTGCAATGCACATCGGCGGCCAAACGGTACGCCTTTTCGGGCGCTGGATTGGTGTTACTTAACCTCCTTTCCCCACCAACCGTTCTTCTGGGCGTCTGTTGGTACACCGGCGTATCTGTCGAGACGGTCTTGACACAGGCTGCTTTCGGCTGGAATGTCTGGGGCATGTGGACCCAAGTCGTGGTATGGTGTGTTTGGTGGCCAGCTTGGTTGATTGGATGTGTCTTGTTGGGATCATCTATGTTCTAATGTCGGATGTTCTATGCCGCAGTATAATCTTAGCCACACACCGAGGTGGCAATGCACTCTGTGGAGTCCATATGAAAAATACCAAAGATTTAAATATCAAGACGTATCCATCACTGGGGAGTACAACCACAGGCTATTCATTCATTATAGATAAAAGCGGTTTAAGACACTAGAAAACCGTCTATGCAGCCCAGACGTCCTTGCCCACTCCCTCGATCCAGTGTCCCAGTTGATTAACACCGGCATCCCAATCCTTCAGGCGATTCCGCATTCCATCGATCTGTTTCATATCCAGAACCTTGGGCTGCACCCAATGAATGTTAGCCACTTGTCCCACCTGATCAATTGATCCCTTGAGCAAACCCAGCGACAAGGCCTTCATAACCAGGTGCTCAATCTCATCAGGCTGTACCTTCGTCTCCGAGGCAATAGCCGCGAAGGCAAGGGAGCGGTCGTGCGGGGGACGTCGGAACACCATCTCAGTGAGTGCAGCGAGGGAAATCTTCTGGTACAGGAATACCCGGTGTGACTCCAGTAGCTTGTTCTTGCTAATGTGACCAGCCAGACCATCGTAGGCAGTCAAATCTCCACGGTTGAAGGCGAAGAGAAGATCACGTAGCCAGTTGTGGGGTGTGTTGGTCAGGGAATCCAGAATTGGGTGCAAGAGGAGCTCGCCGAAGTTGTAAATCGAATCGGAGACAAGAGCAGCGACGCTAAGGTTGTAGGCGCGAGAGACACGCTCGGTTTCGGGAAGTTCTTCCAGATCAATGCAAGCCAGGTAGAGGAGGGCGTTCTTGTAGAAGGATGCGAATTCTTCCTTGGCCTGGAACAATGTTAGTATTTAGTACCTTTGGCTTCGATTTTCTCTTCATTTTAACTGCGGAGACGTACGTGATAATAATCGGCGTTAACTTTGTAGAATGACGCATGCACGACAGTCTCGACTGAATCGAACGAGTCCAGCGCCGTTTGGCAAGTTGCCAAATCCTTCTGGGCCCCATCGAGATCTGGTAGTCGTAGCTTGGCATTGGCGACATCGGCGAGCGCATAGACATAAGCGTCTTGTGATTCGGGCTTGTTCACTTTGCCCGCGAGGGATGTGAGGAAGGCCAATCGTTCCTTGTCATCTATCGTCCCCGCACAGGTAAGCAATTCGTCGAACAACAACAAAGAAAGAGCAGTCATGAAGGCTGCCTTTTTTTCAAGACCACTTACTAGCACATTCTGTCGATGCCATCAACCCCAGCGCGACGAACTTGAGTTGGTTGATACGGTCGGCGAAGCTGAGCACAAAGGTCTTGAAGATGGCTAAACGCTGAGGCGCGCTCGCCGGCAGGCGGAAGAACTCCACTAGAGAGTCTGTGAGTTGATGCCATAGCTTTCGCTCCCAGTACTCTTCGAAGGTCAGGAAGTAGGTTTGCGTCTCGGGGGTGCCATTTGCTTGCTGTTCGGCAAGAAAGTCGGGGATTTTGGAATCCATGGCGGGGATATGTGGGAGGATTCGATGGAGAAGACTCGGTTGTGATGAGAGGGGAACACCACAATGAGGAGGGTCGTTAGGTGGGGAAATAGAGAGATGCTAGATGGGAAGATGGGGCTGACGGAAGCTGTTGATGATGTCTTTTTGGCTGCAGCTTCGGGCGGTGAAGGAGCTTGGACATACCTATGTCAACAGCACTTAAGTACATTTATTACCTTACCCAGAGTAGCTTAACCTTGAAAAATGTAAATGTTTACCGGTGAATAGAGCACATACACTTGGTATTCCTAGAGCCAAATGATCATCCAAGATTACTACCTGTTTCCCAGATTCAAAAGATGTGACTTGTTTCGATCCTCCGAGGCAAAGCAGCCATGGCTGAAGTGAAAGAACCTTATGAGTTTGTATTCATTTTCTTTGTGGATATCGGAAATATTTCAGGAATACTCAATCGAGATGTCTCCGATCTGCAGGCCGAGGTCACCGAGGAAAAGCATATATAAATCTGTCGCAGGAAGTGTCCGAAATGTCTCCGAGACCACGGGCCTCCCAATATATAGTGCAACTTCATCCATGTATTCCCTCTCCTGCATACTTCCTTTCCTTCAACATTCCTTCAGTAATATCTTGACAGGATCCTCGAACCTCTCCTGTGCATCCTTCGAACATTTCAATTCCTATCCAAAGATTGTTCCTAGTGCTGGATCGCTCTTTCTACAATGTCGGACTTTACAGAGGCAAATCGGAAATATTTCGAGTATGACATCAAACAAACAATTTGAAGCGCATACATAGGCGACTAACTATCATCGCAGTCAGCTAGCAACCACATACGAAGATAAGTTTGCCGATTCGATGAAAATGCTTTCCGAGCAGACTTTACAGTATAGACTCTGGATCAGTGATCAGTGGACCGACACTGTCAACCAAGATCAAGAGATCAGAATGCTCGAGTACGCATGTGGCCCGGGAAATATCTCAATGGTATGTTGACTGAAATTTGATGATAATATCCCTCGATAAACTGATAAAAATATAGACCTTGGCACCCTTTCTAACCCAGGTCATCGGCATTGACGTCTCTGAGAATATGGTAGAGAAATTTAACCACAATGCTGGCCTTCTTGGACTCAAAGAAAAGGTATTTGGTCATAAAGCTGACCTCCTTGCTGAGAATTCTCCGGTTGAATTTGATGCGCCGCCATACACCGACGTGGATGTGCTGACGGTTAGCATGGCGTTGCATCATTTTGAGGACCCGGGTCTTGCTTTGCAGCGGTTGGGTGGCCGGTTGAAGAAAGGTGGCGTGTGCTTTATCATCGATTTGGTCTCACACTCTGGGCATGATCATAAGCATGGGTTTGGTGACGCGGCTCACACAGTCAAGTCCCATGGGTTTTCTCAAGAGAGCATGCAGGAGTCATTCCAGGGGGCTGGATTTGAACACATTGAATACAAGGTCCTCGCTCAGCCGCTGGTATTTGTGAGAGATGGAATCAATGTCTCTAAGACGGTTTTCATTGCTCGTGCCCAGCGGGTTTGACCTGGTAGCGATAGACAAATCATGTTAATTAGAGAGGAGATTATTCCATTAAAAATATTGATTTTTTTTATTTTTATTTTTTCAAATTTCGAAACGAAAGAACGAGAAATTTCACAAAGCTGTGCTCATTCCCAGTCCCCATCGAGGACAATCTCCTCACCCATCTCCAAAGCCTTCAGCAGTCCATCAATAGTCCACGGCTGATAGACATAGCCGGGAGGAATGTTGGTATTATGAAACGCACTCCCACCGGCCAGATGTGCGAGTGCACTAGTGTAGTTTTCGATCGCGTATTGCTCTGGATCATGCTGCCAAATCCAAGTACCAAGTAAACCGACTGGCTTTGTCTGCGACACTTTGGCGTTGGCAGAGCGATTCCGGATCTCATGGTTGAGCACGCCCAACAGCTGCAAGCAGGCGACGCGTTCAAATTTGTACCAACAAGTCAGCTTTTTTTCCCCCGCAAATTGTCGCTGACGAACCTAAGCTTGTTATGAACCCGAGTTGCCCAGGGCACATTATCTTTCCCTGCAATATGCAAGCATGTTGCAAGCGAGATAGCATCCTCCATTCCCTGTGTAGCACCATTTCCAGAGGACGGAAGAAAAGTGTGGGCTGCATCGCCGATTTGAATGACTCGCCCAGTGGAAGAAGTCCAGCAAGGTTGAGGTTCACGCCACATGAGCTTGAAGTCGTGAATCTGGCTCTTAGGCGTTGCCTGGATTAATCGGTTCGCGTATTCGGGCCATCCCTCGATCGTGGCTGTAGTTTGGAGGACAGTTTCGGGGTCTACCATGTTTGACCATGATTCCGTGCTTTTTCCCCGGTTCTGAAAATGCATTAGTGAATTTACAACACGAATTGCAAGGTGTTCATTGTGCTGTACCGGATATGTGAGATACCATGCCATCTCATCATGTGTTCTGCCGAAAAGCGCATGCACGCCATCACTACAGTCAGTCAGATTTGGTCATGAACCAGGCAAATTGGAGTGAAACAAACCCAAGCCAAAGTTGCCCAGAAGGTATGCCGGACTCTAAGAGTGGAAATTTATCTTCGAAATCAGGATCTGCGAGAGCCAGATCAATTGGACAAGAGGCTCGGTAGATCGAGAAACCTGTAGTACGAGCGCGGACTTCATGGTTTAGCGTCACACTCGAAGATATGCTTCCGATTCCATCAGCAGCGATGACCATGTCCGCTTCAAGCCTCTCGCCACCTTGGAGAACAAAACTGGCTTTGGAGTCATGTGCTCATAGTATTCAGTAACCTGTTTATCATATTCAATCGTGATTCCGATCCGCTCAAGTTGATCCGATAGCATTTTGTGCATCTTTGGACGACTGTGTCTGTATATCTTCCTGGGATACTGGCTGTCCTGGTCTCCAGCATTCACCTTTGGAGGATTCAGTTCGAAGGGCTTCGGGCCTGAGATCATTTCTCCTGTGATCCTATGCCAGGAAATCCATGGTTCGTACGAGATAAGCTCGTTTTCCTCGGCCATTTCTGGCCATTTCTGCAGCACACGGATCGCGGTAGGGCCGATAGTAAACGAGTCGCCTATGAATTTGCCTCAGCCGGGTTTATGGTTCAAAGTTGTACAACACCGTGGATTTGTTTACCTGACGATAGCCGCGATGGGCTTCTTTCGAGAATTCGCACATCGTGTCCTTTGCGCCAACACTCGAGACCAGCCAGCAAGCCAGCTACACCACCACCGACAATGAGAATAGAGATATCAGATGATGGTGACCTCGCGGGCAACCTGTCGGAAGTATCACTTGTGTGAGGCGGTTGTGTGGCATTTCTGGCAAACTCGGAGCTCAGAAGGGTGCACATGATTCCAAGTTGGAGAGTAGATCAGATGAAGTATTGTAATATTGGATGAAGTGAGCTTCAGGGGGTAGATATTCTTCTATTCAAATAGACCTCAAGCGGTTTCATGGATTGAAGTCGGAAGAACGGAGTACCGCTCCGATGGGGGCCAGGATCTATTACCCTGTCCCCGTCAGAAATATCTCGGAGTAAGACTTGGGGTGTCAAAAGCGCTCGGAATCTCCCCGTAATGACCATAGGGAAACAACGCATCAATCGGCATATTGAGGAAAAAGCTGAAATCCGGTGGTTCTAGAGGTGCTTGTGGATTGGCTCTCTCCTGAGCCTCCAGCCTCTTTCGGTGAACCGCTTTCATTATTTGCATTCTCGAAACCACTCTTTCAATAATCTCAGGTGGCTCTAAGTACTGGCTATTTTGGTTTACCCGCGAAAGAAGAGCTTGACCATCTTTCATCTTCCGGGCTAGATTATCAGCAGTCTGGTCAAGGTCAATAACGCTTCGCACATAAGTTCGGTCCCAGCCAATCTTTTCACCCTGGAAAAGAATCAGTCGGGATAATGTGACCATTGCGAGGCCAGACTGGCACCAGACCGTGAAAGGGAAGAAGGGAAAATATTCAGATGGAACGGAGTGGAGGTCGAAGAAGAAGGACTTCACTGCCTCTAAGCAGCGAAAGAGAAGATCCAACCGGGTCATCGAGTAATCTCCAGGCTGGAACTCAGAGAAATTATCACCCAGGGAGACTCGATATATGATAATCTCGACCATATGGTAATGCATTGATAACAGGGCTGCGTGATCGATGATAGAAAATCAGCATGAAAAAAAGAATTGAGGTAGATTCATACACTGACCTGAATAAGGGACTCCGCAGGAGAACGATTTTTTGATTTGCTGAAGCTCTGCCTGCTGACCTCGCACTATCAGGCCAAGCGGAGTAGAGAGCACTGCAGAGGAGCCTAGCTCGCTGGTGGACGTTGTATGGTGAACCTTGTCAGCCAGATGCACCACTCGTATGAGTTGCACAAGGTAGGCATCTGCAGGACATTCCGAAGCCTCCTGTAATACATCACAGCATTCTTGCGTGTATTGTGTAAAACGAACAGGCTCCATATCTCGCACACATATAGAGAACCTAGTCTGTAAGTATATAACAGGGTCAAAATGCTTTGCGAATGCACGTACATCACGCTAATATAATAACATCCAAGATATATCCGACGTTCCTCCAAAGTTCGGGCGGGGATCTGATTAGGCTGGAAGTCGGCCGCTCTCAGATAAGAAAGAGGTCGATCGAGGCTCCTCAAAGCCGCTATCCCTTTATTTAAATTCAGACTGATGACTTGCGCCATCGCCAACTGCGTAAACACGTCAAGTTGTGCGCTCTGAGCTTGAAACTGGGGAGCAGTAGTGTGATTGGTAGCTTGTGAAATTTGGCGCCAGTCTGGAACGTGGCAAACAGTAATGAACCAAGACAAATAAACGAGAAGACCCTGCAGGAGATCCATGCTATGCTCGCCTCCTACCACGATATGTTCTGCAATATACTGCTTGACTGTTTCCGAAATTTCATGCTGACGCGGTGCATGTTGACAAGTGACCATAGTGAGATTCAGATAGAGAAACGGCCGTTCTCGACGCAATTTTTCTGCGGTAAGATGTTCGGGGATGAAAATGAATGGGAACAAAGGAATAATTGATTTCCGCACAATGTCCATAAGAGCCTCATCCTCTTGCACTGACGCCGCATTATCCTCTTCTGGGTGAGCTGAAGGTTGCCGTGGCGAATGACTAGCGTGGGATTGAGCTTCCCTAGATTTTTCTGACGCAGCAAGTAGTTCAACCATTCGGTCTAGTTTTGCCTCTAATACTGAAACCTCGCTGATTATGTCAATTAGCAAGCTGTCAAAATAAGACTTAAAGTAGAATACACACAGGTTCTCCTTGGCAGCCCTTGGACGACGATGTGATCCAGGGGTCTGACCACTGCATTCTTTCTTTAGGCGATGGCATCTATAGAATTTTAATTGGTGCTAAGTTCAAGTAAATGTCAAATCACATACCGCTTGCAGACCCCATTTACCTCTGGTTCACATCGTACTTTGGCCTTGGCACAGGTTCTACAGGCCTTCGGCATCCGAGCTCCGGGGATTTCATCCATTGTAGAAAAGTCGAACGGGCTGTAAATCCAGGTCCCACTGCAGTGCGGGGTAATGTTGATTATCGGCAGCCGCTACCCTCTACTCGGTACGGAGTATCGATGGGTCAGATGGTGATCAAACGGAAGAAGCGGAAGCGGGAACGGAGACGCAATTTCTCGCGTTGGTACCATTGAGCTTACTTTCCCCACTTATCCCGCTTCATCGCTACGAAGTCACGCTGTATTTGGAATGAAAATGAATAAGTGTTTCGTTATAGGAACTGTGCAATGTGACAAGCTATTTGATGTGAAAATTAACATCCAAGATATTAGGTGTGGCTAAAATACGGTTTCGAAGCGTTCCAAATGCCCCGAGCTCCTGTTGCAATTGCATGTCTTCCGTCGTACAGTGGGAAGATCACTACAGCACCGAAGGCAGCAAACTGCCAGATTATAGCCACCGTTGTCCAACCGGAGAAGAATGACTTCGTGAAAATATAATCCCGGTAGAGTGGAAGTGGCCAGACGACGACGGTGACAAGGAAGAGCACCACGAACGAGATGCATGCGATTTTGAGCCATTTTAAGAGCTCCTTTAATGCCGCATCGTCGAAAGGGTGCTGAGCATCATCGATGTTCGCCTGGAATATAGATAGCGATGGGGGTGATGCAGGTATTATTTTCTCTCCAAGGGCATCGATACGCTCTGGGTCTAGGACACGCTTGGGTTCGGACGGGGAAGTCACCGGTACGGATTTAACCGAGCTCGTGGGATCCTTCAGAGCATGCTGGGGGTATTCATCATTTGATTCAGCAACCCCGTAAAGTGTACTGGTATCCGATTTAGCGTGAAGCTGAGTTTCATCGGCCAATTCAATGCGGAGAAATTCTCGCCAATCAAACTGGTAGGGTTTGTATAGAGACAGCAAGACGGAATAAAGTGCCGGAGAGAAGAAGGATGCAATGGCTGCGTAAAGAGCAGGGTACTCATTGGATGTTGTATCAATATCGATGGCCCCGTACATCGACTCGGCTGTTGCTAACCAAACAGCAAGGCCAGTGAAGAATCCCAATATGGGAGACACGATAGCAGCGAGGCGGGTTTGACGAGACCAGAAGAGTGTAAGGATGAGAGGAATGATGCCAGGACATGATATGACAGGTCGCAGGTAGTTAATCCATGTCATATTCGCTCCTCCATAGTTCATCGCAATGGAGATTCCCGTTATAAAGATACCGTGAATGACAACTGTCAGATGACTGACACGGACAAGGTTCTTGTCAGTCACTTTAGGATTCAGGTAGGTTTTGTAGATGTCGTAAGAGAGGATACTGCTCACGGCTATCATAGACGACGAAACGGTGCTGGTGAGAGCCATGAATAGAAGAAAGAAGAAACCGATAATACCCTTGTCACCGAGTAGAGCCTTCAATGTATACGGCATCACCATACCCATGCTAACCTCGGTTGCAGTGAGTTCGCCAGGATAAGTTGGAAAAATGGGCGTGTTGTGGATTGCGCGAGCTGTCAATCCGATCACTGTTCCTAGACCCCAAGGAATGCCAAACACAGCGATCGCAGCAATGCTGTACCCAGGAACCGTGGCCCGGACTTCTGTTGCAAAGGACTTTTGCCAGAATGCAGTGTCCTGTTTTCCCAAAGATTAGCGTGATGAACAAAAAAAAGCTTTGTTTGATAAGGGTGATGTCTCACCATGACAACCAAAGCCAGATTTCCAAACTTCAAAATCAAGCCCCAGATGATGGCTCCTTTGGATTTGAAGGTGAGCAATGATCCTTCATAATTGCCAGAGATGTAGTTCTCCCCGGCAGTAGCAACCACCTTATCGTAGAGCCCACTCAATCCGCCCACCGCAGAATTGGTCAGTACCGACAGTGTGAAGTAAATTATGAGAATCAAGGCAATAGCAGTGTGAAGGTAATCCGTGAGGAACGTAGCCTTGAGGCCACCAACCGCTGTGTAGAGCACCACTTTGAAATACTCAGCGGATATACAGCAGGATTTGTTGAGCATAACATACCTCCAAGCGGGATCAGAATGGTTGCTGCCACAAAATTCATACCAGAGACACCGTAGATCAGTTGAGAACCGGTCATGATCATGGAGGCACAGCCAAAAACGTTGTTTACCAGATTTAGGACGATGAAAACAAGATGTCCGATTTTACCATATCGCATGCGCACAATCTCCAGCGAAGTATGTGCATACGGAACTCGAATCTTGGCCATGACACCGAGTACTGCCATTAATGCGATCTGGAAGCAAAGACCAGAGCCCCACCACTATGTTCTTGTCAGCGAGAATCCGTTGAAAGTAGAAGCCCAAAATACCAATGGAAGTGCCAATCCGTATCTGTAACACATTGCTGCGGCTAATACCGTCTCGTTGATCCACATCCATGATGAAAACACTGCCGATGCTGTAAGACCTGTGCCAACTGATCGATTGGCGACCATGAACATCTCGGATTTTCCTGAATCTTCTGAGAGATAGGCCCTTTGGACCTTCACTGCCAATAAGATGACGCCACAAAAGAGAACACCAAGGCCGACGAGAAGGCCATAGGCTGTCCCCTGAGGGATCAAGGTCAACTTGGCTGTATCTATTGTGTTGGACATGACTCCTGTGCTGGTTTGAGAGGCTTAGCAATATTCAGTCCAGATAGCTGGCCTGTCTCAAATAAACACCTCTATTACTTCGCTAGCAGACTAAGTAGGAGACTGAGTGGGAGATATAGTAGAAACATCAATTATCTCAGATGCCGTAAGTCTCTAGTACTTATATACTCAAGGGTGGGTTGAGTCTCCGCCCAGCTAAGATCTTCGAAAAACACGCGGAGTTCGAAGAATAAACCTTGGCAAGGCCAGTCGTCGGTACTTGCGTAGTTAATTCTGTTATTGCGTTATACATAAAGGGTGGATTGGCCTTTCTTCAGCGAAATATGTGATAGACTTCACCAGATGTATTGTAAGCTTCAGCAAGATGGCAAAAAAGGTGGAGGAGCTATGTGTCGTTGTAGTTACACCTCAAAACCGACAAATGAGATTCAATCTTCCGAAATGAAAGACTTGAAACGGAAAAGGAAAAGAATGGAATCGGGGGTTGCCACCAATGAGATACAGCTTGGATATTGCGTGCAATCATCACTCAATGACGATGGAATCGCTATCACGAACCAACGAAAATGCCACGAGATTACTCCGCACGGATTAAAGGTACCTGAAACATTTTTCGGCCGATAGAATCAAATATGACATTAATATCAAGAATAAAAATAGACGAAAGCGTGAACGATGTATCATTTACTGGTGTTAGTGAGTTGTCAACCTTAGGCTCCAGGCATCAATGCAATGCTTATGACCAAATCGGGATTAGCTTCGTGTGACCATAGCAGACTCAACTTTTCACTCTCATCATGCCTATCTTCATCGATTGAAATGAGCTGGAGCTGTTGCTTGTCCCACGTGGATTCGGCAAAATGTGTGCGGGCTTTTGTTTAGCATATATCTCGCAGCAAACTCAATATCGACTGTATCCCTGATCTCGATGATTTGAACATTGCTCAGAATATATCGATTTGAAAAAGTAGGCTCTACAGAAGGAATCTGATAACCAATGCCGGTTTCTCTTGCATTCAATGTTGAGACATTGATTGAGAAATCTGGTCGTGTCACAGATGTTGGACAGCCACGATAATGCTCGGACACAAGAGCGCACCCTGCGATCACTTAGCTGGTTACATAAGCTATATATACCCACCTGAATCATCCACAGATCCAAGTTGATTGGCCGTCGTATCAGCCTGCCTAGCGTTGTTGCTAACACCCTTCTAGATGGGCTATGTTTTTAGCGAAGCGGTAGGCAAGATACAATCACATGTGCATAAGCCGTTAGGTTCCAAAGACCCTGTGATTGAAGACGAAAACCTTGGAATTGAATCAATTTCTTATGTAAGTACAGTACGGAGACATAGTAAAGATTTGAGATCCAGCACTTGTTTACAGACAAGATCTGTCTGGGCGCCCTGTCAACGGATCCGACTCAAAAGTCTTGAGTCATCCGATAATCACCCTAATCTTCCTCCTAATGTTAAAAGCAGTTATGAATCTTTCAAAGATTACTTTGCGCCTCGATCCATGGATTATATATGGATTATGCCTGACCTGGAAGGTTGTAGCACGAAATATTTGGTTTACGCTAAGGTCAGCCCCACCCGTACAGGCGACCAGTTCAATATTTTCTTGATATTTTCTTGAAGTCCTCGATTTTCTATATCCATGATCTCTCTACATTTGAAACATTGCTAAAATGAGCGGAAACCCCGAGCTAACCTTCCATCTATTCTAATATTTCTCTTTATTCACAGCCATCACAGAGACAGTTGCACTTAAAGTAAGCGATAAGAGTTTGCCGAGCCCGCCCGGAGAAGTGAATAGCCGATGGAAAGCGGATCCTTTTACGAATATTAAGCATCAAAATTTATTGACACCCGCAAAGAAAGACGATTGTCGATCGCTATTGGTCCACATTTTATCCTGGGGCATTCCACACAATGGCGTGCTTTTGCGACAAGCTTAATCTGCGAGCTAGAAGCAAATTTTGAACTTGAGGCGCTTTTCAAAAAGAGCGGCGGGAAGAAATAAATACAAGCCGCTCGGAAGGCTCCGAGGTGGTAAACTTTCCCATCCTAAGCTTTTTGGCGCTGGCGAAGCTTTGTTCTCTAGCCATGGCACATGCTGATACCGTCGAACACGCGGGTGTTGTACCTGTGAAGCGCGTTTGGTACCGAACAACACTTTTCAATGCCTGTGTGATTGGTTTCGTTGGCTTCCTGGCTCCGGGGTTGTGGAATGCTATGAACGCATTGGGAGCTGGAGGTGAAGAGAAGCCTTATCTGGTCAATGCTGCTAATGCGCTGGTGTTTGGTTTGATGGGAATCTTTTGTTTGTTTGGAGCCCCGATCGCGAACCGCATTGGTCTCAAATGGGCTTTGGTTCTTGGTGCCACTGGATATCCTTTGTACTCGGCTGGCCTGTATACCAATAACCGATTTGGAAATGTCTGGTTCGTGCTTGTGGGTTCTGCAGCATGTGGTATTTCCGCAGGTCTATACTGGGCTACGGAAGGTGCCATCGCTATTGGATACCCGGAGCCTGGCAAGCGTGCTCGGTACCTTAACATTTGGGTGATTTGGTCGATGATGGGACCTATTGTTGGAAATTCGATTGTGTTGGGCCTCAACTTCACCACCGATGGATCGGGTAGTGTCGGGTACACTACCTACATTGTCTTCATTGCGCTGCAATGTCTGGCTGTTTTCGTCGCTCTTCTTCTATCACCTCCGGAGAAGGTGCAACGCAGTGATGGATCCGCCATCATTGTCCGTCCAGAGGTATCTTGGAAGGAGGAATTCAAGGCCCTATGGCGCTGCTGCAAGAACCGCAACGTCATTCTGTTGTTGCCCATCTTCTGGGCGATCTACTTCAACGAGTACTCGGGTAACTTCAAGACATACTACTTCAGTGTCCGCGCGCGCGCACTGATTGCCCTCTTGACCGACTTCGTCGCGGTGCTTGCTTCACAGAGTCTAGCGCTATGGCTGGACTGGAAGAAGTTCGACCGCAAGACCCGTATCAAATACGGATGGTACTGGGTTATTCTGGTGCATGTCGTCACCTGGATCTATGCTTGGGTCATCCAGTCGCAATACACCGCCAACCCGCCATTCTTTGACATCCACACCCCTGGTTTCACCAAGGGTGCCTTCACTCTGTTCCTCTGGCAATTCTCCCAGCAGACGGGTGAGAACTGGCTCTACTACATGGTCGGTGAAATGACGGACAATATGGCGGAGCTCACTCGGTTGACGGGTATTCTACGTGGCCAAATGAGCTTTGGCGAGGCTGTTTCATATGGCCTCAACACTCACAAATGGTTTGGTGGTCGTGCCCCGATGGCGGTCAACACCATTCTTCTAGGTAAGTCATAAAGCCATCCAGTATCTCAAGTCACAAGCTAATCCTTGTTTCAGGTCTTTGTGTGATTCCGACCTGGATTGTCGTTCACACCTTTGTCCCAGGCTATGAAGATGAGTCTGATCAGCCGACCAAGTTGGAAATCATTGTCAATGACAAAGAGAAAACAGCCCACGAGATCGGTCAAATCTCTACTCCTGGCGAGCAGTAAAAGCTGAATCGTGGAGCCCTAGTGTCTCAACACACTACAAAATTAATTATGTATTATGAGAGGCTATTGACCTCAGGAAAAATGGGGATTAATCATATTTGTAATTAGCGTCCCAAACCAGCTTCTTAGGGATGCCGGCTATGCCTTTAACATGCATAGGTTTGGATTTTATTTAATGGATATCACGAAGTCACATTTCCCTCTGCGTGTCAGTGGGTCTTGTCGATCAAAAATTTGTCGATCATGCTTGTTCCATATATGCTCCACATGTAGCAAGTTAATTTCAGAGGTGAGAAATGAACAAGGTGTTGTCTTCGACTGGAAAACGGTGGCGCACATGCGGGGGTGAAGAAAGACATCTGGCGCCACTGGAAACTTGGAGTTGTCGCATAAAATCTTAGTTATCCAAAATAATAACTTAGGATTTGGGGTTTGAAGATATCATATGATATTATGCTTGCTCAATCCAAATTATTCTTGCATCACAAACTATAATATGGTGCATACTATAACAAAGACCGTAGGTGTTCCGGAAAGGCCGTGAGTTGCCAAATGAACCTATATCTGAACTTATCACATCTTTCAAGGAAGCGAGTTGCAATCAATGGATTTGATTGGAGGAAATTGGGTAGTATGGAACAATGTGTACGGCACTAGTATTATCAAGCTTTATTATGTTCGCGCTAAACCCCCAATCACTACCCGTGAGTAACCTCCCAAACTATGTGGATGAAACCGACACGCGTTCAAGCTATTCCAATAACTGCCCCCATGAATATCTCCAAACTGAAATCTGAAATTCAGTACCTCCTGCTATTCTCTATGTCAATGTGGCGCTCTGAATGTTTCTGGTTTGCATGATGCACGCCCTAAAAATGGGAGATAAGAACCCCCGCATTTAATCAGTCAAGTCCTGCTTATTGGCGAAGAGACTATAACGGGCTTCCGTCGGAAATACAGCAAAGCGGGAGATTCGACGTAGCGCTAAATTAGCTTGTTTAATTTCCCTCCGCAATCGTGACAATCTTATTGGTTTTTCGTGGTGAGCATCATGTTCCCAACCCTGAAAGCTCATCGCAAATACTCCCAATGTCTGCAAGAGTAAATCAACTAGGCCAGATTGATACAATGTTCCTGAAGATAGTCTTTAGCGCCAACCCGGAGGTCCTGACGAAATGAAATTATCTCCAAACATATACCCCGCTTATGAATGGGATTATGTATTTAAGAGTCCCCAGTGCGTCTGGGGATTTCTTTTCTTCACTCGCATCTTTCCTACCAATTCACCCTCTCTTTCATTGTCAGAATGCTTCGCGTCGCTGGTCTGGTGGCTCTGTCCCTTGTGGCCCTGACGGATGCAGCTCCAGTAGAGCATGCCTCCGTCGACCATTTGGCTAGACGCACCGTCCAAAACCGTGGTGTGGATCTCAAGGTCAATACCTGGAAGCCGACTGCTCTTGCTGCCTCTAGTACCCTCTCCAAGTCCTCGAGTTCCATGAGCTTGAAGAAGCTCAAGACAAACCGTGCCAATCCCCGCAGTGCAGCCTACCTGAAGGGGTTGACGGGTAAAAAGACCACAACCTCCGGAAGTAGCGAGCTCATTTCTCTATTCGAGGGAGAAGAATTTGCGACTGCCATCACTATAGGTACCCAGGACTTTGACGTGATTGTTGACACCGGATCTAGCGATACCTGGGTCGTCGAGAAGGGCTTTGAGTGCATTGACCTTGATACTGGAGAGAAGACAACGACGGCAACTTGCGACTTTGGAACCACATACACTGTCGACAGCACCCTCAAGAAGATCTCCGGTGAGGAGTTTGAAATTGAGTATGGTGATGGTGAATACCTGTATGGTTTCATGGCCACCGAGACGGTCACCCTGGCCGACATCACTGTTGACCAGGAGATTGCTGTTGTCACCGAAGCTGCCTGGGAGGGAGATGGCACTACCTCGGGCTTGACTGGTCTCGCCTACCCTGCGCTGTGAGGTCGATTCTCATTGTTGTTGTGAATGCATGCTAATTTGGAAATGCGACAGGACGAGTGCTTATTCCACGAAGACGGATGAGCAGGAAGAATACAACCCCATCTTTACTACGATGTACGAGGATGGTTTGATTGATTCCTACTTCAGTCTGGCTATCCTGCGTGATGTCTCCGGTGATGCGGGCTATCTGACCCTTGGTGGTCTGCCTCCAATCACATTCAACGAGACTTGGACCACAACCGATATCCTGATCACTTCAATCACTGGCTACACAAAGGCTTACGACTTCTACACCATCAACATTGACTCTGTGGCAATCAATGGCAAGACCGTTTCCGGCTCGGGAGGTTCTACTTATCAATACATTGTAATTCATCCCTGCCATTCCACCTTTGACAGAAGTCGCCTGAAGAGATATACTGACATATGCTAGGTTGACTCCGGCACCACCCTGAACTACTATCCCACCTCCGTTGCTGATGCCGTGAACGCCGCATTTTCTCCCGCTGCCACCTATAGCGATGACGAGGGTGCTTATGTCGTTGACTGTGATGCCACACCCCCCACTCATACCATTACCATTGCCGGTACAGCCTTCACCATCAACCCACTTGATATGATCCTATATGCCGGCACGGATGACGATGGAAACGACGTTTGCATCACCGGTATTATGGATGGTGGTGATGATGCGTCTGAGGATGTTTACATTCTTGGTGACACTTTCCAGAAAAACGTTGTCACCGTTTTCGACGTTGGCGCAGTGGAGTTGAAGTTTGCGCCTCATGTGGATTACACCTCCAACGACACATACTAGTCTCGATTGAGTATCGCCAGAGAAGATGACAAATTGGACTTGGGAAGTAAATGAAACTTATTAAGTCAGGTGTCTCACAGTATTGTTTGTCAGTGGCGATTACCGGAATTTGGCATGTTTGCTCTTTCTCGTTTCCAATCCATGCTCACCACGACATGCTTGAGTATATAAGCAATGGAAAATCAATTTCAGTAGAAGCACTTCAGTGCCACTTGATTCAAATGAAAGTCATTCTACGTACCAATCGATGTGGTTTTTCCCGGTGCTTATATTTACATCCCCTTTACTACTTACCCATCTTATCGCCTGCTTCGTCGCCTACTCCATCTCCTATGGCACTTAGGACTCCCCCTAATGGAGGAATTCTGTGCCGGGTGTTCAACTTCTTGGAAGGTGATAGTCGAAAATGGCCAATTCGTCCTTCAGTATGAGATACATGAATGGAGGCTGAAGTGTGACAGATGTTAGTACATTCCAAGTGACTAAATGTGAAAATTAAGAGAGACTATGGAGTCTTTACGCAGGCAGCAGCCATAAAGCGTTTCTAGTTAGTGGATCCTGACATGTAAGATACCGAAAGGAGACAAATAATAGCGCCAACAGATACATCGCGACTTTAGACGTCGAAGTGAGAAGCTTATCCACATTTGCGAAACAAATTGAGCGTAATCCAAAGACTCCTATAAATAAAGTTTGGTAAATGCCGAGTTTCAGCGATAAAAAGATGGGAGCTGAGGTGGATAGCGAAAATCCACGTTAATCCTAATTAGGGTCGCCCAGCCGCGCGTTCACAAAATAGTTTAGCGATAATTAGAGCAGATCTTATTCTCGTTGAGATAAGATGTCAACAACTCGCGCTTCAATAAACATGAATATGCGGAATTCATCAATGACCACAAACACGCCCTTGCTGTTGATCCAGCCTACGCATACCCACCGAAGTTTTCAAGATTTATTTCGGTAATGGTAAAGAAAGACAATTGCACTAAGCTCAAAGTTGCTTAAAGGATATTTTTCTTTTGATATGCCAGTGACATCGGCATGAGCTTCATTAAAATTGTCAATCGTTGGAGCATACCCGGATTTCCTACTCTATGGAGCCAAGACCACAGCGCAAAATATACAAATTTGAACAAAGGCTCGGCTTTCAAAGAGCATCAGCATGCAGCATGGAATCCCCCGTGGCAATCCTTCCGGCGAAACCGGGACGAATGGGGGAAAGTACGAATTTGTCCATGGATAGCTGGTACTATCCTTGTACTGAATATAATCCTGGCGATTGTGGCAGTTGGAATTGGATACTCTAAAGAAGCCAACAGAGGTCAATTCGAAATGGTCGAGTTGTATCAGGGGAGTTGTGATTCATCTAACAGGATGGCGACAAGATCAATGTTCTGAGTACGTTACTACTGGGTCTCAGCAGCTACACGATGCAATGTCTGTTGCACCGTCGCGCGCAGATGTAGAACTAGCCCACCAGAAGCACAAGTGGCTCGATATCGGCACGTTTAGTGTCCGCAACCTTCGAGCAATGAACTGGAAACGACGTATCCTTTGGGACCTTTTGCTTATAAGCCCCGTTCCCATTCACATGCTCTACAACTCGGTGGTGTTCCGGTCTATTTCAAGGCTGGGCTATGGCGTGATTTTTGTACCCAACGACCTTTCTCCATCCGAGTCGCTAGTTGAAGACGGTGTGGCCGAGTCAAAGTTCTACCAAACCATCTGAGCCACCGCGGCTGGCATCCAGGCGGAGTTTTCAACGGCACGTTCTACAATGCGACACTGTGGGAGTGTGCCGAAAAGTATGATACCTATATCACAGACAAGTATAACACGGATCTCAGCACGGTGATTCTGATTACGGATCGGCACTATTTCGACAGCACAAACGGCTTTTGCGGTGCTCAGGGTGATTTGAATGAATAAGATGACACAGCGTCATATAAGAAAGAACAAGGGGTGTATTGGATAGCAGAGGCAGATTTCTGGAGCTATCGGCTTTGGAACTTTACAGCCCCAGATCACCACAGTTTCTCTCTTTCTGGTGGCGATATGTACCGTCGGCTTCGCCAGGATGGATCTGTGATTGCATACGATAAAACCAAGCTACTGCAATATCTGTACAACAAAAACCCATCAGCCGAGATATTGCAGGAATATCTTGATACCAAGTCTCACTAGAAGAATAGCACATGGGCGGCTGAGCTTTATTTTGCTCTCACTAGGCATCGTCCTGCTTCAGGACATGTCTTGGAATTACCAGTCACTGGCTGCAAATACAAAACAGCCACCGAAAGATGTCAAGTCTTCTAAAGCCCGCCTATCGCTATCACGGTTGTCATTTGAAATGTTGTGAAATTGGTCTGCATGGTCCTCGCAGCACGAATAAGCCGCGTTGGTCTTTTCTTTACAATCGGAGGCTTCCTTTCTTACTATTCCAGACCCTACGACCAAATATCGGTGCCTATTGTCACGATTTGACATTGCAAAGGGATCGAAAGCATGGAGCAGACCAAAAAGAAAATCCACACTCGCTTCTTGGTTTTCATTCAGACGGCCCAGTGCATCCTCTAATGATGTGGAGATCCTTCTGGATGATTTGTCAACTTAAACAGATACTGAATGGCCAACAATGTATCCGAGTCTTTTGACTAGCCAAAAAAAGCGCTGGTGCCAAGCACCAACCTCAAGACGCTGGATGGTCACTTTCACATTGCAAGACTGTTAATTTCCCGAAATGCGAAACAAGACTAATGCCACAACTATTTAGCTTTGCTTTCTGCGAGCTAGCTTTCACATTTCTCTTCCTTGTCAGCACTCTCATCAACGGAACAGTCAGAGTGAAATCTGCGTCCGCCCTCTTCGCCAACGTTTGGAGTCTGGGATTCGGGTCGGTCAACACGGAGACCCTTGTGGATCTTAGCATTCTGCATATAACCAACACGCTACCCTTGAGCTTGATCTCCAACTTGCTACAATTATTTTCATCCATCATATTACTTCCTCACCAATGGCTTGCTCACCTGCATGCTCGGGGCAGCGGAATGGGACCGTTACGCCTACCAGCGGCGACTGTTGCGCTTATTTCGACCGCGAGGCGACCAACGCTCGACATGTTACCTCACACTACCATAGCGTTGCGGTGTGCCGAATCTGATTTTCTTCATCCTCATACACTGGATGATCTCCGAGAGCTTTTTCTTCATCAATATGCAAGGCTACAGTGTCCACAATGTCAAAATCAAGAGTACCACTAAGCGCGGCAGCTGTTTTTCGGCTCTGCCAACCTTTGTCACCTTGCTCCTGATGTAGGTGGCGTGGATTGTACTCGCTTCACTAGGACTGAAGAAATTCAAGACCCAGGCTCCACTGGTCACGCATTGCAGTGCCGCTGTTAGTGCATCTTGTCATCCTCCCCCAGATGATGCAGACGCCGCTTTCAAGCCCATTATGTGGGGAGAAGTGATTCGACAAGAAGATGCACCAGGAGAAGGAGAGTGGATTGATTGTGATTATCGGGGCAGGCAGAGCTGCCAACGGATAGTGAACCAGGGCTAGGACCTACGAAAATCCGTTATGCACACTGCTCGCTCGCCTCGAAAGAAGTTCAAACACCATAATTTGACCGGCTTTACTGTTAACACAGTGAATGCCTTTAAAGTAAATATACTAGAGGCTTTCCGCCGTGCATTTCACCCGGTGCTTTATATGGAGTAATTAATGATTCTACTATATACATATCCTATACCCCCTATACTACTACCATCTCCTACATGTGCTTTGTCTCCAATCAGTTTCCGACATGATATCCGTAAACAGCGTTCAAGAAATGAATTTTTATATAGCGAACGGTAAATTCCAAGAAACATAAACAGAAGATGAAGCAGAGCTTCACAAATAGGAAACAGCTTCCTTCTCAGTCCAATCCCAGAACTAGGCTGCTGTTCCCAATCCGCCTTCGGCTTTGACTGAAGATAATTGGCTACGTCTCTGCGTGGTTTGCCGATCGAACCCCATGGATCCACTAAAGCCAGATTGAGAGTTAGCTGAAAGTGCACAAGCCCGTTTGAAAGAGTTTATATTAGACATACCGAAAGCGCCATTTTTGGCCAATGAGATATCGGAAGACAGCCCCGCGTATAGCTATGTATAAGCACCAAAATGGGTTCCTTTAGATGGCGGTATTTGATGCGAGAAAAGGCATGTTACGTAAGATAGGATTTTCCGTATGCTCATAATTGAGAGGTATCGATTTGTCGCTCACGGGAACCTCAATATCTGCTCCGCTGATAATCATGGCTTATCAGGTTTTTAACAAGCTTGATATCGCGGCAATTCTATAGGGGGTGGGAGGTTTAAGGGTAGACCTCTCAGTCAAATAAAGAATTCATAATATACCATTTCTGAATGTAGCCCATCACTCAAGCCTAGACGGTAAAAAAAGTATCAACAGATTCAAATGCCAGTGGGCTAACTGAAAGAAAGCCCCTCGAATTAATCCAAACGCGTCCAAGTTCACAGCTTTTAGAAAAGTGCACTTTCAAGCTTTTACCCAATATCCATAGATGTTATTCGAGGCGTTAATCTCACCCTCACCCATGACCGTTCGGTAAACTTGGGTACACTTTCCTTCGGTATTAAATATCTGAAGTGTTCGTGCTCCATTGGATCCATCCCAACTGATTGAGGCGCCCCGGGGTATGTAAATGGTCTGACAAGTCTTGGTGGGTCCAGTGCCAGTGATTGATTTACCATTTATCCGAAGCTCCCAAGCTGAGGAGGTGCTCACAAGCAGAGCTGCGAGGTAGGTTGAGAGCAGGGAAATCTTCATGACTAGTTATATTCCTACAATCGGTCAGTGGCGGTCCTGGTGATACTCCCCACCAGACAAAAAACAGCCATACGTACTGATTTGATCGAATATACAGATGGTAGTATTTCAGTCGATGAAGAGTAAATTAATATTGGCGAAACTAATTTTATGTAGCGCGAGAGGAGCTGTTTTGAAATACGGAGTACTCATGATGTCACCCTTCCATGACGGACATCGGTACCGAACATATAGCAACCGCAACTACCATAATGTCTGTCAATACCTGTTATTCCAACAAGGATCACATGGATACCATGGTAACTACTTTTTTGTGGTCATGAACGGTGGGACTTCGCGTATAATGAGTGGACGAACCAATCTCTCCCAAGCTCTCCCAATAGTATGGCCTGATTCCACAAAGCCAGGACTTTGAAGATTGTCACTTATCATGAGAGTTTCAAAAGAATAGAAGCGGTGCTGTAGTTCAGTGACTGTTTAATTGTAGTGCTTGAGAACTAGGATGATCAAGAAAAAAACACAAAAAGATATGCATCATCCGTGAATCGAACACGGGCCTCGTCGATGGCAACGACGAATTCTACCACTAGACCAATGATGCTGAGTCATATAGTGATGTCCAAAAAATTAAGCTCATATCCTGCACAAATCTACATATGTCGGTAGTGGTAGTGCGATGGCATTCTTGATCAAACCATGCATCGTGAAATGTCACCATCGTGAATCTGATGATGTAAAGACTTTTCCTGCACATTCTACCATTTCTGAACAGGAATTTCGGAGGTCTTGATAATGGAAGAGAAAATGGAGAAGGCCATGAGGGCGCTGGATTAATTTATCTACGAGCGAGATTGATAGGTCTACAGCATGACACTAACAGCACTGAGAGTTTAATAGAATTTTGAAATGTTGAAGATCAAGCTTAATAATGAAAAACTGTCTATCCAAATTCACAAACGCCATTTCGGAAGGGTATCTAAAAATCCAAGTAGCAGCAGTGTATCACAGCGAATGGTGATGATCCGAAAAGACACCTTGCTCTGCGCACGCCTTCTGACATTCCTGGAGGAGCCTGGCCTGCTTGGCAATATCACTCAATCGACTGATAACCTCTTTGTTGCCGTCGTAGAAAGTAAAAACAGCATACGGGATCTGCACATCCTTGCAAAACTCCCTAACAAACTGCTGTGTTTTACGTAGATTGTGGCGAGGAATGCGAGGGTACAAGTGGTGAATCGCCTGGAATTGAAGCCCGCCATGGAAAAAGTCCAACCAAGGTGGGCATTCCACATCCATGGTTGTCCGTAGCATCTTCTGCGGGAAAGATTCATGGGGGCCAAGATCAGCAGTAGACATAGCGTAGTGCGACATTGTGATCTGCACATGGAGTGGTGCAGTAACCATGTGAGAAATCAGGACGAAAGCGATCCGGCTCCACCAGTCTGGAATACTATGCCAGACAACGCCGTAGCCGAACCAGGCCCAGAAGAATATGTGACCAGCAAGCTCAAACCAGCGGTGCCACCAGCCAGCGCCGTGTCGCGGGCCTCGTCCAACAATAATGTGCTCCCAGCTCAAGAAGTAGAGGTTGAAACGACCGAAGAGAAGGATCGGGTAATAGAGGTAGTGTTGGTATTGAACAGTGAATCTCGCCACAGCGTCGAATTCCATAATTCGATCATAGTATGTACTGCGTAGACTGTCGAAGAAGCGGTGGGATAAGGCGAAGAAAGGCATCAATTCAATATCAGGGTCGTGCTCCGGGGCATTTGTGACGATGTGGTGAACGTTGTGGCTTCGCTTCCACCACCCAAGACTCAGTCCGCCCAGATAATCAGCGATGATCATGCCAATAACAGTATCAGTCTGAAAGTCGTGAGTAATGCCCATGTGCGCGGCATCGTGGGCAGAGAAGACCAATTGGTGCCAAAAGCATCCCAAAAAGAGACCAGAAAGACAAAACCAAGATTTGTTCAAGAAGAAAAGGAAGAGACCAAAGAAGAGAGAGTACCGGAGAATCTCAATGCCGTATGCGTAATAGTTGCACTTGTAAAGCCCGGCGGCACGAATACGGTCATTCAGCTGCCGATATTTTTGAACGATATTCGCTTGCTCTTCCGCATCAAGAGGAGGATACTTGGAGGTATCCAAGAGAATCTCCTCCTGGGTGCGGGCGTCGATCACGTATGTTCGGCTTTGTGTCTCCGGTGGAATGGAGCTGACAGCAGATGATACAGTCGATGTTGATAGTCTGCGCTTCATGCCGAATGTGTCTAGTCTGGCTTCGAAGATGGGGGAAGGGGGAGCTGATTCATCGCTTGATACGGGGGTTGATGGACGCTGAGCTTCCTCACAGTATGGGCGGAAAATGCCACCTTGAATGGGAGGCAGAAAGTTGATCCATCGTCCTTCGATACGGCCGATTTGGAAGTTGCTCATTCGTTGACGTGCTTCCTGTGAATGCAAGCTTTGGACGGTCAGTGTGAAGAAACTATGAAGATGGAATTGTTACTCACGCATTCACTTCGTCTGTAGCATCTTTGCCAACCATGTGTCTGATGGCCAGATCACCGCCAGGGTGGTATTTGATCCAGGCATCCAGTTTGAGTACTTTGTTGTCGACGATAATGATAATCTTGTCCTCCGCAATCATTCCTTCGATCTCGCGGCGTGACAAGACATTGTCCCTCGCCCTGGAGAGGGTGGGCATCTTGCTTGGCTCCAAGGTTGGTAATGAATACTCTTCGTTGTGGTTGAAGTTGGGATAAAGATAGAGAGCAGAATGCGAAATGGAGACTGCTTGTTCGCAGATATGGTTCAGAACTGCTGGTTTGAACTTGAAAATAAAACAGAATAGAAAATGGGGATGAATTTTCAAGAGACCAGACTTTGAAGATGGGAGATGGTCCTCACTTTAAACTGAAATGTGATGTATTGGCTACAAACTAGGCCGCATCCTCTTAACTGTATATCTATTCTGCTACCTAGAATTGGCGCCATAGCGCAGTATCTCCTTCATTTCAATCTGTGGAACAAAAAGGGGGGCTGTGTAAATAAGTGGATAGAGTAGATAAACGTGGGAGATACCCGTTGTGGGAAAGAAGAAACATGCGAATACGGACGAGTAGAGAAATTTAGCGATACTAGCGGGCTATACGCGCGGCCGATGCCGATTACACGTGACGGGAAAGGCAGTAATAGAAGCCACCTACCCCCTGTACGAGTGGCCACTCTATTTTAAAGTTTGGGTTTAGGGGCGAACTGACTTAAAGTGACTTAAAGTGAATGTGAGTCCGCAAAAAAGGCTACTTTTAGCGTTTGACTCTACCGTGGCTCATGGCACGTGCCACTATCTTTCCCTGGTACCTTCCTACCCCTCATGGTTTTTTTTGACGTGTTGCTGGCCCATATCCCCACTGCCCCAATTTTTTTTTGTCTCACCTTTGTAGAGTTTAAGCGGGTGCAACTTGCAAGTCTTTAACCGTTAGGCTCAACTTGAATGGAGTCCACCCTATCCCATGTCTCACTCTTTGTCCACGATGAGCCCAGCACCAATAAGGGGTCAAAACTCCACTATTCTCGCCCCTTGTTAAGCGACGTATTCGCGTAGTCTTCGCAGCTCCACATCACTATCAGAATTTTCTTATTCCGTCGGGGGCTAGGGCTGGCCAAGGCCCCAGAAGATAGGGGACAGTGGGGAGAGCGGGGAATCCCTAAAATGGATTAAGCTTGGGTAAAGTAGAATCACTATCGAAACGGATCTGAAACGTAAATGTCAATTTTGATGGAGTATGACTTCGTAATGGAAATAAAAAGGGGCTTAAGTGGTATCTTTTACTATTTGTGTAACTGCGATAACCTAGAAGGGATGGGCAGAAGAGAAAGCATGACAGATATTTAGAGAGAGAGGCTTGGCATTGAATTTTTTCCCCCGTCAAGCACGTCCTGGACTTTGCCTCTGACCCTTGGTATAGCATCAGTGCCTGGGCTTTCTTCTCTCCACATTTCATGGTAATTTCTGTAGTATGATAATCGCCACCATACTTCGTAATCCTATACGCGTACAGCCTGCAATTATCCGTCGGGTATATCTTCTGCCTACGTGATCATTTTATTTCCAGGTCGGATGTTCTTCATTTTGACTCCTCGGCCCCCCAGCGCCTCATGGGCCATTACCCTCTTCTGTTTGGTTCACTGTGTTTTCGGCCCCGGAAGTCTCGTCTCATCCATTGCTATTCTCGTTACAATTTGCATCTTATTTAGAATTCTTCTGTCTCTCGCAAGAGGTTCGGCTTTGCACTTTCAACTAAATTTTCTTTTGATTAACTCGGATGCTATCTAGTATTATACCCTACACCTTCGACCTCGACTCTCGACTTTTGCAAAGCCCGATCTGAAAAGAGAAAGCTTGCGGAAAATTGGTCGGAGGTTCAAGACACCAAGAATGACAACTGGTATCATTCCATATCTTAGTATTCAATTGGACACATCTTCTCCACTTCGACAAACGGGTGTCCGCCTAGAAAACCAGTAGATAAGCACGACTCAAGCCTCTACATTGCATCAGTTTTGCGATGTATCGCAATCAAATAGTATTCAGGCATGAGACAAGATCTTCTTGCTCTGGAAGGAACCATCCCTTTTATTAGTCAGAGCGTAGCATTTTGATCATAAGAAATATCTTGACCTTAGCCTTGACTCTCGAAGTAAAATACTATTCAAGAACCACCTCGCGCGCAGTCTAAGAGGCGTGGCCAAAGTCAGGAACATTTCATTTCTGATACTAATGCGCTTGGAATATCAAAATTAGTGGCGGCCAACACAAAAATCCAAGTCCTTTCCTAATGGCTTGCTAGTGTCGTGTTGGGTGAAGTTTCGTCAGCGGAATTCTGGCGGAGCTCCGAACACGTTGACGAATACACTGTAGACGCGTAGCGAGCTCCAGTGAAAACGGAGTGAGGTGCGCGATGGCATCGGAGAATATTACAATTGGTATAGCTGACTGGAATGTGACCGATGACCGATCAAATCAGTTTTCCACGTAGGAAGCGAAGAAATACGTGGTTGCTCGTCATGTGGGATAGTTGCAAGCCCGGTGATTCAGGCCAGTGGTCTAGGAGTCAGCCTTCCACGCTGTGTTTCGTCACAACTCTTCTCTTTTTGTCTTTCTTATTCGACCTTCACCATTATTCTTGATATGGTGCCTTTCTCCCCCATCGAACAATTTATTTACCCCTTAAAACTTTCTAAATAGACTAACCTAACCAGTGCCTCAATACGGCGTTGAGATGACCGCCAAGTGCTCGGGCCTCTCGTCCATCCACATCCTCACAGTTTCCGCCCAATCACCAGCCGTGGCGTTGACAAGCCGCTCAACGTCAGAGGAACAAGTGGCGTTAGCCGTGGTCAAATGAAATCCTACTTCTGGCTATTGAAATGACGCATCAGCCATGTTAGTGATTTGCCCCTGGATTTTCCAGCCATGAAAGTAACACCGCATGATCAACTTCGTGGGATTCTACCGATCGGGTATACTATCCTCTGAGGCAGCTGACTGAGTGAAAGACTAAAACACTCCGAATGTACACGGGGGTTCTAGTGCGACGCAATAAAACGGCTAATGACCTGAGATTTATGAACGAAACATCGCTTTCATTGTTTTGTCCAACAACCCTGGAGGCTGGAGGCAAAAAGTAGAACCCATATCTACACCGCAAAGCTGAGAGATGAGATATGTAAGGAAATCGATGCGTTCATGAATGCGCCAGGCTTTCACTGGCAGGCTTAATTTGTTTACGCTTTCGCTTGACGTCACATTCTGGCTATGATAGGCAACGGCTGTGTTGATCTTTCTGTCTTTTTTTGAAAACTACCTTGACGTCAGATCCCCCTCGATGCTTGAGCGATGGTGATTTTGATTTATAGAGGCAAAGCTGTCCCCGAGTGAAGCACTACAACTTCATCTTAAAACTCCACATTCGACCCACAAAAGTGGACCAAGTTACTCCTTCTACTTCTTAAACTTTATTCAGTAACATCTACATACAACTGACAGCCATGGCTATATTCTCTCGTGATTCCTCTGCTAGCGCATCCTCTTCCAGCCCCCGCTCATCAACCTTGAGCCACTCCTCCGGACATCGGAAGTTTGGAGATCAATCTTCCCGCTCATCCTTTTCCTCTAGGTCAGAATCTTCAATGGGAAGCTCTCGCAGACGAAGCCTCCTGCACCGTACACCTGAGGATCCCTCGATCCAAGCGGCTCGTGAGCAGGTCGTTCGTGCGGAGAGCGCAGAGCAGGAGGCAGACAGGGCTTTGATAGCGTCCCGAAGAGCGGTTAAAGAGGCCCGTGATCATGTGAAATATCTCGAGCGTGAAGCGGCTGAAGAGTAAGTGGAAATTATGCACCGCAACTGAAAATTACATTAACATCCCTTCTTCAGAGCTCGACTTGCAAGAATTAAGCAAGAGCAGGCTAAGTCAATTTCCAAGCGAGCAAAGCCTCTCGGTCGTAAGTCTTTCCAATCTCAAGCAATAGTCGCCAAAGCTGACACAATATAAAGGTCATTTGTAGAACAGAAATGATGACATTCTCCCGGCTTATGTATTATGTACTATCCTGCGCCACGATCTCAATGTTCCACTAGCGAAAGCGAATTGATGTATCTTGCTGTCTTGATCTCTCAATGCCACCTGTTTGAAATTATAGTCTGTCACAATACACGAAGATCTTTCAGCCAGCCTCCAGATGTAGAAGGTCCTGTTTGAGAATAGCGAATCTTTGATTCATAATGCTTAATGACTTCGTAGATATCTGCGTGCATGACTGGGTTACATTCGGAGTGTTACCCCATCGCCGCCTGCGCAGGTGACGATTTGGATTTTTTAGGTTCTGTATATTCCTACTTATAAAAGCCTGACAACACATGTAAACATTCTAGTGATTCCTTTTTTAGTGGATGCTGATATTTAATTGCCCACATTTTCCCCGCATATGTACACCCCAAGGTTTCACCGAAAGAGTATTGGGCAAAGTGCGGCAAAAGAATTAGAGCTTCGGCTTCGTAGAAATTTGACAATTTCAAGACCGCCACCGTTTCAAATACCTTGATAATGCCTTCCGCAGGCGTCTTCTAGCAAAGAAAACCCTGCAATCGATGTGCCCTGGCAAGTCCGAAGGCCCTAGTTGTTGTGCATTTGTCCGTCTATTAGTCAAGTCAGTCTTAAAAAATTGCAATATGTTTGTAACAGCGTCCGTGTAAAATGACCTCTCCCGTTACAACCTCTCGGCATGATATATCTCTATTCGCCGCAGGAGCTCTCATATGTGACGCGCTATGCATCCAATATAATTGAGCATAGAGTTACACTTTTTTCATCAGCTGCCATTTGTGAAATCGTCCTCCGAGGCGGTTGCAGCATTACCGTCTACCCCGGAGGTCCGACTGATACATGGAGACCTATATATATCTTGTAATTAGGGTCGTAACTGCACTACGGGCTTGGTCTCAGATTCCTTTACCCATTACTACCAATCAGCATGCATATCCGAACTATTCTCTACTTGATCATATTCACCATAGGGACATGGGCAAGGTCAGTCCCTGGTACATCAGGTAACATTGATGAAGCCAAGGAACAGCCCGCGGACGGGAATCATTTAGTTTTTGCACATTTCATGGTGAATTATCCGGCTTGGCCACAATGAGTATGAAACATGCTAATAATGGCACATCAGATTGGAATAACCAGTGACAGAAGTAGTGCATCTGCCTATGATGACGATATGCAACGAGCAAAGTCTCTTGGAATCGATGCATTTGCGCTGAATATTGGCGTTGACCCGTATACCGACCAGCAGTTGGATCTTGCTTATCAGTCTGCAGCAACCAATGGAATGAAAGTTTTTCTTTCATTCGACTTCAATTGGTGGCATACGAGCCAGGCCTCTCAAGTTGGCCAGAAAATTGCGCAGTATGCGGACCACCCGGCTCAGCTGATGGTCGACAGTAAGGTTTTTGTGTCTTCCTTCGCTGGGGACGGAGTCAATGTAGCAGCTTTGCGATCTGCTGCTGGGCGACCCATTTTCTTTGCACCTAATTTCCATCCATCTTATGGCACTGATATCAGTCCTGTTGATGGGTTGCTGAATTGGATGGCCTGGCCAAACAACGGGAACAACAAAGCACCTTCCGCTGGGGCTAATGTGTCTGTTGCTGATGGAGATAAGGTTTATCTTAATTCTCTGGGAGCAAAGGCATATATTGCACGTCAGTCTTCAAATCCCGATATCTCTATTTCCTCTAATGTTTCCGATAGCTGTCTCTCCCTGGTTCTCTACCCATTTTGGACCAGAAGTATCCTACAGCAAGAACTGGGTATTTCCCTCAGATCTACTCTGGTATGATAGGTGGAATGATGTTCTCGCCCTCGGTCCTCGATTTATAGAAATCCTCACATGGAATGATTATGGCGAATCACATTACATCGGGCCCTTGAAATCACCACATACCGATGACGGTGCTTCAAGATGGGTCAATGATATGTGAGAAAGTCCTGTTTTCTGAACGTGGAAACATTTGCTGACTTTGTCAAGGCCCCATGACGGGTGGCTAGAAATTTCCAAACCTTTTATTGCGGCCTTCAAAGCCGGTGCATCATCACCTACAACATATATCACCGCCGATCAATTGATCTACTGGTACCGTCCAGCCCCAAGGGACGAGAACTGCGATGCAACCGATACCTGCATGGTTCCAGCCAATAATGGTAGCGGAAATTATTTCATTGGCAGACCAGACGGATGGCAATCCATGGTAGATTCTGTCTTCTTGGTGACTTTGCTCACGGCCCCGGCTTACATCCAGGTAAATTCTGGAGGCACTGTTTATCAGTACAACGCGCCCGCGGGAGCCTATGCACAAGCAGTTCCAATGCATGTGGGTGTACAGGCTTTCTCGATCAGTCGCGGTGGGCAAAGCGTTCTTTCGGGAGTCAGTCTTAAGCCCATTATCGACGGATGTGTCTGTGGTTTATATAATTTCAACGCTTATGGTGTGCAGTTATTCCCTTTCCAACACTGACTGGTCATTTCATAATAGCTGACCCATTTGACTATCAAGTTGGAATTCTTCCGCCCGGATTTGCTGATCCTCTCCAACCAGATGGTCTGGCGGCTTTCTCTCAGGGGTTGCGTGTTTCCACTTGCCGCGCAAGCCCTTCTTTGGGGACTGTTCCCCCGACGGCATCTACCACATCGTCGACAACATTACCCACAGGTCCACCAACTACCACAACAACGTCAGCTTGCACTACGAATTGCCCCACAACAGCGCCTCCCACAACAACATCCCCAACTGCATCTTGCCCAACCGTGCCAGGGAGCGTGACGAGCACTATCACTCAGACCGTGACTACCACTGTCGGGAGTGGAGGTGGAGGAAGTGTGACAACTACTGTCACTCAAACTGTGACTACCACTGTGGGAAGTGGAGGTGGAGGCGGAGGAAGTGTCTGCATTGCAGGTACGGGGCCCGGAAATTACGTTGGACTATGCAACTTCAGTTGCGGATTTGGTTACTGCCCCACTGGTCCCTGCACTTGCACTGCATACGGAAAAACTGCCCCGAGTCCCCCCTCAACTGGTGGCAACGGAGGGCCTCTTCCTGGGGAAGGTGATTCCTACACTGGTCTTTGCAGCTTCGCCTGCAGTCATGGATATTGTCCACCCACTGCTTGCATGACGCAATAAGATACCAATATCAAGCTGTCATCTTTTTTGCTCGGCTGCTTTGTGAGAGATATTTCTCTTTTCCACCGCTGCGTAAGTCAAGAATCTTTTGCGAGGTGACACTTCGAAGATGAAAGAGCATATTCATGGTTATATAAGAAGAATGTAAACACCTACCAAGCTACCCCCATACCTGATCATGGCACCCTGTAGCTAGGATCTCTCTGTCTGGCCAGGAAGAGAATGCAAATGTAGCTAGGGAGTATTATCCAACTGGGGCTATTAAAGGAGATTATGGCGATCAAGAGCATTGATGATATCTTGAAACTTGATATCAGGATCAAAATACAATGACACTTAGGTCTTTCAACATACAACAGACATTTAAGTCAATCTCACCAAGCAGCGGCAACAAATGCAACTGCCGCGCCGCCTAACGCAATGCTAGGGTTTCCAGTTACCCGAGAAAGACCTCCAGTACTAACCGCAGAGGTCTTGATGGTAGACGAAGTTCCGGAGGTAGAGGATGCGGTGTTTCCGGAACTGGCCGTTTGACCCGCAGAAGTCTGCGACGAGTCGGTTGAACTAGCCGTGGTAGACACGGAAGTCACAGTGGCTGGGCCAGCAGTGACAGTCACAGGCAGAAAGGTAATTTCGCTTTGGGCGTATGTCTCGGTGTCGGTTCCGACCCAGTTGGCTCCAGTGCCACTTAGCACTTCGGTGCAAGCGGCAGTCGTGGTGCCGCCTACAGAGCAAACCACACTATCATAACTGTCAAAACGATAAGATATTGTTCAGATCTTCCCATTCTATCAAGGAGGAGCGTACAATGCCTCCTCGGGAGAACTCATGCTGTATTTCGTAGTCGTGGGACCCGCAGTCAGCCACAGACCGGGACCCATGCCACAGTCCGAGCTATCGGTGCCGGGAGGACAATTGATACTGTATGTTGTGGTACCAGCGCTCTGTGTGGATTGATTAGCTGGGATTCGTCGATCATTGCCGATCAATACATACCTGTCCCACGATTGAAGCTGCCAGTGATTGCGGGTCAGCGAAAGGAATGAACATGGAGACGACGCTGGTCTGTGCAGCGACAAGGCCCACGGTCGCCAGGAAAATAGTGCACGTTTCCAATGACATGATTGTGGGGGTATTAGAATTGGTAATGACAGACGTGAGATGAAGAGGAATTCTGCGGCATGTATTTTTTCTCTCCTGAGAGGATCCGAGGCAGCCATTCAGGGTCCAGGGTCCATCCAGGGTCTAGTGCGTCTATTTAAGGAGTGGAGATACCCGATCGGGAATAGTGTGTACATTAAGCTGAATCAGTTCATAAAATTCACAATTTACAATCTATAACTCATGATCCCTGAAGAAATAAGGAAGTAAGGAACCATACAGATGAATTGAAAGAGATGATCGAGTAAAATTCTCAAATTTCGACTAGCTTTGATTGGAGATTAGTGCTCGAGAAACGATCATGAAGGGTTTTGATCTGATACTCATTTTGGGACATACTGTATGAGTACTACTTATCCGCCTCAAAGATAACCTTCTGGCATCGCATGTTATTGAAATCATCGAACCTATTCAATCATCAGCATTTATTTCGTTCGCGTAGGAGCAAGCACTTACGCCTGTACCGCCTGAGAGAGAGGTCGAATGTCATCCGACATGAAACTATGTCCTGTTAGTGACTGGAGAAGCGCCAATATTGACTACAACTTACTTGAGCACATCCTGCTTCTTTGCCAAGAGGTCCATGGCTTCACCAAAAATGCCTGGCAAAGTCAGCCACCACCAAAATCTTAGTTCAAGAAGAAACCTACTGCGCACAGGGCATCGTCCCATTTGAATTCGCAAGTTCTTTCCATACGCTTCGTTACCTGTCCAGGGGATCTCGCCATTATGCACACCCACACTCGAGAGAATTCCCCACGGTCGCAGCAGCTCAAATCCCATTCGTAATGCGCTGCTATGCCCCACAACTTCGATGACAACATCCGCTCCTCGGCCTTCAGTCAAGGTTTTCACTCTGTCGCGTAAGCCCTGCTCATCTTGCTGATAGTTCCAAGGCTCAGCACCCAAGCTTTCAGCTAGCTGAAGACGAGATGAGACGCTGTCTATCGCAATTAGATGCTTGGGGCGATATTCCAGAGCGCTGACCAGAGCGCAAATCCCCACCGGTCCACATCCAAAGAGGAGAACAGTACTCTTCTCGATAGTGGGCGTGTCTAGGGAGCGAAAGGCGTTTGATGCGGCAAAATAACCCGTTGGGAAAATGTCCGCCATCAACACCAGCTTCTTTTCGTCGATTGTCGGGGGCGCATGAACCAAAGTGGCATCTGCTAGAGGTACACGCACATATTCCGCTTGTCCGCCATCTAATACAGCGGATCCGTAGAGCTGGCCGCGAGCGCAGCGTGATGAAAATCCACCATCGCAGTAGAAGCAGTTTCCACAACTGACTGTGAAAGGCGAGACAACTCGGTCACCCGTTTTGAAAGTCTTGACTTGATCTCCAATTTCAAACACCTCGCCTGTGAATTCATGGCCCATGATGAATCCTGTCCCCGAGGGCTGGTGTCCACGGAAAACGTGCAATTCGCTATGTTGATGCTCGTCAGATCTTGAAACGTAATTTATGGACTTTTCTCAACTTGCCTCCCACATAAAGCTGTGTACCGTACTTTGACGATAACATCTGTGGGGTCTTTGATCTGGGGTCGCGGGCGCTCCTCGAGAGCAACCCGCAAAGGACCTTTGAAGACCACGGACTGCATATTGACAGGATATTTTAAGCTGCTCTAGTTTGAGGGAATCTTGGTTGTTGAAAACGAATAGTGGGGGTGGACGTCGGTCAAATCTATGAGGGGTTGATTTACCTCGGTTGTTACTCGGCTCTTGCCACACGAGACGCAGTTGGATGTACAAGTTAGGTAAAGTAGTAAAGATATGCATTATTATTCTTATTCTTCCATTCTTGATCTAACCTTAATACAGTAGCCAAAATCAACAAATCTTAATTGGATGCTCCTTGTTTTCTGCTTACTCACCATCAAAACTAAAAGGCTTTGAATCTCGACTCCCCCAAACCCATTATCACGCAACCTTTCCCGACCACGATGCTTAGGGAACTCGGCCACGACCATAATGCTGACATCCTTGGTACAAATGCCGGATTTTTCTAAAAGCCGCATTACCGCACAAAGTGTCTCTCCCGAGGCGAGAGTATCATCCACTACCACCACCCTGTCGTCAACAGAGATTGAAAATCCGTCGATCTCAATCATTTCCATTCTTGACAGCTTATACTTTGTCGAGATATGTGATCCAGGCCTCCTAACAGAAACCGTAGGCGGAGGAAGCTTCCCCGCTCCACGAACCAACGCCAGGGGTACTCCGACTTGCAATGCCAGCGCGGAGGCAAAGATAAAACCACCAGCCTCGCAGCACACTATGGCATCAACTTCAGACCAGCGACCAGTGAAATGGCTTTGCAGAAGAGATGAGCAAAGTTTTAGCCCACTTTGCTGCTGGGCGATGTTGAGCACATCACGGAAATCAAGCCCTGGGATTGGGAAGTCGGGAACTGTGCGCACCATATTGGCCAGGGACTGAAGATCCTCATTGAGAAATTGAAGGAGGTAGTCTTCAGCGAACTGCTTTGCTGCATGGTTTCCCATCGTCTCATTATCGAAAATAAAGCTGGAAGAGTAGGACGTGTGATGACTCTTGTCCTTTTCCTTGTTACCGTCCCCGCCGCCGGCAAAACCGCATTGGATTTTCCTTGCGTCTTCGCTAGTCTGAACGCGAACATCTAGCAGCTTAGTACCTGATACTAAATGGGAAAAGTAGGTAACCGGTGCCTCATCTCTCATTCCTGTAATTATGAGCACATGCACGTCCGTGGCTTCAGATACCACTGCTAAAAATTGCTCCTCTAACAAAGTTGGTCTATCACTCAACTGCTTCTGGAAAAAGGTTTCCAACGCTGACCGAAGTCGTTCTTTGTATGGACGATTCCAAACCAGGCGGTTCAGATCAGCGCCGGTCGCGATGGCATATTCTCTCGGGGTCGCATCGCTAATACTTACTAAACCCGCTCTCATTTTCCTAGTGCCGAGGAATGCAGAGAGCCAAATATTGGCGCAGTAATCTTTACCCGCGCCACTTTCACCCGTGACGAGAATGATCAGCTTGAGATTCTGTCCAACGAGCGGCTTTTGGAGTGGGCAGGCATAAGCCAGCACATTTTGGGGATCCAGTCTCTGTTTGAGGCGATGAAGGTGCGACAGATTTAGTCCAAAAGCTTTGACCGCCAGTATAGTATCTCGGGGGTCCGGTCCGATGTCTGCACTGTAGACTCCGCTACTCAAGGGTAATAACTTTCCGGCGACGTTGTACACCCAATCAATGGCAGAGCGAGCGACTTCAGTTCCATCTTGGTCGCGAGGCCAGACCCCAGTTACCACACAAGCAAAATCCCAGTCTCGACAGCCAAAAGCACTAGCATTGGCCGGCACTTTGCGGACCGCCTCCCCACCTTGTAGAAGATGAAGGTAGCAGAGAGGTGTTGGCCGATTCTCCATGGCTGCCACCAAAGTCTTGGCCATTCTCGGTTCTCCGATGCGTTTCAAAAATAAGCATCGCTTGAATGAAGACGTCTTGCCTCCGGCATATCCGCCGTGCATCTCGGTCATGTACATTTCGGCCTCGAACAAACCGACACTGTCCACAGTATTGGAACAGGTCTCTTGTCCAAGTTTCTTGCGTAATTGCTCTATTATGGTGTTTTCAACAGCCGGGCTGGTCGTGTAAGATTCGAACACGTTAATGCCAAGACACAGCTGCCCGTCAGCCCAGTACAAATATGCATCCGCTGAGTAACTCTCAGATAACTCGTCAGCGACGAAGTAATCAAATCCCGTAAGCTGAGAGCCATTTTCATCACTCAGAGGGAAAAACCAATTTCGAATTGAGTATTTCCGAGCCAGGAATGTCTTGAAAGTAACGCTGACAATAATGCCAAAATTAGTACCAGCGCCCTTGATCACCCACAGCATATCTCTGTTTGTCACACGGACGGTACCGGTCGGGAGGTGCTGGGATGGTACATGACCAATATAGAGGATCTGACCAGATTCAACACTGACCATCACGGCACCGACAATGGCGTCACAAGACAGACCGTGACGCCTTGCCAGATGTCCAATGCCACCTTGAAGCCATAAGCCTGCACCAACACTTGGGCGGGACCCCAAGGGCACTGTTAAACCCGCAGCCATTGTGCTGCGAATGATGTTCTCTGTATGACACCCTGCACCGGCGATGACCAAGGTGCTTGCATCAGCATCATTACAGGACAGGACGTGTACTTGGTTAAAAGCACTCATATCAACCGCAACCACATTTGGCACTAGGCAATGACCACTGTGGCCTCCACCAATGATGCTCAAACGGAGACCATGCTCTAAAGCCCATTGAACGCATAGCTGGACTTGTTGCACATCAGTGGGTTTCACAATTGCGGCGGAATGGTTGAGGCGAGCCTCACGGTTCTTTGTCGCCATTTTTCCTTTCAACATCGGCACCTGCGTCGTGAGCTCAGGCAACGCGGTTGCAGGTCTGTTAAAAACCATCATGATATCAGATGAGCCAAATAAAAGCTGATTTGGCTGGGAATCATCACGACGGGCTACAGTACGGCACACATCTCGCCATTCCGCTCGGAGGTTGAGATGTACACCAAACCCCGCAATGAAACCAGCGAAACTATCAAGTGTTTCATCGTCATCTTCCACAGAAACAATTCCAGTTGGAAAAGAAGCGGCCCGATGACAAACAAGCTCGCCAAAGTGTTGCGATCCGTAACGATGGAAAACAACCACCATACCCCCGGGCTTCAGCATACCCACAGCTTGTTCAATGAATTTGGATTTGGGGTTCATGCCATACATACTATGACAGAATAAGATAACATCAAAAGTTTCATTTTTTTCGCGCCGATAGCTCTCGGTATCGCTGCTTGTATCGCTTTCTGCATCGCTGCGCAGCACGAATGGCATCTGACAGATTTCAGGTGGGCATTTCAAGCTGGGAAACGGGGAATCCTGCGAAACAGGGGAAACCCATTCAACCAATTTTGTAAGAAGGTTGTGATTAGGCTCTAATGCAGTGTATTTTGAAATCTTCTCTGCAAGATGGGCGGGTAGAGATCCAAGCACACTCTTGGCGCCGGGTCCTATTTCTAGTATCGAGCTATGCCCAGAGGAACTAAAGAGAGGCTCAAAGACATGAGATAGCTGGGGGGTGATGAACTCCTGGTAAGTCAATATTCCTGAGCCCTTCAACAGGATATCAAATCCTGCGGTATATTGTTCGTCACACAATGGGACGTGGGGAGATGGGGCCGCTGCCGCAGCTTTGCACCTGAGAGCCCACTTCAACGACTCGAGAGTGCCCATTTCCATATGGCAGGGCTTTGAAATTGCTCAGATTTTGAATGGGTATTTGGATGCTAAAATAGAAGATACGGTTGTAGATGAAGGTGGGTATGTAAAGCAGATTTTGGAGGGGTCGTGGGCTTTATTTCAGGAATGGTGAGTAAAGCAAACAACTCTGGGCTCAAGCTCAGAAATATCTTCGCAATTTTGGGTTTCAGGGCACTTTAAGATCTACCCAGGTGTTTGATTGTACGTATATGAGGCACTGATTCCATCAAATAAAAATTAATCGCCATAACCTCAGTTCCTTCCATTGTGAAGCAGGAGGAAATATGAATTCGCGATATCTATAGGTACATATACTTTTGATATAATCATAGCCCTAGAATCGACTTCTTTCCTTAAAAGAGCGGATTCTCTATTGCACTAGTAGATTCCAGCATTTTATGAAAGTTCATATAGCTTTCCTACCATCAAAATCCAGTACCAAGAACAAGCTATGTGTGCATAAGGGCTTATAAGTCATCCACAGTCAATCTCAGTGAACTTTATGAAAATCCTGTAGATTTTGAAACAGGCAATATAAATTAATCTTTCATTATCATTCATAACACAAAGAGATAGGGAAATACTTCTAACCTGCTGGTGTCAAAAGACCTAAGAATAGAAAGCGAAATGCGCTCAAATTCCTTTTTGCTTGCACAACTCTGAATATCTTCTTTATATTCGAAGGAAGGAGACGGAAGTGGTATATAAGGGGGACTGACAATCTAGTATAGCAAATGAGAATCTATGTACCTAATCTGCCTAAAGCAGCTAAGCTAGAAAAATGCAGCGTTCGATATCCAAGATAAATAATTGTGTGAAGTGGCATACCCCTTGATAAAGCCATGGAAATTGCCTGACCCTGCCAAGATGCTGGCATGAAGCATTGTGCAAATTTTACTCAAGAAAGTTCATAGACCACGCCCATAAGAAGCACTTGAGAAACTTTCAGCTGGATTCAAAAACGAATTTTTGTACTTTGATTTATTTCTGCAGGGAATATATCATGAGTTGTGTTACATTTGCTTGCCAAAATTAATTGGAACCACATATCCTGCCCTGCAACAGAAAAAAATTCAAATGCGCCTTCACTTCAAAGCTTGGCTAGGTCTCTAGGCCAAACACTTAAGGGCAAACATAGATCCCCGGCTACCTGAGGTTCAGTTTTGACAATCCTATATGTATTTAAATAACTGTAGCTAGATCCTACTAGTCACTTCATAGCCAGCTTCTTCATCTCCCTTCCCATTTTATCTCTGATCATATAGCTGCGAGCCAGTCACCGGCAACCTTCCTAGTTGAGGCCTACCTAGGTACTTCAAGTTCCTCCATGGACCCCGAATTAGATACCCGGACCATGAGTTCGCAGAACGGGAAGGAGCAGGAACTTTTCCTTCAGTCTTCAACGGCTACCGTTCCCTCTCTCCCCCTGCAGGTGGCTTCACATGACGAGGAAAAAGACGTCATGGTTAAGCCAGCAGCTGACAAAACCGGAGACGTGCAGAAGACGGTAGAAGAGAGAGATTGGGCTCGTAAGTTACTTCAGGCTTTTCAACTCTCTCTTTCTAAACCATACTACGTACGATAGATCCCAGAAAAGGGCAAAACGTGGAGTGGACATCGACACAATATGAACAACGCCTCCAAAAGATCGCCGGGGCGGTGCGAACCATTATTGAGTGTATTGGCGAAGACCCAGAGCGCGAGGGCCTTCGTGAAACTCCCGAGCGATATGCCAAGGCCATGATGCATTTTACCCAGGGATATAGGCAGAACGTTCAAGAACTGGTCAATGGCGCCGTCTTCAGGGAAGATCACGACGAGATCGTTATCGTGAAAGATATAGATATATTCTCTCTCTGTGAACACCACATGGTTCCCTTCACTGGAAAGGTATGAATTTGACGTTGATTTTTCCCGCATGACACTGACCAAGGACAGATGCATTTCGGTTACATCCCTCATAAGCAAGTTATGGGTGTGTCTAAGCTAGCTCGTATAGCTGAGATGTTCTCCCACCGGCTTCAGATTCAGGAACGGCTTACCAGACAGGCTGCCTTGGCTATTTGGGAGGATCTTGCCCCTAAAGGCGTTGCGGTTATTATGGAATCCACTCATCTTTGCATGGCGATGCGCGGTGTGCAGAAAGTTGGGAGCAGTACAACAACCACTTCTATGCTGGGGTGTATAAAGACGGATCTTGGGATTCGAGAAGAGTTCTTGAGACTCGTGAATCGCTGATGAAGATATTCCATGTCTTTCATCTATCACATGAGGGCCGATTTCGAATATTGATCTTGCCGGTGTGTTTTTCAAAATTGGTAGGATACGTATTCATGCAGAACTTAGTTCAAGGATGAATGGAACGTAGACGATAATACTAGAAATCTACTATGAAGTGAGCCAAGGAACTACCCAAAGGCTTATGTACTTTACACATCAGTAAATGGCCTTGATTCTTTAATCTTCTCTTGACCTTGGCAATCAATAAATTTCAGTTGGCTTCATTTCGACCGATTAGCGAGAAGCTTGCCTTGTCGGCCTGGCTACCTGATCATTCGTGCACAATCAACGCGAGACGCCAGTTGCTGTTACTTGCAATAAGTATACGCACGGACCACATGCGTTAGGCTCGAGTTCCGCCATGGCGCTTTTCATCACCGGCATCATATTCTCAGCCGCATAAATCTTCTTAGGAAGTCTTTCCAGTCATGTTTTTCCAGTCATATCAGTGAAGTAAAACCGATGCGGTAAATTGCAGTGCTTTCCCACCAGCAGGGATGGAACAAATGTCACAGGAACCTCCCAAGGTCAGGCTCAGGCGGGTCCGGAGAGTGGAGAATGGGGAATAGAGTGGGGCTCTCTACACACGGCTTTTCTGGAGATCCCCATCACAGGCGCATTACATTCTTTCACGGATGGAAGCTTCCCCGGATAACTCGGATATGTTTCCTACTACGGGATTTGATCATCTGTGTGTGCCTCACGAACGGCTCCTCCGTGGGGCTCGGAGTCGGGCGCCTTTAACACCGAGATGTTACTCCCAAGACCAATGAATGATGTCGATCGATATCCCTTCCAGGTCACACCCGAGACGCCACTATGAATGAATATGGATGATGCGGGGCCGATAGACCAGGGGTTGCGTCCTTCGAGCGTCCTTCCGTTGGGCCTTTGGGAGGTGCCAAACAACCATGGAAGCGAATGGGTTTGCTATTGGTTGGATGAGCTCAGGCCGCCTAGGACGGAATCATCCACGGTCTGTTTCTATTAGGTGAAGAGGAAGAACTAGTGCCACAGCCAGTAGCTAAGCTTTACATCTGCCGCAACGCCATTGACGAAAGTGGGAGCGAGCGGTGGTTGTATAGATCGTCGATATTGGGGGATCATAGATGAAAAAGTTTCATGAAGCGAGATGTTTTTTTTATTAAATTGGATGTCTCGAGATCAGGATTTGATGTGCGGGGAAAAAAGGGAGGACAAGTAAGAAAAGGGATATAAATTGGTATACTGGGTCAACGTGGGTCGACTCCAACCCCATGGGGAGACGTCGTCGTAAGTTGCATACGATTTCAAGACGCGGATTGGCTGACCGATATCCTCTCCCCTATTTGATGGGTAGCATTATCTGTTCGTGATTAGTAGCATGCAATATCAACCGTTGGCATTGAGCTAAAGCAGCTCACTCGTCATTTTTGATTATGCGCGTCACTTGAAACTTCGGAACCTCGCTCAGGTCCTACTTTACGCGTATAAAACCCCCTGGAGCCCGCTGAACGGATTTTGATTCTACCCAACTGGATCTCCTTTACCTACTTTCACCATGGTAATCGGGAACATCTATGTGATCGCCTCCGTCGCCGTCGTCGGTGGCGGCCTCTTCGGCTTTGATATCTCGTCCATGTCGGCTCAGCTGACGGAGAACGCCTACAAATGCTACTTCAACCAGGGTCCAAATGGTCCACCATTTGATGATAATGAGAATTGCAGTGGGCTAAGCGCGCTGAATCAGGGTGGTGTGACGGCTGCCATGGCCGCTGGATCCTGGTTAGGGGCCTTGATTTCTGGATTCGTGTCAGATCGTCTTGGTCGGAAATACTCTATCATGCTGGGATGTGTCATCTGGTGAGACTCAAGAGCCTGCAGTATACTGTCGTGCTGATCATTCGTGTCCAGGGTGGTTGGCTCGATTTTAATCTGCGCTGCGCAGAACATCGCCATGTTGTGCGTAGGTCGGGTCATCAACGGTTTGTCCGTTGGGATTGAATCAGCCCAAGTCCCAGTTTACATTTCCGAGCTGTCAGCCCCCTCAAAGCGTGGCAGGTTTGTTGGATTGCAGCAGTGGGCTATTACTTGGGGTATCCTAATCATGTATTAGTATGTTTCTCACTCTTTCTGCATTTGTACAGGACACAGGATGGTAATGGGCTGACGCGAAATAGTATTTCATACGGCTGCTCATTTGTCGGAGGAAAATACTCGTATGACTATAGCCCCGCAGCCTGGCGCATTCCATGGGGCCTGCAGATGATTCCCGCTGTTGTTCTATTTTTCGCCATGATGTTGTTGCCTGAGTCCCCTCGCTGGCTCGCTCGGGTGGACCGCTGGGAAGAAGCGCATGAAGTTCTTGCCCTAGTGCATGGTAAGGGCGATCGGGATCACCCATTCGTCGCGATTGAGCTGCAAGATATTCGAGATATGTGTGAACAGGAGCGACAGTTCGGCCATGTCAGCTACCAGAATCTTTTCACCCTGCGGATGATCAACCGTACCATGATCGGCCTCTTCACGCAGATCTGGTCGCAGCTTACTGGGATGAATGTTATGAGTGAGCTTCATTTCCCCTCCTCACCTCTTTGCCACGTTTGTTTCATCTGCCCCTCCGTACAAGATGAAGTGCTTGAATAAGCTAATCACGCTCAACTTCTAGTGTACTACATTAGTTACGTTTTTACCATGGCTGGCTATTCTGGCAACTCAGCCCTCCTCTCCTCATCAGTGGAATATATCATTAATGTCTTCATGACTCTCCCCGCGTTACTCTGGCAGGATCGCTGGGGCCGCCGCCCAACCATGCTGGTGGGCGCGTTTTTGATGATGGTATTTATGTTCGCGAACGCAGGAATCTTGGCCACCCATGCTACCATAATCCCTATGGATGAGAGGAGCAGTCCGGAAGTATCAATGAGTATAAGCGGTGCAGCGTCGAAAGGACTAGTTGCCTGCACATACTTGTTCGTTGCTTCTTATGCACCCACGTGGGGTCCGGTCTCATGGACATACCCGCCCGAGCTGTTCCCCTTGCGTCTACGTGGTAAGGGGGTTGCACTAGCCACCTCTGGCAATTGGGCCTTCAATACGGCTTTGGGTCTTTTCACCCCATCAGCCTTCACGAACATTGCTTGGAAGACCTACATATTGTTCGGGGTTTTCAATGCAGCCATGCTCATCCATGTCTTCTTTGTCTTTCCCGAAACTGCTGGTAAGACATTGGAAGAGACAGAGACCATGTTCGAGGACCCCAACGGTATCAAGTACATGGGCACCCCGGCCTGGAAGACTCGTGTGCACACTCGCAGCACTGTTGCTCTAGAGCACGGTGACTTGGAGGCTTCGAAAGCCCAGGAAGCTCGCTCACACGTGGTTAGCAGGCATGAGACAGTCACTCAGTAAAGGATGATTGATGAGGGGAGATGGAGCTATATAGATGATGACCAAGCCTATAGTCGCTTCAAATCGAAGAATTGTTTATCCCATTATGTAATCCCAAATGCCAAGACTTTCCCGGTCGGAAACCACACTTTTTCGTTTCTTTTCTCCTTTTTATTCTCAGGAACTGAAGTTTTTTACTTGAAGTTCCATGGATGAGGATCTCCGACCGTGGGAATTCACATCAAAATCCCTTCTGAATCCCTCCATGATTTCCTTAACGATACTCTAGATCTATGAAATGAACAAGTTTTTTTTCCCGAATGCCAAGTTTTACAAAAGGTCCAAAGTGATCAGCCAAGACATTGGAACCCGTTACCAGTGGCCAACTACGCCCCACGCGACCGCGCGTCCAAATTTCTCCCCTTTAGTTAGACCTCGACCTCCATCTAATTCCCCGTACGTCATGTCCTCCACCCCCGGAATTACAGAGATTTTGTGGTGTCGACAATAGCGAATTACCATCCCGCTTCTGTCGAACTTCTATCCCTCATGGCTTGCGCATAATCGTCACCTTCGTTTGGCAATGGTCTCCGATTCCCCGCACCATTCCGCCTTCCCCGGGCCCAGTCCAGCATGTCTTTTCGTGGAGACAAGGCGCTTCGGGGGTTCAGGGAACAATGGGCTGGTGAGTGAGCTCCGTTCTTATGATATTCATCCTGTACCTAGTGGGTGCAGGTAATGTTTACGACATGCTGACATCTCGTCTCTCAAGTGTTCATCGCACCATTTCGAACTCCCGCCGCCAGCGGCTCCGATCGAGGCTGGCGTCCTATAGCGTTGCGTCCACCATTCCTGGTGGGCCTCGCATGTTGCATACTGAGTCTGTTTATGACCTTGGAAGGCATACGGCAATATAGCAATCGCCAAGGAGGCCTCGTCTTCTTTTCCGACACGGATGATGTCTCCTCACTCCAGTCATTCTTGTATAATTACTTACCCATTATCATCTCCCTTCTGCTCCTCATGCTTTGGACCGTGACCGATTATGACGTGCTTCGACTGGAACCATATTTCCAATTATCCAAACCCGAAGGCGCCCCGGCGTCTGTTTTGTTCATCAACTACAACTTCGGTCAAACAATCCTAACTCCGATCAACGCCGCACGCCGCCATCATTGGGTTGTCTTATGGGTTTCTATGATCACGCTCTCGATTCGAATGATCCTTCCGGCTTTGTCAAGCACGATGTTTGAGCTTCGGAGCGTCGATGTAATTCGACATGCAAAGATGAAAAGTTGGCCCAATCTGGTCGGTCTGGAAAGTCAGGCGAACTGGATGTCGACGCAGGCAAATAACTCGATGGATTCCGTGGTCGCGGCTGATGAGCGCGTACACCGCACCCGATCTGCTGATTACGCGATTGCTCCGTTGGATATTCCCGCCGACGACAGTGAAGGAGACACGATTTGGACCATGGATCAAACAGTGTACTGGGCTGGATTGTCCTGTATCGATGTACCTGTGGATAAATCACTCTCGTCCGTCACAATCAACCAAACTGTCTCTAGCTCTGGATATCCGACCATCTCATGGAATGCCTCGGGTACGGACGTAGATGATGACCTTAACAGCTCATCTACGTGCATCTTGGATTTCCATTACGATAGTATCTACTTCCCGGAGACCGATTATCTCCAGGTTCGCTACTGGGAACCAGTCGTATCTCCATCCGCGGCATCGGAATTTCACAATCGCACACGCGCGTTTACCACCACCGGCTGTGACCCACACGATATATACGGCATGCTAATATCGGTAAATGTCACCGACAATAGCTCATCTGATCTCGATTACGCTGCTTCTGGGCTTGCCTTCGCCTGCGACGTCTTCTACCACAAAGCCGAGGCAAGGATCTCGATGCATTCCAACAGCTCCATCATGTCTCTCCAAATCCACCCTGCTACGACCACCACGATGACCGCCGCAGAGTTCAACATTGACTACTTCCAGGCCCTGTTGTCGGAGCACTCTCCTTACACCAGTGACATGTTATTTATCAGTGGAAATGCGACTACTGGGGCTCGTAGAGTGACGGAGCTGCCAGTGATCAGTGAGGAAATGGGCGATCTCGACTCACTTCTAGTATTAGATAGTTCGGCCATCATGACTCAATCGGAGTTCGAGGCTCGAATTCAGCGCGACGTTAAACAAACCTTTGTTCTCACCCTTGGCCGACTCTTCAATCCGGATGGCAAACCCACCACGATCTCTGCAACCAGCACGACAGCTCAAGTCGCGATCGCTATCGTGAACTTTGCCGCTTTAGCATCGGAGCTCATATTTGCGTCAGCAGCTCTGACCTCTTTATATCTTATATTTCTATATCGATCTCGCCAAACGTTTCTGCAAAGTGATCCTGGGTCAATTGCTGCCATGTGCAGCATCGCTGCCGACGTCCTACATCCTTCTAATATCTTGGCCGACCCTAACAACGACTTCCACCAGTTTTCTACCCGTCAATTGAACCTCATCTTCCGGAAGGCTCGTTGTCATTGGCGACCTGGTCCATCTGGAAATCGACTGGAGATCCTTGCAGAGGATGGGTCACCAGTGCAGCTTGGGGAAGATACACGAGTGCGTGTTGATCGGATGCCTCACTTTTTGGTGGTCCCATTCTTCATCATTGAATTTTGCCTCTTGGCCGGCATCATTATATTGATGTGTCTCGTAATCTCCTCACTGGTTAGGGATGGCAAATTCAGTCACCTGACACAATCCGATTCCAGCTCCCTACAAGTGGTTCTCTCTATTTTCCCTTCCGTTGTGGCCTCATCGGTAGGCTCCTTGTGCAGATCTATTCACCGCAACATCAGTATTCTCGAGCCGTGGGTCCACCTTCAACGGGGAATGGCCTCCGCCCGGACTTCCCTATCGACCAACTATGCCTCCCAGAGCCCCTTCGCAACATTCCATAAATGTGTTCGGGACAGAAACATTTTGTTGACCTTGGTGACTATCGCATGCGTTGTTAACCTGATGCTGACTGTTCTCGCGGGTGGTTTATTCACTCAGGAACTGGCAACTTCCACAATGCCAACATCTGACTTGAAAATGAACTATAGTCAGTCAACGTTATGGCAGTCGGACTTCTCGGCCGACTTCACGGAGTATGACTTGATTCAGACCAGCATTATGAGTGGTGTCCCTATGCTGTCTTGGACAAGCTCTAATGAGTCTTTCATCCCAATCCACATTGACAATCGTGACGCTGATGTACTGTACGAGGCGGAAACTCTTGGGATCGGGGCAGGATTGGAATGTGAAACCATTTCTCTCGCGGAAGGTCTGGTCCTGAACTCAACATCGGGCAGCGGCTATTGGCGGTATTCCATGTTCGACAATAACTCGGTTGAGTGTATAGCTCCCATTCCAACGCAGAGTAAAGACGAGGGTATCGCTCTTTCCATCCATTTTCTGTCACCGACCGATGCGAATGAAACAACCATCTGCGAGACATATACTGTCCTGGTCGTCGGGCATTGGGACTATCTGGCTGGCTCCCCATTCACCGACCGAAATACCATTGCCTTGCATTGCGAGCCTGAAGTGCGGTTGCAAAACTATTCCATCAAGTTCGATGAACAGGGACAGATCAAGGGTCACCAATCGGTTGCCAATACATCCATCTCTCAGGGAACCATGTACAACAACGCGAGTGTGAGCCTCGGGCAATTCAACAAGGTCTTCGCTGCTATTCCCGATAGCTATGTGGGCAACACCACGTCAATCAATGGGACGTACAATATCTCGTCTTACGATTGGGCCGGATTTCTTGTTGCGCGTTTGTATCAGCGTGAAGATCCTGACTTTGACTCCCTGCAACCTGCTCGCCTCATCCACCTAACTCGCCATGTTTACCAGTGGGTTTACAGTACCTATTTTTCAATTTGGCGCGATGTTTATTTGGAGCCTTTACAACATCCTGTCCCCGCCATGCACGCCAATATCATTCAAAGTACTTGGGCTATGGTTCCGTCAATGCCATCCCTAATTCTTGTCCTCATTATCATTGGCTTCGACACATTAGTGGTACTCCTTGTATTTGGAACCCGCCGTGGCCGGTTCCGAGGCCCAAGAATGCCGCGATCAATCGGCGCTATTATCCCCTGGCTTGCACACAGTCATATGCTAAATGACTTCAAGACAACGCATACCTGGACTAACTCCAAACGACGCCACCATCTTGCTACATTAAACAAGCGGTATGGGTTCCGCATGTTTATGAACCCGGACGGTCGTTGGCGATTTTCTGTGGAGGAGGAATCGCCGTCAAAATTATCTGATGATTGCCAAGAACCTCAAGGTCCAGATGCTGATAATGCGATCAAGTCTACCTCCATTCAGTTGCAGGAGCTGTCTGGCCAGCGACCCGAGGCCCGTAACCCATCATCCTGAAAATTGTCTACGCATTTCATGACTTTCAAATTGGTTCTTTGTTATTATTTTTCGGACATGCATATCACGATTACTACTTGTACATTTGGGAATTTTGGGCGTTTAGAGTGCAGATCCAGAGACAACGCATATTGGATTTCTTTTTTTCGGCGCTTGGTCTCGCTCGACGAACAGGCTTCGCCGTGGATCGATGTATATTGAATGAGGACACGGTGTTTGATTTGAGACTTAATATGGATTTTTTGGATTTTTGGACATGAAAAGGTTAGGCTACATTCAACTTGGAATATATAAAATTATGAGCAGAAACAACCTTGTGAGTTTTTTGAATATAGTGAGAATATTCAGAGTGGTGCTTTGACTCGCTTTGATCTGCGCAACTTGGTAATAGCTACTATGCATTTGGAAACCGTCGCTCAACAGCCAACTCTTGGGACTTCCCAGTGATGCACATGTGTGTGTCAGACGATATCAACCGATCTCACACGGCGGCAAGAAAATCACACGGCCTCGATATCGCTTGCCCGGGCGTCTTCACCCTTGCGATTAATCTGGTTCGTCAGAGTCACATCATGACATTGGCGGATTAGCTTCCACAATTCATCTGCTTTCTTCACCGGGGAGATGTTTGGGTCGATGAACGCCAAATCAACTGCCTCGAGACTGAAGCCTGCAGTCTCTGGATACCAAAAATATACGATTGGGACAAACGCAATATTGAACGCCGCGAAGATGATATACGTCCGCCACTCAATGTTATTGATCGCCACAAGAACCACCTCAATCACGACGAATGTCGATAGCCAGAGGAAAGCGTTGACGAGACCGACACCCTTCGAGCGGTGGGCGAGGGGTAGAATCTCCGGGCCATAACACTGGACATTGTCAGCGTAAGAGTCGTGGAAGTGTTGTGTCAAGACACGTACCCAAATTCCACCCATGAATCCCCAGGTGTAGAGCGTTTGGTAAGCAAATAGCATCACCGCAGCAGCAATTCCCGAAACCTGTTTATCGACCGACAGCATAGCGGCCATAACCGTCATGACAGCGGCCTTCCCGAGTGCAGAGGTGATGAAGGATCGCCGGCGCCCGATCTTTTCAAAGCTGTACCAAGCCCCTAACGAAGCTACGAGAAACCAAACTTGCAAAAACCCGGACATCAGTAGAGCAAGATGTCCACTGAAGCCGACCGAGTCCTCCAAGCTGCGCAGTTCCAAGCAGTCAGCAATTGGCAGGTACATGTGGATGGTGAGCTCATACATAACAGTGGTGTAATAACTGATCGGTGTACTCCCACTCCAGGCCTGACAGGCGTTGAGAAGACAGGCTCAGGCGACCCGGTGGCGGGAGTGGACGTTATCATCTCGAAGCAGATCCATCCAGCTTTTTTGTTCCCTTTCTAGTTCTAGCGCGTCCTGGATTTCTGCCATGGTAGTCGCCAAAGCCACCTCATCCACTTGGCCATTTGACGATCGTAGGCGACGCAGAACTTCAGCTGCTTCTTGTTGACGATCGTGTTGAAAGAGCCATCGAAGAGCTATGAGAAGCGCTGATCAGTTTATGCCGTAGCGAAACAAATTTTACCAGGCAACGTACACTCGGGCATGAAAAGAAGCATGACATTGAGCAAAATCGCTAGAAATGCCTGGAATGCCATCGAAAATCTCCATGACACTGTGCTAATATATTCTGACATGGCATAGTCGATTCAGTATGCCAACACCTGACCTGAGAAAACTCAGGGAAGTCGCAACCAAGGTACCTTATGACTCCATGGGGTATAACTCTTATCGATCGGCAAATGTTCTCTATCCTATTGGCGAGGCGATCATACTTCGTCTGCAGTAAAATTCGTGGAAATTCCATTCTGAAAGCTCTTTTCTAGTTAACTATCCCTAGGTACATATAGACCTCTGTGATCCACTTCACAGGGCTGCTCGGATTCGACCATCCACTGCGCATAAAAGCAAATACAGAGTCTCCATATAGGGAGTTGGGATGCCTAGCTCTTTGGATTTTCGCACAGGAAATCCAAGAATCACATCAATCTCCATAGGTCGCCCATTCTTACAGTCAGTCTGCATGCTACTGCCAATACCCGGCATAGCGTTGATCTTATCCATAAGCTTGTCCACCAAGCCGTCATCCAGGTTCACACCACAGCCACGACCCACACTGATCACTTCCCGCATCAACCGCCGAGTAAATGGCTCTGCATCTGTAGATGAATGTAGCCAGGTTTGAGTATCCACCAGCGTAAGCGCGGTGATAGAATTCCATGCGACATTCCAAACAACCTTTTCCCATCGCTGTTGCTGCATATCTTCGAGGACCTTGAATCGAGTCTTTCCGTGCTGGAGTAGGTTGACGAAAGTCCCCAGTCGCTGGCTCTCGATCGCAGCGTCGAGCCGGTCATTTGGATATAGGCCAATCTGCATATCCTCGGACTTGGTGTGGTTGACAATGCCAGGGCTGATCTGCGTGGCACCCACCCAGGTCTGTGGCCGTTAGCTTCCAGATAGATAATGGCCAGAATCACACATACAACACAGGTCAAAATAAAGCATCTAGGGAACTGGTTTCTGAAGGGTACTTCGTTTCCCACGCCATTCTGAATAATCACGAAAGTAGTACGACCATCTTCAACAGCTGGCTTCAATTGCGCTGCCACGTCCTCTTGATCGATAGCCTTGTGGGCGCATACGATATAGTCCACTGGTGATGCCTCCGCGGGTGTTCTCACAACTAAGCACCAGAGTTTAGACATGTTTCGTTCGAATGCACTAGGGGCGTACACTCACCTCGGTATGGGCGGAACGTGTGCTTGCCGTGGTTCTCACTGTTGATCGTGATTCCCTACGGACAGTCAGTGCCATTTCCGACCCCAGAAAAAACCAGCGTACATTAGCGGAAACCGCGTCATAATTTGATCGTGCAACAACTGTCAATCGCACATGGTCGGAACGGCTAAGAATGAATGCGTAGAAGGAGCCGATGCTAGAGATTGTCAGCGACGGGGAGGTAGTGTCAGGCTGTGGCTACGTACGCTCCTAGGCCATACAGAAGGACATCAATTTGTTCGGACATCTTGTGTGTAACCAAATATTTTTCAGAAGCAAGTATATGAGGTTTTTTCCAGCTGTCAGCGTCTCTGCTATTCCATTGCGGGGTCTGGACTTCTCCCCGCACTAGTGGGGTCACTGGTGGGGGGGTAACGTGGGGGTCGGTCAAGCGATACAAAAACGATTTCAACGATGATGATGCCATTCTGACTATTTATTCCATGCTGAAATAAGAAAATGACACTTTCCAACTTCGAATTAACCCGCTGGTGACTCGGAGTCTTTCCCCAGATAGGGAAGAGTCAATCCTATAAAAATAAAAATAAAAACAAGCCACAAGCGGCGGTTTTGGGCCAGGACTTATACAATTTCGTGTCGAAGAAAAGAAACAAAGACAGTATATCTTGAGCCCGCCTCCAAACTGCTCCTGCTCGGGAGGCTAAAGGTCCCAGATAATCGCCCACATGCCAATCATAGTAGGTAACGCTCTCATGTCCAGTACTGCCGCCTGAATTGCCCATGCTCTTTGCGAATCTCGCTGTGCCTTCAGCAAGTCGTGGTGCAGTCATCCGGGGGAAGAAGAAGCTATATGAGTAGGCGGGAAACAGACGAAAGGTTCATGATCTGCATTCCGAGAGGGGCCGAGAAGGAAGAAAGACAGAGAGAGAGTGTGTGTGTGTGTGAGTGTGTGTGTGTGTGTGTGTGTGTGAGAGAGAGAGAGAGAGAGAGAGAGAGATAGAGGGAGAGGGAGAGAAATTTAGATGGCGCAAACGCAAACACCTATTCAATGACAATGGACCAGAACAGACGCTACTTGACGCAACTGAAGAGTCTCACCTGATGCACATGCTTTCTTGGCTTTCGAGGATCATCGGTTCAAAAAACGCCTTGATTTCAAGGTGCCAATATTGCCAAAGATAGGAAATCACCGACATATTGTCAAAAATACCCTTATTAACTTTCCCGTGACATATAGGAAGGTCAGAGCTGTATGAAAGCAAGTTGGTCAATAATTTGACCATTTCTAGAGATTTTTATGAGAGGTAACAAATGCATAAAATACATGGGCAAGGGCAAGATGGAGTTAAAGACTAGGCAAGCACCATATTACTCGATGAATTACATCTCCAATACTAGATATTCAACAGACGTAGAGGTATGAGTAAAATAGTCCTATAGATGTACCAAACAAACATATGAGTGATTTCATGAGAGATTATCGAAGCCAAAACCTGCTCACATTTACAACTTGACGCTACCAACCAAGTCCCGTTCCAAACGACCCGCATTCACCATCTCTGGACACAACTCCTGAAGACTGGTGGCCCCAAGGAAGACCATATTGGATTCGATCTCCTGCCTAAGGATCTTCACCATACGCCGCACCCCCTTCTCCCCATAACCTGCTGACAAACTGAATAGGAACGGCCGACCCAATCCAACCGCAGTAGCCCCCAAAGCAATGGCTTTAAGGACGTCTGTCCCTCTACGAATTCCACCATCGATGAAAATCTGCATTTTGCTTTTCAGCAAGAACGGTGCAAATTTGCGGATCTCGAGAAGAGTGATCAGTGGCGATTGAGCTCTGACGAGGTAAGCATGGGAAGATCCAAAAATATATAAAGAGTCAGCGTTTGAAGACTTACGTGTCTTGAGATCGACCGCCATGGTTGGAGAGAACGATCCCTTGCACCCCATGCTCATAAGCGAGTACGGCGTCTTCAACGCACTGAATACCCTTGATAACGACAGGGAGGTCCGTCAGGTCTCGCAACCATGAAAGAATACTCCAGTCAATGAAGGGGGATATCGAGCTCGCCATAATCTTCGCAACCCCTTGTCCTTGAGCAGTGCTATCTTCCGCCTACACGAAAACCATCAGAGCTGCTTATACGAAGAGGTTCGGTTCCATCTTACCGTCACGCTCAAATTCAGCCTCTCATCCATTTCTCTTTTCCCAACCACCGGAGAGTCAACAGTGATCCAAATTGCTTGAGCTCCAACCTTCACTGCTCGCCGAATAGTGTCCACCGACTTGTTAATATCGCGATTGACATACAATTGGGCAAATAACGGCTGATCTGCTGATGTGCGCGCCTCCATGACCCTCTCAATTGGCATACTGGCGCCATTGGCGAGGACTTGTGCCAATCCATCTTTGCCTGCGGCTGCAGCCAAGGCACACTCTCCATCAGGGTGTGCAAACTTGGCAATTCCGACAGGAGATATATAGACCGGAAGGGATACTTTGTGGCCTAGAATTGATGTTGTGGTGTCCACGCTTGGAATTTTTCGTAAGATTCGAGGTCGCAGAGAGACTTTTTGATATGCTTTGGCGTTGTTCCGTTTGCTGATCTCGTCATCTGCTCCAGATGAATAATACGCCCAGGCATTTGCAGTGAGATATTTTTGGGCTACTTGTTCAAAATCGTGCAGGTTGATGAGGGTGCCTAATGGTGGAGGACTGCTATCCGCCGGATTGCAATCCGGGTTTGTGTTTTCAGCATAATTTGAGGTCTTCAATTCTGTTGCATCGATATGACCTTTCAAGGCACTTTTGGGAAGGCCTTCGGTCAAGGTCTCTTTCGAATGGACAGAGTCAAATTCATTGGTCGCGTCTCTGCCAGCGCAACGCAAGATTACATTTGCACCGCCAGGATGGGAGTCCAGAAAGTCTGGAGATTGTCAATTGTTTTCTAATCATCACATTTTATGGGGGATAGTACCTGTCACATCATAGACCCCACCATGGATAGCCACCCAGCAAGAATCCCTGCTATTGTGCTGTGCAATATCTTCTTTTGTGAGCTTCATGATGTTTGATCCACAAGCAAAAGCATTGCTCACAAGAAGTACAATATTTGAGCATTTCACATCCCCGCATATTGGGCGGAATTAGACCCGAGAAAACGTGGGGGTACCGTCTCTACTATGTCTGTGCTCCATTGATCGACATCGGCCCACTTGGCAATGCTGAGGAATCCGGGGTTAATTCTGCCGCCGCTACATCAGATACCGTTCTGATGCAACCTTAATAGGTATAATATATCCCCTGGGCTTTCAATCACGATCAAATAACGTTGAGCTTGCATCATACCTACGCACAGCCATGGCCACCAAATCTTCTCAATCAAATGTCCCCTTCAAACCTGCAGCTACGCACGTCGAGGGGGCGGACATTCCCACTAACACTGGGAAGATCCACAATGGAGACGCAGCCTTGGCTTTATTCGAAAACTTGGAGGATATGCATGAAACATTCAAACCAGGAGAGGAGAAGAAACTGGTTCGCAAGATTGATCTGATGATCCTCCCCTTTCTATCTGTTTGCTACGCATTCTATTATGTACGGTTGGCTCTACTTAAAATTCAAACGGCCATGAACTAATCAAACAGATTGACAAAACAACTCTGTCTTACGCTGCAATCTTCGGCATTGAGGACGATTTGAACCTCTCTGGAACCGAGTATTCATGGCTGTCCAGTGCATTCTACTTTGGCTTTCTGGTCTGGTCTCTTCCAACCAATCTGCTCATGCAACGCTTTCCAATTGGCAAGTATCTTGGAGTCAACATTTTTGCCTGGGGATTCTTTCTCATGCTTCAGGGTATGTATACCCGCTGACCTAAGTCAGTTTGTACTGACTGTGCACAGCGGCTGCGAAGAATTTCACACAGCTTGTAGTACTGCGTGTCATATCAGGGGCTGCCGAGGCCTGCAGGTTTGTTGTTTTCAACCTCGCTGTAATAAACATCACTGATTTAAATAGTGATCCCGCTTTTATGCTTATCACGAGCATGTGGTATACTCGGCGAGAACAGCCAATTCGCATCGGATTATGGTACACTGCCAATGGCTTTGGGATTGCCGTGGGTGGTCTTCTTGGTTACGGTATCGGTCAGATTAATGGCGTTCTCTCATCATGGAAATATGAGTTCCTCATAATTGGCGCTCTGTGTGCGTGCTGGGGAATCGTGATGATCACCTTCCTCCCTGACTCTCCAGTCACTGTCCCTCAATTATCCGACCGTGAGAAGCGGTTGGCTGTTGAGCGGTTGCGTGATAACCAAACTGGTATCGAAAACAAGAATATCAAGCCGCGGCAGATCCTCGAGGCTGTTACAGATTGGAAGGTGTGGGTGTTTTTTCTACTGGGATTCTCGGGTAACATTCCCAATGGTGGAATTTCCAACTTTGGAACCCTGATCATCAAAGGATTTGGGTTTTCAACTCGTAAGTGATAAGTCGACAAGAAACGGACAGGATCTAACCACACTACAGTGGTTACTACACTGATGCAGATTCCATATGGCGCATTCATCTCATTGATGATCCTTCTTGCGGTCTTCGTGAATGATCGCCTCCCTCGCAACAACCGATGTATCGTGGCTATTGTGTTTTTGCTTCCAAACCTGGCAGGTTCTTTTGGTCTGCATTACGTCCCCCAATCAAACCAAGTAGGGCGCTTGATTTGCTATTACTTGACGGGCTCTTACAATGCATCCTTTGTGATCATTCTTTCCATCCTAACTGGCAACATCGCTGGTCACACAAAGAAGGTTATCACGAATGCGATGATCTTCCTGGGTGTGTGCGCGGGAAACATTGCCGGCCCATTCTTCTACAAATCGGATCAAGCACCCGTGTATTCACTCGGCATCTGGTCCATGATAGTGGCCAACTTTGTTGAAATTGCTCTGATCGTGGTGCTCGGATTTGCACTTGCGTGGGAGAATCGACGACGTGACCGGATGCAGGGTGTTGCTCCTGGCGATGATGCGGACTATATGCGACAGCTTGAGCTGGATCGATCTGCGTTCAGTGACTTGACAGATAAGGAGAACATGAATTTTCGATATCTATACTGACGGTAAAGCGTCTTGTATAAATGAGACATACTTTTACCGCTATACACTACTGTCTTTATATTGATATGTTATGTAAATGCTAACTAGTCTATGTCTATGCCGAGACATAGCGGCCTCAAGCATGTTCTGGATTTGGCTTACCGCCTTGATTACCGCTAGATGTCAACTCATGACCGTAGATCCTCTCCCAAAAGGCAAATCCGAAAGCTCTCTTACTCCTCGGGTGCTCTGCCTCCCCACCAAAGACCCGACATTATTCCACCAATTATCGATAAGAAGAAGTTGGCGTGGGGACTCACTCGGTAATTCAACCTCTCACCCCGGACTTTGCCCGATCCTCTTCCCCGCGTGGCGTGGGGTGGGGGCGTGGGGGGGCCCCATGGGGCCCGGGGGCCTTTGACGCGCAACGCGACAGAATAAATGTATGCCCGCTCCCTACACTTGTCTTTCCAATCTTGATTTCTGAAGCATTCAAACTTTTTACAATATGGTCAAGATCAAGTCGATTGAGTATTTCCGGGTGAAGCCCCGTTGGTTGTTCGTCAAGGTCACCGACGAGGAGGGACAGATTGGCTGGGGTGAGGGAACCCTCGAAGGTCACTCTCTAGCTGTCGAAGGAGCTTTGGATGAGATCATTACTCGTATTGTCGGTTATGAGGCAGAGTATGTTGTGCTGCTCAAGCTTGATTTGCTCTCACTGACCTTTTCTGTAGTGACATCGAGCACATCTGGCAAACAATATGGCGACTAGGATTCTACCGCGGAGGAGCAGTCTTCATGTCCGCCATTTCGGGTATTGATATTGCACTGTGGGACCTCAAGGGTCGCCGATTGGGCGTTCCAGTCTACCAACTGCTGGGCGGAAAGGTGCGGAACAAGGTGCAGGTGTACGCTTGGATCGGAGGAGATCGACCGAGTGATGTGGAAGCTGCAGCGTAAGTCTGAAAGAATTATGAGCTCAAATGTGCAAATTCTTACTGTGACACAGCAAGGCCCGAATTGCCCAAGGTCTCAAGTGCATTAAGATGAACGCGACCGAAGACGTCAACTGGCTCGACTCCCCCGCCGTTCTACAATCGTGCGTCGAGCGCCTCAAGCAGGTCAAAGCACTCGGTCTCGATGCTGGCCTAGATTTTCACGGCCGTCTCCACAAACCGATGGCCAAGCAACTGGCAAAGGCACTGGAGCCCTACCAGCCTCTCTTCATCGAGGAACCATTGCTGTGCGAGCACCCCGAGGCCCTCAAGCAGCTCTCCAACTCCACAACGATCCCCATTGCCTTTGGCGAGCGTCTATACACCAGATGGGACGTGAAGAGATTCTTGGAGGACTCCTCAGTCGATGTCCTACAGCCCGATATTGCCCATGCAGGTGGTATCTCGGAGACAAGGCGCATTGCTGCCTTAGCCGAAACCTACGATGTGGCTATCGCTCCGCATTGCCCACTGGGTCCTATTGCTTTCGCGGCATCGCTACAAGTTGCCCTTGCAACACCCAACTTTGTCATCCAGGAGATGTCATTGGGTATGCACTATAATGTGGAAGCGGGTGATATTGATTTGAATAGTTACGTTGTCGACAAGACTGTGTTTGATATTGAAGAGGGATATGTGGCGGCGCCATTGAAGCCTGGTCTGGGAATAGATATTGATGAGGAGATGGTTCGACGGATCAGTAAGGAGACGGAGCCCTGGCAACCTAAGGAGTTCCACGGTCCTGATGGATCTATTCGGGAGTGGTAGGCCTTTTGACCTGGTTATTTCGTAATATTATGATCTATTTTATAGAACTTAAATGCAGTATGGTCTCCTGCGAAATGCTTTAAGCATGCGTACGAGATACCTATGATTTCTTGAACTATCCGAGAGTTTGCTGTTAGTCGACACCCACATCTGGATAGATTCTGTATTGGCCCTCAATTTACTCCCACTCCGTTTGATTCAGCTCCCAATTCCACTGCCATACCCCCACTCGACGTAAATATGTTCACGACTTCCACTCCAGCCTGACACTCTTCACTTAAGTGCGGGGAAATGAGCGTGGGGGCACAAAATATCTCAGTATATAATTCGGCTTTCCTCCGATTGAGCTTCCTCCCCGCATTTCACAATCCCAACACACTCACCATGGATCTTTTTTCTCTTGCAGGTCGGACGGCCCTTGTGACAGGCGGTACTCGTGGAATTGGCCAGGCAATGGCCATTGCCCTGGCCGAGGCTGGTGCCGACATTGTCCTGGTTCAGGTACATTCAAATCATCGATAAAAACCTGAGATCTTGGCTGACGCGCCATAGAGAGACACCAGCAACTCCGTCACAAAAGAAGAAATTGAGAAACTGGGCCGGAAAGCAACCATCTACACAGCGGACCTTGCATCCCAAGCTTCCGTCTCAACTCTGCTCGCCACCATAACTAGAGACGGCCATGACATCGACATCCTTCTCAACTGCGCTGGCATTCAACGAAGACACCCGAGTCATCTCTTTCCTCAAGAGGACTGGGATGAGGTAGATATTCACATGCATCTAAGGATATCTCACCATCATCGCACTAATCACAAATCGTCTTCCAGGTCCTGCAAGTCAACCTAACAACCGTATTCACACTCTGCCGAGACGTCGGCGCATACATGCTCAATCGCACCCCCAATCGCTCCGGTCAGCGTGGAAGCATCATCAACGTCGCATCCCTCGTATCATTCCAGGGAGGTCTAACAGTCCCCGCCTACGCAGCAGCGAAAGGAGGCGTGGCACAGCTTACCAAGGCGCTGTCGAATGAGTGGTCCTCGAAGGGGATCAACGTTAATGCGATTGCGCCAGGATATGTCGCGACGGACATGAATACAGCGCTTATTCAGGATAAGAAGCGTGCGGCGAGTATCTTAGCGCGGATCCCTGCTGGGAGGTGGGGGAATCCAGATGATTTCAAGGGCTCCGTGGTGTATCTGGCTAGTAGGGCGAGTGCGTATGTGACTGGGGAGATCTTGACGGTTGATGGGGGTTGGATGGGACGATAAATATAAGAAGGTGCCATTTTGGGATACAAGTCATCTTGAGAAACGTCTGCCAGATCAGTGGGTTCTTTTTGAGCTTGATTATCCTAGCCAGGGTGTGGATGGTATCCTCGAGAACAGCTATATGGTGTAGGTGTTTGGGACATTGAATTGATTCTTGAAGACTATATTGGGAGAATCGATAAGACAATGGAGTTAGACGGGAACAATAAGGACTGACTGGCAGGGTCTGTGTGTCCCAATTTTCAAATGAAATTATGATTTGATTCTTTATTATAGAATACGGATCTCTTTCGCTAGGATCTCCAGTTTCTCCACCTCCCGATCCCGAGTCCCCACATACTGTGGATTTTATCTCTTGGCCCCTTGCGGCTTGTCTAGAAATTTCGTTGCCTCACGCCTTATCCAAAGCGTCCTGAACCACTTCTACTACAGCCTCAGGCTGGCTCAACATAGGTATGTGACCCGCACTGCACCGCTTGACCTTACTCCTCGCGAGTCCGGCCAGCTGCTCCTGAAGCGGGACCGGGAGCACGTTATCACCCTCACAAACCAGATACACACTAGGCACATCCTTCCACCCCGTATAACTGACAGTATCATCCCACCCTTGTGCAGGCTGTGATTTAAAAGCAGCGAGCCACTCCGCATGGTCGGCTTCAGGAACATCGCCTAAGAGGAGGAATTCGGGTTGCGCGCAGTGGGAGGCTCCGCCCTATCATTATACATGGTCGCGTTAGCCACATCCACGAACATCTGTTCTCGATTCTTCCAACTGACCTCGACCAAGGCAAAGGGTAATGGCTGGTGCTGATGTCCCTCTGGATATATGGCAGCTGCGAGGAACACAATGCTCACTACTCCGGGCTGGTCGCTGCGAGTTCCTTTGTCCAGTCCTCGCATCGCTTCGCTTCCAAGAAATCCGCCTGCCGAGTGTAGTACCAGGATGATGTCCTCCCCTCGCGCGAGAATAGTTTCTATATGGGTGCGGACGGCGGCTACGTCATCTTTCATCCCTGGGTTTCCGGGCGAGGTAGTGCCTGTGCTTGGGAGCACGGCGACTTCAACTGTGATATTTTGCATCGCTAGGAGAGATCTCACTTTGTTGAAGACTGTTGGACCTTCCCAGAACCCTGGAACGAAGAGGACGGTTGGTGCCATGGTAAGAATTAGGGCCAAAGTTCGGAGGATGAGAAGCGATGCTATAAGTTGGAAAAATGGGATATTTGGGAACGATATAACACAGCAAATGAGAGGCGGGGTAAGGAAACCTGGCCGTTGCTTGTTTTACGGGGTGCATGGTAAGACGATGTGGGTGCCGAATTCTCCGATGAGATGACAGCTCAAAGATCTCTCACCGAGTCTGTTGGTGGGTCAAGTCTCAATAAGACTGGTGCATTATCTGTCATCGAGTACTGTAGCTTAGACATACACGCTTTTCATTTTTCATTGTTGGCTATATCTAATGTGCGGGGTAGACAAGTTCCCAGTGAGTAGATCGAGGAACGGCAAGGCTCATGTCGATAAATTCTTGCAGGAATAACTATGATATAAACGCCTCACATTAATAATTTGTTTCAAACATGGCAAGCCACTTTTATGAACCACCTTCATCGTTACCAGATATTTGCTCAAATACGAAAATATTCTCAAAGTCCTTTATAGTCTCTCCATCACCAAGGCCCATGTATGCGTCGCGTATTATGCACAGCGGGCATGGCTACTAGTGGAGGAAAAAATGAGCAATTCATTGTTGTAATGGCCCCCAAAGTTGTCAGCTTAAGACGGTTCGACTTTGCTACAGTGAGATTATAGCAGGGAACACACATATTACGGAGTCCGTAATAATGCCCATATCTAATCACCTAGATGCGCCCTAAATCCCCCTCATTTCAGGTCTTAACCACTGAGCTCAAATGATTGAATTCCATTCTACACATAAGCATTGTAGGTTCGGATTCTTCGTCATAACTAACCAATCCAGGATGAACACGTGCCTACCTGATTTTCTGAATCAACATGCTGTCTAGTATGCTATCTGACCTATTGGTTATTATTCAAGGGCCCTCATTCAGACATAATATGCTGAATCTTTGACTACATGCTCTGCTAGGGTGCTTGTGTGTTGTGGACCTTCCCGGTGTTAGTGGGAATGTCCGAAGAAGTAAATGTTTACCTTGAAGGAGAGCACAGAAGCGGTGGCTGAAAAAGGAGTTTATATTGATCAGAACTGGAGAAATACTGCAAATTCAAGAAAATGACCCTGTGATTTGTTGTGCATTTTATATGATAAGTTGTTACCATCGCTGTAGCGCACGAATGGCCTAGTTTTCTCTTGAGTTCTCTGTCACTCTCCTTCACAGCACTTCCAGCCTGGTATAGGGAACTCAAGACAACGATCGCCCTTAGAGCAGCGAGCGTCACTTCGCACAATGTTTCTAAGTTTTGTTATTCTCTACCACAGCATACCGCTGACAAGCATCTACCTACCCTCGGCTCCAAAACCCTGGTTTTGATCTCAGCATGATCTCATTCTGCAGGGTAACATGGTGGGCCTGGCGAGGACTCCACTACGGCTTGATCTCCACCAAATTATTGCTGCGACCTGAAAATGACCACCAGCAGATCCTCGTCTCGGCGATTTGCCATAGCTACATGCACAGTATCGTCTGAAAGCTCTGAAAATTTACCTTTCCGCTTGCATATTCCGGTCCAGATTTCTGCCACTCCAGGCGGTCCACATGCGATGTCGAATTTTTGCCCTGGACCCTCCGACGATCGTGCCAAGACCACTAAGGTACACTAAGCCAATCGCGCGAAAATCTGCATGAGATCCAAGCATCCATTGTATACGGAGACACTCGGCTGATCCAAATCGTCCAGCCGTCCGGCTGCTTCCGAGTCAAATCGAAACCCACGAACATCGGCCTTAATTTCACACGCAACATTATCAATCACGCGCTATATTCATACATCGCAACATATACATACTCTGGTATTTCTCGCCATAGATCGCTCGTACTCCGTCCCAGACTTGCCAAGCCACCAAGAAATGTCAAGAGCTTCAGCTCAGGGACCCATCTTCATGTCTGCCAAGGATGTCGATCCTGAAGATCCTAGCCAATTTAGCTCCGGCCAACTCAATCCCGCTTTTCCCTCATACTATTCCCACTATCGACAACCCATTTGCAATCTCGATCGGCGATCCGGTGGGTTTTCTGACAAACTAAACAGTTCATGATGATCAATTGCAGACCGGTCTTCTCGTCTATAAAGGTTACAAGGTTTCCCATGATTGTCCCGCCCACGCCAGTATTGGACAGTCGTAACAGTCACCATGACTTGGAAAATCGCTACCGTCCTGTCTGCCATCTTGTCTCTGGGCTCTGTTGCCACTGCAGCCATTCCCAAGACTGACTACGATGTCATTGTCGTCGGCGGTGGTCCCTCGGGTCTTAGTGCCCTGAGTGGCGTGTCTCGCGTGCGGAGAACTGCTTTATTGTTTGACAATCAACAGTACCGTAATGCTCCTACCCGAGCTATGCATGATGTGATTGGCAACGATGGTGAGTATTCCTGCCGATCTGCAAATGATCTTTATTGACTTGGAAACTCTAGGCACACCACCTGCTGCATTCCGTGCTTTGGCCCGCGAGCAAATCTCCCGCTATCCCACGGCCCATTTCAAGAACTCCACTGTGCTGTCCATCAAGCCTTATGGCGACGGCTCCGTGTCCGCTTTCAACGTGACCGACGACACCGGTATGTCCTACACTTCCCGTAAGCTTGTGCTTGGCACTGGTGTCAGCGACGTACTGCCCGATACTCCCGGTCTGCATGAAATCTGGGGCAAGGGCCTCTTCTGGTGCCCATGGTGTGATGGTTATGGTAAGATCGCTCAATCCTACTTTGTGAGCCCTGACTAACAATACGCAGAGCACCGTGATCAACCGTTTGGCATTCTTGGGAACATCGCCGACGTTCTTGGCAGCGTCCTGGAGACTAACACCCTCTTCTCTGAAATCACCGCCTTCGTCAACGGAACAGACACACCATCCGGCGAAGTCGCCGCTACATCCCAGCACGACGAGTGGAAGGAGCAACTCAACGCCTGGAACGTCAAGATCGATAACCGTACTATCACTCGCATCGAGCGACTCCAAAATGGCGAGATCCACCAAAACAAGACAACCGACCAGCAATTCGACAAATTCCTCATCCACTTCTCCGAGGGCGAGCCAGTCGAGCGCGGTGCCTTGATCATCAACGCGCCTACGGTGCAGCACTCCACCCTGCCTTTCCAGATGCACTTGAACATCACGAACGAGAAGATCGACGTCGTCACGAGCAGCATGCGCACCAGCATGGCTGGTGTCTGGGGTATCGGCGATGCCAACAGCGACGCATCGACTAATGTCCCCCATGCTATGTTCAGCGGAAAGAAGGCTGCTGTCTACCTCCACGTGGAGATGTCCAAGGAGGACTCCCAGTCTAAGATCTCCAAGCGAAGTGGACTTTCTGAGCGGGAGCTGATGAAGGAGGCAACCCGCGCTATTGGAGTTAATCTAGAGCCCCAGTGGGAGCAGGTTCAGAAGCGTGAAATGGCCTGAACGATGATTTGTAATTTATGCTCGCATTACTCGTTTTGCGGGCTCCGAGTCCATTGTCTATAACATGGTATGACGAGTTGAATATAGCAGATGATTAATTCATGATGGGATGAATGAAACTTATTCAAGGAGTTACGATGGATATTGATGCTTCCGATGCTTCCGGTGCTCGACTAAAAAACGATCGTAGACTGTATGTGGGCATTCAGACATGTGAGTCCGTCCTCGGCTAATCACATACTGACGTGATTACCCCCTCCGACATCGAACTGAATATTTTGTCTTTCCAGATAGCGTCTCTGCGGCAATAATGGTATCCGATTTCAATATACCAACCAAGAATGTCTCAAGCAGGTTACGGATGAATCGCTTCTCTATTTGCCACCTCCAACAGGCCATGAGCATAGACTGACGAAGTTTTATTGGCCAAGATAAGACGGCGTTGGAGTTGGTAGTCTTGAGGACCGGAAGCTGATCCTTGGTAGCCTCAGTGGGTCAGGGCCAGCGAAGAAGTATGGAGTCGGCCACAGTAGCTCTCTTTGTACTGATGACCTATTATTGAGATTCTTAGTGCTAAGCAAATATCAAAGGCTTAGTGATTTCAATTTTATGCAGTGTTTCATAGGCTAAATGACACCAAGTGGTCGATTTATGAAGAATCATTTCACCCGCTCAAATCAAGTGAGACTTGGTTACTGTAGTTATTCGCTGTAGAGAAGATCAATGTCCATGATATAATCTACCTGTAGTCCCCAAACCCCCATAGGACTGCTCTGCCACCCACATAATGCCGATAACCGACTGTCATCCGACTTGAATGCCATTCTGTAACGCAAGGTAGACGATCTTTCGACCGGAGGCTTGCAATTGATCTCCATTATCGAGACCGCCATCTTCGATAGCTCATGTTCTGTGGATGCGTTCAAAGTGCCTCGCATATGGTTAACGTGACGTCTCAGGCCATGTGCGCTGGCTGTACTATTCCCCCAGCTCGGCATCGCTTCATGTTTGAAAATGCCGATATCGATAACGTGCGATTTAGACTACCAACCAAGGTTTCAAAGTGGAGGCGTGCCGAGCGATACCATGGTTCTGTGCCGGAGAAGTTTGGCAATGTGGGTGGTTGATGGAGTCAACCAGATGTTCGACTCGGCTCAATCGCCAACTCCGGCGACCCCAACGGGGATCTGCAAGGGATCGTCGATCGGCACCAGTTCCTTCAGTCCCTGAATAAGTTCCCCAAATCAAGCATTCTTCCAGTCATAACGGCTCTATCTCTCTTTGTTCAACTTAATTCGCCCTCCATGATCCGGGGTACATTCCCAATCCGTCGTTTGAGGTCCTTGAATGGTTCGATCTCCATATTATGGCCAACTAATCTGCTTTGAGACTGGAAGGCTTCTTTTAGAGGACAAACTTTATTCTCATGGTGGAGAACAGCACTTCACAACGTGCATGTTTCACAGTTTAACTCCAGGGGAACCATCCATAACCAGACTTCGAATTTCCATTCGACCCCTCTATTGGCTGGCTGATTCTTGATATACTAGTCCACAGACCCTGGAGCTTGGCATCGAGACCCGGGAATCACAGCAGAATGGATCATTCCAAGGCCTCGGTCAAAGGACCTTGAAGACTTGGTTTCTACTGCCACCACGATAAGCAGCAACCATGTGGAGACTCCATCGGCTCTTTTACAGAATCGCAAATATGAGCCTCTGGGTCTAAGAAGACGCAGATCACGTTCTTTGACGACCATCTTCTCAAGACAAGGTATAAAAACCCCCTCCAGTCCCTCCATCTTCTCTCTACCATCAAACAAACTACAAACTCGACAACTCTCTTCTGATCAAGATCACATTCTTTTGACAAATCTTGTCTTCCACTTTCTAGACTTCATTATCCACAATGAAGACCTCAATCGCTCCCCTCATTTTGGCCCTCTCGGGCTCTGCCATGGCTGCCCCCTTCAGCTCAAACGGCACTTCCAATGGCACTTATGCCATTCCTACATCTTCGGGCATTATTACCCCGTCTCGCACCCCCAGTGGTCTGCCTACGCCTTCTGGAACTCCTTCCTTTGGCTCGGTCCCAGCCTCTCTGTTCCCTGACAACGTGAAGCGCGGTGGTTCTTTGACTATCCCCACCGACCTTGCTTCTCTGGTCTCTGACGCCGAAGACGTGGTTGGTTCTCTGGCTTCTGCTGGTGCCAAGAAACGTGGAGACTCTCTCTCTATTCCCACAGACCTGCCGTCCCTGGTCTCTGATGTCGAAGATGTCGTCGGTTCTCTCGCTTCTGCTGGAGCTCAGAAGCGCGGTGAGTCTCTTTCGATCCCCACCGACCTCCCCTCTCTAGTCTCCGACGTAGAGGGTGTGGTTGGTTCCCTCGCATCTGCTGGTGCCAAGAAGCGTGGAGACTCTCTCTCTATCCCGACCGACCTCCCCTCTCTAGTCTCCGACGTAGAGGGTGTGGTTGGTTCCCTCGTATCTGCTGGTGCTAAGCGTGGTTTCACCTCGCTGCCTATTCCCACTCCTTCTGGCACTCCCCCGGCGGGTTCCAGCGTGCCCCTGGCTTCCGACAGCTTGACCCCTTCCTCTGCTCATCCTTCGGCTACTGGTACCTCCTTCTTTGGTTTCCCTCTGGCCTAGGTCTACAGAGGTTGTACACTCCGATCCAGGATCGGTTGATTAGTACGGGTCCTTCATGAAGGGTAGTACTTTGGATTTTTAACCGTTCTAAATTGTCACTGGATGATGCTTGTCTCTCTTTTATGATCTTACACTCGTTTCATTAGGTATATTTGTTCTTCATGATGGATAGTACTTTGGGTTTTTTACCGTTTTGAATGATCACTGGATGATCTTTGTCTCTCTTTTATAGACTTACACTCGTTTAGTTAGGTACATTTTACTTTCAGAACACGATAGGGCTATGAATTCATTTTTTTTGTCATTTTTCAATTCCATTCCTCATGCCACTTGATAAGAGCAGCTTGTTGGGACAGTAAAGCTAAATTGAAGGCACGACGAATATATCCTTGTATTTGGGAGAGGATTGTGTATTGATGCCTTGTTTGGAACTGAATCATGTTGATCTACTTCAGACCAGCGTTTGTTGACTAAAAGTCATTATAAAATCCTCACAGACCGCTTCGCGAATCGGAAGCGGTCTGGGGGTGCAGAGTTATAGACTTCCTCAAATCAATCATTGGGTAGCAATATCACTAATTGTATAGACACTCTTCACGCTTCCCGAAATCGCTTCATCGGCCCGTATCTGGATGTGAAAGCCCGCAGGGATGGACCCCAAAAGTATAGTGGAATAGCACAAAGGACGCTCACAACTTGGATAGCCGTCATCTCTCCAAACACAGAGGCTGTGCCTTGTCGTTCAATCCAGTCTGCTGCATAGAGAGACAATAACATGCCAATGGTATTACGAATGACGAATATAATCACTAGGGCCTCGCCAGTAACCTGAAGTGGTTGAGTCAGTTCTGTAATCTGAAGAATGAGGAATTAGGAAATCCTGCAAATATTACATACCGGCTTATATGACTCTAGCGAGTAGGTCACAGCCACGTTCGATATAGCAGCCACGCCAAAGGCCTGCATGGCATATCCTATAGCGGGTCCAATCCAGTGGGTCTTGTGCGCCACGCAGAGTCCAAAAATCAAGATTCCCGCCGGTCCAATGGTTCCGGGAATTACAATTGCCGGTAGTCGATACTCGGGCATGCGAACTCCACCGTGCTTCATAGTGCTCCGATTGGAGATAATATCAATCAGTCGGCCACCCGCATAAAATGCCAGTACGCAGCCAATAAAGCCGGCTAGGGACAGAAGACCAAGATCACCTAATTTCCAACTGTAAGGCGGCTTGAGAAATGTGCGGGAGGATGTCAATTGGACCACAATATTCCTGTTTGAAGGTTAGGTTACTCTTGCATGTGGGGGTGGAAGCTACGAACCATCCAACCGAGATTCCAATCGTCAATGAGCACCAGATCAACGGCGGATAAGCGGCATTGGCTAGAATATCCAACAGCGCTTGCAGAAATGAAGCATCCCGGTTAAAACCCAGTGTCAAGGACATCCACTGCCATTGTGATCGTTTGCCTCGACTTTCCGGGTTCTTCAGGTACGTTGTCTCCCGGATAGTGAAGGTAGCGATCACGAAGATCACCCCGACCGCAATCGACAGGAAATAGCACATCCAGCGCCAGTCCTGCTGTTGCACGAGATACGCATTGATCAAAGGCCCCACGAATAGACCAGCCGTCATCGCAAGATGGAAAAACATCATGTAGTGCCCCCGGTCCTTGGCCGCAACCATGTCGGCCACGACGGCAGGCACTGTGGCATCAGCCGCCGCAGCCGCGAACCCTGACAGGATGCGCGAAGCAAGTAGCTCATCGTAACTGGTGCATTTGCTAGACCACACGTTCATCGCGCAGAGGAACAGCATCGCGACCAGATAGACGGGACGTTTCCCGATTACTCGCATGAGCGGCACCCAGAAGATATTGCCCACGCCAAATAGGAAAACATTGAAGCACACCAGCTGTCCCGCTTGGGTCTGACTCACATGAAACTCCTTGATTATAGCCTGGGTGGCGACTGTAAAGTTGCTGGAGTTGACATTGGCCAGGAATGTGAATGAGCAGATGGTTAGGTAAGTGGAGAGCTTGGCAGACAGGGGCCAATTCTGGAAAATGATAAGCATCGCGTGGTCTAGTTAAATTGTTCTAGGCTCATGCTCTCACCTGTGGATTATCAACGTCTTCATCTTCGACGACTGTTTTCAAATCGCCTACGGAGTGGCCCTGGCCATCTGCAGGCAAGTTCTCCAGATGACTAGAGACACTGTATAGCTCAAGTTCCCCTTTCTCGTCTGTCATATTGTAGATCAGGACAGTATTTTGGTGTGTTTAATCACGAGGAGAAAAGGGAAAGAAGCTCAGGAGAAGCGGAGGGACCCTTAAAATAAAACCCCCGATCTACCCCAGTCTTCCCTTCCCCACAATGGAGCATGTGGGACTTTTGGACACGCCCAACAGAATTGGTCCTATTGGGCGCAAGGGCGAGAATGACGAAGTGCATCCGGTGAATTGGGAGGTCATTCGGTAATTCCGACTTCTGTCGGGGATCCGCGTCCCGAGTCCTAGATGAGTCCATAAATAGCAATTACGGGACACCAGGCGTCATCATTCACTTTCGGGTCCGTTCAAGTTGGAATTTGTTGATCAAAATCTCAATTGTGTTCGAAATCTTTCTCATATAGACCTAGCGAAGGTGGTTGTCCTGCCAAGGTTCATAGTTCGGGATTCCCGGCTTTGGCGTTATTCTGGGGGTTATCCGCTGAATCCACGATTTGCATGTGTAGGTTCATGGGTCCAGCATCTAGTGATTCCGGGGTTGTTCTGTCATTGGTTCCCCGCATGAATCAACACTAGTGCATGGTGGGACGAATGAAGTACTTAACCTGTAGAGTCGGATACATATTTCCGCCTCAACGGTCTGAACATGCTGTTTCCAGTCCAACATCTTCATATATGTAGTCGTATTCTATCAGATGGTAAATTAAGCAATAACAGCATTTTTGGATTAAGATGCAGCTTGTATTGCACCTTGTGTTGTTGTAAGATTCTGAATCGGAAATTCGTGGAGCTAAGCTCTCGTGACAGAAATGTCCGTTGCCGCTTCCAATCTTCTCCGCACTCACCGAACGTGGAACTTCGCTCAATCTCTCCTCTAGACATCTTTCTTCCGCCCCACGCTTCCACTTCCCATCCGGCCATAATGGGTTTGATCAAACGTGCTTTGAAGATCGCCACCGCGGGCAGCGTAGCCTCCATTGGTGTCTTCTGGGGAGCCACGCGCAATGACGTCTTCGAGCCCATGCAAACCTCCGATCCCATCTTCCAATCGCCCTTCTTCAAGAAATTCAACCCCGAAAAGAACCCGACCCTGCATGACCTCTGTGTCCGTCGCGTTCCCCTAGACACGATCAAGCCCGAGCTGCTGGAAAACAAGGGCAAACTGACCGAGGCTTTCTGTGCTGGTATCTGGGGTGGCATGGGTAAGCTCAACCTGCCGGGATCGCCGCGACTCTGTCTAACTCACTTGCCTTTCTACTAGGTTACATCGTCCAACGCGCCTACCTCGCAAACAAATACCAGAGCCCTGAGACCGCTTCCCAGCTGTGGAGCCGCAAGGAGCTCCTCGAGAACAACTACGAAGTCGGCACCCTGATCACCGACCATTTCGAAGTTATCGAGAAGACCGAGGAACGGATCACTGTTCGCTGTGGTGATACCCCCCGCCACCAAGATGTTCGCCCCTCTGATGGCCTCTTCGAGATCGGTGCTGTGGTCAAGCAAGAGGAGGGCGTTGCCGAGTTTACCCTTAAGAGCTGCTTTTACCAGGGTCTGGGTAAAGCTGAGGCTGCTCCTATGGGCCCGGTCATTGTCTGGTTGCACCAGCAATATACTAAGCTATGGATGGAGACTGGAATCCTGAAGAATTGCGTGAAATAAAGGGAGTGCATGGGCGACGATCCATGTAAATACTTGAACGGTCTACGAACCCGGGACACTGCGTTGCAACAAATATTAATTTAGGCCGATATGCCTGACGTTTGCCGAACTAAGTATACATATACGACCACGGGTCCCATCAAGCTTGTATCGAGGGAAGTCTAACACTCCTTCAGATTGGCCTTGGGCTTATCGGAATCTGGGGAATCCGGGGAATTCAATACATCAGCTTTCGTCATCTCAGGCTCGGGTTCACTGGTCAGGGTAACCGCCAGAACGGAAGGAATAGCGAAGACAAGCGATCCCATGCACAGACCCCAGTCCATGGCAAATTGGGTCATAGCAGGTTTCCCCAATGCATTAATCCGCCATGCCATGGCGCCACCCGCGCTTTGGAACGTTTTATACGCGCCGACCAGAATAGCGGTAACGGCAGGCGAATTGGAGCGGGCACCTACAAGCCAGTAGCAGAAAGACTGCCAAAATGCATCATAGGCACCGTAGAAGATATAGAGCAACATTGGGCCCACAGAGGTGGAACTATCCTTGTAGTCGATATCCTGTTTGATGCCCTGGGCTAAGCGACGCGAAGACCATTTCTGGAATGCATAACCACCGCCCCAGATGGCCATGCCGGTCACGAAGAGGAACACCCAGGCAATCCGAGCACGGACGCGTCGGTTGAGACCTGGAAAGTCGAGAATGAGGCCAATGATGAGACCACCCAGCATTTGCGCGATCCAGTAAAGAGCGCCATTGAGCGATCGCGTGCGGATATCGAATGTCATGCCATTGACCACGTTCTGCTGGTATGAGTAAAAGATATTGGCCGAGAAGAATAGCGGCAGTAAGCACAACACACGCCAATTTGCGATAGTACGAACTGAAAGCCGTGCCGTCTGCTTCCAGTTCTTTTCCTCTTCTGGGATTGCTTTTATCTGGGCCACTCGGACTGACGCGGGGGGACAGATGAACACGCCCAGCAACCATCCAATCCCCATTAGAATCAGAAGAGCAATGTATGTCGCATCAGAGACGGTGCCACTGGTGGAATTGTAGTTCAATCCGAAGCTAGCCAAAGATCCCACGCCACCACCGAGGTTGAAGATGATCCAGAACACGGCGATCGCACGTCCCTTGTGTGACTCGGGCACATAAGTTGTCATGATGGCTCCTTGCGCGACCCACAGGAAAGATGCACCCACGCCGAGAAGCGCACCGGCAGCGATAACAAATGCACCATTGTTGGTTGCTGTGGTAAGGCAAAAATTAGCATCATTTCCGAACAAACAAAAATCTGCACGTACAGTTGAAGCATAGCAAACTCCCCGAGTACAAGGGATATGCCCATCCCCCGAGAAGAAGACAAACACGGGGCCCGACGCGATTGAAAATCGGACCAACAACAAACAACGCAGTCGCCGCTGTTGCCGCAAGTAAGGCCACAGTCGCATTTGCAGCAACAGTTTGGTTCACTTGCCCTGATCCTCCAAGGCCCGTGAGGGCATTATACATCTATATTCCCATTAGGATCGTGAATGATTAAGGACTTGCAACACATACCCCCGGACAACAGAAACAGATGAAACTGATCAGAAGAATCTGCACCCAACTGTGTGTATAGATGCGATACCAAATCGAATCATCTCGCCTGTGATTCAACATCTTGTGTCCAACGCTTCCGTCCTCCATTTTGATGCAGGTGCAGATGCGACCAGCAAAATTCGGAATCAAAATAATTTCTTCAGCTATCGCAAATAGCGCGATCTGGCCGCATGAAATATGGGGCCTTGTTGTGTATGTGGGTACCGATCCCTGGATTCCACACTCGCAGTGGTATCTGGGGTGGAGCAAGGCCAATCAAGATTGGGACATTGTACCATGACAGCCCGACCACTGATATGCAATAGTTACCGAGAATCATCAATGTGTTCAATCGGGGAGAAGCGCTCTTCACACGCCATATTGGGTAGTTTCTGGGGACAACAATCCCCACTTGTCGTTCATTCTAAGGCCGAATACTACTACTCCACGTCGTTGTGACTGCGACTCTGGCTTAATGTCCGATGTTTCTTCGGAAATGCTCCGAGCGTGATAATATGTTACAGTCGCTTGTTTAGCGTCGGTCGCTTCCGATGTTGGTATTTTCTAGAATGCGTGAGTGTCCATTTAAAAAAGAATTGTCTAGACAAATCTGACTTTCCTGCATATTACCCTTGGGATTCTTGATAATTCATCCTGCAGGAATAGCCGACGATGGATCTTGACAGACTGGCCAAATTGCAGACCGAAGGGGTTAATCCCCGGACGACCGATATCGATCGTATATCGACATTGGAGATGTGCACTGCAATAAATAATGATGATCATCTGGTAGCAGCAAGCGTTACGCCATGTCTGCCAGTAATTGCGGATGCGATCGATGCTCTGGCGTTCCGCGTTCGCCAAGGCGGCAGGGTGGTGTATGTCGGAGCAGGAACAAGTGGAAGGTTAGTGAGCTGCAGACGTCAGGAATAGCCGGATAACTCAAAACAGGGACCGCTAGGCTCGGCATCTTAGACGCATCGGAAATCCCGCCCACCTTCGCCGCTCCAAGATCCCAATTCGTCGGTTTGATCGCTGGTGGTGATGATGCTATTCGACAGGCTCAAGAGGGCGCCGAAGACAACAAGCAAGCCGGTGAGGAGGACCTCAAGTATTTGAATCTTGACCCAGAGCTGGACTGCTTGATCGGAATTGCCAGTTCAGGTCGCACTCCGTATGTACTGGCATGTCTTGGCTTTGCCAAACAGCTAGGCTGTCTCACAATCGGCGTTGTATGCGCCTCTCCATCAGCAATTGGTGATTCTGGAAATGTGGACTACCTGATTGCGCCTGTACCGGGTCCAGAAGTAGTGACTGGAAGTACTCGACTCAAGGCTGGGACTAGACTGCGGCAACATCCTCAATATCCACGGACATCCGCATATCCTCTCCGCAAATTGCGGATATGGTATGTCACGTAATATCCGCAATCCTCAATTTTGCGGATATGGTATACCACCTAATATCCTCTGGATATTTGAGGATATCCAATGGATATCAAACCAGCCAAACACGCCTAGCCTCGTGACTTTTTTGAGCGTGTATAAATTATGCGGTTTCTTGTGTATTTTTGAAGTAATCTTCGTGTAATCATCATTTTAAAGATTTCAATCTGGTAAACATGATTCTGTCATTTCTAATCAATACTTAATACTAACTACCTTAAATCAATCTGAAATCCATCAGGTAACCTAGGTTGCTTCCGAATTCGCCCCGACCGTCCCTGCATGCCCTCATCTATTGGCATTTCTGGAAGGTCATCGTCATCGTCATCAAAACATTCGGATGATCGTTTCTTTGATCGTTTGCGCTGCAGTTGCTTACTTTGATCATTATTCTTCCCACTACCCAAATCATCATCGCAGCTCTCTATCTGTTGTGTATCCTCTATGCTAGGCTCTTGATCCTCCTCTTCGTTATCACTAATTGGCTCAAGTGTTTCAAGCTGGGGCATTGGTTTCCAAGCTTGATCTAACAACGCAGCTTCTCCAATGGATAGATACTCCTTGATAGCCTCTATCTCCTTCTGCTCAACGTCAAAGTTAGTGGCGAATTGATGAAGCATCAGTCCTCGGATGGTACTTGGTTTCAATTGCCCGCGACGATAGTGGCACATATCGCGAGCGCAATTAAATAATCGCTCAACGCCTGCGCCACTAGCTGGGATTGAGAGATTATCCCGTGCTATCCTCGCAAGAATAGGAAACTCATGCTCATGGTCTTTCCAGAATGCTCTAGGCTTCTGACCCTCGATCCCGCGGGCAAGATACCTCGCAATCTCATCATCTTCGGGCTTTGAGAGCCTATGCTGTGGCTGGCTCTGAGAAGCACAAGCAGCATCAAGATCACCATAATCATCATCCAGGGCCTCTTTAGTGGTATCTTGTAAGACTGTATTGTTTGAATCATGGTGAAGTGTCTCTTTATATCGATCAAACTCTCGCTTAAGAACTCCATGATAGTGATCAACATAGTTAATTTCACCTTGCCAGTCTGATGATGCAAAATATCGAAGTTTTTTTGATGGGCAAAGGATTGTCGCGAGTGCATAGACATCACCATATGATTCATAATCGGTCGCAGTGTAGTACTTTGAGAGCTTCCGTTTAGCAGTCTGAAGAGCTTCGAGCATGTGCTTCTTCCAGACAACACCTTTATTCTTCAACTTACTCTCAGCTTCATCAAGATGAGAGAAAAGCTTGTTGTAAATACTATAGATTTTATGTGTAGTAACATCCTTAGTCTTAGACAACATATTTGTGAAGTTGAAGAAAGGCTTTGTGAGAAGAAGAAGGTATTCAATCTGTCGCCACTCTTCTTGATCAAGTTTGAAGTGAAGATACTGATGGTCTATACAATACTGATCATAGAATGGTTGTAGCCTTTTGGCCCGATTCAGCATGATAAAGGTCGAGTTCCATCGGGTTTGGACATCTTGAACAGGAACTAAACGAGGCTCCTTAGTTTGTAGAGCCATAAATGCCTCCCGGCGTTGTGGGCTTGCATTGATGAAGACCGCAAGACCTCGGATCTAAAACTCTTTTATCAGAATAAACTACAAGCCTTAGGGAGATAGAACTTGCCTTCTTTAAGGTATCTGCAATTTGCCGAGTTGAGCTAGATCTTTTGGTCTGAAATGAATGGGTCCGCTCATCAGACCACTCTAGTTCAATCTCTTTGTTAGGTGGTGTCACCTTTAGCTTCCCAAGAAGCTCATTCAAGCTTAATTGAATCACATGCGCAATACATGGAACTCGGAAAATCAAGGTATCTGATTGGCTTTGCGACTGGATAGTCTCTTGGATGTTCATCATCAAGGTATTGTTATTCGTTGCATTATCTGTTGTCACAGATAACACACGATCAGTGATTCCATGATCAGTTAGAAGCTGGATTACGGTCTTGCTCAGATTTTCACCAGTATGAGATCCATGAAGATGCTCAAACCCAAGAAGAACTTCACAGTAATTCCAGTCCTGATCAAGGAAGTAACCTGTGATGGCCATGAAAGCTTGCTGAAATGGCGATGTCCAGCAATCAAGCGCTAGTGAGAGGCGACTCCCATCTGGAAGCCTTTTCAGAACCCCCTTCTGGTCACTTCTGACTGCAGAATCAAGATAACGTCGTATGCTTCGCGCGGATGGTATATCGATCTTGCTGTGGGCTTGTTGAATAATCTCTACTAGATCTTTGAATTGGGTGTGTTCAACGATTCGGAAGGGTAGGTGAGCTGTAGAAATGAAGTCTAGTATCGCTTTCACCAGACGCTCCTGGGAGAAGGGTTGGTGTCTAGGGATAGTTGGCTTTGGGATAGTTATTAAGATTAGCAAGAGAGATATTAGGGGTCTTGATGAAAGAGAAATATACCATATGTTTGAGTAGCTGATCGATCCTCTGGGTAACTGGCTTCCGAGTACAAGTGCCTGCCTTAATATGTGCATTCATTGGCGATGACCCAGCACGGCGATAGCTTGGATGAACAAGGGTACAGAGACATGATGTACACATAACCTTTGGCTTGCCAGTCTTCTCATGTGCAACCTGATTGAAATTATCCCAGACACTTGATGTCTTTTTCCCATCCCAACGGATCGAGTCTTGTATTTCGGGCGCTGATCCAGACTCTGTATTTAGCCACCACGTTATAAAGCGCTTACGAGATCCATCCATCTCGCTACCAGGCTCGGAGGAATAGAGGACCCAGTACTGTTGAAGAGGGAGGCCAACACGCGTAAGCGAGAGGGGCGCAATCGGAAATGAAATTCGGGACGTGGATGTCAATGAAGCCTGACTGCCAATGAGCTCAGAGATATCATCTGAATAAAGGAGGTCGGTATTCAGACCTAGATCTGAATCGGCGCAGAAGGAAAATTGGGACTGAGATGCCTGTGAGTAAGACATATTGTACTTGATCACTATACAAGAGAAAGAAAGGGAGAAACGTACATATAGGACGAGCTGAAAATATCAGGGTTATGGCAATAAGCTGCAACTCGTAAGTTGCGGGGTGCGTTTTCGACATATCTCTTACTTTTAATGACGATGATTGGCTATTACTAATCACCAGTGAGGATAATTGAGGATAATTGAGGATATATCGCGGATATCCGCATGGATATCCTTGGATATCCTCGACCTTACTATCATACTCACTAAGTCCGCTGTCCACAACATTAGAGCTTCCGACCGGTATTTCTTAGAAGGATATATTTAAAAACTTAATATACTTAAAAGATAGGCTTAGGAAACTAATTTAAAGCTAGGCTAGTTAAATTTGACCAAGAAATGGTGAGTTTAGTCATATGTACATCGTTTAGCTAAAAGATCCTACACTACTGCCTTGAGTAAATATATATTTCCATGGTAAAGTAAAGTGGAATTACAAAAAATCATGTATATCCCCCAATCTACTTCAAAAATCAAATTGCTGCTATAAGTAATAATAAAATGAATATAAATTGCTTAATACAAATATATTTCTTAATATTTCATGAGGAATTAGGATAAATAAGGCTAGTAGTATGGTCAGGACCAAACCTGTGTATCTTTTGTTCTGAAAAATAAATTAATCAGCTGGATAAGAGGCACATGACTACCCCTAAGTAGATAATCAGGCGAGAGTTATGCTAGTGCGGATATCCGCAAAATATCCTCATATCCTCGCGGATATCCATGGATATCCTCATTGAGGATATGGTATGGAAGTAATATCCATTATCCTCAATTTGCGGATATGGTATTGAACCTGATATCCAGCGGAGAGGATATGCCGCAGTCTAGCTGGGACCGCCACAAAAATGGTCCTGAACATGCTGAGCACGGGAACTATGATTCGGACTGGGAAAACGTATGGCAATATGGTATGATGGCATTTATTTTTGCCTGAATTAACCGTCACTGACAATGATAACAGATGGTGGATATGGTGGCATCGAATCTCAAACTTGAGCAGCGCGCTCGGAATATCCTGCGACAAACCAGTGGGAGATGCAATATGCTGTCTGAATCAGAATTGGACTCACTTCTTGTCAAGTGTAATCATAGCGTCAAGCTTGCCATTCTCGTTGCCGAAACGGATGACACTGTAGAGAGCTGCCAGCAGGCTTTGGTATCTGCTGGAGGTGTTCTGGCTAAGGTGCTAACAAAACCATGTCCACCTACACAAATATCTTCACCGGAGAGTCGGCGGTTCTCGTTATGTATTGATGGTGGCGGTACCAAGTGCGCTGCTGTTGTCGCAGACAAGAATGGTGTGAGCCATGGGTTTGCTGGACCTTGCAATCTGTATGAAGTCGTTGACTGTTTGATTCTTCTCAACTAACATTTTTCCAGTACCGATATCGTTAGCAATGTGGACATATTCATGTCTACCATCATTGCAGCTACCAGAGATGCGCTTGAGAAGCATATGCCTGTTGGAACCCAGCTAAACGACACGAGTTGGAGGGACTATTTCAAAGATTCATTTCGATCGGTCTGGATTGGCCTGGCTGGTATGGATAGGAGCGGCCTCCGTGGCATCTTGGCACCAAAGCTTGGTGAATTGTTCGGACTCGATCATACCACGATAGCATTCAAGTTAACCAACGATGTCTCTTTGTTGACTGCGGCGGTTGCAGCCGACCAAGATAAGCCTTCCATGATTGCTGTGATCGCCGGTACCGGGAGCGTGGCAATACGGTACAACTGGACTGAGAACCAGGGCTATACTTGTGTTGCTCGAGCGGGTGGCTGGGGCCATCTGTTGGGAGACGAGGGCGGAGGCTATTCTATCGGCCTTGGAGCTATTAAACACACCCTGGAAGTGTTAGAACAAAGATCGCTCGGTCTTGGCCCAAAGGAGCTGGGTGACTTTGAACATGCAGTGATAGAGCGACTTGGCGGTCAGGTTCAAGGAAACAACAACTTTGACCTTCTGTCGGAGATCCTATCACAAAATCATGCGCAAAGATTGAAATCTCGAATTGCTAGCGTGGCGGAGACTGTATTAAAGCTGAGAGATAGTACGGCAATGGCTATTGTGAATGAGAAGGTGTGTTCCATCATTCGGAAGCCTCTTCGCTGTCTCGTTGATCCTAGATCTAGCGGCTACTTCTCAACCAATGATACGAAGTTGGTATTGGCCGGCGGATTGATGAAAGATGAGACATACCAAAACTTCATGAGACAGCAGCTTGCTCAAGAAGGACTCCACTTCCGAGAGATACGAGTAGTTGAGGATGTTGCCGTGACGGCAGTCAGATATTTAATATCAAAATGGGCTGAGTAGATTATGGAAACATTCTACCTAAAACGAGCACACAAAACAAAAGAGAACGCACTGTTAACCCTCTCATCCCATCATCTCAGCCACTTTCACCTGCGATATGGGAACCGCCTCAATTACTGATTCCATGCCTGGGCCTTGACTCCAAATACCCGTGATCTCCAATCCAGCCTTCTGCAGTAACTCTCTCCACTGAGTTTCCGACCGCTCAACACCCGCACCAATACTCATCATCTGAATGTCGAGCGACGCCTGCATGAGGGGTGTCTCAGTATCCGGCAGAACAAAGTCCACGATCAAGATCCGAGAATAACCCGGTACCATTGCAGACATTGTGTTGCACAATATCTGGTGACAGATCTCATCAGACCAATCATGAAATATGGATCGGAAGTAATACGCTCGTGCACCCTGCACAGGCTGAGGTTCCATGAAGCTATAAGGCATAACTTCGATATCAGAGTCATGACCAGACACCCCGTTCAGAACCTTTGGAAGATCTTGCAGGATGACCTTTCCCGGGAGGTTTTTGTATTTCTGACGAAACTGACGCAAGTCATGGCCTTGATTACCACCAATATCAACCAGGAAAACTGTGTCCGCGAATGGCGTTGCATCGCCCATTAGTCTTCCCACTGGGTAGACATCGAACCACATTGGTCGCCCTTGTCTGCGACTCGCCATATATGAATTGAACAACTTCTGTTTATCCTTGTGGCTGGCTAGCCACTCGAATTGGCTTTGACCCACTGCCCACTGCATAGGTGAATGGTCGTAGTCTTGGGGGTTGACATAATCGTGTGCTCGTAGATACTCGGGCAGCTTGCCAAGAGTTGGAATTGTGAGGTCATATCTGATCAGGAAAAGTCGTTCAGTTCAGCTCCAATCCAAATGTCAAACCCAGAGTATTTCCTTACATGCAAGGAACTCCATCACGCCCAGCAGGCTGGGTCATGGCCACCGTTTTCTCATTCGCTTTATATACTTGGAACTCTGGGGATTTACAGAGACCCAGAGATTCCATGACACGCATCAATCGAACTGTCTACCTATCAGTCGCGCTCGAGTGAAGCAATCCGAGAACATACCGATTAACTCTTGTTCTGCACCAGTGTGCTCCGCTAGTTGCGCAGCCGAGATCCCTGTATTCTGGTACTGCTTTTTTACGAGCAGAGGGAAGATCTGCAGATCCACTACAGCTCGGAGGGCGGCGTTCTGTGGGGGCTATGACGAGTTAAATCAAGCATCATAAATCAAGACTTGATAGTTGTACCTGATAGACCAAACGCTGAATAGTCTCAGAGGGGCTTTCCACGGCCAATCGGAATTGCTCAATCAATCGCAGCAGCTCAAAATGGGATTGGGCAGATGGATTGGTGGCAATCTGTTGAACCAGCTGCCCCATCTGATTAAACATCGAATACAGGGGCGTGATGACCGTCATTTTGGCGTGAAAGGAAATTGGAAGAAACGTTACAGTGTGCCTGATTGTAGTACAAATTAAAATCGGCACGTTCCTGCCATTTATACATCAATCGATATGTCGGCTTAGCCTTCCATCAGAAACGGAGACGATGAGCATGACTGTGGCGTCGGGGGTTTGTCTGGCCTTTGGCCAAATCTGTCCTCGAAGCCGCCCCGTTGGAATTCAGCTCCCGCAAACAGCTTTGGCTCGTGGCGTTTCGAGCGAGAAACTGATGTTCCCAGTACAAATGCGCATGCCAAATGAATGTACAGCAGGCAAAGCGGGTTATACTATTTGGCAAGATTATAATCCTGGTCTGCATTGGCTTGGTTCACCTAATACACCAGCGCATACTTAGATCCTCGGCAAATATTACCAAAGTAATGATACGCCACCAAGCTGTTTGCTTGCGGGGTCTAAATAAGCTAATGTAGCTTACCAGATCTAAGTTCCATAAGGTCCGATTCCTTGATCTCATATTTGCTGCGAGTACACATAGACTACCTTCAAGGGTATCGGTTTAGGAAACCCCCATGGTCCAAGAATGTGCGCGGAGTTATTCCGGTCCGGATGATAGCACTGAGTAGTACATGTACCAAGTAGGTATATTGATGCCGATAATACGGAGAGTAAGTTCAGGTTGCACGAACCTAGCTTGCATCAAATTTGAAAGACTTGTTCATCTTAATTCCAAGTCAGATCCAAGCATCTATTAATAGTGTCTTGGCATTCCTAGAGCCTGAGAACAAATAGACTTCTATTACTCTTCCTATCTTGGCAACTCGGCCATTCTGCATAATGTAGATTATATGAGCGGCTTGAATTTCAATGATCTAGTGTTTTCAAAGGCTTTTTAAAGACACGAGACAGCATAGACAATAGCCAGCAGAAAGCAGAATTGGAATGCTGTCTCATAATTGTAGGAAATTACGAACCCCTTGGAGCAAGCCTCAGGAAATTCGATCATTGAACCTGATATTAAGTCACATACCGCAGGGATTCTATCTCCGCCCCAAGAGTAACGCTTGGATATAGTCAATTCACTTAGTGGAAAGTGATACTTCATATCCACAATTATATGGATCCCAATGAAACCCTAGATCGCGGCACCGGAACATCCTGTGGCGTTCCCCGAACCAAAGAATGTCGATCCAGCAAACCGAGTTCCCGTTGAAATTGACGGTATGCCACGATCCGATCGGACGGTTAGCATTCTTGCCGGCTAAGCGGGGCAAGAATAGCTTCAGATGCCCCAATGATCCTTGCAGAGAACGTTTCCAGCAATATTGGAACGGTTTGATTCATCTGAAATCTCAGATCTGTTCGGGAGGCATTCCGGGGGGGGGGGTTCTAGATCCAGTCTCACGATCCGGCTTCCCCGCTTAACCCAAGGACTTGTGGGTGCGAGAAGGCACAGCGGGTCCCATACCGGCGGGTGCTCTTGGCCGAACACCTGGTCCCTGGGATTATCCGTTTTGGGCCTGCTCAAGGGTTATCTTTGCAGGAATCGGGTTGATATTTCGACGGATCACGTCGTTTTTGGTGCGATGGGTCATCTTGGCCTCGAAAATGAGCTTTCCCTGTTTATTAAATCCAGGATAACGCTGTAACCTTGAAACTTGTATATATATATAGTGCATTTATAACTAATAGATGTGTGGTGGTTAATAATGATTGGGTGAGATTAGATAGATATACCGGGACAACTGGGATAGATTGGTTTGGTCAATAAACCGTGGAAAACCCAATTGACCCCCCGGATATTTTTCTGTTGTTGATGTCTGTTAATGTAACCTGGATTCATGCATAATTAGCCCGGGGCAAACCGACTTCGGCGATCTGTATCATTCAAATGCCCTTGATATGTTGGATTCAATGTTGGTGCAAGGTAGCGTAATATGAACAACCCCACAACGGTGCATGCTCACCAGGGCAGGTGTAGTGCCCGTGATCAATCGTTAAAAAATATCTCCACTATTCAGTCGAGGGGTAGAGGAAATTCTTCTTGAGATTAGTCCATCCCCGGATCGATCCTCCAATAATGCAGAGATCCACAATCTCGGCGATTACGATTGAGATCAAGTTTCAGGCTGGACTCAACGGGATTTCAACTGCAACCAGATGACTTGGGCAGCCCTGCAGTGTTGCTTTGTCGCTGGTTGCAATTAGAATCCACTAATGCAAGACAATCAACCCTGTCGAGAAAGGTGTTTGTTGCACATCGCGGCTGAAAGAATCTAACCAGTAGGATGCCCCGAAAACCCACCTATTTTCGTACTGTCAGACCTTATTCGCCCAGCGTCTACCAATAATAATGGTTTATGCAGTTGCGTGTAGGCAATTTTGACGTATGCACTGCGATATGCATGTTTGTTTGTATCTATACTTCACACTAAAGTGCCGTGATTTTCAGTTTCGGAAAGAGTTTAGGTACAGTCATCCCTGATCCACCCACGCTCAGCCTGTCGGTCATCCCGAATGCGGTAAGAAGATATACACAGCTCGATGGCGAATTGATGTTTGTCTTTTCAGTGGGGATTGCCGTCGTGGGATTATAAGTACGGCATTATATCTTCCATTTCGTTCATTCCTGATCTTGTCAAACACTCCACCATGGGAATCCAACGTGGAACATCGGCTGAGGCAGCGACTTCTTCGCACATCTCTGATTCTCTAACAGAGAAATTCGGTCAGCTTCATGTGCTAGATGATCTAATCCGCCTTCGTGCCGCAGATGTTGTACAACACCCAATTCTTGCATACCCGAGCTCCGATAGTGATGCAGCGTCCTACAATTATTATACTGGCCAACAGCTGGATGAGATGATAGATCAAGCTGTCACAAAATTGATGGAAGAAGGCTTTCGACCGGTTCGTCTTGCTGATCACTGTTTGTGTCCAGATCACTGATATCCCGGATTAGCCCAAGAAGGACGGATGTATAGTAGCATTGCTCGCATTGTCTGATCTAAGCATGGTCATTACTCTCTTTGCACTTAGTCGGTTGGGATACACCGTCATGATCCTATCGCCACGTTTATCGGGAGACGCATGTGTTTCTTTGCTCGATACGGTCGGTTGCGAGAATATCATTTATGGCAAGACTGGCACTATTCGCGCAACAATGGGTGACATCTTGCAAAGGAAGCTCATGACATGTCGCCCAATTACTGCACTCACCGACACTATTCCAAAGAGCCCAGGGGGCCTAGAGACTTCATTGCTAGTTCTGCATAGAAGACGGAGCTCCGAGGCTCAAAGAAGCAAAATTGCCTTGATACTCCACTCGTCCGGCTCTACTGGAAACCCCAAACCCATGTTTCTCACACATCGTGCACTGATGACCCATCCATTGAAAGGGCCGGGCTTAACTTCATTCAACCCGCTCCCTTGGTATCACCTTCATGGAATCTCAACCGCATTACAAGCGATGTGGATGAGGAAAACAGCTTTTATGTGGAATGCAGCCCTGCCACTCACAGCTGACTCTGTTGTCTGCGCTCTGCAAGAAGCTAAGCCCGAATATGTTGCCGCAGTTCCATATATGCTGCAAGTATTAGTGGAAAATACTCATGGTATCGACGCACTGCGTAAATGTAAGGTGGTTGGCTACGGTGGAGCGCCATGTCCGGATGATCTTGGAGACCGTATGGTGCGTGAAGGAGTTCATTTTGGTGGTTCATTTGGACTGTGAGTCAATTCAAAGCCACAGAAATCTTAATCTAATTTTATTTCCAGCACGGAAGCAGGGCTCGTCGCAGAGTCTATGTCTCGACCGAAAAGCGACCCATATTGGAACTATTTGAAATTCTTTGAAAACCTTCAACCATATATCTGGATGAAGCCTCTTGGCGCTGAACTGTATGAGTGTGTCTATTTGGCTGGACACCCTGCATTGACAACTTCAAACTCCAATGAGCCAGCAGGATCATTCCATTCCAAGGATGTGTTTATCCCTCACCCCACCCTGGCTGGGAGATGGAAGTACGTCTCTAGGATTGATGATCGTATTACTCTCACCAATGGAGAGAAGGTGTTACCAATCCCGATTGAAGGCTGCATCAAACAACATCCTCTCATTCATGAAGCAGTGGTTGTCGGATTGGAGAAAGCAGCTCCAGGTCTTTTGGTTTTCCGATCTCAGGAAGCGGATGATGCAGGTCTCTCGGATGATCGATATCTTGATGAGATTTGGCCTAGTATTGAATTTGCCAATTCTCGCGCGGAACAATTTTCTCAGATCGCTAGAGATATGGTGGCAGTACTGCCATCTGCCTCATTTTTCCCTCGGACGGATAAAGGGTCTATGATCCGAGCACAGGTTTATTCGCATTACGCTGAGCTTATAGAGAGCATCTACGCGGAAGGCCAAGAAGGAGGTATTCGCCTTTCTCTTGATGAAACCATATCTATCATAATGAGCTTATGTCAGACGGATCTTGGTATCGCACTTTCTGGTATCGAGGGGAGCTTCTTCGTGGAAGGAGTTGATAGTCTAAAGGCAATCCATCTCCGGCGCCTCATCCTTCAGAACTTTGATCTGCCCAAGGAGAGCCTGCCACCAAATGTTGTATATGACACAGGAAGTGTTGCACAACTAGCAGCGTATATTCTTGCAGTCCAGAGTGGCGAGAATATTTCAATTATGGACGACGAAATCAAGGTCCTATCCAAACTAATTCAGAAATATTCCACGTTCCAGAGACACATCCCCACCAGCTCTCTATCAAAAGCCAACAGTATTGTAAGTATCAAATTCTCAAATTCGACGGTCTCCACTAACAAATGAAGATTCTCACAGGGGCAACTGGATCAATCGGTGCTCACACCTTATATGAACTCCTTAACGACGATTCCGTTGCTACGATCTTCTGTCTAAGTCGCCGAACCGCTCCATTCGATGAAATTCTCCACAGCCTCATCGAAAAGCAGCTACATATCACACCAGACCAAGCATCAAAAATTGTCGCCCTGACCAGTTCCCTCGATCAGCCCGATTTCGGCCTCGACCAAAGACTCCTGACTCGCATGCGTCAATCCGTCACACAAATTCTGCATATAGCCTGGCCGGTGAATTTCAATATCCCTCTACGTCAATTCGAACCCCATCTCCGCGGTCTCTACAATCTACTTCAATTCTCGCTTTCCGTCGACCAGCCAGAGCCTGCAGTGGTTATGTTCTGCTCTTCTGTTTCTGCTGCCCTCGGTACAGCATATACTGAGATCCCAGAGGCCCCCATTCATCTGGACACAGCTCACCTGAGCACAGCGTCTATGGGCTATGGACAATCCAAGCTAGCAGGAGAGCACATCGTCAGTGCGGCACACCACTCAGGAGCGAGGGCGTACTCCCTCCGTATCGGACAAGTGTCGGGCCACTCGAAGAAAGGATTATGGAATGATACTGAGGCACTACCGCTCATGATCCGATCAGCTTTGACTCTGAAAGCGTTGCCCAGTCTCGATGAGAGTTGTTCCTGGCTACCGGTTGATAAACTCGCTGCTGCGATTCTGGAGCTGGCGAGATCGCGCGCGGGCTCGAGCGAGTCCGAGATAAGTGAGACATCCTGGCAGATGGGCGATGATTCAGTTTACAATTTGTGCAATTCTCGGAAATTTTCCTGGTCGGCGTTGTTAGAATCTTTGGGCCGGAATTTCCAATTCGATGTTGTGCCCTTTGAGGGGTGGTTGCGGTTGCTTCGGGATAGTGAGAGTCGGGGTGAGGAGCAGATTAATCCGGCTGTGAAGCTGATTGGGCATTATGAAGCTATGCATGGTCCTGACTCTGTTCTTGGTACTCCTGGTTCGAAAAGCTTTGTGGTGGATAAGGCTGAGCGGGATAGTCTTACGCTTCAGAATGGTCGGTTGAGGATTATTGAAGATGGAATTCTAGACTGCTATATTCGGGACTGGAAGTCGCGATGGATGAGATCGTGAGATGGGAATGGGCTCACGTACTCCCTGTTATTTTGAAGTTGTGGGAATAGTGCATTGAGATGTGTTATTGATAATTATGTTTGCACTTGAAGCCATGAATACTTGTGAAGTTCCATTTTAGACTCACGTAAGACCCTCATGACAAGCAAGGATTTGAAATTTCTCCAGAGCCTTGATTTCGTCCTCTGCTACCATGTGTTAATAGGAGAAGTCCATCTCGTGGAGGAAATTCCTACCTACTAGTAGCTTTTGGTATCTTTCTGCATAAGGGAAATCATTGCATCCTCTACCTGTGCTTGATCCAACACAACAGGCTTCTCGTCAGATTTCATGGGTATTTTACTCGTTATTTCGCCTGAATTGGTAGCTAAGTCAACGTCTTCTTCACCAAAGAATGTATTTGCTATGGTGAACTACGCTAGACTAGATGAGATACGGAGAACGCTAGGATGCTAGAACTAAGTGGATAGAAATCTTGTGGTGGACTACCATGGTGCAATACGGGATTACACCCCGATAGCAATTCTCAAACGTAACTTTGACATCTTATCTCCATGGGACTGAAGCTGGATGTTTGTCTTCCTCTGTGACTATAGTGAGGCATTTTGATGGTTTAAATTTCTAAAAGCAGGAATCAAGATCATATCAAATTCATAGCATTCTCTTACAACCCACATGTAGTTACTCTAGAGTACCAGGAACAATTTCATCAGACTCAGGCCATTTCCTAAAAAGATCCTGTAAATGATCCAGTGGAGCCGTAATCAATCCGACAACGGTCTGATAAGGGGGACGATCGGGAGCGCTAGGATGAGCACGTGTTGGAACGAAGTGTTTTGTACGGTCAAAAGATGCCGCTAAACGTCGACTTTGCTCTCCCGTGATTGATGATTCGAGATTTATAAGATCCACTTCTTCGTGATTAACGTGGATTGCTAAATCTCCCATGAGAACTGCCAGGGTGGGTATGAAGCGTGGGTCAGTGGCTTTAAGGTCCTGAAACACGGCCAGTTCCTCTTTGATCTGTTTATCTATTAGTTTTCTCTTCTATTTTTTCTCTTGGGAGTATAGTTACTGTTTGATGTTGTTGCCGGTCTTCGGCTACATCTTGGTGTAGGTACTTATTCAGCGCCGGGTACAGCACTAGTTCCTCGCCAACCACATGACGAGCTAATTCCCAGGTAAACTGATTCTGCCAACGAGTCTGTTCATCGGCATCTTCCGAGTGGATGATTTGATCGTAGTATAGCTTGAGTTCCCGGTGGTCGGCGTAGATGGTGTCGGAGATACGATTCATTTTGGGATGATTGACCGTTGAAATTGATTTAATAATTTTCTATTCAAATTCTATTTGTCTTTGCAATTTGTCTATCTGATTACGCATGATCTGGTCATGACTTCGGGATACAATCCCAGTGATCAGCCTTGGGGAGGTGGGGCCAGATGACCACAAACTTCATGTGTCCAAATCCCGACTTTTGTAATGAGGCCTGAGTCCTAGGCTTCGTAAGGGGTAGGTTCTTATTCTCTCGTGTTCTGCTATTCTGTCATCCTTTTTCTCTGTCTCCCAATATCCTGTCCTGATCTCACATCATGTCAAGGTTCGTCAAAGGTTCACGACAGAATTTAACCCAGATACTAACAGAAACCCAAGTATAGCACCTATCATTCCACAGATTCAATGCATTTCCCAATGGATCTCTGGGTGGTGGGGTACATGTGAAGCAAAACCCGGCCCTTCATTCCACCAGAGCGACCCTACCGATTGCAAAGCTTGTCGCGAGTGGCATGTCCCTTGCGACCATTCACAACCACAATGTGAGCATTGCTATGAGCAACAAATCCTCTGTTTCTATGTGAAGCCGAAAATGAGCACGCGCTCTGCCGCATTGACCGTACCCCGGATTCGTGAACCAACCCCGCGCCAAAAACGAACCCCTTTGCATGTTATTCCAGAATGATCTTGGACTTCGTGATTAGCATTTTTACGTTATACCAGCATAGCGTTGCGAGATTGTTTTCCATGTCAGTCAACTTGTTTAATCATATTTGGAAGGGAAAAGGAAAGATGGAAAGAACGGGAAATGTTGGCGAGAAAATATGACATCCACTATTCGGTGCAATGGACCAACAACGGCGACCAAGACTTTTTTTCCCCACACCGCTTGTACCTTATTCTTTGCAACCCACAAACTCCTGATTCAGCAGGCTCGGATCAAAGCCGACCGGTCGTGAGTTTGAATCGGAGCACTGTGACCCGCTGCGGACTCTGTGATCCGAACCTCCACATATCAGGGACATCATTCTATCTTCACAGAATCGATTGCGATTCAATTCAACTTTATATCCCAAAATTTCAACGAATGCTGATTACGACCTGACAATATCTTGCTGCTCGACACAGATCTATATCAAACCTTATACTCAATTGTACAACTTCAATCCCCGGTCTATGCTCCGAGCTACACTAACGATATTACAGATGGAATGCGAATATCGCCGACTGGCAGATATCATCCGTCAAGAAGCCAAGAATCACACGAGCCCACGCTTTCTCGTCGGCATCGCAGGCGTTCCCGGTTCAGGAAAGACAACCACCGCACAGGCAGTCGTGCAACAACTAAACACAGACCCAAACTGCCGTGCCGCTCTACTTTCCATGGACGGATTCCATCTCTCAAGATCAGCCCTCGATCAAATGCCTAATGCTACAGAAGCGTATGTTCGCCGCGGCGCGCCGTGGACATTCGACGTGGACCGCTTCATTAAATTTATCGCTCGGCTACGCACGTGGGCTGAGAATACACCACTCGTACAGTCTACGGGGTCCTGGCCTGCAACGGATGTGATCCGGGCGCCGACTTTCGATCACGAAGCTAAGGATCCAGTGGAAGATGGGATGGCTATTACGCCGGATATTTCGATCATTATCATTGAAGGGAATTATCTTCTGCTTGATGAGCCCAGGTGGCGAAATTTGGCGGAGCTGGTTGATTATCGGATTTTTGTCGATACGGATTTAGAAGAGGCGCGTGAGCGGACTGCGAAGCGACATGTGCAGTCGGGGATTGAGAAGACTCTTGCGGATGGGTATCGGCGAGTGGATAGTAATGATTATTTGAATGGGGTCTCGATTCGGGAGAAGCTGTTGACGCCGGATATGGTGGTGAAGAGTGTAACGGATGCCAAGACAAGGGCACATTAACATAAATGACGATTTTATTTTGTATAGCGACACTAATCATATGTGCCGATATTGTGTGAATGTTTGATTTGCCACTTCCAAGGTTAATCCATTGATGTTGGTTATTCCGTGAGGGCTTGTCTGTGCAAAACATCTGGTCATGTTAGAATATCATAAGATGCGGATGAACTATGACTTAACTGGGAATCTCTGGCATCCAGCTCGCTCGTGCTTTACAGAAAAACTCAGCCTTGGGGGGAAGTGCCGCGGGATTATCCAGAGATCCTACACATATATAACGGAAACGATCCTTGGCAGCGTCCTACATCTTGTCAGTAAATATCTCATCAACTCGAATGGACAAAGACTGTCGTACCCCATATTCCAGAATAAAACTCCCACAACTATCACAAAATTCGCGGTGGAGTACAACCCCAGATCCATTGTCAGCAACATGCTCCTTGGGCTGCCCAGCTATGAGCTGGAAAGTGTCCTTGGGGACTTTGGCTGTCAGACCATAATTTGTCCCAAATGCTTTCTAAACATTCCAAGATTGTGAACATCGAATGAGTTTCAAGTTCGACTATACCAGTGGACGTACTTTGCAATTGCGACAGTGGCAAAGTGATGTGCGTGCGTCATCGGGAGAAGCCAGCCGCAGCTCATACTGGATGTTTCGACAGTAGCAAGATCCTGTATATGTTGGCATCTTCAATTTTAGTTGGTACTGTATTTTAAATGTTGGTGTGTTTAATGGCGTTCTTGGATGTACTTGGGAAGGTAGTGGAACATGATGCAAATTCCCTGCGGTGATGTTATTATGACGCGCCGATATATGTATATAGTTGACCTTGCCACCTCAGCTAAAGTACATATCTGGTTTGACATTCGTCCTCATTCTCTATAATATTGTATTTCTGTACTCTGAACTTCAATAGAACTCACTTGGGTGCCTCTGATGTCTTGTGGCCCAAGACTGGCCATTTCTTGGGGCACACAAAGTGCCTTACGTTCTTGGAAGGTGAGACAATGTTGAATTTTCAGAGGTCTAATTCATCAATTGGTGTCCATGGTTTTGAATGAACCTCACCAAGATCTTACTCAACTATCGCTCCTTGAATTTTGGTCGAGAGGCACCGAAACTGAAAGTTATATTAGGATCGACCGGCAGCATGATATATGCGCTGGAATGGCATGACTCAGGAGAGGTGGTGGATGATGACGACGCCTATCTGGTTGATGGTCTTAAACGAGTCTGAACTAAAGGTGATCTTCATCGCACCTAGAAGCTTCAAGATGATGGAATGCTATGCATCTCCAGCACTGAGTATGTCAAATGCCAATAGACAAGGAAATAGTCTGGAGCCCTGAAGAGAAGGAATTTGAGTAACAGTAATTGAAAAGCCTATGACTGTCCATTGATCAAACCAGCTGCATAACCACCATACAGTAAATCAAGCCCCAGCAGTATCTTCACAGGCTCCATGTTCAGATAAAAAGAAATCATTAATCCATCCCAAACGCCAGAGGTAGAGGACAGGATCGTAAAAGACCTCTAACCCCAACAAAAGAAATCGAACTATATGCAAAACATAGGAATCATCATGTTCAAGAATCCCGCACACGGGCCTGGCGCTTGGCGGTGCCGATGTGAGTGTTGTGTACTTTGGTGGCGAACTTCAAGCTTGTCAAGGTCTCCGAGAGGTGGGCCTTCAAGGGACTGGCCATGACAAACATGAGTGTCTTGGAGTTTCCTCCCAAAGAGAATTGAAGGAGGTATGTAAGCTGGGGCGGTGTTAGTACTTGAGCCCAAAGTTTCAAGCCTGGCTAGCTGATACATACCTTGCTATTACGGTAGGGAATGTGACCACCATCTTTGCCCTGGCCAAGAGCTGCAATTACATCACCAAGTGAGCTGAGACTTCGGTTGATGTTTTGTGTTTCCTTCAGGCGTTCGCCAGTGGCCCCACTATGGCTCAAACGTTCACTTCCGGCCAGATCGACTAGGTTGAGAGTGCCTTCACTACGCTCTCCAGTGATATGGTTCTCGCCAGTAAGCTTGAGAATAAATACCGAGTGAGACCGAGATGACCGCTCGTTGGCTTTAGTGGCGGCCACTGAACGGTTGGCATCTGCACTCCTGAGGATAGATTCGACCATCTCAGGCGAGTCCAGCTGAACGGTAGTAATATCGGTGATGAAGGTCTTGCCGCGTTGCATGTCGTGGCGGATATCATGCTTCTTCTTATCCAATTCATCAGGGTTACCGAGAAGATCGTTCAGATTCTCATTGTAAACCTCGACAAAATTGCCTTCCATTCTGTATCGCCAGCCCTTCTCTTCGAGTCCCTGGGCAGTCTGGTAGATTTGATGAACTGCGCGGGGGATCATGCCATCCCGTGAAGACATAGTGTGGGTTTTACCGCTGCCAGTCTGGCCGTAACAGAAGATGCAAACATTGTAACCATCCAGGGCACTTTGCACAAGTTGGCTGATTTCATCGAACACTTCGGCGTTCTGGGTGGAGGGGCCAAACACGCGATCAAAGGTGAAAGTATTGTTCTTGCGCGAGATGGTACCAAGGCTGCTCTTCTCCTCGGGTCCCAGAATATTGATCTCCTTCGCATCGTCGAACTCATCTGGGTACTGCATTGGCGCAATCATGCTGGCAGGCTCGCTGTTCAGAGATGGGCGAACACGACAAAAGACACGGATATTACCCTTGAGTTCCTGCACCTGGTTGTGAAGCTTACGACGGAGTGTCTCTTCCCTCCGCAACTTTTCTTTAATAGCGTCCGTTTCAGCCAGCGCATCCATCATTTCCTGGTTGCATCGCTCAAATGCTTGAGATTGCTCTTCTCGTCCACCCTCGAGGAACTCAATGCGTGCTTTAAGGGCTCTGATCGTTGATTCCAAGGTGACCCCGTTGGTGCTGACGGTGTCAAGGTTCTGTCGAAGATCGTGAACAGTCTTTCGCTCGCGCTCGAGATCGGCTTTCATGGCGTCCATTTCACTTCGAAGGGTAGCAATTTCACGCTCCTTCTTATCGAGTTCAATCTGGGATCTCTGAACATCCATCGCAGACTGAGTTGTTAAGTTGCCGAGCTCTCGGACGCGCTTGGCTTTCTCGTCCTCGATCTCGCCTTCAAATTTGCGCTTCAAGGCTCGCATCTCCTCCTGATGCTGGGCCATCAACCTCTCTTTCTGCTTCTTATTTTCTTGGCTCATGGATTCACTTTCGATGCGGTGACGACTTTCAAGATCATCCATCGCAATATCTTGCTCTCGTCGTGCATCATTCAATGCCTTCTCAGCCAACCCAAGCTGATTCTTTAATGATTCCATCTCAACGCGCAAGTTCACGTTAACGTCTTGAAGTCCATCGCGAGAACGTTCAAGCTCGCCAACTAGGTTTCATTGTCAGAATAATACTCCCTTTGCATTAGATCACATCACTTACTTCGCGACTTATAAAGCTCAACAGTATCCTTCAAACCAGATGACTCTTGACCATGTTGATTCACGCGCGTCATGAAATCCTTCAGCATGTCTTCCATATTTTTTTCGCGGGATTCTTGGTCCCATTCGGTATCTGGAAGATGGTCAAAAAATTTCACACCAGAATCTTTACTAAGAAACAATGGTATTGGGGGCCTTTTCGGTGATCTCCTAGGGCTAACAGGTGGGGTTTCACATGGTCTGGATGGGCTGAGTGTGGGAACCCTGTGTTTTCGAGTATCCTTCACTGGAGTGGGTGCCGGGAATGTCCTGGGACATGTAGCACGCGTAGCGATGGCAATGGAACGAGAAAAGGATTCTTCAAGAGGGGGCTCAAAAATGGATGTAAATGCAGGTTGCGGAACACCATAAGACGAATGAGTCCCACTAGGGGCAGCGGGAGATCCATGGGGGCCAGAAAAAGCATGAAAAGCAGAAGGGACAGAAGAAACAGGCGGCATACCCTTTCGTTTTCCAAGTACACTTCCGGCATGATCATCAATATGGGTATCCAGCGAAGTCGCAGGGCGATGAGTGGAGGCGTTGAGTCTTCGGCTACCGAATGAGGTCTGAGGACGAGGCATGGCAGATGGGCCGCGCGCATTGTAGCCAACGGTGGCCGAGAAGTTGGGTGTCATTGAGCGAGTGGATGTGGCGCCCGATCGAGACATGGTGGACGACGCGAACGAGTTTCCCCGCGCTTGCGCCTTTGACGATGTAGAAGCTAGGCGGCTTGTTGAAGGTTGTTTCTTGTGTTCCGGGGAACTGGGGGCTCTGGATCGAGTCGCTGTTGATAGCCTGTCAGTATACATAACCGGTCATCGCTTCGTGGTCTGCGTACGGGAAACGGTCTTATTGACGATTGTTCCAGGCGGCATGATTCCCGAACGAGAGTTGGTCGTGGCGGGATTCATCTCTCGTAAACCACCGACTTGGGGAATGCGCGACCGAGTCGAAGCTCGAGGTTGAACCTGCGGAAGTTCCAGTTAGTGTTTGCGCAATCGCGATGGAATGCGGATGTTCAGCTTACCATGTTCTCATCCATGGTTGAATTAGTATTGCGCCAGGATACCGGGGAGTAGATAATCCGCGCAAGCAGAAGAAACTCTCGTCCAGCCACCGTCTCAATGGCCGAGTGGGCGACTAGGAGAGATGGAAGTAAGGGGATAAAGCGATGCGATTTGGGTTGTATGGAAGCTTGTTTGGTTTCTGGAGGGACAGAGCGGGTAAACAAAAGATGACTCAGCACATCTCCCTCCGCCAGATTAAGCTTAGTGGTAACAATGTAAATGAGATCACGTTTCTCGTCAAATCACCAAATTTAAACGGTGTAAATGTACGTGTATTACCGAAATTTAATTACTATCTTACGGCACGTGAGGTCATTGGGATGAAAACAATCAATATAGATCAGGAGACAAAACATACTATATGTTGCAATTTGATCATTGGTGTATTATCGATCCTCTCTTCAATCATAGATGCAGCATTCTCCTCGATATTTCAATTTAATTTCGTGTATCATCTATTGAAGCCGTTGATCCAACCCAAAAAGCCGGCGCGGACTCCACTCGGCCCGCTGAAACACCCCAAAAGGCCCCAGTTGCCGCATTCCTTGGTGGCTCGAGGGCAACTGCTGGGTTCCTTTCCTTCAATCTTCTCCTAGAAGCTTGTACTCTACTTTCCCCCTCCCCCTCAATTTCTCTACGGTTCGGTACCGACGATGTCCGGGCGGTTTGTGCGTTCCTCCAAGTATCGTGAGTCTTTGTGATCAACGTGTGATGAGCTGCCGCTGACTGTTGGGGAAGGCCACGTCTTCGGGCGTTCGACACGAAAGGTAATGAATGCCTACACTTCTTAGCTGGCTGACCCTCACCACATTCTGACTATGACCACAGGAACAATGTTACGATAATCTTCGCATCTCGCGAAATGCGTGGGATACCAATCTAATCAAGGTACGAATCGCCCTTTGCGCCACCGCCCCTGACCTTCGCCGCAGCTCCCGGGCTAACGAGCCAAATAGGTCAACCCAAAGCACTTGGCCGTCAATTGGGAAGCCGGTGGTGGTGGAGCCTTCGCTGTCATTCCCCTCGAGGAACGGGGCAAACTACCGGAGCGCATTCCTCTATTCCGCGGGCACACTGCTGTCGTTCTCGACACCGACTGGTTAGCATAAATTAATGGAGCTTATAATCGCATTCCATGGCTGACATGATGTAGGAATCCCTTCAACGATGATCTGATTGCTTCGGGTTCCGACGACGGAAAGGTACACTGTTCCAACGGAGAGTACATGGTCCGAGGCTAATTGCGCTGCAGGTCTTCCTCTGGCGGGTTCCAGATAACTTCACCGTTCGCCCCGATCTCGACGCGGATGACATCCAGGACATTGCGCCTGTTGCAAAGCTAAGCGGCCACTCCAAGTACGGCAATTCTGTATTTTCTTGCGCTAGGGCGGATCACTAATGTTTCCCTGCAGGAAGGTCGGCCACGTGCTCTTTAACCCCGCGGCGGAAAACGTGCTGGCAACGGCCTCGGGCGACTATACTGTGAAGATCTGGGATATCGAGGCGGGCGCACCAAAGCTGACACTGAACATCGGCGACATTGTGCAGTCACAGTCATGGAGCGCCAACGGTTCCCTGCTGGTCACTACCTCGCGCGACAAGAAGCTCCGTATTTGGGATGTTCGTCAAGAGCGCCCGGCACACGAAACAGCCGGACACTCTGGAGCCAAGAACAGCCGTTCTGTTTGGCTGGGTGAGCGCGACCGGATCGTGACCACTGGTTTCTCCAAGATGAGTGATCGTCAGCTGGCTCTGTGGGACATCCGTGCGGCCCGCGAGCCCATTAACGGATTCAAAACTCTGGACTCCATCTCCGGTGTTTGCATGCCATTCTGGGATGATGGTAACAGCATGTTATATCTGGCCGGACGAGGGTAAGTCACGCCTTCCATTTTTGATCTCTGGTCGCTAACGTCACTGCAGTGATGGAAACATCCGCTACTTCGAAGTCGAAAACGATAAGTTTGAGTTCCTCTCCGAGTACAAGTCTGCCGATCCCCAACGTGGTGTCGCATTCATGCCCAAGCGTGGTGTCAACATGCACGATAATGAAATTGCGCGTGCCTTCAAGACTGTCAACGACGGCTACATTGAGCCCGTCTCATTCATCGTGCCCCGCCGATCAGAAACCTTCCAGGACGACATCTACCCACCCACCACTGGTTTAACCCCTGCAATGGGATCATCTGAGTGGTTCGGCGGTAAGGAGGCCATTCCTCCCAAGATTTCCATGGAAAGCCTATTTGAAGGAAACGGTCTCAAGGAGGTTGAGGGTGTACAAGAGAAGCCCACTGGAGCTATGGATGCCCCGGCTCCCAAGCCCGCTGAGCCGGAGGTCAAGAAGCCCGAGCCTGTGGCTCCGAAGGCCGCTCCTGAGCCTACCCCGGAACCCACACGCCTGGCCCGTCCCGCCCCATCTATGAAGGAGCAGGGTGGAGCCATGTCAGCGATGGTAAACAAGTTTGCCGACGAGGAGGAGGCTACTCCCGCCGATGATGACGATTCTAGCTTTGATGAGGTTCCTAAGCCCGTCGAGCGCGCTACCCGCTCTCCCGTCGTCGAGCCGTCATCCCCGAGGGTTAGCAGCCCCTTGCGTCCCAAGGAGGAGCCCAAGCCGCAACCTGTTGTTGCTACTGCTACCCCCGCTGCCGCTCCCGTAAGTTGTTTTTCTTCATATCAAATGCCCCGAACGCTAATTGAAAAGATACAGGCCCCCGCTCCCGCATCCCCTGCTAGCGAGTCGAGCGTCCCCACCGCCACCGTCTCCAAGGAGATCGAGGAGATCAAAAACCTGATTGCCGCGCAGACGAAGACTATCGCTGAGCAGGCGCAGCAGATGCAGACTTTGACTGCTGAGATCGAAGCGCTGAAGACAAAGCTGACTTAAGGTATTGATCACTGTTCTGAACATGTTACAGCTACTGTGGCGAGTAGTCTGGAGAGCACCCGCCCGAGCTGTAAGGTACGATGTACTGTGTATCGACATACATTAAGATGCACTACTGTATGTGGATACGGTTCTTTCTTTTGTTACTAGCGAATTTGTCAATACATTGGCCCTTCAAAGCTAAGTAGATCGTTGATCGTTGATTGTAATCCCCTTATTCTTTATTGCAACCAGAAATCCGGCATAATTCTTCTCCCCAACTCTCTGGATGGCCGTCGCCTCAATCCCCTCCATCTTCCCAGTCGCCTCAACCAACTCACCCGTCCCCTTAACCAGATCATCCTTCTCCATCGCCTCAGCAGACACAATCTTCCCATCCCTCTCAACATTATCAACAGCAATGACCGCCCTCTCCCTAGCAAGATCCAGCACAGCATAAAAATAAGCCAATTCATCCTGCTTATTCGCTTGAATAAACGCAAAATCAAACTTCTCTCTTTCTCCCCTCTGCGCCTGCTCACTGATCTCCTTCAGCACAGCAACCCCAACTCCCCAATGTATCTACTTCGAAAATATGCTTTTCGTTGCACATGCGGGCCTGCAACATGAGAAATTTGGTTTGTGGGGCCGCGCAGGCTATGTCCTGGTAGGCCTGCGGTGAGAGAATCTTGGTCAATTGTTTGCAGGACCTCGTGGTAGCCTGCTGAAAGGAGGTTTGCCTTGACGTAGGTGTCTACGGCGAAGGGTCGTTGCTGCTTGGAAGGACATCGTAAACACAGTGGTATGCGGGCTGGGAGGGTTGTGCCATTATGGAATGGAAATGAGAAGACTAAGTATGAAGTGTGTATAAAGCCAGGCCTGGACTTCGGAATGTGTCACTTCCTAGTCGAAACGGCATGTATCAGTTGTCTATCGGAGGGACTCGGACGGAGCGCTTCGGGATCACTGGGTCATCGGAATCAGTCGTTCACCGTAGAGAAGACTAGATGAATATACTTTTATACAAATGTTACTCCTCTACGCCCTCTAGATTTCACTGCTAACATCGGGTATTTCGAAGTCATTCATACCTCAATGATATACAGGTGTATGTAGGCAAAATACGCATGGAAGAAAGTCTGACTTCTTCATGGGCGTAAAACCTACTGTGAACTGTGATTTTCCAGATGTTATGTAGACTACTGCTGGCTTGATGTTATCATTGTAACTGTACTTTATCAATGAAATGATCAATAGATATGGTCGTATTTCAGACATCTATACCTAGTCTGTCCACCAAGCGTAACTATGACCCCGCAAGTGGGTCCCGGTCCCGGTCCATGGAAGCACCAAGTCAGCTGTTTCAAGGTTTGGAACGGTCTGATCGTCTGAGATCATACTTCCCGTTCTTCCCCTGTTTCAAATTCTCCAACACTGCTCTCCCGATACCCCTCAGGCATGAGAGAAACTGAAGAATATACTCTCCAGGACTCGCCGACATTGACTAGTCACGCAGAAGCTGGTTATAACGACGAAAGGGTCTTGGATGCGGAGTTGACTAATTCGAGACAAAATGAATCGAAAAAGACAAAGCTTGCTGTTCTCATAGGTTCCGGTATTCTTCAGCTACCCATATGGGGTCCGTCCAGCCATATATTTTATGAGTTGTTTATATATTCTGACATATGCGCAGGTTTTGCTATGAGCTATGGTGTTTTCCAGGAATTTTACTTCGACAACTGGACATTTGAGGGAGATCGCAGCATCACCGGTGTAATCGGTACGACTGCGAATGGAGTCATGTATCTATCGATGCCTTTCCTCTTCGCTCTTTTCACTCGACAATGGGCTCATCGACGCCAATTTGCTGCTGTTTGTGGGATCGTGATCGCCTGTGTTAGTTTCTTTGCGTCTTCCTATTGCACCACTGTCTGGCAGTTACTCGTGACTCAAGGAATTACCTCTGCATTTGGATGTGCCCTTATCTATAGTCCAATGACGCTCTCTCTCGGCGAATGGTATACTTCCAGCAACCGGGCTTTGGCTTACGGAATTGTTCTATCTTGCAAGAACATTGTTGGGACCAGCTGTCCATTCATGCTTCGAGCGATGATCGATGCATACGGCTATCAGACCACTCTTAAAGCTTGGACTGCGATAGTAGGTGGATTGAGTATTTTTGCTATCTTCATGGTCCCGACCCACCCTTCGAAAGTCTCGATCCACAGAACTCGCGCGCGCAAGATTCCCTGGCATTTCCTCCGACACCGTTCGATCTACTTCTACAGTGTCGCCATTATCTTCCAGAGCTCTGGCTATGGTATTCCACAAACATATTTGAGCACCTATGCTCGAGACGTCGCCATGTTGTCTAGCACGTCGGGCACCCTGATGCTGGCCGTATTCAACGCGCCTGGTATCATTGCTTCTTCTTTTTTCGGATGGCTAAGCGACAACAAGCGAATCTCGTTTTCAGTCCAGGTCATATGCGCCATTCCACCTCTCTTCTCTGCTCTTTCTGTTTTCCTCTTTTGGGGCCTGACCACTCAGGGTGCCATTGGCATTCTCATAGTCTTCTCGATGACTTTTGGATTCTTCTCTAGTGGTTACAGCGCTACATGGGGAGGGATTCTTAAACAGATAGAACGGGAAGCAGCCGAGAAGAACGAGGCAGTTGATTCTGGGATGTTATATGGTCTGTTAAATGGTGTCAGAGGGATCGGGTATGTCAGTGGCGGGATCGCTGGTGTCGGGCTTCTTAACTCGGGAACTGTAGCGGCGAATCAACACTTTGCGTATGGAAGTTCATACGGACCCCTTATTATCTTTACTGGACTTTCTTCCCTTCTCGGAGGGTGGGTTGTCTTGTGGAGATGGAATCCGAAAAGACTATTGCCGCTGTTATCGAGAGGGTAAATCATAGCTACCTCGGTTGGTCGAGACTAGACTGGGATGAAGATTTCCATAATAAAGTCGACGGATCTCTTCACAAATCTGACTGGAAAAGAGTGTCTCTATCCAATTGTCTATTCATTTTGGAAACGAGGTCTAAGGAAGTAAGAAGATACCAGTCTGTCTATGTATAACGTACATATTGCGTGATCAGACATGTTCAGTACAAGGGATAAACCCAGCATTGTAGAAGTGCATGTGCAGATTATCAAAGGGTGAGATTTGATTTGTCCGTAAAGCCTCGTCCCCTTGGGGATTGGATCTTCACTGCTGACTGTACGTGAGTCACATCCTAGCCATCAATGTCGTAGCCCTTATCTATCCCCAAAGCCAACTTGAAGCACTTATTTCAATCCCTATCATTCGCATATTGACATTCGGAAAATATTAAAGTCTAAAATTCTTCATGGCAGACCTCAAACCGGTGCACTTCTTCGATCTCTACTCCGATCAACAAGGTCCGCAAGCAGCCCTGCATTGAACTCCCCAAACTAATCAAATTCAAACCAGGCAGCTCGAAGTCATGGTCCCCCAATACTCTGAGAACCCGAGCCGTGCTCAACTTCAAAGGAATACCCTACACACAAAGCTGGCACTCCTACACTGACATCAAACCCCTTATGACCGGGCTAGGCGTATCGCCCCGCGAACAAGGCAGACCATACACGCTACCAGCGATCCTACACTCCACAGTAGTGTCAAGTCCTAGCGGAGCGATGATGGACTCCCTCGCTATCGCTCTTCATCTCGACAAATTATATCCATCCCCGCCACTCTTCCCATCCGGCGACGCGAGCTACGCACTACTTATCGCGGTCGTCAATGTTATAACACGTCTGGAGCCTGGATTCCGGCCTTTAATTATACCTCTTGTACCTGATCATTTGGATCCACCGGGACGGAAGTATTTTCATGAGACGCGGACTGTGGCATTTGGGAAGCCCTTGTCCGAGGTGCGGCCGACGGATAAGGAGACTCTTGATGGGATGTGGGAATTAGTTGAGGCTGAGTCTGCGGTGTTGGTTCACATGTTGAAGGGGAGGAAGGGGAAGAAGGGTCCGTTCTTTGAGGGTGAAAGGGCTGGGTATGCAGATTTGGTGTATACTTGTCAACTTGCAACTATTGAGCGCTTTGATAAGGAGCTTTTTGGGAAGTTTATGGGCTTGGGGAATGGTGAGTTCAGGGCTCTGTATGATGCTTGTTTGCCTTGGTTGGAGGGTCAGGGAGAGGATAGGGAGTGGCCTATCTCTATGACTACTTCATCCTAAATATAGAGTCGCAGTCTTCTTTCTGGGCCAGTTGTAATTTCTTTCAGTATTAGGATTTACGTTAATCTCTTATGTTGCAAGTACAAATAAGGATATAGCTTTGTATTATGCAATATGGTATAAGACCGAGTTCTAATTAAAAAGATGCTGTTCAATCACGATGATTGTTTGTGTAGGTTCCGTAGTGTGCAGGCAAGAATCAAGCCGAAGGCCGATATACAAAGATAAAGCAGCCAAACATACGAGAGGCCCTTGTTGACAACGTCGAAAACGATTTGCCGCTCATCAACGGGTAGTTCCTTGGTGATACTAGATGTGGCAGTTGACGCAGCAACGATCTCCGTTCCAAAAGTGTATCCCAGAGCCGCCACCAACCTAGCCTTCCTCACGGCGACTTCATGGTTATAAATCACTGTTCCAACGACCACAGATATAGAGGCAGACAATTGACGAATAAGGGAAAACGCTGCCGTCGCCTGACTCATCTCAGAGGTCAGCACGTTAGCCTGGAGGGCGATCAAGGTTGCTTGAAAGTTGGGACCTAATCCAACACCAACGATCATCTGATACAGGACGATGCGCGGCCAGGATGCATAGGGCTTCAAATCCATGTAAAGTCCATATCCAAGCGTTGTGAAGAACATTCCAAAGATGATGACCTCCCGGAATCGTCCAGTTGCTCGCAAGTACCAGCCTCCTAGACCGGACGAGATAGCCAGTGCTCCGACCAAGGGTAGAAGAAGGACACCACTCATCAAGGAGCTTTCTAGGAGGACGTTCTGGAGGTAGACTGGAAGATAGAAACAGCCGCCAATGAAGACAGCACCGTGGCAGAAGTTCACAAGGAGAAGAGTGAAATTCTGTCTGCTGTTGAAAACGGCCAACGGGATGATTGGGGAGGAGGGGAACCGCTCATAGAAGCCAAAAAGAATTAAGGCGACGACTCCAAAAACGATCAGACAGATGACTGTGGCCGACGACCAGCTGAATTGGTCTCCTCCGAATTCCAAACCGAGGAGAAGCATGATCGTTCCGGCAATGACGAGGCCTACACCGATCCAATCGATCGAGGCGAGGCCATCCAAAAGATCCTTCTTCGTGGTATCGATCTTCAGGAAAAACATCAGGAAAAGAAAAGCGACACCGCCGACGGGTACTTGTTGGATGTTAGTGACAATCTTCAGTGGAGAGAAAAGAAGATACTCACAGTTGATATAAAAGCACCATCGCCAGGTGACATACGAGGTAAAAGCACCACCAATGACAGGTCCAACAGCACCTGCAATAGCCCACGTCGCACCAAAGATACCCAGGTAGGCAGATCGCCTCTGAACATCAAACATGTCGGAGACGCAGATATTGGCCATCACGGTGATACCACCACTGCCCACACCTTGCAAGGCACGGCCGGCGATCAACATATTGACATTAATTGCCAGGGCGCAAATTAAACTTCCACCTAGGAAGAGTATGATGGAAATACTAAGAATAGGCTTTCGGCCCCAGATGTCGCTCAGCCTTCCCCACAAACCCACGGATGAGGCATTCGCCAAGAGATAGGACGATGCGATCCATGAGTAAGCAGAATCAGAGGCCTTGAAGTGAGCGACAATTTCGGGTAAAGCGGTAGAGACGATGGTCTTCAAGTGGTTAGCACATTGCGATCAGATAAGGATACTTCAGGTTGATCACTTACGATATCAAGCGCAGCAAGGAACACAGACAACTTTAAACAGTATCCACTGATCAGCACTGAATATTGAAACTTGTGATCATCAACATACCCCTAATCCAAGCAGGATAATCACCACTCGTTGTTTCCCAGGAGTATCCTGGTGGGTGACATTTTCCTCGGGAATGTCTTCTTTGGAAATTTTTTCTGTGACGCCGTGTTCCTCGTCTTTGATTTGGGTAAGAGCGACATCCTGGTCCTCTGACATGATGGAAAAAGCGATCGGCTAAAGGTCGGATAAATATCAAAACATAATAAAGGAATTTAAAGGAATGTGAGCAATGAAAAAATCAGGAAATAGAATGGTTGAAGTATTGAATCGACGGAGATATGAAGACTGGGAAGAAAGTCCTGAAAACTTCAACTCCATTCCCAATCCTCCAAGCAGCGGGGAGATAACTTATCCAGCCTAAACTCGAATCGAGCGTTCCGGATCTAGATACACATGGCAATGATGTCATTTTGCTCTATTTGACTCCACTTCCACCAATAACATAGACTCGGTTGGCCTCTTTCGGTTTAGTTCGAGTGTCATCCACCACTTAGATCGAGAGCTTACGCACTCGAACCCCTTTAGTCGGCATTTCGAAACGCGAGACAACGAGACTTTCTTAAGAAAAGGATACAAAGCACGGCGTAAATGACTTTCTGTTGTTATTTTATCTACGGGAAACCTGAGCATGTTCAACATTCATACAGGTAAGAACAATGCAGCTATCGAGAAACTAATTCTATTAGGCATCGATATTCCCAAATAGGAAGGCTACAAGTTATACTAAGTCACTAACGTCTCAATTCTTGCATCGAAATTACATTCTTCAACCTCGGCAACCCCACATTTCTATCTGATCAGGTCATGGTTGTATAAGCATTGTGCTATTAATAAACCCGATTCTAAAGATCACCACCTTCGTATAAAACATATAACCATCTACGGAGTCCATGTTCTCCGTAAGAATTCGTGAAATTACCCCGAGACAAAACCCTTGACACTAGCCAAACCCCCGGAAGTAAGATTCTTAGCCGACTCAGCACCTTGAGACACACCAGACCCAATACTATTCACACCCTTCGCTCCAGTGTCCATAATCGCAGAGCCTCCATAGGATCCATCTTCCTCCTTTCCATTTCTTTCAGCACGGTTGATTCCCTCCTTTGACACAAATTGTCCAACGGGTTTCAATAGTCCCTTGTCACCGATCTGGTTGCCAACGAGATTATTCACATCATCCTGGATTTGATCCGCTTCATTCACGCCGGTGATTTTCGTTTTGGAGAGGGAGTCTGTCAACATTTCACATCAGTTCCATGTCTATGATATGGGTCCTTTCGATGTTCGTAAAATACCCTTGGTGGCATAGGAAGCTTTATTGTCGCCCCTTCCGAACCATCTCAGATACAGGTCCTCAATCCAGGGCATCCATCTCTCGTAGCCATTGTTGTAGGCATTCCTGAGCCATTCCCCGTAGGTCTCTTTTTCTTGAGGAGTCATGTCATCTGGCTGCTTCATGCTGTTCGGGAGACTGTTCGGGAGACTCATGTTTTGAGATCGGTCAGAATGGTGTATAAATGAGGAGTGAAATGACAAAAGGCGATCTTGGGTACTATTTATCTTGGAACCGGCAATCGTACTGTTGTCACTTTTAACTTTGTATAGATTAACTTGATGTCTGATGACGTCAATGGGTAACCTGGATTAAGCTATCTATAGTACCCTACTTCACTGGACAAAGTTCTTTTTGAGACGCAAACTCAAATGCTGGCGCAGGAGATGCCCAAGGTCATCGCTGATACAGCTTCCATCCATGTACCCATCGGACTGCAGGCTGGTGACGTAGTCGGTCAAGAGATCACGAACGGCGGACAAAAGTTGGGGATGGATCTGGCCAGATTTATTACCTAGAAAGTCGCAGTTGGTGCACTCGGTGAGCAGTGAGCTTGCACATGTGAGACAGGCTGGCAGACCCGGTACACATGCATGCCGTCACGATTGCGCCCAATATATGTAGTCCAGACGTCGCCATTGAATGCAAAGTTCCGAAGACAGCAGCTGCTATACACGGGAACCACTGAGGGTAGTTTTGGAGGAGGTCGATGGAACTTGGCTCCTCTGGGGAGAGGGACTGCAGTCGCCGGCATAGTTCACGGCCGATGCTAGAGGAGAGCTGGAGTGAGGATCAGGACTTACAGGCAAGGATAGACTTACGATGGATTTGTTCATCAACATTGTAGGGAAGTTCCAAGGTAGAGATTAGAGAAGGTAGAAGTAAAGAGAGAAGTGGCAGGGGTGAATACTGGAGGGTTCTATCTATTGCCTTGACCTCACTCCACTTCAGTCATTGGGGCTGTTTACTTAGGTAGATTTGTGCAAACCGGGACCCATGTTTTTGAATTGCTGCCCAGAACCCATGGGATCGACTAAGCTGAATGGGATGAATCTCTACAAGATTTTCCGCATCGTAGCGACATGGCTCATGTGAAATATCAACATGGCGCAAGGCCACGTCATCGCTTCAATGGCGTGTGCAATATATAGCTGCAGAGTAGGGCGACAGGGCAACTGGGGCAGTCCCTGCTCCATCAGATCTGATATCTTGTGCTCCGTGCGGACGCTTTTCTGGGGCTTAAATTGTTACATTTAATATTCAGTGGAATTTGTGTATAACATCATCGGCAATTCCACTGTTGATATACATATCCACCTGTGGAAGAGCCTCCCGAAACCCTAAAATCTCAACCTTGGAAATGCAGGAACTTCCTTCACATTCCAGGCTAGCCATGAGCATTGATTGGCAGTGAATTATTGAAATGTAATGAGGATTGAATAGTAGTCTCTAGAGTGAAAAGTTCCATGAGATCAAGGCCAAAGAAGCTTAAGCAACTTGTAAGCCTCACTGATATTGCTAGGATAATTTTGTTTTAGATATGGTTTAAATGTATCGACCTGAGGCGCTCCTCAGCCAGTGTCAGCCTGACATACTGGTTCCCTGACGTGGGGAATAAATGCAGATGCAAAAAGGGGAAAGAAAAACTGGAGCGATGAATGCCCGACGCCATTCCCAAGCGATAAATATTTTGACATGCAATGTGAAATGCCATACAGTCTTCCAGACTCTAGAGCTCGTCTTCGTATTTGTAATTGGTGCGGCGGCCGGCCACCGCACGTTCTTGCCGACTGTCGCGGCGGTTGCCAGATTTGGCCTGTTCGCGGCGTTGTTGCTCGCGCTGGAGGCGTTCACGGTTCCGCGCTTCGCGCTCCAGTGTATGGGGATCCTTTTCCGGTTCAGGGACGGACTCAGCTTCGCGGTCTTTGCGATCGTCGGTTTCGCGTTTCACGCGTCTGGATCGTGGGTGGGAATCGCTGGCATTTGCGGATTCGGATCGATCGCGGCGAGAACGTTTACGATCTTTTTCACGGTCTCTACCACGGTCTCGGTCACGTTCTCGGTCACGTTCTTTTTCGCGACGACGATCTCGTTCACGTTCACGGTCTGGCTGGTCTGCTCGGTCTCCCCGGTCTCGATCGCGGCGGTCGCGTCCCCGATCTTTATCATGCTCGCCACGACGGCTATCTCTAGGTCGATCTCGCTCCCGATCCTCTTCACGACGACTGGGGCGATCTCTGCTGGTACGATGAGAGTTCCCGATTCGGGTTGCGAGGTCACGGGGGTTGATCTTCCCAGAGGACTTGAAATGGCTATTCTGTTGATCCTGTGTAATGGCTGTAAGACGGTCAGGTTGACGGCTATCGCCGTTTCGGTTCGTACTGCGACTGAGGCTGCGACTACGACTCCGAGTGCGGTGGCGACGTGATCGATGCGATCGATGGCCGCTGCGCCGCTCCCGGTCACTATCACGATGGCGGGGGCGCGAAGAGCGTCTGGAAGATACACCGGATGGTGAGCGAGTTCGATGGTCTGTAAGGCGCCTCGCATCACGGTCGCGACGGCCCTCTCGTCCGTCATCAGTTGCCGGTGCGGAGGGCGATGGAGCTCGTGAAGCCTGTTTTGGGGGAGGAGATGGAGAGCGAGATGCACGTCGGGGTTGAGAAGGGGCCTGGGACAACTCGCGAATTACCGGAGGGGTGTTAGGATCGCTGTGGGAGGGGGTTAGTGAGTGAACTCCAAAATGGATTTGCAAAGGTCTTACCTATTGGTCGGGGCCGCTGTACTGCCTACTGAGGGCCGCGCTTGGTGGAAGCCGCCTCGCTGTCGCAAAACGCTGGTATTAGGCAGTCCCTGTCGCATTGCTCGCGGAGCTGCGGGAGCTCCCTCCACGCCGGGGTTTCTTGGTTCTATATGAGATTGGGACAAATGTCCACTCCAATAGCCTCCACGGCCATGGGGCATAGAGCCCCGCATATAACCACCTCGCCCATATCCAGGGCCCATAGCACCCTGATAGCCGCCCGGACCACTTGGCAGGGCCTGGTCTAGACTATCAATGGTAGGAATGCCCTGCAACTGTTGGTCATCTGCTGATGCCGGATCTGCAGACACGGCCTCGTTGTCATTTATCGCGACTGCGTTTGCAGCACCACTATTCTCAGGGTCCTGTGGAACTTCGGTATCAATGGCCACACTGGGGCCCCCTGAAGCACTCGAGCCTGGACGGTTAGGAAGACCGTGGTTAGTATGACTGTAATGCCCCTGTCCAGGGCCATATCCACCTCGACCAGGGCCGTAGAAGTGGCCTCGACCCCGGCCCCGGAACCCACCGCGACCATATCCGGGCCCGTTGTAACCAGACTGGAAGTCGTTAGGGTAAGACATATTAGGTCCGCCAAATGCTCCTCCATAAGGAGGGCCTGATCCATTCGGGAAAGCATTTGGATTGAATTTATCTTGGCCGCCTTGCCACATGTTTTGCTGAGAGTCCCAACCTAAGGATCCATACATGCCCTGCCCTTCAAAATTCATTCCGTTCATGCCCATGCCAGTCATGTTCATCCCGTAATCTCCGAACATCCCCTGATTTGCCATTGGGTCCATTCCCATGGGCATACCTAGATAGTCTGTTAGTAAAGGGGTTAAAGACATTTCAAGTTGGATGACGTACCCATTGGGTTTGAGAAGAACATAGGATTGGCCATGAATGGGTTCATGCCGTTGAAATTGCCATTTCCATTCCAGCCCATCCCCGGGAATCCACCGCCCATGTTCATCGCCGAAGGTGCGGCTTCTTGAGAGGTCTCTTGAGCCAATTCATCGGAGATAGCTCTATCGCCATCGGTTTGGGGAGCATTTGCACCGGGGTTAGACGGATCCGTGATTTGATCACCAGCCAACTCGGCGTGCTGCTTGAGCAGTTAGTGCACTGTAGATAGATGATGGCAGTACAACCCATACCTCATCTGACAACGTTTGAAACTTCAGCGTAGTGTTTCCCTTTGCAGTTTCTGTAATCACCACATCTTCAGTCTCCTGTGTTGGCTCGTCAGGCGCGGTTTCTTTCGCCGCGGGTACCTCAGGTGTGTGTGCCGGCGTGGGCTCGGTTGTGGGCTGATCGACCGGGATGTCCGTGGGGACATTTTCACTTTCCGCCGGGGTGGAAACCGCAGGTGTAGAAGCTGCTGCCGCCTGACGCTCCTTCTCGCGTTTCTTCTCTTCCGTCCGCAGATATGCCTTCAGAGTGGTGCGCAAAGCTTTATTCGGCTTGCAGAGGTCCGGAGAGACAGGGGTATGTGCGCAAACCGGACAGGTATCGACAAGAGACGATTGGCCTATTGAAATGGGATTCGTTCAGTTTGCATTTTTTTTATTTTCTTCGCCGAGGGGTGGGCACTCACAAGTCTCGCAGATTGACTGGTCGCAACAAGGTAGGCGAAAAGCATTCACCGCCAGCATGTTGCAAATAGCGCATCGCAGCTTCATAGGAATTTCATCCTGGGGTATAGTGCTGAATTTGGTAAGTGTCAAGTTTACCATTCGCCTGGAGTGAGCTTACCTGGTGATGTCCATCAGACCAGCTGGCGGGTCCACCGCAGCCATGGCTGGAAGAAAAGAAGCACAGTTATAGACGTCACCGCGATGACACCTTCTGGCTAGCGGAGGAGAAGATCAGCAGAAGAACGAGTTGCTTTGCAAGCGCGCATATGGAATTTGGTCGGTGTTCGGATAAACTATCCGCCGATGTAGATTGCCTGAATTTACGCGGCATTAAGGGTGAATGCATTGAGACCACATCTTCAATAGAGGTATATCTATTTCGATATAGTATTATGAATATATAACATCAAATCTCTCATAATATTGTCTCAGATTAGATCAAGTAATTTTAGGTCCATCACCAGTGCCTGCGATACCATGGGGTTTCATCAGGGTCTTCCCTCCGGACTCAAATATCATCATAGACAAGAGGATTTGATAGGTTATAAAGATGGAAAGAAAAAGAGAAGGAGATATATAGAGAAAGGGATATACATTCAAGGTTTCCTAGAGGTATGGCTGAAGGGGAAGAAAGATGAAAGGGAGAAAGGGAAAAAAAGGCATCGCATAGCTAAGAGATCCACTTGTGAATTTAAAAAGGCGCGACCGCCCTCGAGTCCCGTTTGTCCCGATTTTTTTCTCTTTAACCTAAACCAAGAGCTAGGGCCGACTAAACGGAATGACTTAATTCACTTGGCTATATAGCTACAGCATGACAGAGGACAACTATCGACCAAGATCTCCCGACCTTTCTTCTCCCTCGAACCCCCCACCTCACGCGCCATTGAGCCCGCTCGCCCATCGCGCTTCCTACGACGCATCGCCATTTTTTAATCAGCGCCCCAGCTCGAGTCGCGTAACCCAGCAGTACGTTCCACCTGACCAACCCGGCTTCAGCTTCGCAGACGAAATGGCCCGTCGCTCATCACGCCTACAGCCTGAGGACGCGCCCGTCCCCGAACCCACAATGCCTGCAACTATGCCTGTAGCGCCGATCCCAGATGAGACCCCACCAACGCGCCCCGGTGCGGGCATTGAAGTCAAGACCAAATTCCCCGTCGCGCGGATCAAGCGCATCATGCAAGCGGATGAAGATGTCGGAAAGGTTGCCCAGGTGACTCCGATCGCAGTGTGTAAGTGTTGCAAAGCCCCCACTACCTTTCTCTTTTCCTTCACATGGGCCCTTGTTTGAATGAAAGCTAACGCTTTGATGCAGCCAAAGCATTGGAACTCTTTATGATATCCTTGGTCACCAAGGCCGCCCAGGAAGCCAAAGACCGCAACTCGAAACGTGTTACCGCTAGCCACCTTAAGCAGGCTGTCGCCAAGGATGAGGTGCTGGATTTCCTCGCCGATATCATTGCCAAGGTCCCTGATCAACCGGCCGGCCGAAAACACGAGGATGATGGAAGTGATCAAAACGAAGGCCGCCGGAAGCGCGGTGGACGCCGTCCCAAGGAGGAGAGTGACTGAAGGACCGTTGCTGAAAAGAAAACGACTCATGATATCCTAGAATGGGATAGGTTAACTGGCGCATTTTAATGATTGGTTTGATTTTTGTGTTTTTTGGATTGGTTCACAGGGAACTGATTTCTGGGGGCGTTTGGTGGTATAGGATCGATTTAGTAGCGCACTTCCTGTGAATAGTTCAATTCTGTGCAGGCATAGCCCTGCGTGGTCAGCAGTCCTAGACTGACATGACCTGCTTCCAATTTTTGTCTGAGCTGTGGACGTAGTTGTATATTGATTTTTCTGTAGATAAAACCATATTTGTAGCTTGAGTAAGATATCTATGGCCATATCGGGATCAAAACAAAGCATGAAACTCGAACTTGTTCTGGGTATGCAGTCTTTCAGGCTCAAACTGTAGGAATATACTTGGACACCCTATAATTCATGATGAGATAGGGCCAACAATTACGGAATTCGGGAAAATACGAATGTACTACGTTATGTACTGAAAGCGCGGTGATCGCGATACACGAGTTCCCGCGGCTCCACTTCGACGTTCAACCCCGTACCTTCACCCTTCCCCTCCACTTTGTTTTATGATGCTGCCACAGAATGGACTTTGTGAGATATCTTATGTATGGCCCCGTGTGTTCGTCGCTAATTTCCCTTAGTGGTCTCGTCTCATCGGCGGCTCACGCGCGCTGTCCAAGACCTCGCGGGCAACCTCACCAACTGAACGCCTGACGGCATTCAAGCGCGCCTGCAATGCTCTTCAAGTACTTCTCCTCTCCCCATTCGCATATTACATGAACTAACCATAGATATGATAAGCAAATCTGGCGCTCAAACAATACCCCCTCCGGCGAACAGCCAATCGCCCATGCGCGTACCTACATTGAACGGCTCAACTCGATCTTGAGCGATGAATCCCGAGGACCAGCTCCTCATCCATGTGTGGCTTATGCCGCCTCTTCCCAGATATTTGTGACGGTCACGAAGCTCGCCTTGTCATACTACGATGATCAATTGCTCCGTTCGGCTACGACATTCTTCAACACCCTTATCGATGCGGAGGTGGATGGTGTGGTCGACAATCGGCTCTTTGCTCGCGCAATGGTGGATCTGGTCCGGCGAGCTGACAAGGCATCAGTTGAGATTGAAGGGAGACTGGTAGAACTGCTGTTTGGTATCTCCAACAATATTCGTCTACAACCCGCTATTCTTCCCGCATGGTTTGTGCCCCGGGCAACCCCCGTCGTTCAGGATGGCGAGTCGTCAGGACCGAGTGGGGCGGAGTTTGCGGGTGCGACGCGCAAAGACGAATTCCCACTGTTCTATTTGCTCGTTGATTACGTTCACAATGAGGGCCGCGCGGGAGATTTTGCGCGTACGGGGCTTCTATACTTGATTGAGACCGCGTCACGCTCGAAGAACTTGGAAAAATGGTTAATCGAAAGTGACCTGGCAACGCTGATGGCTACCGGACTGGGTGCATTATACAGTCAATTGGGCAGGTGAGTTATACTAAGCACCATATTACACTAATGAGACTGACGGAACGCAGTCTATGCTTCCCATCACCTGATGATGATGCCCCCCGAATTATTGCGCTTTCCGATCATGCACATGAAGTCACAGCTCTTCAACCCGCTCTGGGCGAAGCTATGGACGCTTTCATGTCATACTTGCTCTTTTGGCAGGATACAATCGACCATTGCAAGTCCGCAGAGGTCAATGACACTCTCCTGGATCATTTCCAGGTCCTATTTCTTGAACAACTCTTGTAAGAAAGCCTTGCTAATCATAAATCATCATAATGCTAACTTTTGAAGATACCCTTCTCTATTAGAATCGTCTGATGTGGCCGGCGGTTCAACTGCAGCCGTGTTGACCTACATGTGCCGCATTCTTGACTCGATAGACCAAGGTGAATTGGTGCACCGCATTCTGCATTTCTTATTGGCTTCATCGCCACCACCCGAAGAACAACTGGATATGTCTGCAAGCAGACGCAAATCTCTCAATGTGCTGGCCGCGTTAGCTTCAGAGGCAGCTCAGCCTTCCCCTTCCCTATTCAACCTCCGTGACCTCGCGCTTCTTGGACTTCAGTCCACAAACCGACAGACTGTTCTGGCCACATTACGTCTATTGAATGTAGTCCTCCAGCGTCATCATCCGTTTGCTCGAGCACTTATTCATACGGTGCCCTATCAACCGGCTCAGCAGCGATCTGTCGGTGCATTTAATGCGGAGCTTGAACAGCTTCTTGGTCTTGGGACATCCCTTATTGATGAACCGTCCTTGAACGAATCATATGATAACTACGTTGCAGATGCGACATGGGTACTTGAGTCACGCCTCTGCCTCCCTGTGTCAGTCGAGGACGCCGAGGATGATATCCCATTGCCCATGCAGCTCCAGCAAGATGATCCAATTGTACAAGGTCTGCTGAGCTGCGCTGATTCGTTTTTCACCAACAGTGTCATAGTCAACCTAGCGCTCACCGGGGTGCTTATAAGTCTGGCATCCTCTCATCTATTTTCCCTAGATGGCTGGGTGTTGGTTGACCCGGCCCAATATGATTCTCCCTCCAAGACTCCTTCCAATGACCTTGACCACATTCGTCAGGCTTACCAAGCACCCACATGGCCTGAAACGGCTGCCCCAACTCTGACTTCTGCGCTTCGACGGCTAGTAGACCAAGTCCGCCAATGGCAGCAAGATCTGCCTGACTTTGATGTCCTGATAGCTGCTCGTCGTGAACTACTTCACCGGGAGCAGGATTCTCAGATGCCGGCTTCCTCGGAGCCTGAGACCTCGGGCCTGACTACAGACCGCTCGCGCCCCTCATACCCCGGATCGCCCGAACCGTCACAGATCTCGCGGGGCCGATCACCAGATACGAAGCCTAGCGCGGCGCGAGATGAATCGTCCGTGCGTCCGATTGACTCTCGCGGGTCATCGGATTCTCGCGCTACTACGGCAGAGCTTCTTCGCCAGCGGTTGGCCATGCCATTCCCTCCCCTACCCGAAGCGGTACCAGCGGATCCCGGTGCCACGCCAGATGAAGATCATGAAACGCAGCCTCTGGTTACACTGGGTCACGTTCTTACTAACATAGTCATCCTTTATGAATTCTTGCTAGAACTTTCTGCCGTGGTGCAGGCTCGAGGAAGTCTTTTTGAAGAAGCAGGATATCCTTAGCGATGGGTTGGGTCTTGGTTATTGAACAGTGAACAGTGAATATGAATAGTGCATATATTAATTTACAAATATGGAATCCATGGATATAACCCGTGAAAGGGGAATCGATTTATGCTTTTGGATTGACGGGTGGAGCCGTTGCATAAACTAGTACAATGTATTGGTCATCCTAAGTGGGGGCGGATCTAAGGCGTGACGGAGCCGCTTGCGACGATTGGACTTTCGGCCAACTTGCACTTTCTGCCCCCAGTGTAACTACTTGTAATCTTACCATGTGCTTCACGTCTCTATAATTCTCCGTATATTTATCTTTTCTCGGAATGACCGATCATGGTTGCAAAACCTGAGTTTGACCGCGAGGACCGTGAAGATGCTCCGTTCCTCCCCGAATCCGACTCGCAATCCCCTTCCGCCCCTGGCCCTCGCGAAGCGAAACCACCTCACACGAGCAGCGATGCGCTGGCTCAGAAAATTGGTTTCCGGCTGAAGGTCACCCTTTTCGCTATGATCCTCGCTGTGGATATTGGCTTCTCCTTTATCGAAGGCCCCCAGGTCCGCATCTTCGAGTCGATTGCGTGTCGTCAATACTTCTCGGTGGCCGATCCGACTCAGATTGGGGCCAATGGCCAGGTTCCTGAAGAAATGTGCAAGGGAGCGGAGGTCCAAGCCGAGTTAGCGGCGGTGAAGGGGTATAACATGTTTTTTGATGGCTTGTTATGTATGGGCTCCATCCCCCGAATCGCTAGCAGGTTCTGACCGCGTTATAGGTGCCCTCTTGGCCATTCCATACGGTCTGCTGGCAGATCGACAGGGTCGCAAATCTACTCTTCTTCTGGGAATGCCTGGCTTTGCCCTGAATTCTATAATAGTCCTGACGGTCATGTGGTTTTCCGATATTTTTCCCCTACGCGCCGTTTGGTTCTCCTCGCTGGCCTGGTTGCTCGGTGGGGGACCGGTCGTTGCTTTTGCTATTATTTGGACTATGATGGCTGACGTGACGACGGAAGATGAAAGGTAGCTGCTTCCAGTGGATGTGCTGGATATCAAAACTAATCATACTTTTGCAGAGCAACGCTATTCTTTCAATTCGGTATCGTCTCAATGGGGGCCGATTTCCTTTCCAGCGCTTTTACTTCTTACCTGATGTCAATGAATCCATGGGTTCCCCTGTTCATCGGACATGCCATCATCTTCCTGGGGCTTTTATTGATGTTCATAATTCCCGAGACTAAACACGCCCGACCACCGAGTCGACCTGAGCCATTTCATGTCGAGCTTTCTGATTTGACCGAGGATGACCCTCATAAACGCTCTCCGAAGCCCGAATCTGGATCATATCGTGATCAAAATGGTGGGGGAAGAGATTCCAACGAGACACACGCGTCTTGGAGTTATCCATCGCAACAAAGCCCATCTCTGTGGGCTAGGATTTGCGCCAACTATCGGTTCTACGTGAAACCCTACCTATTTATCCTGAAGCGAAAGCCCGTGCTACTTCTTCTTACCGCTTTTCTGGTATATCGCCTCAGTCGGGGTTCTTCATGGTTCCTCACACAGTATATCTCGACACGATACGAATGGACCCTGGCACAGGCCAATTTGCTCGTCTCATTCCGACCCACCGTATCGATTCCGGTCTTCTTGTTCGTTCTGCCCTGGCTTAAGAAATACTACCTGAATCAACGACGCTCGTCCACAGAGAAGGATCTCTACCTTGCCCGAGGAAGCATCATCTGCCTCACCCTCGGAACCCTGGGGATCGGTTTATCGCCCACGATCGGGACCCTGATCCCTAGCATGATCATCCAAACATCGGGATCCGGTTTCGTCTTCCTCACGCGCTCGATTATCACTACCCTGGTCGAGCGGGACGAGACCGCCCGCTTATATACAGTCATTGAGATCTTGCAGTCAATGGGTAACGTTGTGGCCAGTTTGTCGATCACCACGGTCTTCCAACTTGGTCTTCGCCTAGGAGGTGTATGGGTTGGACTGGCTTGGATGATGACTAGTACGCTGTTTTGCATGGTGGCTGCCGCGATCTGGGCTTTCCGATTGCCAAAAGCCCCAAGCGATCAGGAATTTGTGGTAGGAGATTTCGAAGATACTGAATTTTGATCATTGCATATAGATCTCGGATGCACTTGGTGTTGGGGTTTTAGTCCATACAGCTATTTTGTTCAAATCTTTTCTTAACATGTATATATAGATATCTTATCTCTTATCTCTTATCTCTTATCTCTTATCTATAGATCAAACTTTATCACCGCGGCATCGATAACAGTCACGTGGCTCTCACATGTAAAGCTTCCCAAGTTTGGCAGAAGAAACGTTTCTGTCCATTCCACCCCCGCATATACAATGGAGAAATTCTCGCAGTTCCGAGATCGAGGTATTCAATCCCTTACTACTATCGTGGTTCGCAGATCACACTCATTCTAACATATAATTTTTCCAAGGCTCGGGTATTGCGCCTTTCCTGCCCATTCCATCCGAGTCACTAGGCTTACAGGCCCCTCTCCGAGTCTTCCTCTTTTGCTTTCGGCTGCCCTTGTTCCTTTTTGTAACATTGGCCTATTTTGCTATTCTTCAATGGCTTCCCATTGGGTCCTTGGGCAAGAAGGCCGCACTTTGGTGCATCTTAGGTGTCCCCAGTATCTGGTGGATTGACCTCCAAGTGGACGGAGTCAGGAAAGGGTAGGTCTCAGCTGATAAACCCTATCTCAATAACCCAGTGACTGACTATTCCATCATCAGCTCCCTCTCCAAACAACATCGGGCAAGTCTCCCACAACCGGGCTCCGTAATCGCCTCCTCTTTTACCTCTCCCATCGACGCCGTCTACCTGGCCGCTATCTTCGATCCAGTCTTCACAGCCGCCTACCCACATACCAGACAAGTCGAGCGGATCTCTCTTCTCCAGGCTGTTCTCCGCACCTTTGCCAAACCCACTACTCAACCGGACCCCGCGGCAAAATTAGTGGACGTAGCCACCCTCGTTGCGAAATACCCAAACCGACCCATCGTCATCTTCCCTGAATGCACAACAACCAACGGCCGCGGTATCCTTCCTCTAAGCCACGCCCTCCTCGGCATCCCAGCCAAAACCAAGGTTTTCCCCGTCAGCCTACGCTACACTCCCGTAGACGTGGTAACTCCGCTCCCAGGCAGCTATATCAGTTTCCTTTGGAGACTGCTCAGCAAGCCCACGCATTGCATCCGAGTCCGAATCGCCAATTGTGTTACGATCTCAGGTGTGAGCGATTCCGCATCTGCGCGGTCGACGCGGTCGAATTATACCTCGAATTATTTGGATACCCTGGATGAGGCTGAAGGTGGGGTGACAACTGCTGAAAAGGAGTTCCTTGACTCGGTTGGTGAGGCGCTGGCAAGGTTGGGCCGTGTGAAAAGGGTTGGCTTGGGGGTGAATGAGAAGCAGGAATTTATGCTGAAGTGGAGTAAGACTCGGAGGACTTGGTGATTTGTGATATAGATTCCATTGTGAAAAGTCTGGACTAGGTGTTCAATACAGTGACTTATAAGGTTGGAATGTTCTCAAATAAAGTGAGTGAGCCTTGTAAATCAATGTTGGCAATCATGTACACATTGAAAATTGTGCGCTTTGATCAAGAATGCCGGGCGGTGGCTCAGGGATCATGTACAGTATCATAATATATTATTCAATATTTCATTTATACTTGCCACTCCCAGCAATCATTCTTTGCGCCGAATCTTGAGCCAATAGATCAATGCGTCGAGCATATAAATCCATAAAATGCGTAAGTGGATCACCAAATATCACACCACGAAGACCCGCATCTGTTATTCCGTAGCCTCGACATCCTGCCGAGGTGGAAGGGGAGGAGCACCATCTGCCCGAGGCCGATGTATCTTTAGTCGATTATTGAGGTGTGTTTTATCGCGTAGAAGAACCAGTCTTCCTGCATTACAGAGTGTAGCGTGAGGAACGGACCAGTAGATAGCCGATCCAGGACGTGGCTTCGAGTTTAGCGGGCAGAGGATTGATCCTGGTGGTGACTTGGCAAAAAGATCCAGTAATGAGAGAAAGTATCCTTTTTCAGCTCGACAAACTGGATCGCCTTCATTGACGAAAGAAAAAAAAATAGACTGAGAATATTCGGGGTTCTCGGGTAGGAGGAGCGGTCGAAATGATATGGGAGGTGCGCCAAAGGTAACACAATGGATATGTTTGAAGAGGCCTCGTAGGTGGGTAAGCTCAGAGGCGACTTCCGGGGAATTAGAAAGTATATGCATGTACAGCAGGTTAGCAACCGCACCTCCTGCGGAATGACCGGTGATCAGAAGGGAGTATGACACGCGATTGGGATCGTCTTCGATGAGTGCGCGTAATCTGGCAGCTACGAGTGTAACCATCTTTCGAGCCACAGATAAGAAGCCAGCATGACAGTAGTTGGAGGGATCATCCAGAAATCCTTTGGGGGATACGGGCTCCATCTGCATGTTGACAGCCCAATCCATGAAGCTTTGCGTGCCGCGGATTGAGAAAACTATTGTGTTCATGTTGTCCACTGGTAGAGACTTGATCAACATTGCTTTGGTGCCGTGGCGCCAATCAGAGTCGACATAAGAATGGCGCCCCATCCCACGAGGCTTTTCATAAACTTGGCGGGAATACTCGGCTGCAAGTTGAAGAAGCGGGTATGTTGCAGGATAGCTAGAATGCATCAGAAGTGTTAAATTGATACATACCCACATGCCGACTTACAATCTAAGGGGAGACAAATTTGAAGGCATCCGCGAGTTTGTATATAGATAAACCTTGGAGTAATAGTCCACTGATGCTACCGGTTTGTCTTTCCCAGCTCGAGTCTCTCGACGAGTCTTCTTTCTCGGATCTGATCGAAACGAGAGAGAACACGCAGCAACTGGAAATGATGTTAGTGAAAGAATAAAATATCTTATGAAAAGGACGTACGAAGATCATCTTCCTTTCCATGGAAAGCGCCAGCATCGATTGAAGTAAGGACCTGATCCAAAAGCTGTGAAGCAGGTTCTCGTGGATTCGGCGCCCTGCCCACGCACTGCAGGACTAGATTTTCAAGGTCGATAGTCGTAGCGTGAGCTTTTTCTGTAGCAAGTGATATGATATTCGAAACCGAAATATTCATCTTTGAGTATGAAATCCATTTTGCGCGGTCCGGAAGATTTGCCTGTGAAGAGTATGTTTGTGGGGGAGTTGGGAGTGCAGGAAAATGAGCGATGGAGGCCACACCGTATCCATTATAGTATGGATCTGGTGACCCTGAATGTGCAGCTTGGCCCTGGACTGAGTATGCGCAGGCCGGTAGGTTGGATATTGAGTGGCTATTTGCATCATGTGCTGTCTCGCTAGGATACTGCCCTGTCCATTGATAAAATCGACGGCACTTCGAGGGTTCATCTGTCGACCCCATCTCGGACAAAGGTTAATATCGTCAAAGCATCATCAGGCTTGAAGAACGGCTATCATAGAAAGATAAATGTGCAAGCGATGTTATCATTGGAGCTGAACAAGGGGCCCACGGATATGCAACGACCCACGCAGGATGATGCAGGTCCCCGCTTCCATCGGTCCCATATCAAAGCCTGCGCCACCCTAAAGTGAGCAAGCGGAAGCGGCTGGTGATGGGGGTTCAAAGCATCGGGCGCACAGCCCCAATGTGGCCGACGGAACAGCAAATCAGATACATGGAGACTGCAGAACGATCTGCGAACCCCGAATCTTAGCAGCCGAAAATAAGCGAATGAAACTGGAAGTCGTATCATGAACATTTGAAGTAGATAGTAGAACAGGCCGTATTGGAATAATATTATAGCACAGGCGCCCAAACACATATATCGCTTTTTTTATTTGGGTTGACACCCGAAAATAGAAACAAAGCATCGTTTACTCTACAGCGTCAGTGATGCAGCCGTGGCTGGCATCCTGGACAACACGGGCGTACTTGCCCAGGGTACCACGCATGGTCAAACCGGTCTCGGGAAGAGTACCAGCGACCTTGCGGGCCTCCCAATCCTTTCTGCGCTCAGCGAGAGTCTCCTCCGGAACATCGAGGTCCAGCTTGAGGTTATCGGCATCAATGGTAATCACATCGCCATCCTCGACGAGACCGATGGGGCCACCGACAGCAGCCTCGGGAACAATGTGTCCAATCAGGAAACCGTGAGAACCACCAGAGAAGCGACCGTCAGTGATCAAGGCACAAGAGGAACCAAGACCGTAACCCATCAGAGCAGAAGAGGGCTTGAGCATTTCTATATAAATATGTTAGTGGACGATCAACGACAAGTCAGAATTGGCCACATACCAGGCATGCCAGGGCCACCCTTGGGACCGCAGTAGCGAATAACAACAACTGTCTTCTCGTCCTTCTTGATCTCACTGCGTTCCAGCGCAGCAATGAAGGAGTCCTCATCATCGAACACGCGAGCCTTACCAGTGAAGCAAGTACCCTCCTTACCAGTGATCTTACCAACACTGCCTCCAGGAGCCAAAGAACCACGCAGAATCTGAATGTGGCCAGTGCTCTTGATAGGGTTGGAGAAGGGACGGATGATCTTCTGGTTGGGAGCGAGGTCGGGGACGTTCTCCAAGTTCTTGGCGAGGGTCTCACCAGTGACAGTCATGCCGGAGCCGTCAATAAGACCCTCCTTAAGCAGCAACTTCAGCAGACCAGGAGTACCACCGATCTCATGGACATCGGCCATGACGTACTTGCCAGAGGGCTTCAGATCAGCCAAGAAGGGAATGCGGTCCGAGACAGCCTGGAAGTCGTCGATGGTCAGCTTGACGCCGACGGAGTCAGCGATGGCGATCAGGTGCAGCACAGCGTTAGTGGATCCACCGGTAATGTTAACAACGACCATGGCGTTCTCGAAAGCCTGGCGGGTCATAATATCACGTGGGCGGATGTCCTCCTTCAGCAGCCGCTTGATGGCACCACCGGCAGCCAGACACTCGAGGTACTTGGCCTGGGAGTTGGCGGGGTTGGAAGAAGAACCGGGCAGGGTCATACCCATGGTCTCAATAGCAGTGGCCATGGTGTTGGCGGTGTACATACCACCACAGGCACCCTCACCGGGACAAGCGTGACGGATGACGTCGAAACGCTGGGGCTCAGTAATCTCCTTGGCAATGAATTGACCGTAGGCCTGGAAGGCAGAGACGATATCAATGTCCTCACCACCCTGGGTAACAGCACAACCGGGCTTGATAGAACCACCGTAGACCATCAGACTGGGGCGATTGATACGGCCCATAGCCATCATGACACCGGGCATGTTCTTGTCACAACCAGGAATACTGATGTTGGCATCGTACCATTGTCCACCCATCACGGTCTCGATCGAATCGGCGATCAGATCACGACTCTGCAGGGAGTAGCGCATACCCGAAGTACCCATACTGATGGCGTCACTGACACCGACAGTGTTGAACTGGAATCCGATCAGGTTCTGGTCCTGCACACCCTCGCGAACCTTGTTATTCAGGTCAAGCAAGTGCATGTTGCAAGGGTTACCATTGAACCAGACAGACGAGATTCCGACCTGGGCCTTGTTCATGTCCTCCTCGTTGAGGCCCACAGCGTACAGCATGGCCTGGGAAGCTCCCTGGGACTTGGGCTGGGTGATGTGTTGGGAGGTCTTGTTAAGACCGACATCAGCCTTCTGGAAGCGGGGGAGGGTGGTCGATAGAGCGCGACTATTAAGTAGGAGATCAGCATTTAGCAAACAATAACAGCAATTGATGGGATAGCACCGCACTCACACTGGCGCAGCCGATCGCAGGCTGCGGAGAGCCGCGGGCACACGTGCCCTAGTTTGAGCAAGCATTATGTTATCAGAAAGCACCGAGGAACCACAGTGGACAATCTGAAGGAAAGGGAAGATGGCGGGGGAGGAAAGGTTGGGGTTGCAAGAAATAGGAAAAGGCGGAAGCTTTGGAAATCGGAGTTGATGTTTCGCTCCCCGGGTTTCCACCTCAGCAATTGACCAATCTACGAGCCGTAAATGTAATCGACGGCACAGCTAAATCCAGAACCTTTCAAATGAGTCAATTTTATATTATTGCATGAAGTATTCATAACTGAATATTCTCTGTCTTCACACGTTTTTCTCTAATCCGAAGTCCCCGTGTACCCCGAGTTACCTGTTTAGGATACATTGATGCCTTGATGCCTTATTTTATACATCGACGAATGCAGAATGCACAACATCATATGCATTCGTGGATCTTCATATTCCAGGCTGGGTAAATATTAAGGCACAGTCTTATCTACCTCTCTGTTACTTGGGTACACCGCATACTTTTTGGTCACTGTTTGTTCCCCCTCTTTCTCTTTCTCTTCTCCTCTCTATTCTTTCTATTCCGCTATTTACGAAGTTGGAGAGCCCTATGACTATTTGACTAATCCGGTGGAAAAGAAGAAATAATACTGAGTGGGAGACCGAGTGGGAGACTGAGTGGGAGACCGAGTAGGAGACTGAATGGGAGACTGGGTGGGAGACTGAGTAGGAGACTGAGTATAGCACCTACTAGGTGAGCGCCGCGCGAAAAGCGCGGTGGAAAGCCTCTAGTATTGATACACTTGGCGTAGTAAATTATAAACGAGTTCATCTTATTTTGCCCCCAAATCGGAGTTTTCACAAAAAAACTCTATGTGCGAAAGCCTACCCCGCACACATGCACACATGTGCATGAGACCGCTTCTCATTAGACCCCAATTACTACATAAGATTGACTCCCTTCATATCTGAATTCAGCCACATTCATACAAAAATCCCCAGGATAAGGTTTCAAAGTCCAAAGATGTCCGAAGGGGAAGGTAAGGAAGGAGAGAGTGCTTCGTATCAGGCACGAGTCGATGAAGAGCATAGCCAAGATGAATATGCCCAGCCAGAAGTCCAGCCAGAAGGTATAAAAAGCGATGACACCCAGGGCGAAGAGAATCAAGAGAGCAGCAATGTGGTGGAAGTGATAGAAGAGGGAAGCAGCTGGCATAGTCGGGAAGAAGAACCCCGAAGCCGAAGCCCAAGGTACAAAGTCTTGAAAGAGAATCTCCACTTGGAAACATTAACTCTGATCACCAAACTTCAGTGCAATGTGGACCAAAGTAACCGAATCTTCCCTCAAAACCTCAGTCATTGCCATTTTACTCACACTTTTCAGATGCATTCCAGGCATATACTACCCGAAACGTTAGATCACTACGAACTCCCCTGGGAATGGGATAATGTTAGCCCAATCTTTCACTGTGGCCTTGAAGAAATGCTAAGCACAATTTTTGACATACAGAAAGACCCTGAATACATTCTCATCAAACATTGGGTCACAGAAAGGCTTCGAGGAATTCTTTTTGAGCACACTCGACGAATTCGAGAGGGAAAGCACCCGGAAAGACGAGTGGAGGTGTATGGTGTTGATACCCCATATGAAACCAATGAGCCACTTGATGATCAAGACATAATCATCTCTTCTCACAGGCCACCCTCGAGAATATACAGAACAGCATCAACAGGAGGAGTGAGAGCTCGAACCAAAACTTCTAGTCTGCCTGATTCGCTCAGCTTTGATGTGAATCTGAAAAACCCCAACGTTCAACTCTCAGTGCACGAGTATACATTGGATAAAGCGCATCGCGAATATGCAAGTCAACGGATAGATGTTGCTAGTTCTCGGATGCCGGGGTATGGGAAGGTGGCTCTGTGTCGGTCAGAGCAGACTGACCATGAACCTCAGTTCTCATGGATGTAAGTTTAACTTCTTAATTCATATGACGATGAGCTTAACTTTTTCTTAGTCATATGAACAACGAGATGAGAAACTTTAGTGACTTTATGGTATAATTCACGAGAGCATCTGGATGAATTCTACTAATAACATATTGTGATAGCGGTTTGCATCAAATGTGCCAAATCTGGCAGCAGAGGACCGGGCTCTGGTATTGACTCTTCTAAAGAAAGCACAATTAAAGATGGAAGGATCAAATCAACCCTGCGATGTGATGCGCTGTATTGGCCTGACCTCAAAGATCCAGGATGAAATCACCAATGAGAAATGTGCCATTCTTGTCCGTTTCCCCTACTATTCTATCCAAAAGATGGAAACTGCAACCCAGTATCGATACAATGCAGGCGAAAAGCCGCGCAGTCTACTGCAGTATCATTAAAATTTCGAGTCAACGAGAAAACGTGATCTGGAACAAATCGTTCGAAAATCTGGACTGTTCCCACCGGACCATATCCTTCATGTCCCTCAAATGTGGGCAGTAATCGTGAATTTCAGTCTGTTCATTTTCCAAACTGATTGCTCACTCATGATGGAAGCTGATGAAAATAGGATTTATCATTACCAGTGCCCCGATACCGCTGATAGAGCAAGGGACCTCCTCTTTGGAGATCGTCGATCCGCCGGTATCGAATTTATCTTCTCCCTCAGTCATTTGTGTCGTTGATCCACGACAGCGCGTGTTCTTCTTCCCGATAGACAATTGCAAAACTTTCCTTGTAGGTCTCATATAACTACTTCCGTGTTCCTCGTGGACTAAAATTGTCAGGCAATGAGACACAACGTCACTGAATACTGCCTACCGGAAATTTTTCAAGCACGCCACTACGGCTTTGAGCTACTAACTTCCAATATGAAAATCATAGAAGCCGAAGACTGGGTCCAGTTGACAACCACTCATACCTCAGCCATTCTGCGCATTCACGTACAGATTTTGTCACCCGATCCCCCAAAGAGACAATATGGCGAAGCATATGGTATAATCCCGTAAAGAACGTTTTTTGAATGAAGGAGCTAACCCGTTGAAAGACAACGAGTCTGAAGGATCAGATGCAAATTCGAGTTACCATAGAGAATCGGCGAATCGGCGCCGAGCCTACACACCGAAGTACCCGCTCTCTTCCTCTGGTGTCGTGGTTAATCAAAGGAGCATATTGCAGAGACAAAACGATACCAAGTCAGCGGTTTCGAATATCTACATCCCAACAGAAAGAACGGTCTCATTTGCAAACGAGCCTGGGAACCGTCGGAACGGAAAACGTCACGAGGAACGAAATTCTGGAGAGAAACCTCGTCCGATTAAAAGAGCTGTGACTTTCGACTCGCTCTTTGGGGGGTCACTGGTGTCTTACAATCAACCAGCTGTTGATAAGAAGCCGATGATCAACATGCGGTTTCCGCCAGTTTTTACTTGGCCAGTCGGTAAGCGACCATCTGAGCAAAGTGAAGACTCAGACGACCAGATGGACACCTTGAGTGCACCAGAGTCCGATAAAGAAACGCAATCTTTGGATGAGGACACGATCAAGCACGTCTGCTCTCACATTGATGGAGCGCTTCAAGAGTCTGATAGGGATAGGAGAAGGAGAATCTACGAAGAAGCATCGGCAATGTCATTCTTCGAAGTGGACAAGGCAATCTCTCAACGATGGGCCATCTCCTTCTCGACCATAATATCTGCCGGACAAGATAAAGAGACCAACGAGTTACCACCATGGGAAAAGACCTTGAAAGAAGTAGTCAGCGGCCTTTGTCGGCTTTTCAACTTTTTCATCCCCTTGGGATACCCGTGTGTGATAGCGGACAAGTTTTGGGGAGCAATCAATGATCTCGTCACCGTATGTGAGCGTCCGTTATACTGAATTTCCGAATACTGATCTCTGGGATTATAGATCATCCCACAAATATGTGACACATTCGGAATGCTCGAATTGACCGAACGAACTCGCCATCCGAACATGCCGGCGTTGTTTTATATAGTCGATATTACCAGCGAGGAGCATGCTGACCTTCGAGATATGGCGGATGTGGATGTACTTATTAAAGACATTACACTCTGCAATAAATGCGAGAAGTCTCGAGCGTACTCAACACAATCAGACGCGTGGGGTCATCTGTTCAAGTATCACTTCAAAGCCTCTTCGAAGCAACGAGAAGTCATCATCTCACGTTCCCAATGGGTAATGGATCATGGAGAATATCTCACGTTCACGTGCCGAAATGATGTGCAGAGACTCCTCAACGAGCTTGAGGATTATATCACAAGCTTAGAGAGAATGGCCTCTCAAATCCAACATGGGGTTTCGGAGAATGGAAAGTTTGACCGCGACACTTATAAGATCCCGTCAAGTCTTGTTGACGCCTTTCAAAATTTTGTGATAATGGTTGTGACTGGAGCAAACGCGGTCAAGTCCTCGTATCAACTTCGAGAAGTGTATACAGATGTCAACTCCCTTCCAACAGTCATCAATTTTCTTGATTCAGATAAGATCACAAACCTTGCCACTGAGGCTGAAGAGGCTATGGGAAATGCCATGAAAGATATCGTACTCATGACCTTCACAAATGAGGAATCTGGCGTCGTGACCTATCAAGCTGTGAGCCCCAGCCTGGTGATCACTCTCCTACTGGGGGACATCCGGTACAGCAACCATGGCAATCTCCACTTGATCGGCATTTACGAGAAATATATACAGTTTCTGCAATTCAAAGCCGGCGACTATCCCAGTCGCCGTTTGATGCAGGAAATATACACCTTCCGCGAGGAACTTCTGATGGTCGAAAAAGTCGCCGAGGAGCAACGCCAGATTCTCAATGATTACCGGAGCGTCCTCCGACCATCAACATTCCGGATCACCACCGAGTCTCGAATCTCTTCATTCGAATTGGAGAATAGACGCTTGAGCAAGCTCCTCGATCGTATTGATGAGGACTGCGAATTGATCCAAACTCTTCTTAATAGGCTTGAATCAATAGCCACTCAAACGCGGAACGGGGTAGAGGTGCGGCAGGAAGATCAAGGAAAGGCGATTCTGGTCTTTACCATCGTGACGGTAATTTTTATGCCACTGTCATTTGTAACGAGCTACTTGGGCATGAACACGAATGATATACGCAACATGGAAAACTCCCAGAAGCTGTTTTGGATAGTGTCTATTCCTCTCACGGTTTTCATTATCGCTGCCATTCTGCTTGTTGCGTTTCAGGTAGATCGACTTCGGGAAGCTCTTGAGATATTGTTTTCGCGTGATTATGTACAACCACTCACAAAGTCGGCCAATTCCCTTTCTGGAGAGGAAGAGAGGCGCGAGGATCAGAAAGGAAACGAATTCTTTCATTCCTTACCGAGTGTGGGCTCTTCATCGAAGCAATGGTTTCGGAGAAGGAGAGGTGGGAAGTGGATGGCCACATCGACAGACTCATCGTTCGCTTGATCCCTGCGTGAGAATTTGCATCAAATTCTGGGAAGTTTGACAGCCTGCTGCAGGATCCCAATGGTAGAACGACTACGTGACGCATGCGTGGCCTAGAAGCAGAGGGCAAGGAATAATATGGCCTTCCAAGACGTATGAAGGAATTAAAAGAGTACTGAGGAGAAGTTGACATGGAAGTCGACGGACTGGATCACCTGACCTCCATATTACAGCTCATTCTACCATAGAGGGACTGAAGGGACTCGTATCAAACAGTTCTTGTTTAGTGTACCTGTTGGAATTTGCCTCCAATAGCAGTATATAAATGGGTATAACAACTCGTCTAGCCATGAAGATAAGAGAAGAATGATGAAGGCGAAAGAAATCCCATATCCCGAATATCAGCGAAGGTAGTGCGTATCACGACAGAAAAGAAGAAAATAAGTTAGCCAGAGAAAAGAAGGGTTAGGGTGTATATATGGGGTGAAAGAAGAGAAAGAAGAAGAATAGAAAGAAGAAGAATAGAAAGAAGAAGAATAAAAGAACAGTGAGAATGGAAAAGGTGCGCGGGAAGAATGCATGCGAGCCGGCTCTACGGCACTTCTTTGTCACCTCGTTTCAATCCATCCGGGACATCGATGGCATCCTGGACCCATGGCATGGCGGCGATTTCGTCAAGCCCTTTACGGCGAGTGTTGCGCTTTAGAAGACCTTCCACGCAATCACGGGCACCTTCCAAGTCACGACCCTTTTCAGGGTCCCATTCCTCGTCCGCGTCTGCATACCGATACCAACTCCATTCGCATCTTGCGATACGGTGAGGGGTTCGAGCGCGGAGTTTGGCAGGATCGCCACGAGTACCCGGAAGAACATCAAATGGCAGGCGGTTTTCCATTATGGCGTACAATAGTACACCCAGAGCCCAGGCATCAGTAGCACGACCATCATAAGGCTGACCCATGAGGATCTCGGGGGCGGCATAGTCCTCGCTACCACAGCGAGTCTGAAGGAGTGGACTCTCGGGAGGCTCTGGAATACGTCGTGACAGCCCTAGATCGCTCAGTGTAATAACTGCGCGGTCGTAGGTACGCCAGTCTTTGACGTCCTCCATAGCATGAATGGGCATGGTTAGTAGGACATCTGCCGGGTATTGTTAGCGAGGGATCATTGAATCTAGGCCGCCTAAAATACACGTACTTTCTAATTTAATGTCCCGATGCACAATGTAATTGGCGTGTAAATAGCGAACCGCGCTGACCAGTTCTGCAAATATGCGCCGGATGAGGCTAGGCGAGGAGCATCGACTCCCCGAAGTCGCATATTCAAACAAATCACCGCCGGGACAATAGTCCAAAACCAGGAGTGCTCGTTTGTCGTCGCTGCCAAATGCCTTCAGCTGAACCAAGGATGGATGGTTCACCGATTTGAGAATGTCCACCTCCCGCTTCAGCGAGATCTCCAACCGTTCCTGGTCAGCACCACCAGCGGGTCCATGCTCGATGACCTTGACCGCTACCAACTTCTGAGTAGAAACTGGGGGTCCCATATCCGCTGTTCCATCGAAAGAAGGGGACAAGGGTGTCTGAACTGGTTGTTCGACACGCGCTGCGAGACTCACTTGACTAAATGTACCTTGACCAAGAACTCGCAGTTTCCGGTATATGCGTGCCTGCTGGGTACGGATCGACCGAACAGAGTAGAGTTCATCCGAATTCGAAAGAAGAAGCGGGCGCGAAATGACAGGCTCCGTGTCACTGTCCCCATACCCACTCCCACTACTGCGGGGAGGGCTCGGAGGACGGACTGAGGGCAACGCGATACCCCGATGAACCGCCAAGTATTGTTCGCGATGCAAGCCCGTTGACTTTGAGTCTGTGCTGGACGATGGCGCGATATTCGGGCCGCTTCCTGAGACGGCAATAGGGCGAGGTATGGAGATGCGACCGGGGGGCGCATAGTCACTAAGACTGCGATTGCGGACGTGTTTCGAAGGTGGTTCATAACGGATTCGACTGGCGATTGGAGATTCCTCGCCCAGATCGTTTAACCCGGTGTATGATTTCCCATGCGACCGCGAGGGAGGAAGGGCCAGCATTTGTGATGAGTCGCTCAATCGAAGACTAGATCCACTTCGCGAGGCTCCCGAGGACGTGCGAGATAGCGATGGTTCACCTCGGCGCCAAGGTGACGCCCCGCCGATAGGAGAGGGTAGTGGGGTAATGTCACCCATTGCATAGAGCTGAGGTGAAGAAATGAATGACCCGGGAGACAATGATCCTGCGCAAGAGATGGGGGCGCGCAGGGCGCGCAGGCTTGGGGTGCGCTGCGGGAAGCTGCCGGATGATACGCTTAGCGCGGCTAGAGAATCGGAATCGCGATGCGAGCTGACGGGCCGAGAGCTGGAAAAATCGGTGCGAATCTGCAGAGAGGGCAGGGGCGACAGAGGCATCAAAGAAGGCGCAGGATCTGCTCGCCAGGGATCATGTTCAACCTCCACACTTGGCTGGGTTGGCGTACCGTCGTCATCGTTAATTGCGGCGAGAGCATGACCATCCTGGAATTTCAAAGCCAATCCAGACCTCTCGGTCGGACCGGAGTCGGAGATCACCATTGATCTTCAAGATGGAAAGTCGCAAACGGCAACCCGCAATGGAGACTTCCAATTGCGGCCTCGAGATAAAAAAAAGAGATTGTAAAAGCGCGCGTCTCAGCCTCCAAACCCGAAAAGGCGTTAGCGTGTGGGTAGAAGACCCGTTGAGTCAACGGTCTAACGGTCTTCTCCCGAGGTGAATGAACACGACACACAACAGATATCAAATAGTTTGAGAAGTTGGAAAGAAACAGGAAAGGAAAACGAAAGGGCGAAATCAATGACGATCACGAAAAAAATCGGGGGGCGAGCAAGTCAGCTGACGATAATAATGAGAAACCCCCGCATTCGGAATCACCAGATTGGTACTCCGTAGGTAAACCTCCAACTCTATATTTAGCATATCAATATGCTTATAGATAAGTCGGTTAGGAAGAGAAAGAAGAATTCCGATTGATTGGCATTCAGATAAGTCATGCATATGGTGGCTGACTATCTATATCGTGAATCACAATACCAAAACAAAGTTGATACTAGCCAAAATACCTTCATCTCAACAAAGTTCCAATTCATTTAGCAGCGTGTCTTAATTTCCAGAATTTCCTCAGTAACCGTAACTTTCCTGCACGATGCTGGGGGTGAAAGAGGTTGGGGAAAGAAGCAAACAAGGAAATTTCGTGGTTTCCTCGGCTCCACTGAGGGGGCCAAGTGCCCTGTGCGGGAACGGCAGGCTTAAATCTTGAATATGGGGTTTGGACTTTTGTCATTCTTGGACATCTGGAGAATAATCTCTCGTTCAGGATAAATATATTGCAAGAAAAATACAAGTCAAGGTCTGTTGGAAAACAGAGAATATCCGGTTTACTCGGCATGATGCATGACTTTATGCATGATGATGCAGCTCGCATCGCATCGGCATCTAGAACCGATTCTCTGGAAGAATCAATCGGCTTGCAACCTCCCAATATGCCCCTTCAACCTCACTAATATTGGTCCCTTGCACCCAATAGCCCTTGCCGTTGGGGCTCTCAGCCGCGACCGCTGTCAGAACCGCCCACGCAACATCCTCTGGAGAGCTCTTGAGAGTATTTGGGTGCGTTGTTGCCTCAAGACCCTCCACCATGGACGTCAATGTCAACCAGGGTGCGATCCAAGAAATTGTGATGCCTGCTTTGACGACATCCTCGATCTGCGCTGTGCTGCGGACCAATCCCAACACAGCGTGTTTGCTAGCCGCATAGAGCGGCTGCGAAGGGATGGGCACATAAGAGCCAGCCGATCCGACTACCGCAATGTGACCTCCTCCATTTTGTTTCATGTGATGAATGCCTAGTTTGAGCCCAAAAATAACAGAGTTGACGTTGATATCGAATAGCTGGGTAGGTGGGCATTGCAGCGCGGATCCATCCTTGCTATGTTCGTCCGCCAGGTAGTTATAGCGGACCTGGCCATTCATCTTCGCATGCTGTATCGAGTCCGATGTTTGTAAGAGAGAAATCTCAGGGTTGACAGCGGCATTGCAGACAAGAAGGTCAACAGGGCCGATGGTGGTCTTGACATGGTCGAACAGAGCGATTTGCTGATCCCAGTTGCTCACGTCGCATACATGGTATGTTGATCGGTGACCGATATTTGAACACGCCTGTTTGAGATCGTTCTCGCGTAGGTCCACCAGAACTACTCGTGCTCCGCTCTGAGCAAGTAGAGAGGCAGTTGAAAACCCGATGCCTCGTGCGGCTCCGGTGACGATAGCAATGCGGCCGCCCATCATGCTTTGAACGGTCGTCGAATCTGGTCGTGGAATAGATGTCATTTTGGCAGGTTCAAGGGGGAAAATAAGTGGATGAATCGGCGGAAAGAGCTGGGAAAGCCCTCTTTATAAACATTTCGGGGCCCACACGGACTCGGCATCTCTGTCTCCCGTTCCTTAAGGTGGATTCCAGTGTTCTTCTAACCGAATGCGAGGGCACAAATAACGGGTCATATGAGTCAATTCCGAATTTACATTATGCTAGTGCATGTAGTATGCTAAGCCTAGAAACAAGAAACCGGTGAGAACAAATTCTCCGTTCCAAATTGATGTGCTACAATCAAAAATTCCTCATAGCCATTTCGCGGTTAGAGATAGCCTGCTTCGTGAGACTAATAGAGGGAGCCATCGCCTCAAACCCATGTGGAAGACCAGGATAAAGATGGCATTCCGTGGGAATATTGGCGGCTACAAATCGGCGTGCATAATCTAGTCCTTCGTGCACAAACATGTCCAATTGACCGCAGTCCAGATACAGTGAGGGAAGGCCCTCCACGCTTTGCACACGAGCGGGTGCAGCATAAGAATCAATTTTCTCGGTTCCTGCGTCAGGCCCGATATATGCAGTCCACCCAGTCTCATTATCTGCCTCGTCCCAAAATGCCAACTGACCGGCATGGTTGGTCTTGGTCCGATCGTCGATCATGGGATAGATGAGGATTTGTTTTGCAATGGTTGGTGACAAGGCTTTGTCTCGAGCCATCAAGGTCAATGCAGCGGCTAATCCCCCACCAGCACTCTCTCCCATGACAGCGATGCGGGCAGGATCAATTGATAATCGACTTGCGTTCACATGCAGCCACTTGAGTACCGCCCAGCAATCATTCAGGGGTGTCGGGTATGGATGTTCGGGGGCCAGACGATAGTCGACTGTCAAGATCTGTACTCCAGTACTCGACACAGACTTGATATGTGGTACGGAACACTGCTCTGCGCTCAGAGAGATATAACCGCCACCATGAATGTGAAGAATAGCGGGCTCGCCGCCTGGTTGGGCCTCACGTCGTTGGCGGAAGTGATGAACAGCTACCTGGTACCCATCTTCTGAGCCAATGTGGTAAAGAAGTCTTTCCATTTTGTCTGAAATCGGTGGTGGCGGTTGAATCATGGATGCGGTCATGGCGCGTCTTGTAGTAACATCATGAAGGGCGGGCTTCTGGAACTGAGCCAGTTGTTGTAACATAGGGCCAGCTTCGGTGAGGAACTCATGGTCATAATGTAAACACATCATGGAAAAGCAAATAGTAACAAGAATTGCCTATTTCGTCAAATTATAACACTCAACTTCCTCGATCGCCCTATCCCTCTCATCCTTTTATCTTTCCACCTCTTCTAGCTACCCCTCTCATTTCCCTCCGATTCGCCCCCTGTTATTCTCAGTTGTATTCTCCTTGCTCCACCGCAAGAATTCTATCCGTTCTCCGTCTGATTTCCCTTTCTACCGGCTCAAGCAGTGTTCCGCAGCCGAGCAACGTTCGGCAAATTCAAGGCTCCACAACATAAGTGGAGACATTTATCATACAGGGAATCCAACGGCGCAAGTGATCCACATGTCTCCCGTCCGAGCGCCTGTCCGTGTCCCCGTTCCCACAAGCCTCGCTGTAAGTTACTTGGTTGATCGATTCCCTCGGTACATCGAGAAATACCAGCAGGTCCGTGATCATCAGCGACGGGTTTTGCAGACGATTAATGCAACTCTCCTACTCCGGACCAAACAATCCAATATGCCCCTTCATGTCCCCGATTTTGATAACCTACCCCCTGTTGATGGCATGCCTCAGGGTTGTGCCTGGGGAATCTTTGACAAAGACGGCAAAAAAGATGTCTTTGGAACTCTCAATCTCTTGACGACCGATGTGGTTCAGGCTGCAGCTGCCGATGTCCAGCACGGTATTCCCGTTTCTTTGAAGTAAGATTTATTTTTTTCGAACGCCACCACTGGAATAACTGACTAACCTTCCCAGCTGGCCCGTTGGAAGCATCAAAATTCCTGGCTTTTTCCGCAAGACCCTCCAACACAAGGTCATCAAGCTCGAAGATGAGAAGACCAATCTACACTATGGCTTTGATGACGAGGTATGTATCTGCTTTACCCCCATTCACTAAATGGATTCGTCTGATGTTCAACGGGTTGAATTCAACACTCAAAGCAGCAGCCAGTGGGACAGCCCTTGTAAGTAGAGCTAACTGCGCATAGTAAAACCGTCTCATTCATCAACAGGCCACTTCTTGCACCTTCCAACCGGAAAGACTTACAATGGAGCTAAGCCTGAATTTGAAGAGATGCAGAATCCTTCCCTCTCGGCCAATAAGCTTCCGACCCTGGACCGTAAGTCTTAACACAAATCCTCGATCTTACAGCCCTGACCATCACAGACTGGCATGACCGTGGGTGTATTGCCGGACGCGGCGTCTTGATTGACTTCAAGTCCTATGCTGAAGCTAAAGGCTTCGATTATTCCCCCTTCTCCGGATTCCGCATAGGAGTCTGTGATATCGAAGCCGTCGCAGCTTATCAAGGAATCACCTTCCAGTCTGGAGACATCCTCATCATCCGCTTCGGCGTGACCGAAGCACTGGGTAACATGGACGGCAGTGAACAGGCTGCCTCCATGGCTAGTTACCAGGCATGTGGAATTGATGGAAGTGAGGAGATGGCTCGTTGGTTGTGGAACACACATTTTGCCGCAGTTGCCAGTGACAACATTGCCGTGGAGGCTATGCCGCCTATGATCAACGGCCTTGTTCAGCCCTTGACTCACCTGATTCTGCACCAGTGGTGTCTGAGCCTCTTTGGTCTTCCTCTTGGCGAGCTCTGGTACCTGAAGACCCTCGCTGATAAGTGCAAGGCCCTTAAGAAGTACACTTTCCTTCTTACGTCCGCCCCGCTCAATGTACCCGGCGCGGTTGGAAGCCCTTCCAATGCTCTGGCTATCCTTTGAGTAAGTGTTCTTCTTTTTCATGACCTCAGATTTATGATTGATGACATCTATCCTCCTATCTTTTCGCATCTTTACAATCCTCATTTTATTATTCATGTTCATGCCCTTGTCCTTCCTTTTCGAAATCCATTTGATTTGATGTTTCGGACAGTCGATTATCCCATACTATGATTGCTTGTTTTGAGGACTTGATTCAAGTTGTTCTACCCGTTCCACTGTTGGCACCATGGGTCTATTTTTGTTAGCTAAATGCAATCATATCAATCCAATCCATGCTCTTACGTAAAAAGCTAGATGCGCAGTCTATTAGAGCTGATCCAACAGAATTTTCCTCGCAGTACCCACCATAAGGATCCAATTGATTCGTGTAAACGACAGAACGGAGAATATGTGGCGGTAAAATGTCAAGATCGAGAATTTCGTCGCGGTGATTCCTAGAAGAAACAATATTTCTTCCACAAAGAGATACTATTTGATACATGAGTGTCTGTCATAGATTCGATATTGAATTCCAAACTGACCTTCAGAAACCGGTTCATTTGGTGTTTCGTCATCACGTAGAAATCAGACCCGCCGGATGATCCAGGTCCTAGTATGGCTATACCACGGAAAATTAGCCTAGGGTCAAATATAAGGGCCAGTTCATGCTTACCGTAGAGAAATACTCCCTGGTTGGCGTAGAACAGTGCGGCAGCCAGTAGAATGAGCATGTCCTCGGGTAGAATGCCTTTGTGAACTCTACCCCTCGCCCATATTCGCAAGTAGAGAGCAATAAAGACCAGTAATATCATCGATACGGACACACGCAACGACATAGTGCCCGTTGGACCAAGTTTGACCTCGGCCATAATGTGAATTCGTTGGTCAGGGTAGCTAGCAGTGGAGGAGGTTGCTGAAAGCATTTACTCAGTTCATGAATGTGAGAGAAATAAGATTTTCTTGTCAGGCATTTGGTCGTTCGATGAATAACATACTATTGGGCTCTAGTAACTTTGGGATCCTCCAAAGGTTAGATAGACAAGTAATACTTATGACGGACCCCAAGATCCCAAATTTTATCATTTAGTTTCTGTTTTGCCTCCAGGTATACCTAAAAAGGAAGGTTTCACCAGCGCTTATGGGCCGAACTGGGGGCCTAAAAGGCAATTTTCCCACTGAAGAATTCCAAATCAGCATAGATCCACGTGGCTTTGAAGTGTGTAGAATGAAACTGCAGATCGATCAAATTGTGCTACTAAATTTTGTTTCGTGTCTTTCGATTATAGTAGAAGTTCGAGGCCCCAAATGAGAGACTAGCATATTTGCCGATAGCACTGAGATCATTCTAAGAGCTTGTACATGGGAACGATTAGCTACTAGATCAATAGTTACTCTAATATACAAGGAAGTCTTCCCAGGTCTCCAAAGCACTGGTGCAACTCTTCCACCAGCTGGGCATACCACCAACATAGATGAGCGGTTCCCGCCGCTTTCCTGGAATGTTGGCCCCCATGTACCAAGAGTCTGTCTTGGGATACAGTGTTTGGTTGCTGACAGCAATGACTTGCTCTCGCCACTCCTCTGCTGCTTTTTGCGTGGGTTCGATTGAGCCAAGACCCTCGTCCTGCATCTTTGAAATGATTTTGCAAATCCAATCGACTTCTTTCTCAATGAAAGGTGGCCCGTTGGCCACTGATGTTGGAGCTTGGGGGCCATAAATAATGAACAGATTGGGAGCATCGGGAATCATCAATCCCAGATGGGTCAGAACACCATTCTTCCACTTGTCGGTGAGTGGCACCTGGTTCTTGTCCGTGATCCCGAGATCCAGTAAGCTGCCTGTCACGGCATCATAGCCGGTAGCGAATATCAAGACATCAACATCATGGTGGTGACTTTGTTCGCTGCTACCCGTGACGATGCCGGTGGAATCAAATTCAACAATTGGTGACCGCTTCAAGTCATGCAATTTCACGTTAGGTTGGTCAATCATCTCATAGTAGTCTTGCTCCAGACTCGGTCGCTTCGTTCCAACTAGCATGTACTGCTTTAGCGGTGCGACCAGGTCCATTTTGTTGCGGTCAGTCATGCGAGCACGCGTCCGTTGCACCCAGTAATCGTAGAACATTGCATTGCTCTTCTCGTCCAACAGGAAATCGTGATAGCTCGATACCAGGAAGCTATAGCCACCACGTTCCCAAAGCTGATCGAACAGCTCCTTTCTCTCCTCGGGTGTTGCTTGATGTGCAGACTGGGATCGAGTGTTGTAAGGAAAGCCGGTAAGAGAGTCGTAGCACCGGTCGAAGAGACAGTCATAGTAGCTTTTGAGCATTTCGGCCTCCTCTGGTGGAATAGACCGCTGTTTCATTGGAACAGCAAAACAAGGCGTGCGGATGAAGACAGTCAGATCGCAGTCTTCCTTGGCGAGACTCTGGACGATTTGTAGACCCGAAGCCCCATTTCCAATAACTCCAACACGCTTCCCCTTCACGCTGAGGTTTTCAGGGTAGTTTGCAGCGTGAACTAGCTGACCACCGTAGGTTTGCAGGCCATTGAATTGGGGATAATGCTTCTTGTAGGAGGAGCCGGTCGCCGCAATAAGATACTTGCAAGAAGCCGTCAGGCCAGTATCAGTCCGAACATTCCAACGGCCAGTCGCAGCATTATAATTCGCACCAGTGACGATGGTATTGAAAAGTGTATCTTGACTCAACCCTAGCACGGAGTCAACGTGTGTGAAGTACCGTCGGAGTTCTTCGTCGCCGGGAAATCGCTCGGTCCAATTCCACCCCTTATAAACAGCAGGGATATTGAATTGATAAGATGGCATATCTGAGTCGACACGAGCCCCTGGGTAGCGGTTCCAATGCCACACACCGCCAAAGGCACTGCCTGCCTCAATCAGTTTCACGGAGAGGCCAAGGTTGCGGAGCCTGTACAGTGAATTGCAGCCGCCAAAGCCCCCACCGATGACTATGGCGTCGGCTTCGACAGGTTTTGTAATTCGAGTCATGTTTCCTTCGGTGTAGCGTGACAAGAACCTCAAGAAACGTCCAGTTTTATGTCCTTGTTAAATAGAGGGGCTTGGCTGCAGGCTGAGACTAGAGGTTGAGAACCCCACCAGGAATACCCACCTTCGGGAAAATGTGATCCGTCTTAGCCCGGCTGCTTCATATCCGAACCTGTTGAGTCTCAAACTGATAATTCTGAATTGTTGCGGATATAGATCTGGCGAACCGAATAGGAAATGGACGACGAGAAGGTTTCGGGAGCAGCCCCACATATACCCACATCGCCGCACGCTTTGTCCACAGTTTTGATAACGTAAATGCACTCAATGGAGGAGGTCCTTCCACTGACTTTTTTCGGATCTCGGAGCAGGCTGTCTCCGCATTCGTGAGTCGGGGTCATAGAAGTAGTAGTAGATCAGATACTCATAAACTCCAGCGCTGTGTTCTGTGTAAGCTGTTTGTTAGTCGCATCAAATCGTAACCATGGCGCCTATGGTCAAAGGAACAGCTTTCATCACTGGGGGAGCTTCAGGTACGAGTTCTATCACCGCGGTTGATGTCAAGAAATTAATTGAGTCGACAGGTATTGGCAAGAGTACTGCAATCGCCTTCGCGCAGAACGGCATCAATTCACTGGCTCTGGTTGACTTGAACCTATCTGTTCTTCAAAAGACTCGCGATGAAATCCAGGCTGGCTATCCTCATGTCGAAGTGAAGACCTTTCATGTCAATGTGGCAGACGAAGCATCTGTTGAAGAGGTTATCAGCAAAGTAGTGGGGTTTTTTGGCGGAATCGATATCGGTATTAATTGCGCTGGTATCAGTGGCACGCCGACCCCGACTCATCTCATGTCCCTCGTGGAGTGGCAGAAGGTGATCGATGTCAATCAGACGGGTGTATGGCTTTGCCAAAGGTCTCTGATCCGGCAAATGTTGAAGCAAGAGTACGTAACAAGCCTGACCTGAGTGAACCACGACTAATTCATCTCTCAAGATCGCAAGGCGTTCGTGAAGGTCGTGGTGTCATTGTTAATGTGTCTTCTATGTTCGGAGTTGGAGGGCCCCCTGGTCCTTTTAGCATCTCGCATTATACGGCTGCCAAGCACGGTGAGTGCCAATGCATCCCTTTGTTCGAATTATTCTGACAGAAATAGCGGTGGTCGGTGTCACAAAAATGGTATATGCTTCTCTTGAGCTTCGTTGATGTTTACTTTGTTAATAATAATGTAGGATGCCAAATCGTATGCCCGAGAAGGAATTCGCATTAATGCAATTTGTCCGGGATTTGTTGACACTCCCATTATTGGTGAGCAGATCAAATCTGGATCAATGAATCCTCAATTCGAAACGACACCTCTTGGACGTCCGGCACATGTGGAAGAGATATCCGATGTGCTACTTTTTCTGTCCTCTCCGATGAGCAGCTACATGTGTGGTGCAGCCCTGGTCGTTGATGGCGGGTATACTGTTTAGACACGAAATCCGTTGGAATTATCTGTGTGAAGCATTTCTCTCGACTTAAATCTATTTCTCTCTCATATTTTATACAAGCATGATATCGAAATCTGCTTCTTTGGCGATCTCCTGCCAGTGAATATCCCTATTTAGCCCAGCCTGGTCTCGGCGGCTCCAGAGTGCCTTCACAATTTCGCCAAGAACATTTATACTCTGAATTCCATGGCGGATTTTCCGTTCAAAGCAGGCCATCATTCTGGTTTGCAAATCCAGTCTTTGGCATTCGGCTGCGATGACAAAACTAGCCCAGTTATAGGCACTACCACCATTCTGGTCTTGAGTTAAAATATCGACCGCCTCCAGCTCTTTCACTGCCTTCTCAACTATATCCTGGATTTCACTCAATGCCGCGTTTCGTAGTGTTCGTCGAAAGAAGATGATGGAGGCATAGTAAAATGAATTCAAGGCATGTTGAATAATAATGGAACCTGGGGCATCCGGTTCTGTCAAGCAAGGGAAGTTGAAGTAGAGCTGCAGCTCTAGACGATCTAATTCCTCTGTTGAGATTGTGATGTTGGAATTCACTAGTGCCGTGATCTGTGCTAAAATTTGTACGAGAGGTGTTGTGACCCCATGCGACCGCTCGAGATAGTGGCGTAACTCAGGCGGCCCATCGAGAAGTGATATCAACTGTGTGGACATGGGCAAACTGCACAATGAGGAAAGTGAGATATAACTCTGAAGTAAGCGAGACGCAGTTGGGCTTCGGATCCAGCCGCCGTGTATCTCATTTTCCAAAAGACCAAGCCCACCAGCAACATGGGTCCTCCATCGACTCCGTCGCCCAGACATTGCTTCGGCCGTTATGCATGTGAGAACGGCAGCCAGGATTGGCTCATCAAGGCGCTTTGCTCGTTGGAGATTTTCCCGCAGATGCCGCAAGGCAAGCTGGTCATGATGCATAGCGACAGACTGATATCGAGGGTCGCGTCGAAGATGAAACAAGCTGAAGGCCGATGATGCGCAAATGGCATGGAAAATTGAAAGATGAATGTTAGAATCACCTGAAGGGGTTTCAAGCGCTTTTAAAGCCAAAGGCATAAAAATTGTGCGACAGGGATTATCAGGGGTGTCAATCAAAAGCATGTTACAGCTCAGAAAGACGACCCAATGATGAACCAGTTCTGTCTCCGGTCTTGGAAGTTGTAGGGTATCAAGAGATATTATTGGAGGAAGTGTATAGGGCATCGAAGAAGCCTTAAGTAGGCTCACTTGGGGCGCAAGAGCTATATTGGTTCGTTGATTTCCAGCTGGAACGAGAGCAGTATCATAATAAGCTCGATCCACACGCTCGGTCGGTACCGTTGTTATCGATTTCTCATGACTCGGAAAGTCAGACGACTGCGAAGTATCTGACAAGACCCCATTGACTGATTCCGAGGGAGATTCATTTCTTTCCCCGGATCTAGCCGTTGAACGTGAATCAAGCGGGTGCGACAGAGATTGCCCACATGTTGGCCCATCTCTGTCGGCAACCAGCGAAGATGACAATATTGAATCAAGATAAACTGGAGTTCTGGACCCTTCGGGCTCAGGACTAGACGCGGAAAACACGGAAAAGGGACCCCGTTGCTGGGCACTGCCGTCGGAGCATTCATCCAACTCCGCCAGGAGAGCCGTCACGGCGGCAGAAGGCAACTGCAGCGTAGATTGAGGATTTGAAGAGCATAGTTGACGACGATTAGATCGACTTCCTGATGTTTGAGTCCATCCCAGCCGCATGCCATATCCTTGACACTGCCAGCCACTACGGCGACAGCGGCGGCAATGTGGCTGTTCGTCGTCGCATTTGACTCTGCGGGCGCGACACGTCCAGCATCCCGTAAATGTCTTGGTACGAGGTTTCGGAGTTTTTACGCTTGGTAATGATTTCTCAGTCATTCCCTCGAACTCCACTAGATGGATAATATGGGGGTGTTGAAACGGGAGGATCATAAATTGCTCTACTGAATCATATTTGCCCCCGCATCGGTTAGTACCGCACTTGATCTATTTTGCAACAGTGGCCCTTTAGCTCATTTTTTGGTACTAATATGCTAGATGAAAGTGGTAGAAATCAGGTTAGGTACCACAGTAGGCTACAGAATTGTGATCGAATCGGCTGCTATGTCCCTAATTTCCCCGGTCGCGCGACTGTAAAAGCGGCACTCATCAACACCCACCGAACTACTAGGACTCCCACCGGCTTTCAGCTTTCTAAAGTTGGGTTGGTAAATTTATCCCTGCACAACTGCAGTGATAGTGAACAAATAATTAGCATGATAAGGGGGCTAGCAATTAAAATGAGACGTTCGACCCGAAATTCACTTTTACCCCCTGAGTGCCCTGACTTCGCAGAGACACTGCCTACAGTAGAGTGACCTTTACCGCCGGGGTTGGGAACTTGACTCAAAAGAAAACTTTGAACAGCTGTTCTTCTGTATCACTCCATCCATCTTGTTCATTCTGACATCCTTATGGTGCACCGATCCCAGGTACGGAAACCAACCGTGTTCAATGCTCCGGGCTTTCGATTCCTGAAGTTAGTATATTCTTTCTATGAATCTCTAGTCCTAGCACCTCTAATATCTATAGGGGACCGTTGTCGTCTATGGTGGCTTTGAACTCTCAATGTTGATCTAACTAACTACCACTGGGTCTCTCCAAGTCAGCGGCATGTTCATAGCTTCCTCGGTTCTCAATCTGGTGTCAGGTCTTCTCATGCTTGCCTTAAGCTTTGTGAACTATATTTTCTACCCCCTGGGCAGCTCCTTTAAGTCTTAGGCACTGTATGAGGAATTTACCAGGAATATGGACTACTCTAGGCTCAAAGGGAACCGATTTGGCGGTTTGAAAGTGCGAGCACGCACATTGAAGGGGCCTCTTCCTTCCCTTATTGCTCCACGAATAGCACTAGTTAGCTTCACCTTCTGTCAGTCTCTGTTCATCGAGAGGCTATTGATCTATCTTTCTTAGTCAGAACCCAAACCGAGATTCATACACGGTTTGATCGGTGCCGAGCCTAGAAATTCTTAAACTCAGTTCATCAACAGCCATTTCGATCGAGTGCACACAATCCTGGCTTTGTTTTTCTTGCCAGCGCATTATATTACTTTAATACACTCGAAGGCATTACTACTCTTAAAACCATTGGTGAGTGACTTATAGTATCCAAGCGTAATGGAACATTTACCAAGAATACGCAAAAGGTGTACTCCATGATGATATCCAAAAGAAGTGATTCCAGCCAACATGCATCGTAACTCCTCCAAATGATCCAAGAGTGGTTGAGCCTCGTTCTTGACGTTATATTCATGGTCATCGCAGTGGTCCTGTCTGCCTTACTCTAATACCGCCTTCGCCGGTGCATCCGCATTTTCCCGTATGAGCTTCGGGGAGAATCTCGCTGGCATCGTTGCCTAATATACACGACATGGAGGTGAGTTCTAGTGTCAATCAGGAGACGGGACGGGTCATGGAGGACATTGTGCAGGCGAGTTTAAAGATTATACTGTTATCGCGATAAGCCATCAGCTGGATATGATTATGGACTTTAACCGAATGGTATTTATGGATGTGGGGAAGATTACCGAAGTTGAGGACCCCGCGGTCTTGAAAGATTTCCCTGAGTCGAGGTTTGGGGAGTTGGTGAGGGTTGGAGGGAACTACGAGTTTCGCTGGGGTGAGAGGAGATAAGGGTCCCACCCAGATTTCCAGCTTCAGTACTCGACCATAGAACATTTTTTGCATATGTTTAGTTAGTACTTGCGTATTACCGTAAATGGCGTGTTCAAATTAAATTTTTCACTCAATTTCACGGCGTAGATGTGACGCTTCCAAGCTCCCGGTGTCCCGCCAAGTTTATCAACCCAAAGTTGCCCTCAAATCTAGGTACCTTTCGAAGAACGTCCAAAGCTACATGTATGGAGATGATGAATCATATCCAAGAACTTGAGATAAATGTTGGATAATTCATCGCCTTGAGATAGTCGATCGAGTTTTGTCTAATTATATCACAATCCGAACCCGCTCAGCCTGCGGCCTGCTATATATTTCTCCGGCAGGGTCCACATCAAAAAGATGACGACCTATTTTTGAAATTTCTTCAGCGATTTGTTTTCAATGGGCATGGATCAGACCAGAGCCCATTCGATATGCATCACGCTTCAAGGGAATATTGTATTGTACCTGAAAGTCTCTTATGCATCGAAACTTAGAACTTTAGCATGGCCGGAGACCTGGTACTTCTTCAATCTATCGGGTAGTTCCAGTCCTATGCCAGTCAGCACATGCAAGCCCAGCCCATCTTAGCTGGAACCCTGGAAGACATGGAAGAACTGTTGATCACCGCACGCCACAAGCCACGACCCACCCGTAGATTGCTAGCACTGTGTCATGTTTTGAGGGTCCGGGTAAAGATAATCCACTGTTAGGAATGACCCGATGCAGGTGTAGCGCACACGCAAAGTTAAACTACCAGCTGGCACTATTATTGCAATAAGGCTTCATAGTTAGAATTGCTACTCCTTAGAATACATGTAGTCATAAATATGCTGCAAAGCGTTCCCAAATTGCACCTTGGAAGCCATTAAGATTTATCTAGAAATAGCGTTCATTATTCGAATGTTGGTCCAGCTTGCTGCTATTTTATGCAACATAAAGGAATGTTGTCTAAAATTCGATGGGTCAGAAGGCTGTGCCAGGCAAATTGTTTCTCATATGGCCCCACGGAAGTACGGAAGTGCTATAAATTTACCCACACCGGCACTCCCTGGACAGGAACAGTATTCGATGGATGATTCAGTGATTGGCCACATGTGCAACCATATTCTTAACGAATGCGATATGCTGAAGACTCGTCATGATAGTTGCATAAAGCCACAGCAAATGAGTAAACCAAGCCCTGTATATCAAAGTGCGAATGTTGAAAATAGCAGGACACAATGGTTTATCCAGCCGGAAAGATCCACATCGGCTAGTACTCTTAAGTGCCCTGAGCTTGAGACAGTGTCGTCAGCACTGGCATTAGATAGGCCACAAAGTTCAGATAACTGGCGTTCGAGTGGGACTATATGCCACTAGGGACTAAATGCAAGGCCCTGGAGCCGGTTAATGTCCCCTCAGCCCCAATAACGCCGAGAATAGACGAGAAGCAAGTGGGAATTGCCAAGGAATGGATCGAATGCAGTTTTTGTCCAGAAATAAGCCATCAAAATGATATATAAGATACTGGCGAGAGCCTTGGTTTGAAGTCTCACATCTAAGCAACCTCATTCAGCTGAAATCAACCTTCTCAAGAGCCATTCTTTATCCGCTTCATTCCACTCGTTAAACACAACCTTTACCTCCTGCGAATCATCCCAAAAAACAAATATGTCAAACACCACCGCAACCACCACCTCGGCCTCGGCCACATCCAGCTGTCACGCCAAGCTGTACGACATTCCCGTACATGATGCAGCATGCGCAATGCCGATGGAGAGCGGTTACGCGTCGATTATGAGCAGTTGCTGTGGCGAAGCTTCTGTCGTTGAGTACGATGACTGCGACTACTACTGCCTAGCTCAGGGACAAACCGTTGGCACCCTTGCAGAGTGCCTGAGCAAGGCCTCGGAGCCAGGCCAGTTCTGGTGCAACACCAATGCCAATGCGACGGCTACTGCGACGGCCACTGCCACCGGCACCGGAGTCGTGACTCTCAGTAGTACCACGACTGGTGCAGGCTCGACGGCTTCTGGCACCTCGAGTGGTGCTACTTCGACTTCGACTTCAACCTCTTCTGGAATCGTTGCCGCTCGTCCGCTCTCGAAGTCTGCTATTGGCGTCGTTGGTATTTTGCTGGCTGCATCTGCTGCAGGCCTTTTCCTCTGAAGTGACAAATGAGAATTGTGGGAATATGCAAGTGGCTATGTTGAGTGTTTGTGGTTGATAGTAGTATTGCCGATGGAGGGCCCCATGGTGATTGTGATTGTGATTGTTCTCTTCTTCCGTGCGGTATTGGATCCAACTTCCTTGCCCACACACTATTTAGTCAACAACGTTGTCGTTTGGAAAGACAAATCTTGAAGCGTAATATTTTCTCTATTGGAAGTCATTCGCAGTATAAAGGGTACCTGACAAGACATCAAGGGATGATCTGAGTCAATAAGTCCCAAATTATGGAGAAGACTCGTCTATGTACACGGACAGAAGCAGTAAAAAGTACAAACCCATTGGCACACCCCGTTCCCAACCCACGCAGAAATGCGAAATATGGATGCTTTGAGCGCCGGAGTGAAGAGAGATCCGTAGTGGAAAAATAATAAAAAAAACAAAAGCCGTTGTAATACATCGCGGGTGGAGAGACAGGAGGTGTGGGGTTATAATCCACTGCCAATATCGTTGGAGACCGGAAAGGGTATGGAAATTCGGTTCACCAGGGGAGCATGGGAGGAAAAGACAATTTGTCCTGCAATTTTAGATTTAGAAGAGGGCCTTGCGTGCCACCTGTCGGGAGTTAGCGAAATTTATTGTGAAGAACGAAAGCGGGAAAACATACGGTCCAAGTGCCAGCAATGGAGGCGACAATACCGCCAGAGATCATCATGGGCTTCAAGCCGCGAGTACTCTTAAACAGCATTCCACTCAATGCACCTGCGACGACGCTGTTCGCCGCATCGTGCTTGCCACGCGCGTAGCCAATTGCCGAGTTGAAACCGTTGTAAACCATCGCGACTACACCGGCCGAGTTACCGAGGAACGGACCACGGCGGGTAACCGAGTTAAGCACACCGTTTAGACGAATCTTTGGGGGCGCGGTCGCCGGTGTCTTGTTCAATCCCTCGATCATACCCCATGCACCTCCGATGGTCAATGCAGCCAGGTATGTGGTGCCAGCACCGTAACAGAGGTCGTCGGACCAGCCGCGAGAGGGCAGAACTGAGCGGGAACCGGGGGTCTCATCAAGGGCAGAGTCTTCGAGGGAAAGGTAGTCGAGAGTGTCCTGGTTCAGGCCAGCCAGGGGATGAAGTCCTGAAGGATCGGGAATGGCGAGTTCGGAGAGGAAGGCAGTCGCATCTTGCGTAGTCGAAGGGTCGAAAGCGTTGGTCTGTTCCTGCTTGCGACCGCTGATAGAGTCCCAGATAGCCATGATGGAGGGGGAGAGGGAGGTCGATAAGATTACTAAAATACAAGATGGAGAAAGAGATGTCGACGTTCCCTTGAATCACGCAGCTCCACTGTTCTCGCGCCAGCAAAAACTTCGGTCCCGTGATCGGCGGCTCACGGCACCGGATAATTAGTAGTGCCGAGACTAACCCCATTGTGGAAGCACACGATAAAACTGATAAAATTTAGTGCCTGAGGCCACCGCGGGGATCTTCAACGATCTTTTAGGAATTTGCGATCCATTCTTATTGATTCATACGAACCAGATCCTGTTGAATTGATTCTCTTGCCAGTCATGGATATTGAATTATCCCGAGGCGTGCAAGTCTCTTCCTCTGCAAGCATGGAGGTCGTCGCACAAAATATAGAAATTCTGTCTGAAAAGACACTAAGAGATATCGCCAAGGGTCCATTGATCAAGTTTACTCTGACATGTGACGATCGGGAGTGAGTTTCTCTCTTTGATCTGCTATAATTTGCAATTAATGCTGACTTCTATAAGAAAAGTACGCCGGGTATGGCAGTCGCTGAGCAAGACACTATCATCCCCATCTCTTGATCACCTGCATACAACTGCTGCATGCAATGCGGCATCTGCCTTCCTAGATGCAGCTGTCAACTCTCCAATTAAAGAGACTAAAGAACTAGCTTTGTCACCAGAGGTATGGTTAGCTGTCTTTGACGTTTTCATGAGTAGATATGAGGATGTCAGGCCCAAGCCATTGAAGCAGCTATTGGCCTCTCTCACGACTATTTTGGTGAAGCACTACAAGGGAGAAACCAGGATTATGGTACAAAATGCCGTCCTAAACTCAATTTTGCCATGCATCATCCTAGGTGAGCCGCGATCTCGACTGAAGGGCTCACTCGTGTGTCTGGAGATGTTCATCCGAAAGGGTGCCATACGCCCTTCTGAGTTGATCCCTTTGGTTCGAAGCTGGCTCTTAGAATCCCGGGACCAATGGGTTCCCTTCTTCAAGAAGGACCAGGCTGCTCTCTACCCTGGTGTGTCCGATCCTACAGTGATGTCCAGCGAGCCGTCGGATGAAGTGGCAGGAAGAATCCTCGTCCTCGGACTTCTGACGCAAACCAACAATCGGGGCATGGCTGGAACATCAGGTAATATCCTGGCTGCATTCCTACAAAAATCGCGTGCAGAAAGCCCGGATAAGCAGATGTCAAGTATTTGGATCCACCCTGCGAGACATATGCTGCTGCAGAACCTGGAGTCTGTGGAAGTTCTCTCAATCCAAATTATGGAGCCTATTTTCAGTAGCGACCCAGCCGGCTTCCCGCTGTTCGTTGAAACCCTTCCATTGCGCAGTCTCATGGCTGGTGATATGACGGAGGGGTCACAGTCCGAATATATGCTTCTTTTTGTCTCCCTGCAGGTGGGAAAGAAGGTTAACCTTGTCCATGATGACTGTACGTTGATTTGCAAATTATTTCCGCCAAACTTTGTGCTAACTCCTTTAGATGACGCCTCCAAAAAGGCTAGCTCTAACAACATTGTTCTGAAGAGCGAGGTTATCGGGAATTTCTTGCTCCATCGAGACCCGACGATCCGTGTGGCAGCCTTGTCCCTGCTGATTACGGCGTTCTCAACAGTGAAACCATTCACAAAAGCTGCAACCAGCGCTATTCTAAGAGGACTACCATCCATGCATGCGGACTCTGATGCTTTCAGCAGAGGAGAGATCATGAGCCTTACTCGAAAGTTCATTATCCGCTTGAAAAGTGGAATCCTGACGGAAGAGGGTGCAGCAGTACCACAGAAAAAATCTGCCAATGTGCCTACCACTTCGGGTGATAGCGATCATGAGACAAAGAAGTTCTTAGGGGACTATGTTGAGTTCATCCAGAGCGATCTTTGTGTCACAGCATCCTATCCACGCCACATCACTGCATTAAAAGCACTGAAGCTGCTGCTGGAGTCTGGTCTCGATGCACGAAAAAGTCCCACTCTTATAAAATCGGAAGTCCAAACGCGTTGGAATGTTCACGTGGAAGTCTTCGGTACTCGTCTTCTCAGGTTATTGGTGGACCTTCTTTTGGACCCGTTCGAGGAAGTGCGGCAAACCTCTCTCTTGATCATCAACCTGTTTCCTTCCGATATGCTCATCGGTGGTCTTTCGGATGATGCGGACCAGTGGAGCTCAGTGGGAATGCGCCTGACAGACGCTCTTTCTAGGGCGGAAGCCCTTGCAAGCAAAACGAGTCGCGCGGATCATGCCGATACAGTTGCGCGCCTGTATCATATATTCTTCTCGGCAGCTCCGTCGAAGTCTGCGGCTGAAACTACCAACGGCTGGTGGGCAACCAAACAGTCAGTGGTCGATACTATCCTGACTCGACTTGAAGAGCGTCTGTCGTCTCCCAAGGGTTTGTTCAACTCAGCTATGCAACAGGCTCCCCTTCACGGATACATGTCTGGGCTTCGGTATATCATTCTCGTTCCTGACTTCCATTCTCACATTTCTGTGGAATCGAATCCCTCTACTTGGAAGTCTATTCATGACAGAATAGTGTCCATCTGCGATAGCGTTTGGCACGAAGTGAAGCCTGTGCTTTGCATAGATTCTCCAGAGGGCCATTCCGATCAGCCGACCGAAGACTTCGAAGTCGGACCAAAGGATATTCTCTCCTATTCTTGGAGATCCTTGCGAGAATCAAGTCTCTTGTTACATGCTACCATGACCAACTTAACATATGGACCGGCTGGTGATCAGGGTCTTCAGCGATCTGACTTCGAGAATGTTGGGCGAGTCAGCTTCACTCAACTGGCGGAACTTCGCCACCGTGGTGCTTTCTCCACTGTGTCGGCGACATTCGCCACCTGCTGCCAGCGATGCACTAGCTCCCAAGACCCATCCATCCAAGAGCTCCCAGTTCTTTGGTATCAAGAGGCCAAATCCACCATTTTCGAGTCTGCTGCAAAGCTTACTCGAAGATCTGCTGGCATACCTGCCTTGGTAACTGGTGTTCTTTGCTCTAGCCCTGGAACACCGTTCTTTAAGCAAGCTTTCAATGAGCTCTATGACATCTCACGTCTGCCAGTGGATTATGATAAAGACCAACAGTACCTGAAATTACCGCAAGTTCACGCAATGAACTGCCTGAAGGACATCTTTGTCAATAACAAGCTCGGACCTCATACTGAGGCATTCATCATGCCAGCACTCACTCTTTCTGCCGAGAGAATAGGTTCCCCAATGTAAGCTCTTTGCCTTGAAACTAGTCGATTATATTTGTCCACTAACAAGTTCTAGTTGGAATCTTCGTAACTCAGGACTGATGCTGTTCCGCGCCTTGTTAACACGGATGTGTCGCTTTGTACTCGGCACAGGAGCCGGGTTCGGTGGCATCTCTGGATCTGAGCCTGGTTCCAAAATTTCTTTCCCCAAGTACCCTGGGCTACTTGAATTGCTCTCAAGTCTCCTCGCGCCTGTCGCAGGAACCACAGTCGAGGGTACGGATATTGTGACCGAGCGCATTTTCCCTGCTCTCGAATTGATTGGAGAGAAGATTCCAACATTTGATGATGACGATACTATGTTGCGAGGCCTGGTTCTTGAGCATTTCAGAAGTCCAGTTTGGGCTATTCGGGAGCATGCAGCTCGTGTCTATGCCTCATTGCTAACTCGCACCAACATTCTCAAGGATGTATGCGATCTGGTTAACCTTCTGAAGGGCGATGTTACGGAGAACTATTTGCATGGAACAGTGCTCTGTGTTCAGTACTCTCTTCGCCGCTTTGCGGCCAGTACTGATGTCTTCTGGACTTCCCAGCTTGATGAGCTCCTAGTCACTATTCGCCATGTTTTGGCAACAGTTTTCCCGCTGGCCAAGTCTCCTTTCGTCGCAACAGCACTGATCGAGATTCTAAATGACACCTTGGAGCGCGGCGTGGAGGGCGATGTTGAAGGGCGCACCGTATCTTTTGTCACCAGTATGTTTGAAGAACACGATCTTAATGGAGTACTGAGCTACATTTTCGATAGCTCACAAACGGGTTGGAACTTGGAGAGCGGTACTCGGGCGTCTTCTCTTTTCAGAAGGGCTCTCACCTGGTGCGCAATGCTGAACTCTTTTGCTTCTCGAGAATGGAGTGGCATACCGTTATTCTTCCACGGGGTCGCAGCTTTCGATGCCGATGCCGCTAACTGGATCATTGAGCGGCTTCAAGAAACGCTCGGTGAGAAAGTCATTTACCACAAGCCCCTAGTGGATCTATATTCGTCTGTCGTTCTTGGTGACTACACTTCCGATGTGAAAACAGTCGCTGCCTCAAACCTGGCGTCTGTTCTTGAGCAACTGTTGAGTTTTCGAAAAATGGAGTCGATCGCAGAGCTAGCACTTCCTTGTGATGACCTGATGCAAAGCTTCCGACCGGATCAGGCCATCCAGGAATGGAACCGACACGCTACAGATGCTGAGCTCCGCTTGCAAGGATGTCTTCTTGCAGTCCAAGTTATCTCGGGTGGAGATCAAAACATGTCTGCATTCAAGCCCAACCTTCATAGCTGGGCTATCAAGTTGCGGTCCGCCCTCAGCGAAGAAACTGTAAGTCATTGTCAGGCATTTCAAAAATGAAACCACTAATCTGATTCCCTAGGAATTTACAACCCGGTATGCCGCAATGGTGTCCATCCAAAGCTTTTCGCTTGGCCTCCGGCCGGCTGATAGCTCACCTCGGGTTGACGGTCCCTTGTTGGATATCTACTTGATTTTGTATGACATGCTGAATGATGACGACGAGGAGCTTCGAGATATCGCCGCATCAACCGCTTCGTGGGTGCTGTCATATTCATCTGTTTCCCCTCGCACCACAGTAGCTCTTGGGCCTTTGAATGCCAGCTCGCTTCTTGCAACTTTCATCATAGACCACTACTCAGATGCTCCTCAGCTGGCCAGACGAGTCATCCGCTATCTCACGGGTCAAAGTCATCGTATCAGTGGCTCCGACGAACAATCTCACTTGGTGTCAGTAGCAGATCTTGTCAGTGAGTTCTGCCAAGAAAGCACTGTTCTGTTTGTGGAAGAAAAACAGAACCTCTTTATTGACGATGTGAGGGAGATTGACATATGGTCTAAAGCACTGCTGCATCTTCACAAGGGTGCCTACCCCGAGACTCTGGTTCGTCAATTCTCGAACTGGATCGCGGAAGGGTTAGAGTACCTTTCGACAAGACTCACTCAGGAAATTGGTCATGATGGCCTTCTTGGTTGGATCTCGAAGCCCGAGTCATTCACCTTGGGAGTTCGCATTATCAGTATTGCCTCTGCACTCACATCTGAAGCGTTCACAGCTCCGCAATATCTGGACGTCGATCCCAGCACACTCCAAAACCAGCTTCAATTGTTGCTTGACGCTGGCCGAAGTGCCTCGGTACATGATGAATGGCTTGCAAGGATCTTATCTGGGGTTAATTCGCGGGCTTAAAAAGCAAAGCAGATTAAATGAGATTAGGTATAGAAAAAAGCACTATAGAAAGGTACCAAAATGTTTGTTAATGAATCCCAAATGGGTTGGATTTTGAGCATAGTTCTCTGTTGTTTATAGTTGCATTTATTCCCACCCTCAAAACCACACATTCCATCTTCCACTTTCATTAGCTCTCGCTTCCTTAAATTCTCGTCCTTCTGATTCGCAATTCTGTTCCTTTATCCCCTCAGAATCTCAACACATTGCATATGCTTCAAACCAAGCGTTGGTCTTCATATCAACTGCACGCCTTGGACTTATCCCTCCTGCCCGTGTACAACGGCCGCTCGGCTGCTATTCACTCCTCGTTCCTAAAATGCAAGGAAACGGCCTCATAGCTATTTTGATTGGCGGGCTTTTCTTCGTGGTATTTGTCGGATGGGTGAGCTACTTCTGGTACGCCAGGAATCTCAGACGAGCTATCCTCCGTAACGAAAACGCTGCAAGAGTCGGTCGAGCACGCCACCGTACAGGGAGCCATTTTGAGCACGACGTTGAAAGGGAGCTGGCCATCGCAATCCCACCATACATCGTGACAAAAAAGGGTATCTCACGACCGAGCATGCGTCAAAGTCGAAGTCGCGAGAAAGTCGTTCAGAAACCTTCATACGTGTACGAGAGCCGACCTGGAGAACATGCCAAAGCCACGCGCTACATGCCAGTCAAGCAGTATATGCCCAGGCATCATTACCTCCCAAGGGCCGGCAGTCAACGTGACAAGCCTCGATCAAAGAGCCACTCGGGTAAGCCAAGGCAATCGGAGGCCCGGGCTGAGGCTCGAAAGAGCTCGCATAAGACGCTGGAGAAACAGGCCAGCAACTGGACCAAAGGTATCGCTCCAAAGGAATCGCCTAAGACCCGCCAATCGAATCAATCCAATGGCAAGGCCCAATCTCATCAAGGAACTGATCCCCCAAATATCCCTGATTGGGTGGGAAACGTCGAAGGGGCTCCACCCGATAAACCATGGACCAATGCTTCAACTCGCCCTTCACCTCATTCTTCGCCTCATCCAGACCATCAACAAGCCGGTGGTCGTCAATGGTCCAAGGATGGCAGCGGTGGATCTGGATTTGCCCTGAAAACCCCTTCTAACACACAAGTAAGAAAGTCCCGTTCCAACTGGGCAGATTTACAGATATCTAAATATGGCCGTGAAAGCAATAGAAAGACAAAACTTGGTCATGATGGTAGTAGTTATCGAACCTGGAGTTTGGCCCCCGACACTCATCGAACCTCGATTTCAACTCCCTACACTCGTCGGACCTAGAGTTTGGCCCCCAAGACTTGCTGAACTCTTTCGATTTCAGCCATCGACAACCATCGAGTCTGCAGTTCAGCCTCCGAAAAAAACAGCCACAAAAATTATCGACCTACGAGGAAAAATGACCGTTTCCTAAGTGGGATGCTGAGGAACGGCGACATCCTTTCTGAGGCCTTTGTCAGGATCTCAGAACCTCGCCGCCTACAGCATGAGCTACCCAGTTCGGCATTACCATTGTTATGGCTTGCGATCTAATATTCAAGTTTGGAATCATTGTCCATCTCGTCATGTCGAGGACTTGGTTGTCAACACTGGAAGGAGTAATGGAATTTCTGGTGTTTCACTTCTGTTTAACAGATCGGACATCGGTATGATGTGTTTGCTTGGCATCTTTAGATTTATTATTATAATTTGAGGAAAACGTTGAAATACTGTCAAACGTAGAGTGCGACATAGCCCTAAATTTACAGCAGATCTACATTAATAGCAGGTTTATAGGGCTTTAACTTATATTGATCAAGTCTACCCATCAAGTCCAGTTGACCAATAGTATAAATTTACTGTGGGTCTCTGGATGCAGAAGGCACCTAGAATATTTTCATGCATCAACATTTGCAATATGGAACACAATATTGTAGTAGTCGAGAGCAAAAGCAATTACTTAGTTGTTCGTCTCTGGTCACTCTGCTCTACTGTAGTCGGTGACGTTGTGGCCCCCGCAGCTCCAGGCACACAGCTTCCCCAACCTCCAACATTTGAACTCCGAGGCTCGACAGATTTCAGAATGTGGAACGACGAGGATAATAACCCCTATGGGGCATTTGACCAACATGAAGCTCATCTGTCCGACTCTTTACATTCCGCCGCACTGTCACCTCGTAAGGTCCCACCTCCCCCGGTTCGTTGCATGTCTCTGACCCTCGGTAGCGATTTACGAACATGATTCGACTCCGCCTTCCAGTCGGGATTCTAACATAGACCCCCCAGACTATATTTCTCATCCAGAAGATCTCAGCGATCCCGAGGAAGCCGAATATGGCGCCGCGAGCGAACAATACCCACGGAAGAGTGTTTACGACAGCCGGATTGAGCAGATTCTCTACGAAAACCCCGAAATGCCCATCCTAATCACCGACGCCGGCAAGAATCATGAAGGTGGAGGTAGCTTTATCGTTTATACTATCAGAACCGCGGTAAGGTTTGACATTTTGGATGCCGATTTCGTGGCTGAAGGCTGACACCATTAAACTAGGATTTGGAAGTACGCCGGCGATACTCCGAGTTTGCATCGCTACGACAGACCCTCGTGAACCTCCATCCCACTCTAATAGTGCCCCCGATTCCCGAGAAGCATAGCATGGCCGACTACGCCGCTAAGCCCACCAAAGCCAAAGAAGATACAGCTATCATTGATCTGCGGAAACGAATGTTGGGCGTCTTTTTAAATCGGTGTCGTCGCATGAAGGAGATCAGAGAGGATGGGGTCTGGTGGCGATTCCTGGATCCGAATGTCAGCTGGGTAAGTATCAGGTATCTCCTTGGGAGGATACTGCTGATTTGAGATATAGAACGAGGTCTTACATTCTCACCCCGCATCATCCGTCCCGAAGAATAATCTCAAAGCGCCCCCTCTTGATCCTGCAAACCCAAGCCAAGCGCACAGCTGGCTCCCAGTTCCGTCATCCTCTGCAAAGCTTAGGTCTGGTGGAGCATCGGGAGGCTCAGGATCCCCTACATCGCCAGGAGACAACACCGATGGTTCTCCCACCCACATTCCGGGTCCAGAGATTCTTGGACGCTTCCCGCCAGAGTCGCGAAAATTGAGTGAACAGGAACTGGACCCGTATTTCGTGAATTTTGAAGCTTCCACTCGCGAACTGGAGTTGCTCTTGCAGGGGAATATCGAGAGGGTCAACCGGCGAACTCTATCTCACTTGTCAACGTTATCTGCTGACCTGATGGAACTTGGGGCTCGTTATAATGGATTTTCCCTCTCCGAACAGTCCCCAACCGTGGCTGCTGCTATTGAGCGCATTGGCCAAGCGGCAGACACGTCTTACATCGAGACCGAGGAATTGTCTACTGCACTCAGTGCAAGCTTTGCTGAACCTATGCGGGAGAGTGCACAATTCGCTAGCGTGGTGCGGAGTGTATTACGGTACCGGGTTTTGAAGCGCGTACAAGAAGATATGACTCGCGACGAGCTGGCCAAGAAAAAGACCTTGTTGGATTCCCTTGAGCGTAGCGAGCTGGAGGCAAAGCGCATTGAACAGTATCTCAATCGCACAGACTCCCAATCCCGTACCAAACCGCAGCGCTCTTTATCAACTTCCTCCGCGGTGAGCAGCGAGGGCGACGGCATGGCAAATGCATCCACTGATTCCGAATTCCCCCCCCCCACGAATCACTTGGCTCTCCCACATCCCAGGCCGTATCTAGAAAGCCAGAGCCTTCACCATCCCACTCCCCAGCACACCGCAAGACCTCCAGCGGGACGTTTGTCGCAAACAAAATCTTTGGTCGCATCAGTCACGCCATTCACGGCTTCGCAGACGTAGATCCCGAACGAACTCGTCGGGATCAAATCGGAAAGACCAAGGAGAGTCTCATCCAGGTATGTGGGCCGAGGGTGGCAAAGTAACTGCACTAGATTACGTTCTAACGAAACCCATAGTTGGAACAAGCGTTGGAGGTATCAGAAAAGGACGTGAAAGACGCTAGTGCGGGCGTAATGCAGGATCTACGACGCTTCCAGAAGGATAAAGAAGCCGATCTCCGGCGTTACATGGTATGACCTCTCTTCCCCCACCTTGTGCAGGCAGCTAACCGGGATTGCGCTTAGGTCGCATATGCACGCTGCCACTTGGATTGGGCTCGCAAGAACCTCGAAACCTGGACAGAAGCCAACGATGAAGTCAACAAGATCGTTGCGCGGTAGATTGATGTCTTCGGGTTCTACTCCCAATCCTTCCGGCGTCGGTGTTCGGTTCTATGTTTGGCGGAAAGCATTTGATATATTTCTTCTTTTCTGAATAGCGATCATGCTCAACATTAGCTAAGGTTATCCCGACCATGGCTTTCATATTACTTCTTTTCCCCCGTAGTCTATCCTTGTCTCACCTGTATTCGTCTTAGCCCTCATAGGAACCAAGAACACGAATATTGAAATGTCTTAGAACCTTTTAAAGGGTTTCCCCTTTTCGATCACAATTAGGTCTTTGTTAGTCATAGCACGGTTCCTTGGTGAAGGACCATGGATCCTTAGAACGGGAATGGGCAAGGGCAAGGGCGCTTCCTGACATTCCTCAAGTGGAGCGTTATCACTCACTCCCGTTGGTCAGTGAGATCTTATGGTGGATGATCGACAGGGACTGCATCCGATCGGCGGAAACCTCAGACAGAGGCTCATGATTTTCAATTTTTCCTTGCGTCAATGTCAACCGGTTCACGTCGAGCCAAGAGGTAGTCCTGAATGTTAGGGACGATCCATTTTCTACCCGCGCAATCAACCCGCACAAAGGCGTCAGCATGCATAATTAACCAGCAATCGTTTCCCCGCGATGACCAAAATTAAAGAAGCCTACAGTATCATTCTGCATTCGTTGAAGAAATATTCGCCACGGACATTAGCTTCTGCAAAACATACAGGTCTCTCCGCATTCCGTGCCTTGCAGCGCATACCCACAGGTGGAACCTGCTATCAAGTGGACTGGGTTGCATCCCTCACGGCGAGCCCCTCGGAAAGGTCCCCGCATCACGAAACCACCCTGCTGTGGTGACACGCCGTGCGTCACGACCGAAAAAGATGAGTGCCTAGATCAGCGGACAAGATGATCGTCAGGAGCGACCACTTATCACGGCCGGCGATGCCGCCTGCTAGACGGGTCGAGAATTTCCAACAGGAGTGGTCTCTTTGGCATCTACTGATTCCTCGGCGTTGGATCAAGATGTTGGTTTTGGTAGGTTTGGTTTGCTTCTTCTCGGTCTGTCTTGGTCTAGGCTTGAACCAGAATCAGATTCGAGACCTGGATTCGGATCAGGGTCAGGATGATGGCTTTCAAGACGATGGTGTTGCCTATTTTCCTCCGCCTAGGCAAACGGGACAAAAAACTCATGATCCGACTATTTTGAAGGTTGGCGATGAGTTCTATCTTTACAATGTCGGGTCGCATATCTTCATTTACAATGCGCCTTCTATGGCCGGTCCGTGGAAGCATGTTGGCAGTGTGCTGGATGCCAATAGTGTCATCCCCAAGGGTGATCGTGCTGCTCCCTGGGCACCGACGGTTATTGAATACGACGGAGTCTACTACTGCTATTACAGTGTGAGCAAAGCAGGCTGCCGTGACAGTGCCATCGGTGTGGCGACATCTAATTCTCCTGGACCTGGGAACTGGCATGACCATGGCGCTATTATCCAAACGGGAACTGGCAATGGATCCGATGTGTCGCCCTACACGATCTCGAATGCCATTGACCCGAGTGCATTGATTCTCCCCAATGGTGAAGCATACCTCACATTCGGAAGCTATTGGACTGGTATCTATCAAGTTCCCCTCGGCAAGGATATGATTTCTCCGAAGAGCACTACTGAGCCCGACGCTCGTCACCTTGCCTACGAGCCCAACATGCTTAGCACTCCCAACCGTCACACTAGCTCATTATGCGGTGACCCAACTGGACCACACGCCATCGAGGGAGCATTCATTTCCTATCGTGATGGATATTATTATCTCTGGTTCAGCCACGGCAACTGCTGTAATCTGCATGCGGACAAACTTCCTGCCGCTGGCAAAGAGTATGTGTTGTTAGACCAGTCTCGTTCATCTTATACTGATCCTCCTTAGATACAGTATTCGCGTTGGACGGTCCCAGAATCCTCGTGGTCCCTTCGTCGACAAAACTGGCAAGGACCTTGTCGAAGGTGGTGGCACTATCATATACGGCTCGAACGGCGAAACCTATGCCCCCGGCGGCCAAGGCGTTCTTCGCGACGGCGACACCGACCTTCTCTATTACCACTACCGTGAGTCCATGACTCCTATCCACACACAATCTATGATTTTAACCCTCGCTCCAGAAAATAGAACCATTGGCGTGGCATTTGCAGTACGTGACCCGGCAGGCTTGTAGATCTCGATACTCGCATGTCGATCCTCCTTCATTCCCTTTCCTTACCTTCCTCTACATGCCCATCTCGATACATCATTCATCTGACATAATCTCCCAGGATGCTCTCCTTGGCTTCAATCCACTAAAATACGTCAATGGATGGCCTGTTGCACAGCCATAATGGATCCAATACGTCACCTTCAATCATTTTATCCGATACTCCACCGCCCACATAATCCGACTCAAAATCCGCAATAAATTCGAGCTCGCCCTTCCTTCCTAATTTACCATTCGAATAATCTGGAATGTGAGTCCTGCCGTTCATGATTACGACTACAGACTTTCCGCCATGTCTCATCACACGCGCCTGCGCCCTGATCGACCGGTCCGCGATCAACTTGATATACATACTAGGGATATCATCCGTATCACTCCCATCTGATGCAAAATATGTTGCTACAGTATTTGATTGTTGTCCCAGGGTATATAATTTGATTTACCCGTTCTTATTTACCTTTGCGCGTTTTGCTGAAAAGGTTGTACATATTTGACTTGCATATAGAGGATTATTAGACGGTGTTGGGAAGAGAGTCGAATATCCATTGATTCATAGACTTGATCGAACTGTTTGGCTATTCAATATTAGATGTTGTAATGAACCTGGTAAAGAGCGTTCAACTCCTGGAAATTCCAATAGTGAGTTACGTCCATTTTTGAATACTTGAGAGATGTACGTGAGAAGGAAATACATTCAGGAATAGACAATCTTACATAGTAATTCAATTTCTCCAATGCACCAAACAATTTATTTGCAATACCTATTGTCGTCCTCGAAGTTCGTAGATGCGCCTGGCACAACGGAACTGTTCCAACATTGAAGTCAACTTGGCATTTTGTGTAGCCAGTATTGAGGCACTTCTCTTATTTATTATTCTTCATGTCTATTTTTAGCTCCTCGGGCTTGCAGGCTCGTGGACGAAGGTCCACTTCAATGACAAATAATGGAGACAAAATCACTGGGGCTGCTCCTTGATGCCAGCTATCTTCTAATAGGCCCACCTTATAATCCTAATAAACAAAACCGCTCACTTAGTACCAGAAAGGCCACGTGTTGTGCTTAGAATTCTATCATTCTTTTAGTGATGACTTGCAAGCCGCTATTTCCGAGAGAGACATTTTTCTAGTGGTCCAAGACCCGCCCTTGTATAAGCACGCCTGAATGAGATTTATCTCCATGAAGAAACCACAGGAACAAGAGGGTCTCGACGAATATTTGTGTGGCAAATAGATTATTCATTTGTATCCAGAGTATTACATATTCATTAGTGTCCTTTGCGTTCCCCAACCACACTCCTCGGAAATTGACGCGGCCCATCCTGTGAGCGGCTATCATGCGAACGATCATTCAAAGATCCCTCATCAGACGCTGACCTTTGATCCAGCTCTGTGAGTGGATACTCAATATCTACATCGTGGATCCGGTCAAACGTATTATTCTTGCTGAGGATAGGCTTGGGACCCGATGCCGGGTGTGTAGAATATCCCGCTTTGGCACTCGCGAACAAAGCCGGACACGCAGCCTTGAGAATAGGTCGGAGCATAGGAGCACAGGCGTTACTAATAGCAAGGGCTGGCTCAGTGACACTCCAAAATGCAGCCCAGGTCATAGAGAAGGGAAGGTCGCTGAAGTTGACAGTCGTGAGGACACGAATACGGATGATAGTGATAGAGGAGATACTAAGACTCATTAGATTGGTGTCGCTAGGGTAGATGCTAAGGTCCAGACTCACAAGATACCCAGACCGAAGATACCATACAAAGCCATCTTCGTTCCGAGGGACATTTGCAATTTCCAGATAAAGCGGATTGGCAAAGCCATGATCATCACGTCTGTGATTAGATTGAAAGCGCCAATGGTGGAAAATGCCACATTTTGGCTCGCACAGTGGCCCGGTACTGTTGCATCCCAATTCTTCTCGAAAGGTATGCAGATCAGGAAGATTTGAAGCATACTGCCTGTCCAGTATGAGGCTGCACATCCCATACAAATCCATGTCAGGATACGAAACTCCCTCGTCACAAAGATGCGTAGGTAGAAGAATAGATAGCTGAACTTGGCCAGGACCATCGCATTATAGTAAACGATTTGATAGATGATCAGCATTTTCACCATCAAGATCGTATTTGCTGTGGGAAGATCGGTGACATGATGCCGCATTCCCACGCGGGCGTAATGGTATTGCATGGCTAGCATGCCATAGGTGTGTAGCATGGCCGCAATGCAGAAAGCATCGTCCCACCAGATCTTGCTTCGTCTGATATATCTGGAGAGAAAGCGTAATACCATCATAAAGGTAGCCACAGCGACCAGCACTGTGTTAGCGATGAGTTGGTCCCGGACGAGGGAATAGGCGAAGATGTTGTAGAACTTCATCCTGTTGCTTTTTTTTTCTCTCCTCCAAAGACAACCCACGGAGATGACTTTAAAGTTAAGAGAAAAATCCCATTGGAGCTGAAATTTGACAGGGGAAATGACCTTTCATTTTCCTGATTATCATTGATCGGCAGACAATTAACCTTCCTTGGTTGACGGGCCGTTGGAATTGCGGGCCGAAGGATGAAATAATGGATCTGATGGCTGATTATTACTCATCCCATTGGTTTCAAACTAAGCTAACTTATATAGCTTTACATTAGCCTAATACTGAAGAACGCTAATCCTTCGACTAGACTGAACAAGGTTGTGATAATCCCCGAACCCCCGAAACGTGGCCGGGCAGCTTCCGTTCTTCCTGCCCCTCCACGCGTCTTCGTCTTTTTTCCTCCCTGAATTCCGCCCCCCAAATCAACATGAATGAAGAATACGACTACATCATCATTGGCGCTGGTATTGGCGGTTTGGTTTTAGCGAACCGACTTAGCGAAGATGCCGCTGTCAAGGTCCTCCTTATTGAGGCGGGTCCCAATCGTATCGGGGATCCGTTTATTGACACTCCAGGTCTGTTGAGCACCCTATATGGAAACCCAGATTATGACTGGGACTATATGAGTGTCCCCCAGGTAAGTCCAATGACCTGCTATCTCGTATCTATGCTCACAGTGTAAGGTCCATGCGAACAACCGACAAATTGGACAGCCTCGCGGCCGCGTCGTTGGAGGCTCCTCTGCCATGAACTTCTCGGTAGTCATGTACCCCACTGAATCAAACTTCCAGGCCTGGGAAGCATTGGGGAACCCCGGCTGGGGCGCTCAGAGTATGGCCCCATACCTGCGCAAATTCCACACATACTCATCCCCGAGCGAGGCCACCGCAGAACTCCTTGACACGCCTCGGTATATGAATGCCGAAAAACAGGGATCCACGGGCCCAGTCCCTATATCTCTGCCAGACGTGTTCGGGCCATTCAACAAGGCGTGGGATGAGACATTCGCGGAGCTGGGCTGGAAAACAGATGCCGATCCCATCGAGGGCCGCAAGCTGGGTGCTTTCACGTCCCCGTTGACGGTGGATGCCGGGAAGGGAAAACGAGGATACGCGGCTGCATACTACTCCCCCGAAGTAGCGGCCCGCCCTAACTTGCACCTCATGGCTGAGACAATGGTTCAGAAAATCATCCTCATCGAGGAAGACGGAGAGGTCGTCGCCAGGGGCGTACAGGTCGAGACTCATAAAGGCCAATCCAGGATCCACGCAAAGAAAGAAGTTATCGTGTGCGGAGGTAGTCTGAACACTCCCCAGATCCTAGAGCTCTCCGGTATCGGAAACGCAGAGCTTCTTCGCAAATACAATATCCCAGTGGTGATCGACAACCCTGCGGTGGGCGAGAACCTGCAAGACCACAGCATCACAAGTATCAACTTCGAGATCGCCGATGGCCAGGTCTCAGGTGATATCATGCGTGATCCAGCCGTTGTGGAAGCCCTGATCAACCTCTACGAACAGACCCGTGCAGGTCCATTGGCAGGTATGCCGATTAGCATGGCGTATCTTCCCTTCGTCAATGGCCAGGGTGTAGTTCCCAAAGAAGAAGCCGAGGAACTTCTAGCGAAATACCTTGATCAGGATGATATCCCTGCCAGCCTGCGCGCGCAGTACACTCACCTTCGCAACATTCTTCTGAATCCCGAGGACGCCTCTTCGCATTACCTTTTCCTTCCGGCGCAGCTGCACATTAACCCCGGTAAGACCACGCTTACTGACGTGCTAGAGAAGAAACTTCCGGAGAATTATATCTCCATTATGATGTTGCATAATCACCCGTTCTCGCGTGGGTCGGTTCATATCGCATCTGCGAGCAGTGATGATAAACCTACCTATGATCCCAACTTGCTTTCGCACCCACTCGATGTCGAGCTTATGGCTCGACAGATGCAGTTCGTGGATCGTATCTCCACAACGGGCCCATTTGCCGCTCTCCTCAAGCCTGGGAAGCGCATGCCGGAGAATACAAATGATTTGAGTGACTTGGAGCACGCGAAGAAGGTTGTGAAAGAGCGGGTGTTTACTTGTTTCCATCCCGCCGGCACGTGTGCTATGTTGCCGAAGGAGGCTGGTGGTGTTGTTGATTTCAATCTGAAGGTGTACGGGACAAGAAATTTGAGGGTAGTGGATGCGAGTATCTTCCCTCTTGAGCCGAGTGGGAACATTCAGTCAACTGTGTATGCTGTTGCGGAGAGAGCAGCTGATTTGATCAAGAGCCAATCTTAGTTATATGAATAAGTCATGAAGACGAACGAATTCATAAGGATACATTTGTATAGACACGCAACGTCAATTCCCTGATAAAGTATACTGTATAATGTAAACCGCCTATACCGAAACACAGAGAAACCAGAAAAAATGTATGGTAACGAAGAGAAACCTCTGGGTAAAAACGTCAACGTTCTATAACCACTTTGCCATCCTCATTCATCTCCTCCCTCTGCTCAACAACCTTGGCATCAGAACCAGAATCTCTATCAACCTCCACGCCAGGGAACAAATCCAGAGAATGCTCATATTCCGCCAACTCCGCATTCTGTCGGTTCACGACCTCCACCTCGACAGGTCTGGAAATGTTATTGAAAAACATATAAGTCGTGCGCGGCGCCAGCCTCAACGGATCATAACCCTGATCCAATACGTCCACATCCTCTGTAAGGAAGAAGTTGCCACGGCAAAATCCAGCATAACCATATCCATAGTCCAAAGGCCCCTCACAGGGAGCTGGAGCCAGGGCTGGGATCGAGGCTGGGGCTGGTGCTGCTGAAACAGGGACAGGGACAGGGGCATGTGGTGGTACGGCTGGGGCTCGGGCTCGTGAAGATCCTCGAGGACGTTCACGACCCTGTCTTCGTCCCCGAGAGGGTTCGCGGAAGAGATCTGCAGCCGGAGCCACAAAATGCTGCTGATCGTGTCTTCGACAATGAGTAGAAAATTGCTGCGCATTTCCAGCTCTGACGGGAAATTCGTCGTCAGATGGAACAGCCACCGACTTATCGAGATCTTCTGTTTGAAAAGGGCGTAGCAGTGCAGCTGCTTGTGCTATTGGAATGGATTTGTTCTGTCGATGAGGGCGGGTTGTCAGCGGGGTTTCATTTGCGATGGACATGTCATCGGAGGTGACGGCTGCAGACTCGAGATCCTCTGTACAAGAGGGCCGCAAGACAGAGGCGACTTCTGTGAGAGAGGTGGCTGCATCATTCTGGCGACGGGGACGAGTGGAGAGAGGGTGGTCAGGTGTAAAGGGCATATCGTCTGAAGTGATGGCTGCTGATGCCGCTGAATGAACATCACGGTGAGGTTTGAAGTGTCGGTTTAGCAGGGGTAAGTCTGAACTTGAACCGGATTCATGTGAAGACATGGTGACAAAGGTAATATACGGGAAGACAAATTAAATACTTCTAAGATTTGATGATTGGAGTGAATGTGAAGAAGTTGGTATTGTGGAAGATGCTTTTTTCAATCCAAGAGACTGAAAGCTCTTTCCTACTCTCCTTCCCTTCCTTCCTTCCCTCCCCTCGATTCACCACCTTTTTTGTATTGCCGTGGTTAACGCCGAGTTCACCTAGTAAATCACACAACATACAATGATTTAAAAGACGAATGAGTGCATAATGGACATGATAACATTGAAACATGAAACGTTTAGTCACATACGAATCCACGGATTCGACAGGAGTGGGTCTTTTTACTTCTCGTCTTCGCCGACGCGGAGCTCAACAACTGGCAGCTCGTCATCGGAATCATCGTCATGTTGGGCTGGGACGTCCTCAAACAGGGAGCCTTCATTGTCAAGCTCCTGGAGACGATCTTCGGGTTCAGAATTCCCGTCCTCGACGGCGACAGTGCTGTCATTATCATCAGAGCCGTCATGCTGGAATGACCAGGAAGGCCCTTGGAAGAGGCTCATTGGGTTGGGCTCGGGCTCTTCCGATGACTCCCGCTCGGACACCTGCGGTTCTGGCTCCTTCATCTCAACCTCAATGGGCTTCTCGGTACCATCGCGGTAGGCGGTCACGAGTTTCTGGAGCTCAGGCCCACCCAGGGGACCGGCAGACTTGCGGCGGTAGAAGAGGAGATACGCCGCTGGGCAAACAACGGTGTCTTCCGGACGGGAGATAAGAGTAGCGGAGGAGTCTAAATTGACTTGGTCAGTATATAAGATGAAAAGATCAGCGAATGAGGTAGACAAACCATTGAAGGAAACCCAGTCCCCGGTCACCCAGTTCTTGGCATAGGCGTAGTAATGTCCACCAGACATGGTGCCAGAGTGACAGTCAACGGCGAAGAGATCATACTCGAACGTCTTTCCAGCAGCTGGCCCCGTTACATGCTTGGACAGATCCAAGTCCTCAATAGGGAAGTGAACCAAGGTGCTGAGCTTCGATCGAGATGTCCGATTGGCCGTCCCGAGCTGCATAAAACGCTTTAGATGAATGACAAGAATGTCAGGAGCATACCACAACTGGAACTGCTTGCTGGCCTGACGATGTTCCTTGCAGCGAGGACAGTACCAGGCATCATCCTTTGAAAGAACCTCCGCCTTGCTGAACTCATTCAGACACTCCTCTAGCGGAATTCCCTCCTGGCGCTTAGCCTCACGCTTGGCACGGCGATGAGCGATTTCGGGATCATTAATGTATTTGGGGTTCTCATATGTCGGCTTCCCTTGGTCTGTGTCCCGCTTGTTGTTGTTACCGCCAAAGAGAAGGTGGCGAGCTTTATCATTCCACTCGAGAATGATGGCCTCTCCAGAGCAAATAAGCGGCTCGTCCTGCAGTGGGTTGTCCAGCTTCACAGACTTCTCAGACTCGCTGCGAGCATCGCTGTTCTCATCGATAGAGCTGTTATCCGAGCCCTGCTGAGAGATGGCAGATAAACGAGAAGCGATCGAGGGCCAGTCTTTGAAAGCATCCATCTGGCGTCCGCGCGGGATGGGCTCATTGGTGGCCATGTACTTGACATCAAAAAGACCCAAAAGTTGATCGGATACGTCAGCATCAGCAGAAGTATCTTCAGTAAGTTCTGTGTCCCCAGTGGATGTGCTGGCGGTCGGCGAGACGTCTTGCATCGAAACATCGACTATACTGTCATCTCCTTCAACCGACGCGGTCTTGATTTTTGAGTCCACAGACTCGGCGTCATCTTCATTCATCACCACAGTATCCGAATCCTCGGCGCCCTGGTCATCCTGAACGGGTTGGGATTGCTCACGGGTTGATGGGTTCTGCTTGCCTAGATTTTCGCGGGTCGTCATTGTAGAAACATGGGAAAGAATCTTGCGGTAAATTGTGCTCAGGTCTCGAACCTCATCTTTAGAGAATGAAAGAATGGTCGGGCAAGCAAACTGGTCATGCCGGAGTCGGTTCTTGTTGCCCTTCATTGGCACACCCTTGCGATGGAACACGGGCACGAGGATGCGGTCTTTTGAAGCAGGAGTCTCCAGCTCGATAAATACAACTGCGTCATCGGGCTTCAGGCTAAGTTCATGATAGGATTTGAGTTCTTTGTTGAAAATCTGCCAGAATCCGCCATTGTTGAGTTCAGCGCCAATCAGTCTGTCGGTGGGAATGTTCGTCCGCTTGGAGACGGCTTCATTCAGGTCTTTGACTGTTCCGGTGTTGTCGACTTCAACAGTAAACCGCACCGGGGGCGAATTTAGAGACTGGAATATGATATCGCGGCAAATGATGTTGCGTTGATCGGGGATGGGTAGAGTCAAACTGCTGAACGGGTCGAACATGATGCTAACTTTACCACAGTCGGGGCAAACCAGGGTAGATTTGTACATGCCTGCAAACAAATCCGTGATCACGGAGTCATTCCGAGCCTTGTAAATCTCCCATGATTTTTTCGCGAACTCTTCCAAGGCCTCACGGTTATTAACCATCTCATCCGTAGAATCGGGCTTCTCGATGTATGGCTTTCGAAGAACCCGGTTGAGATCCTCGGACAGTCCATCCAGAGCGAACATCAGGAACTCTTGGCTGTCATGTTGATCCCAGCCCGCCATCATGGGGTTGTTGCGACCAACCTGGCTGCGAAAGCGACGGGGGGTGATACAAGGAGAGGGTTTCGAGTAAACTTCATTCACCAGTCCGGCATATGCCCTGGCAAGCTCGCCGTGGTATCCCAAGGGGTTGTCGGTGTTCAGTTCTTTTTTGTGCGCTTGTTTCAGGAAGTAAACACTCAATTCCTCTACTGCTCGGATACATTGCGTCGCAGCATTCATGTAGCAAGTGTTTCCTAAATTGGTAAAACCAGTGCGACCCAACTGGTGGCCTTTGGGCTTCCTGCCGTGTGGGAGATCTGGAGCTGGAGTTGATCGACCGCTGGTCGCGGGACTCTTAACAGACGAAATGACAGAAGTCACTTCTTTCTTCGGCTGTTCGGTAGGAATTCCCAAGCGCTTCAGAGTCTTTGCTGAAACTTCTGACACCCATTCATCCTTGCCAACCTGCTCCTCAAGAACTACAGTGTCGGTCGGGAGAAGCTCGACCGTGGTTACTGACGCGCGACCATTGTAGTTCGGGTTGTTAGTTTGGTCCCTGCCCTGGACCACCAACTCCCGCTGTGTGTCAGGAATGGACAAAAATGTGTTGAGGTCAACGACAAGATTCTTGTGTGCAGAGGCAATCAAGCCTGCAGGCGGTGCGGGTGATGCGGTACGGGAGGGGCCGGGAGTGTTCGAAGCCGATGCATTGGCGCTGGGGATACCACCGGTGATTTTCCACACCCGTACCTTGGTCGCAATATCAATCCCAGCCAGCTGCTTGGCCTGCTTCAGCCACACCATGTAAGGTGTTTGACGACCCGTCAACAATTTAGCTGGGGGAAGATTCTTCTCCTTCAGGGTCTGAGGGGTCATGCCCGCAGTCGGGTTTGGCAATTTGAAGATAGTGAGAATTGGAGGGTTTAGTTCGTAAATGATGTTTGCTTGACCATGGGGGTTAGTATCGTGAGCAAAGCGAGTGATGACGGGCGTGCCATCAGCGACGCCGTACCACTTCACGATCAGGTCCCAGGCCTCCTGCGGGGCAATCTCGTAATCTTCGCCAAGTTGTAAACCCGGTCGCAGCGGCACAAACACATCGCCTTGTTCGTCTTTCAGATCATCTTTGGGGCCGATATCTAGGACAATGTCGGTGTTGTCGACCGGGCCCAGTTCGCTATCCAGGGAGTCCTTGTCTGCCCTGTCGGCGTGGGTGGAGCTCCGTGCAAGAACCTTCCGCAGCCATGTGGAAGTGATCAAAAAACCTTTTTGGCCATTCACCAGCGGCTTTTCCATCAGCTGGAAGACCTGAGCCACCTGTTCGTCGATCAGGTTTGAGGCGCCCTTGCCGACGGTGCTCACGCCGCCATCGAGATCGGAGTCTTCGATCTCGGAGGCAGGACGCTTCTCGCCAGGTGAGGGCTCGCGGCCATCGCCGTTGGTGATGCCGTCACAGGGATCGGATTGCATATCGGAATCGTTGGAGGAGAGGCTCAAGTCGGCGGTGGCGGTCGCGGGTGTGGGCGAGCGGCCACCAGAGGGAGATTGAGGCCCACGGGTTTGTGTTTGGAGATGTGCCGGAACGTAAGGACGAGGAGACAAGGACGAGCGTTGGCTTCGGGAAGTTGATCGAGACGCTTGACGTGGCGAATTAGACGAGGGTTGAGATCGGCCGTGACGTCGTGCCTCTCCTGGGCTGGCCTCCGGGGAAACTTTGCGACGCTTGGTTGAAGACGTCTTGACGAGGAGCTGCGCACTTAGTGGCAGCTCGAGGGAAAACAAAAGGAAAAAGGAAAAGAGAGGGGGGGAGATTAACGATGTTAAGGCAAATCAAACCCCAGATCCTGAATAAGGGTGGGAACTAAGCACTTGAAAATTGCGAGTTTGCGATGAACTGGCAGAAAATTAGCTCCGAATAGGTTTTTTTTTCTCCGGCCCGAAGCACTTGCATTGGTGATTAGTATCTGATGTATCGAAATTGAAAAATGCAAAATTGGGAGATTCAAATTCAGAATTTAATGAAGAATGACAATAAAGAGAAGTGGGTGAAGTTTTTACTTTTTACAGTAGGAAGTGAGTGAATGTGACCAATAAATATACTAACACCCTCATGAACAACACCACCCTTAGGGCTATTTGTCACGAACTTCAATTCACTTCGGCTTAAAATGAGTTAATTACGACGAATGAACAAGTTATTCATGGTCACATGTGTGCTTTCACCTAAAGATTCTCATTACACAACCACTTCATGAACCAGAATTCAATCACCTCGCCCTTGATATTGTCCTCGAATACTCATTTCTTGCCCTCCATAACCTTTGCACTATATTTCCATGCTTTTCCCATGCTCATGGTTCTTCTATAGTATTAAGGCGAGATTCAGTTGGCCGAATAGCTGACCAGAATCACTAGACTGTGTCAGTACCAAAACACCAAGATCTTCTGCTTCTCAACTTACGGAGTAGACCTTCGACAATGCTTCATTTATCTCTTGGACTGGAAGATGACTGAGATGATTGAGAGGAATCTTTTGGGGGCCTGTAGTTTCTATCTGTCTTGTCGTTGTCAATCCACGCGGGATGTCTCTGGACGTTTTTGCTCGCATCGCGGGGACGTAGGTTATAGCGTGGTCCCTGAGCTTCTCTGATGAGCTCGGCAGAAGGTGGTTCAGACTTGGACACGGGAGGGAATAAAGCTTTGGCTTTACTAAGTTGTTCAGATGTGTAAGACATGGCAAATATCGGGATGGCGCGACGAAGGAAGATGGTTGGGATATAGAAGGAGAAAGATTACAATTTAAAGTGGCACTCGAGATGGAAGGTCAAATCATTTTCATTGATGGATCTTTGACCACAAATGAAATACATAGACAGTCACAAACAGTAGTAACATGGTTAAAAAAAAGTATACATTCATCATGAATTAAGTCCAATGGACATAAGCAACTGGCTTGAATGCTTCACAAGCGACATTTTTCGGCGACCTGTTCCGCACCACTCGCAAATTCAGACGCATATTTGAGGAAAGCAGCCGCTTCAACAGCCGGTCTTCCTGCTGCAGACTGGAGCATTGTCTGCACGGTCAAACGGTTCAAGGCGGCGTTGAATCAGTCTTCTGGAACCCTGGCTAACTTCCCTCGAGATCTCATCCAGACATGAAGTATTCCACAGGCACAATCACTGCCCTGCGCTTTGAATACAGGAAGGTGCAGTAGAAATGCGCTGCGCCGGAGACTGCACTTGCTCCGGATGCGCCTCCGGGATCGCATTGTTCGCGAGAAGCACGAGCATGAGCAGCAGACCGAAGACAAGCAGCCCAATCAAAAGGAATAAGAAATTTCTCTCCGTACACCAATTTGGCTTCTTCCACTTACCGTCATCGTCAACCACAGGAGGCTGAGCCTCGATATCTTCGGCGGTCTTGGGCTGCTGCCCGCCGAAGTAAGCCCGTTCGGGCAAGGAAATAAGTGTAGACATGGAGTTGGTTGAAGTAATATTTGATTTATTTGTGTTGGTAATTGTGGAATAGCTTTGAGATGCAGGAGGTGAAGAGAAGATGAAGAAGAGAAGGAGAGAAGGTGAAAGCGAGCGAGGGTAATAAGTATACTCTGTTATTAAGCTTGAACTTTACTGTCTACATACTATTCCATTTTTGACGAGTACTAATTTACTGAATACTCTAGTCGCTAAATTAAGCTTAGTTTTGTTCGGCGGCGACTATTTAGGGCATCTCGATTCCAAATTTGAACTGATCTTTTTCAAGGTTCTGGCAGGATCCCTGAAACTACATTTTGATATTCAAGGAACTCTGAAAAAATGCTCACACTGGAATCATCTATCATACTAGCCCGACCCGAACATAGTCGTTTTCGAGGCCAATATCCAATCATTTGAAGCGGGGATAACTCTCAAGTGCTCAAGAGAAAAAATTTGTAAATTAGATAGATAAATATCCAAGCAAGGTACCTACATGCCCAAATGTTCACCTGTAGAGCCAAGCCATCTCTGCACATATCCTCACTCTGTCTCCAAGAATGAATTGCAGGGTACACTTTCATAGCCACAATAGCAATGAATATCAACAGTGTGTCGATAATCCACGGAACTTAACCAGGTTTAAATTATTGAGTGGTATCTGACCATAACAGCTGATTATATTTGTCTAAGTACCGTGGCAGCTTGCAGACTTTTTCTGAAATATGAACTGAATCTCTTCGGCTGCCATCGGCACGATGATATCCAGCTGGCTTTTGAGTGGCTTCCACCGGCATCCCACCGGCATTCGAGTACGGATGGCAAGGGCTTAGTTCCCTCAATAAGTTTAATCCGCAGTATTTAAATAGCTCCAAGCTTCCAGGATGAACTATGTTGCACGATTCTTTCAAATTTATGAAATACGTTCGTAGCTGGTCATATGCGGACATTCCAAGGTTGAATTAAGGCTTGATCAAGGTCCCGGCGGTTGAGATCTTGGCTCCACTACCCGCATCTGTCGGTTGCGATAGTTTAGTCTCGATTTTGCTTCATCTGTCATAATGTAAGTAGTAGGTAGGTGGTCTTGGGGTTTACGATTCAAGCAAGGGGTACCGTCTTATCCATTATCGACGTGGCACCTGGGAATACTGTGCGGGATGAATGTTTCTTCACATACATTGCGCTTGGAGTCAAGTGCCAGCATAATAATTGAAGTTAATCAATGCTTACATGGAGACGTGGAAAGTAAACAGTCAAATGAAAAATTAATATTTCAACATGGATCATCACCAACTTGATATGTAAATATAAATATAGAGGTAAAGCAAATCCGAACGCCGGCAATGCAACCGTCCATACTGTCAGGCCAAAGTGGCAACGAGTTGTGGTTCTTGGTTTGCACAATAATGGTGTGGCGTTTCAAACGCACCCGGGTATCCACCAATCAATAAAACGCGCCGTGTAAAATAGAAAAGAGAATTGACTGCGCCTGGATGACGGAGGGCAGAGAGATGATTCTGAGGAAACCAGATGAGGGAAGAAGAATTAGGCCCGGAAGTCGTACATGCGTACTTGGTAATCATCACCACCGGTGATGAAGCGGCTGTCACTAAGTCCGATGCAGTTAACTGATGCCGAGTGGCCTTCGAACGTATCCTGACAAGTGGGAGCTCGGGGGTCCCAAATTTTGACCATGCGGTCCAATCCACCCGAAGCAATGCGCAGGGTATCGGCAGAAAGTGCCCAAATGCCCTCCAGATGCCCGAAGAATGTTCGCAAACATCTGCCAGTATTTGTTTCCCACAGTCGGATAGTTGCGTCAACACCGCTGGTAATAATGTAGCGCGGAGGTTCAATGCGATCCTTATCCTGATCGAATGATGCACCGAACGAGGAAGGTTGCGTGGATAAGGATCTGTACTCCAGGATCGGAGAAAGAATGTTTGCCGGCGCATCGCCATTTTGTGATGAGGTGCTGACATGATCATTCTCGCAGTCGGGGAGATGGCTTTCGAGTTCGATCTCACGTGGCAATGGGATGACTTGCTGGACTGCACCAATATGATTATGGAAAACTCGAATGCAGGTCTTGGTGTCTAGATCCCACAAGCGAGCCGCACCATCATCACAAGCAGTTAGAACAGTGCGCGATGCAGTGTCAATTTTCACTCCATTCACACCTTCAGGATGAGGCAGGACGAAAGTCGATTTGTCTTTGAAATTCCAGATTTTGACGGTGTGATCCACCGAAGCAGATGCTAGAAGAGTAGAATCGAAATGTAGCGCGATGACAGCTTCGGAGTGGCCATTGTATCTGGAAATGCACTCCCCAGTACGCCAATTCCATACCCTGATACTGCGGTCTAAACTACCGGTGATCAATTTGGTGTCATCGAACTGGAGGCAGCGCACCCCCGCAGTGTGACCGCGCAAGGTGCGCAATTCCTCGCCGGTTTCCATATCCCAGATCTTGACAGTGGCATCATAAGAGCCAGTCATTAAGATGTTGTCTTCAAACTGGAGGCACATCACACTGTCTGTGTGGCCTCGGAAGACCTTTACTGAGCAACGTCGGTGCTTCCAGTTCATGCCAACCACAAACCGATCCCGATAGACATCCTTCCAGGGACGATAACGGGTCTTATAGTAGTCATCATCAGGCTCCGGGCGGTATGCTGGGGAAACACAGTGACGTTTGATCATAGCACAGCTGTTGTCATGATCGTCCGTATCAATCTTGCGTTTGCTGCCCGTATTAGGAAGTTCCACCACAGAACACGTTCCATTAGGAGCGCCCTGGACGACTTCTGTGGATGACTGGTTGCCCCAATTAGATGCTCGCAGCTCAATCTCACGCTTCGATTCCCGCAGGCGCTTTCGATCCAAGAGAGGTAACCCCCATCCACACTTGTTACATTTGCGACGAATATGCTGTTCACACATCCGATGCCACACAACATCATCATCCGCCAACATTCTCCAGCGGTGGGATACCTGTGCAGCACGGCAAAGAGAAGCCGTGTCGAGGTATCGCAGGATTTTGAAAGATAGCTCAGGGGGCAGCGCAGATAAAAAGTCGATTCGGATGAGTTCACGGACACTGGCAGAGATGAAGGAAAGCTGCGGAAAACAGCACTGAGCCAGAATTCCTTGCAACATCAGTTTGCGTTGTTTTGCTGGAGCGGCAGAAAACATAGACCAGACATGGGCGATGCCCTGCTGATCAGCTTGGGGAAGTGTATCAAGTTCCTGAAAATGAAGTCAGCAGGATTTATACATTAAAGGCAAATTATTATGCATACCTGCTGTAACTGGCGCATTGACTGCTCATCAGCCTGGCGCCTGCATTTGGAGTCTGGCTGGTGACGATAACAGTAGCCAGCGTTGGCTGATTGCGGTAACGGGGTACCGTCTTCCGATCGCTGCGGAGCATATTGGCGAGGATTATGTTTGTTGAGGAACGGGGCAACATTTAGCCTGGCCAATTCTGCCAAAGACTCGGATGCATCATTTTCGCGAAGCGGGGTGCGGTTGGCGTCGGTGATTGTCGCAATATCTCCTGTCTTAGAAGCCGAAGCCTCGCATTCTTGAGAGTTTGACATTTCGAAAGTAATCCCTGGTGAGTGGTGGTACTGATCGACGGGAGATGAGGCGTAGTGTCTTTGAGTCAAAAGTCCCCTCTTAACTCGGCGCAAAGATAAGGCTCACGTGAACTATTAGTCCATGCGGCTTTGTCTTGCAGGAATTTGGAGCTCGGGTAGATATAGGGAGGAAGCGGGGAAGGAAGCAAAATGATTGCAGATAAAGTGTTCAGATCCCTCAAGGTCGAAAAGTTTGTCCAGCGCTGTGAGGAATTGGAGGGTGATGAGTACCCGGGAAGATACTGCCGAGAGGTATAAGTCCTCAAGGAAGTGAGAAACTATGTGAAGTTGAAGCAGGGGAGGGCGTCAAATAAATGTTCAGGAAATATTCACAGAGCCTTGGAGCACATTGCACAATCGGAATTCTCGGCTCGAGCCGTAACTTGGTATATGTATCAGTCTGATGAGCGAAGTGTCGACGATCACGCAAGAACGGGAGGCGACAATCGCAGGCGGTGAGAAATTGCATAATGGAAATCTGATACGCGCTAACCCTTATTAGGTAAGGTTACATAATGGTGAAGACAATCGCCCCACGTGATGGCGCCATCTCCACTCGCGATCACATCAGTCACGCTTGTTGTTATTTTCGACTAATGCGTTGATGTGATCGCCCCTAGACCGCCATTCTCTCCTTTTCTCACCCGAACTTTCGGGGGAGCTTGATTTGCCCCTAATCGCGCCATCTCCAGGGTGGATTCAAGGTTCATCAGACAACACCACAACGACGTGGAATTGTGAGCTATACAAAGCAACCTCCTGGGATTGTCCACATTGACTGGTCTGGACCAAGGCCTCATGGCATGAGGTAAGCGGTTTTTATTCTGACGGGCTCCACCACCATGAGCGGTAGATGGTTGGGCTGGCCTTATACCCCCACATTATCTGAAGATCTACTATGAATGCTGCCCTCTTCACTCTTTTGCTGCATCGCTACCATCCTTCTCTATGGGCATCTAATAGACAGTCACTAAATTGCTTCAAGGACCACAGCTTCATGAGTATAGTCCGTTGACTCCACTCACATCGTAGTGAAGGACGACTGGAGTTTACACAACCCAGTATCTACATTATAAATCATATCGGTAACTACAGCCATCAATCACGAATATGGCATCATCTCATTCATCTTCCACCTCGGTCGCGGCTCGGGGACCAGAATCCGTTGAACCTAAAGTGATGCCTCAACTGGACACACTGATTTCCCACCTTTTAGCGGCGAAACGGTCTCTTTCCTCCATCAGCCACGTTTGGCGTGCCAACGAAATTGTCACTGCAGCTCGGTCCGCCCTGGAAGACAGCGTGGTCGTGTCTTCTCGCACAGGATTTCTCCGGCGGGGTCTTGACAATCAACTTCGGTTACTGTTTAATGTCCGGTCGGAGGTGGAGAAAATCTCATATCGTGGACGGGAGGAGTTCTCAGAGGCGCTGACCAGCCTGGATGCTGCTGATGCTCGGCTTCGAAGCACTCTAGATCTCCTCCGGGAGACAGTTGTGCATGCCTCGTTTCGCCCCAAGGAGGAACAAACAAAAACCCTCCATGATTTTGTAGACGAGCGAGGCGTTGAGAAACTTCATGCTGCCCTTAAGAGTTCCATCGACCGCGCTAATACTGCGCGGGCCGATTTGGACACCTCGAACCGTGAATTCGATGATGAACTCCATGCCATCCGAAAAGCGCTTCGTCATTATCAATCTACGGCTAAAATGGCCTCGTCGCGTATATCAGCTTCATCATCTTCTTCTTCCACATCGGAACCGGATCTACTTGCACTATCCTCCATGCCGAGCATGCTCCGATCTTTGGAGATGCACGCACAAGAAATGGCAGGTCTCCTATCATCCCTCGTACGCCATTTCGACCTTTGTGTGACGGCAGTCAAGCAAACCGAGGGTGGCGGTGCTGCTGCACGCTCCATCACTGGTGACATGCCTGCTGAAGTCGGTACCAGTAGTGAAGGGCTACCAAATATTGGCGAAGAAATCAACGCAAATATCGATGCCCCGTTAGAACCCATGACAGACCAGGAGTACGAAGAAATGGTGCATGTCTTGCTGAAAGATGCGCCCGAGGCAGACGACGTGGTGATAGAAATCCAAGACCGAATCACTGAAATGGAATCTATCTTCGAACAAATCGGAGTGCAGCACGATGCACTTCTTTCCATCTCGGATGCCACCTTCGAGGTTCACAGTCACCTTTCTAATCTTGCCTCCACTCGCTTGCCACGTTACATCTCCCAAGCCCACAATTTCACCCATGTGTGGAGCGAAGAGAATGAGCGCTTCAACACCGGCTTGACAGAGCTTTCAGATTTGCACTCTTTGTACGATGGATTCCTGAACGCATACGACAACCTCATTCTAGAAGTGGCTCGCCGAAATCATGTTCGTCACCGTGTAGAGAAGGTCCTCCGTGACACGAGGCATAAGTTGAATACTTTGTACGATGAGGATGTCGCTGCTCGGGAGACATTTCGCGTGGAGCAAGGTGACTTTCTACCGTCCGACATCTGGCCTGGAGTCGGGCGAGCGCCGATGCATGTTGAATTTTTGCGTCTGTCAGGGGGTCATCTAGAAGGAGCCTTACCCGATGCGGAGAGACAGATACCAGCACAGGCGGATGCAAAGATCGGTCTTGCTGGTAACGAGGAGGAGGAAATTGTCCCAGATCTTCCAAAGGAGGTGGTTGAGCACGCATATGCGCGTCTACAGGCTCGAAATAGGGACTTCGTCTAGGGGACAGAAAACCACTTCACCCAGTGCCCAGTTACGCAAGACGAATCCTTTGATAGCGTTACCATGATCGGTCAGAACATCCCCTGTTTAGATAGCCTCGTGCCTGAGTGCAGGTTTACTACCCCTTGCTTCTACATGACCCCTTGGCGTTTTGCAGTTCGCTGAATTAGCCTACATGATGAAAGCCCAATTGGTCTGATCTTTCGTTAGGATCCACCCATCTTGCATCTAGGGCCAGCGAGTGATGCATACTCCTGTACCCCTGGGATGTAAGCACGCTTGGTGGCCATGGATATTGGGGAGAGAAGACGGATAGATGTGATTTCCAAAGAGAGCTCTGATGGCCACAAGATGATAAGCATTCTGTAATGAACATGAATTAATCAATCTGAAACTCCATGGTTCTTACAAAGACCAGAAAAAGACCTGGCTAGGTACTATTACAGCGTAAGCAATAATTACAAATTCAACTTTCTTGTAAGGTGCATCTTCCATATGCCCTTCAGGGCTTTGTTCAGACAAAAGCTATGACCCTCCTCGGCCACAATAACCCCCAATGCCTCCAAATAGCACAGATCCGCTACTCCACGAATGCAGCGAACCTGAATATTTGTTTTAAGCGTGGTATGCTCCTTTGATATCATTGAGAGAGTCTACCCGCCAATCATTTCATGTTGGAATGTGATGAAGCCCGAGTTATTAGGTCTGGAATGTGAACAAGGAGTTCTTGGTGGCTGGTCGGCCTGTTTTACGGTCTCGAACGCGTGCAGCAAATTGTTGATATAATAAATCGCGAAAATCGCGGGCTACTTACGCTTTCCTCTAAATTGTGACTATCTTCGTGTATGTGACTGTTGCAATGGCTCGAACAACATGGCTCCTTCCAATCGTGGCTGCGATGGACCTCATCGGCTCCGCTCAAGCCGCTCGAGCCCATTTCATCTTGGATCTGACCTGGCAGAGGGGATCGCCCAATGGGGTTGAACGGGAAATGATTTTCGTAAATGATCAGTTTCCCGGGCCTACATTAATGATTGATGAAGGAGACGAAGTCTTTGTCGGTCTACCCCATATAATACATGCATGTGCTTTGTTTGCTGACTCGAGAAGATCGAAGTGAATAACCACATGCCATTCAACACATCCGTCCATTTCCATGGCATTGAGTATGGTTGCCGTACCTTTTGCGCTCGTACACTTGGCTAACTTCGCCCTTTCTTTCAGACAAAAGAACACACCATGGGCTGACGGAGTATCCGGTCTCTCGCAATGGGCCGTCCTTCCTGGTCAAACATACACATACAAATGGAACGCTACTCAGTATGGAACTTACTGGTATCACTCGCACGACAAATCAAGAATCATGGATGGCTTGTATGGGGCGATATATATCCGGTGAGCCTGGTTCTCTTGCAATGCCATAGCCTTTCTAACACGAGATAGACCTTCGCCCGACCGCGACTCTCCATTTTCGTTGATATCCAATGATCCGGCTGATATCGAGGCCATGGAAAGGGCAAGAAATGATCCCCAGATCGTGACTCTCTCCGACTGGGACCACCTTACTTCAGATGCCTATATGCAAGCCGAAAGAGAGTCTGGCTATGATATATTGTGAGCAAAAACACATCATGATCACCCACACCTGGCTTTGTTAACGTTTTTTATTTTGGATCAGCTGCTCCGATAGTGTTTTGATTAATGGTCAGGGATCAGTCATCTGTAAAGACCCGGAAGAATTGACCAACCTACAAGCGCCCCAAGTTAAAGCAGTGGTCAATGCTACGCTAACTGACAAAGGGTAATTTCCTCCTTTCCTCAGTAGCTCATGGTCAATCGTCTAACCAAAATTTCAATATCAGATGCGATCCAAACCTGCTCGTTTTGCAAGGTGATTGGGAGCACCACCCAGAGAAACTGCCAGGTGGCTTAAACGCCGGATGTGTCCCAAGTGAAGGCCCACCCTCCACTTTCGATGTTGACCCAGAGGCAAAATGGGCTAGCTTCAATTTCATCGGTGCTGCCGCCCTCAAAGCCCTTGTTGTATCGATTGATGAGCATCCGATGTATGTTTACGAAGTGGATGGGCGATATATTGAGCCGCAACTAGCTCATATGGTGCCACTCTACAACGGACAAAGATACTCTGTCATGGTGCGACTCGATCAAGACCCAGCGACTTATCAAATGCGAGTGGCTGGAAATGGAAACCAGGTCATTTCGGGCTTTGCAACGATCAACTACAAAGGCGGCGAGAACAGCAAGCGTGAATCAGTGGCCTACATCGACTATGGAGGTCAAAATACGACAGCTTCAGTGATACCACTCAACGACACCAATCTTCCTCCGTACCCAGAGATTCAACCGGCTACTTATGCGGATGAATTCCATCTCCTGAAGCTTGGACGAATTAATTCATCTTGGGAGTGGACTTTGGACGGCACTACCTTTCTCCCCGCGAACCTTGGCTCCATGGAGCCAGCTCTTCTCAACCCACATTCAAAGGACCTGGATTCCGCTCTCAAGATCGAGACCAAGAATAATACGTGGGTTGACATTGTATTCCAGCTCGTGATTCCACCGCCAACTTTACTTCAACCACCTCACCCAATTCACAAGCATTCAAACAAAGCATTCTTGATCGGCTCTGGCTTCGGAGATTTCACCTGGAGCTCTATTGACGAGGCCGTCCGCGATTCACCAGGAAGCTTCTACGATACTCCCATCTACCGCGATACATTCACCACTTCCCCGGCTGGCGAAGCTTGGATTGCAGTCCGTTACCATGTCGAAAACCCAGGTGCTTTCCTACTGCATTGCCATATGGAAACGCATCTTGCTGGGGGAATGGGCATGATATTGATGGATGGGGTGGATGTTTGGCCGAAGGTTGAATTGCCGAAGTGACATTATCATGAAGAATCATGGAATGACGTGGTTGGTGCGGATTGTGTATAGTGGATGACCTCTTGCTATATGTTCGAGTGGAATTCATGTTTGGGGATAATTTGGATTGGCATACACGAGAAACCTTGGAATTTGAATCGAATCATCATATACCTAACTAGTCTTTAATATAATAGTTTGTTATTGAAGCGTTATTTTCACCAGGCGAATCCAAAAACTCCTTATTCTCAAGGTTTGTACCATTTTTCTTTATCATGTTTTCGTGAGCCCATGTACCCCATGGTACAACTAAAACCCATTATGTAAGCCCTGATCCTATGTAATTACCGGTAGAACGCAGTGGATACCATTATTTAATGGAATATTACTGCCTAATTCATGCAGTCAATAATATGATGGATCAACTTTTTGTTTGCTTTTTTGGATTATCACGGGTGCCCATTTTGGGCTCTTGGGATGGGGTTTGGTGGGTGGGTTTTGGTGTACGTACGACGGAGTGATGCTTACATGCAGGAACGTATGGATGCCCAATGCGGGGCTTTCCAATAGTTAAAGCCACGAACGGTGCTGGCATTACTTAGTGGCGACATATGGTAGGTGTGATAAGAGATCTGGTATAAGACAGGCCTCGAGCACACATAGTAAAAGATGAGGATGTGTCATTTTCAGCTTTCCGGCCTATGCCCTCTGGTTGCCAAGAGACTACCGTGTAAGGAACATATATCACCTGAAATCCACTCGGGAGGGTTTGCAATGGGGACAAATTGCGGTCGAGTTTTAAACGTTCCGCGTTGCATCTGACAATGAACTAGTTAAGGTGTTTCCAGGACTGATGGAAGAGCAGGAATTTGAAAGAAATTGACTAGGGCAATCGGATAGAAGAGTTCCTCGTGTCTCTTCCTGATAGTCGCCATCTCTTGAGTTCAAAGGCCCTTCGTGAAAATATAGCCATATCCCTAAAAATCAGAAAAAGCGGCTGTGGTTCAATGTTTATTGCTCTTCAACCTCAGATATACGTTATGTAACCATCCCGAGGTCAAATCCCAGGGCAAGTTATCATTGGCTTTTCTATTGGATGTTCGTTTATTTGATCATTCTAGAAGATACAAACAATCTTGCGGTGGTCGGGCAGTATGTGGACATACCAAAAGAGACTTCTGCAACTACGGATCACACTGTGCAGGGAGCCCAGTTAACTGTATACCGATTGATAGGTACTCGAAAGTAGCTAAAGAAATCCAAAGAGGCTCTATAGATAATCAACCCTAATTTTTCATCCAACCCTTCTATGATCAAAACTCTTCAACCCCAGCTTCCATAGAGACTCATTTAGCGTATACTTTTGACAGAAAGACTAGATGACCACCCAAATAATATTTAAAAACTTCCTATATTCATCGTTCATTCCAGATAACCTTCTAAGTATAAGGTTCGGCCTCGAAATTAGTCAAGCATGACTGGGTATTAGATGTCTGAGGTATCAGGGTATCAGACATCTAAGCTTTATGTTTCATCTTCAGCTTAGAGCAACTGTAGACATACCGCAATGCTCCACTCTATAACACCTCTGAAAACTCACCATTGGCCGATGGAAAAGGTACTCATATATTTATTTTAACAGTTCTCATGAATATCAAATTATTTAAATATAAATGGGGCCTTTTCTAAACCATTTTCTCATGTCAGATGTAACTTTTTTAGCCTGTATCCTAACAAGTCTATAAACAGGTATCATATGTCCAGATGCTCCATCCTTATATGCATTTATATCATCAAATCATGGCAAGAAACATTCGTCAACAAAGAAGCGAGCAAAGAAAACTGTGCAATCCCAAACCCGTGCAGACAGAACGGGAAGCATCAAAGAGGTGTCTCGCTCATTTCTTCTTGCGGGCAGAAGTGGAGACAAGCTTCTTCTTCAGATGCTTGGGCATCTTCTTGGTGCGTTGGTCACGCTTCTCTTCCTTGACCTTCGCCTTGTGCTCACGCTTGGCATCTTTGTCCTCGAAGCGCTTACCACGAGGTGGCTTGGGAGCAAAAGGATCCTTTTCCTCTTCCTCATCGCCAGATTCAGAGCCAGATACCGAAACTCCACCGCTAGCATCAGACTCCGACTCATCCTCATAGACGGCTTGCTTCACCTTGCCGGTAGCCAAAAGGTCTTTGTAAACAAGATCCGTGCCAGTACCGGCATGAACCTTTTCGGCGTCACGTTCAACGTCATAAACCTGCTCCAGAGTCTGGGGGATATATTGCTGACGGAACACAGCAGTGTCGACTTCTTCAGACTCGTTAGTGACACCAGCCTCATCGCGAGCAGTGAATAGCTTTTCGATGGCCTCGGTCATCTCTTCATTGCCATAAGTGGGATCCTTGGGGCCTTCAGGCGCCAGGATAAACTCAAAGAGAGTCCGCTCAGACAAGACGTGCACACCCTTACGGCGGAAGAAATCGCTGACATTCTTGATATCCATCCGGAGGAACTCCAAGCTGCGCGGGTGGTCATGCTCAACACTCTGACTAACGTCAATGATGTACAGACGATCTTTGTGGTAGAGAATATTATACTCGCTCAGATCAGCGTGCACGAGCCTACAGACCTGGTACATAACCCGCATGTGACCCAGCAACTCCATGTACAAAGCTCTCCAGCGAACATCAGGCTCAGGAATATCAAACTCAACATCCTTGAGTCGCGGTGCAGCAACTCCCTTGGAGTTACCAATGAAACCCATGGCAAGAACGTGCAGACGGAGGTAGATAGGCTCAGGGCAGGGGATACCAGCAGAGTAGATTCTCCGCAGGTTTCGCATCTCCTTTTCAGCCCACAGCTTCACCATCGCTCGGTTGTTGCTCTTACTGTATCCTTGGCGGAAACGAAATTCACCAGTGACGTACTTGTCACGATCCTTGAAGACCAGAATACTAGTCTTGTACACCTTGATAGCCCGATGTTGTGGGGGAGCGTCGTCATCTTCCGATAGTGAAATGGCACCGTAAACATTTGCTTCCTTTCCGGTAGACAAACAACCGTGGATCTCTGAGACTAATCCCCGGTTGATCATCTGCAAAAGAAGCATGCGAGTTCGCGGATCCAACACCTGCTCTGATGTTGCACGGTCCGCACGATCTCCTCCCTTGTCGCCTTTGGCAGACAGACCAGACTGTTGTTCATCGAGCTTGATCTTGGCAGCATGTTTGGTCAAAGACTTGACTTGGTCATCAATTGATGCGTATGTGTTGACGGTGGGTTTCTGGGTATTCGTCTTCGGGTAAGTCCAGGTCGGAGCATTAGGGTCGGCAACGAGAGTGTTCATTTTTCGCTGGCGGTTGTAGGCCTTGGTCAAATCACCCGAGTTAGAAGACGGGAAGTCTCCCTGATCCATTTCTTCATCAAAGATATCATCGTATTCTTCGTCATCTTCGTATTCCTCCTCCTCGGTGGGCTCTTGCCCCGCCATGGCGGAGTCGGTGGCCTCTGGGTTCAGGTAGCCCTGGTTAGGCACATATGTGTGGGATGGAGCCAGGCCATCGGCAGGGCCAGATGCCTGATCGGGGTTCTCTACAGAACTCATTTTCGCAGGGCAATTGTCAGGAGACGAAAATGAAAACCTTGGAAGAAAAAGTGTAGCCCACTACTTTTTTTTCTGTGGATGCCCGCTTTACCGCCCGGCAGAACCCCCGCGCCCAAAGACGCGCGATTTCGTTCCTCGCGTAGTCTCCTTGTCCATCGCGGATAATCAACTCCAAGCGCAAGTCTGATTTCTAAATTCCAGACCATTTAGGTTGCTTCAATCAGGTTCAATTACACTCTCTCAGTCTCTCCTTGCGCTCAGGCGCGTAATGCGCTGTTTCCAGTGATTATCGCGTCACGCGTCCCCTCAAGATGTATGTGAAGCAGATCATCATCCAGGGCTTTAAAAGGTATGACTCCAACAACGATCCGCCCGAAGACCGAGGACCGACTTCTAACAATTTAATTCAAATTCAGCTACAAGGATCAGACGGTGATCGAGCCCTTTTCTCCCAAGCATAATGTCATCGTTGGCCGCAACGGCTCCGGCAAAAGTAATTTCTTTGCGGCCATTCGCTTCGTCCTCAGCGATGCCTACACCCACCTCGGCCGGGAAGAGCGACAAGCGCTTCTGCACGTATGTTACACTAGATAAATAACCCCTATGCGGTCACTGACTCTGTGCAGGAAGGTTCTGGTTCGGCCGTGATGTCGGCCTACGTGGAGATTATTTTCGATAACTCGGACGATCGATTCCCTACCGGCAAGCCAGAGCTCGTCCTCCGTCGTACTATCGGTATCAAGAAGGATGAATACACACTCGATCGCAAGAACGCTACCAAGAACGATGTCATGAACCTCCTCGAATCAGCTGGTTTCTCTCGGTCCAACCCATACTACATTGTCCCCCAAGGACGAGTCACCGCGTTGACAAATATGAAAGACTCGGAACGTCTGGTGCTGCTCAAAGAGGTGGCAGGTACCCAGGTCTATGAAGCTCGTCGCGCCGAGTCTCTCAAGATCATGCACGAGACCAACAGCAAGCGGGCCAAAATTGATGAGCTTCTAGACTACATAAATGAGCGTCTGGCGGAGCTTGAGGAGGAAAAAGATGAGCTCCGAAACTATCAAGATAAGGACAAAGAACGCCGTTGTCTGGAGTATACTATATATTCCCGCGAACAACATGAGATTGCGGCTGTGCTTGAAAGCTTAGAGGAACATCGACAGAACGGAGCTGAAGACGCCGACAATAACCGTGACCAATTTATTGAAGGTGAAAAGGCTATGGCGCAAATCGATGCTGAGATTGCCGAGTGTCGCCAGCAGATGGAGTTCTTGAAGGTTGACAAGTCTCAGCTAGAGGATGAACGCCGCCAATCCTCCAAGGCACTGGCGCAGATTGAACTGCAGGCCAAGTCTCTAGTCGATAATCAGGCTACCGCACAAGCTCTTAAGTCACGTCATGATAACGATCTCAATACCGTCCAAACGGCCATTCAAGAGCGCGAGGCGGAACTGCAAACACTATTGCCCGAGTTCAATGCTGCCAAGGACCAGGAGGATGCCATCAAAGCTCAGCTGACTGAGGCGGAGACGTCGCGTCAACGACTATACGCAAAGCAGGGCCGGAATTCCCGATTCAAGAACAAGTCAGAGCGAGACAAGTGGCTACAAATGGAGGTCCGAGAGAACAACCGATCAATCACCACTGTTGAAGGCGTTGTGGCACAGACGCAAGAAGATATCAACGACATTGAAAAGGAGATCGCTTTACTCGAGCCGGAAACCGAGCGTCTACGCCAGCAGATTGATGGACGTGGAGATACCATGCACTCCGTGGACGAGCAGGTTCAAGCCGCTAAGGATGAGAGGGATCGATTGATGGACCAGCGAAAGGAGCTTTGGAGAGAAGAAGCAAAACTAGATTCCGTCCTGTCCAGTGCCTCCCAAGAAATGGATCGTGCTGAGCGCAGTCTTTCTCACATGATGGATCAGAATACTAGCCGTGGTCTTGCTGCTGTGCGGAGGATCAAGCGCCAACAAAACCTTGATGGTGTGTACGGTACTTTGGCTGAGCTCTTTGAAGTGAACGATCGATACAGGACGGCGGTGGAAGTCACTGCTGGTCAGAGCCTATTTCACTACGTCGTCGATACCGATGAGACCGCGACTAAGGTCTTGGAAGCCCTGCAGAAAGAAAAGGCTGGCCGTGTAACATTCATGCCGCTGAATCGACTACGTTCGAGGCCCATTAACCTGCCCCGTGCTAGTGATACTATTCCCATGATCGAAAAGATGCAGTTCGACCCCGCATATGAACGGGCTTTCCAGCACGTGTTCGGCAAGACCATCATTTGCCCTAATCTTCAGGTTGCCTCGCAATATGCCCGCAGCCACGGCGTCAATGCCATCACCCCCGAGGGTGACCGATCTGACAAGCGTGGTGCCCTGACTGGTGGTTTCCATGACTCCCGCCAGTCGCGACTTGATGCGGTGAAGAACGTTGCCAAGTGGCGCGATGAATACGAGACCAAGCGAACCCGTGGGACGGATATCCGCAAGGAGTTGGAGAAGCTGGATCAGCTGATCACCAAGGCAGTTGGTGAGCTACAAAAACTTGAGCAACAGCGACACCAAGTGCAGAACAGCAGTGGTCCCTTGCGACAAGAGCTTCGAAGCAAGCGTGATCTCTTGCAGAACAAGAACGACACGCTGGAGACCAAGCGTCGCGCGCTTCGTAATGTCACAGCCAATCTCGCAGCTTTGAATGATCAAGTTAGCGCTTTCCAAGCTGAACTGTCTTCGCCCTTCCAAAAGTCCCTCACCGACGAGGAGGAAGCCCACTTGGAGAGCCTAAGTGGAACAGCCCAGGACCTGCGTCGGCAGTACCAAGAGATCTCCAGTAAACGCAGTGAGCTCGAAGCCCGCAAGTCTGTCTTGGAAGTTGAGCTACGAGAGAACCTCAACCCTCGTCTGGATCAGCTTGTGAACCGAGATATCGATATGGCCGATGACGAGGTGCAGGGTAGTCTCAAGGAGACCCAGCGCGAGCAGAAGCGCCTCAGCAAAGCACTCGATAAGCTCACGGAGCGTCTTCAGCAGGTTGATGTCTCCATTGAAGAGGCGAATACTCAAATCGGCGAACTGCAGCAGCGCAATGCCGAGACCCGACGTGAGATGGAAGACCTGGCCCGTTCCATTGAGAAATACCAGCGGCGCATGGAGAAGAGCATGCAGAAGAAGGCGGCCCTTACCAAGCAAGCTGCTGAATCCGCTGCGAACATTCGCGATCTAGGTGTCCTTCCCGATGAAGCCTTCACTAAGTATAAAAATACCGACTCGAATGCGGTTGTGAAGAAGCTGCACAAGACCAACGAGGCCCTGAAGAAGTACTCCCACGTAAACAAGAAAGCGTTTGAACAATACAACAGCTTCACCAAGCAGCGTGAAACGCTTACCACTCGCCGGGAAGAGCTAGATGCATCCCAGAAATCGATCGATGATTTGATCTCCGTTCTGGATCAGCGCAAGGACGAGGCGATTGAGCGAACCTTCAAGCAAGTGTCCCGCGAGTTTGCCAACGTTTTTGAGAAGCTGGTTCCTGCTGGTCGTGGCCGTCTTATCATCCAGCGCAAGACCGATCGCAATGCGCGACCCGGTGAGGACGTCGACTCGGACGACGAGACGGCGCGACAGAGCGTGGAGAACTACGTTGGTGTGGGCATCAGTGTGAGCTTCAATAGCAAGCACGATGATCAACAGCGTATTCAGCAGCTGAGTGGCGGACAGAAGAGTAAGTTTTGACTCTTGATTTGGATCTGCATAAATTAATGATTGAATTAGGTTTGTGTGCCCTGGCCCTTGTCTTTGCCATCCAGGCTTGTGACCCGGCACCATTCTACCTGTTTGATGAGATTGACGCCAACCTGGACGCCCAGTACCGTACTGCGGTGGCACAGATGCTAAAGTCAATCTCGGACTCGACCAACGGACAATTTATCTGTACGACTTTCCGACCGGAGATGCTCCATGTGGCCGAGAAGTGCTATGGTGTTAGTTTCCGACAAAAGGCCAGTACCATTGACGTGGTGTCGCGGGAAGAGGCCTTGAAGTTTGTTGAGGAGCAGAAGTCTTGAGATGGGTATGGATGTAAATTTTATGTTTGGACTTGGCGTATGTGATACCGAAATGAGATAATTCCTTTTGTTCTACCTGCCTAGGCATACAATGTATATGTACATGTATCTATGATCTATCTAGATTCCCCCGACCATTCCTCTAGGATATCCTCGGGTATATCTCGAACCAGAACATGAACATGCTCTAACGCACGTACACTCTGCAAACCAACCCAATTTTTGAACCACAACACATGCGCCTCGGGAGTGATGAACCGCCCAGCCTTATCCTCGGCCAACCGTTTAACAAACCTACGCTGTACAAAATCATTTATCAACGCCCGAGATTCACTCGTCAAATGCCCTTCATCCGACTCCACAGGAATAGGCGTTCGTAACCACACAACCAGATGAGAAATGCCGGATTCCATGCCGTAAGGCCAGTCATTGCGCAGAATTCGGTAATCAGAAGGGTCGGCAAATGGCCGCGGGTTGTTAAAGGTTAGGACTCCACCGGGGCCCGAGGACCCGGAGCCATTCGGTAGATCATGTGTATCCGGTGCAGGCACAGTGCCCGACAATGCAGACGGGAGTGGCCATTTCAATCGCTGTAAACAAATATAGTTCATCATCGAACCATACTGAGCCTTCGTCTCAGCAGACCACGCGAGATACCGGCGTAGATCGGAAGGCTTCCGCTTTAAAGCTCCGAGATCGTTCCGTGCTGGGATAGTGTGAGGGGTGACCCTTGAAGAATGAGGGAAGAGAGACTAACCGATAATATCTCGTAGATTGTCCCAGTCATGAGGGATGAATTCATCATCTGTCATGGCTAGGAGTTGATGATCCAATGGAGTCAGATTAAATGGAGTAGACATGGTATGATTTATGTGAACCCTGGATTTGATCTTTTGATCTTTTGATCTTTTGCTTAAAGTAGATTTCACGGGGAAAAATAAGACAAAACGGGAGTGAAATTCCGTTGGGCGGAACCAACCCTTTTTCTCTTAAGACTTGTACTTCTTCCCCGTCCACCTTTCTCATTATCAGTCAAGATGAGGTATGTTACATTGAAAAGATATCATTGCATTCCGTTTCCATTTGAACGCAATTCATTTTCTGACTTCAACAGTGCCATCCTGGTCCTCCTACCCTCGGCCCTGCTGGTCGCAGGTGTCTACGCCGTCAAGCCCGAGTTTGTCGCCTACGCTGTCGCAATTGCCGGTGTTTTGTCCAGCGCCGCCTTCTTCCTGGGTGGTAGCAGCAGTACGATCTTTCCGTGATCGAACCAAACTGAAACAAATCGCTAAATTCATTCTCCAACAGAGCCGCGCAAGGTCCTGATCCCTGATCAATTCCAAGACTTTGAACTCAAGGAGATCAACAACATCTCCCACAATGTTGCCATCTACCGCTTTGCTCTCCCCCGTCCCACCGATATCCTGGGTCTCCCGATCGGCCAGCACATCTCCCTCGCCGCCACCATTGCCGGCCAGCCTAAGGAGGTCGTCCGTTCCTACACCCCCATCTCCTCCGACAATGAGGCCGGTTACTTCGATTTGCTCGTCAAGGCTTATCCCCAGGGTAACATCTCCAAGTACCTGACCGAGCTGAAGGTTGGCCAGACTATGAAGGTGCGCGGTCCCAAGGGCGCCATGGTCTACACCCCCAACATGTGCCGCCACATTGGTATGATCTCTGGTGGTACCGGCATCACTCCCATGCTCCAGGTCATTGAGGCTATTATCCGCAACCGTCCCCGCAACGGTGGTAACGACGTCACCAAGGTGGACCTGATCTTTGCCAACGTCAACGCCGAGGATATTCTGCTGAAGGAGAAGCTCGACAAGCTGAGTGCGGAGGACCCCGACTTCAACGTTTACTATGTGCTGAACACCCCGCCTGCTGGGTGGACTGGTGGTGTTGGTTTCGTGACCGCCGATATGATCAAGGTATGCTTGTCTATAATTTTGGGTGTTGCGTTCATTCTAACTGTTCTTAGGAGCGTCTCCCTGCCCCAGCCAGCGATGTCAAGATTCTTCTCTGTGGTCCTCCTCCTATGGTCAGCGCTATGAAGAAGGCTACCGAGTCCCTGGGCTTCACCAAGGCTCGCCCTGTCAGCAAGCTTGAGGACCAGGTTTTCTGCTTCTAAGCGTGTCTATTGGATGCATCAAAAATTCTCATGAAGCCTTTAGTCAGATTTCAGTAGGTTGGGCTCCTAGATTCTGGGCAGGATAGAAGGCTTAGAATGTTGGTGGGGGAGTGAGTCCGTTGTATATGTGAAAGGGTCTGGATATAGGCTGGAATGATCAATTGACTTCAAATGCTCTATATACATGCATCATGCTTGAACTTCATTACAAGACCTTGAACATAACTACTAACGAGCACTTGAGGCATGAAAATGCATCGTGGACCTCCCGAAAAAGAGTACATAAAGGTGGAAAAATAAATAAATTGAAAGAATGATATGTGAATTATCAAAAGAATGGTATCAAGCATGAGTCGTGAAATTCCAAGGCCACCGGTAAATCCAGCATAAGAAGAGAAAAGCTCACGTAAAGATAAGAAGATGACCCCAAATATCGCATCAAGGGGACTGCTTCAAGTTCAAATCCACGTCCTTCATCTCCACCCAGGGCTCCCCCTTGCCACCAGAGATAACATTATACGGAACCCTTTCAACTGAAACCCTCGAACTAGCAACCGTCGTACCCCCATCCTTCATCGAATTAACAGAAATAGTAGTCGTAATAAGAGGCGGCGGGAAATTCGGTGACAACGGACTGGCAACTGCCGTTGATCCGTACAATGGAACCGAGCCATAGGGCTGAGGATCTTTATAGGCGTATTGACGACCGCTGCGAGAGGAGTTCGATTTGATGAATCTGTTCGTAAAGGGGCGGAAGAGGGGCCAGACGGGTGGAATGGACATTGTTATTAGGACGAGCCATTCTTCGACTTCGCCCCAGCGGAAGAGGATGCCTACACCGTCTGTGTTTCCAATGTTAGTCTTACTCTTGGTCGATGGATGAATATGGCTGGGTGGGTCTGGTTGGAAGGTGGTTTGAATACAACTTACAGGAAGAGTCTGTTGTGAGGATGTACTTTGCAGCCCAGGTTCGGACGATGGCGGCGACACCGGCGAAGATACCGCAGCCCATTAGGAAACTTAGACCCCATTTGAGCTTTCGGTCGATGCGGAGGGGGATGAGCATGTGAATGGGGACAATCGCGAGGTAGAAGTCTGATAGGGCGGCTACTGCTCCGACGAAGTAGGTGTAGTAGACGCTCTTTCGGTGGTCGCAGTCTGCTTGTCTGAGGGGATCCCAGAGTGCATCTACCGGACTGCATTGAAACCATACTAATAATGCTTGGGGGATGTTGAGCACGATGTTCAAGATGGCGACGGCGATGAGGCTGCGACGGATCTTAGGATCTATAGGGATGAGCTTAATTTGCTTTTGCGGGGGAGGGGAGACTTACTGCTAGGGCCATTCATTTCCAATAAGAATGCCGAGACAGCTACCTTGCCGGTGGGAATGGCAAGGTTGAAGAAGAACACCGTTATCCAGGTAAATAGCAGAAAGTTATGGGTTTCGCCAACTTCGGCGATGGTTGTGATATGGTTTCCGAGACCATGAAGGACTGATATAATCCCGAAAATCTGGGTAAGTGTTGTAAAGAACTGTGTAAAAAAGCAATGTTAGTCATTGTATAGCCCATTTGAATACATATCATCATACCCAAGCAAGGAGTGAAAATGACAACGCGGTTGTCCCGAATTTGTTAATTCTTAAACGCACATAAACACGCATAACCATAAAGACAGTGGCAATGAGACCCAGAGCAATACCTAGACGTAAATCGCTAGGCCCACGGCCACCATAGGCCGGGAATTGATCATGGAGAGACATGTTCAAAAGAGTGACGAACAAGCTTCACCACATTTTCCGGGGGAAGGGTTCGAACATGATCGGGCTTTATACAATAGTAAAAAATCGCACAATCAGTGGAGTACCGAGTCGGCCGATGGCAAGCAAATGCAAACCCCGGTGGAGTTGGAGCAAGGCTTGGTTGGTCAAAAGATGGTCGATCTGAGTGGAGAGAACTATCGACTTACTCGATGCGTTTCTCTGCCGTCATTGGCTCCACTGAGGGGGTTAGACGAAGCAATTTCCCAAGCCACAAAACAAGCCATTGACAGCCAAATAGAATTTAATTGTCATTGTCAAGAAGAGTTAGTGAGTTCCACTTGCATGCATGAACCAGATCCTGCCTGATGTGATTTATCACAATAATCATTCCGAGTCCACGAGTCCACGAGTCAGCGACTCAGCGAGCCTAGTCCGAGTGATGGACCAAGCTTGCAGGTTTTAATGCACCTCCTTCTTCCGGTAGGTCCGTTGATAGATCGTCCTCCAGGGATTGGGTTTCCCATTTTCATGTGGGGTCAATGCGGCTTGTTTCCCCTGGATTGTGCATCGGAACTTTGTATTCTAGGGTTGCATGGTACATTCTTCCTTTCCACGGGGAAACCTTTGTACCCCCTGTTAAAGGCATTGATGCTTTTTTTGGCGAATTTGCCCGACTGACGTATGTCTTTGCTTTTCCGAGGTTTCATACATGATCAAAGTTCTCAAATACTTCAATAGTTTGAATAAAACAAGAGTAACGTGGCCAAATATGGGAAATTGCATAACCAGACTAAAATTGAAACTATTGGTTTCTTATCCTTGGACAGAGCAAGTAATTATCAGATCCAAACCAGGGTGAGCCGCTTTCGCTCTCACTTTCACCGTCGTCGCCTCCACTTTCCGGGCTTCGAAGGGTAGGGATCGACCGCCAAGTTCACCGTATTGCTCCTTTTGACAGACCATTTCAATTCGAATCCTGCAATGGATTTACATCCCAGAAGTTCTCGTAGACACGAGTCGTAACTACGAGTTTGGGGAAGCGTATGGAGATGGATTGATTTGTTCAACGGGGCGCTATTTGCGCCAACCTTAAATATTAGCTTTTGAAAGTGGAAGCCATTGGCAATGTATAATTCAGGAAGCGGGGATAGAAATGGGTAAGCCTTGATTAATTATTGTCTGATTACTGACCAGTCAATCAACGCATTCCGATTCTTTTTGAATCTGTCTGGTGAGCAAAATCGCCGGGAATGTGACCGGATCGATATGTACAAAGGCACACGAACACCCAAATGTCGTCTCCAGGAGGTCGATCTGACCAAGTTCAAAATCAAAATGTACCCGATATTCCCAGGACTGTTGCAATCCACCAGGGGAAAGTTCCTGCACCGTCGATAGGCCAACTTTTCCGTTCGCTTATCACCCGGGTAGACAACTGATCCAAAACAAGTCAACTTCTTGCCGATTGCATATTTGAACGCATGATCTCTGTCGAGGATTGGCTTTATTGCTTGATGGTTGTGTCCATTTGTTCAGAGAAACCCCGCAGGGTCTGGGTAGTTCTTATGGTAGTGATCTTGTTTGTGGCATGGGGGTCATGCCAATGACTCATTCAAGGTTCCGATGTAATAGACTAGAAGAGTTAGCCCTGGTCCTCCAATGCTACTCCAATCAATCCTAGGAAGGTTCTCTTCTTGGATTGCTTAGAAGTCTTTACATGTCCCCCAGACTGATTGACGGCTTCCCAGATCATCAACTGAAGCTCGGGCAGGAGATTCAGGAGCCGGCTTTCAACGTATCATAGACGTGACATTGTCTTGGTGTTTGATTCTGTCTTAGTGTTCATTTTGCACTTTTTTTTTGCGAGCTTATTTCGAGTTAGATGTTGAACGAAGGTATTCGGGAAAATATAGAGATGGCAAGGTTCGAAAAGTAACCGAATGCGAGCCTTGGCCGCATTAGAGTCTACACTGCAATCTAGGTGGGAGTGGTCACTATTTTCGTTCGGCAAATTAATCGTATCAGGCGTCACTAAATCGATGAAATCTATTACTTCGATATAAAATGCTCTTTTAAATGGCAATATGTGGTTCTGTGAATGGAGCGTATTCATCGGTCGAGTCGTGGTTTATAGTACCAGTAGATGCGGCCCGGCCCGCAAGCAGGAACATAGGACTTAAACATATACCTTGGTAAAGATCCAAAAGTTTTAATCAATCTAGTAGCTCGTTAGCTATAGCACTATAAATTCATATTATACTTCGTTAATATTCACCATTTAAAATATTATCAGTAAAGCGTACATGAAAGATCTCGGGTAGTTACATTATATTTTAGAGATTGTTGAGCTAAACAGAACAGTTTGATATTCTTTCACGTATCCGTGAATTCCAATCGTGGCACCACCCCCTCCATCCACATGATTAAAGTCTTGCAGATAGTCTCCTCTTACCTTCGTCGTGATCCACCAGCTTACAGCTTTCATTCCAAATCACGAGGGCAAGCACCCTATCTATACACTGACTTCAAGAGGAAGAAGCTAAACATATCCAGACAGCGTGATTCGATCTGTATCGTCATTTGCTCTGGAACCTCGCGCCTACAAAATCGCACAATATGTCCGACTCTTCTTCCAACCCCTATTCCAACCAGTTTTCCGAAGAATGGACGACTCCTGAGCACCTCGACGAGGATCCTAAGTACGTCAAAGACAAAGAGGAGGATGCATCTGATAGTCCTATGAGCCTGCCGTCGGTCAACAGACCCTCGACTCCGATTGATGCAACCTGGGTAGCTATTCCGATCAGCCACATTGAGTTCAACGCCATGCGTCTCGCAAATGACCCAGGCTTCCTGGCCAAGCAGTGGGTGCTTGGCATTGAACTGTCCAATGACCAGCGTTGGTGGAGAGATATCTATGCATCTGTCTCGGTTCATCAGGAATTGGGACCTGTTGTACTTTGCAGGAACGAAAGCGAAGTCGATAGCTTCCAATTCGGAAGACAAGAATCATCCCTGTCGTTTACTTGGGATTACCGTCGGGCCCCGCGTGCCCTTTGAGCCAATATCTTTGAGCTGTTTCCTAGGCTTAAGATTGCTAGCCATAATTTGACAGTTCGATCCGCAGATTTATCTTTCCAAAGTATCATTGAAACTCTTCACTCGGTACAAATGAAAAACCACGATACTTTTTTATATCTTCACATATAGGACTTGTAGATAAATGGCTACCAAAAGTTATATCTAAAGATCTGATATTAGATACCTACAAATTAATGGAATATAAATACTACGGTTGTGTCCGAGACATAGACTTGAGAATGGATGCTGTTGACCTTTTTAGTGGAAGTTGGGTCATAACGACCTTGAGGAGAATGGAATTAACAATTGACATCCGTGTGGTCGAGTGGTAAACACTCCCACCAGCTGGCACTACATGTGACCAAACAAGTTAGCTCACGGGACTTGAATGGTGTTGTCAATTAGTACCGGGAAACATCAACTCAGAGCTGACCCCTCCAAAGTGACCGACAAAGGCACAGGAGGAGTCCCTCTGGGTTGGATGTTTTGTTTCTTTGATAATATTTTCATTTACATTATGTACTCGCTGGATCATAATATCTCATCCCACTTATCTCAAATTAAGTGTGGGGTTTGTTATAGTGGTGGATCAGTTTGTGAGTGAACTCGTGGGTGATGCAAATGAGGCTATTCACAATGTATCTTCTAAGTACTCTGTGAGAATAGGCATAATTGACAAGACCCAGATTCGATTCAAGCTCCGGAGATTCTCTGAGTATAATTTAACAAGCAAAGTTCAACCATTATCTTCGTACCAGCACCCGCTATCATTTCGCAATCTCAATTTGGGGCAGGAATTTTTAGATTTCCAATCCCTCAATAGACGTCTCAATGAACCTCAATCATTTTCTTAACCATCTTCAAGAAGTTATCACGGTACTCGTTTGCTGTCGTTGTGATCGACATAGGGCCTTGGCGGCCTATGATATTGAAAGTCTGTACCACTCCAGAGAGGGCCTGGGCCTGGAATTTGTGCCGAGCCCAGAAAAAGTCTAACAATGCAGCACGATATTTCCACTTCCCATCAGCAGACAGTAATCCAGTTCTCCAGGGACTCTCTCTCCCGAGGACAATAGGGCAAGAAGCAGCCGGGATCCGCACAAGAAACAAGGAGTAGTCAACAGCATTCGCGTCTTGTAAAAACTTCGTGTCAGCCTCGAGGGAGTCCCAAAATCTAGCATAATCTTTCTGCCAAAGGTGTAATTTGTCGTTAAATGTATCTGCAAGTCTGCTCAAAGTTTCCTCGCTGACGAGAGACTCAGGCATGAGATCCCTCTCGGGGTAAAAGTAGTCGATTGGCTTAAGGTCATATGTTTCCCAGTTTTGACCATTAGGGTCATCAGATTGACCGCATAGGATGCTTTCCATGACAATATGATGAGAAGGCGTGCAACCAAAAAGAGTTCCTAGGGTCATGTACGGAGCAAGGATGTAGTCGGTGATCCACACGAGTACAGAGTCTGGATTCTCCACCATGTATGCATAGTATGGCTCAAGCAGATCCGATTCGAAAAAAGAGTATTCAAACCGCCGAGGAAGGCTTTTGATCACGAAGTATCCATCAAGAGTACTGAAAAATGACTAAAGAATATTAGCCTTCTCTTGACTTCTTAGGGAACAAAAACGTACAGAACCTGAGTACCCTAAGTCGCCTATTGATTTGAGAGCCTTCTGGCCGCTAGTGCGGAAACTTGCTTGATAGGTATCTTCGTTAAATTTCCACACTTCCTGTCGTAGTTTTGAAAACATTTCACTCTCATGGCGAATGAGTTTGATTCTTCTCACTGTAAAGAAAGCTTTGACTTGTCCCCATGCTGTTTTCTTAAATCGATCAGGATCGCGAAGCAAACCTGCTTGGATGGATTTAGTCAAGGCTGATTCTCGACGGCTGGATCCCATTTTGATCAGAATGAGACACTTGTACAGATCTCATGAAGTATTTCTTCTTAATCTTGGTTTTGGCAAGATAGCCAAGCCCATAGACTAGTGACGTCAGACAATTCCAGGTCGCGTGATGATTGGCCATAGTCAGCATCATGAATGAAAGTATCTGACATGTTTCACAGCATAGCCCGGGACTTAAGTTCAATTCTCAAGCTGAACTGATAAGCCAATTATATCTTATCTGATGGACAACATTGCAGTTGATTCATACCCCGCGATGCTATAGATCACACGTGACTCACCGCCCTGCCCTTGGACTGAGTCACCAGCAAAAAAAATCACAGTAAAAAAAGAATTGCTGTGTCGCTCCGAGAAATCCCCCTCTTTATGGGTCGCAGTTTGTTAAGCGGGGCTCATCGACTATTTGGTCTTTTTTCCCTTCCTCGTCACTCTATCCCGCGTTTACCTACCTTGACATTCCCCCGCGCATTACATTCATCTGCGCGACTCACTTCATCTTTCACAATGGCGTCCGACCTCCCCGCCTCTGTTGAGGCTCTTACCCTCCAATCCACAACATCCACATCCGACTACCCAGGATGCTTTCCCTCTTTGAACCCTATGGACATCTACCGCGAGCACATTGCGACCGAGCTGAGCAAGGGCTCTGGCATTGATGCCGAGCTGATCTACACCCGCCTTGCGTGGACCAACAGTCTCGACAAGGGTGATTTGTCGCTGCCCGTACGTGACCTGAATTGATATGCATACCGCAATATTCACTGGGGTTATGCTAAGTTTTCTCGCACAGGTCGCTTCCCTCCGTATCAAGAAGAAGCCTCAAGAGCTTGCCGAGGAGCTGGCTTCAAAATTCCCCGAATCCGACCTCGTCCACCCTCCCACGGCCGCTGGTCCCCACCTGGCGTTCTTCTGCAAGGCCCAGCCTCTGGCAAAGACTGTTCTCGGTCGCGTCTTGACTGAGAAGGCCGCCTATGGTACAAATGGAAACGCCGGTCTGAAGGACCCCAAGGACCCCTCCAAGGGCCAGAAGAGAATCATCATTGAGTTCTCTTCGCCGAACATTGCGAAGCCTTTCCACGCTGGTCACCTGCGTAGTACTATCATTGGTGGCTTCCTTGCCAACCTGCACACCGTCCTGGGATGGGATGTGATCAAGATGAATTACCTCGGTGACTGGGGTAAGCAATACGGTCTTCTGGCCAATGGCTTCAAGTACTTCGGTAACGAGGAGGCCTTGCAAAAGGATCCCATCAACCACCTGTTCGACGTCTACGTCAAGGTCAACCAGCTTGTCGCCGAGCACGACAAGCCAATTAAGGACCTCAAAGAGGAGATCAAGGCCAAGAAGGAGAAGAATGAGGATATTTCCGCCCAGGAGGCCGAGCTCGCCAAGCTCGTCGAGGTCAGCGAGGATGAGAAGGCTCGTCGCTACTTCAAGAGCATGGAGGACGGTAACCCCGAGGCACTGGCTCTCTGGCGCCGCTTCCGTGACCTCAGTATCGCCAAGTACAAGCAGACCTATGCTCGTCTCAACATTGACTTCGATGTTTACTCTGGTGAATCCCAGGTCAAGAGCGAGAGCATGACCACGGCCTACAAGGCTATGGAGAAGGCCGGCGTGGCGGAGGAGTCCGAGGGTGCCATCATTGCCGATTTCACCAAGCACGGCGCTAAGAAGCTCGGAAAGGCCATCATTGTCCGCAAGGATGGTACTCCCCTTTACCTGACCCGTGACATCGGTGCCATTATCGAGCGTGATGAGGCCTACCACTTCGATAAGATGATTTACGTTGTCGCTGCCCAGCAGGATCTCCACCTTGCTCAGCTGTTCAAGATCACCGAGCTGATGGGCCGCAAGGATCTTTCCGACCGTTGCGAGCACATCAACTTCGGTATGGTGCACGGTATGAGCACTCGCAAGGGTACCGTGAAGTTCCTGGATGATATCCTGCGTGATGTGGGTGACAAGATGCACGAGGTGATGAAGAAGAACGAGGTCAAGTACCAGCAGGTCGAGAACCCCGAGCAGACTGCCGATACCCTTGGTATCACCGCCGTCATGGTCCAGGACATGACTGGCAAGCGGTAAGTGAATCCAACATCTGCTCTCTCACTGAATCAACTGACAAGCATTTAGTATCAACGGCTACACCTTCAACTTGGAGGCCATGACCTCCTTCGAGGGTGACACCGGTCCTTACCTGCAGTACGCCCACGCCCGTCTCTGCTCCATGACCCGCAAGTCTGAGTTGAACGTGGACGACCTGCCGTCGGCCAACTTTGATCTCCTCACCGAGCAGCATGCCATCGATCTCATCCGTCTGCTCGCATCTTGGCCGGATGTTCTCCTTAACACTGCCAAGACCCTGGAACCCATCACTGTTCTATCTTACCTCTTCCGCATGACTCACATGCTGAGCTCGAGTTACGATGTCCTTCGGGTCATTGGCAGCGAGCCCGAGGTAAAGAAGGCCCGTATGGCTCTGTATGCCGCTGCTCGCCAGGTCCTGCACAACGGTATGCGGGTTCTTGGTCTCAACCCTGTTGAGCGGTAAGTCTGCCTCCGTCAAATTCTTATCTTCCATGCTAACGTCTCTGTAGGATGTAAAACCCTACATTTTCCTCTTTCGAACTTTAAAGATCATCTTAGCTTTATATCTCTTCCTTCAATGTTTTTTCTCGGATGCATTCGGCGCTCAGAGCTGGACTAAAAAAATCACGGCTGCTTTTCATATCCAAACCTACTTCAACCTTGGAATATTACTTATTGTAGATACCAATGATTACAATATATCTTGGCATTTGAACTCGGACAAACAAAGCGATTGTGCCAGCCCAACAAAAAGCAAAACCACCCACATTAGCGCCCTTGGGGTCCAAGCGCACAGCTGATGCACGATGCGTATCCCATTTAAGCACGACCCACAGATTCATCCCCAAACCCACAGGCTTCATTCCCAGAAGAACCTTTAACAAAAGACTAATTACGAGGAAAACCCTTATCTGGATCTCAAAATTAGTCAGCGCGGGCTTCAATTTAAAAAAACTCTCGAACGGCGACCACGGGCTCCACCAATCTTACATCAGCCCTAACAATCCCATAGTGAAGCGGGCCGGCCCCCGACGCCACGCCCCATCTAATTAGAAGACCAAACCCGTTCGGCGACCATGGGGACCGAACCAGCTGAAATCCATAATCACTATCCAGTAGTCTGCATGGAAGATCCATTTTCCCACTCAACCAGTCCCCGCTGGCCACGGGTTCTGATCTAGACACCTTTGAAATCTATATAATACCCACTAAGGAACGGAAGGATTCTCGCTTGTTTAATCATAACCAGGCACCCTGGTGATTGGTGCATGATCTGGATCTGGATCTTGATCGTGACTAAGGAAGCGGGATAATTGCACGAATAGAACCATGGCCGTGGATATGGATATGGATAGCGCTTCTGCTTCCCACACTGGCTCCCCGGATTTGGAGAATGATGCCGGGCGCCATTTTTTGGTTAATGGGTCTGTGTCGCGGTTCTCGTGGAGTGGATTGAATGTTACCGTGAAGGATCGACAGACGAAGGAACCGCGTGATCTGATTCATGATATTAGTGGTGATGTCAGACGAGGTACGTGCTGGGTATTGACAATGTTGTGCTATGCTGTGATGTGCTATGCTGTGCTAACATACTGTACAGGCGAGTTGGTAGCCTTGATGGGACCGTCGGGATGTGGAAAGACGACATTGTTGAATGTGTTGGCTCGGAGGCCGACGGGCGGGAAGGTATCTGGGCAATGCTATGTGAATGGAGCCCGTATTGAGTCGGGTGCATTTGGTCGCATGACTTCGTATGTTGAGCAGGAAGATGCGTTGATCGGGTCGATGACTGTGCGGGAGACATTGAAGTTTGCGGCCGATTTGTCGTTGCCTAGGTATGTGCTAGGATGTTTGTTTTGGTGGCTAAGTACTGACGTGTTAAAGCTCGGTGTCCAAGCGTCAACGGATGGAGCGGATTCGCACTCTTCTTGATGCATTTGGGATTCAGAAGCAGGCAGACACGCTTATTGGGACTCCGATTCGAAAGGGGATTAGTGGGGGTCAGAAGCGGCGTGTTAGCGTGGCCAGTCAATTGATCACCTGTCCTAAGATTTTGTTTCTGGATGAGCCTACCAGTGGCTTGGATTCGACTGCAAGCTTTGAGGTCATATCTTATGTGAAGAAGCTGGCAAAGGAAAGCAATGTAAGTTTTTGACCTTTGTATTGGATCTTATGCTGACAATGTAGATCATAATCATCGCTAGTATCCATCAACCCTCCACGACAACGTTTCGGCTGTTCGATAAGCTACTTCTTCTCTCGGCCGGACGGACGTGTTTCTTTGGACCTATTTCAAATGTCGGGGAGTACTTCCGAGACATTGGATATCCCATCCCGGGCAACACCAATCCGGCGGAGTTTCTGCTTGACATCGTGAGCTCTGATTTCAGCGCCTTGACCGATGATGCGGATATTCGAGTACAGCAGATCCAATCTGCCTGGAAAGAGTCGAGAGAGGCGCAGACTGTCATACAGAAGACACCTGATGGGTTGAACGTGGCGGAGAAGGATGTGGATGTCGGGGGTGATCTGGCTCGGGCTGGTGTTATCATGATCATAGTGACTCTGCTTCATCGGTCATTCATCAAGAGTTACCGGGATGTGGTGGCCTACGGGATTCGCATTGTGATGTACCTCGGTGTGTATCGCAATTTGATCAGATCAGTGACTCGACTAATTGAACTAGGTCTTGCAATCATGATGGGGACGGTGTGGCTACGCTTACATCCATCTCAGGAGTCTATCCAGCCATTTATCAATGCAATTGTGAGCATCCCTACTCCAGCACAAACAATTGAAGACCCAGTGCTGACTTTCTAGTTCTTTGGGTCGGCCTTTATGTCTTTCATGGCAGTAGCGTACGTCCCAGCGTTCCTGGAAGACCGAGCGACCTTCGCCAAAGAACGAGCCAACGGGCTTTACGGAGCAGCTCCGTTTATGATCTCGAACTTCCTCATCGGAATACCCTTCCTGTGTATGTATCCCTGTCTATGATCATGGTCCAAGATCAATCTAATAAGACCCACCGGGCAGTCCTGATCTCAATCCTCTTCTCGATCGTATCATATTGGCTCTCCAACTTTCAACCCACAGCCACCGCTTTCTTCACCTGGGTAATGTGGTTATTCCTCGACCTCCTCGCTGCCGAGTCCCTAGTCGTATTCGTAACGGCCATTTTCCCAAACTTTGTCATCGCCCTCGCACTAGTGGCCTTCGCAAACGGACTCTGGATGAGTGTGGGTGGATTCTTGGTGACACCGACGATTCTCAACCCATTTTGGGAATATGTGTTCCACTACATCGACTATCAGGTGAGAGACAGTCTATTGAATGATATTCGTCAGTGCTAATTATGTCAGGCATATGTATTCCAGGGAATGATGGTGAATGAGTTTTCTGAGCGGACTTACTCCTGCGGTACTGGGTGCCAGTGTCTGTATGATACGGACTTGGCATCGAAGTGTCAGATTCGGGGAACTGCCGTACTGGAGACTTACGGGTATGCCACCGGGCGGACGGGAAAGTGGGTTGGCATTTTGATTGGAATCATTGCAGTGTATAGGTTGTTTGGTTGGATTGCACTGCAACTACGCAGAAATTGATGGACATCCCAAGGTAGGAACATACCAAGTACATGAAATCCTTTCAAGGTCTTGTATTAGAGTGGATAATAAGATTTTGTATTTTATGGTCAGTGTGAGAACAACGAACTTGATTACCAAAAACAATGCCAGACTAATGTCCGTCAAAGCGCCATTAGGATCATGCTGTGGCTGTGGCGGATTATTGGCCAACGATCCCATGGAACCATCGACTATCTTGTCTTGTACCACATGCAAACAAGATCACCCGAGTCAACACCAATCTACACCTATCAAAACCTTGATCGATTAATGCAGATCAGCAGCACGAGTGTTCATTAATCTATCTACGGCATCCAGAGCCGACTTACAGTAAAGGAGCGGTGAAGAAGTCCCGATAAACTGATGCCACCGTGCAGAGCGAGGAAGCAAGGGGGTTGGTGCCGCCCCAAGTATCCTCCGAGGGAAAGTCAGTTTAACTAGTTACGTAGCTAACTCACACGGGAGGTAGATTTATGATTTGTGATTTGATATTTATATGATAGTCAATCATCTACAGTACATGACATGCGTATGAAGCTTATTAGCTAAACTGATATGCGTGGATATGCGGCTATTCATGAAATGTCAACCACTGCATCCAGAGTCCAGACCCCTAGACCAAAAAGGCCCCGCACGGTAAGATGCGATCGTGGCGGATGGCGATTGAACGGGGAAAATAATGCGGGTTGCATAGGGAGAGTTTCGCACGAGCCGCATGGATATCCCTGACTCTATACATTTGTCTGGTTGGTTTTGATGATAGAATCTAAATCGAAACCATTCATTTCAATTCAAATTCAAATTCAAATGCATTGACCTCTTCCTATCATGGCAATCTTATCAGTATCCACGTGCGGGGTTTGGGTTTTTAGAAGGATAGAACAAGTTCCCATATCCTCAGGATGCAAGGAGGTGAAGGATGTGACTGGAGAAGGTAATGATGGACCCGCTGCATGTCATAGCGATCTAAAGTCTGGAGTCTGGATTGGAGGGGTTAGACTGTATTAGAAATCTACTACTAGCAGTAAGGGTAGACAAAATGACTCATACTAAGGACCACAGAGATGCTGCCACATGGACTGACATATGCGGAAATAACGAGGAATAATTAGGAACGAATATGGGTAATTGTGTACTCCGTACTAGTGCCTCATAGACTCCACAAAGTGGCGATTTTCGGTTCCCACGTTAACCTGCAGCATGTCATCCCCCACCGACTTTTTCCCGTGTACCAGGTACATAGTCATTGTGAGGGGGGTTGACTCTTCGGAAATATTACTTTACTTTACTTGGTACTGATTCAATCAATTCTACAGAGTACACTCCTACATGAATATGAATATGGAAATTCTATCTATGTGGGGGTACTTACAAAGTGGAGGCGATCATTGGGCCGCAATGACCAACTTGGGCGTAAAAGGAAAGAAAAAGTGCCAAAGCAAAACAGAAACAGAGACAGAAACAGAAAAAACAAACCAGAAAAAGAAGAGAAATAGAATAATAGAATGATACATAGAACATAGAACCATGGAACCAAGGATTTGCCTTCCAGCGGGTCCCGAGCTTAATGAAGTAAATAAACATGATTGTTTTCGTACATTAGTTCCTTCTTTTCTTCTACCCGAGAGCCTCTTTTCGTGAAACTTACATCTTTTGGCTTTCTCGTCCTTCCCTCCTTTTCTCTTCCTCCTACTTTCCTTCTCTTTCCTACTCGATCTCTTCTCGAACTCTTCTTGGTTCGGGTGAACATTCTCTTATCTTAATCTACCCGTTCCTTCACCCAAATCTCGCTGCCCATCGGACTCCACTTCCTCCCCCCCACCCCACATCTGGTCAGGCTGGCTCCCAACTTTCTTAGAGCCCAAAGGCCATCTGCAGCTTGCAGATTTCTGTCCAACCATCTTCCTTTCTGGGTAGACCCATAATATACACCCAACGACACTTTCTCGCCTGACTACCCGATTTCCCACCAATTTCGATGGAGACATTGCGATCTGGAAAGTACCACTTCGCTTTGTCTGCTCGCTGACACGAACTCGTTCGACCAGTCAAAGCCCTGCCATCGCCATCTGCGATCGGCAGGTCCGCCTTCTGGTTCGAGTGACAAGAAAAAAAAAAGTACGGCCTTTGTGGGTTGGGCAAATAACGTTCCTACGAAAAAAACAAAATTACCCTACCGATACAGTGGAAACCTGAGACGTCACTTGCGGGGAAGAAAGAGAAGAAAAAAAAAAAAAAAAGAACGCACACACACACCCCTTAACAAGTATCGAAAAAGGGAACTGGGAATAACACGTAGGACTGAGTCATCTCGTTCTTTTTTCCCACCGTGATAGCGGTGGCTTGCTGTAAGTCAAACCCAGGGAGATCCCTTCCGGCCCCATTCCACCCCTCCCCCCGCCTGTGTGCGCTGGTGGGTAGCAAACCCACGTCCAGAACGGGACCAACCTGTTTCTTACCTAGGGACCGCACCAGTCTCCTCCCTCGGCTCCGATCCTGCAGCAAGCCATGCCTGGCAAAAACCCTAGACCAGCCACTGTCGAGGATTATGACGAGAGCGTGCACGACATCGTCCCTGACTCTCAACAAGTGGCTAATACTGGTGCCAAAGTTTCTTCCAGGTTGGATCATAGATTCCCGGAGCCACTGATCGACGCGGCAAGTGACTCAGGTTATTCTAGTCGCACTGCTGCCACTGGCAACAGCACCCAATCTGCGTCGGGCGGGAAGAGCCCCCCAACTGTTCTTAAACAGACCGCGCCCAAACGTACCGACCTCTCTCGAAAATCCTCCCGACGAGAACGAGACCGAGAACGCAAGGAGGACCGCGCTCCCCGGACGGACGAGACCATGCAGATGGGTGCCTATCCGGGCGCTGGCTACCCTCAGCCGCACGCGCCCCGGTCCCCCTCCAAGTCTCACCGACGAGACTCATATCTTCGACACGACATCTATTACGAAGGGAACACCCAGTACCACCCCTCCACCCCCATCGATCCACGACCCATGGAACTCCCTCCTCACCCTTCCTACTATCGGCCTCCAATGCCAGATTATGGCCCACAGCCCACCGCATTTACCATGGAGGAATACCACACAAGTCGCCCCGGACGCTCCCACTCCAGCTCTTATGGTCCTATGTATCATCAAGATCGAGCCCTAGGCTGGCCAGTGGCTTCGTCGCGAGGATATGCACCGCCGCAACCGCAGCAGCAATATCCTCCTCACTATGAGCATGGCCCTCCACCAGTATCGTCTGCTTGGCACCAGGGATCCTATTCGTCATCGCCCTATGGCCCCCAACATAACTTTCCCCAATCGGAGTACTATCCCCAGGAACAAATGTACTTGCGCGAGCGATCCGAGTCGCGTGAGCCATCCCGGCAGCGTCGTGGCTCGGTGTACGGACCCCCGCCATCGGACGCTGATATCTTTCCGGATTTCGAGGAAGAGGCAGTGGAGCAGTACTACGCTCGTCAACCCCGGGACAAACCACGAGGCCGAGCAATCAAACCTAGCCCGGATTATTATGACGATGATCACGCGAAGATGCCACCACCTCCTCCACCTGCACCATCGTCACGAACCAGGACAGCGCCTCAGATTCACCAACCCAAGCGGCCTGAACCTCGAAAAATCCACACTGCTGCCGCCGCCGTTCCCTCGCAACGCCGCCACTCCAGGGCCTTGGACATGAGTGATGTGAGGGATGCTCTGCCCGAAATTGAGTATGGTAGCCGCCGGGTATCGCGTGAAGCCGCGCCGCTAGAACGCAGCCAAAGCCAAAGTTTGCGCAGCAGCAGACGATCCGATTCCTACCATGAGGATGCCCGAGGTGCTCGAGTAGCAGTGGAGAACAGTGCACGGCGACGCCGCCCTCAGACTTACTACTACGACGATCGCTCCGAAAGCCCCGCCGCCATGGAAGACCGCGTAGGAGAAGCCGAACGATACCAAGCCGTTACTGCCGGCCGTTCCACTGCTCAATTGCCCCTTTCCCAGGAGACGCTTTTGGCCAAGTCAGGAAACGGCCTCCCAAGTGACAATGGCAGCCAAAAAAGCCGATCAAACAGCAGTCGTGGCAGTGCCACCAAGACTGAGAAAGAAAATCAACCCATGACCCTTACTATGAACGGAATGACCATTGGGTTTGCTGAGGAAAGCCTTGCTGGCAAGTCCATCAGCATTCGCACGGGTGACGCTGGAGCTATGCAGTTTAATATCACTGACGGCACCACTCGACGACCCAAGGCATACGTTCAGGGATCATCCTACTCTGATAATACGCATACGGGCGGCTCTGGCCGCCGAGTGCTGGAAGATGGGCGACGTGCACGCGGAGATGATCGACGATCTGAAAGGTCTGTCCACCAGTCTAGCCACCGGTCCAGCCGGTCGACTTATGGTGGACGCCGATACCAGATCTGATCTATCTCCGAATTTAGCATGCTGCCCCCTAGTACAGCTCTTTCCCGTTCCCTTTATTATTGGTTTGGTATGATTTCTTTCTTATTCTTTCTGGCCTGCAGCGACCGCTGCCAGGTTCTATGTCTGTCAAAAGTTGGTTTGGTTTTGGTTTGGTTTTGGTTTGCATGTTGCTTGGGTGGGTCTTGTTGGAATTTTCACAAAAATCATGGTGTTCGAGCAATGTCCAGGGCTGGCAGAGGTAGAGCTTTTTACCTCATCCTTTTGCCCGCCCACTTCGGACTGGGAGGACTCTCTGGTTTTATTGCAATTGCTATCTCTTGCGTTTGGAAGAGTCGAGCCAAAGCTTTTGAAAAGTTTTCTTCTTGAAAAGTTGAGAAGTTGAAAAGTTTTATGCCTTGACTCCCCGTTCCGGTGTGATATGATTGTACGATTCTGATGACCTGCGATGACAAGTTCGATGTCTCTTCTTTTCCTTATGGTTATGTTTATGGTTCTGGTTCTGGTTCTGGTTATGATCACGATTTTGGTTTCCACTTGTTTTGATTCTTGATTCTTGATTTGATGAGCCGAGCTTTATTTCTCTTGCTAGCGTCTTATGTACATCTCATCATGTCACGATTGTCTTTCTCGATCATATTGGGCCTCGTCTCTTTCTCCTGCTTCCTGCCTCCTGCTTCCTGATTCCTGGTTCCTGGTTTTGAGCGCCCTGTGTTGGAGAGAGATTATACCCATACGTTGTTTACTTGTCATGTCTCAACACCAGGTCATCTTCTATGACGTTTGGCCTAAGTTTTTTTTTTGGTAGTCTGTGCTCCGTGCTGTCGGATACCGTATTCAATGTCTTCAGGACTGACCTTCGGGTAAGGACATGTTCAACGACCTAGGTGCCTGTGCCGGTACGTTATTTTAATCACTCTCGAAGGCAGTTCCCCGCTGGCCTGGTCTAGAACGTGCCTATTTCTACCTCATTAGGTTGGAAATTTACCCCACAACCCTGAGGACTAATAATATCTTTTCGGATTAAGAAGTCTAGCTATCGAGACCCGACGTCTTTATCAACGACAAGAGTAGTCGCAGCTTGTTAGTAGTAAAGACGGGTTGATGCACTTTTCATAACAAAATTAAATACTGTGTATGCATATTTGAGTTGAAAGAAGCTGGTCCAATTTAGCAAACTCATCCATGAAAGTTTCTATATTCAATATTCAATATTACAAAATCGACTCCCCTAAACGTCCGCGTAACGGATCAGTAAATTCCATACCAAAAACTGTCTGTCCAAAGGTCCCCATTCATATAATGGAGCCTTTCTAAGACGGGCTTTTATGGATCCAGGTATAGTTTAGTAATTTCAATCAAATAGGCTGTAATTTCATGGTGCAGTGATTCGGTTCACTTAGTTAAATGTGACGACGGGCTAGTTCTGCCCTATATCGTCTCCTGGGTCCACTCCGTCTACGGAGATCTGGCACCCGTGTGGGTCACCACAGCCATCCCCGGAAATAGTATGAATGCTGGTTGAGGAGAATACCATGAGAAAAATACCATGAGAAAAAGTAGAACTGAAAGACTTTTCGACTCCAATTTACTTGTAACGATTGATCAACAATTATAGGCTAGTCACGTGTTGATGGTTTACTCGATGAGGTCAGTGCGTTGTCGGGCCAACCAGAGAGTAAACACAACCCCAGCCTCCTCCAACCTCCTCAATTCTTATTTCGCCAGACCAGCGTAATATTTCTGAATGATAATTTCCCTTTATTTTTTCACATTCTGTTGACGTCTACCAGGTTGTCTGAATTTCACTATCAGCATTCTTAGTAGACAACCCCGATCCACTAGTTTTGGCCTGGTCAACTCCTTAGGTATGTCCCGCTCTTCTCACAGGAATGTGTCAGATCTAACATTCCACAGAGTCTCGTCTTGAGCGGAGTGCTCTTGACCACTCAAATTGCCATGGCTCCAGTTCCAGTTGAAGATGTACCCGACATTCCGGGTGAGGCGCAGAACATCGAAAACATTCTCAAAGTCTCACTCGAAGCTCGCGACATCGACTCCAAGTTTTCTCTGACGGCTCGCACATTCGACGAAGACAACGTTGCCGATTCACCCTCAATAAGTCGCAACAACCTAATTGCTCGATCCGATTCTACCACCACCTCCACCTCTACCGTCAAGTATGGCCAAGGCACGATTGACCCTCATAGCATCAAGATGCAAGGTCTTCTGGCTTTATTCGCCCTCATAGGAGCGGCATTCGTGCTAGGCGCCATTTGGTTCTTCTTCTGGGCCAAGAACGGTGGTTTCCATTGGCGCAAAGGTGACTGGGACGATTACAAGTCAACCGTCCTACGCCGTAAAGGTCCAGACGGTCGCACCCTCAGTAACGCCACCAGAAGTACCAAGCTCGGCGGTGGTAGTGTTGTAGGCAAAGGATACAGCGACGATGGATACACCTACACCGACGAAACATACACACAAACCGCCTCAACAATCATGACCGAAGATAAGCCAAGGCGCAAACGCAACTTCAAAGAGAAGATCCTCCGCCGCCACCGCGAAGACCGCTGGGAAGGTGAAGGGGATGACGACGTCCGCGCATACCGGGAAGAGAAACCCGCCCAGATCGGTGGCATGAACCGCGAAGCAGACGGAACCTACCACGGCAGTGACTATGACTCCTCCGCACCGCCTACACACTACAACCGCAGCGATATGAGCGAAGTCCGCGACTATGCGTACGAAAAACCTCGTCGCTCGAAGACAAAGCAAAAGCGTAATGTATCCGGCTTCTCCTTCACTGCTGGCAGCGAAGATGTGCTTAGCCAAACAACCGAGGAGCATCAATTGCGTGACCCGTCTACTCGCCGAGACCGGGACCGAGAGCGTGAGGCCCGCGAAGCCCGTCGCGAAGCCCGTCGTCAGGATCGTCGCAGTGCGGCTGCTTCTTCGGTTCCTTCGTCCAGGACTAGTAGCCCGCGCAAGAAGGAGACTCGTAACATGCCCGGTCACTTTACCGAACCGCTTGACTTCTCATCATCTGGGACTCGATCCGAGTACCAGTATTCTAATGTCGATACAGAAGACTCGGGTACTAAGAGTTATCACCACCCGATCGCCGGATTGAAAAAGGGTTACCGTCGTGATGATTCCCGTGCTGCCCGACGGAGCCGCCGTCGGGATAGTCTTAGTGACAGCGATGGCGATGAGACCCGATACTCATGATTTGATTTGCGCTAATTCTTGCTCTTGCACACGAACTTACTTGCACTTGATTTTTGTTCTCGACGACGGTTATGGATATGGCTGACAATTTGAGCGTCACAATGGGATTATGGATAGGGAATCTGGGAATGTAGATAACGAACACAACATACATCGATTTATTTGTCTTTGTCTGCTGCCTCTCAAGGCTATTCAATAAACACTATGCAACCTGAGATATCAAGCTGTAGGTCAATTACACATGATATCAAATGATTAACTATACGTCTCCATTTCTCTATAGCAGCTACACTCGGCTACCTCAGAATTATGATTATTGTTTATTTGTACATTCAAATTCCATTCAGACATCTGCAGTCTTTTCAAAACAATAAAATTGACAACAATGAAAGTAAAGAAGACGTAATCAACACATCGTAATAATTGCTTCAACAGCTTGGCTCAAATTGAACCTCAAATAACTATCTTGGCATAGGCCCTTCTCTCATTACTCAGAGCCTCCACATAATCACGCGCCTCTTGGCCTTCGACCGCCATTCTCTCGTGTGACTTGAGATCGTCGGATAGCTTTGACTCAGAGAAGATCTCATACTCTGCCGAACCAGGGTATTTGAAGCAGTACTCGTAGCCACCTCCCTCCTTCCTCCGGCGTTGATAATTAAGCCCTGTCAACCCAATCGGGCGATACTTGGTATTTTGAACCCGGTAGCCCACGACGGGATGAATCTCCTCAAATGTTTCGCCAAGCTTCTTCTTAGTTTTATCGATGGCATAGCGACCTGGGGTGCGTGGTCGAGATCCATTGACATAGTACTTGAGGGCAAAGTTGTCCGGCAACTCACCCAGACCCCAGGTGTATTTGCGCTCATGCAGGTAGTTGGGCACTCCTTCGGCTGGCGAGAATGGGTGTAAAACCGAAGAAGCAGCCTGTTGACCACTTCGCAGAATCCACTTTGCCCACGACTCCTGTTTCTGTCGGTTGAGTTTCTCTTGGTACAAATGGAGTTTGTCGTTGATCGTCGAGAGTCGATCTTGGCGGATCTTCTCCTCCGTCTTCAAATTCTCTTTGCTAAGTGAGACGAATCCTTTGATTTGGTCCAGCATCCAGGCGAAGGCGATGTTCGACATCTCCTCCATGTTTCCCTTGTTTTCCAACGTCAGGTCAGATCCACCTCCGACGTTGATGTGGACACCCGGGAACCAGACTTGTAGCAGCTTGGTGCGCTCTTTCAGGCTATCTTGCAGGCTCATCAACTCCCGTTCAGCTTTGTTTTTCTCCTTGATCACACTTTTTATTTCTTGAATGGAAGGACGGTCGGAGGTCAACGTATTGCCATAAGCCGTAATCGCTTCTTGCAGCTTCTTCTCTTGGTCGTTGATTTCTTTATCCGTTGCTTCCTTGACGGGCGGAATATAAAAAAGAGTAGGTGTAAATGCCGCGCGATGTTCATCCAGAGCAAGTGCTTGAAATGCGTGTTTGATATCTACGAACAGTTAACTTTGTTATCAAGGCAAAAGACAGGGATCTTACTTGGAGAAAGCCCAACGTTGTGCCACTCAGGCTTGTCTCGGGTAAGAAAACGGGGCACCTCATACCCAAATATCTCAGGGAATCCCAGGGCACCGACGGTTTCAAAGACACCCACCACCTCTACCTGTCTCGACTCCGGGGTAACGGCCCACTCACCACGGCCGGGATATTCCCAGGCAATATTGTCACTAGCTGCCATGAGCCCCACCGGCTGGGGATCAGCCGGCTTCCCATTTTGCCAATCAAAGTAGGCATCACTTCCATAGAACTGATTCCCTGTAACCGCCGGGTGACTCTGCTTGTAAAGCTTCCACACCTCGGGGAAGTTTTGAAGATTGCTTTTGGAGCAGATACCCAGATCAGAGATCAAGCCTGCGATAGCACGCGCAGTGTAGGCACCGCGCGAAAAACCAAAGCACAAAATTTGGTCACCGTGGTTCCAGTTCAGAACACAAAAGTTGTAGGCCTCGATGACATTTCCTTCGAGATCTTTTCCGACTGCGACTTGGCCTTCTGAGTTGGTCCCGACGCCGGAATCATACCAGACAATTTGCTGCCATTTCTTGTCGTTCTGGTCAATGCCGACGGGGTTGATAGAGCGACAAAGGCGTGTCACGTTGGATGGGATGCTTTCTAGACCTGAAACAGCAGATTGACCACTTCCGTCGCAGCAGATGATGATGCGCTTGGGAGCTGGTGCATAAAGGTCAGGAGCGAAATTATTATCTGCTTGTACATTGAAGTCGCCCATTTTTTTAACAAGAATTGGGGATGGTGTTAATGGTATGAACGTATCGGGAAGCTCTGAAGGTATAAAATAGGAAGTAAGGACCGTTCATCTTCACAGGGAAGCCACGCGCTATTTATAAAGGTCAGCAGCAATATGGCATGGCTCAGCTGAATTGCATCGCGCTTGGTTGCCAATATTTGCCATGGTCGCGCTCATCGCTAGAAATCACCTATTTTCCTTGCACCGTCGGGAATCTTAGCCAGTTCCGGGGTCTGAGATACGCGCTCTCTTCTTTTCTTTTCCTTTTTTCTGTTTTCATTGAGCAGGTGGAGCTGGGACTTTCGGAGATATTAAAATCAATTCAAAAAATCACAGTTGAACGATACCAAGAATATAAAACATGGGGAGGAATGTAGGTGGCCGATCTAGATGGTTCGGGGATATCCGGGTGGCGTTAAACCAGTTGGCTGGATTGGTTTCAAACTACGTTTGTATTTCTTCAAAAGCATCACTGTCGTTTTTCTCCAGCGTTATTTCTACAGCAGGGCTATACCAATAACGTATTCTGTTGTTTCGGTGTTCCTCAGCGGCTTTCCCATATATCGGCAGCTATTAAAATCGTTGAGAACAAATGTACCATCAACATCGAGTAGAATGTTTGCAGGGTTCATACTTGCTATATACAAGTCGAAGCGAATGGGTATGTTTAATAGCGGCCAGGATTCTTTTGAGGCGACTTTCATTTCCTCTTTCACTAGTTCGCGTGTATTGGAAAGAAAAGCGAGCTTGTTTAGACGTCCAGGACTGACTGCCTCAAGGAGCGTGTATGTATATCGTCTAAAGAATAGCCTAGAGACCCGACTGCGAGTCTGTTGGTATCCGTAGAAGGTTGCAATATTCGGATAAGAGTTCTTGCGAAGAGTTTCGCATATTTCGACTTCGCGGGCGATTTGTTTACGGAGATCTCCATTGGTATGCGAGAGGAGACTTGGTGTTTTCATATAGATCGCTGACCGAATGGATCTCACTTCTGGACCCCTGTCTTCAGATGGTATTTGCTTGATTTCCCCTACATTGTCCAGCGTCTTTGGCGAAATAAATCGATCAGTCCGTTTTTCTGAGTATAATATGCGGTAAGCCATCTTGCCGGATAAACACATGGACATAGGAGAATCGAATTCTTTCATCGATTCTTTTGAAGGGTTCGTTTTTAAATCACATTCATGGGGTAGACAAGTGATGAATACAAGTAGAAACTTGAGTACTCTAACCCCGCGGATCACCTGATCTGTTCTATTCTATTGGAATTTGCTCTTCCATCCCCTTCCCCTTCCCCTCTTTGTTCCTATACATGCATCTTTTACTTGGGCAGCTGGGACACTGACAATATGGTCTCTCACTTCACCTGCGGCTTTGGTTTATGGTCAGTCGATTAACTGTTTATCTAATTGGGCTTTGGTCACACTGCCCTCTACGACTTATTTCACGTGTATTACTAAAGAAGAAGTGTGATCCCTAGCTACCATTGGCCAAATTTCACGTCATTTATCTTCGACATGCATTCCAAATATGGTCAGCTTGTCACGCAAGGGAAAAACACAACATCTAGTTCAAATGACGTGACAAAATGTCTGGTGATTTCCAAGCAGCTTTTTCTGTCGGTGTTTAAACCTTCCATTTCCTCACACTCTGTCACATTCTTCACAGGTTTCGATCCCAAGTCACCTTCAAGACAAATGCCATACCAAAGTTGCGACGCGAACAACGGTCTTCACCATGTCCAGTGAAAGGCAACCATTATTGGAATCCGATCAACATGCCCGTCTCATTTCGGATCTACCCGTCTTTCCTGACAATCTACCAGGTGCGACCTATGGGAAAAAGATCAGCTGGACCAGCGCCTACATCCTTGTTGTTTCACGGGTGATCGGGAGCGGCATCTTCGCTACTCCTGGTTCGATCGTGAAATCCGCGGGTAGTGTGGGATTGACACTTCTTGTCTGGCTTGTTGGTACCATTCTATCAGCATGTGGCATGTCGGTATCGATGGAGTATGGCTGCATGCTACCCCGATCTGGAGGAGATAAGGTATACCTTGAGTATGCTTATCGCTGGCCGAGATTTCTCGCGTCAACCGTGATCGCGGTACATGCAGTAGTCTTGGGCTTTACGGTAAGCAATTGCATCGTTTTCGCCAAGTATACATTATTTGCGTTATCCATCAACCCGACCGATCTTCAATACAAGACTTTGGCGATCGGTCTTTTAACTGTCATTACAATAATTCACGGCTTCTTCTTCAGAGCTGGTATCCTCATCCAAAATGCGCTTGGATGGGTTAAGATATTTTTGATCGGCGCCATGTCTTTAACGGGAGTCTGGGTACTACTTCTACAGTTCTTCGGGAGTGTTAATACTTCACCCGGGGCTGCGCGATCAAGTGGTGCCTCATGGGATACACTATGGGAGGGGTCTAACTGGAGTTGGAGTTTACTGTCAACAGCGCTGTTCAAGGTCGTTTATTCTTATGCTGGACTTAGCAACATCAACAATGTGCTCAATGAGGTGCAAGATCCTGTTCGAACGATCCGAACTGTGTGCCCGTCAGCCTTGTTTACAGCCGGCGTTCTCTATCTTTTGGCCAATCTATCTTATCTTCTGGTTGTTCCTTTGGATGAGATTAAGAACAGCGGAGAACTGGTAGGCGCACTCTTGTTTGAGCGGCTGTTTGGTACCATCGGAAGCACTCTCTTCCCACTAGCCATTGCAATCTCAGCCGCAGGCAATGTGATGGTAGTGACATTTGCTCTAGTAAGTGGTACATATTCCATGATTCGCACATCTCTAAAGAAACACAGGCGCGAGTCAATCAAGAAATAGCCCGACAAGGTTTCTTGCCATGGCAAAACCTGCTATCGTCTTCGAGTCCATTCGGCACTCCTCTTGGTGGTCTGATTGTGCACTACATTCCTTCTCTCCTAGTCATCGCCCTACCACCACAACAAGATATCTATAACTTCATCCTCGATGTAGAAGGGTATCCTGGTAACGTTCTTGCTCTCGCCATTACCGTTGGTCTATTAATACTACGGTACAAGGAGCCAGATCTTCCGCGCCCGTTCAAGGCATGGCTTCCGGCTGTTTGGCTACGAGTTGTAGTTTGTATTGCGCTACTAGTGACACCTTTCATTCCACCCCCTGGTGGACAAGGCGATGTCCACTTCTTCTATGCGACATATGCTATTGTCGGTATCGGCATGTAAGTATTCATTTCTATATGCTGAGACGATGCTGATGTCTGTAGACTTCTCTTTGCCGTTGGTTATTGGTATGTCTGGACGATAGTTTTGCCTTGGAGAGGAGGATATAGATTGGAGGAAGCTGTGGAGACACTTAATGACGGTACAACAGTCACTCGGCTTGTTCGCACATTTCCCTCCCTTCAAAGGGGTCAAATACATTGATGCTTTATATAGTTATAGAATAATAGAAGCCAATGTGCAATTATCAGATCTGTTACATTCCACGAAAATCCCACGAAAATCCCCGTTCAATTATTCAATACTCGGCTGGTTGCCTGCTTAGGGTGCACAGGACGGCTACTAATATAGTGGCACCTTCCAGATTAACACCCAATCGGATATCGCCGAAAAGCCATATTAATTCTTCAAAGCCGCAGCCTAGTGCTGAGCGTGCGTCAAGTGCATCATCAGTGGCTTCTTCTCCCAGATATTATACGACTTTTGGATATTCCAGTCCTTTGAACTTTCATCAATCGTCATATCAAAACTCCAAAAAACTTTGGCCACAATGAGGCGCATTTCGGCATAGGCCAGGCTGGTCAACATTAGTCTCACCCATATATCTCAGAGTTGTGACACCTACTTTCTTCCTATGCAGTTACGGGGTCCGAGTGAAAACGCGGCAAGGCATGATCTGTTATCCGACTCGAAGCGCTTCTCTCGGTCCTCTAGCCATCGCTCTGGGATGAAGGAATCTGGTTCAGTGAAATTGGACGCGGCATGGTAGGTCGAGTAGTGTGCACCGGAGACAGAGACCTAGTCGAGTTAGTCCTTATAATCTCTTTTGGTGCTAAATACTCACCCCTTCTGGAACAAATTCTCCATCAATAAGTGAGCCTCCCTTTGGCACGATACGCGGAATCACCGCTGGAACGGGCGGGTAGACCCGCAGAGCCTCTTCCAGGGCCGCATTCATGTATGTCAATTTACTCACGCCCAGGAAATCAATCTCATCATACGACTGGAAGGTGCTTCGAATCTCCTCCACGAGCTTTTTGTATATCGCTGGGTTTTGAACGAGATAATAGTTAAAACCCGAGAGCAAGCTGGCGGTCGTCTCGCTCCCCGCAATAATCAATAAGGCCGCATTTGCCTCCATCTCTTTTGCACTCATTGCACGATCATCATTGTAGCGCAGCACATACGTCATAAAATCCGGTCTCTCGGTTTTAGTCTCCAGTCGACGATGAACTTTCTCTGCACTCATGGTGAAATGTTCCTCGCGATTCTTCATGACCCGCTTAGGAAGTAGCAGTTTCACAATCGGTGCGAGGAAAGGCCAAATCTGCAGAGGCTGAAGCAGCGCACCACCTTTCACACTGGAGAAAACCATCGTCACCCATGGGTGATATCTGCTATCTTTTAGACAATCAAATGGCTCGCCGAAAGCCAGGTCTCCGATAATATCAAACGTGGTGTAGTTGTACCACCGGCACATGTCGATCGCGCCACGCCCCGCTGCGATCTGTCCATTCAATCGATCCACCAGTAGATCGACATAAGTCTGGACTAGACTTTCTTGCTCGCGGAGTGCTTTTTCAGAAAAGGCATGAGAGAGCAATCTCCTTTCTCTCGAATGGTCTGCATCGTCTGCATTGAGTATGTTAGGTCCCGTCGGGCCTCGTACGTAGAATTTGGGATCTTTGATGAATGACCCTGCTCCTGACTTGCGGTGGCCGTAAATGTCTTTCCAGGCCTGTGGGCTGCGGTAGACAAGTCTTTGGGGTCCGACTCTCACCGTATCCCCGTATTCGTCGTGGAGTTTCTTCATCTTGGTGTGGTTTTGTCCTGTGACTGCCCAGTACACTGTTGGAATGTATGTACATGCTGCTAGTTTGGGGCCTGGAAACTTTGATAGTGGACTTATATAGAGATTATAAATCACATTCCATAGTAGACAGGCCGTCAAGGTCTGTGGTCGGTTTAGTAATTCCGAGGCTTGTTTGCAGGATATCTCAAACTTACCACACCAGCAACGATAATTACGGAAGTTGTATCCATCACTCTAGCTTTCCAAAGTTCCAAGCTTCAAAATGCTAGTTTTGGTGGTGAAGAAAAAATATCAATCTTGCTTAAGGAAAATCAAGAAAGAGGGATGGGCAACTTATAGTTATCTGGGTGGGTTATATATATATATAGTAACCAACCCAGCCAACATGATTCTCCGCTCATTTGCACAGCACAATTCGTGCACAATAAAAGTCCGACTGAAAATCCAATCAGGCCCCAGGAATTATTGCTCTGGCCTGTGTGTAGCGACATTTTTGTGGGCAATCTTGCATGAAGATATCGACCCCGCTTTAAAACGTAACCATGGCTTGACAAAATGATGAAAAGATCTGCAGCCGGATGAGTTCACGGGGATGGAGACCAATAATATGCCATATTTTGGATTATAATAAGTGCGGAGTAACGGTTAGCGTCATGAGGTGGCACCGAAAAAGTCTAGTTTGAGGACGAGGTCATTGGGTGAATCTGTTATGCAATAGCAAATAAAAAGCATGGGGAGTTGAAACATTCGAGTGCACGTACTACAAGCAAGGGTGGACAAAGCCAAATTATCTATTTGTGAGTGGAGTGTGGCATTAGAGAGAAGAAGAAAGGTTGATGTTAGGTTACAAATCCGGGTATGAACCCTTTAAGTTACCAATTGACATTCTCGGAGTCAGGTGCCAAATATGTATCGACAGAAGTATTAGTACTTCAAATGTTGTCAGATATCACGTAGGAATACTAGCTATATATGGAAACTAGACGGCGTATAATCGGGAGAATGATCTGGCCAAGGGACACATAGTATGTTGGAAATCTGCTACCCTGTGGAATAGAAATCAACAAATGTAACAAGAAAATGATTCATCATTGTATAGGCTTTGATCTAATTTACACATGTGCGATATTATAATTTGCCTCATCTCACCGTATTTAGAACGGACTTGTGAATAGCCTCATTTGCATGACGCAGGAATCACCCATCACTTTACTGCACTCCTTATATATGAGCTGAGTTTGCAGCTATAGCGGAGGTACCTGAAATTGGTTTCTTGGCTGGAGTGGATCTATCTGTCCCGCAATTGGTCATCAGGGAATAATTCCGTCCTCACGTCCATGGATTCGCTATCTCGTCCATGACTCAATTCCATAGAGTGTTATCCGGATTGCTAGATTCTTCGTTCTTTCTTTAAGCTCAATTTATTGAACTCTACCCTCAATCAGATCAACCGATATTTGAAGCTCGGACGTTAATACATAGTACCCCGCCTATGGAATCCCCACTAACATATACCGAAGCCCAGCTGGAAGCATATCTACAGCGCATAGAATATCCCAGCGAAAATGGCGCGCTGCAAAAAGTGCGCGAAAACATTGAAGCAGACGGTCTCGCAACATTGTCCGAGCTTCAGAGGCGGCACCTCTGTGCCATTCCATGGGGAAATTCTGGACTGCACTATTCGCAGCACCATACAATTTCTCTGCACCCGGAGACCCTCTTTGAGAAAATAGTCGAGCGTAGGCTTGATGGGTACTGCATGGAGAACACGGGGCTGTTCTTTGTTGTCTTGCGGTCCTTGGGTTATCATGTATACGCCACTGGCGGCAGAGTGAGCCGTGCCGCTGCCACGGGGTCGGATGATGGGCGATATCTGTCATTGTATGTAAATCTTGACCCTGGCTTTATGTACTCCTGCTAACGGGGTTAAGTGGACATATGCTCTTGATTGTGGTCATCGACGGGGAGAAATATATGGTGAGTAGCATTTATAGCTCCCTTGCACCCACATGGCTGATGTTGTAGGTGGATGTTGGATTCGGGAATAACTGCGCAACTGCACCTCTACCTCTCCAGGAAGGAGCAACGGCTACAAATATTGGAACTTCGGAAATGCGTCTAGTCAGAGACAGCCTCATTGAGTTCTCTAACAAAGAGCAGAAAGTTTGGATTTATCAGACCAGATACAACCCTACCAGTGTTTGGGTACCCAACATCTGCTTTTCGGACGTGGAGTTTCTACCTCAAGATTTCGCAATGATGAATTTCTCCGTCAGTCAGAAACGCACGAGCTGGTTTGGGCAGGTCTTCGTTTGCATGCGGATGATTCTGGACCCAAGCGAGAAGAATATTATCGGGCAATACGTCATGTCTGGCAAGGAGGTAAAAAGACGAGTCCACGGTCAGACAGAGATTTTGCAAATCCTCCACACTGAAGAAGGCCGAGTTGAAGCGCTCGCCAAGTACTTTGGTATGGCTCTGCGCAAGAGCGAAATTCAAGGAATTCAGGGCTTGAGCTCAGAGATCAGATGATCCGGCACTATCGGAGTGTGAAAATTGGCTTCATTTGTATGGTACAGCAGCATTTTCTAGAAAAATTGCGGTGGATATGTATGATCGAGAAACAAAGAGCGCGGAGGCATGAAAAGGAAAAGACGTTGCAATTTTGGGAATCTAGTAAATCCGCTTCTCGATCTGAAGGGCTGTCAGTACACAATGGAAACCAACAATTCAACAGATTTAGATCTCCTTACCTTCCACGGGTTGCTCAGTTCGAATCCCTTGGGCGCGATGTGGTTGCTGGACTGTCCTCTCAGTGTACCGGTAATGCGGAGGTCCCGCTCCATCACTGTTCGCAATACTTTGTTAGTCTCAGAGGATTCTCCAATGGACGACTGTAGTGGTTTGTTCAATTGGCCGTAACTTACTTTGCTGTGAGGAAGTTAGCCGACGCATTCTGTGAATTCCGACCGCAGCCGACGCGCGCATCAAAGACTTGACTTACCCGATCCCAGAGGTCACTGTTCCAGCGGTTCTTCTTGCCTTCATTCAGGAAGCGCTTGGTAACGTACAAACCAGCACCGGTCACACCGAACATCTGTGGTAGTGGTCAATTGTAGCTCTGCGAGGGACTGACGAATGATACGCACGGTGACGACAATCCCGTAAGGGAGCAAAGCCTCAAAGGGAACGCCCATGGCTATGATAGTCGGGAGACAGGTCAATAGGACAAAAGCAGTATGGTCAGTAGGCAAAGGGCTGTCCGAGGACCAGAAACGGGAATGGTGGAGTGAACGAGGGGATTGTGGAGGGCATGACTTTAGAATCGTGAATGGGAGGAGGTCTTCGTAGCCCAATTTGGTTTAGCGCCGCCTGACTCAGCCCGCCTGCGACGACAACTCCAAAGGGCCAAAGGGGCAGCGCATCGCATTTGATTGCCAGAGGGATCGTCTCCTAGCACTTAGATTGCTTATCGACGCGTCTTGAATCCGTCTGTTGCAACTACACCAACTGGATTCTGCCTGGGAGTGAGTCGCCTCCATTCCGCGACACGTGTTTGGGAAGTGGCACCTTACTAACACCTCTGATCTCTTTCAGCTACCTTGCGACCCTCGACAAAGCAGCCTCGGCATAAAAGTGGAAATACCAAACTACATTCGCTGACTCTGATTCCTGGCCTGTAATCGGATTTGCCTGGCATCCAGATGCACCCCGGATTCGCCACCAACGTGAGCGGGGTGGGTCTGTAGCTTTAATCGGCTGGCTCGAACAAAGAGAGTCGTGGCACTTCGGCGCACATCACCTGTGGAGACATTCTCGTCGACCTGGCAGCTGCGGTAACAATTACCATGGCGGCGACGGTGCCGCCCGTGAACGACGATCCCGGTCAACCTGACCCACTCGGCGACCAGGTTGACAGCGACTTGGACGCGGAGGGCGAAGAAGAAACCGACCTTTATCAGATGGATCAACAACTTCAAGACGCTGTACACCGCGCCTTTTCCGGGGAAAATGGAGACACCGAGACCGAGGCCCGTGTTAGGAGTCTACAAAACGGCGATGATGAGACAGAACCCGTTGGTGCAGTGAAGGTCCCAGAAGACGAATCATCTGATGAAGATGATGCAGAATCTGGAATTGCCGATGCCGATGGTGACCCTGCGTTTGAGGATGAAAATGAGCCAGAGGCATCAGGATCTAGCGACTCTGAATCAGAAGCACAGGACTGGGAAGCCGAAAGTAATGGCCACGAGGACGGGGATGCTGAAATACGCAGTCGAACCACTTGCATGTGAGTGATGGCGTCCCTAGACTGGAAAAAATATTGCTGACATCCTACCAGTTTCTGTGGCCAGGATGAAGAACATGATCCAGGCGAAGATTTTGAAGAATGGCTCACCTGTGCCGTCTGTGGGGATCATTGTAGGTTGAAGTCATGGAAAAAAGACTATTTTCGAACTGCGCTGACATGAACAGCCCATCGACAATGTGCGCGAGAACAAGAAGAGTTCAATGACACCGAGGGTGAGTTAGGTTCGAAATGTTTGTCGATTGAAGGGTCTAACTCGTTTGCTAGACCTTTGGAGATGCCCCGTTTGTGTTCAAAATAAACTAGAACCCGATCCGGTCGAAAGTCCCTCCCTCCTGAAATCTGGGCACGCACACCTACCTAAGGAACTGCTCCCTGCGCATGTGGGGAAGGAAGGAGACGGCTTTCATTCGATATTTGACACCGGAATCAACGATGACGTGTTGAATAGCTCCCGTGCACTACGGAAACGAAAAGCTTCATCAATAGAAGCAGAGGAACATACCCCCGTCCTCCGAAAACGACGACGGCAGACAGATCGTTCGGATTCAAACGACCTTCCTGGAGACGACGCACTGGACGACTCAACTCACACACGTCCTTTGCGGGCTCGTCGCACACGTGGAGTTGACCGAGAACATGCGCGTGTTGTGCTCAAACAGTTCGGCAAACTCATCATGGCCTTCCGACTGGATGAAATGAAAGTCAACAAAATAACGAATACCCAAAGCCAGCCTCAACGCAAGAAGAAGAAAGCACAAAAACCCCCACCCGTACAGCAGGAACCTCAAGCTCATTTCGCCCCTATTCCTCCCACCTCCTACACTCAATTTACACCCTTCCACGACCGTGACAGCGATGATTCCAAATCCAAGCCGTACGGTGGTATTTTATCTGAAGTTGACGCAGATACATCGAAGACCCTTCCCACACAACTGGACCGTGAGAAATTCGAATCGGCCCGACAGAAAGCCGAGGATGAATGGCAGCGGAGAGTACGAGAAGCAGAGCTCAACGGCGAAGGCACTACAAACTCACAAAAGGTATCCGGGCCACCCTCCAAGATCAAGTACATCAACTTTGGTGGCTATGAGATTGAAACGTGGTATGCTGCTCCGTACCCAGAAGAGTACAGTCGCAACCGTGTGCTCTACATTTGCGAATTCTGCCTCAAATACATGAACTCGGACTATGTGGCTTGGCGGCACAAGCTTAAATGCCCGGCCAAACATGCCCCTGGTGACGAAATCTATCGCGACGGCTCGATCTCAATCTTCGAGGTAGATGGCCGGAAGAACCCGGTATACTGCCAGAATCTGTGTCTTCTTGCCAAGCTTTTCCTCGGATCCAAGACCCTTTATTACGACGTTGAGCCATTCTTATTTTATGTCATGAGCGAGTACGATGATCTTGGATGTCATTTTGTCGGTTATTTCAGCAAGGAAAAGAGGCCAAGCTCAGCGAACAACGTTTCATGCATTCTCACCCTCCCTATACATCAACGCAAAGGCTACGGCAATCTTCTCATCGATTTTTCATATCTCTTGACGCGCATTGAGGGGAAGAATGGATCTCCCGAAAAGCCCTTGTCAGATATGGGTCTGGTGTCGTACCGCAATTACTGGCGCCTGATCCTATCATACCAGCTTCGTGACTTGAAGACACCCGTTAGCATTGCGGATCTTTCCGACCGGACAGGGATGACTGCAGACGACATTGTGTCGGCTCTTGAGGGGCTTCGAGCGCTGGTGCGGGACCCCATTACAAAAACTTACGCTTTTCGTCTGGATAATAAGTATTTTGAAGAAGTCATTCAAAAGTGGGAGAGCAAAGGCTACGTCACTCTCAACCCTGATGCGCTACTTTGGACACCCTACATTATGGGCCGCAACAATCAGTCCCAGTTTGATCGTGCCCCTATCCACGCTGTTGCACCTCGGGAGGATCTTGAAGAGGAAGAAGAAGAAGATGATGAGATGAGGGATGTTCAGACTGGAAACGACATGCCCACCACGGATGGTCGTGCCGATGGCCTTGGGGAAGCGGCTGGACCACCATCCACCGCTCTTCACCAATCCAATGGGGTCCATCCACCAGAAGACTCCGCACCCCCGGCTCCTCCCCCTGCCGCCGGCATCCCCCCTTCACGATTCGAGCTCTGGCCCCCAGTCCATGTTCCTGCTACTGGTCGACGCAAACCCGGTCGCCCAATGGGCAGCAAGATGAGCCACCGAGCATCAATGACACCAACCACGATGCGCGCAAGTGGTCGCAACACTCCACGCGGGCCATCTGGTCTCCCGGTAGTCACACCATCTACCATCCGCCGCGGGCGAAGTAAGCTGACTGGTTCTCCGGCTACGGAAGACATTTCTTCTCGACCGAATGGCATTGATGCGGAGGGAGATGCGGATGCTGACGGCGAGCCAGATGAGATGATGGATGCAGTTGGAGCTGATGTGGCAGAGCCCATGAAAGCTGAAGCGGATGCCGCGCTTGCCGACGGAGTGGCCGAGGTGGATGATAAGCCCGAGCAGGTCAACGGTGACGAGAGGCCCGAACAAGTCATTAAAACGAATGGCGTCGGTCATGATGACCATGCACCTGAGGCCGAGCCCAATCTTGATCCTGAATCTATGCCCGAGTCTGACCCTGTACCTGATGTTGAGCCTGATGTCCCAAAGACACCAGAGAAGAAACCCAATTCTACGTCACGATCACCGGAAACAGCAACTTCTCATCGCTCTAGGCGAAAGCAATCCGACAATCACCCCAAGACACCCACGTCGGTTACTCGCAAAGCCTTGGTTGAAAAGGTTCAGGTCGTGGTACCCGTTGACTCTGGCTCGATGCGAAGCCATACCAAGAGAAGCCCTCCCGTCACCAATGGTATCAACCCTGACATCGACATCGACGCCGAAGGCGAGGATGACCCCGATGCAGACGCGGAGTACGAGGTGGACGGCGACGTGGTAATGGAGACATGAACAATACAGGCGATGGAAGCCGGGTTACAATTGAAGCTATTCACGCATAGGACTAGGCGTTTCTTGCTTTTTCTCATCTATTTTCCTTCTCCCCTTTTCTTTGAATTCCCTTTCTAATATTACCCTTTTCCCACCGGATTGAAATGTTTTCTTTTTCTCGACATGCCCACAAGAGGCTCATTTCGGGGCATAGGGCTGGCTCTCGATGCGTCACGCAGCACAGTGGTTCGCTCACATTGTACTTATTTCTAACCAGCAAGGAGCGTGGGTTCTGGAGCCAGGAGTTGGTATTTGATTGTTTTCTTTATTAACTCATCCTCGCGATGTCTTCAAGTTTATTGATTCTAGTACATGTAGTTAAGTATGCGGGGAGCATGTAGTGTAGTTAGACAATTCACGTCATAGCTGATCGACGATCATCTTACAATTGTATTTAAACTCGGGTCAATTTGGAATTACTACCTCTACCTTGCTTAGCAGAATCCAACTTGAAAATATGACGTCGCTCGAGCCGCGAGGTCAATGTACTCAGGTTCCCAACCGAGCCCGGTGCATTGACGCACCAACCTTCGAGGCGGGGCAAGCGGGTCTAAGAAAGGGATATCAAAACCACCTTCCTATTACGATGTGATATGTTCTATCAAGGGAGAATTTAATTTATGCGGGACATCAACCTCTAAAATATGACGTGCGAGTCAAACCGAACCCGAGGACGGGGACCATCAACGGGGACCTCGAATGCGGCCAAGCGCACCATCATGTATCATTTAAACGGACAAATAAATCCTTTAGAGAAACAAAATATGAATTGCTAAACTTTGTACATATATGTACAGATCGACACGATCGGCAGTTCAAGGCGGGTGCTTGGTGGTGTTTCCATGGATCCCGAAGCGCACGGAAACCAGGCATTTAAGCATAATTGTAGCGTTCCAGAGTGCCGTGGTTCTTGGTCGGGGGCTGCCGCTGTCATACTTATGATCATTCCAAGGTTATACAAATGAATCCACAGGATATTGTCTCCACGAAATCATTAACGCTTATTGATCAGTCAGGTTCGGCCCCATTAAATTTCCGAGCCACTTCATCATGCAGGATTGAGTTGTTTATTCCCCACGTAGTTTAGTTTCCACTGTTTAGTTGACCCTTAGTGACTTTCCCATTCCCCTCCATTTTTTTGTTGTGCAGGATTTGGACTCTTCTGTGGGATTTTTCTCTCTTCTATTTCTCTTCCTTTTACCTGTCACTGAGAGTTCCAGTGTGGTTCTGTGTTCCCTTTACCCCTCTTGAGTCGGGATATGGCATTCACGGCCCACGGGATGCAGCCAAGTCACGTCCTGAACAGGACCATGTGTCCAATATCCAGGAACAAGACTCGGATAGGCGCAGATGTGGGATCCCATCCCAGCTGAGGATGAGGCTAGCCTCAGCCTCCTGCCGCATTGCTCATCTCGCACTATTTTGTTGCATCTTCTTTTCTTCTTTTCACTTCCCCCTTTTCCAAACTAGTTTTTGTGCAGCTGGCTTTTTGTGTGGTTTTTATCTCTCCCTGCATGTCCGTCCCCACTGCTAGGAGCCCGTGGACCTTCAAAGCCCCGCTTAGCTGATCATGAGGGTTGGCTTGTTTTTTTTTCCCCTTTAAAACCGATCATCTCCGAAAAGCTGGTGTCCCTCCTTGCATGAGATCGCCGCTGTGCTAACGGCACACTCTCGAGGCCAAGTGGCCCGCTTGTCATATCCTGCACATGCAGTCCCAAGTCTGTGCGTTGGACATGCCCCTCAATCCCAACAGCCACGGTCCCAAAATTGATGATATTCCACGCCCCTCACGGGCGCACTGATCAAAAGGGGAAACTTTGTCAACGAGGTGCAGCAATCGATGCACCGTTTTGAAGCAGGCTAAGCCTATGGGGAAAGCTCTTATTTTTTCCTCCCCCTCTTTCTCTACCTACGCTCAGCCGCAGCGAGAGAAGCAGGTGTGGCGCAAAGAGATCCTGTAGTCCGAGTAAAGCCGGGTTGAAGAACGCACTGATCTGCAAGCCATTCTCGATCCACTGGGTGTGACGATGATTTGTTTCGCTGCATGACCGATCGCACAAGTCGGACCAAACGGTCCCCTTTCTGGGTTTCGGGCTCTTGGCTAGGGATCTCCGGCTCCCAGCAACCCCACTGGTTGAAGTCCCCATATCGTAGGGTGCAGGTCACGAATCCTGCATTGGATAATGTGACCCATCCACTCAACTGTTCCAAGCTGAGGTTCGTGTCCACCCCTGTCTTTTCTTTTTTTTTTTATCCTTTCCAATTTATTATTTTCCTTAAATTCCTCGAAGCTTTGTCTTTTGAAAGCGTTCGAGAGATTCGCTCCTTTTCCTTTCACCTTTCAGCATGAACCGATATGCGCGGGGTCGCTCGATGTCGACTTAAACGTGTTCGGTCTGCCCACATCCTTTGCGACTCCAAATCTCATTTTGTGCGAGGCTGACAAGTTCGACTTTTTCACCTTTCAGATCACGAGATTCATCTGGATTCGTTTGGCGCTGGGAATCAAACTGAACTGCGGGTTTTCGGGAATCGTTCGAGCCATCACAGCTCAGCAAAACAAGAACGTCAAGGTATGGGTTGAAGTTGTGAAGTGGATCTGAACCCCCTGGGAAGAGTCCGGACCCAAACTTTGATTTGTGATGACATAAGTCAGGTCCATATTTTTGATTATTTTTCTCTTTGAGCTATCGAAAACTATCTTTGGGGGAAAACCTTCACTAACGCCTCAAAAGGTTAACTAGTTCGAATTTGGAGTGGAGAACTCGATTGCGTCTGGGAGATCAAACGATTCCTGTTTTGACCAGGGCCATGCGGGCTTGGATCTTGCATATCCGGGAACCCACCGTGACTGGAATGCTTAGACGCCGGACCAGGGACCGAGTCCACTTTGGCGTTTAGACTGAACTTCTATGGTCTAAGACGCAAGCCCGGGTCCTGATCACCTGCATAGCCGGCGCCATCGAGCCGTTACGTTTTTACAAGTGGATTCCCCCCCAAAAAGAGAATTCACTTAAACCCAACAGACAGGTTCAAGACAGGTCAAGTCAGGCTTACACAAGGCTATACTTTTTTGCCACCATCGAGCAAGAGAAGAAAAAGAAGGAAAAAACTATCACTATAGTTCTTTTTTTTTCTCTTTTCTTTCTCTCTCTCTCAATTTCTCTAAACTACCGATACCCGAGCTACTGGATGTGCGCATCATTGTCTGATCGTCACCCGGCAATCATTCAGCTCTCAACCGTGGTTGCAAACCTTGCCAGCTGAACCTCAATTGTTCTCGCCCACTCTTCCGTTCTTAACCGTTACTCCGGTTCTATATACGTTACCGGTCGGCAAAAGAAAGAGAGAAAAAAAAACCCCTCTTGACTCCACACTTCAGCTATCAGCTATACAAGTGATGGGCCGAACGGGGATCTGAAAGAAGAAGATAAAAAAAAAATTCCCCAAGAATTGAATGAATTTGATTGGTTACAACCTCCCACTTGAATTTTTTCTCGGTCCGTGCGGAACTTGAGAAAAGTGTTTTGAAGTCAATGATTGGTGGTTGGGGACGCAATTCAATACCCAATTGAAATTTGCCTTCTGAATCCGGTCGGAGAGAGAACGACGATAAAACGACTGCAACTTTAACGAACTTTTGGAGAACAAACACTTCCCTAAAACAGATTCCGCTTCTTTTCCAAAAAATCAAAACCTTCTCCGGTTTCGGTTAAAGGAAAAAAGAGAGAAGAAAAGAAAAAAAAAAAAGAAAAAAAGTCATACTAAGCACCAATCCATGGGAAATCATCGCTCCTACCGTGAATCCCGCACCGTTCCAAGTCCTAATTCCCCCCACTACAGCTTGTCTTCTCTCTCCAACAACCACCCAAATTTAACCAAAACGACATCGTGACTAGTACTGGCTCTTTTTTTTAAGACCCATTCTTTCCTTTCATTTCCCCCCAACTGTCTTTACTGTGTGTGTTCCTCGGAAACGCAGAGTGTACTTACCCAGAAGCCGCCCACGCGTGGTTCACCTTGCCTAAAAATCTTGACCTGTGCGCTATACCCGGGTCCTGGTTCCACCCGTCTTGATGAGTGCATCGACGTTCTCAGACGCCTCTCTCTCGCGCGAAGCCCAGAGGTTCGTAGTCCTTTTTAAAAAGCTGTGCTATTTTTCCCCCCATCAATCTGATTGCCTTTTCAATCCTCTACTATCCTACCTTACTAGACTCAAGAACCCACTGACCATGTTGAGCAACTCCAGTTCTGACTTTGACCTGACCATTCGCCAGCAGCCCGACCGGGCGCGCGTGGCTGGGGGCAAGGAGAAGGAGCGCAAACCTATCGATCCACCTCCGATCGTTCAGCTCCGGGTGCGCGAGGAGGGTTCTTATCTTGCCCAGTGAGTGCCTTTTTTCGTCCCAGCACGTGTGAGGTGTGAGTGCGAGTGCGAGTTGCAACTAACCTCACCCAAGACATTACCTGCAAAGTCCCTACTATTTTATGTGCTGCAGCTTGTACGATGCATCAGACGATCGTCCAGTGCCGGTCGCTCCGTCGACAGCTTTAGCAGGAACTCTAGTCTCGTCTCTTCACCGGTTGAAGGACGTTGACAACAGTGGTAGGCGCCACCCCAGCTTGACTGTGAAGCAAAGGGACGGATCTGACTTGAATACCTTGTAGATGGAGGTTTCTTCGTTTTCGGGGACTTGTCTGTGAAGATCGAGGGCGAGTTTCGCCTGAAGTTCACCTTGTTTGAGATGCGAAGGTGAGTCGCGTGCCCGCGTTCGGGAAGGGTAAGACTGACAAGGCTCGATTCCAGAGATCAAGTCACCTACCTCAAGACCATTATTTCAGACCGTTTCACAGGTGAGTGCAAGTTCAGCAACTGCCGTGGGTCGTGCTAATGTGAGGTAGTTTCACCCCCCAAGAGCTTCCCGGGCATGATGGAATCCACCTATCTTTCCCGGTCCTTTGCAGACCAAGGAGTCAAGTTGCGCATTCGCAAGGAGCCTCGGACCATGATGTAGGTGATCAATTTTTAACGGGTTTGATTCTCGTTACTGACAGCTAGAAGGAAGCGTGTCCGGCAGGATCCTGAGTATCCGCAAGCAATTCCTCCTCGGTCTCCGGATCGCCAGTCGGTCCAGATCCCCCCTACAGCGGGCTTTGCGGGCTATCCAACAAGTAGTCGGGACTATGCGTACTATGGAGCACCGGTAAAACGCACGCGAACCTCCATCGACTATGGTCGCCAGAGTCTCTACCCGGATGCGGATGGTCGCATGGCTCGTCCGATGGAGACCTACGCTCAACCGACCATGTATGGACAGCCCAACGCGTACCAGACTCCAGGAATGCAGTACTCGACAGGCCAGGTGGTGCCAGATTACGGGGTTAGTTCTACCCGGTTGACACCCTTAACATTGAGCTAACCCTCTGTTCTGCAGATGTCTTACGGTGGGATGCCGTCAAACCCCATGGCTCAAATGCCAGACCCATCAGGCCAAGCTCGATCCAGCCAACAAGCCGCTGTGGGGCAGCTAATGGCGATGAACCAACCTGGTACTCCTGTACGGCACCCCTCTGCGAACCAGTGAGTTTGGATTTTGGGAGGACCCTGCTAAGGATTTTTCTTTTGTTTTCGCTCGCGACAGACCCCGGATTCGACAGGAGCGATGATGGCCCAGGGATACCCTCGGACCGCATACTCGACCGGTTCTACTATTCTCCCTCCGTTGCAACGAAATCGCAGCTATCCGGCAGGCCACAACGGGACTGGCACCCCTCAAGGCTATTTCAACCCGCCATCTCCTTCGGCCACCCCGATTTTGCCCTCTCAGATGGCTCCTGAAGGGGACCGATACGGCGCTGCCTATGACCCTCCCGCTTCTCCGAATGGAACTCCTCAGTGATGGAGATTCCGCATTTACCCTTCTCTTCACTCGTTTGATAAACGTTTGAGCCTGGTCGCTTTGACCTCGATGGTCCTCCTTGGCTCTTCCTATTGTTTCAATAAAAAATTTCCTGTCTGTCTGGATAGACTGGGGGTGTTAGATATCACGTTCATGGTTATGTCTCTGGGTGGCTTTGGGTATTTCCTTTTTTACAATATTTCCAGGCGCAATCGGTGGGTAGAAAAGGGTGGAGGGAGGTCTTTTGTCTTGACTGTTTCATGCTTACTTCCACTTCTTTTCTGTTTTCTTCTTTCATGGGAAAAAGGAAAAAGTCTGGTTCATCCTTATCTTCTTGTACATACTGGACACTAGCAGTTGATTACTGTTTCTTTTTAATTTGTGGCTTATGCAACTTGCTTGCACTTGACTTTTCGCTCTTTCCTCTCTTGTTTACCTTGAACTTCTTTTTTATTTCCCACAACCCCCAATACTCGCCACCATGGATTCCGCCATGAGTCCCTTTAGTGACCTGGATGTGTTTGCAGACTGGTCCGGTGATCCCTTAGATCACGTCGAAGTCAAGATGACGGTCGAGGTGAGATCTCAGCCCTAGCCGCAGTTTCGTATGCACTGTGCGCCTCTGACTATGACAACATCAAAATCAGATCCATTGCAAACCCTTCCTTGACAAGCCTATTCTAAATACCCGTTTGCCCAAAGAATTCGTCGTGGACTACTCCCTACGCCTCGCCGAGCCCCGCGCCGAGCTGAAAGAAACCCTAGCCCAGCTCCATTCCCGCGACTACGAGAGGATCAAAACCCCATTCACGCCCGAAAGTCGAAGTGCAAATCTGTACCCAGGAGACAGTGCGATTCATCTTGAATACAGATCTAATTCCTCGGAGCATGCCACCGTTCTGCTCGACAGCCCAAACGGCGACTTTGAAGGCGTCACCATCGTGAACAATGTCCACTCACCTTCCCAGGAAAACCACCCACTTGGAAATCTCGGCCACTCCCGAAAGAGAAGTGCGAAGACTGCTTCTCTGCCTGACTCGATTTCTGACTCTGACCGACCTATCGGTGGGTTCAAGCACAAGGGTAGTATGTCTGTCCATGTATCTGGCACTTCGTCGAACGAGTCTGTCAGAGTGTATCGACCGAGTTTTATCCCGCGCCCTGTTAGTAGATTCTCGAATCCACATCATCATCAGGCTAGTGCTCCTGGGAGAATTGCTATTTCGATGGCCTCGTCGGGATCTGAGTCTGGGTCAGGATATTTGCTGGGAGAGAAACTTGCAGCGATGAAGAGGTCCGCGAATAAGAATCGCATTGTGGACAAATCGAAGATCTATGGAGATGATGATGGGGTTATGCAGTCGAATCCTCCAGCTCCCATCACCAACAAGTCGAGTCTTGCTGTGAATGCATTCACGGATTTCTGCGAGGGCAAGGATGGTAAGCTTCACTCGGATACAATTTCTTCTGAGATATCTTGTGGAACACCGTGCGATATTCATAACATCTTGGACTCCTATGGGGTAGTTGATGATTACCCAATTGGTCCTGTCGAATCGATGTATCCTGTCCAGACCCCACGCTCGCCTCTCTCGTCGTATGGATCGTTTTTCTCCTCGACTCCTCAACTTCTCCACGAGAATGGCATCTTCCGCATCTTCTGCCCTCGCGAAGTGCAACCCGCCGTCTACAAGGCGACTATTTCATTTGTACTGCCCTTGGAGAAGGGGACATCCAGGGGATGGTTCAACTTTGTTCTTCCGGGATTGCCTCGACTGCAGAATGATTGCACCGGTTATCTGTATTTCTGGACTCCTCCCGGCCAAGGAATCGAGTTTCGTACCACCCATTTGAAGCGACACACCCTCGGTGAAAGTTGTATGATGGGCCAGTTTCCCATATTCGAGAAGCTAGTCATTCCAGTGCGACCTTGTGATGGACGTTTCTATGGATTCCTCAAGGACTTCAAAGTGACGCAGACTATTCGTGCTGATTTGCTCGTCGACAATGATCCCCAAACGTGGGTTATCAAATATCATGCCGTCTGCACCATTGATCTTATCCAGCGTGGATTTTGGGCTGAGAAGTGCGGTTTGACTCTTTATGTGTATGGTGGACCTGACGCTGAATTCTCTGCTCATCTCCATGAACCCCGAGACGGATTCCAGACCATCGATCTCGACTTTTCTCCTGATACTGACATGGGCATTTCAGAAATTCAAATTATCTGCACTCCTTCCAACCTGGCCCTTTTTGCCATTACCTGGAAAACCCGAATGCCACGGAACGATCCTATCTGGATGCCTCGGATTCGAAGCTGTATGGATACCGAGGGTACGATTGAAGATCTGGAATTTCGGTACATGGAGGCCGAGAATGATAGCTCTCATGAAGTTGTGAATGTCTCGCCTGCTCCTGCTCCTGGGGTCTTTACTACCCGCAACCCACCCAAGTCCAAGCCTGATGATAAGAAGAGATCTTGGAGTATGACCCAATTCATCATTTTGTTTTGTATTGTTGCTGTTGTGAGTCGGATCATTTACCGTCTCTACGATTCTGGCTTTTTTGATATGATTTTCACTGCCGGTGAAGATGATCCTTTCGCCGCAACAGAGCCGATAGATGACAGTCTGATCGGGTCTATGTTTGTCAACATGACTGATACGGCTCCTCAAACCCCTTTTGTGAATATCACCGTCCCACTGCGAGACCGAATCGATTACCTCCTCGGTTGGCGAGGTCCTTACTAATGTGTGAAGACATGAAACAAAAGAAAACTGTATGAATAGGCTCATCGTGCAGCAAGTTACTCAAGTTTAAATCAAACCCCCATTCATATCATCCATACCCGTGGCTACTCACTCACACTTGAAACTTAATATAAAATTCCAAAATCTCCTCAACAGCCCACCTCAAAACAACATCCATCCCCCCTCTCCCCTCCCAGGCGCAACCTTCACCCCAGCATCAACCCTAACATCCAACCCCTCCCCAACCCTGGCAATTAGATCTCCCTCCACAGATTTATCTGCAACAAGCAACCACGCATGATCCTCCACATACCGTGGCCAAACAATATCATCCACGTATCCGGGTGGATCGACCCAGAAGTTCTGAGGTGGTCGATCATCTTCTGCTTCTAGGTCTATCTCTATTGGATGTTCTTTTGATCCTTCTGCATTCGATGGAGCTGTTGGTGTTGATGTCGATGTTGGTACATCCGGTACAGGACCGACAGTTACATATCCACTCCGTGCTTCCCGGCGGGTTTTCACATTCGTATATGAAGCCGGAAGAAAGAGTGGGAGGTGGATTTGGGATTGAACAGCTTGGAGGGGGCTTTTCTTCTGGTCCTGGTCCTGTTCCGGGGCAGAATATAGAAGAAACCCTTCCATGAAAGCGATAGTTTTCGGTTTCAGTTTCATTTCCGAGCCAGAACCAAGTCGTTCGATAACGGTATTTCTCAGTTGACGCACCAACTCATCATCCACGCCTGAATCGGTTGCGTCATTTTGATCCTCTTTACTCTGTAGCCGTGGAGGGAGTTTTCCATGTTGGCGCACGTAAGCGAGAGCCTGGGCGAGAAAATTGGTATCGATAGCAGCGGCTGTATCCCAATCTTGGATTCTTTCTCCGGATTTCGTGGTTGTGTAGGGGATTCTAAATTGTAAGACTCAGACTCAGACAATGGTGATACGGATGGGGTAGGATAACGTACTGATCATCGGGGTAATAGAAGTCGTCTTCGTGGATGATAAATGTATTCAATTTCAATTTCCCCGTGCTGATCTCGGCTGTACCTGTTCCTGAGATCGGCTGCAGGAGATCCACCCCGCAGAATATTCGCTGCAGGAGGCGGGCAAGGGTGGTTTTTCCGCTGGACGAGGGACCGGATATACCCACTACTAGGGTGTTGTTTTTTTCCTGGGAGTCTGTCATTGTGTCCTGGTGGGGTATTGAATGAGATGACGGAAGGTTTGGTTTTGGTGAGGGGCTTGGCTTATCAGGGGCATCTTATCAGGATCTTATCGGGGCTAATGGGGGCTTACCGGTCTAGGCTTAGGGCTTTTCCGGGGGGTCTAGATCTGTGACGCTTGGACCATATTTAACTAGCAAGTTATTTGATATTAGTACTTGAGGTAAATTGCTAGCCTCAATAGTGGAGACAAACCCTCTATATATTTATACATGAAATCAAATTCTCGACGGTCAAGTGCTGGTCAGGGAGTTGTGCCTTAAAGGACAATGATATTTGTAAAGCTTCTTAAGCTTAGTATCTGTTGAAGGTATCATACATGATAAGAGTTGTGGAGCGTATCCAAATCCTCACTTGGATCGTCTTTTTCTTTCGAATCCACTTCGTTTCATGCACTCGGCCTTCATTTCTTCAAATAATTCACCTCACACAAAGTACCATCTAGCATATTGTATGCGAGCCAACTGCTGATATCTTAAGCCAAAGACATGAATCAGATAGTAAGAAGCCGTCTTCCTCCGGTAATCGCATCATTCAAATTCTTCTGTACCTGCTGGACACGCTCAAACCGCATAAACTTACAAGACTCGCTCTCGAGGTGTGAAAACAGCCCAGCCAACGAGTTAAACTCCTTAGGGCAGTTACCGTTGGGGCAGTGGTAGATCCTTTGTTTGTGGATCGGCGAGTTGAGGTGCTGAGTCAAGGCTGCAGGGGTACGGAATCCGCGGTGGCAGCAGTAGCACTCCCAAGCAGTGCCATTGTAAGCAGCGTTAGTCACGCTGTACTTGACGTTCTCTTCGTGCCATTCGATCTGCTGGTTGGTGATCAAGCCCCGGCTGTCAGACGCCCGAATGAGCCTGTGAATAGACTCGCGGTTCAGAGTGGGGGCGTTGGAACAGGACCCGGTCTCGACATGGTGGGATGCGCCACTGGCTGTCACGAATTCAGTCTTGCAGAAGGGGCAAAGGACTCCGGAGCTTCGGTGAATACGTGAGTTGCGGTGCTTGATATGGTCATTAGTTTTGAAGCAAATGAATCGGGTGAGAGGGCTGATACCATGCGAAGGTTGTTCTCGCTATTGAATTCGCGATCGCAGGGGACACAATAGGTTGACCAGTGATCGAGTTCACGCATGTGACGCTCGACTCCTGCCTGGCTACGAAATTGGCTGGTGCAGGTTTCACATTCAAACAGACGATGGTGGTCCAATGCATCCATGTGTTGATCGCAGGCCCTCTGTGATCTGAATGTCCTGTCACAAGAGTCACATTCAACCCAGTGATCGTAGTCATCCATGTGCTCGTCACACTCGTCGCGAGAATAGAAAGTATCCTCGCAGGTCGCACATTCGTACATGTTGGGCGGTAGATGAGGGTACTAGATCAGGATTCCATCCAACCACCAAGATAATGGTAGTGGAGGGAAAAAGAGAGTAATAGCTGAGGGGAAAGATTAAATGAGAGAGAGATGCAGGTGTTTGCAGATAAAGAAGCATGATAGCTGCGTATTGTAGAATGAGTTGACAGATCACATACACTACAACATTTGGGTAGAAAGAAGCATGACTTCTCAGATTAACTAATATCCGCTTTTTCGAATCTTGATGTTTCTTTCAATTACTTTACTTATTCTATGCTTGTTTCATATCTACACATGTCATCAATGATGACTTCTCACATTTTTCCATGTAAGCTTGCGTTGTTCAACGTTGCAGGCATGATTGATATCTTATCTATCAGCGCTCGCCCACGTGACAACCGATGTTATGATGAATCACAATTTAATCACGTGGCTTATCACATGACTCTCAAGGCCGTGTTATTGCATTTGAACTTCATCTTCGATGATGAGCCTTCAGCATCATTTAAGATAGATATTGGTACATTTCATCTGATTTGCAACTATGGTTATCTGTTGTAGTGAGAATGAGTATTAACTGTGGCATTCTGCAGCATGAATATGGCAAGAATTTAATTCCATTCCAATATCATTCTTGTCTCCTGTTCCACATTCTATGATAATTATATGATACAACCAGTCCACTGTAGGTGACACACTGTATGTCTGAGACAAGACCACTAATGCATCGTTTGCTAGAGTCTCAGGCTATAGCCGTGAGCATTGATATCAGCCGGTCTGAATTTTATGAGAGGAAATAGACAGGAATGTCCTATTAAATGATGTTATAGAATGATTCAAGGCAAATCCCTCCGGAAGTATAATGAAAATGACGTAAGGCAGGCCGGCATAACCTACCGAAGTGGAATCCTCCAAGCTTAGCGTTTAGGTTCAACCCGTTTCATGCCAATTGGCCAACCTACTCAGCCGCGGGGGAAATTTCCCTCCGAGCAAGAGTGTGGAGAATGCGGGGATAAACATTGAATGTCACATTGCTGGGGAAATAAATCCCGAAAATAAAACTTGGCATTAGCCCTCATAGCCAATCACTCTCCAGGTAATCATGTACCTTGATCCCGTATCCTGAAGTGTTCTTAGATCGTCACTTTTCCCCGACGTGGTGATGTACTGGTCTCTCTTACCCCACGGGGTATGCAGGCAAGGTGGATAACTCATAGATCTGGCTTAAAAGGCCCCATCGAACTCCTCAATTGGAATCATTCAGTTCCAATTATCTGCAGCTAGTTCTCTTGAATACGGTCGATATGAATACCGCTAAGAAACTTAGCCTTATGAGCGACCCGTACAAGGGCGATGATGATGTTGAGGAAATTGAGAACGTCAAAGCCAATAACATCAATATTCAGACTGAACTCAGTAGCATTGAGTCAACGGCTGCCTCCAAGGCTGCCTGGTTGATCTCCGTGGTTGTCTCAATAGGCGGGTTTTTATTCGGTATACCCCTGGGCCCTTACACCTCACAGGAGATGATGCACTGACTTCTACTAGGATATGATACGGGATACATATCGTCTGTCCTGGTTACCATCGGCACATCCCTCGGTCATGTATTGAGCACGAACGAACAAGAAATGGTGACATCTTTGACAAGCGGTGGTGCCTTGGTAGGAGCGGTAGGAGCTGGTCTCACTGCTGATAAATTTGGTCGTCGCTGGCCAATATGGGGATCTTGCTTCTTGTTTGTCATAGGCTCAGTACTGCAGACCTGTGCCTACTCCGTTGGTCAATTTGCTGCTGGGAGATTTGTGGTCGGCCTTGGGGTAGGAGGCGCTGCTATGATTGTTCCTCTGTACAGTAAGTCTATCCCCTACTCGCTGGAAGGACTCCGCTAACCTCGATCTTTCCATCAGTTGGAGAGCTGGCTCCTGCAAAGTACCGTGGCCGGATGGTGGCGTTCAACAACATGAGCGTCACGTTCGGCCAGCTAGTTGCCAGCGCGATCGGCGCGGGTTTCGCCGAGATACATGGAGAGGGATGGCGAGCTACCGTGGGTATCGGTGCTGCCCCAGCTATTCTACTCGCTGGACTCCTGGTCACCTGCCCAGAGTCCCCTCGTCAGCTTGTCTCTCACGGCAAATTCGATGAAGCACATACAGTCCTCTTGCGCATCTATCCCACGTCTACTGTTGAACAACGTCAAGCAAAAATCACTTCCATCGAACTTTCTCTTCAAGAGACTTCCCAGGACGTTTCAGAAGAGTCTTTATGGACCACTCTTAAAAGGGTATTCAACACTCCGGCGACTGCTCGTGCCGTCATAACGGCTTGTGTTGTGATGGCAATCAGCCAGCTCGGTGGCTTCAATACCTTAATGTACTATGCCTCGACATTATTCTCCATGGTTGGATTCACCAACTCTACCGCTGTTGGCATCACAGTCTCAGGCACGAATTTCGTCTTCTCCATCGTGAACCTGTTCCTTGTTGATCGATTTGGCCGCCGAATTATCCTCACCATCACTGTACTGGGTATGTCAATCTGCATGATCGTAGCCGTCATCGCGTTTATGTATATCCCCGTGAATCTGCAGACACTGAAAGTGGAAACCGCCGAGATCGGCTGGCCCGGTGATCTGGTTTTGGTAGCGATTATATGCTACGTTGCCTGCTATTCGTCCGGCGTCGCTACAATCGCTTGGATTGGCATGGAACTAATCCCATTGGAGGTTCGAGCGGTGGGCACCATGCTTGTATGTTTTCTTCTCTTTATCATGCTTTATATCACTACTAACAAATGTCAGAACACTGTTACTTGCTGGGGCTGTAATATTATCATCTCTTCGACATACCTTTCTATGATGAAAAGCTTGACACCAAGTGGGACCTTTGGATTCTATGCTGCGGTTTGCTTCTTTGGCTGGATATTTGTTGTTTTCTTTTATCCCGAGTGCAAGGGTATGCCTCTTGAAGCTGTGCGCGAAGTTTTTAGTAAAGGCTTTGGAGTCCGGTACTCGAAGCAGTGGCAGAAGGACCATAAACATGACGCAAAGGTGGAGACTATCGTCATGGGGCATTAAGTATATCATGTACCAGGCTGACCCGGCTTCTTTGAATTGGACTTTCTATCCATAATCAAGTTTACAAGTCGCAGTTATTCAAATATGATTGCAAACAGTCCTACCTCACCCTGCATTATGTCACAGTAACAATAAACGACCTGCTAGATTGCCTAGAATGATGTCACTCAGCATGAGAGGATCCAGCTTTCTTAGCCAAGCTTAGCGGTGAACCGTAGATGTAAGTAAAAAAAGCAATACATCAAGCTAACTAGCATATTGTGCATATGCAGTCTTCAGAGTATAACATGAGTAGCTTCAAGGCCACGAAAGAGTGAGATAGCGACGAGTTCGGTTGTTTAGAGGGCTTTTCTCTTTGCCTGAACTTATATTTCATGCACAATTCCTAATGACTATTTTAGCTTATAACGTCCTCTATGTTACGATGTATAACCTCAGCGGGTACGATAAAAAAGCTTCGGTTCTAACAGAGGCTAAAATGCTGTCAGCATGTATGTATGCGTGTGTATCCACCACTGCGCATTTGCCGGAAGGACGCAATCTGATCTACAGAATGGATCTGCACGCCAATATCCATTGAATTTTTATGTGGTTACACCGCATGTCAACTTCCTTCTTTTCTCGATTCTCTGTTCATATAACATTATGACTCATTGGCTTGTGTGTGTAGCTCCCTATTGGTCTGCTATCTCTATGCAGACTGCATAAGTCTGCGATACCTGCCTTTTCCTTGCGAATGCCATGCTGTGATGTAGCTGCAATGTCGTATAGACAATCGCATGTCTCAGTTGCTTTTCAATGCCTTACTTTGACTTTGCTATCTAATTCACACAAACAAGTAACTTGTTGCTTCAATATTTAGCTCCATTTTTCTTATAAATAAGGCCTCGCTCCATCGTCAAAGCAATCCGCTCTGACAAAACAAGGAACCATTTATATCTACTCCTGACTTGCAAGCTTCTAAAGCCAACCGCCAATTCCAGTAAGCCTTTCAAGCCCCCTTAGTTGACTTTATGCATCTGGGAGACCGAGTCAACTCACGGATCCTACCTTTACATAGTCAAAAAGCGTTATGAAGCTCCTTCTCGCCATTACCACACTCTTTGCTACGTCTGCTGTTGCGAAATACAGTCCTGGTCAAGATTGCCGCACCAACAAAGGGTGCGATCAAAATTGTCTTGGAAGCAAATGGAGCGTCATAATAGAAAACGGTGATGCAAAAATGGTTTGCGATCCTACTACTCTTGATTCGACTCGTTATGTTACAGCCGATTGTGTGACTTCCGGTAATCAATTGCCGGATGATAAAGTTACCAAGGCTGCTTGCGACGGTGTGGAAGGAAAGTTTTGCAATGGCAGATGCTACTTTACTACTAAAGCATCAAAGGAGGAAGCTGCTAGCAGGAACTTTGACCAGCTGTGCAATCAGAAGAAGCCCCAGGGCTCGGGAAGTTACCTTTCCTTTGTTTATATGTACCCTACCAAACAAAAGGCCCTGGAATTCAGCGGTGGCCAATGTGACTCCGTCTTTTTCTCTAATGAGCTCTAGACGAGTCATACTGTTACTGAGAAGCAAAGATCTTTGAAATGTGTTGGTTTCTACATGTAACTCGGCCATGTTTCCTTTAGGCTATCTTTATACACTGGTACTATGAATCAATTCCGTCAATGACTCAAAAGAAGTTTGTTAAAGCTTGTTAAAATTCGATATCATCTACAAGCCGACCTATTGAATCCGCCAAATATGGCTAAAATGGATTCATTCTTCATATACTGTCTATTGAGTTGTTTTCTTTGTCTTTTCCTAAGAAGTGGATTGCCAATATTTGCGCATTTCCTACAAGAGGCATATATGCCTCGGAGCTCAAGAAATCCCCGAGCCATTGTGATTGATGATCAGACCCCCAAAGTCTGAGGTAAAGTGCTCTGCCGCTTCAGACCAGGCAAATCCTATAAAGTAGAAGCAAAAAGAAAATCTTAAGGCCCAAATATAGACACTTGCTTCTCGCTCCTGATATGGCTATTTTAAGCCGCAGAAGATGAGGAAGCAGAGATTGCAGAGCGATTCTGAACTGAAGAGTCACTGTCACTCTCAGTTCCAGTGCCCAAAATTTGCACACTCGGCGCAAAACCAATCCGCGACTTCTTGGTTGGAGTCGGAGGCTCCACATTCTCCGACCAATCCATCGCATCAGAATCAGCATCTGACTCGACTGTGACAGGTATGTGAGAACGTTTCCTAGAACCACCTACTTCGGCGGCCTCATTATCTGGAATAGGCAAACGATGACGGTCAAAGAAGCCCATCGGACGAAGCAAGTATGCTGCACCGGAAGAATCCTCGTCTGACATATCCAGGAAAGGCTCGTTCTGAATAATATCATTCATAGTCGTATCATCTAACAAACTCTTCTCGGCATGTTGGATCTCTGCTTCGGACATCTCCTTTCGTCGACGCAACATTCTATCTTCGAGTGTGTCTTGTAGAACAAGCGTCTCCACGTAAACGGGTCTGGTCTGGCCAATTCGGTGAGCACGTTTGATTGCTTGGCTTTCGACGTTTGGTTGCCAGATTGGATTGACTATGTATACACGTGAGGCCTGAGCAATGTGTAGACCATGTGAGGCTTGGCGGAGGTCCATGAGGAGGATACGGACTTCATTGCCTTCGCGGAAGAGATTGAGATATTCTGTTCGGAGTTGGGGGTTGAGAGTGCTAGCGTAGATGCGGAAGTCTATGCCGAGAAGTTCAAGTCCTTCAGCGATCCAGAAGGCCGAGTTACTGTTGTCGTAGAAGATGATGATTTTTTCTGCTTCTTGGTATTTGATAACTTGATCGAGGAGATAAGTTAGTTTGGCGGACGCCGTGGCGACAAATTGGGTTTTATTGAGAGGTGAGTTTTTGGGGAGTGTGTAAAAAATATTGCGATTGAAGGTCTTCTTCGGCGATTTTCTTGTTGGATTCGGACTGGGGGTTGATCTGGTAGAGGTCGTATTAGTAGACTCTGGGGCTCCTTTTGTTGAGGTGCGTTGATCGCTCCGCTTGAGAGCCTGGCGTATATGGATGCCATGGCCTGATAGGCCCTGTGTAGGATCACGCTGTCTGAGATGCTTCGTAACAAATTTCTGCGCAGAGAGAGCCTGTGTGATACCAATGAGAAGTGGATCATCCTCTCTTTGAGGGTCAATTGCCCAATGCGCCCGGTTGTCTTCGGGGAATTCTGTCACAAATATCCCAAGCGCGTGTAGATGCTGAAGCTCGCGCCATCTATTAGACTCTAGGGCTCCACGAGCAATCTCAATACCCTTATTTAATTGATTCAAGTCAGCGATCGTCATGGTATCTCCTTTTTTCTTCAGATATTCTAGCGCAACATCGACTGTTTTTGGCAGGTCCTTGTCATGGCCGACCCACCAGAATCCGGCCTGGCGCAAGTTGTTGATCGTCTGATTCAGACTCTTCCGGTTGCTAGAGTCGAACATGTAATCTGGACCTTGGCGTTCGGAAGTAATTGAGTTGACAGCAAGGTTAAAAAGGAACAAATTGATAGATAATCGGTCATAATACGTTGGCTGAAGGTAAACGACCTTGTTGTAGAGCTTCGGGAGAGTAATTTCCTTATTTACCACATCCATTCGGTGTCGAACCACTAATCCTTGAAGTGTAGCACGTATAGCCGGTGTTTTTCGTCGCTTGCCATCTTCTCCGAGAGGCTTGATGTACTTAGTCCAATCAGCAGGGTCATCCGCACGCGAGTTCGACCAAGGTTTCAAGTCCAGGAACTCAATCACAATGCGCCGGATCCGGTCTAAGTCTTTCATTTCGTTCTCAATTGCATTTCCCGTCTTCTTTCGAGTTTTCAGGGCAGCAGCAGTGATATGCTCCGATGGCTCGGTGTCGCTTGTGTTAGCCTCCTGCGAGGCTAGGCTGACCTCTACCCCGTAGAGTCCAGTAGACGGCGTACCGGAGATCACCCAACGACGTTCAAAGTGAAGTTGGCTGAGCAGGTGAATCATATTCGTTTTTGAACCATGCCCTGCAACATTGTGACCTTCGTCGACAATCACCCGTAGCCAATGAAGTTCTGTGAGAGGTGACTCGAGAGGAATATAGCTATTGCGCCGGTTGTGTACAGCCTCGCCTGCCTCTCGCTCGAAACGTGTCTTGGAGAACAGAACGATGTCATAATCCAGGAGCTGGTCAGCAGAAGGAGTCGTGTCAGTGCCTAATCTCAGTGTCAAAACTTTGAGGTTTTCGGTGTGAAGCCCGATTTCACGTTGCCAATGATCTACCAAGTTGTTCGGAGCGATAATAATTGTACCCGAGCAAATTCGAATACGCCTAGCCGGCGGTCTTTGATAAGACATGCTATGTCGGCCTTGGTATCGAGTCTGATGCGGCGGAATTTCATAGAATCCACACTGGCGTTCACACGCCTTGATACACCTGTCGTAAAATTTGCCCTGTTTTTGCTTTTCGAGGAAGAAGTTTTTCCAAGGCTCAGAATGGCGGCCCGTGGCAGCTGCAGCCATATCCATGAGAGATCCAACCTTTTCTCGAACGGGCCTGGGATCCGGTCTATCCGGTCGGGACAAATACTGGATGGGAATCTTGGGGACATGCCCACGAGTAGCACAGATTACAGCAAGACAGATGAGTGTCTTCCCACAGCCCATAGTCTCTGCCAGAATTCCTATTCGGATGTTAGTACCTTGAGTAAATCGATAGAGTGGGTAGCTTACCTCCACAAGCCTCAGAATACATCGTTTTCTCGCGAACAATAATTCCATCCTCCTTATCAAAATAATACTCCACGCCCGTAGGGGTCCGATAAGGCTGGAACCGCGGATCAAGCATATAAGCCGGCTGCGCCTCCCGCTGAACCATAGTAGCAGCCGATCGACGCTGATACGGATAGAGCGGAGTCTTGATGCCATATGCCGAGAAATCGGTTCCAGACATCAAGTCCTCCATAGACCATTTGGCCCAAGGATCTTTCATGGCTTCCACATCAGGATTGGGATTTTCCAGCGTGTTGAAAATGTAAAAGAGGGAGTCATCTTCGGCGCTGGAAACATTGGGATCAGGTATCTTAGCACTGCGTTGCCCTGCCCATGCTTCAGGCGAACAATCAATGCTCGCCATGACGACTTTAACGGCATTTCTTAATTTCCCAATCAATCGTTGTGAGTGACGCCGGCTTGTCATGTTCGTATTGATCCATAATCCGATACTGTTGGCTCGATCATGGTCGCGGAGCCAGCCATTTTCACGTAAAAGCGCAATATTTTGCCCCACAATGCCATCGTGGGCGGTTTTTCTATCGAAAACGCCGACGGGAAGCCAAATGTTCTTGTCTTCCTCGGGGCTACCATTCTGTTGAGCCGCATGTATGGGTACCAGTGTGTTATCAGGGCCGGGCACAGATGGTTGGGGAATATCAGGGACAATAGACGGAAGGTCCCAAGCATCCCTGAGCATACTTGCCCTGCACTCAAGCGGCATGATGACGAGTTGGCTCCAACCTACAACATTGGAGGTTTCTTTCATTGAACGGTGACCCTGATAGGTATATGGCAGAATAATCACCGCCTTTGTGGGTCTAGTCCCACTTCGCGACGATCAATGGATAAACTTGACAATTGTGCTCAACCTGGCCCACGCAAGATGGAACTGCTTGGAAATCGACAATCATGATTCGCTACGATCGGAATGCCTCAGGCCCATGATATAGGGAAGATTACGAATATATGGAGGAAGATGGTGCCAGGCGTTGTTACTGTCATGAGAGGGACGCCATCCAAGGACAGAACGCTTGAGCGAGTACTCCTTATAGGAACTAATTGAAGATTCAGATTATTATCTCTAGTCAGTGTACTCAAGTGCTCAATACACAATATATATTATTTACAGTTACCATCAAATCTATTAGATGGAATCACTGTGTCAAAAAGTCCTCAATCTCGAACCCAACGCGCTTCAACGCCTTCTCCAATTCACGCGATGAACCAGCAATCTTCCTCAGCACGATAGTTCTCGCATCCTGCAATCGCACCTCGACCGCAATCCCACCCGCCCGATCCAGCTCCTCTCGGGTACACTCCCGAATATAAACGGTAATATCGGGACCGACGCAGGCGCGCCACAGCGACGCCATCCACTGCCAGTGATCTAGAGGGCCGTACGAATCATTGATAGGAATAGAGCAGGCGAATGCATCCGCCGTCGTGATCTGGTATTGTGGAACAAGAGCAATGGGAATTGCACACGGGCTGCCAGGTGTACTTGTGACGCTCGCATCCGAGCTATTCTCGCTGGATTGTGCAGGGGAGTGGATATACATGCTGGCAGTCTCTGGTATGAGGGATTTGGGTGATAGGCTCAGCTTGTTGGACTCCTCCTCTGGGCTGGAGCGAGAGTCAACTGACATGGCTGTCGAGATGGACTTTACGAAGCTGACGACCTCTTCAGAGATGCGGTGCCATGCTGAAATGGTGTCGAGGTAGTCGACTGCTGCGTCACCCATTGGGCCACCTTCTGAGCTGGATTTGCGTGGTGGTTTGATATCTGGTCCGTCGAAGACGCGGACGTGGTATTTGGGTTCCTTCCGGAGGAGGCGTTGGAGGTAGTCCACGGCGACTTGGACGAGTTCCGGATCGTGGCCGTCGACTGCGATGACGGGGCCTCGGATTTGGGGGCTCGACTCTCGGAATGAGGGGACCAGCGGCGGTGATATTTTCGCTAGCACCTTGATCTTATTCAGGACTGGGATTGTCATGACAGTGGCCTCCACGCTAGGTTCGGTGGAGAAGTTCGGGGTAAGAGGAGTCATGACTGGTGTGCCGGTCTGGAGCGGTGGTAGCTTTAGGCTTTGGTCTGGGTGTGACTGGCCTTGCACGCTGCTATATTGGCGCTGCGGTTGAAGCATCGGCAGCATGTTTCTAGGTTGCATATCTGGACGAGTACCATACGGGGCCGCCGAGTATGGAGACTCGGGACTTCTATCTCGGTGGGCGATCATACCCGGCTTGAGAGGGGTGTGAGAAACACGGCGACGTTTATTGTCTGGTGACCTCTCACCAATCTCTTCCCCATGGCGAGATCGAGAGCGTGATTCCAGCGCCTCAATTTTGATCAGCTTAGGCTCATCTCTCTCGCGGCCGTGTGAGCTCCTCGCCGTCATGACAGTTTTTTGTGCGATGGGTGTTGAGAGGCCTGATGATCGGTACTCTGTGGAAACAGTCGTGGGTGTGAAAGGGGTCATTGGTGAGGGGGGATGCATAAATCGACCCCCACAGCGAGTGCAGTGAGTCCCACCAGATGGGTTGTTACTGATGCCTGAGCCAGAGCCACGAGCACCACCATCCCGGCCACTACGTCTGGGCTGATAGCGATAACCCGGGTATTGCTGGTTATGACGGAGTTTCTCCTCCTACTTGATATTAGCCATGTTTATCACAGGAATTTATGCAAACTAACCTCCGCCAGAGTCCTCCATTTGGACTTTTCTTCTTCAGAGAGGTTCCTCCACTGCGTACCAATGATTTTGGAAATATCTGGATTCGCCATGCCCGGATTATGCGCCACGACCGTTGCCTGGTAGTGTTGTCGGTACAAAATAAATGCTATTAATCACGAATCAGCCATCAGATTCTCTCAACTTCACCGGCCTTGTGCCTCGACCGCTATAAAAAAGAGTAAAAAGCACTTGCCATGCTCATTCAAAGGCGCGGATAGCATTAACTCACCATTACGAGGTCGCGGGACTTTCGGGTCCGGCTGGCAAAGACAAAAAGTGTCTCTCTCCTTGGCGGACCTCACCGGACTGGCACTGCCAGAGGAGGAGGACGATCGGGATACTTCTTTCGTGGATACCACAGGACCAGGCGCTCTCCTCATAAGATTGGAATGGGCATTAGCCATAGGCATCATCGGATCATTCTGATCGGGCCTCGGCCCTGGAATTTGCCCTTGGTTCAGGACGGTCATTTGGTGATGAGCATGAGGTATATCATGCCGCAAATCGGCATACTTGAACGAATCTGGGCGGTACACCAACTGTCCATGAGATTTTGGGGGGTCACTCATGATCTTGTGGTCAGAAAGGTCGCTAGATCTGACTTGGGTATTGTCATGGTGCAGACCAGCTGGGTCGGGAAGCACTCGATCAAAAGACATTTATCTATATGGTCGAGAGGGGCAAATGGCCGCCACAAACAACCGAAACAAGGAATGGGGGGTCTTCGATGGTGAACGTCACAAAGAAACAAGATCAATCTTTGGGTTTGGATTCAAGAAAACAAAAAAACAGAATGAGGACAGTAAAGCTCGTGACCCAGACAAGCGAAATCGACAAGCCCCTCCAAAGAATTAAGCTGAAAAGAGTAGGAGTGAACGAAAAAGTATAAAAAAACAAGGGGAAAGAGAGTTGGAGAAAGGATTGAAGGGGAGAAATGACTTCACGTATATCAGCAAAAAAAAATGAGCTAGAGCAAAGCGAGACAAAGGTAGGAAGCACCTATTTTTGCGCTTTCTTTGTTGTCTTAGGGTCGTTCGACTCGCAATCCCTGCCGAGTGGCTGGTCCTTTGACAATTGATCCTAGATCAAATCTTGTTGGCATTCAGGCCGCTCCAACCGAGCAAGGCGAGCAAAGAGAATTCTAGACCAGGACAAAAAAGAAAAAAGGCATAGATCTGACTGAATCTGACAGGGGAGGAAAAGAAGGGGGAAAAAGTACGAAACGATCAAACTATATCATTCCCATGGTTTATTTCCCCCTTTCTGGTGGTTTCTTCTTGTTACAACAGGAACCGAACCATAAAATCTAGAATCCATCATCTCTATGGATCCCGATAGTTCAATCCATTCATTTTAGGGTAAAGTAACAGCAAACGAGATCATTGTTTTCTTTGTCTCCGGATGCGGCGAGTCGCAGCGGACCCTCTTATTGATCAAGGTTAATGATTGGTCGCGGCTTGTTCCTCGGTTCCCCGATAAATCGAACAAAGAAAATCACTGGCAAACAACAGAAGAACTATAGTCTCTCTTTTCTTTTTCTTGAAATAACACAAACAAGAATGCATCTCAAATCCAAATAGGCTTAGATAGAGAGAAAGCGGGTAGATACAGTTTACAGATCAGCCATGTCACAGAACTCAACAGATGATCTCATTCCCCCGATCGCTCTCCACATTTGCAGTGCAACTGTCGAGATTGGAACAATACTACCTTAGTGGTTGAAATTTTCCACTTTGAATGTCGAATCATTTTCGTTCATTTTAGTTCCTTTTATTGCAAGTGGAGTGCATCCAGACTACTGGGTTTGAGACGTACCGGCTACTACCGTGCCTCCCCGAACCCATCCCACGCCGCATTAGGACGTTTGAACTGTCATGACATGGGGTACCGACTCTACTACTTCCTGGTCATGTTTCGGATGATATGTTCATTCGTCAACTATACACTTTTAGAATTTACACAATGTCTAAGCTGCAGAGCCTCGGGTGTGGCGCCTTGTCAACTGTTTGGGATTCAAGAGAACCCCGTCAATCCCTTGGTAGACTTCCGCCGCCATAAGTCGGTGGGCAGATGGACCCAAACTCATTTCGTTCCTGTACATCCCGGTCAGCGAAAATAGTCATACACAAAATGTCGATCGTTGCCCGGGAAGGAAAGGAACAGGCACAACGGAACCAAGGACTTGAATTTGACTTACCAGAACAGATACTTCTCTGGGTGTTCACACTGTTTCTTATCCTTGTCCTTTGACATCATGACCTGGAACGAACCCGGTGATTCGACGCAGGCGTCAGCTACATTTTCCCACCCGGGATCCTCGTTCGTGCCCAATCCACTTTCGGCCGTGATGCCTGCTGCATAGAGCTGCCAATCGCGAATCCGATCCAGCAGGAAAGCATCCGTGTCGAACAAGTAAATTGTTCCTTTTTCCCATGGCTTCGCGGCCTCCCGTAGCTTCTGGTTCCAATAGCCTAGCATCTTAACTGCATTCTTGTACTCCACGCCCTGCGTAGTGAAGGCGGGCGAAAATGCCGGTAGGAACGTCACGTCGGGCGACTGTGTCAGAATCACCTTCACTTCATCGGAGCCCCAGGTGTCGGAGAGTTTGCTCAGCTGGTCCATAATGGTCTGGATGCGGCGCTCGATGGAGGCAGCAGCGGTGTCATAGTCCTTAGTGACGAGGGACCAAATGTCCCAGAGACCAAAGGAGACGACGAAGATGGTGCGGTCCTGGCGGGACTTGACTTCGTCAGCGGTGAGACCTTGGAGGCTCTTTTGTTCGGCGTCGAGCCAGTGCTGAAGCTGGGTCTTGAAGTCGTCGAGCTTTGTCTGAGACAGACGGCCTAGTACGTCTAGTTCGGAATTGTCGACTACTGAGCCGGCGTATTTGCCCCTAAGTACGGAGTTGGCTGTCTTGGCGAGGTTCTCCTGGTGACACGAGAACTATAGTAAAATGCTCATTAGCACCGATCCCAAACATGTAAGTGATAGAGAGGTGTCGGGTACAAGCTTTGGACTCAGACCTAACGGAGCCCATGCCCAAGTCCAACCAAAACCAAGACATTGACAACCCGCCTGCTGGGTCGATGCTAGCTCACTCACCTTCTCACAAAGCCAATCAGTCCAGACCTTCCCTTGCCGCTCCTCTGTCTCATTATCACTCCATGAGTCGCCAAAAACAACCAATCGCCGATCAAAGTCGGACACCGTCTCAAATTTGTCTGACGCGAGCGGGACAATATCACCGAGATTACGAGAAGTCAAGAACCACGCCGAGTAGAGGATTGTGCATGCAGCGACGGCGCAGAGGGCGTAGAATCGGTTGAAGAGGCGCATCATACCGACAAAGAATGCGCCCAGCGCAAAAACGAAGAAGTAAACTCGAATATGAGGTGTATGATTCTATTGAAGGCGTGAGGATTCTCCGATGACCCTGAATCGTTAGGTCCTCCGAACTCAAATCCCCCGTTGCGATCGTTGCAATCGGAGCGGGTATCGCCACTGTACTCCGTATGTACTAGTTGCGCTTGTTATCCCAGCAACACTTGTCGCAAAGATGAAAATTCCAATTCGGGAACGCGGTCGACTCGCTCTCGAAGAGAAATGAAAAGGGGAGATAAGATTCTAATCGGGAGGGATTCTTTCTCCACCGGGAGGCCCGGCAAAAAGTAAAAAGCAGCGGGGGCGATTAGAAATCCACGAATAGAACCATACTGTTCATATAAGGAACTTTTATAAGGGGAGAGAAATATAAAAAACACGGTTGTACTGAAGATCTGAGGGCCACGCGGCCAAGGCGGGGAGACACTCCAACATGGAAGAGTATCGCGTGCGGCGTCGCACTGCAGCCAAAGCGAAAGCTTATGTTTCGGCTCTTTCGACTTCATCTCCGCCACTTAGCGGAGGGATCGATCGGATTCCCCCATATCGCACTGTCTAATTTCATACTTCTTGGTAAACTGGTATATACTTATATTTGTGTGAGGAGATCCAGGACTGTTATATTTCGAATAGGCAGATTACGACGCCTTTGCAGTACGCGCCGTCGGCTAATTGGTGGATGACGCGATCGGGGTTGGGCCTCCTTAAACCGGTATACTGTACGGTGTACGAATGCCAAGTCTTGAGCACAATATGTAGATCGGTGGGATCAAAAGTATAAAAGGTTTCTTGCCCTATAAAGTATGCAGAGTTTACCTGCCAAGATTCATTCAGTCTTTCAAGCAAATGAATAGCCTCATAAAGGACCGTTTGGAACATGCTTAATATTTCGACACTCGGCGTACCCTCAAAAACATCGGGACTACAAATAATTGATATAGTGAGCTATCGTGGCTCCGGAACATCAGACAAATATAATACTTTTCTTCCTACTGAGTAAAGATGGAATGCCATACCAAGTACGTGCTACTAATGAATGATTTTGCCGTATTAGTCAGGTGTATGTTTCTGCCTGAGGTGTAGATTTGATGATGCCACTCACGTGATGGCCTTAGCGACGCTGACTGATCATAATCCCAAAATGGTTAGCGTCCGCTGAGTCAGACACACACACACTCGCTACACCAAACCTTTGGAACTCGCAAAATCCACACGACCGAACCCTTCAACCTCACCTGTCGACAACTCCGCGCTACCGTCTTGACCGCGCATACCCCGTCAAGATGAAGCTCAACATTTCCTACCCGGCCAATGGGTCGCAGAAGATCGTCGACATCGACGATGAGCGCAAGCTCCGCCCCTTCATGGAGAAGCGCATGGGCTCCGAAGTCAGCAATCCCCGATCTTTGAATCTTCAATCCACACAAATCCACACCACCACGAACTCGATACCAAAAAAATTTATTACACACAACGCGAATGATAAGAACGATTGGGCTGATGGGTTTTCTTACGATTAGGTTCTCGGTGACTCCCTCGGCGATGAGTTCAAGGGTTACCTGTTCAAGATCACCGGTGGTAACGACAAGCAAGGTACGATAACTCCTTCCACGGTTCGATGATGCTATTGAGAATACGAATCAAAAATGGAATGGGACCACGATTGCTGACTTGAATGAACAGGTTTCCCCATGAAGCAGGGTGGTACGTTTTGACTGGACACTTCCTCATCCGACCAGGAAGGCCGCATACGATTTTTTCAGCATACTTATCGATTATCTACAGTCCTCCTCCCCACCCGTACCCGTCTCCTCCTTGCCGACGGCCACAGCTGCTACCGCCCTCGCCGCACTGGTGAGCGCAAGCGCAAGTCCGTCCGTGGTGGTATGTGAAGACTCTTTCTTCCCCTCCAAAAAAAATGGAATCGCCCATTGACATGTTATTCTGTATAGCCATCACCGGTCTGGACCTCTCCGTCCTCGCTCTCAGCATCCTTAAGCAGGGTGAGCAGGAGCTCCCCGGCCTGACCGACACCGTCGTCCCCAAGCGCCTGGGTCCCAAGCGTGCCACCAAGATCCGCAGCTTCTTCGGTCTTGACAAGAAGGACGATGTCCGCAAGTTCGTCATCCGCCGTACCGTCACCAAGGAGGGCAAGCAGGACTACACCAAGGCCCCCAAGATCCAGCGTCTGGTTACTCCCCAGCGCCTGCAGCGCAAGCGTCACCGCATTGCCATCAAGCGCCGTGCCGCTGAGGCCGGCCGCGAGGCTGCGTAAGTTTCTTCGTCAACGGAGATAATTTCTCCTAGGGACTGAACATTCTGCTAACATCTTTCCAGCAACGACTACGCCAAGCTCCTGGCCAACCGTGTCCACGAGGAGAAGGCCAAGCGTGACGAGCTCCGCAAGCGGAGAGCTTCGTCTATGCGGAAGTAAATTTACACTACGGTGTAATCTTTAATTTCCGTAGGGGAGTTTAATCGAGGGGAGCTTCACGTTGATGGGATGGTTGAGGGATTCACAAAAAAAAGAAGATCACCCAGCAACGCGGATATGTCTGATACGAAAAAGGGCTTAAAAAAGTATGGGGGATCAGGTTTTAGCGTATAAGGCGAATGGTTTGATCACCCTACCCCGGGATGCTACTGTGATCGGGCCTCGGGGCGATGCATCTGGCTGAACCTATCTTTTGACTACCCTTTTTTGAATGGAGTGCATGCCAATTTCATTGTTTTTGTTTCATGGTGATTGCGTGTAGTAGTAAGCTGTAATCTCCCCTGCCCCTCCCTGGCACACCAGGCTTATCAACCAATTTTATGTTGTGCTGCCACACTTGATCTGCCCATGAGTTCTAGATTTTTGGCCCTTCGCCGCCGTTGACATACCCATGCCATGTCTGAATTAAAGCTATTCAACTTGTTCCATTAATTATCACTCAAAACACAATCCATGGATCATAACAAATAAGATATTCTATCCTACCCACGTCCGTGGAGCTGCACAAGAAAAAGATATCCAGCCCTAAAAAATTCATTACCCCGCCTTTCACATATATATTTCAAGCACGACCTCACTTGGCACTCATAGTAAGTACAACATTCAATGTTCAATGTTCCAACCATCCATCCTCAAAATATGTATTCACTACTGAATGTTTAGATTATATACAATAAATTTCAATAACACCTTTAAATAGTAAGGTCACTATTAGCACTTCAGCACTTAGACACCTGGCTGTGTAGAGCATAAGATTTCGATTTTCTTTGTTACCGAAGCACAGACGCAGCGTCCAAAGGACATCAATTAATCGAGACACATTTGTAACAATAAACGTTGCACTGTCAACAAAGCCTTAACAGAACTTGGAAGTCAGAGACTGGGTACACGAGGTATCCTTAACAGGCACATCTGTTACATAGGTTACCTAGCTTACCTATATACCCTGTACGCATGCATATCAGTCAACTTGGCGGGCACGATTCGATCAACTGAGCAGACAACAGTGATGCCCATGAGTCTTTGTTTAGATCCATATGCATGGTAACATTGATGGCATGCCCACATCCACATATCCGAAAAAGGTTGTTCACATCCCTATATCAGGTACACAACATCCATGGATTTCAAGTACAAGATACATAGTAATTAAAAGGTACTAAGTAATGAGCGTATGTGGTATGCAGAAATTTCAAGTTCAAGGCAATTCAATCATTATAATTTCAAATGTCAGAATTACTCTGATTAATATGGGACTGCATGCAGCCAGGGCGCCAGAATGGGCCGAGTATAGCAGGAAGAGGAAAAGGGGATTTGAAGTGCAAAAGAAGAACGTGTTCTTGAGAAGCAATATCAGACTAATTTTTTCACTGTCATACAGGCCAACAGGCCATGGTTTTAGAAATGTCCTCATATTGTTGCGATAAGAACACAGGAACCAACGGAGCAGAGCCAACAGAGCGGAGCCAGCGAAACGTACGAGCCAACGGAGCAAAGCCAAAATAAATATCACAGAGAAAGGGGGAGTGGCAGTCATAGTGGGAATAAAAGTTATAGTGGTGATGGGAAGTCGAAGGTCAGGTCGGAGAAGTCGGAGGTGGAGTGGTGGGGAAAGAAGAAGAAGAAGAAGAAGAAGAAGAAGAAGAAGAAGAAGAAGAAGAAGAAGAAGAAGAAGAAGAAGAAGAAGAAGAAGAAGAATAGTGCAGAAGCAGTCAATGAAAAGGCAGAAAACAAACATTTGAATAGGACGTGGCTGAAGTATGTGATTTCGTGATATTCATTTAAGCTTAAAGCCTAAACATGCTCTTCAACAACACGAACAAGTATCTCCAAACACAAATACACCGAAATTCTTACGCATAAGCTACTAGTACCACCTGAGAAAGTACATGATACTACAACACCTGGCAGAAGTCAACAGGCAACACAGGTCCAGTATCAATGGCCATCGAGGCTTCTAATCATGATCTAAAGATACAAAGACGAATTTCGAGACATGCACAATGCAATTGAAAGAAAAAAACCCCCGATTTCACCAGCAGAGAAGAGTTACTGAGTAAACTATTCTGCTTCAGATCAATCAAGTAGAAAAAAGGCAAGAATATCAAACGAAAAGTATCCTGGACACTCGTATCCTCGGAAATGTCAAATAATGGTCATAAGAATCGTATTTTTGTTTCTCCCGCCAACACCCTTGGCATCGCATCGCATCGCATGGAAACCTTGCCAAAATACACATCCACGGGTCCCCCTGGCAGTCAAGTCAAATTGTTTGGAATTTTGGGGTATTGCATTTAATTTTCGAAATTGGAACGCAATTATGCGACAGCGTGAGAGAAGAGGAAGCTAACAGACTCTCCGTTGTGAGTACGACGGCAAGCCTCGCCCAAAGTGGGGCTGATGTCAATGGTCTCGATCTTATCGCAAGCCAGCTTCTTCTCGGCGTGGGGGACAGTGTTGGTCACAACAAGACGGTTCAGACGGCTACCGTTCAGGTTCTCGATGGCCTTGCCGGAGAGGATACCGTGGACGACAATAGCGTTCACTTCCTTGGCACCGTGCTGGAGGAGGGTGTCGGCAGCCTTGACGAGAGTGCCGCAGGTATCGGCCATGTCGTCGACGATGATGGCGACCTTGTCGCGGACGTCACCGACAAGGACCATGCGAGAGACCTCGTTGGGCCGCGCGCGCTCCTTGTGGATCAGGGCGAATTGCAGATCAAGGCGGTCGGCGATGGCAGTCGCACTAAAGAAAAGAGTGATTAGACTGACATCATAATTTATGAAGATAATTCATGGGCTTGCTTGCTTACCGCTTGGCACCACCAGCATCCGGGCTAACAATGACACAGTTGTTCACATCCAGGTTCTCGCGGATCCACTTGAGCATACTGGGCTCAGCATACAAGTTGTCGACGGGAACGTTGAAGAAACCCTGGATCTGGCTGGCGTGCAGATCCATGGTAATAACATGATTGCAGCCAGCAGTCTGCAGCATGTTGGCCATAAGCTTAGCGGTGATAGGAGCACGGCTCTTATCCTTCTTGTCCTGGCGAGCATAAGGGAAGTTGGGAATGACAGCGGTGATACGGCGGGCAGAAGCAGTCTTGCAGGCGTTGATCATGATCAAGAGTTCCATGAGACCGTCGTTGATATCGTTGGGCCGTGTTGACTGCAGGATGAAGACTGCACGAGAACGAAACGAAGATCAGCAACGGGCTTCTATGGCTTCTTTCCCTCCATCCTTTATTTCTTCATCCGGGACACCGCGGCGGGGTCAGCGTACCATCTTCGTCTCGGACACTTTCACCGATTGTGACGCTGGTCTCCTGGTTGGAGTACTGCAAGACCATAATCTTGGTCAATTCAATACCGAGGCTGTAGGCATTCTTGAATTAATATTTGCCGCTAAAAATTGCTTTTGCGGAACGCAAGGATCGTTCACATACCGATCCGCCACGAGCTCAGCGAGCTCGGGGTGACTGTTGCCAGTCAGCAGCTTGATAGAGTTGGTCGCCATGGTGTGCGAAAGTGGTGAAAGAGAACTGAATGTCTCCTAAGGAAGAAAGAAAGACAAAGAGCCGTTAGCTTATAGAGCTTTAAAAAAAATCGAATCCCGCACCTGCACTTTGGGCCCCGCATCTTTTTCGTATCCCGTGACCACTCACCGCCTTTGCGTCGTCATTAGGAATTTAATGCATAGCCTTACCGCTTATGTGGAATCGGTATAACATAAAGAACATATGGATATTCCCGTAAGACGTAAGAAAAGCAGCAATCTAAGTACAATTGAAGAAAAGGGGCCTCTGGAGCCAGTTGACCTGCACATCAACCGGAAACAAAGGGCTCCCCAGTGTTTTTCCCACCTTTCCTCCACTTCCCCACGAACATTCCCGGGAAACGCCATTGAATGCTTAGGCCTGAAAACAAGAACACAAATTGAAGATGTAGAAATAAGGCTGTCTATGCGAATCCGAAGTAATCGCTACCAGCTGTCATCGCGGTATAAAGCCGGTGACGGAGATCTTCATAACTTTCATATTCAGGAAGATCAAGCTCTGGGGATATCGTTAGCAAGTGAATCAGTATAGAAGAGAGAAAAGTGCAAGCTTACGATTGAAACATGTGTGCGAGCTAGGCAAGCGGGTCTTGTTGCCATAATCGCGGTGGATATTGAACTTGCTAACGCCGTTCATACCCTCCAGTTCCTTGAAACCGTTGAGAGGCACCTTGGAGGTACCGGTGACGAACTGCAACAGCTTGGCACGCTCCTCCTTGTCAAATGAGCGAACGGCACGCCAGAACCACTGGATTTGTGGTGACGAGGCAGAGTAATTGTGGTACTCGGTGTTGTTCTTCCACTCATCGACTTCGATTTCGGGCAGACCGGAAATCAGAAGCTCCAGTTCCTGCTCGTTGAAGATGGAAATGAGCTCAGGAGGGATAATTTCATGGAAACCTATATTTAATGTCAGTTTTCATTCGAGGAAAAGGAGCATAGGGAATTCTACCTTTCAGGAAGTTATCAAGCTGATCTCGGACGGATTCCACCAGGCGGTACTCAACCACACGCTGGATGTACTCCTCCTTGTTCTCCTGAGTGACCGGAATGTTTTGACCATCGGGAATCAGGTCGATAGTTTGCTTTTCACCAAAGGCATCGGTATCGATGGAAAAGGTCTCGGTGATGATGTCGGTAATATCGTTTTCCAGCATCCAAAGTAATGACTTGTAATAGTCTAGGTCAAGCGTTTCCATGTCTTTGATAGACACAGAGCGCCCAAGGATATTCTTGTAGACAGCACGAGAGAAGTGGCAGTCCAGAACCCGACCCTCATAGAGAGCCTTACCGATGATCCGGCCAATGAACTTGAAGAACATCAAGTGCTCGGAGTTGACACCACTCAGACGGTTGGGGTGGAAAGTAGTCCGGTCGGCGGCTACAGGAATGAACAGAGCATAGTTGGGGTTGAACATGCCACGGGCAAGAACCTGGAACCATTCACGAGTGACACCACCAGCATCGACACCTTCCTCGCCATGGAAGCGGACGTTTAATTTGCCGTACTTGAGCTCATCAGCGCTCTTAAAGTATAGCGACTTGAACGAGTCAAGGAAGACTTGATCTCGGCGCACAGCGAGCTGGAGAGGAGGATGAGGGTGACGAGGCTCGGCACCACGGGCATGGACACGACGAGTGAAGTAATTGCGCTTGTTGTCAAACTCCAAGACCTTGGGGTTCTTCACCAGCAGAGAGAATGTGCCACTCATCAAGCGGGGATTTGAGCGAACAAGTTCGTTGAGAATCTTGCGGTGTTCCTCGGTAAATTTGAAGAAGAGGTTCTCCATGCTAAGGCCAGCATCAGCGGGGGCACTGTTAACTGACAACTCGCGACTGCCACGAGAAATAGATTGATCCTTGAGAGTAGTGTTCTTGCAAACAACCATCAATGCCTCGATCAAAGGCAGGAGAACGGTAGCCACGTTCAGCATGTTCTCCTTTTGGCGAATGACGGTCAAGCAGTCGCTCAGCTTCGTCCAGAGAGGACCAAAAGTGGCACTCTCATACAGTCTCTTGAGCACATCTTCCTTGGGAGCAGCTTCGGGCTCGCTGCCCTTCGACTTGTCAACCCGACTTGGATCGAAGAGATAGTCAAGCGCAGTAAGAATACGAAGCAATTTCGCCTGATCAGAGCTGGCCGGAGAGAATTTAGCCAAGGCTAAGCCTTGCATGTCCGTGCCAGTCTTAGATTGGTGGATACAAGGAAGCAGCTCTTCCAGGTCTCCGAGAATTATATCGCTGAGAGCCTGTGCTTGGCTGACAAGCTCATTACCAATCACATCTCGAGCGCCGGGGATCGCAGAAAGGTTATTGATAGTGGAGAGGGTGTCACGGAATGTTTTACCATTACACTCGCGAGCTGCAAGGATTTGAACGACCAGGCGGAAATTATGGTCGGGGACCACAGGAGGCTCAATGGTCTTCCGCTTGCGCTTCTCTTCCTCTGCGGGCTTTTCAGTGCCTTCCGCTTTAGAATCACTTCCACCTTCTGTCGTCTCCTCGGTAGCTTGTCCCTCGGCTGTTTCAACGGTGGGCAGTGGAGCATCCGTCATCGTGGTGTCCGAGCCAGATTGAGCAGTCAACATGGATTGATCCGAAGTCTCATCGGCCGGGGCTCCTTCAGGCTTTTTTCCCTTTTCTTCTTCCTGTCTCTCTTTCTCACGGCGGAGAAGGACAGTAAGTGGTTGAGTAATACTACTGAGTAGACTGGACAGCTGCTCCATACAATTAGGGCTGTCCATGATCAACTTCCTGTCAAGGAGGGAAAGTAGAGCATTCAAAGCGAATTTGTTAACTCGATTCTCTTTACTCTTGCCCTTGCGAAGTGCCTTAAGCTTGAGCGAGGAAGCCGAATCATGCTCAGTCAAGAAGAACCAAGCAATGTGAGGATTGAACTGGGACAGGAAAGAAAGTGTTCCTAGACATTGCTGGACGACCATGATCGGAGTGACATCATTGCTGATGCTAGAGGTTTGAAGAGCAAGGTTTCGTTTGCCAGATTGAGGAGTCTTCTGTGAGCCAGGAGCCTTGGCACGGAGCGATAGGTGAGAAAAGCTGCGCTCGATGGCAGAGGAATCAATGCTACCATCTTGCAAGACGGACAACAAAAGGCTGATCACCTCACCGCGGTTCTGACGGTTTTCACAAACATTGTGAAGAATATCGTTAAATTGATGGCGTGCGTTACCATGGAGGGGCATGAACAGTAAGCGCAAAAGGGTAGCAACGCCAGCCTTGTCGAGCATCTGAACAATTTGGCGTCTCTGAGTTTTCTTAGGCTCTTGATCTTCAGCAGGCTCATTTCTCCCGCGGTGTTCCATTCCACCAATGTCACCAAACTGGGCAATGCGGCGACCACCAAGAGCTCGTGCCTCTGTTAGGTACTCGGGGCCCAATGTAGCAAGTACATCTTCTGGTTGTTCGGCGAGGACGGCTTGACGCAAAGTGGGATCCAGAGTAGCGAGGAAACTGGCAGCATCCATATCCTCTGCCCGAGGTGCAGCAGTGCCAGCAGGGGGCTGTTGGCGACGAGCGGCGTCTCGCTCGCGGCGGCGTCGGTCGGCGGCCTCCTGTTGCAACAACTCGTCACGAATTTCAGCAGGCAATGCTTCCAGGAATTCCTGGTTGATTTCGGTTGGCTCTTCCCCAGCAGCAGCAGCTTGAGATCGCTGCTCGGCGAGTTGCTGCATGATAACCTCTTCTCGGAGCTCCTCTGGCAGAGCTTCTAGATATTCGGGATCGATCTCCAGCCCGGTAATATCAAGCTGGCGACCGCGAATAGTTGTGTGAACTCGCTGAGTAGGCTCGGGCTCGGCTTGAGCGGAGGAGCTGGCAGTTGGTTCAGCTGCAACATCGGTTTGTTGAACATCCTCCATCGGCTCATCAATACCAGCTGCCTGTCGCTCGGCTTCCTGCTGTTCTCTTTCAGCCTGGAGTCTTGCATTCTCCTCCGCTTCCTTGCGCCTGTTCTCGCGCTCTTCCTCCTCTCTCAAAAACCGCTCCTGGCGTTCTTTCTCAACCAGCATCTCACGAGCGTGCTTCTGCCTTTCTTCCTCAATCTTCTGGTTCTGCTTTCCTTCCTCAATGGCAGGAGGAACCAAGACCTTCAGAAGCGAGTTGAGGACACGCTGCGTCTTCTCAACATATGTGCTACTGAACAGGAGACGGGCCTCCTCCTGCCAACGATTCCTGGTTGTCGACAATGAAAATTTGACGGCATTGTGGGGGTCGTCACGAGTGCGCGCAGCAGGGTTGACAGCACGACCAAGAGAACCAAACATGTCTTGAATCCGATTGGGCAAGATCGCCCGGCTGTCAACGTGAACGTGAACGCCATCAGGGCGTGCGACGACACCAAATCCAGGCGTAGCTTGTCCACCAAGCGCCTCCATGATGGCGTTCATGAAGCTGACGGGGCTATCCATAGCCAGCATCCGTCCACCTGCTTCAAGTTGCGTCCAGTCACCCGCGAATGGATCGAGGCGACCTGGTCCAAGACGCTGGGCGGAAGGATCGGCGCCACCGCCATTGCGCATCAGGAGAGGATTGGTACCATCATCGTTGCCGCGAGCGGGTATCTGGGTACGATGGATCCGGGGGTAGGGTTGGAGGGGCACGAGTCCACCATGGCGTCCAGGCATAATTTCGCCAACAGTAGCCCAGGCGGGTGGTGCACCAGTACGGAAGCGATGGTGTTGTCCGTGCGATCGGGGAGGCGGAGGTTCATCACCTTCCCAACCCCAAGGCTCGAGGAGGTCGTCATCTTCAGGGGGTGGTGTAAGCAACAAGGCATCTAGCATTCGTGAGAGTTCGGGGTTCCAATTACCATCTATATCTCCCTCGGAGCCCTGGTCCATATCGTAGTCATCATAGTCATCCATCTCATCGTCAATCTCATCCATATCCTCATCTTCTTCTAGTAGCGAAGTCAGCAAACTAGAGCAGCGAAAGGTATCTTAAATGTAACTTGCCTCCTTCATCGTTCAACTCATCAAGAATCTCATCGTGGACGTCTCCTCCAAGGCGGTCTCCGTGCAAATCGTTGACACCAGCGCCAGCAGCGTGATTGAGAACACGGAAGAGATCATCAATACGTTGACCTGGATGGGGCTGGTTGGTTTGGCGAATATCGGCCAGTTCCTCCTCAAACTGGTTCATCATCTCAGCCTCTTCTTCGTCTTCAGTCATTTCTTCACTTTCCCATTCATCCTCATGGCCTTCTCCGAGACTTTCGTTATCATGGTCGCCAGTGATCTCGTCGGCAAACATGTCATCGTCGTCCATGTCAGAGTGATCATCTTCATCGTCGTCATCGTCGTCATCGTCATCATCATCATCATCAATGATGACCTCGACAGCGTCACCCGATAGACCTTCGATGGGGCCTCTACCTTCGACATCCTCTTCGTCTTCGTCGCTGATCACTTCACCGTCATCTTCGATGACTTCCTCCTCGTCGTACATGTCATCATCGTACTCGTCTTCGTACATTTCTTCGTCCTCGCCTTCCGACTCTTCAGTGCTCGATTCTTCCTCGTCATGGCGAGGCTCCAGCATACCAAGCGTGGAGTGGCGGAAAAGATCGGGAGTCTCTTCCCGCTCATCCTCCATATCAGAAACCGAGGTTGCAGACGAAATCTCGTCCTCGTCAGCCTCGTCCAGATTGGAGATATCTGAACTCTCACTAAGGAGCACGGCAGTCTGGGTGAGCTTGTTCAGGGGACGCAGAATGTACTTGATAACGCGTTTGGACGATGGGAAATTGAGGTCGATGTCGGCGACGGAGGCAGTCAATGCAGGAATAAAACTCTTCTCAAACATGGTCTTGGCGAGTTGCTTGTTTGAAGATGGGAAGCCGGCATCCTGAGAATAGGAATAGCCACTGAGCATCTTGTCGAAGAGATCGGCAAGACACATAAGCTTCGAGTATTTTGCGTCCAATGGCTCAGTTGAAGCATTGGCCTCCTTGTAGGATCGAAGCGCATGCTCGAGCACGAACCTACGAACGAAAGAAAGTTCCGGCTCATCCTCTTCAGGCTGCTTTGGCTCGCCACGGCGTCTAACAGGGCCACCATTCTCACCAGTCTTGGTGCACAGAGCAACCAGAACCTGCATGGTCCACGTCGAGGTCATGCTCCGTTTCTTAAATGCTAAGGAATCATCATGATCAATAGTGCCAAGGGGGACAAGCGCATTCAACAGGTAGTTGAGAATGCCAGAGCGCGGCTTGGAAGGTGTTGAGGCAAGGGGATCGGCCTTGCGGGAGAAGTTGATGAATTCAACCTTGGTGCGATTGTACGACGACAGAAGCTCAGTAAGGCATTGAAGCAGGAAGCATCGGTATATGTAGATTTGGTGATCTTCAGCGTTGAAAGGTGGCTTCTCGCCCTTCTTAGTAGGTGTGGGGCTAGGCTGGGCATCGGCACTGCTTGACACAGAAGGACTAGGCTCATCAACGGACATCTCGACGTCATTTAGCGGTTGACTTTCAGCTTGATCGCTGGAGGGCCGCTCGGATGTTTCAGTCGAGGTTTCTTTGTCGTCAACGTCCTTGTAGGAAAGAAGCTCAGATAAGATGTAGTGGATAACACCATCTGGGTTCTCGACTACAGGCGCTTTAAGTTCGGTGTTTTTGCCCTGAGTCTTGTCCTTGTCATCCGAGGCAGCAGTCTCGGTCGTGGAATCATTTTTACTGCTTTCACCAGCAGTCTGTTCTTGGCGCGGACGAGCATTGCGATCTTTGTCGGCCTTCAGGCCAAGGATTTGAGGGCGCTGGGAAAATTCATACTTTACCAGTCTCAGCTTCTCATTTGTCACTTCCACGAAGATTTCAGGCGATCTCAGAACAAGATGATACATTTGGCGCACGTAGCCGGCTGTGTCGATCTGACGAGACGATTTATTTTCAAAATTAGCAACAATCTCACTGCGCATGATCTGCCGAATCGTAGCTTCGTCCTCGACGATATGACGCAAGATCAACATGAACGAGCTCTGGAGCTTATCATTTGTGGCACTTGCTAGTTGTTTAACCATGACAAAGAGACGCTGCAAGTTGCGCTTCTCCCCGAATCGTGCAGCAATACTGCGTTCTCGAGTGAGAACAACCAGGATACGACAGATGGAAAGTGCCAAGGTGTCGTCCTTGCCAACCCGGGGTAGGATTTCAACCAAGGCCTCGAAAAGCTGTGTTTTCTCATCAAGGGAAACCAGAGGTTCCTGAAGCCGAGCTGGTGGCTGATCAGGGTTAAGATTCTCGTGGCTTGGCGGGATCCAAGTGATTAGAGGCGGTTGGCAATCATCAGACAGCAGCTTCTCCAGAATGAGTAACACATGGCCAATCCAGGGGAAAGTTTCATCGGCAGGTTTCTCGGTTGTGGGGAGTTTGATGAAGCCAAGGAATGTAGCGAAACAATCCTTCAGCTCTTCAATGGTTGCATTGTACATGTCTCGTTCCTGAAGAACCAAAGCAAGGATATGCGCGTAGGCTGCAACCTTCTTTCCTGCCGTTTCGAAGTTCTCCATTTGCAAGGACACGAGTGACTGGACAAGAGTTTCTCCAACCTCGCGACGGAAGCTTTCGGGATCGCTATGCTTCTTGATGCCAGATGAGATAAGATCCGCAAGCTCGAACGACACATCATAGTGGACGTTGAGAACATCAAGGCTGCGTTCAATCAAATTGGATCGAACTTTGTCTCGTTGGGCATCGAGATCCTCGACAGTGATAAACTGGCGTCGACGGACTGGCTCTTGTGCTTGGCTGCTGGGCTCCGTTTGCCCTTGAGCAGCGGATTGACGTTCTTGGTGTGACGATTCACCACGGTCTTCGCGCTCCATAGCTTCACTGTCTTGGAAAGCAGCACCAATCGCGCGGGCCAAGCCTTCAGGCATGGTAGTACGGTCCAGGCCTTCTGCATCATCTAGATCAGAGCCAGTAGTGTTCTCCACAGTATGGCCGGTGGCCTGTGCGAGAAGCATAGCAAGGGCCGAGCCCTCTAAGAAGCCAGGGTTGAAGGGTCCAGATTCACTCACAAGAGTATCTTCAGGGCCCTCTCCGCCCGAGGCGATTTCGGAGGATCCAGTTTGAATATCATTCGCTCCAGGAGGGAACCTAGGAGGCGCTCGAAGCCACTTCTGCGCTTTGCAGTATTCTTCAGCGGCAACCACAGCATTATTACAGCGGTAGAGAGCCTCTTGATTCAGCTCAGCATCCTCGAATCCCTTCTCTTTAAGCACTATCTCGCGGTCTTTATTGACAACAAATGGCTTTTGTGGGACTTCAGTCAAGATAGGCGGTGTGTCCGCCTTCACAGCAGCGCCAGTTTCATACTCTCCATCCAGTGATGAACGAAGAATATCAACCAGGAATTTGACAATGATGCTTTGCGACTGGGTGGCAAATTCTGAGTTCCACATCTCTTGAGCCATAGGCAGAATCTCCATGCGAAGATCTACCTGGAACTGACCAGGGTGGAAGTAATCCGAGCGACCACGTTCCCGCTCATGGTTGCTGGTCAACACTTGTGTTTGACTAGACTCAACGATAGTCTTACCACTCGCGAGTTCTGTGAAAACCGCAAGGATGATCTTGATTCCACCATAAGCAGCGGCAAGTTGATCGGCGACTTCCTTGTTGGTCTCGGCACCGCGATCCAGTGGCTTGAGGGTGTTGACCTCGCGCATGAAGATTTCGCACATCTCCTTCAACACTGTAAGCCCGCTTTTTCGCTTGAAAGCGACGAGGACAAGAGTCAAGTAGCTTGGCTGCGGCCGATCACCACCAGCTTCGTACAATAGGTGTGAGAATTGAGAAAGAATGACAATGAGATACGGGAAGCGGTATTTAGAGCTGGCGCCCGAGTTAGGAGCAGCAAGCTGGAGTGACCGTAGAACAGTGTCAGCGATGGCCTCGGCCACCATATTGGCATTCTGCTTTCCCTTTTGGAAAACGTCGGCACGTCGCTTGCCCACAAGACCAAGGCCGAGGTTGTGCATGAAGCCGGTGATAGTAATTGGTAGAGCACCCAAAAGGTACCGAAGGGTCTGAACGTTCTTGAAAGCAGAGCTTCTTTCGTCAACCTTCTTAGCAGCACCTTCAGACTCTGGGGCGGCAGAAGGCTTCGAGTCGGGGGCACCTGAGCCGTCTCCTTGAGTAGCAGCAGCTGGGTCCTCCGTTGGGTTCTGGGAAGGCCCGGCCCCGGGAACTGTGGGCTTGCCAGGGGGCGGTTGTTTGCCTTGTGTCCAAAGGTCCGGATTATTCTTCTCATTCACGATCGCCTCCCATACACATGCTGAGAAAAGATCACCAAGCGAAGAGACCAGGTCGCAGTAACGGTCGGCAAGATTGACCTGGCCGAAAGGAGACACCTGCTGAACAGGTCGGGTCTGGTAAAGAGGCATTGCGAAAACCTCACGAAGTAGGTCCGTGAGAACGAGGGCGGCATTCAGGTTTCTCACAAAGGCGGTTCCATGTATGAGAGCTTCTGTTGCCTCCGGCGCGGGCGCCTTGGAATCGAGCGGCCGGGTAAACGACGTGAAAAATCCTGACTCTTTTGGTGCAGTCCAAAAGGCCGAGAGAGTTTTTACTGCTGACTGCGCTCGCTCCATCAAAGACGGAATGACAAGGTGCGGTTTAGTTTCGGCAAGCATGTGCACAAGCACCGTCAGTTCCTGGTTAGGGTCGGTGCCATGGAAGCCATATGGCAGACTCTGAAGCGTTGCGTAGTCCAGAACGAATTCCGCTCCACCAGCCTGGATGAATGATGTGCAGTTTGGCTGATTCTCAAAGAAGGCACCAAGAAATCGTATTGCAGGGAAGAGGTAGTCCGCAACAGTAAGGCCATGCTCGTCAGCGTCCTTTGGCTCGAAGTCGGTCTCTAAAGATGGGAGTAGCTTGCTCACATCACCCACAAGTAGCTTACAACCGTTAGGAAGAGTATGGGCATTCAGCTGAGGAACACCAATCGTCTTTGGGTCTTCCATTGGGGCGTCAAATGAAACTCCAATGTCACGGAATAAATCACCGACAGGCCCTGCGAGGATAACGTTGGCACTGTTATCAGGATCTTCCGTCCATAGCTTGGCACCCAGTCCTGATCTCCATGCCTTGGTTTTAGCAAGAAGGCCCACTCGAGCAGCCATAACAATGACAGCAGACATAATTGATGTCTTTAGAGCCGGGTGATGTCGCACAAGTTCGTCAAAAGCAGTACCCAACGAGCGAACCAGGTTCGGGTCATCCTTGAGGCACTTGACATGTTCCGGCTGCTCAAAAACCTCGAAGAAGCTTTCTAGGGCATCGGAAGATTGAAACAGATCTAGGCCAGAGGCGTTCAAGCAAATAGCCCCGAATGCCGAAGGAATGCACGCAAGAGCATCAGCTGCAGCAATGATTCCTGGTGCCAGATCCGTACCAGGTGGCCGAGCCATGAGGTATTCGCGAGTGACTTTCTCGCTGTCGGTGGAAGAGGCCGTTTCAGCGGCGGGTGCAGGAGCCGAAGACTCGGCCTCGTTACTGACATCCTCTGGTTCGACAGCAGGGGGCTTTTCCTTGGCCTCAAGCTCACGCCCCATGACTGCACCAAGGAGACTCTTACTTAGACCAGCCTCGGCGATGACAGCATAACTGGTAGGCTCGTTGTGAATAAAGCTACTCAGAATGTTGACAGCATTGCTCCATACATGCGAACCAAAGATTCGTGCGTTTTCAAACACCAGTCGCAAAGAAGTAAGAAGCTGAGGAGAGTCAATCAAATTCCGCAGAACACGATCAAACCCTCCACCATTGTGTTGCATAATATGGTTGACGAAACGGAACATCCACCGCAATGTTTGCTGTTGGAAATAAGGGATTTGGTAGTCGATGGAAGGGTTTTTGTACTGCTTGGGGAAGCCGGCTCCACTAGAGACCTTCTCAAACGCGGTCTTGGTCTCGTGATCGATGAGGTCGGAAATCGCATCGAAGCCCTTGGCTGCGGTCAGAATGCTTAGGGCATCACGGACAGCATGGACGAAGGTATCGAGGAACTCCATGATTCGAGAATAGACTCGGCGGGCCTTAATAGTTCGAAGATTCAGGATATCAACAAACATGGGAATGAGACCGGCAGCAACGAGTGTCTCGGGAGTCCGTGAGCTCGAGCTAGGGAGAGTGCGCAAGAGTGAAAGCAGCGCATCGCGCCACTCATCACCAAAGCAGTCACCGGAATCGTCATCTTCAGCACTCAGCTCGTTGACTACCTTTCGGGTCAGGAACATCAAAACACCATGATTGACATTGACACTCAAAGCGGCACAGACGTCCACTGCGCGAGCTTTATGTTTCGCCAAGGCATCCAGAGCATAAATGGCCAGCGTTTGTAGATTCCTTGAGACCTGGATATCACCACTCGCGCCAAGATGCACCAACTCGGCCAGCTGGAACGTTAACTGGAGTCGTTTCGACTGTTCCAAGTCATATTGAAGAACCTTCTGCTGGAATGTCGACTCTTGGTGAACATAGGCCAGGTTGGTCATGGCGAGAATACGGACTGCAAGAATCTGCTCGCGGCTTTCACGAGACCCAGATAAAGCTTGGGCGACACGAACCTTGTGAAGCAATTCATATTTCGACTCAAGAGGCAAATTTGGCAGATTACTAGCAAGAAGATCTTCTATCTTTCCAGCAGAGATCTTCGAGTGTGGAAGGTCCAATACTTTTCCGCCTCGGGATGCTTCTTCAGACTTACCGCCTGTGCTTGGGTGTACGGCGGGGGATTCTTCTCCACTGGGCCCGCGGCTCAAACGTGGAGTAGGATGAGTAGCGCTCCGACGAAGCGGGGTAGGTGTAGTAGGGACATGAGCACCGACTTCGCCATGCCCAAACTCTGAGGTTGTTCTAGTTTGCTCAGTGAAACCTGATGGGTAGTAGAGGACCCGAACATGACCCCATTCATTCCAGCCATCATCATCATCACGCACAAGTGAGACCAGTTCGTTGGCATTGAGCTTGGTTTGGGGCGCCTTCTCCTTGCCCTTGGCTGAGACAGCGGGGGTCGCAGGCAACTGGGCTTTACCAGCAATGAACGGACGGGGGAAAGGTGAAGCAATCTTGAGCAGCTTCTCTAGATCGATATTGTAGTGAGCTGCCAGCATGGCCTGCTGGTGAGTGCCACGCTGACGTGAGTGGTATCGCTGGGCCAAGCAGAGGGCCAACCGCAGTGTAATCTCAAGGAGGGACAGAGAGGTAGTGTTCAAGAGATCTCCTAAACGTTCACTGCTACTGTACAGGCTGCGGTTTCCACATTTCTCTAGCAGCAAACGTGAGAAGTTCAGGATCGCTTCTACCAGCTCCCGGTCACCCTCGGGCCCATATCCTAGAGAATTCAACTTGGCATCGATGCCTTCTGCTGGTAATTTGCTCGCATCCGCCGCGTATGACTCCTCCAACACGGTCCGACTAAATTTTTGTGTTTGTGGACCAGTATTCAGGAAGTATTTCTCGATGACAGTGGCCAGGATTTGATCAAAGCGGTCTAAGACGTTGATCCAGTGATAAAGGTCGCCTCGGGGAAATGGCCATTGCTTAGGGAACGTGCGTAGATGAGAAGGAATCTCCGGGACGGGGAGATTGATGGCATTGGCAATAAATTCGCTGAGAAAAGGCGACTAGAGTAGCAAAGAAAAAAAAAATTAGCCTGGAAAAAAAACCCGAATGAGCCCATGGCGGATGAAGGCGCCGAACTTACAACTGTAGCCTCATGCTTTTGACTAGCAACTTTCTTAATTTTGCCCATGTTGGCGATCAGAGCAGGCAGCCAACCATGAGTGTATTTGAGGATCCCAGGAGAAGAGTCTCCTAGAGGGTGGTGTTGGCGGGGGGTTGTCGTGAGACCGGTTCGCGGAGCAAGCGCGAAGATGCCTTATGACGTTTTTGGTCCTCTTCTACCTGCTTCGCCTAATTTGAGTCACTCCACGTCAACAAGTCGGCACGGGATCGTAGCACTGGGATGTGGGCGACAAAGCGATTGACTAGGAATCAGATACTCCGTCAAAAATGAAGCTTGTCTAGTTGAGAAGCTTGATAGAAAGAAAGTGTTGAGATATTGGCGCGCGGGTTCGGTGAAAGAAGTCAAACCGAGGGGAAAACGGTGCAGGACGTTTGACCCTAAAAGTTTTGACGATGAAAATTCGAAATGTCGAAAAGAGGATTAAGAGGGATGGGGTGAAGGAAGAGGGGAAAGATGCAAGAGAAAATGGGGGAAAAGGAAAAGAACCATGAAAGGTGAGCTGTGTCCTGCCGGCAGTTAAAGCTGGGCCTTGGGCGGTTCCCCCGCTGAGGCGGTCAGGCTACAAGGCATCACTTCCATAATTTCTACCTTATTCTATCGCAAACATTTTCATAAAATAAAGCAAATTCAAGAGTTCCAGGTTTGAAATTAAGTAAAAATTGACATTTGGATTGCAAGGCCAATTTTCATACCACAACCCGGCGGATGCTTGCACGGATCCCCAAAGCAACTACGAATATGACTGCGATGCTACCCGATGCCTAATTCCGAGATTCATTCAAAGAAAATTATACATGACTATACACAAAAAACCTAGCTAATCTTCACATAGTCCTAGCAGGTGGGTGTGGGCAAGGCACCGTCCCACTGCACTTTCATTGACACTGGGTATGGCGAGTATGCACTCTGCTCGGCATCCATATACATCGTGATGCCGCCGGTACTTGGAATCTTTTTCAACTGTCCCTGTGGGCCGGGAGCACGTCGAAGATTCTCCAGCTGTCCGACAACCCGAAGCATTGTAGGGAGAGCAAGCTGGCACATTTCACGCCCAATGCAATGGTGTGGACCGAAGCCAAAGTGGGTATACTGACTCAAGTCACGATCCAAGCGGACCGTCTCGGGATCAGGGAATGCCTTCGCATCGTGACCTGCAGAAACCTGTGACATAATTTGGTTAATGTGCATTTCGTTTTTACTCGGAAGGCGAATATAGACTTACCAAATTACATATGACTTGCTGGCCCGTCTTCAATGTCACCTTTTCACCATTGTCTTCGACAACGGTGGGCTTCACAACTTCCCGAAGTAAAGCAACCGTTGACCGGATACGTGCGCCTTCCATAAAGCTATTTCAAGTTAACATTAAATCCAAAAAAAAGAAATGAGACCAAGAATTGTGGCACTTACTATCGCAGAAGAAGTTCATCAGATTCTGGAGTTTTCTCCTTAGACAGCCGTTGAATCTCTGCAAGATGGCAGGCATTTTCCTCCTCGAGATAAAAGTCCAAGCACTGCATGAATAGCTGAGCCTGGTTGGCCATCATCGAAGTCGCCGAGGGGATAATATGCGTCCACACAATTTCCTTCGGAGGCAGCTTGCTGTCGAGAAGACGCTGGATCATATGCACACCATAGTCACTAAGGACATCGTGACGATGAATCCGACTCACAATATTGGCGACGAATCCAGCCTTATCGACCACCTCAACATTAGCCATGACCAGCTCTCCAAGCTGCTGTGCAACCGCGCGAGAAGCCTGCTCCAGCTGGAAAGACTTGGAAACGTCCACATCGTAAAAGATGCATGTGAAGACCAGACTCAGAATTTGAAACAGCTCGCTCTCGGTAAACACACCACGGGGGTTTGACTCTGTCTTGAGCGGCAAAGAAAAGATATTGGCGCAGAAATGAAGTTGTGCGAGATTGGAAACATCACGACAGATATCCACCTGGTTTGCACTACCCACTTTGTATGAGTTCCGCTGCAATAGTTGGATAGTGATCTGTTCGTAGAACTTCCGCACTTCGGATACCCATTTGTCTCGGTACAGAGCACCGCCGATCATCTTGCGAGATGCCGCATTTGCAGGACGATCACCTGAAATCATGAAGTCGCGTCCATATGGGTGGCCATCACGACTCAAGAGAAACTCCAACATCTTGCCCCAGGTCACTTTGAAGCCTTCCTGGTCCCCCAGAATAGCCTTGCAAGCAGCATGGGAATTGATCATTTGGGCGATTGGAGTAAAGCTAGGTGCGGCAAAGCTGTATAGTTCACTCTTTCCGAGGCCTGTGAGGATCTTCTTGTTCTCGCTCGGAATAACCATCGGGAAATGCGCGTAAACAGAGTTTCCACGGAAATGATTGGGGAATGCCCGCAGAGCCAGTTTATAGAAGCAATGGCCAGAGTCCACGTTGTTATCGAAATTGATCTCGTTATACGCCCAGTTGGTCAGATGCTTAGGAGTGTAGTCCACGGTGTAGAAACGATCTCCACGAACCAAAGCAACCGCATCCGAAAGGATGGCTCTGGATGTGGTATAGTTGGTACACAAACCACTGCCAGGAAGTACGGGCTCTTTTGCATCCTCCACGATGAGACCGGGGTAGAGCTCCACCAGATCAGGATGATCGTAGAAGTGGCGGAGCTGGTCAACAATCTGCGGGTCAGAGTTGATCTCTTCGAAGGTCTTGTATGGTGCCAGGTTAAAGTAGTCTCGGAACTCATTCAGTGTGGCCAGGTTCCAAGACCGTGCCTGTTTCATGCCGAGGACTTCGATGGTTTTAAAGACGGTCGGCACATTCGATGCTCCGAAAGCACCGGCGACATCCTCAACGCTCTCTTGGAATATCTTGGCTAGGTCATCATCATCGTAGGTACCATCTGCCTTCCGGTGCAGGTTGGCAAAGGGACGGTCCTCTGGGTCTTCAGGAAGCATTGCCTCCCACCGACCAAGCCCTTGCATGAATTGCGGGATACTCAGCGTCTTTGAGTCTTGACCCTTGAAGATCTCCTTATACATGTTCTCCGACCACTTTTCATCACGGGCGGAGATGCAAGAGTGCCATCGATATACAAGGTTGAATTCTGCCGAGACCTGGTTTCCAGTGGCCTGAGCTGGGGCCGAGCCGAGTAGGCCGTCTTTGATCTCTGCTCGGGGGTCCAAACTCCAGTCACTGTTAGTCCGGTTCATGTTGAGAATCGTTCGGACATAATCCTTGAGAATGATGTTGATGTAGAGACCACAGGTGACCAAGCGTGCCGTCTGGAAGAGATCATTGTCCCATGTTGCGTAAGCTTGCTTGTTAGATGCGTCCGGTTTAGTGAAACGGCCACCCTCATTGATCAATGCCAAATTCTCAGCCACATGATTGTGGAAGCGATTGAACATGATTAGCAGAACACCCACACCGGGTGGGAACCCAAGGATACGTTTTGCCGAGAAGCTATCGGGCTTCAGCTTACCATCCTTGAAAGTCCTCACCGCGTTCTGCTCATCTTGGTTATTACCATAGAGAGGACCCAGGTCAAGATAAGACGATGTCAACGATGAGGTACCAGTTTTGTCTGTCTGGAAAAGGTCTGGAAAATTGTTAGTCATGCCACAGCGAGTGATACAATACAAGCCTACCATGAATAATAATAGATGCTAGATAAAATAGCACGCTCGAAATCTTGTTAGGGTGCTCCTTGAACTCTTTCCGAGCCAAGAGTGTATCAAAAAGGGTTTCTGGGTCTGGTCGGTCAACAGGCTGCATGATCGTCGGTCGAACTGATCGGGCATAAGGAGTGCCTGCAGCACCAATGTTCGGCCAGAACGGGTTCTAGAATTCTGTCAGTGGGTGTAATCAGTTTTTCAGTTGAAGACTGGGTAGGATAGAGTATGAGACTGGGTGAAAGACTGGGTAGGAAGTGGTCATACATTTCCAGATCCATCCGCCTTTCGATAGGAGGATTCACGACCAAGATACCTATCGTTATCAGAATGAGTTTTCTTCAGAAGCATGCGACATTTTGAAGCCGCAGTATCCATGTCACTCACGAGATTGGTGGATGCTGCAAGTCTTTCCATAGAGTACCCAAGAACGTGTTGGTCAATTCATTCCCAGCCTTAGAGGTCGAAGGAAGACCAGCCGCAAGCTATTGAAGAGTAAGCATCTGCTTTTTTTAGGTTAATTAAGACATATTAACCTGAATCACTCGTTCCATGATGTACTCCCGGTCCTTCCAAGGTTCGCCGGTTACTGCATCCTTGGCAACCTCGACAATCGCCTTCACTTCTTTCAAACTGATATTGCCCAAATCCTTGGCTACACCAGTAGTGGTGGCGCCTTTGATGTAGGTACCATCACCAGTTTCCTTGGGCAAGGGCCTCAATGATGATGCAATGACTTGTTCGATCTGGGAAATCTTGGTCCCAATGCCATTGGCAAAATGATTGGTATGTTCGGCCATGGTGATACAAAATAAGCACGATGAAATGTGAGAGAAAACGCCGACAAGATCCTTCTATTTAATCCAAAAAATTAGCATTGCGCAATAATTGGCATGATAAATCGTCATGGAAGTGACTGCCGGGTGCAGAAGTTGTTATCGGCTCGTTCAAACAGAACTCCACTTTGCTCATGAAACAGATCACCTGAACTGATCAAAAGACTTGGTTTATGGTTTGAAACTTACCAATATGGCAATAAGAAAGCCCTAAGAAGTATATGCCGTGTGCTGCGGCAAATCAACACTTCCCAAGGTAACCCACGGGTAGTAAGTATAGGCCTTGAAGAGAAAAGTAAAGCAAATTTAATGGGGGTGCCGGAGGGTAATGGGACGATTATAGCCGTTCCCAAGTGCGGAGTATCCCGACTGTTAAACGACTAAAGTACAGCTGAATAGCCTCCAGCCCGTTCTACAGTAGTTCCATTATCCACTCAGCAGTCAGCCTTGAACTCGTGTTGGTCCGTCAGCCTGAACGCCACAACCCTAAGGCGCCAGCTGGTTGTGGGTACAATGCACAGGCAATGACAGCCGAAGACGCCCCACTCCGGTGGAATAGACTGGACTGCTTTTAATTCGTGTATCAATTAAAGCTGCAGAAAGATTCTGTCAGCAAATTTTAATTCATTTGAGACCCGTGTTCCCCTGGGCAGGACATTCGGGGAAAGTCAGCGATGAAAGGCCGGTTTATCCAGGTTTGCCCAGGTCGGCCCTAATTCACCTGGGTTATGTATGGTGAATAAGCCTGGACATAATTGGCGCGTGGACGGGTTCGGCTTACCCAGTGGCGATCTGCATTTGGTGGGGGCCGCGTCGAAAGGCTCGGCTTGAAGGTGTGTATTTTCTTATCATACCATAATTCTGAGTCAATGTGTTTGACACAGCCTATCAATGTCTCCACTAGTTCACAATTTAGCGCTGTATTGGTGGCCTAGTCAGGGGTGGCCTAGTAGCTGCCAGGCGTTGATTGGTGACGGGTTCGGCCGGGTTAACCGTGATAGCAAGTAACAAGCTGCGCCCCCAATCAGACCCGAAAAAAAAAGATTGATCTAGAAACATGAAATGATCATAACACCTCGGCAAGACGGAAAACTTCCTCAAAACCATATCAAATGTAACTTTTGTGGGGTATCATCCGTCGGAGTTAAACTTTTGTTGAAATGTCATATCCGCATGGAATATGCAGAACATCGTGGCTTTTATCTGATTCCTCCTGTTACGTTTCAGGTTGAAGAATATCCAATATTGCCTTGAATACATCTAAAAGACGGAGAAATAACACCGGAGACCGGTTTTATGCTCATAATGAACTTCTCAACAAGTTTTGGATAATCGGTCACACTCGAGTCAACGAGTTCGGCTACTTAGTACAAAAAATACAACATCCTTGATACCACGAATTTATTAATAAGGGTTGATATCAGTCAGATTTACTTAATATATTGATCCAATATGTAGGTTCAACTTAAAGGTGACTTTGACTCTCAAGGCCTAATACTTTATATATACTTACCTCGGTCTTGCCTTAAGGTGTCAATGTCACGTGTGCCCCATCCATTATCGATCGACGCGAGTGGTGTTCAACAATTTCCCCTGCAACCTCAAAACTGATTGCTGGAGCTTGCAGTTAATCACAATGGCTCCAAAGATTACGCTCACCGTTGAGCCGCGGGGTATGTTGTTTGTTATATCCTGCTAAAACATAGACTTGATCAATTAACAATATTTAGGTAAACCCATCCGCATGCTCCCAAAAGAGCTCACCATTGCCCTCGATGCCTCTGGTGATGACCTTCACGACATGATCGCTCAGATCTCCGGTGTCTCTAAGCATCGTCTGCGTATCACCAAGGGAAGTGACCGCTCCGCTGTTCCCAATGCGAAGGACATCACCATCGACGACACTGGTCTGCGCAACTCCAGCGTGATTCACGTCAAGGACCTTGGTATGCAAGAAAAAAAAAAACCGAAAACTCTCTACACCACGCTCAAGCTAATGTACTACAATAGGCCCCCAGATCGCATGGCGTACCGTCTTCATCATTGAATACCTCGGTCCTCTCCTGATCCCAGCTCTCTTCCTGTTCCCCCTCCGTCCCCTCCTGTACTTCAACTATGACACTCTCCCGGACCCTTCGGACCTGCAACTCCTTGTCTGCGCCCTTCTGACCATCCACTTCCTGAAGCGCGAGTTTGAGACCATCTTCGTGCACCGCTTCAGCAACGCCACCATGCCCGCCTTCAACATCTTCAAGAACAGCGCCCACTACTGGGCCCTCGCCGGTTTCAACATTGCCTACTGGGTCTTCCGCCCCGACGCAGCGGCCGCCAGCGCGGACTACAACCCCGCACTTGTATACGCCGGTCTTGCGCTTTTCGTGTTCGGTGAGCTGGCAAACTTGAATGCTCACTACGTGCTTCGAAATCTGCGTCGGCCTGGTACCACTGAGCGTGGTATTCCCTCCGGATTTGGGTTCAGCCTCGTTACCTGCCCCAACTATATGTTCGAGATCATTGCGTGGTTGGGTATCTTCCTGGTTAGCCAGCTGAACTTGAGTGTGATTCTCTTCACTCTTGTTGGTGGTTTGCAGATGTGGAGCTGGGCGTGGAAGAAGGAGAAGCGCTACCGCAAAGATTTCGGAGACAAGTACAAGAAGAAGAAGACTGTTCTCCTCGCCTTCCTCTGTTAGAAGCTGGCAGTTAGCGCTTTCGATTCTCACGTACGGGATGAATTTCATATAATATCTCGGGTTGTACCGAGCTCGACAAAGACACGGCTACATCTTTAGGTAAGTCACGGTCACCTTCTGCACTTTTTGATCTACCAGTCTACCTGCTTTGTCTTTTTCTGGTTTGAATCGCCCTACTTTTTCATGATGAGAAAAATTGGTCCGTGTTGATGAGGCGGCTTAAGACCCCGCTGCTTGACTACAACCCATTTGCGAGAAATCGCGTCTCTGATCCTTTCGACTTTCAATTGCGTATATAACTGCATCATGATTATCCATGTTCATCTCGAAAGCTCAATACTGACTGTTCTTGTCAGCAACCCCAATCAGGCCGACTAGGCGCATCGTTACGTCCTATTCTCGAAGGTCTTTCTCATGAAGCATGTATTCTATTAGTGAACATAAAGAAAATAATGACCATGTTTCCTTTCCTATGACCATATGCATGCCCATGACGATTGAAGCACAAGTATCCCGCTGTGTGTGCAATCATTTATCACGCCCAAAACACCCAAAAACGCCGTTTAGATCAGACAAGGTCAGTATGAATCAGAAGGCAAACCCGAAAGCAGTAAGTCTCTTCATCAATAAAGAAAACCAAAGAAACCAAGAAAGAGTATTGAGAAGTTAGCCACTCTTGATCTTCTTCTGCCACAGCATGTAATAAGACTCCATTTCAGGACAGTCATTCGCTTGGGCCTTATCACATCCCGGGAATCGAATAATAAAGTCGCCATCATTATAGGTACCGTCGGGACCAGCACTAGTCGAGTCTTTGCTGTACGCATTCAGCACACGCTGAGGAACAAGAGCCGTCCGAGCCAGTACAGTCGGATGCCATTGCATGATATGATCCTAGCAAAACAGAAAAAGGTCAGTTATACGTTCTATCCAAAAGTCTTCTAGATTTTGTCAATCTTACCAATCCATGAATCTCCGCCTTTGCAAAGTTATAACTGCGAAACAGCGGATCAAACCACAAGTCCAGGAAATAGCGCGCAAAATCCCCATTCTTCAGCACGAAGCTACTGGGACTAAGATCTTCGCTATCTTGTGTAGTGATGAAGTCGATATCCTGTTCCTTCAAGTGCGAGAATGTCCTGATGATACTATCGGGTGGAACGATAGGTATATCCTTAAGAATAGTCGCTTCAAGCTTGCTTCTGTCCAGGAGGTGTGATTTGAGGGATTTGGTCGGGTTCATGATGAGGGAGTGCGGGCTCAAGTAGAAGAAGTATGCAGCGTGAGGATAGGTAGCCACTGCGTGGCGGACGGCTGGAATCAAAGCCCAGCTTTTGGGTTGGTCACCGACTGCTTCATCATAGTCGGATTGGCTTGCGAAGAAGTTCGTGTAGCCTGCGAAGAAGGCGATGCCGAGTCAGCGGAGCTCATGCTAAAGGAGCTACCTGGCTACCTAGCTATCGCCAGAAATTCTAAGTGAATACGTACCATGTCGCTTTGCATAATCTTCGCGATTGGAGATAATCTTATTGATGTAGCTCTCGCTGAAATGTTCACGATCCAACAATGTCACAATGACCACACCTGCCGTACCAGCCGGCGCCGCAACAGAAGACGAGCTCGAGGAGAGGTGAGTAAGGAGGTAGAGGAGCGAGAGCACAGAGAAGACAATCAAAACGAGTGTCTTCAGCTGTTTTCTGCGATATAGTGGTAATCGAGAAGAGCGGGCGCCTGGCAGGGCATGTGGGTTCCTTCGCGGAGGCAATGCGAATTGCATGGCTAGCGTGTTATCCCCCGCGCTGGGGAGCTGAATGAGGACGCAGCGATTCGTAATAGTCAAGTGAGATCAGGGTCTAATCATCATAGAGAATATCGCAAGTATCTTGGAAGAATAATGCCTGAAACAAAATGAGTAGGTGAGTAGGTAAGGTGTTGTTCCAAGGATCCAATGACGAGACCGAATGCGGCGGGTGGGTCTCGCATGCTAACGGCCTTTGCAGCCTCACCAATCAACATTGACCGGTTTTGGTTAGTTCGTTGATTGCAGTGATAAACGAGATTTGGGTTTCATGTTGATTAATTTATTTCTTGGTTCATCTCGGATCCCGGGACTCGGATATTATGACCGTTGTAGATCTCTCTCACGGCCTAGGTGGTCCGTCACACTGATTCATTCCCTCGATATATATATTTGTTCAAATACATACACATATCTCTGCATACTACTACATAGTACCTATTACATGGGTATCTTCTAAGACCAAGGGTTTCAAATGCATTGACGTATAGGTAATCTCATACATATATGTCCTTCGGATACTGTATCTGAACACTGAAGTTTTTCAGTTTGATTATCTTAGCCCGAGTCCACCACCATATCTGTTCCTCTTTAGGTCATTCAGTATCTAACAATCTAACTAGAGGGTCTCCAAGAGCACCTCTGCATCCCACAAGATCTCCTCAGAGATTAATCCATCTTACCTTATTCTTAGCTGTGCAGAAAATTCATATCTCCTCCTGAGCTCTTTGTCCCTACTTCGACGTATACTTTTCCAAACAATGAGAAACAATAATGCCATACCACGCTTTCTACACACGCTTTGGTCCGAAGTTTTACCAGAAGCCTAAAACAAATGGGTACTTAAAGCACGATTGGATAAGGCTAGAACAATGAAAACGGATGATATTGGAGTATAAATACACAGAAGTTCAAGTTTTAATATGCACGCCGAATCGCACTCATGCGAAGAGATCACCACATTGTTCGAGGTAATATCGAAGACACGGGTGGTTGGTAAAAAGACAAAGGTAGTGGTGCTCAAGTAGGGTCCAGTTCGTCGCAATAATGGTACAATGGAAGAAGCGCCAGCCTCCAACAAGAGGCATCAATTCAAACATGACAGCTCCTCCAGCTATCTAGCTGAATCAACTTACTTATTCCGCAAACTCAGCATTCTGGGAAAGCTGGGCAAGCCTCTGAGGGTCGACCTTGCCCTTCGGATGGGGCCTCGTGAGCTGCTTGATGTTGAGTCGCTCATCAATCTTGGCTTGGATCTCCGATTCCTTGCTCTTCATCCACTCTTCAAATGACTTGGGTTCCGGGATTCCAAGTCTCTTGCGCTCTTCCCGGAATCGTTCCTGGATAACCGGAGTCTGCATAACCTTCCACCGCAGTTCCCATCCGAACATGCCGAGCTCCTCGATACGGGCAGGCTTGTCGCTGAGGAGGTAGTTGTCGAGACCACCTTCCTTAATGATTGTCCGCAAAGCCCGGCGAGTGACCTTAATGAAAAGATCTTCGCCAAGCGCTTCGCTGTGGATCTTCTTGCGGCGGACGTTGGGCTTCCAGCTTCGTCGTGTCTTGCCCTCGTTGCGACCCTTGGAGATCTTGTTACCAAAGCGGATCATGGCACCTCCGTAAAGACCGGTATCGGCCTGCTTGTACCATTGTTTAGGTCCGAAAGGGTAGGCTGGGATGTGATCGGGGAGTGTCTTGGTGGTCTGTGGTGCGAATGTTGTGGAGAACGAGCGCTTCGGGGCCGATAAAGAGAGGTTGCGGAAGGCCGATGCGAGAGAAAAGTTGCCGACCATAGTGGCTCTGGTATTGACACCTGCCATTGCGGAGGGATGGACAAGTTCTGGGTGGTGAACTCGTTAATTTGTGGACTTCAATATCCCGTGGTAGAGAAAGCTGGAGTTGGGAAGAATTTGGGGGACGCTGACCGCCTTCAGCGCGGCTCCGTGACTGGCGCAGATCCCTTACTCGCGAATTTCGGGAAGAGCATTAGACCTGGGAAAAGGACGGCTCATCGCATCACTGCTTAGCTTCTTTGTTTGATTTTGAATTTCTTGTTTTCACTCTCCATTTCATCTCTCCTATCCTGCATATTTTCTTCAAAGGCTCAAGAAGCCGAATTTGCCCGTCATGGTCCAGATTAGTGAAGTCAAGGGAAACTCGCGCGAGAACAGGACCGCCACGCACACGCACATCAAGGGTCTAGGCCTGCGCCCCGATGGCACCTCAGAAACATCTGGTGATGGATTTGTGGGACAGGCTGCTGCCCGTGAGGTAAGTTAGAACTCCATTGAGTCGATGAGAAAGAATATACTTGGGAAACTGTAACTGACAGTACCTTGCTTTCCAGGCATGCGGTGTGATAGTCGATCTCATCAAGGCCAAGAAGATGGCTGGCCGAGCTGTGCTGCTCGCTGGTGGCCCCGGTACCGGAAAGACAGCGCTTGCTCTTGCTGTATCACAGGAGTTGGGAACCAAGGTTCCTTTCTGCCCGATCGTTGGCAGCGAAGTCTACTCTGCGGAGGTCAAGAAGACAGAAGCTTTGATGGAAAACTTCCGACGAGCAATCGGTACGTCATACATCTTTCAAGAGCTTCTAGTGCACGACTAATGCAATAATAGGCCTACGAGTCCGGGAAACAAAGGAGGTTTACGAGGGTGAAGTGACAGAGTTGACTCCGGAGGAGACTGAGAACCCGCTGGGCGGATACGGACGTACCATCAGCCATTTGATCATTGGGCTCAAGTCTGCCAAGGGTAGCAAGAAACTCCGTTTGGACCCCAGCATCTACGAAGCTATCCAAAAGGAGCGGGTTACCGTTGGAGACGTTATCTACATTGAGGCCAACACTGGTGCATGCAAGCGCGTTGGTCGCTCTGATGCCTACGCGACGGAATTCGATCTTGAGGCAGAGGAGTACGTGCCTGTTCCCAAGGGAGAGGTTCACAAAAAGAAGGAGATTGTACAGGATGTAACCCTGCATGACCTCGATATGGCCAACGCCCGGCCACAAGGTGGACAGGATGTGATGAGCATGATGGGCCAGCTGATGAAGCCCAAGAAGACCGAGATTACCGACAAGCTGCGCCAAGAGATCAACAAGGTGGTCAACCGATACATTGATCAGGGAGTGGCTGAGCTTGTTCCTGGTGTCCTCTTCATTGACGAGGTTCACATGCTTGACATCGAGTGCTTCACATATTTGAACCGTGCCCTTGAGTCCTCCATTTCTCCCATCGTTATCCTTGCCTCTAACCGCGGTAACACCGTCATCCGAGGCACCGACGACATCAGTGCGGCCCACGGCATCCCGCCAGACCTGCTGGCCCGCGTCCTCATTATCCCCACTACCCCCTATAACTCCGAAGAGATAAAGACCATTATCCGACTCCGTGCCAAGACCGAGAATCTCAGCATCACCGAGCCCGCCCTGGACAAGATCGCCGAGCACGGCACCAATATCAGCTTGCGGTATGCTTTGCAGCTGCTGACCCCAGCAAACATCCTGGCCCGAGTCAATGGACATCCGGGGGGAATTGAAGCGTCGGACGTTGCCGAGTGCGAAGATCTCTTCTTGGACGCGAAACGCAGTGCACAGATTGTCGCCCAGGACAGCAGCAAGTTCTTGGCATAGAGGGAAAGTGATGGAGTTCTATGTCTGTATACCATGGGGTATTCTTTTTGTTTATTGAAAAGGCGAAATGCGCTCTTAAGGCCTGATCTTTATGTTAATGCTATTGATGTAACCCTTGATTTCGGAGATTTATGCGCTTACAAAAGCCAGAAGTCCCCCTTTTTCCCGGGCCTTTTTTCCAGTTTCAAATATCTTGCATGAAGTCATGAACCAAGCCGTGATCTACGCTTCGTGTAAGACTATCGAATCTGAATATTGTAATTTCTGATTAGTTATGCCCTATGGCCTGACACTTATTCATGTAACCCCCGGCCTCGGCAGGAATCACGTGCAGCTTATCGCCATCTCCAGCCTCCACCTATCCATGAACCCTGTACCTATTGCCTTTTCTCCGAATTAAACCGTCGTGAATATTGACTTCCCGATCATTTTTAGCGAGCATCGAGATTGCAAGGCCACGCCAAAGCGCAGATTCTGGCAAGACTTGAACGAGCTACAACCGGTGCAACCATCATTGATAAAGGTGGAGCCTGCGGATTGATCATACGCAACCGCCTATCGCAACAGGCATCTCACCATCTCTCTCTTTCTTCCTCTCAATCCACCCACCTCACAACAAAACACCCTCAATATGGTCAACCCCCTGGACACGGATGCAGGCTCGGAGATGTTCGCCAGCTACGAGAGTGAACTCAAGCTCATCCAAGCCGATCTGAACCAGAAGCTGGACCAGATCTCCGAAGCCAGCGGTGAGCAGCGCAAATCCGCAATCCGCTCGGCAGAGCTAGTCCTTGATGAGGCAATAGAAATGGTAAGCCTCGCCCCTAGTATTGTCAATCCCGTCTCTCCTCTCTCCATTCAATGTCCCCCGAACAAGCGCCCTCCTCCGCCCCTCCGATACATACAGATCTATAGAATGAATATCAACTAACCACCATATAATATTAGCTGGACCAAATGCGCCTGGAAAAGCAAAATATTCCCTCCGAAGCCCGCTCGAAGATCAACATCCGCTTCCGCAACTACTCCACAGACGTCGACGAGATCAAACGCAAGCTTAGGTCCCTTTCAGATGATCGCAAAGCCCTCTTTGGTGACCGGTACACCGATGAGCCCCAAGATGAACATCTAGAACAACGTCAACAGCTCTTGTCTGGTACAGAGCGGTTGGAGCGCAGCTCGGCGCGGCTACAGCAGAGTCAGCGGACAGCGTTGGAGACGGAGGATGTGGGGCGTGACGTGCTGGCTAATCTGTACGAGCAGCGGCAGACGATCCAGCATACCAGAGACAACCTGCAACAGAGTGAGGGCTATGTTGATACCAGCATCAAGACTTTGAGGGGTATGGCTCGTAGGTACTGTCCTCCTTCTTCCGTTGCTCTTTGTTCGGATTGGATACTGACTATTTGGTAGGATGGCTACGAATCGGATAATTACGATCGCTATCATTACGCTGCTTGTTCTTTTGATTATTGCCGTTATTTACGGGAAATTCCATTAGCGTTGTGACTTTCTGGGCGTTGTGCTCTTTCTATTTGTATCTTTTTGAACATGTATGCTAGTATTGCCGGGCTTGACCAGCTCTAGAGCTTTGGTTTATAGAAACCTGTGGTTATAATCGAGCTCTGGTATCATGAAGACCCTATTTCTCGTACTAGATCTCGGATTCAAGCTCAACTTTCAAAATTTGGATCTCCTGTTCAACGAACCATCATTTACAACCCAATGCGATCAAACAAAACAAAACACCAAGGGTATCATAAACAAATCCCGAAACGCCCAAAGCACTTCAACAACCCAAAATCCGCCGCTCCGGAGCTAATACCTGGAACTCCTAATTCATGATTCTCATAGCCCCAAAAGCCGCATTGACAAGTACCCCCACAAAGACCGCCACACCCTTCCTCCAAGACCAAACACCATCCTCCCTCCGCAACCACATCGCACAGCCAATGGGCCAAAAGAAGCCCATAACCGCACCCCAAAGCATGTCATCCATAGCGCTCCTCGATCCAGACCCCAGACCTCCATCATCATCCCCAATACCCGCACCCTCACCTCCACCCGCCATCCCCGCAGCAGTCGAGCCTTCATCCATCCACCGATCTTCCAGATCGCGCAGCTCTTCCCCACTAGGCATAGTATCCGGAGTACGAGAAACAGACTGCACAGCCAGAAACTGAGAACGTAAAGCCGTCACCTCCGCCGCGGTGAAACCGGCTGTCAAAAGGCGATCGAAGCCGCGGGGCGCTGGGGTTGTAGTTGTTTGAGGCGCCGAGCGCGATGGGAACATAGATGAGCCACCGCGGTGGGGGATTGACGTAGTAGTAGATAGTAAAGATGATACATTCTGGGTCTCCTTTTGGCTTTGTAGATGTGTTGTTGCGATGTCCGCTTCCGCGGCTAAATCGGCTTCTGAAAGCGCGATGTCGCCAATGGAGCAGTGGATGTATATTCTTGGGCGTTGATCGCGGACGGGCTGTTTACCTTTATCTTTGGGCTTGAAATCTGAGGTATTTTGGGCGTCGCTCTCGGGACTTGTGTAATCATCGTGGGGGTCTTCATCTTCTGCGGGTCGTGGAGTTCTAGATGGTGAAGGCGCGAGCTTGAGAGAGGTTGCGAGGGCGGCTGTATCTTCTAGTCCACGGCCTGCATAGATTAGGCGTAGGCGGTGCGATGAGAGGGATGATGGGAGCTTTGCCCGAATTAATTGCTTGAGTCCTGCGCCGGTTGTTTTGTCGGGTGATGGGACATCGAGTGGGAGGTCGGGGATTGAAGCGGAGAAGCGGACAGTGATGAGGAGGTCGGAGACAGGGTCGTTGGTGTAGGAAGAAAGGAAGGTAGATGACGACATACTGTCTCGCTTTAAATCGAAGCTAGGGTATGTATTGCCTAGATGTTTCAAAGAAAATGCCTATACTTCAAGATGTTGGGGTTGATGTGGTCTGGATGCATGATTCCGCCCCATTATGCCGTCATGTGACATGATCAACGTTCACATTGTTCTCATTTAAGGTTATCAATATCAGAAGATTAGATCCTGATTTCATTTGGGCATAATTCTAGATGTAATTTAATGTACCTGTGAGAAGACATCTCGAGTGGGCCTTGAGATCTACTGTTGGCGGTGTTGTCTACATCAGAGTCCATTAGGCTAGTCTATACAAATGATATGATATTTGAGTTCATAATATTTCACAGATATTTCGCGTAGAAATGAAGATGAATGGCCAACAGACCTTCATAGCCTCTATAGCAAGCTAGAAGAGGTCCATGGTATCAAATCCACCCGTGGCCTCCTCGTGAAGACAGGGTGAGCGATACCGACAAAAAAGATAGCAAGTGGAGAGAACTGCATCAACTGGATATCAAGCGTATGTACTTGACCGAACAAAGCGGCCACAAGTCCCAAAAACCGTTATGATAGAAAAGAAAAACACCGTCCGATGCACCGAAGGAAGACGCCGAGACCCGAAGAAAACATGTCGAAAGAGCGCTTATACCATGAACGATTCACCGCATCCGCATTGTTCCTCTATTACTGGTTAGCACACGTTGCCAGGGAATTTCCCCGAGGAGAATGAAACACTCACTAATGTTGGGGTTGCGGAAGATAAATTTTCTGCTCAGCTTATCTTCTTGCCAGTCCATCTCGCTGCCAATGATGCTGAACAGAGCCTTGCTATCGATCAGAACCTTCACACCATCCTGCTCCACCACTTCGTCGAACTTTGCTGGCTTTTCCACGTACTCAAGGTGATAGGCCAGACCCGAGCAGCCCCGGTTTTTCACTCCAACACGAATGAACTTTGGCTCGGGTTGATCCATAAGCTTGCGCAGTTGCTCAGTGGCCATATCGGAAAGTTTCATGGCCGCCTTTCTTGCTCGCAATGGCCGACGAGGCTTTCCGGTCTTGGAGGCAGTGGACGAAGCGGGTTTGGGTTTTTGAGCCTCGCTTTCCCGAGAAGCGCTAGTGCTGGGGGATGTTGATTTTGCTTGTGATGGCGAGGTCTGTAGACTCTCTCCAGGAAGAGGGAAATCGGCCGAGATCAGAGAGTCTGAGCCACTGGGGCTACGAGGAGGCGGGAAAGACGAAGGGAGAGTGTGTGGACGGTAGGCGGTTGCAGTTTGCATGTCACGCTTGGATGATTGGTAGGCATTCCCGTATGATGAGAAGCAACGCACGGCGGGGGAGCATAGTGTAGGCGAAGGCTTCGCCCATCGGAGAAGTGTGGCGGATGATGTCACAGAACGCTGCATGGTGGTGAGACTGGTTGTCGAGGGTGGGAATGAAATATTTAACGGGGCCTCGACGGAAATTGGCTATGAACACATATGAAGGTCGATTTCAGCGTTAAAATGTGGAAGTGAATGACCAAGACAAGGAGAGAAGAGTTGTTTAATCGAGTTCCCCGGTGACTTCTCGGGCGATTAAGTAAGACTGGTTGCATGATGAGGGTTCAGCCAATCACCGTACAGGTGTTTCTACACACGGTGGCGCCACTCTTGATGTTGAATGCACGGACTAATGATAATCGATTACTTAAATTAAGTGACATTATGGGGACCATTGACGGTTGAGGATCCAGAAATATCCCTTCAACCCTATTGGAGATTTGGTTTTGTTTCCGATTGTTCTGTTCTTTATATTTCATCCTATCCCTGTCCCTGAACCTGATTAGATAATTGAGCGTTTATCGGCAGCTGAGTCATCTTGTATTCCGCTGTAAACGTGACTTTGATGCCCGATGTCCGGAGTTAAACTCAGCCCCTTTGATAGTGTGCGTGACCAGGTTGTATTGAGGAAAAAACAAAGAATACATGGTTAATAAGCTAATAGTCAATACTATAAGACTTCATCCAAACATAAAATAAAATTACATAGAAAAATATCCAAATCCATTGGGAATGTAAAATGAAAGGACATGTGGCTGGATCCGCTGACAAAAGTGGCTGGTGCCTTGGCCACTTGAGATGAACGCTCGAAGGAACCTTCCCTCCATATTTTAATATTTAATTATTCGGTGATCGATCTGCCGATCATCTGAGACATGATGGAGGCTTCGCCGCTTACACAGCAGACGAGACCGGACACTTTCCAACCAAAGATCGTCCAGCTCTACGAGTCACTCTTTAAAGTATGCCCCCACGATGACCCTGAGTTCTCCAATTTGATAGAGCCGCATATACTGACTATCCGCAGTCGACCGAGGATGCAGAACACTCCGAGGGCTTCTGGCGAGAGTTTTTTCTACTGCCACCAGATGGAGGCCAGCTTCATGTTTTGCTAGACAAGTTAAGCCCCGACGAGACGCTGGGCCTGCAGGTTAGAGCCCCGACCTTTACCACATGTTCAAAGAACTGATTTGAAGTAGACGCAATCTCAACAGCTCTTTGCCCGAGCAATCCGTGAGGCTGCGGCTGGGGTCGCGCCTGCTGATTCCTATGCACTAGATGTGAGTGCCCCGCCATTCAGATCGAAACCTATCATTGACTGATGTTCTCTAGACCTTGACTATCTTCTTGACCAGTATTCTGAGCAAAAAGTACACCAATCCTAGCTCAGATGTGATCAATATTCTCGCCGGCCTTGACGAGGTTGATCACGTCATCTCCGAGTTTGTCTCTGTCTTGGACGGAATCATTCGCAATGGCTCTAGCTGTGAGTATCCGTGCTGAATCATGTATATTACAAAGACTCATCTTGTTATACAGTGGAATTGCGCCGTAAAGCAATCCGAGTCGCCATTGCTATGACGAGCGGGGCATACAAGACCAGCCTCGTCTCTTATTTCACACACCGCGATTTGTTCCCATCTCTGATGAAGGTAGGAACAATTCAGTGCCCCCAAAGATACTCGGTACCTAACGATAGCAGTATGTTCACGACTCTGATGACCCTATGCAAGTGTTCGATCCGTTCCTTCTCCTGGGACTATTGGCGAACTACAACAAATTTGAATTTCAAAACCTCTATCAACTTCGACTCGATGATTTTGTCAACGAGTTGAGCATTGAGCAGGTTGCTAAAGGTGTTGGCCTCGCCTGTGGCGGACTGCGAAATGGCTACATTGCCGTGCAGGATGACATACCCGAAGGCTGGTCCTTGAAAAACACTTTGATCTTCTTTGGGCTTCGGGCTCTCGCGCCTGGCGCGCGGGATAAGGCTAACCCGCCCAGTGCGGAGGAAGCAAAGGCCATGTTCGCTGCTCTGTAAGGTCTTCTCACATGATCAATTTCTGCAGACACTGATAATTTGCCAGACCCGCTCACGAAGCCGCTATCTTGTTGGCAACTTATGACTTTGCGAACTCTAACAAACTATTTGGTTACCATATGGTTCACCACATCCCCGAAAAGAATGAGGAATCTCCCTTTTCTAGCTTCCTGTCTCTGTCTTCATATCTTCTACAACACGCCTATCGATCGGTGCGGGTGGCACACTATGCTGAGCTGGGTTTGTTCACCCTGCGTATCCTTGTTGAGGACCCAACTCTCTGCAAGCACATCTGTAGCGAAGATGGTAAACGCAGAGTCCGAATTTGTCGCCAGAAGCAGCCATATCTCCCAGTAGTTGGCGGAGACCGGGTGCTCGCCACCGTCATCTTCGACATAATGATCGACACAATCACGCATAACCTTCGGCGACGATTGGACGTCAACATCTACAGGTACCCGGCATCCCAATAATCAAATGATCCCACGCAATGCTAACAACGCCTAGCCACACCGTTGCCATCACACTGCGCCTCCTAACCTACCTCTCAATGAACAAAATCCGACTAAATTATCATTGGTCCGAACTCTGGCGCACGCTCCTCTCCCTCATGCGCTTCTTAACAACATATGCCACCGATCTAACTACAAACCCCCAAATTCACACTCTAACAAGCTCACTCGCCGATCTCCTCGCCTTCTGTGTTTCAGGCGGTGACACCTTCCTCCCCGATCCAGCCTCCTACGATGACCTCTTCTACAAGCTCGTCGAAACCGGCCCCGTAATCTCCAAATTCCGAGCCATGTACGCCCTCACCCGCTCAACCACAGGAGCCCAGGGCTCATCCGCTCCAGTCCCAGACGCAGCGATTCTCCAGAAAACGGATCTCCACGCAGCGGCCATCGATACCCTGCTCAGTGTTTCCACACATTTCTACACACTTCTCTTTCAGTCCGATGGTTCCGATCCTACAGCGCCTGCCACTGTAGCTGCCAGTCCCAAAACAGACGGCGAGCCTACGCCTGTGGCATTACCTTCCATCAAGAAGAAGAACCTCAGTCCGCGAGAGGTTCATCGAATTATCAAGCAGGGGTACGAGACGCTTAGTATCCAGCCACCAGAGGGATTGAGTGCGTGGTCGAAATGGAGAGAGACGGATTGGAAGACCGAATTGAAGAAAGCGGCGCGGGTTGCTGTTGAGGATGCGAGGCAGCTGGTTGCATAGGTTGGATATTGGATAGTTCTCTTTTTGCCTTCTCTTTCATTGTGCAAGCTGGACATTCTAGGATTAGGATACCTGGGGGCTGGCTGGGTCAGGGATTTGATACATATTCAAATATGGATGGGTTCGCCAGGAGCACTCGGGATGGGATGGAGCACTACGCAGAGCCTAGACACTTTCTTTCAGTCAGGTCTACTGGACTCGGAACTTTCTTGGTTTTCTGAGATATCCCAGTAGAAATTTTTTAGTTCATTTTGACATCCATGGAATTGTACATATATCCACGTTAGAGTAATCTCGGAAGGAATGTCTAGACCAGACCAGTCCAGTGATTTGAGTTCAAAATGTATGTGTATACACATCAAACACCAAATACATTTACTTAAAATGTCATAAAGGATCTACTACATAATTAGCATGCCCGGGGTCCTTAAGAAGATCAAAACTGAGATAGCACGTCTGCGTCGATCCTGTGAATTATCAAACATCCTCGAGTCATAATCATCATTCTAGTGTGTAGTCGACTTGGTCATAGTGCTGCAGTCGTCATATACGGGCACTAGACACCCATCTAGAAGTATCAAGTGCTAGCCGTAGAGATGGTAGGAGAGAGAAGCGAGAGAAAGCATAGAAAAGAAAAAAAGTGAGCCCTCAAATGGGAAAAATGAGAGCTGATTGTAAGACTACGAATGAGAGAATGCGTATCACGAGGTGACTGGGTTTTTTCCTTCTGAAGTCTCTCACTCCCCACTACGTACGCTACCTTGCAGTTGTTAAATCTTTAATGCTTGAGGAAGTAATTTTAGCACAGATGAATTGCTTGGATTTCGCGGGACAGGCTATGTGAGTACTTGTGATTGAACGCTGAATTTGGGGACGTGGGACATGGAAGCATGAGTTGGTAAGGATACAGTTTTTTTTGTTTCATTTTTTGTCATGGTCACCCCCGAGTCATAGCAAGGAAAAATAAATAATAGGTATCAAGATAATGGATACAGACAGCGCACAAGTACAGGTAGACACAGAACGGATCAAACATCCCCGAATCAGGTCTCTTCTTCGATCTCCGTCGCGGAGATGTACTGGGTGGTGAAGTACTTCTCCGAGTTCCGGCTCAGCCAGATGGAGAATTTTGAGAGCTCCTCATGGGAGCGCCCAGTGCTCTTGTACTCCATGTTGGTCTGAGCCAGGAGCTCGGGCAGGAGGCCTTGGTGATATTAGATTGGAAAGTCATTGAGAAGGTGAGGGAGGGAGCTTACTCAAAAGGCGGATCAAATGCTCGCCGCCATACACGTGGATGGGGCTCTTGTCCTTCTGCCCCATATACTTCTTCTTGAGCACGCGGTATTGCTGGCGCTCGTACCGGTAGAGGAGGAGTTTGTCGAGGACGACCTCAAAGTACTCGGACAGGCCGGCGATGACTTCGTCCATGACACTGACATCGACGTGGTGGCGTTTGGGAAGCTCCTCGGCGCGCCAATCCTGGAGAATGTCGTAGACCGTCTTGGTGGCGGGCAGTTGGACCACCGAGCCGTTCTTGGTAACGCGCTCCCAATCATCGACAATCAGGGACTTGATATTATCGGGCATGACAATGCGAATTGAAGGGCGGGCTTGGAACACCTCCTCCTGCTTTTTGGTCAGTTTGATGAAAATAGAAATATGGCTAATCAACATTGGGCAGATAAAGGGTTTTTCGTTGCACACAAGTAGCTCCTAGGCCATATCCTGGTGAGCCTGCATAAGAGCTTGGTTCTGGGCTTCATTCGGGGCTTGACTTCGGATCTCGAGGTCCTCATAAGTGGTTCTACAAATCATACCAGAAGATTCTCCAAGCTGAGGTGATCAGCACGGGTCCGAGCCTGAGTGATCTGGTGTATGTGGTGATTACGTTCATAGTAAATCGTGAGATCATAAACCCAAAAGCTGTCCCACGTGCGGCGAAACCGAGACCAGTGAATCATGATGGTGATGATGCTCGGAGCTTTGGCAACCGGATGGATGGATGATGTAGAAACGAAAAGTGTGGGATAGATGAGAATGAGAAGAGGGGGTTGGAATAGCAGGAGGGTTGAAGGAACAGAGAGATTGGGGATAATGGGTTGGGACGTGACGAGACACAACAAAACCCAACGACTAAGCACGACTAGGCAGCGATGGGGGACAGTCACTCACTCGTTCAATGTCATTTTCCCGTACACGCTTGTTACCTCTAGCGGAGACAGAGTTACCACGCTCCTCGCTGTCACGCACTGAGCTGCGTTCCGACATGGCTCGCTTCTTCGTGCCGGGCTTCACGTTCTTTGCGCGAAGGGAAGCTTCAGCCTCACGTCGAATATTGGCAGCGAGCTCACGGTTCTCGTCGCTCCATTTGCGTAGACGATCTTCAAGAACCCAATCATCCCAGCTGCAAACTACTTGTCAATAACGAGGTCCCCAAGTGGAAAATGTTCAGGCATACCGCCTATTCTTCCTTTGTGTGGTTTAGTATTGGACCCCAGGCAGAGATTGCAGGCAGGGCTAGGGACACGGACTCCTCCAACACATGAACAGGGCGACATGCTGATGAAAAAGACAGATAATGAGGGACTTACGTATTCTTCCAGCCCTTATAATGCACCAGGTACTCGAACGGGCTTTTCTTATCCGAGGCATCCTTGTGCCGCAAATCAAGGATCTTGGCCTCATATAGAATGTCGTGATGGAAGCACAGGACTTTCTCGTCCTTGGCATAATTTGTCGGGGCCATTCTGGAGATGAAAATGATGAAGTGGGGTTAGAAACCCAAGGGAGAAGAATCCCGAAGGATTGAGAACAGAAGAAGAAGAAGAAGAAGGGGAAGGGTTGAGGTGACGTTGAGATCGTCGACGACTAAGCGCCGAGAATTTTGAAAATTCCTGTGAGCGATCGAGTCTTTCGAATCGACTGGACAAAAACAATGAATCGATTCAGGCCGTGTTCAGGCCGTGTCCAGGCCGTATTCGAGTAGAGTTGTTCAGATTAACCTGATTTTCTTGATATCAGGCGACCACACCCTCGCAAGTAGAACAATGAATCCACTATGCAGATAATTTGTTCCCAGAAGTTTGGAATTTTCTCTTTCAGGTATTTTGAATTACAGGGCTTTGTAAGCGGGTTGAAGTTAGAAGTTGAAGTTGAGGTTCGTGGTTGTGAAAAGGCGGAACGTCGCCCCTTGGAAGAAACTCACCAAATCACCAAAATCATCAAACACCTAATTTTTCTCGGTCCACAGGAAACACAATCATCCACCACCACCTGTTAAAACCAGCCAAAATAATTCTTGACTTTTGAGGTCTTAAGTCATTAAGGAATTAAGTTACATCTACCCAGATTGTTTTCCGGGACCCGGTGCATGCGCTTCAGTCCACTGACGCCACCATCAACACGCGACTATTGCTGAAGCAAAGAAGCTACCAGTCTTAAAACCGTGGCTTTTACGTGTTAATTTGTCATCTGAAGACATCTGAACGCGTTGGGTACATCATCTCCAAATCCTCCACAATGGCACCCTCCGAGGAGTCTATCCTGAGCAACTTTCTGCTTGTCCCAGCTTCACTGCCCACAGTTTTGTCATTGCAGAAATTTACAGAGCTATTTCCTAAGCGTCTGAGAAATCATCCACATATTCGATCCTTGTATCGGGAGCTGCAACAGACCCGAGAACATGACATGGATCAAGTGAATGAAAATATTGATAATGAGATTCAGCAAGGTGAACGCCAGAGAGCGGAGCTCCACAAAGCCAGCTTGGCAGCTGGTGTGGAAGCAGCCAATGAAGATGAACAGCGGGAGGTGGATATGGATCTTCATCTGTTTGGACAAACTGCCCTCAATCTCCAGGATTATCATTCTGTAGAGAGTCTTCTGACTGAAATGGAGACAGCTTGTGCCCATATACAGGAAGAGATCGATGATATGGACCAGGACTCTAAGGGTCTGGTGGCTCAACTCAGTACCACGGTAGGAGATTTGAGTGACCTTCGCTATGGGAAGTTTGCAGGTCCTGGTTCTGCTAAGGATGTGGCAGAGCAAAGTATCAATGCTCTGCAGAACCTGGAGGATACTTGCTATCAGAAGAGTATGCCAGGTGCTTGATGGTATCTAATGCCATTTGAAACAAACCTCCAAGCCATGTTTGATGCTCAAGGTAGGCAGCTCAGTTCTCACTCGGGAGTTTAGCGCTAACTCTGCAATAGATTTTTCTTAATGGGCTATACACACATATCATAACAAATATTACACACTTGAATCTGGATGAGAGCCATGATTTATCTGGCCCCAACAGCACCGGCTTTCCAGCAATCTGTACCCAGTCATCACGGTGGCAATTGCAGAATTTTTACAGGAGCAATATCGGTGCCCAGTATTACTGGTGCGGCATTCGACCCGCCTTTCCTCCGATCAAATGCAGAAAGTCTCGTCAAACGATCCGACGCGGCCCAGGTGAAGCACGACCTCAAACGAACAGATGCATGTATGCGCAAGGCCTGCCAATTATGCTGAGAATTGGGATGATTCAATAAGATTCGATTATTTTCAATGAATTTCCAGTAATTAAACCCTTTTCAGACAAAAGTACCCCTGGTGAAGTCTTGATAAATCATAATCTAAATTCCATGCTATTACTATGGCCTTATCGCTTCCATTTACGGTATGAATGCGAAATGTGGGGTCACGCGGTCGCGTCGCGTCAACCTCACCAACCCAAACCACTACAACCTCACCACCACAAACCACCATGCCGACCATACGCCTCCATCCTCAATCATCTCCAAAACCAACACCAACTCCCTACCCCCTTACCAACCCCCTCCCTCAACTCCTCCAGACCCCTTCAGGCCTCGCCCTGCTCGAGCTCCAAGGCACAATCAATCTTCCCTCAACAGAGCGCGATGAATGGGATCCCGCACCAGAACCTCAATCACCCAATGGTACATCTTATGAAACCCCGATCGGTAAACTCATGTTCCCGGATTATTCGGCCCTAAACCCCGATGACACCAAGTGGATGAAACGCGCATATCTCTATGTGGGCCGGTACCAGCGCATGACGGGGGAAGTGAAGAAATTGCCCAAGCCAATTGCTCTTTTGCAGAAACGACCTTCTTCATCTGCGGAGATTGAGGAGTTGGAAGTTGTGGAGATTGTGCGGTATAAGGTGTTTTTCAAGAACCGGCCGGAACCTGTGAACAATATTTGATTGGCTCGGTTTCTTGGAATACTTTCTCAATGATGCTCTTGGTCAAATAATGCCATCGCATATCGGTTTCTTGCGGTGATGTCTACATCTACCACGTGTGCGGTCTCGACCTTTGAAGGTCTCGCTGAAACCCGTCGCACAACCACAATGGTCGAACTTCAACTCAGGCTCATCAGTCGATGATATTTATAACATTCGGCAGTGTTGGTGAAGATAACCTCGTGAAGGAAGAACCTGGGGGAATGGTCGTCAACCATGACACTTGACACAATGCCACCTTGTGAGGCCAAGAAGGGCTTAATGATATAATGACGGAATGAACTCAATACAGCCTCAATGTTTGTTATAGTATGAGCGGCATTTCCCAAGATTGACCTAATGCAAGTCGCATGGACCAATCCTTAACTTTATCCCGTATATTTAGTAACATTTCTTTACCCGTGGGACCTGCAATAACCGGGCGGAATTATGCCACAAATGAGCCCTGGAAGTATTCCGCACTCCCAACCCCAAGCCAAACAACAATCACAATTCAAAGTACCAGTCCAAGGATCAAAAACGATACAAAATGACTGAAAACCATATTCAAGTACAAATTCTATGCCAAATTCCATCTAGATCCCCTCAACGACATAACTAACAAAGTAAACCCCCCCCGTCCGAGCCATCCCGGTCCGTCGGAACGTCATCAAGAAACCCCGCAGGTACCGAAGCTCTGAACCCGATCGCTCGAATCCCGCATTACATTGTCATGCTAATATAAAGGGCCCCTCAATGCCCCGCCTACCCTTACCATTGCTTTTACCATTGTCATCCTTCCGCAACATCTCCATCCGACCCCAGCTCTTCCGCACATTCACCTCCACACCCGCAGCCATGGCACCCATCGAGCGCATCACTCTCTTCAAGATCCCTAACGACGCCGACGCTGACCGTCTGCTGGAGCAGTACAAAATTCTAGCAAAGACTGCTTCTAAGGTATGTCATGCATCTCATTTGTTTCTCTTTGTCGTCTTTATCGGAACGGACTGGCCTCTTCGGTTCAATTCATTGCCGATATACCCACCCAGCTTTTGTTGTTCATTTTAGACACTTTCTTCGGTCCTGCGGGATATCATCGTACTCGAGAAATCCGGAAACTGACAATGGACTTTATTTCAGGATGGAAAGCCCTACATCGTTGCCGCTGCCGCTGGCAAGTCCATTCCCGATCCCCGCAACCGCGGCTTCAATATCTCCGTGAAGACAACTTTTGCTTCAATGGAGGACATGAAGTACTATGATACAGAGTGTGAGGCTCACAAGGAGCTTAAGGCACTTGCGGGACCTATGAAGGAGGATGTGATGACCACATTCTACGAGAGTGTTCTTTAAGTTATAGCTTGGTGGGATTGTACATAAGTCTCTATATAAAAAACGATTCATTCCGGATGTACACTGCATACATCTAGTATGCTTCCTCAGTCAAAAGTCACAATCCAGAGAGCCGAAGAAAAAATAGTAAGACACGCACAAAAAGAAAAGGACGGGGAACAACGCAAGGGAAACACCTATGCTTTTAACAACGGCATGCTAGAACAACGGCTGGAACGGAGTACAGGGTCGTAAGAGATAGGGAGAATCGATGTAAGCCCAAATGGAGGAAGGAAAAGACAGCAGATATCCGGCCTATGGGTATGATGTTGAGTAATCGCAGATTGAATCGACATCAACGCTGGAGAAATATACAGAGTGAAGAAGAATTCGGCGGTGGAGAAGATCAATCGAGGGCCCGGCGAAGGTCGCTCCATTTCTGGCGGAGCGTCTCGTGGTTCTCTGACAACTGTAGCAGGTGTGGTTAGTTACTGGACAGATGAGAGCAGATAAAGCTTCACATACCTCGGCCCACTTCATCTTCGTTGAAACTAGCTCCTTCTCCATCTCAGCCATGGAGTCCTCCATCGCCCGGTTTTCGTTCTGCACCTCAATGTTCCGTTTCATGATCCGCTCCATCTCCATGCGCAGTTTGCCCTCCACTTCACCAGGTTGCTTATCCACCACGACCTTTAGCTCGGCAACTTGGAGCTTCAGAGCATCAGTCAAGTCACGCAGTTCCTCATTCTCTACCTTGGCATGAACCAATTCTGAAGCGAGCTGCACATGCTCCTTGTCTGAGGCCTCAGCGCGCTCCTCGAGCAAGCGCACTCGGGCAGCCTGCGTTGCCACGGTGTGTCGCAAATTCTCCAACTCAGTCTCACGCTCCTTCTCCGTCCGAGTCTTCTCCTCCCACTCAGCAGTATAAACTTTGATCATATCTTGGGTGAGGGGGACGTCGCAGGCATCCTGGACTAAGATATCGGCTCGGTAGACCTCCTTATCGGCAGCTCCAGAGCTTCCAAAGAAACCCGACTCTAAGATAGATGTTGCCGAAGGTTGCTTATCGATGTATGCGTCGAACAGGCGCTCCTTTAGGAAGGTAGTGAGCGTGCTCATATCCTTCATCCCCAGCAGTGCCTCAGCATTGCGTCTCATGATGGCAATAGAAAACCTGAGAATGGTGCGTTCAAGACCCTCCTCAAAGATCAGGTCGTAAATACGAAGGACGAGCTGCAATGGGAATCGATAGGCGAACAATGTCAAGAACCACTGCGTAGCATATAGTTGCGGGGGAACGCCATGTCGGCGGAGGTGACAGTAAAGGGCTGGTTCCAAGTCTTCTAAAAGTCGTTCAAATTGGTAGAGACTGCGGTGAAGTCCAGGCATGTCCGCAATAAACATCTCGCGAAGCCCATATTTATTCATGAGCTTGACAAGAAGCTCGAATGCCTCAGCTTCATCCATGTTGAACAGCAGGGGCATGACAATGAAATTCATGCCCTGTGCATAACCCACGGCCTCATCGTACAGGGCATAGGCTTTGCACAGGCCATACAGACTCTCCTGGCTGCCCTGTGAGACAAAATATTTCGAATAACTTGTGCGCGAACCCAGATCCCGGCGGATGACCTTTTCCAGCTTCTGCAACGCAACTCCCTCGTCCTTGGCCCTTTTTACACGAGCAGTTTCGCTGGCTAGCTGTTCCTTGGCCCACTTCTCTGGATCAGTCTCATGGGAGGGACTGGTCGAATGCGTGGCAGATCCTGAATGGTCAGATCGAATTGACGAGCGTGAGGATGAGTTTGATTCCTCGATAATCCCATTGATCTGGCCGTTTGATGGCCGACGCTCCTTGTCCGTCCCACGCGCTACCAAGTCTCGGTAGATATCCTCCAATTCACCAGCGTGGCAATCCGCCAAGATCTGCCAAATAACACCTCGAATAGTCTGTGGAATACCCCTCTTTATGGCCGAATTCAACTCCTCCGAATTCAACAGCGCCTGAGGTCCGTTGTTGACGAGTGACTGCCAGAGTTCCCAGTCCACGGGTGTCGAGGCGTCGTCTGCTGACCTGGCGAACCCAGAAACTGTACCCGGGGCAAGATTGGGGTTGATCGTCGTTGGATCTGCAGTTCCGGGGGAGGTTGCTCCCGAGGCAGTAGTAGGTGGGTGCAAAATGACATCCTCATTTTCTTCCGGAATAATTGGGGGACTCATTCCAGGATGACTGAAGCTAGGAGGTTTCGATCGTGCACCCGCTTCCTCGTGCTCAGCCCAGGCAGTATCCTCCCGCATACGCAGCAATTTGAATTGGTCCTTCAAGCTATTGCGTCGTGGCCTCTTCGAGTTGACACTTGACGCATCTCCATCTGTCACAAGGTCCAGGTTACTGGCGATGGTTGATACTGAAGTGGAAGTATTTCGCCTGGATCCAACCGGAGGCGGGGACTTGACTTCTTTTGCTGAAATCGAGCTCCGAGAGAACCACGCGAAGGGGCCGCTGGATTTGCGAGATAAGGGAGGAGGAGGAGGCGGGGGAGGATTTTTGTTGATGGGAGGGGGGGCCCATGGCAAGGACGGTAGGCTTCCAGATAGGCCCTTCAAGCCAGAGCTAGGCGGAGAAGCAACATCGTCTTTGGGGGGTACGGGAGGTAGTTCCGGCTTGGTTTCGATAGTGTCAATAATTGGCACATCCTCCTTGCTGGTTGTTAGGACCACCTCGTCAAGGGACGAGGCAGACGATAAACGGTGGGAGGTGAGTAGGGGTGACTTCTGTGCAATGTTCCGATCAGACGCCTCTTCTTCGCCTATCCCATCCAACCCAACAGGTTCAGGTAGGTCTTCAACCTCGATGTGCTGGTCTGCCTCATCGTCATGTTCCACTTCGGCCGTCTCAAGCTTCAGTTCGTCGCCAAGCTCTTGCTCCTGCAGCTCCTCGGCCTGCTCCTCCGCAACCTCCCCATCGTCTTGCTGCTTCCCCTTTTTCTTGTTTTTCTTCTTATTTTTCTTCTTAGGTGTAGTCGATTCACTTCCGTTGTCCTCCTCTTCTTCCTCCTGCTCGACCTGCGATTCAGAAGGAAGCGGCGGCTTTTCTGTTAATTCTGGTGACGCACCCACCCCCACGGGCGGGCTATCGGTCAATGACCGTGCTGACGAGGACTGAGGAATGGTCACACGGGGGTTCTCAATGGATTCGGGGGCATCGTCGAACGACTCCTGAGAGCAAGTCAGCATAGGAACACGGTGTATAGAATCTGAAACGAGGGGATATCACAACTTACCCCTTCGTAGTCACGACTGTTCCGGGCCGACATATCGAACGCAGCTCACGAGTACATGCAATCAGGATATAACCATAAGACCCAGGAAGCAGGAAGCCTCAGGGGTCATTAGGAGAAAAATGGGAGGGAGGAAGAATGAGCCAGCGTGAAAGGAATTTGGGGATTGTTAGTTTCGTAGTTTCGTAGTGATGGTAAATCGAGGGACCAGGCACGGGATCTGATTGGCTGGGGAAATCACTATGGGGCTCCTGTCGATCGGGAACGTTGGAATGAAGCGATTCTACCTTTGGTGATTTAAAGATATGTAGATAGATAGTAGATATGGAGAATGTAGGATTCTTGACTGTTTCCTCTCGACTTTCCACTTTTCACATGGTATCCTGCTGTTCCATTCAGTAATGTTCGATGGGTTTATGGATCAACATAGATCTGTCATACGTGTACACCTCTACCCAAAACAACACCAATCACGTATAAAGTGACTACTCATATCCTCGTCTAATGTAACCCGTACTCTAAAAGCCTTGTGTCTGTAGCGTGAACTTCTAAAGCTCTATTCGTGGCTGAGACTGTCCTTTCCTGTGTCACGTGGGCAGCCTCAGCTGGGCTAAAACATTTATCTTTATATTTTCTATCAATATCTCACGTCTTTATTCCGAGAGTCAAAGAGGGACCAAGGACTAGTTTTCTCAAGTACTTTGAAGCTATTCAGAAATTGATGTATCATTCTTCACTTCGCCTAAATTATCCCAATTTCTGATGTCAAATTCCAAGCTTACCCACATTCAAAGAACCAAGGCTCTGCTTTTGAGAGTATCTTGTGCTTCATTTTCAATGCCAATCGATTGCTTGTTTATTGGTCTTCCCAGTTAAGTGGGTACATATCTCATCATTTCTTACATATTGATCATGGTAGAAGTAGATCATTGTATATGCTAATATCTCTGTTCATCTTCTAATGTTATCTACAGTGCTCTTTCAAAATCCAGCCATCTGCGTTCTCGCAGTGGATCCAACTGCTTCAATTCTGAGAGCCAGCTCAAAATTTGGTTTCGGTCCTGCGAGGACAAACTGCCCGTCACCTTGGATACCAACATTGTACACTCAATCAGGGCTTGGTAGATATATTTGCAATCTTCAGCCCCATCAATAATCTCCTGGATATTTTCAATCTCCTGTCGGAGATACTCGAGTCTTTCCGATGTGGTCAGGTTCGGAGCCATGGTCCGGTCTGCAGTGGCCGGGTCAAACACGGATAGCAAGTTCTGGTGATAGAACCACACCGATTGGTCATAAGGATCAATCAAGGCTTGGTGAATAAGAGATAACTCTGTTTCAATGTCAGAAAGTATCAAATCAGGTAGAGGGTCTGTGATACTGACCTTCGTCTAACATCGTCTTACGCTCATCGTCGGTGGCGGCTTGTTCGTCCAATAACCGCTGTATCAGCTTAGTGCGGTAATGCCATGCGGAGAAGTTGGACAGATTGGCACCAATCATCTTCTTGGCATATTCAAATTCTTTTTGGGTCATGCTCATGGCTTCCTCCGGGGTCCCCAACTCTTTCAAGGCCTCCACGACCAAGCGACGGTAACCCCATCCATGAAAATTGCGACTGTCCAGCGTCAACATCTTTCCGACCAGGAAAAACTCCTCCTGCCAAAGTTGTCGAGCTTCGGGCAATGCGAGTAGCCGACGAGCCTCGTCCAGCAGCCAGAGTCGATAGTTCCAAATCCAGTAGCATTTGGGAAAGCTCCGCAGAAGTGGGATAAGAAACATCAGGTCATTTTTGATAAGTTGAAGAATTGGCTGGGTTGACTTCTCCTCTGTGTCATCCCCAGCGTCCGAGAACTGTTGCCTCATGACCTGCCGCCGGTGATTCCAGATGGTGTAGTACTCTGGATTCCGATTCAGCAGCTCGGAGATCTTCTTCAATGTCTCGGAAGTGTGATCTTGTGCGGCCACCTGATCCAAATTAGAATTAATAGAAATCCTCTGATTAATATTCAATACTTTCCCACCTTTTCTGAGACCTCGCGTTCTAGAGATCTGTAGTCTTCTATCTTTTGCAGCTCCTGCTGTCGTTCTTCGGGAGTCTTCTCCACGGGCTTAAATCGCCGAACACCGTGCTGCCAAGGCCGTCAGCCTCAAACCTTGAGGGTGCAGTATTTCACTTACACTGGCCATGTTGATAAATCAATGTTCATCGATTTTCTCGACTGGGCAACTGGAGAAGTGCGAAGGAGTGCCACCGCGGCTGATATCGGCGGGGATCACGTGGGTCTCCTGCCTTGAAATAGTAATTGGCACATTCAACTTCCTCAATATCTAATGTCAACAACCACGTTCACCTGAAAAATGGTCTATGCTACACGCTCATTTAAATGGTAGCTGTCTATTTGCTACGTTGATCCCAGACAATGGTAGAATTACAAAGTCACTCCTTCGAGGATGCCTCTTCCACAGACAGCTATAACGTGCCAATCATATCCCGGTCTCATTCTGAGTCCTCTCATGACACCAGCTCAGTCAGACGACTTCAACTTACAACTATCAATTTTCCATTCCTAGAATCGCCCGCCAAGTCTCGGGGTTCACTGTCAATTCCAATATCACCCACCCCAGGCTTGAAAGGAAACCTATTAACTAAAGCGACATCTCCGGAGCGAGGTCGAAGCAGAGTCAGAAGGCCATTCAACGGAGAAAGGATACGAGTTTCTTATCCCAGTCCGGTATCTCCCGATCGATTCATTCCCAAGCGCGATTTCGGCGATTCTCCATCTACGCCATATCGCGTGAACAAGCACCCCCAGCAACTATCACCCCGAGAACGGCTTCTGCGATGCCGTTTCCCTGGAGATGATCCGTTTCTACCAACTCCCCAAAGTTCAGGGTCACCCGACCAAGGCCCAAGACCAACTCGGGTCCAGCAAAGACCACTCCACCGGCCTCGCCTGATCAATGACTTTGCAGCCATGGGAAACAATCGCCCAAACGACTTCCTAAGACAAGTCAGCTCTGGTGGGGTTTGGGGAGTGGGTGGAACATCAGCAGTGCTTGGTGTTCCGGCTGCAACAACGAATGACGCACCAAATCTCTTGGGAAGATGCACCACTGCTCCGATTTTTATGGCCAGATTCCTACCGAGAAACACTAAGGCTGACGAACAAAACAAGCACGAATCAAGAATTGCACTTGCTTTGGATATCGACCGAACTACCAGAGTTGTTGGTACCTGTGGGGTACACGCAGAAACAAGTCCCAGTCGCACATCACCGGACTATGAACAGTTCGTACCGTTTATGTGGAAGGATGGTGCTTGGAAGAAGGGTAACAGAGAACATTGTAAGTACTTGCGCGTTTCTATAATCAACGCCTTATGTGTCAAATGACCTGAGTCGTCTTCGCTCACGGGTGGTCTCGAAATTTAATTGAATGGAAATCAAATTTATTGACATTTACAGAATACGGGGTTACATGATGATGCTCGCAATACTCACTGCGGTATCCACTGACCATACTTGAATAGGGCCAATAGTCCTTCCTCGGCGAGAAGCTGTTCCCCCCAAGCCTTTTCGAATCTTAGATGCCCCATATATGCGAGATGACTTCTACTGTTCCACATTGGCTTACTCTTTTACATCTGGTGTTCTAGCTGTGGGTCTGGCGCAGTGTGTGTATCTCTGGTCCGAAGGCTACATTGTTGGTCGACCACCATTTGGTGAATTCTATCCCTCAAACTACGTCACGTCTCTGTCTTTCTCATCAGAAAACGGCGGACGAAGCATTCTTGCGGTTGGACGTCAATCAGGTCTGCTGTCTCTTTGGAGCGTTTCTGAGGAAAAGGTTCGTTTTGAGATTAGCCACCCGAACGGCATATCATGCGTTTCTTTCAAACCAAGGACTTCACAGAGACCATCCGAGGGTTTCCAAAGCTTGGAAATTAATGCAGAAATTCTTGCTGTTGGTGACGAAATTGGCAACATTTGGTACTACTCGGTTGAATGGCCCGAGATTCACACTAAATGGAGTTGGACGGGCTGTATGACGCTCATGGCCAAAATTTCCGCGCATAGCCAGCAGGTTTGTGGCTTAGCTTGGTCTCCTGACGAAAGGTTTCTTGCTACTGGTGGCAACGACAATGTATGTATGCTATTTGACCTGCATGAGATCCTCTCGCCCCCACAGGTCAACCTTTCAGGCTTTTCTACTCTGTCTTCAGATCCGTCGAGGTACTTGAGTGCTCACCCATTTCCACCTCTCACTCCCGGTACGAACCCAAGGCGTATGCCTAGCAGACGAGAAATTATTAACCATCTACTGCCATCATGGAGGCAGTCTCCTTCAAGATCGTCCGCAACTTCACTTTTGAGTCGGCTAGGATGTCTCATTTCAGGCAGCACGAAAACTGTACTAGTTCCACCCAACCGTCAAAACCACAGCCTCATGCATAGCGCAGCAGTCAAGGCAATAGCTTTTGCACCGTGGCAGCCATCGCTGCTTGCAACAGGGGGAGGCACGAACGACCGTGCCATCCACTTCTTCCACGTAAGGACAGGGGTTTGTCTAGCAACGATAAATGTGTACGCGCAGGTGACCAGTCTCATCTGGAGCCAAACTAGACGTGAAATTGCAGCGACTTTTGGCTATGCTTCACCCGAACACCCTTTCCGGATTGCTGTCTTTGCCTGGCCCAGCTGTGCACAGGTCGCCGCTATTCCTTGGGGACCTCATGGAACAAGTTGGGATGGTGATGACCATGATGTCATTTACGATTGTGGACGGGCATTATATGCTGTTAGCTATCCGGGCAGACCACCTCGCCCTCTCAGTGTCCCTCAGGAAGATCTTGAACCAGTCTACGCGGCTGCAATGCCTTCGCCTCCTAGCTCTGAGTCTCCCGAGCAAAATAACGAAGCGCCCGAACCCAGGCGAGGGCCGCGTGCGATCCGCCCGAAAGAGAAAGAAGGTGGAATGTGGTGCACACGAACGATGGAAGAAGGATGCATCATCGTTGCATCAAGCGACCAGACCGTCAAATTCCATGAGGTATGGACCGGTCGACGCAAAAGTACCAGCTCTGCTTATGGGATATTGGGAGGAAGTGATATCCTTGAGGGAATGGAAGGCATCGAGAAGTCCGGTAGTGAAGTCATTCGATAAGTTGCCGCATTGTCTATTCTTATCATTTTATTATTATCCGTGTATGGGACAGATGCACAGTCAAGTTTGATTTGATATTCGAGGTCTGCATTCGAAATTGCGTCACACCACAGGTTTGGTGGCTTTTTGTACATCCGATTTATCGATTAGCGTGAATTGAATGTCGATCCCTCCCCACTCTTGCCCAGTCCCCTGGCAATAATTCAACAGATCGGAGATCCACGGAGGATTAAGCAAGGGCTGATGTCCCTCTTAACCTTCTTCCCCTGAACTTCGTACCTAAAACACCACCAAAATGCGCGTTACAACATTCCTCACAATCCTCACCTCTGGCCTTGCTACTGCAAGCACACTGAATGTCACTGTCCTTGGCGCACAAAATAATGCCTCAACACTTGAATGCTGGGCTCTAGAGCCTGGCTTCACGACCTCTTCTGAAGCCGGTACATCAGGCTCGCAGAGCTTGAACCTAGGCCCTCTTGGTGGGAAGATTGCTGGTAACTCTACATACACAATTATCCCAGCGAAGTACGACGGAGGAAGACACAATGCGCCATTGAAGCAGTAGGTTCTCTTTTCATCTCCTAATCATTTTCACTATCTATTCTTGTAGCCTGTGTTCCAGGCAATAGACTTTACCAAGAACAAGCCCAAACACCACCAACATGGAATTAAGCTTAAAAATTGCGGTTTCACGGGTACGTTCAAGGCTAATGAATTGTTCTTTCGATGAAAAGATGGGTTATCTTTCTGTCTGGTCAGGCACATATCACCCTTCCTAACTCCACTACTGAAGCCGTGATCACGGGCGGAAAGAGCGGTGCCATTTTGGCGCTGGATACGGCGGATGTGAGTGGCCTTGGACATGTGACTAAATATCCTTCCAATGAGTCAACGGTTGCGTTGGAGGTTCCGTTGGGTGAGGAGGGGATTCCTGGGCATACTGTTCTGCATTCGGGGGCTTGCAAGGGGGTTGAGCTTTTGGACTAGAATTCTGTATAATTCCTGTACTCATCTCAGGAAGTGAGCTTCTGTCAATGTTATATAGCATTTCATACATGTTTATCCTCTTAATTCTACTGATAGATAGAACATGAAACATATACACGAACCTTGAATTCCTGAGTAACGATAATAAAATGCAGACATAAATGCATCCAATATAGATTTCTTTTAAGCCGTAAACAAAAATGAACAAATAGAAACCAGAAAGCCATCTTATCTTTTCACCCAGATTCATACACAAGACACACACATCCATCGTCTATCAACAGCCCATAATGCTAGATGTTAATTTATTTCTTCCCAAGTTTCCCCTTCTTCCCGCTGGGCTTGCTCTTCTTGGGAGCAGGCTCAATAGCATCATCCGATCCCTCATCCTCGGTGTCAGCGATAAAGTCTGCAAGGGAGCCTTCGCTCGCCTCGTCAGAGTCCTCATCCTCGTTCTCTTCCAGCGACTCCTCGGCGTCAGAAGACCCAGCCGACTCTTCAGCCTCGATATCCAAAACACCCTCGGCTTCGTCCTCGTCCTCTTCTTCGCTGTCGTCCTCCTCATCCTCGGATTCATCCACGATGCCGTTCATCATAGACTCGTCCTCATCGAAGGCCTGCTCGCGAATAGACTTTGTCCGCGGCTTGGCTTGGCCTTCGGCGTCGCTGTCAGAATCGTCCTCGTGTCCTTCGACGTAGATAACGTTGTCCTCATCTTCACTATCCATACCATCGCCGCCACTGTGGATGTCGCGGCGCAGACCAAGTTGTGCCTCCAGCATGTCGAGTTTACCCTTAAGCAGAAGAAGGGATGAAAGGCTGGAAGATCGCTGGTCCATGACCTTGTACAGGGTGGACACGCGCTTCAGGAGGTCAGGGTGACCGGCCAAAGCACCACCGTGAGCAACGCAGACCCATTGGACCCACGCAAGGAGGTGACCGTAGCGGCCGGGGCGGGATGAGAGACGCTCAGCGAGCTTCTGGAGCAAAGTAGCAGCAAGGGAAGACTCGAGACGCTGGATGGTGCTGCGAATAATGGTGATATCGGAAGTGTGGAAGCAAGATTCAAGCATGTCTTTGTCGTTTGTCTTGAGGGACTGTGTGAGCACGGTAGCTAGTGAGACACCCGTGGGGATCTGTTGAACGGCGGCGGCAGGCTTGCCGGGAACGAGGGTACCCAGGTTGAGGTCATCTTCAAGTTCGGCTTCGACATCGACTTCATGGCCAGCGTTGCGCCGAAGGAGCTCACCGAAAGATGGCTCGACACCTTCTTCCTCCTCTTCCTCGCCTTCTGACTCTGCGCTTTGCATCTCAACATCTTCGTCAACAGGGGCCGGCTTGGAAGACTTGGTCTTCTTCTCTGTGGGCTTGGTGGTGTCTTCGACATCAGAGTCTTCGTCACCAGAGATGGAGACGTCATCTTGGATATCGTTCATGTCGACGTCGTCGTCGACAATCATGCCGGACTGCACGGTGGCGTGGGTGTCGTCTACACGGCTCTCACCGGCATTTTTAACGCCATTTGTTGATACGGATGAAATTGTGGAGCTAGTCTTTGTCTTAACGACTGCCTTAGTTCCGGTGAACGCAAGCTCGTCAGTGGTCTCGTCAAGGAACTTGACGCGCTCGAACACAGGGATCACACCGCCCTCAGCGTAAGCGACCACAATCTCGTGGCCGTGGAACAAGGTTGACACAACGGGGACACATGCATTTGAAGAGTCGGAGCGCACAATCTTAAGAGAAGCATTTGCCTTTTGGGTCATCTGTTTGCGGTTGGCCTTGGCACTGCCAGATTGCGCAGCCTGCGCAAAAGGTTTTGTGAACAGCTCAATGGTGCCATCTTCGGTGATCGCAGCAAGAATCTGCTTTTCGGGGGTACCATTGTGCAGGGACACCGAGGACACATTCTGCTCGGCGACAAGGTTTCGGATCAACTTCTGGGTTGAGGCATCAAAGACATTAATGAAGCGGTCACCATCAGATGCAAGGAATGCTCCAGAGCCAGCTGATTCGGCAGATGTGGAAATGATGCTGTGGATCTGGTTGCGCATCGCGGGGAACTTGACTGGCTCCTCGTCGGATTCCTCCATATCTATTAAGTATGGAGTCTGGGAAGCACAGATGACAGGCACATTGGAGGGGACGGGGCGAGAGAGCGCAGTGAAGATAGAAGCTGCAGGCAGATGAATCGTTCTGTAGAGCAGAAAGAATTTCCAAGGTTAGCTTAAGCATCTCCCTAAGACTAGCGGTTCAAATCCCGACTTAACATACCGTACGCTCTTTCCAGTGCGCAGATCCCACTGCACAAGCTTGTTATCACCTCCGATACTCCAGGCCTCCTGGGCCGGCCGCCCAGCAGTAAACTTGAAGTCCTTGATGCCCTTCTCATGCGTGCCAGTCAAAGTACCGACAATCTTGTCTTCTGATGGGGAAAACATGCGAATTTCCGAGGTGCTGGTTCCGAAAGCAACAACAACATCCCCCTGGTCGAGTCCATCAACGCCGTTCACGTCAGATCCGCGCTTGCGCTTCTTCTTCGACTGGTCGCGGCTCTTTCCCTGGCCACTGTAGTATCCCCAATCTAGCGAGGTGATTGTCTCCTTCGGTCCCAGCGCATGCTCGCATTGTAGTCGACCGGTGTTGGTGTCGTGGATGCGGAGATGCTGCGCATCGAGGCCTTGGATGACCGAGGCGAACAAAGCCAATTGGTACTCGGATGGCGAGAATGCAGCTCGGAGGATCGACGACTTAGTGGATTGCGAGAGGCCGGTGGCTGGCGATGCGGCTGAGCCGACCTTAGTGGTTTGGCGAGATGTCTTCTTGCCCATTTTGTTGGAGGTTTTTTTTCTTGGCCTTCTTTCAGCGTTGATTCTGGTTTTCTATTTTTGAGGGGTTATCGTGAGCGAGATATAGAATTCCCCGATAATTAAAAGAGATACCCGAGAAGACTTTTTTCACAAACCCTGGGGAACGAGGGCTGGGGGCTCTGGTAATCTGGTGGTCTCGTAGTCGATGCGGGAAAGGAAAAAAATGTTCTGTAGACTCCCGGACCAGACGCTAGTCCATGTTGGGTTTAGTGTTGGTGAGGTCGTTATCTAATCAGCACGGGATGATCGCAGCCTGAGCCATCCAGGGCTCCAGGGCTGCTTTTCGATAATTGAAGATTATAATGAAAGAAATAGGTAGTGGGAAATGTATGGAGAGCTCAAAATAATTTCTCTATTTAAATAATGTTTCATACATCAATGTTGGGGTTGGAATTTAGAAGTGAGCAAAGGGCTTGAGACCCTGAGCTGAGAGCTAGGAGGATATATATCTACATGTACAAAAAAAATCGATAATTTTTCAAAATTTGGAAGCCGTTGCCATAAACCTAAATCCTCATATTAATTAAGCAGCAAAAACCAATTGTTTCAGATACTCTTCACTTAAGCTAACATTGAAAGAATGAAATCAAATGGGAAACCGACATGTCCAGGCGGCCATATTTAGGATATAGAAGCCTAGTGTCGTGGACTGGCAGGTTCCTCAAAGTTATGTTGAAGGCTAAAAACAGCCCAAAAGAATGCAGAGAAGCCGACTGGTTCAAGCAGAAAGCTCTTTAGATTTATAAGCATTCGAACCAGGTGCTTGTCGACTACTCGGTAGATGAACTCCCGAGGTCCAAGTTGGCATGTCCTTGGGGTGACTCATAGAATTATCTCATGACTATCCCTGTCCTTGTTGCCGATCTTCTTATACATGTCCAATGTTTACTTCATTTGATGTATACTTTGTCACCTGTATAAAACGGCCACATGTGACCAACTCTGCCTAATCTGTAAGGGCCCAGACGCAGCGCAGCCTCGCCGATTGGCTGCGCAATCAGCCTCAGACCACTTTTATTTGATTGATTTCCAAATTCTTTCCATGAGTGGACAAAGGGGATTCCATGACAGCTAGGGGGTTCCCACTTTCAAGTTAAAAATATGCATCCAGTAAGACAGATAGAAGTACAGAGATCTCGCCTGTGGAGTATGTATCCTTACGGTATACTTGTACTCTGCCATTGCCAAGGAGAAATGGTCACGTGCATGACGTCTAGAAATCGACTCGTCACTACGCTAAACCGTTTCCAGACATAACCCTAGGGTTGGGAACACCAGGCATGAAACCCTCTCTGGTATGAACAGGAGTATCCCTCGCATGGCAAAAGAATCATAATAGAAATCCCCTTGTGAAGAAAAAATGACCGAGAAAAAACTCCAACATCATGCTCATTAATCATATCCTTCTATCCTTATCTTTCTCACGTCGTACCCATTCACGGAGTCGATGATGAAATGAAAAATTTTCAGAGCCATACTCAAAATTATCCAATCAGCATAAAGCATCCAGGGGCCGCATCAAATCAGCGCCAATGAAAAAGGGGTGGACCCAGTCGAATCCGGACTAGCGTTGCTGGTGGAACTCACAGGAGGAGGGAGCAAGGCGTCCGTCTGTACTTAAGGATTCTGGCATCCCCCATTTAAATGTTCTGCTTCCGTCCTGGAAACTCCTACTTCACCGCCCGTATCCTTGGTTACCCTTGCTCTTCCCTCCCATAAACATTAAAACGCGCTATATCGCGCGTCGGACGCGTGACCCTTTTTATTAAGGCCACCAAATTTCCCTATTTTTATTTTTATATTTTATCCCCTTTTATTTCTTGGATTGGTTTAATCTTTTTGTTTTCTTTCTCTCGATCCACTTTTCACTTTCCTCTTTCAGCTCAACTCTCTTTACCCAAGCAATCTTGTTGTTGTTTCATTGGGTTTCCACTTACTTCCGTGTTCCGTGTTCTACACCGCCCACGTGATTACCTCACGACTTTCTTGGCGGTATAAATTCCTCACCTCCGATCGCATTCTCCACTTCTCTTATCCCCCGACTCTCTCCTTATCACTCTGCGCTTTTTACGTCGCGTTTTTACGCCCCCCGTCTCCGCGCCATCTGTCACAACTTGTGCTTGTGCGCGGAAGTGTGTATCCAGTCATTTTGAGAAATTCGCGAACGCGTCTACCCAATAACCCTTTGTCTGTGACATCACCATAGAGATTGTATCTCACTCTTCTGGATACTAGTCTTCATGGCGACTCCGCCTCCCGAGGCTCCTCCTGTTCTCAAGGAGGAGAAGCCCCAGCTTCCTCCGTCTCCCATCGGAGTTACTGCGCCTGATGTTGCGCCTCCCAGGTGAGTGCTTGCTATGCATGTTTCCTTGGTTGCCTATCTGAGCAGTGGGCTGACTTGATTGCTATGTCTCAAGTGCGACCGCAGATGTCAAGATGAGCGGTACGGACAGCCCGACCGCAAACAACACCCCTGTAGTCAATGGTAATGGCCATGCGCTCGGTGAAGCTGCGACCAATGGCACGGGCAGCGCCGCATCTCCCCCCAAATCCCCTGTGCCTGCTACCGACGCCTCAATCTCAACTGCTCCGGCGCCAGCTCAAGATACCCCTTCCGAGCCCACCGTGGACCAGAAACCATCGGAGACCGTGAACTCGGTTCAATCGCAGGCCCCAGAGTCGGTGCCTTCCGCTGTGAATCCTGAGGATAAGGCCACTCTTAAGGAATCTGCCCATGCTCCCGCTGCTACACTCGCTGGTTCATTCGACGGAGCCAATGATATCAAAATGCAGATTGACGGCCCATCGGATTCGCCTGTGCCACAGCCTCTAAAAACTGAGCTACCTCACCATCCTACCACTGAGTCAACTCCATCCCTGCAACCTATCCAGAACGACTATGAAATGAAAGATGTCCCCAGTGCACCACTTTCCCCGTCCAAGGCCTCCCGCGAACGCTCGGAAGATCCTGAAGAGGAGCCTGCGGCCAAGCGTACCAAGGTGGCCAGTGAGAACGGAACACCCGCCATTAAGCTTCCGGAAGTGCATAAGGCCACCACTGAGACCGCCCGCCCCAACCAGTCTGGCATGACCAAGTTGCAACACAAGTTCCTCATGAAGACTGTCTCAAGCCTGAAGCGCATGCATGACTCGCGCTTCTACCGTGAACCTGTGGATCCGATCAAGCTGAACATCCCTAATTACCTGCACGTCATCACCCGACCCATGGATCTGGGTACTATTGAGCGGAAACTTAAGGCCAACGCTTACTCTTCCCCGAAGGAATTCGAAGATGACTTTGCTTTGATGGTCAACAACTCTTTGGTTTTCAATGGTGGGGACCATCTCGTCACCCAGGAGGGCCAGAAGCTCAAAGCAACATTGGATAAGCATCTGTTCAATCTTCCCAAGCCTGATGAAGTGGAAGAAAAGAAGCCAAAGAAGTCTTCTGAGAAGACTTCGGTCGCGCGACGGGAGCCTCGTACCTCCCTTGGTAGCCAACCCCCCAAGGCAACCTCCCCCCAGAGTACTGCCACCACGTTCGCGCTGGGACCCGAGGGATTGCCCACCATTCGTCGCGACTCTTTCAACCCGGATGGTCGACCCAAGCGTTCCATCCACCCTCCCAAGCGGGACCTGCCATATTCTACTAAGCCCAAGAAGAAGAAGTATCAGTGGGAGTTGCGATTCTGTCAGGAGGTCATCGATGAGCTTCACAAGCCAAAACATCAACCCATCGCGCTCGCTTTCTATTATCCCGTGGACCCAGTTGCTCTCAACATTCCAACCTACCACAACGTGATCAAAAAGCCAATGGACTTGATGACTGTCCAGTCAAAACTCAAGACTGGTCAATATGAGAACTCCAGGGAATTTGAAGCTGACATCCGCCTGATCTTTAAGAACTGTTTCCGGTTCAATCTCAAGGGGGATCCGACCTACGTGGCTGGTGAGCAATTGTTGGATGTCTTTGAACGGAAGTGGAAAGAATTACCGGCATACGTTGAGAAGCACGAACCTCACCATGAGCAGGAGGTCGATTCCGATGAAGAGGAAAGCGACGAGGATGCAGAAGAAAGTGACGAGGATAATGAGCAACTCAGCATGTTGCAGAAGCAGATTGCAGAGATGTCCCGTCAGGTGGAGATGATTACCCAGAAGAAGAAGAAGACTCCGCCCGCCAAGAAGTCCAGCAAGTCCAAGTCGGCCAAGAAGGAGCTGAAGAAGAGCAGCAGTTCTAGCGGCAAGAAGGACAAGAAGAGCAGCGGTAGCAAGGGTTTCAAGGATAAGACGCGATCCGTGTCCTACCACGAAAAGCAGATCATTTCCAACGGCATCAGTAGCCTTCCGGACAAGAAGATGCACGAGGCACTTGGAATTATTCAGAGCAATGTTCCTGCTCTTAAGGTAAGCTTTGAGATATTTCTTTCCCTACATTTCTCGCTAACGCATTTCTCATAGGGTACCCAAGAAGCTGAGATTGAACTCGACATCGATGAGCTGCCAAACAATGTCCTGTTGTTGCTACTTGATTTCGTGAAGAAGAACGTGCCTCATATCATGGATGACGAGGAGTCTGCCCCTACTGCCGGTTACGCTGCTCCTAAGCCGAAGAAGAACAAGCCCATGAGTAGCAACGAACAGGAGGCCCGCATTAACACACTCCAGAGCAACCTCTCCCGTTTCGCCGACGGAGGTGCTCCTGTTCCCTCGGTTGAGAACAACGACTCCAGCGAGGATGAGTCGGACGAGGATTCAGAGGAGAGTGAGGAGGAGTAAATGCTCCGCGGATCGATCGTTGCTGTCTCTTGAGTGCAAGAGACATCTTGCTTTGATTTGCGTTCCTAGCGTCAACTTGTTTCTTTTCAAATTTTCTGATTCCTGCCAAAAATCTTCAGGCCCAGAGCGATCCTCGAGAGTTTGCAGTTGCTACAATTTTTACACGCAGCTCCTCTTTTTCTCTGGCTTCACTGCCAGCGATGACCTCGATTGTACATATTTCCCCCCCCCTTTTCTCTTCCCTTTTCGATTATCCTTGGATCCGGCACCCTACAGCCTCGATTCCGCTGGGCTTCAATCTTGATCTTTCTTTGCCCTGGATCTCTGGGATTTTATTTGCTTGACCTTTTAGTTCATCCTCTCCATCAATACCCGAGCGTACCTTATATCGACTCCCTTGCTTGTTTGGGAGGATATCTGCTCCTCGATATGAGGATGGGAAAAAGTGGATCAAGCTGAAGCTGATGAGCAGCTTCTATGTACGATAACGAAAGAAACGTGGCATGCCAAAATCGGTAATCAAATCAAATATTTCATAATCAAGAAAATGAACTTAGTAGATAGTAGCCAAAATGACAGCACAGCATTTTACCGATATTTGCGGATTCTATACATCTATTCCGCATTGTTGATCTATTCCGCTTGGCGGTGAACCTTTCTTTTCTCCCATTCCACCATGATACCCCCTTGCGACCCCTCCATTCTTGAACAAAACCCCCAATTCAAACGACTATATGAGAATCTTGCGAACATTTTATTGAATCCAGATGGCTCAACATGTGCTAGGCCAGACCCAGCTCGGGAGGCGGTTGCGGAGGTTAGTCATGTCTCCTCGAAACGTGTAGGAAAAAACATATACCAGCTGAGATCTAACCATCATTTCTAATAGGACCTGAAGCAATATCAAATAAAAAGTGCAAAGAAGAGAATCAAGCAGCGCACACTGAGGCAGCTGGCCTTCGCGTCCGACAGCGACCTTCGCGATGAGGTGAGTAACGCGCTACCGGCCATTGCATCACGCATTCTATCTTGATCACAACTAAGTCTAACCCGCGGGAACTAGTGCCATGATAACCTTGCCATAATATCCATTTATCTTGACACACCACGAGCCGCAATCGAGTCCGATACGCCTGTCCAAGAGCTCCAAGATGCGAAGCAGGAACAGGAACAAGATGACGCTCTCTCTCTCCTCTCCAACGAATTCGAGACCTTCTACTCCCACATACCTACCTTTATCGATCAATTCTCCCAGATTATCTCCACCGCAATCCATGACCTCCGCAAGATAGCAGCAATAGCTACGGACGAGTCTGTAGCTGTTGAACCGGAGCCAGAACCTAAACCACCCCGAACCCTCCCCGGCTCAACCCGCTCCTCATCCAATCACTATTCTCGTGCTCGCGCCCGGGACCGCCGTGTGAGAACCTCAATGGCTCCTGTTCCGCCTTTGTCCTTCATACTCCGAGATCGAGTCCACGCCCTTCGCAGCATTCAGCTATCTGATTTGCCTTCAGCGCGGCGTCAGATGGCTGCGACAGCTGCAGAGGTAATATCAGTGCGTACGCTGATTTTGGAGCGGACGCTTGTTATTCTAGAGCGAGTTAAGCATGGAGCTTTGGCGAGAGCGACGAGGGCTCGGGCCGAGCATTTGGCTGCTGTAGCGCAGGGGATTGAGGGAAAATTAGAGTGAGTATCATCCCTACTCCTTACATTCTTATTCGCATGCAGGGTATATTTTTGGGGATACGCAAGAAATGCAATAGCTAATCTCAAAATAGGGTAACCAAGCTTGAAATCGCAGCCGCAATATACACGCCGGAAATATTATCTGCACTTAGTCGATATAGACAGCATCTTCGCGAGACGAGAATACGACTTGATGAACGGAGTGAAATAGCAATTGAAGAGCTGAGCCGGTATGGGGATGTTGAGGGTGCGCCATCTGAGTCTGGTAATATCGATCGGAGTAGCACTTTTACAGAGATTGCGCGAAAATATGGGATGCTTGCCAGGGAGGTCGAGAGAGTGAAAATGGAGATTGCTAGTCTAGGAGAGTAGATCAATCATAATTCCACGGTACCTCGAATCCGGTTCCTATACTAGTACAATGGATAACCAATTAAAACCCTCATAGATTGATACGTCGCCATCACATGACCACCCCGCCAAAATTTATTTTGTCCGCCACCAAGATCAATTATTACAATTTCAACATCCATAGTCAATCCTTCACCATGGCCGACGAGTCTCTCTCTATCTACGATGAGATCGAAATCGAAGATATGACCTTTGACCCTGCTATGCAGATCTATCACTATCCCTGCCCATGCGGCGACCGCTTCGAGATCGCCATCGACGATCTGCGCGACGGGGAGGACATCGGCGTGTGTCCGAGTTGCAGTTTAATGATCCGGGTCATCTTTGATGTGGTATGTATATACTATACACTATGACGATATGCCTCTGTTTCTCATTTTCCATTTGCGATTTTTCTACTTTTTCTTTCCTTTCGTTTCGAGCGATGCGCTGACATGTTTATCCTAGGCCGATCTTCCCAAGGCGTGAACATTTGAGACGGAGAAATGAAAGTTTACTTCGCGCAAGGCGAAGCCGGAGCGCATACTATCCCGAGCGGGTATACACTGGTTCCTGCAGCAGTATGTTGCGCCGGGGCCAATCTGAGTCTCCTTGCGTGCGAATGTCACATAGGGTCCAGCGCATCTATAGATGTTGCTGGGACATGATTATGTACCCCCGCCGCGCACTAGCGCTGGCTATCGGCCGTCTGCGATCGTCTCCAGAGATGTTGGTTCGGCGATAGATCTGGTGCGATATCCACCTTTGACAGGATCTGATGGGAACACCATATTCGATACTCCATATCGCAAAAATTTCAACTGCGGCTTGTTGATCAGGCTATGCACTACAGCAAATTGATGTCAAATAGCCAATACCAACGAACTAGAATATGGTACTAGTTCATATCCGCTACTCAAGTTCATCCAATGCATGACTTAAGTTCTGAATTCATTTCACACGCATAATACTACAATATGATCCAACAATATGATAATATGATAATCCTCAGTGGTGTATCAGATCATGTCTAATCATCAAGCAGCACACCGTAGATATCCTTTGGCAAAGACAGCGACATCTCGGCATTAAGCAGCTCCGTCAGATTGCTACCATCACGCAGGTAGATCCACTGCCCATGCGCAAACTCGCGGGTGCCCTCCTTTTCATGCATGCCGTCACCCTCAAGGACCCAGTCATACCGTTTCGGTCCGGAGATGGGTGAGCTGAGCCAGATCTGTCGGTTGGGAGGTTGTTTGTTGAGGACATAAGTTCCAATCGCGGGGATGCTGACGTTGAGAACACCGGCCTATAAACAAACAGATCAGAATCAGAATCAGAACCAAAACCAGCGAAGCAAAAATGGAAGAAAAGAAGGAAAAGACAAGAGAAAGCGCCAGTAAAGCTCCCAGTCTAGCATACAGAGCCACAAGAAACTCCCCAGAAAATATAATTAGGAAAGATGACCTACACTATACTCGGCCTCGACATCCGACCCGTCCTCCTGCGACTTTTCCAGCTCCGCAATCAACACATTAAAATAATGTTCCGAGTAATCACGGTACTCCTCCGGCGTCAACGACGATGGCTCAGTAACATGCGTCCCCGGACCAGCCACAGACCCAGATTGTGAATTTGGAGGACGCGGGTTCTCAGAGTCAGGCTGGATACCCTTAGCTCTGGTGGCAGATGCGTGGAAAGGACGGCTCGGAAATGCGGAGCTGCGAGCTAGAGCGAGAGCGGGCCGGGATTGCGGGGTGATGAGGGGGGCAGGTTGGGCGGCACGACTGGTGAAGCGGAGAAAGCGAGGTGCGCTGCGGGAGAGCATGATGAATAGCTTGTATGAATTATGCAGTGGTTGGTGGATTGGTTTGGAGACGGGAGCTGTTTGCGGGTGGAGAGCAATACATCATCGGGTTTTCTTGGGGTTACCGCCTTCTTTTTTAGGATTGATTAGTGATGAAGTAGATTTAATTTGATTTGTTAATAAAGAACTCATACATTCAAGTACACTCTATTTGATCTGCTAAAAATGATAAAGAACTGGATTTACAGTTTCTCAAAGACTTCCACTGCAGCCTTGGCAGTTGATGCCGCACTGGCGGGATTCTGGCCGCTGACAAGACGGCCATCAACGACAACATAATCATCCCAGATTCCAGCGGAGCGTTCATCTAAAATATAGGTTAATATAGGCTCGGTATACAAGGGATGTTAAAAGCACGATAATCAACTCACATTTCGCACCAAGCCTGTCAGCAAGCTCCTCCACCATCTCCGAATCCCAACTCCGCAAGTCCTGCATAATACCCATGGTGTTTTCAGCCTCAGAGGTAAAGCCAGTAATCCGCTTCCCCTTGATGATAGGCTCGCCAGTAGCGTTATCAAGGATATTTGCAAAAATAGCAGGTCCGTGACAAACAGAAGCAACAACCCCGCCATTAGCCCAGACTTGCTCGGCGATTTTCTGCAAGTTTTTTGCCTTGGGATAATCGATCAAGGCCGCATGGCCGGCAGAAGCATAGAAAATGCCATACTGGGAGCCATCGACATCTGCAGCCTTGGGCATGTTATCGAGCTTCTGGCGGAAGTCGCTGGTGGTATCTTCCCATGTCTTCAGGTCATCGCCGTTGAGGAAGTCGGGCTGCTGGGAGAGCCAGTCGGGAGTATAGGTTCCAGTCTCGGAGGCAAGGTCAACTTCGAAGCCGGCGGCTTTGAGGACATTGAAAGGGTGGAGAGCTTCGCTGATGAAGAGACCGGTGGTTTCTTTGCCTTGGAAGAGCTTGGCGTGGGCCGAAGTGATGCTGATGAGAGCCTTGCGTGCGGGAGACATTTTATTGATTGACTTTGCTGATTGTGTAACAGGCAATAGTAAAGTATGATTGATATGAGATAAAGGTCTCTCGGTGTCTGGAGTCAAGTGTGTTTTGTAATGGAGATTGCTTGGGTTGTGAGAATGACTCTGAGAACAGCAAAGGACGCCATATTTATATTTCTGTGCTTATGGAGGGGTGTGTACAGAAAGAACTTGAATATGCGCCTCATTAGTGCTTACATTCATTCACATCACATACTACTTGCATGTTCCGCAACTCCGAAATGTTGATAAAGAATATGATTGGCCAGATGAAGTCTTGGAAGCTCCGCGATTCCGTGACTCCGCGACTCCGCGAAACTAACAATCACTTTTGTAATCCAATCGTGACTCTTTACGGAGTACAGGAGCTTAATATATCAAGTGTGATAAATTAATTTGTAGAAAAGCTGATAAATCATGTCTTGCTAGTGATAAGCCCCGGGGTGATGGAAGTGCTGGACCTGAATTGCATTCGAGCTACTGTTGAAGGCCTACACGAGGTCCAGACCACCAGGGACTCTTAATCAGGAGAGTTCCTGGATTCTAATAAAAACTTGCATATATGACCAAGTAAATTCATAATAGCACTTAAACGTGCGTAATGAGTACCCATCTTAACTTCCCTAGATTAAAAGAATACTCGACTTTTTGGAGATAGACATATAAAACTTGCAATGCTAATGTTCATGGGGCATAGCGATAGAACGGCTGGGCACAACTTTCGAGTTTACGTGCTAGACTGTAGACTTACTCCATTCTCCCCGAGATCGGATCCGTTTGCCCCAAACGAAGAACAGAAAGGGCACAGGAGTCAGAACTGCAGCAACACAGCCAAAGACGGTGGTGCCCCAGTTGACACCGATGTTATGATACATGGGTAGGCAGAACAGCGGGAATGCGCCTGCCATAATAGAGCGCAGAAATGTACTGGCAGCGACAGCACTAGCACTGAAGCGAGTAAAGGTGTCAACCAAATAGTTGAGGGCTGCTTGGAAGATCGTCGTGAAACCGAATCCAGTCAACGCAATACCAATAATCGAAGGCCAGTAGTTGATACTTGGTGACGATGTCCCTAGAATTAGTCAGTGAGTCCTCGCGTGGAAGATAAAGTCCGACTAATCTTACAGCCAAAGATAAAGAGACCGGCCGTAAACGCAAACCCTCCGATCATCATTGGTGGTAGTCGAGCCTCGGGGACTGCTTTATTACCATCTGCCTTGAATTGAATGAAGTAGTATTTGTTGTTGAAGATGTTGACGGCTGCCGCGAAGAAAATCCCGACCAGCATGGCGATGAATGGAAGATTACCGACAACTGGTCCCCACCCACGAATCTCTTGGAACTCGACTGAGAAGGCTTCGAGATTCGCGTAAAGAATACCTAGTGCAACATAAACGTTAGATTTTGCACATAAGAGATCAGTCTTGAGCATTGAGGGCTTCTCACCATAAACGAAGGCCGAATATATACTCATCAACAAGCATATGGGTGTACCCAGCAGCTGGATTGGCCGAATAAGATATTTTTGCGAAAGCTCACTCAGTGAGAAATTCCATTCCTCTTGCTACAAAAGCTTAGAAACAATCAGAATATAGTTTGAGTCAAAATGCAGACTTACCTTGGCATGCAAAGCAAAGTTCTTGCCTTCGAAACGCAGCCGGCGAGCTTTGTAGGCAAGTAGTACCGGAGGATAACTTTCTTCCAATACAATAATATCCAAAACTACCTGCACCATCATAACGGTACCGGTCAAATACTCGGTCCACCTCCAACCAAGATAACTCGAAGTGAGAGCCCCTCCAATAATGGGTCCGAGTGTTGGTCCGCCGACAATGGTGATTGAATACCCAACGATGGCAGCCCCACGCTGCTGAGGGGCCCAGATATCTGCCATTACACCACCTGTATTCGTCACAGGTGCGCTGCCGAAGAATCCAGCAAAGAATCGAGTAATGAGAACGGTCTGGATATCCTTCGCCGTTGCTGTTCCGAAGGAGAAAACGGCTGCAATAAAGTACGGCTTGAAGAGGATTAGCCAATTTCGACGAATTCAAATCATTGTCGAAAGTATGAATACCTACCAGTATTACTACCCATTTTCGTCCGTAAACTTCACTTAGGGGAGCCCAAATTAGGGATCCCAGTCCGAATCCGAAGACGATTAGACTGATGCCCGATGCTGCTGCTTCTTTGCTCACTTGAAATTCTTCTGAGACTTGTTCAAGTCCCGCGGAGTAGATAGCGGAAGCGAAAGTAATCCAGCAAGTTGTGAGACCATAGAGAAGCGTTGTGATGACTTTCTTTCGGAATGGCCAGTTCATGGGCAGGTAGGGGTCAAGTTTTCCATCAAAGTCAACGAGAACAGTGGGAGATGTTGCGTTGTAGAGAAGAGGGTGCTCCAGAGGCTTTGTTTCCAGGCCCAGTTGGTTTTCCGGATCTTTCTGTTCGTTGGCTGGTAGTTTGTTTGTGCTGTCTTTGGAGGAAGATGGGTGTTGCAATTCAGAAGGCGACATGGCTGCAGAATTCGGAGTTGATCCGGTTACAGAAGCTGGAAATATAGACATGCAGAAAATGAAAAAGAAGAATGATACCAGATCATAAAAGAGTTCTTATATCCATCGGGGACTTCTATGCGGTGATCCGTCGGCCCTAAAAATCACCGAGACAGTGTACTGCGACAAAGGTCAAGCGCTGGGGTGGGTCTAAAGCGGGTCCTCGGAGCCGCTTAAGCTTATGCGGGTGGCGAACGAGCCCATCACCGGCCGATACATGCACCAGGTTCTGAAAGTCCATAACCTTGGAATTTTCAATACTCAGTTTCTAGTCCGGAAGATATAGGTAACCTGGGCCAATAAATTTGTTTTTAGCTATGATAATATATAGTTATCAACTAAGCTATCGAGCAAAAAAATGATCATGACACGAATCCATTTACTCAAAAGGTGATATTGCTTGGGCTTCCGACCCATTGTGTCATGAGGTAGTCAATATCTTCAGGACATGGATACTCCGGTGTTGGATCAGGACATTGCGACTCGGTGAAATTCTCAAAGAATGGGTCAAGCGGTTCCGGGGATAGAACGCTCTCCTGATCTTTGTGCCCCGAAATCGAGCCCCTTATATCTTCGATTATCACTGTAGAATTATCTATCGAGTTAGATATTGTGGAGAGTCCCGGAGAGGAGGCTCCAGGTGATATCGTAGTCATTCCGGCCATTTGCCAATGCCGGTTGGGAGTTGAGGCATTCCTTTGAACTTCGCGTACATATTGTGCTTTGGCCATCAATCGTTTGATGGGCCGCCATAGATTACCCTTGTGCTCCTTCATCTTCCATCGGCTATATACTGTCTGCGCATACTGCCACCCGCGATCACATTCTTGTGATGGCGGGCGTGAGCAAATTTCAGATAGAACGAAAGCAACGGCGTGCCACTGGACGTGGGTTTTGGAGTGCCAGGTCCACTTTGCAAGGTCAGGGCTGGTTAGTAATCTATTTGATAGTTCGAGGACTTTGATAGATTGGATGAACAGCTGGTCTCTAATATTAAGGGGCAAGCTTTGCCCATCGTCCGATTTGCTGAGGGGATAATAAACAACCAGCCAGGTGCGAGCGATGATCAGACGTGCCACGGTCACACAAATCTGGAAAAATGGGGTGGTTTTATCGCAGTGCTTGAGATAGCGCTCCTCTAACCGTTTCTGGAGGTCTCCGGCTAAAGCAACGCGGTCGGTGAGGGATAGACCTTCAGCTGATTGTCTAGGCTGCTGCATGCTGGGTGGTGTATAGCCTGTCTTCCATACGATGCGCATAGCTTCACACCTAATGAGACAGAAAGTCATTTCGGTGGCTTCTTCACGCTCATTAGGGGGCGAAGTCATATCAGCTTTAATATCAGAGTCATTGATATTCAGGGGCATTCGAGTATCGAACATGGACTCGTGCACTATGGGCTCACAGCCATGAAACTCGGACGATCGGATGTCCAGTAAGCAAATATGCCACCACAGGCGACGCCGTATCTCTACCTCCAATGGGCGTAGGCCAAATGCTACTCCATCCCTGTGGAGGCCCATGGCCTGGGCAATGTGAAAGATTAGCGCGGTCATTGACCAGGCAGTACGTGAGGCATCTTCATTCCGCAGAGCTGACAAGAATAGAACTACTGCCTGTATCAAAACCACACTCTGAGTGTTGAGGAGATCGGCCCGTGCCATGGCTTGTTGCACTGCGAATTGATAATGTTTGACTGCTGTTGCTCGTGGAAACCCAAACACATCCTCGCATTGTTCTGACTCCATGCTGATAACAGTAGAGTAATAGATAGCGAACAACAATGCCTCAGTATTACGATCCAAGGAATCCAGTGAAGCAACAGCATCCCAATAATAATTGGTCAATGTCGGCAGGTGAAATATATGCACGAGAGGCGCAACGTTCAGTTTGAATATTTCAAAAAGCGCCACTGACTGGGAAAGTGGTGGATGGTATGTCCGCAAAGACTGTGCCAGTGCCTGGAAACCCATTATCGCAACATTAGAGCCTAGTGATGTTGTAGTTTCATCAACAGACAGATCGGTGGCCGCATCGAGGTCTTCGTCTTCCGATGCTGACTCGTGTAGTAAGTCGCGCAGTTCTTCAATCTTCAAGAAGTCAGTAAAGAACAACAACACAACCCGAGCACATTTAACCGAATAACATACTTCGTCTCCTAGTTTTGCCAACAAAACATTGCTCACATAGCAACTACGCGTCTCGTCTATTACAAGCCGGCCAAGCCGTTGTTCAACCTGGCTTGACCCGTCATCCGATTCTATCGCTGTGCTGGTCGTTGGATTTTCTGATGCAACAGCTGGTACCTGGCCGCCTTCCATATCTAGGCGCCTAACAAGCATCTCGAGATGCGCCAGTCGGTTGAGAACACGGTCATCGAGAGCTCGACGTGGTCTCTTAGGAGCCCTGCCTGGTCCCGACGGGTAAACGCACTCTAAACCCGCCCGCAGGCAGTTGGCGCATGGCTTCTGGCGGTCGCATTTTACTTTGCGAGATCGACAAAAGAAACAACTGCGGATATGCGGCGGGGGCAGGGCTGAATTGCCGGATAATCTCTCGGACACGTTGTTGCCTTCGTTGGCGGGATACAACGAAATATCGGGTGGAAAACTCAGAGATTGTGAATTCATTGGGATGATTGGAACGATATAAATTGATAGTCAGATTCCGTTCAAGGAAAATGAGTCGCGAGACTCAAAGGTACATGTAATATCTGACCAGAATGGGGGGCGAGTATGTGTAATTTTCACGTATTATTTCAGTACGGGCGCGGGAGACGGATAAGCTTATGCGAAGCCGACAGAAGCGAGAGGCCGATTGGCTGGAAGTTACAGTATCATTCGCATGTCATGAATTTAACATCGGTGCCATATTCAACAACCGTCAAGCTTCATATAAATTGAACAAGATGCCGAAGCAAGTTCTTCCCACGTTTTGGTCACACGTACACGCTCCGAGATGCCATTCTAAAAACTCCCACGGGGTGTGAAATGCATTTTATGACATGATACAGAGGAGAAATTTACACAAAAGAGAAGAAAGGAGGAAATATCTCTTGAGACTGCTATTTACCGGCAAAGCATAAGAAAACAATATGATACAAAGTTGAATTCGTGATCGATCTCAAAGATTTAATAGTAGCTCTGGCGCCTTCCGGGGGAGGTTGCAACGATAAATCTTCGCAGTTTCATTAGTTTGAAGTTGGAAAGGCAATGAATTGTAAACTTAGTTGAAATAGAGATGAAACTCACATTGCATGAATGATTCCCGGGATATCGCCCAGTAGCGTCAATAGTATGTTAATACAGAGGTCCACTCCGCAACCTCTTTTCAGCAACACTGCTAGTGGTGGTAGGAACACCGCCAACACGAACAGGCAAACGTCACTAATTAGATATCAGATACTATATTGCAAGCCGTTATTGACCTTTGATAGTAGGATTTGTGGACAACATACGAGGCTGAGATTGGCATGATCTGGCTGCATCAATGGATATGATTATAGAAACAAAAGGTTATCAGAAACAAAAAGGACCATGTACCATATAATAGCGAGCCATAATCCATTGATAATTGATATTATACCGGACAGGAAACCTCGTCATTAATGAAAATACTTGAAAAGCACGAATATGAGAATATGAAGTCTATGACGTCAATTTAGATCAGTTTGCTGGAGATAGGCAGTATCCCGAACGTTCGCTCGCATGATTCTCGGAGTTTCCGATACAATATTTGATCCTCAAGTTATGGGGTTGAAAACCTTGGAAGTGGACGGCGGTCAATGACGAGTCGAAATGCGGCAAATGATATCCTTGATAACACAAAATCCTTCATAGCGTAAATCGCCCAAACGCTTTTTCAACACAGTTACCAATTCTAAATTCGAGAAGTTAAATCATTTTGTTTTCAATTCTTTATCGCTTCATTACTACCTAATGAACTGATCAGCGGTGCACATGTGCCCATGAATATTCGCGAGAGCTCTGCGCGAGTAATCAATGCAGAACATGCTCAAGGTACTTTTCAATGCCGAGCTATTATCACATGAATCGGTGAATGAAGTGAGATCAACAGGACACGATGCTCATATTGGATCTCCACTCGTCGTGGTGTCGGCTGTCCTTATCGGGGTTGCAGCTGCAGCGGTTGTCCTGCGAGTAATTTCTCGCATCTGGGTCATGAAAACATATGGTATAGATGACTGGTTTGTCATGGGATCTGTGCTCACATCTTTTGGACTGCTGGCATCTATTATCCTCGGTTTGTTAATGTACAACTTAGACCTTTGAAGCTCATATTGACCTCTACAAGGTGTGAAACACGGCATTGGGAGACACTCGTCAGATGAGAACACGGACCAAGCAACTCTAGGAAAGGTAAGCTACATAAATTTTGGAACTTGTGAGGTGTGATATCTTGATATTAATTGACATAATAGATCCAACTCGCGATCCAAATTTTATATATCACGACAAGCGGTTTGGTAAAGCTCTCGATACTGTTCCTATACAAACGAATATTCCCACGACTCAGGATCGCGACTATCATTTTAGCCGTTCTTGTAACGTTGTTAACTATCACATTCATATTTGTGGCGATATTTCAGTGTCGACCTGTCGGGAGCTATTGGGTTGATAACAACAGTTCTTGCATCTCACTTTTAATATACTGGTGTGATGTTGCTGTTGCATTTCTCATTAGCAATATCATAATAGTGGGATTACCTTTCAAAATTATAATAGGTCAGACTTCCATCCTTTTCACATGATTGCATGCTGACCGCTTTCAAGATTTGAGCCTGCCAAAAAGGAAAAAAGTCATGACACTACTCCTCTTATGCTCCGCCGGTTTTTGGTTAGTTCGTTGTCTATCCCCAAAGAGGTCTGGCATTAACGCAGGTACAAGCACAGTTGTCGCCGCTGCAGTGCGGCTTGCCTATGTCGTACATCTCTATAAAGATGGGGAGCTGACCTGGAACATTGTTCCCATATACATTTGCTCTGTGGTGGAGATTTCGTCCGCGTTAGTGGCCTCGAGCATTCCATCTCTCAGGCTGGCCTATTTGAGTTGTAAAAATGCCCGAACGGAGAAGGCGAAGAGATCTCAGGGCTCATAGATTTATTTGAATTTCAAGGAACCCTTTAATTGGATTTATCATTTGTACTGATCCTAGCGAAAGTAGATCTTACAATGACATGTATAATATGACGAAGAACCGGAATTCTAGCTCTCCAGGCATCTCTTTCTTATTTGTAGATGGCGGCACTAAAAATCTTATATACCCGAAACAATCAAGCCACAATGTAAATCATTCGCAGTATGGTCGTGTGGCTACTTCCTCACGATTGGTTCATCACACGTGCATAGTATCAACAAGAGAAATTGGCAAAAAAATGGGCCAGAGGCCTCCACCTACTACTTTTCTTTCGGTAGTCCTTCCCTATATGCGGGTTTTCGGGTTCTTGGGATCAACTATGCGACTAACACATGTGATGCATATTTGCTTCAGTGGAACGTCTGCATAGTAGAGATAAGTAGGAGGTCCACCTGACTTGCCCCCGGTTGAGTGAGAGACCGCTGCACTAACCTGCTGGATGGATGAATCTTATCTCTAATTAGTCCAGATAAGGGAAGATTTGAGAAATACCAATGGAAAGGGCACAAAAAAGAGGTTTTTTGGACATTTTGACCCATTGTAGGTATTTTGCCTTTATATTCAATCTACAGGAAGCTGATGGTCTGGTTTACACATTTGCCAGTCCAATTACTGATAATCACGTTGCTTTGCGAATGATGTGGTCAGGGCTAGGTAGAAATTGGTACGAAGATTCGATATATAGGTGAATGAATACAAATGAAGTTATTCAAAATGTAAAATGTGATGTGAAGCCAGAGGTCCCTGGTTCAAACATGGGTGGATCCACTTTGCTCATTCATTTGATTGGCTTATCCAAACAATCACATCCATGTGACATCATCACTTTGGCAAGTATACCCACGAGAGATACATGTAGAGTCATAGACTTTTTCGTCGAAATGGTCTAGTGACTAGATAGATATTCTTATATAGACCATGGAAAATCCTCAGGGGTTTCTGATTAGGAAAGGATATCAGAAACCCCTGAGAATTTCTTCGAAGGACCACGAACTCTCTCAAATTTAAAATCCTCCAAACTTTCAATATGGCAAGCTTCTTTGGCCATCCACTTGGCATGGTCAGCTATGTTACCCGATTCCTGCTGATATTCAGCGCGATTATTGTTCTCGGAATAACAGCATGGGCTGTGAGAGGGACAAAAACTCTCACTGTTATCTATTCGTTGACAATAGTAAGGAAAACCCAGCTGTTAAAACATGGGAATATTTTCAGTAATCTAATTATTGCTTCAGTCTACTGTGACAATCGTGGCAGTCATTCTGTCTTTATTAATAGGATGCTTGTTAAGGCGAAAAACAACGCACATCTTCGTGATTCTCACCACCGACGCAATTCTCTCCTATCTGTGAGCAATTTCACTGATCTCATATGGGAAACCGTATCATTAACAAGTAAAATTCAGGTGGCTTACGTCTTTCATTTTCTTGGCGCAAGATTTCAATCGACACAGCTGCCGGACGGATCGCTGGAATGGGGAGATCGTCTGTAGTCGCCAATATGCAGCCGAAGCTTTCAGTTTCATCGCCTTGTAAGGATTATTTTGGAGGATCGAGCATTTTGTCGGAAAACTAACTATGCATAATGATAGCTTTGCAACACTTGTCAATCTATCTCTCGAGATAGCGTACGTTCACCGACCCATAGCTACTCGTGTCGACAGTCACGAAAACCTCCACAGGGAACAACAAATTAGTGAAAATTTGAATGCAGCTGGTTTGGCATGATGTGGTCAAGATTGCACCTTACGGCCTAAATGTTTCAGTCTGGTTGTTTTCACTGGCAGCACTTGAGAGTACTCGAGAGATTGATATGTGATATGTTCTCAAAATGAGTCAAACATCTTACTAGTATTTATGTATAATTACTGTCTATCGTGTCCATCCTCATCTTTTTCCAGAATTGAATCACAAGGAAATGACGCACTTTGGTACCACGTCTAACCTATACAAAGCATCGTAATAACGCAAGATACAAGGAATTAACCACGCATAAAATCGGGTTGTCGTCAAATTCTTCAGCTTCGCTCGTACCTATTCCTACTAGCCGCAATGGACAGGGTACCGAAATCCATATCGGTCCACCCCCAGATCTACGTACCACCCCCTCAACCTTCTTCCCATGTGACGCCACCAAATGAACAGCATTATATCTAGACTGCGATGCGCCAATCACAGGTCACAGACCCACTACTCGGACCTTAAGCTAACTCCACTCCTTGATTCCACAGCTAAGCATAGTTAACAACGGATTTCCACAACCATCCTGTCCAAGAATTGAAACAGGTCTTGAAACCAACACGCTCTTTTGATCGCCGATAAGTCATCCTCCGGCCCTCGTGATATCTCTCGTCACTTGGCCAGGCCTCGTCAAGCCCGCCCGATAGTATCATAGTAATGTATGACAAAATATGGGGATGATGGCATTTTCGGATTTCATCTCAAGTGAGGGCCATTAAAATTTTTTTTCAATCAATTCAGGGGTGGCCGCTCGAGACCATGGTACTCATCAGATAAATCGTGGTTCCTGACCGGCTGGTGGAGTTCAGCCAGGCCTTGCGAGGACCTAGCAGACTCTAACTGTTCTGGAGCATTAATATGTGGTTTATAGCAATTATAAGCGATCTGCACACGTCGCGTGGCCCTAGACTAGTAAGCGAACGGAGCAAAGTTCGCGCCATCGGCGAGCACCCTCGCTTATTTTCACCTCGACAAACAAACTTCCATGATCAAGTCTAGTTCTAATTTGAAAGGTAGTCTACCCCAGCTGAGCTGCGGAATATTGGGACTAAGTAGCATAAAGTGGCTGCCAATTTAAAAAGCAGGATTAATGAACGTTCGCATTGCTCTTATTTTCTTTACCATTACTTCCTCCTCTCTTACCTCCAAGCTTCCGCAAAAAACCCAAAACACGCACAAAGATTGACTATGGAGCCATCCCAGGCAGCTGACCCGGATCTGAACGAGAAATGGCCAGACAGTGAGATTGTTGTGGAGGTTTTTGACGTTTGTACAGTAAAGCAGGAGTTTCTGAAGACCTCGGAACTTCGAATTCAATGGCAGTATCATCTCGGGCCGAGAAGAGGCAACTATCATCAGCTTGCAGCTACCAATACATCCAAAGGTTTGACTGAAACAATGTTATGGATCTGATTGGCAATGCTGATTTATCGTGATGCAGGCGATACCAAAGTCTATTTTTTTGTTGCTGAAGATAAGATCCACGACTTCGAGCAACTCAATACCACCAAGGACTCCGACGATGTGATTACCTTCATAGTCACCAAGGACTTCCGATATGGCGAAAAGCAAGAAAAAGTCCAGGGCAGATTGGAAAAGAAACTCAAGAATCGGTTTCTGGTCTACCAAAGGAACGATGAAACCCATGATGGTATTCTCCAGGTGGGGAAGAACATCTAACCCTTTCTCTGATGAAACATAATTAAAGCTAATTTGACGTCTTTTTCAGCATCGTTTTATTATGGAGGCATGGAGAAAGTGGGGAAACATGTTACCGGGCTTTGTGGGCGGCAATGTCAGTCTGAAGGAGAATCCCGCATCCATTATGAAGATGATGGATGGAACTATCGATAATAAACTTAAAAAATTCGAGTAAGCCTCAAGGTCAACAAAGCTTGTAGTATCTAAACCACATACCTACGTTCTTCCGTGTACCAGACAGCTTTTTTCTACGGGCGGGGGTTTAGAAATTAGTCCGCAGCAGGGAATGGGATGATGATCTCTTTTCAATGTAGATATAGCAATAAGAGAATAATTGAACGAACTTCTTGATTATATCACGTTATTACTTTGTGAATCATTGGGGAAAAAGATGGCAAATCTCCATTGCCTGGGATTCCCCAACATGTTCTTGATCAAAAACAAGCGGGTTCTCACCTCTATGCCGGGAAAACAGATGTGTGATCACACTTGATTTTTATTGTAAATCGATTCCTGGTAACAAGGTATTCTCATCTTGAGACCATATATACAGAACTTGGAAGAAACTATTCATCATACATTCATTCAGTCACACCGTCCATCACAACTGATCAAATCTAGTAGTTGTAGTGGTCCTCGGTGAACTGCTGCTCGGCGTGGCGCTTGGCCTTCTCCTTATCGATGAAGTCAAGACCCCTGGTCTCAACCTCACGGTCAATGAAGGCACCGGCGAAACCAGCGAAGATTTCCTTAGCCTCAGCGTGGCTGGAGGGCTGGCCTGGTAGACGTTAGATACGGCTCGATTATAGGCATGTATAGGTTTATACATACCATTCTTGGCGACGTGCTGCTCGTAGGCCTTGGCGGCTTCGAAAGAGGCGGCACCGGCAATCAGCTCATGGGAGAACTTGGCCCGGTGCTCCTCCGGGGGAGTGTTCTGGAACTGCTCGTAATCGCCCGCCTGGGAAGTGAACTCTGTGACTTTATTAGACCATTGTCGGGAAAGAAAACTTTGGAAAGACTTACGGTCGAGGAAACCCATTGTGATAGATGTGAAGATGGAAGAGATAGATAGGATAGAAAGATGTGTTTTGGATGAAGAGAAACAGGAGAATTGAAGGGGTTCATATAGCTCTGGGGCGAGGGGCATTAGGTAATCTGTTTTGCTATCTTACCCCTCTGTCCCCTCAGTTGGATGGATCTACGTCTCTGCGATAGAGCAACCATGTGGATATGCACCTGGCGGTGAGGCGTTGGTTCTTCCAATTATATTTTTCCAAGTGGGTAAGTGGCTGAGGCTTGGCGGGGCTTATTGAGGCTTGGTAGAAATTGCAAGGTGGGATCTTCGTCTAATTATTGCGTCAATTAGGAGAAATGACGTTGATTTATTTGTTTTTGGAGTCATTCTGACCACTAATAGCGTGCTACTTCAGCCCCTCCATGATTTACCCAAAACCCCCAAAATCACATCAAGTGGCAGACAATCGCCACAATATCCACTAGAGCCATAAGATACGCGGTGGCGTATTATTTCGTGTTCTATTAGGTCGCTGCTGTGATGAATGTTTCCTAAAATAGTAACCTGCCTTCATTTCTGTTTGTTAGTCGCGGTCGAGCTTCGAAGCCATGTATTTCACATGGTATTTTTATTACTAACGCTATTCACTCATACTTCATGTTATACGTCTACTCTCTACAGACAGATTACAAGCGGTGAAATTATAGCAGGGGTTTTTTTATCCATGAATAATAGTAAACTTTCGGATTTCACCTACAGTTGTTATGACCTGTATCCAGCCTTTCAAACTACAATAGCTCTTCGGCCAGCGGCCTGATCTATTACACATGCCACGCTGTACTGTCCAGGGAGAAAAAATTGACAAGGAATGCGACAAGAGGTTTATAAGCTTTGACGGGTCTTTATAGCGGCTGTATCAGCTGACGAATCACATAAGATGATTTACATGTTTGACACGCTCGATGAAAGCCGTACATGATGGAATTGACCCAGAGCGATTAATTAAGAAACTCATTATTATTGCTTGAAATTCCTTGTCGTCCTTACACTCCCCATGTCCTTCTTGGCACTATCACTTTGCGAAGCGCCAATGAATGGCAGTGTTAAATCACTACTCTCAGAGTGTTTATCGGCTCCAGCATTTAGTAGCATCTGGAAAATCTCAGTTTGTCCATTGGATGATGCCGCCTGTAGAGCTGTTCCGTATAGACCACCCTGGGTATTGACATCAGCCCCAGCATCAAGAAGCATTTGGGCAATATCCATGCCTCCACAGCACGATGCTGCCTGTAAAGCTGTTCCGTAGTAACCACCCTCAGTATTGGCATCAGCTCCAGCATCAAGGAGCATTTGGACAATACCTATGTCTCCATTGCACGATGCTGTCTGTAGAGCTGTTCCAAATTCACCACCCTGGGCATTGACATCAGCTCCAGCATCAAGGAGCATTTGGACAATATCCATGTCTCCACAGTACGATGCTGCCTGTAGAGCTGTTCCGTATTCACCACCCTGGGCATTGACATCAGCTCCAGCATCAAGGAGTATTTGGACAATCGCTGTGTGTCCATAAGATGATGCTGCCTGCAACGGACCCCCTAGGAATGCTTCGTTGATATCCAAACTTGCCCCTTTTTGTAGAAGCCACTCGACAAATTTTGCCCGACCGTGGCTTGCTGCTTGAACTAGTGGTGTTTCCAGGTCTTCTTTGTTCTCTAATTGACACTCTGCACCATTCCCAATTAGAATCTCAGCGATTTCTACGTGACCCATTCGTGCTGCCCAATGCAAAGGAGTACTCCCGCCGCCATCAAGCTGAGTTAAGATCTCATTCTCGGACAGCAGAAGATAATCCATCATGTCAGTTAGATTGGCGGCTGCGGCCACATGGACAATAGTCATATCATTCGGCATAGAGAGCATGCGTCTTTTTAGATCCTTGCCTAACCGGACGCCAATTCGGTAGATCTTGTTCCATTGGGGAAGAAACATCCCCAGCCTTGAAATCTCATCCTGCAAATTGTTTGCACGGAATCTTCCAGCCTTTTCTGCGTGAGTGAGAAGATCGTAGACCGCATATGGAAGAAATGGTCGATTTTCAAAGAATCTTACCATATCCGAACGATCAACATCCAGAATAGCCCGTGATAGCTCTTTATCGAGATAAGCTACGCACGATTGGTAGATCGTCGCTTGGCATCGGCAGAACAAATCATGGTCATATATGGAAGTCTTCCCGTCGACGAGTTCGGCCAGAACAGCCAGCCCTTTCTCTCCCAAAAATTCGTTCACCGATTGGTGAACCACCTGAACTATTGGGGGACTTGTTTCACGAAACGTCACTTCAGCCAGTCCACCGGAAAGTGCAGTGATTCTGAGCACCATCTGCTGGCCTTCTTTGACAAATCCGTCCATATCCTCCCAGGTTGTTTGGTATGGTATGTCTCCGGCTCTCTGCGCGACCATGGCATATCGAATCTCTTCCACTGTCAATGGTCTCTCGGATAGCCGCACCCACTGAAATAACAAAAATGTCTCTGGCAATTCTTCAGGATCTATCACGTGGCGAAGGATGTACTCATATGTATCTTTGAGCTCCGGTGGCACATGGGGTAACCAGCGACGAATATCCTTGAGCGACTGCCCTCCAAGAAGCTTCCGATGAATCAAAGGCACGACGAGTTGGACCCATTGAAATACACCACGTGCCTGCTCGGTCAGCTCGGCTTTCAAATCATCCCCACTATCTTGGTCAACAGTGTTCACGGACTGAAGCTTGCTCGTGATGTATGCGGCGATGTCTTTGGAATTGTAATGTTCGACCCTTATTTGAAGAGTCTGCTCGCTGGAAGCAATTGGATAATACCGGCATGCGATACATATCTTGAAGTTAGCGGTTTCACCCACGCGGTCGTTGAGTCGGTGAAAGTATTCCGCAAGTTGAGGAGCGGATTCAGTGCCAGCCTCATCAAGCGCATCCACGAAAATAGTCATGTGGTGTCGCTTAGAGGACGCGACAACTGCGTCTGCCAATAATTCTTCCAGCACCACCTGCGACCATTTCCATTGACGCGTGCCACCAAAATGGCTACATCGTTTTGAATAGACCTCGCGTATTGGATGCCGCACAGCGAGGTCCTGCTTAAATACTTGATATAACAATGATATGAGCATTCAGAAAGGTGTGTGCTGCATCTCTACACCACGAGCACTGAAGAAGAACTCGAGTCGAATCCCCTTGTCTGCGAATTTTTCGAGCTCGTTGTATAGGAACGCCATTAGTGTCGACTTTCCTGCCCCGGGTTTACCCTTAATCCACAGCAAACCGCTGGCGTCCTTCCAGGTCTGGTACTCTGACAATTCGAGGATCCATCGACAAGTGTTGTCATGACATCGGCGAATGTTGTCTAGCCGATCCCACATCTCGGGGAATGAGCGATTCGAGGATCTCTGTGATGATCAACAATTGCTTCAGCAAGTATATTTCGAAGGCGCGGACCTTTATCTATCTTTTCCTGTTCTGCATTGCGTTAATGCTACGTAAATTTTCACCTGGAAGGATGAACTGACCTGCTTGTTCTTGAGATGAGAGACTGGATTCGAGGCTAATGATAGAAGCATTAATCATCTCATGCACTAAGGAATACAGCTATGGTGTAAGGTGAAGTTCTCCAACATACTGGTTGTGCGGGTTCCACCTTCGAAGTTCACCGAGCAGCCTTTTATATCCGTTATCGTCTGCGGAGCCAAACTTCACCATATCACGATGATTGGCGTGGATGCTCATGGAGTTATACCCCTCCAGAGTTGCCGATTCCTTGGACACAACGAGCCCAGGTCCAGTCAGAGGCAACTCTTCGAAAAACAATGTCACTTCGATGGCCCTCCCAGCTCTTTGCAATTCGCGTATCATTGCCCAGAACTCGAGCTGAATGGACTCCAGAAGCTGATTTTCTGTCGACAGCACCTCCAGCAATGACTTGTTGACCGATTTCATGATTCCAAGAGTATTGACGGGTATCTTAGCCCAGTTGGCTATCCAAGACCCCTTGTGCGGCGTGCCCATGAATATGATTCCTTTGACAGAATCAAAAATGTCACGAAGATGTGGCTCGACATTGTTTCGAGACAAAAGTATCGCCTTCTTGCATACGAGTCCCCCAAGACTATGTGCGATGAAGACCAGAGGTCTTCCTGTAGCGCCACACAAGGTTCTGTCTGTCGTCAAATCATTGAGGAGGTTCGTTGCATGACCAATCAGTCGATTAAAAGAGGCTACAGAGCTTCGAATGATGTAAGCGTCATACCCATAGGTCAGAATACGGGCTCCACTGAGATCTAAAGGGAGAAGGGACTCTGGCCAGGGAGCCGACTGGCCATCCGAAGTCCAGTTTGTTCGTCGATCTCCAGTCAAGCCGTGAATAAAGCAAATGTCGAACGCTACTGGGTCTGGACTGCGATATAGCTCTTCAACGCCATCTATGTGCAAATGGATTGATGAGGCAGTCGGTGTTGACGAAGAAAGTGCTTTTTCCTCCTTCTGGTCCCGTTTATCTCGTTTGATTCTGAGCGAGAAACGCATGCTGAAAGTGAGCATGTGAAAGAGGGAAATCAGGCTCCTGCGGGGTACGATATTCTACGCGCCTTGAAAAGCCGTTGATAATTTTGATTGGACAGAGGTTTATCGCGTCTTATGAACCACAAAAAATCTACCAATACAGCTTGCAAAAGCATTAAAATGTTTCCATTTGCAGACAATATCCCAGGCAGGGATGTAGTACTATCCCTTATCGATTCCACAGTCTCGAAAACCCGTTTCATCACGCTATGATCGACATAAAAAGGTAGAATAGATTTCTCTGCTATGCAATCCCATGAAGCTTTCCAGGGTATATTATTCATGGCACGGTAACACGACCAAAACTCCTAACAGAACAACATTGCCATCGGCACGAACAAGAAGATTTCCCTCCTGCAAATCGCCAAATTTGAATACAATACTGTGAATTTTTGAGACCTCGAACAGTCTGGTGCAGTATGCAATCAGCGTTGAAAAATTTGATTCGATGTCATATTCACCGTCGAGCAATTTTGGAGGCATTCGATCTCGCAAAGCCTGAGTAATCCAGCTTTCCTCGGATTCAACGTACGGACCGTAGCTATACCGAGTGTAGTCGCCTGTAGCCAGCTTCAAAGATACAATTTTGACAGGATGATCCGTCATGTCAACCGACATAACCCCCCAGAACCTCCTGCATCTGGTTCACGTATCCCCGCAAATATTCCAATGTCTTGCATCTAGAATTTAATCACACAGGAAGCTGAATAATCATGTATATCAGAGTTAAGGGCTGCATGCAACAGAAAGATGGCGAGGTTTTCAATTGCACCGAGACCTACCTGAGTCCAGAAGAATGAACTTTGCCTCAGGGAGATGAGCCCCCGGGTCACAAATGCGTCCCATTCCAAAGCTTTCTCGAAGGAGACCCTTGCCCTGGAAAGTTGAAGTATGGGGAGTGCAGAATGAGGTTTAAGAAACTATTGATCACTTAGTGACGAATTCGAAGTGACTATACTTCGATTACCTTTTCTAAAATGACCTCGACTACCTGCCACTACGCTTGTTTCAAATCAACACGCCAAATCTCAGCATGGCGGAACTTTGTCGGCATAGAAGGAAGACCATTTCGAAATGGGGAAAGGTAGTTCTGGACAAGTATGGTTAATAGAAGTTCGGAGGAGATGAAGAATGCTAATCTTCGGGAAGGGAAGATATGGATTGATGGGCTGGAGTCGACGTGGGAGGGGGTGCTTGATGCGAAATTCATCGGTGACCGTAGTACGATGAAGCCTGGAAGATGGTACATATTCGCAGTCGCTTTTGGTTTCCAAGGATGTAAAGCAAGATGAAACTTTAGAACGGCTGTTTTATGTGTCGAGTCCTTCCTAGAGTAAGATAAATGAGAGTTATATCGGATGTTTTCTTAGAGCACCAATTCATTATCGATAACAATAGCTAAGTAGGGCCTCGAACAGTCAGGATTCCCTCGGTAGTTACCTGAGTAGTGAGGGGTAGATGATCTGATTTGGGGCCGGATTCGGAGAAAGCCGATTTTCATTCAGTCATGTATTTATTTTTACACTTGCATTCTGTATATATATATATATATATGCTAAAGCGATAGAATAAAGCCCTAGAGGTCGTGTACATAGAAACGCCACGCCAAACATGATTTTTGTTACAATCCCAACACGCTAAATCCAAAATCCAAAAGGGGTATCATTCAAATCCCATAGTGAGCTTAAGTTTCTTAAGCGACAATGGCTTGATCAGATAGTCGTTGATCCCGACTGCCATGGCCTGCTCTTGCATAGCGTCGGAAGCGACACCAGTAACAGCCATGATACAAGAAGGAAAGAGGCCCATCTCCTTTTCGTATTGACGAATTTTTTTGGTTGAAACGAGGCCATCCATGACAGGCATTGAGATGTCTAAAGAGGTGTTAGTGGAAATATTAATCTAGCAGTATTGGGCGACGTACCCATTAGAACAAAGTCATATGGCCGTTTGGATGCCATGTATTTCTCCAGTGCGAGAAGCCCGTTAGAAGCTGTCTCATAACTGCAGCCGATCTTGTGCAGGAAGGTTGCCATAATCTGGATTAAATGTTAGCTTCGGAGAATTTTGCGTTTGGGGGTTTTTTTCGTACCTTGACGTTGATGTCATTATCGTCCACAACGAGGACATGCACGGTCTTTGGTTCATTTGTCACAGGGCAGGGATTAGCGAGACCAAGAAATGAAGTCTCCACTTCTGTTAATCCTTTGGGGGTTGTTTCTTCCTCACTCTCAGTTGCAGGCACGGGTGCTGGCACGGGTATTTCCTCATCTAAGCTGACACAGGCTGGTGCTGGTGCTGGTTCGGACAGTTGAGCTTCATGAGACTCCAAAATTCTCTGGATCGCACGGATGATTTTTTGTGGACCAAATCTGTTGAAATGTTAGTCTCTGAGTTTATTTTGCAAAGATTGAATACGTACGGTTCGGATACCCGCACGATATTTGATCCTTCAGCAATGCGCGAGGACTTTTTCTTCCCGAGAATGATAAAGAGTTTTACCCCAAAGTCCAAAGCTACTTCCTCCAGTGATTGAGTACCTGTTGCTGCGTGCAGTGTGGCTTCCTCAATGACAGCAATATCACCCTGGACCTTATCAAAAGACTCCACCAAGGAAACTCCCCAGCCAAATCGAGACATGAAGACGTCTGCCAAATTGCTCTGAATCGAAAGTTTTCGCTTCGCCTCAGCGGTTAGCAGTCCCGTTGGTGCCTCGGCCAACTCAGGATATCCGTTGAAAGCGACTAAACAAGCGTGAAGCTGTGGTGGGGGTGGTTGACGTGTGATTGAACCAGCTCCGTCAAAGGCACTAGGTTCCTGAGTGACACTTTGCACCGGGATATACACGTCAACTTGTGTCCCAATTCCTACTTCACTCTTCACGGTGATGTTCCCACCGAGCGATGTCACAAGCAAGCGCACGATGCTAAGCCCAAGCCCAACACCCTCCGTCAGGGGATCCTCCTGGGTAAAGGCGGAGAACAATTTATGTCGCAAAAAGTCTGGCTCAATTCCACTGCCCGTGTCGGTAACCGAAAGATGTGTGAGGATAGACTGTGAATCTGGCTGGGTTTTGGACTGGGAGAGGGATACTTCGATGAATCCGGTCTCGGTCCACTTGATTGAATTTCCGAGGAGATTCATTACGATTCTGCGCCAAGCACCGGCTTGGGATCGAATGTTCCAAGGAACACATTGTTGGATGCGCACGATGACCGACATTTGGCTAGGGTCCGTGTTCTTGACAGTGTTCCTGGAAGGGAGGTTGCTTGCAGCGGCCGGTGCAGCACCAGATGCTCTTTGACCGGTATACAAGATGTTGGTAACCTCCTCGACCAGTTCCCCAAGATCGAAATCAGCAATCAGATCCGAGACCTCAGGGGGAGTTTGTTGCTCCTTTCGGAGCTTCTTCGTTTTTGCAGAGGTGTTTATCTTGCAAAAAGCCAGTCTAGTTCATTTGTCAGTAAGAAGCTGCAGCAGTATGGTTTCAGTCAAAACTAACAGTTGATCAGTCGTGTCTAGTAAGGTGTGTCCAGACGATTCAATCATATTGATCATCTCCCCTTGCACAGGTTCCAACGAAGTAGTATTAAGCAACTCAGCACTTGCCAAAATTCCATGTAAAGGCGATCGGAGTTCATGGCTGACAGAAGATATAAAATCAAACTTGGTCTTCTCAGTGGTACTCCAGTGAATACGAGCAATCTCCGAGACGATAGAATCGCCAAAAACCTTGAAATAGTGCAACTCATTCAACTCTATAGGTCGGTGGCTGTCTTGAGACCACACCAGAGTTCCCGCCATCCATCGGGACTTGTGATAGTCCCATAGCGGACAAAACAGAACTGACTTAGCACCTGGAAGAATGCGGCCAAGATGCTGAGAAACCATTTCAACGGCTTGGGGCGGTGATGAGACAGGGTGACTCTCATTGTCCTCCGGGCCGGTGATGTGGAAGATTTGACCCTGAGGAAAATTTGTGACCAGTAGGCTGAGTAATTTCTCTGGCACAGCAATGGGACCGTCCAGAACATCCAGAGCCTGGGTCTTTAATGATGATCCGAGAATTTCCGAAGTCGCATCGACCTCAAGCGTTGGAGTACATAATGGGTCTGTTGAGCCTGATGGCACTATTTGATACGAGCCAGCTCGTTTTGGCAGCGGCTCCCAGCTGCCTTGCTCTTCAGGGGGAAGGCTGAACATGTTAGACACATCGTGCATCATGGATGAATCGTCAAGAAAATAACTTACAACGAAGGATTGCAACGAGCTGCATCGAGAAAGACTACACCATCCAGATCCATCGAATCCTTCAAGAGCCCACTCGCGCGAGCGAATATTGTGGTTATCCGATCAAACATGGGGATACGGTCGGTCAAAGACAACATCGAGTTCTGTGAAGCTGCGTTGAAGGCCTTTGGATTCATAGCGTCATTGAATGATTTTTCATCACCCGGACTCGGAAATGGTCGGTCTGATGGATTCGAGTTCATAGAGGTATGTTCCGTGGTTGTAGCTGAGCCATGTAAAAAGAGCGATGACGGCTCCTCTGAAGGAGTTGTTAAGGATGACAGCAAGGCCGGGCCATCACCAACCTTGCTTCTGTCGGGTAAAGATATAGTCATTGGTCGCTCATCGGAGCCATCGGGTAGATCGGATTCGAAATCTTGAGTCGTTGACTGGAGACGATGATCGCTCGAAACCTCGCGTGGATCAAACTCTGCGTAATCTTGAACAAAGCTGGTTAACCCTTTGACCAATTTTTCGGCGCGATGATGGTTATGCACGACACGCGTATTTTCAAGATGAAGACCAATTGCATCCGAGATCTCCTGTAACAGATCGACCTCGGTGTCCCCAAATTCCTCGCGTGGACTATCATCGACAACACAATATGACCCAAGCACATACCCCGAAGGACTGAACAAAGGGACCTCGGCGTAAAATCGCATATGCGGCCATTCTCGGACATACGGGCGATCCTTAAAACAGTCTTCCTTTGTGAAGTCGCGAATAATGTAGCGGGATCGATTGGCGGTTATGTTGGCTGTATCAATAACGAATGAGGGATCTTTGCCGGTGAATAGGCTAATAGTGTGAGGGCACACTCCCCACTCCAAGTCCAGCCTGCGAGCTCCCAGATAAACTCCATCGCCGGGTAGGTGTTGGTCTGTGATGCGAAGAGATACGGACTTCGTGGCTTCGGCGATAATAAATTGGCTATCCCGGTCGATAATTGAGACAAAGGATCGATTACATCCTAGGCGGAATACTCCGAGTTGGGCTAACGCGTTCAGGGTGATATCGGATGACAAGAAAGAGGAATTCGGCTGTTCATCTCCAGTAGGTGCTTCATTGTCTGAAGAGTTCTCTATCGCATTTGCGACCGGTCGATCTATGGTACAATAGTATCTATTTTCGCGGTTAAGCCGGTGCGGGGGGAAGGAGCGGAGCGGAACAAATGATACCTCGATAATTCCTGAATTCTCTGGCGCTCCGAATCACATGGGTTAGGGTGAAATGTGAGAGAGCCTGATTGATTCATTCCTGTGAGTTAGACATTTCCTGCCCGGGGAAGATGTAGGTTGTAGAACTGGTGGATAGTGGATAAGAGTCAAAGAATCATCAGAGTTATGATCTTCCCCCGGAAAAACCATATGAATCCAACGAATCCCCTCGCGTAAAACCTGATTATTTAGCCTTGTCCCCACCACTTGTTTATTATTGGACAAAATCTCCAACCAAACGGTGTCGGTAAGATCTGCCCTAGTTTGCATGAGAATCTATCATGGTCCAGACGCCTTAAACCGACAAAGTCTCCGCTTCTGTTCAACACCATTTTCCTTGTCGGTCTAGGTTCCGTATGAGGCTTTTATGTTTATCCGTCCCGTAGCCTTCTGTCATCTTGTCGCACTCCGTGCACCATGAAATTTACTGGGTGCACCCTGCTGAATAAGCCATTTTATCACATAATTCATAATATCGGAAACACTCGGACAAAAGTCATGTGATCGGCAACGTCAGATATCAAACCTCCTGATTACTTTAAAGTACGAAAATAACCAAGTTGTCCTTCATTGGCCGAGAATTCTTCCGTAGCCCGCCTGCGCCGTACAGGGTCTGCAAGGCAGCACAGCTGCGATATTTCCAGGAAATATCGCATCATCTGGGGCCACAGGGCATTCGGGTGAATGCCATTTCGCCAGGTCTGATTTGGGCAGTTGATGGGGCGTGGGAAACGTATAGTCGGGTCAACACAGAGTGGGTGGATGAACCGCGGCAGAAGGTGCCACTAAAGCGCTTTGGGACACCCGAGGATGTGGCGAATTTCGCAGTTTTTCTGGCTAGTCCTTTGAGTATTTATGTACAAGGATCGAACGTTATGGTTGATGGTGGTGTGCATGTTGGGACGGATTTCTAGATTTGGTAGTATAGCTTTGACGGAAGAGTCAAACAACGGATTACCCCTTTAGGCAAAAAAAAAGTATGGCTTTATTAGGAGGTAGGAATTGGGGAGAACCCTGGGCTGTTTCCCTGGTCACTGCAGATCATCGATATGGCTGTCAGGGTAGAGACCCCTTAATTGACTTGGTGGGAGGTACGGATCTCCAGGGCCCAGGCTATGCGCTATCTCTATTCCAAATCATCTGATGGATTGACTACTGCGAGAGGTAATGATCAATTCCTCTGTCTTTATTTAAAACATTCGTGGCTTATTGTTGCAGCATACGACATAAGACCATGGATCAGTGCAAGTGACCTGCATTCAGCCATCGCTATTGCAAGTGAACCCCGATTATCTCTTTAGCACATTTTAATACTGCTGACCTTACCAGACATCCAATTCTGCACAAACAGTTCGAAAGGCATACAAGATGCGAATATCATCATCAAGCGAGAAGACGACCGCGTTTTAGTGATCGTAGGGCCATGCTCAATACTAGAACCAGACGCCGCTGTCGAGTACTGCCAGCGATTGTTCGAGGTAGCAACCAAAGTAGAGCTCAATCTCTGCACCATAATGCGTGTATACGTCGAGAAGTCGCGTTCAACGGTCGGATGGAAGGGTCTTGCCCATGATCCAGATCTTGACGGTTCTGCGCGGCTCAAGGAGGACCTACTGCAATCTCGACAACTATACGCAGACATGACTGAGCAAGGGCTGCCAACAGCAAGCGAATTGCTAGATATGGTGACTCCTGCTTCTCTCGTGGACTTCATTTCCGTTGGCGTGATCGGTGCTCGCACGACGGAGTCTCAACCGCACCGTGAGCTGGCATCCATAATACCATTTCCAATAGGCTTCAAAGACAGTACCGACGGAAGCGTTGCTGCTTTGAGGCGTGGAGTCAGTATCACGGATGGGTGTCTAGGGTGGGCCGACACGGTTGCCTGTTTGGAAAGTCTGGCTGATACTGTGCTGTTTCGTCGAAAATTGAAGATATGCTGCTGAAGGAAGAAATTGAGTCTGTGGGAAACAGTCCATCCCAGTATGTTATGGTGTTTGGCAATTGGACGGCGTCTCTCTAGAAATAAACACGCTAAGCAAATTGATAAAGCGTATTGTAGTACCTAATCGCAGTATACTAAGATCCCAATATACTCCATAACACTAGAAGAAACATGAACATACCACGGAGTAGAGATTTCTCACATACCTGTTTTTAAATTTAAATGAAGCCTCCCGGTACATCCTATGACGTTGTTGGCTTCATGTCTATCGCAAACGGATGGAGATCTGTAATAACAGGGTTTTAAGTAAGATCTTCGAAGGCTATTCCCGGCTGAACAAGTTTTTCCCATGACGGTGTAGAACCAAGCTCTACCCAAAGTGTAAGTGGTTGCAACCTTCGGTGATTTTATCATGATCTATACGCTAAACCAGATCTGGGCATCGGTCCCCCCTGTCAGATCCACTAGCTCAACTTGCTAGTGGAGACTCGATTACACATGGCTTCAAAAAATCAAGTAAGCTCTCCCATCAAGCTCCCATTCTCCTACTTGAACCTAGCCAAGTGAGAATCGCCCCCGGAGATGGCCGAATGCATCAACTATAAAGGTCCATGATGGACAGAGTTTCCCTAGAACTACCTTTCGAATCGCTTTTCTCTACTTCTCTTTCCAATCAAACCCTGGGAGATCAAGCAATATGCACATGCACCGATCAAAAATCGGCACGCCAGGAATAGCTTCATTATCCTCCTCGCCCGCCTCGAATTCAGATGACTCATACCAAGCCCCGCCACCCGGTTTCAAAGAATTGATTTATCTCTCAGTACTTTGCTCCACACAATTATTTGTACAGGGCGCGTTTGGTTACATTCTCCTGCCTCTGCGTATCGTGGCATCAACCTTTGGACAAGGCCCGACGGAAGCCACCCGCATGACGTGGCATGTTGGCGGGTATAGTCTGACAGTGGGAACCTTCATCTTGATCGCTGGCAAATTGGGGGATCGTTATGGATCCAAGCGCATCCTAGTGGTGGGCTGGGCATGGTTCGGACTGTGGTCTATCATTGGTGCTTGTAGTGCCTTGACACTCTCCCCAATTTTCTTTGACACCGCTCGGGCTTTGCAGGGTATTGGTCCAGCCTTTTTGCTCCCTAATGCACTCGCTATCTTGGGGCGCAGCTACCCCCCTGGGCCGAAGAAAAACGCCGTTTTCTCGGCTTTTGCGGTTGCTGCTCCCCTCGGGTGCAGCACAGCTGGTGCTATTGGATCTGCGTTTGCGCAGTACGCTTGGTGGCCCTGGGTCATGGGCCTCTATGCCTTGGGATGTTTCATGCTTGCTAGCTTGGCGCAGTGGATCGTGCCGCATGACCGCCCACAGCCAGTCATTGGGGCTAGCCAGCCACCATTTGATATCCTGGGGGCAGGTCTCGGAGTATGTGGCCTCCTGTTGCTCAATATCTCGTGGAATCAAGCGCCCATTGACGGATGGAGCACCCCTTACGTCTATGTGTTGCTTATACTCGGGTTTTTAATCCTAGGACTGTTTGTCATGCAAGAACGACGGGTCGCAGACCCAATACTAGATGTTGCAATGTTTGACCGACATGTTACGGCCGTGCTGGTCACGACGGGACTGGGCTGGAGTAGTTTCGCTGTCTGGTTCTACTACCTGTTCCAATTTATCCAACAGACCCGGGATGTCACACCCCTTGATTCCGCCGCACAATTTGCCCCGGGCGCCATTTCTGGAACTTTGGCAGCAATTGCAACGCCTTTCTTGATGCGCTTTGTCCCGAATGGATGGCTAATGGCCGTTGCATGCGGCGCGTTCCTCATTGGGTGCCTGCTGCAGGCTACAGCCCCCGTCACCCAATCATACTGGTTCAATACGTTCTGGTCCTTTGTGATTACTGCCTGGGGTATGGATATCTCTTTCCCCGCCTCGGCAACCATTATCAGCAATGCAGTGCCACCGAAGCATCAGGGCGTGTCCGCTTCACTCGTGAACACAGTTGCTAACTACTCAATTGCTATCGGGCTTGGCATTGCCGGTACCGTAGAAGCTCAAGTCCAGAAGCAAGACGGGGGTGCTCTCGCAGGCTACCGTGCAGCTCTTTGGACCTCGGTGGGGCTGGCAGGTACGGGATTCATCGTTGCTATGCTTTACGCATTAACAACGGAAAGTGCTGTCATCTCACGCAATGAACTAGAATCAATACCTAGAGAGATGAATAATGTATAAATTGCTTGTGATCGGTGACTTTGGATGATGCAATCTCAAGGCGGAATGTTTGGACTTCGTGTCCTTGCTTTGAGAACGTGAAGAATGGCCTTTCCCTGAATGTTCCTAAAGAAGTAAGAACTAGTAGATTCGAAATGCATCAAAGCTCTCCAGGCCACGCTTAATGGACTGGAGTAACAAGTTATTGAGGTAATAATCAATAATAAGCGCTGAACAATATAACACCGCGCAGGGAATGGCCATTGTGATGATGGGAGATGTGTTAATGAAGGAAATTATTCAAAGCTGAAGGCGTTGTAGAGAAAAGGGTAATTATAAATGAAAAATTAGTCTGCCATGGCTAGTGGATATGAGTCTCATTTCACATCAATATCCGTCGAGCTCTCTCAATAGATTGCTGATTGACAATAATTTATGGCTGAATAGTGCATCAAGCCAGAGGACCTCTCTTAAAGAGGCCTGCCACTCGATAGTTGACCCGATTCTCATCTCAAGCAGGGTTTCCTCCAGGACTCGATTAAACATCTCGGCCTCAAGATAACCGTATCCTTCAATTGCCCCCACTGTCAGTAACCATAAACGCATACCGGGATCCAAACTCCGGCACTGCCTCAAACCCTGCCATAGCTGTTGGAGGTGCATCGTGATGACAACAGGGCTAATTCCTGATCCTCACCGAAACTCTGCCAAGTACAGTAGTGCACCCGAGCGCAGATACGTCCATGCCGGTGACTTACCACCGGAGACCCGGGACAGGGTTAGGAACTTGCAGATAACAGGATGTACGAGAGCATCTACCTCTCCCGGTCGCTGCCATATCGACTCGCCTTCTTGTGCACAAATCAATTTCATATGCATATTTATAGACTCCAGCATATAGAAAGCCTCCCACATGTCAGGGCACAGCCCCGCAACACGCGTGGATATCGCAGTCGGGTCCCTTGCTGATGGATCTCCCACAATAAGCCTTCTGTCTCCGCATTCAACGTCCACTGTGGGGGGAATGTCGAGAGCGTATGAGCCGATGCAATCGACCCTGTTGTCATTAGCCTAGTCGAGTGTATTGAAGAAGTCAAGCCTAGGTAGACACACCATTGGATCAGTTTTTGTATTTCTGGATTGAGTTCTGCCCATGTAAAACCAGATTGCTCGATGATGATATTGATAATGCTCATGTGCTGTTTCCAGGATCTTAGATCACCTTGAAGGTGAGCATAGCATGCCAGAGCCACAATCGTACATAGCATTTCTTCGCATGCCGGGCCGCCCAACGTAGACAGTAGACCCCGGCGTACAGCAGCCAGTGCTTTCAAATGGTGAGTGAGAACGAGACACCTTAGGGTTCTGACTGAAGTCTGCCTCCATAGCAACAAATGCATCGCGTATGTCGCCAACATCTGGTTGAATGCACCTATGTGCGCAATGCATATGGGATACCAGCGGTCTCGATAGATGCGGAATTGGTTCGGTAAGGCGTCAAAAAACACTGCATATTGATTTTTAGTTAGTGTGAGAGAACAATAGGCATAAGATTTTGGGCGGACAGACTATGCTGGAAGAGAACTCGAGAGTCGCCATCTAATGGCGATGGAGCTACTAAGGCGATCGGAGCAGGCGAAGGTATATATGATAATGACTCGTTGCTATCGGAATAGCTTTCCACTGAAACCGAGCCATGCTGTTGTGGATGCGGCAGTTGTTTAGCTCTTCTTGGAGGGGCGCGTCGGGATATACCTATTTCACGCATTGCTTGGCGATGTATCTCCGATCGCTGGTCGCTCGTAGGACGAGTACGCGACGGGGTTCTTGTGATGAACACCCAGGGAGCGGACGATGGCATAATGAACTAATTCTTTCCCCAATATTTATTTGTTTGAATTCTTCTTAGAACTGTATCGAGATCTGGGGCGCAGGAAGCGTTGAAGTGGGATGCATGGCTGCGTCTTGTCGGCTCTCGTAAACGGACGTATTTTATCGACCAATAGCCTAGGGTTACTAAGGGTGACCCTGGGCTATTCTGGAATCTAAGAGCCAAAACATTGGAACGCTGTTTATAAAATATATATTACCGATTTGATGCCTTACATATTAGGTTACACCCCCTTAAGTGCTGCCTAAGTTGAATCCTCTTCTCCAATGTTAGGATTAATCCTATGCTATGAACATAATTACTCCCTATATCTCAAGCCAGACCATGTAACATGACTGTGAGTCAAGTATCATTTCCAAGATGTTCATCTTCCTTTAATGCTTGTATTTTACCTGATATGTTCCATATTGATCGATTGGACTACGAATACCCGCCCCACAAGGCTATCACCAGTCCCTGAAACCCAGATCTCACACCCTTTTCACATCCCCAAAAATGGTAGGTGTCGGAGGCCGAAGCAAAGGCTGCAAAACCTGCCGGAAACGAAGAGTAAAATGCGGTGCGACCCTTTCCCATTAAACAAACATAACATCAGCTGACCTACATACAGACGAAGGAAAGCCAACATGCGATCGCTGCCACAAGGTGGGCAGAGAGTGCGAAGGCTATACCCAATACATTGAGTTTCACGATGAAACTTCTCGAATGGCTCAGAAACTATCGCCAAATTATCCTCCACATCAAGTATCTTGTCCATCAACTGTCAGCCATCAGCACTGGGATGAATCAGTCATAGAGTTACCTTTCACCCCTCTCTTAATGAACCCGGTGTGGGATGAGAATACGCTCTTCACGAAATTTTTGGTCGATAAGTTGTTTACCTGGGATGAGGATCCGACTTCGCCTCATTCAGCTGGTTGGATTTCGATGTTGCTGCGCCCGACAGAAGACGAGACCGCATTATCATTTAATTCGATTCGAGCCTTGGCTACGTCTTATTTTGCAAAGGTGCATGGTCATGCGAGTCTACTCCAAAAGGGCGCAAGGCAGTATTCACATGCGCTGGGAGCTTTGCAGAGACAATTGCACGATTCAAGATGTGCGATGGAGGACGATGTACTACTGGCTATTATCTGCATGTCAGTTTATGAGCTGGTCACGGTGACAGATCCATCTGCTTGGATCAGTCATTGTACTGGACTGGCACAACTCGTGAGTTGGTCTCTTTTCTTGCGGTCGAGGAGTTCGTTCTTATTCTTCCAGATTGCTATAAGGGGCCCGCATCGGCATCAGTCGGGGGTGGGCCATGCTGTTCTTCCTACAATAAGATCGTCTATTGTATGTGTTCCTTTTTGGTCGATATAAACACTTGACTAAAATTACTACAGTCGATTGCGTATATCGTCAATCGGAAACGATGTTTCTTAGAAGATCCCGAATGGAAAACCATTCCCTGGGCTCTACAAGGTCTGGATTCTAAGATCCCGGTAGAGAGACTGCACGACTTCTTGGTCAATATCCCCGGTATCCTTGAAGAAATGGAACGTCTTCTAGCTTGGGATCCCAAGTTACCTGGCCGAGAAGAATTCAAAGAAAAGCACTGTCAACGAACCTTCCGGACACTCGAAGAGCTTTACTCCTGGCGCTGGGATTGGCAGCGCGAGTTTTCAAACTCTACGTATCTCATACGACCAAATGATTTTGATTTTGAGGATTCCTTTCTTCTGCCCTCGAGTCCGTTTGAAACAGTCATCTGGTTCAGTACACCTTACCGTGCTACGGAGCTGATTATGTACAACTCCATCCGCTTGCTCTTGACAATGGCTCTGGAAACGGCAGGTATTGATATAGAGGTCCCTGTGTCCGTAAATGGGCTAAACGATCCTCTCCTACCCATGCAGGGCAGTCGACATGATGTTGCTGTTGAGATCTGCCGGATGTCGAATTTTCACTTGCGAAGCTTTCATCAAAGCTCAGGGGCTTTCATGCTCCTTTTTCCACTGAATGTGGCTCTTCGTCATCTGGACGGTGACAAGGGTAGAGTTAAGCCGTGGCTTCGGGGAGTCATGGCTATAATTGCCGATCTACATGGATTTGAAGTCGGTCGACGCGATTTTAGATCAATGATAATCGAGCAGAAAAAGGTTCAAAGTATATGAATGTCAAATTCAGGGTATCCTCACCATAAGCAATCGAATAGAACGAAATCCAACTAATCTAATACTTCTTCATCATTCATCAATAATCGGAATCCCAATCATCATCACCAGCATGGTTCCCCATATCAGACATGATAACAATCCACAACATCTTATTCCCCTGCCTAGCCTGCTTCCACCCATGTTTCCCGCGTTTCCGATATTCCTCATCGACCTTTTCCAACAAATCCTCATACTTCTCCTCCGCATCCCTCAAATCCTTCTTCAAATCCTTCAGGTCCTTCTTCAGGTCCTTGCACTTCTTCGCTTTTCCACAATGCCCAAGATCCGAACTCTGAATCTGAAGCATAACATCTTCCATCTCCTCCTTCAAATCAACAATCTTATCACCAACTTCCTCCATCTCTCTTTCATCCTTGCACTTCTTTCGCCCAGATCTAGAATACTTCCTCTCTGCCCTAGCTTGCTTCCTCGCTAACTTCCGCTCCGCCCTCTGCGACGAACAGCACCCCACATTTTGCACCCAATGATTCGGCGCGCCAGGCATACCGGGCATACCAGGTGCACCAACACTACCCTCTAACGAAAGACGCATGACTCCATCCCCGAGCGTCATCATGCGTTGCTCAACAGGAACCTCCGCCTCCAGAGTAGTGCGGTACTGGTTACTCCCGTCATTGGGTATCCCGATCTGAAAGAGCATTTTCTCCGTCTTGCAAATCTGCACATGTAGACCCCTAGGCCCGAAGGTTGTTTCATTCGCATGCTTTATGTAAGCTTTTGTGCGTGCGGGAGACGCGCCAATTGTCTGGGTTGTTCCGAGGGGGACGAGGGCGTCGTTAAGACCGTCGATGAAGGCTAGGAGCTCGGGTGTGGGCAAGGCGGTTTGTTGTTCTAGTTCTGGGACGCGGGCGCGGACGAAAGGAGTCATGTAGGATCCGAGTACTTTTGTAGTTTCTATTTTGGTATGCATTAGTGCTGGGTGAGGTTCGTTGTAAAGTAAATGGGTGTGGACTCACGAGGAATCACACATGGTTTCAGTCCCTGTGTAGGTGGGCGCTGGAGTGGAGGAATTGGTCGTGGTGGGAGGTTTGGCGGGAGGTTTTGTGGGAGATATTGCTGATATCGATCACGGTATTTCTGCTCGTACTGATGATACTGGCCGTTTTGATATCGGTCCTGGTATTGCTGATATTGCCCGTTCTGATATCGGTCCTGGTATTGCTGATATTGCCCGTTCTCATATCGGTCCTGGTATTGCTGATATTGCCCGTTCCCATACCGATCTTGGTACTCCTGGTACCGGTTCTGGTATCGGTTCTGATATTGATCATGGTAGTTGCTGGGTGGGGCGTACGGCGCAGGTGCATTCCATTGTGATGGATCTGATGGCTGACCCTGGGTTACAGGCTGAGCACTATTTCGGTACATGTACTCTGCCTGTTGAGGTATCGAACGGGATGATTGTTGTGGGGTAGACTGGTCAACAGAATCTGACGCATAAGGAGTATAAGCTGGAGGCGGCGCCGGTTCATCCTCCACTTTGTTCGAGTAGTGTTCCGAGCTTTTAGATTCGACACCCATTGTGAAGTATAGCAGGTGAAAACGAGAATGAAAATGAAAACAAAAACAAAAATGAAAGAACGCGGGTTGAGAAAGATGAATGTCTGACTAAAAATATCTTTGGGGGCGAAAGGGTTTCAGCATTAGCATTTGTCTATCACTTGCCTAGATTAGACAGCTCAGCGATTTCAGACCCCACTATATGTCAAAAACTCCGCCTCTACGAATTGATTGGTGTATTCACGACCCACTATTCGCGAGCCATGCCTAAAATTGCTTAGTTGATCATCATCGCATTGGATTCCTTTTTGATATTGCATTGCGTGCACTAAGCAGCCCCAAGTTTTTGTCTCTCAATGTATTATAGAAAGCCCAATCAAGAACTGAATGTCAAATGACTTGTGCATAAGATATTATACAGGAGAGACATCAGCTAGAAGCCAGCTAGGGTGTGCAATAAGACAAAATATGAGCCCACTGGCACGAGTACCCTTCTCCACGCCAGAATATGCCGCAGATGAGGGGATTGGAATTATCGCGGCCACGGATCTTGTTTCGTGTTCTGATTAAAAGTGTTTGAATTTAGATAAGACCTTTTCAATTCTCAACCATACAGCAAAGAAGTGATGATAATACTGACGATTGCTTGGAGTACAACAATAGACCAATGCACAATCGCCAATAACCTTCAGATGTGATCTGATCTGCTTTTCAGACACATGCTATTAGACACGTGTAGTTGGAAAAAATGAGTCGGCAGAACCTTTGCCTATAATGGCAATGGGAGATACCAAAAAGGAGACGAACCGATAAAGATATTGCGGAATGAAGCCCCAATAATGAGGGAATGAATGAAACACACGTTGGGTGGTCACTTTCTCTCGTGGTCACAGTTGCAGTGGCATGTCGCCTCTAGCTTGTCCATTTGCTGCTCCAGTTTCTCCACTCGCTGTTCCAAGCTCTGGATCTTGAAAATCAAAGCTTGATTCGAGACCGATGGTGAAGGTGGAATAAATAAACGGTAAACCGATAAGAGGACATTTGCTGCGACTAAACCCTTGTATATGAAGTTCCGGAGGTCAAGTGAAAACACCAGCATTTCGGAAGTTGTTGTGTTGGTATCTTGGTATCAATGTAATTAATATCAGTAGCTTCACTCTAGGATGATAGTTCTAAGGAAATACGCTCACTTGTGAAGGGAGAATGTTAGGTCGCAGCAGTGAGAGAGATGGTTGTGAGAGGAGGCAATCTTCAAGGTTGGAATTTCTGGGAAATTCTGAAAACCAAAGTTAGGAGCAGTCAGATAATTGATGGACATGGATCCTTATCGTACTTCGATTTGTGATCAAGGCTCAAGGCAGATACTAATCCATATATAAACACACCAGAAACTGGAGTTTGGACTGACGCAGTAATCAAATTTACGTACAGTATCCAAAGTTGATCATCCAGATGCTCATGAAGACCAGGTCTTTCCTACCACACCACAAACCCCAACACAGACCCCCATTCATCTTCTTTTCAAGCATTTAAATCTTCCAAATATTTGCATCAATTCGTAAAACTATTTCCAAGGTTCGTACACGAGGATCTACGAATCCACCGATTATCTAAGCCCCACGCTAACCCCAATCGACCAACCAGAAGCCGCAGCGCCCACGCGGTGATGCCACCAACCCAAAACAACCAGTCTCCCCCGGCCCTCACACAATTTCCGACTTGGTCATTCAGTCTGACACCAAATATAACCTGTAAGTCCCTGGACAGTACATGCAATCCTCAATCCAACCCTTGCACCACACAGTCAGATAATTGCCCGCCCCGCATTGCACGGCGAACGCGCCACCGACATTCCTCTGAAGTTGCGCGCAATGAGCGCCGATATACCTACAGCGACAATTGAGGGGTTCAATGACTAACATGATTGCTCTGCTTAGCGCTTGAATACCACCATCCGCATACTACCAATATAATGGCTGCTGAAGGCTCCGCACCTGCGTCGGTATGTGCAACCATTGCGACACTCGCATTCGAGTCGTTCGAGTCGAAGTGCCCGGACTAATGTTCTTATCGCCAGCCCATCCCGATCCCGGAGCTGACCAAGATCACCTCTGATGTACGTTGCATCCTGATTCTCAATCTCAATCTTAATTTCTTACCCCCCAAAGACGAGCACTAATCCTCTATAGGCTTGCGATGCGGCGTTGAAGAACACCACCGAATATGACCACGCAAATGTCGGAGAATGGAACTCGCAGATCATTGTAAGATTTAGAACTCCAATTGTTTTGCAGGTTAATTAACGTAACCAGAATGTTGTCCTCAAGGCTCTGATCGCCGCTACTGCCCCCTCCGATTCCTCCAAGCCGACTCCCTACCGCTTCACCGTGAACAGCACCATCGTGCAACAGGGTGTGATTGACAAGTCCGCCGCCGCCGACGGCACACAGAACAACGCCGGAAAGCGCGGTATGCACTCTGCATCTGGAGCGTTCTGGGATGTCAACCGTGACGGTATGTGGACTTTCAAGTACCCCGGTGCCGAGGAGCGGGGACTTGATGTCGTGGTTAGCGTGACTTGGTTTGCGGTTGTTTGAAAGAATAAAGTTCCTGAGGCTCTCTTTGTGTAAGATTGATAAACCTGAAGGGAGCACATATCATATCCTTTGCCCTTTGTTTTCTGTTTTATGTATGCAGTTTATAGGAGCTTTCTTTTTTTCGGTGATTGTAGCATTCTCTTTGTTTGATTCAGCGATATTAGTGTCTCCAATATCAGGTACTTGGAATGCCATTAAGAAGCACGGACCTACAATAGAAGTTGACTTGACAGTGGTATGGTATCTGGTATTGTCCCACTATTATCCGAACGGACATGAGATGGCGGAGTTGGGAGGATTTCTTGGGGAGACGCTGTCGTGGCCTATTGGCGTGGCTTCTCCCCTCTAATACCGTTTCATATTGTATTTTATCGATCGTGGTAAGCGGTTCAACCCTTGCTCACGTCGTTCATTTTGATGGATTGTTTTTCTCTGGAGTAGAAGTGATACATAGATTACATTTTCTCGCTATCACTCTAATTTCTCTTTATTATGTATTTCACGCAAGTGGGTAGAGGCAGCATGTTCATTTCTGGTGCCAAAGTGTGAAAATACTTTTACATATCTATGGTATGATGGTAGGTCTTTTGTGGGGAAGTTTAGAGAGAATTCAGGAGATGTGGTTGAATGAATATTGATTGGTCCTCCTAAGGATGTAAGAAATACATAGGGGACTCAACTATGCTCCGGTAATGGTATCTCGGTAGACCGTTGAGCGAAATGTATTAAAGAAAAGAAAAATCCCACCGGAACATCCTGGACAGAAAAAAATATGGAATCGAAGATCCCATCGGCAGCCTGCAAAGAAAAAATATCAAGTGAATATCCCCACGCCTTTCAAACCGTATTGCGCCATGCTATGAATTTAGAAAATTTGGATAACTCGAAACACGTCAGATGTGAAAGCCTTTAGCGGGGCTCAGAGTAGTCGTTCAGTGCAACACAAACTGAGCCACGGTGGTGGCCACTGTACTGGCGGATGATGTTGCCAGTGCTGAGTTCCCACAGGCGGGCATAGTGATCACTTGAAACGGTGACAAGATATGCGGAGTCGGCAGAAAAAGCACAGTCCCAGACCCAACGCTGGTGATTGGCGAGGGTCGTCTCCAGAAAGAGGGTGCCGGTTGCAGGGTCCATGGGTGGGCCATCAGGCTGGGGGGTGAAAGTTTGTTGTGGGGTCTCGGTACGAGGAGCGTTGTCTGAAATGCGAAGCAATTCGCGGTCTTGCATGGGAGTATCGAAGATACGCAGCAAATCACGGGCTTGATTCATCAGCTCTGCCCCTTGTTGCGCCTGGACAGCCTCCGGGGTGGGCTCATTCTTTTCATCCGTAGTAGCCTTCTCGGCTTGTTTGTCGGTCCATTCCTTGATGGCGACCTTGGCGGGAGTGTATTCCGGGTCCAGGTTCCACACCTTGGCTGTGTGATCAGCAGAGCAAGTGGCTAGGTGCTTGACATCGGGGGAGAGTAGGACGCGAGTGAGGTAATCTTTGTGTGCCTGAAACGTGCAGATAGGAATAATTCGTGTGGCATCTTCGGTCTGGACCATGCGCCAGATGTAGACATTACCCTGTAGGTTAAAGATACATTAGCGCATTCTATTGGACAGAACGGGGAGATGGCAGTACCTTCTTATTTCCCGCACAGAGCAGCGATCCATCGCTGGCTACGCTTACACTCAGAACAGCAGTGTCGTCCTCTGGGATCAACTGATGGGTGCAGATACTCTCACCCAGGTCCCAAACGCGGACCATGCCAGCACGATCGCCGCTGATGAGCTCACCCTGGTTCGGATGGATCACAACGTCATTGACTGCCGTTTTGTGCTGATAGTTGCGTTGGAGAGCGCCAGTACGAGTATCCCAAACTTTGACAGTTCCATCCTCGGAGCTGGTGACCATCCACTTGCCTTCACAATGGAATGCGACCCCCGTGATATTGCCTGTGTGACCTTCAAAGGTCATCACCGGGTTGGGGTTTGTCGACTTGATATCGAACAGTTTCACATTGTTGTGTCCGGCAGCGGCAAGGAATCGTTTATCAGGAGTGATACAGAGGCGATTGACTTGCGAGTCAGGGTGCTGAATGGTTCGTGAACAAATGCCGGAAAGCGCTTCCCAGAACCTAATCCAGAACGCGATTAGCTCTTGATATGCATCGAGGCCGGGTAGTGACACATGGCTAGCATGCCAGAAAATGAAAAGAGAACTGAAGATGGAGAAATTGGAGTTTACCTGATGGTATGGTCATACCCCGCTGCAATGCACCAACACTTGTTAGTCTAGGCTCGGGAAAGAATGCGGGGAGCTTGGGGACTAACCAGTGGTGAGGATGACACTCATGTTCTCAGGGTTCAAGAATCGGTAGACTTTCCTATGGAACAATCGAAAATCGATATCAACACAGGGAATCGGTGGTCGGCTCGGCTTGGTAGCTCGACTCAATGAACAGGGATCCGAAGGGTCAGCGGGAGCTTGAATCCGATAATCACTTCCACCTGGGCGTACCAGCGTTCTGCCTCTGTGGTCACGTGAAAATAAGTGTCAGGGCGGTCATCATCCAGTACTTCATCAATAAGGCGGTCAAAGGAAGAAGTAAAGGGGGACTCCATTGATAAATCACGTGAAGTTGCGACAAGCGTTCAACAAATAGATGGTAGAGGATAGGAAGTCGGTGAGAGGCGATAAGAATGGGAAGGGAGGAAGATTGGTTTTCAACCGGCAGAAACTGACCGTCAACAAAAAAAGTTGGCTTGTACTACAGTGTCTTCATTCACTTTTTAAAGATTTCTTCACTCGATCTTTATGCCCTGACCCTCGCCCATATTCTAACAAACGTCTTAACTGAGGGGTTCATTCACTCAGAACGTGGGCTGGGGGTGTCATTCACTTGCTCACGCCAACCATCAATTCACGATGGATCTCCTTCCTCTTCCTCTTCCTCTCCCTGTTCGTCTCCTCCTTGATTGAACCAGGCTTTTTGTGATTCATTCTCTCGATTTCTATTTCTTTCATCCTTTCATTCTTTCTATCTTGCAATCTATCCTCATAATCTGTTCGTTCCCAATTTTTGACGCTTCATTTTGAAGTCATTATTTGTGATTGATTTTCTTGATATGAACGGAGCTATGGATGTTTCCGAACCTGTACCTATGAGCAACAGCTCTGTGGATGTTGATCTTGGGATTACACAGTCCTATGTATCTGAATCCGTGTCTCAGTCCGAATCTTTGTTTGACAATACCCCACGTTCATCAGTCATCGGTGACAATGATGTTGGTAAAGGCTTCGAGGCCGAAGACGACAGCGACAAAAATGGCAGTGCTTTCGAGATTGAAGAATACCACCCTAGCATTGATACTGACCTTGAATTGGGATTCGATGCTTTCGAGGGCTTTGACAAGCCTGCTGAACAATTCCTTATGAGCCCTGCTTCTGACTCCCCTGCTTCCGACTCTCTGCCAAACACTTCCCACGACCTTATCGAGTCTTCAACCAGCTCCGGCGTTACCTCGTCACTTAACAACAAGAGAACCATCGATAAAGCATTCAGGGCTAACAACGGACAGCTTTCAAAAGCCCCAGCCGTCAAAAAGCTGGCCACCGCACCTGCAGTGCTATCTATGCCTGTCATCCCAGCTCACGAAGTTCCTTCAGTCCTACCTTCCACCCCAGCCAGCATTGTTTCCAAAGAGCGGTTTGAAATTGATTCACCTGAGATTTTGCGGCACCTTGCCAGTGAGGTAACTTCGACCTTCCCTTTCAATCCTGCCTCTTTTTCGTCGCCTTATAAGCGCGTTGGATACAACCCTTCTACCCCAGCCATGCACCCCAAAGTGGTTCATTTCAGTGACGAAGCCATAAACTATCGCCTTGAAATGACAAAACAACGAGCGGCTACTCTCACTGCTGAACGCAACAAGCTCCAGCGGAACTTGCTCCAATACACCGCCATTGATCCCAAAACCGGATTGCTGGGTATTGACAAGATGAAAGCCGAAATGGCAAGCTTGCGTCGCGGCGAGACGGTGAAAAACAACAAAATTGCGGGCGAGAGAGATTTCTGGGTGAGGCAGCACTCCATGCTGGCTCAGGAGTATGCAAAGCTCGCAAAGCAATATGATAATATGAGACAAGGTCTCTATCCATCGACCAATCTTTTCGCGACTCCAAATTACCCGCCAGGCATTCTTCCCGCTGGAAAAGCCATCGTGCCTGGTCCCACCAATACCTTCGCCAACCCTGTCACCAACCCCTTCAACAATCCTCTCGACAATACCCCTACCAACACCCCAACACCATCTTCTCAGCAATCCCCAAATTTCATTGATCTGACAGGTGACGACACCGAAAGCCCAGTGAGTGACCCAGGAAACTGCTCCAACACAGATTCCTTTGGAAGCCCTTTGCCCATCAAGGATGGTGCGCTGACCGATTTTCACCGCAAATTTAGGAGCAAGAATATGTCTTGGCTGTTTAACACCGAGACTGACAGTGATGCAGCGAGCCGATTGTACTACAAACAGACCCCCGAGCGGAGAAAAAATGACAAGAGTGCCTTTGACTCGTGCCGTGATGTCATTTACATGCACAATGGGGTTCGCCGCGCACTGGGTGGTCAGTTTAGCCAGATGATGACCCACTACGAGGGCTTCATCCCTCAAGCTCCTGAGGATCCGACTAAACTGTCCCGGAAGAATGGAGAGAGCTCAACCCGACAGGCCTCTCGCAAGACTACCCACAAGTCTACCCACAAACTTATTGACGAGGAGACTATCCACAAGCCTACCAACGAGGAAACTACCCACAACGCTACCGACGAGGAGACTGTCTACCAGCCTACCGACGAGGAACTTGCCGCAGTGATGGAAAGGGAGTTGGCCGAATTTTAAGAATTGCTCTACCTGTCTGTTATTCTTAGCGATCACATTAATACCCTATCTTTTACTGTAGTATCTCGTTCTTCTCCTATTTCATAATCTATATTGAAAAGATTAGGTTGATGTCGCATTAACAGCCTTCATCTTATTGTTGAGCCAACCTATCTCCAAAGGCCTGTCTCTTGGCTCTTGAACTGCGAGCCTTACTTTCATACATTTGGGTGTAGGGCCTTCCGATATGAAGCCTTCATTGTTCATTATGCACTGTGTGAAATGACCGCTCGGTGCACGCAGCAAATGCAACCTTGTCATAACTGTTCTTGGCACCCAGGTCTTCATCTTCATATCCTACTCAGTATCCTAGCATATTCTCGCCTGCATTCCAGAAAGAAAATCCATTTTTACGACTCTTCTTGTCTCCATCCGACCATCTCCTCCAGTTGTTTCCATCCCGGCATGCCAACCACAATCAAATTTATGCTTTCGAGACTGCAGACACTTCACACCAGCAACAACTATGACCATTTTGACACTCAAAACCCACTACAATTAAGATCGAATGCATTCGCCAATGCCTTCACCAAATCCCCCAACAATACCCCAGTGAAATCTCGATCGAGGCTGAAGATACCAGCAATAACGATGCTAGTTTTGAGACTCAAGAGACCCACCACAATCAGGGTCGGGCCTTCGAGGCCGAAGACACCATCAATAATCATAGGCTGTGCTTTCGAGATCCAAGACATCAACCACATTTCCAGTCACTAATTTCTCCTCAGTCACTTATATTCTTAGCAATCATGCAAAGTACTTAATGTGGCTTGAGTACGGCCGAGCGGTCGGGAAGCCCTGTTCTCCACATCCCATGGTCGTATGTACTGTACTTGCTGTACACTTAATTCGGGATTTATAGTGCAGTGCAAATTTAAAGCTAGTCCCTGTTTTGGTGGTTGATGATTCAATGCACAGCTACGGCTCACTGGGTGTCACCATCACGCTGTGAGCGTTCAAACTACGAGGCCCCATCTTTCCCACAACCCCACATACTTTATAACAATCCACGGGTTATCTTAAATCTTCCTTATATTTTTCAGAACCTTCCCAGAATCAACATGACTTTCACGATATGCTCCATTAGGTTGATCAATTCTCTACATGTCTACTGCAGAATGTAACAAAATGACCCTGGAATATACGTTGTCTTGTGTGTCATGCCTTACTCGCCACGCTCCTCATTGTTCTTCTCATCAAAACATATGCACAAGGCGGCAATCAGCGCTGCATCTACGCCAGGTGCCACAATGACAGCATAGGTCTGCTGACCAAAGATAAGGTCGCGGCCAGTAAGCAGCTTCCGATCAATGCGAGCCACCGTCTGACCAGTTTTGTGATCAACAATATCTGCACTGTGATCAAACCAGCCTCCTTTCATATAGAAAGTCTTTGCGTGGTCGTTATGATCAGTGAAAGTGGCGGTAGCCTTGGAACCGACCACTAGTATAGTCAGCAATGAACAATGCAGGTCTTTACAGGCATACTGAGTAGATCATAAAGGCTGCTTACGTGTAAGATTACTCTTGATCTCACAAATCTTCTTGCGATGGGTATCTTCGAGCGCAAAGGTCGTGTGGAGATGCAGATGCTCCTTGACAATATCAAACAAGTGTTTGCCGTGGGCATCCTCGACCTTCTTACGGCCAGAAAGCGATACCCAGGCTCCGTGTACTTTAATCAACGTGTCGCCATTTGCTAGTTTGACTTCGAAGCTGTCTCCGGAGACGGAGAGTACCTTTTCTTTCAGGACTAAGGTCTGTGGCTCGGTGGAGACAAATTGCTCGAACAGAGCGATGGGCTCGGCCACAGGGGTGAGAGCGTGGTGACCCAGGATACCCATTGTGTCAGGTGGATTCAAATAAAGCTTTTGAAGAATTAAGATTAAATAATCATTACATGGAAGTGGATTAGAGGAGCGCGGGGTAGATCAAGCCGATCAGATAACATCACGTGATAGCTACCCTCAGTCATGACATCATCTAGTGTGATGTCGTTCAAATGTTTACGTCTAGATAATGTATATCTTAGGGCTATATGTTTATCTTGTCTTTACATCTAAGTTGGCGAGTTAATACATGTGCAATCAAATTATATTATCCATGCCAATACTGTATCCAATAGTCTTCATTTCTGTGTATTTTGTGACCCGAAGATCTTATAAACTGCGATATTTCCTTGTTCCAGGTTGTGTAGATCTGACGGATTGCATTTCTCAACAAAAATGAGAAAATTATATTCAGACGAACTAGAGACATTGCCCCGCGATCTACTATAACCAAAGTACAGTTCGCCTCAAGTTGTGGAGGTCATCTGCAAGATCCGTCACGAGATAACCCTAACCAGTTAGCGTTCAACGCCACCACACTATCGGCCCACTTATCTCTAGATAGATGAGATATAAACCTGTTATTTAATTGAATGGCGCATATTGTCGTATTGATACTATACGTGATTGGAGACTTGAAACTTGAAACTTTACTAGCTGTAATCCCAACGGGCTGAGACCTGTCAGGTTAATTAAACGCATATCTGATATATGGGCTCGCACATGTAGAGAATCTTAGATGATATCAATAGAGAATTTCAAATAGAACTTGTTTATGGAAACCTTATCCGTTTGAGAAATGTACTCGACATATCTACATGTAGTTAGAAAACAAATGTAGTAAAGCAAAGCACCAAACTTGTATTTTTCAATGTTTGTTTAATGCAACTCCGCAGGGTCCCCCACACGATCGACATCTCTCTATCATGTAAATGGCGGACTTTATCCACCAATCAATTGAGCCCGGCGTGCCAGATTAGGCAAATCATCGATAGCGATGGAATGAAGTAGATATACATATTGTAGTATACAATCAAGTCTCATCATTCTCGTGCTTCATAACGACTTACATCAAATCTTGGGAACCTTAAAATTAAGGAACTCCCTGCTAGAACGCCGATCTCAAAGCAAACACCGAAATGATCGGAAAAAGCATCCAAGCGAAGCTGAACCTGAACCGAATCCCCTCAAGTACCTTGACCTAACTGGTCGGCGCTGTCCCCCGGATCCACGACAAACAAACCAGGTACTGTGCATATTACATGATGAAAATGTGGATCTGGACCAGCCAGCCACTATCACACATCCCGCATGTTTACAGATCCACATCCACTTCACATATTCGGTACATCCACAAAACTCTCAAACAACCCCCCACCATAAAATTCCCGGGCCATCTCACCATCCATTGCCGTTTTCGAAGCCGTCCCATGATCCACAACAGACTGGTCCGACCGCGTACTAACCGAAAACGAAGGTGACGGACATCGAAACGGATCTCCCGCTCCGTGGTAAAACCGGCTTGCCATCTCGTCAAGTTGAGAATTGATGAAACGATCGTCGCACTTGGCGTGGACGAAGAGTTCGTTTTTTAAATACCAGATTTGTTCGCGTAGGACGTTTACTTCCGCCTTGAGGGTTTGATGGCGTGCTGTTTGGGTTTCTAGGGCTGTTTGCATTGCTTCGTGTTGGTGTTTCCTTTTTTCGCGGCATTTTGTTGCGGCGATTCGGTTTCTTTCGAGGTTTTTGGCTCGGATGGAGCTGGGGGTGGCATTTTGGTTTCTATTAGATGAGTGGGCTTGGACTTGAGGATTTGGCATGGTCCAAGTATTGAATGGGTTGGTGGATTGTGGAGGATCGAGTGTTGGGGCCATTGTAGATCATGGGGAGAGTCGATGTGCGGTCCACAGAGCCATGAGTGAAAGGTCATTCGCGAAAGAGGGTTGAATGGGGACTTATATAGGTTGAGCGTTAGATCCCTGTAGGTTTTATGCTTGGCCCCCTTACCGATATGGTATTATATTATCATTATCCCGTGTCCCGACGTCATCATCTTCATACGCTTTGTCTTTGATAATCTTATTTGCTACTTTATATCAAAAATCTTGGAACTATCAGTCCACCCACCTTGTATTCCAACGTCAGGCGGGGACAAATATATAGGGAAATCCATACTGCCTGAGCGCTATAGGGGCCATGGCACGCGTGTTCTAGAATTATGCCAATCAAATTTCTTTGATAAACCCGCCAATCAAATTTACTCGATGCTTTCGCCCCTGAAACACGTCATTCCAAGCTGATTATTGGAAAAAAAGGAATACTCCCCAGAGTCCCCCGCACTAAAGAGTACCACTAAAGAGTACAGGTAACATTGATCAGCAAAATTGTTAAGGAAACCCATACGGAGTGCTTGATCAGTTTATGCTCTTTATAGTTACCATGCATAATCAACAGATAAGCTTCCATGGTTCTCTTCCATAGTGGCTTGCCAAGCTAAGCCCCTAAACGCCATTGGGGTAATTTGGAGTTCAACCCCACTATGAATTGACTCATGCGGAGAACAACACAATAACTATCATACTTCACCTCTTCACCTCTCACCTTCCAAGGTTATCAAATTACTCAATTCTTCAATCAACCAGCATGGCAACCCCATCGTCAATCCTAAAAACCCACGCCATAAACCTAGAGCCTTACGAAACCCTCTACAAACACTTTCACGCCAACCCCGAACTCTCCCTCCAAGAATCCTCCACCGCTCAAAAAATAGCAACTCACCTCTCCACCCTATCCAGCTATGAAATCCACACAGGCATAGGCGGCCACGGCGTCGTCGGCGTCCTAAAAAACGGTCCTGGAAAAACAATCCTCCTCCGCGCAGACATAGATGCCCTCCCAGTAAAAGAACTCACCAACCTCCCCTACTCCAGCAAAAAAACCATGGTCTCCAGTAGCACCGGACTCGAAACCCCCGTCATGCACGCCTGCGGACACGACATGCACATAACCTGCCTCCTAGCCGCAGCCGAGACACTAGCAAAAACGCAAGAACACTGGAGCGGGACTCTGATTATTCTCTTCCAACCAGACGAAGAACGCGGCGGAGGCGCCCAAGCAATGGTTGACGATGGCCTGTACTCGAAAGTCCCCAAACCGGATTACTGTTTCGGGCAACACGTTATGCGGCTGCGGGCGGGGAGTATTGGGCTCAGACCCGGTGTGCTTATGGCAGCTGCTGATAGTATGAAGATTACAGTGTTTGGGCGTGGAGGACATGGGTCCCTTCCTCATCAGACGGTTGATCCGGTGCTTCTTGCGGCGCATATTGTCGTGCGGTTGCAGGGGATAGTGAGTCGGGAAATCGATCCTAGTGATCTGGGTGTTCTTACGGTTGGAAGTTTGGCGGCGGGGCAGACGGAGAATATTATTGCGGATCGGGCGGAGATAGGGATTGATTTTCGGACTGTGAAGGTTGAGACTAGGGAGAAGATTGTGGAGGCTGTGAAGAGGATCGTGGAGGCGGAGTGTTTGGCTAGTGGGTCGCCGAGACGGCCTGTTTTTGTGCCTACGAGGAGGTTTCCGGCGACGGTGAATGATGTGGATGTTACGGGGAGGTTGGGGGAGGCATTTGGAGGGTATTTCGAGGATTTTGATGGTGATACGCCGAGGACGAATGTTAGTGAGGATTTTTCGATTCTTGGGACTTCCTTGGGGGTTCCTTGTGGGTTTTGGTTTCTTGGAGGTATTGATCAGGGGCTTTGGGATAGGGTTCATTTGGAGGGTTCGGGGGAGGAGATTGCTGGGAATCATTCGGCACTTTTTGCTCCTGTTATTCAGCCGACTATGAGGGCAGGCGTGGATGCGTTGTGTCTTGCGGCTTTGACTTTTTTGCAATAGAGAGTTCTACGGAATCGGATCAGTGTGCTAAATATTCTATTTCATATATACACGATCTAAATTTGCCAATATCCAAGTATTAGTACCCGCGCCAAGACGAGGTCATGCAGAAGACAAAGGTAGATAACAAAGTCATAAAATCATGATCAGAATGCTGACAGGAGGAATTGTACACCCGCTGCCACCAGAACGACCGTCGACAGACTCGAAACTGAAATGCCAGGGACGGCAGCGGATTGGGTTCCACAGCAAGACTGGTTGTTGTAGGTGACATTGTTCATCTCCGCGGCGACCTCAAACACGGAGCCATTGAAGTTACCATCGTTGTAGTAATCGACGAGAAGGAAGTTCGGGGGACGATCCCATGTTTCTGAAAAGATTAGAATTGCATCCTAGATAGGAGGTGAAGGGTGGTCTTACCAGTACAGTTCCTTGCCATCTTACCAAGACTGCCATAGCCCTCAACCGCATTGGTCACGTTGAGCACCGCAGAGTTGGGAATCAGCAGATCAATGGAACCGAGGTTTAGCTCGATGTTCAGGTTGTGGTTGGCCATGTACATGCGGTTCTTAGCTTGCACCTTGGTGATACCGGGAGGACGCTGCACGGTGCAGGGGAAATCCCGACTGGTGGGTGAGAATGGTGTCTCCCAGATCTGGGAGAACTCATCCATCAACCACGGGTAGGCGGTTTGGTTAGCCTGGTAGTCCATGAACACGACGGCACGCTTGCCAGTGATGATCATCTCAGATAGAGTGGGCCAGTCATCCAGGGCCATGGGGATCTTGGTCGGGGTGTAGACGTAATCATATAGACCAGAGGACTTGATAGGGTCGACGAAGAGACTCGGCGAGACGTAATCATAATTGCCCATCAGGATAGTGACCACATCATAGGGGTTGTTGCGGATCCACTCGGTGACTGTGGTGAGATAGGCCTCTAGGGTACCGACATCGAGTAGGGAGCAAGATGTATGACAGAGTTCCATGGTCCCATTCTGGTTGTGGACCTGGAATTGCACTGAAGGGAGTCAATTGAGGTTGATAATTACTTGAGAGAATTGGGGATCTTACGCATGCGAACTCCATCGTCCAATTGGTATTTCACCGTGTAATCTTGGTTAGCGGCAGCATTGCCCTTGCGCACGAACGGGCTATTGTGCGCGGCGACCATGGTGATGTTTGAATATTTGCGCTCGCAGTACTCCGTGTAGCTGTTACATGGGCGAGTATTGGTGGCCACGGCAGTCGATGTGCTTGATGAAGTGGCGGTTGCGTTCATGCTGGAATTGCCCAAAGTAGTGGTACCGGCACCTCCGACCAGGACAGTGACGGAGTTGCTGGTGGTTGTAATGACAGTGCCATTGCCGGTAGTCGTCGCAGAGGAGTTCGAAGTGATCGTGGAGGTGAGTTGATCACCATCGGCGAGGGTGATTGTCGTGTCATAAACTTCATAGCTACCCGTGGGAACCGAGACAGTGGCATCTGTTACCGTGGTCGCATCGCTCAGGGCCAGGGACGAGGTTGTTGACGAATCAGATGAGGATGAGGATGTAGTGGATGTAGTAGATTTAGTAGATGTGGAAGATGTAGAATCGTCAGCGCAGGCCACTCCTAAGAGGGCAAATGCTAATAACCAGCGCATTGTGTATGTTGCGTATGAGAAGGAAAGAAATCCCTAGATTGACAAGTCCACGTGAAACCCTTTTTCCCTGAGTTGCCAAGAATTGGGGCAGGGTACCTGTGTGGGTTCCGGTGGATTTATGAGTGGATCTTCAATGACCAAATCAATTGAGATGACGTTTCACGCCACCATTGCTAGCTCGATTAGCCAATAATAGATTTTGTAGCTGATCCAGGGCGTTAAAAGTTAATCCGGTTTCTGTTCGAATGTTAATCGGTTACCTACAGAAACCCGAGTACGAATTGTCAATGTTAAATTGGCTCCATACTCTTGACGATCCCTGATTCTCGGCCCAGCTAATTCATACTTAATATGACAAAATCTCCTTGATCCGTGCCGGTCTTGCATGATCGGCACGGCTAGAGAGGCTAGTTGCAATCCACCCGACGATCACACGGGATTATCTTTGATCAGATTTGTAAAAGCTTTAAGGAGAAAAAGAAAAAAAAAAGGATAAACTTCCCCCCTAATTACGCCAATCGTCAGCCACACGAACTGCCAACTCAAGGCAGAAACGTCATCTTTGGTACCTCTAAGCTACCCAAGGGGAATGAATTTTCGGCTTAGACATTTTCCCTAACATTCTCTCCTTTACATATTTTCATTTCCCCTTTCCCCCTTTAAATACTATCCTGCTCTGCTATATTCCATGGCTGATGGGACCGACACCGTCAGGCGTAGAATGCCGTTCTTCCGCAGCGCCCGAGCTAATCCCCAGCCAATCGCTCGGCGCCCCCAATCAACAGTCAACTGGCATCGTGGCATTCGCTCTTTATTCTATTTAATCGCCTTTATCTTCTTAATCTTGGTGGAGATCGCAAATACATCCAACAAACCCGTCTTACGTGACACTTACTTTCTCTACCTCGATCTGTCCAACATCATCCCAGTCTCCGTCCCCAATGCCGTCCTGATCAACTCCATCGCCCAGTCCATTGGTCTGCATGATTTCTACCAGGTTGGATTGTGGAACTTTTGCGAGGGCTACGATGGTCAAGGCATTACACACTGCTCCAAGCCGAAGACTTTGTACGCCTTTAACCCCGTGGAGATCATTGTCAATGAGCTCTTGTCTGGCGCCAGTAGTACGTGAATCGAATCCAAGGAGATAATTCCAAGCTAATCAATTGCCAGTCGCACTACCCTCCGATATTACCAGCCCACTTAAGCTCGCTCGACTAGCATCACGATGGATGTTTGGAATCTTCCTCGCGGCTACAGTTTTGAATTTCGTCATGATTTTCGTCAGTCCCCTGGCGGTCTCGGCCCGCCCGCCACAAGCGATCAAATATTTGTTTGGCAAGGAACAGGCAGGAGAACCCGACGCCCGCATGCCTCACCGTCGATGCACTTTTATCTTCCTTCGCTCTCTACCATTCATGTTCTTAACATTCTTCACGGCGCTGCTGACGATCGTAGGATCGGCTATTGCTACTGTCATGTGGATTATTTTCGCCAATGTCTTTGCAAGTGCGGACCCTAGTTTGAACATCAAGGCTCATGTTGGGAGGCAGATGTTTGCGTTCATGTGGATCGCTTCGTTCTTTAGTCTGCTTGGTTTCATCATTCAGATTGGAGATTGTTGTGCCGCTTGTTGTGGTGGCCGGAAAGCACGCAAGAAGCTTAAGCAGGATGGAACTGTTTTGCGGGAGAAATCTTCGGGGGATTCCGACTCGCCTCAATCTGAACCTCATGCCATCACTACGGATTGAATCTGACAGTGATTTTTTCCCCTCTATTTTTCACGCCGATTGGCCGCTTCTTTTTGTCGATATTTGTTTCCATGCGAAATGCTGCACTTGGGATATTTCTGATTTTTATCATGATTCATATAGATCAAAACATAGCATCTATACACCATTTGGAATGATCAATCTACTACTTCTACATCTACAAGCTGAATTTGATTTGGAAACATATTGATTGACAGCTTAAACCCATATCCTAAATCATCCCCATCCGATAAATCTCCGGATAAACCCCATTATCACAATCATAACTATCAATTCGCTCAACCTCTGGCTCAATCTCCAGCTCAATCCTCTTCGCCGTAACTCGTTTTACCCTCTTCCGAACCCACCCTTCCAACTCGCCCCAATTAGCAATCGTCAAAGGCCGCACAAAAACTACCACCGCAGGCCAAGGGTTCTCATCCTCATCAGTCAATCCAACCTTAAAAAGTCCACAAAAATACCATTGCGTCTCAAGATCCTTCTCAAGCCGCTCAGCAAAATCAATCTTGCACCGCTCCCACGCAGCAACCGCCCAATGCAAATCCATATCCAAAACCCCAATATTCGATCGATGCAACACCACATTCCTCTCAACATTCACCAGATCAATCCAGATCTCCGGAACAGGAGCTTTCTGCCGAACCAAGCTGATAAACTTCTGAACCTCGTCCTGCACGAGCTTCAACTTGCCCGGCGAAGGATAGAGATTGGTGTATGTGATGAAAGCGACATAGTTCCTCCCAGACGCGTATCCATCTTTGTAGGCTTTGTATGTGAAGAAGCGAGGCGTGACGAACCCATTTTCTACGAGGTAGTTGATTACTTTCTTTGCCATGGTCGTTTCGGTTCCGTCGGACAATGTCAGTGTGTCGTCTGCGATGCCTCGGAGTTTGGCGTGCTCGACCATGGCGTAGGGCTGGGGCCAGGCGTAGGAGAGGCTAGTTGCACGTTGAGGGTCAATGTTCACGAGGTAGGATTCTGCTGTCATTCTTTCTTGGACTTTTGATGAATGGCGAAGTTTTCTGCGTTGTTCTTTCACGGTTTCCTTTTCGGTTTGGGGATAGGGTTCTGGGGAGGGGGATCGTGGGAGTGCTGCTTTTGCTGCTTTTGCTGCTTTTCTTGCTATCGATTCAGCTTTGGTATGAAACCAGAAGTCGCCTTTTTTGGCATTTTGATGAGGTGAGTTGTGGAGGTTGTGGAGATGGGAGGTTTGGAAGAGAGATGAGAATGAGGGTGGGAGTAGTAAATGAAGCTGAGGGAGTGTCCGGCAATCACTTGGGAAGAAGCGAGCTATTTCAAAAATGGGAGTAGTCTTTGTATCGGAATCTTAGAAAAATGCAGGCTCTAGTATGCTAACTCCCAATTCGTTCAAATCAGTCTACTAGAATTGTGATAGATCAGCCTATGAGCTTTTCCAAATCATGAAGTAGTATTGATGACAATTCTACATACAGATATCTTGAATCATCTTATCTAATTCCCTCTCAACCTGAATCCCATCGTGGTATGAACTCAACTTCAATCTCAAGATCCTCAGAGAATACAGCCCAAATATCTTTGCGCAGAGAAGCCCAGTACGCCTCAGTCGAACGAGCCACCAAAATAACAACAGATGGAATACAAGCACTCTGATGCCATCCAAAATTCCCAAATTTAACCGGCACAGCGCCAAGCACCGGACGAACAACACCACGAATCAACTCCGCACACTCTTCCCAAGCCTGATAAGCCGGATGATCACACGGCACATCAAAGAATACCGGAAACCAGCGCAGTCTCGGATTGTAACACCACGGAATCCAGCGTATCGGGACGAATAACCTGTCCCACGAACCTGATAGACAGATGTTTCTGAGGTGGATGATCTGTGTACCGGTCCGCGGATGCAAGAGCAACAGTGACAAGGCCTTGTTTATGAAGACCTCCGATCCAGAGCTGGCTTGCGATCTCGGATTCCATTGGTTCGATACTCTTGACTAGTTGGGAGTCGTATTGAAGTAGGAGTGGATGTGGCCATGTGGGATCAAGACTGGTGGAGCGGTAGGGATCAATGGTTGCATTGTAGAGTTCCACTGTCATCTTTGGGCATGCTTTTTCCGATTCTCGAAGGCGTTTTCGAAATGTTGAGGTTGTTTTGAATTCATCCGGGGTAAGAGGGGGGTCGACTGTGTTCATTGTAGTGTTTACATTGATTGGAATCTAGGCTGTGAGGATTGCAAATGAACTTGAGAACTGGGCTTCCATTTTATGTTTACAACTGGATATATTCTGGCTACAGGTGAGGTTGGCTTTGAATGGCGTCGTGAAGCTCTAGCGTGAATGTACTTTTATAGGGTTTCTCATAACGCTAGACGGGAGTAGAACCATATCTTTACTGAGGATATGGGAGTGAATGAATGTGCTAGTATAATTTTATCATCTCATTCGCTACCACTCAAACTACCTATAAACCAAAGCTCCCGTGAACGTGTCATATAATGAGAAAGATGTACTCCAAATTGAAAACCTCAGGCCAAGCCTTAAAAATCACATGACCCCGCAATCATCACCAAATCAATCCCACCAAACCGATCACCAACAGAACCGAACCAAACCGGACCACACCACCTCAATTCCTCCTCTCCTCGCCACAAAAGGCAGCAATCAATCCGCCGAGGTCCTCATCCCTCGTCTCAACCACCCAAAATGGTCGACATTGTCCCACTGAGCTCTTACCCCTCCTACATCGACCTCCTCCCCTCAATCCAAACCTGCAACATCACCAATCTCCCCGAGAACTACTTCTTGAAATACTACCTCTACCACGCCCTGACATGGCCCCAGCTGAGCTTTGTGGCGATCGTCCGGCCGAAGGGTGGGTACAAGGCTGGAGCTAGTCGCGGTGCTGCAGGCGATGTGTCGGGACAGTACCCTAAGGTTGTCGGGTATGTGCTTGCGAAGATGGAAGAGGAGCCTACGGATGGGATGCAGCATGGACATATTACCAGTTTGAGTGTTATGCGGACGCACCGGAGGTTGGGAATTGCAGAGCGGTTGATGCGCATGAGTCGTGAGTTTTATTTTATCTTATATTTCTGGGCTCGGTTTGTTTGGTATTGATGCTAATGCTGTGTAGAAAAAGCCATGGCCGAGTCTCACCGCGCAAACTATGTTTCGTTGCACGTGCGTGTTTCTAACACTGCGGCGCTTCGTCTATACCGTGATACTTTGGGTTTCGAGGTTGAGAAGGTCGAGGAGAAGTACTATGCTGATGGCGAGAATGCTTATGCTATGAAATTGAACCTGCAGAATCAGTGGCTGGACTGGAAGGCCATTGAGGCGCGGGATCGGGAGAACGAGAAGAACGATGATGATGTGCAGGATGAGGGCGAGGCGGTTGGTGAGCTTGGAAAGAAGGATGATTCCAAAGACCAGGAGAGGATGATCAAGGTTAAGGTTGGACGCGGATTGGGAGTTGGTGACTTGGTGGAGAAGAATGAGTCGCAGCATTCATAACCTTGATCGGATTCTTCGGTTGCTACGGTATTTATGGTCTCATGCGTCAAGACTATGCATGTCTGCAAAACGTGAGTGAAAGACTTTGGCATGAAAGAACATGACAAGATATGACACTCATGTTTGTACTTCGAATTGTATGGATGTAAATATGTCCAAATCCTTAAAATTCAATGTGGATATCATTCCAATGCAAGGAATCGTAATGTCATAGGCTAGCTTGAATAGCTGCCTTTTCAAAGTTACTCGCCAATATGTACTCAAAAAATGAAAGAAACCAACTTAATCCTTCGCCCATTTCTTCGACTTCTTACCAGACTCCTCGCCTCGAGATGATGGTGTGGAGTCACCAGTCTGCTGCTTCTTCACAATACGCGGCTTCAGCTTGTCCCTTAGTCTGGTGTGCGAGGCTGATGCACCCCTGCGCTCAGGAAGCTCTGTGGGAAATCCATGGACACTAGTCTGGGAAGAAGAAGGCGTGTCCGAACCAGGGGTGTCGATACCCGAACTGGTCTCGACACCGGCAGGCACATCCCTGCGAATAGGATGGGAATTCCGAATAGACGTGGTGTGAACATGTGAACGACGACCTTGCTGTGATTCATCAAGGGCAAGCTTTTTCATGGGTCCAGTTAAGTCACATTCGTCCTTCTTTCGACCTGAGTCCATAGACCAATGGTGTCTTCCATGGCCATGGATATGGTGACGATGGTTGTGATGAGTTCTTGTGCGCTGCTCTTCACGTGCTCGACGAACCACCTCCCGGAAAGCCTTCTTGGTAACACGAAGTTCCTCTTTGAAGACGCGCCGTTCGGTATTCTGGCGTTGTTGCTGCTCGGGTGAGTCCCATCGGCCCCAGTCTTTACTGTTCGGTCTTTGAGTTTGTTGATTCTGGTTCGTTCCAGGGCGCCAATGAGACCGGCCAGAAAAGCGAGCTTCGCGGCGAGACGCTTGTAGAGCGTCCAGCTGTGTACGAAGATCAGCCGCAGCGTCATATAAAGTACGATCGTGTCTGTCCTCCAAGGCTTGAAGCTGAGCGCGGACTGTGGCTAGGTCGGAGGCGTCGAGATCAGAAGTGGTATTTAGGGAGTCAAGGGAGCTGAGTGAGGATGCGGATGATACGGAGTGGATGGATGTACGGCGCGCTTGTTCGGCGGGTCGTTTGTCTTTGTCATCATCCTTGCTGTAATTTTGATCTTGAGGTTGATCCTGAGATTGATCCTGAGGTTGATCTCGAGGTGGATCTCGAGGTGGATCTTGAGGTTGAATTTGAGGCGGATGATCCTGACTTAATCTTGTTGTGGTGGTGGTAGCGACGGCTGTGCCTGTAGCTGGCACGGGAAGTTCAACCGGCGAGGGTTGGGCTGGGGTTATTGGCGTATTATACATAGTTTCATTTGTCTGACCAGGCCAAGTAGGCTGGGGAGGATAACCAATCGGTGCATTTGCACCGGGCTTTCGACCAAAACGGGCTTGTTCTTCGACCCATCGACCATGTGCTAAAGCCTGCTCTTCGACTTGTCGGCCGTAATGCATAGCTTGTGCGCTGATTTGATCACCGTATTGTTGCGCCTGCTCGGCAAAGCGCTCACCATACTTCTGTGCTTGAGCTGTAATATTAGAGAACCAGCCAAATGCACCCTTGGATGTGCCGGAATTCCCATTTTGAGGCTGAGCATATGCCCAATTGTTCCATTGCCAAGGTGCCCCGTTAGGCGGTGGGTGTGGTGGATAGTGTCCGGGTGGGTGGTGATTCATGCCGTGACCTGGGAATGGAGGAACACCATATGGTGGACCATACGCCATAGTGCCAGGTGGAAGTCCATATGGACCAGCTGGGGCGTAAGGCCAGGCTGTTGGCGACTGGGCATACTGCCCTGGCACGGGGGACGAGGTATTCGAGCTCCATGGAGATTGTCCCTCTGGAGATACCGATGCTCCATTTCCTTGTGTCGCTTTGGTTGCTGCGGGATAGCAATAAGGACACAGGGCTGATGAAGGAGCTGCGTCCGGCTCTCCGATATAAACAAAAGCGATGGCAGTAGCGCGAGGCTCGAAAAAGCATTCATTCCATTCATCAACCACAGCCATTATGCGGGCCCGCCGCTGCTCATCTGTCTCTTGGGGTCGATCTTTGCGGTCCCGTTGAATTTCAGCTCGCAGCTGACGGGGCAGATGTTGGGAGGCAGCAGCCAATCCTAATTGGGGTGGGAACAAATATCGCAGGAAGGTGTCCCAATCCTGCTGGAGTATCTCATTTGAACGGGATGCCCAGCAGCGGGGTCGCCGAGGAAAATCTTTTGCTTGGCTGCGGGGATATATAGTCATGTGGTGGTGTAGAATGCCCCGACTGTCGTCCAGTATAAGTGGAGGTCTTTCCTCGAAGTAAGCCACGGCGGAGGTGAAATGAATCGGGACAATGGCAGGCGAGGTTGATGGAGGTAACTCCACAATACTGGAACTACTGGCACTTGGCTCGGCATGTCGACGTGCAGGGACTGAGGTTTGCTGAGAAACATTGTTCCTATTATTCGCCGGCGGAACTAATGGATCAACGGCAGAGTAAGGCGGCGGGGCTTCCTCCTGGTCCATTTTGAGACTTGACAGTCAATGCGTAACGGGAGGGTGGGGATTGTATAGTCAGAGAATCACATTAGTGGTCTCCCAAAGGGTCACGGGTATCTGGCAGCCCGTCACAGCTCGCCAGACATGTTGCGATAGGTAATCTGGTTACCAACTCTAAGGCAGCAGGATTATCACCGGTAGGAGATTTGTGATTAGACAAAGCTTGGCATGGGGTCTAATTTCCGTGGTCTTCTTATGCTGCCTGTGATCCTCCACTGAGCCGTATAAGAGACCTTGAACTCCGTATTGTGGAAGGTGGTAGAAGAGAAGGTAGGAGTTGTTGAAAAGGCGGAGTAACGATAAGATAAATCACGGGTTCCGCGGATCGCGACAGAATTGAACCGAAACTATCATAAATCTCTAACTGGCATTGGAGGGAATGCGCCCCGTAGAGCCTAATGGGTTAAGTGCAAAGATAAGTAAGTAAGTAGTAGCCAATTTCCATGAATCAAAACTCATTGTCAAATAGCGGGGTAGTCAATATACGTAAAAGCCATAGGGCTGAAACTGAGTCCACCTGATCGACAATCCATTAATGACAATGAACATTAATTATTCGCTAGAAGTGTCTAGACCCCGCTCTACCCACTATCCCTATGCAAATGTACAATTGTCAAACATCGTTCTCTAATCCCATGCATCTCCCCATCCATCATCCTCTTCATCCTTGGGCTTTGTATCGATCTTCTTTGCTGTTGGGACGCGCGGCTTAGTGGAGGATTTGGTGGCTGCCAGATTGGAGCCCACTTTGCCGAGACCTTTAGGTAGGGGCTTTTTAGTCTTAGCCTGGCTCTTGGCGGCTAACCACCCTGCAAAATCGGGCTCACCACCATCGTCGTAGGGCACGGCAGAGGATTTATTAGCAGAAGGATCAGGCGATGAGGGATTGGGGGAAGCCACGGCAGCAGTGAAGGAGTCTACATCGTTTTCATCATCATCCATAGCACCCCAGGCATCGAAGACATCTTCTCCTTCCTCTTCCTCCGGGGGTTCATAGGCAGCATGAGGCGGACGGTCAGACATCGACCGGGCTAGCGGCTGGGCAGCGGGGCGTAATGTTTGTTTGGGTAAGTCGAGCTGTGTGGAAGGAGATGATTTGGCGGGGCGGGGAACAGATGCAGACCGGGTAGTGTCGGGTCCGGCGTTAGCGACAGCGGTTGGCTCAATCTCGCCATTGGCAGTTGCAATCTTGTTGGTAAATGATGAAATTGCCCATCCAGCCCAGGACTTGTCATTCGTGTTACCGGGTTGGGGATCGGGCTTGTTTGATACTGCTTCTGTGGGAGCGCTAGGTGGCAGCACTGTGTCTGCCATTGTGGTAGCAAATTTTCGGACTCGTTGTAGGTAGAGATCGAGGGTTTTGTTTGCTTGGTCCCGGATGAGCCTAGAAATGTATTAGCAATGAAGAGTAAAGATTAAACGCCCTGACTTACTTCTCTTTGTCTATTAAGGATGGACAGATGGCAGGTAGAATTTTCCCGGCGCAATCTTCTTCAGTGAAGACATCGATTGTGGCAGCCAAGGCAAGCAAGCCCGCAACACGAGCATGTGCAAAGGGATCACGGATAGCTCTTGTAAAGGCAGCAATAAGGACCTTAGACCGGGTCTACAGCAATGTCAGCACTGCATAATTAAGATATCTTTTGAAACGTACACTTTGTCCCAGGTTTTTTGCAATCCGTCCAAGACAGATGGTAGTGTTTGTTCGAATGCCAGGTTGCTCATCATTGGCGGTACGAGCCAAGAATTTGAGCAATTCTCCATTGATCACTCGATCACTGAGTTTATTGATAACAGAAAGCACAGCCTTGACAGTCTGTTCTCTCACCACGGGGGCGACATCGGTAAAACCAGAAGTCTGATGATGTTAGTAGTTTTCTATTATGTGAGTGCCACAACTTACCATCTGAGGGAAGATCTTGTCATTGACCACCTTCTGAGTAAGATTATCAATCATCAAAGGTAGATTATCTAACAAGCACACGCGAAGTGCTCGATCGGGATTACCAAATAAGCGTACAACGACAGGAGTCAACTTAGCATTGAACTCATCTGCCGAAAGCTTGGAACCAATCTTCAATGTAGCACTCAAGACCTTTGGTCCACCACCACCGAATTCAACAGACTTGAGTAACTCGGGGAGTACCTTCATCTTGAAGAAATCCTCGGGGAAGTCTTCTGATAGATTATCAAGTTCACTGCTGATAGTTAGTAGCGAGAACTGTTGATTGAACCAAAAAGAACTTACTTAATGAATTCTTCCCTCTCGACATCAGTCTTAAGACCCAAACTCTCCATGTCCTCGGTCAACCGAATCAACGAGGTCTGGAAGAACCCGCCATGCTTTTTGCCCTGTTCAACAAAGTGACCCGGGCTCAATCGAAGTTTGGGGTTTGCAGTACAAAGACGTTTGTAGCTTTGGTGCATACTTGGAGGGATATTTGTTGTTTTGCCGATTTGGTCACCACCCGAAAATTGACCATTAAAGACCTCGAAAATCAAAACACCCAAGCCATAAGCATCAACAGCTGCCAAGGGGTGGCGCTTGATGACTTCCCAGCCACCTTTGACCACCTCTGGAGGAGTGTATCGAGCTGCATCAGGCACAATGCTTCCATACGTCTGTTCCTGGTTAGTATAACTTGTCTGTTTTCATCAAATTGTCCCACTCACATATATAATTGCATCATCCTCCTTCATCGAGCTCAGAATATCAAACCCACCCAACTTCCACTCGCCACTTTCACTCGTGTAGACCGACGACGCGCGAACGGCACCGTGGACGGAGGATGCATCTTCATTGATAAACTTGAGAGTAGACTAGTATCACAGGGTAAGTCAGTATTGTTCCTTTCAAACCACATCAGATCACCTACCGAGACAGTGTATAACCCCCATTTTGCAGTCTCCTCACTCAAACTCCTTCGCTTGACCTGCCATGAAAGCGGAACAACTCGTTCGGTAACGATGTAAAGAGTCGACTCAGTCTGAAAAAAAGTTAGCCTTGAATTCATATTGCGTCTTCAACACAGCAACACTAGCAGACCAATATACCTCAATCGTATCCAAAACCTTGATCACACCAGGATGGCGTAAGGTCCTGCACTTCCGCACCGCATTCTTCGCCAACGGAAGACGCGACTTGTTTGCCGCAATATCGAATGTAAACACACTGCACGCAGAGCTGTCGTCCTAGTCCCACCAAGAGCCCGTCAGCCTTGTCCGAGGTTATTCGCGAATGGGGAACCACCCTACCCGTTTCGTACCGTTATGCAGAGTCCAGATCGAATCGCCAATGTCAACTCTATCACCGAGAGAGAAAGGAAGTGAGCTTCCTTTAGCGATCGCAGATGCGACGGCGGATTTGAGGAAATCCATGGCCGTGCGAGTGAGAGTTGCGGGTTGCGGCTGCTGTGGTTGCTGTGTTGTTTTGGCCCTGAGGGCTTTTGCGGCTCAATGGCCAGGTAGTGTGTGTCGAGAACAAACGGAGTAGGACTCGAGAAATAGCTTTGAAATGCGGCGAAGTTGATTAGATTCCGAGGTAATGCGACAGGGGGGGGTTTGGTGGAAAGTTGGATAACGGCCCCGCCTTATCGGCCTAAGCTGTGGCCTGTTATTAATTTCAGGTTCCGCTGGTAGATGTACCCTCCATCTCCAACTCTCCACCACACGATGATGTGCATCTTATTTCCTGTCACTAACCTGTCGCCTATCTGGTCGCGAAATCTTTCATTATAATTACGGTAAGTCTCTCCTGGATCTTACCCCAAAACCAAAACAAGCGACCTCGTCGCGTTTCCTATGATGACTACCTGGTAAAAGGTCAGACTCTCCAAAGACCCGACAAATCATAACATCCCATCCGAACCGAAGGTACTCTCACCTTTCAACGGCTCTAAACTCCTCAGCCTTTCTGAAGCATCAACCTGGTCGGGCTCATCCCGCCAGCACTCAACTCACACGCAACGCCTCGCTACCTGCTTTGATCCTACAGACTACCGTGTCGTGTGGTAATTTCCAAGCTTTGCTTGGTTCACGAGCTCGAACTTCGTATCTCAACTCAACTATTCGGTGAACGCAAATACACGGCCAAAAGGCAAGAAGATCGGGCTAAAAGTTTAATGGCTCCCTCGTTGAGGCACTGTGGTCTTTTCTCTATTCGTCTCTCTTGGATGAAGAAGAGGGAGGTTGCGGTGGGTCTTGGGAGTGCTGTGTATAAATCTATGCATACCTTGTGTTCACATGGGGAGGTGTTGGGCCGTTTTCTGGGGTTCCTAAGTCTGCTTTTCTTCCATGAAGACTGATGGGAACCAATGGCTACGGTCTATACGTGGGATTTACGAGTCTTCGGACTCTCTACTGCGCGAAGAGTTTGGGTTTAGTATGAGGAACGAATTAGACCTGGCTGGAAGTGGGAGATTAGTGGGCAAGTGATTGTGATTGCGAGTTGTGGTCCTCATTGATGTCGGAAGGTTGGGTGTTTAGCTTTGGTGAAAGTTGCTGGGAGCACCGCGGTGGATGTGGGTCGGTTTGCCTGGGGCTTGAATGATGACTCTAATAAACTGAAAAGACCTGAGGAGACATGCTTTTGTTTGGAGATTCAACACGTGTTTATGACATGTCGCTAACTTGTGTATGCAGATACGAAGTACTGTCTGACGAGATTATTTGAATGCCAATGCTAGTTGGGTTTGCTATATAGACGTTGCGTCAATCAATCATTATCGTTCAGACATCATCAAGACCAAAGATAACTTGATATAAATCATTTATTGGCTTCCCGCAGGAGCACTAGCAACCACTTAGACTACTCATCATCAGTACCTACAAACTACTGCTTCAACACTCATAAGCAGCTTGAGACTCGGACAAACCCTTATCTGGTTCTGAAACACCCCCATCACTCTCACACTCCTCCTGGTACACTCCAAGGCAGGAAATCCCGCCTCCAGAGCATCCAGATATACTCGATATCAACAACCGAAAGAATAGAAAGAAAACATAAAACATGAGCAAGATAGGAAGAACTGAAAATCTTGACAGGCCTCCCTTCAACTGCCAGTCTTGCCGAGGTAACAGCTGACAATGAGGAGGCTCTGTGGTGGTGACATGTCAACAGCAGTGGCTGTATGTTGCGCAATACAGTAAAGTTTCACCAGCATGTATACCCACAGTTCTGGGGATAAATAGACAATATAGATAGGACCAATCATTGAACCTAGATACACATATCAGCAAGTGTCATTGATACAGAGAAGGCGGTGCGAAAATCACCTGATAAGTCCCATGCATGTGCGCAACATCTCTTGGCAGCGGGTATGAGCATCGCAGCTCACAGGACGAAAGCCGAGATACAGTGCTCGGGGTAATTTGAGAACCGGAGATTGACAACGGTGCAGATGATAGTCATCGCCAAGTCAGTGGGGCGGCGGCAAATATTGACATTGAAGGGAGAAGGTCCGAGATGTAATCATGTTGTGTAATTCATTTGCCTTCATCGGTCACCTCGGCGGAGTGAGTTACAGATCCAGAGTTGGCGGGGGGGTTGGAAGCCATCTGAGGGGGTATCTGAGGAACTTGGTTGAAGTTATTGCTAGGGGCGCGATGCTGGTTCGGGGGAAAATGGTGTGTTTGGTGCGGGCTGGAGGGGAATTGCGGGTAGCCACCGCGACCAGGAGGCGCTGGGACGAAACGGTCAGATTAAAAATTCACGGTTGCAATGCGATAATTATACTAACCATGTCCAGGTTGCGGACCGCCATATCCAGGTTGACCAGGGGACATGAACATCATAGGCTGAGGTGGCTGTCCAGACTGCGAGTTTTGATGCATCATCATGGGAGCGCCACGACTAGGGCTGGGATACCCGCTATGGGGCTGCGGCTGCGGGTAGGCGTGGCCTGGAGATGGAGAATACATTTGCATCTGGGGGTTATAAGGAGACATGCCCTGGGGCACACCCATGTAAGGCCCGTTAGACGGCTGTTGCACCATCATAGGAGCGCCCATTTGGGGGTTTACAAACTGCGGACCGTGACTGCCTTGGTAGTGTCTCATATGCCCAGACTGTGGACCTCCATAGAACTGTGGCATCGGCTGTCCAAATGCAAGCTGGGCGGGAGGAGCCATAGGGGATGGGTATCCCATATGGCTCTGCTGCATGCGAGGGGAGGGGAAGACTTGAGATGACGATTGTGAAAGCTGCATGCGATGGTGATCATCCACATGAGGGCCGTGGTGATGAGTGTGAGGCCCATTAGGAGGTCCAGAAGGCGGCATGCCAGGATTACCCTGCTGGAACTGGAACGGCATCTGGTGCTGAGGAAGGTGGGGGTTGTTGGAAGCAGAACGACCCTGAGGCGAGACAGACGACACGCCAGAGTTCTTAAACATCTGGTCGTAGGTCTTTTCCTCATTCCCTTCAGGGACATCCCATGTTGGAAGAGTCTTGTATGGCGGCGGGATACCACCGTTGAAAATTACAACCCTCTCTGACGACTCAGCATTCTCATTCTTCATGCGTTTGATGGGATTGAACTGATTATCGATAGACGGCCGATCAGAAATTGGGAGTAGCTTTCGGGCCCCGAAGAATGTGGAGGGGGTGACTGCCCGTGATACAGACGGGTTTCGCGAGAATGGACGTGGGCTGGCAGCGGGGCCGCCTGAGGGGGCACCACCAGGAGTGAAAGTGCTAGCAGCAGGATTAGGCTTGAATTCCATGGCGCGGACGTTGAACTTGGCGGAAGCAGAAGTGGGGAGCTGGGGCTTGGGGGGGCTCATAACACGAGGCTGCTCGCTGGCTGGGCCAGTAGGGGGTCCACGAGCATCCTGGATGGGCAACGGGGTAGGAACAGGTCCCATGGCAGTAGGTCCCTTCCGTTGCTGCAAGTTATCGGCCAGTCGTTGACTGAGCATACCCGTGCCAGGGCGACCTCCCTGCATAGGCTGCTGGGGGAATCGACCACCAGATCCAGCAAGTGGACCAGTAGGAAGATACCCTTGGCGGCCACGAGGAAAGTTCTGGCGATCAGCAGGGGCTGCAGGGGCTGCAGGGGAAGCTGGACCAGTGGGTGCAACGGGACGACTTGCAGGCTTCTGCTCGGTGGCCTGAACTGCAGCATTGGTTGGCGATTTTGTATCCCCGGTAGGCTGAGCTCGGTTGATGAGAGCTTCCTGTCTATGCTTATCCTTAGCCAAAATTGGCACCAAGTCCTTGGGCACAGGGGTCGAAAGCTTGAAGTTCTTTGAGAACTTCATCAATTCGTTCAATTTGACCGTTCGATCATAGGATGCTTGGTTACGTCGACGTTCTTGCATCTTCAGCTTCTCACTGTTGGCGAACTGGCGGAAATGATCAAGCACCTCAGCTTCGACATTCGCGGTGGCATTCTCGGGGACGGATCGCTTCGCAGGGGCGGGAACAGGGACAGTAGCAGAAGGAGCGTTGATTGGAGTCGTCTTTTGGTCCACTTCAGTAACGGGCTTAGCGGGTTGTTGTTTCTCTGCAGTGGCAGGCTCTTTGGTCGGAATCTGGGCCGGTGTAGCGACAGGCGCCGGCTGTTTAGCCGCCGGAGCAGGAACACCAGGTTGTCTACGAGCCGGGGGTGTGTATCTGTTTGGCTGCCCTGTAACGAGGGGTTGGAAAGATTTACCGTCGCGTTGAACACCACTGTATTTGGCTTCCTCGTCGTCATCGCCCGTGGCTGGGGCCACAAGACCTCTCTCCTCGCGCATGTGAACATTATCAGTATCAGTGCCTTCGATCTCACGCGCAATGCGAGCCGCCTCCACCTGCTTCTGACGGAAAGCAGGATCGGACCGGTCAATGACGGTTGTGTATAAGTTTTCATCGTAGCTAGTCTTGGCACCGAAAAGTCGTTCGTTCGTCTCAAATTGATCCCAACCAGACGAATCACCCGTGGTGCTCTCGAGTGACAAGTCAACGTCCATCTCAGCTGGTTCCCAGCGCTTCAATGTACGCTCCCGCATAGCGAGATTACCCGAGATGTCACTGTCAGTTCTAAACCCGCTTGCTCCTGCGTATAAATATCAGTACGATGCAATACCCGATGGGATCCCATAGTTCTTACCATTGGACTCTTTGACTGACACTTCCGCGGGGACGACATTTGGCACCGAAATATCTGCCACATCTCGAATATCAAATGACATGGCATGATCAATTCCAGTGCCCAGATAGGGGATGGCTACATCACTTGCACCGTTCACCTTGGAGTGATTCTCATCGACACGTTGCACCATCTTCAGGGAAAACGACGAATCACTGGACTCCAGGGTCGAAGATGAGAAAATACCGGTGAACTTGTCTCCGTTCTTTGTGATAATTATTGTGCGCAAGCCCTATCAGAGCTGTGTTAGTACCGACCATGCAGTTGTCGCAGAGACACTGTCTTACAATAAAACTAGCAAATAGGAAAACAAGGCGGTCATGAGCATGGCTATCAGGAGTATTCGACTCCTTCTGGTTCGGGCGGGGAGATCCCGACTGTCGAGTCATATTTCCGTTGGATGAGTGAGAGGAGCGTTGCGTGATGGGGTTGGTTCCTTGGGTCCAGGCTTTGTGCGAATTTGTGCGTCTATAGGTAGGTGCTTCGGTCAGTGGGTGCGACGGACAATCAATGGACCAAAAATAGGGCAGAGTCGATGAAGCCTCTCATCCCGGCGTCCGCAATTGGCTCTCGATGGCACACAATGCCTAACCTGTGCCTCAGCTCGCGAGAGGGCACGTGCATGGACGCGGTGACCGAGGGGCCCGAGTAGACAGGATGAAAACAAAGGGCATAGCACCATATGCTAAGTCTTTGAGGCAGTCGAAGTCGCAAAATGGGGGATTTGATAGTAGTGGAGCGAGGGGATGTGGGGGTGGATAGGAGATCTAAAGGGAGGAACGTACCGTTGACCACCGTCCCCAGGACTGCCAGATTGTCGGCGACCGTCCCCCTTGGTGCTGGCGCTTGGTCTCAACGAAGAGCGGCCGGTGTTTTGTGCGTTAACAGCATTGCCAGATGAGCTGTTGGCAGCTGGCACGGAGTTCAAAGTAGAAGCCATTGATTGACTCGGGTGGTCAAGTCAGGGCGGGCTTGCGGTCGTGGAACTTCACACGGAAGGTCCGCGAGGATGAGGCACGGAGCCACTCTCACACCGCCTGCACAAACAAGACAAGTTGGAACGTCGAAGGAGGGGGAGATAGAACAGAAACACAACCACAACCACACAGGTATGGAATTTCAATGGCAAGGAAAATAGTAGAGAAGGGGAAGGGGGGAAGATGGAAATTTAAAAATAGGGATTTGTTTGGGGGGGGGGAAAGCAGGTCAGGTGCGAGGAACTTTGGTAATGTACCGTACCAGTGCGACCCTGATTGACAGCGGGATCGAGTTTCTATGGGGTTTTAATGGATCAAGTATAGGGATTGATGTAATCATTTTTACCTTACTTTAAGACTTGGGAGAGTAATGATATCCTAGGAACATGTGTAGGGAATTTTATTATCACTATTTGGTTTGTTGTCATGTTTCTCTTAGTTCTATGTACTACATATTATAACTCGCTACACACATTTATCAATTTTCTCCCTGCATACTGTATACTGTACATATTTGTGGACTGGGCCTAGTTGGCAACCACAGTACCATCGATACGTAGTTTCAATACACATCCTGTAATAGCTGAACGACCGTGATGATCACAGTGTTTGGGGTTAATTATCCGATTACACGATCTGATGTATAGAAATGTCGACCCACTAGCTTCATTTGCCAAGGCTCAACTGGAGGAAAAAGCCCAAGGCAATCGGTATTCCCCTCATCACAATAATCTGTACCAAGATAAAGCCAATGAGAGATATGCAGAGCACACGACTTTCTGATACTTGTACCTGTACTATAGATTTGTTTTAGTGTAAATCAAGTGACTCAATTATACATGATTGGCCAGCAATATATCTCATGGATATGGGTTGTAGAACTAACAATCAATTAAGTTGGGAGTAGGCGATGCGCCCAGCGGGATAACGGTGATGCCCAATGAAACAAATACTGTTAATGAAGAAAGGGAAAAGGGGGGGGAAGAGACCTGATTTCTGATTCAGAGGGGAAGGAAAGAAGAAGCATCAGATGCAAGTCAGAGTCAAGTGGATAAGGCGGGAGTTGCCGAAAGTAATACAGATCCAGATGTAAAGCTGCAAGATGTAAGTTACTAGTTAAGTCACATATTCAAAGGTTTAGTGTTTAGCTTGAACTGGTTCCATAGTTAAAGAGAGTCCGTGCTTTTGTCTTAAAATCACATGTGGATCTATTACAATGATACATTGTATTTACCGGTAAATTTGCTTATCACTCGGCAAACGTCAGTAATCTTCCCCAGTGACGGTTTATACGCCGTATTAAGCTGGTGGCTGGGTCTGGTGCCTTGTTGGCTTGGCATCCCAACTCTTGTCTCTCTCTCGCCCCCCCCATCGTCGCTTATCAATGTCAACACACCCTCGGGCTCTCTGGAGACCCTAATCCTTTCCTTTCCAACATTCTCTGGAATAGGTCGATCATGGCTTCTACTTCCGGTCGCAGCTCATCAGCCTCTGGCCGTTCCCAATCGGCAAAGGGTGTGGTAGGTGTCAGATTCGTGTGCGATACCAAAAGTCCCAAGCTAATTGTGCCTCTCTTCTCCGCGATAGCCCGATAAACAAATCTCTCAAATCGAAAAGAGTGTTACCCACCTTCTTGTCGCAACTAAACAACTACTTGAAACTTTGACTCAGTGGTCTCGAAAACAAGCCTCCGAAACTGACGTGTCCGATGTCTATGTCCGCCTCGGTTACGAGTTTAATTTGGCCTGTCGCGCTTTCAATGCCATCGGCGTCGAGACTGCCGACCTAGGCCCCGTTCCAGACGTTCTGCGCACAATTCTAGAGGACACGTTAAGTCAAGATGCTTCTTCACAAAGTCTCGATCGATACCTTCCCCAAATTCGCGATATTATCATCAACCTACTACATGGCTTGAAGAAGAAGCAGGCACGTCTCCGGTCACGGAATCAGCGCGAGGATGGACGGGGGGGGCTTCCTGCTCGTCAAGCCAGTGCGGGAAGCATATCTAGCAGCAATTCCACCATTGGCCAACTTTACGATGAAGCGGCGGCCTCTACCTTGCCTCAGTCAAACGTCCCGTCCCCCAGACGTCCAGCACGTCGGTACGGAAGCAATGGATCTTTAGAAGACGTCCAGGCGGCCAGTCGTACCTCACCGCCGATACCAGGAGATCCACGCAGCTACTCGGAACGAGACGCATCAAGGCGGGAGGCCCAACAGGTGCTGAGCCAGCCACTCCAAGGGGAATCGACCTCTCAAAACGCCCCGCCTTCAGCCCCTCCAGCTTTCCCGGCCCCGCCGCCACCTCCCAAGGAAGATGACGCGCTAGGTGCTTTGCAGCGAAGTGGAGAACTAGAGCGACGAGCTTCCCGACGGTTCTCCGCATACCAAATCCAGAAGCATCTGGGAACCTCATCCAACGGGGTGCCAGTTCTACCGACTCAGAATTCTCCCATTCCCAACCGGGGGCGGGATGTTCGCGAGTCTCTCAATGCGGTCCGTCTTCGAGGATCATACGCCCACTCCCGGCAGCGGTCTTCAAAAAGTCTACAAGAAACTGCCAAGACTGCTCAACCACAACCAGGCAGCGTTCCCGAGGCGGTGGAGGAACGTAGCGAATCAGCTAACCAATTGGAAGAGGCACAAAACGAGGAAACCCCTCGACCCTTGGATCAAAAGCCCGAGCTGCCAGCGAAGGATCATGTGGAGGCATCTCAGGACCGAGATACGCCGCCAACCTTCCCACGTCCGCCAAAGGGTCCTTCGCTCGAGGAAGCTTTCGATCCCGAGAAGACTCCCGCCAAAGGCAAACGGCCAGAAACGCCAAAGATAGCCCGCCTAGACCCAGCTGACATTGCTACACCCCCTTCTATTGCACAATATGCAGCAGAACAGCCTTCTCCAGGCAAAGAGTTGACCCTCTTCCTGCAGTACAAAAGCAAGATCAAGAAGTATGTACTGCCAGAAGGCATCGCAGACCTGACCATTGGGCGCCTGCAGCTGGCATTCATCGAAAAGTTTGCCTGGAACACTCACAATAATGGTGCGGATTTACCTGAGATCTACATCCAAGATCCGATTTCTGGTATCCGACATGAATTGGAAGATTTGGCCGACGTCAAAGACCGTTCCGTTCTTGTATTGAATATGGATAGCCTAGACGAGGTCAAGAAGCATTTTGATGAGAGTTTTGGAAGTGTTCGTACTCTCGTGGAGGGTGTGAAGGAGGCACTGGCTGGCCAAGGGACCGTCATTCAATTGGTTCAAGCCCGTCAGCTTGAAGCGGCAAAGGAGATGGCTCGCTTGGCTGCTGCTCCCCTATCATCTGTGCCTGTGACTCCCAGTACTGGCACCCCTAAGTCCCAGATATCTGCCAGCGGAAGCCAAATTGCGGAATTGCAAAGCTTGCGTCGCGATCTGGCCGTCTTACGCCAGACCTACTCCAACTTCACATCTGATGTCACCAGTTCGATGAGCGAAGTCCGTGCCAAAGCAATCCAGGTCAAGACTGCTGCAGAACATGTTGCCGTTCCCACCTATGAGGGAGATGCCGGCCGTGCGCGGGTCAGAAGTGGTAAGAAGGAGCTCAGCGATGAATCGGAACGTCTTGTTGCACGCGTGGACGATCTCCAGGATCTGGTCGAAGATCTTCGGAAGGACGTGGTGACACGAGGAGTCCGGCCTCTTCCGAGACAGCTTGAGGGGGTTAGCCGCGATATCAGCAACGTCATGAAAGAGATCAAAAAGATGCAGGACTTCCTTGGACGTGAGAAGCCCATTTGGACCAAGATTTGGGAGAAAGAGTTGCAGTTGGTCTGCGAAGAGCGGGATCAGCTCACTATGCAAGAAGATCTTGCTGCCGATTTGCAAGACGATCTTGAGAAGGCGGCCCAGACCTTTGCTTTGGTGGAACAGGCAACCAAAGAACAGGCTATGGAGAAGACCAATGGCGGTGGCGTCGTTGGAGCGGTTTCATTGCGGGCCCCCTCGCGTACCCTTGGAATTGACCCTACTGTTGACCCCATGAAGGCCAAGGATGGTGTTTTGGGTGAGGTTCGTGCGCTACAACCCAACCACGAAAGCCGCCTCGAAGCTATTGAGCGAGCCGAGAAGGCTCGCAAGAAGGAGCTTGAGACACGCCGCATCGATCTGTTCCAAAAGGAACTTGGTACCTTTGTCGAAGAGGGCAAGCTGAAGAAGAGCGGCGGTATCGAGGAGGCCGAACGACTTCGCACTGCCAAGGATGACCGTATTCGCAAGGAAGTATGGGAACGGCAGCAGGCTCGCAATGCGGAGATGGAGAGAGAGGAGGCTGAAGCTGCTGCCGCTGCCGCTGCTTTGGAAGAAAAAACCGAAGAAGAGACAGAATCCAGTGAGCCGGCTCCAGAGGAAGACAGGGCGGAGTCTCCGAAGAATGAGGATGATACTCCGGCAGAAGAGGAGGCCAGCCCTGAGAAGTCCACGGAGCCCGAGCAAGCCCCTGAATCTGAATCCGAATCCGTCTAGATTGGTACTTTTCTTCCATTTGACGTTCCCCTTCCTTGCGTTTTTTGAATGGTCCCATGTTGTTGCATTTTTTATTATACCTAGGCGTGTTTTCCTATACCATGTGTCCTTGCATTGCCTGTCATTTACTGACGATACCCTGCCACATCTGTGGTCTGTTTCCCTTATTCACAACGCATGGAGTTGCCCAAGTAGTTAGTTCCAATCGTCGAGCATATGTGTTTATCTATTCATTACTTTCCCTTACATGGAAATAATCTTTCCCACTAGCTCCAGTCAAAGTGGAGCAGTATAAACAATAGAGCTTAGACCCAAAACAAACTCCAGCCATCAGAATTTCCCAAAGCTCAGACGCCACTTTCTTCTCTTTTTAGCACATGATCTTCATGATCGCCTGCACTTACAATCCGAAATTCACTTTCCTCGCCAAGCCACGTTTGGGCCCGCATCAGCCATCAGCCCCATCTGAAATAGAGGTCCGATCCCAGACGCAAGTGCCTAAGCCATTTGTATGACAACTGTTCAACCGTCTTTTTCGTGAGAATCCGATCGTGACGCAGATTCTGACAAGAAGATTGGCACCCAGATCGAGATTTCTGCCCACAGCAACTGTGTTGATCCGCCCGCTTAGTCCCCATGCAACTCATACCGCCATTTGCTCTCCTGCTATTGAGTGCGGGCTTTATTTGCTCAGCAACAGAATACGAAAATTCCTCTCTGGAAGCACCGACACATCCTAGCAATGACAATGAAAATAACCATGACATCCTCCGACGAAACTACGAAATCGAGTCCCGACTCGCCCAAACGCCCATCCATGGCCTGAGAAAAATGAGCCCCGATGAAGGCGAGAAGTTCTTTCTGGATTACTGGAGTTTCGGGACCGAGTCTCAAGACTTATTACGAGAAGATGCTCCAACCAATGATACCGTGGATGAGGATCTTCCTTTGAATCTTTTTCATCCTAGATCATATCCCTTCCAACATTCATTTCCACTTGAAGCCAGTCATGGTTTTCTGGGGTCGAGGGATTTTAAGTGTCCGACTGGTACACTTGCCTGTACATCGATTGGGCGGTCCGATCGGTGTTGTAGTATCGGGGATGCGTGTGAGCATGTTCGGGATACGGGATCAGGAGATGTAGGATGTTGTCCGAATGGGGAGACGTGCTCTGACGTAGTAGGGACTTGTCCTGGCCAAGAGACGACTTGTTCTGAGGAATTGGGGGGAGGGTGCTGTATACCGGGATATGAATGTGTTACAGGTGGCTGTAAGTATATATCTGTTGTGAAGTATCCGTTGCAACTTGCAATGTCTGCGAGAATCTACTTGCTAAAAAATGAAAAATCATAGGCGCTCTTGTCACCGTCATTACTGTGACTATCCAATCGACTGTGGTGTTGTCTACAAAGACATATTCCACCGCTCCGCAGAGTCTTTACTCGTCCGTGTCCACTGGCAGTACAGCAACTACTAACACGGCAACTACTGAAAGTCTGGCACCGCCAGCGCGACCGACGGGGATATCAACTTCCACGAAACAAACCACTAGTAGTGTGAGTGTTTGTCCGACGGGGTTCTATGCATGCTCCGCTGTTTATGGTGGTGGTTGCTGTCAGACTGGACGAGACTGCGATACAACCTCGTGCCCTACCTCGCGGTCGACGACATTTACTTCAGATGGAGTGACGATTGTTATACCCGTTACGACAGGAAGTGGGACAAGTAGCGGAAGTATAGGGAAGTGCGCTACGGGTTGGTTCAGCTGTGCCGATACCGTGGGGGGTGGATGTTGCCCTTCAGGGTATACCTGTGGATCAAGTTGTACGGCTGGGGCGTCAAAGACAACGGTTGCCAAGGAACAAGCAACAGCGACCAGCGGTGGGAACAAATTGAAGATTTCATGGGGACTAGGATTAGGATTGGGTATATTGTTGATTTAGATGACGAATGACGAATGACATATTTGATGTTTGAAATGGAAAATCGAAACCCCACGGGGAATTAGTCAGAACCGGCAGTTCGTTCCTGCGGTGAGAAAGCTATCCGAATTCATCACCGAATCTCGCCGACACCGGCTAATCTCATCTTCTATTCTCCTCTTCTTTTCATCGCTTTGTATGTCTTCATTTTTGCCGATAATTAATATTTATCGCTATATATCTTACTCTCTGAACCCGTCATTCTAATCTATCATCCCAGGTTATCTGCCCACCATGTCTGACAAGCCGCAAGCACCCCTCCCCTTCGTTTACCAGTTCGCCGCCGGTGCGGTGGCTGGTGTCTCTGAGGTATGACTTCCTTTCCAGAACTACACTGTTAAATCCAGTCTCTCTCGTTTGGTCGGATTTCCTCTGTTAGATCCTCGATGGCTAATGTGTCTCCCCGCACGGACAGATCTTGATTATGTACGCCCCAATCTCCCCATGTTACGGGCGCATAATGCCCCCTTGACAAAGGATTGCGCGCTTTATTTCACCAAGAAATCCACATCTAACAATGCGCGTCCTTTAGGTACCCGTTGGACGTTGTCAAGACTCGAGTGTAAGGATGCCTTCCGATGGACAATTATTCGGAAGTAGCAGGAACACTAACATCCCCACAGTCAACTCCAGAGCGGTGTCCCCACTGCCGGTGCAGACCACTACAATGGCATGTTCGACTGCTTCCGCAAGATCATCAAGCATGAGGGGTGAGTTTGAGCAATTCGGAATGCAATTGGTTTCAGATCAGACCTAATCCGGATTGATCCCCGCAGTTTCAAGACCCTGTACCGTGGTATCTCCGCGCCCATTCTGATGGAGGCTCCCAAGCGTGCGACCAAGTTTGCGGCCAATGACAGCTGGGGTGCTTTCTACCGCGACCTGTTCAAGGTCGATAAGCAGACCCAGAGTCTGGCTGTTCTGACCGGTGCCACCGCTGGTGCCACCGAGTCTTTCGTCGTCGTTCCCTTCGAGCTGGTTAAGATTCGTCTGCAGGACAAGGCTTCCGCCGGCAAGTATAGCGGTATGCTAGATGTCGTGAAGAAGATCGTCAAGACCGAGGGTCCTCTCGCCATGTACAACGGTCTCGAGTCCACCCTGTGGCGCCACATCCTCTGGAACGCCGGTTACTTCGGCTGTATCTTCCAGGTCCGTGCCCAGCTGCCCACCCCCGAGCCCGGCAACAAGAGCCAGCAGACCCGTAACGACCTGATGGCCGGTACCGTCGGTGGTATCGCTGGTACCCTCCTTAACACCCCCATGGACGTCGTCAAGTCCCGCATTCAGAACACCACCAAGGTTCCCGGCCAGACTCCCAAGTACAACTGGGCCTGGCCTGCTCTCGGCACGGTCATGAAGGAGGAGGGCTTCAGTGCCCTGTACAAGGGTTTCACTCCTAAGGTGCTGCGTCTCGGACCTGGTGGTGGTATCTTGCTTGTCGTCTTCACCAGCGTGATGGATTTCTTCCGCAAGATCCGCGAGGAGTAAGCGCATCCGTGCCACTCTTCTCCAAAAGTATGCACTTCTTTCTTGCCGTCAATTCATTTATCTCACCAGCGAGGGCTTGATCTATGCATGGTCAAACTTGAACCGAGGACATTTCGACGACTCAACCGATATGTTGGTCCCCATATACCCTGCTTTGCAAACCGCTCGTTCTATCAAATCTATCAAATTTTGATAGACCATGTCGAGCTTGTTACTTTTATTTTTGTTTCGCTGTACCACTAAGCAGAATAGAGTATATGCCTGCCAAATGGATATAGAGAAAACTGCATTTTGAACCAATCTTGTCTCATAATGTATTCACTCGCATCCAGAAAACAGAACACAGAAAACTAAATTTGAAGTAAAGAGTAGGTATCTCAAGCAGAAAAAATATGAACATCACGAGGATCCCTCTTCCCACCCTTATGTAGTTCCGCAGCCAACTTGAACCCAAATACACACAGCAAAAAGATGATAATAACAAACGTCGCTGATACCATCATACAGCAATTCTGATTACTTCTCCTCCGCTCCCTCCTCTCTTGTCGACGATCACATTCCTCGCAATGGAAATGTACCTGCTCTTCATTCTGAGCAGCAAGATGAATGACAGGCGTATCGGTATCGAGATGATGCGCATGCTCGTGCCCCCGATTCTCGACGTCTAGTTCATCCGCGACAGGGATGTGGGAATACTGTTTCGCATGTGAGTACATTCCAGTCTAGTATTGCCCAAGTAGCTAAGCACCTAGGTACCTGGGAGAGTCTCTACTTACACCGGTAACGGGATTCGAGGGACGTTGCTCGAAGAGCTCTTCGTAAGCCGGAGCCGCTTCTTGGGGGGTGGAGGAACCGCCCATTATTGTTTGGAGTTTTGTGAGTTACGGGAGATTTGAAGTGGTGTTGGTTGGATTCCAGGATAGATTCGGGGTGGAGGTGAGAAGGTTGTCGGATCGAATGCTTAGGACATTTGAAGCTGGATGGGGCTGAGCACTTGCCAGGATCTCTATTTCAGGCAACCGTAATAAATACGAGTGTTTGCTTACGGTTGGGGGATCTGTGCGCTTATCGTAAGGCTTAAAGTTTATTTCCTTGGCTTTTGTGTGGAGTATGTATTTTATTAACTCTCCAGTCATATCATCCATGGATGAACACAATATATGTCAATACCTGTATCCATGTCTAAGTCGAAATCAGAGTAGCGTTCAAATTAGAACGGAAATCCCGACTACTGAACCCAGCCTTGAAGGTGAACTTTCCAGTAGGAATACGCCAGTCCTGGGCAACAACATCCCAATAACTAACATCCCTGCGCATCAACTCGAAAGTAACAGTCTTCTTCTGTCCCGCTCGAAGCCAGATCTTATCGAATCCACGAAGCTGGCTTGGTGGGGTTCCAGCCGGTGTTGAATCGGGATATTCAACATAGAGCTGAGGAATGGCATATCCGCCGACGTCTCCGGTATTGGAAACTTCAGCCTGGAGTGTGTACACAGTATCCCAGAGAGCGGGATTGCCACCAGGCTGAACGGGTCGTTTCTCAGGAAGAGCAGTGAGGTTACCGGCTAGCTTCGTTTTCGGCTTGAGGTTCTGAAGGTCGAAAGTAGTGTAACTTAATCCGAAGCCGAACTCGTAGCGTACGGGAATATCATGCGCGTCGAAGTATCGGTATCCGACTTCGAGTTCTTCGTTGAACCAGCTTTGCCAGTCATATGTGTCGTTTGTTTTCACGGCAGTGGTTATGGGGGCGTTGTAGTCGGACTCGTTGTATGCGATCACATAAGGTAGTTTGGCGGAGGGGTTGACGTCTCCGTAGAGGACATCTGCGATTGCGTTTCCGGTCTCTTCGCCAGCGTAGTGCTGGGCGAGAATTGCGGTGACGTTCTCGTTGTCGGCAAAGGGCATGGTGTTGATACCGCCTGAATTTGTGATGACGATGGTGTTGTTGCAGAATTTGGCGACGGTTTCCACCACGGCGTTTGCGTTCCAGTCTAGCTCGAGGTAGCTGCGGTCTTCACCTTCTGCGGAGTAGGATTTCAGGAAGACGAGACAGGCGTCGGGGTGTTGGGGGATGGCTAGGGATGATAGGCCGGTATCGACGATTTGGGTGTTGTTCAAGTAGGATTGAACCAATGTGCCGTCCTTGCGGGCTCGAGCAGAGATCGCTTCTAGGGGATTGGATAGGTAGCTGAATCGACAGGCACCGGAGCTTCCTGAATTGGCGAGAACGCCAAACTCGTAGTTTCCTAGGGTATCTTGTCCCTGTGTCAATGGACCGGCGTCGTTTCCTGCGATGATCAGGTTGCGAGGCTTGCGGAGGGGCAAGGCATTCTTCTCATTCTTCAGGAGAACGGTTGAGGCAGCGCCGTGAGCACGGATCATAGCACTGTGGTTGCCTCGCACGTCACGGTTGCTTGATCCGGTGAATTGCCAGTCATACTGCCAAGTATCCGGGGCCGAGTCCACGTTCAGTGGGCCAACGGAGGCGTCGACACTGGGGTAGTGTCGCTCTTGACCTAGCCAGAAGTAGGGGGTCATGATGCGGACAATCATGTCATCCATGCGGTCCATATCAACAGTACCGTTCTTCAGCGCCGAAGTGAGGTTTTTTCCGAAGAAAGACCCTTCAGTCCATAGCTCACCATAAACAGTGAATCCACCAGGCATAGTCATATCCATACCACTTTCAATAGATGCCACTCCACTGTGGGTGGCACCCCAGTCTGACATGACATATCCTTGGAAACCAAGCTCAGTCTTCAACAGGTGGTTGAGGACGTAGGAGTTTTGGCAAGAATGAGAACCGTTCACACGGTTGTAGGAGCACATGGCACTAGCGACACGAGCCCGAACCGCATTCGCAAACGGCCACATGTAAATCTCGTGCATGGTCCGGTCATCCAAGTTCGAGGAAACCGAGTCCTGAACGTAGGTAGTAGCGTTGGCATCGGGGTCGTATGTGGGGTTGCGTTGTGTCTCTTGCTCGTAGGCAATAAAATGCTTTGCGTTGGCCTGGACGCCGGCATCTTGCATGCCAGTGATGGTCTCTTCCATGCAGACACCCGTGAGGTAAGGGTCGGCGGCGAAGCCCTCCCAAGTACGACCGTTATAGGGACTGCGGCCCAATGGTCCACCAATGGGACCCAGAATGACGTGGGAGCCCTTTGCCTTGTGCTCTTTTGCCAATGCATTGCCTCTCTCGTATAGCAACTGTCGATCCCAGGTTGCGGCAGCGGAAACGCCGCTGATGAAAACACTGGAATAAGAGCCTTCTTCGACACATTGTGGTCCGTTTTGTAGACAGAGACCACTGAAATTCAGACGTGGGATGGGGAGGATGTTGCCAACACAAGGACCAGGTTCTCCCGTTGCCATTCCAGACTTCTCTTCTATTGTGAGTTTTCTCACAAACTGCCGTGCCTTATGCAAAGCCGTCTCCCAGCCACCAGTGCCATTAATCTTCGCTGTGTTGTGTTAGCATGAACTGGAGCAATAGTATCTTGGAACTACATATGACTTACGCGAAGGAAAAACGGGAGGAGAGTGTCCATCAACACCCAGGATGGTAGTGTTCAGTGGCTGGACATAGCTGAATGCAGTACCAGGGTGGTCAACGGGAGGAGTCTGACAGACCTCAGATCCCAGTGATGGGACGGACAGTAGAAGCCAAGCTCCAAGGATGGCTTTAGGAGATATCATCGTGACAGGTGAGCTCCACGACCTGTTTCTAATAGAGCATAGCAGAATATTCACGAAATCTGGGCATAATCCCACTCTTAAATATTCATGTTGGTTGACCTTGCCCAAGTTTCCAAGGTTCTACATTCCACCCCGGATGGCTCATGGCTCCACTCGTAGGTGACATGGAGAAAAGACCTCGTGACGAGAAACACTCAAACCACGGAGATGGGTCCTTCATTTCTGGAAAAGATCGACAAGCCAACGTCAAGCCTCAGCCGTGTCTGGCTGATATATGAAAGTATAAACCAAAAATCACGGTATGCCGAGCTCAAAGGTAAAATCTTCATCTTAATCTGTTTTCCTTGGCGTCGGTATGCCGAGTTGTTCAGACTAGATGTGACTTTCTATTGCTGTTGTTTATTCGCGTCCTTCAGAGTCAGTAGGACTCGTTAACTTCTGGGGAAATAAACTCACGCTAGTCATGCGAAAGATGCTAATGGTAATTAATGTGACGTTGGGGTATGCCGATGACGTTATAAAATCTCGGACCAACTTCGGCTAAATCCAATCCCTGGTCTAACGGCTATACTAAATAGTACGGGTATGTGGATTGAATACACGATTCCAGGCCTTTGTAACAAATATGAGAACCATGGACTTGTGGTAAACTTTTAATTCGTGACAATCATCTTGATTCGAGTAGTTTGTGCTGTTATTCACACTCGGAAAGGCCCCGAGGTGTAAGCAAAAACCCTTCCCCACAACCCCATGGAGGCCGATTTTTCAAGGTTTTTTCTTCGGGTTCGGCAATGTCCGGCCGCTCGGAATACAACCGGCTATCCCCCGACACCGGACACTGCATTGACTGCATTGGCCTTGTTAGGAGACAGTTGTTCGGGAAACTAGATTTGGCGTCCATCTATTATACCTGGGAACTAAATTTTGAGGGTTGGGCCTAGTATATTACAATATGAAGCCGAAGGAAGTGATAATGACAGAGAAGTATAATATTGAGAAGCCATCAGGGGTTCGATGCACTACCTAGTTGACTTTCGGCATTTGCATATCCGATAACTCTCCGCATATACCCACAGCCAATGTTTGCGAGATCACTGTACCAGAATAACTCGGTACGTAGCGGATCAACGCGCCATTTTACGAAGAATGCTCGCTTTATACTCTATTTAGGGCAATGATCAACCAAATGAAGAGTAAAATGACGTACATGAGAGATTTTATCAGGAAAAGCAATTTTGCTAGAGCGTTCAAATGTTTATCCACTTCCAAAACTTTCGAGACATTGAGGGAAATACATCGTTGGAATGAGTGCCAGAATATTAGTGGTTCCATTCAAATGTTCCTATATATAGATAGATCCATCCATAGAAAAGACAAGTTCGCGCTGGGTCACTGGGACGGCTATAATCACCTGCCTCCAATTCAATTATACCTAGGCATACATAGGCAATTCCTTGGGTATCTTCTCTTTATACACAGGAGAAACATCTATCTTCGGCGAGAGTATCTTACCCCAATAGTACCAGACAAGAAATGATACAGCGGTTAATGGCACGGTGAACACCCAGTATATCCAGAATTTGTCGGAGACCGACCAGCCAAGTTCCCGATCATAATTGAAGAATGACATGCTGAAGATAGCAGCAAGAAAGGTTGGCGGGAGGAAGAGGAGGGTCACAATTGCGATTGAGTTCATGTTCGCACTGTCCTCACGTGCGGCTCGGCTAATGTCAACTGTAACCCCTGCATCGTATTGTGCGACTTGATTGAACTTGAGTTGAATCTCATTCTGCAGTCTCTTCTGGTTGGAAATTGACCGGTGTCGAATACTTTCAATGTGGCTTTGGTAGAAGGACAAGCGGCTAGAGATATCCTCAAAGGAGGTATCCTGGGAAGTTTTCGATGCGTACTTGTCTCGCCGGGTGTTCATATACATTTCATGTTGTCGAATTATATGGTCCACATTTTGTACAGCCACGTCTAGCGACTCGGTAACATGGATTGCATGCCGAGCGATATCGTGCAGTTGTCGGTAAGCTGGTCTGGGTCTTTTGGGAGACTTGTTCTTTTTCTCCTCCTTCGCCTCTTTTTCAGCCTCTTTCTCAATGCCTCGAACACGGTCACGGATTTTCCAAACAGCATCTTCTTGAAGTCTAGCGACCTCTTGCAGTACATCCGAATACACCCAAAATGGATCGTTAAGCTTTCGTGGGTCTGGATTTAGAAGTGGCTCCGACAGATCTTTGGTTGGGTCAAGTAGAAAGACTCCCATCTGGTTAGTCTTTGGGAGCCACCGCGTGGAGACGTTGACCTTGGACCAGTGATACTTATCCAAGACTTCGGGGACATGTTTCATCTCGAAGAACGACCAAGTATCTAGATCACATTACTATTGGTTTGTGAATGAAGCCACCAAGTAAACTCACTGAAACCGGTGACTTCACCTGCAGCTCGAGTAGCCTCACAGCCAAAATACCCGTTAACATTATTCAGATGTGGCGAGTGCCAGAGCTCAGGCATGCAGAAGGATTCCGTGAATTCCTTGCGAAAATCATGGGATTCGCGACCCTCAGGTGTGTGCGCAATTCTGATAAAATCAGCTCAAATGTTGACTTCCAAGGACAAAACCAGAAAAAACCCCCCAACATACATAACAAAAACTTTTGTATCCTGCGATATGATGCGAGGTGCTTCACTCGGACTGTCCGTATATAGTTCATCCAGTCTAGCTTGGGTTGTCTGCCACCCGTCTAGAAGACAGTTAGTACTGAGATAGACAGAAAGGGGAAAGAGCTTACCTTCGTTCCACTGCATAACAGATACGTGACATGTTGCACTGCTTCTCTTCCCCATTGTTTACAGTAAGATGGAGGATTCAGGGGACAGATGTGGCATTTCAAGCTTTTTCAAGAAAACGCTACTAACGAAGTCGGGAGAGCCAGTCTGCCTTGCCATAGGGTTGATATTGAGGCGCTTTTGATAGACCGACTTTTCGTATATTTCCCTCAGATCTAACATTCTCCTTTGTTGGGTAATTTGACACGTCAGAGGATTTCGGGTGAGACTGCGCAGGCGAAGCGGGGCAGCGAATGAGAACAAATCAATTCAGCCGCGCGCGAGAACCTGCGCAGTCTCATCACAGCCCCTATAGCCCGGGCTCTGACCAAATAGCACTTCGTGCCCGGGCGGTACTAGTAGATGGACAGAAATCCGATTTCGACTGAGGCTCTTGTTCAGGTTAATATTTGACTTTGTTCAGACCCGTGGTCATGTGCCCTCCGCACCGAGATTCTACCACTAGCGTTAGCGCTATTTCCATATCAGACACAAATTTCTCTATACTAGTATCTTCAATTCGTAGATATTATCATTCGGTTTCCTAATTTGTCAGAATAAGCTTATTTCTTTATAGACTTTGGTGACACGTGCACGTGTACTACCATGATAACTGTATCTGAGACCAGGATTGGTCTTCATAGAGCTGTTCGTGAATGGTTCAAGTATTTACATAATTTATGGTTTTCTACATATTTTCGTTCCATCAAGTCAAATCAGGCCACTAGAACCCCAAGTTCCCCGCACTTTCGGGGCTTGCCGAAAGGGACCGAGCTCCACATTACCGAGGATATGACCCTGACATCTTCACACAACACCGGATCACAATCCCAAAAAATGAACGAACGGGCCCTCAAGCGTAGGAAGCCTACGCCAGGAATGGCCCAGAATCCGGCCGTTTTTACCACAATTCCCCTTGACAATCTATTGGCCGAGGTCCACCGACTCCTCGGTCCAACCTGGGCATTGCCACCATTCGATAATCTATTACCGGCATATCTGAAGCCTCCATCTTCGCGTTTACAGATAGACGATCTGAATTACCTTATAAGGAAAGGCGCGTTTGATGTTCCACCTTCCGAGCTTGGTCAGGAAATTTTCAAATCATATATCCGCCATGTCCATCCCCACATGCCATTTTTGGACCTGGATCTGTTTTCAGACGCCATTTTCAATGCAGATCCCAGAGATGGAGAAATTAGTCTCCTTCTATTCCAGGCAGTCATGTTTGCGGGAGCGTTCTTCGTGGACTTGAAATATCTATACGCGGCGGGCTTTCTCTCGAGGCGGAGTGCTCTGGAAGCACTGTTTCAAAGAGCTCGGGTAAGAGGCAAATATTTTCCATACCGCGATCTATGTCCCTTGACTAACATTGTTCTAGGCCCTTCATGATTTTGACGCTGAAGAAGATGACCTCGCCGTCCTACAAAGCCTCCTCCTGATGACATACTGGTACGAAAACCCGGAGCGAAACAAAGACGGTCGACACTGGATCAACATTTGCGTATCTCTCGCAACAAAAATAGGCCTCTACCCCGACTCCAACACCAAGACCGCATCGGGAAGATTTCAAAACCTTTTATGGTGGAGCATGTTCACTCGCGACAGATTAATCGCCCTCCCAATGCAAGAGGCCCCACTTATCAAAAATGAAGTATATCTTCCTATACCGGTCCCCACAGCTGCAGAACTAGGCATATTCCCCTCTCGATCCGGATCGAGCACTGACTACGCCAGCCTTTGTTACCAAGATAACGGGGACAGCCTTGCGCTCATTTTCATCGAGAAAATCAAACTATGTCGCTGCATCAGAGACGATTTGTTTTCCTGGAATTCGCGTCTACATCTAAGTTCCAAAGGCTCAAAAGCACGCAAAGAAAGTCTGACCCTATCAAAACTGGATCTGGACGACTGGCTCGAGGCACTGCCCCATACAATCGCCTTCCAGCCGAAACCATTCCTAACGCCTAACGACGCAGACGTGATATTCCACGTCCACTGCGCATGGTTGCAGATGGTTTATTGTGAGATCCACAGCACTCTCCACCGGCAATTAGAGCTCTTCGAACATGAGGACACACCTCGTCAGATCTCGGCAGGTTCCCCGGGGTGTCCGGTTCTACTCGGCGCGGTGGAAATGACAACTGTCATCCAGGATTTGACGCAGAAACACCTTATATGCTATCTACCCACCAGCAGCGTGGCTATGGTTCTTCGAGCAGGTATCATTCATATTCAGCAGATGTGTACCGGTGATGCCCAGGTAGAGAGCACAGGTCTTAAGGGACTTGTGCAGTGTATCCGTGCACTACAGCAACTCAGTAAAGTATATGGTTCTGCGCTTTTCCTTACATCGATACTCGGGGGTCATGGCAAGGGTCCATTAGGCTCTTCTCCACGAGATCTTTTGAAAAGTTTGGATATGGATACGCTAGATCGTCTTACTTCGGGGTATCCTGACGCTATGGGGTCGGATATGGTCAGGATCAGAGAACCGTATGATGTGGATGTAATTGCTCAGTTGAAGACTCGAAGAGAGAGTATTTGTTATTAAGAACTTCATCTGTTATTCCTTTCCGGCCAAGTATCTTGAGTTCAATAGATGAACCATTTATTGAATCACGCACTATTAATCTGATATGTCAGAGGCCATAGTGTTCTTTAATGCGCCGAACATAAATTTTAGGGTTACTAGATTACTCGTGTTACGTCGCACAGCCTTATATAGGGCCTCGTATAGTTAGTCTTATGCCATCTGCGTATTCATAGTAAGATCTTGAGCCGATACGAGCCAGAAAAGCCATGGAAGCCCAAAGAGTGAAGTGCCTTACCTGCCCATGTACGCACCCTCTGGTCCCATTACAATGACTTCTGAATATATGTTCGTGACTAGACAAAGGGCAAAGATGCTTGTCAACTATATAGCATGCACGAAGACATTCGGATAAATTTTAAGGACTATCAAGCCAATAATTCTTTGAAGATCATGGCAAATCGTCTGTCATCTGTGTTCCACTGCAGCATCTTTCGCATGAACTTGAGGAAAAGGACGTGATTCGCGCTTTAAAGATATTTTCTGAATCTTACAACGATGTTTTGGGGACGCTGACTTGAGCATTGCATTTATCTATGTTTTTTTAATGTGCCTGGGATAGCTGAATACTCAGAAAGGGGAGAGTGAAATACCAGATTGATACCAATATTTCTGGATTTATAGAGATTTGCGAAGGGAAAACGCCGACGGAGGACCGAGAAGTACTCGTCAATCCCTCTGCTTGGGTCAAGAGCCTTGAAACCTGATGATCGCATAGCTCGATAGAGGGCTGGTTTCGGCGCCAAAAGCTACGAACAAGTCCAACCGAAAGCATATTCATTAGAAGTTGAAGGAGTGTTTTTCGAAGGTGATATGCTGACTCGAAGGTTATGCTCAATGAATATATGGATCAAGACTACACAGAAGCGAATGGGCCTCGTTGTTATAATAGCGAAGCATAGGGCGATGAAGCTGATCCCTTACAGCATTGCAGCTCACTGTCCTATACAATTAACTTTATTCCGTAGACCTCGTCACCACGATAACAGCATCTAGTCCCCTTGTCTACTTCCAAGGTTGTCTACGCCTAGATCTCGCCAAATTGTGTATTCAATATGGAAACATCTATATCTTTTCTTCGTCAACCCAGTCCACAATCAAGAGGCTGATGTCCACTGCTTGTGGAAACAGAACATTTGGGAACATTGAACCTCTCAGTAAGTTCATATAGATATAAGTACGTTTTTAATCAAGACTTCCAAAATAAAGCATAGCTATAATTGCTATTTGGATTACCAGCAGCCAATGTTGAGAACTACCAACTCAAATGCAAAGATCAGAACGGGTAGAGGTATAAGCAGGATAATATTAGGGCCACAAGAAACACGCAATAGAGAGAACGTGTAGCGATCTGTGGGGAAAAAATTCAAACTGCAATGTGGAACACGACCAGGTCAGATATCACGAAGAACACGTTGTAAGACTAATACTAAATGCGATTGAGATGTAAAAAAAGTTCAAGGGAATCGGGGGTATCGATGGGACAAAAAGAAATAAGAACGAAGATCAGTCCGAGAAGACAAACCCCAAAAGCAACAAGAATAGAATCATGAAGACATGAGGGATCGAGGCTCCAGCTGTAGGTTATTGGCGAACATTCTCTAACCCTCGTGTATTTGGCCATCATTACCTGATCCGCTAACGAAGGAAAGGGGAAATCAAACACAAAAACAGGAAAAATAGACCGTAAGACCGTAATCACAGAAATGCGTTAAAACAGAAACATGCAAACACAAAATTACTCCTCAAGAGCTATGGCTCTCTCACTCCTTGTACGCCGACTTATCGGGACCTCCGTTAGACGCCGGGTATGCAACATGTCACCACATCATAATCGAAATGAGGGAAATCTGTAACTCAATTCATCTCCATTCCATACTCGTCTTCTTCCTTGAAGCTCATTCCGGCGTGTCCAGAAGTGCTCCAGTATTGAGCCTGGCCAGATGCGCCATTGGTGCTGCTGGCACCACTGTGGTAGGATGGGCTCAAATTAGGTGGGGTGAGTCCGTCACCACCCTGCATAGCGTCACCGGCGAGGTTGGTGTGCTTGGGGACCCGCAGACCGCTACCGGGTCCTCGGGTGTAGCTGAAAGAAGTGGGGTCGTTGATCTCCAAGGCATCGAGGATCTCACTGCGCATGCGCTTCTCTTCCTCGGTGGGTTCAAATGGCCAAGTGCCACCCAGACTGCTGATCATCTCGGCGAGTTCAGCTTCTTGTTGGTACTTAACATGCAAGGCCCACATGAGATCGCGCATCCAGCTAACAGCTCCGTTCAGGATATCACCTTTATTCGGTCCTTTCTCCTTCTCTTCGATAGGAAGACCCATGGTGATGTTACCAGGTGTCGCGCGTCGTCCGTTTCCCCCTGCAAGAAGGGAGGTGGCAGCATTTCCGCCCACACCAGCCATAGAAAGAGCGCTGTTATTCACGAGCTGCTTGCGGACCTTGTCATCTTCCAGTCGGTGCTGCGGTACCAAGTGGGATAGATCCTGAATACGTTCGTTAATGTTGTCGCGACGGCGACGCTCGACCAGATTGTGAGAGGCACGTCGACGTCGACGCTTGGCCTCCTGTGATTCAAGGTCTTGGGCACTGCCCGGCATGTGGTTATCAACCTTGGCAGGCAGGGAAGCGTGTTTTCCAGACTTGAGAATCTCTGAGATGCCGGCATGGTGATGCTGGGGAGGTGAGGAAATGGGCGAGTCCACGTAGGAATGCGCGCTGGTCGGGGTTCCATCCCATTGGTTGGACAATGTCTTCTGGTGTCGAGCTTGCAACCCGCCTGTACGGATCGGTTGACCGGGGAAACTGCCAGACTCCGGAGTACCCAAGTTCAGGGATCCAAGGGCGGGAGTTTTCGGGGTCATGGGGCTCCGACCATCTGAAGGCACGCGTTCCATGTTCTGCAAGCCGGGGCGGCTCTTGGCATAGTTCTGGTCAAAGGAGCCTGTGTGCATGTGGGGGTTTTGCTGGTTCATCCGGAATTGTTCATAGTTAAAGCTGTTTTGGACGAAAGGGCTGGCCATTGGGGCATTGTCCGGGGTATTAGAGTAGAGATGTGACATCTGGCTCTGGTGACTCATGGCGATACCTCCTGCGGATTGGTCCTGCATGTAATTCATGTCATTGCGCTGGTGGCCATTGGGCGCGCTAATTTCCAGGTCCAGGAGTTCATCGGTATCAATTCCTGAGTTTCCAAAGTTGAAGCTGGAGGACATATTCTGTTGCGAGCCGTAGGAATACGGCATAAATCCGCCTTGGTGCATGTTCAGATCCGAGGGGTCCACGGCCTCGTTGGGGTTTCCAAACTGGTTACCCATGGAGTAACCGGAGTGAGACATCATGAAAGGATTGCTGTGATCGTCAGATTCGTGTTTGATGAAAAGACTTGCTTCCGCCATTTTCCTAGACACCAAGGGTTGTGTATGAAGATTGTGGGGCAGCGCGGGGTCGGCGAAGTGGGAGAGAAAGTCGTTCGCGCCGAGTTACTGACCCTCTCTTGATATATGAAAATGAACAGCGCAGTGGCAATTGTCACAGCGGTCAATGGGTGGGGATCCAAAATCTGGAAGATCTATTTATACAGCACGTTAGCTTCGGATGGTTTCACCCGCGGAAAGGGGGCAGGGTAGGTCGGCAAATGAGAATGCGCTTGCCTGCGCCGGCAAGCCAACGAGGCAACCACATTGACACGCAGATCATTTAAAGTGAGATCGGGATTATTACCTTTGTGAACCAGATAAATGAGATACCTTGATCCCGGAAATCGCGAGGTCAAAGAATGTTGGTCGCGGAGGTGGGATGAGTCGACGGGTTCGGGGAACAAATTGTCCGGGGGGTTTGCAGATCGGAGGGTCCCAGGCCGAATAGACCGGGGATGGAAGTCGAAGACAAAGGAGTTTCAAGGAAGATCACACTGTGAATACCAGAAAATCTTCAATGAGTGAACGGACAAATGTAGGGGGTAAGGATGATGAAAGGGGAGAGAAAAAAAGGGCGGGAAGTAAAGTAGATAAGCGCGGGCCAAAAACAGCTGGTCGAGAAATCAAGCAGAGTTAAAAGGACAAGGCTCTGCGCAATGCTTGAGCGAATCAAGTCTCGTCTTTTTCTCCGTCAATTCTTTGCAGCTTTAGGCAGGGGTCAAATAGCTAAAACATTCACATTCACATTCACATTCGAAACGAGTGAAAAAGCGGAGAGCGGGGAAAAGAACAAGCGGTGGAGAGAGGGGGGGCGGTGAGTTAGTGGCAATGGGATATTGTTGATGCCACAAACACAGACACAAACCACAGACCCACGCTCAGATTGCAATACAATACGAAGCCCACGTCATCTCACACGAACCTCTCTCTCTCTGTTGGTAGGAGTGGTGGAATGCAAAATCAATCAACAGAAAAGAAAGATATCCTTACCTGATCAACTTGAACACCTTGGAACATTTGATGGATCTTGAGTTGAGGGTCCTTGAGAGTATCGTCTGCAGGTGGAGAAGAATGTATTAGTAAAAAAAGATCATATGTAGTCTCACGCTCATCACCGCAGAGCCCCTACACGTGGCCCGGGTGAAGGACTATACAGGCAGCCATGCAGGAACGAACCGGGACAAGGCATGTTCAAGATGGAAGGGGGTAGACTAGAACAACGTACCTGCGTTGAGACAAGGGAATAAGTCTTGATCCACCTGTAGGGCTTTGCGAATCATGGGGCTCAAGGTATGGGGCGCAGAATACGAGAAACCAGTGATGGAGTGACAACACAGCAGCCGTAGATGCAGAGAGGAAAAGCACTTGCAGAAAGATCGAGGAGATGGAGACTTTAAGAACTCGAGCCCCTCCTCCCATTTGATATATTACAACATCGGTCATGCAGCCCGTGGATCGGTGGGAATCGATGAGGCTTGCCGTCGGCATCGGACATACGCCTTGGGATTTTATTTTTTTATTTTACATTTTTACAATTACTATTTTCGTCAAAGGGTGTGGAAGACAAAACGGTGAAGGAGGGGTGTGCATGAAGTGTGGCAACAATAAACCCCCGAGCCTCTTGTATTTGATGGCTTGAATGTTTTTGGTATTTTTTGGGTATGATAGACCTATTCTGTCAAAAAAAGAAGGAAACTGGGACGAAGGGGGGAAGGGTGATACAGCCGGATGTAGTCAACGGCGTCTATCCCATGATGCCGTAGATGTTTGTCACCTGTATTGGCGTCATGACTCAGAAAATCCAAAAGATTATAAATAACCAACTTAGAGCTTGATTTCACTGAGAAAGAATGTATCAGATGAACATGGGTTACAGACAAAACAACATAGTAGGTTTGGGTAAAACATCATAACCAGTGAGGAAGGAAACCCTAATCTACAAGTGGGTAGGGGGAAGGGAGTAGAGATCCCCCAATGAGACCATGTGGATATGAGGAGGGGACGATCTCTACATATCTGGGAGTATCAAATCATGTAAATCGTAAAATGTAAATCATAAAACGTAAAACATAAAACATAAATCAATAAAATCAATAAAACTATTTAATCTCTAGAGGAAGGAGTGCCGGAGATCGACCTCAATTTCTAACATGAGACGCCGGAGAATATGACCAGAAGGTATGAAAGGAAAGATAAAAAACACAAAACATAAAACCATACTGTCCAGGGCGTCGGATCTCAGCTTCGCCATTTCACGTAAGCCCCATCAACTCTATCCGGTGCGTGATGCGAATGTCGTGCAGACCAGTGGCGATCATATTGGGGCGATGATCGGAGCATGGACCGTGCTCTTTCTCTCCGCGAAGCCCCGAGCCTTGATGCTTTTTCTCTCAAGCGGCCCGTGTGTCCAGGCTCCAGTGCAACCTGATAAGTTGCCTCCCGGTGGTACTGGCGTATGCACTTTTGTCGAGGCACGATCTAGAGAATGTGGCTGCGACACACGATTGGAGGGGTTGGAATGTGTCTGACATGTCGACCAATAATATGTTGGAGTGGACCACCTTCATGAACCGAACTTGTTTTCGGTCCCCTCTTTGGGAGATTGAGCCACATCGCGAAACTTTTCCATGCATCATAGGAATGTGTCTAAGCCACCCCACCTCGGGAAGGAGAAGGAGGGGGAAGTAGACTTGACTAGTGACTGGATCTAAACCCCAAACATCCAGATGTGCAGGATTGTATCGCTAGTGCGGGATGATCTACGCTGGGTGATGTGCCGGTGGAAGGAAATCCAAGAGTCGTGGATCTTCTTGCTACGTCCCGTCCCGTCAAGGTTCGGAGGGTATCGCCGAGTATCCACGGTCGACGCAAGGAGGCATCTACTTCTTAGTTGGGGGGTTCCGGGCTGAAGCCAAACCAGATATCTATTCTTTCTATCTCGCATAATCACATTTCATGTACGATGTATGCAGTGCACAGAGCCCTGGCATGACGTCGTCAACGGTCCATGCCGTACCGACTTATGCGCGTCGGGCATAATACGGAGGAATTATGGAAAATAGAGCATGAGGGAAAAGAAAGGCAGAAATTCCCGGGACAAAAAGGAAAGACCCAAAAGGAATGAAGCTAGCGGGAGCCAGTGTTACCCAAGGTCAAGGATATTACAGGGACAGAAGTCCATTGGGCTGTCGGATAATTCAATATGGTCGTACATACGGGTAGCGACTTTAGAGGTAAAAAGGGTATGCAACCTCATATCGACTAATACAGGGAGTGCTTCCGATACGACTATCCAGCGGGAAGATAGAGCCGCCAGGTCTATAAAGAGCGATAGATTTCTGCAGACTAAATCGATCACATCACGATCGTCAACAGGGTGTGCACCAACCAGAGTGATCTACATAGGGGATGACTCGCGAACATGGAGGGTACCAACTGCAGTAGATGAAAATTAATTGCAATATGTAATGGTTTTATTACATTTCATTACGCCAGTCTTAGCTCAAAAATGGAACTTCTATTATATCACATTTTGATCTACGGAAATCCGGTTATGGCATACCGCAGCTTATAATATCCAAATTTTTCGAACCTTTTTTTTTTGAACTCTCCAAATACCGATACTTGTATAACTATATCTACAGTAATAGTTTTATCCAAAGTTTCTTTCGCGTTTTTTATTTATTTGCGGACTAGATTAAGTGAAGTAAATGGAACACAAAAGTGGAGATGGAGAGGAACTTGCGGAGTTGATGGTCCGTGCCTTGGGGGGTCAGTGACCTCGGATCTTCCCAACCTTCCTTTCCCCCCCTTCTACAGCAAAGCCGACCATTATCTCCCCCCAAAACGGTATGTACCGTCTAGACGCTAAAAATCGTTAGCTCCGAAACATGTGTATCATCTGACAATTTCTTCATCCAGCGCCGATCTGGGCTGGCCGCATCCATCGGTAGCTCTACGCCATCTCGTCATTCAGCTTGATCGACTCTTGACTTTCTACCCTCCCCCCCCCCCTCGAATACCGCAGCGCTTCCTGATCCAATCATAGCCCAGCTCCGTCGTGATTGACTTCCCTTCTTGAAGCTGAATCGTCCCCGGGAGAGTTGAACATCTCTCCGCTTGGCAAGTCCACCGCGTTGACGTACTCTACCTTCAAATCCCGCCTGTGCCGCGTCAGATTACTCCACTCGCATCTTTACCCCCTCTGCCAGCAAAAGGTAAACGGCAAGCGATAGTGCGTTTTAGTACCGGATAGTGTTGGAAATTTAGCGGTCTGGCGCATATCAGGGACTAAGGCAAGAATCCACCATTTGGGAAGCGAGTGGATCGTCCGTAAAGTTCACGATTGTCTTGCCCATTCTCATTCTCTGTGCCGCACCTCTCCAATCGACAGTCATCATCCCGTAGGCTTCGATCCAACTTCTATCGAGACGGGGTCGTAGTCAAGTTTGGAAGCCGAATCCGCGTTCGGCGTGGGCGTCATCTGCTCCTCTGTTGGCTTGCTCTAGTCTCCACACTCCAGCCAATCCTCAGTGATCATCCCACCATCCGGCGCAGATCATCTGCACTACATCGTGCATAGTCCCTGCAGACGTTTTCTACAGTGACTTTTTGGGCCACGGGCCTTGTCTGCAGACGCGGCCGTGCACGTTCCCATTTTGCCTTGCAATTGGGACTTCTCTCTCATTCCAGCTACTAGCCAGTCTTCGTCATGGCGACTAACTCGTTTCGCGACTCCGTCAACTCGCTAGGGTGGTCGCGCAGAGACCCGGATTTTCCTGTTAATACTAATTCGTCCTCTGACACCCCATTCTTTTCGCGCCTACAATCTTTGAACCCGTTTGGCCAGGGTGGCTACGTTCAACTTCCCACTCACAATGATGGCCCTGGCGCGCCCTTGCCAGCAGCCAGTCGTCGGGAAGAGGAAGAGGGTTTCTTTGCCTGTAAGTATTTTACCTTTTCAATTCTCAATCACCGATTTCCGATTTTCGAATTTCGAATTTCGAATTTTTTATTTTATGATTTAATTTCTTATTACTCTACACTATCTCGTGATCCATACCTACGATTATCCCATCTAAGTTCGGCTTGTATCATGTGACGACTGTGCAGTTCCTGCGCCGGGAAGATTCATCATGGCTATGCTTGTCTATGTGGTTGTGACCCGAGAGGAGATTCCAGAATACGCTAACAGAACCCGTTTCCAGTGAGTCGATGGGATCGGATGCTCATCTTCGGCGCCTGTAATTTGGGTGCCGCCGTCTGCTTCATGATCTGCTTCTTCTTGTTTCCAGTTCTCACGCTCAAGCCCCGCAAATTCGCTGTTCTGTAAGTTGCCTTATCCTTAGCGCTATCTCCCTTCTGCAGCTTGCTTGCATTCTCAACCCCACCCACCCTCCACATCTGCTCAGTTTCTCTACGGGATTTGTTCCAGCCACTCAAATCCCGAACTACCATGATCCTGGTCATGAGCGGGCTGGGGCTCGGACCATGTGCTTATGGACATTCGATGTTATGTCTCATTTGTTCATGTTCAACGCTCTGCGCCCTATGCCAAGAATTTTCAGCAAGACCGCCCTGGAATATCCCTATGCTAACAAGAATTCTATGTAGATGGTCTGTCGGTTCAGTCCTGTTTTTGCTATCATGGGCAGTCCTCATGGGACCCTGGTCTTACGCTAGACATCTGGTCTCGGGACCACGGTTGCCGTTCACGGCGGCCTATTTCGGATCTATCGGACTAACACTGTACTTTGCTGTCGGGGTAAGTCTTTTGCTTCTCTTTTTGGTATCATTCTTTGTCTATCATCAAGTCCACACACACATATTACCTTGTACGTCAGTTTGGTTGCACAGTACCGGGGATAAGGGGAATCTTGCATTCCTACGGTATATCGCAGTACTACATGACCGGCACTGTCACGCTGGCACACATTTTTGCGGAGAGGGCGCGGGGCTGGTCAATAACACCCTATGTTATCAGTTTTTGTGCAACCACCCCGCTGCGACAAAATCTTGCGCCACTTTAGACAGCTTCAGGTTTTCTGAATATACCTTTCACTATCCCTGGTGCTGGACCATGTTGCGCGATTACAGAACCCTATCTTTCATATTGATCCTTGCAACCCTCGCTTTATGAATCTGGCTAACATTCATCTCATAGCTCCAAAACTTCATCCTTACCCTCATCTCCTCTATCTTCCAACTTGTCGCGCTGGTCTGGTATATGGTCAGCTACTTCCCTATGGGCACCACTGGCCTGCAATTCATGGGTCGCTTCGGTGTCTCACGCGTATCCGCTTGGATGTCCGGTTGAGATATGACGGTCTCATACCCTGCATGAGAAGGACCTCCAGCAAGCAAGGCGTCAGTTCTGCATAGACCTGCTAGCGTTTCACTGCTTTCTGCCTCTCCTTTGTAAATGTAATGAAGTCTTTGGTGGCGATAGAGGTCTTGACACTTGTCTTTATTCCGCGTTATCGTTCTTGTTCAATAGCCTATGGGCATATACCCAGTTCATGCAAGAATCTTGTGTTCTCTCAGTATCCCAAGTCTTCCATCCGTCATGCTTATGTAAATAACTTCAACTTACTATGTTCACCGAGCTCAAACAGTCACCTGAGCAATCTCATTCGTTGTATCGCGGGTAAGGCTACTTTAGAGACTGCACAATCCGAATATTCCTAAGCGCAAAAGCAACCGAATCATGGTTGTCCCACAAAGGAACAGACGCAATCAACTCAAACATAGTCATCGAATATTTCCTTCTATCCTTCACCTTTGGGTACCTTGTGTCATGCATATCCCGATTCCATCATATTGAGATGCGTCATTGATTGCACAGTGTTGCGGTGTGTGGGTGATCCAGTGTACCCCTTGATGACCTGAAACCGACAATCCCTTCCATGCCGTATATCAAACTCTCCAAAACGCCAGGCCACTCATACCAGAGGACCCAGGTGATTTAATCGGAGCAGAATTGACGTGATCGTCAAAAACGAGGTATGACATAAGAAAATCGGATGTTGGTTTGGTGGGAAGAAATAGTGAATTCAATGTTGGTAGGATCATAGCGACCAGTGCATATAAAAGGGTATATTGAGACTACACTTGATAGAGTTAGACGCCACAAACATAAATCACAGTGATTTCCTCCAAAATCACTTCCTCACAACAGCCGCCCTCGGAAACTCCACCCCGTCTTTGCAAGATATATTCAACATCTCTGTCCCAACCTCGTTTATATCACGCTCATTATACTCGCTCAGTTCAAAGTCTGTGTATTTAAGCGTAAACTTCTTTTTCCCTCTTCGTCGTCTCCGGGTATAGTCCCAGTATTTCGCGAAGAGGTAGTGTATGGCTATGCCACAGAGTAGACTGACAAACTAGCCTTGAGAGGATTCTCGTAGGCATTTTGAGGCGGGGGCTGTTAGGGTGGGCATTTGTTTGATAAGCTGACTAGATCTGAGGCTTGATCATCATAATTCTTAACCTTGGAAGATGTGGGACGAACCAGCTGAAGGAAATGAACAAGCAGAAATATGAACTGTGATGATTATCCTTCCGGTGCCGATTAGGTATATAAATCTTCCAAGTTGGTCCGGCTCTCCCAAGACTTGATTCATGGTTACCTACATGTAGGTTTACTAAACTTCATTCATCATTACATCAACATCATCACTATCAAGCCTTCTTCTCCAAAAACACCAATCTCTCCAAACTCCCCTTGCTCGCAAACCTCATCCCATCAAAACAGTTAACCGTCGGACTCCAAACCTCCCGATCACAAGCAGATAGGTAGAATTCAATCCCATAAACTTCTCGGCCTCATCCCCCTCTCATCAACCGGATCCAACCTCGGAACAGCAACAACAGCCCCCCGTTCACGCATCTCCTCCAACATTCGACAAATAAAGAACGAAGTTGCATCCGCACCAAGCGTCCACGATGCGTTCGCATACCCAAATATAAACGCCGCATTATGAAAATCCTGGAACATCATTCCACGCCAAGTATATCTATCTGGGAGAGGATATGGAATTCCCAAACCTGAGAGTGAGACACTGCCGCCGAAGCGAGCGTTGAGGCCTGTTGCTGTGATTACTATGTCTGCGTTGAGGAACGTTCCGGAGTGTAGTGTTATATTTGTTTCTCTGATGGTGTCTGTTTTTATGTCTGCGTGGCCTTTGTAGAGAGCTTGGAAGAAGTCTCCATCTGGGTCTGCGCAGAGGCGCTTGTCCCAGGGTTGGTATTTGGCAGACAAGTGTGGGTGAGAGGATTGTGCTTTAGTAGTTGACGAGCGACACGATGCTGGAGACTTTTTTCTGTGGCGTTTCGTAAGGAGCGACTGCATAGATAGAAGAGTTGGCCTAGGTATAGGGATTTCAGATGTTGGATGTTGTTTTGGATTGTTATTGGGAGGAAAGAGGTGAGGCATGAACTTTTCTTTTGGATAGAGATTAAGTATGAAGAACATGGCGACGGTTGCTTTATCGGCGAGTTTGAGGAGCAGCACTACTGCATTAGCGCCGCTTCCGATTATCACGATAATTTCGTTGATGTAGTCTGAATCTTGGGGCCAGAATTGGTGGTATCAATAGTTACGTTTCCCATGCCTCAGATTATCATATATCTTTACAGGTGCATTCCATAGAAGCTTGACCAAACTCGGTCTTCTCTGAACTGCGACCCCTGATATAAATTAAAAATTTGGTTTACGAGATAGGTTGAATAAGATTGAATTGACTATTTCACTGGGCCCGGCTGACCTTCCCGAGTATATACAATATTTCAAGGTTCAAGTCCACCATGTAGGTAGCATTCTATGTGAAAATCATCTTAAAAGCCGCTAGGCTTGGAGTGGAAACACCCCTGCATTAAGTGCCAGCCAAGTGAAAATAACATAAACCTTATAATTATAGCCTCCCAGGTCGGGATAATAGGCGGGTCCCATCCCGATTCTGGGCCGAGGTCGGGAGCATCGGCGATAAGCAACTACAAACCAGTTTAAGCTATGACGATCATATTCACATGCTCACTCTCAACCTACTTTAACTTCAATTTCAACTTCAACTTCCTACTCAAGCATCGTTCATAGATATGGAAATGAAGATTCCCCAATCAATGAAAGCCCTCGTGGGCAATCGCTCTATCATCACACGCCTATCAAACTATGCACGCAGCAACTCATCCGGAGACGGAGTAAAAATCTCCACCATCCCCATCCCCACAATTGAAGAACAAGAAATTCTCGTCCGAGTACACTCTGTCGCTCTCAATCCAACCGACTTCAAACACATCGATATCCTATCCCCCCGCGGCGCAATTATCGGCTGCGACTACGCAGGGACCGTCGCGAAGGTCGGATCCAACGTGACGGGATGGACAGTCGGCGATAGAGTCGCCGGAGTCACGCACGGAGGACTGTACACTGATCGAGGGTCTTTCGCGGAGTATCTCAAGATACCTGGCGATTTAGCGTGGAAAGTCCCTTCGTCAATTAGCGATGAGCAGGCTGCTACATTTGGCGTCTCCGCTGTTACGGCTATGTTGGCGTTGAATACTCGACTTGGTGTACCCTGGGTAGAAGGAGGGGAGAATAAGGATGGACATAAAGATGAAGATGAAGATGAAGAGCGATCGAAGACTCCTATTCTTATCTATTCTGGTGCAACGTCTGCTGGACTTTATGCTATTCAGTTGGCGAAGTTGGGGGGGTTGAAAGTCGTTGTTACCGCTTCTCCGCGCTCGCATGATCTCGTTAAAGAATATGGTGCGGATGATGTATTTGACTATCGATCATCTACTGCTGTTGAAGAGATTATCCGTGCTTATCCGAGTCTTGATCGGGCGATGGATTGTTTTTCCGAAGGTGAATCTACTGCGTTTTGTGCGGATGTGGTTCGCAAGAATAAGGGTTCGGTGGTTACACTTTTAGACTCTGGGAAGACGGAATGGGATGGTGTGAAGGTGGACTTTTTGCTTGCCTACACGGCTATGGGGGCTGAGTTTCAATGGCTTCCTCCGTTCGGGCCTAAATTTGGCAAGGCTCCTTCTGATCGTGAAGCGTTGCGCAGATTCTATGCCTCGTTGCCGGGGACTTCTAAAATTCTCAGACCGCCGCCTCTTCAGGTGATTGAGGGAGGACTAGAGGGCTTGAGAACAGGGCTTGATCTGCTACGCCAAGGAAAGGTTTCGGGTACTAAATTGGTTGCGCGTTTGATTTCGAAGTAGAGCTTGGGGATTGGCGTTCATGTTCTAGACTTAAATTAATGATCGTTTGAGAATGTCTTAGAATAGATAGCGTGTCTAATCAAGAATAGAGGAGTTGAGAGCAGCTCAAAATCATTTATCTATCCGATGAAGGAATGATAGCCTTGAAAATAATTCATAAGAATTATGCTTTGCGTTTCCGCCTTTAACATGCAATATTGGTATAAGTTTCAAGTTTTAATCCCAGAATTTTACTTAAAGCCACGCATCATGGCCGGCTGAACAGTTCCATCCACAACCTTGACTCCCGTGATCTCGATCTCATAGATCCCAGTCCCGCCGCCCGAGCCAAACTCTAGCCAACGCTGAAGCAGGTCATTGCTTTCCTTGGGCTTGATATCAGGCGAGGCTGTGCCGATGGTAATGTGAGGAATGGAATTGGCACATGGCAGACCAGTCTCCTCTTCGGGGCTGTGCTCATCCGCGGGCAGAATGCGCACAACAATAGCCATCACCCGATCATCCCAGACAAGACGCTCCAGGCGAACACGTGCGGAGCCAAGAGCTGGCGGTTTCTCGAATGCGTCCGGAACAGGATTGGCAGTCAAAATATCGACGTACTTATTAGAGTAATAAGACCAAATATCCGAGCGATCCTTGCTCGAGGCACGATGAATAAGAGTCACATGGGAGGTAGGCTGAATGCGTCGCTGATTCACAAGTTGGTGGTACAATCGGGAGGCATCCGCAGGTGTGTCGGGGGTGAAGAGAGAATGGAGGACGGAGAACACGTCTTTGGCGGTAAGGGCGATTTGGAAAAAGTCGATTTTCCGAGCCATGTCAGCGGGAGCCAGGTTGCAAGAGGGAGGAGCCTTGTCCTTTTTGTCTTTCTTGTTCGGCCCGTATGACCCGCTCAAATCATGCTTGACTCGGTATTCATTCAAGGCGGCATCTATGGCAGTATCCATATCTTTGGCGGAAGGTACGTTGGGCACAATCTTGGGGTATGTAGCGTGTAGGGCAGTCACGACCGTCTCAAGGTTCTCTCTCGAAGAGGCACACACATTCAAGTCAATCACATGATGGAAACTCATGTCCGGATCCCGTCTGGTGTCAATACCCTCGAAGCGGTGCAAGAATCCGTCCATGATCCCAATCGTTTCATCTCGTGCCTTTGTCCCGGCCCGAATACTCTGGTGGTTGTCGCCACGATCCAACACCCTCTTCCGGGTGACTTCCTTGATGGCTGGTAGCATTTCATTCTTCGGTTCATGGACCCAATGAAGAGCGACAAATTGAGCTGTGGGAATAACGGGAGCGATATCCTCTATCAGCTGCTTCCGTTCGCGCCTTTGGTGGTTATTGCGGTCCGCGATGACCACTGGTGCGGTTGCCATTTCTTTCGTAATTTCGAATGCAAACTTCTTGGGCTTGTTCTTCTGCTTGGGAATGTCGTCATTTTGGAGGTGGCCCCATCCGAAGAGGTGAACGAGAGCCAATGCTACAGTGGTCTTTCCACATCCCAGAGAGGCAACGGGAACGATGACAACATCATGGTCGATGTCCTCGGCCTTGCTGGTCATCTCGCTTTCTAGGGCGATGATATCGTGGCCTTTCAGACCTCGCTCATTCAAGAACTGTTCTCGCAATGCAATGATTCCGTGGTTGTGGTTGTAGAGTTCTGCCAATTTGGGGTTCTTGATCAGTTCTCTGTGGGCAAATTGAAGATATTCCTCAGTGATTTTCACGTGCTTTTTGATCTTGGGAAGTTTCCCTGAGATGACAGCCTTGGTGCATTCACGCCACTGGCGGTACATGAGATAGGGTTCTTCAAACTTGTATTTGAAGAACCAATCCCGGTATGGACCTTTACCATTGTCGTTCATCTTGCAGCGAACCACAAAGCCTTCGGTCTCACGGCCATCCCATGTTCCGGTCTCGGCAGAGTCTTCCAAGAATTTCTTCACATCGTCAAGTTCATCATATTTCACGAACTTTGCCTTCTTAAACCCCCATCGGTCGGCGAATTCATGTACCGCCTCGCTGGGTTTTGTTGTAAATTCGGGGAGGTTGTAATTGAGTCCATGAAGGTAGATACCAGCAGCGGCCTCGTCATATGCCAGAACATGTTCTTCGAATGAGTCATCACACAGCTCTCCTACCGCCGTGAGGTTGTTTTCGCGTAGTTCCCGCGCAAGATCCTTGCTCGATTTATTCACAGTGGCGACGTGTCGCTCCACCCATTGCTCGCCAACCATAGAATGGCCAGCTCCAGGGCCGGGACGGTATCCAGTAGAATGCTTGCTGCACACAAGTAATGTGTCATCCTCCAGTCCAGAGATGAAGATAATGCAGCCATTCTCCTTCACACTCAGCTCATAAGGACCTCGTGTATTGTTCTCAATGTTCCTCCAGCGCGTGTTGTTGGTCTCGTCGATGTTGTGAAACTTGTCGTATCCACGTACGGCAATTTCAGGGGTGCCATCCTTACGTTGGGAGGTGAAGAGACCGCGAGCGTAGGTAGGGAGATCAGATCGGTGGTAGTCCCAATCCATGAACTTCCAAGAGTCGACCGTCTTATCCTTGGTCCCATTGACCAAGAAGGTTGACTTTTTACAAGTGAAAGTCCGCTTCTTTTCCGCTGGTGTCATCCGTTCGGCATCCCGTAAGCTTTTCACGAACTGCGCTATGACATGAGGGTCCTGAAGTGCCATGGTAGCGGCTCCGAAACGAAGAGCGCTTGGTTGTTGGAGGAATGTTGGAGGGGTAGTTGAAGTGGGGTGTAGAGGAGTGAGGAGCGAAAGAAAAGGTAAGGCAGAAACGGGTAAATTTATACCTGTTGGGCGTCTTACGAGCTCCCCTGGCACCTTCCAGTCAAGAATTGCGAAAAACTCAATGAAGAGTCATAAGGCTGTGTACGGCTGTCACTTCTGCGGGGAACCAAATAGGAAAGGCGGACAAGCTTATCGCGACTTTTTTTTTTGCCCGTAAAACCCCCCCCACCTTCATTGGATTTGCAATAACATCTCCCCTGGTTATTGGCTTGGATGATTCACTGAAAGAACTATTTCAAAAAGACCTCTTAAGTTTTAATATCAGACTCAATATCTCCACAATGGCTCAACCAAACCCTTACCTCCTTGCTTGCGACAACCCCGCCGCGCTACTGGATCTGCTGCGCTCCAATCCCGCAATCGCATCCTGCCAGGATGAGTCTGGGTATTCGCTTCTACACGCCGCCGCATCCTACGGTCACATCGATCTCCTCCGTGCCCTTGTAAAAGAGTTCAACGTGGATGTGAATCTGGTCGACGAAGACGGCGAAACATGCCTGTTCGTGACCGAACAGCCCAAGGTTGCCCGGTGTCTGGTTGAAGAGCTCGGCGTGGACTTTAACAGGACAAATAGTGAAGGCATGAAGGCATACGAGAAGATGGAATCCGAGGAAGAGAACCCCAGCGTGTCTACCTACCTTCGCGAAGTCAGTGGCGCTCCTGCTGCCCCGGTGGACGACTCGCCTGCAGGCCCATTGAATGCCCCACCGCCGATCCCGGGCAACATGCAGGTCAATATTGGTACTATGTCGGAACAAGAGCTGAATGAAGGCGAGACTGAGGTGGATCCCGAGTTTAAGAGACGGATTGATGAGCTGGCGGCTCGCGATGACTTCAACAGCGAGGCCACCCAGAATGAGCTGCGTGAGCTTGTGATGGATGCTATTGCGAGCTCAAGTATTGAGACCAATGAGCGCGATTCACGCCAAAGGACGGAATGAACCAACACATTCTATGAATATATTCGGCATCTCTCGGCAATTCTTCATTGTCTCGGCGCAAAAACTGTGTTGAGGTCATACGATCCCACAAGAAACTGCATTCTTCCATGTGCAATCTGCTATCCACCCCAAGAAATATGCTGCTAGACTTGTGATACTCTGAATACACCCAGGGAGTCTTGGATGTGGGTGTAGGCAATGATATGGGAGTCTCTCTAGCCAAGACAAATGAAAAATATGGGGAAAATGGCTCCACTGGCTGGATGTATGCAATAATATGACCTTTGCTGTAATTAATTAGACGAAATGAACTCTATGATCAGTGAAATATGCCCAATAGATCAGCTGTTTACTAGGTATGGGAGGCTCATCCGGCTATTGGTAATGGCGCTCCGCCAAGCTTGAGCTGCCCTCTCCAACTCCGACCTCCGAACCCCACACCTAGACCAAGAGCCTTCCAGCATACATCATGTCTCAACCAGCATCGCCCTTTCCTGCACAGTCGTCCTACTATTCAACCCCGACAATGGCGAATCCCACTTTACATACTGACACTCCTCCCCCTCCACCCCCGAAACCCAGTAGTCACGAGGCAAGCCGAGGAGGCACCCCCCAGAACATGACTTCCATACCAGCGCCCCAGCAAACAACCTCGAGCTATCCAGGAGATAATCAAGCATTCACACAATCATCACACTCTCAACCTACCCTCCTCCCTGCGCCACCCACAATCGCCGAGGGCTGGCTCCCAGAGGTTGTGAAAGACAAATCGTAAGCTTCTCAACTCCTCAGCTCCTCATTCCTCAATCACGATAACTAACAGCCCCAGAACCCTCGATCTCCAATCGATTCTTCAAGACCCAAGCCTGATCTCAGCCCTCTCAAGCCACCACCCCTCCCACACCGCGCGCCAACAGAACCTCGAATCCCTCCTATCAGTAAACAAGGAGCTCGCAACGCGCGTCCTCGAAATGCAAAACCATGTGGCGGAGCTCCGCGCTTCCACGGAAACAATGCTCCTTCAGCACCAGTCCCTCGAAGTCTCTTGGCGCAAAAAGCAAACGGAGATGGACGCCGCCTTGGCGCCGTGGTCCCCGAAGGCATTATATCAGCGGTTGAGTGCGGCGATCGCGGAGCAAGAGGCAGTGTGCCAGGCTGTTGAGGAGAGTTTCATAGATGAAGATCATCATGGTCGTGCCACGGAGAAGGAGATTGCGGATTGGGTGCGACGGGTGAGGGCTGAAGCGTCGAAGTTGGCGTCACGGAAAGAAGCTAAGGCGCGGTGGGATGAGGGGAGAGTTGGAGGTTGGCGCTGATGCTGATAAGGATTTTCTTCAATTCCGTAATAGACGTGCAATTTCTGTTGTCTTACGATGCTATGTTTCCTACGAATTTACGAATGCCCCTTGAATCTTGATTTCAATTCTTCTTGTATATTTCATACGTTTTCCCTATACCAGGCTTATTGTTCGGTCATAGGATACATTCATACTAAGTTTCCGCTTCACGTCTCCGAGCTCTCTGGCTTCTGCCCAGGATGACGGTACTCAAGTCACCCACTGGGAGTGCAAAGGGGAAGTCGACAGCCTCTAGAATCTGTGCAATAAATATATGCCAGATGGGTAGGCAGAGCGCGAAATTGAAAGCCCCGGCCGTCTGTTCAGGATATTAATCTCCACTCGTGATGAAAGCAGAAGAGGTTGACATACCATTTGCAACTTCGCAGCCGCAGCAACATTGCCCAGCGCCATTTGGAAATATGTAGCAGCAGTCAAGGCAAATGTGATAACAAGGAGGAACAAGGCGAGGAAGAGGCAAACGTTTGTACGGATCGAACAGATGAGGTAGACGAAGGTAAGAACGGATAGAATGACAAAGTATAGGCCTGAATATCCGGTTAATAAGATAACATTCAATTTGATGTAGAACATACCAATGGTAGCGGCAAATTCAGGTGTCTGAGATCCTTCAAGTGTATTCCCAGTAGTCGAATAATTGGTTCCTACACCAAAGAACGGCATCTGAGTTGTACCTTGAACGATCCAGAAAGTACCATATGTGAAGAAAAGAGCGCACGAAAAGGTATTTCCAATAATCCACTCGCCAATTCCACCGAAAATCTGCACTATTCCACCAAAGAAGATGAAAACAGGCCTGAAGAAACCATGTTAATCTCATTCCTCACTGTACCGACACTGAACACTGAACACGCAACACTCACAATATAGCACCACCATTACCACCAGAGCCTCGCCAGCCCATTGTCTGCATTGCGCCTGGAGTCGCAGCAAGCAAGAAACCCATCAACGAGATCGGTGTTGGGTTACCAAATGTCCGACGCAAGTTCCCTGCAGTTGGCAATTTGGGACTGAGATACAATTTCTCAAATGCATCGCGTGGAATGGGAAGCAAAACACTATCCGCCGTCTGCATCCGACGCAGCATCTCCACGGTGGCAGTCTCCTGCTTCTCACTATTATGATCCTCGGACATGCTGGGCGAACCGAAGGATGGTCCTGACAATGCAGATCTCGATGGGTTTTTTTTTAAAAAAAAAAATCCGGGGTAATTAACTGATCTTATATTTTCACCACGTCAACCCCTATGATTCATAAACCCCACGACTCCAGATCTTTGTGCATATACCCCAGAAATGAAATGCAGTGGACCCGGAGTAACTCCACGTCGACGCCAGTGCCAAGGTCAAAATCTAGATTTTGACCAGATCGAAGTCCAACGTGCCTTGCAGTAAGATCATCATGGCTTCTGATTCGCGGGTGTTTTCACTCAGCCTGTTCTATCCAAGGCAAGCGGGTCCGAACGAGGTCATGTTGTGGAGAAGAAGTGCGGGGGATAGTCATTCGTGACCCCAGAATTGGTTGTTACCCCGCGAAATACGGAGGGACCGAAGGTTTTCGACGATCTTGAGTCGGCTTTATGTTGGTGTCTTCGCCTTTATGTGTGGTTTTCGTGTTCGACATATAAGAAGAGTGCATGGCGCTCTCGATGGGCTTGGCTAGATGTTCTCCATGCTTGGTGTGGCGTTCTATGAAAGTCTATGCCGATTATCGATGCTTGCTTTGTCTGTACGAGTCATATATGGAGTAATCAGGGTTTAAATTTTCTTGTTTTGGGATTATTCCACTTTGTTCAATATTTTGACTGGCGTTGATGTTGGAAGTTTTGTTTCGAAGAACGAAAGTGGCGGTCTGACTCTGACTAGGACACGATATTATGTCTAGGTCTTGTGCTAACTTATGCAGCTGCACTGTCAGTCTGTACCCTTCAGCTCCGGGCGGACTTGCTCCGATCACTGTGCATACAGATGTAACGGATGAATTGGGTTTGATGCTCGGATAGCAAACTTCCCGGACAAACCCCCGCATCTTAGCAACCGCGGCATTTGACATTCATCCGAGATAAGCACGCCAAGATTATATACCCGACCCGCGCAATACTTTTAGATGATAAGGTCTTTGTGTTGGCTGATCATGGCTCAAGAAGGAAGGTGGTTCTATTCATGGTCGTATAACCCGAGTATCCCGAGTACTCTGACCGTCGGACTCGGAAATAAGAACTCATTTAGGATAAACCCTGCTAAGTCCTGCTCAGCTCTCTCAGTCTTCTATCCAGTCTATTCCGTACTGCTCATCAACTCCAGCCATAGCTACCTCTTAGTCAATGATCTCAAAGCGTAGTAGCTCACACCCAATCAGGATTCAGGACATGCCTAACCACCTGATTTTGTAACCTTGGCCTAAAAACAAAGTCAATTTGTGGTACAAATTCACATAAGTATATGCAGTTCTCTTCTGCCACTCAAAATGATTCCAATAACTTGTTTCCTGTGGCTGCCATCGGTCTCCGTATTGGCCTCCGTACACCCGAGTCCAGTGATGCATCCAACCTTGGTGGTTGGATATCTATCATGTTGAGCCCCTCATTTGAATGATAAGATATGCTGATAAGTATGTGTACCTGATAACAACAGTTGAACGGCCGCTTGAACGAATCCCAGGACGAATAGAGCTCTTTGATCTCGGCCGTGGCCTATGATTGGAATCGTTGCACGCCCTTCATTAAGAAGTCGACGTCATCGCCAAGAGATTTCATGCTGCCAACCCGCGTCTAGAAGCTTGACAATTCGTCGCCTAGAGAGCTTTTTGCCTATACAGGTTAAACATACGCTCGTTGACGATGATAAGGAACAGATAATGCAGAATCTCGGCTACGAGACGAGGGGTTTCCGGGCATTGGATGATACTGAGGTAGTATTTTAGTAACATCGGCTTATACTAAAATATCCAATGCTTGGATAGCTAAGTATAAATACCAGGATATGGAATCGATTATGGGCATATTTCAGCACACAGATATTTTGCAGTATCGAATCAATTGATAGTGATGAAAGGCTCTGCTGATTATATTCTGCTTGGGCTGAGTGCCTCAAGCTTAGCCCTTGCTGGAGTTGTGCAAAGAGATACCATTAGCTTCCACGGACCTCTAGATGTGACTGCTGGGTCATTGCATAACATCCATGTGGAGTTCAGTGACGATTTCGAAGGTCCCCTCCAACTCGTATATGGCGACTGCAGCACACAGTATCCAAGTGAAGGACACCATGAGGTTGTCAGTTTGTTTGTGAAACGTGAGGCCCAGCCAAGTCGATTTGTCTGGGTAACTCCTTCTGATGCACCACACGAGCACTGTCTTCATGCCTTCTCCGGAACATCCTTGATTGGTCGCTCTTTGCCTATCACCGTGTCCTCAAAAAAGGCGAAACGTGAAAGTATCGCCGATGTGGCCGATATGGAGGGTCCCTGGTTTGACGGTGTTGCATATATGAAGTCAAAGAAGAACAGCGACGCCTTTATCACCAAGGCAAAGAGTACATCTGTTGCCATCCTTGGTGGCGGTATGTCCGGATTGATGACAAGTTTGCTACTTGAATCTGTCGGTATACACGACTGGCATATCTATGAATCCTCAGAGCGAGTCGGTGGCCGCATTCGCACTAAATACCTCAACCACACTCGTCCAGATCAGTATCAATACCAGGAGATGGGACCCATGCGTTTCCCTGTCAGTATCACCTACCCCGAGACAAATGAGACACTCGAAATCATGGATCACCGCATGGTCTTTCAGCTCGCAGGTGTTCTCAACGAAATGAATGCCGAAAGCCCCGAGCTTCAGGTCAACTTCATTCCCTGGATTGAGAACGGTGAAAACCTCCCTGCAGACTCGGGAGGTGTTCGACTCCCCGATGGTCGAATCCCCACAGTTGCTGAAGTAGCAGCAAACGCATCTCTAGTCTACACAGCCGCCTCCTCTAACGCAACAGCTGTTGCAGATGCGGAAGCCGCTTATGATGATTACACAACACTTGACACCAAAGCTACATTCCGGGATATTGCAACAAATATGTACAAGGCTCACAAAAAGGCTGTCGAAGATGGCATGTTCCACTGGTCTGAAGCTGGATATTTACGATATGCCCTCGGATACAACGCGAACATCACCGATTATGTCGCCGGTACAACAGACTTTCCAATTTGGGGAGACTTCTACGACGATGTCTATTTCTCAGCAACAAAGTGGCGCACTATCGATAAAGGACTCGAGTCGCTTCCGCGTGCTTTCTTCCCCCATGTCGCAGAGAAGTTGACTCTCAACCGCACCATATCCGGGCTGGTCTATAATGAGGAATCAGGCAAAATCTCCGTGGCGTGGCGCGATGATCCTCTAAAGATGAAGCCCATTACTAAGGAGTTTGACTACGCTGTAGTCGCAGTCCCATTCAGCAAAGTCAGACTATGGGAACTCCCACGCTACTCCTCCCTGCTCAGCCGAGCAATCTCAACCCTCAACTACGACCCAGCATGCAAAATGGCCCTTCTTTACGAGTCCCGATTCTGGGAACACATGGAGAATCCCATCTTTGGCGGCTGTGGATCGGTAGACGTTTCCGGCGTCGGAAGTGTTTGCTACCCTTCCTATAACATTAATGGAACCGGACCTGGCGTTATCCTGGCATCTTATATTTCTAATACCGAGGCTCGCTCTGTTGCTGCTCTTAGTCCCGAAGAGCACGTTTCTCTTGTTCAGCGCGCTATGGTTGAGGTCCATGGTCAGATTGCGGCGGATCAGTTTACCGGGATTTATGATCGACAGTGCTGGGAATTCGATCAGCACAACGCCGGTGCTTGGTGTGATCCGCTTGTTGGTCAGCAGGAGCTTTACCTTCCAGCTTATTACCAGACGGAGATGAAGACCATCTTTATTGGTGAGCATACTAGTTACACGCATGCTTGGATCTTCTCCGCTTTGGACTCGGCGGTTCGGGGTACTACTCAGCTGTTGCTTGATCTCGGATTGGTGGATGAGGCTAAAACTGTCGTGGATACTTGGATGGGCCGGTGGATCACTCTGTGAGGTTATTTTGGATGAAGGAATCAAGTATTGCTATGATGCCAGTGCCTAGATTGACATGCTTAGCTAAGACGTTGTCTGAGGACCTCACAACTAGTATAATGGATCCTCAAGTCTTATATCTTCAGAAGGTGCCAACTAGATCATAATTTTAAAGAGGCAACATAGGCTAAATTGAATGAGAAGAGATTTGCGATCAAATTCCACTAAAGTAATTCAATCTTTGAATATTTGAATCAGAACGCGGAGGCGCGTATAAATTTCCCACAGAACTCATGGTAGTATCTCCTCGCCCTTCCAGTCCCAACATCTCCCTCTTCCATCCTCAGGACCAGAAGATAATCCCGCCAAGAATCTCAGTAACCGATCTGCAGAATCCAAAGGCTCCAACATCTCCCGACCAGACCAAAACTCTTTAGTGAAATCCGTCCGCACAGTACCAGGATGCAGAGCCACAGCCAAAGCTCTATCTCCACACCGTCCGCGCAGATACAAATCAAAGGTCTTCGCAATTTGGAATACAGCTGCTTTGCTCGCCCGATACGAGTACCAACCTCCAGATTTATTATCAGATATTGAGCCCACACGAGCCGCCATCATCGCGTATGTTGCGTGTGCGGGTAGCTGTAGTGCATTCTCAGAATCAAAATTGACATCGACATCATCACCATCATCAATCTCGGTAGGAAATGCAGAAGAAGACTTTTTTGGAAGGAACGGGACAAGATGCTTCATCAGCAAGAGTGGACCAACTGCATTAACTTGAAAGCTGTGCAACGCGCCCTCGGCATCGATTTGGGCTGGTGATTTCTCGACATTCAGGACTCCAGGCATGGCTAATGCTATACGTAGGGGTGTTTTGGGATACTCCTGTCGGATTGTATCTGCCATTGATGATATCGTGTTTTCGTCTGTTTGAATGTTCAATTACGCATCCAGGGATAAGTCTGCTGCATCTTACGTACCTGTTACATCGACTTTGAGCACGCGAAGCCTTTTTTCGGCATTTTTAGGTAGCCCCTCGCCGGAGAGTAATTGGTCTCGAAGCTCGGCGCAATTCCGGCGTGCTGTTGCCACGACTGGAAGCTGGGTCTGTGCTAGAAGTTGGTGCGCGAATGCATAGCCTAACCCCCGGGATGCAGGGGTTACTAAAGCGAATCCATCTTTTGCTGATAACATGTCAGTTATCTTTTTGCTTTGATCTTGAAGATATTTGCTAGAGCTGTGATCAGATTCCGGGGCATGAGATGAGGTCTCCCTGGTTAAGTGGAAAATATGACGTCATCGACCAACATACATCACGAACTTTGCTATAGATTCCAAAGTTCGTATAAGCAGTCTAATTCAGTATATTCTGAAATTATGAGCCACTAAGGTTCAGCTATCTTGTCTTCCAATTTTTCAAAAAAGTTTCGGCCAAATTCGCCACTGAAATCATTCATTCGGAGCTTCCCGTTCAGCGCCGAGATCTTAACCATGTCATGAGGACTTAGTTTAAAATCACCCTCGAGGTTCGATATGATCCGTGACGAAGATTTGGATTTTGGAATCACCGAGTGGCCTAGCGATACTCCCCATGCTACAGCACTTATGAGTAAATGTAGCACTAAATGCACCAACTATTGCGAATCTGATATTAACTCACCAAGAACAACTTGAGCAGCAGTCTTTCCATATGGCTCTCCAATCTCAGCCAGTACAGGCTCGTTGATCAACTTCCCAAACCAGGCTTTCAATCCATAGAATGTATTCTGGTTTCCTAATGGCGAGTAGTAATATGATTACCCTTTTCAATGTGCCACTCGGAGAAATCGCGCTGCTGTAGCCATGGATGACATTCTAATTGATGAACGGTGGGGACGACTGATGTTTTTGCAAGCGATTTCTCCATCTCTGCCTTGGAGAAACTCTAAACGCCTATTGCTTTGGTTTTTCCTGTTTCGAGTAATTTCTCCATTGCCCGGTATGTCTAGAGCCATCAAATTGCTGACATTAGAATCTGGCATCAATGTTACGGGGTGCATGCCATACATAGACTATATCAACATCTTCCATTGCAGGCATGCCGTGGAGCTTCGGAAATAGCTCTTCACCGCGTTTCCAGGCAACTGGCCAGTGCATAAGGTATAAATCCACATATTCCAAATTCAGTTCTTCGAGTGATTGTTGAAGAGCTTCTTCCACATCATCTGGGTGGTGCTTGTTATTCCATAGCTTCGTGGTGACGAAGAGGTCTTCTCGGGTACGCCACTTTTTCTGATCGCTTGACCGACTGCCTTTTCGGTGCAGTAGCTGTAGTCAATTCACTTTTTGTTATTTGCAACCTGTCTAATGCATACACACTTACACTGTTGCGGTGTCGATATGCTGGTAGCCGGCTTTGATTGCCTCCAGCACGGCCGCTTCCTGTGCATCTTCATCTTGCCAGGTGCCGAAGCCGATAGCTGGAATTTCGGCGCCGGTGTTTAATTTGAACTTTGTTCCCATTTCAAATTGTGCCTCGACGTGTATTGGGGTCTCTTCGAAGTCTGAAATCCGGCATATAATTGAGATTGTTTGTAAGCTGCAACTCTGGGAGAATGACGTTTCGATGAGAGAATATCTAAATTTTTTTCAACAGCATAAATGATACCGGGATTTGAATAATCAACATGAATTAACTATTTATGATCTTCTTGATAAGGCTTCCACCACCTCCGCACCTCCTCGCTGGCCCGAACGCACTGCACCCTCCATATATCCTCGCCACACATGAGATGTCTCGGTTCCAACAAAATGAACGTTTCTAAAGGGTGTGGCCAGCTCAGTCCCCACTGTAGTCAGCGTCCCCGGTGTCATCACTGGACAAGGAGCTCCAAGGAAGAAAGCCTGCTTAGCCCATTCCATCTCCAAAACATTTGATGGCTCCGGGATCTCGTCGACGAATTGGCTAAAAGCCTGGCTGAATTGCCCCCAAACTTGCTCAAGGCGCGCTGCCTTAGATAGCTTTGACCATTGCCTTCCACGCTCTCCCACGATAAAGCAGGTTATTGACCACTGGTCATCTATTGGCACACTTGTATCTCGAGTGAAGGAGACCGGGCCTGTTTCACAGTCCATAACACCCGAAGATCCACCGGTCTGCCACCATGGTTCCTTGAAAACAAAGATCATTTTGCTGTAATACCCCATAACAGCATTTTCGCTTAAGACTGCTTTGTTCTTTGGTAGCGGAGGGCTGAAGGTAATCGAGCTGTACAAGCTTGTCGGAACCGAAACGATGACTTTCAACCCGCGGAAGACATTTCCGGGCTCTGTCGTTACCTCGCAGATGTCTCCCCTTTGGTCAATTGAAGTGACTGGCATGCGGAAAAATATGGTGTCTGCTCCGAGATCCTCAGCCAGTCTTTTGGAGATGGTTTGGTTTCCTTTGACCGGGTTAGTACAACACCGACGCGCATGGAAACAGAGATACGAACCTTGTCTGTTTCGAATATATTGGCCTCCGTCTTTCCCATCTGATAGTAGATTGTCGATACCGCAGCCACTTTTGATATAATGAAGCATGTACAATGCACTGAGCTCCTCACTCTGCACCCCAAGAAGTGCTGTGGTCAGTAGGTCCGCAATATCAGCTGCATCCTTTGATTGTGATCTTTGGATACAAAAGTCTTTGAAGGTCATATGGTCAATGTCTTTAGCCCTAGGGGAGCTGGTAGGATTGTCCAGATCAATTAGAGATGACTCTTTCCGAAGCACCTCTAGAAGCCGTTGAAAGACACGCTGGTCTCCCTGGAAAGAAAAAAGTCGATCAACACATGCAACACATAAGAACTCTCCTGTCTCCACTCACCAACAATTGACCATATGGCATCCTGACAGCCGAACCGTTTTTCAACAGTGCGACGCTATCCCCGCAGGCTCGTTGGATCAACCCATCTATGCCGTATCGTTGGAAAAGTTTATACATTTCACTTTGATTCGAATCATTGATCCAGGCGGCTCCAAGGTCATTGAAACCCCTCTCGCTGGAATGCACGGAGAAAGTTTTCCCGCCGACTCTATTCGTTGCTTCCACAACGCACACCCTGAGCCCTGCGGCGCGGGCGGAATGGGCAGCTTGGAGGCCGCTGAGACCGGCTCCGATAACCACGACGTCATACACCGCTTTCGCTCGCTCCGGGGATATAACTTGAACTTGATAACGCATGCTTGACGATTTGGATGAATTACGTAGCTTTGCGGGGGTTGGCTATCAATTGTTGGTAGTGCAGAACTCCGCAAGATGCTATATGTGGAGGTGAGCTTGTGCTTGAGAATTTGGGGCAAATCCCGAGCCGAACCCCACTCTAGAATGGCCCGCAATCGACCCAGTGGAGACTGAAATATCTTGACAATTTTTTAAGGTTCTTGATATTGCGCGATTAGCTTTCGGTGTGAACCATTAGACGGTCCATTGCTTCAACCGTTCCGACAGCTGTCCAGTCACGCCTTGACAGTTCTCTCTGATCGGTCTGGCTCGAATGGCCAATTCTGGACTGGATTTGGCATCGCCAGCATGGGACAACTGTCACTGACGATCGGATTGACAATTTGGATTTCCACCAAGTGGACGTCCAGCAAGCATTCACCCACTACTTTCCACGCCGCACAACCAGAATGAACCAACTTTTCCTCCGTAAACGACTTCAGTCATCATCCAAGAACAAGGTTCTCCACAAACCGTAAAGCTCGGCACCTCTCGAACCACGTATCTGGAAGAACTTCCCTCTCATCCGCAAAGACACCGTCTCGCCCAACGTCTACCGCTCTTTCTTCGAAAACGATATTTTCAGCTCAATTGCTCCGACGGATAATGCACAGACAGTTGTTGCGAACAAGTTTAACCCGTCAACGCCAATCCACCTGAGTCAAAGCTAATCGCTCGGGGACGGTCAGGCCGTCGGAGAACCTCGGTTCCCTTCTTTTCTAAGTGTGGCATGACCCTGCGCGAGTCCCGCCCTAGGGCGTCACACGTAAGGGTTTGCCCAGCCGTCCTCCTCCCGTTTCTTCACCTTTCTGTGGACCCAGTAGTTGGCTGCAGATTGGAGGTCTTCGGGGGAAGGCTGGAGAGGTGTTCTGCACGGGGGCCGACGGTAACGCGGTGATCCGTACGCCACCCGGTAGTCAATTTGCTAGGGCATCGGCGCGGAAATTGCCTTCGGTTTCTTTGTGCTAGTGGGCCGGGATCAAGTGGAAGCGGGTATTCCACCCCTTCTATCGTCATTAATCGATTAGCCGTATGACTTCTTTGAGTAGGCATTGTGCGCTATTTTGGCGGGGGTTCTGGATCACTTGGAGGGCAGATTGGTTGTAAGAGTAGATCTCCACGTCCTGCTGGAATTGGGTATCCTCGTCCGTGAGCCGGAGAGTGAGGATAAGGCCGCCGATCTCTGCGGCGTGGACGTTGGGGTGGTGCTCGGTTCCAAAGTACGCCGTCCGCTCGAATCTATTCCCCTGGAAGTGGCAGTATGCGGACGCCCCTACTCCTTTGTGGTGGCTGGAGCCGTCTGTATAAATTTTCGGTGCCGTTGAAGTGGGCAGTTAACCCAGTGTACCATCGCTGCCTCCTCTTTGCTGGCTGCGATATCGATGTAAGGGGGCTGCCACCACGGAGCGACTGCGAAGGAGTAGCGAATTTGGCAGTACTGGACGTAAGCTTGGAAGGGAAGCGCCTACCGACCGGTCTTGAATTCCGTCAAGCTCAGGGAACTTCGTGGGGCGTTGGGCGCGCTTAATTTGTCTCGAATGAAGCTGAGGACATTAGCGGCCTACACGTAGTGAACGAGGAGTGGCTTGTTCGCGGCAAGAGCTATTCTCGCACAGAATTCCTGAAACATGGCCACGGGAGGTGAAGTGGGAACGGCATGCGGGGATTCATTTCTCAGGAGAAGAAAAATGTCGCTAGTACGCCTTCATTCGCCAAGCAGAATACCTCTGGAAAGCGTAGGCCAGGCGCGTGTCCGAACAGGTATTGAAAGTGGATTTTTCCAATATTATTGGTGATCTCCATGATAAAGGTAGGCTGATTGAGCATCATTGATGTGCCCCAGGGAGGAGGCTTCAAAACCACGGCAGGAGGTTGGAACACCAAACCAGGGCCAGCCATGAGGGGGTCAAGAGGATCCATTCAGTTGAGAATAGCTAGGCAGATGATAGTGTAAAGCTGGCGTGAATGCATGTCGCTCAATCATCTGGTCAATGCGGTGGGTTATTGTGATAGGCCATTCAAGTTCAATTTGCGGCCCTGTAAAAGGCTAGTCCAGGTCTCTCAAGCTCGCCTCACAATACCTACCCTTTCAAATGTGAAGACCGGTCTCGATATCCTCCGGGGCGTAGGCCGCAAGTACGCTAGCTTCGAGGTCCACGCCTTCAGCGGAAGTGCGGAGAACTTTACAAAGGATCTCATACCATATCCGCGCTAGCCTTTGAGTACATATTTGCTGTCAAGCCGATAGAAAGCTAGGATTTGCCGCTTGGGTTATCAGTGATCCTGAGGGTGAGATCGTAACCGAGTCGTGCATTCAGGCAGGAATGATCAATCAGCTTGCATCCACCCTATACAGACCTATCCTGGTATACCTGGCGGTGGTCTGCATAAATGGCCGGTAGAAAATGATATGTATGTTGTGACGCGGAATCTTCGGTTCTTTGAGGATCACATTCCATGGGACACGAGATCGCTGGAGAGCCCCGTATGCTTTGTCACTAGATTTCTCGAAGATCGCTGATCTTAGCGTTCTGTTCTCTCGCAAATTGTATAGGAATCGGGTTCAAGAAGGAACCAAGGCTTCGAGAGCAGTAAAATGAAGATTGACATGGTTGCTTTGTTCTTCTGCATGATCTGCTTGAATCTTGCCACTAATGGTGCTTCAAGGGTTGCCTTTGATTCGTGTTGAAGGAAGCAATCCAAGACTCGAGCAGTCTTGGATTGGGTAAAGGGGAATGGAGTGAGCCATCTTGTTGCTAGAGGAAAGTCCGGACATTGTGGTTTATATTGGTCTGTAGATCGAATTGCAGGCGGGATGGCGAGGTGCGGGCGTGATTCTTTATAGTTCTGGTGGGATTGGCGGAGGGATTGGACGAGAGGCATTTAAGAGACAATGGTGTCCAGGCTTGTGGGTTCGTTAGGGTTGGATTGACATTGAGATTGAGGCTCCTTGGTGGGCTTTGTGTGGTGTGTTGGGATTGATGAATGCTCAGAAATCTTCAATTGCCTTTCGCATCGCTTCCATCTCGTACGTCTCATGTCGCTATTTGGAAAACGCACGGTACTGAATTTATGACCTAGAGGTGGCAGTGCGGCCATCGCAATTTTTGGCGCTGTAACCCCATGAGAAGCTGCGTAGGATTGGTCTGCTTTGCTTTCCGCGGACTCGTGGAACCTATATCATCGGCGAGGTAGTCGGCAATATCCTCCAAACGCCAATCTGTCTCGACGGCATGACAACGAATTTCACACCTCTTTATCACATATTCGTGATGGCCTCCGCATAATAGAGCCATCAGTCGGCACCCATATGTTACATCAGAACCTGGCTGCCATTGTAATATTACTGGCCTATGATCAATCAACTGAGAGTTTTGCATCTGAAGATAGTAATCATCGCCATGAGTAGCCGGTCTCCGGGTGGCAGAGACTCGGAAGAGGTCTAGACAACACTGTAAGAGGACAGGAGGATGCATAAACCAGTCCCACCAAATCTATTCAACGTCAACCGGTAGTTGGACCTATCAGAGCCTGAGATGCATGTTTGCTTGACGAAGACATGGTGCAAGGAACCTGCATCATATGTACAGCCAGTCGATGGCGAAGTAAGCGTCGTGTGAAGCTGAATATCCCGTCGGATATATGTCACCGGCTCCAAAATATAGTCCGTAGAATTTAAGAGGTCGGTAAATAAGATCTTCGAATGCACTTAGCGAGCTATCAGTGCCGATGCAGATGATTGGTGTATTCTGAGCAGTTGAAATATTATATCGATAAGGAAGTGAGCATTTGTTGGCTTCACCAGAAGGTTACTAGTCAGCAGCACCGCATAGAGGTTCATGCTCGTCGCTGTTGGGTCTTCTGGGATCTGGACAGCCGCAGAAGACCCCGGTCAATTACCGTGACCGGTCGGTCCATTTTACCGTGGGTTGGTCCAGTCAACTACCGTGACAAGTCGATCAAGTCAATTACCGTGATAGGTCGGTCCATTTAACCGTGGGTCGGTCCAGTCAACTACCGTGACAGGTCGGTCCGCGAGCGGTGGTTGGTGAGGGGGGAGGGAGAGAAGGCGAAGAGGGTCGGGCAGCCTTAACGCTCGAACAGTTGACCAGGATCCTCATATAGGACAGAGAGATCCCGCAACTTTGTTGGCGAGACGGACCGAGTCGACGATCTTGACGGCGCAATATTCTCCCCACGCAGATCTTTGGCTGGCGATCTTGAGCCTGATGGGACGACTATCGAATCCCCGTCGGAATCGAAGTCACTGTCCTCATCCTCGCCGGCACCCTGCATAGCGGCAATCCGGTGGAGGTTCCATTGTATTTGCAATAAAGCAAAAGATGGTAGAGGCCTCTCGTTCGGATCATCGGTCTTGATCGTAAAGATATAGCCCGAGGGAATGGCACGCTGCGTGCCCATGTCAAAGACATAGTTATTGTTCCCGGGGGTTAATTTCGGTAGGTAATTTGCGCTATACGGGTTCTTGAGGCACAAGACTTGGTCTGACTGCCTGAGCTTATCGTCGCGGAGAGGCAACCAATGGAAAGCAATGTCCATTCTAGTTTTCTCCTCATTCATCTGAACGGGCCGGAACGCACACAGACACCTATTCCAGGCATCGTGAATAGTGCTCGAGAACGATATCATATTATAGACTTGCTCAGTGCTCATTCGGTGGTTGTCCCCCATGATGTCCCGTTGCCAGTTTTTGACTTGTTCTTCGCCCCAGAAAAATCGAAGCCTAGCCCAGTCCGTTGCCCTACTACTGCCTTGCATCTTATAGGGCATGATATGGGACACCTCGACCATCGGCATCCCCTGCTGGGTCAACACGCACTGGTATTCATCACGGCACAGCGCCTGAAACAACTTAGTAGTATTCTTTTTTGATTTTTTAGGTAACTTTACCGAAAGTCTCGCCTGAGTACTACGTCTTTCCCGCGGAGGAATTTCACACTCAGGACTAGTACGACTGCGACTTTGGGGAAGTCGCTTCTGAGGACTCTCTGAGCGAGAGTGACGTGGTCCTGGGATCCTCGAGGAACGCGGGGGAGAGGTGAGAACTCCGGTTTCCTTTGGGAGAATCTTGCCGCCGGCCCCTGGTTTGTTAGACTTATTATTTTGATATGACTTTAGCTCACTCACAGATTCCTGCCATATCCACCTTAGGCTCGGTCAAAGCGATCAGCAGATATGTGGATTCGAGATTGAGGAATCGCCTCAATTCCTCAATGTTCGAAAACCACAGGAAAAAAAACACTGAGCGAGGGATCCGCCTTATATCCGGGAATTTCTGGACGAGGTCTCGCATGAGGGCCCGCCGTTCCTCATCATGAAATTCAGAAAATATGTTTTGCTTATCAAAACGCTGGAAATCCATGGTAGCTTCAGTCATTGTGAAAAACAAGAAAAAAGTGGCAAAATGTTGAAGGGTCAAAACAAAGAAAGAACGAGGATACATGCAGAGATCTGGAGGCTTAACTATTGAAGCGCGCTAAGGAACGGTACTAAACCTAATCGGGACAATGACGTGTTTTATAGAAACATTCTTGGTGTTGATCAGAGCAGGGTTCTCCGTTTATCCCTACCAGTACCTGATTCAGACTCCAGTAGATTTTAGTCTAGATCTTGGAGACAATAATTGACTTTTAATCGGAATTTGCTTAGTGCTGAGATGGTATTGTGCCAAGAGTAGTGGCTGGGCAAGATGTGATCACTTGATATCGTATCGTGGCTGAGAGCGCGCTAAGCTGAGTGCGAAGAAATCCCATCCCATAGTTCTCACGCTCTCCCGCTCTCCAAAACACATTTCAAAGATGTCACAGATCACTTTTTCTGATTTCAATAACTCGGGGTCTCAGATTGCGGACAACCGTGGCACAGTCAATAACCATTTTTACCCTCCAGGTCAAGCCCCATTCTATAATTGGCCCAGCCCCTCCTAACTGATTATCACCTTCTCTTAGAGCAGCCACAAGCACCACCTATCCCTTTATCCACTGTTCCTTTTTGTCGTGATCCAGATTTTGTTGATCGTGGCTCGTTGCTCGATATCGTTCAAGAGAAATCCTCTACATCGGCCTCGAGGTTAGCACTTGTTGGTCTTGGTGGTGTTGGGTCAGCTCTGACTTCCTCGTTCTGCGAAGTAGAGACTAATAGTAAGAAGAAAGTCCCAGCTCGCTATCGAATACTCGTATCGAGTGCGTGATCAATCACCAGATACGTGGGTCTTTTGGGTCTATGCAAGCAATACAAACCGCTTCGAGCAAAGCTACAAAGAAATCGCCAACAGAGTCAAGGTCCCCGGGCGCAATGATCCCAAAGCGAATGTTATTCAGCTCGTCTACGATTGGCTTCAGGATTCGAGGGGCCAGAAATGGGTTTTGATTCTCGACAATCTGGACGATGACCAATTCCTATACAAGCCACTCGCAATCCGTGAAGACGAGAATAGTCACCGCACCGCTTTGAAGCAACCGCTTCTGTCTTTCCTTCCTCGCAGTCTCCATGGTACGGTTATTATCACAACACGCAGCAAACGTGTGGCTTTGAATCTCCTCAATGAGAATGACATCATTCCAATTGAGCCTATGGAAAAGTCAGATGCGTTTACGCTGAGGAAACAAAAGCTTGGAAATATTACATGTGATGGATCGACCGAAGGTCATATCGAAAAGCTTACTGAGGCACTCGAATTCATGCCCCTCGCGATTGTGCAGGCGGCGGCCAACATCAAGAACAAGGCTTCCCGGTGCTCGGTAGCTCGGTATCTTGAGGATTTCCAAAGAAGTGATCAACGAAAGATAAAGCTCTTGGATTACGACGTCGGTCATTATCAGCGAGATCATGAAGCGAAGAAGTCAATTCTTGTCACATGGCAAATCTCATTTCAGCATATTCGCCATATCAGGAAGTCTGCAGCCGACCTCCTGTCTTTGATGAGCTTCTTCGATCGACAGGGGATTTCTGAAAGTTTGGTCCGGAAACACCCTAGGGAACTAGACGACTGCACAGAATTCGAGAACAGGGTACCACGTTCAATTAGCTGTGAAGTCATCAATTGCAGTAAATTCGGAGACGATGACGAATTCGGGGATGATATTGACATTCTCAGAGATTATGCATTTATCTCGATCAGTAAAGACCCTACTATTTTCGAGATGCATCGACTGGTCCAGCTCTCAATGAGAAGGTGGCTAGAAATCCAGGGCGAGGATGAGAAATTGCGAGATACTTTTATTGAAAGTCTTCATCGTGAATTCCCATATGAAGATTATGAGCTATTGGCGAAGTGCCAGTCTCTTTTTCCTCATGTGAGATTGGCAAGCCTCCAACGACCAAAATCCGACAAATCTTTCGAACTATGGGTGGCGCTTCTTAGTCGTGCAGCAAGATTCGCGTATTTAAAGGGCGGATTTCAAGAAACGAAGCAACTTCTCACCATTTTACGAGAAGTGCTTGGAAATTTATTTGGTCCGGAACATTCAAGCGTTGTAAGTGCCACAGATCTTCTAGCTACTAGCTATCGGCATGAAGGTCAATTTGACAAAGCCGAAGAGCTACAAAAGCATGTACTAGAAGCTCGGCAGAGTCTGCTCGGCGTGACGCATCCTCTTACGCTCGCTAGTATTGGAAGTCTAGCATTGACTTATGTGGGGCAAGGCCGATTCCAAGATGCTCAGATACTACAAGAGCTACTGCTGAAAACTCAGATAAGCGTTCTCGGCGAGGAGCACCTCGATACGCTCGACAGTAATGGAAGTCTAGCATTGACTTATGTGAGGCAAGGTCGATACCAAGATGCTCAGATGCTACAGGAGCTACTGCTGAAATCTCAGAAAAGCGTTCTCGGCGAGGAGCATCCAGATACCCTCGCTAGTATGGGAAATCTAGCAACAACGTATATGAGACAAGGCCGATATCAAGATGCTCAGATGTTACAGGAGCCACTTCTGGAAACTCATACAAGGGTTCTCGGCGACGAGCATCCAAACACGCTCGCTATTATGGGAAATCTAGCAATGACGTATATGAGACAAGGCCGATATCAAGATGCTCAGATGCTGCAGGAGCCACTTTGGGAAACTGAGAAAAGAGTTCTTGGCGACGAGCACCCAAACGCGCTCATTAGTATGGGAAATCTAGCATCTGCCTATATGGAACAAGGCCAATATCAAGATACTCTCATACTATTGGAGCCACTTCTGGAAACTCAGAAAAGCGTTCTCGGCGATGAGCACCCAAATACGCTCCTTACTATGAGAAATCTAGCAACAGCTTATATGAAACAAGGCCGATATCAAGATGCTCAAACTCTACAGGAGCCACTTCTGAAAACTCACACAAGGGTTCTTGGCGAGGAGCATCCAGATACGCTCGCTATTATGGGAAATCTAACAACAACGTATATAAATCAAGGCCGATTACAGGATGCCCAGATGCTAGCGGTGCTGTTGTTGGAGACTCGAAAGAGAGTGCTTGGAGAGAAGCACCCGCACACGCTTATGACCATGCGTACTGTAGCCCATATTTAGTATTATATTACCCAACCACTTGATGCGTGCAGCTTGATAACGATTTGTGTTAGTATCTCGACGGAGGTCTTGGGCGCTGACCACTCTGACACCATGGAAGCCTCTAACAGCTGAGAGAATGGGAGGAACACCGACTTTTGCCTATGAACCAGGATGGACAATTGATTGGAGAGTGAAATATCCAGAGATTTTTAAATTGAAAGGCGTATCTCGATAGTTGCAATCACTATATTCAGCTCTAAAGGTATTATTTTGGGAATTTCTTGATACTGAGCCCTTAGTTTCGCTGATAGTTAATGAATTACATGGATTCTTTCCGAAAAATATCAGGTGTACATACATCTGTCTCCACGGAGCTTAGGTATTATCCCTTAAGGGTGTGTAACTCCACCGCGAAAAGAACGTTGCTGGAATAAGATCTGTATTCTAACAGGGGTGGAGAAGGGAGAGAGAGAAAGATTGATATCAATTCAAGACTTACGAGCAAACGGAGAGGTTCATCTGACCTGTGTCACTCTAATATACCCTGTCGGCTAGGAAATCATGGATAGCTTCCTAGGTAGCTCCGCTCTCAACAAAGGTCTGGATCTCCTCTCGGTGGGTGGTGAGGTCAATTTATGGGCGCGGTATGGTGTTCGGAGGTTAGGTGGAGAGAGTACAAGCAGGTGGAGATCGGTAAGAGTGGAAATGTGTAGATATTAGATCGGCGGATATTAGATGATAGAATTTGGGGATTTTGTGGATTTTCTAGTATGATATGGTACAAGAAGTAGTAAAAGTAGTCAATCTACTTTAGAACCCAAACTTCCGGGGGCCTACTTCCTATTCGGCCCTGTGTCTACCGGAGAGAAATTGCCTGTGCCTTCGGTTTTTTGAAGCTTTTCCCCTTTGTAGAAGGATTGATAGAGAGAAAGTTGCAAGGCAGCTGTTTGAGTAAGAGCAGCTTTGTAAATGACTTGTCGGAAAAAGAGTGTGGAGAACATATTTTTAAGATACTGGTCTAATCGGCAAGTGTTGTTTTCGATTTGATTCTAATTGATCTCGGAATAAGCAAGTGGAGTTCCTGCCCCGATACTGTAAAAGTCCCGGTGTGGAGCCCAGACTTCTTTTTTTGCTTCGATTGTCTGAGATCGTCCGCGTTAGTCACAAGGGTCAGTCGGTGGCGTTAGAAGTTTGCTGTCCATTCCAGGCTCGACTGGACTAGGTGAAAAAAAAAAAAGCGGATTCCGATAGGGACTGCTGTGGTCGATTGGAATTATGGCTTTATGTCAGTTCCTAGTGGATGGATTCTGGGATGATACAAATCGCCGGGCCGTATGCCACGTGAATGGGTCGTTTTCTTTTGTTTTCTTTTGCGTCAATTCTTCCTATCTGGCGGAAAAGTTCCCTGGCTCTTCAACTGCCCCGACTCAATTGTGACTGATCAAGACTGGCCTTCTCGAGCTAGGCACCTATTAAACCGGCCATATAATCCAGTCAATGATTGATACTGTAAAAAGAAATAAAATAGAATAAATTCAATATTTTAATTTAGTTTTCCCATTTCTCCCATTTCTCCCATTTCTCCCATTTCTCCCATTTTTACTAAGGAAAGGAAGGGGACTGTCAATCCCACCGGCGTCGATTCACCATCAGAGCGTCTAGTACATTGTATAAATAAGATGGTAAGATTACCCAAGTAGGTAATGTTTTCCATCTTATTCTCATGAACATATCCGATTATCAGACACTCCATCCAATTCATTTCAGTCTGCTTATATTCTCCCGATCATCATGTCTTTCGGGTTCTCTGTTGGAGACCTTGTGCTTTGCACCCAGATCGCCTATCGCCTTGTCTCCTCTATTACCACGACAGGTCGCAACGAAGCGTCCACCGATCTGAGAGAACTCCAGGACGTTCTCTGGAGTCTCTGCTTCGCTTTGAGCAATTTACAAGTCGCCTACGATACCATCCTGACCAGACCAATCAATCAATTCGGATACACTGCTATTATGAGTTTACAAATGGCATATATGATTGGTTCGTGTCGGGAGACTTTGGAAATACTGGTCAATTCTACGGCAGACTATCGGTCGGCAGTCAACAACTCTGGGGTGCAGAGTCAGAACACTCATGGCAATATCATGGGCTTTATCTTCCCTCACTTCGGATCCAAAATCAGGGTCCAGTGAAGGCAAGTTTTATGGAGTTTTCGAGGCGACTCGTTGGGCAAGTATCGACAAAAGCTTCAGTCCCACACCGAATCGATAAACATCTTGTTGAATACTTTCATCTGGTCAGTCGCAGTTTTGTGTGTCTTTTAATCACTTTATTGACCGCGTTGATCAATTTTAGGCTCGCCACCGATCGCATCGAGGAGCATAATAGACAGCAGACACGGCAGTTGGAAGATATCTTGCGTTCGAGTCCTCGGCTGAACAGTGTGCTTGACAATGAAGAATCTCGTGCGATTCGATGATGCCTCGAGCTTGGTTTAAAGATTAGCACGCGGCTCTGTGATGCGGTATATCGGTTTGGGTACTTGGTTCCTCGTCAAGATGATACATTTCCTTTGTTATTATTGATTGGCGTGTTTGTTGAACCTTCCAGAAGGAGAGTAGAAGTGAAGGAGTGGATAGAGTGGAGATGAACAGTGGGGTTTCTGTGCAATGTTTGACACGCAGACAAACTGCGGATGTAGCTTCTGCGCCCGGCCGTACTTCGCGGCTCCATTTATATTCCGCGATCCGCCCATAAAATTTTTTCTCTTCCGTGCACATCTCACTCTGGGAGCTCCCAGCTCCCAGCTCTTCTTTTCTTTTATTTTATTTCTGTTAGAGATCATGAAAAGCAATGTCTGTCTCATGTTCATCTATCATCCATGACGAGGTGCCTCAACAATTGATGCTTGTTGTCGGCCTCGGATCATGATTTTCTCTCTAAAAAGGTAAGACAAACTTTTTTTTTCTTCGCACCCCTCCCCCTTCGAATGATGACCCTATGACATGCAAAGGCATTCCTCAAGCTTAAGTTATCGTGTGGAATCTTGTCAATATTAAGTTTCAGCCTTGTCTGACTTCGAAACATTTCTTGTTACTTGTTACCAGCTATTATTTGGCTTGACCTCGTGCTAACTCAATTCTGGTTAGGTAAATTCAATTTCTCATCAATCTCCCTCCACTGCGGCATGTGCCTTGCATGAAGAAAATTTGAACGAACGGGCGGACATAACGTATCCACGTCCCCTCATCCTCAAACCCAGAGCGTACAAACTCTGTGGGTGAATGGGAGGTGGAATACTTGTTGAGAACTCGTCACCTGATCCTTTGCCCATTGTCTCGAATTTTCATATTGAAAATGAGTCTTGAACATCCATCTGACTGTGTGACAATAGGTATTCTACACTTCTTTTTTCTTCTTGCATGCGTGCTCCTGAACATGGTCATACCTATTATGATGAAACTTGATATTCACACTGTTTGATTCGAATTTATTCGAAAATGAACATTAAACAAAAATTCTGATTTAATGAGGTGAGTTTTGCATCTACTGCAATGAAAAGAGAAACATATGCTGACCAGGGCTCCTAGCCTGATATAGATACCATGTTTTGATCTTGACTTCTAATTTGCATTTTCCTCGAATGCGATTGCTGACTCGATCGATCATATAGTGCCCCGCTATCCATTGAAGATACCCTGGCGTCCCTTAACATGTGAGTTTGACTTTTTTACATCCAACCTTCTTTGCCTGATGAACAAAAATTTTCGCTGTGTTCTTTCCGAATACCATTGACGATACCAAATTTTATTCACTTTGGAGATCTGACCGCTACCCTCATCCACACAACGTTCACTCATTGTACATTGTGTTCTTTGCTAATATGCAATGCAGATTTTGATACCCATGAATAGTTCTGAATACAATTGATTTTTATATCCTTCCATTCTGATCTGCAATCGTAAATCATCTCGTAGTCCATTTCCTACCCTAAAATCTCCACAGCACCTTGCTGAAATTTTCTTTCGAATCACTCTACAAACAAGCCATGCTGCTTATGCCACCCCTCAATACTAGTTTCCCCGTTATAAAGCTCATGCACACTTTTCTTACCCTCAGGCCACCGCGCCCACGCAGGCTTCGACCCAGCCATAACACAAACCATTTCATCCGGCACGGGCAGCTCAGTATCAATAGCCGATGCGAAAGGATGGATTAGTTCTGGCCAGTGATGATCCCAGAGCCAGAGCATTGAGCTGCAATTCGAGCAGAAGTTCCGCTCAGAGGAGCATCGTTCCTCATTCGGGGTTCCGCGATCTTTGATGCCGCGGTACTTTCTACAATATATTGTTAGCATTTTCTTTTGTCTTCGCCTTTAGACACGATCTTTGGATAAATAGATCATATTTAGAGGTTCTGGTTGCTGTCTGGGGCTTTATTCGTACTTTATGAGATCTTGGCCCTTTAGCACCTTCAGGCTGTCCGCGATGCCGCCGAGATTCACGGCGCCGATGTACCCGCCTACTTTGCGGCAGATGCTGCAGGCGCAAAGTTGGTAGGGCACTGGGGTTTGGGACTGGAGTGTGAATTCGATGCCGCCACATTGGCAGCTTCCGTCGAGTTTCCTATTGTAAGTTAGTTTCAAATACGAAGTAAATGCATGGAGGCTGTCTTGTTCAAAACTGCCAACTGCTTATGGGCTGGTAGGTGGACATACATTGGCATCTTAATTTGAGCAAAAATTATTGGATTTAGATGCTGAACGGTGCGGAGGTCCGACCTTTCAAGTCAATCAGAAGGTGGTGGAATTCTACTATATTTCGATGAACGGGAGCTGGTTCAGGTATTTATATCTAATCGCGGTGCAAAGAACCAAATTCCCCAACTTATGCAGACAAGTCAAACATCACAAACTAAAAGTTTAATGGATAATCATGCAACAGATGATATCCTCGCTTCGCCTATTCGTCCATAATGACAGCTCTAGCCCTGTTCTCTGCCGGTTCTGTCGGGGCATACATCATTGGCCGTATCCTGCGATGTTGGTTGGTCGATCGGATGTTTGTCTCGTTTGTTCTATTTGTCTCGCGGCTTGAGCTTTCGAAACGAAGTCTTGACTGCATCATCGTCCCCTCTGCACCGCTTGAACGAGTCATTTCTATACCGATCGGCTAAAAATATTGCCATAAATACCCCAAGATGAGTTTCGGAGCCCCCGGAGGTGGTTCGGTGAACTACAAGCCCTCACCGTGAGTTTTGCCCCAGCCGGGATCCTCACGCTGCATTCCCTCGCATCGTCAGAAGGCATAACTCCCGCAATTGGGTTGGTGTTATGACTTTGGCAGTATCACTGACAACTTGTTTTTAATTCGATAGGCCTGAGCGTGGTAGCTTTCCTCTCGACCATGAAGGTATGCTGACAACAAATCTCCTTCCACCCTTCGCAATATATATACCCAAGAGCGCCGCTAACCGATTGGCCGATTATATAGGAGAATGCAAGCATATTATCTCTGGCTACTTGAAATGCATCAAATTAAACCGAGGTACCAACGACGAGGCATGCCGCAAATTGGCGAAGGATTATCTTGCCTGCCGAATGGACAAGTGCGTTGCCCTGCCCTATTTGTCACAAGTTATACTCCTGTCGCTCCTGGGAACAAACTTTTGGAACCAATCTAATATGCGGCAATACTGACTGACAACCTCCAATAGAAACCTCATGGCGCCTGATGACTTTAAGAACCTTGGACTTATATTCAAGGACGATCAAGAAAAAAAACAAGCTCCAACAGCAGCAAATACGACTGACGCATCACAAGGAACGGAGAAAAATTAAAAAAGGGATGGCAATAGTTGGATGATTTGTACGATATTTGAGAAAGGAGCGTGACAAGAGACAGTCTAGGCGCTTCACAGGCTTTGAGAACAAATTGTACATAGATACTGTAATGTAACATAAGAAACTCCATATTAAACCTCATTTCCACAATTAAACTAGATGCTAAATGAAAGTGACAAAGTCACTTTATTTTCAGTCACAATTGGCTCGAGCTTGCATGCGGGGAAACCAGGTTCCGCCCACCGAGCCAAAAGCTCTCCAGCTCCAACATCGCCCCAGCCGATCACCACCCCACTAAATGTCGTCAATCGCACGGCCACCAGACCCATGCCTGGTGGCCATCATTCTAATCGTGCGATCGCGCACCGGGCCCCGTCTCGTCTTCCACTACCCTCCAAACCCACTCAGCGAGAACCGACTCAAGACAACCACCAAGAACGGGCGCCGCACCTCCCGCGCGCGGAACCGACAAGGCGCCAAGAACACAGACTCAAGCTCTAGCGATGATAGCGGCCTAAGCTCAGACGAAGAGGAGGAGGAAAGAGAGCGCGAAAACCAGAACCCAGCTGCCCAGGCAACCCCAGGCCAGATACCAAGTGGCAGCCACCCAACAACGCCGAGCTTGTTACTCGCTCGCCGCGCGAGTAACTTTGGCATCATCGATGAGAATGCGTCTATCGCTGCATCGCCTGGTACCGCTCCGACTGAACCGCCGCGCCCTGGTTCTTTGGGATCTGGTCGGGCCTCGTCGTTGCGGAAGCGGGGTGGTGCTGGGTCTGATCTTGAGGATGAGTCGGATCGGGATGGTGCTGGTGGATCATCGCGGGCACCTTGGGTGTCGCTTTTGGGTTTACCGGGTAGTGTGTGGGAGAAGCTACTGAGTCCGTCCCGGTCATGGCATAAACGGCGATTTGAAATTGGGATTAATGATCTTGCGCTTATTGGGTGGCCTGTCTTTGTGCGGGAGGATGGAACATGGCGCAAGCAGAGACGGAAGAAGAAAAAGAAGAAGAATCGCTCGGAGTGGGATGGTGGGGAGTTGGGTCATAACGATCCTGAGGGCGCTGAGGATGAAGATGGTGTTGCTTCTCCTGATATGGGGGGTAGTATTGCTACTATCTCCGAGCTGACGCTTTCTCCGACTGAGACGAAGCGCCATTCTGTGGCCAGCACGAAAGTTGGGAATCAGTCGGATGATCCTGAGGATAAGGATCATATGACTATGTTCAATGTGGTCTTTGTAATGGATCCTCCTCTGCTTGAGTACTCGGGGCGTGTCAAAGAGATCTATGAAAATGCTATCAAGAAGTTTGCTAAAGCCTTGAAATGGGAGCAGGCTCGAACGGGTTATGTGTGGAAGGAATCACAGCATATCTTGTCTGTACGGCGAAATGCTCGAGAGTCAAGTACTTGTCCCCTGCCCATATTCAATTGCTTGAATTAACATTGTTCTAGGAACCTCAATTCACAAACTGTATGCTGATCTGATAAATCAGTCTTCTCTAGCCAGGGCAATCTATACTGTTTACACCAGTATCTCAGCCTCCAAGATTGCCTCTGTATCACTCAGTCCAGATGTTTCTATCTCGCTACAGATCCCCCCGCTGACATCCACGCCGTATCTCGCTGGCCCCGCGGACAAATCTTATCCAGGTCTTTGGTTGACAACAGCAGACAGTGCAACCCCGGTGGATGAACCTAGTATTGACGATATAAATTCACCCCACCAGGTTCTTGCGAAACACTTTGCACTACTTCTACTTGATAGTGAGGCATCCATCATCAAAGACGTTGAAGCTTCTGGTGGCACTTTAGCAACGGCATTAAGACACTACATTCGCTGTTCCAAGCCAACCAAGTCATTCGCCCAAATCTCAGCAACCTCAGGAATTCCACTTTCCACTATCCAGATGCTGGCTAGTCACTTGGTTTATTGGCGTCGTGCTCGAGCCATCCCTCCCATCCACCAGCGAGACACATACATTGTCTCCCCCAATTGCGATCTCAGCAAACTGGAAATAGCGACTATTGCATACCAGGCAGCATTTCCCACAGTTCCCAGCCTTCCAAAGATGCTTTCCTTGCTCAGCGGTACCCCTCGTCCGTTTGGAAACTTCATTCCGAGCAAAGACCATAAGGAAACCTACTTCTCAATTCTCGCATGGCTTCTCCGCGGTGGTTGGGTAACACAGTTGCGCACCTTCGCTCGCATCAAAGTGACTCCCGAGATCAAACTGGCTGTGGAAATGGCTCTCCGTAAAGAAGAAGTAGACCGCTATCTTGCCAAGAGTCAGCCCAGCGCTCTGGCAGACCCGGACACGGACAGCTCAGACGAAGACGATGCAAACTCCTCATCATCGTCCTCACTCGCCAGCCATGGCAGCAGAGATGACACGCCCATTCCGGGTCGCGTCGACCCGCATGCACAGCTCCGCACTTCGCATAAACTACTAGACCGGTCCACTGCTCTACGGCAGTCTTCCCTGATCTTATCTCCGCACCGGGCATCCCCACTCGAATCCCGATGGCTAGACGAGATCGTCTCCCGATTCCCCGAGAAGCCCGGCGACGAGGATTTCCTAGACGGCGTGAGCCCAGAGATCGCGCCGGATGAGCTCGAAAACGTTCAAAGTCTACTCAAAACATACTGGCCCTCCTTCCTTAAATATTTCAACGGGCAAGACGCACTGGAGAAGATCTCCGTCCGAGAGAACCTGAAGCGCAAATTAGTATGGCGGGTTCTCAGCCGTCTAGGCTTCGTAGGGCCGACAAAGTCGGTTGATACAGACGTGCGGGAACAAGTGATTGTTAGTGTTCGGCATTGGTAGGGATGTTTACCGGCTTGAAAAAGTTATTTGTTTGTTTTGAACCATAGAAGCCTGGAGTTATCGCGCGTACGGATTCGATACCATTTTGTTTCCCTGTTTCTGGTTTGTCTATATTATGTTGTTAATCCTTACCTATATTCATCCCTCTAGATCGGCCTAGCGGAGCGTATCCGCAGAGTGATACAGATACCACATCCCACGTTCCAAGGTCCCCTTGTTCCCACCGATGTATTCTGATTACATACTCCACCCCATCCCGACGGATTCCGCGTGCCCTCAGCCCTAATTGTGCACTGCCGAACGTGTTTTTGCCGTATTTCGGGCGTAGGATGTTATTTAGGAGGTGAAATATGGTATAGTGTGGTATAGGGTGGAAGTCAATCTGTATAGAGGTAGCGATCAGGAATTGATGTGTAGCATCAACTCCTTACAACTTTGGGAGTCGATCACGTGCTGACAGGGCAAATATATCACATTCTTCGGTCGCACAGAACCACCAGGTGATGAATCAGTAATGGCTTGAGCGGGCCCTTAGCATGACATCCGGCAAGTACGGAGTAAGATGGAATTATTTCCTAATCCGTATCTAGGTGCATAACCGTGGACAGTTGTCAGTACTAAGCACAATACGCAGTATATGCCAGGGTAAAAGCGGGTTCAAATGTTAGGGATGCAACTTTCAAGGTCTGTATTACGTATACCTACATAACGCAACTCCTTAGTTACCGGCCAAGTCAGGTACCCGAGGATTTCACGGGTCGTATATCCGGTAGAACGCTCCGTGGCTAAGGATGTGCCGGATCAGTTCTCAACTTCCGCGTCGGTGTGGAGATTATAAAGATAATAAATTTCCGCGATTTAAAGAGGTTCAAGTTGACAAGTTGTTTTAATATTAATATTATTGGCTTGTCTTCAGATTGTTGATCAAGGGCCGAAGCCATTGCAGGTCAGAGCGAATAACATAATCAAGGCCATGAATTGACTTCCCGTTGCACCGCGTCAAATAATTTACTAGGCGGATATATGGTCTAAGGGCCAATCGTCGACCTCGAACGGAGGGGCTCCGGTGGACCCCGCAATAGGATAACGCTTTATTCAAAAATCTAAATGTATTTGGGTAGACCGTAGAATGTACTATTTTATGACAAATGTAAACCCATACAGAGTAAAATACGTGATCTCTCGGGGAGTTCGTAGTGCCAGTCATAAGTGTTTTGACAGGCAACGGTTGTCATATACGGAGTAGGGAGTCAGAGGTACGTATACAAAGTACCTGCAATCTTGCCATTGGCTAGATATTAGGCCCCCATTCCAGGCCTTCCAGCCTGGAAGGACCCTGAACAGATGGTGATGCCGGAAATTCTATCCCTGACTCCACGATTGGGTCGCTCATACATTGAGGCTCCTATCTCATATTTCGGGAGCCTGACACATTCACTAAATACTTAGCTTGGGCAACCTGGTTAAAAAGTTCATATACTTCAGGCTTTAAACAAGTACAGTTAAGGAAGACGTGAGCATATAGTGTATTGTCATTTTGGTAAAAATGGTAACCAACGGTAACAATCCAGCCCACGGAAGAGCCGCTAGTCCTAAAGAGGTAGGATAATTTCCTAAGTCCATTCATAGTGTTATTAGTGATTTCATTCTCCCACAAACCTTGAGTGTATTGTATTTTCTTGTGTAGCAGGATAGTTTGAGAAACTTTTTGTAGTACAGTCAATGTAAATTCAACCTTTTCTCGGATGATCATACTGGACTTAAAAGTTGGTCTGGTAAATTTGTGCGTCCGGCACCGAGGGATTAATCCGCTGGGCACCATCCACTATAAAGAGATTTTTTCTCATGCGAAATTCCACAATTACCTTACCTGGGGTACACAGAAAGCATACGCAAAATTGTTCTCATATTTTCCCTTGGGTCAAAAAATCCATTACCTTGTGTAAGGTAAGAAAAATGCTCCCGCTAATCATTTTGCCCTTATTACCCAAATAATTTTGCGTTCCCTGCTCTTACCCTTCACCATCTCCCCTCTTACCTCCTCCCACCCCCCCTCTCTCGGGTGTTTGTTCCTCACTTTCCCCATTCCTCCCTTGTTTTTATTTTTGATTCTTTTCCTTGACCGGATTTTGTGACCACGCCGAGCCCTCACCTGCTCCGTCACCTTCCCCGGACCCTTGTCCCACTTGCGATTCTTGAGAACCTCGAAATCTTTCCGATCCTCACCTCTCCTTCCTAGTGGATTTCGAACCCGTCGCATACGTGTCATTCGCGCCGTTAATTCTCGTGCTCCGAATCTCAAACAGGATCCAATTCTGATCCGGAAGTCGAAACTGACATATCAGTTCCTCTCGCATCCCTGTGTATCTGCCTGATCTTGACATCGTGAGATCCGGATTGATTTGATATCTGAGACCGAACCGAGCTGGAATTAGCCGCGGGATCCGAAAGAAATCTCCTTCTTCCCTCCGTGCCGACATCCCACCGATGCGATTTGCGTTTTAAACGGTCCTTACACACCGACAAACAAACCGCATTCCTACCTATACCGTCTTCAAGCTGTGCCTGAAGACCTGGATCTCTTCAGTCACACCTCAAAGAAGGAAGAACTGTCCTTAGTGGGGTTACGAAAAGGTGGAATCCATCCTTTATTTTTTGTTTTGAAACGACACCGGAGTAATATCGCGCGTAGGCGTTGATTCAGTTTCTCCAGGTTCGCCGCAAGAAATATCTGTCCCACAGCAGAATCCCTTGCGACTCAGAACGAATTTTTTACCCACCAAATTTCGGCAGGTTTTTGTCTGATTGAACTACCTAGCTTCATATCCAAGAAAATGCCTACATTCAGCTACGCGCAAGCCGCCAAGGGCGTGTCTGAGACACCAGCACCCGCTAAGCCGGTATCAAAAGAGCCCGAGATGACCGAGTCCAAGCCGGAAGAGAAGAGCATCGATATCCCCGCAGAGCCGGTAGCTATCTCGGCAACCGAAACATCGCAGGAGACTGAAAAGGCCACACCGAGCGTCGACGAGGATGCCGAATTCACCACCGTCACCAACAAGCATGCCAGCAGACCCAAGGCTGCCCACTCTAGGACATCATCTCCGAGTGTCCGGTCCACGGCAACACAGTCCAAAGAGGGTGAATCCTCAAATACCTCCAACGGAACCCAAGAGGCTTCCGAGAAGCAGGCTGACAAGGCCGAGAATGACACCGAGGAATCGAAGGACAAGTCCGCCAAGTCCGCGAAGTCCGAGAAGGCTGAGAAGTCAGACAAATCCGAAAAGGCTGAGAAGAGCACCCCACCAAAGGAGCTAAAGGCTGCTCCTCTTCCATCAGTTAACATCTGGCTTCAACGTAAAGAAGCCCAAGAGGCCAAGGCCAAGACCTCCCCAGCTCCCGTTACTGGCAAGCCTACTTCCGGAAAGGCAGCGGAGGAGAACCAACATGATTCTCCCAAGACCAACTCCAAGAAGAAGGGTAGCGATGGCTCGCAAGAAGGCGCCAAGGGAAGCAAGAAGGCCGATGGCGCTAAGGGACGGGATGGCGCTTTGCCTCCGGTCGAGGATGCTGTATCATGGCCCACACCGCAGGTTGCTATTGTTGAAGATAAGAAGAAGGCACAGGAGAAGACAGACAAGACTGAGAAGTCCGAGAAGAGCCCAGTCTCGCGTACCCACGGCAAGGAGAAGTGGATGCCCGTCAACTATACTCCTACTGCCGTCTTCAACACCCCACTCCCTTCCGCTGGCCGTGGAGGCCGTAGACCCACTCGCGGTGGACGGGATGGAGGTCGTGGTGGAGCCCACGCCGGTGCTGCTGAGAAAGCCGCCTCAGGTCAATCGGGCCCTGGCTCTGCGGGCAAGCAGGCCTCTGGAGAACGGGGTCGCAACGAAGCGGGCACTAACCGTGCTGCTTCCCTCCCTGCACAGGCCAGACGCTCTACTAGCTCGGAAGTAGCCATTCCCGAGGGTCGCAAGACTCAAGCCGTGGAGCGCAACAACCGCCCTGCCCGTGGTGCCGAAGATGCCGCTGCCTCAAATGGAAAACAGGCCAACGGTGGCGAGAACGCCCGGCCCCAACGTGATGGCAAGCAATTTAACCGAAACAACGAGACCCGTGCTGCTAAGGGTGGTCAACCAGCCGTTGACTCTCAAGCTGCAGGTCGTGCTAATGAGCGTCGAGTTGAATCTGGCTCCAAGTCTGCTGATGTTGGTCCAAATGGCTTCCAGGACTTCAACCGAGGTGCCGAGCGAGGAGGCCGATCTAGCCGTGGACGTGGAGGCGCTTACTCTGGATTTGGCGGACAGAATGGCCAGTTTGGTAGTGTCGGACACAACTTTGCCCCCAAGAACTTCGGCTTCAATGACCGCCAACGATCCCAGCACGGTCTTGCCAATGGCTCGCAGCAGGGCAACCGGATGCCCTTGAGGTCGCCTTCTTTGGGAGGATCTGCAAATCAATATGGTGTCTACCCCTTCCCCTCTGAAATCAACGCCATGTACCCTTACCAGGCTGTCAACCCCGGCCCTATGAGCGCCGTTCCTTACCAGTCGTACATGGAGCCCTTCGGCCTCATGAGCATGCTGTCTATTCAGTTGGAGTACTACTTCTCCGTCGACAACATGTGCAAGGACATGTTCCTTCGTTCGCAGATGGATTCTCAAGGCTTTGTCCCTCTCAGTGTCATTGCCAACTTCAAGCGCGTGAAGACTATGACCGAGGATTTCGAACTCTTGCGTCATATCTCTCGCCAACTCCGTACCGTCGAGTACCAGACTGGTGAGGATGGCGTGGACCGCCTGCGTCCCCGTGAGAACTGGACCCAGTGGGTGCTCCCGGGTGCTGCACCGGCGCAACCTAAAAAGAACGACGAGAACACACCTGTCAACAACCAGGTCGGCGGTGCATCTAACGGCTTGCACCCTGGATCACAACAGTTCGTTCCCAATGGCACATCTTCCCACAATTCCCGGACAGCTCTTTCGTCCAACGCCCCAGAGTTCTTGCCATCGGCACAGAACGAAATCGCCACCGTGAGAACCCCCCAGGATTTCTTTTATTACCCCGCATCCGGTTTCGAACTGGACTCTTCCTTTGATATTGCAGCACATTTGGAAATAACATGTATTGACGAATATCGACCAGCGCGCGGACTAAATTCGCTTACCACGACACCACCTTTCTCTCCCCAAGGAGCGGCGGAACAATTAGCTGGGTATGCCTGACATCTACCGCCCCCCAGATGACTTTCAAATGACGTCTGACACTTGTTTTCGTTTAGTAAGTTTCATGGGCAGTATAAAAGACATCCTTCGACCAAATACCCTGCTCGCCCAACGCCCATGCCAAGCCACCTGTCGTCTGATCGGAAGAGAAAGGGTCCTCCGAAGAAAAAGCACGCTGAAGTCGACGAATCGTTGGAGGTGTCAGAAAAGTTCGAGTCGGGGGGTGAACCACAACCTTTGGACTTGAGCCTCATCAGTCCCACTGGTTATCGATACTGGTTGGGCCGTTTGAAGGAGAATTTCCAATTGAAAATGTACAATGAATTTAGGCGTCAAGCCCTTGATGATGTTTTCACACGACACACTTATGATGGTTTCGATTCCCTCATGGAGTTTTATCGCTTTACTCTCGGTACCAAATCTCCTCTACGCCCTCAGATTCTTTCGGACATGGTCGGTCTGTGCCGAGATGAGCGTTTCAAACCTCAGGATGTCATGTTCTCTGTTGTTCGAACTGCTCTTGCCAAACGGGATCCGGATTCTGAGAAAACCTCCATTGTCGCCAATTTGTTCAACCACGAATTTGGCGATACGTGGAGTAGGCCGGTGAGAAAGCCATACCGTCACCGCATTTGACTTCTTTTTCTGGGATGCCAATTTCTCTTTTTTTTTCTCTTTCTCTTTGATCTTCTTCTGCTTTGTCGTCAAATTATGACCAGCACATTGTGTTCCCTATGGATATTCATTATTACCCACTATTTGCTTCATCGAATCCCGATGGTCATATTTTATTGCAACCTTGAGGCCTCATTATTAACCGTCTATTGCGAAGCCTCGGAGTTTTTCATCGGCCTGCCTTTCGTGTCTGTTTTTCAATTTTCAATACTGCTGCGTTCTCAGTCATAGGTTTTTTCTCCTCAAAACGTTCCGGAGTCGGGCATGCATGATCTTATGGGCAATATCCCCTTCTTCCCTTTCGATGTCTGATTCCATTGTGTTTCAGACCCAAAAAATGATTGTTTCTTCTTTTTTCTGATCATAGAAATTTTGTCTTTCCTTCCCTTACTGTGGAGTTGTCGTTCTCCATCTTTATGCGTTCGAAGTGTCTGTGCCCGCCCTGACACCCAGATCTTAGCGAGTCTCAAGGTTTATCAGCATGGCTGTTTCCAGCGGCCGAAAGAAAAGCAATGGTCGAAGCCAACAATGAAAAAAAGTATTGTTTGATGTCATTTACCTCCCCACTTCGAAGTGGGCGTTCTCCTGCTGCATTTATCAATGGTGTTCTCTGTGCAGAGATCCCTCTGCGTCGCGATTATGTCGGCCTTTGCCCACTGGGCGGAGGCCCGATAGCGCTAATGAGTTTTATTTTATTTTCGGGCTTCAAGGCGTTTGGAAGGTTGCAGCTGTGGTTGAGTGTTTTGTTCATAAACGGGGTTCAACAAGGGGCTTTTTGTATTATTGTCATATTGCACTTTGCGGCGTATAACCTGAACTTGTTTCCCCCAGTAATATGTTCGAAAAATCTACCTTAATTTTCAATATTTATCGATGCCCTTCTTGATAAGTGTGAAACCCCTTGCAAAGCAGGGACTAGGTATAGAGTCGGGTAAAGAAAGAGCGCGTGCCTATTATAATCGAGTCAATGCGGAGAAGACTGTGTTGCCTCAGGCACCACATTCTCAACCTTCGTTCCGAGCTCTCTCGGCCAGCTTGCTCCTCCATACCCCCTCCAATCCACAGAAAACGCATACCCCCAATCTCTCAAAATGGAGGGTGCATCCCGTCAGACATCAAAACTATTACGGTCCCGAGGTAGCCTGCTCCCGCAGCAACGCCGTCTTCCCCGACCAGCCACCCGGACAGGTCTATCCACGACACAATGCCGAGTTCTCTCAAATTCGAACCGCAATCTTGCCCCGGAGTCCCTTTTCGGCCAGCTTGGCGCCAATCCTGCTGCTTCACACAGCTCATCCGGTGGTCCTCCCACTTACTTCACTAGCCGAACAACCCTCCCCGCAAACACGATCGTACGATTCGTGCCGCAGCAGACAGCATGGATTGTGGAGCGAATGGGAAAGTTCCACCGGATTCTGGAGCCTGGTCTCGCTATTTTGATTCCATTCCTGGATCGCATCGCATATGTCAAGAGCTTGAAGGAGTCTGCGCTGGAGATACCCAGTCAGAATGCAATTACGGCGGATAATGTTACATTGGAGCTCGATGGTGTGTTGTATACCCGAGTGTTTGACGCATACAAGGCCAGGTAGGTTGGAGGATTGAATAATCCTGCATGGTTCAGGGACAAACGTCTAACATATGGGGATTTAGCTACGGTGTCGAAGATGCGGAGTACGCCATCTCCCAGCTTGCACAGACGACTATGCGATCCGAGATCGGCCAGTTGACCCTGGACCACGTCCTTAAGGAGCGCGCCACCCTGAACACGAACATCACACAAGCAATCAACGAAGCCGCCCAGGACTGGGGTGTTGTGTGTCTGCGATACGAGATCAGAGATATCCATGCACCAGACGGTGTTGTGGAAGCGATGCACCGCCAAGTAACCGCTGAGCGGTCCAAGCGAGCGGAGATCCTGGAGTCTGAGGGTCAGCGACAGAGTGCTATCAATATTGCCGAGGGACGCAAGCAGTCTGTCATTCTGGCATCTGAGGCGCTGCGCGCTGAGCAGATTAACCTGGCGGCTGGTGAAGCTGAGGCCATTCAGCTGAAGGCGGACGCTACTGCCCGTGGAATCGAGGCTGTTTCGAAGGCTATGCAGGAAGGCAAGGAGCATGCCCATGGTGCTGTTAGCTTGCGAGTGGCCGAGAAGTATGTTGATGCATTCTCGAATCTGGCCAAGGAGGGCACATCCGTTGTTGTTCCGGGCAATGTTGGTGATCTGGGCGGCATGATTGCCAGTGCTATGGCTGTCTACGGAAAAGTCAGCGAGAGCCAGGCCAGGAGCATTGCTGCTAAGGCTGTTGGTGCTCAGAAGTCAGAGATCAACGTAACCCCGAAGAATGAGCAACATATTGCGGAGCATGAGTTCGGGGTCGAGTCTAGTGAGAGGGAGCCCAACAATGAAGTCACACGGAGCGTCTTGGAATCATTCAACGAGGCTAGCCAGAAGACCAAGCACCAAGATCACTAAACTGGATGTGTGAGATAACTTTCTTCGGACCTCTTTGCATCTCGATCCGACCGAGTTAGGAGTTTAACCGGCCTATCTCTTTGTACCACTCTCCCTCCGCTCTTATTATTTCCTCTTTCTTTTGTTCAGTTTTGCTTGATTCTACAGCATTTCTTCAGGAGTCAGAAACGGCACCAGCTCTTCTTGCCATACGGGATTTGAACTACCCCATTTTTACGTACATAAGGCACGATGGGGCATTGGGACCCAAGACAAGGAGAGTAAAAAGAACAGAAGAAGACAAAGCCTGTATGATCGTGTTAAGCAGCAGATATCTGAATCAATACACTGGAAGATTTGGAATTATTCTAGCAAATGTGACTGATATAGTCTAGACTTAGAAATACATAGATGCTTAACGCGAAAAAGAGGAGCTCGGGCCACCTAATCTGGAGATCGCGACTTTTCGGCTTCGCGCCCTGATCAGCAACCTCCCTTTGTGTCCCGCAACACCCAAATTCTTCTCCCCCATCATCTATCCTCGGCTTCTCACTGGAATCTATTGTTGAACCCCTGCGAAGCTAGACTGAGAACTTCCAAGGGGTGGTCTCTGCGATGTCCTCTACGATAAACACCTGAACCTCCACCTGATCTCGACTTCCAGCTTCGCCCTTCTCTCGTCGACCCTCGCTGCGAATAAATTATACCTAAATTCAATATACCGGATCCGAGCCTAAGAACTCTAGAATTTTCTCTCCACGGTGCATAAGGAAGTGGCGCACTCCGCCCCAGTTGCGCAATGCATATTATCAAGCCAGTCTGGCTCACACATGGAGGTACGAATACCTGCGATGCTATACCGGAGTCATCTCGTCCAGGAATTGCGTGCTGGCTCTGGTCAACTCGCAATCGAATCTGAATCTCTAAGATTCCCCGATCAGAATGGCAGTGCTAAATGTTTATCCATTGCATAGGTGAAAGGAAAGATTTCGAGGTTTACAGCTGTGACGTCTCGCCGGATGGGAAGAGATTGGTGACTGCTGCAGGAGGTTAGCTATAATCCAACATGCATATCAGCTGTCGTGGGGAGTGGAGAGCAGAGGCCCCGCGGCTAGATCGCCCAAAGATCGTCGCTAATACAGAGCTTCTGTGCTACAGATGGATACGTGCGGATCTGGTCTACTGAGGCCATCTACAATACCGGGAATCCGGAATTTGCGAATAAACCGAAACAGCTTGCATCGATGAGTAACCATTCTGGCACGATTCATACCGTTCGCTTTTCTCCAAATGGACGATATCTTGCGTCGGGGGCGGATGATAAGATTGTTTGTGTTTACACGCTGGATGCCAATCCGCCAACACATGGCGCAACATTTGGTACGTTTCTGGTGGGTTGAATTCTGGGGAGGTAGCGCTAATCAAATTGGAACGCGCAGGCTCAGACGAAGCACCGCCTGTGGAGAACTGGCGCACTATTCGGCGATTGATCGGTCACGACAATGATGTCCAGGATCTGGGCTGGTCATACGATTCTTCGATCTTGGTTTCTGTTGGACTGGACTCCAAGGTGGTAGTGTGGTCTGGACATACATTCGAAAAACTGAAGACGATCTCCGTGCACCAGAGTCATGTCAAAGGGATCACGTTTGACCCCGCGAACAAGTACTTTGCTACCGCCAGTGATGATCGAACTGTTCGGATTTTCCGATTTACTTCTCCTGCTCCTAACTCGACATCTCATGATCAGATGAACAACTTTGTTCTGGAGCAGACTATCTCTACACCCTTCGCCAATTCTCCTTTAACCGCGTATTTCCGCCGTTGCTCATGGTCTCCAGATGGCATGCATATTGCTGCTGCGAACGCAGTCAATGGCCCAGTCAGTTCGGTGGCTATCGTAAATCGTGGTTCATGGGATGGCGATATCAATCTCATTGGACACGAAGCACCAGTCGAGGTGTGCTCGTTCTCTCCGCGGTTATACTCACGGGAGCCGATCCAGAAGTCGCCGGCTGATGGCCATGCGCAACATCATATCACCGTTATTGCCTGCGCGGGTGCAGACAAATCCTTGAGTGTCTGGATTACTAGCAACGCTCGTCCCATTGTGGTGGCCCAAGAAATGGCAGCCAAGTCTATTTCAGATCTGGCCTGGAGTCCCGACGGCAAGTGTCTTTTTGCTACAGCCCTTGATGGTGCAATTGTGGCAGTCCGATTTGAGGAGGGCGAACTAGGATGGGCGGTAGAAATGGAAGAGAATGAAAAGTCTTTGACCAAGTTTGGAACGAACCGCAAGGGTGCCGGTATCACAGAGACCACAGATGCGTTACTACTCGAGGAGAAGAGCAAAGCTGGTGAAATTAAGGGCGTTGAGGGTCGTATGGGTGCACTCATGGGTGACAGCGCGGAACCTGCGGCCAACGAAGGGTCTGCGTCGCAGTCAGTGAACGGTACAACCCCCGCGCGAGCTTCGTCGCCAAATCCCGAATCAACAAAGACGCAAACAAATGGGACTGCATCGACTCCTGCAGCCAACGAAGCCGAGAAACCCGACCCATATATGGCCAAGCTGGAAAGACTCAAGCAACGCCCGACATATACTAAAGAAGGAAAGAAACGTATCGCACCTTTGCTTGTTTCTGGAGCCGGGGCTGGTGAGTCTTCTTTACCACAGGCCCGCCTGATGGCTTCAGTGAGCAGCCAGGCCAAATCAGATGCACCAGCATCCATAGTCGATCTTTCAAAACCATTCGATGGGCTGCCTAAGGGTGGCTTGACTGCATTGCTTCTTGGTAACAAGCGCAAGCTCGCCCAACTCGAGGGTGATGAGGAGGGACAAGCTGAAAAGCGTGTCGCTGCGGCAAGTATAAATGGTGCGACGCCCATTATGGCCAACACACCCGATGGACTTCTCCCCGCTCAAACACAGCCGGCGGTAGCGGGCCAGCAGCCTACTCCAGAATTCATTCGACCCGCTGTCACAAATCCTTGCATGTCCGTTAGCCAGCTGCGGCTTGCGGTTCCCAAGATCCGGAGTCACATTCTTCGTGCACTAGATTTGACAGGGAAACCCACTGAGCCGCCAGCTCCTGGCGGAGGGGATTCGAACACGAAATCCAATGTTGATGTCGTCTTTGAGGCTCGGAATCCCTCGCCAGCCAGTTTGACTGGTCGTGCTGTGGATCGGGAACCGGTGCGTCTCACATTGTTCCGTGGCGAGCAACCATTATGGCAGGATTTCCTTCCCAAGTCTGTACTGCTAGTCACCGGAAATCAAAGCATGTGGGCGGCTGCTTGTGAAGATGGCTCAGTCTATATCTGGACTCCTGCTGGCCGTCGTTTAGTGAGTGCTTTGGTTTTGGAGGCGCAACCCGTCATTCTGGAGTGCAATGGGCCATGGATTCTATGCATCTCATCCGTCGGTATGTGCTATGTTTGGAATGTCAAGCACCTTTCTTCTCCACACCCACCCGTCTCTTTACAACCGGTTCTCGATGCCGCTATCTATGTAATGGGTGCTAATCCTACGGTTGCCCCCGCCGTCACCAACGCACGGATCAACTCAGAAGGCCGAATCGTCGTGTCCCTGAGCAACGGCGAGGGATATTCCTATTCGCCGAATATGTACACATGGCAGCGCGTCTCAGAAGCCTGGTGGGCCGTCGGAAGTCAGTACTGGAATTCAACGGAGGCACCCGTGGGCAACTTGCAGGATGCACAACAGGATTCGAAGGAGGCCAAGGCCGCAGTGTCAGCGGGTATCATCCCCTTCCTGGAGCGCAACACTACCAACGAGACTCTCCTCCGTGGCAGGGCATACTTCCTGCAGCGACTCATCAAGGTTCTTCTTTCCCGTGAAGGCTATGAGACCTTTGAGTCTAGTGTCTCAATCGCTCATCTCGAGAACCGAATGGCTGCAGCCATGTCCCTGGGTGCGAAGGAGGAGTTCCGTCTATACTTGAATATGTATGCCAAGCGCATCGGTGCCGAAGGCTTGAAATTGAAGGTTGAGGAACTACTCAAAGGATTGATTGGTGGTTTATTCGACGATGAAGAGGGCTCTGATGCCGTGACCAAATTGCAAGCCAATGAGCGTGAGGGTCGCAATTGGCGTGAGGGATCTGATGATCTTTGCGGTTGGCCACGGGAGACTCTGCTGAAGGAGGTGATTCTTGCTCTTGGTATGTGTCTACCCTGCTTTCACTTTGTTACATTGCATTGCACCATACTGACTACATTTTTTTAGGTAAATATCGCGAGCTTCAGCGGGTGACTGTTCCATATGCCAAGTTATTGGATATGGTTGACTCTGCGGACACCGATGCGATGGATCTATGATAAATCTTATCCTTAGGCTTTGTTTGTCATTTTCTGGCGTTGACCAAATTTTCTTTTGGGATGGGGTATGGAGGGGTTTTTTGCAGCTTTTATCTTTTCTTTTTTCATTTTTACCTTGATTCTTTGAGAGGGTGATATGGCTAAACGGGAGATGTACTTGTATTATATTTGATGCGTGAGCTCACAAAAGCATTCAACCTAGATTCCGCCTATTACTTCTCTACTAGTACTTGTTCTACTTGTTCTGCTTGTTCTGCTTGTTCTATACTCAATTACGTCAAGGGCGCAGGGCTTCACGTGAGCGGTGTGTAATGCAGGCAGAAAACTGTGATGACATTGTCTCTCCCTTTTGCTATTCAAGTTCCAAGCTATCAAGACTACAGCTTACGCTCCTTAACTTCTTTGTTTTATTATACAATCGATCTCAATTGATTCCCATCCCGCTGTTTGGTGGGTACCGCCATAACGTCTTTCCTCAATTCCTCCGTTCTCTTCTTTGGCATCGTCGAACGATCCGCAGCTGGTCCTGCCTTCACCGCGCGCTTTCCTTGCCGCTCCCGCCTTGGTCCATCCCCCCACCTTCCAACTCCCAAGGTCTTTTGTCGTTTCTACTCCAAGAAGAAATCCAATAAAATGCCTCCCAAGAAGGCCCAAGTTCAAGAGAAGGTCCTCCTGGGCCGACCTGGAAACAACTTGAAGAGCGGTATCGTATGTGAGCAATGACCCCACTTGTGCTGTTTTTTTCCGTGATTTTTTTCGCACAGCACAGTCCACTTTTTATTTCCACACAAACTATTTAAGCCTCCCCCTTTCCTCCTTTCCTCCATCTTCTGCTTTTATTTTCTTCCCACCCAACCATAACATGTGTCTGAATTAATGAATTCAGTGCCGCTTGGGCTACACAGATACTTACTCATCATGATTTAGGTTGGTCTTGCAAACGTCGGCAAGTCGACGCTCTTCCAGTCCATCACCAAGTCCTCCCTCGGTAACCCGGCCAACTTCCCATATGCCACCATCGATCCCGAGGAGGCCCGTGTCATTGTTCCCGATGAACGGTTCGACTGGCTGTGCGAGCAGTACAAGCCCAAGTCCATTGTGCCTGCCAACTTGACTGTGTACGATATTGCCGGTCTGACCCGTGGTGCTTCAACTGGTGCTGGTCTGGGTAACTCTTTCTTGTCGCACATCCGCGCCGTCGATGCTATCTTCCAGGTTGTGCGATGCTTCGACGATGCTGAGATTATTCACGTCGAGGGCGATGTCAACCCCGTTCGCGATTTGACCATCATTAGCGAGGAGCTCCGCATCAAGGATATCGAGTTCGTTGAGAAGGCGCTTGATGCCCTGGGCAAGCAGACTCGTCGTGGTGGTCAGTCCTTGGAGATGAAGAAGCTCAAGGAAGAGGAGGCTACTGTTGGCAAGGTTCTGCAGTGGCTGAAGGATGGTAAGGATATCCGCAATGGTGACTGGAGCCCCAAGGAGGTACGTTTTCACAATTTTTCTTCTTGCACCATTTCCCCTTACACAAATGGACTTCATCAAATGATGAATAAGAGCACAGCTCGAATATAACCCAGCTCTTCGAAACCTGTCCCACATTATAAACTCGTGAGGACATGTTGAGAAAAACAGTCCTATCTGAAATTTTTTGGAGTCCATTTGTTTTCTTTGAAAACCACTCCCAATCGTCTGAAAATAAATTTACTGACTCAAACGATTTCAGGTTGAGGCTATTAACCCTCTCTTCCTCCTGACTGCTAAGCCCGTCGTGTACCTGGTCAACCTGAGCGAGAAGGACTACATTCGCCAGAAGAACAAGTACCTTCCCCCTCTGTTCGAGTGGATCAAGACCAACTCCACCGGTTCTCCTATCCTGCCTATCTCCGCCTGCTTCGAGGAGCGTCTCGCCCAGATGGGTGACGATGCTGCCGCTGAGGAGGAGTGCAAGAGGCTCGGCACCAAGTCCGGTCTGCCTAAGGTCATCACTACCATGCGCACTGCCCTGAACCTTGGCAGCTTCTTCACCACTGGAACTGATGAGGTCCGTCAATGGACTATCCGTAAGGGCACCAAGGCTCCTGCTGCTGCTGGTGTTATCCACGGTGACTTTGAGAAGACCTTCATCCAGGCTATTGTGTACAACTACAGCGTACTGAAGGAGCTTGGTGACGAGGCTGCCGTCAAGGCCGCTGGTAAGATTATGACCAAGGGCAAGGACTACGTTGTTGAGGATGGTGATATCCTCCTCATCAAGGCTGGTGCTGCCAAGAGCTAGATGCATATTCAAGTAAATCAACAAATGACATATCTTGAACAAGAAACTATATCCTTTATCTGTAGCAAGTAGAGTCCTGTCAATAAAGTGCCTTGAAATCCCAGTCTAGTTCCTCAATCGAATCTTTGCGCTACATATATCATCACGTGATATCCCCGCGGATCCCACTTCATTGATAGGATCCGATACACACCACCCCTCTTCAAGAAAAACACCACCATGTTCAAGAAAGAGTAAGTGAATACCTCCAGCACCTTCAGTATCTCCAGAAATGTGGACACAGCAGCACAAGTACTGTATTTTGTCCTCGGAACCAGAGCAATGAGCCAATTTCAGCACCGCAAAATCGGAAGCTCCACCAGCTATCTCAGCAAGCAATGCTTGCAGCAAGCACTGCTTAAAAGAGCAGCCTCAATACAAATACCTTTGCTCTTTCCAATGATACATATCTCATCCAACATCTCATATACACATACTCAAAAGTGCATAAAAACCACAGCCAGCTGACAACCATTTTACAGTATCCCATCGACCAACCGCTCCAAGGTTAAGTCCTCAGTGCAGCGTGGCCTGCGCCAAAAGCTGCTGGACACCTACCCCGGTTTCGAGCCATATATTGAAGAGATCCTACCCAAGAAAGCCTCTCTAGAGGCCGTGAAGCTGTGCGTATAATCAAAACCCCCACCACCTTCTACCTTCTATGAAAGCATACCAGAAAAGAAAAGCTTCCCACCAGACAAAATCTGACAAGAACGAATTCACAGTCCCGACCGCGTCACCCTCTACACAATAGACTCCACCCCCCCTTTCTTCCAACCCTTCGACGGCCCCCCAATCCCCCACCTCAAGCTCATCCACGCCTTCCCATCCGCCCTCCCCACCATCCAGATCGACCGCGGTGCCATCCGCTTCGTGCTCTCCGGTGCTGCACTCATGGCCCCGGGACTGACGTCGCCCGGTGGCCGGTTGCCGGAAGCCGCGGACGCACTTGAGGCGGGCCAGGTTGTTGCTGTGAAGGCTGAGGGCAAGGAGGAGGTTTGTCTTGTTGGAGCGCTGAAGATGGGTACTGAGGAGATGAAGAGTAAGGGTAAGGGAGTCGTTATGGATGAGGGACATTATTTGGGTGATGGGCTTTGGAAGCTGCAGCTGGATTAGATTAGATTTGGGCTCTTGTTCTCACAGAGTCTTCTGTTCCATTTGGATCGGATCTATGGTGAATGTTTGTGGATGCTATGATGGTTTATGATTTTGGTTCAATTTTGATGGGTGGTTGCATATACCTATGATTTACTTGTTTACAAGGTTATGATGAACTCGAGGGTAAAAAGAAATTATGAAGTTTTATCAACGGCTTTGCTTAGAGCTCGGATCCAAGTTTGACATCTGGCATGATCGATATTTCCATATTAGATTTTGGTTGGAACTGGCTGAAAGTCTTAAGAGGTTATGTACAGAGGAAACTGGTGGGAATAGAATGAATAGCCCCAACCCCGATACGTCGAAAGTGGGATTGAGTGCTAAACCTCAAATATCATCCCGACTGTCAGCAGAATGCGGGTACTCATCTGAAACGTCGCCCTGATTCGGCGAGAGCGACGATGTGGGCGAGAGAGAGGACCACGAAGGAGTCCTGATCGGAAGACTCAGCCCAAGCCCCTTCACACCAGCCGCAGAGGTAGACCTCGATCCCAAACCAGGATGAGTGCCATTCCGCGATGACCAAGACCGTAGTCCTACACGGCCAATAGCACGTTGCAGCATCTCGCCTGAAGCATCAAGGGCGATCAGGAATCTGGCAAGCTCGGCACACAGTTCCCAGTCACCTTTTTGCGAGGCGAGTCCGATAAGTCGAACGACATATTCCTCAATCCTGCCGTCGTGGCTCTGTTCCTCGTCTTCGAAGGCTTGAAGGACGAGAAGGTACCCGACAGCTGTCTTGAGGGAGTCGAGTTTGAGGGCCTGTTCGAAAAGGTCTTTTGGCGGGGGCAGGTAGTTGAAGAGGGTGCGCCAGGATCGGAGTTCGGTTTTCCGGGTGCACTGCACCACTATGTCGAGGTACTCCCGGGTGGGGAGAGATGCTTGGAGGAAGGCAATAACAATTGGGAGAAGGGGGCCTTCCTGGAGGATTGGTTCGTCAGATTTGTTGGCGCGGCTTTCGTTGTCGACCTCGTCGTCGAGGACGTGGTGGAGGAGGATTTCTAGACCATGTGCAAAGTATGACAGATGCGAGAATTGTCGGCATAGAGAAAGAGCTGCCGGTGTTCCGAGATTGATCAGGCCGTATTGAAGGAAGTATGGGAGGAAAAGGTGAGTCTAGTGAAGATTAGAAACATCCATATCATCAGAAAAGAGGATAGACGTACCCGAATGGCAAATTTGAGTGTAGTAAATGTGACGTCTCGTCGCTGTATCAATTCAGATTCCACCCCCAGCACAATGCCCTTGTTCAATAACACGGAGAGAGGATAGAAGTCCAGGGGTATATTGAGCGGTGCCGGCACCGTCTCTTGCTGAAGAACATCGTTCACATCATTCCATGCCAGCAGGTCTTGGCCGCAGAACATCCACAGAGAATCCCTAATCGATAGGTTGCTTTTGGAGGGACCAAGGGCAATTTCGGCAGATGGACTCGCTGGGAGAGACTCATCTATAGGAGGCGCAAAATTGAAGGAGAGTTGATCACGCATCAAGATATAATATTCCACATCATGGGAAATGACTCGCATGTCGTATTTGAGATCGCCCGATTCAGTCACCGTCGGTTGCAACAGAACAAGATTGCCGTCGACCAAAAGAATTACAGATGCGACCTTGACATCCTGTGAAGGATCACCGTTGTCTGTAAAATATGAGAATGTGGTTCACTGATAATCAAATATTGAAGACTTACGCATTTGCTCTTCGGGCAAGACCCAACTGATAGCCCGTACTCGGCTTGGAGCCCGAACAATCCCGTTGAATGCGATCTGTCCCACCGGTACAAGGGTTATTTGGGGCTGCGAGGAGTTGATAATGTAATGGTATAAGATATTGTCGTAGGTATACACCAGGAGAGAGTCCTCTCCAGATGGACCAATAAACACCACGGGGGCTGGAAGATACTCGATGAACATGATCGAGTTGTTGTTCAACGCTGCCTCTCGCGAGTAAAGACGTATCTGATAGATTCAGTCAGCCTGGAATCGAACCTTACTTTGCGAACAAAACATACCTCGTATGACGAACCGTCGCCCTCAACAGCAGCAATCAAGATGTGTCCATACCAGCACATGCCGCCTCGAACCGCAAAGGAATTCTCTACTTTAGAATCTTCAAAGACCTTCCACCGACCACTGTTCACACTATAATGTGCCAACCCTCTTCGACCGGCAATGGCAACATATCGACCATCTTGAGATACGACAGTTGACCGAATAGGCCACTGAGAATGCAGATAGGCCGGTGGGTACTGAGCATGATGCCATAGCGAGTCTTTGCCCGAAATAGTCATGAGCTCCGGCAAATCATGACCACGGTAAAGAATGAACTCAGTTCCGGTTTGCAGTAAGCCTCGCGCAAGATTGGCAGCAGAGAAACAACCCGTCAAGGCACTGCGAGCTGTCTCCAAAATCCAGAGACGTCGGTCATTCCGTCCTGACAGAATGATATCCGACCCACCACCTATCCAGCAACCACCGGAAATACCGATTAACCAGTCCTCTCCATTGGACTTGGCTAATGAAGCATCGGCAGTGAAACTGTTACCGCCTGGCTTTCCAAAGACACTCCATGTTGTCCAACCGTTTTCGTAACCAGCGAAGAGACAGTATCCGTCCGGCGAATAGCTCATGTAAGTCAATGCACCAGTAGTGGTAGGCGTTGCTGGGAGCTGCAGCTTTTGGGAGAGCGGCACATTGCCAGTGTAATCTTTGGCTGTGTATACCAAAATCTCACCATTCGCGCAGCTGACCGTTAGAAGGGAAAAGCGTGCATTGACTGCTACTTTGACTGCCTTCTCACCATCTTCCTTTGGGTCATGGAAGCAATGTCCATGGAAAAGCTTTTTCGGTCCTTCGGTATCTTGCTGGGCTTCAGTCACCCGCTGCACGGCATATGCTTGACCGCTACTCGTGAGCCAAATCAAAATATTCATGGCACGGTCATAAACCATATCCGCAATAGAAACATTCTTCGGAATACCGAGAATGCGGCTCAACATTTCAGAAGTAGTTTGTGTTCCACTCGCCTCAGGCGCCCACCGGATACATTGTATGGCGGGTGGTTTGACTGTGGCAACAACCAGCTCCTGGTCCAGCGCCAGCGCCTTGACAATCCCAGACTCGATCTTGATTGCCATTCGAAACCTAATGCTAATATCTCCGACCACATTGGATTCCTCGACGGCAGAAAAGTGCGTCAATTGTTGGCGGCGTGGGTGTGTCGTATGGTCGAACCGTTGTCGGTAGACTCGTGTCGCTGGGTCCGATGCCACCGCATACGTGAGAAGATATCCATGAAGAGTCTGAACAACCAGAATGGTCGAGTCCGGGTGCATCAGAAGCGCAACATTAGATCCGTATGTTTTTAGAGAATATGAAGATCGTGCTATGGCCGCAACGACCGCCGTTGGCTGTAGCAAGTATTAGCAACCACTCCCAGAGCTTGAATCACGGGGGAACGCACCCTGGTTTGCCATAAAGAGATTGAGGACTCTGTTATAGTCGCAAACATATGACCAGAACGAGACACACAGAGGCCATCGATAGCTTCATTCTCCCATTTTGGCATATCCTGCTCGGCCACTGGTTCGGGGGTTGGCTCATGGCTCTCACCGACTGGGGTTTCTGGATCACCTGCCCCATCATTGCTGTTGTCTATTGAGCTGCGCGGGTCCGGTAAAGAATGTATATGTTGGCGATTCCCATCATATGAAATATCGGCGATGCCAGGGCCATTGACGGCGTAGACCCGGGGGACTCCATTGGGCCAGTACATGGCTCCAGGTCGGAAAGGGGGCGTTTATGACTGGCAATGAAGCTCACATGGAGTCATCTCGTCCCGGTGATAAGCGCGATTGGAGGTCAGCCCCGCTGGAAGATAAAGAAAGAAGATATTCGAATAGTAAAGATGAAGTTCCCAATCCAAACAATCGATCCAACGGGGACGATAAGCGGCATCACGTGCATAAAGCTCCCCGCATTGCTCTGGACGCTTTTTTTCTTCTCCTGAACTGAGTTGACAAATCATTTATTCTCGTGGGTTGTTTTTCACAGAATATCATTATAATGGTGAGAATACAACTTCAGTCTCACTTATGATGTTTAGTTGGGCTCATACTAACCGGGTGGTCTCTAGGCCCCCACTGAAAGCAACAAGCGCCTGGCTCTGGCCATCGTCGATTTCCTCGGCACCAGCCTCAAGGACGGCACCCTGACCGCCGACGATGCCGAGTCCATCGAAATCGCCCAGTCTTGTATCGCTGATACATTCAAGGTTGACCCGACCGATCAGGCGGCCGTGAAGGATGCCGTCGGCGGACAGTCTCTTGCCAACATCTACAGCGTCTACGAAAAGTTGCGCAGCAAGTCCACCCCCCAGGCCTCTACCGCTGGCGCCCAGCAGTCGCAGGATGACAAGCCCAAGGCTGGCGCACCGACTCCCGAGTCTGACAAGCTGAAGTCTGAGGGCAATGCCCTTATGTCTCGCAAGGACTACTCCGGTGCTGTTGAGCAGTACACCAAGGCTCTGGAGATCGCCCCCGGCAACCCTATCTACCTGTCCAACCGCGCAGCTGCCTACTCCGCCTCTAGCCAGCACGAGAAGGCTGCCGAGGACGCCGAGCTCGCCGTTGCCGTTGACCCCAAGTACTCCAAGGCCTGGAGCCGTCTGGGTCTCGCCCGCTTCGATATGGGTGACTACCACGCCGCAAAGGAGGCTTACGAGAAGGGTATTGAGGCTGAAGGCAACGGTGGCAGTGACGCCATGAAGCGTGGTCTGGAGACCTGCCAGCGCAAGATCGAGGAGGCTAGCCGCGGTACTGAGCCCCCCTCAGAGGAGTTGGATACCGCCCCTGGTGCGTCTCGTGGCGCTGGTGGCATGCCTGACCTGTCTTCTCTGGCCAGCATGTTCGGTGGTGGTGGTGCTGGTGGCGGTGGTATGCCCGACATGAGCTCTATTATGAGCAACCCCATGTTCGCTAGCATGGCCCAGAACCTCATGAGCAACCCCGACATGCTCAGCAACTTGATGAGCAACCCGCGCCTTCGTCAAATGGCTGAGAGCTTTGGACAGGGCGGTGGCATGCCCGATATGTCTAGCCTCATGAGCGACCCTGCCATGCAGGATATGTAAGTTCTTCCCGACAGTGAGTTCAGGCATATATACTGACAGCTGGTTGTTAGGGCCCGTAACATGATGGGTGGCGGTGCTGGACGTGGTGCCGGTAACCAGTAAATCATGGATTGAATGACTTTCAAGGTTGATGCATGACATGGAAAAGAGACACGATCTGATGCTATTGTGGCTAGCGTTGTTTTAGACGAATCATTCCTAATCTGATATTCATTATACTCATAGAACGTGCTTTAATAATGCATCTGTATATGATTTGGGACGGCAATTTGAAAGATTGAAGCGAGAAAAGACTCCAGCTGGGCAATTTGGTGCCCATACTCATCGCCTGGGCATTTCCAAGGTTGTAGGATATACCTACGTACTGGATTTCTCCTGACGATTTTTTGGTTGCCCCTTCCATAGTAGTGCTCAACCCCTCGCCGCTTTTGCTCACTGAGTGAAACTGAGGCTTTTGGCGTATTGATCGGCTCACTGAGCCTGCTCTCAGTGTTGTGGTTCGCTCACCTCAACAAACCGCGAGGCGCTAACGTGAAGTCCGGTTGCGCGGGCGACCCGGTTGAGCGAGCGACCCCACCAAACTTCGAAAAATCATTAATTTTGAACTACCACTAAAACCATCAAATAACTCAAAATTTTGCTAATAAACACGTGAAGGGCATCCAGGATATGTATGACCTTTTATCCCACAGCCAGAACATGTCACATGCCGCCGAACCGAAGGCATAGAAGGTAAAGTAGGCTCAACAACCGCTCTTGTAGATACCTCCGGCAAATATATATCTTTACCATTATCTTCATCCTCATAAACCACATCATCTTTACCACTCTCTAGACCCCCAAAGATACCTTTCTGGGTAGTAAACTTATGTATGGTCTCTCGTTTTTTTGTCTGTTTCTTGTTGGTAGCCTCTAATTGGGTACAGCGATTCTGGAGAAAAATATGGTGGTGGACCACTTTGATAGTCATATCATAGGTCTTCTGAAGCTCTCTTTTTGTTGGTGAAGAGAGGATTGAAGAAGAAGATTCTAGACCTTTTTTGATCCGAGATTGTGATTTTGTGAATTTTGAGAGAGTCCAGAGAGTATTTGGATCACTATCACTGCCGGAAGAGAGTGGTCGCTGTGAGACAATATCGAGAGGAGGAAGGGAATCCAGGCGCACATTTAGCTTTTCCAAGACTTTATTAGCATCAAATGGTGCTAATCCAGTAGCTGAAAAGCTATTTTGTATAGTAGAAGTCTTAAAAGCACCAATTCTCGCATCAGCGATAAGTTCAAGAAAATCTTCCTTATCAATAGAGTTCACTCCATTCCGCATCAAGGTTGAAACCGCTCCTCCATAAAGCCTCTTCAAAACCGAAAAACAGCCCACATCCAAAGGTTGTAAAAGGTGAGAGGCATGAGGAGGCATGCAGATTGCGATAATTTGGTTTTCTTCGCAAAGTTGGTCAAATTCGGGGGTCAAATGACTCCCATGACCATCGAGGACCAGTAGGCAATATTTCCCCACTCTTGGCCCAATTTTGGGATAAAAAGATGTTTCAACCACCATAAACCACTTGTATTAGTAGTCCAGCCATTTTCACTCATAGTGAGACGTGCTCCTTCTTGATTTAAAAGAAGATAAGGGCGTAGATGCTCTGGAAACTTTTTTCCCTTGAAAATGAAGAGTGGAGGCATAATACTTCCAGAAGCTCGAATACACTCGATTATGGTTACCCACTCGCGATTTCCGGCTTGTAAAAGAGCTCTTTTCCCGTGGTATTCTGCAGAAGTGATAATCTTTTGTGTTGCGCCGATACCCATAGCAAAACCACTCTCATCAAAGTTAAAGATATCGTCCGAGACAATACCCCACTTTTCAATAGTCTTTTGCACCAAATCAAACCATGGTTTAATGATTCTAGGGTCTTCTGAAAGGGCTCTCTGATAGTCGTATTTGCGAGAGAATCGAGTAGAGAGATTTGGGCGTCGTTTGATAAATTCAGCAGGCCAATGATTACCCACAGTAGAGGGCGTAGTTTTTCGGGCATAAAGTAGCAGATTAGCCATATCTCGCAACATAGGCAAAGTAAGAGCTGCCCCTCTAGGATCCATATCCAGTAGCCATTTTTCAATCGATCCTTCCTCAATTTCGGTGAAAATAAAGCGATTGTGTCGCTTTTCAGTAGCAGATTCACGCCCATTAATCCGTGCCTTCAAAGTTGAGACAGGGATATCAAAGGATCGTGCAGCAGCCGCAGCAGAGGGATATTTACCATCTTTTATAGCTTTTATAGCTAATAAAAGACGACCCTCCTGCTCTATTAGCTTTTTTTTCTTATCGGAGCGCTCAGGGGGCATTCTTGTTATGGTTGAAGAAGACGTATTAATATGGAAGTGGATTTTTGGTGGGGTCGCTCGCTCAACCGGGTCGCCCGCGCAACCGGACTTCACGTTAGTGCAAAGGGGCTGATGCCCAACTTACTCAACCAGAAGTGCAATCTCCTGCCTAGAAATGGATGACTTGGTGCACACATCCATGACATTTTACATTTTGCGTTTCACAATAAGTATTAACAGCACGAGATCTGGTTTTCTGGCCTATCAGGTTCTATGTAACACTTTGCTCCCAGGAGCCACTCGCCTCGACTCAATTACTTTCTGACTCTTAAAGTTAAATGCGTAATCACGATTGCTCCTGGGATGCTATTCACTATGGCTTGTGGTAAACGCTTTATCTTCAACTCCAACGTCCCAAGAGCCAGAAGTGGCGACAATCGAAATTCTAATTAGGCATTACCTTATATTAGTCCCAGGAGCTACGCAAGTGCTATATCTATGGTATTATAAGGTTCTTTTCCCCCTTAACCATCAATTTTGGTTCTTGCATTATTTGGGAGACGAACAAATACTGAAATGAGGCCTTCCCTCTCGTTTTCAAGCCAAATCTCTGTACACCTGCTACTTCTTGTCTTCGCATTCCCGCCTTGATTCTGAAACCATCTATAAAGTCAGAGCAATATACCTTGTCTTTAATCCCCTTGAAGAGACCGACAGTATCACTGATGATTGTTTATCTAATACGAAAGATACTAACTACTGGTAAGTCGATCAATCTAAGCCTCTACCACCCAAGGAGCTATCGTCACCTAGCTCAAGCCTAATTTCAAAGACAACAAGCCTTCCAAATTGCAGTGTATATACTTTGATCATCAACAATTACTTTGCAATAAAACCAGCAATGAACTTAGTAATCTGCTCCGCCAAATCCTGAGGCTGGCTCACAAATGGCATGTGTCCGGTCTTAAAGTCCACAACTTCCCATTCGACCTTGGACTTCTCCAGCCACAGATCCTGCAACGATGAAGGGTTGCAACAGTCGTCCAGTGTACGTACATACGCTCTCCTACCATCAAACGCACTCTCCGCCCAGGCTGGGGCAGTGGCGGGTGTTTCAAAAGCTCGTAGTGCGTGTGGCTGCATTAGCTGATCCAATTCCGGCTCAAGGGCACGGTCGCAGTCATTGTACAAAATCTCCATTGCTGGTTCGATAACAGCAAGCCCCTGAGATGGCTAGGAATAAAATTATTTGATGATCTATGGTTATGTATATGATCGTGGTGGTTTTGGGTATACCGTACCTTGTCGACTTTGATAAAAGGAGGGTAAGCGCCGCCTACAGCAGTGAAGAGAGATTCTCCATCAAGTGTAATATTGCCCGCCACGTAAATAAGGCCAAGGACGCCAGTATTTTGACCTTGAGCTCTTCTGGTCCCCTTCGAAAGCTCTTTTGCTGCACCACCTGCAACAACACCCCCGTATGAGTGTGCGATGATGACGACATCTTTACCATGTTCGTTCAAAAGAGGGAGTAATACATTGTCGCGCAAGAAAGCAATATCCTGAGGAGACGACACTTGAGCCGGATCAGAAGGATTGCAACTAGGATATGACCCTGGATGTGTTGCGTATCCAGCTTTGGTCAGATACGGTAGCAATTTCTCGAAGCCTTGAGGTGTGCCGAAGGCACCTGGAACGACAATGATAACCGGGAGGTTCGCCGAAGACATGGTGGAGGGGAGTCTGACTTAAAACAGGTTGCAACTTTGTTATCATGTGTTGAATATGATTGCTGAGAAGAAAAAAGCTGAGAAGCCTGGGTTGCTAGTAACAGGAGTGACCTAAATTGAAGAGGCGGAGTGGCGGATTTCCAAGGTTGGTTGGTACAGTAGCTATTGGCCATGGCTTGATTAACCAATGTTGCCTTTTTCAATGCATCCCTGCAGATATACATTACGCAATCAGAATCAGTTGCATGAAAGAACGCACGTGCGTGGGGGCAGAATGATTTAGTCGGCAGATTGAAGGTGGTTGTTCAATTAAAGGGGGAAAAGACGGGAGTTCAGACATTTTGTAATTTTTGGAATGAAACAATAGGAGAGGAACGTTAGAACAATATATTGATCAAATTGAGACAGGAGTAGAAGAAGGCAAAGCCAATATCTGAACTGCAAACTTGGACCAATTTTTTGATGCCGCTTTAAGAAATGCTTGTAATACTGTTTGTTCTTCTGGGGGGTGACAAAAAATAACTCGCATTACTGCCCTGGGGGCCATCAACATTACATTGTGCATTTAATTGATGCCTCTACTGCACATGCATAAACCAATGACAAGATCGTAGCTAAAATCAGATGCATTCTCCGTTGATATATTTACACAGCTCAATGCAACTATGGTTCTCTGCAATCGTTAGATAGACCAAACGATTGTAAAGCAACCAACCAAAAAATCAAAGACCGATAGACGGCCCAAATGCAGATCAGGATCAGACAGTATCGAGGGGAGAGTGAAAAATGCAAAGCAAAAGACGCCGCGAAACACCTCAAGCCCAGATGCCATCAGACCAGCTCAAATCCAACGCGTAGCTGCAATCCGAGTCTATGGAGAGGAAGGGAGTTTTTGCTTTTCAGCCAGACTCGAGTTGGCTTGGAAAAAACAATAAACAGCCCGCAGGTAACAGAAAGACAAGTAAGAATGGAAAGAAAAGTGAACATTAATACATGAAAAGGAAATGGCTGGTCAACTAGAACTGCCATAACCGTAAACAAGCGCCAGCTCCGCCTGGCCTGATATCAAAGTCATATTGTACAGTCGAGAGGAGGAGCAAAGATGAAGGAGGAAGGAGGTCCAGAAAGGGTAAAAAAATACAGTTCGAGAGGTAGCGGTTGTATGCTGAAGGGAGAGAGACCAGTCTATCTCCTTAGATGTAGTCGCGAGCGGCCTTCTGCAGCTCAATCAATCTCCAGCCACGAGTCTCGGGGTTGCTGACTTCCTCGGGGATGCGGGTCATTCCGATGGCGTAGGTCACCAACTGGACCTTATCCTCCATACCAGCAGCAAGCTTTCCAGTCTTCACGTTGCGGTAAACGTGGACTTCCTGGGCACGGCAGGTAACAACGAACACGGGGATGTCACCGGGGTCCAATAGACGAGCATTGGAAACTTCAACACCACGGACATCGAGAACACGACCATCTGAACGGAGACCAGCAGTAGTATATTGCTTAGCGAGAGCGGCATAAACAGAGAACTGAGCATCAGACAGCCACAGCTTCAAGGTCTCAATGTCGCCCTTGACATAGGCATCGAGAACCTCTGGCAGCATGTATTCACGCAGTTCACGCTGGAATTCCTCCATCTGGAAGTTGGGGTCAATCTCCCGGAACTTCTTAACGACCCGGGCAGTCTCATTCTCAGCAAAGAAGCCACCGATACGGTCGGTGATGCTGCGCGCAGTGCTGATGAGAGGGTTCTCGGACTCCTCGTAAACCTCTCTGGCGGAAAAGAGCTTCTGCATCATGGGGTTGGAGTCACGGAAGGTGCGCCAGGATTCCTTCCAGGCGGCATCCTTGTGAAGGGTAACGTTGGTGCCGGCACTGCTATGGGTTAGCTATCAGTCAAACCAGTGGAAGTGACAAAAACATACTTGGGATCCTCGACAGCCTGCTCCACTTTGTGTGTCTTTCCAGACTTAGCTTCCATCTCCTCGCGACGCTTGCGACGTTCTTCCTTCTCAATCCATCCACCGTAACGAGAGCTGCTACCATCATCAATGGCTTCCTTCACGCTCTTGTAAGCCTCTGTCTGACGGACGGGTCTGGTAGCCTTCTCGAGACCCGCACCAGTGGCGCTAACACCCATACGCACACCCTTAACGACCGGAGTGTTCCATGTCCAGGCAGCACTCTTTCCAATAACTTGACCAGTGGACTTCAAAGCAGCACCAGTGCGCGTGGTGGTAGCCTCAGATGCCGCCTTGTACGCCTCTCGAGCGCGCTTGATCTTCTCACTCTCGCTGAACTCTTGCGCCGAGGAAGCCAGAGCCTTGGTAGACTCATTCCATTCCTTCGAAGCCTTGAACTCGGTCTGAAGAGTGTCACGGAACACCTGCCATGGGGATTTGTCTCCATGGGGGGGTGGTGGCGGAGCATCTTGCTTCTTTTCCTTCTTCTCACCCTTCTCACCCTCCTCCTTAGACCCCTGGCCTTCGGATTCGGACTTGGTCTCCTCGCCCTTCTTCTCCTCCTTCTGCTGTTGCTGTTGTTGGAAAAGAGAGTTGGCGACGTGGAACGAACGGGTCAAGGGAAGAGCGGCAAATGGCGACACGAGCTGGGACACGGGAAGGCGGCTGTGCTGAAGAGTAGTCCTTTGACTAGAAGACAGCTTCAGAGTCTGAGCCGGCAGTGCCGAGTATGAAATGGCCCGAGAGCCCTGTGCGGCTTTCAGGATCGGAGCTTGGGACCGAATGGTGGCCGCGCGTGCAGCGGTAGACATCTTGGCCGAAATCATGCTCTGGGATTAAAAAGTGACAACAAAATAAATAAGGAAGAGGATTGAAAAGTAAGAAAAGTATCCAGCCCAGCCCGGATGTTCGGGGTAAAGTATTGAGGAGTGAGGATTGGAGACCGGGGAAGAAGGTGAGTAAGGGAAAAAGTCGAGATGCCAAGACTTCGAAAAACTTCCAGTGTTTCCCTTTCCGCCTCTTGTCTCCGATCACGGCTGCGACTCCATCCCGGTCTGTCACGATCACCGAAGGCAAATACTTCATCTCAATCGCATAAGCATTCGTTCATAACTTCGGGCTGTCTTGTTTTGCGATCATCCTTCTCCCTACAGCTCCGCTGCGTGGCCTATATCGCCGACGCATCGGCATCTCATCGCCGCGATGAATTCTTTTTCGATGAACACACTCGCAAAGGCACTGCCGTCCGTATGTCGGCAATCCAAATCCCAGGCTGCGAGCTTGCGGACTATTCGACCTCTATCCACCTCTTCCAGTGTCTTCGCTAGCTTCCGGGACCGTACCCGATCGATGGAGAGCCAAATTCTGAACCGCGACACTGAGAGCTCAAAGGAGTCTTCGCCACTATCTGCCATCACCAAAATGATGCAGGGTGACAGCTCCGCGAATTCTACCTCCCGAGTCCGTTCCGACTATGCCAGATTGGCCGAAAGCCTCGAAGCCGATATGATGAAGAACCCCTACGCCGATCGTGCCCCTCCTCACCACCTCCACGTCTTCTGCCACAAACACAACACAATGATCACCTTGACGCGGCCCAATGGTAATCCGATGATGTCGATGGGCTGTGGTCAAATTGGTTTCCGCAAAGCTGGTCGTTCCGGCTTTGACCCTGCCTACCAATTGTCCTCACACGTGATGTCGCAGATTCAGGAACGAGGATACCTGATGGACATCAAGCGACTTGAGATTGTCTACCGTGGCTTTGGAAAGGGCCGTGAGGCGTTCACCAAGGTGCTTCTTGGAAACGAGGGACGCAACGTCCGTGGGCTTGTGAGCCGAGTGACTGACTCGACTCGTGTCAAGTTCGGTGGTACTCGTAGCCGAAAGGTCCGCAGACTGGGTTAAAGAAGCAACTGGGCCTTATCAGTTTCATTTGCAGGTCAACCATTGGGAGGACCCGGAGTTTCTGTGACTTGTTTCAATCTCCGTGAAGGAGATATTGTATTGAAGATGGGACTTGGTCTTGAAGACCATAGTCCCTGGGCATAGCTTCCTGCCAAATGATTCCATATACTGTACAATATCAATATCAATTCAATTCATTTCTATTCTAGAGATTCATGCTGTATACAGCAAAAGGAAACAACATGTGGGCATACTGCCCACATTCACCGCCATACAAGTATCGCCACAACAGTGCAGAATAGTGATGCTACAGGATGATAGGGCAGTTGGCAGCTTCCTGCTGGCATCTACATCATACAAGGAGGCATATTCTGGCGCCAGAGGCTGTAGTTTTCAGCGTCATTTTGATGTGTCCATATATTTTGTATTTTAGACGCAAAAGTCCGAATGTCCCTGAATTACTCAACAAGGTATAGCGTGGAATCAGCTCCCGCAGCGATCACGTTCTGGAACTTCTTACTTCAAGTCTTCCTTGTTGATGATTCCATGCGCTTTCGACTAATTCTTCATATCGTGCCTATTCCCTGCGAATTGAATTTCGATCTCCTGCCTTGTCTTTGCTGGACCGACGGCCGGCCCTCGGCTTCCTACAACATTGAACCCCGGACTGTTGCCTGCATTTAAATGCGCCGGAGCTTCCCCGCGAAACAACTATCGAGCATCCTTCTCCCCCAAGTCGGACACCTGATATTCACGGCTTGATGATTGCTGGAGACTCTCTGCTGGGCCGTCCAATACCGTTTGGATGCACCCTCTAAATCCCTTTCTCCGAGCCTTCTTCCGAAGCACTGTTCCGGGGCAGTGTATACCCGTGGAGAATCATGTGAGTGTAGCTGATGCCAGACTCGGATCGACCCGGATTGGCTAACCCTTGTCAATTTGCTTCGATAGGTACTTCTTGTCCCCACGACGGAATGTCTGGTTGGCTCGCGGGACCGGGAGTCCAATGTGTACTATTCGGACCTGGTCGCGTCGGAGGAGTTTCTAGGGAGCCACGTATTGCGAATTCCGATCAACACAGGCTCAAAAGATGGAAAGGATGAATCAAATGTGCGCGACAATAGAAGCAAAGCAAAGCAGGTTACGACATTCAATGGAAGAACTGTTATCATCAAGGAGAACTCGGTGTACAGCAACAAAGGTGGGGAACAATGAGCATTAATCTGGTCTTTCAAATACTGACTTACATATTGCTAGGCTTCAAGTCCCTCACCCAAGCCCAGTTGCTGTCAGATGCCTTATATTATACACCCTCTAGCGAGTCGCGCCCATGGCTCATATACTACATCTCGCGTCCGTTGATCGGATCGTTTGATCCCGCCAGGGTTGTCCCCGCTGCAGTGCCAGGGACCAACTCAAAGAAAATCGAGTCGCCCCCTGCCGATAAGAAAACCATGAATAGACACTCCATCGGAACACCACCAAAGCAAGAAATCAAATCATTCGGCGAGCTGTTGGCCAGTTTTCCGATGATCGCAAGGCAGATGCAGCCTGGCCTAGAAAGACTGTTTCGGGAGTTTGGTAAAGAACTTGGAAAGCCGCTGCCACCACCACCTTCTAGGTCGCCTTCAGCTTCCGGTAGCGAAAGCGAGCACAAACTATCCCGCGCCGAAACGTTGATCGACGAGAGTTCATCTGTTCGCAGTTGGTCATCCCGCCGTGGACGACTGCCATTCAATTCGGAAGAGTATTTTGAGGACGATGAGGATCTTATGCGACGGAGCCTAGAGACCGCTGTGACTGCCGCCATTGATCTTTTCCGGTTGGTCGATAAGCAGCAACTATCTCTCCTTGGCGCCACAACCGATCTGACCGGCCCACTGGTAGAGCGACTTATCGAGCGATATGTCGCTGAGCAAGTACACCAGCCGTTACTGTTCCCTCGTCTGTGTGCCTTCCGACAGCCTGAGGATTCGGAGTTAGACTCTAGGATTCGATATATGGAAAGCATAGACGTGACTCAGGTTGGAATCAGCGTGGAAGGAGGACGCGAAGGAAAAAGGGAATTGATACGCCGGTTGGGGCGAGCTGTGGAAGAATTCCGAAAGATGGACGATGCTAGAAGTCCCCACGAAATGCTCAATACCCTACTGGAGACGGTCAAAGTGATATCTTATCCGGGGAGCTATAATCAATTGGATGGGCTAGGTTCTGAGAAAGGAAGAGCTCCCATCACCATCAATGCGGACGTTTTGGTATCATTGCTGCTTGTTGTCGTGATCAGATCTCAAGTTCGTCATCTGCAAGCTCGCTTACTTTACATGCAACACTTCATCTACATCGACGATGTGGATAGTGGTGAGATGGGATATGCACTGAGCACCTTCGAAGCAGTCTTAATGTACTTGGTCACTGATTCAGCTGGTCTTCGCCGCGCAAGCGTGAGAAACCGGCGGTTATGGCAAGCTACCAAAACCGGCCGGGTTTCGGATATGAAAAGCATTCTCGAACCTAATGGGGACTACGATTCTATTGACGAAACTCTCCCTCGTGAACCCGAGCGCAAGTCTGTTTTCTTCCAAACCGACAGTGTCGAGGAGCTAGAAGAGTCCCCATTTGAAACATCGTCAATGTATAGCAGCTCGGTGTTTACAAACGGCGAGCCCTTCCCATCGCTTGACGTTCCTTCGTCTGAAGCGCCTCCACTATCGCACGTGTTCCCGTTCCAAACCTGGGATGGGCCGTCGGGTCTGAAAGATCACGATAGGCCCGTGAAAAAGGTGTCTATGGATGTTCGCAGCATGTCAGAGTCATCAGCTGTCTCATTCCTCTCGCGAACCACTACTATTGGGTCAATGGCAAGCGGCATCGAGGGCGACAGCTCCATTGAAACTATGACCAAAACACAGGATCCTGCTGGTGATTCCATACCTATGATGGCTGTAGGAAGATACCAGCCAGAGGCACTGAAGTATTTGCTGAGTCTGGAGGAATATTATCCTCTGGAGGATATTCTCGACGACACAAACGCCGACGGAACAACACTACTCAACGCAGCCGTGCAGCTTTCTCACAGCGAGATTGTTGACATTCTCTTGGATTTCCTCTTCAGCAAAACCGACGACAGTGTCATTGCGATGTACCTGACCAAGTCTGATGTACATGGTCGAACTGCGGGGCATTATCTCTTCAGCACCCCTTCTCTTTTGGCTCGGCTTGGTCGCCTTCTTCCCTGGCGACAAAAAGACAAACACGGGCAAACACCACTATTTGCCCTTTGTCGGTCATATGATCACCCCGACTATAAATCCATGGTTCAGTCTGCATTGACGGCGGCACAAAAGGCTCAAGGCAATGGAAAGCCCTTACAACTGGACGACCATGTCGATGCCAAAGGCAACACTCTACTACATATTGTGGGAGATCCTGAAATCACCACGCGAATTCTTCAGGAGAGTGACTGCGACCCTAATGCTACCAACGACAAACGATTTACACCACTGATGATGGCTAGCAAGTACGGGCGTGTGGATCAGGTTCGTATTCTTTTCTTGGATCCACGAGTCGATGTACATGTTAAGGAAGCTCGGGGGTTGACGGCTGTCGAGCTTGCCAAAGATGACGAGGTCCGAAACAGAATTGATGATCTGATTCTCCTATCACACCCACCATCGGCACTGGGTGACCCTTCGGGCCGTGTCACTACTGTGGTACGATCTTTCTTCGTTGAAGACGCAACAGTCCGATTCATCCTCAAGTCAGGTGCACCGCACACACAAACATCAGATCCTCTAGCATCTTCTCGGCCAGGCTCAACGACGTACACCGTGACCACATGTCGCCGAAGCTTCCAAGACTTTGAGAATCTCGCCAAATGGCTCTCGGTGGAGCATCCCGCTTCCTATGTCCCGTCTCTATCTGACTTCAGGAATCCGTTTCAAATTCACTCCAAACCATCTCGATCTGTGCTCCATGACCTACAGGAGAAGCTAGATCGCTTTCTGAAAACCCTTTTGACACATCCCACTTTCGCGACCCACGAGATGCTCTGGGAATTCTTCCTTGTGCCAGAACTACAGCCAGAGATGATGGCGGATAGATCTCGCAGCAAGGCAGCGGTATTGACCGAAACCATTGCCGATGATTTTTCACCAATCTCCCTTGAAGGCATGCGCGATACAGAGCAGTTTGTTTCCCATGCGCAAGACATGGTTCGCGGCGTACATGTCAACACGCGTAGTCTGATCCGCCGTGGACATGCATTGCAGAACAGCGCCTCTGATATAGCAGACGCTGTCTTCCTCTGCTCGTCTGTCCTCTCCACTCTTCAAGAGCCGACAAATGCTCTTCCACAATCCCACATCGATGCTTTCATCCGCTACGGCACCTGCCTCTCCACATCCAACTCCGACTCCTCCCCACTCCTCCACTACCTTTCTGCACTCACGGCAATCGACAACACTACTGCCGCCATCCTCACATCTCTTTCCCGACCCCTCTCCCTCATGTCAGACCTCACTTCCACAAATCGTAACATCTCTCGTTCCCGCTCCTCGCTAATGTCCTCATCCCTCCCTCGCAAATTCAACATCAATCTCCCCGGCTTCGAAGAGTCACGACAGAAATCTGTCCGTGACCTCGAACAGAAGATCATTGATGGTGAATCTGAATCAGCCCGTCTCGCGAGGGAAATCTCATGGAACAAAGACGTCGTTGTGGGCGAACTAGCCGGGTGGACGACATGGCGCGAGAAAGTCGGGCGCGAGGCCATCCGCACATTTGTCAAGAATACTCTCGTCCGCGAAAAGGAGCGCGGGAAACGCATGGAGCGTTGCCTGCGCAGTGTGCGAGAGATGAAGCCATGATTCTGATTTCTGATGAGCGTTCACTGCTGAATATACTCATAGATTTGATTTCAGCGGATATCTCACGCATCTGAGCGTGTTTCTGATGCACATTTCATGACAGACATGTTGCTTGGGCTTTTCGTTTATTTCATATTTCTTTGGTTCTGCTTTCCTTCGGGCTTCGGATCTCTTTACAATCCCTTTTATTGATGAAGCTTGGATGCGGGCGTGGGGTGGATGCTATACTTTATCTCATTTCCTTACGTAGACACGAACCTACTGGATTTCCTCTGACGATTTCATTTCTCTTTCCGTAGTACTCACTCCTCAATGAGTTTTCGCCCGAGTAGAATCGAGCAGGACAATGATCTACAGAGTATTCTGATCCTTGCGCAACCGACATGATCCACTTACTGACCGCTCTTGCCCTTTGACGATTATCTAGGACATATCCATCACTCAAACGTACGATCCAATTATATCACATATTTTCTCTATACCGCCGCATCGTAACTGAGAACCTAGAACTTATAACAAAGTTATAGATAGCAAAGCCATCACCGTCCCAGTTTCCATAGGCGACGGGGCTTCATCATGCAATTTCGGAGCTCCTTACAATTTCGATAAGCCCTGTCCCTTTGTTTTTCCATCGGGAAGATCGTATCAAAACCTTGATTTCTTGATAATGAAGAACAACCTGAAGGTCAAATGCTGCCCGGGTCCATCCCCGGGAGTTTATTGCATTCACCAACACCAACAAGCAGAAGGAGTCCAGCCAGGTGGACATCTGAAGTGATTTTGGAAAGATATTCGAGGAATTACCTGCCGGAAAGTCCAACGCTGCGTTTAAATAGAACAGCAGGTCATATTACTCAAGGGCTCGTTCACTTGAATGCGTACTTTATTCCCCAGCGTCGGACGATTGCTGACGGTTGAAGAAAATATCTTAAGATATGTTGCTACCATCCATATATATGGTAATCATGCACAGAACTGTACGCAACTTTGAATTGACTAATTCACGTATAAAGTTGCAGCTGGTCACTTCCTGGTAGAGCAATATAATGTACTCAAACATTGCAAAGACGGGCCCGTGTTCATTCATACAGGTAAAATCAGCTCTCCGAAAAGTCATACTTTTCCCACTGCTGACAAGGGGATACAATCAAAGAGAATCAACCGGAATTTTCCGAAAACCGAAACACAGGCGACTGAGGCGACGAAATTGACAAAATCGACGGCAACTGTGACGCACGCCCGGAAGCACTCCAAGTAGAATCAACAAACGAGTCGACTGTCGACGTACTCCGCTCAAGATACTTAGCATGCACCCTCAGCGAATCCTCCAACTCAATAGCACGCGCACCAGAGTATTGAGGACTGGAAACCGAAACCCGACTCGAAGAAGCCCTGGGTACACGAGATGGACTACACCGCATAGGCGAACCAGCCAACGACCGAGTAGGACCGAGCGTAGGACTCAGAGCAGTCCTCGCAATAACAGAATCCCGCTCACATCCCAACTGCTGTGTGATATCCGCACTGGAAGACGAACTCGTTGAAGCAGTCGTAGTCGTCCACAACGAAGATCGAACCGTCGGAGCGACCGTTGAAGCTCTGGAAAGACGCGAGGCTGTGATGAGAGCTGGTACTTGTGTGGAGCTGGAAGAACCAGAAACAGAACCATAAACACAAGCACAGCTGGGACTGGCGCAAGCACAACTGGAGCCAGAAAGGCCGGAGACGTTCGATATCATCGGGATTAGATCCGAGAGAACCATGCTGGGTCGCGTTCCGTCTGTTGATACCCTGGTTAGGGAACTGAGCTTGCTGAGATTATTTGACGATGCATCGTAACTACCATGATATAGTCTTGCTGTATTGCGGCGATCATTTTCGTCGACGACGAAGGTGAACGAGGGGGAGCGGCTGCGGCTGAACATTAAGGACGTACGCTCGGGGTGGACGTCTTTCAAGAGGAACTCGTCGAGAGTTTTACTCGTGCCTTCGGTAAGGGAGAGACTGGATCGTTTAAATGGGTCATCGTTGCGGTTTTCAATGTCGAAGAGCCGCCTGGCTCGTCGCTGTCTTCTTCTTTTGAGGTACCATATTAGCAGAAAGATGATGGCGCAGAGCGTTGCAGTTGCGATGATGGTGGCTGCGGCAATTGAGGGTTTCTTGGCGTAGGTCCAACTTGATTGCTTAGATTTGCGAGAATTGGCGCTGGCTGGAGGGTTAGGAGCTTTGGAGTCTGCAAGTTGGGGAAATTCGGGGGAATATGAGGTTGTTTGTTGTGCGAGAAAGTCATCGGTGATAACTTGTCGCATGTTTGAACCTGGGGAATGCATTCGTCAAGCTTGAAGGGGAACTGTAATTAATACTAAGATTAACATATACATTTCTCAAGGAGTCAAGGTGGCTGATATTGATTGATTAAAGGCAAGTACTACAGCCCTAGTACTTGGGCAGGCACGATCACCACCAGAGTAAGTGCAATTATTGGAACTGCAGTTTCCGTGTAGAAACATGTTCTGATCAACTAGATACCCACTTGATTAGCTTGGCGAAGTTTAAACAATGGGGAAAAAGACCCTGATATTAAAGACTCAAAGAAATGCGGTTTCATAAACGCTCATGTTCTCGTGGTAAATCCGTGGTACTTCTCCAAGAGCCAAAGCAGAGCGTCATCTCAGCAACCTCACCCACCAAGAATAAGTTAATGTTTATCAGGAATTCTTACAACAGGATAACTATTAATTAATAATAACAAAGATTCAACATCGGTATTGACTCCGGACCCAGGATTCCAGAGGAAAATCTAACTGGCACTAGAAGCGACTCAGTCGATGGCAGTTACAGACAATGATCTGGGACGGCAGTGTTGCCGGTCCCTGACATATATCCAAACGCGGAGCATCACTCTACCAGTTCAGCGACCAGGCCACCACGGGCTATGATCATTGATCTTTTCCCCATAAAACCAAACATAAGGGAGAATTGAGTTACTTTCCCTGCACCATCCAGCACCACCATCTATTTGTTTTGTATGACTATCGTGGTCTCGAGCGGCTTCCCTGGAAATGACTAATATTCAAGCTTTCACAGGGTCCTGGTCTTAATAAGCCATCCGCTAATCGGAGTTGGGGCTGATTAACTATACTCCGTTGTCGGGATTATGGAAATATACCCAATAGCCCAAACCCAAAAGCCAAGACCCATTTGAACAACTGCATACAATTGAACAGATCCAATTCAATTTGAATGATCACGATTGGCTCAAACAATTGATCCTCCCACAATGGCCAGTGAACCACCACCACCATACCAAGCCCGCGATTCTTCCACTCCCGCACCGATATCGGCATCAAGCCACCCAGCCACTTTCCATATCGAGTGTCCCAAGCAACGCGACTACTACATATACTCCGGCCCTGACAAAGATACGTTCATTAACGTACAAACAAACGAATGGATATCATCCGATCTCGCATTTTACAGCAGCAACGCACCAACCCGTGAATTGATCACCTGCAACTTCAAGGAAACGACATGCTCGGTTGACAAGGCCGACATCAAAACGCAGATAGGTCAAAAGGAAACATTATGGTGGGCGGCGTGTATTGATCCCACGATCCCAATTTCCGTTCAATACCGGTTTAAGGCTCGAGTGCAGAATCCAGCGAATCCATTCGCCGGTATTGCAGGAGTTAACGCTACGAGTCCGCGATCCTTTGATTGGGAATGTCATGAGGGATCGGAATGGAGACTTGTTGATGAATTGACTGGTGCTGTGGCTGCTGTTGTGCGTGATGTCGATTTTGCCGCGGGCGTATATGGCTCGATTGAGCTTTTGTTGTCTTACGGTGATACGTTCAGTTTGATAGTGTTTTCGTCGTACCTTACGATTTGTGAGAAGCTGAAGCGGGAGGCTAAGAAGCATTGGATATGGTAGATCAATATTTTGTGTTAATGTGGATATTTTGAAAATGGACTGGAGTTAGTGGACCTCGAAATGGATTGTTTGTTGGATTGCATTGGGTGGGCTGACTAGGCCCTCCATGCTTTCGGCATCGTCTCGGGACGTTTCTTGCCATCCGCTTGTTACCTGCACTGATGTACCGGGGCTGAGAGGTGGATCTGTCCGGGTAGGGTATGACTTTCTCATGGATGAGATGTTGTATTTGTTGCTTTTAGCCTGTGCGTCGGCAGGGTCGTCGTGAATGGTGAATGCGTAGATATTGGGTTGAAGCTCGACAACCAGTCGTCCAAGGGATGGGAGGGCGGTTGTGATTATACTAAGGTTCATCATGACTCTGCAGCTGAAGTGTTAGCTCTGCCCAGGTGTATATTTACTAATGTCGTTGATACTCACTGGTCCCAAACAGTAGAGTTGGTGCTCGCCCCTAAATGCCAGTTAGTGAAATTATACTTTATTCATATCGTTTAAAGACAATCTTACATAGATGGTCGGGTGATGCGAGTAGGTTGAGGGTATAGTGGATCTCGACTCCTGTCACAGCACAAACCCTGCAAGACAATGTCAGATTGGTGATTTGAAAGTTATACTGGTCTTGACTTGACTTACGCGAACTTGCTAGCGATAAGTGCCATAATCCTGAACCGTTTCCATCGGGACAGTTGCACATTTCGGAGCAATACGCACGGCAGAACCACGAGGGCTACATCTGTTATGATGTTGAATGCTGCGATAGCCTGAAAAAGAGCGGCCTGCGGGAGTGTGAGCTGGAAAACCTGCCAAAAAGGACTAGAAGAAGCCTTACCTGATTGATGCACTGGCCGGGCAGATTCCACTCCCAGGGCGTAGGCAGAGAGCATCGGAAAGCCAATGCTAGGATGGATGCAATAGCCCATGCAGTTATGACCCCTATTAATCCCATGTTTGACCGTAAATAGCCCCGCGATGTCAATGTGCTCTTGAAAAGCAGCCCCGATGAAAGTTTGCTCAGTGCTATCGTCACGATAAGGAGGATTTGTGCGACATATTCGTACTATAGACAAGATGAGCGTTTGATCTTCAGAGAAAGAGGTAGCTAGTACCTACCTTCAGAAACAATCTAAAATGGTGATTGTCAATGGTGGGACGTTTCCGACCAAGTCCATTGGAAATCGCCAGCTGTACTATGATACTCTGTATGAGACCCGATAGCTTAAATCAGGGCAAGAATTAGCAATTGATTCACACAAAGAGTATTTTAATAGATAAAGTAGACTCACTGTTGCAGCTGCCAGTAGAATGTCATCGAGATGTATCACTCGTCCGATATACCACCGGCTGAATAAACGAGTGAGAACGACAACAATTGTCAATGCCAATAAAGTATAGACTGTGACCGCCGCATATCCACCATGATCGTCGTCAGATATCTCAAAGAGAGGAGGCAGAGTACCCGCCATCAATGCGGATTGAGCAATTGCATTCACTAAGAAACGAGAATATGAGGAATGGTCGGTCGATCACAGATCAGCGATCAGCGGGTCGCGGGTATTTGACAAGTTCGTAACGGCACCTTTAGCGGCATCCAGACATACTGGATTAGGTGCTTTCCCTCCAAGCTTTGCAAAAAGGTTCCCTTTTACTCAGATTTCACAGAGAGAAAAAAGGCAATTTGGGAGGCAAATCTCCCATCATCGCATCTGTATTTGGACTATCGGAGTCCGGCGGGGGGCGCCCGTGCGAACAGGGGTTTCCGGGGGGTCTGTGTTAGAAGAAACCTTATATGATTAACTCTCATATTCCACCGAACAATCACCGGTGTCTAGACTAGACAATTTACCAATGTGATGAAATAAACTTCTTTCAAGTCGGCTGGACCAGTCAAATCTGTCACAATCCGCCATGTTTCACAACCCCTAATTGGCGAAGGCTTATCTGTACCGGCTCAGTCCCAAAAGAGGAGCCGATTCGTTTGAGATCTGGAATTCCCGGTCAAATCACCGCTTCGACGAAAAGCTAAACCATGGAACTTTGCAAAGTATCGGGTGCCACGCCCCAAACAGTCAAGAGCTCGTGCGAGTGGTCTGATATGGAGTCCGAACTCGGACTTTCCACCGACCCTTCTGCTCATTCTTGTAAAGTGATTATCTCTATCACATGGCATGGAATGGTTCAAGTATTTTGAATATACATGAGACTGGATCTGTACAGAGTACGGGTACCTGGTCGGGAATTGATTTCTTGCTCCATTCCCGCACGACTCACAAAAGCACTGTGAGTTGCATCCGACATGTCGAGCGAAGGCATTGAGATGGGCCGCTTGCCTGTCAAGTCGGTCCAAGTGAGTGTGTCGCACGCCCGTTCTGGCTCTGAGGGGTTTCATGGGGGTGTTTCGACGTCGAGGTCAAGTAGGAAAAATCTAGAGGTAAATCTGCCCTGACGATCTTGGGAGGGGCTGAGGGGCAAAATTGACACGGTCGATAGAGAAGCTTTGGATCACTTTCGATTCTTTCATTATCACTTACCCTGTTGTCTTCGTGGGAATCTATTGCGAAGTAAGCATACAGTCGTTAGATCAGGCAGCATCGACTGACATCCTTCTAGCAGCTTCGAGTCCGGTCTCGTCAATGGCGGGCCAGCTGGTCTTGTCTGGGGTATGGTGCTATCCATTATTGGCACAATGGCTTTGGCACTGTCGCTAGCTGAGCTGGCGTCAATGTGTCCCCGAGCAGGAGCACAATATCACTGGACAGCGGTGCTGGCACCGCCAAGAATTCGCGCATTCATTACCTGGATGCAAGGATGGATCACTGTCTTTGGATGGCAAGCTGCAGTAGCTAGTATTTGCTACTTAATGGCGACGCAGATTCAAGGAATGGTAATGCTAAACAGCTCAGGTTATCATTCTCAGCAATGGCATGGGACACTCATAATGTGGGCAGTCGTCGCTTTCGTTGGATTCATCAATATTTATGGGATCAAGATCCTGCCCGCTTTGCAGATGTTTGGTGGAATCATGCATATCATATTCTTCATCGCCATCGTCGTTCCACTGGTTCTTCTCTCACGTCGCAGCACCTCTGAATTTGTTTTTACCGAGTTGATGACGACGGAAGAAGGATGGCAGTCAAAGGGAATTGCGTGGTGCCTTGGCATGTTGACAGTGACATATTGCTTTCTCGGTGAGTGCAAGAAATCATCCACATAGGATCAAAGTCTGACTCCACAGGATTTGACGGCGCCATTCATATGAGTGAAGAAGTGCGAAATCCGGCAATCGTTATTCCACGGATCTTGGTTCAGACAATCGCCATAAACGGGTTCATGGCCTTTGTCTTTCTCCTCGTTGTTCTCTTCTGCATTGGTAGTGTTGATGAGGCCTTGAATCCCCCTTATATTTTTCCAATGATCGGAATTTTCAAACAGGCCACCCAATCTGCCGGGGCGGCCACTGCTATGCAAACGGCTATTACACTCATAGGCATGGTGTCGAACATAGGTGTCGTCGCATCTGTCTCAAGACTGACATGGGCATTCGCTCGTGACGGAGGTCTACCATTCTCAAGCTATTTCGCTCATGTAGGACTCTCTCTTCCACCGATTTAATTCAACTGACAATTATTAGGTTGACCGCAACCAACGTGTACCGAAACGAGCCATCTATCTTGTATGTGTCGCAGTGATCCTTCTTTCAATTATAAACTCCGTTTCAGAAACCGCCCTGAGTGCTATTCTTGCTCTTTCCGACAGCTCACTCTACGTTTCGTATCTTATACCGATCGTCCTGATGATCATCCGCCGGGTGGATACTAGTCGTGGACCCATTCCATTTGGACCCTGGACCCTGGGCCGTTACGGGATGGCGATTAATATTTTCGCTTTGATCTTTGGTGTCTTTGTCTGCATTTTCGTTCCGTTCCCGACGATGATTCCTGTCACTGCTGCGAATATGAATTGGTCGGGCCCTGTATTTGTCGGCGTGGTTATATTGCTGGTTATAGACTGGACATTTCGGGCCAGGAAGAAGTATATTGGGCCCATCGAAGATCTTTTACAGTCGGAAAGAAAGACTAATGTTGCTTAACGCCTTAGATATAATAGATTTCTAATGTTTCCAATGTTAGGACAGCCTTGTAGGTCCATGAAATTAACATTTGCATGTCGCGATGTACTAGTCTACCGCAACATCAGCAAAGCACCTGATGAGCATCACAAATATCAACGTCATAAAAGCCTAATCATGGACGCTGATCTTTAATCAATTTTCCGCCTCATCTTTAGGCTTCCCTGTTCAGGACCCCGGGATTGGACAGAAACTGACTAATCCCTTATCGTGACCTACGTCATCGACGCATATATAGAGCTTTGCGAACCTTCGTAGCAAGAAATACCACCTTTCCAACCTCCATATCACTCCTACTAAATAAATTCACATATCAATAGAATTATCTATATCTGAAATATTTCATCATGCCTCTCGTCGTTCCCGGTATCAACTCCACCATGGGCGATAAGTCCGACTGGGTATCCAAGTTGATGGGCAAGAAGATCAGTGATTCGGGCAGTAATGAGGTGGTAAGTCAAACTGTCTTCATTTTTCAGATCGCCAGCGGAGTTCTCTAATGTATCTCTACTCATCTAGTCATTTGCTAAGAAAGACCTTCCTGAGTCTCATCGCGTGCTTAAGCCTGGTGATATGAAGACTATGGACCACAACCCCGATAGGTATGAGTACATGAACTCTGAAATACACTAATAATACTAATTGCATGTTCTGATGAATAGACTTAACATCCATCTTGGTGAAGATGACACTGTTCGGGATGTGACCTACGGCTAAATTAAGAGACCACGATTCACGATCATGTTTAATAATCTTCTAAGAATATGACTGTCTTGCTTTATAACCAATCTCTATAGAAACGTAAACAGAAGAACCATCTAGTACGCCCTCTAGTCGGCCTTCCACCGAATCAAAGTCAGAGAATGCTTAGGGAAGACATACTTCCCTTTTCCATCCCAAACAGTCTCCTCGACTCTCACCTCCTCAGCCTCCTTCATATTCGTAACCATAACATCCCCACCCGTAACAGTAAACACCTGCGCAGATCCCTCAACCCCCTCAACAACAGTCTCAAAGCTCTTCTCCTCAGAAATATTCACAACCGCCAAATTGGCAAACCCATCCTCCCCAAGACTGGCACTAACATCCAGCCAAGGCGTATCAACAGCTCCCCGCAACCACTTAGGCTGCGTCTCACCCTCATAAGTCCCACAAGAAACATGTGACGCAACCGTCCATCCCCGCATAAACTTCGAAAACAGATAAAGCGGCCACCACGTTGTCTGCTTAATAACTTTCTCCTTAGTCGTCATCAACGGCGAGATAACATTCACACTCTGTGCGATACAAGCCATTCCCAGATCGCGGCTCTTGCGGACAAATACGTTCAGCCACACGGCCACGGCCAGTGCATCGGACAGAGTGTAGCTCTCTTCTGCGCCTTGGCTTCCTTCTGCGCGAATAGGGTCCCAGACATTCCATTCGTCGAAGCAGATTGTGGGCCGGAGTTGGTCAGGTGGGACGCCATTTTCGATGCGGGCGAGGTCGATGAGGGAGGAGGTTATTTCGATGGCGCGCTCAGCTGCTAGGGGGGCGGTTGCGTTGGGGAGGTGGGAGTTGGAGCATGTGTACATGTGGATGCTATGCATGTCTATGAGGGGGACGGCGCTTGTGGAGAGGGCTGAGTGGGCGGGGAGGAGGCAGTGCTTTAAGGTGTAGTAGTCCCATGAGGCAGTACCATCTTGGCCGCAGAGAATGAGGACGATGCTGGGATCGAGGAGCTTAAGAGCTGTGGAGGAGATTGATCAGTATTTTGGAGGATGGTTGGGGGATGGGAACTAACCTTTTGCCCATTGCAGGGCTTTGTGGGAGTATGCTTCCTTGGTCATTTGTTCGACCTGCCATGGTCCCCATGTCTCATTGCCGAGCGCCCAGTATTTGACCTGGAGATGTGAGCTGGTGAGTTATGCTGGATATCTGGATAACATACGTTATACGGTTCCTCGCGTCCATTCTTGCGTCGCAGATTGGCATAGTATGTGTTGCCGGTACCGTTGCAGTACTCCAACCATCCCAGAGCTGATACTGTTAGCATTAAGCATGATTTGTCTCGACGTATAGAAGCCATACCTTCGTCAAGAGTACCAGTTCCAAAGTTGAAGCACAGATACGGTTCCGTGTCAAGGACTTCGCACCACTTCATAAACTCATCGGTTCCGAATTGGTTTGTCTCTGTTCCAAGCCAAGCGAGTTCGGGTCTATAGCTGGTCAATAGCTATTTCAATCGAATTCCCAAGTGATGAGCTTACCGAGCCGGTCGTTGGTCCTTAGGACCAACACCATCCAACCAGTGATAGGTCGCGCAGAAGTTACCACCAGGATAACGGACAACAGGAATATTGAGATCCTTCAACGCCTCGAGGACATCCTTGCGGAATCCATTTTCATCTGACAATGGGCTACCAGGCTCATAGATACCTCCATAGATGCATCGGCCCATATGCCTGAACAAAACAGGTCAGCACAACCACCAACAGACACATTGAGTCACATACTCAGTAAACCCAGCATAGATATTGGGATTAATCTTGGAGATGCGTCGCGAAGGATGAACCGAGATAACTGGAACATCCTGATCACTCAACTTAGTAAAAGAAGCCATGACGAAAGAATATTTTCAAATCTTCTATAGCTTCACACCAAATTGGTCCCGGTGGCTGAAAATAAGTAAATCCTTGTCCGGATGATCGGTTAAGACTTCAAATGCAAAGACAAAAAAGAAACGGTGAACAGAGCACCAGACCAAAAACGAATCCGACAACGCGTTCTTCCTACCGGCTTTATCTCACCCCTCAACCCTCCAGCCTGGAAGCGGGAAATCTCCTGCGGGGTACAAGAATCGAGGCCGCCATGGCGTTGGGAACGAGAACCCGGATCCAATGAGCTGATCAAGCACAACGAAGCCTAGTATGGTATAGCGTTGAGTCAGCGCGTAAATATGTTGGAGCTTGATCACCTGGATCTCGCTAATAAAATGAGCTCTTCTGGTTAGTTGTATGGGATTACCGAGGTTTAAGAAATATTCCATCAATCACAGTAATCTAGGGTCACGGCCCACTAGTCCCGGCCCCCCGCAGCTTTTCTAGATTTGGTTAATCGTGGCTTTTAGGCATTTGGATCGAAGACCCAATTATCAGGGTCGAATCTGCCGAAATGTTAAAATTCTTTGTTTCTAAGCTAAATCGAGGGTGATGAATGGAGGAACTCGGTTAATTTGAAGGCGTTTGCCGGAAGACAGTCAAGTCTTGGCTTGCTTTTCTCCGGATTGTTTTTTATTTCCCTTGTATTTGGATGGAGTATATATGAGAATTACTTGCCCCGCAAAATTGTCAACTTTGTGGAGTAACAAGTTCCCCGGATCTTCTCCATATTCTTTTTGTTGATCGTTGCCCACCATGGGTCTTTCACCAGCTTGGTACCAGGTGGGACTTGATGAAGTTACTTATTTTACTATATCACTAATTATGTTTAGTTTCTGGTCGGCGTGTTTGCCTCTTTCGGTTCTTTCCTCTATGGATGTGAGTATAGTTACTTGCTCCTATTCAACGTTTTCAAATGAGACTAACAGAACTAGATGATTTGGGTGTGATCGCCGAGGTTATCGCATGCGATTCCTTTATCGATAAATTTGCTGCGAACTCCACACAAAGGTATGCTAGATAGCCTGTCTCGAGAGGAGTTTCTTAATTAACAACTGGCAGCGGTTTGGTCGTTTCTATGTTCACAACTGGTGCCTTCTTTGGCGCTGGATTTGCCGGTCCTTCTGGTGACTACCTCGGTCGACGAAAGACAATCTCCCTGGGATGTTTGTTCTTCTGTTTGGGAGGAGGTCTTCAAACCGGTGCTCAGAACATCTCGTTCTTGTATGCTGGACGATTCTTTGCTGGCTTTGGGTGAGTTTCCACATTTAGGCATGGACAAGAATAGGCTCATATCTTCCAGGGTTGGTTTCCTTACCATGGTGATCCCATTGTACCAAGCCGAAATCTGTCACCCCAAGATCCGTGGTCGAGTCACAGCACTGCAGCAATTCATGCTTGGAGTGGGCGCTCTTTGCGCCTCCTGGATTTCCTACGGAACATACATTGGATTTGCTCCTACGGATGACGCCCAATGGCAACTTCCCTTGGGACTTCAGATGCTTCCTGCTGTGATTCTGGGTCTGTTGATCATGATCTTCCCCGAGGTGAATATTTCTTCTCCTGAATTCACTATCTTCTGTTACTAATGATACTAGTCTCCTCGTTGGCTTATCGACCATGGTCAAGCCGATTTGGGCCTCAAAACTCTTGCTAGGCTGCACGCTAATGGTGATGAGAATGATGCCTGGGTTCAAGCCGAGTACGCTCAAATCCAGGAGAGCATTACTTACGAGCACGAGCATGAGGCCAAGTCGTATGGCGAGTTGTTCAAGAATCGGTCTTCATTCCGCCGTCTGTTCCTTTGCTGTGCCCTGCAAGCTTCCGTTCAGATGACAGGTGTTTCCGCTATCCAGTAAGAATATATCTCCATCATTGGAAATCATGAAAACGATACTGATCATTGGGCAGGTACTACTCCGTGACAATTTATGAGCAGATCGGTATCTCCGGTGAAGCCACCCTCCGCTACCAGGCTATCAATTCCATTATCGCCCTAGTTGCCCAATTCCTCTGCATCCTCTTCATTGATCGATTTGGTCGTCGCTGGACACTCATTGGAGGAAACCTCGGTAACTGTCTGACCTTCATCATTGCAACGATCTTGCTTGCCAAATTCCCTCCTACAACCAATAGCACTGGTGCTCACTGGGGCTTCATCATCATGACCTGGCTGTACAACTTCTCATTCAGCGCAACCTGCGGTCCTCTGTCATGGATCATTCCAGCCGAGGTTTTCGATACACGAACTCGATCCAAGGGTGTCTCGATCGCGACTATGACATCGTTCGCATTCAATACCATGATCGGCCAGGTCACACCCATTGCCATGGATAACATCAAGTACAAATATTACTTCCTCTTCGTGATCTGCAATTTCACAAATGCTCTGTTCTTCTATGCGCTGTTGCCCGAGACGAAGAAGGTACCGCTCGAGGAGATGAACTATATGTTCTCGCACGCGCCGTGGATTGTGCCCGGTAGCAAGAAGGAGGATTACTTGCCGCATGATTTGGAGCGCAAGGTTGAGGAGCAGGAGGTTAAGCAACATGCGATTCATTATGAAAATGAATAGGGGGACAATAGTAGCAAGGAGAACTTGCGAGGTCCAATATGTTGACGCGGTGGTATTTGATATAAGGACATGTTGTCTCCCAGAAGCTTGTTCCAAGCCTACGTATGTATTTTGATTGTTGAGCAAATAATTAATTTATTCCGAATCCGTATCGGACCCGTATCCGACCAGTCCGAGGGATGCTGGCTTGATTGGCTGAGCCTGTGTAGTCTTTGACTTGTCCGGACCTGCAGACGTCTTCGCGACACTGGGTGTCTTTGAGCTCTTCGTATCTTGTGTGGGTTTTGAGTCCTTGGTCTCCTCGGTTTTCGCAACCGAACCACTACCAGGCTTCGTCTGTTCCTTTCTAGAATCGGTGCTATCCATAGATGCCTTCCGCTTCTTGCCTGGCAGCAACAAATCTCTCTTCTCGCGTCGCCTCTTGCGCGCTGGAATTGTCCACTCCTCCTCTTCCGCTGGTGTAACCTCCGAAGATGTAGGCCCCAAGGCACTCTTCTCGGCTTCTTCCCGTTGCTTGCGAAACGCCTCTAGCTGGTCCGCCGTATCCTTCTTCACCGCTGCCTCCTGGGCGCGGGTCGATTCCAGCACAGAGTCTAGGAAGTCCACCTCGTCTTCATCGAGCGACCGGAACTGGTTCTTTAGCCGTATCTTCTCTTCAAACTGTTCCTGCTTCGCCACTAAAAGCCGAGCAAGCAATTACCCTAACATGTCAGCCACCAATGCCTTTTCCACGATTGCAGAGAATCCCGCAACGGAGAAAAGCTCACTTTTGTTCTGCTGGAGAACCTCAAATAGACTTTTGCCGTCATTCTGCTTGCCAATCTCGGCCTTCTGTCGCCGCTCCTCCTCTAGCTCTTGTTGCACTTTTAGCCATTCGTCGTCCCGCTCAATCGGTTGATCGGTGGTTCCAGCTGATACGAATCCTGAAGACATGACGACAGTCTCGGGAAAATTTGGGGTAAGGGAGAGTCTTGCCGAACGTGACGAGTCTCGGGTATAATGGGCGGTGGAGCGTGTAATTATCCGGGCCAGTGAGAGTCACGGGATTTCGGGCGCGATGCGTGGGATGTGGAGTTCGGATAAGGTAACAATGGACCGAATAAACCGGATAATGATGAAGCGCGAGAAATCTGGTACATACGGGAAATTGGAATACGGAAAAGAAGTTGGAGATGCAAGTGGGTCCGATGTATCAGAGACTGTCATTGGATGGAATTGACGTTAGACCAATCATGGAAATTGAGGCGCATTTAGCCGGAATACAAGGGTGGCAATCAACGAATGGACTACTTCGACTCCATACAACAGAGTAAACTAAATAACTCTTGGGTAAAATTGAAACATGTTTTAAACACAAGGAAATGATATACTTGACCAATCGGAGTTTTGAATTTATCATTCATTGTCAGGATTTAGGAATATACCATTAAACTTTTGATTCCCCACATCATCATCAATGAGGGGCACGACATCATAGCTTGGACCTGCCCACTTTATGTGGCAATGCTCCGATGTGTGTATAAAGCCTGGAACCCCCTGTACCCTTTCTATCTTCATTCCAATTCTATTATAACTTTCAAAATGTCGAACCAGCACACTCAGTATGTTGTCCCTCGAGACGAACCCGGCCTTCGAGCCAAATTGCTAACGGTTCCCTAAACAGAAAGACCTACACCCTCAACACCGGTGACAAGATCCCCGCCATTGGCCTGGGCACCTGGCAGTCCAAGCCCAATGAGGTCCGTGTCGCTGTCAAGGACGCCCTGCTGAAGGGTTACCGTCACATTGACACTGCCCTTGCCTACGGTAACGAGGCTGAGGTCGGTGCCGGTATCAAGGACTCTGGTGTGCCCCGCGACCAGATCTGGCTCACCACCAAGCTCGACAACACCTGGCACCACCGTGTGGAGGAGGGCATTGCCTCCTCCCTCAAGGACCTCGGTGTTGACTACGTCGACCTCTACCTGATGCACTGGCCCAGCTCCACCGACCCCAACGACAAGTCCAAGCACCTCCCTGACTGGGACTTCATCAAGACCTGGTAAGACCGCATCAAATCCCCCAGGGTCTCACACTCCAGTCCGCGTATCTTTGCTAACCCGTCTCAGGCAAGAAATGCAGAAGCTCCCCGCCACCGGTAAGGTCCGTAACATCGGTGTCTCCAACTTCGGCATCAAGAACCTGGAAAAGCTCCTCAACGACCCCAGCACCAAGATCGTCCCCGCTGTCAACCAGATCGAGCTGCACCCCAACAACCCCTCCCCCAAGCTGGTTGCCTACAACACCTCCAAGGGCATCCACTCCACCGGTTACTCGTGCCTGGGCTCCACCAACTCTCCTCTCTACAAGGACCCTACTCTGCTGAAGATTGCCGAAAACAAGGGCAAGACTCCTCAGCAAGTGCTGCTCGTCTGGGGTATCCAGAAGGGCTGGAGTGTCATCCCTAAGTCAGTTAGCAAGTCGCGTATCGAGGGCAACTTCGATATTGATGGCTGGACTTTGACCGATGAGGAGATTAACCAGCTTGATAACCTGAAGGACCGCTTCAAGGTCTGTGGTGATGCTTGGTTGCCTGTTAAGGTTTTCTTTGGCGATGATGAGTAAAAAGTTGGCGTTTATAGATGCGCTTGGCGTGGTTTGTCATGTTTATGAATAAATGTTTAGATACCAAAACAATTGATTTTTAGACGATCATTATTGATGTTCATTGAGTGGAATTTATATAATTGTAGACCTTGACTTGAATCTACTCATAGTACTATTCTATGGCCTATATCGCTTTGGAATTGAAGTACCTTAACGATGTCGGATTTTTGTTCAGACTTATTGGAGTACCTTTGATTAACTCTCATAAGTGCAGAATTCCATAGATAACTCCACTGATTCCACGTTTTATCTGTGCTGGATGCTACGGAGTACATTATCTACTTGCCTTGATTAGACCGTTCCCGGTGGGGACCTTACTAAGCCGCTGTGGCGGTGCCTCGCCACTGGGTAAGCTGCCTTAGGACGTCACCTCTTTCCTTCTACTCTTACCCCATCTACAGTACTGTACTTTTCTTATCACTTGAACCATCAGTATGGCGCCTCCAAATGGGCACCTGCTGCTCCCCAAGATATGGAGAGTAGCAAGGTACGTGAATCGTTTCCCTTTAGCATCTGACTCATTGACTTATCGCATATAGGTTCGCCTATGAGAAGGCCTCCAAGGCCATAAGAGCCAAGTTACCCGAACCAACCCATCATACGCCACTGCGCTACGAACCAGTCTATGCCCGGGTCAACAGACAGCCCATTAGTCGGGCTGCCGCTATCCGCCAGGCCCGCGGCCGTCACTTCTCGACTCGTGCAGCCGGTGCCTTTGCCTCGGCCATTCGAGGTATACAAGCGGATGTCGGTACATACAAGACCAGTCGCATTGCTTCCAACATCAGTCGACTGACTGCTCGCGCCCCTTTCGCATCGACTCTCCGCCCCAATTTAACTGGTGGCACACTGGGCCGCACGGCGGGAGGATATGCTATCGGCGCTGGTCGTTTCGGTGGGGCCCGATACTTCTCCCATGGAGCCGCTGCCCCTGCCCAGGTCATCCAGAATGTGTCGCAGGGTGTGCGTGCATTCTTCCTGTCCGGACAGAAGGTTCGATTCGATGGAGTTGATCCCCGTACGGGCGAGAAGCGTTACAAGGCTGTCAGCGCTATCCAGGACCAGGCCGGTCGAAACATGGCCGCCATTCCCCGCACTGCTCCCGGCTCGCATATCGACTTCCAGCTTTCACCTACCATCACCGCCTTCGGTGTTCTGGCCGGTCTGGACAAGAAGAACGGTGTCGCTACTGGGATGCATTCGGAAGGTCTCATGGATGTCCTGTCTGCCGACTTTGCTCGTGCCCTCAAGGAATTTGCTACTGTTTTGAATGATCTCAAGCGTTTGTCAACTCTGGGTGACATGCCAATTCTACTACACGATCAATCCACTATTCGTGTCCGGTTCCCCGGGTGTGATGCCCAGACTGTCGAGAGCCTTTGTGATGAGGTTGGTGTCCAACGCGGTCGTATTTTCCAGGATGAGGACTTTGATCTCCGCACCGGCGCCGATCTAGCTCTGCTCTTCCCATTCGCACCAAGTATAGCCCCATCATCCAATACCGAGGACTTTTTCGAGAAGCCCTCCAAATCAATTGGTCCTTCCACCAACGATCTCGACTGGCACGCCATGCTCACACCCGAGAGCAGTCCATTCTCGCACAAGTCGCGAGACTCTGGCAATGCCATCAGTTTCGACGACAGTGAGCTATTTGGCGATAACCCATGGACCTCCCCCAAGTCGGCGTACTCAAGCGTCAACATAAGCGAGCTTGGGGATCGTGCCTTTTTTCCAGAGATGTCTAACTCCTGTGCTAGCTTCTCGGAAAGTGGAGGGTATGATGGTGCCGAGGGAATTTACAGATTTCTAGCCGAATGCGATATGGCACGGCGCTGATAGGGTCATTGACTCTTGATTCAACATTTATACGTTCTTGTTTGTGTACTTTTGTTTTTCGATTGATGGACTTCCTTTGGGCTATCCTGGTAGATGCCGGTTCCATGATGACAGCGCTGATACCACTCCACTCACTTCATATTTCGTTTTTGTCTTGCTTTCTGAGGTCCTGGTGATAGTGCAGAATCCAATGAATACTTTAAAATAAACCTGATGCTTTTGAAGCTTTCCTTTTACTTACTCTTAAGCGTGAGGCTGCTGTCTTGCTGCATCGTTTCGCATCTAGTGTTGATAGTGGGGGAATTTGAGGATAATGGCAGTTCAATATGTTTGCTTCTATGATATTAGGAGTCCCTATGGTATAAGCTTGTGGCCAAGGCCGAAAAGTCTATTGAATCAACGTTGCATACAAAAATCATCAGAGTTACATCTAAAATTCAATAATTCTATATTGACTACTAAGTTCTCATATCAAAAGTTTACCATAGGCAGAAATATCTAGAAAATACGTATTGCCATCAGAAATGATCAAGAATCTCCCTAAAATCTAATGATCGTATTCAGATCAAATTCTGTATAGTGAAATCAAAAGTTACGATTTCAAACCCCGAGAAATTTCGAGAAATGTCTTGAGGCAAGAAGCATCCCCTAATCATTCTATGCTAATAACAGCCTTATCAGCACGTGCTATTACATCATCGGTCTGCAATTCAAGCCGATTGACATTCAACACCCTCCAAATATTCACATAACACAATTTCCAAAGAGAAGCCTAAATCCTCCCACCTAGTGCTTCAAATAAGCTCAATTAAGTCAACCTACAAAATGACATCCATTCCACTTCGAACCAGAGCACAAGCACTGCGTCTCCGCAACCTCCAATCCCCACGTTTAAGCTCCATCACACTTCCCCGGATTCTATCCACTCTGCCAACAAGATACTTCCACCAAAGACCCCAAACAACCCCTAACCCAATCCGCCCGCTTCAAAAACCACAGTACATCACCCTCCAAAACTCCCGACGCCAACACAGCACCCGCGCTCCAACAGCTGACGCCCTAATCGAAGAACTCCAAGAACTCTACGAAACAGCCAAAGACGAATTTGAAATCGCCACAGAAAGCACAGACGGTGCCACTATCTACGCAGCCTCGGATCGGGACTCGGCCCGCGACGCACTAAACGAGTTCTGCGCTACTTACTTCCTGTATACATCCCGACCGGGCGAGGAGGACACAGGTGTTGTTCTGCGGTCTGGGGAGGCGATGAGTGGGACGAGATTGAGGGAGGCGGAGGTTGTGTTGCTTGGGGGAGAGGGTGAGGATGGACCTGTTGTTGATACGGCGTTTGACCCGTCGAGTGTGGAGGTGGATGTTAGGGAGGAGGTTCGGAGGAGGATTGGGCAGAGGGTTAGGGAGTTGAGGAATGCTGTTGAGCTTTTGGAGGAGAGGGCCCATGAGGAGTGAGTCCGTGGTAGTCAATGTTAAGTTGGAGAGTTCTAGAGTTGGTATTTGTGTATTCATAGGTGTGGTAGGATGGGAATTGTACATGCATCCTTTTATCACTAGTAGTATTCAGCATGAGTTAAAGGTTCAGCACAACCTTGGAAAGATCGAAAGTTGGAAATGGCTTTCTCAAAATAGAGCTTTGCAGAATACCTCGCCAAGCACAAACACTATTTAAGGCACTAATGCGCAGCAACGGCATAATCAAATACAACGAAGATTCAAATTCCATATCACGTCCAGAGAACAGAAGTCTGAACGAGGAGTAGACTTTTCTCCTGTTTATGATTAAGCAAGGATATCAAACTCCAAAGAAAGAATCAAGCTCGAGACCATCTCGCTGTAATACGCCCGGGCACAGATCGCGCCGTTCCAGATTGAATCGCAAAGTAGATCGGTGTAGTAGGTGATGAATATGTAGATCGTGATAATCCAATCAGAGAATCGAGAAATGAAGAGAAAAAGATAATCGTTATTCGGGTTCGTTAGACCATGCTGAAAGGGGTGAGTGTGAAGTGGTCGGGACTAGGGGAAGGGAGGGTAGAGCTGGGCTCTTTGTGGGTCGTGCGTTGGTGGCGTTTTAATTGGTCTACACAGGCAAAAGATTAGTGTTTGATAAAGAGTTGAAGGGAACTGAAAAATACCAGGTCGAGTAAAGCTCTTGCTGCAGCCGGGGTAGGGGCATTTATGTTTGCGTTCGCCGTGAGCTGGACCGTATTAGTGCATGGAGATTGCATGGAATCAATGCTTAACATACTCAATCTATGGCTGGACATGTTGGATGAATCTCCAGTCTCAAAATCACAACCTGGGAAGGTGCACTTGAATGGCTTTTCGCCTGTGTGGGTTCGAGAGTGCGTTTCTATGATCATTAGCTATTGTTCTTCTGAAAATAATTAAGCAACTTACTCAGCTCACTGCTATCAGTAAACATTTTTCCACAATCCTTGCATTTGTACGGCTTGTCACCCCGATGACTGCGCTCATGGCGGTCAAGGGTTGCCTGGCGAGCGAAGGACTTGCCACAGACAGAACACCTGAAGTTTTTGTCTATAATGAAAAGTCGGTAAGCAGTTGAAAGAGAATGCAATAGATAATACTGAGACATACAGTTGCTGTGTGTCAGGAAATGACCCTGAAGCTTCGACTTCTGTGAAAATGGCTCATCTGGACGGTGGCACCCATCCCAGCAACAATAATAGCCATTGCCCTTTGCCCCATCAATTGGGTCCATGTGGCTAGATACAAGATGTTCTTGAAGAGCGCCAGCACCGGTGAATATGGCGCCGCACGGTTTGTTTACTCCATGTCGTTTCGTTGACCATTTGCAAATAAAATTTTCATTGTCCTCGGCGGAAAAGTCAGGAGTTGTCAAGACTGATGAGATACCTCCGTCCAGCGGCGGTGGGGTTTCCCCAGGACTCGAAAGAATGTGAGAGCTGATGCTGGACCGGGATTGTCGAGAATAAGGAGAGTAAGAATGGACATGAGCGTGTTGGTGTCCTCGGCATCGATGGTGGTTGCGATGGGGTCCTCGAGTGATATTAAGGTTCAGGTCATTAGGGTTTTTGAAGTGGCTGTGGTCGTGTACGTGATGATGTTCGGGATGAGGGTGAAATAGGTTTAGGGGGTCGGAAGTGATATTTTTGACTTGGGAGGAGCCCGAAAGTGTGTGGTCTTGAGGAAATTGGCCCTGCTGAACAGAAAAGTCCGGACAAGTTCCCAACAGATGGAAGACATCGACTGGGTTGACATCCGTCTGTTCAGGCAATTGCTCCGTAGGGAAGATACCCTGCAAGTCCTTCTGGAAGTCATGGCATTCGAAATGATTCGCGACGCTTTGGTCGCAGTGAGTAGCGTGTGCCTGGTATGAAGATAAGAAGTCTTGATGGTAGCACGGATCTATAACAGCCGGGAGGGTACTGTCTAGATTTTTTCCGGTTTCACCAACGACATTTTGGCCAATGGAAGCAGAAGCCATCATGCCAGAAGTAACCAACGACAGGGGCGTATTGAGACCAAAGAAAGAGTCAAATTCGCAATTCTGTTCCTCGACAGCATCACAACAGTGATCTTCAAAGCAGACGAGGTCTGTGCTTTCGCAATGGTTCCCATCACAGTGAGCGTCGTCGCAATGGGCAACCGAGCAGACGGTCGAGGCGTCGCAATCCACAAAGCCTTCGCATACTGACCCACACTCTAGCGGACAATCATCCTGGCAGTCAGCCTGGCAATCGTCCACATCGCAGCAAGCCTCATCGACCTCACAAGGACCAAGCGTCGTGTGATGCTCCTGGTCTAAGCAGTCCCACTGGGACCGAGACTGATCACCCAACCCAGACTCATTCTTTCCATCAAGATGGAAGTCCTCCCAGCGACACTCTAGACAAAAGTCGCGATTCTGTGGCTGAGACGTCATGATGCGCACGGTTCAGGGACGGGATATCAAAGGGTAAGGGAAGAAGAAGGCTGGAACGGGGCAAACCCAGGACCAGTTATCGTCGCAATAGGGCACAGGGGAGAAAAATGGGGAATCGACAGTAGAAGAAGTAAGAGGGGAATGTGCGACCGCGAAGTGGAATATGGCTTGCTCCAGGTACAATAATTTCTCGAGAAATCACGTAACCGGCCAGTATCCAGAAGGCGCCACTCTAGAATTCCACTGTGGGGTTACTAGAGCCCCAGAAAAGACCAAGAATGTGTTTCCACCGTACAATTCCTACTGCAGATAGTCTCGCAGTTGTTTCATGCGCTAGGACCGCGGGAAGTACTCAGAACCGGGGAGGATCATCGACGCAATCGGAGAATTGGCGAGCAGATCGTGCAGCACACAGTGAATCGAGGAGGTCAAATGAGGACCTTGGAAGATCAAAAATAACCGAATTTGTGTTGAAAAGGATCTCTATGGTCGACTGGTAGAATCGTGGGTACCTTTGGGACGGGGAGAAGGTGAGGACCTTGGGGGTTAGGCGTCATGGTTTTCGAACGAATTGCAACCCTGCAGTTGGTGAGCGGTCAACCAGGCCTTTTTATCATGGTTGATACATCTTGAACGAGTCGTCGATATTAAGATTGGAATTCTTCTCATCTGCGAAGTAAACCAGAGAAGGAAAAGATTGAATCTCTTTTTTCCTGGTTCCTTCGTCCGATGACTAAGGGGTTTCTGGCCCCGCCGGATGTTTAATCTATGAACGCTCTGGATAAGAGCCTACAAGTCCCATAATGACTTATCTGCTATATCATTTTTGTCGCATATAACATGCGACACAATCCATGCTCCCTAATCACAAAATCAATCAGTAGCGAAGTATATAAATTCATTCTTCGCTATGCTGACATAACCCCACGTGCCCCGGATCGCCGATAGCTTATCGCTTATCGCTCCCAAATGCACTGACCACATCAAGTTCCGACACGAATCAGACTCGATCTATATCCATCTAAAGTACTCAGCTACAATTCCTATCAAATTCACTTCACACTTTCACACTACAAACATTCTGATCTGCAATTATCCCAAACTAGGCAACTCAACCACCAATTCGGCTTCCTTCGCATTACCAGAAACCAAAGAACATTTGAAACATCACCCCCGCACCAGTCTCAATGGGCAACATATGTTCCCGCTCTTCCGACAACGACCCGGATGCCTTCACGGGACCAGGTCGACCAGTTGGAACAGCAAGCCAAAACCCCACTCCACGCGCATCCGTTCCACCAAACGCAAACTGGAAATCATCACCGGGTCGCACACTCGGCGAGACCTCGCCAGCCGGTGCGCAAGGGGCTGGTGACGAAGCGCGCTCCAATGCTGCGATCGCGGCGCAGGTGAGACTATCCATGTCCCTCTGTTTCATGCAGGGGAAATATCTAACCTAAATTTCTATTTCTATGGTATAGAAACGTGCAGAATCCGTGTCAACGGCAAATAAGGGGAAGCTGGGTTCAAAGCTAGCGGCGCAGAAGGCGAAGACGCATACGCAGACGTTAGATCAGGTTAGTCGTGATGAGAGGGCGGCGAGGGATGTAGATAAGGTGGAGCAGGCGAGACAGTGGTCCTGAGCAGAGTTACTTTGTGCTTTAGTCTCGGTGTTTGGGTGCATTTCTTGATTTGTTTTTCTAGGTTAATGGATGCGTTTCATAGCGTTGTCGATGGTTCATATGCATAATCTGATTGAGCAAGGCGAACACTTGTCCGTAACTTGGTCCTTTGCGCTTCTCTACATGAATCCGTCTACTGATACGAATAATACAGTGGATTTTGATCTTTGGGCTTAATGCCTGCATGTGTTTTGCGTTCATCAAGGCTATGTCTGGTATTTCTGATCCAAAATTATCGTACAACCACATGCCATGCGGTACATGTCGAGCATGAAAAGTCATAAAGGCCTAACCGACCAATAAAATGTCTAACGAGGCTAGACAACGCTATAACGACCACTGGCTGGGGCACGAGCATCACTGTCGGCGGCAGCAATAGTACCCTCCTTCAAGAGGCGCATAAGCTCACGCATGGCGTTGGTGACAGTAATCTCAGTTTCACCCTCAACCAGAATGTACAGCTTAGGCGCATCTTCGGAAGCAGGTTCTTTTCCATTTGCGTAGAAATTTCCCTTCGTTGTGATAGATGTGCCGGTGGATTCGAGGATCTTTGCGACGTTTGTGCGGTTCGTGACTGCCCAACGAGCTTTCTCTGTAGCAACTAGTTAGCAAATGTCCTTGACCTGCGTGCAGAATATTGGTTGAAAAACTTACGGGGAAAGTCGTTGATCTCAAGCGTAGCATGGAACGCGCCAGCATCTGGCCCACGATTGTCGATGGGAACTCCTGATCTCATCACACCGGCTCGGCTCAAACGAGCATGAATATCAGCGACGGCAGAGCCGACCTTGTCAAGTGCGTTCTTTGAGCCGCCTGCTGGGTCCTTCTCTGTCCTGTGCACAGTAATCTTGCCATCCAGATCAATGCCCTTGGGCACACCAACAAGCTGTGTAGGAGCTGGAGCAGCAGCAGATTGTACGGATGAAAGAGCCTTGTTAAATCGGTCTTCATCCTTAGCATTCTTTTCCTCTTTCTCTTCCTCGTCCTCGCCTTCTTCGCCGGTTTTGTAGGTGCGACGCTCACGGTTCCGTGCCGTCTCACGTTCCTGGTCAAGCCGCTCTAGACCCTTGCCACCGAATCCAGAGGTGCTGGCTCTTTCTTTACCGGCCTTGACCTTCTCCAGGAAAGCATCGACCAGCTTTTGAACAGGCTCGGGAATCTCCTGACCACTCTGCTTGAGCGCCTTGGCGATATCCACGGAGTATCGTTCTTGTTCATCAGTGAGGAAAGTGACCGCAGTTCCAGTGTTGCCAGCACGACCAGTTCGCCCAGCACGGTGGACATAGTCCTCTAAATGATTGGGAGCGTCGTAGTTGACGACAAGTTTCAGCTGCTTGACGTCCAGACCACGGGCGGCCACAGAGGTAGCAACCAAGACAGGGAAAATACCTGCCTTGAAGTCTTCGATAGTGGAATCACGATCGATCTGGTCCTTTCCACCGTGAATGGACATACACGGATAACCTTTACGCATAAGCTCCTTGAGTAGATTATCAGCGGATTCCTGACGGTCCACGAAGATCAACGCCCGCGCGTCCTCATTTGCGTCATCCTCATACAGGTTACCCAGTAACTCCAAGAGACGGAAAAACTTTTGGTCCTCGTTGCGGACCTCAACAATCTGTGTAATTTCAGGAGCGACAACGCTCTTACCACCAACCACGATCTCGACGGGCTTTTTCAACGTCTTTCGGGCCAAAGCCTCCATGTTTCGAGGGAAGGTGGCAGAAAAGAGGACTGTCTGACGATCTGGTCTTACGTTGGCCATGATCTTCATAACTTGGGGTTCAAAGCCCATATCGAACATGCGATCGGCTTCGTCAAGAACAACGAACGTAACTCGTCGCAAATTTAGTACTCGACCTGCGTTTGCCGCAAGTAAATCGATCATACGACCAGGGGTGCACACAACAATTTCCGCTCCCCGCTTCAGGTCGGCAATTTGATCCTTGATTGGAGCACCACCGTAAGCGCAAACTGCGCGAAGACCTAAAGCTTTTAAGAATGGCTTGCAGTCTTTATGAATCTGAGTTGCCAGTTCACGGGTCGGTGTCATGATCAGACTGATCGGGCCTTCCATGTTTTCAAGAGGCCGTTGATCTTTGATGTGCCTGAACATTGGGATCAGGAATGCCATTGTCTTTCCAGAACCAGTCTTCGCAACACCAATCACATCACGACCAGCCATGACTGAAGGAATAGCTTGGGCTTGAATGGAAGTCAGGCACTCGTAACCAAGTCGCTCAACGACCTCGAGAGTTTGTACACCCAGCCCAACTTCGGCCCATTTCTGTACGGGCTTTGGAATGTCAAGACCGCGGACTTTGATTCCGTCTAGTTCAAGACGCAGGTTTGCGGTCTCCTCCTCGGTCATATCTGCGAGATGTGCTGGCTCGTGATAGAACTCTTTGCGGAAAGGTTCATACTCAACCTTGGCGTGATCCACCGCGGGTATTTCCTTTTTCTTCTTTTTGTTGGCAATGGCAAGAACGTCTTCAGCAGCGTCGTCTCCGACCGCGGTGATGGCCACGTCTTCTTCGTCACCGAACATAGCCTGGGGTTGTTGTGCCTCTTTTTTCTTGGAGAATTTGTTGCCAAAGGTCTTCTTTGGTAGAGGGGCTTCGGCTAGTCCTGACATGAATGCATCCAAGGGATCAATTTCCTCATCTACTTCCATTTCAACTTCGGCCTGCGAGTTGGACACATCCGTCATTTGAACATCACCATTTGTTTGGGAGTCGCCTTGTCCGTCGCTTTCCGACTGAATCACATTCTGAAGTCGCTCTTCTCGGCGCTCTGCTGCTGCTCGCGCGTTGGCTTCGGCGTCCTCCTCGGTCCCATCTTCTTGCATATCCATGTCATCGTCTCCGGCATCATCTGCTGTATTATCTTTGCCATCATCAAGAGGAGGAGTGGGAAGCCTCTCGAGCTTCTTACGCGTAGATTCCTCTTCACCAAACCCAAGCGTGCGGGTGGCCGTGGATTTCTCCTTGTCAGAGGCTAATTTCGCTCCTCCCAGTCCAAACCCACCCACATTGCCTATGGGCTTAAAAGAAGCGGAATTGGAAACGGAGGTGGAGAGGTGTGATTGTTTCGCGGCGGTCTTTGTGATTTGGGGAACAGCGACATCATTTCCAAGTACAGCGGGCGATGCAGCAGAGGTTGTGACGTTCTTCGCGATGGCTTTAGGGTCGAATTTCCCAGGGTACGGAGTGGATGCCGTAGAGTCAATGGGTGTCGCGGGTGTTTGGGGTGAAGCAACGGCGGGGGAAACCCCGGATTTACGATCAATAGCTTCCAAAATGTTCCGTGGGCCAGCGGCAGCCTGTTCTTGTTCCTTGCGTTCACGCTCGGCGGCTTGCTTCTCTTTCCATGCTGCCAATTTTGCGAGTCTCTCGGCTTTCTTCTGCTCGTCCGTCTGAGCGGCGGGTGCGGGTGCGGGGGTGGATGCTTTGGATGGCTCGCGAGTTCGAGACCTCGACTGCCGATTCGATCCACGGTCTCGGCTATCTTCCCGTCTAGACTTGGACTTCAGGTCAGCAGAATCATCCGTGCGCCTGCGATCACGGTCGCGTGAATCATCTCGCCTGGGTCGGTAATCTCTGTCGCGGCTTCTCCGGCGAAAGTCATCTCGCTCTCTAGACCGTCGGCGGTCTCGAGATCGTTCTCTGCGAGTGGGTCGGTAGGTATCTTCATCGCGGCGGTCTAGGGAGCGGTCACGTCGTCGGTAGCTGGGTCTGTCGCGACCGTTATCGCGACCACGGTACCGGCGCTGTAGGGTGATCTGATTAGATGGAGCTCTCACTACGCTGGACTGGGGCCATTGGCGACGTACCTCTGGACTGCGGGATCGGCGATAGCTGCGTCCCTCATCCCGCCGGCTTCGATCATAGCGGTCATCATCTCTGCGGCTCCGCTTGGATGAGTGTGTGCTGCCTACAGGAGATGGTGAGCGAGTATCCCCGTGGCGAGCCATTGTTGCAGGCCAACGATGAGTGAGTATTACTGAAACTCAAAAGCACCAAGATTTGAGCACCAAGTGGAAATATCACCAGAGTCCCATATAGCTCTCACTGAATGGATCAGTCAGTTATTCTCGAAGAAAGTGAGCCGTTGACTTGAATATATAAATCGCTAATGTTGATGCTATTTTCGCGGAGGATGGAGATCGCTATCACATGACGTGCACGTGATGCGCTAAACCCAAAACGGAAGGTTCCAAACGGAAGCTTGGACGCGACCCTAACAACCAGCCACTGCTTGCGTCAGGAGCCCCTTCACACTCATTTGCTTTTTATAGCCATTCAGCTGATCAAGATTGGTGATTGATTAGAACCTGACTACAGATCTATTCAGACTGAGATTAAAGCTTCTCATAGACTCATGTCTTTACAGTGGGCCACTCGCGCAGGTGTCCTGCGGCACCTACATCTCGACCATGCTATGGCTCGCCCTGGTCGTGTGACCGGACTGCAGAACCAACTCCGCCATCTTTCTCTTTCCAGCCAACCTCGATTGACTCCGCGGGTCGGAGTCCTATCTGCCATTACATCTCAGCAATCTCACTCATATGCGACAGATGCCTCTCGCCCAACGCCCAAGAAAGCCACCAAGGCCACCGATGGCACGCGCAAGAAGAGCACAGCACCTACAAAGAAGCGCGAATTAACAGAGAAGCAGAAGGAAAAGTTGAAGGAAGACAAGGAGAAGAAGAAACAACGGGACCATATCAATGCGCTCAAGGAAACTGCGCTGGAGCCCCCGAAAAAGCTCACCGTATCTGCGCACCTCGTTGCTTTGCAGTCGAAGCTCGCCGAGCTCAAGTCCCAGTACCCGACGCAGAAGGAAGCATTCGGAGCTGCATCGTCGGCTGTCAAAGATATCCCTGCCCATGAGTATGAGGTAAGCTTACACCCGTCGTGCAGCTCTCCGAGTCAATTGCCCCAAGGCTCACGCTGACTTCCAATGCTAGCGACACCAAATCCAAGCCGCAGAGAACCGTGCTGCAAATGAAGCCGCTTTGATCTCATGGCTTAAGTCGTACACCCCTCTTCAGATCAAGAAAGCCAACGTTGCCCGTCGTGCTCTGGCCAAGCTTACCGGCAAACCTTACAAGCCCATCCAAGATGATCGTCAGGTGAAGCGACCCCTCATTCCCTTCGTTCGTTTCGCGAATGAGCGGAAAGCAAGTGGTGATCTCAAGTCCATGGCTCCAACGGAGTCTTTCAAACGTATTGGGGAGGAATGGAAATCCCTCACCGAGGCGGAGAAGGAGGTATGTTGTTTCCTCAGTGGGCTCTAGATATTGATACTGACAATTACTTAGCCATTCAACAAGCTGTATCGCGAAGATCAGGAGCGGTATGATCGTGAATACAAGGAGACATACGGCGTGGAGAGGCAACCCGTCAAGTCGGATTAAGCACGAGGATGCGGTACATTTCGGCGGTAGTAGGTGGGACGGTGTTTTCAGAAACGAAACTGGGTCTTGGGTGCGGGAAAAGGGATTTGAAGTTTGTCTTTTGTGTCGCGTTGTTTCATATTCTCCCATGAGCCCTTTTTCTTATGTCGCTGTATTGTAGTCCACATTGTGCTCAAATGTCACATCTATACCTTTGAACTACTTATCTCTCCCTGACCTGTCATATTTAAGATCAGTTTATCCTCCCCCCCTCTAATTGTCTGATCCCCGGGGGTATGAGTTGCAGAAGCCCCAAATCCTGCAATGCATTCTAGTCAAGGCCCTCCACAGCGGAGTACCCCCGCACGAGTGGGCTCCGAGTCGTCTTTCAAAGTGGCGGTGAGTGAAACAATGTGTCTGGCTTGCAGAGCAGCCCAAACCGACCCTCTTTTCTCCGCAGATGGATTGGACTGTGGCAAATTGTAGATTTCTTTTGGGAGGTTTTGAGTTGTAAATCTTGACAGGTATGTATAGGTTGAGTAAGTATGAATTAAGCAAGCCAACTAACGTGCTTTATTTTGCTATGTAGCTTTCTCCGCAGCCCCTTGTCCCTGCATTATATGGATCCAACCAGCATTACTTTCGCAATACAAAGTACTCCGTACTCCGTACGGAGTACACGTATCTTGTTTGTTTATTGTCCGCAGACGGGCGTACCCGCAATTTAGTCGGGCATCCACGGTTGAAGCTAGTGCGATCCACGGATGAGGGGTACACGTTGATGCGGTGAACACGATCCAAATAACCAAGGATACATAGAAAGGGTAAATGGGAGAAGCATATAGATCAGAATACCTTCAAGATCATATTGGTAACTGTAATATCCCCTGCTTCTGGTTGGGGCAGGAGCCTCCCTTCTTGTTTTTATTTACGTTAATGGAGGGGGGCTCTCGTTATCGATAGGCGGGCCAACAACTGCATCATGTACGATGCGCATATCAGCATGTCTGTGCGACGCCTTCGAGTATGCATTACATTTGTACTTTGAGAAAATTTAGGAGGCATTTGAAGACTTTTTCTCAGGTCGAGATATACATAGAAAATTCATCACCAATTCATTTGTTCATCTGTTCATCCCAGCCTTCGATTTTCCATTTTCGTTTTTTTTTTTTTTCACTTTAACCTATTTGGGTGGAGTTCTTTTTAGATTGTACTCCCGATATTCCCGAGGCGTTCATCTTCAAGCAATTCAATTTGTATTGAGGGCTGATCTGAAAGAATTATGAACAGCAGTTGACTGGAAGTGATTTTGAGCTGAAAGAAGTAAAAAGACCTCAAGGTGTACAAGTGTGATGAAGAGAAAAGACGGTAATGATGATCACCCACCGCCCCAATTCTACTTCCATCCCTGCCTGATCCTTTTGCTCCCTTGAAAACTTTATCTGATTACTTCTGCCAGGTTTCATTTCCTCTCCTTAATTCTCTAAGATTCATCACGCAAGCGCTGCGTCCATCGATCCTACATAATCTCGTTATCGTCTATCGGAACGACGCTATCCGAATCTAGCATTGAGCACCGAGCTCGCGCCGGTCGTGCAGGGTGGCTATTGTGTTTTGTCTGCTTGACCCACGGAATCAACCGATTCAAAGACCCTCGAATCCTCCGATTTCTTAACGACCCACTCGATCTATTCTACCGGCCCAACCTTGACTCATCTCAGCCGGCTCCCGCGCGTGGGGACAACAGAACACCAGACACCCACCCCATGTGTTCTCAGCCAGTCGCCACGAAGGGCTGGAGACACTGAGTGCCCCGATATTGCGAAAACGAAGACAAAAGTCGCATGCGACTTCTATAACACCATGGCGACTGTCGCAAGCGCTCGCTACGATGAATGCGCCGGCGTGGTCGCAGGAGTAAAGCAGGAATGCTGGAAACTGGCGGTGGATACACTACTGGATGACGTGTGGGCGACATTGATTATTGGAAATAAGAGTCGTCTGCGTCAAGGTAAAAATATGGGCAGTACAGTATTGAGTCTGACTTCTCCCGCACCGCCCTCGTACACCCAGCCGCCTCCGTCTTACGAAGATGCCGTCAGCGATCTACCGCCGGGATACGGGACGTTGGAGGTGCTTGCGGAGCGTAAGACCGGTTTGCTGCCCGTCGCGTTACCCGCGCTTGCTGAAAAGGCCAAGTCAAATTCAACAGACCAAATCTCTTCATTGAAAAATCGGAGAAAAGACATTGATATTGATTTTGGGAGCACGGTGGGCATCCGGGAACACAAAGGAAAGAAGAAGGGTGGTGGCGCAAATAAGAAGGCTGTGGTATACACTCCCGCGGCAAACACCGGTGGTTTGAACGGCGCAGAAGAAGCGCCGAGTGGTGGTGGTGGTGATGCAGGTGGAGGTGGAGATACGGGTGCCGGGGGAGGCGATGGGGGTGATGGGGGTGACGGAGGTTGGGGGGACGACTGGGCAACAGCTGGCTCTAAGAAGAAGAGCAAGAAGGAAGAGGAAGAAGAAGAAGAAGCAGAACGACTGGCCAAAGAGGAAGAGGAACGGAAGGCTGCCGAAGTATCTACTGCAAACAATCTTAGCTGGGCTGAGGATGGGAATGCAGATGGTGACGATTGGGCTGGTGTTGGAAAGAAGAAGAAAGGCAAGGTACGATACGCCGTTTGACAATTCCGCATAGCATTTATTGACGTGAAATACAGAATGATCCACCAGCAGACGATTTTCAGGATGTCGGTCTGAACGATGGTGCACCTCAGCTGGACTTGAACTTCGATACAGCACCTAAAACTGGCGGGACCGGTTTTGGCTTCGGCGGCTGGGGTAAGGACTGGAATACTGGCGACTCTAACAAAATGGGACTTGGGGCCATTGGTGAGTCTGCCTCAAAAGGGGAATCCAAAGATACGAACCCCTGGGCAATCGGCAAGACGAAATCATCCAAGACCCCCGGTGGGTTTGATTTTGGTGATTTGGGATCCCCTCCTGCGCAAGAAATTAAGCCTGATGATAGCTGGGGAGCATGGGGTACCTCTAAGAATGACAAAAAGAGCTTACTTGATCCGGAGCCCGAACCTGAACCTCAACCAGAGCCAGAACCGGAGCCAGAACCAGAGCCAGAACCTGAACCGGAGCCTATCAATGATCCCACGCTAGAGATTGGGTTCAAAACCCTTCCCAAGAAGGAACAACGAAGGTTAAAAAAAGAATACGAACAGAAGGTTAAGGATGCCAAAGCGGAGGCCGAGGCCAGGGCTCAGGCAAGAGAGGAAGCAAAGGCAGCCAAGGAAGAGGAGGAGCGTCTAGCCAAGGAAGAGGAAGAGAAGAAAGCCCAGGAGGAAGCAGAGCAGAAGGCCAAAGAGGAGGAGCGTCTAGCCAAGGAAGAGGAAGAGAAGAAAGCCCAGGAAGAATCCAATGACTGGTCATGGGGCGTCCCATCCAAGAAGGACAAGAAAAAGAAGATTGATCTTTTGGCTGACCCTTTACCTGCACCCGATCCTCCTACGGATGGTGGTTGGATGGGTGGTTGGGGAACCGAAAAGAAAAAAAAGTCCAAGGATCCCGAGCCGGTGGTGGAACCTTCTCAACAGGAGGACGACACCTGGGATAGCTGGGGCGTCGCAACCAAGAAGAAGAGTAAGGGTAAAGTCGAACCAGAGCCGGAGCCGGAACCTGAACCTGAACCTGAACCCGAGCCTGAACCCGAACCTGAGCCAGAACCGGAACCTGAGCCAGTACCGGAGCCAGAGCGAGAGCCACTTGATCCTCTCTACGAAAATTGGGCTGGCCTAAATTCCAAGGAAAGAAAGAAGCGAGAGAAGAAGTTGACGCAGAAAGGCCTTCCTATTCCTGGTAAAGATGGCTTCCAGCTTCCCTCTGACAAACCGCCCGAGCCCGAGCCTGAACCCGAGCCTGAACCTGCACCTGAACCTGAACCTGAGCCCGAACCTGAGCCCGAGCCCGAACCTGAACCCGAGCCAGAGCCAGAGCCGGAACCGGAGCCAGAGCCAGTGAAGCCAATCGAAGAGGAAGCTTGGGGAGGATCTTGGGGTGTTACCAAAACCAAGAAGAAAAAGAAGGGCAAGGATGTGGAAGAACCGCCACCTCGTGCTCCTACTCCTCCCCCTCAGAGCCTCACCCCGGAACCCGAGGCGTTCAATGAAGGTCCAGATGATATATGGGCAGAGCTTGCCCCAAAGACTTCTAAGGGCAAGAAGACGAAGTCTATTGAGCCGCCGAAGGAAGAGAAACCTGCGGCGAAGGGCTTCTGGGCAAGTATCACAGGAGGGTCATCATCTAAGAAATCCACCAAGAAAGCCGACCCTCCTCAGGAGGACGACCTTCTAATTGATGTTGGAGATGATCCCTCCCCCGAGCCAGAGCCAGAGCCAGAGCCGGAGCCAGAAGCTGAACCTGAACCGGAGCCTGAGCCGGAGCCGAAGCCGGAGCCAGAAAAGCCCAAAGCCAAGAGCATGGCTAAGTTATCTGTTGCTGAGCGTATCAAAGCTTTGGAGCAGGCCAAAAAGGACAAATTAAAGGAGAGTTCTAAGTCAAAATCGAAAGAAAAGGAGAAGAAGCCTGAACCCGAACCGGCGCCAGAACCTCCCGCTGAAGACCCGAAGCCAGAAAAAGACCGCGAGCGTTCTAAAGAATCTGTTCCGGGCAGCTTCCCTGACGAACCTTCTGCTGAGCCCGAGCCAGAACCTCAACCGGAGCCTGAACCGGAACCGGAGCCAGAGCCAGAGCCTGAACCTGAACCTCCAGGTCCTGATCTTTCGAAGATGTCCAAGAAAGAACTCAAGAAATATAAGAAAGCCCAAGCAGCAGCTGAGGCTGCGAAGGAATTTGATCCGCCTCCGGCGCCTGAAGCGCCAGAAGCGCCAGAACCGGAGCCCGAAGCCGAGCGCGAGCTTAGCGCGGAGGCTGAGGCTGAGGTTGAGCCAGCTGAAGAAGCTGACGACGGAGCCCCTCCGATACCCCCCTCTGAAGAACCGGAGGAAAAACCGGCGGAAAAACCTTCAAAGTCTTCTAAAAAAGATCGCCCACGTGCGGAGCGTACCAATACATCTTCTAGCTGGGGATTCTGGGGCACGGCGCCACCAGCAAAGAAATCCAACAAAAAGGAACCAAAGCCTCCAAAGGAACCCGAGCCGGAACCGGAACCAGAGCCTCACACAGAGCCTCAACCTGAGCCCGAGCCTGAGCCTGAAGCCGAACCCGAGCCGGCGCCAAAGCCCGAAGCAGTAAAAGCGGAAGTTGAAGCTCCTGAAGCATCCAAGGAGCCCTCCAAGGACAAAAAGAAATCTTCCAAGGAAAAGGAGTCCAGAAGAAAGGAAAGCAGTCGGGTAGAGCGGTCTCCCACAGATGCAAGGCCAAAAGTGACAAAGTCTCGGCCAAAGGAGTACGATCAGGAGATAGAAAAGTCATCAACATCGGACCGAGAAAAGCGACGTGAGCGCGAGGCACGTGCCTCAAAACAGCAGCGTGCCACGACCTTGTCTAATTTCATACTTGGCGCTCCCCCGTCTGCACGAACCAAATCAACGCGTAAGCCGGCAACTTCGAAATCAGCCTCCAGACCAGTATCGCGACGACCATCTGTTGATATGGATGGTGAGGGATCCATGCCATCCCCACCCCCGGAGGACAAGCCCGAGATGCCCGATAAGGCAGCCAAATTGATGGGCATGAGCGCATCGAAATCGAAGCGTGAACGTCCACGGATGGAGAGGCGGAAATCAGGTGAGAATCTATCAGTCCTCCAAGTATGACCCACTCTAATCATGTTCTGCGTAGCCCCTCGAGACCCTTATGTAATTGAGGACGACGACTTGGTCATGGTCAACGCAGAAGACGCCGATGGCCAATCGCCCAAGGAGGGGTCCAAGGGTTCTGCACCGAGGCGAAAATCCAGGAGAGAGGTAAGTAGTCTCACATCCATATACTTGGAGCTGCGCTAAAAACATCTCCACAGTCGCGTCCAAAGCCCGATGATGACGATGCTGTCATGGTCGATGCAGATGGGCCCGAAGATGGCGTGCTTGTCGATGCCCCAAGAGACCCCAGGGAGCGGCGCTTGAAGCGCGCCAACACAGCTCCACCGCCGAAGAAACAAGAATCTGGAGGTTTAATGGGTCTCCTTGGTTCCTTCAGGAAAAATACTACTACTCGTCCAGAAATGCCAGACAGACGAAAGTCCCGCTCATACCGCGATGAAGAAGCACGGAACATGACTGAGCCAGAGCGTGAGGATCCTCGACGAGTGCGACGTGATGACCGCCGCCGGCGATCTGTCAGACCAGAGACAGATGTGGAAGGATTCACCACTGATGCTGCCGGTGCGGCTGCAGGTGAAACAGAAGCCGAAGATCCCGAAGTCCGCAGAGCTGCCCGTCGAGCGAAGCGCTCATCTCGACAGGCGCCTTCTGACACACGTGAGACGGAAGCGCGGGAAGCTGAGGAGAGACGCGCCAGACGCAAAGAAAGAGAGAGAGCGCGTGAGCAAAAAGCTAAAGAGGAGGAAGAAGAGCGCCGTCGTGTCCGCCGCGCTGCACGAGAGGAGCGACGTGCTCGAGAAGAACAAGAAGCCCAAGAAGCCCGCGAAGCCGAAGCTGCCGCCGAGGCTAAGGAAGCAGAACGACGCGAACGCCGACGTGTCCGCGAAGAAGAGATGGCAGCAAAGGCCAAACGTCGGCGTTCGCGCGCGGAAGAACCTCCCGCCCAAAACTTCTACCCACCTGAAGAGCGACGTCGCGGGTCCCGGACAGCCGACGACGCGAAGTATCGTCGCAGGCCCAGGCCAATCATTCCAGAAGACCCCGAGGAGCCTCTCATGGCCGGCGGCCTTAACCATGGCAAGCCGAAGAAAGATAAGACATCCTCATGGGTCTACTCCCAAGCCGATGAACCCCCCGAACCCCCGCCACTCGTCCCAACCTTCATCGACATGCCTCCAGCCGCAGCCGCGGCGGCTGAAAACCTTAACGCACACTCCCTTTCTTCAGATGAAGAAGCTCGACGTGCTGTCCGTCGCCGTGCCCGCCGTCGTGCCAAATACGGCGATATGGCCGACGAGGAGATTGACGAGATCCGTTCCCGCCGTCAGCCGTCGCGACGGGATCCAAAAAGTAGCTCTGGCAGTGGAGACTACGAGCGTGATCGTGGTATGAGGTCTCATGGAAGTCGGCAGGATGCTCCTGTACCTCCTAGCTCTGGAGCGAAGAAGTCGAGCTGGTTGCGCAAACTTGCAAACTTCTAAATTTAACATGATGTCTCACGATACGATGGATGCGCTTGTTCTTTATCTCTTTTCATCCTTATTTCCTCCCTTTATGTTTCATTATTCATGGCGCAGGTGGCTTGTATTTTGTTACTTCTGACTCCATATATCCCCCAAATCTGCTCTACTTCTAGGCAGGCAACTCTCACGACAGACACGAAATGATTTTTATGATATGATATATGTTCAAAATGATTTATTGATTCGTCTTTGCTTTGTTCATACGATTTTGACTCTATATCTCTGTCTATACAAACTGCTCAAGATCCAAGAAACGTATGACAATTGTAGATTACAACGATCGCGCTGGCGACTGGATAATTGAAAATCTATCCATTTTTGATCTACCTTGGCTGGCGCTTGGGATCTCATGCCAAAATTCAAAATCTGGCGCGCTTCTGGTAGAGCCGATGGAGTCAAGAAATTATCCTTGCGACTGTGCAGAACCCCCGTCTTGCGTGGGATAGACCCAACTACACGGGATAGATTGAACGGGAGAAGACAAGCAACCCGTGGGATTTCCTCCACTTTAATTCCATCTTTGATACCTATAAGGAGTTGAAAAAACATGGAATCACGAGAATTCTATCCTCCAGCACAAGACACAGACACATACCGCCCTGGAAACTCAACATGGAAGGCTTAGAATCAATCGACGGCGGCAGCATCTGGTACAAATGCCCCGAGCAGATGGTCCTCGGTGAGGCCCCCATCTTCCGAGCCAGCGATTCAACCCTACACTGGGTAGACTGTCTGTCCGAGCCATCAAGACTGTACATTCTGAAAATCGACGACGCGGGCGACGCCGTCGGGGAAGCCCGTGTTCTCGAATTGGAAGACAGCGTCACTGTGGTTTTCTTCCGCAAGAACCACCCGGGCTACATTGCAGCATACTACCAGGGTGTCTGCTTCATCGACGAAGAAACCGGGAAATTGGAGGTTGTCAAGGAGATCATTCCCACAAACCAACGGGATGAATTGCGCTTCAACGATGGTGGAATCGATGCCAAAGGACGTTTCTGGCTGGCAGAGATTGATAAAACGGCGATGGCATTCGGTCCCAATCAGCTTCCTGCGAGCTATGGTACTCCCCGAGGACGTCTCTGGCGCTATGACCCTGATGGGAGTCTCCATCTCATGATTCCGGATGGAATTGTTTGTGGCAATGGACTAGGATGGAGTCCAGACAACAAAACTAGTAAGCGACCATGTGTTCTCTGTTCACTGCCAGATTTCTCACTCTTGTGTCCAGTGTACTTTCACGATTCCGTCGCTATGCTTGTGTGGGCATACGACTTTGACCTGGAGACGGGAGCAATCTCCAACAAGCGTCTCCTGATCGATCGCCGGACATCATTCGGCGAGCCTGATGGAATGGTTGTTGAGTATGTTTACATTCCTTAGAATACCTTTCATAAGCTAATGGCAAATAGTACCGATGGCAATTTGTGGATCGCCATGTTCGCCTCCAACCGTGTTATGGTATTTAGCCCCGACGCCCGCCATCTTAAAGATATTGTGTTCTCTGCGCGAAACCCGGCGTGCACCACGTGGGGAGGAAAGAATTTCGACATACTTTACATGGCTAGTGGCAAGGATAGAAGTCCTAACCCGCGTCCAGATGATGAAGGTGGTCATATGTTCCGTTATAAGCCTGTTGGTGCTCGAGGCCAAGCTAAGCATGAGTTTGCTGGCTGAATAAATGGAGATAGGATTTGGCTGGAATTTTTGCATTTAGAGTATAGCGGAAGAAATGAATAAAACTTTTCTTGTGCAATTCAGATTTTCAATTATGGAATATTCCTTGCAATATACCTACAACACTGTCTGACCGGATATATGTGGCTTGACTTTGGGTTGGGTCTAAAGAATGAGCTCAAGGACGTGACGTGTTATATCTAGACATCAGAAATCAAGCACTACAAAAGAAATATTAATGTGAATCAATCCCATCAGAAAGCTTACGATGATATCCCGCGTCCGAATCCAAATAGTCGGCAAATAGAATGTTGCCGACGCCACAGACCATGAGGGGTAGCATGGCGTAGATAACGAAAAATAAGTAAGCGACATCTTGATATGGGAGTTAAGCGATAGGTGCGAATACAGACTAAGAAATCAAGACATAACAACCAATAGGAATATTCTCCGAGTAAGAACCTTGAAGCATGGTAAACAACGCATTTTCACCTTCCATCCCACCCAAGACCGCGGGATAAGGGAAAATGCGGAGAAGCTAGTCATCACCAATCACGATTTATCATAAAGGCGATTTCTCCAAATTATCCAGCAATTTTCAATTGCACTTTCATCAAACACCATGCCGAAAGTCTTTTTCATCACTGGAGCAGGAAGTGGACTCGGTCGAGTCGCCGCTCGTTATTTGCTGCTGAAGGGCCATCGGGTCTTTCTCACAGACTATAATGAGGCCTTTCTAGAGATGACATGTACCAAGCACTTGCCTTCAGTCATTCCAGCAGAATCGCTAGACAACTTCAAGTGGTCCGCGATGGACGTCGCAAGCAACGATCAAGTCAAGATTGCCGTGGACAAATGTGTAAAGGAATTTGGAACAATCGATGTTCTCATCAACAGTACGGATGTTAATCATAATCCCCTCCCAGATAATAAGCTAACACCTCTCCAGATGCTGGAATTAATGTACGACTCTTCTCCACGCAAAGTCCCCGATCTAACCCGAACACCAGAGCCAATACATGCGCAACGGAATACGAATGGACGAAGTCCCAACATCAGACTTCGAACGAATCCTCAATGTGAACCTCGTCGGAACCTACCGAGTATCCCAACACGCGATCCCATACCTCGAGAATACCCCCGGCGGAGGCGTAATCATCAACATGTCCAGCTGCCGCGCTACCCAACAAAGCAAACACGGCGAAGCATACGCCGCATCCAAAGCAGGAATTGAAGGACTCTCCATGGCTATGTCGGTGAGTTTGGGGCCGAAGATCCGAGTCCACGCCATCAGTCCGGGGATGGTCGATGTACGGTTTGAGCGAGAAGAAGAACTCTTGCCGGATGTTGAGACTATTCGGCAAGATTTGTACCGTGATTTTCAGAGTGAATATGCACCCGAGTGGGGTTATGGGAAGAGTGAGGCGATGCATCAGTCTCATCCTGTTGGAAGGATTGGGAAGGGAGAGGATATTGCGAAGTGGATTGAGTTTTTGTCTGTTACCGAGGGTGGATTTACTACCGGAGGGGTATGTATTGGATTCCTGTTCGAGGAATTGCTACTAACTATTCTATAGACATACCTGGTGGATGGAGGACATTCTAAAGTCTTGTCGTATCCGAACTAGTCCTAATGGAAGGAGAGAAACTAGCACTTGAGGGCTACGGAGGTGTGGGTTATAGGAAAAAAAAGATAAATTGAGATGCTTTCACTGTGTATTCATGCCTCCATTTTAGTATACAATTCCCGCTTAGACCCATTTACGCGGGATGAGTGAAACCTCCTTTTAAAAGCGATGGGATTCCCACTCATTCGCTGATTTCAACCTTTCTTAAAGAAGAAAAGAAAATGCAGACAGTAATTCTACTGGGGACAGCCCACCCACACATCTTCCACCGTTTCCAATACCTGAAAGACCAAGAAGTGAGAGTACTTGGATATTATGAAAGCGACAAACAAATCTCATCACGCATGCAAGAGAAATCAGGCTTTACAGAATACACCAACTGCGACGAACTACTTCAACTCAACTTCGACACTGTATTGATCCATGGCCGCGACTACGAAAACGCCAATTATATTCGTCTTGCTATAAATAATGGCGCAAAAGCCATCTTTCTAGAAAAGCCCGGCGTGGCGCGACCGGAGGAACTCCATGAACTTCGATCCGAGATTACCAGACTTGGTATCATTTTCGAGATTGGGTGGGAATTACACTATCTCGAAACGGTGGAGTTTGCACGACAGTTGTTGCGGAGTGCGGTTTTGGGGAATATCACCCAAGTTCGTTTTCATGGTGGCTGTCCCGGTGGTGCGGCTGCAGAACCGTGGCAATCATATGAAGAGAATATTGGAGGTTTTTTCTACAGTTTAGGTGGACATGTGGTTGAGATTTTGGTTGATTTGTTTGGGCTTCCGAATCAGGTGGTTTCGTCGATTAGGAAGTTGCCTGTGGAGAAGGCTCATCGGGGGTTTTCGTGGTTTCCGGATCTTTTTGGGGAACGGGAGTTGAATCCTGAGAAGGCTATTGGGACGTTAGTTCATGAGGATCTTGCGTCGGCTATCTTGGAGTATGATACTATGAATGCTCATCTTGATTTTACAGCCTGGGAGCCTAGTGGGTATCTTCATGATTGGACGGTTGATATATATGGTACTGGTGGTGCACTTCATCTCAATCTTGAGACTGGTGGGTATATTTTGATGAAGGATGAGGGAGAAGGTTGGAAAGCAGGTCGAAATGAGATTCTTGTTGCGGAGAAATATGGGAAGGGGGAGATGTTGACGGAGGCGTTCATCAGACAAATGGATGCTTTCTTTTCTCGGATTCGGACTGGGAAGTCTAGTTCGATGCCATGTGACGAGGTCATTGCACAAAAAGTTCTACAGCTATTTGATGCGTTGTATAAATCTGCAGAAACCAGATTATGGGTTCCAGTGGAGGGCACATAGTTCTCAATTCAAGTCTTGCTGTTTGTACCTATTTGTAGAAAGCCTCCAGGGCTCTAGTAATAAATCTCAGAGTTTGCAAGCCAATATGCAGTCTCATAATTGTCCATTTCCTCACAGCCCAGAGTACACAAGGAATACCAAGTGGCCAGTGGGTTATCAAAGGTTTCAATATCCGTCCCAGACTCAGAAAGAACCACAGTTATATTGGCCGACTTGGTCAAGCTACTTAACCGGACCGCCAAGTTGTAAATTCCACTATTGGAGGCCTCAGAGCAGGGGGTATAGGCATCACAGGGATCCGTATTAGCAATCTGGAAGTAGGCATTTGATGGTGATACCAGGGTCACATCCATGGTAACGCCGCCTTGCGTCAAGACGGCAGTTCTATTGCCCGTTCCCAGAGTGATTGTCGCCGTCGTATGCCAGCTGGTTGCGATATCAACTGCACTCGACGCCCGAACTTCATCACGGATCAAAAGCTGGGTACCGTTCAGCATCGCGACACCTCTCATGACACTCGTGGTGACATTCGCGTATGCCTGGGTCAGATTGGCAACACCAAAGCGGCTGGAATCGTCAAAGCTGCCCACCCACCGCAATGAATTATTAGCAGAGGGGATCTGGTTGGCGAAATGTAGAGGAGTTTGCGAGGACGTCGAAATGCTTAGCGTATTGGCACCCTCGCTCCGGCATCGATAGTATGTCCAGCGACGAGACCCGACGAAATAGTCTGTAAGACTGTAGCTATCCGATCCAAGTAATTCTGCCCATCGATAACCTTTGTAATCCACAACAAAAGAACCTGCGTCAAGATGTCCATGCGAGCGACCGTTGTAACCGCCCATGAAGCCGAAGAACCAGGCATCGGAGTCCGTCCATGAAGCTCGGTAGGTCATGCCTGCAACTCCAGCGAATTGGTCATATAGCGGCATACTGGACAGAACACTGGGTGTCTTCAAGGATGAATTGTAGAATAAGTATGCTTGGAATGTCGCTGCTTCGCTTGTTGTGAATCGCGACAACATTCCTTGTAGCCATTCAGGCTTGTTGAACTTCTGTGCCCAGTAGCCAACGCTCCACAAGCTGTTGGCATTGCTGAATGTCCAGGCACCATCTGCCCAGCTAAAACCACCGGTTTGACCAAAACTGTGAGTCAGCCATGCTCCGAGGTTGCTCATGCCTGGCAAGTCAGATATGCCCAGGTCGTCACCCAAAGCACTGTCCAAAGACCCCATAGTCAGGCCAAGAAAAATGCCCGCATAGGTGCCGTATGAGTATCCTTCGACCCAACCTCCGTCAGGGGCATATTGCTCCAAGGAAGTATTCAGCTTGGGGAACGAGAAGTCAACGATAGAATTTGCAAGTGTTGAGTTCTTGTCTCCAATCGCCAGCGCAGCAATGATAAGACAACCATTGGTGACCTGAGCCCAATTATTGGTATGCTCACTCCACGAGTTGATGGAAGAATTTAACGCCGGCGTGAATGCCTTCTGAGTGATCGCAGACTCAATCACACTGCGCTGAGAGGCAGTCAACTCATCGTACACCCAGTCATAACCGATCGAGACCGTCATGGCTATATCTGCGGTATTCAAGAAGTCAGACGGGTCCCAGTCTGGGAGATTCGCTAAAAGCGTGATAGTATCGATAATCCAGTCCGAGTAGGTGGTGTCACTTGTCAAGAGGTACATTCCTGCTGTAGCCCCGACATTCAATCGAATAGTGCTTGACCATGATGTAGCGGCTGTGATCGATACGGCTGTTTCAACAGCTGTATTTGCCGTGGTTGCTAGGGATTCCAGAATACCCTGGTAGTAGGTGTCTGTCTTGTTCATGCTAAGCACCGCGTCAATGCGGTCTGATGTAAACATCAACCGAGGGTGGGATGGCAGGCTGGTGAAGTCTATGGTACCCAGAGCTGCCAGAGCTCCAACGGAAAACCATAAAAATAGAAGAAGAAAAACCATATTTAATATGCTCAATATTTTCAATTTTTGAATGTCTGATTCAGTGTCATAGATTAATGCCCACCGGTCCCAACATTGAGTTTTTATATCACAAATCTGTCGCCATTTGAATTCAAAAACTTTTGATAGTTAGGAAATCCTCGAGTATATTTCCCATCCCACATTAAAAACCTTGGAATTCATATCCACACTTCTAAAACATCTTCAAAGATAGGAAGTGGAGTGGGAGTGGATCTGATCCCCACAAGTTTCTTTCCTTCAATATCTATCAACTTTGAAGTTGATGCTTGTCAACTCAGTTCCCTTCCCCCGTATGGTCTATAACTCCTTATCTCCCAAATCTAAGATTGTGCAAGGTTGTAGAAGATTGTGGCCGAGATAGTACTGAACTTTGTCGCTATCTAATCCGGGGTCCATCCCGCAGCTTACGCGGGGGCGACTTATCTTCCCCACATGGCCACGAGGCCCAATAACCATGAGACTGATATAAAACAAGATCGGCACTCATAGTATGAACAGCATCCACATTCTGCCTTACTCCACTGTGCATAATTGCATAATTTGACCATGTTCTCAAAGAAGCCTGAGACCGTTGAGTCCGAGTCTTCTCCGGATGTCGCATCTGGGGAAGTTGAGACCTCCCACAAGATTTGCTACACACGATACAACTCGCCTTTCTGGCAGATTGTGATCGTCAGCTTTGTTGCCTTTGGGTATGTTCTATTCCTTGATAAATGATCGGGTTGACTAATTTATCCACAGTTGTCCTGGCATGTACAATGCTTTGTCCGGCATTGGAGGTGGTGGTCAATTGGACACTACCACATCGGCCAAAGGCCACATAGCCTTGTCATCCGTCAGTGCTGCGGGAAATCTACTCATCGCTCCAGTTGTGACCAATATCCTGGGTCCTAAGTGGACTATTCTCGTGGGCGGTTTGCCCTATATCCTTTATGCCGGTTCGCTTTTGGCCTATACTCACACTGGCAACCAAGGCTTTGTTATTGGCGCAAGCGCCTTGTTGGGTATTGGAGCTTCTTTACTGTGGATTGCCCAGGGTGCCATCATGACTGGATATCCGTTACCACAGCAGCAAGGAAGGATGATTGGTATTTTTTGGATCATTTTCAAGTGAGTCTTCCGACCTTTAATTTTTATGATATTCAATAGTCATTGACTTCATATAGCTTGGGAGGCTTTTTGGGTGACATGATCTCGTTTGGTCTTAATTTCCACTCAAAATCGGGCACTGTGTCGGACTCTACTTATATTGCCTTCATGTGCATCATGGCCGCCGGATGCGCCTGCTCCCTGGCACTTCTCAAGCCTTACAATGTCATCCGTGAGGATAACTCCCGTGCTGCTACTAAACGTGCCCCGCGTGTTTTGGACGAATTTGTTGGAGTGATGAAGGTTTTCAAGGACTGGCGAGTAATCTCGCTTATTCCATTCTGGATGGCCGCCAACTGTGAGAGAAGAGTTTGATGAAATGCTATGAAGTCAGTTTCTAATATTCACTAGATGCCTACAACTACCAGCAAAACACCTTCAATGCCAAGCTGTTCACCATCCGCACCCGCAGCTTCAACGGCGCCATGTACTGGCTTGCACAAATGGTATCTAGTTATCTGTTTGGTCTCTTCCTCGACAACAAGTTCATGACCCGTCGGATGCGGGGAATCTGGGGATTTGTCATAACCGCTATTATCTCTATGGCCGTGTGGTCTGGGGGTCTGGCGGCGCAACTCAAGCGGGCCCCCAACAGCGACTACTATGGACTCAACGAATTGGACCTTATCACATCTGGATCCAAATTCGCCGGTCCATTTCTGCTTTACTTTTTCTATGGCGGCTTCGATGCCGTGTGGCAGACACTAGTCTACTGGACGATCGGCTATCTATCCCACGAGTCTCCCGAGCAAGCCGCACGGTATGTGGGCGCTTTCAAGTGCGCGGAGGCGGTCGGAAGTGCGATAGCATCCAAGGTCAACTCAGACAAGACGAACTACAATATAGAATTTGCTGTTGATTGGTCTTTTGTGGTCTTCGCCTTGATCTGGGCTATCCCATTCGCGTGGTCAATTCAAGACGTCCCCGCGCATTCTGGACAGGACACGGAATACGTTGAGCAGTCGAAAACTTCAGATGAACAGGCTTGAGCAACTGCCGGGGGGTGAAATTCCTATAAATTTGTTATCTTGCTATTAAATAGAGACGAGTGTATCGGGTTATGGCTCAGGATTGGCTTGATTGGCGGAAATTTCCTTAGCTTCATTCAAGGCTAATCGGTAGTTCGACCGCGGTGATTTGAAGAACACATGATCCCCTCTTTGACCCGAATCTCATCCAATTAGCGATCGGATGTTGTGCCACTATCATTAAGCGAACTTTACATCTGGCGCAAAAGAGGGGAAGGTGATAAGATCCAAGAAGGTTGCTACGGTTCCATCTATCCTATCGTGCTTTTCTAAATTAACTGAAATTTTGAGACATTTGAATTGATTTAAATTTTGAAGTACCGTTTTCAAAAGTTTTTGATGATAATTATGAGTCCGGCTCAACCACGCACATATACCTGCAAAGAGGATGGGTGCGATAGAACCTTCTTACGCAAGGAGCATCTTCAACGACATCGGCTGAATCGTAAGACTTAGTCCCATGGGCCTCAATCTTGCGGGAAATAGACATAGATATTCACGAGTTCTTAGATGAACCTGAGAAGATTTTCTCTTGCGACGTCTGTCCCAAACGATTCGTCCGTCGCGATCTTTACCAGAGACATAAATCTCGCCATGAGAAAGGAATGTTATTTTTTCGCAACTCCGGAGGCTTGAAGATGTCCCAAGAGCCACATTCTGAGAATGCCCCAGCACAAGTCCCTATGCATCCAAATCAATCCTTGGATGATGAAATGAGCCACCAAGAAGCCATACCAGCTGTTCAATTCGCTGAAGTAGACAACAGTACTATGTTCTGGCAAGATCTTCCTGAACTTCAAACGCAGAGAAATGATCTTGAATGGCTATTTGAACCACTGCAAGGCATACCTCAAGCCTCTGCACTTCCATCGGAGTGGACATTCAATGCGCCGAACTTGGAAAATTCCACCATCTGGCAAACCGAGACAGACTTAAATGTGATCGTGGATAAGAAGAGTCCTCCCGGGCTAGAAGAATGGACATTAGCGCACTCGCGTCTAATTCCCGCGCTTAATCAACTCGATATAAGCGTCCTCTACTCGCCGTTCTTTGAAGTCGAGAATCTCAAAATATTTTACGACTTGTACTTTGAGAACTATCATCCACATTTCCCCATATTCCATCGACCAACGATGATTTTGTCTGATATTGAGCCATTACTACTTGTTTCACTTCTAACTTTAGGCTCAACAATGTCGGATGATATGCACTTATATGAATTGGGTCAGCAGGTTCATGACGCTCTTCGTCTTATAATCATCAATGTCGGTAAACCGTTCAGTTCCAGATTGCTTGCAAATGTGTGCACTAACAACGCGAGAAGAGCGGAGCATTTGCATCCCCAATTCAGTTATGGTGTTTACAAGCATTACTCATGATTCAAGCTCATGGCAAGATGAAGTCTTCACGGAAGAACTACGAGATGGCACATGTGTTCCACGGCGCCATAGTCACAGTAAGTCTCACAGCTAATAATCCGAGCTACATAAATGACAAACACTAAATTCCACTAGATGATGAAACGAGGCAGTGTGTATCCTGCTTCTTCAACAATCCGCGCCCCCCACCAAGTGATCAATCTCCAACTAGAATGGCATCAATGGGTAAAAGAAGAATCCTGGCGCCGAACCGCATTTTTCGCATTCTGCATGGATGCTCAACACGCCTGTTTATTCGGCCATAGCCCAATTCTCTCCGTCAATGACTTAGAAATGACACTCCCATGCAAGGAAATTCTCTGGGAAAGTTTATCTCCGGAGTCATGGTACGATCTCTGCCAACGAGACTCGAAATCCTCTTCTGCACATTTCTTACCGACCTTGAAAGCCTTGTTACAAGATGCGATCACACCCGCGGCTTATAGCGAGTATGCACGTTTTATTCTTCTCCATGGTTTGATAAGTTTGCAAACGCATCTGCAGTCGACGTCGCGCTTGACAATGGGCATTGAAAAGGGTAGTACGGAAGACCCTAAATCAGTATCTGATCCATCTGGAGCCAAATCTTCCACGCTGAAGGCTTCGCCGCCGTGGGCGAATATGATCAGTACCGCTATCGCCGCTTGGTCGGATTGTCTCTTGTCCCTTCAGCCCTCTCTGTGCCTTGAAGCGGCTCGCCCATTGTATAGAATGGCGCAGATTACCCTGCACGTTAGCATGGTTGACTTGCTTACGCTGGCGATGGATCCGGATCATCTTGGTAGTGCTCATGCGCGGAGTACTTACGACGAGGCCAAGGCACGGATGTCGGCTTGGGCTACCACGAAGTCGGCTCGCGAGGCAGTTCGATATTCTTTGCTTCTAGTGCAAGAGACAATGTTTTCCGGTCATAGATACCGGGCTTCTGATGACAATATTGCCCCACGACCTTGGTGTTTATACGTTGCGGCCTTGACCTTGTGGATGTATGGGGTCATGACTGAAGGTCCTGCATCTCCTGAGATTGAAGAGTCCAAAGCAGAGGAATACTTGATCCAGATGACAAGGGCGCTGAAGGGGGGTCAGATGGACTATGTAGAGGCGAATCAGACGGCCGGGTTGATGCGTGCAGTGCGTGACGCGTTAGAAAACTGTCGCTGGGAGTTGCTACAGGATGCCCATGAAATTTTAGGACGGCTCGGTGGATAAAAGCACAATCGCTGATCTGTACAGCTAAGAGACACTTTACATAATTACAAATTAAGGCCAAATGCTGTCTGTATACCCGCTAAGATAATCAACAAGGTCTAGATAACTACTTCCCCATCCTCCTTAATGCCCTCCGTTCTCTTGCGTCGATTTTCCAGAACCATCCTTCCGCCTTCATACATGCTAAGATAGAGACTCATTGAAATAGCCGTCCATAAAGACCGGATAGCACCACCCTTGAACAAGCCTTTCACCCCTTCCTTGCGAAATATCTCCTTTCCAATAATCAATGCCCCGCTTTTACCCTTTCGCTTTGAGTTCCCCTCTGCACCATCAATATGAGCTCGCGGCTCAGACTCCTGTCCCGATATATCCGTAGCAGCAGAAAGCATGACCCTTGTTTTCACAACATCAACAGGCGTAGTCACAAAAGAAGCAATGGTCCCCGCCACAGCGGCCGAAGCCCCAGTTATCCCCGCTCTCTCAATAAGCGCTTCTCTCTGCCTAGACGACGATTTACGATCATCTACCCCAGAACTTTCCCGCTGTCCCTTCCGTCCTCGTCTCCAATCAGTGAGGCGCTCGCGAAAAAACTCAAACATCGGAAACTGGAGTCCCGTAAACGGAAGATTACGCCCCACAAGAGCAGTGTATCCACTCCAAAGACGCCAGGGATGGGATTTGAAGCGTGAAATAACCTGTCGCATAGCCGATGTGTTGTTTTTGGTATGCTTGTTGCTGTTGACCATCTGCGCGTTTTGTTTTATGACTTCTGCTGGTGTAAGCAAGAGGCATGAGACCATTTCGGCAGATGAGGAGGCGATGGCGTGAATAATTGGTGTTGGGAGAGAGTGGGTGAATGGCAGACGGAGTGTGGAGCGTGAGTGTCGAGATTGAGATTCAGATTCTGGTCCTTGATTGTTGGATGAATTGTAGAAGGCATATTTGACTGCTTCGTAGGTTGTGAAAAAGGCTCCGGCTGAATTAGATGTGTGTTAATACAATATTGGATGTATAGATGAAGAAATTATGAAGATATGATGTCAAGTTGTCGAACATACAAGCTGGAATTGTAGAGAATACAACACTCCACACACCCTGGTATAGACCACGAAAAAGTACATTGCGCTTTACAGCACCTGTACGCGCATCCTTGAAGACTTGTTCATAGTTCGGGGATTGAATGCGGGTTTTCAAGGTGTCAAATGGGAAGACGACGAAATCCACGGTGATGGCAGCAAACGCGCCGGCCTGTTTAGGCCGTTAGCTGGCTTCTTTTCCATATTGCGCTTGGTCTGTTTAATGCGAGCCACTGGGACGGTCTAGTTCAAGGTGGAGCAAGGAGCATAAGAACGCCGATCAGATGTGGGTACTTACAATCCAGATATCTGTGTGGCTATTATACATTGTAGAAAGCTCCGACCGAAGCACCAAGAAATCCCTGTTGATGTTTGCAAGAACAACCCTGGAGAGAAAGAGATATCTATAGTGAAAAGATATCTCCATTGCCATGCAATGTCGCATGTCGATGAAGTCATACATGTCACATGACTTAAAATGCCCTATAGATTAGGGCTGAATTTACTGATAGATCGACCAAGATACTAGATCAATGTATAAATCAATGTGCAAATAAACATTCATGTCTAAGTAAAGTCATTGTTTTCTATGAACGCATCTGAGTCCATATGTGTCAAAAAAAGTAGACAAGAAAGACTCAACGTCGTCATGGATACAAAAAGAAAGAGGAAGTCGTATAAACATCCAGAGAACATTTTCCCTCCCTACGCCGTAATAAGGTCATGCAATCCCAAAAGCCTCAGGTCCACACACATCTAGTTCGCAGTCTCAGGCAGCAAGTTGCCCTTGGCAGCAAACATCTTGCCAGTAGTCGACGAGACAAAGCTGTCGACCTGGCGAGAGAACTGCTCCACCTGGCGGGTGTTGAGCATGCTCTCCAGCCGGCTGGGCTCAGCGGGGAGCTTGAACAGACGCTGCCACTCGTCCTCGGGGAGCAGGGGTTGCTTGAGGGTGGCGCGGGTGGCGTTCTCCTGGGCGCGCTTCTGCTTCCAGTTGTTGATCTTGGTCTGCTCGCGACCGAGCACACGCTGGTAGTACTGGTAGTTGTTGACCTCGGTGTTGTGGGCCTCGATGCTGTCCAGCAGGAGGTCACAGTTCTTCTCCAGGAACGGGTCGATGCTGAGGGACAAGTTGTCGAAGTTGGGGGTGAGGATGGTAGATTTGTTGAAGGGGCCGGCCTCAAGAGCGGCGAGCGAGGGCGGGAGGTCAGTCGAGACAGAAGGAGTAGGGTTCTGCAACTGGTGGATGAAGGAGGTAATCAGGTGCGAGTTGTGGATCTCCACGGGGAGCTCCTCGAAGATGTCTTGGTAGCGGAGGTTGGACTTTTGCAGCCTGCATGTCCGTTAGTATAAAAATTTTGAGCATTTGAAGAAACTTTCGTAACATACTCCTCTGAGTTGAACTTGTTCTCCTTGAATGCCTCCATGAACTTAGCGGAGAGGCGGAACGCCCGCAGGCTGAGGGCACCCTGAGCGCTGCGGCTGACGTCGTGAACCAGCGCAACTGTCCGCTCGTTCAGCTCCTTCTGATAGTAAAATTGGTTCTCGATTACGTTCATGTTGACAAAGTTGCCCATGTTGGCGCTGGTGTACCATCCGACGTTGTTGGCGTCAATGTTGACCTCGCGGATCATGCGAATCATCTCAGCCTGGTAGGCGGCGTTACCCTTGGCGCGGGGAGCAGCAGCGGCGGGGTTGGGAGAGGCGTTGTCGAAGTGCGACTCGGTGGGCATCTCAACAACGGGGAAAGGGAAAGAGTTGGTGATCTCGAGGGTGTTGTCAAAGTCCATGCCGACAAGACATCCGGTCGCGGTAGTCGGGAAGGTCTGATTGCAGTGCTTGATGATTTTCATCACCACCTAGAGCATCGAACATGAGTATTTCTTGCTGGCGAGGGCAGGGCAGATTTTCAAGATTTGGAGGGGATCGTACCAGGGCCTCGACCTTAACGGCCACGAGGGGGGCTTGTGCTCTAGGCGATACATTAGTCGGAGAATCATAGGAGTTTTCTTGAATCAATCATACTCGGCCATATTGAAAGGTGGTTGCACCGGGTATAGGAGTGGGTTGAGACTCTTTGATGGGGAAGAGCGGTTTGTGTGAGAACAATTCAGACGGGTGGTCCTAATTGGGTTTAGCGTGGTACGGGAAGGCTGTATTATATTACATGTTATTTGTACCTCTTAAACTGACCAGTGAGGGGTATTACCGTATGATAACACCCAGAGTTCTTCGCCGCAACTCCACATTGTGCCTGAAAACAGTCCAGTCGACTTGATTCACCCTGTAAACACCAGAGATTACATGGATACAATTGTCTGTTTGGACCGAATGATCTAGAGCATTGATCTCTACATAAGTCTCAGCTTTCTTCTGAACTACTAGCTACCTCACTTGTAAAAGACCCTTAGTCATGCAAAGCGGAGATTGTCCCACTTCCGCTACCGCAGCCTATCGATACCATTATCAGGTTGGAACTTGAGCATTCCTTCATTCTTTGCATATTCCAACGCCATGAGCCCCGAGCAAGTTCATCCAGTGACAAGGACTGTCACTTATGGCAGATCTCATGCTCTACAGACCATCAACGTCACACCACTGAACACAAACCAAGATGGTTACTGGGTGATGTACGCCCCCAAAGCAACCCCCACCATGGATCTGATCAACAGGACCAGCAGTCGCAAGTATGTTAGAGCAGAGTGACTAAAGAACCAACCCCCAACACAGCTATATCCACGGTGGCGCGTGGCGAGATCCAACAGTAACTTCCTCCGCCTTCGACAAAGCCGCGACTATCCTGCGCAACTCTCCCGGCCTTCCAATCTCCGGCATCGCTTCAATCTCCTACCGACTGAGCGCACACCCAGGCTATCCCCAAGATCCCTCCAAAACACCATCCAATGAATATCGTGATGCGAAGCACCCAGATCATATCCGCGACGTCGAAGCTGCTCTGGCATTCCTGCAGAATACTTACGGCTTTGGTCCCCGCTATATCCTCGTCGGTCACAGTTGTGGTGCCACACTAGCATTTCAGGCTGTTATGGGTGCTGTAGCGAACCACCGAGAGCAATCGTTTAATGGCGGGCCTGATGATGACGGGGCAGGTGCGCGGGTCTCGATGTCCCCCGGTCCGTTGCCGCCTAAACTGTCGGCGCATCCAGCGGCGATTGTGGGTGTCGCGGGAATATATGATTTGCGGAGGTTACAAGATACCCATCGAAATATTGGGGCGTACAGGGAGTTTATTGAGGGGGCGTTTGGGAGTGATGTGATGCTCTGGGATGGGGTGTCGCCAGCGCAAATGGTTGGGTCGCGAGGTGTCGAGGGTGGCTGGAGTACTGGACGCTTAGTCGTGCTGGCACATTCCAAAGATGATGAGCTTGTGGATGAGGGACAAGTCGAGGAAATGCGAGAGGCGTTGAAAGGGTGGGAAGCGGGACAAGCTCGGATTCCAGTGCGAGAATTGTCGAGTCGCGGTAGACGCGTCCAGCTATTGTCTATCGAAGGTGAGCATGACGACGCATGGATTCATGGCGAAGGACTGGCACGAGCAGTCAAGTTTGCTTTTGTTGAATTGCAGAAGATGGGACTGGCACCTGAGCCCGAAGTATTGGGAGACTCTAGCAGTATATACACATAGACGAACACTGAGCAAGTTAAATAAAACACTACTGTACGAGATATGATATCGTATTTGATCTCCTTCATTCGGTTCTGTTGGAGATGGGGGGAGAGATTGATGTAGATACAGTCGAAGATCGGCCCAGGCGGGCCAGAGAAAGCCATTATTCGTTAACGCATATCACAAAAGACCAAATGCTAGGAAATCCCTCGGTACGCCGAATTTGCCCGTAAAGATCGATCGTGGGGTGCAATTAGTTGCCAAGATCCATGCGACCAGACGCCGCATCTCCAGCGACCTTTTCGGTCTTTGCTTCAGGGGCCTCCTCGCCATACTCGAACGCATCATCTTCACTCTCACTTTCTTCGATGAACTTGTGAGTCATATCAAATTCGCTAAGACGCCAGTGAAGATCTTCCCGCTGGCCGTCTTGCCAGCGCGCCAGAGCAGCAGCGGCGTGCACCTTGAAGCCATAAATACGAGGCTCATAGCGGCGCAGGCTCTTTTCGGGGTTCAAAGCTGGGTAAACCTGGAAGAGAATGGAGTGGAACGAGGTGCCAAAGTAAGCACCATCGATTGAGGCATGGCGGGAGGACTTAGGGTTGTAGATGTCCTCGCATTTGGGGCAGTAGAGTTTAACGGTGGTCGAGTTGGGAAGATCGGCCTGACCCATAGGCAAAAGAGGATGTCCATCACACATGACGCGGGGGCATTTGCCAAAGTCACACTTCTTGTACTTGTCAAGCTGGAAACACTGTTAGCCTGATTTCCAGCGCGTGGAAACGAAAACAAAGCATACCATTTTTGCCAGCCCACGGGTAGTGACAATGTAACGCGCATGGACCAGTCCATACAGATGACGGGCAGACTTCTCAATCTGCTCTCGTAGATCATCATCGGCATCAAGATCGAAGACATCAGTCACAAGATCGAGTGCATATTGGTAGTATGGAACTTCGGTATTCAGGCCCGTGAGGTTGAATCGGTCAGTCAAGTAATCCTCATCAATCTCGCAGAAGTACTCGTTTCCTCGCGATGAGACAAACTAAAATCCAAGTAAGAAGAGTCAGCGCATTTCATCCACTAACAGAAAGCCGCATTCGGTCGGGTTAGGGCAGGGTGGTCTAAACAACACATAGGGCCTGTTCAGCTCATAAGACCATCAGCAACCCGGCCCCTTTTGGTGCCTTTGCGGAGTGTTTGTCACACATAAAGATGCATGGCAATATCACATGCAAGACCTTCTTATCCACAAAACCCGCCTGCGGGGCACAGATTCCCGTTGCAGTTCCCCAGGAAATCACATACCCAGTCTCGCCAGTAACTAGTATAGTCACTATCCGTCTCACTATTGAAGTCCTCCATCATTGTGGTGGTCAAGAGATCTCTGTCGGGTTCCGCTCTAGGTTGCTTTGCTTCCGCGGAGTCGAGGGGTAGGTGAGGGTGACAGCCACAGAATTGGGTGGATCAACCCCGGGGTGTCGTAAACCCCCACGACTTTTCAGGCTGCACAATGAAGGCGCCGAGTATGTTTCAGATTAAAGATTCACAGTTTGAGTCTCCAAGAGGTGGGAGAGCGTAGCTGTGGATGGCTGGAGGTGAGGGTGTCGTTAATGGAAATGATTAAAGTGCGAATTGGGCGGTGATGATACTGCCAGGTGATCCACTGCCGATCGTGGTTTACCGTTTGACTGCACCATTTCTACCAAGTTTCGACTATCCAGCTCTATTTCACTAACATTCTACTTTAATATTGGCCATTCGATACATTTGACCGTCAAGATTATTATTATATAAGCTCTAGAATGAAGACCTGTCCCGAGCCAATTGTCATGATTCATCCCCATCCCTATTGCTCAGCACTTATACTCACGTCCATCTAATTTTATCGGCATGCTTCACTTATCTCCATCCTGGTCTCAAGGCACCGAATTTAGTGACGGAAGGAATGGCCAACCGAGTATGAAATACTTTCACATAAGCATTGTTGTACACGGACCATTGCCTCAGTCAGATACTTCGAGGGAATTACCTTGCTCAGACTCAGTACCCCCGAGTCTAGAACGAGCTTGGCATCAAGTCCACGGGAACTTTCGTAGCAAGGCCAGAATTCAGTTCCACGGCGAGCATATATTGTGAAATAGTGAGCATGGCCACGCCTTCAAGAAGTTGCCCAAAGGTGATTACCGTGAGCGCGGGTGGGACGTCATGCAAGAGTGTAGGTTTTGACTGCTTTACAAGATTGCTTCCAGGCGAGGCCACACTCAAGGCTAAAGATAGCTTGATAAAATGATATGGCCGAGAGATGCAATTGTGCTGAATGGGATTGCCAGGCCAGCACTGATGGACATCAGTATTCCTCAGAGGAATGTGGGATATAGAGTAACCTGTCACAGTTGCCATACGCCGGCAAAAATGATGGCAATGACTGGACCGACGGTTCGAGGGAGGTTTCTGACGCCAGATTGTTGAAAGAAATATATGAGAAGCTAGAGAAGATTAGTCTGAGTGCAGAATAAGGGACTTTTCCAGCCCACATGATATGCAGTACATAAAGCGTGCCTGAACAGGCAAAATAAATGCGTTACATAGGCAAAGCATTAGAGACCGGAAGCGCCTGGCAGTGATCGTTGAGATGATATACTATGGCCATGCGGCCCAGGCCCCCCAGCCCCACACCGCCCGCTTACCCCCCACTGTAAGATCTGCACAAGGCCGTGATCTTTTCCAGTTCATCTCGTGACTGAAAACATCTGCTTTATGTCGCAATGGGCTCCAAGACACCTGAAAACGAGGGCCAAAATGGCGGCAGTGAGTATCCACATTTTTAGCATCTTGCTGGATCTTGCTCACCCGTGAATAGATGATCCGTCCGGCTCAACCAAAGCAAACACCACTGGCGGAGAACCACGAGGAGCCCACCTGGCCCGAGATGGGGATGGAAGTCTGGGTGATGGAGACAGCGATGACGACGACGGCGATAATCAGCCCGGGGCTGCTACCGAGTCGCTAAATCTCCACAACATCCCGACAGACGCTTCAAAGAAGAAGAAAAGAAAGAAGAACAAGAAGAAGACGACAGTCAAACAGTCGTCCCCTCCTCGAATCCCCCTCACCAAGATCTACCGCAATGATCATTATCTCAGTGGAGAGCTACAGAGCTATGAATCTGTTGTTGAGAATACGGCTCGCACAACGGCCGAGGAAAGACGCTACGAATCCCGCCTCCTCACCCAGGACCAAACTTGGCTCACCAACTACCGCAAGGCAGCTGAAGTCCACCGCCAGGTCCGACGGTGGACGCAAGACAACGTTCGGCCGGGTCACACTCTCTCGCAGGTTGCTGACGATATCGACGAAGGCGTGAGGGCGCTACTTGATAATCCTGGTCTTGAAACTGGAAGTTGCCTTGTGTCCGGGCTGGGTTTCCCAACGGGACTTGCGCTGAACAACTGTGTTGCGCATTATACGCCCAATCCCGGTCAAAAGGAAATTGTCCTTCAATCGACTGATGTCCTGAAGGTGGACTTTGGTGTCCATATCAACGGCTGGATTGTTGACAGTGCGTTCACTATGTCATTTGATCCAACGTATGACAACTTGCTTGCTGCGGTTAAAGATGCAACAAATACTGGTATCAAGGTGAGACAAACACATTTAATTCTTACTTGCAAAACTGACTCGATTAGAATGCCGGTGTCGATGTCCGAATCAGCGATGTCAGCGCTGCTATCCAAGAGACCATGGAAAGCTACGAAGTTGAGATCAGAGGCAAAACCTATCCCGTGAAACCGGTGCGTGATCTCAGCGGTCACAACATCGGACATTACCAGATCCACGGCGGAAAGTCGATCCCCTTTGTGAAAACGAAAGATCAGACTAAAATGGAAGAGCGAGAGATTTTCGCAATCGAAACATTCGGGTCTACGGGTCTTGGAAAAACCCGAGACGGACCTGGTGTCTACGGTTATGGCAAAAATCTGCATGCCCCCAAGAAAGTGATCACTCCTCTTGCCTCGGCCCGATCTCTGTACAAAACGATCAACGACAACTTTGGTACAATTGTGTTTTGTCGCCGATACCTTGAACGCCTTGGTGTCGATCGTTATCTGGCAGGCGTGAGTGTATATTATTCCACTTTTGTGGTGCTCTGTTGACATTGAATAGATGAACAGCCTTATCTCCCAAGGAGTGGTGGATCTTTATCCACCCCTCATGGACATTGAGGGGTCATACTCCGCCCAGTTCGAGCATGTATGATTCTCTGCGGTTTGAGATTCATGGTCATTAAGCTAACCTTTTTTAGACCATCTTACTGGGTGAGTCCAGCAAGGAAGTCATCAGTCGCGGAGATGACTACTGATCTCAGGTGATCGCAACACGCGTGAAGCACCTGATTTATTTACAGTCATCCAACATGGCCACTAGTTACTTATCACAAATATTTTGTTGCATTGTCCATTCAACATTGTCGTTGCACATGTGACTCTAGACAAAAAGTCTCGAGTCTAGCTCAAGTCTGAATTGCTATTGCTAGCTCACCCAAATACATTCATTTAAGCAATATATATCTTTGTCGATGATATACCATTCCATATTTCGTTTCATTCAATTCTTCCTCAAGTAAATGCGGTTTTTCCACTGGTGGAACGACGGATAATCTCTATAGTCGCGTAAACTGCGGGGGTAAACAAATGCTCCACTAGCATTCCAAGCTTCCCCTGATCCTCACCCGAGACCCCTGAAAAGGGGCGTGACTAGGTATTGACTATGCGCTAACCGACGCCTTCCTCAATTGAGCGTCCGCTTTCTTTTGGGAACGGATTCCTCACACGTACAGGGACAGGGGTGAATCCACTGTATCATAAAATTGAAATAAATACTTCGCGTTCGGTTCTCACTCCAGAAAACACTCAGCACAATAATCATGCATAGAAAAATGACGCGTCTTCTCGTGACAGCATATCTTCTCTATTTAGCAACAGCACAACAAATCGGCAAAATCCCAGAAGTCCACCCAAAACTTCAAACATGGAAATGCAGCTCAACCACAGGCTGCGCTCCGCACGACACATCCGTCGTTCTAGATGCCCTCTCACACCCCTTACACGAAGTAGGTAATAGCAGCGTCTCCTGCGGGAACTGGGATACCGGCCTAAACCCCACGCTCTGCGCAACGGAGAAATCCTGTGCAAGAAACTGCGTCCTAGAAGGAACGGACTATGCTGCGCATGGCGTGCAGACGGCGGGCGATAGTCTTATTCTGCATCAGTACCTTACCAGCGATGGGACGGTTACTGCTGTATCGCCACGTGTGTATTTGCTCGATGAGAGCGGGACGAAGTACGATATGCTCCGGATGTTGAATCAGGAAATCAGTTTTGATGTTGACGTTTCTGGACTTGTGTGTGGGATGAACGGTGCACTTTATTTGGCTGAGATGGAGGAGGGTGGGGGGAGAGGGGCTTTGAATCCTGCTGGGGCGACTTATGGTACTGGGTACTGCGATGCGCAGTGTTCTGTTGATCCGTGGATTAATGGAGTTGCGAATGTTGGTGGGAATGGGGCTTGTTGTAATGAAATGGATCTTTGGGAGGCCAATTCGTTGGCTACGGCTTTGACGCCGCATGCGTGCAATATTACTGGGGTTTATTCTTGTGAGGGGGATCTGTGTGGAAGTGATGGGGTTTGTGATAAGTCTGGGTGTGGGTTCAATCCTTATGCGCTTGGGGATCATGATTATTATGGGTATAAGGACGTGGTGGATACTTCGAGGCGGTTCACTGTTGTGACTCAGTTTGTGACGGATGATCATACGACGAAGGGTGTTTTGAGTGAGATCCGACGGTTGTATGTGCAGGATGACAAGGTTATCCAAAATGCCGTTGTGGATGTGAAGGGAGTGGAAATTGACTCTCTGACGGAGGAGTATTGTTCGGAGTCTGCGAGTTATTTTGAGGATATGGGTGGCCTGAAGCAAATAGGCAAGGCACTTGGACGTGGAATGGTTCTAATCTTCAGTATCTGGAATGATTCTGGTGCTTATATGAACTGGCTTGACAGTGGCAGTGCTGGTCCTTGTAACAGCACGGAGGGAAATCCTACTCTGATCCAGGCCCAACATCCGAAAACTTCAGTGACGTTCTCAAACATCAGATGGGGAGATATCGAATCAACGTTTACTCGATGAATTTCAAATCAAATCATTTCATTCCATTCGTCCACCTACTCTAGCTAACTCGTGCCCTCGTGCCCTAAATCTAATCATGATAGAAAAGAGTGTATACAGTTCGTGCTATCATTAATCAATCATCATCGCATGAAAATCATTCAAAAACTCTTGCAATCGTGCTATCCTTTTCTATCAGATTGGTTAGCAATATCCATATATATTAAAAGTGAAGGACGTACCAGGATTTATCTTGGGAAAATCCGCCATATGATCCCTTATTGAGCCATGGTAGCGGTGGCCTTGAGGTCCTTGAGGTCCTTGCCATCCTGATCCTTGTTCTCGTGACGATGCTCGCCGTTGCGCTCAGCGCCCTTCTGGCCGTTCATGATAGCACCAGTGGCCTGGGGGTGAGGCAAGTTGGCCTTCTCGGTCTGCTGACCACGAGCCCAGACACGGGGAGTGGGAGTAACATGGCGGTTGGCATCCCAGTCGTGGCGACAGTCCCAGCCAGACTCGTCGTTGTAGTCGCCGTTCTTGCACTTGTCGTTGTATCCGTAGTTGTCATCATAGTTGTCGTTGTTGTTATCCTGGTTGCGGTTCCAGCCACCGAAGGGCCACCAGCGCTTGGTAACGATGGGAGTGTGGGGCAGAGCGTTCATAGCAGCGTGTTCCAGACGCTCGCCATCGTGGAACTGGTTGCCAGGGAAGTTGCGGGCCTTCAGACCACTCAGAGCTGCGGAAGTGGCATCAATGGCGTCGTGGGCATCTTCGCGGTCTTCCTCGCGATGGCGCTCGCGCTCACTCTTGCTCTCATTGTCGTCGTCGTTGTAGTATTCATCATGGGGGTAGTAGCGGGCCTTCAGGTTGGAGAGGACACCAGAGGTGATAGCAGCAGCATCCTGACGATCTTCTTCGCGGTCCTGTTCACGCTGACGCTCGCGCTCGCTCTCACGATCGCTGTTCGAGCCGCGGTAGTCACCGTTCTGGTTATCGTAGTTGGGGTAATAACGGACGTGAAGACCGGAGCCCGCACCAACCTGAGCATGGTTGTTGAGGCCATTGGTACCAGCACCACGGTTGGCACCGTTCACAGCACCAAGGCTGGCAGCTTCAAGGTTGGCAGCACCAAGGTTGGCAGCTCCAATGTTGGCAGCACCAGTTCCGGCACCAGAGACATCGGGAATGCCGGGTATACCAGGAACACCAGGGGTACCGGTACCGAGGTTGGCGGCTCCAATGTTAGGAACGCCCGCAGCACCAGGGAGAGAGAGACCACGCTTGGTATTTGCGTGCCACTGGCCATTCGCATCAGTCCAACCATTCTGGTTGTTGTTAGAGTGCCATTGACCATTAGCATCAGTCCAGCCATTCTGATCCTGGTTGTTCTTGGCGTGCCACTGACCGTTGGCATCAGTCCATCCATATTGGTTGTTGTTGTTCTGGTCGTAAGGCCAGTTACGGGCCTTGAGACCAATCCCGGGGAGACCGACACCAGGGACACCAACGCCAGGAACATCAACTTCAGGAGCACCGACGCGATGGCGACCATTGCCGAATGGACGGCCGATCATGTTGCGGCGCTGGTAGCCGTTACTCTGACCGTTGGTGTACTCATTGTTGTCGTATTGACCATTGTTATATTCGCCGGTTTGGCCTTCACCGTTGTTGTACTGGCCATTGTTGTACTGACCGTTATTGTACTGGCCATTGTTGTATTGACCATTGTTATATTGACCGTTGCTGTACTGGCCATTATTGTATTCAGAGCCAGTGTTGGGGATGAACTGCCCGTTCACATAGTGGCCCTTGCGGTACTGGCCACTAGGGTCCCAAACACCAGATTGGTCATTAGGGTCGACTGGCAAGGCCAGAGAAGTCATTGGCGAGACTGCCAAGAGGAGAAGGCCGTTGATGAGAGAGTAGCGCATGATGAACAGATAGATGAATCGTATAATGGGTTGCTTTCTGACTCTGGATCTGGAGGATCTTGAGAGTCGCTTTTGCTTGATGAGAAGGAAACAAAGACGGTCAAATAGAGATGTATTTATATTTGTTCTGGACAAAGCTCCGACTATTCAGTTACGTAGCTGATTCAGAGCTTCGTCAAGCTCTCTTCAGCTTTGATGACACTGTCTGAGCTCGGTTCGTACATCGCGTCATTGAGTTTGACTGAGGATCAGAGCATGGCTGCAAGGGACCGAACTCAACGTGTAGTCAAGAATCATTCTGCCTTGCGGGGGATTGTGTGTCGGGTTCTAAAATCTGCGTGATGATCTCAATGGCCATGGCAGACGGCCAATTGATGTTATGCGCTATATAAGTGCCCTCGCATTGCATGTCTTACTATACCACGCTTTGACTCTGCATGGTGGTCCTCGCATCTTGATCTGCAGTAGTAGCGTGCTAGTAATGCCGATCGCTCCGGAAGGGGATAAGTCGCATTCTTGCTGATCATCTGGGGTGCTGCAGATCCAAGGGGTTTTGACAAGACTTTGTTTACGCCATCAAATTTATTACATGCGTCAATTCGTGGCTCCAACCCCCCACATGCACGCTTGAATTCAGCGGCCATGTTGACATGACTAAACATGACTTAGCCCACCCAGCTAATTCTGTATTCCATTGTACTTCAATTGCATCATTCGTTTATCTTGTTACGTACCTCTGCTACTTTGGCCCCAGACCCAGGTTGGCCAGTTCTTGAAAGTGTGTACATTTTGGAGGACCTACCAGAGTACTTATAGTTACTTATAGAGAATTAATCAGTAACTGAGGGTAGAATGAGTATTTTTGATTTTCTGTCACCTTTCAATATGCGTTACTTCATGTACTTAGGAGTGTCAACATGGCCAACTGTACCCCAGGGATGTGAACCTGAGGTACTCATGAGACTGAAAACGTGTAAGACATGCAGAGAGGTTTTACTCCCAAGCCACACTACTATGTATAGTAATTTCTTGAGTGAGGGACAATTTCAAAGTGAAACGCAGATTGTGTGACATCTGGACTGGCGGTCTGAGAGTGGATGAGCTGACGAGGTTGAGCTAATTTTTAGATCATTCCAAATTCAAGTTTCTCAACCTACGTCTCAGACACCACTACTCACTGATCAACAATTCTTTTCGATCTTGCAGACTGTCCAGCTTGTTTAGAGACAATGGCCCGATTCAGAGGACTTCAACGAGTCCGAAGGGTACCTATTGCCAGAAGATGAAGACTTGCTGTGGATTGGGGACCAAGGAATAAATTGACCTCCTTCATTGAGGCTTTTCTTAGCTTTGGTTGATTGGATATTGTTCATGAGCGGCAGTTTACTTATATTCATCTGGCGAGATGACCTAGCTGGACTCTGCACTCATCATTTCTCTCAGTGTTGTGGGCTAGCTATATTCATACCAGAATTGTGCTAAATCCAGTCAGCATCAACTATGAAGAATGTGGGAGCGACGTATAGTTTGCGGCAATTCAATGGTTAGCTCCTTGAGCAGTATATTTTCCGTCAAGATGCAAGTTCAGAATTAGATGCTGATTGGGAATCTCTCGGAGTGAATCGTCAGTCTATTCCCTGTTTTTTTTCACATCCCATTGTGCATGTATACATTTTCTGACATATAATGATCCAAGACCGAGGCTTTTGAATACCGGGAAATGAGGCAGAGATATTGGGTCTCAACGCAGACAAGGACCAAATCGATCCTAAAGGCGGTGGAGGGTATCCAGCGAATTATAAAGGCCTTTTTCATTTGCGCTGCCGTAGATTGTATGTTCCTTTAGTGTTCAAGAAGGACGAGTCTTCAAAGGTTCTATGAGGCTAAGTACCGAAATTGATCCTTCAAAGCACAATGCCTAGATATTCTTCAGCAACAACATCATCTACAACGAAATGGCAGAAGATGAAAGGACGAATGATGAATATGGATGAATACCATGCCGATAAGGTAAGACTCTTGACAGCTTATAATTACACCCATTACTCTTTCCGAATTTCCTCCGTCACACCATAAACACTCAAATCCTCACTCATCTCCGGCAACGCATAAACCGCACTCTCCTCACGCCCAAACACCTCCAACGCCGCAACCCCCCTAAAGTCCATCCCAATTTTCTCGAGAACCCTCCGACTATGAGAATTAGTAGCATTACAGAACCCAAAGAAATCCGTAATTCCAAGCTCCTTCTTAGCGTACTCCATCAAACCCTTCGCCGCCTCAGTCGCATAGCCCCTTCCATTCATCTCGGGTATGATCGCATACCCGATATCAGGCGCGAGATAATGGCGGTTTGGCGGTGCACCTTTCATGAGTGAGACGGTGCCGATGGGTGTAGGGGGCAATAGTCCTGTGTCGTGCTGGAGTAAGACGAGAAATATGCCATGCTTGTTCCGCGCGTAGTCTGCTAAAATGCGGTTGCGGATAAACTCCGATGCGCTTTCGGGATCAACGACTGATGTGGGACCACAACTGCGGATGCAGAGGTCTGTGTTCCAGAGGTGAGGGAGGAATTTGCAATGAGTTTCGTTGGTTGGGTCGAATGGGATGATACGTAGGCGTGGGGTTCTTATGGTGAAATCACTGGGAAATGGTGATTTGGGTGAAGTCATTGTAAATTCTGGTTAAGATGTAGAATTTGATTACCAGCTATGTTTGTCGCAGGATATTCTAATTGATCACAGATTGTTAGGATTATAAGTGAACTTGTCCCGATCTAGGGATGACTCGATGTGACTCGGGTTGACTCAATCTCGGAGGTCGGAGTCCGGTTCAATCAAGCCGTCAACTAGTGAAAATAGGGAACTCCAAAGCCGGGTTTGAGCGAGAACCTTAGAAGAGCGACATCTGGAAAATATTGATATTATACTGCCTTTGAGTTTTAGGCTCTGTAGTTGACTACATCCATATATCTGGTCTGATTCCAAGTCCAAGTAATGATTTTGGGTGGTGAGTGGGAGATACTTGCATAATATGTTTCCTGAGCATTCCCGGGTTGTGAATGTTCAATAAACCTTAGGACATTTGAAAAGATAAACAAACTCCAGTGTTGGAATCAGCATAAAATTAGTACTTGAGATGGATTCTAATTCCAAGGTTTCACACGTGTGCATAGTGATATGTCACCGATCGAACTTCTTCAACTCCAACCAGCGCATCGGGGGGTACACCAACATTGTCCACGAAACGCCAACCCAAATCCCCAGATCCGACCCATACTCCCCAACCATCCTCGCAATTGGACCAACATACCAAATCTGATCCATGGACACAATAGCACCAGCCCAGCCAATAAGGAAAGCCAATAGAGCAGCAATGCCAATCGGCAACTTAGACGGCTCCGCCCAAGCATCCCAATTAAACCCTCTCTCCCGACGGAAAATCAAATGCTCCTCAATCGCAATCATCAGGTAGATAGTGACCCAGTATCCCATAAGCGAGAGGAAATTATCGAAGATATCATACAGATGATTCCGTCCACCAAGCGCACAGGCAGTATAGATCACAACGCCAACGCAAGAGTAGAACCATCGCGGAAGCCGTGCTAGCTGGCGACCCATAATCTGGAATCCGAGTGAAGCAGAATATGTACCAGGTATGTTATTGGCCACAAGACCCAGTGCGACTAGGACGCCCATGAACTTTCCGAACCCGCCCAGTCCGTCGTAGCCTGCTAGAATGAGGGCACCAGACGAGGTGTCGTAGGCTGTTGTCCAGGTTTCGTGGGTGAAAGTTCCTGAGGCCAGACCGACGCCCATGACGTTGGCGAAGGTAAGAGCTAGACCTACGCCTAGGAAGGTCATAAGGAATGTCTTCCATGTTGAAGTGGTGGGTGGAAAGTAGACGAAGAAGTCAGCGCCTGCGGGGGCCCAAGCGACTGAAGCTGATAAACAGAGAGAGAAGAACGAGAGACGATTGCCGGCAATTGTCTCAGAAGAGCCAGTTGAGCTGATCGTGGTATCGAATTTAGGACCTGCGCTGCCGACAAGAACGAAGACGGCGATGAATTGGGGGAGCCAGGCCCATCTGGAGATTTAGTTTCTTGATCGATATGCCTGATCCGATAAAACTCAGCTTACCTTTCATAAATATGGAATACCCTCATGCCGAACAAGACTACTACCCAGGTCATGATGGCGATGATGATAATGCCCACGATGACGGTCATTCGACCTCCGGAAACAGCAGATAGGACTTGCCCACCGACTAAACAGTCGATCATACCGTATCCAAGCATGATGATGATATTAAGCAGACATGCGATCTTGCTAGGGTAATAACCCATGAAGTATCTCGCGACAACCTATGACTCATCAGCCAAGTGCCAAATTTGAGGTTTATATTTGCATACCATAGTACGATTCCCACTCGCAGGACCAAATGTACCCATATAAGCAACCCCAGCAGCACCAAGCAAAGCGCCAAAAGTAGCACAGAGAGCAGAGTCGACAAACCCCAAATCGTAACTCAGGGGTCCGAGCATACCAACAGCCATATTGTTAGCAGTAATATTGGTGCTGAACCACAAGAGCGTCATCTGCATATAATCGGAGGCTTTGATATCATGGCGCTCTTCAACAGGCACGCGCTCTACGCCTCGAGCTTCAAATAATTTCAGCGAACTAAGGTACGCATTGAAGCGGCCGAAAACTCCACCCGGCGGGGAACTCCCTGACGGCGCGTCTCTGGTTGTATCTTCAGGGGAGGTCTCGACGATCGGAGGGGATTGTATGCCCTTCTCCTCGTCTATCACTGACGGAGCCATGACTCTGCTTCGTGGTGTTGGGATGTTAAGAAAAATATCTTCAGCCAAGACTTTTGCGGGATGTAAGCCGCAAGGCTTATCTCTGGCTCAGTGGCGGGGCGGGATCCACTCCATCTTATCTTTTTCTACGGAACTTTTACGTTACACACCGGAGAGTATTTCTTTTGATTAATTTCTTTTGAGCAGAGTAATGATTTTTTATATCAGCAAGACAGGAAATGGCCCTGTCTTTCATATGAATAGGGTTGTCCCCCTTGAATAATCTCGTCAAATCGTCGGCTGATCCGATCATAGTTCTGGCCATACCGACCCAGCTCACGAAGACGGATCGACACCCAGTCTTGATAGATCTGATCAGACGTTGCGATGCCAGCTATGAATAACGGCCAGGTAATGCGCACCAAAATGCGAGGTCGGCTGCGGTGAAGCTTCAGGCTCAACTCCAGGACATGGGACACTGCAGCACTGAGCGACATGAGGTTTAGATTAATCTGGGTTCCAGAGATATTATTCAGAATATCGGGGAAGCAGAGGTGATAGTATATCATTGTGCTGTAAAATGTGATGGAAGCCCAGTAGATGGTTTCGATGACACGACGACCATTCTCAACCGAGTCGCATGATTGGGCTCTATTGGCAGAGGCGAGCAACGTATCGTATTCCTAGATCGTGTTAGAAGTAACAACTTTATCGGTTTCCGAGTGCCTCACAATAGCCAGAGTATTTATCTCATGAATGAGACGCTCATACGGAGATACAACTCCAATAGCTTCCTCAGTTTGGGGGCCCCGTTTGAAAAGTTCGGTGATTTTAAATTGTATGATGTGGCTTCGGTGGTACAATGTGAGACCGGGAAGGTTTTCCATATCGTCCAGTTGAGCGGAGACGGGATATGTCTCGCCCCAGAAACGTGCAGGGGATTGTCTGCTGATTCGATAGAGCTCAGACAAAGTCAAAAGACCGGTGCTAGGAGTCTCGGCGCCCAGAAAAAATTGAAAAATATCAGTATCCAATTTTGCGGTTCCAGGTCCAAAGAATAGTGCAGCGGGGGTGAAGAAATACAATGTCCAAAGGAGAAAGAGTGGGACAGAAGTACAGCGGAGGGTTTCTAGGGAGTTGGGCGTTGAACAGAGGTCCGGAGAATTGGCATCCGTGACTGGGGAGTCAGTATTTAATTGCGCCTCTGGTGAGGATTGCTGGGGAGGTGTCTCATGTTCGAAAGTGATTGTTTTTCTTTCGGACCAATCTGATTGGCCTGATTCTCGATCTTGAAGCAAAGGCACAATGTGATTATGAAGCAGGGTTTCAATGCCCCCAATATGAATGTTTATTGCGGGTGCTCCGCTTCCAAACCGGTTCTCGTAGTCGATCATGAGCCATAAAGTGACGAAAATAGCCTCTATTTTCTGCGGAGACTTGACGTCTTGTTTCAGAGCATGACGCAGACTCGATAGAGCTCGACCGTAATGCACTCGTCCCACCAGCTCACAGGACTCATTATTAGCTGAGATACTGGGCAAGGCTTCTTGGTCATAAAGTCGAGATCGATGGACCTCCCTTGCAGTAGTCGCCAGTATCATGCTCATGACCATTGGCTCTTTCACCGAGATCTTCTGGTAGGTATAAGCTAAGGTAGACCATGGCCAATGTTTCCCGAGAAGCACCACCAGTGTCGAATTTGAAAGATAACTGAGACACTCTCGGTCAAAGCCCGATAGAGTCAAAGAATTGGCTGCAGTCACGTGTAGATCGCTATGACCATCATCAAATCGCGGCAATGGAAGCAAGGGCGGTTTATAGGAACTAGACCGTGGCTGAGAATTCCGGGGAGTTCGCTTTCGAGCAATCTGGCTTGCCCCGCCAGCCTTCTCAGGGTATGGTGCCTCCCGACCCTTTGAAAGTGTGTCTAATGTGATCGATTTTCGCGGAATAGGCCCGCCTTTCCACTCGCATACAATGCCTGCAGACACACATCGCTTGCATTGAGGCTCCTCGCGGCCTGGCACCAGCTGCTTCTCCTCGTCACATTTGATCTTGCGTATTCGGCACGACCGGCAGCCTGAAATAATAGGTTTAGTTCCAGGTTCATATGCCAAAAAGGTGGAGATCCCTACCGTTCTTGGATCGTGTCTTGGACTGATGCATGTTGATAGCCGAGCTTCCCGTCACAGCCACATCTCATACAGGATCTGGACCCGCTCGGTGGTATAAGGGTCCAAATCTGGGGATTTTAGCTTAGGCGAGCAGACGCTGCGGCGCTCTTGACAATTAACAGGAAAATATGTTGAGGGGAAAAGTGGAGGCCGGGGAAGAGCGACTTATCAGTTGAGTGGAGATCGATAAGCCAAGAGCACTGCCGATTGGTCGCATCGCCAAATCCTCGATCTCCATTGCCGAGCAAATGCCATCTTCGAATTCCCTATCTTTACCAATCTCGTATCTACAGCCGACATAGCCGGAAAGATGCCGCCAGTCTGTCTATGGCTGGCTTTAAATTGGAGTCAATGTCTCCTAGATTTTCAACATTTATTTTGACCGAATTCAAATCAAACTAAAACATGCACGTCACCGAGTCACAGAGAGCGTTCTTGGATGTTGTCCAAGAGGCACTCAGCCGATATGACACACAGCTAAGAGATATTAACCAGAAAGTATGTGGTTGCTTCCTTATTCAAAGAGGCTAATGTGACTAATTTTTGCAGATCTGGTCAAACCCAGAACTTGCTTATGAAGAGTACAAAGCTCACGACAACATTTGCCAGCTCTTCGAAAGCCTTCAGTCGAGCGGATACCAAGTCCGCCGAGAGGTGTATGGAGTGAAAACTGCGCTTGAAGTCGAGTATACCTATGGCACTGGTGGACGAACTGTTGCCTTCAACGCTGAATACGATGCCCTTCCGGGAATTGGTCACGCCTGCGGTCACAATTTGATCGCGACGAGCTCTATCGCCGCATTCATCGCTACTTGCGAGTCAATGAAGGCTCAGGCCGAGTCCCTGTCTGTGCCAGGATTTACCGTTCGACTATTAGGCACCCCTGCAGAGGAATCTGGTGGTGGAAAGGTGAAGCTCATCAACAGCGGAGCCTACAAAGATGTAGATGCTTGTCTGATGGTGCACCCTGTTCCCATGGCACCTGGAAACCCGGAACTTTGCGGCATGGCCACTGTTGTAGAAGGAGGATACCTTGCCAATGATAAAGTTCAAGTGACCTTTACTGGCAAGCCTGCTCACGCTGCTGCTGCCCCATGGGAAGGTATCAATGCACTCGACGCGGTTGTGTCGGCATATGTCAATATTTCTATGCTTCGACAGCAGATGTTGCCTACTCAGAAAGTCCACGGAGTCATTAAGGAAGGAGGTACCCGCCCGAACATCATTCCTATGTCTGCCACTGTGGATTATTATATCAGATCTCCGACCAAAAAGACATTGAAGCCCTTGACCGAAAAGGTTATCAAATGCTTCGAGGCTGCTGCACTCGCTACAGGATGCAAAGTCTCCTTTGAATGGTATGGCTCTGAAAATTGACGCCTGGTGTGATAGGAGGCTAATGAGACACTTAGGGGGCCATCATATGATGACTTGAAGAGCAATATGCCGATCTGTGAGAGCTATGTCACAGCAATGAGAGCAATGGGTCACCATACACTACTTGACAACTCACAACAAAAGCGCTCACTTGCCGGTGCATCCACCGATATGGGTTAGTCTACAGACTTTTTTTGGAGAATCTTCACTAACATTGTTCTAGGAAATGTCTCATACGTTGTGCCTGGATTCCATGGTGTCTTTTGCATTCCAGTCGATGGAGTTAACCACACACCAGAATTCACCAAGGGAGCTGGATCATCCGAGGCCTTCGAAAGAGCTATTGCTTGTGCGGCTGGTATGGCCGTAGTGGCTTGCCAAGTTTTGGTTGATGATGAGTTTGCCCAGTCTGTTAAGAAGGACTTTGAGCGAGAAGAATAAGTGACTCATAAATACGAAATAAAATATTATCGAGACAAGGCGCAGCTTCCAATCATCATGATTATGATTTTTAAATGTACATAAAACCTGCTTCTCTATTGTCAAAAAGCCAAGGTGAAAATCTCTAAATATCCTATCGTTCTTTCTGGTGTTGGTTGAGAAAGGAGACCAACTGTATTTCAATTTCACTCTGACAAATCTCAGGAGAAGCCATTTCCAGCTTCATAGAGCCCGTCACTTCAAAAAAAAACAATCAACTGGGATTGGACCTATCACAATGTAGTTTGTCACGCTGCGTGGTTGGTTTGTCACCTCATTGCCGTTGCCAGTGTCCTTTGTTCGCCCACCAGCTGACGGCCACAACGTTGCACTCGCTTATGCGCTCCAATAAAGTCTGTATGTCTGCCTAATCGAAAATATCTCAGATACCTGAGGATCTTTCACGTTTGGCAATCTGGCCACAAAAGAAGAATTACTTGATCTTGCTGAAAGGATGCTGTCCCTGATGAGAGCATTCTCTCTGATATCTCCCGGGGGTGATCAATCTCAAGCCAGTAGCTGCAATACTTTAGTCCTTGAATGTGTACATCCGTTTTGGTTGAGACTTGCATTGTCTGTTTACTACAGCGTATGCAACATGTACTAATTAGCAATATCAAGGCCAGTAACGGTAAATGCCAATTTCTAAATAGTGAAAAATTTTAAATGCTATTGGAAAGTTTTCTATTGAGATCCATCTACACAGTCATTCTCATTCCACCGTTGGCACAAACCACACTTCCGGTAGTCCACTGCCCATCCGGTGTACAGAGCATGCCCACAACACCTGCAATTTCACTCGTGAAAGCCGGTCTCCGCCCACCCATCTTCTCTTGAATCAGACGCGCCTGCTCCTCCGTGATCCGGCCCATAGTATCTGGGTCATTCACATCTAACTTACTTCCAGGGGTATTATCCTGGAAACCCTGAATATCGGCCCAGAAGTCTTCACCCGCTTTAAAGTACATGTCACCAATCACAGGGCCGGGGTTGACTGCGTTCACGGTGGCATGATCGGCCAACTCACGCGCCCAGGTACGTGTCATAGCCTCGAGTGCTGCCTTGGTACCGCCGTAGATTGACTGGCCCACGAAGCCCATTGATGAAGATACGCTGGAGATGTTGACGATGCGACCGCTTCGATCGGTTGGAAGGTAAGGTGTAATGGCCTGTGTGAGGAGGAGAGGAGCGAGCACGTTGATAGTATAATGCCAGTTGAAAATGTCGGCGTCGATGGGGCCCTTGGCGGCGTCGTTTAGGTTCCGGTCTGCCGAGACACCGGCATTGTTCACGAGAATATCAATTTGCAGTTTCCCAGAGGATCCGAATTTCTCCTGTGCAGCTGCAACGATGATATTGACGGCCTCTTCGGGCTTACTCAGGTCGGCCTGGACACTTTCGCATCGGATTCCGTGGGCCGCGGCTAGCGAGGCGCATAGCTCGTTTGTGGCGGCTCGTGAAGACTCGGATGTGAAGTTCAGTAAAAGCGAGGCACCCTTTGCGGCGAGGTTACGTGCAATCGCTTCACCGATTCCTAGAGCTTGCTATTAGGGCATTGGAGCTTATCGAATGCATCTGGACTCACCTCGCGATCCGCCAGTGACGAGGCCAAGCTTCCCCTCAAGAACACGGGAGTTTGCCATTTTGAGTGATTGATGTATGCGGTTCTGTAAAAATAATGAGTTCAAGTTGGCAGATCATGTTACTTTGTACCCCGCGCAATTTAACCGATAACATTGGAATCCCCGCAGAATCCACTCAACGCGGGGAGAAATTGCCCGTTTGAACAAGAAAAGAGGAAAACCGGCTAATTCCCTCACTCCCGAGCCACTCATAGCTTTACTCCAAGACATTTAATCGCTTAAATTGCTTCGCATTCTCCTGACAACCTGACAACCTCTACCGGTCACCGCTCCATACTCGCCTCGGAAAACAACCCCACCCACCATCCTTGAGAACACACTTCCCGCGTCCGAAGGTAGCGCAATCGGTCCTCCATTACATAACACCAGAATATGATCAACTTGCCCAGCCGCATCTCGAATCTCCTGTACGAATTTCATAGATTGCTCCAATGGCCGACCACCTAACGCCCCGGTCGAGCCAGAAGTCGCCAGTCCCGCGTGCGCGACTACGGCAGCCGCGCCTGCCTTCGCCATTTTAGTCGCGTCCCCCGTATCGAATACATAACTTGTCACGAGCCCTTGCTTGTGGGCTTCTGCGATCAAATCCTTCCCAGTCTCCTCGAAATTCCGCCGGAATTGACCGTCGATCAACCCGACCGTGTTTAAGTTCTGTACGCCAACGAAGCCGATGCGCTCCATTTCGGGCGGGGGGGGAGGGGATGCGGGCATCTCACGGAAGAGATTGGTGCCACAGACTCCGGCTAGGACGGTGACCTTCTTCACAGCGGGGAGGACCTCTAGAGCCTGATTTGGTCTAGTATCTGCAATTTGGAAAAGTTCGGCTTGTCGTAGACACGTACTATTTTGATGAATCAGGATCACGCGGCCGCAGCCTGCCATGTGGGATCGGCCTGGGTTGTAGACCAGCATTAGATCAGCGCCGCTAGTCAATCGAGCTTTATTGACCACTTGTCCATGGAAGTATGTTCGTACCGGCCAGCTCTGACGATGATTGAGCCATCGGTAGTGTCTTCCAAAGTCGTGAGAGAACTTCTTCTCGGCTTGTCGGACGAGGCATATCAATACTCTCTCAGTCAGTAGTTGAGTTTGATTATTTCAATATCTCACAAGACATGGATTTAGATACTCAATATACAACCAAGCAAACTGAGGTGAGAATGGATTTGATCTGTGTTTTGGTCACTTTCTACCCCTTTCGGTGCTCTTCGAATTACAAAATTGTGCTTCCCTTGCATTTGGCCGTTGCTGTGCATGGACCTGGAGTTTGACAACTGGTTTGATTCGGCTACGTAGAAATGAAATTTATTCTTCTTTTGCCCTCATGAATAGACCTTATCTAACCATGTGAATTAATGTATCCTACAAACGGCATCTGGGGTGAAGAGTTTTAAGCGCTTACATATTTATGACCTCAGGAGCTTCATATGTGCAGGTGAGGTACAGTACATTATCCAACTGCTCTCAATAATTAATGCCGTCGTAATGTTACATAAGGTAACATTGAGTCCACTTTGCCAAATTTAAATAATTATTATGGCGTTGACCTCGTATTCAAATGGGTGAGATCCTTTGAACGTTCATAATGAAAAGTTCTCAGGTCAACCTCGGGTTGTTGGAGAGTATTTCATATCAATGGGTGTTAATCAGCTCCTGCCTAGTGCCCTTTCTGTATACACATGTACTAAGCTATTCCTTTCTTCAAGTAGTCTCGACTAGGACGGTTGAAAGATAGTCTCTAGCAGCACGAGGAGGTACCCCCAGGTTGCTAGAGTGGCCTCGATGCTTAAGGACACAATTTACTCCGCAAGCCAACTTGCTAGTGTGGAGTTCATAGGCTTCAGCTCTTTTATTCACTCTTACCAGCTGAAGAGCTGACTGCTTTGAGTTCAACTTGAAGAGAATGTCGAGATCTCAAATGTCCGTCGGCTCAGTAGCCCTCAGGTAGAAAGTGGGGTAATGGTACCAAGCAATTCAGGGTAGGACGTCACAATGTGCGACAGTCAATGGAAAAGTGAGCAGAGAGAAAAAATACATCCGCTTTGACACAGAACCACAATTGCCTGCCTCGTCTCACGGAGCCATGAGCGATTTGATTGACCACACCGTATTCAGCCCTCAAGTTGCGAAATCACAAGTTAACGCCGCTCAGCCTTAATGAGACCCTGCGTCGCTTTATGTTGCCCTATATTGTTAAGCTTACCTCAGTATTTGCATGAAAGCTTTTCTTAGCAGCCACTGGCATATGTTGAACTTAAATACGCTGTGACCTCTGACAAAGTACCCTATAGACAATCTTCAGAAGAAGCCAGTATGAAGTATACTATCATATTAACTATACTATGAGGCACTTGAGACATAGCGCAATGTATCTCCATTCTTGGGAATTAGTTGTAGAGAGCCCGTTTAGCCTTTCATCCGTACTGCATGTAATTGCACTACGCCACTTGACTATTTCTCCTCTGCTTATCCTACACTTCTTCAAAGTTGTTATTCAGTAATCTCTCCTTTCACACATGCACTCCTGTAGATGAATACGGACGCCATCTTCGTTATAGGCCTATTTAGATCATTCACCTCGTTTTTAGAGTTAAGTGCCGTTTCCTTCAGCTCTGCCAAAAATTGTCTCTGTCCAATCTTCATTGTCAAAGATCGGTAGAATTTGCCAACCTTTTGATCTATTTTTTCGAGCGTCAAGACAGATATCTATAAGAGAACGATGCCTGGCGTGCGTTAATCTAAGAGTAACCACTATTGACTCCTTTGAAAGACAGCTTCATATATATTCTTTTCAAACAAGAACATCACCCGTTAAATTGACTTCAGAATGACGGATCCTTCTCCTGCTAGCCTAGTTGCCCTCCTCACCAAACCACCCGCAACGTCTACCTCCCCACCAGAAGTGCCCAGCGGCACCGTATCACTGTTTGTGGACGACAACTGGTCCAGCACAAGATTGGACTTGTATATAGATGATTACGCGCCAAGCCAACGTCACACCTTCAAATCTTCTATGCTGGATGCAGCCACCTGGGTCGCGTTCAACTTGCCCATTGGCACAGTGATGACCTTAATGGATAATTATGTGTCAAATTCCGCAGGACAGTCGGTCGCCGATCTTAGTGACTGTGGCCGATGCGTCGACCTAGTCGGCACTGGAAACACAGAATCGCTTGATCTCTGGGCCATGCATATGAATGACATCGTTTCCTGCTTTTTCTGGCGGACGGTAGATCTCAACATGGGTGCCGTCGAGATGTTTGAGGATGTCGGCTTCAGTGGTGGCCGTACGACGATCTTCTTGAGCGAATGGAGCCCCGGTACTATTGTGAACGTCGAGAAGTGGTGGCTGCAAGACTCAATTTCCTCAGTCCGCTGGAAGACTCTCGATGACCGACAGGAGTTCACACTTTACGACAACTTCGACGGCACAGGGAACAGATACTCTAACATTAAGGGCTGGGGCAGAACCAAAGAACTCTCGGATCTAGGAGACGACGCCTCCTTCAACGATGAGATGAGCTCATTTAGCTGGATCGGCGTCAACCCAGTGAAAGAAATCATTGAGCCGTTCAACGTTGTGATAAGCAGCACATCTTCCTCATCCGGTCTAGTATCATCCATCTCCGGAACCAACAACAGCACGATACCGCAACCCGTCACTGTGACACTCACCAACACCGACGCCCAGACATTGACCATCACAACGACGGATCAACAGGTGCAATCCATCACTTCGACACAAACGATGTCAGAGAAAGCAGGAGTCCCTGGCGTGGATGAGGTCACGGCTACATGGGCGATAGCCCTTGCCTATAGCTACACGACGACTGATACCAAGTCAACCACGGATACGACGACTATTGCTCTGGCTATCTCGGAGACGGTCAATGCGCCACCAGAATCTTCTTATACGGCGACATTGCTGGTTAGTATTGGGAGGATACCTCCTACGGTTTATACAACCACCGCCCAGCGTTGGTATGCAGTTCCGGTGACAGGAGGCGTGGAAGATCCGACGAACAATAATTTTTACCTGCGAGTCGAACCGGTGTCAGTCTCTGTCAGTGGTAGTCTTGCAAGTAATACCACTATCAATATCGTATCGACGCCTTTGACTAGTTCTTAAAGCTGGTCAGGCCGGTCAGGTTCTTCGGTTCTCTTCCTGATACGGAAGCTCTCCGAGATAGATAGGTTTCATCTAGTTGTGTGATATACGGAGTACTCAACTAGCTTTTTCATTTGACCATCCTCAGAAAAGACATCCTCCATCATAAGTAAGTGCGTATCTAATGTAGAAGTGTATCTTGATATCAGTGGGACGGAGCTATCAATGTACTTACTTTCAGGGTAGAAAGTCAGTCAATAGGAGAGTCGTTGAAGAATGGACTTTTTTCCATTCTTTAAAGTGACCCACGCCTGTCAACAGACCACAAAATGATATTCTCGTTAGGCAAACTCCCCCATTTACCGTCAGCCCCCGAACTTCACGACAGGACCTGGAGTCCCGAGGCTTGAGTTGGCAAACATTGCCATCCAGGGACCCCAATCAACCCTCCTCCACGTCCCATACTCCGTATTCGTAGCCGAGATATCGCATATCCACTAAACATGCAGGGGCCAACCTATTAAATTCCCAAAGAGCCAGACTAATCTCCCAAGGACCAAGTAAAGGACATCTCGCTAAGTCTGCGTGGAGTTTGCTTAACCACATCCACCAACATGACGTTTCCGCTTACGCAGCCCGAGCAGATTCTGATGCACTAGCTTGTCCACCCTGCATCCGGTGGTTACCGTACAGACCCTCATTTCCGTGACATACAATAGTGCATTGTATTGACATTATTCCAGAAAAGAAAAAAAATGAAGCAATGACACTTATCACTAGTAGCGTTTCGGCGTGCCCGTAACAGAACAGACCCGTATCCTTGCCCATACATGCCCACAATACAGCCGGAACCTCACTTCGTGCATTACTCTAATGTACTGATACTCGGTACACATCCCCTGATAACGTTACCTAGCCACACTCTCCACTCATTATGGAAAAGCAACGTGGCGGATTCGTCCCCATCGCGCACGGATCAAAAGCAAGCTTCGTAAAACGCTTAGCTACTTCTCCCTCCCCCTCCACCTAGCCACCGAGCCGAGATGAACCTAGCTCGAGCTTCGATGTCTACGAATCCAGGCCTCGTCACCTCTCATCTTCTTACCACGGACATTCAGCGAGTATTGCTCCCCGCTCGACTCCACTTCGCGCTCTGTTCGGCCGGACCCTTTGTGTGCCGATCGAATGGGAGCGCAGCTGTGGTTTGGTGTGAGACGATTGTGGTTTTAATTATGGGCCCTGTATTATTTTCAAGGGTAAGTTATGCCGGACTTGAGTGCTAAGGCTTGGGATCTTTGTCTTTCGGGGGAGGACAGGTTTCTGGTCGAAGGATTTATGTGTAGGGTCCCAAGGGTGGGTGTTTACAGCTACTACGAGTGACATGGATGATATCCTGATGGGGAACTGTTAAATGATAATATTGAGTCCTGATCATGCTCTGAGCTTTGTATGCTTGATTCAGCGAGCAGGGGTCTGTTTTCCTTCGCACAATGGATGAAACTTCCAAGGAAGTTCGCGCCGAATTTTGTACTAATATGATTGATCCACTTTATCTGCGATATGATGTGTGTGTGGCGCTACCTGGACCTATCTGGCCTTCTTTAGATATCACTAAAAAATGATTCGTCCTTTGGCCAACTCAGCTGGCGCGGAGTATTTTGTTTAGATTATGCATAGTGATAGTGAACCTGCATTGATGAGTTTCTCATTTTGCTTTTTTTGGTCCTGGATTTGTTTGAATTACGGTTATACGGATACGGATAAGTGACCTGCATTGTACTGTACCCGTTCACTGTGGATGGGGCCTGTGGATCATCGTTCCAAGCGAGGATCAGGGCAGTGATTTTCATTGATTTTCATTGATATGTCAGCGGCCTTTTTCCTGCCGAGGTCTTGATCTGATATGTGGAGCTGGAGTGAACAAATATCCATATACGCGGCCAAACGACAACTGATGAAGCTTGAAAATTATCAAGGGCACTAAATTTATCAGGCAGATTGGAATGGGGACAGTACGCACTCGATTCCACCTTGAGGCGATTGTTTCATGCTATTATCATCGCTAGGAAGGTTATTATTATGACGAAGCATAGTGCGACATAGCGCATTGTTTATCTTGTTCCTTTCGGTATCCGGAACGGGTCTTCTACGGGTCATTAGCCGGATATACGAAGTAGCTACGAAGCTACCTAAGCTACGACGCACGCACGTGGTCAAAGCAAGAAGCATGGACCCAAACACCAGAAATAGATATTCCCGGGTCCAGAATCAAGATGAGATGACATGCGCCACAATGCGATCGCAGTCGTTGATGGAGTAACTAGGCAGCGGCATAAGTCGGGGGCATTTGTGATCGTCTGGAAGATAAAAGCTCCGGGAGAACGGGTGCCGGATCGTCTATGGAGTCGCCCGTTAGGTACCGAGCGAATCATCGTCAATAGTTCGGAACATTTTTGGAAATCAGGCAGCAACTGAAGAACTTGTGTGGCTGTGGAGCGTAAACATGAGGTCCAGAGTTCTCAAGTTGGTACGGATGGGGTTTACCACGTGTTTTCTGTTCCAAGGATTTCCAAACCCAAAATTACTCATTTAAATTTGTCCAAACTCGGTTCCTCAGGATTTTCATTTTCATTTTCTTAAATATCATTCGTCAGAAATTGTCACTGACTTGAGGTCTCTGGAAAACACCCTGATCCGAAAAGCAAGAAACCGGGATTTAATTTTACAAGCCACCAAGATCGTGTAGAAGATAGTGCAGAAAGGCCGCGTGGGCAGGCTTGAGCAGGTGCAGTAGTGGCATCCATCTGCAAATTAGCATCTCCATAGCACTAGTAGAGATAAGGGATGGTATTGAGGAGCTCGGTCACAATTGACGTCAGACTAGACTTAATACGGTAAGAGGGAGGGGCTGGCCACGAGTCCCTGCATTCAGGGTTAGAAAGAGGCGTATCATAACGATACTAGGGGTAAAGTAAAAAAAAAAAGGGTCCGCTAAGAGAAAGGAAAAAAATTTAAACCCTCAGAAACCACGCTAAAAGAGTCCCTGACAAGTCGAAAAGACATGTGGCGTAATCTTCCAAGACTTGGCCACGTACGAATCATGGACATGATGCGAGCACTAGTTGTACTAGTCAGGATAAGCACAGAAGTATAATCGCTGGATCGGGGCTAGTTCAGCCCAGTGGGGGGTTGATATACGTATACAGCATACGTATGCCCCGTCAAGCGTTGTTGTCGAGCAAATCATCTCTCGGCTTGACACACCCAATGGTCAGGTCTGGAATCAAATCTTTGATGGGGGCTTTTTTCCTTTCCTCCATCGCCACGAACCACATGACCCTTTTTGGTGTTCAGGGTCAAGATCGGGAGATGCAGAAGCTTGGCTAATCGGCTGCCATCCGTAGCTGGCTTACGCCATCGACGAAAGAACAGGCGTAATTGCTGGATACCTGATTGAGAGTAAAGATTCGATCAGCGAGTGTTCAGATATCTCAGGGCCCATATTATGATTGCACTCGGTAATTCCGACTACATGGCACTATGTATCCAGGAGTTAAATCCATACGCTGCTGACTTACGTACGCTGGGCGGAGAGTCCCCGCGCAGTTCACGGGGCGGGGCGGTGGACGCGTACGAGTACGAAAGCTGTACGGGCTAGATCTGCCCCTTGGACCCGTATTTTACTGTTTCTTCCTCTTTTATTTTTCCAAGATGTACGCAACTAGGGGACGTATACGCGATCCCCTTGTTATTGGCCTTATCTGCGTACGTCGCAGGTGTCGTAACTAACGGGATTGGAATCTCCTTCCCGGGAGAAAGCTCGATCAAAATGGATGTCGATCGGGCCAGATTCGAAGTGCACGTTTTTCCTTCGCAGTTGAGGATGAGCAATTAGACTTCTAAAAGCTCGGGATGGATAGCCTTGTAGATCATGGGTTGTTTTCAATACCGAATGGGGTTTTTTGGTATAAATTTGTTCCAGGGCCCTGCAGGACTAAGCACAACGGAAGGAGAATTAAATCGGGAAGATAGGGCTTCGCAAGCATCCAGTCTCTGGAGCCAATCCCCACCGCCTAAAACCTCGGAGCCGGAGGTGAACTCCCAATGAGGTTAAGTGAAGAGCGCAACATCATCACTTACGTACGTCACGGACTCCAGCGGCTCGCCCCCAACTGTATAAAAAATTCAATAGATTGTCTAGAAAAGGGGGTTTAGATGGTCTATGGGGTATAGCTATTGACAATAATATGATTTGTGCCGTGTTTAAAACGATTCCCGAGGCGGTAAAGTATGGGTAAAGAAAAGTCCCGATTAATCCAAAGAACGGAGTCCCTGCGCCGATTATCGTTCCCAGGGTCCATGGAACCAAGGGGAAAACACTTTCTGGGCCGTGTTTTCGAGTTTTTTTTTTTTTTTTCCTTCAAAAAAATTCTTTTCCGCAGTTTACCCGGGATTCACAACTTTTGTTTTTACGGCTTTGCTTGGCCCAACCGAAGCCCTAGTTGTAGAATCTATCAATCAGGTGAAGTCGGAATACCGGTGGACAAGCTTCGGAAATGTCAAATGTAGAATCTGTTATCTACCTTGAATTGAACGCACAAATCAAAAAGTAAAGTCAAAAGTAAAAAGCAGAAAAGCATATAAAATTAAAAATTACCCAAAGATCTTAAGCTGACGAGTCAATGTCCCCGCCAGGGTCGAGATGGGGCGGGCCGGAAGAAACGGAGCCAGAAACGGGTCTGCACAGAAACCGCCATAGTTCCAGGTGGATTAGGGGTCCTGTCGGCAGTGAATCCTCTTTAATTTAATTTCTCTTTTTTCTTTTCTTATTTTTTCCTCAACATACGTATGCTGTTTTCCCTTGTATTTCCTTAGCTCCACTCCACTTAAGTCCGCTTGGTATCCAACGTATCAAAATACGTGGAACTTCTGGGGGAGCCTCTCTTAACAGACCCTGGAAGCTTGGCTTTTACTGGTGCCATTATTTAGTATGTTTAGTACCTGAAATGGGACATGGCTTCGTAAATTTTGTGTTTTTCCTTTTCTTTTTCTTCTCCGATTCTACTGTATTCTTCATCCTTTCCCTTCTGGTTTGAATCTCTCTCAAACCATTCTTTCCTTTTGGTTATCTTGGGTCATCTCGCCTATCTATCAACATCTTCCCCTCCTTGCCACTCATCAACCTTCCATCATAGGCAACCAAAAGCCAACTCTATTTGCAACACAACAGTCGTGATATAAGAGAACCTTGACTTTTGATCTTGCTCCCGAGCTGGACACTTCTCTCGAAGACGGTAGCTAGTGATCAGTTCAAACGGTTTAAACGACCCAGCAATTGTGTATTTGATCACAGCCAAGATTCTCAGGCCGGTTTCCAACTGCCGTTAAGGATTGTGTTCCCCCACGTCGAATTTGGGAACAGCGGGAAAAAAAAAACAAAGACGAGAAAAGGAACCAGGTCTTCGACAAGAAAATAAGTCAAAACTCTCGTCACGGAGCACGAAAATCGGGATTCATTTACTCCGTCAACGACATTCGCCAACACGAGCTTCTCCCGGGTTATTTCGAAGGTTGGGATCGACATTTGTCACTTCTGGAGATCGTCTTGATTACGCTCTCTGTTCTTCGCCTCATTTGCGAACAAACAGGGACAGAGCACAGCTTCGACTCCTTTGGCCTTGTCAGGTCTGCAGCCCAGACTCCTTCTATAGGACCTAATGTTGTCGACGTGTTATACAACACAGAAGACAAACATCTTCCGCGAACCACTGGTATGTTTGCAATGGCCTGTTAGGGTTGCAACGGGAGGCACAGAGCCCCTCTCATTCCCTTGCTCTTGTCTTTCCACCCTCTCCCGTTGCAACTGTAATTTGTCAGATCCTCTCGAGTACCTAGGCCCGGCTGAGCGGGTAAACTGAAGGTGAAAATACTAATATAATTTTCAATCTAGTATAATTTTCCAGCCCGGGTGACCGTGTATCGGGACACGGAGGAAATGTCCGTCAGCAGCAGGGCAAACATTGTATCGATCCTCAACAATGACGACCACCCGTCGTTTGCGGTTCGATCCAACCCCAGAGTCGGGACTTTGAACTCGTCCGAGCCGCAGCACCAGCACCAGCGCCTCCCACCTGTCAGTAATTTGCACTCGCGCCCGCTCGCATCGTCCGAGTCCCCCACAGTCTCTCCCCGAGGCTATCGGCATCCATTAGATCCTGTGAACGAGGCGGTCCAGGCCGTCTCACCAGGCTCCTCCGATGGCTCCGCCTACGACTACATACTAAGCCAACCGTCATCAGTCGGTTATCACCCGTACGCCCGGCAGGACCTGCGACGGGACCCATACCGATATCCTTCTCGTGGGCCTGCCCCTCCGCGAACACCCCCCGAGATCCATTCTGCGCCACCATCAGAGAATAAATCCTCCCAGGGGACCGGCCAACGGGGCACCGGTCGAAAGAACAAGTATCCATGTCCATACCATTCGACCCATGGCTGCACGGCCACTTTTACCACATCAGGCCACGCTGCTCGCCATGGCAAGAAGCACACGGGCGAGAAGAGTGTCCACTGTCCCATCTGCAACAAGGCGTTCACTCGCAAGGATAATATGAAGCAACACATCCGTACGCACCGCACACACTCTGACGATATGCGCTCGACCACCTCCGAACCGGACGGTGAACAAAGATGGGCTTTGTCGAGACCTGATAGTGGTTATGCGACTGGTACTCATCATCGGACAGTTAGCCAGACCACCGATGGTTCTATGCCGCCTCCTAGCAGTGCACCTCGCCTACCTTAAAACGACTCGTGCAGAGCATCACCCAGTCCTACTCCCCGGCTGGCTGGCTCTTTATACCTTTCCATCACTTGCATCTACATACGGACTCTACTATTCCCTGACGAAACCAATCTTCCTACCCACTGCTGTGCAGTGTCCCTTCTCCTGTCTTGTCTCTGTAGCGCATTTTCTGCCCCGGAGTCTACTTGTTTTCATTCTCGAACATGCATAGCCAATCGGCTTTATCATTCTCGCACCACCCTGGTTACCTCACGAGACCGGGAGTGATCTGGTGACTGGAATAGGGGACAGACATCCCGGCGTCCAGATCTTGTGGGATGCGACTCAATACTGGCTATCTTGCTAGCTGTTTCTTTCTTTCTTTGTTTTATTTTTGCCTTCCTGTTGTATATCCCATGTAGCATTGCATCTGCTTCTATATTGTGTTATGAAATACCTGAATGGTTGGAACGTTGACCAACCCGTTGGAAGCGGCTATCTGAGTTGAGGGTTGTGACGTATTTTTGTATAGTACTTATCAAGGATCACCATGAATGGAATGACCGTGTGTGCGACCAGTTCTGGCTGCACCGAGCAACATAATCTTATTGATAATAGAGTGACAATCCAATGAAGTATAAGTCAATTACACGAATCTAGAATCTATTTCCTGGACAAATGGCGGGACCAGCCGAAGTTTGTTCCATGGAACGACTGTTGACGGGGGAATTTGCTTATACTTCTAATCGCATAGAACTTAGAAAATTATTCTTTTGCAACTAAATCATATAGCGAATAACTTTACTCTGGGACTCCAGGTCTATATGGTGGTCAATCCGTGGACTTTCTTTGCTTTGGCAAATTCCCTGTGGATTTGTTCCAGACGCGACATAACGGCAAGGCTTAGCCATTCCCCTTGGAGATAAATCAATGCACCATGACGTCGCGCACCGAAATAATAGCCCTGCCTTGTCAATGACAGGTCGATACTTAATCCACGGCATCATCCGAGCGGTCGCTTATTCGATGATAAAAAATTTCCTACATTTTCCTTGCATCTACGGCTAGAATTCTAAACGGTGGGACGACGTCATATCGGTCACACCATTTGTGTGATATTAATATATGAAGTGAGATCACTTTCTGAAAGTTACTTTGTCCCTTTCTAAGATTTCTGCCTTTTGAAGGTACACAAGGGAAAAAGTAAAGATTAATGGAATTAACTATCACAGCCTACAGTCTCTCAGCCACGCCAAGTTTGTCTCCAGCCTCAGTTGATCCCTGCTACGTCACGCCACCTGCCCCGCTATATTTCCTCACTTTCGGCTTATTGTGATCTCGTCACTCTTCTTCTCGTCCCTGTAAAAGGTGGCAAGTTTCGCACGACATTATTTTTTTGTTCGCCCTTGATAAACCGATAAACCGCTTTCCTGAGCGCCCCACGTGGAACCATGGCTTACTATGAGGAACACCGGTACCAGGCCCCGCGCGACCGTACCCGCCCAGTCAGCTACGCTCCAGACTATTATGACACCCCTCGCTATTCAAGGTACGAACGAGAAGTCTACCCTGATGGATCAGTCGAGGAAATTCAGCGCGATTATCCACCCGGCGAGGGGTATGTCTATGAGCGTGGTTACGACTCGAGGCGATCGCGGCGCCCGGTTTATGAGAATGTGCGCCGTGCTTCCTCTGTCAGTGGTGATCCGTATTACGATGGGTATCGCTCACGCGCTCAACCATCACGCCAATACGATGATCGTCGTAAGTAATTTCCTGCCCGTTTTTGATGAACAGGGAGGTTTTTTTGGCGCATTTTCTTACCTTTGCAGGCCCGCGCCGCTCTAGATACTCTCCATCGCCTAGCCCATCTCCACCCCGCCATAGACGCCGCAAGTCATTCAGTGAACAAGCAATGAGTGCCCTCGGTCTAGGAGCTGCCTCGTCCAGATACAGCAGTGACCGTGGCCGTGGTCGCGGATCATCTCGCCATCGCCGCTACTCCTCAGACTCTCGATCGCGTAGCCGCAGCCGCAGCCGCAGTCGTGATCGCGATCGCAAACACCGTGAACGCAGCCAAGGGCGTATTGCTCAAGCCGCTCGTGCCGCGCTCACAGCCGGTGCCGTTGAAGCCTTCCGGTCTCGCAAAGACCCCGGTGAATGGACTGGTGAAAAGGGCAAGCGGATCCTGACCGCTGCTGTCACGGCTGCTGGGACTGATGGTCTCGTTGACCGCGATCCCAACAAGCACAGCAAACGGCATGTGGTCGAGTCTACTTTGGCAGGTCTTGCCGCCAGTCATTTCATGAATGGAGGCCGATCTCAGTCCCGAGGCCGTAATTCCCGCGGTAGACGAAAGTCTAGCAGTGGCTTCAAAGACATAGCAGCCTCTGGTGCGCTCGCAGCTGCCGGCAAAGAAATCTATGACCGTATCTCTCGCTCCCGGTCTCGTCCTCGCGGACGAGGCTCATCCTCAGGTAGCGATGATGACCGACGCGGCACAAAGAAGCGCAGCAAGAGTGTCTCAGACTACCTCAACAAAGGCATGGCGGCCTTGGGTCTAGGCGAAGAAGGAAAGCGTGCAGACGAACGGCGCGAGAGCGGTGACCGGCGACGACACCGACACCGTGACTCCCGACGTCGCGATCGTTCCAACTCTTATTCCGACTCCGACGCAGATAGTGACTACCGAAGCAGCAGCAGCAGGGATCGGAGACGGGGCAGAGGCTCGAGAGATGTAGGTCGATATCGTTCCGTGGATGGAAGACTATCCCAACCCTTTTACCCCTATAACAATAGGAGATCGCTACCCACTAGCGCGCCGCGCGGAGAGTCCGGAGGCGACGGCGCAGCAACAACTAAAGCGATCGCCCAAAGGCATTCCAGTTCCGAGAGTGATTCTGACTTAGGTGACAGTGATGAGGAGAGAAAGAAACACAAGAAGATGCAGCGCGACATGCTGTTGACCGGTGGCTTGGCCACCGTGGCTACTGTGCACGCGGCACATAGTGTTTATGGAGGTATTCAGAAACGGAAGAAGCGAATGAAGGAACTGGAGGAGGGGAAGATCTCGCCAGAGGAGGCACACAAACGCAAGATCAAGGCCAATGCGTTGGACGCCTTCAGTGTCGGCTTAGCAGCGCTGGGTATCAAGGGGGCATATTCGGAGTGGAAGGAGGTTAACGAGAAGCGGAAGGAACATAAGCATTTCCAGGAAGAATGTTGCGAGCGGGCGAGGAAGAGGCATGAGAAACGGGCGCGCAGTCATGGCCCGCCTAGGCGGACTCGGTGGCCTGATGAGATTGAGTATCCACCCTCGAGGACTGCTTCGCTTGCCTATAACGAAACTTCGAGCGAACCTGCACGGATTTCTTATTAGTGCGTCCATCGTGGGTTCTTGATCTTGTTGTTTCGGGCTATGGAAATGATTGATGATTAATGATGTGATGAGTTTTTTTACTGTTATGCCGGGATAATCTTTCCTTTCTGACCGAGTGAATTCTATGACATCTTTCTTATACACCGTCTCCTAAGGTGTATTTTTCCACGGAGTTTCTACTATCCGAGTATGGATGATTCCATTCAAGGAAAAGATACTGGAATATGGGTGTATTGAATATTCCAATAGGTTCGTTGGATCAAGTACCTTGTGCTCATTGACATAGACGTAGTTGATCAGTGTCAAATAGTCCGAAGATAACCGAAATACGAAGGTATTCCCTCCAAGGTCCTACTCCAGATTCAATATTCGGCAGGTTGAGAGTCTACCGATGCCGATGTGGTTGACTAAGCTTGACCCCACCATTAGCTTAGGTGGGCTTAGTGGGTAAGTACCGGTACTTACATTTACATATTAGGTTGTGTGTGAAATTATGTACCAAAACAAACTCATGGGTCCCAGAAGTTTTTCTCCCCCTCCTCTAGGATCTGCAGTCCCCTCCCTTTTATTCTCTTCTCTTTCCCTCTTCTCTTCTTCTATCCTCCATACTTCTCCCCTTTTTTGGTTCGTTTCTAATCAATTCACATTTTCTTCCTTCATTCAATTCTTGCTAATACCTTGACCACAGTTTTCTAATTCACACATACAAAATGGCTGCCCCCGCTCACAAGTTCAAGGTCGCTGACATCGTATGTATTTTCTGTCCTCCATTGTCCAATTTCTTTTTATCAATCTGTCCTTTTCATGAACTAACTTGCTATTATTTAGTCCCTGGCTGCCTTCGGTCGCCGGGAGATCGAGCTCTCCGAGGTTGAGATGCCCGGTCTCATGGCCATCCGTGAGAAGTACGGTGCTGACCAGCCCCTGGCCGGTGCCCGTATCGCCGGTTGTCTCCACATGAGTATGTTTTTACCCAAGACCCTTGCAGAAAATTCGATCTGACTTTCTCTCTAGCCATCCAGACCGCCGTCCTCATCGAGACCCTCACCCACCTCGGTGCTGAGGTCACCTGGACTTCCTGCAACATCTTCTCCACCCAGGACCACGCCGCTGCTGCCATCGCCGCTGCCGGTGTCCCTGTCTTCGCCTGGAAGGGTGAGACCGAGGAGGAGTACGAGTGGTGTCTCGAGCAGCAGCTCTCCGCCTTCAAGGATGGCAAGAAGCTCAACCTTATCCTCGATGACGGTGGTGACCTCACCTCCCTTGTCCACAAGAAGTTCCCCGAGCAGCTCGAGGGCTGCTACGGTGTCTCCGAGGAGACCACCACCGGTGTCCACCACCTTTACCGCATGCTGAAGGAGGGTACCCTCAAGGTCCCTGCCATCAACGTCAACGACTGTGTCACCAAGTCCAAGTTCGACAACCTGTACGGCTGCCGTGAGTCCCTCATCGACGGTATCAAGCGTGCCACCGATGTCATGATCGCTGGTAAGATTGGTGTCGTTGCCGGTTACGGTGATGTCGGTAAGGGTTGTGCCCAGGCCCTTCACTCCATGGGTGCTCGCGTTCTCGTCACTGAGGTCGACCCCATCAACGCCCTCCAGGCCGCTGTCCAGGGTTTCGAGGTCGTCACCATGGATGAGGCTGCTTCCATCGGTCAGATCTTCGTTACCACCACTGGTTGCCGTGACATCCTTGTTGGCCGCCACTTCGAGGCCATGCGCAACGACGCTATCGTTTGCAACATTGGTCACTTCGACATTGAGATTGACGTTGCCTGGTTGAAGGCCAACGCTCAGTCCGTCCAGAACATCAAGCCCCAGGTCGACCGTTACCTCCTCAACGGCAAGCACATCATCCTTCTTGCTGAGGGTCGTCTTGTCAACCTGGGTTGTGCCACTGGTCACTCTTCCTTCGTCATGTCCTGCTCCTTCTCCAACCAGGTCCTTGCCCAGATCGCTCTGTTCAAGGCCGAGGACAAGGCTTTCAGCGAGAAGTACATTGAGTTCGGCAGCCTGGGCAAGAAGCCCGTTGGTGTCTACGTCCTCCCCAAGCAGCTCGACGAGCAGGTCGCTCGCTGCCACTTGGCTCACGTCAACGTCAAGCTGACTGAGCTCACCCCCGTCCAGGCTGAGTACCTCGGCCTTGAGGTCGCTGGTCCCTTCAAGCCCGAGATCTACCGCTACTAAGCGATACGCAACCACACTTTTCTCAACTTTCTGAGCAAAAGCTATGATTCCAATTGCGTCCGATATTCCATTTCCTTTTGAGATATAGATTTTCAACATGATTCGACGATGTTACGATTGGCATTCGGGATTCTTTATCAACTTAGAATTCCTCAGTGGTTGTCCTTCAACGGCATAAAAAGTGGTGCTCCACAAACCTGGGCTATGTGCTTATTTTCGATTTTACTGGCGTGGGTTTGGACCGGGATGGTCTTGCATTCAACACTGCGTACCGGATGGGTTTTTTTCTTGATACCTGAAATTGTGTCGCCTGAGCTGTAGTAGCTGGCGCGCTTCATTTTAAATGAAACATAATAATGCTGTGTGCAAATATTTGCCTCGTCTATTCCTTTTTGTAAACATGTAAAATGGATCTAATCTTTCGCCAAGTTGGGGTATGGGCCTGTTTCAAGATGCTTGCATGATATCCTTGCACCCGATGATGCAGATACAGGGTTCAGATCTGTTGCTATCCAGCTAGGCACCCGTTGAGGCATTCAATGTTCTTCGTACAACCGCCATCTTCGTTCCAAAGCATGCTGGTGCCTGCTCTTGGTTCTCTGTTCACTAAAGCCATCTAACATCTACGATCTATTATGATTGAATATGAAATTCAATATTCTCTGGACGGAGCTGGACTCGAGCCTCGGATGTCGTAATCCGCCTGAACTCACCGATCAAGTATGAGGACTTAAGAGGTACATATGGATAGCCTCATTTGCATCAACTAAGTCCGGAGAGGTATGAGCCTTGTTTCACTAAGTGCCCTCAAATGAAGTCAGCACGATAAACAAGCAGCAATCAAAATGAAGTGGATCATCGTAGACCAATACTAACTCCAACCAGGTGGATAGGTACTTTTTCAGCTTTTTCCGCCCCCAATCACTAATCTCCTAGACCCTTGTACAGTTCCATGTACGATGCCCTGAACGGAAATAACATGCCCGAGATACATTCGAATGTTCACTAAAGGATGTGTATGATCATACCTGGACATATATGTAGCATAATCCAGGCCGGAAATCCAATATCAATCTATTTTAAACCAATTTTTCCATCTTTTCGAGCCCAGCTTTATTCCTCTCGCACCAGGAAAAAGATGGAGATTGTCAACGCCAAGAGCTGAACCAGGATCGAACCAGGATCTGCTGCACTAAGCTTGCGAAAAGATTTGGATAAGAAACTATTTTTAACCCTGGTCACTGCTACCAAAACATGCTTCGCAGCGCCCTTGGAATTTTCCTCGATCGTGCCCATCATGGCTGAGTCGCGCGAGTCACAGCGCTCTTTACTACCCGAAGAGGATCTGGTTACAGTGCGACCGCACCAATCATGGAATCCACTTGGCCGATCCTCTCCAGAGCCCGACTTTGCCTATGCGCTGGGCCTTTACGATACTCCTGCGCGCGAGAGCTTCTCCGAGGAAGTCCTCCGTGAAGTAGGACTCGGTATCCACAACGATATCGGTGAAACACTTCCTGTGCGAGAGAATCGCGAGTCTTGTATTTCTGAACAGAGTCAGCCCAGTCAACCAACCACCCCCGGTTGGTTGAAAACGCCGCAGGAGACAGCCAGCTCGACCCCGCACCTTCCTAGTTGTCCCAGCCGAAGCCAAGTACTACAGAGGCGATTTGGATGGGTTCCAGTTTCAATTTTTGTTTTGGCATTCTATGCAACGGTGTTTTCCGGTGTATACCTCGTTGTCGCAATTTGGAAACCGCGATGGTCGAATGTTGGCAGTGGTGCGCCGCTCGCGGCATCCACGGCAAATTTGCTGTGCGCCTTCTTTGCAAAGACAATTGAATTGGCGTATGTTACGATCTGTGTCGCATTCTTAGGCCAAGTGCTCAGTCGACGGGCTATGACCACGGAATCGCGCGGGATCAGTATTGCGGATATGAGTATGCGGGGGTGGATCATGCAGCCGGGATCGATGCTGGTGCATTGGGAAACGCTGCGATATTCAGCGCTGACATTTCTGGGCCTTATTGCATTGGTCGCGTCATTGGTAGCGATGCTCTATACCACAGCCGCGGAGGCTTTGGGTAAGTGCCGACGCAGCGTAAAAGGGCAACAGAGGAGCTAATGATTTCGGCAGTATCACCAAAGCTGACACTTGGACCCCTTCAAAACACTATCCTATGGGGCAAAGTGGCTGCTGCCTTCGGCAACAACGTTTACCTTGGCGAGAATTGCCAGACACCAATCCCGGTCGCGATGGATTGGGCGAGAAACACAACCTGTCTCCAAATAGAACACGTAGGACAAGCCTACCACAACTATCAGCAATGGATTGGTACATGGGCCGAGTTAGTGGCTGGTGGTAATGAGACGTCAGACCAGCTGGCCCTTCGACCAGCACCGACTGGCTCCATCTGGGACAACACAACTGTCACCGGGACGTGGATTGAAAAACAGAACATAACCGAGTTGTCAGAGAAGCATAAGCGCATGGTGAACAACATTACAATGGCTTTTCCACATGGTGGTGTCCCTTTAGCAGCCATGGATGCCAAGAACAATCTTCGTCAGCCACAACAAGCTTCTGGCGAGGGAAAATACAATATTGAAGCCTCGGTTCCTTCCCCTGCAGTCAATGTGCTTTGTGTGGGCATGAACAAATCAGAGCTGTCCCCGATCGTTTATTCCTCATGGCCAAATGCGCACTTCAATGCGACCACCTGGAGCGTTGATGGAGCAGACGATGTCCCACGGACCCCATCGTGGCTCAATAGCACAGTTGTTGATTCTATCTTTGGCTTCGGTGAGAAGTACGGTCAAAGACCACCGGTATTTGGCACATACCCCGAAGAATATAACACCATCGTCAACACAACAGGCCTCTGGCCTACCAACGCAATCTATCTTCTCGGGAAGCCATCCGCAGCCTACCCAGAATACGTGATGTGCGCAATCCGGGCAAAATTAACAGGCGTCTGCTCGACCCGTTACAATGCAGAATCCAGCGGAGCTTTCCTCAGTACACACTGTGAGGATGAGTCAAATACCCTCCAATATAACCGCAAGGACCCTGCCTTCGTTGAGGGTTTTTGGTCCGGGGACTGGAAGAATGTTGCCAGCGAATGGGCTAACGCTTTGAGTCTCGGATCAGGCATTACAACTTCCGAGGCCAGTAACGAGCGCCTAATTATGCAGATGATGCCAGCATACAACAATATCACAGATACCTACAGCCTAAATCCCTCCCTACCATCAATTGGAGAGGCACTAGCCGTCATGGCCGGCTGCACGCTCATTCTCAGCACGCAGAATACTCCCTTTGTGCAAGGATGGAATTATACTAACACGACAAATGAAATGCTTGACACCCCCTTGTACCAGCATTTTGATGCAACTCTACAAGCAGTTGGATATGCCTCAGGAGGCACGGAGAAATGGCAAGGCGTATTTTATATCATCCTGATTTTTGCATTCGTTACGAGTGCCGTATGCCTGGTCTTCATGATTATCGAAGCCCGTGGACACCAAATCACGGACTTTACGGAACCACAAAATCTCTTTGCACTCGCCATGAATAGCCCACAGAGCTCCCTCCTTCGAGGTGCTTGTGGCTGTGGTCCTGTTGGACGCCAGATGAAGGAGCGCTGGTTCATTGGGATGCAGGAGAACGATGAGCATTATTATATTCGCGCAAAAGCAGATGAAGCCACTCCTGACGTGGCCTCAACGGGATACTCGAGGCTTGAACAGATGGAGACGGACGATTCGGGGCTTAAGTCTGTCAGCCCCGCTGTCAATGAATTTAGGAGGATTTCGAAGCGGAGCTCTTGGTTGGGGAAGTTTTATTAGTATTTCTGATGTCTATGTAATCCATCTTATTGACCTTTCCAGCTTTTTGACCTTTCATGTGATGTGAATATTCTTGCTGCACAGTGTGGATACTACATTCCAAGTGTTGGTTATACCTAATTTGTACTTGATGATTGCGATTTTAGATCCGAATATACCGTTTGAATTTCGAAGCCATATGTTTCCAATACTATGCATAACAGATTTTCCAATTTCAAAGTCCATGGTTTAAGCCTCATTTCCCATTCTCTTGATTAACCACTCCGGAATACTGGGCTTTTGCTCCCACATAGACTTCCAGCCTCGAGACCTGGTAGGCAACGCATAAATTGCAGAAACAAACCAACTCTCTTGACCAGCAGCCACATCGACAGCCAACGAGGGTAGTAATGTACGGCCGTGGATTAAATTCGAGTTTGGATCTGCAAGCACAATTCGCCCAGAGCGCCCAACTTCGGAATTGAAAAGCTCAGTAATTCCCACAGCACCAACTGAAGAAACTACCAAAGCACTGCTACCACTGAGCACCGTACCTTCATTCTCCTTACTATCCTCCAACGTCCCCAACATCCTCCCATTATCACTTCGGCATCCATAAATCGCGAAAGCGCCTTCAGATGTCTTCAACGCACGTCCAGTCCGCACACGATGCGCCCGCAGATGCCAATTCGGGGTTTCCGTAGACGGCGGAACGAGAATCGTCTCCACATCCACATCATCCCAAGGCTTCCACCCCGAAACAAGAATAGGAGTCCCATCCGCACCTTCCGGAAACTCGAATCGAGCATCAATTGCTACTCGTCTCGTCTTCCACACCTCGCCAGCGGCATCATCACACAACGCAATCATACTATCAGGGGCATACTGCTCCAACTCATAGGCGCCCGTTGGAACCGAGTACCCAAACGCAGCGCTATACGCGAATTTTCCATATTTTGCCTGTGTTCCCCGCATGGCATAGTGACACGCCTGTCCCGATGAGAGCAAAAACGAGTGTCCACCCCGTCGGACGATGATATGTTTCGGGTACGTGAGTGCCTTGATCTCTGGTAGTGCGTTCGGGTACTCCTCTTCTTGTTCAGCCCAGAAGGGATGAGAGTCTGGGAGAGCGAGCGCCAAGAAAGAGAGGCAGCACCAGTAGGGAGAGCCCGGTGAGTTATAGTTCTCAGTTAGGTATGGATTTGCATAGCAGAAGCCCAGATTTAGTGTCCCGTCACTGTTGAAGATGTCTTCTTTTGTAGACCACCATCGGAAGTTGCGGAGTAGGAGACCTTTGACCATGCCCCAGGTTAATTGGGGAGGAAGATCCACATCAGCGTAGGCTAATGCACCCCAGAAACCGGCCATTGCGAACCGGTATGTCATTGAGCGACCGAAGGGGATTGCGCTGCCTGGATCAAATTAATTTTGCATAATCAAAAGATATAGATCTGGACCTACCATCGGAAGCGAAGTAGTGCACAAAATCCAAAGCGAATTCCTTTGAACGCTGTCGATATCGCTCTGCACGCTCGGGATCAAAGTCTCCCGCCAGCTTCGCATACAGCAGCTGTAGAAATTGAATAGCGAATGAACCAGAGTAATAATCCATCTGATGATGACTCTTAGGTCCATCGTTGCTCCACCCTCCACCAACATGAAACGTATCTAGATGATCCATATCCGCCTCAATACGCGAGTGAGAGTACTCGGCACCATTAGTCTTTAATCCCAGATTAGCGAAAACCCGGAACCAGAGCCTATCATAAACCCATTAGCATCGGCATCACAGATAATCATATTCCGAATATTACAAACCAGTTAGTATTCGGCATCTCCAACCCATTAATACTTCTCAACCACCCACCGACATTACTTCTCTCCTTTTCACTAAGCGGTTCCCAAAAAACATGCGGCGCAACAGCTAGTGCAAATCCAAGCGGACACATCTCCACCATTCGCTGATCGGAATTCTCCAAATCACCCCAATACTCGGGACTAGCTGGATCACAGCCATTGATAATGCCTGTTCGCCAGCGTGTAGCTTCGGTGTAGTCATAGTCTCCTGCTAATAGGGATGCAAGGCCCCATAGTGGACGGGCGAAGCCTTCGAATTGTGCGCCACCCTCATCGAAGCGGGTTGCTGTGGAGCCAATTTTAACGCGGGTTTGATCGGGTGTGAAAAGGGGGAGGAGGGGGTTTAAAATAGATGTACAGGCTGATTGAAAGTCTTTTTTTGTTTTGAAGGGGTTGGTGCTGAAGGGTTGGGTGGGTGTTTTGCCGTTGGCGTGGAGGGACATTGCTTGAGAACTGTGTACTTCAAATGTTTAAGTCGTTTTCAGATCAAGTGCAATGGTTTTAGTTTGATGGATCGATTGCGGGGTTCTATATAGGAGATATGATTTTGATTTAGCCGATCATTTTGCCGGAACATGGGGGATTAACTATAGTGTGGGGGTATCAGTATCGGCTTAGTCGCCGACGTCAGGGGATAAAGACAGGATTGCAAATTTATTGGCCAAGTCAATTGCTTGTTTTGGTCTAGCTGAGAACTAGAGCTCTTGTTTGGTGTGTAGCTACTTCCAATGATAAATTTCCCTTTACCCGGCCAAGACTCTTTGCCCCCCATATATCTCGGACTGCATAGGAGCGATCAGATGACAGCCCCAGGACACTCGACAACGTAACCTTTACAGTAGTCACATCTGTCATCTCACTGAGAACCAATATCAAGACCCTCCCACCGGTCAATGGACCAGCCCACACCTGCGTACTTCTGTCAGTGCTCAAATCTGGAAGATACCTCACAGCTTCACCAAGAGAGTCCTGCGAGATAGCAATGAATTCTTTGTTTTTCAACACCTCAAGACTCTCATCCGCGAGGGTTTGCAATTATCAGAGGGGATTTCAAAGCAGCCCAAAATGTCATGTGTGTTTGTTGTTCGTGCAAGGTCATGTTCCCGTTGCCAATCTCCAGCATGTCCATATCAGCCCACGCCCCAGGCTTCTGGAATGGGCTGAGCTCTCTCATTTTTCGAATGATTGTCAGCAAGCTGCAGCCAGCGTAGCCAACATCCATACGGTATGCTGTTTTACACTGTCCACTCCGTTAGTACCGTTAGTACCTGGTCTATCAATTTGAAGGAACGAACTCACAGCGCAGTCTTTTCCAGTATCACTAAAACATATGTGATATCCCCGGACATCCGATATGATTGGCTGATCTCTGATATGGATGTTTTATTAGTGGTAATACACGAGAACAGACCAACTTTGATCGATACTAACCGTCCGCCCAGTACCAGGGAAACTGATGTCCCCATTGGCAGATAGAATAGAAGATACTCCGACCAGTGCCTCTTAGTGCATCTCTCATTGCGCAAACTGAGCCTGAGGGCTTTCAGTATTCGCTTCGAATCCTCCACAATTGTCGTATTTCAGATAGTCCACACCCCACTCGGCATAGGTTGCAGCATCGAGCTACTCGTAGCCCCAGGAACCCGGATAGAATCCACAGTCATATATTATGTCTAGGTTAGTTTGAAATTCAATAAATGGCTGGAGATGTTTTCTTGATTTACCCGGCGTCGCTGTAGATCCCTGGTTTTAGCCCTTTTCCATGCACGAAATCGGCAATCCCGGCCACTCCATCCGGAAACTTTCTCCGAGGTTCTTTACACCATATAGCACGTCCTCCTCAACGTTTAGTTGTAGATGCTCGACCGTGCCAACCATACTACCAACGATAGACCATGAGGAAGGGCCGCGACCCCGGCCAATCTATTAAAGTTAGTCCCGTAAAAGAGCGAAATCAAGGATTCAATGCTCACAGTTTCAAATGCAATGATAACCAAGGCCTGTAGATTGTCCACAGAAAAAGTCTCTGTACTATCAAGGATCACCTTCTGTCGGCTTTTCTCTGCAATTTTAGATTTTGTTTCCTCATCCTGTAGAAGTTCATTCCGGCAAAAACGAATACAGACAGCAATTATCGCATGAAGAACGCATGTGATTCGTGGACGCTCCTCTGCCAGCTGCATACGCTGCCGGAAATTTTCCATATGAAGGATTGGGATCCAGGGGTGGATACTGATACAGTAGAGATCAACCAGCTCGCTCATGATCGCGGCCGGTAAAATTCCGGTTGAGTCGCTACTAGGATTGACAAGAAGAGAAGGTGAATCCACAAGGTCAACGCGTGGTCGCTTGACTGGATGCACATCCGATTCCTCAGCTGGCCGCTTTGTGTCAGTTATTTCAGACCCAACCGAGAGCAAAGCCGATTTGAGTTCTTCTCGTCGCTTCTCTAGGTCTGGACTTGAGGATGGTCGCTTGAGTGATTTGGGAGCGCGGCGTTGGGACACAATGTTTGCCACATCTGCTGCCAGATCATCTCTTGGCCGAGGAACATGTTCTCCAGCGTTCGTCGACAGAGTTGGTCAACCGCGCCTGCACGAAGACCTGGCTTCATGTTCCGATCGTCGTAAACACAAGAGACATTAAAACGTATGCATTGCGAGCAGGGTTGAGCACGATTGCACTTGGCCTTCTTCTTGCGACATAACTGGCAAGCCGGGATATCCTCGTCCGGTTTAGATGTCTCCTGCTGTTCATTATCATTGGTCTCGGTGGCAGTGGCACTTGGGCCATTGTTGGATTTTGGCGCCATCGTGAGATCTCGAATGCGGGGGTTTCTGCCAGAGGATAGAATGGCGCATAGCGTGGAATTCGACGCACTCCTAAGTGTATGAAGCTCAACGTAAGGGCTGAAATGACAAATCTCCCCGCAGTGATCATGAGATTTCGACTGGGGAAACCCCGAGGCCCCATTAGGTTACGACAAGCTTGACGCATGTACGCGCATGCTTTCAAACTTTCTGCATAAATGTGGGGTTATGGAGTTAATCAATAACTGGGCACCGTTCAACACAGTGTAAGAAGACCGGAGGAAAGGCTGGAGACTCCGACATTCAATCCACACGGGTTTTCACCCAACTGGGCGCGTGCAAGGGTTTACAAGGGGAAGATCCAAGTCGAAGCTACAAATGCAAGGGGAATTAGGAGTCAAGTTAATAGAGGCAACCAAGTACCATAAATTGAAAGGAAATATGTACAGCGCAAAAACCAGTCAACCAAAGCTCAATCAGCACGAGAGCAAGATAGTCAACTAGAACACGCAGGTATAGACAATAGGGAAGGAGAAACTGTGACCGCTAAAATAGTGCTCGCACACAGAGGCAAAAGACGGGATAAATGCAAGGGAGATGCAAGAAGAAGATGCGACCGACAAGGAAACTTTTACAAGACACCAACAACCAATACGCCATGCAAGGAACGAACAAGGATAAGACCAGGGAGAAAGAGATGGCAGAGAAGGTTTGAGAGAATGTAGATCAGATGGAAGGAGTGTAGAGATGATATTGGTGCAGAAATGCTCAGCGTTCAGCATGGAGGTTGAGCCAGCTCATATCTGAATTGTAGGTTCCGGACGGTGCAAGCTCATCAATATTATCCGGTACGATGACGCTGGATTTTCGGGCATTGGATTGGCGTGCATAGGATTGCGAGTTTGTCGCCGGAAGGTTTGTGTTGCTTGCACCGTAGTAACTGTTGCTGTAATTGCTGCTGGTCGGGCGTCCTAGCCAGCTGCTGTGAGCTGCTCCAGTCCAGTTTGTATCGTGCGGGTCATCGTCCGAGCAAATGCTGACCGAATCGGCACTTGAAATTCGCGCGGATTGACTTTCGGGGATGACTAGGCTACGCCCAGTATGCCCTCCGACTTCTGTTGTGGGACTTCCACTATTGACTTGGCCGAGTGGCTTTGGTTTATCGAGGAATCCGAAATCTAATGGAGCAAGGTTGGACATGGGCCACGCGCTGCTACCACGGTAATCTGATTTAGTGTATGTGGAGCTGATAGTGGAGCGATCTCCAGCAAAATTCGACGCGCGATTGTCATCAAAGTATTTGCCCCATCCCTCATCGGTGGTTCGATCTCCAGGCTTGTTTCCAGGGCTGGAGATGGCCTCGACAGCGGAAGCGATGGCGGCAGACCGGTCTGAATCGTCCGAGTACATACTTGATGGGGCTAATCCACTAGACGGGATAGGTGATAAACTCTGTTTGCCCAATCCATATCCATAAGTCTGGTTGGGGGCCCTCAAGGCTTTCTCTCCAGCATACTTGCCCGATATGATAGCAAGGGAATCATCCGACATAGAGGCGACAGGAACAGGGCTCTTTGCCATCGGGTAGGCTCTTTCGGCCAAGGGTTCTATGCCCTGGTCTTGGAAACTGAGGCGGTCTTTGCCGGCTTCCTTTCCTTTGCCTGTTGGATTTTGCTTCTCCCTTGTGCGGCGGAGGAAAATGAGAATGGCAACCAGGATGACGATGGCACCACATACTCCGCCAAGAGTGGCACCAATGATCACGCCGACACGTTCACCGGAATCGCCGGAGGCAGCAGCAGTAGCAGTAGGGGATGAAGATGGAGTGGTCGAAACTGTGGAAAATGTGGAAGAGGCCATCGCAGTGGATGTACTAGATGAAGTAGTGGTTGTGTGTAAAACCTTCTGCGTACCACTACCGTAAAACAACTCCGTTGTATTGATCCAGCTATTGGCCGTTTGATTGAAGATGGACACCGAATTGTTTCCGCTGCCGCTGGTGATGACAACCAGGTTATCACTGCTTTGGGCAATTGCGTAATCGGATCGTGACGTGGTTGGGGCATTCTTGCTGTCATACGAGGGATAGTTGCTTAAACTCCGCTTTGAGGAGGATCCTACAACAGTGGCTGCCTGAGCAATTCCATCCTTGATAATTTCGTAGCTGGTGATCGTATTCGGCGACGCTTCCAAGTCAAAGTCTTCCAAGATCTTGTTCCCATCGTCATCGCTCAGGATGGCGAAGCGGCCGGTTTCTGACGCGAGCTCGCTTGAAACCGTAGCTCCAGAAGCTACCCAACCCATACTTCCATTTGAAAAGATGTAAACATCTGTCGTGGACGAATAGCCACCAATCAAGGCGATTGTTGATTCGTTCCAGTTTAGAAGCATCGGGTCAAGTGCTGCGGGGGCACCCTGATTGCTCATCGAGTCTACCGTATAGGGATATGTAGTGTATATCAGATAGGTCGATTGCGAAGCGCCGCTGTAGCCTTGCTCCCCGCCATACATCAGAATAGTACCTGCATCCTCGAAGTAGCCGACGCCATGGCCCAGCCGATCAGTATAGGGGGACGAGCCAGAAGCCAAATTCAACCATTCCTGGTCCTGATATGAATACCGCTGTAGTCCAAAGTAGGATGAGTTGCCGGTCCCGCCGACTACGTAGAATGCCAGGTCGTCTTTATTGCCGTCAATCGCGGCAGTGACACATGCGGCGCCAGTAACGTTCATGCCCGGTGGTAAAGTGCTCCAAGAAGTTGTGTTTTGTGCCAGCGAAAGTGACGCAAATCCATACGGAGAATAGACGTAGAGAGTGTTGTTGTAGACTGCGGAGCAATGCCCGTCCAAGCTCATAGGGGGTTCAGGCACAGTCATGTTGAAGAGATCGATGATACCAGACCAGAAGAAAAGAATGCGGGAGACCAGCCGGCAAGGTCAGTCAGGCCAAATGATAGAGAATGAACGATGACTACCAGAGCACTATCTCATCACGGCCGGTGGGGGGGGGCTTTTAGGAGCAATATGCCAGCATCCGGGAGATCTGCTTCGCAAGAATGTGTCGGGATCGGTTCCGAAGATGCGGAGCTGGTATGCGGGAGAAGCGGGAGAAGACCACGCTGAGCCGATGATGCAGGATTTTGGCCAAAGAAAAGGAATAACTCGAGGTTGAGAAGTGAATCGCGATATCGAACGAAGGTGGGAAAGGTCGGGAGGCTGGTCAAGTCGAGTCCGACGTGTCGGACAAGGAGCGAGCGAATTTCGACACGTCGCGAAAGAATGAAGCTGAAGAAGTAAAAAAGACAAGACAAGACAAGACAAGACAAACAACTGAAGGGACGAAGTGCACAGCACGCAGGGCAAAGTGAGACAAGGACCCCCCTTAGAGCCAAAGTTGGGAAAAGATCCCCTTAACGGGGCCCAATCATGACGAAATGGACTAGTCGTAATTTCCCCTTTAACCTATATAACTTGATTTTTAATTGATATTTTTGATTCTGTCTATCGTCGGACATCCAAATTGATTTATTTCTTTACCTATTCTGTAGTCTGTACGCCGAACTGATTCTTGTTCTGCTGTGTTTTGCGACCTCCTGAGTGGGTCTTGACCGAAAACCTGCACCTCTACGGAGCCCATCCTCGGCTACTATGCATGTCTCCACCTAAGCACGATGGAGGTTGGGAGCATAGTCAAGTGAACAGGACAAAGTGTATGGAGTACGGAGTATAACTTCCCTGTTATATGCAAGGAGCAACAAACAAGTAAACGACCAGGAGCCAAACGAACCACCCAAAACCACCCAACAAACCCCTTTTTCCCGGTGGAGAAAAGTAAACCATGGAATCACACTTGGCTCGTGCGCGTGCAACGGAATCAAACCGGTATAGAATGCCTCTTGTATGGAGTAAGTCCTTGGAAGGTTTTTTATTCTTTTCGGTCGGTTTCATATAGATAGGATCAAATCATAGTTATCCTAGCATCTCACCATCAAACTGTCTAACCAACCTAGGTTAAACTAGCGTGGGATTAAAATGAATCACCCCAACTTAGCGCTTTTCGGCTCCAGATTAAACGGTCGCATTGGATAGATGTAGGGTTTGGCCTGTGCGTTTATGTGCAGGTACAGAACACAGCTGACTTGGGGGCCTTAAAATAGCTGGCTTATTCTACAATCTAAATATTGACAAATGCTGTCCAGAGGATGGGAAATAAAGACAGGTAGAGGTGGATATTAATAACACAGAATGGGTGCGAGGGGTGCGATGGCCCCGCTCTACGCCTGGCCACTTTGTTTCCACTGGTGCGCCTTTTGGAGGAGCCGCGAGAGATTCGCCGCTGATTGGTCGTCCGCCGGGAACACGTAGTCCATGTACTCCTCGTACCGATCGTCCTCCAACTTGCGGCGTTTCTTGACCCGCCGCGGCATCTGCTTCTCGATCTTCTCGATGTCTTCCGGCGAGCCGTAGGTGTTTTCGAATGAACGCCAAGCATTGAGTAACTCCACACGCTAAAGAAATATTAATATCGTTGGTGAGAAAGTTAGACCAGTGATCACATACCTCTTCCTTCATATCCTTGTCCTTCAACACCTTGTGCGCCCGAGTGAAGATGCCACGAGCACGGCGCTTGGCTTCGTCGCTGACAGGTCGTTCCTCCTCCTCCTCTTCCTCCTCCCCATCCTCAGGTATGTTGACCTCGAATCGAGCGTAGTTGATCCACACCTTCACATGGTCGGTCTTCGAAAGGAGGCGCTCGTACAGCGCCCGAACACGCTCGTACTCTTCTTCTTCCTCCTCGAATTCGATGTAGGACTTCCATACCAGTTCAGGCATATCCAGCATCGGCTGGTCAATACCCAGCTCGTAGAGAGCCCGCGCCCGGTCCTGGTCATCCAGCCCACGTTCAAGCTCGGCATACTGGATCCAAGATTGGCTGTTGGCTGGGTTCCATTCGATCTGCTTCTCGTACAAGGTTCGGCATCGGACGAACTCGAAAAGTTGCCGCTCCAATTCGATGTAGCCTCGGAAAAGCTTGTCCTTGGGACAAGCGCCAATTGCCATACCTAATGTTTTCCGCGCTGTTTGCAACTCCATCTGTCGGATCTCGAATTGCGCTTTCAGCAACCAGACCTTGGCAAATGTGAATTTTTTGTGAGGGATCAGCTTTATGCATTCCTGGTAGATCTGACGCGCACGCTCGGTATCCTTGGCTTCCATTTCTTCCCATATGGCGTAGAAGATCCAGAGGTAGATATACCGGCGCCAGTGTCGCTTTTCTTGTGATGGAGGGATCTGTGCAATTGCTCGTTCGTAGACGTCTCGTACTCGCTCAGGATCGCCGGCCGTTTCCTCGAGTCGTGCAAAATCAACCCAAATGTCGTAATTGCGGGCGTTCTCCTTGAGCTGCTCCTCATATTGGACCCGGCGCTTGGACAAGATGACATCCTCTACACCTTCACGATCACCAAACTGCTTCTCAAAGGTAGTGTATGCCTTATGCAAGACCATGGATTTTGACCGTGGCAGGCGATCAAGGGCATATTTGTAAATCGCACGAGCACGCTCAAACTCCTTCAGCTTAGCTTCGAACTTAGCGTACGCCACAAAGAGCTTCTCATCCATAAAGTCCTCTCCCAGTGTCTCAATCGCAAGACCGTACACCTCTCGAACCAAATCGCTGGTTCCATACTCTTCTTCAAAACGAGCCCATTTGATCCAATTCTTTGGCTCGGGGTGCACAATCGTAAAGCGCTGGAAGATTGCGCGCGCTCTGTCAAACTCATTATAACGCTTCTCCAGCTTAATGTAGGCACCCCACGCTCCCTCTTCGGGCTCCCATGACATCCATCGCTCAAACACCTGTCGAGTACCAGGGATGTTTCCGAGGGTCTCCTCCATGTAAACATATTTGTACCACAGCTTATCAATACGGGGAAGGATCGTCACGGCGCGGTCGAGAAGATTACGTGCGTGGTTGATGTTGCGGGTTTTCATCTCAGCCTCAATATACCGGATCCACAAGACGACGGAGGTCGAGTCGACATCCAGAGCGCGCTCGAAGATTGATCGCGCACGCCGAAATTCCTTCTGCTCCAATTCCCAGGCTGCATAGCGCATCCAGTTGTTCATGTTAATGCGGTTTCGACGCACATAGTCCTCGAATTCCTTGCGCTTGCGGCCCTGGTACTCATGGAGCTCTTCAAGGTCGGCGAAGCGCTGTGTCGGGGCCTGAAGGCCAGGCTCTTGCCGGTCCACGGCCTCGCGGAGCAGCTGCTCCGCTGAGATCTGGATCGGCGCGGGAGCCTTGTTTTTGACCCGTGGAGGGCCTCGGGACGCCTCCATGATGAAAAGTTATAGGTATCGAGCTTGGTGGAGAGGTCGAAATGATAGTTGGAGGATGGTCGGGTATGAAGTTTGGTGGGTGAAGTTGAGCAGCGTGTCTGCAAAGAGAAAGTAGAAAAAAAACGAGTCAATATGAGTCACGGATCTTATCGTCTCTCATAAAGGCCCACAATGGCCAGGTGAAGATGTTGTAAATATTACGATCCGTCAATGAAACGCGGATTGAAATCATTGAATCTGCACTTCTGTCTGATTTCGCCACCCGTACTAGCTCTTGTGACTAAGCCACAGCTCACTTCCGCTTCATCGCTAATAATTAATTCTAGTGAAACTTGACATCTTCAAAGGCCCCGGTGGCACCAGGGAATCCAATCTTTAATCTCAAATACCTATCACTCACCAAAAACTCCCGAAACCAACGCCATCATGTCGACCGCGGAAGAACTTATGCGCGACTTTGAGGATGATGAGGAAGATTTCCAGCATGACGAAGATCTCGACGACCAAGAGCAGGAAGATGAGCCAGAAGCCCCCAAAGATGGCGCCGAAGTGACCAACGAGTTTGATCGCTCAATAACAACTGGTGATGAACTTACTCGACTACACAAAGTCCTGCGCGACCACTACTCTATCCGATTCCCCGAACTCGAAACCCTCGTCACGAGCCCTATCAAGTATGCGAAAACCGTGGCAATTCTCAAAAATGGCCCCTTCGATGATATTAAAGCCCTCTCAAACTCTGCAGACAACTTGGTGGGAGATTCGCTCAAGTCTGTACTGGATGGCCCGTCTCTTATGGTTGTCGCGGTGGAAGGAACCAGCACCCGTGGCCGCGAGATGACCGATGCAGAATTGAAGATGGTCATGGATACTTGCGAAAAGATCATTACTCTCGATCGCGAACGCACAGCTCTCACAGAGAGTATTCGGTCTCGTGTGCATCAGATTGCCCCCAATCTAGCGACACTTATAGGCGCTCAAACTGCTGCCCAGTTTCTTAACCAGACCGGTGGCTTGCTCGATCTGGCGAAAATTCCCGCATGCAATTTGGGCGCACAAGGATCGAGAAGACAAGATGGATTGGGATTTGCTACGAACCATGGTGTGCGGTCACAAGGCTTCCTGTACGACTCGCCGCTCATCCAAGAGGTTCCCAATGATCTGAAAAAGCAAGCTATCCGAATTGTCTCCGCAAAGATGGTTCTCGCAACTCGTGCCGACGTTTCGGGCTATGTCAAGGATGGATCCTTCGGCGAGGAACTGAAGGAACAATGTTTCAAGCGACTGGAGAAACTGACCGAGGCTGCACCTAATGCTTCAACCAAGGCCCTTCCAGCTCCGGATGATAAGCCATCCCGGAAGCGCGGTGGACGACGTGCACGCAAGGCCAAGGAGGCTATCGCCATGACCGAGATGCGCAAGGCCCAGAACCGGGTTGCTTTCGGCAAGGAGGAAGCAGAAGTCGGATATGGTACCGGCGAAGGCACTGTCGGTTTGGGTATGCTTGGTCAACAAAATGATGGACGCATTCGTGCTACACAAATCGACCAGCGAACCCGTGCCAAACTCAGCAAGAACAACAAGGGCTGGGGTGGATCGACTCCCGCCGGTGGGACCGCTTCCTCATTACGTGGCTTCGGCCAGGGAGGCATGAGTGGAACTGCGAGCGTTCTCCAGTCCAAGGGTCTTCGCAGCTCAGGTGTGGGTACTTCGTTAGGCGGCGGCTCGGCCGGTACTGCTAGTACCATTGCATTCACTCCTGTCCAGGGTCTTGAGCTTGTTGATCCTAAGGTGCAAGCCGAACTCAGTCGGAAGCGCAAAGCCGAAGAAGACCGTTGGTTCAACTCCGGTACATTCACACAGGTTGGCGGCGGCCAAAGCAACCACCAATCTAAGGAAAAGGATGGATTCAAGGTGCCGGCTCTTCCGCTCAAGAAGAAGGTGGATACTGGGGAGGGCAAGATGGGCCCACCTGCTAAACCATAGCTGCATCCGTTTATTGATGTATTTGTTTATCGCGGGTCTGCATTCGGGCGGCGTTCAAGAACGGTATATGACCAGGGTGGCTGGCTCTTTCATTTTAACCTCGTGATACCAATTTTTGTTTAGTCAACGGTCATAGCCAATCACAAAATACTCAAAGATCAACTTTGAATTATATCAATCTACCCCAGATTTGTTTGCTCTCTCGTCCCATCCTTCATCAAGGACATTGAACCTTGGAATGCTTTAATATATATTTTCCCTAACTTCCTTGTAAAATGTTGAGGTTACAGTCCGAGTCTGGATATCATAGCACTATGTACATATATATAGAGGCTGACCGCCTCCTGAGATATACAATGCGGACCCTTAAAACGTCAAGTCACCGAACCGTGGTTGAGAAATGAAAATTTTGTTCTAGAATTCACGCGGACCAAACTTCAATATTAGGTAAAATCGGCAATTCATAAAAAAGGAGATCGGTAAATCGGATGAAATTTTAAGGTTTGCATGAAAAACGTGGAGCGCCAATGTTCAGTTTTCATGAAACGCAGGTTCATTAACAAATATCAGGTACAGGCCGCAAGTTTTAAATCACTTGATTGAAATTGGTCAATTGAATTTGTGTGATAACCTTGAAAATTGAACCCAAACTTTGGTGGTGGCACATGAATGGCGTGCTTATGCCGAGTTCTTCAGCCGTTCTTTCGCAATCTGGGGGAATGTGGCACCAAATAGAGAAACATGGTAGCGGTGCGCAGGGCTTGCGTGATTAGTTTCAATGAGAATAAAATTCTGTCGTATCCTTGGAAAGGTAATTTTTTTTCTCTTTGTCCGTCAACATTTTACGACTTTGCATAGACTATCGCCAACCAAACAGCCTGATAGTATATCCATTTACATTTTTCGTCTCTACTGCAGCAAATCTCTCATATACATCCGGTCCAAGCATGGCGATAGAAGTAGCTGCCCCGACAATAAGCAGCATATCAAGGAAACATGGCCAGGGTAAAGAATCAGGTCCCCCGCCGACTCTGAACCGGCTTCTCCGCCATGATCTGGTGACTACAGAATTCGACGAGTTGAAGTTCCAAGCTGCAGCATCTCTACAATTCAAATTGGGTGACGGGGACATTCAATTTAAATCTTCAGACCTTGACTCTCGCCTCATCGTCTCACCATACAATGCACCACCTCATCTCCTGGATTTAAACAGCCTGGACACGCAAAGCCGGCTCTTTTCATTGGCATTAGCATACTTCACACCTACCCGGGAAGATTATGCCACGGCAGAATATCTGGACTCGTTCAATTGGACTGAAGTCTTTGATATCCTGAAGACATTCTCCGAAGCAGAAGGTCACACTTGGACTACACAAATCTTCTACGTTGTGGCGTTCCGGTCCGTACTCAAACCGGGTGTTGACAATGATCATCTGCATGAGTTGGATGCGTACTCGCACCAGGAAGCGACCGCTAGTGGTGGACTATTGAAGTATTGGTTTGGTACGAAGAATGAGAAGCGGCAAAACCTGGCAACTTGTAAGGGATTCTCTGGATCTGAATCATTTGACAATAGCTAATATTGTGAACAGGTATTTGGCGGAATCGGAATGACGCTAGGTTAGGGGGTCGGGGGCCATGGCATGCAAAGGCTAGGGCGGCTGGAAGAGAATTGTATGAAGAGATCGTGTTTTCGACTATGAAGTTGGTCATTGAGGATGGCGTGTCGTCTTGGAGGATGAGTGAATGGACGAGTGAAGACGAGGCATGAAGGCATTTGAAAACTTAGCGCTCATTGACTGGAGTTTTTTCTTATTTCCTATTAACATGAATATACATTTGTCATTCAGCATGAGAACCGATAGTAAGCAGTATTTTCCATATAATTGCACTGAGAATTATGCAAGGGCTATTACAATCATTTGCTTATCAGTAACCCTGCTTAACTACACTTATGCCCGTCGTACGGCAGATTGGAAATCCTGCAATCATAGAAAGTCCACGGGAGATCGGCCATGGGAGCGATAAAAAGGTAGTGTATCTACGTAGCAAAGAGTGTCTGTGTTGGTTTTTCCCCGCGACAACAGAAAAGAGAAAAATTTCCCGCAAGTGGAGCGACAATCCTAATCCTAATCCAGCACACTTCCCCGCAATCAAAGCGGGGATAATTACCCTTCTAGCTTCGATCCAGGCTTCAAACAGCCCAAGAAACATTCCATGAAGTCACAAGTCCCACCGAATGTCCAACATGCTGTTACATGCGGGGAACAGCTGACAATCGTAGTAATCTGGTTGGACGCTTCATTTGAAATGTTGATTTGACCCGCAACCGCGGGGATCTAAAAGCTTTATCATAAACGTGTGGTTATAAATTCGGACCATATCCCACTGGGAACTAATGTTTCCTTACCTCATCTTATCAATATACCCATCACTTACAGTCTCTTAATCTGCAAAGCCAAAATGGTTGCCATCCAAGTGGACCGCCTTGAAGTCGTCGATGGTCCCTTGAATTCGGAGAATGCAGCTCTCCTCCGGCCCTCAGATCCCACAATGCCCCTCGAAGAACTGAGAAAAAGATTCGAAGAAGATGGCTATCTGTTTCTGAAGCAGATTCTTCCGCGGAAAGACGTCCTTGAAGCCCGCAACGCATACTTCTCATCCCTCAAGTCCACCGGTGTCCTGAAGCCGGGCACCGAGCCCGTAGAGGGCATTTTCGACCCAGCCAAGACCCAAGAAGAATACCCCGGAATTGGAGCTGGGCAGGCCGTTGGAAATGGAAGACCGGGTGGTGAAAAGGCCGCGGCATTCGTGGATCTCGCCCTCGATGCTCACTACCAGGAATGGTATGCCGAGAAGTTCTGCAAGCATCCCGCTCTGTATGACTTTATTGCTCGATTCTCGGGCTGGAACAAGAACACACTTGGCTTCCGTCGCACGCTGCTCAGAAATAACATTCCTGGCTCGAAGCCCATTGGCGTGCATTATGACCAGATTTTCTTGAGACATGGTGATCCAACCAGTATCACTGCCTGGGTTCCAATAGGCGACATCAAGTTAAATGGCGGGGGGCTGATATATCTCGAGAATGGTATGTTGAGGCATCGCTTATAATTGCCGTGACAGTACATACTGATCTGAATCATAGGTGATAGCATCGGGGTTGAGAGGGAGAAAGAGTTTTACAGGACGGCAAAAGAAGCCGGGCTAAGTGATGAGGAAGCTAAAAATGCCTTTAATTCTAATATGATGGCAACGGGCTTGCTTTCGGAATTCCCGGCGCAATTTGCTCGGGATCATGATCGGCGTTGGTTGGTCTCGGCCTACGAGGCTGGAGACGTTGTCTTGCATAAGCCTCATATGGTATTTTCCCTTTTTTGCTGAAGTAGCCGCGTCTAATTATGAGGTTGTAGATCCATGCATCGTGCATCAACCATGATCCCGACAATGTGATTCGTCTCGCGACTGATCTTCGATTCTGTGACTCGTCGAAGCCATTTGATAAGGTATGCTCTGTGGTGAAAAGTGGTTTCCTCCAAGTGCCTCTGCTAACTATAGTTCAGCGGTGGATGAATCACTATACATTCAATGACGGAGTTTAGATAAATGTATGCCGTGGGGTTGTAATATTTATAAGCTTTACTGGAATATAGTGATCTTTATGTCTTGAATACCGCTGAAAATTGTGAAATTTCAAGTACTACGAAGAACAAGAAAGCAGTTGGGAGCAGTGGCACTCAGAAAGAGGAACGACAGATGAGGCTGAACAGGGCTGCTTGAGCGATGTATCTCAATCATACCGGGAGAGATCTGATCTGAAAAAGGGTTCGCTCGATTCAAGAACAAGACAAACAACCGACCCGCCATTCCTCTCTTGGCAGGGGCACATCATCTCAGGAAAGTATTCTTTATCCTTTTCAAATTTACTTGGCATTGTCATTGTAATCTAGTGGATCATCTAATTGGTCTTCACCAGCCTTCGGAATGTCAACTCCAGGGATCAACATTGCGCACGGACACCCCTAGCTTCACGAAGTGTCTCCCAAGAAACCAGATTAACCAGGAAACAAGCCAATATTTTTTTCCTGCAAGAGATGGCTTGCAAAGGCGTCTCAGGAAAGTTAATCTACAGATAAACGTTATGGAACAAGATGAGGCTTGAGGTTAGTTTGATAAAATATGCGGAATTTGTATACCAAGTTCCTACATAGTGTACCCAACCTCCATTCCACCCAGCCACAACAAGTTAAGACCCCCAGAAACAAGATATATGAATCATAGGTGCCCTGGCGGGTCCATGACGAGTTTCGAAATTGTAAATCCTTTTGTGCATCTACTACCCCTTTGCGCGGCAGCAACCATATTTGTTGTCTCAAACCATCAGCCTTACAATCAATTTCAAGCATCAACAGCTATTCAATATGTTGCCCCCTACATGCAGGTCTTGGGCAGTCGCAATGGCCACAGCCCTCTTGGCAGTGACTGTTTGCGCGATCCCGATCCACGAATCAAAGAGCGACACTCAAAACGAACGAGCACCGATGATCCAGCCTCGCGACCCGGTAAATGACCCAACAAGCTATACTGAAAACCCTTCAACTAATTAACAGCAGAGAATAATCCCTGATACTACGGACTACCTTAACGATATGCTGGATATTCTGGGCTTGGACTCGGTACTACTCCCATCACCGACTCCACCTGCGGAGACCCCAGCCGCAACAAAGGGCGTCGAGCAAGAAGTAATCGCAACACCCACAGCGACTCCTGCCATGGCCTCGATGAATTTGACACCTTCCCCAACCTGGAATGTAGAGCAGGTGACCTATTCGACGACAATCAAGACCGAGAATATCAAGCCGATTGAGAATATCCAGATTGGAGCAGGCTGGAAGGGCTCCAACCACATCCAAGCTTCTGACGTGCCTTTCATCATGAACGCTGTTTACTCGGCCCTTGCGGATCGATTCAATGACGTGGTTGATAGCTCTGATGAGGTCGGTCTTGAGAAATGATCTTTTTCCATGGTATTCTGGTAATATGATGTTAAGTGTCTTTGCTATGGCATCTTCAAAACACGGAGAGGATGATGGATTGGAAGAATTGTATAATGTACCCTGTAATGATTCCCTAGCTCTACAAATGTATAACTACTTGGTGATTTTTATTGGTGCCGGTCATACTTCTAAAACCTACCTGTTGCTATTCCTTTATACACCACTTTTTCGGGCGAACTTGGTTCTCTGGGTTGATTCTTTTGATGGTTTATGCTTGAATCTAAACCTCGAATATTTGCAACAGCCATTTCTTGAAGTAAATAAAACTGCGGATGTTTCAGACGAATGGAAGAAAGGCCGAAAATAGACCAAAATAGAGATTTGCTTTTGTCCACTTGTTGATGCTATGAAATACGCTGCAAACACCAGACCAGCGACCCAGTGGGGTACCAACATTTCACCCTCTAGCGAGCTCCTTCAATTTATCATTTCTCGTTTCTCGTCTCTCGTAATTCTCCCACTTCTTTTCTTCTCTTTCACGAATGGTTCGTGTGTGACTGTATTCAAGAGTCCAACCCTTCTCCAGTGATCCGCCGACCCTCAACAAACAATTTGAATACAATCTGTGCACTGAAATCCAATTTAAGAACATGAATTCACCTAAAATGCCACTCGGTTATTTGAGACATGTTGGTCACAAATTCAAGCAGAACTTTGTTCGACCAAGGTCTTTGATCGGTGCGCAGTCAAATAGATTCGCCCAGAAAGTGATCTTGAGGCAAAGTTCTCACTCTTCCAGGGTATCCAGCGATCAAGTTCACAAGAAAGTTACCATCAACACTCTCGACCGTCTTTACCAAAAAGGTGAGCCGATCACAGTGCTCACAGCCCACGACTTTCCAAGCGCTAGCGTTGCCGACGCTGTGGGGATTGAGGTGGTGTTGGTTGGAGACAGCTTGGCGATGGTCGCCATGGGAATGGAAGATACAAATGAAGTGACAATGGAAGAAATGTTGCTCCATTGTCGGAGCGTTTCTCGGGCTGTCAAGAGTGCCCTCGTTGTAAGTTATTTCTCCAGCCCGTACGTATTGTGTATTCCACAAACTGACGACCGAATCTTGGGCTCCTACAGATAGCAGATCTACCCATGGGCTCATATGAATCGTCCCCTGAAGAGGCAGTTCGGTCGGCCATTCGAATGGTGAAAGAAGGTCATGTGAGTGCGGTGAAGCTTGAGGGAGGCAAGGAAATGGCCCCAACAATCCGGAAGATCTCACAAATGGGCATTCCCGTCATGGCCCATGTTGGCCTGACTCCTCAGCGACAGCACTCTACCGGCGGTTTTAGAGTCCAGGGAAAAACCATCGCCGGGGCAGTCAAGCTATTAAAGGATGCCCTTGCCGTCCAGGAGGCTGGCGCTTTCATGATTTTGATAGAAGCAGTTCCTCCTGAGGTGGCTGCAATGGTGACGCAGAAACTCCGAGTTCCAACGATCGGAATCGGGGCAGGAGCAAACTGTTCAGGTCAGGTTCTGGTACAAGTTGATATGACCGGAAATTTTCAACCAGGGACTTTTACGCCTAAATTCGTGAAACGGTACGCTGATGTTTGGGGAGAAGCCTTTCGAGGAATTGATGCATTTAAAAAGGAAGTGAAGGACAGGACTTTCCCTGCAGAGGAACATACTTACTCGATTCCAAAAGACGCCTTAGAGGGGTTTCAAAAGTATGTCAAGGAGGAATCCTCGGAAACCTAGTGGCTCCGAATATTGAAGTTGTCAGATCAAGCAAAATAGCCTATATACGGTGACTCCTGTTCCAACCTAGCGCCATGATACCGAAATACCACCAATGGTTTCAGGACAATCCATACTTCATTTGATCGAAATATATAGAAATAGATATCATTACCGAATAATTAATTATCGAAAGAGCCATAATTCCGGAACTAGATATTGGCCAAAACAAAGAAGTGAGGATAGCAGTGAAGGTCACTGCCTGAAGGTGCAATACACTTACCCCACAAGCGGGCAAGCTCAGAGACTCTGGACTTGGTATTCACATGTCTTATCAGACAAGAGAATAATCAATCACAGCCAAGCCGAGGTCATATTCGGGCCGCTCAGGTAGACATTGATTTGCATAGCTTGAAGCTTGCCGTTGTAGTACTGAAGAACTTCCATAGTATCCCCGGTAGCGCCGAAGGGAGACAGCAACGGAATTTCACCTGTGGCTTCCATCTCCTTCATCCACACCACCTGCGCTTCCTGCGGTGTAGTCATAGTATCCGGAATGAAAGCAGAGACGTTCGAGTAGGGATAGACGATGCCCGGGATATTGCCACTAGTAATGACAAAGCCCAGGTCCTCATCGACAACCAGGGCCGTTCGTGCATTCGCATCAGTTGGGTGGCTGGAAGGCCAAGTGCAACTGAGCGGGGTGGTGGAACCGTTTCCATTTGTCCCTGCATCGACTACCTTCCAGCCGAGTTCGGTGAATTCGCAATCGTCACCGACATCAACTGTGAAATTGCTAGTCGATGAGAAGAGGGCATCGCTTAGCTGCCACAGTGTTTCGCGGCTCGCCTTCGTTCGATTTGCCGGCGGGTACATCAATACCCCGTAGTTTGCTGGAAGTTCCGCGGCCGAATAAGAAAAGCCGTGGTCCCCACGGTTGCGGTTCATGAATAGTTCCAATTCGGTGATTAGTCGGTCGACCACTTTGATTCGACACCGAAGGACTGTTTTTATCTCGCTGTTGCCCTCGCTGACGTCCAGGGCAAAGTAGGCCGTGCCGTTCGTTGTGTCGATTGCCAGCAGACTGGGGGCGCCGGCTTCGGTGATGGTACGCCAGGCTGTCATCATGGTAACTGCTGCTGGGTGCGAGTTTTCAGTGGCCTTGTAAACCTGGGCCAGGGGTAACATGAATGGGTTGTGTACCACCATGGAATCTATGATACCCGTGACGATGTTTGTCATGCACTGTCTGTTGCAAGTGCTGCTCAACGAAGTCGAACTCCTGGGCATCAAAGCGCCTGAAGGAGCGTTTCGAGGCACACTTAGAGCTTCTCCACCCATTGGGGACACCGCCACCGCGATGCCCATCGACAAGCGAAGCAACCAATATAGACTCAGAATGTGCATTGTGATCTTTGGCTGAAATTCCTCTGAAAACGTTGTAACCAGGCTTCTGAAGTTGTGCACTATTTAAATAGAGTGAGCTGGTATTAAAATTAGCGGAAGGAAAAGCCCACACTTTATACCTCATTCTGCAGACTAGGCCACGCGTACTCCTGGCCGACCATTGCATGGTTCTGCAGTCTTGTGTATGCCGGAAACAAGGTAAATGACTATGCCAAGAGCAAGACAAGCAGTAGTGGACTACCTTGAACATTATTTGAGCAGACAATTTGTGCCGGCATCAAGGTCGGCTCCACGCCCGGCTCCACACTGTTGTATGGTAAGATCTACCGTCCCCGGCAAGCCAGGAGAAAGACCCACATAGTCTACTTCATCATTTATTATCTTTCAATTAAATAAGATCTGACATGCATACGGTATTGATCGTGGAATTGTCCGTTATCTCATAAGCATTGAATAGTGGTTCAAGGGAGGTATGCATGGAATTGGTGCATCAACAACTGGGGCTGCTGTAATAAGTCATTTCCTTTATTTTAAAAGCTTCAGAAGCCAACAGATACACCCTTCACGTAAAAAGCTTCGTTTTGGAGTAACATTATAGAAGAGTAATATTACAATCAATAGTCACCCAGGAATGAAACTACGCCATAGTAATTTCGGAAGCGTAAAAACCGCGCCCTCCTCAAAATGCGGTTTAGCGCGAATAACCATGAAAAGAGGCGATCAAAATATGCTATATTCGACAACTCAATTCGGGCCCTCCTCAAAATGCGGTTTAGCTCATTCAAGTGGCTTAAAATTATGCTAATGTCGACACCTCGGGCCCTCCTCAAAATACGGTTTAGCGTGTGAAGATTAGTGTTTGACGATGCGGGGTATGTAAAGTCCGGGGTAATGACTCTGCCTCCTATCTTTCTCTTCATCTTCATGATGAAGACAATAATGATATCTGGAAGTTCAACTTCACGTTGAGGGAGTCTAAAATTTTGATTCTCGTAGATAAATGACCTATCTCCAGCCGCAGAGGCTCCAGGGTATATGATTGCCAAGCTCGAGCAATATCTGAATATTGGCGTTTTCCACTGTACTGAAAAGTCCAGAGGAATTCAAGGTATCAGGTTGACTAGCTCCCATAAATTTTGTCTGAAGCGTGTCACAATCTGTCGTCATGTCGACGGCGTCAGCATGTCGATCGATAATGTGTCAAACTATAACCAGTTTTCGAGTGCTGCTCAGCGTTTTGACATCCTTCCCCCCAAGCTTCCTTTCTTGGATATTGAACCCTTGCGCATCTGATAATTCACTATCCTGCCACCTGTCTAATTGAAGGTCAAAGGGTACGGTGGATGAGGGCTTGATGTGGTCTCCGGTAGTTCGGAGCGGCCATCAGTTAATATGATTCTCATCCATCCCGTCATCTAATTTCAATGTACCTGGCGTTCTGCAAGTATCTGATGATTGCACTATAATTATTTTAATGTAGTACCTGTCATTCTTGCCAAAGAAGTCTAGATCAGCAACTCTCGTAGCAGTCAATGGTTGTGAATGGAATCATGCAAGGGGAAAGTAGAACAACCCTGTCGGCCTACACATGTGACAGGTAGCTTAAGTGTTCCAATGGTGTGAAAAAAAAGAAAGAAAGTCCGAACTTCGAAGTACAATGAATGCCAGTGATCCTCCTGCCTCAGGCATTTTTCTTTTCTGAATGGCCTGTTTCACATTCGCACTCAGTCTTTCCGACTCCTCCTTCGTCTTATCCGTTGATCGTCTTCACTCTTCCACAATACTTGAATTTTGCATTGACTGTCACTTTATGCAGGCTACACTTTATATGTTAACGAAAGCCATGTTACATAAAATTAATTTATTGGTGCTCTTAAGTCTTCTTCCAGGACCGTCCATCTGCTAATCGACCCCTGTGCCAAAGATGAAGTCTAAAAATTCGAGTGATAGACTTCTCGAATTGTTGCGCTTTTTGAAGGTAGTTCTACCATTATCTAGCTCTCTTAATGTTGTTGGAGAGCCATTCGAGACCTTCGGGAAGACCATCGCCGCTGGTGGCGCAGGCGGATTGAATATACTTGGCTGATTGTCAGCAGCTTTTACGGCAATGAGGCTCCGTAAGTGAACATTGGACTTACCCATTTGTTTTGTCTCACATTTTGAAGATCGAAGCTATTATAAATCTCCACGGTGCTCATTGCATCCTAAGACCATATCAACTCATGTTTCAAACAGCATTGGGAACCACTTACGGCCACATCCTGCTTGTTAGCAACGACCAGGAGCAAAGCTTTTTTTAGCTCATCCTCCTGCAACAGAAACTCCAGCTCCACACGTGCTTCGTATATACGAGGATCGTTGGAATCAACCACGAATATGATGCCTTCTGTGTTGTGGAAATAGTTCCTCCCCAACGAGCGGATCTCTTTTCGTACATCCATGTTCCATGCAGTGAATGTAATGTTCTTGTGTTCGATTTTCTTCACGCTGAACCCTGGGCATTCAATTAGTCTTTTGAAAAATTGATGTGCAGGGCACTAATACCGGGTATGGGAAAGGTGGTTGTTATGGCGTCACTTTTCAGCTGTTGGAGAATTGTGGTCTTTCCGGCACCCTCGAGCCCGACAATTATAATCCGTGTTTCCTTCTCATTCCCCATGTTATCAAGAAGTCTTGAGATGGTCATACCCATTGCGAAGTAGATAGACAGTAAATTTCTTATCGAATGGTCAAAATTTCTGAGTGAATAATCGGAGGTGGCTGGAGATAGACAATTATCAAGAGTAGGTTCCGGGAATTTGGTGGACTGGAACAATAAATCTCAATGAAATGCAGATTTAGATAAATGTAAGAACTAGGTGCGAGAGGACGAATGTGATGATATCTAGGCGATTTAATGATATTTCCTGTAATCGGGACATGTAATGCAGGGCGAAAATTGTTAGCGTGATTGCGTCTGACCTTAGCATGTGGAAGAAGGTGGAGCTAGATGATTATAGTGGTCACAGGCGATAGGCCTGGGCTGTACGTTTTCTATTACAAATACTAGCTTCAGATAGAACTCAGTGTTCTCCACCTGAAATTTCCATATGCAGGTGACAATTTTCCATTTTGGAGCTTTAGGGCGAGCGGGGCCTCTGGAGCTTTTTGGGGAGTTATGAAGCGAGAGCAGTCATTGGGATCACGCCTTTGGGGGTTTGGACCTAAATTCTTGAATCAGTAGCGCAAATTTGTACTGTTTTGTTCAAATTTTCCTTTTTATTTCTCAGCTAGCTATGTTTAATATGCAAAACAATACAAAGAAATTAAATCAACTGATTCGATACCCAGACTTTGAACAAATTAGGAATGAATCTCCTTCCGATATCGTTCACCTCGATTTCAGGACCATGTTCAAGTAGTTCGTTGCGTCGGAACATCTGGATGGTGTTCAAGCTTTCTGAAAATAATACCCAGATGTTAGCCTTGCCTCTAAATGAGAACCCACATAATATTTGCGGAACTGATAACGAGCCTTTTGACGGGTATCACACCCAGAGAACACATTTTCATAGGGTCTGAATATGTAAGGCTCCTTCCGAAGAAGCACTTTTTTATTTTTGTTGGTCAAACCCCTGATACTGCCTAATACATGTGTGTTGTGAACCACTTCTTGGATCGGATCCAGAATCATACTGACTTCCTGATTCGCAGGACTGACTAACAGAGGGTCATGCATATCCCTCTCTAGCCTGTATTCCTCTCTCAAGGCTGAGACTTCCTTGTCCACTGTAGTTTCTGCAGGGTCATATGGGGACTTGTGGCGCGCAACTTCGTCATCGGTCCCTGATTGACAGGTTTCCGCCCTGTCTGGCCTGAGAAGCTGCCTTTCAAGAAATTCAGAAGATTCATTGTCCGGTTTTGTGTTGGTAGAGGAATACTGTATAATTCGTGGGGGGTTCAGCTTGGTAGCGTAGGTTATGGTGGTTGCGAGTACCCGGGGGTGGAAAGTCTGAAGACCTTTCATGTTGAGAACTGGGTCATTTGGATAGTTCAAATGGAGTGGTCAAAAGAAACTTGCTCTGCTTGAAATCTGGGCGTAGTTTCTAGTGTGAACAAGAAGTTCTTGTCGTCGAAAGCTCCATATAAGGTTGCACCATCTATGACATCACGATCTCCAGAAGTACCAATGCGCTTGTTACTTTTCGACAATGGAATTTCTAGATTCTATTGGTTATGGGATTGGAGGATGATGGTTTTCATTCTCGTGTTACGTAAAAAAGCGACGAAATCATTGGCTTAGGTGGCGTGATGTCCCAAAATACTCCATCAATCCAAGGATTTGTGCCACAATACCATCCAATTAAAAATATGTAAAGTAGCCAACTTTCCATGATTGTCCTGGAAGTAATTTGTAGTACATTTTTTGTAGTACATATTCCCATCAACTTCAATTTTTCTGTCCATAGTAGCCTGAGTATGTGTTTCCAGTTCAGAAAGCTGGTTCTCCATTCGCGCCAAACACCCGTTTTCCGTGCCGGACTCTTTTCATTCTGAGAAAAAGTAGCCAAAGGTATTTGCGAGCTTTATCTGCCTAGCGGAGTGTTATTTTACCATTATAAAAATTTGATTCAAGTGAGATATCAGTCGCTCTTGTCACAGGTCTGGGTAGGCTTTTTTTTACAAAGCGAAATCCCATTTCATAAGTACCTCAGAGTTATTACGAGCTAAAATGTGCACGCAGATCTCAGACACATTTGCTATGGGCCGTACTCTTTCAAATTTTCAGAGCTAGAGCCGAGCTCTTTCAATGCTCTCTGGTGGTCTTCGATGAGAAAGGAATATGTACCACGAAGATGAAGAGCTCTTTTTCCTGCATATTTGGGTCAGATACTTCTCCAGTCGGGATGAATCAGCTCGGAGTAGGACTGCGAATGCCCAGGTCAATGTTTTCTACAAATGTTCTTGAAGTCCAGGCTATTCCAACTGACCGAACTTGACGAATGCCATGCTACTCAAAGCACTGGTTGCAGCAACTTCCAAGGGTTGTGATATACCAATGACGCACAACATCTGATTTTTCGCTCTTCTAAACCACTTCGAGATCATTTGGATCTGTACACTACGTTCTTGTACTCATACAGAGTACCCCGCATTGGTCATTCCATAATCATAAAAAATCAAAGCAATTTGCAATTCGATGTTCAACCCACAAGCTCTACTGGCCTTGATTGAAAATGACGAGAAACTCCAGTGGCCCCACTGATACATGCCTTGTAGGTATCCCAGCGCACTTCCCCTCGCTCGACTCATCACATTACTAAATCATGAAAATCGGTACCAATCATATGAAGTATCGGCCTTGGTGATCGGGGTCCCATCGGGTGATCGGGCGATCAGGATGCGCTGGCAGGGTGGGGATCCACCAGCACCCAGCTGAGCCTCTGACAACTGGTCTAATGGCAACAGAGCCGAGGCCAATTAGCGTTCCCTCCGCCTTGATGCCTCAAAAATAAGGTGTCTATCATATTACAAATACCACGTGCTATCCACGTTCACGCCACACCGACTGTCAGAGTCACGTGATCCAGACGAGTATTTGGAAGACTTTAACCTCGCGAATCGTCATTCGCCATCTCCACGTCCACTTCCCCACTTCTCGAAAAATCATTCCAAATAACTCAATGTTTTGACTCGAGCCAGGGAGGGGGATTATCGTATTCCACTGCGCAAAATACTCGGCAAAATAAATTTTCATGCCAATACGCACTTGACAAATACCGTGCTAAGTGGCTTGCATCACAATGCTGGCATGAAACACCCTTGCAACTTATCCTTGAATTTCTGTATACGCTTTCGTCCTGACGATTCGTCGGTCTCGGCCTTTTGGTTTACAAATACCCCAGGTGTACTCGGTACATTCAAGAATGTGAACTATGTGTGGAGCATCAGCCATTCCCCGGCGGATCCTTTCGGCAAATCAGCAATGATTTGGAATTCGGAAGCTTTTTTAATATACGGCCAATGTCAGCAGGCATAGAAGGATGGAAGCCCACTTGGGAAGATAAAAAGCTTCTGTAGCCTCCTCATTTCCCAAATTATCTTCTTTGTTGATTTTCCCTGGGTATAAACACCACTTGAAGATCCAGACTCTGTGCATTATTACCCGAAGAACGATGGATACCAATCAGTGCGGAGTCCTCCACCCAAATGAAAAGGTTACTCATTGGATGAATGGTATTGGGTCAGCCAGGTACGCTTTGGAACCTGGTGAAATCATCCGCTCTATCCGTACTCACAATCGACTAGAAACGAAGATGCCCAAAAACACGCTAGACAAGCTCAGAACTACAAAGACCTGATCGGGGAGCTTTTTAAATCCAACGAGTCACACTATCAGCGATCTGCATTATGCGTTGATAAGCAGGGGCGACCGGATCAAATGAGATCAAAATAAAAGAGCAGAGCAGCAGAGGTGAGAATCAACTGCTCAATATCTTCTTGCATATACAGGTTCATGAGTTAAGCTGACAAATCACTTACTAGGCTTAGCTCTGTCATTGGGACTCTTTCACCTCTTGACATCAGCATAGTCTTGGGGAAGGGTCCTGTTTCATGCCCTTACGTCACATTGTTATGAATTAGCGTCTCATATTTTCCATTTTGAGCTTTCACGTAGTTATGGGAGTTGGTCACTCTAGAGAATTCATTGTCAAGGCCACTTGACTCTTTTTGTTTGTTTCATATACCGGAAAAGAAGTAGTTCATAGGAGAAGTACCCAGCAAGGTGTTTGAACGGATTACGGTTCTTCAGCATCTGACCACAAAATGTACTGCAGTTTCTTATCTTCAAGAGGCCACATATTAACATCAATATCCGACGTCCACACGTGAGACCCCACGAACACCGAAGAAGACAGCAGAGAGAATAAGACTTGATACAGACTAAATATTGAAAATGTTTGCTGTGCATGAGCCCTTGCACTATGTCTCTACCTCACACATCTACTTTACATACTTTTCGCTGAGGACTTTTAGCCGACTGCTGCTGCATCCGGCAGTGTACCCTGGAAATTTCCCACCCCCCACTTCCTCTTTGCCCAAGAACATCATGCTGAGATTATTATTGGCAGAAACCATATTAGTACCCATGCTCAAAGCTCAGCCTTCCATGCAATACGACATTCTAGGTATTTCTCAATCCAGGACGACAGGCAGCCACAGACTCAAAAACACCGCGTTATTCCGGGAGCCAAGGCTTTTGGACTCGGAAATTTGGAATATTGAAGAAATAGGTAACTGGTAACTCATATCACCCCACATAGGGGTGGTGGAGATAATCTTGGAGATTTTTGAATCTCCGCACCGACTCGGAGCCCTGTGCTTGCACCGGCCGAAAGGATTACCTTGGAGGTACTTTTGGTGATATTTGCAACTAAGCATAATTAATTGTTATTCTTTATCATGAACCTCAAATCGGCATCCTGATCCGGGGGCTTCTGGTACATATTTCAAAATGTCTGGTTAAATATAATATTTACCAAATCTTTGGAGCTCCGACTTCTTCTGCACATGGTTCGGTGAATTAGTTACGTGACTTCTGAGGACATTTCTTTGTCATCATAACGTGGATTCGTTTTCTAATACTCTCCAAACTACAGTACGGAAATCTCATGCATGGACAAATTTTACATTCCAAGATAAGATGACATAACGAGATTTCTTCTGGCCACAATGTCTCCGATTTCAATCTTTTGGCCAATACCTCCTGAATACATGTCCGTTGTTGAAGACTAGCTTGCACTTTGACAGCACAATGGAACAGAGATTTGTTGATCGTTGTAGAGAGGTTAGATGTGACTATTATGATCTAGTCCCAACTGAATTTGCACGCAAGCTGTTACCTGCCACGTGATGCACTCTCATGGATGACATGAGCTAAGGCACAATTTAAAGGCGAGCCCAAAATTCGGGAGAGTGATGTCAAACTCGTCGATTGTATTCATAGACCCAGAGGAATTATCTGTCCAAGAATTGAGATAGCCTGGAAAATCAATGAGAATCATCTGTAAGGAAATATGTATATTGCAAACACACCTTGAAGGTTGATGATATTGTGTAATGTACGAAAGATTGGCAGGGCATGGGGTCAGAAGTTGATAGGTTATCCTAACCCTGTTCTGACTGAACCTTAACCTGACACACAAGCTGTTCTCAGCTAGGCGATGCCCATTCATAGAGGACTTGGGCTACACCACAAGCTGAGCAAGAATCAAATGGTGGCATCATTGTCGATCCGGGGGACCAAGTCATGAATGAAGGCTTTGATTCATTAATCCTTTAGAGAGATAAGTATGAGATAAAATGGGATATAAGACGAACAGGAACAGTTAAACACAAGGGAAACATGCTGGGAGGCATAAAGTGGATGAGATATGGAACATGATGGATTCAAAGATGATTTAACTTGAAAGTTTGCAAGTGAACAAAGAGATTGGAAGGAACCTTTGGAAATTGAAGGTGGAAGGTGAAAGAGTGAGGAGATAGGAGAAGGATGAGGATGAGTGGTCTGGTTGGAACATCAGGCAAATTGAATTTACATAAAGACGCGCAACTTAGAATCTGAGCTACCAGTAGCCAAAACACATCGCACACCAGATTCCCTAGCCTCCCCTCTTAATCCTACGCTGGCACCGAAAGCCACTGCTGGTGAACCATGATTTTCAGAGTCATTCATCGCGCAGGGTGCCCAACGAATACAACTGACAAATCCCCCATGAATGTCCTCCAAGGTTTTCCACAGTCTCCCCTCTTCAGCAAGATCCCAGCACCGCAGAGTCCGATCATCGCCCACACTGAGCAAAAACCTACCACCGGGATGAAATACCAAGCCTCGAACCCAGTTATCATGGCCTACCAATGTCTTGAGAAGCAAACCATTGAAATCCCAAAGCTTGATCGTTTTGTCCCTCCCAGCTGTGGCAACAAATCCAACAGAAGAGCCTCCAGAAGGCGGTATCTTTCCTCCTGACAACGCCACAATGTAAGAATAACTAGCTGCAGGAGCGAATGCGCAGCATTCAACATGGTTCCCGTGACCACGCAGTATAGCTTGTGCATCACCCGAAGCGACATTCCAGATAGTAGCGGCATGATCAGTACCGCCTGATACGAGCCATTTACCGTCAGAAGAGGGGCTCACATCTCGAATCCAGTCACAGGAGGTATTGATGGTTTTCAAACAGAATCCGGTTGAGACATCCCAAATGCGGATTGAGGCGTCGCGGCTAGCCGAGACAAGGGTCTTGTCACCGGGGCGTAGAAATCGAACGCAAGAGATGGAATGTTCATGTCCCACCAGAGTACGAATGTTGGCGTACCTGATGCTGGGATCCCAGATCTTGATCGTGAGATCGGTGGAGCATGAAGCAAGCAGGATCTGACCCTTTGTACCGCCGAAATCGAGGCTCGTTACTGTTCTCGTGTGTCCCTTGAGAGTCTTTTCGTGTTCTCCTAGCTCCCAGTCCCAGATCTTGATGGTGTAGTCTTCGGAACTGGAAGCCAACGAATGGAATGTTGGGTGGAAAGCAATGGATGTGATGGCGGCTCTGTGGGATTTGAGAGTATGAGTTGGTTCTCCTGGAAGCCAATTTCTGGGATCTCTAAGACGCGAATGAGATGTAGGAAATGATTTCAGTTCTTCCGTTAGTCTGTCTACCTCGGACTGGAGGTTCATGATCTGATAATTGTCAACAGATATCTTCCTAGCGAAAGTCGATAATTGATCTTACCTTTCTTTGAAGGAGTGTATTTGTTGTCCATTTCTTCTCCAATATTCGTGCAAGCTCTTTTATTGCATGGTCTGTGAGAATCGTATCTAGTCCCAACTCGTCACGTAAAGTTGTGACCGTTCTAAAGGCGTTGAGCGTTGATAGGTATCCGATTATCGCTTTATGCCTTTGATGCATTAGAAACAAAACATAGTAACGAATATGGATGGAGGACACCATACAGCTCTTTGGATTGAGACTCGGTCAATATACTCCCCATAGTACCCAATATTCGGATTAAACGTTATGGAAAACTTTTATGCGATATGCCTGATGTTCATGTGGGATTGGAGGGGTCGTTCGTTGATGGACAGACTGGGCTTAAAACAAATCTCATGATGTCAAGAATAAAGGAGGCTGTCAAGCGGTCAGTCTAATCACCTCGTGTGTTTCAATGAAGGGGTTTTTAGATTATTAGCCAATATGCATATTATGGATCACATCTTGATTGCAATGGTATTAAATGCAAGGTGCTGCACCGTCTAGAGTTCTTTGCATTTCCAGCCATCAATCAAATAGTGGAAAATACGCTGGGGGGGAGGGTTTACTAGGACATCTGAGATAGAAATTTTTGAATGGAAAAAACGATATTGAATCAGAAGGTGCATATGCATGCACATGTACAAGAGTAGCTATCGAACAGTGACTTTTTCTGCTGTGGTCAATTCCTCCTTCCATCCCTAAGAAACTTTCCCCCTCTATTTCAATCATAAAGTCATGGAAGAGCTTTTGGGAACCATCAAAAAACTCCGATCGAAAAAAATCATGCCAATCAAAAATCCCCCAGACTGAAGATCTGGAGGGTTAATTCCGCCTGGAAATTCCGGGTATGCATACTAACAAAAACCGGGGAGCCTGGCGATAGGGTTAATGGCGGGACAAGATGACGGCATGATCCTAGAAATGAGAGGATACATTCGACCAACAGATAGTGGAGCCACTGTTTAGCCAAAGTCTCCCACACTAGGGTCGCCATCACCGTCCTCATCCTCGCCATTGTCCGGGTTCGTCTCACCGTCACCAGGAAAAGCCCCGATACGAGAGAGATTCCTGCCCATGGTCACCGAGACTCTACAAACGCCTGGAAACGCCATTAACCACCCGAACCCTCTTTTGCTGCGACGCCGGTTGCGCCGCCGCTCAGAATCACGGCCATCACGGCGGTGACGGCGGCGATGATGCTCATTGAAGATGCCCTTTTCAGTTCTCTTCCTCCAGGAAGTAGTAGTTACCAGCCAACTTCTGCTCCTGATCCATCTGACTCTGGTACTTGTTGATACGAGGGCGGTAGCTGTTGGGATCACGACGGAAAGTGACATCAAGGCTCTCCAAGAACTTGTTGCAACCAGTGACGAGAGACTCGGGGGTGTTGGCGTGGGCGTCAATGGATGGCTGACCGTCAAAGACGATGACACGGTCAGCCAGGTAGGTAGCCATGATGAAATCGTGCTCGACGATGAAAGCAGTCTTCTTGCTGTGCATAATGAAGCGCTTGATGACACGGGCAGCGACAATACGCTGCTCGGAGTCCAGGTAGGCGGAAGGCTCGTCAATTAGGTAGAGATCGGCGGGCATACCAAGAGCCAGGACAATAGCAACACGCTGCAACTCACCACCAGACAGGTTCTGCACCTCCTGGTCAATGAAGTCGTCAAGCTTCAGGGGCTTGTAAACGTCGGTCTGGAACTGGGGCGACAGGAAAGCAGTCTTGATACGCTTGAAGAACAGCTGACGCACGGTACCCTGGAACTTGGGAGTGATCTTCTGAGGCTTCATGGAAATGTTCATCTTGGGGACAGAGGTGGTACCATCGGGCTTCAGCGCACCGGCCAGCATTTTACAGAAAGTAGTCTTTCCGGTTCCGTTCTCACCCATCATGACGAGAATCTCGGAGTCGGTGAATCTTCCAGAATCGATCTTAAGGTGGAAGTTACCGAGTGTGATCTCCATGTTGGGGTACATGAAAGCACGGGCCTTGTCGTGAATCATGTCATCACCGGCCTCAGTCAAACGGAAGCTGAGAGACTCCTCACGGAAACGCAAGTTCTCGGTGGGGATGTGACCATCCAAGAAAATATTGATACCCTCACGGACCGAGGAAGGCAAAGTCACGACACCGTAGACAGCCGGGCGACCGTAAAGCACACAAATGAAGTCGGAAAGATAGTCGAGAACCGACAAATCGTGCTCAACAACAATGACGTAGTCATCAGGGCGCAGGAGACTGCGAATAGTACGGGCAGCAGCCAGACGCTGCTTCACATCAAGGTAGGACGAAGGCTCGTCGAACATGTACCTGCAGTCAAGTTAGATGCAGTAGCATTTGAGTGGGATCTATGATCACTTACACGTCGGCTTGTTGCACGCAGACCAGACCAATAGCAAATCGCTGCAGTTCACCACCAGACAGATGTTCGATGTCACGATCTGCGACCTGTTGCAACTCTGCAAATTGTTAGATAGGGGATATTGGCTTGTTTTACACAGCACATACCAAGCACATTCATGATCTCCTCCATGTTACCGAGTTGGGCACGGCTCTTGATGAGATCCGCAACCTGCTTGACAGGGCCCTTGACGGCACGAGGAATCTGGTCAACGTACTGGGGTTTGACGACGGCCTTCAGGTTATCTTCCAGAACCTTTGTGAAGTAGTCTATTTCAAGTCAATAAATCGAGCCATTCTGTTCCCTTACATAAATTGATACTGACTCTGCAATTCGGAACCACGGAAATACTTCAGGATCTCCTCCCAATCGGGAGGGTTATCATAGCGACCGAGGTTGGGCTTCAGCTTTCCACTCAGGATTTTCAGCGCAGTACTCTTTCCGATACCGTTGGTTCCAACAAGACCGAGGACTTGTCCAGGGCGGGGCATAGGAAGGCGGTGGAGCTTGAAGCTGTTGGCAGAGTATCGGTGGGTAACCTGACTCTCCAGGTTGGTGGGCAAGTTGATGATGTGAATGGCGCCGAAAGGACATTTCTTCGGACAGATACCGCAACCGATACACAGGCGCTCGGAAATGAATGCGATCTTCGACTCGTTGGTCACCTCAATGCAGAGTTTACCGGAACGAACGACGGGGCACGCCTTCTTGCACTCTTGGCGACATTTCTATACCAATCAGTCCCGGAACTCTTATGATTGAAACGATCTTCATACCTTCGGTTTGCACTAATAATCCGGAACGTTTCGTGTAAGCGGGCTATGAACCAGGGGGGAGGAGGTTTTTTCTTTCGCATTAGCGGGGTACGTGTGACGAACCTTGTCCGAGTTGATAATGGCGATACTTTAAAATAAGATCATGTTAGAAATGCACACTTTATTGGGAGCTGGCTATTTAAAAAACCATATAGAACATACCGTGTGAGCTTGTCCGACATGGTGGCGACTTCAGCTCAAGGAACCAGCGTCAGGTATAAAAAGCGGGTAACAAGAATGCCTGAAGAGGGCTGTTGAAGAGGATCGTTGAGACGAACGGAAGAGGGGCTGCTGCAGCGTAGGGAATCGGGTGCAATCGAGCACCAAGTGTCTGCGCAGACTCGAACTGACGGAGTTGAAATGCGACAACAATGCAACAATGACAACGGTCTCGAGGGGGGCGGAATTGAAACCAAGCAGTCTCTTTCTTATTGTGGGCTGTGATGCCTGAGGCTCCCACATTGGAGACCGCCCTGGAAAGCGCCTGCAATTATTTAGCTTGAACCTAATTGGTTGATATAAAATTCACGGAGTAACTCATGATCCGGCTATTGAAGAAACATCACATGACTGACAGTTGTTCACGCGCGAAGCGAGTAAGCTAGTCCATATCGGGGATCAATAAAATTTAATGCCTGACGGCTAAGGCACTAAGGTCGATCCTTGCCTGCAAACCAAACCAAACCGAATCAATCCTCCCCAACTCATCTCTCCCTCACTCGTCTCATCTTCATCTCCATATCATCTACGCTTCCCCCGCCCACCTTTAATTTTTTACAAAATTGATACCCTAGTCTCCCCTCTTCTGGGGTCACCACGCTATGGAGTGTAAGTTCTTTGTTTTTTTACCTTGGTCTATTCCCAGACGTGTCGCCAGAACGCTTTGTCCGGGTACTTCTCCGCGTCCTTCGACCCACTGCTAGAAATCCCCAAATCATATGATTTACCTAAGGTGGAGGAGATATACAAACCGGACCCCCCAAATCTGATGCTCCCGTTCTTCCTGGACGGGTCATCGTGGTCAATCTCTTCAGGACGCCTGCTTCTGTGCTGCCCGCTTCCATCCCACTCGTCATCAAAAACTATCAATCCCCATCAGTCCTGATATCATACCCCAATCTACAATCTATAAGCTTAATTTTGCTGCAATTTGATTCGCGTACCACTATCCTACCGATCTCCACGTACCTAAGGTGCCTACCTCGCTGAATTGAGCTTCAATGCTGACTGCCCCTCGGTCATAGCATCTAGCATGGTGATCCCGTCGGGTCAAGAACCTCCTCTCACCTCCACAATGTCTAATGGCTATTCGCATTCGCTAGCTACCGACGATTTCGGGGCTGATGCCGATGAGACCACAAAGAGCGAACACAGCCCATCCGAACCCGGCGAGTCTCATCCTGTCTCCGAGTCCTCCCCCGAGCCCGATGCCGCGGATGATTTATACGATGCGGATTCTCCTGCCTCGGATGGAGATGATGATGATGTCGTGATGGAAAACAGTGATGATGAAATGGATCAGTCAAGTCGTGAAAACTCTTCATCACCACACGTCGACCGAGGTCTCAAGCGCAAATCGCCGCCGCCGGACGAACGCGACTATATCAACCAAAATGCCGATCTATTCGGACTTCGTCGCAGTGGTCGCGCGCGCACTACGCGTCATCTCGTTGACACATCCGATTCGGAATCAGATTCTGTGGCTCCGCGCTCTAAACGTCGACGCAAGGAGCCATCCCAGCAGCCCTCGAAGACCTCACGGTCGGCTACCGCCTCATCGTTCTCGGACTCAGATAGTGATGAGTACGGCGGGAAAAGTGCTCGCGCAAACAAGGCGAGACGCCGTCGTCTTCAGGAAGCTGCCGGTATGGACGAATCTTTCAACGAAGTTCGCTTCTCTACCCGGAACGCGTCCAAGGTGTCTAACTACAACGAGGATGAGGATGATGGGATATTTGAAGAGGACCCTGATGAACTCGGCGCGAGCTACTGGGAAAACACTTACGAGGAAGACACCCGGCAAGCCGTTGATGTCGTCCTTAATCATCGGCTGAAGGACGGCGTCGACCCTAACAGCCCAGATCTGAACCGCCAAGACTTTGAGTTCTACATCAAATGGCAAGACCAGTCATATTATCACTCCAGTTGGGTGCCCAACGAAGATCTTGTGAATTATCGCAGCACGCGTCGGGTGGACAACTATGTTCGCAAAGTGCTCAATGAGGATATCCGCCTTAAACACGATCCAAATGCTCCTCCCGAAGATCGGGAAAAGTGGAATCTCGATCGCGAGAGGGATGTTGAGGCAATTGAGGATTTTAAACAAGTCGAACGAGTCATTGGTGTTCGGGAAGACAATGGTACAACAGAATATCTCGTCAAATGGAAACGGCTCTATTACGACTCGTGTACGTGGGAGCCCGAGGACCTTGTCAGTGAAATTGCACAACGTGAGATCGATCGCTTCATTGATCGCTCTGCTCGCCATCCTGTTTCGGACAAATCCGAATCGACTCCATCTACACGTAAGCCGTTTGAGCCCATTAAAGCCTCACCAAGCTTTCTGCAAAATGGCACATTGAAGGATTTCCAGGTCAAGGGCCTGAACTTCCTTGCTTTCAATTGGGTCAGAAACCACAATGTGGTATTGGCCGATGAGATGGGACTGGGAAAGACCGTGCAAACCGTCTCGTTCATCAACTGGATGCGCCATGTTCGTCGGCAACAAGGCCCCTTCATCGTTATCGTTCCTCTGTCAACAATGCCGGCATGGGCCGATACCTTTGACCACTGGACTCCTGACCTCAATTATGTGGTGTACAACGGCAGCGAAAAGGCTCGGAGTGTCCTTCATGATTACGAGTTAATGGTGGATGGCAACCCCAAGCGGCCAAAGTTTCATGTTCTGCTGACAACTTACGAGTACGCTATGAATGATTCTCCATTCCTAGGGCAGTTCAAGTGGCAATTTATGGCGGTTGACGAGGCGCACCGTCTCAAGAATCGTGACTCGCAACTCTACATGAAACTGGTTGATTGGAAATGTCAGGCTCGTCTCCTCATTACGGGTACTCCAATCCAGAACAACCTTGCGGAGTTAGCATCTCTCATGGATTTCTTGAATCCTGGTGTCATTAAGGTGGATGTGGACATGGATCTCAACTCTGACGCCGCATCACAGAAGTTGGCCGAATTGACGGATGCCATTCAACCTTACATGTTGCGACGAACTAAGTCAAAGGTAGAGTCTGACCTTCCGCCGAAGACGGAGAAGATCATTCGAGTCGAGCTCTCGGATGTTCAACTTGAGTACTACAAGAACATCCTCACGAAGAACTACGCTGCGCTCAACGATGGTGCGAAGGGAATGAAGCAATCACTTCTGAACATCATGATGGAATTGAAGAAAGCGAGCAACCATCCGTTCATGTTTCCCAACGCGGAGGCAAGGATTCTTGAAGGGAGTACCAGACGAGAGGATATCTTGCGTGCTATGATCACCAGTAGTGGAAAGATGATGTTGCTCGACCAACTGCTTAGCAAGCTGAAGAAGGACGGCCACCGAGTCTTGATCTTCTGTCAGATGGTTGGCATGCTCAACATCCTCAGCGAGTATATGGAGTACCGCAACTACAAATACCAGAGGCTGGACGGAACCATTCCTTCGGCCGCTCGTCGGTTGGCGATTGAGCACTACAATGCTCCCGGAAGTACCGACTTTGCGTTCCTCCTTTCAACTCGTGCAGGTGGCCTCGGAATCAACTTGATGACTGCGGACACCGTTGTTCTCTTTGATTCTGACTGGAATCCGCAAGCGGATCTGCAGGCTATGGCTCGAGCTCATCGAATCGGGCAGACCAAGCCCGTCAGTGTTTACCGCCTTGTCTCAAAGGACACAATCGAGGAAGAGGTCATCGAGAGAGCTCGCAACAAGCTTCTGCTCGAATTCATCACTATCCAACGGGGTGTTACCGATAAGGAAGCCTCGGAGATGCAAACAAAAATGTCTCGTGTCATCGGGGAACCTAATTCAACGGATGACATCTCCCGAATTCTCAAGCGTCGTGGTCAGAAAATGTTTGAGCAAACTGACAACCAGAAGAAGCTGGAGTCGCTTGATATTGACTCTGTTCTTGCCAATGCTGAATTGCATCAGACCGAGGAATCAGAACAAATACAGGCAGATGGTGGTGAGGAATTCTTGAAAGCCTTCGACTTTGTTGATATCAAGGTCGATGATCTTAGTTGGGATGAAATCATTCCGAAGGAGCAACTCGAGTCGATCAAAGCTGAGGAGAAACGAAAGGCGGATGAGAAGTATCTTGCAGAAGTCATTGAGGAAAACCAGCCTCGCAAACGCCAAGCCGCCACACAATCGCGGGATTCGCGAGAAGAACGCAAGGCCAAGCGACAAGCTCGGGCTCAAGTCGCCATTGATGATGACGATGATGACGACAACAGTTCCTTGGACCCGAAGCGTCCTCTCGGTGAAAAGGAATACCGTGCTCTTTCTCGTGCCTTTCTTCGCTATGGTGACATGGATGACTGTGAAGAGCTTATCCTCGAGGATGCCCGGCTGCAGAGTCGTGATCGGGAGACTGTACGAGCTGCTCTCCGGGAGATAACTGACAAGGCTGAATCCCTTGTTCAAGAAAATTTGGCGCAAATGGACGCTCTGAAGCAAAGCGGCAAAAATCCCACCAAGAAGGAGCAAAAGGCGGTCTTGTTCGACCACCAAGGCGTGAAGCGGTTGAATGCCTGGACCATCGTGGATCGGCCTCCTGATATGCGACTTGTTCGGAAGATGACCACCTCTCTTCCAGATTTCAAGACCTTCCGTCTCGCGGAAGCCACCAAGCTGGCTGATTACAGCTGCCCTTGGGGCGCTCGAGAGGATGGAATGCTCTTGGTCGGTATTGGTCGTCATGGATTTGGTGCTTGGACTCAGATCCGCGATGATGCAGACTTGGGTCTTGGTGACAAATTCTTCCTGGAAGAGCATCGCGTGGAAAGAAAAACACAGCGTCTCCAGGGTGAGGAAAAGTCCACCAAGTCCCCAGGTGCTGTTCACCTTGTCCGTCGAGCGGAGTATCTGCTTTCTGTTCTAAGGAACAAATACAGCAGTGGCAACAATGCCATCGCAAGGCGTGCTGTTGACAATCACCACCGGAACAACAAACGTAATTCTCGCCTTGGCAGTGGCAGCGTCTCCGCATCCCCTGCTCCATCCTCGCGCAAAGGACACCGTGAAGTTGATCGTGTGCGCCAGCGGTCCCATACCCATGGCAGCAGAGATGGCGGTGACCGTCATCACACACCTGGTCATGATCGCCCGAGGTCCGGGCACGATGTTAATCGTCCCCGTCACCGCATGTCCGATGTCAGCACTGACGAGCTTCGCCGGCGCAAATCTCAAGAAAATGGTGGTTCTAGCAAGGAGAAGGAAGACATGACTTTCATGGTGTTCAAGCCCATTGTGGGTATCTTGGACAACGTATCCAAGATTACAGCTAAGAATTATCCGGACAAATCCAAGCGGGCACATGAGCTCCGAACTACCATCATGAAGATCGGTGATTTTATTCGCGAAACCTTGGGAAGCAACAAGGCCATGGCTTCCCTCGAAAAGCGATTATGGTAAGTTTCCACTAAGCATTGCTTGTTTCTCCGTTTCTCACGCTAATATTCCTTTAGGGATTATGTCTCTGTCAACTATTGGCCTAATAGGGAAGTAACTGGTTCCAAACTTCAAGCAATGTTCCAAAAAGTCCAAGAAGCAAAGAATGCTTCAAAATCGTCGAATGGTGCTTAGCGTGCAGACCATGCCATCAGTAGCTGAACTATCCCAGCGGCTCAACTCACATACTTCACATCTCCTCGGCCCCGGATGACCCGGGCCTCCCAGTCGCCCAAGCGTCCTGTGCGCCCCTCATATTTCTTCTTTCTCTTAGAGCCACGTCTCTTCTTCTCTTTCTCCTTTCCCTCTCCGAGATTCACAAAAAGTCAATGATGATTATTTCATTGAAGTACATATGGATGCAACGAGCTGCATGGCATTGCGAAAGGCGTCGAATGATTTGCGCAACCCAAAAGAAGCACAGAATGGAGAATCGATTTGACTTGAATACGATCCGAATGTCATACGATATTTGCATGGCGTATTAGGGGTCTCTTTTTTCTCGGAGTTTATGTCTCCTATTTCCATCTCCATCTTTCTGCACTTTTCTATTCCATCTTCCCTTGGCAGATCGCAAAACTTGATCCCTTACTCTTCGTTGAGGCTGGGGTCCGGGCTAGCTGGATCTGCCCATGTTTAATTCTTCTTCCTTTTTGGATGTGCTTGGATTAAGTCAATCAGACTTCTCCAGCAGGCTACGGCTTTTCTTTCGATTTTTTTTTTACCGTTCTCCGATTGGTCCCATTTTCTTATTGTCATTTTGCTTCCTAGCATATTGTATCCTATGGAGTGGCTACCACGGCGTCGATTGATTTTTCTGTACCTGCACAAGATCTTTCAGCTGGTTAGGAGCACTGTTTTTGATGTCCATTTCTCATTTATTTAGAGCGAAAGCAGTGGTCCTGCTCTGGATCCCTTGACTACCATTGCTTCAGTTCCCTATTTGCAAAATCGTAAAAGAAAATAAGTTCATTATATTGACAAGGCCGTCGTAATGAGCGTGAAGGAGCTCAAATGAAATACTGGTATAACTGCGAAAGAAAGATAGACTATTCGTACAAAAATGTTAACCCCATTCTCCTCTCCTCCATCCATGAAAGAATACCCTTGCGCCGAAATAGAAATAAAGAAACCATGATAGGAACCAAAAAATCAAGATGCCAGAAGTATGAGAGAGCAGAAGACTAGATAGCGGCAATAGCCTCCTCTGTCTCTGCTTCCGGTTCTGGATCCATCTCAACTTCGGCTTCCATCTCCACCGAGTTAGCCCTCATTTGCTCCTGCTGCTGCGCAAACTGCCGCTGTTGCTGCTGTAGCTTCTCAAGGCTAGTCGATGGGTTCGACCCCGGGACAAGCGGAACCACAGGCTCCGCACCGCCAACAATGGCACTAAATAGTCTCAATTCCCCATCAATAAGGTCATCGAGAATAGCCTCTTTCTCGAGCCACGCGCGTTCACGCAGTGGTCGGATCTCATCCCACTGTGTACGCAACTGATTGCCCTCGTTCTCTGCCCAGAAGATCTGACGGCGCAGCAGTCTATACAAGTCGTGGGGGGGCATATTGAGCTCTGAATCCTCGAACCCGAGTTCAGGTCCATATTCAGGCATCATATTATCATCCGCGTCGGGGTCTAGTGGGGGCGCGGCGCTCATGGAAATTATGTGGTCGTGTGGCGTATCGCCTTCGGCGCCGAACTCCTTCGATGGGTGTGAGAGCTTAAGCCGGATGCGCTGCAGCTTGGATGCAGGTGTACTAGGGGCAGCACCAGCATTTGACTTTGTTTCTGCTTGACGGAGGGAGTCGATTTCGTGGACGGAGCGCATGTGTTTAGTAAGAGCGTCGGAGCGGGTGAAATTGCGATCACATTCTGTAAATCAAATAATTAGTTTGGCTATTTGAAAATTGAATCCCTCGTGGCATGGTAGAGCTTCTTTCCAGTCTTTGCATTTATCGAAGGATGGAGCGGGTTTGTTAGGATCAAGCGTACCAGGTAGAGTGCAGTAGAATGGCTTCTCTCGAGTGTGGCTCCTCATATGAGCACGAAGTGCATATGCACTGGCGTGTGTTTGACCTTTACGCGTGCAATCGGTCCACTCGCACGAGTACCGCTTCTGTCGGCTCCCGATGTGCTCATGATGGAGGTGCTGCACCAAGCCATCCATGTTGCCGAGGTCACCAACCACGCATCCATCCCACCGGCATACGGTAACCTGATCACCACTTTGACCACTATAATCGTCGTCCTGGTTGTGGCCGAGAAGGCCCATAAGGCTAGGGGAGTTGGGAACATCGCCAGAGCTGTCGGAGGAGATGGAGGCTGTTGGCGAGGCTGGAGGAGGCGCATCATCTTGAATAGAAGAAAGTGGTGTATTTCTATCCCATGAGGCTACTCCTCCTGTTCGCCGCCGTTTTGATGGAGGCATATTGGATGCTGACGGTGAATAAGCGCGGCTTTCCTGCTTGACGGACTCGTGATCCGAGTCGTCTGCAGTGCCAACAGAGGAAAGGGGGGAGCCGGGCGAATCGCGGGAGGCCATGGTCAATGGTGGCTATCAGCGACAAAGAATCTCTCAAAGGATTCACCAGGACAAAAGATTGGATTAGAATTGCTGCCGATTACTCCAAGGAGGGAAGGCCGAATGAAGCTGTTAGTGTCGCCATGGCCTCACGTGATGTCGCCCAAGCTTAAATTTCCCACTCCAGTTTTTCCTTTTCCCCTTTCCTCCACACAACGTAAATTACTTATTTATACACGGAAATGGACTAACACCAGGTCAAGACGCTGAAAGCTTTCATTCGATAAAACAATGGCGAGGTAAGCTTGCATGACTTATATTCTTTCTTCTCCACTACACCCTGCTTCCCTGATGAACAACAAAGAAGAATTCTGCAATGCAGACAATCTCCGTAACTGATCTCTCGGGGTCGGTCTCAGTGAGATTGAGTGTTGACTCTTCTACACTTGATCTGATTTATTAATTTAATAAATACTTGTTATTTATTGCTTTCAAGCTTCTAGTCCAATGCTAACAACAAAAAGCAGGTTGGATCCTTAGTAGCGCGGTCCCGAAACAGCATTCTCCTTGAGAATTGCATCGACCTCAGCCAACTCCTCATCAGAGAACAGCTTGACCCCCACCAGATTCTGGGTCACCTTGTCGACGGTTGTGCCACCGGGGATGGGGATAATAGTAGGCATGCCAGGCTTGTCACTCAAGCTCCGAATCCAACCCAAAGCCACCTGAGCTGGTGCAACACCCTTGCGAGATGCCAGGCTCTTGACCTCGTTAATCAGCTTCATATTCTGCTCAAAGTGCTCATCCTGGAAGCGCGCCATATGGCGACGGAAGTCGCCTTCCGGGATGTCGGACAGCGAGGTCACAGCACCGGTCAGGGCACCTCGGCCCAGTGGTGAGTAGGCGATAATGGGGATGTTGAGCTCGGCACAGGTCTTGGCAATCCCATTTTCGAAGATGTCAGTTGACCACAGGGACACCTCAACTTCAACGGCGGCGATGGGGTGCACCTTAGCGCTAGAAATTAGTTAATAAATAGTGTCCATAATGAAAACATTTCCGTCACATACGCGCGTCGGATAGTCTCGGCATCCACTTCACTCAATCCAATTCCTCCAATCTTGCCCTCTTTAACGCATTTCGCAAGGACCTCCACGGTGTGCTCGACCGGGAAGTTCGGGTCTTGACGCGCACACTCGAAGATATCGATCTTCTTCTTCCCGTCTAGGAGCTTCAGGCAGTCGTCAACGCTGCGACGAATGTTCTCCTCCGAGCCATCAGGAATCAACTGGCCAACCTTCAGACCACCCTTGATGCTGAGAACAACCTTTTCGGCGTTCTCGGGGTACTTGGTGAAGTACTTGTTCAACAGGTGCAGGGAGTTGTAGTCGGGGGTACCGTAGAGCTCTCCACCGTTCCAGAAGTTGGCACCGAGCTCCAGGGTCTTGTTCAAAGTTTCAAAGGCAACATCCTGAGGAGTTGGCTCAGGGTTCCAGGTCATTCCTGACAATCATTAGCTCAACTGGCCTGATCATCAATATGTTTCAGGGAGCGTATATACTCATGGTGCCATAGCCAGTGGGGCCGACCTCCTTTCCAACAAGAATAGGCATTTTTGAGTATATTTAGATTGTAATTTTGTTCTTTGAGTTTGGGAGAAATGTTCCGAGATTGTGGAAGAGAATTGAAGAAGTTTTCGTGAATGTCGACGTTGTCCGGGTATGGAGGGGTCATTTATATAACCCCCACACATCTTAATCAGTCTATTTTTTAAATTCTACATGTATTACCAACATTTTCGATGAAACTTAATTCGCTCCACTTAATTTGCTTAATCCCGGACCATGCTCCAGTCGACGGTGCCGTTCTCAATAACTATTGGCTAATTTTTCTTCAGCATGTTTGCCCCCGGTCTCCGAGACGTCAGCGGAGATAAGAGGTGGTGGGTGGAGTATACCCGGAGTTAAGACAGCCGAAGTCATAGTATACTGACCCTAGACATATCTATCATTAATTATGAATCTGGAAATGACATTTAGACTAGGATATGTTTGAAAAATTCGTCTGTTCAAGGCCCGGAGTTCATGCAATTCTCGGAATGTTGTGTTCCAAGGACCTCGGTACTTGACCTGTCTGCCAAACTTCAATGATACCATATTTTGATGCAACGATGCGTTACACCTGTTTGATTTGGTGTTCACGATCGACTTTCTAGAAGGTTAGGAAGAGCTTGTCTGTCTACAGCTCTGCTGCTGGTTGAGTCGAGATGCCTTGGCCCTTGGAACATTGAAGTGAATAGGTGAGAATAGTAAATTTTTAGCCATTCCATACTCTCAAGCCAAAAACTCTCGAATCTACCTATAGGATGATGGAAACCTTTCTAAATAGCTATCTGGGTATGATTTATATCAAGATCAAGAGCTTTAGTCTGTCATTTCCCTAACAGCCATTTGAAACATTGAACTATGATGGTCAAATGTCCCCGGGCAAAAAAGAGATGTATATATATATGTGTCAAATTTGACCAACCAACCTCCGAAGTCAGACTCGTACTCAGTGCTAGGACTCTAGTCCTTGCGAGTCATCAATGGAAGAATATGATTGGACTTATACAAAGATAATTTATGTAGAAGGTACAGTATCTTCACATGCAAAACATGTTGCTCAAAGCCTGAATTTTGGAGAGTTCAAATATTCGAATGGATGCTGGCTCTAAGGCTGTGAGAAGCATTTTTGGGCTTCAATGTTGACTTGTACAATACGAATAGATTATTAGGCTCTGGCAGAATCCATGGTTGCATTTTTCAGGGTGTTTGCTTCTGCCCATGAAGATGTGGTCTCCTGTTGAAAGTTATTTTATAGCAACTCTCACCCTATACTCACCCTAGCGGTACCCATAGTACTAGCTGCATTTAAGCCACGGACCGGTCAGTTAGTGCTATAGTGGGTGACCACATGTGAATCCTGACTGTTATATGTTTTTGTTTTTGAGTCAAATTCCATGATCTCTTCACTTTCACGTGTTTCAGAACTATATCAAATAAGCAGATAACGCGAGTATGGACCGAAGTGGTTTAGCGCGAGGGCCACAGCTGATCATGGGGCTGATCGGGTTGTTGCCCATTTCCCCACCAGGAACCGCTTCATAGTACGCGACGTCTATCACCTATTCAGCATGGATTCGCTCCCCTTGTCCGACGGAAATAGAAATACGGGATTTCAACTTGGAGTCAATCATGGACCCATCGGCGCAATCCATTTCGGATCTGGTACGTATGGGAGCTTTTCCACATAAAAACAAAGTTGACACTTTTTCGGCCCAGACCGAGCGGAAGACCCGCAACAGACCACGGACAACGGTTTGTACTACCCCGTTCCAGTCTAAAAGGCCATCACTGATGTCATTGCCATTAGGGGTGCTTCGGTCGCTGGCATTCCCGCAGATGCTGGATCGGAGGGACAACATCGAAACGTGCCACGCCAATACCTGCCAGTGGATTCTGGGCTCGAAGGAGTACCGAGCCTGGAGAAATCAGCCCCACGGTCTACTGTGGATCAAGGGAAAGCCAGGTGCCGGCAAATCGACTTTGATGGCGTTTCTGTATGCTAGACTCAAGGCATCACAGCCCGAGGATGACAGCCGGGGAATTCGACTTGAATTCTTCTTTACCGCCCGGGGCACAGATCTCCAGCGTACATCTCTAGGAATGTTAAGATCTTTACTGAATCAGATCTTTTTCCAAGACGCGACTATACGCCCCCAGGTACGCAAGGTATATGAAGAGCGGTGCAAGCAATTTGGGTACGGTGAACAGAAGTGGAACTGGCCACAGGTAGTGCTGGAAGAGTTACTTGTAGCTGCGATATTGAGATCATCTACCCAGCAACACATAACGGTGTTTGTTGATGCTCTCGATGAGGCTGGTGCAGACTCTGCTCAGAAACTAGCAGAATATTTCCATCGGCTTGTTGACCGTGCGGGCCGAGGAAAGCTACCGGTTAAAGTCTGTATTTCATGTCGACACTATCCTATCGTAGTAACTGCCAAAGCTGTGGAAATACATGTCGAGAAACATAATGGGGAGGACATCGCCACATATATACGTGACCTCCTTACCGACATAGTTGATGACACCTACACTCAAAAAGCGACGGATGTGCTGGCAGCGCACCTGAATGAACGGGCCAATGGGGTTTTCCAATGGGCTCATCTCATGATACCACTTACCAAGCGGAAGATTCTCGAAGGAGAATCCTTGGATGATATCCGGTGCTGGCTACGCAATGTCCCAACTGATCTAGAGAATGTATATGTGTACATCTTGGAGAAGGTAATAGATGCAATGAACAGGGACCAGGCATTCCTATTGTTCAAGTGGGTATGCTTGGCCGAGAGGCCCCTGACTGTGAGAGAAATGCGGTATGCCTTCGCATCCCATAACATGAGAGGGACGCCTACTATCAAGGAAGGATGGGAAAAGGTCGCAGGTTTCGGTAACAGCGAAACCATGATGAAGCGAAAAATTCTGGCTGTTTCCGGTGGGCTAGCTGAAACACTCCCAATCAATTACGGTTCCGACACTGTACAGGTGGTACATCAATCAGTGAATGACTTTTTGCGCTCAAAAGGACTGGGGCTTTTGTACCATCTTACCAGCACCGGCACCGACACAGTGGCTGTTGATGGCGGAAAGATTTTATCCCACAGCCACGCAACTATATACCGATCATGTTTGTTGTATCTAGCGACGGAATTTGCGACCTTGTTTAAACGTTTCTCCGATTGCAGTCCCTTGGAAAGACAAGGATTGGAGGAAAATCACCCGCTGCTACACTATGCTACCTTGCACCTTTTTGTTCATGCTGAAAAGGCAGCCGCCTCTCGAGCAGATATATTGCAAAACGAACAAGATGTGCTACAGCAAATTATTAGTGGATGGGTGAAGATTTGCAGATTTCTCAGGCCTTATCGATTCCCACCGGCAGGTACAAAGCTTATTCATATGGCTGCAGCTGCCAATCTACCTGATCTTCTGGAAGAGATGATTTCAGGTGGAGCGGATCTCATGGAGGAAGACGCAGATGGAAATTCAGCGTTTCATGCAGCAGCACTATGGGGACATCAAAAAATCGGAAGAATATTATACGAGAACGGAGCAGATCAAATGGCACAGAGTCACGATGGTACAACACCCTTAGTCGAGGCAGCTCGCCATGGACGACTGGGATTTGTTGAATGGCTCTTGACTGAAAAGGCCCAGTTTGAAACATCCCACGATGAAAGAAGAAATGCGCTACAAGAAGCATCGTGGGAAGGTCATGCGGGAATTGTGAAGCTGTTACTTGATGCAGGGGCTGATGCAAATTCCGGGGGCGGGAGATTTGGAAATGTTCTCCAAGGAGCAGCATACAGAGGAAGTGTTGAGGTTGTTCAGATGCTGCTGGACGCTCATGCAGATGTCAATGCCCAGGGTGGTGAATATGGGAATGCCCTCCAAGCAGCAGTATACTGGGGAAAAGTTGAGGTAGTTCACATGCTGCTGAATGCTCATGCGGATCCCAACATCCAGGGTGGCATATTTGAATATGTTCTCCTAGCGGCTGCTCATAATCGTGACTCGGATCAAATTCGAATTCTTCTGGATGCTGGCGCAGATTCATTGGTTGCGGACGAACTTGATCAAACGTTCCTTCATGTTCATGTCGCAGCTTTGACAGAAATATCAGACGTTCTTGTCCGATCTCCACGGTTAGCTCCCGCTATCAATAGGCGTGACAAGCTCTTGCAGACACCTCTCCATATATCTATCAACCAAGGTTGTTCCAGATCTGCTATAGCACTGCTTGATATGGGTGCCAATCCTTCCATTCGAGATGCTTACGGGAAAACCGTCATAGACTGGGTGGCAGAAGACCGGAATCTTGTGCTCGAAATTCACAAGCGCTGCCCTGAAATCGTCATCACCTCACGTGAGACCCAAGAATTGACTGTTCGTCAATCAATATTTCAGATTTCTAATACGCTCCTTCATTCACAACTGCGCGATCCATGGCGCCTCGTGCAAATACTAGGTCGTCTTTTGCTATTTGTCAATGATGTGGGCAATGCGGGCTACCTTTTTGGGCTCCACATATCTGATGAGCACCATTTTCCGAAAAACATTGTTATATCATGTGATAATTGTGGTTACTCCACAAAAACGGCAGGTCGATACGTGTGCAGGGACTGCGCCGAGGTGGATTTATGTCGGAAATGCGCGCAAAGTGACTGGCTCCTGATTCATAGCAGACCACTGCATAATCGAGAGCACGAGCTATTTGAAGTGCCTGATGTTTACGATAGCGATGATCGATCAAAGGGGACATCATCAGAGCGGTTCAATGCCTTCTTGAACAATCTCATTGACAGATATCCTACACCAGATTTCCACCCTGTTGACATTAATCCATCATATGATTCAGTGGTCGAACATTTGCGGAAAAGAAGAAAGGTCTAACGCCAGATGCTGCTATAGGCCAGGGTAAACTGATTTGGGCTGTTATGTTCGGCGTTCTTATAGTCAATTTAAGATATAAGTGCCTTTATGATAACGGGATAATGACTAAGTATGGGGCTCTTTTTGCTCACTGAGTAGAATTGAGCACGCCCCTGAGCAGCCTGAGTATTACCCACCTCAATAAAATGTAACACGCTAGCCCCGTTCACGTGCAGATTTTCCAAGCTCGCTTGCACAGTTTACTCTATCTAGAAAGGACGGACATCATCAATGTGGTCATCAATCGTGGTCATCTGGCTTCTGCCAAAGGTTTTCCGATCTAATTTAGAGAAGTACTAAATAGACTCGATGGTTGAACTAAATCGAAAGTTTGTGTTATCAAAATTGATAGATCTATCAAAGTTCTTGGAGTCCGACTAAACTCGGAACGGGTCTAATGCTCCTTCCTGTTTGACCTCCGATTCTCCTGCCTGCTCGTTCACGAAGCGGACAGATGAATTCATTTTTCCGCTTCATCCTCTTCTCAGCTTAAATCAATGCTGGTCTGCACCCATACTTGTGAATTGTTCCCAAGAACATTGACTGTCTGTCGGCTGAGAAACAGTGGCCTACGGTAGGATGACTGGTGAATTTGATACCTAAACCTTATGAGTCCTGACTAAGCAGTACTAGGTGTTTGACTCACGAGAGTCGAGAAGACCAAAATGTCGGTAATTATAGTGGGACTGGACTTGTCATCTAATCTCCCCATCATCTTATCTTCAACCTTCGACCTAGCCGCCGAAATGGACACCTTCGATTTAGACTGCTTTGATGTTGATCTTGCTGCTGAGGCGATCGGGTCGTCGGCCACCACAATTCTTTCGATCATTACCAAGTTGCGGAAAGAGGCTCGACCCGCGACGTTCTACGTCAAGTTCACAAATGTACCTCCTCAAGTTTCCGATAAAGAGCTCTCGAAAGGATGCCGGCAGATGTTTAATCCTGAGAATCGAACACTGATCGTCACTGTGCCGAGCGTACAACATGAGGCCGCTGCCGGAAACTTCAGCCGATTTTTCACCCAGACAACGATCGCCGCTAATATACCGATCCGCGAGTTCTCATCCTGTGGATCAACGCGGGTAAAGGGGATTTGTTGCTCGAAAGAGCCAGATGGCTCATTCTATGTCACTAATTTCCCTTCAACAGGTGGTAAACAATGGCCAACAGTTGTGGTCGAAGTTGGGCTATCGGAATCTAAAAGAAAGCCCCGGGCCGACGCTGCCTGGTGGATCGCCAATAGCAAGGGGGAGGTGAATGTTGTGATTACGATATCAATCAGCAAGTCAATCGCAAAAGTGGTCTTTGAAGCCATTGTGCTTATTCACCCAACCCCGATGTTACGCAGCGGTCCCCGGTATCAGTCAACAGTTCGGCAGTCAATTGTCCTCTCCCGGCCACTAGGTGGCCAAAATAAGCCGATTTCTACCACCCCTCAAACCCCACTAAGGATTTCATGCCAAGAACTTCTTCGTCGTTCGGCTGTACCCCCGGAGACCGATCCGGACATTCCAGTCCAGACTTTGGAGGATATTGCGTGGTTTATATGGAAGTTCCAAGATGTGTAGCTCTGTTGATTTTGCATTTCCCTTCTGTCGCCCGAGTAATAACGCCAAAGGATCTGTGTATTCGGTCAATCAACTTCCAATTCAGGCTCTGTGCTCCTAGGAGTATTTCAACTACTAGCCCCATTGTATACTAAGAAGACTAGAATCCAATAATGGGCACCTGGTGATTAATTCTATTGCATAAAGTGTCCACTATATGCTTCATTACCGCATATCCGGGGACGTCTATGCTCGGTGTGAATAACGGCCTCAATCAGCCTATAGTGCTGACGCTAAATCGGGCGCAAACTAGACAATTCATATACACATGAGAAAATTCAGCTACATTAATCCTAGGAGCCGTTCTGTACCCCAACCTGTTTGATTGGCTTAACATGACTTCTACGCTATTTCAAGCCACTCTACTGAGCCAATGATACATTCGATCTAGATACAGGGTATATCGGGAGGAAGCAATAGAAAGAGGTTTCCCGCGCTCAGGGGTACTCAGGTATACCATATAGGCCCCGTTAATAAACCCTACTCCTCTTACCGTATATGCCTCATCAATATCCCTGATAGACAGCCACCAATAAGTGTCTGGAGGGTGGGGAGCTTGACGGCACATTTCTTCATCGTGCGTATCGCTCCTAGGACGTAGGACCAATTGCATACGTGACTAAGTAGTACATATGTGCCTTGAGCCTGGTGACCCTGGGACGCTGAATGGTTCTATTTGCCTTAAATTTGTTAGTCACCATCTCCTAATATTAGCGATAATTACTAGAGAAAATCCCTATAGCCCGGCTAAATTGAAATATATATGGTGGACAATTATTTACCTGGATTACCAAAGACGGGCTCTCATCGAGTAAGTATACCGGTATAGTGAATCCTTGGAAAACTCCTTCACCTGTTAAACACGTAGGCATACCCACATGTGCAATATAAATATAGAGTATACCCTTGTCGAGGGAATGAAGAGAATCATCTCCGACATCTGGAGCCAGCATTACCCCCGCTATCTCCGCAAAGCTTTCGTCTCGCCTTTGTTTACGACTACCATACAGCTGCTGCCATCTTAAGATTAGGATTCCCTTTAATAATCTGGTGGTTCTCGTCTTGTATCCATGGAGATCAGTTGGCACCTTTTTCTGCCCTGATTAGTTTTATTCAATTTTTAAGTCTCCGGCTTGCCGGCTCGAACTATCTTTTCCCATCATCGGCATTCGACTCAGTCTTGGTCAAACATGGCAATGTCAAATTCATCGAGTGGTGTTGCAAGAGAGGCAGCACATCTGCCCAGCCGCCCTTACTATCTCAAGCTAGTTTTAGAACACACTTTGATTACCAGTCAAGTCCATGACTATGACTACCCCGGCAGCGGGACGACTGAAGATCCATACCTGGTGGACTGGCTTCCCGACGACCCTAAGAATGGCTTCAATTTGCCTCTAGCTATAAAGTGGACCATTGTCTTGATCTGTGCCTTCAGCACGCTAGTCTGCTCTTTCTCTTCGACAGTCTTCGCAGGCGCGATCATTCAGATCGAGGACTTCTTCCATGTAAAAGAGGAGATTGCCATCCTCAGTATTTGTCTCTATGTACTGGGCTTCGCCCTTGGCCCCGTTCTTTGGGGCCCGCTCCCTGAGCTTTACGTTCGCCAATCCATCTACCTTGTTACCATGGGCGCCTCGGTCTTGTTTGAGGGCGCGGCGACTGCCAGCAAGTCTGATGAGATCGCTGCCTTAATTGTACTTCGTTTTTAAGTGGGCTCCTTCAGCTCGGCTGCCATCTCCAACTCGCCTGGTGTGGTCGCCGACATCTTCGCACCGGCGGAGCGTGGACTCGCCGTCATGGTTTACTCCATGTTCCCTTTCCTTGGCCCAACCCTGGGCCCCATCTGCGGCAACTTCCTTGCTGCTGCTGCTGGGTGGCAATGGGTTAATGTTCTATGCACTGTCTTCTTCGCCTTGATGTTTGTTCTTGGTCTGATCTTTATGCCTAAGACTTACGCGCCCTATATCCTACGACGTCGCGCCACGATAATGAGCAAGGAGACTGGTAGAATCTATGTCAGCAAACTCGACGTCGGCCTCCCACCCAAGACTCTCACTGCCACTTTGAGCACGGCCATCACGAGGCTTATCATCATGGCGATATGGGAACCAATATCGACTGCCATGGCTGTGTATGCTGCCATCATCTATGGAATTCTCTACCTCATTGTCGCCGCCTTCCCTATTATTTTCATCAATGAACGCCACTGGAGTCAAGGTGTATCCGGCTTGTCCTATGTTGGCATCATACTCGGTCAGATCCTTGCTGTGCCCTTCTATATCGTTATTGAGGTTAAATACCGCAAAAAGATCGCCCGCCCTGGTGTTGTGCCGACCCCTGAGATGCGTCTCGAGCCATCCCTCTATGGTGCTGTGATGCTCCCTGTCAGCCTGTTTTGGTTCGCGTGGACATCATTCACTAGCATTCACTGGGCTGTCGGCCTCGTTGGCACTTTTTTCTTTGGGTTAGGCAATGTTCTTGTCTTCATCTCCATGACAAAATATCTTATTGATACGTATAGCCTGTTTGCTGCCACAGCAGCGGCTACCAACGCCATGGCTCGCGCCCTCTTTGGCTTTGCATTGTACGTTTTGCTAACCTCTGTTATCCTTTTTTATTTTGTTGGATTACGCAGCTAACAAGCCATCAATCTGAAACAGCCCCCTTTTCACCACGTACATGTACAATAATTGGGGCTCACAGTGGGCCTTATCAATCCCTGCTTTCCTGTCTTTGGCATTCATGCCTCGGCCCTTTATCTTCCTTCGGGTTGGCTCGAAGCTACGCGCCAATTCCAAGTTTGCCAACGAGGCCAAGAAACAACTGACACAGCTGCAGGAAGTACGCCAGAATGTGGAGAAACGATTTGAAGAGAAACACGCCGGTGATAATACAATTTCCTCTGCCACAGAGGCAGCTGTCGAGCCTGAGAGGGTCGCTGGTACGATTTCTACAAAATCAGAAATTACCGCCTTTGACCGTTCAGACTCCGGCTCAAATTGAACCCATCTACAGTCCAACTCGTTTTCAAAATGATAAATTTTCTTAATAGGATAGACTTTCAAGCTTGGCATTTGGATGGGGCTCCCTTCGTCCCCTTCAGTCAAGGTTCATAGCGTATCATATCGTGTAATGTGGCAATTTTTTTGAAAGGGGTGGTGGTGAGGAGGAACAACCAATATAAAAGCTCTATAGTATAGTCCAGCCACGTCTCGGGTGACATTTTCCTGTCTATATATGTGCATATGGTTGTGCCCAGCATATAAATAATCAGATCACCAAAATACCCCTGAGCATGTGAATTTACCAAAATCACTGTCTAATGTGTCAGTTGCTCCCTTAGTTCAGACATTCTTGATGTTTTCGCAGAATGTTGCTGGTAGAGGGGGTTTTACGAAGTGGGACAAGAATTATCCACCTCCATATTCAAAAACATTGCCGATAAAAAAGGATATGCTATGGGAACATCGTTGAACAAATTTTTCAGATTATGTATTTCACAGCCCTAGATGGATAATATTCATGGTTGCTTGTCCCTGAACCTTATTACGAAGTTAACTCGTCCGTTCCAACTTCTATTCTGTTATTGTTCCTGGCTTTTCAAGTATTGCAGACATTGTTGATCTTTCCTCCTCGGTATGTACATGCGACTTAAAACATAACCCCTCTTCAAATCCCCACTTCAGTGGGCCACTAGGTCAACAATAATGCGACGTCCCGTCGACGATCACCGTACACATGGCTTATTTAGACAAGGCTGTACGTGACCAAAAGACATTCAGGGACAACTGGTTTAGGTTGCCAATAATCGTCCAGGGGAGTTCCGGTTGCGTGGGGAATCAAGCAAACTTAATGATCTATGAGGGGTCTCAAGCGTCCAAGCTGCACTAGGCGGATTTTACAGGAGCGCGAAGCTCCGAAACCTTTGATAGATTGTTGGTAATATCCTAGGATCGGAAGGCGCCCTCGTGGGGCTTTCGAGATGCGACTAAAGCAAGGGATACATAAAGAGCCAAATCGCCTGCGTAGTTGTAATTTACAATTTCCCCAAGAAAATGGCCCTATCAACAGTTCTTCTCATTGTTGGCCTTGGCCTTGAAGCCACTGCACTCCCTGCCAGCACTGGCATGAAAAACATCAAAAATGTCGTTGTCCTCGTACAAGAGAACCGCTCGTTTGACACACTAGCGGGCGGATTCACCTACAACTCTGCGATTGACGGTTTAGTTAATAACGCCTATTGCAATTTAGCCAATGTCTCGGTTCCAACCTCGGAGAATGTTTGCGCAGCTGGAATTGCGAAGAACATAGCCTCCGATGACCCCGACCATACAATTACTGGTGGAAACATGCAGGTCTTTGGTACCTACCATCCCACTGCAAATGCCAAATCGTCAATGGGTGGCTTTGTCACCGAGCAGAGCTATAAATATGGCCTACAGGACAACATGATGGAGGCTGCTGAAGTAATCAATTACTATAAGCCAGATCTAGTCCCAGTGACAGAGGCCATGGCAGAGAACTATGTATTGTTTGATAGGTGGTTTGCAGCCGTCCCAGGTCCCACCAACCCCAACCGAGCATATTTGACTTCAGGAAGTGTTCATGGTAAGTGTTATTACCCTTCACAAACCTGTTTAGCCGTTAACAGCGAGGCTCAGGCCACGGGTCCAATGACAATGCATACATGACCTCAATGCTACCTCAAACATCCATCTTCGAGCAGTTGACCGAGCATAACATCACCTGGATAAACTACCAGAATACCACAGGGCATGGATCCTCGAGTTTCCTACCTGACGCACTTTTCTATCAATGGACCGCCCAATCAGGCATGGGAGACACGAATGTCCTTCCGATCGCCAAATTCTACGAAGACGCGAAGAATGGAAACCTGCCTCAATTCACTTGGATCAATCCCGAATGCTGCGATTATATGTCCATGCACCCAAAATCACCCATCAATATGGGCGAGAATTTCATGAAGAGTATCTACGATGCCATCCGTGGTTCACCCCAGTGGAAAGATACTCTTTTTATAATCACTTGGGACGAGCACGGAGGATTCGCTGACCATGTCGCTCCTCCCACCGGTGTTCCTGCTGGTGACAATATCCCGTATACCGAGCAGGCTCCGGATGGAAAAAACTATACTTTCCATTTTGATCGTCTCGGTATTAGGGTTCCGGCAATGTTGATTTCACCTTGGGTGGAAAAGGGGGTGGTGCAGAATAAGCCTAGTTCGGGGGATGGGGATTTCACACATACTTCTATTTTGAAGTTTATATCGGAGCTTTGGAGTCTGCCGACTTTAGGTCCGCGGGTTGATTGGTCGCCTTCTTTTGGGAATTTGATTACCAACAAGTTCCGAGATGATACCCCGGAGACGATGCCGAATGCTGCAGGCTACTAGATCGATGCTGAGGAGTTGGTACGTCTCTATTCTCTGACTAGGCTGGAGACAGGTATGATACAGGGATGGAGGGAAAGCTGCAGAAGGATAAAAACAGCTTGTTATGGTCATTTGATACTATCGAGCCAAGCTGAATACTGTAGATAGTGAATTGACCCTATCTAGTCCTCTTCGATCTCGCCTTCTTCACTGCCGGAATGTATGGCCTTTTCATCATTCTTTGCCTCTTCTTCAGGAATAGCTGAACGTTCTCGGGCACGGTCTCGTCGAGGCCCCTTGCTGCGTTCCCGTTCACGACTATCCCGACGATAGCGCTTCACGGATCGGCTGGCTACGCTCTCAGTGTCGCTCTCCCGTCTGCGTCTGCGGTCTCCACCACTGGCCGTGCTGCGAGTATCCCCGTAATCAAGTTCGTCACGGCTACCACGTGGGTCGCCGCGAGTGCGGTACAGACGCTCACGTTCGTCTTCCCGACGGTCAAGATCTCTGCCGGGACGGCGACCACCGTCCAGGTCACGGTCGCGAGGTTCGCGCTCACGATGGCGCTCTGACCGACTGTCTCTGTCACGATCGCGATCGTCGCGGGTGCGGTACGAGCGTTCGCGATCCGCTTGGGCCTTGCGACGGTCTGCTTCGTAAGCATCAGGCTCTGGACTGCGGCTGACGCGACTGCCACCTCGTCGTTCCCCTCGGCTGCGATATTCGCGATCGTAGTCCCGGCGGCTTCTGTCGCGGTCTCGTAGTTCGCGGTCCTTCTCGAGGTCTTCCTCCTTTTCTTTAAGACGTCGGATAACCTTCTCGAATGCAGACTCTCGCAGTTCGTCGGTTTCGACGGCCTTGTATTCTTCGTACTTTTCTAAACGGGGCTGGACCTGCTCCCACGTGTCTGTGGTACGAACCGGGGGTTCAAGGCGCTTAATCCGAGATCGGAGAGCATCAACAGCACGGCGCTGATGGCGATCAGCGGCGTGTTTCTCTTCTTCGTCACGACGGATAGCTTTGTCTTGAATGCGCTGGAAAAGAAGTTGAAGAATCTCCGGATCAATTTTGGAGGTGCGACGATCAGACTCAACGGCAGATTTGAACTCATCGAAAGTAGTCTTGGCGGTAACCTCAAACCGTTTGTCCTGAAAGAAAGATTAGCACAGTCCAAAAAGCTGAAATTCAGGTTCACTCACATCAAGAACGTCCAGCACGTCATTGCGAGGAGCGCGGAGTGAGCGCTCCTCCTCCTCGACCATGTCCCAGAACAGATCGAGAGGGGTTGACCCAGACTGTCCCAGCATACCTTGGTATCTAGGATCATTTTGAACCAGGGGACGAATGTTCATCCACTTGCTGCCGGCCTTGATCTTCCCCTGGGACCGCAGTTCTTTCAGCAATTCAATGAACTGCTCTCGGCCGCGGCGCTCTTTGCGGGCTTGGATAGCCTTCTGCTGCTGGCGTGCATCATTGAAAGTGCGTTCCAAGGACTTGATGTGATCTTCAAACGCAGTTAAAATATCAGATTTGCTCAGGGTCTTGAACTTATCGTCACCCTGCACCTTCTCATTAGACTCAATGACCGCCTGAGCCTCCGACCAGCGCGTATACGGCTCAAGATCCAGACCATGAAGTATGCTGACCAACTCGTCCAGGGCAGCCTTCCGCTTGGACGCCTCTTGCTCAAAGTGAGATTTTCTGAGCTCGACAACATACTCTTCGAAGAGCTGTCGCCTCTCATTTTCATCGTTGGTGGACCGGAAAGTAGTCTCACCTTCAATAATGGGACGAATGGTTTTCCAGCGACTATAATGCTTGATCTCAGGATGCCGTTGCAGCATGGTATTGAAATCTGCGCGGAGCTTAGCGAATCTTTCTTTCGCTCGGTCCTTTTCCTGCATGCGAACCTCGACCGCGTATTTCTCAAAGGCAGATTGACGGTCTCGAGGGTCCTTGAGAGAACGATACTGCGGGTCTTTGATTGTTGCCCGCATAGTTTGTTCCCACGTCCAATCGGGCTGCACGTTGTGCCGCTTGAGCATCTTCATGAAGGCGCCCTCGGCTTCCTCGATGGAGCCGTACTCAGGCTCAGATGTATTGAAAGCCGGTGCAGCAACCATTCCGTTAGTGTCGAAATTTCCATATCCACGTCGGTCATTGTAGCCTCGGTCACCTCGGTCACCTCGATCGTAGTCATCGCGTTCACGCTGGGAGTGTCCGTAGGAGCTGGAGCCGCCTGCAACAAAAGAGGGCGCGCTAAGAAAAGTTAGTTCACGATTTGAAAAAAGACAGGAAGCAACGTACGCAGTTGGAACGGCTGGAGTTGGAGGAGCCTGAGCGAGCGCATTCTTGTAAACCTCGGGCATCTCCCATGTGCTTTGCTTGTTTTCCGTGTTGTACCAATACTTGCGTCCACCCTCTGCTGTGTATTCCTTCCAGGGTTGATCTGCCAGGGCGCGCTAAAAGAGAGGAAGGTAATGTTAGTGCAATGTTCATTCAAAGGATTGGTGACCATTGAGATGCTAACCTCGACCGGAGTCATCATCTCCACAGGCTTAGCCCATTGTGTTGCTTTTGTCTGCACATTATAGTAGTAAACTCGACCATCTGCATTGCGCGCCTCCTGCCATAAGGCTGAAGCACCACCTGGGCCACTCATTGGATTCATGGTTGCAATAGCGTAGCGGTTGATGAGATGAAGGAGATGAAAAAGCGAAGCGCCGATGAAGCTACTTGTTTGCAGTGTTTGCACTGGAACCTTATCATCCGTTTATCTCCTTATTGCGGCGCCCACTTTGTTGTCGTCTACCCCAGCTTGTTCAGATCAATTGCATGCGACAATTTTGGTCGCAATGCCTGGCCTGGAGATTCCTGGAGATTTCTTGCGGCATGCAGTTCTGGAAACTGTTGTGCCTCATTCCCCGGGACTTGATCTAGAGGGGGCCCTGACCTCCGCGCTAGAGGAGGGCGCAGATGATCTACCATCCGTCCTTGCCTCAATTCCTCAGCGCTCTATTCTTTTCTTCGGTATGTTATGGACTCAATGTAAAGATATGGAGATTATGTTACTAAAAAATGTAATTTAGATGAAACTTTACCCGTTCGCATCGTCCTACGGCTCTCCGACTGTACTGAAGCTACCTTAAGGCATTATTTGCCTGGCCTGGAAGTTAGGCTCGATGTATATGCCGTTGATCCAGCAGAATCCGTTGCAGAGAACCCCACACCTACTCGAGAGGCCATATTTTCGGGGGTCGTGGATCTAGATGAGGAACCACTGGTGGTTTTCAACGAGTTCGAAAGCGAAGATGGTACAGCTGGAAACCATATTTATCTCATATGGAGCATTGACAGCTTCCTTAGTAAGTCACTTTGGAACTACCGCTTAATATGACTCTGCTAACTATCCAAAGAGCGCCCTAGAAACCGCATCCAGCACCCCTCGCTTTTGTTTATTGGCTCGGCCACCTTGAACCCTTCAGAAGGCAGTCGATCAAAAGATCCCGAAGATGACTACCTCCCTCCGCTTGTCCCCGCATCGACGAACATGTTGCAACCATTGGCAGGCGACAAATCTCTTGCCCACAAAGATCCATTCCTCCCCGCATCCAGATTGCTACGGGTGGTTCCCACTGCCTACAGCGAAGACCCAATCTACAACATCCAGCAGCAGCATGGCCATCCATTTCGTGTAGTCCCTGCAGCCAGTGCAAGGATCCGATATTCGCGGGCTAGCACTTACACTAGTGTTCCGACAACGATTGCTAGCCTTGATTTCGAGGTAACTCCGTTTCTGAACTGTGAAGTCTCATTCGATAAAGCAGAGTTGAAAATATCCGAAGGAGCCATTGAATCCTTGTCCAACATTCCTGGCCTCGCTCTTCCTTTGACGTGCCGCCCCAGAGACGATGTGACCCTGGTTTACAAACTCACACCAGAGTATGGCCCGGAGACTAACCCTTCCTCCACCGCGGTGGTGAGTGTGCTAGAGATCTCCCTTGGCGCAGTGATTCTTTTGTCCGATGGCTGTCAACCACGAATTTCCATGGAATGGAAGACCAATGTGGATTTCTCCTTGGCTCTTAATCCTACCTTTGGCGGACCCAGTACGGCACTACAGAGGACAAATCGCCCCACGAGTCTATCTGTGTCTGGCCAACCACCATTGATCACTGCGGGCCGTAGTTCTCTACGAGAGCGCGCCTACTCTGTTACCGATGTAGGGGTCACTATTTCCTTTACCGGGCCGATACGAGTGCAAGTTGGTTCGCCATTCACATGGGGTGTTTTCATTGTGAACCGCTCTAACGTGCCACGTAAATTCGCATTGATCGTTATTCCACGTCGCAAGCGAATTGACCCGCGGGGCCATGTTGCGCGTCCTTCCACCGCGTCTATTTCTAGTAGAAAAGAAGACCAAGTGGCTGAAGCCGTGACAGATGATAATATTGTGCATGCCATGCAAAAGAGTGTTGTGGGTCAAGAAGCTGAGTTAATCAGTTTAAGTACTGACATCCGAGTTGGGTGAGTTTGATTCTATTTTTATTGTGATCTAACCTGACCTCTGATTACCTTTGTAGGCCCCTTCTACCTGGAACATGCCACTCCACCGAAATCAAATTACTTCCACTCGCTACTGGTCCTCTGCATCTGGAGGCTGTTCGACTAGTGGATGTGAATACGAATGAAACGACGGATATTCGAGACTTGCCAGACATTCTGGCTGATGACCAACCTCGATCTTAGTATGGGAAATGAGGAACCCCAACTGTACATTTTTTAGTAAAAGTGAGAACATAGAATACCACATGAAACAGCTATACATAATTCTGAAATCACTGTCCAATTCAAATACATACCAAGGTAGTACGTTGTGATAGGACAAGATGATAGGACAAGATATATAGCGCAAGGCTGAGAAAGTCAGTGACGTTGAGTTGCATCCAACGTGACTTGTCTTTAGTCATAGCGGAGTCGAATCCACTTTGGCTTTTGATCTGGGGTAGATAGTATTTCCTCTGACTATCTCTATTCCTGTCTTCCTCCTTGCCCCTACACTTTTCAGGGAAATCATAGCCTTTCTTCGAATCTGGTTACTTGACATTTGCGTCATACTGGCGCGCACCGCCCACCCGGAAATCTTATCATCGATCGAACCTCCATAAATCCGGCCCACAGCTCTACCTACACCATGATCGCCGCCACGAAGCGAAAAGTCCTTGATGGAATGAACCGCCGGTACATTTACGGTCGCGTGGTACGTATCTCTTCTCTCCTGTGGTTTTCTACGGGAGAGCAGAAAGCCCAACTATTTCACTGATGGCTCCGGATCCCTTTCCGACTCTTTTGAGCCCCACGGCTGACTCGGTTGCCTATCATGGGTTATAGCCTCTCCTACACACAATTATTTTCCTCATCGAGATGGCTGTAGCTACTCGAATTGCCGCCAAGTTCAACACCTACTATGCCGAAAAACCAGGTGGGTTATATGTCGTGTTTTCCGCTGGATCCCGGTGTTGCGGTGTGCGATGTAGCTGACTGGGCTTGCGATACAGTGCTTACGACCATGGTCACCAACGCGGTAAGCTGACCTTCTTGACACACATATACCTTTGAACAATGCACCGGATATGGATTTGGTTATTGACGGTGGATATAGGTGCTTGGTGGGGTGGCCGATACGGTTGCGCAGCTGATCACGGCGTTTAGGCTTCGAAAGCAGCAACGATCACAGGAGGACAACGATTTCATTTCGATAGAGATAGAAGACTGGGATAAGACGAAGTCGCCGGCTGTCGGAGAGATAGGATATGTGAAGAATGCGCTGCCCCCATTCGACTTTGAGCGCCTGACTCGGTTCATGGCGTATGGTTTCTTCATGGCCCCCATACAATTCCAGTGGTTTGGATTTTTGTCACGAGCATTCCCCCTCACCAAGGCGAATCCGACGACTCCTGTATTCAAGCGTGTCGCTTTTGATCAGTTGATCTTTGCACCCTTTGGTAGGTGTTGCTTGTCGTTACGGATAGTTTGGATTGAAACTGACCTGCCCGGGATCACATAGGTCTGGCATGCTTCTTCTCATACATGACAATCGCCGAGGGTGGTGGGAAGAGAGCTTTGACACAGAAATTCCGTGATGTATACCTGCCGACTCTGAAAGCCAACTTTGTGCTGTGGCCAGCGGTGCAGATCCTCAACTTCCGAGTTATTCCTATCCAATTCCAAATCGTATGTATCCACAGCCAGATATATGAGCTCGAGCTGGAGCTGGAGCTTGCCATACTGACTATACATACAGCCCTTTGTCTCCTCCATTGGTATCGCATGGACCGCGTACCTTTCACTCACCAACTCCTCCGAGGAGTCCTAAAAAAGCGCGCTCTCACAGCGACATTTTATGATCACGATCCGCCTCTGATTATATACTGCATTTGTGTTTGGTTCATTCATTCAGGCGTTCCGGTCGGTCCACAATTGTGGTTTTCATGTTCTGGGTATGAATGCCTGGGAGGGGGGTGAATAACAGGTTTGCATAACAAAAGGTCTTTCGTTTATGCCGTGGGAACAATTCAGGTACACTTTTCTTGTACTTTTTATGTTATTCACATATTTGCTAGGGTCGCTATTGGTGGTTTTAAGGGATGTTTAGCTTCGTTTTGTTTTGATTGCAATGGCAGTGTTTCCGGTGTCACGAAAACATCCCACCGCCGTAGCGGCTATTTACAATTCCAGTCTGGCCAATCGAATAGTTGCAGCCGGCGATCTCCCCAGGATTCCCCGACTCCGAGGCTATAGAAAACCCCAGGACGGTCCGGCATGTTCCGTAATGAACGGAAGCTGTGACATCAGTCCCGCATCAGCCCGATCATAGTCTCCGAGGACGTCTAGAAACTTAGGAGAGAGGTACCGATAGCTACCGAGATACTTATTGTTTTCGCCGATACTTCATAATGTTACGAAGTACAATATCCAAGTGGAGTACATGACAGGAAAGTACCGATTGTAACATCATCTGGATGCGGGCATGTTGCTCTCACCGGGCCCCACCATGAGTGCTTGCCCCTCCAATCTTTACTTGTCGCGACTCACCGTGGCCCTGATTAGTTCCTTTTAATCATTTCCCCTCCTGCATTAATTCTTCGCATATTCCATCCCCTGAGGTATGTACCTACCTACTCTCTAATTCTTCAAATCTAACCCTTAACCCAGACTACCACACACAATGTCTCTCTCCAACAAGCTTAACATCACCGACGTTGACCTCAAGGACAAGCGTGTCTTGATCCGGGTATGTCATCTCTTACAGCCCAATCCCCCTCAATCTACTGCTCAAAAAGAAATCCAATTGTTAATACACATAACGTGCAGGTCGACTTCAACGTTCCCCTCGATGACAAGTTCAACGTCACCAACCCTCAGCGCATTGTTGGTGCTCTGCCCACCATTAAGTATGCTATTGACAACGGCGCCAAGGCCGTTATCCTGATGTCCCACCTGGGCCGCCCTGACGGCAAGGTCAACCCCAAGTACAGCCTCAAGCCCGTTGTTCCCGTGCTGGAGGAGAAGCTCGGCAAGAGCGTTATCTTCACCGAGGACTGCGTCGGCTCCCAGGTCGAGGAGACTGTTAACAAGGCCTCCAATGGCCAGGTTATCCTGCTGGAGAACCTGCGTTTCCACGCCGAGGAGGAAGGTAGCTCCAAGGATGCCGAGGGCAAGAAGGTCAAGGCCGATAGTGCCAAGGTTGCTGAGTTCCGCAAGGGCCTGACTGCTCTTGGTGACATCTACATCAGTATGTACACACCAGCTATCCTACAGTCCCTTTTGAAATGTCGAATTTTCCGTACTAATAATTCCCAGACGACGCCTTCGGTACTGCCCACCGTGGCCACAGCTCCATGGTCGGTGTTGAGCTTCCCCAGAAGGCCGCCGGTTTCCTCGTGAAGAAGGAGCTGGAGTACTTCGCCAAGGCTCTTGAGAACCCTGCCCGCCCCTTCCTCGCTATCCTGGGTGGTGCTAAGGTCTCCGATAAGATCCAGCTGATTGACAACCTGCTCCCCAAGGTCAACAGCCTGATCATCACCGGTGCCATGGCCTTCACCTTCAAGAAGACCCTCGAGAACGTTAAGATCGGTAACTCTCTGTTTGACGAGGCCGGCAGCAAGATCGTCGGCGACATCGTCGAGAAGGCCAAGAAGTACAACGTTGAGATCGTCCTGCCGGTCGACTACGTCACCGCTGACAAGTTCTCTGCCGACGCTACCGTCGGCGCTGCCACCGATGCCACCGGTATCCCAGATGGTCTCATGGGTCTGGATGTTGGTCCCGAGTCCGTGAAGCTGTACCAGAAGACCATTGCCGAGGCCAAGACTATCCTCTGGAACGGACCCCCTGGTGTCTTCGAGCTGAAGCCCTTCGCCAACGCTACAGAGAAGACTCTCGACGCGGCTGTGGCTGCTGCCCAGTCCGGCGCTATTGTTATTATTGGCGGTGGTGACACTGCTACCGTCGCTGCTAAGTACGGTGTTGAGGACAAGCTGTCGCACGTTTCCACCGGTGGTGGTGCTTCGCTTGAGCTGCTCGAGGGCAAGGACTTGCCTGGTGTTGCTGCTCTGTCCAGTAAGTCTTAAGTTTGCTCTGCATAAAGAGTTAATATTTTCACGAATTTTAATGTACACAGTCGATACATTTCCAAAATCAAATGTTCAAATTTCAAATGATCTATTTCTTGTATAGAAGCTAAGTCGCTGAGTCGATAGATACGAGGCCGAAGCTTTGAGTCTTGTGGGGACCTTGGAAGGGGGCTAAGAGCTGTAAATAGATGACAACTATAAGACTACATGAGAATTGGGCAGATAGCGTAAAGATGACGAGCATAGATCTACATTAATCAGAGACGCAGGGAGATCCCTTGTATTGCTGTAGCTGAACTGAGCATCTGGAATTCAGAGTGTACCCCTCATCACTCCATTATAGAACGTCCAAGAACCAAAGCGAAAGCCTAGACATCCCATCCAGTGATAATCGTGCTCCAGCAGAATCCAAATCTACTCCATGCATAATCTCCGTCATCCAAGTTACAGACCACCGAAACTGTCATCTGATCTCATCGATCCTAAAGAAAGTAGATTGAAGGGGTATAGTGTATGGTAGTGTATGGTATGCGTATGCGCTCGGTAGAGGTCTCAAGAGTCAACAGAATTCCCATTTCATCTATTGCTTTCCCACGACTCTTAAGCTGGGGCGCGGCTCCGGATTTCAACCTGTGGCTTGTGCGTATGTGACCGTCGTTTTCTCTTGGATTTCGTGGATTATCTTAGGACGAGGCTTGGACCTTCTTGAGTTCTTCCCTGTAGATTTAGAAGGAGATTAGCAAGCTGTATCTATTTCTGTTTTGCGTGGAATCGGTAAAGGAAGGTTGAGCGGGGGTGGAACATGGGGGCGAGTTGAGGAGCACCCCTCCCAACCCGAGGAGAAAAGAAGAAGAGAAGCTTGGAAAAGACTCATTCAAGCGCAAATGTTTCAACTTACTTCAGCTGCTTTGAGAAGTCCTCTGCGGCATCGTCGTCATCCCAGCTCTCCTCCCACAGGTGCTCGTTGCCTTCGTTGGCGGCTGACTGCTCAGCTTCTTCCTGGCTCCAGTCTAGGTTGAGCTCTGTTAGCGTGTGATATTCGCGATCAAGTTTGGCCAGTCATTGCGCGTGGATTCGCCGGGTGGGATCTACCTTCGACGGGGAAATCCTCGAACTCGTCATCCTCCTCCAGCACCTGGGGCTTCTGTTGTTGCTGGGGCTGTTCAGAGGGGTTGGCCTTGTCTTGGGATGTGGAATTCGACATTGTGATTAAGAGAGAAGTTCCTTGTAGGAGAGGAATATCTCTTGTATTCAGATGGAGTTGATGAGGAAAGTGATGGGGTTTAAGGTGTGATCCAGAGCTTGGTGGTCGGAGCTGAAGGTCAGTGACCGTTGACTTAGTCACCAGATCGGCGATTAACTCAAGTCCAAGTTATGTATGAACAACGAAAACAAGAATCTTATTGATTATTTTCATGCATAATGATATCAACAGGAGTTGTAAAATGAAATGGAATAAAATAAAATAAAACAAATGAGAAAGACCGAACGTTTTACACCATAATTCTGACTTGGTAATACATAGAGTTATGCAGCGATTCGGGTTCGCCGGCAAGCCAATCAATCCCATGAAAAGGTACTCGCCTCCGCCACGTTTATTTTACTTTCTCTTTTCCTCTTCTTCTCATTCCAGTTGTGATATTCTTTCCTACTAGATATCAGCTCCCTTCTGTCGTTCTCGGAAAGACACATGGAGTCCCGCTGAGATTCTTCCCGATCCGTCACTTTGAATTCGGCGGCGATGAACAGGATCTCGACCTGATATCCCTACATTTTCTTTCAATTGGTCCCTTTTTATTTCTACACACCCGCGCCCAACATGCTCCGTGTTGGGTCCTGGCTATATGGCAAAAAGCCGGCCAATGCGTCTCAGTCAATGGATTCATTGGCTGAATTGAGAGACTGTATGTACTAGTACTTCAGACAGGGACAAATTTCGAGGTTTGTCCTACTGAAATGAGGCTCTTGCTGACCATAGAAATTTCGCGAGCGGGGAAGTGGATGAGGCGATGCAAGGTTTGTTATCTCCCGCATGGACCACCCGTGATAAACTAATTGGTCTAACAAACATCTATAGCTGCAACCTTTATTCTCAATGACGACGTCGAAAGTGCTGAAGATGGTCTCGCTAAGGGAGACTCAACCTTTCACAATGTGGGTTTTGATCGTTTCCCCCCTACATCTGGGAAGTTCAGCTGCGTTTTGATGACGTAGCGGGGAAACCGGGCTGTGTCGCTGACTGTGGGGGCTGGAACTAGTTGGGAAAAGGCATGGTAGCATTTGTTCGCGCAACCCTAGGCTTTGAACAGGATATTATGAGACAAGGTCCGCAGGGAGAAAAGTCCACATGTCCATTGAATCCACGGCTGACACTTCCACCAGCATCTGAACGATTAAGCGAAGCGGAAACGAGCGCCTCGAACGAACAGCACCGCGCCCAGCAGAATCCTAATGCCCCGAATGCCTTCCGCTCGGAGATTTACGGCCCCGGCACAGAATACGCTCTGTGCCAGGCTATTGCACAGCTGCTGAGCGCCGTGGTCGGAGTCTTGAACGAGAGTTTGACAGAGAGCGTCAAGGCGTTCTATCGACTGCGCAAGGCGTACATTGCGTTGGATGCAATCTTGAAAATGGAAGAGAAGTTTATGGAAACCCACAGGCAGAAGCAAGGCCTCCTAGCTCGCTCCAGCGACCTTTCCAAAGCGAGTTCTAGTTCCGATTCAAAGCTAGCAGAGACGTCTAGCATGGCCTCGTCGCTCAAAGGTCCGTCCACGACTGTCAATGGGGTGACTCCTTTGGATGATCTTTCGAACAGTGTCTCCGGCTTGAAAATCGCGAAAATCGCACAAGAAGCTGCCTCCGAGCCAGTTTCACGTACATCCACTCCCGCCAGCTCGACTAATATTACCCATGACCCCGACTCGGACATTTTCAAAAATGACATCGACATCTTTATCCACTCCGGCGCCAATTTCTGTTTCGGAATTCTTCTGATCCTCATCTCCATGATTCCACCATCTTTCGGCAAACTCCTATCCATCATTGGGTTCCATGGAGACAAGCAGCGCGGTCTAAGAATGCTCTGGCAAGCTAGTAAATTTCACAATTTGATCGGAGCCTTTGCTGCCTTGGGGGTCCTGGGCTATTACAATGGGTTTGTGCGGTACTGTGACATCATGCCAGATCCGACCCCGGGCGAAGATGATGTTGAAGGCTACCCGGCCAAGAGATTGGTGGGATTGTTGGCAGAGATGCGCACCAGGTTTCCAGACAGCCGGCTTTGGTTGCTGGAGGAATCCCGTATGGAGGGGGCGAACAAGAACCTAGAGGGTGCATTGGAGCTTCTTTGTGATAACAAAAAGAGTCCTTTGAAACAGGTGGAAGCACTCTGTGTGTTTGAGAAGAGTTTGAATGCCTTGTTCTTGCACAATTACTCCGCATGCACGGACGCGTTTATTGAGGTAATTTGGCCCCGCATCCCTGTTCTACCTGCTCTCATATATTAACCCTGCTTTCCAAGTGTGTCGATCTCAACTCCTGGTCCCGAGCATTGTATTACTACATTGCTGGATCATGCCAAGTTGCCCTCTACCGTCAGTCCCTCAAGGATGATCCCAAAAAGGCCGAGGAATACGCCCAAAAAGCGATCGAATACATCCGCAAAGCACCATCCTTTGCAGGCAAGAAGAAGTTCATGGCCCGCCAGCTGCCTTTTGACGTTTTTGTCACCCGTAAGATCGCTAAATGGGAGGCCCGAGCCAAGGAGTGGGATGTTTCTCTGATCGATGCCATTGGCGTGGATCCCGTTGAGGAAATGATCTTCTTCTGGAATGGACACAGCCGTATGACCGACGGCCAGCTAGAGGAGTCATTACAGCGACTGGCATGGTGCGAGAGCGATGCAAACCCGACCTGGTCGCGTGAAGGCGCCGAGGGGCAGGCCATTTTGGACCTTCTGCGCGCTGCCGTATACCGTTCTTTGCGCCAGAATGAGAAGGCCAAGAGCATTCTCAAGACCAAGGTTCTCAGTAATGAAAAGTCGCTGTTCAAGGTTCATTTGAACGATAACTGGGTTCTTCCAGCTGCTCACTTCGAGATGGCGGCCAATCTGTGGATGGAGCGTCCTGGTTACCAACCTTTGCATGGGTCCTCCGGTATTTCACAGAATTCGCAGAATGAGTCATCTCCCGAATCAGGCAACTCCAATGCCTCTGGTGTCGAAGCCGAGAAAACGCTTGTCCAGCAGTGCAAACAACATTTGGAAAGTGCAGCCAAGTGGGAGAGCTATGAGATGGAGGCCCGTATTGGCCTGAAAGTTACTGCCGGTAAGGAGGCTGTACAGAAGTGGGAGGCTTTACATTCGGCATGATGGTTTGAACTGTTCATATGATTTGCAAACCTTGTACAGTAAAGAGCGTTAGAATCTTCTTATCATTTATCTACATAGATTGGTTGATATAAGGGCCATGAGCAACATAATCATATGACCTAAAGACTTTTGCTTTTCCCTTTGCTTCGTCTATGTATTCCCTAAGTACATTCAGCACAACACGTCTTAACCCCACATCTTTGGCACAAAGCTTCGCACTCCATCTTCCAAGCCTGATTGGCGGAGTAAGACCCATTACGATTAGAATGTCAAACTCACCTAAACTAAAAACATTATCAGATGTGTCCACTCGTGACCCCCTTGGTGACTCCAGCTATTAATCTTCGAGCTCTGAAAGTGCTTCCAGTAATTATGGTCCTCTCTGACGAGCGTGAAATGTGCCAAAGATCAACTAAAGCCGAGCCACTCGGCATTATAAATCGGACGCCGAGACCGATATCCCCACATATAAGCTTTTTTTTGCCGCTTTCCGGATAAAGCGGTATTCTCCGTCTCGGAGGTCCGATAACAGAAGTTCGGGGTAGTTAAAAGACTTCAAATCCCCCCCAACTGCAAGAAAATACTAATGCAAGAGGAATTCCCCAAGAAAAGCTTTTCCCTGAAATTTCCCTGATATGATGTGAAAAAAGGCCCACAATCCCTATCATATCCAGTCCAATTACCACACCGGGGCAATATCTTTTTCCACCAGAACTCTTTTCTGCTTAAAGATAATCGGGATTTTTCCGCCTCCAACTGTCTTGCGCTGCCTTGAAAAAAAATCCTTCATTATAGCGTGCACCATAATCATGGCGAACCTAACAGAACACGACTACAATTACCGCTCAAGTAGTGAGGATATCGAGTCGCATGAAGACCAGGAAACCAATGCCGATAACTCCGAAACAATCCCGCCACTAGAGAAACAGACTACCGCAGCATCAGGGAGATCAGGATTTGAAGAACGAACCCAGTCAATAGTATCTCGTATCCGCAGTCGAGATCCTGCACAAATCGCCAAATTTACTCATCCTCTTTCGCATACAAAAACGAGCCCCGACGTTATTGTCGATTTCGAAGGTCCCGATGATCCGTACAGGCCAATCAACTGGAATTTCAAGAAAAAGGCCGTGACGACTGTTCTATATGGATTGACCACTATGGGCACGACGTGGGCGAGTTCGATCTATTCCACGGGCACAGATCAGATTGCGGCCGAGTTTGACATTTCCACCGAGGTTGCGACACTAGGAACTTCTTTGCTGCTGTTCGGGTTAGGGTTGGGCCCGCTGGTTTGGGCTCCACTGTCTGAGGTCTATGGGCGCAAGCCGGCGGTTCTGGTACCGTATTTTATTGCGGCGATCATGTCGTTTGGAACTGCCGTTGCGAAGGATGTGCAGACGATCATGCTGACGCGATTCTTTGCCGGATTCTTTGGCTCTGCGCCGGTTACCAATACTGGTGGTGTGTTGGGCGATATTTGGAGTGCGGAGGAGCGTGGTGCTGCGATTGTGGGATATGCGTTGGCGGTGGTGGGTGGACCTGTTCTTGGTCCCATTGCTGGTGGTGCAATTTGCCAGAGTTACCTAGGCTGGCGATGGACTCAATATGTAAGTTACTTCGTGTTTTCGAGTTGGATTCTTGGCTAACCATTTCCCAGCTCACTGGTATCATGATGATGTTCTTCCTTGTTATGGATCTGCTCATCATCGACGAGAGCTACCCACCAGCGCTACTAGTAAGTAAGGCGCGCCGCCTACGGTTCGAAACTGGCAACTGGGCGCTACATGCTCGTCATGAGGAATGGGATGTGACATGGAAAGAGCTAGGAAACAAGTATTTGATCCGCCCGTTCGCTCTTCTCGCAACCCCCATCTGCTTCCTAGTTGCCCTCTACGCCTCCTTCGTCTACGGTATCCTATATCTGAGTCTAGCAGCCTTCCCAATCGTGTTCCAAGAGGTCCGCGGCTGGAACCAAGTCGTTGGTGCTTTACCGTTCCTCGCCTACCTAGTCGGAATCCTCATCGGTGGCTGTATCAACCTAGCCAACCAAGCCTTCTACATCAAGCGTTTCAAGGCGAACAATAACCGCCCCGTGCCCGAGGCTCGTCTCCCTCCCATGATGCTCGGTTCGGTCTTCTTCGCAGCTGGCATGTTTGTCTTTGGCTGGACCAGCCCGAAGGATATCCACTGGATCGCCCCGATCATCGGTGCCGTCATGATGGGCTTCGGATTCTTCACCATTTTCCAAGCGGCGCTGAACTACCTCGTGGACACTTTCCAGAAAACTGCAGCCAGTGCGATTGCTGCGAACACGTTCCTGCGTTCGATTTTCGCGGGTGCGTTCCCGCTCTTCACGAGTGCTATGTTCCATAACCTCGGCGTTCCTTGGGCTGCCAGTATTCTCGGCTTTATCGCTGTTGCGCTTATCCCGATTCCGTACCTGTTCTACGTATATGGAAGACGGATTCGGGCGCGTGGAAAGTGGTCGGCCGGATCTCTGTAGAGATCCACCGATTTTGCGCATATTTGATACTCGGTTATTTTTCGTTCGTGCATTCATTTCAGGGAGTTCATGTTGATATTTCCCTCATTTTCGATTCTTTAGACGGGACTGCTTTATACTGCAGATGACTGATAGATACCCTTTTCACCCTTGTCAGTTTTGAGATTGATTTGTATATACAGTTTGTAGGATTCCTCCATGCACATAGCATAATACAAAAGTACAAATACATTAGATTTAATTGGTGAACCTCGAAGACTTCAACTTTGAGGTACGGTGGCAACTAGAACGTTTTGCCTGACTAAAAAATTTGGTGGCATCTAGGCTAGAGTCTTATACGAAACGAGGCAAGTAGCGATGAGGAATGTTTTGATAGACATAAGTTTACCTTATACTATAGGATGACATGATGAATAGGAGATAGACAAGAGAGATATGAGAGAAGGAGATGTTAAAAGAGAGTAGACGTGTAAGAAAGAAGCAAGGAAATAAACAAAGGCATACAAAAGGGACGTCTCATCCTGATAGCATATCACATGAAGCATGTAATAAACATAGGAAAAGTGATATGCTCCGCCATTGAGTTGGAAGACAAAAGTATACACTAAGACAAGGAAAGAGAAGGAAACGAATAGCCAGTAAGTGATGCGACAATTCCCATGAAGAAAAACTTCTTCCTGTTATTTTTTTTTTTTTTTTTAGGATTGCAGTCTTCGACTTGTCTTCATTTTTTTTTTTTTTGCGTGTCAGATCACTCGACCACGTCAAGCACGACTAGGCACCATACTGCTGTTGCGGCGGGTCAATTTCCTAGCAAGAGTCATGGCCTTCTCCCAGGTCTTCTTCTTCTCAACCCGAGTTCTCACAGCCGGATCAGGCGACACGGCGCCAGTAGCGAAATCGGCCGGTAGTTCCTCTTGGTGCTTAGCATTATGAAGCGCCAGAACAGCCATCTGGCCCAAGAAAGATGGGTGCTCAAGCAGATCCTCAAGGCGGACCTTAAGGCCCTCTTGTTCAAGCAACCAAGTCAGCTGGGCCATGTTGAAGATGTCACCACCCAGATCGAAGAAAGACGAGTCAAGCTGGAATGCTGTTTGATTCGCGGGCTTGTCATTTGCGTCTGAGTCGATGGTGGTGGTTGAGGTGCGGGGAGGCAGAACCTGGTGCCACGAGCGAGAAAGGATGTCCGAGTGAACCAGGAGCTCGGCGATGGAGCGCGACTTAAGGTGTGCACTGAGGAAATGCTCGTCTGTTGTGCGGGGCAGGTCGTCGACGACTTGAGGTGGTAGGGAGCGCAGCATGTTGGGGGATGGGAGGGCGGTTGATGGGTTTGCGATCAAAGACTGTGCGGTCTCGCAAACCATTTCAAGGACCTTATCTGCGAAATCAGGAAGGATAGGCCCCTTCTCGGAGTAACCGAGAGTAATGTTTAAGTTGCGATCGTCTGCTGGGCGGGAGACCATTGTCAAATCCGCAAAGTTGTCGTTGACGCCTGCACCGCCCATGCGGTACTTGGTGTTGTCGAGCTCGAGCGATCCCTCATAATCGAGATTCTGGTGGAAGACAGACGTGGTAAAGTAAGTCCAGGCCGGCCAGTCGGTGCAGTGCTTGATGATTTCTCGGAAGCCCAGGGACTCGTAGGGCATATTGGAGACTTGCTGGTCTTGGAGGTAGCGGAAGAGCTCCAGACCGGTCCATCTGTCGTTGAAGTTCACACGGACAGGGATGACATTGACGCATGGGCCGACAGTTGTCTCAATACCAGGGACAGTAGCGTTACGGCCGCTGATAGTAAGACCGAAAACGACGTCAGACTGGGAAGACAATTTGGCGAGAGTTAAGGCCCAAGAAGCTTGCATGAGTGTCGCGATGGTCACATTTCCAAGAGCAGTTGGAGGAATCTCGATTGTCTTGCGGATCTCAGTGAAGGCTCCAACATTTTGGAACATGGTTGTACCCTTGCGTTGGACAACTTGTGTCATCATCGACCCCTTCAAGAGATTGGACCAGTGGTTGTAATGATCCGGGCCAATCGTCCCGGGCAGTTGGCGAAGGTAGCTGGCATAGGGAGTAACCGGTGGCAAAGGACTGCCTTCATAACCATACTTGAGAGCAGACATTATCTTCGGGATGCACACTCCATCATACTGGGTATGAGAAAGGCGGATCATAATGCGGTGCTGGTCGCTTCCTTTCTTCTTGACGACGTAGAACTGAACATATTGTTCACCCTCGCGTGGGCCATACTCTCTGTCACGCTGCTGAAGAGTCATAGTAAACTCATCCAGGCCACGATCGGTATCGTAAACAAAGATACTTGGGCGAATCTTGCGCAGTACGACCTGGAAGAATTGATCATGGAAGCACACAAATACAGTGCGCAAGATATCGAATGCATCGACGACCTTGAGACAGCTCTCACGAAGACGCCGGAGATCCACGGGACCGTTGCCTTCCAGGAAGAAGTAGTTCAACATCCACCGGGACTTGAAAAGAGTCGCAGTCAGGGACATTGCCTGGAAGTCTGTAACAGGGAGGACATCGGCGATGCCGCCCTTGAAAACGCCGATCTTGGGGCAAATACCCCGTTGCACTGAATCATCATCCATGGCCTTGGCAGGACGTAATACAGTGATGCTTTCGGAAGACGGAGTCGCTGCCAGGGTGGTTGGTTTGCTGCCCGGGAATGACTGAATCTCCTTATGAGCGGACTGGAGATCAGCGTTCAGAATCTGCTGCGTAACATTGGCAGCGCGGACAGTGGTGAGCATATCCTCGAAAACAGGATTGTTGAACACATCCGCAACAGTAAGCACAAACCCTTCTTCACGAGCAGCACTGACCATCTTCATGGCAATGATGCTATCTCCTCCAAGCTTGAAGAAGCTCTCCTGATGTCTCACGACATTTGGCGATAGACCCAGAGCAGTACTCCAAAGGTTCCAAAGTCTCCTCTCCACATCGGCCGACATACCCTCCTCACTGCATCGCGATGTTGCTGAACAAACACCCGAATCGTCGGCTCCCAAATTTCCTTCCATTGGGTAAGGCGAATCGATTCCATCATCAGTGTGACCATAGCCAGAAAGGCTAGAGGTCTGGATTTGTGGAACCATCAACTTGCCCTCCCTCAACATCTGCCCAATAATCTCATGAACACGGTTATCGATAATCTTCTGAATAGCAACTCCATCCAACGGATCAATCACAGCCTTCACCTTTTCGTTCGCAGTGGACTGGGAGTAGATCGACTCCGAAGCCAGCTCATCTGCAACACTACCATGGAGGTTCAATGAGGAAACAGTGGCAGTGGGGGCCTCAATAAAGCCAGTGAACACCTTGGCAATAGTGTCCACCAAGGACTGGGCTTGCTCATCAGAGACGACATCACTCCAGTAACGCAGCATAATACCTTCACTTCCTCGAGAAATATCCACATTGACGGTGACAGCGTACTATTTATGTTAGATACAGAACCATCCGAATGTTTGATTGTGGAAGAATACTTACCTCACTAGGATCGTGAGCATGTTGCAAATCAAAGGTCAATCCACTGTCCTTGGTACCCCCAGCAACAGTGTGGTTCTGGATTGACAAGGTAGTGTTGAAAAGGGACTGGCCCTGCCAACCAAGTTCATGCTGAATGCTCGCCAGCGAGCAGCTTTGGTGGGGAATACTGCTGATGTAGTCGGCGTTGACACGCTTCGAGACATGATCCAATGTGTTTGATGGCGAGAACTTCACGCGACAACAAAGCATGTTGATAAAGATTCCGACCATGTCTTGAATTCCGTTCACAGGAGCATCACGCCCAGCAGACAGGTAGCCAAAGCAGACATCATCAGAACCAGTGAATTGCTTTAGGACGATGGCCCAGGCTGAAAGAGTCAAGTTTGATAGGGTGACGGAGGCCCGTTCGCAGAAAACTAGCAACTCTGGATATCGCTGGAAGTTCATCAGAATACCCTTGAGTTCACGCTTGGCCTGGTAGCCAGCATTCGAGGCCAGATGGCAGGGATTGACACCGCTGAGGTACTTCTTCCAGTGATCTAGGGCCTGACCTCGGCTTTGAGTTCTGATGAACTTGATGTACTCGCTAAAGGATGGTCCGGAGCCTTCAGGAAGCCGTCGGTCATAAGCTAAGGTCAGGTCACGCAACAAGACATCCACACCACCTCCATCGATGATGGCGTGGTTGATTTCAAGCTTGACGAACACCCGTCCTGGAGGGGTTTTGCAAACAGTGAACTGGTTGGAGATCTTGGCTGGGCGCATGGCGTTGATATTGTGAAGGGAGATGGCACCAAGCTTTTCGTGGACATCGCACTCGGGGCATTCCACGCGGAGGACATAATCAGGGATCTTCTTGAAGACAAGCTGATCAAATGATCCACCACTATAGTTGCTGTCAATGAACACGGTTCGAAGAACAGGGTGCCGTTCAACAAGCATCTGCCATGCCTGGGCGAGCCTTTCAGCGTCGACCTTGCCAATGCGAGAATCCTTAATCTCAAAGATGGTATGAAACATGTAGGCACTGGGGTCTCGAAGTTGGCTAAGGAGCAGACCTTCTTGCATGGGCGAACAAGGATAAATATCCTCCACGTCGCTCTTGCTGCGAATACCAAGCTTGCGGAAAGTATTGTTGGTCAAGCTCTGCAGCCCTTTGTAGTCAATTGGCAGTAGAGGATAGTCGCTAAGGGTAGGCTCAGGTGCAGCAGTCTTGAGTGTTGACATGTCCTTCTCTAAAGTCTGCTTGCACTGGAGAATCCAGCGGCGAATCTGGCCTTCATTTTTCATGTTGCGGTTGTAAGTGAACGCAACGTTTAGGCGCTCTTTCACAACAATAGCAGAGACCTCGAAAAGGGCAAAACGAACGGTCTCAGGGCCCATGTCGCCCGCGACGGCGAAATCGGAGCTGTCAAACACGTTACCTTGATGACGGAAAAGGGAGTCTGCCCGCTCAAGCTGTTGCATCTTCCCAAGGTAGTTAAAGAGAATTTCCAATGGGACTTGGAAATCATCACCCCCAGATTGAAGCAGGCTCTTTGCAAAATAGGGCCGACCATTATCAACTATCTTTCGACGAGTGTCCTTGACACGTTTGATCATATCAATGATACCTCCTGTGGGAGTGATTAGCACTTGATCTTCCTGAAGTTTGCAAGAAAGAAAATACCTTGCTGTCCATCAACATGCAATGGAGACATGGTGGTAAACCAGCCGACAGTTCGAGAGAGGTCGATGCTGGCATCCCATGATTCACGGCCATGACCTTCGTTGTAGATTGTTGGAATCTTGCGGTCAGCGAAAACCTGCCCAAACGAGTCTATGATAGATGCGAGCAGGACATCGACAGTCTCGGTTCCGAAAACTTCATGACAACCTTCCAGGATGAACTTTGTAGCCTCTTCACTCAAGCTGAAAGATTCCATTTTGATGTCACCGTAAACATTGGGGGAGTCTTGCATACCCCAGTAAGCGAGATTTGACGCTTCGGGGGTAAAGGGCAGCTCAAGATCAATATCATGGGTTTTTGATCGATCGAGTTGCATCGCACACCAGCTTTGGAATGATAGTGCCTTCTCATCTGAGAGAGAGCCAGAGACGACCAGCTCCTCAAGATCAGAGAGAACGATGCGCCAAGAAACCATGTCGACACATAGATGGTGAGCGACCAAGAATAGTACCTGGCCACCCGTGCGCAGGTTGAATAGGTCAGCTGCAAAGATGGGACCATTCATGGGATCCAAGCAGGACTGGCTCTCGGCAATTCTAGGAACCATACCACGCGTGTCACTGACAGAGTGCAAACGGAACCGGAAGGACTCATCAACCTCCTGTCGGTAATTGTTAGTTGTTTTCAATGAGTGACTATGCTCAATACATACTGCAGCTCCCTTTTGTTGCCATTTTCCATCAATACCCTTGCTGAAGCGGGCACGGAACATGGCGTGCTGGGTGGTCACGGCCTTGATCGCCCGTCGCAAGACCTCGCCTTCCACTCTGCGAGAGATGCGAACAGTCATGCTCTGGTTGAAGCGGGCTGCACCTTGGAAAGAAGTTGAGGACTGCATGTACATCTTCTGCACAGGAGAGAGAGCAAATTCCTCTCCAATCTTCTCCTCGCGGTGGATGACAGCAGGAGCCTTGGAAGTGGCAAATTGTGACAGCTCCTTGACTGTTCTACTTTGTAGAATATCGTTCAAAGTCAAAACGAGGCCCTGTTTACGCGCCCGTGAGATAACTGCCATGCCGGTGATACTGTCTCCGCCTAGTTGATTTTGTTAGCATAGTAACCATTTTAAATTGTGTCTAGGTTTTGTTGGAAACCCACCCAAGCTGACGAATGATCGGTCCACGTTGATCTTTGACAGGGAGATGTTCAAGACCTGCGAGAAAATTTCACGAATGATCTTGAGTGAGCCATCATGCTCCTGCTGCTTTTGTGGCTTCTCGGTTGGGCCACGCTTCATAGAATCGTAATCTTGCATGATGCGGTCGTAAGTTTCGTCATCAATGCTTTCAAGCCATGCTGTAATTCTCTTACGATCAAGCTTTCCAGAAACCAGCATAGGGAGCTTCTTGATCAAAGCCCAGGATGCTGGAACCATGTAGATCGGAAGCTGAGACTCGAGGCTTTTTTGGACTTCGGCCAGGCCAGCGAGACCTGTGATGTTGAAATCATCCTCATCAAGTAGCTCGCAGGGCTTGTCGGAAATGAGTTTGGTGTCCGCGGAAATGCTGTTTATTGACATGACTGTAACCAGGCGTTTCTTGAAAGGGCCAGTCTTGGGTAAGATGACAACAGCATTGCGGACGAGGGCGTTTGCTGCGATGCGATGCTCAATCTCACCGAGCTCCATGCGCTGCCCATTGACCTTGACCTGGTGGTCTTTGCGACTGACGTACTGCACCGAGCCATTGGCGTTGTAGTAGCAGAGATCTCCGGTCTTGTAAATTCTCCTGGGAGACGGCAGGTGGGACTTGAAAGCCTTTCCCCAAGCCGGATCTTCAATGAAGCACTCGGCATTTTTCTCGGGGTTCTTCATGTACTCTCTTGCTAGAGACATTCCCTCAAGAACGAGTTCACCGACCGCACCCAATGGTGCTAGTTTGTGGTGATTCTCGGGATCCACAATCCAGGTCAGTGTGCTTGGAATGCCATGGCCAATGCGACCTGGATCGCGGTGAGATGCCACCTCGGTATCAACGGTAGCGAAAACGCAAGTTTCTGTCGGTCCGTAAACGTTCATAAACTTCACACAATTCACCCATTTGTTGACGACCTCTTGCATAACCTGTTCTCCGCCCACGGTCATATATCGGACAGAGGGAACAGATGATGGCTCAATGATGCCCGCGATTGCCGGTGTCAGGAAGACCCAATTCACATTCATACGTCTGATGGCGCCGGACACGTCGTTGAGGCGCTCATCTTCACTTGGAACACAGATACAACCACCAAGCATCAAGATTGCCAGTGTTTCGAGGATAGCAGCATCAAATGTGAGGGATGCAAATTGGAATACTCTGGATGTTGAAGTCAACGATGTAACAGGGGCGAAAGACATAATACTGCTAACAGCATTTCGGTGCTCAACAATGATACCCTTGGCACGTCCGGTGCTGCCAGATGTGAAGAGGGCGTAAGCCATGTTGGATGGAGTGACTTGATCACGGCTCTTGGAAGAAGAGTTGATGGAGCCATACGCTTTCAGTGTCTCCTTACTGATTGGAATGACAGTTTTGACCACCCTGGTGTACTTGGCCGTGTAGTTTGGAGTGCAAAGAATCATGTTAGCTCCAACATCAGCCAAAATCTCCTCATGCCGGGAAGTAGGGTGGTGAGGATCGAGGGGAACGTAAGCACCGCCCGCAATCAAGATACTAATAAGAGTGACCATTGTCCAGGCAGACTTGTCAAGACAGACAGGGACCAAGACTTCAGGGCCAACTCCACGAGAGACCAGGTAATTGGCAAATAATGAGGCCAAGTCCCAGAATTCTCTATAAGTGAGTTCTCCATCCCAGGCGCAGACAGCCGGCGCATCAGGATTCTCAATCGATTTCTCACGAATAAACTCGTGAACACACTTCTCAACTGTTAGTGGCACACGCTGATTCCATTCAGCAATGGTAGCTACGTCCTGGGAGCTAGCGACCTCCAAGTCGGACACTTTGCCACTGCTTCCCTTGGGAATGGACATGAGCTGCTTCAAAACATGACCAAACTGTTCAATTAGTCGATTGGTCTGCCAACCACTCACCACCAGCTCGTCGTGGTGGGCAGTGAAAGAAATGCTAGTCTTGGAAATACCACATTCCAGGACAAGAGGGTGGGTAAAGAAGTCTTCGCTAGTTTCGCGCTTCTCATCGATCCAGATGCTGTCATTTAATTGACCCTCGGTGGGTTGAATTACCAGTAAATTCTGGAAGTTGCAGCCGGAGGCCGTATCAGAATCGATCTGACGGATACGCTGTAGACCTGCGTGGAGATGAGGAATCATCTCAGTGGTGGATTGATGAATTGAGTCGAGGTACTGGAGAATCGACATGTCTTTGACGACTTTGACGCGTGTTGGCACGGTACTCAAGACAGGACCAGCGATATCGCCAACGCCAGGGAGGTCAATATTGCGACCGGAGAGTGTCTCTCCAAAGCATACATCAGGAGATGAAGTATGTGTAGAGACAACTATGGCCCAAGCAGCACGCAGGAGAATGGGAAGTGTGTAGTCGACACTGTTCGTCGGTCGGGAAATTTCCATCTGATGATGCTGGGTATTACCGGCGCGGATGACATCTGGAACAGCATTCTTGTTTTGCGGGAAAGGAGTGGTTGAGATCTCTGACAAGTATGACTTCCAGAATGCATCACACTCTGCCATATCTTTCTTGGCAAGGTACTCTATGAAAAGACCATAGGAAGCTGCTGGTTCCTTGTTCAGTGAGGCCTTGTAGTTCTCTTCAAAACGTCTGTAAATCAATGGGATACTCCAACCATCGTACAAGGCGTGGTGAACGGACCAAACGAAGTACGATACAGATGAACCCCGGGGCTGGACTATGGCGTAGCCAGTCAAACGAGCACCGTTGAACTTTGGAAGCTCAATTGAGTCCTTGGGGAGTTGGCTAAAAGACTCAGCATGCACCCAAGAGATGGGGTCCTCTTTGAGGATAGCTTGGGCAAAGTTCATCGCTTCGGTATGGATGATGCGGGTTCGGAGAATGTCAAGGTCGACGACAGTCTGCTCCCAGGCAGCCTTGAAGCGATCAATATTAGCACCGTCGGCAAGACGGAAAGCTGGTTGTGCAACATATGCACCGTGGTGCTTGATTGACATAGTCAGTAGTCCTTCCTGGACAGCACTGCATGGATAGACATCGGCAACACAATCCTTGGAGACCAAACAGCCTTCGCTTATCTCATCAAGAAGAAGCTCAAGATCAACACCGGAAGGCAAAAGGGAGAATGGATCAAGAGGTTGGTGCTTGACAGGCGCTACCTCTTTTGCACTTGAGCAAACCTTCGCCATGTCAATTAGAACAGGTGTCTTGAAAATCGTAGCGACGTTCAGTGGGATTCCTTCAGCCTGAGCAGCACCCACCAGATTCATAGCAGAGAATGAATCACCACCAAGGGCAAAGAAGCTGTCTTCATTCGTAACGGATCCCTGTTCAAGATCAAGGGTCTTCTCCCAAAGAACTCTAAGTTTTCCTTCAATGCCATTATCCGAAGCTTCTTCGGCCTTCACGCCAGTATTGAAAGTGATATAAGACTTCAAGGTCTCCTTAGACAGAGTCTGGACCATGGCACGGAGACGCCTGCGGTCAATCTTCGCAGAAGATGTAAAGGGAAGGTTGCGAAGAGGGAAGAAAAGACGAGGCATCATGCTCTGGGGAAGATAGTCCGGAAGAGAACTTTTCAGCTTCTGCACAGCATCCATGTTATTGACAGAAATTGGCAAGAGAAGAGGGTCAGCTCCCGGGATGGTGGGAGCGAATTGATCGTTGGTGCCACCCTTCTCCGAGTCTCCATCGTGGACGGTGAAGAATGCAGCAAGACCTTTAGCGACGGTCTTTCCCTGGGGAACAACAACATCAACGGCAACCTGCGATCCCTCAGGGAGACAACGGGTGCACTGGTGCTCAATCTCCTCGAGCTCGATACGTTGTCCGTTGAACTTGATCTGGGTGTCCTTGCGGGAAATGAACGCGAGGGTGCCATCGCTGTTGTACCTGACAAGATCACCAGTGCGGTACATTCGGTCACTGCGCTTAAAGATTCCATGGAGACCAGTGTGATGACTCCATACGGGATCCTCGACGAAGACAGCTCTGGTCTTTTCAGCATTTCCGAGGTATTCACGGGCAATGTTACTGCCCTCAAGCAACATCTCACCCACAGCGCCGACGGGGAGAAGGCGATTGTGGTTGTTGGGATCAACAATCCAGACTCGACAATTGGCAGCAACACCGATTGAGGTAGGATCATCATTAACACGGTTTCCATCCCAGTCAATCTTGACACCGACGGTCGCAACAACGGTGGCTTCTGAGGGCCCGTAGGCATTAATGACAAATCGATCATTCCAGCGATCAATGTGGTTGGCGGGCATCTTTTCACCTCCTGTGATGATGGTCTTGAGGGTGGGAACAGTTTTCGGCTCTAGGGTATTGACAATGGCAGGAGGAGAAGACATGTAATTAGCCTCCATACGGCGAATGGCGCCACCGAGGTTGTTCATGCGCTCCTCTTCACTGGGGACACAGACACAACCACCGGTCATCAAGGTCATCATGATCTCGAGAACGCTGACATCGAAAGTGTAGTTTGAGAATTGCAATGCACGAGTTCCGGAGTTCATGTGCAGTGCATCCATCATGGCGATAGCGGTTGTGCTGAGCGCTATGTGTTCCACGACGGTTGCCTTAGGCTTTCCAGTAGTTCCAGAGGTAAAAATGGCATAAGCAGCGTTTCCAGGAGTTGGACGTACACCAGGCAAGGCCAATGGTGATTCCGGTAGTTGAGAAATGCTTGTCTGGGACACAGCGAGAGCCTTTTTGCAAAGCTTAGCCATTCTTGGCTGTAAAGAGGTTGAGCAGAGAACCAAATCAGCACCGATCTCGTCAATCAGCATTTGAAGACGCGAATCGGGGTGCGAAGGATCGATGGACACAAAGGCTCCACCGGCTTTAAGGACAGCCAACTGTGCAACAATCGCCCAGGCAGACTTTTCAAAGCACAGAACAACGAAAGTTTCCGGCTTGATACCGAAGCCAGTCAGGTAGCGAGCAAGTCGGCTAGCCACGATGTCGAGCTGACCATAGGTGAAATCCTTGTCCCACGAGCAGATAGCTTCGGCGCGAGGGTGGAGGAGGGCTTGCTGTTGAATGAGTTCATCGGCGCACTTTTCAACGCGTAGTGGTGTGGTGGCATTCCAGTCACGGATTTGGCGGCAGGATCGCTGGGACAAAAGGTCGACACTTCCAATGTTTCGCTTGCGAGGATCAACAGAAATTATATCGTTGAGAATTTGATCGAAAGTATCGATGACATGAGTGACCTGGACGGATGTAAGAGTCTCTGTGGAGTAGCTGAAATGGATCTCTGCGACAGATGTAGAGACCTGTGCTGTAATAGCAATGTTGTAGGCTTTTGAAGTAGCTGTATCTCTGGCTCGCCGTGGAGGTAGAGAATCAACGGCGCGGTAAGTAAGAAGGGTGTTGAAAACATTCGCATCGTCAAAACCAAGCCGTTGCTTGACGACAGTGAGGTCGGCAAAGTTCTCCTTGCTCTTCTCAAAGTTGTTCTTTGTCTTTTGCAGTAGTTCATCAACATTTAGATCGTTGTTCAGAATCAAACGTGCAATGGCGATGGAAGATGGATCGTCTGTCTGGGAGAGCCAGTATCCAAAACAGACATCGTCGTTACCGGTGTAGCATCGCAAAACCAAACCCCATGCAAACTGGAACAAGATTTCAACAGAAACCCCAGCCATTCTGGCAAATGCGTGCAATTGATTGGTTTGCTTGTTGAGGGTCCGGGTTGAGCGACCCTTCTTGCCGGTTTCTTGGGAGATGGCTGGAAAGTTGCATGGCTCAATTTCGGCGAGATACTCTCTCCAAAAGTCGAGATTAGTATTTGAGAAACTCTGGCGAGAAATTCTGTTTGCAGATTGAGTTCGAGCCCACTTCTTCACATCAAAGGACGCAAGAGCTGTGGTAGACAAGTCTAGTATTTCAGCGTTCAAGCTCTGATAGTTAGTCTTACCGAAGGGGGTAAGGGGTATGGAGGAGATGGGGATGTAGAAACTCGGGACCTTGCTTGCGGGAATCTTTGTGGACAAGTGAGTGTGTAGTGCCGAGATAGTTGTCTTCAACTCGGGCGCCGAATTCTGGATAACCCGTTCATCAAAGCTGGCGGAAGAGGCATCGCTTGTGCAAATGAAGATAACAACCTGTTGTTCGCCTCCAAACAACAAAGTGTCCACCACAGCGCGTCGCTTGGACGCAAGAAAGACGTGGATGCACTGTTCAACATGGAGGCGTTCGGCGCATGGCACAAAGTGACGATCTACGTACTTCCGCCCGACATAGGCGAAAGACCCATCTGAATTGTAGCGGACAAGGTCTCCAGTCTTGAAGAATTTACGAGGCGGAGCCGATCCCGCGTCAGATTGGTCTTCCATGGAAGCCAACCAAGAAGGGGCTTCGAAGAAACAAGTGGCGTCTCCTTCGCCGAGGTATCGGGAGGCAAGACCTGGACTTTCAACAACTAATTCGCCAACAGCACCAACAGGAACCAAGTTGTTGTGGTTGGAAGGGTCAACAACCCAACAGAAACAAGAGGCTGCCGATCCAATCGTTTCAGATGATGTCTTGGCAGATGTCGTATGGAAACAAGAGGATGAGATTTCTGTGGCTCCAAAGAATTGGTGGAGCTGTAGGTCTTCTACTTGCCACTTCTGGAGTACGCCCTCAATTGCCAGTTCCCCAAAAATAGCCACCACCTGTAGGCCAGGGACATCCCTGGGGCTGATGTAAGTGGCAATGCTCGGCGTAATACAGGTAGTGTTAGCATGAAGGGCATTGATCGCAGTCGCCAGGGTGGCTGGGTTCGCATCAGTAGGGATGCATAGACAACCACCATGCATGAAGGCGCCAATCGCTTCGAGAATGAACAGATCACTGGTATGGGCGGCAAATTGAAGCACTCTTGACGTATCGTTAAGCTTCAGGGATGACGCGAAGGCCTCGGCTCTTGTCATGATGCTCGAATGGTTGAGGACGACAGCTCGGGCAGTCTTCAGAGTACCAGCAGAGAAAGCAACGTAAGCAGGGTCCGTTGGACCTGCCGCAGAAATAAGAGGCTCATCATTGAGGTATTCAAGGAGCGATTCTGTTACCGGAATGACGTATGGAATCGTGTTCTCAAGAACCTGTGCCTTGTCGGGGGATGCGAGTGCAACTTGCACGGCGTTCTCAACGATCCATGGCTCGATTAGACTCATGGTCTTTGGAGAGTCAATGGGAATGCAACCACCTCCTGCTTTCATGATGGCGAGCACGGCGACAATGTTCCACACTGATTTATCAAACGAGGTCGGGATCAGACTGCCTGGTCCAACACCAAAAGTTACCAGATAGGTAGCAAGGCGGGAGGAGTACTGGTCCAGCTTGGAGTATGTCAGACTACCGTCCCAAGATGTGACTGCCAATGCCTCTGGCTTCTTGCTGGCCATTTCCTGAACAACCTGGTAGGCGTGCTTCTCGATTGTTTGAGGTGTATTCCTGTGCCAGGAGAGTATATCTTCCTTGTTGCTCTGGCTCAATACATTGAGAGAGCGAAGTTCACTCTCAATGTGTGTCGTGATGCTCTCCAAATACTGGACGTAAGTGTTAGCAACATTGAGAGCCTGAGCATCAGACAGACTAGTGGTCCAGTAGTTGATGTTGATCCTCGCTTTTGTGTCCATAGCTTCAATGTTAATGAAAACGGGGAATTCGGCAGGGTCATGGATAGATCCAACCTCCACACACTCAATATCACTGGCCACCGCATCCTTCGCACCAGGGAGGCGGCGGTATGAAACACCTGAGTTAAACAGGTTTGCATCGGACAGCTTCAGTGCATGTTGAATGTCAATGAGAGAAGTGTGGCGGAATGGAAGGCTCTCCATGTAGTCGTCTTGAATTTGCTGAAGAACATCGCTGAGCAGTGCGTCACTCGACATCTTCATCCGGCAAACCATGAGATTGATAACTGGACCGACGACCGATTGAATGCCATCGGCACTCACATCGCGCAGTGAAGCCATGTAACTGAAGCAAACATCATCAGATCCGCAGAAAAGGCGTAAAGTAAGACCCCATGCCGCATTGAACACATTGGATAAGGTGATTCCCTTCTTTTCACACACTCTTTGGAGCTGGGCCAAAGATCTAAAGTTCACTGGCATCGACCGAAGGGTTTTCTCCTGTCCTTTCTTACCATCGATGAGAGTCGGAAACATGCAAGGCTTAGCATCTGAAAGATAAGATTGCCAGTATTCAATGCTGGCCTTCTGTGGAGCATCCTGCAGGAAGCGAATGTAGTCCTTGAACAGGGGGCGAGGGCTCTCCTGTAATCTTCCAACGTATGCAAGCTGCAAATCACGAAGGATGATAGAGATGGAGTTACCATCCATGGCAGCGTGACTCAACTCAATGCGACAGAAGATTCTGTTCGTCGATGTCTGGCAAATACTGAACCGGTACGCCGGAGTGAGATCGTTATAGTCTTTGGGATCCTGGGCATCGAAGGTAGCCATTACATCACTGTCTCCGACTGATTGCAAGAAAACAGGAGTGGGGTCAAACTCTTTGAAGACAACCTGGCTGAACGGATCGTGTGGGGTGAGATTCTCGACGAAGATAGTGCGGAACATGGCATGGTGAGAAACAACCTCCTTCCAGGCCTCTACGAGTCGATCAATGTTGGGTGCGGTAGATCCTGTACCCTGAACTTCAAATGTGTCATGAACAGCATAGTAGGAACTGTCACGACTGCGGCCAAGTAGAATACCCTGTTGCATACGCGAGCAGGGATAGATATCCTCAATCATGTCAGGTGATGTGATACCAAGCGCAGGCAGCTTCTTCGTGAGCATATTCTGGAGACTGTCATATTGCAAAGAAAGCATAGGAAATGAGCTCAATGTCAATCGGGAAGGCATGGTCGATAGTTGATCCGAAAGCGCAACGAGCTGCTTCTGGCACTGTGATACCCATGAGTGGATACGGTCCTGGTGCTGCATGAACTTGTTGAAGGAGAATGTAAAGCGAATCTTGCCAGCAACTACCATAGCGGAAATCTCAAACAGACCGAAGCGGGGAGTAACGCGTCCAAAGTCAGCATCATCACTACCCTGACCAGTCTCGCCGGCCATTTGATCAACCAGATTGAAAAGACCGTCTTCTCGCTGAAGATCACGATGCTGACCAACATAGTTGAAGGACATCTCGAACGGGTGGGGGTGAGTGCCACTCTGTGGGCTTCCATTGTTGAGAACCCGACTCGCGAAGTCGGCGCGGCCATTGTCACTGACCCTGCGGCGAAGATCTTTCACCTGAATAAGAGTGTCGATGGGATCATCTGATTTGTATCCGTTGACAAAGATTGGATGAAGGATGGTAAACCAACCAACGGTGTGCGAGATGTCGATTGAAGGATCCCAGACTTCACGTCCATGGCCCTCGTTGTAAATGACGGGCAAAGACCGATCTTGGAAGGCGTGACCAAAGGAATGTAGCATTGATGCAAGGAATAAGTCAATTGGCTCGGTATTTAGGGCCTTGTGGCAATCAAGGAGAATTGACTTGGTATGAGCCTCATCAATCTCAAAAGCAGCGCAGTCGACATCACCATATGTTGTCTTCTTATCCTTCAATCCCCAGTAGCCGAAGTCAATGATCGGCAGCGGATCAGTCGGGACTCTTCCTTCGATGGCCAGGCTCTTGGAGTGTTCTTCTTGGAGACGACACCAAGTCTGGAACGGTAGCGACCCATGAGCAGCGGCAGACTTCTCTGGGTTTAGAACAAGATCTTCCAAGTCTCCAAGGATGATTTTCCATGACACGATATCAACAACAAGATGGTGGGCGGTCATAGACAGAATGTGAGGCTGACTCTGATTCTGCATGCGGAAATAGTCGACTGCCAGCAGCGGACCTGAAAAGCAATTGATGCTTGTTTGGCTCTCTCCTATGAATGGCTTAATCGCATCCATATTCGCAACGGTATGGGTGCGCCATCGATATGAGCCGTTGACATCACGGGTGGTTCGTTGAGCTGAAGCGCCAGCTGCACCACTATCGTCGAATCGCGCCCGCAACATGGAGTGTCGGGTAATAAGGGTATCGATGGCTTTCTGCAGAATGCTTTCATCAATTGGCTTGCTCAAACGTGTCAGGATTCCCTGGTTAAAATGACCCTGGCCCTCTTTGCGCACACCAAAGTGTAGCAATTGAATAGGTGACAAATTGAAGGGCTCGTCGACGGCTTCTTGGTAAGTGGTGCCATGTTCGATCGCTTTGGCACGGGTAGCGAGATCACGGATTGACTTGCTCCGAAGTACTTCCTGCACAGACAACCCAATTCCATGCTTCTTGCAAAGTCCAATGCAAGTCATAGCAGCGATCGAGTCACCACCAAGAGCGAGAAAGCTCTCGTTGAGACTGACGAGATTCTGCGGAATATTAAGAACACGGCTATAAACAGCGGCCAGGGCATCCTCTGTTGAATTTCCGGGCTGAGAGACCTCTGCACCCAATGAAGGACTGTGAATGGCTTTTCCAACATCGGGATCGCTTTCCATACTTGTCACCCAGCTTGCAATTCCTTTCCGGTCGAGTTTCCCGGATGGCAGAAGTGGCATTTCTTGTACGCACAACCAGACAGCGGGTACCATGTAAGTCGGAAGGCGTGCTGAAAGCCTTTCACGAATTCCTGGAATAAGTTCAAGTTTCAGCTGCCTAGGAATGAGTCCCAAAGGCTCCAAATCACTCTGGTCTTGCTCGGCCAGCAGCCCTGCGAAAGAAACGACAGCTGCCAGTCTGCCCTTAGAAAAGCCAGCCTTAGGGAAAAGGACGGAACAATGAGTAATTTTTGGGTCTTGTGTCAACTGGGTCTCGATTTCTCCAAGTTCAATGCGCTGGCCGTGAACTTTGACCTGCGTGTCTTTCCGCCCGACGTAGTTGAGAGAGCCCGTATCCGAGTTGTATCGCACCAAATCTCCAGTCTTGTAAAATCTCCGATTCATGGCCCCTGATTTATCCATCTTCGTCCAAGCAGGGTCGTAGATGAATGACTCCCTTGTTTTCTCCGGGTTGTTGATATAGCATCGAGCCAACGTTGGCCCTTCAAGGAGAAGTTCACCAGGGCAGCCAACGGGTACCAGCTCGTCGTGATTTTCAGGATCCACAAGCCATGCTTTTACACCAACAGGCATTCCAATGTCCTTGCAATCGGTGTCGGGTGTTACACCTGTGTTCATCACAGATGCGACGCTGGCCTCGGTAGGCCCATATCCGTTGACCAATTTAATTTTCGACCAGGTAGCCAGCTGGGATTGCGACATTGCCTCTCCGGCCAAGACAAGAGCTTGCAATCCAGGCACACTCTCAATGTCGATAAAGCTGATGAATGATGGGGTAAAGCAAGCCTGGGTGACACGCATTTCGTTGATCGTGCCGACGATATCATTTAACCTCGCCTCCCCGCTGGGAATGCAAACACACGCACCGTGGATCAGTGGGGTCAATGATTCCGCCAAGCTCGCATCGAAGGTATGAGCTGCAAATTGAAGACATCTGGAATCCCGAAAGATAAGAAGGCTTGGGCCATGGGCCTGGGCACTGGAGAGAAACGCGCGGTGCTCCAAAAGCGTTCCCTGTTGAGGTTGTCAGAGGCCAAAATCCGCTGGGAATAGTTCCGTTTAACTTACCTTGGGTTCCCCCGTAGATCCGGAAGTGAAGAGAACATACGCGGCATTCTGGCTGGTGACACCAGATGCAAGGTCCACCCCATCGGCGGGGTCCGCCAACCGGTCCATGGTCTCAGTGCACAAGGGAATTAAGGTCTTGACAACAGGCCGGAGAGCCTCTTCATGGTTCCCCGAGCACAACGCAACCGATGCCTTAACGGATTCAATCAGACGCTGAAGGCGGGAGGTTGGGTGTGTCGGGTCCAATGGAACGAAGGCGCCACCGGCCTTCATGACACCAAGCATTGCAACGATGTTCCATTTCTGAGAGTTGTAAGCTTTTGAACATTATCAAGTGTGTGGCTTACGACTTACAGATTTATCAAAAAGCAGAGCCACGCGGGCTTCAGGGCCAACGCCCTGCATCCGCAAGTGGCACGCTAACTTGGAAGCTAAGTGATCAAGCTCCCCGAAGGTCAATTTTCCATCCCAGGCGCAAACCGCCTCTCTTTCTGGCCCGGTAACAGCCTGGTCATGAATGGCGTCATGGATGCAGCGGTCATACAACTTCGGCGTGTGAGAATTCCACTTTTGGATGCGCTGCCAATCGTTCTCGGAAAACAAATTAAGCTTGCTAATAGCGGTGTTTTCCGAGGAAAGGATTTTGGTCAGGACCTGTTGGAAGATGTAGGCGACACTCTTCATTTGCTCGCCGGACATATCCCCGTTGCGCCATTCGAGGAAGATGTTGATGTCCCTGCGGAGCACCTTGACGTGGAGACGAACTTGACACTGGGGAATGTAAGCATAAGAATCAGATTGACCATTAATTGAGAATTAATATACTAACCTGTTCGGGAAGAGCAGTTGCCAACATTGGTTTGGAGGAAGACGAATCCGACTTCCGATATGTGCGCAGCATCAAGATGGTGTTGAACGGCAATGAGCCCTCGGCTGTCTCGAGATTTCCATTTTTGAGGTTCTTCCACACTTTATCTACAATTTGCTGAATGGAATCGTTCTCATCAATCGCGACTCGGACAGTCGACAGGTTGGCAATGCTGGACCTCTGTACATGGTTTCGAGAGCAGGTTGTGTCACCGTCGATGTGTTGGTAGCCGAAGGAGATATCCTCAGTGCGGAGATAGTAATGCAGGACCAGAGCCCAAGTAGCCTGCAATACCGAAGTGAGGCGACCTTCGTGCCATGCGGTTAATAACTGCGCATTTTGCGAAGAAGTCGGTCTCGTTTTCATCGACACCGGGCGCTTAGATCCATCAATGGCAGTGGCGAAGCGAGGAAGGAAGCACTGTGACGATTGAGCCATGATATCGGAGTCCGAAATTTGCTTGTTCTTTCGTTTGATTTCCAATCAAAAATAACGTATATGCGTCGCGTGTATATTTCAGTGGAAGCCGATAAACAGGCGTTGAAAGAGTGCCCTCGAATTAGATTGGATGTGAGTATGTATTAGATCCAGTTACGAGGTTGGACTTTTCACGCGGAGTTGGAAGGTCTCAGTGATTTTAAAAGAACGACAAGTTTTTATTATTGTTTTCACTATTTTTTCCACTATTTTTTTTTAACTTAATTAACATACGCCATCGGTCATCGGTCCTCGGGGACTAGATGCATGGCCACTGCTCTACAATACAATACGACATGAGTCAATAGTACTACTTGCAATTCCGTAATCCCCCATGTATCTTCCTTGCATACATTCGAATCTAGATGGAGGAAGGGTTGGGAAGACGCCACACATGGAGCCAGTGCGGTTCAAGAGGTGGAGTCCGTTCACCCTTGTGGAACCAAGTCAGACATCAACTCAGGGCGAGACCGAAATGGTCCATCATTTTTGGGAAAAGAAAATCAGGCTGAAATAGATATAGCTCTAAGTTTTAAGATCTAGCAAGAGAAGAAACCAAAAAAAAAAAGTTCAAGTCAGAGAAAATACCACAAAAAAGACATGATGCAGGGGTACATTCACCTACAGAGTATTGTAACTACTTCGTACAATACCAAGATTCGAAATGACTCAAATGGATATGTTTCTGTTTTCGTTACAGAAAGTCAGATCCACTTGCAATTTCCCGATCAAGACCCCCTGGCCTACGAACGTGGGTTCCGCAAGGATGTAAATAGCTGTGACCTTTCATTTGGGTCTAAACATGATTTAATTTAATGTTTTTCTTACATTCCTTATTAAATCTCTCATATCGGCTGATCCGGATGACGACAGTTTCTAGAAATTGCATGAAGTTTTAAACCTGGAGAACAGGTACATGAGATCATGTTGGAATGCTCTCCATGCGACAGATTACATGAGGGAAATATGTAGGGTCCAGCGTCAGTGCTGCATCTATTGGTCCACTTTGAGCTCAGCAGATCGCATGACAATTTGTTACACCGACTAGATCTTGAAGACACACACGGAAGCCCCACCTTGGTAAAAGGGAGGGCAGTCGGAGGCAATCATGGCAATTGCAGTCTGTGCTGTACAATAGGGCTCAACAAGCAAGATTTAAGGTAGACATGGTACGGGGAGATCGATGATGTACCGCACAGTGGACGTTCACCTCGCAACCGAAGAAGAAGTGGAAGTGAGACGTCCAGCTTAATCGGGTAGTTCGGATGACTCCACTTGTCTTATTCTGAGGAGTTTTTTAAAATTGTATAATTGGATTTATGCATGTCAAAGTTACGAATAGTCGGTGGGCAATTAATTGTATTGAAGAGGAAAGTAGACTACACCCGGAATACGGTTAGGCCGACAAAGTCGGGGATGTTCTATTGACTCGGAACAATGGTTTTCGGTTGAGATGAAGAATTGACCCGAAAAGCATATTTGAACCAACCAGTACAGGAAAGAATGCGATTGGTCGTATCGTATGACCAAGCGAGGTCACACAGCCGGGAGATTTGAAGGAAAACGCTGAGGATTTGCAGTTCCGGGTACCTAAGGAAGACCTGGGGGGTTCGTGGCGCACAAACCTCCAAAGGGGATCACGCTAACTCGTTAGCCCTGGAGAAGCGCCCAATGGCATTTCTGCAAGGGCTTAGGGGGGATCGCGGGTCGATCCGCCTAGATCGACCTATCGTCCATGGGTTTGGGGGGAAATCATCATATTCCCCCTTTTTGTATCCTTAGCAGATACATCAGATTTAACTCCAAGCTTCTTCTACATTTGGTAGTCATTTTAATCTCAATAGCTATAAACCCAGTCAGTACTCCGTGCTCTCGAGCCTGTACCCCACCAAAATATGAACGGAAAATTAAAGTGCGAAAAAGCAAGGATCAAGGAACGAAAACAGGGAAATTTGGCCACATGGACGGAGAATTAGTGTACATTCTCAACCATGCTTTTTCTACACCCCTGCCCAGGTGTTGGGGCGAATAATAGTTGTGGGGGTTTTTCGGGTCAAACAAAAGTGGTCCTGAGGTCTGGATCATTAGGTTACGAATACTTGGACAAAGGAAAATCTGATTGTCGAGCCTTTAACCTCATCCGACAAGGATGTGGCACCAGGCTAAAAGTGGTGTGCATTAGCGTCAAACTACAGGATGGAAAGTCGTCCGTTCAGTTTAATTGTTTGGATGAACGTCTAGGCGGAACCACTCGGGAGGGAATGGGGGGAGTGCGGGCAATACACGCTAAGAAACTAGGGGCGATAGCTAGTGGTCAATCCTTTTGTACGAACCACTCGGGAGGGAATGGGGGGAGTGCGGGCAATACACGCTAAGAAACTAGGGGCGATAGCTAGTGGTCAATCCTTTTGTACGAACCACTCGGGTGTTGGGGTTGGGCGCTCCCGTTTATTCATGGAGACACTAGAGTATCTAGTTCCCGCAAACGGTGAAGGACCGCGTAAACTTTGGAATCCAGTCACGCTAACTCACTCATTAGTCTCAGGCCATAACTAGGTAGCTTTGTATATTTTCATCCATGTTGGGTCAGACGAACCGATACTATATATGTTAGCGATTTGCCCGAGGTATGAAACGTATATGTAGTGACCAAGAGATATATCTTGGAAGTCAGATCTTGTGAGATATATATTCCGGAACGTAGCGAGACCTCGCTGCAGATAATCATTTCCTTTTTCATTCCTCTCTTCTAATAAGTTTAGTCATGAGCACAGAGTGGATTTTATTTGAAATTTACTGTGGGTTCTAAAAAAAGTACGATGCAGTCCCCAATGGTTGTCGCCACCCATCAACCACGCTGTTGAGCAAGCCGGTTGATCCCAGTCAACTTGCAGATGCCTCGCTTACGAGTTTGGCTCATTGGGCCTGCTTGCTGTAGGTACGCATACCGGGGCATGTATAGGCTTCGCCCACGGCTATCATGGATACCACGTCGTCGCTCTACGCATCTCTTGCCATGTTAGTCCCAATTCCAATTCGTCAGGTTGAGCTGGCGACCGACTGGGAGAAATTTGTCTAGAAAATGGTCCAGGCCGATCTACCACAGAAAAAATTGAGAGGCATTGGACGCATGTCATCAACGAAAATAGCTGTAAACTCGCTTGGCCCCCACTAACTAGTGGAATGTGAAAAGCAAATCCGGGAAGTGACAGGTGGATCTGCCAGTGGAGCAGCCACGGACACCATCCGGATTATACATGTAAGCATAAATCGGTGGTAAATGAAATACTTCACATAGGAACAAATATTACATAGAAACCAAGAACTTGATCCAGACTAGGGTGCACGACTCACACGAGTCATCGTTGCCACGTAATAATTTGGCTTAGTGTGCAAAAGCTGAAGCTAATGCCAAAGCACCATCCACTAGGTACACCTGACACATAGAATTTACAATTTCACCGGAAGTTTGGTGGTCCGGGATTAGCAGCCTTGGGCATCATTTTGTCTGACTTCATATTACCATCCTATGCGGTAAACGTGCTATGACTTTGCGATTGCGTTGTTTTAATTTGCATGGGGGGGATCTACAAGGGATCTTCCCCATACATCACACAGGTAGGATGGGCGCCCTCGCATAAAAGTAGGTTTTATTACGTTCGGGGAAGTAGGGGCTGCATCGAAACAGGAGCTAGAGATTTTCACCGTCTCCAGATAGAACAGTCACATTGGCTAATGGATACAAATGGTCCTGCAAGGTCGCTGGTTTCTCCCTCGTGTTCTATCTGCGGGAGCTCTTCGAGGCTTTTATGAACGGAAGAAGTTATTTGTTTACTCCAAGGGGTCGAGCTCAATTGATGCGTTTGCGTCCCCCACATCCCTAAGGGGGAAATTCGAAAATAATTCAGGAAAGGAAGGGTGCATAAACATAGTACCAATTGGTATGGTCTGGTCTATAGGAATCGACAGTGCAAACTCCGAAATCGGTGAAAGAGAGAAAAATAAATTATCAAAAATAGAAACTTCCACTGAGTTACGAATTACGCTAATCAAAACTAATCATGCAGTCATAGTAATTGAATAATAAAATTTTAAATAATAAAAGAAAAAGAAAAAGAAAAAGAGAAAAACGTCGTAAGGTTGCATTGGAAGTCCACTCGGTTGCAGGGACCCAACAGGCTCATAGGAGCTCAGGGAGTGTCTATGCAGTGTAGTCAGCTCCTGCAGAAGGGGGGTTTACACCATTTCGGATGAATCTGATCTAGATCACTAAAACCTGAGCTTTTGCCCCTATGTATTGATCTCTTTTTGAACTCTCTTATTTCCGCACTCGTGGAGCTTCTTCCTCAACCATCTTTCACACCTGGATGGTTCTTGGAGAGCAAACATGACTTCCTCCCACTCATCGGCTTCATGCCGTCAGATCGATAACACAATGCGCGTCTGGGCTGGATCATGTCGTGGTGGATTTGATTTTACACTACTGTTCGAGGAGACAATTCTTCAGATACTCCCTATTGCCCTAATTTTAATCCTGGTTCCGTTCCGGATCTACCAACTGTCGCAGCAACGGTGCAAAGTTGTTGATTCATGGTTGCTTTTGGTTAAGTTGGTGAGTGCTTGCTTTTTCAATATTCTCCGAGGGAATAAGTTGGAAATTGTGTAACATGTCAGTTGGGAACATTGCAGCTAACCAGGTGAACTTTCTATTAGGCTGCTTGGCTATTCTTCCTGGCGCTTCAAATTACCCAAACTGTACTCTGGGCTTTGCCTTCTTCTGATAGCACAGTCGCTTCGCTACCGACCAACATTCTTTTGACCATTGGCGCCCTACTACTTATGGTACTGGCCTATGCGGAACACACGCGATCCGTTCGACCTTCGTTTGTCTTAAACGCATACCTGTTCTGCAGCCTAATATTCGATATTGCACGGGCTAGGACTTTATGGCTTCGTTCTGCAGATTCCTTCAATGATATCATCGCAACGGTTACCTCTGTTGCCGTGGGTGCCAAGTTACTTGTTGCTACTTTGGAAGCGATTGAAAAGAGAAGCATCCTCAAATCGGAATACCAAGGGTACCCTCCAGAGGCAACTGCTGGATTCTACAACCGAGCTGTGTTCTATTGGTTGACACCTTTGTTCAAGGTTGGCTTCAGTAATTATCTTTCTGTCGAGGACCTCTCTCCTCTGGACAAGGAACTGCGATCGGAAAGACTGTTGGCAATTTTCGAGGAGCAGTGGAGCAAAGGTAATTGAGAGACGTGGTATACATCTATATCCTTAACTAACCGTCACCAGTGAAAGCCAAGTCTGCGAATACTCTCCAATGGGAGTGCTTCAAGGCTGCTAAGTGGCCTCTTCTTGCAGCTGTTCCGGCGCGGGCGTGTGTGGTGGCTTTTAACTTCTGCCAGCCCTTGCTCCTGACCAGGTCATTGTCATACTTCAATGAGCCGGCAAATAGTGCGACGAACAATGTAGGCTACGGCCTTATTGGAGCCTATGCTCTGGTGTACCTTGGCTTAGGCGTAAGTACCATACCTCCTTTGAACATAACATTTCGCTGACGGTTGGACAGGTTGCTATGGGTCAGTATCAGCACAACACGTACCGTGGTATTACAATGGCACGTGGAATCTTGGTCACTATGCTATACAAGAAAGCCAGCACTACCACACTCAGCAATGCTGACCCCGCCAATTCACTTACCTTGATGAGCGCAGATATTGAGAGAATTACCAATGGATGGCAGACAATGCATGAGATCTGGGCAAACTCCGTGGAGATTGCCCTTGCGATCTATCTTCTAGACCGACAACTTGGAATTTCTTGCGTGGTTCCAGTCGCTGTGGCACTTCGTAAGTCAACTTTCAACGCCATCTCACCAACATACTAACATGACTCAGTCTCACTGGTCGGATCTCTCATCGGTATGTCATTCGTCGTCGCCCATCAAGCCAAGTGGTTGGAGGCAATTGAGCGGAGGATATCCTCCACCTCCGGCATGCTAGGATCCATCAAAGGTGTCAAGATGTTGGGACTGCAGAACTCCTTCATGAAGTTTGTCCATGGCTTGCGTATCGATGAACTAGCCATTTCGAAGAAATTCCGTACACTCTTAGTGTGGAACATGGGATTCGGATGGTTGACTCGCATATTTGCTCCTATTTTCACCTTCGGAGTGTACGAGGGCATTTCCAGCAACTCCCTTACCGTTTCTCGTGTCTACACTTCTCTTGCCCTCTTCTCGCTTCTTTCTGACCCGCTTTTGACCCTGGTCATGGCTCTTATGTCCTATGCGGGATCAGTCGGATCGTTCGTCCGCATTCAAGAGTTCCTTGAGAAGGAAGATCACAACGACCACCGACGTCCATCCCCTCTATTGCCTTCCTTCGAAGACCTTGGTGAGGCCAAGCTCCTCTCAAGGTCGGGCGATCTGGACATGTCATCCAGCAATTCTGAGTCTGTCGAATCTTTTAAGCGTGGGTCAACCTCGTCGACTACTAATTCTGCCATGATCACAAATGGCACCTTCAGCTGGGGTGCTGATCAGGAGCCTGTCCTGAGAGACATAAGTTTCACTGTCCCTCGTGGCAGCTTCACCATGATCATTGGACCGTCTGGGTGTGGCAAGTCATCTCTGCTTAAGGCTCTTTTGGGTGAAATCCCTTGTGCTGAGGGCAAGATCGAGGTATCTTCCAGCAGTGTGGCTTTCTGTGATCAGACACCTTGGCATATGAATGGAACCATCAAGGACAGCATTGTCGCCATGTCAGATTACGATCCCCAGTGGTATGCAACTGTCCTCCAGGCTTGTGCGTTGGAGGAGGATCTTTCACATTTCCCTCGTGGTGACCGCAGTGTTATTGGGAGCAAAGGTGTTGCCCTCAGTGGAGGCCAGAGCCAGCGTATTGCTCTCGCTCGAGCTGTTTATGCCCGGCGAAAGGTTATTATTCTGGATGATGCCTTGAGTGGTCTCGACGCCACAACTGAGAACCACATTTTCCACAACCTGTTTGGACACTTAGGACTTCTGAGAGAGAACGGTACTTCCATGATCGTTGCCTCATCTTCTGGTAAGCTATCCTCTTCTCGCTTTATTCAAATACAATTAACATGTTATAGTGAAACGTCTTCCCTACACTGATCACATTGTTGTTTTGGACACGGAAGGTCGCATCATGGAGCAAGGCGGTTTCAGCGCTCTGAACAAGACTGGCGGATACGTATCAAGCTTTGGACTACTCGCACCTGACTGGGACTACAAGCCCAAGCGATTCTCCGAGTCGCCCAGCTACAGTACCATTGATTCCGTTGAGAAGGAGAAGGAGGACATGCACCAGGAGCCTGAGAAGCGTGAAACTGGTGGTGACCTTGGAATCTATACCTACTACATCGATGCCATTGGATGGCTCCCCGCAATCATTTTTGTTGTTGCCATGGCTGGCTTTGTCTTTTGCATTTCGTTTCCCACTATGTGGGTGCAATGGTGGGCTGAGTCCGATACAGCTCACCCTAGAGCACAGCTCGCCTACTACCTTGGTATTTACGTGATGCTCGGATGTTTGGCTATGATCTGCCTCCTCGTTGGTTCTTGGCAAATGATCATCACCATGGTTCCCAAGTCTGGAGAGTCCTTCCACCGCAGACTCTTGACTACTGTGCTCAGTGCGCCCATGTTGTTCTTCTCTACCACAGACAGCGGCTCGATTCTCAACCGATTCAGCCAGGACTTGCAACTCATTGATATGGATCTTCCCATTGCGGCGATTAACACCATTGCCACCTTGTTCCTTTGCATGGCCCAGATGGGTCTCATCGGGGCTGGGTCGAAGTATGCGGCTATCTCCTTCCCCTTTGTGCTTGGAATACTGTTTCTCATCCAGAAGCTCTACCTGCGCACTTCCCGTCAACTTCGTTACTTGGACCTCGAGAGCAAGGCTCCTCTGTTCTCCCACTTTACCGATTGTCTCCAGGGACTCGTGACTCTGAGAGCTTTTGGCTGGCAACATGGCATGGAGAAGAAGAATCTTGAACTTCTTGATATTTCTCAACGCCCATTCTACTATATGTTTGCTATCCAACGTTGGTTGACTCTCTCACTTGACTTTGTCGTTGCTGGAATTGCCATTCTGTTAATTGTTCTGGTTGTTATCCTTCGCGGCACATCTCTCAACGCGGGCTCCGTTGGTGTTGCACTCCTCAACGTTATCCAGTTCAGCCAGACAATCAAACTTGCTGTCACCTTCTGGACAAACCTAGAAACCCACATCGGGTCAATCCAGCGAATCAAGGACTTCACCAAGTCTGTCGAATCGGAGGATCGCCCAGGTGAAGATGGCCAGATGCCTCCCAACTGGCCTTCAAAGGGCGCAGTCAGTTTCCACTCAGTCTCTGCAGCCTACAGGTATGTCTCCGAGTCGACATTTGTTTCTCTTTGATACTAATAGTGTGCCCAAAGACCCTCTGAGCCCGTTCTCAATGACGTGTCTCTTACTGTCCAAGCCGGTGAAAAAGTCGGGATCTGTGGACGAACAGGAAGGTATGCTCCATCAATCCCAATCCACATTTCACTACGGACGGAATTGACCAGGCTTATTACAGTGGCAAAACATCAATGATCATGAGCATCTTCCGCATGATCGAGCTGACCGGTGGTCTTATCACTGTGGACGGGGAGGACATTTCTCGCCTTCCGAGACGGGAGATTCGCGCCCGGATCAATGGAGTCTCGCAAGACTCTCTCTTGTTCAAGGGTAGTGTCCGACTTAACGTCGATCCGACAGGCTCATGCACCGACAAAGACATTACGTGTGCTCTCAAGACTGTACAGCTCCTCCCTGCCATCCAAGAAAAGGGGGACCTAGACACCGACATTGACGAGATCCACCTGTCCCACGGTCAGAAACAGCTATTCTGCCTTGCTCGAGCCATCCTTCGGCAGGGCAACATCCTAATCCTCGATGAGGCAACCAGCAAGTAAGTGAACCTCCCAATTATTGTCTCACCCCCTGCCGTATTCCCTCGCTTCAAGTCCATCTCCACTTTTGAAAATATCCTTTCCCTTCCCCTTTTTCCTGTCATATTTCTTTTCTCTCCATGTCACAATCCCCTGCATATATGCGGCTTGATCCGAGCGCCACGGCGCACAGATCTATGCGCCTCGCAGCCCCACCTTTCCCCTTGCATAAACGGAACAGGACAAACGCTAATGATCAATAATAGCATCGACACCAAAACAGATGAGATCATGCAACGCGTCATCCGCGAGAAATTCTGTAATCACACCATCATCTCCGTGGCGCACAAACTCGACACGATTCTCGATTTTGACCGCATCGTGGTGCTGGACGCCGGCCGGATCGTAGAGGTCGGAGAGCCATTCGCGTTGCTTTCTGAGCCCAAGTCTCACTTCAGCAAACTTTACGCCAGTTCGATGGCGTCAGAAGAGTCTGAATAAGCTTCTAACCTGTTCCAGCTGGCTGTTCTTGTTGGAGTTGACCTCTAGCCCCTTTTTGCATCATGGCACCTGCACAGATTGATTCTTTTTGCCTTTTCTTCACTCTCCGTCAGCTGACGCTCCGGGTGTGGGTTTCGATCTTTTGGTCTGGCGCTCTAATCTTCCTTCCTCTACGGTACATATCGACGTCACATACAGAATTGGTTGCCAGGAGTTTTGTATTTTTTGCCACTTTGATTGTTTTTACGTTTTGGATATGTCTCTTCTTGACTCTCGTTCATGTGGGCTTTCGAGCCATTTTGACTTCTTATTTTCTTCGCACTCTCATTGATATATCTTTTGGGATCTTTGGTCAGAGCTTGGCAACTCGATTTGGGATGGATTGTCTATAATACGGTGTATTGTGCGCACCGCACTGCTTGGTTGCCAATGGTAACAAAGGCAGTGACTCGAGCATCGAATTGAATAAGTTTCTAATTTAAAGCCTCATGGTTTTCATTCTATTTTTATGTACGCAGTCCTTCAACAAGAAGCCTTCCAATGTTAACAGATTCCTGCTTCAAGGACGCCACATTCACCAGCCCCGTCCAAGTCCTAGCACTTGAAGTTTTCTTCAGGCTTGATGGTGCAAATGTTGTCAACATTTTACATAAGATCGTGAGGGCTCCAGAGTCAACCGGTCCTGGGGGCACATGTGCAGTCACCGTATTGATTGATTGTTCTTGTAAACAGTACGTATTGAAGAGGGGAACGCTCGTTGGCTGTACGCTCTGACGACGCACGAATCGGATATACTCAGCAAAACCCACCACGACCGAAGGTCGCCCTCGACGAGCAGTGGATCCCTCGACAAAGGTCAAAAGTGAGAGATGTGTAAGAGCGTCCATTCTGTAACTAGTGCTAAGTTCGTTTTAATATACCCTTTTCCTTACGGGACGGAATGTGACCCGTAAGGGTATGGTAATCCGTAGTAGGGACCAGTTCTCCCCACTACAGTATGTATCAAATTTCAAATGTTAATTCCAGATTCACAGAGCTTGCTTCTATTTCATAATTACTTTCAATCTTTGAATTGGTCTTTGAAATCTCCAAGCCTATCCCTCACATTGGAAAGTTGATGTTTCTCTTCTATTATTCAGTGACACTTAATCCATTCCTCGATATACATATTGTTGTACACTGGTCTCGTGGACCTATTACAGACGTGTGTATGCACTCAACATATAACACCGCTGGGCAGGTGTACAGTGAAGTCGTTTTATGTACCCAAAACGATTACATATTGAATGATTCTTTCACATCAAGAGCAAACCTTTTTTTTTTGTAATTAGGATACATGATTGTAAGTTGAGCAAGTTCACTATTCCGATCGGCTCCCTCAGACTTCACCGAGGTAGGCTAACCTTTCTAATTTCGACCAGTGTATTTATTTTTGAAAGACGAATAATCCGAAAGCCGGAGATGAAAAGATTCAAGTTGAGCATTGAATGGAAGAGTTGTGACTGCCCTCTTTCCCAAGGTTGTCTGATGGACAAGCACTTGTGGTCACAAGTTGTCCTGAAGTCCGGACTCGAATCATTGACATTCGAATTAATCGAAATTTCCAGAGTTAGAACAGCCTTGGATGTACATAGACACGCCCATTGACCCATTGTGTATATCTGAACATTGAATTCTACTCAAGTGCTACACTATTTCCACGGGTGACTCTGTTTGTGTGCGTTGTGGCTGAGCTTCAATAGGCCTAGGTAGCCAACTTTGAGATATCTAATGTCAAATCAATCGGGAGTAGGCAGAGAGGAAAAAGTCATCTTATTTTTGCACAAAACATTTGAACTACTCTGAACGAAAGAAAAGAAACTATTGGGAACATAATGTTTAAGAACTCCACCGATGTCAACTTCCAGCTGCAAATAAAGACTCGAAATACATGTAGGTCCAATAAAAGATAGGTGGAAATTTTGAAGCAAACTTGAAAATACTAGCCAACTGTCCAAGGGCAGACCACTATATTCTCAACTGGTGATACCATAAGTTGTGTGAAGCCCTGTCACCACCATCTATGAGAGGACCATCGTTTCATCGTTATCAGTCTCCTCGTCTTCCCCCAATAGACCGAACTCCCAGTCACCACGCTCGATGCGGCTGACGCGATCCAGCTCGGATTGGTATTCGCGACGCAGGTGTTCAAGGGTAACGATAACACGCTCTAGGGGTCTTTCGGTGGCAGGTTTGAATGAGACACCATTGCGCCCACCGCCGATAGAAGAACGGCTTCCTCTGCGATCACCGGATACAAATGAGGCAACGCTGGTAGAACGACTTCTTGTCTTGGAAGCGACAGGCGATCCCGTATTATCCGCATCGTCCATGAAGACGTTTCCGTCACTGTCGGCTTGATGGCTTGGTCGACGGGTGTGTGAAGAATCAGAAATCGAACCAGAAGATGACAATGGCCCAATCTCAACGAGTATGTAGGCTTCACTCTTGTCGACTGAGGCCAAGAGATTGATCAGGGACAACAGCTCATGGCGGATCTCTTTGCTCTCTTGGTCGTCTTCTGGAATCACGGCTTCCTCGACTTCCTTCTTGCCCTTGCGAGCAATGGCGGATGAGGGGGCATCTCTGGCGTGGCGGAGGCGTTGGACATTGCGGTATGCAATTTCCGCCGCGCCGCGGTAGTCGCTGCGGGCGATGCGGTATGCTTGCAGAATGCGGTGGTAGTCGGGCAAGCTATCAGCCTCATTGCTGTCAATGTCCAGCCATGAGTGGAAGGTGTTTTGTTTGTGAGCGAGTGAGACGAGGACTTCATCGATGTAAGAAGCAATATTGGGCACGAGAGAGGTAGGGAAGCGGAGGATCTGCTTGAGACCAGTGGGTCCAGGCCCGGAGACGGTAAGAATAGTGGAGATAAGTGAGCTGAGGGCGGATCTCTGCAGCGCAAGATCTTGGTATCGCGCCAAGGCAGAGTATGCCTGGTCGAACTGGCAGGTCTTGAGAGATGCGTGGAACAGCCGGGAAAGCAAATCCGTCCGCGTACTTGAGTACTCGGGGTCCTGCTCAGCCCATGCTTCGGAGTCGAGGGCCTGCAGCGCCAGGCCGGCGAAGTCAGCGACATGTGAAAAGGACCGCACTCGTTCGAAGACAGAGAGAATGTGCTGGTAGTATCTGGGGATGCCATTGTGGAAGCAATTCACAGAAACAAGATCCAGGAGCGTTGAGGACATTTCATGAAGGTTACCTAGGGGTTTGCCGCAAGCTAAATCGAAAGTTAGTATACGACAAAATGTCGGAAGAGAAAAAACCTTACAAAGCAGGTATGCTGCCTTCCGGAAGTAAATTGCGGCAGTATCAAACTCCGACATCGCCACATGCAAGCGTCCCTTAACATAAGTAGCCCAGGACGTGCTTGCTTGGAAACGATGGAAATCCCATGCAAGGTCAATGTCATTCTTCGCAATGAGATCGCATTGGATATAAGCCAAAGCATTGGCGTATGTCACCTCGCCTGGTCGGGTGACCCAGGCTAAGACGTCCCGAATGCCCAGAGTCAATGTATAGCTCTGTGGCAATCCAATTGCTTGGCGGGGTTTGATGTCTGTAACAAAGAGATCCTCGAGGATAGTCACCGTCCTTTGGTTCTTGGTCCTTAATTTAGAATCCTTTAAGGAAAATACTGGGTTTGAAGTGTCCGCGCGAGTGTCTGCAGGCTGGTCGGCGCGTTTTCGGACATTCGAGCTCAACCAGTACATCATTTCATATTCACGGAGAATGTCAACGAGGGCAGAGAACAGGCCAGCAGCGTCAAAGCTGGAGCGCCCGCCCTGTTCGATTTCGCCATCCACAAATGAAACCAAGATTAACATATCGTAAAGGATCCGACGGTTCAGAAGAATTGTCTCAAGGGAACCACTGACAAGAACTCGCGCACCAAAGGAGGTTGAGAGAAGTTCCGAGTCTTTTCCATTGAACCCAAGGGGGACAGTTTCAATGACGGCATAGAAAGCGTCCCCAGGTAAGTTCTCGGCATCCAAGTTTTCGTTCAAAGCTGCAACTAGGCCGTCGAATGTCTTGTTGGAAATTCGATCCGCAAACTCGCAGCGCTCACGGAATGAATCCATGCGGTCGGTGATTGATGACGATGGCTCATTATAGATCTCAATATCAAGAGCGGCCCGGCAAGCAGCGTCAAGCTCTGCAGAGAATCGCTTCCGGAAGTCCGAAGCGACCTTCACCAGCGATGATGCTTGCTCGTACAAAGTCCCAAGCTCAGCACTCAGATTTCGGTGCCTCCATCGATCGGCGATCTTAGGCTTTTCCTCGGCAAGTTCAGAGCCGGAGTTATGCACGAGTAATTCCGTTGTATTGCATTCCCGAACCACAGCACAAGCATCGGAGAGAAGAAGCCAGGGCATTTCAAAGTAGGAATCGTAGGCGAGAGACACCGGCTCGAATCTGCGCTTGTTTAAGTCGTCCGCAACCTGCCAGAACTGGCGCCACTTTGCATCTGTGTCCGTTCGGTACCGACTGTACCCCATCTCATCTTCAGAGTATTTACGCAGGGAAACCGTGGCTGTGATAGTGGAGCAAAGTCTTTCTGCCAACGAGACATCCTTCTTTAGAACCACAGCCGAGGTAGATGACAAAGGTTTTAGGGCTTCCTGGTAAATCGCCAAAGCAGTCTGGAGAACCTCTGGCAGATAGCGATTCGGGTGTAGAAGATATTCCAGCCATCGTTCTGTTGGATCCACTACATCGTCCAATGTCGGAGCAGGCAGTGGCTCCTGTCGATATGCCTCGAATGTTGTTGAGACCCAATTGCTTGCCCAGTCGGTCACCAAGGTCTGGAGATCAAAATGAAGAGTGTATAGCTGATAGAGACCGTGATTTCTCCAGAGAACCCACAGCTCCATTCCCTTGCCTTCATCCATGGACTTGACCTGGAAGTCGGCGATGCTCCAGAACATATTGCCCGTTACATCGGGATCCACTGGCTTGAAAGCTTCATCTGCATAGAGATCTTCGATAACCAAATCAGATGTGAGGCCTCCTTTAACAGCCCAGAACTTGAACCGTCCCTCGTCAAATGGAGAGTATGTCACCACATAATAGCGATGGTTTCCATCCATGGCCCTCTCAGCATTAAAGACCCGAATGAAAGAGGTCTCGGCAGGGTTCAAGGTTTGCGGTTGAACATCAGGATCAATTGCATGGCCCAAGAGATCCTTTGTCGCGACCAACTTATTCGTCGCCAGATTCCAGATCTTCAATGTGTGGTTCAGGCAAACAGCGAAGACGTATGTCTCATCAGATGTCGTGGCAATGGCGTTGGCGGTATTTAAATCAAGGCTTCGGTCCCGGTTTCGTTCCTTGTATCGAAGCGAGGAGGGTAGATTCCATTTCACTAGACCGCGGATCGAGGCGCCCCAAGTTCGTTCGTCGAAAGTCAACGGGGTCCAATGTGAGCCTAGACGAATTTCATATTAGCTTCCATTTCTTTATGCTTCAGAATGACACCCGCATAATGGGTTCATCAAAGCTTACCATCATCTCCAGCTCTGCGAGTCAATCGCAAGAGGGCACCGTTGTCGAGAGAGATGAACAGTTCGAGCGGACTGCTGGCATGAAGTCGGTGGGGGTGAGAAAAGGAAAGAGGCGCAGGATCACATGTTTTGCACCAGTCGGATACGTTGTCGTCAATCGATTCGGGTCTTCTGAAGAACTCCGGGCGGAGCGAGAATGTGTGCAGTTGTTTCGAGGCCGTAATCACAAACACGCTGAGAATTTCGTGGTCCTCATGATCCGCCAGGGTAACACACGACGGGAGAATCTCATCCGGGAAGTTCAATCGGAGAGTAACATTGTATTCAAATTGCTCTGAGCCAGCCTTGGTGAGATCCGCGCATTGAATCTCCAACACCTTGTTGTCATTGACAACCCTCCACACAAACGTTCTCGGGTAAGACTTGCGCTTGCGGAAATAGACCGTGCCTTGTGTCGCGAGGTAGCGTTTCGAGAATTCGTCTTCGTCTTTCGCGATGGGGGGTTCGTGATCTGGTGTGGATGAGATCGAAAAGCGTGTCCGTCGAACCGCGCTCTCGGGGGAAACGTGGATATTGGCGACTGTGGTAGGCGAAAATGGTCGGAGATCGACCCTGGTATCCTTGTAAATCTTCGCCATGGTGAACAGCTCGGGGAACTGCACGTAATTCAGTGTCGCAGACTTCCCATGGCTTTGAGCGGGAGAGAGTTGCAGGGCGGAAAGCTGGAGCTCTCAAAAAACAAAGTCTTGGCGCTGGAACTTTACTCACTACAACATCAAAAGTCAACAATTTACACTAGTACTCTACAGAACTAGACACTCTCAAGGATCCACATTTAATGTGTTATCTAAAGTACATGTATATAACGGGGATTCTTTGGAAAAGCAACTCAGGTATAAAGGGATGTTTTGCCAATGCTTTCGTCGATCACATCACTAACAGTAGATACAGAGGGATATTGCATGGGCTCATCAAGTCACTAATCTCGTGTCGACAATAATAAAGGGGAATTGATAAAACGGAAAGGGGTATTGATCTCTTAATCGTTCTCCATGTCCTTTTCGTTGGGGTCTCCAATGCCATCTTCGTTAATTGCAAACAGGCAATCACTTTCCGGAAGACATGGGCTATCATAAATTTTGCATACTCGAGTCTCACCACGGCCCTTCTTCAAGCTGAGTCGGGTGGTACTGGCATGAGCAATAATGTTACCTCCAATAGGTTTCTTGGGATCGGGATTGAACATGGCACTGGGACCACCGTCAACTTGCGCCACAACCTGATTCGTGATCACAACGGCAATTCCAAACTCGTCAGCCAAGCGTTGCAGCGTGCGCATGAATTTGGCAAGATGAGTCTGTCTGGATGACAGCTCTCCACGTCCATTGAAATCTGTTCGGTACAACGCGGTTGCCGAGTCAACCACAAGAAGCGAAAATCGGGTTTCGCACATCATCTGGGACGCCTGATTGAGGAGTTGCAGCTGGTGGTCGGAGTTATAGGCACGAGCATATGCCACATTATCGAGGACTTCCTCGCCCACAAGGCCAAATCTCTGTGCCACAGCAAGAAGACGGACGGGTCGGAAGGTTCCCTCTGTATCAATGTAGAGACATTTACCTTCGCCTCCACCCATATCAAAGGGCAACTGACAGGTGACCGCGAGTGTGTGACAGATCTGACTCTTTCCCGTTCGGAATTCTCCAAAAATCTCGGTAATTGAACCTGTCTCCACACCACCACCCAGCAGGGTGTCGAGACGCTTGGATCCTGTTGTAATGGATATGAGCTCACTTCGTCGTGCATGCATCTCGGTCGCCGTCGTAAAACCCATAGGAACTAGTTTCGCAGCTATCCAGAGAAGACAGTCAATATCTGTTGTTCAAAGAAGAGGGTTAGGTGGGTCCCCGCATGCTGATAACTCACCCTCCACTAAGATCTTGGTCGCCTTCTGCTCCGAAATTCCCTTAATCTGCTCCAGCAATCGCTTCGGTCTGGTTGTTTCCATCTTGTCAGTTTACAAGCCCTGGAATGAAAGCAAAATTCGCGAGCGATTCCAAATCCTGCATCGGAGACGTACGTGTATGCCACTGCCTCAACGGTGTGGTATCCAGCATCCACAAACAATTTGATATCTCTTGCGCTCAGCCCCGCAAGGCCCTAATAAATCGAAGTCAGCACGTTGCTTTAGAACTTGGATTGAGGATTGTATCTCATTCCAGCGAACAAGACACTCACCTCAAGTGCAGAGAGCGGGGTTGGGGCACCAGGGCCCGGCAGTTGGCTCTCATCCATCTCGCCCTGAGTCTCATCTGCCATGTTTGCAGTATTCTGGTCAATAATTTGATGGTGCAGCAATGATGGTCAGCTCGTTGGCGATCGACGTCTCTACAAGACCACGCGTCGGGCTGTGCGCAATGGTTCGTGTTGCACAATTCGAGAGGGGTTCTCAGATGAAATGAGATCAAAGCTTCTGGAATGAATGGAATGAGTCACCAGGCAGCCGTGGTCCCACAAGAAGGATTTGTTTGTGGCAAAACTGGCGGTTCTCCAGACGAGTCCAAATGTTTCCTTCCAATAGACGCGTTCCAGTTGTCGCGCGGTCACGTGGGTCCATTGACTAGAAACGCCACAAGGCAACAACAAGACTTTCACTATTTTGGGTATAATGAGCCTAATTCTAGACTTCAGTTGTATCTGTGCGGACTCAATTTCTATCCATTGATTCCCATCAACAATCTTTAAAAAATACAGCTTTCTCCCGCAAAAAAACTAACTGTTTGTATCTCAGGGCCTCCCCTTACAATCACGCAACTCACCAAGGAACAGATATAGAGATTAACCCCAATGATTCTCAAAAACCCAACTTGTTTTGGCCTGACACTCATTTCCATCATGGTCACTCTATCATTCCCTCTTCCACATGCGCGCAGTCCCAGCCATCGTTTGTTGATCTGATCAATTAAATCAACAGTCTCCTGACTGAAAATGCGATACAATCGACGATCGAAATCTGTGTTTGCCGGTCTCTCGTAACGTGGGGTCGAACTCGAGTCTCTCTGAGGGCGTGTTCATGTGAATTCTGTCGTTGAATATTTGGCTCATCTTGCGTCTGAAGTCCTCGGACGATCGGCTCCGAATAGTTTCTTTGGAACAGTTAGTCTCTCTGCCCCACATCGCAGCCAGCTCACGTCTTTCACTTACTGCGGATACGCGGAGCCAGGTTCTGCTCGGCTTCTAGACGAGGATCATATTCTTCGTTAAGCGACCCCAGATCCATCCTGTCTTGGTCGCTTGTTCCTGACCTGGTCCGTCTGGAATCAAACAACTGGCTCGCACGCAAGACTCGGTTGTGGAAACTAGCCCGCTTTTCGTGGCTGGCAAAATTTTCGCTTCGATGATTGAATGTGCTGGGTGTAACTGGAGCGCTCGCTATATTTGCAGGTGCATGAATCCTTCCCGGTCGGTAAGGCTCATATCTGTACATGTTTATTGCAACAGTACCGTTATGAGATGTAGCGGTGGGAAGATGAGAATATAGAGGAGGAGAATATAATGGCATGGAGATATGAGAGGGCGCAAGGTCATCATGTGACAACGAGGATGAGCGGTTGGAGGGGCGAACGTTGATGGGAACAGGTCCAGCACTGGGGGGAGTCGAAAGTGCTTCACTGTACAGCGTGGGCGATCGGCTCCCGATTGTGGGTGTCTCAGGAGGAAGGGAACTGGAGCAGGGACTAGGGCACGGAGTTTCTTGTCTAGAGATCCAGATGTCTGGGACTTTGACGTCGCTCTGCAGTGCCCAGGCACCAAAGGGGATGTCATCTGACTTCAACATAGGGTATAAGTCGGCTTCTTCCTCCTGTTGACGTCTCTCAAGCCTGTGTTCTTTCCATCTGCGGCATGCGGAGACACAATAGGCGACAATGATATCGATAGACTAGAGCCAGTCAGTTTCGCGTGGCTCATTCTAGAAGTTGAGACGTGTCGAACAAGTATAAGCACCAATCCCTGTTGTGAGAAAGTTGTCAGCAAGTTTAAAAATCCTTTCGATGAGCATCGCGGTTGAAGGAAGACCATACTAGACTCAGCTTCGCCCATAGCTGCAGGTCGGCCCACAACGCCATGGTCTCGCGCTCGTAAGTATAACGCGCATGCGCCAGTGAGAATTCTAAGAATATTGCGCCCAGCTGAGAGGAATTAAAGAATTGAGCGTAGAAGGAATATTTCGCCAAAGTGACCTGGAGGGTAGAATCATACTGTCGTGGTTTCCATCTGATGTGCCTGCCTATTCGTATACTAAACACAATCACGATCCGCCAAGCAGCAGCCCTCCATGATCCCAAGGAGACTGGATTCGTATACATGGGTTGCATTTGTATTGGATTCGCGGGACGGGAAAATGCTTTAAGAGCAACTCAATCAATTGGTTGTTGTTAAATAAAGAGAGTGGTAATAAGTGAAGGATTCAACAAAATTGGCAAAAAACCAAAAAGAAATCTCTCCCTCGGGGAATCGAACCCCGGTCTCCCGCGCGTATCAGTGTTAGTGACAAGCGGAAATCATGACCCCTAGACCAAGGAAGATAAGATAGTCGAGTTCCCGCTCGACCACTTGGTACTGGTTGATAGCAATATTCATATATTTGGTTATACATTCCTAAAGATATCCACACAACAAAACAGTCACAGGTTCAAATCAGGTAATCGCAGCGTGCATACTAGGCTTTGATTTTCTAGAAATTCGAAATTGAGATACATATCATTTGAATGTGACATGGATGTAAAACCCTTGCTCAGCTGGTCATAAGTGAATGTTGAAGTTTTGCGATTCCGTAACATTTGAAGTTTTCCACCACTTGAGCCTTGCGAGAGTTCGATATTCCTATATTCGCATGACATGGGCAATTTTCAAGGTTGCAGAGGTAAAATATTGAACCATCTTAGCTTTTTGAACGGAATTGCAAAATTATTGGACATAGCGGTATTTAAAAGGGCCGAGATTATGCTACAGATTCTATACTGGTGTAGTCCTTAATTTTGGACATGTCGCGTCCTCGGATCTGCCTTCTTTAGCAACATACTGCTGCACCTATGATCGCCGCTAAGGTACGGTCCGCTGCACCTGAGGATAATCATAGATAAATAGTACTGCGAGATACTAGTGATGCTACTGCCTTTGTGGATTCATGTAAACAGAATATATCGCCCCGGACCCCGCCACTAAAAGAGCAACAACAGAGCAATGACAGAGCAATACCCAGCAATAATCACGGACAGATAATGATCTGGTAATTAGTGCCCTTTTGCGACATGCTTCGCAGGACCTTTTTTTTTTCTTGAAGGACTTCCTACAACCTGGCTTATCGCAACAAAGTCTTGATTCACAGACGACGGTGCATCTGCATTATCAGTTTGTGGGGAAACGTAGGATTGTTGCAACCTGACCAGTTACATTTTTCATTCTATTTTATCGAGAATCCCAAAGATCTACTAGTGCCGCTTCGGTCGATGCATTGTCAGTCATAGCTAATATTGCTGGAGAGGGCCTAAATCCCGGGTTTTGTCATTGGGTACGTTGAGTGACATCGAAGGATCTAGCATATAAAATAGACTAGTATCGAGTGATGTATTTTAGGTCAGAAATTAGGTTAGTACGTATAATAAGGTTAATAGAAAGATCTAATACCAGCCTTACCTGTGGGTTAATTTGGGCAAGGCCGCTGATTTGAGGGTTAGAAAATAATCCAGTTAATATACTGGACCGCTGATTAGGTGGGGGAAGAGATGTTCTAGGCCTTGGGAGATGAATTGAGGAGCCATTAATCATTGTCGTTTAACCTATGCAAAGGACATGATATGGCTGATTTAGGCTAGCATGTGAGATCGGGTTGGAATCGTTGGTGTATTTGGAATTGCTGCTTGCTGCTCTATTGGGTCACTAGAACCAGTTTACTCTAATGAATTCATTGTAGAGTGCTAAAAAGATGTCTCGTGAAACAGAAATACAACGACCATGAATATAAGGTTGCATACTGTTATTGAATCATAACATAGGAAAGAGCGAACACCTGGGCAGGGACCGAATGTTTTAAGTTAGAAAGAATGAGATACTTGATAAATCTCGTCACTATGGGATAGAGGATTTCGACCCTGGTGAGGTAGGGTACCTCAGGCAGCTACCATTTATCTCCGGATGATAATATGTTTAAACCATGCGCCTTGAGGAACCGAGGGGGTGTTCCACGACTACAGTATAAACTTTACAGGTGGGAAGCTAAGACCAGTCAGTCAAAGAACTAAAGAGCCCGAATCAGTGACAAACGTTAACTGGCCCCATATCATGAGGTCAACGCCACATTCCTCTATTATACAGTCAAATTCCGCGTCACAAGTCCTATCTCAGGCTCAGTATTTGCACCCAAGTGTAATCATGATATCTTGCCGTGTCGTGCATCATAAAAGAGATAATTCGGGCATAGAAACGGGCTATGCCCTTACACACGTCAAGCCGAGAAAGGGGTCCCCCTTCCCCGAGAACCTGAAGGACGCGCAATTCAATTAAAGCTTCCAAAACATGACGCAGCAGATTCCTGAGAAAAACGATCGGCAGTACCCGCCGGGAGAATAACCGCACCCCTGCCAGTAAGCTTGCGTTGGAAAGAGCCCACTGTGCACATACCTGAGTAGTTTCTTACGCAAGCCCCAGAAATGCCGGCCCTAAAGCTATTCCATGTGTTGTATCACCTCAGCTTCACACGCCCATTTTGTCAGCACACAAATGGATACCCAGGGATTAGGATTGTTTGCACGCACTTCAAAATGCCCGTGGCCTTGATGTGTATCACCACATAAGTTGGTTCCATTGATTAATACAGATGAAGCAGTTTAGATAGAAAACAATGAGTGAATCCTAAAGTCTCATTAGGATAAATTTTCAAGCTAAGCCCCCTTGTGGGTCTATGCTAAGCAAATCAGATCTATGATCGACAGCCCCTTCGTCAAATGATTTTTGAAAGGATTGTATTGATTTAACATTTGAAGATCGACTACTATCGTTTGAAATGATTGGGCCCCTTCCTCCACCAAAAATTGAACCGGGTAGGTCAGCCGCTCAGAATCGTTGAATGATAAGCCAAGTAATGAGCACAGAATGATGGTATTTCCTATTGTAGGAAGAAATGGAGCTCACATTTAAAGATAGAGCAAAAGAAAAGAACAGAAAAAAAGCCACAATAGACAAATCAACACGGTGATAGTCTACCTCTGTGTTTAGATTGGTGTATAAGCTTTAGTGGAGACATTGTTAGACGCGAAGGCCTAATCCACATGCCCTTGCCAAACCAGCAGTCACCAGTTGGATTATATTGATTGCGTGCAATGATTAGGTCCACACGGATGCTTCACAGAGGGGCAGAGGGGTAAATATCCACTTTTCATCAGCGGACATAGTTTACCTTGTTTTAATTTCTATATTTATCTTTTCTATAATCCCTATAAATGATAGTGGAGGTTGTACAGCTTGCATGCTTGAGCAGGAAGAAAAAAAAACAAGCTATAGCTCTACCGGCGAAATGACGAGTTTCAACTTGTTTCGCCGAAATGGCAATGACTTGAACACCACATCGAAGGATAATGAAGACGACTCGAGGGACATCTCCAAATATCCAGAGTCCACCCTATCTATTCCTGTCACCATGGGAACATCTGTCACCTTGTCCATGGATAGTCCTACAAGTTCCATGAAATCCCCCTCAATACAGAAACAGGAAATTGACTTAGAATTGGAAATGCTATCAATGGAGCTAGAGACACACGGGCGGCTTTGGTCATGGAGAGGGTCCTTGATTTTGCTCGTGACTTCGGGCTCACAGTTTCTCGATAATGTCTTTATGACAAGTTCGAACATCGCCTTAGCTTCCATCCAAGAAGAATTTGGTGTATCTGAGACAAATTTACAATGGATGATATCCGCCTACACGTTGGCATTTGGCGGGTTTTTATTACTCGCCGGATCTTTGTCTGATCGGTAAGAACGGTCTCTCTACCGGTACCCTCCGAAGCCTTGCTGACAATCACAGATATGGACGAAAGCTGATTCTCTGCATGGGCCTCTTTTGGCTAACGTTGTGGACGCTAGCCATTGGATTTGGCCAGTCATTCATCCAGCTTACCGTTTTCCGTGGGATTCAAGGCATTGGTGCTTCATTGACCGTTCCGTCTGCTATTGGAATTATTAGCTCCTATTTCACAGGCGTGGACCGAACTCGTGGGCTATCAATCTATGCCGCTTCTGGAACAGTCGGTTTCGGTGCAGGCCTTATCTTTGGTGGCTTCCTCACCTCCTCGCTGGGTTGGAGGTACCTTTTCTATTTGATCCCTATCATCCCCGGCTCTCTGGGTATTTTGGGAGTGTTTGTGCTACCCCAAGATCGTGAGGTCACCAAGGAAAGAGAAAAGATGGATTATCTTGGCGCTGTTTTGTCGACCATTGGTTTGATTCTTCTCCAATTTGTCCTTTCTAGCGGTGGTCGCTATGGCTGGGGAAACCCGTTCATCATCGTCATCTTGATACTGGCCGTGGGAATTCTTGTTGGCTTTGTCATGTATGAGAAGTACATCACTAACCCACTCATGCCACTTTCTCTTTGGACAATTCCAAACTTTGCTGGTCTTTGGATTGCTGGATTCAGTAAGCTCCTTAGTAACTCATGAAACACGAACCATTGCTGATTTTACTAGCCTGCTATGGAAGTTACCAAAACATCATCTACTATATTGTCTTGATGGCTCAGAAGGTCGATGGCCTCTCTGCCGGTGACACAGCCATCCGACTTTTGCCGATGGGTGCGATCGGATTTGTTGCATCACTGGGAACTGGAAAGCTTCTCGAGTACATGAATGCGAAGTACTGCCTCATCGCTGGTCTAGTCTTGTCTGTATTGGCTGCAGTACCAAGTGCTGTGACTGCTACCCAGACAGAAAATTTGTATGTACTATTCATTGATCGATGCAGGGAATCGTCACTAACTTTCTTCAGCTGGGTGAACACTCTTGCTACGTCACTTATCAGCATCTCCGCCGTTTCATTTATCTTCGTCACAACGAGTACGACTATTCTAACGAGTGTTCCTGTCGAAGTTAAAAGTCTGTGTGGTGGAATGCTCAACACGGCCTTCCAAATAGGCTCTGGTGTTGCCCTTGCTATCTCCGCTGCAACAACCTCAGCCGTCGACATCGAAAAAGAACACGGCCTCCCCCAGCAATACTCAACTGGACTCTGGTGCTCAACTGGATTTGCAGGCCTCGGCCTCATCATTGGAATCTTTGCAGTCCGTCGAAAAGGCGCATACCCCAAAGACCGATTGGGCGGCCCTGTGGCAATATAACTTCCTTATACAACCTGCGAACACTGATAGACAGTAGATAGATCTTGCGGGATCTGGATGATATAGTTATTTTTGTGAATTAATTAATAATGAACCTAATGATTGATAGGCAAAGGATTCGTGCTGGCACGGTGTTGCAATACATCGAGAATCTTGCTTATTTTGCTAACATATCTGACTTTCCTGATATCGCCAAGTGTCCGTAGTGGATCCGCCCTCAATCCAAAACCCGGAAGCTTATCTGCTCGAACCCGACCAAACGGTCCCATGTGAATTTCACTGCTCGGCACATGGGATGGTTAGACTAGCAATGCTGATTTTAGGCAAAACGTAGGAAGGGCCAGTTAGGCACAAGCCTTTGGATGTTTGAAAACAAAATGAATGTCTACAATTTACTGGTATGTACCGAACCAGTTAAAATAGTTGGAGGGATGTCAATTGAGCAGTATCCTAACTTGCAAGATGTTCATACATATGCAGAAAGTACAACAGGATTTGGGTGATCAACTTCAAACCTCTCTGTCTAGAACATGTGTTTAGTCGCAGGTTAATCCGAGTATTAGGAACGAGCACCATAAGAATATCCATAAAGACACATAAAAAGAGAACGACAAGGATAAACTGCAAACAAAATAGAGGAAAAAGCCAGCGTGATAGGATCAGCCACAGATTCACACATAAATTTCCACAGAAATGTCCCAGATGCTTCACTCATCCGCTCAGATCGCGGTACTATTGATGTCCATGGCTCGAGCTGTCGCTCTCGTAGTCGTCAAAATCCGGATCCTGTGGGCTGGACATGTTGTCATTGTATTCTCCGGGATCTTCGGAGTCACTCCAGTAGTTTCCCTCGTGGACAAAGTCGCCATTTTCTATGAACACTTCATGATCAAATCTCGACCAAGAGTCATCAGTTAAATCAAAACCCTTAGTCCGATATGTCGACCCATAGAACTCAAACCACCTACTGCCACAAACTTCATGAGCTCTGATCTTACCCGGCCACAAGTCGTAAACCACCCACAACTCCTTGATCTTACGGAAAGTCCAGCTGACATCTTTGGCACGTTCTTCGATGTGGCGAAACAGAGGAAACTCGGGCTCCACTGTCAGTCCAGAACATGGGCAGCTCAAAACATCAGCCGTAGATCCATTTCCCGTGCTCACCAAGCTGATAACAAGGAGCTCGAGCTTGGCGTTGACGGGATTTTCTCGGCGTCTCGTATCAACGAATCCGAAGATTTCGTCACAGATCCACTGCATTTTCAGAGACACATGTCGAATTTTGGGAATAATAGCCGAGAGCTTGCGACAGAATTCTCTTCCAGGATTGATGCCGCTTCCAAGTGAATTGATTTCCAGCCTCTCAATGGAGGAGGATTGAATCATATCGAGAGATTTCGACCAGGACAGCAGTTGGTTGGAGAAGTTGGATGGAGCAAGGGTACCCACGAGATGAAGGGAGAAGGATCGCAACTTGGTGCAGCCGGCGAGAAAATTAGCGAATTCACTGAAACGGTCGGCGAGGGTATTCGTCGTTTCAGCTGGAGTTTCATTACCACGGCTGAGAGGGATATCTTCGACGGTGATCTCCTTTTTGATGATAAGCCATTCGGTGTAAATTTGAACTTTCGCAAGGCTGCTGGCGGGCATGTTGAGGAATGCTAATGGGGTGACATGAAGTTTCTCATAGATCATGGGCTCTATCATGTAGCGCCAGTCCTTGCAGATGGTCAATCCATTGCTCTTGATATTACGGAATCCCTCGGTACCGAGATCACGAAAGATGATATCTAGAACCTCGAAAGGAAGGTATCGACACGACATTCTGGGATTGATAACGACACAAAATGTTGCAAGAAATTTGGTTAGATGGAGGTTGAAGAAGGTAAAAGGGTTGATGCTGGGAAGAGGTCCCAATGCTGAGAAAAGGGGATGTTTGATCAAACGCGTCCGCAATACCGAAAACCTTGCGGGGCAACGTGTTTGATTTTGGGTCGCACCTCTGGATTTCTGATGATCCTCCACATCTAGGTTAGTGCCATAGATTTGTGTGCAGCGAAAGTCCATGCTGGTTGAATAACAACAATGTCAATCATCATGGCCGCTCGCCCTTCTCAGAATCAAGAGCTCTATGCTGTCTCGAGCTGATGCTCCCACCATGTCTCCTAATTGCTCTCTTTTTGTCCTACCGCCCTGCTCTTCTAATAATGGGATCGCTTCTGGCACCTCAGGGCTTCCTACATGATGTTAAGGAAAACCAAAAATTGACATGATGAATTGTGAGATATAGTCATTATCAATAACTACAATAAACCGAAACTAGATTGAAACAAAACCCTTGGAAGCATGACAGTCAACAAGGAGCTGGAAATTGGAGGCAGACGTACCTAAGACATCAACCATATAGTACCTCGATCACAATGAGGAAACATCAGATCTTTAGTTATACGATGACTGTTCATTTCATAAATTATCTCGAAATAGTGCCCATCTAATAAATATGGCCAAGAATAATCAGTTGGAAGCCCATTGTACCTTTTAAACATCATCAAGCGGCATAGAGGACAAGTAGGACTTTCTAAGAACCATGACTGAATGCAAAGCTTTTCAAACCAGTGTCCACAGGGAAGAAGGACAATTTCCGAGTCCAGATCAAGAGTGGCATAGCATATGGCACATGAATGATGCTCATCGTCTTCCGAGGTTTGAGACAGATCATGTAGTGTTATATGAGGCAGAACGATGGCGGGGTTTAAGCGTGAGACCTGAAAGGTCTTTGTATCAATTATTAAATCAAATGGGGTGAGCTGGTTGTCCGTAATGGGGCCTGTGTCAGCTAATGGGAGGGGTCTTTGTGCGCTGTCTAGGACAGTCAACTCACCGTCTTGAAGTAGAACAATTCTTGCATATGGAAACGCCCCGCTCTCCCACGATTGAATGACATGAAGAGCGTTATAGATAGAATGGAGTTCTTCCAATCGCGAACTCGAGTCCGAGTCCATAGCCTGGTGTTGATAGTCAGAATCGCTCGGCATTGTGTAAACAATGCTTTGCCAATCTCGAGTGCCAATCTCGAGTCAGTCTGGGAGAAATAGATGGAGAGGACTCGGGTTTTGTATTTTTTCGTAGATCACGCCAGACATCTTGAGAACAATCAGATTATTCGTTCCCTTTGTACTTCCTCTATGCAACCTAACAAGGAGGTCGTGTTCTTTGAATACCCTTGTCAAACTTTTTATAGCCAGCATTGAATAGAATTGTTTACTTTCAGGCTGTTCAAGGTTGAAAGACATTGTGTAAGTGCTCGATCCCACTTTGAAAGAATAAATCGTGTTCAAATGTACTGATACGGAAAGTTTCCAAGTGTCATAGGATGCTTATCAATAAATTCGTTCGTTGTTGCGGTGATAACGTATCTGAATACCGAAGACGTACTCGGTATATGGTCATACTATAAGCGATCGCCTTGAAACCATCAAAATAACCTTGAAAACATTCAAATCATCAAAAAAAAACTATCGGACTTCTAGATCCAGTATTGCCGTCTGGGGTTTTGGTCGGACCAAAGGGGTATTGGAAGCATCAGGGTTTGGTGACACTAACAAAGCCACAGCATTAAAAGCTTTTCGTCCTTGAAACACTGAAGACTCTGAAGGGGGGAATCCTCTCGCTACCAGGAAATAGCGACGGACACGTTATCAACTTGGCGCAAGGGGCATGCTTGGTGGAAAAGATGTATGTGATGTCACACAGGCTTCAAAGAAGAAGTTCACTTACAATTTGTGGTAGGTAACACTCGATAGAAAGTCATATAGAGAAAGATCATTGATGATGCCATCACCATTCCAATCTTTATATTGAGAAAGGAGAGAAAAATGATCGCTCCCAACACAATTCCAGTCCCAACGTGGAGGATAGGCGCCTCAGGAATCCATGTCAACATAGGCATGATCGACAAAGACGGCCCGAGATCTGAAAATTCAAATAGTAGCCCATGCGGATCTGGAAATCTTTTAAAGTACCAATTAACGGGGGAAAAGGTGAACTAAAAGTGAAACAAAGAAAGTCCAAACGTGATTTCTTGGCGGTGAAACCAATTTGGTGACTTCTTTCCCGACTTTCTAACTTTCCCACCTTTCACGCCCACCCGCGTCGGATTCCTCCCTTTATTGCCCCCTGAACCTCAAAGGTCTGGGTCGCATTCAACCAATTCGTTATGAGTGGCTCCGACCTCGTTCCTGGAAGTGCTGCAATGAAAGTCACTACCCCCGACAAGAGGCCAAATACACTATGCCGTGAACCAAAGACCGAGCGCAAACCGCGCGGCTTTTTCAATCGTGCAGCCCGCTGGTTGCTCCACAATCAAATTTGTACGTGGCATTCTACACCCGACGATCACCCCTTTCTACCTATGGTCAATTATTGGCCATGTCGTCAAGGCAATAAACCAATGATGAATCTATTCTCTTTATCCGAACCCTGAATTTCAAGCGCGAATTAACCTTGCTTGTCCTATAGATATCTCGTTCAACCTCATTGCAGGTCTTCTTTGCATACACTCGTTTTTACCTCAGGTCCAACAATACACCTCTAAGCTTTTCACAATCTCCCACTACAATGAGAGAACGGGGGAATACGGCGTCGGTAGCGATGACTTCCTTTTCCTGGGATTTTGCGTTGTTCTGTTTACTTGTCTCCGAGCAAGCTGCATGGAGTATCTGCTTCAACCGATAGCGAGATACTGTGGTGCATCGACAAAGAAGGACGTGATCAGATTCTCCGAGCAGGCATGGCTACTGTGCTATTACTCGGTCTTCTGGGTCCTTGGTGTGGTCAGTGAGGATTGCCCCAGACAGCTCGAGATAGTGAACTGACCAGTAACCAGTACATCTACGTTACCTCGGAGTACTTTCTCAATCCAAAGGAGATGTTCACAAATTGGCCGACACGGGAGCTTCCTGGACTTGTGAAGTGGTACATACTAAGCCAGTGGGCTTTCTGGATCCAGCAACTCCTTGTGATTAACATTGAAGAACGCCGCAAGGACCACTGGCAGATGTTGACCCATCATCTTCTGACGATTGGCCTGTTGTATACCTCGTATACCCTTCATTTGACCCGTGTCGCCAATCTCGTCTTGATATTGATGGATGTGGTCGATATTTTCTTTCCCGTGAGCCCCTCCCCCCCTACCCTCCCGTGAGTTCCCCAATTATCTCGCCTCGCTAACCCTCAAACTAGCTTGCGAAATGCTTCAAGTATCTTGGACTTTCGACATTACGAGACATCATGTTCGGCGTTTTTATGGTGTCTTGGTTCCTTGCCCGTCATGTTTGGTACGTGACCAACATGTACCACATCTGGGTCTACATGCCAGATACCGTCAAGATCGGCTGCTACCATACATCGGAGAACAAACTGGTAACAGGTCCAACTCCGCTCCCTGAAAAGGGCTGGTCGCACATGTTTGAAGCATTCATAAACCCCTCGGGAACCATTTGCTACAACGACAGTATACGATGGGGCTTCCTTGCCTCTTTGGGATTTCTTCAGATTATTACTATTATCTGGTTCTTCATGATCGTCAAAGTGGCTATCCGTGTCGTACAGGGAAACGGCGCAGATGATATCAGGAGTGATGACGAGGATGAAGCCAGCGAGGAGGAAGTGGAAGAAACGGGACGAGGGCAAACACTCGCCAAAGTGCTCGAGGGGAGCGCCAGTGCTGACCCCAAGACATTGAAGCGCAATGCTGAAGCCGAAGGGAATGCGTTCTCGACGGGGGCGGGTCTCTCGGCGCGCTGGGAACGCAAGGGATTGCTGGGTCGAGTCGGGTGCGAGAGGCAAGTCGATTGATTGGCCAGAACAGGTTTTTCGAGTCGTATATTAAACATCCACATATTTTTTCAATCCATCCAGACATGACAGTGGAAAGGACGAACCTTGGAATCCAGCCCGATCATTGTAGCGTTATGAAAAGCTACAGGACCTGTTATACGGGAGTATTGACAAGACAGACTTTCACTCCACATATTGTATACGCTTTCTTATACTCGGATGCCTGATATCAACTCATTCAAAGGATTATTCACAAGCAGGCATGCCCCACTTTCTTCCGAACCAAGGCTTCATATCCCAATTTTTAGGATCCCATGGCAAATTATCACCACCCGTCTTCAGCACAATGCCATGTCGGACATAGATATCCAGCTTCAAATCCCAAAGATCGAAAACCTCTGGCATGGCAAAAGACAGCATGATTGCCCTGTCCCGCAGTAACGGCAGAGGAATCAAATCCAGAGCCGCATGATGCGGCACAAGAATTTGTGCCATGGTTGGTTGAAGATGGATTGGCGTTGACGGGTTAAACTTGTTCGCAACGACTGTCTGTGCATTATCCGTCGGAGCAATTGAGCAGAAAAATGGAGAAAGGCTTCTTTTATCGCAATTCATTAGGTCACTGATGTTGAAGCCCAGGCAGGTAGCATTGTGGAGGAGCGCCAGGCGGGTTTGTGTTTGGGTGGTCTGAAGCGTGTTGAGTTTCAGGTCTGTTTGACGGATATGTATACTGGTGTCTTGGATTGCATTCTCTTCTGTTCACTGATATTAGCGCGTATTAGACCAGAACTCGGAGCAAGTAGGTACTATGCTACCTTTACCGGAGGTCAAACTCCGACTCGAGACTCCAGATGAAGTTAGATCAAGACTGCTGAAAGTAGGCCTTGGGTCAATGTACCCTGTGGCATCAGATCTTATCTCGATAGCTGATGTCTGTTCTGGAGATGTCGCTGAGATCTCCTGGTCATACCGTTGCGCAGTCGTTAAATCCACAAGGAAACTTCGCGTCAATGACCGACTAGAAGACGTGACCACAGACTCAGCTCTTTCATGGTGGATAATTGAGGCAGCGCAATTCTGTCTTTGCCTTTGTCCTTTAACAAAAGTTAGCTTAGGGAGCACGTGGAGTAGCGGAACAATTACTCCACGCTCGTTGTGCAGCTCGATTTTGTTCTCTGCGGGCAGTAGTGACAATTCGCTTCTTCGGTTTGCTGCCTTGGACTGTATTTCCTGTGGGAGACATGATGTGTTTCGTGTCAATTACCCACTGGCTTATGGCTTATGGCTTACGTTTGACGAGTTTAAACGAAAGGTTGGCGGAGGTGCCTTCATTAACGCCGCCTAATATCCGGACCAATGATATGCTCTCAATGATCCCATGACTAATCAAGCGTAAGCCATGGCTTACGCTTGACCAATCATATGGCCCCAATCATCACCCATACAAAGCATTCTGGTAGGTATAAATTCAAAGCAGAATGGCTTCTACTGCGTTGAGTGTTTATTCCACGCCATCAAGTTTGCAATTGAACAACCTGGACATGTCCTCTTCCCAGAAAATCATCGCTGTCGTCGGGGCCACTGGCACCCAAGGTGCATCAGTCGCCAGAACCTTCCTCGCCCTACCCAACTGGCACGTTCGCTGTTTGACTCGGACGCCCTCGTCTGAGAAAGCCCAAGCCCTCGCTATTCAAGGTGCAGAACTGGTCCAAGCCGAACTCGATGATCCAGAATCACTGCGCCGCGCTTTTGCTGGTGTCCATGCCATCTTTCTCAATACTGACTTCTGGGAACCATATCGCCGCGCTGTCTCCTCCGGCATAGATGCTGCAGCTTGTGCCAAAATCGGCTACGACGCAGAAGTGAAATTTGGAAAGAATGCAGTCAATGCCGCCCGGGAAGTCCCAACATTGGAACGCTTCATCTTCTCTGCCTTGGGCCCTATGAATGCCGCTTCCGGGGGCAAATACCCGTACTCCTATCACTGGGAGACCAAGGCGTTCTTGGCGGATTACATCCAGGGAACCGAGCTTGGAAAACTGAGCTCCTTCATATACATCGGTGCATATCTCACCAACCAATTCGTTTATCCGAAGCACCAGCAGGATATTGGAGGATACGCTCTTGTGCTCCCAGCGAGCAAACAGACACGTCTCCCTGTGATCGATACTGGTCGCTCAACGGGTCCGTTCGTGAAGGCTTTGATTGAGGAGGAGGTTCCTGGAACCAAATTGCTGGCTTATGACGAGTATCTAACATTTGAGGAGATTCTCAACACTTGGTCCAAGGTCGCAGGTAAGCAGGCTCTGTTCGTTCAAATGGATATGCAAGATATGCATGAGAAGTTTGGTGTGCCGATTGAGGTTCTTGGGGGGCCTGCTTTCCTGAATGAGTTTGATTACTGCGCTGGAATTCCGGGTGTTATTGAGCCTTCTCAGTTGAAATCTCAAGTAGATGTGAAGAGCTTTGAAGAGTCATTGAGAGGCATGGATGTTGATTTTCTGCTGGGGACGAAATAATCGTCTTTATGGACTCTTTGGATAAGAATGAAATTTGAATAAGACCATTTTGCTTCATTTCTTCATGTTCATTCAGACTTTTGTGGCCAAGAGAAGCTGTCAGTAGAGGACTGCGTGGCTCCAACAGCATGACGTGACCAGCCGTGCAAAAGGCGTACACACTCGGGGGGAGCAGATTGAGAAGACTCATTGTAACGGGGATGTGATTTGAATAATGGAATTTAGTATTACATGAATCCAACATTCCTTTATGATCAAGTAACATAAGCAGTTCCTAATGTCCATTGAAAGTTCGGGCGACCCCCGATATGTATTGGTCTACACATAACTACGAAACAATGCGGGGAACCTGATGAGGGGAAGATTACAATAATACCTAAGTTTCTAGCCTTCCCTAGCCTTCCACCATTACATCTTCAGCACCCCGAATAATTGTTGTCATTCACTTTCTTGCGAGCCCGAGGCTTCGCACACCAGAGACAATGTCTAGCCACACCACAGCCCCCATCCTTGACCACATCGTCATTCTCGTATCCCACAAGACCCTCTTGGGAATCTCTGAATACACCAATGGCCAATTTACCCTAGCACAAGGCGGAACACACGCCGACGGCCTTACAACGAACAAGTTGATCCTCTTCCCAGACGGCGTTTACCTCGAACTAATCGCCTTCTTCGATGACATCGACCCTGAAAAGCGCCACCAGCATCGTTGGGGTAACGAAAAAGAAGGCACGATAATCGACTGGGCATTCACATTACCTTCCGAGAGCGACTTCAGCACAATCCAAGACCGGGTCCAAGACGCTGCCGCTGGCGTATCCTATACAAACCCCATTTCTGGCGGTCGCACAAAGCCAGATGGTACCGTCTTGAAATGGGCAATTGGTGCGCCTGTTGATGACCAAGGTAACCTGGTGGACCCTGGACTGCTGCCGTTCTGGTGTCTTGATAGAACACCTCGAGCGGATCGTGTTCCCTATGAGACGGAGGCGCATCTTACTCGACATCCTAATGGTGTACGGGGTGTTTCATCTGTTTTGATTCAAGCCCCTGAAGATGCAGATATGAAGCTGGAAGAAGCATATGATGCGATATTTGGAGGTGTGTGGAAATATGAGGTTCCTTCTGGTTCGACCTTTGGGAGAAATGTGGTTTCTTTGTCTAGGGACAATGTTGGTATTCAGGTGGTATTCCATGGATCCAAGAGTGGATACGTGGAGCTCTTGCCTGGACTTGTGTTTGATATTGCGGAATCTGCAAAGTGATATATACTATATTTTCTCATATATAAATGAATGATTCAATAATGCAAATAGTCTGCGACATACATAATATTTTTTATATCAAATAATGGCAGCCAGGTGTGATATCTATGAATACTCCCGAGGTCTCATTTCAACATTGAATGTTTTACTGCTGAGAACTTCATAAGTAATTTCCTATGAAGTTTGAGACACTTGGGCAAACTTTTTATGAGTGAGCAAGAATCTAACAAGTGCACCATTTCGTTCAGTCGTCAGGCATTGACGAGGCACTATTGTGATTTTCCGTCAGGGTTATATCTATCGGTTTGCTAAGATCGAAAAAAACGGCGTAATTTTGCACATGATGTCCGCCACCATTTTTGGAAACTTTTAGCCCTGCGTGCACCCCCATCATCCGGGGATGCTGGCTGATAGGCGACAGACTTAAATCGTGGGAGTCGATCTAAATCATTATCCGGGGGTCTTGAGAATTGTCAGTACCAACATTATAAAAGTTGAGTTGAGCACCGTAAACAATATATACTCACTGCACCGGATGTGCATTAGGTAAAGCACAGCCCTCGGAAGCATTTGGCAAACACACTGAGGGATGATATCGTTCCAGTGATAGAGATTGTGAACGAATTTCCATTGGAATGCTATTGATGAACGGTATCAAGACACCATCCGCCAATAGCTCACGTGCATGGTGGATGGTGGATTCCAATAGTGCTGGTTTCGGTGGAGATATCAGCACATCGTGATTGTCGAGTAGCGCTTTTCGCATTTCCTCTGGAATATTGAGTTCATTTGGGGATCCAGTGGATATGTAAGTGCTCATCATTGTTTTCCATTGTTTCCCTAGCCGTCGTGTTTCAGGTGTCATATGTCCCTCATGTCCGGCTACCCCGGAGTTGTAATAAGCGTCGCTGTAGGCATTTGCTTCAGATAAAAAGTCCAATGTTTCAATGCAATGGTTCCGAGACAGGAAGTCAACAAATGATTCGAAGTCATATGGAGCGCGCGCATGCCCAGAGATAATATGATTGATGTTGGGACGTGAGTTTCCAGCGGTTTGCACAGGAGATTGTGCAGGAGGTTGTGCAACTTTAGTATCAGATGATGACGACGACTCAGTAGTCGCATTATTGCGCTTTCTACTAAATGCCATCGGTCATATAACTGGGAGCTGGACAGGTAAACGATTTGGAGGGTACATAAAGTAAAAATTGTTGGTAATGTAGTATTTATCAAAACAATTCAGGTCTACAGTACGCAGTGGACGGAACGATTTTCTTTATCAGCCTTTCCAATGAGGCAGACTTATCTGACTAAATAGTCATTTGCCACGGAAAGTCCAATGTCCTGCTTGGTGGTCTTCCTTTGATTGGACGGGAAGCATCGTCCAACCAACAAATGACCGTCTTTATGGTAAGTCAAACATGATCCATGGTAGAAGAGAATCTCGTGGCCATTAGCTTAGCTACCAAATTACCCCACTTTAATTTGATAGGTACTTCGTGTACGCCCAGATTTATATAATAATTGGTCTCCCTCGGCTTCAGCAGTAGACTAAGCATTTGTCTATATCTTGCCACCAGCACAATCATTCCCACCATACATAGCCTTACTATTAGAGATTGATAAATTCGTGTGAAACAAATTGACTTATCTGCTGTCATGAAGGACTATTATCTACATAGTTGGGGTCTAGGCGCATCGAGGCCTTTGTCACTTTAGAGCTCATTTGCCCGATTCAGTCAGGTCACGGTCTAGCATGGGGCGAATATTGATTGGTCCCCGAAATAAATCTGGCGACGCATGGATACAAATAAACAGGGGCTCAAAACTTTCCCACAAAATATCTTCCACTGAAATGTTTTGCCTCGGCATCTTATCCTTCAATGACCTCCACCCCAGATTTTGAAGCTACCAATTTCTTGGACAGCATAGGACACACTACACAGTCTATTGTGACTTGTCTTCGCAACAACAAGCTGAACACAAAGAAAATTCAGATCCTCCTATCGGATTATAGTGTGGATGCACTACATGACGGTCGGCTGATTGACACGGCACTATCCGACGGTCGTTGTGTTGACCATGCGACAAGTTTACTATTCGCCCATGTTGAGTTTATTACATGGCTGGTTTCACATAACTACACCATTACTACAAGTTCAGTCAAATGGTATAGCTGGAAATCAATACTGAACAGAAACCGCTTTCACTCATCCCCGACATGTGCACAACCGCAGGAGATAATTGGAAGAATACGGAAAATGGAAGAACTTGTTCGGGCTGATATAGCCATCTACCAAGTGAGAATATCTCTCAATATTGTTGATTGAGATTGATTCGCTAATTATCGTCTCAAGATTACTGCTGGTCTCATTGGCTTCCAGCATCCGATTGCCACATCTCCCTCTACTTCTCCAGGACCTACGATACCACCTGAAGGTAAAACCCGACTTGTGATCTTTTTCGAATGAGTGATCTCAGTTTTATAGAATTCCATCTTGCACTTCGCAAAGGCTGGGATACTGCCGTATTTCTCTATTGAGCTTGAGGTACGGTCAAGTCAAGATTCTAGCCCATCAATTTCAATTTATAAATACAAGTACGGACCAACAAGTTTGTGGCATTGAAGAAGACTATTGAACGTGAATTCTGAAGTGTGACCTTATATATTGTACAGATATAGACTAATGCATGAGTGGAATAGGTGTTCCTAAAACATATTGACCGAGAGTGCAACAAATAAGTTGTCTCTTCACGTTCAGATAAATGTTAGTTAGTTCATTAGAGGCTACACTATCATCAGGCTTCATCAGGGACAGGCCGAATGGTATGCTCATAGAATGACAGATACTTGAAATGGGGTGTGCAGAAACCCTACCATTGCCGAGCTTCAGGTAAGCTTGTAGGCTTGGCTGATCTTGTCAAAGCTCCAAGCGGTGATATCCGGCCTTGGTACGCTGACATACCTCAAATGAGAGTGATGTATCTCTTTTAATTTGTACTTCGATTTGTGATTTCCAAAACGAACGCGGTCATGTGATGGTATGAGGTTTTTCAGATAAGGTGCAAGGGGCGGAGGACCGTAGTAGCGCAGTTGTACATAGCAATTTTCAAGAATCTCTGGCGTTCGCTACTAATTATGACGCATCTCTGCGTTGTAGAAGAGTCCGGCTGATCGACTGCGTAGGTGGACATGAGGAAACATCGCCTTCGAGAGAGATCAGAGACCAACCATGGGTTGCGAATATTGGAATAGTGGGCGTACCTGGAGGAAAAACAGTCTTCTCATCAGCAGTTCTCGCCTCCCAGTGTATCTTTTGAGATATTATCGACCACCGTAGACTGTGATAGGGGCAAACGTCCATCACTTTGCGCCTGAGACTGTTCAATAGCCTTCGGGCGCTTTTTGAGGGATATTCGGTGCATGTGTGTGGCGATCATCCAAGGCTCATCAGATCTATCAACTTGGGTTCATGGAGGCAAAAATCAGATAGAGCGGGCCGAAGACCATTTACTGCTCTAGAAACACGGCTGAGATTGTGAAAGACCAACAGAGGAAGAGAATGAAGAAATTGAAGGCTTAATAAGAAGGGCTTGGGGAAAGTGGATATGATGGACCCGACATGCTGGGCCAAGGAGTCCTCCGGACTCTTTTTCCGCATTTGCCATTCCCTTCCCTGATCGTCCGTCCCCATGGACTGAACAATGTTTATCAATTCCAAAGGATCTTGTTCATCGGGGACCTTGATCTGACCAGACTCCAAATGAGCTTCAGCCGTGAATCATCCCCCCAAAACTAATACCTTCATACGTACCCCATTGCTGTTTTGGAAACCTTGAACCCTCGGAGTGTGTCCTTGAAATGAGAACGGACCTCAGATTCTCTTTCACAGAGGTCAAATCCCAACTGTCTTCACAGCACCTCTTGCCACGAACTAACCGACAAGGAAATTGTGCAACCTAGCAGAAAAATGGTAGAACGGAGTTGCCAGGTTGAGGGGATGAAGATGCGGATGAACTCTTGACAGATACAAGATGCCGGAAAGACCATGTGAAAAGAATGAGTTTTAATGACCCCCGCTTCCCCAAAATGCTGATGCGGACGCTTGTTTTTCTTGCTTAGTGCGAATCCCTCGATGGTCCATTGAGGCACCCCCTACTGGAATCCACACGGCGCGCGGAGATCTTGGATGACAACGAGGTTGGCATAAGGAATTTCAAAAGGTATCACATCCGCACTCGTTGTCGTGTTGCAAATACAGAACATAATATCAGATAGCTCTCTTGCCCGATCGGGTTGAGGATTCTTCTGACGAGTCGACCTGGTAGGCACTGAAGTTCATGAAAATCAATAATTCATCTCTCAAAAGCTCCCTCGAATTCCCTACCGGCGAACCCAACTACCGACCAACCTACCTACCTTGAGATTGGGTTGACCGGCGACATGACGACCCTTTTGCCACTCGATTATCAGGAGACTGTGGCGAATCATCTGGCCCGGTGTGAAGTAGCAATTCTTCTGATTTCATTCAAGTCTAACCCCTGTTGCATGGGTTTCATCCTTGATGATAGGAACTGCATCCTCAACCCCAAGTAATACACATCGACGGTGCCTCAAGTCCAGACAGGCGATGAAGGTCATGGAGTCTCCATGACTTAGGACAACCACCAAGGAAGCCTCCTTGAGTAAGGAGAAACGAAACAAGAGCCAAGGAATGCTTTTGGCTCGACAGAGAAATGGCTTTCACCGATACTGGACCTAAGTAGGCAGTATTGGTGTGAACAAACCTACTCCAGAGATGACGGCTTTTTCGGCGGTTTGATCAACTGGGGAAGGTTCGACCAGGCTTGTTTCTCCGGTCACCAGAAGCAAACCAACAGATTGTTCCAAACTACCCAGTTCCTTGGGCTCAAGAGACCACAATAAAAGTTTTTTATTTTCAATGCAGCCATCATTTCATTCACATGAAGGAGGGCACACCCAGCTTGAAGCTTCACACATCGATACCGGGCGTCATGGTTTATTCGCGTTGGTTTGCCCGTCAATGCAAAATGAATATGTGGAGGATAGGTCATCGAGGCTCAAGGCACCATTTCCAACCGAATCAGCATGTCCAACATGGACGGCGAATGAAGTACGGATGCTGGTGATAACCAAACGCGGTTGCCTTTTCATGAAGGTAATACACTCCTGAGCTGGCCATGACGGGTCACACTTTAAGCCCGGAGACCAGAGGCCTGTATTCCTGCCAACCAGAATCATGCCTGTTCCAACAAATCCGGTCACTAAAGAGGTTGCCTTGGAATGAACAATGGGTAACATGAATAACCGAATTGTTTTGCATAAAAATGTCCACAAACGGGCCCTCGTGCTCCCAAATTCTGCCAGATACTTCTATCGTCACCAGCCAGAGCCAGAAATATCCGTTTCAACTAGCCACCAATGGGCCAACTTGCAGTATTCCGTCGACGCTGACATATATACAGCCTTGTATGATCGACTTGGACAGTACACACCGAAATCGGCTATTGTTGCTTGTGGTGTTCACGATTTGCCGTATTGGGGGGTCAGGTGTGGTGGCTTCAAGGGCAATGATTTTCCTGGTGACGGTTGTGTTCGATATACGCCTGATGGACGACTTCGCGCGTATTTCGACAAAAGGTCAATCATTATTGTGTCGCCGGGAGGTATTCGATCGGGCTGATGTCATGCGCGACCCCAAGGGCCTGAGTCGAGGATCTAAGCACTTGCAGGAGAGGTTTTGGCTGGCCTAAATGAACGAATCTATCCCAACTGCATGTGTACATCGTCAGTATCCCGTTTGTATCAATGGGGCTCAACTGTGACGGCGTTTCATGCTTACCCGAATGGGCCGAAGTGGCCATGTGCAGGACCGGTGTTGTTCTCGAGCAGTTGCAATAGCATGAGATTGCAGTCACAGCTCAAAGATTCACGGCTCAAGGATTCACATTCGAGCCGTGCAAACGAGCTAATAGGGCTTTCGGCCTATGATTCTGAACTGGCCTGCATAGTGCTTGTGTGTCTCCTTGATTCAATGGGTGTCGTGGGAGTTCGCAGGCCTCGAGGCTGACTATTCAACCGACCGACTAGTCGACTGGCCGACGGCGACACTTGCGCAAGAAACCAGTTGCATATGAAATGAACACCAACTCCCACATCACAGTTCAAAGAAAGCAGCTCAATTGAGCTCGTGGTGTTTGGGCGTGCGTCTGGGTCGTGTGGTCGGGGTCGTCGTGTGTGCCGCAGGTGAGGACGTCGAGTGCGTTTTGACAAGAGCCAAGAGAGGGATCCTGCAATTCCAAACATCTCAGCCTCGGTGAAATACTCAATCGGATGAATTTTGGGTTGACTCACTTAACTGTGGAAGCATTACGCGAAATGGTGCCCGTGAACCGCGTTGTGCTCCTGCTGAAATGCTGACATGCTGAAACTTCATAATAGCCCACCAATATCACGAGTTTGATCCGACCTCATCTGGGCGTCATGTGTCATTGTATCAGTATGAAAATACTTTTGCTTTGTACCAAAGGACTAGCCTCGTCTTTCCCAACTCGAAAATGATGATCATCAGCATGTAGTCTCAGAGAAAGACCAATCGCCTTCAGCTGATAGAAAAGGGTAGATTCGCCACTCTATTACCTGTCGCCAATGGGCCGGGAGCCTAGTTCTGAAATGCAGAGTAGCATCTGTTGCTTTGCCTCGATAATGAAAAAGGACACTGTGTGATAGGGTGAGAGCGGGCCAAGAAAGAAAACATTATCACGGGAATATAATGGAAGTGTTGCCCACACGGCAAAATAAGTGACCACCCAGGTTACTAAGTCACCTGTGGATATAATTCCTCAGTCCAGCAACGCTCTCATCTTAAGAGAATGGGGTTTCAGCGACAATCTTGTCAGTGCCGTTTCTGGTTTAACCAAGAAATAACCCTGGGTCATCGCAAGGAGCAACTATGCCGGCTCTCACATCCGGAGCTCGAGCCACCTGGAAGAAACCATCCCCAAGGTTATCAGGCCAAATACAAGCTATGGATGGCTGATGATGTCGCCATGTACTAACATCGAAATAACTTGATATACATCGTAAAACGCCACCACGATACTACACACTCTTATCAGCTTCTTGCTGACTCTACAGCCAAATACTTCACTCGCAAAAACCTCGATATCGGTGACATCATCACAAAATAAATTAAATTCGAACTAACTATATCCACTGGTGATGGTGGAATATACCACCATTACGCATACAGGCGATATCTGTATCTACATGGGTCTATTCTGCTACAAGTGCGAAAAAGAGGCAATATCTCACTAGTTCTAAAGTGATATAGATCTTCTGACAACTTGTGATGAAAGCTACTGACAGAGATATTTCCATACGAAAACCATCCATTTGTTTGGTTTGGCTGGGAACCAACTATCGGAAAGTGGCAAACAACGCGGCTATTCCATCCAGCATACCAGAGTGCACCATTTCTCAACCCAAAGAACCCGCAACCCACACCGCCCAAAGGGACCTTTGTTTAGGGTTCAATGGGTATTGGTGATTGATGCTGAGGGTGTGCATTTTATCGGCAATTTTCCTGAATTTATTGGCTTGCGTTCTTCGTGTTATTTTGACCCTTCAGACCTTGCACGATGAATCCTGAATACCCATCGGAGTATCCGGAAAACGAATCAGCCATATTCAACTACGACTGGGTTAACCCCCCGTCCACGCAGTCTTCAGCGTTCGACTTTCCTGCTGACTCCCTCCCCCATGAAGAAGTGGTCACCAGCGACCGGCCGAATACTAAGGTCGCGATTCCTCGAATAGTCAACCCCGGTACTTGGACCACCAACAGTCGAGTTAGTCGGGCCTGTGAGAATTGCCGTGAACAAAAAGCTAAATGTAGCGGACACCGTCCTGTCTGTCATCGTTGCAAGGATGCCGACATCCGGTGTTCGTACGGGGACCGGAAGCGGGAAAAGATGGCCAAGTAGGTGGATTTTCGATGGAGTAGCCATCGTCTCACCTCTAACAACCTCTCTAGACAGCTGAGCGAGCTAACAGCCCAGGTGGAAACCTACGAAGCCCTCTTGCAAGATATCTATCCTAGGCTAGATACGCCGTCGGCCCTTCATGTTGACCAAACTCTTAAAGAGGTGTGTTTTTTGTAACTAATCCTTGTTTCCCTTTCACTTACCCGTCTCATCCTTTCCAGCTTCCAGGCTCTTCTATGCTCCACACCGCCCCCGAGGGCACGACCTTCGCCCTCGGGGCCATCGACTACACCGAAGAAGACTTTAATCGCGATGAGAAACTCCAGGCTATGGGATATGTGGGCGAGCACTCGGAAATGGCGTGGTTGTACCGACTCAAACGGGACTTGGAGCAAGCCAGGACGCCGACCAGCAACAGATCCGATCGCCCTTCCATCTCATCGGTGAATTATTTCCATGACGACCTCAAAATAACAGTACTCGACGACGTTGACCTTCTGGCACGCCCCCCTCAACACGTCGCAAGTCAGCTCGTTGAAAGTTACTTCTCTACGGTGCACCCTACCTTCCCGATCATTGGCATGACGACATTCCTCGGACAGTACAATTCCTTCTACACCGACCCCAACGTACGACCTGGAAAACGATGGCTGGCTGTTTTGAATTTGATATTTGCTATTACGGCGAGACATTCTCTTTTAATGGGCCTTCCACCCCATCCGGAGGTGGAGAGCTATTTGGTATACTTTACGCGAGCGTGGCGACTCGGGATCGATAATGTGGCGCTACTTTCACATCCGAACTTACAGCAGGTCCAAGTCGAGGGTTTAGCGGCTTTCTACCTTCTGTCTGTGGGCCAAGTTAACAGGTATGGATTTTTGTGGGTTTTTTATCTTGCGGTACATAATTTTTGACTGGGATTGTCTTAGGTCATGGATAATCCTTGGTGTTGCGATCCGGTCCGCCGTTACAATGGGGCTGAATCTCCGCAGCGAGAGTAACACCATTGGGCATCTTTCGAAGGAGATAAGATATCGGGTGTGGTGGGCGCTTTTTATGTTGGATACCGTGCTATGCGTTATGACCGGCCGACCGCCTAGCACCAGCGATACTTTTTGCTCTACACCTCTCCCGTTACCGTACGCAGAGGAAGAGTTCAGCGACGAGCGTATCATGCGGCTTATCTCTGATCAACAAGCCCGGAATGCGTTCATGACTTCACTTCTCTCCACTGAGTCCGCATTGACGAATAACGAAAGCAACGCGAATCGTCTCCATTTCGGACAGCCCGAAAGCAAAGGAGAGCAGGCCGAGCAGATTACCCAGGCTCTCGCCCCTAATATTTCACTATACTTTTTATACGCTGTGGATTTGGCGTTCCTCACCCGCGAAGCAGTAGACACACTCTACGCACCTCGGGCGACGCGACGATCATGGCGAGAAATCGAAATCCAGATATTCACCTTAAACAGCAATGCGGACAGATGGCTTTCTCGTCTCCCAACAGAATTCCATTTTATTGAACTCGATGCATCGCAGCCTTTCGCTCGGGAGCGTGCCAGCCTAGCATTTCGATTTTACACCACCAAGTTGATCATTTCACAGCACTGTCTTCGCCGCCTCACTGACCTATCCGGTGCGGGTTCACCCGGACCCGTTTGTGATACAATGGCGGCTATGTGCGTTCAAGTCGCAGGACAAATCCTTGATCTTCTACCTGATGAAGTAGATACCGCCTGGTTATATCAAGTTTCCCCTTGGTGGTGCATCCTTCATCATATCATGCAGTCCAGCACGATTCTTTTAATTGCGCTATCCACAAAACTCCACCCCGTCATATCGGCAGCGATTAATATCGCAGAGAAAGTGAAGAAGGCTACCCGCTGGCTGAACGAGATGTCTGTCAAAGATCCTTGCTCGCAACGTGCTCTGCTCATTTACAGGGATCTGCTCTCGCGTCATGCTTCTAAACTTGGATTGGAAACTGACATCGGGCTCTAGATATGGCGTTCATTCTACATATTTATCTACCTACCCTGAGCTTGTGTTCAAATACAACTCTTCGAGGGACCTTCATAGGTGTCATCGGCGTTTGAAGACCACTTTTCAGCCATCCCTTCGATTTGCCGAAGGGCTCATCTACAACTGAACGAGTTTTCTTGGCTTAAATCTCGGCATTTCTTATCTTGTTTCTTAGGGTGGGGAGTCACCCCTCCCTTTTTGTGGGTCGATATATAACCAAATCCCGTGTCGCTTCAGGCCTCAATGTTTCTCCATGGCCTTTCATGAACTTCGTACCCCTCTCATGAAGGGCTCGTATGAAGCACGTACCAGGCCTCTCAATACCGATAAACGACTTCTAGAGGCTTCTTCCTCTGTTGCTGCGACATCAATAAAATGCCCCCGGATAAACCCCATGAGCGCCCGGGATAAGGACGAATCGCTAAGCGGGTTCCTCGCTTACTCTGCCAGGTTCACGGACGAAGCCCTATTTAGGCCTCACCGGGTGGCTTGCTTTCTTCAGACCGTTGGGGCAAACAAAACACTAATTATGCATCATGTCCAAACCAGACATCCCAATGCAGTGTGATTAACTATCCAAAAGGTCCCCGCAGTCTGTTCCTCTTGAATTACCCCGACAGATTTCGCTGTTTTTGCAACCCCTTTTCAAAGGTCGCATGTTCATACCCAACTCTACATAACCATTGGTCCTTGCCATGCTCCTCCAATTCATGTTTAGCTTGAATAGCAGCAAGTATGGCACCATACTGGTCGACACTGACCAACGCAGCTGGATTGTGACGTCAAGCATGGCAGATAATTTTCTGCATATTTGGAGGCATTCCAGGACACTACCTGAGGAAGAACAGGTTTTATCTTTTCCACACGCATTTTAATCGTATTCGTGGCCTTGTCATTGGCCCCTTCACGTGCGGAGTTTGCAGTAAGTTTTGCAGGTGTACGCGTACAAACTAGCTAGATGCATCATCTTAAACAGTTTCAAATTCAGTCCATATGTGGGCTTTAAAAGCCTGGGCTCTTTCCATTTTCCACTGATCTCTTCCCAGCCTTCTCATAAAGCGATAGAAATCATCCTCAATTCGGGTCTTCGTCTGGTTGCCCCATACCTGCATCACTCACAATGTCATGTTGTGAATCTGCAACACGTATTTCGATTGCTCAATGAATAAGTAGTGTCAGATGGGATGGGATCTTCGACATTTAATACTCCCCAGGCATCCTGCATAGAAGAGGGTGTGCTGACCAGCTAGATTTGTCGCTATAATCCCAGTGCGACATTGAACTGCATTCTCATTAACAGGTTACTGCGATCAACCCTTCAAAACCTAAAAATAATTGAGCAATAGCGAAGTGTGAGCTTGCCAGTGCAACGAACAAGTTATGAACAAATAATGGACGGTGTGGGGTGGCAGAATACAAATTACGTCACTTGAGTTGTCGCTGTCCCTGAAATACTCATTTCTATTCCGCATCCTCTGTCATGAAAGCGATCCCAAAGTCTCCCCCATTTAGCCGACTCAATAGTAGTCCCCTGTATTTATTTGTTACACCGTCGTCTCATAATAATTTCTAGACCCCATGAGTGGGTCGGACTCCCTCTGCTGTAGGTAGGCAACTTTCGGGCGTTATAGACTACACCCAAGAAAATATTGACTGCGATGAAGATTGCAGGCGACAGGCTTTGTGGGGGAGCATTCAGAAAGGGTGTGGATCTACAAGCTCAAACAAGCCCTCGACCAGGGTAAAGCGACCCCCGTCGAAGAGAATGCCAACCGCCCTTCCATTTCATCCATGAACTACTTCCAAGATCAGTCCGAGATTTCCTCATTGAAATTCTGGGAATATCAGGGGAGTCGCCCCACGATATTGCCGATCAACTCGCTCACATGTGTTTCCTGAACGTACATCCCGCATTTCCAGTTATCGACAAGACGACGTGTTCACGCCAGTACCACCTGACCTTTTATTCGAGCGGGTGTTCCACTTGCCAAACAATGGGTAGCAGTTATTAACCTCATAGTGGTTAATTCATCGAGGCATTTGATATTCCTGGGTGACCGGGCTCCGGGGAACATGGAATATACAGTCGACTTTTCACGCTCGTGGTTGCTGGGCGTAAATATATGTAGATGCATTCAAATGTTCTCAAGCCAGCCAATTCTATAACAGGTACAGGCCTAGGCGTTGACGATCTTTTACATCCTCTCATTTGACAAGGTCAACCAGTAGGTCTGAATGCCTCTGTAGCCTTCGAGGGTCTGCAAAAACGGCCGACATAAACAATAAACTGTATCGATTCACCGTATGGACCGAGCAAGGGAAATAAAAATGTGACACTTATTCGTATCGTCCGTCGGTACCCAAGCTTTCACGATTCTTTTTATGCAACATGCACCCGGCGTTTATCATGCAAAAGGCATGTAGTCGACTAGTACTTTCCTGACCCCACTATTCAATAAAGACCCACTCGCAAGAGGTGCTACTTTGGACGCAGATGGGAAGATAAGAAGGCTATCAAGCGGCTGGCCGAGATTTCCACGAAGGATCCCTCGCAGCGAGCCTAGTGTATATGTGATGATATTCTGTCTCAACTTAGCTGAGGGCTTGATTGGAGCTCGATTCGAAATTTTGATTAGTATCAGTTCCTCCCTAGGATTTGTGTTGCGTCTTTAGTCATTTCGGCACCGGAGTTTACGTGACATCAAATTTTATTTGTATTTTCGTTAGGCAATTGTGGAGGATTCAGCCTTGAGGGAAGACTTGACCAGGTGATAGATTATCTTAAGGTGCACTTGATACTATAGAATATTCGTTTTTCTCGGAGGTACCATCAGTGGCCTGCTTAAGAAACTTGATTAATTCGAGTTTATCTTATGACTGAGTTTCCGCAGGGCTGAGCGCATCCATGGATGCACATGAACTACCAATATAGTTGCGATCTGATTGATGGGGGGTTCCAAGATATGCATCGTGCAAGTCAGCAGAGCCTTGCTTCTTATGCATCTGAATTGCATCATTTTCTTGAACAACTTCCTAAAACTGCTGCGGCCAAACTTCTATGCTCTTGAAATACAGGCACTCAATCTCCATGAGTGTGCATCGCCGCTGCTTGAGGCATTAGTATTTACTGCAGTGAACTCTAGAGCTGACTCCAGTTTCGAGCTCGGGATACAACTAAATCTTTGACAAGAAAATTGTGTTATGACTTAGCCGCAGTGTTTGCAAGACACTTGGTTGACAATTCTCCGACCATGGTCGACTGGGGATTGATCGAAGTGGGGACCCGGTGCAATAACTAGCTCGAACATGAAGTGAATAGGAGCAGACAGTACTCGGCTTTGTGTATGATCGCGCTCTTGAATTGAAGATAGGATAACTAGATCAAAGCCTCGGAATCATAAATCTCTCTGATCGGTGGGGCTAAGTGGGAAAATCCTGCACTTCATATATTCTCTTGGCAACGCTGTATAAACCTTAGAATAATCGGGGACAAGTGTCTTATTCCAATGTTATCTATAATCCGGATTCCATGAGAATCATACTCCACTGGCTGCACTTCACTCAAAAGTCATCTACTTAGCAGCCTGTTTGAAGCGACTCGCCTGCGGTTAATCCGTGGAGCTGGGCTTTGTAAGATAACAATCATTTGTAACGCTACTGATTGCCTCCACAAGAAATTTTCAAGGCCTTTAACGTAGGAATTCAAACCTTATAGTCTAACCTCACTAGAGAAGTGGGTAAATCCTGATTTGCCTGCTTCAATAGTCTTATCACGAGTCATGCGACTTCAAAATTAAGATTTTCGGTCACTTAAAGCTTTAGGCTTATATGTAGTCTAAAGGGGATAAAGAAACCGCGACCGATAAGCTAATAAAGTTGCTTTATCACGCTATCACACAATTCAGTACCTTGGCCGAAGCCATTCCGAAGTTACGCCTTTTAGCCCACTCTTGGATGCTTGGCATGACACCTTACAACGCACTAAGCTGGCGACCGGCCCTATGGAGAGAGATACTCCGCATATGTCTCGAATAAGGGCATTTTATTGCGACACAGTATCCAATCAGACGTTAGCCGGTGTGGATTACAATGCTTATCATGGACTGACCGGGTGGATTGATGCTCTACTAAACAGCCTATACCCCATTCCAAATAACGCGACATCTACCCCACTTATGGCTCTCAACACTTGGAGTAATGTAAATATACAAAATTTGGTTTTTTAGAGCCAAATGAGGGGCCATGGCTTATTTTCGACTTACCATAGCAGGGAGATCTCCGACCAAACATATCCAGACCCAGTGAATTTCGAGTTCCAATTGAAAGCAACATTCTATTAAAAATGAAGAGATTATTGCAAAGTTTCCGGAATCAGAGGAGTGATCTCCTATCGGGGCATCCTGCGTAGGTTGCATCGGCAAGCCTTTGCCTATCGGTTTTCAATTCCATAAATCCGGACCTATCTAGACTCCCTAATCTAATGATTCTCCGGGATCACCTCTGTCCATCCAGGTGGGTCTGTCGTGATAACAAGTGACTATTGCAATAAGGCTCGGCACCTACATACGTTACATGGATAAAATGGAAGTCGCTCCCCACCTTGGCAACGCAACCTGTCCACATTTTGATAAGAATAAACCTCCCAGTCGGTTCTGTCGGCTCGCGGACCTACAACATATTCATGTCTACTGATACGGCAAAAATGGATACGTCCAAAGATTCCGCTAAGCAGGCGGATATATCGGAGACGCAGGATGCAGACTTGGAATCGGAAGACATTACCCAAGACTCCGCGGCTTGGCGATATCGATCGGATAGAACGGAACTCACTGAACTGACGCCGGTTGAAGCGTTTAAGTGGAGTGTGGAGGGGGACCAGTCACCTTGTAGGTTGAAAGATGGATTCAATGAACAGGAAGCACTTGTGTTGACAATACTTAGTTCCCGAAGTAGCAGCTTGTGTGTCAAACAAGGATGATCCAACAATTTCCTGCAACAGTGAGATATTCCATTCATGTCCAATAAACTTAACTGACCAATGAATTACAGCTGTTCGGGCCTGGGTATTGATGACGATTTTCGTCATGCTTTTCTCCGGAGTCAACCAGTTTTTTGGCCTGAGATATCCCTCACTTTCGATTGGATATGTCGTCGCTCAAATTCTGGTATTTCCTATCGGTCGAGCATGGGAGAAACTTCCCAGGTGGAGAGTCCCACTGGGCAAATTCACTTTTGACATCAACCCAGGCAAATTCACTATCAAGGAGCATGCGTTCATTGTTATTGTGAGTGATGATTTTCTCAATGATCAACAAGAAAAGGAAATTAACATGTATAGTGCGTCAATATTAGCGCTTCAACAGCCTATGCCCAAGGCTCCCTGGTGGCCATCGTAAGTCCAGTGTATTGGAATCGCGATTTTGGAGCCGGATTTTCTTTCCTGTACCTTTTGACCACACAGATGATAGGGTAAGAACAACCAAGAAAGACTCCATCTCACATGAACTGACGCCTATTCAGCTTTGGGTTGACGGGCCTTGCTCGCCGGTGGATTGTTTATCCAGCTGCCTTGGTCTGGCCTACCTCACTATCCTCAACTGTCCTCTTCCGCGCACTACACGAGCCTGAGAGTACTAAAGCCGCCAATGGCTGGACAATAACTAGGTATAAGTTTTTCGCTTATGTCACAGCATTTGGATTTGTCATCTTCTGGTTCCCGGATTATATTTGGACAAGTCTGAGCACTTTTGCTTTCATTACTTGGATTTGCCCTCACAACCAGAAAGTGAACACGTTATTTGGGGTAAGTGCTGCATAGCTGTGCTATTGATGAAACTTTACCAATGCTGACTGCTCAGATGAACTCCGGTCTGGGTCTGCTACCTATCAGTCTCGACTGGACCCAGATCAACTATGCTGGCTACCCGCTCATGACACCCTTTTATATCACCTGCAACGCCTTTGCAGTTGTGGTGTTATTTTACTTCTTCTTGTCCCCCATATTGTACTATGCAAATGTGTGGTACAGCGCATAGTAGGTTCCCGACTTCATAACCAAATACCCATATACTAATGAGCCAGCCTTCCGCTTCTCTCATCAAGCACCTTCGACAACATGGGAAAGTCATACAACGTATCACGAGTGGTTGATTCCAATCTCAACTTCCTGGAGAGCGGCTACAAAGAATACTCACCAATGTATATCTCTATGGCATACTCACTCACATACGGACTGTCATTTGCAGCGGTAACTGCCATAGTCCTGCACACCTACCTCTACAATGGCTCTGAAATCTGGGCTCGGTTCAAGGATTCACGACACGGCGGCGAGGATATCCATCGACGACTGATGCGAGCCTATAAAGAAGTTCCAGACTGGTGGTATGGTGTTCTGACCGTGATTGTGTTGGGCCTGGGCATCTTGACAATAAAAAAGTGGGATACTGAGCTGCCGGTCTGGGGATTTATTGTGGTTTGCTTTGGAATGGCGGTTCTTTTAATAGTGCCGGAAGGCATTCTTCAAGGAACTACAAACCAGCGCGTGTTCCTCAACATCATAACAGAGCTGATTGCTGGATATGCCTGGCCCGGAAAGGCGATTGCTAATATGATGGTCAAGTGTTACGGCTACAATTCGGTGAAGCACGGTATGGACTTTGCACAGGACTTGAAACTCGGACAATATATGGTAAGCATGCTATGTCACGTTTTGTCGAGTCAATGCTAAAATCTTTAGAAAATCCCACCCCGTGTTCTATTCTTTGGCCAAATTTATGCTAGTGTGCTAGCAACAGCAACTCAAACTGGAGGTATTGCTTTCAAATTGAACTTTAAAGTTTGGTGCTAATTTGATGAAAATAGTCCTACGATGGATGCTCGGGCATATCACTGACCTGTGCGAATCAACCAACAAGCAACGATTTACGTGCAACGGAGCCAAAGTCATGTATAATGCCTCCTTAATTTGGGGGACCATTGGCCCACAGCGAATGTTCCAGTCTGGTCAGGTTTACAATGGCCTTGTCTACTTCTTTCTGATTGGAGTAAGGTATTTCATCGTTCATCTTGAGTCCATTTGCTGACAATATAGCCTGTTGTTACTGGAATCGTCTATCTCATTTACCGCCGATATCCCAACAGCTGGGTGCGCTACATCAATGTTCCAATTTTCTTTAATGCTGCTGGAAATATCCCTCCTGCCAATACCAGTGGGTCTCAGCTTATTCTTGTAAAAGATTTTGGAAGCTTACAGATTAGCCCAATATTCGCTTTGGTTCATCGTCGGATTTATTTTCAACTACCTTATTCGCAAGCGTGCATTTGACTGGTGGAAGCGTTACAACTGTAAGTCAATATGTCCCTCTAATCTTCAAAGTCTTTGCTAATTTGTTCGCCATAGATTTGCTTCAGGCGGCTATGGATACTGGCACGGCGATCGCAACCATTATTATCTTTTTCGCACTAGGCTACCACTCCATCACATTCAGCTGGTGGGGAAATAACGTGGGATCGAATACTGATGATGCAAACTCCGTCCCATGGCTGAAGGTCCCAACAGGTGGCCACTTTGGAAAGGGGCCTGGCCAATTTTGAAGAAGAATCTGCTCAGTATTCAACTTAGTACAGGCAGTTTAATCAACTATATTGACAATTCAGCTTAATGATACAAAATTTAGCTACCGTAAACCCTTGCCGTGGCGGGTGTAGCACCAGGGTAGAATGAGTTAGGAACAGTGGGGATTGCAATAGATGTGGTCAGTCCCAGTCCTGCGGTGAGCTGGTTGGGCATTGTTGTGGCTGAGTAACCAGATGGAGCAGACGTCACAGTTGAGGTCACCGTGCCGTATGAAGTGTGTGCAGATCCTGCCTTCAAGCAGTATCCCGAACCCCAGGCATCTGCGCACTTGTAGTACTCAGTGCTTCCTGACTCGGTCCACATGTCGAAATCTTCAATGATGATGTTTGTACAAGGCTGAGTTGACGGGCACAGAACGTACAGAGGGGCTCGTGTGGCACCGTTTGCGCATGTTCCTTTCCAGTTGCTGAAGGTGATCGAGTTGTACAGGACGCCATCTCCTTCTTGCAATGTTTCTGACGACCAGTATGCATCAATATATAGAGAATAAGCATTCTCGTGTCCGATGAAGTTTTGGAGGGTCACGTCCGTCACTATTCACATCAGGTAATTAGTTAGGGGCTCGAATAGATTTTGTCGATCCCTGTTCTTCAGGGGGGCTGGGATTACCTGTTCCGTTTCCTCCGTTACTCCTATTAATAAAGTCAGTTTCGACGTATTTCTTCTGCTAATGGAAAAATGACGTACTTGAACATAAACATTTGGTTTGAATTAACGGTGTAGATGTTGTTGTATTCGACTTTAGAGATATCTGTCGAGCACAGTCAGTAACTTCACTTTACTTCGGTGATCAGTTTGTGGTCCACAACATACCCGTGTCAACACCCAAAGAGCCCATGGCGCAGCCACCAGACCAGTTGCAGTAGATATTCTCGACAAGGATGTGGTTTGCCGGACTCTTGACTGTAACACACTCATCCTTGTTTGTTACCTCAACATCGTGAATCCAGATGTCAAACCCCCACACGTCAATTCCATCAAGCCCTCCCTCATTTCCACCTCGAATAATCATGTTGTACACCTCACCCTGGTTGCAAGTATCAAGGGTGAGATGGAACGCCGGAGAGTCAACAAGGGCAATGTCATGAATGGCAAAGTTGGTCACTTCATTCGGTTAGTACTGGACTTAGAAAAGTAAAACCTTTCACACTCACCGTCATAAAGGCGCAGAATACGTGGGCCGTATTCCCCCTCAGCATGGAATACATATCCATAGCCTTGGATGGCACCCTCACCGCGGGAGGAATAGATTTCAAAGTCAGTGCTATGCTCGATGTAAATCATGGTGCCCCCAGCAGTACCCGTTCTAACGATGATGCCTTCCAAGTTGATGGCCCACGCACTTCCACCACTCAACGTGACCCAAGTGGCCAAGGCAAAGGTTCCCAAAGGAATATTCACAACGCCACCATCGATGCAGGCCTCAAAGGCAGCCAGAATAGCAGCCCCAGAGTCAGTCGTTCCATCCGCTACAGCGCCATAATCAGTAATGTCGCAGATCTTCACAGCCCATTTGTCATCAGTCGAGGTTAATGGACCAAGTGGGTAATCAGTGGTATCTGCAAGCTGTGCCCATGCAGCAGAGATCCAGCCAAGACCAAGAAGCAGAGCTTTGATTTGCATGATGTTGGTAGTTGTCTGCAAAACAGTATTGGAAAAGGTGCCCTGGCCAGGCTATTTAACAGGAGAACTACATCCTTCGGACCTTCTACCACTAGGGCGGGAAAAATCTCCGACTCCAGTGTCTTGAAATAAGTAAGCGCTATTCATGTGTGTGCACCTGAGCACTAATTTCCCTATAATCAAAATCATCACCGGCGGTCTTGGCAGGGAATGCGCCGAAGAATTCGAATCCACTTAACTTTTATTTATGGGAAATCCACCGAAAATGTTTCAAGTGACGCCCAAGTCATCACATCTTTGCCCCAAGTGGCACGGAAGACCGGCCCTTTTCCTGAGAGCCTGCGAAGGTTTGAAGCTATGGCACATATAAATGCACCAATCACATTTCCACGTGATCAAACTAACTCGTGTTTTCTCTGACTGATTTAATGGATTGTAATAATTTTATTTCCGGGTGAATATCTGTTAGTATCTTAGCGTGCATTTGGACCCTTATGCCGTGCGCCCCTGTTTCAATGTGCCGACTGACCCACAGTAGCTCTTTGGCCCATGTGGCTTCTTGAAAGCTGCCCTCAAGGTCTTTTTGTTGCATCATTTCACCAAAATTAGTGTTTTTAATTTCCCGTATATACAAGCTATCAAGAGTCATGATTTGATTAAATTTGATAGTGATATGGAAAAACTATTTGATGGGTGAGCTAAAAGCGAGGCCGGAACGTTGCGCTGCATCGGGACCAACTGATACACTAGCTCACTTGTCCAAACATACCTTCCTTGAATCATCGTCTGCTCAGAAAGACTGAAAGATCAAAATGAATGTGACTTGAATGCAACAGGTTCATCCTTTTAACAATAATGCGGCGTTTGTGGCTAGATTTCGACATATTGTGTGGCTCAATGGCTGTTATGTCGCGCGCTTTCATGAATGATGGTAGAATAAATGGCTATCCCTTCAGCAAAGTCACTCATGTCTCATTTTGCAACTTAGCTCCAAGATTGTGGGTATGTGATGTATGAGGATTATTCAACTCGTTCCATATAAGTTTAGCCAATCGGGGTAACCCAACGCTCCACGAGTTCTATCCCTTGTCTCATCCCTATGCTGCAAATTACTTATCTCTCTAGTTTGTTTCTACGGAACTTGATCGTAAGTGAATTCAATTTAAATATTCAAATTAATTATCCTGCGTTAGAGAAATATGTATGTATACTATCAAAGACGTTACCCTCCAAGAGTTCCGAACTTGAAAGTTCCGCAAATCACGATTCCGTTATGAACATTGAAGATAGGACAGATCTAGCTGAAATGAATTTCCCCTTTAATTTCCTTCCCCCTTTTCTCTTCCTTTCGTCTCTTCAATCTCGGTTTTTTTTTTGGTACAAATGCAATCTTTTCCTCGTGATAGACTATCTCATCAGTGATCATCAGCTTCCGCAGAAACGGCTAAACTCGGACCCGGCGACGCAACCCTACCTGCAAACCAAGTGGCTTGCGCAGGAAGCCTTCCCGGGTTTCCATCTCCTCTTCCTGTTCAATTTGGAATTCAAACAGGCCGAAGACAGTGGCAACAATGCAAAGCAATTCCATCTCAGCGACATTACGACCGACGCAAGCACGCGGACCATGGCTGAAAGGAATGAACGCAGCCTTTTGGCGGGGGTTCAGATTTTCCCAGCGCTCTGGGACGAATTCCTCGGCATCCTCGCCCCAAATTTCAGTAGAGCGATGGATCGTGTAAGTAGGCACGGAGAGAACGTCGCCAGCGTGGAATGTTTGACCCGCGATGACGATAGGCTTAGTGCCTTCGGGGATCTCACGTGCAAGACCCATGGCAGATGTGCTATGAATTCGCATTGTTTCCGAGATGACCCATTGAAGACTAATGATGGTTAGAAATTGCGATTGAGGTGAAGGTAACAATTGGGAGGGGATATTACTAGGGAATATCCTTGACCATGGCGTGGGTGGGAACATCGACATCCTTTGGGATTGCCTCATCCAAAACCTTCTGAAGTTTCTCGACTACGCCAGGGGTGCGAAGACACCAGTAGAGGATAGCACAGGACGTGTTCGAGGTGGTATCCGAGCCGGCGATCAGCTGGGTCAAAGCCTCCGCAGTAAGCTCCTCGAGGCCTAGCTTCTCACCAGTCTCATCCTTGCCCTCCATTAGATGCGCCAAAAGATCGACACGGGTGTTTTTCTCAACAACCTCGGGTTTCACACGTTCGTTAACCCGGGCAATAGCAATACCAGCGAGATTCTCAACCGCCTCCAGTCCCTCAGTGAAGAAACGGTCAGGGATCCATTTGGCCCAGGGCTTAAGGGCTGGCAAGCAGCCTAGCGTCGCAGAGACCTCACCGCGACGGTTCAGCACCTCAACAGCAGCAACATACTGAGGGGGTTCATCGGGGCTCTTACGCATCTCAGCAATATCTCGACCGTTCTTAAGCATACCAAAGGGGGCGCCAAAGGCCAAGTCACCGATGATATCAAAGGCCAGGTAGTTGAACCAGTTCAAAGCGTCTATACTAGCATATCCAGTCTTCGGATTCGTCTCGAGTTTGCAGAGTTTGTTCCACTGCTCGACAAAGATCTCAAGATTGGCGTGGATGTACTGCTCGAACTGACCAATGGATTTGGCACTGAAAGTGTGAGACACAATCTTTCGCTTACGGCTGTGCTCAGCCCGGTTCCGAGTATTGAACAATCCTCGGCGAATTGACACAAAGGCATCATAAAAGTCGCTAAAATTTATGTCAGTGGTTGAGTACTTCCGGATTTACAGTAAACCTACGCCTTCAGGAATCCATTTCCGTGTCCATATATGGCCTGGATGGCGGTATCATCGGCAACAGAGATGTGATTCGGTGCTATGCGCAGCACTTTGCCATACTTCTTATGCGCCTCGTCAACAGACAGGTAACGCTTTCCCTGTCGTGCTTGTAGAAGCAGCCAAAGGTTGGTAAAACTCGCGAGCCCCGGGCTGGGAATACCCCTCAGATGCGACCTTTGCAAGTACGGCAACAGGTAATAGGCAACCAGTAGACCAAGGGCTATATATGGAATATTGGAGAATGAGAAAAGCATGATGGACTTAGAACTGCGCGAGTCATCCAATAATCTTTAAACCTAGGATGAATCTAAGTCACTGTGCGTTGCAATGACAACTTGGTAGTTGGATTAGAAGAAAGTTGAAAATATTTGGGGGAAAATGGGTACCCGCTCTCTTAGAACTCACAAGAACTTGGCCAGGCGCGATGTTTTTGAAAAGCATGAGCGTTGGGGTAATTGCCGCATCACTGCATCAGTGTAAACTACACGTGATAATTTGGTCCCAAGACCTTGGGAACCGCATTACCGAAAACACTATTGGGCAGGTCTATACGGGCTTACATATGTCTTTCTAGAGGAAGCCAATAGCCAGCATAATAGATAACATGATCGTCCATATCCGGAGGGATCCGCATGTTTTGAAAGTAACTTACGGAAGTTAAATTTTGCGGAATTTTATTGGCTACTTTGCTGTGATACTCATCCAAAGTGGGCCGGGGAAACTACTTGCTATCCACGTGGGGAAAAATACAAAGCTGTTGGCCCGCACTGTTGTTCACATTGCACATATGATCAATATATCATGCCCGTGGTGTATACTTTATGTCTTGAATAACAAAGGCCACGCATTGACTCTAGGATCACACATTCCGATCTTAAGTGGTCAGCCTCCAGATCTTGTCGTGGAAGCCTATCAAAATTTGAATCCTTGCATATGCAGCCAGGCTGTTGTCCTGGTTGTTTGCATAAAGTTGCGAGTGAAATTGTTTTCATATTTATCTTACTCCCCTGCGTCCTCCGCGAGCGTTCCCTCGTCCTTATTTCCGCAACTCTTCTCCACATGCTTTGCTGTATAGCGCAGGCCTCGAGTTACCTGATACTTTCAAATGCTCTAGTATAGCAAAATTGCATCAGGAAGGGCACTTATGAGGTCGATCACTGAAGATCACTGGCAACATGAGGCGATCGAAGTGATGTTTTGAAATAATGCTTGGATGTATCAGAGTCAGATTCCCGGATTAATTACAATATTTACATTGAGGCTAACAGAACTTGAGAGCCTGCCCCTCAGATCTCTCGCTATAATAAGCACATAGCATCTGAATGAAACTGCACATAGAAAGAACTCATGAGACTTTCGCCGCCAATTCCTTCACTGATCGCTTTTCTTTCTCGATTCCATTCCGCCGCTGAGCAACATCGCATAAATCAATATTCCCACATTCACAGTCTCCTTCTCTCACCCACCGATAAGTGATACTCCAACGATCTTCACGAGGTCGCACTGTTCCATCCGCCATTGTATCATTCTTGCGCTTCTTGATACCATGGGTCCAATGAAGCCTCGAGTCTCCAGTCATCTGCATCATACTCCGCGGCTTCAGATCCACATCAACCCGCCTTTCACCCTTGCGAAACTGCATCACAGTCGGTGCACCCATGGACAGCGCATAAAGTTGGTCATATGCCATGTGGGCGTCTGTGTGAGGCGGGATACCAGCACCAGGGGGATAGTATTGAAGACAGACCTGCTCTGGCGGACGAGATTCCGTTGTCGGAATGAGTGGTTGGAGCCATTCTGGGAATTCTTTGTATGGAATGTCAGGATCGATGCCGAATGTTTTATAGTCGAATGTGTAGCCATAGTGGAGTGATATACGGCCTGGGCGATCGGGCCATTTTAACTCGTTGCGGAAGATTGTGATGAGGCGTTGCTCGTGTTCCGCGGTGATAAAGTCATCTTGCCAGAAAATGCCCTTGGGTTCGATGGGTAATTCTTCCATCTTGCTTTTCTCCTTTTCCAGCGTCCTGGCAACGTTGAATATAAAATCTGGGGAAGAAATAACGGCACGTGACGAGCGGAATTTTGATGATTTTTTAATTTTGTGGTTTTTGCGTTCCCGCTTTTCGCTAACGTAATGCAGACAACAATAACTAAGTTAGACATCCAGTACGAACTTATTTCTTTCACACGATCCGAGGCACATGTAAGAGATTTATGTTTAATGTTGAAATTAATTATATTGTCATTTATATACGTTCATCATGCATGGTGAATGCTGTTGAATATTCACCTATTAAGCTTGGGCAACATCATCATGTACCTTCGCTGCCACATCATCCACGGTGACCCGCACTTCGTGGCTGTGGTCGAGTTCAGAAAGAACAATCCAGGTTGGCCAGATGCACAATATCGTAATTCCGAAATTGAGGCCGATACTGACAAAGTGGTTTGCGTTACCCTCGGATTGCATGCTGTAATTTGTTAGATTGTCTCTTTCAAACATTTCAAAAATCAAATAGGAAGACTTACGCCCAAGCAACGGTCTGTCCAAGAGCTTCAAATCCTCGCAGAATTCCACAGTGGTAGGACAGAGATGAAATGTCAGTGCTGTACTGACCAATAAGCCAGTAAAGATATTGCTGGAATGCTTGGCCTCCGAAGGTCCAGAAGAAAACCAGAGCGTACGACTTTCCGAATCCGCCCGTGAACCAGTCGAAAACAGGTGCTGTCGGCGCATTATAGAACTGATTCTGCAGAACACAAGCCCAAATCCACGTGCCTGTAAGCACGGTCACAATAGCCAAGAAGGCGATCTTGGCTCGGGTATTGATGCGAATAGTTTGACGATCGAGAAGAGCCGCAATGAGGAACGAAGAGGCAATACCGGCAAAGTTGGTGAAGAAAGACGAGAATGCACGGGAGCGGACGGTGAAGTAGTCGGTCAACCAGGTGCTCAGAAAGGCGTTGTAGAAATAGCTGATGAAGAACGAAGGAAGCAGAAGTAGGACACGGCGTGTGGCGATCAGCTTCAGTGCTGCCTTGAATTCGGCACCCCAGGTGGCTTGCTTGTGCACCAAAACCAATGTTCGATCTTTGCGCTGCACCTTCTCGGCTGGGCTCAGACAGAGCGCTATAGGAAGTCCAAGACACATGATCACGATGAAAACGATGTAAGTTCCTGCGCTGATTGTTCCCTTCGATGAATTTTGAGCGTTGAGGCCAAGACTAATCGCACCGCCGACAATGGGACCAGCAGCCTTAGCCGTCTGCCAAATAGCTATTCATAACCGTTACATCAGTATGTTTTCCCGAGGATCAGAGTCAGACTTTATGGCATGGTCACGTACCAAGGTAAAAAGCACGGTCCTGGGGACTCGGGTATCCAATGATAATAGCAGCCTCGGCAGCCCAGAAGAAACCCGCAGAGATACCACACAGCGCACTACCAAAAAGCATGAACCATGTTGTCGGGGAATAATTGTTGGTGTAGAGACCAGCACCGTAAATGGGGTACCCAATAGCTCCAATAACTAATCCATATCGAAGACCGATACGGTTGTTGATGGCTCCCGCCAAGACACAAACGATTGCAAACAAGCCGTAGACCAGAGCGTTTGCAGCCGAAACGGCATACGGCTCTGCTGCACCACCAGCTCCAAGGTTGTTCATGGCGTCCCACATGCCCGGGGCCGTGAAGGAAACACCACTAGCGATGGCGATCTGGAATGGGATTGATCGATAGATGGATCGAGCAGACCAGGATCGAGCTGTATCGTCCGCATGCTCCACGGCGGGCAGCTCATTTTGAGACACGGCCTCGGTGTTCGAGTCAGTGGACGCCATTATGGTAGTGGATTTGAACCACGCTGGCGCTTCTCTACGCAAAATCAAGCGATGAAATTTCAGGAGTTACAAACAAAAGAAGCAGAAGCTTTTCATGCGTAGGAGAATTTTACAATAGATACCCCCGCGAGAAAATTGCGTGATTGCTGCCAATAATTCCTCTTGGTTGACCGAACGCCAAGACGCTTGGAAGGGCTAGATGTGTTTCTCTTTGCTAATTGCAACGGAAATCTTCTGAAAATGGACCAAAGTTTCCACTCTCAAACCTTGGAACTCCTCCTCAATTGATCTAATTTTCTGCAGTGGATTAAAGAAGCTAGAGTCCATGGCGCGCAATTGAGACAGCAGATAGCTTGTTTCACCCGTCATGTATTTTCATCTAGCAAGCCTGTGAGGCAAATAAGCTCAAAATTGTAACCAAGAAGGGTAAAGTGCGGGTGGAGCATAGAATTTTCTGAAGGGCAAAGCCACGCGACATCTCTAATTTCCATGGTCAAATTTCACCGAGCTGTACGCACCATACTACCCAGAAATAGTAGCTAATGGGATAGAAGATTTAACCGAGAAAAAAATGAAAATAAAAATTTCATGAAAATAAATATTGCAACCCAACATTTACCGGGGTGCTGATAACAACTGGCATATATTAGCGGCGAGATGGCTGAATGTCCTTGCGGCTGAAAATGCCTAAGCTAATCTACCACTCAGGGTCATAAATAGAATTGGAGCAAACATTCGTTAACTGGCCGGTGTGACGCAATGGTAGCGTGTCAGCCTTCTAAGCTGAAAGTTGCGGGTTCGACCCCCGCCATTGGTTCATATTTTTTTTTCTTCCACGTTTTGTTTTTCAAACCCCCTCACTCAGATTTACATTTATACCAAGTTAGTGTGTCAGTCTTCTAAGCTGAAAGTTGCGGGTTCGACCCCCGCCATTTGTTCATTTTTTTTTTTCTTTCACGAACTTTTTCTGTCCACCCTCACTCAGATTTGCATTTATATTAAGTTAGCGAACAGTCTATACGTTAGTCGTGTGTTAAAGTCGTGGGAATAAAAGAATGAAAATTTTGAATTCGAATAGTAAGCAGGCGATTTTTTTAGTCAGCGCCAACCACCCAAATATTGGATAAAATATGCATCAATATGAAGGAAACCGTGTTGTCAGAGACCTTCCCATATGTATTTGAAGTTTGTGTGAACAGTCTGTAAAGCAATGCCATTTGAAAACCATTTCAGCGTTGGAGAGTAACGCAACATTGAAGCCCTGGAGGTTCTTTGTATATATCCATATTCGACAGTCCTACCTAGTGATGCACATAACGCAAAAACAAAAACATACAACAGTCAGGATTCGCATGTGGTCACCCACCATACTACTAACTAACCGGCGTGTGGCTTAAGTACGGCTGAGCGGACGGGAAGCCCTGTTCTCCACACCCTATGGTCGTATGTATTGACTGTCACTTTGATATAATCTCTATAGTGCAATGTTATTGTATGATATTCGCCGCTTAGGGTTGCACGACCGGGGGTCAGAAGCGTAAGTGCGTAATAGGTAAGGTAAGAAGTAGGGTAAGGTGAGAAGCAGGGTAAATGTAAGTGAGAAATCACATCCTGTCGCTCGACAACAGCATTGACCCTCCCAGCTGAGCATGATAGAACATCATTAGGCCACGATCCCCCATCTAATCATCCTCTTGGCATCTGCACATAGCCCCCTAGATGGAGTTGGTTTTCGAATGCACTATCCTCTATGGGGTAGATTTGAATATTCAACGAGTACTATGAGCAAATCGAACGTCAATATCGTTATTTGCAACCAACGCGATGACCTTCTTGATTTGAGAATAGCATTTTTAAACCACCTCTTTGGCTTGGAACCCCCGATCTCTTGACACCCACATTTTAGGTCAGATTTAAGGCAAAATCAGTGAAGTTGGTGGCAAGGTTAATTACTACATTGCTTTACATATAGTGTGCAAGGCAGCGTGAAACTAATCATTGTGATGCCATAATAAATGCGTTGCCTACTCTACGCTTCAAGTGTCCTAAAACGTTTTTGTAAGATATCTAGCAGCTGATCACCTTACCGCTGAAACATAATCAATGGCTTGGAATGGGTTATATAACAGAGCTATAGCAGGAGGATCCATAAAAAAATTGGATCAATGCACCAAAGAATAGGCATAAGTCAACATTTAAAGATCCTTTTGCTATGTAACCAAGGTGGGCCACAGCTTTATCAGTATTGGGCAGTCTGCTGGACAAGCTTTTTTGACTTTGTCATGATTACGTAATGCGACATTCCGGATCACGGAGCTCGATCGCAGCAGTTTCGGCCGTAAGCGACTATCTCATTGCAACCAAGCATTGAAAGATGGATAGCTCTAATTCTAATTCATATCCATACGACACAGCACGCGTGAGTGAAATTCTGAAACGCAAACGTCGTGTTCGTGGCATCAAGTCTTGTTTTCCTTGTCGACACAGGAAAGTAAAATGCAGCGGTGACCTGCCCTGCGAGAGTTGTGTGTCGAGGGGCCATCCTGAGCTTTGTTGTGTGCCTTCCAGCGAATCAGCTGAAAATTCACGCGCGGCACCGATACCTTCTGGTAATACTGGATCTCGAGACAGTCGTTCCCTGGCAGAAAGCCCAGACGGGGAGGCCGATGGAGACAGGTTGCAGAGAGAACATAGCAGGAAGTATGTCACATACCCCATTTTCCGTCAAGGCTATGCTATACTGACTAATTCCCTAGTACCATACCTGGATTTGATCATAGTGAAAATGACAAGGAGCCTTCTCCAGATCACACAGCTGGTATCGATCTCATGATCAAACGGTTGGAAAATATAGAGGAACAAATTTCTTCTCTGAAAGCTGATCTCAAAAAATCCCGCGCCAACTCCAGTACGGGGACCAACTTCAATTGTCATGATAGTCAATCATCAAATTTACAGCTCAACCCGCACTTAGCTACGCATTTCATCCCTAGGTCACCAGGGAAGAATTTCGTCGAAGACGCCACAGGGGCGACCATCTTCCTGGGCGGCCATTCTGACCCACCAGCAGCATTGGGATGTCGAAGCGCACCCGGTGATGGGATTCCATCTGATGACTTATTCTTGGATCAAATCGCGCCTCGGACGTATCCTTTTACGAGCATGTGGGGACCGGATGCCGGCGCGGCGGATGTTTGTTGGACTTTGCCTGAGGACTCTGATATCGTTCGGTATGTACCGATTCAAACAGTTCAATTCAATTCTGTATGAGAGAAATCTTCGGTGGATATTAACTCAAGATCAATGGTGGCAGGTATTGTCAGATCTACCAAACGATAGTCTACCCCTACTACCCAGCCCTAGTAACACTCGAGCAATTCAATTCATCGCTCTGGAAATTTCTTGACTACCGAGCAGACCTTCAGCAGAGCAACGAATTATCAAAGCTCGACAATATGGATACTTCATGGCTCGCACTATTGTTTGCCGTCCTAGCGTGTGGAGTTCAATTCTCGAACGACCCGATTAAGAAAAGAGATCTGCAGTCCAAGGTCTTCAGTATGTTCCTTCAACCTTTAAATTCATGCAATGGAAGGTAGAAAACACTCTAATACTAACGATAATACAGTCTGTTCATCTTTCCAGTGCCTTCGCATTTCAAACTTCTTCAATAACACCAACATGGATCAAATCCAGGCTATGGCACTGATAGGTCACTGTATCCGCAACAATCTGGACACAAATAGTGCTTGGATTTTATTAGGTATGTGCTAGACTCAAGTGACAACATGTTAATATACTTAAAGATTGCAGGTGCGACAATGCGTCTCGCGCAGAGTATTGGACTCCATGAAGAGACAATCTCAACAAACTCATCGAATGCGACCCAACAATTCCAAAGAAAACGACTCTGGTATATCCTATCCACTTGAATTATTCTGCTTGCCTGTCCTAACTAAAAGAAATAGGTGGGTACTCCTCTGGCAGGACACGTTCCTCTCCTTTACCTACGACAGACCCCCAAGTACAATAAAATCAAGCGGAAGGATTCCCTACGACCCCTCAACTAACGAGCCGGGTAATCACTCACTCGCCGACTGTATCATGGCATATTGTCAAATCATACTCGAGCGGTCACGCAAAGACGAAGACATCGAATCCGTCACGGCAATAATGGACTACAAGCAGCGCATAGCGAGAATCCTAGACGATGACTTCGCCGCACCATTCCTCCGCAACAAGGCCCGTTGTCGTACTCCCCAACAACACCTCCAGCGACTGGCATTTCGCATACACTATTCCTATGTTCTCATGAGACTCCTTCGATTGGCACTGAAAACGCCAAGCCCTGATCCAAATATCGATACTGAAGCAATCAAAATGGAATGTGCAGAACGTGCCTCGGACGCGGTTCGTGCTTTCTTAGAGTTGCATCAGCTCTCGTCGACGGTTTGTCGGTCGTGGGCGTTTGTGCACAATGCCGTGAGTTGTGCCTTTACTTTGCAGAGTTTGGGCATGTTTCCTGTGGATTCGGAGCTGCTTATTACAGAACTTGTTGTTATTTTGGAGAGCGAGGAGAGCTTGTCTTCTTGGGTGGATAGCGATACTAATGTTAGGCATTACGGGCCTTATTCAAGGGCTTTGCGGGCATTGAAGGAATTTGTTAGTTAGAGAATCCCATGGTGATATGTTCTGGTTTGACACCCATTCATGTGACTCTATCTTCTATGAAAAGAGCCCACTATACTTGGTTGTTTCACCTTCCTTCCATACCAAAACCTCCTATATTGTTCTCTGCTCCATATGTAGTAAATGTTGATTGCCTTCCGCGGCAGGCACCTGGGTACTCTCTTGCCCTAACAATTATAGGCGACGCAGCCCTTACAATTAGATCTTCATCCTGCTAGCACGCTTGGAGGTGTTTTAATTGCTTCATTAAGGTAGAGCAATATCTACGTAGACAGATTAACCACAATATTAAGCAAGACTCGGAGGAAAATGCTGCTGATCCCAAAGGTTCCAGCTGCTAAAGTACTGCCAGCTCAACAAGAACCCATCATACCCCCCGAGTTGACTTGACCTCTACATCTGGAAGAACCACATGACTTCTACTATTTGGAAGGGCGGAAGTACTGCTAGGGGCTAGGTGCTAGGTGTTCACTACACCTTAATTGTTGGCGTGCCGCAATTCACCAACTCCATTTGAGGAGGCTTTTTTGGTAGGTACCAGAGGACTAAGTGAATTCCGAACAGATCATTGGATTACTCCGTCGAGTCAGTCAGCAAAAGGCTCAATGAAGGTCAATATATCTATCTCTATATGCATTACTATACAACGGATGCAGCCTATGTTTGAAGGAACCGAAAAAGACATCATATCCCTTTATGCGGTAGCCGGAGTCCTTCTCTTAGCCCGAACGTAAAAGTTTAGAGGCCTAATCAACTGAAACTCTGGATCATACTCAACGGCCTCCAACCCTTCCCGGAAGAACTCATACCTCGAAACAAGTTCCGACAAAAGAATCTTGACCTCCAACAACGCAAAGTTGAACCCAATACAGCCACGCGGTCCAGTCGCAAATGGGACATAAGCGCAACGATGCATGTTCTTGGTCTCATCTCCAGCCCAACGATCAGGATCAAAGCGGAAAGGATCGCGCCAAATCTCCGGGTTCGTATGGATGGCATATAAAGCCGGAACGAGAACGCTATCAGGAGGCAGACGATAGCCACCTGGTAAGACGACTTCAGTTTTGGTAGTACGACCAGGTTGGAAGGAGGCGTTGTGTAGACGCTGTGTTTCCTTCACGAAGCGATCGAGGTAGGGGAGACTATGCGCGAGCTCAGGAGTCCATTCAACGGGTTTGCCAGTATTGGCAATACCTTTCTCGCACAGTTCCTCGTAAAGGCGATCTTGGGCACCCTCGTAGTTAACGATACAGTAAAGGAGCCAGGACATCAGGGCGGAGGTGGTTGTGAATCCGGCTCCAGTGACGATGAGCATGTTTGCCAGTACCAGGCCCTCGGGAAACTTGTTTCCACTTTCATCGACTGTGTTCTGAAGATAGTCAACAACACAAGAAGCCTTGACAGCTGCGTCGGCCATGGACATTCCAGCGATATTGGAGCCCTTGACTCGGTCGATCTGCTCTTGGAGGAGAGTATAGATTGTGCGCTGAATTGTCTTAAGGCGTGCTGGATCACCGAATGGAAGATGCCGGTACCATTCGCCTCTAGCAGTGATCTTCTTGTTGAGCGAGAGAAGGTTCGCGATGTTTGTGACAATCGGATGCAAAGGTGAATCAACATCATTGAAATGTTCGAAGTCGGTTCCTAGGGAGAATTTGCCGATGGTCTGTGACGCTAGCTTCAACATATACTGATAGACATTCCATGACTGGTCGCGAGAATCGAGCTCATCGAACACAGCGAATGACTGGCGAGCGCACTCCTGCATCAAGGGAGTGTAATGACGCACGGCCTTGGGACCCATTGCTGGCGGCAAGAACTTATGTGCCAGTCGCCAGTTCTCTGTTTCTGTATCGCCGATGAAGATGGCTGTGTTGTCCTTCACACCCCAGAGTGGGTGGTTCTCGTTGATCTTTTTTGTCATGTACACGGACTCAGAGAGTGCTACTGCGGCCACCTCGGGGCTATCGGTGAGATAAATCGTCTTGCCCATGTTGGTCGTCTTGATGACATGACCGTACTTTCGGAATAGGCGGTAGTGGTTTCCAAGGTGATCGGGGAAGATTTCGTAGTAGCTTCCCACTAGCGGCAGGCCTTCGGGACCCTGGGGGGTTTGAACTGCGTTGCCGTCGACGCGGAGACCGATAGGGGAATCGATTGAGGATGGTGTCTTGGTCAACTCCTCCACCGTGGTAATTTCCTGGTCATCGCTGCCATTGTGGAAAGTAAGTCCTGATAGAAGTCAGCGAGGGAGTTTTGAAATCAACCATGGATTCAATCCGTACCTAGTGCTTGCACAACATGAAACACTGCTCCCACGGCACGCTTCACATCCTCTAGTTTCCATCTGGTGTCGAGATCAACGAGCTGTGCAGTTTTGAGATCATCTCCGATCAGGTAGAAAAAAGGAGTAAAATTTTGTGATCGTTCAAGAGGAATAGGCATAGTGGCTGATTGAGTCCTGATTCTACAGGTCTTTGCTTGTCGGGCATACTCCCCTTAAGTATCCGCAGCACATCCACTGCCAGATCGCCATTTCCTGTATTATTTAGCGTCTTTCCGATTATCCAGAGACGGTGGAGTTCTCATCGAATCCAGCATTGGGATGAGGCGAGTAATGTGATTTGTTTCCGATGTTCGGGCGAACTTCGCACGAGATATGACAAAGTGGGTCAGCATCAAAGCGCTATTGCGTTGAAGCCGGTTGGCTGTTTCTCCTGCTTTTTCTCTGTCGCTCGATGCTCTGGGGCTTTCGGGCCGGAAATTTAGTGTATTCTGCAAGGTTGACTCCCGAATGGGTCCGAAATGGCCCAGTCAAAGCAGGTGTATTTGCAGGCTCTATATATACCCATCACTTCCCATTGTGTTGGACCCATTGAATCACATTACAATACACCATGTATACACTCGAGGAAGTGCAGAAGCATAACAAACCAGACGATGTCTGGATTATATTGCACAACAAGGTCTATGACATCACAAAATACCTCGAAGATCACCCTGGCGGCAGCGCCATTCTGATTGAAGTTGCTGGTACCGATGCCACCGAGGCCTTTGAAGAGACCGGTCATTCAGACGAGGCGCGGGACGAGTTGGCCAGATATCACGTTGGAGATCTGCCTTCAGAAGTAAGTCGTCACTTCAAATGGGGATAGTCCAGCGTACCAGTGTTTTTTAGGCTAAAATTGGTCCAGGAACACGCCGAAACCGTGGAAGTCTATCGCCCGAAATTTGAGCAGGTCGCTCAATCGGCTGTCGTGTCAGTCAAGAAGTCTTCGAATAGTCGATTGAGTACTTTGGTTCGTGCTGTAGTCAAGCTCGGTCTCACTGGCGCTCTGGGAACAGCGGCTGTAATGGGTTATCGCCGGGGATGGGGTTCATTGCTTCAATCGTTCCGACAGCTGTCCAGTCATGCCTTGACAATTCTCTGTGATTGGTCTGCCTCGAATGGCCAATTCTGGACTGGATTTGGCATCGCCAGCATAGGACAACTGTCACTGACGATCGGATTGACAATGTGGATTTCCACCAAGCTGGACGTCCAGCAAGAATTCACCCACTATTCTCCACGACGCACAACCAGAACGAACCAAATCATCCTCCGTAAACGACTTCCGTCATCATCCAAGAACAAGGCTCTCCTCAAACCGCAACGCTCAACACCTCTCGAGCCACGCACCTGGAAGAACTTCCCACTCATCCGCAAAGACACCGTCTCACCCAACGTCTACCGATTCGTCTTCGGCCTGCCCCACAGAGACGATATCCTGGGCCTCCCGACTGGCCAGCATATTGCTCTAAGGGCCACTATCAACGGCGAGAGCGTCTCCCGCTCCTACACGCCTGTCTCAAACAACACAGACCTAGGCCGTATCGAGCTCCTAGTGAAAGTGTACCCACAAGGCAAAATGACCAAGCATTTGGAGAGCATGAAAATCGGGGACATGATTGAGATTCGGGGGCCCAAGGGTGCAATGCAATACACCACCTCGTATGCGAAGCAGATTGACATGATCGCAGGTGGTACTGGCATAACCCCCATGTACCAGCTCATCCGAGCAATCTGTGATGACGAAACGGACTCGACAAAAATCAGTCTGCTCTATGCGAATAACACAGAGGAGGATATCTTGCTGCGAGAAGAGCTCGATACTTTTGCGAAGAAGTATCCAAAGAAGTTCCAGGTGCAGTATGTCCTTTCGCAGGCTGCACAGGATTGGAAGGGTCATCGGGGATTCGTTTCTCAGGACTTGATTCAAAAGTACCTGGCGCCGGCGGATCAGAGTAATAAGATGCTGCTTTGTGGGCCGCCGCCGATGATCAATGCTATGAAGAAAGTTCTTGTTGGGCTTGGGTGGAAGGAACCAGGTGCTTTGTCTAAGGCTACGGACCAGGTGTTCTTGTTTTAGTATGCTTCGATGGATTGTACGAATGTTTGAGTGGTAGAAAATAGAAATGGACTTGAGATTCTGCATTTTCAAAGCTTACATATATTCCGATGTTGCGAAATATCATCCGCATAATCTTTTAAGCAATACATACGACATGCTAGATAGCGAAATTCGAGCATGAACAGGCCATGGAGATTTTACTGGATATTTTGCTTTTGAATTACGAACAGCTTCAAGAAAGTTAATCCACTAATTGCCAAGAAGAAAAAAGGTTTCTGTTTTCACGTGGACCTGGGTAAGCTCCAGTCCAATCTCTATATACTGACAATTGACCCAACCCCTAGTGGTGGTTGAATCGCCCATCACTGCTAGCACATCCTGTCGTTTAGGACGTGGGGTTGCTTCGGAACCAGCGACCTCCAGGAAGTCACCCGCGCTATCGCCTGGAGTCGGAGAGAATTGCTTCTGGGCCGACTAGAGGGTCTTCGCTGTGCTCGTGCCATTGAGTCACAAGGGCAGGGGATTAACCTCTGATCCTTCATCCTCCATCTTCTGTTTGTTTTGTTAACGTTTTGGTAAGGTGATTCACGTGGCCTGTATGCTCTATGCTGCTATTCGTACTTCGCACTGCGTGTTTGCTTCCCCCTTCTCTTTATCTCTATGATGTTACTCATCCTTCTCTCTGTGTTTGCCCTTATACCTTTCGCTCTTTTATACTCGAGGCCATTCCCACTTCATTTTTTAGTCTTCGCGGCCCCTCTCTTCTCTTATCATTTCTAGCTTCCAAGGATCACCTTCGCGCTCCACATGCATTAATGGGAACACTACACTAAACTCAGAACTTAAATAATACAGAATCTTATCCCCAAAAGTCCCTGCACAAAACAATTGCCTCAACGTATCATTTCTTGTTATCAAGACCATGCCGATCTTACAGTTACAGGCCCCACAGCAGCCACCCGAACTCGGGATCCACCAGTCTCCGTCCGAACTGAATCCGAATAGTCTCCGTATCGAGTCCGAGGATAGGTAGGGCTAAAGCCGTATAATCCCGACGGCTGTGGAGCTTCGTCAGCTATACTTGCAATTAGTTGGGAGTTGCTGAAAATGAGAGCTTGATGTCTGAGCCAAGCTACACTTAAAGCCGGTTACCTATACGTTTTTCAATGTATTGATTATCGACAATGCCCACTTTAGCCTCTGTGGGACCATAAATTTCATCTTAGAGGAGAACTTTTCTAACAAGACCCCTGATGTAGAAAGACGCAGCTTTTGGCAACAACAAGCTTCTAGAATTCCGGAATATAAGCATATAATCCCATTTTCTAGCTTTACAATGCATGGGGAGGAAGGCAGTCTTGCCAAACGTTGACAGATTATTACTAAGCTGGGGCCTCCCGGAGGCGATACCTACCCGTTATATCCGAGTAATCCAATATGAATCCAGATGCGTCATAACTGGGTCTATCATATCCGATTTTAGGTTCGTTGATCCTTTATTCCAGAACATCACGGCACAAAGTCTGATCAGTCTTGGATTCGATGCCGGCTTCCCGATGGTGGAGCGGCATGTTCATGTTTCATAGGTCCTTTCCATGGTACGCTGGTGGCAGGTCGTCTGAGACTGTATTTAAGACAGAATGTTCTCTCCTTGGTGACACTTTTGTTGTTTTAACTGCCTACAACAGCACAGTTTCTTTCTATTACCTCCCGAGGTCCACATACACCATCCCAAGATGATCAAGCCGAGGACTGACCGCCCCGTCGCTATTCTAGGCGCTGGAGTCCTTGGTCGCCGCATCGGATGTATTTTTGTCGCAGCTGGCTACAACGTTCACATTCGTGATCCGTCAGCGGAAGCCCTCGATGCTGCTATCGAATACATCCACGCACACAAGGATGAATTCTCCCTTCTGCCTCGGACCAGCAAAGAGAAGAAAAACATTATACACGCCAATGGAGTGAATAGCAAAGCTTCGTTTGGCATCTGCAAAACATTCGCCGATATTGGGCCGGCTGTCTCAAATGCATGGCTTGTTATCGAAGCTGTTCCTGAGAAGCTCGATTTGAAAATCGAGACCTTTGCTGAAGTTGACGCTAAATCACCCGTGGATTGTATCATTGGGTCGAATAGCTCGTCGTACAAGTCCAGTTTGATGGTGACTAAGGTCTCTGCTGCTCGTCAGCATCGGGTTCTGAATATTCATTTTACTATGCCTCCTGATATTCTGGTTGTGGAATTGATGACCTGTGGTCAGACTGATTGGGATGTCCTCACTTATGTCAAGGATGTACTGGAGGAGTGTGGCGCGGTACCTGTGATAGCTCGACGAGAGTCGACCGGGTATGTCTTCTTTTCTGTTGGCTTTCTGAAATTTTTGACTAACCATATATTTGTGAATTAGTTTTATCTTCAATCGTCTCTGGGCAGCAGTCAAGCGTGAAATTCTCCATATCCTCTCCGACGGTGTCAGCGACCCTGCCGAAATTGATCTTCTGTGGGACCACATGTTCAGGAACGGGCCATTGCCTTGTCAGTTGATGGATCAAATTGGATTGGATACTGTTGCCTTCATTGAGGAGAACTATATCAAAGAACGTGGCCTTGAGCGCGAGCCTACAGTGGATTGGTTGAAGAAAGAATATCTCGACCAAGGACGCCTCGGCAACAAGAGTGATAAGGGTGGACTATACCCGCCGGCAGAGTCTACTGAGACCACAAAGTCTACCGAGAAGGGCATCTACTTTCTTGACGTTGGTCTCGGTGGCAACGCGCCCGAAATCTCAAAAGTTAACACAAATGGCAAAATCCTGCGACTCAATCCGATCACCCACAAAGTCACACCTATTCTTACTGGAGAGAATCTGCCTGACGGAATAGACGTGTCCGAGTCCACCCGACAGATGTTCTGGACGAACATGGGTCACAGCCTAGCCGCTCGTGACGGATCGGTCTGGTCTGCGAACATGGACGGCAGTGACAAGAAATGTCTTATACTATCAGGAAAGGTCCACACACCAAAACAGCTTGTAGCTTGTGAGGCCAGAAAGCAAGTGTACTTCTGTGATCGCGAAGGTCTAGGTGTTCACCGCTGTGACTACGATGGCAAGAATCACGAGATCTTGGTCCAACGACATGCGGAGCCCGGCAGCGCATTAGCAGATACGATGACACTATGGTGCGTCGGGATTGCCGTCGATGCTGAGCGTGGTTTGATTTATTGGACTCAGAAGGGGCCTAGCAAAGCATCACGCGGCCGCATCTTCTGTGCGGGGATCGACATTCCGGCAGGAGAGACGGCAGATAACAGAACTGATATCAGATGTTTGATGGAAAACCTTCCTGAGCCGATCGATATTGAACTCGACCAGGCGACTCAGATGCTCTACTGGACAGACCGTGGCGAGCATCCCACTGGATGTGCAGTTTATCATGCTTACGTTGGTGGAAACGCTGTGGACTTGCAGAAAACTATTTTGGCGCGCCACTTCCACGAGCCGATTGGACTGAAGCTGGACAAAGAGAATAACGCTGTTATTGTCGCAGATCTTGGAGGAAGTTTGTACTCCGTTGCATTGAAAGACGGACTTAAGACGGAGTTGTTGCGTAATGATGGCTGCTACACGGGAATCACTTTGGTTTAGACTATTTCCACTACATAGAATTTGGCTTGTTTCATAGAGATTAGATTGCATAAATGATTAGAAAACGTTCAGTCTTCTCAATTGTATCGCCAAGATTCCACAAATCTGACCGCGAATCTGTGTGTCATGAAAATTTGGTCCAGGTGATTGAAACAATGTTGTTTATGTCAAGTATGATAAGGATATCATTGAGGTTAAATGCAGTGACACTAGTACTTCCCCTTGAGCAAAAGAATAGACACATCATGACTTTCCAAAGAAACACTATGCTTCTTGTGCAACATCCCAAGTCTTTACTCAACCAAGTATCAGTAAGATTGTACGATTATCGCGGTGGTAATTGAACAGCACCTAATTCGATCTGAGATCAAAATATTAGGTTTACCCTGACAGAAAACTATGAGGCTTCTTTTCCTTCGCCCCAAGAGCTTCTTATTCCAAAGGAAGCTATAGCCAGTGAGTCGTTTTGATGATTTACGGGTTCGACCCCCGCCATTAGTTCGTATTTTTTTCTTTTTCTTTCTTCCATGAACCTTTTCTAAACCTCCTCACTTAGACTTGCATTTCCATCAAGTTAGCGAACTGTCTACACGCAAATCATGATTAAAACTTTTAAAATTTTCGTGTATTTAAAATTGGAGCCCACTAGTTTAGATGGGCGAATTTCACCCGCAGGCTAGAACGCTCGAGAATCGGACGTCGTCGATCTAACTCACTGAATACTTCTTCGGTGATTGACTTCATGGAATTCGTTCATCCTTAATCCATATAGGTAGATTCAATGAGCTCTTTCGATTATTTTGGTTATGTCGATCATGGGAAATGGAATATAAATAGCATCTCAATTATCCACAAATTTGACGCGGAGCTCAGAACTCACTTGTCTGTAACCTTGGGAGATGAGACCCCATTGTGTTTTTAACCTCGATTATGAACGGCCCAGGCTTTCAAAGCCCTAAGACATTCTACAGAAACGTAAAATGTAAAGGCAGGATTCTAGAAATGGTGTATGTAGAAAATCTCAATCAAAGAACAGTTGAACATTAATTGTATGCTGTGTTCTCGGAACATTTCTTTGAAGTAGATTTAAGGGAAGTGAGCCGTTTCGGTCCAGGGATAATAACTTCCATTTGCAAACATTCACTCAACAACATTCCATCCAACTCCAATTGCCTCATTTATTTTGATATCTAACAAGTCAATTCGCAAGACTCAGACCAAGAGAGTTTCAATCCATTCAGTATATTTGGTCCTTCTGATGAGCCTTGGCCAAGCTACTACATATCCAGCACGGACCAGCCCGGCGGCGATGCGACTCCCAAGACGGGTACTCGTGAGGCAAGCGTTGATACTTCCGACCATCTTGACTCGTTCGATGAGGTACTCAAGAATCCAGTTGCGATTAAAGACCGCGCCGTTACAGAGCTGGTTACCACCATGGATAGAGATACGCCTGGGCCTACTGGCCTTCCCTCTTCTAGCGAGTGCAAGAAGAAGTCACGCTTCGAGATGAAGAAGTCTAAGTGAAGCTTCAAGTACCTGCGGAAGGAGACTACATAGCACCAATTTTTGATTATCCCGGCTCCCAAAGCTCCCCAATCTGTCACCACTAGTGCGATGCCCACGCCTTTATTCAGTACTCACAGCAAAAAATGAGCCCTCGTTTATTCAAGATATCGGCACCTACCCTTATCTCTTCTGTAAGGGTGGATCAGCCACACTCCCTCGTCGCATCTGCAACCATGAGACAGCTTACTTAGCCTGCTACCAAGATCCCTTTGCCCGCCATTTGGAACACTTTCGAATGTACAAGGGACTTCAAGCCGAGCTCGCCGAACCAGTGGCATAGACGATCCGGAGATGATGATCTCCCCAGAATATCTTGCCATCCGGGGCAGACTCGAAATGGTGGCCACTGCTTCATCTAGCCCATTTTATAAGAATAGAAGAAGAATAAGCAAAAGCAAAAACATACAACAGTCAGGATTCGCATGTGGTCACCCACCATACTACTAACTAACCGGCGTGTGGCTTAAGTACGGCTGAGCGGACGGGAAGCCCTGTTCTCCACACCCTGTGGTCGTATGTGATCAGCGTCACTGTTATAGAAATTATATAGTGCAGTGCAATTTCAGTATATGGTGTTCGCCGCTGAGTATTGCGTGATTGGGGGTCAGAAGCATCAGGAAATAAATCTCAGTTGCTAGTTTCCAAAGATAAATGATACATAGCAGATTGAAAAAATTTCCCCACGTTTCAATATCCATACACATATCGCACTCCGGCCCTAAAGGTCGTCATGTCCTCAGCGGGATTTATACAGCGATTAATAATCTTATAGACTGGAGGCGACCTCTATAGTTTGTTTCAATTTTATTTGAGCAAGGCAGAGCTATCCGCCGTAGCGCCTTCCAGTGTTTAATGTTCTGTCATATCTCATTCAGTCCTACATTTGCTCTCTATCACAGACATTTTATGACTTTATAAGGGTGATGACGGCTAAGATAAACCAATGATGCCTGAAAACGCAGAGAAGTGAATTTTAGACGGTGACTTTGGCTGGGAACTTCTGCAAAGCCTTTTGGGAAGCCTCCCGCTCATCCAACCTCTTCCAATATGACAGTAAGTTCTCTCGTCCAGGAAGCAGCATCCATTCACACACTTGCATTTTCATCTTCTTCATCAACCCATAGAAGTGGATATCAGCTGCAGAAAATCTTTCTCCACACAGCCAGGTCTTTCCCTCCAATTGATCGTCAAGCATATTCAAGGCTTGATTGATCATGATTTTTTGATTCACTCTCGCCTCTGGGGTCGGAAGTCGATGTCCTTTATAGAAATCCAAGGTCGCAGGATCGTTCCTGAACCAAGCGATGATCGGCTGACAGATCTCCAGATCCATTCTGCGGAGCCACATGCGGGTTTCGGCGCGCTGTTCAGCTGTTTCGCCGTAGAGAGGGGTACCACCTCGAGCGATTTCGTCAAAGTACTCGCAAATAGCGGTGGTTTCAGTAAGGACAGTGCCGTTGTCAAGTTAGAGGGCCGGGACTTCGCCGCGGGGATTGATTGCGCGGAATGCAAGGCGCCGATTTTGGAGGCTCATGATGTCAACAGTTTCTATCGAGGATATTTTTGCCAAGTATAAAACATACACTAATGTTGAGCCGGCCATTTCTAGCACGTAGCTTTTCATCGAAACTGTGCCTGAGAAGCTGGATCTCTTAGTCCAGCGACATGCTGAGCCCAATGGCACCATGGCAAATCCTTCTTCACCGTTTCACCCGAGGAAGAACCAATCGTCCATGAGAGAAAATGACGTTGTCTCCCTCAAATCTCTCTGGCACTCTGTCCCCACCCTCATGACGCATGGGCGGGATGGTGCTTTGGGTATTTACCGAGCCAATCTCCATGGTCAAAGTCTGCCCTTCGTCAAATAGATAGGCCGCTGGGTAAAGGGGAAAGATGACAGTGTAGACCTCGTTCGGCACGACTTCTGATTTAGGGACAGATGGTTGGCTGAGAACACGCTCCTTCTCGAAGTTTTTTGCAACTTCATCACGGTGAGAGAGACGGAAAAAGCCTCTGGCAAAATTGTCCATGGGCTCGCCGTGGTTGCCAGCAAGGACAATAGGCTTTCCATCACTGTCATGCGCACGCAGATAGGCGAAGAGATCCAGGTCCTTGGCCTTGGTGCTAACCTCTATTTCGAGATATGGAGATCCAAGAATCTCGAATGAATCGGAGAACGCAGCATCAAGTTCGAATCTGATATTCTCTCTGAAACCTCGGTATTTGAAGGCAGTCTTTGCGCTGCTTGGCTTGGCCAGGGAGAGCTTCTTCTCGGGAGTAAAGTAGAAGCTGACATCCTTTGCGTCTGGTGGAGGATAAGCGACCTCGTTTTCGCGGTAGAATGTCTCAGTACCGTGGTGCTGGACTAACCTGATTCGGGGAACATCGAGCATCCCGTTGTCCTTCTTGTTGAAGAGATAGTGATCCAGGAACTTTTTCTGCAATTCAATGTGTTCTGGCTCATAGAAAGCACCCAAGTGATTTCCCGTGTGCATCTCCAACCACTTATCTTTGGATGAAATACCGTTAAAGGCGCGAATATTTCCCGGCAAATGGAGTTCTGGGTCAGTCCAATTACCGGAGCTGTAGAAGGGTACCTCGATGTCGGACAATTTGCGGACTCTATCAAAGACAGCCCAGACCCCGTCGGTGGGGTATTCAGTTGTTGCGCACAGACTAGGATACTCTACCCGGTTGGCAACGAGTTGCTCTTCGGCGAGAACGCCATCTTGATTCCCGCCTTGGGATGGAACAACGATGTTGTTGTACCAGTGGGATTGGAAGTTGTTGCTGTAAATGCCGCCACGCCTTATAGCTTGATACATGCTACAAGCAGACTCATAAGACATGACACAAGTCAAATGAGGTGGCTTCTACATGGCAACCCAGTAGCCCACCATTCCAAAGTAGCTGATACCGGAGAAAGCGACTTTGCTGGTGGACCACGGCTGGACAGCGGCCCATTCCACCACGTCATAGAGATCTTATTGTCCAGAGCGGCAGATTGTCAGTTTAGGTCTTGTCTTCTGCACCAGGAAAGAATGCATACCCTGTCCCTCGGCATCCGCTTGGATGGTCAGCGATCTTTCCATCCCGAAAGGATCCAGTTTCCCTTGACTACCTCCGACTCCGCGAGCATCGACCCGAAGAAGGGCATAGCCGTAGTCTCTGCACTGTTCATATTGTTAGCTCAGGGTAATAGTGAGTTGAACATTTTAATCAGAGGCAACACTACATACCCAGATAGTGGGCTCACATAATTCAAAGCAGGCGTCAGGACCGAGAGGCTTGATATTTGTGTACATATCAGCATAGATGGGCGTTTTGGGCAATCCGAAAATAGAAGCATGGATATCCTTGCCGTATGGACCCATGCTGCAGATCAAAGGAACCTTTTGGCCATCCTTAGATGCAGCAAACGGCAAGAAAAGATCAGCACAAAGTTCGATGCCGTCACGCATACGAATATAGGTATGCTTGATGCGGGTGTATCCCTCAATATCGGTCTGAGCAGCCTCGTACTTGGGGCGTGTTGTTGCCATGATGAAGAGGAAGAAGCAGGGAGGCAACCAAAAGTAAAGAAATGATTTTTTTCTATTTCGTCGGATTTAGGACAGCGTGTTAGGGGACGCACCTAGCATTAAATAATCCAGGATGCTGGAAGGTTGCCGACGGGGCCGATCTGCGTGAGCTCCTTGTAGCAAATGTAAGCTAGTCGTATTGTCATGGATATATGCGGGTACCTTGGTCATGTACAGATCGTATTGGAACTCCTGTATCGTTGTGCCACCCTGATACGCACCACTGCTGTATTAGGTTAAGGATCTACAGATCTGCATTACTACGGGGTCCATGACCAATCCAAGTCCAATAAATCATTTACACATTCTCTAGGGATCCGGCAATACTGCACAGATCTAACCCGGCGGGAAGTGATCGCTATCTTCCGCTGAGGAATCGGATCACGTATCGACGTCACAAGTAGCGTACTTCCGGTCACACTAAAACACATACTGATAGTAACGAGTGAGACCGCACCCCGTCACCCCGTCAGATCAATGGGTAATTTCTTAAGATTTCATCAATTTTGAAAGAGTCTCTGGATTAATATTGTAGCGATGACCGGAATAGCTGCAAACTAACAGTATTTTATTCTGGTTAATCAACAATTTTGTGCCTCTTGGTAAATATGGCCTTACTAGGATAATTGTGGAGATGGTTTCTCGCGGGTTACTCGTGAGAACCCGCAAATTTATGCGTATGTGTGTCTGGTCGAGGATATAGACCAAATCCGACCCAAAGCAAGGTCAGACTTCGCTCTGTAGACTAAGTAATTTCTTGCTCAATGGTCGGAACGTACGAACCTCGGCCGAAGTAAGTACGAGGTTCCTCCGTTCCGATTACAATATGACATAGTGGTGTTTCTCAGCGTCAATCGTCGTGCTCCATCTTCTTTTGCCACCATTCGGGGATGTGATTACACCATTCACCGATCTTGTGTGACAGCTGAAGCATAATTGATCCAATTGCACTCGGCCAACATGCTTTTCAACAATCTTGAGGTAAGGAAAGGGAGGTGGGTCGTATCCGCACAAAGACATACTGTAATACGAATGGGGGCAGAAGGTGTCGAACTACGTAATCAGACAGGTATGTGATCGACCAATGAGGGGGTCCTCGCAGCTTGGTAACAGTCCCATATTCTCTAATGGAAATAACACACAGTGCGTGCATTCTACGCAATCTTGACATCGGCCATAGACCATGGTATTCTCCAGTTTCATCATGCGCCATCCAATCGGCGCTTGGAAGGTAATGTGAACCTCTAGTAGATTCCTGATGGTGTTTTATCAGTCCTGGCACTCGACAAGAATCAAAATCTTGCGTTGCCCGCCTCCTCTCGGATTTGTCTCCAGTGAACGAGCTTCGTAAATTGTTCCCAGAGATTGTCAAAGAAGAAGGTTCAGATGGGATGAGGGAAATATAAAGTGCATTTTATTGTTGGTGACATTTCAAATTTCTTTGCTTTGCGGGTCATGTGAATAAAGCTACGCGTTCAGGTCTCAGCGAGTAGGTTAAGGCGACATGTCAAGTGTCAGTGACTCAAGTGATCATCATGAACAAATTCAGTACATGGCATTCAGATTTTGAATCTTCCAATAAGCTGATTGGTACAATTGTTATTCTGCACTCCCTGTGAAGAGTCGTTAATATCTATCTAGAAAGCACGTGAAATTATACTCAAGCTCAAACTTCCCACTTGGCCACTTTCGTATTTATCGACTTTTTCAAACGTTCAAGTATTTCTCCCTATTACTAAGCGCAAACTACAAAGAACCCGTTTGCGAGATCTGCCCCCTCAAATTGAGGGCTGAAAGTTAAAGGATGGCATTAAGAGGCATAACAATATAGGTTCTATACAGCTTTGAAGCAAGCGACAGTAACTAGTGTGGGTAGGAATCCACTAGCTGCTTAGTGACGAGAGACTTGATACGGTTGAAAATGGACAGTACACTCTGACCAAAATGGTGTGATTGACAATGGAAAGGTTCCTGAGATGGAATAGTTGCAAGTAATAATTGGATTGCCAGCAAGTCTGTTCATTGGTCTTAATTTCAAATGACTATTTTAAGTGACAGTTTCATTCAGAGCGCGGCTTGCGCATCGGCAAAGGACGAGGCACACCCTTTCAATAATTGATAGAATTCGAGATAAATTCACTCTTTGGACATACATCTCCTATATTTCTGTCTTTAATTGTCTGGAATCGAGCGTTGCAACCGCCGAACTTCGGTAACACTAGAGAAATGATGATCTTCACAAGGAACCTCACTAAGATTATATCCTCCAATTTGATCCCCGCTTTTGCACCTATTGATTATCTCTTATACTAGCTTGTTAAATTTGCGCTAGATATGATAAATTCAAAAATGCCGACATGCGTTCATGCATACATTTTGCACTCCCGAAAACAACGCGTGATCATCGACCCTTCGGCCCCGTCGGCCCCGTCGGCTCCGCGAAACAGATCGACACTGTGGAGAAATAGCGGGGATTCTCGCTACCAACATTCATTTTAAATTGGCCTTGGCCAATACTCACTTTGCCAATGGTTTCCTCGCCCCACCGCCAAGACCTAAGCGCAACTGAATCGTTAAGCGTGCCGCATCTCATTGAGATTACTGTGAAATGTCGCACCGGAGGCTTTTTTTTGTCCTTCAATTTAATGCGGCTCGCTCAATAATTGCTCTACGCGAGAGCCTTGGCAGTGGGAGTAGGCAACGATTGTATAGTGTGTATTTGACAAGTCGATGTCAAAAATGCATTTAATAACGCATTGACTGGTGTTGTACTTCAAAGGAATTTGAATACATTTTATCTGAGAGGAATTGAGAGTGGCTATATATGCATTGTGAAGATCGAGTTAAATGAACTTGATTCTTTGTAGGGACGCCTAGGGAGTTAATTGCGAGGTGGGGCAGATAATGGAGGGCAGATGGAGAATGCCCGACCTATATAGTGGAACCAATCAGATGTGAAGGTACTAACTACGATGCAATGTAGCAACTTGTAAGCTGCTGGTCACTCGGTAAATAATTGAGAAGTGCCCCTGATAGGTGAAGCCTCAGTCGGTGTGATCAACGTGCGTCAGACGAGTACGGAATCAGAACTTTTCAGCTTTCTTGGACCCGCATGTCGCAGAATGAGTTTGGTTTGTGCATCTTTACGAAACGGGGATAGAACAAAGAGCATTTTCATGGCTCTACACAAGCGTTGTTTTATCAGGCAGAAATAGGGCAACTCTGAGCAATGAGCACACTTCCGACCTATTACGGACAATCTTCTACGCAAGATAACATTTTTATTCATGTACCAAAGATTTCAATAACATGTATGAGACTAATTATGCATACTTTCTCCAGCTTCTTCAAGTAAAGTAGATGATAACTGCTCTCTAGAAATTCTCCAGTCATTCCGCAAATCGTAACATCATATCATATAGTACAACTGGAAAAATTCGACTTGGGTCACCTCCCAATCACTTTTGGGTCGGTACAGGTTATTCACAAAGCTCATCTTACTGACGGTCAGTAGCTTTGACAAATGAGGGAAGCAAAAGTGTGCTAAACGGGAAGAGAGGGAAGAGAAAAGAAGAGAGTATAAAAGTTGGATTGTACGCATGTCACCACAGTATACGAAGTTGAATAACAGGAAATACAAAAAAATTCCAAGAGAGCAAAGCTCTCTTATCTGAAGATGCTTTCTGTTGGGTGTAGATTGACAAACTCGTTGAACTCGTTGAAATCGTCGTAGTCGTTCTTCAGATCCATATGTGAGAACGAGGACATACAAGTAATCGGGACTTGGAAGGGTAAGTTCGACCAAAGGACCTCTTCATCTTCAAGGGAAAGATTTCTAGGGTCAGGTCTAGTGACCAGGTCAATATTGTCGAATGGGTTGAATTCGGTATCGCCACATTGCCGTTGTGCATTTTCCTGCAATGCGAGTGTACTGACAATATTCTGCTGCATCACCATGGTCTGTGTGTCGAATTGAGGATTGGTGGGCATTTGGAGCTCGGGTTCGAAGGTCAGCTCGGGGACCATGGGATTAAATATAGGCGGGGCCAACGGCATGGTGTGACAAGGAGTGGCAACTGATGAGAAGCACGAGCGTGCAACAGGTGACTGGGTGCTGTCAGCGCCGGATTTGGAGAAATCGTTGCATTGAACTTGAGGACTTGTACCCCCGAGTTCTTCTAGCATTGCTTTGGGGTTTTCCTCAAAAAGCTCGCCCTTGGAGGGGTCGAGTACACCAAGATGGTTGAGCAGGTCTTGCAGGAGTGAGTAGCCGTCGTGTCCAGGTTTCAACGGCCTTTTTAGGCAGCCCTCGCCATCAATGGCTCGTCGGTAGAGCTCTTGGAGACCACAAACTAGCCAAGCTTGTTGTTGCTCAAGCATCTCAACATATCTGTTCCAACCAGGGAAAGATCAGTAAAGCACACCATTGAAAAGAAACTAGATACAGTCTCGAGCTCACCTCTTAGGGTACACTTTATCATGGGTCTTCTGCCGTTCCCCGAAGAAACAGATGGCATTATCTCCTCGACATCGCAAACATGGACTAGATCCATCACACTGTCGAGAGAATCAGCTTTGTTCGGGAAGAATGGTTGTCATTTGCTATGGTAAACCTTTGATTTTTTCAAACGACACCGATCGCATGCTTTGCAAACCCTCTTGCGGCCATTGCCATCCCATTTCGAATGTCTAGGCGGTGAGACTCCTTGGTGCATCTCCACGATAATATACTGGTATTCAAAAAGGGTTATATTGGAAAGTGAGACAGAAGAGAGTGCCAGGTGGTGTGTAAACTCGAAAGGCTAAAAGTAGGCTCTTGTTTAAAGCGCTTGTTGCTATTGTTCATAATCCGGGGAACGAAGCCAGTTGGAAGGACCAAGTAGCTTATGCCACGTAGGGATGATGATGAAATGACGAATTTGATGTTGAGATATCACTCTGTAGATCATATGAGTGATTGGTTCCCCAAAGGGAGTGGCCAAGTGGGAATCCAGTTGTGTTGAAGGTTGGGCGGTTACGGATGTGGCTTTAGTAGGAAGAGGCGAGCCAATATTCAATGTAAGAAGAGAAGAAAATGCAAGTGTGATAGAATAAGCAAGACGCAGAAAGGGAGGAGTGGCTTTCTTCAGAGCAATCTTTCTCTTAATTGTGAATCGATACACTATGTCTAGAATAAGCACCGGAATCGAATCATCAATTTTCCTTACATGCTAGCTCCACCTTGGCGATCACTAGGCCATTTTAAACTTTTTGCTCCTGACTTTCTATTGGAATCAGGATTTGTTCTATCGTACAAGGCAGAGATCGCTACCCGCGGCAGGACACGGAGGTCGGTAGTTCCATCGGCTGTTCACAGACCTCCAATGCCATTTCCAGCGATCAGTTCGCCAAGAACATATATCCGGACACGCAGCAAGTCCAGCTACTAATACAGGTAATCAAATTACGGTTAGCCTTCAGTATGCTTCAAGTATTATACTTCATACTAGAAGAAATTTCATGAGGTACAAAGTAAACCTAAGCTGCTCGATTTCTTCCGCCCAAACTGCCTCATTAGTCTTACCTTCTAATATACCTTCAAATTTTGAGCTCAGAGAGATTATAGCTCGTGATTTGAGCCTATTCCTGGACTGCTCTACACAGCATCCATCAATTCTGACAACAGCGTGAAATTGAGTTCTACCTTCCGGCCCGTAATGCCAGTCAGTGCTAGTTGCCCCCTCCTTCTTATCAATACTTTGAATGGAGAATTTGCCTTCTGGTGTTCCACCATTGGATGGATTTATAGTGCCAATTTACAACCCTGGATCATAGTCAAGATTCAAGACCATAAATCAGCCCAAAGCGCGAGCCTTCTGCTGAGTCAGCAATAAAGCAGTGCAGTGGAATAAAAAGGGGCACCTCGTGTCATAGGCACGGTCAAACAATGTAATAAAATGCAGGATCAATCAGATACTCCAGCGTACTGGATATATATTGCAGATCTACTAGCGTCGAATATTGTGTGCCTCGGAGCTAAATTCAAGCCATCCGTACCCGAGTCTGACAGAAGCCGGTACTGTGAATCTATTTTCCGATATGCCAAGGCCTTAATAATTTTTGTTCAACTTTGTTTGGCTGACATCGTATCTACTTCTGCTTTTGCTGGCAGTCAAACAAAGTTGAAATCGCTTGGGTCGAGTCGCTAGCAGCCACTTTGTTACTGTGGTTTGAATTATCAAAAGAGTGCAATTTTTCTTGGCTGACGATGGTTCGCAAAACAGTCCTTTATTACTTGTAATGTGCCCGTTTTTCCTTTTCCAGGGCGGCTCTCCCGCTATGGTTGCAAATCATCGTCTAGAATGGCGCGAAGGTTGACAAAGTGAGGTTGATCGTCTTCATGTCGTTTCCTTTATTCCGGCTCCTAGTTGAAAGAAGCAAGCTGACAACAACCAAACCATTGACTTTGTTGCAGAACCTCTGGGCTTTTCCGTTGCCACTTAGTAACCCCTATCAGCCGTGAGTGAAGTTTCTCCTCGGAAGAAACGAACTGCTGCAGGTTCCGTTCCGTGGCTGGAAGTTGCGTTCTAAATGGATTCCCGAGTCAGGCAAAGGCCAGGCTATTTGATGGTGGGGCTTATGGTATTCTAGGAGGTAAAAAAACTCAGAAAGCATATTACCCCGCCGGTATGTAGTGTGTGATAAGCCCCACAGGACTAGCAAAATCTTAGTCCCACTTAGACCTCGCCACAGCCCACGGGTGGCCCATTTTAGCGATGCTCATACCCATCATGGGCAGGGCTTTGAGCTATACTCCCAGCTCAATGTCAGGCTACACCCACCCATCCCCACGGGTGGCCTATTAGCGGTAAATAGAAGCAATATTAGGGAGGACCGTGACTTCCACGAATTGTGTAGTTTACGCCTGTAATCATCTTAAGTGGTAAAAACAGCCACATCGGTACGTAAAATTAGTTGAGTCTGGTGAGCAACACATCCCTAATTTGTGCAGAGCCTTATGTGGTGTCATTGACTGGACGATAAAACTTACAAGATGAGGCTAACCCAATCCAATATCGGGACAGGACGGAATTCCCCTCCTCCTCCTTTTGATGATCTGCAGAAGATCTACATGGAAGCGAGTTTCAGGTGATCCCAAAGACGTACAAAAGGACAATACATGTATCTACTTTACTTTCCTACTCTAAGGATCAGTGAAAAAGTGAGAAACCAATGTACTGGCTAGTATTGAACATGTTCAATAGGATCTAATGATTGATTAAGGTCTCAAGTTCGGTTGAGCGATCTCAGCGGCATACATAATCCGTGGTCCGGCGCGTTACGACGCCATATGTATTTCCGACTTCGGCCCGATTACCGTACAAATACTAGGGGAAATTGGATGAACGATGAACAAGCCTATCTCAAACAGTCATAGCGGTAGTTGACCGACATTCTACGTACGACTCAGTCTGCCACAGTGCATCTTTCTTCACTAACTAGTCCGTTAGTAAGCTTTGCATATCTTGTATTCAATTCCGACGCCTTGTGTTGAATGACTTCCACCGAGCTATAATTACTGACCTTAGATTATGCAGACGGAAGGATTTGGTCTCCCAAGCCCGAGAAGAGACAATCGGAGCTAAAGCCGGATTCGGGGTCTCGAGCCTTCCACCAGCGGCTGCAGATGAGTCAGCGGATATCCAAAGTCCGTTCATGTTTAGGGATGATGGTGTTATCTCCGCGCGTAGCAAGTAAATTACAATTGCCGACCAGTTCCAGGCCTTGAGCGAAGTGACGAGGAAAATCGTTATCGCTTTCCGGATGACGCCAGGAGCAGTATTTCGGGGCGATGCAATAGAGTTGAACTTTGTCGACGTATGCCGTCGAGGACATGATCAATAGATGCCGGCTTCACAGTGAGTTTTGGGAGGCTTCAATGGTAGATAATGATCAAGAGAATACGGCCCGTCGTCTGGGCGCGCTTAGTGAATATTTTGAGAATCAGGACTTATTGGTGGGGGCTGAGATTTTGAGTGACATCAATGTGTCTGTAGCTAAGAATCCTGCATTATGTCAAAAGGGTGAACTGTTGCTGTCTACTATTTATTCTGCTTGTCCACTTTTGTGTGCCTTAGCTAAACACTGTTGCGTGGATACAATTTGTGTCGACAAAACGAAATGAACATTTCCATGAAGGTCTATGTTTTGGCCATGGTAGAACAAAGATCCTGCAATTCATATTATCACTCATTGTCCACTGGCTCTTCTAGACTGACATCTGGATCATGGGTGCCCAAGATGGCGTGTTTAGCAAGTCGGTGAAACTCTCTGGCATACTGTGATATGAAATATGTATGATAGATCCTTTCAAAGGGTAGTCTCAATGCTGGATAGAGATTCTCAAGTTTCCGACTGGCTCCCCTAAGTAGTTGAAGGTCTTGCCACGCGTGACCAGCGGATGGATTCTGCAAAATATTCCAAAAGATGACCATGGCTGCTAGTAGTATATGGAATGTCACAATCCTGCAGAATGTTATTAAGACTGGAACAATAAGTCATAAACAAAGGCAAATCATACCAGGAAATTTCCGGAAGTTCTGGACAGGATTGAATGCCATATTGCAGCAGCATCAACCGGCTGGCCTCTACTGAGATTTCCAACGGTGAACGTATGGCATTGGAGCCAGCAGTAGAAGGAAACTCAGCTGGGATCACATAGCGGCTGCGAACCAAGTGTAAGATACAGACGCAATGGTAATATTCGAACCAAGTCAAGTAAAGACTTGCAGCAAGATTCAAATTTTTGGGGCAATCAATGATCAGTCCAACCGGATTGGGCCGCCACTGACTAGGCAGAGATATCCTCCATGTACCCAAGGTGTGCTCGATAGAGCGAATGGTCTGCTCAACATCCAATCGGGACTTCTGAACCGTAGATAGTGCGTACAGCGCTGTATAGATTCGTGACTTGACGATACTTAACCGGACATCAAAGGGAAAAGTAGGTGTAAAGTGGCCCAATAAATCCTCTGGGATGTATGCAGAGTAAAGACTTTCAAAATAGTGGGGCGGTAACGTGAGATCACAATCAGCGTCATTGATGCAAGGTGGCTGACCCGCTCGGAAGGATACGTCTTTGTCGATCACGTAACAAAGCCAGAAGAGATTCCGAAGTTGCTGAGAAATAATCGCGGATGACTCAAAGCACCAGGGCAAATTTGCAGCCGGTGCCAAAGTGTGCCCTCCTAACATGAATAGGAGGCGGACAGCAACGGTATTGAATAATGAGGCTGTTTGTAAGCTCCCAAAAATAATCCCGTGCAGTGCCTGTTGAACAATCGCGGATAAGCTTACTTCGGGAATGAATGATAGGGACATACTAACTAGCATTGTGGCTGCTTGTAGGGTCTCCAGCGACGCTTCTTCGTTCAGGGCTTCTGCCATCAGGCAACGGGCCTTCAGAGTACATAGCTCCACGTCTATTAGGGCATATGTTTGATCTTCGTCCTCGCAGATGAGTGATTTCATAGCCAGGAATGCATAAATACATGCTGCTCTGCTAGCATTGCCTGCAAGTGGTGAGCCTGAGACTTTCTTATACGCCAAATCAACCGTCTCCCGAAACAGGGCGGGATCAATGACGGGATACCGCCGTCGCAATCCAGATTCAGTATATACCTGGAGAAATGAATCAACCAACTGGAGGTCTGGGAGCTCTAATGGGGTTAACATGTGCACTCTCATCTGCATTATCTCCGCGTCTTGGTGGGAAGAATGCTGGGCGAGGGATTCCCGCTCATATGCCATTGCAAATGACATGGGCTGCCCCGCCCGCGATCGAGCCCATGATTCTGCTTCGGATGAAAATTTCGGGACACCCCAGACCAGGGTGACCGGCGGCTGCTTCAGCCCGGAGAAATGAAGGCCAATGAGAGGACCTATCCAGGTGATCTGAGAACTAGTCGTGCCTTCGTCCTTATGTATCTCGGCAAGGGGGGACACTTGCTCCTTCTCCTGGGTTTGCTGCATGATCGATTTCTGAGATATTCGCTTCCGTCTATTGGCACGAGTGAATGTGCAAAGAATGTTGTGGTGATCGCAGTAATTACATCGCGGCAACGAGGGGTCACATTTGATCTAGCAGCAGTCAGAGCGGGCATTCGAGACTGAGAGAGGCAAGAACACTACCTTTCTCCGATAGCACGAGTCACAGGCCTGTGGCGTGTATTTTCCTGGTCGAGTGGTGCGGGATGCCATGAGTTGTGAAGGGTGTACTATTTCGAAACGGGCAACAGTTAATATGATGACTGCAGGTACAGCCTTTACTTTTAAAATCTAGACTAAACTACCGGCTAAGGGTATTTACTTTACAGTTTCGCCCCCCCAAACCCCCGTACACCCAATCATAGAGGTCAAACCCTTGGACAGACCCGGGGATCCGATTCAGAACGGGTATTCAAAGCCACGAAAAGCCCTACGGCAGTTGATTGCATTTATGGATTATTGGGGTTGACTAAGCGGCACCGGAAAGTAAGCGGCGGTCATGTCTCCGTCGATCTCTCCGGCATCCGATATCTGGGTTGGTGATCGATGTGGGTCAGTCTTTTGGCCACGCTAGTTCAATATGTGACAATAAGTAGTAATTAGAAGGGCCGCAGCCATCCGATCAATTATAAAGACTATAAAAAGCTGATTTACTTCTAAGCCTCGGGCACAAAAACTTTTCTAACATTACCTACACTCTCTTCATTACCTACACTCTCTTATGCATTGGTGTTAGTCTGTTTCTTTCGTCATATATTTTTAAATTCACTTTTTCTTTCCCCTCATCCCTCCTCGTTGTCTCTTTTTGCCTTCTTCCATCAATCGCTTGGCATGGCGGCTCCGACGCCTACCTCGGAGGTGGGCAAGTTCAGCCAACCTAACGAACATTACCCTCATGACCTTGAGTCCGATCAAAACAACTCCGACGAGGAAACCTTAGACCCGGTCGAAAGTGAGGGATGGCGGCTGAACTCCATGGTGAAGAAATTACACCAGAATCAGCTGGCACAAGGCTTCCCGGAACGGAAGCTGGGCGTGACCTGGAAAGACTTGACTGTCAAGGGAATCAGTGCAGATGCCTCCGTGAATGAGAATGTCATCTCCCAGTTCAATGCGGTCAGAATTTTACAAGAGAAACGCAACAAACCAGGCCTCAGCACCATCCTGGATGCGTCGCATGGTTGCGTTAAGCCGGGCGAGATGCTGCTGGTATTGGGCCGGCCAGGCTCTGGATGTACCACGCTTCTGAAGATGCTTTCTAATCGGCGCAGAGGGTACGCCTCAGTCGAAGGTCAGGTCTTCTACGGCAGCATGACCAGTGAAGAAGCGAGCGTGTACAACGGCCAGATTGTGATGAACACGGAAGACGAGCTTTTCTTTCCTACTCTCACTGTCGGCCAAACTATGGACTTCGCCACAAGCCTCAAAGTTCCCCTGAACGTCCCTCCGAGCGCTGAGTCTGGCCAAAACCAGACCCCTGAGGACTACCGCAAAGAACGCAAAGCATTCCTAATGGAGTCAATGGGCATCAGCCATACCAACGATACCAAGGTGGGCAACGAGTACGTGCGTGGCGTGTCTGGAGGGGAGCGGAAACGTGTCTCAATTATTGAGTGTCTCGCGACCGGCGGATCTGTCTTCTGCTGGGATAACAGCACCCGTGGCCTCGACGCCAGCTCTGCGCTGGATTGGGCCAAGGCTCTGCGTTCAATGACCGACGAGTATGGACTGGCGACGATCGTGACACTATACCAAGCTGGCAACGGAATCTACAATCTCTTTGATAAAGTGCTTGTGCTTGATGAAGGCAAGCAGATCTACTACGGCCCAATGGCTGATGCCCAGCCCTTCATGGAAAGCCTCGGCTTCATCTGTGGCGAAGGCGCCAACGTCGCTGATTACTTGACCGGTGTGACTGTCCCAACTGAGCGTCAAATTAATCCATCTTTCACCACCTTCCCCGAGAATGCGGCCGCAATCCTGGAGAAGTATCAAAAATGCCCAATCAAGGACCGAATGCTGAAAGCATACGACTACCCCAACTCCACCGAGGCTCGCGAGAATACCGAAGCGTTCAAAGCCAGTGTAGAGCATGAGAAACACAAAGGGCTCGGATCGGCAGGGCCAACAACAGTTGGCTTTCCTAGCCAGGTCGCAGCATGCGCTAAACGGCAATATCAGATCATCTTTGGTGATATTGCAACATTGTTCATCAAACAGGTCTCCACCCTCATCCAAGCTCTGATTGCTGGCTCGTTGTTCTACAATGCATCGGCGGATTCTTCCGGACTATTCATCAAGGGTGGTACCCTGTTCTTCTCTTTGCTATACAACGCCCTAATGAGTATGTCCGAGGTCGTCGATTCGTTCACCGGCCGTCCAGTTTTGATTAAGCACAAGTCTTTTGCTTTCTTTCATCCGGCTGCATTCTGCATAGCTCAAATTGCAGCCGATATTCCTTTGATCCTGATACAAATCACGGTCTTTGGTATCGTCGTTTACTTTATGGTCGGTTTGACAGCGACAGCTGCTGCATTTTTCACATACTGGATCATGCTGTTTGCTACAACCATGGTTAGTCTTTCTCAACCCTCTTAGGCAGTATGCTTGATTGTTCTCCTTTCAATCCATCCACGAAAATTGCCAGCAGTCTGCAGGAGTACATTAAGCTAACCGGAAAATTCCTCAAGTGTGTCACAGCCATGTTCAGGGCCATTGGTGCTGGCTTCAGCACCTTCGACGGGGCATCCAAGGTTTCTGGTTTTATGATCTCCGCCCTTGTCATGTATACAGGGTATATGATCTCGAAGCCTTCAATGCATCCTTGGTTTGTCTGGATTTATTGGATTGACCCTTTGGCCTACTCCTTCGAAGCCTTGCTTGCCACCGAATTTCACAACAAGCAGATTGACTGTGTCAATGAAAACATTGTGCCTAACGGTGGGAACTACACTAACGAAGCAGGATACGCTTCATGCGCCGGCGTTGGCGGGGCAATCCAGGGTCAAACTTCATTGACAGGCGACCAATATCTCGCTTCCCTGAGCTATAATCATTCGCACGTCTGGAGAAACTTTGGCATTGTCTGGTGCTGGTGGGTCCTGTTTGTTTGTATCACTATTGTGTGTACCTCTCTCTGGCGTGACAAGGCTGAGAGTGGCACAAATTCTCTCGTTCCACGTGAACTTCAGAAACGTCACCGGGCTGCTACAGATGAAGAGTCTCAGTTCAATGTGAACGAGAAAAGGCCCAAGGGCGCACCTTCTCCCAGCAACGGCGGTGCAATGAATCAAGGGCTCATGCGAAACACCTCGGTTTTCACATGGAATAATCTCAAATACACGGTCAAGACACCATCAGGTGACCGAGTGCTTTTAGATGATGTCTACGGATGGGTTAAGCCCGGCATGCTGGGTGCTCTCATGGGTTCCTCTGGAGCGGGTAAAACCACCTTACTCGACGTTCTTGCCCAGCGCAAAACCGATGGAACCATTCATGGCTCTATTATGGTTGACGGTCGCCCTCTCTCGGTCTCATTCCAGAGATCCGCTGGTTACTGCGAGCAACTTGATGTCCATGAACCCCTCACCACTGTTCGCGAAGCCCTTGAATTTTCAGCCTTATTACGCCAAGCAGGTAGCAACACTGCAGAAAAGCTCGCTTATGTTGACACGATTATCGATTTATTGGAGCTTCATGATATCGCTGATACCCTTATTGGGACCCCTGGAGCTGGATTGAGCATTGAACAAAGGAAACGTGTCACTATTGGTGTTGAGCTTGTTTCGAAGCCCAAAATTCTGATTTTCCTTGATGAGCCCACTTCAGGTCTGGATGGTCAATCCGCGTATAATACAGTCCGGTTTTTGCGACGACTTGCTGATGCTGGGCAGGCCATTCTGGTCACCATCCATCAGCCCTCTGCCCAGCTCTTCTCCCAATTCGATACCATACTTTTGCTCGCCAAGGGTGGCAAAATGGTCTATTTCGGTGATATCGGTGATAATGGTAAGGTTGTGAAGGACTACTTTGAACGAAATGGCGTGCCATGTCCTCCTGGAAGCAATCCCGCGGAATATATGATCGACGTTGTCTCTGGGCATATCTCTGATCGTGATTGGAACCAAGTCTGGCTAGCATCTCCAGAGCATACTCACCAGCGCCTTCAGCTCGAACAAATCATCAAAGAGGCCAGTCAACAACCTGCGGTTGATGAAGACTTGAACGAATTCGCATTATCTTTGTGGGACCAGACTAAGATTGTCGCTCAGCGGATGAACGTTTCCCTCTATCGCAACACCGATTACATCAACAACAAAGTTCTTCTACATGTTTCATCCGCCTTGTTCAATGGCTTTTCCTTCTGGATGATTGGCGACTCGGTCAATGACTTACAGCTAAAACTTTTCACCGTCTTCAATTTTGTTTTCGTTGCACCTGGTGTGCTAAATCAACTCCAACCCTTGTTCATTGAACGAAGGAACATCTACGATGCACGTGAAAAGAAATCTCGCATGTATTCCTGGAAGGCTTTTGTTACCGCGCTCATTTTGTCCGAGTTCCCATACCTCTGCATCTGCGGTGTTTCATACTATGTCTGTTGGTACTACACCGTGGGATTCAGCAGCAACTCGAACAAAGCCGGCGCCACCTTCTTCGTCATGTTGGTGTATGAGTTCTTGTACACGGGAATCGGCCAATTCATCGCTGCATATGCCCCAAATGCCGTCTTTGCTTCACTCGCCAATCCGCTGCTGATTGGCATCATGGTCATGTTCTGTGGTGTCCTCGTTCCCTATGCCGCAATAAATGTCTTCTGGCGGTATTGGCTGTACTACCTCAATCCCTTCAATTACCTGATGGGAAGTATGTTGGTTTTCACCATTTGGGATACCGAAGTCAAGTGCAAGACCGAAGAACTGGCCATATTTGACCCCGTTGGCAACTCCACCTGCCAGGAATATCTTTCCTCCTATCTCAGTACTTCTGGAGCCTCGGCCAACTTATTGAACCCTGACGCCACATCCAACTGTCAAGTTTGCCAGTACTCCGAGGGATCCAATTATCTCGCTACCCTCAATTTGACGCAGTACCTTGACGGATGGCGCGATACGGCCATCGTGGTCATCTTTGTGCTGAGTTCATATGCTCTGGTCTACTTGATGATGAAGCTCAGAACTAAAGCTTCTAAGAAGGCCGAATGATCTTAGTTTATTCTACCCTTATTTCTGCGCTTCAACAGCTGGAATCTCGCATTATACTGCGTGTGATTACTTCTGTCCCCCGATTTGACCTTGGTTGCTTTCTTTGATCACAATCTGTTGCTGATCAACCTCTCTCATCGATTCTTCTTGTTTGATCTCATTTCTCCTAGATTTGTCTTTTCTTCCAATTTTTGTCTCGCTCGCATCATAGATCTTTTCTACCTCGGTGTAGCCTTTGCTCAACCCATGTCCCAGGGGCTGCCTCGATATTCATTATATACCTTCATGTTGAGTTGTACAGTGCCCGAGTCCTTGTGGCGAAGGTAAAACATTCTGCAATTCCCACATCTCCTTTGTTCCTAAGCTACATATACTCATATCTGTCTTTATTGATTATTCAGTCTTCCATCCAAAGGTTAAAAAGATCCGATTTTCTTATGCTATAGAGATACGACCCATTCATTTTGATAGATGCAGTTCATTTTGTTTCTGATGGTCTCTTTCATCATTCGACACCCTCATCCTGCAGCTAGACACTGCACACTGTCCTGTCTATGGCAAATTATGCTTTCCTAGTAAATAGAAGAAGCTATGGCCGACGTACCTTCCCGGAGCCTGGAAAGAAGACATCCTACAATTCTTTACGCTAAATTAGCTTCCACTTCATCTTATCGGACACCAGAATTCAATCGCCTTATTTCGACACTACAGGGGATGGATCACAAACCTGAATAGGAGATCAGGACTAGGGCTAGGAGTATGGTTATTGATTTATCGTTAGGGTTGAGGTATTGACTAGGTAAGTTGATCATCACAGATTGAAGACAACAGCAGCAATAGTGCAAATGGGTAAATCGGAACCGATTGACCAACTACAGAAACGATATAACAGAACGCAGCCTGTGCCAAATGTAGAGCATGGTGCCGGGAAAACCTCCCACAGGCTCCACGATATAGGTCCACAGCAACCACTACGATGGTAACGCGATGCGATATGTGCCTTCACCTAGGTATACTACGGTGGACCCATTCCCTAGGCGTGGGTGTAATATTCATGAAGCGAAAAGAAAAATAGAGGGAAACGTTTATTTGATCATGGCTAGAAGCCAGAACATATGCCGCAGACCTATTCTGATCTATCACCTGATCGTTCCCAGCCCTGGAGATCACCTTTCAAATCCAAAGATCAAATTGTAACCCACGTACATAGCTCTTACTCTTGGAGCAGAGATAGGTGTAATCTTATCCTCCACTACATTTGTTAGTCAAGAAATAACCTACTTATACCACGAGCTCCACCACTTAATCATACCACCGATTTTGGGGTTGAGTACCGTCGGGTGGGTGGTCAGAAGCTTCACTATACTGATCCAGCTAGATCTTGGTTCCATGCATCCTGGTATACTAACAAGTCAGTGAAATTTTCCAAATTAGCGCGCGGGCCGGGACGATGTCTCGGTGCCGATCATAGAAAGAAGAGTCTTTCCGCTTAGTCATAATAAATAAGGGAAGTGTCACTTTTTATCATTAAACCACACCACCAGACCGTCATTTCAGGTGCTTACGATAGATTGACTCTTCGTGGGAAGTCTTCAAAGCTGTAGACGTAGTGTAAATCTGATTCGCATCAAGTACAATTCTGGGAAAATTAAGCTGGCGAGTTTCGGACCCTTGTAACCGGAAGTGGAAGTAATTCGGCCCGAGTATTAGCGCTACAAGTTTGGCGACGGAGGACGGAGATCTACTTGCTCCCACCCCGAGGATATCACGATTATTCTTGAAATGATTGTCCCACGCATCCCCACTTGTGTTCTGATGCACCAATCGAATTCGACAGTGAAAGCAAATGCTGGCACTAGTCGAAGATAAAGTTTTGATTGAATTTTCGTGAATGTTTTTGCTATATCCTGGCCGAAAACCCAAAAAGCCGAGCAGACCGATACACTCCGATAAATTGAAGAGCTCTAGAAACGGCTTGGATGGGACTTTAAGCCAAACACGGCCTAGCTGCATATTGGCCCCAAAATGGAACGTTCGTCACGAGGCCAGGATGATTTTCTAGCTTCATGCGGACGTCTTGCTCTCAACACTTGTCTTCAAGTAATAATAAAGGGGTTGAAATCATCTCACAACACCATGATTCTTATATTTTGGGCGGAATATAGGTTCAACTCCAACATTTGAATAAAGCAACAAAATTCGCTGTTCATGCCCAGTGCGTTCGTAAGAAATCGTCTAATCCACATCATAGCTTCGCCGCCGGTTGCAACAGATGCCTCATCTCAGAGTTTGGGTACTCCACATTCTGAGATGAATCAGGTCGCTGTCGATCCCAAGCCCACTTCTCTACCAACTCGGGCGCCAACTCGCCCTCAATCATTTGCGTGATGTACTTTCCAAGCACAGGGAAGAATTTATAACCATGGAAAGAACCGCAGGTTGCAACGTAGAGTCCTCTGGAGGCAGAGTGAGGAGAAATGATAAAGTCGGAGGTAGTGGTGAAGGCGTCCCTACTGATTGTTAGATCTTGATTGACAGCGTCAGTTCGCCTATGGTGGACACTTACCAGCAGATTCGGTGTTTCGTCATCTTCCAATCCGCACTCTCGGGTCCATACCACAGATTCCTGGCCTCAACAATGTCCTGCTTGAGAGGCCCAGGGACCTTCCACTGGTTGTAATCGAATGTGGGCGGAGGAGAGGAGATGGAATGACCAGGCAACACCTCGCGAGTGTTTGTGAAAATCTTGGATCCCCACCACTTCATTTCCCCATCAGTAGTGGGAGGAAGACTGCCAATGAAGGGTTTGCCTATTAAGAATCAGCGCTATTCGTGCAGACAGACAAAGAGTAATGTTCACCTTCATCAGGTGTGTAGCCCTGGAACCCAACAGGCATGTCTTTATACTTCTTATACTGCTCCTCATTGAGCTGTGCCATTCCAGTAGTGATACCCGCGGCCAGAATTCGTTCTCCAGCTCGGAGACCAGGGTTCCCGCTCTTCGCAGCACTCCACTCGAGCAATGTAGGCGTGAAAGCGCCCGCCGCAACGATAACATGGGTAGCCGATAATACCTCTCCAGATTTCGTCTTCAAACCGGTGCAAGAGCCACGACCATCGAACTCCAGATTGGCAACGTCAGCAGTCACATACTTGACACCCAATTCCAGGCACCTCTTCGTGACAGCGCGGAGTGCATCTCCGGCGGCAGCCCAGCCACTAGCCCTGTTGATGAGAACCTCCTTGACACCGGTGTAGTCCGCGTTGTCAAAAATTCCGCCGTAGAGTTTCCGGGCTTCGGCGACGGGCAGCGCGATGATATCGTCGTTGCGACCGAGCTCTTTGTGGTTTGTTATGACGGTTTGTGCGTAGTCGCTGCGACAGTTCCAGTAAACACCGGTTTGGTGGAAATGAGGCTGCCAAAGAGGATCGGATTTGAAAATGTCTTGGGCTTCAAGAGCTAGTTTGCAATATGTTTTGTCATCGTAATCGGCGCGGATCACCTTGTTCCAATCCCATGATGCTGCCACGCGAGATTCGGCGTCGTATGCATCTCGGTCTACAAGAGTGACCGAAGCAGTGGGATACTTTTGGATCAGGTGAAAGGCAGTTGATACACCGAATACACCAGCACCGATGATGAGGTATGAGGAGTTAGTTGAGGCCATCTTCAATGGGCCAGAAATTTCAGTTTCGGCAGGCACTCAATCTCCAGTCGTTGATACCGTGAGAAAGAAGATGAGAATTGATCGAAAAATTTTCCCAAAGCTTTCCTCCTCCTCTTTCAAATTTCTTTGAGCGAATTGGCGCCTTATCTGTGAATCGAGACTCGCGACTATCTTCACCGGCAGCGGCTCCGATCCCGGGATGTTTCCCGCGGAGCCGATCACGTGGATCTATACAATGAATCAACAGATCTTTGAAAATTACAACTAGTCTTTATTATTGATATTTAAACTCTGTAAAGACTGACTTTGTTATACCAGCTTGATATTAATGGTCTAAATATGTTAGACCGAAGAGGAGATCGACATTCTGCAATGCGTTTGTATACAGCTTGCTAACGTCGGGAGGAAGCCCGTGCCGACCGTGCGGGGTAGCATTGCCAAATAGGAGAGCGCCTTTCGGCGTGCGGAGAGATACTATGGGTCGTTATTTTCCACCAGCCTAAAAGATGCAATTCAAAGAGATACGCAAATAAAAATATCTCGGGCCGTGGGTTCATTCGCTCTACCCATCGCCGTTTCGTCGTAAATTTCCTAGTAGGCAAGTCCATGGGCCAACGGCGTCCAGCGGTATAAAGACAATAGCTCTCTCCGTCTGGCTTTGTGTTCGTCCCATGAATGAGGACCAAGCTGTTGAGCATCATACAACATTGATCTGAAAACCCTTCGAAAGTTTTTCTGTATAGCAAGTTGTCAGTACTTGCACATGCCAATTGGTGAGTAGAGGCCATACCTGAAATGTCGTATCTAAAGTGACCACACTCACTTCGTGGGCACGAATGATTGTCTCGCATACTTCTTCCACGGATCGATTTGGACCAAGCTCCGGCATGCGATCAACAAATAGTAGTAAGATAAAACTTCCCTGGAGGAGATAGATGCCGAAGAGATAAGGCATGAAGAGCAATTCTGGATCCAGAGTCAAAATCTGGGAGACTACACCTGTTGCACTTAATGCATGCGAGGCGCAGGTCAAGAAACTTTCAGAAGTGATCCAATCGTCTTTGTCTTCAATCATTGAAATTGGGTCCCATTTGCCGTGAAGTAAGATGTAGAAGACATGTAAAAGATAGGTGCTATAAATCTGAACCAATTGCAGCTTTGATCTTTCAGACTTTTTGACATCGGGAGAAAACTCTCCAGTTATATGTGCAGGTAGACCAGTGAGATTGTGGGGAAAGCCACTAGCAGCTGAGTCATCCGTAAACAATTCATCACTTTGAGTTTCCAGTGCGGCTAGCTCTTGCTCTCGCGAGGATATCATGGCTTCGATATGAAGAATAGCATCTGAGGGGACATAATTTCCCATTATGGGGTGACTGCGATAGTGATGTAAATCAATAATGTGCCCAAGAACCGTTGTCAATGGTAAAAAGTATTCGAAGAATCCGCAACCCGAAATCTGCGCGGGCGGTCCTAGTGGACTTGCAGGGATGTTGTTCAGATCAGCCGTGTCAAGTGATTGCCACACTTTCTCAGGCAGCGGCGTTCTGACACAGAAGGTACCTTCGGGGAGGCTAAGTCGCATATTGAAAGACAAGGCCAAGTGACGGTCTAAAGAGTAAATCAACCAAAACAGACGCCGGCGCTCTTCTTTCGAAATTAGCCATCGTCGAAACGTGGAGTCACCATTATACAGCCCGCAAAACACGGGGCCGAGATCAATATCCTGGTCCTCCATACTTAGACCGCTTGCGCGAACAAGCCTTGTTAGCTTTTCTCTCCATTTTAGTGAGTCTGCCTTGTAATGGCCACCCGATATGGTCAAGGTCAAGATGGTCACAGCGAGAATGATGTCTGTGGACCCTAGCTGTCTTGGCAGAAATGCTTTTCCAGATGTCTGGCGATTGGGAGCCGATTTAATATTGCTCGGTGAGCTACTATTGGGATGACTATAGAATTGCCACCCATCTGATCAATGAGCAACCGCTGAAAGAAGTTCCCAAATATCAAAGTCCAACGTACCTGGAGTGCGGAAATAATTGTCTGGATCTTCTGACTCAAGCAAGTCCAATGAAAGGCGATAGAGATCCACGCTTGTACGCTCTCGAACTCCTGGGGTGTCAAAGGTCTTCATATCCGCAGTTTGCGTGACGCAGAAAAGAATTACCATCAGAAGAGCAGGTGACAATGAACGTGAATCATGTTGATGTAGCAGGGATGATGGATGGAGAACATGCGCTAACATGTAGGGCGATGTTGATTTATAGAGATGGTTTGAGCCTCCATCGAAGTAAATGTCAAGCATCTCTGCGGCCTCTTCCCGAGAGAGCAGTCCATTTAAATACGGAAATATCTTATCCAAACACTTATAGGGTTCTTTTGTTGAGCGTTCATCAGGCATGGAAAGTTCATCAAATTTGGGCCGAGGAAGATTTTTCAGAGCGATGGCAGGACTCCGGGATATCTTCAAGGGAAATTAGACAGCCTACTTACAAGATTCAAAAGTAGGTTGCTTACTTGACAGGGTAAAATTGAGTTTTCATTTAAGTCTTGTGCAATGTCGCTGGTTGAGCTCTGAAGAGTTTCACTGAAAGTATCGTGTTGGGTAGAGAATGACGGGCTGGTGGCACTGAAATCAGTCGGGCTCTTAAGGACCTCCGCGATGCTGTTCGGGTCTTCTCCGACAGTGTATCGTCGTCGATCTGTAGGAGCCATGAGATCGCAAGCATTTGGCAGAGACGAGCTATCTGACGTGTCTGTACCTAGTGGGCTCCAAGCCAAGATTTGTGGTTGTTCATGCTCGGAAGATGCATGAGGTTCTTGCCGCAAATATCGGGCAGATTCCGACCGAGGTGGACGCCCGCGTTTACGGACTGTCTTGGTGTAATGACAGGATTCATCACGCTCTGTTTATTCAAGCAGTTAGAGACCCAGGATCCAACATATTGCAATTCTTTCATACCTGTACATCGTCGACTGCCGAGGTGATTGAATCAGTACGATTCTTTTTCCATTTTTAGAACACTCACCATGGCCGCTGGCCGTCGCAGCGTTGTTTCGAGTGAGTACATAAATCGCATGCTCTTAGAACTCGTGTTTGATGTTTATGCGACATACTCAGTTCGTCAAAGATTCCAGAAGTCAGATGGTAGTACTTTGGGGAAAGCCTGGAAGGGGAAAGAAAATCAATGGCGTGGATGCGGAGAGGATGTGGGGAAGTGGAGACCCAGACCAAGAAGATCAAGTCAAATTTTTCACTGTTTAGCCTAAATCGGCGAATCTTTATCATTCTGAGATATTCAACTTTGAAGTTTGAATTCACTGCAAATCCCAGTATGACGGGGAATCAGGCCCATCGGTCTTGAATAATCCTGACTTCGGACGTTTTTAACGTCCTTTTCATTATCTGCCGTGCCATGGTCAAGCCACTCCATTGATGATGCATCCGTATTATAGAGTTCCATTTCAAACCGTGAAAAGAAGTAGGAAAAGCATAAGGACATCTCTAGGTTAGCTAATCTAAATTTTGAAGTCAGCATTCAAACCGGGTAACATTAATTACGGCTAGCCTGAGTACTTACGGGAGTCCAAGACATCGACGTATTCCCTTGCTGAACGAGAAATTCCATTTCTCCAACTCTTTGTCATCCTTACCTAGCCATCTTTCCGGCTTGAAGGACTCGGGCGCTGGAAAGTAGTCGAGGTTATAATGCCTAAGATACCGACTCAAGGACACCATTGTCTATTATTGTGCATGTCAGCATACAGTAGTGACATTAAACTGGCGTTGATTACTTACACCGCCAGGAATATGATGTGATTGAACGGAAACACCGCCAGGTGGCGTGACTCTTGGGAAGAATCCAATTAGACTTGATGAGAGACGTAATATCTCTTGAATCACAGCAGTCTGTAGAACCTGGTATTAGCAAGATACTGGGGTATAGATTCAATAAACATACCAGATATGGCAGGCTTTGGATTTGTTGCCACTTTGCTGGATTCTTAATCGATTCAGTATTATCGTCAAGCTCCTTTCGAGGCCGCAACAGCACTTCTGGAAATTTCAACAAGTAATATGTTTCGCAAGCGAGAGTATATGCAGCCGTGTCAATTCCGGCAGATACCAATCCAAAAGCCTCGTCTATCAACTCGTCTATTGAAAGTAGCTCAATGCCCTCTTCGGCGCTCAGTGGCAGGAGCGCATCAAATATAGGAATAGTTTCCTATTCGTTGAGATTAGTATTCACTTGGTCAATGCCTTTGCTTTCGTCCGGGCTATCCTGTGTTTCATGCTTTCTTCTAGCTTCCGATATTCATGACTCGCAACTCTTATTCATAATTTCCTATCAGCGGGGGGAAATTTCAATGTTGGCTTGGATGCTGACCTGTCGAAATTGAATGTAACCAGGTGTCATTCTCTCGGCTATGAACACCGGCAAATTCAAAATGAGTTTGACTAGAAACGGAAAGTGTCGAACTTCAAAGGTTTTAGGAAATTATATCAGATATCGAAACAGGAAACTTCTTAATCAATGTGAATTTGCGACTTAAATAACTCCAGACTTACAGAGTTCAGAGAAAAGGTGCTAGAATTCTAGGACTTATAGATATGGTAGGGATTTTTTTCATTCCAGTGTACGTTTGTACACCGTCAAGCAATGAGAAGTAGTCCGATGTCAAATATCATAGCTTCACTGTCCCCATGCGCTTATGAGTTACATCCCAGCCGTCACCTGGACTTGGGAAGCTATAATTTCGCCACGGTCCCAGAATTTTCTGCACCTTTGCATACATCTCATCTTCTGCATCCGTGTCTCCAGACTCAATTATTTCGGTAGTATTTGTACCCCAAAGCCAGTGAGAACCGTTCTCTTCGGACTTTTGGAGAATCTTTTGAGCTGACACAAGATTTTCTTCCAGTTCGGCAACATTAGCGATGCCCATGATCGTAGTAACACGGAACCCATCTGAAGACTCCATCTGTGCTCGCCGAATAGCATATCGCAGCGCCAAATCTGCAAGGGATTCGCCACGGGCTTTAACGTACTCAGAGGCTGCTTGGGCTGCTTTGCGCAAACCCGGAGGGGCAGGATGGAAGTCGCCCAAATCCCCAACGGGAACCCCGTTTTCACGGAGAAGACCGATCGCCAGTGGACTGGAGCTACACACGGACGAAACACCGGCACGCTGGAAGGCCGCCAAACCTTCATGCGCTAGTCGATCATTTTGAAGAGTCAACTGCGCCCAATTCTGTATGATATCCAAGGGGCGGTTGTATTGCTCCTTGACGCGGTGGGCAAGGCGAGCGAGGATATCGATGCGGTATCCTGATATGCCAATGTATCGGATGTGACCCTCCTGAACCATATCGATCAAGGTGCCCACAGCTTGAAGCGCTTCTTTCTCGGGGACAAATTCGACATCATGACAGAACACGACATCTAGATAGCTTGTTTGTAGGCGTTGCAGCGACCGTAATACCGAGCGTCGTATCCAAGCGGGCGAATAGTCGAACTGATCGACACTAATGCGCCCAGTTTTGGTCATCAAAAAGTAATGATCGCGAGAGTAGTGACTTGTGATGTCGGGGTGAGACAGCGCTTCACCAAGGAGTATTTCAGACGGGTGGTAATATGCAGAGGTGTCGATTGCGCGCAAGCCAAGTTCAAACGCGCGTTTAAGAACGTCCAGGGTTTGGCTTGAATTGGGATTATGCCGTAACTGATGGCTGAATCCCGCACCGCCCAACACGAGCGGCGGAAGTATCTGTGATAATAGTGTTGAAGGTTTGGAAACGCTCATCTTGGGTTGTTGCCGACACAATATTGTCCACTGTGAAGAAAGAAATCTATCACCATTTTATCTCCCTCTTCCTTTCAACCCCGGCTATCAGCAAGACCAAGATGCACGTTATCGTTAAAAAAACCGAATTCCGAGCTGACACATAATACTCCGATGCAAATACCCGTCGGGAAAAATATAATTGGTTCCCCGCAAACGATGCCGATCACTTCCACCATATGAGAAGTAAGTCTTTTGAAAACTTGCTGCTGAATCGAGCTAGTGATTTCAAATGTCACAGTTACAACTTTGATCATCTCTAGCGCGTCATAACCATCATCATCAACTTCCATTCTCACGATGCGCGACTTGGAGAAGATGGTCTGGAAATACAGGAAGCAATCGAGTTCTAGGCATAGCGATTATGAAAACAGTGTGGGCATCCTCCTCGGCATCATACTTCATGCTTTATGGCTTAATATCTGTTCAGTGGACTTGAATATGATTCCCATGGAGTGTCGATATGTTGATTATGGCAAACCACCTGGAATGCCCCTGAATGGCGCGTGGGGGCATCAATAAGCAAGGTCCGGGGCCCCGGATCCACGAGACTTTCTACCGTCACTCCCCTTTCTCCAAATTGGGCAAGTGACGAAATGTCAAAAGTTCCACCCGGTCATCGTATAAATAGTTTTCTACTACTTTTATTGCAACCCATGAATACTTTGTTAAATATCTCCTACTCAGTCTCCTACTTAGTATCCTACTTAGTAACCTATCAAGAATTCTTTTTTCTTTCATATCGTATTAATCTAACAATCAAAAGTCTCTGTATTTATGAATAGCGATATAGAAAAAGAAAGAGAAAAAAGAGAAGAGAAGAAAAATAAAGTAAAGGAGAAGGGGAAAAAGCAAAAATCTGGTGGAGGTTTCGAACGTATATCCAAAAAGGCTGCGGTATACCCAAGTAATAGAGAGGTAGAATAGAGAGTGGTGGTGATACCCTCCCTTATGTTAAGCCCCATATTTTGGATTATATTAGGGTTTGGGTAGGTAGACTAGAAAATGCAAGGTTGGAAGGCGCCTGCGAAGGTGGTGTGGACTTGATGTATTGGAAAAATGAAAGTCATTTTACTGATTTTTATGGGAGCGACGGTAGCAGAAAAGAGAGACGGTACAAAGTCTCGGATCCACACACAGGCCCGAGCTTGAGTATGAGTGGAATGAGGGGAAATTACCCGCAACTCGTTTCACGATCAGAATAAATGCATGGCAGAGCGCAATAATATCTTGTGTTTTTTAGATCAGCCCCAACATACCATCAAAAATAGCCACAATGGGTGGCTCCTGGGTAAGCCGCGTGACTATCTCTTATTCAAATATCTAATGAAGCCAGAAAATGTATATGTATGGCATCGCGCCATGTACCGGAGGTGTGGCGTTCGGATATGTAAGTACATTGCCTTCTAAATATTTTCCCCATTCTGATATAACTTATCCAGGATACTGGGTCGATGAGTGAGTGAATTTGTTCAGAGGGAAGGTTATAGTGCTGATTTCTGGGCAGGTGGAATCCTCACAATGCCCCAATTTCTCTCATATATGAACTACCCTGGGAACTTTTTACAGGGAGGTATAACTGCATCAATCCAAGCTGGCTCGTTTGCAGGGTCCCTCCTGACAGGCGCTTTTCTGGCGGACCGCCTGGGTCGTCGAAACACCATTCTCCTGGGATCATTGATATTCACCATCGGTGTAGCTATCTCAACCGCATCCAATGGAGTTACAGCTCTTGTTGCAGGTCGGGTGATCAATGGCTTGGGCAATGGTTGTTTAGCAATGATGGTATTGTGACAACCTTACTACCGAAAACGTATGTCTTTGTCAGCTAAAGCAGAATGACTGAGCGCAGGTACCTCTTCACCAGAGCGAGATTGCACCTTTTAAGTAAGCTATTCCCCTTCATTTATTTCAATCGAGTCTGTCAGCTAAGAAAAGATAGGATCCGTGGTCGGATTGTTTCGATGCAACAATGTTGTATCAATTTTGGAATTCTTATTGCATTTTGGATACAATACGGTTCAAGCTTTCTGTCAGGGAATGCGTCATGGCGCCTAGCATTAGGACTTCAGATGATTCCAACAATTTCATTACATCTTACCATGTACTTCATGCCGGAATCACCTCGATGGCTTGCACAGAGAGACGAACACGAAAAGGCACTGCACGCGCTGGCCAGGTTGCATTCAAATGGCGATATCAATGACCCTTTCGTGCATGCGGAATTGGCTGAGATTGAGGCGAAGATTCAGTGGGAGAGGCAGAATCCACCTCCGTCTTATATTCAGATGCTGATTGGACGTGATCGCCGTCGAACATGGCTGGGAATTGGAGTGGTCAGTTCGAAATTACCCTGATATGTTCATCTCTAATCTTCATTTAGCAATTCTGGCAACAAGTCACTGGTGTTAACGTGTAAGTGACAATCCGCTACATTTGGCGAAAGGAAATTCTCTCGGCTAATCACGGTTCAAACCCCAGAATCATGTACTATGCGGTCTTTCTATTTGAACAGGCTGGAATCAGTTCAACTCGTGGCTCCTTGTTAGCGAATGGCATCCAAGGAGCGGTACTGAACATTTTCACTTGGCCAAATATGTACTGGATGGATACCTGGGGTCGTCGGACTCCGATGGTTATCGGTGGCTTTGGCATGGGCATCGCCATGATGCTTATCGGAACAATCATGAAAACTAAAGGTAAGCTCTGTCTGCGTATGTTGAGGAACTCTATAATGACAGAACCCAGGGAACCCGATCTACAATCCGCTCACGAAGAAAACCAACTTCGATTTCAGTAGCCAAACTGCGTCAAATGCCACTATTGCATTTGTTTATGTTTATGTTATGGTTTTTGGTCTGACATGGGCCTGCGTTGCTTGGGTTTATCCCCCTGAACTATTCACCACAGGCTCTCGCGGACGAGGAACATCTATGACTTCGGCAACAAATTGGTTTGTGGTAAGTTATTTCCTGAACACAGTAAACACTCTGCAAGGCTTGAGCAACTGACTTTTTCTCAAGAACTTTTGGTTCGCTTTGTATATCCCAACAGCCATGGAAAAGATCTCGTGAGTGAAGCAGCTCCCGAAACGCACCAAAGTCGATTGAGACTGACACAACATTCTAGATGGAAACTCTACATGGTTTTTATGACTCTGTGTTTCACCATGGCTATAGTTGTTTTCTTTTTCTATCCCGTGAGTTGAACCCCCTCACTAGGATCGCTCGATTGCTAATAACATGCAAGGAGACGGCAGGGAAAAGCCTGGAGGAGGTGGACTTCCTATTTTCTAAAGATAGGACCGTTTGGGTCTTCCAAGATCGACAGGCTCGTAAAGTTGGAGCCATTTTTGAACGTGACATGGCCCACGGGGAAGCGCTCACTGACTTCGATGGCAAGATTGCAGGGACTTCTCATGTCGACAATGTAGAGTACGAGACACAGTTAGCTACTTCACATGTAGGAGCGGCGTAGTTTCGTCATTATTACCACGCCACTTATGGAGTTGCAGCATTGTTCAATTAATTGCGTCCTACCGAGGGCACCAGGTTGACATACGTATGCTGGTAATACCCTCGTATAGCAAACAATTGAATCAACCATAATGTTCAATAAAATGAAGGGTTGTATTTACGAGGTCTCGGCAATCCAGTCAATTATTGTCTTGCAAGGCTTGACCGCTCATGTAGCCCCGTAGAATTCCAGGTCAATATAAATAGAGACTGTGGCGTTCATGTGGGGGGATATCGGCTCCAGGGCCCAAAATTCCATAAGTAAAACAATAGGTTGTTCTAGGCCTCTGGTTCGAAGTCTCATTGACCAATAAGTACCCAAATTAAGATCTTTGATGCTTGGTCCGACGCGACAACACCGTTGTCCCGCGAACAATTCCCACTAATACCCGTCCTCGGTGCTGCGGGTACAGAGGTCAGTAGCGGCCATTTGGTCAGATCCCAAAAACCAGGCAAAGATGGTAGAAATATACGGGGGCGAGTAGCGGCCATAAGGACAGAACCTTTCAGCGTAGCGCCTAGTATTTAGGTATTATATTATATCTCCTACTCAGTCTCCTACTGATCTGACCGCATGGCCGCTACTGGACCCCGTATGCGGGCCGTCCCAGTCCGGACCAATTTTGAACATTTTCTTGCCACCAAAGACAAGAGTAAGGAATCCATCACGGACGACTAAGAGTCATAATCGGATATTTTGACCGGAATTGGTGATGGGAAACGAAATAATGGAAAACCGTTAGTTATGTACTAATACGGTTTAGCCGACCGGCGATCCCGGTTTGTCCACCTTTTTCAGGGACGGTGAGGTAGGTGAGACATGCGCCACAATACGCGGTTAGCAAACACCTTCAAAGCTTAACATCAATTTCTACCGACGGATTTCACCGTGGTACTAAAGCTCTTAGTAACTTATTAAGCTGCCTACCCACTTCCAACATTCTCGATATCTTCCTTTTTCTCCCGAGATTATGTTCGTTTACACATATGCTATACTCAAGTAGGAAAGGATCCTACACTCGCGTCGTCCCACGTTGAAGTCTTTTACGCAAAGTTGCCGAGTATAATAGAGAAATAACTAAGATCTTCAGCTACCATCTATCGCCTGTGGTTGACAGAACTTAATTCCCAGCTGCATCGGCCAATGAAATTGAACCTGATGTACTGACACTTATTTCTTCTTCGGAGATCTCTACTAATATGGGCCAGTTCACTCCACTGGGGCTGAACGAATCCGACAGTGTCTGCGTCCAGAATAGGCATTTTGTGGATAGAAGTGCTGGTTTATTGAAGTAAATAAGTACGCGTAGCTGAAAAAACCTCTTCATGTAAAGGTAAAGCCAATATTGTGCACTGGTCGCCGTATTGTATAAAAGACGGTCAGTTCTTGCAAAAGAAATCTTCGGTTTTCTCAAGTTCCATTATCACTCGCCAAAATGTCTACAGAGATCTCTTTGCCGATCCTTGCTGGCCAGACCGGGCCTGGGACAGATGGAGCATACAACCAAGCGTCAAGTTGTTCTCAACCTTTCCAACTTGCGAAAGCCACTGCTACGGTCCCTCCTTACGTTGATAACGACAACTTCCGTTTCAAACACAATCGAGAGGAATTATGTCTGCAGTTTACTAGTGACTGGAATAGAACTCAGACCATGAATACCGACAGTAGCATGTGGGCCATGTACTTTCCTCCCTCATTGAAGCTCCAATCAGATTGTGAAATGGAAGCCAGGCTTGCAAAAGACCTCTGTGATTGGCCATCCCTTCAAACAATCGATACCCCTCTCGCTAAATTGGGAGTCCAAGCCGCGCGCCTCTGCGCATTTCAATCTCCTCTAAGCTATGAACGAAGAACATTGCTTCACCAACATATAACATGGATATTCTATATGGACCAAGTCAGCGAAAGACTTGCTCTCTACAATCTCCATGCAACGGCTGGCAGCGCCTACCTGGAAAATCTGAAAAGCATTCTCAGAGACAACCCAGTCACAGATATGGAGGTGTTTAGAGGATCTTGTCCAGACGCTCTTATTGACAATGCCCTAAATGCCCAGCGCATCTTGGCCGACGATTTAATGCCGCTCAAGAAAAAGCTTCTTTCACCGCATCACATGTCGTTGTGCATCGACGCCCTCGACCTCTACTTTGATACTCAGGACGAAGAAGGCCGACGATTCTGTGCCGAACAGACTCTTAAAGATATCTATCAGACCAGGGCCTTCACGGTGGGCATCATGGTGCCTATTATTCTTTGCTTGACATGTGAACAAGCCGAGCTTTTCACACCCGAGGACCCATGTATGATTCAAGTGTCAGTCATGGCAGCTCTTTGGAACGACATGATTGGGTTGTTTAAGGATCTGGATTCTATCGATAACAAAGATGATGGCTCTGCTTACATGAACTTCGTTCGAGTGAGCATGAGAGAGCAGGGCTTGACTGCCAAAGAGGCTCTTCGCGCCTGTGGTCAACGATTGAACACTCTTATCCACGACTATGAGTTTTATCTAAGCTCATACCGGCCACTTAGACGTCAACTTTACCACGCAGGCTTGGAATTCGCTTTTATGTACTTTGATTTTCATCTAATGGGATTGAAGGAAAGACCCAGTACGCGCTACGGTTGGAAAATCATCAGATAGAAGTAATGTATCAAGTTTGAAATTTATAAAATAGGCGCATGTATGAATTCAAGCATCTTGAATTGAAATTTATTGAAGATATCGGAGCATCACCTGACCACCATATCCTATGACCGAATTAAAGTAGAGCTCGGTACAAACTTCTCGTGGATCTTAAAAATATCCATGAACACCTCTTCTTTCTTTTGTGGATCTCTTCCGTACCCACCACCCCCAGGTGTATGAACAATGATATGATCTCCAGCATTCATATGAGTTGTCGCTTTGCCTCCAAGGCTAATAAGCCGGCTTGTTCCGTCTGGGTATTTTCTTAGCCACAGATTCACTCCGCGTCCTCCTTCATCACCGCCCGCCATACCATACGGGGGAATCACGCGTCTCTCTGACAGAATGGAAACCTGCATTGGCAATCGGAATTCAATATCACGGGTACATCCATCTCCACCCCGGTGCCTTCCCGCTCCGCCACTTCCTTTTCTAATGGAGAACTCATGCAAGATAACGGGGTAACGTCTTTCGAAAATTTCTGGATCGGAGATCCGGGTATTAGTGATGTGGGTATGCACTCCACTTTCGCCGTCCCAATCTGCGCCGGCTCCGGATCCGCCAGCGATGGTTTCATAGTATCCGAATCCCTTGATAACCTTCCCGGTGTCGGGATCTCGACCGCCGTAGCCGAATGTTAGGTTGTTGCAGGTGCCCTGTGAAGCGGCAGCTGCACGGAATGCCTTGAAAATCAAGTCGACGATGCGTTGAGAAGTCTCAACATTGGATCCAACGGTTGCGGCTTTGAGAGACGGCGACAGGAGAGTATTGGGTGGGCATATTAGCCGGATGGGCTTCAAGCAGCCCTGGTTCAGAGGGATGTCGGATGAAATCATTGATCGAAGACAGTACTAATTCCTGGTCAGTGTCTTCAGTCTGATTCTGATTCCTGGCATTCCATATTGACTCACCATGACTCCCGAATACATGATCGCGGGTGGACAATTCAAATTCCCAAAATGTTCTGGTCCCGTACCCGTGAAATCAAAATCTGCATTGCCACTTTCTCGGTCAATGGTGATCTTGAGCGCCAGGGGCGTTCCATCGTCGATATAATCCACGGCTTGGAGAGGCTGCCCTTCAAATTTCTGGGCAATCACCTTGAGCAGTTCTCGGGTTGACTGGCTTGCATTTTCCTGAATGGATTTCATGTAGAACTCCACCACAGGCCAGGTGTATTCCTTGATCAGAGACCGAATCAACTTGATGCCCTTATTGTTAGAGGCGATGGCGGCTTTCAGGTCTGCTATATTGTCCCGCAGGGTTCGTGTACCACTGGACCCAGGGTAAGAAGCTGGGATGTCTACCAGTACCTCAATTAGCCCAGTCTCATCGAATTCTCCTTCTTTAACAATCTTGAACGACTCTACTGCTGCACCCTCCTGCCATAGCTCTGTGGAGTTCGGAGGCATGGAACCAGGCTGGATGCCGCCAATATCCGCATGGTGGCCTCGATTCGCGACAAAGAAAAGAATCTTAGTCGGATTTTCATCACTGTCAAACACGGGCGTAGTGATTGTAAGATCGGGAAGATGTGTACCTCCAGAACAGGGGTGATTGCTAAGGAGCACATCACCAGGTTTCAATTCACCGGGCTTGTATAGGCGTGCTTGGTATGCGATTGCATAGCTCATAGAGCCCAAATGACCTGGAATGTGGGGAGCATTGGCAACCAAGCTACCATCCCCAGAGAAAACCGCGCACGAATAGTCCAGTCTTTCCTTGATATTAACAGAGATTGAAGTCTTTTGCATAGTGTGACCCATTTGCTCCGCCACGCTCATAAATCGATGTCCAAAGACACTAAGCTGCACTGGATCCACAGTCTCCGTTGTAATTTCTGGCTTGGCCTTTCCTGTAATTTCAATCACAACATGCTCCGGCAAAATCATTGCTGTACTTTCAGGATCCACAATAATCGTCTGGGTCTTGTCAATTACCATAGCCGGTCCATTTGTGCAGGTGCCAACTTTGAGATCCTTGAGAGAGTAAAGCCCTATATCAAGCCAACCGACTTGCTCAAAGTAGACTTTGATGTTTTTTTCCGGGCTGGTCGGTGTTGCCGGGGGCGAGTGGGAGAGTTTCTCTAGCTCGGCCGTTGGGCTAGAAAGAGAAACATCCATTCCCTTGCCAGTACTCCGAACACGAACGTCATCGATGAGAATCTCTCTTGGTTGAGTAAAGCCAAATTGCTGCTGATGACGCGCAGAAAACGCGTCACCAAATTTCGAAAAAGATCCTGGATCGGGAATCATCAATGCTGTATCGCTGCCTTGATACCGCATATTCAAGAACAACTCATGGCTTATTTGTGACTCTGAGAATCCCTGAGATTCAAGCCCAGCAATGCCTGCACATTTCAATCTTTCAAATCGCTCCTCCACTCTAAAAAGATTCTTCATGGTATAAGATGTTGCCTCTGGCTCCTGGTTCTCAACAACTACATCGGCGAGAGCCATGCCATACGCAGATAAGATGCTGGAATATCGTGGGATCAAGGCTCTTTGAATCCCCAGATCTCTTGCAATGGCAACAGCATGTTGTCCACCAGCACCACCAAAGCAGCAAAGATTATGGGCCGCGGTTTCAAAGCCTCGGCCCTCACTCAAGGTCCGAATCGGTCGGGTCATCGTTGCATTTGCGATAGAAATAAACCCGACCGCAACCTCCTCCGGAGTGAGCTGACAGGATCCATCCTTTTCGGAGTTGATCACCGCAGTCAATTCAGCAAATTTTCGCTTTACTACATCAAAGTCCAAGGGGCGTGGGAAATAGTCCTGAATGATCCTGCCGAGGAACAAGTTTGCATCGGTCACTGTTAATGGACCACCTCGGCCATAGCATGCTGGGCCTGGGTACGCTCCTGCGCTTTGAGGACCAACTTTAAATAGTCCGTTCTCCCAGAATAGCATGGAGCCACCACCAGCAGCTACGGTGCTAATGTCGAGCTGAGGCGTCTGAATCGTAACTTGGGCGATAGTGCTTTCGAATATGTGCTCCAAGGCACCGGCGTAACGAGCGACATCAGTACTCGTACCACCCACTAAAGCATGTGAGCAATATTCTGTGTTGAATTCCTATAGATTATATCAACTTACTATCGAATGCCAGCACCGGTGTTCCATCTTCGGGATCATAACAAGTCCTTGACATACCAACGACACCACCGGCAGGACCACTCAGCACCCCGCGAAGGCCAGAGAAATTTGCGATTGATGTCAAGCCACCATCGGACTGATTGACAAAAACCTTCTTTGCATGCTCATCTCTCAACTCACCTTTGAATCCCTTTTGGAATCCATCCAAGTACTTTTTCGTCACAGGAGATAGATAAGCATCTGCGACGGCTGACTGGCTCCGAGGAACCAACTTTGCCATAGTCTGAAGCTCGTATGACACGGCAACTTTGAACCCAAGCTCTCGTGCCACTTCCGCCACTGCAACCTCATGTTTTTGATAAGTATACGAGTGCATGAGTGCGATAGCGACTGAGCGATACCCTTGACCCCAAAGAGCGATCAAGTCTTTGCGAACCGTAGCCAAATCCGGAACGCGCAGCACGCGAACGATTTCACCCGTTAATCCAAAATGTAAATTCTCATCAGAGTCAACATCAATCGGCTTGGGATCGGGATCTTCAGAGAACCCTTCAATAGTCACGCGCTCATCAACCTCAACGACTGTTTCATATAGCTGACGCAGTCGTTGGACGGATAGGTCGAAGATATTGGGTCGCGCTTGGTTTCCTATCTTCAAAAGGTCGCGGAAACCCTTCGTTGTCAATAGTGCGATGCGATCGCCCTTCCGCTCAAGAAGTGCGTTAGTAGCCACAGTAGTACCCATTCGAATGGACTCTACTGGACTTAGGTCTAAGAGTGTTCCACGAGGTATTGGAGAGCCGCTGGCAGTCTCCAGAATCTGTCGGATACATTCCGTTGGGGCATCTTCATATTCTGTCGGGGATTCGGAGAGCACTTTGAAGATCACGTCTGAAGAGTGACCAGGGATCTGAGCCCAGGCGTCGGTGAAGGTGCCACCTCTATCAATAGCAATTCGAATTCCTGTTTGAGCCATGTTGATTACAATAGAGTAAAGGAATAATTAAGTTGCTCTTTAGAACGAAGGGAAGAGGAGATTTATATTTACACGATATTGAAGTGCGGGGAAGGCGATTGCGCTCCGTGCATTCCGTTTAGCAGATTTGAATGACGTTGATTCTTCGCTCATCAGTACATTTGTAAGTGCTTGGGGCTATTCCACTTCACTCGGCTGGTTGGTCGTTGAGCCGATAGGCTACAGATAATCGGCAAGTAGACACCGATCGGCCCGATGATAAGGAATGCATTAGTGAAAGGTCATGATTTGATGTCGATATTCAAACATGTCAGAAGCAATATCTTAATCTACCAAGGCTCCTCCTCTCCATTATACCTGAATAGCTTCCCACTATGAGTTTCTCGTGTTGCAGCGTCAACAACCTTCACCACACCTCCAGCGCTCTCCTCTACTGTGAGAGTAGGTTTTTCAGTACCAAAACTGTCGGCTCCGCGGTTACCAATGTCTGTCTGAACCCAACTGCGAGATAAACAATGTTAGTAGGACTATACTCATGGCCAAAAATTGAAATCAACTCACCCAGGATCAATTGGAAAAGCGTTCAACCATTCATCTTCCGCGGAGATGGCCTTAGTATACCAGTGCTGCACAACCTTGGTCGGAGCGTAAGCCGCATTCCTCATGGGAATGAAGTTGCTAGCAAAGATTTTTAGCACTGAAGATCTTGAAACATGACATTTTAGAGCGCAGCAGGCAATTTCGCCCTTACTCGTTTTGTGACTCACTATAATGCTTGTTAGTGTTTTTGTCACTGTTCCACACTTCTGCATTGATACTTACCGTAAAAAAGGCTGCAGATGATCCAATAGTCACCCATTTAGGCTCCTTGGCCTTTTTGAGAAGATCACGGAAGGCCTGGTAAAGGTAAATAAAGCCGTGGATATTGACATCGGCATGTTGTTTAATATCCTCGATCTTGACTTCGGATACTCGTGGCCAGAGAAGGCAAATTCCCGCATTCGCAATCAGTATGTCGATGTGATCAATACCCTTGTTGATAAGCTGGTTTACCGCGTCTGTAGGATCCGTGGATGAGGTTGCATCGATCTTTATGATATGCAGTTCGGTATTGCCGGCTTTGGGGAGATCGTCCAGGGCCTGAGAAGTCGGATGACTTGGATCGCGAGTCGCAGCAATCACAGTATGGTTTGGTTTCTGAAGGTAGAGCTCCAAAATACCTTTACCAATCCCACGGTTTGCTCCAGTAACTAGGACGATGATAGAAGTCATATTGTGCATTCAATTGAAGTGAGACTATTTGACGACTGAGTGGTTTGAGATTGTTGTAAATGGTAAATGATAATTTCTTAAGATCCAAATGGATGTGAAGTTGACAACCTCATTTCATTCTCATGAGATCTTGAGGCTAGATGTTTGGATTTATATCCTTGGATCTTGGAGTAGCCTGATAGCTTATTTTAGTCGGGCACATCAGATGAACAGCCTTATCCCCGCAAAGTCCGATGCCCAGGTGACTTTCACCAAAGAGCTAGTACCACTTCACTTAAAATCCCTCACCACAAGTGTAATGTTGGAAGCTTTTGCTATCTTTGGCTGTCTACTTAAGTCAGGCTTATCTCGGTCCTGGTGACCTTACTATGGGTCCAACCTGGACTGTTCAGGAGTCTACTAAATGTACATTTTGTATGGTTCTCGCGTATAAAATTTACATCTATCGTATTCTTTCTATCGTTTTCTTTCTCTGCACAAAAATCGAGCGGAAAACATGAACCTCTGTCAACTTCAAGATTATAAATATTCTCTTAGATACAAATCAGATTTATTTTGGCCTGACAGATGTAACTTCAGCACTAGCAACCTTGTTGCTACCAATCGAGGAGCTGTCAACGGAGAAATTTTCTGACGATTCCGGGATCGATCCTTCAATCTCTGTGTTCGCTTCTTTCTTTTTATCCCACCAAAGTAGGAACTGGATAGCAGCGGTCAAGATAACTGAGGCTGGTTAGCATATTTGTAAATTTGAAAAGCCATCACTTAAACCTACTCAACAAGATTTGCAATATAATCGACCATAAATATCCCTTTTTGGCGGCAGGGAAATCTGTGGTTTTCCATATGAAATTGGGAGCCTGTGTGGTGTTAAACCCATCAGTGGCTACCATATTTGAGAGCGACATACCACTGCCTGTACAATATATGCAAAATCATTGGCCATAGCAATGAGCAGAGCCCTCTTTTCAGTATCGGCTGAGCAAATTTCGTTGATCCAGCTGAGAATCAGAGGGCCAGCACCACCCTGGATGTAAGTGTCAATAAATTATGCTTTTCCTATCGGTGTTATGGACTTACCCCAATTTGACTTAGCCAGTAAACAACTTTGCGGCCGGATATGTTAGTATAAAGAGGCATCTGACGTAATAGAACAGAAAATATGAGCTGCAAGTAGTAAGGTTAGTTTTCATTGTAGATTTTCAAAGCATAACAGCCAATCATTCATACCGTGATAATAGCTCCAGCATGAATGAAGGGCCAACGCAGCCCTCTGCAGGGCCCATCAGATAGAAAGCCCCAGATTAGAGCCACAACAATGAATATAGCGGTGGAGATGTTTGGCCCTAGTATTGAAATCAGCATTGTCTGGAAACAGAGCAATTTAACACTCACAGTTATCGATCTGAGCGACGGTAAACGATGTCCCTGGAACTGGAGCAGGTTTGGCATTAAAACTCTTAAGCCAGTACCCCATGCCAGGCTGTGGTGTGCCGTTGTTCCAGATGACATACAACATGGCTACCCAGGATGTTAGCTTCGTCAAATCGAGGCATATTTGGGGAGACATACGAAGAAGATATGTGTGCCAGCTTCTGAGGATTCTCTTCAGCTTCGCTGTCGTCCAAGGCTGCTTGCCAGCCCGACCGATCGCATCCATTCGCTTCACCGAAAGAACGTGTTCTTCTTCAGAGATCCACCATGTCTTCTTCCCGCTTTGCGGCAGGTTCGGGAAAAATAGATATCCGGCAAGGGCGAGCGGTAATGTGATAATACCGTCAATGATGAAAAGCCATCGCCATCCTGCTCGACCATCGACTCCATCCAAGTTTGTATAGGCCGCTGCCTGCAGAAAGCCACTAAAGATTGTGCCAATCGATCCTGCAAGCCAGAAGATCATTGCTCGCTTGCCAATCTCCCGGGGTGTGTACCAAGACCCGAGAAGGTAATGGATGCCGGGGTAGAATCCTGACCTGCAATAAATTAGATTTTGTGGTAATAGCAAAGACTGAACTGCTCACTCAAAAAGTCCAACAAGAAAACGAAGGGCATAAAGCGCCTTGTAAGACTTCACACTCGACATGCACATGGTGGCGATTCCCCAGCCGATTTCGAGCTGCAAGGGGTCAACGTTGCTCAAAACAAAGACACAAACCATTCTGATTTTTTTGTACTGACCGACGGAATTACCCATCGAGGCGACACTCGTGTAAGCAGTAAGTTGCATGGAATCTGTCCGATAACATAGCCGACTGTGAATATCGAAGTGCTAGTCACAAGTTGATTTCCGTACATCTCTAGATCCTCCTCCATGCCACTGAGATATGCATTCGTGACATTTTGAAGATCTAGGTATTTGAGAAAGTACCCAATCTATGTCTCATCAGCTTCTTATTCGTTTTCTGGAATGAAGTCTTCTTACTGAGGCGAATGTGAGTACAAACGCGTCAAGCTTAAACAATAGCCATCGCTCCTCAGTCGGTAACTCCCACGTGTCCCAAAGGTAGCCCTTCCATGACGCCTTCGGCTGGACTATACTTTGGTCTTGAGGCAAGTTGGCTTCTGTGTCGTTAGCCATGGTCAAATTTTGCTCTGATCAATCGTCAAGAACCCGCGATAGCCTTGGTTTAAATAAACAAAATAAACATTATGCCGGTCATGACCCCATTGCTTATCTCAATCACGTCACTGCAAGGTATATCCTTGGCCGCTGCAAGTGAGTCCTATCTCAATACACTTCCCGGGTAGGACACACGTGGTGAGTATGTATGCTCGCTCTTTCCAGCAGCATTCGGAACATTCTTGTAATTCCTCAATCCTTCCTTTCTCACATCAAAATGTGATAAATTGGATTATCTTTTAGACATTCAATATCTAAAGTATATTTTTACAACTCTCAGCTACTTCAGATTTCTTATTGTGAAAATGAGGGGGTGGTGTTATGGCGCAATCGTCTCCATTTATTATATCTTCCGCAAGACTTGCGACGGGTGTCTTCCGGCATTTCTGTCTGCGTACATACCTGTCTGAAAATTGATGCACATATTCAAATCAGCTATTTTATTGGTCGTCTTTACTTTGACTATCTGGAATGTTTGCCTTCTTCTAGTGGTGGCCATGTCTTGAGACCTTTTTCTCCATTTAAACGTTGTACTGGATGCGAAAATATTGGTTCATGCGCAGGATCCTGATAAGTAGTACATACATTATAAAGTTTGATTGAGATTTATTTAGCCATTTAGACTCTGAGTATATATCTAGGTCAATCCGAGTGTACATATTTAAATATGCAGCGATTTGGTAGGTCGAGCAATATGCTTACCGAATTGGGCTAAAGGATTGCGAGATTCCGACCGAATGTGCTGTCATTACGCCTTTTTCCCACGAAAAGTATTCAAAAAAGTATCTTTCCTGTAGCCCGAATCTTCAATTGATTTGGTATTGGATAATTACCTTCCTGCATGCTATTCTTTGTATTTATCTCACCGTTCGGGCAATAAGGTGCGACATTCAGAATGCAAGGTAACCGAGCCTCAACATGGGTAGCTCTGTTATTCTATTTGACTAAACTGTGCACGAAGTGAAAGGAGTTGAAGGTGCATTAGACGTATTATAAATCCAATTTTGGGGGACAATCCCAAGTCGTATTCCTGTTCTAGTCTCTCCCAGTCTTTACAAGACGATAGACCCGCTTATGTTGCTCCAACATAACCAATGTGGCGATAGTCTGAGGTCCCAATCGAATAAAACTAGGAGTCCAGCCCCGAAACACCCATCGGAAACCTTCTTCCTGCGTAAGATTCCTAACAATATTCAACACAGATGTTTTGTCCGAAGAACTCATAAGCTGGGTTCTAATCACGTCCATGGGACTTGAGATCGATGTTGCAACTAAGCTCGCCAATACAGACGCAAAGAAGTGGATCAATGGCCTCTCTTCATTGGTATTAGCGACACTTTGCAATAATTTTTTGAATGCATCATAGGAAGCCAGTTGACTTGCTGTCATTATTCCAGAGCGAAAACAATTCGGCCAAAGTCCCTGAGTGAAAGATCTCCAGCCTTCATGACGCTTCATCTGAATCCATGCGTCAAAGACATTCTTATAGTTTCGGCGGTTTTGGACCGGCAATGAGCGGTCATTTTGCATTCTCACATTGGCAATATCTGAAGGTGTGCCGAAGATAGCGCCTGTAAATCCAGAGGCTGCGGCCATGATAGCCAGGTTTGGAATCGTAAGAGGTCGATCTGACCTTTTTGCCGATAATTTCATCTCTTCGTATAGAGCAATTCGGGACGTTCCATAAGTTACTGGACTATATAAGTAAACAGCATGGGAGTACTGGGTTCAAGGGGCACTAACTTGATCTCATAAACCCAGCAGAGAGCTTATTAAACTGTATGTCAGTCTATAATTGATGCTTACTTTGCTCGGCAGTCTGCTTACTCCATGGTATAAACCTCTTGGTCCCTCGCTTTGGATGATATGGAGCCCCGTTCGAATGAACCCCTCTTTGGCGCCATTTGATACCGTTTGCATTCGAACCTTGACTTTAACAAACAGTTTTATTAGTTATAACTCATGAACCATATGGCTGCTGGGTCAACTAACTGAGATCAAAAGGATGTGAAAGCAGCACAGCCATGCATGACGCAGAGCCACCAAACCATCTGGGATAGCTGATATCCGCCGGTTTGATTCCTTCATGAAGAGCAGGAGATGATATGGGTAATAATTCTCCGGTCGTCATATTAGGAAGGAGAGGTCAAATAGAAATGTTTCAGATTTACCGGTCGGGATGCTCGGAGGGAGAGGAGAGAATCAGAAACCCCAGAAGACACCTGGGCATAAATGTTAAGCTGCGGGGAAATCGAACAGCACGTATCTGAATTCATCCCATGTGTATATTCTCAAGATAATCGGATTATTAAATGAACTTAATACTTCCTTCCAAGACTATACCCCAGGCCTCGGGACACACATCTGGTAACCGAGCAAGACGGCTATATGCGCCACGAATTATAGTGCTAGTGAATGGTATACTACATAAGTTGGCGATAGCCGAATTATACGTGAATTTCCTTTCGTTTTCTGGACGATCTTAGAACATTGAGTGGACTCTTTCTATGGCGACAGGCTTCCAAGTTGCATCAACGAAGTGCATGTTTATGGTGCACAGCAAGTGCATGATGAAAGCCAGAATATATATTGCACAAGCCCAATGTGTATGTACCTTTATTATTTTCCAAACTCCGAAGTATGTTTGATCAAGCAATGATTGTAACATAAGAAAAGGGTAAGAAAATTAAACGCATGATGCTGGATCTATTGACCACAGTACATGTTGTTGAATCGAACATTTGTTAGAAGCACGCGACCGGGCCTAAGCGCTTGGAATGGTGATCGGCCCGAGATTTGGCGCTAACGGCATCAACTTCTATCTCCGGACTTGACTTAACAGAAGATCTAACCATACCTGAGACTTTAGCTTCTCTATTCACTCACCATGGCTTCCGAGGACAAAAAAATCCTTATCGTGAGCTTGGGGAGCTCTTTCGCCGCAGGCCCTGGCATTTCCCCGCAAATCGAACCTTTTTCCGCAAAGCGCTCTGGGCAGAACTACCCACATCTTCTAGCCAAGGAGCTAGATGCAGATCTCACCGACCTCTCAGTCTCCGGTGCAACCTTACTCAACATCACACGCGAGCCACAAACCCCAGCCTTCTCAAACGACACCTTCCCGCCCCAAATCTCGTCGGTCCCCGAAGATGCAGATATTATTACCGTTACCGCCGGCGGGAATGACATCGGCTACATAGGCAACATGATCCAGGACGCCGAGTCGGCAACAACGTTAGGCTGGGCAGCTAGCACCCTCGTGCAAGGCGTCAGGTCATTTAAATCTATCTTCTCCCAGCCCTCAACGCAGATTAATGGCCCCCTATCGCCAGAGGAATTACCCGAGAGACTAGGCGACACGCTGGATAAACTACACGAGAGAGCCCCGAGGGCGCGCATTTATCTGGTTGAATACCTGGCTGTTTTGGGACCCTGCACAAAGCCTCACGTGGATATTACTTTCGATCAAGAGACAATTGACCATCATTCTCAAGTGGCAAATGCATTACAGCAGGCTTATGCGGTGGCCGTAGCGACACGATCGGACTGGTGTGAAAGGGTACCAATTCACGAGTGCAGTTTGGAACACGCCCTTGGGAGCCAGGAGCCCTGGGTAAATGGATTTAGTCACTCGCTGATCCGTGAAGGGGCTGTTCTTCATCCTAATCTCAATGGAATGAAGGCGGTCGCTGGCATTTTACTTAAAACAATTCGAAAGGGGACACTAAAACAGGCAGAATGATTACGGGAGGGCGATAGGGGCCCACGTTTATTAAAAGGAATATTGAATCTAAAAGTCATTGAGCACTTGATCCCGGGACCTGGCACCTGTCGGTAGTCACTTGGCCTACTGTTTTGAGGCGTCAGGGTTCAGATATGCAGGAACCCTGGGGAGTGATGTGTAAGGTACACGAGTCTAACGCTTAAGCAAGGGGGAAATTCGCCTCAAGGTTTTACATGCGAAACAGATCGCCACCTAAATTGCTTAGCTGGAACAAAAAGGGGTTCATTCTGGAGCCCTTTTGTCACTGACCCACATATTTGACCCTTTGCTCAGGAGAACGTGTAATCACAAAATCGCAACCCGCTGCACTGGTTGTGCTTTTGCCGTCAGTTTCAACTAGATACGACTTTCCTTACTCAAGGGGTGAGCCAATCTATCAAGTAAATTGAACTGAGTTGATGTATACCACTTACACAAAGGATGTAGATTCAGTAATGGCGATCAGGAGGTCGGGAGATCCATCCTTGAAACTAAGTATGAGCACTAAAATGGTATTTCGATAGCATGGATATCCAAAATCAGGATCAACATTCATGGTCCCCATATTAACGCAAGGGCTACAGAACGTCATCTACTGTACCTGTCCCTGAGAAGAGTCTGAATCCTGCTCACATGTGCTGCCAAGTATCCTTGTCCGTAATTCCATACCTGGAGTTGCATCTGATCATCCTCCCAACCTCTGCTTGATTATACCCACGTCAACGACGTGCTGAGGTCGGCAGCGCCCGAGCTGCGCGATCCCCCAATGATGTTGATTGAATTCTTTTGGGTTTTTCCTGTGATCTCTGCATCGACATGGCTAAGTGAGTAGGATCAATCACCATGCTTACAACTTGATCCTAATTAAAGCTCCAGCGACACTGTCCGCGATGTTAACACATTGGGTTGTAATGGGCGAGCCGACATTCGGTAGGATGAAGCCTGGACAGACTATACCGTTAGTATTAATGACATGGATGCTTCGTTCGAGACTAATATAATGTTACTAGATTCATCTCTGATATTGGCGCACAAGAATTGAAGCCATTGTTCATGACTGGAAGCATAATCACTATGCTCTTCATGAACGTCTCGTTCTACCAGTTCTTGCAGTACAAAGAACATGTTAGCAGGGTCTACATGTACCTTTCATTCCTTTTTGCAATCTTTGGAAGCCTTGGATTAATTATGTTGTCCGTCTTCGACAACCTCGATCACCTAATATTGCACGACAGCTTTGTCGCCGTCTTCATGTGAGTGGATCCCTGGGCCGAACGATTAAAGAAGACCATACTTACCCACTCCAGGACGGGCTACTTGGTCAGTGCAGTGGTGATATGCATAGATTATTTTTACCTGGGCCAATCCAGTCGCGTGAACAAACGTATGCTTATGGCTAGCTTCGTTATCAAGTTGTCTTTTGTTATTGTGGAGCTGGCCTTCATTTTGGCATTTCGCATTACTGCCGCAGCAGGCACCATCAAGAAGGATACAGCAGCTATTCTTGAGTGGGGTATGTATGAACCTCGATATCTTGAGTGATTTTTTACTAATGCTCGGCCAGTCATTGCCTTTACATTCACTGGTTATATACTCTCCTTTATCATTGACTTACGACCGTCAACCCAAAAAGATTCAGTCCCGAGACACGAGTATCAACAGCTGGATATGGATATGAACTCGACAAGGCTGATGATTTGATTTCGTTACGATTCTTCCTGTACATTAGTGTGAACATAGTTTGAGTCAATACCCATTTCCCTTCTTTCGACATAACTTGGGCCTGCAAGTACCACTTCCTTGAACTGACGGATTATACATTCAAATGTTGAGTCAAGTGTACATAGACAAAGAAAAGATCACGGAATCTGCGAAACCAAAGTTAAATAAGAAAAAAAAAGAAGAAGATGTGGTTGTCCCACCAAGTAGCCCAATTCCTTGTAACAGGACGGTGTATTCTAGCGACGCCATCCCAGGGTGGAAATGTCTCTGCAGAATTGCTTCCCTCAAGGGTCACTTCCATTGCTTAGCGCCTTCCAGCATCGCGGATTACTCGCGCGAGTGAAATGACGACCCCAGGATTCGTACTAGGCACCAGTACCTGCTGGTCAGGTGACCGAAGCAAGGTTACGGACTTAGCGGTGAGTCTTCCACTAGGTTATCCATGACAGATTAGAGAATTGTTACTCTTAAGAAATAGATATGCGTCTTGATATATACCACATTGGTTTGCTGCAGGTTAAACTACTGTTCTTATTTCTCCAGTTTCATGTAGTGAAATATTTATTGTTGACTTTTTATATTGTTCCTTACTTGGAAGAATTTTCTTGTTATTTCCAAGGTACCAAGGTACGATGGCGCTGGATCCAGTGTAAATTTTAAAGTATGCCAGGAACCATGGCCAACCATAACGTAGGACTCCTGTTAAACGAAAGTGAAAGTGAAAACTTCCATTTTCATCGCCCCCATACTAGGTTAAGTCGCCCCTGATTCAAGGATTATGACTTGGCAAAGGGGTGTTTATCTGCATAGCCCCGATGCAAAGAGACTGCTATATGACGTAGATTCTCCGGCGCCCACTCGGCAGTGGACGATCGGGTCATTATCCCCATACAACTCCCCACCCAACCATGGCCTGATCATGTGAAGTTGTGGAGATACTTTACCATCCGCTCATCTTCCTCACTTTCTCTAACTCATAGTGACCTAAAACGCATTGTCAATATGGCCCCATTTCGCAACTTCCTCGGTCGAAAATCCCAGCCCAATGCCGGGGAGACGGACGGCTTCGAGAACAACGAGAACAACCTGCCCAGTCAGCTCGAGCGTCCTGGTCCCACTCCAATCGAGGTACGAGGGAGCCATGATGGCATGCCCCCGGAATACAAATTGAGCGGTATGGTGAAGTCCCTAGGATCGCTTTCAAGGCGGCCGATATGATCGCTCTATGCCAATGGGAACACCATGCTAAGCTCTACAACAGTCGTAAATGACAGCGGCGTCTATCTTCCAGTAAGTTGTCTGTGGTCGAGCACTATAAGGCTCTCGGAAACTAATCAATTTCCAGCCCTCGCCCCCGGAAAAGCAGAGTTTCTGGTCCCGCTACCCCGGCTCAACTCGGTCGTCGAATCATCGCAATCTAGTGGATGAGAACGAACCATTCTCAATATCGCGCGAATCCTTCGACTCTTACCGCCGGTCTTTTGTATGCTACGCATATTCTTTATGGCCCGGGGCGCACCGCCACTAACTCGACAGCAGGACATCTCCGCCCGCGCCCCAGTGTCACACCCCGATGCCGTTCCAACCCGCGCCTCCCTCGACTCCCGCTTCTGCCGAGTCACATCGCCTGGCATGCGACCCACAAGCTTCGAGAAGCCCGACCCAATGAAAGAAGAAGTATTCGAAGAAGTTGGTCTCAATGACGAGGCGAAGCCTAAGAAAAAGAGCATTTTCTCCCGGTTCGGTGATTCTAGCGATGCGCCATCATCCGGCAAGTCTACTCCCTTTGGATTTCACATGCCCGGCAGGAAGCGAGGGCAAAGCGGTGGAGGGTCAGAAATGAGCCCTATGCCGACACCAGCGCCAATGACGGCATCTGCGTCAGAGACTAATGGCGAATGAGCATGAATGAATGATGAAACTAGCCGATAAGGCTCTGATTTATGGGAGGCGTTCTGGCTTATCTGGGAGGTTTGTGCTTCATGTTGATATCCTGGGACTTGGTTGTTCCTTATGGATACAACAAAGAGGCTATAAGTGTTATACCGGCTTCCTTTGATTAATTTGTTCTTTGTTCATCGTTTGCATTTTGTACATTTTTCTTGCAGACGATGATAACTCGCTGCAAGATATCATATCATGTCCCCCAGAAACCACATCTCTATTCAAGGATGTATAACATACATCTGCAAATTAATACATGAATGTGTTTTCCATGAATAAATATTGAAATCAAATCAGTATCTAAAGTTCCAAAGTCACAATACACCAGTTCGTAGGTTTGGCTGGGGCTTATCACTGCAAACCGTGCAAACAACCATGGAACCGGCAAAAAAACTTCCTCCGCCCGCAAACCAAAAAAATTATCCTCTAGCACGCCGAGCATCACCAGCTCGGATATTCACCCACCTTTTTTCTAAACCGGTTCTTGAGACGTAGCCAAAGTCGCTACATCATATCTACACAATGGCCGGTGTGAAACGTCCCGTCGATGTCAACGAAGATCGCAATGGAAAGCGGAGCAAGACCAAGCAGGGCTCCGCATCCACGAAGAAATCGAAGGTCGATGCGCCAGTGAAGTCCAAGTCGAAGGACGTCAAGTCCGGAAAGAGTGACAAAAAGTCATCAAAGAAGAAGGTTCAAAAGGAGGAATCATCCGATGACGAGGACGAGTTCGATATTGACAACGTTTCGGACTCCGACGATGATCTCGATGCGGTTGATGAGATTCCTGAAGATGTTTCTATGGAGGATGTGAGCGAGGAGCAGGAGCCCAGCGAGGATGAGGATGAGGAGAAGAAGCAAGATGACAACCAAGAAGTCCGCAAGAGTATGTTCTTGTTCACCTGTGGGTTTTATTTTGGATCAGAAACTAACGGATATCTACTTTTCAGACCCCAATGCGAATGCCTCTCGCGAGTCTCACATCAAGCAAAAGGCCCTCCAATTGGAGCGCAAGAACGCCAAGCCCAACGCCGATATGATTGCCCGCTCCAAGAAGCTCTGGGAGCAGCTGCGCCGCAAATCCCACGTCCCATTGGAACAGAGAAAGAAGCTCATCAAGGAGCTTTTCGAGATCATCACTGGCCGTGTTCGGGATTTCGTCTTCAAGCACGACTCCGTGCGTATCATTCAAACCGCCTTGAAATACGGAAACCTGGAGCAGCGCAAGGGAATTGCACAGGAATTGAAGGGAAGCTACAAGGAGTTGGCTCAAAGTCGTTACGCCAAGTTCTTGGTCGGAAAATTAATTGTCCACGGTGATACTGAGACTCGGGATCTGATCATTCCCGAGTTCTACGGACATGTCAAGCGCCTCATTCGTCACCCGGAGGGCTCTTGGATTCTTGATGATATCTACCGCACAGTCGCCACAAAGGAGCAGCGCACAAGGATCCTGCGCGAGTGGTACGGACCTGAGTTCATTCATTTCAACGATGACAAGGAGAAGTCGGCCGACCTTCGCAAGATTCTGGAGGCCACCCCTGAGAAGCGCGGTCCCATTATGAACTTCCTGCGTGAGCTGATCAACCAGCTGGTTCAGAAGAAGTCCACCGGCTTCACCCTTCTGCACGATGCTATGCTGCAATACTTCCTTGCTACCAAGCCTGGTAGCACTGAGGCGAACGAGTTTATTGAGTTGCTCAAGGGCGACGAGGAGGGTGATTTGGTGAAGAACATGGCTTTCACTCGGTCTGGCTCTCGCCTGATGAGCTTGACCCTGGCTTATGCCAATGCTAAGGACCGCAAGCTGCTTTTGCGTTTCTACCGCGACACTGTTAAGGCCATGGCCGGTGATCTCAACGGTCACATGGTTCTGCTTGCGGCATACGAGGTTATCGATGACACAAAATTGAGTGCCAAGGCCATCTTCCCCGAGCTCTTGAACCAGAACGACCCCGTGGAGACCCGCCATGAGGAATTGCTCTACCAGATCAACGACCTGACTGCACGTGTCCCCATTCTGTTCCCCTTCGCTGGCGACCGCGCCAAATGGCTTCTGCCCGAGCAGGACCACGAAGTTCTCAAGGAGATTCGTGAGGTCCGGAAAGAGACCTCCAAGAAGGATGCCTCCACCCGACGCCAGGAGTTGGTCAAGGCCGCATCGGCGACCTTGCTTGAGTTGATTGCCGCTCGCGCTGAGACCCTGTTGGAGACTACCTTCGGTTGTCAATTCATTAGCGAGGTGCTTTTCGAGGCTGACGGTGACAAGGGTGCTGCCCTTGCGGCCGTGGCTGAGGCTGCCAAGGCCAAGGCCGACACCCCAGACTCCTCCGTTGGGCGTCTGCTTAAGTCACTTGTGCAAGGCGGTCGGTTCAACCCTGCCGAGAAGACCGTGGAGAAGGTGGAACCCGCACTCAACTTCCACGGACTCCTGTACGAGCAAATCCGTGATGAGATCGTCGAGTGGGCCACTGGAACAAATGTGTTTGTGATTGTCGCTCTAGCCGAGTCAGATGATTTCGAGAAGAAGAGCGAATTGCTTAAGACTCTCAAGAAGAACAAGAAGGCGCTGGAGCAGGCCTCGGCGTCGGGCGCAGAGGGCAAGAAGGCCGGCCCGACCAGCAGTGGCGCCAAGTTGTTGCTGCAGAAGCTATAAGCATCTAGCGAGTATGATTGGATTTTTTTGATGTAATATGTCTATGTTTATCTAAGGTATAAAAGGAGTTTGCGACCAAAAAAGCATCTTATTTTATTTTTCACACATATCCATTTAACCTTTCGGCTTAGAAAGCTACTAAGTGATGGAAATTAAATTCCCCAGTACTGGAGTGGAGCTCCCATGGATTGAAACCGCGGGTCTCAGGGGTTCGTTCCATTCAACACGGATACTCATGCTTCAGGGTCAAGCGAGACAATGCCTTGCTTTGTGCGACTCATAAATCTCGATATGGATCCCTGTAATCCGTAAAAGCAAAGCTCTATATGCATAATGCGCTAAGACGGGACAGTTCCACAGTCGGTAATTAAAAATAAGCTAAAAAAAAAACAATGGGGATTGTCAGTACATTTTAATGCTTAAAAACAATAGATCAGGGACATCTAAGTTTATGGAATATCTATAGAATATTCTACATAATATCAATTGTCGAGCCTTATTATCCCTAGATCCTACGAGTCTTCATTCTGAATGGATGTACTTATAACTAATTTACCAAAAAGGAAATGATCAATAACCACGCTAAACCCTATCCAATCAACTCGTTAGGGGCAGCTTTTTCAGGGTAAAACCAGACCGATGTTTTCCTGATTCTCATTCCCTTCATATCTCTCAAAGGTTGTCGGCCCAGGGCCAGAATCCCTCCGCATGCCCTCCCTCACTCTGACAAACCCGGATATGATCCTGCCGTATGACGGTAGTGAGCGCCAATCCTCTACTCCCTCCCCACCTTCGCAGCTCGTCTACCTATCCAATTTGAATGCCCGGTACAATCCATCTGAGCCTCATTCTGCCTCCAGTTCAGGCGCGTCGGCCGGCCGAGCCAAGAAGAATTTTTCGCGAAACTGGACCCACGAGGACGTCACTCCCAACCCGCGACGCTTGTCTGATATCGGGGAAGAGCTGTCGCCTAAGCGCTTTGGGGGGTTTGATGAAGAGGAGGTAGGCCAGGATCAGGGGCTCGGTGGTGCGCAGGGAGCTGCTCCTGATGCGAAGGACAATGCTGTGTGGAGTAGCTCTAGCTCGACGGTTAGTGCGGGGAGTTCACGTCCAAGGGAAGTGACTTCTCCAGCGACTGTTCGCGAGGCGTCGCCTGTCCAGAAGGGAAATGCTATTGGAAAGCCGAGCAATGAGAATGAGGAGGTCAAAAAGGTGCTATCGCCTGACAGTGGTGCCCATATATCTGGTAGCCATATTTCCACGGCTGCTGCTACGGGCAAAGGTCCTGGGGAAGATTTCTCCTCGGCAATCTTGAGTAGCGAAGCAGAGAGGATCCTGGAGAATGCAAAGAAACGATTGATGGTATGTGGGGGATCGGCGCATGAAATCCCCGAGGAATGCTGACTCGATCAATAGCTCATGGAAGGCAATCTGAATCGCGCTCGTTCAACTACGCGCCTCACACCTTCACCCTCACCCTCGGCGCCTGGAAATATTCAGCCACTCGGCGGACACAAGCCGGCTGGTGGACTCTATCAATCGATTTCTCGAGCTGATCGTAGAGGATCCACACTTCGACGGCAATCGCTCATAGCCTCGCAAGATGCCTCTACTAACAGGCATTCGCGCGTGCACAGCGACACAAATTTCCCTTCTGAGTCGAGTATGTCGAATGATTCGAAGCGCCCGTCTCGCTCTGTCAGTGCAATGGGTGCCAGTACCTCGTCATTTCACCATGATGATCGGTCCTTCCAGTATGAGCCGACGCGCGCGTACCTGACGCACCGGTCGTCGATCTCATCGATCAAACCACCTTATTCGGAATCGCCACAGCCCGCGGAATCACCGCAGCTCATAGAGTCCCCGGTTCCCGAAGAGAGCACTTCATCAGGCTCGCCTAGGGGACTGGGCATCTCGGCAGACGACGATTCAAACTCCAACCCGGGAGATTTCAGTCCAGTCTACAGTTCATCTGGTCCGCCCAGCCGTGCGCAATCTCAGCTGCAGGTCCGCGACTTGCAGTACCAAATGAAAGGTCTTCATATCAAGATCTCATCTCTCAAGGTCCGGACGCAGGAGGACAATATGCGTCGCCGAAGTCTACAGAGTCTGCGTACGCCTAGTCCTTTGACGCAAGCTGATGCCTGGTATGCCAATGCGCTGGAGCTGCGGGAGGGACAAAGCAGCCGTGAATCAAATGGTCGACGAGACGTCAGTTCAGAGTATGCTCGTGAGGCCCGTTCTTCTAATGAACAACTGAACGCGGTCAAGCGATCCGAGCGGACTGAGGGAAGCCCCGTGGACCACAATCGTGCGAGCATTTCCCAGGCTCCAGATACCAGGCTGAAGCCTAGAACTGAGGGTTATGATGACGGAAGGCAATCTGTTGCTGAAAGTCTGTACGAAGATGCCGAGGAAGACTTTGAGGACGGCGATATCGACCGTGAAGCGTTGGATGAAATTCTGCGGGAGCCACTCGATGAAGACCTTCAAAGCCTGGATGAGTTCCCTGGAGTTGATACCCGACCCCACGAAGAGCGAGAAGACGCTTTTGACTATGAGCATTTCATTCTCCACAGTGCCCTTGGCAACTACTCCCGCCAGATACGCCGACCAAGCCAAAGCTCTCGTGTTTCAGTGGAAACGACGCGACCAAACCGGTCTGTGCGACACTCGCGTACCAACAGTGTAATGTCCGACTCGACAGTAGCCACGTTTGCGACAGCTATGGAGGGAGATATGCCAATAGAGGAAGATGACTTGCTGTATTGGGACCGGAAGTTCAATCATGGTATGTCTGATCCTTCAACTATTTACATCACTTCAACTAATACCCAGCAGAACTCCGCCACCGCCATTCACAAAGCCGGCAGGCCAATCCCATCCAAACTGACCGCTCTGTAACTCCTCGTGGGGTTCGGAATGGCGAAGATGAAGATGGTTCTGCCACACCTGTTGATCAACAGCTGACCCCTCGTCGTGTGGATATGACCGGCCGCTCCTCATCCGCTACCGCCGGCTCTGCGACTCCAACCTCTCTTGTCTCGTCTCTTGTTTCCACTGTGCGAGCGGCTGCCAGTCCGCACCCCGGTTCCGTGACCCCAACCTCTGCTGGTGGTATCAATGACGATGATACCCAGATGCTCGAGCAACTATTCTCAAGCTTGGGCAACGTCTGCATGGATCTCCAGGCTATCATGACCTCCCCTGATCCCGACCTGAAGGAGGCTCGAGTACTCCGGCGGCGCCTGGATGCTGCACGGAGAGTGCTGGACGGAGAACTCGATACTTGATTCCAAATCGCCTTCTCACCACTGGGCATCATTTTTCTCCTTTTTGCCAATATGATTGCTGTGTGCATCATGCTTCTGTACATGCTTTCTCTTCTGATTCTTTCTTTCACCTTTTACCATGATACCCCATGACCTTTTTTTCATTTCACATATTCTATCCTGTTTTATTTCTGTTGTATGATTGGCCCATTGTGACATGATATCCCGTGTTTCTACTATTTGCATGTTAACACCTTTATTCAGACTATTCTTAATAGCTTCTATAAAAAGTATATACGCCCGAATAATTCAAGCATTTTCTCTTTGATTCACTAAACTCATATATTCATGTTGACTATTGCTGGAACCCACACCTTGACCCCGTTCGGCGATGGTTTTATGTCTGGCAACCTTGGACGTGAAAGAGGTCTTTCCGACATCTATCCCAACTGTTCCTTCTCCAGATCCAACCGATGCGAGAGACTATAACCTTCCACGGATATTATGACCATATTTAAGTCAGGCGATCCCTCTAAACTGTTCTTCCCTCACGTAACCTTTGGTGATCAGGCCAAAAAAAAGAGAATATGTGACATCGTCAAGTTCCCCCACTTCGGACGCGAACAGCAAATAAAAGCAACGCGATGATCCACCGAGGACTACAGAGTACACATTCCACTGTGCAAGCTTAAGCACATAATCTTCTCCAAATCATCCCTCATTTAAATCCATTTCAGAATCCTGCAAGCCACCAAGCGCAAGTGTGTTGTTTTCCCCCCTTTTCTGCCCCGCGATCCCCCGCTGATCCAGACGCGATAAGCAGCCTCTGTCGCGCGTCGCGACGACGAATCGCAAACGAAAAGCAAATAAATGGTATACAGTTTCAGTGTCATATACTTCAAACTTCAATCAACATCAAATTCAGTACTAACTCTGGACAGGGCGCAAGCGCTTTAAAGCGCATAACATCATCGCAAAACCCCCACCGCGAAAAATAAGTCGCGCTATTGGGGTGCGATAACCAAAATCAAGATCAAGATCAAGATCAACTTCTGAGATATAAGTCTTCTAGAGCTCAGCCTAGGTATATTCACAATGAACAAACTCTCTCAACCCTCGCGTCGTCTCCTCATCTTTCAGGAGGCGCGCAACCCACAAAACACTGCGGAGATCGTCTACCTTCCCGTCAACAAACTTGGACTCCCAGTTTGCGGTGATGGGCCAGAACTTCCATCGATCCTGGAGATGCCATTAAGGAGCTTGAGATTTTTCACAGAGCTTTTTAATCAGCCAAAGTACAAGGGTTGGTATGTATTGTTTTCCTTTTCCTTTTTCTTTTTCTTCTTTTCCCTCGCAAAGCTGATAATCACCGTCCAGGGCTGTTCTCTCAGCAGGGAAATACCACGATACTTCCGAAGAAGGGAAGTTTTATGCGGTCATTTTGGAACAGACTCAGGTGCCTTTGGTGCAACAGGAAGGAGCTATGGGGTCATCAATGGGATCGGCGTGATTTGTACAGTATTTCTTGTGTTAGAACTATTTCCATGCTATGTGAGGCTCTTAGACGATTTCCTTTTAATATGAGGTTTTTTTCATTCCTGCTGGAAATAATAGTGTCTTCCAATGTTTGCTGTATGTTGATAATGTCTGCGTGTAAATAGATAAGTGATGCGCTCCATCATCTGTGGTGCATGTAAGCGTACTTCCATGGTTAGGTTCTGAATTGTACATATAGCAGGATGAGACACAGATTACAGTTTGATAGATAGATGAAACCTGAGGATTTACTATTGGCTCCTCAGTTGAGTGGTTTTCTCCATCATCCAAGGGTCTCATTTCAGCAACTTACCATAGACTCCAACAGCAAAGAATATCGGGTACTCTGGCTCTGGTACGTATCTCTATCAAAACTGGAGGCTGTTTGCGGTCAGACATGCTAAACTCTGAATCTGAAGGATAAGAAGCGAAGGCTCAAACAGTACAGGATAGCGTGAATGACTGTAGGTATATCCGAACCGACTTCTACTGTCTTTATCTAGTGTTACTAACGTTGAATGACGTTCTTTTATCCCGGGGAAATGGTAGAATTACTATCAGCGAGGACATTGAGCCTCCTAGACCTGTTTTCTTAGGACTAGATGGAATGTAGATGGGTTTACATAAGTATAAATCATTCAAGGCTAAAAAGAATGCTCGACAATCACACACCAAAACCCCTCAACACCACGAAAGCAAAAGAGACACAAAAGAAGATCCCATGGAACAGCTTTCAAACCTGCATGCATTTCCTTTTGTTTCCTCTCTTACGCAATGACATAACCTCCAGCAAGAGCATCAACCCGCGGTTGAAAAATAAACCCTGAAATAAGAAGGAAATCGAAGATCGAAAAGCTAAGACTGATTCAAATTCGAAGATAAGGCGCTTGAAATTCAAGAGTTTGCCGGCAGCAGCAACCGGGCGCTGTGGTGGAGGTCGAGGGACCGAGAGTCAGATGGGTCGAAGAGGGCATTGGAACGTTCCTCAAGGTAGTAGGCTGTAGAACAGGTTAATATAGATCATCGGGGAATCAAAGTAGCGGTACATACGAGAGATCTGGATCATGTCAAACCAGCGGACGGCATTTTCATCACTGCCTTCTGCGGCCTTCAAAAAGCCATTCTCGGGGCGAACAGTCGTCTTTGGTGGGAGGCTACGCATCCGCAACAGCATGTGCAGGATGTCTGCAAACTGCTCGGACTGGGCATAGTAGTAAGGAGGGCGCTTGTCCAAGGGCCAGCGCTGAGTAAAGCTCTCGTTGTCCCACGAGCGGAAGAGCCAGCATGTACGCTCGACGCAGTTCAACAGAACAATAGCTACAAGGAAGGTTTCAAACCAGCCGGTCTTCTGGCGTTGAAGCAGACGACGCTCCAAATCATTGATGACGGATTTGCTCAGTTGCATCGCACGTTTCTCCATGGCAGCACGAAGCTGGCTACATATCAGGGGATATGACTCCTGCTCTGGGGACTCCTCGATTGGTATACGGCCCTCATCATTGGGCTGAGAAAGGGAGTGCATCGAGGTAGGAGGAAGAGTGGGGTTGCAGTAGGTCTTCCATCCAAGTTCAGTGTCTACCAGGATATGAGTGGCAACCCACAGCTCAACTGCACGTTCGAGCAAGGTGTCCTGTGTGACATGTCAGTAGAGTTATAGTAGTTTCCCCATAGAGATACTGACCTTTTTCGACTGTCCTAATTCAGCAGCCAGAAGCAAGGTGGGCTTCATGAAAGTCGAGGTTTCACGCTCAAGGAAGAACGGTCCAGTTTTCTTGATGTACATCTCCAGCTTGCTTGGGATGTCATCGGCGTCACTGTCCAGCAGATAAACCTCATGAGAAGGGTCGGTGAATTGATCCTCGCCCAGGCCTTGAAGGGCGGGGTCGAGGGCTGAGACCGAATTGCGATGGCCTTGAAGACCGCTGATGGTAACAAACACACCACTCTCCTCCATGTGGGTCACCTCGATGCGACCAACGTAGTGTTCGAACTTGATCTGGTTTTTGATGGAGTTGGTGTCGTGGTAGGCAAGGGTAGCGTGCAGGTCTGCGAGATATCAGTTTGAAGATCATGAGTCACATTCAGAAATACATACTGGCATTGTAAAGTTCGAACTCTTCAGACAGGCGGGTCCGAATGCAAGGGTGCTTCCAGAGTCGAGCACTCTCAACGCTAGCACAAGTTGTGCAGGGCGTGTCACCAGAACACTGAAAGAATTGTTAGTCAAGACTCTTTAAATAATATAACAGTAGTACATACTGGTTTCTTAAGCATGCGGCAACGAATGCAAGCTCCTCGCTTTCGCACCTCTTGAACCTCGCGACGTCGCTCAGCAGTGAAACGACCCCGCACCTTAGGCTTGGTTGGCTTGGTCGAGTTGCCAAATTCGTTCACAAAGCCTTTGGCTTGTGTGTTGGGGTTCATGGCAATGGGACGTGGGTAAGAAGCAGCACGCTGGGTAGCAGCCGTCAAGGATGGATCATGCTCTTGTAAGCTGTCGAAAAGCAGCTGCTCCTGAGTCGAGAGCTGCTGATTCCACTGGCCCATTTTCAAGCCATCAACAAGATGATCACCGTCCATTAAACCTCCCTGCGGGACCATCTCATTAGCTGAGGCTGCGATCATGGAAAGCGACTGGCGCGCATTGGAGGTGGATTCGGGTGTCATGGAGGTGTCACCAAGGGGTGGTGACATAGATGCGTGATCCCCTGAGGTATGGCTGGGAAGGGCCGGAATAGTGGGAGGGTTGGAGGCTTGGGAACCTACGTGATTGTTAGCATTCATCAAGCTCCATAAAATTCACGCAACCGACATACCCTGACCATTGTCCTCTGCCTTATCCTCTCCCTGGTTCTGTCCCTGGAAGCCCTCGGCCTCAAGCGCCGGATCGACGATGACTGTCTTGCCACCGGCCGTCACGGACTGGGTGTATGCGGGGCCACGCTTGGTGGTGTCAGACGCACCTACCTGGCGAGAAGCCTCTGCCAGCACGTTCAGGCCATCAAAATTCGGACGATTCGGGTTTGGGAACCCATCTTTTCCTTTTCCTCCCGCCGCGCTGGGATCTTTGTTGGCGTCTTCGGTCAGGTCGGGGAGTTCGTGGAGTCGCAAAAGCACGCGCTGGCGGTCACGGAGGGGGATGGCCTGGCACTTCTTGACCAGGTGGTTGGTGAGGCTATCAATACGGCCCTTGGGGAATCGCTCACCGCATGCCTTGCAGGTGTGCTGATAGCGGTTGCTTGAATCCTCGAGCTTAGGGCCTCGGTTGAAGAACTCGAGGATGAGTTGGTTGGGTTTGCGTCCCATTTTGAATGGGTTGAGAAAAGGAGATGCGGGGTGAAGAGTTTGTTGACGTGTGGCAACCCGACTCTCACTTCAGAAAGTCTATGTTGTTGTTTCTTTTCAATCGCAGTCTAATGTTTTCACAAAAGTTCGATGGCGAGGACGCGATCAAAACGCACCACAACAAGTCGCGGTCTGGGTGAGGGTACGAGGGAGGGTCGACCGGAAGGGGGGGGCCGACGTGGCACTGAATGCCCACACCCAAGTCAAAGAAGTCAGGACCAAAGAGGTCGTAGCCCGAGTCGACTTGCGAGAAATAATATCTCTCGCAACAACGATGTGCGGCAAAACTGGGGGGGCAGTAGAGGGCGGTCTGGGAGTCACAAGGGGGAAAGACGACGCGACGGCTTCACCGCACGCAAGGCGGTGATGAGTGGGAAAAGGCGGTGATGGGAACCAAGGCGGTGGATGAGATGGGAAAGTGATGTCAGGGAAATGGAATGGGGAAGAAAGAGTTCAAGTTGTTGGGAAACAGAATGGGAGTGGAAAATCAAGATGGAAGATGGAAAAATGAAGATGGGAAAGGTCACGTTAAGAGGGAAAATTCATTCACTCTCTCCAAGACTCTCAAGGGTGCTTTTTCGATTTTACATAGACTTTTAACCCACACATTTATTGCTACGGGCTATTGTTTTTCTTCATACTTTCCAAGTTATCTTGGTTTGAAATATATAATCAATGGCTATTTTCTAAGCAATATCCTGAATTGAAAGGGAGCATTCAATTCTTTCACCCATTCAGCAAATCCGGTGCTCAGGAGGTCGCCACGGCACTCCCAGCAATGAGAAAATCCGACGCTCATCCCGACTCTCCAGCAATCGACCTGGATTGATCTTTACCCGCTGCGCGTCACGTAGTACATTAGTATAGAGTCCCCGCTGATTCAAACAAAGCCCTTTCTTGTGAGCCAGGAGTCGCATGCTACGGTTGAAAATATCATTGCCAGTGAAGTAGATCAAGGCGGCCCCAAATTCTGCCCCAGGCACAAAGAGTAGATCAATGCGCCGCCAAATCGGGCTGCCAGGGAGCGTGGACGCTCCATGCCATTTAGACCCATCTTTGTCATGTTTTCGTGAAGTGGCAAGTTCAACTTGGAGAAATCCATCCTGGAACAATTTGGGGATGACTGTATCCCTCATCAGAGACCGAATCTGTTCTAATGAGGCATCTGGTTTGGTAATGAGGACATCGACATCTCCTGACTTCAGTGCCCCGCGGCGGTAAGAGCCTGCAATGATCACCTGCATGTCGTGGTCCACTGACTGTACTGCCCTTCGGACGATCGCCCCGTGCTCTTCAACCTCCTTGCGTGGAATCCGCTGTTTAAAGTCGTGGTAATGCTCCACCCCGATGCGCTGATTTGCGGTCAGGCTCGCCTTCTCCAGGAGATCGCTGAGGGATCGATGACCCTGAGCCAACCACTTGGACGCTTGGGAAAGACCAGCGCCATATACACCAAGGAATTCCTGAAGGATACGATTCTCGATGGAGTAATTGTTGTTTTCGAATTGGCGGAGTCGGTTGGTAAGCACAATCTCCTCGATCTTGGCTGCCAATCGCTCTCCGATACCAGGAATAGCCCGCGCCTGTTTTCGTGTCGTAATCTGCTCTTTTTGTCGCCGCAGAACATTGATGGCCTTGCGATAAGCAAAACTGCGCCAATTGTCTGCCATCCGTTCATAGTAATCGCACATTTGCTGAAGGATTTTGATGGTTTTGCTATTGGGATTGTTGCTTCGTGTGTCAGGGTCGAATTTCTGTATACACGCGAAGCTTTTCGCCCAGGACTCTGACCGTTCATCTCTAGGGGCTTCTTGGGTCTTTCTAGGTCTTTCAGACTCCGACGCAGTAGATTCATTGCCGATATCATCTTCATCTTCAACTTCATCTACATCTGCAGAGTCGAAAGAATCGAGGGGCTGGTAATCATTTTCAATAATTATTCTCATCCGTATAGACTTCACTACTTACCAAGTGGCTGATAGCTTTCAATTCATCGATCACATCGTCGAAGGTATCCCTCTCCCGAGTTGCTGCATCGGCAATATACTCCACGGGCTCAATGTGCAGTCTTGTCGATGCGGGAGACTGAGCAGGATACTGAGCACCAGGCTGAGTAGGAGAAGCGGTAGGCAGGCTGTCTTCTTGGGTATGCTGAGTGGAGCCCTGGGCCTGCATTTTCTCTCTCTTGGATTCCTTCAGAGGCAAAGAGTCAGGCTGAGCTGCGGTGGGGGTAGCTATCTCATTTTCGGTGGTCACTGGGGTTCCCTCGACTCGAAAACGGTCATAGGATGGGCTCAATATCGAGCGAAATCTGATACAGTCCGATGGGTACACCTCATTGACTAGAATGACGTTCTGCTGTGATCATGTAGGTTAGTATCAGATCAAGCCCTCCAGCGAGCATGCACTCACGGGAAAGGTCTCCAGCTCAAGATGGGCGAGAACATCTCGGTACGATAGTCCTTTGTCCACGATTATATGGGTTACTTCGTTTGATTTATCCTTGGCCCACTGTGCACCATACTCCTGGGCTCGTTGGATCCGAAGTCGTCGAGATGGAGAAACGTCATTGTTTGGGAAGAAGACTGGAACAGTCAGTAGAAGATCGCAGTTGATAAGGTATCTTCAGATACCCACAGAATACCAGTTCTTTGAAGATCTGCTGATCTTCGGGGACAACTTTGATGTTTTTATTTGGCTTTCTTTTCTTCGAGGCAGGACCGCCGCTCTTCGAGTCCGGCATACTTCCGGTGGTGTGGAAACGTTGAACAGTTTTCACTTTAGAGTCAGTCAGTTGCTCAATCCTTCGTGGGTTCTTGGCTCTGAGTGTCTTTTTTTTGAGCGTTTCAAGTTCATCTGTGGATGATTGCTTTGAGTCTGAGTTACGGACCGAGCCAAGGATTCCCAGCGCTCGAGGCTCCGGGCAGACTGAAACGATGGCGGTGGTCGGAAATGGAATTTTTGAGGGTTTCCGAGTAATAAGACGCTCGAGAGGATCCTCTTCATCCTCGTCGTCGTCCAGGTGGTCAAGTCTTTCGAGGGCTTCAAAGAAGCTCTTCTTGCTGAGCTGCTCTCCCATGGCGGATTAGTCTGGTGTCCGATTTAGGAAGGTATACCTGAGCCATGGATAAATCATCGCAAATTTCTGAGTTAAAGTAAGAATGACGGTCACTCTAGGCTCCGGCGCTGCAGTTGTCATGTCGACGGAACGCGGTCCACGACACGCGAAAGTGTCACCAGGTCACGGGGAAAAGTCTATTATCCATATTAGTTCACTTCGTAATTATAAACGTTTTTAGGTAGTCAAGCCTTGCTAGGTCACAATTAATACAATATGCATAGGTCCTCTTATTGAATGAATTTGTTGAGTCTGAAATATGACTATATAAGCTACAAGCCCAGCCGTCGGTATAAATTAATCTGTTACTTATATACATACTAGTACATGATCTCCAGGACCATCTTCACTTTAAAATCAGTTTTTGATATTGTGATTACCTAGATTATTAAGAGCTGACCAATCACTCCTGTAACAAAAAGGCATTTTCGGGTCAAAGATGGCTTTTGAAACCCAGATCAGGTGACCTTGGTTTTCCTTTTCGGGAATTTTTGATGCCGGAGCTCTAACCGTCGCGCAACTTCACCTATTAACCTCTTCCTCAATAAGCTTCGTTCACAATGTGGAAGTCATCAATGCCCACTTACCAGATATTGGAGCCGGCACTCTTCCAAACCAACCGGTGCCTGAGCTGCCAATTCCGCAGCACCAGAGTTCTTCCGAACTTGCGTTCTACACGCCAGTATGCCACCACTGACAATACGAAGAAGCCAAGTGATGCTAGCAATGCCGAATTCAAGATCTCCCCTCGCCCACAAAGGGAGACACAACCCCTTCGACGCTCTATCCCATTCCAACAAAACCCTGCCCCAGTTCCCAAACCATCTTCCAAGCCAGGCGATCCGGACTTCGTACCTCCAGTCCTGAGTCGTCCGATCGGCGCACTCGCTCCCCCCGAGGTGGGAGAGAACACAGGAGTTGATTCTCGTACAATCAAGGAGCGGCGCGATGACTTCGTCGACTATGATAAGCACATTGCGCGACGGAAGGAACTGTATGTGCCGAATAGCCCCGACTCTTCTATTGCTCTCCTGCAACAGCCCAAAGTTATACCCCAATGATTGCGTCTAGAAAACTAATTGGAACCTTTCCGTTGCAGAACGCGACAAGTCGCAAAACCTTACTTCCGCGAATGGAACAACTTGCAATACCACAAGGGTAAAACCTTCATCTCGAATCCACGGCTTTTCCGTGCCGACAAGGCCCTCTACTTCCCCAACATGCGTGGCATAACCCTCGCCTCCCCGAAAGATCCCCAAGATACCACAGCTATCCTCCGCGGTAAAGTTAGCGTCGTCAACCTCTTCTGCAGTTTGTGGGGCGAGGAACAAACGACCACATTCACGGGCAATTTCGCAGGCACAGACAGAAACCCGGCCCTGAAGGAATTACTTGCGAAGAATTCAAAGTATGCGCAAAGAATCGATCTGAACCTCGAGGAAAATCGCATGAAGGCGTGGCTGGTGAAGCGGTTCTTAGGCGGCGTGCGCAAGAAGTTTCCTGTCGAGCAGCACCCTCGTTACTTCTTGATTGAGAAAGGATTTGATGAATCGTTGAAAGAGGCGGTTGGGATGGTGAATAAGTTTGTTGGTTATGTTTATCTCGTTGATGCAGATTGTCGCATTCGGTGGGCAGGCAGTGGACCGGCTCATCCCGACGAGTTGGAGACCATGCATGCTGCATTGGAAAGATTGATTGCTGAGCAGAAGGCTGCTGTTGAGTTGCAGTCGTCGACTCCTCGTTACTAAGTGAGAAAATGGGCAGGGCCTACGGCCTGTGCTGCATCTGTGTAAGATTTTGTGGGTATACTGTGATTCCCCTCTCCATTTGAATTTGTACATATAATAGAGAATGTGTATAACAGAAGAAAATAAGAAACATGAGACACCATCACAAATCAAGCGCAATATTATCATAATTCCTGTCGAACAAGGGTTCCACTGCGAAATGCCCAAACCCGGACGCCTCAATGAAAATAAGCTGAAGATACAATAACCTTGGAAGTCGCTGGACGGCTATAACGGGAGTAGGAGAAGATAGAAGGCAAATTGATAAAGGGCGAACCCAGCGCCCTTACCGGAAGTAAAGTACCATCAGGAAACAGAACCCGATGAAGCATCCCAGAATAATCGCATCTCTCCGCTTCTTCGTCCCAATCTTGCTCATGAGATAATTCATACCAGGAACATGACTAGCAGCACCAACAATGCGCCGGTTAATACTGGCCAGAGTTTCGCGCTGCACACCAAAGTTCTCGTTGATCGCATATGCCTGGCTTAGGACACCGTCCATCATATTGTGGCTGTTCTCAACCCTACCGCGCTCCTCGAGCATATATTCAGCCTCGGCGGCACTGGGATTTGATGCGCGATAGGCATCGATGTCAGAGCGCACATTATGGAGAAGATTGGCACGGTCGCGTGCCTCGGCGATGGCTGAAGTCAGCCGCTGGAGCTCACGGCGGTGGTCCTGAAGGACTTCGCGGTGGCGGGAGAGATTACTCTGTTTAAGAGCGGAAGATGTGAGGGTAGCTTCGGAGTCAAGGAGGCGAGAGAGTTGAGCAATTAGGGCGTCACGCTGTGGAGAGCATCAGCTAGCCGTTACATATCGTATTGGCTTGGGATGATGGGGACCTACTCGTTCAAGGAGGTCTTTCAGTTGTGATTCAATCCGCAGTTCCTCTTCTGTTGGTTCTGGTGGAGGTTTTGTAAGAGAAGCGAATTGTGCGTAGGTATGGAAAAGATTTTCGGTCTGTTAGAAGCTCCAAGTCAATGTTCTGTCCTATCTGAGATGCCTCGGCCAGCTCGACCGGGTTGAGATATAGGTACCTGGGTCTCGAGGGAGCGGGCTTGCTGGCGAAGCTGCGCCCAGCCGGAACTTGTGGACGTCATGGAAGGCAAGCTATCGTAAAATATCCGCAGGGATTTTCAAGCTCTTCGTTATTTGGACAGTTCTCCTCAATTGTCAATTCTCACCCCGGACAATCCAGAGACGACGTAAGTGCACCGCCTGACCTAGCCCGATACGGAAGGCCCCTTTTTGCCTTGTGGCCTGAATTAATGACACCTTATATTCTAGGCAAAAACTGTCCAAACTTTGGTGGTAGTCACGTGCCCAATTTTTAGTGCGGCCAACTCGCTTAGCCCTAGTCCCACAACCACAATTTGATTGACTCGGACGTCTTCAATTCTCAACGCCGACAACCCAGCACACCCACCAGTCACCATGGTATGTCGTTACGCTATCGCTACACCGGAACACCGCAGCTGATCGTTTTGCTTTTTCTAGTCGTCCAAGGTCAAGACTGCTCAGCTCTGGGGCAAGAACAAGGAGGAGCTCTCTCAGCAGCTCGAGGAGTTGAAGACCGAGCTCAACCAGCTCCGTGTCCAGAAGATCACCAACGGTGCTTCTTCCAAGACTCTGCGGATGTGCGTATTCGACCGACATTCCTATTCCAACGATTCGACTTGCGAGGGGGACCGAGGGGGTTGTGTGATCAGGCGGCAAACATCGAAAGAAAAAAATCTGGAGATGAGGCAAATCTTCAAGAACACTACACAAAACACCATCAACAACATACCGACGCACAATCCCCAATGGAACCGGCTCGCATGGAGAATATTCGTGGAAATATGAAATCTTGAAATTTCGGAAATACTAACTTGCGGTTCTTCCACTATACAGCCACGACGTTCGCAAGTCGATCGCCCGTATCCTCACCGTCATCAACGCCAACCAGCGCGCCCAACTGCGTCTGTTCTACAAGAACAAGAAGTACATGCCGCTCGACCTCCGCCCCAAGCTCACCCGTGAGCTGCGCCGCAAGCTCACCAAGCACGAGGCTACCCGCACCACCGAGCGCCAGCGCAAGCGCGAGATCCACTTCCCCCAGCGGAAGTACGCCGTTAAGGTATGAGATTTCCCATGCATACGCCTGTTTTTAGGATGTTGTTTTGCCGCTGGATGTGGTATGGTGTGGATTTATGGGTTTACTTGCTCTGAATGCCCCACTACACCACTCCATCTTTCACTACTATAACTCAATCGGCAATGGACTTGGATACCCGGAGCAAATACTGACCTTTTGAACAGGCTTAAGTAAAAACTTGATGGATCTGGAGTTTGTGGGAAGACGCTACTTGCCCTTGGACACATAAAACAGGACGTGTGAATGGACCTGAAACCTCGCGGCGGGGTCGATTTTCTCTTTTTTAATCCAAAAAATGGAATTTGATTATGTATCTTAGGTGGATGCAAATTGACTCTTGACATGACATGACTTAGACTTTCGAGTTTCCAGAACTGCCTCGGTGTGGATGTAGATTTGAGACGTATTCAACCATGGTCCCGAGGCTCTGGATTTGAAAGTGATCTTAATACCTGTACTTAGGGATATCTATTCCTTAGGGTCCCCATCGAAGGTTTCAATAGGATGCTCTCCCTTGGATACGATACCCCCTACTCTGCATTTTGAATCTCCATTCGATGCATGTAGGTTGAACCAAACAGTCCAACCCCTAAAAGAATTCATTCAACACGAAATTGGGAATCTAAACGAAATGCAGACTTTACAACCCCAATGCAACAGCAACATCACCCGGCTTTAGGCATGCTGCCCATGCGACAAATTATTCCCATCCCTCTCGCCAGGTTCGGACTCTAACATCCACATGCCCCCACACGGACAACAACGCAACATATTCAACTTGGCAACCATCTTAAAATAAGTCAAAGACTTAGGCAACGCCGCATCACCAGAGACCTCACCACAGCGCACACATCTCCGTCTCTTCTGCGGCTGAACAACTCTGCCATTCCGTCCAACAGCGAGCGGTGGTCGCAGGGGGACTTTCTTCAGGATATCAACATCCCTGTGTCGGCGGTACATCGCTGTGCGGGCATCGGTCCCAAAACCAAGCCAGCTATAGTCGCCCAGAAGGATGTCTTTGCGGTTAATTTCTGCTTTCATTGAGGGAACTGTTTGCCTCAGGAGTGTTGCGACAGCTGTCACGAGGACGGGTGGAATGCGTGCGTTGATGAGCAGTTCCTTCTCAGGACCGGGTCGTTCTGCATCGCCGAAGCCGGAACCTTGGTAGGCGTGTTTCACGGCGGAGTCGACGCCTGCGAGGAATTTTTCGTAGACGTCGATGCGGACGGGTGAGGACTCGAGGATTTGACATATCTCGGTGTAGTAGGCTCTTGAGACGCTGGGGAGTGTTGCTGGGTTCGTTTGTGTGAAGCCGCTGTGGACGCCGCGAAGACCACGGCAGACGAAGCGGAGGAAGGCGCGGGACATGCTGGAGATGAGGATGAGGAGGGGAACGGAGTTGACGGTTTTCACTGGATATTAAGTAGGTAAGTGATTTGTTTTTCTGATGTGGTTGAGGATTGTGTATTTACGTTTCTGGGTGAAGGCCTCTTGGTCGGTGAACAGAGTGTCGAACTCATCGGCGAGGTCGAATGCCTCGCTCAAGATGAACTGGATGAAGTCTAGAACCCATTTAATATTGCCCAGAAGCACTCGGAGGATTTCTTTGAACTTGATTAGCTATATTTTACATTAGTATGAGATAAGATCTTACCTGGATCATGTGCCTCGCCCTGGCCTTTATTCCCATGTTGGAAAAAATATGCTATTAGGACAGCGGCATGGCGAAGCTGAAGAATCGCCCATGGAACAGCAGATGAAAGGCTTCGGCGCTTAAGTTTTCCCTTGAAGCCCAGTGCAGCCTGCAGACTTAGACATCGAGGAATGTATGGATGGGCCATGAGCTTCTCGGTTTCAACGGTCCAGTTGACGTTCACTGGCAAGGCCCGATATACTTCGCCGCTGAATGTCGATTGGGCCTCTTTTGTCATTGTTAGCTGCTTTGCAAATGCCATTTGAAGAATTATTGAGACTAACCAGGTGTGAGCTGCCTTAGAGCAACCATGAGAATATCATCTGTGTTCACCTCGGCGCCGCATCCACGACTGAAAGCAAGGGTGAGTGCCGCAATAGCGCATGAAAATTTGCCTGCGATTTTCATATTAGTGATGTTTATTTACTTATATTCGGATTTCAATACATACTGTCATCATAAAGGCCATCGTTGGATCCAAATGGGTGTTCCATCGTCCTCAGATGTGTTTGTCCTTCTGAATCCAGCGCTATAGCAGCGCAGGAGTTAGGAGAGAAGGCAATTGAAATACCTATATGAGTCAGATATGTCACATATGAAAGAAGCTAGCAATGTTTCCCCCAGACATACCGGCTGAGTCCATTGGGAACTGGAAGCCTGCTTGAGCCAGGCAAGTCACTGTGCTGGCATCGTGCAATCCATTAAAGACAGCCATTGTCCGTGTGTCATAGAATGCGATCGAACTGTCATCATGCGTGACAGCCAGAGCAGTTCCATGTTCCACTATATCCACTGACACAATATATTTATCGCAGTGGATGTCGTCTAGCCGACGCAGCTCCATTTTGGACTTGTATATGTCAGCTGGCCTTCTTACTATCGAAACTTGGGTGACGATGGTGCATACCTTGACTTGAGCATTGCTCTTCTTCGGTGCAACTTCATCAAACTTGGGATGGAAAACCTGAGAGGCAGTTTCCAATTGCCATCGAACAATGACACTAGGAGGCCCTTGTTGATCTGGATATTCAGGTGTGGCATGAAGTGGCTTGGCAAATACAGCTAGGATCCAAGGACTAGCCGTTGATCCTGTTGGGCTATCTATTTGACCAGGCATAATCTCCAGCCAAGTCAATGAATAAATGGAATTGTGAAACGGTAATGGATGGTCCGCATGTTCCCCAGACCCCTGATTGACATTAAAGATGCTGCTTGGCATGTCAATCTTGCAATGCTGAAAGGCGAATGATGGAATGGGAAATTGGATGGGCTGTTTCGCTTGAGCGTTGTCCCATTGTGGTGGATTCCAGGAAATTTGTACTCGGTATAGGCATATTTTTTGGCATACCGAGTAGGTTGTAATCAAGATACCAGCTATTCAATTTGTTAGTCGGTGACCTAGACAGGGGTAAAGGAAAGGTCTAACCTTGAGTTGCAACAATCGAAGCATGAGTTAATAGCCTATCTGAGTACCCAGTGCTCTTCAGCTCTGCGGGCAGTTCAGCCCATTTGCTGTCTGGATTCTGGAATATAAGCCGGATCTGGCCTGCTCGGGTCACACAGATCAGGGCATTTTTATTGGCAGGATGAAAGGGACCAATTGGACGACGACGAAAGGGCGAGTAAGCCCATCGGCCATTGACCTTGGCCGCTTGGTGAAAGGCATGTACCTGGTCACTGCATCAGAGAAGTATCATATATGCCGGAAGGGGGCATAGCCAGCTCACCATTCTTTGAGTATTAAGCCACATCATGCCAACGATTTGATTACTATCATCACTGGAATCGAAATGAGTCTGTCTAACAGCCGTGATACTGTTCAAGGCTATTGAGACTGAATATATGGAGATCCGTCCAAGGCAGTCTACGACCGCCATTTCGGAGCCCGTCTCATTCCAGGACAGGTGGACGAGCGAAGTACCGCCATGGGCCTCGGTGACGGCGGTGAGTGGAGTGTCTTCACTTAGGACCCATTTTCCATCTGAGGGTCTACATTTCAGATGGCACACATTGACTCGTAGGCCATCTGCGGATATATATGCGATACATCCCAGTCGGGACCAGGCAATCTTCCTAGACAGGGGGTCAGTATATGGAAGGATTACGTCACGATATGAACAAAAGAACGAAGAGACATTGGGACTTACTGGCGGCATCCTAAGAGACGCATCTCATCCTGGCATTGTGCTAAGCCTTTGGTCGGGGGTGGACCCGCAGTCAGGCCCAGCTCGAGGGAGCCGGATTCCCCAAAGAGATCGTCGACATTGAGGCCCTCTTCCATGATCAATGGCATTCTGTGGAATTAATACCGGTCAAGCACCTGAGGACACATTCAAGCAGTAGACGAATAGATTTCAGCACCGCATAACTTGAATTGTTGTCGATCTAGACCGGCCCTGATAGAAGATGTCCGGGCGGCTCCGTTGGAGAGGGGGGAAATCAACCAAGGACCAAGTGTCAGCCGCACCAAATCGATAGAACGATATCAAAGAGACGTTTCACTATTTTTCCTTTGGGGTTATGTAAATTTTTCCTTGGAAGTACCCAAGAGATATAAATCTAGATCTTTCAATACAATCAAATGTTCCCTTTCACCCTAATTCGTCACGCGATCTCGATACAGCTTAGTCACCAATATCAGGTGACGGGTAGCCCTGCCAACCAAATTTGACCAATCACGAGACTGTATTCATCTCCACATCTCATTACAACCAATCAACACGTTCGTTGCAATATCCAAATCGACGGGAGAGAAAAGCACAATGCGAAGTTGAAAACAGAAGATGTGAAAAAGAAAACAAAGTCGAAAACTCTGCGGGATAATGTCGGTAATGGTGATGTAAAATATACAAAAGCCCCGTTGAAATTGAAAATCCATCTATACACTAGTTTCAGTTCAGATGAATCCCAGACTATGTAAAGTATAGCTAATCCGGAGAAAAATACGTTAAAACGTTCTTTCCCCCCAATTCCGATGTTACTTCGAAAAGCGCATCATCGAATCATCCCGCACTTCTTATTCGCCCAACATACCGGGGTTTTTTGAGGCATCATTGCGTTGTTCGTCACAACCACATTCCTCAAGTTCGTAAATCCCAAAATCTCCGCAAACTCGGGCGTGGGTCAAAACAAAGCTTTTCGATAATCGGCCCGTTTCTTCTGGGACTTTTTCTTTGTGCATTTTCTCTTACCCAAATTCCTACGATAATATCGTTTCCCCCCGACAGCTGACCTCATCGCAAATCTCCCCTTTCCAACCCTGGTTCCTTCCATCCTTCGCTATCTACCCCTACTACCCTACGACCATTGAATTTTTATCTTTTCTACCTCCATTGACCTGTGGTGTCTACTGTTCTGTTCCACATGAGTCTCTGATTTACGATTGTCGTGATTTGCGAACCTATTCGCCTTGAATAGGACCCTCTCCGATCCCCATCTACCTGGCCCCTCCCAATCTGCTCGACCACAGGGGCATAGGTGCTTTAATCCTCAACCTTTTACCTCCACGGAAGGATCCTTACTCATCATGGAGTACGAGGTATCAGACTGTTCGGATATCAGCTCCTTGGCCTCGTCTCCGCGCTCTTCGCCGGAGCCAGCGGCCCGGTACCTGACGCCGTCTTCCCAGGATGAGGATTCTACGCGCCAAGACTGTCCTCCCGCCAAAAAGAGGAGAGGCAATCCCTTACCCAAGGAGCGCACCACCCAGCATCTTAACCTTGCCCGATCATCCGAGACTCAAAAGGACCAGGCTAGATTACTTGTTGAAACCCTCCGTCACCAAAAAGATATTGTCGTGATTGCCGGAGCTGGCATCTCCACCTCCGCCGGCAGTAAGTTTTCTCCATCCGCATTTGACCTTTTCGGACGCCACAGCTAACCTTCGTATATAGTTCCCGATTTTCGCTCCGCAGATGGTCTTTTCAAGTCTTTACAGAAGAAGCACAATCTGAAAGCCTCTGGTAAACTTCTGTTCGATGCTGCTGTCTACCAAGATGACGCCTTGACGGCGCCCTTCCACGAATTGGTCCGGTCGCTTAATATTGAGTCCGAAAAGACTACACCAACCAAATTCCACCAAATGCTTGCCCGGTTGGGCAAGGAGAATCGCCTGAAACGCCTGTACACCCAGAACATCGACGGAATCGAGACATCTATGGCGCCGTTGCAAACGGAAATCCCACTCAACATCAAGGGCCGGTGGCCGGTCACGATCCAGCTTCATGGCAGCATCCAGAAAATGGTGTGCCAGAAATGCCGTTTCACTTCCGATCTTGACCCTAACATGTTCCTCGAAAACGACCCCCCAGAGTGCGGCCAATGCGCAGAGAACGATCAAGCCCGCCGAATTGCTGAACAGCGCAGCCATGGCGTGGGGCGTTTGCGGCCACGAATTGTACTATATAACGAACACAACCCCGATGAAGAGGCCATCACCTCTGTTATGAATTCCGACCTCAAGTCTCGCCCTCGTGTGCTTGTTGTTGCGGGTACTAGTCTGAAAATTCCTGGGGTTCGCCGGCTCGTGAAGAGTCTCTGCGCCACGATTCGGACCCGCAAGGATGGTGTAACCATGTTTATCAACAACGAACCCCCGGTTGGCAAGGAGTTTGAGAATTGCTTTGATCTTATTGTGCAGGGCTCCACTGACGAGGTTGCGGACCTGGTGGGACTGAAGAACTGGGAAGATTCAACCCCTTACGAATCCTTGTTGCCAGAGCCTGTATTCGGAACCAAGGAGCAGACTCCAGACTCAGAAGCCTCCCTCTCGGAGACGGATTCCAACAAGGTCAAAGTTATTATTAGCACACCAAGGAAGAAGCGGCCCTTCGCCGAGACCGGCCTGCTCACACCTTCAGCCAGTAACGATGAGAAGGCAGAGCTCCCGGTCAAAAAGGCCGCCAAAATCAAAAACCCGGCAAGCAAGGGTACCTCGATCAACGATATGCTCGGCATCAAGCCAAAGAATGAGCCAGCCAAGGGCCGCAAGAAGGCCACCGCAACTGGAGCCAAGAAGGTTGTTCGCGGCAGAGCGACCCAGACAAAGGCGACACAGGCAAAGACGAAGCAGATCTCCAAGTCCTTCACTGTTGGCAAGTCTGCTACCGTTGGCAAGTCTGCTAATGGCGGTAAGCCTGCTACTGTTGGTAAGCCTTCTGCTGTCGTTGTCTCTGTGAACAAGTCAGCCGCACCCAAGGCAAAGGCCTTGACTGCCGTATTTCCCAACCTTCCCGGCAAATCTGCCGATATCGACGCGTCTGGCAAAGGTATCGATACCATTGATCCACCAGTCACTCGGGCGTGCCGCGCCTAAGCCTAAGCACAGTCTCCATGTCCTTGATGATGTCTCATTTCTCTTTATCTTCACTTCGTTCATCACTGCATGATACATGGTCAAGATGGCGCTCCGGCCTTTTTATTTTCTTCTTTCCCCTCTTAGGGGCCTTTTTCCTTTTGCTGCTTCTTCCGAATGTCTGTGGGAAGAGGTTGGCTCTCGTTTTTTCTCCTCCTTCTCGAAAGATACCAATGATAGACTACGGTTTTATGCATAAGGTGGCGCTGGCGTTTGGGGTTTGATGATTAGTGTTTCGATAATTGCTGCTGGTGCTTGAAGGGCACTGGATGGAAGCAAGTGGTGTATTATCTTGCGATAACTCCAAGCTAGATTACAATTCTAACTGATGTCATAATTTGGATTGGATATTTCATTACCGAGCTTATTCATACAATGCAAGTCGAGTTCTTGGGTGTTAGTGATCCATACGTTCCTGGATATATATTTTTACAACATTGAATTTCACACCCGAAATCTTCCAACTCGACCTGATTTCCTTTTATATTTTAGGTACCATTTCAAGTATGTAGCATAGAGAGCACTTGAGCATGAAAGCATTCATCATTATTGAGAGTATATATTATACAGCGATTGCAACCTTGAACCTTGGACTGCTGCTACAGCATGGCAACCTCTTAGCCACCCTTACAATTTCAACATCCAAGTCAATATTAGCCAAGTCCCAGATCATCACGCAGCTGGCTAGCCGGTCCGTCATCATCATCCGTCTCCTCTGCATCCGGATCGGTAGGTCTAACCATCCCATCCAAATCCTCCACCCGATCAAGATCCTCATCAATCTTCTTCTGCGTATCTTCTTCTGCATCTTCGTCATCCTCCTCCTCTTCATCCTCATGGTGAACCTCCTCTTCCTCCTCCAACTCCTCTTCCTGCGTCTCATCCCCATCCTGCACATCCACCTCCTCCCCATCGCGCTTCACCCTCTTCGCAGGGTTATCCACCATATCGACATCCTCGTCCGCACCAGCACCGACCTTATCACCAGCAGCTACCTCCCCAGCCGCACCGTTCACATCGGACTTCTTGGCCTTCCGCTTTCCAGCCTTAATCTCCGTGTATGCCTCAAGCTCCTTCTCTAGGCGCTCGCGGAAGGAGTCGAACTCTATTTCTTTGAGGGCGGCGAAAACGTCTGCGGGCGCGAGGGTTTGTTTCAGGGTTGCCTCATTGGCACTAGTTTTTATGTTAGACAAGAGGCATACAACCCCCGGGGTAGGATTGGGATTGGAGGGTTTGTAATATGATCGTGGAAAAGCATACTGTGAAGATAGATACGACACGAAAACCGTAGCAGCCTTCTGAATAGCAAGCACGGCGTCCTTTTGGATTGTGGTATTGGGTGGAAGCACAGATTTGGCAAGACGGATGGTTAACGAGCGAGGGAGGAGGTAGTCCTAGATATTCAGTTAGCAACCGACGTATCCACTTTGTTTCAGCATAACTATGCTCGACTTATTGTATGGAGCTTCCTTGTTCTTGTTCGAGATGATATGGCAGGGAGTTGTATGCTTACATCGACGCTGACACCCAGCTCAGCTCGTGCCTTGAGCTGCTGCTCCGTCGCGGTAATGGGCTTGTCAGAGGTGCTCGGTGCCACGGGTGACAGCAGAGATGTCTCATCTGGGTCCGCGGGAGTCACCGAGGACGTAGATTTGCGCGGTGGCATGTTGGATGTGGTCTGTGGGAGCTTGCTTTTTCCCAGTCTCGTATAGGAGCGGTCAGGTGGATGGTGGGAGATGGGTGGAGACTAGGTGGTGATAAGTGATTGCAGTTTTAGTCCCGTCCCTGGGTTGAATTGGAGTTCTTATGGACGGTCCTTTAGTCGTTGGGAAATTGAGGTTGGACGACGAGTGGCGAGTGGATGAAAACGCGAAAGCCGCGTCGCGCTGGCGGTTAAGGATTGGCGCGGTGTGGGGACTGCAGGGCCTCGTTCCAATAAGTACATTTGCACTTGCTTAAGGATACACTATTGAATTTTATTCTTTTCTTTCCAAGTTTTTGTACTAGGTGAATAGTGCATACTGTGATTTAATTGTAGTAATCACCCTGCAGTCTATCATGCAGTACATGTGAGATTTATTGACAAATGCTTCGATTGAAAACTAGAACATCCATATATGAAAACGCCTTTTTTTGGTATCCAAAGAAATCGAAAACGAGAACGGCTGATATCGTTATGGGATAGGACACGAGACAAAAGCCATTTACTCGGCCATCTCGTCCTCATCACCCTCGCCATTGCCCCAGAGGCCCTCGATCTTGAATTCCTTGGCCCACTCCGTAACGACACGGGTGGTGTCCGCAGCAGGTCCAGAATCGACGGTCTTACCAGCATCAACAACAGTGTTAACGGGCAGAACAGGGGCGTTAGCCCAGCCTTGGATACGTCCGTCTCTCCAGTCATTGATCACAGTCATGGCGGCACTCTCGATGTTCGGCACACCGCCCTTTCCAAGACGACCGCGTTTGCGGGCCACCTGGATCAGGAAGTCGGTAGTCTTGTCACCATTTGTCGGGAAGAGATGGGTAATGCCGTACACCTCAAGCATCTTGCCGATCAGGTTCTCCGATGCAGAAAGACGCTTGACTAGCAAGTTGACCGCAGGAATGGGGTCCTCGATCTGCTTGGGCGGGATAGCGTTCAGCAAAACCAGGCGAGCCTGCTCATTCTCCTTGGACTTCTTGCTGGTCTTGCCGTTGGCGCTGGGGAAGACAATACCGGGCGAGTCGATCAGCTTGAGCTTGTTGTCAAGCTTCACCGAGCGCAGGCTAGTGGTGACACCGGCCTCGGCACCGGTGGGGCAGGCATTGCTTGAGCCCTTGTTGAGACGAGCGGTAAGAGCATTGATAACGGACGACTTGCCGACGTTAGGGTAACCAATAACACCAACGGAGATAGCCCGCTTCAACTGCTTGCTGTGTGCGTAGGACTTGAGAGCGCGGAAAAGAGTATCCGAAGTACCCTTGACTGTCAACTGCTTGTGGTCGAAACTGTGGGAATTGCCTGCACCGTTGGATGCCTTCAGAGGAAGGGTAGGGAAGTATCGGCGCAGGTGCACCAGCCAGGCCTTGAGCACGGGAGGCGGCACAAGATCAATCTTGTTCAGAATGAGAATCAAACGCTTAGAGCCACCATCGGCAGCCATGATTTCGCGCTCGATCTCCTTCGAACGAGTACCCTCAGGGTCACGGGCGTCGAGCACATAGAGCACAACATCGGCAGAGTCGGTAACAGTCTTGAAGACCTTATCGAATTGGCGCCGTGAGCTTTCCTTGGTAGGGTTGTGTGCGTCGACCAGATCAGGAACAGCGTCGTTGAAAGTCAGGCCCTCTTCATCGTCCTCATCCATCTCATCCTCGTCGTCCTCGTCCATCTCGTCATCCTCCTCTTCATCGTCGTACTCGGCAGCACGGGCACGTGCCGAGGCAAGAAGTGCTGCCATGGGATTCGACTCATCGCCCTCCACATCCATATCCTCATCCAGATCGTTCTCGTCAATTTCCACACCCGTCTGGTTGCCAGTCTTGGCCTGCTTAGCCTCGACACGGCGAAGACGAGCCTCCTCCCGGATGCGCTCCTGCTCCTCTGCCTTCAGACGCTTCTTCTCCTCGATGTCATGGAGCATCTTGTCCTTGAACGGGAAGAGACTGGGAATACCGGGGTCCTTCTTGAGCTTAGACCGCCATTCTGGGTTCTGTAAATCGAAAGCGTTAATAAATGCCTGTTCCCCGGCGCAAAGAAAAGAAGGAATCCAGAATCACATACCTGCTTCGCGAGCTTTCTCATCTTCTTCTGCTTGGCCACAGAGGACTTTTCAATCTTGTGTCTTAAGCGGACGGGAACCCGCTTAGAGGTCTTGCCTGCAAAAAAAGTTAGACCGGGCTTGAGAGAATTTTGTTGAGCCATGAAGAGTATATCCTTACCGAAATTGTTCTTAACCATTTTTCCTGTACGCCCAGCTGGAGTGACAACAGTGGGGTGAACTGGTAATTTGACTGGTACTTCAACAGCGGCTTCGAAAAAGTTGGGTGCCAAGACAATACAATATTTCGATAAGCGGAAAATCAGTTATGCCGATCACCGGTGGAGATATGCAAATCGTGCAAACATGCGGAACGCCTATCGCATCCAGTAGGAGATCCGCCTGTCCCTCTGTGACATCGTAGATATATTCCGGTTCTTGCACTTTTAATCCCTGATCTGTCGTTCAAATCGCATAGAAGCATTGAATATTAAGCCTCTCCACTCAATACTTGGACATTTCTCTCTTTTCACTTCCATTGTCCACTAGCCCTTCCGGAATATATCTTCAAATCACCCCTCACCCCACCATGTCAGGGTCTTTCTCCGCGCCCCCGCAGGTTCACACCTTCGACGGGCTTCTCTCAGATTTCGATGGAACAATCGTGGACTCCACAGATGGTGCGTTTATTGACTATAATTTGAGGACGCCTGTAGCACTGGAGGCTAATACAATACCCAACCTTCAGCTATCGTGAAGCACTGGCATGAGTCAGTACCCCACAGCCAACATCGATAACTATACACAAAGGAAATTAACGTGATTTACAATGTAGAATTGGCGCTGAGCTGGGCGTGGATCCCAAGACAATTCTGGCCACCTCGCATGGCCGGAGAAGCATTGACGTGATGCAACTATACGACCAGACCAAGGCCAACTGGGAGTGTACGTTTTACGCATTGATACCCGTGGACCACTGAGGAATGTCATATCATCTTTCGCGACTTAACTAACCTAATATTTAACTCAGATGTCAACTACATTGAAGGTCAAATCCCTAAGAAATACGGCTCCGATGCTACCGAGATCCCGGGTGGCCGTAGCCTTATCGACGCACTCGAAACCGCCGGCGCAAAATGGGGTGTTGTTACATCTGGCACTTCTGCCTTGATCGACGGCTGGCTAGGCGTCATGAAGCTCGCCCGTCCAAAGGTGCTCGTCGTCGCCCAGGACGTGGAGCTCGGCAAGCCTGATCCCCGGTGCTATCTGCTTGGTCGCAAGAAGCTGGGGCTTGAGGACTCGACATCTATCGTTGTGTTGGAAGACGCACCGTCGGGAATCAAGGCAGGCAAGGCAGCGGGATTCAAGGTGATTGCGTTGACAACAACCCACTCACTTGAGTCACTCCAGGCGGCTGGGGCAGACTGGATTGTGGAGGACTTGCGCAGTGTATCGGTGAAGAGTGTTGTGGATGGGCGGGTCCAGATTGAGATCTCGAATGCGTTCCAATAGGTTCGATCATGCAGGGGTCAGAGAGTCATGTGCACCTGGCCTTGCTGCAGGTGCAGTTTGCAGTTGACCATAGACGTCGAGTTTCGAGTTACACAGCATGGAGTGTGGAAGTAGGGCTTCAAACAAGATACTTTGTAGATAAACGTGCACCACAGGTAGTACAGTTTGTGGTTGATCCAGACCCTGCCCTGAGTTTCTGGTCCCGCCTGTACTTTAAGTTCACATGTTATGTTGCACGATGCTTTAATCCAGTCAACTGGTGCTACGTAACATGGATACTAGAGGGTGTTTACCCATTAATAGACTCACAAACATTATTCCTGAAGTCCTTATTCTTTTCTAAATGTAAAATATATAACCAATCTGATTTCGAGATTCAATCAACCACTCAAATCGGGCCCAGATGACGGCATTCCAATTCTAACTGGTGACAACAATGTCGCACGGTGCTCATACCCTCGTTCACGCCCTTTACAGATCGGGAATCAAGTATCTCATTCACCTCATTCATGGTTGTATCTCAAATAAGTAAATACAACCCAAGAGGAACACAAGGCGCGATTGAGGTCTGGGACATCTGGACATCCTGTGATGAGCAAGATGAGTTTCGAGCCCAGACAGCCTGCAAAGATGTGATGACAGCAGCCATTCCTCATTGCAGGGATAGCAGCCAGCGAATCCGGTCCAATGGTACGATATCTCGGGCTTGGCGCGGCTTCGGGGTTCAAAGAAACTCCCACATTGCATGTCCGAGTGCTGCAGTTCAGACTCTTACAGTACATGGCGTGGGTGGCGGACATGAAACGCCTGTAATCAATCCTTGCAGGGCTTGCTTTACACCCTGGTAGGATGACATGATACGTATATACAGTAGCTGTATACAAAGAGAGGGAACTCCCAAAAGGGCAGGAGATATGATTATTCTGGCCAACCACAATCCTAGTAATAATTGCTGCGAACAGCTGTTCATGCGAGCTGAGCGCAGCTGCGGTCCTACTAGAAATTCTGCCAGGATACAACCCCCGAGTTAAGATCTGGTCGAGAGAAGTTTGACCTTAGTCCTTGCGCAGTATATGGAGTAGGCCGCGAGATGATGTTTCCTAGTACCGGCCAGAAGAAAGGTACAAAGTCTGACTCGACGTGGCTGCAGCTTGCTGCAGCTCTCACAGGCTCGTACTCACGAGGAGCCGATAACAAAGCGTATTGTATTGTTGCTATTGGACAGAGCTGAAATTTTACGTGTTTGCCGACGGTGGAGCCCGGGAGAGAAGGGGGAAGAGATCAGAGAGCTCTTCAAGCTTCCCTAATGGTTGATAACGTAGCAGCACGTCCCGGTGAAGAAGGAAGAGAATGCAAGGGATGAAAGTATCATCTTGCGCACCGGGTCCGGAGGAGAAAAGCCGGCTCTAGCGTGCATGGCCCTGAATATCACAAAACCGGGAAAGAGAAAAGGTTGAGCAGGCCATGGCGTTTACTGTAGTTTTGCTCTTTCAAACCGGGATGTTCTTGGAAAAATTGCAAATAGACTTGGAGGATCATCAAAACGAAGTAGACCCTTGAAAATTCACCGATTGACTTTTTTCACGTTTGCTTTTTCATGTTTTCTTTTTCTTGTTGTCTTTGCCCCTCAGGATTGATACAACGGCACTCTGTATGCGTGATGGCAAATGTGGCGGGCGACAATCCCATCACATAAAAAAGCAAGTTTTCATTCTTTCTTTTTTTGCAGTTCCGATCTGGACCACAGCATCGGAATACAGAGTGAATCGAACGGGTCTGCGTACGAGCGGATCCAGCGGACAGTCCCGAGTACATGGATTTTCTCCTCTTCCCTGTTCATCTGCATGCATTCAACCTTGCTGGACTGGGCCATTGGTTCTAGCCTTTGACAAATACAGTGAGCTGCATAGATTCCCTGCTGCCTGGGGGTAGTCACGCACCGCCACACTTTCAGATCAGCCACACCAAGGGAGGGGTGGTGGATCTGTCACATCACGGTGATCATAGTTCTCTCGAAAGAAAGACAAAAGGGCTAAACAGAGAAAGCATCAGCTTCAGCCACCATGTAACAGACTATTGTCACCGAAAAACCCCGAGTCCACTTGAAAAATGACACAATAATCCCAGGGGCTTTGGGGAGTGGGGGAGTCGGAGAACGGAATCACAGCTCCGAAAAAGTCGATCTTGAGGATCCCCCAAGTTTTGCCAAGGATCAACATGTTGCTGTCACACCCAAAAACCTTTGGCTATGGTCATCACTCCAGAGCTTTTGCCAAGTATTTCGTACTCTAGAATCGGAAAGGTCGGGGAATATTCTGGTAGATTTCCTAAACCTCCGTGCTTTATTGAATCCTGTTGAGGCATCTTGGGGGAAATCTAACACGCTATTTCCTTTTATCAACCCTATTGCCCCCATCTTTTCCTGCTTTCGCTCTCGTTTTCGATATTTGAGATTTTTGTTTCCACTAAAACGGTTCATGCCAGATCCAATCAATAGTCGGATGGGGCCAAGGGATCCGTGCGGGCGCGCGTTGCAGATCAAATCCAGGGGCACGTCAAGGGCAGATCCTGTCCACCCCTAAAACTAATCCTAATGCGATTATCCTAATGACGGAGATGACGGGGATCCATGGCATGGGCCATGATTTTCGCCATGCACGCCATAGTCACTCCTATCCCTAGTGGTTCAACTCCGCGGGGCATTCAGGGCTTCTCGATTCGGCCGGGGTCATAGCACACAATCCCGAACTATTCCTATCGCCCCGGGTTTTATCTACAAACACATGGCTTTGTGGAACTGTGGAGTCCTTGGAATGAGAGGGGGGACAGCGCACACCATTCCTCTTGTGAATCTGAAAATTCGCAAATCCGTGAGTCCGTGAGTCCGGAAACCCAGTCAGTAGTGAGGGGAGGCTTTTTTTTTAATATTTTTTCCCCTATGATTTGCAACACTGATAGGCGCCCTAATGCACGTGAAGCTATCAAGGTGTCTATATGTACTCAGCCGGATCGTCACGAGAAAGTCGATCATTGCGATGGGTGTAGCCAAAGTACAAGATGGGACACAAAGTTTGGTGGCAGCAGTAGCACCAGATGGCCACGTTGTTGCTCCATAACAAGCGTGGGGCCACTGGTTCCAGTCTTGAACCTTCACAGCCTCTTTCTCTGCCCAAGGTGGAAATATGGATATTCCCCCTACTCGTGATTCACGATCCTCCCCACTTTGAACTTAGACACTTGACTGGCTAATCGAAACGATCTTCCGAGATTGGAGTGTTCCAGCCTTGATCTTTTTAGGGTAGGAATAGGAGGCGATCATGTACACGAATGAGGGGCGACAGACCTCGTGACTTGTAGAGTTGAGGTTCCGTTAGGCCGCCATGCCCCTCATTTCTAGTGACTATCTATACCGAATTACGGGGGGGAATGGAGTTCGTGGAGGGGCATCCAAGATGAGTTCCCAGATTCTCCTCCATGTGTGACGGTATCAGAGTTTAGGATTGGTTTCTTAGGGACCAGACCGACTCCATAGATTAGACTTTGAGACGTGTACCTTGTGAAACGTTTTTCTGTCAAGTATGGGCATAGTGAAAAGAAGAATATTGCCGGGAAAGAAAAATTTCCTTGAACATGACCGTTGGAACAAAGAGATGGACCTACGAAGTGGAACGTTGATTAGAAATGTAGGGGTATACAACAGCTTGTAACATACATGCCGGGCCAAGCTCTCTAGGTCATACATAATACCGACAGATATACTCCGTAGCTGGGGAGCTTATACCATGCAAGTGGCAGAAAAAAAGAGAAAAGTGGGCATAAGCTAACTCCCCCTCCAACTACTCCGTAGCTTGGATCGCTAATAGCACATCAGGCCTCGTGACTTGGGTGCATGGAGCCTCTCGATTCAAGCCGTTTAGCGCCGTGGACTGGGGCCACACACATCATCGGCAAACCAAGCGGCGAGATTATGCCACTTCCGATCAAACAAGGAGGATCGGAAGAACATCCGGGGGCTCAGGCATTGGTGCTAGTGACAGTGAGGCTTGTATCTTTACCCCATTAACTTCTCACTCGAGGGGGAAACAAAGCTCGGCAGATCCTGAAGTGATCGACGGGATCTGTCGACTATTGATGTTTAGTTCGACTTGGCGTAATGCCATGCGCCCCCAAAACAGCCTAGCGGGGGTCAAAGACTCTTTTCCGTCACCTAGACATTATATGAGCTGACATATAGCTGACGGCAGATTTGCTTCAGGACTCAATAGTGCGTCGAGAAGACATCATCGATGACGATCTTGACCCCGAAATCGACGATACGGAGGGAAGTGTGGTACAATCTGCAATCCTAGGCTCCGATCGTCCCAGATCCCCGGTGACCGGGTATGAAGAAACATCTCGAAGATAACCCTGAAATAACATATTGTCTTATAATAAGTCGATCATTCAGAGGATTTACCATGCAGGCTGGAACACCCGTGACAGATTGCAGGGATGCTCGGGTCGAACTTGGCGCGTTCAGTCATGACCCACCTTTGTCATAATTCCAAAACTTCTTCACACTAAAATTACCTCTAGACTAAGTATAGAGTGGGCGGTGGCTGCCATAGATGATTTCCTTTGCATTGCCCCCCCTATCTTGACTCCACTAATCTTGAATCCTTTTTGTATCGTAGTTACGGAGTAAAATTTGGACTGACTATTAGGATTAGTTATCTTGTTATTTTATTATTTCCCTTGGGCTCAGACATGACGCTAATGCAGGAACTGATCAAGAGCGGGAAGAGAAAAAAGTGACCGGAAAGTAAGTACAGTATGTAACTATTGCCATGGCATCCTAATCAAGGGCCCTTCAAGGCCAGAAATGTAGTTTCTGCAGCCCCTGATAGGATGCCCATAATTACGGGAACAGTCCATGGTTACAGCAAGTTTACCTGCTTTTGGGTAGTTTTCAGGGCTATCACGCTGCACTCCGAGCCGCCCCGCCAGGCATTAACCATGGAACGTCGCGTTTACAGTTTGGTAAGTAAAGCACGCGGAGTTGTATCGTACACGTACTTGGACCCCCGTACCTGAGAAGAAAAACATCATAGTGGATCCATTCTCAAACCGCGGTTGATCAAAGCCAGTACGGTGATTGGTCAAAAGAGTCACTTGAGAGATCCAATTTGCTTAGGGCTGTGGGAAAGGGAAAAAAAAACTGGGTTTTAGACTCGTAAAGTCAACAGTAACCTTTGGATCCGATCCCTTTGGGTTTTTTTAAAGGGGGGATTCCCGGCTAACTTTGATCCATAACCCTATACATTAATACGTTATAGAGATTTGTTTTTGGTTGGGAATCTTTTGGTCATAGAATTTTGTATGTAGTCGGAGACAAGATCGGAATTCTAAGCTGGCCTCGATCGTATGTGTGCCTGTGTAGTCCGAGAGCCCAGGCCGCCACCCCCTAGAAGAACCGCGCGGGCGGTAGCGCGACTCGGGTCAAAAGGGAAAAATAATAATAAATCATATGTGGGGATGAAGTTACTTAGACTAGTATTAATCTAGTAATTTATACTTAATTTCTATTTTTTTTTTTATTTTCAGCCCGCTTTTGTCTTCTCTAGGGAAAGGCAGACGATCAGATCTCCGTATGAAAATATCCCGAATAATTCATGAATTTCGGGGGTTTTGATGGATTTTCCAGTTTCGTTTTAATCTGGGTCTGCACAGACATAAAAATAATAATGAAGAATAAAAGAATAAAACAAAATAAAAAGAATAGAATAATAATCATGTACATATAGAGGAAGAGGAGATATAATCGTACATGTACCTAGTCCCCCAGACCAATCACAACCATCACGGCCCGTCCCCAAGACCCAAGACCGCCCTTTCCTCCAGTTCCTCCTCTCCTCTTTCCCTTCACATCCATTTCGAATTTGTGGCTCTCTTAACGTTCCTTTTTTCTTTTCTTTTTTGTCGCTCCTTTTCGGTTGGCCCACCCACGTCTCTCCTTGAACGCCTTGTTTATAGCTCTACTCGTTTCTTTTTCTACTCGCTGCTTTCCCTCCTTCCCCAAGCACTTCATTGCCACGGGCCCATCACACGCAGACTTTCTGAAACCTCCATGATATACTCGTTCACCTGAGCTATCTATTCTGTCTCGTGCAGCTTCACTTTCCTTTAATTCCCTCCCCCCCTCCCGCCACTTCCTTTTTCTTCCGTATTCACATCTACCTTCACCATGAGCTACATCCACCCCTCATGGAATTATCCTGGCCATTCGGGTCTCCCAATGGACCACACCCTCGCATATGACCCAAGCATGGTCCCTCCTCCCATGATGCACCCCATGGACGGCTACTGCTACCCTCACCCACCTATGGAGATGATTGATTATTACCACCAACCTATCATGGACTACGACGAATACACAGAGAACCTGTCCCGACCACGCTTGACCAAGGAGCAAGTCGAGACCCTTGAGAACCAGTTCCAGGCTCACCCTAAGCCCAGCAGCAATGTCAAGCGTCAATTGGCCGCTCAGACTAACCTGAGCTTGCCTCGTGTTGCTGTACGTCCATTGTTTACTTTTCTGTTTGTCGGCGAGGTACAAGAAGCTAACATATTTACTCACATAGAACTGGTTCCAAAATCGACGCGCCAAAGCGAAGCAACAAAAACGCCAAGAGGAATTTGAGAAGATGCAAAAAGCCAAGGTCGAAGCGGAGGAGGCGGCTCGTCGCAAGTCGGACACTTCGGAACAACTGTCGGGATCTCAAGCTTCTGCTTCCAAGGAGGAGCCAGAGCGATCCCCAACCCCCAAACAACAATCGAGTGTGAAGGCTGAGGGCAGTGCAAAGATCGATGAGATAAAGACACATCACAAAACGAAGAGTGAGTCTGCCCGAGATGCAACCTTCGCATCATTGCAGCGAGCACTGAACGCTGCAGTGGCTGCAAGGGATCGCTTCACAGGACGGGAATCGCGCACCAAGCACGACTCTTCCATTGAAGAAGAAGCTATATCGCCCACAGCCATGGCTCCGCCTAAGGCCCCTACCGCACAAGAGAACAAGGGCCAAGCGTCCTACCAATACCAGGAGTGGCCCGAGGTCAAAGAGTCGGCTCAGTGGGCATCATCTCACGGCCACTCCCTGTCTGAGCTGCCAACCTCCTCGCACTCTATTTCTCAGAATGTGGACGCATTCGCCGGTGCCCAGTTCACTCAGCATGAGGAGTGGGTTGAGACTCCTAAAGACCATATGCATGCTGGACCCGATGGTCTTAGTTACACGAACATGCAATACCCCCTGTCCATGCAGACTCCCGATATCTCCGTCACCCGACGTGAGTCATCTAGTGCTCTTACTGCTTCTTTGGAGGGTATTGGCATTTGTACACCTGGATCTGCAGCTTCGAGCCAGGCTGGAGGATCATGGAAGGGGCCAGGACAAGAGCTTGACCTTGCCGCTCGCCGAAAGCGCCCCCGTCCTGCTGCCATTGGCACGTCCAACACTCGCTCCCTAGCTGCCTCAACCTCTATGTCCTCCCTTTCTCCAACTAGCCGCGTGCCTAGTTCGGGTGCTGGTAACTCGATGAGGCATTCCAAGTCGGCTCAGTGCCTGAACAACAGGTACGCTGGTGTCCGCAAGGCGTCAGCGGCTCAACGGTCTCCTCTCAACTTCACATTTGCCGAGTCTGGCTCCATGAAGTCTACTAAGACTGAGATGTTGCGACCATCGGTCTCAACAACCTTGGCTCCGCCAACTCCATTGACCCCTCAAGACTTCCAGCACTTCATGCCGGCTTCGCCGACTGACAGCTACTGCCTATCCGCGCATTCCAACACTCAATTTTTCCCCTCATCTCAGCCAATGCAAGTGAACATTGCATCACCTCCTACTACTCCACTTGACATCTACTCCCCTTTCACATATCAGAATGCGGCCCCGCCAATGTCCGCTCCGGCTCAAGCTAGCAACTTCCCCGAGTACATTAACTGTGAGCCGGCTCCTATGACGGCGCGCAGTTGGGCAGATACTACTGCTCTCTCCTCGCCGGAATATCCGGCAGGTCTTCAGGTGCCTCACTCCAACAACGTCTCGCCGGTTGGTTTCGATGCTTCCGTTGACCACCGCGGAAATGGCTTTATGGATTCTGTTTCAGGCTCTCCATCTTTGATCTACTCAATTGAGGATGCCGATATGCCAATTTCTGCAGATGTTGAAAGGAAGGCGTCAGAGTATTCAATGCATGAGTTTCACGAGCAGCAAGACGCTCATAGTTTCGCCGCTCACCAGATGGGGTCTGTTCACAAGCCAAAGGCCTATACATTTGCGAACAACTCCACGCCGAGCCGCTACCCCTGATGCAGAGCTACTGTCTCTTCATGGTTGAATGAGAAATGTACCGCGATAAATATGCTTTTGTTGGTCTAGGATGAACGGCTATGCAACTCCTCGTCTCCTGCGATTTGTTTAAATTTTACCCCTTCGCCTACCTACGGGTGGCTTGTCTATTCAACACTCATGTGCGGAGAAACACTGTCATTTTGTTCTCCATTGTTTTCCCTTACATACCTTAGCTTGTTTGATTTCTCTTCTCTTGTCTCTTTATTTGGTGTTATTCCACCGGTGATCTTGTTTACATATTGGGAGCAGATTTTTGCATTGTGTTTATTGGCCTGGGATCTATATTGTGGTGATACGACTTTTTTAATTCTTCCGAGCCCTATGGCTCGACTTTCCCCTTCTTACTTTCGTTTGATACAATTTTGGAACCGGCTCGGCTTTTGGATTGGGATTTGAACTTGCATATTTGGCAGCATTTGGCTATTTTTATATATACTGTCACATACTTATACCTTGACTCTGATATTTTTTGTTAAGTTTCAATTATACAAAAAAGGGGATATTTTCAGAAAACAAAATTTTCCGTCTCATCTCCGAAATCTCTTCAGCCAACAGCCGGCGTAGACCCGCTCATGTGTTTAGCGATTGGTTACGCAAGTCTTGATTATCTGTTATCACAAAAAATTCTGGGTACTGGCGTCTGTTACCGTTAGTGTTAAAAAGAGCTAAACCCGGAGCGGGCGAAGCCGCCGCCAGAATATGTCACACGTGTGCCGAACCATAGGATGTCATAGTTTCTCCGTGATCTCCACTGCGGAGGAACATTCAACACATGGGCACATGGGCACATGGGCACATGGGCACATGGCAAGAAGAATGTTTAACCCGTTGACATTCCTCGGATATAAAAGGTCAGAGAATGTCGATCTTTTCGATTTTAGACACAATTTCTCCTCTACTATACCCAAATGAAGCTCCTGGCCCTCTCTCCGGTCCTGTTGGGCCTTGCCGCTTCGGCGCAAGCATCAACAATTTCCTACACAACAGTGACAGGCTATTTCTTGCAGGATGAGTCCTCGACCGATGCCTCAACATTTGATTACGTATATGCCCCCATCTCATATTCGTCTTTGCGTGGCTAGGATTTAATTGACCTAATGTTCGATCTATAGACTGCCGTGAACTTCGGTCTTCTCAACCGTACTTATCCCACCGACCGTGAGCTTAAGCACTCTGAGTCTCTCACCCAGTGGGAGCGCTTCTACAACCAGGTAGAGAAGTTGAATGATGAGTCCTCAAGCGATGTGGAGTACAAGGTGCTCTTCCTGGGTCGCCACGGTGAGGGTTGGCACAACGCTGCCCAGGATTACTACGGCGACGCAGCCTGGAACGTAAGTCTCCTGTCTCCCTACAAGGCACGATCTATCCCACTGGATAACCAGCCCTAACAATAAATTCAGTGCTACTGGGCCGAGTTGGACGGCAACGACACCGCAACCTGGTTCGACGCCGAACTCACTACTGCAGGTGTTTCCCAAGCCCTAGTCGCCCACGACTTCTGGCAAAAGGAAATCGACGAACAGCGCATCCACACCCCAGACAACTACTTCGTCAGCCCCCTTACCCGCACCCTCCAAACAGCCCACTACACCTTCTCCGGGCTCAACCTCCCCAAGGGCAGCGCCAAATTCAACCCCCTCATCAAAGAACTCTTCCGCGAAGGAATCAGCATCCACACCTGCGATCACCGCCACCCGCGCAGCTACATCCACAACCTCTTCCCCGAATGGCCCATCGAGCAGGGTTTCAGCGAAGAAGACGAGCTCTGGAACGGCGTCACGGCCGAAACGAGTGCTGCGCAGGACGTACGCAGCGCGACTGTACTTGACGAAGTCTTCTTCACCTCCGCATCTAGCAAGAAGGATTCCTTCGTCTCTATTACTTCGCACTCTGGTGAGATCTCTTCTATCCTGAGAGTTGTCGGACACCGCACTTTCAGCTTGAATACTGGTGCGGTTATTCCTGTGCTTGTGCGTGCCGAGAGGGATGCTAAAGCTACGTCTACTACCTCGTCGGTTGCTTGGACTGCTAGTGCTCATTGCACGGTACCTCCTCTTTCGTCCGTTACCGCTTGTGTTTGCCCGTCTAGCGCGACCCCGGTGACGACGCCTTTGGTTACTGATGTTTAAAATGGGTTTCTGGAATCCTATGTATGTGTAGGTCTATGGGTGGAGTGATATTTATGTATAGATAGCTTGGTTTTATTTCAAATATGTCGGGAAAATTTTTTTCGATCTTCAAAATGTTCAATTGTTGTTAGGTCAACTGGTAGATACTGTGAACCTGACCAGGTGAGCAGTGAGGCTGTATGTAGTCGAGTTTTTTACCTTTTAGAATTCAAATGTCCGAATAAGGTTACAATGCCAACGGATCGCAGTGCTGGAAACTTAAATTTTCCTATAGATCTATGCACCATATCGTGTGCAGATTATGTACACTGTACACAATAGTCCACGGGTCCACTGTTCGGTCGCGATACATTCTATGAATCTCCATAGATTACAAAGGAGCTCGAGCTGTCCCCTTACTCTATTAAACTTAATAAATTATATGGTGGTGACAAAGGTTATCACTGAAATTCAACATACAACAGGCAACTGGTCAGTCCGGGATCCAATAATATGAGCCAATCAAAAAACACACGCTCCGCAAGCTGACCAATGTAAAGCGAGAAAAAGGAAAAACCCAACTTGTTCGAGCAAACTGACCAATAATATGCTGCAAAAATACACGCCCCCTAGTAGTATGGGTGTTGATGTTGATGTTGATACCCGGAGATGGCGATGTAAAATTCCCTGAAACTCATACGAGCCTTATGTGTTTGCAATTTAAAGTAATGCCCTCATCTCAAGATATATCGACTTGATCGACGCTCGAGTTGAGGCGCCGAACGACTCACATGCAGATCACGGGGAGCGGGGTACCATTGCTGAAGGGCGAGGCTGACTTGCATAGCCTCCAACTCTGATTCTTGTGGGCTGAACTGTTTCCTTTCACATGGTCATCATTAGTGAGATATAGTTTTCTAGAACTGGCCACTCTTGTTACCATAATATTAGAATTTACGCACGAGAAAAGACAACAGGAATGACGTCCGCAGCGGGACATTTTCGCCATCAAGACTATACGGTCGCCTGGATCTGTGCTCTTCCCTTGGAGATGGCTGCAGCTGCGGCTATGCTGGACGAGCGACATCATGACTTACCGGCGAGGCCAAAGGATGATAACGCGTACATCTTAGGCCGGATAGGTGGTCATAATGTGGCCATTGCGTGCCTCCCATTGGGAGTTTATGGAACAATCTCCGCCACAACAGTGGCTACACATATGCAGTCCACTTTCAAATCGATACGATTCTGCCTTATGGTAGGTATCGGAGGGGGGCTCCAAGTAGAAAGGCTGATATTCGGCTGGGTGATGTGGTGGTTAGCAAGCCAACAAGGGACTTAGGAGGAGTCATACAGTACGATTATGGGAAAACAGTGACTGGTGGCCGCTTTGAACGCACTGGCATATTAAATAAACCCCCAACAGTGCTCTTAACAGCGATCTCGAGACTACAAACAGAGCATGCATCGAAGCCAAGCAGAATTCCTACTCTTCTTTCCGAGGCGGTCGCTAGGAATTCTAGGATGAGAGAGAGGTTCACATATCGCGGAGAATATCAGGATCTATTGTTTGATTCTGAATACGACCACCCTGATCCAGACCCAGAAAGTACTTGTAACGACTGCGATACAAGGAGACTCATAAGACGACCTGCTCGAGCTAGCCATGATCCGGTTATCCATTACGGTCTGATTGCCTCTGGCAATCAAGTGATAAAGCATGGCCGCACCAGGGATAATTTGACCCGAGATCTTGGCATCCTTTGCTTTGAAATGGAGGCGGCTGGCTTGATGGACAACTTCCCATGTCTTGTTATTCGCGGGATCTGCGACTATTCCGACTCGCATAAAAATAAGCAGTGGCAAGACTACGCAGCAGCAACGGCAGCGGCTTATGGCAAAGAGCTTCTCTCCGTAGTCTATGCAAGCCAAATAGTGAGCACTTTGCCATTGGGATTAATTACCGACGGTATGTTGTTTTTGCAAGGCATGCATGAGTCATGTTCATCTAATAAAACCCTAGTGTCGTACTACAGGGAACAGCCACTACCCGAGATGAAGTTTTCCAACCGTGAAATAGCTCTAAATGGTTAGTGCGGCAAGTCTTTGAGAGGTGCCAACTGACGAAATGTAGACGGCCAGGAATTGGAGGGGCTCCTCAAGCGTATTTCAAGTTATGATCACGAGAGAATACATCAAAGGCTTAGTCGAAAACGACTCGCTGGAACCACGCACTGGTTCCTTGATCACCCGGATTTCCAGGCATGGTTTACCAAGAAGAAAGTTTCCAGTTTGTGGTGCTCAGGAAAGAGTAAGCCTACTTTCCATATGCCTTGAAAATAATATTAACGCATGATTATTTATTAGTTGGCTCAGGTAAAACAATGATAGCGTTCGTCCACAAGTGCTCTTCCTTGTTATCATCTGACCATCAATAGAACCGCAATAATTGACGCAGCGAAATATGATCTCGGCTCTCCCACCGTCTTTTTCTATTGCGAGAATGATCATCATGCAACCCTCGACGCGTCGTCCATTCTCTCCAGTTTCATAAAACAACTCTGTGCATTGCTGCACAGACCCTATCCGGGAGATGTCGCAAGGGAGATCAGGAAGTACTTTGGAGACAAGAGGGTGAAGCCAGACCTTGACGACCTGAAAGATATTTTCACCCTTTTGTTCCCCTACGCCTCGGATACGATTTACGTCGTTGATGGAATTGATGCTCTGGACAGGAAACAGGCCAAATCCCTTTTGAGCGTCTTTAGGTCGCTATTCTTTGACTCCAGGTCCCAGCAAGGATCACGAATACTGGTATTGAGCAGGGACCAAGTTCCAGGGTATATAAACATCGATACGTTCATGCCTGGGATTTATCGGATCTCGACATCGGGCAATGTTATGCAGGACATAGAAACGTACACCGAATCAAGCATCGCTGATAAGACCATGTGCCGAAAAATTACGGATGATTCTCTGCTGTCTGAAGAAATTCCGCGGAGGCTTCTGATAGAGTCATCGGAGATGTATGCTAGCCCCAATCCTCAAATCCTCTATGAAAGTTTCATTCTAACTGATCTAGGTTTCTATGGGTGTATCTCCAATTAGAGATTCTTTGGGACACATGCCACACAGATGCAGAAATACGGTCTGCTTTAGCTGCACTACCAAAGGGTCTGGAAGACACATATAGCCGTTGTATTGAGAGAATTGATCACAAGGATAACCGTGTTCTCAAGGTACTCAAATGGGTTAGCTTTGCGACCATCCCGCTTCATATCGAAGAATTGCGAGAGGCAACCGCCTTTGACCAGGGAGACATTACTTGGAATGCCAAGAAGATCCCAGGGAAAGAATTTGTTATCGGATGCTGTGCAAACCTTGTTGTCGTGGATTCCACTGACAACCGTGTGCGCTTTGCACATTCCTCAGTAAAACAATATCTCGAGAAAAGTCGAGAAAGAATCGACATTCAAGGGTATCCAACCACAGCACAGGGCGTTCTAGAGTGCGGAGAGTTTTGTGTTGCTTATCTTTCTTTCTCGGACTTCTGTCTTCAACTGCGAAGGAACGAAAAAGCTATATTTACTGTTCCACCACCCATTTTGTTTGCGCCAAAAATCCTCCCTGAATTCTTCACCAAATATTTCTTCCCGGAGCCCCGCGATCAGAGGTTTTCTGCTTCCGTGCCATTCCGTGGAATACGCACATCATCCGCGCCAGATCGGAAACAGTACAAGTTCCTCGACTACGCCGTTGCAAATTGGGCCTTGCAAACCAAGAAAATACTTCCTACATCAGTAAACTGGGAGAAGTTCGAACGGCTCGCAATGTGTTTCAATGAAACTTGGAATTTCCACCCTTGGGTCCCTGGCGGCCGTTCGGCATCCTCCCATCTCCACGGTCTCCTCGGATGGGCGGTGACGGAGCAACATGAGCCTCTTCTGTCAATTGCACAGGCTGCGCGGAAGGACTTACAACGTGTTTGTAATCTTCCGCTAGTCGGTGAAAGCCTTCCTGCGCTTCACGTTGCGGCAAAACTTGGAAGTAAGGCCATAATTGAGATTCTTCTAGATTTCTGCAACGTTAATGCGCCAGATCTGGAACAACATACTGCTTTGCATCATGCAGCAAGCGCGGGTCATATCGAAATCTGCCAATTACTATTGAGTACAAAGAAGATGGAAGTGAACGCTCGATCCAAATCTCAATTCACACCACTCTGGCTGGCTGTGAGTAACGGACATGAGAAGGTCGCTTCTCTTCTTATAGAGAATCAAGCAGACATTGAGGTCAAGGACGCTTCTCTCCACCAGACACCTCTCTCACGGGCTGCACGAAATGGGCACGATGCGATAGTGAAACTTCTAACTGCGAAGGGAGCCGAGTTAGACTCACAAGATGTGGATGGTCGAACACCTCTATTGTGGGCCATAAAAGGGGGGCACGAATCGATAATAAAGTTGCTGCTCGAAAAGGGTGCCAATGCGGCTCATAAAGATCTTGATACTCAGAGTTTACTACTTTGGGCGGTAAAACACGGATATGAGGCGATTGTTAGCTTAATTCCTATAAAATCTCCGGATCTCAACCTTGTGGACAAAGACGGTCGGACACCACTCTCATGGGCTGCAGGAATTGGGTATGAGGCAGTAGTGAAAGTGCTGCTTGAGAAGGGTGCTGATTCTGAGGCTGAAGATAGCTATTCGGGTCGAGTACCACTTTCATGGGCTGCAGAAAGCGGGCATATGGCAGTAGTGAAAGTGCTGCTTGAGGAAGGTGCTGATCCTCAGGCCAAAGATTGGTCTTCAGGTCGGACACCACTCTCACGGGCTGCAGAAAACGGACACGGGGCAGTGGTGAAAATGCTGCTTGAGAAGGGTGCTGATCTTGAGGCTAAAGATAGAAGGTCAGGTCGGACACCACTCTCATGGGCTGCAGAAAACGGACATGAGGCAGTGGTGAAATTACTGTTTGAGAAAGGTGCCGATCTAGAGGCTAAAGATAGGTCGGGTCGGACACCACTCTTATGGGCTGCAGAAAATGGGCACAAGGCAGTGGTGACAGTGCTGCTGAAGAAGGGTGCTGATTTTGAGGCTAAAGATAGTTATTTGGATCTGATACCACTTTTATGGGCTGCAGAAAACGGGCACGGGGAAGTGGTGAAAGTGCTGCTTGAGAAGGGTGCCGATCTTGAGGTCAAAGATAGGTCGGGTCGGACACCACTTTTATGGGCTGCAGAAAACGGACATGAGGTAGTGGTGAAAGTACTGCTTGATAAAGGTGCTGATATTGAGGTTAAAGATAGGTCTGGTCGGGCACCACTTTCATGGGCTGCAGAAAAAGGACATGAGGCAGTGGTGAAAGTGCTGCTTGAGAAGGGTGCTGATCTTGAGGCCAAAGATATGTCGGGCCGGACGCCACTCTTCTGGGCTGCAGAAAAGGGATATAAGACAGTGGTGAAAGTGCTGCTTGAGAAGGGTGCTGATCTTAAGGCCAAGGATTGGTCTTCGGGTCGGACCCCACTTTTATGGGCTGCAGAAAACGGGCATGGGGCAGTGGTGAAAGTGCTGCTTGAGAAGGGTGCATATCTTGAGGCTAAAGATTGGTCTTCAGGCCGGACATCACTCTCATGGGCTGCAGAAAATGGGCATAAGGCAGTGGTGGAATTGCTGCTTGAGAAGGGTGCTGATCTTGAGGCCAAAGAAAGGTTTTCAGGTCGGACATCACTCTCATGGGCTGCAGGAAACGGGCATGAAGCAGTGGCGAAATTGTTGCTTGATAAGGGTGCTGATCTTAAGGTCAAAGATAGGTCGGGTCGGACACCACTCTCATGGGCTGCAGGAAAGGGATATAAGACAGCAGTGAAAGTGCTGCTTGAGAAGGGTGCTGATCTCAAGGCTGAAGATAGCTATTCGGGTCGGGTTACCAGGGTATCGAATCAGTGATTTTTGATAGTCGGGCCATCATCATACTGCTATAGAATATACTTTCCGACCACCATCACTGTTTTGATAGTCACTTATGCTAGACTATACTTACTTGGCTGCTAGACCGAGTTAGCACTCCTTTCAGTACTTACTCCTACTTTGTAATAAGACGATGAAGGGCTTTCTTAGAATGCTATTTATTGATATACAGTGACAGGTTAAAACAGGTTAAACGTATTAATAGCCCATTTGGTAGATACTCAGACCACTCATCCCTAGGTTCATCTCAGACTCAGTGGGCAGATCGGGCCGCTCGGATCAGACTGTTCAGTTGACGTGATTCTCATTGAGCAGACCTGGTCGCCTATGAAATGGATCACTGATCGGATCATGCCGCTCAAGACCATGTTCAATTCTATCCTGTAGCAAAAAGTGTTGAGCACTAATCTAGAAGGGGGAAAGCCAAGAAATAGGACCAGAGCTCGTCTGCGTAGGGGTATTCCAGGTAGTTTTTATACAGCGATAGCTATCTGGTAATCTTTGTGTATTCACTTCCAAGGGATCCATTTCCAAGGGTTGCCCAACTGATGTTTGATAAATTCTGACCTATTTCAAATACCCCCCAAAAAAAATCGGCATCGAGTTGTAGCCGGAAAAAAATCAAAAAGACAAAAAGAAACGTCCCCGGGAAGGCTCGAACTTCCAACCTCCTGATTAACAGTCAGACGCGCTAGCCAATTGCGCCACGGAGACTTGCTTGTATAGTCAGCCAATCTTGGGCATAATAAACTATAAAAACACTTTTGGAAAGAAAATTTGAAGCGGTCTTGGATAATGAGGAGTTTGAAGTTGAGATATATAATGTTACTAATTATATTACTAAGTAGAAGTATAAGGGATAATCTTGTTAATAATATGGTAGGACAATATTATTAGGTGGCTTGGATAGGATTTATATAGATATTTATAATTTGAATGTAGCTTCTTGGTATGTGGAAATGATGTTCGAGGATCATATTTTAAATTGTATAAGATTCCAAAGAAGAGAAAGGCAGCGATATACTGTATAATAATTGGTTTTCCTCCAATAAGAAGTCTCCGTGGCGCAATTGGCTAGCGCGTCTGACTGTTAATCAGGAGGTTGGAAGTTCGAGCCTTCCCGGGGACGTTTCTTTTTGTCTTTTTTTAATTTACCGAACACGACGCCGTTGTTGCATGACTACCGAGATCTGTTTTTATTGTATTAGGTTGATTGTCGGGGTAGTCATGGTAGAATGACCAAACAATATTAGAGTTGCATCTTCTCATGCACTTAAAACCTGGAAGTGCCAGCGGTCAGCTGGAAATGATAACTGTGGGGATTCCCGTGAAGAATTGAGGGGCAGTTTCTGTTCCTTCCGTTGTCAACTGTCTCACAGATTCTTACGTGGCAATTTCTTCGTTATCAATTTTCTTTGTCTTCCTATTTTTTATATTAAATTACTTTGATAACATGCCCGAGGAAACGGTTCCGCCGACAATCGCAATTGTAAAAATTCCCATTTGAGTTATTCGGGTGACTTTTGTTGATATTTATGGCAGGATCCAGACGTTCATATGCTTGGGGCTCTACATGGGTCTCACGATATAGACTCGTACATCCTTATACTTGAATCAGAGATTGAGATGGGTACTTAGTGACTGTGATACTTGTTTAGGGTGACTATTTCATCCTCAATCTATGAGGGGGTGATGGAAAATGGACGACGGTATGACATTCTCTTAGTTCAGCTATATATCAAAGATTAATTGATTATATCTGCTACCAAATAACCAGAGGAATGGCTCGATATTGGTATTCTTCCCTTTGTAGTCATTTTTAACATCTATACTGATCTTTCTTGGTGTCCATCTGATGAGCAAAATTTGAGAGCTTGGAAGCATGGTTAGTTCAAAATTGCATCAATTCTTCAGGGTTTATTTAATCCTTGTAGTCATTAACTGGTGCTTGTTCTAGACTCGGAGACACCGAATGCATTGTTCAGTGCACCTACAAAGTCACCCAAGGTACCTATCACTTTTTCCAGTACAACGAAGTCTCTTCTCTTCATATTGACCATCATTTTACCTAGCACATTCTTGACATCGGCACAGGACAATGGAATTGGTCCATGTAACATAGTCTCCGTTCTCCCAACTTCGAATGGTTTTTATTAAAGATGTTATTTAGCGACACTGCTGATATGTTTCCCCAAGCTTAGCATCGGTCTACTTTTTCTACCTCGACGTTGATATCTGATATGGACCAGCAACCGTACGCGGCGTGGATCTCTATCCACCACCAATAATATGGGTGCCACCAAATTGTATTCTAGAGGTGGACAATATCCTTGAAGAACGGACGTGGCGTGAACCCTTTGATTTGATCCATCTCAGCAACATGGTGGCATCCTTTTCACCGCAAGAATGGGACACCGTCTATGAGCAATGTCATGAATGAATCATCCAACTCTGAACCCGAAATTCCTTTTTTATGAACTAACCCAAGATTTGAAAGAAACCTCATCCCAGGCGGCTGCTGGATCGAGCAACTCGAAGGCGACGCTGTTGTCCGCTGCGATGATGACAGCTTCCAGAAGATAGTTTTCTCAGAACCTTCGGTCCAAACCTTCTCAGCGCTACGTTAAAATTCGGTCGTCCAGGCGATACGCTAAATACGATGCGGGCAGCAATCGATAAAGCCGGGTTCGCGGATATCCATGAGAGGGTCTGAAAATGGCCTAACGGGGCATGGCCAAGAGATCCACTTCTGAAAGAGGCTGGACGCATCAACTACCACCAATGGATGACTGGGTTGGAGGGCTGGTGTATGTATCTATTAATCAATTTTGGGGATCCGAAACCATGGTCGAGGCAGGAGGTATTGGTCTACGTGGCTGAGTTGAGGGCTGAATTGCGAAATCCGTATCATACTTATCAATTTGCGTCAGTCTACCGAGAATGGAAAAGTGATAGCGGTAGGGGCTTTTGCTGACTTGATCTCTTCACGGGCGCAAGGTTTGGGGTCGTCAACCCGAGGTATGACAGACTAAAAGCTACGGGACGAAATTGATGAGAAGGTGTACAGTTACGAGATCTCAAATACGATGACTTCTTGAAAATTTCGTCTCCTAACCTGATTCCCGACTTTTCCAGTATCTCCTGCTTTTCTCCCTCTTCCATATTCTGCCTCAGCGACATCATAGTGGGCCTGTCACAGATGCGAAGACGCAATGAACACACATGGCAACGTTACCTTACATGAAAATTACGCCATACTAATATAAACGGAAATGAGACTGCTGACCAGTTAGTCTCTGCAGCAGATATCCTCACGGAGAGCAAGGATTCCATGAAACCAAAATCGCAGTGGGTAGGGAGGCACTTCGGCAGCCATCACACTCAGTGATTCGAAGCCGCCAATCCCACGCTTAGGCACGAACTGTGGCTCCGGTAAAACAGGGTAAAGTTCACCAGTCCGGTCGAGTATGGGGATATCTTGAAAAAGGTCGTGGCAGCACTGGATCAGAAAGCCCAAAAGTCGGTCCTGTGCTTCCAATATCGAGAGACTTTCTCCTGGAGTAAACGCTCTCTTTTCCTCCGCCCATTTCTAGGCGTCAAGATGTTCCTCGAAATATATGACTTTACCATAGTCTCCAGTATCCTCAGTCACACCGTTCATGATCATGATGTATCCATGCAGCGAAGCAGGCACGATTGCCTCCTTGAACAGGCCGATATGCATGGCATTCTTGTCGGCAGCGGCAAACTGTGCTGTGTGATGACGACCTCAGGATTATGGCAGCTGACGAAGATTATTGGCTCCCAGTAGCTCCTCTTGGTTGATGTCGGGCCACATAAACCATTCCCGAATCTGGTTACCCTCCGGCGATGAAAAAGCCTCCCGAGGTCATGACAGATTTCCTGGGATATTTATGAATTACCTTACTCCGTGCACATATACACTATATAAATCGTTCCAAATGTCTAGATGTTGTGTTTTCTGACCAACGTCATGTAATTAATGTGGAATATATCTTCTTCTATCACGCTGTTGTATGTAATTGGTGCTAGACCGTAGTTGTAGAGTTCAATATATATTGTACCACACACTTCAAAAAATTGTTTCCACTAATTGGAAAAAATATATTCCAAGGCTTACTTGAATGCATACAGATATCAATATACATTAGATTGGGAGGGGTATTTCAATATTGAAATACCTCCAGATGTCATTATATGGCACGTGAGTTGTTTTATAGCCATTAGAGATGATTGTGACAATCAGCCTTGATGATTTCCTTGGAAGAACATTTTGGCTTGATGTAGCGAAAGTAATTTGCCTCTTACATCAAATAAGTCTCCGTGGCGCAATTGGCTAGCGCGTCTGACTGTTAATCAGGAGGTTGGAAGTTCGAGCCTTCCCGGGGACGTTTCTTTTTTTTTTTTTTTTTTTTTCAATTTTTGTCCCGCAAATGAAACTCAGTCTGACTTTTTATCCCCTGGAAATTGACATTTGAAAAAAGCGTTTCAATAAAAAGGTAGACAAAGGTTGAATACATCCAACATGCAAATGTGGAAGAGCCCAGACAATACCCACCACATGTGCAAATTACATAGCCAATTATTATATTGAGAACTGCATTGAGACCGTAGCAATGTATCTTTGTCAATTTGAAGCTAACTTGAAGGAGCGGAAAGAGGAGAGGACGAGAAATAACACATGGAGATAGTATATAGGCAGCATATGAAAGATTGAGGTGCTGATCTTGTCAGATGTTGATCCCCGAATACGGACAAGTAGCATAGACAGCGGGGAAGGAAGATCAACTGTCCCACAGCCCCAGGTCAAAAGCGTTAATACACGTAAGTACAGAAAGGGAATAGAAAACAGAAAGAAACATGGTCGAGAGGATAAATACATCAGTCTCGGCCCCATGAAAATAAGTCGCCCATTCCGCGGCGAAAGACAAACCCCCTCTATCGACCGTGTATGGGAAACAGAAATAGGAAAGACACATATTCATATTCATGTAGCACTAGCAGTTGAATCAACGCCTGATAGTTTGAGATAACGCCGAAGATTCTCAGGAAGGAGGAAATAAACACAATGGTAAGCCAATTGATTGAGGATTGAGCCTCATCGAGGACATGAAAAAGGGTATAATAAGGTAAATGACCCATATTAACATTACCGATCACCCCCGAAGGAGTGTCACACAGGTGGAATGTAAGGGCAGAGAACGAGAAAAAAGGTGGCGGAGAGTGAAGGGCATCAAAAAGGCATGAAATAAAGAGAGATACAGATAGGAAACACCTTATCAGCGGCGTGTCTGATGCAGAATAATAAGAAACCCCACAAAACGCCCTCTCTAGATGACGCCAACTCGAAATCTAGTAACCTGACCATCCGCCCAATGGGCTTCCTGACTGACCTGGTTGAGGTTGGCCTGGCTGCATTGGTGCGCCAGCGCCAGCAGGCCACCCTGGCATACCAGCTGCGCCCATGCCCATCGCCATACCGGCCTGCTGAGGGTTGGCAGCCATATAGGCCTGACCACCTGGTCCTCCCTGAGCCTGAGGATACATTGCCCGTGCCATGCCTTGGTAAGCGGCAGGGTTTCCTCCTGGGAAACCCATGCCTCCCATATTCTGCTGTTGAGCCTGTGGATGCTGCATTTGATGGTACTGCTGGGGCATCTGGGGCACGTTGCGGGGGGATTGTTGAGGCTGCTGAGCATGGTGAAGGGCCGACGGTTGCTGCGAAGCCGCAGCTAATTGCTGGGCATACTGAGCCATATTCACACCCTGTTGACCTGAAGACATAGGTGACTGCTGTGGTTGCGGTGGTGGCCGACCCCACATTTGCTGCTGCTGCTGTTGTTGTTGTTGTTGCTGCTGCTGTTGCTGATGCTGCTGCTGCTGCTGCTGCTGCTGTTGTTGTTGCTGCTGCTGCTGCTGCTGTTGAGGGTAGCCATAGGGGGCCTGACCGATAGCGGCCGATATGGATGGATTGGATCTTTGGTGCATGAGATTGGGTTGTATGCCCGCTGGTATTCCTCTAACTGGTGACTGGCCGATCGACTGCTGATGTGTCTGCTGATGGAAAGCCTGGTGTGGCATTGTGGCAAGATGAGGCATGGCGTGCTGTACATGAGCCGGGTTGCCCATACCTGCAGGTTGAATCTGAGGAGGTTGAATAGGCTGTGACACAGAAAGGCCAGATTCAAGAGCAGTGGTTGACTGGGCCTCTGTCTCAGGGGCCTCGCGGGGCTTTGAATAAAACTCCTCCAACCCCTTCCGACGATAGCTTCTCTGTGACCCCAAAATCTTGTTGAACTCAGCGGCGTGTTGGGCTTGATTGAGGATCTCTGAACCCGAGCTGGGCTGAGTGCGATCGTGGTAGGTCTGACCAGTCAGCTCTTGGCGGGCACGAGGAATACTGTTATAGTCCCGGAGTCGAGGGTCATCCGTTGTCGCCAGGTGTATCATAGGAAGCTGGGTTAGGGAGGGAGAAACATCTGACACATCCAAGGAGAGGCCAGGAGGTAGTGGCTCGACCGTATTGCTGAAGATAACATCGTTATGGGGAAGGGCCGGCAGTAGACTGGAGGTCGTGGTATCTGCCGCAGATCCATCTCGGACCTTGGCCGCGCCCGGACGCTTCTCACCCGCTAGATCGTCCTCGGTGAAACCTTGTTTCCTCGCTTTGCTTTCCCAGTAGTCATCGCGAACCCGCCGACCATTGACAATGACGCGACTCCCGAACTGCCGGAACATGGATCGGGCGGACACAATCGCAATCTGACGGGACCGGTAAGAATAAGGAAGAATATCTTGTTGAATGAGATCATCCTTTTCGACTTGTGATGCGATTATCTTGTGTAGAGACCGATTCTTGTTGAACAGTAGATACGAATCACGATAATTCAATACCCTTGCGCATTCTGTCGCCAACATGAACAATTTGGTACCTCTATGGGGTACGCGGAAGGTCCGACATTTGTATTCACGAGTACCCTGCAGGTATCCCATGGCATCAACCTTGGTCTCTCCCGCATCGTCGAAATCCTTTGGGATGTATTCGTCACCCTCATCGTTCAGCTGATCGGACGTGTGATCTCGAACCGTTGGAAGGGCCTTGACCAGCGATTTTGTCGGGGTAGTCTTGTCTTGGGGCGATGCAAGAGTTGGCGATCCGGCATTATGGGGAAGCGGACGGGCTTGCATCTGTGGGGTTTGAATCGGAGTGCCAGATGGATGGTCGTTAGAGGTTGCCCGCGGAATCTTCGGTGGACGGCCTCGCTTGCGACGACCTTGGTCCTCTGGAATGGATACGTTTGGTCAGCATACCCTGTTATATAATGTGAAGCTAAATGCGGGTTCCAAGAAAAGCGTGAAGTGCAGCGGTCTCCAAATATGACAAGATGGCAGGCAACATGGCGCCCAATTGCGCACGTACCATCATCCTGATCTCCTTCTGTATGGCCATTCCCATTGCGATCTGGAGTACGAGTACGCTTGATACCACGGGGGATTGCTTCTGCAGGGGATGGCACCGGCAGAACAGAGACTAGGAGGGGCATCAGTCTGGGAGGTGACGGGGATTACAGCAAGCGAATGATGATCATCTCGCCGACCGTTCATCCAAAAAGCCGATGACACGCGACATGCCGCGATGGGAAAGCCAAAACATGACCAGTGCCGAAAAGGTAGGGTAAAGTGTTCTTATCAGGAGCGCAGGAGAAAGTGAAATTCACATACCTGAATTGCTCAGGTTTGTCGGGTCGATAGTACCCGAGCCATCAACGACCTCTCCAATACCATTCATCGTTGAGAGGGAGTGAGGTGTGCCATACATAGTGGAAAATCGGACGGCCTAGAGGCCGAAGGCGCGCGACGGGAAGAAGACAAAAGGACGCGTTCGATAGAAAGTCAGGTCGCGAAGGGGGGTGGCGCAAAGAGAGGGCGGATAAACTAGGCTTGCATGCAGGATGGGTCAGGTCGATCACAACGGAACAGGTGAACAGCGCAGCTCTATCTTTCCGGGAGTTTGGGAATATTGGAACTTCCAAGGTTTGAGAGGGGCGAGGCGGTGAGTGGTGAGTGGTGAAGTTGGATGTTTGCCTGAGTGATGCCTGAAGTTTCTTTTCTGTGGCCCGAAGAATCAAACTTCACGTGATAGAAGTTATATAATCAACTTGATATTCTTCAGGACTTTGGCTTCTTGGCGTTTTGACTCTTTTTTTGAAAAGGAGGGGAAGTCTCCAGTCAAATCACACAAAAAGGCCAACACGCGGAAACCACACAGTCTTAAGGGATATTCAAAGTATAATGGTGCAAGGGGGTAGAGTGGAATGCCTCGCGTGATTGGTCACGGGAATGGGGACAGTTGGAGTAAAAAAAACAGCAAGTTGAATCAACCAAATCAGAATGAAATGTATCATAGAAGATTCCTAGAGGACCCACCACCTAATCAGATCAGCGGGAAAGATTGCCGGATGTAAACCCAAAATGCAGATAATAAAAAAGTATAGAAAAGTCGACAAAGGACAAAGAAACAAAGCGAGAATGATGACGGAAAAACAGGTTCTTGAAGCGTATGCAAGGCCGGAGAGGATTCGGGATCAGCCGCGGGGGCCCGAAAGGACAAAGGAAGTAAAAATCAACGTTGTAAGACCCTAGCTAATAGGAAGATCGAGTATTGTCCACGATTCCACAAAGTATTAGATCTGGAGGGGGCAGGGTGTTCTTTTTGTTCTGGGAGGCGGGTATGGCGCAGGGCCGGGCTCAGGGCCTTTGCAAGACAAATGAGATCCTGTATAGTGGAACTAGTGATGATGGCTCGAGCGGAGGGCGATTTTCCCGAGGTGGGACAACGATCGAAATACCGATGGGGTTGGCAGAGATGATGGACCCTGAGAAAGTGTCAGTGAGCAACAGGAAAATGAAAAGGAACAGAAGTTTTAAGCAGTAACGGTCGTACAGGTTTGGTTTGAACTTTGGTAGTACTATAGGTAATAGATTCCAACTAGATTTTAAGAGAAGAGAGAGAAGAGAGAGAAATGAAGCAGATTGCCAAATTCTTAGAAATTCAGACCTATATAACATCCCAAGCTCTTGACTATAAGTCCCCTTTTTTTACATGCCTAAAGTGTCTTCTTCTTCATCACACAAGGGAAGTTTTCACTGTGATAGGTTTTTTCCCGCTTTTGGATCGCCCCAAGCCTAGAATCGTGTAACTTGAGGTGTCTTAAAAACACTACCATGGGAATCATCATCCGATCTAAAAAAGGAACAGGAAATATGAAAAAGAGAAGCATTTAGAAGGATTAATTTCCACGGTAATCTGGAAGACATGGTCTTCATCAGATTATGCAGAAGTTAAATGGGCATGGGGCCCATTCCTGCACGGGATAAATAGTTAATCGGATTATATCGGAAGGATAACAATACAAGAGGCATTTGATTTTCTTTGCCGGTGTCCCTTGTCAGGCGAGAATCCCCGGGGATAAAAAAGAATAGAACAAACACCTCGGTGGAGCTCTGGCATTAAGATCCGTGAACCGAAAAAGAGCGAGAGACTAGAGTTCCATGGATTCTTGAGCTCAGGCCGCATCTTGTCAGCCGGAGATGAGCTAGCGAATCTCAGTGAACCACGGAGATGAAAGTGCTCGTGCGCCTGGAACAATCCAGTGGATATCCAGGATACCCCAAGGAAACGGTCGAGATAACCAGATTGAGAAGTTGATGAAACAAAGGGTGATGTGGTATCATCACCTTCAATCACACTTCATCCATGGATCCTATACTTCATCCTGCAATCGGTTCACTCGCCAGGATTGGAATGGTTGAATTTTCGAATCTGCACAGGAGCCCCGCCGGGTCTAGTGCGTTCCCAGAGAAGCAGATGACCCAGAAAAGACGGTCACTTGAGAAGATTAACGGTCCATGCGTGCAATAGGAAGCCAATTACAAATACCCTAGACGCGCGATCTCCGCTAGACTCTGATAGACCGAGAACATCCACTTTACAAGGTCGGTCAAGAAGACGCACAGCGTTACACAATAAACGACGCTCCGACTACCCAAGGAATCACTATGTACGCCGTCCAAAATGGAAATAATGAGCTAGCCTTGCGTTTCATGGAGATTCCGGGTCTCACAGCAGCCGACTCGCAGCCTTACCGTTTACACACTCGGCTTCGGCAAATGGCCTTGTCACACAGAGAGTACGCAACTCTGGGACTTTGGAAGAAGACAGAAGGTGACTCTGCAGGTCCCGATTCGGGGAATGACTGGCTCCCTCGTGCTAGGTGCTCGCATCAATGCAGGGCCGGTCCCTAACCCAATCTGTACCCGCCTCAAAAGGCGATATCAAAGATATGAGTAAGTGGATGCAGGCCGATACGAGTAATATAAAACAAAGTATACCCACTACACGCACATATTCTTTCTCGATAATCCAGTCATTATGATTAGTATGCATCGAATCATACATTCTTTCAACCCAGATGTCATCCTGCATTGATAAGTTATGCCGAAAGGTTTCCTTACAGGACCCGGCAATCTTGACATGCCGGTGGGGCACCTTCATTGACCAGAAGAGGAATAGCCACATTCGTCAGCTCAATGTGATGCCTAGATGGATGACAAGTTGACAGACGCCATCACAGCATTCTTTGACATTGGGGGCTGATCACAAAGGCTCACGTAAGGGACCTGGATGCCTCTTTCTCAAAATGCAACGGCAGCACCAGGCACCAGGAAGTGGCAAATCAACAAGAGTGGCTCATCACAAAAAAAAAAGCTTCTTTACAATCGAAGTATTTGGGACAAAATGAATCCCAAAGTAACCTACACAAAGGACGACGCCATGGTATATCCAAAAGCGGCAATGTACCATGTGAAACGAAGTCTTATTCGACAGGAAAATATAAGCTAGAAACCCCGTGGCATGTGGAACAATCACGCGCATCACCGAGCCACGTAAATTATTGAAATAATCGAGGGGTTTCACTTTCTTTTCCCCTGTTCTTTGCTCTTTATTTCCTTGTCTTTGGTGCTATATCCATGGGCTCTTACTATAACGAGCGTTTGCTTGATATCGCTAGTGTTGCGCGTCTAGAGGAAAACAGACCACGCGTTTCACGGAACACATCTCGACTCAAATAGGGCATCCAAGAGAAAATGGAAAAATAGAAAACAGCCTGATCTATCACGTACTTGGTATAGCGTCAACGGTAAACCCAAAACTCTATTAAAATATCGCCTAACTGAGACGAGACAAACTCGCCGTCCCCACCGTCCATTACCGTCCCAATCAGCTCAGAAATGTAGATCGAAAGTTCAGGGAAAGAGGAACCTCAATCTCAACCAGTCACAGTGACCCATTTCGCACACACTCTCTCGAATGTAACACGCATCAGACCCAACTGAGGTACCCCGAGTCTTTGGGTTAAGTTCTTACACCCGAGGATAGAACGGAAGATTTCGTGACTTATGTACCGGAATCGATGGACACCCGGATTTGATTTTACCTTTTCACAGCGGGATCGAAGCGAGCTTACGATTGTCGATTCGTGCTAGCGAGGCTAGATCGGGCAGTTATCGGTCGCGCCCATGCATTAGTGGGAGCCAGGGAGCCAGGGATGTTTCAGGATGCAGAATGAAAGCCGGGAGGCGACGTGCATTAGGGCGGGGCTGAGTTGGACCCATGACTAGTCGATCAGCATTCGCAGCACGACGTTGAGAAAGTCATTCGCTATCATGCAGATCGAAGTATTTCTGGGTTGAGGATTTTGGGATAATCAAGGGTTTAGAGAGACCGTGGTTTGCTTTGTAGAGGATGAACATGATCATGCACGGCATTTGAATCCTGACTTGTTGGTACTCTCTACATACATGCGGTTTTCGGAGTATTCCCAGTCTGGAACTCCGTCGGAGCTTCGGTTTCCAAGATTGACTTAATAGGTAGCATTTTTCGTATTTGACGGAGTTTACAATCGGACAATAGAAGATCTCTTGACGCGGTGGATATTACTTGGTAACAGTAAACTTTTGATTACTTCAGACCCAGTTATACTATTTAACCTTGATATACCAGGGCACATCCCCCGATCCATGCGCAGCAGGGTTTAGTCCCGGCATCATGTCAAACAGACCCAGCAGTAGGGTATACCATAAGGACATTTTCTTTCTTTCAGGGATATGGAATAAGAATGTTGGTACTTGGGTAGTCATGGATGTGGGTACAAAGAACAATACGAAGGTTCAAAGGCGAGATACGGCAAATGAGTTGTTCAGGACTTGATCAGGAGAGAGCTATGTATTTATGGACAAGCAAACTAACATTTGAATAATTTATCGCATAGAGCACCTTGACAGTCTCTGACATTTGATGGTAATTTTGAGTATAACCAGGTAAAAAGCTCATAGGCCAAGGTCAAGGACAAGTCCTAAAGAAGGCTTCGTTCCCGCGCATGGGGCCTTGAAATGTAATGCAGTTCGCAGTGAGTAATCGAATGACCATTTCATTCCTTTTCCTGAGGTGAGCATGTGCTATTTTATTGATGAATGTCGGGTTTGATGCATGGGAATACACAATAGTGGCCATAAGAAACTAGAAATAGTCGAGGATCTGACAGATCAAGTACTGCGATAGCTGTAGCAACTTAAAAGTGCCATCGATTAGTAGTATCGCCTGCAGAGCCGAAGCCCGAGTTTTGTTCCTAGACATTAGAATGAGTAAATCGGCCGCTCGAGTATCGAGCGAAACCATGTTTTAATGCAACCGCTCTTAGAAGCAGGACGTGAGCTTGTCCCAAGGGGCTTCACGACTCACAGCCACATTCCCGAAGGCTGGAGTAGGTGTCATCAAATCGAGATTCCATATTGACGTGACGAAAGCGCCATGCAAGAATTCTTCCAGTATGATAAGACTTTGAATTGCTCTGATGACCTTCCGGAAGTCGCATCCAAGAGCCTGCGGAGAACCTCCCGAGTTCTTAGACAGGGTAGAAGTGCCGTTCCACATGATCCCACATCTCTACAAACTAGCTTTGTTGAATCATTTGTCGCTCAGACCAGAGAAGTATATATGCCGGGGAAGCGGCATACTGCCAAGGACGGTTATATTGGGATAAGCACGGAGCAGGCGTTGAGAACAAGGTCCGTTCGGGAATCATAGTCCACGTGCTTGCATCTTTCACCTAAAGATTGCGGGGAAGTGATTCTTCACAATTTGTTCGGAAAGTTCAGCGCTAGCGAGTGCGTTCGACTCGCATCAATAATTTGTTTTTGCTTTTATTCCGTAATTATTGGCACTTTCGTCTTGGTCAAAGATCGGCAAGGTGGGATTTTGAATGAAAACATTTTCGTTGGCAGGCTCTGATTTCTGTCGGACGAAGACGGTGTAGGTTGTACTTAAGGATGATCAATAATATTAGTAAAGTTGCGGTTTTCGGATCCTCAGGGCCCGTTTGCGGATGGCGCAGAGTGGAGTCGAGGGTTCGCTCAATGTTATCACCGAGCGGTGAAGGGGAAGGGGGATCATATGAGCAATACATATTGCATCCCCTTGCTATGACCACTCATGAGAAGATCCATCCAGCGGAGAACACGTTTCATGAGCAGGTGCGAGGCCTTGCATACAGTATTTCCAGAAAAAAAGGTCGTGCCATGGGGGGGTGCGGAGAAGAGGCAGTGAAGTGTGGAACTCAAGTGGAGTGACAGTGGATGAAAACGGATTACATAAGAGGAAATTCGCCAAGAAATGCTGAGTCACAGTCACGCCATTTCAGGGGTTTTCCAGTTCGATCTAGACTTCGATTGGGGGGGGGCAGAAGGGAGTTCTAAATAAATGCGGAGTAATTTGAAATAAGATAAACCGGTAAAAGGAAAGAATAAAAGTAATAAAAGGAAAGAGTAAGAATATGTGTGAGGTGTGTCTAGTCGTGTGTTGGCCAAAGTTTCACGATGTTGAGGGAGTTCGGCCTTCCAGACTCGGTAATCCGTGGAGATCCTAAGTGTTCAGAGCAGGTTCCCCGAGTGGCGTTTCTATTCTCGAAGATAAGCTACGGAAGGGTTCTCCACTAGGAAAATTTGGAAAAAATTTGGAAAAATTTCGCGGTATCGTCTGATCAATTAAACTGGGTCAAATCCATAAGACCCACCTCTGTTCGCCCGTTTTCGCCTCTTTGCAACTTGTTCCCTGTCGATATGTTCACATCTTTTGTCTGATTGACGGGACGGGAAAAGCAATGTTGAAGTCTGGAATTCTCGATCGATTGACCTCAGCGGGGTCAATAAAGTGACAATCAGGTTTTTCTCTAGCGTGGAAGCCATAAAAGCCATCAAGCCGGACCAAAGGTCTAGAACGGGTACCCGGATGTGTGAAAAGTGGGGAGTTCCTGCTGACCCGCTCCAGAAGATTCTTGTACTTGGGAAAGCTCGATCGGTTATAAAACTCCCTCCTGCCAAACTTTTTCACCTCTCTTAAACCAATTCAGTTGATCGCATACATCTACCGCATACATCTACCGCATACATCTACCGCATAATCAACATCTGGGGTTAAAACACATTCAATCCAACTCAATCAACTCAAAACTATATCAACAAACACGTCCAAGTCACCAGTATGACCGTTGCCATGGGCATCGACACACCCGCTACACCATCACCACGACCTTCTCTTCCCAACTTTCAAAAGAACATCAGAAAACGTTGGCCACCGATGGCAAACCGCAATGCTCTTCCATACAAACTCACAGTCATCTCCAAGGAGAAGTTGGCCCGTGAAGCCACCGCTCCCGACCCAGACCTCCGCCGCTGCGTGGCACACTTCCGACTTCACTGTGGCTCCGTCCTCTGGACAGAAAATGACATGAAGTCACGCATCAGCTCTTTTGAATTCGAAGAATCCGAGTCCGAGTCCGAGGATGACTCCGAGCACAAGAAGATGAACGAGCTCAAGATCCGGCAAAAGACCCAAAAATCAAACACCATTGTCATGCAAGTCACACCCGAAGACAAAGAACCTCTGGTCACATCATCTGAGATCCTCCCGGAGAGTGATCTCACCGAAAATTACATGGATCGGAATCTTTGTGCCGTCGTTCAACCTATTGGCGCCTAGTGTGGAAATCCTTCCATCATGCCACTCTCCACGAACTTACCACCAATTCTTACCTTACAGACTTTACGACTTAATGATGACGAACTTTACCCGATGATGGAACAAAATAGGATCATGTACATAGCTATATCCACTTAATTTACTTCCCCAATTTTTTTGCTGGTCAAAAATGTGTCTGTAATTCCCCAGATTATTTGCATCTATTCGCCTTACATCTCACATGACTCACAGAAACGATCATCTGACATGAAAAAGAGTGGGGATCACATCAATTACCGTTTATAGTAATGCCTGTTTGAGCGCTTAAAGAGACGATCCCATTCGAGGAACTGTGACAAGAACCTCACTTATATTTAGCACACATAATCTTGCATGGATTTACTCTAATTAATCTGTATTGAATTAGTCTGGCCCCGTTTCAGCATCCCGTACTCAAGCTTCAGGCGCTAAATAACTGGAAACAATTGAGAAATGTCGAGCTGCACGATCGCCACTGTCCCCACCCCAATGCACCGAGTTTGGTAATTGGGTGGATTCTTTTCCACCTCTTCGGACTTGCAGGTACAAGATGAGATCTGGATTTCGGCGAAACAAACCCACCAATGAGAATCTGGGAAGGGACTGGCCTTAGTGACAAGAAAGGCAACAGCTTTACTATATACAATAAATGAATCTCAAGTCAAATAGCTATGGCGGATGCGCTGGGTGGACAAGACGCGGCACGAATTGAACAAAGTTGTGGTAGACCCATCAAGTAGTAACATTGGAAGTTAGTGGCTAGATTGGGTGAGTGTCAATAGAAGCTACATACGAAAATATCATAAAACAGCTTAAATTTCTCGCATTAGTATATTATGACAAATTTCCAACTATACTAGGCCTCAGCGGTTCCAAATATCAACACACGCCCTGAATTACATCCAATAGCAATCCTACCAGGAAGAATGGCAGAGCATCCAATCTTATATTCCGATGGCAATCTGAGTCGCCTTTCACCACGATACGTAATCCATAATCCAGTCTCGTCAACACCATATCCCTGAGGCAAAACTGGCTTGGAAGTGATTGAGCCAGGCTCCACACTTTCGGCAAGCAAAGTGGGATTCAAATCAAAAGAACCAATATCTGTATGCAGAATATGTGGCTGCGACTCGTCAAATTGAGACCAAAAGATCTCTCGATTTAAGTCAAGTGTCAGCATCGATTTCTCATTCACCACATCCCAAATCTGGATGTTCTTGTAGAGATCAGATGAAGATACAAGTGTCATTCCATCTTTGGACCAAGACAAGGGACGAGTGAAGAAATTGTCGCTTTTGAAACCGGACAAACAGTTGCCGGTGCTAGTCTCCCAGATCTTGATCGATCTATCCCGAGAAGCAGATGCGAGTCGGGTCCCATCTTCGGACCAGGCTACTGTGCCAACACAATTTGTATGCCCTTTTAACGTCAGGCTAGGCGGGCCACCATTGGAATCCCAGATGTTGATGCTTTGATCATCAGAGGCTGATGCAATCTTTGAGCCATCCTTAGACCACGCTACTGAGCGCACAGCACCATCGTGGCCTTCAAGCGACGTGATGCAATGTCCTGCTGTTGTATCCCAGATTTTTACCATCTTGTCCTCCGAGCCTGATGCAAGTTTGAATCCATCATTGGACCAAGCGATCGTGACAACATTGTGACTGTGACCGGTCAAGGTCCATAGACATTTTCCACTGCTTATTTTCCAGATCTTGATCGTATGATCATCCGACGCCGACGCAAATAGAGTTTTATCCGGTGACCAGGCCACGGCATTGACTGTGTGGCTGTGGCCTTGAGACGCGATTTTATCCTCGCGCTTGGCTACGTCCCAAACCTTGACCGATCCGTCTCGCGAAGCTGATGCGAGCCGAGTTCCATCCGCCGTCCAAGATAGAGACCAGACTTGATGACTATGTCCTTCAAGTCTAGACAAACACCAACCGGTGATAGGGTCCCAGATTTTGATTGTTTCGTTATCGGCGCCTGCAAGTCTGCCATCCGGTGACCAGGCAAGTGCACGAATCCACTTAGTCTGGGCTTGAATCCGCGTAGTGCACTGACCCGTCTCTGTGTTCCAGACTTTTATCGTGTTATCCATTGAAGCGGATGCCAGTCTTGAACCATCCTCAGACCAGGCCACGCAATAGATTACCTGATCGTGAGCAAAAATGGTTTGAATTTTTTTGTTGGGGGTCATGTTCCAGATCTTGATAGATCCGTCACTTGCGGCTGATGCGAGTCTGCCATCACGAGACCACGCCATAGAAAAGATCTTTGAGTCATGGCCATCGAGAGGTGGTGGGCATTTATCACGGAGAGAATCCCATATGTGAATCCTTCCGTCCGTGTCAGCCAAAGCAAGCTTTTCATCGTGCGACCAGGCCGCCGAAATAAATGATTCGAGAGTGTCCTTGAAACTGAAAATAGAACTCTTGGATTCCAACGTGAAATAGCCTTTCAATGTGACGATGCGCTCGCTTCTAGGAAGTAGTATGCTTTCACTTTTACGTGTCAGGATACTTATACCAAGAGAAGTGTCCCAGAGGACGACTGTGCCATCAGCAGAGACTGTGGCGAGCTTGTTGTCGCGACGCCATTTTACCGAGGAGACTGGTATTCTATCTTTTCTGAGCGTCAAAGTACACAGACCAGTGGCGGTATCCCATATTTTGATTGTACCATCATGAGATGTGGAGGCCACCTGCCCACTCTGGCTCCATGCCACTGATTGGAGAGAGCCGTTGCTACCATCGAGTGTCATCAAACAATCACCCCAGCTTTCATCCATCAATGGGCTTGTACTGATCCAATCTGGCTCTTCTGCTGCAAACTGACGCCTAGTAGTGCTCTTGACTGGACTGAACACCAGCGCGGAGGCATAAACCTGAAGTGGGCTGAGCTCAATGGTTGATTTATGATGCTGTAGGAATCGACATGCGTCGTGAGCACGATCCATCAAGGAATCGGAAACATTTCTTGCCTGGTCAAATGTCAGCTATGAACACTATGTTTTTTGCAGAACTTACCATGAGAAACTTCTCAAGTCTCATCATTGATGATACTCCAGTCGACATGCACCCGAGAAGACTTAGAGCTTCTAGCCAATGGAGATAATCACGTTGCAAGAACATGTCAATCAGGCCAAGATCTTCTTCCTCCCCAGGACCGCTAGCGATTAAATGATCGGTCCAATAGAGGCAGGAGTATTTCACCACGTCTAACAAATCACACTGTGAGTGTTCCACATCTTTGGCTAAAATTCCAGGCTCTTTCAAACCACAGATATCACGTCGCAGTGTTGTAGCCAAGGCTTGCATCGACCGAGAAAACATTTGTCGGTGAGTAGTAAAAATACCAGAACTATAGATTTGCTCGCGGCAACTCTTGACCAAAAAGTCTTTGGCTGATTGGTGGACAAAGCGAACAGTGACTCCGTCTTTTAGCGTTAAGAATGATCCGCAATCGCCAACAATGTCTTTGATAGCCTCTTCGTTACATGCGTCGGGAGGCAGCTCTGAAACAGTCACCAGTTCCGCCAAGGTCAGAGGAAGACGAGCAAGTGAGACAACTGAAAGAATTTGATAGCATAAACTCGCAGTTCGCGATGTGCGTATCTTTACCATCATCCGGTGATACAGGGCTTCAAGTCCGTCCGGGAAACTATCCAAGACACTCTTGGCTTGCCAAGCGGGGACTTTCTCCAGTTCTTTGCAGACCAATGCCACCCAGAGGAAGGTATCCTCGGTCTTTTCTGACAAATTTTGATAAATAACGGCCCGAGTTTCATCAGTGTACTCATTTTTCTGAGCTAGTTCTTGGACTTTGAAGTGCACGAATGTCTTCACTGCCCGTGATACTGCTTCCGAGTTGAGTTCCAGAGATATTTCACTCTCAAACTTAGCTTGATGGAGCTTTCTTTCAATATTTGACCAGTTGCGACTGGAAACAATCCACTTGACCCGCATATTGCTGGACGAAGAATCGGCAATAAGACCAAGAAGCTGATCCATGCCGTCAGCACATTCATCAAGAGCGTCAATAACCAGGTAAGTTGTCTGAAGTTGTGGGTCATTGAGAATAGCACGAAAAATCTTCAACAATGCTGTCCAAGCATTTGTGCCTTCAAAACGCTTTGGTCCGTAGTCATCAAAGCGATCCCGTACATGCGAGAACAGCACCCGTTGCTGCTTCACAAGCATGTAAATCAGACCCCGAAGTACTGCCGTTGCGCTATTGATCCGGTCGTCAGGTTCCTGGCAGAAGAAAAAGGCAACGTTCCCTTTATTGCCGACGGACTCGATTAACTCGTCAATGATGCCACAGAGCAACATTGTTTTGCCCTTTCCAGGATCTCCTCTGATCCAAAGAAGATGTTCGTGTGCACTGCCTCTCCATTTCTGAAACTCTGGATTGTCCAAGATCCACCTGAAGGACTCCAAATGAAGCCCACCCTTCTCTACCTGGATACGGTCCTTGTCATCGCATGGATCGCTGGCCTGTAATGCTGCTATACAATTCCGGTTCTCAGCAGTGGATAAACGGCGATTCATCCGCTGTGTCACATTAAGAATGCCCAGAAGAATACCGGCCAGCTCCTGACGTGACTCTTCCGCCTCCTTGCAAAGATTCTTGAGATGTCCCGAGCTCTCAGCCGACAAAGCGTTGCTAAGTTTCAGCTGCAGATCACTTTCCTCCTTTTGAATGCGGCTTCGCTTTGCATCCCATTGATCATAGTCAACTATGGCCGTAAGATAGTTTTTCGTTCGGGTGCGATAGAATCTGAGCACACTCTCTAATTGAAACTCAATGACAAGTTGATATAGATGCTCAATGCGCGTGGTTAAAACATCCTTCATGTCGCCGTTCAATCCAGGCAAGTATGCTTCCATGGCATTGTAGAAATGCATCTGCGAGGTGACATAGGAAAGCCCTTCACGATTGGCACTTTCCACGGCGGCAGGGTTCATCAGGAGCGGTAGGATGAGCGAAATACCAGCCATGACAGCGGGGCCATATGGGACATCCTTTATCGCATCACTGACATATGTCGAGGCCCAGTCCACGGCTTTGCCTGTAGTCGATATGATATCCTGTAGAACGACCTCGTGTCCAAGAATGGTCGTACTGAGTTTCGTGTCTTTCGCATGTTTCAGACCGAGTTCTGTGATTTGAAGTAGCTTTTGACGACGCGCGACGATGTCATCGGGGATCTCGTTCTTGACTGGCTTTTCATCTTCTTCACGGGCAGGGAGTGAAGTCTGCAACTCGTCTGAATGATCACGCATTAGCAGTGCTACCAGGGATATATGATGGAAGTCTACAGGCGGCTCCCAGTTACTTCATTTGGCTATTCTTACTTTGGATGAGTACTCGAGACAGAAGATCCTCGTAGTCCGAAACTAACCGAGGTTGGCCTGTCTTCAGTGAATCGTACGCCTTGTCCCAGAGAGAAATAGGGTCATCCTTTGCAATGGGTTCATCCTTTGCAATGAGCTCATCATTTGCAGTGGGTTCGTCCTTTGCAATGCTTTCCGCTTGCGTGGTAGTTGCATCTGCTTCTATAGCTGACGGAGAATCTCCCTGGACTGTCGTTCCCATAGAGACCTGGGAAACAGACAAGGCAGGTGAGCGGTCTAGCTAACCTTAGTAAAATTGGTGTGCACGCAGATGCAAGGTAGCCAAGTTGGAAATAAGAACCCACCGGGAGTGCTAACCATCGCAGGCGTAACGATCGTAGGCGTGAAGACCTCCGGCCCTTTAGATTGTCTTCTCCAAAACTTCAACTTCCTCCGAATCGATCCCTTTTCGTGGTTTTCACTCATGTTGACACCGCTTAGACCCCCCAAGGTCATATACTTGGAACCGGGCCGACTGAAAAGTAAAGAAGAATGTGGGGCCGCTTTCTACTCCCGATCTTTGTGAAACCCGAGCAGAACCTTATCGGCAGCCAGATGTAAGGGCTTTTTTTGAATGAATTTCTCCCAGGAGAAAGTTGAGATGCGTCAAGAGGGAAATGGTTGTCTACCCGACCGCTGCGGGGGTGATACCAAGCTAGCCCCACAAGCTAACTAAATCGAAGGGCTGGTTTCCTTGCTAGCCAAGTGTGATTGTCACCGCCAGCCGCAGCTGACGAACACCTTCCTTGAATCGGTATACCTGGCGGGTATCTCCGAAGGCGCCTTTATCCTTACTTTATTCGGCACCAATTTGAGGCTGGGATCGTGTTTTTATGGGTCTCGGGAGTTTAGAAAGCCGGATGGGTTCGCGCGCGCTTCATTGAGCCGGCGATGCGCTAAACTAAATGAAGTAAGTCATCCTGTTGATGAGATTAGCTCCGCCGATTGCCATTTTATGACTGCGTACGGAGTAATTGAGCCCAAGATATGTGCAGGCTCGGTACTATTGAGAAGTTTGTCTATTTTAGATGGCTGGCTACCGCTGAGCTAAGACTCATAAGTGTTCCCACTTCCAACACCTACCCGGGGATGATCTTTCTCGTTCGATTTAGGATCACATATTTACCTCGGGGAAAACAATCTCTACAATGTCACTACGAAACTTACTAGCAAGTGTAAGCATTTGTGAAAGGAACTTCTTTCCCTCTAGTAATATGTTGGAACCCTGCTCGTCGGCAAAAAGGGACATATCGCTCGGGAGAGACTAGCGCATGGGGCTAGTGCTCTTGAACACGAAACACCATATCGGCTTGCAATCCATATCAAAGTAAATAGATGTCCCTCTGAAATAAATGGTCTTAATTCTTGAACCATAAATCATTCACCATTGCTTGACGATGCGCTAGTACTCATCGAGCACGACCCCAATTTAAGCTCATGACGCTAGCCGCTTTTGGAAATACCCACGAGGCATGGAAGATTAAAGATGCTATATCCCTGATCGCTTCCTGTAAAGTCCATGGAGATAGGAAGATGTCAGAAACAATAGCAGATATAAGAATGAAGATGAGTTCCAAAAAATATCATCCAACACAGACAATTTCCGCTTATTTACAATTGGCAATTCTTCTCACTTTGTACGGAAATCTTCTCCCATCTTCTCTCAAAAAGTCCCTGAAACACACCAAAGTTGAATACTTTCAACTCTGAAAATCCGGTTTGCGAGTGTCTTTCTCAATACTGGGCGCAATGTGCTTTGGAACACCACAAACAACAGCACCGTGGCTTATAAACGAGGAAGGCTCGCTAAAAGTCTTGGAAGCCGCCCACCACCACGGAATCAACACATGGTTTACTTCAAACGCGTACTCAAACGGAGCCAGTGAGAAAATGATTGACAAGGTAATTCAGAGATCTAGCATTCCCGAGAAAAGCTAGTGCTCATGACCAAGTGTGGCCTGCATATCGGAGAAGAGATGGACGTGAACGAAGCCACCTTTCCTGACGAAATGAACCAAAGCAAAGACTACGTGAACTAAGAGGTGAATGAATATGAATATAATTATCATTCATATTAAAAACTAGACCTGCAACCCTGTTCTGATCCCTGAAAGGCTTATAGGCTTGAGCCGCAGCACCAGCTTTCAAGCGGCCAATTGCTCTCTAGCCCGGCTGGGCACTAAATACATCGATCTCCCACAAGCCCAACGCTATGATTACCTGAAACCACCGGAAGAAACAATGAAAGCGCTGCATGACCTCGTACAGGCGGGCAAAATCCGCTACCTCGGTACGAGCTCGATTAAGCGACACAATTCGCGCGGCTGCAGTTCCTGGTGGAAAAGAACGAGTGAACCAAGTTTCTCAGTATGCATAACTATTGAAATCTCTGCTACCGCGAGGAAGAGATTGAGATGAACCGTTATTGTGAAGGGACTGGTGTAGGACTTATTCCCTGTCGCCTTTGTTTGCGGGAAGGCTGGCTTGTCCGATAGGTGAGCGCTCAGTGAGATCTAAGCAGTCCTCGTATCAACACCCCGGTTTGACCGAGGCCGACAGATGTATCATTAAGCGTGTTCAAGGTGTGGCAGAGAAGAAGGACTGGAAGATGAGCCATGTTGCTTTGATATGGCTGAAGACCAAAGGTGCTATCCCAAATGTGGGCTGCACGTCATTAAAACGATTGGCGAGATGTGTGAGCTTAAAAGGAAGATTTTGATGGACAGCAAAGTGCGATATCTGGAGGAAGCATACGAGGCAAGAATAATAGTAGCACATTCTTAGTCTGGTAAATATTCGAACCCGCTATGTGTCTTGCCAAGTCCCGAGCTTCAAGAGAATCAAATAATAAAGATTCGAAGGCTTTAGAGTACCGCGGAAATACTAATTTGAAGAAAACTCATAAGTCCAATGCGAGCTCTCGCGAGGTAACTTCGAACCCTTTGAATTTGAAGTTTGAAAGGAGGAAGCAGAAGAGAATAAAAAGAATGACTCTCGACAGAGTCGAGGACTGTACAATAGATTATTTACTAATAACCAGGTCGGGTTGGTTCATATATATAGCGACCGAAGAAAACCGGATCCACCAGTCTGCGCGATGCCACGCGCAGAAGATCCAAAATATGCCAGAGTATATGACCCACCAAAATGAAAAAAGGTGTGAAAGAAAGTATAAAACGCCAAGTTCAAGTTCAACGCCAAAAGACTAACCTAGCTCCCATTATGTATGAGCCAGTAAGTCCGGATGCAGATGCAGATGTGGTGGTATATGGGGAAAAGGAAATCCGAATCCATATCTGAATCCAGATTCAGATCCCAAGAAAGGATAGCGCGCCAGATTTTTTCTAAATGTTTTCTTAAATCATGCGTGGCCCATTAAAGTCTTGAACGTATCACGCTCGGCTTGAATGTCCGCTTGGAGTTGGCGGGTCTGACGGAGGGCCTCGTCCCTGTGAGTGGATGGTTAGTTCTCAACTATCCCGAAACACGACCAGTCAAATAGATAGGGCTCGGGGAAAAAATAAAAAAATTTAAAAACGTACCTATCCGATTGGAGTTGGGCCACATCTACCTGTGCGCGATTCATTCGTCCTATCACTTCTTCCATCTCCAGGTCTGCGTCGCGGAGAAGTCTTTCGAGGTTCTTGACGTGCTTCTCGAGTATCTCGACTTGGACGACTTCGACCAGCGGGACGCCTTCGCCACTGGTAGTATGATCTAGACGTGGCGAACGAGTGCTGAAGGGGGCATTCAGGGGTCGTGGTGAGAAGGCAGCAGCGGTGCGAGACCCAGTCTTCATCCGCACCAGTTGAGCATTATGACTTTCCTTCAACAGACGGATCTCCTCCTCATGTTTATGCATCTCTTCTTCAGAGTGGTGTTGAGCAAGCAAGAGAGCATCCTCGTATTCCTTCATACGATTTTGGAGGTAATTGATCCGCTCGACAGACAGATGCTGGTCTCTCTCACCCTTGTCAATGGCAGATGCCAGCCGACCGCGCAAGGAAAGGTTGATCTCCAACTGCTGCTGCACATCATGGCCCAGCTGATCTGCAGCCGCTAATTCATCAGGCCCAACACTAGCCTCGACTGCTTCTCGGTCGGCCAGCAGCTTCTGGTAGGCAGACTCGAGAGACGATGAAGTTGCCATGATCTCGGCAAAGGTGTCTTGGTCTGCGTCTAGCGCATCAGAGGCACCCGTGTCGAGTTCCTGGAGTAGCACTCTCAAAGAGCTGGTCTCCTGCTCGGCACGATCAAGATCCATCTTCAGACCTGCCAGGTTTTTCTCGCTTTGCCACTTGCCATCCAGGGCATCTTCAGCACGCATGCGAAGGTGGTTCATCTCATCACGGAGGCTTTGCACGTCCCTCTCGTACCCGGGCTTGCGGGGAGGGCCGGCCTGCTGAGCGCGCTCAAGTTCCAGCTCCATAATACGGGTGCGTTTCTCAAACTCACGCGCTTGCTGAGAATGACGATCGAGGAGACTCCTCAATGTGCGGTGAAGGGCGTCGCGTTGGGCTTCAACGTCCTTGACCTTATCAACCAGTGACCCTTCACCTCCAATCTCCCGTTCCTTTGGCGCATTCACCGAGTTGGATCGTGATAATGAACCTGATCGTGCTAAACCAGTAGGCTTACGGGCAAGGGAGTTTGATCGGGAAAGACCGAAAGCCGAGTTTCGCTTGCTCGACCCGCCCTCCTCTTCCGCAATCGACGCAAATCGGCCACCGTGTAGCTGTGCAAGAGATGCATTTTCGACCTTGAGAGCTTCAATCTCCTCTACCAAACGCTGAGTTTCCTGTGCGTTTTGTATTTCGACGGGGGCAGGAGGAGGAGCAGGGGCAGGAATCTGAATAGGGACAGGGGCTTTGTCTTCCCGAAGCAGATCTCGTTCATTCCTTAACTGCTCCAGTTCGACACGCATGGCCGTCAGCAAATCCTCGAAGTTATCTTTAGATTGACGCTCTTCGAGCAGCTTTCGGCGAGTGTCTTCGAGGGCGGTTTCGAGTTCCCGGGTCTTGGACGAAAGATCAGATAGGTCGACTCGTTCACGGCGGAGCTAAATTCGGGTGGTCAGTCAAAGAATGTTCCTTTATTTCGCCAGACTATCATACCTGTTGAACCTGATTCTCCAGAATCTGAACGTGCGACTCTGATGTGGTGCGCTTCAATCGCTCTTCTTGCAGCTTCTGTGATAGCTGCACCTTCAACTGCGCACGTTCCTGCTCTGCAGCCCGACGAATCTTGCCCATATCCTCCTCCATACGACCCGCATCGGAGGCGATTCGAACCGAACTGGTACCGGAGTCCGAGAAATAATCACTTGTCCGGCGGTTGAACTCTGGTCCCTCGGATTGTAGACGCTCGATCAAATCCTCGAGCTCCATCTCCCGGCGGATGGAGCCCGCCAACTCGGAGCTGATTTCTCGTAATTCATTTTCTAGGTCTGCAAATTTGGACGCGTACATAATATCTTGTGCACTCATACCACTGACCGACGGAGTTCGGGCGGGAAGGCCATAGTTGGAGGATCTGGTATCGTAAGGAGAGGGTGTTTTAATTGGGACGTTCGCCAGGGGAGGCATTGGCGATGGCATAGGGGAGCGACCACCGTCCGAGATCTCCGTGCTGGAAGAGTCGCCGCCGGGGGAGCTAGCAGTATTCCCTTTCCACCCGAAAAAGGAGCTGATTTTGTTACCGGGGGTCTTTGGTTGTCGAGGGTCCAGACCCATGGACGACCGATTGTCTATATCAATATATAGAGGTGGCCGGTTGGATGGATGCAAGGCCATACTCGAGACGCGCCGTTGGGTCGCGGGAGGAGAGGCCAGGATCGGTATAAAGGGCTCGCTCACTAGACGACTGTGGAGGGAGGAAGGGGTTCCATTCGAGAACTGTTGCGCGTATATTTCGTCAAGATAGTCCTCACCCTCCTCGGAGTCGTCGTCGTCCTCGACCACGGACCTCAGGTATGAGGCAGAGGCAGAGGCAGACGTATCGATGCGGAGGGGTTCCGATGAGTTTCGGCCGCGGGAGAATCTGGGGAAGTGCGAGGAGGGTAAGTAATGTGTTCTAATTCTGGGGAAGCGTCGCAGCATGTAGAGGCCATGTCACACACTATTGGGGAGTGATCGATAGTGCTTTTTCTTTGGGGGACCGGGTGTTTTCTTTGTTTCCCCCGGGTAAAAGAAAAAGGGGAGAGCGCATTCGCAATTGGAGGGGTGTGTGGCTCCACGCATACCTGTTTGAATTCCTTGGCGATATAAAGGAGCCTTCCAGAGATGACAGGGAAGGAGTTCTAGCCGTAGGAATGGGGGGATTATCGAAAGTCAGGGAGTTCAAAGGTCCAGACGGGATGGCATGCTGCAAAGGAAACCTTTGCGGCTGAGACTTCGGGGGGGAATATGAAGAACCGTCGGAGGTGACAGAAGGAGCGGGAGACCCGCGAGTATGGATAGACGCCATGAAACCCTCGTATCTACTAAAAAATAGCCATCGATCGACGGTCGCTCATGCCGATTAGCACGGGGTTAGACAGGCGCCAATGAGGACCAAAGAGGAAAGGATGTTATTAGGTGACTTCGGGAGAGGAGGAGAATGATAGCCAAAAAATCAATAAAACAAATCTTAAAAAAAAGGAGAAAGTCTACGACGACTTTTCTCTTGCGTTTGCAAAGAGGAAGCAGACGGGAACGAAAGTCGATAAAGTGGGGTTTTTCCCCCATGCAAAGGGGTTAAGCGCCTGTGATGGAGTCACCCATGCATGGATTCAATTGGTACATTTTGCTACAATTTCACTGGAAAAGAGCGCCAAGGGAGCGCTCTGGCCGGGATCGACATGGAAAACGTGAAGCTCCTTAAATTGGATACTGTTATTATATCCTAGGTTATTCATACATCAATCTCGTAGGGAGTAGTTGAACAACAATTCATCCGTATATCTGTATAACTTGGAATGATTTTTCAAATAAAAATAGTTACCAAAAAATCAATAGTTTCCAACCAATGAAAACCCCCTTGAGTCGTCAAGGAAGGTAACCGGGTTGGACCCACGCTAGTTACTTTAGGCGCATTTCAGGGGTAAAGGATGTCCACCGTTCGGTAACTCCCAGGTACCTTTAAAACCAGTGAATATACTTTTAACCTCCTTCCTTCATGCAAAGGTACTTTGAAGGTACAAGCTAGTTGACTTTAAAGGATCCATTGGAAGGTTCAAACACGCAAGGCTTCTATGACATAGATAATTCTACGGAGTATATCTATGATCTCTAGAATACTTTGGTACAAACTATGAAGCACAATTATTTGTGGGTAATGAACCTAAGTACGGACTAGATTTAGTAGACTTAGTACGCCGTAGATTAAGGGGTTCTCCATACTCTACGTAACCACCATAAGTTAACAGTGGAGTTCTCAGATTCTCTTCTTCAACCCCCTATTTTCCTTCCCTTCCAACTTCCAACTTCCAAGTCCCAAGAACGTGCGTTCCTGCATCTTAACCGTAAATTTGCCGATCACCAATCACAGCCCCGGCTTACCCCAAGGCGTGTCGCCCGGCACACTTGGACCAACGCGTGGCCACTGATACTGTAACAGGAATGGTCACATCTGTGCCCGTGTTCGTGCCTGCAGTCACCTCAAGCGCTAACCTTCCTAACCTTCCGACCAATGTGGTTGCGCAAAAACCTTGTACATGCTTGCACAACTATCACATTAAATCTTACATTCCCCTATCTAAGCCAAGCTAAGCTGAACAATTGTACAAAACCCGGTCATATATTTCCACATTAGGATTGTGCTGATCCAATCGATCATCTCGGGTTTACCTTTTTTCTCATATCTAACCTTTGGCTAAAATCCATTTTCATCCAACTGCAGTCTTAGCCCAGCCTCTTGACCCATTTTTGATCCTTGAGACCTGAGACATGGGGTACATTTCTTTGCCTCTGCCGTCATTGGACTGTCAAGTTGTCTCGTTTCCGGATACTCCTGAAATCATGCAGGTCAGAAGGATTTCCTTATCCTGATCCAAGTGGAGTGCCTGACCGCGTCACAGCTCCTGCTTCAGACTAGGTCTGGAACTAAAATAGCTAGCTTCTTTTCTTTTTTCTTTTTCATTGCTCGCTTTGGTCTTAGCGATATGGGTCCAAATTGGTGTATCCACTTTGTGGAAGACTGGAAAAAGAATATGATACAGCACTTTGGGCTATCCTGGGTTACACAGTCCCACCTGGCGGTTTGAGGAACTGATAGTCGAGGTTGAACGTGTGGTGGCTGGTTCTATTGTTAAACATGTGGCTTGCCAGGGTCTAGTAGGGCTGTTCTGAAGGGTCTCCTATGTCTTGCCCTGTCATGGCCGCTGACTAACTATAGACAAGGCGTTGTGCTATGCCCATCCAGTCACTTTCCGATAATTATGAATATCCACCACAGGTATACGTACTGGATCTTGTTTAACTGGAACAAGCTATGTAGCAATTGCTAGGTTACAATTAGACGGTACTGGACCCTATGGAGCTATACTGAAACCAACTTCTCCTAGAAAAGGACGCATCGTAAATATTTGATACATTACCAGACACCCAGTGGAACACTAAACATTCCGAACATGTAAAGGTCTGGATATTGAAGATCTTGAAGCAGAGCTGGATCCATAGCCCAGGTCTAGCTCCTGGATGACCTCCTTACTGCTGAATATGTCCCCGCCACATTGCGAACTCGAAAGCCAGCACGGGCGCTTCGACCAATTTGTTTCAAGTTTCGTCATTTCTGTGTCAATGATTCTCAATATAAGTATCAAGGTGGAACTTTTTGACTCCCTAGCGGTTTCTATTGCTGTCAAAATATGCGACGTGGCTCCACTCATGTCTATTTATACTTGGTACACCAGCCTTGTGCAAAAATCGAGAACCCCTGGACAAAAGACGTGCATCAACATCGAACCCCCTTTTTAGCACCCATGAGGTCTAGAACAGGCGAGATGCATCTGGGTAGAATATACGCAATAGCTAAATTTAGAAACTGTATTGTATAAAGAGACCAGAGGCGTACCTCAGATAATTCCACAAACGTAGTGCATTGCTCAAGACAACCACGATTCCACAAACTGAAACGCCCCGGTGATATAGTCCCCCCAAAACCGAAGCTTATTGACACCAGAAAGTGGGATATAACATACTAAAACATTCACATAACCTTAACCCACATAAAAGAACATTGCTCGTTGCACATGACACATATCGGAGAACTTCCCTCAACGCTAATAAGGAATGAAGTCAAATCTCATACGATCTGGACTAGAAGTCAGAAACAGAAAACAGAAAACAGAAAAAGACTTTGTCTGTGTGAGAAGGGAACATACCAAGGAAATGGCTCCAATCCTCATCCTCACTGAGCTGATTGGCCCAATATTGCTCAAGGAACTTCAAAGACTGTAGTACATTCGGAATACGCACAGTGTCGTGTAAAGATGTGAGTAGATGTCGCACCGTATCGCGATCCTCCCCTCGCGCTTCACAGCCCGCAATAAAGATCGGAGTCGTAAGCATAACCCATGGACTTAGACCAGAAGACGGTCCGATCTGGGCCGTGCACTCCAGAATTCGTTGGACAGACTGCTGTACATAGATCGAAGTGGTCGGTGTTTTGCGGAGTCGTCTATGAATCTGTATAAGAGCACTATGCTGGAACGCTTCATTACAGAGCGCAAGTTGTTGTATACTCTCTGCTGTCAAGCCCTCCGCCACGTCGGGGTATAGTGACGGCTGTGATCCGGCTTCTCGGTCCATGAGCTGTCGCACTGACATCTCCAGCAACGCAGCTTCATCCTCGACATTGCTATCAATCTCCCCTTCAATAAAGCCCTGCGCACCCCTCTCGGCTTCGAGCTTGCGCCAGGCAGCTGCACCGATCTGGCGGAAGATTGCTGCCAAATCAACCGTGAACCCCCAGTAGTCATCCAAATAGTCCGGGGAATCCTGAGCCGTGTCAAAGGGTGCAAAGTCTGAATTGTCGCCGATGGGTGGGCCATTGCCTGTCAGCGCTGTGAGTGATACGATCGACCAATACCAGCGATCTAGATATCGGCGGAACCCATGTGCAGATGAAAGCGTATTATCTCCTCTTCGATCCGAGGTCTTCATTAAGGCCCTCGCGCCTTCAATGTGTGCTCTCCAGGAATTTGGGTTCATTGCACCGGAATGAATCTCTGCTAAGCAGAGTGTTCGTGCAGTCGCCACTAATGCCTCCGAGCCCTTGGCCGAGGGATTTTGCAATTCCATGCGGAAATGCTCCAAACTTAGCGCCATATAACGGGCGATATCGGGCGCCGTTTTCACGTTCTCAGACTGGTTATGTAGGGCTTGTAGATGGATCGCTGAAAGGGCAGTGGTGGCGTGGAGTAAGGACGGGGTTTGTAGAGCCATTGGCACGAGCATGCGGCAGATATCCTGCTGCATACCGGAGTGGCAAGCTGTAATCTGGGACGCATCATTAATGAAGTGGTGAAGCAGCGCTCTCTGATCGGGCGAGAGGAATGAGAAGGGATCGACGGGTTGTGTCAAAGCGAGATCTGATGGTACGGCCTGGGCTGACTTGGACTTGGATTTGGTAGTGTAGATAAATTCTCCTGGTGAGTATTCTAGTCTCGAGTCAGCACGAAGTTATTGTCACTAAGTCCTTGGATTCCTCGTCCCATACATACCGAGTCTTTGCATGCCGCCAGTGTCTACGCAGGCGCCGAATCGCGATCGTGAAAAAGCCCGCCCTCCCCACTGCAGCTGCATTGCATACTTGCACTGCACGCCCGCGGTCGAGCAGCGGCCACAAGTCGGTCTCTGCTCGTCACATTTTTGGCGCCGCGCTTTACATCTTGTGCAGCCGTTAAAGGATCTCGACATGGGTGCTGAGTGGAGTGGAGAGTGGTGTGGTTCCTAGAGAAGAAATTCTGCGGGGAAGTGCAAGATCTCCGAGAACCCGCGCGTGAGAAGTTCGAGGGATTTCAAAGGAATAAAGCTCAGGAGAAAGAGGGACGACGTTATTGGATTAACTTCAAGTTAAACTTTGCTTTCATGAAAACCCATTGAGATTTCATGGATTCTGGCTTTTGGCTTTGGGGATCGCGCGAGAGATATGTTGAGTAGCGGGCCAGTTCCGAGTGGGGGATCCACAGATCAGCGGGTTTTATCAGTTCAGAACTTGGATATGGTAAAGGAAAATAATTCTGGTCCTGAGACACGAGTATGAGATATGAGATATGCACTATGGCAGAGTAAACAGTACATGCCAAAAGAAGCAGAGAAAAAGTTTATATGTTCATCCCACATGGAATAACCTCAAAATCCCTAAAAGGAGACAGTAAACCCTTGATCTTCTACTCAAAGGTGTATCGCAGCCACTCGCCGACAGCGCGCAAACTCTCCCATCGCACTGACTCATCCTGATCTGCCATCAACTCCATCACTCGAGCCTTCAGACCAAGCCGTTCCAATTGTGTACGCTTTTCGGGTAGCTCCTTCACCAAATGGCCAACATCATTACAGGCAATGGCCAAGACCTGCTTGTCATTCTCCCAGGGTTGGGACATGATCTCAGCGAGCTTCTTAGGCAGCGCCGCGTTGGACTCCTCCAAGATCCGACGGGCATTATCTTTCCAGAACGTGGGGTTCTTGTGCGGAGGCGACCAGCGCAAATGACCGGACTGGACTTCCGCGGCATATTCATCGAATGTAGTTTGGGTTTTGGTGTACTCGTCCAGCATAGTAGATAGGGCTTGGAGGTCTTCGACAAGGTCATCATCGGTCAAATGGCGTCCAGATAGTTTGGTGAGTTGAGCGGGTAGGCGGACGAAGACGGCAGCAGGGAGCAAGGTCGTCCGGTTATTGGAAAGCAGATTGAGCAAGGTTGCAAGAAGCAGTCGGATAGTCTTTTCCTTCTGTGAGATAGCCAGGAGTTGAGTGTAGAGTTGAATGATCTCATAGTTCCTAGAAAGGGTAAGCAGCTGGTCACACCTCAGTTGTCCTGTGGAGAAGTTGTTGGTGCTTACTCTTGCAATTCCTCGCCAACCAGTTCACTTTCAAATGTGAGCTGCCATACTACGAGAAGTACTCGGTAAAGTAGCTGGAGACCAACGCCTTTTTCCAGACCGGAGTCGGTGCCACGTGTACTGGTTCCTGCAGGGGCAGTTTCCTTAGTGCCTGCCGCGGCACGAAGAGTATCAATCAGGGGATCTAAAGTTTCTTTCCGGTGGTTCCAGAAGATCTCGCGCGAACGCTTCTTCCGAAGCAGCTCCGAGAATCCCTGAACACCAATGTCCTGCAGCCCGCTGTCTTGGTTCTTGGTCAGGGTAGATAGGTAAAGGTATAGCTGGGGAAGAGCTTCGTCATCGCGGGGGGCAGGCTTGGATGAGCTGACAAGGCTGTGCGACACGAGAGCCGTGAGAAAGGTCGATGTGAGCAGCGGGATGGGATCCTCGGCATTTGAGGATTGATGCAAGAACGGTAGGAATGGCTTGTAGGGTTCAGGGTGAGAAACGAGCACATCGGCCAGCGAGGGAACGTCTGTATATATAGTTACATAGATCAGTAATTCATTCCGGGGTATGGCAATCCTCAGTCAGCCACATACCCAGAATCAAATCCGACGCCAGCACCAAGATGTATTGCACGATATCTGTCCTGCGGGAAGCTGACTCCAACACACTTTTGCCTTGTGAACCACCAGCAAGCAAGCTTGTATAGCCTGAGAGATCTGCCTCTATTGTCTGGATGCGCTGCTCTTTGCGCACCTTGTCCACGGCCTTGATCTTCTTCAGGTGGTCATCGGTGATGTTGCCCGCTCGGACGGCACCCTCCCAAGGAATTGGCCGAGCCCGAATGTTGTTTTGAAGGGAGCTGAGGTAAGTGGGTGGATCCAACGACATGATGAATCAAATCCCCTGAGGAAGAGGGGGGAAACTGGGGTAGATAATGAAGGAGGGGGAGGTTTATCCAAGTCGGAGGAGGGAGAAGCTTGGGGAGATGACGGTAGCTTCTGCCAAGACCGACAAGTCCATCCCAACGGATCGGGGTTAATCGTTTCATTTCCGTGAGCCTTCCTCTTCCCCTCCCCATCTTTGCCTTTTGCTACTCGCTAGTGGCTATAACATTGACGTGAGATTAATTTCTACCGTTCTCTTTGACTCGCGCACTTCGTGCGACGTCATTTTGGCAACGTGGTCGTTGCCTTGTACTTCTAACTACAACTTCGAGTCCTACAACAACACCTCCCAGCCCTTTATTTCCCGGCTGGAAGCCAGTCGCCTACATCTCTGTCAACGGAGTGAACCACCGCGTGATCAATCTACCATTTCACTCTCCGAATCGAATGCAACGAGCCGTTGTCCAGGCGCAGCCCCCACCGAACTCATGCAAATTGAACAGAAGGCGTTCACAGCCCAGTAACCCGAGTCGCATCGCCCTACGTATCTGATAAAATGGCGCAGGATTCTCAAAATCCATCCAAAACCAAATGGGGAGTGGGGTCGTTCTTTCAGCAGGCAGTCGCAGGTGTCGAATCTCGGTTGGACCATATTTTGTTGGATGAAGAGGAGAGACAGAAAAACGCGGCTGCGAATGCGAAATCCCAGGAGAATGAGACCAAAAACACTCCATTAACAAGGTCTCCGGCTGGCTGTAGGACACCTTAGATTGCAATTGAGTGCGAACTTGACTAACTCAACCTTACAGCGATATCTCGTAGCTCCTCAAATGCACGAAGGAATGATCGACTCCAAGAGCGATTGGCGCGTGCCATGGTCAAATCGAATACGGCAAATCGGAACACACAGTCTTCACCAAGTCGCTCTTCGCCAGCTGCTAGCCCCCGGCCGAGCAATGATATGCGACGGAGCATGGACATCGATTCCACTCTAGCATCATCCGCGGAGATCACTGATGGTCTTAAGAGTCCGTCGCATACCGAAGAAGAGACCAATCCGGAAGCAAATATGCCGAGATTCAGTCATGACTCCGGAACATCAATACGAAATTCTACAGAAATAAATGCTGGAGAATCGCTGCCGATGGGCGACGTGGTAGAGCGACCAGCAAACTTGGAAAAAACCACTGAGAACCCGACAGAATCTCAAGTGACCGGGGAATCTGTCATTAGTCCCTCGGTAGACAGCACACGAATAAGCGTGGACCTGCCGGCAGATGATGAACCCAGTGATGAGCAAACTGCCGAATCGGAAAGACAAGAGGAGATACACGGATATATTGAACGTATCGACGCACTGCAGTCAAAACTCAAATATCTTGCCAAGGAAGCTGCCGAATCGGCCAAGTATGCTGCTGCCAGTGCTTCACCAGGTAGTATCAAGAAACAGCTGCTAGAAAAAGACGAAAAGATTGCATTGCTCCTCGAGGAGGGACAGAAGCTTTCAAAGTCTGAGATGGATCATCGTACCGTCATCAAGAAGCTCCGCCAGCAGCTTGTTGACAGCACCAAGGAACAGACAGATATGAAGAAAAGAAACGATAAGTTAGAACGGGATTTCGCCAACTCGGAAGCCAGAGCGAAACGAGCCGAGGCTGCAGAGAAGAGAGCAATCGAATCCTTGTCATCACAGACAAAATCCACCAAAGACTTTGACGCCGTGTTAAATGAGCGAAACGCCCTTAGTCAGACTGTCACTGAGATGAAGGCACAGTTGAGTCGAGCTCTTGCGCGTGCTGAAGCCTCCGAGGCTAAAGCTAATTCTGAGGCATTGGATCATGAGAAGCGTAAAGCCAATGAATTAGAGGAGGAACTAACGAACGCAAAGATCGAACGCGATATCAGCGAGGAGAAGAGGAAGAAGGAGATCTCTGAACTGAAGGAGAAACTGGATCAAGAGAAAGAACGTGCACGGATGCTTGAGGCGGAGCTGAAGGGCGAGCAATCAGTCCTGGAAAGCAAGATGGAAAGTCTTCGGACTCGGGCAGAAGAGGCATCCTCTGGGGCAACCGGAGAGACTCAGGCCAAGCTTCTGCGACAAATTGAGACTTTGCAGACTCAATATTCAGTTGCCAGTGAGAATTGGCATTCTCTAGAGGGTTCTTTGCTTTCTCGGTTGGCCAATGTTGAGAAAGAACGAGATGACCTAGGCCGAAAAGAAGGTGATTTGCGGAAGAAGATACGGGAGTTGGTAAGTCTATACTTCCTAAAATGCCGATTTTAACCGAAGCTGATGAATCCCAAGAACCTCAAAACCAAGAAGCTGGAAGAAGAGGTCGAAGCTGCCAAAGAGTCTGAGCAAGAGGTGGAGAACAAACTTGAAGAATGTATGCAAGATCTGCAGAAATTGCAACAGAAGCTGGATAAGGCGGTTGAAGACCTTGCTACCACCCAAACAGACATTGTGGAGCAAAAGAAGGCGTGTGATGCGTCATGGGCACAGAAATTGGAAGAGGAACGGATCAAATGGCGGGAGCAGGTCAACAACTTGCAACACCCTCGAGGTGTATCACCTGTCCAGTCATTACGTCGGTCGAGCAATCTCGACACCGTTCCATCTGGTCTATATGACTATCGTCCTTCTAGCCGTCGTTCATCCACCATGCCCACAGCCTCGCCTGATATTGGCACACCACCGCGCCAGAACTCTTACCCAGCCTCAATCAATCAAGGGACGCTCTCTCCTCCCCCAATCAACACCAGCACCATCATGGAGACGCCTTCAATCACATTCGAACCGGATGAATTTTTCAGCCCTGCCACCCCGATCACTCCATCCATGTATGGTGGTACACAGGCAGCACCATCTCGCGGGATCAACGATATCATTTCCGAGTCAACTGTAGGCGCAGGCCCATCAGTGCAGCTAGTCGAGCGCATGAGTGCTACTGTTCGCCGCTTGGAAAGCGAACGTGCCGGGTCCAAGGACGAGCTTGCCCGTGTGACCGCCCAGCGCGATGAATCCAGACAGCAAGTTGTGGACCTCATGCGTGAGTTAGAGGAAAAGAAGACCTCGGACTCTCGCGTGCAGGAACTCGAGGCAAGGCTTACGGAGATCGACCAGCGATACCAGACTACCCTCGAGATGCTGGGCGAGAAGAGTGAACAAGTCGAAGAACTTGAAGCTGATATTGCCGACTTGAAGAGGATCTATCGCGAGTTGGTGGATAGCACTATGAAATGAAGGAATTAAGGATGCATTATATACGTCATGAGCGTTCTAGCTTTCTACCCCGAGACTCAACGAGCATGACTGTCGTTTGAAGATTGGGAATATCTGTACATAAACCTGAAGTCTCCAAATGTCCAGGGGAAGAACCGCAAACGTGTTGTCAATTAGAAACCCCTCAGATTTTAATTAATCGAGGACCATATGCACATTGGACTTATCTGTATTGGAACATAACAATGCAGATATGCAACTGATGCCTCTGAATAAGCACTACATCAGGCAACACCAAAGTCCCTTGCTTTTACTTCAAATGCTCCTTTTTATGCTAGCTTTCTTCCTTTATTCACCCTTCAGGGCCGTATCACTGTTTCGCGTCTCTGTGCTGCCATTCTCCATTCCCCTTATTCCTTGGAAATGGGGATTTCCTCTCCTACATGATCCCCCATTCCTATATTACTTGCGAAGCGGGGCTTTTCCCCCCTTTGTCTCATCTTGGCATAATGGATTCGGCTAACCTTGCCTTCAATACCTAGGACCTCCATGTGGTCTCTTCAGGGGTTCAAGAAGCATGTCACTCTTATAGACCGTTTGAACCAATGAAAGATATGAAGTGGATACCCGTAACCTGTTTGCTTAGTTTGCATTCTGTTATCGCGGTTGCTGCGTGCAACAGCTCCCACGATACCTTGCATAACGAACGGATTCCAATAAAGGCCTAGCTTTCTTCTTTTTTGAATTGATTGAGGCTATATCGCCTACATTCAACCTGATAGCTTTTCCTAATATACACGGAAAAGGTGTAACGATCACTTCCGACCCACCACTCCAAACAAAGCCGCTTTCAAAGATTGGATTAAGTCGGAACAAATTTCTAAAGACTGGATTCTTCCCTTTCTCCTATCCAACTGCGCATACCCAGTCCAGCAAAGGACTACCTCTAAAACAGATCCGAAGTCATGGATCTCCTTCCAGGTACGTGTGACTTATTATCAACTTGAAGCTCGCTCAGCGAGCGTACAAAACAACCCTACTCTCTCCGTCCCTTGGTTGGCTCGATGCGCACAAACAAGACGTCTTCTAACCAGCTTCTGCATCTATAGAAAACCTGCAATCATTTCTTCAGCACCCTACAATCTCCTTCCTTCGCAACACAACTCAAGGCCAAGTAACAGCACAGCTTGCCAATCTGCGCTCTGCCTATGTCCAACCCTACATTATTGATCCGCTATCAACCTTCCTCACATCCACAAGTGCCGCTGCCATGCCCGACCTTCTCTCTGTGTTCATGCTAGTTGTCATCTTGTTCATCTCGCTCAAGATTCTTGACTATGCGCGGCGCCTGGTCATGTTTTGGGTGATGTTGGCCTTCCGGCTAGTCTTCTGGGGCTCGTTGATTGGTCTCGGCCTGTACGTGTATCAGGTGGGCGTGGAAAATGCAGGAAGGGATCTAGGTTGGCTCTGGGGCGTTACGATGGGCTTTGTAGAGGATTTCCACACTAGGAGCGGGAGTCCTGCCGGAGGCTGGGTGCCCGGGGCCGGCTCGGGGTCGGGTTCGGGGAAACAGGGGAATCGTGGGGGCTTTTGGGGATGAGAGATGGGTCGCATAGATGAAGGATCGATCCTATGGCTATTACTTTTGGAGATATACCGTTTCCGCTAGTTTACGGTTGTGCTTGATTGTTCTGGGAGTTTTCATCATTCATGAGCTTTCTTTATTGTTTTTAGCGTATTATTAAGTCTGATCATGTCCATATCTTCTTAATTCTTCTTGAGTGAGGAGACCTCTAAAACAGTGGGACTCTGGTGTGGCGTTTCGTGTGGGAGCTGTATGCGGTGGTGGGGTATGTCTTTCTCCCCGCGCCCGGGAATACATCGAGTTTCCACCACCGAGTCAAAACATCTGTTTCAAGGTTGTTGCCGCTGAGGTGGTGATCGAAATGAATTTCGCCGAATCCTCATAGTTCGGGCCACCATAGTATAATGGCGACAAATAAGCTGACGGTGCTCGGAGGGTGTGGCACTGTCTCGGGATTACATGGTGTCCGCAAAACACCGACAGGAAAAAGAAACAAAAAAAAAGACCGCGGTTATTATTCGTCCGCGAAGTTCCCCTCCTGTTCATCTTTGGGCTCCCTGGGTTCCTGAGCTTCGTGGTATTGGATAGCATCATCGATATGGCTCAAGACACCCGCAACGCTGTCTTCATCCTGGACCTCCAGCTGTAGGAAAGAGACCATGCTGAAGTCATCAATTAATTGCGCCACAGCTCGGTTGAGCTGCTTAAAGGAGCCACCGCTCAGTAGCGCATCCTTGGCCATGGGGTTGGCGCTCACAGCCGGGTCTTCCTCCTCAGTCGATAACAGTTGCATGTCCACATTGGTGAATCGTCTCAACTCCCGGCGGCTCACCATGTCCCGAACCTGATCCATTTTGCTAAGAATGTTAACATGTGGAATCTCCAGCATGAGCATGGCGGACATGGCACTCAAGGTGCCAGCGAAGAATTTGGCCTTATCGACGACAAATGTGCTTTCAAGTAGGTATGCCGCGCAGAGGTTGATATTCAAAGGGCCCTGGCGAGACAGGAACTGTACAAGGGACGGGAGGAGTGGGATGTGCGTGTAAAGTTCGATTTGGCCCGGCATATCGAAAATGATGAGATATTCTTCACTCAGCGGCTCGAGCGCCTCCGATAGGAACTCCAGGTTCTGAAGAAGGAATTCAAAGCAGTAGATGAGACCACCGTTGGGACCGAGCTGCAGCTCCTCCATGACATCTTCTAATGTGATCAGGTCTCGAATGTCGAGATCCGGTTGGTATGTGAAGGATTCAGCGGCGGGGTCCAGATTAACGTAAAAACAGCTCCGGCGAGTGCTCTGGAGGTGTTGAATTACGGCATTGCTGAAGGTGGTTTTGCCTGCCCCAGCAGGACCCATAACCAAGACACCAAATTTGGACATGGTGAATTAGATAAAAGCGGATAAATGGAGGATGTGATGAGTGATAGTTGATAGGTCTCAAAACATGAAGATCGATTGCTTATCGGTAACTGAGAATTTTCCACTGCCGGTGGGGCGGGTCCAGGCGGTGAGTGATTCAAAAACTTGATTGGTTTAATTTTGCATGATTTGCATTGTGGAGGCTGAGGGGGGGGCGGTGAAGCGTTGAGCCCGGACCAACATATGCACCGATGGCGTTATCGACTAACAAAATAGTATTGCAGGGGTCGGAGGCCGAAGTCAATTGTCCTCCTTCTGTGGTTCCGGGTCCCATTTTTTTCTGCCCCGCTCTCTCTCACCCATATACCAACCCCTCTCCCTCTTTTTTTTTCTTCTTCTCTTCCTCATCCACCTCCCTCACAACTTCCTTCTTTTCCCTTTAATTTAAAAACCATCCTTCACAATGGGTTCCGTTGCGCAGAAGCCTGGCACTTTCCTTTTCACCTCCGAGTCCGTCGGTGAGGGTCACCCCGATAAGATTGCGTGAGTTTTTTCTGGAGTTGATTTTCCCCTGAAGGCGTACAGGAAATCCCTTTGAAAAAGCAATTCTAACCACCGTGTCCTCTTCTATAGTGACCAGGTCTCGGATGCTGTCCTCGATGCCTGTTTGAGGGAGGACCCTCTCTCCAAGGTCGCTTGTGAGACTGCCACCAAGACTGGTAGGTGTCATTTTAATAGCCCCCATCGTATTGCCGACCGAGCCCCCCATTCTGACATGTTTTCTTCCAGGTATGGTTATGGTCTTCGGTGAGATCACCACCAAGGCCAACCTGGATTACCAGAAGATCATTCGTGGCGCTATCAAGGACATCGGTTACGATGCCTCCGAGAAGGGCTTCGACTACAAGACTTGCAACGTTTTGGTTGCCATTGAGCAGCAGTCTCCCGATATCGCTCAAGGCCTTCACTACGATGATGCCCTTGAGAAGCTCGGTGCCGGTGACCAGGGTATCATGTTCGGTTATGCCACTGATGAGACCCCTGAGCTCCTCCCCCTCACCGTCCTCCTCTCTCACAAGCTCAACGCTGCCATGACCGCCGCCCGTAAGGACGGTTCCATCCCCTGGTTGCTGCCCGACACCAAGACCCAGGTCACTGTCGAGTACGCTCACGACAACGGTGCTGTCAAGCCCCTCCGTGTCGACACCGTTGTTATTTCTGCCCAGCACACTGACGATCTCACCACTGAGGAGATCCGTGCCAACCTTAAGGAGCAGATCATCAAGAAGGTCATTCCCGCTGAGCTTTTGGATGACCGCACTGTCTACCACCTGCAGCCCTCTGGCCGCTTCGTCATTGGTGGTCCCCAGGGTGACGCCGGTCTGACTGGCCGTAAGATCATCGTCGACACCTACGGTGGTTGGGGTGCCCACGGTGGTGGTGCTTTCTCCGGAAAGGACTACTCCAAGGTCGACCGTTCCGCTGCCTACGTTGCCCGCTGGATTGCCAAGTCCCTGGTTAACGCCAAGCTGGCCCGTCGTGCGCTCGTCCAGCTGTCGTACGCCATCGGTGTTGCCGAGCCCCTCTCCATCTTCGTCGAGACCTACGGTACTTCCACCAAGTCTTCCGATGAGCTTGTGGAGATCATCCGCAAGAACTTCGATCTCCGCCCTGGTGTCATTGTCAAGGACCTGGACCTGGCCAAGCCCATCTACTTCCAGACCGCCAAGAACGGTCACTTCACCAACCAGAGCTTCACCTGGGAGCAGCCTAAGGTCCTGAAGTTCTAAACGGATCCCTCCGTCCGGCAACTTCGGAGACGTTATTGACGAATGTGATGAGACTGCTTTGTTTTCAACAACTCAAAGTACATGCATAGAGCATTATAAAATCTAAAACGACAAAAACCTTTTAAAAGTTTGATTCCTTTCGGAACTCAATCTTTCTTGTTTCATTACCTGCATGCTTGTCCTGCAAATTACGGCGAAGACAAAATTCAACATGATACCACTTTCATCAACTGGGACGGGATGTTTTAGGCGTTTTTTTTTCGGGAGCGAAGTCTTCAACAACCATATCACCTTCTCCTCACCTTACTCTATATCTTATTCATGATTAGTACTGCGTACTATGTCTGTTTAAATAGATTCGGGATATAGGTGACGAGAAGCTACCATGAGACCCATTTGTGGCTCTGGCCCGCTAATCTAAACATTAGCATTACAATAATTACAATCTAAGCGATTTAAAACAATACAAAATTCCAAACCATATCCTAGAAAACCCCTAGTATCTTCAATAAGAGTCACTACTTAAAAGAGGTGCACATGTGAGTAAGGCGGACTAGAATTCTTCAGGCGGGGCCTTAATGCTTAGACCTCGACGCGTGACACGAATTTCCACTAACCAATTTAACCCGCGTCTTACACTTGAACCCACCAACTTGCACTGCATCAGCGTGCCATTTTTCGTTATCTGGCATACTGTTACTGAAACCCTGAAATTTCCATAATGAACACCATTGTCTAGACGAGACCATGACCGCGCGCGTGGTTCCAACCATCTTAGATCCGCTCAATGCATCCGCGCTGAACAAACTCACCGAGCCGGCCCAACCGCTGTTCAAAAAGCGCAAGATCGGACATGAAGCTGCTGCTGGACAGCTAGCTAGCTCATCTATAGTGATTAGAGTATGTTTGATCGAATGACCCCTGCAATCCTGTAACATCCCTCGCTCACGCTCTTTGATCTCTACCAGGCCCACGCCGCCTCACTATCCGATGAACCACTCGTTTTCGATCGCATTACCACCCTACCACGCTCCAGATTACCACTTTCATGGCTTGAAGACGCGTCATGGTCACACTCCGACGCGCAACCGGGCGGCTTGTTCGTTGCTGATATTCCCGTCCTCGAAAATGATTTATGTGCCTGTGCAGAGCCTACCGTGCTTGCCGTGCGGCTGGTTGCAGATGGAGGTTTATACGTCATTGAGCGGGTAAAGAGAGGCATCTACTCGCTTAATAGGCTTGCACGGTGGGTGCATGAGGGTGATGTTGTTGTTGCTGTGAAGGGATGGCAGAGGTCTTCTCGAGTGGTGGATATGGAAGTTGATGTTGAGGAGAAGCCTCTTCCTGTTCCGGATGCTCTCAATTGGTGGCAGGCTGCTCAGATCGAAGAGCCTCTCTCTGATCTCGGGCTAGGAGACGACTTCGCTGCGCTGCATGTTGATCTTGTGTATGAGGATATCGAGGCGGATGCTGGGCCTATTGCACCTTCTTTTGTCGATGTACCTGAGTTTCGGGGCAATTCGGTTGCTCCTGCCTCAAAGGGTGTGAATGGCGATATGGAGGCTTCGTTTACGGAGTCAGAGTCCCAGCGCATGCATCTGACGGACGCTATGGATGTCGACTTCACAGACAATAATGATATTGATGGGAAGCAGTCACATGAGGAGCTTTTGAATGGCATGAGGGACCATTACCTGCAAGCACTCTATATCTCAAAGGTTCGTTTTCTGCTAATTTCACTCCAGAGCTTGGTATCTAACGGTTTTCCTAGACATCTCTGGCCTACTTTGCAAAGGGCCCCTTGACACGTTGCCGTGCCGCTTTTCAATCGTCTACCCTTGAGCCAACTCGGAAGCCCAGCCAACTAGTCGACTTTTACCGTGAGGCTATTTTGGCTGCGAAGAAGATGGACCTCAAATATCGAGAAGCATTGCCAGCAGCCGTTCAGGAGGCAGTGCTTGCTGTATCTGATGGTGAAAGGGGTACTAAAAAGCGGAAGAGCAAAAAGAAGAAGATGAGTAAAAACGGTCTGTATCCTGAAGAGGAAGACTTCATTCACAAGTGGTGGAAGGACCGGATCATCGCAGAATCATCCGCTCAAGAGAATTCACGTGAAGCAGAGACCAGGAAACACATTTCTGATCTTCGATTGCGTGAAACGCAATTGCAGATTCTTCTAATTCTGGAAGTGATGGCTTTGGAATGGACTCCCGTCGAGAAAAAAGATGTAGAGACCATAAAAGAGATCGACGGGGACAAAGACACGCTCAAGAAACCCAGGCCCAAGAAATCTCAGGATTTGAACGTGCTCCTCGAACTACACCTCGACCGGCTGTGCATCTGGCATGCTGTTGGCCTCGAAGAACCTTCAACGGCCGACACGGCAAGAACATCGGCTTTCAACGAAGGCCATATGTCTGGAAAGAAGGTCGAAAGTGATGCCGTGCGTGACTTTTGCACCGAGGTCATTGTTCCGTTCTATGCGGCACGCTTGCCAGGCAAATGCAAGTTGATCACTCGAAAATTTGGTGTATCCGGTGGTATTTCACCAGCGGGCAAGAAATTATCAAACAAGAGAGAGCGTCCTGGTCCTGGAGCCGAAGTCAAACGACAAGCGCCGCCTCAGAATACTCGCCGCTCGCTACAGCGTGTCTTGACCGACGAGAAGGCTGCAGCGGCATCTCAAAACCGACACCCATCTCTCCATCGGTCTAGCACAGCACCAAGTAAACAGGAAACGAGCCGTGATTCTATGGAGCCCTTGCTTCCCACTGTTCTATCAGGGAATGTGCGAGGTGGAATCCAAGTTAAACGTGTGGAAAACCGCGAGGTTGATCTTAATGCAGTTGCTCGTCAGCACGAGAGTAAATTGCGAAAGGTTCAAATGTTGGTCGATCAAAAGAAGGAACTTGATGCTGCAATTCACGCTCTGCGAAAACCAAACCGAGAGATGGTCGCGAACGACATTATTGAAGATGCGACTAAGCGGGCCTCCAGCGGAGGGGGTAGCTCCCGGAAGCCCAAGAACCCTGTTCGCAACCCATACGGCCAAGGCGTGCAGGTCATGGCAACACCTCGTGGCAATCGCAAGAAGGATGCGGTTGTCGGGATGCCTCCACTACCTCGCAGCCTTAAACCTTCCAAATCATTTGCCGGGGAAATGGAAAACCATTCCCTAGCAGAATCCCCGGTTATGATTCCGTCCTCGACTCGACGGGCAATTTCATTCTCTGGGCCCGATTCAAACCCATTCAAGTCTCGTCGCGCTGCAGATACAGTCCAGAGTGGGCGCCGGCAGCAACAACCGACAGAGCTCGGGTCTATCCAAGAAACCCCTACCCGCCCTCCAAACCGGCTGTTGTTTGATACCAAACCCCGCAGCACTGATCCCGGCCGTGTATCTTCATCTGCAAGCAAAGTGACCGATCTTTTCCGAGTACCCCAGCTTCCCGAGTCTCGTACAAACCCTAGCGAACCGATAGCGCCTTCAACCCCAGTTTCATCCCGGCGTAAGCATATCGTCGCAACATCAACACCGGAATCATCCCGGCCGCTCAACCGGGCTTTCGAAGGCGCCCGCTCCTTAATAATCACAGAGACACCACCAAAGCAGCGTGGTCTAGAAACCATGCCTGATCCTAGCTCTATTCCGGCCGTTCCTAATCTGCCGGCAATGATCGCCAACAATCTCTGTGTGCCGTCTTCGCCAGTTGTCATCAGTACCCCAGTCAAAGGAGCTGGCGTCATTCCTGTGACACCGGACAAGCCACAATCCAAATCGATCTATGACCAGCTGGGCTGGGACGATGATGATATGGACTTATTGTAGGTTGCGAGCTCATCAAGTTAAATGTATGCATCTTCGCCGGTGTTTGGTTTCTATCTCGCGATATAGCATTGGCATAACAGGAGCGGGTTCATTGATACATATTTAGCCTATCATTGTTACGAGAGTTCTATCATCACATTTTCAGGTGCAGGTGTTTCTGCAGTACATGAAGCATAGCCACAACCCAGCATTGAATTTAATCAATAATTTTACTGCCTAATACATTCAAAAACAGCACTGTAGGCGGACACATGTGCACTCTATGTCTTCAAAATTGTCAATTCTGAGTCTGATGTACTTTCTCTATCTATAAAATGCCTTGCGCGACCTTCTGTTGGGTGAAGCTCTATCTGGACTCACTGATTTACCACCGATCGGTAGGTCATGAGGTTTCAAATGTTGATTGCCCAAGTTTCTTCTGTCCATCTTTGTGCCTCTTGATGAGGCTAGAGGGGGAGGGAAAGCATAAAACCATATATTCCCCGGTCTTCAATTTCGGGTCTTGGATGTTTCTCTTATCCTCCGATCCGTCTTGGCTGCCCCAGATCTCCCACAAATGTTGTTAGACTTAGGAAGCTTAGTGACTTGGGATTCAATGCCATTCATTCAGGGTGTCTTGTGCGGATTTTAAAACCCATATAGCTCAACGAGCTGACTGGGAAAGAGCAACCTACCACAATCATATTGATCGAAATGTCGCCTCGGCTGATCATATTTTCTTACCCAAATGAGATCCATCTGGCACACAGTATGACTTTTCAAGCACCTGAAAAGAATTGCTCATTGGAAGTTCAAGCTCTCGGTCAGGTCGATGGCTGGCAATACATCGATGGAGTTGAGCAGTAATGCGGCATCCCATACGCCGATCTCCCAAAACGCTGGACTCGTTCCGAGTTGAAGACTTTCTGGCCGGACAGATATCACGATGGAACTCAGCTGGGGTATGTCATCTGTCTGGTAATGAAGCTTCACAACAATGGCTGACTATATGAATTTAAGCAATAACTGCCCGCGTCCTCGGCTCTCGGGGAGTGATTCCAGCCCGACAAATCCATTCATCCCAGTCCCGCCCAATCCAACATTTACAAGAACTCCTTTAAGCGACGAAAAGACTGCGCTCATCTTGAACATCGCCACGGCTCAGAAATCCTTCACCGGCATTGAAAAGAAGCTTCCTGTCTTCGTGTGGATTCACGGTGGATCCTTGTTATTTGGAAGCGCGAACTACGGCATATATGACACCGTGAACCTTGTTTCGCATAGCAAAGCCGTTGGTCTCCCCATACTTGCTGTTAGTATCAACTACAGACTCGGACTGGGCGGATTCCTGGCCAGCGCGAAGATAGCAGAAGAGCTAAAGCGAGACGGGTTCGCAGGCAACGGGAATTTTGGGTTCACAGATCAGAAGGTTGCGTTGGACTGGGTACAGAAGTATATCTCAAACTTTGGAGGGGACCCCAACAATGTTACAGTTGTGGGACAGTCGGCTGGGGGCGTCTGTATCGGCCACCATATGGCGTCGAGCCATCCGATGAAATTCCATCGTGCAGTGTGTATGTCTGGTTTTGGGACAACCTTGCGAGCACTTTCTCTGGAGGACCATGAGAACCTCTTTGACAGCACGTGTCGCTATTTTTGTATTGATTCGCATGTTACAGATGCATTGGATCGGCTGCGGCAGGTTGACCAGCAGGTGCTGGCTGATGCAGATCCCATCATTCAGGGTGTGCCGGCCGGCACTGGCAATCCATGGTGGTTCTATGCACACAAACCCCAGGAAATGACTGCAGCACCGAGCTGGGTGAAGTCTTTCATATTTGGCGATGTTCATGATGAGGGAGTTATCTTCATCCTGAACCTGATGAAGGACACATATGACACCGTTCGAAGTACGCTCATGCAGGAAGTTCAAGACGAGAATTTTCTCAACGCCGTCTTCAATGAATACGGAATCACGTCAGACCTGACGCAGAACGTACTCCTGGATAGCGTATGCACCATGGCTGCGGATACTGTATTCAAAATCCAAAATTATGAGGCCGGAATTGTGAATCAACGTCTGCGGGAAGAGGGCGCACTCTTCAAATATCATTTTGATCAACGCTCTCGTATCCACAATGCCCTGGAAGGAAAATCATACCACGGCTTCGATGTGATTTATTTATTCAGGGACCTTGATACTGCCCTAACCGAGGTGGAACGTGCCATGGGGAGTGATCTTCAAACCGCCTGGCTTCAATTTGTGCATGGCCAGCCACCATGGCAAAAAGGAAGGAACATCGGTCTGTGGAAAGTTTGGGGTTCTGATTCGCAGGTAAAGACTGAGACAGAACAACAAGATGAGCCCGCTCGCCACTATTCTCGGTTCAAGCGGGTGCTTCAACTGGGCGCTGGGGGATTATGGGAAAAATATATGAAGGGGCTAGATTCTCTAGTTATGAAACGGGGAAACAGCGGGAAGTTTGAGCAAATGTGATCATAGCTAACAATTGGTGAGAGGATGGATGATCTTGGTTATGGGCATTTTCTTTATCCCCTGACTGTAGTTTTTGATCCCCTCGATTCTACTGAAGTTGACTCCCCGGACGAAGATAGTGATATCGATTGATAATGTCATTGATAAGCTATCAATCCACAGACATACCACAAGGCAGCCTTAAATTTGGGTTTCAAGCTGTGCATAGCAAAAAGACATATCGTTTCATCCTCCCGCGCACTGAGATCGTGCCCATCAACATACATATTCCCCACAGACACAGCATGGGCGAGCTCACAATTCAACCACTTCCACGGCATCAAAGGCATACTAATACAAACGGAATTAGCATTATGCTGCTTTTGTCCAGAGCAATAATTTACTCTTTGGAAAAATCCGCAGAATTGAATGCCTCGGAATCATGGACCACCCCCTCCCCAAAATAGCACATATTCAGACCGACGGTCAGAATAGGGGCGTGAAAAAAATTTGAAATTCATGTCTATCGCATCCGTCAATTGGAATGCTACCATAAGTGAGAAAAAAGTCAACTGTGTGTCTAAAATCGGCCAAGGTAATATCACCGTAGCGCTCATGCGGAAGTCTGCGCAGCGCTAGCATCGGACCCTTGTATGGATAGGGAGTTGGTGCTGCTAACATCAAGATGCTAGCATTATCAACCGATCCATCATTCATGAAGTTGTCACGCATACTAAGGTCGATACAATAGCCTTCTTCGCCCCCAATAACCCGAGGGCAATATCCCGAGCCAAGCTTCGTGTTTCGAAAAGGGTTGAATTGGAAGGAGACGTTCTCTGGAAGTGGCTCATCATTTCCAAGGTAGTTGTGATAGACAATGTGTTCATAGTCATATTAGAACCAGGTCTGCAGCCACACAATCTCCGGGCCTGTGGACTCTACAGGGAAGTAGATGGCGCGTCTGTGCTCTGGAGATGGCCGTGGTTTTTGATGCGCAAATTTCTGGCAAAGTAGCTTGTGTAAACGCCAGTCTTCCCTTTGGCAGGCCTTTGAGCAGTAATGTATGCTCTTACATTGCATGCATCGCTTAGCTGAGCCTTTGTTGCACATGACACAAACTTCTGCCTTCAATTCTTCATTGTGATGGTCTGATGGCTGTGAAGGCTTATTGGGCCCCTCGCTGCTTATGAAGGTGAACTGTTGCATTTAGGGTAATAAGAAAAAAAGACTTACTCGGTCATGGGATCACTAATTCGTGCTTGCGTTTCGGGGTTTGACATGATGAAGTCTGATCCTCTGGAATCGACTTTAAACCGGATGAAAGAATGCTCGATAGTGTGGGACAAGGCTTGATGAATGAAGGAATCGAAGGATGCGGAATCCAACCAGTGATAATTGTCAGCTCAAGTGGGTGAGACGAAATGGTATGGACAGTTGAAAGGTATCAACGAAGAACAAGAGAGAATGTGTTGGGTGTAGGAAGGAAGAGGAGAAGGGGAATGTTTCGATGCTGGTGTAAGAGAGATGAAAGGAAGATGGTAGGAGAGTAACAATATCAACTTCTATCACCAACTGTGAAGGACATGCTAAGCCCATACGTCAGCACTGGGAGAAATAACCACAATCTTCAATCGTACTAATCATTTAGCATTCCGATGTCTGAACATTGACCGTATATGGGCATATATTGCGGAAGAATATACTTAGCCTTACTATAAGAACAATAATAATGCTTAGAAATATAGGATCTAAATTACTGATTTAAAGTCATAGCTGCTGATTGAATAGCTCAAGGGTTCGAGATATCTTAGTATAGCCGTCAATTCGGATAACTATGTTCTGGATATACTTATTAACTTTGTCGAATGATTCACAGAGAAAAGCCTGATTAACGAGACCTCAAAAGATTAGGGCGGGCTGCGAAGTATCCTCCAACAATGACAAGAGTACCAACAGTACCAAGAAGAAGCGACGTGCTGGAGAAAAATGACTCCTCCTTTACTCGCCCCAGGTATGTGGGCCGCTTTTTGGCGATGAGACTTTTTCCAGACCCACCAGCAATATAGTCCTGCCATTGAACCTGTGACAGTTCCTCCTGATATTCAACGACCGTTCCGGACCAGTTGTTGGTAATGACTCCGTCCGCTCTTTTATACCAGCTGTTGCAGTTCGGGTCTGCAAAGCTACTATTCCGCAACACTTCCTGAATTCTATCATTGAAGTCTTTTACGGCCTCAGGAGTTGGCTTGAGCGATAGCTTTCGTCCTTGTTGTTTAACTCGCATGACCTCCCCAACCAGGCTATTCAGGTATCTTGATTGAGCCTCGATCATAAGGATGATGGAATTGTGCCCTGTTGATGATTAGAAATTTCAGGTAAAGAAACATGACAGGGGTGAGAGTGGGTTTTACGAACCAAGATTGGTATTGGGACCATAAAACATGCCAAAGTTTGGCAAGTCCTCGACAGTCACACCTCTGTAGGCCGTTGCACCGTCTTTCCAAATATCTTCGAGAGATCTTCCATTTGCACCATACATTTGAATTGGATACATAAACTCGACGGTCCTGAATCCAGTGGCCAGCAGGATGACATCGTATTCTTGCTCGCCGCAGTCATCGACTTCAATGCCCTTTTTTGTGATACGGGTGATCTTTCGCGTCTCTAGACTGACATTGTCGCGCGCAAGAGCGGGATAGTAGTCATCGGATATGATCACTCTCTTGCAGCCAGGCGCATAGTTAGGTGTCAATTTGTCCCAAAGTTCTGGTTTACCGGCCAATTGATCTTTGAGCATACCGCCACTCCAATCACGCATCATTTGGGCGAATGATGAGTCCTTATCAAAGACGGCGTCGTGAAAGCTTTCGCGATAGTCCATCTGTAGAGCGCGCTTACGCCAACGGAGTGGGGGTATGTAGGTCAATAAAGCTTGCTGGAGGGCAGATACGGGTGCATCACCCCGAGGAACGACCCAGTTCGGAGTACGCTGAAAGACGGTGAGGTGTGATGCCTGTGGGGCAATTTCGGGGATGATTTGGGCCGCCGTTGCACCTTGAATCCCTGTTAGCTTCTGTCACGGCTGATGGAAGTAAAGATCTTGCATGCCATTGCCAATAATTGCAATTCGTTTGTTCTTCAGATCGTAGGTCCAGTCCCACCGAGCGCTATGCATCATCTTCCCTTGAAAATCTTTTAACCCCGGGATATTGGGCTCTTGTGGTGCATTAAGCTGACCGACCGCCGAGATCAGGAAGTCAGAGTTGATAATGTAGGAGTCAGAGAACTCGCTATCTTTTTGGCCTGTCATTTTGACACTGGTTTCCCACTTGGACTCGGTGTCATTCCATCTTGCTTCTTTAACGGTCGAATTGAATCGGATGTGTTTATAGAGACTATACTTCTCAGCAACACCGACAAGATAGGCCTATCGACGATTGCTTTGTGTCAGCTTGAAACTCTCCTACATAGCATGATAATTCTTCACTCGGGTTCTTACATGGAGTTCCTCCTGTCCAGGATATTCTCTCGTCCATTTTGGATTCTGCTCAAAGGAGTAGCTGTATAAAGTACTCCATACTAGACCTGATTAGCATTCTTGTGATATGGTCATCAATATATGTAGAATCTGCAATTTACCGTCACAGCAACAACCAGGATATTTGTTATCATTCCATGTGCCTCCGACACTGCTACCCTTCTCGAGGATAACGAAGTTGCGGCAATCATTCCGTTTGATAAGGTCAATGGCCATGCACATTCCTTTGTATAAAATTAGCTCCTACAAGGTGATATGGAAATTGAAGAACCTGGGGCTGCTTGCCAGATATCCCCGCTCCAATTATAACTACTGTCGCTTGCGTGAAGTCCTTGTTTCCCACGGGCAGACAGGTGCTAGATAGTGTAGACATATTGATTGTGCAATAGATATTGAGATGAGTTGTTTGAGACGAATATCGGGCGATGAAACAAGAGAATCTGGGCTTCCCCTCTTTGAGAACTCAGATATAATGTAGTGATCTACTTTGACCGAAATCCCTCCAAGCAAGGTTTAATTCCGCAACCAGACATCACCCCGCAGACGATCAGTGGAGCTAACATTGAATAGATGATCAAACTTTCTCCAAGTTTTCCAAAGTTCAAAGTAGATGACCGGTAGGCCTTGACAATGTTTTCATAAAAATCAAGGCGAATTTAGCCAAATTTCCGAGCATCAATGTCATATCAATAAAGGGGATTTAATATACACTATGTGCTATGCATGTGTGACCTGCACCATTGTACCAGCGTAGGCATTCTCAACAAAAGTAAGGAGGTGTATATCCGAGGATCTTGAACATCCTCGGCAGAACGGTTAGAAGTGCGGGGAACTAGACCAGCCTGGTCATCCACCGAGGCGTGCATGATTCAATTCAGTTTGTGCTCGCATACTACTAGCAATAATGTACATAATTCATCAAGGGAGCTCAATCCCTTCCCGCTCCGCAGTTTGCAGAATGTATTGTTTGACCTAGAAAGGAGTCAGATGCCGAACGATCGGACTAACCCCCCTTGAAGCCAGGACTGGTGACTTACCTTGTCATCTGGAATCAGGTCAACAGCCAGTCGACCCTCATTATCTCTCTTATCTGCCTCTGCACCGGATTTCAAAAGCAGGATTGCTGCATCACCATGTCCCTCGGAGACGGCATGGTGCAATGCCGTAAATCCATCGCCGTCCGTCGCGTTGACGGGGCTCTTCCCTTCTTCTAGAAGAGTTTTAATAATTGGAACTGAGCCAACTGCAGCTGCTCGATGCAATGGTAGCTGCCCGCGGATATCCTTCACTCGAGCACTGCACTTATTGGCGATCAAAGTTCGGACAGTGGAGATATTAGCCTTGGATGCGGCAAAATGCAGGGCATTCTGTATGATTATCAATATTCGTCACTTGCAAGTTGTTTCCCAGTGTTGGCCTACCTGTCCGGAATTGCTTTTTATGCTCACATCGGCTCCTTTGCGTAAAAGTAGATCAATGATCGCATCACCCGCGGAATCCTTGAGACTGGCTGCGATCATGAGCGAAGTCCAACCAGATCCATCCTATTTGCATTTTGTAAGCTCAGTCTGGACGAGAGAGGAACTCTTCGACTTGGAATTTGGCAGGTGGTACATACTTCAACATCGGGGTCAAAATTCTTGACAGCTACCAGGAGCTCGACGATAGCCAGTCGGTTGTTGGCGACAGCCCAATGGATAGCAAGACGATCATCATCATCTTTAGTAAATGCAGATTTCGGGTTTGTCTAGTTCATTAATGAGTATATTCCTCGACATCTATCGGTAGACGGGTTTTGCGGGGCAGCTGTAAGCCAAAGCTTTCACCTACGCTAAGAAGAGATTCAACGACTTGAGCTGTTCCAGCAGTTAGTAAGTTCTCGACCAAAAGTCTCAAGTCCCAACATACTCCTACCCTCCCGGGCAGCCTCGTGCAGAGGAAACTTTGTGTTCTGAGAGGGATTCATGGCGTTGGACTAGGGAAGTGGCAATGATTGATAAGAGCTGCGATAAGTAGATTGACTCCCGGTTACCGCCTCAGGCATCAATACCTTCCGCCCGCAGAGATTCACGAGCTTCACTTCTCCATCGAATCTCCTCGACAATCACCACGGATTCCCATTTTTGACCCCCGTTCACGACTTATATCAACTCGATGTGTTGAACTTTTCGCGTATCATACATTGATTCCCCACCCTGGCGCAGGGTTTTCTTTGCGCGCACACCTTACCACAGGCCCCGAAGCCTTGAAGAGTCGAATCTCTTCACGCCTCCTGACCTCCTTCTACGCGCCACCCTTCCCTCTGCTCTTACTACCTGATCCCTAGCAACTATGGATTCATTCACCCCCCATACCGCCGAAGAGGCCGTCCGCATCTCCGCTAAGCGCACCGCCGATCTTTTCGGTGGAGATTACTTGATGGTCACACCAACGACATTGACAGATGATTCGATCGGCATGTCCTACCGGCGGAGAGTAGAATACAATGATGTGAAAGAATTGCCACACGCCCTGGCTGAAATCCAAGCCAAGGCCGCCGCAGGACGCTCCAAACGACCCAGGATTCAACCGCAAGCACAGCAATCCGGTGATGGAAGCGGTGCGTCAATGTCGCTTGTGAAGAGGACACCGGGTATCGGCGCGGGTGTAGCAGGTGGTGAGGATCAGCCTAAGAGTCTGATCCAGAGACCGTCAGCGACAAAGCAACAGCGACCAGACTGGCATGCGCCGTGGAAGCTGATGCGTGTGATCTCGGGCCACTTGGGTTGGGTGCGCGCTCTCGCTGTTGAACCAAATAACCAGTGGTTTGCTAGTGGTGCTGGAGATCGGACAATCAAAATTTGGGATTTGGCGACTGGGTCCCTACGTCTCACACTGACCGGTCACATTTCTACTGTTCGTGGATTGGCGGTTTCGCCGCGGCATCCGTACCTTTTCTCGTGTGGTGAGGATAAGATGGTCAAGTGCTGGGATTTGGAAACCAATAAGGTTATTCGTCACTACCACGGCCATCTGAGTGGTGTCTACACGCTAGCCCTGCACCCTCGTCTTGACTTGCTAGTTACTGGTGGTCGTGACGGTGTGTGCCGAGTCTGGGATATGCGTACGAGGAGCAATGTTCACGTTCTTGCTGGCCACAAGGGCACGGTTGCCGATATCAAGTGTCAAGAAGCCGATCCCCAGGTCATCTCTGGTTCGCTCGATGCTACAGTTCGGCTGTGGGATCTGGCTGCTGGTAAATCGATGGGAGTCTTGACACACCACAAGAAGGGTGTTCGTGCACTTGCTACCCACCCGACCGAGTTTACTTTCGCCAGTGCCAGTACCGGCAGCATCAAGCAGTGGAAGTGCCCCGAGGGTGCCTTTATGCAGAACTTTGAAGGACAGAACGCCGTCATCAACTCTCTCGCCGTCAACAACGAGAACGTCATGTTTTCGGGAGGTGACAATGGTTCCATGTCCTTCTGGGATTGGAAGACTGGTCATCGTTTCCAAGAAATTGAGACTACTGCGCAGCCCGGTTCGTTGGAAGCCGAGGCGGGTATCATGGCCTCTACCTTTGATCGTACAGGCTTGCGTCTCATCACTGGTGAGGCTGATAAGACTATTAAGATCTGGAAGCCTGATGAGGAGGCTACACCCGAGTCTCACCCTGTTACCTGGGCCCCTACCCTAGGCAGACAGCGGTATTAGACCCTAGTCGGTTCTTTGTCATTAATACCCTTATGCTTGGTTTTCTGTTTACGGCACTGTGGAGTTAAGCGTGGTTTCATGATTTCCTGAGGATTTCCTGGGTGTCAAGAATTTTTATCTTCTGGGAAAAGGTCTCATGTAGTGTAAAAGAATTGAATTTTTGTACAATCACTTTCACAATACTTGGATTAAACTAGGAATTCGTATGTAGCCCTGGATGTTGAGAAGATAAACCTTCCGAAAATTCTCACGCTAGCATGGACCAGATGATTCTGCTCTTAGGTGCCCAGTCTGACCCGACCAGGCCCCAACACCAAAGATACCTTCAATGAGCCTACAAGTTCGTACTCAAGGAGTAAATGTGTTTGTGCAATGGGTATCATATGCAATGCATGTAGGTAAAACGTAGTGGTACAAAAAAGGGCCTCAAACAACAGATGTCATAACATGTCTTGATCCGCCCTACAGGTCAATTCCTAATCCAAAGCTCTTAGCCTCGATATCCTCTCGGAACGCAGATCGCACATCCTCCGCCGCGACCCGAAGCCTGATCTTACTTGTCCGGTCACCACGTGTTGGGATCGTGGAACCACCTAGCAAATTCTTCGACCCGGTACCCTGTTCCAAGGCCACGACGCCCGAATTCATCAGCTCCATAGCTGCAAAACCTAGGGCACGCACTCGAGCAGTAGACCCGCCACCAAGCAGGAATTCCTTCACTACCGCACCGGCAGCACCGGCGACTGCGACAGCTGCGTCGGCGATGCGGCGTGCTTCGTCGAGGACATCGCCGAATGTTGATTCCGTGATGCCGGTGCGGTGGACGCGGGCGAGAAGTGCTGCTAGGAAAAGCTTGCCTGAGAGTGGGAGGCAGCGGAGGGATTGCTGAAGTGGGGTGGATGTAGCTTCTTGGATAGCTTGCTTAATGGTAGCAATTGTGACACGGCCTGGTTTTCCCTTGCCAGGCTTTGGCTTCAGCGCAAGAGAGTTGGCTGATTCTGCGGCGAGCGATTTGTTACGGGCAGGGGTCTTGCTGGGTGTGGGAGGTACATCTTCGTCCTCTTCTGGAATAATGGAGTCCGCAGCAGCGGCTTCTTCAGCTTCTTGTTCGGCGATTTCGACCGCACGGCGACAGATATCTAGTGCGCGACGAGCATCACCGCTGACGGCAGCAACTTTTCGACTGGCGAATTGGACAGCATCTGGCTCAACGATGTTGCCTGGTACATTTGCTAGTCGTGTGCCGATAATCTCCATCAGATCGGTATGTTTGTATCCTGGGAATGTGATACGGGTAAGACCGAGACGACTGGAAATCTTGTTGCTAAGTGTTCGTTCAGGAAGATCCATGGTGTTGGCCACGGCCAGAACAATAAGCCGCGAGTGGCGGAGAGCAGGCCAATTGAAAAAGTTGTACATGACAGACTGGTTTTTGGTGACCAGCTGGTCCAACTCGTCCATGAGCACGACGCAGGATACCCGGCGAGGTGAAGGGTGGGAGAACTCCTGTTCGAGCAGATCTAATGCATGAGAAGGCGATACTCGGTCTCCTTTCAATTCTTTCCAGAGCATTGAGTATGCTTGGTGCGGGTCTGTGATTTTCATGCCGTTGATTTCGCAGAAAATGAAATCGTCCATCTCCTCAGCTTCCACAGCCGCGTTCAATTGAGCCACTACTTCTCGGACGGTGGCCGTTTTGCCAGTACCTGGGGTACCTGAGATATAGATACAAGCCCCTGTACCCTCCATAATGGCTGCACTAAGATGATTGTAGACTTCATTGAATTCATTCTTCCGGCATGGCAGGGATTCCGGAACGGTGGACACATGCAACAGTGTACGGGCTTGGCGATACGGCGAATCAAAGTGATCTTTCGAGAGGACACGGGTACCCAGCGGTGTAAATTCAAGAGGCTTTTTGATCACGATTCTCTTATGTGTTGGTGTAGTCAATGACTTCTTCCGCTGGGACTTGGGTGTCGCATTTGAGGCCACTCGTTGCTTTTTTCTCGGGGTTGCTGGTGCTGCGCTCTCGTCCTTGGTTTCGACACACTAAGGGAAGGAAATAATGGTCAGCAAAGTTACACGATGTTGCTCGGTTTTGAAAGTGTCACTCACGTCAGAGTCAGTGGCCTTGCGTTTTCTGGCTGCTTTGAGTCCATCCTTAATCATTGCGATAAGGCCGTGAATATCACCATCTCGGTATACATCCTCCCAGATGAATTCTTCTGTATATCGCCCTTGGAGCTGATTCACACCTCTGCGGCAGACAATGCACTTGTTGTACTCAGCCAGCTGAGCTTTGTCCTTGGGAGGTTCCCCGTTGGGGTATTTCGCAAAGAAAGCGTCTTTCGACATAACTGTGGCCTTGCCACTAATGGAGTAGAGGGGGTTTGTGTTGAAGTCTTGAGTCAGGTATTGCTCATTGGGCAACGCATCAGCTCTGCGCTTGTTCCTTGTCGAGAGAAACTCGTCGGGAGAAGCGAACCACATAATGCTGGCCGATTTAATCTTCTCATCCTCTCCATCTTCATCCTCCTCCTCCAGGAACTCCATTAATATTCCCACCCAGTCCTTGCCAGCCTCCGGTGACTTCAATAGCACGATGTCGCCGATCCTGCATTCGAATGATCCCATGCGAGCTGCGACAATCGCGCGCTTCTTCCTGGCCGGGCGGGACGATCGTCGTCGGTTGGATTTTTCCGGGCTTGCAGTGTTGTTCTCCTCTGTTTCAGTTTCATTGTCGGCATATACCCAGTCCCATGGGTGGTCCTCGTCGCCCAATTCGTCGTCTGAGTCTTCGCGGACTAGGCCACCCTTGGCAATCCATTGTTGGGCACGTTGGCGAGCATTGCGGCGAGGCTGCTGCGGTTCAGCATCACTCGAAGAATCCAAGTTGACAGCCATTGTGATAATTGGCCTAGAGGATCAATTCTCATGAATGGCTAAAAGGACTTCGGGATTCGCGTTGAAGCGGAGACGCGTTGTCCACTTTCATCCTCATCAGGTTTAGCGTCAACCCTAGAATCGCTAGCCAATCAAAAAGCGACAATATACATCACATCAATAGGGAAAACCATATGGCATAATACTAACTAGTTAGATTTGCCTATTTAAAGCTTCTCTATCCCCTATTCCTTCTGCTCCTGACATTCCTCGCGTCCATGATTTTCATCCACCGATTCAATTTCTGCACACCACTCCATGAGCACATCCTTCGTCTCTTGGCTGGGCTTTCCAGGAGGCCCAGCCTGGCACTTAAGACCGTGAGCCAAGATTAAATGTTTCCGAACGGCACTGGTAGGCGATATGACGATCTATACAAGTCAGTAATCAAGCATAGTATGACATTTGATTGAACTCACTGTGCGCTTCGTACAGCCAGGAACTCGACAGAACACTTCTCCGGTCATAACTTCAACCTCCCCTTCGGTGTTCTATTACATCGAATCAGTGTTCAACGTTGGAGATCTCAATTTCGATATAATCATTCTCACTTACAATCTCGTACACTGGAAGTCGTAGACGACCAGCCTGGCCCTCTGTCAAGTATCGAGTAAAGGCTGGAGAGCCAGCAAACGGGGCACTGATTTTCTGCATTTTACAAGTGCTGCTTGATCTTTTAGAAATTGGATAAATGTTTTCGTAGACAGATTGTGCTTGTCATTTGAGAAGTGAGAGAACAGAAAAGCCAGTATCTGGTCAAAGGGCAAGGATTGACGGAGGTTTTATGCACAATAGACAGATTAAATATCAAATTGAAGTGTAGTAAAAGTGAAAACTTCACTCTTCCATCCATCTCTTCAAACTCTGCCTTCTTATTGGAATATTGCCGTATCGTCTTCAAAGGTTACGTCTCTTCCAAAGTCACTTCTTTTCGATTCTCAGCCTGGAAACAAACCAGCACTCACGCCCACTCATCAAGAACCTGTCTACCATGGAGTAAGTGCAATCTAGACCTGAAGCTAGCTTTTATGCTGACCCAGATATTAGGTGGGAAAAAACCGCAGCTCTAGGTAATACATCAAGATCACTCATTCTAGTCCACAGGTTTGACAACAATTGACGTTTCATCTATAGACTGGAACCTACCGGCATATGGCCGGATTGATAGCAAACGGCCCCTTTCCACCATTTCGGATGAGGCGGCGACCACTCCAGACCTGATCTCAACAACACCACCGCCATCACCACCCTTGCCAAATGAGAATGCCACTCACGACAATGCCCCTTTTCCACTTCCTTCTCGGCTCCCTTTCCCCACGAGGCAGTCTGTCATCAGTGGGAAACAGCGGATGATTGAGCAGCGAGCTGCGCCAGAGACAGATGATCCCCAGGACAATCCAGCCAAGCGACGATGGCGACAAGGTCAAGCAGCAGATGGTATTATTCCTGACTACTCGTTTAGGGAAATCTCGTTAATATTGAAATAGCCGTTGTTCGTCTGCCCGAGGAGGCAGTCAACACCAGATTCATGTAAGAAAGTCAATCGCACACACTCCAAGGCCATTTGACTTATAAGCTGAAATAGTCATCGAAATGACGCCACCTCAAATGCATTAGTCAAATCCCTAGCTGACGGTAAGGAGCGAGGAAGGGTTCTCGAGCGCATCGCCCAGGCGACAGACACCCACATCGTGCCGGGCTTCAGCGGTGGTCGAGTGAGTATTGAATTTCAGTATATGTTATTCCAAAGGCTAATCATATGTTCAAAGGTTCTGCTTATCTGGGGAACTGCTGCACAAGTCGCTCAAGCGAAAGCAATCATCTCGAAGATGATTGAACAAATTTTCTGTCGAGTTGATGGCCGGCGACGATGGAGCAAGATCCATCCTGAGTATGTTGAGGACCTCGAAAAGATCCTCTTAGAACGGGCGATCAAGACCCATCTGGCTTCGCTGCGCGAACAACCTGCCACAGATTCTCCTGAATCTCCGGTGAGTAATAGCCCTATTGATGACGAGAGACCTCTGTTTTGGGTTCACAATATTCAACTAACTGCATAACAAGACGGTGTTTAATTGGCCCAATGATGGCCCGACAATTCAGGAAGGTCTTGGGAACTACCTGGAGAAACTTGACTCCATTAGAGAGGAGTTCCAAGTGCACATTTACATGGAAGAGGCCTCTGCAGACAAGATTTGCATTTCTGCAACAGTGGACACTGACATGGAGCAGATCCTTGCTCGCCTTCAGGATTTGTGGAAATCAACTGTGGCGAAACTTGACACCCGTATAAAAGCCTACATACTCGAGCCACCTTCAATAGACACTATGCGAGAAAAAGTGGTTTTGGTGAAGAGTGGTAGGTTGGCGCTGCCATTACTTCAAATAAGTCAGCAACACCTTCTCCACGAATCACCTCAGCCACAGTGTGTTGACATCGATGTAATTCGGAAGAAGAACAACGAGCTCCTGCTAAGCAGTTTCCGGAACGCGTTCTCGAAAGCCGACCTTTTTGCCGGTCATCTGCGGATGCGTGTTCACTTTGGGTCTTTTGTTATGGATAGGTATCGAGAGCCTGGCGGTGGCCAAAAGGCGTTCGGCCTTGACGAATTTCGTGATATGATTCTTCTTGACCGAGCTAGAGGACGTTTAGTACCGGGGTAAGTGATCGTGAGTTACCATCTTCAGAGCTATCATTCTAATCAAGACCTTGGCAACTTTTAGATTGAAAATCAGCGGCGAAGAGCTGATTTCTCGATGCATGAGCGCTACCTCTCTTTTCCAACCCGTGAATACTTCATACACCCTTTCAGAGATCAAGGACATCATGCCGACCTATGCAGCAAGGTTTGAGTTCTCGGGAGTCACCAATTCCCTATTTTGCCTGGAGGTAGATTTCAGACGACGTAGCACCGAAATTGAAAAGGGTTGCCATCGATGGTTCAACGTCCATGATGAAGACAATGGACAAATGCGCCGATTGCCTCTGCAAGTTGGTGTTATGAATTTTTTACGGTATGCCCTAAAGCAACACCCCCCCCATTTGGATCCTTTCAATACTCACATTCTTCCAGCTCGGACTGGCAAGGGGACATTGAAATCTTCGAGCCGCTGCACAATGATCAGACAAATGAAAAGTTAGTGAATTTTCTCCACTCCATCAGGTTTAATAACCGCCCGAAAATGCACGGCATGGCTACCAAGCCTCAGAAAAAAGTAATGTGTGCCCCAGTCGCACCACTGTCCGGCTATACCGAGAAATCCGCAATCCAGTTGCTGGTCAAGGGCACGAAGTATGTGTTTGAAATGGCTCGTTTCGATCGGTACACCCAGTCTCTAGGTGCCTGGAGCTCGACACCCACCGTTTCATGGGGTGCTTCGTTGTTTGACCCTAGCTGGGATGCTGCCTTGGGCGCCGATATCAAGTCATATGCAACGGACCCGAAGTACACAGCCAACCAGTTAGGACCTTTCGAGTGTTTCTTTCCTCCGCAAAATGCCCCAGTCACCGAAGGCGACAACAAGGGATTCTTGCAGTATATTGAAATCGTCTACAAAATCTCTGACCTTCTCGGGCTGAGCGAGGACGAATTCGAGAAACTTACAGAGGACTCGATCAAGCTCAGACTGGCGGAATTGATAGATGTGGACCTTGGGATGCTGTTTTAGATCGAATGATATGTTACGCTGCTCGTTCTGGTTTTTTGAAAGGTCACCCTTGTTGCCATGAACCCTGACCAAACATTTATGCTGTATTTGGAACCACCCATTTAGCAGGGAAGAATGAAATTGATGGAAAAAAACCGATCTTTTGACTTATATTTACTGGCTTATCTAAAGCCGTCATCGAGCTTCGTAAGTGGTATACAAGTTTAGGCACTCGCACCAGCGTCTGCCTCGCCGCTAAGCATCTTCTGTCTAAGCACTGAAAGGGGTCAGCAAACATATCCAAAGTACATCGCATGCAAATTCTCAGAAATGAAACTTACCTTCTTCCACAACACGCAACTGAGAGTTTTTGCCCTGAACAATCTTCTCCAACTCAACCAGATTCGCATCTAATCCCTTCACCTTGTCATCGTAAAAAGCAATCGCTTTCTTGGGTGTCTGCATCAAAAAGGACCGTCAGTCGTCCGTCTCTCGTGAAATCAATTCGCAGAATCATACCTTTTCAACGTAGAATCCAGTTCCAACGTCAACAAGCACCTTTTCCCGATCCGCCAATCGACCCTTAACATACAATGAGCTGGTAAGCGGGACCAGGATCTCATCGCAACCGGTAGTTCCCTTGGCCTCGGAGCCAGTCACACCATCATTGATCGAGCGCACACAATCACGGAACTTGGCTTGTGCGGCGCGCAGCTTTGCGTGAGAGGTTGTCAGGTGCTCCAATTCGGAGGTGAGGCGGGTTTGGAGGGCGCGGAGTTGGGGCAAAGAAAGGGTGGCCAAGTTCACTATACAATTGTAAGAAATGGATTCAATTGGTATGACTGTGTGCTGCTTTGGTGTTTAAATCATGCGACTTGCTTCCACAAGATAGGTTTCCTTGGGTGAGAAGCTGGCTGGGGTTGCTGCGGAAGGGGGAGATGTTTTCATCTGGGCTTGTCGGACGAACCTGTGCCTGGGGGAGCTCCGCCGGAGCTTGAGTCGGAGTTTTGAGCCGACATTGTGGTGGTTTTGGGTTGGAGGTTGGAAAATTAGAGATTCTGAGCGCGTAGCAGAGTTGAGTTGATGCGGGCGGAGGTGGGGTTGAAGACCGTGGCATTAGTGTGGCTTCAGCCATTTTTGCTTGTGTTCGCAAGTTCGGCTGTAGTAAATGCGGTATGTACACGCACTTTATATTGTTCGGGAATTGCAGTGGAGAGAGGAATGAAATGTAATACAAGATAGTATACAGGCTTGATTTCAGATATTCTAATAGTACAGGGTCCGGCTCATGATCACAGCTGTGTCAGCAGACTTTCAACGAACTCGGGCAGTTGCTCCATGGAGACATCCTTCTTCACATCAAGTTGTCGACATTGCACCTCGACAGTCTGGTTCTTCTTCCAGCCATTGCCCACAACAATAATTATGGGATATCCGATCAGATCCGCATCCCCGAGCTTCCAGCCCATGCCCTTGTCACGATCATCCAGGAGCGTGTCTATGGGCGTAGCTCGTGCAGTAAGGTCATCATAAACCTGTTCGGCAACGGATTCCAGTCCCTTGCCTGGGACTACCACGGCTTCATAGGGAGCAATGACACGGGGCCAATTAAGCCCCTTGGAATCGACCAGTCGATTAGCCACGGCAGAGACCATACGTGAAACGCCGATTCCATGACAGCCCATCTGCATCGGCACAATCTGTTCCTTGCCCGACTTGACATCTGACGGGGATGCGCCCTCAAGAAGAGCTGGGTTGACCGACACTGATGCCTGCAGCACCTCGCTATACCGAGTGCCCAAGTGGAATGTGTGTCCGAGCTCTACTGCCGGGTTGCTGGTTAATAGTCCATCTGCACACTGCGAGCATTTGTCTTCATCGTGCACGCGGATCAGACTGAGTTTGTTTGGTGCATTAGGGAACCGGTCCAGCATCGAGTATTCGATGTCGGCGACGGTGCACTCTGCTTTCTGGAGGAGATCGCTCAATGGCGGACGCTGGTACACTCGCACTTGCGAGTCATACAGATCAAGAACACGGGGTTTCACATTCACCGGACGAGATTTAACACGCGCAACCCATTTTTCCAATGGGTTCTCCACACTCAGGTCGAGATCCACACCTGCAGCAGTGGCGATTGCCTTGACAGCGTGCGAGTTGACATGGCGCTCAACGGGCTCTTGAGACCCGCTTTGCATAGAGAATTTAGGGTACCAGCCGCGTATAAGAGTATTACCGTCATGTGAGATAGCCATCCACATGCCTGTGGAGACTGTTGGGGTGACATCCGTTGATGCGTCCTCGGTCTGGAAGCCTGGGACGTTGTTTGGCTCTGCAGATTCATTAAAACTGTGGGCTTTTCCATCTGCAAGTTCCTCATTGTAAACGTGATCACAGTGTGAGCAGCTCACCACGCGATCTTCACCTTTCGAGCTGATAAAGTGAAATTCATGGCTAAGGCTGCCACCCATGTTTCCTGAGTCAGCAGCAGCAACGAGATAGGGGACCTTAAGCTCATCAAAAAGCTGTGTATAAGCGTATTTAACCGCTTGGTAAGTTTTCAGTGCTTCTTGAACGTTGTAATCAAATGTGTATAGATCTTTCATGATGAATTCGCGGCCACGAAGGAGACCTTGCCGAGGCCGGGCTTCATCTCGGTACTTTCTCGCTATTATAGGTCAGAAAAATGGTGCTTCCAGTTGTTGTGTTTCATCTTACTGATTTGATACACTCGCAGAGGGAGGCTCTTGTAAGAGGTGGTGAGGCTTCCGACGAGTGTAGTAATTTCCTCCTCATGAGTCGGAGCAAGGAGAAAACGGGTATCTTTGCGATCGTGGAGTCGAAATACCTCCTAGTAGATATTAGCAACCTACTAAGCGAGGCGATGAGCCGTAAACATACCTCAGAGCTGGCGTTTAACCGACCGGACTTTTCCCATAGCTCCTGTGAGGATATTGAAGACAAGGACACTTTGGATGCACCTGTATGTCTAATTAGTTCTGATTTAGTGATTCAAAGGCGGCCAGCTTGCCTAATGAGCGCATATGCTTGTCAATAAGGCGTTCGAGCTTGTCCTGTACTCGCAGTCCCAGGGGAAGCATATGAAACACTCCAGAATAGGCCTAACAATCGTCAGCATTGAAATTGATGAGACTGATGGGATTACTCACCTGGCGAAGAAATCCGGCTCGAATTAATAGATCATTGGCATCCTCTTGTACTTTATTAGCTCTGCGCTAATCATAACGTCTTAGCAGGCCGAGAGCGCACCTTTTTGACCATCGACTGGTTTTTTGGAGATACCTCCAGTCGGAATCCAGAAATTTGAGACCCGGTTTCTTCCATCATACTATGCAATATTAACATTTTGAAGCTTGATTGTTTTCGGGAACCGCGTACATGAAACCCGCATTGCTGGACACGAAGTACCGGTGTCCGCGCTACCCTTAATAAGCGACGGGCCCCAAGGGTGACAAGCATTGACAGTGACTTGGGAAGGCAATTCTTAAAGCCTTCCGTTTCAATTATCACAATTCAGTCGACAAATAAGAAACCTTGAGAAATCGTTGCAGTCACTCCTGGACTGTTTCTTATCGTGTTGGTCCGAGCGTCCTGATAACGGGCCCGCCGCAAAAGATTTCTCCGTCCAATTTTCTCTCTGTTCATAAAACATACCGCAAACCCGGACACTTCACAATGGTCAAAGGGAAAGGCAAGCGCCCTTCCGGCGCTAATGAGCCCATCCCGGATGGAGGTGTTTCGATTTCCAAATCCCAATCTACGTCTACTGAGCCCCAGATCGATGAGAGCGCTTTCGCCGGTTTACGTCAGAAAATTGAGCAACGATTGAAGGATCAGAGCTCCAACAAGGGAAAATCGAAGAAGAACGACAAGTCAAAAGCCCCGGCTGAGGCTGCACCTACGAAGCAAGAGAAGGAGGCCGCCCCCAAAGCTGGTCAATCCCAGGACTCTTCTGCGCATGGCAAGAAGCGGGATCGCAATGGGGAGGTGATTGCTCGGGAGGAGAAGAAGGAGGGAAAGAACAAAACTGGAAAGTTTTCAAAGAAGGTTGACGATGATGAGACCCTCCGACAAGAGATTTTGGCTATGGGCGGCACCGAGGAGGACCTTGACCTTCTTGCCGGTGTTGACTCCGAATCAGAGGTTGAGGGTGTCAGCGCCAAAGCTGGGGACAATGACCTTCGGAAAGAACTTTCAAAGATGTTGGAGGCTGCTGGCCACGTTGTGCCGCAGGATCTAGCAGAGGACGAAGTCGAGGAGGAGGATGAAGAGGAGGCCGAGGAAAGCGCCGAAGAAGATGAGGGTGAAGATCAGGACATCAGTGACGTCGAGAACAGCGAGCCTGAAGATGTCTCCGATATGTCTGAGGTCGAGGAGGCGCCCAAACCTAAGGAGAAACAGCCCGAGATGCTGATTCCCAAGGAATATGCCACGCTGGTGAGTGCGCCCTGGTTCTTCCCTGATTAGATTTTCTTGTTAACAATTGCCCATTAGGCCATTCTTCCTCGTTCCGATTGGTTCGCAGCTCCTGTTCCCAAGCTTGCCAGCGGCAACGCGAAGCAAATGACTGCCCTTCCTAGACACTTGGTCGACCGCATCCACGAACTCGCCAATTCGCTATTACAGGAGGAAAACGAGAAGTATGCTAAAGCCCAACAAACCTCGGCTTCGTCATCCCACAAGTTCTACACCACTATTATGGCCTCGGGTACCCTGAGCGATAAAATCTCCGCATTGACGCTTGCCGTTCAAGAGTCTCCGCTGCACAACACAAAGTCTCTAGAAGCCCTTATTGCCTTGGGACGCAAGCGCAGCCGTGCGCAAGCAGTTGAGGTCCTCCGGTCTTTGAAGGATATGTTTGCTCAGGGAACCTTGCTGCCCAGTGATCGCCGTCTGAGAGCATTTGCCAACCAGCCATCTCTTGTTGCTGCCTTCCAAGGTGCTGGTGGCCGCTGGACTGAACGAGACCCGCTCCCCGGTGGTCTGCAGAAGAGCCACCTCATTCTTTGGGCTTTCGAGGAGATTGTCAAGATTCAGTTCTTCGAGGTCCTCAAGATTCTGGAGATCTGGTGTAACGATGAGATTGAGTTCTCACGGACTCGTGCAGTCAGTTATGTCTACGAGCTTCTTAAGGAGAAGCCGGAACAAGAAGCCAACTTGCTGCGTCTGTTAGTCAACAAGCTTGGAGACCCTGGCAAGAAAATTGCCTCGCGCGCCTCTTATCTTCTCCTGCAGCTTCAGCAAACACATCCCATGATGAAGCCTTTAATCATCAAGTCCGTTGAGGAGCTATTATTCAGACCTGGTCAGAGCCAGCATGCGAAGTACTACGCCATTATCACCCTCAACCAGACCGTTCTCAGCTCAAAGGAACAGAAGGTTGCTGCACAGCTACTTGACATCTACTTTGGCATGTTTGTCACTCTCCTGAAGCCGCAGGCTAAGGAGCCTACCTACAAGGGAAAGAACAACGGCAAACTGGGCCAAAAGGGCTCAAAGAACAAGGCTCCTCCCAAGGGAGAAAAGGGAGAAGCCCAGACTGATGAAATGCGAGAGAAGCTGACCTCGGGTGTCCTCACTGGTGTCAACCGCGCCTACCCGTTTACTGACTCTGATTCTGACCGGTAAGAATCTATACTCTGATATCACTAGCGCATGCTAACCTACCTTAGACTCTCGAAGCACATCGACACTCTCTTCCGCATTACACACTCTTCAAACTTCAATACCAGCATCCAGGCCCTGATGCTGATTCAGCAGCTTACTGCCTCTCACCAAGTTGGCAATGACCGCTTCTACCGGACTTTGTATGAGTCGTTGCTGGATCCCCGTGTCATCACCTCCTCTAAGCAGTCCCTATACTTGAATGTTCTATTCAAGGCACTCAAGAACGATTTGAACGTTCGCCGAGTCAAGGCATTTGTCAAGCGTATCGTTCAAGTTCTCGGACTGCACCAGCCTGCCTTCGTTTGCGGTGTGTTCTACCTGATCCGCGAGCTGGAGAAGACCTTCACCGGTCTTTCTTCTTTGTTCGACCAGCCCGAAGCGAATGACAGCGATGACGAAGAGGTCTTCCGGGATGTTCCCGACGAGGATGATGAGCCGACTGTGCCTACTCCTGTTGTTGAAGCCCAACCCAAGAAGCAGGCCAACGGATATGATCCCCGTAAGCGTGATCCTGAACACAGCAACGCCGACAAGACTTGTCTCTGGGAATTGCTGCCCTATACTTCCCACTTCCACCCGTCCGTTTCTGTCAATGCCGTGAATCTCTTGGAGCACAACCCCATGAGTGGCAAGCCCGACATGACCATCCATACTCTTACCCACTTCTTGGATCGTTTCGTGTACCGTACCCCCAAGGCCAACGCTGCTTCCCGCGGTGCCTCTATCATGCAACCTCTCGCTGGTGGTGAAGCTGCCGACCGGTTGGTGGAGGCTGCCAAGACTGGTCAGCAGGCTATGCCCTTCAACTCCGAGAACTTCTGGAAGAAGAAGGCCGACCAAGTCGCGGCAGAGGATGTCTTCTTCCACGAGTACTTCAACCGTGTCAACAAGGACAAGGTTCGTGCTAAGAAGGGCAAGTCTACTGAAGACCGTGACAGTGATGAAGAGGTCGACCCTGAAGGTGCCAGCGACAACGAGGACGAGATCTGGAAGGCCCTGGTTGACTCGCGACCTGAGCTGGAAGATGGCGGTGAGAGCGAGGACGATCTGGACATGGATGATCTGGAATCTGCCTACGATGATGACGAGGACGAGGAGGGTAGCGGTGACGAGGTCATCTTCAACGACGAGTCCGATGTGCCGTCTGACGAGGACATGGCCGACTTCAGTGGCTTTGAAGATGAGGAAGCCGAGGCTGCTCCTGCTGCCAAGAAGGCAGCCAAGAAGCCCACCAAGGAGAAGGCAAAGAAGGTGGACGAGGACGACGAGGACGCCTTCGACATGGATGTCTCAGACGACGAGGCATTCCTCGACAGCGACGACGACCTGCCATCGGACATGGAGCTCGGCGGCGTGGAACTGGAAGCTCCCGAAGCCGCCCCTTCGGCCTCGGACTCGAAGAAACGCCGCAAGCTCAAGCACCTGCCTACCTTCGCCTCGGCCGACGACTACGCAGCCCTGCTCGCGGACGAGGAGGACGGCATGTAATCGACCCTGCGCGTTCTTCTTTGCATATACGTTATATCCTTTCATCAAAAGTGACGTCGCACCGACATTCTCCCGTGCATTCCTTATTGTCGACGGCGTTCTCCGGGTTCTTTTGTATGCTTACATGTCTATCTCAATGTATGGATGTTTGGCTATCGCCAGCCAAAATAAATACCAATCAAGTTCAATGTTACCTTATAGAGTGAATTTCTCCGGAGCATCCTCCCAAATCCGTAGTGGCTGAATTGCATATGCAGATTAATTTCACCCAGATCACAACTCCCAATACGGTAAAAGGTCGCCCCCAATCCATATGTCCTGATAAGCTAGACGCTACACCTTATCGGGATCCCTGCAGCGCACACGTCAGACGAGTGCTGTATGTTAAGGAAATAAGACTTCGCCAGCTTATCCCCGAACAGGGAGTTGGATTAAACATGAGACTCGTGGTCCTTGGGTCAATCTGGGTCGTTGCCGTGTTCCCAGGTGAGTATGTGGGTTCCGCCTGCATGAGGCCATCGCGGATGATGAGCACGCAAGAGTGGACCGAAGTAACGACAAAGGCCGAGACTCCAGGCTTCTAAGGAACATTGAACGGTACAAATCATGCGATTTTCCAATTATGTACGTCTTATGGAATCTCTAATTGTAATACGTAATGCTAACCTGACCCGGCTTGATCTGTTTATTTATCTAGAATATTAATGATTTATATTCATAAGTGACGATCTTATACCAAATGCAGGCTTCGAGTCCAGATTGCTGAGTCATCCACGTGTTTCTTGATGACTAATTCACGTGATAAGGTCACGTGGAGTCTCCTTGTCCTCCATAGATTAGACGCTCTTTAACTATGATCTCAGCCTATGACAATGACGGTTTCTGTTTCTCGGTCTCTTTGTCTCTTATTTCTCTCTTTTATCGATACTTACCTCATCAATAGACGGAGCAATCCGAATTTATTTGATAATTTTTCCTAAATTTGCTTCTCATTTTTCCCGTTTATGGCGAGGATCCAGTTTTTGCTCCGCATCCGGTTACTTGATCGAATCAACAGATGAGAAAGGGTCACTGCGCACGCTTCCATGTTTTCAGGCTTATTTAACTGGACTGTGTCTGATCCCGACCGGGGATTCCTGGCAACTTCAGCTTCTCCATTCGACACCTGCTTGCGGGGTGGATTTCGGCCCACTCAGGAAGGTCGTTGCTTTAACGGAACTTGCGAAACCAGGTTACTGTACAGTACTCGCCCCATTCTGCCTCGTGGCCCCTTGACAAGACATAGAAAAAGAAATATACTTTGTTATATAATTCCATTTTATTTTATTTTATTTGATTGAATTTCCTACGTTCAAGTTGATCCCGTAGTCTTCGGCCATATGTAGAATCAAGTCCCTGAGCGGATACAATAAAGCCCCTGAGGGGCAAAACCGCCTCTCCCGAGCGACTTTACTGCGCCATGGCTTGATCCATGGCTTGAACCGTCCTCGTCCTCGGGAGGTCCATCACGTCATGGGCTTGCGCCCGGATCGACTTCAACGATACTAAGTCATTTCCGGTCAAGTGGAGAAGATCCCGACTTCTAAAATGACTGGTATTCAGTAGAACCATAATTACACTCCTATTCTGTCGTACTAAGCTCATCTGGTATACCAGATACCTTCCATACCAATCTTGGTCGTTGATCTTTTTTTTTTCTTTTCTTTTTTCACATTTCACCTCTGCCCTGTTTCTTTAAATCTTTGTCATTACAACTATTTCGAGATGAACCAGTCCAAATCTTGAATCACATTCAACCCATCTACCGTTGTAGATTTCGTTTTGCCCTAAGATCCGTCATCGTTCCCGGTACCTGAATATCCATCCCGTCGCAACAAATCTCATACTCGCTAAGTGCCGAACTCGAATTCCCAAAAGCACCCTTTCAACTTCTTTACGGTCCAGTCTTATATATCGATCGGCATTTTTATGTATACGAAGGTCTTCGGTTCAGTTCCTTTCGACTCTGCAGAGTATCATAAGCGGTTCGCCCGCTCGCTAAGATCAAAATGGTCGCGCCAGGACATATCGCATCATGGGATCATCGCTCCGATAGCGATAAATCCGAGGATCTGAGTGATAAATTCGACCAGAGCCCTAAACAAAAAAATCTCGATCTCGAGGGTCAGGGTCGTCGCTTGTCGCATGCCCATGTCGCAGTGGACTCGTCTTCCACCACCGAGAGCGTCGGTCGCCAAATTGAGCTGGAATCTGAGAATGGAATCAAATATCGTACATGCAGTTGGCAGAAGGTAGGTTTGCGTTTCCTTGCGACTTGCAGATACATTGGACGTGGCGCGGTTGCTGATTGGTTTGGAATCTATAGACGGCTGCATTGCTCTTTTCGGAGTACATTTGTCTGGCGATGATGTCCTTTCCCTGGTCTTACTCGGTTCTTGGTTTGGTTCCGGGTCTGATTTTGACTGTTTTCATTGCTGGTGTGGTGTTGTATACTTCGTTAATTATTTGGTATGTCACTTTCACCGCTCCTACGGCATACATATACTTATGGTACTTTCTCAGGAAATTCTGTCTGCGACACCCGGAAATTCGCGATGTGTGTGACATCGGCCAGTATCTATTCTGGGACTCGAAATGGGCATGGTGGTTCACTGCCATCATGTTCCTTCTCAACAACACCTTTATTCAAGGCTTACATTGTGTTGTCGGGTCCGAATACCTCAACACCATCTCCAATGGCGGTGCCTGCACCGTCGTCTTCTCGCTTGTTGTGGCGATCATCTCCTTCTTCGTTTCCTTGCCACGAACATTTAGCGCTCTTGCACGATTGGCCACCCTTTCCGCCTTCTTCACATTCATCTCCGTCCTCCTAGCCATGATTTTCATCGGAATCGAAGGTCACCCGGCCGGCTACCCCAGTGCTGGCGAGCCAGAAGTTCTCGCCTTTCCAGCCAAGGGCACAACCTTTGTCAGTGGTATGAGCGCCTTCCTGAACATCAGCTACACATTCATCGGTCAAATCACCTTGCCCAGCTTTATCGCCGAGATGAAGGAGCCGCGCGACTTCTGGAAGTCCGTGACAGCCGTAACCATCGCCGAGGTGATATTGTTCAGTCTAGTCGGATCCATCATCTACGTCTATACCGGCTCGCAATCAGCATACATGACATCGCCGGCCTTCGGCTCGATATCAAACGAGGTCTACAAGAAGGTCTCCTTCTCGTTCATGATTCCTACCCTCATTTTCCTCGGCGTTCTTTACGCCTCCGTCTCTGCGCGTTTCATTTTCTTCAATATCTTCGAGGGAACACGCCACAAGACTCAAAACACGGTGGTGGGCTGGGCTTCCTGGGCTGGAATTCTAGCCGTGCTTTGGGTTATGGCGTGGATCATCGCCGAGGTTATTCCGTTCTTCTCAGATTTGGAGTCGATTATGAGTTCATTGTTTGACTCGTTCTTCGGTTTCATTTTCTGGGGAGTGGCCTATCTTCGCATGCGGAGGGATGACCACGGACCTCATTTCTATAAGACTCGGGGAATTCGCGGCTGGTTGGGTGCAATTTTCAACGTCAGTCTGATCTTAATGGGTCTTTATTTCTTAGGGGCTGGTACCTACGTAAGTTCATTGAAATCGCCCCTCTCCTTCATTTGCTAACATTTCTCTGCAGGCTTCTGTCATGTCCGTGATCATCAGCTACAGAGAGGGTAGTGTTGGTGGTGTTTTCACTTGCGCCAGCAACGGACTGTAAAACCCTGCGGGGCGGAGTTTATTTTTCATTTTGTTTCTTTTTCTGCAGTTTCATCACATCTCGTATCGTTGCACTTATCCAGAATGGATAGTGTCACTGGTAGATTTTCATGACATGATGACCGGGAGGGCTTGCGCACATTCTCCATTGGGGTTCGATGGTTGGTTAATAATGTGCTGTGATTTCTATTCTTATTGATATACGTGGTAGACGCTGCGCAAGTTTTGTATAACTTTGAAGAGAATTGGGATTTTGGACTTGCCTTGCTCTGATATGATATACATCATATCGCGCAAGTCCTTGCATATAGCGGCAACTGAAATTTAATCACACGAATGGTGTTCGGGTCAGATATCTTGACCTGATCGATTTTTAGTCATGGCCTTCAACATTATACTTTGTAGCTGTAAATCGTAATTTCTATCTAAAGACTTCTTTCACTGATAGAAGCTCCCATGGGTAACGCCGCCGGGCGGAGGCCACCCTATCTCCACGTGACTTTTCCGCAGTGCTTCTCCGACGGAGTAATGTTCTTCTGTGACCCATTTTCCTCCTCTTCTTTTCTTTTCTCCTATACATTCAATACATTTCTCATAGCATTGAAAGCACAATGGCCAGTGTTCGTACTCTGAAGAAAGGTGCCGACCTCGTCGCTGCCAGAGCGGCCGCTCTCCATGCACCCCGCGCTGCTATCGGCTCCACACTACTGCGGCGGGAGCTATCCTCCGCGGTGCGAGCCCGCATGCCCAGCACCCGGATTGCCGTCCCCAAGGCAATTGGAACGACTCAGATTGTGCGATATGCCTCAAGCTCAAGCGAGCCTCTGAGCAAGACACAGCTGTATGCGTTGCACGAGGCTCATGGCGCCAAAATGGTGCCCTTTGCCGGGTTCGCCATGCCGCTCCAGTACACCGACCTGAGCCATGTGGAAAGTCACATGTGGACTCGTGAGAAGGCCAGCTTGTTTGACGTTAGTCACATGTAAGTTATGGAGCTACGTGCGTTTCCACGGAGCTCAATGGATACTAATGATTGTGTTTGTAGGGTGCAACACCACCTGAGCGGACCAGGTGCTCTTGAGCTTCTGATGAAGATCACTCCCTCCTCACTAGACAAATTGGCTCCCAACACCTCTACCTTGTCCTGTCTCTTGGAAGAAGGTACCGGTGGTATTATCGATGACACCGTTATCACCCGCCGCGGCGAGGACACCTTCTACTTCGTCACCAACGCTGGCCGCCGTGCCGAGGACCTTGCCTTCCTGACGGCCGAGATTGACGCTTACCGCTCCAAGCACGGCGCCGACAGCATCAAGTGGGATATCCTCGAGGACCGCGCCCTGGTCGCCCTTCAGGGCCCCCTCGCTGTGAGCGTCCTGCAGCCCCTCATCAACTCCACCAATGCCTCCGCCGCCGAGACCGACCTGAGCACCCTCTACTTCGGCAACTGTCGAGAGCTGCACCTCACCCTCCCCGACGGCTCCGCTACCCCCTCCCCTCTCCTAATCTCCCGTACTGGCTACACCGGCGAAGACGGCTTCGAGATCTCCATCCCTACCTCCGTCTCCGCCTCCCTTCCGGAGCAAGTCGTGAACCTCTTCCTCCAGAACAAGGACACCCGTCTTGCCGGTCTCGCAGCTCGTGACTCCCTCCGCCTGGAGGCTGGCATGTGTCTCTACGGCCATGATATCTCCACCGCACAGACTCCCCCCGCTGCCGCCCTGGGCTGGGTCGTTGGCCGTGACCGTCGCGACCCCGCGACTGCTACCTTCAACGGTGCCTCCGCTATCCTGTCCCAGCTCGCTAGCCCCAAGACCGTAAAGCAGCGCCGTGTTGGTCTTACCGTTGAGAAGGGCTCGCCCGCCCGTGAGGGTGCCATTGTTGTGGATATTTCTGATCCTGCCAACCCCGTTGAGATCGGTGTTGTTACTTCTGGTGTGCCGAGCCCGTCACTCGGTGGTGCGAACATTGCCATGGCATATGTTCAGACAGGTTTCCACAAGAAGGGCACCGAGGTCGGTGTCAAGGTGCGCAACAAGGTCCGCAAGGCCAGTGTTGTCGGTATGCCTTGGATTGAGAGCAAGTTCCACCGCCCGTCCTAAGCGTGGATGACTTTAAATTCTGTCCGTCCTTTTATGTCTTGGGCCATTTCCCTGTTATGAATATTGAAGAAAGCGGTGATAGCCTAGGTTGCACCTTGTATATATTCTTTTCGCAACCGTGTTTACTTATCTTAAACGTTTCCCATTTCCACCCTACAAATGCATCATCTACTTCAACACTAGACCATCAATCGAATCATTCCTATACATATACATAGCAAAATTGCGCTCAGTACTCTGTTAATTCACGCAAATGTTCTTTTTATTTAAACCACATTCGTCAATCCCCCCTGTATATACATTTCAGCAGCAGGACTAACCAAAATCTGCCTCAGCCTATCCTTAGAACCCCCATCCAACCGAGAACATTGCAACAAAAGCCGAGCTATATCCTCATTCCCCGAGAAAACAGCCATAGACAACGCATTCCGTCCATGATTATTCTCGGCATTAACCTGCACTCTATCACAGAGAAGGAACTGTTCGACAATATCATCATATTCCCCGCGAATTGCTTTATGCAAAGGCGTATTTCCATCCACGTCCTTAGCATTCACATCTACTTGGGGCATGGCAAGGAGAACAACAACCATACTAAGGAATCCGAGGCGCGCAGCAATATGTAATGCCGTCTCGCCATGGCTGTCAACGCAGTTGACATCCAATGGCACGGTACGGATGCGATGACGCGCGAAGCTTTCACTTAATGTTTCGACTGTTTCTGTATCGCCCGAATTTGCTGCTAGGATGAGAGGCGTCCGACCTTCTTTGTCCGTGAGGTTGGCGTTTGTATTGGCGAATCCCAAGATCGTGGTGAAAGCTTGGTATCTTTTGTGAAGGAGAGCTAAGTGGAGTGCAGTGAGGCCTGCTTCGGATCTGAAATTGACGTCCACGGAGTCCTGTGCGAGGTAGAATCGGACGGCATTTCCATTGTCTAGGATCGATGCCAGCATTAGGGGTGTGAGGTCTTCGTCGTCCAGGGCATTGATGTTAAGTACTCCGCTTGTAAACAGCTTGGTGAGCAACTTGTCCATATTTCTGTGTTGCTCGGTCGTACGAGTAAAGTGGGAGTGACAGTGGGAATAAGCGTATTGGTAGAACGAGAATGTGTGACTCGCGTGGCCTTGACAGAGGGGACGGACTTGGGCAAGAGTTTTAGAGAGATCAAGGCCGGTTTCTGATTTAGCTTTGAGTAATTTGATAGCTAGATGACGGATACTGGTGGAAGAGGGAAAAGTCGATTGGAGAATTGTAGCCGTTGCTGCACTGGCATTGATTTTGGGGATGACGGTTCGAGATATTTGTCTGTCGAACACATTATAGCTGAGGTATGTAATAATGATATCAGCCATATATCTATGCGCGGTGTCCAATGTAAGACTCAATGGAGCTTTCGTTGTCCGTGCGTGAGAATCAAGTAGAAATTGTTTCAAACTGGGATGGACGAGTCGTGCTGTCAGTTCCTCTTCGTCGATATTGATTAGACAACCACAGCTTGCTAGAGTTTTGTAGATATTGTTGAGGTTTTTTGACTGGTCCCATTCTGTCTCACCCGGGACAATGCTCAATGCCTCTTGCATCTCGTATACCGTTAACGGACGCCGAGCAGCAATGACTAACTTGAGAATTGATCCTTGCTGAGAGGGCTCTTTCCATTCAAGCCGCTGGAGGATGCGAGAAAATGTTCCAGCCAGATCTTTGGGCAAGACCTGGAGCGCCTGACGGAGCTCATAGTCGGTCTTCATAGTACACAGGGTTTCGATCTGCAGGGCAACCCACAGAAACATCCCTTGAGATCCATGAAAAAGTGCATCTCGGATCTCCAAGATTAGAGTGGGGTCTCCAACAACTAGCCTTTGTGATTCAAGACAGTCCTCTAGCTCCTCTAGAATGAAAGCCTGAATCTCAGAGCTATTTTCCGGGATGGGTATCACCGTAGCTGACACAAAGCCCACTGAGTCTATCCTCCGGTCATAACTTGTTGGATCCGAGCGAAAAGACGCACAAATGCGTATGTTGAAATTTTCTTGGAGCTTGACTAATTCCGCCATCGTTTTGAGTCGTTCAGAGTTCTCCAAATCATCTAGGCCATCAACTATCATGAAACACTGCAGTGATCGGGATGGAAAGGCGTGTTCGAGGAGACATGTCATCCTCGTGAATTCATCCAATTCGGCGCATTGATTCAAAGCTTCTGCTACAAACGTGAGGTCTTCAACACTACTTAGTAGTTGTCGGATGAGGGATCCAATGACGGTGCGAGCCTTGAGCGATTGAGCGACATCGTGCCGGCAAAAGAAATAAGCCACCAAGAAATCTGGACAATGAAGGTGTAAGTCCTCAACCATATTGGCTAGAATCACTGATTTTCCAGCGCCAAGTTTGCCCGTGTATGCGAGTGTGCAGGAAATGCAACAAAGTGCAGGATCTTTCCAGGTAATATACTCTGGACATACTCGGAAAAGAGTTGAAGTGCCCGCCTTTCGAGTTTGTTTCCAGATCACTATGTGATCAAATTTTGAACAGAAGTTGAGTACTTGTAAACGTGCATCAATCTTCCACTGCATGATCTCATTTTCGGTCTTGATGATTTTCTTCCATAATGCATTTTGAAATTTCGAAGTTTTGACAGACTCTTCATCAATTTTCTCAGCCACCAGCAGCGTCATTTCTTCCTTGATATTCGTGGCCCAGCGTTCTAGGGTCAATTGAAATGAATTCAGTTCTCCCTCATTCATAGTCGCTTTCAGCTGTCCAATCGTTGACTTCTGCGAAAACCTCAAAGTCTTGTGACATATTTGCACAACGGTGATAAAGTAGTCACACATGTAAGACTGTAAGTTCTTCGATCGTGGGTATAGAAGAGCCATTTTTTCATAACGTGGCGCAGATCGACCAGCCACCATGAACAGCGTCGACAGCTTCTCAATGTAAGAAGTGTATTTCGTCACGAGCTACACCAGTAAGCTCAATACCATGTCAATACTATGTCTGCACTGACCAGCAATGATGATCTGAGGACCGCCCACACGCCACAGGCTATCAGATTCTGGGAGCCTCCGACAATGATATCACCCATCGCAGCGAACCGTTGAACCGCTTCGAGAACGTTCATCATTCGAGCACCAAAACAACGTCGCTTGGATCCCAATGCCAGTTGATCTATCTCTGCAGTAAGACGTAAAACATCTTGCGCACCGGGAGGTTTCCCTCGCATCTGAGCCTTCTCATTCTGGAACGCTATTTTTTGATTGTCAGGCAGGTCAGCTTCGAACATGGAAACCGCCTGTGCCAGCCGAATTTCTGGCTTCAACCGGGGTGGTGAAATTGTCATTGACATTGTCATGTCAACCAGATCAGAGATCTTGAACCATATTCTTTTGATGTCTGTGGGCCATTGGAAAGTGGCGAAGGTTTCGCTTTGGTGAGACCGTGCGGGGTCGGCTGTGTACCTCCGCGGTATTGTGCTTGATCAAATGCATCCCCAAATGCCATGTAAGTTTACTCGCGTCTTATGTCAGCTTCCGAGGAGTTTGGTTTCTCCTTCTGCGCCTCTTTTGTCGCTTTGCCTCTGTATGCAGCCTAATTGTGCCGTACGAACTGTGGCTGTGCAATGGCTGCGGCGCAGTCACAGAAAGACTTTCCTTATAGTGAAGAGTCACCGGCGGGTTGACCTTTCATTTCATTTTCAGACAAATGTTGCACTCGTCATCTCTTCGGGAGGCATGCACTCATCCAGATTCATTGTTTGCGACCCAACAAGATGATCTCCTCCGCATGATCTACCAAGATTTCACCACTGACTTGGACCGGCTCAAACGAGCCTACTCACTTCGCTCTGGTCAACCAATCTACCCGACCACCACATCTCCATCCTATATCCTGTACGAAGCAGATTATGATGAGGTGAACCGAACCCTAGTGGGGTTCCTCAGTCTGCGTTGGATTCACCGCGGGGAATATGAGAAATTTGTCGGCTCGCAGCCCCCAGATGTTCGATTAAGCCGGGATTCATTTGAATGGATACGAGAGTTCTACAGCGAGGTTATTGTGGATGCTGACGCGCTCTACGCTTTAATTACCTCCATCGTCATCAACGATCTGGGCAAGGATCCACAACTTGCCTCTGACTATCAACAAGTGACTGGTATCGATATCGCAGATTTGAATCATGATGCGATTCTTCTGAAAGCATGCACAGTCGGGTTGGTTTTGTCACTGGAGAATTTGACATTACCATACAAAGACGATCTCCTGCGTGGCATCGAGCTAGGCGCGACTTTCAATTTTGGACAGCTGGCCCAGGCTGAAAACGTCCCAGCCTGTCTATCGGGTCTATTGTTAATGAATGACATGCCACGCTGCTTCCAGCTTCGCTTCATGGAGCAGCTTCTGGACATTTCCGGAGCTGCAGGGCATATGGATTCTACCTGCGCGAAGAAACTCATCCAGCCTATATTCGATTCCTATCGGAATGTCTACGATGCATGCCAGAGTGTTATTGCTGGTAATGCAAATTTTCGACAGGGGTATGATTTGGTTCTTTCGAGAAGGGCACATTATCTTCATGGAGAAGGTTTTCCGTTGCTGCGTGTTGAAGACTCGGATGATCGAGCATTGATACGACTATTCTGCATGGGAAATGTCACGACTCTTGATAAGGCGAGTCTGTTTAAAGATACATGGGATTCGCTGGAGATTACTGTCAGAGATGCGTTGATATATGCACTTAACATTGATGGTGTGAGTGGTGAGCCTGCGGTCCAACCGACTTATATGCCTGCTTTTCTTAGTCGGATCGGTGACAAGGTATCATTGACTTGCTCGTTACGATTCTTATCACGTGTGATGACTCGGGTAGGGTCTGTAGATTCATCGGTACTGGTCATTGAACGGAGCGTCTTATCAGTTATGAAACAATACGTTGAGAGCGGGGAATTTGACAAGGATCCCACTGTAATAGAGAACATCGATGTGCCAGAAGGAGTTGTTGCATTAACCACATGACACAAACAAGAGCATCTCCATAATTTGAAATGATTGATTAATCAAGCTTATGCACAGATGAAAAGTCTTCTATCTTATAATGAACATTGATATAACATTAACAGAGCACGCCGACAGTCTGGAAAGGGTATGTATAACAGAAAAATGGCTCCAAAACCAACCAAAACTAGTAAGAACGAGACGGTATCTCGGTAACAACTCGCTGTACCGTATCTTTCTGTGGGGGAGTAGGAGGAGGAGGCGAAGGAGCAAAGCGGGAAGCTTTCTCTTGTTGAGCATATCTCAACCGAGTACGGCTCACATCACTCTGACTAGCCAAACTGACCTTTAACCAGTCATTAGGCGTAGCCTGATCCTCAATTGAGCTCCGCATGCGCACCACACATTCCCGATACAGACAATTCTTGTCAAAACGCCAACTACACAAAAGCGCCCGGAGCATACCACCCTCACGGCCACAGATCAATGCCACTACTGGCGGTCGCTCGGCAGCAATGACGGACACGGTCATATCTCCCGTATCAACGATGGTGAACAAGCGATGCGTATCCGGAATACCATGAACTTTCCTTTCCTGTTCCCAATGATCACGGCCTAGTGGATCACCATATTTATCACGAGGTTCAACACCCATTCGGATCTTCGGGTGACGCAGACTTTGAGAGAAGATCGTGGATGAAGGTGCGTACGAAAGTCGGTCATTGAAGTTTCCGTAGATCGCCTTCTCAATTTCTCGGAGGGTCATTGTCCCTTCAAATCCGACCATATGACAAGATAGTCCGGACGATCCACCACTGCATAGATATCGGACGGCCCGGGGACTGAAGCAAGAGATTATCCAGGCGACACCGACATATAGCAAGATACCATACATGTATTGGTCGATGTTGAGAGTGGTTCCTCCGTTCACGCCTGCGAAGGCTAGAGAGATCACAGTTGCGAAAAGGTTGAACCCGGCCAGCAGGAACCATGCACCCATCCACACGATGAATTGAGATATATTTGCGCGCAAGCTGGTGAAATTCTGCACGTACTGAACTTCCGGGAAGCTCTTCCATCGGATGGGGATGCCGCGGCACCGGTCCAGAATGACCGTTGGGGTGTACTTGTCGCTGCCGATACCGACTACCTCACATGAAGGTTCGATATCCCACAAATGGACGGAATATTGATCTTGGTCTGCGATATTTCGGAGGAGAGCTTCGCTGCCAGCCACAGCGTACCTCTCCTCGCCTTGGATGCTGGACTTGCTGGGGATGGTTGACCTGTAACTTGGCCATAGGCAAACCAGACGCTCCAACATCTCGTTGCTATCATTCACAAGAGATAAGCGCGCAATGGCCTGGAACGTGTCGTCTTCTTCATCTGGTGTGATGCGATAAGACAACAGGCCCATCGCAGCATAGGCCATGCTGGTGGTTGTATAGCCCTCAACGTCTCCAGTGACTAACTTCGCCATGGCCTGCACGGCAAATGTGAATAACTGCAGCTCACTGAGCTTGGTCCGATTCGTATAATGATCAATGAGGTGACTGATTGCGTCTTCAGGTCGCTCTCCGTTGCTTTCAGTAGTCGTTGCTGTACTGATAGGGTCAAACGCATCCCAGAAACTGTTATACATATCCGACAGTGACACATCATAGAAGACAGTATCCGTGGACTTATTACCGACAGATGGCAATTTCCATTCCGGCGTGATACAGTATCGAATCTTTTCAGCCGCGAGGAGAACTTCAGGCAAAGTCCATACCCGCTTTCCCCATATCTTCTTGTCTTCGGCGCTATCGCTTGGCAGCAGGATGTACACCCGTCTTGCACAGCGCACTGCATCACAGATGGAGTTTATATCCCTTGCCTCGTCGAGTTTGTTCTCGTGTGAGACACAGTCCGTATCCACCCAGAATGCTTTGACCGGCTCTTCTTTTGGATCTCGATTGGCGTTCTCACGCTCCAGGATACTCCCAGCTATCTTGTGGAAAAACGGCCTCAAGATATCGTCACCAGCACTGTAGTTTCCCCGGGAGAAACTCAAGAAAATATAAGGCTGTAGCATGCCTGTATTCTTATCCCGGAGCTGTGTTGTCTCTTTGGCTACCCACTCCTCTTTGTCTGTGTCCCATACGACCAGGCGGCGAGGGGTCAAAAGCCTAGCGAGACTTGACTGCGGTCGAGTATTCCCCGGCGACTGATCAAGGATATTGATAGCGTGTTTGGGCCAATCCCATTGCACATTATCATAATCCTCGTATTTGTCAGACGAGCCTTCACCACTCCACGGCTTGGTAATAATATCGACGGAGAGCAAGACCTGAATAATCCACGCCAATGTCAAGGTAAAAAAGATGGACAGGACATGGTGTATTATGCGAAGGCAGACGATCCAAACTCGTCGCGGCATGCTCTTCTTCTCTAGTGTTGAATCTGGATCATCCTCGCTCGGATCAACCCATCCTGATTCATATCGCTCGAGATTCAATGGATTGAGACAAAGCTCCGAGAGTCGAATTATAAACGGAGTCCGTCCGTCGATTTGCGTTTGACCCCAATGCCTTGGTCGGGTATCTTTTTGCGCGTCTTTGGTCGCCTGCACGACTAGTCGACGAGGAAACTCTTTGGTGGTACTATAGTACGTATCCAGATCGGGGAATTTCTCGTGCTCGTCATCTCCGTTTGGATTGAGGTATCGGCGCTTGCGGATCACCGGGTCTTCGTGCTCAAGCTCAATCATGCGATCCCTCAGTTGCTCGGGGGTGAGCTTTGGTGGTCGTCTGAACCTAAGACCAGGAGACCAGTGCCAACGTCCATCATAATGTTTCTGGAGGTTCTTTTCCCATGCCTCGTGCTCCAAGTCTTCTTTGCTGGAGGATTGAGCGGCACCCATATTGGCCAAAACTTTTATTTTCGACTTAAAAGAAACAAGTCCAGAAGAGCCCAGTGGGGATATTGTAGGTTTTTGTTTGAAATGTGGATATATAGATCCACACACCCATCAAGGAGGCTCGGTTGGGAGCCCTCATATCAGGGGCTTAAGCAAGTATAAAAAAGCCAGAAAACGCCAACGTCTAGCATGAAACATATCAGCTTTGATAATTTATCTGACCAATCTAAGGCTAGTAGCGAGATTTCGGCCCCTTAAGTCGCTTAGACCTCTATAGACAGACCCTTAACTAATTTAGCTCAGCCCCACTGGATGTATTTTAGGCTTAGTGTCTCTGCCTTTCTTCCGATCTTGCACACATTGACTCAAGTGCTGGGAAAAGATATGTAAACTTTGAACTATCTTGAGCATTATTAAAAACCAAGACGATTAACCATACAGCCCGCCGCTTTGTCAAAAGTAGAATTATGGCCGATGAAACTAAATTTGCCCATAGCGATGACGTTAGAACCAAACTGTGCTTACATTTCTACCATATTCCACATCAAGCGAATACGAAGACAATGTGGACATGAAAAAATCAGGCCTATATGGGAAAACCTTATAAGATTTCAAATTCAACTGACTTCAAATCTTTGATGATCACAAGGTAAGCTCGACCCCATTTAAGACTAATAGAGTTAAGCGCTGACGTGACCGGCGAACCAAGGTTCGAGCCGGGACGGCACGTTCATTTCCACTAAATCCACTAACTGCAGTCTTTCCAATCGGCAACATTATTTTCCCTTAGCTTTTGCTAACCTCGTATTGATCCCGCCATTGTGGTCACTTTTGCGAGTTTGGCTCGGGTGTACGTGCGCTCAACACGGTCAGTAAGCAGCCACACGACGCTAGTGAAGGGCCATACGCATCAAAATAGCAAATGGTGGTCGCGCTACTATTAAAAAGAATGAAAATTTGACGATCGCGGGATAGGCGTCGTCCTGCGAAAGTGGTTGGATGTGGCTGCTCCAATTCTGCACTCAGGATTATTTCCGGCTTTTGCGTTAGACATGATGCATGTACCGCTGTCGAGAGCCAGGTGCTAGTCTGGGTCGCAGGTATTGTTAGTATGCATGAGCTTGTTCCTGCGCCAAATCCGCCCCCAAGTTCCACAAGCTGTCAAAACCAAGCCTCCACTAATAAAGTAGCGCAGTGGATGATGAAATTCGTTTCTCTTGCGATTGATTAGGTCGGAGAATTGCGGCTGGATCACACTGTCTCTTACTCTCCTACCCCATCATAGGGTGCCACAAAAGCTGACATGTGGATGGAAAGCTACCTTTTATGCCCAGACGCAATTTACAGCCTTCAACAGAATGTTTCCCTGGCATGAAAGCCTGAAATCCTGGGCTAACGGCACGGGACTCAAAATCGATGCCCTAGGTCTTGTCACGCTCCTCGGCGCAGAAGAAATGGACCGCAGCATCGGAAGATTAATGCCAAGCGTGTACTTTGACTACCTACCGCTTCTCGGTGCATTCATCGTAGCCGGTGATCGATTCAAAGAGAGAAAGCTCGGATATACTCTCTACAATATCTCTGCGGGGATCGTCACGACCGAGTTATCAGGCTGGTTCGCGCGATGGATGTGCGCGCAGGAATTTCACAAGATCCGAAGTAAAGTCACTTGGGAGGTTGTCGATCGGCCACCACGGAGGAAGACCTTTTCTGTCGGCTTATTTCTTATCAGCATCCCCTTGCATGGAATGCTTCTGGCCCTGACAGTCTTGGCGGCGGATTGGTGGGGGTTTGCAAATGTTGTGGCTATGGTGGTGTCTATATTCGTGCGATGTGTGCAGGTCGCGGAGAACCAAGATGGCATTAGTGAGAATATACGGGCGGCGGAGCAGGATGCAAATGATAAGTTGGCGAAATATGAGTTGGCAAAGGCTCGTCAAAAGGAACTTGGGTCCAACAGTACCAAAATTCTTACTCGGCCCAAGGATCGCGATCTTGTGAAGATGATTGTGGTGACGGAAGAATCTAAGGTTGTTACGCTTTATGCGCCTGCTTTTCTTGTCAGAGCTGCTTTCACGGCTGCGCCTTGCATACCCAATCCTCACTTTTATACGTTCTGTCGGATTCTGGGCTGGATTGCATTTGCTGTTCATGTCATCAGTATTGGTATGGCAGCACTGTATACCCAGATTTGCACAGTCGTTTTGATCATTGGGGCGACGGTGCTCACTGCCTATAAAGTTGGTAGTGAAGATTCGCAGCTATCAAGATCTATTCGGCGCAAGTTGCACGGAGTTCAATATGAAGAGAAGGAATGGAGTTGTTGGGTTACTTCAAAGTTGAAAGCCACAGTCTCCTCTTATCCGAAGGAGTACACAGAATGGGAAACTGTGCCAAGGGAAGAGAAATTGAAGCCACCTGCCAAAGTGACTGTCTCCTCGTGGCCATGGAGTCGAGGGGCAGCGGTCGATGTCAAGCATTCAGCACCCAAGAGAAAGTCGAGGATTGTTCAAGAGCGACGGCAGGACCTGTTTGCTTGGTTGGACTTGACACCGGAGGAAGATGAGCGTATGGTTGCATGGCATATGATTCCTCACAGTCAGGAATGGAAGAATGCATATTTGGAAAAGAAGGAGTTTCATCGTCGGAGAACAAGAATCCCAAATTTCACATGAGAGAAGCAACATGAAAATGGGACTGAAAGTTATGATTTAAGACCAACTGATGCAGTGACGTACAATATTAATTCCAACACGATCACACATCTGCCCACCTTCTAGATCATCATTCAAACTGCCGAGCATACTCTGCGTCAGTGCTCAAAGCCCCAAGGTCATCATAAGTCCTGAGGCCATGCGCTTGTACATCCGAAGAATTTGACAAAGAAGGCGGTAGATCTTCCGGCTTCGTGCCCCAATCACTCTCCTTAGAGCCCAAAGTGAGCACCAAATCCTGACCTTCTGTGAAAAAGTCATGGTCAACCCAGTTGCGCGTATATGGCTTGCCATTCAGAGTAGCGGACTGAATGAAACCTGATCCACCGGTGCTATTCAGTGAGTTGAAATCAGCCCAGTTAACAGTGCGCAAGGTAGCAGTTTTGCCGGTCAGTGGCGATTTGATGCTCACAGACTCGAAGAACGGGACTGTGAGTAGATAGACGCTCTGTCCTGGGTTGGGGAACAGGCCCATCATCGACATTGCGACAAAGGATCCCATAGCCCCGGAGTCGTCGTTGCCAGGTAAACCAGTGGGTGTTGGGGAAAAGTAATCTGGAATGTAAGTGCGCACTCGCGCGGTAGATTTTGCGGGACGACCCGCGTAATGATATTGGAAAACTGTGAGGAAAGCAGGCTCGTTGCCAATGTATGTGATGTTTTGGTCATGTAAGTAGTCGAGACGCTTGACAAAGCTTGAGGGTCCGCCAAGCAGGGTAATCAGCGCAGCCATATCATGGGGTACGAAGCTAGAAAAATTAGCTCGGTCTTAGTCAAGAGGGTTCTCTTATGCCCACAATTGGTATTCCCATATTGATGACTCGAAGGTCTCCTGGGCATTGTTCTGGAGCGAGCAACTTGCCCCAGAATCATCGATGTTGGAGCATTTAAGAGGATCTTGGTATCCCCAGGTCCCATTCAGATATTTGGGCTGAAAGAATCCCACAAATCCGGTGTTAACCTTCTTGAGGAATGAGGTTTGATCCTGTTTGAATAAGTTTTTCCATGCTCCTGAGTTTGCTTCGTACTTTTCCGCGTCGGCCGTTTTGTTCATTCCACGAGCCATCTGGGCGATAGCATAGTCATTATACGAGTACTCGAGTGTCCGCGAGATACTTCGAGTCATAGTTCCGAAGCCCACGTAGTCAAAGTCCTCGACTGGGATATAGTTCAGCTTTTTCCAGCTTTGAAGTCCACCACGGCCTTCGACCGACCAGTCAAAGGGCTCTTCTTCGGCATCTTTTTGAACAGCAGCATAGCCTTGATCCCAGTCAATGCCGTCAGTGATGCCTTTTACATAAGCATCGGCAAGAATGTTGTCGGCATTTGAGCCTCCCTGTGTGAATCCTAGAGTAAACAGTTAGCTGGAAATGGGGAAATATGATAATCTTCCATACCCTTGCAAAGTGACATCCGACAGTCGGGAAGCCAACCGAGATGACGCTGGGTATCAATTAGAGAGCGAACCATCTCAGCAACCGCACTAGGGTCCGTAAGTGTGAGAAATGGGATCTGACTACGGAAACTATCCCATAAACAGTAGAAAGAATCAAAGTATGGCTCTGAGCTGGTCCACAGAGGGTTTTCCCCAGTATAGTTCTGAGGATTCACCATAGTTCGATAGATGCCACTGTAGAAGTTAGTGAGAACAGAGGAATTGACGCCGTTCTTTGAAACCCGAATGGGGGCAAGTTTCTCGGTCCATTTATCGACAGCCGTTTTTTGTGTAGAATCGAAATCAAAGTCGCCTATCTCGGATTCAGCATATGAGCAGGCCTGGTCTGCGCTGATAAAGCTGAGCGCTACACGGGCCTGCACGGTGCCATCTGAAGGAGAATTGAAGCGCACAAATCCACCGCCCTATGGCCGTCAGCTCATAATCAATCAAGGCTTCATGTTCTACTCACCGGGAGAGGATATCCATTGATGCTTCGCGATATTGTCAAGTCACGAACATCTGCTGAGGCCCTAGCATCAACAAAGATGCCACTATCCCGTAACATGGCGGAGCTCTTGAAATCAGCACAAAAGTGAAGAGTGTATGATCCGCTCCCAAAGCTAGGCAAGAATTTAGCACTTCCAGTCATACGCCCACTGTCCTCGTCAACTGCGATAGTTGCATTGTCTTGCCGACTGTCTGACAGATCAGAAAGGTCTAAGAAGACCAGCGGACTGGTGGCATTTGTAAAATTAAAGCGAAAAAGCGTTGTATGGTGAGCAGCAGTCATGTCAACATGGACTCCAGACGCCAGGGAAATAGCGAAATAGCCAGGTCTGGACTCAACAGAGTCTGGCTTATAAGGAGTGGCACGGGACTTTTTTGGGAAAATGCAACCATTAATATCGTCGTTAGCGCACTGCGCATACGCAAACAATGGGAAGTTCCCAAGAGAAGGACTGCCCCCAGTACCGGAGTCATGCATGCTTGAGAAGCCAGTGACATTACTGCCATCATACGCAAAGCCGCCCTGGTTGCCATCTGAATTGGTATCGGCGACGGCCTTGGCCATGCCTGTATTCATCAGCTCTATCCAGCTACTTCCTGTTGATTTACTCACCATATGGCAACGTGGCACCTGGAAAAACATTGCCTGAAGGATTTAAGACGATCAGTTACTCCACTTGGCCCGATTTTAAGTGCGACCCTCACCCCCATTTGCAGTTCCGATCATCGGGTTAATATATTGGAGGACATCGTAGTTATCCGGTACAGCTGGAAGCACAGCGTTGACCAACGCGCAACTGCTGGTCAAAAGGAGCGACACAAGTACGCGACGCGACATGTTAGATGGATGTAGAGAATTCGACGCGTGGAATCATTGCAGAATCGCCGGTATTTGAATTCCCCTTTGACTCCTGTCGCGTCGTGCTCTGGCATGCGGGCCCCTGTGGATCGATCGACCACGCGTCGCTGGGTTGCATTGAGAATTTCTTATCTAAAGCGATCATATGAAGTGTCGCGTGTGATTGAATAGTCTCGTGTTGGGCTGGTATTTGTTATGCGATTCTTTGAGCCTAGTATTACTCACGCTAAGAACCTCCATCATGTGGCCATTGTGACCGGGTCATGCGATATGAGAAGTCCGATTTGAAGCTCAGCCTGGATTCTGATCTATTAATACGCGTTAGCATCTCACGCTGATGAAGAATTGTAACATGGGGAAAGCATAAATCAAAGGCCACATTTTAGAAGCAACTTTCTTGATACCTCATACTCCAAAACCACTTTGGCTATAGAAAGGACAGAGTGGTAGTATAGATGGATCTGCTGTCAACAAAGCTCTCTAGGTAACCACTACCAGTACATACTCAGTACGATCACAGAATATTCGAGTCTGTGTACTGTAGCCACGAATACTATCTGTAACAGAATGGAGGTCAGGGCTGGGTATGACAAACAAGCACGGGACAAGGCCACGTACCACTATACAATAGATGAACCGTACTGATTTCATAGTAGAGATTCGGGGATTACAAGGAAATGACAACAGAGACAAAATGGTTCACCGTTCAAGGTCACATTAAGCAGGGATGACAAGCACTGGTACTAACCAGATTATAAGATTTAACGCTAGGGTTCTCTAGCAAACTATACAGGTAATCATTATGTGATTTAAAAGAAAGCAATAGGCTAGTAAATTAGCAAAATCCATTTTACCTACTGAAACAGATGTATGAACCCTAGGATCGGGGACTCATTACCCACGGTGACCCATGAGGTGGTCAGGTTTGATAGGTGCAAGAACCCAGTGTGGTACGTAAGACATATAAAAGCTTCACCGGATTTTCATTTCGGAGCATTAAAAATAGTACCTTATACCATGCTTTTTCTCATCCACAACTCTCTCACCTTCCGAAAATCTCGACCACATAATAAAGACGAAAAGTCACAATGGCTCCAGAGTTTCACATTCAAGTCGACGACCTGCCCTTTCCATTCAAAGACTGTATTGAAGGCAATGTCCCCATTTTCGCACCTCAGTCAGAATATCTTGCCAGTCTTCAGCCTATTCGCAAAAGCATTTACGAGCAACTTCTAGAACAGCAATGGACAGAGGAAGAATGCTACGATTATTTTACCTTCATTGAAAAATACATGGGATTTGAGAGCGTATGGCTCCGTCACAAGGGCTGGAAAGAGCAGAAAATCCAGGACTGGAGTGAAGCGTGTGCACACAAGGAACTCTACTTTCTGCCGGGTTTAAAACAGGATGATCTGTATCAACAGCTCTCACAAATGGCCGGTGCGGCCCAACGATGTATTGCATCCCGTGAATTACTCAAGAGTGAATCAGTCGCGAAGCTTTAACAGATAGTAACCTCTGATTTGAATTGAATTGCTAGAATCAACGGTGGAGAATATCTACAAGGGTTGTCTGTGGTAGTTAGCTTTGTATTGATATAGATCATCAAATTCAACATACTGGGGAAAGCCACTACACCAAGAACCCGCTAAAGTAGGCTGGTTGAGATAATATTTTCAATTACCTTGGAAGGAAGCGGCGAATTTTGACATGTTTGGCTGTCCACTCAGTCATACGGCAGTCTGGGACTAAGATCTTCCCGTGTGCTGAAAGTCACACCCATGGACCTAGTAGGTGGCATCCCAGCGCTATCAGGTCCGAAGAATATTGGTTACAGGTGCTTTCTTCAATTTAAAAGACTAAGGGCCTTAACTGTTACCCAAGTACCATATCTCATTCTTGTCTGGCTTTTCCAACAATGAAATCAGTCACCATCGCTATCTTTCTTATTGCCGCGATGGTAGGCAATACTTCCCCAGTGGCGATCACCCCTGTGGATTCGGAGAATTCCACAGTTGGGATTCTACCTGACAAAGGAAAGCCCATCTTTCATTTTAAGGGGGGTAATTTGAGCTTTACCAAGCTAATTCATTGTGCAATCACATTTGACAAAAGACCTTATTGCATGAAAATAATACCAAAAACTCACTTACAAATCGATCCTGACTTTTAGAAATGTCTTTTACGAAGTCAACAATGCTATTATTCCGACCCTGATACCAGATATCTGTACAGAGTTAACTGTCCAGCTGCATCTCAAGAAAGAGTTTCATACGGTGAAGCCATTTCCTCACTCCCATCTTGGCAGCTAACAATGATTAGTGCCGTTATGATCATGCTACGTGCTCGATTGCTACCACTGGACCAGGAACCGTCAGCAACGCTCACTGCACTATCTGAACCTTGCTGAGATGACGCGCGTTACTTTATATCAAAATAAACCGATTCATTTTATTCTTGTTGAATTCGTACCTATGATAATGTTATGCGAACGAACGATTTTACGTTGGGATTAGGCACCTCTGAATCTTGAAGTTTATTTGTGTTGAAATCAACAACGCAAATCTTGTTAAATAAAACATATCACGGATATTGGGAGAGCAGGATGTGTAGATATTAGACAAGTGGTGTCTAAGAAATATCATGTTATTCCTTGTTCCTCTATATTTTGCTCAGGTCTACAGGTTAATTCATCATTGATTGATATATAATCGGACCAAGTTATAAGATCTAGATTTTCCTGATTAGGCTATCCCGAAACCCGCCAAAGATGCCGAGGTACATTTGTTAGAATCCACCATCTGAACCCTTGCCTCCCAACAACCACAGAACGATTCGCATCAACTTGGAAAATGCTCCGACAATCCTCTAGTTTTTCTTCCCTCGCCCGATTATCACTTTCCTCTCCTCGCCTCATTCATCCCTCTTACGCTCGTAACCTTCGATTCCAGTCCAGTAAGCACATCTACAACCCTGAAAGAAACATAATACTAACTCAAACCACAGCCTCACTCCCCACTCCCCTTCCAAAACAGCCCTCACGCGTCCGTCGCTTCGCAGGCTTCATCTCAATTGCCCTCTTCGCCTTCACCGCAGGCCTAACCTACAAATCCTACCGCACCGTCTCCGAAATAATGGCCCAGCCCATCCTCTCCGACGAGCAGACTCTGTCCGCCTACGAACCCGTCGACGACATCACGCAGGAGATCGACACAACACTACAAAGTCACCCCGAAGCCCTGGCACTTCGCGCAAACCCCGAATTCAAAGAATCGCGCCCCCACCTCAAGATCCCGGAGGCTATGCGCCCGCGCAGTCTGACAGCAGGTACATTAGCTGGACCGGGCAAGATTGTCGTCCCGCCTTACGTCTTCAGCGAGCGCGATGGAAAGAGCCTCGTCTCGCTGATGTATCTTGGATCGGAGATGTGCGGACACCCGGGGATTATTCACGGAGGACTGTTAGCGACGATTCTGGATGAGGGTCTTGCGCGGTGCTGCTTCCCGGCTCTGCCTAATAAGGTGGCTGTCACTGCTAATCTGAATATTGATTACCGGGCGCCGGCTATGGCGAATTCCTACGTGGCGTTGCGGGCGGAGACTGTTAAGGTTGAGGGTCGGAAGGCGTGGGTTGAGGGTCGGATTGAGACTCTTCCCGTTGATGGTAGTGAGCCGGTTATCTTGGTTCAGGCCAAGGCTTTGTTCATTGAGCCTAAGCAGGCTGCTGTGAGTATCCCTATTCCAGATTCCCTCTACGGGATGCTAATTCAAGTTCTAGGCCCTTCAGTCGCTGTACCGTGGCGCGAACGAATAGAAATCTCTGCCTTGAATGTGGCGAAAGCCAGTTCCTGGTTCCTGAATTGCGCCATTTTGGTTTATAGATGAGATTTCGATTGTAAGATTTTTTTTGAAAGCGAATTCGCTTTAGATGTATATCATAGATGACAGATTAAGCATTGCATTTATTAATTACTGCATGGATCAACCTTAAATCCCTTTAAATTCCTTAATAAAAGTTCATAAGTTCGTAATTTCGTATAATTTCAATGCCAAGAATGAGAAAGTGCCCCGCGATCAGCACTCCGTTTCCGCTCCAGGACCTCTTACGCGGCCCCATTTCACCGTCTCTTGCCCCCCCCCCCCTCCTTTTTCACCTCTACAACTCCCTAATTCACACATCACAATGGCCACGTAAGTCAATTGCTCTCCTAATCCCTCATCCAGATCAAGAAACCAAATCCAAAAACAATCAACTAACCCCTCACAGCAACATCACCTTCCACGCCTCTGGCGTCACCCGCGCCGAGCGCAGCACCCTCCGCAACCAACAAGGCCTCACAATCTGGCTCACCGGCCTCAGCGCCTCGGGCAAGTCTACCCTCGCCGTCGAGCTCGAGAAGCAGCTCATCCGCGACCGCGGCGTCCACGCCTACCGCCTCGACGGCGACAACATCCGCTTCGGACTGAACAAGGATCTCGGATTCAGCGAGACTGACCGCAACGAGAACATCCGCCGTATCGCCGAAGTCGCTAAGCTGTTCGCCGACTCCTCCTCTGTGGCTATTACCTCTTTTATCTCGCCGTACCAGAAGGATCGCGATACCGCGCGCCAGTTGCACGAGGTCGCTACTCCCGGTGAAGAGACCGGGTTGCCTTTTGTTGAGGTTTACGTCGATGTTCCTGTTGAGGTTGCTGAGCAGCGTGATCCTAAGGGATTGTACAAGAAGGCTCGGGAGGGTATTATTAAGGAGTTCACTGGTATCTCCGCGCCTTATGAGGCGCCTGTGAACCCTGAGGTTCATATTAAGAACGTGGATTTGCCCATTGCCGATGCTGTTAAGCAGATTATTGATTACCTTGACTCCAAGGGATACTTGCCTGTCAAGAACTAGGTGGTTTGGGTTGAGTTGAGTTCAGTGTACAGGTTGGGTTGTGGTTATCCAGGCGCTGTAAATATATACATATTTGGCATATAGACTTGAATGTGGAAATTATTGAAACATTTACATTTACTTTAAATCAATAAAGTACACTAGACCCAAAATGAACAAAATATAAAACGATTCCAAAAATGCTACTAGTAGGTACTGGGTGCTTAGACCTGGTATATGTACGCAATGCAACGTCTTCCGTCCGAAAATCACTGGAACTCGAAGTCGTAGTACACATAGGGTGTGTACTCGGCACTCTCAGCACCGTGCATCTCGTTGGGATCATCCCGCTTGACACGGCCCTTCTTGTCGCGGCCAAATGCATTGCCAGCCAGGTAGTTGTACTTATCGTCGAGAAGCTGCTTAGCCTTGTCGGCCTGTTTCGATGACGGAGTCTGTAACGAGTTAGTGCTATCCACCAGATGACAGAACAGGAAAGATCATACCCGAACCAAAGCACAGACAAAGTCCAACGGCAATCCATACCGCAGCACAGTCTCAACAAAGACCCTCAACACGAGGACATGTACCCAAACCATAACAGCCTCACTCCAAGCCGTGCGGCCGAGTCGCAATGTCTCTCCCCAGAGCTTCCGCTCATCCCCACCAACCTTCTCAACCTCCTTCTTCTCCTCCTCCTTGCCACCCTCCACATACTTGAAGTCTCGTGGGATCCACTTCTGCTCACGACACTTGTGCACGAATTCGGCGCTGTGCTTCTTGAATACCGTCACGGCGTACAGCGAGAACTCACTGTCAGAAGCAACCAGTTGCGCAGACCGCGGGACAACCATTGCGGAAACAGTCTCGTAGCTCTTGAGGAAATCCTTAACCAGTTGCGAAGGAACAGCAACAAGGTGGGTCTCAATGTACTCGGAGTCTTGAACGACAGATTTTGGGTCGACGATAGAGGCGAGGGATTTTGTGGAGAGGTTTCCTCTACACCAACCAAGTTAGCTACACAAATACCGACAAAGCAGCAACACCAAGAGATAAGGTTTGAACGAACGCTTGTTTCCGCTGGAGCGTAGCCAGATTATTCTTAACTTGGTTGTATTGCGAATACTTGAACCGAATATCATTGTCGATGCTAGCAGTTTCCTGTAGATTGGATCGCATAATTAGCCATTAGCCTGGGATGGTTGTTGGAATATATCCCTCGAGATTCCATACCTTCGCAAGCAGATCAATCAACTCCGCCAACGGCTTGTCAGCCCGGTACTTGACCTTATTCCACTGGAACGAGCGGAGATACTGGTCCACGGGCTCTGCAACCAGTCAGCGAGAGCTCAGCTCCTAACCCTTTGGGATTGAAGATCCAGCTGATACATACTATCATTGACAACCTTCATTCTCTCAATCTGCGCCTCATCTCCTTCAAGGATATTCTTCAACGCATCGCCCACTTTCGCAACAACACCCTCGCACTGGCTTTCCAGCTTTGCAAGCTCATCTGCCTGCTGGACTAGTCCGTCTAATGTGCCGATCTTGAACTCCGGAATAGGAAAAGAGGCGGCGGAGCCATTGTCAGGGGAGACAGTCTTCGAGATGGCTTCGAGGGCATCGTCTTTGTGGTGCGAGGGGACGATGGAGGTGGGGAGGGAGAGGAGGAGGTATTTTCCGGGTTTTGACATGATTTATTTGAATGACCGAGCAGATCAGGCTTTAATTCGATATGAATGAGAGTAAGGCCCTCACGGGGAGGGTTTGAGGGGGTGTTTCCGGTGGATGGACGGGTAGCTGGAGCTGTGATGTCGTAGGGCGGTCGGAGATGATTGGTGCGGGATGCGGACACGGGTTAGTTTCTGTGGAGTACTACGGACTACTGAATACAGAGTACACATGCTATCAGCTTAAGTTGAAAGGTTTACTTGATTACGAATTAAAAATTAGAACTTTTCTCTACAGAATCTCCTTATTCGACCTGCGATGAAGATGCATAACGCTAGACATGATCCAATGCTCGCTCAACACAAGGGAAAAATGATAAATCACAAGATAAAAACCACCCAAAGGTACAATGTTGATTTCCCCCAACGGCCTTCGACAAGGCGCTTTTATTTGAGACAGTAAGGACCTGAGGGAATGACTAGCTTCGAACCTGCGGAATATGTAAAAACAAGAGGCAAGGGTATCTGTATCGAGCGTGTAGCGCTGATCGTGAACAGAGTGTAGAGAAGGGGAAGATGAGAAAACAAGACAAAACAAATGACCAAGAAAAGACATTGGTATCTGTAAAACGAGAAGCGCCAACAAAAAGAAATCCATACAAGAGTCGGTATCCCAACAAGCTGGGGGATGGGCAACAGAAATGCAAAACACAAATAAAGTAAGGAGTGTTGCTAGCCAGACATTTCCATGAATATCTCATTAACGTTCTCAACCATGAACTTGAGAACATCATTCTTCTTCTGCACGTCCGTCATTTCCCGGGCCAGACTTTCGGGCCTCATAATGGTCGGGGCAAAAACGACGGCAATGTTTTGGCATGTCATCAAGTTCTCCTCCTGGCGCTCAACGACGCGCTGCAGGTGGAACATGAGGAATTCGAGCACATCTTGGTGTGCACGGGGAAGTTCTCGCAACCCCTTAACCAGGACATCAATCCGGGTAGATGGATCGGTGATTTCTCCAGATTCAATAATCAGCTCGTAGACTTCGTATGTGATGAGAGGGTTAGGCAGCTTTCGGAAATACTGCTTGAGGCAAGAAGTGACGGCGTGGATGTCAAGATCTGGATCAGAGATATCGTAATCGAATGGTGTGCGCTCAAAGCCTTCACGAATGCCTTGGATGGCGGACGCAGCACCCGACTTGCGGTAGATGCCTTCCATATCCATACCTAAAACGAGGTTAGAGAAATCACGTAACAAGAATAAAATTCACGAACCTCGCAATTCAACTTCCTGAATGCATCGAGTGACAATGGCAGGAATGATGCTCTTTTCGTGTTCCATGCGAGCCTCTAGGTCTACTCCAAAGAGATTACCCACGGGATCAGAGAGTGCTGACACACTATCGGCCTGCGACATTTTACCTGCCGGTCTGCTCCTCTGGTTTCCAAAGAAGCCAAAGCCTTGACGACTGGGGTCTTGGGTTTGTGAACGGGGCAGACCACCAGGTTCATCACTACCCATAAATGCTCCCTTGAGACCTTTGACACCCTTGGCGACGTTCTGACCACCCTTCTTCCAGTTGAACTTGCCCTTGCGAATACTGACAACCTGCGGACCGGGCACCACAGTGGCAGTAGCGGGCTCACCGTCCTCGTGCATATGAGCAGTCGAGATCGATGTGGCAATCTCGTGGCTGCTTCCAGGCTTCATCGCCTCAATCGAAGTGATAGACCGGTCCTTGTTGTGCGATATGCCCAGACCATTTGGACCACGGTGATCATTGTTGGTCTTGTATAGCTCCTGGATCTGGTGTACCAATTGGTTGTTGAGCTCAGCCAATTGAGCATTCTTGGAAGACAACTGCTCAAATTCCTGGAAGGCCTTTTCCTTCTTACGGTGAATTTCAGTGAGTTCCTCATTTAGGTCATTGCGCTTTTGGATAAGCTCCTCAATTTGAGGAGTATAGGAAGCCTTCAGCTTGTGGATTGACTCTGCAAGCTCCCGCAGAACATGATTCGAAAGCTTCCCAAGATCCAAAGGTGCATCAGAGCCACCCCGTTTCTCCGACTCGATATGATCCGTGAGCACGGTAAGTTCACGCAAAACAATCTCTCGTTGCGCATCCAGTACAACCATGGTTGACCGCTTCTCTGAGAGCTCAGTGTTGACCTGTTTCACGTCCGCAGTGGCACGAAGAGCGTTCTCCATCTCGGAGATACGCTGGCGCTCCTTGCTCAATTCGCTCCGAAGCCAGGCCAGTTCTTCAGACTGGCTACCGGAAGGGCTTCCAATATCGGTGCTACCTATTCCATTGGCCGCTCGACTATTAATGTCTTTGCTGGTCCGCACACTCTTCTCGCTCATACTCCGGCCATGACGGTTGGATGCATTTGAGGTAGTGCGGAATCGCAGGAGGGAGTCGCTCATGTCACCTCCAATAAATCGTGCCAGATCCTCGTCCTGAGAGAAATCACTGTTGCTGGTGTACTGGGGTAGGGACGGCGAGCCGGCGCTGTCCAAGGGCCGCCGAGTGTCAGACAGAGATGTATCTCCTGATGTGATATTCTGCTTCGGTTGCTCAAAGCCCATCTCAGGCAGTTTGGGCGAACCATATGTTGAGGAACTAGGAGATGCCCCCATCTCTTTCCGCGGAATCTGATAAGCCTTGCTTTCAAGAGAGTCACCTCGCTTGGGAATGTGAGCCGAATGACTAGGGAGTTGAGACCGGGAAGAGTCCCCTGAGCCATGTTCGTGGAGCCTGCGCAGCTCGCCAGATGGACGTGGGGCAATACTGTCCAGAGGGGTATGTCGGGCGGCATCGTCCTTTGAACGAGTACTGGTGGGGCTTGTTGCACCCGAAAAAGCACTGGTTTCCCTCAATGCCAATGGCAGATCCGATCTCGAGCTGCGAGCAGATTCAATCTTTCCAATTCTGTTGTGATCAGCATTGGGAGGTGCCTTTGAGCCATTGACCCCTTCCAAGTCACGTCGAGCGGAATCCGTATCCGTGCGCTCCCAGCCCTTCTCTTGATACGCAATATGAGCAGATGAATCTGTGGTGTGGGAGGGAGGTTCATTGTCGTCACGGGACACCTTGATTGATGAATCTCCAGATCGAAATTGGCCAAAATAATCACGAGGCAGCTCCTGTATTGCTTGTGATTGTCTCCGTGAAGACCGTTGGCTCTCGGAGGGGTCGAAGGCGAGGGGGATTAACAGTTCTCCACCGGCGTCTGCATCATTATCACGCTGTGAACTCAAGAGACGGCTGCTTCGGTAGGTACTAGAGGGAAGAATAAGGTTGTCTGTTGGGAAAACACTGTCAGTTACCAGAATGTGAAATGACCAGGGTCCTTACCTTGGGCGGTAGTTGGGCGAGAAAGAGAGGCTTCCGATTGACCTCCATCAGCGTCCTTGCCAGCCATGGCCTCTGCTGCAGCCTCTACATAGCCCTCGCTTGGGGTTTCCTCTAGGGACCGGGTTTCTTCAAAACTGGGTGGCAGCGAAGGCAACGACTTATCCAGCTTGACCCCCGGTCCCCCTGGCCTTTTACTGGCCGCTGTGGCTTTTTTCTTCCGCCTGCGTTGCATTAGAGACTCATGACAGTCCATACAAAATATTCCTTGAGATGTTCGAGCATAGCGTAGGTTTTCGATCTTTCGCTTGCAGTTACGGCACCGGAAACACTGGGCACAAAACGCTTGATCACCGGTGAGGATGGCCAAGTCTTCAATCTTGTTGCCACACGAGTAGCAGCTGTAGGTGCAGCTGCTACAAATCAACGAGCCATCGCCGAGTAGAAGGAGGTGGGCATCCGAGTCGAGAAGGGTGTTGCAAGTGCTGCATCGGAAACAGTCGATATGCCATCGTTGTCCAGCTTCGAAGGGTTAGCAACAATACCAGCTGAAAGTAATCCGTGATAACATACAAAGTTCAAAGGCTTTTCCTTCCTCCAGGATCTAAATTGCGGGAGAAAAGCAACGTTAGCTGGTGAGACTACCACAAGCACTCCGCAAATGCTTACCTCTCCGCAACCCATACACGGGTAGGGAATGTCATCCTGCTCCATCGGCGACTCTGGTTGTCCATACTGTGATTCCATGGTGGACTCCATAGTAAATTCAGACTTCTAAACCCACCCACGATGACCGTTGGTTTCAAAGTCTGATGTGAAACCGACCGCCGGGAGTCAGCAACGAGGGGCAGACAACACGCATGCGCAAGCAGCCAGTGCCAGCGCTTCAAGATTCCGCGTTGTCGAGAGGCTGCGATGGGCGAGATACCAAGATGGAGAGCGCGGATCGGAGGGGAGGGGAATGCGACAAGGGGGGGCTGAAAGAGAGCGAGACTAGTGGCTGAAGCAGACTGCTGAGGCGTTAGCCAAAAGAATGACCCATCATCGTGTTTAAGCGTGAGACAACGGCCCCCCTTTGGGGTCCGCAAAATGATCGCTCCCAGCTGAACTCAAATGGGCAGATAGCATGCACGACGGAGTCGGGTTGGAAATGGCGTCGACCATGCTACAGGGCAATCTCCCCGCACAAATTAGGGGGGAAATCAAATTGGAACGGAACGTACCTAGATGCACACTACTGGACCCAGCTTGTATTGCTGGTGTTTCAGGTAGAAGAAAGCGCGGGTGTTGTGATAAGCGCTGCAGACGAGGGTTTGTTTAAATTGGGGTGGATTGATTTGCCCCTCGCGGGCGCTGGGATCACGATGCAAAGTCGAGGTCAGAATCAACCTGGGAAATGGAAGTGACGAAATATGAGAACAAGGAAAGAAAAAGGTTGCAACATAAAGTAAACAAAGGAAACACTGGGAGAACTTTTAATTGACTAAAGGGGGGAAGGAAGAAGAAGGACAAGTGGGTTTGAGTTTAGTTTAGGGAAGATGTGGATGGAAATGGCAGAATCAATTGAGTCTGGAACCAAGTTCTTCTCCTTCTCAATCAACTTACTAAGTCAACTCTCACTTTTTAATTTAAGAATATAACTCGTAAGTTTTCCCAAAATAACCTCAAATCTACGGACATGGATTCCCTTGAACTGACGACGCCAGAACGTGCGGGCCACATTGTTGTCCATGAGGAGTGCACGGTCCAATCAGATCATCACAGCCCCTGGGGAATATTACATTTCCATGATTATAACGAATGACATAGAATTAACAACAAAGATGCAAAAAAGAAAAAAGAGAAAGAAAAAGAAAAAGAAACAAAATAAAGTGATATAAGAATAATGAGGAAATTATAAGAACGGATTCTATAGAAGGAACTCCGGTTGAAGAAAATACCAAATTAGTAAGTGCTTTTGTTTGAAGGATATCAGCTCCGGATCCACTCAAGTGGACTAAACTTGGTCCCATATGTTCCCATGGAACGGGTCGTTTGTCTCAAACACACCTTCCCCTTACTATTCCCGGCATAGAGGAGCAGGCTAACCGGAGTAAGTACATCAAGTAGCAATTATTCTCCTTTTTCCGCTCTTAGTCAATAAGAAGCCTAGTCTGAAGTGTATCTTTTTTCAGTCTTGTTGCATGACGACGTCAGAATTGGGCCTTAGTGAAGTTTCTAGGCTTAAACGTGATGGCTGCCATTTAGCCCCTCTTCGCCCCTGACGGAGATGGGGAAAAATCGTCTAAAATCCAGACTTAGTCCGCTGTTTCAGCAGCACTGGGCTGGATCACGTGGCAGGTACATCGTCAGATTATGCTGTTTCAGATGTCTGAATGTAGAAGAAAGAAAAATTGGCCAAATGATTCCAGATACCCCCGGTTATCAGGGGAGTTTAGGGCTTCTCTAGTGCTTGCTCGAGATCGGCATCTGCACGATCATCACGCTAAAATATCCCGAGATTCAGTACTCCGTGGAGCATGAACTATCACAGGAATAGATTTTTCAGATCACTGCGACTTCCTGTCACACTTAAGTTTTAGAACGTCCGATTGTTCCAGCCCCTTGCAGGATGGAACCGGGCCAATTGTTCTGGGTAAATCCCTTTGTAGACTCGACCAGGCCAGCTAGTGAAAGAAGTAGAGGACAATATGGTGAAAAGTCCCAAGACAGGGTATTATGTAGGGAATCCATAGCCCGTCAGACCTCGTATAGGTAGGGCGAAAGGCTAATCAGTGGCAAAACAATTTCTCCGGGCCAATAATACATACTTAGGTCTTACCCAGAGGTAGGTACAAAGGATGCAGGATGATACGGGCAAATTGGGTACTGGTTATATTCTGATAACTTCGAATTGGATATCTGGCGTTCATTCATATCTATGTACATCTTCCATTCGTAAGGCCTCCTGGCCTCTTCATAAAAAAAAAGCCCCCAATCGGGGGCATCGTCCATTAGAAAGATCATGACGCCCCGCGCAGCGAGGCGTGTGATCGCAAAGTTTTGGTTGAACTGAGATTTAACAAACATCATAATCGCAGGTGCAAAAAGCCCACGGACAATCCGCTCTGGGCTATCCGCTCTAGAATGGTGGCTGTGATCTCCCTCCGCCGGCAGGTGGATTATGTCTGCGGGGTCGAGGGGCTGGAGTCTGTCTACATCAGACCCGCGATCGGCTTGGCTGTCGATCCCTGAGGATCCACAGCCACACTGCAATGAGAGATGAGAAGGTTTCAACCTTCGACTTGACTTGGTCCTGGTTGATGGAAATTACTCAGGACGGCTGACCGTCTAGGTTCTGGAGTCTGTCGTGGATCGCACGCGGGTCATCATGACCTTCTTCGTCCACGTATTCCCGGAGGACTATCGTGCGCATCAGTCGGCGTGGTGCGCGACGGCCGGTGAACAGCTCGAATTGGGCAAAACCTTGTTCGGGGAGGACGTCAAGGCCATCCAGGGCCACCCATCCCCGGTGCGACAAGGCACGGATTTGTTTCATCAAGGGAGTGTTGAGGGGTTTGTAGGCCAGCTAGAAAGAAAATTAGTATCAGACAGATAGACTGAAATTTCTCTCTTCAACTTACATCAACAACGACACCACCGGTGAGGCTTTCTAGCCATTGAGTGGGAACGTTAAAGTTCGGTGCCGGCTGCCCTCCAATACTGTGGGCTGGGATACCCGATACAATTATTGTTGGCTGTTTATAATCTGCTGGCCAAGGTTCGTCCATTGATTTGAGGGTACTGACCCGAGGACGTCCATCAGCTCCAACTTGTTCATGAAGTTCTTGTCGGTTATAATGATGGGCCAGCTTCTCTGCATTAGCAAGAGTGCGGTTGTAAACGAAGATGTGCTGGACACCAAGGTGAATCATCGAATATACAGCAGCACGGGCCATACCTCCAGACCCAATGACAAGACCAGTTGTCGTGGGTCGGACAGCATTGGCAGGTGAAAGACCTCGTCTAATGCAGTTGCAAATACCAATCCAGTCGGTATTGTCGCCGTGCAAGCCCTTGATCGGACCGGCACGGCTCTTTTGCAAGTAAATCGAGGATTCTTGCGAGAGGCGAGGATCGGAATCGTCGTCGTTCCGAATGGGAATCAGCGTATTGACAGCGCCAATAGCCCGCGCATGAGGAGACATGGAGTGGAGGAGGGGGATCACTTCCGTTTTGTAAGGAAGACTGACACTCGATCCACCGAAGAATTGATTTTCGACAAGTTCATTCAGACCCCGAATAGTAGGCGACTGAAAGATGGTGTATTGGTGAGGTAAGCCACACAATTTGAAAGAAGTATTGTGCATCGCTGGTGACATACTGTACGTCACATTGGCACCAAAAACGAAGAACTGCATGGGATCTAGCGTAAAAGTGCTATACAGCGCTTGCTGCGCCTCACGGGATGTTATGCAAGATCGTAAGTGAGAAGGATTATCGTGCATTAGGGATGGATGGGTGACTGGGCTCAAAATAGGATTGAAGCAGCGCGACATGCGTCCCAGAGGGCCGGTATTGTAGGCGATTACCGGGATAGCACCCGGAAGGGTTTGAACGCGGTGTCGGAACCTTTCAACCGCCTGATTATCTTCAAAAGTCTCTGCTGGCTGACATAGTCGTACCATGTCACATCCAAGCCGCTGCGCCCGCTCAAAGATGTTCACATATTCATCACCATCCCACCCCCCTGGTAGAGGGCGGAAGGTCTCAAAATGACCTATGATTTTGGTACGGCCCCGGGCATTAACAACCTCACTGAATAGTTTGTCATCACGAGACAGATCGACCGTCAAGTAGGTTGGTGCAAGTCGTAGGCCATGCCGGACTAAGTTCAAATATGCTTCATCGGTGGACCGAGCAGTTTGTGATGGTGAAAGATGACCTTTTGGTGAGGTGTAACTCTCAACATGATATATGATTGGTACGATAATATTGCGCCGGATTGTCGAAATAACTTGACTGATACTGTCTGCCAGGTTCGAGTCTGCACCCATCTGGTCCGAAGGGCTGGTGACATCAATGGCCAGTTCGAATGCATCAGTGCCAAACTCAATCTCTTCAATGTCAAGATTATTATCGCGCAAGACAGAGAACGGAACCGTCACTGAATTTGTATAGGGCCGCATTGGTACTGGTAATAAAGACAGCGGGAACGACGAATGCTGACGATTCATTTCCGTAACGTCACCTGTCACAAAGGCTATGAAACGGAGGAAGTCCCGCTGTACACGTTTCAATGTTAAGAATGGAGTGGGTGTTTGTGATCTTTGGTCCCTTTTGGGTCCTGGCGACGAATGGTTGCTGTCAGTGGTATGTTCACCGCTGCCCGACTCGGACAGGTTGAAGAATTCCAAATTCGAACACCCGCGGTAGATCGGCCCCGAGAGTTCCAGAAAGTGGCGGACCTTTTGTGTATGCCACGCTTTGAGATATGACTGAATACTCTCGGGATCGCGGCTGACATGGATGACCGGATGTGTCTGTGCAAATTCCCGCAACAGCCTTTGCCCGGTGCGCTCCATCGCTCCGGCTCCGCACGCTATCACACATCCTTCTTGATTGTCCGCCAGCATAGATTCAAACACGCGAGCCTCTTGTAGTCGGTAGTCGTTATGGTTATTATCCTTCTTGAAAGCGGCGCGGGAGCAGCCAGTGACCTGGTGAAAGTACCGGTCGGCATCGATGAGACGTCGGCCAGTTGTCGCAGCTAGGATGACAGCTAGACTGGACTTTCCTGTGCCTCGAATACCGATGAGAACGATTGATGCAGTGGGGCTGAAGATGCGGGGGGTTTGCAGGGTTCCTTTATCGAAGAGGACCGGGGACGCGCGGTTGGAGTGTAACTCCCGGAGTGAGGTGGCATGCTGGAGGGCATCGCTCTGGGAGTCCAGCTGTTCACTGGGTCGTCTCGAACTGGATTGTGAATTTGAACGAGTTGATGGAGACCATCCGACGGTGCTTTGTTTCCGAGGTCCTTCGTCAACCTCGTGCAACTTGCGCTTGGGTGGGCGCACGAGTATAGACATATTGACGTTATGCAAAGAGGCAAGACGAACCCATACCCAGAAAAGCGATGAGTACAAGAATTCCCTGAGCAAGAGAAAGAGAAAGAAAAAAGCACAAAAAGTTGAAGAAACTCGGGGAAATCTAGCCTAACCAAAATCCTGGGAGCGACGAACCACTTTTAGCGTTATGTAAAGGTGTGGGATTTTGCGGGGGTGAGGTTTTCCCTTGTCTGCTTTAGGCCTCGGTCAGTTCACCGTATTTACCATAAATTACATCAGAACTGGCTGTAACGGGGAAAAGTACTCTCCCGCCGATACTTACGGGATACGGGTTTTCCCCGCCCCGTGGGGAACGCACTTTAGCCTGCAGCTGTTCTCCCCAGCATTAAATTCCCGAATGAAAAGTTTATTGATCAAATGGGAAGGTGAAAAAAAAAAAATCACTTGAAGGTAATAAATGGCTTCTATAAAAATTATGAAATCAAACTGTAAATCTTCAATTGTTTTCAGTGTTCCAATTGTGTGTAATTTATAAATTATAAATCAATTTCCATTAGGTACTCACTGGGCCCTTTTGCCCCATCTCTGACATTTTGCCAACCCGCGACTGGTTCACCGCTGGGGAGTCCGTGTTCGTTTCCCCGGAACGAGAATCCTGCCATATTCAATGCCACCTCGGTTGGACCGGTTCCTGTGCGGTCGCCCTTTTTCCTTTTTACATTCATCCGGTACACAGTGCTACCCCAGGCCTCCAATTTCCCACCATTTTCTATACTCGCACGGTCCATGCGAGGTCAGTGGGGGCCGTTTTGAATGGACTTAGCTTGCCCGCTTGTCTGCGCAAGCCTGTCGGCAAAAGATTCAACACCCCCCTCGTGTTGCGCATCGCAGGAAAATGCGCCCGAAACCGCCTAGTGGATCAACGCTTCAATCAAAATGAGCTCTGACCCTCGCCAAGCCACCGGGGCGAGCGGAAAATCCAAACGTCGCTGGACCGACCCCGACGAAGATGGCAAAATGAACGGCCCGGACGACCTATCATCTCAGCCAAAGCGGCAACGCGTGTCGCGAGCCTGCGACAGTTGCCGATCTAAGAAGGACAAATGCGATGGCGTTCAGCCGGTATGTTCAACATGTGCATCGCTTTGCAGGCCATGCACCTACAAGGCCAATCCGAAGAAACGAGGCCTGCCCACGGGTTATATCCGTTCGCTCGAACTGCTCTGGGGGCTGGTCTTCCAGAAGATCCAAGGAAGTGAGGACGTCATGCGAGCCTTGATGAGATCGGTCAACTTGCCTAGTCACCTTGCCACCATGGGCAAGGAAGCCGAGGGCTCAGATACCCTGCTGTCCTCCTTCAAGAACAGTACCGTTTTAAGAGATATTGAGCGAATGCTGGTCGTCTTGGAACAACCCGAGGAGGAGAGAGATCGCAGTTTACAAGCATATGGCGAGGGGGACACCCCGTTGGATGTTGATGGTATCCTTGCCTCCTCTGACGCCCAGGAATGGCAAATCCCCGAAGGACTATCACCTCTCCCAGGGGTATCTCCCTCCCGCACATCTATGATCGGCTCTGCACCACGGCCGCTTGCATACCGCACCCGAGACTCTGGAGCTCAAACAATCAACGCGCATGAATTCCAATCGCCGACCCTCGGCCTTTCTCTTAACACCGACGACTCCAGAGCGATCTCAACAAACTCCCCGCTCCAGCTCCCGTATAACGCCTGGCCTCTCCTTGACATATATTTCTCGTATACGCAATGTTGGCTTCCCATACTGGAAAAGCACGACATACTCCGAACGGCATTCCAATACACTGAAGGCGACGTTTATATGACTCGCACAGCACCCGGCTCCGGTGATCATGCTGCCCTATGGGCAGTCCTTACCCTTGCCTCCCTTCAAGATGCATCCATCACTGCTAGGGAGTCTGATCCTCTGTCTGTCCGAGTGAGCCCTTCACAACTATACAACACTGCCCGGGACCTGATTCCCGCAGAGACTGGCCCATATGAAGTGGGACATGTTCAAGCCTTGCTTATCCTGTCTCTTATCAAGTTCGGTCAACAGGAATGGACAGCAGCCTGGATGCTGGTTGGTCATTCTGTCAGAATTGCTCAGACGCTAGGCTTGGACCAGCCCTCGTTCCATTCGGCATCCTCAAGGCCGTCAGAGCCAGGCAAGCAGCAGGGACGAGCGAAGCACGTGTTTTTGGGCTGTTTTGTGCTCGAGACACTTATTGCGGAACAAACCTCTCAGTGCCCATCGTTGAGAAGGGACGACCTAGCTCGAGTAGGGTCCATCAACGAAGATGGATTGGAGGAATGGCATCCTTGGGAGGACATGACTGGTCTCCGACCGACACAGGCATCTCGAGCCTCAATGCAGCGAGGACCACTCCATGCATTGAGCACCTTTAACCGTCTTGTGTCTCTTGTCTCCATTTTGAATGATCTTTGTTGCTATAAGCAAGATCCAACCATTTCCCGATCACAACTGGAGTCGCTCGAGCTCACTTTGCATCGTTGGGCGGGCGCTTTGCCGAAGAGCCATCGAGTAGACTTACAAAGTCGACCAGTGAAGGTGGCGTCACCGCATATATTTTCACTTGAGATGACTTACCAAAGCATTGTTTCCGCCTTGAGTTTGCAGATCGCTACGCGGGAAATTGATCAGAATATCCCTGAGATGCCACACAAGGCGCGTGCAATCGACAGCTCAAGTCGATTATTAACCTGCCTCCAGGTTTACTTGGAGACATACAGCCTCGCGGCGACCACGCCTATATTTGGCATGATTTTGAGATACTGTCTTCCACGTTCATTCTCGCGCGATCATGTGTCTGACGTCGAGCTTAGTCTGCGGAATAGGATACAATCCTTCTCATCTCACCTCGTGCAGCTCTGGTCTGTAGCAGATCGGCCACACACAGGCCAGCCTGCTGCCCAAAGAAACCAGGGCACGATGGCATCGCCTGCGCTGTCGCAGCCACCCGATCTTTCAGTCACCGAAGAACCGGCATTAAGCCATGGAATTCCGCTTACAAGCACTCCTCATCACCTCGCTGGGTCTACCGAACCACATGCTCCTGGCTCCGCACATCCGGCATCTACACCCGACCCATTCTCCTCTGCCCCCTGGCTCAGACCTGCTCAAAACATGGATGATGGAACACCGTTGCTATCTACACCAACGCCCTCTTTAACCACCATCGGCGGTACGTCGGAAGTCTCGGCTCAGCCTGGTCATTTAGATGGAGGGTTGGGCAGTGGTCTTCGCCAGTCTACCTCTGCTCCCTCAAAACCCAATCCTGGTCCAGGAATGATTCCCGACCTTGGCCCGCAATACCCCCCGGGTACACAGTACCATGCACAGTATCAAGATCCATCTCTTGGCCTCAACTCTTTCGTCGATATGGACGGCTACGGCCCACCACGCCGACAACATCGAATTGCTCCGGATCTCGATGCTCTATTCGACGAATTGGCGTCGTTGGATGGTGCTGAAAAGTAAGTTCCTACATTTCCACTGTCAGATTTACTATCTTCTAACCAGAACCTCCAGAGCCGACAATCAACCTGAGTTCATGCAGAATCTGGGCTTCGTTCCCGATTCAGCAGTGCCAGAGATGTACTCGTTTTCGAGTCAGATTGAGCCTTTCCTGCTGGCTCAGACGCAACAAATACCAAACAATGGATCTTCCTCTGGAGTTCGAAGGGAATCACAATCCCTCAGTATGTCCGGAACGCCGAAACGATAATCATGGTTCTGCTAGCCGCTGGTCGGCATGCACCCACCTGATGACCGCGTCGCTTCCGGACGCCGGCAATGTTTCCTGTCATATGCAGCACAGATGTGCATTTATACCCATACTTGTGACTTGAAACCTCGAATATGAAGAGATCTATATTATTTTGCCATGAGCCAGCGATCTTGGAAGCACCTGGACACTGGATATTTTCACGTTCAATCTAACGAAGCTATAATTGGGACTCGGCAAGGGTTAGGACCACCGAATTACATATTAGTATCTAGTACAGAGTACAAAGTACATAGTCGACAATACAAATGTCAAAGTATTTTAATCCCATTTCCCTATGTACAATTCTATATACATGTACATCCATTCAAAGGACAAGCCTCAGATAACCCATGACCCAGAACCGACCTTTTTTTTCTCATATCACATACAAAGAACCGAATCCCTTACAGAGCCTTCTTCTCCAACTCCTTGAAGTTAACCACAACGTGGTCAACAGCAACCTTATATCCGTAAACACCCATACCAACAATTATAGCGGAGGCCTTGTCACTGAAGTAGGAGTGATGTCTGAACGGCTCACGCGCGTGCACATTGCTCACATGGAGCTCGATGAATGGAATTTCAACACCAAGCAACGCATCCCGGATAGCCACGGAAGTGTGCGTGTACGCGCCCGGGTTGATAATGATACCATCAACCTTGCCACGAGCTTCCTGGATACGGTCAACGATCGCGCCTTCGTGGTTGCTCTGGAAAGTCTCGAGAGTTGCGCCTAGGCTGGTGGCTTGGGCCTTGGCGCTCTTCTCGACATCGGGGAGGGTGGTTGAGCCGTAGATGTGGGGTTCGCGGGTACCCAGGAGGTTGAGGTTGGGACCGTTGATGAGGAGGATGGATTTGCCCATTTTGATTTTTGTGTTGACCTGAGCGGAGCTTGAGCTTTGTGGGAAGGTTTTTGGTGGAAGAAGCGGAGAGATTGTAAGGTTTCTGCTAGGAAGAATCGAGGGGTTATGTGGTCAAAAATTATGATGTTGATGATGTGATTCGCTCTGAGTTTCTCTCCGCATTGCCCCTCGGTCGGCTGAGCACTTTGCCGTGTGGGGGTCTTTTTGTGTCAGGTGGGTAGGGGTGCATTCTTGTATTAGATGGTAATATTTCCATTCTGTTAGTCCTGGTAATTTGATTTGAAAGATTACTTTGTGGGATTGTGGGGTTGTGGGTTAGCTTGGAAATTGAAGGTTTGTGGCTCTTGGGAAATCCGGAGCAAGTTTGTTATATCCGTAACGGGTATTGCGGCCATGTAGATATAGGAATGGATAGGGGATTACCTCAATAATGTATTATTTCAGTTATGCACATCTGTCATAGCTCAGTGTATAATTTATACTTAAAGCATATTTCCTTCAACGTTCAATAGATAGTGGGGTCGGATATGTATTGCGGAGCGGATAGAGCTGGACCGGTGGACATCTCCGTGATATCATCTTTACAGCACCGGCCCGGTGGATCTGTATCCGTAGACCAATTTTGATGTCCTTATTCTCCTCGGTCAAAGTTTGTACCTCGGCAATGTCTGGATGTGTGCTTACGCCTTCGACACAAGAGCACTTGGGGCAGGCAAGTACATAATAGTTCAATTTCAACTGGTTCTTCACTGCGGTCATGTAAACACCAATATTATCAATTTGTTCAGATGGTTTGCTCGTTTATCTAGAAGTGAATCATGATACATAGTCCATGAAAGAGTGACATCAATTGATCCAAGCGCTGGCAGATTCCACTTGCAGGAGCAACAAATGATCCGTCAATGATGACTTTCAATGTTTGGCGGGGCAGCTCAGATCTGTCTCCACCTAGATTTATTTGGCCAGTGGGACCTCCTGTATGTATCTTAAGCATCTCATTTCTTACTGGCGACCTCGGTGCCAAATGTTCAGAGCTTCGATTCCACTCTACCTGTTCATATTTGTGGTATATATATACCTTTTAAGCTGCCAGAGAAGTGGGACTCTTGGAGTTTGACGGGCAGAGTTGTGAGCGAAATATTGAGCTGTAGACTGAGGTTTAAATGTCAGAGCGGTTAGTCAAACTATATATTTCAAATCAAATTGCTCTCAATTGATCCAGTTGTCGTTCCGATAGAGTCGGAGGTTCTTTCATAATGGGAAACCTTTAAAGTTCCAAATAAATGGTAAACTTATAGATGTGCAAGGCTCTATGATTTAAATTTCAAAACATTGAATCAATTGATTACAGCAAACGGTGATCAGTTGACCAGGCACACGTGATTAGCATTTGATATACAGTGGCGTTCCATGAGTTTGAAACCCCCCGACCCACTTTAAGTAATTCTGCCGCATTTTCTGCCAGATAAACCTCATATTCAGTAATTAGTACGCCAACCCTCACTATCAATAACCTGTTTGACCCTATGAGACACAGTAACAGCGAAATTTTCTAGCCTATCAGATAAAATATTGGCTTATATCTCCTGAGCTACAAAATCAACGAAATTGGCGTCTCCTCGTTGTCTGGCATACCCTAATTTCAATGTGTACCAGCGCGTCTTATATCGGGTGTTCTGCTAGCGTATTCTCTAGGCGGTATGCTATCTATAGTAGGCGGTGATGGAAGAGCGGTGAACAGGGGGTTTCAAACTCATGGAACGCCACTGTAGATGTATGAATGTCACGTGCTTAAGAACTATTAGGTAAATACCCGCGGGCCGGGAGTGATCTGGCGGCTTCGTATCAATGTGGTCGCTTTACAAGCACTTGAGGGCTGTTCATGACTGAAACGTTAGAATAAGCATTAAAGTTCGAACTAAGCTACAATCGCTTCCTGGAAATCATAAGGAACCCAAAATTTGGAACATTTGAATACATTCACCTACAAGGCCTGGTGGAGCGGATATTTTGTCCATTCAGGATCCTCTAGCTCTCCACACATTTCCATCCATTCTACAACCTGCCCATAATATTTCGAGACAATGACAAAATTCCAGCTCCTACTTGTCCAAATGAATGTAATTTATATCAAATCTAGACTCATTGTAACCCCAAAACATCAGCAATTCATCCTCCCAGCCCGGCTCCACCACAAAGTGGGGAAATCCGATAAGGCAAATGCCGGCTAGCGGCGGTGTATTCAACCATTTTTCACCGGGGAAGTGAGTCAAAGAGGATCCCAGCTATCTGTCATCTCCTTGCATCCATCTACCCCAATATTACGATCATAACCCTTCAACCCTTCACTTGAACCCCTTTCCCCAGATCCGGAACATCGCCCCGTTTTCGAAACCCCGCTCCCCGCTATGCCCGTCCCCAACCTCACCCAGGATGAGCTCGACGAGATATATGCCTTTGCCGTGGACCTTGGCCGTAAGGCAGGTGACATGTTGATGGAGCGTGTGGAGCTTCGTATCTCCGGTGGTGAGGGACATACGCAGAAGTTCGAGGAGAAAGATAGTTCAGTCGATATCGTGACGCAGACAGATGAGGGTAAGTAAAAGCGGGGAAGGGCCCTATGGGGCTATCCAAATCCATCAAAATCCATCAGCCAGGGGAGCTAGAGCTAATGATTTATCTTGTAGATGTGGAGGTACTTATCCGCAATGCAATCCACGCCAAATACCCCGATCACAAGTTCGTTCTCTCAGAATCAAATGGCGACCAGTCTACTCTCCTCAAACAATGCTGACATGTCCAGATTCCTGGGTGAAGAATCCTATGCCAAAGGCCAATCTCGCGACTACCTTATCGACGAGCACCCAACATGGTGCATCGATCCTCTAGATGGTAAATACCAATGCCTCACCACACACCAGACCTCAAGTTCTAATATTGTTTACTATGTCAGGTACCGTCAACTACACACACATCTTCCCCATGTTTTGCGTCTCCATCGGATTCATCGTAAACCACAAACCCCTCATCGGTGTCATCTACGCACCATTCCAAAACCATTTCTTCTCGTCCTGCACCGGCCGAGGCGCTTGGCTGAACGAGAAACACCAGCTGCCACTTATCCGCAAGCCTTCCATCCCGCCCATGCCCGCGAACGCGCCTTCGCAATGTATCTTCTCCTGCGAATGGGGTAAGGATCGACGCGATATTCCGGATGGAAATATGCACCGGAAGATTGAGAGCTTTGTCAATATGGCTGCGGAGCTGGGTTCGCGCGATGGTAAGGGTGGTATGGTGCATGGAATGCGGAGTCTGGGGAGTGCGACCCTTGATTTGGCGTATACAGCTATGGGATCCTTTGATATCTGGTGGGAAGGTGGATGCTGGGAATGGTGAGTCTCTTTTGTCCTTGCCACATATGTGCTCATGTTAATCCATTTTAGGGATGTTGCTGCTGGAATTGCTATTCTTCTTGAGGCTGGTGGACTCGTTACTACAGCCAATCCGCCCGAGGATCCGGATACGGCGCCCATTGAAGATATGCGGCTTGGTAGCCGGCTATATCTGGCTATTAGGTGAGTTGAGTTGATTTTGCATTGATGAAATTTTAGAAAGCTAATTCAGTCTAGACCTGCTGGACCCTCGGAGACCGAGACAGGTCGGGAATCACAGGAGCGCACTGTGCGTGAAGTCTGGCGGCGGGTCCGTCACTTGTCATACACTCGACCTGGAGCGTAAGGGTTTAACACATCCCTGTGCAAGGTCCATAGATTACCAGATTGTACAGGCTTTCGGTATATGCTATAATGAGATACTATTATTTACGAGTTTGGAATGATTCTGTAGATTCACGTAATGTATTCCACAGCCGACGTTAACTATCTTATATACTATATGCAAGAATTTTGAGGATCTATACAGTCGTTAAATGACATGAGAGAAAGACCAAGGAAAAATTTTAAATAAATCATACGGCCTATTTGGCAGCCGCAGCCCGCTCAGCAGCCCGCTCAGCCAGGGTAGCATCAACAAGGTCCCTGACCTTCTGGACGATCTCAGGAGTATGAGCAATATCCTTGCCAGTCCAGAGGTGCGCCTGTTCCAGACCCTGCCAGATCAGTGCCTCGGAACCGATGATGACCTTCCAGCCACCGTCAGAGGCAAGCTGGGCGATCTCAGTCCAGGGGACGGGGTGGTAGCACATCTCAAGGATGACACCCTCCTGCTTATCGGCAGTAGTCTTGTCACCGAGGAAAGCCTGGATAACAGCACGAGCGTTCAGCTCCTCGGCGGTCTTGGGAGGGTAGTTGGGGATACCGGAGACGATAGCGGCGGGGGCCTCGAGGCGAGCGGCCTCCGCGGGATCAGTAACGTGGATCAGAGGAGCGGTGGCGAGAGCCTCAGGGTTACGCTGGCGGTCCTCCTCGAGGATAGCAGCGACCTCAGCGGCGTCACGGTTAACGATGTAGATCTTGCTGGAGCCGAGCCAGCGGCGCATGACGTAGACAGCAGTGCGGGCGGTACCACCACCACCGATGATGAGGGCGGGCCGGCCGCGGAAGCGCTCGGGGTTGGGCGAGTTCTTGACGAGGGCCTCGCGGATACCGTCACAGTCAGTGTTGGTTCCGACGAGCTGGCGCTTGCCGGTGACGGGGTCGTCGCGCAGGAAGATAGTGTTGCAGGCACCGGCCTGCCGGGCGTGCTCGGTCAGATCATCCAGGTGAGGCATGATGGCGACCTTGTGAGGCATTGTCACGGAGGATCCGACGAACTTGGGGTTGGAGCGGATAGAGGCAATGAATGTCTCGATGGCGGGCGACTTGGTGTAAGGGGGAGGGTAGGTCTCGGATGTGCCGTACACGCTGGACAGGGGAATCTGAAGCCAGTTCAGACCCAGAGCACCGTACACAGTCTTGTGCAGAGGGGGCGACAGGGAGTTCAACAGCGGGTGGCCGTACAAGTAGGCGACGCCATCCAGGTTGTCGGGGATGGAGATGGGCTCCTCTGGTTGGGTTTGGTTGGACATTGTGAATTTGATTTTAATTTTATTGTTGAGTATAGGAGAAGTGGGATGGAGGGGGGAGAATATAAAATAGAAAGAAATAATGAGGGGCTCTGTGATTACGGGCCGATCGGCAATGAATTGAAGCTAATCAGTCACAAGTCAGGATTTTAATCTCGAGTAAGCGTACAGCCGGACACCCATCCCACCTGATGGCGGAGAAACACTTTTCGCCCTCATTCTTTCCCTTACCCCAAGATTTTCCTATACTTTTCAATTAGGAACTCAATTAATTATTCTATTGATTTTGAAAAAGTCAAATCCGTTCCTCCTGACTTCTTTTTAGGATTTCGATCCCTTTAATACCTGTTTTAAAGGTTGAACATCGCCCACAATGAAATTTTGTATAGTGGGTGAACGTTTTCCCATCGGAAATTTCACCCATTGAAAATTTCACCCCACGGGGAATACGATTTTGGTTGACGCAAAGTTTGGCCGGTCCAATAGGATCATCGGTGTTCCCATGGCCGGGACACAAGATACTTTTACATATGTAAGTCATATTTTGTGCATCGGTCCGAATTGTTAAAGCGGCCCTGCGGCTCAACACAGCCACAGCCCTAGCCGAGTTCATATGGCAGAGCCGTGAAAACCTATATTTAGGAAACAGAACTATTTTTGACCTTGATTCTAGCCTTGACCTTAGCCTTGATTTTAGTCTTGAATGTCCATGTGATCAAAGTTGGTAGATAGGTTGATATGGATCAGGACTGTAGTACAGAATGTACGCACTGTGGACAATATTCAAGGTATTTAAAAAGTGGCAATGATAAAGTATAAAACCTTGTATAACCTTATTGAAGAACCAAGGTTTAATTGCGTTAAGCCGCACAAAATGATGAAAGAGTTGGGTACAAACATCTACACTTCAGGTCACAAGGTTAGACCAAGTCACGAGACCGGTGGATCGCTTTTCCCCATCGCCACTAATATCATCAATTACCATTGGTTCATCCCACAATATCCATTCTGTGGGTCAATTGATCTGGTCCAATCATGGTTTCCATAATTCTCCGTCTCCACAACCTATCAAGGCCAGCTGAATCGACTTTGCCTCCCCAGAATACCCCAGGTCGTGGGGACCTAAGCTGCAGATGATTCAACCCCAGGCCAAGTCCCCTCCCCACTTATTCACGGCCTAGAATCCCCACAAATCTTAGAGTTCAACCAACCAGCGCATGTTTACTCTACACGGTCCAATCCCCCATCGCTAAAAAACGCCTCGAGAAGCCCGACCAAGGCTAAACATGCCCAAAATTTCCTCGTGGCCAAGCGTGACCAAGAGTCTATTCCAGTTTTGCACGCTTGGTCCTCTTATTTCGACTTTTCTTCGTTTTGCCGACTTGGCGCTGGCTCACACATTCCAAGGGCGATGGAAAGGTAAACTGCGCTATACACTTCTCCGCCTCCACACTCTCGCCTCCATAGCTTTATCCCCAGATTTTATCGATTTTCCCCCACAAAAACACTTTACCGTCCCCATCTGGGGAAACTATTTATTCCCCGTCCTTTCCCCGAATCTGAAGAAATATCTTTATTCTCCATCTTCCCAAGACTTCTCCCTCAACACCACTAACTTCCCCCTTCACACCTCTTAGCACCACAAGCGTGGTACTTTCGAGTGATCTGACTGTTCCTTTGCATTTCTTGCATTGACAGTACAGACTCGTCTTTTTTTTCTCATCTCCCCCTCTCTATTTTCTTATAAATACATACATCACACATCATGGGTATCCTTGCATTGGTCGAGGATCGACCGACCCCCAAGGCCGTGTACAACTGGAGGATTTACCTTCTGGCGGCTGTGGCGTCCTGTACCTCTTGTATGATCGGTTATGATAGCGCCTTCATCGGTACCACCTTGGCCTTGCAGTCCTTCAAGGATGAATTCAAATTTGATACCATGTCCAAGAGCGCCCAGGATTTGCTCAGCGCCAACATCGTCTCCCTCTACCAGGCTGGTGCCTTCTTTGGTGCTTTCTTCGGTTATCCTCTTGGCCACTTCTGGGGTCGCAGGAACGCTCTTATGATTGCCGCTACAGTCTTCATTCTCGGTGCTGGTCTCATGCTGGGTGCCAATGGCGACCGTGGCTTGGGCTTGATCTACGCTGGTCGTGTTCTGGCTGGTCTCGGTGTTGGTGCTGGCTCCAACATTACCCCTATCTACATTTCTGAATTGTCTCCTCCCGCTATCCGTGGTAGACTCGTCGGTGTGTACGAGCTTGGTTGGCAAGTTGGCGGCCTGGTTGGTTTCTGGATCAACGTAAGTCACACGCGCATCCACGACTTGATTTTCTTGCTAACTTTGATATAGTACGGTGTTGACTCGACCATGGCACCTAGCCACAAGCAGTGGCTCATTCCCTTCGCCATCCAGTTGATTCCTGCTGGTCTCCTGCTCATCGGTGGAGCGTTCATTCGTGAATCACCTCGTTGGCTGTTCGCCCAGGGCCACCGCGAGAAGGCTATCAACAACTTGTGCTGGATTCGTCAACTGCCCGAGGACGATATCTATATTATTGAGGAGATCGGCGCCATTGACCAAGCCTTGGAAGAGCAGCGCTCGACCATTGGCCTTGGATTCTGGAAGCCATTCCGGGCTGCTTACAGCAACAAGAAAGTCATGTACCGCCTGTTCCTTGGAAGCATGCTGTTCTTCTGGCAGAATGGGTCTGGTATCAACGCCATCAACTACTACTCCCCGACCGTCTTCAAGGTACGTTATCAACTTAAACCCGCTAGAATGATCTATTCACTAATCAATGTTTGCAGAGTATTGGTGTCACTGGTGCCAACACTAGCATGCTTACCACTGGTATCTTCGGTGTCGTTAAGACTTGTGTCACCTTTGTCTGGCTTCTGTACCTGATTGACCGCGTTGGTCGTCGCAACCTGCTTCTGATCGGTGCCCTCGGCGGTTCCGTCTGTCTCTGGATTGTTGGTGCATACATCAAGATCGCCGACCCAGCCAATAACCCCAAGACCCACATGGATGGTGGCGGTATTGCAGCCATGTTCTTCTTCTACCTGTGGACCGTCTTCTACACCCCGACCTGGAACGGTACCCCCTGGGTTCTCAACTCGGAAATGTTCGACCCCAACATGCGATCTCTCGCTCAGGCCTGTGCTGCTGCATCCAACTGGCTCTGGAACTTCCTCATCTCCCGCTTCACACCCCAGATGTTCGCCAAGATGGACTACGGAGTCTACTTCTTCTTCGCCTCTCTCATGCTCTGCTCCATTGTTTTCGTGTACTTCCTCATCCCCGAGACCAAGGGTGTTCCCCTCGAGAGCATGGACCAACTCTTCGCAATCAAGCCGATCCGCAAGGCCCACTCCCAGATCATCTCCAAGCTGCGCGAGGACGAGGAGCAGTTCCGTCACGAGATCGAGGATTCTGGTCTCGCTGCCAGCAAGGGTGGTGCCGAGCATGCCGAGCAGGTCGAGAACACCGCTGTCGAGTCAAAGTACGCTTGATGGAAATGATTATAACGGATATGAAATGTTTTGGTTTTCCTTCTGATATGTTGTTTCGCGATTGAACTTTAATACTGTGTGATGAATATATGGTAAACTCAAATGAGTCTTGCCCTGGTGGTTAGATACCAATATAAATGATGAATATAATATCTAAACAAAGATTTCTTATGAATAATGCCCATGACTCGTAAGTATTCAAAGATGAAAGTAAGAAAATGGTGAGAATTAACTATCACCAGAAGAGAAAGAGGGAGTGAGAGACAGAAGAAGAGAGAGGAGTTAAGGAGACTCATGGTGATAAGTTAAGTAGGCGGGGACAGCAAGGATGTTGAAAACAGCAACGTTACAGGAGCTCCCTTATAAACGCAAATATAGGGAAGAATTGTGTCCTGGCATCCCCGTAGCCTAACTGATTCCATTGCGCTCTCGTCTTAGGGATGGTTTGCGAGCCCCCACTTCAGGTATATCGGGACCCATTTAACATGGGGATATAGCGTGGTGCGGCGAGTGTAAGACGAAGCCTAAGTTAGTAGGGTGCCCAAGACCCTCGGCGAGAAAGTGCGCAACAGACCTGCTACGCCGTATCTGCGGACCCTTTTTTTTATAGAAAAAATAATTTGATTTATCTTATTTGATTTTTTATTGATGATTGAAGTTGATGACGATGCCATGGATATCGTGGGGTTATGCTTGAAGTGCCGAGAGCGACTTGCATCAAAGCCATCTTAATATAAGCTTCCCTACGAAAACATCAAAAATATTCTCATTAGGACATGTGGATTTGGAGATCTGATGTTCGATTCTTCGATCGATATTTCATTTTCTGCTTTGTTCTTAGCTATATCTTGATCGTCTGTCTTTCTGTCTTTCTTATAAAGTCCGGCAATATAGGTTGTTCATGATATAATAGTATACAACAATTTCCGCAGGTTATTCCTATGCCAACAAATCAACCGCAATCTCAACAGGCTGACCCGTCTGCATCGCCTTCTGAATAGCCTCACAAACAATCAAAGCCCTCAACCCCTCCTCTCCAGAGCAACTAGGCTCCGCATCACCCCGAACAACATCCACAAAATGCGCCAGCTGCAGATCAAACGGTGCAGACTCATCCGGCAATGGAATCTTCTCAACATTCAAAGTCTGAGACCAGCTCTTCTCAAGCCGTCCATCATAACTCCACCGAGTAAGATCCGGCACACTAAGCGATGCCTCGGATCCAAAAATGCGATAGAAATCCGCCCCACCAGCCACCGGCGACTTCGCAATCATGGGATTCTCCCCAGTCCCGGTCTCAAAATTATGCGGCGAAGGCGTAGCATCACAGACAATGAACGTACCCACCACACCCGACGCAAAGCGAAGCGTCAACGCAGCGCCTTCATCCGCGTCGTGCGGTGGACTCGGTCGCTGCGGAAGAGTCCTTTCAGCCTGGACCCGCACAATGGGACCAAAAAAGTGGTGCATGAGATCGATATCATGCACGAGATTAATAGAGATCACGCCACCGCCTCGATCCCTGGATGCGCGCCAGTCCCCCGGTGGAGCGAAGTATGAGGCGGGTTTGCAGATCGTCCAGAGGCCGTTGATGGCAATTGTACGGCCCAGGGATCCGGAGTCGAGGATGGATTTGGTTGCGCGTACGTAGGGGTTGAAGCGACGGTGGTGGCCGACTAAGAGCTTGATATGTGTGCGTTCTGGTGCCTGGGCGAATTCTAGAAGACTCCGGCCTGTCTCTACGCTGTCACTGACGGGTTTCTCGAGGAGAACGTGGACACCGGCGGCTAGGAGCTCCTCTGCGATGGGGACGTGGGTTTTGTTTGGTGTGCAGACGATTGCGGCGTCTGGTTTGTGTGGGGAAGATAGAAGTGCTGCTACAGTGGGGAAGTAGTTTGTCTTGAGTTCGGCGGCGGTTGCGGCGCCTGTTGGGGCGGGATCTACGAGACCAACTAGCTCTGTAGATGGGTTCGAGATCACGGATTCGGCATGGCGGGGGCCGATGATGCCTGCGCCTACTATGGCCACTTTGACGGACATGATTAGGTGGGGATTTGAGTATGTAAGATGGACTTGAGGACGAGATGTTGTAGCCGTGACGTTGACGGCGCAGGTCTTATATTTGGGGCAATTGGACCGGCTAATTTTTAAAGCATCCGACCTTCTTGGGAGCTTGGCAGCGCGTCGGGAACCATTGGAATGTTCTGACTGGGCTCACCATGAATGTAGTCAACTATGGGGTAAGACCCTCTGTGAGGCAAGCGGGTCCGGGGATAAAGTTTTAGGCAAAGACCTGCACCTATAAAGTGGGGAAGTGGGTGTCGGATAAGATCAGTCCGATCAGGTGACTTAGTATATCGGGGTGGATTTGTTAATTAATTATGCTATACATATTGAAATTCTCGTGCATTTGTCTTTATTCGGTACTTATGGCGTAGAGACATGATAAATGCCATCACCGAATACCTATATCACTTTGTTTGTCTTTAATGACCTGAACTGGCGAGCAGTAGGAGATATCTGACAAACATGAACTGTTTGCTTCTAGTTGACGTAAATATATTGCGATTTTAAAACCCTGCGATCTATCTTCTTCACTTTTTACGATTTCCAATCAACTTGATCTTCTTCATGTTTCTCTTTCAATAGGGCAATTCGAGGGCGGTCAGGCACATCACTCTGACCCCAACCTGTCCACTGCAATGTCTCTAATTCAAAATTATCCCATCGGTGACTATTTTCCATGCATACAAATTGGATGTCGTCATCAAGGCATATTTCTTATTTCCTCACTGTCTGGTAAAGTTATTATAGTGTAGCCTTCATAATTCCGGATTTCTCCGCCAGGGATTTTGCCATGTTAGCAATGGAAATGCTGCCTGTGATTTCGAAGATCGATATCTCCAGATTCAATTCAGCTGAAATCCAATTTCTGACCTCCACCGCGATGAGCGAGTCTACGCCATGTGCACTTAAGGATTTGCCTGCTTCCACGTCTTGTGGTGCAATCATCATGAGACGGGCAATCTTTTTGATCAGAGCCTGCTCCAAAAATTCCATCATGCCTTCAACATCTTGAACAGTGCTCAGTTGACTCTGGAAAGACTCAACGGCCGGTGCTGCTTCAACAACAGCTCCCCGAGATGTTTTTAGTAGCGAGAATCTCGCGTCGTCCATCCAGTATTGCAACTCTGTCCTAACCGAAGGAAGACAGGTAATAATCTGTGGCGGTAGGAGGGTGTTGGTAAAGGGATTTTGCATGGCTGCTGAGACTAGTGCATGGACCTCGTCTGACTCAATTGCTTGGATCCCAATCAATTTGAATGTCCGAATGAAATCGTCATTCTTGGTGACGAATCCAACTCCAGGAATATAACCAAGGTCTATAGATGTTGCGCGCATACCGTTGTTTACCCGATAGTGCGCTAATGCATCTTGAAAACCGTTTCCGGCATTGTAGTTGGCCTGGCTCCGAAGACCGGCGACTCCGATGATTGACGAGAGCATGACAAAGAAGTCTAGGTCAGCAGGGAGCAATTCGTGAAGATTCCACGTTCCGTCAACCTTTGGACGAACGGCGGCGTTAAAGGCTGCCGAAGACATTGTCTCAAATAGCGCATCTTGGAGGACCATCGCTCCGGTGATGAGGCCCTTGATAGGCGGCAAAGTTTCTGAACACCGATCCAAGACGTCTTGGAGCGAATCTCTGTCGGCAATATCACAGTCAAATGCCATCGCTCTTACATCAAATGCCTTATTGAGGTTGGTGATCCAGGCGAGATTGTCCGGAGAGGATGCTGCAGATCGGGAAATGAAGACCAAATTTTGGGCTCCTTGTTGTGCAAGCCACCAGCCTATATCACGACCAAGACCACCCAGACCAGCAACCATGTATGTTCCAGCTAGGGCTGGTTTCTCTCCACAAGGAGAAGAGTCAATTTGCTGAGTGTATATGTAAGTAAGTGGTTGACCTGCCGATTTATTGGTGGAATCCTTACCAAAGCTTCGTCCGAGTTGGTGCTTACGGAAGTTATTCCGTTTTGCTGCGTCAAAGATTGTTTCTCGTCTCTTGCTTTCCATGCTATCTCAGCGACTGACTGGCTCAAAGCCATACAGGGTGACACGCGTGGCACCAAAATTTGCCCATCACGCAGTGCATATTCGTAATCTCCATCTGGTAGGAGAGTGAGCTTCAAAGCAACATCAGTGATTGCTTTTGATATCCGAGGTCCTTCACCAGACAGGTCCAAATCAAGAACACCCAGTGAATAACCGCTCTTCTCGTTTCGTACTGATCGTGCGAGACCCAGGATGAGACTGCGATGCGGCGATGCACATTCTACCATTGCCCCTCGAGTAACCCACAGCATTCCAGACGACTGATTGATCAAGGCCTGCAGGAAACCAAAATTTTCGCCCGTAATATCACATAACATAGGCTCCTGGTCTTCTAGCAGACTGATGCAAAAATTGCCTTGAGGTATAGGGGTACCTATAGGTTGAATGCAGCTGTGTACTCCACGTCGTGATAAATATTGGTAAAGATCCTTGCAAGTAGTACTGTCAGTATTCTTTTCAGTTGTCACAATAGTAAATCTCGGAGTCTCTGTGTCGCTCAATTGTCCAGTTTGCTTCGTTGATACCATGAAGCTAACTGGGCTTGACGATGAAGACGAGCTCCCGCGCATTCCTAAATCTACTCCACTAAAACCGGTGTCCTTTAAGAGCCTGTCCCACCGGTCCTCACTCAGCAATGGTCCCTGTTTGAAAAATAATTAATGTCAGCCGCTCTTCCCGTTAGATGATGTAGAGTATTTTACTTACTCCCTTGCGTCCGTCGTCTTCACCAAGCCACCACCCTGGCAGACTTCCCATTACTAGGGATACCGCTCCATGATTTGATGTAAGTTCTAGAAGCAGTAGCTTACCTCCGCTGAAACGAGTTATTAGTAGGACGTTTTTCAAAAAAGAATCAATTCAACGTACGGCCGGAGTAACCTGTGGACATTGGCGATGGTCTTGCGCATCTTGCTGGTTGCATGCAGTACCTGCAACACATCAGTTCTCATAATTCGAATTGGCATATCTTTGAGCAGTTTACATTTGCAGCGACGATCAAGTCAAAGCTCTCAGCTTGAAAGCCTTGAGCTATGGGGTCTTGCTCGATATTTAAAGTTCGGAAGTCCATGATCGAGGCGTGAGAGGCAAACTTGTCGGCGGCAGCTCCAAGGAAGCCCGAAGAGATATCTGTGAACGTATATCCGGATACTCTTTGCTCAAGGTCTCGCAGAATGTAGCTTGTCGTGCCTCCTGTGCCTGCTCCTATCTCCAGAATCGCTAGGTTGGGGTTCTTAGCAGCGATGAGGCTTATGTATTTTGCAATGTTGTCATTACAACTAGTTCCAAATCCATCGCGACTGAATTCAAGTTAGAATTAACCCAAAAAACAGTTTGATGTTCTAAGAGCGTCGGACTTACTATAGAGAGAAGAGTAGGTCTCCTTGCAACAGTAACTGAAGCGGTTCGACTTCGCCTTTCATGATTTCTGTAAAGTTATCCCCAATGCGCTTTGTGACGCCGAGCCAGACAGAGCCAACTGATGTTTTTCGCAGCTCAAGCTCCAGCTCAAGCTCAGTTCTTTCTGGGTAAGACTTGATGTCTATGCAGGCTACACGCCGCATCAGCCACTCCAGCCACAAGAAATGATGACCCTTAGCACCAGCTCCATCACATACGGTAACCCATTTCTCTAAAACGTTAGGAAGGTATAGATCCAAATACTGTTCCAGGTATAAGACCAGGTTCTCGTCTTCGAGATTCTCTAAGCCAGATTGAAAGATATGGCTCTGGATCTTGGCAATCGATAGAAAATCGATATCTGGAATCCATTTGAGCTCAAAACACAGCTGGTGGTGGTCTTTCCCACGGTGGTTTGCCTTCGCTCCAGGCAATTGTAGAAACTTCAGCCCTTCCACCATCACTGCTAATGTCATGTCACCCGCAGTCGCGGCATGAATCGAAGTCTCCCAGCATTTTGAATCGACACGTTGACTGCTAGAGCATGCATCTAGCTGACTTCCAGATTTCCTGAGATCATGAGATGCTGTGACGTAGATTCGACGAATGGACTTGGGTACCAATGGCAGGCATGTCGAGTCAGACGTGCCCGTCACTGCAACGATGCCAAGCTGAAAAATACAATCGAGAGTAATAGGATGGATTAGATGGTTAGACTCGAATTGTGAAGGCATTAGCTTTGCGGTATTTGGAATTTGCAGATGTGCTCCAGCGTGCCCATCATTGGCACATAAGTCTGTCAAATTCTGAAAACTGGATCCATAGTGCAGTCCTCCGTCTTGAAGGGCGTCATAGAAAGATTGAGCTGGTGTAATGCATTCAGTCTGAACAGCAGCAAAATCACAGTGAAACTGCTGGGTTTTCTGAGACTCAGATTCGGCAAAGATAGCCTGAATCCAGCCCTTGCAATGAACTTGTTTTTCGTCATCCGTCTCGTATTCTGAGGAGATCCGGAACTCCACAGGTGACGAAAAATCATCGTTGGTGCCAGAGAGCACAGGATGTAGCTCTAGCAATATGGGCAGGGCAGAGCTGGAATCTGGGATATGCAGTGCCTTTAAAAATGTAACATCGCTCAACTCGTATGCCACAGGTGCTTTGCAACCTGACTGTCTCTGGCGTGCTGCTTCAATTGCTACAGATTGTCAGTCGTCTTCATTCGGGTGACAACAGCATGCCACTTACCCATTGTCACGTAGCCAGAGGCTGGGTAAATGATACTTGAATCAATCTGCGTATAAATTAGCCACATGACCCACTGCTTGAATAGCTTTTGACTTACCACGTGCTCAGCCATCCAGGGGCTTTCCTTTACTTTTAGCACATTGCGCCAGCATGAACCACCAGATCCTGGTACCAGAGAGCCTACGAGATCATGACGAGCATGCTTCGGATATTTGTAGTCATTGATAAGAAGTGATGTTGGCCCGTAGCTCTGTGAGTGGTTCCAAGCGTAGCCAGGGAGATCTAGTAGCCTTGGAAGTTGTTCTTGGACTTGGTTGAATGTTTCGAACCTGAGACGGCACCCAGACTGGTAAAGTTCCCCGAGTGCGTTTAAAAGCGTGGCATCAGCAGGAAACTTGCGGCGGAGCAAGTAGGAGTACTGAAAGTCATCCTCTCCAGAGATAGCGACGAGCGATTCTGTAACCGGAGTACGCAGAGAAGGGTGCGGGCCAACTTCCACAATCCTTGCCGAAACACCTCTTTCTCCACTCTTTTTGAGATACTTCAACAAGCGCTCCATCGAACTCCAGAACTGGACTGGTGAAAGCAGGTTCTGTGTCCAGTAAGACGCGTCAAGCGCGTCAGGTGAAACGAAATCGCCGGTCAAAGATGAGATCATTGGGACTTGGCTCTTCGACCTCTGAGCTAGATGGATGGGGGCCCCAATAGAGCTCGTGTATTGTTCAGCAATGTCTTTCATATGCGGTGAGTGGTACGCCACGTCAATCTTGAGACGTGTGCCAAGCAGGTTCTCCTCCTGTAAGATCTTTTGCAGTTCCACCACCGCACTCTCATCTCCAGACACGGTACAATTTGTTGGACTGTTGATGCAAGCTACCACAGCCTCTCCGCTCTTGAGTCTCTGCAAATACTCACTCACTTTGCTCTCACTCGCATTGACAGCAATCATGGCGCCTTGGCGTTCTGTTCCTTGCAGCGAAGAAGCGTAGTGGCCTCTATACCACGCAATGCGCATGGCGTACTCTTGTGAGATTGCACCTGCAGCATACGCCGCGGCAATTTCTCCACTGGAGTGACCTATCACTGCAATTGGCTCAATACCGAAAGAAGAAAGAACATCTACAAGAGCAATCTGAAGAGCAGTACAAGCAGGTTGCGCAAGACGTGGATCCTGAAGCTTTGACTCTGTTTCGGACCTTGCCATCTCCGCTTCCAGGTCATATGATGTGCCGCATTGCTGCATATATTGATTGCTGATACGCATGCTCTCCTGGTAAACGGGGTACAAGCATAGCTCCCGACCCATAGCCCACCACTGCGCACCTTGTCCAGTAAACACATATACAACAGGCGTGGCTCGGGATGATCTGACTGTCGCGGGGATGTCTCGCAAAGAACGAATTAATTCATCTGCCGTTGAGGCCATCGCGAAAGATTTCCACGGGTGAACCGTGCGCCTCGACAAAGTGCCTGCTATTTCATCGAGGAACACGGCTGTTTCCTGGGTATTGGTAGTGCTGATCTTCATCTGCACGTAATGCGAAAGTTGAGCAGCATATCTTGCTACCCCGTCAGCATCGCGAGATGAGAGTGGAAATAGCCATCGGTGGTGGATTTCACTTCGGGGTTCATTTTCGGTTTCCTGCCGCCGGCAAAGCGCCATGTCTTGACAGGACAGCCCAGAGTTTGGGACTTTGTCTCCAAAGTAATACGCCATCAAGCCATGATCATGTAAGAAATCGATGGCTCCCTCAAGAATGACATGGGCGTTGGAGCCACCAAAGCCAAACGAGTTGATGCTGACCCGTCGGCTTTTTTTTGAGGGCCAAGAATGAAGTTTCGTTGGAACTGCAATATTGTCTGGTAAGGCAATCCCTGGATTGAGCTTCTTAAATCCAAGGTTTGGTGGTATCATACCAGTCTCGACGATATGGATGCATTTGATTATACTGGCCATGCCAGCTGCGGCTTCTAAATGGCCAACATTTGACTTCACTGAGCCAACATACAGCACCTCTGATTGATCGCCACCGAAAGCACCAACGATTGCCTTCATTTCGATTGGATCTCCTCGCTGTGTGCCAGTTCCATGGGCTTCCACATACCCCGTTTGCGACATATCGAGTCCAGCTCTGCGATATGTAGAGCGTATCAATGCTTCTTGAGCGGCACTACTAGGGTGAGATACTCCTGCAGTGTGTCCGTCTTGATTGATACCAGTGGCGCGAATTACAGCGCGAATGTTATCGCCGTCTCGGAGGGCCATGCTCAGTGTTTTGAGGATCACAACACCCACTCCTTCACCGCGAGAGTAACCATTTGCACGATGGTCGAAGACATACGAAATGCCATCCGGCGATAGGAGATGCGCCGCGCTCATTGTTGTTGCACTGCTAGGTCCTAGCATGAGACTAGTTCCTCCAACGATACCAATGTCACTTTCCCCAGACCCTAGGCTTTGGCACGCTAGGTGAAGGGCAGTCAAGCTAGACGAACATGCGGTATCAATAGTCATGCTGGGCCCTTGAAGGTCATAGAACCAAGAAATTCTGTTTGAGGCCAGTGCATTGGAGCATCCGGCGCCGCTGTACTCAGTGGTTGACTGTGCATCCTGCACCATATTGTCTCGGAAATCGGTGGTAAAGGCTCCAATAAAACAAGATGTGTTAGAACCCTGAATATTTTGCACCTGTACGCCAGCTTTATCTCATCGATTAGTTTCAGGCGTCTGCAGGATTTCATTTGCGGTTTGCTGTACCATTCTCAAAAGCTTCATAAGTCACTTCCAACAAGATCCTTTGCTGTGGATCCATCGAGTTGGCTTCCATAGGACTGATTTGGAAAAATGGGGCATCGAAACATGTCACATCCTCTGACAGAAAATTGGCCTCTCGAGCTACAGTCTGAAACGCAGTGGTCAGCTTATATGGTGCGATATACCATTTACTGTATTTTGTGGTCAGTTACCGTGCCGGCTCTGTTTTGGTCCGGGTGATAATAGGCATCTACATTGTATCGGGACTTGGGAACTGGGCCTCTGGCACTTCTTCCTTCCACCAGCATCTGCCAAAATGCCTGGGGACTCGTTGCATCTCCCGGAAATCGGCAGCCAACGCCTATTATGGCAATTGGTGAGATCCTATTTGTACTCTGCTCCATTGTTCTTACCCAACCACATGCACTGCGTTGCTTATGGTCTGCAGTTGATGTATATGAGTACGACTGCAATTCCCTCAAATGAAAGACTGCCTTTAGGAGACAATGCTGTGTTATATACTTCAAAGGCACACCGCTACGACTGGACATCATATCTAAGCAGTTCTCGAATCCCAGAGCTTCAACTAGAGCCCACATACCCAGATGTCCAGAGATGGGGCATAAGGTTTATGACCTTACTGATGATCCCGTGTCTAGTTATTACAATCGGATATCTCGCCATCTCGGATAATAGCCAAAAAAAAAAAAAAAAAAAAAAAAAAAGAAATTTAAAAAGGAAAGAAAAAAAGCATTAAAATCCATGCATGTAGAACAGCCAAGCTAAGGGGGGAAAGAGCAAGGGAGGAAAATTTAGGTCAATGTGGCTCTTCGTAAGTCGGGTGTTCAGGACAAAGAATGCAGGGAGATCCGCAACAGTGGGGAAACAAAAAGGTGTTTCTTCAATAAATTTAAATCTGTTAGTCCCAGGCATCCGTCTTGAGGTAGTTGTAGTGTAGTCGTAATGCGTGTCTACATAGATGGTGCGGTTAAGCACGGAGCTCAGCTAGGCAGGATGAGGGAAATATGCGATGATTGTCGGTCAGGTATCATTTCATGGTGTTTGGATGGAAAAGGAAAAGGAAGAAACAGCGAGTGTCAGCTCTCTACAACTAAAAAGCACGTGATGTTTGGTCCAAAGTCCCATGAAGCAGGGTATAAATCTGGTCTCCTGGGCATCAGTTATGATTTAATTTGGCACGCCATAATGACTATCCCTGTGGTAGAGACCCAACAACAAGTGGTGAAAATAGATCCAGTGGGTGAGCGGATTCTACAGGAGCTTTCCAATACACCTTTCAACTGTGTTCATCTAGTTAGGTTGACTGGTGGGATTTTGAACTTTGTTTATCGCGGTACACTCTCCCATCCTCTATCCGACGGTGCGATCACCGTGATTATCAAGCATGCCGAGGAGTTCATGCCGGGCTTAGAGGGATACACTCTATCAACCCACCGCAGTGTATGATTCCCAATGTTCCAGTGTTTTCCTATGGAAATTGACTGGGTCTGCGTTTCAAGTTTTTTGAGGCATGCATTCTCCGTTCAGTTCATGCCCAAGTCGAAAGCCCCAACACGGCTGGACTCGAGATCGTCGTACCCCGTGTATACCACTTCAATACAGGGTTCAACACGCAGGTCCTTGAGGACTTCACAGGCCAGATCTCGATACGAGATTTTCTCAAAACTCGTTGCACGCAAGATGCATCTCGCGTCTTTGCATCCCGTCTCGGTTTCTCTGTGGGAAGTTGGCTGAGTTCCCTTCATCATTGGGGAGAAGGTAAGACCCCACAAGAAGTGAGTCACGAAGAGCAAGCGAATCGAGATGTGCATGATGCCACTTTTGACTTCTACTACGACAATGCCGTACGCAAGGCAGAGCAATTGCCCCATATATTGCAGGGATGCAAGCAAATTTTTGAACAGGTCAAAGAAGGCGCTGCAAGGGAGTTACGCAGCATGAGTGGTGAGAAACTTGGGATGATCCATGGAGACATGTCAACCAACAAGTGAGGTTTTCGTGCATATGGTAGATCGCTTGCATGCTGACGATAGAATTAAGTATCCTAATTGCAGACAACCAATCCATTCACGTCGATCATTCCCGTCTCGTTGTAATTGACTGGGAATTGTCTCAGTACAACTCGCAGCTCCGAGATTGCGGTCAATTTATCAGCGATATTTACAAGCTCCAGCATTTTGGTTTTGTCGATCCGAACACGGGAATGGCAGTCATTCGCGGCTTTATCGAAGGTTATTCCCCCTTGCATGAGGATGCAATCTTCAAATTCTCGATTCATATTGGGCTTTTTTTGTTACTGTGGGATGTCGCACTCCCAGGTCCTCATGATGCAGATAAGGTTGCAGACTTGGTGGCCCTTGCTAGGGACCTGGTCGTATCGGGGTGGGAAAGGGATCTTCACGCCCTCCTGAAGACTTTCCTGGGCAAATGCCTTAATGGCATGGCTGGCTGATTATTTATTGCTCACCGCTACAGCCATGGCCCACCGCTGGATCCGTCTATCATTCTAGCGGCAAAGATTTACATGGATGACTTCCCCACCTCAGACATCAGGATATCTCAGATCTGTTAGGAAGATAAAAAGTGGAGAATTAAACATCGCCTCTTTCATTGCAATTTACACTCCAATGTTTCTTTATCGCCTCTTTTGAACATTCCGAAAGAGGATCTGCACCAATAGCACAATAAAAAATCCATCACGATCAGTCACCTTCTGCAAGTTTTCAATCTCAAGTAAACACTATGCCATCCGTTTATATCGTTGGTGCCACACGTACACCCGTTGCAAAGGTCAGATTCTCCCCACGTACAGCTGCGCGCCAGAGTTAACCTCTATCCTAGATCAATGGGCAACTTTCCTCATGTTCGGTCATCGAACTAGGGGGTTTTGCGGTCGAGGCAGCTGTGAAAAGATCAAAAGTTCCCGTAGAATTGATCGACCATGTATACATGGGACATGCTCTGCAGGCAGGCACTGGCCAGTCACCAGCCAAACAGGTCGCCATTCAGGCCGGGCTACCTGCGACGGTGGAGGCTACCACCATCAACAAAGTCTGTGCCTCGGGACTAAAGGCCGTCTCTCTGGCGGCACAAGAGATCATGCTCGGGCACTCTTGCTGTCAAGTGGCAGGTGGTATGGAAAGTATGTCAAATGTGCCACTGTACACTCGGAAAGGAAAGAGGGGATCCGAGTCGACAAATGGCGATCAATCATTTGATGGCCTAAAGGATGGGCTAGAAAGCCCGTTTGATGGATGCTTGATGGGTAAATATGCCGATCAGCTCGCAAGGCGGTACCACATATCTCGCGAAGATATGGATGAATATTCCCTATTAGCATATGAACGAGCGGCTAAAGCTCATTCAAACGGGACTTTTAATGATGAAATTATTCCAGTACAGGCTGCTGGAGCACTGTCGGTGCAGGTTTCTACCGATATTATGCAGAATGAGAAATCATTTCATATTTTGTCTACACTGCCTCCTGCTTTCTCAGCTACTGGCTCAATCACCTCCGGAAGCTCATCTTTTCTTGCCGATGGCGCGTCTGCTGTGGTGCTTGTGAACGGCGACACAGCGCGAAAATATTGCGAAGACAAAAGCTTGCTTGCAGAAATTCTTAGCTTCGCCGACGCCTCGCTACCACCGCCAGATTTTGCAGTGGCACCATCAAAGGCAATCAAGATAGCACTTGAGAGAGCTCGGTTGACAGTCGACCAAGTTTCACTGTGGGAAATTAACGAGGCATTTGCAGTTGTTGTGCAGGTCAATCAAGAGGTAAGCGTCTGTTATTAGCCTATTAACATCTCACTGACGGGCAGCATAGATCCTCGAGCTTGATCTGCAGAAAGTTAATATCAATGGTGGAGCGATTGCGCTCGGTCATCCACTTGGCAACTCAGGTTGTAGAATCCTCGTGAGCCTGGTGCATCAGCTCAAGCCAGGGCAGCTTGGGGTGGCAGCCATTTGCAATGGTGGAGGAGGAGCAACTGCCGTGGTAGTAAAGAGACTTGAAGTGTCGGCCCTGACAGACCCAGTAGAATAATTCAAAATATATATAGGACAGGTGATGGAATTTTTCATTTGGATCGAAGTACAACTGATCAACGGATCAAGTCTTGGATAGCATCTGTAACAGTTTTCATAGCGTCATATTTGGCGTACTCGTTTTGTAGCTCCACGCAGCATTTTTTCCTCGCAGGGTCCGAAAGAATATTAGAGACCGCGTCCCTGACCGCAACGCTTTCTGGGTTCTGACATGCCAGATTGATAGCTGCACCAGCCCATGCCGCGTGTGCATTCGTCTCGGCCTTATCTGCCGACATCCCTGCAAGTACCATAGGCACTCCATTCAAAAGCGCTTGCTGAACTGTTCCAAAACCACCATTAGATACAAGGACTGAAGTATGCTGGAACAAGATGTCGAAAGGGATGAAGCGAGCAATTCGGACATTGCTAGGAATTTTTGTTCCTTGAGGCAACGTGGAAGATTTCACAAGCGTCACAATGACTGTAACATCAAGGTTCTGTAAGCCTTCCATTGCGGGCAAAATGAGCTCCTCGGGATCGTTGTGAACAGAGCCTTGAGATACAACAACGATTGGCTTCTTCTGGTCCTTTGGAGCGTAAATAACTTCATCCCACCACTCAGGTAATTCCAACACCTTTTCCTTTCTTCCCACAGCGGACAAAGCCCCCATGTACCGTACCCACGTCGGTAGGTCACTTCGAGGATACTCAAGTTGAGGGATAGACATCTGGAGATAGAGGTCGCAGCAGCGTCCAATTCCATCGAGGAATTGAGGCACCGGGTCCAATTCTTTGACAGGAACTCCGGCAGATTGTAGCGCGTTCTCCCACAGTTTTTGAATAGGGGCCGCCATAAAGCCAGCCTGGTTGCGCAAAGCAAGATTGCGAGCACGACCTGCCTCGCCTTCAACTGGAGGAAGCCCCATTCCCCATGGCGGAGTATCGATGCTGTCGAGCGTCAAGGTGCAAGTACCGACTTTAATGATCCCGTCAGGCCGCATGACAGGTGTTCCATACACCATCGGTGCAGCTGCTCCAAACGTGTTGTTTTCCATATAAATGATTTGGCGCCCATCCCCCTCTGTTGCATGTATATCTTTCATCGTCCTCACCAGACTCTCATATTGATACTTGATTGGGTCGATAAACCAAGTTCGCATTTCCCAGATAGTTCGTTCCATACCTTGCATATTTTCCAGCTCAGGGTAGACCTCAAGGCGGTTCTCAAATTGCAAGTCCGCACAGCCTGTCAGTGGAGCAAAGCGCGCCCCGATTTCCTCGACTTCACCACGAACGGCCGCCCCAGTGAGGAAAGTAACGACGTAGCCTTGCTTTACAAGCTCAGCGCCAATGACTTTAAACTTCTCAACGTGGCCAAAGATCGGGGCCACTCCGATAATGACATGGGGCTGAGTCGAGGAAATGGTCATTTTCTCTGTGATTAGGGATATAAAGTTGATCGGCAGTCATATTATGTGGGATCTGGTAATATTTATGCAATTCTATCTGGGGCCCCTCTAGGTACGATTTAAAATGCGGGTGCAACCCTTGGAAGCAAGAGAACAAAGCTTTTTGCGTCCAGATATCTGCATATTTTGCAACTCTACATGATCGACAGCTCATCGGCTACTATTCCTTAGTCAAGACTGAGGTATGCAGTTTGACGCAAGGAGTGAATGTTTTCATCACCCGTGGCCACCCCCTGACCATCACTTTAGATTCTACCATATCATGTAGATAAGCGGTGTCTTCTCTACACGTACGGACGCATTTTCAAGTATCTCCCTTACCCGGAACCCAAGCCTCATCATGCAGGCCAGACCGAGTTTTGATCATCCGGCTGTCAACCAGAGGGATCAAAAAGAAGCCCAGGATAGGCCGTCCAACGAAGACTCACCAACCAATGATCAACAAGAAAATGATCCTACCACCAAATTCAACAAACGCGTGTGGCTTATTCTTGGCACCCTCTGCACGCTCTCATTCATGACGTCCCTTGAAGCGACAGTGTTGGCTCCTTCACTAGAGGTACGAACATATTCCTCAGTGCCGTCACCTTCCATTTCACGCTCAACTGTCATTAAAACCAATTCTGATCACGACAAGGCATTTTCTAGATCATTGCTTCAACCCTCCATGGCACCACCGCAGAAATATTATGGGTGGGCTCAGCCTATCTTCTACCGGTAGCTGTTTTCCAGCCTCTCGTCGGAACGGTATCCAAAGATCTTGGCCGAAAGAAATTCCTGATTGCCTCCATTTTCCTCTTTACACTAGGCTCACTCATCTGCGGAACTTCTCGTGCAATACCCCAACTTTTGGTTGGTCGAGTGATCCAAGGCATCGGAGGAGGAGGGATAAGCGCTTTGGTATACGTCATTCCTGCCGATGTCCTCACTCTCCGGCAGCGGCCTATTGCTATTATGTTGATGCAAGGCGGGTGGGCGTTGGGCGCGATATTGGGCCCAGTGCTTGGGGGAGTTTTAGCAGCGCCGAAGATATGGCGATGGGTGTTCTATATGAATCTGCCGCTTTGTGGGGTCATTCTGCCACTGGTATTGAAGCTGATGAAGTTGAAAGGTAGGACCCGCTCTTGGGGCGAGGAAGTTGCACAACTTGACTATGTTGGAATTTTGATGTTTCTCATGTCCACTTCAGCTCTACTTCTGGGTATCACCTGGGGTGGAATTCAATTTTCATGGAGCAGCTGGCAGACACTATTCCCGGTTTGTGGTGGGATTGCCGGGCTTCTTTCTGCAATTTGCTGGGAACGCTTTGCTGCCAAGCGGCCGTTCTTGCTTATATCGTTATTTACAAGACTATCGACCGCCTCAGTATGCATTGAGACATTTTTTCAGGGCATTTTAGTAAGATATACACATCCTTCAAGTCATTCCGTTTGACTAACCTCGCATTTTGCCTGGCTCAGATGTCATGTGAACTTTATTACCTTGCTGTTTACTTTGAAGGTGTTCGTGGCCTTTCTGCCCGTATGGCTGGGCTTGCTCTTATTCCAATCACCATAACGGTCTTCTTCGGAAATGTAGTGACTGGCTCTATCATTCACAGAACTGGATATTTTCGGTGGGCTCTTTGGGCCGGCTGGGTGGTCACTGTTGTCTCAACTGGTTTACTAATAACCTTTGACATGCATACGCCGATATATGCCTGCATTCTCGTGCTGCTGATAATAGGCATTGGACATGGCATACTAGTCATGTGTCTCAATTTTAGCATACAAAGTCTTGCTGACACAGAGCATGCTGGCCATGCTATTTCCATGTGTACCTTTTTGCGAGCCTCTGGTATGTGCTGTGGTATCGCGGTGGGAAGCGCAGTTCTTCAAAATGAGCTACACATCTACCTTGGCTCTTCCTCACAATCCACCTCCCAGAGCGCTTTGATGGATATTTCTGCGCTAGCAAGGCATCCTGGCCTTTCTGTCGCCTTTGCCGGTGCTTTTAACAAGATATCAGAAGTTATGACTGGGATCTCAGCTTCTGCCCTTCTTCTTGTGGTCTTTATCCACTGTAAATAGATTAGGAGATTATGATATGTGCTCAGTCACCAATCAAATGTCAATATTGAACACACCTCCAAACCCGACATGTTCCCAAATCGAAATTCATGGATGCATTCGTGATTGGCTGATTGACCTCGGTGGGGATGCGTGCCCACTCACTAACAACATGTAAAGGAGGACTTCTAGGAAAGCTGTTGGGGTATGATCTAGTGATGTTTTCCATAGGAGGTTTTATCACGAGTAGTTAGCCTAAGTGGGTAGGCTTTACATTCACCCGTGGACAGATTGTAAGATCAGTCTCGCATGACAAGACCTTACGGCCTTGGGATATGGATTCAATCTTTTGGATTCAATCTTTTGAAACAAGCTATTCCAGAGGAAAAAATCAACTTTGGGAATGTGCATGAAACAAAATCACTAAATATATTTCAAGCTCAATCGCTTCCAGTCATCAGGTCGGTTATACTAGGGTGAGTTAATCTACATCCTGAACATTCACATACGTATCTTTGGCATAATTGCAACCTTGTGTGTCGTTCCTCGAAACCAATTATCCTTTCGTCCCCTGACGCGACGATTCTGTTCCCAAATCTCCTCGGCAGTGTACCCGTACCAATTTTTCACCTCTCGCCACACCATCTCACCATCCGACAGCCCACGAAGCAGTGTGATTGCATCCTCGTTGATGACACGTGCCCCAGCCAGATAATGAAATGGAGTATTCAGGTCCGAGTCCTGAAATGCTATATACGGCTCAAAACCCGACGACAGGAGATAACCCAGCAACTCCATTTGAGCCGGAAATTGCAACTCGCATCACTCTTTTTGATATGGAGGCCATTGGCTTCCACCGAAGATTATGGATGGATTCACGCCTCTTGGATGCATGATTCTGAATCATTACAGGCTATATGGAGGAGTGTATGACCTGCGGCCGTTGCACCAGCAGCATCAAGGGAAATACTCTGTTCGACACGCTGAAGAGCATGTAGGGAATGTGCTGTCGCGACATGTAAAATACGGACAAGGAGATATGGGGTGCGGATGCCGAAGTCGATACGTGGGTCTTTGCCAGGATATCATACGCCGTTTCATTCCAGAGTTCACAATGAAGGAAAGTTGCCATAAGGGGAGTGATGCTGGTGCATACGTCCCCAAGCGGAAGAACATTGGGATTGAAGCCAGCCTGGAGTAGATAATGAAGCATTTCTATGCCCTGACTTGCGCTTGAGATTGCAGCATGAATTGGAGAGGAGAGGGCGAGAGATGAGGGTGTTGGTGGCTCCGGTAGATCCTCCAGAGCAGGGAAGGCTGTCCAGAATGAGCGATCTGCATCTGTAGCGCGAAGAAGGTCCATGATTTTGACTAGTCCTGACCCGGCTGCGATAACCAAGGGATGCCCAAAGTTCGGATACTCGTCGCAAAGGCTCGCCCTTGTTACTCCTGCCCAGAATTCTAGTAGCGGGCGTTCTTCCACCTCTTCTTCAGTAATACGAACTGTCTGTTGTCTCGGCATATCAGCCAAAATTTCGGCTCTTGTGCAATCATCTCCATCTCTTGTGCAGTCATCCCATAATTTATTGAGGTCAACCTCCGTTCGGAAATGCAGAAATAGCGATTGCCAGGCCTCAAATGATGAGATTTCGTATCCATCCGGGTTTGCTCCTAGTTTCAGGAGAAGTTCAACGTTCTCCGCCGATTGGGCTCGTATCGCTGCTATCAGTGCACTGTAACAGTGTGGGAGAGGATTCCACGATGTCGCATAGTTGGGACTGTAAACGCAGAGTGTTTGTTTGCAGAATACTGCTTTTATTATGGTCCAATATGGCAAATGCTCTGCATCCCATAGACTTGACGGATCGCTGGCAATACCTTCTTGTTGAAGAAAAGGCTGCCATCCAAATTCGAGGTATTTGCGAAGGTCATCTAGATTGCCTTGCGCAATCTGGAAACTTGTCTTTGTGCCTACAAGGTTGCACCTGCACTCGGAAATAGTGCCAGGATCTGCCATCTGAGCATGGACAAGCGTAAAAATTCAAGGTAAACAATGGAATGAGAAAGGGAGTCTTTCCCTTTGGGTTTCCAATTACAGCGCTAGCGGTATTTCAGTCAACTTTCGTATCACATTTACGGAATACTAAGCAGCTAGACCCTTTTTGGCGCAAATGTAGTGACAGGACAAAAGTCGTACCTCCAGAGTACAAGATCTTCCTTATACTCAAAATAGAGTTTTCCTAAAAGCTTTCCCCTATCATCAAATTCGATGATAGTACTGAGCATGTACTTACCTGATGTGACCCTCCTGCTTAGCTAAATAGAATGGTAGTTGCGTTATCACTCTTCTGAATTTATGTGGTCTTTGAAAACTGCTCGTTTGATACTTGATAGACGGAGAAGAGAAAACGTCCTCAGCGACCTATATGGGCAAATCAATATAATTGAACATTTGCGTTAAAGTATAATATTATTGGCTTTAAAAGGCAGATGAAAGGATCATACAGGGCAGCCGGGTTAAATTCAAGAAACTACCTACTTCATCAAAGAGAGCGTAGAAGAGTAGGAAAATAGGAAAAGAAGGAAATAAAAAGATCAAACAGGACAGCAGACTCAAATTAGAGGAAAGAATAAATCAAAAGAGCGTAGAAGGGCAAGAAACTGTGCAAAAGGAGATGAAGGAAAGGGATCCAAAAAGCCAGCAGACTTAAATACGAGCACTGAATAACAAGTCAAGAGAATTGGAAAGGTAAGAAACTGTGTAAAAGAGGGAAAAAAGGAAATATAAAGAAATCGGTACAGGTATGCTGGGCAGGAACTGAAGTGTTTACTGCGAGCTTGGAGAATGCCCACCAGGAACTTCGAATTCTGGTTCGGTAAATTGGAGGCCATCACGGTTGAGCGGCAGGGGAACCTGCTCCGAGGCGATATTCTGAATTATTGCCTTGGATTGCAATGTGTCTGAGGCTTGAAGACCTGATTGGTTCAAATGTTATTATGTATTCAACGAAAAGGGATCTGGATAAAATTACTTACCATTGGGGACATTCTCCTGCGAGGAAATCTGGCCCCCCCGTCCCGTACATAGTCTCGTACGGGGACTTGCCGGTCTCAGGGGTTCTAGGTTTCACAACAGGGGGTCTGACAGGTTCGCCACGCGTTTGGTCATCGGCAATGGCCTTAACGACAGGTCGCAGAGCGTCGATGACGACAGGACCGTACTTGATAACAGTGGGTCCATATTTAGCTGCTGCATCCTTGATGGTGGTAAAAAGGCCTTCGGCTTGGAGTTTGTCCAGAGGAGCGTCCTGAAGGACAGTGGCAACTGCAGCACTAAGCACAGCCCTCTTGCCTAGAACAGTCAAGTCTGCATCGAGTGGCGTGGATTCGTCGAAGGAACTTTCGGTCTTTGGAGGAAGCAGCTTGTTGGCCACATCTAAACCCTGCTGGACGACATTGACGGTTTTGTTTGCAGCAGACAAGACAGTGCCAAAAATATCCCAAATGCTCTCCTCAACGGGTTGCGTGCTGGGGGCGTCGAGGATGCGTTTCGCGAGACTGTCGCCCATGCTCTCATACGACTTCGGCATTTTAATTGGCTTGATTTTTTCGCTCGGACCAAGGTCGGCTTCGGGCTTTCCAGCTAGAGCTTGCCGAACGATGTCTTGAGAGATTGGAAAAACAGAGGCCATGATAGCTGGCAGGACCTTCGGCGACACTACCTCGGCTGCTGTGGCGCGCTTGCGGTATTCGTCGTATACCTTTGTATTAAGTTCCTTGCGGAACTCTCCATTCTGCACCGGGGTGTGGAAGAGGGCCTGAAGACAAGCTTCGTTCATAATAGCCTGGTGGATCACACTGGGCTGCTTACTGGGCTGCTTTTTGGGCTCGTCGAACTCACTCTCGGCTTCGAGCTTTTTCCCGGCGGCACCAAGGGCTGTGCCAGCCAACGCAGCCAAAGGACCTCCAATGGGGCCGAAGAAAGGGCTCGCTATCTTGAGAGCACCACCCACAAGAGGAGCCCCAACATCCAATACGCTCTTCATGGTCTGCCAAAAGTCTTCTTCTTCACCGAAGCTATCCTCCGTCAGGCTGCCCATGTCGACGTATTTGACACCCGAGCGGGGCTGGAGTGACTTGGCTTCCTTGGGGTCTTCTGTAGTAAAGACGGAGAGATACTTCATGTATGGGTTTCCAAGTTGTCCAATTGTGCTCGCGCAGTTCTTGCTACCTCCTCCATAAACATGGGCTCCGATGGATGTCTGCACCACTCCCTTAGAGGCTCCTTTCAGAATGACCGGGGATCCGGACTGGCCTATGGGAGCACATGAGTTAAAAGTCAAGGGGGAACAAAGATTGAAACCGCTTACCTGCGTAGGAGTTGATACGATACTCCAGCATGTTCAAAGACGATTTTTTGAGGTCCCAGGTGACGTCGCGGAACTCCTCGTACATCTGGGCCCCTTTTTCACCTTTGTAGTCTTTATCGCCCGGATATCCAACAACGCCAATAGCCTCACTGCCTTGCATGGGTGTATCCTTGAAATTAAACCTGGTAACTCCAGTAAAGGGCTTGTTGAGCTTGATGAAAGAAACGTCATTCTGGCGAAACATCCCGGAGTCCAACCATTTCTGAGTGGTGACAATTTTGACACCATGGCGGAACTGGACTTCCCCCTTCTCGAGTGCCTCTTTGGTTACGGAGGCTTTGCCATTGTAACCAATGTAGGCCTTGACTTCGACAGCACGTCCAAAACCCTCGCCGTTATTCTGGCTCCAATCAAAAGCACAATGGCCTGCTGTCACGAGAATGTCAGGCTCGACCAACCAGCCGGTGCCCATGGCATACCGGCCGTCATCAGCTTTCTGGCCCGCATAGCGCATGAAGAGCTTGACAATAGCTAATAATTGCCTTCATTAGAGAAGTGACCCATGCTTTGGCGACAAGAAGTTGCTTACATCGGTACTTGCCAGTGTCTTTCTGAATTTCATCAAGAGGAACTGGCTTGCGATTATCGTCGAGATCTTCAAACACGGATTCCTCATGCTGTTCTTCTTTGAAGTGACTCTCAGCTGCCTCCGAGGTAGCAACATTGAGATCCCAAGTTCCTGCAATCAGAGACATCGTGATCGAAAGTAGCGAATGAGTAAGATATGATCAAGAATGACAGATAAAGCGTGTGAAGGATTAAGGAAATTGGCCCTTTTTAGTTGGATTCAAAACCCCCGGAGACAGTCCCCTACTTATAGCTTTTTAAAGCTGTAGACTCTTCATTCCCTCGCCTCATCTTGCCGTCTTGAAGTTCAGAGTAGCGATGTGATAGTGGCTTAGCTACAGAGTGAGTTTTGACAAAATGGAACTGCCAGCTGATCTGAAGATACGACTCTCAAATCACATGAGAAGCAGCTTAAGAAAAGTTTGCCGAGCCTCGGGCCTGCATAAACAAGTCCTCGTTATATTGTCGTCTTTTATTCCTATTTTTTCGGGAAAAGAAGCCACATGTACGCCACAACCACTAGCTCCTCCATGGCTCGGCACGGCCCCTGCAGGAACCACCCAACCGTAAATGGTAATCCGCCCGGTAAAGTATCACTGCCATCGGTCATCGGACTTGCACAAACAGCTGTTCGCATGATATTGCGCAGTGCAAACTTCGGTTCTTCTTGCCATTCGCGGCCTGTCACACACTAGTCAGTAGTGACGGGCGTATCGGGAAGGCCGACTCAACCCCAATGAACGCTGTTCGGCGGAGCTTTCCTAGAGTTAGTTTTGCTTTTTACCGTTCATGGCTGGCTTCCTGCATGTGTATGCCCCAACCCTAGCGCATGAGTCCTGCCATATACGGGACTACTTTATGAGGGATAAACATGATGCAGACCAAATGCGATGAATCTTTAGCCATACTCTAGCTGTATGAAGTTATCCATAGCGATGGTGAGCGCCCAGGTAGCATCATCTGTTATGGAATGACTTCAATGGCTGCTTATTTGTTATTAACTTTCGAAGAAATTCAATGGCTTAAGCGGCCTTGATTTTACAAACCTAGACGTGGGCAACACGCTAGATATGCAGGGACTACAATTAAAGGAGAGCCAATCGACTAGAATCGACCAGAGAATATAGGATAACTTTGTTTGCGGGGTCACAGGGTGATTAGGTTGGCGGCTCGACAGAGCACCGCTATGTTTAGATATGGCGATGGCATATCCAGATGTCGGGATACATAAGATATAGAGTAATATACTATATACAAAAAAGGAAGCAAAGGAAAGCTATTCAATAGCAGAGATCATAGAAAACCGATATCACTCTAGACGAGGCATCCTTGTTGCAGGATGTGGCCGAAATACTGAGCGCGCTGAAGAAACCGGCGTGGCTTGAGCGGGGTCATCGGAGCAGGGGCCAAGCTTGCAAGTTCACGAGTCGAGTATGACTGGCCAGAGTTAGTGGTGCCATCGAGGCCTATATAGGTGTAGGCGTCCATCTAGAGCTGTGAGACAGTCTCAACGAGAACGCCAAGTCCCTACATGAGTACCTTTTAGGCGAGCTGCTCGATCATAGGGCGGCGTCGTGGTGGAGCGCCACCTGACCCCATTTTTAGTACTTTTGTTTTCCGTCTAACGTTGAATGATATGATCCTGGAATAGGTACTATACTTTCTGTAGCTCCCTCATGTAAAGTATAAATCCTCGATGACATAACCAAAATAGAACACAATTCAGTATACCTCTTTCCTATTTTTCCGTTATTGCTTTTATAATTTGACTCAAGAATTTTATTAGTATACCCTTATAGGTCTGATTTTGGATGACCTGGATAGTCCAGGTACAAGTTCCGTATGAAATTAAACCGACGTAATAAATAATCAAAGTCCATTAGCACCTCCATATGTCCATATATCATAGCACTAAAGTGCTTTGGATCGATTGCTTCCTTCAAAACGCTACACATGAGTTGACCGTTAATGAGTTGAGTGCAATCTCACAAGCTAACTCTCCATGGTACTGGTCTTCTCCAATCCACCGCACCACTTGACTCTTTTGGTGATCAACTCACAAAGTTCTGGGAAGATATTGAATCTAAAGATCTCATGCTCAAAAACTGGGTAGAAATTGACCCAAAATTTTTGAGAAGCTTGAGACTCATCGATATCGAGAGTTACGTCTTTATAAGACTGAAAGCATGGTGCATGATATCTTCAATTTTCTACTAGCCAAATCTCTCGATATCAGTCAATCCTTTGAAAGTGACGTAAAATGGGCTTTTTGGAAGCTCTCCAGATCTGATTCATATGCGTATACTCCACCTATCAGTTACGCTAAATGGAGCACATATACGGAACCTTTTTGATTGAGATATATTCTGGCAGCGGGTACTTCCAAAGGTTATTGTTTGTTTTTTAAGACAAAATGGCAAGGACATCTCCGGCTCCCAGGAAAATATTTGAATAATTATATCAAGACCCCTCCTAAACTAGTCGGTGATATCCGGATATGCATGTGTCATACAGGTGCATTATTTAAAGCCTGGATTTCCTTCCTGATTGCTGTTCCATCCACATCGCACAGAACATCATTACATATCTGCATAACTCATCACACCATCATCCAAGGTACCAAGATCCAACACTCCAAACCTATCACGTATTTTCCCCACACAAGACTTGTCTTCAAATGCTCAAAGCTAATTTCATCTTCCTTTTCATAAATTCGAAATCAAGTCACCATGGCCGGAGCCTACCATCCAGCAAAATTGCACAAGCGTGCTCGGACAAACCCATTTTACCATGAGGCGAGGGTACACCTTCAGAAGATAAGGTTGCAACGTTATCAAAAGAAGCTACAATTGGAAAAGCTTCGAATGGAAGGTTTTCAAGTGCGAGAGGAACTCGACGAGCTCACGAACTTGAAGAATCGACTCACCAAAAAGATGAAAATCTCGTAGTGAGACACATCAGCAAAAGAGAGGACTCCAAAGCAGAAGAATTGCTAGATGGAAAGGTGGCATGCTTACCAAGTGATTTCGAGATGTCCGATTCTGAAAGTGATGATGGCTCGGATGGCCTCTTCGCCGATTTGGTGCTGGAGACGGATACGGAGGTGAATGATTCCGATGACGAGGACGAAGAATTCAAAGGATTCGAAGACTCACAAAAAAGTGAAGAGTCCTTCTCCGAAGGCGAAGAAGGAAAGCCAATCGAGATCGAAACTGAGACAGAAGCCGAGAACGAGATTGAAAACGAGAACGAGAACCACGCCTCTGAAGATGACCAAGAGACAACCATCAAGCCAGAGCCCGCGGAGAACATCATCAAACCAGAGCCCGTCGAGAACATCACCCAAGACCAAGACTCCGATGACGAACTCCTAATCCGCATCAGTGGCGACAAAAGCAACCTATCTGCCCACAACAAGCTAAAAATTCTAACAAGAGCCGTCGCCTGGCAGATAGAAAGGCACAATCAATGGGCCGGAGATAATCTCGAATGGTTGGGCAGAAAAGATTTGTGCTCGATTCTTGATGTCCGGTCGGCAAAAGACATGCAGCATGGAGATCGGGGATCAGGGAACAAGGGACTGAACGATACTCACTGTGTGTATGATCGTGAGGGGTACAAATGGGGTCGACCTGCTGCGGAGCTTCTTGCTGGTGCGAGGCGAAAATACAAACCGGATTCCTGGATGTTTGATGGTGAAGCACGACGACTGCTTATTGCACTTGAGAACTGGTATTTCCACCTCGGTCAGGAGGAGAAAAATGATCTCATTGGTGATGCTTTTGAGTAGTATCAATTTAGAGATGATGTGCCAAGTTCGGTGTATGAATTTAGTGATGAGATAAATATTTTCTTTGAGAATTCGTGAACATTTGCTATTGAGTCTTGACGAAAGGGAAAGACTTGCTTTGGTCGATTTGGAGATTGGAATTGAGATTGAGATTGAGATCTGATGGTGTTGGAGTACGGAGATTGGGCATTCAAATTGCTCAAATGCTAGATAGTTCTTTTGTGAGAAGGGCCGTCCAAATTGTACAAGAATTGAAAGTGGAAGATGATCATTCGAGTCTAGATGAAATGACTATATAATATATAAACACCGAGTCACTCAACAGACTTTAGTCACTCCTACTTCTATCGTTGCTCGAGAATACCAATCAAGGGAAATCAAACCTTGGAATGATTCCAAGATTCTTTGCAATGCATCAACTGCAATTCGATGGGGTTCTGTTAGCGGGGCGTATATACCCCCACCATCCCCATGCAGACGAGTGCATTGCAGTCCGTAGATTAGTGAAATACCTGAAAAGACATTATGAATTAAATAAGTAGCTAAGTCACTGTCAATAATATGTTCCTAACAGAATGAGATTGGAATCCTCCAAAAGCTATGTGCAAAGTTGATCAACACAGAATACCCATTTTTGGTGACAAAAGAAAGGATTCTCGGTATAAACAGGGTAAAAGGCAATAAAGGAAAAAACACCAATGACGTCGCAATGCATGTAAGGTCCTGTGGACCATTTTATGTAGTTTCAACATCTCCCGACATGCACGTGGCTCCCATTTCTCCTGTCAATTGGCCCCATCTCCGATTCTTTCCGGGAAATAAATGTTGAGATTTTACAACCAAGTCCTTGCTTGGATTAGTCCTGGAAAGTGAAGAAAGTGGGGCATGTAGTGCAGATGGGCCGAGTAAGGGGCAGATGTGCCTTCGTCAGAAAATTTCGATCCCACGCTTCGGCGGGATGAAGGGTGAGTGGCGAAGTGTTATGCGGTGACAGCGATTATGCCTGTTGCGCCCAGCGCTGTTCGCGAAGGGGCATGGCCTCTCCGCTGCTTTGGCGGGTGCCGTCAATTTCGCGCTTCCAGGCCCAGTACTCGCCTAGGCGGAGCTCGGCGTAACTAGCATAGTCGAAATCAATTTGCGAAATTTGGGCTTGGATAAGAGCCCAAACACCCCTGTGGTTTGATCAATTAGTTACAGCTTTCTTTAGAATTTGGTCGCAGTTGCGAAGGTACGTCACTCACCAGTAAAGACCAGGAATACCACGGAATCTATCAACATCTTCAGATAATTTGGCGACGATCTCACCCTCCGATGAGGCATCCAGCTTGCGGTGCTGGATATAACTCTTAGTGTACTCGGTCAGGAATTGGCGGCGCACTGATTGCGTGGGGATCATATTGTAGTCGCAGTCGTAGCCGATCCACTCAGCCAGGTGGTTGGCAATGTCAAAGGCTGCTGGGGCAGGGACAGCATATTCGTAGTCGATGAAGTTGACGGGGGTGGTATCATCAGAGGGCTTGGAGTTATCGTCACTAGGCAGAACAATAACATTGGCGCAAAGCAAATCGCAGTGAGAGAAAACGAGCTACGTAAGAGTCAATCAGATATGTCCACCGAGAAAGCAAAGAATGCGCGGTCATGGCTTACCCCGTCTTCACCGATGCCCTTTCCATCGTCAAGCTTGCCCACTACCCACTGAACTTCCTGCTGCAGGTTTAATCGGCGGGCCCGCTGTTCAGGCGTGGCCACGGGGAGAGCAAGAATCCACTTCTGAAGGACAGCCCACATGGAGGGCCCCGCGCGACGTGGTTGGATCAGCTCAAACTCGTGTTTCTCGCCATTGGCGGTCAAGTCTGCTCCAGGTGTAGACACGGGCACGGGAATAGGAAGAACCGCATGCCACTGCGCAAGTCGCCGAGCAACACCACGGTAAATTGGCGCAGTGGCCAAGTCCGCGTGGCCACAAGGCTTGCCACGAATGAAACGGTAGAGAAGGCCATTATTGAAACGAGCGAGAAGGGGAGGAGCGAGACCGCAGCTGGCAAGAAGGGCGTGTGACGTGGTTTCTCCTAGAAGGCGCAAGACTCTACTTTAGCATATGTCGCAATGGGCAGCGAAAGTGTGATTAAGATCGCATGGGGAAAAGGGAGAGGGGATTGATCCGTCTCCTGGGTCTTCGTACTTTCGCGGTCTATAAGGATCTCGGTGCCATTGCCGTATGCGCGCATTAATACCGCATCATTGTCTACCTGCTCATCGGTCAAGCCTTCCTTGCGGTTGATGATTTTCAGGAGCTATATCATTCCAGTCAGCCAGGGCCGGGGCGTTGGAGGGCTGCGGGGAGACACACAGTGTTGGTGATGCCATCGGTGAAGCGCACGAACTCGATCTTGTTCTCCGGGCCCTCCCAGTCGGGGAAGAGGGTGAGGATCAGCCGAAGGGCGGATGCCTGGGAGTCTGCGGGGCTGTAGGAGAGGGGGATGTATCGCAGGTTTGGCGTGGCAGCCTGATTCTCGGAGGAGCCCATGGTGGGGGTTGGAATAGGGGTGGGAGGATTGGATGGAAGAAAAAGTTGGGTGTCACGGTCTCGGAGTAGAGTGCTGCTTTTTAAAATCAAGCACTGAGTGATTGTGCCTGGGTCTGTTAGTGGAAACCTGAGACAGGGTCCTATTTCTGGAGGCTCGACAATTTATCTTGGGTAGCAGTTGGAGAGCGGGAGATCTGCAAAAGATGTTGAAGGATGAAATGATTGAGAAGTTTTCTTTATGTTTAAATTTTCCTTAGAAGGAAAGAGGTCGCATGGGGTAAATAATTTGTTTAAGGCTGCAGTCTGGGTTGTTGTTCAGGCTAAAGTTTGAAGGCGAAGAATGAGACAGGGGAATGATTATGATTTGGTCTCGTGCTCCTGGCCCATGATTGGAAGAGTGAATGCCACAATTTGAAGGGACATCCATGGGCGAAGTATAACGCTAAGTACAAGGCAAAACCAAACATGGGATGATTTATCATAAACTTTGAATTAGATTGATATGGATATATACAAATCAATGTGTTTAGTACTGGACTAATGAAGTACACTATTTACCGGGACATCCATAGCAAACGATAAATCGCATCGGCAGAATCTCTTCAAGGGCGGGACTCTTTCACATGTAAGACAAAGACAGGGGTCACATGGACCCACTTTGCCCTTTAAATCGGGCCCTACACTCCAAATTGGGATTAGTACAAATCCGAGAAAGTGTTACCTAATTTGATACCTCATTTTTAAGGCGATAGAAACATTTTTTCCCTCGCTTACCACTAGCGCAGACGGAACGGCAAAACCATTAATACAGATCCAATCAGGACTAGCGTTGAATAGATTTTCATTGGTATAAATCGCGGTGATCCCCCCCGCCCAGGAAGGTTTTTCTTTTCTTTCCACATCATCAGTAGAGGTTTTACATAACAATGTAAAATTTTTATAACCAGGGCTCCATACGTGGCTTGCTGAGGGTTGTCTTGTGGTTTATACACGCATAGGCTTTCTTCCGTTCCCGGCTCTGCAGAGTAATGGTCTCCCTTTATCCCAAACAATTATGGCTGGGCTAGGGTTCCCTCACGGGAGCTCCATGCGCTTATGCTGTGGAGGGGGCACGACATTCCATTTTCAACACCATTTTTTGTTAAGATTCTATTTAGATTTGACTTGTAGAATCTTGACCTTGAATTTGGTAGTCATAAGAAGCTTCAGCTGTCTGGCGTTGTCGCAGTGGGCTTGTGGACCTAAGATTGTTTCCTCGCTGGAACGTCAACGTCTTTGAAGCCGAAATGCTCCACAGGCGATTGCAATTTCATGTTTCTACCGAGCATGGATTACTCTTAATGGTCCATGGTCGCGCTGTCACCACACTGAGTCCCTGTCAAGCCTTCTCAAACCTTAAAATGCCACCAACTGCTAAAGTAGGGAATGGTGTATATGCTGTACTCGGTACTCCGTATAAAGCATCACTGGCTCCTATTCTGATATCTCGTTTCGGTTCAATTGCCCAAGAATATCTTTTGATCATAGGCAGCTGCTAGCTGCCAGGTCATCATCACCAGCTTTGCTCCGGCATTGCATTCAAGTCATAAACATATAATTCATTTTTTAAGATATTCTATATAACCGCTTCTTCACGCCCGTCCTGCATTGCCAATCTGAATGCGCTCTCCAGTCCACTTGTCATCGCTGCGCAATACTGGCCAGCTGGTACCGTCGGCCTTGACCAGTGTCAGCTCCAGCTTAGTGCCCAGCACACGGAAGCTCGATTTCTCCGCATCGATTGGCGCAAAGAGGTTGTAGGTATCCTGGAAGCGCTTGTTATCGGAGGTGGGGAGGTCGAAGGTGATAGAGTTCTCCGCGAGCTTAACGCTGGCACGCTCCTTGTCGATCTTCTTCAGGTAGAGCGAAACGTTCACGGAGGTGGCGGTCTGGTAGAAATCGTTCCTGCAAGTAAAAGCGCCAGATGAGTATTATGCCGCGGGGTCGTGTTGCTCTATTGTTTGGATACTTACCGAACGGTTTCCACCTTCTCCTCGCCTTCAGGCTTGGGCTTGCCTACAAACATGTGTCTTGTTTTCTCTGTGCAGCCGGGGATCTTCAAGAATTGGTCGAACTCAAGTACTCGGCGCTTGCAGCAGGTCCATCCTTTGCTGCCCTCGTGGAAAATCGGCTGGCCAGGGTGGTGCACGCATTTCTCGTCATCTCGCGCCGCGGACCCGGTGTATGTAGTGCCACAGCCTCTCCGACGGCACGTCGCGTTGGCAGGAATCTCCAAGGACGGGTCATCCGAGTCGGGCTCTGCTGGCGGGGCAGCTTGGGTTGTAGGCGGCGCAATGGCGGTGATGGCGGGGCGCTCGGGCAGCTTCACTTCGACGGGGGCAGGAGCAGGAGCAGGAGGTTCCTCGGTGACCTTGGGAGGCTCGGGAGCGGGCGTGTCATCGACAGTTGAGTGCTTGCCTGTGGTGCATGGTGGGATCGCAAGGAATTCCTCAAAAGTCAAGACGCGGGGTTTGCAGCATTTCCAGCCTGGGCAAGGTTAGTTTAGCTCATAGAAACAGATGATCTTCCATTGGGTGGGTAAAATCAAGACGAAAGAATCAAATCAATGTGTAATAGCTTGAGCCCCAAGGTACTTACCTTTCTGGCCTTCGTGGAACACTGGAGGGCCCGGATGGTACACGCAGGCTTCCTCCGGATCGGAGAAGGTCTTCCCACATCCTTTGTGGACGCACTTTTCCGCCATTGTATATTGAGAATCGCGTAAATTATATGAAGGGGATTGAGAGGACTGTTCAGGTGTAGAGAGATATTGCAGAAGCTCAGGATTGCCAATTTGCAACAGATTGGCGCAGGTTACCCAAATCGGTTTAGCCCCGCGAAGCTCGAAGGTTCCATCGCGGAGAAATGACTTACCGCTCGCTATCGGTGATTCGCGATAACCCATACAAATCTCCGCTGAAAACAACATTTGTTTTTATATTTTTGTACAACTCCAATTGGCATTCTTTCTTCCACATATAGCCATGCTTCCTACTCGCACCCTCTTTAATCAAGCTCGCTTGACCCTTTTCACCCGAGCTGGTTGCGGGCTGTGCGACACGGCAAAACATACGGTGGTTCAACTGCAGAAACGTCGGCCTTTCGAATACGTGGAGGAAGACATTCAGGAACCCGGAAATAAGGCATGGAAGGATGTCTATGATTACGACGTGCCTGTTCTCCATGTGCAATCAGTGAACAATGGACTGCCAAAGGAGGCCGAACTCTCCGATGCACGGAAACTATTCCATCGATGGACCGAGCAGGAAGTTGAAAAGTTGGTGGATGAGGCAGAGAAATGAGAAATGAGAAATGGTTGGAACCTGTTCCAGAACTTATCAACTCGGGTTATAACGCTGGATCGTTGTAATGGATTCAAAGGGACTAAGCTGAGGCTGTTGAATATCCACCCCTTCCAACGGATCTCTAAGCCTGATATGAAGGACATTGAAATGGGTTTGAGCGCCATGGGAACTATCTTCACAGGAAGAAGTAGGCCTGCGTTATCAGTTTCAGCTGGATATAATCAAGGGACAGACCTTGCATGAAGATGGAACTCATCCAGTGCCCGATCACTGGATATCGCCCGGTGGCCGGCCATTCATTACGGTTGACTACATCGGCCATGTTGACAAGTCCCCTAAGTTACTTGTTTAAGTTCCCCTGGCTAATTTTTTATTTTATTGTACTCTAATACTACACCCAATCACTTGTGCATCTACATACCTCTGCTGTGGTGACCCTATGCCTGCCAATTCTTGGAAAGTATATGTAGATACGTACTGAAGTATCACTAAGTGCTACCTTTTGTAGAGCGTGCTGCTAAGTGAGGTAGTATGAGTATTCTTTTTATTTTCTGTCACTTTATCAAATCTAGGGGTCTCAACTTGTACAAGGGCGAGTAGGGGCTCTGTTGCTAAAGCCGGGGCATAGTAGGTGATGGTTAAGGACAAAGTGCCAAAGGCGGTCAGTCCCCCTAGCCCCTGTGAACATGGTAGATCCCGGGCGTTGCTTGGCCAAAAACAAGGGCTGCGGGTGCGGGTGCTGGGGGCGCTTTCACCAAACGAGTCCGCGCGTCCGCGACATTTCTTCACCGCATAACTCTAGCTTTGTTATTTTTTAACAAATCAGCACCTTTCCATTACGGTACTTTTTTCTGCTTTTAATTTCCCATATTTGCTACTTCAGATCAGTAGTCTGGAATTCAATTCTACCAAAAGGGGGTTTGAAAGCTCATGCCAACCATGGAGGAGCCGCCGGTGTATGAGGATTCAGAAGAAGCCTTGCCTCAGCATGATGAAACCTCATCCTTGGTATGCATATCGTGCAGATTGAGACATCGTGGATATGACAGTGTCAAACCAATTGAGTCCTCTGGGGTCTGAAAATGGCATTGCAACGTGGCTGCTTCCGCGAGACTTGTACCAATGTTTTATATAACAAATGATTGAGCGTTCTCTAGCCCTGGATTTCGGTATGGTGTACCAGGATATAGACGCCGTCTTCAATACGACCCTTGCCTCGGATGCTTGGGCTGGTGGAATCCCTGGGTTAGCAGAAGATCAGGTCACTAAATCCTTTATTTCCAGAAATTTCTTTGCATTGTACACCTTCTACGTCGCAATTGACGAAATGGTGGATTTTGAGGAGTATCCACGTCTCTCTAACGGCCAATGTACCCTTGAAAAAATCCAGGAAGCTGATTTGAAGGAGCTCATGGACATGGAAGATCAGCTCAACAGCCGGTACGAATCACTCCCCACCGCTCAAGACAGAATTCAGCCCAATAAGTTCAGCGACTTGGTTGAAAATCTGCGCATTACGCTCCTCATGCGATGCCTCTCTTTCGTATTCGCCTCTACCGGGACTCTTGATTCTCGGTGTTGCTCTTTCCACAAAATGCCCCTGTGATTCAGTGCAACAATATCATACGGGCCATGAGAGAAATCGCCTATCCGGTTTGGTAATCGTTCAAAATGCTTTTCAGAAATGCATGGGCATCATCACACATCTGGCCAACTTACCTTGGAGATACCAGGATTGTCCTCCCACAATGTCGGCTTGAGTAAGCCGAAATGGCACAAGCTTTATGCTAGACTTAGGATCGATCCTCCAGGACCTTTTAGCTCTCCTGACAGCTCTAGGTTGCCTTGCTGGTTTGAGTGTCTGCCAGAAGACCTGATACTCTGATCTCATGATACTTGAAGCTCTGAACCTATGACCCCCTGCTTGATGCCCTGCTTGATGCCCTGCCTGATCCCTGCCCCCTTCTTGCCTGAACTTCCTTTTTATCTCTTACTTTGTTGTTTGATACCTGTTCCCTCGCCTGCACTCAGTTTGTTTGCCCATAGCAAATGTTGGTTCTTTTTCGGGCTTCATTGATTATCCAATTTTGTGTGCAGAGCTAAGAAAATGGACATACGCGATGACCAAGAAATAAAACTATTCAACTCTTTGACCAAATTTTGGGTTCTATCTGGCCTGCGTCCGCAGTGAGAAGCTTAGGTGCAAGGGCTCCACGGCGTGCCACAACAACTCCTAATGTAGTGTACATACTAGTACCTAACCTGTTTCATTATTTTATGATTGCTTCTGGTGATGTTTGATGCTTGGAGATCTATGCCATGAGCTGGAAGTGTCTTGATACCCCACTTACGCGCAGTGATCATCATTCACTAGTATGTCAAATAGAACGAATACGAGCCCCACAGGGGATATTGTTTTATCCTTGGCAGTTCCAGTTTTAATATACGCTGAGCCACGCAATGTGGCGAGATGAACTCCCGAAGCCTTGGCACATTCAAACTCGTGGCCTGTGGAGACGCCAAGAATCCGCTGCTGTGTCTTTTCCTCGTTATTGGGTGGAGATAACTCTCCGATCAGCATTCTGCAACCCCTTCAAGTGTAGTCTCCCACATCCCTGACAAAGCAAATTATTTACTGCAAGTCGAACACCCGTTTATAAGGCTGGCGTTGAAGGTTGGGAGGATTCAAGCTTTTGATACAAAGGCCGATTCCCATCCTGGTATACTGATCAATCTCCCTTTTCAGTCTGCTGATGTCCGGCGATAATCTTGATCCTTGGATCTAAAGCTGGAACGGTATCCATACTATCTGGGCATTACGAATGCCATATATCCGCATGTCGTAATGCAGAGGCCCCGCGATGACACTGAGCCAATCGGATGTATTCAAAACTTTTTTTATTGGAAGTATGGAGTATAGCGCTGCTAAATACTTGATCTGATTAATCTTGACACCGAGAGCCCTGGATAAACGTCCTTTCTCCTAATTATGTTCCACCCAAACAAAACACCACCAGGACGATGTTCTTCTCTCGTATATGGCCATGGCGGCAACATTTTGGAAAGTCCGCGATCATATCTTGGCTCTTTGTCTTCGTTGCTTTAATTACAGCGCTTCGGTTCCTCGCCCTTCCAAACCTCCAGCGTCTACACCTTCAAGTAGGCGTTTCATTATTCGACGACGGATTTTACGGATTCTACCCAACTCGCAAATATGTTTCGTTTGACTACGAGTCTCCAGCTGTGGAACTGGCTACATGGAGTCCCAAGTGCAGTGAAGACTATACTTTTATGGCGCCACATGGGAACGCTGTCAACAATCCGGGCGCTATGATCCTAGATTCCCGTGGCAATCTCGTCTGGATGATGAAGCCGAGGCCTGATAAAATACAGGACTTTCGTGTACAGCAATACCTGGGAGAACAGTACCTGACTTACTGGCACGGAGCAGCGGACAATGGGCACGGTCGTGGTGCCTGGTCTATGGTAGGCGGTTCATTGGTACAAGTCATATATTTCGGACTCTAAATTCTTACAGATAGATTCAACTTACACACATTGCTTCGAGGTAAAAGCCGTCGGCAACCATGATGGCGATATGCACGACTTCCAGGTTACCAAGAATGGAACCGCCATGGTAATCGTCTATGACGTCCAGCCCACCAACCTGAGCGAGCTTGGAGGCCCCGAATACGGCTACTTCTCCGAATGTCTCTTTCAGGAGATTGAAATCGCGACTGGTAATCTGATTTTCGAATGGAGAATGTCAGACCACGTCCCTTTAAACGCTTCATACGAGGAACTGAAAGACAGAGGCTGGTCAGCCAGCGACGCCTATGACGTCTTTCACATGAACAGCATCGACAAAGATAGTGCAGGCAACTATCTTGTTTCCGCACGTCACACACACTCGATCATTTGTATCGATGGGAAGACCGGGGAGATTCTCTGGACGCTAGGCGGGAAGCTAAACGATTTCGTCGATGCATCGGAAGGACAAGCGACGAACTTCTGCTGGCAGCACGATGCGCGATGGCGTGGAGAGCGTACATTGAGTCTTTTCGATAACACCGCCGAGCAGTTCACGGATGAACCGACAGAGAGTCGAGGAATAATTCTCGATCTCGACACCGAAAATCGAATCGCAAGTCTCCGCTCAGAGTATTACCATCCTGAAGGGATTCGTGCGACCTCTCAAGGCAACATGCAGGTTCTGACCGACACGGGCAATGTCTTGGTGGCCTGGGGCCACTGCGCGGCGTTTACAGAATTCTCAAGCGACGGGGAGATGCTTTGCGACACACATTTTGCACCTTCCAATTGGTTCCAACTTGGTCAGGCTGTTTCGTACCGCATCGCCAAGGGAAGCTGGGTCGGCCAACCGAACACGAACCCGACGGGCGTCGTGGCTGGCTCTTCGGTGTTTGTGAGTTGGAATGGCGCCACAGAAGTTGCTGCATGGAGAATTGAGCTATGGGATGGCGTGAATATGAAGGATATGAAGTTCCACCCGCAGAATATGATTGAGAAAGAGGGGTTCGAGACGGAGATCAAACTCCCGTCCAACCTACCGCATGTTTACTTCCGGGTCGCTGCCTTGGATGATCGGGGTCAACTTCTTGGTGCGACTGATACACTGGCTGGCCAGAAAACCCACCATTCTTCTCTTTCTCTCTCTCCCGGTGTTGTAGCTTCCAGTATCATGATTGCATGCTGTGCGCTGCTGGGAGTGTACTGGGTATGGAAGAGATACACGCATCAGAAGTCTCTGGTATCAGACTATAAGCCTGTTCCGCTCGACAGTGAGATCAGTGAGTATAATGAAGATGCTCAATCATTCGTACGAGCTTCTTCATTTTCTGGAGATCCTCCGATATTACGGACTCCATCCTGAGCTGCAAAGTTTCGTCCTTCTTTTTTCAATTTTCCTATTTTTCGATCACATGTTCATAATTGATACCATTATTCCCAACAAACTGTTATGAAATATAATTCACCCTGATGAAGTGATAGAAAATGGTACAATTTACCACTCCCGGTCGGACCCACTCGGCTTCATTCATGGCTGCGGCTTTAGCGTTAATTCCGAAATTCTATTTCAACGCCAGGCTCAGCCTCTTTCTAACTTCTGAGACTGCACTCAGTGACTACATAAAGTCAAAGAATATCCAATCCGACATGACGGAAGCTCCATCCACACAAGATGCTGCGTCGAAGCGACGCCTGCAGAACCGCCTCAATCAGCGGGCCAGCCGTGCGTGACCCTTCATTTTTGCCACGTTTCATTAGAGAGCTCCTCTAATACGTAACTTATAGGAGAGAGAAAAGCCTTCAAGGCAGGGAAACAAAACCAAAAAGCGCGATGGATCATTTATACCGACGAAATCAAGGCTCATATGGAAGGAGAATTGGCCAAACACGACCAGACACCGACCTCAGCAAATTTCACATATAACTCTAATCACACAACAAACTGTACTTCGCTCGAATCATCTCGTGATCGGAAACGCAATTTTCTCACACAATTACAAAACCGAGTTGCTTCACTAGCAGCAGCCAATCAGCTCCACCAGATCACTCTCCTCGCCCCAGTCACCAACCTGAACACCATTAATGCAATAATCTTCAATGCCTCAATCATGGATCTAACCCCGGAGCTCCTGGAAGAAGATATCGTCTCGCCATTCAACATCGCCGGACCAATGACATTACATCTCCCACCAAGCTTACAGCCCACTTCTACCCAAAGGGAGATTATCCATCATCCCTGGATTGATCTGATGCCTATACAGTCTTTGAGAGAAATTCTGTTGAAGAACCTGTATAGCTATGACGAAGATGAGCTCTGCGGTGATCTCCACGGACAGCTTGGGGCATCAGATAAGATTGGATTGATCCTCTGGGGCGATCCATGGGATCCGGCCGCTTATGAGATTTCAGAGGCTGTTTTTAAGAAGTGGAGTTGGCTGATAGAGAAGTGCCCGGAAATTATAAGGACTTCAAATCATTGGAGGAGGAAAAGGGGTGAAAAGCCTTTGAAAGTTGGACGAGCGGTTGGGTTTGTACATCCGGAAGAAGTTCAATAATGACTACATGCAGAAGTTAGATACGAAATTAATACTAATCTCCTCTTATTAGCTACTGTTTGTGTACTCCGAAATCAATTCCCCTGAGTTTGATTCATTAGTTCGTTTCACTTATAGTGAGGTACATTATTATAATAGAGGAAGAATAGTGGGAATATTAGTTATGCTAGGAACTACATATATGATACCGAGACTAGATATACATTTAGTCCAGATATTCTACATCCATATGTGTATGGATTGACTCAACTTATCACTTCCCACATATTTTCTACTTTACATGTATTTAAACCCTCCATTACTTGGGTACACAGCAGACTTTTAGGAGACTGCTGGAAACCCTCACCCGCTCTTCTTCTTCCTACCCTTACTCTTCCACTTTATTACCTAAAAATTTCGAGAGTAATTTGGATGTTCAATATGGGGGGAAAGATGGTAAGAGGATAGATAGGATACTAATTAGGAAATCAGGTGAGAGACTGGGTAGGAGACTGAGTAGGAGACTGGGTTGGTATGGGATATACGAGATATGAGTATGCTAATAGTATAAGCATTATATTAACCTAGGCAATGCGTGAACTTCGGCGGAAAGACTCTTCATTAGGGAATAGCGTTACGTCCACAGATGCGGCGTAACTGGAAGGTTCCGCTACGCTTCACAATATCGCATGTCACCCCCCAAAGGTCGTAAGAACCTCATCAGAAGACCGGACCACTGAATAATTTGCATCTGCAGCTTTGAATTGCCCGGGTTTATGTTACCTTACTTGGCAAATTTGCGAAGGAACTTGGTTGTTTCATGTTATTGGAGTGTGGGGTCAAACGACCCTCTCGGTTTGCTCCAGCGCGTGCATGTCTTCGCTAGATCTCTCTATCTCTTTCTCTTTCTCTCTTTCTCCCTCTCTCTCTCCCCTCCCTCCTTCTTGGAATATATACCTTATCTCCTTTCTTCTGGTTCCTGGCTATCAAGATGTTGTTCTTTTTTCCCCTGGACGACAGGCCGGCTGTCGACATGTCCATCACTTTATATAGCGATACTCAAGTGCTTGATCCTGATTTACTTGCTTAGGATCCTACTTTCTGGTCACCATCGTTGGCTCCAGATCGACCTTTCCAGTGTGTATCAGCAAAGTTGTACTCGTGAATTTCCAAACAAAGGCTAATATTCCTTTGACCAAGTAGTGCGCAGACATACCTGTTCCTCAGACTGCTAAGGATCTTCTTCAGGAGCCCCTTCCCGATTTGATCTTAGGAGCTAATCGAACCAACAAGAGCGCTTTGCATGCGATCAAGTTTGTTGGAAAGCTCCAGACATGGAAGGATTTCAAAAGAGAGGTTTTTCTGTTCCTCAGACTGCTTAGGAACTTCTTCAGGAGCCCTTACCCGATTTGGTCATAGGGGCTGATCGAACCAACACAAGCGCTTTGCATGCCATCGAGTTTGTTGGAAAGCTTCAGAAATGGAAGAATTTCAAAAGAGAGGTTTTTAAACGTTCAACTCCCACACGTGAAATTCAGATACCATCCGTTACAACCAAGCAGCAGGACCAAACCTACTCAATATGGAATTCACCCGACTGGGTGAAGAGGCTGGTCTGCAGGGCTAATTTTACGATCGAGTTGGTCATATATTTAATCAATACTATTGCTTTCGTTGAAAGACTTCATTGTATTTTCTCGGATCCCAAATTCTCAATTCCAAATGCGAAAGTTGTTTTCACTTCTTTTCTCCGATAAAGTATTCACCGCAGTCGATAGACCCTCGAATACTTCCCGGTCATTCTCCACAGCGATATGTGCACCCCCAGACCAGTGGCTGAGATCACTGACTTTGCGGCAGTTTTTCCATGCACGTGGCAATCCCCGGATGATTCGGATTTTGGTATCAGGAAAGCCGACCGGGGAACTCAACCCTGCACTATCCGTTCCTGAGTATGGCAAGGCCCGCGAGAACATCCCACCATTACCTTCTCCTTCCGTTCTTCTCACGCCAACGCCAACACTTTTATTCACAATTAACTAGGAGACATGTCGGCACTTTCGTCACAGCAGTTTTTACATCAATGCTTGTCGGTTCCAATGGCGGACTCGCCTGCAAGGTGAAGAGTTAGACCTTGCGTGCGCAACCAGCATCTACATCGGTCTTCGAGGTCCAGCCCGGACCTTCATTAATCGCCAACCTCATCCTGTGATTTCCACTTTCCAGAGAATCAAGACGTCGCTCGAGGATCAGTTTCCTTGGACGCCATCCAAACCCCCCTCAGTGTCATACATCATGGAGGGTATTGTTTCGTTGTCACGACGTGGCTGTTCCCTTGAGGAGTACATTGGTGATGTCCTCAATTTTAAAGAACATGAAACCATGGAGCGGCTGCAAATCTGAGGCGGCTTGCCTGGCATAGCTTGAAGTGGACGAAGAAGAGTTTTCGACTAGTGTAATTCTCAATCCGTCCGTCATCAGAGCGTGGTGCCATCGAGAATTCCCCTCTTCGACAACTATGATGAGGATGAGCTTTGTGGCAATTATTACGGCCAACTTGGGGCGTCGCATAATGTTGGCTTGATCTTCTGGGGCAATTCCATGTAAATTTAATACCTGTAATATCTGGGAAGACAATGTTTCATTTCACGAGGGGAGTAAATGGAGCAATTCCCATCATAATATTTCTGGCATAAATTGGATTCATTGCGTCTTAGTCTCTTAACTACTTTGTCTCGCTGTTCTACCACTTCCAGTTCGAAGTATCGTGATTCCAGTTAGGAGACAAGGGATGCTCATCATCAGGGACCCTCACAAGGCTAAATGCTACTAGATTCGCATTATTCCAGGGCCGCCTTGAATCTAGATAGATGTATTTGCGAACAGTTCTGTATCAACAAAGGAACTTCAGGAAGAAGACGAGAATACACTTACAGAGTCTGGGTTCTTCTATCCCAAACCAGGTTACGCGCAGAGCAGGGTGCAGGGAGGATTCGGATCTTTTGGAGTTTCCTAATTTTAATCTCTCTTAGTATCATGATGAGTTAATTTTGGAGAAGATGACTTACTCAAAATGGTGTTTGAAGATATCGCGGATCCGATCGCGCTTTTTCAATTCCTTGATGTTTTCCCAGAATCCAGTCGCAACCATGGATTCGTCACCCAGCCGCACCCCAGGTACGAATTCCCAGACAAAGTGGGTAATAAAGCCCTTGGGGACCACGTCGTCGCTAGTCTGCTTTTCTTCATTGAATTCAAGGAGCTTTGGAGTGAACTTTGATACCGATTGATTCCTGCTGATCCATTTGTATGCAGCGAGCTCCGGGTGCCGGAACGCCATGGCTTGCTTGGCTAGAGTTGCAGAATCTTCGAATTCCGTGCCGGTCCATGGGATCTGTACATAGATGCGCATCATAGCCTTGAAGCTGGGTTTGGCGTCATCATGGCAATATAGTCTGATTGAGACGAGAGATGGATTATCACTTCTAACATTTTCTTGATTCATGTGGTGAGTGCGGCAATTGATGATTTCCTTGATTCTCCAGCGAATCCGTTTGATTGTAATCTTGGCACCTGGTGTGAGACGGCGATCATGGAGTATTTTCCGGCCAATCCAGTCATTTTGGGATGACATTTTGACGTGGTGAGAATGTGAAAAGGAAAGGTGGTGAGAAGGGAAAGTGGAGCGAAGGAAAGGTGGTGAGAAGGAGGTAATCTTTTATGGTAGTTCAATGAAGTGAATTCAATGAAATGAATTTGGATATTAACTTTTGCTCCGACACCCTATTTGGCTCGACCCTGATCATGGACATACACATGGTACACGTGATATGGATCATGATAGATCAACCCCCGCGTCCTCTGCGGGGAAAAACCCATCCTTCTCCATGATTCAGCATTCCTCAAATCCTCCCTCGGCTTCAGAATTCGGCCCCCACATCACTGCAAGCTATCACACACGAACCATGGGATACCCACTCATTTTGTCTAAGCCAAATATGAAAATGCAACCTATCACATCGACTCTGGATTCAAGCAGAAGCAAGCTTTCCCAAAGCTGGCTCCACTTTTCAATGATTGGTGGTTTCTCCGCACGAACCAATTCCATTGGTTTTCTCCACTGTATCGACAGGATTTAATGGTTCAGGCGTTCTTTGTGGGGATGCAACACTATTCATTGGCTAACTATCCACGAATCAGCTGAAAAGTGGCTTTCCAAATGCGACTTGGCTGTCGATCAGTCAATTTACTCTCCACCTTATAAAGTATGGGGTCTCCCCGGAGCTCGGGCAAGTGGCGTGTTTCTCTGCTTCCCCAACTTCGCCGTCATGGGTCTCTTTGGAAAGGAGCTCCCTGATGATGAGATTCAGCGTGCGCCGGATCAGGATGTCGAGAAGACACTTCCAGCACAGCTGGAGAATGCACCAGTCCAACCTCCCGCCAAGTTTACCCCGACAGCCATTGATGCGGAGTTGGAGCGTCGGGTTGTGCGGAAACTGGATTTGCGAGTTCCGACTCTGATGGGATTTTTCTGTATGATGAGCTCTAATGAACTACCAAATCCCTTCCCTAACCTCTGGATCGCTAGATCTCCTCGCTTTCCTCGATCGAAGTAACATTGGGTTCGTCGCATGCCTCTTGAGATGAACATCGCCTGACAGTATTAGAAATGCGAAAATCGCCGGAATGTCCGAAGACCTCGACCTCACTGGTAACCGATACGCATGGCTCTTAACGATTTTCTACATCTCCTATACCGTCTTTGAATTCCAGGCTTTGATGTGGAAGATCGCTAAACCGCACCAATGGGCAAGTTTTGTCGTGTTCTCCTGGTATGTGTCTATTTCCACGTGGGAATCCCAAGGATTGCAGTTGCTTATATTGCCTGATACGCATAGGGGCTTAGTCGCAACCTGCCAAGCAGCGGCACAAAACTGGCAAGGAATGATGGCACTTCGATTCCTAATGGGCGCTTTCGAAGCCGGGTTCGGTCCCGGTGTACCATACCTGCTCTCATTTTTTTATCGTCGCCATGAACTCGGTCTGCGATGTGGTCTGTTCTTAGCTGCGGCTCCCCTGGCAAATACCTTCGCCGGTGCTCTGGCTTATGGAATTACATCAGGCCATTCTGCGCTAGCTAATTGGCGAGTGTTGTTCCTTGTCGAGGGTCTTCCTGTTTGTGCAGCAGCGATATTGGCTTGGTTCTTTGTTCCAGACTCGCCATCGTCTGCAAAGTTTCTCACGGACGAAGAGAAGGAGGTCGCCCGTGCGCGTGGTCTACAGCAGGCCGGTGAGGCCGATCGGGAGGGTAAGGTGCAATGGAAAGAGTTGGCCATGACGCTCTTGGACGCGAAGGCTTGGTTAACTGCCGTATGTGATAGATCATGAGTGTGGAAACAAGAAGTTGCTAATTTCGATCTACGCATCTTTAGTTCATGTACTTCAGCTGCAACGTCAGCTTTTCATCACTCCCCGTCTTCTTACCAACCATCCTTGAAGAAATGGGCTACTCGAAAGTCAACGCGCAGGGTCTCACTGCACCCCCCTTCTTTGCATCCTTTCTGGTCACAATCATCACTCCTTGGATAGCAGATCGGGTCCAGCAGCGTGGGTTGATGATCGCGGCGCTATCAACGATCGGCGGTGTGGGGTATATTCTCTGCGCCACCTGCACCACAGTGGGCGTGCGATACTTCGGAGTATTTCTGGCCGCCTGTGGAGTATTCCCGGCGATCGCAAATATTCTCCCATGGGTTTTGAGTCAGTCATGGAATCGATTTATAATGCCGTTGATCGTAAGCTAACTCTTGCTCTGCTACCAGATAATCAAGGATCTGATACCCGTCGTGGAGGCGGTATCATCTTGCTCAATCTTATCGGTCAGTGTGGTCCTTTCTTGGGTACCAATGTCTTTCCGGATAGTGAAGCACCGCGGTATATTAAGGGCATGTCCATTTGTGCTGCGTTTATGATCTTCACTACCTTCCTTGCTTTGCTTCTGCGGTGCTTGTTGGTGTGGGAAAATAAGCGCCTTGATAAGAAGTACGGGCCGAGGATCGATGTAGATGAGGCCAAGGGTGAGATCGCTGTGGCGGAAGACAATTACGGTGCGAGTTTCCGATACATGCTGTGAATTTACGTTTGACTTGGTTTTACTGGTCAAAATTTCAGTCTTGAGCTCCATGAATGTGTTACTATATACTAGTTTTTCGAAACCTAGGGTACTCGTAATATTAGGCTCAAAGGCTATGAATGAAACAAGTTGGTGAAGATTGCCTCTTTACGGCTTCTTCTTCCTTGAAACATCCATTGCATGATTTATGATCCGCTGATAGGGTCTTGGAAAAGAGAACACTGAGCCGCATGAGTCGTGTGAACTGTGAGCCCGTTCAATTTCAATCTTACCTCTCGGAGAAGGTCAGCTCCGAAAGTGGGACATTAATGCATCTCTATGGGTAACTTATACATTTCGCTCTAAAAGCCCCACAAACGCAGGCTGTAGTGATAAGACGAGGGACTGAATGCTCTCGAGGTAAGAATTTTGCTGAAATAATGTGATCTGATGTAAGATAATAAGTGTTTATGTCGATTTTTTAAAGTCCTTGTATATAATGCTTGGCATTGATGATGGATGTATTGGGCCTTTTATTTTCCAAGCCAATAATATTGTACCTGTCACCAAGTCTCACAAGCTCCATAGCAGCCGAAATGTGTCCGTGTGGTCTGCTATGTCGAAATTGAGGTCGCGGAGGTGTAGCCATTGAACCATCGCTTCAATACTACGTATCGAGTTAACGTACTCCATCTCCTCTAGAATCACTTTCATTCTTGAGACTCTAGGAAATCGCAGTCGAACATGGCCGAGAAGACTTGTGATTCGGCGCAATAATGGGGTTTGGAGATTGTGTATTCGTGATCGTCAGGCTTAATTCGAATTTTGATATGCGGTCACTGGTAGAGAATAAGAATTCTAGGGAATGAGGGATTAAGTCAGCTCCTTTCCAGTGACGAGTCATGGTAAGTTACTCACTTTGTTATGAAATCTCGAGCACTTGCTTTAGATGCCCCAGTCATTGTTTTCTGATTGTCCTATAAACTACGAATCTGTAATAGAATTTGTTAGCCAGGGTAAGATAGAAAGGAATGAATGTCGCAAGTTTTTGATTCCGAGAGGCATGATAAGAAGATGGAGGAAGAGAAATAATGTCGATACAAGGGTCACCAGACTCTGTACTCAACAGGCCCAACAGTTGAAGACGAAAACACGATATTCACTATGCACCCAATTAAATGTCAAGTAAATGTCATGAACCTGGTCTATTAGCAGAAATTAGGTGTATGAATCCATGGTGGCTGAGAGATGTAGCTCTACGTTATAATTCTCCTCTTCCGTCTCTTCCGTCTCTCCTGTTTCTATAATTGATATTTTACCCACCCAGGAGAGTTAGATACTTCAAGAATATCCTTTAGAGCCCCCATAGAAACCCTGAAAATAATCTGGAAATGCCTATCATGAAATACCGACAACGTCAACCTGAAAGAGAGAGAAGATCTAGAATCAATTTGCTTCAAAGGCTCAAAGGAGACTGCTCTGCATAATGGACTTGCATTTTAATTTGTCACAACGGCTACAACCGGGACTCAACGTAACATATGCACTAATAATTCGGAAATTAAAAAAGGGTCCAGAACGGTGATAGGCACTGGCACAGAAAGACTGGAACTTTGTACATGTTGTAGTCGGACCAGAGTCCCCCGATCTCCACTTATTTGCGTCGAGAAGTAAGTTTGGGATCGTCGCGGAAGGTTAATTTGAATTCGAAAAATTATCGTGTGACTGCAGTTCTCATAACAAGACTTGTCTGTTATTTTGTTCTTTCTAATTGTTTTATTTTGTTGCTGAAAATGAATAAATAGTATAGTCCGAATTGCTGTTATACAACACCACATGTGCATGGTAACATGACAACAAGGCTCCTAAGTCAGCAAAGCATAAACGTCATTATGCGATCAAGATCAGCATACCCCTCCCTAATTCGCATCTCACCGGCTGGAGATCCCCGGTGAACGGATAGTTTCGGAGAATATGACAACATCGTTTTACAAGCTTGTTGGGATGGCGGGGTGCTTATGCATATATAAGATCGCTGCCCCTCACCTTTTACGGATTTTTCTTCTTCTTCTTCATTCAACCCAATCAGCTTTGCAATATCCAAGAAATTGAACGAGATCAATCTGTAACTATGAGATCTTTGATCCCGGTCTGCCTGAGCTAACTCTTAGTTCAGATCCTCACAAGTACATACTGCCCCCGCAATCTTGTGGGAAGCCATGGCTCTGCTTTGGCTGGGCACATTATCCCTTGGGGATCAAGGTATCTCAGGTAACTTCTGGGCGTTGTGCCGGTGTTCGTTCCTGCGTTGTTGGCATTTCTTCTCATCTCTCCCAAGATAAATATCTACGAGTGGAAAAGAGTGTGAATGGCGCGGGTTCGTTCTGAGAATATACGGTCAAAACTTGATCTGGATAATACCAGCGAAAGGATCATGCCTTCCCCTTCTCTCCCTTTCTTATATAGCAAACTAACAAAGGTCCCAAGTCACCCCGACTTGATCCCTAACCCACAATGTCTCCCCCCGCTGCTATCTTCGAGCCTGCTGTCGCCCCTACTGGCATCAAGAGCAAGGTTTTCGTCCCTGAGACGACTACTACCACCTTGACCGGTCAGGGCCAAAGCAAGCTTCTAGACCAGTTCGGTGGCAAGTGGGATGAGTTCAAGTTCGCCCCTATCCGCGAGAGCCAGGTATCTCGTGCCATGACCCGCCGCTACTTCCAGGATCTGGACAATTACGCCGAGAGCGACGTTGTCATCGTCGGCGCTGGTTCCTGCGGTCTGAGCTCCGCCTATGTGCTGGCCAAAGCCCGCCCAGACCTGAAGATTGCCATTGTTGAGGCTTCCGTGTCTCCTGGTGAGAGCCAAGCCCGCGATTTACCAACACCGAATAATATACTAACCATTTACCAGGTGGTGGTGCCTGGCTTGGTGGCCAGCTCTTCTCCGCCATGGTTCTCCGTCGCCCAGCCGATGCTTTCTTGACAGAGCTCGGCGTCCCCTTCGAGGAGGAGCCCAACAACCCGAACTTCGTGGTAGTCAAGCACGCCGCCTTGTTCACCTCTACTCTTCTCTCGAAGGTTTTGTCCTTCCCGAACGTCAAGCTCTTCAACGCTACCTGCGTCGAGGACCTTATCACCCGACCTGATGGTGACAAGATTCGTATGGCTGGTGTGGTGGTTAACTGGACCTTGGTCACTCTTCACCACGATGACCACTCCTGCATGGACCCCAACACCATCAACGCCCCTATCATCATCAGTACTACTGGTCACGATGGCCCATTCGGTGCCTTCTGTGCTAAGCGCCTTGTCTCCATGAACTCCATCGACAAGCTCGGTGGTATGCGTGGTCTTGACATGAATCTTGCTGAGGATGCCATTGTCAAGAACACTCGTGAGGTTACCAAGGGGCTTATCATTGGTGGTATGGAGCTGTCGGAGATCGACGGCTTCAACCGCATGGGTCCGACGTTTGGTGCTATGGCCATGTCTGGTGTTAAGGCTGCCGAGGAGGCGCTGCGTGTCTTTGACGAGCGCAAGCGTGAGTGTGCTGAGTAAATTGGGACTTTCTATCTATGTCCCTAGTGGAGGTTTAGCCATGCTACTAGGTAGCTGTTTGCTGGCAGTCGTTTTGAGAATGCGCTCCACACTCGTTTTACGTGATAATGCAATATAATCGTTTTGTGCGATCAGAATTTCAAGTCAACATAGTTTATAACACTGACATGTTCAACGTAGACATTATATATTATTTTCAGCTAATAAGACATGCATATAATAATTTACAAAAGGGGTTGTTGTCGACCAAAAAAATGTGCAGCGATGTTTTGAATGAAGAACGTGACTCAAGCTCTTTTCTCTGAACCCCCGGCACTAGAAACAGGCCGTTTTTCAGCAGCCACAACCAGATCCTTTGCAGTCTGGACTTCCCACTCGAATTCTTTCAGCGCACGTAGTTCGCTCGACATGAAGAGTCCACCAATCAAGCCATCCAGAATACCAGCGCCGAAGTTTAATGTGCTGACCAGGACAAGAATAAAGCCGATATACGTGCGGCTACCCACCCACCATACACCCACCATGCATCCAATAGAGATCACGATCGACAGGATGAAATGCGCGAGACGCCAGCGACGCTGTGATCGTTCTCGCTGCACGTAAGTGTGGATCATCTCGATGATGTGGTCATAAGTGTCTGGGGAAAGGGCGGCATTGGGAGAGACTTGTTTGGACGCTGTTGTGTGGAGAGAAGGAGTGCTCTGTGATTGAAGTCGTTCAACTGGAGCTTGAGCTCCGGATTCGATAGTAGCAGCACCAGAAGAGCGAGTGATGACCGCCTCAACGGCAAAATGGTCACTCAGAGAGCAGCGGAGGGTCGGGTGGCGCTCAGTCATGCTGACCTTTGCCGATTCAACGCACCAACGGGGGGCAGGGAACTCAGGGGGATATCCTCCATCACCAACGAAGATATAGTCTAGACGCTTCGCGCGAGGGTCGGCATCGTCCTTGTCAACGATGATCTCCTCGCCCTTGTCAAGTCGTTTCTGGCGATCTTTGGACCAGCGCCAGGTATTGAAAGCACCGTCGCACGTAGCACCGTTCTCAAGCAGGTTGAACTCTGCAGATGGAATTGGACGTTTCCTAGCTTGCTCAACAGGGTTGATTGCGGCGCCGAGGGAGGAATCCGGGTGCAATTCGCGCCAAACGTCACGAACGGGGCTCTGAGCGCTAATCAATCGGTGTGCAAAGGAAGAAGGCAGCATGTTAAAGTCGCCCAGCCCAATTACCAGATGCCCTCGCTCTGCAGCACCCCGCATAAGCTTAGAGATCTCCCACGCTTGCGCTGTGCGATGACAGAGATACGAATCGTGAGGTTCTCGCTCATAGGGGGCGTGCAGATGAGTGCAAAACACCTCTGCGACATCTGCTGCGCCCGGTCCGAATCGTACTCTGGCACAGGCTACACCTTTGCCCACGAACCAATCGCCACGGAAGAAGGCTGTTGGCCGCCCGTTCAGCGGGTATCCATACATGCTGCTCTCTTCGATTGGCCACTTTGACAGAATCGCCAACCCCGCACCGAATATACCTCCGTAATAGAATTTTCCATAGGGTAGGATGTGTCGCGTTTGATCACGGATGCTCTCGTAGTCTTGCTGTGTCCAGCATTCCTGCAGACCGACGATCTCGGGGGGTGGACTGGCCAGAGCCAGCTGTCGACCGATCTCGGAAAGTCGTTCATGGCGGTAGGTGGCAAGGTATTTGAGACCCCAGCAATTGAGGGTCAGTATTCGGATGTGAGTAGGAGGCTCACTCGGAATAATTGAGGTAGCCATTTGGACGAGACTGGCCTGATGTTGACCAAAAGTAACTAAAAGTGGAGTGTCGATCAGTTGGTGATGATGAAAGTTGGGGAACTCACCGCCTTCGAAACGCGCCTTTTTGCATTTTCGCGGGTTGTCGCATCCGAATCGCGTTTGACGTTAGCCATCGTCCCGGATCGGGCTCAATTGTCATGGATACTTATTCCAAATCTCGCCGGCGGGAGACCCGTAATTCTCCCGTCGAATCGTCTTCAGACGAATTAGCGGCAGCTTCAGATCATGAGCAAGCTGATCGTCGACGAACAAGCTGGGGCGTACATAAGAATTTCACCCCGCAACGCCCAACCCATGACCGTCACATGAGAGAGACAGAGAGTCCAGATGAATTGGCCGTCGACGCTGAAGAATACTGGCGCACTTCTCGCAACCGCCGAAGCCCCTCGCCCATCAACCGCCCCACCGACATGAGCAGCAACGCTGAACGCCTTTCGGAAGATCGATTGAGTACCGCGGACGAAGATAACAATCCTATTCGTGACAACATTTCTGAGCGCTCCTCCACCCCCGTTGCTTCTGTTCCGGCTCTACCTCCCAAGCCTAAGCGCCTGAACTATCGTGAGAAGTTCGTCCTCCAAGGCCACCTGCGGGGCGTGTCTGCTGTTCAATTCTCTCCAGACTGTTCGATGATCGCGAGTGCTGGTAGGTGATATTGAGGTTCAAGCTTTCAGCCAATTCACTCACCTATGTTCATTACAGGTGCCGACGCAGCAATCAAGGTCTGGGATACATTAACTGGCAGATTGATTTACACCTTCGAGGGTCACCTCGCGGGCATTTCTACGCTTACCTGGAGTCCTGATGGCCAATGGATCGCCTCTGGATCCGATGACAAGACCATCCGGTTTTGGAACGTGAATACCGTACGCGACCTAGCCAGTTCCCTCAAAACTCAAAACTGACTTGTTACTACAGGGCCGAGCTCACACCAAGACCTTCGTCGGACACCACAACTATGTCTACCAAATCGCATTCGCACCCAAGGGAAACATTCTCGTGAGCGGTTCCTACGATGAAGCCGTGTTTTTGTGGGATGTGCGCCGAGCGCGCGTTATGAGATCTCTCCCTGCCCATTCCGACCCCGTCGCTGGTATTGATGTCGTTCACGACGGTACACTAATTGTGTCCTGCGCATTGGATGGTCTTGTTCGCATCTGGGATACACACAGCGGCCAGTGTCTCCGAACTCTTGTGTTCGAGGACCAGCCGCCTGCCACCTGCGTCAAATTCTCGCCGAATGGCAAGTACGTTCTGGCGTGGACTCTGGATGGCTGCATCCGTATGTGGAATTATGTTGAGAGCCGAGTCGTCAAAACATTCCAGGGTCATGTCAACAAGAAACATAGTCTGTCCGGGTGCTTTGGTCGGTACGGCCCGCAGGATATCCAGTACTCCCCACCGTTGTGCTTTGCCGTCAGCGGCAGTGAGGACGGTGCTATCATATGCTGGGACCTGACTAGCAAAAACATCCTCCAGCGCATTGAGGGTCACACTGATGTTGTTCTCTGCGTTCACTCGGGCAGTTTGAACGGCAAGCGTCTCCTCGTGAGTTGCGGGTTAGACAAAACAGTCCGTGTATGGGAAGAGGTTCCCGAAGAGGGAGATTCCAATGGAGTCTCTGACGATGCCATTAGTTTGCCCAACGGCGTTTCTGTTGCTGACGAGGATGGCGACAACGCGATGACGGACGCTCCAGGGCCTTCTGCTACTACCACTCCTGCAGAGGATTTGATGATGACATGATCGAAATTCTTGTTTTTGTCTTTGCATTCGTGGCTTGCATGAGCGATTGGATTTTGTTTTGTAATTGAGGAAATACCCGGTGTCTGGAGTCGAGAAATTTGGGATGCATAAGTGCATACGGGAGCAATCTCTGATCAGTGAACATTTCGCATAAAATGGAGTACTTTGAGATTATCAATTAAAGTAAATACGCTTTGAATCCATGTCTAAACCAGTGAATGTCAGGAGCTGTAAAATGGGCCTTGAATATGTCCTTCACAACAGCCTAGGCTGTGAAGCTACAAACATCAAAACACGCCCCACGACCCTCGTCTCAACATTCATATAGTCCCTACACAGAGCCTCCCGAATCTCCTTCTCACCATCATCCCAGTTACTGAATATTCCCTGCCAGTTATAAAGAAACATCAAAATCCACCCAAACCAATTATGCGACACATCCTTCCCAAGGACTGTCGTGCCATAAATCTTGCCATTCTCAGCAAGATACGGTTTCAAGTTCGTGAAAAGCGCCATCTTGTTTTCCACAGGGCCAGGCAGACAATGAACAAGGAAGAAAATTGACACAGAATCATAGACACCTGTTAACGGCAGGGGCTGCAAAACGTCCGCCTGGATAGTCCGAGTATCAGGTCTACCTAGACGCTCCTTGGTGTACTTCAAAGAATTTGGATTCAAATCCATCAGTGTCATTTGTGTTTTTTCGGGGATTTCGGCATTGGCAGGATAATAACCTGTTCCGAGACCGATGTCTAGATGTCGGGTGCCCATGAACTTCTTGAAGAATGGGAGTTGAATGTTTGTTGTCGCGCAACACCAGACAAATGAGTTGCATATTGCCAGAACCCAGATGTCATATAAAGATAAAACAAAGGGACTATACACAGCGGCTCCATCGCGGGTGGGTTTTGGTGTGGTTTGCATCATGATGTGAGGAAAGTGTTCAGGGTTGGAAGAAAGGAGATTCCAGGATATGCTTCGGAACTTTCTATATGTACCTTCATGTCTGAAACCGCCCCCAAGCTCTACAGTTAGAAAGGTGGGGGCCAAGTCCCCGATACCCCGATGCAGTAATACTTGGGAGGTTTTTATCATATGAGGTCATAGCGAGAAGAGTATACGGAGTATAGGTTTAAAGATTACACAGTCCAAATGAAAACGGCGATTCGGACCACTATGTCTTGGTGTACTGTGCATAAAGCAAGGTACAGGAGGTCCTGATTTGCTTATATGGTACCGCAGCGTGTAGGACTAGCCCCCACTAAGATCAATGAAGAGGCGGATTCGGAGTTCGGGGGCTCTTCTCACACCAATAGTTCAGGTCTAAAGATTCCAGCGCAGAACTACTTACTAAACCTTAAATAGTTAGTTGAAGAATCTTCGTTACAGTTACTCCTTATAAGTCAAATTGGCCACTTGGACCCGCCCTTCCGAAGGTACTCCCGGCGGGTAGCCAGAAGATATTGAATGTGGGGCTATCCGGGTCTCTTTAAGACCTGGATGCCTTATGGAAAACGTAATGAAAAAAGGAGCTCTCCTAGAGCTGTACAGGCGGCATCAAAGATATGATTTTTTTCGAGTCTAAATTAAGCATAAGAGCTAACAGCTAGATCTAGAATGGTCTACTTGTTGTTCACATGATCGATCTGTTGGCAAGCTTGTGTGCGGCCCCACTTAAAACTCAATTTGCGCGCCTTGGCTTCCTAATCGGGTTTAATGCTTCTTTGCCATACAATCCCATGATATCTCGCAATTTTTTGCATTGTGGGATCATTGTGTTAAGAGTTAAGTCTCTGCTCTTTCCAATTCATTCATCAATCAATTCACCATGGGTTCAGGTCTGCAGCTGGTCTGTCCTTCTGAGCAAAACATCTACTTCAATCTCAATGGAGACGGCTATTCAGAGCCCCTCAATGGCGCTGTAGTGCTTCAACGCTATGCAAGCAATCTCGACACTACTATTCAACTGCAAATACATCTCGTGCAGACTGTGCTAGAGGAGAGCAATACCCCTACGGTAACTCCTGAGAAGCACTTCTTGAGACGAATTCGCACTATTGGAAAAGTCCCACGACCAGAGACTTCATCTACTAAGTCATCATCCATTATTGAACAAGTGACACTTCCTGTGTTGTCAATTGGTCAAATTGAGGCATCTTTCAGTGGACGTGATACCGTGCCCATTCCATTTTCTGTCCCCATTCCTGTGACTACGCCTGGGACAACAACTACGTCACTGGGGAAAATCTCATACTGCATTGTCGCCACTGTGACTACCTCACAGGGAGAAATCATTACCACCGAGAAATCTATCAATATCACACGCCAACTCATTCCAGACCGACAATGCATTCAGCATGTCCGGTCATTCCCCAAGTCACCTGCCATCACCAACATTGCTCTGTCGCAGACCATAGCGGCAGACTTCAAGTCTGGTGTATCTGTCTCCGCCAAATTGTATTTGCGGAGAGGATTGACAGCACGCGACTCTGAATTCAGATGTCCTACTCTTCGAAGTATCCACTGGCGTGTGGAAGAAGTGACCCGGTTGGTCGATCAAACCTATAATAACCTCCAAGATTCACCGGAGGATTTCCACTGCAAGCGAGAATCCATTCGGGAAATTTGCAGCGGAAAACAAAAGGGTTACTGGGGTACACGCGATAACCCCCTATCGAAACAGCCAAAATCAGAGGACCAAGATTCCGCGGTTGATGTTACCATCGACATCTCCATCCCGAAAAATATAAAGCTCGCCCCCATGATTGATGGATCATGTTATGCTTCCAGTACAGGTTCCATTTCGATGCCACTTGAGCTGCAAGATCAGTCTCAGAACAGCCTTGAGAATTTGGCGATCTTGATCGAGCACCGTCTTAAGCTTGACTTTGTCACGGGCGAGGACACGTTTGATGCTCGTTCTAAGAACTTGGTTGATCGCAAGCCTTTGAGGCCTACTTTGTCTGCGCACTTTCCTCTTATTGTTGGAGAGACCTTTAAGTGCGATTTTGAAGCTATTGCCTTTAGCAACCCGCCGAGATATGAAGAGATTCCGTTGTCACCTCCGGAATATACACCATGTGTGTGAGAGTATTCTCTTTAACGACTTACGATACTATAATAATTAATAATACTACACATATGCGGGAGCAAGATAAAAAGGAAATCTAAGACACTTGATCATATTCTCAACCCTGTACCAAATGTCCACAGACTAGAATATCATATTCTATATGATCCATTGGCATAAATAGGCCTCTACCTTCAGACCAACATGAAAGGTACAATCTCATTATACACAATCCCTAAGAACATTCACCAAAGAAATTACAGATCACCTGGGCAGAAGTGCTAAAATTACGCCATGAAAAGGGCATCATGGGCAGAACATGGTCTTCCACAATTCGATGGCTTGTTCAATTTAGATTAATTCGGTAAAAGAGGTCAAAAAATCCCAATATAATCTATCTCAATGAATTCTGGAGACATGGCAAGCATAAAAAACAAGAATATGTCCAGTGGATAACCATCACTGCCGTCATCTGCAATAACATGCCCGATCGTCAAATTATCCCCGTAATGACGTTCATGTTTGCAGATCCTTCACGTCTTCAAAGTAATGAATTCCCTAATTCATCTTTCCGAACTTCCAATTAAATTAATTGCCCTGGTCTAATACTATCGAGCCAACATATCAGAGTTTTCCAGGCTCAAAGGGTCCGTTATGCCGCATGCGGAGTAACTTGATCTACATTCCCACCTCGGCAAACCTTACTACCAGAGTTATCAGATGTCCACTACTGCCTGTACATCATCTTTAGCTCGAATAAAAAGTGGCCAAACTCCTCTTCCGACCTTGCAAAGCGGGGTATAATGAAGATCCGGACTTGGGCACTTGCCTTTGTTAAAATTTAAAAGTAGCCTTCGAGCAGCCTGTGAATGATACCTTAAAATCCATTTTTTCCTTCCAACATCATCGCCCTATAGACTTCCAAAATGCAATCTACACTTGATTCATGCTGCGATCAGGCCAAAAAGACTGACATAGCCGCGGATGACATTTCCAAAGATAACGTTTCAACTCATGGCGAGGTACGTGTCCCGATTCACAAAATTCAAGCTCGGATGACTGATCCCAACAGGCCGTACTGGCTAATTTAAAACAACTCGTTCCATTGGTCAGCACCAAGCATGAGAATCGTTCATACACAGAGGCGGCCCAACTAAGTCTCATTGACGCCTTTGAGGCGGTCAGTCAATCAAATTTTGATCAAGGGTTGCATAAACTCAGGTAGAGATGGATGCTGACTCCCAGCTTATAGTTCTCGGATCTTTTGAGAGGTCTCTTTGCCACTCTCAACGATAAACGTGATGTGTGTTCTTCCGCAGGTTTGCAGAGTTCAATCCACGCGGAGTTAAAAGGGCTGGTTAGTTCTTATCAGGAGCTCTCTTCGGACTTGGAGAAATGTGTTACTTTTTATTCTAAAGAAGTCAAGGATATACATGTGCGTACAGTTGAAAATTTGAAATGCTAAAAATCATATGAAAATCGAATTTTTACCCACATATGTCAGCGCGCTCGTAAGGGCGTACATTTTGCATTAATCAAAAGTAGTAGGTACATATATGTAATGTTAATTTTCATACATATCCATTGAAAATTGGGATATCATTGAATAGTAAATAACGATATTGGGTAATAGTGCTCTTGAATCGGTGCGGCTCCAGGGTAAATCTACAGGGGAGCATGAGTAGTCATCTCGGCACCACCATGTGTACTGTTATTCCTCGCCGACAAATTCCCAACTTGACAGTCCACTACCGACTTCTTGATTCAGTACCGCCCAGTCGCCTGACACCAGTACATCCAGTGAGTTACTTAGCTGTGCTTGAGAAAATGAATGGTTCAGGTCCCTTGAGGTTGTAAAACCAGACTCGCTTGCAAGTTCCACCCCCTCGACCGTTACCGAGGTATATTTTCTCGCCAAGTGGAATTTCGTCAAAAACATGGACTAGAATATTTCCACTATATCAGCTTTTGATTCAAAATAGAGAAAACTGATAGTTAAATATCATCGGTATCATGGGCCTCCTTACACAGGTGGCCTGTACGCCCATATTACCCAGTTTCGTCGGCTGAAATTTCCTGAAAGAAAGCGCGTATCAGCCACAACGCCCACGCCAGTAGCTGACGACAGCGCGGATATAATTCCACCAATTCTTTCACACCGACCCAATAAAAATCATGGAATGTGGGAAGTCACAAAAACAGTTGGAGGGAATTGGACTCACATGCGCCCATCCAACACTTCCCCTCGATAGGTCATTGTCAACAGTGGGGGCTTTCCAGTCCCTTTCGACAGTCCAACCCAGTAGTCCGCTAAAATCCAGGTCTCCATTGCACTCTTCACAAAGAGATTCATCGCACGGATGAGATAAGTTGTCTTTGTCTTTTGATACTCATCCCCCATCATGCATTTCAAGAAGGCCCTCGAGGCGACCGTGCATTGCTCTCGGAGATCCCCGAGAGGGTCATCATTCGAGATCTGTAACAGAACACGAATCGGGCGGTCCTGAGAGCGAATAGGGATATTCAAAAGTGATATGTGGCTGACAGGGCTGCTCAGAGGTGTTGTGGGGTCGGGTTGAATCGCTATCTCCTCTGGATCCGTGCACGATATGTTTTGGCGTAACTTAGCTTCGATTCCCGATTCGAAAATGTGTGAAGCTGAGCTCCACGTTTGGTGATTCTTCCATCGTGGGACTTGGCTTGCAGCGTTGGGATTGCTTTCTTTAACTGCAGAGCGATCTATTGGCAGCTCAAGAACTGCGGGGTAATTGGTTGGTCAGTATTGAGCCGAGGAGGGAGAAGGAGGCAAGCATGCTCACACTTTTCCGCTTTCCAAGGAACTTTGTCAGTATTTGAGCGAATATACTCAAGGATGAAAGGCGAAGATCTCGCCTTCTTGAAGACACTGGAGGTATATCAGTAAGATAAATGAAGATATTCGCATCGTAGACACGTACAGCCCATCCTTTTCTTTGGAGACAATGTAAAGCAAAATAGGAATACTATCGGGGACTGATCCTTCCGGAATCGCGCCAGTACATGCGTCAATGAGAATCCAGCTTTGCAGCTCATGTTCAGTCGAGAAATGGACATATGTGTATTCGCGATTCAGCGCGTGTGGTTTCGTCCATTCAAAGAACGAGTCCACGATTTTGAGGCGCTTTGTCCGGAGGTTGATCTCAGAGTTTCTTTGAAGATCGGGCTGAATATGTAGAACGATGCGGACAGGAGGTCCCTTCTCTAAAACATCGAGAGTTGGCATCCCGACCGCTGTATCCTCTAAAGCCATGAGATGATGTCCAGGTAAGATTAATGTCAGCAAGGGGAGAGCCGGGCTTGTGTCACCGTTACAGTCAATGGGAGCGGTCGGAGAGAATAAGTCGGATGGTTGTGGATGATAACATTGAATCATTCGGGCTAACCCGCTGGCACATACTAGCTTGACACTACTGTAATTTCAACGTAATTTCAGCATAACCACTGACAAGCTTCTTCACCTATTTGAAAATGAATAGTTTTTCCTTTCGACTTTTCAGAAAATTTGAATAATAAAATTGCAAAAATAAATTATACTGCACATGTGTGTTACAGGCGGTCAAGGCATAAAGGCCAAAGTCAGACATCTGGCGCTTGTACTTCACATGGTTTCATTAATGCATGAATGAAAATCACTCCCAACCACCTCCTCTCTGTCCGGCCCTCTCCCGTTGCCTTGTTCATCTCTGCATTCATTGTACTTGGCAATGATTCCTCAGTATGGTCTCCTTGGTACAGCGTGCTGAACCTAGACTTGGCATCCCTTGGAGAATCGCAGCTGCCAAGATTCAAAACCCGTGTACGATAGATCCGGGGACTCAGCCACACCATTTCAGATTCCGAACCAATAAATTTTCCCGAGATTACTCTTAGAACATGAAGTGCTGCAGAAACACCCTGGTGAGCCTTCAGGATCATTCAACGGCATTATTTCTGGGTCGACTGGTCTAGGTCTGTCTTTTCCTGTACCATGCTCTACCTAATATGTTTCCTCTAACCTCTGAACAATAGACTTTTAGCTTCAACATTCCAGATGAGCCTGTATTTTCCTTTTTTTCGTGTCTCAAACTTTGATTGATATTCCGACTAGGCTGCACCTGGCGATAAGTCATATCTGACTGTGCAGTAAACACCGGTTAGCTCGAAGTTGGGCAGGTTCCTAGGCTCCCACTCAGTGTACGAGTGGATATCCTTGGCATGGTCTTGGCATGAACTCTCCCACCGATAAGGATGTCACTAACCGTCGATCATCCTGATCCGGCACTAGCTCCATCTTCCCGTCGAATGAGAATCATTTTTTCTCTCCAACGAGGCACTGCACTTGGCATTTGAATGATCTTCTCCATAGTTTTCTGCCAAGAGCTTGGATACCATGGATTCAGAAAAACCGTGGAAATCTCCATAATGCGAAGACTTTGACGGAGGTTATCCGCAGGGAAACCCCTGCTTGCGTCATTTCGTAAAGCGTTTGCCTGTCTAACCAGGATCAACTCAAATTTAGGAGGATCCCATGCAACATTGGACCCAGACTCGTTCTTCGCTTCGGTATCTATTATCGCTCATTCAAAATGGACAGTCCCAGGAGACCACGTTTGTCCACAAGAACAGAAAACAGCACTGATAGTAATATCGATCGCATGAATCATGCACCAGATGACACAGCTCAAAATATTCGTGCAGGACAATCTGATCCTATGTCTTCTACTTCTACGGAGCCAAATACAGATTTATCGTTTGTCGAAACCGTAACGGTTACTACGGAAAAACCATCCCTCCCATTCCAGATATCGCAGTATTTTATCACGGAGCTGGATCCTCGACGTGCAGATGTTATACTTATTATTTGTGGGTTTGTCGGCGGCCTAGTTGATGGCATCTCTTTTAATGCGTGGGGAAGTTTCTCGAGCATGCAAACAGGTCTGTCGTATCCCATAAAATGAGAACAGTCTCCGATCTAACTGAGAAGCAGGAAATACCGTTTTCCTTGCTTTGGGTGTCTCCGGTCAACCTGAATATCCAGCCTTTCTGTGGGCCAAGTCCTTAATCGCCTTAACTGTCTTCCTCTCGGGCAACGTCTTCTTCATCCACCTAGGCCGTGCACTAAGACCACTCCGACGATCTACACTGATTCTTTCATTCGGAATACAGACTGCCGCTCTGGTCATTGCAGCAAGTGTGGTGCAGGCTGGAATCGTTAGCCCCAAACCAGAAGACCCCCGGGCGCCCATTCAGTGGAATCAGATTATACCCATAACTCTTCTCGCATTTCAGGCAGCTGGTCAGATCGTCGCATCACGCCTTTTGGCTTTTGATGAGATTCCAACTGTTGTCCTAACGACCCTCTTATGTGATCTTTTGGTCGATACGAATCTATGGACAAGGCCGTGGTCGGCGAACCCCAAGAGAAATAGGCGAGTCGCCGCTTTCTTGGCGCTATTCTTTGGTGCCATGACCGCTGGAGGCCTTTCCAAGACCACAAACATGGCAAGTAGTCTGTGGCTTGCGGTTGCTCTGAAGGGCTCTATCACTTTGTCGTGGTTTATTTGGAGAGATACCCCTAGTCCTGCAAAGTCCAAGCAAGGCTCGAACGACAACTCTGTCTAGCGCTGTCTAGCGCTATCTTACATTTTCGAGCAATTGATTTGCTTGTCGTGTTTCTTTTCAAGTTAAGCATTCTCCGATGAACTCTACATACATGATGGATTGAAGGTCGGGTGGGGCTTTTTGGCAATACTTGAGGGTATTTTGAATGTGCTGACTTGCCCTTACATATCTATGCTCAGATCTTAGAAAACCACCTCGATTTATTCAATTCTATTTTGCTGACACAGGAAATTATTAAATGTGAAGGCCAAGTAATAAACGAGTGCCTCTATCACGTAATCCATCTGGGCCTGTTTCCGACCGACTCAGACCCAACGTAGACTCAGTCACGGGGTCACCTCGTATGAATCAAAACTCGACATACTTGACCCAAACAACTGGTTTGACTTTTTTCCTAACTCCTACATCATAAACAAACTTAAATGTCACATATATTTAAGATGACTGTGGCCCTGTAGATTCTCAGCTTAACCGACCACTAACTAGCCCACCATGACGAACGGATCGTGCTTTTGTGGAAATATCAAATACAAGTTCTCTGGAGAGCCGATAGCCAAGGTCACATAATTATCTTCTTTCGTTGTGCCTCCCCGACTCTAACTTTGACTAGAGCATCTGCCATTGCCTGAGCTGTCGTAAAATCACCGGCTCAACCTATACCACCAACTTTATGCTTCCCGAGTCGAGCTTTTCGCTAGTATCCGGCACGCTCAAGAAGTGCACTGCGAAACATGAAAACGGGATGGATCTCACGCTCAACTTTTGCGAAAACTGTGGAATCACGATTTACAAGACAGCCAATTTGAACATCTTTGACGGCGTGATAGTTCTGCTGGCAGGAACGGTGGATGAGGGGCAAGGGGTGGAGAAGGCAAAGCCTGAGAGGGAACTGTGGGTGAAATATCGAGGAGATTGGTTGGCTCCTTTGGAGGGGGTGGCGCAGGATCAGGAGTTCCCTAGTTAGGTTCTTCAGGTTGTCTATTGGTTCTTGCTTCGCTTTCCTGACTAAATATCGATTTGAACCCCATGTTCAGGCCTCTTCGGCTATTAAAAAGCAACCCTTTCTTTGGCTGATTTCGTAAACTTCAACCACTTCTCTGATAGCTCATGCATCTGTCTTGCTTTCGTTATCTTTGAGAAACACTGACCAAATTCTTGAAAATCCCCTTCGTCGCGCCCGATCCCGGGCTCAAATCGTAAAACATTGTATTTGTGGTTGTGAATCCAGATGCCATTACATCGGTAGTACACTGATCATTCAGAATAAAAACGTCGCGACCAATCATGGCGTTCATAGTCTTGGCGTAACTCTTATTAGAGTCAAGGAGGACTGACTCGCCTTCTCGTCCTGGACTATGATCATGTACTCGCTTTGGAAGATGATGGAATCTTAGGGCGCTCTCGGCGATGAGGCGATTAGGCTCCTGGCGGGCGGAAGTCGCATATTCATGGGGGGTCTCGTAGATCATAAGCTCATTGTCGGAGTCGTGTGAATCCTGCTGTTTCCATGGGGTGATTCAGAGTGTATAATATCCGGGTGGTGGCTGTCCGGGCGGTGGGTGATGACCTATTGTTCAGACAGTGTTGGTACTGTGATAATTTTGTTTATCTCAGGTCGTACAGGTTTGGTTCTTGTTGTGGTGGGAACGTAGGTAAAAGCTAATTTTAAATGTGTCGAGTACAGATACAATGGGAGCTGTAGGGTGCATTATGTACCTAAAGGGAGCTATGGAGAGGAGAGAATTCAGTGACCGAAAGTGAAAGGTGGAATGAGCCGCAGGACCCACTTCAACGTGGATCAAACCAAAGGCCCGGCATAATCATGGTCTTATTTAAGCAATGTCTATAGTGGTAATAGTCTGGAACTCAGGCTCCTTGCGAATCCAAGGTCTGACGGCGTCTACGATATAAATGCAATCCTTTCAATGCATCGCAAATCTCAACATCATCAGAATGGGTTGGAATGCTACAGGCATCATATTCAAGCCACATCTGTCTTGTTCTCGGAGATTCGGCATCTTCAAGTGGTTTCCTGCAGTCCTGGTTAGGTAGATGCAAAGTCGAAGAAAGCGGACTTACTCATGGCTGTTGAAGACCTCAAAGCCAGTGGAAATGATGAGTGCAGGTCGAGCAAGGTCGGCGATGATCTGCTTGACCGGGGCGGCAGCAAATGCTGATATCACAATCGATTCTTCATCGATTTCCGCGAATCCTCCTGCACCGTGATGCCCAACAATTTTGAAATTCTTCTTTGTCAGGATCTCTTCTGCAGCGCTTGTATAATCTGGGTCCTGAGCGTGTAATGATACCGCTTCATTACCGCAACAAATCTGAGCGATAGTGAGAGCCATAGAATGCTGAATCATACAGCCCATCACGTTCTTCACTTCCAAAGTTTCATTCCATAAGTCATGCTGCTTGCTTAGCCATTCAGGGGCGGTGCGGCAGAAGTCACCGAGGCCGAAGCAAAGAACTTTCTTCACGATGTTTTTACCAAGTAGGTCTTGTACTAAGGCTGCTAAGAGCTTGCAGGTCATGCTATTCTTCCACAAGCATTCTTTCTCGTCAAAGACTTGTGAAGGCTGTGATATAAGTTCCCGAAAGTCTCGTGCAGTCCGATTGCTCCAATCTACTAGGTAGGAGCAGTGGTAGGTTTCGGTTGGGCTGTTGGGTTGCGTTTTCACAAGTTGCCAATATTCTTGGTAGTTGACATAAGGTTTCCTAAGGGAGTTTAGATTTTCGACTGAAACCAGATCTGGATACTCACGCCACGTACCAGATAGAATTTTGTACTTGGAAGATAGGATTGGATATTTGGACTAGGCTTCCATCAATTCGACGGACAGAGAATCGATCTCTTGCATAGGATTGGCCCAATTGTCTTTCTATGTCTTCAAGATCTTCTCTTGTCCAAAGCTTGGTGCCAGCATTGTAAAGATCTGCGGCTCGTTGGCTCATGCTCCGCCAGTCTGAGCACCCATAGTCGAGAGTTTGTGGCATTTCTCTCGTAGCTGCTAGCCGAGCAGGAAAGAGGAAAGAATCACGGTGTAATTCGCCTGAGAAAAACTTAACTGCCGTAAACAGTGAGCGGTTCATTCGTGTAAGAATTTCAGAGAAGAGGGGGTGTGCAGCCTACTGGAGCTAAAAAATTTGACCGCCTTTTCAGAAATACAACAAAATTCCGTAAAGGCTCGCTGATGACATGAAAACGCTCTGCACCCGTGTTATAATATAAGGATAATTCTGTCGCATACAAGTTGGCAGCTGGGTACCACCACATGCAGTCGAGCGCTCTCTACGGCTTTTTCAGGCCACATGTCTTCCTCCCTTTGGAAGTAAATGATTTATCGTCGTGCCTACAGGTCGGTCAAGCGTAGGATAGTTCCGAGATGGTGATAAGAAAGGATTACTGGCTGACTTGACGTACGCTGTGGATGACAGGCATCCGACACCAAGATAGAGCATCCCTGGGAAATCTTTGTATTGGGCGGAGACCTTACAGGATCAATAAAACGGATGTGCCTGAAGCTAGGCTTAAATCAGTGATATTCAGGGGATCTTCCTGAAGTAACAAGCCTTGTGAATCAGGTGTAGGTGTTAGAGGTCTCAAACTGTGGCAAGTCCATACGAAAGCAGGTTTACTTCGAGGGTAAAAGGGCGCTGCACTCTAGTGCTGGTAGAGTGTGGGAAATAGTTGGTATGGCAGCTCAATAGCTGTCTTATTCCAGCTCCCAGATCAAGCCCTAATAATTGAGCCACAACTGTGACTCGTAGCTAAGAACCTACTGCGACCCAGGAATTGTTCTAAAGAGCTTTGCTAGCGGAAAGAAATGGGCCTTTCTATTCCATATTTTCCGACAAGACCATAGGAGAGGCTGACTTGTGCTTTTTACTGGGGATGCGCAGCAGAGAGGAAGAGATTGCCACGGCATATATTTCCTGGGACCAGAATGATGTGGCAAGATCTGTATTCCAAGGGGGATGGAGGAAGGAAGGAGAAAGATGGGGATAAGTAAAATATATACAAGAAAACGTTGGAACAAACAACAGAGGAGGACACCTGTCTCATACTCCAACAACTGTTCAAGCAATGTTACTAAAACTCGGCTTTTGGCTGACTTGATAAACCAGTTTATCGGTCCAGAAATGTGAAAAGACGGCTTGAATGGCTGGTACAGGGCCAAAAACAGTACCTGCCACAGGGAAGACGATGCGGTCTAGAAGAGAACCAGTTTCCCACCAGTTTCGAAAAGAAAAGCCCGCCTCTACAACACCTGCATCTATCATATCCATAGAGCGGTTATTGACACAAAAGTAATGCCAACGGTCATACACAATCATACAAATGTTGATCATGATGAAAGATGCGGCCCGCAAAATGCCAGTGAATTGGAACGTCCACGCCAGATCAGGGTGAAGCATTTCAGGAGGCACAATTGCAGAGTGGATCGACGAGATGAAAAGAATGAGCGTCAAGTGACATGGAAGAGCGCTTCCCAGAGAAGATGTGCTAGTGCCCATTGTTTCCAGCTGAAAAATAAGCGCCAGTTAGGACGCGTAAGGCTGCCAACACTCTTACGGATAGCAAATCCTGTATCCAGGGCACCCCACATATGGCGCAGGGCCTGACGATAGCGCGCTTCCAAAATGTCCTTGGTCCGTCGCCAGCCTCGGTTATCATCGGCTGAAATATTGCATTGGCTGGCCGCGCTGTACACGACCCGCGTTGTGATATTCCCGCCCATGGCGAAGTAGCACTTGAGCATCATGTGCATATCTTCACCGATGGCAGACGCGTTGCTATCCCACCCCCCTGCTTTCTTTGCCAAAGATAAGGGAAGGGTGTAAACGGAGGTTGGGATTGAAATTGGAGACCCTGGGTACATTGCTGAGATGCCGGCAAATCCCCACATGAGATCAGCGCACCGGACTAAGACGGGGGTTTCTGCTGAGTTTCGATCAAATATGATGGGACATGAGTAGAAGGACTGCCCAGGGGAGACGAGGTCATCGAAGTGGAGGCGTTGGATCTCAGTAAAATAATCCTGCAATAGGTGCGTGTCGGCTGGGTAATAAATTATCAGCGTTGGTGAAGCGATTACCACAACTTAGAGCCATACCATCAATAACCGTGATCATTGTGTCCATTTCACCAGATTGGTCATCTCTTGAGTGTACGTCGATAATGTGCTTAGCGGCGTAAGCAGCATTAGAGCTCTTGCCTGCAATCTCTCCCGGTACTCCAAAAGGGTGAAATGTTGCTTGAATTTGGCCAAATCTCATTTCGAAAGCTGAAATTAATTTGACCGCTTTTTCTGCCGCGTCAGTCTCTTTCTGTTCCATGGCAAGGTAGATCTATAATTATTGCATAAGTCGTTAGCCTTGATAAATCCTTTGTCCCACCAAAAAGAATGCCAAAAGAATGCCAAACTGACCTCATATTGGGTCGCAGCCCTTGGATGACTAGCAAGAACAGAAATAGTGGTTCTGAGGGTGTCGAAATCCTCCTTGTAATTTGGAAGAATTATCGCATGAATGATCTCGTTAACGGGAAGAAGTTGCAACTTGTCTACCGGCAACTTGACCCCAAGACTTTCAAGCGAAATGGCGTCTTGAGGATCACATAAAGTCTCATCTTCCATATCTTCTGACAGCTTCGAGTTAATTGGCAAGCGTCGGCCTAGAATTTTTTTCGACTCTCGCAATGTCTTCACTAATGCGAAGAATAGACGAATCGCAAAATATAGAGCGTTTATATGAACAAACAGGGATATACCGATGAATATCTTCTGGCCCATTGGTAGTATGTTTGTCTCGCGGTCTGGATGATAACCATGGGGTGGCGGGCCATGATGCTTGGGTTCGTGTTCATGCTTAGATGGAGGTGAATGCCATACATCAGCAAACGCCACGAATGAGAGCAATATCAAAGCCAAAATGCTGAAGCCAGGCACACATCGTGAAGCCCAGTAAAGCATTTGTTTATCCCAGTGTCTCAGACTCTAATACTGGGAGAAGAGAGGAAAGTCAACAGCGATATTACCCAGAACAATCGAACAAGTGTGGAATAAGGATGCGAAGAGAAATCAAGGACTGGCTCTACTCCTAATTTAATTGACCAAGACTAAATATTGGTGTTTAATATGAGAGTTCAAATTCAACCGACGGCACTTAACTATGGACAAAATGCACTAAAGAATGACTCCGTGCGCTCCATAAGGGAAGTTGAAGCTTACGACGCCATCTGTATCCATGGAAATAAATATAAAAAGGTGGACCAGATAGATCTAGCTATACCATTGGCTGCGAGGCCAAGCACTGTAGCCAATGCTCGCTAGGGTCTTCTCCATGAAACGGGTAAAAGGGGAAATGCTCCACACGAAAGTATAAAGCATTATCTAGGCAGCCACGAATAGACATGGTAGATCTTGCACCAACGTGGGGGCACTACAGGCTTATATACACCGAGTAGTGTATCATTATGGGAATCAAGAACCGGCTGTGGATTTCAAGAAATCAAAATCAAAACTTCATCTAAGCCACGCGTCAAACGAGCCAAGGTATCATTAATATCTTGAATTTATACAGCTGATTAACTTTGGATCGCAAGTCAAGCTTTTAGTCTGCTCTGTCTATCCTTTTTCGGTCATTCCTCAACTTTGACGCAGAACATCATACGACATAGATATCGGTACCCCCTCAGTCGCCAGTTCGTTGATTGTATTTTACATCCTTATTGCACCTGATCTTCCCTGTTTTCGATTTCGACCAGACTTTTCGTTGTATGACTGAGACTTACATGGATTTTCACCGGCATGACACTATACACCGATCAACCTTACATCTCCGCTGATTAAGGTTCTGCGATGGGATTCGGGCTGCCATCCGGGTTTTATATTTTAAGCCACACAGAATTCTCCTTTAAAGAGCCCGGCCTCAACGTACTTGATGCTCTAGGAGAGCTCGTCTGGGCAGACAATAGCTGGGGTGAGGTATATGACCTCAAGGTCCACAATTACCAAGGCGAAGATTATCTAGTCTTTTGGATGGGTACCCAGCTTGACACCCATGGGATTGAATTATGATATGGTTTGAGTACCCCGAGCTCCCTGTGACTTCAAATTTCTTTTTCTGATTATGATTCTGAATTTGAAGTCGTTCGTATTAGCTAAAGTCTCCTACCATCAAAGTTACAAAATTCTTCCTGTCAGGATGGGCCTTGCTGACGATCTTCACGACTTATAAATAACTAACAACGATACTACATCGATCACGATGTACCATGCTATCCTATGCGATTTGGGATCCATTGGACGACTCTTATCAGGATAGATCTATTCCGGAATATTCCAGAAAACTGATGTCAGCACAGTTCAACTGCTTTACGATATTTTCTCATCAACAGCACTCTCCTCTCCTAGGAGCACCATAGTGAAGAATCTAGCTGTAGGCCATTCGATGCCTTTCATACGGACAGTTGACAAAGAATCTGTGGGAAATTGTTTAGTCGCCACGCGACATATGAGCACCATCAGCAGTATTGATGGCCAAACAGGCGAGATCCTCTGGACACTGGGTGGTTACTTTTATGAGTTCACAGATCTATTTAATACTGGTACCACTCAATTTTCGTGGCAATATTATGCGAGAGGGCTAGGATACCATTACCATCCTGAACAACGCAACACGCGAGGTCGACAGTCCTGCATCGGATAGAGAAGGACTGGTCATCTTACTGGACATATCTGCACACGAGGCCATCCTCTTGACTAGCTACTCCGATGCCAAGAAAGTACTAGCCGCCTCACAAGGGAACATGCGAATGTTAGATAAATATTTCTCATCGGATGAGCCATAGAGTCGCATTTATCGAATTCGCGGCTAGAGGCAAGATACTGTGCGATGCTCACTTTGGAGCCTCTACATGCTTCAGCTTTGGACGCATTGTGTCCTACCGCACATTTAATTGAACCGGAACGTCTTTGGCACAACTGAGCGCAGTGTTGACCGATGATGGAGTATACATCAGCTGAAATGGGCAAACAGAAGTCTCTGAGTGGCAGTTAGAGGGGTTTCAAGAGCCGAATGAGACTATTTTGGCACTGGATTAATGACCGTGCCAGACAGTGGGAAGTATTCAAATTTCCAAACATTGTTTCTGGATTTAGATGGGGCAGTACTGGGTCAAACGAGTATACAGGCACAAGCTCGAGCATCGAATGATCTTTGGATCTGGTCCTTAATCGTGAGTGCCATTCTAGTTGACCTACTGTATTATACGTCCTTTGACTTTTGAAGAAATGATCTTGGAAATCACAATATACCTAGATCTGCGCGAGATTTATCCAGTCAAAGATTTAGCAGCCACGATGGTATCCCACGGGCGCGATAAATCCTGCTTTGAAATCCTCCACTACATGATAATGTTCAACGTCCGATCTATAAATTAAATGCCCAGTCCTGAAATAGCTGATTTCAGGCAGCCTCATTACGGAAACGATACAAAAATAAAGTTTTTTTTTTTTGGGAAAAATTTCAAATTTAAAATAGTTTGGAAAAAAGAAACCGTAAAAATAAAAGCCGTCGGCGTTTTATGGTTAATTGACGAGCCGATGAATGCAACTTTAGTAATTATCATGCCTCAAAGTATAATGACAAGTATGTAACTAATTTAATGGTGCATGAGTCATGACATTTAAAGTCCAATCTGCGCCAATTCCCAGTTCTCCCTTCGTTTTTGCATAGTTTCACTCAACACATGATATACCTGTGCGCACTGATCATGGTACAGTATGAACTTGTTTAAGAGCTCAGAATTCCTGCATCGGTTTTGGATCGGATCTTGAGATTTTGGACATAGTCACCTTTACTTCTAGAATTCAAGATAAGTTTTTCCAGGTTTTTGACACTATAAACTGAAGGACAAGCACCGCGTGCGCTCTGACGACTTTCTGAGTATCGGGATCTTACCGGATATCTACGAATACAGTAGGTATTTGAGCTCCACTATACCTGACACTGCCGCTCAAGGTAAAGGTAAAGCTTATATCCGATATTAAACCCGCCAATGGTCCAACTTAGTACGGAGCATGAAAAGGGTCGAAACCCGCTTTGTGGGTCCTCGTATTCACAAGGTCAAGCTTTGATACCAAGGAATACAATACCGTAATTAGAAACAGAGTGCTGTCCAGTGTACGCAAAATTACTCGATAGAGTAAAAGGAATTCGATCTTACGGGTTGATCCAATAAAAGCGACCTATCCGACCTATCCGCATGCTTATCCCAACTTAAATAACAGACGTTTTCTTATTCTTCTGCCTAATCACCGTGTAGTCTCTGACCATGACGACTTCCCAAATGAATACTTGAACACCTTATCAATCGGGTGAAAATATCCTCTGATGTGGTAGACTCTACGAGCTCACGTCCGTCATGAATTATGGTGTACGAATCGCACAGATTGCCGCTCTAATGGTCCTTTTTTCGCTACTTCTTCTGAAAGGCCACTTACAAGACCTCGAGAAGCAGTACGCGCATGGATACATGGAGGATTGGCTGCACCGTCAAAAGCCAAACTTTATCCAGGGCCAAGCTATTTTCCCCGCCAAGACAGAAGAAGCAGCAGGCTCCAAGAGTAAGTCCTGCCCTCCTCGTGTGGACGGTATGGAGATTTGACACAAATATGGGGTTTTTCTAGCACAATCTTCCCAGTGATACCCTCTTTCACCAGCGATGAAAATTTTGAATTTAAAACACTAAAGTACGGATGGAAGTTACATTCTTCAATCGGAAAATTTCTGATCAACGTCGATTAGAAATTTGATACACGATTATTGCCAAGACTTTGTGAGGGACGAAACATGTTATTCTTTCCTCCAAGTGGGGGTGGATACAGGGGCTAAATGTGGAAACTTGAAGGGAGCGACAAAATTAAATACCCCTTTCACTGTAAAGAAGATAAAGTTCACTTCTGGTAACTTTTTTTTAACTCGGACTGGGGTTGAAAGTGTGGACCTCACTTTCTTGAAATTTATCAATCGACATAATTCCACTCCCATTCCATACTATATCCACATTTTCAAAGGGTTCGCATTGGAAATGGCATATGATCCAGGGATCAGTGAAGAACAGGCACATCGGCTTCCTGGGAGGGCCTCTTTAGGCGTTATTTTGTCTTATGTGCTTGACTGGGTAATCATCATGTTAGTTCGGCATTCCCTGATAGATCATTAATTTCTTGCTAACATTGAAATCTGTACTTTAAGTGCTGTGGCTGCTGCGGGTGGTGTTTTATACAAAATCACAGGATCCAGCCATGCATTCTCCCTTGATGATCCGGCGATATCTTATCCTCTTATCGCGAACACAGTTTCTATCACGATCGTTGGCATAGTAGCATGTGGTGTACCCGCCGTCGTCATTCTACTTCTTTGCCTCTTGATCCCTTCGTCAACAATTGAAGCATCCGGCCAGAGAGCTACAGGCAGTGTATGGAGCCGCAGGCTTTGGGAATGGCACGCAGGGTGGCTCGGACTTGGCCTCAGTCTTGCAGGAGCATTTTTCATCACATCTGGTCTCAAGGATGTAGTGGGAAAGCCTCGTCCTGACTTCATTGCTCGATGTGATCCTGATCTCTCAAACGTGGCCAATTACATAGTTGGTGGCCTGGGACTAAACCAAACTTCCGCTCCTATCTTGGTCAACTCCACCATCTGTCGAAACCCAGACGCCAGCGTTGTGAAAGATGGCTTCGCTGCTTTCCCCTCTGGCCATTCATCCTTTTCCTGGGCCGGATTACTCTACTTGTCTCTGTGGCTGAGTGCCAAGTTCGCCATCACAATCCAGTTCCCTCTGCGTCCTTCTGCCAGAGGGACAGGTGATCAAAACGTTTATCAAAATGCCAACACAATATCCTCTCGTTCCTCGGCAGCAGCCGCGCCCCTCTATCTTCTCTTACTCGTTCTTACCCCGGTAGCAGTGGCCCTTTTCATATGCGCGACTCGCTTTGCAGACTACATGCATGCTGGCTGGGATATTGTGGGTGGCAGTATGATCGGGATGTTTTTTGCCTGGGTTGGGTTTAGATGGTATCACGCCCCACCTCGGGGCGGAGATGGATACTTCGGACATGGTGGATGGGCTTGGGGGCCGCGTCCATCATGGGGGGCATTCGGTGTACCCTTCGGCAGCCCAGGATATGTGGAGAATGACAATCCCGAGCAAGTAAACATGGATCGTTATAGAGACTTGGAGCTTGCACCCATGCGTTAAACGCACCACTTAAGAGGGCGGGAAAAAGGGGCACGCGACCACTTTCAGAAATGGGATGTCATGATTAGGATCAAATATTTGGGAGAAATATAGCGGTAATGCAAATTGCTTGCGCATTATCTGTATTGGAAACATTCGTTGTCCTATTTAGGCACAGCAAGTTTGTATCATGCTTCAGTGCAATACTCATCTACTGAATATGCGAAGGATCTCCCCTCAAGTAGCTTCCGTCTCAAGGGTTTGAGCCAAAACCAGTTCGTAGTAGTGACCACAGCGTGCTACAAGATCCTCGTGTGTTCCCTCCTCTACTACTGGTCCCCGATGAAGCACAAAGATGCGATCAAAATGCTTGATGGTAGATAGGCGATGAGCCACTGAAATGACGTTCGGGAATCACTTTCGTGTGTTATAGCCTCAACGGCCTGTTGGACCAGAGCCTCGCTTTGCGTATCAAGAGCGCTAGTGGCCTCTTCAAAGAGAAGGATGTCTGGCTCCCGAATCAAAGCTCGTGCAATAGCAAGGCGCTGGCGCTGGCCTCCACTGAGCGACATACCATGGCTACCAATATTAGTGTGATAACCCTCTGGAAGACTCGTGATGAAGTCGTGAATGTGAGCCAGCTTGCAGGCGCGAATGACTGCCTGATCGGCTTTCATTTGGGATTCTTCATCATTTGCAGCTTGATCTGGTACTTGGCCTAGCAAGACGTTCTCCCGAATGGAGCCTTGGTATAACATGGTGTCCTGGGATACCAAGCCCAGGCGTGAGCGATAATTTTGCACGTCCAGCTGCTGCACCGGAGTACCACCAATCAATATTTGACCCTGGTTGACGTCGTAGAAACTTTCCAAAAGGGCTATAATGGTGCTCTTGCCATACCCTGATGCCCCGACAATGCCAACGGACTCGCCTTTATTAATCTTGAGGTTGAAATTGCGCATTACTTGGACATCAGGGCGACACGGGTACGAAAAAGACACGTCTCTGAACTCAATAGCGGTCTCGCTAGCTGAAATTCGAGTGTATTAGTTACCAGACGATGCGTTTATACGTGGTCTTGATCTGCGAAGATCGATAATGTGGTTAGCAGATTTATGTGCCTTGGAGAGATCTGTTGTTCGTCAGTTTGTATGACGAGTAAAATGATGAGTGCAACGTACCAGATGTGAATACAAACATGAAGCCAGCAGTCTGCATTCCCATGCTAATAGCTATGAACACAATAAAGAACGTGGTAACGCTACTCTTGCCCTCAGACAGAAGCTTGCCTCCGTACCAGAAGGAAAAAGCAGAGACCGCGAGACTGATAATCTCACTAAAAGCAAACAACAGCATGCTAAGAAGTTTATGTCGCATTTCGAGTTTTACTGATTCATCCAGTCGTTTCCCATATCCATCGATGACCTTGTGCTCGAGAGACAGACTCGACACGGTCCGAATGGCCCCCATAGCTTCAGAAGCAAAGCGGGCTGCTTCTTGATAAATCGCAGTGATGCGATCTTGGTTGCTCATTTCCATGCGCATCCTAAAGTAGCCAGCTCCGAACAAAAGTGGCACGCCCACGGGCGATGGCGATTCGCTGTTTCTGACCGCCACTGAGAAGCTGACCGCGCTCGCCAACGAGGTTATCGTACTTTTCAGGAAGCTCCAGTATGAAATCGTCGGCAAAGGCCTGGATGCAGGCTTGGCGGAAGAGCTCTCTTTTTCCACCTCAGGCAAAGAATTCATAGGGGTACCGTACAGGCCATGAGACACGTTGTTATAGATCGAGTCGCTGAATAGCACAGGCTCTTGCTGTACCAGGCCAATCTGGCAACGCAGCTACCCCACATTCAAATCAGTAACGGCATGACCACTTACAAGTACTGATCCCGAGTTTGCGTCGAACCAACGTTCAATCAAGCCAACAATGGTACTTTTTCCGGACCCAGACGAACCAACTAAAGCCGTGGTCTTGCCGGCCTCGAAGGCGATGCTAAAGTCTTTGAAGATTGGCTGTGTCGGCCGGGAAGGGTAGGCAAACGTGACGTAACGTAGCTCAACTTTACTTTCCTGAGGGCCCTCTAGTATGTGCCCTCCTTCTGCCAATGGGTCTATTTGGGACTGGCGATTCATCATCTTGAACATTTCCTTTGCCGAAGCTGATGCTCTGGTGAAGCCGCTGAATCCCGGGGCGACGTTGGGTGCGGCTTGAGTTGCTAAAAGAACAGACAGCAGAATTCTAGAATTCTTGTTAACATAGCTGCAGTAATGACACTGGGAAATATTCTCTCACGTTATCATGCCACCACCACAGGCAATTTCACCTCCATTTAGAAGTTTTGTGCCGTAATACCAGGCCAGAGCATATGCGCAGTAAGTGGTGAACATTTCAACGCTATATTGAAATCCAATGACAGGGCCCTTCGTTAGACCAAGCCTTTGTGCCTCTGCAAGAACGATGTCGTATTTCCGGGTTAGTCTTTTCCCGATGTTGAGTGCCGTGACCATGCGCATACTGCTCATTGCCTCTTCGGTCAAACTGCTAACGGAGTTATAGATTTCCAAGATTTTACCCTCGATTTCGGCGTCTGACTGAATCATTCATCAGTGGTCTCGAAACGCAAGGAAGCGAAGTCTTACCAAGGCTGAAGGTAATTTAAAACCCAGCGAAGAGGACTGGCAGGGTAGTAGCCGTCACCAGGGTTAGCTTCCATTGCTGAGTGAAAGCTACCACAAAACCGGCGACCAGCATCGAAATAGCTTGAATCAAGCTGCCTACTTTTTCGGTAATTCCATTTTCAATCATATCACGCTGGCAGAGATAGTCGTGGTGATTCCTCCGACAGAGCACGAATCAATGTAGGCAATGTCCTGTCGAATGACAGACTTGATAAACTGCTGACGCAAAGCTCTATTGGCCCTGATCCCTGAGACACCAAAGCATGACGAATGGATGTAAACGAGCACGTAGCGGCCGACGAAGAGATAGAGAAACAACAGCGCGTTGTTGGAAAGGTTATCATACTTTTCGCTGGAGGATTGTTCGCCAGAGCCAATGGAATTGAAATCATCGACAAATGACCCAAACACTAGCGTCATACAGGGCAGTGCGGCTCCCGACGCAATCGCGGCGCAGACGCCAATGATGCGCAACGCGTGATCAAAAGGAGTTGAAAATTCGTAGAAGACGCGGAAGAATGACCTTAGCGGTCGTTCTTGGACGCTCTCATCATCCTCCGATGCCACGCTGAAGCGGCTGGGGTGTTCATTTTTGCTGAGTCTGTCTGTCACTGTGTTTCCGCCGTTAACACTTAGCTGTGCCGCAAGCAGGGGCGAGTGCTCATCGATTGAAGCCGTGCTGGGTGCCGTCACTCCCATTAATACCACCGATGAAGAAAGGATGGAGGAAGAGGGGAGGGAAATGAAGAAGTTGTCACGGACTAACCGCCATTAGCATACAGTCCGCGGGCCTGGATAATGACCGAAAGCTTGGTATAATCAGCACGATCGTTTGATATGGCGTAAGATAAGGATATTGGTTACCAATTCGAGTTCTGGACTGATAACGGAGTCCGAGATCAGACCGGATGGACTCACTAACTTCCCCTTAAAACGGGTACGGGCCATGGGGCCATGGCGGGACCGGGCCGCGCGACGCGTTTAGCGTTCGAGTACGGAGTGTAAGCCTGCCTGCTGATACAGAGCCTGCCATATTCCTGGTGTTTTCCTAATACAAACAATCACTGTTTTCACAAAATAGGCGATAGGATAACGTGATTGATTACTTTATATGACATGCAATGAGTCATGATGTATGAGCTATGACATCTTATGACTCATGGTAGCAGAATTAATTTCTAAACTACACTAGATGTTTTTCATTCCATAATTATTCATTAAAAAAGCTAGCTTATGTGCTTTATCGCCTCAGCAGCACAGTTGACTATATCGGATCTTTACTCCGCATGCTCCACCTCCGCGATCTTCTCATCGGCAGAAAGTGGGACGTTACTGTCACCAAACAAGATATCCATCTGCTCCAAGGTTTTCCCTTTAGTCTCCGGGAAGAAGAGCATATAGCAAACCATGGCGATCAAGTTGAATACGAAGAAAACGTAAAAGTAACGGAAACCGATGTTAGACAAGGCAGTTGGCGAAAATTGAGCAAAAACTAGATTGATGGTCCAGTTCGTAAAGGTAGTGACCGAGTTGCCCTGATTGCGAATGTCCACAGGAAAGATCTCAGCGGGATAGACCCATGAGATAATTCCAATAAAGGTATAGAAGAAGCTGAAGACAAAGTTCATGGCTACCATGGCACGGAGCTGATTGGTGTTGCTATCATCATAGTGCTGTGACATGGCAGCATTGCAGACCAGGGCGAGGCCCATTCCCGCAGATCCAATAATGAGAGGCTTGATGCGACCCACTCGTTCCAGAGCCCAGAGCCCACCGGTGCAGTATACAATTGACAGAGCTCCGGAGATTCCGATGATCATGAGAGAAGTTTGAGTATCAAATCCCAGAGAAGCGTAGATACGGGTTCCGTAGTAGTTGATAACATTGATACCAGAGAGAGGACCAAACGCTTGGACAGCGCATCCCAAGATGAGACGACGGCGCCAAGAGGCCTTAGTGAGAATCGAGGTCCAGGTGATCTTGGTCGATGCACGCTCGGCGTTGATAGCCTCGCGAATTTCTTGGAACTCAAGCTCAATGTACTGTTCCTTCTCCGGTGTTCCGTCTCCGTGGAGGCGCTGGAGTGTGGCAAGAGCCTCATCGTGTCGATCCTTCTCCATAAGCCAGCGGGGAGACTCGTTCAGGAACCAGACACCACAGGCAAGGGTAAGACCAGGAATGCACTGGAAAGCCAGGGGAAAACGCCCTTGAAGATTTGACACGTGTTAGCCCATGTCCAAAAAAATGCGCAAACAAATTTCGCGGGTAGTGACTCACACTGAAAAGCTGTATCAACGAATGAACATCCATATCCAAGCCACTGAGCGATCAGGTACCCCCAGCTCAACATCCATTGCAACAGACCAGACATCATACCGCGATTGGCAGCCTCGGCCATCTCACCAGCATACATTGGTACGACTGACGTGAGCATACCAACGGCCGCACCGGCAATGAAACGACCAATGATGAGCATAGTCATGTTGACGGATCCGGCCTGCAGAGCGCACCCGAAGCATGAGATGCAAGCGCCAGCAAACACAGACTTCTTACGGCCCAGCCAATCGCCTGTGAACATGTTGATGATCGTGCCCAGAATTGCCCCACCCTGGAATGCGGAAACGATGCCACCAGTGACATTGTCATTGGGGTTGGAGAAGTACTCGATGAACCCGGTCTGGCCGATGGTGGAGGTGATAATACCACTATCATAGCCGAAGAGGAAGCCTGAATGAATAACATGTTAATATTGTGAGCAGTACAGGAATGAATTGAATTGAAGATTTGGTACCTCCAATAGCCAGGAAAACGGCAGACAGCAACGTTGTGATCTTAGCCATTCTGGCCTGAGTTAATCAATTCAATGCTCCCACGACCGAGAAAAATGATGAGGATATTCTTGAGGATTTTCCTAGTGCCCCGACGACGAAGCCAAGCATTTAAATACACACGGTCATCCCGGACTTACAGTTCAGATCCTGAAAAATACTAACTCATTGGCTAGAAGGCTATTTTGTGGGGTAACATCGGTTCGGAAGTCCCGAGAAACGGCATCTGTTAGCTGTAATTGCGCTGATTCATTTGTCTTCGGTGTCGATCAGCCCGAAATCCCGTCTAACTTGGTTTCCCGAGGGATCAAAACACGAGCTAGGCGTCAATGGACTTCCCCATGGGGTTCGCTACGATTGAATTTTCAGGATGAGCCAATCATTGGTGGCCTAGACCTTGAGCTTGGCAGGTGGCTGAAGCTAAAGAGTGGGAACTCGGGTTGTAACCAAGGAATTTGAGATTTTATCGTCAAATACTTTTGGCCGAAAAGCCCGAGATCGGCTGTTTGATTCCCAAATATTTGCCGTGGTCTCATTGAACTATACTATTTTGACTTGCATCTCCCCACAGAGTTTTTCTGGTTCCCCGCATCCCAGACACTCCCCAGAAATCGTGCAGACTCGCTTATGTCGGTCAGGCATTTCTTAATTAATATTCTTCGGAATTATTCATTCGCTCAAGTCAAGATGCGAGCCACCTTCACTTAAAGGTTTACTCGGGAATGCCGTGTCTTGGCGACTGCTAACTCATGACTTTATGACTGACACGAATTTAGCTATAAAGCATTCAAATCTGAAACAAGTATCATAAGAGACTATGTTTAACTCTTCGACTTTCGATATTCAAATTCGAGATCATGCTTGTCAAGCCGGCCCTTCTGCTTGCCGCATTTGGTATTCCCAATGCTTTGGGCGCTCACCCCAGTCGAGCAGAGAAAGCAAAATATGTTGATTGGAAGTCTTTCAAAGCATATGGCGTTAACCTCGGGGGCTGGCTTGTTCAAGAGTCGAACATTGACACCCTCTGGTGGGATAAATATTCTGGACGTGCTGAAAACGAATGGGGTCTACGCGAATACCTCGGCTCCCAGTGTGGACCACATGTGCAGTGCTAGAGCAGCGCTACGCAAGCTGGATTACTACTTCCGATATAGACAAGGCCGCAAAGTCAGGAATCACTCTCTTACGTATTCCGACGACCTACGCAGCTTGGATCAAGTTTCCCGGCTCGAAACTATATTCCGGCAACCAAGCTGCGTATCTGAAGAAAATCGCGACATATGCAATCGCGCGCTATGGCATGCGTATCATCTTAGACGTTCACGGTCTACCCGGTGGTATTAATGGCCTGACAATTGGCGAGGCTGCGGGTCACTGGGGCTGGTTCAACAATCAGACCAACTTCGACTACTCGATGCAAGTCATGGATACTGTTATCGACTTTATCCAGAGCTCTGGCCATCCGGAGTCTTACACCCTCGAACCCATGAAGGAGCCGGCTGACAACCACGATCTCTCCGTCTTCGGAACCTCCGCTGCCCTCTCCGATATAGGAGCCGCTTGGGTCTTGAAGTATATCCACGCTGTGCTTGACCGTGTCACTGCGGTGAATCCTAAAATTCCCGTGATGTTCCAAGGAAGTTTTAAGGGCGAGAAATACTGGTCTGGCAACTTCTCCAGCAGCGATAATCTGGTTTTTGACGTCCACAATTATTACTTTGCGGCCCGCAACACCACGTCTTCGAATATACCGTCTTATATCTGTACAGATGCCAAGGTGAACCCGGGCGATAGAAAGTTTCCTGTATTTCTTGGTGAATGGTCTATTCAGGCCCCGTACAACAATACCTTCGCTTCACGTGAGCGCAACCTGAATTATGGGCTAGATACATTCCATCGATACTCACATGGCTTCTCATATTGGACTTGGAAGTTTTCTGGAAACGCCACCATAGATGGACAAGGCACACAAGCTGACTACTGAAGCTATGAGGATTTAATTGATCGTCGATATTTCCATCCTAGTGCTAGCAACCCAGAGCATTGCTCTTGAGGAGATAACACAATACGCATTATTTCAGCCAGTGCCAGGATGAGCAACTACCAACCATTCAGTGAAGGATCTGAAGGTGTTTCAAGGTGACAGTCGAAGTAATCAGCTTTCAGATAGATAATCAGGGCTGCAAGAGCGTAACGTAGTGCAATTAACAAGCCATGCGCATTTCGAACACCTCCGTCTACCCAGAGATTATCCTTCTTATTTCCATTGAAACAGCCTTCAATCTAATGTTGCTGTTAGGTTGCCTTGATATCATTACCACGAAGGTTCGATCCAATAATCTTTCCACGAACCTCGATCAGCGTCTTGAAACTTTTCAATGCTTTCATCGACGCCGTCTGCTCCCACTCTCCACACGCCGCTCTCTACTAGTTCTGTCCATCGATTTATAAGTCTTCCCAGTCTTTGAGACCTTCGCTCACCCCCAAATGGATGGTGGATACCATGCTGGAATAGTACTGTGAAAGAACCCGAGGTGAGTAGCCTCCCATCGCTCGTCCTCGCACCTTCCTCATCCCTATGGGTGGACTGCAGTCCACCTGGTAGTAGCAGACGGAAACCGCCTTCTTCTTGATCATACTCGTCTCGACAGACAGATTCACTGTATAGTCCCGCGGGAATGAGATCCTGGTTGTCGAAGGGAATTTCTTCACTTCTTGTAAAAGGCAGGAATAGCCACCGGATCTCTTCGTTGAAAGTTACCGCTTGGCTATTATCTGTATGTAGGAAAATCAACACAGGCGGTATTTTTTCACCGCCAATATTATCCCGAGGAATGGTGGTGAATTTTTGCCGATCTATGAATGCTGCGGTGTCGTGCGGGACTGCTAGGCCAGGCGCGATGCTGTTGAACCGTGGCGTCATTGTTCTCGTTAATACGGAGCGGATAAAACACTCATTTGGGATATATGCAGTATCGAGGTCTGCGTTTGTGAAAAGGGGGGCGTCTCGAGACAGACGTAAAAGCGACCCACGCGGCATTCTGGCTTCAATGGCGGCCGTGTATCTATCAATTGCAGCGACAGTGCCATTGACCTGCTCAGGACAGTAGGAATGCCATGACCATGGTCCGATTTGAGATCTGGACAATCGCACTTTCTCTGGTGTTTGATTTTCGTCCCCATGGGCAATTACTTTTCCCATTCTGATCAGTTGAATCCAGTGAGTCAGAATAGTCTCTAATGGCCACCACATTTCCCAGTGCTCCTCCATGGGGAATACACTGTCGAAATTCTCCAGTGTCGGTGGGAATGCAGCCCGGTGGAGCTCCTGGTCATAGATCACTCCAACACAATGCGAACCGAGCTCCGCTACAGTGCCATAAATCACGACAAAGCGTTCCATATCCTCAAGACCATTCTCGTCATACAGTTCAAGGATGTACTCGTCGAAGAGCTGCATAGCCAAATTCTCCACCCAATAAAATACAGCCTGAGTAGGTTCGTATATCAATTCCAAGAAAAAGTTCAAGGAAGGGTGGAGGCGGTCGCGTATAGCCTCAAATTCCTGGCAGAAACGGTGAGGGCGATTCGCCAGCTCATCTAAGTCCGGCCTCTTCCACTCATGCCGAACCATCCAGCCATATGCGACCAGGTAATTATGTAGCCTCGCACAGCGCTCATAGTCGAGAGAGTAGTCGTCAAGTGCTGGATTAGCGTCCGTCACCAACGCGTCTTCGATGTCAAACACGTCGCGTGGGAGGTTATGTGGAGCCATGTAGAAAGTCAATATAAAGACTCCACAGAATTGTTACCAGGCGCCGGAAAGCAGAGAGTCGCATGTGTCGAAGCGCGTCAGAAAACGCACAGTAAAAGCCGAAATTCGAAGCATTTAAAAGGGGATCAGGATCTTTCAATATCGTATTCGCTAGAGACCAATCAGTTAGCGGCAAGTTACTGTTATTGGGAGTGGATTGGCTGAGTACACTCTTATGGCTTGAATAACTAACAACTACCAAGTTTTTACTATACCTTTTATACCATCACCTACCATGTTTCATACTAATTGCTTCATAGTGAAAAGAGAGGGGTGCATATGTTGAAGCATCAGCGAATTTTGATTGGGTGAACGATTGATAGCGGTCTGGTTCGGCAAATCGCCATATTTACGTTCTAGTTCTTTCCTTCTATTGTGAGGATATTCCTCTGCAATTTTCTTCTGTTGAATGAAGTACTGTATACATCTCTTCAACCGTTCCAGTTTCTCTTAGACACATTTTCGCGGTTGACTGTTCGCTTGGCACCACCCGAGGTGTAACCAACTGCGGTTCCACCACTCCACACCGCTACCTTCAGCAACTCAACATCATGCTGCCAAATTTCCTGCAAAGCAGTTACCGTCGCTACAAGGATGATACCAATAGTTTTGCAACTTGGCTACTTGAAGCAGCTGGCAAATGTGGCTACCGACCCACCACACTTCCCTCTACCGCGGCTTCCCACAATCGAGGAAAAAGCAAGAGCAAGAACAATGCAGTGAATTCTAATCCAGTGCAGTACAGCGCGAGTCTTAAAGATCTTCAAATATTTGCCGAAATAATTGCAAAGTCTTCTCTTGCTGTGCCCGAGCCTGTACTTATCATTGCGAAACGAGCGATCAAGCTGAGGAAAGAGGTCACTTCTTGGTTTTTGGGACAAGGCAACTCCGACAACAACAACAAGCGGCACTCTCATTTCATCTCGGTGTTGGAAGATATTTGCGATAGTCTTGAATGGAAAATCAAAAAACCCTTGAACCCAGATGGCCAAGGATCACCTTCGACCCCTGGAACCAGTCCCAATGCCGACATCGACACATTCATGAACAAATTTGCGGTCCTTACAGTCGAGGAACCGGAGGAACATGACCCGAATGAAACGCCTTCTACTGAACGGAAGGAATTAGTGAAGGTAGAAGTCATTGAAAATGTCGAGGAAGAGTCAGACGATGCCTTTGTCAGCCATCTCTTCTTCAAAGCATGTTGCTTGTTTCAAGATCTACAAATGATGCGGGAAACCATCTCCCAAACCTGGTCAGATTATCGAGACTTGAAAATTGATCTCATGAATGCCGCTGTCGTCACTGATAGCGCTTTACAGATTGCGCGAGATCTGGTGGAGGAAGTAGTGGCTGACTGTCGTACTTCAAAGTTCTCACCCGGTGATAAATTTCAAGAATTCTTTTTCGGCATTGCCTGCATCGCAAACGGCAGCCCTACAACCCCGTCCTTGGAGATCGGGCTGCCATACAATGAGCACATGGATGAAGTGGCACACTGGTGTTATTTGCCAACTAGGGTTATCCTAGGTTCATTTGCCGAGGTTTTGAAAGTTAATGATTCTCCAGTCATCAAGAAAGGACATTTTGGTCCTTATGATGCAAAAGCAGACAGACAAAAGATGACCCTGGATCAAAAATTCAACGAGGATAAAATCATTCTTTGCGAGCTACTACCAGAATTCGCCCGGTATTCCGCGTTGAAAGTCGAGTTGCCTGCCTCTGATGCCATTACTGAAGGCCTGATGGAATTTTCGAAGACCAAGGTTGTTACTCCCTGGATTTGCTTTGCTTCCCAGATCCTCCTGGATGTTCATCACATCATGCGCTACAGCACTTTGGGTGCGTTTGCAGACCTGCGGATGACAGGATTGCGTATCCAAAGAACCATTACGGAATACTTCAAAATATCTCAATCGCACCCTCAGCCCAAATTCTGGCCGAAAGAGGCCGATGACGAGATCAGGGCGGTACAACTATGCGTGGAGTCGTTTATCATTCAGGACCAGGTCTGGGCCGTTCTCAGTATGGAAATGGCGAGACTCGGTAAACCCCTTCCCGAGAAGCATGCTCTTTTTTCAGGGCATGCCATTCTATGTGGTGTAAACATGTTCCATCTTAACGTTCGGATGCAAGTTCTTGGCCAGTCGCTCGTCACTCAATGGTATGATGTCCAACAATTGGCATTCTTGTACAACCTCGTTACTCAATATCCTGCCATGAAATTGCGCTGGCCTGATATGGACACTTTGATTAAGATTCACGGCGAGTCTCAAATCTTTGTTGGCTCTCGACCTAAAAACGCAAGTGAATCGTTGAACAGGCTTGAGTTAGCCACGGGCATCGCATCTCCCGCCAACTTTGCCCGCGATTCACGTCGCAGACGTGAGGGATCATTTGCTCGCCCTAATGGTAAATCTGCCAGAGTACTTGAGCCAACAACTACAATCGCAAACATATTTCGGGCCCAATATATGCGCGAGTCAGAGGAGAAAGTCAACAGTATTGCCAACATCGAAAAGGTCCTCGAAAGGATTTTTGAGGAATCAAGTCCCCACGCTACGAGCGGGGAGATACAGCCATCCAATGCCGAAGCAATGTTCCATCGGAGGTGGTGTAGAACCCACAACATCAACACTTTGCAACTTCTCGCCTTTGTAAAGAGCCGGTTATTCGAAGAAGAGCCCGTTCTCTTGTTCAACTACTTTGGGATGCACAAACGCTCAATCGAATTGTTGAGACTGATCAAAGCCAAAGAACACCACAAGTTTGTCCAATATTTCACGCCTGCCTACATGCCTGATGATAGCATGATATCGAACATTGTCATTCTTGTTCATCACGTTGCGCGAGGCTCGGCAGAAAGTGCGCGTCAAATGGGAATTCCGAGCCAGTTTAGCCGTATTGTCAACAGCTGCGGTGAAGTTATGCAGCAATATCTCCAGAAGAATGGAGACACGGGATGCAAAGAGTTGCTGGTCTTTTGCAAGAACAAAAATCCAATTCGAGATCAAGAGCGTGTTGAAAAAGGCGAGACTGAGAAATTTGAGTGGTATACACTGGAAGACCTTGTGGGTACTAAGGCTGTCGCCTCGCTCATGACTGGAATTCCAGTCGCCCACGCTAGATAAATTAATGCGTTAAAATTCAATTCCAATAGCAGTCTCCTGGAATGTCAGAGCTTGAAACATAACAACATTATACATTAGTCAAGCCTCAAGATTCCTGAAATTGACGTCAAGGACAAGCAATCTCGCAAAGCCTAAAGTGGGTCTTAATGACGCTACCCGGCACCCACCTTTACTGCCACAAGAATGAGCAAGGATGATTGGCAGCCAACATATATAATTGTCAAAGTCGCGGGAATAAATACTATGAGGTAGCTGCTTTTACATAAATACATTCATTGTTATCAAGATCCCAGATGCCAGGTACAGACTCCTTTGCTGAGCTGGTCTTGAACCATTCGACCCTGCTTTCTTGATTCCGCCTGACATGTATACGCGTCTTCCTCGGTATTGTCCTGGCTCAGAGGTTCTACTTTCAGAAGAAGATTGCATCATTGACATATCATAATAAATTTCACCATTCTTTTAGCCTAATATGTTGAAATGCAGCATTGAGGGGAGTTGAATGAAATATCGTTCTGTGACACATGACGAAAGAATTGATTATCTTGGAACGCGTCAACGAGGAATATTATCCGTGAAAAGGTTTAGCGTTTTATGTGGATTTGAATCCAACTGCTAGGAGAATCCTACGGAGTACGAGGCAGATTTGGCTATGAAGCCACCAATCCGGGAAATCCGTGGATTATAGCAGGAATATTCGCGACAGCGGCGACTTTCCGATTTTGGATCTCACGCCTGTCTCTACTGTGCTTAAAATGCGCAAATGTGTGGATCAGAGCACAAGTAGTCACACGATCTTTAAAAATTCAATTCAATTTCGCCGTATGGTCTTCTCTAAGCGGTTTCAACTCACGCATACAGTAAGACCGACTGGCAGTATGGGCTTTAGACAATGACGAAGAGAGCTTTGCATAATTGATTGAAAACGCGACCGTTCAATCATTCGCCATCAAAACAAGCAATGATAAGCTATATCACGCGATTAACTAGTGGCCAGGAACGTCAGCCCATTACGTACATTAGGATGAAATGCCGATCTGACCCACTTTGATCGGCAGATGATGTCTACAGTAAATCCCCTTTATAACTGCATCTCGCCTACCAAATCCCCCAAGTTCTGTCAGATATGTACAAAATGAATTTAACTGGTGGTATTTTCGGTGCCCTTTTGTGTTCGCCCGTTCTGGGTCAAATTCATCATTTTTATTCTGGATTTTTCAGCGGGGATTCATTGTATGGGATTGAATTCAACGAGGCGTCTTCCAAGTTGAATGTTGTTTATAACGGATCTCTCGACCTCTCGAGCTCTAAGTGGGTTGCTACAGATGTAAGTCACGTTTGGCGGTACCTTGTCACCTAAGAAAGATACTCATGATCAAACACAGAAAGAAAAAAGGAATATTTACATCACGGACGAGAACACGTACCAAAGTTATTCCATTGATAAGAATTATTCCTTGGTGTACAAGGGAAATGTTTCGATTTCAGAAAACTGTTGGTGTTCTTCCCTCAGGTGCTTAGCTGGAATACGGATTCTGACTTTCCATAGGCGATAACACGAACTACATCGTGTCCTCAACAGCTAAGCCATACACTGTTTTTGGTGCACCCTATTCTGAGGGATGTCCCGGACAGGTCATCGCAGTCGATGCCTCTGGCACTTTGGAATCAGTAAAAGCCAACATAACATACAGCAGTGATTCAGGAGTGCACGGCCTTGCACTAAGCAGTGACAATCGATTTATCTATTCTGGCGACGACATGGGAAGTGCCGTCTGGACTCATTCATATGACGAGAGCACCAACACAGTGTCAAAGCTGCAGCGACTCAATGTCACCCGGAACCCAAGACACCTAGTGGTATCACCACAGGGATCCTTTGTTTACGTGATTCTTGAAGAGAACAACCAGCTCGCCGTTTTCAACCGTGATAAATTTACGGGAATTCTCAGCGGAAGAAATAAGACTTATTCTCTCCTTCCCTCATGTATGAATCCAATCCCACCCCAAATGCCAAAATCTAATCCCACATGCTGATGAAATCCACTTCTATTAGCCTACTCTAACAGATCCCTTTACTGGTCCGATGAGGTTATGTTCTCGGTCCCTCAACACAACGACAAGTACCCCAAGTATCTTTTCGCCAGCGTTCGCTCTAAGACTTCCACAGATCCCGGATTTGTGGCTGCTTTCTCACTTGATAGCACCACGGGGTCTATCAAGGATCGACCTTTCCTCCTTCCGACTACTGGACCCGGTGGTGCCTCGAATTCGATCACACCTGCAACCTTTTCGGAGGATTATTTCGCGATTGCGGATGCGCAGGACAATTTCATCGAGGTGTGGAAATTGGGTGACAATGCTACTACAGCTGCCGTCGTAGCGCATCTTGATGTCGATGACAGTCCAGCTAATCTAGTTTGGGTGGATTGAGTAATAATACATCTGGAGAAGGTTTGGGAACTGTCAGCGATGTCAGTTTTAGTTGGCGGGTTTCAATTGACAGCTTTTCGCAATTGTCTACGTACATAAATGTCGGACTGTATATATTGCAAGGCTATTGGAAAGTTGGGAAGACTGATGTTGATGTCTTGTGTGTACATGTTTACGTGTCATGTAAAAGCCTCAATTTCATCAAAATTCCCCTCGCGGGTAGCCGAAGAACAGTACGGATCTGCTTATAACGTGGACCAGTTACTGAGCAGTCCACATCAAAATAAAGGGGAAACGTAACTTGTATTTTGCTGCATAATGTAGCGTAAAACTCTCGGTTGTCTTGTATGATGCGGACATAATCACGCATCTTCCTCAGTAATCAGTTTCACGTCTGCTGCAAGAAGTATTTCATCCTACTTATATTAAATAGATGTCTTGGAGCTTGCTTACCATCCCAATCGAGTCTTCAAAGAAGTCCTTGGTCTGTACGAGGTGTGTTGAGCATAGGAAAGGAAACGAGTGTGCGCATTCAGACTGGACTGGATGGTCTGAAGAGGGAAAGACTATCTACATTGAGAAGTGTGGGGTTAAGCCCCATCGTTGAAGCCTAAGGTATCAAGCACCATAAACAGGCCAGGTTCTGGCCCCTGCTTATTACAAGTGCTCCTAAGGCATAAACCCTTCTTCAATTCTCATCGAGCTTACCATCTTGATCGGCTCCCTCATCCTTCAAATATCCTCGACTCCGAAATGCCCTCTCCAGGATCTCACGGATCCTTTTTTCCTTCCGAAAATTGTAGTCCATGACCGTACCATCAACCTTGACTGTGTCCAGAGCAGCATCATGCTTTGCCTGCATATATAGGTCTTGATCTTCAGGGTTGTTCAGCAGCCAATCCCTGAATATAAGGTGTCGCTCAGCCTCTGCACAATCAGGGCCCCAGACGTGCAAGTTTCCCCCGTAGGGCTCATCACGCGAAAAAAAGCGATGCTGGTGCCATGTTGGTTCACGGAGCCTGAAACTCCACCCTGCGCGTTCCAAAAGTGGAACATAGGCGTCTTCGTCCAGGATGTTGGCGACCGTCAGGTCAATGTCGATGATGTCCTTGGCGGAGAGACCAGGGACGCTAGTTGAGCCCACATGCGAGACTGTGATGGCGATTGAACCCAATTCAGATATGATGCCGTCTTTGAAGAATTGGTATTGTGAGGGCCAGGATGGATTGTAGTCAGTAAGCGCGACAGTGCGTTTGTTCTTGGCAAAGGATATGCGTTGGACCGCTGAATCGTCATTCTCATAGTGTTTTACTATGTCTTCAGCGGAAACGGGCATCTTTTCGTAGAGTTTTTAAGTTTCAGAGTGCTAGGAGAGGTCTAACAGGCGTCTTGTTGTGAACAGACTTGAGGTTTGCGGGATGCCTCGTGCGGGGAAAACACGTGCCGGCTCCAGTAGTCATACTAAGCTTACCAAGGCATACTAAGATCAAAACCCGAAATTGATTTTTTTACTGCCCTTGGCACCGCTCTGTATTAGTTACTAGTAGCTGCATCATGTCTATATGAGCTTTTATCGCACCCCCATCTCCATCTCCGCATCCACCTACATCCACCTACAGTAAACATAGAGAACTGACCTTAGCTTCTATAGAGACTATATTATCCCCCTTGTTAATTAGAAAATGAAGGAATCTAATGTCCTGAATATTCTTTAAGCTACTAGGATATCAAAATTAGCCATCTGTTTGTGGGGTCAGATGAACTCCTCCCTTTTTTTTGGCACCTCTCTGTCTTAGTTTAGTTCTCTCCCTCTTTCTTCTTCAACCCTCTCGCCTTTATTACGATTGCTAATAGTACCTCTCAGTAGCACTCTCTAAGCTCAAACCAAGGTTATATTGAATACCCCCAATTTTCATGTTCATGGGCCCGGATTTCTAGAGTCCTCGAGACTTTTTGAAGAGAAATTCGTGTTAAATTCATAGGTTGAATTCGCTGTGGGGATTACTAGGATACTAGATGAATGTTTGTTTTTGTGATTCGGGTACTAAATATCTCTGCCAGATCCAAAACTAGTAGTTTACTATGATAAAATTTGTTTCCGGATTTGGATCTTAGTAGGCCAGGGTCAAAGCTAGAAATTATCCCGAACAATATATTGCCCTAAGTTGCTTCGCGCCCCGCCGCCAAGACTTTACCGCAACTCAGTATTTGAGTTATTGAGTGTGCTATTGTTTAATGTGATTGAGATGCAATTAACAGACCTCTGTCCACGAATATCGGCGGCCAATCTAAACACCCGCCTATTCGTTTCAGCATTAGTCCCGGTATATCAATACCTTTGCGTTCTCCACTTAAAATACAATAACTCTCCTAGGGCTACTAGTATATTTGGCGATCCAAGTTTGGAAGGAATATACTCGTAGACTTTGTATAACGATAAAGCCTGGACTACCGAGTTTCTATGGATAGACTTTCTCGTATGCCGGTTACTCACAAATTAAACCACAGATAGACACCACCAGTGATGAACCCTTCTCACGATGCCAAGAATGCCAAGAGCAGGGTCTGACTTTGTGTGTATTCGTTCCTTGGTACTGGTGTATCGCCATTTAAGCTCCCGCCTGCAGCGCCCGTAAATAGAGTTAATCTAGGGTTAAATTCGGAGAATTTTGTGTTCGTATTTTTGGATTGTACCGGTGTCATCATTACTTCTCCTGGCCCGCCACCGACGAAGACCTTCGGCTCTGTGGAACTTGTTCGAGTTGGGTCAAGCCAGCTTCTCGCGGTTCTGTCCTATTAGGGGGCACCCCTAACTCGACTTATAATGCCCGCATGATTCAGATCAAGAACGGAGCAGCTGTGGTCTGTGGAGACTGTACAACTGGGGGTGGAACATTGACGACGAACAACCTAGGTATTGAACCACGTATGTCCAACAGGCGATATCCCCGGGTGCAACAGCAGCGTGGGTAGACCTGAACAGAAAGGACAAATAGACAAATTTTTACAACATTCCCACTCTGCCAATTGTTTAATATGAATATTTGAGATGTTTCCCGTTCTGGAAAAATTTTGCGATCATTCTCGTGTCGTTTATGATTTTTCGCTTTTGATGATATTATCTGCGTCCCATTATATTCATCCAGGTACATAGGCACAGAATGGTGAATGCTTCGAAAGGTTCCGCTTCACTTGTTCTAAATCAAAACTAGGTTTTCTTAGTCGATTGACGATTCATTTATTACAAAAGCAGATCATTATTGGCTCCAGTTTTTGAGACGGATTTCTAGGTGGATACGGCGGACCATGATCCAGTGCTTCAGACCCACTTTTAGCTTCTTTTGTGGCGCTCGCATTCTCGCATTCTCGCATTCTCGTACTTTCGTATACCTAACCTGCGGTTGGTAGAAGTTAAAATTCTATCAGGGTCTATTTCTGTGGCAAAGGTCTAGAAAATGATACATAAAGATCAATTGATCCAATCTTAAATGTTATTTTCTACATACATTCACTTATCCATATTTCATTTGCTCCGTAATGTCTGCCGTAAAGTCTACCAGAGATGGCGGCATTGATTTCGCTCTTTATCGCTACACGCCGTCTATAGCAGCAGCCATAGTCTTCGCTGCAATATTTCTCCTTCTTTCTATTCTACACTTGATTCGACTGGTTCGAAATCGCACCTACTTCTTCATTCCTTTCCTCGTGGGCTTACTATGTGAGAGCCAATCCCCATCCCTCAAACCCTCACTCTGCTAACTTGCTATTGAACAGTTGAATGCGCTGGCTACATTGCTCGCATCTTCTCACATTTCAATACCACTGCACTCGGCCCATATATCGTCCAAACAATGCTAATTCTTGTCGCACCCCCATTATTTGCTGCCTCTATATACATGACCCTCGGTCGGATTATTGTCAAGCTTGACGCAGAAAGCAACTCCATCGTCCCAGTCCGGTTCCTTACCAAAATATTCGTTATTGGCGATGTCATATCTTTCCTTCTTCAGTGTGGAGGTATAAAACACCTTGATCATTAATACATAATATTTCTGAATGCTGATTGTTGATAGGTGGGGGTTACATGGCCGCTGGAACTCTGTCCGCCATGGACACCGGTGCGAATATTGTTGTGGGAGGCTTAGTCGTTCAGCTTCTCTTTTTTGGATTCTTCATCTTGGTCTCCGCCGTGTTCCACTGGCGAGTCAAGAAGCAGCCGCGGTATATCCACGTCTCAGAACGCGTGCGGTCGCATGGCGTCGAGAGTCGCATGACATGGGAATCCGTAATGTGGGCACTCTACGCTGCCTGCCTGCTTATTCTGGTGCGATCGGTATTTCGAGTTGTGGAATTTGTGGAAGGAAATGATGGGTTCATCATGCGCAGAGAGTATTTGCTCTATATTTTCGACGCGTGCCTCATGACGTTGACTGGAATTGTGTTGTTTATTGTCCACCCCAGCTCATTTCTATCCTCGGGTCGGAAGAGGGATAGTGAGCTGCAACTTGTCTCCACGGAGGAAGGATGTAACGTTCATACAAAACCACGAGCATAATCCGGGGGGCAAGAAACATCTGAGCACATATGCTATAAATGGTGCTTTTGACTGTTTGACTGTGTTCCTTTCTCTCTGTTTTATTTTCTTATTATAAGTCATCGCCAAATAGAATATATTTGATCTTTTTTTTACTGTAATGTCTTCCGAGCCGCCAAGTCCCTCACAATGAATAGAGTATTAAAATCAGTCCTTGGACAGGTAGGCTGAGACTAATTATTGATTTACCTAAACGCTAGAAGAAATGATAAATAATGAACTTTCAAGACAGCAGATGCTTAGAAAGCGAATTGTGGCAGAATTCCAGAGCCGCATCTCCCTGGAGCCACTTCCCTTAATTCGTATTCTTCACACAGCCACAATCTACCCGGCTACCTAGGTAGCCAACTTGGAACTCTTGAGACACTTTCCGGTCTACAATTTTTTATTGAGAATCACATCTCAAGTGCCCAATTCCTCCTTGCCACAGCCAATGCCGAGGTCACAAACGCGTCCCACGCATCATCGGATCAGCCACACGAAATCACGAAACGGCTGTTTTGCATGCAAAAACCGTCGAGTGAAGGTACCACAATCCTTGGAAAGTGCTCTTTCTTCCGAATCAAGTCTGACCGCAACAGTGTGATGAAGAACGACCAATATGTGGTGCCTGCTCCATCCGAGGAGATGAATGTTCCTTTCCAGCACATAAGACACGTGACTGCAAACCAAGATACCCTAGTCATCAGAGTCATCACGATGAGGCTGGGTCGGCGATGCCGGATTTGCACACTGACACTATACGTCCCTTGAGTCTCAATATGCCCCCGGCGGGAATCTCTGATCCTGACCGCAATTCCACAACATTGAACATGCATGACATGAATCTCCTACAGCACTATATTTTGCACACCTCGAAAAAATTGAGTTTGGATGCTAAAAAAGTCTTGGTCTGGGAGCGTGTCATTCCAGATATAGCGGCTAAGAATACCTTTCTCATGCACTTGGTTGTGGCACTGGCCGGCTTGGATATATTGACAACCGACCAACAAGACGAACAAACATATACCGTCGACCTTCGAACTCTGGTTGAGCACCATCAGAAGGGTCTGCAAGGTTTCCAGGAGAAACTTGCTTCTGTTGAGGACAAAAACGCCGAAGTTTTATTCACTGGATCAATCTTAATTGTTGCCTTTGCATTTGCTTCACTTCGGGTCGGGAACCTGGATCTTTTGACCCTCGGACCGCAGTCCATGTCTGCTGGAGATAGCTCCCCGCGCACATCTCATCGCTACGAAAGACCTCATGTACAATGGCTGCGACTTATACGCGGTGCAACCTTCATTGTGCGGGATCTGTGGGCGGCACTAAGCTTAAGCCGTGTAAGGCCTCTTTTATTATTCAAAAACGCCAACGAAGACTGGCAATTTCTCGGCGAAAGCCCACTGCCGAGTTTGCCGTCTTGGCTTGTGCGATCGCAAAGGCTTTCTGCGTTTATTTTAGGGGAGAACCTAGCCGTTCGAAAATTGCAAGAGTTCCTGGACACCTTGAAAACAAGGGAGCGTGATGTTGGCGATGACCTTACTCAATCTTCGTCTGGGCCCAGCCCTGCATCTAGTTGGAACCATCAACCAGACGAAATATTTGCTGCACAAGATGAGGCAATTGCAGTTACCGCGCAGATGTTTAAGCGCATCACATATGCGGTCCGGATACAACCTGTAGAATCAAGCTCGTCAGATCGTGAGATGCACGCTGAGATGGAAGATGCGGCTATCACATCCTGGCCAGGTCTCGTGCCTGAAGCTTTCGTTTCGTCCCTGGATTCGGATTCCGGTTTAGATATACCCAATTGCTTCTCTTGCGTTATTCTCGCACACCTTTACTTGGTTCTTGCGCTCCCAGATGAAATCTGGTATCTCGGAAAGAACTTTGCGGCGGAAATTAGGAAAATTCATGCATTGGTTGCCCAATTCGGTAATCCCCAATTGTGCGATTTGATGATATGGCCGATGGATGTTTTGGGTTTTGGAACAGAATCTCGATGAGTGAATTTATTGTCAATACCAGGCTTCGGGAGTAGCCGAATATGCTGACTATGGAGGAAGATCTACAAATAAATCCATTTAGATTTACTGTTACTCAGGGAAAGTAGGATTATCTCAAAGATATTTCCATCTTATATTTGCTTCGATCCCTATGATATCACATGAAAATCACATCAAAGCCAGGGAAAAGAAAAAGAAAATCACAAAGAGCCCAGATGAGACCAATTGCGCCAAAGGAAGTCGAGACCGTAGTCCCGTTCCATAAAGACGCCGATAACTCCCATCCTGTTCATTCATCATACGCATTCCCCAATGCACACACAGTAAGCATACATCTCTAGTCAGAAGTCGAGGCGTAAGCCTCACCAACAGAGTTCAGCGCACCATCAGTAAGCAGATAGTCCTCAGCACAGTAGAAGTACGAGTAGCGAGTAACGTTAGTCTGCGCATCCATGAAGGTAAGAGCCTGAGTAACAAACTCCGCAGTAGTAGACTGATCAGCGACACCAGAGGTATCAGCACTGAGCGCAAACTCAGTAACCCACACCTCATCCAAGCTGTACGCAGCAGCCGTGCTAACAGCCTGCTGGACAAAAGACTCGAAGTCATCAATCGAATCGCCGTACCAGTGCACCGCCAATCCGCTAATACCGCACGAAGAGCAGTCAGACATGAACTCCTCGAACCAGCTCAATCCCTCTCCGGAAGTAGTAGACGAGGTCACGGCGGGAGAGATCAGCTTCGCGGATCCAGAGTACGGGGTAATGTACTCCAGGTAGTATGCCGCAGCCTCGGAGGGGCTCATGTTAGCCTGCGCAGAATTATCAGGCTCGTTGAATCCGAGGATGTAGTCGCTTCCGCTGGCGAGGATAGTTTCGATGGCGGAGACCCAGCCCGAGAAAAAGGTGGCGCCCCATAGCATGGGAACGTATTCCACGCCGGAGGGCAGGCCGGGATCGATGGTGTAAACCCAGTCGTAGGCCCAGCCGATGGTGCCGGAGCTGGCGAGGGTGTCCACGGTGGAGACGTCGTTGTAGGCGGCTCCTCGCTTGGTGGTGGAGCGCTTGTGCACCTTGTGCTTGTGCATGTTGTGGGGCACAGCAAGGGTGGTGGTGGCCAACAGGCCTGCGGTGAGCAGGTTGGTGAAGGAGACCATTTTGAGTGCTTTTTTGGGTTGTTTAGGTCACCGAAGGAGTGGATGAGACCTGATTGAATAGAGAAACCTGTTCTCGGATTGAAAAGAGTGGATGGAGAAAGGAAGGGCGTTCTAGACCGTGCACGGCACAGGTAGCTAGATGGCAAAAAAGGACAGGAAAAGACCCGAAGGAATGGAATGAGATGCACTGGGGGGAAGAAGAAGAAGATGAGGATGGGGATGGACGAGGTTAAATCACCGGCGCGTCAAGTGTGCGTCAACCGATATTACCATCATATTTACTTTTTGCTGTTTAGTGGAGTCGGAGAAAAGAAGTTCAATGATTGGGTTGAATGGAGTCAATTTGTCTTTACTTTGGGTCATTTCTCTTGTCGGTGTATTCCATAGGTTACCAGCCAATGTGGCAAGGAGGAACCAGGGAAAGTATATGACTGGACATGGGGAATAAAGACCCGATTGACAGCCACCGGTAAAGACATGATTGGTTCATTTCACCTAGCTCTAGACAATTCATATTTACCAAGTGGAGTCAATGCGGATTTCTTTTTCTCATGCCTCTTCTCCTCCTTAATCGGGTTAATTATCCGCTCCACAGAAGATCTATCAATGCTCCACAAAGGGCTGGACCTGAGACACGGGGATTTTCAAAATGTCTATGAATTTCATTGTTGACGAGTTGCTGATTTCAGTCTCCGGGGAGTTCAACGTTTGGTCTGTGTGTTATTAGAATATCTTCCGTGGCGGCGATATACTCCTGTCAGGATGAGCAACAGCGGCAACTTTCGAAGTTGATACAATAATTCACAGCTAATCCAAACATGCAAAAAAACAGCTGAGAGCTCTGTATTTGTGGGATTCATTAAAAGAGTGGAGCATGTCATTAGATTTACCATGGAAATGTATCGAAATACTCGATAGGATTGGACATCCGGTGGCGCTGCGTATTACATCCATGGATCATCGTCAGGGCAGCCAACCTGATTGGCCAAACTCTACTCTTGTACACTGAATCGAACACAACAACGTGTCAAAATTAAAATGAAGCTCTTCAATTCAAATTGAAATCTGTATGAAGCACAATGCTGCTATCTGTTCATGTTCATTCAAGTTGACCTGAGTCCTGACACATCACATGTAGGAGTTACCGAAAATGTTATCCGTAACAATGACGCCACCGGCTCACAGCTCCGATCATGGTAAATGTTTCATTTTCAAACCTTGCATCCTTGCTGACGAAGCCTTGGCCACTGAAACACCCCTGATCGCTGTCGCGTCCCCGCTAATCGCCCAAGCCTCACCGGATTGAGGCACCGGAAACGCCCCCTTTGTCTCCATTCGCTGGGCCTGGACCTAGGGCTCACCCTACGGTGGAGATCACAACGTAGTGTACTCCGTACTGTACTGCGTACCTGAACGTTCCCCGTTATGCCCCGACCGTTCGGCGACAGCGCCAGCGACAACGCAGAGAGAGAGAATTCGTTTTCCCGCTGCTTCTATCGAGGTACTCCTTTTCGCCCGGTCGCAAGCTTCAAACTCGTGGTAGGCGCGGTTCTTCTGATTGGGGTGCAGATTTCGATCTTGCAGCTCCTATAGGTGCACGGGTATGGATTGATTGGCCTCGGCGAGTAGGGGAACCTGGTTGGCGGCGTTTGTGGCAGTCTTGACACGGGCATTCATAGGGCCTTTACTTTTAATAAAAAATACCGACTCATGGTTCATTAGCTAAATGGCTGCCTCTATGTTGGAACTGAATTTTCCAAATTCGATGTACTAGCATTCTTCTTGACTAGCTCGATCGCTTGGATAAGCATCGGCAACTTTATTTTTGAGATTTACACCGGGTGTTACAAGCGAACGCGTTGACACAATTCAAAGGTCGATTTCTCTCGGTCTCTCTCCGTTGGTCTGGGCCTTCAACTTCAACCTTATGAACTACTAGCTGAGGCTGCCGTATACGTAATAAATACGACAGCAGGCCCAGTATGCATGCGCTTCTCATGATTCCCTCGGAGGGCTTATCGCCCAGCCTTACGGGAATTCTGACTTTCTAACTACCGTGCCACGTACTTGAACCCTGCGTTACATGTATTCGTCGATTGCAAGTCTAATTAGAAATGGAGCGACAGGTACAGTGGATTTCGGTGCATTTGCGGCATTTCTTTTACTTTGAGAAACGGGTCGTAGGGCAATTGTTGAGTATTCGGTCTTGGCAGTCTAGGGAGATTCACGAAACTCCTGGTGATTTAGTCATAGTCAAGTCGCTCTGCCATTTTTACCGAGGATTTAAATTTAAAGGTTGACAACTTTGAAGTATGAATCGCTTTCAACATATAAGCTATTGGTTCCAATCTATCATCATTTCTTCAGTATTAATCTAAATCAGCCCCAAACACGTTGTATTAAATAAAAAATTGGTGACACCAGTCCAAGCATCTAAATTTCATCGGCACCAGCGCTACCAGATACTGCCGGCCTATGCTCAAGATGCTATTATCTTAAGAGACTTTCTTTTAAAAAATAAAAACGTCTAACTGATGGTGCCTTTCTTAAACCATTGATTGAGCGGCTTCTGCAGCACTGCTGGAAGTAGTCGGAGCCAAAATCCGTGCTTTTGATGGATATATAATGCACCTTTCCATCATTCGAACTGAGTCAAACAATTTTGTTCTGAAGCAGGAGTCAAGTTACTGTTCTTATCACCCTACCTGTCAGACTTGAACCCCATCGAGGGCTTATTTACCGAGCTAAAGGCTTAGATTAAGAAAGCCCAATTAGCCAATAGATAGAATCCCGACCAAGTATTTCATGCCTTCCTCTGCTGGTACGTTCATGATGTTGGTGCAAAACAGGACAGTGCCGAAGACCATTCCTGACATTTAGGTAAAACAATAAAGAGGTGTATCAGCCTGCTTGCAGATGGGGATTGGGGATTGGGGATCGCATGTTCTGCGCCTGTGACAAGGGCAACCAGACCCCAAAATTCTAGTGTAGACCCAGGATTTATTTCCAATACATTTTGCACCGCGCTCAATGCTGATTTGAAGAAATACCGCCACAAATTGCGGTGATCTGGGTCTCGTAGGTAGTACGATACACTGTCAGCTTACAACTCAACTCAAGGGATTCCACAAACTGAGCATAAAGGCTGAACGTATTCACTACACCTGTCCGGAGCAAGATCGAAGTCATTGATTTTGCCACAGCTACACTATTCCCAATAGCTCAGTAGTCAGAATACTGTTCATCTTTGAATAATGAAAGTATTGGCGTGACTTACAGAAACCCAAAAATTTGGGTGGTTGACTTCGCACCCGCAGTGAGAATTGTTTTGGATACAGAAACATTCAATCTACTATATGGCTGAGGTCCTCTGGCGGTTGGGGGAATCGCTTCCTTCGCTCAGATCCTCGGGATAGTTTTCAGAACTACCGAAGTGGTTATTTCGTTTTGCTCTGCAATCAAGGATGCACCGTTGAGCTCCGTCGCGTCAAGGAAAACCTCCTCAGCCTTCGAATGAGCCTTGAAAGTAACCAGGTCCAGCTGGATGGACTTGACGAAGGTGACCTTCTACCACCTGATATGTGCTATATTTAATGTAACACGGTGGAATCGACTTATGAAGATGTGACTGCTGTGCATAAAAGATGCATTAAATCGTTGGGTGGAGAGCCTGGGGCTACTGGCAAGCAATTAAAATGGGCTTTGGTCGAGCGACATCTTGTTAGTGGTATGCTTGAGCGCCTGCAAGACTCAGAACGCACCTTGTCATGTGTCCTACAACTACTGAATGTGTGATGAGTAGTTTCCTTCTTGCTTGTATTGCAATTCTTATTCAGCCGGTTGTCTCTATTAATTTGTACCTCACATAAGGAGCTCTTCAAAGGACGCAGAGTGATTGCATTCGATGATAATTCGACCAACAACCCACAGCTATCCCAATATCATCATCTTCAGGAAAACATACTTGGCGTTGACTCCTGGCTCCGGAAATTTAGTCTTTACGGCTTCTTTTCGCTCGTATCCGCGACGGACAATAAGGAGCGGAAATCCAGGTTGCGAATAGTCTTCAACCCGCCTACGTGGATTTTATCCAAGTCAATCGCCATTGGCTCCATTTTGCAAGAGCCGAGTTTCTTGGAGACGGGATATATATCTTGCCCGGAAGCATTCGTCTGCAAAATCAAGTTTCTTTGACGTCACCGTTCATGACTGGTTGTGCCTCAGGGGATATCAAGTTCAATTAAACAGCATCTAGTGGATAGAACTGGACAGCTTAGAGACAGAGCTATCTGTTGCGGTAAAACCCCTCTTCTGGTAAGAAGTAAAAGATGTTCTTCAACACAAAAGTACTGTTACTGACTTGCGGTTGAAGCTAGCTATTGAGGGGCAGCACTTGAACGCTATTCAATATCTTCTGGATTCAGGTGCCGATCCAAATATGGGAGACGATAGTCAGATGTGATTGAATGACATAATCGAAAGCTTACGGCCCTAATGACTCATATCAATCTGACCGAGTAGTCTTCCAATCTTCGCAGCAGCTGGCATGTCGTCAGATAAAACGAGATTTTTCCCACAGCTTCCTCCCAAATGGAACTCGTGGTTGAAGGCCTTTGAGCTCCTGGTGAAACACGGAGCCTCGGTACATGAAGTCAATCGTGGGAAGACTTTGAGTATGCTGAAAATTAACTATGCATCCGGAGAAGAACAAAGTATGGATTACTTCCGAATCCTTTTGTCGGAGGGCTATGTATACTGGGAGACTGCTGGCGAAAGCACCTGGTCTGCGATTTCTACTGCGATCAGAACGAGAAAGTATGCTTTGCAAGCTCTGAAGTTTCTCGTCAGAAACGACGTCAATATGAACAGGGTCCTTGCTAATGGCCAGTCACCGCTTCATCTAGCTGCGGAGCTTGCTGACGACGTGGAAGTCCTTGAATAGTTGTGCACTCAAGGATGTCTCGATGATTTGGACAGGCAGGACATGTGGGGCTGGACGCCCTTACATTATGGCATCATTGCCGCTCATATACGCAGTGATCCAAATCTGTTTGAAAAAGTGCGCTTCCTTCTGTCACAAGGTGCGAATTTCAATATCAAAGGGCGGGCAAGAGCAATAGTTTACCCAGAAAAAATGCCCGCGGATGAGTTTACTCCTGGTGAGATGTGTCGAGCCTTGAATGTATCTTTATATGAGAAGTTTGAAAGAGAAGTCAAACTAGTGGAGGCAAACTTGGAAGAAGAAAACATGTCAGGAGGGCGCCAATCTCAGTGGAACTATAATTTTCCCAGGGTTGTTTGCGACCTTTCGTTCAATTTGACAGTGCGGCCGTGCCTTTAGATCTAACTCGCTGGTGAAGCTTCTATTTTTGTGCAGCATGTTTTTAAAAGCCTTTCCCCAGTGATCACTAGGAGCTATAACTACCTCTTCCTCATTTACTTTACCTACCGTTTTATGGTTGAGTATAAGCCTCTTTGCAATTGTGACAAGATGTATCTCGGTAACAGCTCGTTACTCTCGCTACCTTCTTCCCATTCGACTAACGGGAGAAAGCCATAATAATCGGGCTGCATTTGGTCCATGGCACAGCCTGGGGTAGGACTGGGAGAGTACAAGGTGGCGAACGTGAGAGCAAAATTACTAGGCGGGGGCATATTCCGAATTGCCGTCCCATGAGTCGACCATCTGGGTTTGATAGGCATCGTTAACAAAAAATCTATTAGTCATCGTGGATAGCTTTCGAGCCTTGGAACAATGGGCATTGAAGTAGCTCAATTTATTCTGGTCTTGTCGATTCGCCATTTTTAATTATCCCTCTGCGCACTATACACGAACAAAGCCGCACTGGTCTCGCAATCACAGGTTGGAGCTTCGTTCCAACTGTCAAATACAAGCCTGATGATAGACGGGCCGTTGGTGCAAGGACAAATTATGAAATTGATTCGAGTAAACTCGGAGTTATGCTATGTGATATACCAACCCCCCCTGCTTTAATCCAGTCAGAAAGCCGAGCTCTCCCCGAGAACAAAACATAATTAAAGGCCCGTGTGGAACGCTTCGCTAATTTCCTATATCCGAATTTCACGGATATACCTCGGCTCGCTCGGCACTAGACACCAAGGTCCTTCCTCCATCCGAAAGGACCGGACAAAACTAAAGTTGGCGGAAATGAATCCGAATCAAACATTGAATATCGGAATTACCTCTCAAAACTCCGAAATACTAGTGGATACTAAGAATAGAAAACGGTACAGGGTGCCGAATTCATCTAAATGCGCCATTGACGTCTATTCCGTGCGGGGCAACCAAGTTCCAGCGAACCATATCGTGAATGATCCCGTCTTTGAATATTAGTCTCTACAGATAACCGGCTTGGCTGCACCCTGCCAAGGAAGGTTTATCCGTAGGGCTTAGACCAGACATGTACCTAGTGGCGAGGGGTTATGGTTACGGTTACGGGGTCGAGATTGAAGCATAAGTCCCGTCAGAACGAGAATGAATTCAGGTCGACGTGATCACACGATGATACAGATAATACCTATATACAAGCTAGAAATGCCACCGAAGGACAGAAAACAAAACATTGGAAGCGATAGGACCAATCCAAAATGATGACCGGGTTGGTCTGCATGATTAGGTGGGGGGAATCCGGGAGCTACAAAGCAACGATTGAATAGAACAAGATGAGTTCCGGGTGGAGACCGCCTCTACAATAGACAGTTGAGGTATTGAACGAGAGGTATCCGGGATATGAGGGCGTAGAGGACAGTGATGGTAAGTAACAGGTGCTTAGGGGAATGGGTTACTGGGCCTAGTTGGAACAAGGGATTCATGGAATATTCTGCATTGTATGGCAGAGGATGTCGGGCATCTATTCCTGTCCAAATCCAAGGGTTTCCTCCACTGCAATAGACATCTTGTGCTCCAGGGCTTCGTGGGTCTTGTAAGGTGGGAGATCCAGACGGTTGAAGCTAAGATAACGTTAGTAGATGCAGATGATTGCGGGATATGTCAAACGTACCAGGTGTGAGACTTGGGAAGGGCCGCGGGATCGCCAGACTTCTCAATGGTGAATCGTCTGGGTCCATCGGAACCTTGAAGATCCTTGAAACCATTGACGGGAATACGCGAAGTTCCAGTCGTAAACTGAAGAAGACGCGACTTCTGCTCCGCATCCCAAGTGCGGACGATCTTCCAGAAGTTCTGAATAACCTCATCCTGCTCCTGGTAGCCACGGTAATCCGTGTGCTTCTTCCAGTCATCCACATCGATATCGGCGATACCACCAATAAGCAATTCTAGCTCACGCTCATCAAATACGTTAACAAGATCTGGAGGAATCAGCTCGTTGAAGCCGGACATGAAAGCATTGAACTGCTCTTCCACACGCTTGACAATCTTCCACTCGGTAACCAACCTACACAAGTCAGTGCCGGAACATACATCGACATGTAGAATGACTTACTCGATATACTGTGGCTTGTTCTCGTTAGTGACGGGAATATCCCGACCACCGGGTATCAAATCAATGGTGCGACGCTCGCCAAACTTCTCATCGTCAACCGAGAAGGTAAGCTCCACGATTCCTTCAATGTCATTATCCCTGGTATGCTGTTAGCTTGATAATACGCATGGATGTAGAATGACTCTTACAAAGTCCATGCTAAGTTGCGATGTAAATCTTCGTCGACACCCTCCATATCTTGAAGAGTAACCTTCTTCCGAAGCATCATCTTGTAGAATGCACCGATGAAGAAAGAGTCGAGGAAACGGCGGTGGAAAATGGCCAGGCCAACCACTCGGCCGATGAACTTGAAGTAATTGAGATGCTCGGGGTTGACACCAGAATGAGGATTAATCTGCAGGGTATAATTATCGTGGGCGGAGTATTCGAAGAGACAGTAGAAGGGATTGAACATTTCGTGAGAAAGGAGGAAGAAGAATTCACTGTTGCTTGTTAGTTTGAAACAACCTTGTCATGAATTATCAACATACCGAGAAAGACCACCGTAGTCTAGACCGTCCTCGCCATCAAACTTGATCATCAAGCGCTTCTTCAAATCGGACGCGCTCTGTCGCATGATCTCCGCGTAAGAGTCCTCGAAGATATTATTACGACGGACCTTGACATGACATTGACCTGACATGATCCGCAGAGCGGGTTGCGAACGGAAGTAGATCAGCTTGCGGCGGAAGTCGCGCTTGTACTGCGGTACACCTTGATCCAAAGAAGAGGGTAGGCGAGGATCGTCCCAAGTAGTGGTCTTGGTATTGTGGTCCACGAAGTACACACGAGCAGTGTTTGTGAGTCGCATTTCCCATCCACTGGGCAGGGGGCCCAGTTGTGAAACCGGCTGCTGCTGAATGGTGGTATTATTTCCACCCTGGTTCTGATTCTGGCCATACATGCGAATGTACTGTTGGCGACGAGGATCAACCCATGTTGTGGTGCGGGTATTGTGATCAACAAAATATGAACGCCCCTCGGGAGTGTGTCGCTGTTCCCATCCGGGCGGAAGCTCGCCAGTGCCTGCAGTGGTAGCTCCCGTTGCCATCATCGAAACAGCATTTGCCTGGGCTCCTGGAGGAGCGGCCGATGGAGCTGTTACCGGCGGTGGCGGTGTCTGCGGCTGAGGATCTGGCAGGTTTGGAGAGCTAGTGCCGGTACGATCTTCGGGCAACATTCGACTCTGGTGAGCCCGACGTTCCAGCTGCATGTTGGCTTCACGCTGGCTGCGATGGGCCGATTCAGTGTAGTTAGCAGAAGGGCGCGACCATGTAGTAGTCCTTGTATTGTGATCCACGTAGTAGGTCCGTCCTAAGCCATCCTCTCTTCGTTCCCAACCTGCGGGGAGGCGGCCCTGGCTGTCCTCGAACGAGCTCAAATTGGTGCGAGATGCAGCACTGGCACTAGGCGGGGCTCCATTAGGGGCAGGAGAGGCGGCAAGACCGCTAGTTGAGGGGGTACGGAGCGACACATTCGATAGGGCACCGGGCAACCCATCCGCGTTAGGACCTCCCGGTGGCGGGGGTATCGGCGATGCAACCTGCGGGACGAGGCCACTGGAGGTTGAGGATTGGGCGTTCTGTGGGCGGCCGCCACCATTCTGGGACTGCTGTGTGGCGGTTAGGTTGGTAGATAGGTTAATGATCAATTTTCCGTGGACAATGAGGTTATCGTTGGACTTTTTAAGGTCGCGGGTGAGCATCTCTGGTGAGAAGAAGAGGGTTAGTCCCGATCGCAGCTGGATCCCAGTTCCACCACGTACCATCACCACCCATCCCAAGATCAATAACATCTCCGATCCGAACATTGATAACACCGAGGAAGCCTTGGTCCTTCTTTTTGAACTTCTTTTGGTCAAAGATCTGGATGGCCAGAATGCTATCCTCGTTGACTCTCCTATAACCGCAACCCACCCGTTAATAACGTCTCCTCGATCGCCCGACGAAGTGGGGCATCACATACAAGTCGAAGGGTTCATTCCAGTAAGGATTCAAAGTCTTCTTAATCACCGAAGTCGTATGGGTTTGTTCGCCCCCAACCGTAGCCACGGCGAAGGGATCGGGGAATCCTAGACAAGACGTCAGTCGACCCCGCTTGGGGCGGAATCAACCATCCAAAGGGGGAGGGGGGTCACGTACGGAAAACATCACGTTTGTAGAGACCGTCCGCCGCGATGACTGCGAGAGTTCAAGGAATGTCAGTTTTCAAGTTCAGGTCCGGGCCCCGCAATGTCCCGCCTTCGCAGGTGCGCAACAAGGCAATCTTACTCGTGACTCGGAGATTTGGCTGGCTGTAACGTTGACAGGTTAGCATTGAAAAGTAAAGTGAAACAACTTGAATGCTCTCCAATTCTTTATTCGAAAGCATCGGATAGGTTAGGGAGATCCAACGACGTACGGTGGCAGATTGGATGTCATGGTGGCCCTGGTTGCTTTTCACAGCACACCGGTTCGAAAAGGCCGATCAATCAAGCCTGAAATGAAAACGGCGCGCGCATCCAGGGGTGGAATCGCGTAGTCGGCCCACCAGATTCAAGATCACGGTGACAAGAAGTGGGTTGTGGAGAGGGGGGTGTAGAATGGAGATTTTGGAGGAGGAGAAGGGAAGAGGAGAGGGAAGGGTTGGGCGTAATTCATTCGCGGGACTGTATGGCGTAAGTACTCCCGCTACGTATTGACTACGAGTCAGATACCTCCCAGGTACTTGATGGGGCTGAGCACGGGAGATCGCCTATCGACTACACTTTTTCTTTTTTAAATTTATAACTTTTTTAAATGTATTGAAGACTTATGATCAACATGGTTGAACCCACAGAGTTAGTGGGAAACGTTTAGTACGTAATCTTGGTTTAAAGCGGGCGGGTGGCGATGGAGAGGGTAGTTATGACCAGGTACTTTCCCACTATGTAACTGGGAAGTCATTAAATGCTAACCGGGCGTTTTCATTAGCGCGAGGTTCAAGGTGAACTAGGCAGCGACTTTATTATTGCCAAGCTCTGATATAAAAGTACAGGGTTTACTTCATCTACCTCAATTTGGCGAGTCTCAGCTAGAAAAAACCCCTCTTGTTGGACCGATTATTGTACATATCCATTTAATCAATAATAATAAAGCCCCCAACTCCAATTCCCATTCCTAACCCCGACAGAAGGCCAATTTCATATCTGTTATGGACTTGGGCATAGTCGCGCGGGGCGTTCGGAGTTGGTACTCCCGGCTTAGCTCTGCCGGATGGCAAAGACGTGAGCTCGTGGTGAAAAGAAACATGAGCTGAAAGCTACGCGCTTAGTATGGCGTGAAGCCACGTCCCCGTCCCCGGTAAGCACCACGATATCCTCGGAAGGGTCCACGACCACGGCTACCACCACGTCCTCGGCCACGACCGCGAGTCATACCGGGCACGTTAGTCCGCTTGGGAGTCACCTGGATATCAATGTAAGTAGAATGTACAGGGGGATCAAAAATAGCCGGAAAGCTTACCTTGAGGTTACGACCACGGAATACACTCTCGTTCAAAACCAAAGCCTGGGCCACGAGACTGGGCTCAGAAAACTCTACGTAAGCGTAGCTATACTCAAATCGTCAGTTCGGTTTCCTAGACATGCGGCCGCTGGGATCAAACGAACCCCTTGGGTGAACCGGAGAATTTGTCCAGCAAGATTGTCACCCGGTTGATAGAGCCACAGCTCTGGAAGTGTGCCTGGATCTCCTCGGGAGAAGCGCCATAGTCCACATTGCCAACGAAAATACTCCGTGCGTCAATGTCTTCTTTGTTCTCCGCCAAGTCCGAAGCTTGCTGGTCCAGCGTGGCCTGCATCTCACGCAGCTTCGAAGCCTCTGACTCCATTTCAGCGACGCGCCTCTTCATGGCGGCAATCTCTTCCTATTTCAAGCATTCCCATGTCAGTCGCGTTCGGATCAGGATCCAGTGGTGATTTGCGCCCAAGCAAGCTCATCACATCGCAACGAGTTGGTATTTACCTCCTCTTCACCCCCTTCCTCGTGGACAATCTGCTCCTCCTTCATCTCGGTGGGTTCAGTCCCTTCGGTGGCCATTGTGTCTTGTGGGTGTTGTGAGTGGTAGCTTGAAATGCTAGGTAGACGAAATTGGAGTAGCCGGAGCTATTAGGGAGCGAAAAGAGCGGGGATCGAGGGAATCAGGGCCAAGTCGGGTTGTAGACGTAATCTGAGAAGGGACGTATGAAACCCTGTTGATTAAATAAAAATGGAAAGCGAAGCCAAATCCGTTCACTGAACTTTGCGGGGCGGAGAGTCGCGAGATGGGATTATTCATTAGGCAATCTGAGGCTTGCTGTTTCGGGACTAGCGTGGTTGGCCGAGTGCCTTTGTTTTTCTATCAACCATACTTAATCAACTTAATCAAAAGGATTCATTCATTTCAGATGAGGAGAGTCATGGTGATTTCTCAAATTTGAATAACTTGAAGCACTCTTAATCAAAATCAACACATTTTTAGCGCAGTCGGTCGGATTATTAACAAACGCACTTATTAAATAACTAGTTATAAGACTTGGCCGAGTCAATCCACTGTATTAATAGCCAGATGTACAAACACAAAAGCTTTTTGGAGAAGTAAACTTTTATATAAGCGCCATTATGTGGATTGAGTCAATTACACTAGCTCAAGGTATCAAAGGGTCGGATTGAGAAAGCATGGAATCCAAGCTGGAACAAACAGGAGGTCGTAAACATAGAGACTATATACACGGGTCAAAGATATGGAGATGTAATGGAGGTATGTAAGCCAATCATGAGGCTGGGGCATGGTTCTTTCGATAGGAAACCTTCTCGACCGACACATTCTCAACACCATTAGCATCCGTCTTAAGTTGGTACACGTACAGCACCAGAACATCACCTTGGATCTGTTCTAAAATCAGCATACTGTATTTTCTCGGGAACTTTAATCCAAAAAGAGGATCACAGAGGATCAATACTTACGTCCATCAGACAGAAGCTCGGTGTGGGCTCTTCCCCGTCAGGCCAGAACCCTGAGCTCATGGCGCCAGTCGCACTGCCGGGGTTGATGAAGAAACGACCTTCCATCTCGAATGCTTCGAATCGATGTGTGCCACCCCAGAGTAGGACATCCACGTCCATCTGACGAGCCGCAATCAACAAAGCATCAGCGTCGCCTGGAGGAATGACTGTGTGGCCATGGGTGAAGCCTATGCGTAGGCTGCCATGGTTGACGATTTTCGAAAGTGGTAGATTGGGGGAGTCCACGTCATAGTCTCCTTTGACCATCTGCAGGTCCGGAGCTACCTGGCAAAGGAACTCATAGGTGTCGCGGTCGGTCAAGTTGCCCAAGCATAGGATCTGGCCGATTTTCCCGGGGGTGAGCAGTTTTTTGAACTGTCCTTAGAATTAGTGCTGTACGAGAGGTTCTTCGATTCGACGGAGTGTACCTTAGCCGGGAGATCCTATAGAAGACGGGATTAGCTGTGTACATTGGGGACGTCATGGAGCTTATGGGGTACTCACAGGGGCTCGGTCGGGAATGAATAGGTCACCGATGACCAAGACCAAGCGGGCGGTCATCTTTCAATGGTGGGGCAAGAGTTAAAAGCTCAAAGGGTCTCTCCAATCGCGCAAAGTCGAGATGCGCGTGTCAGGCAGACGGTCTGGAGCTTCGCGGGGAAGCCACGTCAGGCCCTATACCCTATGGTCTTAATCGGGTTAGACTGATAACAGCTATCTCAGTATCTAGAGTAAGTGGATGTCGGATGAACATCCGAATAGGTCGCTTCTCCATTCCGAATAGACATTGGCTAATCTGACCGAACCTATAGAATGGCGTCGACTTTTTCCAGTCAATAACAAGACGCCGAATCCCTCCAGTTTTTTTTGCGGAGGTCGCCGTGTTGTAGGCGGGGGATCGCCAGGACAGTGAAATACTGCGCAAACAGGAGACTGTATTCCAAGGAGATTGATTAGAATCAATACGACGATGTTTGAATGGTTTACTGGGATCCATCGATCTATATCTAGGTCCTGATCTATGAACATTGGTCCTTTGTCTACCTTCGAAAATAAATATATATGTATGAGCCCGTCTCCGTTATAGTATTTAGTATGTTCACCATTTACTCCAGACAGGTGCTAATAAAAAAATTGTTATGATAATCAAACATAGAAAATGCACTTGAAATCTAAACTTCCAAGGTCTGGATTATAGAACAGAGACTACAGCGTAGACTCAGGCATATTATAGAGTCGGTAGGGCCCGGCCGCTAGACTCCGACTGCAACGTCTGGAACACAATTTGTTGCAATTTGGAGATAAACCTTTGTCTTCATAAATAACCCGTCCCCAGACTTTTATTTCATTCTAATCACTCAATTGGATACAATCTGCATCTCTTGAAGATACCATTATACCTGAAACTCTGTGTCTGCCCTCAGCCAATCCTAACCGCCCTGATAACCCTTCGGCGGCGAATCCCGAACTCGCAGTCCCTCGGGAATTCACAAGCTTAACCACGACCAACCCAAGGACGTACCCCGCGGCTGCCCCGCCGCAATCGGAAAAGCTGGCGCCCTCCACGCAGCAACGTTTAAGCCTGATCGCCAGACACCTGGACCAGCGCCTGCCGTTGCCGAACCTAAACACTCCCTTCTCGACCGAAAGAAGCTCCCTTCCTCCGGACGACACCGAATATAAACCCCTTGATCGCACCATCCCAGATTCTCCCTCTACTCCCTCAAAGCCCACCATGTCTACTCAACCCCCTCACAACACTCTGCTCATCCCGGGCCCCATCGAATTCGATGATGCTGTCTTGCAGTCGATGTCCCACTATGCGTGAGTCCAATGGCCCATTTTCAATTGATTCGTACCGTCTCGTTGAACTGACATTATTTGTTCTTAGTGAGAGCCACGTCGCTCCTGGCTTCGTCAAGGTCTTTGGTGAGACCTTGACTCTGACCCGCAAGCTGTTCCAGTCCACCGACCCTTCCGCACAGCCCTTCATCATCGCAGGAAGTGGTACCCTGGGCTGGGATCTCGTCTCTGCCAACCTGATCGAGCGCGGTGACAATGCTCTCGTCCTGAACACCGGTTACTTCGGTGACTCCTTCGAGAAATGCTTGCAGACATACGGTGCCCAGGTCACCCAGCTCCGCGCCCCCATCGGCGAGCGCCCCTCGCTGGAACAGATCGAGCAGGCCCTCAAGGAGAAGCCCTACAAGCTCATCACCATCACTCACGTTGACACCTCCACCGGTGTTCTGAGTGACGTCAAGGGTGTCGCTCAGCTCGTCCGTCGGGTGAGCCCGGAGACCCTGGTGATCGTGGATGGTGTCTGCAGTGTTGGATCCGAGGAGATCGCATTCGACGAGTGGGATCTTGATGCCGTTGTCACTGCTAGCCAGAAGGCCATCGGTTGCCCTCCCGGTCTCAGCATCGTCATGACCTCTGGCCGTGCCATCCAGCGCGCCACCACCCGCCAGACCCCTCCCGGCTCTTACTACGCTTCCATTGCCAACTGGTTGCCTATCATGCGCAACTACGAGAACAACAAGCCCTCGTACTTCGCTACCCCTCCTACCCAGCTCATCCACGCCCTGCACACCACTCTTAGCCAGATCACTGCCCGCCCTATGGCCGAGCGCTTTGCTATCCACACTCAGGTGTCTGACAGCGTCAAGGCTGCCGTCGCCGAGCTGGGTCTGAAGCAGTTGGCTCCTAACTCGGATTCCCAGGCTCACGGCATGACTGCCATGTACCTGCCAGACGGTTTGACTCCTCCCGATGTGCTTCCCGGTCTGCTGAAGCGTGGTGTCATCTTCGCAGCCGGCTTGCACAAGGAGATTGCTACCCGGTATATTCGCTTCGGTCACATGGGTGTTAGTGTGACTGACGCCAACCGTGGTGATATTGAAAACGCCCTGGCGGCGCTCAAGGAGGCTCTTGCCGAGGCTAAGCAGGCCAAGGGACTGTAGATCATGTTGGCATGCATTAAATATCACGTAAAAATGATCACATAGAAGCTGAATGAACGACTTGAACATACACAAAGATTTACTTCCAGCTGTATTGATTTATCTACTGAGTTTAATAATCTCATTAGGGTTATATCCGAGCATAGGCTCCTCAACACAAGTTACATCAACCCTTTTGCTCTTTTGAGGACCGCACTACTTCCAAGGTTAGTGACTGGACATATGGAGTAGTGTTGAGACAATATATTCCAACTAAAGGTGCTTTCGAATACATACGACCATAGGGTGTGGAGAACAGGGCTTCCCGTCCGCTCAGCCGTACTTAAGCCACACGCCGGTTAGTTAGTAGTATGGTGGGTGACCACATGCGAATCCTGACTGTTGTATGTTTTTGTTTTTTTGTTATTCGATGAGATTGCCATTGTTGGTACTCTTCAGCCTATTCAGGATATTCAATTGAATGCCCTCAGTCCAGGCTCAAGCCATCGTCTATCTTGTTGCTTTCTTATAAGCCATTCTTTCCCCCAAATTGTTAGGACAGGGCGTGATACATGTCTATTCCGGTAATCTATCTCGCGCTTTGTGTAAAATTCCAGGATGTAACATCCCAGGCAGAGGCTTGCCAAGTGCCTCTAGAACTCGCTCGCCAAGACGCCAGTGAGATAGTGAACTTACTGAGACAGTCCCATCTGACCCAAGCATATTGAGTAAGGCGACACATACCTGCACACTCTGCATTTCGTAACCATTTGAACAACAATGCCTGAAGAATCAAATCTCTTCCACGCAGAATCATCGGGTGAACCATGGCGATCATCCGAGTTTCCACCGGGAGAGATTCCGCAAGAGAGAAGCCGGCGATTCAACGAGTGATTGACTGCACCTTTCAATGTGAGTCTAATAACTCCGAAAGCGAATATTCAGAAGATTATGACGGATCGGGCAGAGTCTGGCTCTTCCAGTTCGCTCTATCTTGTGCAGGTCTCACGACAGGAGAGCAGAGATGGGGAGATTGGGGAATGGAACGTCCTGGCAGAGTGATCTACACAGACGGACATTGTTCAACAACGGGAGAAAGAGGAGGTCTTCCTTTGTCCATTCAATTATGATATCTACTCCGTTTCCTGCTACCGTGACTGGCCGAAGCAAGGAAACATCACCGAGTCTCAGTATACGGAGCACCTCGAATCTATCACTAAGGACGGTCAAACTATTAGTCTTTCTTCAAAATAGTGGTTTCCATAAACAGCCAAAAAAGCCTCCGCTGCTCATTTCCAACAAATGATTTTTAGCTTGATTCTCTGTAAATATGAATGAAGCAATAATGGCTAGTACAGGCTGTAAAATACATCTTCCTGCCCACTAGTCTGGCTTCTCGAGATGAAGATTATTCATGTATATTTAATAGGGTGGCCTGTGAGCTCACCCAGTCTATCACGGATTTTTAAGCCCGACTATTCCAGTCAATGCTGATTTCACTCAGACTTGTATAAATACACCTTTCGTGCACGGGTCAAACCATGAGATGAAGAATATTCAGGTGGGTAGATATCTATCCAGACTGCCCTGAAGAGGGCTGAATCGAGCAACGAGCCGACCACGCCCAATCCGTAGGCGCTAGATGACCCACCTTGGAGATGTTGTTGTATGTCCGCAAATTTTGATTTTTTTGATTTTTGGGGAATTGCTCTTGTCGTCCTACTCTTCAGCCGCTTTACCTGAATAGCCTAAACACTGTTACTCTGCAGTTCAAGCAGTCTCAAATGGTGAGAGCTGAGGATTTCAATTTTCTCTGTTAAAAAAAGAAAAACCCGTCGACATCGTACTCAATGCTAGTCGGTAAGTATAAGGTGGTGATTGGTAAGACCTTAAAAAGAGAAAAGTTAAGATAATAGTAGAGCAGAATAGATATATATAGAGGTGGATTCCCTAGTTGAATTCATGATAAAGAGGCAAATCTAGAGCTATACTACACAGATGATATTGAAACAGCTATGCTCCCCTGACCAAAGATAGAAGACTCCTCTAGTATAGAAAGCTAAGGGGTTCTATAGAAACTGTTTAAAGAGACGTATAAAAGATGGGTTAATTAATACTTATTTATCTATATAACTAATAAGGGTGTTGGGGAACCCGCACCTGCGCTTGCGCATAACCAACTGGACCAGAAGGCCATCATCATCCTTCTCTCAGAATATTTCTGCCCTATTTAGGGCGAGTAAGTCTTTCAGGATGTAGTTGAGTTGAACACTTGGGAGTGGGCCAGGCTACACTTGGCCCTTCACATGACCTAGGAGTGCCTATTCTGTTTAGATCAAGTGTGATCTGTCCTACTTAGCGCCAGAACTTTGCACTGTTTCACTGTATTTAGCTGAAATTTTTATCTGTACAACCCGAACTAGTGGACCCACATGCAGATCTCGGGGCTCTTCAAATCTTGATATGGGTTCCTCGCACTACCGAGTCAGCCACATCGAGCCAGCCAACCCGGTAGCTGATGAAATTAGCTTTTGCCTAAGGTATAGATAGAAGTACAAAAATATGATGTATGCTCATGTCAGAAGTTGGTGGATCATCTTCTCTTGCCACAATTTCACCCTTTTTCCTTTGTTGTCCCGGCCTTGAGAGAAAGTAATAGCAATTGTCTGCAGAGTATGTGAGACACCCAATCGCAAAGAAGCCTTGCCAGCTAAGCAGACATACAGCATTCACTGCGACGCTTTTAACAATAAAATCATTCAAGGATTCGTCTCCGCTGCATCAGTGACGCAACACTTCTCGGGAAAAGCTATAACTGAGATGGTCGCTCATGAATGTATCGAGCATCATGGTATGCGATAAACGGTGGTACAAGGCCTGAATCCTTTCACGTTCCTACTGACACTGCTCAATCTGCAGTCGAAAAATCGTTGGATTCGACAAATGATGCGACACAGCCGCCTGTGGGCCACATACTCGTGCTTTCCGACTTTACGGACCGCAAAGCCCTATTTTTCTGGTTCCTTGAGGTTACCAATATGCTTTCGTTCGTGTTCTGGCTCATTGTGGCCACCTATATGGCCGGGATACATCTTTCTTTCAACCCCATGACTCCTTGGCACATCGGTGAACCAGAATTCAATTTGTTCTCCCGTCAGATAATCGGCAAGATTCTAGCGCGCGAAAATAGTACGTCTCTGCATGCGGCCAAATACTCCATGAAGCAGGTTTTCGTCGATGTCTGGTTTGCGCTAAGTCTTATGGTCGCTGTGGACGCCTCTGCTGTCGTTTTCACCTTTAATCGCCCACTGATTCGGAAATTTCACCACGTGGTATCTCAGCGCTTGATGTCTCTGGCATCCATCCTATCATTTGCTATCTTCTCATGGAACAAAGAGAAGACAAATTTCGGATCACGGTATCCGGCCGGGTCCTTGGCTCTAGGCTTGGCGGCGTATTTGCTCCTAGGCTCTGCTTTGGATATGCTCGAGAGGCGCATGCCTTCTCATTCTGTGCCCTGTCGCCGCGGAACACTCGCACAGTATAGCAAGGCGTTAGGCCATTCGGAAACATCCTGGACACGCGCTCTTTTTCTCACAACTGTGGTGGGAGGGGTCGGATTATTCTTCACAATGCTCATTCCGCCCCCATGGTCAGCTTTAGTTCCGTTCATACACATCCTATTGGAGGTGTGTTAAATCAACTGATAATTGAATTTACAGCTAATTTTTTCTTTTGGGTAGTCGGTTTTCCTATCAGCAATGAACGCAAGGAGGACGTCGCGATACGTGATATTATGCGCTCCCCCATTCTTCGCCACTATTTGTGTGCATTGGGGTGTGACACCACTACTCAACGACCTGAAACTTTCCATCACTCCCTGGGTATTCCTAGGTTTCCTTCTCCTCAGTCGGCTTTTACTTGATGCACACTTACGGACCACTCTTCGACCTCGTTCTGAGTTGCAATGGGCTCGGAAGAACGTCTTAATTTCCACACCCAAACTCTTGATAATGTGCATATTAATGGCCCTCCTGGAGAAGATAGGAGTACAAGTGATAACCTACATCAAGCCAATTGCAGTGTTAGCTTTCTTCGGCTTGGGCAGCACGGGTTTTCTAGCAGTTGCTGCATACGATATTGCTGCGGAAAAAGTTTTCGTCAATTGATCTATAACTTTTCATCTCGGCATTGGCGGAAAACAGGCAGCAAAATACCTTAATAGCTCAACGATAACTCTTCCATTGTCTTGTTTAAGAAAATTTTGATGGTTGTGCAAATACCTAATATAACAAGCGAAAGCGCCTCATGGAAATTTTTGGGATTGCTCTAACTAATAAGTAGGTTTCGATCATTTTGCTTCGGTAAGATCCAGTTATATCGAGCACTTTGCATTACCTCGCGAAAGAATAGGGTGGTTGAGAGGGTCGGAGCGTGATTCTCACTCGTTCTCACCCGGATTCTCACCCTGTCATTTGCGCATTCACTCTTCTAAACTGGGTCGCACAACGTGAAAGCAGCGCTCACCCACTATTTTCACTCGGATGGCACCCAGCCGACTATTGACCGTAGACTAGGAGACCGCGTTTTAAAATAGCCGTTGTAAGTTTTTGGCGCTGAATTATTTGTTCAATCCATTTATGGGTGTTGTTTCGTTCAAATCGAACCGAGTAACTGCAAATTTCATTCAATAAATACCTTTTATTAAATTCTTAGATTCTGCCAATGGAAGGAGGATCTTTTGATAGATTTCACTTTGCATGCTCTCATTATCCAGAGAGGATCCTGTCTTCCAGGTCCAAAATAAACATTGGTTAAGAATAACAGCGTATAGGGGGCCGTTCTGTGATTCCATATACACAGTACTAATGTAGCAAACAGGAGCTGTCTTGAGATTGGCAATTGTTGCATTTCGATCTTAGTCCTTTGTTGTACGCAAGAGCTCGAGGGGTTGATAAAGAGAGAGTTAAGTCGCCATTTCTGTGCACATTCCAAGGTCGCTGACGAGCTCCTTGCGCTTGGAGAGAAATTCTTTCCCGCATCAGATATCATGTCTGTTCCTCATTTCATTAGCCAAGATAGGGGATATGTTAATTTATTAAGTTCAAGCATGACATTTCTTATAGTGGATAAGGCTCCTAAGACTGGTAGTAGTGAAGGTGATATTTTCAGTCTCTTCATTATGGATTGAGAGTATGGAAAATGTGTACAGAGGATCAAAAAGGATTCGAAAGTCTATACAGATGATCAAAGTAAATGCAAGACTGGTGGTGATATTATAAAAGGCGGTGAGGTGTGGTACTTTCGAGCCCCTGGGGCCTAATCGGGTTAGAGGGGGTATATGACACATTTAAAGAGTGGACAGAATGACTCTTCTAATAGTCAAACATCCCCAACCTTCACTGATCAAGTATGGTGATTCTTACTGATTTCTCAACGGAGATCTTACGGGAAATCGTTCAATATGTTACTTATGCCATTGATCTCTGTGCACTTGCGCAAACTGTTGTAGTTCAGAGGTGTGAATTGTCTTGTTTTTTATTTGAGAGGGAAGAATAAGGCTATATATACAACGAGAAGATCAAGTTGATTGGAAATCAACTTGGTTCTTCGTATACATACTTCGGGATTAATTCCGGTGGTTCGGCTTGGTTCCTGATCTGCACCAGCCTTATATCACAACATTTCCCCTCAGGATCGCTTTGCTGGCAGGGCGATTCTGGAATGGCGCAGAGCAGTCAGGCCTCGGTAAAACCACTGAAAAACCTTCGTGGGAAAATAAGTGGAAAGAGCGCCTGCGCTGTCACGCGTTTTGTCTCGAAACCTCTGGAGCATCGACTCCTAAGAGACTACAAAATCTGGCAAAGGCCGTAGGTCCCAATGGCTTGGTGAGACCGTCCGCGGCCTGTTCCCCAGTTGGAATATATTGAAGCCCAATCTCGCCTGTATCCAGCACGGCTCGCTGATAGTGAAATTTTACATTGAAATGCTTCGTGCGTTTGTGGAATTCAGGGTTGCGAGAGAGAGCGATGGCGGACTGGTTGTCAGCCATAATGTTAGTGACCGGAGACCGATACAGTTGCGTTTCAGCCAGAAAGGTGCGGAGCCACTGGAGATGCAGAATGGCATTGTACTGTCCGATGTATTCGGCATGAGTTGTAGACGTGGCCACTTCCCCCTGTCTCTTGGATGACCAGGAAACTGGCGCACCTGCAAGTTGGAAAACATAGCCAGACGTTGAGTATGCACCGTCAGTGACGACGGAGCCCCCAAAGTCGGCGTCCGTGTACCCGATCAACTGCCCACTGCGGTAAGTAATGCGATGAGATTGCGTGGCTTTGATGTAGCGAAGCAATCGCTGCAGAGCGACTTGGTGTTGCGATTGCGGCTGAGACGTGAAGCGACTCAACATGCCCAGCGCAAATGCAATATCTGGTCGCGTGCCAACCATTAGATACATTAACGAACCGATGGCAGTCGCATAACGAGCTTTTGCTTCCTCGTCCGGAGGTTCCTCCTCTGGACGATGATTCAAGATTTGCTTGGGATTCATCGGCGTAGACTTCGGCTGACAAGTCTCCATGCCAAAGTCGGAGAGCACCTTCTGGATGTACTGGTGTTGGTGAATAGATACGGACCCATCGACATCATAGTCGAACTGGATCCCGAGGAATGATCGAGGGGTGCCCAGATCGTTCAGTCGGAACTCTGTTTGCAAGGCTCGTTGCACTTGTTCGATTTCGTGCGTGTTTGTCGCAGCAACAAGAAAGTCATCGACATAGACACAAACGACGCAATCCGGTTTGTAGAACACACAATTGTCCGATTGGGCCATAGTGAAGCCATGAGAAGCCAGAACGCGGTGGACGCATTGGTACCAAATCCGCGGAGCCTGCTTCAGTCCGTATAGTGAGCGGCGCAGTCGGCATACGTATCCTGGCTTTTCGAAACCTTCAGGTAACTCCATATAGATAGACGAATCGACGTCTCCATGGAGAAATGCGGTGACCGCGTCGAATTGGTGGAGTTTCCATCCGCGCAACACGGCGCTGGCGACGATGCAGCGGACCGAGTCCATCCTGGACACAGCAGCAAACGTTTCGTGATAGTCGATGCCATGTTTCTGCCGGTAGCCTTTGATAACCAATCGCGCTTTGCGCGTTCCGTTGGCCTTGGTCTTGAAGACCCATTTGCAGCCAATCACATGATTTCCGGCTGGGACGTCCTCCCGCCGAACCTTTTCCCATGTTCCGTGTTCGAGAAGCGACGCATATCCTTTCTGGATGGCGGCCCACCAGTCCAGCTGGTCTGGGCCTGATACAGCTTCGCGAAAGGTCGCCGGGTCGACTTGTCTGGCCGGTGCGGGATTCAATGCGCCGGCAGAGTACACCTTGCCGAGTGATTCCAGGAGACGCCGTGATGGTCTTCTTCTGCGACCAAAAATCGAATATCCAAGATCCGATGTCAGGTCAGTGCCTTGTTGGCTTGGATTGACCACTGGAGGTGTCTCCTCCTCACGCTCAGATGGCGTTTTCTCTCGCTCCTTCGGCGGAGGTAATGGCGATGCAGGTGGTGTTGGCAGCCCGCTGGCTGAACTTGGCATTGATGAAAAGACAGGTGATGGAGGAGCATTGTCCGGGAGGTCGTTGCCTGTTTCCCCCTCGATGAGTGGCGCCACTGGGGTCCTCTCATCGAACTCGACATCACGGGAAAAGACTGTCTTTCCTGAATGGATTTCATAGAGCTTGTACTGATTCGGTTCACAATAGCCTAGCAGTCGGCACTCGGATGATCTTGGTCCGAGTTTGGCTCGATGCTCTTTGGGGATCAAGACCCATGCACGGGAGCCGATCCGTCGCAGATGCAAGAGCGAGGGCGGTTCCCCGTATAGAATTTCAAACGGTGTCTTCTTCCGTAAGATCGATGCTGGTGCACGCAGCTTCAAGTAGACCACTGTGTCTACAAGCTCGATCCACCAGGAAGGAGAAAGGTTCGCATCGGACAGGAGCGTGTTGATCCGCTCCCGGATAGTACGATTAGTGCGTTCGGCCAGCCCATTCTGCCCTTTGCAGTATGGCGGCGAGGTGTCGAACTCAACTCCCTGGGATTCGAGATGTGTTCCAATTGGCAGATACTCTCTCCCATTATCGGTGAGGAATCTTCTGATCTGGGCGCCGAACTGTCGGTGCACCCAGGCCTCAAAATGTTGGAACTTCGGGAGCGCTTCATGCTTCCATCTCATGGCATAGGCCCACGAGCCACGAGAATAATCATCAGTAAAGGTGATCACGTACCTGGAGCCATCTTTGGCAATCGGCATCTCCACGATGTCCGAATGGATCAATTCGAAAATTCTCGTTGAATGCAGACGTGGCCGTCTTGCGCGGGAGTTCCTCTTCTGATGCTGCTTACCCGACATGCACGCCGGACACTGCGGCGTTGCCAGCAGCTGCGCCTGCGTCAGCGGTCGGTACGGAGTGCCGGTCTGCCGAAGGACCACCCTCAAGTCGCCCCGGTTCAGATGTCCCATCCGAGCGTGCCACAACGCTTCGGAGGCCTGGTCCACTCCTGTGCACACATCTTCTTCGAGTATCACAGCTTCACCACCGAGTTCAGAGGTTGGCGCTGTACATTCTACGCCACTTGACTCCCGAGGATCGTCAACGTCCATGGCCACCGCCTGCGGTTCCAGGGAATCTGCATGGTCGTGGGTCGTCGGCGCCCTCGCCAGTTGGACTCGCTCTCGAGATCTCTTGCTCACATGGCACCGCAGGATCAGTAGATCCTCCTCCGCGTGGTAGGCGGTCCCCACGGTTCGTCCTCGGCGTTGCACAAAGACGTTCTGTGGGTGCGCCACCACCGAGTAGCGGTCTCGCAACAGCTTCGGCACGCTGATCAGGTTCATCCCGACGCGTGGCGCAAAGTACACGTTCTTCAGCACCAGGGGCTGGTTGAACTTCCCCCGGAGCGTGAGCTTCACCGTACCAATCCCTTCGGCTTCCACTGGATCGCCCGCCGTGTCCAACATCTCGCGGTGGGGCCGCAGACTGCTGAAGCAGCTCCGGTCCCAGCAGATGTGGCTGGTGGCGGCCGAGTCCAGGATCCACCGGGGTTGCGGTGCGTGGGTATAAAGGGTCGTCACCCTCGCCCTCACGATATTGATCCTCGGTCTCTTGGAAGTCGGCGGGCCCTGCCAATCTTCCACCTGGCTTGATGGTATCTTTTGTAAGTTAGTTCTTGGTGAGCCGGAAACACTCCTCTCAGCCTTCAGGGCATGGTCCCTAGACGACTGTCCTTCTCGCTGTTTCTTCCAGCACTGCGCGACCACATGGCCGCGCTTTTTACAATAGTTGCATTTCTTGGCAGTCTGCTGCACCGTATTGACAGACGGGCCAGATGCTGCCTGCAAGGGTGTTGGAGCTTCTTTTCTCCGAACCGTCTGCTCAGCATTAGACAGACGATTTCCGATCGTGGTCGGATTCACCGGATCCTTGTCATTCTGAATGGCATCCACAACTAGAATGTATTCCGGTCCGATCTGCGTCAGTAAGATCGCAATGTGCGTTCGATCGCCAATGGATCCGGGCACGATAGCATTCAATCGATGTACGAGCAACCGTACCCGATCGACAAATTCGCGGGCACTGCCGCAGCGCTCGCCAGTGGTTTCACGAAGCTGCGCAAACAACTCGCAGAACGTGGCCAGTTCCATTCGCCGGTACCGTTCTTCGAGTTCATTCCAGAGGTCGCGAGACGTCTCAAGTCCCGCAACATGAATGCTAATGTGGGGGGACAGATACCGGAAAATGGTGTGGTAGGCCTCAGCTTCGCGGCGCGACCATTCACGGTGGCGCTCGAATGCCTGGACCTCCACTTCGAGGCGCGCCTCAATGGCGCGCTGTCTCACCGCCCCCGCGAGGTGCGGTTCCACCAAAGGATGAATGTCTGCCGTAATAGGCTTGGCGTACTTGAACAAGCAGTCAGGACGCTGGAGGTCGCCCGACACAACATCCCAGACCTGCCTGGCTTTGAGGTAGGAGGTCATAAGACGTTTCCAGGTTGCGTAATTATCGCTTCCTGTCAGAGGCTCGATGGCCGTGACGGCTCGGTCCGGAGAGTCGTGAACCAGAGCAGACATAGTGATGACTGCGAAAGCGGGGTAGATATATAATCACGATGGTTAAGATAATTTTCGGATGAGTAGAGATGGCACCCGAGATTTTGCTTCCGGGCTCATAACCTGTTGTAGTTCAGAGGTGTGAATTGTCTTGGTTTTTATTTGAGAGGGAAGAATAAGGCTATATATACAACGAGAAGATCAAGTTGATTGGAAATCAACTTGGTTCTTCGTATACATACTTCGGGATTAATTTCGGTGGTTCGGCTTGGTTCCTGATCTGCACCAGCCTTATATCACAACACAAACAAATCAGCGTTTTCACTGTCTTACGAATGAAAATATCGACTCCCATCTCCGACACGTTTTCCAGTCAAAACTAGCACATCCAGATCGCGAGACGCTTTACTCGGCCTCTCGGAATGGAAATGATGCATGTGTACGCAGGCTACTTAGAGCGGGGATTCAGATTCCTCTTCCTGAATATGAATCGCATCCAATCCTTCTTGCGGCGCAAAGCGGACACGCAAAGGTCGTGCAAGCATTTTGGAGCACGGAGTAGACCCCACTACCCGATTGGATTCTCTAGATGGTCCAGAACATACTATGGCAACCCTTTGACGGCTGCAGTGAAAGGTGGTCATGAGTCAGTGGTTAATCTCTTGATTGACCATGGAGTCGATTTGGAGTTTGGCAAACTCGAAGGAATCAACATCGATCAGCCCTTGTCTATTGCGACAGAAGGACATTATGTATCGCTGGTCAAACTCCTTCTTGATCATGGATGCAATCCACATACTCCAGACTTCCGAACAATTGGCTGGCCTGAAAAATCCGCGTGGCGAGTTGCTGCCAGTGATGATCTAGATATTCTTCAGATGTTCATTGAGAAAGGTGCGAAGGCTATTCTTTTCACTCCTTCCTCCTCCTCGTTCGATTCCAGGAACAAATATGAAGGGGTGCTACTGAATGCTCTCCGTCGGAATAATTTATCACTTGCCAAGTTCCTTTTGAAGCAGGGTATTAAGCTCGAAAAGTCACCTGTCATGTATAATCATGCCCTTGAACACGTTTGTCACTCGGACTCTTTATACATAATTGGCATGATAGCAGGCAGAAACCCTCAGGACTCCGAGTTTCTGCTGGGGATGATTGATTTAGATGATATAGTGAAGGGAGGAAAGTTACGCTCAGTGGTTTCTCTTATGATTGGCGCAATATGCGGCGGTCACTTTACACTGACCAAGCTTCTGTTGGATGCGGACCGGTCCTCAAAACGCCCAACAGTCTGCGCTGAGGAGTGGAAAGATCATCTTAGCTCTTGTATGGTCATTGCTATCAAACATGGCCATATCAACCTTGTAGATTTGCTACTTGATTATGGTGCAAATCCCAGAGGTGTGGTCCTGGATCGACAAACGCAAGATGGTTATTGTCCACCAGTATTTATAGCAGCCGAGAGAGGCTTCACTGATATCGTGAAGCTGCTTCTTGATCGAGGAGCAAATCCTTTCCCACGCCAACCTCGCACTATCTTCGAAGTAGTGACTTGTTCCTCATACATAACTTTTGACCATCTTTCTGGCGCATTGCCTTTGACTCTGCTTAAATCATCCCCCATAGAGACTGTTCGCCTCTTGGTCGAAAGAGACATTGTTACGCCTAAAACAGGAGACAACCGCAATGTCCTTACGCAAGCTGTGAGTGGAGGAGCAGAAGTCTTCAGGCTTGTGGTAGAGCATATGGACATCAAACTTGAAAGAGACAACCCTCACCATCAAAAAGCAATGCTTAAAGCCGTTGAGAGGGGAGACACCACTATTATGGAATTCTTCCTCAAGGTTGGACTCGACTCTAATGCTGTGGGCACCTCAACTAGCCTCCTAGCTCTCGCAGGGGCAGCGGTAGATTACTCTCCTGGTCTCATTGAAAGCGCAGTTGATCTTCTGCTACGGTACGGAGCAAATACTGAAGGGAGAAACCCTCAATGCACCGCACCTCTGTTGAAAGTCCTATTTGGTGATCACAAAAGCTCCACTTCTCGGGCAGAAGGAATCCGTGTGCTTTTAGAAAAAGGAGCCGACCCATTTGTCATGTGCAGTTGCAGGATACAGCATTGTTTCTTGCATTATGCCAAGGAAGCTGGACGTTCCGATATCAAGGTGATAAATGTATTTCTTGAGTCCTTTGATGCGGAGAATCGTTTTTCTGATGTCAAAGCTGTGATCTTCGAGGCTGCCAAATACGCACGAAATCAAAAAATAGCCGAGCGTTTGTGGCGTTGGTACTGGCGAAATATCTACCCTTGTGCAACAAACAGTCTTTAAACCTCCAATTATTTATTCATTTCCACCACATGTGCCCTGAGACCGGTCTCTGAAATTCCACCTTCACTTTAACCTAATGAAAGTCTCAATTATTTCTCTTATTTCTGGAATTTATGGATTGCCTATGGTATCCCAATCTTGCGGAATCGGAGACATCTCGCAAGATTACCTATCGTGAGCCACGTTTGACAGTAGCGGTAGCGCGTGTCTGCATCATCACAAATTACCAAGCTGTCTATCAATCTTTGGAATTCATCCCGACAACCGTCCTTCTTGACGGATTTGAAAAGCGGCCCCAGTGCTTTCTATACACAAGATCTCAAGCGCCGGGCTAAGCACCATGACGGATTTATAGATTTGACAAAAGGAAACTAGAGCGAAGAGGTCTCAATGATTAAAAATCGAGGCCTTTTTCACTAGGCTCACTAAATTACTGCTGTCAATGATGTGAACATTCAAATGCATGGAATTGTCAACGGAGAAGGTGAGTGATCCTCTCGTAGGTACTATTCTACAGAAGGTTTGTGCTCTTAATGATGTCAAGCAAGGACATGGGGAGACACGCTCGAATGATCTATACAAATCAGCGGGAAGGCCGCTAGAGATGCCTTAGATATCTGCGCAGATATAGGGCATGGATGTCTTGGATTAGCAGCTCGTCAGAAGAATAAGCCTCAGATTCTGCATCGAGATTCGAATAAATGCTATCTACATGTAAACCATCTCCACATATACCTAATCGGTATTCTTGAGAGTAGACAATCCTTCATTTCTGAAATCTACGATCTGTTACCTGATGGTGCTCTGTATCTGGGGAAACATGTTTACACAAAAGTGTCTAATCGAAGAAATAAAATTACCATTATGATGCAGCGTAATTATGAATTAGGTTTTTACGAACTTAGCTTTCAGATTTGCAGTATAGAATTTAGATTAAAGTCATTCCAAATACATACGACCATAGGGTGTGGAAAACAGGGCTTCCCGTCCGCTCAGCCGTACTTAAGCCACACGCCGGTTAGTTAGTAGTATGGTGGGTGACCACATGCGAATCCTGACTGTTGTATGTTTTTGTTTTTGTTTTGGCAATTCAAAGAAATTGCCACTGTTGCTACTCTTCAGTCACTTGAGGCCCTTCACCCGAACGCACTGACACCATTCTGAAGGTCGTGTTTGGATAATAGACTAGCCCGAAGTATCTTAAGCCCTCAAGACTCTGAGGTATCAATCACAACTTCTCTTTCTGTCATGAGGTTCAAGCTTAGAAGAATAGAGAAAGTTTCTGAAGGCATAAAGGGTAAAGTCACTCCATGGTTCATAATCTTCTTATTTCAACTTTGTGTAAATCGTTAATCTGTTCAGCAGTAGTGCGAACAGGTATCACCTATTCACCTTACTTAATGATTCAATATCCGGCATTTGCATCCAGAAAGACACGTTATCATCAACTCATCGCTATTGGACTCGAAAAAGAAGTCTAAACATGCATTGCATGATAACAATTCTTTCAAGCATGTCTCGGCAAAGGGTCCTGTTTTTCCGGCCCAGAGCCACGGTTCATCCCACCGCTGGGTGCCCCATTTGGATTCCAATGAGTATCGGCATGAGGCGCATTATTTGACGCTGTATACGGCTCTGCATTGGGATCTGCGTAAGTGGCCCCAAACGGCGCCGTGTTAGCCCCAGACATCATAGCCGGTTCGACAGAGTGTTCAGGAGGAGAGTCGATAAGAACAAAATCACTAGGAGTCGGCCCTGTTGGCGCCTGCAGTCCAGTAGGCACTTGATCGAAATTTGCGTCTCCTTGTGCCGAGTGCACCGTGTGCATCAACATTCTCACGCCTGGATCGTTTGTCCTAACTTGCCCCGACATAATGTCTTTGACAGGCACCTTCCTGCCATAGAATCGCTCGTTCTCGTCGTTGCGTTCGATGATGATGCTTCCGTCGATTTGCATACCAGCATAGAATCCCCGGCTCTTGACATAGGTCCAAATCGGGGCCCGACGCTTATGCACCTCTGAATCCAGCACACCTCCGATTCCAATCGGTCCAGCCGCAACAGTGACTTCGCTGCCGAGGGTCACTCGCACTTTGCAGAAGGCTTCCAGTGCCTCGTAGGTATTGATCACCATAACACAGTCGTAGATATCAATGCCAACAAGGAACCCAACGCCCGCAGTATGCAGCAGGATCCCAGACGGGGCACTCCACTCCCCTGTCTCAGGTAGGCGTGCAATAAGCACACCACTTCCCCCAGCACCACTGACCCACATCCCCGTCCGCATCGCTGTAAAAATAACCAATCCCTTCGCATCGCGGATGACCTCCTTCGGGATCTTCTTCAGCACCTTTTGCTTCCCGCGAGGTTTATCAATCTTACTGCTCGTTCCGTTTCCAGGTGGAGACGTGTCTGGCAACGAATCCTCGACGTAGACACCGTCTTTGCAAAAGCTGCGAAGGATGCGGGCCGCTTTCTCGCTTTCCTTCTCGAGGGCCATGGGCCAGAAGGCCTCGGAGCCGAGTTTGTTGCTGAGTCGATTGACGGGGGCGCCAAGCTTGTCGAGAGCATCCCAGCCTTTGTCGAAACCTTTTTTACCGTAAATTTTCGTTTTGCTCCATATTGTGTCTTGATTGGTAGGTTGAGTCATTTCTGCGGTATCTGCGAATGGATTTGTCTCGTTGATATTATTGAAATTGAGAAATGATTCAGTGACCAGTTGGTGTAGAGTAGGCTGAAGAGAGGTATTGAAAAATTCCGAGGATTATGCGAAAGCTCCTCTTTATAGACAAATGAAGCCTAAACAGCCCACTACGTAGCCATGTGGGTCCGCTCCGCTGCATAATTGGTCGTATTCGTATTGTGGCATCATGGTTGCCTTATCGGGCTGAGTCGCGATCAGCGCTAGCCGAAGGCAGACACCATTCCACTATCTAAACTAAGATCCTTGTTGCTTATTTCTATCAAATAAACTGACCGTCTTAATCTAATAGGCCTAGTTGGCTTCATGTTATTGGGGGCTCAAAGATATCGTCGAAAGTGGCAACTTTCGATGCAATCGAGACACAATCTCCGTGTAGGCCGGCTCCTCCTCTGCAGTGATCAGACCGTGCCGGACCATAAAGTCCAACAGAACGTTGGCACTCGCTGGTTTGAACTTTCCATCTAACATCGCCACCTTTGCATCGTGAGTATTCATTAAATGGAACGCTTGAACATCACCATCCACGGGCTTGAAAGTTGCACTCTCGCTAACTTGGAGATCATAGACAAAAAGGACCCCCGGGTTTATTAGCCCAGACTCGCCCCCAGCTCTCTCATCACTGATATTCATCCAGGTGACAGTGCCCACTGCTAGGGTGTCCCTCCGAATCTGCTCCTCAGACATACCAGCCTCCTCCGATGCCTCGCGAATGAGGCATTCGAATGGCTCCTCCCCGATAGCCATCCCCCCAGCGACGGTATTATCCAGCATACCAGGATATGTTGACTTTTCCAAGTTCCTCTGCGGCACCCAGAACCTGTACTCATGGCCTTGCTGCGTATACGCGGTCATGTGGACCCCACGACCAACCAGCCCAAACAAAGAGAAGGCAGACCGGTCTATTCCCACGGGAAACTTGGCACCTACTATAGGAAATTGTTCTCCACGATGCTTCCCAAGCTTCGGGAATGCGCCCTTCTCCCTGGCAAGCTGGACTTGATAGTCAAGGATCTGGGTGCATTTTTTCTGCCAGTTGTCGCCTTCCGGGCGGAGCAGACGGATTTGTCTCTCCTTGGAAGCGACCGAGAAGTCGGCAGTCCAGGGCATTCTTTTCACCACGGAATCGATCATTAGACCGTGAGGTCTGGAGTCTTCGGGTAAATAAAACTTCCATGTGGAGCTCATTTGTTGCGCATATGCCTGGTTTTCATCTTCAGCATAGGGGAAACTAGGGTAATTAGCTAGCATCTGGTTGAGGATGGGGGGCACTGTACTTGTCGCAGTCTTGCACTACTTCCAAGAAGGACTTCATAACGGCAGAAGTCTTATATAGTGGTGTTTTGATATCAAGATCAATTACTTCACAGATAAATCATCGGGGAAGTGAGGGTAATTGTGATATCGGAGAAAGGCTCTTCCGCTCCGTCGTCATGCTTGTATAGATTTGACGCCATGCTATGGGGGCGAATAGCGGCCATGAGGACAGAACCTTTCATTCTATGACAAGTATATACCGCTTTACCACTTGATTGTGGCGCCCAGTACTCAGTCTCCTACTTAGTATCCTACTTATTATTCTATGCAGTATTCTACCTTCTTTCGTACCGGTTTTTTCAAATGGTCAGAGGGCTCTCCAAATTCAAATGTAGCGGAATAGAAAATAAAGGGAAAGAATGAATTGGAAGAAGAAGGTCTGGTAGAACTTCCGAACGTACGTCCAAAAGTCTGCGATGTACTCAAGTATTAGAGGGGTAGATTAGCTTAGTAGTATTTATTTATGATTTCTGCCATTTTTAGATAATACCAAAGGTTCTGTCCTCATGGCCGCTACTCCCCTCCGTATATGCGCGATTTTTAGCCCGGAGAAAATAATTAATCGTCGCCAAGTTAAGCTGGGCCGATACCTAGCTGCAGAATCGATTCAATTCACCAAGTCTCGTATGAAATATCTGTCGTTTGCTCATTAGTTTGCCGGGTTCTTCTAAATGAATGCACATAATGCAACACTCCCATGGCCTCGACTCAAAACATATGAAGTTCACGTAGCTGGTCCAAGATCAACCTCTGAGCATTTCTAATTGCCACAGGCACAGCCATCGACCCAGTGTTCCGATCGGAAATGATTCTTCGGGCACCCCCCCCCCTGCAATACTTCTGCCCTACCCTGTATTACCCCGCATTTCCCCGCATTAAAATCCGCGAGTGTTTGGAAAAGGCCTATGTCTACTGGTTTCTAATTAAAATAGGCATAGCCATCGACCTAGGGTTCCGATCGGAGTTGACTCTTCCGGCATTCCCCCGTAATACTTCCACCCGGGATTTGCTTTCCACATATTGACATTCCCCCGCATCCAAATCCGCGAGGGTTTGAAAAAGGCCTGTATCTATTGGTTACTGCATTAAGTATATCCAGTAGATTTCAAGAGAAATTATTTAGTCTTTTGGTATCCGATATCCGACTTCATAATCCTTGTCTACCCGATACTTCGGACCGACGATTTGAGACCAATGTCATGCGGGTAAAAGAGCATACAGTAGACATAAACTGAGAGGGAAATCTGCATTTAAAATGCCATGGGCACGATCCTTTGACATCACCAAAGCTACTCTTGGAAATGCCCATACAATCAGTTCAGATGGCTGTAACCATAATGGGGAACGCAGCTGCGGGCTATTCTTTGAAGGCCTACGTCGTCTGCATCATTTTAGCCGCGGTCGCGCTCCGCCTCCTCACAAATCGATTCAAACGTGGGCTTCGAGATATTCCTGGGCCGACAGTTGCAAAATACACACGGTTGTGGAAGCTGCACAGTGTCTGGAAGGGAGATCACCAGAACGCCGCCGTTGATTTGCATCGGAAGTACGGAGCTCTGGTTCGCATCGGCCCTAAGCATGTATCTGTCAGCGACCCTGACGCCATTCAAGTCATCTACGGTCTTAACAAGGGCTTCACCAAAGTTTGTGTTGACTCTCCCAAAAAGGAATATGGGGAATATCGGCTAACAAGCACCAGACGGGCTTTTATCCTATCCAGTGTATATCATGGAAGAAGAAACCCCAAATGAATCTTTTCTCCACCCGTGACGAGAAGTTCCATCGTGAACAGAAGCGACCTGTGGCCAACGCCTACAGCATGACTGCTCTTCTTGAGCTCGAAGCCTCTATTGACTCGTGCACACAAATCTTCGTGTCTCAGTTAAGGAAATCCGCAGATCGGAAAGCTTCCGTCGATCTAGGAGCCTGGCTACAATACTACGCTTTTGACGTGGTGGGTGAGCTTACGTTTGCGAAAAAGCTAGGTTTCTTGGAGGAAGGACGAGATATTGATGGGATGATTGAGGCAATCCAGGGCATGCTAGCCTACGCCAGCGTGTGTGGCCAGGTACCCGAAATGCATCCCTTGCTGCTTGGGAATCCTCTCTTCCCGATCCTCGTGCCTAGTATGGAGACCTGGAACCAGGTTCTTCAATTCACTCTCAAGGCAATCAATTCACGTTCATCCATACAGCGTGATGGTGAACTTGACGAAGTTGAGAAGGGAGGAGGAAAGGATATGTTGTCTAGATGGATGCAAATTCACCATTCAGATCCTGAGAAGCTCTCCACGAGAGATGTTATCGTGCATCTTTCAACAAATGTCTTTGCTGGATCTGATACAACAGCCATTGCACTTCGAGCCGTTTTCTATTTCCTCATGCGCCATCCAGCGGCCATGACGAAAGTGCAAACCGAACTTGATAGTGCAGCATCTAGTCAGAAACTCAGTAACCCAGTGTCATACCGGGAATCCATTACACATCTCCCCTACCTGGGTGCAGTCCTCAAAGAGGCTATGAGACTACATCCATCCGTTGGATTGATCCTCGAGCGTGAAGTACCGAAGGGGGGAGTGTCAATAAGTGGAAAGCAAATTCCGGGCGGAACGATAGTCGGCATCAATGCGTGGGTTTTGCATCGAAACGGTAAAATATTCCCTGATCCCGATTCGTTTATACCTGAGCGATGGCTCGAGAGTTCTTCCGAAGCACTGAAGGAGATGGAGAAGAGCTTTTTCACATTTGGAGCTGGATCGCGAACATGCATCGGCAAGAACATCTCCCTTATAGAGATGCAGAAAATCATACCACAGCTGCTGCGTGAATTCGAGATCCGACTGCACAGCCCAGAGCAAGATTGGAAAACCCGGAATGCATGGTTTGTTCAACAGGAAGGGCTAATCTGCGACCTTGTGCGGAGAAAGGACATGGCATGATGGTGGAAGAGCCTGGATCAAAGCTATTCTACCCTTCCTTGAGGGTAGCCTGTGATGTTGTAGCGTTGATTTGACGTCGTTTTGAAAGCTCAGTTATTTTTGTGAAGTTTCAATCAACTAGCACAAGGAAACTAAGTATCGAAATATCTATCAATGACCCTATCGCCCTATCTTCAGTAGCAGTAGTACCTTAAGTCGGTTCCACGTATAACGTAAGCTAGGCATTCTAACCAGAACCACAACTGGCATGACCTAGTAGCACCCGCCCAGATTCCAAGTACAGATATGACGATTCTCAACACATGATCGGCAGATTGGAAATCCCAAAGCTTAGCCCCAACCCCAAGTGACACGTCACAGAGGTGACGATACTCAAAGAATACAGTTCGCATTGCAAGTACATGCTACATCGCGCATCATCTTTATCACATAGATCACGCAATCATGATCATCACCGTCGCTACATCCGGCACATAGAAGTAAGACGCATGGCAGAATGAAGACATCTTGCGTCATTGAAACACCTTGCTGGCGGCATAGCGAGTCGGTAGTCTGTCTCGGTAGTCGAGACCAGACCGAGCCGATATATATGTGTTGTCAGACCTCACCATTAGATAATAAGGTGAAAGAGGTGATGGCCAGGTTCCTGATGTCTCCACTGGGGGTGCATGGATGACGGTTTCAAGGGAAAGTAGTGGACATGTTGGGGATGGCGCACCGAGGTAATGTGTGCGACGCGGGGAGATTGGAGACTGCCGTTCAGGTGTGACTTTGACATTTAATCCCGCATTGAGTACGTGGAAAGGTACAGAGTGCGGGTGATACTCTCCATGGTTCTCATGTAGATATTTGTCCGCCTGATCAATTGAGGCTTAGGGTGGCATTCATTTATAGAGTATTCCAAGTACCAACAAAGGCTACAGACTTGAAACGCAGAGCCCCATAGTTGAGGCGGAAGTGATACCACAAAGAAGATGGGAATCCCGACGTAACTCTACTCTACTCTAGAGTATCATGGGCTCTGATCAGGCGGACAACTCACAGCGCGTAGAGGCAATTCGGGATTCCTAGAAGATATAATGCCCTTACCGAGTAGTCCGTTCTTCGGAATTATTGGAGTATGGGATCAGCTGACCCCCTCCGTTTGTCAGCGCTTGTACGTCTTTAGCTAGATCTCTCTCTCTCTCTCTCTCTCTCTCTCTCTCTCTCTCTCTCTCTTTCTCTCTCTCTTCCTTTCTTTTTCTCTTTCTCTCCTCCATTCATCTCGAAATACAGATCTTGTCCATTTTCTCTGTTTCCACGCTACTATTCAGCCATTTCTTGCCCTGGATAGCAGATCAGCTGCCGACAGTCAAGTCTATCTTGCTCGCGTTTTCTGTGCTTCAAAACTCCCTAAGGTAATGCGTTTAAAAGCACTCAGAACGTCCACTACTGATTCGGGATGTTTGGTTTCGAAGTTTTTGACTATGTGGCATCTACCCCTCTATTACTTGGGTACACCGCAGACTTTTTGGACATGCTTTCAAAACCTCCACCAGACTTTTCCTTTTTTCCCCTTCTCCTACCACTTCACTTTTTTTCGCTTTTTTTTCTATTCGCTATTTATGAATCTTTTCACAGCTTGATTAATACGGTACGAAAGAAGTTAGAATACTGAATAAGATACCGAGTAGGAGACTAAGTAGGAGACTACGTAGGAAACTGAAACTGAGTAGGAGATATATTAGGAGACTGAGTATGAGATATAGTAGGAGATGCGGTCTAACACCTAAGTAGACGCCGCGCAAAAAGCGCGGCGGAAAGCCTCTAGTATAGAATAACTTTACACACTCTTTGTCAACCAACTTCTGAGCTAGGCTTAGAAAGTTCAGCACGGACACTGCATTCTTCAAGAAATTGAACCTGGAAAGATTCCACGCACTCTTGGTAAGCCAATGTGCCGCCCAATCACTCAGGGTGTAGCGTCTCTACCCGTTCAGCAAGGTTTAGCCAGAGCCTTGGGCAACAATTCGATCAAGCAGGGCGCACAGACTTGATCCCTTAGCAATACATAGACAAATTGGCAGTTGATAGCCCGAGCCAGCACCACACCGCCACATAAATATCAGATAGAAGAAGGTTGTAGCAGATGACCTCAACTAGGCTATTAATAACCCGATCATTTTACAATACTACCCAAAGGTTAATATTCCGCTGTGCATCCGTCATGGAGAGATCACAGGACATGGAAAGGTCACAGCAACCTACATCAAACTTTCCATGAAGTGCCTTAATTCCATGCTCTAGAGTTATTTCTGCCGATGAGCGCTGATCAGTAGAGAACCCCTCATATGTCTTTTCGGGCCAGAACTCTGGTTTGCCAATCCAACTAGACTTTATATCGTTTTCGATGAATAGTGGTCGCAATGCGTGGATGCGCCCGTGACTCCTGATACCAGAAAATCCCCTCAATGTTTGACCGCAAAGGCTGATCGCCACTTGCCCGCCTGGTAGGCGATATCCAAAATTAACGTTTGGTGTGTCCTTTTCTCCACTCACTAATTCGAAACCAGTGATGACAGTCTTTGTACCTTCATATAGAACGGAGACTGCTAAGCTGACAACTGAATCATGCAATAGAATTGCTTGTGTAAAAGGAGCATGTTTAGCTGCACGGAGCTGACATAGATCATTGCGGGCCGCCCTATAACGCAATTTCCTATCACATTGAAGCCCAGTTTCAAGTCCAGTCCAGTGCATTTTAGTGAATGAATGATCGTAGAGCGTAGAGTACTCATAGGAGGACTGGGTCATTGAGTATCGCTCTCTTATCCAGCGCAAATTCTCCCTTAAAGACTGTAGATTCCAGAGATGCCAGAGGTTTTCATGGGCACCTGGATCTTTGAAAGCTTTTTTTCTAAGCATGAGATCAATTTTTGCTGTACAGCGATATATTAGCCGCCAGTCTTTGCTGTCAAGTGGGTCACTGGCTAGACAGGCGAGGAAGTCTCTGTCTTGGATCACTTAAAATCTGGAATTCCAGAACGATTGAATCTCGAAGATTTTTGCCATCGATCGCGATGCATATCGAAGACTTAGAAAATCGACAGTTGCAAAATACAAAGCAATTTCCATCCTTATCTCCAATGGCACACAGTCAACGCAGTCTGATGAATAATGTTCATTTCTTAAAGGATGAAACTTTCTTAGAGAATATCGGAGTTTTCTTGAATCCTTAACCGCTGCTTTCTGTGGAACTGGAGGATTGATGTTGGAACCTTCAGGCCTTGGGATCATCGGGCGGTTGGTTATATGAAATCCTTCATATACATCTGCTTACAGTAAATCATGTTAGAGATCGAGTTTCTACTATATGGGCTTAGTGTTGAGAAAAATACACTGATAAAAAGAGCCATGATTCCATATGTCTTGACAAACTAAATGAAGCCTATCAAGATCGATATTTTGGCCTTCAAAATGTTGAAGTAAGAGTGAATAACAATTCTCATGAAGCAAAAGAAATTTCATCGGTCTGAACCTGGTTATCATAAAATAGGGGCCCAAATACTCAAACTCACGTGTAGGATCTGCTTCAACCACATGATTTATCCAATTACCATCAGTTACGATGGCACCTGATTGCGGGGATCCTAATTCTGCCACATGAATCATAAGAATTAGACATGGCTTCTTAAGGCAAATAATCTTACTCATCTATACTCACTTGGCTGATGTTCTGACCACCATGCACTCAAGGATGTGATGGATACTCCACAGCAAAGACAAGCACAAACTCGACTTGGATCCCAAATGAGATCGGCATTCCTTTCCTGCTGTGATATCAGTGACTGAACGCTGCTCAATGTTTTAGCATCCATATTGACAGCAGGACTTTCAAGTAGGCTAGATTCACGCTTGGTGAGGAAAAGGCTTGTTATATACATCAAATATGGGGGTCATCATGACATCGGCAACGAGATCAAACTTATGTAAAGTAACCAGTGCATTTATCTAACCGTTATAATTCATGTGGCCCAGGAAATTCCAGGGTAGCCTTCTGAGGCAGTACGTTCTTTGAATAAATTCCACGAACCGGATATGGTGCATCCTATATATTTGTGTGTGCTAAATTACTTCACTGGTGTAGCGGGGAACCCCCATTGATTGACATTACGAGGCCTTCCCGGAAGGGGATTTTCCGACCTGTATCAAGACACCTGGTTTTCAGTACACTGGTATGCCGGGCATGGGCAACATATCTAGCACCTCAAAGATAGTATTGAATAACATACTTCTATTTCTCTCATATAGTCCCTACAGGTAGTTTCCTGAATCAATCGTATAACCTGTGGACTGCATTGTTGTCTTGTGCTGCTGAATCTACCCGCACATCTTCGAGTGTGCTGCCAAGTAGCTTCACCCTCCTCACTAGTCGATTAGTCAACGGCCGTATGCTTGATTAGCAAAGGTTTTGCTTGGGTTTTATCTTGGAAACCAAGAAATTGAACTTATATGAGCCTGATAAGAATAAGGTCCTAACAAGACTCCGTACCTCGTGAATAAAATTCAGCGTGCGAGCTGAATGTCTCGTTATGGGAGAAACATGACATGATAACTTGGAGGGCGGTTTTTGATGAGTAGAGTAGATAGTAGTATTACGCAACAGAAGATTCACACCCAATTATCCCCTATATATTGCGCAATCACCCTTCTCACCCCCGTTCCGCAACGCTAGGCAGTGGAACCCACCCGACCTTTATAATTGCATAATATAGATCAATTCAAAGAAGTGTTAAGTACATACGACCATAGGGTGTGGAGAACAGGGCTTCCCGTCTGCTCAGCCGTACTTAAGCCACACGCCGGTTAGTTAGTAGTATGGTGGGTGACCACATGCGAATCCTGACTGTTGTATGTTTTTGCTTTTGTTTTGTTTTTATGCTCTCTGACATCGGCTATACTTTTCCAACGCTGCATCGAGACCACTACGTCAGGACTGCCCCATTTAATGTGTCTGTATAGTGTTCTTCAAACCCAAGATGAAATCCTGGTCAAGGTGGCAAATACAGTCGGAAGTGCTGTTCAGATCAGAAATGATCGCCTTGTGTCTGTTGTGCGACCAGACAGCTTACGAACGCCAGTTACCATTGTTAAAACTGGAGATCAAGAATTGGATCCAGGGACTATGTTCAAGTGCCTTAGCACTTCATTCAATGGATTTGCCGACGAGGCAGTACTGGATACGATGTTTCAAGAATTACGCAATTCGGCAAACAACCAAGGTGAGCTAGCATCAATCTATTACCATTCGTACACTTTACTGAGATCTTTCAGAAAAAATGGCTAGATACCGGCGGAAATCTGCCATTATTGAGTTTGAAAAGTGCCTCCATAAAGTGGGAACGGACATTGATCTATGGCCACCCGAGTCATCCTGTACGATTTTTGAGATCAAGAAAAAAAACATTGATTGATCAATTCTGATTTCGGATTTAATAGTACCACCGATTGTGCTATGCCAAAGCGCCACTGAAGCCTGTGGCTCCTGAAGACATCCCCGGGATGCTCAACTCAACTCTAGCATTTCTCTCTGTTCCACGTGTCGAACTACGGATTACGGGTGATTTTGAGAAAGAACTTGAGCCACTCTTGAAGGAACTTGATATTTCAAAATTCTCTGGTGACCGTGCTATCGTTCCTTGCCTCGAGCAGCAACTTCCCTCTATTCATCCGAGATTCCCAGGTGCCATAATTTTGAAATCTCGCCAAGGATTGTGCAGATGCGCAGGCGTCAATACGCACTCTCGCTTTACGACCGAATCTGAGATTCAAGTATCATTTGGAGCTCTCTTTGGCTTGTCAGATAACCTCTGCTCTGGGAACGATTACTCCCTATACAACCTGTAGCGGGCCAGTTCAGACAAAATCCTAGAACAATTTCTTCCAAGCGATCTGTGGGTCTTCAGAGAGGTAGCTGCTGTTTCAGGCAGCCAAGAAAATTTCAATGACGCACGCCATCTTTCCTGTATTCTGCGTGATAGTCTGGAGAGCAGAGCACAGGCAAATAACGAGAGTCTCATAATTGCTGCAGCACTAGCCCAAACCCCCAATGGGGACAGTCGGTCCTACGTCGAAATTTTGTATAGCCTAGGAACAGTTGCCAAGAAAAAGGAATGGTTTAGAAGGTGGGATGCTTGATAATAGGCACAGAGCTGATTATATGCTGATCTCGTCTTATTAGATATGTTACCGTGCTGTTCGAGCTTGTTCTTCCCCCGCTGGTCCAGTGCGGAATTGGACTGGAAGCTCATGGTCAAAATCTAGTGGCACGTGTTTGTCAACTGGGAGAATCAAAGACTTTGCGGTTCGTGATTTTGGAGGCGTCAGAATGCATGTTCCAACATTGCGGAATCATGGCGCGAAATTCGACTCACTGCCACCCGGTGCAGCAACCTTGACGGATAATCTGGGGAATGTTTGGAGCAAAGTGCATCATTCTCTCCTTCAGAACCATGTAGGGTTACTACTGGGTGCATTGGGACTAGAGAGTCATGGTGGATGGGCAATCGCCCTCAAGGTTTTATCAGCAACTTTGAGATCTGAAGAAGGATCTCCTGGCAGAAGCTTGCTGAATTATTTCTGCAAGGACACAATGCCCTTAAAGTGCTTTCTAAGAATGAGAATGAGAGCAAGTACAGGGATGTGAGTGCTTCTGTGGTTCATGGATTGATTTTAAAAAACTGAGAGTGATAGCTGATATTCAAGTTGTTAATTTACAGTATATTGAGAGAGAGGTTCCCACTACTCTTCTCATGGGTACTCCTCAATGGATCTCCATTTTGGATGCTTATGAGCCCTCACTCCTGCCACTTAGGAGACTAAAGCCTAGAAATGCAGAATACTAGGAACGATAATTTATTCACCCTCGACAGAATCCCGTCATTGAAGTGATGGCTCGCCTCTAATCAAACTGAGCAGCCGTGTATTTAGGTCACTTATCGCATACTAGGTTGACCGAGAAGGTAAATTTGAAGTTGGATACGGTTCTACTTGGGAGATGCTGATGCTAAAGGCTTTTTATGCCCTTCTCACAATCAAATTGTAGTGGTAGGGTTGCTGACAGAATTTGAGGTCTAGACATTTCCTACAATTTCAAACACTTATTATATCATCTCGTCACCGAGACGTATGACATCTAAGTCCATGTCAGCGGAGTGAGTCGATAAGCTTATGAGCCTGTTGTCACTATCAGGTGCCGTAGAAATTAGTGAGAAAACAAATGGTCGACTCAGGGGTTTTTCACAGACATAGACACCTCGTTATAGGCTAGAACTGGCACGCCTATCATCAAAAATAAAGGGCTGAATGTGAGGGAATGGCCGTACCCGAAGTCGAGACTGGTTTACCACCAAGTACCATGCGTTACTGACAGCTGAGAATTGTGTAATTCTAATAGTTTTTGCAGGACTGTTGCCTCTCCTAATATAGGTCGAGTGAATAGCTATGGCTATTTGAGTGATAGCCACCTTTATGGTTGAGGTAGTAAGCCCGGTGCCGGCGATGTCCACTGTATCTGTAAAAATGGCATTTAAATGATTGCAAAGCAACTCCCTGGATTACCCAATTCCAAGCGTTATATCAACCTTGCGAGGAAGGCAGGAATCATGGAATGTTTAGCTAAGGAGCCACATCAGCGGTCAAGACCGCGCAAGATATTCAGATGCAAAAAAGTGCAGTATATTCAGGGTACTCGGGTGAAGGAGGAAAGGGTAATTCGGCAAAGAGAGTTTCTCTACGAACCAAAAGGGCGAAAAAAAAGACAACAGTCAGGATTCGCATGTGGTCACTCACCATACTACCAACTAACCGGCGTGTGGCTTAGATACGGCCAGTAGTTCGGTGGGTGCCGCTAGGGTGAGAAATGGGCGAGAGCCGCTTTAGCGTCGCGCGACCGGGGGTGAGAAGGGTGAGTGCGCAATACAGGTGAGAAGCAGGGTGAGAGAAGGTAAGCATTATACTCTACCAAGTGATCACCGCACTGGCCCTCTAAACTGAATTCATGCTAAACTAATGGTTAATATTGTGATTTCTACTAAATCACACCCTAGCATCTGCACTTCGCCACTTCGAATATCACTACTATAAGCTTATATATCTACACCGATATGACTTCAATTCTGGGGCCAGATTTCTTCATTCACCTTGTCTTTCTTTGATCATGGATTGGTTAGTCGTGCGGGGCCGAGCAAACACTTACAGATTATGCGGGTCGAACACTCACTCAATAGAGCCAGCCGCATTAGGAACTTGGAGGGAGTGGGTCAGCAGATATATATTGCTGATTGGTTGAATGAAATTTTTGGGATTTGGCAGAGAGTGGGTTTGACTTACGTAGGTAATCGTGGGCCAATCGAGCTAAATTGGTAATAGAACTCTAAAATAGCCTCTATGAAAGTGGCGAGGACCAACAGTTTTCATTACCTTGCCCCTTTTGACAGGACATGAAAACTCTGAGGTGACGGGAAGGTAATACATAAATATCACGAATCTTCAAGCTTGAAATTGTGCGACGCTTTGGTTTGGACTTCGCTACTTCACTTCAAATCGCCTCCTTGGGCCTCAAGAATTGCCATGTATCTTCGAGGGACCCATGCTGAGTCTTCAATAAAGGCTCTATTCGAACTCATTAAAGCCAATCCCTTAGGCGTTCTCACGACGGCCATAAATTCTTCTTCCCATCCCTTCATCCAGTCCAGCCACATACCCTGGGTCCTAGATGAGATCTCAGACGACCACAATGCACCCGTGAAAGGCAAACTACGGGGTCATATAGCCAAGCAGAACCCTCAGTCAAAGGCAATGATTGAATCGGTTACTGAAGCTGCGGATGGCTTCTCAACAGGAGTTTCCCAGCTACAACAGGATGTTATGATCCTGTTCACAGCATCCTGCCACCATTACGTGACACCGAAGTTCTACACCGAGACCAAACCGAGTACCGCCAAAGTTGTGCCCACCTGGAACTATGCTGCAGCTCAAGTTTACGGAAAGGCCACCATCTACTATGAATCGTCTTCCTCAGAGACATCGATCTACCTTTCGCATCAAATCCGTGACCTAAGCCAAATGTGCGAGACCTCAATCATGGGTTATTCCGGTGAAGAAGGGAAACCAACTGCCTGGAAAGTGGAGGATGCTCCCGAACGGTATATTGAGATCATGAAGAAGAATATCATTGGTATTGAAGTAAGGATTGAAAGAATTGGAGGAAAATTTAAGATGAGTCAAGAGTTGGGCAAGGGAGACCGAGACGGTGTCATGCAAGGCTTTAGTGGTCTTGGCTGTGAAATCGGAAACAATATGGCAGCCCTGATCAAGGAGCGTGGGGAGATAAAAGATGCAGTAAAGGCCAGATAAAACTTTGATTATTGGCTGTTGAAGCTTGATCACGCTCATGTACCCTCCAACATTCTCATAGACCCATCACCTACCAATACTTAGCTCTCTTTCTTATTTTATTTGCCACCATCAGCAATACTTCTACGTATGCTTCTGGCCCTTTCCATTCTTCACTATAGTCCGTAGACTGCTGTTATGTTTGGAATATTTGTTCGAAGGTCTTTGAAATGATACTTATTATTCCGACAAAAATCATGAGTAGTGGCAAAATTAATGCACTATAGGCGTGGAAGCCGTGAGTCAGCCCTGCCATCCGGTGATCCATCAAGCTACAGAATAGAGATGTTTGCCATGTTTTGTTTCTTTGAACTGTATCTGCCGTGTTTGAAATTATTTTATTGTACTAGCGTCTTGGCAGTAGGGCGCCAAAGCAGAAGAGCAGTGGTCAAGGCGAAAACATATTTCTTATTGGGGAGTTGGGGTCAATAAATGTCAAATTGCCGCTTTTCATTAGATGCTTTATACACCCTGTAATAGCTTTAAATAGAACTCTACTTCCCCGTAAAGCACAACTTTTTCCGGAATGTCATCTTACAGAATGTAATAAGATGCCTTGCTCACATTGATGATATATTGTTTCAAATAAGATGGCCAGGATTCTCCAGAACCCATTTCATGCTTCAAGTCAACACTCGTCGGATAATTCACGTGGAAGCAGCGATTATTCGGTATGACGACTGCACCTTTGGAGACAGGCTTTTCAGTGTCAAAACAAGCTCATCGGCAGCTGCGAGAAGGGCATCGTCTGAAAGCGGCTCTAATGCATCCAAAATGAACAAAACGCGTGTGGTCACATCTGTTAATGCAGTCCGCGGGCCCTGTCGCCAATTCCAGCGGCGGCAAGTGATGCCAGCATTGTCACACCATATAGGTTCCCCAGGTGCTGCGAATTCTGTTTGGAATTCCCCGCTAGAAAATGTCTGGAATGGCTCCTGACCAGTGGCTCGGACAAGAAACGGTGATCCATTGTATTTATCAATGTCTTCACCGCCCAGTGGAATTTGATGCTTGACTGAAATAGCATTGTAGATGTCCGTCAGCCGATTGACTCGCGGTAAACCACCCTCTGCTCGACGCGTCAATGCCTCTAAACTGTTGCGTGTCTTTTGCGGCTTGGCTCCAAAAGCCTTATAGGCTTCCCGCCACGCGGCAATGTGTGGCAATTCAGTGACAAGGGATTTCGAAAGTTGCATTTTGACACAGGCTTCCGCCTCGCACAGATAGGCCTCACTATTATCATCACTGGGCCTGGAGGAATACTTTCAACAACCACCAGGAGAGCACGATAATCCGGCCGCAACTCAAATATTTCTGGAGCCACCCGCGCGGCCTCCAGCAACTTTTGCGAAATGTGTGAAACGCCCATGGCCAGTGGCAGAGTATGGTTTTGAGGGTATGTAAATAGGCGTGGGTTGCGTATTGGATAGTAGAGCGAACAAGAAGAAGGTGGAAACTGTAAGAGACGAAAGGTGGAAAATGGGGATCTCCTTGACAGATATATTAGGCGATGGGGCAATTCGTTTGCACTATTGGAGCACTAAAAGGTAAGACGGGCAAGAAAACCATGGGTTCGTGGATGGATCTATGTGAGCTTTACATCTGGCCTTGGCCCTGCTCCCTTTAACTTCCTAGGTAGGTAAATAGTGGGTCCCGCTCATGGCCGATTTTCAAGAATTTTCAAGTTCGTGCTCAAACTCGGTGGAAAGACCGGGTAATTCAGGGGCGTGCTTAACTTCACTTAAAAATAAAAAAGCGATAGAGCTCGAAAGCTAAAAGGCTGAAACGTTGAAGATCTCTTGTGGAAGTCGATATTACTGTATGGCGGTAAGAGTAAGGGAGCTTACCGAAACGAGTTTTTCCCAGTTTTCGTGATTAGCGGTCGAAATTTAAAGCAAAGATTGTTGATAAAGATCTCCTTCTATTGCTTTACCTGCTTATATTATTTGAATGATAGATACATTCCGACTTCTAGGACCGTATTCCAACAGTGGTTGTCACCGGGAATGAGGAAAGGAACCCAATGTCATCGACATTACCAAGAATAGAGACTCATTCTGCTTTCTTCTGATCCTGGAGACATTTCTCAGCTAGTTTGAATATATTTGGTTTAGGATCCTTACGACCTCGGAATTTAAAATGATCCGCGATATCCCGGAAACATTTGCTTGAAACCAGCCTCGTTATAATACTCGCATAGAATCAAAAAACCGATTTTCCGCGGCGATTTGGGTCAGACTTTCAATCTAGCTATTCGATCGGGCATCACGATAGCTTTGAGAAACCCAGATATCGACCAAACTCCTGATTCTACTCACAATTTAAACAACAACAGCCTAATCCACATTCTTCTTGAAAGAGTCGCTGACCTTTGCAACGAAAGCCTCAATGTCCTCCAGGAATTATTCTACTTGTTCTAAGCAGGCAAAATGACCTCCCTGGATACTTCGATTAGCGATCTCATCGGAGCTCTTACAGACTCAAAAACAACTCACTTTACCATGGCTCTAGTAGAAAACCATGTTGGGATAAATCTCTTGAGTCCAAGCTTGAGGGAACACCACGACGTCATATGGAAACCATGAGTATCCTAGAGGCTTCTCCTTGGAAACTGGGAAAGGAGTATTTGAGAGGTACCTCATTGCGGCTGTTGCGTGGTACAAATTTGCAGAGAAAGTGCCAGTAAACCAATATAAGGTGACTGTGCCCAAAATGTGATCCAGTGAAAAGGGTTTCCGCGGGTCTGTCCATTCCATCAATTTTTCGCCAATCCTGTATGACTGTCAGAGAGACCGCAAGTAAGGATTTTGAGAAATAATTACCAAGCTAGCAGAGCAAGTGGGCTAGATGAGATGGCCAAACCAGCCGTCGAGGGACGAGTTCCGTGCTCTAGAGCATATGCCATCCCGGTTGAACGCCATTCTTCCGTCCGCTTGAGGTGATGTTTTTCTTCGGGAGTAAGGGAGTCAGAGGAGGGGGCTGCTTGACCTGGATCCAGCACAAGCATGTTAACTATGTTTCGTTAGCCACTGTCCAAATAAAGATTTCTGATCGACGGGTTTGTTGAGTATCGGTATACATACGGTGGAAAGCTTTGCAGTTCTCGTACTCAGCAGACATGATACGCGCAAGTAAACTTCCGAGATCACCCCCTTGGGCAATATAACCGCCACCAAATCCAAGGTCAATCATCAGTTGATTCATGATGCGTGCGGATCGTTCCAAAGTCATATCCGTATTTGGGGTACGAGTACCTGATAGGCCGTAATCGGGCAACGATGGCACAATAATATGATAAGGCAAAGTTTTAGGAGTGTACTTGTCGGCTAGTAAATCCATCATTGGCAGAAAGTCGGTAAACGAGGATGGAAAGCCGTGCATGCAGATGATGGGAATGGCATCATCTTTAGCTGAAAAGAGCGCAGCAAAATGAATATCGATCTCGCCAACCTCAAAATCTTGAACAGCAATTTTGAAATTGGGGAACTTGTTAACATATTCCTCATGAATGCGCCAATTGAAACTCGTGAGCCATGTTTCTTTCGCCTTGATTAACCACTCACGAGAAACCACGACTGGGGGTTGTTTTGTTGATTCCACCAAGTCGCCGGGCCAATCTTCGATAGCTTCAGAAGATTTCTGAATTCAACTACCTTTTTTTCCGGGATATGCAATCCGCAAGGCCGAAGTTTGGCTAGACTTTTGGGAGGAACGTTGAATTTAACAGCCATGGTGAGAATGGTCTTGGACTGAAGTGGGTATTCGTGAGATATCGTAGAATAAAGTTAGATAGCAGAACGAGAGATTGTTTTCATTTAATCAGGATAATCGAGCTAATTCATATCTGTTCACGCCTCGAAAGAAGTACCAATATTCGTCCTCCGAGACCATGGACAACTACCCTTACTTTATTTAACGGCGGACTAGGAGTGGGCGGAACTAGCGGCGGACGAACAGGATCCAATCAGGCGTTCCATTGGCAGCAACCTTGAGACGTAGGCGGTGCGGGGCCAAATCTGACTCAAGTTCGTCCACTGAGTTTCCGGTCGAACCGCTCTCTGCGTCTTCCATGTTCTTCTTACCTTGTCTATGGTGGGGGGAGGCATTTCGCAATTATACCGTTTTATTCATTTGACTTCTATTTTCCTTTTCTGCTGATATTTCGCTCACTGGGCGTAGCAGACATAATGTCTTCCTCTCGGTCAGCATTGTATCCGCAATGTTTAGCCAATGATCGTGATATAGAAGATGATATGCCTGAGTCGAAACGAAGAAAATAAGGAAAGGGACCCATAGCTGTTGGGAATGCAGACAGCGAAAAACGAAGTGTATTTTCGCCCAACCTATGGACCATAAATGTGTTTGCTGTCATCGACGTGGTGTGAAATGTGTTGGCCAAGAATACCCAGAGGAAATCACGGCGCCTCTGGACCTGAGCCTTCAAGTTAGCGACCGTATGGCGCGGGTGGAAAATTTACTTGAAGACATTCTCAAGAGACACTCTATGGGAAGAAGTACCACCGCTCACGAGGAAAATTATCAGACAGCAGTCACTCCGGGCGTGAACTCTGGCCCTACACAAAATGAGGCCTCGTTTAAATCTCCGAAAACGCATTCCTTCGAAGCAACGGAGCCCCTACAGAAACCCGAAACGGCGGGCTTCGAGACTCGATGGTGGCGTTGAGGCCCCAAATCCCGGATCATTTCAACAATTTTCATTTGAACCTGGCAAGCACGAGAAACTTTCTCAAACCCTGTACGCATCCTTGCCATCGGCAGATGATATCAGGACAATAGTTGAGACATGTGGCAACACCTCTTCTTTGTTCTACCAGATGCAAATTATACCTTACAGCGAGCTGGACAGGACAAAATCTCTCAAGAGCATGTTTGCAAGGCCAAGTCCCAGTGCGCGTCCTGTTCTAATAGCGAGAAATATGCTTCATGTCGCGACAGCCTTGCAACATCTTCATCTTGATTTCAATAAAAATGCGCGACAGTTATTGGAGCCCCCTAGGGAGATGATGAGGAGATTATCAGCGATTGCTACAAATATAGTTACAACAAATGATGACCTCATGTACTGCATTGAAGGGGTGGACAGCCTGTTAGTAGAAAGTTGGTTTCAGACCAATGGCGGAAATCTGCGAAAAGGGTTGGTCACTACTCGGAGAGCTTTGACTATTGCGCAATTGATGGGCTTCCATCAACCAGGAAGAGCAAAATGCAAAGTCGTTGATCCGAAAACGAAAGCTTATCCAGAGTTCATCTGGCACAGAATCACTGCTCTTGAGCGATATCTCTGTCTAATGCTGGGGTTTTCTGAATCAACAAACGATAAAAGTATGGTTTCTGAGGAAATACTCCTTAATGATACGCCAATGGGACGTCTTGACCGTATACATTCCGTGGTGACTTCTCGAATACTGCAGCGTAATCAATCGAACGCAAGTCCTATTAATCTCTCCTCGGTGCAGGAGCTTAACGAAGAGCTGCAAAAAGCTTCAAAAAGCTTTCCAGATAAGTGGTGGCTCATCCCCAACTTAGCCACCGTTGCAGGCCAACCAGAGGCGCTGTTCTGGGATATGCGCCGACTCTTTCACCACTTGTTTCATTATAACCTCCTTATACAACTTCATTTGCCGTATATGCTCAGCTCTACAGCTGCTGAAAAGCGATACGGTCCTTCACAGATTATCTGTGTCAATTCTGCACGCGAAATACTCTCACGCTTCATCATGTTCCATAGCTTCAACCGCATTGCCTTCAGCTGTCGCTCTATCGACTTTTTTGGTTTGATGGCAGCTATCACTTTACTCATTGTACACATCGATGGACACCAACATGAGTCACCTTGTATCAATACTCTGCACTGGCAACAGAGCCTTACAATGCCAACCAATAACCTATTCGCGCACTAAAGACCGAGCGACCGCGCGGTAATAGAAAATATCCTAGATATTATGGACGAAGTCAGCCGAGTGGAGAAAGAGACTATGACTGTTCAGATATCCAGCATTTTGCGGCGTTTGATGACCATCGAGGCTACAGCTATCATTATCATTACCTCTGGCCAAATGTCAGTCATTACCTTCAGCCGCGCGCTATACTGCTTCCAGATCTTTGTGTATATTAAATACATCAAAATCATCTTAAATTGCCTGTCATGAAAGAGAGGGCAGTCGTTGTTCCGCATCCTATTGTCTAGAATTGGCCTCTATTATGAGCTTATCTAGCATATGCTTATCACCTATGAGGTTGCATTAGGCTGCATGTGAGACATGACCGTAAGCTAAAATTCTTCCATATTGTTGATGCAGCTCAGCATAGCTAATGTCAATCACCGACGAGTGGGTCTCATGTGATAAGTCAGCCAACAGATAGAATGTCCGGGTCAAGGCATTTCAAACTGCACTCAAAGTCTCCTTGAAACCAGTGCGCAAGACCATTCACTCTCATATTGAACGCCTTTTCCCGCCAGAACGCAAGAAATTTTCAAAACTCATCGAAAATCAGGGCCAGATGGCTCCCATTTCAAATTACGAAAATGTCGAGCTCAAGACAATTGATGGCACTACTCTTAGAGGATGGCTGTATGTAGCAAGTAGACGAGGGCCAACCATCATCATGACTCCCGGCGTGAGTATTTCAAGGAAATCTTAAATTGAAGTCATACTAAACTGAAGTAGTTCAACTGTGTGAAGGAAATGCTCTTGCCTGAAGTTGCAGAGAAATTCCAGTCACTCGGATATACGGCACTCATTACCATCCGCGGAGTATCGGCGACAGCGACGGTCTTCCTCGAAATCAAATCGACCCTCTCAAGCAAATATAAGACCTCGCCGATATTGTGACCTATGTAACCATGTAATCACGCTCCCCAGTGTCGATCCGCGTCTCATATCACTCTGGGGCATGTCATTCGGGGGAACTATTAGTGCATGCGCCGCTGCCGTTGATCGTCGAGTGAAAGTACTGGTCATGGTCTGCCCCATTTTGAGCTTCTTCAAGCCGGAAAAGCGTGAAAGGGCATTTGCACAATTGATCAAAGACCTGCAATCCCAGCTGCGTGGTAATGAAGCCTTCACCCTTCCGCCATTCAACAGTAGGGGCGAGAATCCAATTGGAATGGCCGGCTCGGGTGGTCCGGGCGGAGTTGAAGCTTATGGATTCATGAATGCCGTTATCGATCGGGGTGCGCCAAATTTCCGAAACCGCATCACCCTCCAGAGTTATTATAAGTTAGCCATGTGGCAGCCTAGAAAGTTACTAAAATTGGTTGATGTCACCCCTGTCATGATGGTTACGCCGGAGCTCGATGCCATGTCACCTCCGTATGAGCAGATTGAAGCTTTTGAAAAGTTTCAGCAACCAAAGAGATTCTTCTTGGCGAAAGGAAAAGGGCATTTGACAGTGCTAAGTGGGGAAGGTTCAGATGAGATCCTGGATTCTCAAATTGATTTCATCAAGTCCGCATTAGAGGGAACCCTGAAAACCACTAGCTAAGACAGATACATAAATATTGAGTCTCAAACTCTTGCAAGAATCAGTGCAGTATAAACTTTCGTGGCTTTTGCGCGGACATACAGCTCCAGTATTAGTTGATCTTAGTTTATTGTCTTATTCAAGATTCATTAGAAAAAGGAATAGCGCTCTTCATGTTCAATTGCCTAGTTCTCAAATCCCTGTAAGCATAGCTCTCTCCGATATGCTGCGTTCTAGTTTCTTTCGACTTCAATAGGATGGTAATGTCTCTAACTAAGATATCTCAGCGACAGTTTCAGCTGATCGCAACTCGTATTCCAGAAATGTACTATCGAAACTAAAAGGAGTGTCAAGTTTTCAAAGTTATAATTTCTAATAATGCACTAAATAGTTAGAAGTAACCATAATATGTCCAAATCGAACTACCTCATGCAGTTGGCACACTGCTTATTTTTCGCTGCTTATATTGCTTACTTTCGCGGCCCCATAGTAAGTTGCTTAGCTTATAATACTGCTGACCTTGCATGACGCCGTCTCAGGAACATTACAGCGCATCACTCTTGGAGTGATTCGTAAGAATCATCAATTTCTGGCCATTCATGCTATTAGTAATTTGTGGTCGTTCCTATCGGCAGTGACTTATTTTGTCTCACTTTTGATCGCGTGATGCTTCGGAGACTTTTACCATGCGCACGGTCACACTGGCTTAAAGCAGCCAGAGTCAATAACCCTATTCGACTGCACCCGCACGTGAATGCATCGTGTGGAGCCTTATTACTGACCGGCAGAAAGATAAAAGACTGATACTTTGTAAGCGGGCGGTGTCTAAGATGGTCTATAATTAGGCATGACGGTCTATTTCCGCCTCAGAATTCGGCTTTACAGCTCTCGCCGCTTTAAGCCTGCGTAGGTAACACAACACAGAAACAGGCCCGCTGCCCGACTCTCGGCGACAATTCGACGATGACCTTGCAGCTATTTGCAGCTATTAGAGTGACTGGACGTCGTGATTAGAAATGATTACACTTCTTTGTCAAACTAAGCAACCTCATCCAAGGTGGGAAACAGATAGGTATTTGTTGTGACTAACGCGTCTCTTACTCCCTCTGTCAATCCACGCAACTACTTTTCTCAAAGTCGAGTTCTTCGAGTCTCGTCATGGCTCCTACTATAGTCCTCATCACCGGTGCCAACCGTGGCATTGGCAAAGGTATCTTGGAATTGTACCTTAAGAAGCCCGATCACACCGTCATCGCTGCGAACCGTGACCCAAGCCACGTAAGCTCTCTAACACTGGCTGATTTGCCTAAGGCTGAGGGCACTACGTTGCACGTCATCAAGATCGATGCCCTCTCGCCTACTGATCCCGCGGCGGGTGTGGAGACTCTAACCACTAAAGGAATCACCCATATCGACATCCTGATCGCTAACGCCGGTATTGCTCTTTCTTGGTCCAAAGTCACTGAGGTCAAGGTTGCCGACATCCAGAAGCATATCGATGTCAATATTTATGGCTTTATCTATCTCTATCAGGCTTTCCGATCCCTCCTTAAGGATGCCCAGGCTCCCAAGTGGGTAACTATCGGCTCTAGCTCTGCTTTCTTGACGGTAAGTCTCATCAATTCTTAGTCTTACCTATTATCATTGCTAATTTTATTTATAGTAAGTGGAATGTTTATATTGGTCTATTTCGCCTTGGAGGATGGCTCTTTATACCTGGGCTAGAACACGTGTGTTAACCATTCATAGGAACTTCGTTCGCATGCAAAATGCTGCCTATGCTCCCACGAAAGCTGTCCAGCACTGGTATACTAAGGCAATCTCCGTTGAAGACACTTGGTTGAACGCCTTCCCTATTGATCCTGGGTAAGTTACTATACCTTACCCTTAAATTATTCCTATAGGTTAGGCTAATCATGACGCCATGAAATAGCTGGGTTCAGACTGATCTCGGTAACCGAGGTGCTAAAGCTTTCAGCTTCGAGAAAGCTGCTGTGACCGTCGAAGATAGTGCCGCTGGCCTTATCAAGGTCATTGATGCGTCTACCTTGGAGACTCATAGTGGCAAGCTGTTTAAGTTTGATGGCGATGAGGAGCCTTGGTAGACAAAATATAGGTTTTGAACTGTGATTCCCATTACCCTGTTCGGTACTCGACCCTTACGAGACGCACAAAAAGGAACAGGGTACTTTCCTTTCTATCCTTTGTCACTGTGAAAGGACTTCAATGGGATTATTCTTTTTGACTTTGTACACAGCTGCTACAAAGAAATCTGATTTTCGATAGAGCTATCCTAATCACTCGTGGTTTATCAAGCCATTTGGATACTTTGGGCGCTGAATACGTATTAATAAACCTATCATTGTTTTGATTTTCCCGAGTCAGTATGGCCTTTTTTAAATGTCGTATTCTCAGAAGCTTGTCCATAAACTTCAGCTTTAATAATGAAATGTTATGTATTGTATGCACTCCAAGGCACAACCTTAGAGGTGAATTCTGTCCGGGGACGAAACTTTAGCAGATAGCTCGCCTCGTGTGTTATTCTGAGGGATCCCATTGCGCAAACATCTAAGCAAAGCAAAATCTCAAATAAAAAAATTGTATTCTAGACTTTATTTAGTATTTCAGCCTGGACTTTGAGATTAATTCACAGGATAATGGCTTCTTTAAGCACCGGCCCGGCAAAGTCTACCATCAGAAGCGATCTTCCAGTGCTCACTTCCCACAGAAGCTGGTCCGTAGAGCACGAAATTTTGATCGTACTTCTTTTTAATCTCCAGCAACCGAGGGTAATTTCGCCAAAATAGTCTGCTTTCTAGGTTGGATTGTCGAAGGTCGCTTCATTGAGGTAGGTCCCACCATCCGGTATGATAGATCTTAAAAGATCTTGATTGTGGTTCATCTGTGCCTGGTGTTCGAATCAAATGTCGAGTGGAAAAGTTGGTGTCACGTAAACGTCTATATTGGCCAAGTATAAAGCATCACGCTAAGCGGGAAGGACAGCATTCGATGCGGGGGTGTTGCCTACTCGAGCATGTGTGACGTTGGCAGCAATGCCGTTGATACGGTATCCTGGCAGTGCGGTGATATTGCGGTAGGCAGCAATCAAGCCAGAAATATTATCACGCACAGTATCTCGGGCGATCAGTCTTCCACCGATCGTTGAGTTTGTCAGATAGTCTCCGTAAGGAAGATCTGGAGTGTAGTAGGCAAAGTGATCATAGTAAGTTGGCTGCTCGTTTGTCTCGTATGTATAGGTAAGGCCCAGTTCCTCCAACTCCCGGATCAATGGATCAAATTGCGCTGCGATCGCAGATTCTGGTTGATCGGGTAAAATCGCAGAGTAAAGTGTGAAAAGATCACTAGTGATGCCGAAGTAATTGCTGATTCCAGGGAGATCATCCCAAACGAGGAGCCGTTTGTGCCATGCTTCCACAGCCGCCCAGTATGTGCCATTGTCACCATTATTTTGGAAAGTGAGAGATGCACCGGCAACGATACCGTCTGGATGGGCTTTGGTGGTTTGTGATATAACAACAGTATATGTACCACCACCCCCTCCATTTAACGCCCAATATAGATCCTCATTCTCGGTAGGACTGGCAAGGAGATAACTCCCATCGGGAGTCACGACTTCAAATTCCAGGGTGTTATCTGAAGCGAGACCATAAACACCTTCTAGGGCACCATGGCCTCCGCTTTGAACGTATCCACCGACAAGTCCAACGGTCGGACATAATCCACCTGTGAGCCGAAGTCCATTATTGGCGGCTTCCTGGTATACTTCGAACGCTTGGACGCCCGCTCTGAGTTTTACCGCCGATCCGTTGTAACCGGGACTTGAATAATTGAAGAAGCTGATGTCTTTCAAGTTATGGGTCCAAAGGGCTAAGGATCCCGCACCGGTAGATCGACCAAGGAAGTCGTGCCCGGTATTCTTCACTTGGACACGATTATTATGATCCTTAGCAAATTTCAATCCTGCTTGCACATCTTCAACCGAGCTGACATTTATCGCATACGATGCTATGTTTCCCAGTATACAGGAGGCATTGTGCGATGTAAACGGACTGCAGGAGTTGTTCAACCAGTATGGCGACATAACATTGGTAGGGTCAACAAAACTATGGTAATTAGTCAGATCAGAGAGATCACTTCACATAGTACACATATATATTAGACTTACTAGGATGGTGGATTGTTCCAGTTCAATTTCAATGCAACACATTCGCCCTTGTCATAGGTGGTACCATAACTTACATCTGCAAGTGGCCTTCCAGCAATTAAATTCCCTTCAATTGATAGGTTGAGCTGCTGCCACTGCTGAAGGCTAGGCCATTGCCGATCTCCAGGAAAATAGTGACATCCAGGAGCTTGAGGAGCTGCTAGTACCCTTGGCAGAAGTACCATCAGGTATAAAACGCCAAGAGCATAGTTCGCAAAATTTTCATATTTGCCACGAGGATGATGATTTTTTGAGCCTCTAACTATCACAAAGCGTTCAGTCCTTATATATAATTCCAATCATTCTATTAGCCCCCACAAAGCTGTCAATCCTTTGCAATGATCCTCCTATGCCTCGGGTCATACACAGCTATAATACCAAGAGTGGAAGGACTTCATTGGACTGCATAGCTATGGATTACTGTGGATGTCGTATTCCTGTGCAAGTTGCCCTCTAATTTTGTGCTCAGCATCCATGAATAATTTCGCTCTTGGCGTCTTTGCACTTATGAAACCATTCGTTGCCCAGATACGCCATTCTGCGGCTTATGGAACAGCCCCATTAGGTGCTTATGCAGTCAGCACCACCTCGCATAATTTAGCACGATTACTTGCATATTACCAAGGGACAGTACCATTATAGGCCAAGGATGCTTCATTTGTCATTTTGTTATAATTTGTAAGCAATGTATTATTGTCATCTGTCATATCATTCTTGTCGCAAACATAATTGGTGTGCTATATTATTAAGGCAAGAGTGCTAAGTTCCTCTCGCTTGAATTTAGCGTTCTCACACCGGAGCTATTTAATCATATCGTCTTCTTTAGAGACAGCCCTGAGAGAGGCTGACGCGGGCTTAGATCGGGCTTAAGGACTTATTAACAGGATTGGGGAGGGGTAGGTAGCCCTATTACTGTACTTATATCTTATATCTCTTTATAGCGCGAAATTTAGAGGGGGGCTGAGGGGATAGAGGCCGCGTAAAGTCGGTGATCTAAGGGCCAACGGGAAGCCAGGTCGAAGTCGTAGCCTCCATCGCAGGCGACGACGAGGTGTGAAATTAAGGTCGCTGAATACAATCAGCTCTCACTTATAGTGACCCCTCCCAGAAAAGCAAAGGTTCTTAACCAAATAGCCCCCACAAGTAGGTCAAAACAAGCGAAGTATTACCGTAACTGTTGAATTACCATAATTGGACGTACCATAAGCGAGAGTTGACTGCATAGGAAGGTAATCAGAATATGTATGTTTGAGGTAGACTGGGCCTTTTGAAGGAGCGCAGCGACGGATTAAAAAGGTACCCCAAATTCAGAGTAGTTGTAGTTAGTGGGCATCGAGGTAGGAATACAACAGGTTTTTATTTGGACTGTAGAATTCATTTACGGACAGACTAATTGATGGCCTACGCGAGGAAAAGGAATGATACTTCTAAACCTCATTATTTCAGTCTATCAGTCTATCGGTCAGTCTATGAGCTACACTCAATATGACTCTAGTCCCCATCCCAAGTCATCGCCCATGTTATCGCTGACGATCCATCAGCGGCATGACATTGCCCGTATACGGACATTTGTGTGCTTTGGCATTGACGTCCGCGCCTCCCTTGAGCGGCAATGTGAAGTGCGCCAATCCATCCCTTATCACTTCTTGCAGATGTAATCAGTTCCAGTACCGTATCGTCTTTGTGAGAATGTGGTAGCTGGAGACATTGGCCGTCTGGGCGAATATCGGAATCGGATGTTCTGCGTTGGAATGGCGGGCTATGGCTATTTTCGGATTGAGAAAGCGACCTCATGTGGTTGCTTGATGCGCTGTTGGAGAGCGCCGTGTGTGAAGTGGGACTGGAGGAGTCACTGTGAGGGAAATTCGCGTGTGCTAAGCTTGGCTGAAGGGGTAATGAATCGGATGGAAAGGAGAGGTCGGCGTTGATATGATCCCATAACGGGTGAATCGCGTCGAGATCGAGGTGCTCTATGGGCCCTGGCCTTGTGCTAGTGATCTGGATTTCGTTTGGAGACAGAGTTCCTGTCCGTCTGGGGACTGCATTCGGGAACGCCGGCAAGGAGTTGATCGGGATTTCCACGTTGTTGACTGTTGAAATCGACTGATGTGATTGAGACGCCTCTAGAGCAACATTGTGCGCCGCCCACCGCTTCTTCTCTGTCAACGAAACTCTGATTAGCGGTATGATCGACACAGCTTGGCACTTGCTGGATACTGGATGCTCACCGCGAAACTTGCGTTGAGCTAGGCGATTCTGGTCGCGTCGCCGCTTAGCCGAGTCGCTCATTAATTGCACATTGGCATCCATGGTTCCTCGAATAAGTGTGATGGATCAACAATGAGAACGATGTGAGTGTCTTCGATGTGGAAATTTAATTGCCCCGATCTCGACCGTGTTGACGGAATGGCTGAGCGCCGGCAGACAATGGCCTCCGCACCCTTTTTCAAAGAGGGTCCTCATTCGTCCAACTCAATAGTTGGTATTGCGAATATGGACTTCCCTCTCCGGAAGAAGGATAACATGTCCGAATAGGCCGAGAGAGGGGGATGCATTAGTACGAAACATCGATTCGTGGGTCTGATAGGTTCGGTCCGTGGCGTAAGCCGCGGAAGGACCCACACCTCAGCCTACTACACAAATTCCAGCATCAGGAGATATCCCATGTGCTCCAAATAGTAATGAGACTGTCAGGGTGTCAATTCACCATTTCGGTGTTATCAATATCACTCGGGACGGCATTATATTCAAATACTCTCCTCAGATGCAGCGCGATATGACAGACGCTTCACAGCCAAGAGTTCAAGACCCCGTTGGAACCAGCATACAGGATACTCATGTGCGAACCGGAGATAATATGTCTTGCTCTGAGTTACGCCCAGCGGAGACAAATTTTTAGCAGCACGAACCCCTTTCACACTTTGATAGCCAAGTTTCTAATGCTGCCCCTCTTTTTTCAACGGAGCAGACTAGTAGTTCCATTCCTGATGCCACTGACCAACGGGCCAATACATTTCCATCAACTGCTGGGGATAACCACAGCGCCGAGCAGAACGCCGATATCGCCTTTTTTGACTCGCTCATGAGAGAAATCGGAATAGATGAGAACGATAGCATCGATTGGCTGGCTTGGCTAAATGTTCCTTGACGTCAAACAATCATCAGTCCTATACCATCTGGAAGCACTCTACAAGGTTTGGCCCTCTAATTCTACGATTATATTCTTTCCAATTTGCCATCGTTTTGTAAGCTCCGCCTTTTGTTTCTCCGGCATAAAAAGCTCGCCCGGCCCTTTCGACCTCTTGACTCCTTCATCCCCTCTCTTGTTGTAATGTAGACTTCAGTCAAGGATTTTAGAAGCTATAGGGTGGGATTAGGTTTATTGTTGGAAAAATTAGCATGAGTTGCTTCGTTACGAGAAGGTCTCTACCTACTGAAATGAGTGACAAGGCGTATACCTCTCTATAGTATAACTTACAATGCCTAATTTATTGCTGTATCCTCGTATCTCTCTAGAGTTGCCGGAGTGAGCTGTTTGAGGCATATAGAGTTATCATCGTGCTACCGCTTATTCTGATATTCACGAATGGAATAAAGTGACGTAGCACATGTAATTATTTTATCAAGTTTCTTTTTAAAATCCTTAGCAGCATCTTCTCTCGAATAGCCGAGCATTAAGAAAATAATAACATCAGACAAAGCCTCCAGTATAACATCATTGGGCCGCAATCCTCTATCTGAATTCGGGTATCTGCACACAGCCTCTGGTGGAGTGATTTTCGAATGCACTGCAGATATGATGCAAATCCCCTTCCAGCCGCGCACCTCAGTCGCTCTGCTCGCTAGTCACCTGTTGTTGCTTCTTGGCGCGCTTCTTTTCCAACTGCCCTGCTCCGGTGGTCATCATGCAGAACGAGAAAACGTTCGGCATGATTTTTTACCAACAAGCGAGTGCTTACCAGGTGTAAATATTCGCTAGAGCACAAAATTCAACACTTTTACGCTCATGGGAGGACATGTGGCATAGGGGAATACTGAAATTTCTGTTCATGTATGATCTAGCCCGTCCTGTTCAAATATTCATATAGATCTAAACCGAAAGCCAAGAGATAAAGATCAAGAAAGATTCCCACGGTCGACAATACACAAAACCAACTTGCAAGAACCACAACTCCGTAAGTGGCAACCGAGTAAATCTCCAAAAATGTATTCCAGTCTCTTTTCCTGACCCATAAAATCTGAACAAGAGCTACCACAAGGCAGGCAGACAGGCCAATTTCAGCGCCATAAGGCTGACCCGCTCGAAGGCGCATAAAGCTAAGTAGGCAGAGAGCGATGTAAAAGAGACCAAGGCTGACCGAGACAGACAAGGCTGAGCCTTTGCGAGCATAAGTGATGGCGCCTCCAAGGAAGGTGAAGATGGAGAAAGCTAGTGCTGTGTTGGTCGTGAAGACTTCGTTAAACGGCTGGGGGCTTCCGGTGCGTGCAAGAGTAACCGCGCCTGTGAGTAACACGGTGTAGATAATGGTGGTTAAGGGGTCTTGGATTGACTGTTTGGTAGCTAAATTAGTTCTGACTTGAGTGACTTGCTAGGTGGAAGTTTTGATGTACCCATTTTCCCCTTTCTCTCTTCGAAGGATGATTAGAATAAGCTGTTAGTTTTAATTGCTGTTTATAGGGCCTAATTTTATAAGGAGTCTATAGACTCCCAAAAAAACGTAATATTTCCTCAGGTGGACTATCATACGCCATCTCCGACGTAAGCCCGAGAATCAACTGGTTCCAAGCCTTTTGACGCCGCCTGTCCCCTCAGAATACTACCAGAGAGTGTATATAGTTTTCTAGTGGGAATACTTAAGCACATACGACCATAGGGTGTGGAGAACAGGGCTTCCCGTCCGCTCAGCCGTACTTAAGCCACACGCCGGTTAGTTAGTAGTATGGTGGGTGACCACATGCGAATCCTGACTGTTGTATGTTTTTGTTTTTTCTTTGTTTATATTCATCGTGAAATCTTCTTATTTCCTGGCATATGTTCAGTCCCTTCAGCGCTGAGCACCACTATTTTGCACCTGAATATCCCGCAGGTGGATATCTACCCGAACTGAATAAAGCGGCGAGCCGCCCACGCGGGCGCTAGGTGACCACCATCTTAGATATGCTGTTGTCTATATTTGTTTTGGAGTATTTTTCTTCGATTCATTGAATTAACCCCCCTATACCATTGTTATAGCCTTGCTCCTTATACTGTCCTCTTTCGCTAACACCGTCATAAGCTTTTGGTTTGTCTTGGCTGACCTTTCCTCGAGGTACTATCTGAAGCATCAAGAAAGGTTTTTTTTATTTTTCAGTAATATGCATATACTGAATTGAGCTTCATCCTATTTTCATCACGAAGGTACGGCTCTTGGGATTAATTTCGGATTTATAGAGCTACTCAAGAGGAGATATCTTAAATACAGACAAGTCAGGTGAGGAAAAGCAACAGCCATTCAACCTATATTCGACGGGTTGCGCTACTTGAAATTCTGACAAGGCGTGGATAAAGCCCAGGGCTTACAGCTATTGAGAGGTACACTCGCCCAATTAGGAGCTCACAGTGAAGAGAGTGCCCAGACCAGTAAAGCATGGCTTCAGGCAAAAGCAGCGAATGCCGATAGATATAACAGTGAAGCATGTTTGACAGGCGTCCTTCTACTGACACTCTCCGGTGAGGGACAACGAAATAGGACCCATACAATCTGGAGGATATGATTCCACATCATTAGAGATCTCTTCTTGGATAGAATTAACTGGTAGGCAGCCAGCTCGGTAGATGAGAAGGGGAGAGAGACATGATTAAAATCAAGTTTTTCTGTCTACTCTGAGAATAGATGAAAAGGGAAGGTGACAGATAGCAGAAAGTGCTGTCAATTTAGACACAGGAATCTTCCGATCTCATTACATAGAAAGGCAATATTGGTGAGGCTGACATCAATGCTCACACCTGCGGCCTATCAGGCTTCACGGTACCCTTTACCTTCGCGGTTTCCGTCTCACCCTCTCCCTTTTTACTCTTACCGGGCTCATTGACATATGGGTTCATGGTATCAGCATTAGAAAGGCCCTCTTGTTTAGCTGACATGCTTGTAGGTCCTTTAGGAGAGCCCATGGCTCGAGGCTATCCGAAAGTTAGAGATATAGCCGCCAAAATATTTACATCATCCCATTTTGGGCGAGTTTGGGGACAGCGAAGTGGCTGGTAAAGCACACTAGGGAATAACGAACCTCATCATGGGCGGAAGTATTTGAGTCGGAATTTTGGCCGGCAGCATTGTTACTGGGCTTTGCCGTGTCTCCCCTTTGCCATAGATAGATTGTAAGGGGAAACCCCAAAGCAATGGAGACCAATAGCCTGACGTACGATTTCAGGGTTAACAAGTTGTCCGCTACTGGGCTAGGTATTCAGGAGTCGAGGGGAGAAATCACCATTTGGGGCTACTACCTTGTGGCCCACTCGGACCACCAGTAGCTAGAGATCTGCGACTCAAACTTGCCTGGCGTGAAGGAATTCCGACAGCTCCGGTGCGGAACGACCGTAAAGTTGTTGTGCGCAAGCATGGCTGACGTATGAAATTCATGATCCTATTCTCTAATGTGCAGGAATGTGCAGCGAGGCGGATTTAATCACTAGAAGAGAAAATTAAGATACCGATTTCAGTGAGTTAAGGTTATTTAAGCTAGAAGCTTTTGGGTTTTATCTTTACATCATCGGTTCGCCAGCTTGTTTCCGGATAAGGAACCGAACGTCAAACAACCGTGAGGAATGTTAAAACTGGAATCAAAACGACGACTACGTCAGCGCCCTCCAAGTAACACAATTAATTCTTGATTCCTTGTAATTGGGTCATGTGATCAATTCTTGCATTTCCCTTCATTTAGAGCAGACTTTGACTCCTTCCTTCGACTTTCTAATACGGTCTGTGCGCTCCAATCAAATGGCCATATACTTTGATTTTATGCTTGCTTCTTTGACTTAGCTGAACTGAAAATTTCCAAGTAGGTCACTCTGGCATTAGGCGTAATATGAACGATCTTTAGGCTACTCAAACTGATATATGTTGTTTTGGTCTGGCTAATCGTGTCAATAGTATCCATGATGGAGGTTAGACAGCCCTGATGATTTACCATCATGCCGACAAATATAGGTGCGCTCTTTCACGAAATGGCTTTCATTTTTTGAAGAGAAAATAGCATGTTGGGAAATGAAAGTCAATCGCCATACATCAGGCACGAGGACTCCTACCTCTAAGTAGTCTCTTGTTTATGTAAGACAGTGCATGATGACCTAAAGCTAAATCGAGTACCAAAGCTTTATTAGATAGAAAGATTAAAAAACACGGTGGTCATGCTCTTTCTCAGTCAGGATGTCTTTCAAGCTGTACTTTCTTGCGACTTTGATACTTCCGTAAGGGAAAATTTGGGGCTGCGAGAATGGCGGGCACTGATTGGGAGCGGAGGAGTTACAATTCTAATTTTCCCTCATAGCTACTATGAAGACACAATGACGTAGTTTCTACATTTTGCGAGCGACAGAAATTCAGCACACATCATTTCATGTCATCTTTGAGCGAATATTGCGCCCGGCTTGGAACATGAGCGAACCATGACGTTACCACGACGGCGTGCGAATCCTGTAACAAAGAATTTATTCCACGCTAGGAAAGCCCACTTTGAAGTGCTTCCATGGTTCGAAACCCATCGATGTTTAGCCCCTGCCATTCCTACGCCTATCCGCTGCTGGGGCCGTGGAGCCTATAAACCCAATACCAGCAACATCGAAGCAGAACTTGCAGCGGCCTATGATCCCGCTCTTGATGTCTACCAGGAAAATGAGGACACGGGCTCCAAAAATAAAAGTCGTCATGTTCTTGATCCTATAATCGGAGAGGAAGACTGGGATACGGCAATTGAGACTTTACGCGGCCCTGCGCGTGGAAGACAGAAAAGAGAAAAGGGAAAGCAAGCAGCTGGGCTCAGTGAAGAGACCACAGAGCGATGGAAGAATAAGTTCGCTTTTGCTGATGCGGATGGGGAGCCTCGACCCCATGATTTGCGATGGTCTAAGAAAGGTGAGGAACGAGAGTGGGACTGAGGGAAGACGATGGTTATATTGACATTCGAGCAGCCTGGTCGTTCGTGGTCATAGGCTGTTATATCATAGTTCAACTGTTTAAATTTCCGTTGCAACATGTGATTTATATGGATACTCTTGGCGCCTGAGTTTCTAAGAGGGAAGATGACTACAATACATATAGGATAAAGCTCACAAAGCAGTGTGTGATATCGGCCATGGGGAGAAAAGAGAAGAGGCGGGTGTCTAGCTCGCAGCCTCGCTTGTGAATTACGTTATGGTATCATTCATTTATGATACACAACGTTCCTTAGGTAGAGGGGTGTACTATAAGCGGGCTTTAGCTGTGTGTCTACTATCAATCATGAGTGAATCATTACTAAATCATAAGATTCACCATCATGAAAGCACACATGACAGCGTGCTGTATTAACCCCAGTATTAACCCCACTAACATCGCAAAAAACTTGAAAATTGGCATCATCTGTAGTGTCATAATTCCGGATAGCCTGGCGAAAGCGATGGACACACCAGGCAAACGCAGGGGTTTGGGCATTATGCCAATGGGTAACAGCCTCCGCCATACTGAAGGATAGAAAAGATCTAGAGAAATGGGATAGAATTGAAAGGATTCTGTAGCCTTTCTATTTTCAGAACTTAGGAAATTCCCACTCGAATCTTAGAAATTCCCACTCGAATCTTAGAAATTCCCACTCGAATCTTAAACGAAGACATAAAGGACCTTTGATGTTTCTTCAGTCACGTTCCGTTTCAGGATGGTATCGGAAGTACCATTCATACTAGTTATTATCAGTTATATAAATACATACTCCTACACCTCTCTCATCGGGCCCCTACGAGTGGGTTCTCGGTCTATAACGTACGCTATTGGGCTTCGCTGTGATGTTTATTTGCATTGCTGGATCGACCCGTATACCTAGAGTGCACAGCCATCGAGCGTTCCCCTCTTCACTATCTAATGTTGCATGTGCAAATTACCCAGCATACTTCACAAAAAACAGAATCACATCTTCATGCAGCAAAGGATGAAAGAGCAACAGAACGCAAACACTCAACACGCAGGCCATAACGACTTCCATAGCCAGAACATTAGCGAGCGATTTATAAAATCTGAATCGAGCCAAGTGAGGAAAACTCCGCCATATTTCAAAGATACCTCTATACCCCTCTACCTTTTCCCTTGATGCCTTTTGCACAGGCAGCGCCGAAGCCGCAACTCGGATAAAAACAGCATAAGACGGCACGACGGCGGCAAAGTACAGAGTTGCGATCAACCCAACAACAGCTCCCCCTTTCAAGCCCACATGTGTGTCGTATTCCCCAAGCTCAAAAAAGAACAGACGACCAGCATGGATAGGAAGGTAAAAGCAAATGCTCGAGCATACGCTATAGAGAAGGGCAGCAGGAAAAGTCCTCCACCATAAAGATAAGCTAAAAACACAGCGAAGAATCGTGGGTCGGACTTCCTTAGCTCTCAGGTGCCGAGAAATGATAGAGTGCACGTTTGCCACCTTCAGTGTTGAAAGTAGCATGTCCGTCACCACATTCAAGAGGAAACACATCTTGAGATTGGTGCCCGTGAATGGAAACAATGAGAGAAGAGCAAATTTTCCCGCGCGATGAAGAATGAATATGGGAAGGCCGTGAAAGCTTCGCCATTTGTGAAGTGTAGTTGCTCCCATGTCGTGCTCTATGGCGATAAGTGTTGCAATGATATTGCCGTCGACATTTATAATCTGGTATTGATTAGACCTGGTGGATCTCGAAAGCCCTTTGCCTAGACGTTGTGACCTACAAAGAGACGAGCGATAAACATGCCAGTCAGGATCCCAAATAATGGTTTGTCTAGTTGGACCTGCTCCAAAATCACATCTTCATATGGCAAGGTGCCAATGTGAGGATCTAGTGACATTGCAAACTTTTTTGGCAAGAGTAGGAGCTGAATTTTTGGCGAGGTGAGGTCACCTAGGGGCAATGACTTGGATAGAAATATTAATGTCGGGAAAAGGCAAGAACTTTGGTAATTTACCAAGATTATGGCCGCCTAGATGACTTATGTTAGCGGCTGCCCTAGCAAGCGAAAAGTATCAAGTTGTTGATGTTGAGTGCAGCGATAAGCTTTTCTGGATATTTGATAGGTTAAACCCAGAAGAGTGGAGTAAGACAAATGTTCAAGTTTCCCATTTGACGCGCGTCCAAATTTAAGGGTTTATATATCCTGGTGTTGTCTGATACTCGCTTCTCATAGATTAGGGTCGACTCGGGGTTCGATAGACTGACTAGTATTCGACATTTGCTAAGAAATAGTTTTGATCGTCAAGAGATCCTCAGGGGAATACAGTACTCGATCTACGAATTTATCAAAATACTGGGTCATAATCAATTCAGGTTCCACAGGACCTCGGAACAAGCTAGTGATAAGAACTAGAAGACTAGCTCGAGATAAACGAGTTTGAGCTTTCAGTTGGCACGCTTCGCGACAACTCTTTCACTCATCTCGCCCATCCTTGCCAATTACAATGAGATTGCCATTAGAAACATCACCGGCATCACGCATCGAGGTGCGGCTGATGTTGCCCCGATGTACAAGCTTTGTTCGACACGATAAATGGAACGTTTGCATTGCCGGATTACTTCGGCCCCAATGCATATGTCTCTCATATCTACCTGACCAACTCCACCGATGACCTACCCGATGTTGACTAACTGAACTTTGGGAAGTCTTCCACCTCGACCGAAACCGGACTCAGAAAGCGCTACACAGAGAAAGTCAAAAGTCACACCGGCACAGATCCCCTAAATTCGCGGACCGCATCATCTCGTATGAAACCCAGGTAAAAATTTCTGGCAAGTACTGGGATTGGGTTGCCAATCTTTCGCCGTATGTATATAGTCTTGTGGCTATGAAAATTACTGAGATGCGCTCTGGAGTGGACGGTAGCTTCGTGTGTACCAGCTTTGGGGTCATTGCCCACACAGCGGCTGGCTCTTATATCAGACCTGGTATCAAAGCCATGTGCAAACTTTCATATGACTCGCTTATGAAAGCTTGTGATGAGAATGGTGGTTACGAGAGGGTCAAGATCCCGCAGACAGGAAAGAGTTTCGAGGTTTATGGTTTTGCCAATTCCAAGGAGACCGAGACATGCACCACGGATGGAAGAACAATTTGCAAGGTTTACGATTGTGATGATACCGCTGGATGCTCTACTTATTTAGATACACTGTATATCATATGACCTGTGAACATGAAATACACATACATGTCTCAGACGTGAACGTCTGGATACCAGCACCTTGGTCACCTAATATCACATCGTCGTCAACCTGAGAAGTGGGAGTATTTCCCTCGCAGTGCCCGGTCGCAGCAATTGCATCACAATGTAGCATGGGCCGACGCCGGGGAGCAGACCCGGATTTGCCGGCGGGGCGACCATAAGAGAAGCGTCATGCAGGCCCCCATTCTCAGCTGGAGATCCCGAGGTCGAGTTGTGATATCGGTCATAAGGCGACGTCGATGGATCCGGAGGCGGGGTCAATGCATGCTGTGGCAGACCCTGAAACATTGGCTGTTGAGCAGGAGCCTGAGGTATGGGCTGCAATAGATGGGTCATGTGCATCCTGCTGTCGGGTCTACTACTTGGCGAGGAGGAAAGCATCGTCCCGGAAGCCGCAAAAACGCTCAACGTCACTGATTGCACGGGAGTCAGCTCATACGAGCTTTGATTTTTTGAGCCCCACGCGAAAGTGAAGAGGGTTATTCGATGGAAAATCTTAATCTTCCACTTTGGAAATGTTACTTCCCACTTTGCGCCCGAGAAGATAAACCCACCCCCCAGGATTATAATTTTAAGTCCGGCTAGGTTTTCTTTTCTCCCTAGATAAAGGGTAGTGAGGCGCAGGGTTCGCTTTATTTACTTGAATTGCGCGATTCATTGCACGGAAATCCAATATATTCAAGGTAAATTTACCAAGATTGCTGCAACCTTCCCAAGGTTCGATAGTCTCTGCATGTTGAAAGGCGCCTAAAAACATTGAGTGATCATTTCCATCAAGGTTTACCTATATGTGCTATTCACTCCTTCGAACCTTGTCCGCAGGGACAAAATTTGACATAGTTGGACTAGCGTGCCTGTTTATCTTGCTTGGATTACGCTGTAATTGGCTAAAACGCTGTACGGCGGTCCTGCCGTTCCACGTCTTAGAAGCTCGCTAGCCTGTCCGTATGTTTTGCTCCTCTCGTGCTGTAAAATATACTGGCCTGCCGGTAGGTCGAGTCGAGCCTAGGCCAACCAACGATCGGCTAGTCTTGACCGAACTCCAAATCCTCGTGCCAGTTTCAGCCTTTTCGAGTGGTTGGTGGCCCGCCTAAGATAACACATATGTACAGTACAATTGAAATAATAGATGAGAATAAGGAATAAAGATGCAAAGAGAGTTTGGAAAGTCTGGAAAGTCTGGAAAGTCCTTGAAATATCCCAACTTTGTAAGATGGCTTAACAGCCAAGAATCTGGTGTTGCTCTTGAGAACCGCGAACTCATAGACTCAATCCGCAAAGCAGACTGCCCGTGGGGAAATACATCCGTCCAATGATTTGAGCCACATCAAAATAGGTCACATCATTACATCATCAGAAAATCCACCGATGCCGATCGGCCAGAGGGGATGTATTTCTGCCTGGATTTGGAGACTCTTTTCTTTCCTTGGAATGAGAAAGGATGCTAGGCGCCGTGGGATGCTGGGGTCAAGGTGGAGGAGAGGAGAGCGGCTAGTACTTATCAGTGACTTCCAGTAGACGAAGGTGGTGGGGTTTACTTGAAGGCTTGGCAACTCGTCGCTCCATCCCCCCTGTATTGCTGGTCATTCTAGGAGGACCTGGTATTGACCTGGAGCGCTAACCGTATGATTTTTCTGGCAGGTACAAACCATCCTGCGAAAGAAACTTTCGCGCAGCGAGACGGCAAGGCTCAATGATATGGTAATCGCGGTTTCAGTCATCCATCATTCTCAGCGTGCTCTGACCAAGTGCTTCAACAAGACCTGAGTTGCTTGGGCTAATATCGAATCACGGCTCCAAATGTAACCAAATCATTTCTCTCGCGCGGGCATATGTCGTCAATTGGTTTGAGATCCGTCGGCGGCAAGGGCAGTATACGCTGTCCGTCTTTATGAGCTTTGAACAAGAGGTTGAAGAAATCCACCCTATCCTTTGGCACGATGATGTATTGGCTCCGAAGTTGTTGCCAAAATAAAAGATACCAATTTGTGTCTTGTGGAAGACAAATTGCTTGTTGTACTTGTGGATTGAAATAAACTCGACGTATTCTCTGTCTGGGTGACAAAACTCGGGGGGCTTCAATCTGATTTCCTTGATTAATCAAAATGTATTTAAATTTGTGAGAGCCATGACACACCTGATGCTCTGGCAGGTTGAGTATAGGTGTGTGTCGTGGACGACGAAGTATACTTCGATTTGCGGAAAAGTCGGACTTGTTATAGTTAGTAATAGGGTACTCTGATGATAGTGGAAGCCTTTCATGATTTGTTGTGGCCATTTTAGAACAGGTAATGAAAGTTTCAGGTCCAGTAAATTTTTTCCACGGTCCGTAAAGCCAGGTCGTATCAGTGTCCTTATCCCTGTCGTCGTAGAACAATAAGTTAAACAATATCCTGTAGTATAGCGATTGAAGCATAATCAATTACCATCCAATCAATCGGGGAGTGGAGCATGGCAGATCTCTCTCTCTCTTAGTCCAAGCTCTCCAAAGAGCGTTTGAAAGTCTTCGGTAAACTTTCAATTGCGGTTTTCGTTGACGAATATAGTATCTGGTGGCCCATATATCCTCCGGCTTCCATTCAAAGGACAGGTAGTCGACATTTTGCGATGCGTCGTTTTTAATCGCAAGGTCGTCGAGAATCTTCGTCATTCTGGGCTTTCTATAATCGAGAATTGATAAATTGTGATACGGCACAACGCTAGTTATTTATAAACTCGAGATGGCTTTCTTGGTACCAAGGAAGTCTTGAGCTCGAACCTTGAGAATGAACATCATGCTTATCAAAGTCAGAGAGATAGAGAAATATCCGCCAATCATATAGATCTGAGACTTATTCGCTTTTCTCATCCCAAATTGAAGGATATTTTACTCTTGTATTGCTTCGGTCCTTCGTGCCGGTTTGACGAAGGAATGTCTAGGTGAGACGTACATGACATTTTTATCCTAAAAGTAGAAATGCTTTGCCAATTACGTAATGAGAGTCTAGACAACCCTGCGAAGCTAGAAAAAGACTAATTCAACTCAAGAATGGGATGATAGTGCTTTGGCTTGCGCTTATCAAAATGCTCACAAGGGATGGGGAAATTAGCCGCCAATTATCAAGCTGTTTGCCCGAACCGGCACAATTCTTGACGGGCCCGTGAAATTGACACATTCCTCTTTTTAGTGGCGGGCCCTAGAATTTGGTGACACGTTATCTAATCTAGAGGCTCACTTAAAATTCATTCATCACCAAATACAATATTTGTACCAGAAAAATGTTACCTCAAGAATCCCAGAACAATGGCAGTATCTTTCTGAGCCGCCTTTTCCAGGCAAAATTGCCTCTTTTACTCGATTTGCGTTTGGAGATCAAGTTACAAGGTTAGTATGCCATAGAGAATTTGATAACGAAATCGGCTTTGAAAATTTGATGAGTCAACAATCAATTTGATTTCTAAAATAAGGTGCAGGACGTGATCTTCGCGATGAGCTTGACGAGACCGGGGCTTCTTTCCTTATCGTCCTATAATTAGAATGAGATATTTTTGTTTCGAAGCTTCCTTTGCCGCCCGCCAAATCCAGTTGTATAACCGGACGTGAAATTCATCCCCCGAGCTTTTTTTTTCCGTCACCAGCTAATTGGCGGGCTATTGAACATTCGAAAGCCATGTTCAAGTGGCGTTGGTATGTTACATACCTTCACCCTATGAAGGGATAACCGAAAGGATGATGTTGTATTAAAGAATAAATGCCGAGATAAGGCGAAAGTGGCGGAAAGGGGGATAACTGCCCTCCCTTTGGTAGATTGGTTATAAGTGATTACTTTTCACTCCCTCTAAGCGACACCATCTTGTTCAACTCCATTGATGACCCCGCCGGTCTAAACATACACTATAAGGAAGCAAATCTCAAGATCGCATGTTGAATCATGGCATGGAGCCAGGAAAAGCCAGTAGCCCTTAAGTTGGGCTCAGAGATGCCGCAGGTAACTTTGGCGGTGCTATACCTGGCACGCTGTTTTCTGCGCATGACTGCTGTGCAGCTCTTTGTCACCGTCCAGGCTGTTTACGAAAACATAACCGTGTTTTTCTTATCTTTCACTATATGTCGGCTGTGTGCAATTATTGCACTTCTTCCAGTCTATATTTTACAAATTTCTTTTCGACTTCTTCCAACTGTTCTCGGAAATGTTCGACGTCTAATCTCACCGTGGAACAAGCTCATCGAAGATACCGAAGCTTACAGAAGAGAGTGGGCGATGCAGGTCCAGCTTCAGCTAGAGGGAAAACATATCTTCCGGGAGGATGATATTGTTAGGGTCGACAGATTCAACAAGCATTGGATGAACGATAGTCGATGGTCTGATAACACTGAGGAGTTTATAGTCTGTGGCGCAAGAGTGAGATACGTTCATTTAAGACCAGCTATCCACGCAGGCGGCCAGAATGGATGTTTACCCAAGCGACCCATCTTACTCCTACACGGAAGTCGGAGCTGGAGTTATATGTGGAGAAAGGTGTGTTGAAACTTGTTATCTCAAGTTTTTTCATATGATACTACGTCTAGGCAAAGAAGATTGAATACATTCAACCGTGAGGTGTGCTAATATTTGCCCTATGTAGGTTATGACCAAACTTCTCGAAGAGGGCCATGAGATTTTCGCCTTGGATTGGCTTGGCCATGGACTAAGCGACAAACCTAAGCATCGCGAATCTGTTACATTCGAGGTGCACATGCGGACATTGATTGCCTTTTTCAATCATGTGCAACTCAGAGACGCCATACTAGTAGCACACAGTTGGGGCGGGTAAGTTTACATTTTCATTTATTGCCAGATGCACCAGAGGGCTGTACAGCTGGTACTCCTGACCATTATCTTTTGTTACTGCCAGCTTTCTTATGTACAATTAATAACAAAATTCTAGGTGTGTGGCTCTATGCTCTATTCCTCGTCTCCCTTCATCCTCATGCAGTGGCCTGTTTCTCATCAATTCATTCTTGCCGCATCAACCTCACGAGATGAGTCGGAACTGTCGTCTTTTATATGCTGTCTGGTTTCTTTTGACTAGAGTGTTACATGGTTATGTGTCTGAATCCACTATTACACGATTCATATCTCGAGATATTTTGGAGGGTGACGCTGAAGGATATGAAGCACCCTACAAGCACCTAGCCGCGAACACCAGGCCTAGTGTCGAAGATTTTTCATATATGGGTACTGGAATACCGCATTTTCTTCTGAAAAAAGTTCGTGAGACACCGCCGTGGAAGATGTTTGAAGCTATTTGTGGCCCAAAGAACTTCATTGAATTGAACGCGTTCGCGCTTCTATCAGAGAGGGGTGATAATGCAAGAAGTTACTGGCAAAGGCAACAACCAAGCAATTTGCATGAGGCCACGGAGCGCAGACTCAAAATTGTTGTTGCATTCGGAGAACGTGATCCATTGGTCGAAAATTACAAGGAGACCCTTGTACGTGTCATTGGCAAGAATAACATGGCGGACTGGGCACCAGATGGTATCTGGCTCCCAAATACAGGTCACTACCCCATGGAGGATAAGCCCGAGGAAGTTACGCGATTGGTAGCTAGATTGGCCTAATAATCTACATGATAAATTTGTTTGCCCTCATTTTTCTACAATACATTCCTTAGCGTTGCCAGTCATCTTTGTCATAGTTAAGCTGCCTCCGCGGCCCAAGAAATGCTGCAATTGCTCTTCGCCTCTTTTGTCGATCTTTCATGCAACTAAGTCACTTATAAAGCCAAAAGGGGTGGGTCGGCAGACTAATAACGAAGGCGACAATCCAATTATTCCATCCTGAAGCTGGTACAGTTAGATTCCGACACGGGCCTGTCCATGGACAAAGACCAGTGTCCGTTGTCTGCCATGGGGCCTTTGTCCATTGTCCGTGACGGGCAGCCCACGGGCCTAAAAAAGCCCGTGGGTGCCTGATTTTGCCCTTATATTAGGCCAGGCTGTCGGCAGCTGATCTGCTGTCCAGGGGAAGAAAGGGCTACATAGTAGCGTGGAAACAGAAGAAAGGGACAAGATCTGTATTCCGAGAGGTATGGAGGAGAGAAAGAGAAAGAGAGAGAGATCTAGCTAAAGACATGCAAGCGCTGACAAACGGAGGGGGTCAGCTGACCCGACCCCATATACTCCAATACAGGCTTATAACCTCTCAGCGCCTAAGCAGCTAAGAGGGGAAGATAACTATAATACTATATAGGATGAAGATCTCACATTATGAACACACCGATGGCGCCGACTACTGACTAATCGCGTGCCAAACAAATCCATCACCCGGCAGATCACAGCTACATGCGCGGCAGGCCAAGGCTGTAAAACATAAATTCGCAAATACACAGGCTACACGTTGGCTACGTCAAGTGCTTCTTCTACACGGAAGCTTATACCGATCACCACTCACCAAGTGACCCTACTTTATGAAGCGGATGAGATCTTATCTGAGTAGGCAGGAGGAGTAGAATGCTTCATACGGAGGAGAACTGAAGGAACTGAGCACAACGACGGTGTTCCCTATATTTGGAGCACTATACTTGGAGCACTGTTTATCTTCTCTTATAGACTTAGTTCTCACTGTTACCATCAAGCGAGAATTCCTAATCAGGGCATGGCGTCTGACTATTCAGGAATTACTCCATGCTTAGTCCATATTGGAACGCCAAGGTCCGATTGGTCGAGCTGGGCACGGGTCGTGCCGATAATATTCCCGCACCATTTTCAAACGACAATCTGCAGGAACATGAGCAAATAGCACCACCATGTAACAGGGAAACCTTCAGTCTAGCAGCTTGATATCTTTTTTGTTTTCACTTTCTCATTTCTTTTTGTTATTTATTTTCCTTCCAGCAGAGGGACTGTTGATATTAATGAGACGCGTCTAGCGACGTAATTGATAAGATAAGTGTGGATTGATTTATGAATTGATTGATTAGAGTTAGGCCGCTCCGTGCCGGGTTACATTAGTACTACCCACCAGAGCAGGTCATATTGCAGCTTATGCTGACAGCCCATGCATTATCATGTGCTGACCTATCGATTGTTCACATGATTACTAGGAAGAGTTGAATGCATCGCACGACATCCCTTAGATAGATCTAATTGGTCCTTACCCCTCGCGACGATCAAGGTCAGTAACTGATCTAGTTCCACCTGTTAATCTATGATCTTCAGAGTTACCAATACCCCTCAAGCCTGCTCCACGTGCCCCACGCCCACCCTATCCCGCCCCTTGTGCCTGACGGCACATTCCTTGAATAAGCTAGACCTGCCACTTGCGCCATTTGTGTCAAGCTTTTAGTTTCACCGACTCTTCACGGACACTAGCCCCGGAAGTGACCCAGTTGGGATAGTCCCATCTGGTCACAACCCAGCACAATGTCCTGAAAAATGCAAGTTTTAGTGCGAGCGAAGACGGCCTATAAATTTGGCCGCGATCACCCGACCATGTCGACCTGTCTCGGTGAGTGACTTTATACTACAGGCTGCCTACTACCAGGGTTACAACAATGCCCTCAACTCGCCAAGTGTTCAAGTTCCTCGCGCTCGCCAGCCTCGCAGCTGCAGCGCCTGTTAAGGAGGCTGACCGGAAGCTGCGTAAGCGCGATACGCTACCGGACTATGCCATCACTTACGCGCCCCTATCATACCTCTATAGTGGCGAAAAATGGTTTCCGTCCGATATCACGAAGCACCTGGCCAACGTCGAGCCCGAGGAGGACTATACCGCTATCGGGACTAACGGATCGGTCACGCTCGACACCCTCGACTCGCTCTCTTCGGATGTCTATCTAACTGCTTCTGATGGCCCCATTCTGGACCCATTGGATGGCACCCCGGACTGGCTCTCTTCGGACTACGGTATCCCCGACAGCGATGGCCTTAGCGCCGCTCCTGGACTTATCATTGCCGCGGAGAAGAACAGCACTACGACCGATGTGTTCTACTTCTATTTCTATTCGTATAACTATGGGGGGAAGTGAGTGACCAAGCCCCTCCCAATGCTGCATGCGTATATGGTTTGCTAAACTTGACCTCTCCGCAGGGTCCTGGATATCAATTTTGACGACCACGTTGGCGACTGGGAGCACGTAATGGTGAGCACATGATAATTTGCCGCTCACACCTTTGATCTTCCAGGCGCTTGGATTGCATCTAATCTAACAATTTTCTCTGCAGATCCGCTTCGTCGATGAAAAGCCTTACGCCATCTATTGCTCCGAGCATAGCGCCGGATCGGCCTATTATTGGGATGTGGTGGACTTTTCGGGTGATCGACCCATCACTTACATTGCGTACGGCGGACACGCCAACTACGTGACCGCAGGTAGCCAAGAGTACACTATCGCGCTGGGTATCATAACCGACACAACCGACGCTGGGTACCTGTGGGATATGACGCTCAACTACCGGGGCTACTTGTACGACGTGGACGCGAACACCTTCACAGTCGCATCTGGAGCTGGAACAGGCGCTACTGAGGAGGCAGACGAGTCGGCCGATTGGCTAAACTGGCTGGGACATTGGGGCGACGAGGAGGATCCAGACGGACTTCTCGATGACATCGAGACCGGCCAGTACTGCATCTCGTCCGAGTGCCGCTACACAAGCGGGCCGACAGGCCCCGTGGATAAGAACCTCAGCCGGACTACCATGTGCGAGGACGATGACGACTGTACCATTTTCGATAACATTGACGATCTGACGACACAGTCTTAGATAAGGAACCATGTTTAGAGCGAGATTCAACTTCATATAGCTACAATTACTTAGTATATACAGCTCACTCGGCTGACAATAATCTGGCGATAATTGATATACTCCCCGGTGAGAATTATGACCATGATGGCGCAAATAATAGATTTCCTCACGGATTGAGCGCTTAGGGCAGACTCGTGGGCGCTAGGTGGCCAGTGACATACAATATCTGTTGTATGTTTTCGTTTTTGCTTATCGTTCTTTTATTCTTATACAATGGGCGAGATGAAGCAGTGGTCAAGTGCCCTTATCGCTCTAACCATCAGCCTTATCAGCTCCTTCTCCTTCCAGCTTCAAATGTTGGATCTCTTGCCAAGCCATTTTCTCCCCACTAGACCCCTTCCCTTGCTCATAATGGACTCTATTATTGGCAGAATGCTACGATAGCGCCCGGAAAATGGGGCCGGAAAGGTGGGAATCCTCGCTGTCTACGCCTCCACCCTCCCGAACTACACTAAATTCAGTCCACGCGACATAATACGGCTCATAGTGTCACGCTAAAATCGCCTGAGAACGCCGATTAATGCAGTAAGCGTCAGCGATTCTTTTATGGAACAGTCTCGTGTTAATGTACCCGCAAATTAACACTATTTGCCCCCCAAAAAAGCACCATTTCCACCTTTCTCCCACGCAACAACAAGGCCTACCTCCTACATCTCGGTCCCTTTCATCATGGTGCAAATCCCACATCTCCTGTCGATCCTGCAGCTATCCCATGAGACGGCATCGACTGTTGAAGCCATTCTCCGAGATTTTCATGCGCTGAAGGATTCCGAAAAAGATGCTCACCGTCTGGGCACAGCAGAAGCTGTTTTCCCCATAGTATTTGGTGAGGATGCGAGTATTCGAACTGGTCCCCTTTTCTCCGAGCGGAACAACACCGTCTGGTAATGTTCACCCTCTAGTCCTCGACTTTAGCCATACGACGTCTAAAATGACCAAAATCACGATAGGTCTCTCAATTGCCAGCTCACTCCCGGTGTGATTGTCATCCCCCGCACGAGCCAGGATGTTGGCAAAATCCTTGCTCTCTGTCAATCCCTCGATACGAAGTTCTCGGTTCGCGGTGGTGGCCATCTTCAAAATCCTGGGTTCACGAGTAATGACGGGGGAGTTGTGATTTCGATGAAGAACTTCAACAGCGTGACGGTGTCGGAGGATCGGTCGACGGCCGAGATTGGTGCCGGTCTGACCTGGTCGCAGGTTTATGGTGATCTCGACGCGCACGGCTTGGCAGTCACTGGAGGGCGTGTCCCAGAAGTTGGTGTCTCTGGCTTACTGTTGGGTGGGGGACTATCTTTCCAGAAGGGCAAGTATGGCCTCAGTTGTAATGGTGTTGTAGAATACGAGGTATTGGAGAGCCCCCCTATGATTATTATTATTACTGATGCTAGTGAAGGTCGTCCTTGCGGATTCGACAATGGTCAAAGCAAATGCCACCAAGAACAAAGATCTCTTCTGGGCTTTGAAAGGCGGAGGCCCTAATTTTGGTAAGAATGTTGATTTCATGCCTATGCTGTAGGATGCTGTTGTCAGGTTAACTCATCATGGAGATTCAGGCATTGTAACAAAATTCACGATGTCGACACTGTCCAATAAATTATGGGCTGATGTGCGAATCTTTGAACCTACTAAAGATGAAAAATTGCTCGACGCTCTCATTCGCTTCCATAAGGATAACGAAAATGACCCTAATGCGTCGCTGATCTTCAACTTTTTCCCAGGAGCTACCTTGTTGGTACTTCTTTACGCCGAAGTCGTGAGAGAGCGACCGGCTGTCTTTGATGCCTTTGAAGGAATCGGCATTGTCGCCCAAATGCTACCTGGCAGCAATTACACAATTTTCGAGATCATGAATACATTGGAGAGTTCTGTTGCCAGTGAGCCTAAGAAGTATCATATCTTTCTTTCCAAAATCGTATATTTTTGAGGAGTTTCTGACACTCTCCTTGACAGCCATGATATGCGAACCATGTCAAGCTTACCTGATCTAGAGGTCTATAAGGTTGCAAATGAATGTCGCTACGAGCAGGAGGGCGCGCTCAAGCACATCCCTGGCCTCAAGATCACGCTTGTCTTTCAACCCGTCTCATCGAACGCTATCAAAGCTACTAATGCAGGCGTTGGCTCTCCACTGGGCATTATGGAACAACATCATCAATGTAAGCGCAGAAGACATACAGCAATATTTACCTTTTCATTTTCAGTCTGACCCCAGACAGGGCTTCTTCTCATGACAGACTGGTCAAACCAAGAGGACGAGACCGTCGTGCGTGAAGCTGCTCGTAAAATTGTCGAGGCAGCTGAAGCTACGGCCAAAAAGAATGGTACATTTCTCAAATTTAAGTACTCGAATTACTCATCGCGAGACCAGGACCCTCAGTCGACTTATGGTGCGGAGAATCTGGACAAATTGAAAAGCATTGCGAGCAAAGTCGATCCGATGGGCGTATTTCAAACCTTGCAGAATGGCGGTTGGCTTGTGAGCCGAGCAGGGAAATAATTTCGATGGATAAAATTGTGGCTAAAGGCTATATACATCTTTCAGGGCTTAGGTTCATGAGCTATATTTGAATCAATAACATCCTACCCAGGACGTATTACCTGACATGTTGACTGTATGTTGAATCCCAATAACAGCAACCACTTAGCTCGGTAACCCCAATAGCATTTTTGAAAGATAGCACATTCATGGAGGTGATGGCATATGTTGTTTTTGTTATTACTAGGCAAGATGTATCAACTTTCTCTCATTTGTATCTAGGCACAACTATGTATATGTGGTTAAGGTACTCTGGCGGAACCTCATTTATGGGAGCTAATAGGCGATGGTGATCTTTGACTCTGAGGCTCTGCCAAAGGCCAAAGGGCCTCCATATTAATAAGGTAGCCAGAGGGCCATATGAACTTTTCCGAGCTAAATATAGGAAAAGGTGCAGATCAACATATTCCAAGTTTCCTTGAGACTTCATGACATTAATACTGGTTAGATCCTACAGCTGCAGTCTTATCAGTTAGAAATGCCCGTCTAGGTCTTGGGAACTCTATGGCATACCGATAACCCCCAAGAACTCGGCATTCTCTTCCGAAGAAAGTCATATTTGTGCATCCATATATCTTTTCCTGATTAAAATGTGATCCCTACAGTATTATGGGTTAGCAAAATATATGCTCTATGAAACTTAACTTGTATGCGGACGCATGCAAATAATACGAAAAAGAGTTTTACCAACGTGAATCAGTACATGTAAGTATTGAGATGAATATGAACATCGAACCCATGCACAGGCGAATCAAATACTCGAATAGATTACGAGTTTGCAAGACAAGGCACTCCTGCATAAGAAAAGGAAGCTAGGCTTGGAGCGCGCCTTTTCCAATGACGACTAGTCAAGGATATGATTGTTTTTTGTAAACGAGATTCTGCAATAAATACAAAAAGGTCACCTAGCAGCTGAGTCTGGGCCATAAAGAGGGCATAGGAAAACGCAAATAGCTATACATTGTAGATACAAGATAGATAATAGCTGCAACTATTCCATTGCCTTAGCTTTCGTCGCACTCCTAGACGCCCTCTTCACAACATTCTTCTCCGTGGTCCCTTCCCTCTTCCGTTTCCTACTCTCCTCCGCAAACACATCCACCTCCTTCCCAACCTCAGTACCAGTACTATCATAAAGCCCCGAAGCACCAATATTGCGCAACACATACGCCACCTTCTCAATATCATTCTGGGAAATCGGATCCTCTTCGTAACCCTCATGAATTTTGAGCCTCCTCATCAACTCCCGACACCTACCCCAAAGTTCCCGATACTCATTCAAATTATACTTAACGTTCAACTCCCCATCACGCATAAACTTCGACTTCGACTTCGACTTCGAATCACCTTTCTCACTAAGCCCCGTAACAGGATATTCCCCCACAACAAGCCACAGAAACAAATCATCACTGTAAAAAGGAACCTGTTCATGATCTTCCCTGAACCCAGTCGCGATGGACAGAATAAGTGATGCAGTAGCTACTCCGACGCCACGGAGTGGTTGGAGAGCATCAAGGCTCTTTTGGGGAAATAGATCTGAATCTGAACCTAGATCGAGCTTGGAGTTTGCATTTGGTAGAGATGAAGAAGCACTCTCTGTGCATTTTATAATGAGCTTTTCGTCATTGGCTTTTATCATGCCCATTAGCATTGGTCTGTATTTTCCATGTGTTCTACTTATTTGTTAGTGGTTTTTCATTTTCTTTTGGTTCTTTCTTATAAGGAACAGGATACATCCAATACCATCCATTCAATCCAACAGTCAAGATAATGGATTGATGATTGATAATGTGGATCATTTAAATGATATAATAGATGAAATACTCACGTCTTCCACTGCATGATACTAATAAGATCCTCTTTGTTCAGGACTTTTTCGGAAGCTTTCCCCCGTACAAGTAGCTCTGGTCTACCTTCATACCGCCACCGGTCAAGAGTGACGAACTTTTCGACCTCGGCTTTGATATGCTCTTTTTGAGTGGGGGATAGCTCCGTCTGAGGTGTTGCGCAGTTATTGGTCTTTGCGCCTTTTTTGGGCTTTGGTTGAAGCTTTTGAACGAGTTTGTTCTGGTGGACTTGTTTGAGGGTTTGGGGGTAGTGGCTTAGGAGGGTGCGGAATGTTTGTAGGGTGATGGTATCTGGATTGAAGTCGGTCGCGATTGAAGCTTTGGCTTTTGTGGACTCTTGTTTGGAGTCTGGGGAGCTTGGTTTGGACGCCATGTTTGTTTGCTTTGAGGCAGAGGATGTAGTTGTCGTTGTCTTTGTCGCGAGACGCGGTTCCGCGACTTCGTTATCGATAAGAAGTGGATCTGTCGATTGGAGATCTGGGCTAGACTTACTCATGTCTATTGTACGGAGTATCTAGGCACGAATACATGTACATGTATCTAGGTTAATCTACGCTGAATTGTGTCTCAATTTCCATATGTACAAAGCACGGCCGTAAAAGGTTTTCATTAAAATATCAAATACAGCATCATGAAGAAAGTCATCACCCGTCTCGTTGGCCATCATCAAGATGGCCCGTGGGCCGAAACGCGAAATCGTCCGGTGGACGCAACATTAAAACAGGCAAGATAAAGGATAACACCGCCTCAAGGCGGTACAGGAATAGCAGGGAATATGATCTTTCGATCGACAAACCCGGCGTAGAAAGGAAGAGGGGAGTAAAGGGTAAGAGCGATACAGAAAAAGGTCCACGGAACGGGTTGACGACTATCTGCTGAATGGGGGGGATGGGTTGCGCCCGTCGCGGGGCGTGTTGGACGGATCCTCGCTTGGGGCGTGGGGTCGGGTGAAGTTGACTGGATTGGGGATGTCACGGAGGTGGTTGAATTGATCATCCCGGGTCCGGTCACCGTAGGACAAAGCAGGGCGGCCTTGCTTCATTGGTTTGGGGATTGGGGGAGCGGTTTGTGACATGGGGTTTGCCAGTGAGGGACCGGGCTTGGGCTCTGCAGGAGCGGACGGAGCGGTGGTGCGTTCGTCGTCCTGGACTTCGATGTGCCGGAAGTCTTCTTCGTGATCGTCTGCCTCAGAGGAGCTGGGGCTGTCGGAATCAGAGGCAGCTTCGTAGTCATCTTCGTCGTCACTGACCAAGCTGGGAGCTTGGTTAGACTCTATCGCGTTGGGACTCAGGTGAGCTGGATGGTCCAGATCACGGGACGCATCCATCTGGTGAGCAGCAGACAGCGAAGCAAGATCAGAAAGATATGGTGCGTGAGACTGAGACTGAGGCCGGGTCGGGGTCATGTCAGGAAGATGAAGAGCCTTTCGGCCAGATTGATCGGTCGCATCTTGGGCAGTAGGCATACGCATAGGATGACGTGCCGCCCGGGTGCCTTGGGAGTCCTGGGGGGTTCTCGCAGAGGACGGGGCTGACTCGTCATCCGAGTCATCGTCAGAGAGACCACTCAGGTCGACAGGAGTCTTGACTTCCTCCACCAACTTGTCCATATTCAAGCCCAGACCACGTGACTTCATCAAAGCAGAGAGATGAGGAGTCGCGGGCGAGGCAAGGAACGAAGGGTGGTTAGCCTTGACCGGCTCGGACGGTCGCGGATTAAGATCCCGTCGAATGGTTGTCGGAGGAGTCGCAACATAACTGCCCTCGGATGTTTTCTTCGGGGTGACCGACTCCTTAGTCGGAGTAGGAAGGTTAGAAGAACGAATCAACGGGTGAACGTATCCAGACGTAGCAGCGCTGGCCGTAGACTCAGTCCGACTACCGATGATAGCACCGGATTCATCCAACTCCACCGGCTCACCGGAAGCCATAGCAGCGGCATCGTGGCTAGCAAAGTTCCGGTTGTGTGCAATACGACAGTGATTGATAAACCCTTGCGTACTGGAGAAATCAACACGCTGACAATCCAGACAAGTAAGCTTAACAAAGACACCATCCGACTTGCGCCGCATAACCATTGGACCCGACTTCTCCTTGACGACGGGATATCCACTAGGCAGCGACTGCAACTTCGGAGCACCTGAGCCCCTCGAAGGGCGCGTCTTCCCAGCCAGTGCACTGAAATCCACCGGGTTCCCCCGAGTAGATCGGCCTTCGACAGGGGTCGAGTCCACCTCACCCTCGAACCGGGGATCCGGCAGCAACCATCGCGCGTAGTGACGCGAATATGGACCATCAGTAACACCCCAAGGCGCAGGCGACACCGGTACAGAGCCATTTCCAGGCAATACCGATGCGCCCGTGCCCAAACTCACATCAGCCGAGATACCGGCAACGCTGGAACCCGGGTAGGGGATCTCAGCACAGCGGCGCAACTGTTCGAGCGATATTTGACATTTTGCGATTTCCTGGTCGATAAGACGGAGTTCGTTGTGCTTCAGCAGAACCTCCAGACTTAACTGGGCAGTGAGAGTTTCGCGGAGACGATCCACATCTGTGCGACCGGCGACCTGCGCTGGTGAACGCGTGGGTGTGGGCGTTGAGGGCGCAATCGGAGAAGCGACCGGCATGGAAGTGATCGAGTCGGTTCGGATCTTGGTGGGAACAGGTTGCCCGGTCGCAGGGTCGTTGGAGCGCTTCCGTTTGAGTTGAGGGACCAGGGCGTTGACATTAACGTTGACACAGTTTGGGGCCAACATCTTAACATCTTCCGACATTATCTTGTTCCCTCCGATCGCAGAGGGCCAAGGCAGCAGGCGAAACATGCCATGCGAATGGCAATCAAGTCCGACCATAAATATTCCAATTAATTCGAAGGACTTGTTAAACTTTTTTATTGATAATTAAGTGTCTTTTTTTGGTTTTGTTTCTTTTTTTTTCTTCTGGGAGTTGTAGATAGCGGTGGGAAGATGTGGCAGGGAGAAAGAATGGACGTCGACAAGTTGCGCGACCGTGTCAAGTTGGGCCCGCAAATAGCGCCTAAACAGTATGGAGTGTGGCGACAAATCTAATGTGGAGAAAAGGGGAGGAAAATAGAAGAAAAAATAGAAAAATAGAAAATGAAAAAGGAAAAGAGGAAAGGGACAAGAAAGGGAGGGAAAGTAGGGGAAAAAGAAAGGGGGAAAAGAGGCGGAGAAGAGATGCCAAACATGGTGTGATTGGATTTATGATTTGTGATTTGTACTGACGTGGGAAAGAAACAGACACGTCATGTAGTTACCCATACTGGTTATCTCCTGGATTTGACCTCTTGAATACTCTCTATCCTTCTACTCCCTACCCCGTACTCCATAGTAAACTCCCCTACTCGGTGAATCTCTCCTTTCTTCCGGATGCTTGCGGCTCCCCAATACAAAAATCAATAGCTTCATTGCCAAGGATAAGGTGTGGTCTGGGCCACCGATCGCGACCTAATGATTGGGGAATATCCCGCTTGTCCTGATTTGGTCAGGTCTCACCCTTGAGAGGCAAATCAGAGTTCTGATCCATATCGCGTCAGCGCTTGGATGCTTGGATCTTTGTTGATGGGAGCCCTGGATGGAAAGAATGTCATAGAAACCCATGGAATCATTCGACCCAAACCCTGCTCTCGGACCACAAATTTGGTTTGTATCTATCAACTTTTGCTGACACATGCGGAGATAAAGGAACGAATCACATAGTGGAACGGCCCGTCATGCATATGGACCTTACTACTCCATACAGTACTGTATACTCCAGAGTCCATGGAGACACCTGACTCTACCTGACTAGGGACCTGACTCTACCTAACTAGGTAATATCTGAACTGGGCATCATGGGGGCTAAATAACCGTTTCTGCTCGGACTTTCCGATCAGCCTCGGTAAAATATTGATCAGCAATCAGACCCGGTGGAATGTCCGAACGAATCATCTCATACTATACTTTATCCACTACAAGATCTCCGGGTAAAGATGCCATTCTGGTATCTTCAATCGCTTCAACTCCTTTATATTAACACCATTCTTCAGGGTTATCCGACCCCCGGACTAGCAGCTCCCCACAATTGCGGGGAGTCTCGTGGCATTATTCCGGGATGATGACGGGCCGGAAGAAACAGCTGCTCATTTATGGAGTACGGAGTATCTACAGTACAGCTTATAAAAGGCAATTGACCAGCTCCTCTCATCATGTCAATCCGTAAAGAAAACTTCAATCATACACAATGCGTACCCGCGCTTCCCTCCTCGGCCTCCTAGGCCTCTGCACAGCTCAAGTCGCAGCCCACCCTACCACACCAAATAAACATGGCTACATCGATTGGCGCAATTTCCACGCCAGCGGTGTCAACCTGGGCGGCTGGCTTGAGCAAGAATCAACAATCGATACATTCTGGTGGGCCAAAGAATGCGCCGGGGGTACAGAGCTCTGTGCTCTAGGAGAATGGGGTCTTTGCGAGTACCTCGGGTCCGAATGCCCCCGAGTCTTCGAACAACGCTACGAGACCTACATCACAACAGAGGATATCGACAAGCTAGCCGCCGGCGGCGTAACACTCCTCCGCATCCCAACCACATACGCCGCTTGGATTGACCTCCCCGGCTCCAAATTCTACCATGGAAAACAGCAAGAACACCTCCTCCGCATCGCAACTCACGCCATTGAGAAACACAACATGCACGTTGTCGTCGACATCCACTCCCTACCTGGTGGAACGAACGGGCTCGATATCGGCGAAGCCACAGACCACTGGGGCTGGTGGTGGAACCAAACTGCATTCGACTGGTCAATGAAAGCCGTTGACGCGCTGATTGATTTCGTTCAACATTCTGGACACCCGGAGGCATACAGTATTGAGCCCATTAATGAACCTGCTGATAATCACGATTTCGCGGATTTCGGAACTGCTGCTGCTTTGTCGGAGCATGGAGCAGTATGGTTGCTGAAATACTTCGATGCTGTTCTTGAGCATGTTAAGGCTGTGAACCCGTTGATCCCTGTTATGATTCAGGGAAGTTTCAGGCCTGAGACTTTCTGGTCGCCGCGTTTTAACAAGGATGAGAATATCGTGTTCGATTTGCATCATTATTACAATCAGTACGATAATTCTACTTCGGAGAATTTGCCTACCTTTATTTGCGCCGATGCGAAGGTTAGTGCTGGTGATGGCAAGTTCCCGACCTTTGTGGGTGAGTGGGCGATGCAGTCGGGTGTTAAGAATAAGTTGGCTTTGAGGGAGCGGAATCTCAAGGCGGGTATCTCGGCGTTTGCGCAGTATACACATGGCAGCTCTTACTGGACTGCGAAGTACTTCAGCAATGTAACTGTTGAGGGACAGGGTGATATGGGAGATTATTGGGATTATGAAGGATTCATTGACGCTGGATTCCTGAAGGGGCAGGTGGTGACGCCAAACTACTGTTCTTAAGTGAAAGTCCATGTATGATGTTTCCATGTTTATCAACTTAATAGAAGATCATTATAGACACTACACTCGCTTAAAAAGTAACAACACAGTTGCACATCCAACCTTCAGCGCAGGATCCTCATATCTACTGACTCCTAGAGCTTTCCTCACTTCCGCCATTGCTAATGCTACACAGTCCTGATCTGTCCCCACCAGATCCGGACGAGCATCTCGCCAACGAGTCACCATACTAGCTGTCTGTAAACCCTCCGAGATCTCATTCACGGTTGTTTCGTCTGAGCCATCAAAAAATTTATCCCCATCAGTAATAATACCGTTGCGGTTCCATTCCATTCGGACAAATCCCGATTCCGGAAATGCTTCTTCAACAGCCTTATGGCCGATGGTCCACGGAAGAGGAAGATGATCGTAGTAATCACGAGAAAGACGATTCTGCAGAAGCTCATAGGGAGCGAGAATTTCCCTTTCGAGGTAAAAGAGAGCTTTTTGAACCTGCTTAGCATTTTTGGTCGATGGATCTGGAATACATTAGTTCATCTCCCAAGTTTGACCAGACTTCCAATTGGACTCACGGCAGAAAAAAGATGAATGAGTCCAGAGAGCAACCGAGCCACCCGGTTTCACTATGCGAGCAGCTTCTGCCCAGAATCCAGGCATGTCGAACCAATGGGCCTGGGATTTTCATTAGTGAGAACTTGAAGTTCTTTCGGAGGAGACATACCGCCATAGCAGCGGTGATCATATTAACTCCCCCATTTTCTTCGACAATCGGCAGGTTCTCGCGGATGGAATTCGCAATAGATTCGGCGCCAGAGACGCAATAAGTAATTGTCTGATCAATTGCTGTTTTCCCTACTAGTTCCCGCGCGGTGTTGATCATCTCGACTCCAGGGTCCAGGCCGATAGCGTAGTCGAATGAGAGGGCAAGTGGCTTGGTGGCATTTCCAGGGCCGCAGCCCACGTCGGCGAGTATTCTGAATTCACCTCCTGTTTTCGCATGATGATTGAGGATTATCTTGAATAGTGGGTCTGTGTAGGTGCCACGAAGGTGCGTACTTCTGTGCCTGGTCTTTGGTGTAGTTCGTGAAAGTAGGATCTGACATGTTAGAGATCTTATATTATGGACTTTTGATACCGCTGGATTGGATTTTCAAAGAAATTAGAAGTTCGCGAGTACCAGCACACCTATTAAATAGATTGGGATAGTAATGAGCCATAATGAGTCAGCATATCACCTACTACTTCTTGTCTGTCCAGTAATAAAAGTGCAATTCAGTAATGACAGCAACTCCTCCGATTTCATCATGGTCAGAGGAGTAATACATATACATGCATAACTAATTAGTTCGTAATAGAAATCAAAATTATAAAGTTTGTTAGCTTTCAGCCTCTCTATGAGTCTATACAATTTATGTCACGTGGTATTTGGAAACTCCACTTTAAAATATTTCTATGATTGGTTGGATCAACGCTTCCCCGATTACCGTAAGTGGAGAATTCCATGCGAAAAATCGATGCCACAACATTTTTGCCACGACCCAGTTGATGGAACAAAAACAAAAAGATAACAGGCCCGAGCCGTGGATCGAACACGGGACCTCGCGCAGGAGTGCTTAGAGTTGCTGCCCTAAGCGCGAATCATACCACTAGACCACCCGGGCTGTTCTTGATGTAAGGAATTTTATTTACAGGTCCATCAACCAATTTGTGTGAAGACGGAGGCTCGGCACCGTTCCAATTTACATCTCAGTGCATTCTCACATGTTGTCAGGTATAATGGTATCAGCGATGGGATATATTGAACAAGATAAATATTGAATAATTGGCGGACAGAGTGAATTCAAATGCTACCAAGCACACTGATGCTGTGCTTTCAAAATTCAAATGTTGTAATGCAGCTTCGGAGATCCATGGATGTCTGGACAATATATGTTTCCAAAGACTTAGACAAAAATATTTGAAACAGTTTGAAAACGGCCAGGCTTCGCACCATAGGAGCAGCACAGAGTATTTCTGTATATCCTTGTATATCCTGGCCAGCAGACGCTGCGGGAACAATGTCAGTAGGAATTTTTTGAACATAGCCTTAAAAGCGATAATTTTACCTCTTCAAGGTCAGCTACACCGATCAGGCTCAGTATGCAGATCCCCCCAAAAAATAAGCCCTCGCAACAGTGCAAAGTAAAGTTAACCGCTGGTCATCGTTTCAAAAATGCCCACTGTGCCGGACAAAGTGGCTTGCAACCATCCGAACTATCTAGTGGGTGCTGGACTATCCATAGTGGACTACGACACGTAGTGTAAGACTATGCTGAGTTCTGTTTCGTGTTTAAATAACAATAATGATGAATGATATCAATCTACAAGTGTACATGACAGAGAATCCATTGTTATTACCGCTTTTAGCGTAGCTCCCCTAGGGCAAGCACCCAGCAGTACTGCCCGGTAGGGCAATTTATATCTGAATATTATACCAGTAGAAGTAAAGAGCGGCATATTTGAGCAAGAAACTGTAGTTACTGGTCACACTCGTGTAGCTGGATTATAAGTTCAGCGTGTGATGGAGGCAATGTACCAAGTACAGGACCATTAGTATAAGAAGGTAAATAAACACCTTATAATTCGGATGTTTTTGTTGGCTAGATGATTGACAAAGGATTTCTAGGCGCTTTTTACAAGTAAAAGGTCTATCTATATAGATTTGATTTAGCGGGTTACAGGATTGGTCGCTTCAGGTGACTATGGATCAACCTCCGCTGAACGCTACAGGGGGGTCTGGTGGCCTCAGGCAAAGATTTCTGTTCAGTGGCTGAAGTTACGTAGCCTTTTTATACAGGCATCAAGGGTGGATACCAGGCTCAATGACTGTTGATTGGCTATATGTTTGTCGTCCCAATTGGTACTAGCTTGGAATTCATAGTGCTTCTCCCTTATCCTGGCTTTCCTCTCCATCCGTCCCTTTGTAGAGAATATTATCACCTTCTCCCTGATATTCCCTTTCCTACGTATTTAGTAGGCTCTCTTATGAGTGCTAAATAACGTGCCATCATAACGTGCCATCAACAAAAATGAAAGGCTTCGATTATTTCCTGTGTTTATCCAGAATCCACCACATAGTAGCTAGAGTGTAGATAAATGCTAAGTAGAGGCTCAAAAGGGACTTAGCCCCGCATGTACACACGCTTATGAAACCCTAACTTCACATTCGCAGAATCTTCCAACCAGATAGAAACAACGGGCACAATGTCCTCTGCCTCATCATGCTCGAAAGATGCCGTCATGGTAGGCGTAAATGATGCGAGGGTCTTCGACACTGAGAATATCTTACCTCTGCCGGACGTAGACCTTGTCAAAATCAGGGAATGGCTTCAACCAATTCCTTTTGACCAGGAAAGGAGTGAATTCTCCAGACACCGTGCCTCTTTTCTTGTGGGCTCAGGAAAATGGCTCACCTCCTCAAGCGCCTTACAGCAATGGCACTCTGGCGAGAATGGCCTCTTGTGGATCAAAGGTATCCCAGGCTCCGGCAAGTCGGTCATGGTGGCTTCAATTATTGATCAGCTAAGAGTAGAGAAAGTCCCGGTTCTCTACTTCTTCTTCTAACAAATCATCGACGCGAATTATCGGCCCGTGGCCGCTCTACGTGACTGGCTATCCCAGCTCCTAAGCTACAGCCCTCCTCTTCAGGCAGAATCACATAAATATTTAGAGGGACCTCGGCATCGGGCTGTTAAAACTGTCTCCCTAGACGACTTTTGGAGGCTTTTGAAAGTCGCATTAATTGCCCTTCCTAGGGCATACTGCATTACTATGACTTGGATGAAATGGATCCGGGAAACGTCAATTTCCTCCACGCTTTAGCAGAGTTTGGCCAATAGCGACCCTGCAATATCAAAGTACTGATAACCTCGCGCCCGGTCGCGACCGTTGAATCGTCTCTTCGAGGCTTCAGTATCCCTCAAGTCCGAATGGAGGAGCGACTGGTGGACAGAGATATCGCTGCCTATGTTCAGTATAGACTATAAAAATCTCAAATTCCCCAGGAAAATCCGAATATCATCGAGGAAGCTATTCTTGGTCGTGCAAATGGTCTCTTCCTTTACGCAAAGCTGTCGATGGATGTATTCCTCGAACCAGGTGCTGATACCTGCGAGGTTCTTAAGAATCTGCCTGCTGATCTAAGCGTGATGTATGATGACTTACTGCGCAATCATGCCAAACGCTCCGGAGTACCAAATGATCTTCAACTTCTGGTTCTGCAAGCTGTGACTCATGCAACACGCCCACTTCGCTTGCTGGAGATAACAGAGATGGTCAGCGCAGTATATGATGGACTACAATTTCATGGAATCTGCACCCCGAGCAAGACCAAAGAATGGGTAAGGGCGACATGTGGACCCCTGCTGGAAATTCTCCCGGACGAGACCGTTTCGGTTGTTCATCACTCTCTAACGGAATTCCTGAAAGGATTCACGCGTTCTAGTGAGGCAAACGAGTCGTCGTATCCCGTTTTTCGACCGAATCCCACAAATAAATCTCTTGCTGTGTCTTGCTTGAAATATCTGCGACACGGGTGTCTGGACAAGCATGAGGTGAAGAAGCAAAGCGACTTCGACAACATATGGGGCGGATGGGACGACGATTGGGAAGCTATGGAGCGAGCTAAAGCTGTGAAGCAAGCTAAAGCTGATCTTCGTTTACGATTCCCTTTCCAAGAATATGCGGCAAACAACTGGCCCGAACATGCGCGTCGTGCGAGCAACGCCGGTGCGGATATAACTTACTTCTAAATAACAGCAATCTATCACATCGACTCGAACAGTATCACTTTATCCAGCCTGTGATCACTTTTTCAAATTTTCAATATACCAAATGTGCGTTTTCTACTATAATTCCGATGCAAAACATGTGGGATCAGACATAGCATTAGATTACAAATTATCCTGAATGATGATCAAAGTTTGTGGGTCTAATTAGAGCTCCACTATTTCTCCCAAGATATGTGTCTGGGACCTGAGCTTGATATGCGAAGTATGTCGAGAAGTTCAGCCTTGATCTTCAAGTAACCAGCATCCTCAGGCGACTTGAACTTATTGATGGTATTATGATCTGCATCAATCACAATATATGAAGAATTCAGTTGTAACGAAGATGCATCCTGGTTAAACGAAAATTTTAGTTGAATTCTGGGTGAGGGACATGGTCTCTTACCTCTGTTACCGATTTCGGAATTGCCTCTTGACCTCGCTGAGGCAAGACATAAACGTTGCGATACTTAGCACTGAGGGACACGTATTGGTTCAAGGTAGCCAGTAACCATTTGGCTTCTTTGTAGCTGTCACTGTTCTCTTGGTCTAACCCTTCGATGCTCTGCAATACTTTTTCCATGCCATTGGTGCTTATACCTAACTCTGTTGTATCCATGAAAAATACCCCACACGTTGAGGCACTAATTATGTCAAGACAGCTGGAATCATTTTCTTGTTCTAGGTCGGAGAACACCAATGCCTTCATGTCTGTTAGAACGTTCCGTCAGTTTATCGGAGACGAAGGTGCTTACACTTTTCACCAAGCTGCCACCTAGGCTGTGTGCGATGAAGATGATTGGACGGGTTTGTGTCTGTATATAATTCATAAGTTTATAATGATGAATGAAAGATTTGACTTAGATATTGGCAGATACCCTGGTTAATTGTCTCATTTTGTATAAATCCAATACCAATTTGTGAGAAATGTTCTGGAGAGATTGTTGTTCACGATTAGGACCAAGCGATGCATTGTAGCCCCAAGTATCCTGGAGTTGGGAAAGTCCATTGGTAGTAGACTCTGAAGCCAATTGGTGCCATCATCTGCTGTCCATGCTTTTTCCCTATGACCACCAAGTCCATGGACGGCAACAACACTGAAGATTATTAGCGTAGCCCAGCTTTTAGGATGGGAAGTGCTCATACTCAGCCCTTGGTGATGAACCAACATATATCATCTTCAATCCATCATCCGGTGTCTCCATAACAATAACCGGCTGCACCTTAATGAAGGTTAGTGATGAGTTGGAGCTTTTCATGTTGTGGGTCTCACACTACTCTGATCTCCCGATTCGGATTTTGACCGTCTGAACGGCCAGGGCCACTTCCATGACAAATTTCTAAACAAACCCATTTTGCAACCTGGGAGGATGACAAATAATGAGATTTCCTTCAAGGGAAAGTTAGGGGGTCGTTACGACGAGGCTATGCATCATCGTCACGTGGGGTACTCTAAATTCTTATGTAATCATTATGAGCATAAAAATTATTGAGCTTCACCCCTACCTTCCATTGACGCTGTCACAGACATATTTCTCAATATTACCGTCATGTCCGTGAATGAGACAAACGAGAGCTTGGCGGGTACTCCTGCTCCTGTACCTGGGGCTCCAGACTCCAAAATCAACCATGCCGCTTCAATCAACTACTGGAATAGTCTTCCCAGCACCTCGGCCGAGATGCTAGGCATGCTCGGGACCTATCCCTGGTATACACGCATCGAGCTACAAGGGTCCAAGAACTTCTTGACAAAAGTTCGCCGAATGATACCCGCTCTTCCCCAGAGTGGAAAATTCCGCCAAGGAGTGGACTGTGGTGCCGGAGTTGGACGTGTAACAGAAGGTTTCCTAAGCCATGTCTGTGAAGTCGTGGACGCCGTCGAGCCAGTGGAGAAATTCACGAAAGTCATGGCGGAAAGCAAGCTCAAGGCTGATGGTGTTGTGGGAGACATCTACATTGTCGGTCTGGAGAACTGGTATCCACAGAAGAAATACGATTTGATCTGGGTTCAGTGGTGCGTCGGACATTGCACCGATGCGCAATTGGTTGACTTTATCGTGAGATGTCGCCATGCGTTGACGGAAAATGGGGTTATGGTCTTGAAAGAGAACTTGTCGACCGATCCACAGAACCAGGATATGTACGACGACTTGGATAGCAGTGTAACGAGGACGGATGGGAAGTTCAAACAATTGTTTGCTGCTGCCGGGATGGTTGTTATCAAATCTGAGATTCAGACTGGATTCCCTAAGCAGTTCAAGCTTCTTCCGGTCAAGTCTTATGCTCTTCGACCCAAGGCTTGAACTCGTGAATGAATTACTACCGGCTATGTTCTTCTTGAGCATCACCTCGCCGTATGGGAGCATTTACAACATTCCCATTCACTAGGGGCTTCTCGGCGGATATTGAAACCACACTCCTATGTCTTGAAATTCCAAGCTTGAGGTCAGCACGCCAGCTACGAGGGTATTTCCTCTAGTCATTAAGTGGCGTCTTTTGAGTCCTCATATTTCCTGAATCAGAGAGTCTGCGTCCATCATCTGGAATTGGCAGTCCTATATTCGATCTACGATGGAAATCTCGTCACGATTTAAGGTTATAAGGGCGAAAGTAGAGATGTCTCTCAAAGGTCGTCTTTTTCCCCCTCTAATTATTTTTTGTATCTAAGCCTGCGGTCATTTGGATATCATCGGACCTGAGCCCGACGTATCAAAGCCAGGTCATTACGCCCGTCGAGTCAACATACACATGCAGAGACACTCTGGGTGAACATATTGACAAAAGAAAGATATCAGAGTTAAGACAGAATGAAAAAAAGTGAGGAGTGGGGTATGTACGTTCATCCATTCACCATTAAACAATATACTTGATGCTATTATAAAGGATGCAATGGTATAGCTTCATTCATTGTCCGTATGTCCTCCGTGGAGCCAATGTTTTTTTGCTTTGGGATTTTTTTCCTGTTGAATGGACTTCGCTTCTAACAAACAAAAGACTCCCTTTACACCTACATGCACATTCCATAGTTACAATTGAGAAGAGCGGCTATGACTCGATTTCGCCACGGCGAAGAGCCAGCAGTGCCCGAACATCGGTGACATATTGCAATGCCTCCAGCATGGGGATTAGGTGCAACAGACCGTTATCCGTGGGATCGTTGAGCCAACCTTCAATAGGGATCGCGTTGTCTAGAAAATAAATGTCAGTTGCAAGACCCAAGAATAATGAGCCTCAACATACCCTCGTGAAAGATATAGCTCATTGGACTATTGTCCAAGATCATCACTTTGCTGAGATCCGGTTCCACGGAGCTCAGATCTTTGATGTAGGCACCATTACGGAGTGTGCAGTGTTGTCGGTAGTAGCGGGCATGAAAGTACTTGCGTTCCGACTCGAGCCAGTCGATGACGGGGTCGGCATACTCTTGCACACTGGCTGTGAAGATCACCAGCTTGTACCACTTGCAGATCTTGCGGAGGAAATCATCGCAATGTGGCCGCTTATGCACATAATATAAGATGGGATGCTGTGGCCCCAGGGTAGTTTGCGGGCCGCCAGGGGCCAGGGAAGTGGTCATGGGCATGTAAAGCTTGACCTCAACCATGTGACCGCTAGACATACGACCACCCTTTGAAAGCGAATGGATCAGGGTCTCATCAAGGTCCAGCACCAGAGTCTTTTGTGGCAGCCTGGCATTGCGAGGAGCGGCTGTATATGAAGGCAATCGTTGGGGGAGAAGAGGTCGTGGCGGATTTGGAGAGTGTGGGTATTTCGTAATGCGATGAACAGATGGGGACAGTGGGGACTTCAGATTGTCCAAATTGATGGCCCCCTGAACCCGACTCACACCCTCTGGCATCGGTGCGGCAAAATCAGTGCTTTGCGTTCGTCTTTGCCTTTGTCTATTAAGTGTTTCCTCATTATTGAGTTTGATCCGTATAGATCGACGAGGTGTGCTCTCTTGTCGAACATGCTCCTGGCTGTGGTCTGTTTTATGCGGTCGAGTCTTCGCACTCGTAAGTTCTTTGATGCCTCTTCGATCTATATCCGATTCGGATGTTGTGGATAGTACCGAGTCTCGGGATGCTTGAGGTTTCAACTTGCGGGTGGAGCCACTCCGTCGCCGACCTTCTACCCGAGAGGGCCCTTTAACCGATCGGACCCTAGATTCGGCAGATGTCCTCCAGATTTTCCTCACCGGGGCAAGAAGCGAATAATGACCGTCGTCGTTTTGGAACCATTGAGCGATATACACACCAGGTGCAGCAAGCGTAGATAGAATGAACCGGATGGTTTCGGTGATCGCATCGAAGATGCGCTTGGTGGAAAGTCGCCAGGTGCTTTTGCTTTTAGTCACGATGGTGCCATCATGTTGCGAGTCATGTAATAAGGATGTTTCTTCGTCAAATGAATGTCGCGTATCTTCTCCGTCGCCGTCGAACGATGCGCTGCCGTCATAGCCTTTTTCGGAGATAAGGCTAGACCGGAAATTATCTTCGCTATAGGATCGAAATTTTGCGAGGTCACTAGGCGGAGCTGCACGCTTTTTCTCGCTTTGGGAGTGCGATCGTGGGCGCGTAGAGCTGGAAGACTGGCCAATGACTCGCGATGACAGGATGTTCAGCGAGTTCATCTTCCACTAACAAGCCCACGGGAAACACGGGGCGCGCGTGGGATCTAAAGACGGGAAAGTATGAGCGAAAGTGTCAAAGCCATACGACATGGGCCATGAAGGGTAAGGGGTCGAAGGATATTGTAGGGAGAGGGGTATTGTTGGTGTAAACTGGGCAACTTGTAAGATCTACGGACCTCAATGCGCCAGTCACCCGTTTGCCTCGGATGTAATTCCGCGCGGACTCCAACCGGATATTATATCGAGTAAGCAGATGAGTCGAAGTGCAACAGAAAACAAAAAAGAGAAACTTGAAAAGATCTAGATCAAATCCGAAGCCAAAGACACGCGATGGAAAGGAGAGAGGAAGGGACAGTCCAAGTGTGGGGAAGCGGACAAAGGATGCAACGGCAGAAAATCGGTTCTTTTGCCCACTTTGCTTCTGTGAATCTCAAGATCCCCTCACAACTCAACAAAGAAGCTACCAGTCTCAAAAGGAAGCAAGAAACACCAGATAGATAGAAGTGTATGTGAATCACTCAAGCCATTTTGGCCCAAACCTCAACTCTGACTCTATCACCACAGATCTCCGACATCACACATCCCACTTTCCGAAATGCCGTCAACGGCGTTGGCCTTGACGCCAGGTCTCTCGTCCTTCTTGAAGTCTCTCAAGACGAACCCAATAGATACCTCCATTGAGAACCTAGTCTCGTGCGCAAACATTCCTTTGCCTTGTCAACAACCGTAATACTGACCGTTTGTCTTTTTTTCGTCAGGCTGCTTAAGCGTCGTCAAATCCGCCATTCTCGATCATGCGCGACCGCAACGGCCTACCTCCTTCTGCGAGTTGTGTCGGCATGCCGAACATCCGAATCTGTGAAGCTCATTGAGCGCGTTCAGAGTGTGGGTAGACGTCTTATGGCTGCTCAGCCGCGGGAGATGGTGGTAGGGAACATTGTGCGACGAGTCCTCGGCCTTATTCGTGACGAGGCGGAAGATGATCGCGATGCTGAATTTGCACTCAGCGAAGCTGGCTCTGAGAGCCAGTGTCAAACCCCTCGTGCCTACGACGGTCAGTCTAAGCTTTTTTCTACGCATTATTAACCCCGAAGAAGCCATGACTCATAATCCTTAATAGATCCGTCACTGCCTTTGGATCGCGATATGCTCGGTCTCAAATCGGAGGGCTCAGAACGGTCTTCGCGCCCTCCTTTGACCTCCATGTTTAGCCTTCTTTCCCACCCAGAGCCCGAGTACTCTCTCCCCAGCACCCCCGGCACTCAATCGCCAAACGGCCGTTTGTTTGGTCATGGTCTCAGCAAGGACGTTCGAGCTGAAGTTCTGGAGGGTATTAACGAGATCATCGACGAGCTGGGTCAAGTAGATGACCAGATCGCCGCCTATGCGTTGGAACATATCCACTCCAACGAGATCATCCTCACACACACCTCCTCCACAACGGTACAGAAGTTCCTTCTCAAAGCCGCCGCCAAGCGGAAGTTCACAGTTATCCACGCGGAATCATTCCCCAACAACCACGATTCTACACACGCTACCGTTAGCGGCAACAACTCCGGTGATGACGAAAACCTCAGCTTCGAATCTTTCCAGAAGCCACTGGTCGCTCACGGCATCACTGTGATCCTTATTCCTGACTCTGCTGTCTTTGCGCTCATGTCCCGTGTCAACAAGGTCATTCTGGGTACGCACTCTGTCCTTGCTAACGGTGGCCTTGTTGCCGCTGCCGGCACCCGTGTCATTGCCCGCGCCGCCAAGGTCCACCAGACCCCCGTCGTTGTTGTCAGTGGTGTCTACAAGTTGAGTCCGGTCTACCCATTCGACTTCGACTCTCTCATTGAGTATGGCGACGCCAGCAAGGTTTTGCCTTTTGAAGATGGTGACCTGGTCGAGAAAATCGATGTCCAGAACCCGATTTACGACTATGTCCCGGCAGAGCTGGTTGACCTTTATATTACTAACCTGTAAGTCAATTTTGAAGTCTTACCCTCGAGACCTTTATACTAATATTTGCTTCTTACAGAGGTGGCCATGCCCCGTCATACCTTTACCGTATTGTGTCTGATCACTACCGGAAAGAGGATATTAGTTTTTAGGGAACTGAAGTTGGTTCGATGGCATGAGAACAAAGGGCCAATGGTGAAAACGATACCCGAGGATTTATGTGCGATGATTTTTACGTTGGTGTTATACTGTCGTCTGTTCTTCCATGCGAGATAGCCGTGATGGACATAGAGACCTAAAATTCAATGTGAAATGAAGATCTGGATAAAAATGATTCCCAAGTAATTTGAATGTTTCTTCATTATTGTATGAAACTAGACATGCAGATATCAATTGCTCTGCGAATCATACATGCTTATGCCACCTCGGCAAATATATACCTTCGGATACCTACCTTCATGTGCACGTATTGGATGGTGTAGAGCCGGAGTTATGAGCGCTAGAGCAGAAGCAAAACTCGGGATAATTACTACTAAGGAACACAAGAACTTTTTAAGCGCAAATGGAGGTGCGGTGGATAGTATGCCTTCGAGATCGAGGGCCTTGAGGGCATGTGTCAAGTGGCAATGGATAGTGGTGGTTGTTTAGTAGCCCAATCTAGATTTTCAACCCTGCATGTGCAGCATTGAACTGTCATGACAGAGTCCAAATGCATCTGGGCCAAGTGGGTGTATGACCCCACCAGGACTACTTTCTTACGATTCTAGAATTTGAGATGGACAAGGGTCTCGCCCCCAGAGATGAAGATCATAGCGCCATTTGTTTTTGGAATTGTATCAAATTGTTGTAATTCGCACACGTTATCCCAGACGAAAGCCCGACCGGGTAGTATTTCCCAAAAAAAAAATTCTCATGAAATCCAGGCGCTGATGAGACGGGCTTTCTGTCCGATACCGATCCTGCTCCTCCACCCCTGCATTTTGCTTTTTGACTCGTTTAAGAGCGGGGCTTCTCCTTCTTCTCCTTCCAGAGAGCCATCAGACCGACACCGGAAACCTTGACGACCTTGAAGCGGACACCGGGAATATCACCCTTCGCCTTACCCTTGCGACCGAAACCGGCAAGGAGAACCTCGTCGTTCTCGTCGATGAAGTTCAAGCAACCGTCATTGGGGACTATCAAAGAAATAGATGTTAGCGCCTGGCTTGGATGACGATGTAGTGGTAGATGCAATTTGAGGGACGGGTCGAATTGCATGTCCAAATCCACATATATCAAACACGGAGCGGAGATAACCCACCGAAAGCAGCGACCTTCTTGCCGTTCTTGATCAACTGGACCTTGACACACTTGCGAATAGCGGAGTTGGGCTGCTTGGCCTCAACACCGACCTTCTCAAGGACAATTCCCTTAGCGTGGGAAGCACCACCGAAGGGGGAGGACTTGTAGGCGGTTCCGAGAAGGCGCTTCTTGAAGCCGAGATCAGCCCAGCGCTGATCCTTGCGGTGAGCCTCGAGCTTGCGGGCGGCGTTGAGTCCACGGGGCTTTCCTTTACCCATATTGTCGGATTATTCTGGATTCAACTAAGACGAAGAAACCAGCGTTAGTAAATCGGTTCTTCTCAATGTCGCTTGCGAAAGGATTCTCGAACGTGGTTCGTGTGTGTGTGGGGATCGATGGATGTTGGTGAAGGTTGAATGAAGGTGCAGGATCTGGACAATCTTTGTGTGCGCAGGACGAGATGGTGAGGATCTCGTCTTCACACAAACACGACTTCCAGAGACTATCCTCTTGTTGGGCGGGAATATCAACAACGGTATACGTACCGACTGAAAATGGGTGTTGTCGCCAAAAGGGCTTGGGTCGTGGGATGTCGAAAAGTCGAAGGTTTCGGAATTGCCTTGAACGCCAGCGACTCGCTTGCTTGGGACGCTTTGCCTCGTGACTTTGTGCGCTTGCCCTAAGCGAGTCACCTGATCCAATTAACCCCCACCCGTCGATCAATGATTATGTCATCCATGCGATAAGCCGATAAGCCCCCCGTTATCTTCAGATCCGCTTATGGAGCTCCTCCAATAATTACAATAGTACATGACAACAACCACAACCACCATGGATTCCTTAAGAAAACCGTCCCCTTCGGGCCCACAGCGGCTACCCCCGCCAGTATTATTTCAGGGTCCTCCATCCCACAACGCCTCTAACATTTCCCTCTCTGTACAACCAGCACCAACACTGGCAACTCCCGTCGGCAGTCAACCTCCACCACTCGATCGGAACCAGTCCCGCATCAGTGATCGTGCCAACGCGGAGAAGAGAGGCTTACTCTCTCCATTCATCTCCAAACGTCCGTCAAGAAACGATGTGGACGGATCAGATGCCATCTGGCAGGAGATGCAGAGTGCTCTATCCGAGGTCGAACTGAGCGCCGTCACGAGCGAACACGTCTTCGGTGAGAAACACGCTGAAGCATTAGAAGATTTACGCATGAAGCAATTGAAACTCGCTCAGGCATGGGCACGCAGTGAGGCAGATGATGAACTTGCCGATTCCAGTCGCAACACCGCAGATGGAGATAGCGCTGCTCGCCGCCCTGGTTCAGTTGTCGCTGCCGATGCCCCATCGACTGAGAAGCATCCAGCAGGAGACCGTTTCTTGCACACGCGTCATGAGGAGACGGAGAAGGATATCAATTTTGCGCGTAAGCGACGAGAGGCGAATGATCGCTACTTTGACCGCGTCAACCAAGGCGTGCTGGACGTGGTTGCAAAGCTTGAGGAGGTATCCCAAGCCATGCGCACTGTGGAGCGAGAGAGCAAAGATATCTGGAGCGATACAGAAAGCGCGACAACAGACGAACCTTTGTCTGCTCACACAGCTTTATAAGGTCGAGCACTATCCAAGGATGGTGCATAATGCCGTTACGAATCAGCGCTGGACGCTCATACGGTAATATTAATTCATGTACTATATTCGCACACTGCGTCAATTCCAATAATGACAAGGGGTATCCAAACGCCAGTGCTAGTCATGCAAGCCTAAATAGTAATACATTAACAGAAGACAGAACCGCCCTGCTTAGCAGTCTGATCTGGGAGGATCACATCACTCCTTCTTGAAAAGGTTTGTGGCAGACTTCCATCCACCGACTGCTGTGTCTCGTATATCCTCCCACCGAGTCTCATGCGCTTTCCGAGAGATCTTCTCGACTTCTTGGTTCCACCGATGCTTCAAAACCTCCTTCGTAGTAATCCGATCTTCTTTTCTTTTAAGGCGGTCCTCCAATGTTCGTGGAATATCTTGTGGAGCAAAGCGACGGTCGTATGCGCCAGCGGATGCGGCGAGCCAGTTTACCTGATCGACTTGTTCGCGGATAGCCCGTCGTTGTTCTAACCGGTTGGTACGGTGGACTTGGATAGTGATGAAAAGGACAGAGCTAGTAAGGGCAAACCCGCTACACTAGTTAGACAGAAGAATATCAGCGTATGCTTTCGTGGGGTATGCAGAAATCGCCATACAAAGCCGGCGAAGAACCCCATTGCGATGCCCCGGTGTTGTAATTGGATTTAGGCTTGTTAACTGGATGGTATCGAGCCGCCAGACCAGATCAAGGAGCGCGAAAATTGTGATCGTGATAAGCCGTTCACGTAAATAGTGTAAATCGGCATGCACCTCGTTGTTATCTTGGAAAAGTTGAAGTCGGCCAAGGCGGTGGCAGCTCTCCGATTGGCCGGCCGAACTCGAATCTTTTGTCCCGAACCTCCCCTACAAACACTACAAGATATCCCCCCCAAACCAGATTGCACCAGAGGTCCCTAAACTAAGTCTCCTCTGTCAATTGGGGCTACGCATTCTACTTTACCCTTCTACATCTCCCTCAAACCCTCACCATGGCCGGCGGTGGAGGAAAATACCGACACCTGGGTCGCAAGTCTTCGCATCGACAGGCTTTGCTCCGCAACCTGGTCACCTCACTCTTCGAGAATGAATCAATCACAACGACATGGGCCAAAGCTAAGGAGGCTCAGCGATTGGCAGACAAGTTGATCACCCTGGGTAAGAAGAACTCTGAGGCCAGTCGGAGACGGGCACTGGAGATTTTCTATGTACGTGACTCTCCTTGGGATACTTTTTCTCTCTCCGAAACAATGCACTAATACACAATAGAAACCTCACGCCATCCTTCCCAAACTCTTCGGTCCCCTCCGTGAACGCTACGCCGAACGCCCTGGTGGCTACACCCGCGTGCTCCGTGTTGAGCCGAAGCAGAAATACGAATACTACAACCGCCCCAAGGGTAGCACAGATGACCCCGAGCGCAAGCCACACGACCAAGCCCCCAGTGCTATTCTGGAACTTGTTGATGGACCCAAGGATATGCGCTTTGCCATGACAGCTCGCACCGTGCTGCGCCAACGCGAGCGTGGTATTGAGAACTTGAATCAGCTTACCGCGCTGAACGTACGGAAGGTGACTCAGTTCCGAAAGGAGGGTATTGAGGCGTTGGAGAGTGCTATTTCAAACTTGAAGATCGCGGATAAGAAGGCTTCGGAGGCCTCAGCTAAGACTACCTCAAAATAGGTGTTGAAGCCAAGTCATTGTATCACTGACAGTTGGGGCTTCGTTTCTTTTGATTTCATAGGAGTTTTTCTTCTGGCATTCTGTCTTTGTTTCCCAATGTGACATAGCCTGTGTATAGTATAAAATATTTCAATACCTTTTCATTTTCTTATGGAATTGTTTGTCTAAAATGTTCTATAATTGAAGTTTCCATGTACATCATGTCAACCAGTTTCCCTCAGCATCTTCCCACCCAAAGTCTTCCCACGTCCAACCCATCAACGTCGGCTTCTTTTCGCCACACCCTCTCTGGGTCTGGCCTGCAATACGAAACTGCCCTGCTGTGACATGTAGCTCGTCAATCTCGGTCATTTCAGCCTCGCTCAATACCACCAGCTTGATATTCTCCTCAATACGAGCCAACGAACTACTTTTCGGAATCACACAGATTCCCCGCTGAGCTGACCATGAAAGAGCCACCACCCCAGTAGAACACTCGTGGTTAACCGCAATCCTCTTGAACAGCGGATGTGTAAGAATCTCTTTACCCGGCGGCATCATCCCACCACCCATTGTACTAAAAAGTAGGTCAATCCTAGCCCTTTATGTGATATAAGACAGAAATCTTTTAAAACTCACCTCCAACCTATCACCCGAATGCCCTTTTCGTGACAATATGGCACCAATCGAAGATTAGGATTAAACGCATGCACTTCAATCTGATTAACAACGGGAACAACCGTCGCAACAGCCAACAACTCATCCAGCGTCTTCTGCGTAAAGTTGCTAACCCCAATAGCCTTGCAACTGGGCCCGATGCAATTCTCCATCAACTTCCACGTCTCAACAAAAGTCGGACTCTCAGCAATAGGTAGATACTGCTTCCCGTCTGGCGTCGCGGCACAAGGCCAGTGCATTAAGAAGATATCGACATAATCCAGGCCCAATGCGTCTAGGGAGTTCTGCAGTGCTTGGGCTGGATCATGATGCCACGCGGCTCCAAATTTGGTTATGACGGTTATCTCGCTGCGGGGAATACCTGACCGTCGGACTGCTTCGCCGACTGCTGGTTCAACATTGTAGCGCTGGGCTGTGTCGATTAAACGGTAGCCGTGATGGAGGGCGTGGATGATTGAGTCTCGGACTTCGTCATGGACTGGTTCCTTGTCCGAGCCTGAAATTTTGCTTGTGAATCAGTGTGGTTTTGAGCCTGGGAAAATGGCAGAATGGCTGGTTACCTTGCCATGTACCCAGGCCAACGGCGGGGAGGTTTGTTCCTATGGACTTGTCAACGGGTTTATTTCTTGAATTTGGGAATTCTAGTACCATTGTTGAGTGGGAAGACGGTTTTGCAGATCTTTCTACTGGCCATATTGAAGTTAAAGGACGGTTCAGTTTCGACTCGAGTAATCAATCGTTCTTGATATATGACGAAGTTTTTCTTAACTTGACATTATGGGCTTACTACTTAACTCCGAGTGGAATCCGACAACTGCGGGGTAAGTGATCAATTTTATACCGTGAATTGATTTTTGTCTAGGTCAACTCTTAACTCCGAGCGGAATCCGATAGCCTCGGGGTTAGGTGGATAATTGTACACAGTAAGTTGATTTTTGTCCTAGGTGAACTATCAACGACCCGGTATTGGTCAAATAAAGTTATATAAAACATTTATATACAACTTCTGGGAGGTTCGGAGGTTCTTGGGCTGTATAGTTGATGTACTGACAGTTCCTTTTTCTTGACAATGAGGGATTGGAGAAAGATTTGAAGAAGTTTGGAAGGACTCTAAACCTGTATAAGAACCCTTCATTGAAGACTTTGTAACCCCCAAACCTTGGGATGTAGACAAAAAAGAATGAAGCAGAAGCTCTCGACTGTTTAAAGCCTCCGGCATCAAGTCGTCCTTTAAGATCAACTTCACGAACTGCCAAATCTGAATCTGTCGTATTCCCGGTCGCGTAAACCAGCAAACTTCATTCAATATCCCATTTCAAATACACTGTTAGGTGGATATGAAGCATGTCGAGAAGCTAATGTTTTGGAGTCTTGTCTTCCTGTGTACTCGGCTGATGGTGATACCTCCTCCAGTTGCTTATACTAAATCTGCGCTTAGACTTCACTCGTGTAAAAGACAGCGTGTTTGAGAAAATCCAGTTTTAGTTCCAATGGCAAATATAATCCTGCTTCTCGCCTATCTACCTCTTACCTTTTTTGCTTCAATGTTGGTTTTCAAGTCTCGTCATCGAATGTATAAGCCTCGCTTAGACAGACCAAGCCTCGCAACACATACCACAACGGGCCTCATCACAGATTCTAATAATCTTTCACCCCAGACTACCTCTGGGGCTTTGAACCAGTGGAGCTTCCCCACCTATTCCATTAGCAATATCCGGTAACCGAGGCAGCGCCTCAATCACAAGTTCTGAAGATCCTCGCGCTAGGGAAGTCTAGTTTAGAGTCAGAGTATGTTGATTCGCGTAAGACTTTAAAGTTCATCTCAGAATCTCCTACGATGTGTCATGGGGATGATCATGACTTCACATGTCGCACTACTTCGGTGTGGCACAGACATATAAGAATTTCCATAATCTTCCTCTAGATTAAATTGGAATAAGGAAGTTTATTACCTTCATTACGCTGCTGTTATATTAAACTGGAAAATGTCTAGCCGCAAGGCCAATCCACAAGATTCTATGGCGTCTACATGGCGCCACGATCAATCCCAGTGGACATTCTGGCACTGGATGATCGAAATCCTAGGCCTACACCTTATCGACCTCGACGCCGAAGTCCCCATTTTCTCCAAGAAAGACAAGATCCCCGCTATGCGGGAGTGGTCTATTCATCTGTGGATCCTACTACACGCCGCTTTCCCACTCGCTCTACACCACGTCTACACGCTCTGGACAGGCCACAACCTGAATGTCTTCGCCGCCTTTGCTCTGTATTCTACTTTCTTCAAATTAAATGGGATCCATGAAATGCATATCATGCGTCGACTGGGTCAGGTCTATGGGTTCTTGGACGGCGATAAACACCCGCGAGACGATATCCCGGATGTTGGGGTGGGCAAGGTTCTTCGAGAACTGATCTCCACGTCGGCATTCCGGATGATCATGTCCATGTATCTGACATACCAGCCTGGTCAGACGCCTATTTCGCTGCAGTGGAAGTGGCTCCCGTTGGAGATTGGGTTGTATAGTATCACGGTGGATTTTTGGTTCTATTGGTATCATCGTCTGATGCACTCGTCTGGGCCGCTGTGGAAGTATCATCGCAGGCATCATCTTACGAAGCATCCTAATCCGTTGCTTTCGGCGTATGCGGATCATGAGCAGGAGTTTATGGATATTACTGGGATTCCGTTGCTGGCATATACGACGATGAAGTTTGCAGGACTGCCGATGGGGTTTTATGAGTGGTGGATTTGTTTTCAGTATATTGCTTTCTCAGAGTTTATTGGACACAGTGGACTTCGGCTTCATGGGGGTGCTCCATCGACGGTGAATTGGTTGTTGGAGATGTTTGATGCGGAATTGGTAATTGAGGATCATGATCTTCATCATCGATATGGGTGGAGGAAGAGTCATAATTATGGGAAGCAGACTCGGTTGTGGGATAGGATCTTTGGGACTTGTCATGAGAGGATTGAAAGTGTCAAGGATAATGTCGATTATACGAATCGGGTAACTATGCCTCTACTTTGAAATTTATATGGTATACAGAAATCAAGATATAGATGTTTTTAAGGACATTTATCATGGTCAAATATTTCACAAGTACGGCCACGAAGGGCTCTCTAATCTTCTGCATCAACCCACACCAAAGGCCCCTTCTTGTCCGGGCGCATGTCGCCCGTCGGAAGAACCCGGAGAGTCTTGTTGAAGTAGGTGTCCACTATCACCAGCTGGGGCTGAATCCAGAGACCGCGTTTTGCGGCCAGGATATTGTATCGAACTGTGTGGCGGCTTAGTGGAACCAGCTGTATCACCATTGTCTTAGGGCCACTGAAGGCGAATTGTTCACTAGCTTCCATCATCAAATTGAAGGTGAGGAAATGAGTGGATGGGTTTTCAAGGGTATACTCTAGATGAATGAGACCAGGTAGAGCATTGGAAGGAGTTGCTGAAGCAAGCACCCGAGGCTCGCCCATCGGGACCACAAAGCGAGGGACTTCAAGAATGGTCACAGTAGTATCGCCGTCATTCTCTGGATCAGTCGACGCACGGCGCCAGATGATTTCCAATGCAAAGTTGAGTGCCGACGGTCGACGATCACCCAATGTGAGCTTTTGTATGTCAAGGAAGAAATTGGACTCACGCAGCTCCTCCGCCGCGATTTGTGGAGTTTCTGGACTAACTAGAGTCTCAGACTCGACATTGCAAATGGCACCACCACTCAAGGTCAGAAGCTTCAAGGACATCTGCTCGATCACGAGAGGCTCCAGGGCAAATGAAACCAATTTGGAATTGAGGCACCACCTCTGCAACAAGCCACCTGGGGTTTCGCTGGTCTCGTCACCAATCAATTCATCATTGACCGAGAAGAAGTTCGGCCAAGGCTGAAGGTGAATTCGAGGTAAGAAATCGTAGTTGGCTTCAAACGGCCGGATAAATGACAATTCCACAGTAATCGTCTTCATTATGGGTGTTTGGACATCAGAGACGAGATGATATACTGCAGAAATCTCCAGGGTGTGTTTCGCAGCCTCTTGGGTGTCGTCCAAGACAATAAGGAGATCTTTATCGGAAGCACGTTCCATAGCTCCAACGGTCCTTTTGATACAATGAGACGGACCCTCGATCGGAGAACTTGTCCCTGATTCTTCGGGGTCGGACATTTCATCTGCATCGAGCCATTTGAGCTTCGTAGTTGATTCCACAGGCCCAAACAACCTGATCTCGGTCGAAACATCAGCCGCTTCGTCCTCTTCGTTGTGAATGCTGATGCGCAGCGCCACCCGCTCATTAGTATAGTAGGTGTCCTTGAGATTAGGAGTGGAAATGCGGATCTTGGGCGGTTTGGGCATGATCTTGCATTTGCCAACATCGCGGTCTTTTCCGATCCTTCTGCGAGATGCACCCCTCCTGTTATGCTGCCACCAGTAGGATTCCCGGGTGCTGTGATCTGTGATCACATATGTGAGATCGTACTTTTCCTCTTCCACGAGCATAGCTATTGAGGCAACTTGAGCTTCTCCGGCTTCACGAGGAATACATGTCAGGTTGAAAATCTTAGTCTGAGAAGGACCAATTGTCAAATCAGCAACGCCAACCAGACTGGTCAAACCACTAGTTGGGGATTGAAGAGTTGAGTCTTCTTGGGTACTAGGTTCCCGCAGAGATATTGATGAGATGCAAGATGAGGTTGTTGTGTCGGAGTTTTGATTTTGGTCGGATTGAAGCTTGACAGGGCGAAGGCACCCCTCGAATACAAGCTTCACTTCTGAAAGTTTGATGGGTGATGAAGATTTTTGGGCACAAGATGTGATCAGGAGTTGAGCGTGAAGAGGTTCACCGACATTTCCTTCGGACTTTTCAAAAACGAGAGATGCAGTTACTGGGTAGAGATCAAATGTCAGTTCGCTAGGAAATTAATCATCTGCAGTATCAACTCACAACTAGTCATGACGTCCTCCGCCCGGAGAACGACGGACGGTTTGGGCTTCTCGGTTTGAACATCTTCGAGGCTTTTGTGGATGTCATAATGCCAAGTAGACCTTGGTGGGAAAACTAGTGATCAATGAGTGCCTTGATTCGTGATACGCAAATTTATTATGAGAGCCCACCTTTGTTAAGAAGCTCCCAGTCCACTCGTAAGACCGTCTCGCACTGCTGTAGCTTAAGAGCAGACTGTCTCAATGCCCATCCAAAACTTTCCATCAAGTGCCACCATCCCGATTGACGCCAGGTCAGGGTTGACCACAGGGGCTGCAAAACATTGTATGCCTCAGACCAGGAGCCATTTCTTAAATGTTCTTCGGCGATCTCCAAGCTAATGTGTTCCACCTTTCGAACTTGACTCCGCTTGGAGAATTCACCAAGAGCATCCTGCAGTGTGCTTAAAATCAGATGCGAGTGATCGAACCCTGTTTGTCCTGGCTTGGCGGATTCAAGATGTGTCTCCGGGGCTAGGTATGTATCATACAAGTATGATTTGCTGGCGATCTGAGAGGCAGGTGATTGACCGGGAGTAATCCGATCTTCATCGGGGATTCGCTCTGCCAAAGCTTGTCGTCGCATAGTATGCTTTGCCGAGCGGTATAACCAATACCCCTCATGGTGAAGATGCTCCCACGGGCTGACTTGTTCTCCTGCAGGGATGGCTTTTTCGGGCGCACTATATATTGAAGATATATCCGATCCCTTCTCAGTAGAGCCCTCCATTGATAGAGATGTTTCTGCGCGGCGTATGAGCTGGGCCATGATCATAGACCATCGTGCTTCCCAAGCCTCCCATCCATAATTCTTACTGCCTTTACCTCTCCGGTTGACAATGTCTTGGGTGCGAAGTCTGTGATCGACCCAAAAACGCGTTGCCGCTGTAGTCTGATTTGTCCATAGTAGACAGCGGATGATACGTATGGCGAGGGCATCACCCAACAGACGCGCATCATTGAACCGAGGATCCCAGCCTGCAATGTTCTCAAAGACCTCTTGTCCGAACAATGTATCATATGCACTTTCGTAATTTCGACACGCAGCATCCATCTCTTGGCGGAACTCAGCGAAAATGCCAAGCTTGAATTCATATCGCACGTTCCAGCCTTGGAACGATAAAGTCTGGGATGTGCCGCTAGTTGGTGGCGCACTTGGGGGAGGAATACTGCCCCTGTTCCGCTTGCGCCGGGCATGTTTCGACAAGTCCCGATAGTATTCCACTACGGAAGGTTGCAACAGCGAGAACAGTGATGTCGCAAACTCCTTTAGCTCCGAAGATGTGGCATCCGGCGGAATAATAAAGATAGACTTCTGGTCCAGGTTTGTAGATCGTCGGATTGCCGCGACGCGGTCATCAATTTCCCCCGTCAGACCGCCGTCGCCCTCCTCCGAGATCAAAACCACCACAAACCGTGTTTTAACCCCCGAGGATGCCCACTCCTCCTTCAGGCTATTGATCTCGATTTTCAATTGATTGTCTCGCAGTGAGTTCATGTTCTGATCGAGGGAGAAGGGGAAAAAGTTGATCACTGCGGCCGGGACAAGATCTTGGTGCTTTGTCACCCATAACGGAGTGAGGAGACCATCTGGGAAGGTGGGAGAACCGGGAGACAACGGTGAAATTGGAGAGTGAAGAATGTATGGTGCGCTGGCAGCTGGATGGTTGCTATCTGGGTCACTGGTGGGACTCGTAGGTGGTGAACTTTGTGGACGGGTTGCTTTCCGCGGAGGCAGTTGATAAGACTAATGATACATAAGCAGGATGCTTCCCAAACACGGAGGAAACCTTACTCGACCAGTACTCTTGATCTTGTACTTTATTACAGGGGCTGTTCCATTTGGACTGACAGTTGATCTCCAAGGTTTCTGGGAGCCATCCTCTTCCAAGAGTGCGCTCCGCAGCTCCTCCGCAACGGCCCCGCTCAGCGGGGGGAAATCAGAGAAGATCCTAGGTCCGGTCTCAGCAAGACAAGGATAATCCACGGATGCTCCATTATCAACCCCGTCTGCTTCTAGGCCTGAAAGTAAGATTAGAGGGAGGTTGTGGTTGACGTAGTCTTTGGGATATGCGTCCATTGCGGACAATGGGCTCGATGTGTGAGCTGGGTCACCGCATTTCTAGTCCAGTGGTAGTCGGTTTGGGATTTTGCCAATGCTGGTCACTGACTGAGAGAGACTCTCCAGTCCTGAGTTTCAAGGGTTTTCAATAGAATGGAAAGGTTTAAGATTGAGTACCTCTTAAGGAGACATGCGACGACAACACGGCCCAAGCTCGTGAATTATTGCCGTCGCGGGCGGTCAGGCATGTATACTTAAGGTTTGTTTACTGTAAGTTGATCGTACACATGTATGCTTTGTGACCACTCAATGATTAATATTTGAGTTGTACCTAGATACTACCTAGTAGATGTCACTTTTACCTGGAATAAGTTTTGAAAAACTCAAGGTAAATGTTGGGCATACTAGATAAAACCATCAATATTGAGGTATGTTTGCCAAGAGGATATATATTTCCCACCCTAAAGTGCGCAGTTATGTCACCACCAAATGTCTAATTTCAAATATTTAAGTATTAGTATATTCAATGGCGTTTAAGGTAAATGGGTCATTTCAAATAGGTATTTGCTTTGTTATTTCGTGAGAAAATTTATCAAATCCCTTAGCCTCAGTATAAGCTTATGCTAAGGTCATGAAGAAATCGGACTGACCCTGGGATTTGAGTGGACTGACCAATCTCCGAGATCGCGCAAATTTCTTGGCATGTTAAAGGGGCTCTCCAGGGCTCCAAGCTTGTTCTTCTGGAATTTCCATATATGGATCGCATTTGTTATATGCCCACGTGGAGTTATAATACGATTGACACATACCTAAGCTGCACATGTTTCTATGCATCTAGGAATATAGTATAGTTATAGATAGAGATATAGTCGCACGTCCTCTAAATACCCTAGAGTTCAGAGCGTCGATGATCATCCATACCTGAATGGGGATACAAACGAGTGGGAAATTAGGATCCATCTTAACTGTGGAGACCAGAAAGGTACGCAAACGCTAAACTAGAAAAAAACTTCTCCATATTCAACCCGAATATCCCGTACTCCGTACATCAAACTATCTTGAACTTCATTTTCTCTCCTTATAGTCTTTTCTTTCTTTTCTTTTCTTTCTTTTCACTCCTTTTCTTCCATTCAGTCGTTTCACCCCCCTTGATCTTGTTAATCCTTACCTTCAAGATTTGGTCTTATCAGCTATCCCGCCCCACGTCGATTCCGACGGAGTAAGGGGGGATTTTTTTTGTTTTATTTCGCAAGGGCCCCGCGTGCGCAAGACCTCTATATCCTAGGGCCCTGCAGTAGATCATGCGCGGCGGTATATCGATATACCCTGCATATCTCATTGATCCTCGGGGAACTTTACCTCAATAAATCCCCCTTGAACTATTGAAAATGGCCATGCAGCTTGACAATAGCGCGACGCTCAAACCCGCTGAGTCGGCTCTGCTTAGTCGCCGTCGCCGTCGCAAGTCACTCCCTTCACGTCAAGGAACATCGGCCGATCCAACGTCGCCTGAAGTGATCTCATCGCTAATCTCGTCCCTCTCAACCATCTCCGTGCCCCTGAACTCGCATTTCGACAACGTGCCCCGAATCGACTCTAAGGACTCTTCTGATCCTGGCTTGCCCGACGTGCCGCACACGGCACCGTGTTTCACTATCCCTCCGTCCCAGCAAAATGGATTTGGAATGAGCTTCGGCAGCCACATCGAGGAACCAGAACCCCCTAGCTGCCCATTCTTGCATCCAGATGATGCGGCGCTGTCACCCGTCATCCGCATGGCCAGAGCGCCGCCGTCGCCGAAATCCCCCAAGTCGCCCAGATTCAAACCCTTCAGTAAACAGACCGATTCTGCCCGACCCGCATCGAGGGACTCATATTCGTCAGTAAGGGTTCCGGAAGAGGAATCTACATTCGGAACGATCACTACGGAACCTGGTCCCCGTCTTTCAACCGCGGTCAGCCTCGCCTCTAATAGTTCTGGGGGTCGGACCAAGAGTTTGAAAGGCACATTTGGATTGCTAAGGAAATCCTCATCACGAGATTTATCAGGCGACAAGGACACTCCGCTCGAACGTCTACGAAAGACGAGTAGTCTCAACGACAGTTTGCGACACGTGCCTCGCAGTAGGGCTAGTTTGCGCTCCATGCATTCCATGGCGGATGTGGCCGAGGAGGCGGGTTCCAAAGATGGAGCGAGTACACCTCCCGCCAAAGAGCATCCCTCTGCTCAGAGCACACCGGACCAGAACAACCCGGGCGGGATTGGAAGCGGTAGAATTATTCCCACTCGCGATTCCTCTCTTCGACACCGACACAGCCAATCCTCAGGGAAACGAAGATCCGCTCGCCACAGCCGATACCCATCCACTGCCAGTAAAGAGTCCAGTCCAGAGAATGGACTACCAGGCTCGAGTAATGATGCCGAACAGGTTACTCGGAGAATCCAGGAGTTGAAAGATCAACAACAGAGGATCAAGACCGAACTAGAAGTAGACGATACCCCTGGGAAATCCACGAAGACCACACCGGTAAAGTCAAAGCCTCCACGCAGTACTAGTCAGGCCCTGAATGGAGCCCTGAACGGGCCGGTGAAGGTTGGTCGTTCTGTCTTGAATGATAGCGCACCATCGCCTTCTGTCATGACCGGTAAAAGTCGAACTGGAAAGACTGGGGTCCCGTTGGCATCGAAGCCGACCAACATTGCGCCCCAGATGCCAAAGTCGTCTGAAAAGTTCGACGAAAAATCACGATACAGGACGTCTCTGGAGCCCGTCTCACCCACGCCAGGCCATCGTCGATCACCTTCGGGCCCAAGCATTGCTGCTCGCTCCTCGATCAATCACGAACGTCCATCCAGTGCTGATTCAATTGATCTGGCGGTCCAAGAATACACATTCTCTCCGAAACTGACCCAGAAGGTGATACATCCTACCACTGGCCGTACTATCGCATTTTCGGAGGTAGGTGACCCCAAAGGTCATGTTGTTCTCTGTTGCCTTGGAATGGGTCTCACCCGCTATCTCCCGGCATTTTATGATGAATTGGCTCGGACACTCAACCTGAGACTGGTCACTCTGGATCGTCCCGGTGTGGGTGAAAGTGGACCACACCAAGTTGACGAACCGAGCAACCCTCTCAGCTGGCCTGGTAAGTTCCAATACCCACTCACAAGTTCTTGTACTGATGAAAGTTAAGATGACGTTGCTATTGTTTGTAACTACTTACGAGTTACCAAATTCTCCATTCTGGCCCACTCCGCCGGGGCAATATACGCCCTGGCCACGGCTCTTCGAATTCCACAGCATATTCGTGGACGCATTCATCTTTTGGCCCCTTGGATTCCTCCATCTCAACTTTCCAGCCTCGGCTCCCAAAAGGAACCGGCTCCTACTAATGCAGTCCCTTACTCACAACGCATCCTCCGCGCTCTCCCAACTTCTCTCCTCAAGGTGGCCAATACCAGTTTTATGAGCGCCACCAGTGCAAGCATCACGACCAGTCTCCCCAAATCTCCCAAGCGGGTCAAGCGCAAGGCTATCAAAGAAGCACCGGCCGCCGATACAGACTCCGTTGCGCAAGATATCGCTGAAGCCCAGGCACAAAAAGATGTGAAGCCATCCAGTCATTCCCACGCTTCGTATAGAAAGAGTGACGCAACCCTTGGGTCTCGTGCAAAGTCCCCCGAGGAGGAGCGCGAACGACAACAGGACTATGATCACCGCCTAACACACAGGATCTGGGAACTTGCCACCGCCAACGCCAACCCGGCGGTCGACTTGTTGATCTGTTTGGAACGCCGTCAAACCATCGGATTCCGCTACGTGGATATCACCCGATCCGTCGTGATCCACCACGGCAGCAAGGATACCCGCGTACCCGTGGAGAATATCAACTGGCTGGGCAAAACCATGCGGCGCTGTGAGGTGCGAATTCTTGAAGGCGAGGGTCACGGTCTCATGGCCTCGGCCGGTGTGATGGGCAGTGTCCTCACGGAGATTGCCAAGGAGTGGGAAGACTGGACGACTATTGTCCAGGGCAAGCGCCGAGCAACCGCTCATGCCGCCCGACCAGGGCTCTCCATCCAAACCCGATGATCAACGAATATGTTGGAGTTTATTCCCGCGCTGGTCTCAACCCAGCACTTTCTATCATTTTGCGTTATGTTCTACGTGACGAGGTCCGGTCCTGGTGGACCGGGCCATCCTGCCATCCCTAATCCCCTTCATCCTTTTTATATCCCCAGCTGGCTCTGAGGATTTGTCCCGTGACACGCCTACTCATTGCTGTCATTGTCCCCCCTACACAAACACACATACCCCATCCCTAAACTTAATAGTGGCTGATGTCCCGTCTATTGATTTCACATGTGGACATGTCTCCAGACCCAAAAGACCCTGTGATTTTGCATAATACCCACGTTAGCTAGCTTTGTTTTGACTTAATAAATCATCAATCATAATTCAACCCCTGACCTGAATTTTTACCTCCTGCCAAGCATCGCGCTCAGACCGAGTCCACCGAGCCCGCATTCAGGGATAACATAACATGACAATCCCCCCCTTATAAGAAACCCCACCTTCAAGTGCTTCTGATTCCCCATTTTTGATACATTTCACACGACATCATACCATTTCGGGTATCCCATCTATATTTGGCCTGTCTGTACGGAGTAAATTAAAAGAGGGGCAAGATTGTCACTGGCGGAACCCTGATCGGCGGATTTCTTGGTTCTTGGCGCGAGAACCCGTCACCCGTCACGTTGCCCGCGCTTTTCGCCTTCCCTCAATCCAAGCCGGTCTATCTTTATCTTGGATTCAATCTTGATACTTACCAAAGTATCGTTCCAATATGCCTTCTCAACGGCGAACAAGACTGTTCGCGATCGCTGTACTCGCGATCATCATCCTGACGTTCTATTACTCGGTATGTTGTCTTTATCGGGGATTGAGTTCTTACCGCGTGGATACTAACAATGTTCTGGAACAATAGGGCGAAGGAAGCAGTATTCAAAACCAAAAGTTCTACAAATCAACCCTCGAAGCGATGAGGGCGAAGGAGGATGCGAAGCATGCGAAGATCCAGGATACTGTGGTTAAACCCATTGTCGGGGGGTCAGGAAGCGCTGGCAGTGCAGAGAAGCCGGCTATTCCTGTCGCGAACGTGAATGATGACATGGAGGAGATCTCTATTGCCGGCCGGACGAAGATGACTGTTCCCAAGAAGGTTTCTCAGGATGCTTTGTCGCCCGAGCAAGGCTCAGGATTGGGATCTGCATCTGAGTCCGCATCCGATATCGAGCCTGAAGAGGAGGAAAAAGTGGATGCAAAGCTTGTGCTGGATGCCATTCTTAAGCGCGCACCTAGTATGTTTGCACCAATGCGTCTTCTGACTTTTCATAATGATTCTTAAGCTAACTTTCCTCGTTACCAGTTATCATTTTCTCGAAATCCTACTGTCCCCACAGCAAGAGAGCCAAACATATTCTATTGGATGGATATACCATCTCGCCTGCGCCGTTGGTCGTCGAGCTCGACCAGCACCCCATCGGAGCGGAACTACAGGCCCTCCTCAAGGAGAGCACGGGTCGGGGCACTGTTCCCAATGTTCTGGTCAATGGCAAGAGTATTGGTGGAGGTGATGATATTGCTGCGTTGGACCAGAGCGATGACCTGGCGTCAAAGCTACGGGAGTATGGCGGCAAGTGGGTTGCGGATGTGTCGCGAGGCCCACCAAAACAACACGCGTGAGGTTGATTATATTCTCAGGTGTATCTGATCATGGGTTGGCGTTGTATTGTATTTGTAAATAACTGGGAAACGGGTCTGGCTACTCGAGTGAAATTGTGATAATACAAGTATATCTTGGAGAATGGTCGAATTTGATATTGACAGTCATATTTGTGAGGACTTATACCAATTCTCGTGATACTGCTTGTTAGTGTAAGGAAGACAGCGTTCAATAGAATCGATTGATAGAGCATGCAGTGGACAGTGCAAAGGCGGAGGAGAATCACCTGACGCCCTCGGTCTTTTCGTCATTGTTAATCCTTACTGAACTAGACATGGTCATATGTGGTCTATAACGAGTTGTCAAGCACTACTAGTTTATGCTATTTGGGCTTTTCTTGTATAGAATCAGGCTCTATAAGCGATGTCTCAAGGTTTTACTGTCATAACGAAGCTCTTCACTTTGAAATCCAAACCTTTCTTGGTCTTATCTTATCACATGAAATCTTCTTGTTTCTTGAAGCAAGGCTATATTGTTTAAGATGTGTATGAACCATTTACAACTTTGCCAATTTTTGAAACCTTCCAAGGATTCCAAATGATAAGTTCTGTTTTTACATATGATATAGAACTTGATCTAGATAAGTCTTGGATTATAGGAACAGTTCTGATCATAAGTATATCAATGCAATACTCATTGCACAGATATTGGGCATGGCTTTCAATTGCTTGGGGCTTACAACTGCATAGAAATTTGTCTTAATATGATTTCTAGAGAGAGTTCCGATCGTATCTAAATGTAATACTCATTTCATAGATATTTCTGCCTGGGGCATACTGTTTGATATGGCCATCTTTCAAATTCCTTGGCATTCAAGGCTATATCTTTGCATGTCACTATATAGAATCCAGATTGAATATGATTTTTGGATTCCAGATAGATTTCTGATCATGTCTATATCATTTTCATTTTTTTAGGTAATTTTTTACCATGAAAATTTTCAAGATGTCTCAGGGTTAATACCTGCATCTGCACCTTCAATTTCACACTACCGAGTAGAATTTAATTTAGATTAGAAAGAATTATTGGATTCTAAGGAGAATTTTGATCATATTCAAGTGCAGCTGTCATTTTATAATTAGATGTTTCTCTCTTACGCCACAAATGTTACAGGGAATCCTAATCCGGACTAGTGCTGTTACTTTGCAACCCATCTTTTTATCCCATTTCAACTTGCAAGGCCCCACTAGAAAGCTGTCAGTGATGACAGAGCTCATTAATTTTAAGATACAGGAAAGCACAGAGTCAAATGATTTGATCTAAGTCAGCTGAGAAAAATAGTCAGTTATCGTCGAATACGGCAAGTCAAGTCTTGGTTACTAGAGGATGAACGACTAGATAAGCCGATAGATCTCATCATGTGACGATAAGCAGATCTGGATGACTAAGTAGATAAGCAACCCTACGCTAAACCCAATTTGTGGTTAAGCGACGCACAACCCCGTGACATACAATTTCGCTCCACCAACAACTCCAACCCGAATTTTGATCCTCCCGACATCGACAATTCACCCCCTCGGCCAACACCACCCACGCAGTCAAGATGCGGTACATTCACTCCGAGGAACGGCTGCCCATTCCGGACAATGGTGAGCATGCGACTTTTTCTATTTTCGAGATTCCAGGACGGATTATAGTGGAGGAAAATGTGGGAGGCGGGTGCGATACCTGTTCATGTCCAATGAATCGGAGGATTGCTCGACGATGATCTACCATTCGTGGCAGACGCCCAGCAACAACGACGACACTGGAGGAAAACCTATGAGATTTTGTTTCGAGGCTTCAACATGCACCGGACGAAATCACATACCTTGAATTTGGACACATGAAGGGAAAAATTGGACCTCTGGCTGATTCATATTTTTCTCTCTTACAGTGAAGGTTCACATTCGTTCGCGCATCGTGACCGTTGAGGGTCCCCGTGGCAAGCTCGTCAAGGACCTCTCCCACATCGCCGTCACCTTCGGTCGCCCCGAGGCCAACGTGATCTCGATCGAGCTGCACCACGGTGTCCGCAAGGGTGTCGCTACCCTCCGCACCGTCCGCACCCTCATCAACAACCTGATCATCGGTGTTACCCGCGGTTTCCTCTACAAGATGCGTTACGTCTACGCTCACTTTCCCATCAACGTGAACATTGAGAAGAACCCCGAGACCGGTTGCGCCGATGTTGAGATCCGGTATGCTCAGCCTTGATACCTCTACAATAGGCTCGATGATTGGAACTACAGAGGACATGGATACTGACTATTTCTTTCAGTAACTTCCTCGGTGAGAAGTACGTCCGCCGCGTCACTGCTCAGCCCGGTGTTGAGATCGTCCCCTCCGCCAACGTCAAGGATGAGCTCCAGCTTTCCGGTAACTCCCTCGAGGGTGTTTCCCAGAGTGCCGCCGATATCCAGCAGATCTGCCGCGTTCGCAACAAGGATATCCGTAAGGTATGTGAAACTTAGCCGTTCCTTGTATCTGACCTTCAATATTCTAACAATTTTATAGTTCTTGGACGGTCTGTACGTGTCTGAGAAGACCAACATTATTGAGGAGTAAAGAATGACGCTTGATGGGTTCGGGTGTCCGGGAGAGCTTCTTTTTTCAATTTCGCCCTCTTGCATATAGGAAGCAAAAAGCGGAATGACAAAAATCAAACGACTTGCAAATTCATGATTTTCCATGTTATTGAATAATCAGATTGTAAATTAGATTCCTATGGGAATTGAGTAATTCGATTTGGGTCTGGACTCTAGACGACTGGAATTGTGAGGGAGCAGTAGAGGACTAGACTTCGGTCCGATCTAGGCTTGGATCCTCCGTGTCGTGCTTTAAAATTTAGCTTTTGCCAATCTTTACCAGCCTTATCAGCCTTACTCTTTAAGTTGCTACTTATAATCTTTTGTTCAAACTTGATGAGTTGAATCAACTCGGCACTTTTTCATCTCAATTTGTCTTTTATCTGCGCGTGACGCCATAGTTAGCATGTGAAAGCCCCAGTTCCCCCCCAACTAAGCCCCCCTTCAATCTGGTCCTCCCCCACCACAAGACATGGGGTCCTGGTGGTTGAAGATGTGGAGTTTTTTAACAGCAATATTCGGCATGATGCTGGATGTCGCACAGTTCTGGAAACATGTAAGTGGTTGCTTAAGGTTGGCGCGGGGAATATGGGCTTGCTTCCAAGCTAGTGGAGTACCTTGACTGACCAAAAGCTCACAGAAGCTCCTATCATGGTGGAACTCCAAGTCCCCTCGGTCCCAACTATTCCATACCCTCGAAACAGCAGAGAGTTATGAGCAGTGGGAAGCAGCTGCGTTTGAGCTGGACGAAATTCTGAACAAGGACCTTTGGTATGGACACATTACAGCAAGCTCCGTACATTCCCACTAATCTCTAATTACAGGCGCCAGAATAATATCAGTAGACATTACGATCACCGATTAATCCTAGGTCGACTGGAAGCACTGATGCGCGCCCGAGAAAGTGAAAATATTCAGACGCTTGTGAACCTCCTTCGCTCCGGACTAGTGCGCAACTTGGGCAACATCACATCTACGAAATTGTTCACGCATGCGTACGCCGGTACGAAGCTTTTGATAGATGATTATACCACACAGGTTGCCTTGTCGATCCAATACGTCACCTCGCTACAACCGGTGCCTGGGGATGCCAATGGATTTACGTCACAGGCGAAGCTGGAGTTGCTGCATGATACGCGCCAGGCATTTGGGCGTACGACCCTGTTGTTGCAAGGCGGGTCGGCGTTTGGGCTGTGTCATTTGGGTGTTGTGAAGGCGTTGCATTTACAGGGGCTTTTGCCTCGGATCATCACTGGTACTGCTACAGGTGCCATGATTGCCGCTCTGGTGGGTATCCACCCGGAGAGCGAACTGCTTGGGTTGCTAGAGGGCGATACTATCGATCTGTCTGCTTTTGATGGGCGGTGGAAAGGCCATACGAATGACTCATCTGCTAATAAAGCTGAAGGTTGGCTTTGGACGTTCTTCCGGCGGGTAAAGCGATTCCTTCGAACGGGTCACTTGTTTGATATGGAATTGCTTGAAGAATGCGTGCGGACTAATGTTGGAGATTTGACTTTTGAAGAGGCGTATGCTCGCTCGAAGCGTATTTTGAACATCACAGTAGCCACGGCAGGTAAGACGGGCACACCGAATCTGCTCAATTACCTTACGGCGCCGAATGTGGTAAGTTCACTCTATATGCTCTTTGATTTGAGGGTTCTCTGACGTGCAGATAGTTGATATGGTCCGCCGCTGCGGCCTCCAACGCCTCGTCATTTTCTAAACGTTCTTCCCCGGTGACCATCTACTGCAAAGACGAGACCGGATCCATCATACCCTGGCCGCATGCACAAGACGCAGTCTTCCAGCCATGGCGGCATGTCCATTACAACGAAGGCGAATCACCTCTCGCCCGAATCGCCGAGCTCTTCAACGTGAATCACTTCATCGTCTCCCAAGCCCGTCCATACCTAGTCCCATTCCTACGATCTGAACTCAACCTTCTCGACCGCCGCCAAACCGGCTGGCACAATCTTTCCCGATCCCTCATGCGACTGATCCTAGTCGAGCTCCGCCACCGCCTCAGACAACTAGATTACCTTGGCCTCCTCCCAGGCTCCCTCAGCCGCCTCTTAATTGATGAAACAATACCTGGCCCAAATCTGACTCTTGTCCCGGACCTATCCTTTACGGATCTGGGCCGGCTCTTTCAACAACCTACTCGAGCACAGGTCGCAGATTGGACTCTTAAAGGCGAGCGAGGCGTTTGGCCGGCTGTTAGTGCATTGAAGGTCCGTGAAGCTATTGAGATCGAGCTAGATAGAGGATATCAGCTTGTTCGTCGGCGGAGACCAAGTGATCAATCCCTTCCTCCACCTGTACTTCCTATCATTAATGGAGATGTACCTCGACGACGACGACGACGACAGGTAGAGGGTGAAACTGAGAGTGGGAATGGCCATCTTGTTGAATGACAATACAATCAGAACGCAGTCTAGCTAGTACGAGTCATAAGTCTTTGGGTCATGAAGCTAGTTTTACTTCATAAACATGAAACTTATTATCGGATTGTTCAACAGTTGAATCGATTATCAGTAAATTTCAAAAGCCTAGATAACCCAATTCAAGGTCACCCAGAGGCTGAACCCGTTCGTCCATCACAGCAATAAATTAGCTCGGGAGCAGCAGCTAGATGCTAGTTACTGTAGAGCAGATCTGGTCAAAGATCTATTTCTTGTCCGAGCCCGAGCCCGAACCCGAACCCGAACCCGAACCCGAACCCGAACCCGACGGCGGAGTGTAAGTCGAGCCGCCATGTCCATTGTTGTGGTAAGTACTCCCATTGGAGTTCGAGTAGTAATAAGACCCGTCACTGAGGCCATCAGCGAATATCCAAATCATTCTCATATCAACTCACGTGTTGGAATAGTGATAGCTATTCGAATTGGAGGCGCTGGAACCATAATCACGAGCGCAGTAGTGGTTACCCTGGACTTCGTATTAGAAAGTCGTTCATATGATGCGTGAGTATGAGTGTACTTACCTGGCTATTGGTGCCAGAGCTTTTGATCGTGTAATTTTGTCCGGAAGGCATGTTGATAGATGGTGAGATTTCGTTGCTGGCGTGAAGGAGGAGAATGGAGTTGAGGGAATTTGGCGGGGATGAGCGGGGTTTAAAGCGAGTCGCGTATATACAAGTACACGTCATTATTAGCCCTGCCCATGGACATCGGTATAGATTAAACTTGTGTAACCTCCGTAATGTGGTGATAACCATGTGGGGCGTCTGCCATGTTAGGAAATATTATTGCAGATCTGTCTATGGGTACCACATACAGTAGTTCGGCATATAGTATGGATAGGTATGCCTAGATGATAATTAAGCAAAAGATATAGCTTTGATTTCTAGTTGAAACTTAAGAGCTGGAAATGAAGCTGGAAATTAGGTAGTCAAATTTACCTCTCTCCGTCCGCTACATCCACCATCACCACTGGTTCGGAAATGGATACATCGGATATGTAGAATGAGATTCTGTATTTGGACTAGGGAGATGCAAAGTGATGCCGTATACATGCAAGTGGTCCGAACTACTCATTGGACTTCAATTCGATTACCAGACTATAGTATGATATGAAGGAGCCCGAAAGTAAAGCCATATAAGTTATGACTCAACCATCCAAAGCATCAGACTCAGGTGGGCCCTTGTAATCTAAATAAGAATGATCAGTATGAAGCCAACTCCAAGCCAGGAAGGAATGCAACTCACGTTTCCTAGCATAAACCGCATACCAAACAGCCGAAATAGCCATAAAGCCCACAAAAACAACCGACGCATAATTCATCGACGTAGCCGTAACAGGCAAAGCAGTAGGCATACTAAACAGAACCAACTCAAACGCAATCCATGCCAAAGCAAGAATATTGAAAAACGACCCCGCAACCATCCCACAGTTCCAGGGAGCGTGATTCACTTCCGAACGACCATTCAGCAAGCTCAAAGAAATAGGAATCGCGTAAGCCGCTGCTAACGCAATAACGCCTACAGAGACGAACGCCGTAAACGCACTCGAGCTGCCCAGGTTGATGAGCCCGAGTAACATCTGGATTACCGTTAGGAGGACGAGAGACCAGACCGGCACGCCTAGTTTGGGGTCGACGTGTGCCCAGATTTTCGAGAGTGGGAGGGCGTTGTCGCGCGCGACGGCCCATGTGCAACGTGAGGCTGCGACGGTGATGCTTATTGAGCAGAAGAGGGTTATTACCAGGACTAGGAAGACGAGTCCGAGGCCGCCGCCTGGTGTGCCCATTACTTTGTGCAGGATGTAGGGGAGGGCCTGGGCGGCTGGGGCGTTGATTATTTCTTCTAAGGGAGGTAGGGTGACGCAGAGGGGAATGACGAAGAAGAGACCTGCTATGCCGCCGACGGGGACGGAGAGGGCGATTGCGCGTGGGACTTTTGTGGCGGGGTGGGCGCATTCTTCGGCCATTGAGGAGATCATGCCGATTGCGGAGAAGGTGTATGCTGGTGGGAGGAGGCCGATGAAGAAGGTAAAATTGCCCCAGCCAGAGAAGGACTTGTCGTAGTGGGAAAGGGCGTAAGAGGCGCTGTGGCGGCCTACGTCTGCTTTGACGGAAATGGCGATTAGGATGACTAGGATTGTGAGGGCTGTCCAGGTGGCGCAGGCGATGTCGACTTGAGGGAGGTAGCGGTTGGCGAATGTGCAGATTATTAAGGAACCTAGGCAGATGGCGTAGAAGATTAAGAGGAGTTGCCAGCTGTTGGCGTTCCAGTCTGGATGGTACATTGAGATTGTGCCGGAGAGCATTGAGGCGAATCCGAAGTTGACGGATAAGGTGATTGTCCAATTACCAATCACCCAAATCCAGGCATTGATGAAGGAGATGGTTGTCTTGGAGGATTGGGCGATCTGGAAAGACCAGTAGTATGGCCCTGCAGAGGTTGGATAGCGAGAGGCTAGTTCGGCCAGTGACATGGCAATGCACTGATCCAGGACGCAGACTACAATCCATCCTACAAAAATGGACAGCTGTCCGCCACCATAGATGGCGCTGATCAGAGGACTTCCCTCACCATAGGGAATTGCCGCGATTGCCAGTGTCTGGAAGAGCAGTGTGATGACCGATCGGTTGCGACGCATCTCTTGCTTGTATCCCAAGCGATCAAGCTCGGCAAGCTCATGAATGCTGGCGATCTCGCCAGCTTCATGGTCAACACCATGGGGAACGACTTTGTCGTTGTTCATATCCATTATGGAGATTGTCAAGAGAATGTATGTTCAATGTGTTTATCGCAGCAAAAGGTAGTCGTGACGTACTCCACGGCCACGACACCTTCCAGGATTGCACTTGATATGGTCAGGGAAAAGTAAAACCAAGTACTGCCCATCCCCTGCAGCGAGGATAACCCGTGCATTTTGTGCGTCTGCGGAGAACGAAGGGCCGCAGCTGGAATAGTCGCACAGATGCGCCACTAGAATGTACGGAGTATAAAATGCGGAGGTCAAGCCCTGCTCGGGATACACTTTCAAATACTGTAATTGATAAGCTCGCGATCTCCAAGGTTATGCCCAGGAGGATTCAATATACAGATTGGGAAGTTTGGCGGGAGAGGGGTTGATGATTGGCGTGAGGTTTATTTTCAGGGTAGACCCCCTTGCACTACCTGCACTCCTTATCACTATTTTTGTTCATAATGTGAGGCGACAGGGCCAGTCATGTCTTGTGCTCAATGGGATCTGCTTGCCAAGCCATCAACGTCTGACAGAGTCCACGAGTTTGGAGGATTGGTTAATTCGGCAATTGAAGATAAGAGTTGTGTTCTAACCCGCAAAGAGTAAGCATATACGACCCGCCATCAAGAATCATAGTAGGTTGTCTAGACCACATCAGGCAGTTACATGCGAATTGTTCTCGGATCGGCAATTGCATGCATTTGCATTGAAAGGATTCAATATTTGAAGTACTATACTCTAGAGGGTAAGGAAAAGCAATGCATAAAGGACATAACATAAAGAGGTATCACAAAAAGTACAAAATGATTAAGTTTATAGCCGTTCAGGGATTAAATTTACTGGGCAGTCGATGGACGGTCAGCTGTCTCTTGAGCATCACCACGCATATCATGACGCGAGATACGAGAGCGAAGACTGTGACGAGATGAAGGAGGTTCGGCAGTGGCCGTCAGAGGGGGAACTATCCAAAATTAGCAGATGTCGATACGAAGAGGAACTGAAACTTACTGCTGAATCCATAGCCTTCAGTGGTTCCCTGTCGGTCGTGAGGATCTATCTCCACGCGAATAGCCACATCCAAGCCTCCGTACATAGTACTACAGGTGAACCCATCGGCGCTAATGTGGGCGGTACCAGCGTCAACCTCACCCTTGTGAAGGGGCGCGTGACCGTCCTTGGGTAGATGGGCAAGCTTGGCACTCTGGATCTCCACTGATGTGCCGTTGGCGGCAGGAGCGACCACTTCGGTCAGACAGGCAAAGTTACGCGAGGGCATTGTCACCTTGTTCCAGGTAGCGCTCTTTTCAACACCACCGGGCTGTTTGTCGAACATGGGCATCAATGTCTCGTCACAGGTGCGGCCCAGGTGGTGGATCTTGTTACGGCGGGCTAGCAGGTTGGCCACGGCCTTTGGCGGTGGCTTGTTGGTGATGGCACTGCTGATGACATTGACAATGTAGCGGTGATCATTCTCGCCGGCCAAGTTTAGCTTGGGGTGAGAATAGAAGCGACCGATCGCGGCTAAGTGGACGTCACCGCCGAGAATGGTTACTCGCACCGAATTGGCACGGGCGAGCTCCTGCAGCCGCTCAACGAGCATCCTTCGCTCGCGCTTGTGTTGGCGAGCGGTGTAGTGATCATCCAGGTCATCCAGCAAGTCGACTTGTCCATCGAATTCATTAAAAAGGCCACCAGCGACGCCGAATCGTTTGTTCAGGAGACGGATTGGAGCAATGATAGGGGAAGTGAGGATGTTCTCGAGCCATGCCAGACGAGGGTATGCGATAGGCACACCCAGGAGCACCACCAGGTGTTTGATATCGCCATTTGCAGCGGCAATCTCCTGCTGTAACCGCTGGAAAATGAGATCGTAGGTGTCCTCATAATTTACTTGATGCCGGGTACGCTCAGTCCGCGCATCCAGGCCCACAAAGGCGATACGCTTCCCGAAACGCATATACAGACTACGACTGCGCTCCTCCACATAAGGACCAGGTCGCTTACCCACAATCCAGCTGTCGTCCTCGGGCTGGTTCTCGAGCACAAAGGTGTTCTCCAGCTGGCGCGGATCCACACCAGCAGTGCCATTCACTGCATGCATCGTCTGGGGCGCATCGGTGGTGAAGGTCGACTTGGGCGGAGCAACGTGATGCTGGAACAAGCAGTAGTACTTGAAAGCGACTCCACCAATTCCACGGAACACAGCACACTTCATGAAATGGTCCGTATACGAACCGAATCCATCAATGATGTCGTGATCGTCCCAGATGTTAACTTGAGGAATGCGACCATTGGCCGCGCGGAAAGGCTCGGTGTTGTACCAGCGAACATAGTTGGCGTAATAGTAGTCGTCGCACTCCGCGCGCATCTTCTCGTTGAAATCGTGGGTTCGGCGCTTGTGTGGGTTTCCAATGGCTGTCCACGGCTTCAGGGGACCATCTACACGGATACCATCGTTATAGATCTGGTCACCACCACCCACCATGACGTGGAAAGGCTTCTTCGCATGGACGCGCAGAACATCGTTCCACAGATTGGGCCCTACCCAGGCATCCATGTCGGTGCCGACAGAGAACCCATTACACGAGTGGAACATGATGCGCATAGACTGGTCCTCGGCGGGCACGACAAAAGTCCAGGGGCTGTTGACCTGTTCTCCAGACTCATTGTATAGGCCCGGAATATCGTATTCCCAAAGCGCCTCCCAGGATTCAACCGGCACATTCAAGGAGAATCGCCAGAAGGTCTTGTTTAGATCTTGGTACAGCTTGAGAGGGCTGACGGTCTGATTGGTCGAGGACTGGTGCTGGCCCTCGGAAGAGAGAGGGCCCACTTGGCGCAAGTGCAGCTGAGGCTCGTCCTGACCCGGTTTGGTGACAATCAACACACTTCCATTCCACATCGGTGTGGAATCAAAGTGCATGTTCTTCAGGTTGATCAGCGGGCCGGATATCAGTTCGAAATAGTTGTTGCTCATAATTGGAGCTGGCTCGCCATTGATGGCCCCTGTAAGATTCTCGTTAGTACCGATGCGCAGCTTCGCTCAGCATAGCTTCTCATGGGCCGGGCGCATTCACGGAGGATTGAAATCCAAACATACCATTGGGGGTATATGAGTCTACCATTGTCATAAAAAAAGATGCGATCCGCGCAGACCGAAGAGCTAAGGGGGTGAGAAGAAAAGCGTGGACAAATTGTCGCACAGGGGGAACCCTAGGCTGTTTCAGGGAGGAATGTCAGATTAGGCAGAGAAGACTTCCGACTTGGCCAACTGTAGGGCTGCAGGGCTGAAAGTAAAAACAAAACGTCCAAGTGAAAAAGAAGCGAGATTAGGGACGCAGATCGGTAAGTATCCGGTACCTGGCGATTGGCAGGGGTTCAGTCATTGAATCGAGTACCCACTACATAAGGGACTTGACGCGTACCAATGGTTAGTAAAATGCGTTCATGACGGTGCCAAGTCCAAATGCGCAGCTCCCCGCGCATGGTGGATATTACGATCCAATCAATACTTCATTAGCCACGGAGCGCCACAAATAGTCGGGTTTTCGGGGATTTTAATTGGTAAATCAATAGTGGCGGTGCAAGATCCTTTTGTTTAGCTTCTTTTATGGAGCTTCAACCCATGGATACATAATTCCCCTTACTTTATACGATCGGATAAATCGATCTCATCGGGCTACGTAAACTGAAGCTAGTTCTGCATGGCTACGTGTCTACCCGAATCAGGTTTTAATCCATACAAATCTTTCTAATTTCCTGTTCTACAAATACAAAAGAAATTCATTATTACTGTACATCTGACCCCACTCACTGTATTGGCTTGGCTTGATCATCCTTCAACTCAACCCATGAAGATTGACTTGGGAATCAAAGCAAACAAATAAATCAACGCAATGAATACCTGAAACATCTGTCTCTGTATATTCCTCAAGTGTTCCGATACCACCATCTGAAGAACGGGTGTCCTCGGACTCAACGCCAAGCTTCGGACCGGAGGGATGCTTGGCACGGAAGCCCGGTCAAATAACAAATCACAAGCCAATTGGTTTTTCAGTTTCTTTTCTCGGAACTGTTGACGTGTTAGTCCATCCCGCACTGCAAACCAGGATTCATACGAGGCCTTGAATAAAAGAGTCCGAAGATGCTCTTCGGAGTCTGCGTGGGTTTGGAATTCTGCATCCGATTCCCATAGTTCGACGAAGTCATTGAGGAACTGTGCGAATTGGATTGTCACGACCAAGTCCATGCCAGTGGGAAGTTCACGCTTGCTTTCTCGGAAATATCGAAACATTCCGTCTCCGCAGATCTCGGAGTTTTCCACTGCATATTGATACATCTCTAGGAACCGGTTGATGGGGATGTCAATTACGAGTTGGCGTTCGTGCCACACGTAGCATAGATCAGTAAGGTCATCAGGGGCGGATTCGAAGAAATATCCCTGGAGATTTTGGCGCTGGAGATCGAATCCCAGGACGAGTTTCTGTTCGGTCAATGGGCACAATGTGGATAAGGGTAATAAAGGCATATTAATGAATGTAATCAGGTGATTATCTGTGTGAGTATCAAGGAGGTCATCGAGATCAACCTGTTGGAATCTCTCGCCTTCGTGAAGTGTACAACTATTGAGTCTGGTTGAGGAATCTCGGCCTCGTTCAATGGCCGCTAGATATAGGTGGTGATCAATCACCCCCCAAGGGTGACAGGAAGCACCGTGTACTTTAGCTGCAAGACTCTTGTCAAGTACTGGAGCTGGGGGCTCAGGAAGGGCAGACCGGTCCAGCGGCTGCACCTTGTTGTCCCAATTAATATAAGGCTGGATAGAACGAGCCATGTTGTTCATATGTTAGTTGGGATGAAAGTTGAAGGATATGGAGTTATGCACAATGTCTATTTTTCTGGATTGTCCTGTTTTGCGGGAAAAGTCCGGCTTTTATGCTGATGGACTTGCCCGGCAAATAATAGATTTGCGTACTCGACTATCAAAGCAAGCCTCGCATATAAGAAGGCGCATTGTATTAGAACAAAGATGTCCCTGTGACATTCCATGGAAATGTCCGAGGAAACAAGGAATATCAATGCATAAAAGGAACAGGAGAGCATTGTGCAAGGGAAGAAGACAAAGAGATCCTTGTGATGGTTCAAGGTCGAGTCTTTGTGCTGAAACAAGATCAGAGAGCCTGATATGATCATAAAGAAAACGTATTTAGACCTGGGATACAAGGTACAAAGGCGTATAGAGAAGGTTATTCCGGTCATGAAACAGTCGAGTCTTGATTTAGCGTGTTTCAGCTCACATGAATGTATATGGAGCCTTGTCCTTGACAATGTCATTCCAGCCTGTATCTTCATAAGAAATGTGTTTGAGGATACCTCTCAACCAGGTTTCGCTATATTCTCCAAGAACTTCATTCCAAGATCGCAGAGATGATAATCCAGCCCCAATTCATGAAGGCGTGAATGTTGGTCCCGGAAAATAACCAAAGGATATATTTCCAAAGAAGCTGAGAGTAAATAAGAAATGTTCTCTACTCTGGCTCATCTTTTGTATAGTAAAAGCGGAGCCAAAACAGCCCCACATAAGACCTCGGTCTCCCGCTTCCTACAAGCTCAGCTACGAACCTCAACTTCCACACTCACCCAACAACAAAATGTCCACCGAATCACACGCCATCGATCCCACCGCTTTTGCGGAAGCAATCGCCGACCTCCCCCTCAGCGCAGTCTACAGCAAAGTCTCGGAGATTCGCAATTCAATCGCACACCTGCACCGGTCCAACGACGAGTTGCGACTCTTCCTTGCAGACTCAAAAGACTCAGAAGAAGACAAGAAGGAGTTGGAGGGGTACATCTTGGAAAATGAGGGGGTGGTTACGTCGATGAATGAGCGGATTTCGTTGCTTCGGGTTGAGGTGGAGAGGAGAGGACAGACTTGGCTTGAGACGGGGGAGAAAGAGGGTGTGAATGGGGAGCAGGTATCTGAAGAGATTGATACTGCTACGGTGGACTCGAATGTGAATGCAGGGCAGGAGGAAGAAGGGATCTATCTTTGATGAACTATGTGGTAATTATGATTATGACCAGGGTAACCTCCTACCCGATACAATGGGCGGCCAAGACATGCGCATCTGTGGCCTCTTGATGAGATCTTGACCAAGGCGACACTACACGACTTACGAAACCTGGACGTTATGGACTGAAAGTTCACGTTGAGATGCAGGAAACTCATTTGTTCTACCGAACCTCCTATCAAGTTATTCCCTCGCCGATTATGCTTCATCACCCAAATAGCAATCTCGATGACCTGCGTCTGCAGATTCCATCTGGGCTGGCGGATGGGGACTGAAAATATGCAAGATCATCATAAAATTTTCACGCATGCTAAATGCTCAAAGCCCCATCTGGGTCGTATCATCTGCTCACTCCATATTGCCCATGTCGCAAACAAAGAAAGGACTAAAAAAAACATTGCGGTCCAACGCCTGGTTGAAGAACATGTTATCGTCAAGTGTAGAAGTCAAAAGAAATGCGCGCTCTCGAGTCATCTAGGTCGAGACCTGGGCCCAGTGGCCACCGTTGAGTGCCTCCGGAGGCACTCGCTGCTGTTTGATGAAAAGGTCGATCAGAGGCTGCATAGGCTCCATCTCCTTGTCCGAGACCAGCTGGTAGTACTTGGCCACCGTCACAAAGTGCACAAAGCACATGTTTAGGATGTCATGCTTGTTGATATGCCAGAATGGGTTCAGCCAGTGCGCGTGGTACAGATGCGCGTAGCAGCGGAACATCTGCTTCATGATGCCCTGACAATCCTTGTAGAATGTCTGGGGGAAACCGCTAGACTTGCCAATCCAATCATCGGTGCCATTGCCGTTTGTCGGGTTCGCGTCTTCCGGGGTTGGGCCTGCCGCGCCGGTCGCTGCGTCCCTGATCGAGGAGGTTTCGGGGATACCATTCACTTTCTCGGTGGGAAACATGACCGGGTCGTGGATCTTGCTAACAATCCACTTCTCGACGCGGTTGATGAACTTTGGAGCCGAGATCTTGGCGGCACGGCCGTCGACGAGCCAGGTATAGGTCAACCTAGAAGACGCGCATTAGTTTCAACCCGCAATTCTTCATTACCCCGCAGTGTCCTACATACCGACCAGCGGACATTGTCGGGCATGTGCCCTCATTGCAAATGGGAAGTCCGTTCACACCATTGACCTCTTGAATGACCTGAAGCATGCCGTGGAGCAGACGATATTGTTCAACAACTATATCCTCGCATTAGCACCGATGGGCGAGATTTTTTGACCGTAGATATTGCTTACTCTGGTGAGCCAGCCATTCGCCAAGCTCAACGTTCTTAGGGCAAGCACACAAGGTCAAGAAGTTACCCCTGACGTTGAGCGGGGCATACTTCTCCTGGAAAAAGTACTTGGGGGCATCGGGGTCATTTGCGGCGAGGTTATCAATAGTTAAGCTGTTGGACAACGAGGGCGAGTTGGACATGGTGCCGGATCGAGGGTCTTGCGGAGCTTGCGCGGGATTCTTGGGGGGTTGGTTTTTGTTGTTTCCTCCCCTGCCAAACCCCTGACGACTGCGAAAAGGAGGATACATTAGCAATAGGTCCGGGGCTGGGTCAGCTGGGTGCCAGGGGGTAAAAGGAGGGGTCGGTAAAGAAAATAAAGGGGGTTGGAGAAGAGACGAAGCGATAAGCAATGGATTCAAGTCAATAATATAGACTTTGGAGGACAATTGGAATGTGCTGGCTTCAAATGTTTGTGTTGTGGCGCCGTGGGTTAAGCAGTAGTGTATATGAGGGAGGGGGGGAACACAAAGCATGAGATTCAATTCCAGTGGAAAACCATAATTCTTTGGACTTGACATTCATCAAACATGGGACTTACACGCTCTGAAAAAAAGTGGCCATGATAGTCTTCTTTTTATATAAATCCCAATCAATGAGACAACGGAGAGACCAGAAGGTTGAAAGGTGCCCGAGTTGACTCTCACTTTCCACTTAACTCTTTTAGGTTCGGATGCGGATTATCGTGTTGATCCGTCCAGAGTCCCGAGATACAGGTGAATTGAAGGTAGAATACACGAAGCTCCCCGACCACCTTCTCTTTCCTCTGTCCTCTTTTTTCTCTCCTCTTTTTGTATATTACCCCTCGCAATTGTCTTTTATTTCCAGCTCTTTCAATTGGTCCACATCCTCTTCCCAATGTCTTCCGACGACGAAGCTGTTCGCCGTCCCGGCCGCAGCAACATGCAAAGTCCTGCTCAAAGCGACGCCCTTGACTCCGGTGATGAGAATAAGAGCCTCGATGGGGGAAATGAAAATTTTGAAGATGAAGACGCTGATCTCTTCGGTTCGGACGGAGACGACAATGGATTAGAGGATGAGTACGGATCACTCAGACTCAGCATGCGCAACGAAACTAACCGCTACTTTAGTCGGCCTCGTCGCACCCTTGAAGACGAACAGCTGGATTCCGGAGACGACGAGAACCGCTATGATCGCCGCGAAGATCGTATGGACGAGGCGCCTGACGAGGATGAGTTCGCCGAGACTGTTAACATCATGGACGTGGGCCTTGCGCGGGCGCCAGTACCAGCGAACAATGATGGAGAGGTACATATAATCAGGAATTCATATGTAGGAATTATGGTCTAATTTGTGTCGACAGGTCTACACTATGCGAGTTCCAGACTTCCTCTCGACCGAGGCTGAAGAATTCAATCCGGAAACCTATGTTGCGCCTCCCTACTCCACCGCTGCTACATCGCTCTGTTGGCGCAAAGATCCCAAAGATGGTTCTTTGTTGCAGTCGAATGCACGTATTATCCGATGGGAAGATGGTTCCATGACACTGCAGCTTGCAAGCGCCCCTCTCGAGCAATACCGTATTGCATCCAAATCTCTCTGTCCCCTCACCAAGTCCGGCGAGTATGATACAAAGCTGGATTCACACGTCTACCTTGGAGCGGCAGTGGAAACTGCTTCGCTCTTCCGATTGACTTCTCACGTCACACATGGCCTCACTGTTCTACCCACAACAATGGAGACTGACGACGCGGTCTTGAAACTTCAAGCATCCTTGGCCGCAGCCACTCGTGGAAACAAAAAGACCGCCGACGGCTCAGCACCTGTTATCGATACGATTGAAGACCCCGAACTGGCTCAGCGAAAGGCAGAACACCTGGAGAGGGAGGCTATGCGCGCAGAGCGTCGTCGCCAACAGCTTGCGGATCGTGAGGCAGACCGTGGCCGCCGTCAACCCACTACTCGCACCGGTCCCAGCGGACTCAGCATTGGTGGTCTTGAAGACGATGGTCTTGCTACCCGTGCTCGCCCCAAGGCCCGCCGCCCTGCCCGCCGTGGTGAGATCTACTCCGACGAGGAGGAGGATTATGGCCGTGGCGGCCGTTCCCGCGAAGATGAGTATGATGAGGACGACGGATTCCTGGTTGGCAGTGATGAGGAACCTGAGGAGGTTGATGATGAAGAGGAAGAGGAAGAATTGGAAGACGAGGACATGGATGCGGAGGGCGAGGTAGATGACGATGTTGCTTCGGCCAAAGCTGCCCGCAAGGCTGAGGCGCCTCGAGCTGGAACACCTCCTGCCCGAAAGAAGAATCGTTATGTCGTGGATGACGATGACGAGGAGTAATCTTGGTTGCATTTTCTTATTCTACTTTTCTTATTTCATCTGGTCTCTGCGGTCTTGGCGTCATTCTACAGGGGTGGGCATATCGAGTCTATCTGGACTTAGCTAGGTTCTATGTCATTTTCGATACCAAAAATTAATGAAATGATCCAATGAATATAGGGTTCTAGGTAAAGCTCAGCAGGTTCTATAAGGGTTTATAGGAAGTTTTTTGTCTTTTTCGACAGTGCTGAATATGCTGTCGCCAGGGGAAGAAAAGGCTACATCGTGGTAGCCGGGGAAAACAGAAGCAAGTGTCAAGATCTGCATACCGAGAGGGATGGAGGAGAGAAAGAGGGAGAGAGAGCAAGAGAGAATGAAAAAGAGAGAGAAAGAGAGATCTAGCTAAGACATGTAAGCACTTGAGCAAACGGAGGGGTTCACCTGACCCCATACTCCAACAAGATTTCTATTTAGATCAAAGATGCCACTTTCACCTATCAGGCTCAGGCTCAACACAGATCTCCTCGACGATGCTGACATTGCTGTTGATGACTGTTGATTCCTGCGCTCGCGCCATCTGCTATAAAATGAAGCTACTGCCAGCCCCTTGTTCCGGTGTTCTCGACTATCACGAGTCCTCCTTTTATCCAGGAACTGGATAATCTCATCTCAAGCTGCTTCTCCGATGTAAAGTCTGGCTCGTCCCAGTCCTTTCCAAGCCATAGAACGCCCCAGATGCCGGGTACAAGAGTTGATTTTGAAGCTCCCTAGGTCGGTGGCTGAGTACGAAGCAAGCCAGCAAGGCTGCATTCAAAGGTGAAACCACACGATGAAGACTACCAGGACCAAGACTGTAGAGCTCAGAATGAATACCTAAAGCTTGATATGTCCAGGGCCGAACTCAACAAGATTCATATCGAAGAATGATGTGATGAACGTCTAGTATGGAACGATATTACCTGAAATGTTCAAAAAAGAGATGAAAAAAAGTCAAGATGAAGAAAAAGAAAAAGAAAGAAAAAGAAAAAGATGAAGATGAAACCCTGAATGTGGGGAAATGTAGATCACCATTGAACTGATGGGGACTCCCCGCTGGGGGCCAAATTCAAACCTCCACTTAGGTACTACACTTAGCGGGAATTGATCACTTGTACTTCACCATCTTCTGGATTTATTCAATATTGCCCCCTGGCCAATCTTTAATCTACTCTTTCCACTCTTTCCACTCTTTCAAACTTTCACGTTATCTGATTCTCTACCTGAACATTTCATTGACACTATGGCTAAGTGGGTGGAGGACCAATGGAAAGAGTTGTTCGAGATCCCGACCAAATACAATGCAGATGATTGCAATGATGCACTTCACGGATCTCGAGTTCCAGAATGTTTGGATGAGCCGTGTCAACGACTGTGCACTGTTCGCGGCATACGACCCATTATGGGTTTGCCCAGGAGCTCCGTGGAGTCACCCCCGAGTTCACGCGCGCCTTAAATGCCCGTGATATCATGAGCGGTATCATACCAACCATCTCACAGCCTGAAGAGACACCTTATTGTATCTGGTATCCTGAAGTCCCGAAAGAGGATACCCTCCGAGCTCTGGTTCAACGATACCCGGATATGCTTTATCATGCCGCTCGTGCCTGTGCCGTTGCAGGATATTTTGATCTGGATCAAGAGCTTGATCCGCTTCCGGAGGCTCATGTTGCAGAGGAGGCGGGCTACGCAAGCGCGCAAAGAAGCAATAACGGTAGTCAACAGATTCATCAGCATACTCTCTCCCCGCCAGTGAAGTTCGCGATCATGAACGACTATACACGTACGGTCGATGTTGCCGGGTGTCGAGTTGCATCTCTGAATGGGGATACGGCTGTTTACTCCAGTCTTACTGCCAGATCGAAGCACCTAAATCCCAACGAATATTCACATTAAGGGAAGCCATGGACAATGTTTGGCGACGAATTACATTACTTCAATATCACTGAAGACTGGGGAATAGGCGATCATGACTGTGAAGCCCCTGAGACACCAGATGATTATCTCCCACGGGTGTACAACCCACTCCCGCAGAGCTCCCGCTCATCAACAAGGACAAACTTATCCCGACCAGGGTGCAGGTTCATTCCAACTCCAGCCTTATCAAGCTTGAAAATATTTGACTGCACCTACCAGCTCCTAAACTATACAACCGAAGAGCCGTATGGCAAGAATTTGATCTCTGCGTGTCCCTACAATGCAGAAGAAACAGACTATTTAGAATTCTACTGGGCCGCCAAAGACAAATTGGGATTCTTGAATGACCCTGAAGAGACAACCGGTATCTCAGCCGACCAGCTTGTATGGGACGACTATGGAACTCTTTGTTCGCTCAGTACGATCGACAAAACAGTAAGACAATGCAGTGGCAGCATAAACAAAGGAAAACCTAGTCTGCCGGATGGTTTCACGGTCAGCAACCCTAAGGATATCATCTCAGCACGACTGCAAAATATCACGACTTTCCAAAGTCAGTCAGACGACCTTGTCTCACTTACAGCTAATAATTTGTACATTGGTAACACAATCGAAATTGTGGACGGAGCGACGATGCTCGTACTCATGGTACCGAGCTCAATTACCAGTATGAAGAGCGTTTAAAAGATCGGGTCGGAATATCACAAAGAAGAGATTGAGGAGGCCATTCTACTATTTGTCACCGCTTTGCTCCTATCATTCCTGGCTTGGGGGAGATAGCGGACGAAGCGGGGATGGTCGCTGTCGCAATCACGCTGAGGGCCATTGGTATCGCCGGTGATGCAGGCTTCGGCATTTATGGTATCGTGAGTGCAAAGGGTGGCGGACCTGGTGAAACCTTCCTTGCTCTTCTGGGTGGACTTGGTGCTCTCGAAATGCTTGAAGCTCCTGCGCTTTTCGCGAAGGCAGCGAAGGCGAGGAGTGCAATGTCTGCCGAGCATATTGCGAATTTGGGAGTCGAGGTCAAGGGTGGAATGGCCCAGATTGATAAATTGAAGCAACTCTGCCATTAAGTGAACGGATCGGTCATAGCTGCAAGCTATCGGTCCTCTTGCTTCTAGAAACATCTCATAGAGGAGTGTCATATGTAGATCATCTTTGGATCAAAATATTTGGCTCTCATGTTCGTCAACTTGACAGGTTCTCGGATTCTATGTATTCGTAAGTATGTATGTAAATACCGCGACTTGTTTTCAAACCAAACACCTATGTGCATCCACATGGAGTGACCTTGGAAGGATACATGATATCTTGGTGAAGCAACAACTACACAAATATAGTCATGGGGGTGTACGCACAGTATGTCATTTTTTATCTAGTTTTATCTAATTTTATCTACGTGTAATGAGCACGGAAAGCCAAGATTTGCCAGATATTTATCCTGTCGATATGCAAGTATATTATTTACGAAGATCAGACAAGAATGACCGGATACTTCTAGTCTATCAATTCTACTGAATTGATCCCTCCAGAACAGAACCTTCAGGAAATTCATGGGGCTCGAAGTTAAATTTCGAGATAACCGCTCGTGCACTACCAACAACTCGCATGCAAAGCAACTCTTTTTCCTCTGTAGACTGTTCGCCATTTAAGGACTGGAAAGGGTTATTTGCTGACAATGGATGAGCACCAGGCTCATGCCAGCGGCGTTGCCGGTTCTCAACCTCATTGATCAGACTGAGCAAGGATGGCTGGGCGGCGCACCGGCTGGAAACAGTCGGGTCATAGGGACCGCCAATGACGGCTCGACGCACTATCTGTCGCAGCCAGTTCTTCCACAGCTGTGCTGAATCGGCACTTTGCTGCACGCGAGATATATACTCTGGTGGGGCAGACTGCATGCCTAGTTGTGCGGGATCGCTATTGAACACGCGCAGCCATGCATCTGCGACGACTGTCAACAGGGTACCGGTGAACATGACATTCTGCACACCCGTGGAGAAGTTTTTGGGACATGCCTCGCAGCGAATGACGTCCTGCGCTGTTCGAGCTGCGATGTAGAGAGAGCAGAGGGTATGGTCGTTGACAGGAAATGAGGCGATAGAGGAGATATGGCTGAGGCAGAGGTAGAGATAGGATAGACATGTACATTGAGGCGGGGCGGAGTCGGAACATAGAGATGGCGGGGTAAGTGGGAGAGAAGGTATATCGGAGAAGCTTGGTGGGGCTGCGAAAGGCATGGCTGATGACTGAGACACAGTAGCAAAGTCTGGCCAAGGGCTTGAAGATGTTGGGACGGGGAGGTTGGGGTTCTTCAGCCTGTCTGGGTGCCATATGTGGTTGTGGTTTTTATCTCCTGATAGTAGATCGGGAGCGGGCTGTGACGAAGGTGAGCCACTATGTAGTGGCCAAAAGAGTTGGGGACAAAGATGATGTGCGTCTGATGACGCGATAGGATCCGGAGCTATAGGGAAGGAGTTTGGTGTATTATCTGGAGTGGGCCAGAAGTTATTATTGGATTGGGTAGAGAAATCGGTAGCTTCGTCGTCTGCGCGAGCTCTCTTCTTGGGTGGACGGCCCATAGTCTTTTGTATAGAATAGTGGCATGGAATAGATTGCTTCAAGCAGCGAGAGCACCCAGTAAGATCCCCAGAGCATTTCAACTTTCGTTTCCCTGTTTAAGAGTCTCCGGTCAGCGATGTGCGTTGATCTGATAACTAACAGTTCCTGAACTTACTGCACTCGTCGCAAGCCGCATGCCGTTTTGGTTCAAAGTTGACAGAATCTCCATTGTGAGTAGATACTACTGAGTCTGCCATAACTTCAGGTCAATTTGACATTCCTCACCAGAGAAGCAAGGACAATCAAAATACATAAATTGTTCAAAGTACCTGGGGATCTTTGATACGCGATAAGATTGGGAAAGGCGGACAGTCATGTGAGCGGTGAGCGGAATCGACAGAAAAGAAAAGAAAAAAAAAATCGCGGAATCAAAGTATCCAAGATCAAACGGCAATCATGGTCGCCCGAAACGCCTCTAAGAAGCGCAAGGCGGTTACTCGCGATGTGGAGGAGGAAGCCGGAGTATTTTCTGGTGATGAATTGAACGCAGAGAACCTTGATGGCGCCCTCTCCGATAATGACAACGACCTTTCAGAGAGTGAAGACGAGAGCGACTCCGAAATCGAGCTGATTGACGACTTCAGCGATGAAGATGAAGATGATGAAGAGGAATTGGACAGCGATGAGATTCCTTCCGATGATGATGACGAGAAGAAGCAGAAAAAGATCGTCAGAACCTCCAATGCCGACGAGCCCAATGTTCGCATCGTGAAGGACGCCAATGGAAACGACCGCTACCTATACGACGAAATCATTCCTGACGACAACTCGGACTATTCGGAGGCAGAGGAGAATGCCAACACTATCGGTGACATTCCTCTGACGTTCTATGACCAGTACCCTCACATCGGTTACGATATCAATGGAAAGAAGATCATGCGCCCGGCCAAGGGCGAAGCGCTGGATGCATTGCTAGATAGCATTGAGATCCCCAAGGGCTGGACCGGTCTTACTGATCCATCCACTGGCAAGCCCTTGAACTTGAGCCAGGAGGAGTTGGAGCTGTTGAAGAAGGTGCAGATGAACGAGATTACTAGCGAGGGTTATGATCAATATGAGCCTTTGGTGGAATACTTCTCCAGCAAGCAGGAGATTATGCCCCTTAGCGCTGCTCCCGAACCCAAGCGCCGATTTGTACCCTCCAAGCATGAAGCCAAGCGTGTGATGAAGATTGTGAAGGCCATCCGTGAGGGTCGCATTCTTCCTTACCGACCACCGGAGGAGCGTGAGGAGAAGGACGAAGACGTCGTCAACTTCGATCTCTGGGCCGATGAGGTCCCACGACCGGATCACATCATGCACATCCCGGCACCCAAACTCCCGCCGCCCGGTTACGAGGAGAGTTACCACCCGCCTCCAGAGTACCTGCCCGATAAGAAGGAACGCAAGGAGTGGGAGCAGACTGACCCCGAAGATCGTGAGAAGGAATTCCTGCCCAATGACTACGGCTCTCTTCGTCGCGTTCCTGGATTTGAGAACTTTATTAAGGAGAAGTTTGAGCGTTGCTTGGACCTGTACCTGGCACCCAGAGTGCGTCGCAGCAAGCTGAACATCGACCCCGAGAGCCTGCTTCCCAAGCTTCCCAGCCCCGAGGAGCTCAAGCCTTTCCCCACGACCTGTGCCACAGTCTTCCGTGGACACAAGGGCCGTGTTCGCTCGCTCGCCGTGGACCCGACTGGAATTTGGCTTGCAACTGGTGGTGACGATGGTACAGTTCGTGTCTGGGAACTCCTGACTGGTCGCCAACTCTGGAGCGCCAAGATGAGTGATGAGGATGCAGTCAATGTGGTCAGCTGGCGTCCCAGCAAGGATGCCCTCATCCTTGCCGCCGCCTGCGGAGATGACCTCTACCTCTCCGTGCCCCCGATTGCTGACCCTGAGATTGAAAAGGCCAGCTTGGAGCTCCTCGACGCCGGCTGGGGTTACGCAGCCTCCGCCCCTGCCCTCAACACCGTCGAGGCCAACAAGGCCAACAAGCCTGTTCAATGGATTCGGCCCTCATCTGCCTTGGCCGAGGCAGGTGTTTCCGTCGTCATTCCTCTCCGTTACGTGCCTAAGTCTATCTCCTGGCACCGTCGTGGTGACTACTTCGTTACCGTCTGCTCCGGCGCCTCGACCCCCGCCTCGGTCGCCATCTCCATTCACACCATCTCCAAGCACCTTACCCAATTCCCCTTCCGCCGCCGTCTCAAGGGTGGTGGCCCTCCCCAGACCGCCCACTTCCACCCCTCCAAACCCATTCTCTTTGTGGCGAACCAGCGCTCTATTCGCGCGTACGACCTTTCACGACAACTGCTGGTCAAGATTCTGCAGCCCGGTGCGCGCTGGATCTCCTCCTTCGATATCCACCCTACCTCTTCGACTGCTTCCGGCGGTGACAACATCATTATCGGTTCTTACGATCGTCGTCTGCTCTGGCACGATCTGGACCTGTCGCCCCGCCCTTATAAGACCCTTCGATACCACCGCAAGGCTATCCGTGCCGTCAAGTTCCACCCTGGTGGCCGCTACCCCTTGTTCGCCGATGCTAGTGACGACGGATCTATCCAGATCTTCCACGGCAGTGTTACAGGTGACATGCTCAGCAATGCCACCATTGTTCCGCTTAAGGTTCTCAAGGGTCACAAGATTACTGGAGAGTTGGGTGTCTTGGACATTGACTGGCACCCGCGTGAAGCTTGGGTTGTCAGTGCCGGTGCCGATGGCACATGTCGTTTGTGGATGTAATTTTGCTTGGGGGCTGGCTCATCTACATGATATCTACTTTCTTTCTACTTATGTTATCCATGGCGTTTTCTGTTGTATGTGTGCATAGTTTTATTGTATAGCCCATACTGTTATAAAAGTACTTTGAAATATTTCAAACATCGAGAGGCTAGAGATGAATTATTGATCCGGTTTTCCAATCCCTCAGTTCTATTTGCGGTAGGACTCATGGTACTTGACGAATAGCCCATGTCTAGATGGACTCTTTCATTTACTGAGGGTGAATGTATTGCAATTCACAGGGTATCTATGTCTAAAAAAGTCTACCCAGTAGATAACCAAACCAGCTCGTTATAACTTGCACGAGCGAACATTCAAACCGGGTACTGGTCTCAAATCACACCACCGCTCCAGTCTCTCCGTAACTTTTCGTACTTCTTCATGTCTGTAACACTGGGCCGAACGAAAGTCTTCGCGGACCTGAAGTCTTCGATACGAATGCTATCACGACGCTTGATAGCCATGTAACCAGCGCGACGCAACAAACTTCCCAGATCCGCACCGCTGAAGCCCTCGCACTCCTCCGCGAGTGTCCGCAGCTCGTCAGAGAACTCAATAGGCAGTTTGCGGATAAGAGTCTGCAGGATGTCGACACGTTCAAGTGCCGTGGGGAGGTTAACGAAGAGCAGGGTCTCAAGACGGCCAGGACGGAGCATGGCCGGGTCAATAATGTCGGGACGGTTGGTGGCCGCGATGACATAGATACCCTGGCGAGTGCCTAGGCCATCCAGCTCAGTAAGGAGGGTATTGACGACACGTGCCGAGGCCTCGGAAAGAGTATCGTCACGACGCGGTACAAGGGCATCCAACTCATCGAAGAAGATGACACAGGGAACGGAAGAGCGTGCGCGGACGAAAACCTGGCGCACGGCACGTTCAGATTCACCGACGAACTTGTTCAGCAGCTCAGGACCCTTGACGCTGATGAAGTTTGCGCGCGACTCGTTGGCCACGGCCTTGGCCAGTAGTGTCTTACCACAACCAGGGGGACCCCAGAGGAGAACACCTGTAGGCGCAGTGATACCGACCTTTTCGTAGATATCTGGGGATCTGATAGGCTCAACGATGGCAGTAGAAAGCTCATCGCGGACACCGCCAAGGGCACCAATATCGGCCCAAGTGGTGTCGGGAATAGTGGCGAAGCCTTCACGCTTGGAGGAGGGTTGGATCTTAGGGAGGGCGGTTAAAAAGTCGGCATTAGAGACGAGGACGGTTTCCGTCTCGTCGCCAATAGGGTTCTCTCGGGCGTGTGTGATGAGACGGCGTAGTTCTCGTACCTTGGGGCTAAGGTCGTCTTCCCCTTCGATTTCCATCTCTTCGCCACTGTTGGACTTGAGGATATCCAGATACCGCTTGATAGCAGCGGCGCCTGCGGTGGAGACAAGGTCGTTCAGATCCGCTCCGACGAAACCAGGGGTTCTCTTAGCCAATGTCTTGAAGTCAAGATCATCAGCCAGCTGCAACTTTCGGGTCAATGCCCGAAGAATTTGCTCTCTGACTGGCTCCGAGGGAACAGTCATATTAATTTCCTTGTCGAAGCGACCACCACGACGCAATGCTGCATCCAAACTGTCTGGGCGGTTAGTCGCCGCCAGAACAATCACGGGTTTTCCATCCGTCTTCTCAAGAGAGATATCGTCCATGCAGGTCAAAAGTTGAGCAACAATTCTTTTCTCCATTTCCCTTTGAGCGCTCTCTCGCTTTGGTGTGATAGCGTCGATTTCATCAATGAAAATCAGACAAGGAGCGATCCGCTTCGCTTCATCGAAGTGCTCACGGAGAGCTTTCTCAGATTCACCCGACATACCGGACACAATAGAGGGAGCGGAAATCGAGATGAAAGGCACCCCTAACTCCGCCGCAAATGCGTTGGCAATCATAGTCTTACCACAACCCGGGGGACCGTGTAACAAGACTCCGCGCGGCGGTTGTACATTTGATGAGATGTAGACCTGGGGCCGGGTCATTGGCAGGATCACCATATCACCCAATTCCTGCACCACTTCGTCCAATCCACCCAAGTCCGCCAAACTGACATGTGTAGGAGGGGATCGGTCGATGGTTGTATCGGCTTTGCGTCTCTTGGGCGCCGATTCTCCTCCCTCTTTTCTTCTCTTTGAGGATGTGGCTGCCGGCTCGGATTTCTTGGCTGGAGCAGCCTTCGGGGTATTCCACATGCCGATAATGCTCTGGTTAACGCCATTGGCTTCCTAAAACAGCTCATCAGTACTCTGCTCGCAATACAGCTGATTCTGAAGTGTTGCTCACCACTACAGGCGGCTCTTCCAGGCCCTCGAAATCACCCTCCACCGAGTCCTCCTCATCGTCTCCGCCTAGATCGGCCTTGACAACTTCCAGAACACGCTCCAGACTGTCTTCTAGTTGTCTTTTCGGTCTGCGGTTTAAACTCGAATTCGACTTTTTGATTTGTTCATAAACTGCCGGAGCGGAAAGACGAATGCGATTGGTCTCGGGTTGATCGTCAATAAGTTTGCGCACGACCTGGTAGACCTGCACAGAGTGTAAGAATGACAAAATCCTAATAAATATCAATTATCCTCATACCTCACGGTCTAAGCCCTGACTGAGGGTTGGTCTGCCCCCACGATTCCGAGCCATGATATAGTTGTGCGATAAAGAAAAAAAAGATTTGGGGAAAAAAGCGGGAAAGATTAATCGTCCGATTCGGGGTTTAGCGGCCGCTCATGGGCGGTGGGCATCAACACGTCATGCGCTCAACTCCAACACTCTCTAATCTACAATATAATGCAATATGGGAAATACTAGCAGTGCACCGAAGATCTCGTCTCAGGATCGGTCAGTTTAATGTCTTTTACCCTGATAATTCCACTCGGGGTGCGCAGATCACAACGGAGAGGGACCCCTCACGAGACCCCTCTTATACATATTACCCCATGATTCGAAGACAGATGATGACTGACCCGGGCAATTCAGGGCGATCCTTGATCTAAAGAACCAGCGCGATAAATTAAAGCAATACCGAAAGCGCATCACCGTTCTCACCGACCGCGAGACCGAAATCGCCAAAGAATGCCTGGCGCAGAATGATCGGCGACGAGCACTTCTCGCGTTGAGGCGCAAGAAATACCAAGAGTCACTATTGGATAAGACTGATGGCCAGCTCGCGCAGTTGGAGCAATTAGCCAGTCAGGTAGAGTTTTCGCTTGTACAGAAGGATGTCTTGTTTGGCTTGCAGCAGGGTACCGAGGTCCTTCAAGCGATCAATAAGGAGATGGGTGGGATTGAAGGCGTCGAAAGACTTATGGGAGAGACGGAGGAAGCACGCGCTTATCAGGAGGTAAGAATATATTGTCCTGTTTATGCATGTCTTTGGCTGATGCAGGTTCAACTCTAGGAGATAAGCCGGATGCTCGAGGGCAATCTTACAAACCAGGACGAAGACGAGGTCGAAGAAGAATTGGAGGCCTTGCAGCGCGAGACCCAGCCCAAAGTTGTACCCAAGCTGCCGAACGCCCCGAACAACGCCTTGCCTACTCCGGAAGAGGCAGAGGAGGGACCAGCGGAACCAACCAAGTCCAAAGCGAAGACCCGGATGCCCGCGCTGGCTGCATGATATTCTTTACTTAGCTCGGATTGATCATTTTTGTGACCTTGATCAGATCATTGCGTGGCGTTGGTGGCTTTGTTTGAATGGTTCTTTTATTTGTTCATCATTCATGATAATTGGCATGTAGACATCGTTAATGCACCCAACTGAGGTTTTCCTTTACAATAGAAATTGACCTTATTCACCCACCAAGCCCGCCTGCTCTTCATAGACCAAACCCGAAGCTCACTGGCCAGGCATGACCCGGCCCCCAACATCATTGACACCGGGAATAGCAACGTGATCATTGGGATTGGCCGCCGCTTCATACAAGAAATTAATAGGCTCTCGGCTTAATGCCAGGAACTGGCCCTTGAACCCAATGTATCCTACCTTGGTGACATCCTCTTCCCCGTCACTCCAATTGTCCTCGAAGAAAAGTGTAACAGACGTGGTAGCATTCCAGTGGGCGCGATTTAGAGGAAGTTCAAAGACATCGGCACCGGGTTGTGGCTGTGGGACTTCAATTGTTTGTGTTGGGGAAAGCTCGGACGCCATGGAGAAGTCGAGGTCATCGCGGTTTTTGAATAGTTTAACGGTCTTCGGAGCGGAGGATGTGGGGGCAGTGTAGATAAGGAGAGAGTGCACTTTGACTTGACCAGTGAACCTGGTAGTAACCAAGATTAGCTTTTGCTTTTTCTTTTCCGATCATGTCTCGGCGATCATGAGGGGTACAGCGGGGTTCTTAAATTCCAGAAAACTTCAACACGCAACAAGAGCTCAAAATGGGAATGGAAATTTGTGTCAGATGAAGGCAGAAGGAACATACGGAATGTACATGAGCAGCTGCTCATCAGCATCGCTCTCGAGCTCGGGCTCGTCATTCAGTCGCTCTGCCCAGGTCTTTTGGACGATCGCGGCTCCGGCCTTGGGTGCGGCTTCTGATGACAAGTCAGTCACAGTAATGGTATCAAATTGCCACGTAGCATATCTGAAAAACTTGCCATTCAGGGTGTTGATAGAATCAAAGTTGATTTGGGAATAGAGAAGAGATTGAAGAGCCGGGGTGATGTCATTCGAGTGATCGTGTTCTCCAGAACAGTGCCCACCATGGCCATGACCATGGTCATGATGATGACCAGACATGATGTGTGGTTAGATGTGCTGTGAAGTGAGATGGGAAAAGAGAGAGGCTCAAAACCGCAAAGATGATGCTGGAAAGCGGAGCTTCTCCGCATCCCGTGACGTCGATCAACAATAAGCTTAATGGGATGAATGAAGTGAAGAATAAGCATAATTGATGGACATCAATGATAAATTATTAATTATAGTCCCTTTATTGGAAAGGAAGTCTGGTTACGTCAAGTTTGGCCTCAAGTTTGTATTATTCGTAAAATTGAACGCCTGGGTATATTCAAATGTTTGACTCCCCCATGAATCGCATAGTCTAGTTCTTCCTGTAGTATCGCATAGTCTAGTTCACCCTGTAGTATTCTGGTGCATATTCCAAGAGATAGCTTTTCTCAATCTTTGTGATGTCACGAATGTAGGTTTTGTCGCCAGTTTGCATAATTTCATGGAAGATGACCCAATCTGCTTTTCGATTCTACATGGCAAAGTCAGTAAAAAGACATAAACAAATCGACAGACGTGATACTCACAAACATCAAGGAACTAGGGTGTGCGTGTAGAGTCAGACCCCCACTGACGGTCTTGAAGGTGCCATCTGGCTGCATCTTCGCAGCATGAGCAAAGTAGCCAGTGGTGAGACATCGCTGAATCTGCTCCGGCTGTCTGCGTGGATCGACGGTTTGTTGGTGAGACGATAGAGTCTCGTCAACCTTGATGCCGAAACGTTCCAGGTACCGTTTCAACTGGCCGCGAACACTGACTGCCCGTAATAAAGCACGGTAGTTCAACAAGTTGTCACGACACCACTTTGAATCCTTTTTGCCCTTCGTGACAAATGCCTGGTACACGTTCAGGTAGGTGAGGTGATCACCTTCTTCAACGGCGAATTTGCGTCGGTGACTGTCTGCAGCCTTCTTATTGTCACTGTGTTGAACCCAGACAGTCCCTTGAAGACTGACCATGGCTGCAATTGAAAGAATCTCACTCAAACATTTGAATGCAGGAGCAGCCAACAAAACCTTGGCCATCATTGGATCTACTGCAAGCTCTGCCATCCGCATACCTAGCGGTTTGGTGAGTTTGGCATAGTCATCCACTGCACCAAGGGAATACAAGAGCTCAAAGGCGCGGATCACAAGCTCTGCAGGTGGTGATGTCAAAAAGTCGAACCGAACAATGTTATCGATGCCCAATGCTTTCAACTGCATGACGATAGGAGCAAGATTTGCTCGCTGAATCTCAGGAACGGTCGCTTCTGGAAGCTGCTCGTAAGTCGACTGCGTGTAAAGACGAAAACATTTGCCAGGTCTTGTTCTTCCAGCTCGACCAGCCCGTTGAGTAGCGGAGGCCTTGGAAATTGACACCGCTGTCAAAGTTTCGATCCCAGTGCTGGGATTATAAGCACGGAGTTTGGCGAAACCACAGTCAATGACATACACAATTCCCTCAATTGTGACCGAGGCCTCTGCAATATTGGTTGACACAATGACTTTTCGTGTGTTTTCCGGAGCCGGTTCGAAGACGTACATTTGCTGGTCCGTAGTAAGGCCAGCATACAACGGCAATGAGAGCAAAGAAGGGGATTTTGGGTGAAGAGATGCAGCTCGTTCAGATATCAGTTGGATTGCGCGGTCGATCTCTTCCCTGCCTGTCAAGAATACAAGCACATCGCCTTCTGCTTCTTGTGTGTGAATATCGAAGACGGTTTTGACCGCTCTCTCAACATAGTCTTCCGCAGGGGATTCAAGGAATAATTTATCCACAGAATACATTCTCCCTTCTATGCTTATGATTCTCCCTATTTTCCCGCCAAGGTCGGCTGGCTCTGCCTCGGGTTGATACTCGTCCCCAGCAAAGAATCTAAGAAAGTCCTCTGCTTGCAGCGTCGCACTACTTATAATAATACGGAGCTCAGGACGTTTCTTCATGATCTTTTTCAGAATGCCGAGGAGGACGTCGGTGCTCAGGGACCTCTCGTGAGCCTCATCAACCATAATCACAGAGTAGCGGGATAATAGAGGATCAACCAATGCTTCTCTGAGCAACATTCCATCTGTGAGGAATTTCACCCTGGTTGTAGCAGAGGTCAAATCCTCAAATCGGATTGAGTAGCCTACCTCTTCTCCCACCTTGCAGCGCATCTCCTCTGCAACTCGCGTGGCAACGGTAGTAGCGGCCACCCGTCGAGGCTGTGGAAACTCAGCAACACTTCATTCAAAAATTCGGAGCTCCAACATACCTGAGTTACAGCAATGACCTTTCCATCTTCACACCAGCCTGCTTGATCGAGATATTGGGGAAGTTGAGTTGTTTTCCCGCTTCCGGTTTGACCAACCACTATGGTGACCGGGTATGTCTCAACCAGGTACAGGAGGCTTGCTCTGTGTCGTGCAATAGGCAAAAGTGCTGCTGGCTTATACAATGCCGGAATGAAGGAGGTCGAGAAATCCTGATCCGAAGCCATGGCTTTTCTTTATGTGCAGACGAAGATCAAATGTATACTTGATTTATGCTTCAGTCTCTAGGTCATATGCAATCCATGTGAACAAGAAAAGCAGCATTCTGGGAGGTTTATGACCTTGACAACTGAGACTTCATGGTGAGAATGGTAGTGATTGGCGATGTACAAGGGAAAGAATCCATGCGACTATAAAAGCTCCCGCGACAATCACGTGCACCACGTCACTTGTTTAGAGCTTCCCCAATTTATGTGCTGCCTGCGCCTTGTCCTTCTGTGCTTCCTACAGGCAACACTTTTCTTTTCCTCCAGTCTGTAATCGCCCAGTTTCATCTTTCCATCCGAATATACAGATACCACCCAGAATGTCTGAAGAGGAGAAGACTGTATGTGGCCATTCTGACCTGCAGCCTTGAACCGGAAGCTTACTTGAATTCGCAGTCCACTCCCAGCAAACCCGCGGCTGTGCCTGCACTCAACAGCCCCCGGGCCGAGTCGCCTACCACTGCGCGACCGCTTGACTTTGATGATGAGCCTCAGGAGTCTGGTGTGACTACGGTCAACAACCCCCCTTCTCAACAGACCGCTACTGAAACTCTCCCCGCTGCCCCGCCGAAGCCGCCCCGGCCGATGAGCCCGAAACAACATGCAGAGAACACGCTCAAGGAAGCTTTCCCGACAATCGAAGCCAATGTGGTCAGGGCTGTTTTGACTGCGAGCAATTGGAATGTCGAACGAGCATTCAATGCGCTTCTTGGTTCGTAGGGGATCTCATGGGGTGAATAACAGTAAACTGAACTAGACAGGCATGACGGATCCCACTGCGCAGGAGGATATGGCTCCTCCCCCGAAGCCCCCTCGCCCTACCGCCACCTCTACTGGCCGAAGCCAATTAGAAGCCGACGAACAGTATGCACGCCAACTAGCCGATCATTATAACTCCGGACGTCGGAGACAGGATCCGGGATGGCAAAATGACCCCCGGTATCACCAACCACGAGGAAGTGAGGACTCGGAAGAGAAGGAATACAGCTTTTTTGATGGTAATACCCCTTGGTCGGGTTCCGTTTATACAAGGGCTGACTGGGACGATTCGCAGATGACTTGCCGGTGATTCGTGATAATCTGCGCAAGGGTTTCTTGGAAACACAGTCGAAGGTCAATTCATGGGTTACAAGCTTCAAGAAGAGACTTGACGGAGATGATTTGGACGAGGAACCCAGCCAGTCTCGGGAGCAGCCTGCGCCGTATGGGCGTCCGCGACGGAGTGGTGACATGGCCCGTCGCAGTGGAGATCGAGAGCGTTATGATGCAGACCCCCAGCTGTTCGGGGATGACTTCTCGGCTCTCGAGCTAAGAGATTCGGACGGTTTGTACCCTTAATTTGGGCAGTGTTTCTTCGGTTCTAATATCTTGTCAGCTCCCCCGCCTCGTCCGCCCCGCCCTGTGGGCAATCCGAACCTCAAGAAAACATCATCACCATCACCTGATCGTCGCAAGGTGTCTTTCCAGGATGGACCACCTGCCGAGATTGACACTGGACGCAATACCCAGAGCGGTAGCAAGTCCAGCAAGTGGCAGCCTTTGGCGACCGTTGACCCTTCACCAGTGGCAGAGAATGATCCATTCAGCCTCGGAGATAGCGACGATGAGAAGGAAACAAAGCCCAAAGAACAGACCACCGTACCGGAGAGTGAACAGCTCAAGCAGGCCACAGCTGAGGCAATGTCCGGTGAGATGGACTCCAAGGATAAGAACAGCAAGACGGAGGAATCGAAGTAGTCGTCCCCCATCTATTACTGCTTTTGAATATTGCCCACACTGGCCCTGATTTTATTTTCATTACTTGCGAGTTCCTGAGCCATTCTTGACATCCATTCTGCGCATCGCATCCGACAGACTCGAGTTACTACCACCTCGGAAGAGATTACAAGTTCTAGCTTTATGATAACGAGACAGTAGCCTTAATGGCATTTAATCAATTCTGAGTTTTGATCTCCATTATTTGGACAACATGAAACAAAAGGGTATCTTTCAGGTCAGGTCAAGTATACCATTCAACGCCGTAAACCAAGGCCAAACAATTATTCCAGAACATTGTTGTCCTTAGACAACAAAAGCTGAACAGTGCCAGTCGTACAAAGCAAACCCAGAGCGCTACTGGCCGCGATTGACAGTCGCCGACTCCTTGCGCAGGTCCTTCACCACAGCCTACAAGGAAAAAGTTAGGATGATACACTAATCATTAATCTGCAATTCTCGGATTGAGGTGTCGTACCGCAAGAGCATCAGGATTGACGCCATTCTCAATCAGGGAGACGCATAGAGATAGTTCCGTGCGAGTTAAGTTGGTGTTCTAGAGTTTATTAGTTACTATTCACATGTCTCCAAAGCCAGCAATGATGGAGTAACCCCAGTGCGGTGGACTAGGCTACTCACCAAGATCTTGGAGATATCCTCTAAAATATCAATCACATCGCGCGCAGCTTGGCGCTTATTATCAGCGTCTGTTGGCATCTTGTTTTTATCGCGCTTGCACGCCTCTGGAGACGCGAAGGGGTTGATGTTGATACCGGGAAGTGCTTTGTAGGTTTCCAGGTTTTGGTGGGGATTTTGGACGGAAGTCCGCCAGGCTGAACATCAATCGGCATAGGAACATCATGGATCAACCAAGTCTCTCCCTGTGTAAACACGACGAACACCATCGCAAATGATGTCGATGTAATGGGTTACCACAGGCATTTTAGGGCAGTTTCTCTGTCGGGGGGAGGAGTTTGGAATCTTCGTTGTGTTTTAGTAGAGTTCATTAAGGCGCCCAGGAAACCGGATGTTGAGGCAGCTGGGTTATTTGTGAATGCGTGCATAATGGGGGGACTTAGGGGAGGATGAGCAGGAACACCCGACTAGAGTGGTTATTGAGCGCTTTTAGATAAACAGACATAGATACATAGGCACATAGTGCTTTGGGATGAAAAGTTCGAAGGCAACAATGGTATAGTTCAAGCCAAAAATGTTTACCTGACGATATCTGGTGCTTTTAGGATCGAGGTCTTCTTTGAAGAATCACTGACGAAGTAAGCTTATGCTGTAGTGGATAGAGCTTCTGCTCTTTCCTACCTTTATTCTACTTATTTTCTTTCATAGCGACAGAATCGATTCTTCGCACGATAGGGACTAATGTTCTGCCTGAGGCACCAGCGGTGGGCCAAACAAATCCTGCATCACCACCATGAGTGGCACGTTCACTGCGCCTCTATCAAGCCTGGGAATTTATTCTCTAAATATCACCGTCACGTTAAATTTCTGGCTGCGGCGCGTCTGACACCGTTCCAATCAAAGCTTTGACATGTTGGAATGAGCTGAGATCTTAACGGCGCGATCAAGAATGCCACCACCAATCACCCTATCGGACATTCATTCCTTGAAGAGGAACGAAGCACTAGAGATTCTTGCCCAGATAACACGCATCGAAAAAAAGACATTCCCAACCAATGAGGCGTTCGGCTTTGGAGAGGAGCTGTGGAGAAAGAAGCCCAACACGCGAGTCCTGTATGCGACCCAAACCAGGGAGGGCACTCGGCCGGAGCTCATCGCCTATGCGGTGTACGTGCGCCAAAAGGGTGTCGCTCTCCTTCACAAGGTCTGTGTGATAGAAGCTTGCCGGCGCCAGGGTGTCGGCCAGCAACTTATGTCCTACATTCAGGAACGCCTACGGAAGGAGGGCTGCCAGTACATCCAGCTGTGGGTAGACAAGGCCAGGGAGCCTGCCCGGGCACTGTATAGTAGATGTGGATTCAAGGAGCAGGAGGAGATCCCTGACTATTACGCCCCTGGACGGACAGGTATTCGACTGGTCCTGGACTTGGAACGTGATGGATGAAAGCCACCTGCAGCTATCCGAAGTTCGGCAGCACATCCTGGGGCTTCTATCTTGAGCGGACGTTCGATTCCTTGCCTTTTCGGCCCTTTGGAAATGTGACGAGGGGTAAGAAATCATGGGAGTGGTTGGGCCCTGCGCGCCTTGGTTGGTGAATGAGCCATCCCTTGCAGCTTGAAACGTGAGCCCCGAGCCCGACGCGCTTCCCCCATTCCCGGCTGTCACTCTGCACTCTGCTGCATACTTCGGTGACGTCGAGCATATCCAGGTATGGCTTTTATTGAAGGGCACGCCTTGAATGGCCCCCTCTCAGTCCCTTTGGCACGAGAGGGAGTTGGTATCCTTCCGAGAGATCATGTAGGCGTTTTCTCTCATCTTCGGCTACTATCTCCTTTCACATCCTCCGTACTACCTATTTGCTACCTGAGTGCTTCTTTCGCTGTGTAGATGGTGAATTTTGTCCTTGATCGTGCTCGCTGTGTATCTCAAGTCTATTCATAGTCCCCCGGCTTGCTTCGGGCATCTCGACCGGGCATGACACCTTTCTTCATCATCGTCCTGGCCTTTTTGGCGGCAGTAAATGCCATCGCACCTACTGCTAACTATCCCATCAATGCCCAGTTGCCTCCAGTCGCGCGAGTCTCGCAACCATTTCGCTGGGTGTTCGCCAGCAGCACTTTCGCCAACTCAGACTCGGACACCAAATATTCGCTTTCGGACGCTCCATCATGGCTTTCAGTGGAAAATGGCAGTCGCATACTCTCTGGCACACCAGGATCGGATGACACGGGAGCAAAGGAATTCAAGCTGGTTGCCTCGAATGGAGCAGAGTCCGATAGCATGGACGTCACCCTTATTGTAACCGCAGATGAAGGTCCAACCAAAGGCACGCCTCTCCTCCAACAATTAGAGCCTCTCGGCCCTGTTTCATATCCAGCAACACTTTTCATACACCCTGGTCGCCCATTCGCTATCGAGTTCGATCCGTCCACGTTCCACAATACGCACCCTTCCACAATATACTATGGAACGTCGCCAAACAACGCCCCATTGCCATCATGGATCTCCTTTGATGCTGAATCCCTCAAATTTGTCGGCAACACCCCCGCCTTTCCAGGTGCCGAACCTGAAACTTTCACTTTCCAGCTCATTGCTTCCGATGTGGTTGGCTATAGCGCCGCGAACCAGACGTTCCAGCTTGTGATCGGTCCTCATATACTTGCATTCAACGAAACTGCCCAGGTTTTCAACCTCACCAGAGGCGAACAATTTACCACCCCCGATTTCCAAAATCTGCTTTCGGTGGATGGCTCGCCAATCTCTAGCAAGGATCTGGCCAATGTCAGCGCCGATCTACCTGATTGGTTGTCAATGGACAACAATTCGATTGCCCTGAGCGGAACGCCCCCAAAGGATGCCGTCAATCAAAACATCACTATCACAGTCACCGATGCCTACTCAGATCAGGCGGCGATCATGGTGCGGTTGGACTTTTTGAAGCTTCTTCTTGATACTGTTGATGGCTGTGAAGCAACTATCGGTGAAGACTTCACATTTGTGTTCAACCAGTCGACCATCACTGACGATTCTGTGGAACTTGATGTTGATCTCCCCGATGAATTATCGTCATGGCTCACATATTTCCCCGATAACAAAACGCTTTACGGCCATGTCCCATCAGATGCCAAACCGCAAAAGTTCAGCATGGCTTTAAAGGCCCACCAGGGAGATACTAAAGATGCGCAAGATTTTGAGCTTGATATCCTCGAGCCAGCAGATACTCATTCGAGCTCCGGGGATCCATTTTCAGATCAGTCCACTCCCTCTCACCAGAAGGCCGGAGTGATCGCCATATCTGTGGTTATTCCCGTTGTGGTGGTCATGAGCCTGGCTATCCTCTTCTGTTGTTGGCGTCGCCGAAGAACATCACCCAAGATGGAGGAAGAAGAAGATGGCCAATTTCCAGCCAAGCCACCCCCGCCACGACCTGTAAGGCCTGACATGCCCAATTGTCAGCCCGGAGCTGTCGAAAGAGTTTCGCAAGATGAGTCTGATGGTTGGAGGAGTACACTCTCCCCTGCCTCTGATCTTCCCAAATTGGAACTTGGACCTGCGTGGAACGTGACATCATTTGATAAACCCGAAGACTCAATGGATGCTATTCCTACACCTAACCCGCCCCCTCGCTCTCCAAAACGGAGCGCCTTTGTTCCCCTCCGAGATTCGATCATTGAAGAAGACAAGTCAATTTCTGAGTCTCCCACCAGGAAACAAAACAAGCGCATGTCATTTACGAAAAGCCCTCCTGTGCGTCGTCGCCGATCAACAAACCGCTCGCGCCGTGAGCCGCTGAAGGCTATTCAGCCCCGAGCCATGAAGCGCGAGTCTATGCAGTCATCTCGTTCCAAACGATACTCCAAGAGGTCAAGTGGGATCTCATCTGTTGCCTCCGGATTACCGGTACGATTCAGCGGCGCTGGTCATGGTGCTGGAGGATTTGGCCCTCCAGGACATGGTCTTGTGCACATGTCATGGCAGGGAACAAGGGCCTCCTTGATGAGTGACGAGAGCAGCATGATGAACATGGCACCACTATTCCCCCGCCCCCCTGCCGCCGCTCGAGTGAGAAACAGCATAGCATCGAGTATCCCAGAGAACTACAATTACAACTACAAAAGAGTTACCCTGCGCGCAGTGGAGCCTGATGAATCAACCATCTCGGAAGCAGATTCTTTGGAAGCATTCGTACACAGCCGGGCAAAGAACCGCAACTCCGCCAACCCGTTATTTTCCGCCCAGATCAGTCGTCGCACATCATCCGGTCTACGCGCGCTAGAGCGAGCCCGCAGCATCCGAAGTCGAGCAGACACCGTCTCCGTATCAACGTTCACCGATGAATTCCGACAATCCATTCGCGAACGACCACAGTCGACTGCACTCTCTGTTTCCGAATACGGCGACGAGAACCGCATTTCACAGTACCAACCCCTCCAGCCTCCACACACCCTGTTCCCATTGGCTGAAGGAGGTGGCAAGAGTCAGAGCCAGCTTAGCCTGGCGCAAGATTACCGGGGTGTCATATCACCACTTCCACGATTCTGGAGCGAAACCAGTTTGAGTAGTCGGCGTCGAGAGTCTGCCCACCTCAAGCCTACAGCTCATCCCGAAGGACAATCCGCCATGCCGTTCAGTTCCTCTATAGCCTCTGACCTTGAAGAACACTTGTCTCGGAAGGCAAGCCCACATAAGTCCTCCAATAATCCTTTTTTGAAACCGCACTTGGATCCATCACCGCCGATTCGCGACTTGAGTAGTCGCGGGCTTCCTGTTGCCAGTAGCGGTGAACTAGCATTTGTTTGATTTGGTTTGATTGACAACGCTTTGGGGATTTTTGCTTGTAGCAGGGATGTTTTTATAATTGGAGTTTTTGGGCATGGCGAAACATGATATCCAATCGGGTTCTGATGATTGAGCTTTTTAGTTAGTGAATAAAGTATCATTTTCTTTTGATTGGGATTCACTGGTATGGATTTCCGGGCTGTCTTTACCTAGAGTTCCACTTGGAAAAGTTTTCTTCCTCTTCACCTATTTCGAGCCTCGGTCATCTAGCCAAAAGGTGCGAAGGTGGAGTTCTTAAAGCTAACTATTGGATACTGGCCCCCCAGTAGCCCCTTTTGAGTTGCTGATCATCCATACTAGACACGCGCAGAAGAAGATCTATGGATACTGAATACTTCATGTCCACTTAATGCGTCTTATCATGACCATTATCTTCCTAGCCAACATTTTGAATTTGATCATGTCGCTGCGATTGGAGATGCACCTTATGTACTAAATTTTTCCAGCTTCCTGTGGTTAAATCAACATTCAAGCTAGTTCCCTATAGTCATGGTCAGAATTATACGGACACTCGACATCCCGTGTGGGCCTCTTCTCTTAGACATGTCTCAACCCACTCAAGATCCGCAACGGCAAACGCCCTATTCAGATCATTCTGGGGTCACCAAGACCTCCTTTTCAACTAAGTCCAAGACATTATAGAGTGGGCATGTTTCAGAAGATCTGCCCCAACAAGCCGTATGCTCTTTGACCGACGGAAAAGCCCGATTACTGGCATCCGAAACAGTATTCCTTTATTTTTAGGCACGTTTCGACGTAGCTATTAAAGCATGTTAGTATCCTGGTGCTACGGAGATCATTCAAAAAAGCCTCAATTCAATCAAGTCTACCCTCCCAAAACCAAGCTCCAAAATGGTCCGCGTCAACATCTTCTTCGCCGTCCTGGCCTTGGCCACTGGTGCCCTGGCCAAGACCAACGCCGAGTGCCAGACTCAGTACAACACATGTCGTATCGCTGCTGACGCCAACATGTCCACTTGTGTCTCCGACCACCTCAGCTGCTGCGCGACAGCTTACGACGACTGCCGCACCGCTCCCGAAGCCAACATGGCTCAGTGTGCTGCTGATAATGCTGCCTGCAAGGGCCAGTCTTAAATGGAGGATTGGATAGCTCGTCTTTTGGTTTTTTTTTTTTCGATTATTGCTTGTTGCATTCAATTCCCTCGAAACATGCAATGTACGCTTTATCCGATTTGATGCTTATCGGTTGATTGGCACGATGAATTTGTCTATGATATTTGAATGGCGAATTTCGTTTGTTCTATCATTCACACAGTTGGAAAAGATCTATGGGCTTGGCAGAGGCTATCTGGTTGCATGTGGTTATGTGGGCATTCTCTTTTTTAAAAGCAATACTGTATCTAGACTCCAGTCACAGAAATAAAATAATGTTTTGCTACCAGTAATTCAGATGCAGGTGCCTCAAAATGCAACAATAGAAAAGCTTCCCGTCGGAAGATCAGGGGTATGTATGCCCTGCATACATGTACCAGTTGCTACCCAAGTTGTGCAAGTGAAAACAAATAGCAGACATGTAATCAATGAATTTCACAGGAGAAATAAACAAGATTATTAGTAGATATGCAGTATATACACGAATATGCCACGAGAGGCTTCCAACCCGTTTTTGCTATGAATTGAAGGAAATACCCAAATTTGAGCTTAAATTCCCGAGTCATCCTCCTTCACACTGCGCAGGGTCTGATAAGAGTCCCAGCTATCGCAATTCTTCTTCAAATCGGCATAATTGATCAATTTCCTGATCTCATCATACCGCTCAACGAACTGAATCGCAAAGCCCTCCTCAGTATGCCACCCAATATGGCAATGCATCAACCATGCACCGGGGTTATCAGTCTTGAACGCAATAACCAGATGTCCATCTGCCGGCAACATAGCCGTATCCCGCTTCGGGGGACTCGCCAAAGAAGTAACTTCACCATCATATGTTCCGGTGCCTTGCGCCATAACGTAGAAATCGTGACCGTGTAGATGAATGGGGTGTGGGACTGAGAGACTGGTTTCAATAACGACGTACACCCATTCGTTTTTGCGGGGGAGCTCGATGACTCCGCTGCTGTTTGCCCAGGAGTGGTGGTCGCGGTAGACTTCGAGGAGGGTCGGGTCTGTCCAGTCGACGTGCATGGATGTGGAGTTGAGTTTCCAGCGGTAGAGATTTCCGCCATTTTTGGCTAGGGAGACGGGCTCGGATTCGTTGTAGTAGGGTGTTGTTGAGATGGTTTCGGAGATTATGGGGGTGAGGTCGGACATTGCTTCGTCGTCGCAGCTGTCTGTGTAGTCGTATTCTGTTGTTGTTGGTGTGGAGGGTGAGTCTCCGTAGTACACAATTCCTTTAATGTTTTGGGGGGAGAGGTTCTCGGAACAGGCTGTTTGGGGGATTGCACGGAGCCAGAAGTTTTTGGCTACGGAGGCTTGATTGGCTGTTACGATCACGTCGTAGCGTTGGCCTGGGAGAGTCAGTAGCTGGTTTGTGGGTGGAATTGTGTGATCTTACCCATTCCGATGTTGAGAACATTGGTCTCGTAGGGGGTGATTGGGACGAGATCGTTGGCGATCACCGTCATGGTGTGGTTGTCGATCATGAATTTGAAGTGGGTGTCACAGGCTGCGTTCACAAGGCGAAGTCGGTAGGAAGTTCCCTCTGTGAAAGAAGTGTTGAACCGGGTTCCGGTCTGGTTGGCATATCCGTCTGACCCGAAGACATTTGTGCCGTTGATGAGGGCATTGTCGAATGTTGGAGGACCGTCCACCTGGGCTGTGCCAAACAGTTCATCAACGGTGTTGATATCCCAGTCGTTCATTATGATCACTCCCTTATCTTCATCATAGTTAGAGCTGGCAGGGCCCTGAATCACAATTCCTCCAAAGAGTCCCTCCCAGGCCTGCAGACCGATATGAGAGTGATACCATGTCGTGCCGTACTGCATAGCCCGCCACCTGTAGGTGATGGTCTTGTTGGGAGCAGTAGGGCACTGAGTGATCGAGACGACACCGTCATTTTGGTTTGTGTACAGTTGTCGAATTCCGTGGAAGTGAATGCTCGTACCGTTGTCCACGTCAGCAGGTAGACTGTTGGTCAAGTGTACCACAACCCAGTCACCCCAGTTCGCCTCAATAGTCGGTCCAGGAATAGAGCCATTGATGGCTAGTCCCATGCGGGAGCGTCCATCGGGAGACACTGTCACTTTTTCCAGATTGAAATAGTATTCACGAGTGACATTGGTTTCGGGCACGACTGTTGTGTAGTCGGTGTTTATATCATATTGACACCACTCATTGCGAGTACTAGCAGTATTTCCACTGCAAGCGGATGAAGCAGAAAGAGATCGGGATGTCAAACTTGACCGACGATGAAGACTTGCTGCAGACACTACTGTAGCAATAGCCCCAAAGAGCGAAACAACAGAGTTGAGTCTCATTCTGCGACACACTCCCAGTCAGGAAAAATAATAATATAGAATAAAGTAACGAATGGCACGTCGGTTATATCGACGAAGCGAGAGAAGCGAAATTTAATAGGTAACGAAAGCCATCAAAAAGGATTTGGGAAAACGATTGATTTAAGAGTGATAGGGTGAACTAAATAACAGGCGCACTTGCCGTGCATTGGTTCATAAAAATCCAAGGCATAGTTGATATCAGCCTTGGAAGGCTGCAAGTTGTGATGCACCGAGCCCCATTGCGTTCAAAGCAGTGTCAGAAGTGGGTTATACTGTCGAGTTACGCGGCCATAGCGCTCCACTTTAGAAGTCTGTTTCCTTGGCAAGCGTAGCATTACTAACATCAAGGCATTCACAGGTGGAGGAACAGGTGGAGGAAATCGCAGTATATGGAACCAATATGGCATGAAATGGCCAATCGTTCCGAGCTCCGAGTATTGACCTGATTTTGATGTTAGCCCTACACTGCCTGAAGGAGAAGCAAACGCGCGGTGGAGAGTATAGCTGTCGGTTCATTGTAGTATGCACATGTATATTTCCGTAAGAGACCACGCGAGTTGAGTTGTACTGCATATGAACCCGGATCGGGCCTTGGATTGTTTCAAAATTCAAGGTTCAAAAAGCCCCAAGATGTATGCCGAATGCCGAACGCGTAGCCCCAGAGCGCAAAACTCGATTGGTATACCTCACCAAAGATCCACTCATCGTCATACCTCCACGCAAGCCATCGTAAATCATAGCAAACCATCTCTCCCTAGCATCCCCAACCAGTGATGATCAGCAATCTAGTGGGGGTATCACATTAGTTTGTACGATCGCTATTTTTATACAATAATAATCCATAATGTTCGAACCAAGGGATGGTAACTGGTGGGGTTGGCTTCCCGCATGGAGCCGCGTAAGTAGGAAAGTCAATTCGGAGAAACCAAGAAATGTAATTGTACGCGCATGTTCTTCACCTGTCTTAAGGTCGCTTTCATAAAATTTACCTTCTATCCATTCGTTTCACTGATTTCACCAAACACAATGCGCGCAGCATCAATTCTTTCGTTCCTCACCTTGGGCGCCTTGGCCTCGGCCTCGGCGTTAGCAGTTGAATCTCGGTCTTCACCTTCTGAGGCATATTGTCTGTATGGTTATGGTGAGGGAGTTGGTGGATTGACACTGTACTATAGCGAAGGTAAGCTACAAAGGAATCAAGAGGAGCTGGGCCCTTAACTAATTCGAACCGAGCAGGTAATGCAGTCATTGGCAAAAAAGCGCCTCCAAATGCCACTGAAGTATCCTGTAAGTCAGCAAGCCCCTTTCATCATCACATCGGATATTTATATGGTTCTCATGCAGTCACCCCTTCCTCTGGGGGTTCCATTGTCGGAAACCCACGCAACGGCACCTCAAAGTCATTCTCGGACCAGGAACTCTTTATTCCCACAAGCTCGAGCAATCACCAGATTGGCTTTACCAGCAATTCAACTGGGAATAGTCACCAGGTGACCAACAAGTTTGTTTGGTATGGTCATTTCCTCTTGGTTGAGACTGAGACCGGCGAGTACACGTCGCTGTTCTATGCCAAAAAGACGGAATATGAAGATCTGTATTTCCTGCAGTGGAATGTCACGGATGAGGACGATGGAGATTTTATTTCGTTATCAATGAGATCGATTGCGCCGTCAAATGCGTGATTCCTCGCAAAAGTGTTCTGTACCTGGTTGTCCGATCATACATGTACTTATAGATATTAGTAAATTCAAATGGTGAAGCCTTTTGGAGTGAGTTGAGAATTTCTAACCTGCAAAGAATGTCTCTGTGCAGCAAGCGCCTCGCTCCATCCTTTTGCTGGCTAACCGGCTGTCATAATGGATCGTACAACAAACAAGGGCAATAATGGCCAAAGTTCCATGAGCATGAAGGTAGGAGAAGTAGGCTATCCAGTACTCAGTCAATGGTGAAGGTTACAGGCAAAAGTACCAAACAAAAAGTGTTTTCACCTTCTTCTTCAACTTTGATCTTTTCGCATTAAGCCCAGCTGACTCATATTCTAGAGTACTAGTTACATGACAATATTGGTCATCCTGGATTTATGATGTTTGTCTATCCCGGTATAAGCCGCAACATTTTATCGTATGCCGCGCAAACCGCAAACCCATCGAATCATATCGACTATTTGGCGAATCTTGTCCAAAATTATTTTTTTCCATTGCCCCCTTCTTTGTTTTTTTTCGGAATCCACGGTTAACTCAGAATCCCAGATGCACGGTCTGGGCTACGATTTTTCCCGTTTCACGAAATAGATCTATCAGCTAGGCTATTAGACCGCCATTCTGACGCCCAACTAGATCATGGCAAACTCAAGAATCTCCTATCTGCGACGAAAATGATTGGACCCGGCGGTATGGATTTAAATTCCACCAGCTATTCGTGCGTTGAATGGACAGACTGCCACTGGATCATTGTCGCTTTCCCGATGCACTAGAATGCGGAGTCAACGCCACAGAACGCATGCATTGCAAGGGAACTGACGTATCAAGATACTAAAATTTTGACTGGAGCGGAAGAATAACCGACCGAGACTAACTATGTGAAGATAGTTGCATATTCGAGTTTCCACCGGCTCCACTCCCCGAGACCCAACAGTTCGGGTCCTTTGACATGTTGATCAACGGCCGACTTGATAGCTCTGCAATGCACCAATACTGGACAACCACGTTCTATGCGGCTGCATCGGAATATCTGTCGGTAAAGTTAGTTGCGAAGATCGATGCCATATTTCAGGCGATGAACTTTTGGAGATCGTCTCCACTCTGCATATCACTAGCTAGATTTTCCGATTGAAACAAAGAAACTCGACCGTGGTGATGACTGAATTGGGGATCGTACATGAACAGGCGATGAACACGGCTCGGTGTTTTTGACGCTAGACCTGGAGATCTCGTGAACGATGTAAATAGTCGGTCTATCGCGGACAGTTGTTTCCCAAGGCAGTTAAGTCTCGGGCAGAACCAACCTGAAAACTGGTCATTGAATCGATACGATGTGGAAATTGCTAAGTAGGTGGCCATTTTGAGCATACTTTCACATCACTACGGCTAGTCTAACAGGGGGTTATTGAGCAATTGGTGTACCCAGGCTCATTGGTGGCGGCATCCGATTCTTTGTTTCCACAATGCTACTCAGCCCCTGTCAGTATTTGTCTCCGATGAAATTCAGCTCATCACACCAGAATGCCCGATTTGAGGATCTCGAAAACGTGTCATTATAATATCCAAAGTGACTAGGAGTGTCTGAGCAAAGAATACACGTTCATCTGGTGCATGGCCAGAGATATCTGTCTAGTTGACCAATTAGCATGGGGAACAAGAATCCAGGAGCAAAGACACATTGCGGTCCAAGCCTCAAGCCAATGCATGTCTGAAAAATAGATATCGTCCTTTCCAAGGGGGCAAATGGAAGATCTGGATTGACAGAACTCCACAGACATGGGTATCGTATCGGATGTCATGATCCGGTCGATTTTGTTGGCTTGACCTCATGGCCCGGAGACATCTACAACCCTACCAATGGCGTCCATTGAATCCAGATCATTCCAATATAGCTTTCTCATGACTGCTTTCATCCTAGATCAGACTACTGGCTTTCCGGCTTTGTCTACATTCATGCCTTCTTATCAATTCCTTTTTTCACATATAATGCAACATCCCTTCCGCAATCCTCTTTCTCATCAATTCCTTTCTCATGAGCTAATATCTTCATAACTGAAAAATCCCGGCTTTGATCTTTATTCCTCCACTATTCTATTCATATTGTTTGTTCCTTTGTTCCCCTGCATATATCCAGAAGATGCGGCCCCTGAGAGTTGTCACTGGCAATGGAGGTGTATCCCCAGATGCGGTAGAGCCTATTGCCGTGATTGGTCTCGCTACTCGGTTTCCTCAAGAGGCTACTACCACCGAAAGTCTATGGGAGCTTCTGCTACAGGCCCGGTCAACCTGGTCACATATTCCGAAAGAAAGATTCAATGCGGAAGCATTTTATCATCCCGATCCAGACCATGGAGGAACAGTGGGTCCAATTCCCGATGCTATATACATCTGCTTCGATCATGCTAACCATGTTATGCTAGTTTCATGTGCAAGGAGGTCACTTCCTCTCTGAAAATCCTGCAAATTTTGACGGGTCATTTTTTAATGTGACCAAAAATGAACTTCTGACTTTGGACCCCCAGCAGCGGCTGGTCCTGGAAAATGTCTACCATGCATTGGAAAACTCCGGCATTCCAATGGCCACCGTTGCTGGCTCCAATACATCGGTGTTTGTCAGCGGGTTTAACCATGATTACTTGGGAATCCTTAATTCCGATCCAGAGACTGCACTTAAGTACAAGCCCACGGGTGTTGTCAATGCAGTCCTGTCCAACAGAGTTAGCTGGTTCTTTGATTTCAAGGGTCCTAGCATGACCATTGATACTGCTTGTTCCAGTAGCTTGGTAGCGCTGCATCTGGCTGTGCAGAGCCTACGGTCCCGAGAAACGAATATGGTAAGTCCTTATCTATGACGTGAATGGGGAGGGAAAGCTAATTCGCTCTTCATTCCAAGGCTCTGGTTAGTGGGGTGAGTATCCTGGAGAATCCTGTGGAGACAGTCGGGATGAGCCACCACGGTCTACTCGGAACTCAAGGCCGGTGCTTTAGCTTTGACTCCCGTGCGGAGGGCTATGCCCGTGGGGAAGGAGTGGGTACAGTGGTTCTGAAGCCTCTAAGCACCGCTATACGAGACGGTGATACAATCCGTGCCGTGATCCGTGAAACTGGTGTTAACCAGGATGGCCGGACGTCAGGACTCACCGTCCCCAGTGCGGAGGCCCAGGAAAGACTCATCCGGGAGGTGTACTGGAGAGCTGGCCTAGATCTGGAACAAACTAGATTTGTCGAGGCCCATGGGACTGGAACTAGCATCGGGGATCCGATTGAGGCCGGGGCACTCGCAAGGGCGTTCAAGTGTCGACGAGAGACACCCCTCTACATTGGAACCATCAAGTCCACCATCGGGCATCTGGAAGGAGGTTCCGGCGTGGCCAGTCTGATTAAATCCATTCTTATCCTCGAGTCGGGTATCATTCCACCCAATTTCGATATCCAGGAGATTAATGCCATAATTCCTGCCGCCGAATGGAATATTGCATTTCCCGGGGACATTACTCCATGGCCCTCACGGGGTCTCCGCAGGGTATCGGTTAACTCCTTCGGAATTGGAGGAACCAATGCCCACTGCGTCCTTGACGACGCTTACCACTATCTCCAAAGTCGCCGCCTTGAAGCTACGCATCGAACGGAAGCGGCAGTTCCAAAGACCCTCCAACTGGGAGGTCGGACTTTGCTCATACCCCGAGGGCCAGGTACGGAGTCCGATAGGAATCCCAATTCAGATGAGAATGATGGCGGTGTTGATTCGATTGGTGCACCGGAAACCCCAGCAACGGATGTTTCCTTCTCATCCACAGAGCTGGGCCCACTGAAGCCATACCCTGCTCCCACAGACGTGCCCAGGATATTCTTACTTTCCGCATTCGATGAAGGTGGCGTTAAGCGGGCTGCGGCTACTCATTCTCACTACTTATCTGAGAAGAATGATCGGTCCGGTGACATTGAGAACCTCTTGCATGATCTTTCATTTACACTCACCAAGCGGCGCTCGGTGTTTCCATGGAAGAGCTTTGTCTCGGCATCCACGGTCAAAGAGCTGTCATGGAATCTCGCGGAGGACAACTTCTCAAAGCCAGTTCGATCACTGGGTCTGCCGGGAATTCAATTCATGTTTACCGGGCAAGGCGCACAGTATCAGGCCATGGGTAAAGCGCTTTTAGTTTATCCGGTGTTCCAGAAGTCTCTTGAAGAGGCGACCGAATACATTCGGCGCTTAGGAAGCCCGTGGTCACTTATCGGTACGATTATTGCTATATGAAGTTCAAAATTCTTGTACTGACTTTTCTATATAGATGAGCTTTTCGCTGAGGGGGATATGTCTAGTGTCAGCTCTCCGGAAATTGCCCACCCATTGTGTACTTCGCTTCAGGTGGCACTTGTGGACCTCTTGGCAAGCTGGGAGATATTCCCAACTGCTGTGACGGGCCACTCATCTGGAGAGATAGCTGCCGCTTACAACGCTGGAAAGATATCCCGAGAAGGAGCCTGGAAAGCCGCCTACTACCGGGGCTATGTTTCATCAAAGCAACTGGCTGCCAACGGTGCGATGATGGCTGTAGGCTTGAGTGCTTCAAAACTCGAATCATATCTTGACTGGATCCACGAAGAGCATCATGGCGAATTGATTATCGCCTGCTATAACAGTCCGAAGAACAACACTGTCTCCGGCGATAATGAGCTGGTCGATTGCCTTAAACAGCGACTGGACACTGAAGGTATTTTTGCACGGAAACTCACTGTGCAAAATGCCTACCATTCCGCTCACATGAGATGCATCGCTGACGAGTATCTACAATTGATGGGGGACTTGTCTTCGGGACGGAGACTAGCTGTGCCACATCTGGTTCGGATGTTTTCCACCGTAACTGGCGAGGAGGTTCCATCGGAGAATCTAACAGGGCAATATTGGGTCGACAACATGGTATCCCCGGTTCGGTTTACCACTGGCTTGAAGGCAATGAGCTCTCGAGCGCTGGAAAAATCCTTGGAATCGGATGACCCCGGTGTACTTCCTTTCTTTGTAGAGATTGGGCCTCATTCAACTCTGCGGAGCGCCATCAAGGAGACAATGGCCTGCGATGGCCATACGAGCTTCAAATATTTCTCCGTTCTCAAACGCAGTGATCCAAGTCTGAATGCTCTTCTTAGCACAGTCGGGATTTTGGCTGCCAACGGCTATCCCTTAGATCTACACAAAGTTAACCTTGCATCGTGCATATGCTCTGATAGACCACCGAAGTTGCTCGTCGATTTGCCACCCTACAGCTTCAAACACACCGAGAAGATTCTGTATGAGAGTCGGCTCAGCAGAAATCTTCGCACGAGAAAGTTCCCGCGTCATGATCTTTTCGGTGCCCCTGCTTCTGATTGGGATTCCAATGCTCCTAGATGGAGACATTTTATCAGATTGAATGAGAACCCTTGGCTAAGAGACCATGTGGTATGTACTTCCTCGTGATTTATCGACACGATCTAACAATTTCAGGTGACGGGAAACGTTATTTACCCTGGCGTGGGTTACTTGATCATGGCCATTGAAGCATCACGGCAGTTGGCCGGAGACAAAAAGGTCTCTGGATTCCAACTGCGAAGAGTGTCTATCAAACGAGCCTTGGTAGTTCCAGACACCAAAGAAGGCATCGAGATTAGCCTCCAAATGACCACTGCAGACGGACCATCTGATTTACGGACTTGGCGTCGGTTCCAAATCAGCTCTTTCAATGAGTCAAGTGACGAATGGACCGAGCATTGCACTGGCCACATAGCTGTGGAATACAAATCATCCATCAATCCAATTAACGATGACCGCCAAGAAAATGCGGAAGATCAAACTTGGGAAAAGGAATTGGAAACTTCTCAAAATCTTTGTACAAATTCCGTCAACTTCGCAAACACGTATGACAATCTTGGCAAAATCGGACTCGAGTTTGGATCATTGTTCCGGAACCTCCATAGCGTGAAAAGCAGTGGATGTCGACTTGGATTTATGACTGGTGTAGTCACAGTCCCCGAAATTGCTCAGTCGATGCCAAAGCAGTATATGCACTCCCATCTGATTCACCCAGCCACCATGGATAGCATGATCCACATGATGATTGCTGCTGGTATTGATTTAAGCGGCGGGCCAGACCTGGAACGAGTCAAGTTGCCAACATATATCCGAGATATGTGGGTTTCATCCGATTTGAGTGCATCGCCATCTCATGAGTTTGTGGGACATGCATCAGTAACCATTGACCAATCTGATAAGCTTCACGGTCAGATTCGAATAATCGGTGCTGCGGGCCAGCTTCAAATTCGAATGGATGGCATTGAGCTCACGTCCCTCGAGTCTACCTCCGTTGAGATTGACGAGCGGAAACTGTGCACTGCTATTGATTGGAAGCCAGATGTGTATCTGCTCGGCTCCGCTGCTGCAAATGAGCTCAGTTCAATTCCCAATGTTGATCATGAGGAAGATTTATATTGGGTAAAGCGTCTGCAGATTGCCACTATGCTTTATGTCACTGATGCATTGGTTGACCTCCGTGACCTTGATATCACGAATCTCGATTGGCACTTCACAAGATTCCATGATTGGATGATCCACTGGCAGAGCTTACTTTTGAACGATGGAATCATTCATCTTCCATATTCCGAATTCCAAAAAGCATCTCTGGATCCCACTTTGAAGCAGTCTATATACAGTGAGATAGAAAGCCACAGCGCTGAAGGTGCCATCACAGCCCGGATGGGCCGCAATATTGCCGCAGTCATTCGGAAAGAGGTTGACCCGTTGACTTTGATGTTTGGTCAAGACAACGTGATGGAGCAGGTATATAAAGAGGGCCTCCATCTTTATAATCTTCCAATGCACCTGAAGAGTCATTTGAATCTTCTTCGTCACCAGCATTCGGGGTTGCATATTTTGGAAATCGGTGGTGGTACTGGAAGCTTAACGGCGGAGATCCTTAGGGTGCTCGCACCAGCGAACAATCCCAAGAGAGCAAACATATCGAGCTACACCTTCACCGATATCTCTCCTGGATTCTTTGAAAAGGCGAAGCGCAGATTCCAGGCTTGGGGTGATATCATGTCATTCCAAACACTCAACGCTGAGAAAAGCCCTCTGGACCAGGGATTTGAAGAAGGCTCTTACGATTTGATCGTTGCTGGAAACGTCATCCACGCCACAAAGAATCTGCATGTCGCATTGAAAAACATTAGATTCCTCCTTCGGCCTGGTGGTCAGCTTATCATGCAAGAGGGAATCCGACAGGACTTCCTATGGTACCCTCTTGTCTTCGGTCAGCTTCCTGGGTGGTGGCTTGGCGACGAGCCCATCCGAAAATGGTGCCCATATATCCCAGCGTCTGCGTGGAATAAGCTACTCACAGAATCTGGATTTTCCGGCGTGGACATTGAGTACCCCAGCTCCACCAATAAAGATTTGAGTTGGCAGAGCATTTTGGTATCTGCAGCTCACTTGGTCGGAACGCAGCGTCCGCCAAACGTTTTTATCCTTACATCGGGGCTTGCGGGAGATGATCCTATTGTTTCTCAGCTGCAGCTTATGCTGACCAGCACCTTCCCCAATGTTGTTTTGGTACAGCCATCACAACTGCATTCGGTGTCTGGGCCAGATACGCTTTGCATCTCTTTGGTTGATTTGTATGAATCATTCCTTTCGCAGCTTACCGAGGTTGAGTATAACGCGATGAGAAAGCTGTTGACGGAGTGTGAAAATATTCTGTGGGTCATTCCCGATCCGTCTGAAAAGCCATTGTCAAATACGAGTTTGGGTCTCCTGCGGACAGTTCGTTGGGAACGGAATCCGGATGGCTCTAACATTGTCACATTGGCGGTTTCTGGTGATCCTTCTGATAATTTGGCGAAATGCATTCATCAGATTGCTGTTCATCAATTCCTGGAACAAAACTCGCGCGAAAAACATGCAGAGTACTTTCTGCGGAACAAAACCATTCATGTTGGTCGCCTTCGTGAGTGGAATGGAGCTGACGAATTCCTCGCTCTTCCTTCACATGGCCCCAGTCCTAAGCCAACTCAGCTAAGTGACGTGGCTCGGCCGATTGAGTTGAATTTTCCAACATTAGAATCGGGAACACGGCAATTGTGCTGGGCTACAGACTATCAGCATGCGCAGGATCTTGAGCCATCCAAAATAGAAGTGGAAATCCGTGCCATTGGTCTCAACTCAGAACCCAGCTCTAGACTGAAGTCAAACGAAGCTTCTGGAGTCGTGAAAAGAGTCGGTATAGCAGTAGACGATTTTGTCTCTGGTCATAACGTTGTTTTCACAACGTCAGGGAAAAGTTCCCATTGTTTCCGGACTTTGGCACAGGTTGACCGGTCACGAGTGATAAAAATACCAGAGAATATCCCACTCGAGGTCGCCGCTGGGCTGCCATCAATCTACTCGACAGCGATTTACGGGCTTACGGATGTAGCTAATCTGCGTGGAAATGGGACTCTTCTCATTCACAATGGTGCCACCGGTCTTGGTCAGGCGGTTATCCAATACGCACGTTTCCTTGGAGCCGTCATTTATATCACGGTGCCAACGGCCGAAGATCGAGAATTCCTCGTGTCGGAGTACGGAATTTCAGCAGATCATATATTCTCCAACAAAGACCTGAGTTTTGTCAGGAATGTGATGCGGTATACGAATGGCGTTGGAGTTGATGTCGTATTCAACTTAATGACAGGCGAGGCTTTGCAAGAGTCCTTGTCTTGCATTGCTCCCTTTGGCCATTTCATCCATGTTCCGAGCAAGACTACTCGTGTTGATGCAATGCTCGACCTTACCGCGACGCAGAAGTGTGTGACAGTAGCTACAGTCGATATTGAGCTATTGATGCAAGTTCGTCCAGAGCTCATCAGTCGGCTGATTGGTGATACGCTGAAGTTATATGCAGACAGCAAGATTAGTCAGGTCCGACCTTTCATTGTCGTGAATTTCACACAGATTACAGATGGTGTTCAAGCACAGGAGAATAAGAGAACAGGAAAGATTGTCTTTGTTCCTGATGTTTCAGACACTATCCCAGTTCTTCCTGATATTGTCACACCGTACCAATTTGATGATCAGGCCTCATATGTTCTCGCAGGCGGACTTGGAGGGTTGGGAAGAAGTCTGGCTCTCTGGATGGCTTCGCGTGGTGCGAAACATCTCATATTCTTGTCAAGATCAGGACACATCACAGATCCTGTGAAAGAGATGATTGATAATCTTCGAAGACTTGGATGTCAATCTCACATCTTTACCTGTGATGTCGCCGATGCGGAGCGCCTGCGAAATGTCATTCAAGAATGCTCCGCATCTTTGCCGCCCATCAAGGGATGCATTCAGGGCTCAATGGTGCTGCGGGTAAGTCTATTCACATGGGTTACATGTTTGTATTCTGTTAAGTAACATAAATTAGGATGGTGCCTTTGCCGGAATGTCTTTTGAGGATTGGCAGACAGCGATCCGCCCGAAGGTCCAGGGTTCATGGAATCTACATGAGAGTTTGCCAGTCGACCTTGACTTTTTCGTCATGCTCTCATCAGTGGCGGGCATCTTTGGTAATCGCGGTCAGGCAAACTATGCTGCTGGCAACACCTTCCAAGATGCACTAGCCGCCTACCGCACTGCCCGGGGAATGAATGCATCCAGCATCAACCTCGGTAGCGTATCTAGCGTCGGCTGGGTAGCAGAGAATCGAGAATCGATGAAGACCCATATTGACACACTGTTCGAATTTCTGCAAGAAGAAGAGGTACACCGAACAGTCGAGTTCCTGATTGACCATCGGTACAAGAAGGAAGTTGCTTCCGACCTTTCTCCATCTCAGCTGGTTCTTGGGCTTCCAACAGCAGAAATGTGTCGCAAGAACAACATCGCAACACCCTCATACATTGAATTTTCTCTTTTCACTCATCTTCGCACAGCTCATCTGACGAAGAACTTAGAAGTAGGTGATGAGAAGAGTGTCAGCATTGCCACTCTCCTTTCTGCCGCGTCCAATGCCAGTGAAGCTGTGACTGTGATTTCCAACGGAATTGTTGAAAGGCTTGCTTCTTTACTTGCAATTCCATCATCTGAGATTGATGCTCAGCGGTTCAGTTTCACTGGGATTGACTCGCTTGCTTCGATGGAGTTTGTTTCTTGGATCGTCAAGAATCTTAAGGCTGAGATTTCTTTGTTGGATGTCATGGGAGCGCGGAATATATATGCGTTAAGTGAGAAGATTGGAAAGACGACACGACTTACGACCTATTCACAGTGACGATTTTCTTTTCTTTTTCTGTTGTTCATCTAGCCAAATTGCTTCCAAGTTCCTTTCTCTATCTCGAGGTTTTATGATTTTCAGTATTTGATTTCTGCCATTTTTACGAGCTAAGTGCTTCATTATGAGATTTATTTTGAATTAAAGCCGAACATACAAATTAAAATAATCTATCGCTTGTATCAATTGATCTGTCGGTCTTATACCTCCAAAGTGGGTCTACACGTGACCAAACTTGACCGATGCGGCAGAACCCCACCGCCCAGATAACAATTTTCGTTATCGCGGATTTTCTTTGAACTTCAAGCTCTTGCAGTCTCAATTCCCTACATATACGACTAACCCGCCAAGATGGTTCGTCAACTCAAGCATCACGAGAAAAAGTGAGTTTCGCCACCACCATGTTCCAACCTTGTGAAAGGACTCTGACCAAGTCAACAGGCTGCTCCGGAAGGTCGACTTCCACACCTACAAATCCGATGGCAATCACCGCGAACATGAGATCCGCCAACGGTACCTCCTCCAAGACCCGATGGACTACAAGAAATACAACTCCCTCTGCGGATCTATGCGATCTCTTGCCCACAGACTCTCCCAGCTGGACCCGGAAAGTGACCCTGTGCGCAAGAAGCTGGAGTCGGAATTGCTGGACAAGTTGTGGCGCATGGGTATCTTGAAGCAGTCTCGCGAGCAGGGTGCGAGTTTGTCCCGTGTGGAGCGGGAAGTTACCGTTTCGGCATTCTGCCGGCGGCGGTTGGCAGTTCTGATGGTTCGGTCTGGAATGGTCGAGACTATCAAAGCTGTAAGTGCCTGTGTGGTTGGAATAGATGTAGAATTTATACTGACTGGATTGCAGGCTACCACTTTCATTGAACAAGGTCAGGTTCGTGTGGGTACCGAAGTCGTCAATGATCCGGCCTACCTGGTTACTCGCAACGTGGAGGACTTTGTTACTTGGGTCGACTCTAGCAAGATCAAGCGTAACATCATGCGCTACCGTGAGAAGCTTGATGACTTTGATCTTCTGTAATGATCTGCGAGAAGGCTTGTCCGGAAAAGCATTTTGGGGTCTTGTTTTGATATACCCGGCGCTTTTTGCATTGTTTCTTATCGGCCTGGCGTCCCGAGGAATTATGATTTTTGAATGTTAAAAACTTGGAAGAATTGAATTGAAGCACTTGACATTAATTACATTATGGACTGGTTGGAGTGGTATGAACATTTGGTAGAAAGCATGTGATTAAGCTTTGACTCGACCATCAAAATGTCGCAGTAAATGTCGCAGTGACATACTGACTAGACCCCATTTAGCATCATGTTTTGCTACTATTCCCGAATAGAGATGGCAGTGAACTCCAATTATTCTATCGAATTAGGTGATTGAATGCACATTTCAGGAATTAAAAATCGCAGCCAAAGAATGTATAGGTTATTTCCACAGCAGATCTACTGCCCTTTGATAATCGCATCAGAAATCTTCTCTGCAAGCATATCTGGATAGAAATTAGTAAATTTCATCAAAGTAACCGCAGAGCACTTACAAACAGTAGATTGAGGATGACCTGGCGGGAGGAAAGGGAAAGCGCTAGCATCAACCACTCGAAGCCCATTCACCCCAAACACTCGTGCCTGCGAGTCAACAACCGCCAACTCATCCTCAGAGGTACCCATCTTGCAAGTACAAGCGGCATGCCACAAGGTCATGATATTGTTCTTGACAAACTCTAAGATCTCCGCATCGGATTGCACTTGAGTGCCGGGGAAATACTCATCGCCAATAATCACCGGTGCCATCGCCTTGCTTTGGAAAGCCTCTCGCATCCTCTTGAACATGGCAATAGCGACATCCTGATCGGCGGTGTCACCCAGCCAATTGGGGTTGATTATTGGCAAGTCAGACGTATCATCGGATTTGAGCGTGACATTTCCCCTGGACGAGGGCGCAATCAAGACGCCTAACATTGAAGCATACTCGTATCCGTCCTTTGGCTGATTCTCGAGGAGGTTCGAAACGTTTCCAATATAGCCCGCGCCGGAAATGTACTAAACACGCTCGTGTCAGTAACATATTGTTTTTTCATAGTGTTCACCTCACGTACCTCAGCTTCTGGCCAATCGCTTGGGAATTTACTCAACGCCTTCTGTGTACTTTGCGACCAAGCAGAGCGGAGACGGTTGGGGATCTTCTCCCAGGCCAGATATTCCGCAATGGGGTTCGTCAGCTGTCCGTTCTTCGCAATTACGCCATCAAGGAGTTGTCCCGCTGCGTAGACCAGGTTTGTTGCGAATTTTGTCAAAGTTGGGACCTGCACCCGGTATGATGGCGCCATGAACGGATGATCCCACATGTTTTGTCCAACGCCGGGCCGATCCGCGATGACCATAATTCCATGCTCTTGCAAGATAGCAGAAGGTCCGACACCGGAGACCATGAGGAGTTGCGGGGATTGGAAAACACCGGCGGAGACGATGACCTCTTTCGATGCTGAAAGTGTGACATCTAATCCAAGTGCTCCTTTGACTAGAACTCCAGTGGCCGTTCGGTTTGAGTTGAAAACAACCTTCTTCGCGAGGGTATCGGTATAGGTTGTCAACGTCGAGGGATGGAGCGTGGAGAGAAAGGAAGCTTCGGAGCTACTGCGGAGCTCTGTGCTTGGATCGATGGTCGAGGTGCAGTACTGCGCTCCCATTAATGAGCCCAGGTTGAAATCCTGTGTTTCATTGATGCCAATGGCGTTCATTCCGAGTTCCATCCAGGAGGAGAATGGCTGTGCGTAATTGGCGTAGGACACTTGGAGAGGACCTCCATTGGAATCAAATGCCTCGGTTTTGTACTCGGGTGTGGCATTCTTCGCCCGTAAGTTCATGTTTGGTTCAGTAAATGTGGCGCTTTTCTTATAGTAAGGGAGGACCGCATCGAATTTGTAGCTGCTGTCATTAACGGCGGTCGCCCATTGTTCCATCGATTCAATCGTCGGGCTGTAGCATAACAATTAGATCCATCAAAAGTAGCAAAATTGTCCAGTCTTACCGTTGATAGATCATAAAATTCAAAGCGGATCTAGCTGGTTCAGCCCAATCTTCTTCCCAAATTCAATTGCAACTACTCACGATCCGCCTAGACATTTCCCTCGCGCGTAATGTATCGATCTTCCATTTGCTCCAGGCTGTCCGCTTGTTACAAATCCCCAATCCACAGCAGAACTAGTACTGGGATCAGATCCAACCGGCAGCACATCCGCAGCCGGGACTTCTGCCAGGGATTGAATTTCATAATAACCGCCAGCTTCTACTAATGCAACTTTGAATGACTGTTGCGCCAGGCGCGTTGCCACGACATTCCCACCAGTACCGCCGCCGACGACCACATAGTCGAATGAAGCATCAACCAAGGGGGCACCCCTTCGCGCAACAGGCACCGCTTGCCCGTACCCGGTCTGAAGAGCCAGGACCGCAAGAGAAGCAAACAACATTGTTTCTCTATACGGTATCATATATGGGTTGCTGTCAATCGGGAGAAATCTGTGTCATATTTATCGGAGGAAAAGAGGCCTTATATATGTCGTGGACTGTAACCCCCAAGTGGGTTAGAGTTAGTGTTAACAAGCCGAGAATCCGATAACCCGGATCATCGGGTGCATTCGTTCGACTCGTAATTTTTTTTTTCCAAAAAAGCAAAGAAACTTTCCTGTTTATTTGGCACTTCTGCAGGAATGATGCAATGCCACGACACTGGCGCGGGTGATGAGTTTGATGACCCGCTGATCGACAGGGCTAAATAACCAGCACTGTTTGCCAAAGACGATCTCAAACGCCCGTTCAGCGCAGGCTTGATTTTGCATCAGGAAACAGATCATTGCTCCGACCCAAAACTGGGTCTACTTTTATTTTGGTACAACTTCACGCGTTATTAAATGCATGTTTTTGAGTCGCATTTTGATATCAGGGTCGTGATAGCTCTTGACGGGGTGGAGATTTTACTTCCCGATCCACCCGTAATCTAGTCCACATCGTTTAGCCGGTTAAATCTCGCAAACCAAGATCAAGTGTCACGATGCAGCTGCCGCTTCGATCCACTGGGTGGGTCAAATCTGCTGTTTCTTGATATTTGGCAAATTAAGCCGATCAATCTCCACGTGAAGACATCGACGTCTCTTGTCAAGATCTTTATGAGGGGGTCTTTCTTCTTCTTGACTTTCTTTCTGCCTTGGGTTATTTGAAACACCTAGGCTTCAGGACCGTCATCCATGATTCAAGGGTGGAGAGATAGTCCTTGTCAAGGTCAGCAAGGGGATGTCATTCGCCAAGGGACCGGGTGGGTCGACGGAGGATATGCATTTACGTACAGGGAAATTTGTAGTTCCCTCAAGTAAAAGCAATCGCTAAAATGTTTTATTGAGATCTTGGAGCAACGTAATGCCATTGATAGTCCGATTCGTCGGACACTAATGCTGACCCTTTCAGAAGAGCGGCCCAGCTGGCAAAAGTGCTGCCGAAGCGCGTCCTGGCCCGACTTGGTGACGATTCTCTGACGGCTGGATACTGGCTTCGACTAGGAGAAGCTGGGTAGAAACAAAAGGCGAACGTGCTTGTATTCTGACCCCGGGCGTTTGGGTGAAAGAAGAGCGGGGGGAGAACTACGAATGTTGACTAGCAAGCCTTGAAGCAACCCTCCCATTCCAGAGCGGGCTGCACTCATAGTGAAGGATTCGAAAATTGATGTTGAATATGTTTGTCAATTATGCCGTCTCCCCTGACGATTCAAAGGTTTTTATGCGAAAAGCCGTTGCTCTCTGAAATAGATGAAAGCAAATTTGAAGTTCAGGTGATATTTCGACTCTTGGTATTGACACTCGTGAATACATGCAAGAGTGCCTAAAATATGTCCAATAGCAGTGGAATAATGGCCGTTAGCTGTAGTGTGAGCTGCGGCGTGCTCTTGTTGTGGATTTGGAGGTCTTCTATTCAAGTCAGAGGAATGACTTGGTTGTTCTTAGAAAATTCAGGCTACTGTATAGAACACAATGTTCAAATTGACTGCAAATAATAATGGACCTTTAAATACTTCATTTCCGATGATCCGGCTTATTTATGCTGTGGACCAGCCTCATATCACAACACATAAATGACTTGACCGAGGAAGACTGCATAGCAGATGGCTGTATTGGAGGTGAGGATCAAACTCGGTGCATTCTAGACAGAGAACACAACTAGTGAGATACCCTTGCCATCCACTAAAATTCGGGTGGTCTGCTGGCCGCAAATGAGACCAAGAATTGGCATGCGTTGGTGATAAAAAAATGGCCTCCCTCTAGCGGAGTGAGAACAAGAACTCTCCAGATTTCTTGTTGCCGCGAAGATATCCAAAGAAATCCAAATGTGCGAGAAATTCAGAGAGGTAAGTCTTATTAGTGTATGTGCATCGTGTCATCTTCCAGAAGATCATAATCCACGAACATTAACTTGTAGCCTATTTGATGGAGCCCCTTGGCACCTTGATCGACAAGCCAGGAATACGTGACGTCGGCAGCTGAAATAAAGTCAACTTGTTCCTCCAAATCGCCGCTGGGATGCTCTGATGCGAGGGACATATTCCTTGTTGACAGCATCATGCATACCATTAGTCTGTCATCGGGGTCTTCAAAATCGATTGTACTTCTGTCGAAGTTCTTTGGGGGGAGCACAATTGTCGAGCCTTCGTCGACATAGAGCCGGAATGGAACCTTTGTGGCATTAAGACAGGCAAGGAATTCATTCGCAACGTCTTCACGTAGATTTGTACGCCCACTGATTGTCAAGTTGTGCGTAGTATACGCTGCTTCGATGGATTGAATGCACAGACTCACTCCCGTGAGAAGAAATGGCCATTTTTGAAACTGCATGATGGCAAATAGCTCTGTGCTTTCCAAGAATTAGCTATCGTAAGGGTCCAGGCCGCATTTCAAAAAGGAATACGAACATGATCTTAAGTTTCTGCCATTTTGTGGACTGAAGGGTTGATGGTAAAGGCCAGTAGATATAGCCCAGACTTTCCCCACTAGTAGGTCCAGGCCGCGCGGCTCTCGTGAGTCACCTAACCAAGTGATTATTACTGCTGCGCTAAGGAGCTTAGCTGCATAGATAGAAGTAAAATAGTCAAGGTGACGCGTCATCAAGAGCCTCAAATACAAATCATAGTGGGTCCCTTGTAGTGAATCAATCCAATGAAACGGGACTCGATTTGTCTTTGCTTTCAGCCCCATCAGTTACGTTTTATTTTTAAGAGCTCACTGCAGAGACGGTTATCTACATGAATTTCAGAAACCTACATCCATGCGCTCTCCAGCATACGACCTGGATAGTTCTTCACTCGCCGCTGGGCTTTGAAGAGACGCGCTCTATCTTCGGGGCCCTTATACGGGAATGAAATGAAAACGCTGGTGAATAGAGCTGAACGGTTTGATGATTTCAACCTTTGCAGCAATTGGAGGTATCCGGTTCATAGGAGGAGGCCAGAAGCTGGTCTTCCATGTCTTAGAGGAAACAGTCTAGCTTTTTTTTTTCCAACCCAACTTTAAGAAACAGTTTCCTCCGTGCAAAGAGATCAATACTTCCATGCTTTTCAAACTCAGAAGTAGCAGGCTCATGCGATTCTCCGCTTCTCCGGGATCAGTTTTCCAGTAACTGCGCATTGTGCTCGTTTTCTGCCACATACAACATGTCCCTTCCGATGAGAACAGTAAACTGCCAACGCGCCGCTTTTAATGCTTCTCTGGCAATGTTTATAAATGTCAGGTCACTTCCCCTAACTTAGGTTAGTATTGAATGTTAACTTGAGTATCGGACGGATTTAGGGATCCCATGACCTAGATCATGATAAGAGATCCTGAACCCTGACAGATGACCTTGAAAGTATACCAATCGCGTCAAAGACCCTATCGCTATCAGCTGCTTATATATGAATCTCTAAACTGAACATACAGAGCAGCAGGGACGACAATTCAATAGACAGGAGTCCCGGGTGGTCCTGTGACCCACACCATGGCTGGATGCAGGGTGGCGCATACCCATCCGTCTATCGCGTGTGTATGTTCACCACCAAAAACCTCCGAATCGACAGGAACGACTTCAGCCATCTCCTTCTCAACAGAACCGTCTTCGCCCTCTGCATTCTTCTCATAGAGCTCTGCGTCAACAAGTCTTTTGTGGACTTTCGACATATCGGCGACAGTGCGTCAGCCTCGCTGCTCAGGGTTCATAAGTTGGTGCCTGATATTTTGGGCCTTCAATTGTTCTCTGTTCTTCACTGATGATGCCGATTAGACCATGGATTGTAGCGAGGGCTTTTGAAAATTTTAAATTTGGGATACAAATCCGATCGAAGGGATTTAAATTAGCCAAAGACAAAAGAAAGCCGATAGAACCACAAGAGTGTGAAGAAATCTGGCGGTTTCAAATGAAAGTTTTGTTCGATATGACCATATTCTGATATTCAAGAACATCCAAGAATGTGCAGGTACGTATAATCTCACTCAACTAAATACCATATATTCCTTCAATCTCAACTGACAACACCAGCACTGTGAATATTTACAGCACGACTAAAAATGGGTATCTCATTCTTGGGTAAGCGATGCAACATCGAAACAAAAGCACGGTATGGAACAAAGGCTACAGAGAGTGGCTCGAGACTTGACAGTACTCGAAAATTAACAAAGCCAGGGGAATCATAGGAGTCTGAAGGGTAATGCAGGGCTATGCAATGCAATGCAAAATGCAATGAAATCCAGTCATAGGGTCTGTTCGGTTCAGTCATCATATCATGGGTATTGACGCACCGCACCGGTGCGGGCGTGAGGATGGGCTGAACAATAAAAAATCAATGAAATGGGTAGGGAAGATCTCAGGTGGGAGATGTTTTGGATCGACGACCTGTCCAGAGGCGTCGATTGCCATGGGAGGATTGAGGAGGGCTTTGGTTGAAGAAATTCAGAGTTTGCATTTGGGGCTTGTCGTTCGTATCATCAGGGAGGTCCATTCGGAATCGACGGACGCTTCCTTCGCGGCTAGTCTTTCCTTCTTCGAAGAATAGGGTGCGGGAGTCGCGGTGGCACCAGCGAGGTGCGACACGACGCCAGAGACCTCGGACGCCACGGGTTGCGCGGTCGATTTGTTCATATTCGGCTCGTCGGGTTGAGTCCGAGGTCCACTCCATTACTGTCGCCGGGACGTTTATGGAGGAATCGGATGGACTGTGGCTGGATATACTGGGAAGCGTATTGGCTCGATCTCTAGATTGGAGAAAGTGTGGTGATGCCGTGGTTGAGCTTATAGAGCTGCGGTGGTCAGAGTCAAATCGGCGACTTGATGAAGATGATGCGATCGGCGATGGAGGTCCCGATGTACCTGTCTCTGAGGATGTGCGGCGTTCGCGTCGAGATGAGTACGTAATTGGTGCTGTTCGTAACTCCTCTGAAGCCCAGACTGAAGACTGTGGGTCTTGGAAGAGACGACAGGACTCCCGGTGTAGGGCTAATAGGGACTCCCGCTTCTCCTGTTGTGGGGTGCGAGCTGGGACCGAAACGATGCCTGCGTTGGTCACTGGTCGTCCTGGCGAGTGAAAAGAATTATGGCGACTGGGTGGTCTGGATCTACCAGTGCTTCGAGAAGCCGAACGAGAGTGGTGGCTGGAGTTGACTGCAGATGTTGACCGAGAGACAGATATAGTTCGAGGTCTTGGATTTGTTGGTGAATCTGGGGTCTTGGAAGACCTGGGCGGATCGATCCGTTTCACTCTATCCATATCCGGTGAAGGCCAGTCAACAGAGCATTTCTCAGTGATCTCAGTGATGGAAAGTTCAGATGGGAGTTTCGAGATGAGATCTAAGTTGAGGTGCGCGACTGCCATTTTGGGCGCCATGTGAATGCCACATGTGACGGACGCCATTCCAGTGACGATCCGATAACATTAAGTCGATCTCATGGTGAGGTTGACCCTTGAGAATGTATCAACCCAATGTCAATATAGAAAAGCAAAAAAAAAGGACGAAATGTATATACGCGAAAGAAAGTGGGTGCAAAATTGCAGCTTATTTACTTTGTTCATCCACACCGCTTCTTAATATTTTGGTCTTAGCGTGGAGGTAGACAAAGTGGGGTGGATGCATGGTTTTTTCTCTCTCTTAGCCACTTTTCTCCACTTAGCCGGCCCTTACAAGTTGCGCCTTGGTCTGGATCGTCATTTGACTGTCCATTGTCTAACCCCTGCAGGCAAATCTGCAAGGTCGAGTTTGATCGTGAAACTGGGCGCTTGTTGGGGCATTCCACATGGACACGGGTACACGGGTTGCCACAGCAAGCGCTGCAGTAAGACCTTAAGGAAAATTCAAACCTCAAAATCATTCGACCCTTTCTGTGTGCCTGACAGAGTCAAATGGTTAGACTTGCCTAGACCTGGTTAGTTGCATGTCGTAAGTAACTAGCCAATGTTAGCCCCGCTCTAGATTCCTTGGATTGCGCCCCCCCACCAAAAGGAGGGGGGAAGAAGTTACCGACTTGCCAAGTTATGACATTGTACTGGTTGAACTGGTGATAAAACCTTTATAGTTTTAACAGAATCCTGTTATTGGCACGATGATCCCCAAATATGATCATGGGTTCGATTCATATTATGGAAGGCACCTAGGGAGAAATTGGAGAATGCTCACCGTTTAGTCGCCTAGTTCGCAACTCGTGCATTAGCTCCAGTGGCACGGGACACACATGTGCAGGGACTGGACTATAATTCTAAGTTTGTCATTAATCTATCATCGTGGGTAGCAAGTGATCAATGATAGGTCTGTGGTGCGGGGATCAAGAAACTCAACACTCTCCACGGAGAAAGGCCTGTCCCCGGACCCACATGTTGCTCAATTTGTCATTCCCAACACGTACTTTTGTATAGGTGATTTGATCGTTCTCTTTATGAGCCAAATTGACAGGTAATGTAGAACTTTATTTCAAGGGTTATTGATCCTTGTGATTATACCATATTCAAAGTTATAGGTAGGTGCTCCCGGCCAGCCAGTGCAGTCTTCAAATGGCATACACGAAATCCATATTCTCCCTATCGGTCAAATCCAAAAAACCCTGGTTCTGCAATCGGACATAATCCGGTCGCGAGGTGATCTCGGCCTTCCGCCGATTCTCCTTAACGTACCACCAGTATACAAACAGCATGATACAAATCGACACGCCGAGGCAGACGATTATAGTAATTTCCGCGGGGATATAGCGAGGCGCATCCTTAGGGCGAAATGTTTGCGGGCCTGTTAGATTGGTTATTAGTATTCGGATGGATTTCCTCTGCCAAAGCCGATATTCGCTTACCGATAATGTTGCCAGCACAGTACCCGATCAGATACATTGCGGCGACAGTCGTCTTCTTTGTGTATCCTGCCACGTTGGACGAGATCATCGCCAGCAGGGCAACAAAAGCCGTGGGACTAGCTTGCGTCATGTAGTATCCAATCAAACGTCCAACATTATTGGATTCGGGCAAAGCCACAATGAGGATCATTCCGACGATCGCGCAGACAAGTCCTCCTACACTGCATAGAATGCGGTTGCCAGTCTTGTAGCCCATATATCCATTCAGCATGAGTGCGATGACCTCCACCGCGCCGCCGGGGACACCGAGAACCAGACTCTCCTGGCTGGAGTACCCGAAACTGGTAATCTAAGGAGCTGCATTAGCAAAGCCCTTGAAGAACAGGTAGGATTCACATACCAATTGACTGAAAAAGTTGGTGATACCCCCATTCGGGATATCTGCAATGAGCGCATAGAAAAAGAAAGCCCATGTCATCGGGTCCGCGAGTGCCTCTTTGAATTGATAAAACTTGAAATGCTTGTTTCCAATTCCCTGCTGGTTCGACTGCACTCGAGCGACTGCCAGGATGCGATCCTCCGGCTTCAGCCAGCGGGCATTCAGTTGGTTGTCGGGAACAATCCAGAGAAATACCAGTCCCAGTACAATAGTCAAGAGACCAGTGACTAGGAAGATGATCTTCCATGGCTCGATCGAGGACCCGTGTTTTGAAGTTCCAACTGCGATTCCATATGCGATGAACCCTCCTAGGATCTGGCCTACACCGTTAAAGCTAAACCAGATATTCACCCGGCTACCTTGTTCTTCTTTAGTGTACCACTAATCAAAACACAGTGGGTCAATTCTGGTCATTTATACCAATGGAAATATTCTCCAACTAACCTGGGACGTGAGCAATGCGAAGCCAGGCGTCACAGCGGCTTCGAAGACACCGAGGAAAAACCGAATAGCAATCGCACCCGAATAGTTGTCCACCGCAGCAAAGCAGCTCAAAATCAGTCCCCACATCAAAATGCAGCATGCAGAGTATTTTCCAAGGGGTAATCGCTGCAGCAGCCGGTTGGTTGGATACTCCCATGCGAGATAGCCTTAGCATGGTCAGTTGACTCGCCCCGAACGCAAGAGATTGGATCGAATTTACCAAAGTAAAACAGACTGGATAGCCATTGATAATCATCTCCGACTAGATCCAGGTCGGTCTTGATGCCCATAATACTTGCATAGGATAAGGTCGTTTCTGGTTATATTAGCAGCTGCAGGATGACGTAGAGAACATGTAGAACATACTGTCCAGGAAGTTCATCCCATAGATACAGCACATAATCGGCATCATGTGCCAGTCAATGATTCTCAACAGCCGACGATTCGTGGGCTCGTCTAGCTCGAGCGATTCGCCATGAAGCTCCTCAAGAGCCTTCATGGCCTCGTCGGCATCGTGGGCATGCGCCTCTAGTGTCGGGTCAACATGCCCCTTCATGTCAGCACTCTTTTCCACATCCACGGCCGAGGAAATGCCGATCGTCTTTGCTTCCTCCGCCATGGTCCAATATGTGGGGGTTGGTTGACGTGAAGGGTACGGGTATATATGTGGTGAGACGGAAAAGGATTCTTGGGAAGCAAGGGCTAAAAGAAGTCCACGTTTCCCCTCTCAACGGGGAAAGGAGAATGTAAATAAAGGTGCATCTCCGCATCCTCTAGTTACACAGTGACATAGGTACATCACTGTTATCTCTCAATTGCCAACCTTCCCTCCCTGCTTCCTCCTATCAAGTTGCGCCGCCTAGTGGGTCTCCCCGCGATAAGCACCCGACTATCTGGGGTTCAGCAGTCACCAAGATATTCATTGGTCATGTCAAGAGGGGAGTGAGGGGAGATCGGCAACCAGTGCCACAGAACAAATGAACAAAGTATTCCAGGCGATCGAATTTGAAAGTTTACTGAAATAATTCCCTGACAATGAGTGGATGGTTTGCCGAGCTCAGGAGCGATTACAGTCAAGATGAGGAGAGCCGAGACATGTATGACTGTTTTCACGGTGCCTAGATGTAGTTCCGAAACTCTGGTGTCGTGTTATCGACGCCAATAGATAGTTACGCGTTGCCGAGCCTTATCTGTGACTTATTTATCTATTTATCGTTGACATGCAATACAGTGGAGCCCGACGAACGAAGCCTTTGTCATTGCGTCAATAATTGCCAGTGCGGAATCTCTCCGAGGCGGAATCAGCGGAAGGTGTAAGCGCGATCGTATGCACTTGTCAAATCAGGGTTTATATTGTTCGCTTTATTGATATTTCATTGGCTGGCGCCCACACGGGCCAGATAGGCTTCCCATCCCTGCTGCTGGTATTGCTTGACAGCCTCAACTGGGTCTGGAGCAGCGTAGATTCCTCGTCCCGCGATGATAAAGTCTGCGCCGCGGCCAATAGCCGACTGCGGGGTCTGATACTGTTGTCCGAGCTTGTCACCCTTGGAAGAAAGGTTGACACCGGTGGTGAAGACAACAAAGTCCTCGTTATCGGCGGCGGTAACGGTGGACGGAACCTCGGTCAGCGCACGGGTCGACACAAATCCGAGCACGAAACTGGGGTACTTCCGCGCGTAGTCCACTGAGGCAGAGGTGTACTCCCCGGTGGCCAGGGAGCCCTTGGAGGTCATCTCAGCCAGGATCAAAAGACCGCGCTCAGAGCCGTGGGGGAAGTCCTCAGCCTGCGCTGTTTCGGCCAGAGCCTGGACGATGCCCTCACCTGGCAGGACGGCGCAGTTGATAATGTGTGCCCACTCGGAAATTTTGAGGGCGCCACCGTGGTACTGCTTCTGAACGGTGTTGCCGATGTCGATGAACTTGCGGTCCTCGAAGATGAGGAAGTTGTGCTTCTCGGCCAACGCATTCAGGCCGTTGATGGTCTCGGGGCCAAAGTCGGACAGGATGTCAATGTGGGTTTTGATCACGGCGATGTAGGGTCCAAGACCTGGAAATTCGACCCAAATTAGTGGGGTGGTTGTAGAGATTTTTTCGTTCTACTCACGGTCGGCCAGGTCCAGGAGTTCCTTGGTGGTGGTGACATCGGCGGACACAGTCACGTTGCTTTTCTTTGCTTCCGCAACTTCGAAGAGCTTCCGAGCCAGCGGATTGGGGTGGCTGGAGGCACGAGTGCCAAAGGGCAATTGCGACTTGGACGACATGGAGGGGTCGGCGGGGTATATAAAGTGGGAGTGGACAGAGAAAATTGAGAGGTGCAATTGATGTCACCTGTTATAGGAGTTCGTTTGTCTCGTGAAAATATGGGCTACCTCAATCAACCCGATATGAACAGAATCTCCAAGAATCTATCACGCTGTCGACCTCGTTGCGTCGTTACAATGACGGGAACTTTTCTGTGCGCCACAGTGGATAATTCAGCCACATTTGATGCTTACGTTATTGTGGCTAAGGAAGCAACGAAATCGAAAATTAACATTTTCTTCTGGAAACTATTATACAGTAAATTATCGCGTACTTAGAATGAGAGTAGATCTCGGCCAACACCGATCGCACTCAAACCCCAAAGAGCACCCTGTGCAAGCCAGAAGAAAGCGCCAATCATGCGACCCTTGCCTTGAGGCTTGCCAGAGTACACGTATCCGTAAAGGAAAAGGACACGGAAGAACACCCACAAAGAACCAATACCGGCAGCGAGCTCAGGGTACTTCAGTCCAGCAACAAGGGTGAAAAGCATAGTCTGTGACGAGTTCTCCAAGAAGTTGGCGTGAGCGCGCTGGGCGCAATTGAACTGCTCGGCCTTGGCCTGTGGAAAATCATGGTTAGCGGGTGGAGACGGTCGGGAGGGATTCGGGGATAACTCGTACATTTTCCTTGCACTGCTCCAAGGATGCGTAGCAGTGTGGGTATGGTACCTTGGCCTGTTTGCGGAATGAGCCAGTGACGTTACCGTGAATGAAGCCCAGGACAGGGATGGCGCCGAGGGCGACGCCAATGACGGCGCTGGTAGAAGTGTGAGCAGCCAGATCGGAATGGATTTCCAGGATAACTCACCCGTAATTGTCGGGAATAGTGATAGTAACCATTTTGGATGTCAATTATCTAGTGTATTGTAGTGTTTAGATTGAAGAATGGGGCTCCTTTATACCTTTGCGGGGATACCGGGAGTTGGCCATTTGGTCCCCGCCGGCACAATCAATCCATCCGCTCCGCGTACGGATTTCGGCTTTCGATCATTTGCCATTCGATTCGACGATGTTGATCCACAGAGATTGAAAATTTCTTTTTATAAGGATCTACTAATTATACGGTAAGTTGTAGCGCTTCGTACTCTGTAAGGTCTTGACTATCTTGCTTTGGCATAGTGATCTCTTGTTTATTTCCTCTTCCTCCACCCCCTTTCTCTATCTTGCACTCATCGTTGCCTCCTATTTTCCATTTCTGCTCCCGTTCATCTTTGCGTAGTCACTTGCAGGCCAATGCACTTGGCTATTACATCATGCAGTCACTATCAGGAGCAGAAAAATCTCAGTGGTCCAATTACAGTCGTACCATTCGTTGCGCGTAACCCTATCTTCACCCATCAAAGCCCTTGTGAATCTTATCACGAGACAGTCTACATAGCGCTTGGTCCGCGATGCATTCTGTTAAGTGATTCGATCCGTCTACAAGCATCCTTCGTCATTCAAACATCATCCATCAATATTCTCGACTCTTGATGGCCTTCTATATTTGCCTGGCCTAAAGTGACACGTATAGCTCCTAGCATTGTAGATCTACCCTTAGTTGGTAAGCGACGAAGTCAGTAAAGCATTTAGAAATGTCTAGCCGCTACGGGCCTATATCCTGATGCTTAACATGAAATGCTTCAATGAATCTCTACTGCTGAATGCGAGGTAGTTATTATTATACCCTACTCTAAAATCTATTGATATTGACCCTGAACAAATGTTTACATCACTTATTGACAGTCCGATTGGGGTCCAAATCCTAGTTCTGTAGGAAATGTCTAGGTCTAAGTGGAATAAAAATAAATCTAAATAAACATCTATAGGCGATAGCATATCAGAAAATCGTATTTCAATAGCGCAGTGTTCAAAACCCATTCTGTTGATTATTCTCTTCAAGCCATTTACTTAGGGCCAGTGTAAGAGCGGCATCGCGTTGAGCCTAAAGCGGCACTAGTCAGACTACTCTCGTGACTTTGACTTGACAACTAACGATTTAGTACTAGTGAGCGGTGGATGAAATGCTATAAAGTGAGGGGTGTCCTTTGCTGATTTTAAAAGCGCAAAAAAATTTCATTCTAAATTATCCCAAGTCCCGTACAAACTCACCTATAAGATGTCTACATCCACATCTGAGGATTCAGCATACATTCTCTACCACCGTTCTAAGCAAGCGGTCGAACATGAGCGATTAAATAGACAACATCGTCTGATCCAGCAGACTTTTATGGATAACCAGCTCATCCATCCATCCATCTCACTGGCCTCGTTACGGGGGGGCATTGCTGATGTTGGCTGCGGAACGGGGATCTGGCTTGAGGAAGTCGCCCACATGCTCTCGCATCCCAACCCCCAAGACGATTCTACTGGAAACTCGTGTTCCTCTTCAATTGGCCCCATGCCACAGCTCATCGGCTTTGACTTGAATGCGGCGGCATTTCCCGAAAGCCCCGCTGCGGGAATTCAACTTGTGCAGCACGACTGTACCCAACCATTTGACGCCCACTATGTCGGAAAGTTTGACCTGGTGAACATTCGTGGCCTTGCTTATGCAGTCACGGAGGAGAAACTTGGTCGAGTTTTGGAGAATGTATCACTGCTACTGAGTAAGATTCACCCTCCAGACTTTCAATCCTTGCCATGTGGCTTATTTTTGTCTTTCCTTCTAGAGCCAGGAGGCTACATGCAATGGACGGAGAGTGAAGCTCGGCTTTTTAAATTCTTCCCAGAGACACCGGACACACTGCGAGCAATGCAGATTATTGACGACGAGAGACGAGCTCGAGAGCTGGTAGCTTAGTGAGTAACCCCTCCCCCACCTGCAAATATTTGTTTTTACTTCCTGACAGCCACCTTTCGTGTTTGTTTTGTGTTTTTCTTTTGTCAATTAACCATGTTCTCCTATCAGTCTCCCACACTTCATGCTTCAACAAATTCTATCGCTCAAAGGGGGGAACGAGGAACAAGTGCTGAATATTCTTCATTTCAATCTACGTCCTGGAGGGTTCTGCCAGAGCAGTGCGGACCCAGAAGTCAGCCACCAATTTTCTGAAATTCTCACTGAGTCGATCAACCTTTTTCTCCAGTCTGCTCTAATGAGAAAAGAACAGCAATATGAAAGTCAGAAACATGATAAAGCCGAGTCCGATGAGAACAAAGCTCATGGCCAGGACGAGCTGGATCAACTAACAAAGGTGAAGGAATCTATTAGTGATACTATTGCAGCCGGAACAGTCAAAATGGGCGGGATCTTTCCCCATCTTGTTGCCCAGAAAAATGATTGTTAGAAGATGTTGTACAACAAGCCAGGATTTCTTTCCATTCTTATAAACGGGTCCAATTGCATAGGTTATTTAGACTCTAGATGTTGCATTTTCGAGCTTGAATCATGTGTCACTCCTTTATCCTTTAGTTGTCGTTTTTTGTCTGTTTCCCTTGATTAATATTTAAGGATTCTCAAAATCAATAGGGATCAAATACCTAAGGTGGTGTCTGTTGCTCGCGTGCACCCGGGAGACGCTCAATTCCATTTTCTGGTGTCGTGTAAAGTTGATGCTTACGAACCCACTCTTTTACTGCGCGGAAATCTCGACATTGATGGTGTCTGTGCCATATGAAAAAAAGGTTCGGCTTTTGTTAGTCTTCTGATACCGGAAGGTCTGGATACTGATTGGAAGGAAAGCACATACACATTGAAGTCTGGAAAGGGGTCTTTATGTCCTTTCACCCAGATGTATGTCAAAATTCCAGCGTCCGCATCACACATCAACTTAACAATAATCGTCAGTCAATCTAATTTGAGACATCACAAGGATATTTGTAAGTCACCTTTTGCCGCAGGATGTCAATGCAGTGGTCTTTATCCATCAATGTGTTAATTGGAGGTCCGGTGTCTCTTCATGCGCGTATGTCCATGATTTATCACTCACCGAGATGGAATCTCAAAATCTCTGGACTATCCTCCCAAGGGCCTGGCTTGTCCCGGTAATAGTCCTCATAGCTAGCTTGGCGAAGCATGTTCAGGCAATGAAGCTGATGGAGGACTTCAACAGAACCCATGTACCCGCCACCGATTTCTTCAGTTAGCTGGACCGAGTATTCTGATGCGTTGACATGCTGGAATGTGTGTTCATCAACATTGATGACGCCGCCTAAATTTCACGAATCAGCTCGAATTCTTCAGATACGGGACTGGGATCGAGTCTACCGTCAGCAAAAGTAATATCATCCCAAGCCTCATCAATCGCAGGGCTTGCTGGCCCCTTGTAACGATTTGGCGTAGCAAAGCTGCCATCAAACTGTTCAATATGACCTGTGCCCACCAGAGATTCCAAGGCTGGAGAGTAGATAGGGAGGTAGTCGTCGCATTGACTCATGTCGTGTGAGCTACGGTGATAAGTTGTAGCCCAAAGGTAGACAGAAGCCAAAATTAACAACAAAGTCCAAAATGACAACAGAAAGAGAGTAGTAAGCTGAGAGCAACTCCATTGTAAGTTCTTTGCTTGTACACCTTTCCCCTCTTCAGTAAAGTTAAGCTCTTCGTCGAAACTCGACATGAGACGCTCTTCACTCTGTCTTTCCTCCGAATATGATGCCACCATTATGATATGTGAATTATTTGATGAAAAAAGGGACGATGAGAAACGAATTGAGAGGTTTCATGCTTAATACTTGTCATCACTCCTCATACTCGTCGGTAAGCACTAGAGACCGGCTCCGGCCCCCACGATAATCATAACTATCACATTATTGCATGATGCATAGGCATGTAACACTACCTAAGAGGGGGTTGATCTGCAGGGTGGCGTCCAATTACTAAAATGCAAAGTGAAAACAAGGGAAGGGGGGGGGGCCAGGATGATCTGCCATGGTATCGTTACTCCGATGATGTGTGGGGCGCTTGAACAGAATGAAATTGGGACTTAGTGATATTGGAAGTACGGGGCTCTTGAGTCCGAGTAAAAATCCGTCAGAAAGACTTGAGACGACCTACAAACAGAGATAGAGAGTACATGGTTGTATTCAAGAGCTCGGAGATATGCTTCCTCCTGTATGTCAACTCAGAACAGCAACACTACCCAGGGATTTAGCGCTGTCCGGAGCGGGGTCAATTAGCCCCCAATAGCACTTGCATGCACAAGGTTGTAATTGGTCGGGACTAATGTGAGAAGATACTAGACGGAATGAATGAACGTGACTGCGAGCTCCTAGCGAATATCGTTTAATCCCACGGCCGTGTAAACACTATGTAATTGATCAAAAGATCGCCATAGCGTTGATACGATAGGGACTATTTGTCAAAGGTGTGTAAGATTTAAGAGTTATAAGGTTCCCGCGATACCTCGACTGTCTATTTAGTCACGAACACGCTCTTACCCTCTCACTTCTCTTTCAATTCTCGGCAAAGGCAAACCCAAGAAATTCTCCTTCTCATATTATTTACTGTCCCTTATCATCTTCCAAGATGCGTACTTCTCTCGCCGCATTCATGGCTTTTGCCGCACTAGTCTGTACTACTGGTGCCGTCCCTATGGCGTCTCCATCAGAAATCACAGAGAGAGACGCCTCTGGCGCTGTCCTTAATACTCGCTTCCTTACTTACGAAGATGCGGTCAACAAGAGAGACATCGAGGAGCGTGATGCCTCTAGCGCTGTGCTGAATACTCGCTTCCTTACCTACGAGGATGCCATCAACAAGAGATTCGTCATCGAAGAGCGTGATGCCTCCGGCGCCGTGCTCAACACTCGTTTCCTCACCTACGAGGACACAGTCAGCAAGCGCGATGCTTCCGGTGCTGTGTTGAACACTCGCTTCCTTACCTACGAGGATGCTATCAACAAGCGATTCGTCATTGAAGAGCGTGATGCCTCTGGCGCTGTGCTCAATACCCGTTTCCTCACTTACGAGGACGCGGTCAGCAAGAGAGATTTTGAGGAGCGAGATGCTTCCGGTGCTGTGTTGAACACTCGCTTCCTGACCTACGAAGACTCGTATGTCTAAAAAACTATCCGTCCCTAAATATTGGAGCTTAATTTACTAACCAGACAATAGAGCCTAAGCGGTGCTGCTACTACAATCGCACTTCGGCCGATATGCAAGTCAGCCCTCTTTTTTGTGCTAGGTTTTGTATTCGAGAGCAAACAAGTGGGGGCTACTCTGTCCCTACAAGAGATATGGTGTCACTTAGTTACTAGATGAATTGCAACACATCCTGCGTTGTCACATATTAACTACTTGTAGTTAGTAGTTAATGTACTTTTGTTTAAGACTGTTCGGAAGCGGCACGACCCACCATCCACATTTGTACCCACTGCAGCCACTGCTGAGGAGAATCTTCCACTCGAAAACCTCAGTATCATTGTATTTATTCATTACTATTTAATATGTGTAAGATGAATTGAAAAGTAAGTTAATCTTTATATCAAATAAACGATAGAGAGAGAGAGAAGTGAGAAAGGGTAAGAAGTAAAAAAACAAGCCAAAGGAGGCGTGCCGCCGCATCTAAGCCTAATCGGGATATGTGCGACCATACTCCGCTTTCCAAAGGCAACCAGCCTCTACGGACGGAGTGTCTTGTAATTTATCTTCAACCAAGCAAGCTTGGAGGTTTTATCTGAGATTGCCGATCCCTGTCCAAACTTGGGTTGGTCCGAGGTCTCGATGGATTCAGTTTGGCCCGAAATAGACCTGGGAACAAACATCCCTGCGCCGCTTAGCATGTGAACCCCTTCCCGCTTTACTCTACAGACACGAGTCTAATCACCCTGGTTCCAGTTACTGGTAGAGTTCAACTACAAAAAAAGAACAGACATTCTTGGATCAAATGATTGGGTAGGAAAAATTGGAACCAGTAGTCCCATTCTGCATGTACACCCCTCTCCGTTCTTATGCACTCACTTCCCTGTTTAGGCACAGCCCATGCAGGAAGGTGGTGCACTAGGCTGACTACATAGGTACGGAGTAAAAAGTGTCGATCCCTATAAATCCCTCTAGGAATGATACCACGAAGGGCGTCCAAGGTGCATATGTCCAGATTGGCCATCGTCACTGGTTACATTCAGGGCCCTATGTACTATACCTTATTTGGCCCCATTTTAGTCCCTTACCGCATAAGCTGAAAAGTCGGGGCCATGTTATGTGGGGGCCATGTGGTATCTGCGCTGATTAATTTTAGTCTTCAGGAAAAATTAGATTTCCGTCATTCTTTTTTAAGCATCCTATAAACACGGTGAGAGTCTTTAGTTGCCTTTGCAAGCCCCATCTACCTCTGCGCGTTTTTGCTCCAAGGCTAAGCGGTCAAAATGTTGTACAATAAAGATCAAGGGGTGACCGATAAGGCTAAGGAAATTATCATCGTCACTACCGTCCTTGGAGTCTTGGCTATTATCTCAGTGGCACTCCGTGTTTATGCGCGGGTATATTCGAAACTCTACCTGGGCATCGATGAGTATCTAATTCTACTCGCTCTGGTAAATATTGAGCTTTCTTTGTACACAAGGACTACTCCGCTAATAATCTGGCTCACTCTTAGTTTTTGTCCTGCGGAATCAGTGTCATTTTTGACTACACAGCGGCCGTGACTGGGGTTGGAGATCCGAAATATCAGCCTACCTTGGATGCAACCGTCTTCGCGCTGAAGACGAATTTCGCTTGTGAAAATGCTCAAATATTCACTATGGGCCTGATAAAAGTATCCATACTTTTCTTTTACCGGCGCATTTTTGGCATTTCCCCTAAATTCGTCAGAGCCAGCAACGTGCTGATCGTGCTGATTTCCACCTTCACTTTGGCGATTATGCTGGCTGTAATCTTTTCCAAATGGCCGGTTTATGCTCAATGGGACCCATATGCCCCCTACAACATGAATGCATCTGCGGTTCTCATCTGCTACGTCGTTGGAAATAGTGCCTTTGACATTTTAACTTTGGCTCTTCCGATCGCAGCCGTGCAAACATTGCGCATGGACCAGTCGAAGAAGCTTTTTATGACAGTGATCTTTTCATTGGGAAGCACGTAAGTAAATCTGATCTTCTTGACTACTTTGCTAATGGACTGATGCTAATCTGGGAATCAGATGCATGGCCGCATCGCTCGTCCGGCTTTACTATGCCGTGAAATGGGTTGGTACAACTGCAACTGCGAATAGTCTATTCGAAGGTATGTTCACTTTGCATTGTTATGCTGATCATCGTCATCATTATCATAGACCAACTGGCTGACGGTTTCCTAGCACCATTCATCGATAACATCCTCTGGGCAATGATAGAACCACCCGTCTTTATTGTCGTCGTCTCAATGCTTACCATGGGACCCTTGCTGCGAAATATCGAACTTCCTAGGCAATGGCTCCGGCTTCTCAGCACCAAGACTGGGGGAACAGCCCAGACTGATGAAACATATAACGGGTTTGATCATGATAACCACTCAAACAGCCACTTTAAGCATAGTTCGAAGGATAATGTTTCAAGGGTACCTTCAAGCGAAATGGAGCTTTTGACGGTTTGATTTTTTTTGCTCTGGAAGGTGTTCATTGGTCGTCAGCAATCAATTCTTCATTTCGTAGCGCCATGTGGTGACTGCATTCAAACATTTCCCTTTAAGCCATAATTTCAATCTACCTTTTTACGTTCCTAGAACTAGTGGATCAAAATTATAGACTCCAAATCATCATTAGTTTGGTAGAGATTCTGAGGACATATGAGAGTATGTTTCTTAGCACGCTAGCCTCACTTAATATCGATTCCCTTGCATATACCCTTCACTGTTTCCAGTGATTCGAGATTGAATGAAAGTGCCTCTTGCTCACGTGGTTGAGAAGCATTGCTCGAATCACATGGGCCTAATGAATGCTGAAGAAGATCATGGTCTTTTGGAGCAACTGACCATCCCTCGGGTATTTGGAACTGTGGGTCAGTTACAGTTATATTGTGATATTCCCCGCCTATCTTACATGGTCTTACATGGTCACACTGCCTCGCCAATGGCCCCCACAAGCCATTACATGTACTTGCACATTTCTTTGTTCCTTTTAGGCTAGCTACCTTTGGCATTCCGGATATGTTTAGCCCCCAAAAAAAGGCGCAGACTAAAAACACACGGATCAGTTTTGTGGTTGCTTAAGTTACAATTATACAAGGATGCCCCTCTTTTAGCTTCAGCATAAATAGTCTCAAAATCCCAATTCATTCTCACCAGACACATTTATCTTTTGACATTCCTATTTCTCTCTCTCCAAAATCATGGCCATTTCCGAAAAGAAAAAGCCTGTCTTCGTCGTCGTCCCTGGTGCTTCCCAGAATCCGGCGCATTACGGTTACCTTCTCCACCTCATTCAGTCCGCCGGCTACGGAGCTTCCAGCGGCTTACTCCCCAGCATCGGCGCCCAGGAACCTGTGACCGCCACTGACGATGCTGACTATGTCCGCAAAAGACTTATCCTTCCCGTGCTGGATGTTGGCAATCAAGATGTGATCCTGATTAGTCACTCATACAGTGGTATGCCCGCCAGTGCTGCTGCTCGTGGTCTGGGTCCAGCCGACCGCGCAGCAGAGGGCAAAAGCACGTCCGTTCTGGGTCAGATCTTTATTGCGACAATTTTGCCTCGTGGTGGCGATAATCTGAGTGTCATTGATGGATTTGGGGGCCAGTTGCCCCCACACATGTACATGGATGTATGTATCCCCTGCCCCTCCTGTCCTTTGTCCACTTTATGAAACTGACCATACCCTCTTTGGTGTCTGACAGAAAGAGCAAAACCTTCTCAAATGTGACGATCCTAAACCTCCCCTCTTCTACGATGTGCAGCCCACCCTTGCCGATGCGGCTACCCGAGCCTCCCTCAGCCAGGGGCTGACCTCATTCTCAAGCCCCTGCCCTGAGGCTAGCTGGCACACTGAGGCATTCTCTGGCAGAATCGCCTATATTCACACCGTCAACGACCACGCTGTGCCTTATGAGGCACAGGTTGCTATGGTTCAGGCTACTGGGGCCAAGTGGATCACCCGAGAGATTGCGAGTGGTCATAGCGTGCAGCTATCCGCTCCCGAGGAGCTGACTAAGACTATCTTGGAGTTGGCTAAGCAGTGGGAATGAGCCAGATAGATGGTGGTTTGAGTCGCTTCTACCCTGTTCATTAAGTAGGCGATATTGAATCTAGACATTTGAGGAAACTATTTCATTCTGACCAAGATCTTGGCCGTTGCCTGTTCAGTGTTGGCCGAAAACCTGGCCGACTCGTGGAAGCCGTATTGAGAGATCCAAAGTGAAGGAGAGATGGAAATTATGGACTTCAAAGGTGATTATTTACTGCAAGATCGAAGTTGGAAGACTTTTGGCCTAGAAAACAGAGATGATCAAACTAATCGTAAAAGTATTAGAGGATGTGCCGATTCCTATAATGATTTAGACATGCTTTGATCTGGCCGCAGGCTTCGTTAAGGATGACTTATTCTAGGTGAACAGTGATCTGTATTCTCTGAATTTATTGTTTGAGGGTGGATAAGTATTCTTGTCATTATGGTTGAAGATTGTGGTTATGACGTGGTATGCCGCTCATGATCAGCGTAGTGAGCATACAGAGCATAAAGATGGTATTCCAGAAAAAGTAGTCAAACGCCTGGCTTTCCCTGGCCTTCTTAGGTGCTAGTCCAGTTTATACGTCACATGGCCCAAGCGCAGACCAAGAAGACCACAAGCACATCACCTTTACCAGATATTGATGCCAATGTGAGTAGACTGCCGAAGGAATTATATTGTTGATGATAGACTGCATAAACGATTGAACGACAGCTTCTGATACGAAACGCAGCATATGAAGCGAGAAGCAGACAAAAGAAGAAAAAGCTGAAAAGCTGACGGCGGTGTTCATGATAATGTGATTGAACCACTGAATCCTGTCGAGGAACGTCGAACAGATTTCATTACCTCCACCCAGCCTGGTCCCTCAAGCTCTTCGCTTAGGGCCTCGAAATCAGACCTGAGAAGAGAATCTGGCGCCAATTTTTCATTCATGGCTGTTGCGTTTGAGGTTCTTTTGTTTGCCAATAGTGATCCTTCTTCTACTTGCATGCGGTCAGCCTCGATGATTTCAATGATATCAGCACTGGCCGTGTCCTTGTCCAGCGTGCGGTAAAATGCCTTGTCATTCGGAAATTTTCGTTCGATTTGGGAATGAACATGTGCTCTCCTAAAGCGCGGTCGCTCGTCGGAATCGGAGCCAACTGCGTATTCCGTCTGCATCTGATCGATATGTTCCAGCGTTACTGGAAGCGATCCGGCCAGCCCTATTGACCCATCAACTATGATGATGAGATCGCACCCACATTTGATGATCATACGTGCAGCGGGCCAGTATTTCATCATTGGAGGCCCCATAGACATCAAAAACTGACTGCCAACCGCAAGCAGATTCCAGATATCCTTTCCAATGCTATGGGCCACAAATTTCGCCAGATTTGAAAGAACCACTCGCGACAAAACTGTGGCCATGCTTTTTGAAGAGACACTGGTAAGCCCGAAGCAGCCGATTATTTCCTTACAGAGAGCCTGAGAGATGATTGGGGTGACGATCACGTCGCCTAGTAAGAATGCGCGCAACATGCGATGCCATCCTATAGCATCCTGGAACAATATTTCGACAATCGACTTGGCTGACAGGGGGATTTTCAATTCTCGATCAATGATCTGGGCAGCTATGAACCCGCTCGCTGCGTTGGGACGAAAAGCCTGCACCTGCTCCATGGTTGTTTTCACTAGAGCTTTAATGGTTTCTGTGTCATCTAAATCTCAGTCAGTGGAGTCTGATAGCGGACAGCCAACAGCGGGAAAGAAAAGAGAAGAAAGAGATACTCACATATGGATGTGAAGACGAGGGTGGCATTGATATTCAGATGGTCGATCTGTTCCTTGCACCTTGCCTGCAGCTGAAGAAATTGTTCCTTGACCCTCTGCTTAACATCCTCGTCTTGCAAACCCGGATATTGGCGACAAATTTCGTCTTTCATAATAGACACCGAGCGATCTTTCTTGGTGCAGACCAGTATGACAGGTGTGTTGGGTTGCCATTTGTGAACGGTATCAAGGAATGCCAGTTCCGCCTTCTGGAATCGACGGTCCGACGTGGCTGGAATGCAAAGCCTAGAATCTTTTGTAAGTGTTGCTCTGTCGATTGACTTATTTGAGACAGTACAGACCATATTGCATCAAGGCGATCATTCTCTTCTGGTTCTATAGCCCGGCTGTGCACAAAAGTTTGTAGTATTGTGAGTTCCTCCTCCTTGCCATTCTGAAAGCCGCGCGAGTCATGAATGATAATTCCTGGATGGCGATCTGACTCGAATGCCTCATCTACGTGGTGCATTTCACACGGTCTAGAATCGCTCAATGGGGTCTACTGAATGTTAGCCATGGCCTTGTGCAAAGGATCCTCACCTTACCAATGGCACCCCGAAGACGGCATTCAGCAGCGTGGACTTGCCAGCACCCGTCTTGCCACAAACGAAAATGCGGCATTTACCTAAAGCAGGGATCTCTGGCTCTGAAATCCATGGATCAAGGATATCTTTCGGCATGCTTATATCGTGGAATATGAACAAGTCATCTCTAAATCCAGCAAGCCAGTTGGTGTGGTCTTGAAGAGAACGGTATACGTCATAGAGCATGTACACCGAGGGATGAATGATAGTACTACCTGTGGTATCTTAAGTGGGCAAACTTATCAGAATCATCATACGATAAAGTGACATAGCTCTTGACTTGCCTTTCCGATCAGAATAACCGATGAGCTTCCTGCATGTGTCTCCCGTGAAGGGTTCCCGGGTCTGACGAGAGCCAAGTCGGCCCTCCTGAACTTGAATTCCCGTTCGATTTATCTGAACAGTATGACTCCAGTACTGTAGGTCACCGGGATCTCCATTCTTCTGGCTGCTCTTCTTCTTGCCTCGAGGTCGATATTGTCGTTTGCTGAGTTTACTCTGGCCTTGTTCTGGTGGCCGTATGAGATTTCCATGCGCATGAGAAACGCGAATGTCATACATCTCTGTGACTATGCCATTTTTGTATGTAAATGACCAGCGCTGGATGTTTCCCGGAAGCACAAGTCCCATTGCCTGGGGCAGGGCTTGTTGCGCTATGGCCCTGTTATCACTGCTTCCCGCTAAACAAAGGCCCTGCTTCCTGCTTTCTATCAAAAGCCATTGTAGTGGGTATAGAGATAGACCATTATTTCGCGCACCCCTCCCAAATCTTAGTGACTTCTCTTGGCGCCAATAGGCCCCAAGCGGGGAAGATGGAAGATGAATACAATATTTAGGCTGACAGCTTCACACAAAACGTATGTGATATTGGGTATGGGGGGAGAAAAGAGAGAAGGAGCAGAAGATCTAGAGGATATGCCCCCAGACCCAAAACTAAGCTAGTCCTAAACGGGATGCCAGCGCTGCTCAGGTCACATGATATGACCCAGGGACACCGACAACTAGACCTCGCCAAATGGGCGGGTTGGGTTTCGACCCTTGACCCAAAACCCGCCAAGAGATTAAAATACACGTAACATATACCTGATTACATCACTCTATATCTGGTATTGGTTGTATTTCAACAGTAATACTGTAATATACAGGTAAATGGGTTCTTGGCGGGTTCGCGGGTATTCCTTCGGGTACCCAAAAAAGCAATATGGCGAGGTCTACCGACAACTTCCAACAAACCAAGCTTCCACCCAGGACTGGCTGGTATTAGACTTAGCATTTTCGTTGATGAGAACAGGGCTGTAATTCACTTGATCTTCGTTCAGCGACACCGCATGACGAATGCATTGGACACCCGACCATTGAAGCTGTTCTGTGATAGATGAGTCTTGAATAGTATCAAGAAATCCTACAAATCGAATGTTCTGGATCCCAAATTGAAACCCTGCATTACCGTTGCAAGAAAGTCTATTCATATTAGCTTTCAGCCACGAAGGGTTCCAGGGGCCCTTACTTTTCTCTTATCTATTTTACAAGCGGATTTAGATAAGCGAGGTCCAACTTGTGTCCAGAAAAGAGTTTCATGAAGGCTCTTTTGGGCTTCACTGTAGGCGTGTATTTTGATGTGCTGAGCAGATGAATTATTATACGGATGATCACTGGCAACAAGAGGCTAGTAGTTAATACATTTTCCAATATAAAGCGTTCCAGATGCCTTACGAGCTCCGGTGCTAAATCTAAAGAGCCATATTTCATGTTCTTTGTCAGTGCAATGCTTCAAGCAATACTAGAAGATGTTAGCGATTTAACACTACCTATCACCCACAATACATCACCTGAAATAATTCATGAATCCGGCTCTCAAGGGACAATGCTTTTCCATGGAGGTTAGCACTGAAGTAGTGATTAATCTGTGATATGTAATTAGTAAGTCTTCACCACTTTTTGCTCCTGGTGCGGCATGCCTGTTCAATTGGTCTTCCATCCGGGCCCGGGATAGTTCCATTCTATTCTTTATTGAGGAATGTATGCGGAAAATAGTGCTTTTGTTGTCTGAATCTTGGTCTTTGGTTTCCAAATTATAGTCAGTGCTTTGAATTGGAAGTGAATGACCACGATCACTCAGTGGCTATACCTGAGAAGCATCCATGAGAGTCATACCATGACCCATCCACACAAGCCACAATACGCTTCCTTGTAGCTCTACTCATATTGAAATCGGAATGCTGTATCGCTCAATTGTTTTTCGTGGAAGGAGTGGCTCTGAAAGGGAGGCTTGTTCAGATTAAGCGCGAGGGAGGGGGCGGATTCGCTAGAAATATAGAAATTGTACACTTGCCGCTGTATCGCGACATTCCATTTTTCACCAGATAAAGCCAACCCAATCACCAACAAAGACAAAGGAGCCACAGCGCCTCAATGCACATGTACGATTTCGCTCATTGAAATCTATCAGATGGGTAAAAAGCCGTCCAGTCAGAACTTTTCTCTTCACTGTGGCGGTTGATGACTGTTCTGATTCCCCAACCAAACTCGACGGGAATTTTGGCCGCAAATCAGAACGCATCGCTTTGGGTTTCTCGCTCATATTGCCAGCGCCAGCGTAGTTTGTTTTTTCCTTTACACGGCATCTTAGAGCGATCAAAATACTACAAATATACATTAGGCCGTGCTGGACATCACTTGCTCGCCTACTATCAACGTAATTTGCCAGAATACGAGATTTGGGCTGCTTCACACGCCTGAAACTACACCCCAACTGAGTCTTGGGCGATGCTAGTACAAACAACCGATATATTCATGCTGTAATGATCAATGGCAGATCTGCATCGCATCGAGTTGCTCAAGAATACTATGAAGATATCTGTGCTTACTGAGCACCTCCAGACGTCGCGTGTGTTATTGTTATGATGTATTGTTATCATTGATCTCTTTACTATTTTTATCATCAACCGTATGCCTCTTCATCTCCGAGCCCAACGTGCTCCAGCTTTAGCTCTAGCTTCAGCTCCAGCATTCAACCTCACGAAATACCGCTCCTGCCTCTTGGCGAGAACATATACCTGCAATATCTCGCCAAACATGGGTCATATTTTGAGACCTAGTCCCACCCTTCAAATGCTTCGGCGGCTACCTTTTGATACCGATTTTCGGGTTAAATTGGCAGCTCTTGCGCTCAAATCATGATTTTCCATTTGAGGGACGAGGGGAAAATCAAAGTTTCGCAGCGCTAAGACCGACCAGGAATACAGCAGAGGGAACAGTGGAACTTGTACGGAGTTTCGAGTGGTATGAGAGGAAGGAGGATCTTGGGAGTGGGGAGAGAGCAGGCATCCACCTCAATATACTCTAGTACTCTGCTCTGATAGACCTACCCATCTTCAAATGTTGAGTTGCATGCACATGGTCAGTATCCAACTGAATTTCATTTCTCCACAACTCATGTAACTCTGGTTTTTGGCCCTTGATGAAGAAGGTCTTGAGATCTTTTTGGTCAAGTACCGACTGAGGGTAGCCTAGCTAGTCATATATCATGTTACCACGGTTTACATTAGCCATTCTCAACTTCTAGAGTAAGCAAAAGCTCAGTCATACTTGGATAGATGTAGGTAGACTATATACAAGATGACATTGTAGATTGAAAACCAATAGAAGATATCAAAGCGGGATCCATGTCAGAATATCCTTGTACACTCACCCATGATCTATCTCGTCAATAAGAAAAGCGGGACGGGAAGCAAGATTTATGCACGCATTCGACTAACACTACCATACTTCGCCTGCCAGGCAAAGAAGTACAGCAGAGCTCCAAGTGGTTGTCCAACTAGACAAAAGCTGACCCAGAAAATACAATTTCCAATCGTCTTACCCAACGGATCACGCATCTTCTCCAGAGGCGCCGTGAGCGCAATTAACGGTAATTGAAATATCATGCCAAAAAATGCGACACCTGGAGTCAATTAGTCTAGAGTTCTCGAGGAAAGATTCAGGGATTGTACCAATAAAATTGTGGGTGGGGATCCCCACTAGCATCTCGTGCAGAATGGCGGATAACCCGAAGACCATACCATGCGCGGCTAGAGGGCTCCATCCACGACCCACCAGGGGGGAGTAGACATGCCTCTTCATGAAAAGATACACCGGTCGGTTCCAGGAGCGCCAGTAGGCTCCCAGACTGGAGCTATTCCACCAATCGGTGTAAAACTCACGGTCTCCGAACTGCATGACTTCCGCCAATGCATTGAGTAAGGCTTGGAAGAGAGCAAAGAACCCGGCAAGCCAAATGATCAAGGAGATGGTGGATAGCTTCATCACACGTTCCAAAATAGACGCGATGTCCATCACTGCAATCTTGTCGATCGAATTTCGGAGAACGGGCGCGGCATATTGCGCTGAGAGAAGCCAGATGAAAACCGATAATCCAACAAATTCGGCCAGTCGTTTTGCGACGAACGACCAACGAATAGATGTGGTGCGAGGGTAAACCGGCTGATATACCAATGTGGGGGCAAGCCAGAAATAGATGAGGTTATTAATGGTGACATTTCTGGGGTAGGGACATGTGGCGTAGATGTCCGGAAGGCCAGGATCGGCCGACGGGTTGAGGTATGCGAGACGTAGATCACGATTGGTGAAGGCATAGGAGCAATTCTTCAGCCACACAATGATCGCATGGAGCTGACAGATAGTGCCAATCCCTGGATGATGGATGTAGAAATATACCACGAAACTGGTCACTGCAAGACACAATGTGGCATTTACGGTGTGCAGAAAGGCCGTGTACGGCCAAGTGGAGCGGAAAGCCTGCTGGTCGCGCTCCTTTTCTTCAGCTGTTCTCTTCTGTTGACCTGCTGCTTGTTTTGCAGAAGATGCGGCAGATAATTCGATAACATATGCCAAAAACAAATGACATGGAACCAGAGCAAAGAGAATTGACCCGAGAATTAGGTCCTGTTTGCGATAGTCGTGACATTTAATACAGATCAACACTCCATACTGCATAAGAATGGTCAGTCAACTTTATCGGATTATTCTCTGCAAGTGTTTCAATCTTTGTGCTTACTTACCTTCATAAAGTTCTCAATAATTAAGCGTAGGTTCATGGCCACTATCCACTGTCAGCTTGCAAATTCACATGGGCGATTGCTTCGAGGCATCATCTCACCAAGAACCAGTACCATCAAGTTGCGAAATCCCAGAAAGCTAGGTGTCACATCCGAGTCTCTACTGAGGCTCGAATGCCGTAGCTGCGAATGATACGCGGCGATATGGCGATACTTGCTGCGTTTTCGCCCTTGCGGCTGTGTTTGAGCCTCGGCTTCATTTGGAGCAGCTCCATTAGTCGTAGAAGAGCTTGGGGGCTCATGGACCGTCTGGATAGCTTTGATCTTGGACACCATTTTGCGCGATTTCAGAAACTTTTGCGCTTCGGTCCTTTTGTCCTTTGGTTAATTGCGCAATTGGACCGGAACAAGGTCAATGCGAAAGAGTAAAGGATAACCCGGAATAGTCACAACCAGAAAGACAAGTAATCCTTAAGGATGAAAGCATCTATGGCTTTCTAACATAATAAAATGAGGGGGAAGTAATAGAAACCGTTGAACTAAGCGGGGGTGGGAGAGAGAAACAAGGCATCATAGCGCAAGCAACGAGATAATCCATGTAACCAATCAGCTGAGGCGGTCGAGCTCCAAAGGAGTCCCGAAGCCTGCAAAGCTCCGCGACTTTCCTCCCAACGCATTAACGCCGACTCTATTCCTTACAGGGTTATTCCCTGTCCTGCATCTTTCTCAAATTGTTAAACCAACCATTCTTCTGGTCATGATTCTGTGATCATTCTGACCGCAATTTCCAACGATTCTCGGGTTTAGTCACAATGGCCTTCTACGACGAGCATGGAGGCGACGCCCAATTTGGGAGATACAACAAGAACTTTGAAGGCCCCGTCGGTCCCCGTCGGCCTAGTATGTACTATTTCCTTTCAGATGTTCAAGCCAACTGAACAGACCACTAACAAATTTCACAGGACTGGTCACTGATTATGGCTCGTCAATGGTACAATGGATGCGCACACGACGACCCCGATACCAAGGTGGGCACAGAATGGAGGTGGAAAGACCCAGTCCGAGTTTTACAGTGGATGTGAGTTGGCGCAAGCTGGCCCTGAAGTATCGTGTGTCGCAGAGCAAAAGAAACGGAAAATTGACCAGAACTTGATCCACAGATGCTTCCACCCGTTGGTCGACCCCATTCGCCCGCTGACACAATTCCCGTACGACATCTTCATCAATCTATCGGAAAATCGAAGAAACCTATCGTTGTGGTGAGATGGACTCCCGAGGGCAGGCGGCTGTTGACCGGCGGTCACACCGGCGAGTTCATGCTCTGGAACGGTACAGCGTTTAACTTTGAGACGGTGATGGATGTACGTTTTAATCCCGATCCCAAATAGCCAGAGTGGCTACTAATCGATCGCTAGGCACACTATGATCAAATCCAAGCAGGTGTGACGTCGCTAGCATGGGCGCATAGCCAAGACTGGCTGATCTCGGGCGGACAAAGAGGAGATGTGAAATACTGGCGCCCGAACTTCAATAACGTCGAAACCATTGATGATGCTCACCATGACGCCGTGCGAGATCTCGCCTGGGCCCCAAGCGATACCAAATTCCTTTCCGCATCTGATGACACGACCCTCAAGATCTTCGATTTCACCACCCGAACCTGCGATACCGTTCTCACGGGACACAACTGGGATGTCAAATCCTGCGACTGGCATCCTACAAAGGGTTTACTGGTTTCCGGCTCCAAAGATCACCAAGTCAAGTTCTGGGACCCCAGGACGGCCCGGTGCTTGACAACGCTTCACAGTCACAAAAACACAGTCACTGCGACTCGATTCTCGCGGGTTAACAATAACCTCCTTGCTACGTCGTCGCGGGATCAGACGGCGAGAGTGTTCGATTTGCGCATGATGCGGGATATCTGCATTCTACGCGGTCATGAGAAGCCGGTTTCTTCTCTGACTTGGCACCCGATCCACAGCAATCTGATTTCAACTGGTGCCGAAGATGGGTCTATGCATCACTATCTACTGGACGAGCCCAACTTGCCCGCTGGTGTGGTTCCTACGGTGGCGCCGTACGACAGCCCAGACCCTGCTAATACCCCTCCACAAGTGATCTACCCGGCCCACCGCGTTCAATACGCCCACGGCGCTACGATCTGGTCACTAGATTGGCATCCACTAGGCCATATTCTTGCTTCTGGATCCAAGGATAACTTCACTCGATTCTGGTCGCGGGCTCGGCCTGGCGAGACTAGCTACATGACAGATCGTTTCCACATCGGTGAGGAGGCCGCTGAGGCTCAAGGAACATGGAATCGGGGCTTCGGTCGCAAACAGATGCGGGAGGATGAGGAGCAAGAAATGCAAGATGAAGCCGAAGGTCTGGTCGATCAGCGACGACCTGGTGCTTCTCTCCCAGGAATCCAGGGTGGTCCTGTATCTCAGCTTGATGGTCCAGGGCTGCTACCTGGTATTGGTGCGGCCCAGCCTCCGCCTTCAGGGATGCCAGCTGCCATGGGTGGGATGGACCCCGGTCGCCTAGCTGCAATTATGTCTTCGCATCCCCCGCCTCCGCCACAAAACGGTCCTCCAAATGGTGGGATGCCCGGCTTCCCTATGCTTCCCGGAATGGGGGCTCCACCAATGAACCTGGATATGGCACAGTTACAAAAACAAATGATGGCTCAAGGAATTCAGATGCCTCCGAACCTCAACCTCCAGAACATGGCTGCCGCAATGGGTGGCCTTCCTGGTCTGCAAGGTGGGATGCCGGATGGTGGACGTCGATAATCCCGTGGAAGATACTGGTGTATTTCGGTCGGCGTACGGGACTTATATTAAGCATTCTGGTGGCAACCCTGGATCAGGTGGACGGCGCTCGTTGACATATCGAATTTCTTGGGCGTGTATTATAGAAATGAAAACGGATGTCTTCAAATCCCAAAGAAATGATGCAAAGGCGTGCATCGTAGATTTAAAGTCCGCCTTGTATTGGGAAACTGGTTAAGATGAGCACCATCACATTGACTCCAGCCCAGATCATCGGCACCCAGGTGGACATCCTGAAGTTTCCCGAATCATAGATTTGACCAAGTCTGTTTGCCATTAGAGAATCGCGTTATTTGCTTTTGATATAACAACCACTCACACTACACCAACGATGCTTCCAGCTAGCAGTGCTTCTAAACCAGAAACCACGGCGTACAGTAACGGCACAAGCCATACCACACTCCAATTGCGACAATGCGTCAGGGTAACGCACCCGGCGACTGTAAGGTGGGTCACTCCATAAAAAATCAAAGTCCAGTACAGTGTGAAGCGCCAGATATCCGTCGTATAATAGAGATAATAAGCTTCTTTGTGGTGAGAGGGGACTGGGTCGTACAGCGAGGGAAACGAAGGTGTGTGGTAGTTGATTGGGACCCGGTTGCTGGCCATGGAGAAGGAATGTTGCGGCTCTTCTGCCGCGATAAACAAAGAAGACTAGATCATGTTCCGTTGGCGATACTGCATATCAAAGTTAAAGTGTATGGCTTGGTACAGGAGAAGTTGCGATTGCGTTAATCTTTGATGTTTGGACGCACGGGCATGACGCTACTTGTTTGCACTGTTTGCGGATCCACTCCGGGACCTCGGCTGGAACTGGGGTTCTCCGCGCTTTGGCTTCCCCCCATCTTCTTTCCCCTAGGCCATGTAGAAGACCTTGTGGGCACTCCTGTCCCAACTGTGGTCCATCCTTTATGGCAACTGAACGTTCACTTGCACGTCTGCTGCGTTCGCTGCAGGCGACCTCAAGCTTTGAAGATGCTGCTGGGTAAGCCGATCCATACGTGCTTGATGTCCGATAACTAATGCTTATATCATTATAGTCTCCTTCCCACAGCGACAAGTTTTTTGTCGGTCCTTGGTAATCCGTTGAACTTGACGCTTCTCGCATCGCAACTTCTCTCCGCGCCTGCCCTCTGGGACCACCCGGTCGATTTACAAGCATGTCGCAAACTCATGAGCGTTTTTAACACCGCCGCCATCGCGGTCCTGCACAATGATAACATTGAAGAACCCCGGATGCCGCATGGACGGAATCGGAGCATTGAACGTGAAGCATGGGCGAAGGCGGTGGTTCAGGGCGCAGATGACAAGTCTCCCCGTTGGCGACACATGATCCTACTTGGCGGCATACTCCTGGGATTTGAGGGACAGAATCGACAGGGACTCCCGTGGACCATTCGAACAAAACTTGAATCTGCACTGGCAACAGCAGCCCAATTGGCAGTGGAGGGGCTGGATCCCGAAGCGGGGATAGATGGCCATTGCATCACCATGGTGCTGAACTACACGTTTGAGCTATTATCAGATCTGCAAAGGAAAAAAATCGATTATGATCGATTATTGCCTGTTATGGTAAAATCCGTTTTCTTTTCTCCGGAAGGACTCGAAGGAGGGTTCTTTTTGGGAGCGATTGATGACGACGTTGTTGAAGCTCCAGGGAAGAAATTCCAATGGAAAGCCGATTCAAGGACGTTTGGTTATTTCTCTGCTATTTCTGCTCGCCCGCTAGTATCAGCGTTGGGGCCTTTGTCCCGGTTGATTTCTCATGCTGTTGAGAATGCCCAGAACCCGCAATTGGTTGCGCAAACGGTCGATTATATGGCCGACTTTGTACGGACCTTGATGGTGCAGTGGCGACAAAATAAACTCTCTGAGATAGATGTCGCAGAGGAAAAGGACTTCTTAGATGCTGATACGTTACAAACCACTATTCCGGAGCTCTGGAAGGTTCTCCGGAATTGCTTGTATTCGGTGGTGATTGTCCTTCGCGCGGTTCTTGGTAGAACAATCAACGACCCTGCTCTCGCAGCCCATGGTAGTAAGTTGGCTAGGAACAGGAAGTTGATTGTCCACTCGCTAACACAATCAATATTAGGTGCGCCGTACCTGTCTATGCAATCTCTTCATATTCTTCGCAATCTCTACTTTATCTCCTCTCGCACAGGCCAGAATGGATCGTCGCAACAAAGCTTCGTCTTCCTGACCGCTATCGATATACTTTCCCAATACCCTGACTTGGCCGAAAATTTCCTACGCAGTATCAAGCCTGGGGATATGGGCCAAATTCCTGACCACCCAGTGGAACGATGCTTGGATCTGTTCTTCTTGAATGCTGCGGAACATTTCCCTCTGGTGCTATCACCCCAGGCTAATGAGGATCTTCTCTTATCCGCTGCATTCCCGTACCTTGCAGCTGGTGCTAACAGTCTTCTTCTGGAAATATTTGAAGCCGCTCACAGCGTGGTGCTCGTTGTATTCGCTATAGCCCATAATTCGGAGCTGGCTGCCAAGCATCTTCCATTCTATATTGACAACCTATTCGCGGTGAGTTCAGCTTCATGAATAGTCTAGATCATATATCTGATGATAACTTACAGGTGTTCCCCGAAAACCTCTCCGCTCGGCAGTTCCGTCTTGCATTCAAGACAGTCATTCAAGTCACGGCGCCTCCATCACCCTTGGCCAACAGTCAACCAGTGCTCCCCTCCATCCTACTTGAAGTACTGCGGGATCGCGCACTGAATGGGTCCACGACTCCCATCACCCCGACATCCGGGAATAGTTCGTCTGGTATGGACACTGAAATTCCTCTTTCGGCAAAAGCTGTGCTCACTCTGGCACTGATCGACTCGTTATCTTTCCTCCGAGTAGATGACCTGGAGGATTGGCTTCCTCTAACAGCAGATTTAATAAATACCATTGAAGACCGAACTATGCGCCATACCTGTGTTGATCGGTTCTGGGAGGCATTGAGCATGGGTGAGATGGATGTTGACCGAGCCCACTGTTGTGTCAATTGGTGGAGCACTCAAGGTGGTCGAGAATTGGTTCTTTATGGTGCCGAGCCTACCCCAGGAGCTGAATCCAAGGCGGAGGAAATTGGACCATTTATGAGTGGTGCCGTTGGTCGGGTAGCACCGGAGAGTAAGCTGTGATGATCTCAGAGTGAGCATGTCATATACCATAACTTATACCACAAACATTCAAAGTCTAACCATTTTCGTACATCAATTGAATTGATATGCTCCATTACCTGGTAATTTTAAAAATTGAAGTAGAAATAGCAATGTTGACCCTGTGGAACTTTGAAAGATCTGTCAATACAACCCGCGGACTGTAGGTATGGACATATAGAATAATGGAAGTCAGTAGGTTACATGAACATGCGAGACTGGCCCAGGCAATGATGTGGAGAGGTAAAACTCCACTCTGGGGAAGCTATCCACATATGTCATCTTATTTAGCTTTTTAGTCCTTTCAATTTTGTTTGCTAGTTCATGAAATATAGCGTGGAGATATAGTATTTGTGCATGAAATTGCAATTCAACGAGCTGTTAGGTCTCCCGTAATTTGAAAGAAATCCATTTGCAAATATGATATGTGTAGAAAGAAAATTACTATCTCATTCATATCCATATAGTGTAGAAGAAGTAATGTTGCTGAACATATGTCTTATGTAACATTAAACATTGAACGTAGATCTGGTTCCTACTCAGTGTCTCCATAGGTAAAACGTCACCGGTTTTCCTTGTCGCGTTGCCGCCCGCCAAAAAAAAAGCTACCTCCAGCACTGCACGTGGACTACCAGGTATTAATTCTCTCCAAATCTATTCCACGTTCTCTTTTATATTCACTTGTTTTCCCCTATAGAACCTTGAGAGTGTTTTTACGTTTGATCTTTGGATTTGTTCATTTAAGCGCCCTTATTTGTCATCGCCTATTACCCCCATTGTCTGGCGGAAAATGTCATGGCAGAACCCCCGCCAGAGAGCTCTCACCCCCCACCTGGTACGCCCTTGATCGACTCTACTCGATCCTACGGCGACTCCATGGAAGATCCAGATCCCCAAGCGACCCGGAAGCGACCGCGTCTTGATAGTGGAAATCGCGTGGGAGAGTCGTTGTCCATTGACTCCTGCGCGACACCTCCGGCCGCACTTGCCTCGGAGATGGATGTCACTCCCGACTCAGCTCGCCCCAGCAAAGTTACGATCAACGTGAAGTCTCCAACTACTGATATGACTTCCGAACCTATTGAGTCCGCCCCTACCGAACCTCAAACTTTCACACCTGCCACCACCCCGCAACCTGCAACCACCGAAAACACCGACGCGACCCCCGACGTCATCTTGATAGCTTCCTCCCCTTCACAAAGTCCTGAAATCGAGGTCGCGGAGCTGGAGGACATGGATCAGGACCCCAACACTTCACACTGGAGACCTATTGATGAGGCATTGCGTGGTCATGCCGCCTCGGACATTGTCGAGGATGAACCCTTGGCGCTGATTGATACCTTTCCCAAATTGTACGAGGATCAGGTAGCTCGGGACAATCTACAGAGAATTATTATGATCATGGAAAAGCAGGAAGTTCGCGAAACCGACATACTCACAGTGGTCAAAGCCTGGTTCGAACAAGCTGCAAACAATCTGGACTGCTTGCTCCTATCATCTGTCATCGACGATATTGACTTCTGGGACCTTGTGCCAAAGTTAATGGAAACTATGCTTCGCAGAAATGTCATACTGCCCATGGATGCCGGACATGGCGTGTTGACAACCCTCGAGGAGTTTCTTGTGGATTATGTCCGCATCACGCATCACTTGCTTCACATGGACTGCATGAACTTGCGCCATGAGCTTGATGAGCCCGAGATGCAGGATAGTGTGTCCCGTGCTTGGCTGAATAATCTTGCTTGGCTATTACAATATTCAACTATTCCCTTCTTCCGTGCCACGGAAAATGTCTATGGAACGGAGGTCATTGACGTCGTGGCTCGAGTAAGGGCAAAAACAGTCGCCCTTGGTGTTTTCCAAGAGCTGGTAGATTTTGCTTCTCTGATTGCTGAGAATGCCGCAAAGAAATCTCACTGGGTTAATGCCTTGGTTCCATTCTTCCATGTTGCAAATAGCGCGATCGACAGCTCCGTAGAACGGAGACAGATCGTGACTGGAGAACTGACCGTCGACTCGCCATTCAACACACCTCACTTGAAACTCCTCTATGATACTGTGCGCCTGATTGATGAGAAGTTCCAAGAATCTATCTCCAAGAAATCCTCATGGCTGACAAGCGAACTGGCTGAGCAACTTTTGCGTCAAACCCAACGCTGCTTAAACTTGCTTTATGCCCGGGACAACGAATTTGTCACACAAATGTCAAGTGACCTCTCGATTGAGCTTTCAGATGATATTGATGTTAGAGATCAGCTTCTCATCCTTGTGTGGGGGTGGAAATTCCGAATTTTGAAGAAGTACATTATGGAAGGTCGAATGGAACTGCGAGCGCATGGAGTGGAGACCATGCAGTCGGACTTGGTTTCTATTTGGAGGCAGCACCTCTCCGCCGACCCCAGTGGACTTGAGATACCATTCGTCAAATATCTGGTCCGCTTTATCCTCGATAATAAGATAGTGGATTACCTCGTGGGTGTCGATTCTCATCCACAATTGATTAGCCGATGCAGCAATATCGTTGGGTTTTTGATTGTGACATCGACCTACAACAAGTCCGTGACAGATATGATCTGGGCAACTGTGACAGACAGCCAAGACAGCCGCATCGTCTCCGAAGTCCTAGCTATGCTCGTAAAAACTTTTTGGATGCACGCGACTACAGCCCCGGATGTGATTTACATCTGCGCCAAAGTGTTGGACCTACCGTTGGATCGTTTTGATGGGCGCATGCTTGAATTCTGCGACAGCATGCTCAGCCGTATCTCCGAAAGACCCCTTGATCATGACGCTGGTGAATATGTTGACGCAATACCTCTGCGACTATGCGTGCGCTTGATTAGAGAGAGCACCGCAGCGGAGGATATGTCCGTTGAGCAAAAGAAACTGATGCAAACCAAGGGTGCTAAGTACCTCGAACGGTTCATCGAAGCTGGTATCAGTGTGAATGACAGAATGGACATGTATGAACGCTGCATTCAAGATATCGCCGAGATGAACCAATTCACTGCGGGAAGCATTCAGGTGCTCTGTGCCCTTGTCCCGATGAACGACTCGCAAGAGATGAGGAAATTGGCGGAGGAATTCGACTTGACTCGTCTAGTGATCAACGACCTCCTTCACACCGTGAAAGACGATCAAGCCGACTTTGCCAACGCGTCCTCACACTATGACCTTGAATCACGTATTGAAATCTTGTACCGCCTCGTCGACATGGCCCCAGATACGGTCACCCCTGAACTTGGAAGCGCCTTCTGGAATGAAATTCTCTTGTCAAATAAATTGGGGCATGATGGACACAAGGCAGCCTGGAAAATGATGAGTGCCTTGAGCGGAAGTTCCAAATCCAACCCGTTTCTGGAGCGCTGCATTCACGAGTACCTGCCTGGATTGTCGCCGAAGGATTTCACACTCGAAGTCCTTTCCTTCGCAAAACAGTCCATAAGTTATGAGGTCCGCTTCAACCCACCACCCCCAGCAGGAGATGATGAAGTTATCACCGTTCCCGGGATGGATCGGATTTGGAACTTCATCTTGACGGCCCTCCCCGGCACGATCGAGACCGAGGCCACAGAATTTGCCATCGAGGTTTACCTAGATCATCGGATTATCCGCAATTCCCCGCGAGGTGCAATCGAAGCCACGCACATTTCCGTTGTCAACCGTTGTATTGATCAACTAAAATCCACCGCGGCAACGCTGAACACCCCGGAAAGCACAGTCAGGGACGATACCTCGATGGACAGCGTAACCTTGAGTGGGGAATTAGATGCCGATGAACTCAAATTTAGGCGGTCTCTTATTTTCCTTCGGCAATTCTTGTACGGCTTGAGAACTCGCCCAATCTATAGCCCCCCCAGAGGTTCACCTCCCAGCCTCCCAGAACGGCCATTGAAAGGCAACCCGATTGATATCTCTTGGCAATCGTTCAACGGGAGCGCTGGCTCACCCATCAATACATTACGGATCGGTGATCTGTCGACGGCAGCAGAACTGATGGAAAGGCTCGTCCAGCTTACTGGATTCTCCAAGTTGTTGGCCATCTGGGGTGGTCAGCGCTTTGATATTCTAACAGACCCGGACATCCTTGTGAAGGATATGAAACGCCACCCTGGTTTACTCATTCTTCGCAAGGCACCAGATGCTCAAGAAGTCTGTCATGACAGCAAAAATCAATCTCTTACAACAGTCGACTCCGAGGTGCTCAAGCATTTTGATGAGATCTATGAGCTCTTGTCCCTCAAGGATGACTTGGCCAGAGAAATATTCGATTTTCTTATTGTCTTTCCACCACAGCAACGAGTCTTGGCGCTTGTTAGTGCAGAAGATAGTGACGAAAAGACACTGTTCCCACTTCGAACGCCTTTCGTGGCATTTTATTCCTTTAATGCGCTATTGACATGTCTTCGCGCAGAAGAAATCCAGGTATTTCAAACAGAATTCATTTTCTATTCCACTAAACTAATCCTCAACAGGTGACACCCAAGCAAAGCTTTGTCTCGCATAGCATTGCGATTTTGGTGAAGTTTTTGATGTCACATGAACTTTCAGAGTCTATCAAACTCGATCGGCTTCGATTCGCCCTTGCCACGAAAGCCATTGAATGTCTTTTATCTGCTCTTGCTGGTAATATTATCCTGAAATCAAATCTGATCACCATATGCTAATGAACATAGTCTATCGCCCGGATAATGACGCCTCGGCATTGATTTCCGACCCGGCACCTTTTGTCCGGCGGTTGTTAGGCCTCATTGAAACTGCACGCTCTCTGCCTGAAACGCCTATGGCCGCTGCTGGCGTTCACAAGTTGATATGCGATTGTTTTGCATTCATTATTGAAGGCTCGATTCGCGATCACAAATTTTGGGAGACAGTCAAACAATTCGCCAGGTTTGATCAGCTCATGCTGGATTTGCTTCTCAAGGAATGCCGACAGACCATCCGAAATGATGTTTCCGAAAGAATAAAAATGATCTGCAGGCCTAAGTTGCTGAAGCAATCTGGGAAGATAACTGGCGACGGTTTGCAGACCCAGAATCCTGCCGAGAGCCCTACTCGAATTGACATGCTTGCTACCATTTGGGATGCTTTGGTTGGCATTATTCCACAAACACCGGATTATGCTGGACAGTCTGCCGAATTTTTCAAGGTCGTTCTCTGGGTGTTCCGCTCTGTTGCCGAAAAGTCCCCTCAAGATGTGATTCTCAGTCATTATCTCCGGGAATGGACTGGAGTCATGTTTCGCCATCAACCCGAGGAGTTCGTTGGGCGTGAGATTGTTGACGAGTTGATTTTGGGGTTTGCTCTCCTGCTGGAGAGCTGCCTTGAGCTGGCCGAATACGCCATGGTCGAGCTGGATACTTCTGATCTTCCAGAGAAAATTTTGAATACCTATCTTTTCCCAGACTTGTCGGACATTGTCGATAGCCCAATCACGCCGCGGATCCCTGTGATGCACACATTGACTCGTCAGAAACTATACAACGTCATCAATCTATTGTGCAATCGAACTGATGAGAATCTCCACCGAACCATGAGGGAGCTTGAAGATGTTGTGCCTCGAGACGTTTCATACGGCCCCAATTCCAATTATGAGCGATCAAAGATGATTCGAGCTCCAGAGGGGTATGCCGGCCTAAAGAATTTGTCTAACACTTGCTACCTGAACTCGTTGATGACACAACTTTTCATGAATGTGGAATTCCGGGATTTCATGCTCAGACTGCAGGTTGTGGATGGGGATTCATCTCAAGTACTTCTAGAAGAAACCCAAAAGCTTTTTGCATGGATGCAGAATACTTGGACAAAGAGCTTCGATCCGCAGGCTTTTGTTGAGAGCATCCGAACCTATGACAACGAAGCCATTGACGTTACCGTTCAGATGGATGTTGATGAGTTTTACAATCTCCTGTTCGATCGTTGGGAGGCTCAAATTGTTGACTCGAAATGCAAAAAGAAGTTCAGATCTTTCTACGGTGGTCAGTTGGTTCAGCAGATCAAGTCTAAGGAGTGCTCACACATTTCGGAAAGGTTGGAGCCATTTTCCGCCATCCAGTGTGACATCAAGGGCAAGGCCAATCTCGAAGAAAGCTTGCAGGCATATGTCGAGGGTGAGATCATGCAAGGAGATAACAAATACTCTTGCACTGCCTGTGGTCGCCATGTCGATGCTGTCAAGCGAGCCTGCCTAAAAGACGTGCCTGATAATCTCATCTTTCACCTGAAAAGATTTGATTTCGATATGGTCTCAATGACCCGAAGCAAGATCAATGACGAATTCCAGTTCCCAGATCGCATCGATATGACGCCGTACAATGTGGAATATTTATCTGATCCAGAAATGCTTGCCGAGCCCGATGTCTTTGAGTTGGTTGGTGTTTTGGTCCACACTGGCACGGCTGAATCCGGCCATTATTACTCATACACTCGTGAGCGACCTTCTGCAGGCTCTGCATCATGGGTTGAGTTCAATGACTCGGATGTAAGCCGATTTGATCCTTCGACTATCGCAGATCAGTGCTTCGGTGGCCATGGCGAAACGATGCATTCCATGGGTGGTGTTCACATCAGCAAGGTCTGGAACGCTTACATGCTGTTCTATCAGCGTGTCTCGATGATGGACAAGTCGAAGGAGTTCTACCAGCCACTGAAGCAAAACTGTCCGGTGCGGGTACCCGTGCCAATCGAGTTTGCCAACCACATTGCCATGGAAAATGAGTTGTTCATTCGAACTTACTGTCTTCTTGATCCCTCTTACGCGTATTTCGTTCATCGTTTGCTTGAAACAATGCGGGAGACGAACCTTGATTATGCGCACAGATCGGAACTCGAGGTACTTGCCATGGAGGTTGGGCTGGATACTTTCGAGCAGCTGATCTTGCGAACCAAAGAATACCTGGGAGCGGAGAGTATGGTCACTGAGCTATATCAATTACTTCGTCGGAACCCACGTGCCGCTTTGCAGACGCTGAAATGGACTTGTAGCAGGAACACTTCACTCCGCAATATCATTCTGCGAAGTGCCAATGGGGAAATTCGACAGAAAGGAATTATGCTCCTGATGGGAGCGCTCCAACGATTACACTTGATGGATCCAGAGTTGGATGAGAGTGAGCGTATTCCCATGAAGAGTCGAGCCCAACCGCTTATTGAGCGCATTGTCGATATGCTGCAGAGTCTATGGCCTACGCTGCAGGGTGTCCCACGTGTCTGGGAAGATTACTTCGATTGTTTCATCAAGCTTGCTGAGTGCGGACTAGATGTCATGGGCATCTTGTTTGATAAACGCATATTCATTCGATGTCTCGAAATTATTTGGTTCGACCAGGATGACAGGATGAAATTGGAGCGGTTTTACCCCAATTACAGCAGAATGTTGGAGAAGGGACGTCGTTTCATGTACTCGAATATGCTGATGCTCTGCGCTCTTTTCTTTAGGAGCATGGACTTCGCGCTTCGGGCAGTTCCAGACAATGAAATTCGCAAAGCATCACCAGATGGGAAGTTTCCGGTCAGCTACACTGAAAGCAGATACATCTGGCAAGTTGACGATGATGGCAATGCCGGCTTCTTGCGGCAATTACTCCAACACGAGAATTTCGGTCTTCAAGATTCTACTGTGGATATCTTTAGGAGCTTTGTGGTAGCAGAGCCCGAAGCGGGTTTCATGGACCGTATCATCAAATCTTTGGAGATTGGTCTTCGACTATCACCCGCGGAGCTCTGCGGTCCATTCTTGGTTGCGGCCATTGTTTTTTGTAAACACGCACCTGAAGTGGGAGATGTCACTGGTATGATCGACTTCGTGGCCAAGGGAGTGACCACCATCAATAACAGTGGTGGTATTGATCACCTTGACTTTTTCACACAGCTTTCCAATCAAGACGCGGTCAACGAGCGGCTGTCATTGGGACCTGAGTGGTTCTCGGGCATTGTCCAGCAGAGGATCCCGGACTTCGTTCCGACCTTACTTGTTGATCCTGAAAGAGTGGTCCGCCAACAGACAATTGAATTGACCAATAGGCTCCTTTTCTCACTGGATAGTGCGGAAAACATGACCCAAGAACCCCGATCTCCGCATATTGAGATTGGCAGGCAGCTGGGCAAAGCCTGCGTACAAAAGATCAACACTCTATTCCTCGCTGGGCAAATCGCAAGCGTTGAATCCAGAATGATCTATAACATTACATCAACCGTGACTCGTTGCTTGGAGAACTATTTCGACCCCAACGATGAAGATGACCAACTCATCATACAGCAGGCAAACGGTACTACCAATGACCAGATCCACATGAACCTCTTGACTAACTATTTCTTCCAGAAACCCTCAACTTGCTCGAACAAATCACAGTCGATGTTCCCGACGATTTTGTCTCAGGTACGATATCAATTTCAACCCCCTACGACGCCTTCTAACGGGGCCCAGAATCCGAAATGGCCTCACCTGAAGAGTGGGAGGCCACATCTGCACTGGCCAGTGACTCTGAAATGGGACTCGCGGGTTCCCCTTAGATGGAAGACATGGCCCTCGGTTAAGTTTTGCTCTTTTTGTTCTTTTCTGCCTATGAAGATATCATATGACTTCAGCGAACGTGACATGGAGTTGTGATGAAAGATTCAACTATGATTTTATGACCTGGGAAATTTGCACTTTTTTTCTGTTTATGGTGGCGTTCCTTCTTACAATACCTCACTGGTGTTCCAATGATATAGAAATCCATCGGAATTCACATCATCGAAGTAATGTAAATCCTGCATGGATCAGCCTGAGGTGTATTGCGGAGAGGCAATTCTAGATCAAGTTTATTCAAATTGATTGGTGTTAATACAGTAAACATAGACGCCAGCGCCAATGTCAGAGTAAAGGCCTCTTATTATCCGATTCGTTTTTTGGAGATTGGGATTAAACCATGCCATGTCATCATCTCATACGTCCTCAAACTCGTCCTCATCCTCATCCGACTCTTCATCTTTCGAATCCGGCTCAGCCTTAACAGCATCTTCTTGTTTGATAGCTGGCTCAGAGGTGACACCTTCCATTTTAATCTTCTTAGCCGCAGGCTCATCATCAGCAGGAGTAGACGGAGTCCCAACAGAAGAAGGGGCCGCACTCGATGCCGTATCGAGCTCACGCTTGACACCAGCTACAGCAGAAGAAGGCGTAGGAGCACTCGTTGGACCCGGTGCTGTTGCGGGGGTGGCAGGACCACTTTGGCCGGAAACACCGACATCTTCAAAGTCGTCGAATTCGTCGGAGTCTTCTTCGCCACTGCTGGCATCTTCCTCGGCTTGCAGGGCCTGTTCGCGTGCCATCTCGGCGTAGTAGGCGGCGACCTTGTCGTCCAGTGCGTCCAGGCTGGGCTTCTGGTCTTCGTCTCCCAGCTCTGCTTTGACCGGTACGCCAGCCTCGTTCTTAATCTGGCCGTCGCCAACTGTTTCTCGGTTGACGGTAGACTCGGTGTGCCACACGGGGAGCTGGTTCTGTTTCTCCACAGCTGCTTTGCGGGCGGCTTCCTCGGCTTGCTCGGCGGCGCTCTTCTCCTCTGTTGATGTGAGGGAGATCTCCAGGTTCGCGGCGTCTGTTTTGACGTTGGCCCGTGTGACGTCTTGTTGTCTGGGTGCGACGGCGATCGCAGCACGAACAGGGTGTGTGTTCTGGTTGCGGGCAATCTCAACTTTGTGGTCCCAGGCCGTATCGAAATCGTTTGGCGGGATTTCGACGGAATCGATCTGCTTCAGCAATTTGAGCATATTGTCCAGCTGAGCCATAAGCTTGCTGTTCTTCTCGTGGCCGGTACGATCGATGCCTTCTACGCCCTTGACATCTTCTGTTCGCTCGAGTATGGCCCCGCAGTTCTGGCACTCGAAGCCTTCATCCGAGACAAGACTCAAAACATCCAGCTCGGTCCATTCGGCCCCACAGCGGAGACAGATGTATTCCTTCCGCTCTTCACTAGGTGTGTATTGCGCTTTGATCGTGGATGTCAATTTCGAGACTTTGTACTTGATTGCGTCGATCACTGGGTGGAGTGGGATGTAATAATATTCGCGGTTAACAGGACGAGTCGAGCCATCGCGAATCTCGGCGCGTGTGTTTCTGTAGTCAGAAAGATCCGACGTGGTTAGCTTGGTGGAGGCGAAATGTCTGTAGATAGCTTACACTGCGATCAGGCGATCCTCGCGTAATCGAGCGCATAGCTTGCGGAGATCTTTCTGCTGCATTCCCATCACAAAAGCAAGATCTTCTGCGTGCAGACTGTGATAAATCAGCCGAACCATTCCTATCCGCATATCCAACTCCGCTGGAAAAGAGCATCATACACCGAGTGGAGGAAAAGCGCATCGACTACCAAGATGTGGCGGGTCTCATAAAAGGCTCGGACCACGCTCCGAATGAGCGTGTTGGCAAGATCCATGTCTGTGGTTGTTTCGAGCGCGCTTGTAAAAAGCTGTGTTCAGGTGAAAGCGAGTCGAGTCTGAAGACAAAGCTTCTGGTCGCGGGATTAAGGACGGACAAAGGGGGTCATCGCTCAAAAAATCGAGTTGACAGGATGAGTCTATCTATGTGAGGGGTGAAAGAGTGGATAGAGCGCAGGGCAGCGCCTGTAGTGATTGCGACAATGAAAGTCGCGGACTGAAGCAGCCTCAAAGTCACATGCAGCTGTCTCTGCCTAAGGTGTCAATCCTCAATGGGACTAGTGTCACTCACTATACAAACTACAAAGCTCGTCAATTTTCATTTTTGTCCCATAATCAAAGTTATTGTGCTGCCGAGGAAATTGAATTGAATGTTCTTTTTTGCCCATTCAGTCAGAGTTGATCATTTGTGATATGCTTCCATCCGGACTTTCGGCCTTAGGTGAAGCAAATCCGGACTTTACATCGATCTCCGGCTGTCCACCTCTTGTCAAGGGATCTATTGACAATCATCTTCTATCAGCATAATGACAGCTCGGTGTGAACCTTGTGCCGACTGACAAATACAAAGAAAATGCAGATGTAATGACTATCACATGACTGATCAATGTTGATTGCGTCAGTCTCGTATAAGTTGAAGCCTCGTATAGGTTGACTTTCTCTCTTCGGATCAAACTGCTTCCTCCAACTCCTTACTATCACGTTAATCATGCCTAATGTTTTAATCATTGGTGGTTCTGGCTATATTGGCCTAGCCCTGGGAAAGTCACTTCTCCAAGCAGGCACCCATACTGTTTGGGGAACTGCTCGAACACCCGAGAAGGCAAAGCTGCTACGCTCTAACGAGATAATTTCCGTCGAGCAAGACGTCACCAATACTTTCACTCTTAGTGCATTCATTCTTGATAATTCTATCAACATCGTGGTAGATACGTCCTCGGCGTATGAAGCTGCGAGCTCTATCCTTTATGGAGTCATTGACGCTGCAATGACTCGGCAGACAGCTTTGGAGAAGGAAAAAATAGCTAGCCCGAAGCTTGGCTTTGTCTATACATCTGGGGCGTGGATCTATGGCTCTCAAAAGACCCGCATCAACGACCTTGCACCGGTCGACAGCTTGCATTCTCAGGCTAAACCTGCCACGCCAGTTACATGGCGTCCCGCCCATGAGCAAGCTATTCTCGCAGCGCGCGACATGCTAGACGTTGCTATTTTGCGCCCTCATACTATTTACGGCCGTGGGTCTTGGATCTGGGGAACTTGGTGGGGTCCGCTAGCAGAAGCGGCCAAGTCGGGGAGTACCTCTCCTGTACAAGTGCCTGGTGCTCGTGCAGCTTGCCCTGGAACAGTACATATTGACGATGTCGCTGCTGGTTTTCATGCAGCTATTGACCGTATTGATGGTCGGTTGGGCTCATGGCCCGTCTTTGACCTCCTGACGGAGACGATTCCTCTGGTGGCAATTATAGAGACTGTGAAGACGGTGCTGGGCGTGGAAGCGCCGCTTGAGTACATTGGGACTCAGGGAGATCCCCTTCTGGAAGCTCTGAGCTTGGTAAGCAAATCGGATGCCTCACGTGCGAAGACAGTTCTGGGATGGAATCCTAAACGAACGGAGTTCTTGTTGAATCTACCTATCTATTTGAGGGCCTGGGAGGCGTCGCAGTGATTGTTGGTACAGGATTAGTCACTAACTCGAGTTCACGTATAACTTCATTCAATTCATTAAAATTTAAAATTCAAGTCCAAGGAAATCATGCCGCTGCTTCAAAAGTCTCAGGTGTAATTGGATCTCCCACAAACGATATTGCAGAATTCTATTTTTATCCAGTGTTCTTAGAGCGCTTGAGACAACATGAAGGCTTTAAAGGCTTTGTTAGGTCGGATATCCTCTTGATATCCACATGCGCACGCTTATCGCTTATCCGTATCGAAGACACTCGGGCTCGTTTGGAGAGAAGGCCAACTATCACGATATCATGAATGCTCTTGAAGTAACCATACAAGTCCACAAAGTTGGATTGATCAGTCAAATGGAGGCTGTTGAAATAAATTTATGATCAAATCAACCATATACCTAGGCGTATACTAATATGTGTGCTGTTGGTAAGAGAGTGTCAACTGGTCGATGTTATTGTAAGATTTCCCGATGCCAATAGGTATGTGCAGGTTCCATTTTAGCTAGATATTCCGACACAGTATGTACTTATTATCAATGACAGGACATTGAAGGCACATGGGCAGACTGCTCACATGCGATAAAAAAAAAGATAAGATAAATATGTAAATTTGATACATGCATATATATGTATTAGTCTGCAAAGTTCAATTATATATAAGCAACTACCATTACACATACCCCGAGGCCGCCGATTTCATTGAGATCATCCAGCTTCATCTATAAATCTGGGGAAATTAATGCAAAAGATCCTAATTATCTATAAAGGCACGAGGAATAAGCATTGACTGATTATATTGCTTTTTAGATATGGTACGAGTACGAGTACGGAGTAGAGTTTGACTATTTATGTCCACCTTTGTGTACAAAATACTAGTTACATAAGCATATGCACATTTAATGGGTCGTGATCCGTGCACCACGGATTTTACCTACCACACCACGTTACATAAGCTACCCTCTTACATAATTAAGAGATATCGGGAATCCTCGGAAGAAAATCACGTGCTATCCAACGTCCGATATCAAATTTTCATCACTATAGTAACCAGATTTGGGTAGATAAACGATAATTTACTCTATTCTACCCTTTTTTTTACCATCTACCTTGGCCTGATCACTCTATCTACCATAATCTGCCCTAATTTGCCCTAAAATACCACAAAAATGGCTACCAATTCTACCTTATCTGCTCACGGAAGTAGGGTATATCCTTTTCCCTGATCTTTTATAACTGATAATAACCCAATTTAGACCTTCTTCCACCCCCTGAAGCTTCATATGCTACTCGAGATGAATTAATCGAATCCGTCCGGAAGCATGCCCTCTCTCAGGGCTATTGTACTGCTATAAAAAGCAGTAATTCTGGCAAGGGTCAATATGCTTACGCGAACCTTTCAATCCAATGTGTCAAATCAGGCATACCTTTTCGGCCGATTGATAGGCCAATTACAGGCCTAAATCCTCGGGAAACAAGCTCAAAACGTCAAAATTGCCCCTTTAGGCTATATGCAAGTAATAAAACAGGCAAATGGGAGCTCCAGGTACGTAATTCATCCCATAATCACCCTGCTGACGATCCAATAGTGTTCCACCAAGCTCGGAAGCTTAATTCTACTCAAATTGATAAGATTAAAGACCTGAATCAGATCAATTCTGCCCCTAGAGATATGATCAAATTGCTCCGTTTATCTACAGATCAACCGATAATCTCACGTGATATATATAACCAAAAAGCAAAATTACTCCGAGATAGGTATGGATATCAGGGAGAAATGGAGTATTTTCTCCAAAATTTGCAAATTAAAGGATATAAGTATAGATTATCTTTATCATCTGATGATAAAATCGAGTTTTTAGCGCTTGCTAACCCTAAATCTATTGATCTTGCTAATAAATACTATAGGGTTTTTGTCCTTGATTGCACTTATAAGACTAATAAGTACGGTATGCCTCTTTTAGAGGTTATTGGCATAACTCCGACTAACCAGACCTTCTTATTTGCTACTTGTTTTATGCGAAATGAGAGTGAAGAAGGCTATAAGTGGGCCCTACAAACCTTATTCTCGGATTTTATCCATTTATCTAATAATTCAGTATTGATTACTGACAGAGCTTTAGCACTTATTGGGGCAATTGAAGAGCTTTTTCCTAATATTAGCCATTTACTGTGTATTTGGCATATTGAAAAAGCTGTTTTTACTAAAGCACGTGAATTTATTTGCCAAAAAACAGCAAATCAGCCCCAAGACGACCCAAAAAACACAGAATTCACAGAGTTTATGAAGATATGGAGAGACCTTTATTCATCTAATATATCAGAGGAATATAAATTAAGGTTATATAACCTTAAAACTAAGTTTAACTACCCTAATCTGATCCTTTATCTCGAAAGAATATGGCTAATCTATAAACAGAAATTCGTCCGCTGTTATACTCCGAATATTACCCATTTTGGTAATTCTGCAAGCTCACGGTCTGAGGGTATTCATGCAAGGCTTAAGTCCCATCTTCATGGCTCAAATAACGATTTTATTACTGTTTTTAGTGCTATTGATGCTGTTATTAATGGCCAATTAGATGAAATCCGCAAAGAAACAGCCGAAATCCAGACTAAAATACCGAAATTCACCATGATTCCGCTTTTTAGCCACCTTCGGTCCCATCTCTCCCCACATGCTTTGCAGAAAATCAATAATCAACGGCAATTAGCCCTAGAAAAGGGGCCAATAGGCATTTGCACCCATTATTTTACTAATTCAATGGGTCTACCCTGTAAGCATATGATCCGTGAGTTATTGAAGGTTAATCAGCCAATAGGACTCGACAAAATTGATCCTTTTTGGGTTACTCGACCACCCACAGCTGAATATCTCTCAATTCTACCACCTCGGGTCTATCTACAGCCAAAAAAGGAGGAAAAAAAGAGAAAAAGATCAGAGGAAATCACGGAAATATCGGATATAAAGAGGCCTAAGGCCCCTAGTAAGTGCTCAGGGTGTGGAGAAATAGGGCATACTATCAGAAGTTGCCCTTTGCGGAGAATTTGATTTACTCCTGTACTTATAATTTGATATCGGACGTTGACTATCACATGACTTTAGTCCGAGGATTCCCGATATCTCTTAATTATGTAAGAGGGTAGCTTATGTAACGTGGTGTGGTAGGTAAAATCCGTGGTGCACGGATCACGACCCACATTTAATCTACACCCAAAATGACTCACATGTTGCACAATCAAGTAATCAAAATCGGAGTGGAACTTCATCCACTAGCATGTTAGCTCAGGGGAAGAGCGCCGGGCTCATAACCCGGAGGACCCTGGATACCAGGACATGCTATTAATCTCCTTTCTTTTTTTCTCCTTTTCTTTTTTTTGTTCCCCCTTTATCCAATGACCTCCATTTTGGGTAAATTCTTTTATCTCTTTGAATATTTGTCTTATTTTCCAATATTGAGTAATGGATCTGCTTGATATCGAGATTAGAATTTCCCCATCTCCACATCGGCTTGGCTTTAGTTCTCGTGACGTACTTTTTTCTTTTTTTGTCATTTAAGGACGCTAGAGGCGCTTATTCGAAGCTAGGTTCTAGATCGTTCATCGAATATCCTTCATGCTTGATTCACGGTCTACGCAAATTTCTTGGCAATACCGAATTTGAGCACAAAGCAAGTCGATTTTGAAATGCTTGGAATATAGTGCTTCGGAATCAATAATTCGCACTGAATGTTTATGGAATTCTTATTAGAAGAAACAATTGTGATGTACCTCGTTTCAAAGCTATTCCCAGGTTTTACGTTTGAAGATTCATACCTGTCCACTTTCGAGTATAAGTTGATAACTGCAAGGGAAAGTGGACCCCGTGTATTGTTATTTTTTGATTACCAGGATAATACCAATAATACCAGTGACTAATCATTGCCCTGGTCAATTTCCTCCAAAATCCAAGCGGATCTTGTCTCCACATTTCCTCCACAATACACAGATTTGTACCGCAAGGGTCACCAAAGGAGAGGCAAGTGGAACCCGCGCACGCTAATATGACCTCCATGTATGTACTCGTGATCTCTTATTTGTTTTTTCCCCTCGTCAGCAACATACCTGTACGTTGAAAATATGTTGGTAATTGACCCGCATCTATGGACAAATGTAGCGAGGCCCGTTCAGAACTCCACCAAGACTAGTATTTTAAGACCTTGTGATTCAATGCTGTACCTGCGAAATTTCTGTTTATCAGCTGCCAAAAAAGGGGCGGTGTCTAAGATTCATTCATAAAGGGAGCTCGCCCTTCAATTATCTCTCTAACTCAATTTAATTCTTTTACATCCAATGGCACCCCTCAAGCTCAACAACAAAAACTTGTCTCGGATTGCGGCCTCAGGCGAGGTCAAGGTCCCAAACTACCCACGCGGTAGTGCCGTGAAAGAAGGAATTGTCCATGTCGGCGTTGGAGGATTCCACAGAGCTCACCTGGCGGTCTATGTCGATCAATTGATGCAGAATGGCCTGACAGATTACGCAATTTGCGGAGTCGGTCTGCAACCCTTCGATGCCTCTATGCGCGATGTGCTAGAATCGCAGGATTACCTCTACACGGTAATTGAGCGATCGGCAAAGGGCAGCGCGGCCCATGTTGTGGGCAGCATCAACTCTTACCTCTTTGCGCCCGATAATTCAGAGGCCGTTATTGCTAAGATGGCCCACCCCGATACTCACATCGTGTCGCTCACCATCACCGAGAGCGGTTACTATTATAACGAGAATACCCACGAGCTACAAAGCGACCACCCAGATATCGTCTTCGATCTCCACCCTGCCAATTCCCCCCGGACTACGTTCGGTTATCTCTACGCCGCTTTGGCGCGGCGCCACAAGCAAGGGCTTAAGCCATTCACCGTTATGTCGTGCGATAATATGCAGAAGAATGGATCTATCACGCGCCATATGGTTGAATCATTTGCCCGTCTACGCGGGGACCCCGAGGTTGCAAAGTGGATTGCTGAGCAAGGGGCCTTCCCGAATGCCATGGTCGATCGCATTACGCCTCAGACCAATGCTTCCGATAAATTAGATCTTGCCGAGAATTTTGGAATCACAGACGCCTGGCCTGTAGTCACCGAGCCATTCACACAGTGGGTTATCGAGGATAAATTCTCCGATGGCCGCCCACCATTCGAACAAGTGAAATATGGAATCCAGGTTGTCAAAAGTGTCCACGAGGTCGAGCAATTCGAGAAACATAAGCTCCGTCTACTCAATGGTAGTCACTCGGCGATCGGCTATGCAGGTCAGCTGGCCGGATTCAAATACGTTCACGAAGTCATGGAGAACCCGGTCTACCGTCGCTTCGTCTGGCAGACCATGCAGGAGGTCAAGCCGCTCCTACCCGCCATTCCTGGTGTTGATATTGATGCATACTGCACCACCCTTATTGAGCGCTTCTCCAATCCCGCCATCATGGATCAACTTCCCCGTCTCTGCTTAAATGCGTCGGGCAAGATCCCACAGTTCATTATGCCGTCCATTGCTGAAGCTATCTGGGTGGCTGGGCCTTTCCGCCATCTATGCTTTATCGTCGCTGCTTGGTTCCGGTATATCAATGGCGTGGATGACTGTGGAGAGAAGTTTGAAGTCAATGACCCCATGCGCGAGGAGCTTCAAGCGCGTGCTGGGAGCGCTAACCCGATCGACGTGCTCAAGATCGATAATCTCTTCGGTGATGACTTGCGTACTGATGAGAGATTCCTCAAAGAGGTCTCTACTGCTATGGAGTTGATCGCCCAGGATGGCATCATGAAGACGCTCCCTAAATACATTGATTGAAGTGGTCATCAGCACAGGTTGGAACGCTGATTGGAAAAAGTTATCTCTATTATTGGAAACGTTTTAATTTCTTTGTATGCTTTTATTGAAGGAGCGCGACATAGAGGTAGAGATAAGATATAATAATGGATTGAGTCTTACGCGAAATACGTCTTCCAATATTGGTTTGTCCAATCAAATAAGTATCCGAGTTTTTCGTACCTTAATTTTTTAGATAACGATCTCGGGCATTTAATGCCGGTTCCTTATAAGCGAGACAAACATGGAATTCAGGGTTTATCGGTTCAAAGCAACATAATTAGCCACTAACATGTCATTTTTGATGGTCCTGGCAAGGTTGCACCTAAAGAACGGTCCAGTCACATACTTTGTATGTCCCAAATAGGCTTTGTATATTTTGCACAGAAAGGGGCATTGGTAACCACGTGATTCATAAAAACGGCGTTATCTGGCAGTTTCAGCCTTATTTTATGCAGAAGAAATCTGGTGGAGAGATGCCGAGTGGAGTCTTCCCGACCGAAAAATCTGTCCCCTAGATCAATTGATCAATGGTGGTAAATCCACTTGGGGTGAATCAACCCATCGAACATAAGTCTGATCGATATAAAGTACTATATACAGATTTTATCTACGCATAATTAGACAGATTCGAGACACGATTCTATGCATAAAGCGGATGAACGACCAGCCGGCATACATAATCCAGATCTCGGCAGTGGTCTATGCCGGAGGTAAGTGGGGAATTCACCGGGGATAAGATGTGAATTTAGAATTGCGCGTGCCGATACCCGGTAACCCCCTTGTATATATAGCTAATCAACAATGCCACGTTTTTCGTATCCTCCGAACATAAATATATCATAATGGCAGACGTTGAGAAAGGGATCATCACCCAAGAGGTGGCCAAACCTCAGGACCCTAACCTCGTTGACTTCGACGGCCCTGATGATCAGGAGAATCCGTTCAACTGGCCAAAATGGAAAAAAGGTCGTCAGCTGATTTTGATGGCCTTTAACACATTTATTACGTGAGTTAAAATGTATATTCAAGTTATTTTTGAACCATGCTAACCGACATAGTCCTCTGGCTTCGTCAATGTTTACCCCCGGAGTCAGCGATGTCATGAAGGAATTCGGCTCCACAAGTAGCATTATAGGCTCGTTTGTCGTTACCGTTTACATTTTGGGCTACTGCTTTGGACCCTTTTTGATCGCCCCACTATCTGAGATCTACGGCCGTGTGCCGCTATACCACGCCTGCAACCTGCTTTTCCTCATCTTCACCATCGCCTGCGCTGTGGCTCAGTCCATGCCGCAACTAATCGTCTTTCGCTTGCTGGCCGGTATGGCAGGTGTCTGCCCTCTGACGATTGGATCTGGCACCGTCGCCGACATGGTCCCCAAAGAGAAGCGAGCCGGAATCATGGCCATTTGGGCGATGGGACCCGTTCTTGGACCCGTTGTTGGCCCAGTCGCAGGCGGCTTTTTGGCCGAAGCGGAGGGCTGGCGCTGGGTGTTCTGGGTGATTGCCATTGCCGTATGTACCCATCCTATTTTGGAGAAATCAACGCTAACAAGACATAGACTGGTGTCATGCTAATTCTGACTATTATCTGGTATCGCGAATCCTACGCTCCAATCGTGCTCGAACACAAAGCCGCTCGTCTGCGCAAGGAAACTGGAAACCCCGACCTCCGCTCGATCCGTGATACTGGCAAACTCAGCCCGCGACTATTCCTAACGGCCCTAGCTCGTCCGTTGAAGCTGCTCTTTACCTCCCCGATCGTCTTTATGATGGCGCTCTACGCCGCTATTACATACGGTTATATGTACCTCATGTTTACCACCATCACCTCTATCTTTGAGGACAACTACGGCTTCGGTCCCGGTGTCTCCGGTCTCGCATACCTGGGCTTCGGTGTCGGCTGCATGATCGGACTGATCACCACCGGCAGAGTGGCCAACTATATCGCCAAAGACCATATCAAGAAAGGCTGCTTCGCACCGGAATCCCGTCTGCTGCCTATGATGGTGGGATGTTGGTTTATGCCCATTGGTTTGTTCTGGTATGGCTGGTCAGCCCAGGAGCACACCCACTGGATTGTACCCATTCTAGGCACTGGGTTCTTCGCCCTTGGCTTGATGACCGTTTTCTCATCTGCCAGTACTTATCTGGTTGACTCTTACCTGCGCTACGCGGCGTCCGTCACGGCAGCGAACACAGCACTGCGGTCGCTGGTCGGAGCTCTGCTGCCATTGGCTGGGCCATCGATGTATGATGCGCTGGGACTGGGATGGGGGAACTCACTACTGGCGTTCATTGCGCTGGCGATGTGTGCTGTGCCGTTCGTGTTCTGGAAGTTCGGAAAACAGATTCGCACCAGCCCTCGATTCCAGGTGAATCTGTAGGGATGGGAAAATTAAAAAGGGGCGTTGGGTTTGCATTTGCATTTGCATTTATTAGCGGCATTATGTTTGAAACACATGCATATAGAATATAGAGTAATGAATCAGGAGATAATAGATTAATAATTCCAAGGTTGAGGCCTTCAAATTTGTTCAAATTCAAAACAATTTCTTCCTAATATCGTCTTGATGACGCATAACATTCCTTGAGGGTGAAGCTGCTTTGAAGATCTAAACCAGGATGACGCATCCAGACACGAGAACATTAAATCCAGGCATGGACGAATCGAGCTAACAAATAAATTGTCTCTACCGTGGACTTTTAGGGAGCATGAAAAGCATGAACGGCCCCGAGAAACAGGCTCGGTTTCCATGGATGTCCTTCAAACTTCTCTATCAAGAATTGGGATTCTAGACCGCAGGATTGCCCGATGCTTACGAGAATCAAAATTTGAAAGACTATCATCACTCATTTCTGTATAGCAAGGCTATCGAGCTTTTCATATATGGCTTGCTTGATACAATCATTGGCCCAACACATATCCACGGCATTTCTCGCCAACTGAACCATCTCAGCCTCACTAAATCCACCATATGTATAAACTTTTTGCATATTGCCATCAATCCAAACATCATGCATCAGAGTAGGATCATCGCTGTTTATGCAAAATTTTACACCCCTATCCCACAGCCTTCGAATCTTCGAGAATAAAACATGCGTTGCAGTCCTGCGGTGATACGCGTGTGGACACAAAGTCAGACCAATGTTTCTATCCAGAAGGCCTCTCCATAGCTCCTCCCTATCCTCAGCATCCAATCCGTGATCAATCCGCTCCGCCCCTCGACCATCGCACACCTGGAATATCGCCTCAGTCATATGAGAATGCGTGTCTTTTTGTCCAAAGTCACAGTGCATGGTAACATGCAGACCATCTGCACGAGCGAGAGCAAAACCCTCTTCAAAAAGCATCGGCGGTCTCTCATATGCGTTGCTGGCTAGCCCCACAGCATGAAATAACCCCTTTCCACCTTCGACAGTCCCCGCTGCCCAGGGCCTCGCTTCGACATAGGCCTTCAACCCCTGTTCTACGGGCATATCACGCAAAAAACACATGATCCATTGAGAATGCACACCAAGTTTTGCAGCGGCGTCGTGTTGTGCCCGTAGATAACCATCAAGGACCGCAGCGGCTGGAACTCCGCGACGGGTATGAGCCTGGATATCAAAGAACGGTTCCGCGTAGAGCACGTTCATCGAAGCGCAGCGAGAAAGATAAGCCATTGCTAGATCATAGAAGTCATTCTCGGTGCGCAGAACTTCGCATCCTGCGAAATAGGCTTCTAGAAATGTTGGGATTCCGGGTTGGCGGCCGTTTAGCTCCGGGCGGTGATTTAATGTAACGGCGTATGATGCTTCTAGATCTTCGAAGGTGGTGTATGGGAGAATGATCTTATTGCGGTGTGCTAGCTCCCAGCGAAGGGAGGGCGTGAGAGTGCCTTCGATGTGAACGTGAAGCTCAACCTTGGGAAGGTTCGCTATAAAAGGGCTGATTGATAGACCGTTCATGTTGAAGTGTGTCGTTTTGAGATCATTGAATCACTTCAAGTATACAGTGTACGTGGATGCCAATAAGGAATACAGCGAATCGTCAATTGTGAATGTGGCGATCTGTTGGAGAGTAATCGGTCTAGAGGTGCGCACATCGGAACTTTCCGACACTGGAAACTATTTCTAATCTTAGTTTAGTTTACATCAACTCAATATACCATCTGTAACCTTGTCCAGCGGACTTTGTCCACTGCAAGGATCGACATGGAAATTCCCCAATTAGCCGATAACAGACAAGAGCTGCGGGGCTGGAGCCAATGAGAGTGTGAGGGGCGATAAGAGTAGGGAAGCTCTAACACGTGAATAAAAAGCAAGGGATATCTCCATCTTGATGTTCATAGAGGAACATTTCATGTTTGAAAGGTTCCAACATGGCCGAATCAAGTACGAGTCCGGCCGTCGAACAGGCTATGGACAACAACATCGCGAAACGTGTTTTGCGGAAAATCGACAGACGATTAGTTCCGCTCATGTTCGTCACGTACATGTTCAATTTCATGGATAAAACAATACTGTCAAGCGCCGCTGTTTTTGGGTTAAAGGATGATACGGTAAGCTTTGGAGAACAAACGAGAAATAGAAGAACCCTGCTGATTTCAATGTGTCTCAGGGACTGGTTGGCCAGCAATATAGCTGGGTATCGTCCGTTTTCTACTTTGGTTACCTGGGCTGGTCATATCCAACAACTTTCATGATTGCTCGCCTGCCGACAGGTAAATATGTGACTGCCAACACGTTTCTTTGGGGCACAGTAGTGGCTCTCACGGCAGCATGTACCAATTTCGGCGGACTTATCACCGTTCGCTTTTTATTGGGTGTTGCCGAAGCGACCATTACACCGGCTTTTATGTTTATTACATCGACGTGGTATACTCGTGATGAAATTCCTACTAGGACAGGAATATGGTTTGCAGGAAACGTATGTGCCCTCCTTTCTTGCTGGTTTCTGAATACTACTGACTCGAAACAGAGCGTTGGTGGCATTGTTTCCAGTCTTCTCGCATATGGACTGGGACACATCAAAGGAAGTGTTGGTCCATGGAGGTGGATGTTTATTCTCCTCGGCGTCTTGACCTTTCTATGGGGATTCGTCGTGTCGTTTTTACTCCCAGATTCGATTTCAAAAACGACGTTCCTTTCTGAAGAAGAACGCCAATATGCAACCAACCGAGTACTTGTAGCGGGAACAGGTACTACGGAAGAAACGGCCTGGAAGTGGGATCAAGTGGTGGAATGCCTGGTGGACCCAAAAACGTGGCTCATCTTCGGACTGGAGCTTTTGACTCAGATACCGAATGGAGGTACCCAGAACTTCGCCAACCTCGTTATCGTGTCCTTTGGATTTACCAGTCTTCAGTCCACGCTGATCAATATCCCATACTCGCTGATCACGGTGGCTACCATTGCTGGCACGGGGTGGTTGGCGGGTCGTTATCGCCAAGTCAATTGTCTTCTCATCATCGCCGTCGTTCTCCCCTGCGTTATTGGTAGTGCGATTATCTACTCCCGTGCCCATGTTGTTCTGGGCGTTCAGCTGTTTGGATATTTCTTGCTATCCACCGGGTCGGCTGCAATGCCTCTTGCTATGTCGCTTGTACAAGCTAATTATCGTGGGGTGACTAAGAAGATGACCGTGACAGCTTTGCTATTCTTGGCTTACTGTGCTGGAAACATCTCTGGTCCTCAATTTTTTCTCAGTGATGAAGCACCTACATATGGTACCGCTTTTCGCACAATCATGATTTGTTACGCTCTCACTATCATTCTAGCATTATGTCTGCGCTTTTATCTTCAATGGATGAATGCTCAGCGTGTACGTCGCGAAGGATTTGAAGGCAGCGCTGGAAATGCGGGTGCCGTCGGAGGGGGTAAAATTCTAGATGGGGATAATAATTCCCAAAATGTGGTTGACATGGTGAATCGGGTTCAGCTGGTATCTGATGATTATGAGGATATAACGGATTGGAAGACGCCAGGTTTCAGGTACCGATACTAGATATCTGTTTGGTTCGGTACCCAATTAGGTTGATTAGGGCATGGGAAAGAAGACCGAGCCGTGCTATGCTAAGCGCTCGGAACTGATATCTGATTGTGATTATGCATGTTATGAAATTCATGAATTTTATGATTGGTTCTCGTATCGACTTAAAAAAAAAACTATCCAATCGCCTCTCGTATGGACTTCAAAGTAACTATCCAATCGCCTCTGTAGACGCCTGATCGGCTATTTGCCCCCTGCATATGGAAATATGGAGATATGAAAAAGTTCAATCTTTATCTCTTTGCCGGCAGGTTCCGTACAATTTTCTTGGTGGAAAATCCACACCGGAATTCTTGGCAAAGACGCCATTAATCAAAAACAGTTAAAAGCCGGGATAAAATTTTCCGATCTTCTCTTCCAGGGGTCAAACTGCGCCACAACTTGACTCCGTGGGATGGAAAGTGTTCATGGGCATATTTCCGATAATGGCCTGGGTTGACTTGACTTTCAATCTAGTGAAATGGAAATCTTCAAATTATATACCATGGCACAAAAACGGAGATTCTTCGGCGTTTTCAACTTGAGGCTTCTGTTGTCTAAGATTTAGCATTATTTAAGCTTTGGCGATATTATCCCTGTTATACGTCCACCGTGTATGGGTCCAGTGATTGGTGTAGGTTCCGTGATTCAAGCCACAAGTAAGATATAATATTATTAATATACAAGAATGACATTGTGTGGCGTACTTTATTGTGACTAGGGACTGTCAAGCTGAACTATTGAGTCGTTTGGGTCCGGAAGAACATCCAGAATTGGTTAAGTGTGAGGTTCTAATATTTCTACGGACTCCGGCTCCGTTAAATTGATCTTCTCGGATCGGAAAAGACCGTTTGCCACAGCTATTCTGGTCTGGATCCTCCGACGCTTCGGGTCTGGAACTGGCCCGGGACCATAACCTTTCTGGAACGAACCGAAGCAAGCTTGTTGTTCCTGACATTTGTATGAATATCTCGGGTATTTCTACCGACTCATGTAAAAAGTCCACACAGTCCACGCCACAATCATATCTGGATTAGTTTGCTTTTCTTTTCTACTGTGGCGGTTGCTGCTTTATTATCAATGGCCCCCCTGTACTCCGTAGTTGTCCTTCACAGATCACCTAGAAGCCTTAATTGGGTCTTTGTTCAGGTGTGACGCGTAGTTCTACTTGCCTTTGTAGGCTTGTCAAGATGCGTCTTCTTTCTGTTTTGGGAATTGTTGGTCTGGCTGCTGCTGCCACCACGACGGCTACATCCACGGCCACGGCCACTTCCACGTCTACTAGTTCAACCTCCACAGCTTCCCCTAGTGAGTTTGGACACCTTGGTAGATGGTCTCAACTTCGATGGTATTAATTTGAAATGTAGCTTCCACTACCGCTGTTACTGTTGCAACTGATGGCAGTGCTCAGTTCACTGCTATTGGCGATGCCATTCTGTACGCCCAGAGCAATGGAATCCCCACGGTCACTGTTTCTGCAGGAACATATACCCAATCATTCACCATTTCGGCAACCCCCACCGTCACTGTCATTGGTCAAAGCAGTGATGAAAATGACTACTCTGGGAATGAAGTTACCATCACCAATTCTGGCGTCCAAACTCCCGGAACCCTTCTAACTGTGAATAACAACGTTAAACAAGTGACCTTTAAGAACATCAACTTCCAGAACACTGCTACAGCTTTGGGTGCCATGATATTGAAGGGAAACAAATACGCTTTCTACGACTGTCAAATTGTTTCTACGGGATCCTTGGCTGTCACTGCCAGTGTTGGTCTCGGTGTAATTGCCAACTCCTACATTGAGGCTGCCGATAAGATTATTTATGGTGGTGCCAATATCTATGTTTACAACACCAAGATCGTCCCTACTGATAACAACGCACTTGTGGCTTACATGAAGGGTACTACGTCTACTGCGGGATCGGTACTCTACAATTCGACTGTAGTCTTTGACCAGGTTACTGTGGCCCAGAAGTCCGGAGCGTCCAATACCAATGTCTATTTGGCTTCTGCCAATGGCGCTGGAATCGTTGTCGTGTACCGTGACTCCGTGTTAGGAAGTTTCATTGCTGCGTCCGGTGCTCACGTTGACACCATCACCCTAGACGGCTACAACTTCTTTGGAGAGTACGCCAACACTGGCTCGGGAGCTTACTCAAGCAATTCTGCGACTCGATCCAAGTATGTCTCTCTCCTGGATGCATCCGATTTGTCGGACTACAGCCTTGCTGCTGTCTTTGCTGCAGCCAACCCGACATACGCTTCTTCCGATATCACTTGGGTTGACTCTTCTGTGTTGGCCGCCATCGAGAGCGCAGATGTGATCACAACTACCTCCGTTGCTTCAACTACGGCCGCTGCCACTACAGCTTCCTCTGCCGCCACCACTAGCACCGCTGCCACTTCCACCACCTCCTCAGCCGCCACTGCCACATCTACATTCGTTGTCGACGCGACCTCGGGCCCTTATAAGAACGTCACCGCTGCCATTGCCGCGCTTCCTAGTGATGGAGAAGAGTACACAATCTACATCAAGAGCGGCACATACAACGAGCAGATTTCTATTACTCGCACTGGAAAGACCATTCTCCGTGGTGAAACTACCTACGAGAACGACTACACCGAAAACACAGTCACCATCGAGTACTCTAATGGAGAACTGACTAGTGCTGGTGAGGATGAGACTACTCCTGTTGTCAACGCCAAGAACACCGATGGCAAGGGACTAGCTATCTATAACATCGACTTCAAGAATACTTACCCCCAAACTGCCAACACTGCCGCCCTCGCCGCTGATTTCTACGGCACCGTCCAGGCATATGGATGTTCTTTTATTGGATACCAAGACACTCTTCTCGCAAACAAAGGCACCCAGGTATTCTCAAACTGCTACATTGAAGGTTCTATCGATTACATTTGGGGATTTTCGACCGCATACTTCTACCAGTCTGTCATCGCTACCAATACTGCTGGTGCATGTGTCGCCGCTATGAGCCGTGCTTCGGCCACTACTGCAGGTGGTTACGTGTTCGACAAGTGTGTTGTGACCTACACCTCAACTTATGGTAGCACATACGAGGACACCTGGCTCGGAAGACCTTATTCCGAATACAGTCGTGTTGTCTACATGAACTCGTATATCGACAAGCATATCAATCCCGCTGGTTGGCACATTTGGTCAACGAGCGCTCCTCAAACTGACTATGTCACGTTTGGAGAGTTCAACAACACTGGTCCAAGCAGCTGGTCCAGCAGCCGCGCATCGTTTGCCACTAACTTGACTGAGACCGAAGCCGAGGCTTACACACTGGCTAACTGGATTGGAGACACTACCTGGCTCGATATGGATGCTTTTAACTACGTTCCTTCTTACAGTCTGACTGGAGATGCTAGCACAACCACTACCACTACCACTACCACCTCAGTCTCGACTTCCACATCTACAGCCACTGCCTCCTGGACCCACCCCACAAGTGGTACCACTCCCCCCACTGGTGCAGTTCTTGTCAGTGTCTCTGGAGTTATCGATGGCTCTTATAGCAACCTGACGGATGCCCTGGCGTCTCTGCCTGATGATACCACAACACAAGTGATCTTCATGTACGCTGGAACTTATGACGAGCAGGTTCCGTCCATTGATCGAGATGGTCCTGTCATGATCATTGGTTACACCACCGGAAATCCTGGTCAAAGCTATGCCGATAACGAGGTTACCATCACCTTTTCTCGTGGGCTTTCCGTTTCTCCATTGCCTACAGGCCACTCTGATGCCGAAACGGCGACTGTTTCCACTGCCTCGACCCAGATTGCGTTCTACAACGTCAACATTATCAATTCGGACAACCTTGACGGTTCGGAATCGTCTTATGTGACTTTGGCTGCCTCCATATATGGCACCCACATTGCATTTTACGGTAAGTTTGAGTAATTTTCTATATATGTGACAACACTAACTCGCTCAAAGGTGTCTACATGCAGGGTTGGCAGGATACTCTCCTCACTGGCAGCACTACCGGTTACCAGTATTATGAGTCATCTTACATCGAGGGTGCCATTGACTTCATTTGGGGTTACTCCAAGGCCTACTTCAAAGGATGCACGATCGGAGCCAAAAGAGCCAAGTCGGCAATGACAGCGCAGAGCAGAGCTTCATCCAGTGCCATTGGAGGATACATCTTTGACCAGACACTATTCACTGCTGCGGCTGATGCTACAGTCGACCTCACTGAGACTGTGTATCTCGGTCGCCCCTACTCCGAATATGCGCTTGTCATCATCAAGAACTCCTACATTACCGATGTGATCAACCCATCCGGATGGAAGGTTTGGTCCACTACAGATCCTCGTACGGACTATGTCACATTTGGTGAATACAACAACTCGGGCCCTGGAAACTGGGAGAACAATGAGGCTGCTCGTGAGGCTTTCGGTTATGCCACTCTTCTCACGGAGGACAACTACTCCCTGGAAAGTGTTATGGATTCTACCGACTGGATTGATATGACCTACTGGGATTCTATTGACACTCCCACCTCGGTCTCGGGGACGGCGACGGCGACGGCGACAGCTACGGCCACCACAACCACTGCTACTGCCACTGCCACTTCGGCATATGATGGAACGACTCCGCCAACCGGAGCCTACATTGTCTCGAAGTCCAGTCTTGGATCAAACACAACTTACTACGATACTATCCAGAGTGCCCTCGATGCCATTCCCACTTCGTCGAAGGTCACGCCGACCATTTTCATTTACCCTGGAACTTACGAGGAACAGCTTGTCATTAGCAAGTCTGGATCTGTCATTTTGGCTGGTTATTCAGAGTCCACTTATGACTATTCCAGCAACCAGGTCACCATCCAGTACAACAGAGGTGTCGACACCCAAGCTGATGAGTCCAACTCAGACAGTGCAACGGTTTATGCTACTGGAAATTACTTCCAGGTACGTGGACTTGAATTTCTTGCAGGAAAGTTTATGCTAACAAATTCTTAGGCCATTAACATCAACTTCGTGAACAATAATGGTACAGAGGATGATGTCGCGTCTCTTGGTTTTGCTGTTAAGTCAAGCAAATATGCCAGTCTTTACGGTAAGCTATACGATCTATCTCTGGTTTCCATCCCAATGAATGCTGACATAGAATACAGGCTGTCAAGTGACAGGTAACCAGGACGCTTTGCTGATCAACGGATACTTCTGGATGTCGAACTCTTATGTCGAGGGAAACATCGACATGATTTGGGGAAGTGGTGCCGGTTATTTCCTCAACACCACAATCTCGCCTAATGAAGATGGTATCAACCTCACTGCCGATAAGCGCACGACAAGTACGACCGCTGGAGGCTTTGTCTTTGACCAATGCACAATCATACCTTCCACTGGCGCTGGAACCATGTCGAAGATCTCCCTCGGAAGACCTTGGAATGAATATGCTCGAGTCGCTTACATCGACTCTTACCTTGACTCCTGCGTTGAGGCTGCTGGATGGAACGAATGGTCTTCATCCAGCCCACAGACTTCTGGAGTTACCTTTGCTGAGTATAACAATTATGGTCCTGGTTCAAGCACCTCGAAACGTGCCACGTTTTCCACACAGCTCAATAGCACCGGAGCTGAGCAATTTGAAGTGGCCAACTTCTTCGCCACGACGTCCTGGATTGATTTCACTCACGTGTTTGGCGTGCCGTTCGTTCCTGATCAGAGTACCACCACGACGTCTGTCAGTGTTTCCACTGCTACCCCGACATCGACTTCTATTTCCACGGAGACTGTTACCACCACAATCGATGTTGTGACCACCACTACTTCGGACATTGTGGCTATCATTACACCAACTGACAAGACTTCCACTGTCAAGTCTACCATCACCCTGACTATTACACCTGATGTGGTTTCGGCGACAACAACAGCAAAGTCGACTATCACCACCACGGAGACTGTGACCGAACCGACAAAATTGACCACAACAACCTCAATTGTTACTATTGATGTTGGCTCGACCGTTACACCCGACGCGACGACTGTTACTTCAACTGTCAAGTCTACCACCACAGACACTGTGACCGTTACTGGAAAGGCCACCACTACAACTGTGAAGAGCACCTTGACTACAACATCCACAGTTACTGCCGAAGCATCCACTTCGACTGTCACAGATATCGCAACGGTTACAAGTGTGAAGACAACCAGCGCCAAGGCAGGCAAGACGACCTCCACTGAATTCGTCACTGTCGGTAGTGGAGGCACAACAACTATCAGCACCAAGGCAACAACTTCGACTGTTACTTCCACGTCAACAAAGACAACCACCAAGACCGTTACCACAACCATCAGCTGTGATGCCGCTACAAAGAAGAAGCGCGATCTTGTTCCCCGGGCTATTACTGCCAAAGTGACTGCCTATACCACTAGCGTGGATGTCGTGACGAAGACTTCGACCTCAACATTGGCAGCCGCAACTGACTATGTCACTTCTTTTGTCACAAAGACAACATCCATCAAGGCCTCGACCATTACCTCCACTGTCACTTCTCTTGCCACTAAGGTCGCGAGCACCACAATCCCAGCCGTCACCTCCACTGTCACTACCGTAGAGACAACTTCAGTTGGCAAGACCACCACTCTGAAGGCATCGACTGTCACCAGCACTATCACTACAGCATCCGTGAAGACGCAAACCGTGACTTCCCCTGGTGAAACGGTAACAACTACCAGCGTCAAGACGACAGGTGTCAAGAGCACGCTTTCGCTTCCTGCTTCCACTACCACGATTACCAAGACGACAACTATCAAGAGCACCACTACTCTTCCCGCGACCACAAGCACTGTCATCAAGACATCCACTGTGACCAACGAACCCTCGGTCACTATCACTGAACGGGCAACTTCTACTTCGACCAAGGTTGTAAGCACCACGTCGACTGCTACCGTGACCGCAACAAAGACGGCCAAGTGCTCTTGATTGGAATTCTTTGATTTTCAATGAGGCCTTTGCCTGATTTCTTCATCCGACTTCTTCCACAATTTTCTTACTCATCTTCTCTCCCTCTTCTATATTTTTCTCTTTTCTTGTCAATTCTTTCCATCATTCTCCATCTGTATAGCTATACATAATTTCTACTAGTTCAAATACAATACTCTGATTTCATGTTTACGAGGTCGCCTGGGCCCTTGCGGATATATAGATTCTTGGTAGGATTCTCCTTCATTGCTTCTTCATTGCTTTCAAATCTATTCCACCCTGGTCCCTGAGCTAGTCCCAATTCGAAATCCGCCATTTATCGGACTGGGCTTTACTCGGTTCGGGATCGACCATGCCGATCATGAGGATTCCCAAATGTAACTCTGGACCGGACTCCTTGAGACATTCCTGGAAAAACACTCTTTCATTCGCTAATCATGCTCGTCATTTCACATTGGCTGAGCTTTTGCCTCCCAATTTCCCCCGGAGTTCGCTTTCTAAGGTTCTTGGGGTTCAACTGGTGAAGCAATTTCCCAGTGAATCATAAACAACAATGATCGACAGATCACGGACCAATCGCAGCCGCGAGTCTCCGTCTTCCCCCGTGGGACAATATATGGGCTTGAAGGACAGAATCATGGGTGGTGGACATATAAGGAGGCAATAAATCCTGCATATCTGAGCATATTTCTCAATTTTATCATGTTGACCTACAATCTTGTGACACTTGCCCTGTTGGCGACGGGCGCCACCTCCTCAGCCCTGCACCCTACACGTCGCCAGTTAGGCTTGAGTGACTACATCCAATCTGAATCTTCTATCGCTCTGCAAGGTGTGCTGGACAATATTGGTAGCAATGGATCTAAAGTTGTGGGAGCCTCGTCTGGGGTTGTGGTGGCATCGCCATCCAAGGCGAACCCTGACTGTGAGTCCCCGGAAAAAGCAAAGAAATGATAATTGAGGGCTGACACTTCTAGACTTTTACACTTGGACCCGAGATGCAGCTCTGACCTTGAAGGTCCTCGTTGACAGGTTCATTGCGGGGGACGGCTCATTGGAATCGACCATCCAGCAGTATATCTCTGCCCAGGCCAGATTGCAGACTGTCTCCACTCCGTCTGGAGATCTGTCTGATGGGTCGGGCCTGGGTGAACCCAAGTTTGAGGTCAATATTACGGCTTTCACTGGTGACTGGGGTCGTCCCCAACGCGACGGTCCAGCTCTGCGAGCGACCGCTCTTATTGCCTACGGCAACCATCTGATCTCGACTGGGCAAGAATCTGTCGTCACGTCAAACATTTGGCCCATTGTGGAGAATGATCTGAATTACGTCGCACAATACTGGAACCAGACAGGATACGATCTCTGGGAGGAGATTCAAGGTTCTTCCTTCTTTACCATTGCCGCACAGCATCGCGCCTTGGTGGCGGGGAGTACCTTTGCCCAGTCTCTAGGCCAGTCATGCACTGGGTGTGATTCTCAAGCTCCTCAAGTCCTGTGCTTTCTTCAGGATTTTTGGAACGGCACCGCTGCTATTGCGAACTTAGCGAATGACGGGCGCTCGGGACTGGATGCAAACTCCTTGATCAGCTCTATCCAAACATTCGACCCTGAAGCTGCATGCGATGACACAACCTTCCAGCCCTGTTCTGCGCGTGCTCTATCCAATCATAAGCTGGTTGTTGACTCTTTCCGCTCTATTTATACTGTCAACAGCGGTAAATCTGCTGGTAGTGCGGTCGCTATTGGACGCTATGCGGAAGATACCTACCAGGGCGGGAATCCTTGGTATTTGGCCACTTTGGCCGCTGCTGAGCAGTTGTATGACGCTCTCTATCAGTGGAATAAGCAAGGGTCCCTACTCATTACTCAGACTAGTCTACCCTTTTTCCAGGCCCTCGTCTCCTCCTCTGCCGTTGGAAATTACTCCAGCTCCTCGTCCACTTACTCCGCTGTCACTAGCGCTGTCAAGACCTATGCGGACGAGTTCGTCTCCATTGTGCAGCAATATACGCCCAGCAATGGATCTTTGGCTGAACAGTTTACCCGGGCCAGTGGTACCCCGACCTCTGCCGGGGATCTGACTTGGTCTTATGCCGCGTTCTTGACTGCCGGAGATCGCCGAGCTGGTACTGTACCAAGTTCCTGGGGCGCTTCCAGTGCGAACCAGGTTCCTTCGCATTGTCAAGGAAGCTCCGCAACGGGAAGTTATGCCACCCCTTCAGTTGGTGCATGGTAGATCGATAGTAGCTAAGAGCATACATATTATCGTTTGTGATCTCCCTCAAGCTTTAATCCAGGATCTATGGAAATATAATCCATGAAAACAATACAAGAATTCCCCCCCCGGATTGAGTAACGAGTTTTAGACCTCTTAGGGTTATTATGTGTGAATTTTCGTTCTAGAACCTATTTTAACACTTTACCTAATGAGACCTCATAACTGGTCAGTGACGAAAGTTATCTTTTGACTTAACCGGTGTTTGACTCAGGAAAAATCAATATATTCCGGACACCTCAGATCTTCCCCAATTGTGTACTTCGTACAGTCAAAGTATTTCGATCCTTACTCTTACTTCAGAACAATCAATTGGAATCCTTTTAATCATAGTCAACCCAGTTGGTAGTCTAGCAACATAATCTCTGGATTCTCTGCGTTGACTGAGGTAAAAAAAATACATGAGAAAGAGCTAACTGTTCCTGTCCAGAGTCGAACTGAAGACCTCGGCATTACAAGTGCCGCGCTCTACCAACTGAGCTACAAGAGCTATTTTCATTACATAACGCGACATTTTGGGCACATGAGGTTAAGTATCATAATCAAACGATCAAGTAGATATGCCACATGATTGGTCGTTGCCCTGTCCCGTCCCGAAACCAACCAAAATTATAACTACCTAAATCATCTCTCTAAATTGGTCAGAGATATTAGCTGCATTGTTTAAATACTAGCTGTGAGCTCCCAGCTTCCGAGCAGCATTTACATTTCACAGCTCATTGTTAATAGAAATGCCGTCCGTGGTCCAGTGTACAGTACACTTTTTTGTAGAACCGCTTATAGTATCCGGTGTGAATAAGGGGAGTGTCAACACGTTGTGGAAAGGTATAATTGCTATCGAAATAACTGTCTAGACATGTGTGTCGACAAAAAAGAGTATAAAAAAGATTATAAAAGAGTGGTTATAATGGGGACAGCTTGAGAACAGACAACTCAAGAACGCAAAACATTCCTTCTCCGCGCGATATACACGCACTTAATATCACTCTCAGCTTTCACTCTTGAAATGAATTTTGTCTACTTGTATCACGCAAATGGATTGAAAAAATTTTATGGAAAGTTCAAGGAAACAAAAAAGAAACTGCTCACGTCCAGATTTGAACTGAAGACCTCGGCATTACTAGTGCCGCGCTCTACCAACTGAGCTACGCGAGCTGTTGCTGAAATCAAATTAACAAAATGGCTATATAATTTTGAACCTTTATGGAATGCCAGTGGTTGATCGATAGTCCGCTGCATTAATCAGGTGACGTAGTAAGCAAATACAAATTTCAGAAACCCAATACGAAATACATGAATTGCTATAACAACCTTGGCCTTCATCTGACTTCTATACTCGTTCATTGCATAGGTGATGTTCTATGCTTATTTCATGGGTAGGACATGAACAAATCAAAGCTCACTCATACCATGGTCAATTAACATCTAAATATATAGCACTGATGAGTAAATATGTATATCTTAGATATTGCTCAACTCCGGCATATCATAAACCACATGGGGCAATTCGACACCCTCCGGAGCCGTCAAGATTCCAAACTCAAAAGTGTAACCAGATCGCGAGTAACTTTGTCCATAGAAGCCTACAATCACTTCGCCATCAGTTGGTTCAAGTGCGACTAGACCTCCATCCTCACCATCTTCCTCAGTACCAATGTTGCTATTAGTGTCATAGTCGCCGTCCAGATGACCCCATTTGTCTCCATTACTCAGAGACATTCGAATCCCGGACAAACTACCAGCCCAGGAAGGACCCTCTTTGCGAATCAAGACTCTGGTGATGGTTTCATTTTCGGGGAGATCATGGCTCTCTGAAGCATGTCCTCCGAAGTTGTGTGGGTGGCCTCGCTGGTCACGAGCAGGGCCGCAATTCTCATGCGTCCCATCGGCATAGTGCACAACCGCTCCGTCCATGGTACATCCGACGCGAAGATCAATCGAAGTAGCACGGTACAACTGGCCATTCCTGCCGCGGTGCTGGAGAAGCATAGCCCATGGAGCAAGTTCATCGCCTTGGTTCTCTTCAGTGAGCAGCTCGCAGCGGACCGATTGTTTCCGAATGACAAGATCGCTGCCGGGAATCAGCATGTAAGGTCTTTCTTTCAGCAATTTCCACGCGTCGGTGACCATTCGCTCTTTGCCATTCATTCCCAGGGCAGTTATCTTCAATGATTTGGCCCGGTCCAACTGTTCAGCGATTGTGTCGATGGAAAGTCTTGTGCACTGGCCCGTCCAGTCGTTCCCCATGGTCTCCTTGTAATAGACTTTCGGGTCCTCCTCACCACTTTGAATAGTCACTTGGGCAAGACCTGCTGAGCAAGACACGCTGAGAGACTCTGAGCTGAATTTTTCATCGCTACCAGCTTCTTCATCTTTGAGATCAGCCTGAATGCGCACCGCGGCATTCTTGTACTCATTTGACACAGGCCTATCTCCGGGAATTGCAAAGTGTGGAAGAAGCTTGAATCGGAGAGCATCACGGATGTCCCACCTCGCGTCATTCACCATATTGTTGTTTGTCTTGTGCTCGATGAAATTCATCGCCCAGGATTTGCTGTATCCTCTCGCCATGATACCAGTTGTATGATCGGCGCCAAATGCGTGGCCGACTTCGTGAAGGAAGGCTCCCTGGCCGACAAAGCACGCCCCGCGCATTGTGTCGCATTCGCCGTTGTCATTACCAACAGTATCACCGACAACTGCCATATCCGTTAGACAAGCAGGGACCTCTTCCAGGAAACGGGGCCAAGAGTAGGTAAGGTGACTGCCGAAAATTCCCAGCGAGATCCCATCAGGCTTATGGCAGCCCAAGGCAGCGTGACCCATAATCATAGATTTTTCCACCGAATAGTGCGAGTCGAGGATCATTCCAGCTACAACAGGTCTGCATCGTGATTCAAAGAGACCACCCGACTTAGCCAGAGCTTCCTCAAAGTATCGATGCAGATCATCCCGGTTGCGACCACGAGGATTCTGCTGGGCAACATCCGCATCTCTGATCTCCGCAACAGATTTATCAGAACGGATAATATGAACCTTTGCAACAGCAGCCATGCGACCATAATCACCAGGTGTCATCTGATGACCAGCCTGCAAAGTCGTATTAGACATCCACTCCTCCTCCAGCCGGAACGAGCGTCTACCCATTCCCTTCTGCCGGAAATCTTCTGCCGTCAGAGCCTGCCACATATACGCCGACATGCGGAGTTTGGCAATCGCAGCGTCCAGACTACTATGCGCAGTGGAAATCCCGCCGTACTTAGCAGGTGGACAATCGATAAGCAGAGGCGAGTCGCTCGCCACAAGAATCGCCAAATGAAGTGGTGGAAGTTGCAACAGAGGAATGTAGTTGACTGTGATCTTTAGAGCGTCTGAGATTCCTCCAGCATGATGCAATTGGAAAGTTATCGTATTGCTTCCAGGAGTGAGCATGACAAGAGCCTTCCATTGCCCTTTGTTCAGGGGCCAGTGGGTGGCAGACTTTGACTTGGTGAACGCATCGTCCGACCAGACAGAGATGAAGGTGGTCTCTTCGTTGTAATCGAGTGCAGGACATGTGCCGTCCACAAGGATGCATGTTTGATGTAGAACGTCGCCATCTTTCAGGTTGACAATTTGGAATGGGGTTTGTTCTACCTTCGCTGGTTTAACTCGACGTTTGGCCGAGGCCGAGGTAGATTCAAGTGATCGCTTTGCCATGGTTGTAATTTGTAACGATCTTGGGGTCTAGGTGAAAAGGAGAAGTAAGCTCGCTTATAAAGTAAAAACACGGGTCAACAAGCTTTAGGCACCGGACGGCATTTCCAGGCATCGATTTGGTGGCGTTTATCGCCCGCCAGAACCGGTTAGCCGTGGTAGCTGCTGCCTATGAAAAGCTTCCACAACTTCCAATTTAAGCGATAAGCGGAGCCTCCGAACTAGGCTAGTCAAATTGGACCCTTGGAACATTTTATGAACCATGAAACTACATAAGCTCAGATGTGTAGAAAATAAGCGAGTGGAATTCCATAGAAACGCAATACTAAGCTGCTTTAATAGAGGATGATTGCACTCAAATGTTTCAAGAATTGGCACCCCATCCCGCCGTCAATCTCCAGCCTTGTGATACTTCTCCGACTCCCCGAACAAGTCCTACCACATGATCAACAAATCCAGCATCTCCACTATTGACTCGCTCCCGTCTCTCCCGTTCTGCTTCGGAATCACCACGCTGGATACCAAGGAGCTGATCCGTATTCAGTCCCTGGACTTGTTCCGCATCCATCCTTGTAAGAGTATTACCCTGTCCGGTCCTCTGGCTCCATGCCATTCGTTTGACGGCCGGCCCCCAAAAATCTCCCAGGGTGGCTTCATCCCGACCACAGGCGTACTTTTTGACAAGTGGATTGTTGGGATCAATGGACAATGAAGAATGCCAACGTGTATGAGCCAGTTCGTAACGTTTTTCAAGCAACCATATGATGGGCCATGTGATAATCCAAAGCTGGAGAATAACAACCGCCCACCATACGTAGCGGTTCGCGCGGAGACGGTTGATCCAATGGGGAGAGTAGATAGTGACCGACTGTTGAGCCACAGTAAACGTGAAGTCGACGGAGCCGAGGTAGTTGAGAGAGCGGATATGTGAAGCAAGAACATTACGCATGGCTTTCCAATCGAATCCTGATACTTGGCGGTGGAGGGTGAATCTAACCAGTGTAAGTCAACAGTTTTGGGGGTTTCGGAGAGAAACGTACGATTTCACGGGGGAAGGGTCATTGCAAAACCGCTCACACCACAATTTCAGATTCACATCATTGGAAGTGGGTCGTTCATCAGCATCGTCGGCATCCAGGCCTTCATCTGAAACGAGGAGGGCATCACTGTCCTCCGCATCACTGCGCGAGTGACGCGGCGCTTTGTATGTGCGAGACTTGAGCCTTCCACCACGGAAAGCAGGCTTGCAATCCCCGTCATTGAGGACTTCCTCCTCTGACCATTTCCAATTCCCCTGTGGCTCGCCCTCCCAGCCAGTCAACATGGTTTCTGCCAGATCAAGCTTAAATTCAAAGTCGGTGACAGTGTTGCTGCCCTTCTTCTTTCCATCATTGGTCGATTCACTATGAGTGCCCTTAATCCAAAGTAGTGGTCGCGGGGGCAGCTTCATCTGCCGGCGAATAGCATAGAAGAGCTCATTGCTGTTGCGCGAAAGGGATGGCGCGATTGAGATGGCGCGCTTGTCACTGGCCTTGAGGTCGCATCCCGGAAGAAGGTAAGCCGAATCAACCAGTCGAAGGTGGAGAGGAAGAGGAAAATGAGCGATACTTTGGGCAGAATTAGAGCTCGAGACTGGAGGAATGAAGTCAGGTTCATCTGTGTAAGGGGGCGGCAGGTCATCGATGGAATGAAGCGAATGAGAAGATGCCGCGTCGGGGCGATCATCCTTGCTGATGCGACCCATGGTTCGGCCGACTATAAACACAGGGAATTTATAGAATAACAATCAGGTTCAGCACCAGAATTTCGTGAAGGAAATTTCAATCTCAATTATTGTCGAAGTTAGCTTAGACAGAAAAAGGGATTTTGGGGGTTTTCAGGGTCTGAACTTTTTAGGCTGCAAGTACGGACAGGAGCCGCTTGCCCCTCTCCACTTGAAAACTAGCCTAAGTAAGGTTAGACTTGCGGGTATTTATAAATATCGCGGTATCTGTCCCGATCGGGGGTTTACCCGTTATCTATCACGTGGTTGGTTATGTCCTTTTTGGGGGGTTGAGTCCCTGCACCTGATATAGGAGTTCAGGTACTTCGGATATTTCGACGGCCACTTTACCTTCCAAATAATCCAAAAAAGAACTCCACTCACAGACAACAGACAACATATTAAATGGAATGACAATACAATGTCTAAATTGAAAGATAATGAATTGCATTGCGGTCATGAATCATTGATCGTTAGTTAATAGATCCAAAAAAGTCTCATTGAACTTCGACATCTGTAGCGTGACCAAGCGTGACCTAGCGCATTATACACCTTAAAGCTACAATATTTCACGGGTGTTTTGCTGTGTTCCAGGGTTGGGTATGGTTTTTTTTTTTTTTTTTTTTCCAATTTGAGCTAATAAATCATGTGATTTACACCAATTCGGCCATGTCCTATGGCCCACTGTACTCGGTACAAGTACTACCGTCGCGCGGAAGTGGTGTAGCTGGAATGGGTTCATGCCCGGTGATGGATTTATCAATTATATGGAAACGAATCCATTTCTGGAGACTTTTGACCTTCATAAGTTAGTTAAGAATGATGAGTACCTGAGGCAGAAACGTAACTCAAGGTGTATATTTCTTTCCCTTCTCGTTCTTTTTTCTTTTCATGACCTGGGCTAACTGAAAACAAATAATATTCTGAAGTCTATAGTCGTCTATAAATGCATCATTAATATATCAAAGCCCGCTTGGCCAAGGGGTAAGGCGTTGCACTTGTAATGCAAAGATCACTAGTTCAAATCTGGTAGTGGGCATTTCTTTTTATGGATTTTTGGAAATTTGTATTTACTTTTTTTTTGTTTCATTTGCCTCGTAAAACTTTTCTTGACGTATTTCTTGTCTATTCGCCTCATTTTTTCTCCTGTCTTTTATTGCATATCCTCCCTGATATGTCCTCCGTACTATAGAGGATAATCCGAGGTTTTGCTGCACTCCGAGGCCTCCGGGCGGGTTGAAGATTCTATCTATATCTTATCGCCTCCCTTGCATTTGCGAAGCACAGTTGATTGTGTTATTCACTACCTATTGTGTCTTTCCTTTCTATGCGACAATTTTAATTCTGGAGTTTATATATCTGACACTGCTGCGTGTACTGATAATTGACATTTTCTAATGCCCATCGTAGTTTGTGATCCCGTGACTGGGAGGGAAACATACTAACCTTTCCCAGACTAGTGCAGGTTGACTAACTTTCATGTCATCCTTAGAAGTTAGGGCTCCGAGATTTCAACCGGCTTGAGATTTCAAAGCCATGACAAAAGTCTTATTTGATACGGAAGTTTTCCGATTCTAAGTGGGGCCTATAAGGAAGACCTTGCAGGTCGTGCTTGGCGAATTTGATGATCTGATAATTAGACTGGTTCAATCTTGATCAAACAGTGATCACTGATCTTCAGTGGTAGTCTAGGTCTGATTGCGTTGCTCGCTATAACTGCACCACCTGATGATAGCTCAGCATATAATTTTCAACGTGAGGTCGACCCACAGGGGTCCTTGTCATGCTGAGCAATGTTCTACAAATATTCTACTGTAGAAATCCGGGTATCCGAAAGTGGATCAGAATCCACATCTTCAATATTACTGCCCCACCCTTTCTTCAGGTACTTGAGCATATAAAAAACCCATGATATGCTCCTGTCTTTATCTTGTGCGTGCGAATTTCGTTTATTGTTCTTTTCCAAGTCCGAACACCATGATGTTCTTCCAAATCGCAGCCGCGATGGCTGCCATTGGCACGGTTTCGGCCACCTTCCAGAACAACACCTACGACTACATCATCGTCGGTGGCGGTCCTTCAGGCATCATCACAGCCGAACGCATTGCCGAGGCCGGAAAGAAAGTTCTTCTCCTGGAGCGCGGTTATGGCCCGACTGTATCTACCGGGTCCAATGATACTCTGGTGTGGAACAACACTCTAACCGGAATCGATGTGCCTGGCCTGTCTGGCGATATCGGCAATCTCCCTGAGTGGGAGCAGTATATCTGTACCGACACTGCGGGTGAAGCTGCTTGTGTTCTGGGTGGCGGTGTCACGGTGAACTACATGGTTTTCGTGCACCCCCCGGAGCGCGATTTCAATGATAAATGGCCCCAGGGATGGAACTGGAATGATATGAAGTCCGCTGCAGCTCGGCTATATCAGCGCAATCCTGGTTCAACTTTGCCGTCGCAAGATGGGGAGCTTTATGACCAGGGCTTGTACTCCACTCTGAAGGGCTTCTTCAGCAACCTTGGATGGACTTCGGTCGATATGAGCGAGCAACCCAATGAGAAACACCAGGTTTACAGCCACCCCGCATGGAACATCAAAAATCAGATGCGTGCCGGTCCCGTTCGCACCTACCTTCCTCTTGCCGAGCAATATGACAACTTCCAGCTGAGCATGGGCACCAAGGTCCTCCGCCTCATGCGGACTGGTGGTCAGATCACGGGCGTCGAGGTGGAATTAGCTTCTGGGGAGACCGAGATTATCACTATGTCTCAGAAAGGCCGCGTTATTCTGTCTGCAGGTGCTTTATCAACCCCTCGTGTCCTTTGGAACTCCGGTATTGGCCGAAAGGAGCAGATTCGAATTGCCCAGGAGAGCGGAATCAACGTTCCCGCTGAGCAGGAATGGATCGACCTCCCTGTCGGCGAGGGATTGAAGGATCACCCGATTTTCCCCTTTGTTGTGAAGACAAACGGCTCATTCAACGTTCCTGACTATACCGCGATCGTCAATGGCTCGGATACCACTGATATCTCGCTCTACCATGAGGGAGATGGTCTGCTGGCTCAAGGCAAGCACCGCATGATCTTCTTCACTTCCAACAATGTGGATGGTCAGACTCGGTACTACCAGGGATCCTGCGCCCCCTCTGCCGAAGATACCGTCTCCATCACCGCATACATGACCCACGGCGCTACTTCCTCCGGCGTCCTCGGGTTGGATGTTGATGGCAACACTATCTTCCTCAAATCTCCTTACCTCAACACCCAGGGTGACCAGGAAGCTGCAGAGGTCTTTGTCCAGGGCTTGATTGACGATTTGAACGCCGCTGGATGGGATCTGGAGACCTACACGAATGCTTCCTCTATCATTGAGAACTACACCCAGGGTGTTCACTGGACTACCACTGCCAAGATTGGTACTGATGATGGCCGCAAGATTGGTGGTTCATCTGTTGTCGATCTTGACACCAAGGTATATGGTACTAACAACCTTGTACGTATTCCTCCACACTTAATATCTCGCTTTCTTGCTGCTTGTTCGAAGTTTTTGCATACTAACATCATAACTACAGTTCATCGTTGATGGAAGTATCCACCCTGACCTCCCGTCCGGTAACATCCAGGCCACTATCATGGTCGTTGCCGAGGCCGCAGTTGCCAAGATTCTTGCACTGTAGATGGTGCGGGTAATACTTGCAAGCAGAGAGGAGGAATTTTTGAAAAGAGAAGAATGGGCACGATGAATGGGGCTCTGGAAGATTTGGAAGTGACAGATTTGATAAAGGGGATTCCCACACGCTGTGCAGGAAAATTCTTGGTGATCACATACCCCAAAATCTAACAGTGGGGTATTGTCTTCGTCTGAGTGAGAGACATAATGGTATGAACAACCTCGGAACGCATAGAGTACATCGGTATTCACCTAGCGCCTTATTGAAAAGTAGATTGCATGTGTGAGAATAACAAAAGAAGCACGATAATATGTACGGAGGGAGCTTGCTAGACAGTACACAGGGCACAACCTACCTAGACACCCACCATTGTTATTCACTTCGCTTGTTTTCTTCCTCAACTCAACTCTAGCACGCGTTCCTCTCAACTTCCCCTAAATTCATTCAAATCATTTCTAGCGACATTCACACATCATCATGCATATCGCCGAGGATATCCCCCCTCAACTCAGAGACAATCAGCAATTAGTATGGCTCCAAGAATTCACCTTCGAGTTCTACTACCCGGGCTCACCTGTTCCGGTCGATGAGTGTAAGAGTAAATATCTACAGACTCACAGCAACCGTCTGGATGAATGGTTTCCTACCGAGGCTCTCAACTTCCCTGACCTCATGGAACAACTGAGCCCATACGATCCGGAGACTCAGGAAATTACTTGGAGTCCCAACAGGCCCCATCCTGGCAATGCATACCTCATCGAAAGACAGGTAGAAGAGGTGACCTTGACGGAAGAAAACTACCATGCTCTCATTGAGAAGGGTATTACCGAGTGGTGTGGATATTGCCCAAAGCCCCCGAACCCATGGCCAGACAACGACATTTGCGTCTACTTCGTGATTCGCGGGAAGGTTGAATGATCCTGGTCAGTCTCTTATCACTCCCTTCTAGTTCATCATTGTGGGGTTGAGCTTACTGATTGTACTTGCAGGTCATCTCAAGATGCAGGACCACTGGTACTAAACCCAATTCAACAATTCGAGGACCATAGTGAGTGCGAAGCTCACTGCTTTTACAATCCCAAATAACAAGTGTTTTGACGTTTGGGAGATCCAGTGGACCGATCAGAAGGACCGATGATATGGGAATAACCACAGTGTACGCAAGATCTGTGTTGTTTCTCGGGGCTAAAACGCCATTTTGCGGTAATTTCCTCAAGTCTAAACATAGATACAAGTTACGCCCTTTACATTACATCTACCACATGACATCTACCTGATCAGCACAAGTCAACCTTAAATACTAAATTTTATCCCTTTACTCTTTCTCTCATGTTTACAGTCCAAAGTCAGCACAAACTACAAGTTTTAACATTCCACCTCCACAATGGCCGATCTGCACTTCCGCATCGCAACCCTAACCGATGCACCCTTCATCCAACAACTTGTGCAATCCGCATTCCGCGCAGAAGATACTCGAGAAAACTGGACCGCAGACATGGAACTAGGAAGAAACTTTACTGTCTCCATTGATGATGTAACGAAAACAATCACCATGCCAAACACTGTTATTCTCCTCGCCTTCACCAACGATCATCGCGAGATACTTGTGGCTTCAGTCGATGTATCTCAGCGCACGAATGACTATGCACGTCTTTCTATGGTCGCTGTGAACACCGATTACCAGCAGGCGGGGGTTGGAAGACAGGTGCTGGCTTATGCGGAGGAATACGCACGTGAGACGTGGGGCGTGTCGAAAACAGGACTCAATGCTCTTTCTACACGTCAGGAATTGATTGCTTGGTATTTGCGTCGTGGGTATCAGAAGACGGGGGAGAGGTGCCTTTTCCTAGAGAGAAGTTTCCCAATTTGGTATTGCCGGAGGATGTATGTTTTGTGGAGATGGAGAAGGGATTGGCTTGATATATTACCTTGGGTTGACGTCTAACTGAACCCTACTGGTATAGCTAGTGTATGTATGTGTGCCTTGGATAAGACTTCAAGATTAATCTACCAGATATCATCAAGACATTTTAGGACGGTCAAGGAAACAATCGATTTCATAACAAGCGCCGGGGGGGGAAGTTTTTAGTTTTTTTGTTTTGAAAAAGTAGTTTCCTTTTGCTTTCTCGTTCGTTATTAACAAGAAGCTTGAGTATCACATCATCATCGCATCTTCCTATTGCCCCCACATTCCCTTTCCAGAAAGCCCGTGTCAACTGAAAAAGAGCCCGACCATAGGAAGAGTCGAAAAGTAAAGGCCGACCTAGAATTCGAGGGGGAACAAATCACTTTGCAGGGGCCGAATCCTGGAACAAACCCACAAGGGAACCGCTTTCAACCTCCGCACCGTCGCCGAAAGAGAGAAAAACGTCACACAACGGAATGGGATTTTGAGGAATTTTACTCCTGGGCCTCGAGGGCGGTGCGCTTGGCCTCGGTGCGCTCTGCCCGACGCTCGCGGAGAGCCTTGTTCTTGGCACGCTTGGCGTCCATCTCCTCCTTGAGGATACGCTCGCGTTGGCGCTCAGCCTTGGCCTTCTGGATCTGTAGAGTGAAAGAAAATGGGTCAGTCGGAGATATTCCTGCAAATTGCGAGTGGCGGGGTATGTGTCGTAGGTCGATTTATAGGGGGAAATGAAATATCGGTGATACTTACGTGCTCAACAAGAGCGCGCTTGTGCTTGAAGGTGTTACCCTTGCTCAGGTGGTACAGCTCGTGGTAGAGGTGCTTGTCGATCTTGCCAGCGGCACGGTAGCGGACGAGGAGACGACGGAGAACACGCATGCGGCGCATCCAGAGGACCTGGCTGTAAAATAGAAAATGACACGATCAGCATGGATGTTGCATATCGGCACCCCCTCTTTGAGGGGTCGGAATTCCATGAAAGGGTCCTGCATACCTGGGCATACGGGCGTCCTTGGTACCCTTGCGCTTACCCAGACCGCGGTGACGACCGATGCGGCGGGCCTCGTTGAGCTCACGGGCGCGGGAGCGCGAGTGCATGGTGACGGGCTTGCGGATGATGAGGCCATCGCTGACGAGCTTGCGGATGGTCTGACGGGAGTTGGCGTTGGAGATCTCGTTCATCTCATTGGGGTCGAGCCAGATCTTGCGCTTGCCGCAGCCGACCACGGAGGCGGCGAGGCGCTTCTGGGTGCGAAGGTTGACCCTACAGGAAAAAAAAGTCGAGGTCAGCCTCTGCCACACAATCACATTCATCGATATCGATCCATTTTTCCTTGCTCGAGTGGGCGAAACAGCGAGTTCGGTGCAATCAAATTATAGGGCATGGGTTCTCGTGTAGGTAGTGTATTTGATGGCACTCACATCTTGATGTCGGCGTATCGACGGTCTTTTGGCGGATGATGTTCGTAGGGCACTCGACTGGGAAATCCAGGCAGTGAGAAGTTGGGCGGGCCGATTAGCTAATTCATGGTAAGCGAGTGCTTCGTCCACACTAGGGTATTAGGGCTGCACCCTTAGCCCTACTCCTAATCAGGTAATCCGGATCTCGAAAATGAAAATAGAAAAATCTGGGGCAGGAAACAAGACTTATTGTATGGGGAAATGCCCTCCAAAGTTGGTTTTATGGATTATAGAAGAAAAGAAAAATCATTCTCTATTAGAGCCACCAGTTCATTCTCTCTTATACACCCGGACTAACAACTTGACTTGATCTGACTGTCAATTGTTTGCATTGAAATTTTAACACGTGACCTGGAGGTGGATCTCAATCACATGATATCAATGTTCCCAATGTGGAAAGGCTCCACTATACATGTATACATAACACCCCAGGATGAACTACTACTATATCTATATCCGCTAATGATCCCAAAGACGAGATAGGAAGAAAATTCCTATGAATTATCTCTCGTATCGGGGTAGAAGAATACGTGATGGATATTCTGGCCAGTCGGGCTTCGGCTTCAGTTGCCGAAGCGCCCCAATATATTTCCAGTGTTCCGGACACCAGCTGGCATTTTGCCAGTCAAGGATAGCTGTAACCCTGCCTCCTTCGACTAGGATATTATGCGGGGACAAATTGACGTGCGTGAAACCAATCTTATGGTCATCAATAAACGCAAACTTGGCAAAATGTCGCATTATATCTGGTACTGATTTGATAATGCCTCCCAGAATAAACTCGTTCGTTGAACTGCTTTCCGGAATCAAACGGATCGCCTTCAGTTGATAAAATCTGTCTGATTATAGCTTTGCCATGATCGATAGCTCCGATATAGCTACCTTCTAAGTCGCAGTCGATTTGCGTAGGAGTGAAGCTGAGAGGTGATAGAGAGCTTCTGATCGGAGTCCAAAGTTTTCTATGCTTCACCGAGTCGCATGCTAGGCATGTAGTCCATCACTATAGATACGACTCTTCTATCTTCTCGACGGACATCATGGACTCTGGGCACAGGGATTGTCGTGTTTGCCGTCATGAGATCAAGTGTTTAGGCTTCCTGGGGGGTGAGGGAACTCGATGCGAGGAAATGATGGTCCGACAAATGGCCCTCTGATAACTTCGAGGTCATATAGGTAATATGTATATCTATATATTCTATAAATTTGCAGATTACTCAAATACGATCATTGAAATCCAATCGTCAAAACAACTTTTGTGCGTATCAACGAAGGGACAGAATAAACAAAAAAAAGCCCAAGGGTATTTCTCTATAAGATTACAACCTTGGGATGCTCAACCCAATCATTACCCGTTAGGGCAGTTGGGCTATCATAACATAACTTAGTCATCAGCAAATGCATCCTGCCCCAGATCCACCTTGCCAATACTCCACAATTCCTTCTCGTCATCCACTTCATCATTCGCTAGACCCAGTCCACCTTCGCCACCTTCAGCCAGGCGACGCTCACGAGACTGGGCAGCAAGACGCAAAGCAACACGCTTGAAGTAGTCGGACATGCTGCGCTTCGGTCCGGGCGGGAGAGAGGCACCGGGACCAGCCATGTACTTGTCAAAGACCTCGGCATCGGAATCCACCACGGAGAAGAGGGACAGGAAAGCAGCTTCCGCTGCCAGCTTCACGGGGATAACCATGTCCCGTACGCTGGCAAAGATTGGCGGGGCCAGAAGAGCCAGGTGAGCGCGAGTCATCTCTGGGTGGAGACGGCTGATGGTTCGAATGACAACCAGCGCCAAGCGGCGGGTATCGGACGGAGCACCTGGCAGGATGACGGGAGCGAGAGCATCGAAGATGATCTTGTGCGTCTCAAAGCTGTGGTCACCGTCATCGGCCAAGAGATATTTACCAGCGGCGAGAACACTGTTATCGGAGACGAAGGGATCTTTGCTGACAATACCCTGGCAGATGGTCGAAGAGGTTTCGGTAGAGAAATGCTCCAACAAGACGGCAGGAGCCTCGACCAAAAGGGAATTCAAACCAAGGACCGACGCGTGCGAAAGCTGACCGTTGAGAATTCGGTTCTTGATTAGAGTGATCGCGTTGTCCTCCGGGAGAACCTTGACAAGAGCACCCAACAACTTCGCGTTGGTAATGGCGATCTTATCGGTCTTGTCGCTGGAGTCATCATCGATCAAAGCAAGGATGGATGTGCGAGACGCCTCGCTCATGTTGCCACCAGCCTTGCCGACAACCTCCTGGAGAGCCTTCATCATAGCGTTCCTCACACCGTCATCAGAAGTCTTAGATCCAGTGATGAGTTCTGAGAAGCGTTAGCATTGGTCACAGATTGAGTGTGATAGTTCAACTTACCAGCAATGAGCGGATCAACCCTAGGGGTCAAAGTAATCAAGATACCAAGACCCTTGGCTGCACGGTTGCGCAGGGTCTCACTCGACGTATCTGCCAGACCACGGGCAAAGGTTCGCTGCAGCTGAGGCAGGAAAGGCTTGACAGCAAGCGGGATCTTCTCGAGCAACCTGTTAAGAGTGAAGAAAACGGCACCTAACTCTAATTAGCATTCGATCAGTAGAATAAATAAGCTCCAAACTTACATTTGATATCGACCGAACGCTCCGATACAACACGGATCAGAGGACCAGTGATCTGAGTAACGAAAGGTTTCAAGGAATTGGCGTTAGTACGGTCGATAATGTCGGAAATGGCCAACGCCGATTGAGTGCGCTGGTCGGTGGTGCCGTTGAGCAGACCTTGCAAGAAGATCGGCAGAATAGCCATAATTCCCTTTGGCAGGCTGAATCCAGGAAGGTCCGCACCCGGCACACCAACCTGTCGCAGAATTTGGCGAGCAGGAATGGCCAAAACTTCCATCTCCTCCTTGCGCATGTGAGACATGAGACCACTGAGAGCGGTCCATGCTGACTTGACAACGTCCTTGTCAGAATCATCGAAAGAGATCAACAAGACACGGATAATGTCTTGGTAGTACCTCGAGAAGTCGACATCGGCATCGGCGAAGAACTTGGTGAGGTGGAGAGAAGCTTCGGCACGGCGACGGTGATCATCATGCTTAACAAGTGACAGCATCACGTTCATGGCAACATTCAGGCCATCGTATTCATCCACAGATACCAAAACTGTATCGAGGGCAGTGCGGAGTTCTGTGCGGAGCTCTTCGTCATCTGTCTGGATGATACCGTCCATGATACCGTTGAGGATGTTGGGCAATCTTCTTGTCATGGCTCCGCCCGCAACCTCGGCCAAAGATGCAAGAGCTCTGGCGTTGAAGGCGGTAATCGGTGGAGTAAGAAGGGTGGGGATGAGGTTAGGAAGAATGATGTTCGCGCGGGTCTGCTCGGTGAGCAGGGTCAACAGTGCGGACAAGGCCTGTTCAGCCTCCTCGTCGTTTCTCAACAAGTGAAGAAGGTAGGGCAAGACCTGGTCCACAGCCTTCTTACCCATGATGTCCTGCAGGGCATCAAAGGCTTCGGCGGCCGCTTCACGGACATCTTCATCGCTATCGACGAGAGCAACGCGGACAGTAGAGATGAGAACCTTCTCGAAGTCCTCCAGACCCTCGGGGGTGGCGGAGGTGATGAGCTCGCGCAGAGCAATACAGATACCCTGCTTGACATCGACATCGGGCGAGGCCTGGAGACCTTCCTCAAGCAGAGGCAACAAGGTAGACAGGACTGATTCTCCGGCCTTCTTGACAAGATCGCCGAGCGCGTTGCTGGCAATGACCTTCTGTTCCATGTTTGATGATCCAAGGCGGCGAATGATAAGCTGAGCAAGAGTAGGCACCATCTCCTTGAGGATCTTGGGAGAGGCGACCAGAGCCTTCCACACAGCCATAGCAGCACTCTTGACCAAGCCTGAAGTATCGCAGCGACAGATGAACAGGGCGGAAAGGACCTTGTCTCTCCGCTCCTCTCCAAGAACCTCGAGAAGGGACTGGCCAGCTTGAGCGGCCTCTTCCTCCTCTTCATCGGCCTCAGCCTTACCACTGATACCAGTAAGACTGAAGAGCAGATCTCCAACCAACTCGACTGAGCTGAGACGAATGCGGTAGCTGTCATCCGCCAGACCACGCTCCAACTCGGGAAGAAGAAGATCAATGGCCTTAGTAGAGAAGTTCTTGACCAGCAGACGACCAGCCCGAAGGGAGGTCTCACGAATTGACTCGACATCATCGGCCAGACCAGCAAGAATAGGGGGAATAATCTTGCTGAGATAGTTTGCGAAGCTGTTACCGAAGCAAGCCGGCAAGAAGATGAAGAGAGTCATGAAGCCCTCGCGCACAGCAGCCTTGGAGCTGGAAACATTCTGTAGAATGGTAGGCAGGGTCTCCTCGAGTCTTGTGGTACCCAGACCAGCGAGAACCTCTGAGAGGGCCTGTGCAGATCCAAGTCTGTCTCCGGCACCAGTGTCCGACTTGAGGGTGTTCATGAGGTTAGGGATGAGGTCGGGTAGAGCATCCTCTCCAAGCTTCTCGATGAGAGAACCCAGAGCCTTTGAAGCGGTAGCACGAGTAGTAGGAACAGGATCGACAATGGCCAGGTTGAGACCAGCCACAATGATTGGCAGGTGTGAAATGAGATCCTTGCGTTCAGTAAGATGAGCCAAGCTGCCGATAATCTGAGCGGATTTTCGCTTGGTGTTGGATCGGTCGGAGAGGCCACGCTCAAGGATACGAACAACCAGAGCCAGTGAAGGCGCGTCGAGGTAGTGCACAAAGGAAACCTTGATCAAGGAGTCCAGTGCCTCATCCGTGTACTTGGTAGGGTCACTCAGAGCCTTGAGAAGCACACCAACTAAGCTCTTGACTTCAGGATTGCTGATGACTTCTCCGAAGCGCTGAAGACTGCGGTTTGCGGCGTTGCGAACTTCCTTGTGTGTATCGTTGAGAACGATGGTAAGGGGCGGGATGATAATAGGCAAGCTAGCGGCGAGTTGTTGCGGGTCAAGGTAGGCCATGGCTCCGAGAAGTTCACAGGCACCCTTTTGACTACGCCACTGAGTATCATCCAGACCGTCGAGCAGGGTAGGAAGGATCTTCTTCACACCATAGGAACTGAGATTCTGGAAGCAGGCCTTGGAGGCATCTAGACAAGCGTCACGGACATCAATACTTGGGTCGCCGAAGCCCCCAAGCAACTGGGGAACGAGTTGGATGACATAGGGCTCAAACATGCGCGCAAGAATGGTGGCAAAAAGCTCATACGCCAGGAAAGTACCTTGTCGCTGGTGAGGCTCCCTCTTGTTCTCAGTGGCTTCTTTAAGCAAGCTCATAATTCGGAACTCTCGCAATGTTGCAATACCTCTACCGCTGACAATGCCACCAAGACCGTACGCAGCACCACGCTGGGTGGCGTAGTTCTTGACGTTAAGGAGTTGATCAAGCATCTCTTGGACATAGTCAGAGGCCTTAGGGCCACACAATCTGATTAGTGGTGGCAGACACTCCGAGACAGCAGACTGAACGGTTTCAGAGGGGGTTGGGAGGGTCGCAAGAAGCTTCTTCAGAACAGTCTGCAGACGAGGGTCATCGGCCTTCAAATGCCTGGCCAAGGATCCATATAGAACAACGACTGCCTCGTTCAGCAAATCGGAGGTTTGGGTTCCTTTGTCGGAGGTTTCCAATGTGGTTTCAAGCAGCTTCATTAACTCCTCAACTTTTTGTTGTCCTCGTTGGGCGATCACCAATTTTCCACTCTCCTGCATTTGGCTTCGGACGGCAGAATTTTTGTCAACGAGAGGGCCACGTTCAATAAGGAATTGCAGGAGGGCAATGACCTGTTCGCCATCAAACAAATTGGTCATGGCATTGAAAGCCAATGCCACACCGCTACGGCTCTCCCAGTTGTCTGGGTTGTCCATCTTTTTGGGCATGCCGTAAGCATCCTTTTCGGGGGCCTTGGGCTTGACGTCTTCAGCATATTTGGCTTGCAGTTCAGAAAAGATGCTAGCGAATTTGCTCGTGTCGGATTCGATCGCTTTGGCAAGTGCACGGGCGGCCGCTCCACGCAGTTGACTATCCTTGGAGTCCAGGTACTTGATAATCCGAGGGAAAGCTTCGTCATCCACTTCAAGAGCGTTGTCTTCCCAGATTGTCTGAGCGAGCTCGACATTTTCCTCCACGCTATCATGGCACTCCAACCAAATATGCTCAGAGAAGTCGAGATCAGTCAGATCAATCTCAGCGTCAATGACCTGAAGAACAGATGTCCTGACAGAGGCTTCAGAAACAATGCTACCTTCCAGTAGAGTTTGAAGCTCCTCTGTGGTGATGTTAGGGGAGATGCAACGGCAGAAGTTGAACAAGGTATCCTTGATCAGCTTGTAGTGTTGAGTGTATTTCTGCATGGCGCCAAGAAGGTGCTGCAGCACTTCATTGCGAGGAAGTCGCACATCGGAGACTAAAAAGAGTTAGCGACGTATCCACTCAACATTATGATGCTACTTACAAGAGCTGGAGTGGAAGGAGAGAAGTTCAATCGCAAGCAGAACCTGCTCGCCTTCTTGCTCGCCCTTGACCTCCTCAATGCCGTTCTGGCTCAATATCATGAAGAGCATCGGAAGAACGTAGGCGAGGGATGCGGTATCAAGTGGCCGCTGTTCGGATGCAAATCGAAGACGGTAAAGAATTCTTGTTACAAGTTCTCCAAGATGTTCCAATTGCCTTTCCGCGGGGAGGTTTGTGTTGCCAATGGCCCGAAGGGTAGCAATTCCGACGAACGGCCGAAGGTTGCCCAGGCGCGAAGACAGCTCGTTAGAGCAAGCAACGAATGCCTGGGACACCACGTCGCCAACAAACAATCCAGCACCAGCTCGAGCAAGAGACAGTAAGCAGCTGACAGCTGCGTTAATCCATCCCTCAACATCGCTAGCTGGCCCAGTGGCAAGACCACGGATAAGGCCAGCACCGCGCTCGATCCGCTTAACTTCCTGAAGCACATCCTCGCGGATCTTTGCTTCCTTTGCAAGCTGAGCCTTGACTTTAGATTGCTCTTCGGCCGTGAGCTTCTTAGGCTTCGCGCCCTTCTTCTCGGCCAGCTGTGCCCGGAGCTCCTCCTCCCACTTCAAAGTGTCATAGTCTTTGGTGTTCTTGTCAAAAGCAGGCTGCTTCGATTTGCTGCTGAGGACATCGATGAACGCAGTGCCCTCGGGAGTGCGCGCAATTGCCGCATCAGTAGCAGTGAATTTAGAAAGACGGGAGCCATCCAAATCAGATTTGATTTGATCGACGAGACGTGGAATCATGACTTCGGGGGCCACGAACGCCAGGTCACCTGCAGCACTCCAAACAGCGGAGTTGACTTGTGGCACACTCGATTTTACAGGGTCCTGTCACCTTATTAGTATATGAACCAATATATTATCTCAATTATACGTACGGCATTAACACCTGTCAATTGCTCAATGCAATCTGCAGGGTGGGCACGGACTAGGTTCCCGGGATCTGTGCCGGTTCTCAAGCACAAGTCGATCCAAGAAGCGCCTGGGATCAATTCAGATCGGCTAAGAATAAGGATCTTGATGAGCTGAGACTCGAGAATCGAAGATGCGCCTTCCACTGCCTCTTTGTTAGCAGCTAGAGGGCAAATGGCTTTCAAGATCTGGTGCAGTAGACGCTCGCTTCCTGGTCCAGCGGAGACAGCAGCTGACTCCTTCTCTCCGGTACGGAACGCATGGATCCAAGTCCAAAGAGCATTGATAACAATGCTTCCTACAGAGGCCATGTCTTTCTTGTGTACAGTAGACAGTGCTTCCACAGCATTCTCTCGGAATTTGGTGGTCATGATAGGGCCAGTGATAGCGTAGATAAAGGATTGGGCCCAAGCATTCTTGGCCTCATCCTCGGCAGCGGCGAATTTGGATCCAGAAGTGACAGCCGCCAGAGCCCTGGCAAGCCATTGCATCTCTTCCTTAGACCCAATTTTCGAGTAGGCCTTGGGGTTGAGGAGGAAAGAAGGCTTTGCGCCCATGATCAATGACTGCGAGACTTTCTCTTCCCAGATAGACTTATCCGAGCCATCAATTTCTGAAACACGTTCGAAAAGGGCCAAGAACATATACGCAGACGACAATGCGCCGCTTTGAGCTGAGGGCAGCGGGTTGGAGGCCACCTCGCCAAACAAATCCTTCATCTTCCCGAGGAATTTGGTAATCAGAGGCTGAATCTCGGCGGTCCTAAGGGCCGCGATATCAGAATTCCAAAGCATCTCTCCCACGTTGAGCTGCCAGATCTTTCGGAACGGAATTCGCTTGTCGGAGATACCCTTAACAATAGTATTAATAACGTCATCCACGACCTTGACAGAGGATTGAATAAGGAAAGCGAGGTGCTTGCCGAACGCTTTGATCTCCTCTTCCAGGGCAGGTTCGTTAGACTCCCGCGTGAACAGAGGGCCAAAACCTTGAACGATCTCTTTCGAGGCTTCTACTGAAGAAGGAATCGCAGAAACAGCTTGCGCGTAGGCAACTCGGTGTTCTGGGGCCGTGATCTTCTGTGTTTTCAACGGACCAACGATTTCACTCGTGATCTTCAAAATCACAGACTCGGTCTGGCATCGAGAGAGTAGAGCTCTGAACGAGTCAGAGGCTCCTTGTCGGATCACTGGGTTGTTTGACTTCATGCTGGATAGCAAATGCTTAGACAGGCGAGTCTGAACCACTTCAGAAAGGTCAATGTCTTTTGACAGAGCGGCACTGAACGGCGGGATGACGCCGTTCAAGATAACCTCCGGTGCTCTCAACATAGATTTCTCCATGGGAGGTACCAATTCAGTGGTCACATCCTCGTATGTGACAAACGAAGTTATGAAGTCTGACAGTCCTTCGGCGACGTGAGAAGGCACAACAGACTTTGAGCCTACGATTTCCTTGACATAATAGGCCAGGATGGGTTTCTTAGACTCCTCGAGAGTTGATTTTCTGGCCGGTAGTCGAGCACATACGCCCGAGATAACACCCAGAAGCAATGCATTCTTGTAACCTGCTGCCGCATCCGCGGTCAGTCGACTCACTGACTGGCGCACGGCTTCCTCGCCCCATGTCTTGTTCGAAAATGTTGCGCGCAATGCACGTCTAGTCACTGTGAGGGCCGACTGTTTTACTGACGGCTTCGGTGTGTGAGCCAAGCAAGTTTCCAAAGCCTTGGCATCCACGGTGATCAGATCCAGCACAGTAGCCAAGGGCGTAGCCTCGTTCTCGCTAACCTGCTGCAAAATATTGCAGCACCACTCCAACAACACAAATGCAGATCCCGGAGACAGAGTAGGCTTAGCTGTCTCAATCTTCAGACTCTCAGATAAATATTCGAGGTGGTTCGCAGCGTTCGGGGTTCGGAGGAGGGAGCGGAGACATTGTTGAACGGCCTGGCGAGAGGAACGATCGACGTAAAGAGGATAGGTTTGGAAAAGAAGCGCTAGGATACCAAGGCTTAATTCCGACGGAATATCAGATCCTGCAACATAATTAGCCAATCAATTCTTTTTAAGTGGTTATGGGGGTTCAAGAGTACCGCTCTTGTCGCGAAGTTCTTGCAGGGCCCGGAGTCTTCGCAGAGTCGAACTCGAGAAAAGCTCGACCCGCAAGACATCCAGATCCCCAGCCTTGACCTGGTCCCATGGAACTCCATCCATGATGGTAGGTCAAATAGGGGAGGAGGTTGGAGGGAGGGTGGTGAGGTTGGTGGAATGTTGAAAGTGGGCTGGAATCGATCGAATGCTGTCATAAGAGTTTTGTGTGGGGAGAATCACCGAGAGCCTCTCCGCCGCTTCACAACTATCCGATTCTTATTTCTACTCTTCAACTTCCCCATTGATCTGTGATTGATCTTATTGAATACCCTTTGACGCTCAATTATTTCATTCTCTCATCCCAATTACACGTGTTCCTGCCCATTCAGACCAGTAACTACAATGCCACCGAACAATAAGAAAAAGAAAAAGCCCGCCTCAAATCCAGCGCGGGGCTTTGCAACAGTCTCAGTACCCTCGAAACCGAAACCAGAGGTCGCAGAAACACCCTCGTCCGCTGTTACAGAATCCAAGCCCACCCCACAAAATGAAACTCAGCCTACAAGCCAAGAGGACCGTCCAGTCGATGCGGGCGCACCACAAACCGACCCCTCACTACACAACTATACACCTGAGGAACTTGAGAAGCACTTGGAGGAGGCAGAATTACAGATTTTGGTCGAGAAACATGCTGCAAAGTGCAGAAGCGACGCGGTGCGACAAGCTACCAAGATGGACACTGAGCGCCGCGTCTTTAGACAGCAATCAGTGACCTTGGGCCTCCTCGAATGGCTTCCGGTCGAAGTGCAAGATAGGATACTGGAGCTAGCTGGCTCAGAAGACCATGATTATCTTGCATCCAACGCACGGAATGTCAGCGGGAAGCAGGAAGGCTCCGAGGAGGAACTTCTCATCAAGCTTTGGACATTACAGGAGACACTTCTCAAGCTTGGGTTTACTGAGTATGATGTGGAAGGGGCGCTCAAACATATTCTCTTATACTTTAAAGAAACACCTACAAGTGTCAGTCGTGATGTTGTTTGGAATTTGGATGAGGCTTTGGAGTGGTTGGCGAAACATAGTGCCAAGAAAGATCTCCCTTCATATACACAGACGAATGCTCGCCCACAGAAAGATGCGGAGGTAACATCATGGATGATCGGTAAACCCAGGCTCTCATTTGGTCATAAAAAAAGCACTGACAGTCATCAGGATCGGAGCCATCGAAGTCGAATAAAACTTCGAATGGAAACAAGCAGGAAAAGCCAAAGGCAGACTGGAAGGCTGCAAAGGTTGCACCTCCTGTTTCGTATGATTCGGATAGCTCGGTCGATCCTGATCACATGGTTCCAGAATGGTTGGATTTCCAAACGAAGCTGTTTGGTCTTCAGCCTGAACTGTTTGATCGACCAGGAAAAGGTAAAAAAGGCCGTGGAACCACGCCCAGTCGATCAGACAATCCCGAGGTAGCCAAGTTGCAACGCAAGATTGCTAAGATCGAAGGCGATGTTCTCTTCGAGCGCCGAGAGGCCGACTACATTTGGCAGGACAAGCTAGAGGATCTTAGAAAGGAAGCAGCTTTTCTACGACGACCAGCCGAGAAAAAGAAAGAGAGTGAACCGGAGGTTAAGGAACCGGGGCCAGAGGACCCCAATTTGACCGTTCCATCACTTGAAGAGATGGACGATCTATTAGGCGGTATGTTTCAAATGGAGACTGAAAATTCGGGCTCGATATTGGGCCTTCCACCTCCTGATGCCGGAGCCAAATTCACGCTTCGAGACTTTGGAAAATCAACTGGCTTGAGTCCACGGCGAGTCTTGGAAGAAACCTGCAAGGCTAGAGATTCGGCATGCAAAGTGGTCTACCAGGACTTTTCCTCCTCGGGTCACCAACACAGAAAGGCCGTTGAGGTTCGTTGGTCGAAACCGCAAGAAACTCCCTTTCCACTGGTGGTGGAGTCGGTCACACACAAGTCGAATGCAAATGCAACTTTTGTTTCGATGGAATCTCTTGCAACGCCAGATGCCCAGCAGGCAGAAGGATACGTATCGACTCTCGCCCTATTCATCCTTTTCCCTCAAAGTTCCAAAGAAGGCAAGGCCTGTCTGCGGATACCAGCAGTCTGGAGAGATCTTTGGACTGATTTTTCAGAGATGAAGAAGACACAGGAAGATGAAGTGGATAAGTCTACAGCTAAGAACCTCAAGCTTCTTATACAGGATAATCAAGGCACCTTTGAGGATGACGTTGTGCTTTTGGACAATTTCCGGAAGAGAAACGGAAATGCTGTCAAGCCAGCCAGTCCCATGAGAGGTAATGCTAGGGAGAACAACTACCTCGGTGAAGACGAGCGACTAAGGGAAGCATGGTATGCAAAGGCATCCACTCCGTCTTTCCACAAAATGATGCCGGGTCGAATGAACCTTCCGATCTGGAACTTCAAAGATGACATTTTGACCACTCTCGACACACATCGAGTTCTTATCATTTGCAGTGAGACTGGAAGTGGAAAGAGTACGCAGATTCCATCTTATATCCTTGAGCATGAAATGCTTCAAGGCCGCCCGTGTAAAGTTTATGTGACGGAGCCGCGCCGAATCTCAGCGATATCGCTTGCTCGGCGAGTCAGTGAAGAATTGGGAGAGAGTAAGAATGATGTGGGAACGACCCGATCCCTTGTCGGCTTTGCCGTTAGGCTGGAAAGCAAGATCAGCTCAACCACTCGACTTGTCTATGCGTATGTTCTTCTGTGTCTTGTTTCTGACGTCTGAGTATATCAGCTGACTTGAGTAGAACCACCGGTGTCGTTGTGCGCATGCTGGAGCGACCAGATGATTTCCAGGACATCACTCATATTGTTCTGGACGAAGTTCATGAGCGTACAATTGACAGTGACTTCTTGCTAGTCGTTCTTCGCCGGTTGATGCAGAAACGCCCCGATATTAAACTCATTCTGATGTCCGCTACTCTTGATGCACAACGTTTCTCTACCTACCTTGGTGGTGTCCCGGTTCTCAACATCCCTGGACGAACTTTCCCCGTGGAGATGAAGTACCTGGAGGATGCAGTTGAATTGACCAACTATCGGTTATCTGAAGATGATGCAAACACTGTCCGAGACGACGACATTGATGAAGAGGATTCCAATAGTGACACTGGTGGCTTACAAGCCAGTCTCGATGGATACTCTAAACAGACGCGGGAGACGGTGCTTCGGTTTGACGAATACCGCATGGATTATCAGTTGATCAAGAGATTGCTTCTCAGACTCGCCACTGCTCCGGACATGGACCGCTATAGTAAAGCCATTCTGGTCTTTATGCCTGGCCTAGCGGAGATTCGTCGTCTGAATGATGAAATTCTCGCCGAGCCCACGTTCCAACAGGGATGGATTGTTCATGCACTCCACTCCTCGATTGCTAGTGAAGATCAAGAAAAGGCATTTAACGTGCCTCCTCCTGGCACAAGAAAGATTGTCATTGCTACCAACATTGCGGAGACTGGTATCACAATTCCAGACATCACTGCAGTTGTTGATACAGGAAAGGAGAAGATGATGCGGTTTGTCTCCAGAATGCTTGCAATTAGATTGATCCTAACTTGTTCTACAGATTCGATGAAAGGCGACAGCTCTCCCGGCTTGTCGAGTCATTCATTTCCCGTGCCAATGCTAAGCAAAGACGTGGTCGAGCCGGTCGTGTTCAGGAGGGTATCTGCTTCCACCTCTTCACGAAACAGCGGCACGACAAGCTAGTAAGTGAATCAATGTAAAACTCCATCAGGCCACTAACGGAACGATTTAGCTTGCTGAGCAACAAACCCCGGAGATGCTTCGACTCTCCCTTCAAGATCTGGTTCTGCGAGTGAAGATCTGTAAATTGGGCGAGGTAGAACAAACCCTCCTGGAAGCTCTGGACCCACCGTCATCCAAGAACATTCGTCGTGCCATTGACTCTCTCAAAGAAGTCAAAGCCCTTACCAGCAATGAGAGTCTTACACCTCTAGGAAGTCAGCTGGCAAAACTGCCGCTGGATGTGTTCCTCGGAAAACTGATTATCCACGGAGCATTCTTTAAGTGTCTGGATGCTGCTGTCAGCATTGCTGCCATCCTCTCCTCCAAGTCCCCATTCGTCAACACCATGGGTTCCAACTCGCAACGGGACGCAGCAAGAAACTCATTCCAAAGAGGTAAACCACATTCTCCAAATTTCAACACCCTCTTCTAACCTAATCTAGGCGACTCGGACCTATTGACCGTATACAACGCTTACTGTGGCTGGAGGCGCGCAAGAAGCACACCCGGCTCAAACGAGTTTTCATTCTGCCGAAAGAACTTCCTCAACCCCCAGACCCTCCTAGGTATCGAAGATGTCAAAATGCAGCTCATCGTATCAATCGCCGACGCCGGTCTACTAACCCTAGACCCTTCGCAAAAGTTGGCCCTGAACCGGTACGTACACCGTTTTCCATTCTATGCATTGTATCTAAACTAATCACCCCCCAGAGCCCGGTCAAGTAACCGAAACCGACAGTTCTTCACCATCCCCGAAGAATACGACATCAACAGCACAAACGACGTAGTCATCAACTCCGTCGTGGCTTGGAGCTTCTACCCTAAGCTACTTACCCGCGAAGGAAAAGGCTGGCGCAACGTCTTGAACAACCAATCAGTTACCTTGCATCCTACATCTGTGAATAAACGCGCAGATCACGCTATCAAGTGGCTCTCATATTACCATATCATGCAGGCTCGTAACCGGAACCTGAACGCGCACGAGACTACTGCGGTGGATGATTTCGCCATTGCATTGCTATGTGGTGAGGCGGAGTTTAAGGTAAGCCCTCTTCCTTTCCTTGGACTGGATCTTATAATTGATGGCTTTCTCTTTCTAGTTGTACTCGGGTGTCATCTCCATCGATGCAAACCGCATCCGCTTTGCATTGCGGGACTGGAAATCTATGCTCGCGTTGAAATTCCTTAATGCCCGTCTTCGTGATCTTCTCGCTACTACGTTCCGGAATCCGCATCGTCCGCTATCTTATAAGCAGCAGCAGTGGTTGGAGATTTGGCAGCAGATCTTTGCCCAGGCTGGCAAGCGATAGATCTTCCTTGTTTCCCCCTTATACTGTATTATTTTCTTTCTGGCCGGTCTGGTTTGCTTTACAATGATTATTTGGTACATATTCAGTGGTTTGGCACGTCGGGCTCTTGGGTTTGGAGGTATGGTGGTTTATGGCTATGACATGCTCGTTTCATGCACATTTTGCTTTGTTTTTGATTTGGCATTCTTTGTGATGTGTAATGACCAGGCTGGAAGTTATAGAAATATGATGAATGGGTTTGATTCGATGGTTCCACAGACATACATTAGATGGAGTCATCCATAGTGAGCGTGAACAAAAGTTTGAAGTTCTCTCAATTGGAACGGGAGGTCTATAGAAAGTATGAACTTAGGCATACGGAGGAAAGTACAATAGCAAAGCAAGCCGCATGATCATTCATTGGGCTCAAGTTAGACAAGGAAGATTGTATCGCCAACCTCAATGCAAATCAAAACAAATCGGTTCATCATGATCATTCATTACCATCATATCGTCTCTCTTCTAAACATAACCATAGAGGGTAAGATGAACCCACGGATGCCAGGAAAGAAGACCCTTTTCTGCCCAAGAGTAAAGTGAAAGGCCAAAGCAAATAAACAAATGACGCAGTTAAACGAGATAGTAAACCAAATAAACCAAGATGTAAAGAAATCACACACATAAAAGATTCGTTACAAGAGATTCGTGTCATCATAGTCATCAAGGTGGGTTTGTAGTAGGCCCATGCAAAACATCATTCCCCGTTCCCATGTCATCACTTTGCTGAACAAATAAAAAGGACTTTCAACCTTGAGTCAGGGGTTGAGAATGAACCCGAGACAGACCCAGGGAGTTCCAGTGAAAAATAAACCAAAAAACTAGAAATGCATGCCGCAAAGAAAACATGGAAAGAACAGCTTTTCTACTATTCTTCCGGTCATGAGGGCAATGGTGGAAATTTTCACGCGTGGGCTAAATCGGAAGAAATCAAATCATGACGGTCCCAAGCCTGCGGTAAACCAAGCACCACAGTCTATCAACAAATCCAAACAAAAAATAAAACTCCGGCCAGAGCAGGGAAAGGGTGTTATGAAAAAATATGACAAAGAGACAGTGAGTGGTTGGGGGTTTAACGTGGGCGTTGTTTTTTGTTTAACGGCGGCGACCGGCCATGACAGCACCAGTCTTCATGGGTTGAAGGAGAGGAGCACCACTGATAGGACCACCAAGAGTAGTATCGGTGATAGTCTTGCGGCGTTTGCTCTCATACTCACCAGAAATCTCGGGGCGGATCACCTCATCATCGTCACGCATCCGCTTACCGCCCGATCCTCCAAGAGACGTAGATCCGTTCATGGAGCCCATGGAGTAAGGATCGGAGACGCCATTAGCAGGGGTACCCCGGGTGTCGCTAACGGCATTGTAGAGTGTGGTCGCTGCGGATGGACGAGGAGGGGTATTGTAGCCGGAGGTCCAGTGTGGCGGAGGTCCGCTCACGCTAGTGCGTGGGGTCATACGGCCCGAACCGTTCTGTTGTGGCGAACCGGTCATCTCGGGGGTCAGTTGTGAGTGCTCTCCATTAAGAGAAGGCACCGACTGGTTGGTCGAGTATGTGTACGATCCGCGGTTGGCACCATAACCAGATCCCTGGTCCTGCAGGTATTCAGGCTCTTGCGGGGGAACAGATTCATCGGGACCATTGGTCTGGGCGTAGCGTTCTGACTTGAGATCAGGGGATTCTGTCTCAGGGGCGCCTGGAGTCCGACCGGTCGGAGGGGCCATTTCATTCTTCAAATAGTTGACTGCCGGCAATGGCTGGCCGTACTGGGGCATACCAGACTGGGTCATCGGGGTGTGTGGGGCGTACTGCGAGTGAGACTGCGGCGGGGCGGAATAGTATGGTTTAGAATTCTCGTAGCCGGACTGTGTCTGATAGGGCGGCATGGTCTGCATGTTGTTACCTGGGGGTGTGGTGGCAGGTGTGGTAGGCATCGAACGTTGCTGATGGCTCAATGTTGTGTCAATCGCCAGTGGCTGAGTATGCGGCACCCCCGAGTTCATTCCCTGGGCACCCCATTCGTATGAGCTTCCTTGGTTAGTCACACCCATCAAGCTAGATGCGCTGGCTGGGGGAGTAGGAAAGGCTCGGTCCATTCCGGGACGTTGGCCCATGGAGGACGGCTGTGACATCTGCGCGGACATGGGGGTCTGCATTGCATGATGATGCAGACTAGAGGGCTGGGGGGCTGTCGGAGTACGGTGAGGCGCCACGGGGGGACCCTCCATGCTTCGTCGCTGAGATTCTTGCACAACCATGTTTGTCCGGTTCTGGTTTGCTGGGTGGTACAGCAGTCCACCGATGTTGTGTACAAACAGCGGGTACAAAAGATCAGTAATCTTCTCTTTGTTCGCAAATTCCAACGCTCGCTCAAATGGAATCCTGATTTCACTGTCAGTCGGCGTCATGAGGATGAATTGTTCTGCACATACCAGACGCCCTTCAAATGCATTGGCCCAATTTTGACCACATGGCGCAACTTTTCACTTTTCAATATGCCATCTCGACGACCACGAGTCATTCCCGCGACGTTCAATAGTTTTGTGCCGTTAATCATGTGGTTGTCTGTTTATCTCATTAGGATTTACCATCTTGAGCCAATTGATCGTTCACTCACCCTCTCGGCGGGCAACACAGACACCCTTGGCCTCAACCTGGTAACAGAGACTGCCCTCATCTTCCCACAGGGTCGCGGTGACTCGGGGCTTTGCTCCTGGAGGAGCGCCCTGACCAGTTGAATCATAGACATACCCTTGCAGTGGTGATCCGGTAGTATTGCCGTATCCTACGGGCACTTGATGGTTACCGACTAAGAGATTGTTAGTATCGCGTCACGTCTTTCATCACAAAACACTCACCTCCTGGCAATGGCAAAATCTGGGGCGCCATTTGTCCCATGGAGCTTGGCGGTGGAGGATGTCCGGTGGGCGGTGATGTCACTCCATTGGGATATCCGTACTGGGGGTACGATGGACCATAACTGGAAACAGGTTGCAGCACGGGCGGCTGTTGGTGATAAGGATAATGCGACATGGCGCCCGCGGTAGCACCTTGCGGGGCGTATGTTTGAGCGGAAGACATATGAGGATGCACGTCCATGTAGGGTGGGGCCTGGTTCATGCTGCCGAGCGAGGTCGGGCTGGGATAATAGGCCTCGCTGGGCACTATGGAGTACTCGGAATCCAGTGAGAGGCGACCCTGTGAAGCAAGATCGGCAGGTGGACTCCGGGGCTCTTGGACGGCCGAGGCGCCGGACAGGCTAGTACGAGCGCTGCCGCTCACGCTGGCGTCTTGATAAGCACGGGATGAGGCTTGAGGAGCTGTGGGCAAGCTGAGGGCAGGCAGTTTGTCTCCAGACAATAGCGGTCGTTCGGCCGCGTGGTGGTTGTACCAGGGAATATCAGCAGGACCGCGGGTGTGGACCTGGGAAATCGACGGCAGCTCCAGCTTTTCGGTTTCACGGGGATAATACTGGAAAGATAGTAGGCGAGACGAGGTGAGATTTTAGACGTTAGACTGAAGAAGATGTATCGATAATCTTGAGTTGTCGATAAAAACACCTGGTTTGGAGTTTTTGGGTGGAAGAGTGGGTGTTTCAAAGAGCCGGGCCTTTTGTTGGTTGCACGGCGTCTGGGGGGAGGGGAAAAGGTTCACTTTCTTTTCCTGAGCTGAAGTAAATCGCAGAGCTTCGAAGATCAGGAGAAAGGAATAGTCATCAAATCTTCATAAGGTCATGAAAAAGCAAAATAAGAAGAAACAGCAGGTTGCATGCAAGAAGTAGGTCAAGGTGGATGCGAGATGCACCTTAAAGAAAGGGAGGAGAGATTAAACAGACAAACGCATCACTTCGGTTTGGAAGGGGCAGAAACAACGAGCCGCAGGATGACTAAGGGTTAAAGAAGAAGATGTTTAAGAGAGAATGTGATGAAATCCCGGCCACCTTTTAGATGGTCTTTTTGGTTTCGTTTTTTTCTTTTTTTTTTTTTTTTTATTTGTTTTCCTCCAACCGAAATAGTTATCGAATCATCTTGTGGGACCAAAAGAAAGTGGAGGTTACGATCGAGGTCAACCCGCCACCAAGCAAGGACGGTAACTAGTGTAAATCAAGAGAAAAAGAAAATAAATATAAGAGAAATATTAATAAATAAAATAGAATATACAAAACAGGAACAAGAAAGTAGGAAATAGGAAATGCAGGGACATTGAAAAACCAAAAAAGAAAGAAGAAAAGAGTAAAAGATCCACTGAAGCTGAGGATCCTGGTCTGTGTGACAAGGAAAACGCTGATCTTCTAATTCCACGCACATTATATCACACAATTAATACGCTAGTCTAAAACTATTATCCACTATATACAAGTATATAAGAAAATACATAAATACAGATCACATACTCCATACTTCGGAATATTACCATGGTTGACTCCCGTCGAACCAAATCATCGAAGAACCATGGATACAATCAAATACATAAAATACACAAACATGAAACGTTCCGCTTTTCCCCTCTTTCCCCCCCCCCCCCCAAAAAGACCAGTTTACTTACTTCGATTACCCGGGTTTCAGACCAGCGCTTAACTACAACATTGCAGTTTACGGTTGATTCAATTACACCAACCACTTTGGATCATTTAACGCTGTACTCTGCTCTCCTCGACCCGTACTCTTGTACTCGCTATGCAAGGCCCAAACGGCCCGATCAACACGGACGTGGGTCTGATCTAAAGAGCGCGGCCCGTCGATCTTAGGAGAAGCAATACCCAGCGATAAAAGCGGCCCGTGAGTAACGGTGGAGATTGGGCGCGTCACACAGACAAAAGAGGGGAAAATCGGTGGGTGAGAAAGCACCACGAAACACGGGTGGCTTGAGTCGATCAAGGGTCTGTTCTCTTTCCATCCCTGTCTAGTCCTACGGCCGGATTGTAACGCCCCGTAACGATTTCTTCTCTTCTCAAATGGGTTCTAGATCCAGCAAGGGGAGTTCCAAATGGTTGTCGTTAATAGTTACAGTTATACACCGCCATCTTCACGATATCCCTTGCATAAAGATATACTTTAAGGGTTGACAGATGTCATTCAATTTCCAAATTCAAATATGGTTCGATATTTCCATTCCATAGATTCCAATAATGATCCTCAATTGAAAAGAGGTTGGGAAGTTTTATAATAGAAATCCCTATTCTGACTGTGTTCGCCCCCACTGGGCTCACTGTCCCACTGGGTTGTGGCGTTTGACCGAGGAATTCGGGAAGAAACGGGGTTAATCGGGCAAAGCAGGTACCACTTGTTCTTTTTCTCTCCAATCTTTAGGTAACAGATGGTCCAGATCCCTGTTCAACTATCGACGGCCCGATACCCGCTGCGCAGCGTACAGGATCCATCAATATTTTAATCCATTGTCTATAATTGACTGACAATCCCATTCGATTTGTAGTGGAGCTGAAATCCCCAACCATATTACGAAGTACGAAATACGGAGGTATTGATTACTTATGTTTTCTTTTTCCCTTATGGAGTAACTCCGGAATACTCCCCCCCCCCCCTTCCCCCTACGCTAGTGTCCAGAGCTGATCGGGGCATTCGGAAGTACAAAGCTATGACCATCTTTGTTCTCCACTCTCTCAAATGAATTTGGGAGCTTGTGATGTATCATCCCCAAGAATTAATTCAGGTAAATAATTGAAAATAAAAAAAGGTAAGGAGACTGGGACGATCCCTTCGTGGAACCGTCGGGCAATGAGAAGCCGGGAGCATCTCGCATCACCTACCGGCTCGGGGCGCACCTCCACTTAGTTTTTTTTTTCATTTATTGTCATCATTTATCGATCGACGGGTTCGTCCCGTACCTTGCATTGACCAGTTACCCTGCAGCCTGTCCGTGCAGAGTCTGGAGTTATGGAGAGTATGGAGTCCTATGACAGGTTTCACCAGGGTTAACTATAACATGATTTAAAAAAACTTCATACAAGTCCGGGATCGGCCTTGAGTCTTGTCTGGACCAGTCTAAGTGGGACGGGGCAAAAGATAGAGGGGAACAATTATTGATGAACCAGGATGTCCCCTGTCATTTTCACTTTTTTCCTACCAATCCCTCAACCTTGGGAAGTCCATCAACCACCTAAAATCCCGCTAAACCACCTACTCCGTATTAAAAGTCATTCTCTCCCTTATCGAGTCGCCGGTCAATCTAGATTTCAATTTAAAACACACGAATCATATCTCACCACGTCCTATCCCCCCCCCTCCCCGTGCAACCTGATTTAACCTCGCATTGCATTCGTCCCGTGAGATCGACTGCACGTTCAATAATCGTGGACCAACCCATGTTTAGCCATTCCTCCGAGCCAATATCCGTGCTTTTTCCACTCCAGAACCAGGATGGCCCGGGCCCCCAAAAAGGTGTAACGACACTAATCAGCTATCTCCACTCACTTCATCATTTCATTGGTTCTCAGCCCCCTCTAATGCTGCAACCGCCCGCCGATCGACGATCCGACCGGACAATGACTGGCCGTCGACCTCACCACGTAGCGGCCTAGATCATGGTGGATTTCACCGCCAGTTGCTTTTCCCCCCCCCTTGCGTGCAGACGTGGCACAGGTTTATTCATACTTGTTTCTATTAGTTTCTTTTTTGGCTTTTTTGGCTTTTCGTGTGGAGCTCACCGTTGGTTTCTGGGTTATTTCCAATTTCCCACTTTTTTTGTCGTGGAAATACCCGGCTTTTCTTTCCTTTCTCCGTTCTTTTCTCCAGGATCGCCACGACGTCAGCACGATAAGATAATATGTACGACATTAACAGAATTCCTGCAAGAAAATAGATTTAATTTTAGTAACGCATGTACATGTATGGACTACAGCTACTCCGTACAGGGAACGAGGCCAACGCCCCCCCGGAAAATCCCAAGTCACTTCCCTTCACCGTCTCTTGACACTTTGTCCCCGAGGAATGTGCATGTCTCTGACTGGTCTCTGCCCGCATTCCTGATCGCCCACATTCTCGAAGCATGCCATTTGGTCCATGCAGGTCTGAGCTCTGGGGATGAGGAGGCGCGCTCACCGCTGCTTGTATCCATCTTTCAACTGGTCAATATCTCTCTATCTAGGGATGGCGTGGCGTGAATGAACTGGCTGGACTTTCCCCGCCATCCCTATCCCTTGATAGAGTTGCTTCTGAGTGCGTCAGTTGCATTGACTTTCATGTACGTATGCCTGGACCGATCGTTTCTACGCCTGAGAATAATATTTTAAGGGAACATGGGATATGCTGGTACGTACTGAGACGTGGACATGCGACCTGCTCGAACATGCTGGGTAGTTCGGCCATCCCCACGTTTCTCTTGATCTATTTCTTTTTCCTGTGTATATCGACGTACCGCGGGTGTCGGGTACCAGCACCAGCACTAGAGTCGCAGGAGACCAGTCAGGTACACAGGCCACAGAGTGACAGAGGTTTCTGGAAGCCGAGAGACCTGATTCCCATCCTCGTGTAGTAAGGTTTAAGCGTTGGCGTACGGCTGCAGTCGTCATCTAGAAGATAGAGAACCTCTTTCGCCATGTGATATTTATCTGATCATTCTGTATAATGTCTGTCGATATGTGATGGGTGAATCAGAGTGATAGGTTCATGCACATGGGATCGATTCCTGTCGATTTCCAGGTGCTTCGCTGTTAAAGTAGCATGACACCTGCCATCTACATAATGTACATATTCAATGTACATGTACTGTAGTCAGGTGACACTGCATTTGAATGGACATGTCTATGTATATATTGCTTAAAAATGCCCAAGTGGTCCTTGGAAATTCAGTGCTATGTACATACTAAGGTATATATATGTACTTGAACAGTACTGCGCTGACCACAACCATTTCATCAACAAGAGAACATTTTGGACATTATGATTCAATACATTGCACATCAATATATTTACCAGCTATACATACCTATACCCAGATCTTCCAACACTTGAAGGTTATATCATGTTTGGAACCAAATCCACACATGTAAGTGAAAGGATCCATGTCCCACGTGACACCCATACCCTATCCCAAAGCAGCAAAACCCAAACAACCATGAACCGTGGATCAGATCAGCCCGGGCGAACGGGCGAACTCACATGTGCAAACGTCAATATTCGCATAAGATTGATCAACAAGATCCTCTACTTCAAGCTTTGTAATCTTACCGAAAGGCATCCACTTCCTATCCCCTCACTCCAACATTCGACCCCACGTGATGCCCGAAACAACTCCCCGCAAACGGCCCCCTTCCCCGCAGAACCACAAAATTTTCGATGCCTGGAACTCCGCTTCAACCGGCCACCAGAGAGCTAAAGGTGCCTACGCAGGAACATCATCATGGCGAGAGACCCGATCACTAAAACTCGAGCGCCAGTTCCGGAGCGGGGACTGTCTACGTGAAGAAGACCATGTACCCTCGTCACGGGCGCGCGCATTCGATGGGATCTGCACACCGCATACAGACGATAAGGTACAGGATCAGAATGATGTCAATGGCTCTGGGGAGTGGAGGTGGGTTAGTGATGTGGAAGCAAAGAGGTCACGGTTGGGTGTTCAAGATATTCGCAGTTTCATGGGTGTTGGAAAGCGGAAATCCGATGATGAGATGCTGCAAAGGACAAAGAAGACGAAGGTTGATTCTGGTGCCGAGCTACGAGCGGATGGTGCGGATGGCCGCGTGAAAGCGAATCTGGCTAGCATATCCCGACCATCCAATGCAGATCCGTCATCTGTGAACTCTTCGATATTCCTCGGAGCAACGGTGTTTATTAACGGGTCGACCCTCCCGTTAATATCGGATCATAAAGTCAAACGTCTTCTGGTTGAACATGGCGCTCAGATCTCTATTCACATGGCGCGCAAGTCGGTCTCGCATGTGATTATTGGGCAGCCGAATGCGATATCCAACGAGGCTACCCTCGGGGCTGGTGGGGGACTTTCGGCTCGGAAACTTCAGCAAGAGATTGCGAGAGGTGGGTGGAAGGGCGTGAAGATTGTTGGTGTGGAATGGTATGATTATTCTGCCCTGCGTTCCGTTTTTTGATCATGTACTGACTCGACTTTAGGATCCTGGAGAGCATTAAAGCTGGGAAACGGCTTGCTGAGTCCCAGTTTGTTGTTATGAATGTCGCACCGAAGGGACAGCAGAGTGTTGCTGGGATGTTTGGCCGTCGGTAACCGATACACGAACTTACTGTTGCACATTCTTGTTTTCTTTGTTTTGTTTTGTTTTTTTTTTATTTCATGCATTGGTTTCGGCATGGCGTTGCATATGGCATTGCATAGCATAGCGTTGGGTGGCTTCTGCAGTGTACCGATGGCGTTGGATAAGCTTCAAGATACCCTTTCATTTACAGTTCTACAAAGCTTGAGTCCCTGGAATCAATAAACCATACAATTTAAAAGGGCGGAAGTATTTAGATGGGCAAAAAAGGTTCAGTCATAATGCATTATCGTCATCTATCATGACATCCATATTCATACATGTGGGATCTAGTTCAGTATCAATTGATACCAAAATTTATATAAACCGTCAACGCCTTGAAAATGCAGTGCAAATAATAGATGTAGGTGAATCAGTCTCAGACAAATGCGCCATGATCGTTCCCTCTGTCCTCAGATGCATCACCATCGTGACTGCTCAGCTCAGACATGTGCCGACGCCAGCCACTGTTATGACGGGCAAGATGGGCAGGGCGGGTGTTTTCAGTGTCCTGGGCTTCGGTAGACGAGATTGAAGCGACACCCATGTCGGACGAGTCGGAGGAGATGGATCGCATGCCAACGGCAGTCTCGTCAGGTAAAGGAGGCAGCGGATTAGGGCGGCGGTGCGTAGAGAAAGAGGACTGAGCTGGCGGCGGGGCACGGCCGTGGGATGAGGAGTTTGTTCGTGTGCGGTTACGGTCGCGAGCACTGGATGGTGGCAGCTGCCAGCCATCGTACTCTTCAACATGTTCTGGCGATGTTGCTTGTCGTGTGGGCGGAAGATAGTAAGGATTTGACGCGGAAGCACCAGATCCAGAGTACAGTGCATGGTGGTGGTCTTCGTATGGTGGGAAGGCTGCGGTCGACATGGATGAAACGGAGTCGGTGTGAGGGCGGCTGGTGCGCAATGCTTGGGGTTGAATTTCATTGACATCTGACTCGGTGCTCGACCAGCGCTCCAGCTTCTCCCCGAGACTCTCTGGCGGTGCTACGTAAGAATCACCCTTCACAAGGCCAAGTCGTTCTTCTTCCGTTCCTGAGTTTGTGGTCCGGCGAAGAATACCACGAGGCGGACTGGCAGGGGGCTTGGGGGACGCTTCACGGTTCACTTTCATGCGGTTTATCATGCTGTTGAAGGAGAACTGGCGGCGCGCAGTGTTTGTCGGTGGTCCAAGAGTCTCATCCGCTTTCTCATCGGCCCAGGCGATAGATCTAGGGGTATCGCTTCGTTCACGGCCTACATGGCGGGGAGCACCATGGTATTGCGTGTCGACACCTTCATCCTGAGCCAACGGGGCATCTGAACTGACATTCTTTTCATCCTGCTCCCTCAATGGAATCCACTGCTGGGGATGACGCAGACTGGAAGTCCGAGAGCGAATATCAGAGAGGAAGGAATGACCGCTTTGCTTGGTGGTTGGTCGCTCATCATCCTCATCCTCTGGATCCGGGAAATGCGACATTCCAAGCGGTGGGAACTGTTGCTTCAGTGAAGGTGTTCGAGGAGTAGATGCGCGAGACATCGTAGGTCCTGCTCCGAGGACAGTCTTCCGCCGACGGAGGCCATCCCATTCAATGATTTCGTTCTCACCAGGGGGCTTGAGAGTATCCTCGTATTTGTCGTGGAAGAAGCGCTTGGCCTCATCAGACTCCATGTTCCGACGAGCAGTAGAGATGCGACGAATGATAGAGGCTGCACCACGGATCGAGTCTGCCCTGGGCTCCGACTCTGGCTCCTCTTGTGTGACAACCTCCCGGATTTGGTCCAAGTCGCCCTTGAAGACAGCCGCGTCGGGCACATCCTTAGCAGACTTTGATATTTGGAGGAGGACCACACCGGTGCAAATCTGCAGGAAACCCATAATCACAGTTGTGATTGCAGTGGCGGTGCCCTTGAATCCTTGGAACAGAATGGCGGAAGTCACAATAGTGGCACTTGTGAACATGACGTAGTAGGTCGGCGTGACGAGGGCAGCATTGAAGATATTCAACGCTTTCTGCATAGCCGTTAGTATATTCATCTGAGCATCAATTACAACGCAAAAACTTACGTTGAGAAAAATGATCTCCGTCAGTAAAGTGCAAACCACGAAGACAAGCAAAACCCAGAGAAACCACTCTTTATACTGTGGAGCACCCCCGATCCAGGCTATAATCGCCGATCCCAGCCCCTGTGTCGCAACCACACTCAAACCACCAACCATGCTGCAAATGCTGATGTAGACGAACATGCTTTGTTTGCCATATCGGGGACCTGCCCAGAACGCCGTGAATATGGAACCGACGATGATGACACCTGCATATGACAAGAACCCAGGCTGGATAACATAGTGCTGCATTTCTTGGATGTCGCTGACCGATGACTGCTCAGGCGCATTCAACGCAATCACTACGGACCCAACGATGCACGAGAAACAGCCAACCTTGCCCACAAAACTTAGTCGTTCCTTGAGAAAAATCGCCGATAAGACTGTGGTAATCACCACTGACAGAGCACCCAGGGGAGTGACTAGGATAGCGTCGACAAAAGCGTAAGCAACAAAGTTGCAGATTTCACCAATGATCATCAGGGTCATGCCAGACCACCAAAGGATATTCTTCAGATAGCCATATCCCACTCCAGCTTCTTCGTTGTATTTGATATTTGCTTTCAGAAGACCGATCTTCTTCAAGACAAACGATATGCCGATGAAGACCCCCGATGCGACCGCGAGAGAGATACCGATCGCCTTGTAGTAGGATGGGCGACCGCTAGAGTCGGCTCGAACGAGGAGGGTAGATGCGTGCGATAATGTATGGGCATCCATAGTGATAGGCGTAATTTGGAGGGGAAGATCAGAGACCACTGGCCGGCAGTGGGAGAAGTCGCAAGGACGAAGTCGTCCGAAGACGTAGCTCGGGCGACTACTGAGACACTTAATTCAGGCCACTTTGCGCAGTCCGCGTTTCGCCTGATTATGTTGTGTTTCAGATCCAAATCAAAACTCGAATTTCTGGATACAGTCGATTCAGAGAATTGAGACGAACACGTGTTGAGGAATTCGTGGGGATTTGCGTTTTCGGAAGGCAGCGATCGTTGGAGAATGTTTCTGGAACAAGTCAGATTCCAGGCGGGGGCGATCGGCGAATATTGCAGGTTTAGAATAAACAATAAAGTGAAGAAGTACAAGGTAAGGCAGAGTAGGTATTTGTGAAGAGTGAATTATATAAATCAAGAGCAAAAAACGAAAGGAGAAAAAGGGGAAAAACTAACGAAAACAAAGATGGCTGGGCCTGTGGGGGAAAGTCGTAATCTAAAGTGACCTGCACGGTACATCTATGTGGGGCAACTTGCCGTAAGATCAGCGGGTACCTGTCAGGTACCTTCAAGACACATGGTAGCGATGATTATGTCTATATTAAGATTATAAAGTCTAGATCGATTGGACAGAATCTGCCACTTACGCCGATGAGATAATTCAGACGTATAAAGATGATCGTTACTTGCCTTATTTCTAGGTAACCTTATTAATCTCTGATTATGTACTACTACTATACACCATAATTAGAACTTATCATAAGTGTCATCATTCATATTCCCGGGATTTGCCCGATAGATAGATATCTCAAACCGATTAACTGCGCCGACCTTTCCTCAGATCCATGCCATTCTCCATCTCAAATGAAGGGTATCCGGAAGAGAAGTATGAAAAAATAATAAGAAAATAATCGAAAACAAACGAAAGGACGAAAGACGAAGAACGAACACGAAGGAAATGATCGCAAGAGAATTACCGCACATGGTAACTTGGCTTGCGTTGACGGTTCACGACTGGGGGTGGCTCGTCAACTGGGTAGGGTGGACGCACCATACCGGTCGGAGACTGGGGGTGAGTAAATAGCGGAGCTGGCATCGACACTCCCCCTGAATCGTCCTGCGATGGGTATGGAATAGGTGTCTTTGGTGGCACTGGCGGAGGTGGCATGCCATTATGGAAGATTTGATCACCACTTTGACGGGGAGAGGATTGTGAGGATGGTCGACTGTACTCGTGGCCATGGCTTGGGTAGAAGCTAGGAATCTCGGCACTTGAATGACGGATCGGAGAAATGGGATAAACATCCTGATGACTAGCACGAAGTGGAAGTGAATCTTCTGGGGGTGCAGTCACCGTCACGCTGGCGGGGAGGGGCGGCGATCCCTGCGGCCGATACAACTCGACAGGCTCAGCTGGTAGCTCCACGGCAAATGCATTCGGCGGTGGCACCTCGAAGATGGGTGCATGTTGGGAGATGGAAATCTCCTCCCGCTCCAGGTCAAATGACATATCATCACGGTCACCACCGGCCGCCGCGTGGTCTGCCAAGCGCTTGTTCATGCGGTCAATCTTGGCAAACTTGACACCTGCGTCCAGAATCATCTTCTTGACCTCGGGCTTAGCCAAGTATCGTCGGGTGTTGGTGCTGATATCCGCAAGGCGGTTCCACTCATTCATGCCGAATTCGCCCACCCCAACCTCGACGTTGAGACGATAGTAGTTATCCTTGCTGACATTACGCTTGGCAAGGGTGTCCCGCAACATTTCTTGATGAATATCTTCACAGCCTTCGATCTTCGTCATCAGCCGTCGTCGCGCCTCGGCGAATGTGCCCAACGAGTCGCCGAAGAAACCTTCCCACCATTCATGCTGCCGATTATTGGTGCCAGAAGGGCGACGCCCAGTCCCCACACTGACAAAAACACCCACATCTCGACCGGGCCACTCATTTACAATCGCTTCGTCAAGAACCTGCGGTGCGGGGTTGTAGGTGCCGGGCCCTTCATCAATGAAGACGTGCTGCCCGATCTGGATAGGTTTGAAAGCAAGCCCAGTGGCTGCAGTGGCACGACCGGCTTGCCAAATTGTACAATCAAACTCGGGCGGTGGTTCTCGTCGAGAGTCGTAGGAGCGTAGAAACACTACTGGCCCGTTGCGCGCGGTGCCCTTGTAGAGCGCAGTAACAGCACTGGAAGTGGAAGTTAGCATTGAGTTTCAAAAGTATGACATAGAAGCTTACGTCTTGGTCCGATGTTCCCGGTTATCGTAGAGTGTGGCTTCTGGGTTACCCCAGCGCATTCCGTTGAGAAAGGTTGACCCTCTTTGGCTTGATGCTTGAGGATGTGAGGCAGCAGATGTGCTAAAGCTTCCCCGGCTCATGGACCGCTGAGGTACCGAGTTCGGACTGTATGGGAGGCTCGCAATGGATGATCGAGCATTGGTATTGTTTTGCACGTCATTCCCCTCAGTTTCAAAGACGGTGTGTTCCCGTACACATTCTCGGATGGCTTCCTCCAGTTTCGACGCCTTGAATAATGTTGATCGATAGGGAATGCCAGCGATGGTCTTGTCGGTTTCAAAAACTTTGCGGGTCATGCGAACGTAGACTTCTTTGCAGGTCTCGAGGTCGAGGCGGAGACGTCCCAGCATGAGCGCAATCAAACCACCGGTGCCGGTTCCCACGATCAGGTCGAAATGGTCACATGGCTTGGGTATTTGGTCGCGACGAGGGGGTTTGCCTTCACATTCGACGTAGGTACGGTACATGAGTTCCTGTAGTATGATGAGCATGGAGTAGCCGCGAACACCACCTCCATCTGTTGTTCGGTCAGTCTCAAACTCATACGTGGGGTAGTGTCATCACACTTACCAAGAGAGAGAATACGCAACGGCGGACCCTTCGTGGTATCTTTGCGACGCAGATTGGCCGATTCCATGGCGACTGCAACTGTTGTTGTTTAATCGAAAGGGATTCCTGTTTTTTTTTTGCCCTGCAGCGGCAAGTTACCCCCGGCGGGGTTTAGTGGCGCCTTATGCACCGAAGTTGCGGGACAGCTGGCGCCTGATCGATCGGTTGCAGAGCGTGGGAGTGAAGAGCGACTGGTGACACAAGTGATCGAATGCAGCTTTCAGTCAAGGTGTGACGAGGTGAGGGAAAGCTGATCCAGTAGATTCCGGATAGGCAGCGGTGTTCTATCGATTTGGGTGGCTTAGTCCATCCGGCAGCCACAGTTCGGGATGAGTAAAAGTACGCGACTTTGTCACTTTGTCACTTTTTGGGAGTTGTGTAAGAAGCACAAAAAAAACATACAGGAAATCACGACAAATGAAATAAAAGTTATTATTGGAAACTGAATCCACTTGAATCCATGGATCTTCCCAGGTGGTTATGTGGCGGTGCATATTATTCACTGACGTAGTTGTGGCTGTGTATATACGGAAACGAAAGACAATGACTATTGGCTAGGCTACTTTAAAGTCCACAGTATAGGGCTGATACAATTTATTTAAACAGGATCTCTATCATTTTAGTCAGGTCTGTGGAGCTCAAATGTTGGCTATATAAAGAAACTAATTGGTCAGACCGGGCCAGTCTAGGACAAAAGTCAGCATTAAGAACCAAAAGAAGTCAAAATTCTCTTACCAGTAATAGTCCGCTCCTTACTACGCGCCACCACATTAACCTCATCGCCTACCCGAATTCTATCCCCGTGACCTGTCCAATGCAGGAACGAATAACGTCCAAAAACAGGGCTGAACTTAGCTCCTCGATCCACCCGTCGATCTTTCATCAATTTCTTCAATACCGTACCTGTTTCACCCTTGGCCATACCCCCAGTCTGGTAATCAACATTCAAACTCTGACATCTCACGCAATTCCCAGTTAATAATAGACGAGACTTGGTAGATCCCACATTAAGTTCAGTCCAAAAGTCTTCTTCAAATGCTGAATCAGCACCCGACACGACAATGTTGGGCCGGAACTTAGTGTGATCCATTTCTTTACCCTCTGGAAGTCGGGCGGAGACATTATCGATTGATGATTGCGAGATAACCAGATATGGAGCACAATCGGCAAAGCTAATGCGTGTTTGTACATGTAGTCGGAGGAACAGGACATGGGTAGCCCATACCCAACTGGTGAGGATGGCGGCGGCGGCCGGGAAAGCAATTTGCGGGGCCAACGAATTTCCTATCAGGTTGATAGGAATATCGATAGCCCGGATCAAAAGATAAAACCAGATAAGCAATAATGGAATGGCTTTGTTGGGAATTTGTCCCAAGGCTTCGTACCAGATCCTCCACCATGGCGTTTTATTTCGTTTTTCCGGTGCCATTGTACCTAGCACTTTCCTTGAGTTACTTCCCAGGTACGCAAGGATAACAGGAAAACCGAAGCATTCGCTGAACCAATCGTTGTACTTGGGGCCCATGTCATATCCAGTTGTTGGACTCTTGTGCATCACGACTGGGATCTGTCTCTTGTTTTTGACTGACGGACACAGTGGGACCTCTAAGTGCTTGATCTCACGCAGCTTGGGGTCTGATACATCTTGCGGCCTTGGAGGATTGTATGTAACAAGGACTTTCCCCTCATCATCGTCTTTGGGGAATTCTACCGCAGTTTGAAAGAGTCCCATCTCAGGGTAATGAGGAATGTGCATATTCTCCAGCGTCTGCTTGGGGCCATCTTCGCCTTCAATCTTCAGAAGCATAAACCGACGATCAAACTGAAGACCCGCGGAAGTAAGGACAGCGGTGTCGAGAGAGGTTGGTCGGAGGGATTTAATCGGATACAGATAGAGCTAAAGAGTTAGCGAGAAATTCCTCAATTAATGTATAGATCATACCTGGCTGACCTTCATGGTCATGATTTTATCGGTAAGGAGAGTGTAGTTGTCCGTTACCTCTCCGCATCGGAAAAGGTCCTTATCGGCTATCTGTTTATTGAAACTCCCCCGCACAATTAATACCAATTATAGTGACCAATGCACCGATGCTCATTCGAGACATAACATAATGCTGACGAAAGCTAAGCGATGGAGTTTTATGATGCTTTTTAATCCAGACAAACGGAATCGATATCAATAACATTTAGCTACTTTGCAGGAATGACTATGAACATGTGTAGTACTAGTGTTGTGACTCGCTAATTCACGGATCTGCGCTTAGCCGGACGAAAGTCATCTGATATAGAAATGTGGAATTGGTCACTTCGCGTCTTCTGGGGTTTTCGCATTCGACCCATCAGGTGGCGGACGTCATAGAGGGATGTATGGGGCACTAGACTGAGAACGGCAAAACTAATCGCAAGTAGTGATCCAGTCCGTACTCAGTACATTATATTCTACATTGAAAAAAATTTTAAATGGTCTTATCAGTCATATTCGTATTGAATCATAGGGGAATGTACATAAAAAGAAAAGAAAAAGAATATAAGAAATCTACTGGTCCTTGACCCAAGGCAAGCTGAATGTGCTCACCCAATCCTCAACCTCCTGCCGAAGCATGACAATCTCTGACACCTCCTCGCCCTCGCCCAAGTATTCGAAGAATGCCTTGAGGGTGCCGGGGTTCTTGGCTCCGCGAGTCTGCGCTTGCTCACGGGCAGCCTTATCTAACTTCTGTGTCAAAGTCACAACACGATCCACAATGTCGGCGACCCGGCGGAAATCCTCGGGCTGGAAGCCACGAGAGGTCATGGCTGGGGTACCAATACGCAGACCACCGGGCTTGAGGGCCGACTTATCGCCGGGCACGGTGTTCTTGTTGCTAGCCACGCCACACAGCTCTAGCACCCGCTCTACACGGGCACCGTCCACACCACGGTTCTTCAGGTCGACCAGGATCAGGTGGTTGTCGGTACCACCGGATACGATGTTATATCCAAGACCACCATTGCTGGTAGACTCACCGAGACGCTCAGCCAACGCCTGGGAGTTGGCAAGCACGGCCTTCTGGTACTCCTTGAATTCAGTAGACTGCGCCTGCTTGAGGGCCACGGCCAGCGCGGTGATAGTGTGGTTGTGAGGACCGCCTTGGTGTCCGGGGAAGACGGAAGCATTGATAGGATTCTCCAAGTCGTACATCTCCTTGTTTCCCTTCTTATCGGTGCGACGCAGACCCTTGCGGTAGAAGATCATAGCACCACGGGGACCTCGCAGAGACTTGTGGGTAGTGGTAGTCACCACGTCGGAGTAAGGGAAGGGAGAAGGCATCACGTCGGCCGCAACGAGACCGGAAATGTGGGCCATATCAGTCAACAGGTATGCGCCCACCGAATCAGCGATCGCGCGCATGCGGGGGTAGTCGACGAGACGGCTGTATGCAGAAGCACCGGCCACGATAAGCTTGGGACGGTACAACAAAGCCTGTTTCTCCAATGCATCATAGTCAATCAGACCGGTAGACTCGTCCAGGCGGTATGGGAGGGTCTCGAAGTATTTCGAGATGGCGGAAATCTTCTTGGTGGGGGTCTGATAACCGTGGGACAGGTGACCACCGTGGGGCAAGTCCAAGCCCATGAGGCGGTCATGAGTGTTGAGCAAAGCGGAATAGGCGTAGAGGTTAGCGGGCGATCCGGACAAAGCTGTGATAGTGTGAGCTGTTTTCCATGTCCTGTCATCAGAGAGGCACCATACGCTGAACGTTCACACCCCACTCTTCCGGGTTGAGACGGAAGGTCTCCAGAGCACGCTGCTGACACAGACGCTCGGAAGCATCAATGTGCTCGTTTCCACCGTAGTATCGAGCACCGGGGTATCCCTCGGAGTACTTGTCTGATATGCGATTAGGAATTGTCTTCGAGCTTTGGATGGTCTACATACTCTGCATAACACTGCCAAGTGCATCAAGAACAGCTTGCGATGTGAAGTTTTCGGAGGGGATGAGGTTAATGAAGTTCTTCTGGCGGGTTTTTTCCTATGTCGCGTGTCAGTGAACCCACCCTATGGAAGCTTGAGGTAAATGACATACATTCTCCAGAATGTTGAAGACAGTGGGGTCCGATTCCTTCAGGGAGGACGAGAGAAGCTGTAAAAGGTGTTAGACTTGCTATTCCAAGTACCAAAATATCGATTGGGCATAGTTCATACCTTTTGCTGGGCATCACGGTTGAATGATGATACTCCCCGCACGAGAGGGATGCATCTAGGGACGGCGCGAGAGACGGGGCGAACACTCCCAAGTGAGAGGCGAGCAAGGCGCCCACAGCGAGCAAGAGACATTGTTACTTTGAGGAAACTGGAGATACACAATTGCTGGATAGGGAAGTCGCTTGCTTTTAATACTGCGGAGTGCCGGTCGCACCTTCCCCGTTGCCCGCGGAAAGCGGAAAACCACACTAGACCCGTTCTGTCTTACCGCCTGGTCTGTGCACGGTTGGCTCCTTTTTAATGGGCAGAATCGTTTTCTCCCTTCTTTTCTTCTTCACACAACTAAATCCAAAATGAAGAGATGGCGTTCTATCTGTGTCAGCACTCGTCGGTCCTGGCCTTCTGGGCTGGGGCTGGACGGGCGCTGCTGAGAGATCCCGCGCCCCGTCACCATCCATTGAGGGATCAATACTGTCCGATTGGAATTGTTGTGTAGATTCGGATCTCCCAATCGAACCATGTTAGCATAGCAATGAACAGATAGATATACGAATACACTGAAATTCATCAATCCTCTCAACTCTTTGTTTCTCTGTAGTCTTTGTTCACTTCCTAAATTCATTAGATCGTGCTCGAGCATGCCCAAATGCCACTACGGTCGGGACAGGTCGTCATTGTCACTCGAACAAAACAAGGAGTCATACCGTCATCTCAACATAAGGTACTCTTCAAGGGTCTACTCCATACTGGTAGGTATTGGAATTTAGTGAAGTACAATGGTTAAAATTTGCTCCAAATGAAGGTTCATATCCTTGTAGCCCATTTCCGTATGTGTAATGTAAGCCTTTCAACCGGGTGTGTTCCTATCTGTGGTGTACGCGTGGGTTGTGACTCAGATGGCATTTATATATATTGCAAGTTGGAACCCCTCCGTTGTTCAAGTGCAATTGAATTTAAAGTCTGAAGCGGATCTCAGAACATCAATTGGATGTGAAGAAACCTTGGAAGCGACAAACTTGAACCTTAACATCAAATAAAATATCAAGAAAATTTAAAAGTGAACTCCTAGAAACTTGATTACCAGATTGCCTCAGTTTCAATGAACATTGTAGCGGTGAATGACGTATTTGTGCGCCTAACACATTACATCTGCAAATAAATATCTAGGTCCGTATAGATAGAGTATATATATTCTCATTCCAAGTTTGGGCCCCAAATTTAATCATTCTAAATTAAATCCCTAATCTATATCTGATCAAAGAACGTGCCGGCAGTTCTCCTTAGTTGAGCCCGATTGCCTCGTAAGCTTGGACGATAGTGGATCATGTAATTTATGGAGATCCTTTTTGGATCATCAAAAACATTCGAACATTTGGACTGTTTTGATGATCCCAATAACCCAGTCTATTTTAACATTGATGGGGTATGATGTTATGATAAAGCCCTTACCTGGTGTTTTATGATGCCCCCCGCATATCCCGTGAGCGGATTTCTTGATCCCATTGTGCTAGAGATGGTTCCTATCGACAACTAGAGAATGAACCAATCGACATGCTTCTCTTTTGAGGGAGAAAGCGATCAGAGCCCCACTTAGTTGGGCATGCGTAAGATGATTCTGTAAATGCGGCACAGACGGACCCCCCAAGGATGACACAGATTTTACTCCGGTATAGAGACTATTCTGCGATCCATCTATGGGGAAAGCAGCCCCCCTTGGATACTATATCAGATTTATAGTAAGTTCTTTCACATTGTATTTTTATCCAATTCTTCAATAAAACTGCCAATCATTGGTCTAGACTTATTTTCGAGCGGCATAACCACTAAAACAAGTAAAGATCCTCCACTTCATTTACCGTTGTTTTGTGTGTGTTCCGAGTACGTCCTAACCCCTGATTCGTTTCTATCCCCTGCAGTGATCCATAAAGATCCTCAATTTAAAGCAAGTTATTAGTCTTCATTGCCTGGTCGACCTAATTTCCCCATAATTGCCACGACCTTTTGACGCACTTCCGCCCCCTTTTTGTTGAATTTTCCCAAATTTGGCGCTAGTGCACGGGTACCTGAGTCGACCATGGACTTATAATTAAAGGATCCCGCTGTTCCCCCCCCCTTCCCTTTTGCAAGTATTCACATTCTCTTGATTCACTCCCCGGACCTTCTTGGCCGATTACATTCTTTTTACCTCCCACACTCTTTTCATCAAGACTTTGTCATACTTCAAGGAACATTCCTCGAATAACTCTTAACATTCCAATATGCGTTTCTCCATCACCGCTGTTCTGGCCCTGGCCACTGCTGCCATCGCTACTGAGGCTGTTACCGAGACTGTCACCATGTACACCACCTACTGCCCCGAGGCTACCTCTATCGTCCACAGCGGTACCACCTACAGCATCTCCACCGTAAGTTCATCCGAACCGATCTTAGAGATGACGACCGCGATAGACAAGATGAAACATCTCGATCACATCGGCCTATATCTACCTGATTTATACTTCAAACATATCTAACATTGTTCATAGCCCGGTCACCTCACCATGTCCGGTGGTCACTACACTGTCACTCGTCCTTTGCTCTCCTCCACCGTGACTGAGTGCAAGAAGTGGTAAGCGCATCCCGAACCCCCTCTCAATCTGGAACAACGATCTACGCCCCCGCCGAGAATTCGAATCTATTAGAACCATTACTAACATTCTTTAGCTCTTCTACCCCTCTGCCCTCCACCCCGGTCGTCGCTGTCTCCCCCAGCTCCTCCGCCGTTCTGACTTCCACCCCCTATGTCCCCAGCGGTGCCGCCGCCACTGGTGTCCCCGGTACTGGCTCTGGCTCTGGCTCCGGTTCCGCTGGCTCCTCCGTTGGCAGCAGCGGTGCCTCCGCCGCTACTAGCTCCATCCCCGCCTACAACGCTGGTGCTGTTAACGTTGCCGGCGCTGGTGCTGGTCTGGCCGCCGTTTTCGGTGCCGTCGCTCTCCTGCTGTAAGCGTGAGCTTATATAGGAGTGTGAAGTTGATGTTTGTCGGTGGTTGCTTCCCTTTCTTGCTCGCTTGATCTACGCATCTGAGTGTGGCATTTGGGGATGGGGTGGGTTGTCGCGCGCTGGTTGTCAGGTGTTGACGGCCTAGGTGTGGGAATTTTTTTAATTTCTTGGGTGTACATGTCTTGTCTTTTAAGATAATACATAATGAACCTGCGGGTTCTCTTTATGTTTGCCGATGCTGCTTTTTCTCTTAGCACCTATTCTTCTGGATATAATGTTTTGATTTCCAATCTTTTAATGAGTTGGTTTGGTAATTTGTATGGGATCCTTGTCTGCTATCACCATAGTAGGCTACTTGTCTGCTATTTGTAGGTTAGACCCTGAGATAAAGATAAGACTGCATTGCATAATCTTTCACACAGTCGTGTAGCACGCAGCACGTGGACCCGGCACTCCACCTAGATTGAACTAAAGCTTCGCCTTTATCCTCTCCTCAAAATACTCTTTCACCCTACCCCTCGCAACCTCAACAACATCTACGTCTTCAATAGTCGGCGGTACACTAACAGGCGCATCATACCGCCCCTCCACACCATGCTCCACCAACTGCCGTAGCACGCGCCGTAATGTCTTCCCGCTTCGGGTCTTAGGAATCATTCCCCGACCCTGGATCATGCCGCCCAGCGAGGCGATGGCACCGATTTGTTCCCGCACCAAGGCGTTGACGTCATTGAAGAGCTTTGTGGTGGGTGTTACGGATAATGGATCTGTGGAATCAGCGCCAGGACGAGGTTGAATGAATGCGAAGGGGAGGTGGCCCTTGAGTGAGTCTGGTATGCCCACGACGGTGGCTTCATTTATGGATGGGTGAGTTAGTATTGCCTGTTCGATCGCGCCTTCACCAGAGTTAGCTTGATTTGGCTGAATGGTATGAAGATTGACATACCTGTGCTAAAACGGTGAGCGGCTACATTTATTATATCGTCCGATCGAGACATGACGTGCACATATCCATCTTTGTCAACTAATCCTGCATCTCCGGTATCGAGCCATCGTCCTTTGAACCGCTTGAGATATCCATGGTAGAATCTTTCCTCATCTTCGAACAGGCTTGTGAATGCCGTCGGTGCCAATGGCAGAGCCATGACGATGTTCCCCATTATTCCGCGAGGGACCTCCTTACCCTCGTCGTCGACAATGCGTACGTCAAACCCGGGCATTGGCATACCTGCTGACCCGGGCCGAATAGCCAGTGGATGATCGGCCACCGCAGCTACTTTGCCAATGGCAGCACTGCTGTTCAGTGCCAATCCAGTGATGGGTGATCCGGATTCAGACGACCACCAATTATCAATGACGAGAGCACCCGGTGCAGCAAACTGTGTCAGAAGATCCTGATACGTCCGTACAATACTAGGCTCACTTCGTTCTCCCGCGAGGAACAGTGCCCGAAGAGACTTCAGCCCGCCACGCTGTCCAACCTCCTTCAAAAGCTTGTCATTCGGATCATCTTTGCGGATGGCCCGCATGGCTGTTGGTGCTGTGAACAAGACATTGACAGAATGCTTCTCAATAATACGCCAGAACACCCCTGCATCAGGTGTGCCAATCGGCTTACCCTCAAAGAGAACTGTCGTTGCGCCGACCAGCAGCGGTGCATATAAAATGTATGAGTGCCCGACCACCCAACCAATGTCAGAAGCACAGAACATCACATCCCCCGGACCTTTAATCCCGAACAAAGACCGAATCGATAGTTCAAGTCCGACGGCATGACCACCAGCCTCTCGAAGAACCCCCTTGGGCAACCCAGTGGTGCCACTAGTGTAGATGATATAGAGTCCATCAGTGCTCTTGACAGGTACCGGGCCGGCCCGAATCCCACGCATGCGGGCACTTTTGACCAGTCGCTGCCAGTTACGCTGGCCGCCGAGCTTATCAGGCTGATTCCAGCGTAGTTGGTCTCGCTGCCAGATAATCACCTTGCTGGGCTTGAACTTGCTCGCTGCAACCGCCCCTTCCACCAATGGCCGGTATGAAATTGGTCCCTTGGAGCCCTCGACTCCGCACGAGGCAGTCATGATGGCACGGGGACGTGCAGCCTCAATGCGCTGCGCTAGCGACTGGGCGGCGAATCCACCAAAGACAGCTGCATGGATGGCGCCCAGACGGGTAATTGCAAGCGCGGCGATGAGCGCCGCGGGTATCATCGGCACTGCATGTGTTTGCAGATTAGACAAGGTGTGTCCCAATTTGGGAAGCTAGGTGGAGCTTGTACGACTTACTGTAAATGATCACCACGTCGCCTTTGTGGACCCCCTCCTCGCGTAGAACCCCCGCAAGAACCTCGACCTCATCCAGTAACTGCCTGTATGATAACTTCTCTGTGGTCCGCGTGACTGGTGATTCCCAGATTATGGCAATTTGGTCTCCAAGGCCATTGTGCACATGACGATCTACACAGTTGTAGGTCGTGGAGATCTCACCATCGGCAAACCAGGACCAATGCTCATGCTGGACCCCACTAGGGAGGGTCTTGGATTGGAGTGTCAGAGCTCTGGATGGCTTACGGTGCCAGTGGAGACGCTCCGCAGGACCAGACCAAAATTCATCCGGGTCACGAAGCGAGTGTTCCTGCGCCGCCTGTTGTGGATGTGGCGTCATATTGGGGATGGGTCGACTTTGGAGGGTGATTGATTGGGTCGGGCTGTTATCGCACGTACATTCCCGTGCGTTTTGCTCGAGTACCGAATTCGGTGGAATCGAATCCGAAAGAGATGCAACATGCTGCATGCACTTTATATTTCGCCCCTCCCCCTTCTTCAAAAAGTCCAGGGAGTTTTGGAGCGAAAGCCGAAAATGCGGGGGAAAAGCACAGACTAAGTCCCTCGGGCCAACTCTCCCCCGCACCCAAAGGTACCCGAGTGGTACATATGCGACCGAGGAAGCTATACTGTGGGACCAAGTACCCGCTTTGTAACTGGTTTCTTAGGAAGATCACTCACGAGACATTAAGTGGAGAATCGATAGTTCGAGTAATTGAGAGGCTGAAACAGGATCTCAACTTTTGTACAGTTTTTGGCTAGTGCGAGGAACTATTGACTGTTATATGACATGAGCGGCCCGAAGATTATTCGGTGATTTCTAATGACCATTAAATAGAAAGATCTGTATTGTCTATATACTTGCTTAAATGGCCGACAAAAATAATTCAAAAGATAGATAAACAAGCTCAGTCGTAGGGTATCATATCGAAATGCCTGCTAATGCGCGACTGCGATCTTCTGGCTTCAAGGAAGAATTTTTTTTGGTTGTTTGTGGCGTCGGGTGCTCCAAGAGAATGCAAGACAACCCTCCCAAATTATCCTTCGCTGTGGAATCTGGCTGATAGCTCATAAAGTGGTGGGGAGCTAGCGAAGGTGCAACCCAGGTGCGGTGGATCCCGCAACTCAAGTGGCGGGGTGCTCAGCCCGGATCAAGTGATCGGCAGAGATTGAGAGCTGAAGTTGCCACAAGTCTCCGCAAGAGACCCGGTGTGGTGACCAAAGCGAGAGAGATGTAGAATCGGGTTGTGTGAGTGTGAGTGTGAGTGCGAGTGTAGGTGTGTGTTTGTGTATATGTGAAGTGAGAGAAGAGGCCTGACGCCGAACAAGGTCGTAACCAAAAGACAGAACCACCCTTCCAGATGCACCCAAGACCAATAGGAAAAAGAAGTAATAAAGCAAAGAAGTAAATGAGAGCATCGGTATCGTTATCAAGATAGTCGATGCACCCTTTCCCCCGGACGGACCCGGCCGATCACAGGATATTGCACTGGAGTCGGCTGCGATGTCTAGATCGATCCGGACGGAAGGACTTGGGGGTATTCAGGGCCAGCATCACGGTCGCGACCTCCAGGCTGGCGACGGTCCTGACTCCGACCCGGCTGCTGTAGTCGCTGTTGGCGCAGCATGCGAACGACATCGTAGAAAGCCTTCTCGACGTTGATGCAATTCTTCGCGGAAGCCTCGACAAATTCACAACCCAACTCTTTCGCGAGTGCTTGTCCTTCTTGGGCGGAAACGGCACGTTCGACGGCCTTATCGCTCTTATTGCCGACTAACATGACGGGCACGGGCCGCGACGGACCCCCGGACGCTTGCATGGAGGAGCCCAAGTAGCTGGGACCGGAAGGCGAGCCGGAGCTCGATGACTCCTTGACCATCTTGATCTGGTTGTAAAACTTGGTGATGCGCGAAAATGAGGCGCGCGATGTGATGCTGTAGACCAGTACGAAGCCCTCTCCATCTCGAATCCACTGATCCCGTAGCGCGGTGTACTCCTCCTGGCCCGCCGTGTCCAGCACCTCCAGCATACACGACTGTTGGTCAATGACGACCTGTTTGCGATAAGAATCTTCGATAGTGGGATCGTAGGTTTCGACAAAGTGGTTCAGACATAGCTGTTGAAGGTTTCAATGTCAGTTTACCAGTTCATCCCTAGCGGTCGGAACGAGCTCGTTGAGACAAACCTGAATGGTCAAGGCAGTTTTTCCCACACCTCCATCGCCCAGTACCACCAATTTATACAATGTCATTTTCCCCGACATGACGGGCAAATGGTTTTGAGGAGTTAACAAGTAGGGGTTCCGAAAAGGGCTGAGGGGTTTGAGATGCACCAAGAGGGGGTGATTAGGCGGGGGTTTGGTTAGAAAAGAGAACACAACCCAATTGGATGTTCTTCCCAAATGACGCAAATAAAGAGAAGTTGTGTGGAAGGGGGGAGAGGGGGGGGATGAAAAGGAAAAAGAGGGGGGACCAATTGTGCGAAGTCTGGTCCGGGCAGAAAGTGGCTGGAACTAAGTGGAGGAAGGAGTGGGAGGGGTTGATCAAGAACCTTTTTTACTTTTAAAGCATTCAAAATGTTGGAATCCTAATCCTTCTCTAAAGTAAAGTAGAAATTATAACCAACATAATTTATAAATAAATCGATCAAAATAAAATAAAATAAAACCCTTAAAAAAAGATCCAATCCAGTTTAATTTATTTATATATACCCAGTCGACCGGGGATTCCCAGTTGATGATCCTGAATTTGTCTCGGGAGTCTACAAGAAAAAAAAAGAAAACCGCATATTCAAATGATAGATCATGGAAAACAAACGCAGTATAAATGACAGTTTCATGAGATCATTGAATTCGATTAGATTCTTCCAAGGGGCGAAAAAGCATGAAGGATACGGGAAAGGATTCCCAGACCCTAATTAGAATAAAATACTTCTTTTTCCATGAGTGGATGTGGACTTTTAGTTTATAAAGGCTTTGTTTTTTTTGGATTTTTTTTTCTGAATTTTTTCTGTATTTTTTCTTCCTAAAAAGTCCGATCGATAGAATAGACGGAGTATACATGAATTCCCGAGTTCTCCCCCCCACTGTCACACCAATATGCCTTTCTTCACATTTTTAGAACTGTCAGATCTTTCCAGCAATGCGAACCAAAAACCAAACCAGTGAAAGCAACTGCAAATAGACTCTCTCGCTCTCGCTCTAAGGAAACCGGAAAATAGGGGAATAAAAACGGATCAGGCAAATCAAGTGGATAAAAGATTCCGGGCCCAGAAGGTGAACGGCCCAATCTTCTGGGCCAAACTCTTTCACCAAACCATGACAGGAAGCTGCTTTTCCCGGTGGAGCCTCGGGAGCTTCCAGCTAAGCGAGTCCGTGCCTTATGGGGGGGGGGGGACACCACCCGGTCCGGGATTGATTGAATTGGGTAAATAATGGGCTTAAACACGTGGGAGAAATCTGATTGCCGATATACTATACTCCGTAGTTAATTAATTACGTTTCTATATCTCCTTTTCCCAAACTCTAGAATTCTATGCTCTATACAGTATCTGTATTTCGTATATACCTACTTTAAGGGTTCGCAAGGTTTCATGCTACAGAGTATATTCCAGGTTCTCCAGCACCTAGGTAGCTTAAACGTAACTTAATTTAACGGAAAATCCGAGAGGAATCTCTCTTAGGTGGGGCTATCACACCGAAAGGTTCAAGCCAAAGCTAGAACTGATTCATATCGATCCACCGTTATGTCCCTGAGGACTCCTTCTCCACCCCCTGGATATTCTTGACCTTTTTTCTCTATCTTTTCCATATTTCCCACCTTCACCTCTTCCACAATACACACGGATGACCCCGTTCAAGCAAACCCTCTGGGTAAAAACGAAGGCACCCACCCGCGGAACGGCGCGTTGTTTCCCGCTTGATAGATCGTCTTGCTCTTGGATGATCTCGGTGGAGTCCCTCAGTTTAGTTAATTTCCCCCTTCCCTTCCAAGCCGCTTCTACCAATGGGGCCCTCTCTTAGCGTCCGGCACGCTGCTCCCGTGTCCCGCGGCTACAGAACTGGGATACACTATCGCCTGACCGGGAACTGAAATCTGGACCGTCGGTCTTGGTCCGCCAGTTGGGACCCGCTTGATGACGATGTGACCCATCCTGTCAAAGGTGGAATCTATCTCCTTTTTCCTATCTTATGTTTTCTACTCCGTGCACTACTCCCTATAGGGTATGATAATTAAACCCAGCCTCGTTGGATTTACTACGGAGCTCCCCGTGATTGCTGAGGATCCATCCGGCTGCCAACGTCTCGATCATTTCATTTAGACTGGGACCCCAATATCGTAGCGATTGACATCTCCTCTAACCTTTGCCCCTTTCTTTCTTCATTTCTTTACCTTCTTGAACGTTTCAGAAAGGGGTCAAGCAGACAATTCCATTCCTGCGCCTTTCGGCAGGGCCAGGGGGAATTGGTAACGGATCCTCCCGTTCTCCGCCGTTAGATGGAGTCGCCATATGGCAACTTAACGGTCCGCTAACCAAATCATGATCTCGCCCTGGTCTTTGCTCGCTCCTGACTCACTTCCTCTCTTGGTTGGTCTCTTTTCTAGATTCAATCGAATGTAACGATCCTTTAGGTAAATCCCCCCTGTTCCTTTTTTTAGAGGAAAATTTCTCGTAGTGACTCCATTCAAACGAGCTTAAAATAAGGCCACATAAATAAGATTGCAGCTATCATTCCAATCATATCAACTCTACTAGCCACTGTGGCGTTAACGTGCATAAGTATGTACTCCCTACATACGGTCCGTGTAGAGCAGCCCCATTTAGGAGAGCAAGCAACGATCGGATTGCGTATGTGCCAAAGACCCGGTTAATTGTCAGGCGACGTGCGGTATTTCAGTCTGTGCCCAGTCCCTATTGCCATTACTAATGTCATCACCATGGTGATGGCAAACGCTAACTGTTTCGCAAGGCCCATATTAACACTCTACCTATTGCCAAAGGCAACTGGAAATCCACACACTATTTAATTTTGGGTCTAGAACATTTGCCCATGTTTTATTCGACGTCAATAATCACAGAGATATGCCGACGAGATAGATTAGAGATGACTGGTGACCAGCCACCCAATGTTAAAGTGCTTTGCTGATGTCTCGTGAGATATTCCCAAATTGGTCAATGGTCGGAAGTAGTTAAATTGCATTGGCACCACATTGAGTCCGTGGGTACCATATCTATTCCAAAACTAACCCTATACCATTCATAATTTGCATTGCCTAAAAGTTGCCTTAAAGGCAAAGAGTGATGTGCTGTACTTGGAAATCCCAAGTACCCAGCTCTCACTTATTCGTACGGCTCAATTAATTCGATAAAAATCACGTATCAACATCAATGATATTATCAATGAACCATCGCGAATAATAAGACTACTTATGAAAGCTCCAGGGACTGGGAAGGATGGTTGAAGTATTGTAATATTGTCACAAGAAATAAACTTGGCAAATTTAGTTATCTGCCAATTTTCATCGCATTTATAAATGAGACGGCGGTCGGAAAGCCAAGTGTTCTAGAACTCCGTCGAATGGGCAGAGCGAAAAGAATAATTCACGCGAATATCTCGTAAGATGTACTCGCTCATGCGGAAAATCCACCACCTCCTCCTCCAGCAGCTCAAATGAAGCATCCCCAAGTAGCTCATGGCCCCATACTCCATCACCGATAATATTCTCCGTCCGATGCTCATCAAGGAAAACATAGTGGAGTAAGCTCGACCAACAGGCTTGTAACCAGCGTCGACACCTAAAGGAAGAATATCCAACTGAGGCGTTCAGTCCACGATCAAAATCACCCGCGTCACTGGCTATACCTAGAGGATCCTCTTTGGCCCAGAAAACCTCAAAGTAACCAAATAACGTCCCATCAAACTGGCCCAGTAGACCGACCGTATGTGCATCATCGCTCTGTGTGCGGAGGTATTCATTGTCTTCCTCCAGGGAGTCCTGTGGAATCCCTGAAAAGGGGACTTGAGAAGATGTTTTTCTTGACTGGCGGAAGAATCCAACATGTGTCGGGTTTTGGTGGTCAATAACAACCAAGGAAAAGACTTTGTCCAAATTTGGGATGTATCGACTGTATACAACTGAGCCCAATGCAGCCCTTGGAGGACGAAGTGGGTGAGTGCGACGTCTTGTTGGTGTCGATGTGGTGATGTAGTGTAAATGTGGCACGGCGTTGATTGCGGTAGGTGTCCACATAGAATTGGATCCTAGTGGCGAGGCACATCCTTGCCAAAAGCTGCTGCGGAAAATCACAGAACAACCATTGGAATTGAGAGCCACCATAGAAAGACGTAAGTCTTCGCTTATGGTATCACTGCCGGGTCCTTTGAGTTGTAGTCGAAAGATCTCCAGCTCAGGCTCGATGGTAAAAATTGTGTAGAGGACCAGCCAGATATGGTGGATAGTGACAATCCTCTCATCATCCCATGCACATATGCTTACAGGGCCCTCGCTAGGGCCGCATTGACGAGAAGCAGTGATGGCAGTAGCAAGACCAGTGGAGTTGGAAACTCTTGGCCTCGTGAATGAAATATTATCATGGTGTAGTTCAACAGGTAAAGGAGCTTCGCCAGCGAATCTTTCCTTCTGGCTCAGCTGAAATACTTCGTGATTCTGCGAATCTAATGAGACAAGGTCGAATGAAGTCAAAAACGGATAAGGAAGACGGATCCTGGTGTTTGTAGACCACATCTTGGAAACCATATTGATCACATGAGCAAAGACTGAAATTGGTAAAGTTTCCGGGATTGAAGCTGTGCGAGGGCTTGGCCTGACTTTATGTGTTCTGCAAAGGACTTTCCTGCCGGGCAGACCAGCAACCGGGTTGATGATCGTCCCTGCTGTGGGCAGGATATGCCGTGTAATTGTACAGAAATGGCAGAACCATCTTGCATGGTGGAGAGTATACTACTATGAAATCATTGTAGAATAACGAGATTAGTTTACGTAGTGGATAAGAATATTGACTTGGCTATCACCGGTGCCGGTATTTGAAAACAGGCTCTTGCAGGTTCACTCAGCTGCTTTACATCATCTGCAGTGCCCTCCGGTACATTGCGGGTATTTCGGAAATATTCATTTCGCACGGCTGCTAGATCTAAGGCCATGCGAACCGAGTTGGCCGCTTGATCGTCTCCCTGGATTGTCTGCCAATGTCTGCTGACTATTACTGGCCTGGGAAAGCTGTCAATTAAAAGAGGGAAATCTCACATTAGTAGTAGATAAAATAGAATCCTAGTGTTAGATGTGAACGGTGAACGGATCAGATAAGACTGAGACGCCGATAGCGGGCCAAGATCTGTATTTCATTTACGTGAAAACCATTGTATAATACATATATAAATACACGTATCATACCGGGCACCAATTCTTATTCTTATTTCATGTGCCGTGGCTCCCCACCACGCTTGAATTGCGTAGGGGCTCCACTCACCCCTTTTGCTTGTAGAAACAATCTTGGCGCTGTATATGAAATGCCGTAGAGAAGAACATATAGAAATTATTAACTGTGCCAAATATCGTACGGTGTTAAGTATCCAAGTTGGTCTGTTCAGTGTCAATGCAGCAAACTTTCAAGTTTCAAGTATGCTTTTTTATACGATACAAGTATCCCGACAGTGATCGGCGGGCACTAGCACGAAAGCATAAGTACATGAGCTTGGCGTATGGCGATCTCAACATCATGGATGGGGCTGTTGCTCCAATTTTCAGTCTTCCCGCATATTGCTGTAATCTGATACAAGCCATCTCCATAGAAAGTCCCCACGACCTACCAAAGTAGGGATTGCATCCGAGTCACCAGGATCTGGGCCCTTGAAGACAGGCTGATCAACACTTAAACTCCGACCGCTTGGTAAAAAAACGAGTCCCACATGGGCGTTGTAAACGATGTACAACACAGAGAACACGGGATGAATCTGGATGGCACAAGCTGCGAAACCGGATCGCGTTGCCCCACGCGAGCCTCTGAGAGACCATAGCGATGAAAGGCTAGTTGGGGCTGTGCCTTTTGATCGACTTAAGTTCCTGCATAGTTCTTTTCTGTTCCTGCCACTTACTGAACTCTGATTTATTCGCCGAAATGGAGCCTATTAAGATTCGGTTGCCTCATCCCTACTTGACCACCTACTATCTAAGGCCTTCTGACAAGCTTCATTGTGGAAAACAACTACTTCAGTTACAAAAGGCTAAAGGGAAGGAATCGCAACCATTCACTCAAGCTTTAGACAACGACAAGCTTTACTTTGAGACGCCGCGTGTCGTCAACCCAGAAGAAGCGATCTCCTTGTCTGACAACACTGCTTGGGCACGAGCACAGCGAAGTCCATCATGCCTCTTGACCTGGGAGGGCACTTCTTTACCGACAGTTGGCCAAGTCTGGCTCTTTCTCTACACATTGTTTACAGTGCGTGAAGAGATCGAGACTTTCCGTCTCCATTTCCAAGGCCACAATGCCGAAGCGTTGGCACACATTCTCAGGCTCTCAATGGTGGCCATTGATCATCCACTGCCCATCAGCAATTCTGTCCAATGGCAGTCTCTTCCAAATGAGCTATTGGTTTTGCGCAGCGCCTTCTGGCAAGGATGTGCGTCTCCTCTGGGCTCTCAGCCCATATGGCTCCCGACCTGGAACTCCGCCAAAGCCGTCCCTCACCTCGACTATACCATGACCTCTAGCGAAACTATGCACCGTCGTCACCCTCGCCGTCACCCCAAACCCACACCCGGTTCCATTGTGTACAGTCGCTACATCCCCTTCCTCGACGAACATTTCTCGCTCGTCGCGTTAGATTACCAGAAACCCGAGCATCTGAACCTTTTCCATACTTGGCAAAATGACCCCCGTGTCGCCAAGGGCTGGAAAGAAACTGGTACCCTGGACCAACACCGTGACTACTTGCGACGACAGCACGATGATCCTCACACCCTGACCGTTCTGGGTCTCTTCAACGACACCCCATTCTCATACTACGAGATTTTCTGGGCCAAGGAGGATAATATAGGCGCACACTACGCATCGCAAGATTTTGATCGCGGCCGCCATACTCTTGTGGGGAATGATGCATTCCGCGGCCCCCATCGGGTGATGGCATGGTGGCCGAGCATGATCCATTATGTTTTCCTCGATGACCACCGTACAGAGAACGTGATTGGGGAGCCGATGTCAAACAATGATAAAGTTTTGACCTATGATTATACGTTCGGTCTTCACCAAGACCAGATCATTGATCTGCCTCATAAGCGGGCTAGTTTGGTGAAGTGTACCCGTGAGCGATTCTTCCAGATTTGTCCATTTAACCAAGGAAGCCCTCACATTGCAGGCACTGGTTTGGCTTTTAAGCCTCGTTTGTAAATTTGGATGTTTTAGACTTGATTTGGTACGAAAATAATTAGTCTTTTGTTCTAAGGGCCAAACGATCCCAATTAGCTCTGAAGTAAATCTGTAAAAAAACGTGCAAACGAACTTGACTTATTATCAAGCGTTTGAAAATTGCTCCAGCTAGGGAAGCGGCAGATAATATGCGTGGAAAAAGTGGCTTGGTATCTTGGCATCTTGGCAACGTTAAATGACGCATCCAATGAGGTAGTGGGCCCCGGGAGGGCCCAGGGGCGAGTAATCTTCGTACTTCAATCCCGAGGTCAATTTACCATTACAGGTATTTCTGCATGTTCTTTACTAGACCAGAAACAAGAATCTTGGCTAGCTCCACTTGGCTACGTGAAGTACGCCATAAGCGACGATCCAAATTCAATGAGCGTGGTGTTGGTCGGAAAATGATTGCTCTTAAAGAATTTTAGTTCATCTGAAAGACCTTGCATGAGTTTCCCGAATACCTACACTTTATAAACATCATAAAACTCCTGGTTTGGTTTTGCTTTCTCTTAGTGGGGAGACCGGAGAAAGTGCGGTCATTTCCGTTTAGAGATAATTTTTATCAGATCATCTAAGCCGTGTATTGATCGTCACAGTGGATCATGAAACTTACTATTACTTTTTGTAATATCGTCATGGCGTAATAAAGGATTACTGTATCAAACAAAAGTCCAGTATTGCCGATCTAAGTCTCCCACTGTCGGAGCATTGACCGGGTATGTGAGGCAGATAAAAACACCCGAGGCTAGGAGTCTGACCTTTTTCTTCTATTTCGAGTAGCTATTCATAGGGAGTGGGAACTATAGGAACAACTCCCTTCTGTGATATCATGAGTTCTCATCCTAGCCTCAGACGACAACCGCCACCACAGAACCATGTCATTGTCTCCTTTCCAGCTCCCTATGTGATGCTGGTCATATTAAACCGACCCAAAGCTCTCAACGCCATGGTCAGCGCGGCACAATATGACCTCGAAACCCTCTTCGCCTGGTATGACAGTGAACCGTCGCTTCGCTGTGCTATCGTCACAGGCGCTGGACGAGCCTTTTGTGCCGGAATGGACTTGAAGGAATGGAACCAAACGAATGCTCGCCGCGCCAACGGGGACTACGTTAGCCGGCCTCCAATGCCACGATCCGGATTTGGAGCCTTATCGCGGCGCCATGGCAAAAAACCTGTTATTGCTGCGGTGAATGGATTAGCTTTTGGTGGAGGGATGGAAATGATCGCCAATTTGGATCTTGTGGTCGCGGCCAAGGGCGCACACTTCGCACTTCCCGAGGCGAAGAGAGGCGTTGTCGCCATGGCGGGCTCTTTACCTAGGCTGGCTCGAACAATTGGTCGACCAAGAGCGATGGAGCTAGCACTGACGGGCAAGAGTATCACTGCTGCCGAAGCGAGGGAATGGGGATTGATTAATGCTGTGACAGAGGATGGGCCGACGGATTGCGAGGTGTTGGAGCGGCCAGTTGTGAAGGCGGCACTGGATTATGCAGCTAGCATTGTCAGCAATAGCCCGGATAGTGTGATTATCAGTCGTGCTGGAATTGTGGCTGGTTGGGAGGATGGAAGTGCAGAGAATGCCAGTCGCTTGCTGAGTGAAAGTTGGGAATCGATGTTAAATGAGGGCGAGAATCTCCATGAAGGGGTTAGAGCTTTTGCGGAGAAAAGAGCACCTCAGTGGGTGAATAGTAAATTATAACTACTTAGATACCCGGTAGAGCTTAATTCTCACCATTTCGCCTTTTTCAATGGACAAATCCTCTTTTACGCACTTGTCTGTCTACGGATACTATGATGCCGACACCGGTGATCGGCGAAAGATGTATACAACGCCTTAGTCGCAGCAAATACCCCAATTTGGTGGACTTGAAAGCATGAAATTCGTAATTACCAAGGGTCGGATTCTTCTCCGACTCTTCTGATTCTTCTTGACTTTATGAAATTGTTAAGCGTAGCATGACATGAGCGGTTCGATTCTTCGATCTTTAATGATTATTACAGTACTTCGGCTTGAAAGAGGTAATATATACCGTAATAACGAGCAAATACGGGGTGTGCTTACATACTGTATAAAAGCATGATCTGCATGATGGACCGCAGGCTCATCTAATCAGTCCTTGGCATGATTTTGGTGGGAAATATACACCCAACCAGGAATCTCCCCCGAAATCTTTCAAACTCGAGTCTGGGCTATGCAGGTAGGATTATGGAGTCCAAACTTATTAAACCATTACTGTAGTTATCGATCTCGGGGAATTAGGGACAGCCTTCCCTTGACGCCATGCTTCTAATGAACTTATTTCTAGGCGCCCAGATCTGGGGTCAAATCAGCACTGGCCTTGAAGCCTGCGGTTGCACTTTAATACCTCCCTCGCGCTTCGGTCTCCCTTGGCAATTCTTTCGACCTGAGATTTGGCGGCATTTTCGAAAACGTGTGTCATGCCCAGAGGCTGCCAATGCTGCGAATGTGTTTGAAGCGCGAAAGATCCGGATCAGATTAGATTATGAATTTCTTTCAAGGTTTTCTTTTTCTATTCGTATTTCGTCTGACCACTAAGCGCGCACCCTTCTGTCCTTGGTGGGGACTGTGAGGTCCTGGCTACATTTGCTAGGCCTTTGCCAACCCTTGGCGATGAATTGCTTGCAATTATTGTGTGATGAGAATCCCCTATATTAAGGTTTTTCTGCTTTGCAAATTTAAAATATTTGTTCATGAGCATCCCTCTGTGAGCTAGCTACCTTTCCTTTTTTATATACGTCAAGGTACACCTTACTCAAACCTTTCATTGGCATGGCGCAATCTGTTGCTTCTGACGAGGCTGGCATTTCCAAATGCGAGGCCATTATACAGGTGGAGGGACAGAATGAAAAACAAACGCCAGACTTTGAAAAACCTGAAGATTTACCAGATCTGAATGCTCAGGATGGTGTAAGAATTGCAGAAGCCATGACTTGGTCATGGTCAAAGTCTTCATTGATTGTGGTTTGCATCAGGCACGTTCAAGAAATCCCAGGAGACAAATCAGGTATTTACTGATTGAAGCATCTAAAGTATGTGGTTTCTATATTTCAGCAATGCCTTCGAGTCCCCGCTATCAGCAAATCTGGATCCATTCGTATCCAGTGCTTTCAAAGACCACTCCTTATTGCCTATCCTCAGTATGGTATCGAGTGTCATGGCCGGTGCCACCTACCTCCCTGTTTCTGAGATTCTCAATTTGTGAGATCGAATTGTCAGCTTCCTGCTTGTGCTTACGATTGCGAACTTGGAATGGTCCTTATGGCAGCTTGTAACAGTTTTGAACTCTACGCCGCAGCTAATGTATGACTCACCGACATCTTTTTCCATATTGAACACTGCGATTAACAAAGCTCTTATCCAGATCTTTTATTCCGTTGGATTTACCGGAATGCTCTTCTGTATAGATGTGGTCACATCCGATACATCCTCGCTGCGCAATCGTGGATTGGCGTTCGCCTTTACCTCCTCTCCTTACATCATCACGGCTTTTGGTGGCCATGCTGCTGCTGACACAATTCATGATAAAAACTGGCGCTGGGGATACGGTGCATGGGCGATCATTCTTCCTTTTGTTGCTATTCCTATGGTTGTCATGATGCAACTGGGTAAGCGGAAGGCAAAGAAAAACGAACTTGTGTTGAGAAAGCCAAGGGGCCGTACTTCGAGTCAAAGTCCTTGGCATTACTTGGTTGAGTTTGACAGTAAGCATTACGTTCTAGCTTTTTTCCCCGAATTTTCTAGCCTAAAACGTTGCTAGTTGTCGGCGTTGTACTTCTATGTGCTGGCTTCGTTCTCTTTCTACTGCCGTTCACTATTACTTCCTCTTCTTCCCAAGCTTGAGCGACCGACTATATCATCGCGATGCTTGTCGTTGGCTTTACCCTCTTGATTGTCTTCGGATTCTGGGAGAGATTCGGTGCCCGCAAGCCCTTTGCTCCTTGGCTTCTACTCAAAAACCGAACGATTGTGGGTGCTTGCCTGTTGGATTTTACCTACTAGGTTGCCTACTACTGCTGGAACTACAACTTCACGTCTTATCTGCAGGTTGTCTATAATACCTCGGTGGCTTCTGCTCGTTACATCTCCAGTATCTTCAACATTACCTCCGGTATTGAGCTGTTTGTCGTGGGAGCCCTCATCAGCTACACTGGCCGTTTCAAATGGGTGCTGATGTGGGGTGTTCCGCTGTATATGCTCGGTGTTGGATTGATGATCTATTTCCGCAGCCCGGGGCACAGCTTGGGTTACATCATCATGTGCCAGATCTTCATTGCCCTCGGCGGTGGAGTTATGACCATTGGTCAACAGATTGCTCTGCTGGCGGCTTCTGATCATAATGATGTTGCCGCTCTTTTGGCTTTACTGGGTCTGTTCGGATACATTGGGGCCTCTGTCAGAGGCAGTATCTCCGGCGCTATCTGGACCAATACTTTGCCTGGCATGCTCCAGTCTATGCTTACAGTAGTGTTGATAAGTGGCAGGAAATATATGATAGCCTTCCTCTACAGCTGAGCTACCCCATGGGCTCTGAGACACGGACTACCATTATGTACGCCTATGCTGCAACACAGAAAAGCATGCTTATTGCCGGTACTGCTATCATGACTTTGGCTCTATTCTTCATGATGATAATCAAAGATATCAATATCAAGAGTATCAAGCAGACCAAAGGGACGATATTCTGATTGAGTGTCTACCTAGATAGTAATTCTATGGACTTAGGTGTGGGGGGAGAATATCAGGGACCGGACCAGCAGGAATCAACAATTGAGCCCCGCCAGTCTTGCTGCCAATAGCAGAACAATATCCAAACTTGTACTAGGCTTTGTTAGCATGAAATAATACATCATATGCTTCTAATCTACTTACGATATCAAAAAAGGTCGTGTCCTTGAAAGCGCCTCTAGTCAGCTCAGACACATCATAATAGAGCCTTCGATACCAGCGGTCCAGGAGCGGATAATCGTGTCGGATCATCTTCAGATTGCATCGGAAGATCAGGTAGTAGGCCACATCGAATCGAGCAATAGTCGTGTACAAGCGAATGTCAGCTTCGGTGATATGCTTGCCAAAGAGGAACGGCTGATGCTCTGGTTGATCCAAGTGTGCTTCAATGCGATCCAAAGCCTTGAAAAGGGGGTAGATATTTTCAAGATATGACTCTTGGGTGGTAGCAAAACCCGTCTTGTAGACTCCGTTGTTAATCAGAGGATAAACCCATGCATTCATTGCATCAATGTCATTCCTCAAGTGTTCTGGGTAGAATCCGCCACCAGGAAGGTTGATTTCACGCAAATTCTGGGGGAGAAGGTGGTCGAACTCGGTATAGAACATGCGAATAATTTCGCTGCTTTCGTTATTGACAATTGTCTCCTTCTTTTTGTCCCACAAAGTCGGTACTGTGTATCGTCCTTCGTAATGAGGGTCTGCTTTGAGATAAAGTTGCTTTAGAAACTTGAATCCGTAAAGGGGATCTTTCTCAGCAGATCCCCATTGACCCGAGAAAAACCATCCATCTGGGCCTAGCTCGGGGGCCAGGACTACCATCTGAATGATGTCCTGTAATCCCTTCAGGGTCCGGACCAGATTGGCTCGATGTGCCCAGGGACAGCCCAAGTTGATGTAAAGCACATAGCGGTCCTTTTCGGCGGGAAATTCAGCCGATGGATACCGAGATATCCAGGATCGAAATGCCGAATCTTTGCGTCGGAAGTGACCATCTGAGTCGGCATGCTGGTATATCTTGGGATTAAGTATGTTAGCTGTGGAAGTTACTATGTATTCATTTGGGGCTCACTTTGTCAGTGTCAGTCATGATCGAGATATCTAGATATGAGATCCTTCAAGTCTCAAAATGTTGCTTCCTTGTTGCTTCTTCAAGGCAAAGGGAAATGCTTGTCGTCTTATGTCCTGTGTCTACGGAGTAATGTCTTATCGCAAAGCGCGAGGCTTATAAATCCATCGCTTTACAAATCATTGCGTCATCACGTCTCAGATAATTCGAGTGAAGTCATTTGCATCGTCCAAATCGACGACATAAGATAGTATTCATCATTGCGATTCGATTCCCAACCTGCGAGCAACCTCCAAAAATCCACTCTCATTCAAGCCCACCCAAATATCGACGAAGCCCTCTTCCTTAGCTTGCATAACGCGATCGGTAGACCAAGCCTCCTCTAATTCACGTTCCACATAAACAGTCTGGAAACCACAGCCTTTTGCTGCTTTCAAATCACTGAGATGTGCTGCCACCATGGTGCATTGGGTTGAATCACGACCAAGAAGATTCGCTGCGCCGTTGTATACAATTGGGGACGGTTTGTATGCTCCAAAGTTCTCTGCACTCACTATGCGAGTAAAAGGCAGGGAGCCATGTTGCTTTAAATCCTCAAGCAATGACTCATTCCCATTTGATAATGTCGAAGTAATGAACTTCTTGTTCAGCAGGTCCAGTCCGGCCACAGTATCAGGCCATGGGGTGAGCCGGTGCCAGCACAACGTGAGCTCCAACAGCTCGCTGTCGCTAAATAGCTCCCGGATCCCCCGTTGGTGAAGAAGGTCTTGTAATGCACGATAGTGGTGTTGGTCTACCGACACAAATTCCTTGGAGGGATCAAAGGTGCGGGTAAAGATGTTGTAGGATAAGCGCCACTCCTCGGCGAAAGCAAGCCAATCTGACTGGCTCAGTGCAGCTGCCCGTTGGCGTACATCAGCTGGAAGATCCCTGTTCGGATCACTAAGTACCTGCTTAGCCGCGTCGCTCAGTGCCTTTGTGACACATGGCCGCCATTCCACGACAGTACCGAACGTGTCAAAGAATAGAACGTGGGGGGAGTCTAACATGATGATTTGATCTGAAAGTTCGTCTCCACTGTAATGAATCAGAATTTCGGTTGATATTTCTTTTATACTTTACCTGCAGGATGCATAAGTTGATGCATTCGGGAGATTCAATTTAAGCTGAACGCGGCTGAGTCACGGGAGCTTAAAGGCGATTGGTTTAGGCGGATCGTTTGGCCGCAATTCAGACAAGATCAGGTAATATGTACACACAGATCAGACAAGATTAAAAACTAATAAACTACAAACTAGTAGGACGTGGGAAAATGTGAAGAAAAAGAAAGAAATAGAATTGAATTGATGAAAGTGGATGAAAGTGGAATGTTTTCACATTCTTCCTCTTCCCTCTTTTTCACCTTTCAACTTTCACCTACTCCAACTTCCAACTTCCAACTTCGCAACCTTTCATCTCCACCAAAACTCTGCATTAGTTTTCTGTCAAAAAGAAACCTACAAGTTGACCCTGCATTGGTCGAATGACAAGTCGCGACACAAATAGACCTGTCAACGGCCCCATGTTTCATCCCCCAGGTGGAGCCAACAGATGGTTCGCGGAGATTGCTGCTTCTTGAGGAAGCTTTCGCGTTGTTAGCCCACTTATCAATGGGGACTAAGCGTGATAACACCTCGTGTCGTGCAGATAGTCTGGACCTGCCTCGAGACATTTGCCAATTAATTACAGTTCCATGTGTGCCGTCTGTGGCTGATTGGCTGGCATTATTTTTCCATTTATCCGCCAACGTTCGGCAATTGAGTCGGAGAGATGATGGTTGAGCACTGAACTTTGAAATGAACTACAGGATTACCCTATACGGAGACGTCTACAGTATGGATGACCTCCGCATCGCGTACAAAATGTGAGGCCCACAAAAATTCGAAAAATGGAAAATCAAAACAAAAGGTCCTTGAACTTCGGTGGGGACCTCGGATGGATCTGGGAAAACGGAGTCCAGTTTCCCCCCTTTTTTGCATCAATTCGCAAATTGCCTATATACTCAACTTGGTCCCCCTCAATCCCAGGATTTACTGTACAGTAGCAAACTGACGCATTGCCACTTCGAATACGAAGTCCCGAGTTTACTGCACTAGATCAGATGCAGCTTGGACATCCTGAAACACGGCCCGTCCACAAGCTCACGAAATTACCTTCGACGATCATCGTGAGCCCATCACGCTAGAAGTGGATTATGCCGGAGGGAAATATTCTTTCTCAAACACGCTAATTCAGCCCTCCTATTCCTTATCCACGTTCTAGTCCAATTAATTTGACTCGCCTGCCAATTTAGTGATCCGGCATTATCATGATTGGTCGTGATAATTGTTTATTTTACTAACACAATGGGCCAAGGTCACTTCTTTCTCACCACCAAAATCAGGAGCTTTTACGGAGTTTGGTTTCTTTGTTTGTGCACAGCCTCGAAGCTGAACGCGTTATTTGGACCCATCCAAACACGCGGTGGAACTCTTGATCCGGCTTGCATCGCCGACGAACACCTCCAAGCTGGAGTGGACTCGGGCGATCACTCGTCTGCTCTCAACCTCAAGGCTACATTATCTCCAGGTCTAATAACTTTAACTTTTGCCTTTTTTTCTTTATTTTTCTTTCTAGAAGCTTCAATTGCTCATAGCTTCTGGTGTTTGACTTACCTTTTTCCTCCCAACTTCACAATCCTGACAACATCTAATGCGCTCTGCATTGACAAACAGACCTTGCCGTACCTTGTTCCAGGGTACTCGGTACAAAGGTACGCAATATAGATTTGATGTTTCGGTAATGATCTAACCGATTTCAGCCATGCTTCATTAGTGTCTTGGTGGCAGCTTTCCGGTGGAGCAACCTGCGTCCTGGCTAATCGGGTGGGTTTCTAGCTTCCCCATGCCCCCCCCCCCTTAACGAACACCCCTGTGCCTATGTTTTTTTTCCCTGACCCCGTCATGCTCCTCGCATCCGGGTTCCGATACGGGCAAGGCTGATCTAAAAGTCTCAAGGTAATCTACAATCTACGTAAACGCATTGACTCGGCCGTCTCAGATCGTTTTCTCGTTTGTAAAAAAAAAACCGGTTCGAGCAAAGGTCGGGTTCTAGTCTCAAGTCTCAATTTGTTCCCTTGTTACGGAGTACAAAGGTACGGTCTCGAGCGAATCGTGATCGACCCTCTTTTGCAAAGTTTGGTTCTAGGGGATGACATCTGATCTGTCTCCTCGCTCTTTCCTGTTTCAACTTTGATACTTAAGCTGCACTGGTAAGTAGACATTGGGGGAACCTCCGTGCATACTGAAACCCGGCCACATTGGTTCCCCTCGCGCTCAGGCGTGCATCCCGCCTCCGCGTTGTACCCAATGGCTGACTGGTCGTGGCACAGTGTTCACCGTTCAACCATTTGCGCCTTTATTTTCTCCTCCTGCCGATCAACGTGCGAATTGACGAACCATTATATACACTGCCATCGAGACACATGATCCAATTACGGTAGACGATCGATGGGACCTGGGTTTGTCGTGCTCTGGCTAGCACAGGGAAACGAAGCAACCCAGGTAATGCTTTATTAAAGGAGTTCTCCTATATATATACGCAGCGAGATGGACTCGGACCTACAATTCCCAGCCTCGATGGCCCAACCATCTCCCGCTACGTCGAGTACATCCCGAGCCCAGTCAAAGTCGAGATCGAGATCTCGCCCAGCACGGCGCCGGCGAGATGAATCCCCCCCACCATCCTCCCCACCAGGCCTACCAACGCCGGCATTTTCACCAGATGGTCAAAGCGATATCGATGATATCATTGAGGAGTCCACCCTATCGCCTTTCGATGCCCGCAGAATTACACCCACCCTTCACGCATCCCTAGTGTCCGAAATTCTATCCTTACGGCGTGACGTTGAAAATAAAACCAAGGAAATCGATACATTGGAACAAAGTTTGGATGAATCACGTACGGAATGTGAAACACTCAGTGAGAGAGTATCCAAATCGTCCCGCGAGACACGATCCTTGCAACATCAAATCCAGCTTTTGGAGGGCGGGACATCATCAGCGATAACAGAACTGGCCCGTGAGCGGGATGAGGCAGTCGATAATATCAACGATGCTCGGAAAAAGCTGGAGCATGCACAAAAGAAAGCTCGTCATCGCGAAGAGGAGGTCGAACGGACACAGATGCTGTGGGTTCGTGACCAAGAGGCATGGGAGAATGAGCGACGAGCCATGGAGCGCAAGATTCATGTGGTGGAAGGCCGCTTGAAGTCGGTGCTCAGTGAGGTTGCAGCAGCCCAAGAAGCGGGAGCCCTCAGTTCTCAGCGTAGCGAAAATGATCTTTCGACCAAGTCCAAGGTCAAGGAAAGTGACACGGCCAGTGTGGCGTCCAGCAGCCAGGGTCGCCGCCGCATGAGCATGACTAGTGCAACTTCTGAGGAGGGCGAAAATGAGGCCGATTACCACAATGCTCGATACTCCGTCCTGAGTATGGCCCCTGGAAAGGGCGATTCCGGCTTAAATCTGGCCCAGGAATTGGCGTTCGATGAGGAAGACGAGTTTGCTGCATCAGAAGATGAGCCCCCAGAATCACCCGAAGCGCTCCCGGAAGAGCGACCAATGTCAGTCAATTCGGAGGCGTCTCATTCTATAGCATCAAAGGCTCGCAGGATTCTGGGTCTTTCCATGCAAAGCACTGGCTCAGTCACGGCGGCGGAGTACCGTTCTCTAGACCCCAATAGTCCTACGAAGCTACACCATCAGCAGCCTGCGGAATATTGCGATATGGGCATTCAATACTCGCCTCCACCATCACCTGAAACTCTAACCGCGGCAGAGAACCATGATTCTGCTTTGGTGGATGAAGAATCTGATGCAGATCGCGAGGTTGATGGCGACCAGGGCGTACCTGAGATGAAGGACTGTGCCATGATCACACTTGCCGTTGAGATGGTCTCATCTTCTTGTCAAACAGTTGCCGATCTTCCCAGTCCTCCATGGACACCCAAGATCTTGGAGCCACCAATCCAGCCCGTGGAAGAGGTCGCAGAACCAGTCCAGATGGCATCGGCATCTACCCAAACTGATTGGAGTCCTTCTCTGGAGCCCGTAGATAGCGAAGAGAAGACTACCTTGTCTCCGAGTGATATATCTGCGCAAATCGATGTCCCCATGATCGCTATTCACCCCCCTGGCTCGGAACCATCGTCCCCTCGGAACAGTGTTGTTCTTCCTCCACAGACCAAGAATATGTCTGTTCAAGCCAATTTCAGGTCGGTCATCGAGGGCCGGTCTGTTGCCATTCAGACGGAAGAAATCCGTATCGATCAACGGCTCGTCAAACTTCCAGCCAGTCTACTGCCCTCTGCCATTCCCGATCTACCAACCTCCGCCGAACTTGAAGAGGCCAATGCTGAGTCTTACCGAGCGCCTATTCCTCCGCCTCGCTCGGCCAAGAGGGCCCAGCGACCTTTGCCGCATGAGCGCCCGATGAAACCTCCACGCGCCCCGGCTTCGGAGCCTCTGCAGGCATATCAGGCATATCAGGCATACCCTGGAAACAATGATAACGGGCCGCTATCAGGTGAAATTGCATCTGGATTAAGACGGCCATTCCGGTCTAGCAGCCTCTTTGCGGGCTTTGAGCAGCTGAGCGATGACGAAGGCCCCTATGCAGAGGAACGTGACATCTTTACAGACGACGAGCTTCTCAACCGGCCATTTGCTTCATACACTATCCGTCGGGGCAAGTTGGTGAATGCAAAATCAAGGCCCAGTTTAGACGAAATGACTCTTCCTGAAATCGATGAGCATCTATCTGACCCTGAGTCTCGGCCTTCTGATGTTGGGCGTGCCCCGTCCCGAGGAACTCAACGGTCCAGTACGACAACGTCCAGCGGCCGAGCTGGTATGCGCAAATTGGCCTTGATCTCTAGTGGTGCGGCAGCGCACCAGAAAAGTCGTCCCCGCAGCCCTAGTGAGCCAAGCCTTGATGGCAGTGCAGGCTCAAGCATTGCACCCCCATTCCCGGTTCCAATCCGTCTTAGCTCACGCAACGTCCCATTGACAGGTAGTGATGGACCTCCAAGTCCGACTCGCTCTTCTGCCCGGCAATTCTCTGACCGTGGTGCTCGTACAACAATGGTGCGACAACCCACGTTACGTCGAGTTCGCTCGGCGACCGCGACGTCCCAGAGTAGCCTCGCGGAGCGCCCAGAAACGCTTTCATCTCCAACTCGCTCTGAATCTCCCTTCACGCTCGATAGTCCTTCCTACCATCCGCCGCCTCTCCCAGTCGATGACATCACGGTTCCCCGTGAACGTCGTGGGCCTACGAAACGGCCTACTCATCGCCCGGCAGTGCCCTCTATGAACTGGGACCAGGACCGACGGGACTCTACTGGCGGTGTGCAGCCAACGAGTGTCGTTGATGCGATTGCTCAGACTATGGTGGGTGAGTGGATGTTCAAGTACGTCCGCCGCCGCAAGTCTTTCGGCATGGGTGAATCCAAGGATGCCTGGGAGGGCCGGAACCCCGATGAAGTATCGGCCAATATCACCAACGGCGGAGTGCGCCATAAACGATGGGTCTGGCTTGCCCCATACGAGGGGTCTATCATGTGGAGCAACAAACAGCCGACAAGCGGGCCTGCCTTGCTGGGCAAGACTGGCCGGAAATGTAAGTTGATTCCAATATCTAAGACTTGATCCGTCACTAACCTCTGATTCCAGTCACTATCCAATCCGTCCTAGATGTCAAGGATGACAATCCAATGCCTAAGACCCTGGGAAATCCTAATCCATTCAACCGCTCAATTCTAGTCCTCACACCACAGCGTGCTCTTAAATTTACCGCACTTACTGTTGAACGCCACTATGTCTGGCTAACCGCACTATCATTCCTCAGTCATTCTTCCATGGGTCTACAGGATCTGGCTGCAATCCCACCCGCGCCGCAAGAGGAGGCTATACCTTCTCAGACTACCCTGCGCCGCAATCCTATTCGGGACTCGATTCGAGTGGCCAAGGGTCGCCCACGGCCCATGCCTAAGGGGAAACGCTCCTTCCCAGGTACCGAGCCGGTTTCAGAACTACCTACCGGAGACTTAGAAAGCCTTAATTCGATGGCCGCGGATGCACCACATGTCCCACGCTTCTCTAATCATAATCACCACACCCGCAAGCGCAGTAACACGGCACCCCGCCCTCCTGCGCTGCACGCTATCCGAAGCTTTTCCAGCCAAGGGACCATGCCCTCGTCCCATAGTGGCACCACTGTCGGCTCCTCTGAGCCGTACTTCTCGCCTGTTGCGCTGCCAAGTCTCCCTCACGGCATTGGAAGTGGCCATAGCAACACCAGTCGTCGCACATCGGAGGCCAGCGGCCGCACTACCCGCACAACAGCGAGCAACATGTTTGACATGGGTACGGTGCGCATGGAGGCCTTCATCGACCACCATGCGGAACAGATCAATCGCCCTCGTGGTGCGCCGCCATCTCGCCCACGACATGTGCGCAAGGCCTCCAGTCAGTGGAGTCAAGGCCGCTATGACTATGACGCGCCCTCGGTCGACGAAAGTGAACTATCTTTCCGACCCGATGACCCTTTCCGCGGGTTCTAATCCCTCCTTAATCATTATTATTATTACTATTATCATCCTTTTTTATATATTCCTATTGTCTCCCTCCTTGAGCGTCTTTACCACTACATTCTTCTCGATACATCCTGTTTTACCTTTCGACATGTACAAGTGCATATATGATCCTTCGTTCTGACCTACATCCCTTGCATCCTCTTTCTTATATTTCTTCTCATTGATTGTTCTATTTGAATTGCGTTTTGTTGGACCATAGTGATACCATGAGAAGGGATACCGAGTTTCGAAGCAGCGATGGGAAAACGGGGCGTTAATCAAGTTTCTTCAAATCCAAATCACCTGGTACCTAGATTTATGTCCTTTCGATATAATTTTTCACTTGTATTTGCATGTATAGACACCATCTAAAGTATCAAAACCTGAAGGTGCGGGTATAAACGGAGGTTCTTCGCTATCACATGATATCCATTGGGGTAAATTGGAGATGCCCCGATCGTGAGGGGCCACAGTCTCCTGCCTTTCTCCAGTTGCAGTATGTCTTCGCGAGATGAAATTTGAATTCCGATTACAACTTGGCGGCCTCCTTGACTTCTCCGACCTTCAACTTTGGCGAGTACTTTTTCAACACGGACTCGTTGTGGTACTGAGAGAATAGAATTAGTCCTCTTCTATAAGTTGACAGCTAACCAAGACTGTATAAATGCCAAAGAGATGCTTCTCATATACCTTCCAGAATTGCTTGGATGCATCCTTGCCAGCGACGCGCTTCAGAATCTTTGCGCCTCCGGGGTGCTCGTCCACAAACTTGGTAACATCGAAAACGTTGTTGTCGATGATGATGTACAGACCTTTATCGACGGTGCTGTAAGCGGCAACGTCGGCCGGGGTGAATGATTGCGACATGGTGGATGTATGGTTGTGTGTAGGATTGTGGAGTTTGGAAGGGGGAAAAGGTGACGTTTTAATGGAAAGTCTGGAGTAAAGCGGGGCCGAGGTACATTGGATTTTACCGCGGATCGGGGGAATCACAAATGGCATCAGCTTGATTGGTTCAAAATCAAATATTCCGAATTCCCTCATTCACATATACAATATCATGTCCGACTCTTCTCTCCAGTGGCTCCTGTACCCTTGGGCACTTTGCGATCTAATCCTAATGACTCTAGATCCTTCTTCTTGTAATAATGGGGTGCAACTTCCACCAGCCACTCTGCCTGTAGGGGCATGTTACTGCGCATATACTCCTTGCTGGTAAGTACCAGCTCAAAGTAGATCACCCATCGTGGGTTAACCTCAAACAGCGTGCTGGAAGGATGAAGGTATACGGACTGCCCGTTTTTGATCGTACGGTAGCTGTCACCTCCACGCTGCAAACGTGCGGCGTTGGGGAAGAAGCCGGACGTGATGGCCTTTTGGATCGGGATATAGTTATTGGCGCCGCAGGTGCTGATCGTCACTTCTACTCGATCACACAACTTGGCAAGCTGATCACGGACATCACGCGCCCGGGTCAGGCTACGCTGCTGGAGGAAATTCTCCTTGGACCACACAACACTGAAGTCTGAATCCACCCATTGATTCCAGATATTGAGCAACGTCAAGTGATCTCCACCATCCTTGATAGTGAAACGGTTGCGTGCACTGTCGGCATGGATCTTCTTGTCTTTCGGTCGGAAAAACAGGGCGCTGGCCTCGCTTAGCATCGACACGATCGAGAGGACCTCCTCCACACATCCATACTGCCCTGCCGCGAGGATCGCCTTTGCCAGCATTGGGTCCGTCGGGAATTCGGCCATCTGTCGGCCCACCTTTGTCAGATCTCCACGGTCGTTGAGAGCTCCAAGTGCGTAGAGTTGCTCCAAAGCTCGAATGATAGTCTCCGCAGGTGGCGGGTCCATAAAGTCAAAGTCAAGAAGCTGATCAATACCCAAGGATTTCAGCATCAAGATAACCCCGTTGAGGTTCGTGCGCTGGATCTCAGGCGTGGTGTTCTCTTCCAACTCATTGTAGTATGCCCACTTAGTGTAAAGTCGGAAGCATTTACCGGGTCCAACACGTCCAGCACGTCCTGCTCGCTGGTTCGCTGAGGCCCTAGAGCATGGCGTCACTACCAAACTCTCCATGCCCGTACGCGGGTTGAACACATTTTCCTTGACAAAACCGGGATCAATCACGTAAACAATGCCATCAATGGTCAAACTGGTCTCGGCAATGTTTGTCGCCAGGACCACCTTGCGCGCCTTGGGTGGCGTGGGCTCAAAAATCTTGGTCTGCAACTCGGATGGCAGATTGGCGTAGATGGGACAGACGATCATTTCCGGTATTTTACTACCCAGCTTCCGAGCTGTCTCCTGGAGACTCTGTTCGGCGGCCTCAATCTCCTCCTGACCGGTCAAGAATACCAAGATATCTCCGGGGCCCTGTGTGACGTGGATCTGGAAGACCGTGGTGATGGCAGCCGCCAGATAGTTGGCCTCTGGCTGTGAGGTGTAGTGCACATCAACGGGGTATCGTCGACCAGGAATGTTGAAAATAGGTGCATCATCAAAGTATTTCTGGAATTTCTGTGCATCCATTGTCGCGGAAGAGATGAGAAGTTTCAGGTCGGGTCGTGCTTTAGCAATGTCCTTGAGAAGACCACAAGCAATATCCGTTGGCACCGTCCGCTCGTGGGCCTCGTCAATCATCAATGCTGAATACTGACTCAGGTCTGGCTCCGTCAAGAGTTCTCGCAGAAGCATTCCATCGGTCATATACTTGAGAATAGTCTTGTCACTGGTGTTATCCTCGAAGCGAATGGCATAGCCGACCTCATTTCCAATCTTGGAGCCCATTTCCTCCGCTACACGGGCAGCAACACTCATGGCAGCCACTCGACGGGGTTGAGTGCAACCGATCTTCAAGCCATCCTTGGTGTAGCCGGCTTCATGAAGATACTGCGGAATCTGCGTGGTCTTTCCGGAACCAGTTTCACCGACAATGATCAAAACCTGGTGTTCATGCACTGCCTGGATGATCTGGTCACGGAACTGGTAGATGGGCAAACTCTTTCGCGTCTCCTCCATGGTCAACGCCTTCTTCTCCGCTGCATCCATTTCCTCCTTGAACCGACGTTGTTCCTGGGTCAACATCTTTTCTGTGCCTTCGAGCTTGGAATCCATGACAAAGTTGATCTGCTGTGAATCATCAAAGACGTACTCATAGTCTCCTTCATCAACGAACTCCGCCTTGTTGATTTGCGCCTTGGCCTTGGCCGATTGCTCAAGCTCCCATTCCTCGTGCTCCGTAACAAATTTCTCCTGTCCCGACTCGTCGCGCTCGACGTATCGCTTATAGAGTGCATCTTCTTTCTTTTTTCGATCAATCTTTCCCTTCTCCGTAATATAGTCATCCGGCATCATGTAGCCATCGCGGTGGTCGTCAATCCGTAGCCGCTCTTCGGCGATGCGTAAAACCTCCTTGTTACGTGCAAATTCTTCCTTCTCGCGGCGAGTCAGATTAGGGTTCTCGCGTAGTTCCGCAGCCTCTTCGGCAACTTGACGTCGCAACAATGCCAGTCGCTCTGTCTCACGCTTCTTCAAGTATTCTTGGCGGGAACGGAGTCGCAAGTCAGGCATCACTGCTGCCCGGGCATCAGCGTCGTCAGCCAAAGCGCGGCGTCGTGCAGCTTCGCCATCTCGAGTCCGGTCCTCCACGATCTTCTTGGATTTGCTATTATCTTTCTTTGCCAATCTCTGGGCGAATTCATCTCTTTCGCGGAGATCACGTTGACGATCAATCTCTTGTTTGGTCTGCGGATCAATATCGTCGGTCGGTGATGCAGGGCGTGGGGAAGCAGATCCATCCGCGAGTCTCGTGCGTTTTGAGGGCGACTCTGCAAACTCGTCTGGACCCGCATCGGAATACGCTTCATCCTCTGCAGCCTCCTCGTCACCCCATCGGTCATCGAAATCTGAATCCTTCTTCCGCAGCTTCTTCGATCGTGGACGGTCGCGACTCTCAGCGTCGCGGCTACGGTCTCGTTTCCGGTTGTCATCTATCTCTCTGTGACTGCCTCGGTCTCTCTCACCATCCCTCTCTTTGTCCCGCCGTCTTCGTCGGTCGCGCTCAGCTTCGACATTGACGGGACCCAGCCCCGGCTCGGGATCAAGGTCTTCGCCCATATCTACCATGCTGTATTTCTTTTTTGTAGATGCTTTTTTTGTTGCACTCTGGGCGGCCGAAGGACTGGGCTGTGGTGCTTTCCCCACGCGAGAAAATAGCTGGCTACAAAATGCACCAATCTCGTTGGGGCTGCCATCGAGGAAGGAAAGCAACTTGTCTTGGAGGGCGGACGCGGACTTGGCTGAGCTGGCTTCGGCAAGCACAAAGTCTACTGAGATCGGATCTGACGCGCCCGTCAGGCGGATCAGAGAATCCGATACGTAGGTCTTGTTATCCATGGTGCGAAGGCTGTGGTGGGTGCGACTTCGGGATGGGTGATGGTGATGGCGTCAATTCTCAGAGGATATTCGTCGGTGATTTTTTAAGCGCCACGGCGCATTATGTGAAGAAGTGATGAGTGGCAGGTTTGAAAAACTTACAAGGGGAACAGCTAGAGATAAAATGTTTGACGCGGAGAACATGAAGGTTGCGGAGCTACGGAGATGGATGCCAAGACCGCCAACGGTGGCCCTTGGCAGATAAATTATATATCCATACATGATATAGCTAGGTGCGTCGTACACATGTACATAAAAAGTTATTGCTGAACTTAGGTCAAAGGTTGCAAACAATTCAAATCGAAGGTTAAATGTCGAAAACAAATATTCAAAACTAGGGACTTCAGGTACTTTATACTACATTTTCAAACATTGAATGCTCAGGACTCCGGATTGATTACAAGGTTATTTACCTGCACCCGTACATTGAAGAACATCAAAATGTTCCAAGCATTCATGAGGGTTCAATGTTGGAAGCCTTGAGTCTATGAGGCCTATTACATTTAACGAATATTGCCTTGGAAAGAAAAATTGAGGATATCATCTCGGATTCGGCTATTCACACACATGGAACCAAAGTGGTCCAAAGTACAGAGGATTCTCGCTAATCAAACAGAATCATGGTGGGCAATCATTCATCATGAAACAAGATGTCAATAAGTAGAGGAAATTGACCCGTGAACACCCCCAAAACCTCAATGCAAGAGATCTCCACCAAAACCACAAATACGCCAGAGAAGCCCTGATCATACGACTCAAAGCCAGCTCGAAGGAACACCCAGTTGCGTTGGGAGGATGGTGGTACATTTGGCACCTGATAATGCTAAGAAGTGAATGAATACAAAGGAAATCAAAAGAACAGTCAAACGCCGCAGAAACGAAGGAGAAAACCACGCTGAAACTCCGAGGTATTGGATCGGGTCATGAGGGCTGAGGAAACAGACAGACCGCAGCAACGGTGACAACGCTTCCCAAGGCAGAAGAAAAAAAGAAGACAATGAGCCTGGTATTCAAGACTCGAGAGATCAGAAAACAAAATGGGAATCGTCATGATCGGAAGGCGTGCGGCATGGAAAATGAATGGCGAAAGATTCGGGTCATTGCCGGGAATAAGGTAAACAAAGGAAATAGGTCGTCAAAACACACAAAACACCCCTCCCCCATATGCACATCAGAAGAAAAAGGAGAAATAGATTACACATCGATCATTTCGGCGTCTTCGGCCAAGATTTCATCGGCAGGCCCCCAGTTGCCCTCAAACACCGTGGCTCCAGCACGGCGACGCTGGTTCACAAACTGTAGCCCGTATGTGGCTAGAATATCATCGGCGGTAGGTCGATCAAGTGGCTCAGGGGAAATCATCCAGCGAACAATCCTATCCAAGGCATGGGCGTGATTGGCATCCACCATGAAGGTGGGCGGGTCCACCAGCTCTCCACTTCGGGCGAGATGGGTCGGCTTGGGCGTAGTCAGCTTCCGACTTGTGAGGAAGCCATCGCCAAAGTCATCGTCACCCAAGTCAGACGCGCAAAGTTCCTCAAAAGATGTTCCATCGGAGATGGGGTTTCCAGAAGCATCACGGAAAATGCTAGTTTCCGAACTCCAAGTCAGACTGGGGACGTCGCTCATGTCCCCATTTCGGAGCTTCTGCCAAGATACACCGTTGTCTGGCAGCTCAACATTTCCAGCGATTTCAAAGATGACCAAACCCAGCGAGAAAATATCCGCGGGCTTATCGAAGCGACCCATCAGGATCTCAGGGCCAATGTACTCCCTATCGCCCTCGCCTTCAATCCCATCCTCTGCTGGCCAGCGGGTAGCCATGCCAAAATCTCCAATCTTCAGAACTCCTTCAAATGTCACAAGGATGTTGGCAGGCTTCAAGTCAAGGTGGATGAAGCCTTCATCGTGGATTTGCTTCAATCCCAGAGTCAGCTCAAGGAGAATTTTCCAGATGCGGAAATCATCCAGTCGGGCCTTAAGTCCAGCCTGAGCCAAAAAAACATCCAAGCTTCCCTCCTCACAATACTCGGTTTGAATGTACAGATGACCATTGTCTTCCCAACTGTCCATAAAGGAGACAATGTGGTCACAATTGACCAACGTCTTGAGGACGTCGACCTCCCGAATGCGGCGTTCGCGATCTTTCAATCCCAGGTACGGCTGCTTGCTCTTCTTGACAGCCCAGACTTGTTGGTGAGCGAGAGCATTCGGGGACTTGGGTCCACTCGACGGCAGAGAGAAAACTGAAGGGAAAGCGGAATCATGGGGCTGAGCAACTCGGTAGACCTGAGAAAACTCGCCTGTACCGACAAGCTCGACTTTGTCAAATCGTACAGTCAGGCTAGGGTCCACATCGGGAGTGTGAAAGCCACTAAGCTGAAGACTGGGACGCTTGCTAGAAATCAAAGAATCCCGAGGACCAGTCGGCGTGGCAGGCAGATTGAGAGTGCTACCGAAGTCAGGCTGAAGTGATTGCGATTCATGCGGCACGGAGATTGACAGGCCACTTGGGTCTGGAGGGAAGAACTGGTCGCGAGGAGTATGAGGTGAAGCTTGGAGGAATCTATCACGTAAGGGTGTTGAGTTCGCAGAAGTTCTTGTTTCTGATAAACGCTCCAAAGGCCCAATTTGGGAGACAGACGGAGGATAGGTACGGGACGGAAGGAAGGTTTGCTTGGTAGGAGTTGGAGGGAAATCAGAATCAGTCAATGGCTGACTGTCATGGCGTGAAGATGGGGATTGGGCTTGAAGATCGTCCCCATCAACGCTCACAAAGCTACCCCGGCGGGACGCCTCGGGTCGACTGAACGTGTTGCCAAATATGCCCATACCTCGAGCAAAAGGTCCCGGTTTAGGTCGCGCGGTGGAGGCTGGAGGGTTGAAAGGGGATTGAGACACATTCTCTGACTCTTGGAAAGATGGAGGCTTGTTGAAAGAACCGTTCAGCCCAGAAGTGAAAAGGTTTACGGGCCGTTTGCACGGAGTGTCGGGCATGTTTTTGTTGAAGCCTACCGGCTCCTCTGCATTACGATTCTTCTTCGAGATCAGTCCCGTCGACATGAACGCAGCTGGGAGAGGCTTGACTAGTTTGTAGTTTTCGGGAGTCGCGAATGATTCCCCGGACCCCATTGAATCTTCCCGTGTTACACGGCGCACAGGGGCAGGCCGAGTAGCACCAGCAGGAAGAGACTTGGAGAAATTGAATAGTGGCCGTGGCCGCTCGGGTTTGTGGATGGCCTCATGGGTTGGTGAGTCATCGAGACTTGAGCCAGAAGATGACTGGGTGATAGTCCGGGATAGGGGATGAGCAGCAGGACGAGGAGGTTGAGTCGTTGTAGCAGCTGTCGTGTTTGAGAAAAGAGGACTGGCTGGAGGAGGGCGAGGAGAAAAGAGGCTCTCTTGGCCAGCCTCAAACAAGCCACTATCAAATGACATCCGTGGACGCACCGCCAATGGGGTACCAACCGACGCCTCGGTCTCACCTGGTCCCCGGGGACGGCCAAATAGAGGTCGATCACTTTGTCGCTGTTGCAAAGTAGATCTTCTCAGAGAGGATGAGCGTTTTGGAATGGTAGCGAAAGGACTGAAGGGTTGAATGGGAGTCGGGTGAAGCGAGGAGTCGTTCGCGGATGGGCTTGCAGGCGCACTGCCATGGTCGTTGTCGAAGATGCTAAAGTCCGTGGAGAAGTTGGGCGTATGAACACTGCGTCGCTTTGCAGATGGGCTTCCTCGTGATGCTTGATCCAGGTTCATGATGCCGTCGCTTCGTTTTAGAGGACTCACTGTGGCGAAAGAACCAAACGTTCCACTGCGTCGCTTTTCGATGCGAGAGAGACTGGAGCGAGGCGTAAACGTGGTGTCGCCCTGCACCACAGAGGACATGTTGAGATGACACGGACTCTCGGGTGTGGTACTCTCCATCGGTCCCGCCAAATCGTCGAGCGTCAAGTCATTTTCTTCTCCTGAATGCATGGCGATCGATTGAGACGGGGTCGCGTTCCCACTGTTGGTTGACACGTTCAAAGCGCGTTTGGCGGGGCTACGTGGTGAAGTTCGGCGTCGCATCACTGGTCGTGTAATCTTCGCGCCGGGGGGATATGGCACGGCGAGAGGAGATTGTTGATTAGATGGAAAAAGAAAGAAATTATGCTGCGATCGCCTCGAGGGCGACAGCGGGGAAGACACGTATGGTGCTGTGGTTTTTGAGGGCGAATGTGAGCGGGTGCTGAGGAAGAAGTTGGAGCTCTTAGAAGGCGAGCGCGATAATGAGCGCCGAAGCTGGCGGATTGCTGAACTGGCATCGACGTGATGAATCCCAGAGTGTGATGAGAGGTGAAGGGTGCCGCCCGAATCGCGGTGCGGCGAAAAGGTTGCAACCATATTTGGGGAATGCTGTGTTGAACGTGCCTCACAACAATCCCAGAATGAGAGTCGATCCAACTCGAAAATAGCGATTTGATTTTTCCCCTTCTTCACCTACACTCCAAATGAGTGTCACCTGTTGATTGCCAGCGTGTTTGATATCTCTAGGATCTATTGATGATTGCGAAAACGCCAACCCTCCACGGCGCTTGTGACGCGACGGGAGGGAAATAAAATGGGTCCCTTCGAGGGGGGAAGTGAGTCAAGGAAAAGGGTCGTAGGATGAGGCACGCAGCCCTCTTTTGACCACTGGAATGCTAAAAAGGCGCAAGCGCTGAAAAGTGGCAAAGTTTTAGAAACAAAGAGTGGGAAAGGCAGCTGGCCATTCAACCACGCATTGCTAGGCCCAGGGAATTCCGGGAGCTAGTACTTCCGATCACGTTCACGCGCGGGGAGACACCGCAACAACAGCGCGTCACGAGTGTGGTTCCTATGCCAGCACTTTCGATTGAACGAGAAGACGCGCAGGAATGTTTCAAGTCGAACACACGGACACTTCGCGCAGATGATGTCGGTACCCTTGAAAGAATACTGATAGAGCGAATGATCGAGAGCAAAATTCTTCTTCCCAGTGTTTCAAAGAAGAACGGAAGCGTAAGGGGTAGATCCCCCTCGTTTAGGGATTCGTGGTAATCGGATCAGCCCACGCGTGGGGTCGAAGAGGGGGGGGGGGAGGCTGAGGCGCGAAGAATGCTGAGGGCTAGAGAAAAGGACCTTCGAGATTAAGGTGATGTATGATTTGATATTAAAGGAGTGGGATTGTGATCGAGGAATGTGGTATCGACAAAAAGGTTGGAAGAGGATAAAGTGATGAAGTAAAGAGTCCGAACGCGCCGCGTTGTTGATCCCCGATGCCTAAAATGGTTTAGCGGCGGGGAGGGACGCGTCGTGACATAAACAAGGGATTATGTAAGTATTGGGGGGGTTTTCACAAGGGTACAACATAAGTATAAACAGGTCTAGACATATAGAAAATCCAAATGTATGTGTAAATGAGGATAATCGAAGGATAATCAAGTAGATTATCATGTTACTCGAAAACTTGTGCGAGTTGAGTTTTTTGTTTATGCAGGAATTAAACAAATTGCCCCTGGCGCCCAATCTACAACGCCACCGTAACTAACACATTATATGGTAACATGCGATTCCCCGATTCGCCAGTTCCCAAAGGGTAAAAGAAAATCAAACAAAAATCCAAATAAAACAAAAAGAAAAGAAAAGAAAATAAACAAAGCCCCCAAACACATCAAACATCTCAAACCCCTCAAAATCTCCCTAATTAAGGAGTGGAAGTACATAATAAACTCTATGATAGGCCCACTTACTAACTCTTCCAACTTGAACCACGCGAAATCTCCCTTGCTTAGGTGGCTTCCCATGAGTCCACCAAAGTCCAACTAACCTACTCTTGGTCATGTCTTGCCATGGCTCATCTGATCCATCAGTCTGATCTATATGATGTAGAGGAACGAAGAGATCTCGACCATTCCGCCCCTTTGGTCTCGTCCATGGACATACCTAAGTCTCCGGCAACCCTGAAAGTCCATTTGAGCTCCCAAAATTCGTGGACCATTTGAAAGCATGAATTATTTCGGAGTATTTATAATGTATCACTGAATGTCTATCTCTAGTGGGGGCCAATTTCATCCTGTCAAGGTCGGGGATCCGCCCGTCCCGTCCCGTGGGTCCCTATATCACACTTGGCCCTGGACATGCAAGACGTTAAATGATTTATTGAAATCGAATAAAAGAAAAGCGAACACATCCAAAACTCCATCAGCACTCAAAAAAAAAGCAATATATGCACAGGAAAGGAGCTACAATACTTGGAAATAATATTCAAAAAAAAGAGAAAATGACAAAATTTCACAAAAACAATCGTCAGGGCGACGAGGAAGCCCCTCGCTCTTCAGAGCACTGGTCGCTGTTGCTAGGGAATCAATGAGCTTCCTCAGTCAGGGTATTCATGCCCTGCTGCATTTTCTCGATCATCTGGATCGCAGTATCATGATCCAGTCGAGCCTCTGGAGCGAAGAGTCCAAAGTCCAATCGGTCGTCTCGGATGGCTGCCTCCACATCGATCGTGGGCTGTATGAAATTGCCTTAGTATCCACCTGTAACCACTCATGGAGAACAGGATAGATCACTTACCCAAAATATATCCTTCATAGCCGCCGATGAAGCAGCGGCCCGCATGGCTTGCGTGGCAGCGGGCACTGCAGTGTCATCATTAGTTAGGGAATTGGCTTTGAAAACCTTGACCCCGTTAATATCCTCAATATCGCTAAATTCAAGAGATCTGAAGACCACCTGATTGGTGGCAGTGCTGCTGGAGTCCTCCACCTCAGGCAAGCGCAGGAAATTGACGCAGGTGTTGATGCGCACCCCAGTCCATTCAGCGATTTCCACCAGAGAAACACAAGAATGCTCAAACATGCTGATCAGGTTGATGTCGTCCTGGATCTTCTCAGCCGCGGCAAAGAGTGAGTCATCGCCATCGGGAAATTTATTGTCCAGGCGCAGTGGAACAATATTAACTGTAGGAGCAACAAGTCCAGATAGCCCTTCCGTGACGAAAGACCGATTGGCGAGATACAACCCAACGACAAGACCCTCGGAGCCCCCAAATGTCTGGGCATGCAGTCGAGCATAAACTGCCAGGAAAATCGATTGGACACTGAGGCCCCGAAGCTTCGCGGCCTTCTCAGCCCGGGACATATTCGAAACGAGCCCTGGTCGGTAGTGCTGCTGAATAACGCCAAACTCACCCAATCGTGAATATCCAACTCCCTGGATTGCGATTTGATCCAGATACTTCTCCCAGAATTGGCGTCGAACACCAACGGGCGAATAAGCATGCTGAACAGCCACAAGTTGGGAGATGTCGCGCGAGTTGGATTTTGATTCAGCCTGCGTGTTGTTGCAAAGTTGGGCAAGTTCATCCATTATGTACGGCAGACTGACTGCATCGTAGAGAGCGTGGTGAATCTTCAAGGTAACCGCTGTTCCCTTGCTGGTTTGACAAGCATGCAATGCGACCGGTACCGAACCGAACTCCTGATCAGGACTTGTGGTAGCAAGTTGATGATCGAGAGTTTCGTGCCAACGAATGGGAGATTGACTGGTTTTGAACACAGCTTGGATATACGGCACTCGTGGATCATTGGTAGGAACAAAAGCTGTTCGAAGGATAGGAGTTTGCTCTATCAGCCGACACCAGGCCTTGTCGAGAATTTCCTGACTGAGCTGCCTGGATGACAAGTAGAGGAATTCGGGATAGAACACCATTGAGTTCAAGGAGTTCATTGCCAGGAAATATGTCTGTCCAGCGGTTGCTGGAATTATTCCTTGAACTTCTTGCAGGTTAATGCCACATGAAGAGAGCAAGGGAGCAGTTTGAATATTGTCAAGCGACCTCTCAAGGGCTTTGGCAATCTCCGTTGGTGTGAGATCTGCATGGTTGATGTCCACTACCGTCGCCATCTTCTCAATTGTGCCCGTTTTGAGCATATCGCTGACAGTCAATTTGATAGATTGCTTCTTTAGAAGTGCAGCGACCTTGATGGCACTGATACTGTCCAAACCGAGCTGGAAGATATTGGCTCCCGGATCAATTGTGTTCTCAGGTACTCCAGACACAATTGCAAGGACACTGCGAATCTTCGACTCGATAGTGGACCATTCCCTTGGACCATGCACCCGAGGCAATACTCCAGATTCCACTTCTTCATCGGAGGATTCCTGAGGGACCAAGTAGCCACAGATTTTCATGGCCTCTCCACTGAAATCAACAGTCTGTTCGAATGGCTGATGAACAATTGACAGCAAGACGTGTGCCATCTGCTCAAGCAATTTAAGGGTATCCTTCTCTCCAAGAACACTGCCACGACAAGCCACTCGACCCACGAGGCTCTCTCCAACGCTTTCAATCTCAGCACAGACCGGATATTCAACATCAGATGCACCCACTCCGGTGGATTTGTAGAGGGCCTGCCTGGTATGTTCACTTTCTGACGGTCTCTTTTGGTAGATGAACAGTGTATCAAATAGTTGGCGCGACTTGGTGTCAGGTCTAGCGCGCCGCAATGGGAAATGCTGGTACTCGGAAATCTCCAATAATGTCTCTTGAACATATTTCACCAGATCCAGACGGGTCCCATGTAGAATAACTCGCATGGTCACAGTGTTCATGGTTGGGAACATCACATTTTGGGAATCCGCGACGTTGCGACCCGAGAAAACCAGGCCAAAGACAACATCTAGCTTCTTGACATGTGTAGCTAGGACAAGAGACCAGCAGCTGACCAAAAGTGCTTGCATGGTGATCCCATTTCGCCTGCAAAAGGCATCAGCCTTCTCGGATGATACAGAAAATGGCTTCTCTGCACGGTGAACCACGGTTGAAGCAACCTCCGAATGATTCACTGATGGGAAGAGGACTGGCATGCAGTTGGATAGGGTTGCTCTCCAAAATTTGAGAGCCTGCTCCCCCGAGGATGCGATGATCTGCTCCAGAATTGCATCGGGAGATGGACGAGAACAGTCTTCTCCATAATAAGACCTAGCCACGTCCTCGTGCAACAAATTGATTGACCAGCCATCATAGAGAGCATGTGCAATGGAAAGAACGAGATAATGATCATCCCTATCAGTGGTGACAGTGACTGTCAGAAGTGGGCGATTTGCGAGTTCGGCAGACGCTCTCTTGCGCTGTGCTTCAATTATGGAATCCGCCGTGAGCCCATTTAGATGCACAGTTTGAAAATCAAAGATACCTTCACTATGAACAACTTGAGCGTAGGCGGCGGGTATCTCGGGATCCCAGATCTCGACAAAGGATGTGCGCAGAATAGGGTGAGCTTTGACAACGGCTGCCCATGCCTCTTGAAGTTTTTTGCGATCAACATGCGGCTCGATCTTTAGGACCTCATGATTGTAATAATGTTGGTAATCAGACGCAGTCATTTCCGCGACCATGGCTTCTTGAATTGGGGTGGCTGGGAGAACACGACAGGTGTCCCGAGGCAAAAGGCCTTCCTTCTTCAGGAATTCAGTCAAGGATTGTTCAATTTGGCCCAGTAATGGAGGTGTTTCATTCTGTTCATCATTATATGAGACGGCCAGCTGACAAGCACAAGCCTTGATTGTTCTGCTGCGCATGATGGTGCTCACAGGAAGCTTGATCCCCACTTTGCTCAACCTGGATGATAGCTTGATAGCATCGATGCTGTCAAGACCAACCTCAAAGATAGATGTCTCTCCTCGGATTGAAGCTGCGCTTACCCCAGAAAGACTTGCAATTACATCTCGAATTTTGCAAGCTTGCGATGTCCATTGGAATGAAGAATCGCCGCCCCCAAGCGGATTGGGGGATTCTTGGACCTTGTATTCATTTACCTGAGTAGGAATTCCTTCCGAAATTCCATTGAGATAAGGCATTTCATGGTTGGGGTTTTGTGAAAATTCAGACAAGACCTTCTCAAAATCGGAGAGAAGCTCATGGGCTGTCCCAAAGGACATGGCATGACTCTTTGCGGCAAGAGTTAAGGTCAGATGTTTGTTGCCCTGTCGCACAATTTCAAAGGCCAAAGGATATACATGCTCGGCCTCTGAGTCGATTGGAATCCACGGATGGCTCGCCGAGGACTTCTCATCGGAATTTTTTCGTTGAAAAACGAAGAGGCAGTCAAAGAGAGGCTCATCAGGATTTCTTCCGAGCCATTTCACAATGTCACGAAGAGCAGTGAATTGGAATTTCATAGTAGAAATATGGTATTCGTGACACCGCTGAGCAACCTCTGCCCAGGATTTCAGCCCACGAAATTGTATATTGCTTGGAATTGTGTTGAACAAAGGACCAATGACATTTTCAATTCCAGGAGTATCGATTGTGCGGCCTGAGGCAATAACACCAATTGGCGGGACAAAAGCATACCTCCGGTGAAGCGTCAACAACCAGCAGGCATGAAGAATGGCTTGTTCGGTGGTGTTGAGAGATTTTCTTAAGCGATCCAAAGGGTCCGTGGTATCAATTCGCAACGTATGTACGAATGAGGCTTCCTGGCTTTGCTCGGAGTTCAATAGAGGACGGGCTTGACAAGTTGAAAGATGCTCCCTCCAAAAGGATTCTGCTGCTGGATCTTTGCAAAGAGGACCCAGATGTAACACATCAAGGAACTCCGGAGTATTCGCAAGGGGATTGGGTTGACCGTGATAAATATCAGCAACCAAGTCAAGAAGAAGGCCCAAGCTGTTCCCATCATATAGAGCGTGAAATATATTGAGACACATGATCGACTTCTCAGGAGAGGTGATTATTCCTACCTCCCAAAGCCTCGTGGAAAGGCTGCAAAGATCAACAACCCATCTATTTAGCTGCTCTTTTCGGGCACTTTCCATTGCCCCATCGAATGCAACATCCATGTGGAACCACGGAAGCATATCTTTCTTGAGAATGACTTGAGCATAGCCATCAGGAGAAGGTGAAAATCGCGCTCGCAACATTTGAACTTGACATTGCGCCTGCTCCCAGCTTGCCTTCAATTTATTCAAATCAATAGAAGGGTTCAACTCAAAGCTGAAAGAAGAGCAATACATGGGTGCAGGGCTCGACAGGAAGTGATAAATTATTCCTTCCTGGAGCGGCGTGCAAGGCGAAATCTGTTGGACATCACTCTCGATGGTTCCGATACTTCCAACGATGGCATGAAAATGCTTGTGAGCAAAGGCTTGAATGACTTGCTTTGCATTTTGGTGAAGATTCTCCTTTAAAGGGGAGACGGTTGGGGATTCCCGTAGGGCTGACGCCATACCGGCGATAGTGGGATCTTGGTAAGCGTTAGATAGAGATTCACTGTGTAGAAAGGCATATAGCTTACACTTCATTATCAAGGATGGCTGAGCATGGGGGAACCCACTATCTCTCAGAGTCCTAGAAAAGGAAATAACCGAGATGGAATCAAGACCCAATTCGTAGATACTTGACCATGACGATATAGCAGAATCTGTAGATCCAATGAAATTTGATAGCGCAGCGATGATCTCATCTTCGCGTGCATCTTTCACTGTTTGATTGGTAGCCATCGCAGTCAATGCTTGAATGTCATCCAAAGAAAGCTCCTGGTAGAGGCTCTTCAAGACCTTCATATCGGCTTTGTTATTTGCAGACAGAGGGAAGCGAGTTAGTGGGATGATATGTGTAGGTACCATGTATCCTGGGAGGTGCGCATGGCAGGCCGCCTTTATGGTTGATAGGAATAAGCCATTGTCATCGGAGGTATCGATCTCGACAGAGCGAGACTTCTTATCGGTACCTAACTTGGTAACGAAAGAGACGAGCTGGTCTTTGGACTGCTTTGGATGCTTGACGACCAGTGTAGCAATTTCATTTAACTCGGATGTTGCTTGTTTGACGACTTCGTTGATCTCTCCAATCTCGAGTCTTTGTCCGCGCAATTTGACCTGGTCATCAATCCGGCCGAGAAATTGGAAACTGTCATCGCATAGAATTCTGACCAGGTCACCTGTTCGATATATACGATCTTCATATTCAGGCAGGTCTTGGAACCGCTCTCTCGTCAGCTCTGCCCTGTTCAGGTAACCTTTCCCAACAAGTGGGCCGGAGACACAAAGCTCGCCGAGACCGCCGCGCAAAACAGGCGTGGATGTTCCTGGGCGGAAAACATAGGAACCGACATTTTCAAACTGGGGCCCAATATTGGAGGGCTTATCATTGGCGCGCATTCGGGGAAGCATAGTGCAGCCGATGGTGACTTCGGTCGGACCGTATCCATTGTAAATAACCCCATGGTGCCCCCAGGCATCGAGAATTTCTTGCTTCAGGGCCTCTCCACCAGTGATAAATACTCCTCGACAGAGGGAAGGGACCTGATCTGGGTGTACCAATCTTGCCAAGCTGGGTGTCAGATCAATGTGTGTGATTTGGAGCTTTTGAATCGTTCCTGGCAAATCTTCGAAAAGAAGATCCCGTGGACAAGAAGTGACACAAATTCCAACGCTCCAGCTCCAATACTGTTCAAGGACACTGACGTCAAAATGGAAGGACGCAAATTGTAGCCAACGAGAGTCTTCATCCCAGTGTGGCGAAAACAACCTTTGAAATGCCAGCATGGCCTGAACGGCATTGTCATGAGTAATTTCGCAGCCCTTTGGCGTGCCAGTTGTCCCAGAGGTGTACAGACAATAACATGTATCGTTTGGTTGTATTTTGCGAGAGAGCACTGGAGGCTCACAGGGAAAGTCTTGGTATACACCAGGCTCATCTAGTGCGTGAATTTCCACACCGGACAGGCCGTCAAGCTCCAGTTTTTTCGGCAGACTGCAAAGCAGGATTTTGGAGTCTGAATCCTCCATGATGAACTGCTTGCGAGAAATAGGAGCGGAGGGATCGATGGCCAAGTATGCACAGCCAGCTTTGAGAATTCCTAGTATAGCAATAGATGCCTCCGCACACTTATCGAAACAAATGGCGACCATTCCACCCGGGTCAACACCCTTGCTCTGCAAGAAATGAGCAATTCGGTTGCCATCCTCGTTTAACTGCTGGTAGGACCATGTCTTCTTTTGAATATTTTCTACGTCGGCACCGAATGCAAACTCAAAAGCAGTCTTTTCTGGGACCTTGGTGGCGTTGTCCTCGACGAATTGATGCAGCAAAGATACCGATGTGGGCAAGGCTTTCTCCTTGGCTGGAGTTATGGATAACAACGGGTTTTCGAGAAATAGGTAGTCATCCGAGTTTGAATTTGGGGAGAAGAGTGTTTGCTCCAATATTTTGTCATATTGATTCAGAAGAATCATGGCTTGCTCCTGGGGAACAATGTCGTTCCTATAGCTGATTCGGATGTCGAGATCGGTCGAAAGTGGAACCAGTTCAATGGAAATAGGGTACTACCAGGATTAGCATGTTGTCTATAAGCCTTATGGCAAACATACGTCAATTCTTGTTTCCTCGTCAACAACTTCCCAAGATTTGGAGTTACTTGGGTGTGACTTGAACTTTTGATAGACAAAAAGTGTGTCGAACAGAGGTTCATCGCTTCCAAGCCAGCGCTGAATTTGTGCCAGCGGGGTGAATTGATTCTTGATCAAAGAAGCATTTCTCTTCAGAATGCGAACCAGCAAATCCTTATTGCTTCCTTGAATGCGTTGAGGGGATGGGACTGTCACGAGACATGGGAAAACTGCCTTCTGCGCTGCTGCCGACAGATTACGACCAGAAAGGACGGTACCAAAGGTGACACTCTGTTCACCCGTATATGCAGAGAGTAGTCGAGCCCATGCTGCTTGTCCAGCTGCTTGCAGTGTGACACCTAAATCGCGACAGCGAGCCTCAAGAGCATTGAGCGACCGTGAGGAACGGATGGAGTTGCTCATCAATTTTTTTCTTTCGATGCGAATGGGATTCAGGTCTGGAAATTTGGATGGATGAACTTCCGGGGCAAGCTCTTGCCAGAAATTCTCGGCAGATTGGTTTTGCGTTTGGCTCTCAATCAAAATCGGACCGAGAGTGCTTTCGATGGGGCTGGTCTCAGCCAGGGCCCGCTCTTCATAAGCTGTCAACACATCGGAAAATATTGATTCCAGAGATTGTGCATCATAGATAGCATGAAGAGCAGAGAAATGAACAGTGGTCAGCTCGTCGGAGGCCTCGATGGTGATTTGCCATGGAGGTCGGCAAAGATTGTCAAAGATTTGCTGCTCTTGATCATTGGGTTTATCTGTATCAGATTCTGCTAGTTCATTCCATGGGATCTCAAGACCTTTCTTGTAAGTAATCATGGCAAACGGATATTTTGGATCGCCTAGTTGAACGAAACCAGTTCGGAGCATATCATGATGGGCCATCACCTTTATCCAAGCCTCCTTCAACAAAGCCTTGTCCAGCGGCCTCGAAAAGTTCAACGCCATGCGATTCAAGTATGTTTTCCCATGGGAATGCATGAAAAGGGCCAACATCCCATTTTGAACAGGGGTGCAAGGTCGCAAAGCCTGCACTGTGTGAGAAGATATGCCGAATTGCTCACAGACAGATCGAAGGTGTTGATTCTCAAAAGAGGAAAAGTCAAATTCATCTTCATGGGAATCTTTTCTGCTGGTATCAAGAAGCGACGCGATCTTGTCAAGTGAAGCAGCCTGTTTTGAGAGGTCAACTCATCAGTTACACGAAGTTCCAAGGAAAAAGACTTACCTCAAGAATGTCACCTGCCGAGATTTTGTATCCCAGTTTACGGAGTCTCCCAGAAATTTGAACAGCATGGATGCTGTCGAGTCCGAGTTGGAAGATGGTGGTATGCAGTGAGACAGCTTCCGTCTCAATACCTGCAAAATCGCAGACAATGTCTCGAAGTGTATCTTCATGGTCAGACCATTGAGGAGTCTTTCCCGATGATTGTTGAATAGAGACAAGTTTCCGAATTTCTCTCGTCTCGAATATAGGAGCAATAATGGCCCCTATAGATCCCTTGTCGGAAGCTTGTGCCGATGGATATTGCACCGTGTGCTCAACGAGCGCCAAAAATCCTTGTGCGAGGCTCCTCGCCACGTTCTGCGTTAGGAATGATGTGCGGAAATGGAGACATATCGAGATGCTATTTTGGTTCTCATCGGGAATAATCTCACAGATTAGAGGAAATCCCATATTTCCTTCGTCTTGAAGAAGTTCCCAATAACGTGGGTCCAAGTCGGTTTTGCTCTGCTGAAGAATTACCAAAGTATCGAAGAGCTGAGAGCCTCCATGTAAGACACGCCTTTGAATGTGACGTAAAGAGGTAAGTTGGTGAGGTAAAATATCACTGTTGTGCTTCTGGAATAGCTTCATGATATCCGCATTTGTTGACGCCGGAGACATTTTGACTCTCATGGGGAGTGTGTTGAAGCAGGGCCCAACTATGCTATCCACGCCATCCAAGGGGATGGTTCGACAACCGAAAACATTGCCAAAGCAGACATCGGAAGAGCTGGAGTGCAAAGCTAGTAGCCTTGCCCAAGAGGCATGAAAGACATTCAAAGGCGCCACGGACAGTTCTTTGCACTGTTGCTTAAACGACGCGAGAGAGTCGCTGAAATTCAGATGGATCTGCTCTGAGGTGGAGGAATTTATTAAGACCTGATTTCCTTCAGGGATGGGCAAGAGTGTTGGTGTCACCCCAGCGAGGTAGCGATCCCAAAATTGGTCAGATTCACCAGAACCAACAGAAGCCATATATTCAATGAATTTGTGAAAGGGTTGAGTTTTGGGCAATTCCTGGCCCGAGAGAGCAAGCTGAATTCCCTGCAACAGCTGCGCTATGCCTTCACCATCGTACAAGGCGTGATGAATTGACAAGAGAAAATACGTATTTTGTGTGGAGGCCTCTGTGAGAATAGTCAACGAGTATGGAACTTTGCCATTGACTGGCGACTGGCGTTCAAACTCTAATTTCTTCTTTGCAATTTCCTCACTGAGACGGTGGGAAGATGTTTCAAGGCAAGACCAAGGTAGATCTACCTTGTCTAGAACGATTTGCGCAAATGCAAATCGCTTATCCTTGTTTGGTCTAAAGCAGGTTCTGAGAATTTCATGCCGATCCAGCATCTGATTCCATGCGCTCTCCAAGGCTCTGACATCGGCGTTGACACGAAGCAATATATGATTGAAGTATGCCGAATTCATATCAGACTTGGCTGCCAACATTGCTTCCTGCAGTGGCGTGCATGGATAAACACCTTGGACAGAAGTGTTCTCATCCTGGAAATCATTTTTGATTCCAACAATAAAGCTCTCATCAAATATGAATGTGGCGTCACTTTGCAGGGCCGGTTGCTGAGGCTGGTGGCAATTCGTGATCCCAACAACAGTCGCTAGCTGTGCAACGGAGCTATGGCGCAAAATTGTAGAGACAGCAAGTCTTCCACATCCTGAATCCTGTAGTTTTCGCGAAAATGCAATAGCAGATAGAGAATCTAATCCCAGCTTATAGAATGACGTGTTTCTGTTGATATTCTGTTGGTCAAGTCCAGTCACTGCTGATAAGGCGACTGCAATAGTCTTCTCAGTATCAGTGAGATCGTCATCAGAATCGTCAGCACCGCCGCGAGAAAATGCTGCGAGTCTGTCTGAGCTTATTGCCTTGATTTTTTCCCTGATCATGAAATGATCAGTCTTGTAAGACTCAGTCATAGGCAATTTTTCCATTGGAATGATAAGAGAAGGAATTGCAGATGTGGGGAGCCTTTTGCTAAGTTCTTCGAAAATATCTTTAGTCAAAAGAAAGATTTTCTCAGAGTCCGATGGGTCTTTGAGACGCTCCGAAGGAACCCAGGCAGTAACCAGTTGCTGCTGATTAGTGCGAGCGTTGCTCAAGATCATACTCACGGCATCTTCAACAAAGTTCAAAGACATGATAACATGATAGATTTTCTCAAAGGCTACCCCCTGATCATGCCGGGGAACAACCAGAATAGATCCATCAGGAAGAAGTCTGCCATAATCACCAGTCCTGTAAAATCGACCAAATTGCGAATGATTGATGAAACGGCTACCAAGCGCATCGTTCAAATCAGAAAATGTGCGCCCCTATATCGAATAATTAGCGATTGAAGAAGCATACAGTACCAAAACCCACAACTTGCTCCCCTCCGAAGCATAATTCTCCAACTGCACCGCGTGGAACCATCTTCATTGAGGGTGATTCCGACACAATCATCACAGAAGTGTTCTTTAGCGGTGTACCGATGTTTTCAAGAGAATTTGAGCTTTCGAAATTGGAATATAAGGTGCAAAAGCCGGACAAGCCAGGAGTATCGTAGCCTTCAATTATTATTAGTTCCAATAATGTAGGACCATTTCGCAACATCTATACATACCATGATAAAGTCCTTTACCAGCCCAGTTTTGGCGCACTCTAGCTGTCAGTGATTCCCCGGATGTAAGCAGGAATCGAACGCCCGGAACATCCTCAGGAGTTAGGCGAGAGGCCAACGTGGGTGTCAAATGAAGATGGGTGATGTTCATTTTATTGATGATGGAGCAGGGAATTCTCGCCAGACCCTCATTCGGTGCGATACACAGGGTAATTCCCATGTGCCAGGCGAAGAAACTCTCAATGATTGATGCTATATCTTGTCAGCGGATTGGTATGATACTAGAGGGAGCACGCATACCATGGAGCTGTGAAGAAGTCTGGAGAAGTTTTGATCCCGCCGCGGTGGGGTAGGAATCCGCCAGTACATTGATATGACTTTGTAGGTCATGGTAGGAAAGATGTGCAAGATTCGTTAAGTCGTTTTCTGTTCCTTCGCTAGCACAAACAATGTAAAAGGAGTCGTGAGTCGTGAGAAGATTATCATCAAGGTAATCATCCAAAGAGCTAGGCAGGAAGATCTTTGAGCCTGAATGCAAGAGCACTGATACATCGTTGTGGGATTTAGATGATCGAATGATCCATGGTTGCACATCAGAAGCTGCCCGTATTGATTTCATCTCATGTGAGGATGTCCGATCGGTCAGAGGCAACAATCCAGCTCCAATCTTAGCGATCGCTAGGATGGAAATGTAGGAATCGATCGATCTGTCGAGATACATTGCAGCCAAATTGCCCCTTGTCAACCCCTGCTGGACCAGGCAATTAGCAAGGCGATTGGCTCGAGAGTTCAATTGACCATATGTGATACTATGAATCTCTGGAGGTGTAGATTCTTCAGTTGAAAGCAGAATTTCGATTGCTGTTCGATTCGGATCAATGAAGGCAATCGTCTCAGCTCCAGTCACAAGGCTCGATCGATTTCTCTGAGTCTCGGGATTAGGATTGAGAATTGATAATGTTGACAGGGGCAGATTGTCATTGACTTCATTGATTGAAAGCGTCGGAGAATCGATGAGAATCGATGCCACCAAGTCTACCTGTTTCAGAAGAGTTTGTACCTGCTCGGGTGGGAAGATAGCATTTTGGTAAGTCGCCCTGGCGTGGATTTTGTCTCCTCTAGGCTCAAACTCCAATAGGAGCACAAACTCCAGAAACTCTGCCGTGTCAACTTCGTGGAACTGGCCATTTTCATTGTCATTGGTCCAGACACTTTCCTGCCACACCAGGGCAGTGTCAAAGAGTTGCTGATCAAAGTCAATACCAGATATCTTTTTGATGTCCTGAAGAGGAAGATTGCCATGTTCAAGAGATTTTCGATTCATGTTCTGAATTGCGAGGAGAAGGTCTGATACATTTTTCATCTTGTCGAGGTTCATGCGTGTTGGCAGTGTACGAATACATGGCCCAATGACCGTCTCGATACCCTTGACTGGCAAGGTACGACCCGAGAAAACAGTACCGAAGACCACGTCATGGGACCCGATATACGAAGAAAGAATGGAAGTAAATGCAGCTTGGAAAATGGTCTGCCGGCCCACTAACAGATGCTGCGACACCTCGTTAAGTTTTGGCACAGAGATGTCGAGCACACAAGTGACCTCCCGCGTACCTGGTGCGAGGTCCGTTTTACCATGGAAATTGGGAAGAGGGGTAGGAGAGAAACCTTGCAACTGATCACGCCAAAAAAGAGACGTTTCAGTAGCTTTCTCGCTGAGTTTGTGCTCAATAAAGAAGTCCGACAATATATTGTATGCAGGTCTTGGGGGAGTTTCCTCTCCCAGTAAGATTCGATGGAGGTCTTTCAGGATCAACTGCCAAGACCACCCGTCGTATAATGCATGATGAATATGAATTAAGACCCGGAGACCATCTTTTGTTTCTTTGAACTGAATCCGTAAAGGATTAAGAAGATCATGCTCTGTAAGCAAGGAGAGGTCGTAGTCAAAGACATCACGTCTTTGAATGAGCTGTTCATCAACTGCATTCCAGGTAAAGCGGGCAAATGCATGGTCCTTCAGGCCGATCTCCACAAAGCCAGATCTCAAGAGCGGATTTCGGTCCAACAGTTTGACGAATGCATCCTGAACAGATGTTGAGTTGACTGAGGGTTGAAATTCCAATTCAACCCAGTTACAGTATGCTTTGGCATGTCGAACCGTTTCCAGTATCATTGCCTGCTGAATATGGGTGGTTGGTTGCACGTCAATCACCTGTGAGTCCAATCCCAGAGATACAATTCTGGCTGCTCCCGCACTCGCAACTAATTGACGAATCCTGCAAAGACCGGCTTGCGTATCCCCGGATGGTTTTGTGGTCTCGATTTCTTTGGCAAGCTGCCAAACCTCATCGATGCAATCGGCGTTTAACAATTGCGCCACGTCTAGACGGATACCGGCATCCAGGAGATGCGAGGCCAATCGGATCGCGGCTAGCGAGTCGAGACCACTTGCTACCAGACTGTCTGTTGACGGAAGCTGTCTGCCTAGAACATCGGTGACACACGATGCAATTGTCTCCTCAAGCTCATCTCGTAATTTCTGTTGATCAACAGACTGTACAACGGCGCGGCGACGAGCGAAATCGGCTTCTAGTGCCTTGCGGTCAATTTTGCCCGACGGGAGCTGGGGGAATTGATCGACCAAAATAAACTCGCCCGGGACCATGAAACGAGGTAGCCACTGACGGCAGATGTCGCGGAGATGGCGATCGGTGAGACTTTTATCGTTGAGCAGGACAAACGCCGCCAAACTGCCGCCAGCCACGACGACCACAGCACTTCGAACCTCCGGCGCTCTGAGAATTACATGTTCAATCTCTCCCAGCTCGATTCGCTGACCACGCAACTTAACCTGGCCACTGGAAATGCGACCAAAACACTCAATCTCGCCCGAAGGTAACATTCGAGCTTTGTCGCCGGTACGATAGAGTCTACCATACCATGGGCTGTCAATAAAAGCCTTGGCATTTTCTTCCGGTCGATTGATGTATCCGTCTGCCAGTTGCGGGCCGCCCACAACAAGCTCACCGATCTCCCCCATTGGAAGAATCTGGGGCTCCTGGGTGGAATAATCGGACTCCAAAGACATAATAAAGGAAGATACGGTTTTGAAGGGTTTGCCAATCAGGTTCACCGGCGCATTGGACTGGAATGCCGTCGCCGCAGTACAGTGAATTGCAGCTTCAGTTGGACCATACATACCATGTAGAATCCCTTCCGAATATTCTGACTGACCAAACTCCTCAATCACATGCTTGGTGAGCATCTCACCGATTGTCAGCAGAACTCGCAAGGAGGGTGCGGCAGCCCGGGTGCGCAACAACTCTCCCGCTACGGTAGGAGTCAACTCGGCGGCATCAACTTCCATCACGGTCATGACATGGGAGATATCGAGAAGCATGTTCTCTCTCTCGGAGCCGATGAGGGTCGCACCTCGCATGAAGGGGAAAAACACTTCAAACACAGAGACGTCGAATGTGGGGGATGCAAATTGCAAGAATCGATTGAATGAGGGTATCAGGTCATTGTGGGCCAGCAAGGATTGAGTGGCCGCCAGATGTGATATCCCCACACCTTTGGGACGACCAGTGGAACCAGATGTGTACATCACATACGCCAGATCCGACGGCCTGACCTCGAATTGTGGAAGGTCAAGAGTTGGCTCGTCCTGGACCTCATCTGTATCTATCACGGCTACCGATGCATTCTGGGGTATCCGGGCGACCAGCGCGCCGTTTGTGACCACCACCGAGGCCGCGACATCTTGCAGAATAAATTCTATCCGCTCAGGTGGCGCATCGGTGTTCAATGGGCAAAAGGCACCACCTGCCTTCAGGATCGCCAGCCACGTAATGTATAGCTCCAAAGACTGTGGTAGAAGTACGGGAACCACCATCTTTGTGCCATCAGATCTGGATGTCGCAGCAAGAGAAATCTTGGCTGCCAGGTTGGAAGATAGCCAATCAAGAGACTTGTATGACAAGCAGCGAACGCTTCCATCGGCAGCTAGAAACTCAATGGCATGATTGGAGTGACTTGGATGAGAAGAGCCAGTGAAGACTAGATTATGGAGTAGTTGCGGACCTGGTAGTATGCAGGGAGATGGATTGGCGATAGACCTGGCAGGTAATTCCGAAATGGACATTTCTATCGGGAAGCCAGACTTTGCTTGTTCCTCAACAATATTTGGGAGGGAAGTGCCCAAGTGGTGTACGGCTGCAACATCCATGGTGGGATGCAACATGCTCGTATGAGCTGTCCACGAACCACGTCAAAGAAGTCGAGGGGAAAAGCTTTGTACAAAGTTCAGATAAACTCGATGCATCTAGATTGAGCAATTAAATCTACTGATTAGATTATCCATTTCGTAAAACACGTTGGGGGATTGGTCAGATGTAGACAACGGCCCATGATCAAACCAACTTTAATGGATGACCACTTGTCTCCACCAGTCAAGCGATCATGGCGCACAGCGCCACCATAGAAAAATATTGAAAATGTGCAAATGCATCCATATTGGGAAACCCACGAATCAAAAGAGCATGATGCAATGTTGCTTATAGATTGCTTGTTAGAAAGACTGTGAGTGGCTACTCTTGGCCGTTATGCAGGAGGGGGAGCCGCTTAAAGTGGAACAATACTTGCTCGCGGCAGAAAGAGGTCCGTGATGGAGGGGGAATAAGGAGGGGACAAGGAGGGGCAGAAAAAATGAAAGGAACATTTGAAAGAGGGGGAGAAGAGGAAGGGAAAGAGGATCAGGAAGAGGTTAAATCTTGAGGGTTTTTACCTTGATCACTTCAAGTTTAGTTTTACGGAGTTTCCAAAGTAGTCGGGTAGCAAGAGCCAAATGACCGAGACAGGCGCCGAAATGGTATCGGCCTTGAACGGAGAAACTTTGGATTTTATGCTTATTCTTTGTTTCTTTGGGAGGTATTGGCGACCTATGACTAGTAGAGCCAGTGTTTAGTACCAACTATATTAGATTCATTATATCACTATGTACTTGTATAGATATCAATACTCTGTAATATTGAAAATGTTCTGTTCTTCGCTTCGGACTGGAAGTGGAGAAAAGAAAGAAAAAGTGGCATTCGTACACAAATGACGTAATCTTGAAACCTGTATTTCTTCCTCTTTGTGATCTTTTGACCTATGATAGTGAAGGTAATACTGATTTACAAGATATATCAGGCTTGAAGATCAAGATCTCATGCCCAAGCGCTATAATGTTTTGCAACTCCACGTTTCAGGAAAAATAGACGAGGCAAGGCATATATCCAGTAGTAGGTTTAGTAAGGGAATATTTTCCCTTGCCCATATAGCTGTCCCCACCTCGGGATCAGTGCGTGTGCCAAGATTAAGTCACTGGTACAACCAAACATAACCATACGGGTAATGCCCGTTCTTGTACCGAGTACTCAATACCGACATCGGGCAGCTGCGGAGCTTTTTTAGTCTTTTCTTTTTCTCTTTTCCTTAAAAACTTTCTTGGTTTTTCTGCTCTTTTCCCTTGCATGACCATGTGCAAGGAACCAAAGTGGGGAGTCGATCTTAACGGAATTTCATTCATTCATTTCTAACAAAAAAAAAACTTATATAATTGTGGAAACCACCTTTGATCCTGCTTTCTCTGGTGGAGAACTGATTGATATGGAATTTAAATCACTCAGAATTACTGGTAACTTGTGCTCGTGCTCGTGGCTCGTGGCTCGTGGCTTTTACTTTCTCCACTTTTGAACCGATTTTTTTTTATCTGATCCGCTTCCGAGGTAAATTTCCATTATTTTGCTTCCACCTGTGTGGAACCATTCGAAACGTATCAGTACGGCACGTCAAATCTCCGTTCGCCTGGATCCGACTGTTTCTACCTCAAAGAAGAAATCCCCGAGTGGAGCTTCCCATCCAGTCTACCTAGCTCCCCTTGTACATAAGTCGTGGCTCCTCCTTGACTTTTTTACTTTCTTCACTCCTTAGCTCCATTCTTTAGTTCCCGGGTTCTTTTGGATATCATCTGCTCATATTTTGCTTGATCCTTTCATTTCCCCCAACAATGGAGCCAATTACTCGGAGATCAGAGCTTCCCATCCACAAGGAGCCACGCACACAGCCTTCCCCAGCACGCTCATTGCTGCGTCCCAGTGGTGCTGATGAGCTGCACGACTTACTCTGTGTAGGCTTCGGTCCAGCCTCCCTCGCCATTGGTATTGCCCTGCACGATGCCATGGACCCGGCCTTGACCCGCAATACCCCTGCGGGCTTCAAGCCCAAGGTGTGCTTCTTGGAGCGCCAGAAGCAATTCGCCTGGCACTCGGGTATGCTGGTCCCTGGATCGCGCATGCAGATCTCCTTCATCAAGGACCTGGCTACTCTCCGTGATCCCCGCAGCAGCTTCACCTTCCTAAACTACCTGCATCACAAGAAACGCCTCATCCACTTTACCAACCTGGGAACTTTCCTACCGGCTCGCATGGAATTCGAGGACTACATGCGCTGGTGTGCGCAGCGATTTGAGAACGTCGTGAACTACGGCGAGGAGGTTGTGGAGGTGGTCCCCGGAAAGACCACCGACGGGGTGGTGGAATACTTTGTGATTCGCTCGCGCAACATCGAGTCTGGTCAGATCTCTTCTCGGAGAGCTCGCAAGGTCGTGGTGGCCCTTGGTGGCAAGGCCAAGATGCCCCCGGGCTTCCCTCAGGACCCGCGCATCATGCACTCGTCTAAATACTGCACTACTCTGCCTACTTTGCTCAAGAACGAGAGTGCCAACTATAAGATTGCCGTCGTGGGTAGCGGTCAGAGCGCGGCCGAGATCTTCCACGACCTGCAACGGCGGTACCCAAACTCGAACACTACCCTGATCCTCCGGGATACAGCCCTGCGGCCCAGTGATGACTCTCCTTTGTATGTGCCCTTATTTTTTCCAGGTTTGATTTTTTTTACTAACTTTTTCAGCGTCAACGAGATCTTCAACCCAGAGCGGGTGGACAAGTTCTTCCAGCTGCCCGCGGAGGAGCGTGCCAAGCGCATTGCGATCGAAAAGGCCACCAACTACTCGGTGGTGCGTCTGGAGCTGATTGAGGAGATCTATAACACCATGTACCTGCAACGCATGCAGAACCCCGATGAGAAGCAATGGCAGCACCGTATCCTGTCGGAGCGAGCCATTGGTCGTATTGAGCACCACAACCCGGCGTCTCGCATGCGCGTGCACGTCAAGTCGATCAACGATGACCACACCGATGGTAAGGAGGTTTTGGAGGTGGATGCGTTGATGGTGGCTACTGGCTACTTCCGTGATGCGCACGAGCAGCTGCTAGAGCAGGTGCGCGGGTTGCGACCTGCCGGTCAGACGGTGTGGACCCCCGGCCGCGACTACCGGGTCCAGTTGGATGACAGCAAGGTCAGCCGTCATGCGGGTATCTGGCTGCAGGGCTGTAATGAAAAGACCCACGGTCTTAGTGACAGCTTGCTATCCATCCTGGCGGTACGTGGTGGTGAGATTGTCAATTCGGTATTTGGTGAACAGCTGTTGGGCGCGTCAGTGCAAGACACCCGGTTGCGAGCGATGCTGTAATGGTATGGGGAATTGGTGGGGCTTTTAGGACCCCAAACGAAAAGAAAAATTATACCAAAACGCCAGATTATTCCTATTTTGGTTTAGGTGGTTGGTTTTTGGTTTCGGTTACTTTAATTCTCATTCCATAGCATGATCATTTTCTTTATTTTGGGCTTTGGCTTGGTGTATTTAGACACGGTGTTTTAGATTATTTTTTTCCAATGACATGATGTATTTCAATTGAGCTTCCAACGTTTTTCCCCTTCTTTTTTCTCCTTCCTCTTTAGCCTAAGCTTGAATAAAACACTGGTGGGGTTTATATCTTGGTCAGGCTCAAGCCAAGACGGACACGGCCTCGGACACCGCGCGAACCAGGCATGGTCTTGGCTGTAAAAGAAAAACAAGTGAAAAGAAGAGAACAGGAGAAGAATAGAAGAAAAAGCTCTCCAAAGGCCTAAGAACATTTTGATATGATAGGACCCTCATTTGGTCAGCAACTCATAAAACGTTGATCACGCTGATCTATTACTCGGGCAAATGTGAAGAGAATGAAGGACTGTGCTACTGTGTTACTGTGTTACTGTCATTGTTATTGTTACTGTTACTGTCATTGTTACTGTTACTGTTACTGTTACTGTTACTGTTACTAACTGTAACTGTAAGATCAAAAGTGGATAAGTGGCGCCATCAGATAAAAATCCCTTTTTTATCTGATCAGTAAATTTCCGATCGGCATAATCTTCTTCCTGCTTACTATTCTCACATTCTCCTATGTTTTGATTTTACCTAGGTATACCTGAAAATATCGTGAAACCCCAGATTTCTGTGGATAATCAATCCACCGCTAATCACTTCCCTTCTCTCTAGAGAGATGAGACTCCATTGTGTATTTTGTTCTGCCCTTGTTCCGTGGACCCGAGTGACCCGCTCAATCCCCCAAAGATTGATTTGATTGATTTGATTGATTTGATTGATTGGGGCTAAACCTGGAATACGAAACATGTGTTCCCCACCGTGTACGCTAATGCCTTGGAACAGACTGATGATTCTAGACTGGATCCGGATGCAACCGAGACGAGGGTATTGCTTGTCAGCAGAAAAGACAGTTGGGGCGATATCGGATCGGAATGATCCCACATATACTTTACTTGGTTGAAGGTTATATTATATCTGGGGATTACACTACTCTTAGGACACTGTTCGATCGTCCGAGAAATGACCGGAAATCAATCATGTGTCCCCCGATCCGGTGGGACTTACCTGTCATCGGTTTCCGAGAGTCGGTGTGGCCCATCGCCTGCGCTACCGAGGTGGGTATAAGCTGGGTTCGGCTTGGCAAGCGGGAAAGAGACAACTTTCCAGAAGTCCCTGCAGACGCATGGATCGTCCAGACCTGCATTGTGCCTAAACATTAGCTGCAGGGGCCTTCTATCTTATCACACCGTCAGAACGGAGGTTGTCAAGGATTTCATTATCTAACGTCCACTGTACAAGGGTTCTGAATGCAAATAAGACATAACACTAGGCATATGTCGGTGAACAAAAGAACCGGAAAAATTCATATGCCACGCAAATGCAACACCGTCACTGCAGTCATACATGAGACCCGTGAATCGAAAGGGAATTTACCGATGTAATATGCAACTCTCAGAAATGGGAATAAAGTCGTGGCCGATTAAAACAAATGGTCTTAAACCATGCGCTCAGGGTCTTCGTCTGCCACACTGCGGTAGCCGTCACCGGATCGACCGGCACGCATGCGAAGCGGGGTTTCGTACATGTCGTGATAGTTGATGATTTCACCTCCCAGCATCGCAGCACCAGTCTCCCGTTTGCCAAAGATCGGGGCAGGGTCACACCAAAAGTCACGGCAATTGGTGGTTATACCACGAGAGAAAGGATTCCGAGACCGTCCCGCATGTGGTCCATCCCGAAGACCATCCTTGGCCGTGGCAAAGAAGGTGTCAATACCCAGAAGAGCCGACCATTGTGTGAGGCAGCCAGTCTTTCGCCGGGGTCCGTGGGAGTGTGCCAAGGCTGGATTAGGGCCTTGTCCGGCGGCAGAGAGTCCCGCCGCATCCATCGACGTTGTCCCAGCTGTCATGGCTGACGCAAATGCCTGGGAACTGGGAAGGGATCGGTCGATGGAGTGGCCTCTCATGTTCTCATACGTCGTCTGGTTGCGCGACACTTGGACAAGCTGTACAGCGCACAGCATCGTAACCCACACCAACTGAAGAATGGTCCATATACTGAGAACCAGGGTGAACGTGTCTCGAGATACGTAATCGCATAGCTGGTCATTAATGATGCTGCACTTGGCGCCTACGGGAGAGGGCAGATCGGTGATGTCTAGGATGCGTTAGCCCTAGGTCTGCTTAAATACGTTATTAAAATGAAGGCACTCACAACCGATGGTAAGCTGCACAAATAGGATGATGCCAATTTCGAGACAGACAATGTATAAAACAAAGTGACGGAGGTTATTCGCTCCAACGCAGTTGTCAATCCATGGGCAGTGGCTAAACAGATCAGTCAGGTGATATCGACGTAACGAGGGGAGATATGCAACATACTGGTCATGCTTAGCAACACAACGGCCGCATCGTCGACAATGCTTGCTTCGGAGTGGCTTTCTTGACATGCAGGGAACACAAAAATTCTCCTCGTCGAACTTCCACAACTCAAACAGCTGCTTCACCATTTCTCGCTGCTGGTTCCGGCTGCTGATCTTCGGAACGTAGCCCGGATCTCCGATCATGGCCATGGTGTAGAAAAAGGCCGTTAAACAGTAAAAAACTGCAAACACGATGTTCAAGATGGGATACGACGAGTAAGTGGCTATGTTTTGTCAGCTGTGCCACCTTCAGCAATACGACCGTTACTCACCAGGTAGAATTTGGAAGATATAACGGAAGCCCACCCAGAACAAAGTTGCGGCAAAGACACCTGCCAGATACGGCTAATAATAACTGTCAGCGCTCATTACGGGCCTGGATATCACAAAAACATACCGTCTTTTGCAGGATACGATACTCAGCGGGTCCGCGGTTGGCAATTTGCTGTGCAGTCCATTGCATGCCAAATAGAGTGACTAGGGTGAGTGGTAAACCAAGGAGAATCGGTAGGTTACTCAACATCCAGATGGCAACAAGGAGAGTCAGGAACGGCCAGAGGAAGAAGAACTTGGCCATGAGGCTCTTGTTCCGGACGAATGTGGCTAGGCCCATTGGGACCGGTTTCTGGGTGCCATCTGGTTCATACCCTCGCTCGGCCAGAGCGCGGTTCCAGATCCGCAGTGTGTTCATTTCTTGTGCTACCGTCATGGGTGACTTGCCATCGCTGGTCTTTGCGAACCGATCTGCACCATATTCCAATAGTTTCAACACAGAGGGCAAGGAGCCCTTCACCAACGCCCAGTGAAGCGGGGTCAACCCGCCTTCGTCCACCGCATTCGCGTTGGCACCCCATCGCAGGAACAGATCCACACAGGCCGGATATCCCTTGTATGCCGCCCACATCAACCCGGTATGACCTTGCTGATCAACGACATCCACGGGGATCTCTTGGTGAAGGAGGAGTAGGACGAGGAAAGCATTGCCGTCAATGGTCGCGAGATGAAGAATGTTGTAGCCTTGAACGTCGGTCAAGAGAGGATCCGCACCATATGAAAGGAGCAGGTTGACAATATAATAATGACACCGTTGCGCTGCCCACATGGCAGGTGTGGCAACCGACTCTCCACCCTTGGCATTCACATCGGCACCGGAGTCCATGAGGAACTTGCACATCGCATATTGGTTATTGATCGCCGCCCACTATTTGAACATATGACAGTCAGAAAAATGGCCATCGTCACCCACCATGCAATGGAAGAGTCATGTAAATCGCAGGGAGAAACAAACGTGTAGTGGTGTAATGCCCTCTGCATCGGTATGATTTGCGGTCAGATTCTTAGTCGCAAAGAGATTCTGCATAGCGCCAATCTCTCCAATCCGAGCCAACTGCATGATATCCTCCCCTATAGGAATTGAAGGCCTGGGCGCATCGGGCCGTATACTCGTGAGTTCGACATCGGCATCCGGAGGGGTTGAACCATTCCCAGTGGGGGTGGAGCCGGGGGTCTGGCCTGACGGACTACTGCCTAAGGTCTCCGATGGAGATGTCTTGGAAGACATGGCAGTTGTGTCGTACAGGGAAGGGAGGAGGATGAACGGGGGGGGAAGCCGAGGGTAAAGAAGTCGATCGATTCCAGGGTTTCTCTTTTCGGTCGTTGATCTTCCTAAGGGGACATTGTGTATCCTAACACAAGTACTCAAAAGATCTGAATTGAAGTTGGAACAAAGACCAAAAAGGAGACCGAGTCACGGTTCTGTAAATTCGAGGGTGAAATTGTTTCTTTTGTTTCGGGGAAACCTTGAAGCGACGCTCAGATCGTCAACTTGTTCTTTGCGGTGAAATCAATTCTTGTCCACAGATCCAATTTTTTCAAGCAAGATGTTCTTTCTTCTGCTTCAAATTGAATGGTTTTCGTCTTGATAGAAAAGAAAAGTGAAATTACAGAAACAATCAGTTTCGATTTCAGTTTTGTTTTTTCACTGGCAATCATATGGAATCGATTACTCAGCCTCAGTTAAGGCAGCCAAATTACTCGGTTTACATAGTCATTGCACATTGATGATTAAGTTTTTATGTTCCTATGGAAATTACTTAATTCAAATTGAGAACTTTACATGCCAATTCTACTCGGTTTACATGGAATGAGATATGTATCAAAATTATGAAGCACTTCCGGTGTCGTCATTGGACGAGTCTTGGTTGCACCGCAGCTGGATTTCATCCATCAACATCCGCGCATCTACACGCAACTCAAAATTGGCCAAAAAACAGAAGCTAATCTCCAGTTTGGAGAGCTCTTGCTCAGTGACTCCGCCAACTTTGGCGACTCGACTATGAGGGAAACTGAGATCTTCAAGTGCTTTGGTCGCCACAAGCAAGCCTGCAAGAACGAGACGATGCATGTTCTTCGGCGTCACCCGGAGGACCTTCTCCACCAAAGCCATTCTCGTTATGTACACGCTCGTAGCAAGGAAGACCGCTGTAGACATCGGACAATATCGATGAAGTCGAATCAAGTAATCCCTGATGGGGATAGGAGGCACCTTTTTCGAAAGGAACTTCCGGGACAATATCGCCAGTTGAAAGGCCTCTTCACGGGTCCTGTCAGCCGCGTGACCGGGATCCCCACAGTGCAGGCCCACCGCCTGCAGATGAGACTCCCCATCGGTCGGAATCTCGCTTTCCGCCGGGGTGGAGCTGGATGAATTGGGTTCGGTGGACGTTGCCGCGAAGTGGGTTTGCAGCTTTTCGAGATTGTTACATAGCATCTGCATTGCAGTCTCCGGGGACATTTCAAAGACTGCTGCAACCCCATTGGGTTGTGTTTGGGCCTCTTCCAGTCCGGCTCCAGCTCCGGCTCCAGCTCCGGCTCCAGCTCCATCGCTCGGAGAGCCGAGTTTCAACAAAGATCCTGGCGATCGCATGCCTTGGGGAGCGATTTGTGTCATGACCGCGGCCATCGTTATCCTTGTTTATTGTACAACACACTCTTCTGGAGCTGTCACTGATTGAATAGCGCACCTGGCACACGGTGGATCTTCGAATAAATATCTCATTTTATGACCCAGGAGAATGCGGGCAGTCACTTCAGCGCGAGGCGATCTAAAGTTGTGGCAAATGAAGGTGTAGAATCAACGGGCGCGATTGAACTGAACGCAACGAGAGCAGCTAATCTGGGAGGGGTGAGATCGATTCGAGAAACTGTGGAACGTATAGGACCTATGGGGGAACCTAGGCAGCCTCAATGTGTCAACATGTACCTGGAATGCCGAAGGGGGGGGGGATCGCGAATCAAAAGACTTACTCTAGGTTCGATCATTCATAGAAGGTGAAACTCAGATGAATTTCCAGATGAGAGAACCTCGGAAGATGGGAGAAAAAGTTGGTAAAGACAAGAGTGGTTCCGGGAAAGATAAGGTCCAACGGAGTCCGGAAGTCCTTTTAACTGGATAAAGTGACAAGTATGTCATGCTCCACATTCTATTGCCTTTCACAACATTCGAAGTGCTTCAAACTCCTAATTGTTCTTATTGAATTCCCCTTTCCTCTAAAAATCCAGCCCAAAAAAAAGATATGATGTACCAAGACAAGTGTACAATACCCAAAATGTGCCCAATTGAACATACATATTGAATCCTCCAAATGTCATTTTTACCGCCAACGATCAAGAGGACCACGCTCATCAATAAACCGCTCTTGTCTGTTGCGGTGATCTCTAAAGTCTCTAAAGAGTTCCGGTTCCAGAAAGCGAGATGGCAGTCCTTGGAATCGTACCCTTCGTGTATGTCCATGCTCTCCATAGGTAAATCGTTTCGAGCTCAACATTTCACGACGCCCAGAATTAATAATATTAGGTCGCTCGGTACAAGGATGCCTCTCTTCTATTACAACTCCACGGCGGGGCTGAAGTTGTGGACTGCGGCTGACAGTCCTGTATGGTCGCCCCTCTGAACGTCCGTTATACCTCGCTATTGGGGATGGCACACGCGTTGTCGTTCGCCTTTCTTTCCCAGCTCTTGTTCTTCTGGTCTTGGATAGTCCTCGTGTGGTGAATCGAGGTATGACGGGGGGTGACATCTCTTCATTCGGTAAGGAGAATAGACGATTTGGGGAAATCCAACGCCCTGCACGTAGAGGTTCCCGTTCAACGACTGGAGTTCGTTCACGGGGGTACCGGAAATGACGGGTTGGAGTTCTTTTGGTTTCTAGCTCTGGACGATTTTCACGGCCTTCATGAATCTCTCGAGGGTATTGGGGGCGAGATCGAGAATGAGACCGCCCTCGCAAATCAGCAAAGGAATTCCTCGGCGAGACGAGCCGATTTCGAGGCACGGGTATTGAGTGACGATCTTCTATTCTTGTAGTCTCCGTGCGGGCATTGCCAAAACCACGGAGTTCATGAACCTCTCGATCCCTTCTGGAACGAGATCGAGAGCGCCCCCGAGACTCAATAAAGGTCCGATCCATTCTTGACGGAGCAAGTCGTGCTCGAGAGGCAAATGGCGATTGACGATGATAAATAGCTTTTGTATATGGAGGGTCCACAACATAAACCCGAGGTGTCTGCGCCCTTGGAAGATTTCTCTCCCTCCTGGGCAAGGTATCCCTGCGGAACCACGAGTACAACCAGTCCTTGTGGGGTCGATTTATGCTTCTTCTCCCAGTTCCCCAGTTCCGGTATGTTTGACGTGGCGAAGACCTCGCGCATCCGACCCAAGAAGAAGAACTTGAATTGGAGTGACACTCGAAGGTTTGGGGTCGTCGACGATCGATATCGAAGTCAGATGAACCGAAGCTCAAGTTGAAGTTGGTACTGGGTGATGACATTCGGCGAGACGTCCGAGGGAAGCTTCTTACACGTATCTCAATGATAAGCATGTCTTTCTCTCTCGATATTCAAATAATGTGTGAACCGCAGGAAAGGACTCGATATATTATATTGATGTTGATGTTGATACTTGGAATAATGCCTCGACCGACAAAGAAATATGTGAACACAGGATTTGATTGAGGAACAAAGGCATGATCAGCGGTAAGAGGATTTAGTGTCTCATCTCTGTGAAAGAGTCAATAGTGAATAATAAGAGCAGTTGAGGTGCCCGGCATGTGGATCAAGTCATAGGCTCAAAGCAGATGATTTTCCTTTATCGTTAGGGCTTAATGTTTGGATTAAAATAGTTTTTCGTCACTGAACAAAGGAAAAAGTTTTGATGGATTCGGTGCATATATATATGAAAGCAGATCAAAGAAGTATGAAATATATATCAAAAGGCAGCAATGCGCTTTGTTATTTGTTGGTTTTTTCCCTTTCCTTTTTCTGTGATAGACTTGTGGCTGATACACTTCGAGGGTCACAGGGCGCATCATTAGCCTCAAAGTCAGCAGGGAAACCACAAGGAAACCACAGGTGACGAAGATGTTAAATCTCAATTATTTTTCAAATTTCGACATGTTAAGCTTGCCATATTTTGAACTGGAATGAATATTCATCAAGTCTGCCTTGTCGTGATTAAATTTCGCGATCGAGGCACGTGAGGGGAATCAAGAGGCACGCATTATATGCCATGCAAGTCTTTCTCTTCTTTTTCTTCTTTTTCTTCTTTTTCTTCTTTTTCTTCTTTTTCTTCTTTGTCTTCTTTGTCTTCTTTGCCTTGTCTTTCTCCCTTTTCAACGTCCAAGAACTATCAGATTCAGTAGTTCTTGTTGTCGGGCATCGAGGTTCATAGTATAGAGGGGCGTAGCCGCTTACAGTTTGCAGTGATTGGTTGGTTCGATTGTTGGTTTGGGTTCCTCCCGCGTCAATGGCGATTATAGGCTCAGAGGTTATGAAAACAAGCCGCAAGGCTTATTGCACGTTTATCACCTGCATATCTCCTCTCTGGCCTTATTAGACAGCATTAGTACTACATTGACTCGCTTCTCAACCCCATCGCTCAAGAAACTTAGCCTGGGTCTTATCCCGCTGATGGAGCACATTGAGGTTCAGCCCCTGCACCCCCTTTTGAAGTGAGGCAAGTTCAGTCTCTAGGCCCAACAATGCGCCTTCTTGTCTAGAATTGCGCAGCGATGTTCCAAATTGGGCATTTCCATGCAATGAAGAGGCCAAAAGCTGTGACGCGCTATCAGAATCGCCCAAATTACTAACCAGAGGCGATTCCGCCGCAATCTCGAGATTTCGGATCGCCTCTGACATGTCAATTCGCTTTTCGTAAAGTCCTTGGGCACCACCATCCTCTACCTGCGGGCGGAGCACGGACTCGGGTGACAATCCAATACGACGCAGGAGATTTTCCAACGAAGGCTGCTCGGGCATTGAAGCGGGTTTGCGTGTAGCCCCGAGGACCATGCCAGGCTGCAGGGACCGCCGCCTAATAGATTCCCGGCGAGAGGAGGACTGGGTCACAAGTTGATTGGTGCTTTCGGCTTGATAGAGGATGGTGATTTGCTCTAATAGTTCACATAAAGATTCCCGGTTTGCTAGCTGTGCCGTCAATTCCTGCTTGGAAAGAGTCATGTCGATTAAAACATCGAGAATCTATTGACACGGATCAGCGCATATCATGCTAGACTAGTAAAAGAAATCGCCGCACCTGTTCCAGCTTCTGCTGTAAGGTCTCCCGAAGCAGGCTGTGCCCATTGTAGATCTCCCGTAGGATGGGCTCGTGGAACTGTTGCTTGGTGGACATCTCAGCCAAGATCTCGATCTCGGGATATAACGCCTCCAGCTCCTCCTCCAATGCAGTGATTGTGGCGCCCTCTGCTCCGGAAAGGGAATTTAGATCTCCAGCTTGCATTGATTCTTCAAGATATAGTCGATCCAAGCGGTAATGGATCTCCTCTGCGCTGTAGTCTGCCAGGGCCTCACTAAGGTGTGCTGCTCGCTTGACAGTAGACGCATCATCGAAATTCGACTTGACTACAGGCATCAGCTTCTCCAGAGTGCTAAGCAGTCTATCGTCATGTTTCAACCGACTGGACAGCAATGATAGAATTCGCTTGCTTTCCGCCCCGGTTTTATCTGTCTCGCTCCGAAAACCAGCATCTAGTTCATCCGAAAGATCGTTTGCCTATAACCTTTCAGCAAGTTGCACTCAGAGTTGGCCGGGGTATGATTACCACAATCGTAATGTTTTGTTTCGCACCTTCATGCTTCTTCCGCAGCCGTGCGATGTCCCGGCTTCTATTTTGTTCCAAGCCCTCCTGCCGGTGCAATTTTTTCTTGAGCATTTCGCATTGTGCGGTTAAAGTGCGAGACTTTTGTTGAATAATTGCTGTGGATGCTTCAAGGGATCTAATGGTGCTTCGCATATCATCCTCTAGAAAGGGTCGTGTCGCATCAAGGCCAGGGTCGCGAAGAATGGGTTGAAGAGCACCGGAATTTTCAAGTTTTGTATAGCTAACCCTTTTGATCAGCTGGATATCACAACCGTGACACTCAATCTTATCAGACGTACAGGCTAAGCTCTTCCGTGGAGAGAAGAGTTTCCGGTCGCAGGTGTTTGGACATCCACTTCGCATTCCCCGGACCAGCGGCAGGGTCTTCCATAGCAGACTCGATCACATCGCGTTTGATCAAGATATCTCGCTCCCTCAGTATCGAGATAATTCCCTCGGTGTTGGCAACCTCCATGGAACTGTGGTATATGTGGCTTGTGGAGTTCGGTTTGCAGCAAGGCGGAGTGCAGCAGTCGACGTGTTTGTTTTTTAAAGAACGGGGAAAACCGGGAATTCAAGAAGATTGGAATGCAATTTCAGAATGACAGTTATGGTTTTAGTTGTGCCAGTAACCTCTAGTCTGGTGAATGGGCTAGGCTCTCTCTCTTCCTCTCGGAGATCGTGCTCCGCGGAGTCTCCGTATCTATAGTCACGTGTATGTATTTATTTATCCAGATCGGGTAACACATCGGATATTCTACTCAACTGTGCAATTTACTATCTCATGGAAGACATGTTTAGTCCACAGTTAGGCTAGCGGTTAAAAAGAGCTCAAATATAGATTATATAACTGTAGATACGAACGCTTCACATGATCGCTGAAGATGAGCAGGATATTAGGTACAGGTTAAAATCAGATGCTCAAGCCCGAACTTTTAGGCTTAATTCGTGGACGCCACGTCGACCTTGGGGTAATACCAAGTTGTGACCGCAATGATGACATAGATCAACACACAAAGGGCTCCCTCTAGGTAGTTTGACTTGCCATCTCGCAAGAAGTTGCTAATGACCAGAATCGACAACACTAGGAGGACAACCATGAAAATCTCGAAATTGAGGCTCATATCCTTGCCTAGACCCCAACCCACAAGAACTGCCAGTGGCGCATTGAGCAGAGCCGTTTGGATGGAAGGAGCCAGGCAATGGAAAAGGGCAAAGTTGATCTGATTATCCCAGGCTTCGTCCACCGCCGTCAGGTGCTCAGCCGCCTTCTCGACCAGGGGAACCAAAATCAAACCCAGAAAGTTGTCGGAGACTCCAAGCGCCACGATATATTCAATCTCTTGCACCAGGAATACCGCCGACATGCTCACACAGGTCAGGGCGACTGTAATCGCCACCAAGCATTCTGCAAAAGTGAGCTTTGCTCTGTTTAATTCTTTATGTTTGTCCTTATTTTGCGCCTCATCTGTCTCCAAGATGTCGTCGAACATTGTGTTGTGGCTGTGCAGGTTGAAAATGAGAAATCTGCCATTCACTTTTAGCATATTGACCTTCCATGGCTTTGGGGGTGAAAAAGATATAACTCACATTACAAATGCCAGGAGGAGCACCACGGCCGTGGCACGACTGATCTGCATGGTGTAATCCTCCAGCATGGCTAGAGTGAACTCTGTATTGGTGGCCGATTTCAGCGTGGAGTAGAAAGCGCTGGGAATCAGCAAGCCAAACCCGGCGACCAACAATAGTCCTGTGCCCACCTCAGCAACGGCCTCATGAAACACCTGTTCATTCCGCCGGAGACCACCAACGAAGAAACACGTGCCCAGACAGAGCAGTAGGTTTGCGAGAATGGATCCGAGAATGGCGGCCTGGATGACGGGAATGAGATTACCCTCGCCTGCTTTGTCATTGTGAAGCAATACCATGAACAGCACAAGTTCCACCGAGCAGCTAATCCCGGTCTCCAATAAAACTCCCAAGGTTTTGGGCAACTTTTTGGCCAATTCTCCTCCTGCAAATCCAAGAACATTCGCGGACGGGACCATGGCGATGTAATTGAGGGCGAAAACCCAGACATGAAGATCGGGTCGCGCGAAGTGCATTGCAATCGCGGCAGGGACAAAGGGCCAGAGAATGTTCACCATCATTGAAGCGGTACAAACACTCTTAAAGACGACCCGAAAGAAATGAATTGGATGAACTCCCGAGCGACCACTCTCTCCGGCACTATCTACTCGAAACAATCCCAGCACATAGCGAGTTGGGTGGTGCTTCTCCAATGTCGGCAAAAATGAGTTTTTATGCGATTCTTTTTCTTGGGTAACGAATAATCCGTCCCCGCCTTCATACGTGCGCGACTCTTCGATTTCGGGTCTGATGGAGCCCATTTTGGTGGTCGATGACTTTAGCGCTGCCAAGGGAACAAAATCAACGAGGAATCTCAGGATCGAAACGAGAGGGGAGAAAGAGGGATATCATAAGAATCACAGATTAGAGGTGGGAAAGAGAGAGAGAGATAGAGAGAGAATGAAAATCAAAAAGACTACCCCGGGGAGAAGCAAATCGTGACGACCTTGGGGGAAAAAGATGAAAAAGCAAGCAGGCGGGTCTCGGGTCTATACAGTAGAGGCGGGAAACAAAAACGCAACTCTCTCCACCGCTGGCAGTACGATATAGCCAATCAGCCCGGGTGCATGAACGAAGATGGAGGACAACAAGGACCCGGTGGTTCTTGGCATCCACGATTGAGAGTCGATCTTCCTATCGCTTGTTTTCTCTGGTGTGTCGTCACTGATTTTTGCGGGGTTTTGTGACAGAAAGTCAACATCACCTTCCCAACCTCCTCCAAAGCGGGGAGATGATAGAGAAAGAGATTTGGATAATTCTTATCTGGCCCGAGGGTTATATCCAGGTCACTCCCAATCATAGGGGAAAAATCCCATGAGCCAGACTGGGGCTTGTGGGGAATGTTTTTGGCATTGCACCGCCACGGTCTTGGCTGCAAGGACGGCAACTCAGCTGAAAAAAGCCAAGATTCTCTGCATCTGCATGGAGTAGGGGTGGAGATAGTCAGCCCATTAGCATCTCCGTACTCCGTACACCGCACTCCGTATAATCAGATAGGATATTCTGCATAAAATAAGGTTAGTTGGTTATTCTCTGAGTAAGCAAAGATCCTTCAGAATCTCTGAGAAGAACGAGAGTAAAAAGGAAAGGAAAGAAGAAACAAATCGAGAGAAAAGTGTGAAGGTTTTTGAGGATCCACTTTTCGTTGTACATAATTTGCTATACGATATATACAATGAAGCCCACACATGCTCATCTACAGACACATACCAATCCATTCTTCCCAGCGACGAACACCAGATCCGAATTCTTCCTCCGAATCACCTTTAACCGCACCACCGACCACATCTACCTTGACTCTAGTTTCATCCTCAAGCATCTTGAAGCTAAAGACACCCTGCGCATCATCATTGCCAAGAACTTCCTCTTCTGTATCCAGAGCAGTGTCTGCACTCGCATCCATTAGACCCTTGGTCTTGGACTTTCGAATCAGATCAATCTCGGCCTCCAACTTCTCCCGCACGGAACCCGGGGGTAGAGCCGTGAACAGATCCTGCTTATTGGCAGCCACCAAGACGGGGATCTCCATGGATCGCTTGGTGGAAGACTTATTCAGCTCCCGCTTCTGAAGAACCAGAAGAACGTCATGCAGATAGGTCGCCGCATCCCGCAAAATTGCTTCGTCGACTAGGGCTGCAGTGTCCACCATGAAGAGCACCCCGCGAATCTTATTCTTCACATCCTTGGAACCAACCATGGACTGAAGCGCCGCAATGCCTTGCGAAGCACGGAGCTTGCCATGGCCGGGAGTATCCTTTACCTGGAATCGAATGGGGTTTCGCGTAGCCTCTTTCAATGAGGGATCATTGACGGATCGGTAGCGGTTGGACGCGGTAGGAACAGTTGGTGGCAAACTCACCGACACGAAGGTCGAGGTCTGAGAGGTGTGAGTAGAAAGTGACTGCTTTGACGCCGGGGAGGACTTCGCCTCGAGCTAAGGAAGTAATCAGCATTTTCAAGAAAGGTGGGAGGAAAGACATAGAGCATATGCTTACCAAGGTTGTGAAAGCGGTTTTTCCTGACCCGCTGGGGCCCAATAACAGGAAGTTGCTCGAGGGCGGCGACGCTGCAGCTTGGAAAAAGAGGACATGTAAAAGAATGGGTACACCAAAAGTGAACAATATCGCGATAGCAATAGCAACTAAATTTCCATCAAAGAGAAGGGTCGCAATCCCTGTCACGGAGTTCCAACTGGCCTGGCTTGACATAGTGGGCTGATGAACGGGTAGAAGGAGATTTGGATTTCCGGAAGCTTAGTAGTAAGTTGTTCGATAGCACGGACCAGTTTTGCTTATCGGATCTTATATGCTCTTATCTTATCGTGTTTTCATATTATTACTGTACTTGGAAAGGGTTGGAATGAAGCTCTAACATACCAATGGACCAAAGGGGGGGGGGGAAGAACTTGAAAATGTGTTACCTTTCTCTTCGCCCTTTGGTCACTTCTCATCTCTAACATACTCTCCATTTTCAATATGAGGCTTTCTGGACTGTGGTCTGCTATATCCCTCTTTACAGCCGCCGCGGCTCAGACCATTAGTGGCCTGACCTTTGACAGTCAAGATGTTGTGAGTATCATTTGGGGCTTTGACGGTGTATTATCGGCACCTTACGACCTCTGGCTTTGTGCTGGAGATGAATCTACAGGTGAATATGTAGGTGGCTTCTAGCAATTTTATCATGGCTTGGTTTTCGGATCTATACAGCTAACAACATTTCATGGATAGGAAACACTAGTGCAAGTTATTAAAGATGTTTCTTATACATCTGGTGACTGGGTGTCATTTCGGGTTGATCAAAGCGTCGGAGGAAATGACCCAAACGCATAGTACGCTTCCATTTCCAGTTATGGATATAATATACCGAAAAGCTGACCTGACCCATCTAGCTTCCTAAAGATTGTTCCATCCAACACGGATGCACCATCTGGGATGACATCCCATTTCACTCTAACCAACATGAAAGGCACTTTCTCCACCAAGGTAGCTGATGCGGTCAAGCTCATGCAACCTATTCCCATATCATTATATATGGTAGACGACTCCAATCTCCTTGATCCCCCTGAAGCCACCCGAAGTTTGAATGCATCCCAGTCTACTTTGGAGTTCCCAGTACCTACTTCAGGCGATGAGCTAGACCGACATGAACTGCGAAAGCGCTTGGCTGTTGATCCCCATACGATCCCATACGGAGAGCAGATGGGCCGGACCAAGTATGCTCCCATGCCGAAGAGAGCGGGCAGCACCATCGCGAACAAGCCAGCAACACCTCAATACCCACCTTTTCCTTTTTCTATCGCCACCACGTATCTCCCTGCTCCCACTGTGGATTATACAGATACCGCATACGCGACATGGACAACCCACAGTATAGAGAATACGGTCCGTATACTGTCATTGATAAGGAGACATTGACTTTATGCTAACCCTTTCTCAGGCGGCCCCGGCTGCGATGCCAACATTAGACAAGAGGATGCAAGATTGGATGGAGCGTCGAAATATTTGATTACGTTTGCGCGGTTGAATTTACCGCAGTGGCAAATCTTAACTTATGAAGCTTTTCACTATTCAGTGTATCATTCACGTCCTCCTAGTTAAATGGAACCAACAACTTTGACTAGTATCATACGAGGATGATAATGGTGTATCTTTCCTCAAATTTTTATTCTCACGTTAAACTTCTATAAGGCATATCACGTTCAATCATGTAAAACTCATGTCCACGCCTATGTCAATATGCAACTCTGACTTTCTAGAACAGTCTGTCCCTCTCCGCGGTCATGGTGATGTTTGGGGAGACTTCCACTCCTCCAGAGCTGGGATTAATGCTGCAGTCACTGGGTGGTTGTGCCGATCTTCAGGGTGAAACGAGATATTGTCCCGCAGTGCCACATAATCGCTATCCGCATAACCAAGCAATGCCTCAATCTGCGTGCTGCGATGGCCCTTGATATGTGCGATCTCGATACTTCCATAATTCACAATCGCTCTACCCACTTCCTTAGGTTCCTGGGCGTGGTGAGGGAAATCCCCATTCAGAGCATCGGGAGAGGGCCGATCCACAACAATTAAGCGTACAGCTTCTTGTTGTCCGAAATGACCCTCGACTCCAAGTACCCCAGCAGGGAGAAGACTCGCCTTATTAAGGAGTGCCTCGTAGGCGCCCTGGTCAATGTATAAAGAGCCATGGGGTGTCAGTCCGTGGAGTAACCAGAATGTTCGAGACTGGATTGGGGCGTCAGAGGGCAGGAATCGAGTGTGGAGAGGGGGTTTCGGTAGATTGGCGATAGTCGCAGCGTCATCGTTCCCGAAATTTTGAAGTGTCTGTAGATACTTGACAATCTCATGAACATTCCCGGGCTTTGAGCTTTTGGTGATAATAGTCGTCACACCGGCACTGGTGCCAAGCTTTGCAGCCACAATCTTGGTGCTCATACCCCCGGTGCCCAGAGCTGAACCGGCGGATGAAACATCAGCCTCCAAGGTTGAAATATCAGAAACGACTTCAATCGGCTGAGCGTCGGGATCGCTACGCGGATTAGCCGTGTATAGGCAGTCTACATCGGTCATCAAGAACAGGTAATCGGCCTTGACCATGGCCGCAGTGATTGCGGAAAGGGTATCGTTGTCGCCAAATTTGATTTCCTAATCACCAATGTGTTAGATCATATGACCTCTTCGATTGTATCTGACAAGAGGAGATTGCTTACGGAAACAGCCAGGGTATCGTTTTCGTTGACAATAGGAATCACACCCATATCAAACAGTTGCTCAAACGTATTCTGGGCATTGACGTATTGTGTGTTCTTCTCTTGGTATTAGTATGGGAGGTCATCAGCAGTAAACAGGATTTTGAAAGCTCACATCGGCAATGTCATTTCTCGTCAGAAGAATCTGAGCAACAGGGACTCGAAGATGAGAGAAGAGGTTATCCCAGAGACTCATGAGTCGGCACTGACCAACAGCAGCAAGTGCCTGTATTCGAGGCAGATAGGTTGGTCTGTCGTCGACATCCATTCTTCGCAGACCAACACCGACTGCACCCGACGAGACTAGAACGACTCGATGACCATCTTTTCGCAGCTTTGCTACCGTTTCCACGATTGATGTGAGAATAGAGAGAATAGGTTCATGTGTTTTCTCGTCGACAATCGAACTTGTTCCTATTTGTAACGCACCAATGTCAGTCCGATTGCGGTCTTTAGTCATTTCGACATTTATAGGTATCCCCCGCACCTAGTTTAATCACAATTGTTAGACCCGACGTGGCCATGGTTGCTGAAGTCCGTCAAGATGTAGTAAACATCCGCTGCCCTAAACACAGACAAATGGAGTGAATGGTCGTGTCTCGTAAATTGAGGCAAGAATTGAGGAACCAGGATTTCAAAGAACTGTTTTGCGTCAGAACAATCGCCGGTTTCTGCCGTACCCCTCCGCCCGGTGAATCTTCGTTTCGCTCCGCGGAAGCGGCTGGAGAGTCTCTACAATCAACATGTCCACTTCCCAATCGCCAGATTCAGCAGAGCCGTCAAATGGCAAGTCCGATACGGGCTACGTGCCCGGTGACGATACTTGGAACCAGTTTCGCAACATTTATCGTATCCTGACCGGCAAGATGTCCTCCGAGGGAATTGAACAGTTCAGAGTTGCGCGAGACCTTCGAAATGAGGCCGATGATTGCAAACGATGCGATGAACAGCGTGACTTCCTCTTGCAGTACAGTACGGCCTCCCTCCCCCATATCGAATCATTTATGTCAGCCAAATTACTAATAGAACTTCTCCGCAAGGCCCGGTTATTCGCTACCTCAGCGATAATATTAAGCAACTAGGAGGCGATCTTCACAGTCACAATATCTATTGTCGTCGATGTACAAATAGAAAAGCGGGTGGTTTTGATCCCGAGTATGGCATCTTGCTTTGTGCCAATGAAATGAAGGATCAAGGTCACTTGGAGGATACACTGGCTCACGAGATGGTACACGCCTATGACCACCTACGGTTCAAAGTGAATTGGACAGATAACTTACGACATGCTGCCTGCTCAGAGGTTCGTTTACCATGCTAAATAGTGATTTTTTTCAGGAAGTTTCTTTAGCTAACCTCCGCCAGATTCGAGCAAGTTCCCTGAGTGGTGAATGCAGATGGTCGCGAGAGTTTTTCCGAAGAGGCCAATGGAAGTTGACTGAGCAACACCAAGAGTGTGTTCGGAGACGAGCCATTCTGTCTGTGAGGGCGCGACCGACCTGCCGGGACGAGGCCCACGCAAAGCAAGTTGTCGATGAAGTCTGGGGTAGTTGTTTCCGAGACACCAGACCCTTTGATGAGATTTACAGATGATACCAAACTCCCCTCGTTTCCCTTACCTTGCAGTATACGGCGCCAAATTATATACCATCCTGCATCTGTACCATAAAGCTTTGAATGTACCATACTTCATTGACACCGAAGAAGAAAGATTAAAAGAGCACATGTCCCGATATCGCAAATGCCTGATCTGGCTATACCCCAGCAAAAAAACACAAAACTCCGAATGATGCAGACCAAGACCCAACGCCTAAGAACTCCGTCCGTTTATCGAACCAAATCGAAAAAAAAGACACATTAAAGCCAATATATCATGCAGATGCCTTCATGCTTTGCCCTCCTTGAAGCCGGAACTCCGCTTTACGTCTTTCACGCAATGTTTGACAATCCAGGGGTGACTTTGGATCTCATCAAGAGGAATTCGCTTCTCAGGGTCAAGTACCAGTAGCTATATATCGTCAGTCAAGCTGTCTTGGAAATATTATAGGTTGAAAACTTACTCTTTTAATGAGGTCCTTTGCCTCAGGGCTGACAAAAGATGGAACGGTCATGTCAGCCCTGGCGATTCGTCGCTGGGTCATAACAGGCGTGTCTTCGAAAGGTGCCTCGCCAACTAGGAACTCGTAGGTCAAGACGCCCAAACTCCAGAGGTCCACCTTTTCACTATAGTAGTTGTCTTGAGAGCCCGGCTTCAGCATCTCCGGAGGTAAATAGTCAAGCGTTCCACACATCGTCTGGCGTCGGTTGTTGGGAGCGTGAACACTCCAACCAAAGTCACTGATCTTGATTTCTCCATGGATTCCGACCAGAATGTTCTCGGGCTTGATATCACGGTGCATTACATGCTTCTTGTGCAAGTACTTCAGCGCTGCCGCCATCTGTGCAATGTATTGCGCAGCCTTCCACTCCGGGAAACGATGCTCCTTACGAAGGTGCTTGTATAGTTCACCGCGACCAGCAAACTCTAGGATCAAGAAGATTCGCTTGCTGTCATGAAAGTGACCGTACAGTCTGAGAACATTGGGGTGACGGAGATTACTCTGAATCTCAATCTCGCGCCGCACTTGCTTCTGGACACCACCTTGTTGGAGTTCCGACTTGTGCAGCACCTTCAGGGCGCATACAAAGCCTGATGACCGTTCCTTCGCAAGATAAACGCGACCAAATTTACCCTTACCAAGAGGCTTTCCAATTTCAAACATTCCAAGATGCAGTTCTCTCGGCACCGATGGGTCGTGAAGCGAAGTTGACGTGCGCTGATCGCCGTTCTCGTCGGTATTCCGGGTCACCACCGTCCCCGAGCCCTTGGCAGGGGATGGTGGGACATTCATTGCGTTGGCCTTTTCATTTGTGTTTTGAAGTGCTAGCTTCAGCAACTGAGCTCGGTTTGAGTTACTCTGCGATGGTCCAAGGCCGGACATCGAAGCAGCTGTCGAGATGGAACCCTTGGGTGCCTAGACTATGAGCATTCTTCATTTTTCAGCAAACATTGAGAAATTGGCATACCTTAGGCTTTCCATAGGTGCGATCCTTCTCGTCCTTGACGGAAAGGTGCTCAAAGCGAGCTTCCAACGTCTTAGTTGCCATTGCAATGTTTATGGAAGCTGTGAACACAACAGCAACAGAGAATCAAGAAGCAACAAAAGTCTTTAAGACAAGTTTAGGAAGAAAGACAGAGCATGGGTCGTAGGTGCCGAGTGTGTGCAAGTCGATTTGGTTGATAGTGGAGAGAAGAAGGAACGGGTGTTTTGGATTCCCGTAATCAATGCTATCTCCCCAGCAACAGCATCGGCCCGCCTCTTTCTCCGCTCCGCGGGGTTCAACCTTCATATCGTTGTTTGATAACGATTTCTTTCCCATGACGACATGTTTTGAGAAATAAAAGAACCATGGATTCCAGATCACTCACTGCTGTGCCCACAGGGCATGCGGCAGTCTATCCTACTAAACGCCCGCAGGAGATCGCCATTCATGGTTTCCGCATCTCCACGCAGAAGCTACCAATCTTAAAAGCAGACCCTATTGAGGAGATGACAAAAAAGCTCGGCATTGCCCCCCCGGAAATGATCTTTGGTGACAACTATGTGATGATTGAGCATGACAAAAGTGGCTGGGGTATCAATTTCAACTCTTTTGATGCCCTTGACCGAGTGGATAAGACTGGACAGTCAATGTTACAAGTGGCTTATTCGAAGGAATGGCAGAAGAGCAGGTAGAACAATTCCGTACTCCAATATACCACATCTATAGAGTTGTACATTGTTGCTAACATCCAATTATCAACAGGGAGAAAACGCATGAAGGCATAAAAGAAGTAGTGAAGCCATTCGACTGGTCCTACAGCACCGACTACAAAGGCACCTTGAGGCCCAATGCACCGCCGTTTGAAGAGACCTCCAAGACGATTCCCATCGAACTCCTTACACGCCCTGATCCTATACTGTTCTTTGATGAGGTTGTTCTCTACGAGGATGAATTGGCCGACAATGGGATCGCCATGTTATCATGTAAAATCCGTGTGATGCCCGAAAGGTTGCTCCTTTTGACAAGGTTCTTCATGAGACTGGACAATGTATTGATCCGCCTTCGGGATACTCGGGTCTATGTGGATTTTCAAACTCGTGAGGTAATCCGGGAATACCAATCGAAGGAGTGTGAATATGAGAAAGTGAGACAGGTATGGGTGAACCCCAATGGAAACACATTAGTACAAACTTCCTCGCTCACCGAATTGATAGATTCTAGCAAGTACTCGGGGTGATATCCCTGCATTGATGCGAGATGCCAATCGGTTATCTGAGATTCTGCCCGTGGTAGAGAAGCGCTCCGAACGAGTCGTCCTGGCGGAATAAGCTCTACCTGCTACCAACTGATACCAGCATTGATGAATATCAATTGAGCGGACCCCTAAAAAAGAAAGAAAGAAAGAAACACAAAATTCCTCACCTAGGGATTGCAGTGGCCATGCTAGGACACCGTATCCGACCCCAAACACAGATGCAGAGAATCGAGAATCAAGATCATGGTAAAAATGCAGCTCATGAATAAAACCACTACACAATCGCAATGAACGAATCGATCAGTTACAATGTACTCTGATATATGAGCATCGTGTAAATAATTTCAAGTACATGTACATGCACATATTGTGTCATATCAGCTTTCAAGTTGTACACATATTATCTAGTATGTAAGACCAAAGACTAAAGAAGTCACATTCAAGTCTTTTTCAGCATCAAATCATTTCAAATGTAAACATATACAGACTGCAGCTATTCACAGGTGAAGCGGGAGTGATGATTGGCCCACTCAACGCAAACCATGCAAACACCTACGATAATCCAAAAAAGATCGCCGACAAGTTTCAATAATTACATCTCGTCCATCAAAAGAAACTATGTCAACCACACGATTGACCTCGTCTGCTCGCGGACTCCGCAGATCGCAGGCCTTTTGCCTTTCGGTATATCATCCAATCAATCCGGCGCTACGACTGGAACACTAACCAAGTCTAGCGACCCTTGTGCCAGCGCGCCTCTCTCTCAACATCAGGACGTACAGGCCACCACGTTGCTTCTAGCACATCGCTTAAGACATTCAACGCAGGAGCCAAATCGCGCCTAGCCCTCCCCCTCCGACCCAACGGCCTCATCCGGAATGTGTCGACAGGGCCAGGAGCTGCAGCTGAAACCTACGTCGCGTATGGAATGACCCAGAAGCTTTTTGAGGCCTGCTCCAGCCAAGCGGATTACAAAGTTCCTCAAGCGTCTCAAAGGGGGGTCGAAGTCCCCACGACGGAATCGGGGGAGCATCTCGGTGTTAGTGATAGTTGGTGGTATCGAGGTGAGTAATGCTCAAGGAGAGGGTTCAACTGGCCAGCTGGATCTAGCCTGGTAGGATACACAAATACTGACTTTTATGTTTTAATAGAGCTTGGTCTTGTACCAACATTTTCCACCTGGTCGCAGATCACCTTCCTGCATATGTATCTTTTGACCGTTCGACTACGTGCCCTCCCCACTCGTGACAGTGTTCAAACCTACTCTCGCCACCTCATCGACCACTTCTCACACAATGCTGAAAACCGCATGGACGTCCTGCATGATCTGGGGAGCCGGTCTATTCGTAACAAATATTTGAAAGATCTCTTCATCCAATGGCGTGGGATTATTGCCGCATATGACGAGGGGCTGGCTAAGGGTGATGCGGTGCTGGGCGCTGCTGTCTGGAGGAACTTGTGGAAGGCCAACTCAGTGGATGCCGATGGGAATGACATTGACTGGACTAAGGTTGCCTGGGTGGTGGCCTATATGCGACGAGTTCTGTCGGAACTATCAAAGATGCAAGAGGCGGACATGGTTTTTGCGTTGAGTAAGGGAAGCACTCAGGAATCGGGTATTTTTGGGTATTCACCCGCGGACAAGAGAATGGCTGGAGGCAATTAAGCCCAGTCTGGACATAAAAGTGCCCTTGGGGGATATTAACCATCTGTACCTTTTTCAGATTCTCTTGGTTTACTACTTTGAAACTCCCACCTTCTAAAGGGTTAATAAGGATATGTATAGTATTCCATTATCTATTCAATCAAAATTTTCCTCCTTACTAGTTAAGAATTCCTTTCATCATCGTCTTCTTATAGACAAGGCTCGGATGATCTAATTTTCCTTCTTGCCAAACAAGTCTTTTTCAACCATACCACGGCAGATGGGGTGGTAGAAGTCCTTGTATTTTTCAAAGGTTGCAAGGGCAACTGGACGGTTAATCTTCTGGAGGTTGCGGTACCTGGGAATCTGTGTTAGCGCAATGACCCAAGCTGCCCTATGGTGGTTGGGAAACTTACAAAGGTCGCACAAACTTCATCCGTCCAATTCGACCAAGCAACTCAGTAGTGGGCTCGATGACACTCTCATCGCCGGCCTTCATACCGACCTGGAAATAGAGATTGGACACCTCAATGTTTGTACTCTTGGACAGCCCGTAGACCTCGCCCATTAACTTGGAGAGTTCTGGCCGGAGAGGTTCCTCCCAGCGAAGGATCTGTTCAAGGAATACAACAATCTGGTTGGCTGTCAGACCCTCAAGATCGCTCACCTGCGGCTTGAACGACGAGCTAGGGAGAGTCTCCCATTTTTTAGCCAGTGCATAGACAACATCCACGAGAGATGTATCAAACTGCGGCTTGGGGGGCAACCCAGGAGAATAGAACCACTTATCCCAGTCCAGTTCATTCAACAGCTGGGATGCCTCGGCATCTGACTGGAAGAAGCCCAGGATACATTCTTTGAACTCGTATGAGTCGAGAGACTTCCGTTGGAAGGTGGTGAAGTACTAGAAAAGATAATGTCAGAACAAATGAGTCTGGGATGTCTCTGAGCAGGAAAGACATACGTAAGGAATGAACCTGTCAAACTTCGGCTTGCCCACGAGGTTCTCGAGGTAGAATAAGAAATTGAAACCCTTCTCGTAGGGGATGCTCGAGAAAGCATCATCGGGGTCCTTGCCCTTCAAATCAGTGATCAACTTGGTGAAGTCATGATCATGACCGAAATGTTCCACGGAATCCGTAAGGGATTTCCAGCCAATAATAGCCGAGAAATGACGGTAGGCCTCGCCGTGGCTATAGAGATAATGTTAATATCACCCCCAGACTATGGCTTACTTGACCACATACATTGCTGCGAGAATCTACTTGCAAGTTTGGTCAGAATTGGTGTGGATCTCTGTCACGGGGGAGTACACATACCCGTCGCTCCAAATACACGGTCCAGCCCTCATTCAGCCAGAAGTGCTCCCACGAGGCGTTGGTCACCAGATTACCACTCCAGCTGTGAGCCAGCTCGTGTGCAATGACATCGATATTTTCACGATCCTTCGAGATAATACTGGGGGTCGCAAAGGTAAAGATCGGGTTCTCCATGCCGCCATAAGGGAAACTGGGAGGCAGAATCAATACGTTGTACTGGCCCCAAACATAGGGGGACACAATTTTCTGTATCAGGTCAATATCCCCAAGTTCATAAGTATAAAGAGGGATTCAAAATACCTCAATGGTTTTGATGAAGTTCTCCGTGTCATTTTCCAGTTCCCATGTGCACTCCTCCAGCTTATCCGGGCTGGTAGCTACCACACTTCTAGGACCAATTGAAGCCTGAGCCACATCTCTGTGGAGATTCAAACTTAGCAATGAGCAACCCCGGTCCCTCGGGAGAGTATTCTTACCCACTGGCGATCGCAAACAAATAACTGGGAATCGGGACCGACTGGTGGAATCGGTAGAGCTTGTGACCCGATTCTGCGGTCTCATCCGACTTAGTAAGGAGACCACTTGTCATAACCGGCAGGGGTGAGCTGATGTTAAAGTCCAAGGTGCTCTTGACATCCGGTGTATCCTGGCAAGGAAAAATCGAGCGGGCGTGGATGGCCTGACATTGCGAAACTGAAGTCCAGTTAAGAGGAAACCCCAAGAATTCCATGAGATCTCTGACCGATCACTTACACATGTATGGGTGTTTCTTGTTGGAGGTTTGGGCCGGAGTCAACCATTGAAGCGCGGTGCATTTCTGGGTGGTTTTCAACGCAATCTAGTTACCTGACAGTTAGTACGAATTGACATTGACAGACTAGCGTATGGACTTGGAATGAGGCTTGTAGTGGCAAGAAGGAGTAAAATTGACCTACATCCACCTCAATGGTTCCATTCAGCTTGACACCTTGCTCCAGACTAATCTTGAGTGGGGTGCCGAAGGGATCCTGCGTGGGGAGAAGCTCCCACTTGGAAGCTTGGCCATCGACCTTGACCGAACCAATATCCAAGTGACTGGTGTCTAGAATGATTTCCTTTGAGATTGCATCGGTAATTGAGGTGAACTTGTGGATGACATTTCCAGCAAGCTTTTTCTGGTCAAACAAGATGTCGAAATTGGCGGTGATGTGAGTGGAGCGCCAATGGTTGTAGTTGCTCAACGTATTCGGATCACGCGGATCGGACGCCATGGTCATTCCGCGCACAGAATAAGATCGAGAGAAGGGAGGGCGAGCGCGTGCGAGTGCAAAGAAACGTTTAAGCGGGGAGGGATTCATTAGGGGGGGGGGGGGGTTAGAAAAGAATTTTGGTTGGTTCCCGGTTCTAAGCGTAAAAAGCGGACAAATGAAAACACGTTAGATAATGATACTATGTTAATATGTGACAACTCATTAAGATCAATCGAATTTGAATGATCAAAAGGATATGTACCATGATTAAAGTTATGTGAGAATTGATATAAAGTTTCTCCCTTTAATGATGTATAGACTTTATTTGATATCGAGATACGTGTACCTGGGATAAGAATGGATTGGGGGAGGAAATCATAGTATATTGATCTATACTACTCTAGACTATACACTACATCTTTATTATCTCAAGTATATGTATAATGATATCTCTATACTATGTATCTAAAACCATACTATGTCTATACTATTCTCAAACCCCACATGATGTACATCCCCTTTCCCACCGCCCGCCAAACACGGACCACCCCTGAAGATTAATCCCGCCCCTGACTTGTTACTTACTCTAACAGGGAGATTGATGATAATGTACATACTATCTCTTCAATCTCCCCATTAGATCCTCCCAATCTCGTTCCTTCAAAGCAATGCGTTGATTCGGCATACAGAATACATCTCAGAAACACACAAACAATCCCCCCTCCTCCCTCTCCCCGACATTTCCTTATTATTTTCCTATCTTTTTGGCTACTTTTTCGTGAATTTCGAAGCATGCGTCCGGTAGTCAAATCCCTCTGACGGTTGGATTGTCTGGTTTCGTGCAAAAGTACGCCCGTTGACGAAATCTCGCCTCGATAATTGCTCTAGAATTGTCCCCCTTCTCTAAATGCCCAGTCTCGACCTCTGAATCACATAGTGCCTCATCCAATTGCGCCTCTCCTCCGTTGGAAAAATGCTACACCGCTCGGCCCTGGAAGATGAACCAAGATCGTTCCACCCTAGACGTCCCTCGGGGTCTCTTATCGATCCCCCATCGGCCGCTCCCCCCAATCGCCCGGCCTCTCGCTCCTCCCGTCCGGGATCTCGCAATCGAATGGGGAAGGCCTCGAGGGCCGTTACCCCGACAGGGCTTGGTGTGCTGACGGAGAATGCTCCAGGTCTGGTCGCAGATGGTTCGTGGGGCAGTAGCCCCATTAAAGAAGGCTTGGGGAGTGTGAACCGCTGGTCGCAGTCCACCGCATCGAGCAAGGGTTTACCGGATTATGCGGGGCATCGTCGAGGGAGCTCTAAGATGTCGATTTCGGGAAATAGTCCACAGCGAGGACCAGTGTTGGGGGAGCTGCCTGAGTTGAGCCTGCCGGACCTGACAGCCTCAGATATGTTTTCTCCCGACTCGAACTCTCACCTGGATCTTTCGATTACGGCCTCAAGTCACTTGCTGCGCAGCTCTTCGCCAAACGATCAATATGATCTCAGAGGCGGGCCGTCCTATCCTCAGGGCCACGTGGCTCGGCCCAGTGAGGGCGCCATCTCGTTGGACGGGGAAGGGGAGGCGGATGGCCGACAGCATGGTCAGACTCAAAAGGCAATGCTGTCCAAAGCGCTTCAGAAGGCGAATACGGCTGTGCTTTTGGACAATGCAGCCAACTTTGAGGGCGCAATGGAGGCCTATACAGATGCATGTCAACTGCTACAACTAGTGATGCTCCGTAGCAATGGCGGAGATGAAGAAAAACTTAAACTCCAAGAAATTGTATGTTTGCCTCCCCGATGATCGTGGAACAAAACCGGATCGAGGCTAACTGTTCCAGCGTGACACCTATATGATCCGAATCACAGAACTCCAGCGCATGGACTTACCTCTACCAGACAGCGATAGAAAGGCACTTCCAGATCGCCCTTTAAGCCAGGAATCATACAGCGAATTCTTCCAATCTTCAGTAATGGACGAGTCTCACATTGAGAGCCAATATAGCTCTAATCACTCCAGCCTTGGCCTTGACGCTTCAATAGATGAGGCCAAATCATTCCCTTCCGAGTCGCCCCCTCCTCGCCGCCAATCCTTGAGGCCAGCTGTGTTTGATGACCAACTACGGTCTGTAGCCATGCCGAAAAATCCACATTCCGGTCGATCTACTCCTGTGGGGTTAGGTGGCAGCACTGCTTATCAACAGCAATATCTGGAACTCCCCTTGCAGGAGACTGAATCAACTTCATGGCTGGACACAATTGATGAGTCTGGCGCATCCTCGCCGTCATCTGCGAACTCGAAGGCGTCCTCGGTCTACCTGCGGCGTCGAACGAGTCGACGCATAAGCACTGATACCGAAGCTGAGTTTGATGCCGCCCTCGATGCCGCCGTGGAGGCTGCCTACGATGAGGCTTTGGCGCCGGTCATGGAATACCGAGAGGAAGAAAATGATGACATCGTGTCAAATGCGCGCAGGAATATCGAGCTGGCTAAGCAACGGGTCCGCGAAGCAGAACGGGAGGCGGAGGTCGCAATGAACCGTGGCCGGGAAATACGTCGTTTTCAGGAACAAAACATACTCGAGAATCCGGTGGAACGACATTCGGACTACCTCGATGAGGAGGCGGAGGAGGAAGAGAGACTTTTAGAAGAGATGACCAAGGGCTACGTTATGGATGATTTTGAGTTTGGTATACAATCAAAGTCGGCGCTCCCTCGAGAATCTGACTCTAGCAACATGTCTGGAAGGACCTGGGAGAGCTCAGCCGCATCAAACATTACGGGCACCGGGACTACCTTATCCACCCTCACCGAGGACGACAACATCCTGCCCCCCGATCAGAGACCAGAGCAATCTCCTCTTCCGTCTTCTCCCCCGTCTGCCGCCTTGCCTCCAATCCCCTCTGAATTCCCTAGTTTACCGCAGCGGATATCTCTATCCCAGCCTCCTCCCCCCGCAATGGGACCACCTCCTGTTCCAGGAGTCCGGGCGCGGCGACTGTCAGGGCAAAACTCAGGTGAACTGAAGATCGAAACCAATACGCGCTCTCGTACCGACTCCAACACCTCGGATATCGAATCATTCGCAATTCCCCTGAAAAGTCGCGCACCGCCGCCTCTTCCCAAAGATGAACACGCTTCGGACCTCTTCAAAGCCCCCGTGTCAAGTTTTCGAGCCAACCTTTACCCCTCGAAGCGTAATCCTTCAATTGGGTCCATCACGGACCATGCCAATCTCGCAAAGGCCAGAACTCATGAAGATGATGAGGCTGCTGGGATTCCCCCTTTACCTGCCTCAGCCCGGCCCATAGGTAAGGTGCCTTCTGCCCCAGATGGCCTGGACAGGCTCGGTTCAAAGGCATTTCGATCTCGCAATGTATCTGTTCCCAATCCTGAAACGGCACCTGGGTCTCCCACAACTCCGTGGAGTGGTTCATTCCCAACACTTGACACTCAGAAGGCCATCATGAGTGGTAGCGTTCCTGTGATGCCAACACCCACTGTGACGCATTTTACACAAAACGGATTGCCCACCGGTGGCCTTAACCTCTTTGACTGCAACATTCATTCTCCCACTGCCTTGGGCCGTCCGAACTCCCTTGTAGCCAATGCGCCTCTTCCCCTCGAACCGTGTCCAGAATCCTTTCTGCTCCGCCCCTTCTGGCTTATGCGATGCCTGTATCAGACACTCGCCCACCCCCATGGCGGCTATTTGTCTGCAAAACTATTCATTCCTCGCGATGCCTGGCGTGTGAAGAATGTCAAGATCAAGGCCGTGGAAGATAAGGTGTCCAACTGTGATCTTCTGACGGCGGCGCTGCTGAAATTAGCCCAGGTGGACACGTACGATGCCGATGCCGTCTTGGAAGAAATGCAAGCGTTTGAGAGTGTCCTTGATCAGGTCCAGGTTACACTATCAAAGAAACTGGGTCACGATGTCGGGGTCCAGACTTCAATGCCGCTTTTCAGGCCAAATGCGACATCAGAGGATTCTACTCATCCCGACCCTCCTCCTGCCAGGACCTCAGGTACCTCGAACAAGTCGTACCTCCCAACTTGGAAACGACTTCGGGCAAAGACGTCCGGAATCGGCACAACTGCCTCCGCTCCCTCGAGCGTACGCGAAAGCAACAAAGATAATTTGACACTCAACTCTCTTCCCATGACGTCGGCACCAACCACTCATACAAAGCGCAACGTCACCCAGTTAGAGTTCTCGGGCCCAAATGCCCACTATATGGGAGCTTTAGCTCGTCTTTTCGATGCTGCCCAAGTAATAGGTGCGTGCAGATTCAGAACTCACTTTCACCCCCTCCCCGTTTTACCATTTTCATGCTGACGAAAATATAGATCAAATCGCCCAGCAAGTTGAGGATCCAGGACTCAAACTCTCATCGCCAACCCACGTTGGTCTAGAGCTCAGCACACGCCACGCAGCGGAGTTTTTTGGCTTCTATGTGTGCCGCTTTGCACTGGCTGATGTGGGCATGATGCTTGATAAGTTTATCAAGCGAGGCAGTGAATGGGTATTGATCTAAGAGCTTGTTTATTTGACACATTCCACCTTCTCTTCCCCCAGGGGCCTGTCATAGGCCATCCTGATTATTATCTACCAATATTCCTTTTGACGTTTATATTAACCCTCCGCCATGTCTTTTAAGATACCATGATTTGCCTCGTTAAGATATGATTTGAAGAACATAATTGCCATGAGATGGGACTTGTACCTATTTTCCTTTTTTTTTCCTTTTTACATTTTTGTCTCGCTTCCTATAAAGCATATCTCTTATTCTGATTGCTGCTAACTCGCGCCCTTCAATACACCTTCTCCGGTCTATGCGAGGAGTTTAGGTTTGGGTGAGAGCTACGATACCAAGTGATTTATTTTCTGTGATAGTGGCATTGGATGGAAAACATACATCATGAGGCAAATAAAGCCGACTTGCTTTCGAACTCAGCGTCGTATGATCGTATGAATCCCAAATTTTGCAAAGAAGGAAAGAAAAGAAAACATTGGAATGGATCTAAGCTCCATGCACTGCGAACACAAATCGGTAGTTCTTCGCTTCTCATATACCAACCCCGGGTGATCAGGCCAGATTTGCCGTCGTCTTTCAGCATCACAAATGATCTCTGCGGATAATGTCAGGCTTGGTGCCAGATGTGCGTATCTATCAATCTCGGCAATCCCCCTAGAGATGATAGTGTCGACGTGAGGCGAAGTTGGAAGCAGAGTTGACAGAGTGAACGACATGGTAGCACTTATGATCAGCGGAGTCTGTGATACCATTGACAAGGCGCCTTACCAACCCATGGCTCCGAAATCAGTGGCACCCTACAATATTAACCTTCCAAATGTTCGCTTTTCGCTACCATTTTTTAAAATATGTGGATATGTTCGATATACGTATATAGTCTACCGTAGCTAAAGTATATTCCTTATCGGAAGTCATTCAGGGGGTACGTGGAGCAATTCTCCAAGTGTGTAAGAAAACAATTTCTTATCTTATCTTATCCGCACGTGGACGCGTACTGGAAAACAAACGCGATTTTCCTCTAGATATTCTTCCCCAGATTATACCTTACTGCTTCGCTCTTCGCTCTTCCATTTATTGAAATGCCGCGCCCTGCTCCCAAGCGAAATCGATCATCCAAGGCTAAGCCTGCTGTTGCGCCTGAAAAAGTAGAAGATTCTCACCAGTCCCCAGAGCGCGAGCCCACGTTGGATCCTCGACATACCCTTCGCAGTCAAACCCCTCTAGGTACCAGCTATGACCAAGCCATTGAATCTTCACCAACCGGCGATCGGCTGGGTACCGAAAGTCGCCCTGGTACCGGCAGTCGGCCCCCGACCAGATCTCGAGGCTACTCCTCGACGCTATCATTTGCAGGCCGAAAGGGTGACATGAGTTCGCGTATCCCTGGTACTCCCGGGTTTGAAAGCTCGGTCTTGAGTAATTTCCGTCGACGACCCCGGCAACAGAGCATTTTGCAGATGATGCAAGCTGAAGATGGTTCGTCCGATCTCGATGATGAAGACTTTCTGGGAGGATTGAGCCCTCAGGATGAGTCTACACCGTTGAATCTGACGCGGGGCAAATCACTCGGTGACCAATCTCCATCGCCTTCGGAGTCACTACCCTCATCAGGCGGATCGCGCAAGCGCAAGCGTGAGGATATACAAGTGCTCCAATCGTCCATAGAAGAGGCCCCGGAGGTTGTCCAGGATTCTCCCAGCGTTACACCAGTTCCTCGTGAACGACCAACTCGTGCATCAGAAGAGACACCGCAACCTATACCGTTCCCAGAAGTTTTCAGTCAGACCATGGCATTACCCGCCAGTAGCAGTCCACCTCCACCGGAGAGCACTCAATGTTCCGTCGCAACAGCCCGCTCGCCAGCCGTCCCCCACCAGAGCTCTAAAAGCATAAAGCTTAGAGACTCGGCTCAGCTTGCCACGGCAACTTTAAGAGATAGGCTGCTGCCCCGTCGACGACAGCCTCGCCGCAAGCCTCGAGCTGTGGGCGACTCGGAACTCCCCAGTGACGGCGAGAGCGACGATGGGATGCACGCCGTAGCTTCGGGTGATGAGGATGAGTTGAGCTATCTGCCATCTAAGATAATTACAAGCGCCCCTTCGACTGAAACCCGGCCCCTTACCACCAATCTAGGTCAATCCAATCAAAAACCAAAAAAAACCAAGGCCAAACCGACTCCTGCACCTAAGCCATCCGAGCCACAGGAGCCAATCAGAGATATGGATAAGGAGAATGAACTGCTCCTCTCTTCGCCATCATCATCACCCTTGTCCTCTCCACCCGATTCAGACGCAAGCGATTCCGAAACCGAGACGGTGTCTGGCCATTATCTGAGTGCTGAGTTGCGAGCCGCCGCGAAGAAGTTTGCCGAGGTTGATCAGTGGGAAATGGAATTTGAAGAGATATCTGCGTCTGAAACTCAAGGTAGTCCAGGTCGATGATATCTGTGGGCTTTGATAGTACTATCCTATAATGTGTAATGAAGCCAGATCCATATTCAAGAACCGGATGTAGCCGCGCATGCAAAGATAAAGATTAGCTGGAGCCCCGCAATCAATGCAACAACAATATTTTGCCCCGCGCAAGCCTTTTCCCCTTGTTATTCTCTCTTGTCACTCTTCAGCCCCTTCAACTTGCACTTCATGGCTTCAGTTGACAAAATTCTTGCCACAAAATACCCGGCCAAAGCTCACGCTCGTCGTGTGGCCGAGCTCCTCCAGGCTCGACATGGCGAGGCCGGGGTTCTCTACCTGGAGGCGCAAAAAACTCGGTTCATCGAGGACAATGACGAGACCATGCCATTCAGGTACGCTCATCGCTCTCTGGTCGCGCTGTCAAACCCTCTCATCGAATATATAGGCAACGTCGCCCGTTCTTCTACTTGACGGGGTGTCTTCTACCCGATGCGTCCGTGGCCTACGACGTCAAAGCAGACCAGTTGACCTTGTTCATTCCTCCTATTGATGCGGACTCGGTTATCTGGTCCGGCTTGCCTATGTCACCGGAGGAGGCTGCAAAGCTTTACGATGTTGATCGTGTTCTCTATACCACTGATGTCAATGCTACTCTGGCCGCCATTGCGTCCAACCAGGGCGGTAAAGCGCCTATCTTCGCCATTTCGGAACAGGTGTCGGAGGATGTCAAGCTTCAGGGATTCTCTGCAGCAAATCTCTCTATCTTGAAGGATGTCATTGGGGACGCCCGGGTGGTGAAGGATGCATACGAGGTGGCCCTGCTGAGAAGGGCCAACGAGATTTCCGCCAAGGGCCATATTGCTGTCATCAAGGCGTCCCAGGCTGCGACCAACGAGCGCGAGCTGGAGGGCGTCTTCATCAGCACCTGTATTGCCAATGGATGTCGGGAACAGTCCTACCACCCCATCTTTGCCGGCGGCGAAGGTGGCGCGACTCTACACTATGTCAGCAATGATAAGTCCCTCATCGATCCAGTAACCCAGCAGCGGAAAAATAACATTCTTGTTGATGCGGGTGGTGAATACCAGACTTACTGTGCTGATATCACCCGCGTGATTCCCTTGAACGGCAAGTTCACCCCAGAGACCCGGCAGATCTATGAGATTGTCCTTCAAATGCAGGATGAGTGCATTGCTGTGTTGAAGGACGGGGTCAAATGGGATGATGTGCACGCGTTGGCGCATCGCATCGCAATCAAGGGCTTGCTGAAGCTTGGAATTCTGCGCGGCTCCGAAGATGAGCTGTTTGAGAAGCGGATCAGCGTGGCCTTCTTCCCGCACGGCTTAGGCCATTACCTGGGAATGGATACCCATGACACAGGTGGCAATCCCAACTACGAAGACGAGGACAAGATGTTCCGGTATTTGCGTGTGCGTGGCAACCTGCCAGCAGGGTCTGTCATCACCGTTGAGCCTGGTGTAAGATAATCATTGTGCGTGTGATTCCAGGAAATTGATCGCTGACCCCATCCTCCTAGATCTATTTCTGTCGATTCATCATCAATCCGATCTTGGAATCCTCCGAACTGGGTAAATATATTGATGCGAGTGTTTTGGAACGATACTGGGCCGTGGGAGGTGTGCGCATCGAGGATAATGTCCACATCACCAAGGACGGCTCCGATAATCTGACATCCGCACCAAAGGCTCTTGTCGATGTGGAGAGCCTGGCCCAATAAGCTTCAGCTCCAAGTAATGAACCAGGGCAATGATAACATTCATAAATATCAATCGTGTGTATCAACTTCTCGCTTTGGATTGAAGACTATGTTTGATTTCCTAAATACAGGATCCAGGAACTCCGGGAACTAAGATTAGGTAGTTTATAGAGTAGGAACATACAAACTTGCTTGATGAAGGTGAAGATGAAATGATAGGCCTGGCTAGATGTAGGGCCTACTGAATAATCATTTCAATGGCCAAAGCAAGGATGCAAAAAAGGCAGAGGGTATTGACTCGTTCCAATACTGTCAATGGGTAACTGTGACATTCTTGACCCATTTACTTGTCACCTCGAGGACGCTTCCTAGCACTACCACGAATGCTCGACTCGAGCTCGGTGTTTTTTTCATTGCGATCCATCACGATGGTCAGCACATCAAAGGCGAACTCCGGCACCTCGATACAGAACTTTTTAAACTGGTCCTCCAGATCATGACGCAGGATATGGCCACGGGAGGCCCAGTACGAAGCGACGGGTCTTCGGATTGTACTATCGTCGGGTTTGGTCTGCGTGTAGACATAGCGGGCATAGGCCAACTCGCCGCCTGGAGTTCCATTCACTTTGTGTATTTTTTTATGAGCGAGACTCTTCAGATGAGGCAAGCCCAGCTTCTCGGCCAGTGTGTAGATACGCGCATGATGGAGCAATTGCTCCCCTCCATCATCTGACCCATTTGTGAGGCCGGTCTCGTTTTGGGAGATGGTGTAGTCGCGAGTGTATTGAAATTCTAAGAAACAACCAAACGCCTCGACATTCTCGGTGGGAAGCACGATGCGTCGCTAGAAAGCATAATATATCATGAGTGGGACGATTTGCTACTTAGCTTTGGATCAACACTTACAGGGCCCGTGCTTTCAAAGTGATTGACAAGCTCATTGAGAAAAGGTGATTCGAGGAGGAGGGACTGGTGAGCCTTGAAGACAGTCTCATCATCTCCTTGGCCGACGACAATTTCAACGAATGGGGAGACCAGGAAGCTATTCAAGGTATGCTGGGGCAGCTGAGGTGAGTGAGACTGCTCCATAGCAAGGACCGTGACTGTGATGAAGCTCAATCCGCGGAAAGGAAATGAAAATGGAAAGGGGGAAATAGAGATGCATTTACTCGAAAAACTTTAGAGGAGTATTGGATTTCGTAAGGATGGCATTAGGCAAAGGGATATATCTTCATGAGCTGCTTTCTGGATACCCATGTCCAAATCGGTCGAATTGCCATTCAATGGAGTCACTTTAGAATTGACCAGCAATTCAGTCTGAGTATCAGGCTGTTCCAAGCTTGGAACTTGAACTTGTGGTGGATCCATGGTGTATGAGCTGGTGGTGATAGGAGAGGTGAATTCCATTTCAAGGGACGGAGAAAGGAAACAAATCATTTGCCAGAACTTACAAGTTACAAATTACTGGAAACTTACTATATTTCTTTTTTCCTCTTCTCTTTCACTTCTAACCTAAAATAACTTTACACATTTTCACCGGGAATATCAAAACGTCATATATTCAAATATACGGTTCGCCACAAGATCCGAACCACCCGAATCAAGAGGACCAAACATAGAGAGAGAGAGAGAGAGAGAGAGAGAGAGAAGATAGAGGATATTAGAGAGAAAGAATTTTTTTATCTACCTTCTATGTGACCCTTCACCATGATCCTCTCGGATCAGGAAGATCTACAAGAACAGTTGTCCACATCCAGCGACTTGGAGCTTGATGAACCTACTGAGCAAAGAGTTTCAGTGAAGCTTCAAGAGACTGATCAAGCAGGTCAATACTTGTTGACAGCAGAGGATACCAGATTACTCCAGGAGGTACTCCATCAAAAGTTACATGTCGAGAGTACCGGGCTAGAAAGACGTCGCTTTCGATTTCAAGACTTGGAGTTCACTCGTCAGCTTAGCACCTTCGACCGACAGAATTCAACCTTACATTCCTCAAGGTTCCACGGATTCTTCACCCTATTTTGGCTTGGGGTGGCTTTGCTGCTGGTCAAGATTGCCGCCAACAATTGGCGGATCTACGGCACCCTCTGGGGCAAGAACGAGATTATCAACCTGATGTTCCGCAGAGATGTCCTAGTTTTAGGTATATCGGACTTTATTCTATGTTGGTCGACCATCCTTTGCCTCAGTCTTCAACGGGCCATTCTGCAGGGATATCTACGGTGGAGTGGCCTAGGGTGGCTCATTCAAAATGTAAGCTATCAGCACCTTCAAAGGGGACGTCAAACTAGCAGTCCGACTGGCTGATGAAGAATTTCAGGTCTGGCAGACAGCATACCTGGCCATCGCCGTCTGGTGGACTTATCATCGTGATTGGCCATGGACACATACCGTTTTCATGGTTTTACATTGTCTGACAATGTTGATGAAGCAGCATAGTTATTCCTCTTTCAATGGATACTGTGGGTTACCCTGTCCACTTCCCTTCTTGGATCGTCAAGACCCTGACTCGATCCTCGTCAGTATCGGAGCTATACCGAAAGCGGGAATTATTGACAATCCGCCTACGTCGGCTGGACAAGCACAGCGATGATCAAACTTCTTCTGCTGCATCCACCTCCGCGGTAGGCACGGGCAGCGAGTTCAACATGGCTGGCCCTGAAAAAGCCAAACATCGGCACCCTGTTGACCATCACAGCTCCGTTGACCACCAAAGCTTTCGAAGATCTAGTGCTACAGATCATCTCCTGGCGCTATCGGGTCGGATCGAGAGCGGAACCCCATTGGCAAAGGACCAAATGGCATCTTTGAAGGCGTTGATTGAGCAGGAAATTGAGCTTTTGTCTGACGGTCTCCGGGGTCAGTTCTCTTCGATGAATCAATATCCCCGGAACTTAACCATTGGAAATTTCTGCGACTTCATCACCCTACCTACCCTGATCTATGAGCTTGAATATCCACGAACAGAGCGAATTGACTGGGTTTACGTGGCCGAGAAGACAGCCGCCACGTTTGGTATCATTGTAGTCATGATTGCGATCTCACAGAATTGGATATATCCGGTCGTCATGTCCACCTTACAAATGAAGGAGGAAGGATTCACGATGCAGCAGAGGCTTCGGGAGTTCCCATGGGTCCTAAGCGATTTGTTATTTCCTTTCATGATGGAGTACCTACTGGCATTCTATGTGATCTGGGAATGTGTGGTGAGGATTATAATATGATAGGCATGCTCGAGATTGCCAGCTGACTACCACACAGCTTAATGCGTTAGCTGAGATCACTCGATTTGCTGATCGTGGGTTCTATGCTGACTGGTGGAATTCGGTCTCATGGGATCAGTTTGCTCGCGATTGGAATCGTCCAGTACACAACTTTCTTTTGCGCCACGTTTATCACAGCTCGATCAGCACGTTTCACCTCTCGAGGGTGTCTGCCAGCTTGATGACATTTCTACTGTCAGCATGTGTACATGAATTGATTATGCTGTGTATTTTCCGACGCCTCCGAGGATATTTGTTGATTCTGCAAATGTCGCAACTTCCACTTGTCTCCTTGAGTCGAACACGCGTGATGCGAGGTCAAAGACTTGTGGGCAACATCTTCTTCTGGCTGGGGATTTTTACTGGGCCAAGTCTGTTGTGCAGTCTGTACCTGATCATCTAGGTAGGGGACGGGGAAACCCACCCCCGCTTTGGATTATCATTCTCCTATTTTTCCCGCATGATTATCTTCGTAACTTCATTGGAACCATAACCATCCTGTTGTCATTGCTCTCCTTGTTCCCATACTTCTTTCATCATGGCATCCAACCCCCTTGCTACTTGCTGTACCGTTGGTTTCAACCATGAAGGCCAGGCCAAGGGCGAATTCCAACAGATTGGCGGCGGTGTGTACAGGCGCATTAATCCCAACCAAGTGACTAACCCATTATCTAGTTGAGACTTACCTTTCCTACCCGAAAGACAAATCCACCAAGCGGGCTATTCTTCTATGCACTGACGTTATTGGTCACCGCTTCATTAACGCTCAGTTGATTGCGGACCAGCTGGCAGCCAATGGCTATTTTGTCGCCATGCCAGACCTGTTTCATGGTGATCCTGTACCGTTGAATCGCCCTGATGGATTCGAGCTTCAGGCCTGGCTAAAGGGCCCGCCTGGTCATCTCCCAAATCGCGTTGAGCCTGTAGTTCAGGCTGTGTTGAAGGAGATGAAGTCTAGTATGGGTTGTGAGCGCATCGGTGGGGTTGGATACTGTTTCGGAGTAAGGATGTCTGTCCAAAGAAAAGCAGTTCTTTTTTTGGGAATGCTAACCTGCTATGATTATTTTCTTAGGCCAAATACGTCATCCGTCTGCTCCAACCTGGTCTGCTCGATGTCAGCTATGTAGCGCATCCTAGCTTCGTCGATAGTGAAGAATTAGCTACCATCAAAGGTCCTTTATCTATTGCAGCAGCTGGTGAGCGATTTCCTCCCTATCTCCATTCTATTCAACTAGTACTCACCCATTTTAACAGAGACCGATGCAATATTCCCCGCAGCAAAACGTCGCGAATCCGAGGACATTTTGCTGAAGACGGGCCAGCCATATCAAGTCAACTTGTTTAGTGGCGTGGAACATGGATTTGCGGTCCGGGGAGACCTCTTTAACCCTATCATCAAATTTGCCCGGGAATCAGCCTTCCTACAGTCTGTGGCGTGGTTCAACCAGTACCTGTAAACTTCCAGCGGTAATTAGGCTACTAATAGTAGTACCTATGAACGCGAATTTAGATAAAATTATTTCTTTCGTATATACGTAAGAAATAAGTATGAAAAATATAAGTTGTAAATATATATAAGCGAGAATACGGTGTACTTAATATGATAGACTTAGACTGACAACATTACAGGCCTCGGGACTTGTTTCATGACTCCCCTGTGGGTCATTGATTTTAGTGTCCAAACCTCTCTCATTTAGACTGCACGACAATCAGGATTGACGCAGATGTAGTACATGTATTGAAATTTATAGAACAGACGAGGGAAAAAACATAGTATTCGCATGCCATGAAGGGAGCGTATTTTCAATAGTTACTGGTGCAAAGTCGGTGATAATCTTGAGGAATGAATATGCAATACTACCATAGAGGGTTATGCCCTTTACATCTTCTCGTGCGTGGCCATGAGAGAACCTAAGAGGAGCGGTTAGAAACGAGACAAGTTTGTAAACAAGAATGTTGAACATACCGATGAAGGTGGTGACCAGGCGAGAGCGAACTTGACAAATATCCTCCGGCACTAGCCAAATAGTGGCTCCCATCTTTCTGGCAATACTGATGCTCAATTTCGCGTTGGCATATGCCTCTTCGTCAGAACGACCAGCGGTGACCAGGTCATAGTCTACATAGCTGCTCTTCATGCCGTTCAGCACATCCAGAAGGAACAATCCGCTTCCGATAGACTTGTCCTTGAAACTGCGGATCGAGGAAGACTGGCCGCCGCTCTTGGACATGTCATTCGCCCATCGAATCATCTCCGAGTCAGTAATCTCACGCTTGCCAAGCCGTTGAGCCAGGGCAGACAAGGTGTTAGTGATATCCCGACGCATTAACTGCCATACCAAACCGAGTGTGAGGGTTCGCTGACCATCTGTAATATCAGCACCCTGCACACCCACCAACGAGAAGCCGTTTGATTTTCCAAGCTCAATGGAATAGTTCGTGTTCTCTACAGCCTTGAAACGCATCAACTCGCCACCCGACGCCGGGGGTTTGTTGACGTGTCGCCAATTGACACTTCCGGGAATAACCTTGTCGTATGCTTGCAGGAGGATGGTACCATCGCGTAGGTCATCAAAGAGCGAGTTCACCGATGGCTGGACATCCAATGAGTTCAGCCAGAGCGTGAAAACTCGGGCCTCCCGTTCTCCTTCGGCGTCAAAGTCTTCCACCTCAAGCTTCTCTTCTTCCGTGATGGGATCCAGTCCAGGGTGTGTGTTGAACAAATTGGCGACAAATGCAAGGTTCAGCTTCGGGTTTCCAGCCACAAGGGAGGTCGGAGTCAGGAACTTTCGGCAGTCAAGCTTCTCGGCGTTGGAAAGGACTTGCTCAGCTCGTTGAAGCAAGTCTCCAGTCTGAAGAGGGTTGCGAGAGCAGACGTCCGGGGCCAGTTGGTTCAAGAGAATCGTGTAATTCTCACCATCTTTGACATCGGTGGAGAAATTGGAAACTCTATATTGTAAAACATTAGTTTTGCTTAGATCATGAAGAAGACGGCTACAAGATGATCAATTCACCTTCGGTCCCATTTCGCGTTTTTGAGATGGTAGTTGAACCAACGAAGTAGGATCTGCTCTGGAGGCAAGCGCAGAAACTGCTCCAGAGTCTCATCCTCGTCCAGGAGTCGGTAAAGCTCGGGGTGGAGCTTGATGTCAATCTTGCCCAGCAAGCCACGACGAATGACCTGCCAGATCAGACCCAAAATCAAGTGCTCGCGAACCTCGATGATGTCTCCACTACCGATGTTCACGACCGAGCATCCGATACCTTTGGCAGAGTTGATGACAATATTGTTGTTCTCGGTCATGTGGAAGGCATTCAATTCCTTGATCCTCTTCCCTGGCTTGTTCAAAACACGCTCATCAATAGTGTCCGGCACACTATCGTTGATCAACTTAGCCAGCACCAGACCATCCTTGCACTTATCGAACATCTCAAAGGTGTCGGTGGGGAAGGGCAGAAGGTGGCCAACATCTTGGTCGCCAGCCAGGATTGCATTGATGTGCCGCGTGAACTCCGTCCGCTCGTCCTCGTTGATTGTATGTGTGACATTGGCGGATGAACCTTGAACATGAATTTTACCACCGACACTTCCCTTGGAAACATGACGGGATCCGCCAGCGCCCGCGCCGGCTCCAGCCCCAGCTCCTTGAATCACAGCCGCAGGGCTGGATCCGCCTTGAGCGCCGGGGGCCGGCCCCGAACGGAGTCTCGCTACTAACTGAGCCAGAGTTAGCTCCAACCATTTGATTGCAAGGCAATGCGATGAGGAGAGACGGAATGGCCACATACGTCGATGTAGTCTTCGAGCTCCACGCGTCGGGAACTATCGAGCTCTACACCCTTTAAGGTCTGGCGCACCACATCATACGGCTGTCGCTCTGACTGCTGGGTGGCCTTGATCACTGAAGCTTCATCCAAATAACCGCGATCGTCGATATCCAGCTTGTGGAATGCGTCCTGGAGAGAGAAAATCTCCCCCTGGTCCAGCTGCGGAAATCGCCTGACAAAAATGAGTCATGTCAGCAAGTTATCTATTACACCTATCGTTTTGCGGGTGATACAGACTTCTGGAGCTTGAGGACGTTCATCTTAACAAGACCAACGTTGGCGCGGGGGCGGGTCAGGACAGCTATATGAGCTTTAGATCTTGGAGAAAAAAGGGTAACAGGGACCAGACGTTGGTCACCACAGGGGAATTGGACCTCTTCCACGCAATCAAATAATAATCGATCCTGTAAAGGTCGAGAGGAAAGGAGGGGAAGAAGACGGAAGAGACGGGGGGGAAGAGAGAGAGACAGACAGAGTGGGGTCGGATGAGCCACCTTCGCATGGCGTATGTCGAACCAGTATTGATACCGTATTGTTAACATACTGTACTAAAAAGCTACGCAGATATCTCAAGGTAATACCTGTATATTTTAAGTATCGTTTAAGTAACTTATTCAGCCTCCTTACAACTTTTAATGTCTCTGCCTGCGCCTATTCCTTATGACGTCGAAGCGGGAAAGTTAGGTAACAAAGTAATGTAATTCTGAGACCCTGATGGGCTTATGCCTATTCTCTACTGTACTAAAGTAGGAATGGTCTAAGTTTTCCGTTCTGTGATATTCCACGCACTGATCTCCTTGGATTCAACTTACCTAGAGCTATGCTGAACCTCGGAATTGATCAATTTATATTTGCACCGATTTATAATCCATATGTGAGCCCCACGGTTTGAAACATCTTCTGCTTAGTTAACTAAATTATTGGACGATCGGAGAGAAGATTACATCATGCAATGCAGAAATCTAGACATGACACCCCAAAACAACATCCCCTTATACCAATCTATGTTTATAACCGTCCCATTGCTTCCCCTCTTCTGAACTGGTCTTCATAAGAACCACAATTGGATTCATCACCGGATTCTTTTAAATCTCGATACAATATACGCTTCGGCTCAATAACTCGCGTTGGTCCGTTTCAAGGCCTTGTACCGGGCGCGGCCGGTCATGGCGGGTATCGACCAGAAATCATTCCTGGGATCTTTTTCTCCATGGAGTACACCGAAGACATCCCAACCTCATTTAAATCGACCGGGAGTAGATGCACTACAGCGCTCACAGGGCGAGGACCATACTGTAACCCATCGACATCGGCCGAGCCTGCGACATTACCCTCCAGATTGCCCGCCGCTTAAAGTGAGATGGTTCTATGCTGTGGATTCGCCAAAGCGCAAGCCTGGCCTTCTTGAACCGAAAAAGGCCGACCAGAAACCGCCTCCTCCTCCCAAAAAGTTCACACCGTTCTCATCAAAAGACTCACAGTCTATCGAAACAACGTACCTCCAACTATCAGAAATCGAAGACTCCAAGACAGCCTCCCAAGCCCAGTCCAAGCCCTCGACTCCAGTCTCGAAGAAAGTACCAGTGAATGAGGATTATCTCTTTGATGTGGATGTGGAAGCACGAGAGCTAGGCCCAGCTTACTGGATCGGTCCCATCTATGAAGTTCGTCGTGGAACGTGGTTCTTTCAAGATGGCTCGAACTTGAAACCTTGTGAAGAGAATCTTGCAACCCAATTGGAAGAAGGTTATCTGAAATTACAACCGTGGCGGACAGATGCGGAGTCTAAAACATCTGGGCTTGCCACCAAAGATGCACAGGCTGGATCGGAGGGGGAAACGAACTCCCAGAATTTCCAGCCTGACCTCGGAATCCCAAGCGTCCAAGGCTCAGCTAAGTCGACCCCTCAGACTATAGCAAACGAATCCTCCCCCGGATCTACCTCGGATCCCCAGCAGTACCGCCTCTTTGGAGCCTACATGAATAGGATTGTGGTTTACCAAGATGCTTCTACGGCCTGGATCAACACTGACGACTTCATGTCACGTGTCAGCACGACCGTATACCAAAAGCTAGGTGGTGTCCCTGGCACAAAGGTCGTGCGTGGTCTGGGGGAACCCAGACGGGCAAAAGAGACTGAGTCTCGGGCCCAAGAACGCAACCCCACCGAAAAGACGGTCAGTGGGAGTAGTTCTGAACCCCCCGGAATGGAAAATTTCCTTACTGGACAGGATTCAGTGGAGACGCCAACTGCGAAATCTGTGTTCGAGACTGATCCCTTGGAGAAGCGGTCAAGGTCTACACTGGAACGGCAGATGTCATCTCTTGCAGGAGAGCCGCAAAACCCAGCGGAACTCGAGGAACAAGCCCGTCGACAGGAAGAGCAGGAGATGGAAGACCTGAGAGAAGTCAACAGTGAAGATAGAGAACGCGCGGTTGATCATTTGGTATTGGTAACCCATGGCATTGGCCAGCGACTTGGATTGCGGCTGGAAAGTATTAACTTCATTCATGATGTGAATGTACTTCGGAAGACGCTTAAGGGGGTTTACAAAGTCTCGCCTGACCTCCAAGCACTCAACTCAGCGTTCGGAGACAGCGATAGCAACTGCCGCGTTCAAGTGCTTCCCGTGTAAGTGAGAGCACTGCTATCCCTAAATGGGCCCTCTCTTGGTTTTCTATCAATTGGTGGGCCACGTTCTTCATACTGATTGCTGTCTAGGTGCTGGCGTCATCTCCTGGATTTTCCCTATCGCGGGGTCCGACAGAACCGGAAGGAACTTGATCTTACCGATGCTGACACGTTTGAGGATGATGCATACCCTAGCTTGGCAGATATCACATTGGAAAGTGTGCCCGCCGTGCGAAATCTTATTTCAGACCTGGCAATGGATGTACTGCTTTATCAAAGTGGATACTGCGAACACATTTCCAATATTGTGAAACAAGAATGCAATCGAATTCTTCAGCTCTATCAGAAGCGTAATCCCTCTTTCAAGGGATCGGTCAGTCTTTGTGGCCATTCCCTCGGAAGCGCAATCCTTTTCGACATATTATGCCACCAACCAAGTGACGTCCACGGCACCCAAGAGAACAATGCTGGGACAGAGGAGAGCGATGATGCTCCAGATCAACGAGGTGGAGGATCTAGCGCCTTGGATTTTGAATGCCAAGAGTTCTTTTGCCTTGGGTCTCCCATTGCGCTCTTTCAAATGCTGAAGGGGAAAACCATTGCAGGACACTCCCTCTTGGGTGCGAGAAGTCGCACAGGCGCATTGGACGTGGAGTTTGGACCCAACGCTTTTGGGTCATTCAAGTGCTCCAAACGTGACTCACACGGTGATGATGGGATTTATAATCCTGCAATTGATTCTGCACCCAAATGTCGTGATCTTTACAATATCTTTCATCCATCAGACCCTGTGAGTTATCGTATTGAGCCGCTAGTCTCCCCAGCGATGGCAAGTCTTAAGCCTCAACCCTTACCGTCGGTGAAGAAAAGTTTGTGGGCAGCATCAGGCCAAAGCCTTTCAATACTCAAAGATCGTATGGGGCAAAGTGTGGGTTCCCTCTGGAGCAATTTCACATCTGGCGTCGCCAGCAGCTTGCTGAACCGCCATCTGGGTTTGAATGCCGACGAAGCCCCTGCCACCGGAAAGCCACATGGAAACGTGCCAGGGCACACCCACACACAGTCCGGAATCTCACATGGTTCCTCACACGGTTCCGAAGATCAATTCCAGACCTTGATTGACCCCGACCTTGAAACTCTTTACGATGGGTTCCAAAAGAGTCGCAAAAAAGACTCGACACTTGCATCTGGCGAGATTGACATCGATATAAATTCTGATGAACAGGCGCGAAAGATGAAATTTGAAGATGCCAAAGTGCGATCGCTGAACTCCAATGGTCGCATTGATTATAGTGTGCAAGAGTAAGTCATTCTTATCCCTTTCCCCGTTATTGATTGACGATCCGATTTTGGTTCACTTTTTGACCAAATTTGTAGAGGGGCATTCGACATTTCCTTAATTGCAAGTATTGCCAGCCATCTTACCTATTGGGGGGATGAGGACGTCAATCACTTCATCTTATCCCAGATGTTGTCGAGAGAATCCCGCCATCGGAAAAAGCGCATGTAGATCCCCACTCGGTTACTACTTTATCCGGACCCGAACGCGAAATTTCCTTTCCTCTTTAAATTTCGCATTTTTCCTTCTTTCCTCTCTCTCTCTTTCTCTCTGTCTATACCACTGGACTTTTTCTATACAAATATGAGCACTGAACTCCAGCAGGTCCAGAAAGTGTGGGATCGTACTCGCCCTAACAGCCCCATCTATGAATTCCTTCTAAATGCGATTGAAATCTATGAGGCTGAGAAGGGAGTCGTTCGAGCTCGAATTCAAGTCACCCCTCACCATCTCAATTCCAAGGGCTCATTACATGGTGCCTTCTCGGCATGTGTGACTGACTGGGCAGGTGGAATGGCTATCGCTTCCCACGGATTGGACTCTACAGGAGTCAGCACAGATATCCATGTCAATTACCTCTCAACGGCGACTGACGGTGATTGGCTTGAAATCGAAAGCCGTGCCAACAAGGTGGGCAAATCACTTGCTTTTACAACTGTCACGATCTCGAAAAAGACCGAGGAAGGCCTCACCATTGTGGCTCAGGGCTCGCACACCAAGTATGTGCGAACACGATCAGCATGATGTTATTACCAGGATAGGACAACAAGGATACATATATAGAACGTCCCGCAATCTCTTTACGTCTGGCATGAATCACATGCACTTTGAATGCCCAGATTCACTCGGATAGCGGAGATCAACTTCCATTCTATTTTGCTTTAGATGCTTGACATGTCTCAATGACTGTGAGGCAATGATGAATGGATACATCTCTAAAATTCTTACTATTTCTTTTGTTATTCATTATCTTTACTTTCACCTACTCCGTAAATGTACCGAGTCCAATCTATAAATATCCCAATGCATTTAGTCAAGTCTCGAGTGTTATGGGGAAAACGCCCAATTGCAGCCAAGCATCTCCGCACTGACCACCGTTCCTCCATAAGGCAATCTCCTGGAATCATCCACAACGCGTTTTCTTTACTCCCTTTCTTCGCTCTTTCTCATTTGAGACTACCCGAAGGGTGGGAAATGGAGGTTTGAACCGCTCTGGTACTCGCTTGGTCCATCAAATCTAATACATCTTAGAATCACCATGGTCTCCTACAGCGATGATATGACCGCATTCAAAACCACCGCGCCAGAGCTGACGGCTTCTCCTGAAAACACGATACAAGACACTGCTCCGCCAGAAAGTTCTGTTCATTCTGGCCTACTGAAGGAATGTCTCGATTTCACCCTTGACTTTCTGTCGACCTCTGGCAACGAAGGACTACTCGGCGTATTTGGGCTTCTTGTTATCGGAACCTACATAATATTGGGACGACTTGGCCTACTAATAATCGGCGCTGCACTAGGGGCCATTCTACATGCTTCATGGGAGGGATCGATTCATTCCAACCACAATGATGTCTTATCCACCTCGAAGAGGCGGCGTGAACTGGCCCTGGAGGTTTCCAAAAGATTGCTAGATTGGGCCCCCCGCATGGTTTCTGCTGCCAGTGAGGAAGGCGTTGATGGAAATCTTGTCGCACTGCCAGAAGATCTGACCATCTCGGATCTTGAATACAAAACTTTCCGGCCAGCAACTGCTGCCGCGTTGAGAGTGCTCACTGATGCGGTCTTGAAGGACTACGTGAAGTAAGACACAGAAACCTTTTGATGCCTGGTCAATTTGGCTGACTCGAGATCAAGATACTGGTATGAGCCGATCCTTCCAGGAGAAGCAGTGTTTCCTGAATCCTGTCGACGAACATTGACCCATTTTTTGATGGCCGTCTCATCCCACCTGTCCCGTAAACGGACAGAGGATACATTCTTACAATTTCTCACGAACTCTTCCTCGATAATAATTGTTTTTCTCAACGAACTTGCCGCTGCGTTTGCCGCTGCTGGGTCATCGTCAATGGAAGCCCAAAAGATTGTAGAACAATACCTGGAGAATGCCCCAGACAGCAGCCTGGCCAACGTGCTGTCCAAGGAACAACAACGGAAAAAGCTCAACATGATAGCAGATGACATTCTGTCTAATTACCTCGACCCTAAAGCATATCGTTGCTGTCCAGTCAGGGATTTTCTTCGGGAGATTTTCGCGAGGGTCGTGCTGGAGTCAACGGTTGCCAGTCTTTCTCGCCCCGAGTTTATAAATGAATGGATCATCTACCTGCTTCAGGATGGTGAATCCGAGATCATGCATGCAATCGATGCTGGCGTCGAAGGTGCACGGAACCAGGGCGTTAGATCCTCGACAGTTTCAGAAAATCCGAAAAGTGTACTATCCGAACCACCTCTATCTCGGGCCACTGAAGGCCCATCTGATCAGGTAGATATGGCAACAGAGGAAGCTATGCGAGAGGCAAAACGTCTGAGCGCCATGATTGCTTCGCAAGATATTGGCACCGCTCCGCAACCCATGATTCAAGGCGACTTTGGCAAAGATATTTCACCTTCCAGTGTGGAGGATGCTTTAAGCTCGTTGACGCAGCCTACAACCGAGACCACAGGGGCCAGTGGCCAGATAGAACCAATGCCCACGGCTGTGCAGACATCATTAATGACTCCGCACCGAGAAGAAGCCCAAGCCCCACCCGTGAGCCTCCATGGAGCTCAGGTAATGGTAGACGACGATGCAGCAGGAAGAGAGAAGGGTGTCATTAAATCGAAGCCAACATGGGACTACTTACTCCAGGTTGAACCAACTTCTACTCGCTCCACTGGATGGATGGTGTTTCGAAAATACAATGACTTCCAGTCTTTGCACGAAATGCTGGAGACAGTGGCTCGATTGAACCGAATCCAGGGTTTCTCGGACAAATTCCCCACTTTACCTTCTTGGAAGGGTAGGACTAGACACGACCTGTCTCGGGACCTCGAGCGATATTTGCAGGAGGCCGTGAAGCATGAGTCTTTTGCGGAAACCGACCGAATGCGACGATTTCTGGAAAAGGAGAGTGGCTCCAACGAAATAGGCACGGCCAAAACTGGATATTCCTTCCCCAGCCAGACTACGTTTGAGAATATGGGTAAGGGTGTTTTGGGGGCGTTGACCAATGCTCCGAAAGGAGTGGCAGGGGGTGGTAAAGCGGTTTTCGATGGTATGACAGGGGTCTTTGGGGTGACCAGTCATAGCAGAAAGCGAACCAACTCTTCCAACCAACAAACTCAGCCCCCTAAAGGTGCCCCAGACCCCGACCATGCAGCTACGATGGCCTCGTCAACCCCTTGCTCGGAATATGATGGACAGGATACTCCTCCATTGTCTTCCAGTGAGAGCAGTGATAGCGTTAACCCGACCGTTAGTGAACAGGACGCGTGGACCTCGGAGTCGCTGCTCCGGGCCCCGGGGGACCGAAAATCATCAGAGTCGAACAGGCGCGTTGAGGAAGTGCAAAACAAAGCGGCCCCTGGGCCGTTATCGTCGTCATTTCCCAATGACTTGATAGGGAGTAGTGATTCAGACCTTGTTTCGCAAAGCATGCGTCCACAGAAAACCCCTATTACTGCGGACGAGACTCAGATTGCAGTAGAATTGATCTTTGCGGTGATCAACGAGCTATATACGTTGTCCTCAGCTTGGAACATCAGGCGCACCTTGTTGAATGCGGCCAAGTCATATATCCTGCGCCCAGGTAGCCCAACCCTTGAAACGATACGTGCATTGCTGCAGAATTCCATGATTGAAAGCCACACGTCAGATGATGCGCTTGGCGAGTACGTGAAGAAGCTCCGTGAGAATGCCCTTCCGACTGAAGATGAGTTCAAGGCATGGCCCCCACCACCTACCGAGGAGGAGAAAGAGCAGTTACGGGATAAGGCACGTCGACTCTTTGTTCAGCGAGGAATTCCGCAGGCGCTCACTAGTGTCATGGGTGCAGCCGCTAGTCGGGAAGCCCTGGAAAAGATCTTTGATAGCCTTCAGGTTGAAAGTGTGGCACAGGGATTTGTTTTCTCGGTCCTTTTGCAAGGCCTACGGGTCCTAACGCTATGATTTTAGGTATATATATATATCCATATATACGATGCCAATGAAGATAGGGTGACGTTTCTGAAGTCGGCATGCTGGATATGACATTGGGTGGTTTACAATGAGACGAAGTTTTTCGGCATTGACCGTACCTCTATTTCTAGATACAGATTTCGAGATATATTACGAATTTGATATATACGTGTTTACCTGCCTACTCACAGAATCACCTACCACCCGAGAAGTTTGTATCCAGCTGTTCAAATGGAACTACCACTGGGCCTGAGGAGCTTGTACTTTATACTCTATGTAGTATATGAAAATGGAAGGCTATTTGATGTATATATACCTTAAATACCTTTTCTGTTGTGTAGAAGAGTTATAAGTATAGCTCGTACTGTACTATCATTGCAACTTACCGGATTGGGAAAGGTATCTTATCACCATGTGACCTAACGCGTATTGACGCGCTTCTCACTCTCGCCCCCTCTCATTCTCATCCACTCCCACATCATAATGACTTCTCGCAAGCGCTCATCAGATTTGCAGGATCTGGGTGAAACTCAGCTCCAGTCCAAAAAAGCCAAAGTTGGCCCAGGAGATGCAGGCACCTCGAAAGTTGATGCGAATGGAGACAAGTACTGGGAACTCTCCAAAATGCGGCGAGTGACCGTATCCTCATTCCGCGGCAAGGCAATGGTCAGTATTCGTGAGTACTACGAAAAAGATGGCCAGGAGCTTCCCGGCAAGAAGGTTAGTGGTTTTCTCGTGCGGAGAGCATTGACTTAGTTGGGGACTAATATGAATCCACACAGGGTATTTCCATGACCGTTGACCAATTCGCTGCGCTGGTCAATATTCTTCCTGGTATTGAGGAGTCCCTCAAGGAACAGGGTGTGTCACTGCCCAGACCTATGTACTTGGGAGACGGAGCTCAATCCGACGTGGATCAAGACAAGATAAACAAGAGCTCCAGTTCCTCCAAGCAAAATATCGAGGCTACCAGTGAGGAGGAAAGTGAGGCATAATTCCCCTTTGATCGAACGGAACACATCTCTGTCTGAATTTCAAGGCGCGGCCAATAACAAGTACTCGATTATCATAATTGATTTTGCATTAGTAACAACGGTTGGTCGTACCCATTCGAATGCTCTGGATCAGAGAGGTGCCGATTGATCTACCTCGTGGGGTAACCCGGCCGAACTGGCCGGGTTCTCCTACACAATCAATGGAGGTACTACCTCTGGTCAAGATGGGAAGTAAAGAAAAGAAATAAGGAAAGATGAAAAGATTATACATAAATTGATAGATATAATGCTTTTATTCCATAGTGACAATTCTAATGAGTTGCCGTGATAAGCTGAAGAGTAATATGCTGTTTCCCGCATTTGTACGTCATGCGGGGGACCTAATGTGCCACTAAAGCTGCATAACTATACAGTTATACAATTACAACTGGGAAGTAGCTTCAAATGAAAGGCAAAGCGATCAAGAATAACACCCTGCCTTACAATTACAATTCAAGCTCGAGTGAGAACCCTGCTTTTGGATAGGAGATCGTTCTGAGGACAAATAGATGGTTGCGAGACGTGACCGGAGCCGGTCTTTGATTGCTTACAGGATTCAATACATACTATAACTTTTACAAAGGGCGATTCCACGGAAAGACGATATTAAAAGACTCCGACCGATCGAATAGGGCGGGGAGGGTGGAAGATGGACAACGGTTGTGAAATTAAATCTGCGAATAAAACGGAGGTAGGCGGACGGTATTCATCGAGGTGAACGCCAGGACGATAGGGAGAATGGTGGGAGAGTGAAAGAGTGAGAGATGAGAGAGGGAGATATAGACGGGCGAAGACTTAAAGCACGATCGCTCGTCGTTCGTTTCGATGGATTCCGAGCTGCTGACCAGGATAAATACCAAAAAAACCCACAAAAGAAAATCAAACACGGAGGGTAAGTCAGGGTCATCACGGAAGCCCTAACCCCCCAAGAAAAGAAACCTCGCGATCAAACTTGGACGAAATGAGAGAACGAGGTGAGAAAAGTCTCAATAAGTTTGACAGGATAGGACCGAGGAGCCTTCAAGGGCCATAGAGAACTCTTCTGGGTGAGACTCATCATTTTGATCCGGTTTATGAGCGCTCATGTAGAGATACGAGACGGTCGGCAAGGATTTCCGGTATAGGAGGGAGTGCGGCTCGACAAAACATGGCACTGAGGAGAACTACTCAGCAGTATCAAGCTCATCATGAGCAGTAGGCACAGGGTCCAGGGGTACTGTTGATTATAAGTAGAAGTTCTAAAGTCGAAGAGGGTTCTACATACCTTTCCTGTCTTCACCATTCGGAACGATTTCACGCTCGTCGTCACGACGCTCTCGATCATCATCGCGTCGCTCCCGGTCATCCTTGGCATCGCGGTCTCGGTCATCAGGGCTACGAGAGCGGTCACGAGAGCGCTCCCGGTCACGATCACGACGATCACCATCCCTGTCTCGACGGTCAACGTCCCGGTCTCGACGATCGGTATCACGGTCATGACGATCATAGTCCCGTTCATACCGGTCATCCCGTCGGGGAGAGTAGTCGCCACCACGGCTACGGCGAGGCGAGGGAGAGCGGCCACGGCGTGGGGGAGTACGGTCACGGCGACGTTCGCGGGCAGGATCGCGAGCAGGGTCTCGGGCAGAGTCTCGTGCAGGGTCGCGGCCAGAATCGAATCGCCACGACGCGGAGGGCGGAGTGCGCGCCCACTGATGAAATGTAAGCTATGAGCCCCACGTTATGAAGTGAATTGAGCCTACCTCGATCTTCAGCAGATCGTCACGGCCAATGCGCTTGTTGTGCATTTCGTGGTAAGCATCGTCTGCGTCCCGGCGGCTCTCATATTCAACAAAGGCAAACCTTAGGACTTGTGTTAGGAACCAGGATGTAACGGTAGCAAGGGATAGAGCTTACAATCGGCTCGAGGGAGTCCGAGGGGCCGGGATATCACAGCGAACTAATCGACCATATCTAATGAAAGTATTAGCACATAACTTGCGAGAATATCAAGATGAGAATGCAGCCGTGACACATGATCAATGAACCAAGAGCATCTCTTTTTTCCTTCTCTTTTCCATTTGCAGCGTTCCCAAGCGACTTTATAGTAACGACATAGCCAATTACCCGCAAGTCACAGCACTACCGTTTCACGTTTTACAGGGAGGTCATCGTAGCGTCGGAAAGAGTGTTGAAGTGGGTATAAGGGAAGAAAGGGATATCGAAAATCGAGGGTTCAGGGCGGCGGATGTAGGCGTCACGTACCGTTCGAATTCGTAGGCTAGATCGCGTGCTCGGGTACCATGGCCAAAGCCAGTGACATAGAGAGTGGTTCCTGATCGAGACATGGTGCAAAGAGCAACACGGTGGGAAATTTGTAAGTGAGAAAGGGAAGGGGAAAAGAATGAGAGATCCTTTGAGAGGTTGGTGGTGGACAGGCGCACTATAGAGACCAAGTATGCAGGAATGATGAAACAAGTTCGTTACTGAAGTGAAATGACGACTACAACCTCGGAAGTAGTTAATAGATGAAATAAATCATTGAAAGTTCAAAATAATCTTCATATCATGTATAAGTATAGATCATAAGATATAGGTATATGTACTATAATTCTTTGTATCAATATGTTATCCAATTCAATTACTTTGTGGTACAATCCATCGGGAGGTACCGTAGATTATCGGCAAGTCGGAATGATGGTATTTCATCTTCTCCAATCTTCTCTGAAGCTTAGTTCGCGTGCCTCCTCCGACAAATTCCTCTGCCCCTCCCCCGGAAAACCTCGTATGAGACTTACAACTTTTCTTTATCAAAGAACATCATCTACCACCCATCACAAATTGACACCTGGTGCCATTACTTTCTCGGGGCCAGCATTTCAGCTCTCGCAACCCCTTTGTCTTCCGAGGACACAACTCTGACCGCGGTCTTTTGACAATTTTGACTTGTCCGGGCTTTGAGAATACTTCAAACAAGCCAAGGAAACCCTTTCTTTTATTTATCGTTTCTCTTTTCCCTTCTTTTTACTTCCCTCTACAATATTATGTTTAACGAAGCATGAACCTGTAGAGCCTTTTCCAGCAACAACCAATTACAGACAAGCTCCATGGCCAGCGCTCAGCACATTGGATCCAGATCAGTCATTTCCTTGTTTGCGGTAGGGTATTGAATTCATACCCGACGACCATTCCTCCAAAGGCCTTTCACACCCTCTTCTTGGGAAAAGAACTGAGTCAAAAGAAGTTGAAGGATATCCCCGTTGGTGGCGTGTCTTTCATTTGCACTTTACAAACTTCAGTCCTCAAGGCGCATGCTATCAACATGAGTCTCAATCCTCAAAATGGAACTCAAACCAGTGGGGTGACTGATGCGACAAACCCTTCACTGCAGGGCTTACATTTACCCCAAAGTCCGGTCAAAGTTGGTTGAAGTTCAGGTCCCGATGTCAACGCCCAGTAGGCTGATGATACGTCTTCACCTAGAAATCTATCCCCCAACCATCATCAATGATGAGTCAAACAAGAAGCAAGCTTGCCGAGCCAGTTGTCGCCGCATTCATGGCCGGCGGAGTGGCTGGTGCGGTCTCCCGGACCATTGTATCACCACTGGAACGCTTAAAAATCTTGCTGCAAGTCCAAAGTGTGGGACGTGAGGAATACAAACTCTCCATATGGAAGGGTCTGGTGAAAATGGGCCGAGAGGAAGGCTGGCGAGGATTTATGCGTGGCAATGGGACTAACTGTATCCGTATTATCCCTTACTCTGCAGTCCAATTCGGAAGCTATAATTTCTACAAGAAAGTAAGTTCCACACCCACAAGCCTTGGAGAAATGGAGTTGGCAATTGAAATGGAAAATTGACCATTTGCAGTTTGCCGAGTCCCCGGATGGTGAAATGTCACCGGTTCGCCGCCTTGTATGTGGTGCTGCTGCAGGGATCACGTCTGTGACTTTTACCTACCCTTTAGACATCGTTCGCACGCGGCTTTCCATCCAGTCCGCTTCGTTTGCAGACCTCGGGAACCGAGACCCAACTCAGAAACTACCTGGCATGCTTACTACGATGGTGTCAATATACAAAAACGAAGGTGGCACAGTTGCCCTCTATCGCGGCATTGCCCCTACCGTGGTTGGAGTGGCGCCATACGTGAGTCTCTTCTCTCCATACTACTGATATTTTGTTGGTCACCAGCTAATGGTCGCAGGTGGGGCTCAACTTCATGACTTATGAATCGGTGCGAACGTATTTGACCCCAGATGGAGATAAGAACCCGAGCTCGTGGCGGAAGCTGCTAGCGGGTGCAATCTCCGGGGCAGTGGCCCAAACGTGCACATATCCCTTGTAGGTTCCTTTGGTCTTTTCGTCTCCACTTACGGTAATCTAATCTAAGCTAGTGATGTTTTGCGACGACGCTTTCAAATCAACACCATGTCTGGGATGGGGTATCAATATAAATCAATATGGGATGCCATACGAGTCATTGTGGCGGCAGAGGGGTTGCGAGGACTCTTCAAAGGGATTGGGCCGAATCTTCTAAAGGTCGCACCCAGCATGGCCAGCAGCTGGCTCAGCTTTGAATTGACACGGGATTTCCTAGTCAGTCTTGGAGACAAAGATACCTAGATGAGTGTGATTCTTATTTTTTGGGGGGGAGGGGCTACTTCCCATAGGATATACTCTCTTCCACTGCCTCTTCCACTTCCTCTTCCTCTTGCGGTTTTGTTCGTATCAGAGGGTTGGGGAGTGGCCACTTTTGTATATAAAGTTTTCTCTTTTTTTTTGCCTATTTCAGTCGTTTCCAATGCCAATACATATCAAAAAGATTATAGATACACAGGTTTGGGCTCATTGATCTATACCGATACATGCTAACTTAAGTATTAGTAGGTATTGTACTCCACCAATCCTTTTGGGTGGACACCAGTAGCGGAGAAGTCACCTGATAGACCAATCATATTCAATCATGTGACAGGCAGTTTCGGTAACATTATATAATATAGGACCACACGTGACTCGCTCTATACCCTTATTGGGACTAGCGTAGGGCTCAACCCACACACACCCGCGCAGCCGAAAGTCCAAGACCAAAAACCTCTTGCAGTTTCCATACGGGTGCGACAGCAAGCTAACTCCAGGTGTTCAATTCATACCAGCAGCCATGGGTATGTGCCATCATTCCAGTACCTTCGAATCCGTTGCGAATGCAACGATTGTTACATCTACTCTTGTCGTTGTTCCTTTTCAGATCTACGCAGGACTGACGGATATTGGAAAATTTTAGGTATCGACTTGGACCGGCACCATGTGCGCAGCAGCCACCGCAAGGCTCCTAAGAGCGAGAACGTTTACTTGCAGGTGCTCGTGAAGCTTTACCGCTTCCTTGCTCGTATGAATCCCCCATCGAACCCCCCCCCTCGGCTTTTCTCATCTGCAAAACGCCGCATTTGTGGAGGAAATTTGTGTTTGAAAAAATACTGACCTGCGAAATCTGGCAGGCCGCACCGAGTCCAACTTCAACAAGGCCGTTCTCCGTCGTCTTTTCATGTCGCGCATCAACCGCCCCCCTGTGTCGATCTCTCGTGTCGCCTCCAACATCAACGAGACCCAGAAGGGCAAGACCGTTGTTGTTATTGGCACCGTCACCGATGACAACCGCCTACTGTCCGTCCCCAAGCTGTCCATCGCTGCTCTGCGTTTCACCGCTACCGCCCGTGCCCGCATTGAGAAGGCCGGTGGTGAGGTCCTGACTCTGGATCAGCTCGCTCTGCGCGCTCCTACCGGTGCCAACACCCTGCTCCTGCGTGGTCCTAAGAACGCCCGTGAGGCTGTCAAGCACTTCGGCTTCGGTCCTCACTCCCACAAGGTGCGTCAAATATTCCGGAATTATGTACATGGGGAATTAGGGAATTTATATGCTAATCTATCTGCTGAATCAACAGAAGCCTTACGTTGCCAGCAAGGGCCGGAAGTTCGAGCGGGCCCGTGGTCGCAGACGCTCCAAGGGTTTCAAGGTCTAAGGGACCTTTGGGGGATAGTGGTACAGGCACTAGTTTTTCTGTGCATTTCTCAATAGCATGGAATCATCGAGTGGCTGGATATCTCGCTTTGTCTGACTGGAGAGCCGAGTCGATGTACCTAAAGAGGCAAAATGTCTTTGATTGGGTGGCGAGATCAGAAATTTACGAATGGAAGGGGGCGCAAAAGAAAAATGCATCCGGCTTAGTCCTCATCTTTTCTACGACTGCGAAATGTTTCAAAAAGAAAAAAAAATTCGTTGAATTCATGGATTTTGGTAGTGTCTATCTATGTAAGGTTTTGCTTTGTACTAAAAGGGCAGGTTGGAATGGGCGTATTTCCGTCCACCTGCGCCGTCGTGATAGTCGGCAGCTGCGTGACCATTGCCTCGGATCAAATATTTATAAATAGTAAGGCCCTCTAGTCCGACGGGGCCCCGGGAGTGAATCTTGTTGGTGCTAATTCCCACTTCCGTCCCAAATCCATAGCGCATTCCATCAGCGAAGCGGGAGGATGCATTCCAGTAAACTCCAGCGCTGTCGATGCCACTCATGAATATATTCGCCAACTCTTCGGACTCGGTCAAGATGATTTCAGTGTGCTTGGAAGAATGTACATTGATGTGTTCAATGGCGGTTTCAACCGCTGAGGTTGAAGAATTCGCAGAGATGGTCTTGACAGCCAATACCAAGTCCAAGAACTCGGTATCATAGTCTGACTCCGTGGCTGACTGCACTCCAGCACATTTTTCCGAAGGCAAAGTCTTCATCAAGGCCGCTTTAGATGAGTCATCGCATCGGAGGGAGACACCCTTATCAAGAAGAGCTGTCGCAACGGCAGGGAAAATGGTATCCAAGGTATCTTCATGCACCAGCAATGTTTCCAGGGCATTGCAGGCAGCCGGGTAATCCGTTTTTGAGTCCACAATCACTTTCACTGCCTTGTGGATATTGGCATCGGAATGAATGTAGGCGGAGCAGAGGCCGTCGGCGTGTCCAAGGACGGGAATCTTGGTGTTGTCCTTCACAAACTGAACGAGTTCGTTGGATCCTCGGGGAATCACAAGATCAATGAGTGAGTCTTGAGCCAGGAGAGACGATATCGCATCCCGCGATTTAACAAGTTGGATTGACGATACTGGCACCAGTGAGCTAGCAATAGCCTCGGACACAACATTTGCAATGGCCACAAATGATTCGAGAGATTCTTTTCCACCTGTTTCGAGTGTGTCAATGATGCCATCCTGTTTATCACAATTGAACGTAATTGATTCACCTTTCAAAATTGCAGCATTGCCTGACTTGATGGCAAGAGCAGCAATGTTCGCGATAACCTCGGGGCGAGCCTCAAAGATAATCAGCAAGACACCAATAGGGCAGCTGACTCTTTCCAGAGTCAGACCCTCATCCAGGAGAGTCCGCATTGTGGTTTTTCCAACTGTGTACCGCTCGTGCGATTAGCTACATTCTAGCATTTTAAGCTGCTTATTTCATTCGAGAACGGAACAAGAATCACGGAAGGATGATTAGAATTAGACTCACTTGGATCTTCCAAGTCTCGGACACTCAAAATCCCCTCTAGCATATCGTCATACTTGCCAGGTCGAGACAGATCCAATCGTTTCAAGACGCTGTGGTTGAGGTTGCCTCTTTCGGCGGCACTAGTAGCAGCCTCCACATCCCTCGCATTGGCAGCAAGAATCGTGGCTCGGTTCTGATCTAATGCTTGGTGAAGTGCCGTCAGGGCGTCATTCCGGGCCGCATTGGGGAGGATTGCGAGCTTGCGGGAGGCGAGGGACGCGCTACGGGCCACATCCAACGCAGCAGACTCAGTCAGTGACATTTTTCACTGTGTATTTGAGTGCCCTATCTATTTTTCACAGAAAATTGTTGTTGTATAGAAAAGGGAAAGAAGGAGGGAAGAAAACGCGGAGTGGGGTGGGGGAAAAAAACTACGGCAATTCCTGAGTCAAGGCGAGGGGCACAATCGGAGCGGTGTGGGGAACCATATACTAGTTTCCTATCTTTACTTCCACCACAGCTTCCCCAAGCTGGTCCTTGCTCAATCTCAACATCGATTTAAATTCTTGAAAACTTCGTCCTGTCCTTCTTATTTCTTTTCTTCCCCTGTCTGTATCTTCTTCATTCAAGTTCAACTTCTTAGGCCACATTTGCTGTCACATCTATCCAAAATTCGATCCGACTAACAGTACGTGGCAACGGGTTCCGAGCCAGGATGTCTACCGTGTCCGACCTTGTTGCGGCGTCAGCAGCCCTTCGGAGTCCAAATAACCTTTCAAATGAGGACTATGACCGTCAACTGCGTGGTCATGTTACACACGTCCGACGATTGATATCGAAGAGAGATCTGGGCTCCATCGCTCGTGATGATGCACTCTTGGATGTGAGTGAAAACAACCCCTCGAGTTGCCTCTTCTCATGGCTCGTCAAGTATGATCAACTGACTTACTGAAATAGCAATTTGATCCCTCAAATGACTCAATCACCTATCTGTTTCTTCTACATCTTCAAATCCAAACCCTCCGGGAGGAGTCTAGCGGGACCCTGCCAGCAGAATTACTCCCATTAGGATCATTTTGGTCAAAGGCAGCGCACTACTTGAGGACATTTGACTGCATCCAAGTCAGATATGCCGGTCATGAATGGCTCCAGTTGGTCGAATTCATGGGACTAGCTTCGCAGGGTTCTTCGAAGGTAAGGGCTTTTCTGGGTCAGCTGCTCAATATTCGGTCTGACTCCCAAGTAGCCTATCTTGACTGCCCAGCTTATCAGGGATGCGCTTTTGCGACTTGATCCATCATGTGCTGTCTTGACATCAACCCACGTACTTCTAACCCAGCTTTGTCTTGCGTCTCGAGCGTATACCTGTGCATTGCCAGTCTTGGACAAACAGATTCGCCACATTCCTGCGCTACCAAATCGTGCTCCATCTAACTCAATATCGGCACTATGCGCGGAGCACGAATCAAGTTTATCATTCATCAATGAGACCACTGGTCTTTCGTCTAAGCTGTCGTACAGAGACTACCTTCGGTACTTTCTATATGGTGGGATGATTTATTTGGCACTGAAGGAATGGCGTAAGGCATCGCACTTCTTGGGCACTGTGATCTCTATGCCGACCTTGGGCTCTGTGAGCATGATAATGGTTGAGGCTTATAAAAAATGGATACTTGTGGGGCTACTTGAGAAGGGCAAGGTAAGTGATGCCGTGCATATTCTGTGCGATGCACTGTTGACCTTATTAGCTGTGTTCGCCACCGAGTATAACTGCATCTCATGTTGTCAAAACATTGCAATCCCTGGTCAAACCCTACATCAGCCTTGCTCATACCTTTGAGCGTGGTGATGTAAAGAAGCTAGAGGTAGAGGTTGATGCTGCTCGAGATATTTGGTGTCAGGTGAGTAATTACGTGTTTTATATTATCTTTTCTTATGCTGCTGCAACTAATCACCCTGACTAGGATAATAATATGGGCCTTGTCTGCCAGGTTGCCAGTGCATATTCAAGACATTCACTGATCAATACCAGTAAAGTCTTTGCGGCCTTGACTGTGTCAGAAGTCTCATCACACATATCACTGTTATCTACAGATACTGATGAAGTTGGCGAGGCCAATATAGCATCGCTTGTTGTGGCTGGCACTATAGATGCGACATTGGTGCACTTACATCCCCATTCAAGGGATACAATGCTGCGGTTCCCAGATGTATCCTCTTGGGAAGAGGTCTCCTATGAGACTAAGATACAATCACAGTTCCAAGAAGAGGGACAAATCCTCAAATCTCTCTTTGTTGGTATGGAGGAAAATAGCAAGAGGCTAGGTTTAAGTGATGAGTTTATTGATCATGTTATCAGAGGTCAACTTTGGCCTACTGCTGGAAGTATGAACCCATCCCTAGGTGGAAACGCTGGTTCAGAAATGGAGGAAGATATTATGGGTGATTTATCCTAGGTTATGATATGATGCTTGGGCTATTCTTGTTAAACTTACATATGTTTACTTAAATATTCTCTAAATTCTTGTTTATGAGTAGTTTATACTCTGTTTTTCCTAGGAAAATTAGTTATTTGAAATATGATTTCTTATTGATACTAGTTATAAAGATGATGAATTATTATAATATAGAAAATTAGGTAATATATTCCACTAGTAAGTAGTATAAAGTAGATACTATAGTAAATTGATGTTTGCCTACTTTATATCTTTATAATTATACTATTAATCTATTCTAGTTATGATGTTATGAAAACTCTTTTAACTCCCTAAATAGTATAAATATTAAATTAAAGTAAGTGACTTCTTATTAAAAGCTCCTCTTATAATTTACTAAGTCAATTAATTTTTAGAGGAAAGAGTACTATAGAATAAAAGTACAGTTTTTTAATATACTAATCCTAGTCTAGTAATTAAATAATATGATAACTTAGGTATATAGTCTCTTTATTAGATTATAATTAAGTAGTATTATACCTTATTCTATAGTATACTACAGTATAATATAAAGATAATATAGCCTATATAGTATTATTTTTTTAAATATACTTTTCTTATTAGTAATAATGTTACGACACATCTAGGAAGACCTATACGAGAGGGGCCAGAGCCCAAGAGTATAGGCAGAGGAGTATACTTCTACATGCGAAGGGCCCTAACGGAGTCGGGCCGGAGAAGGGTTAACCCGGTATGCCGGTGATCCGCTTAGCTAAGCCGCACAACAGAAGTAGCACAGCGGGAGAGCTGCATAACAGCTCTCCAGTGATTATATTACCATCAATCCAGACAGCAGCAGTACAGGGGTACGCTGTGCCGTGTTATCACTCCCATCCATCTAACTCCCTAAGACCCTGGTCTTAACAAATAATTATATAATCTAAGTAGGAGTATATAACTTATTTATTATTCTAAGAGATTAACTAAATATATAGGCTTAGCTATATCTAGCTAAGCCCTATAGGTATTAAATATATATAGTCCTATACTTAGTTATTATCCTATTATTAGACTTCTGCATGGGCCGGAAAATTATGTCCAAGGCCCAACCCATGCTAAAGCCTAAGTAATATATACATATATCACATATATTACCTAGTTAATACTAATGTTTTTGATAGACTACATGGTAATTACATAGAGATTTAAATTTACCGGCCCATGGGCCAGAAAATTATGTCTAAGGCCCAGCCCATGCAGAAGTCTACCTATTATTATATCCTTCCTTACTAGCCTGTATTAGGCTCTTGTAGTAAGGAATATAAGCTAGTAGGATAAAAATCCTAAGAATATTTAAGATATAGTATTTCTATAGATAAACTAGGCTAAATCTATCTAGCTAGATCTAGTTATCTCTATCTAGATATTTTTAGATTAATCTAGGGTAGTTTAAGAGAAGAGACTTATATAAAGGGCTAAAGCAGAATTTATATTCAATTAAGCTAGGCCACAAACTATATATAAAAGGCTTAAAGAGAGAATTATTAAGTAGGTATTCTATAAATTAGGTTATTATAGTCATACAGTATATATAACCTTATACTAGATACTAGCCTATAATAGTACCCCCCCTTTAGGGTAGTCCTCCTTATATATATTATAGTCGTATTCAGTTATTTATAGGCCTATAATAGGGTCGAAATAGGGCCGAATTATCTTTTAAAGATATCTAATATAGAGTAATCTTATATATTATTAAGCTTCTACTAGATTTATTCTATCTAATCTATCTATTTCACTAGGGCTTTATTATGGTATCCTTAACCGATTTTCTTATATCTTATATCTATTATCTCTTCTACTTTATATTTAAGTTCTCTATTAACTAATATTAATAGGGGATATGGGTTATCTATAATCTATAATAGAAATAGGTCTAAAATAGCTACTCTAACTAGCTCTATATAGAATACTAGATAGATACTAGTAGATATCTCTAATTATACTATATAAGATATAGGGATATCTAAAACTTAATATTAGATATATAGCTAATTAAGCTTCTTTAATTATTATTATTATATATATATTCTATAAATTTAGCTATATCTAGTTACCTTTCTTATAGACTAGTATATAGATCTTATACCCGCCCGTGGGCGGCCCTTAGAGGTAGACTTTAGCAAAGCCCATAGGCCGGCCCATGATGGGCTTTGGTAGGCCTGTCCAAGCCCATGGGTCCATGAAAAGCCCATAGCGGCCCATTAGAGTGGAGACACCTTTTTTACATAATTTATGAAAAATGTGCAGTATTTTTGGTATACTAGCTGTTAAATACAGCTAAATAATACACACACATGATAAATATATTAAAAAATTCAGAAATCAAAGAAATATAAACCAGTCTGCACTAGAATCGAACGCTAGTTATGAATAACTAGAATAGTATATACTAACTATACTAATATGCCAAAATAGTAAGAAAATAATCCTTTAACTAGCTTATAACCCTATCCTTAACCCTAACTATTATGGGGTTTTCTGCCGAAAAAGCCGCCTAAGTCCAACATTTCTAACCTTTCATCCGAACTTTTATACCATTCAAGCTATTTTTCATAGATTAAATGAAGGATATGGATAAAAGGGTAGGTGGTATGTGTTTTAACGAAAACGTAGGTGGTATGTGTTTTAACGAAAACAGGGGTAAATAACAGAATTAATTTCAGGTGACTCAGCAGTTTATGTCCAAAAATCAGGCAGAATCAGGCACCCATGGGCTTTTTTAGGCCCATGGGCCGGCCCATGATGGGCCTTGGACAAAGGGGTCGGCCCATGGGCTGGGCTTGGATAAGGGTAAAGCCCAATGGGCCGGCCCATGCTAAAGCCTACTTAGAGGGTGGCCTACGGACCTGCCTATAGGCGGGCGGAGGGCCGGTCTAGCCTGCCTGTGGGTCAGGCTAGTCTTTTACTAACCCTTATAAGGGCTGTCTGTGGGCTTTTCGAGGGCTGATAAATAGGATAAATAGTATATATACTTTTAAAGACCTAGATTTATATATATTATATAGTTTTTTAGCTATATCTTTAGGTATTTACTTTATACTACTCTTACTGATTTTAACTAGGGTAGTAGTTTTTTCTTATAGATTTAAAATAAGATAAAGATAAGTAAGATAAGTAATTTATAAGTAGTATTTATAGCTACTAGATATATAATTAGTTTAAAGTTTTCTAGCGCTTCTAACCCTTAGTTTTATATCTATTAAGAAGTATTAAGTACTACTAAACTCTCTTTAAATAATACTATATACTAGATAAGCTAGGCTTATTACTTATTTTATTCTCTATTAGTGTCCCCTAGCTCTATTTAACTTTAATAAGAGACTAGATTAGGCTAAGAACTTAGATTCTTAATAAAGATATATTACTATTACTATTACTATTATAATTACAATGATTATTTTCCTTATTATTATTAATAGGCTGAATCTACTAGATAGATATATCCTTCTTCTCTTAGCTAGCCTATCTCTTTTTAGATAAAAGATATTTATTAATTAAGACTCAATAGCTATCTTTAATCTTAAATTTTAATATATATATATATATTATAAGATCCTAAATAGTTAATAGCTTTAGAGAGCTATATTAATAGTAATATATATCTTAAATAGAGTTAAAAAGCTACTTAATATCTATATCTATAGCTAATATTAAAAGAATATCTTGTATAAGATTTATACTAAAATATATATATAGGGGTATATATAATATCTAAAGTATAATCTATCTTAGTATAATTAAATAGTATAGATAGTATATAAATAGTATAATTTATTACTATTTAGATACTTTTTAATCTTATTATATTTACTAATTAATAAAGAATAGAAGTCTTTTACTCTATACTCTATCCTAAGCTCTAAAATATTAGTATCTATAGATAATTAGACTCTAGATAATAATGATATCTTTAAATAGTATTATTTATAGGGTTAAAAGTAATCTTTAAGGCTTTTATAATATTTTATATAGTAGTTTATATCTAGATTATCCTAATTCTTATCATTATTAAAGAGTTAAGCTTTTATTATAATAAAAAGATAGTACTAATAATATAAAGATTATTATTAATCTTATTAATTATACTATAGTAATATAAAAGCTTCTTTTTTATTATCTCTAAAAAAAGAAATATAAACTAATTCTATATTATTTTTTTTCTTAAGATACTTTTTATCTTTTTAAGATTAATTAAAAGCTTATTATAGATACTAAAAACTAAATAAATATTTATATTCTTAGTCTTAGTTAGAAAAAGAATAAATTTAAAGAAGAGCTAGATAATATAAAACAGATAGTTAATCTATCTATACTCTTCTATATTTAGTATAAAATAATCTTAGTTATTTTAAGAGTAGAACTTATTAAAGACTAATTAAAGCTATTTAGTATATTAAAAAATAAGAAAAGTTAAGTTCTAGTAAGTCTATATATCTTAGATTAGAATAAGCTTTAGCTTTTTAAATCTATACATTATAGAAAGACTCCTAATAGACTAGTATTAATATAGACTATAGGATTTTAGACCTAAATTATAATAGAAAAGTTAGTTAGATAGATAGAGAGAGTATATAAAAGTTTTACTAATTTCTCTAGAAAATATTAACTCCTAAAATCCTAAGCTGCTAGATAATATCTAAATTAATAATATATTAGATAGGTAGAGAGTAAGAGATAGAGTAATAGTTTTTTATATATAAAAATCTATCTCTTAGAGTATAGAGAGTAGGATATAAAGATTAAAGAAAAAGTTAAAGAAATTATATTTTTTATATATATGAATATATCTCTAGACTATATATTTTATTAAGTATATTAATAATTTCTCTCTTTTATTATCTTATATAAAGGATTTAAATATAATTATCTAACTAATTAATCTCTATACTCTTATTTTTTAGTATTATCTTTATCTTCTTTAAAAGATTATTTAAGCTAAATTAGATGATATAGATAAT